TCTCTTTTCTTTATTTTCTCTTTTTCTTTATCAATTGCTCATTCAATTATTTTATTTATTTCCTTGCTCAAAATGAAATTCTCTTTCTCCTATTTTATCCTGTCCCATCCTATCCTATCTTCTCTTATCCTGTATTCTCAAAAAACAACTTCTCTTTGTTCTGTTCCGTATATTCTCTTTCCCTAGACATTTGGTTGAAGCTCGTGCCTCTATTTGGTGACTTGTTTGTATTCTCATCGCTATTGTATTGATTGCTGGAACAGACGATACCATATTCTAGATCACGATGCTTTTGTATCGATCAAAGTTATTGCCTAATTTATTTACATTCACGAAAAGCCAGTGTCCAATTTACTACTAAATTTTTTTATGTGAAGGAAATAAAAAAAAAATAAAAGTAAAAAAATAAAGCAAGTAACAAACGTAATATTTAGTTTACAATTCAGCTGGGGTTATGTACACGCTTTGTTCCGTATTTCGTGACTCCTTCTCGTAGTCTACTATGTTTATATGTCTATATGTTTATATTCTTATTGCTTACTGCTTATTGTTTATTGCTCTGCCTCTCTTGTCAAAGCTCCGCCCGGTACTGCACTACCACCCAACTTAACTAGCCATTATTCGATAACATAACGAAGAATAGCTGGTAATAGCTGGTAGTTAAATTCAACGTTCCAAGGATTAAGAAATCCGTCATGGTCCAGTGGCTAGGATTCATCGCTCTCACCGATGCGGCGGGGGTTCTATTCCCCCTGACGGAGTAAGAATTTTTTCCTTGTCAGAATTTTTATGCTAATTCATTGTGTTACACGAAGCTAGGAAAAAATTTTAAAAGAAAAGAAAATAAAATAGAATTAGAATTACATCAAACATTTTGGTTGATAGTCTCTGGCAAGACAAAGACATCTTCAATGTCAAAATGAATGGCTGGTTATTTTGGTTGTAAAGTCTCAATCACTTTGAACGAATTACATTGGCATCCTGGTTCACAGCCCTCCTTCACTTCTTTTCAGTATGTCTTTCTCTTTTCGATTGTTGATTGTTGATTTGCATTTGACCCAAAGTCGAGTCACCCTTTCGTCCACCTGACCTAATTGTCGTCAATAACAACGATACAATGGAAGCATGAACCAACCCAAGTCCGGTTCAGTTCAAAAGGATACGACGATGAAAAAAAAGGAAAAAATTTGTCACAAACCGGGATCGAACCGGTGACCAACAGATCTTCAGTCTGTCATGCTCCCAACTACACCATTGCGACTTGGATGATCTCTCATGCAAATAATACATATCTAAAAGGAAAACAGTATGAACAGTATGAAAAGCACATGTCATATGCTCTTTTATAATTTCTATCTTTTGTCTTCCATCATCCAACTTCACCTTTTTATATTCCGTACATTTTGTCTACTGATCACTTTCACTCTGCTTTGGCTGTCATTATTGGCCGCAACGGCTACTTATGTACACCTACCAGAGGAGAAAAGGGTGGCCCCGTTAGCTTTATTAGTAAACATACAAGGCAGTATGAACGCCAACTTACTCAAGGGTAAAAGTATAAGAATTATTCTATAAAATATAATAATGAATTTGATTTTGAACAACAGTTAGTTGGCATTATTGATGCTAATGGTTAATAAAACAACCAACATATGAAACACGTGAATTGTAAAATGTGGTCTGTTAAATAAGAGTAATTTTGAGCTCTTGCATTGTTGCAATTCCCTCTTTGTATTCTATCCCATTTCAGAGTTTAACCTCTATTATCTTTTATAAACTATAAAGACAGGGCTTATGTCATTGCTTTGCTCCCAATTGAGTATTGCTCAGGATCGACTGCTGTTGTTTAATTTAAACTCATTGGGGGGGGGGGGGTAAAGGCTCTACTGTATTCACGTCCAGTAATATGCGGGCAATGACGACTGTTTGAATGTCGTACTTCAAAAATTTGGCACACTTTTCGAAACAATACTCGCTTGTACCGTTTCATTTCTTACAGTAATCGCAACCGATGTTATTACGTAAAATAGTATGGGTGAAGAATAAGCGAATGTATTATAGCATAATATAACACACCAGGGCGTCATTTCAGAAACAATAGCATCATTATTAAAGCTCGCATCAGTATGGACGGTGTAACATTAGTCATTCACAATGAAATATTAACTGATCTTTCAAGTGAACATTGTTGGTGATGTTTGACGTCATGATTGAAGAAAAAATACCAACGATAAGTCATGATGTAACATGGATAACACGGCAGATCCGTCTCTATAATGCATTGACTTTATTTTCTGTTTAAAATAAATGGTGACGAATGTATTTCATGTCCTTATTGAAAGGTAATTCCCAATGGAGCCGCCCCTCCTTTCAATCAAATAAGCAAATAAGGATCTTCTTATGTGTATTTATTCATCGATCCAACTCATACTGAAAGTCATGTCATAATCACACCAACTTCCAAAGTTATATAAAAAAAATAAAAAAATAAAAAATACAGTTCATGACTCAATCCCGATCATTAGTTATCGTGCTACTCATCGCAGAATTGCTAGAACTCAGTGTTTTTGTCGTAACCCGAGTAGTAACCCTAGGTAGTTAACAAAGAACATACAGAAAAGGTTCCTAAAACGATATGGTGCAGTGACGATTCAAGATTTTCTTTTTGTTTGTTTTTTTTTTGTTTTTTTTTTTTGTTTTTTTTTTTTTTGTTTTTTTTTTTTTTGTCTTTTTTTTTCTTCCAATTGAATGATGGTTAGGAAAGAAAGGACAGCAAAGTGTATCATTCTGTAAATAAAAAAAAAAGAGAGAGAGAGTTTAGAATTTCTTTCTCTCTCTGCTAGAACAAATTTCTTAAAATCGCTTCTCGTAGTTTTAGATTCAAAGCATTTCCTCTGCATCTATCTTTGTGTATGAAGCGGTATGCAAATGCAATAACAACTCTCCCTCTACCTGCATAATTTTCTTTGATGTAAAGGGACACACAATTTATTTAGTATACCGAGGTTGTTGGAGAATTACGTTCAAAAAACCGTTCTCAGCGTTTGCATGCATGCAAATACTTGTCATTCAATGTTAATTATGTATGTTTTATTATCAAAAAAATTAATATTTCTTTTTTTATCATAACATTTCGCCAGAACCACAGTAATCATATTGGGTATTGAAGTTTAATTAATTCAGCTAATGATCTAACTGTAGACATTTATAGAACATGAAAAGATCTACCATAATGAAATTAAAATAGTGGAAAATATAGGTTAAAAGATCTTTTACGGTTTTATGTCTATATAGAAACCAAACCAATGCACCGAACATAAAATCTTTGGCAAACTGCAAGTGAACGTTTCCGGGCAACAAAGGATGCCGCATAATACAATCATGTCGTACGAAAATTAGCTTTATTAATCCGAAGTTATTATAAAGTTGTAATGACAACTAAAAACACATTATTTATCTATAGCTAATAAAGCTATATTTCCAAGATACCGCCGGTTTGCTGTCTTCTTAATACTATACTATTTAGTACAATACATTTTGCTATAATTTATGTGACCGTATTAAAAATTTATATTATTAATGATATTATGATATTTATGTTAACGACATCCTCGGTAAGACACACTAAAAAGGCTCAACGAAGACAATGGGTAAGTTATTGTCATAACCCAAACTATACTAACTCGTTAATATATTCATCGTATAACTAAGAATTCATAAATGAAATAAATAAGCCAAGAAGTTGTTAGGCAAATATAACAGTAGTTTAGCGAACGACAGTTGTAAGTATACAGAAATTACTTGGACGATCTGACTGGTCTAGCTTAATTAATTGGTCATACAACTTAAATTATGAATCCGATCCCTGCAAACTATTACTATTCAACCTAAGTACTACCAAAGCAGTCAATAAAATAACAAATATAAATTTACTAGAATTACAACTTCTTACCTGTCTGCCACAGGTAACAAGTTGTAATATGCATCGCTTTTTCAAAGAACCATTACATACTCAAAACTTAATTATCCGGTTTCTTTATTAAACGAAAGGCAAACGAAAGACTTCGAAGATTATATGGTAGCAATTATAGAATTATGTAGAAATGTAAAACTCACTTCATTACTATGAACCAAAAATCTTATAGGAAACCTCCTATCCCGAAAAAAATTTTTGTTTACCAAACCCATAATATTTTGAACTCCTCAAGCTCTCTGCTATAAATGCAAGCTATAGTATTGCAATTATTTGAATAATGTATTCTTATCCTACATGTTATAATTAGATAGATGTTTTCAATTTTTCGTGCTGTCCAAACTCGTTTAAGCATACGTTTTCTATTCGTTTATATATATCAACCACTACATATTCACAAAGCAAACACGAAACGGTTTATTTATGCGACGAATTTTCATGTTAGGTTCTTCTCTTTATGTAATTTAATACATTGGGAAACAATGTAATCCTCGATTTCAATGCCATTTTTTAAATCGTCTTCAGATAGATGCAACCACATTACAGAATCGGGGATGACAAATGCAACCGATTTTTTTCGAGTAGTCAACAAATTGGCAATGACCAACTGATGGTTATAACGGTGTAAAGCAGCCCTAGCCTTTTGAATCAAAATATTCTCGTCAGTCTCCAATTTAAACGAGATAATTAATGCCTCAGGTGCCCAAGAATCTACCAGATAACGAAGAAATTTAGGTACTGGACGCATGGAAAGTTCAAGTTTGTCTTTTCCGGCTCCACTTTGAATTTTGTGTTCACTCATGTCCTGGGCAGGTATATGAAAATCACTTACAGCAGCTGCTAAATAAAATAAAGCTCTTGATCTTAAGCATTTTAAGCCTTCCGCTATGGTTTTCAAATACCATAGATATTCAGTAAGCATCGTATACGGTAAACAAAGTAACTGACTTCGCTTTTCCATATGTTCTAAGTCTTCAAGAGAGCTGTTTAGCATGTCTTTGAGGGAATCCTTGATTTCCCAAGACGAAGAAGAACCGACATTCCTTTTAGTGAAGAGATTTGTCCATGGCCCTTCAAAGTGCCGGACAAATGGCATCAAACTATAGTTCCTATAAAGGAAAATAACAGCATACCCAGCTTTACAAAAATATTCAGCAGATGCAGCTCCCCTATTTCCTGCGCTAAAATTGTCTATGTAGCGAACCATGTTTTTTTCCATAGGAACCAAAGTTCCACCGCTAGTAACTAAGACAACATTCCTTTCTTCAGGTTGCAAATCAATGAATCTTTTCACTTTATTTTCTACATTGCTTAAAGTAGAAGGAGCTGGATTCTCAATGAAAAATCTAATGGCGTCTTCATTTTCCATATTATTATTAATTTATTAACACACAGTATTTTCTCCTTTTTATCAATTTAAAGCAAAAATATTCTTTAAATGATTAAGAACCCGAAAAGCACGAATTTCTGACCTTTCACGTCTTTGGATATGTTTGCCAGTCGACGCGAAGTTCCATGGATTAACGCACACCTGTTCGCAAACTAACTTCCAACATACACTATATACTTGAAACTTCGGAAGTCTAGCGAAATTGTAATTATCACTTACACCTTAATAACGACAATTAACCGTGCCGGATTACTACATCAATTCTCTCACTGCATAGCTACTCACCATATTAGCGTTTAGTGTGTAAAAATTGCGATTATGGGTAATAAATCAGCTATTGAAGAAGAATTTGAGTTACGATCAATATACCAACAGGAGGTGAAAAAGAATTGCCAAAAAGAAATTGAAGACTTTGTTCAATGCGCTACTGGTCGAACTATCAGCGTGCTTTGGAAATGTCGCGAACAAAGTCATATAATGAAGGGTTGTCTTCAGAAAACGTATGCTTACAATGCATGTTATAGTATTGAAACTAACATAAAAAAATTCAGAATAGATCAAACATCCGAGTGGAGATTACGCAGCCAACAAGAAGGAGAGAAACAGAAAGCTTATAAAGAAGAAATTACAAAAGATTAAATATTTATCTACAGTAATCAATTCCGCTAAAGAATCCTTACATTTTACCGAGGAAATCTCATTGTTTACGAAGCAGCTAGAGCTTCCCCTGTTTACAACTTTGTAAAAGCTTTCACTACATAAATACTACATTCTAAACACATATTGAGTCTTCAAAATATTATTATTTTAGCATTGTACTAATAAAGCTGGCAATGGCCAACTAAAACTATGACTATTGAAATTCGTTCAAGGGGTCTTCAGTATTATAAGTCCATTAATTAACCTTTTCAATTTTCTGACCGGGTGGGATGAATAAAGCATCTCTTCTACTCATAAATTCTTCATTTGAAATATTCGATAGTTCGAAGACATTTAAACGCACAAAAGCCACAATTTCAGATAATATCGATAAATCTACATTTTGGCTTCCAGCGAACAGATTTCTCCAAATGGCGGTAGCCAAGACAGCATCGTTACCTAACATCGATTGATCATATCCAAAAATAGCCCCCGTCTGTTGTTGGAACAGATCCTTCAAATACATTCCTGTTATACGATCACTGTTTATCCTATAATCTTTATGGATACGAAACTCCATATCTTCAAAAAAACGAGTTACTAAAGCTTGAGAGAGTGCCTGTTTTTCTTGCGGTTGAAGACCACGGATACGTGTTTGGAGAATCCAAAGATGTAACTGCGTGATTTGAAACCAAGACTGAAATGTCATTGGAACTTCGCATCTGCGGAACCAGAATTGAAAGGCATCTTGGGAATCTCTTTCTGGAGTTGCTTGACGCGAGGCCTCATAGTACATATATCTCGCAGTACTAGTAGCCTCGAAAAACATATTCTGTTTGGGCGAGATAATTTTTTGGAACAATAAACTTGCTTTAGTTAAAAAACTATTAGGGGGAGCAATATTTCTCGGGTCTTTTGGGGGAGTTATTGGTTTAAACTTAGAATCATTCTGAGAGTTTATATCTGCCTTTTGCCCGGCTTCCTTGGATAGGAAAGAAGTATTGTGTAAATTTCTTATTTGCAAGAGCAAATTGTTCTGATTTTTGTACAATCCCGACCTAACATCGGAACCCAGTAATTGTCTACAAGTTCTCAACATTATTTCCTTTGTACCCACCTCTAATCAAAACTTCAGGTTTATTTGTTTTTTAGATATATCAAAATATGATTTTAATGGCTTAACTATTAACCTCTTTCCGAAAAGGGGAACAGCAAACTTACAAGGTATAAGTGTTGGTTAGTGCAAGTTCAAGATGAAACATCTCAGATGCTTCCACCATTTTTTAAATTCTGCAATATGGATTATGTAAGTGAAATTTATTATTTTATTTTTAGTGCCAATAGGTATTATTATTAGAAGACATGCTTTCTGCTTGACTATTCATACAAAACCCAGAGCAATTGTTCCTTTGTGTATTTTAAAAGTTAGCAAACTAACTAATCAGCATAATATTACATAGCTATAAGGAAACAGATATTAATACATAAGTCAGTAAACTCTAATTCCGTAAAAAATTGAATAACGGGAAAGTATCTTCTTGTCCATTAATGAATTTCATGAAAGCGATGCATGTGTTGCGAATACTTATCCTTGTGAAAGGAATCTGTACAAATGATAGTACTACCATCCAAATCAGAAATTCTTGGATGACAGCAATAAGCCAGATGACTTCCAAAATATTCAAATTACACACGTACTCAATGTACACCCTGGAGCTCTGATATGTTGTGATACTGTAATGGTAGACTTTCACTAAGCCAGTTATTATCATCCAAAAGTCTTGCTTTATCTGACCCTAGAGGTATACGTTTGATGACGCTCTCATAATTAGACTCTTTTTTACGGAAGTCTTTTAGTATTCGGTTCCCATTCAAATCGATATAGATCCTTGTCTCATTAACACGCACTATCACATTATCCAAACGCATTACCAATCTTGCTAGCAAAATCAAATGTCCTTTCACTACCCGTACTCGAACGTCAAACATTGCTTTGCCATTGTCAGCTAATTCGTCTTCGAATAAAATCAACTCGCTGTACCATAAGTTACTACCAGCTTGCAAAATCTCTGCGGCAGGGATTTGGTCCTGGACATCTTTGAAGCAAAGGTTTCCGTCTAAAATTGTACCCTGATATTCCGTATAGTAAGTCCAATCATATGGAGAGACAACTGGAAAGCTCTCTCCAGTCTTTGTTCTTGATTTTATCCATTCTTCTGCGAATGAAACTTGCATCAATTCACCTGATCCTTTACCGACCATTTCTAAAGCATCCTTGGTAAAAAACCCGTAGATTGGGCTATCTTTATAAAAAACTGTAATGAGATTCTTTCCAAATGTCATCTCGGGAGGTGCAAACCCCAAATTCGACTGCAAATTATCAGCCTCGTATGACTTCAAAATAGCACCTTTTTGTGCTTTTATTTTCCAAAAACCATATGTATATTCTTCTATTTTAGGATCCATTTTCCTAATTACGTGTTTATCTGTGTTTAGTATGAGCTTGAGTTGGATGTACTAGTGTCTACTCGCAACGCAAGAATCTTCGTACACCTGCAATAAGCTACCTACAATTTTATATACTGCACTATAATATACTTAGTAATCCATATAATTGTCTAAATAATTAAAATTTATTCAAATTTAAAAAAAATTCCATCAACTTCTGATATTGATCCAAAATAAAAATATCCAAAATTATTGAATAAGCTTAACAAACTCTTGAAGCCAAGGTCTCTGATTTTCTCTTTCTAGTACCAAAGAATGAGCATTGAGTGCCTCAATCCATTTTGTACACTCCTTTTCAGAATCTGAGTAAAACTTTACACGAACCCCTTTGTCGGTAATCATGAGGATTCCCATAGTAATTCCCAAATTCAACATTTCTTTGTCGCAATCGGCTATAGACAAACTTCGTACATTTCCAACAGCCTTCAAACCCAAAAGAAAATCACCACCTTTGTCAGTATACAAACTGATTTTTTTAGAAGATAGAACCGCAAATCGTCTACGAACAGAAGTACCCTCCAGTATATAAATATAACCCTCTTTGTATATATAAGTCTGACGAATATGTCGAAGATCTTGATTGGCTTGACCAAGTGTAATAGGCATTTCAGATTCTGGGACGGCAAGCTCAGGAATATATAGACAACTCAATGATAGATTTCCTATAACGTCGTTCAGTTTTAAGCCCGTTTTACCAGACATGGCCTGTAATCTGATGGGAATCTCAGTAACTAAAACTTTACCAAAGCAATTATCCTTAACATGAGACAATGTCAGAGTGGCTATTCCTGATACTTTGGTCAACTTATTAGGCTTTTGCTTACCACCATTTAAAGAGTTAGACTTTGCAAGTTTCCTTTTTTTACGTCGATTGAAAAGACGCTCAAAAAGCCTTTTTGTTTTCGATTTTGTTTCCACATTTACAGCTTGGGGGTTGGACTTCGTAAAAGTCTGATTTTTGTCTTGAATACTACTGCTATGTGGCATGTCAAAAAACATGAAATCGACGGCAAATTTATCATCAGCAGGAAAGGTGAAATCATGGTCCAATCTATCATTGCTTTTGTTCAATTGCCATGGAAGTTGAACACTTTGGGAAGGCGTAACTACGCTTATTCTCATTCCTGGTTGATCTCCAACGAAAGGCGAGGACAAATGTCGAAAATAATTTAAATGAATAAAGAAACGGCCACTTTTTGGTAAAGATTTAGGCTTGTCTTCAAAAATATCTCGTTTGACAAATCCCAGCGAGGTTGACGGTCGCGGAGCAACATTCTCAGCTCCAGCAGCTGTAGAGCCAATTTTAGGTTTATTCACACGATTGGATTTGGAACGATCAATTTCTAAAGATCTTGGCCGATTATTTGTCCCTTCATCTGAAATGGGAGTAGATTCCCTCGCTTCAGCTATTTTATCCGACACTTCAAAACTTGGCTCATAATAAGCCACGGTTCCCGTTTCCGAAATGTTCCATGCTCCTTCCTTCTGGGATTGAGAACTACTCGGTATAAAGTCTGATTGACTTGCGACATCATTTGCAGTGATATTACTAAAAGTACGTTTCGAACCAGGAATAGGAGTTATCAGCTTCTGGTGAAGTTCATCCGAATCTAGTATAGCGCTTAAATTATCAATAGAGGAGCTGCTTTTGATGCGGCCTCGTTGACTAGCTATACTAAATTTAATCTTCGCAGCAGCAAGAGAATATCGCGGAACCTCTTTATAAGTAACTGAACCACGCTTTGAAGGAGATCGATAGTTATCATTTGTAACCACTTTCTCACCGTTATCCATATAATCATCCAAAACGTTTGGAATCTGTTCTCGGCTCACCGATTCTTTAGAAAATCCGTCATTGTCCTGAGATGAGCTTAGGTAAAAACTTCCATCAGAGGCACGCTTAGCTTCGAGTTTGGCTTGCACTTTTTTACGAAGACTATCAGAAGAAAACATCGACTTATTAACGTCATCGTCAAAAACAGATGTCGAAACATGCTCGGTGGTATCTTCTACAGGTGCTTCCTGAATGGGTGCAAGAGGATGTTGCAGATTATAATCTACGGTTTCAGATGTTAAAGAATCATCAGATGGCATTTCATAATTGACCTTAGAAGGGAGCAATTGTGGCGTACGCGGTAGAGCTCGAGGAACCCTCTCTGGGGAAAAAGGAAGGGGTGGCAGAGGCTTACCATTACTAGAAATTGGACGAGATAGCCTACCGTTTTCTTCTGTTTCATTAGAATAATCATTTGGTCTTGATAGAGAACCAACCAGGGTACTCTTGGGTGAGGAAGTAGATGAGATAAAATTGGATTTCTCTGAAGAATCATCTTGAGAAGCAGCACCATTGGAATAGATGATCCTTTGAGGAATATCTGCATATTCATCATCTTGAATATCGGATACAGCGTCATCTTTATACACTGAAGGTCGTGAAGAACCATTCGAGCTCCCGGTAGTGTAAGTTAAACTAGGGATCCGTTCTTCATTAGACGTATTCATACGACGCCCAATAGAGAAACCACCAGATTTCTTTGTAGGACTTTGGGATGAATTAAATAAAGCATCGTTATGACCGTATCCCTGCATGTACATACTCCGTAAATCTAAAGATTCCAAAAGGTCAGTAGCGACGTTGAGTTCTGACATATTACCAAAGGAAACTTCACCACTCTCATTATTTAAAAACCTAGATGCATCATTAGGAGAAACATCTAAGCTAGGTCCTTCGAAAAACAATGGCGTTTTCTCACCCACTGGAGTACCCTGAGTATCCAACTCAGAACTCAAATGAGAAAATGATTTTTCTTCACTTAGTATCTCCTTCTTCTTATCTTCTTCCATCCTGCGTTCATAAAAAATTCTTTGAAAAAGTTACTTTTCTAACTTAACAATATATTAGGTCCAAATTCGTTACCAAAATTATATTAAACGAGTGTGAGCGTCGAAAGGACTGATTAATAGGTATAAATAGAAAATAATTAATTATACTTGTTCAAAATTATACAATTCAAAAGATAACTCCTATGACTTTATCATATAGCAGTTTTCATGAATTAATTGGTAAGCTCATAGGTTACTTGTTGTCTGAAGAAGGAAGTCATTGAGGGAAACCCAAGTGAACAACATAGACAATGAGAACAAACTGGGAAAATTCCAACAAAGTAAATCGTTAAAATACAAACCAAATATTCTACGAAACAGTTAGTGAATTAAGTTTCATTTTTTATACCTAATACTGATTACTAGAAAAATTGATACATTTACGATTTGAAAAGTACTTTTATATATATTATATTTATTATGAATGCAGAAATATGTAAGAGCACTCTGTCGTTTGGTTCATGCTTACCCTCAAGAAGTTCAGTCGAAGAAAACTCATGGGCTTACATTCTTCATAATATTATTCCTAAACATCAAAAACAAAATAATCATTAAAATCCATAACTTTTTGAGGAAGCCTTCTTGTTTGCTCGTTGCTGCTCAAAATACGTTTCAAAACTCTCCTTTTGACTAACAGCCATTCCAACCAACGACGATAGTTGATGACGGCCAGGAGCTACGCTTTTTATTGATGGTGTTACAGAGGTGGCTTCTTGAGGATCTACCGTAGGTAGTTGATTCATGTCGACGTCAATGAGCCGGACCTTTTCTTTCCGTCTTCCTTCGATAATGTCTGCTTCAGATGACGGCGGTTTTTCGGTATCTCGTGTATGGCTGAATGGCTGCAACGAAGTAATGTCCCCTTCTTTTAATGATTGTGTACTTACACGCTGTTTCTTTCGTTGAGGTTTCACAAACACGGGTTCATAATTTTGTTCATCCGAGGTATATCCTTCACGCGACTCCTTATAAGGAGCTGACACATTAAAAAGCGAAATGGAATCGGTATTAACATTGTTTGCATCAAATTGTAAATCGGCAGCTGAAGTATCATCAACGTTTGGTTTCTCGCTGCCATATACAACCTCAGCCTCTATGTCTGAACGTTTTGATTTTTTTGGCAAAATATTTCTCCCATGATGAGGATCAGGCAAAATTTCATTAAGCATTACAGGTCCACTGAAGTGTTTTGATGGTGAACCCTTATCTCGGTTAGCATCATCTTTTTCTCTATTAACATTTTGATGAATCTTATCGTCCATATTTAAAAGTAAGTTGTTTTCTCGTTCTTCATAAATTCTCTTCCCTTCAGGAATTCTTCTAGCATGCTGAAACAATTTTTCATTAGGCGTCGATTTTGTAGCAATTGTCTTTTCATATTCTTCATCAGAATCTGAACTATCATAAGATACCAAAGACATTAACAAAATTTTGTAGTATTAGTGATCTTCAAGTATTTATTCAAAATTGGGGGTTGGTTGGTAGAAGGCGGTTCCGGTCTCCAGTACCTGAAACTCTGGCATACGAAATATGCAACTTTTAGCTTCTAAAATGTGTACAGATAAATCAGTAATTTATATTGTTTACAGATTCCACTGATCACAAAAAAATTCGAGCTGAAAACATTGCTTTCTTTTTTTATTTTTTTCAGTTGACCCATTCAAAACAAACAAAATTTCACTCTTTCTTTAAAAATAAATGAAAGAGTTATCAAAACTAGACATTACGCGCTTCATCAATATGTTGTTCAGCCACTTCTACCAAATGTTCCCAATTGACATGAAGAGCACAGTGCGTTTCAACGGCAGCTATAACAAATACTGCAACAGTTATTCCGACCCATAAACCAAACAAACCCCAATTAAGGTAAAAACATAATACAATAGCAATTGGTAACGCTAGAATATAGTAGGCCACGAAGTTAACGATGCCTCCGATACGCTGACGTCCTTGACCGCGAAGAACACCTCCAGCTACACACTGAGTGTTATCAGCGATGTTCATTAATGCACAAAGTGGAACTAGTTTAGCAACCAATTGTACCACATCTTTGTCGGAAGTGAAAAGGTATGCCCAGTGATTCCTAAATATTACCATCATAGAAGTTATGCAAAGTCCAATCAAAGCTGCTACGGATACGGCAACGTATGTAGAAAGTTTGGCAAGCTTTGTATTACCAGCACCAATTAAATTCCCTACTCTTGTGGCAGCAGCAGCCGCTACACCGAAGGCAATAGTGTATGAAACAGAAGAAGTCGTAGATAAGACTGACATAGAAGCGAGATCCGTAGTGCCCAAGACACCGGCAACGAATGTCAGTAATTCAAAAGCCCAATATTCACTACATATCATAACAACTCCAGGAACAGCAAGTCTGCACAATGGACCCCAGTTTCTAAAAGCTTCTTTACTAAAGCCTCCCCAAGCTTGACGCCCATTGACATATACAATATACCACAGGAGAATTGCGCAAGCCATCCAAAGCGTAATAGTAACAGCAACGGGGGCACCCATAAATCCAAACCCAAACCAAGGGCTCCATACAAAAAGATAATTTAAGAGAATGTTGAGCGGGACAATAAAGGCCAAAATATTGGTAACTGGTTGAAATATACCTTGTACTTGCAAAAAGCGTTTTAAAGACTCAAATAGTGCATAAGCTGGACTGGCAAGTAATAAGACCTTCATATATCTACCCGCTAAATAGCAAGTCGTAGGATCCTGCTTGAAGAAAAGGAGGATCGGTTCTATGTTCCACCAAACAAAAATTATTGGTATTTGAAGCAAACACAAGACTGAAAGAATCCTTTGCAAATGGAGACCCACTAACTCATAGTTTCCTGATCCAAAGCACTGGGTACCAAGAGTATCAAGAGCGGAAACAATACCTTGATAAATGGCAAAAGCTGTTATAGTGGCAGTCATATTCGAAAGACTAGCAGCTGATAATTCTGTTTTACCTAAATGTCCTAGTGAAAAGACCGTTATGATTACCTCTCCATATTGGCGTAACGAAGTTAAAACGACTGGTATACCAAATCTAACCAGCAATCTCAATTCCTTTTGCCAAGTACTATCGTGAACATCATTAATTTCTTCACTTGACGCCGAAGCGGAAGAGCTGGATTCCCTACCTGCTTCTTCTAGAGAACCATAGTTGGGTGCCGTTGTAGAAGCTTGGGCTCGCCTCGAAGCTCTTTGACGTGATTCAATAAAATCTTGCAAGGAAGGGGGTGCGCCAGTTGCATCAGAGCCAACAAATTGTGGACGGGACAGCCCGTAAACAATGCTAGATCTTCTTCTATTCGTAGGCTGTTTCACATTTGGCCCTAATATGGGTTCTTGTTCATTCTCCATGTTTATCTAAATATAGAATTATTTAGAAAACCAAAGCACGTTTTGACTCTTCTAACTATTGTAAGTGGTAATGGAAAGTTGCACTGTCGGGTTACACTAGAGGGCACTACATAATATCTAGAATGGCTCGAACATATTGCATTAAGTATTTATGTACATGCTGGATACACTGCTAACTTATGAAAAACAATATATATTTTTATACCAAAAACTTAAATTGATAAGACTTTTTTAATCACTGAAATTATTGTACTTATGAATAAATAACAGTTAACGATCCAATAAACCACATTAAATCCAAATATTTTCTATATAGAAGCCTAACTGGTATAATTTATAGGCTTTTTTCGTCGCAGCGACATGGTGTGTTGTTTTTGAGCAATTTCTTTGACCGGGTTTCGGACAGGTTTAACCTCTTGGTTTTCAGATTTATTCCGCGATGGCCAGGGAAGTTTATAAAGATAAAAGTGACGTGAACATTTTTGACACCTTGTATCTGGAGCCTGAGTGGATGATTCATTGAAGAGTCCTTGACAATCTGAGCAAGCATACTCAACTTTACCACACAGTCTTCTCCTTTTAAGTTCTTTTTGAAACTTATCAAAGTCTTTTTTCCGTTTCGATTTCATGGCTTCTTCTAAGAAAGCTGTCTCCGAGATTTTCCGTTCACGAGACCATACTCTTCTTTTATGCCGTGGGATATAAAGAGAAAATTCATCGTCCAAATCTGAGTCTGAAGCACTACTTAAATCACTACCGGTATCCCAATCATCAAGAAAACGTCTGTCTTGTTGAGATATGGAAAAAGGAAGTATTTCCCTTTGATGACTTTGTTGAGCAGACACATTCTTTAGGCTTAATGATTTAGATAATTCGGAATAATTGTTAAAGAATCTTCTGTAACCATTAATACATTTTTTTTCACAAGTAAAACAAAGACATTCACAGTTATTATCACCGAAGTAGTTTGATGAATAAAAAGTAGTAATTTCCTGTCCTGGTAGAATCGGTTTAACGGACTTCAGCCAAATTCTTCTACCTGAAGTATTGAATCGGCAATTGGCATCACAATCATGATTTACAAAGCGAGCAGGCCCCAAAAATAGACACATTGAACCTAACCTACTCGAATGCAAAATACTAAAATCTTTTTCAGCACCTAAAGTCCGTTCTTCTCTTGGGGTTAATTTTATAATAGTCCCTGACAGATCTAATATATCATCACCTGCCGGTATAGGTTCTCGGGCAATTACGCACGCCTCATGTTTTGTGGAAGTAAAATATCTATTGGTAGAACAGATTTCAAACTTACATGACGGAAGGTAGAGAGATAAATACAATCGAACATGCCTTAGGAAAGCATTGTTAGATGACTCCGACCATCTTTGAAATGTAGGCTGCAGTTCCCGCAGCTTTGACACTTCCTCAACACCACCTTCCAAATCGTTCTTTTCTATCACATTTCGGATGACTATACCAAGAAGAAGCTGCGTATTTATCCGTTCAATAGAGCGACTCACAAGTTTACGAACCTTGTGTATCTCAGACCAATAATGTATTTTTTCAACAAAAAGCAGAGTACAGATATCATCAAACAGAGAAAAATTCTCTAACTGAGTCATAGAACTACCCATGTTGTTCATGCCTTACAAAAAGAATTCACCGAGTTTTTGGATTTGTAACAATATATGTTTGAAAGCTTAAACCTGATACTTGGAAATTAAGAGACGAACCATTCTATTATAAGCGTATTTTAAGTCGTTGTTCTGCTTTTCTTTTATTTTTCAGACGGAAAACACTACCTTTAGCTTTGTTTTACTGAAAGTAGTCGTAGGTGGTTTTCACTTTCTCAGAAAACGCAAAGGTGCTAATAACAGTAGTTTAGAACCGACAAGTGTACGTTGCTTCTTTGTACTTAATTTTTTATATAAAAACGTTCGTCATTAAACGCGGTGTCAGTCGTTTCTAAAAAGTTCGATTTTCTATTAAATAAATCTTACCAAAAAAATTAAGTAAATAAGTAAAGAAAAACGATATGAAACCCCCCCAAAAAAAAACAGAATGAGAGGAATCCTAGTGTTACGAACAAAAGTGCCTTTATTTGTTCATAGGGTGTTCTTGGACAAAAGCCAGTGATTTGTTCAGCTTAAGTGCATACTCTGATTAGTGATAAAATTCATTTTTCTTCAACCTTCCCCTATTCTGATTTAATAATTCATATTGTTTATTTCTTTTTCGTTTTGCTTTGAATTCTCTTGACTACGAAGTCTAAAAGAAATGAATAGCATCCGTTTTTCTCGATATTTCAAGGGTCCTCCCAGACTAATGTCTCAAGGAGCGCAACCCCAAAGTATATTCAAAAGGTTTTCGTCTACTGATGGTGAAAGCAGAATACGAACCCTTTTAAACGAAAGGTTGTGCCCGAGCTCTCTTCGCGTGATCGACGTCTCTGGAGGGTGTGGAAGCATGTACCAAATTGTGATTAAAAGTAAATTATTTAAGGGAAAAAATACTCTAGCCCAACACCGCTTAGTTAACTCCATTTTGAAGGAAGAGATCAAAGGAATGCACGGCTTGAATCTGCTGACAGAGGTGGATGAAGAAAGTGATAAGGATTCAGCTATACCTAAGGAGCATTAGGTCTACCTTCAAAGAAATTATAAGAGCAAGTACGAAATTCTCATATAACATTCATTGGATTGATGTAAATAGCAAAAATGAATGGCATCTACTTCTAGCCTTTGCTTACTTGTTCATTAAATACTTTAATAGAAAAGAATTAAATTACAACGGTATAACCTGCCAGAGAAGGGACATTATCAATACCATTCGTTTTACAAAAGAATCTTTTCATATTGTTTGCTAAGGCATTCTAAAGACTGCGGAATCATGAATAGCGTGACACAATTCGGGTTAAATATAATAATTTTAGGGTGTTTTTTAATAAGCAGTAGCGTAGATTAAAGAGAACTACCGTTTTTGTTACTGACATATTTTCTCAATGTAAACCAGTCAGTCGTATGCTACAAAATCTTATATGTTGTGTATCCTAGTTATGCAATTGTCTTGCTGATAATTAGAACACCGAATTATTTATTGTTTTTCTGTTCCTTTCTTGAAAGCTATTTATTATTTTTTTTCTGGAGTACGTTTTGAATTGAAATCGCAAACATCAACCGGACGTTTGAACATATTGCTCAGTCCGTTTTGCGTGTGTTTCTCGTTTTTCGACCTTTAATTATCTGCATATTTATTTTTCTATATTTCACCGGAATGCAATTAAAAAGTAAGTGACCTGTTTGCCCGCGTATGTTTAAAGACAAAGGGGTTATGAAAGTGTTTATGGGATGTATATGCATCTTGGTAAGAACAGGAACTCTGAGCTAACTTTCAATTAGAAATTGCTAAACAACCAAAAAAAAGCAATAAACAATCAGACTTCACTGTTTCGGATCAACAAATAGAGAAATGGGGAGCACATATACATCAAATTGACAAGTCTATCCGAGACATGATAGAAAATGCTCGACTATTTTATGATGCTTGGCGCTGTGTGGTTTGTCTTGCACCATCTGTTACGGCGTCTTGGATTTCTTTGTATAGACAATTTCCGACTGAAAGGAACCCAGCCGCTTCTCTAGGGACTTTAGTAGACTGGAATAAAGCATTAGAAAGGCAGAGAAGAGAAGTGTTACTAACTTTACAAAACTTTCAATTAACAGTGTTAGCACCTTGCAAGGAAGTAAAGGCACACGTGAAAAAGGCTGTTGAAATGATTAAACGAAGGGGTAGAAAGGTGAATGAACTTGAGAAGATACAAAAGGAATTATTAGTTGTTTACGAATTACCAGATCCGGAAACGAAGAAATATAAGATTAAAACATTACAGGCTCACTTAGTACGAGTCAACAACGAGCTTAATGAGGTGCAAAAGCACATTACATTATCGTTTCCTACATTGATTAATAAATGTCAAGTATTTTTTGGTCAATTAATGCGGCATTTTTTCTGCCTTCAATTACAAATGTTTCGAAAAATGCACAATATAACCCGTCCGTGGGATTGTTTTCAAGACGATATACCAAAAACATGGCTCGTCGAATTTTCTTCCGTATGTCAAGCCGCTGAAAATCTTCCGCTGATATCTATTGAAAACACTCGCCCACCAGTCGAACTTCCGAAACCGTCAGAAGCTTTGTCCGAAGGAGAATGGGAAGCTGGAAAGATCGACGCTATGAATGCTCTTTTATCTCAACATCCACATCATTCTCCTTCTCAAAGCAGTTTATCTCCTACATCCACTGCTAGTTCATCTGTTGCTGCTTCCCCTATCGACACACATGCTCCTTCAACCCCGGTGGTCTCAAGACCTTCTTCAATGCAGAATTTAGCTTCTGCACTTGAACCAGAAGAAGAGCCAATGTCACCTAGTCAAGCACCCGTTTTGAAAACACCGACAACACATCCTCATACGAAAAGCAATAGCCATACCACAAATACTATGTATACATCTGAATGGTCATTTTTAGCATCTGGAACTGCTAACGTTGTATTCGAATACATTGGAAAAAACCCATTCTTTCAAGATAAAGTTCTTCGACTTCGCCGACGAGGTCAGACTATTTCAACAGAGCAAGTTTACGACTACTACCAAAATACTATATATCCTTTATTTTCTGGATTTGAACAATATTTGATAGAAATATATCTTCAACCAGTTACCAAGGATTTTTTGCTTGGTACTCAAAATGCGTCAGGTATTTTTCTAAATCTTAATGAGTCGTTTTGCATTTTAATGCAAGACCTAAAGGAAGGAATGGAAATGAAACCCAAATGGCTCACTCAGTCTCCGGCTGCTCCGGACGACTGGGTTGTCTGCAGAACCTGTGCCATGAGTCGTATGCGTGGAAAGCCTATAAGTTTTTGTCCTCTTCAACTTGATTATAATAATTGGCCAAAATTTCTTTCTGTGTTCCAGGGAATGGTTGGTCCCGAGATTGCTTTGACGTTGTTTCAATCAGGGATCTTAAAGAGACTGCGTGATTTACAAGAAGAATATTCTCGTAAAGATGTCGCATTAGCAATGACACTTCGAGATGTAACGCTATATATTGGTAAAGACAAAATCACACTGTTAGACTTGGACCCTAAAGATATTCATACAAAGCTAGCAAAATGGGAGCGTGATGAGCGGAACCTTTTTGACGGCGGATGGTATTATGGACGTGGAATGAAATCTACCGATCAGGCATGTCGAAGTGCCTAGGGAATTTCTGTTATTCAGAAAATTATGGGTATCCCTTCATAGAATGATAACACTTGTGAAATGGTAAATTTTCAATATATACTCGCAACTTACTGAATAAACCTAATTTTTTCTTTGATATATTGTCAACCAAATCTTTAAATTACAAACTTTTTAACTTATTTTTAATAATTAAATATATAAATATCATGTTTTATAATTGAAAAGTGGTGTTTAGATCCTCACTGCTTTTGCGCTGTTCATCTGTCCCGTATCATTCAACTACCAACTTCAATTACTCATTTACAGTTTCCTAAAATGCTGCGTGTATTCCCTCGTTTCAACAGAAATTTGTAAGCCATAAGTACATAATTAATTATATTAATGAATATAGAATTTCTATGGTTCGTGCAAAGCCCGCGACTTCATTATTGAGAACGTTCCACAGCTCTATACCTGCCAGAAATGCCGAAGGAAAAATTGAAAATCTTGTGGAAGAAATTAGCAAGTTATCTTTATTAGAAACATCTAAGCTTGTAGAGCAGCTGAAGCAAAAATTGAACATTTCCGATATTGCGCCTATGGCAGCTCCCATGGCAGTCCCTGGAGCCGCTGCTGGTGCTGCAGAGGAGGCTAATGATGAGCCTAAACCAGAAGAGAAGACAACTTGGAATCTCAAACTAGAATCTTTCGATGCAGGTTCAAAAGCTAAGGTAATTAAGGAAGTCAAATCTTTGTTGGGGTTGTCTTTGGTTGACGCCAAGAAATTTGTCGAAAGTGCACCTAAGGTCTTAAAGGAAAACGTATTGAAGGAAGATGCTGAAGCTATAAAATCCAAGTTGGAACAGCTTACCTGCAAGGTCACCTTGGAGTAAGCGAGGTTAAATTGAAAAGCACTATTACGAAGAAGCTTTGTGCTTCTTAAGAATTAGTTTTATAAGCATGGTAAAAGTAACCCTTACGATGTTTTATTTCTAGAATTTCTAGAATGGAGTTTTTTTTGGGAAGAAAAAAAATGTACATATACGTACGTAAATAGCTTTGATCGTTTGCTATAAAACTTTTTACCTCTAAAATCCCCCTTTTTTATCTACAGTTGAGCTATGACTTACAATGTCTGCGTTTTACTTATGACTCTAATTCGATTTTTTCATAATTAACAAAGAGATTCACGAATGCATTCATTAAACTTTTCAAAATCGTCGTTCAATGCCTCCAAATCACATTCTGTGATTGGTTCTATAGTATTCCAAGCAATCTCGTGTTCTAATTCTGGTTTCGGTATTGCCCATATATTTTCGCGCATGAGCTTATGTCGCTCTCTATCTTCTTCTAATCGCTTTAATATATCGGCTCTAGAAATTGACGTGGTCCCTTGATCTTCACCTGCTTTGCTTGCTTGCTCGTGAGTGTCTACCAAGTTCATCGCTTCTTGAAGCCGAACATCATCTATTATGTTCTTCAGGCGCAGTGAGTGGAGCACCTTTCTTACTTCAGGAGCATTGGCTGCTCCTGCTGTTCCAATTGGAACCACATACTCTACCAGTTTTAAAATATCACGAGTAATCATAGTAATATAACCACTATTGATTCCATTTTTTAAACTTAATTCACACAAAGTATCCACGAAGTAAATGATATTCACCCTGGTATTAAATGATCCCGATTCCAACTCTTCCCATATACAAGAGTATAAATCTTCCTCAAGTTCTCTATTTTTCAAAGCAAATTGAGCAGGTTTCAGCTGGGACAACTGGGAAGCACTTAGCTTATTTAAAAGCTGCAGAAAAGCCATTCTTCCTTCGAAAGGGTCCATAATGAAGAGAAACTCAAAAAACAAAATTAAATCTTAAAGCAAAGGATGGCGTGGCTTTTTCTATGTATATACTTTCATACCTAGCTATAGGTTGTTTTTTACATGAATACTATAAAGACGAATTGAATTGGACGGTCATAATTGCATAGTGAATGTTTGATGAAATGCGTTATTTCCAATGTGTGAATGCAATAGTAAGATTAATGAGTATATTCATTGATAGACTGCAAAGCAAGTCTAATATTATTTATTAGTTTTATTATGTTTTCTATATAAGTAGTGATTGTTTGCACAATCCAGACTAGCTGATACTAATAGAAAGCCAAAGAATAGTCTACAACAAATAAGCCGTACATATCAAATGGACGATTTTTGACTTAATATACCAGCTAAATTACCATTTCTATGTATTTGGACAAGATAAATACAAAACACCAAGAAAATTTGTGAAACCACAATGTAACCAAAAAAAAAACAAAACGTATAAGAAAGACGAAAGGCTAACCAATGTAAGCGGTTTTAAGCAGAAGAGCATGCTTCAAGGAATTCCACATAATCGGGATTTAGCTTTACACCAGCCTTCTGAGCATCCTGCAAAGCTGTAGAGGCGGCCTTCAAATACTCATCTTGAGAACCTTCTTCCTCAGTGATCTGAGCTAAATCCATCTTAATATCGGCCAACTAAAATACCGGTTAGTAAAATCATAAAGTAAGAAACTATTGCCGAATAATCTAGGCATAGACTAATCGTACCTTCAAAAGTCGTTCGGCTGAGTTATCCAACTCATAAAGTGCATTCCAAGCATCAACGGAGTGAGAAAGCCATTCAGAGGCTTTTTTAGCCCACTTTTCGGCATTTTCTTCATCCACATCCATCAAATCGATATAATATTCGGCGAAGCTTGTATGACTAGCTAGAACTGCTTCCTTGGTAGCAAGACGGACAGGAAGAGGACAATCTGGGAAAGCGCTACATTTTTCCCAAAGACCAACAATAACGGAATGTACGTCTAAAAGGGAGCTTTCAGGAAACTGAGAGCCAAATTGAAACATATAAGAGGACAAGACATACAATGGACGCAAAGAATCAGGAGTCAAATCATCAAATGGTTCCATCGAAAGTAGAGGACGAAGGTATTGAAGAGCGGATTCAATGTAAGGACTGACGATCTGTATAATAACAGATTGATCCGAAGGGTTCTGCTGATCGTCTTGCTTCCACAAGGTTATACGTACTTTTTCTAAATATGCACGTCCAAAAGCAAGGTTAAGACGAGATTGGTCACCCGAAGCTTCCAAACCAAGTTGAGCTCTTTCTAAGGCAGCGTCAATGAATGACTCTTCATCATTGGTTTCTTTGAGACGTCCTTTAGCAGGCTCGTATAATTCAGAAACAGCCAAGAGAGCCATTGAATAAGCTGCGTGGAAATCCTTAGGAAGACCAGAATAGTCCTCTGTGTTACGAAGAATACGATCGGCCTCATGAATGGTACCGAAGACAAGGTTGATGCTTCCTTCAATATCACCACCTTCTAATTTTTCACGGCTCATCTCATACAATCCCCAGAGTTGGTCAATATTGTCTTCTTCTGTATACACCAACATGGTTTCGTCTTCGTCCCCTTCACCTTTGTTTACATCTCCATTTCCTTGCTCAGAAGCGTCGATTCCATTTGCAGCTGCCTCCTGACGTTGTTTTTCTAATTGCTGCTTTTTCTGAGATGCTGCAGCGCGCAATCCTTGAGGACGTTTGCCAATCATCTTCGTATCTATTCAGTTTTCTAGCTTGTTAAAGAAGCGTTAGAATCGAGTGATTTTCAGTAGAATTTACATACGTATTACTGATGAGTAGTGAATCTCGTTGTGATATTTACTGTGATAATTTTTGGTATGCTGTTATTTGCATGTAAGGATAAACGTTTCGGAAGAATAAGTTCTTCCTTTTACAATGAATAAGCATATGATATATCACATATGTAATTGCACAAAAATTAAAGCATATTAAAGTCTAATAACATAACCTAAAAAACAACTTTTTTTTAGCATATTTATTAGAAAAATAAAAAAATATGCGTTTGTAAATTTTACTCATATATGCTTAATTTTCGAATAAAAAAAATAGCAGGTTGTTTGCTTTCAGTATAAGGGAAAACGATAAATATAGAAGTATTATAAGCTCTGCAGTCCTCTCATACAAACGTCCCTCTTTAATTATTATAAATATGTTATATTTAAGAGCGAAAAATTATTCGGATTAAGTAGACATTCGTATGCTGCCAAATCTTTTCAATATGTAAAAAAAAATAAGTAGAAATAATAAAGAACTAGTGAGGGCTTAATTAGCTTGGAAACTAGTTCAACGTTCAATTGAATTTACTCTAACAGAAGAACGAGTTACTGTAGTAAAAAATTGTAGATATTGAATTTCTGAATAATGGATAGAAAGTCAGCAATTTGATTGCTGTCTAATTTATATGCCGTAAATTCAAATCACTTTGAATAAAGACGATTTAACAAGTGTACCAATATAAATGCAATAGGATAAAAAATATTGAAGAAATCGTCAATGACATCGAGTTACAGATCACTTACTCCATAACCAAAGTTGAAACATTTGAAAATAACTATTTTAATATTTTCTTCTTAATCTTTATTTTTTAAATCCGTGAAACTTGTGACTTTGTACTTGGCTGATTAGGTCATTTTCTTTCCTTCCACTCCAAAGTAGACTGCTGGGTAGCCCAATATTAGGTTCCATTTTCTCTAGCATAATCATGTATCCTTCTATGAAGAATGACTTAATCCTAAGAGCTGCGAGAGGTATGCTAAGCAACAAGCCTTGCATTTACAAAAGATGAACGTTGCCGCTAACATTTGCTTTTTAGGAGAAACAGTTGAACGACCACCTGTTTGGATTATGGTAATAAATGAGAACTAAAGGAAATCAAAGTATAATATATTAACTTGATGAAATTTCTAGAGACAAGCAGGAAGATACTTGCCAGGTACATATTGTTGAGTTTTGAGCTTCGAAGTTTATACTAACTTCTCTCGTCAGAATATCACAGAGTTAGGTCGAAGCAGGGATTTTTTGAGATGTGCCAAACCCCGGAAACGTCTTGCGAATTGACGCTCCAACCCATTAATCGTTTTGACGGCTTACTCGATGCTGCCATCATTTTTAGCGATATCTTGGTAATTCCTCAGGCTCTTGGTATGCAGGTTGTTATGCTTGAGCAAAAAGGCCCTCACTTTCCTGAGCCATTGGCAACACCCGAGGATCTTGAAAAGTTGGAAAAGGTCCCCAATATTCCAGCTAAATTGGGATACGTGATGGACGCGATATCGTTGACTAGAGAAAATTTAGATGGAAGAGTTCCTCTCTTGGGGTTTTCAGGAGCTCCTTGGACTATTGTGGCTTACATGATTGAAGGAGGTGGTTCTAAAACATTTACAAAAGCAAAGTCTTGGCTTTTCCGTTATCCAGAGGCTTCTCATCGTCTTTTGAATATGGTTACTGAAGCTACCATTGTATATCTTACGCAGCAGGTTTACGCAGGTGCTCAGGTAAGTTGCCATTTAAGTTAATTAAACTAACCGTTAGATGCTTCAAATTTTCGATTCTTGGGCTGGTGAGCTTTCACCCAAAGACTTCTTTGAATTTTCGTACCCCTATTTGGTAAGAATTTGCGAAGGAGTGAAGAAGGAGCTGAGTAAAAGCAAACGAGCCGTACCGATGATTGTATTTCCCAAAGGAGCCTGGTATGCTCTTGACAAGCTTTGCGATTCTGGTTACGATGTTATTGGTCTTGACTGGACTGTGGATCCTAAAGAGGCTGTTCGTATTCGTGGAGATCGCCGCGTCACTTTCCAAGGCAATTTGGATCCAAATATTCTATACGGTGGAAGAGAAATTATTGAAGCTCGTACCAAAGAAATGATAGAGGGTTTTAATGGTGGAAAACAGGGCTATATCATAAATTTGGGACATGGCGTAACACCAGGTGTCAACCCAGACGATGTTCGTTTCTTTTTAGAACAATGTCATAAATACGGCTCTCAAAAGTGAGCTGATAAATAAACTTTCTTTTCCTTAGACTGCTAAAATTGCCTCGTCTTTTTGATTATAAATCCTTTTAATGACTTGGTGATCTAATGCCTGTTATACGCACGTTTGAAGTTTAAATGCCTGAAATGCCTTTCTATTCTTTTTTATTTTTGGGGACAGCTTTTCCAATGCATCAAAAAATAATATCTAGTCTCTTGTGCGGAAAACGCAAGAAAATAATTTCATTCCCTTTTGTTATATTATTTTTTAACCATAATTGAAGGAGTCAAACGTTCATTTGACAATGCTTCATTTGTAATTCTTGGTAAACCATGGCCATTCTTTACAAAGTTCACGATAATGTATCAACTTTACATAGATTTTTTTTTCTTTTTCTTTTTTCTTTTTTCTTTTTTCTTTTTTCTTTTTTTTATTTATTTTTTTTTTCATTTCATTAGAACATGAGACCGCCCACATTCGTCAGTTTAGTTTTGGTTTAGTCTATGACTAAACGAGTATTTCATATTCAAAGACCGGTACAACATTATCTGTTTTTTATGAATGAACATAAAATGTAATTAACTTTCCTTGTTTTCTTTTTTTCATACTTCACTTCGATTCAGTTACATCTTCTATCCCTAAGTAATATCAATTATACTTACTTTCCAACAACCAAAAGCACATAGACATCATACTACTTAAAAAAAGCAATTCTCCAAAAATCGAGTGAATTGCGATATTTTATTAAAAGAAAGTATAAAATCGTAAACATTGGATACAAAAGATTTGCTTATTACGCATTAGTTTCATTTTTATCCCAGAGAGTTTTCCAGTGGTGAAGAACATCAACGTCAATTCATGGATATTGCGGACCGGATCTTGCAAAACAACGTTATCTCAGGAATTATAATATTTATACTAAGATCTATAACTCTGAGTCTTGTTTTTGTCACCAAATTCTCTTTAAGTATACTGGCATTCGCTACTATAACTATACCAAAATGGACCTATAAAGTTCTAAGCTATTCTTTAACTATTCAATTTAATTTTAAGTCTTTGTATGAAGCACTGATTCTTCCAATGATAAGCAAATTACTAACTCGGTAGACTTTTCTTATTCTTCGTTTCCTTATGTGCAGCTATCTTAATCATCCGATATAGATATTTAAACAAATACTCTCGACTCCCACATGAAGCCCCCATAAAAGAAGCCAAGCTTGGTCCTGATGTTAGCGTGCGAATCAGTGAACCAAAAATTGGGTTTCAGAATTACCTAGATGAGGTATGTTTCGTGCGTGTTGTGTGGAATATTATTAACAAGCTTAGTTTTTGAGTGCTATTAGCATATTTGGCTACTTGGAAAAACCTGTTTTCGTTGAATTAGCTCGCCATATTCAAACCCGACGAGTTGCTGTAGGAGATACGATAGATCTCGATGAACAGTCATCTTTTATTCTAGTTGTGGATGGATGCTTTCAAGTATATACCGCAGCAGAGCGTTACAATGATGATGCTTTAAAGGATCCATCTGGTCTACATCCTGATTATAAGCTTCTTACTGAAGTTTCAAATGGGGCTCCTCTGTCTAGTTTTTTCACTGTTTTGGAGTTGTTCACAGAAATAGTTCCTGAAGTTTCAGTTACCCCAAGCACTACCCAGTCCACAGCCACTCCTGCAGAGCCCTCAGACAATCCTTTTCCCGCTAATAGCATAGGAAGGAAAAAATCTGAATCAAAGGGTGAGTTTAGTCCAAAGGAGAAATCATCAATTGTTGCTAAAGCAAAATGTGACACTACGATAGCTGTTATACCCGGAAGTGCTTTTCATCATTTGGTTCGCAAATTTCCTAATTCCAGTGCACAGATAGTCCAGGTTATTCTTACTCGATTCCAACGTGTTACCTTTTCTACGGGATTTGAATACCTTGGATTGTCGGATGTTATCTTCAGTATTGAAAAGAATTTTAATGCTATTACTTCCTATGAATTGCCGAATTATATCCGTGGTGATATTATCGAGACCTTTAAAAATGAAGCGAAGTCTGAGAATAGAAATAAAAACATAAAGGGTGGTATTATTATATCGCAAAAGAAGGGTCCTGCTAATCGTATCGGTAATTTGAGCAGAAATTTTGAGGGTTTTGGATCCGAAATTGATCGTACAGCCGTTAATGCAGGTGATTTACTTTCTTCTATCAATCCACACGCTACTATTTCTCAATCAGTTTCTCCAAACATGAAACGGTCACCTCTTCGTAGGGCATACTCCAGAGAAGTAAGCGATTATGATGTGTATTCTTCTTTTAGGCATGGTTTGTTACACTGCATTTTAAAATCTCTTGGTATAGCCAACTACGGCATCAAAACTGAAAGTGCTACTTCTTCAGTAGATGATGAACAGTCAGCTGATCAAGAAAGTAACAAATCCGCAGACTATTCTGAAAAATCCACCAAGGTCGACTTTTTGGGCCAACTAGCCATGATGAGTGCCGTCAGTGTCAACGAAGAAGCCAAGAGCCCCACGACAGGCAATCAAAGGCAGTCTACAGTCCTTGAGTTTGCGAAAGAAATTGAAATAATTTTTTACAAGAAAGAAACCGTCATTGTCAGACAGGGTGATCATGCTGACGGTGTATTCTATATAATTGATGGTTTTTTGGATGCAACTTGTCCTTCTAAAATAGCTATATACGGCAATCAAGGACAAACAGAGGAACACTGCTTTATGATAAAACCAGGTGGGCTTGTTAATTACCAAGCATGTGTCTCGAATTATCGTTCATTTGTAAATGTAACTGCTAGGACGGATGTTTTGGTGGGCTATTTACCACGTACTGCTCTTGAGAGGATTACTGAACAAGAGCCGCTGATTTCCCTTATCATAGCTAAAAGACTTATATCCTTGGTTCCGCCGTTGCTGTTGAAATTAGATTTTGCCGTTGGCTGGATTCATCTTAATCCTGACCAAGTATTATTTAACAAAGGGGATCCAAGCGATTCAATATACATAGTTCAAAATGGACGTCTGAGGTCTATTGACGACAGTGATTCGAAATCAAATTCTGATTATTTTGATGAATATGGAAAAGGTGATAGTGCAGGAGAATTGGAAATGTTAATTGATGCACCAAGAAGTAGTACACTATTTGCAATTCGAGATTCTGAACTAGCAAAAATTCCCCAAACGCTATTTAATGCTCTTTCTCTTAGCCATCCAGCTGTTGGGCTACAGCTTTCGAAAATCATCGCAAATAGAATGCACGTCATGCTAAATAACAGATTCATGTGTGAAGGTATTCGTCAGACTAAAGGAGAAAAACATAGTATACGTACATTAGCTGTGGTTCCTTCTTCTTCGACAACGCTTCTGTTAACATTTTCTCAAAAGTTAACGTTTGCCTTGTCCGTTTTGGGTATATCTGTTAAAATCCTTAGACAATCCTCAGTTCTAGAACATTTAGGGAAGTATGCTTTCAGCCGCATGGGAAGATTTAAGCTTGCAAGTTATCTTTCGGATTTGGAAGATAAGTATGATATACTAATTTACATTGCTGACACTAATGTTGGGACCACATGGTTTCAGACTTGCGTGCGACAAGCTGACTGTATTTATATTCTTGCAGAAGCGGACAGGAACCCTAAAATTGGGGATTTTGAAAGCTATTTGATCGCGATGAAGTGTACAGCCCGTAAAGAGCTAGTACTTATTCACAATGAAAGATTTTGTCCTTCCGGTCTGACAAGGATGTGGTTAAAAGAGCGTCCGTGGGTATATGCTCATCATCATTTACAGTTACGCGCTGGTTGGGACAATGAAATGGTTGACCATAATGATGGAAAGGAGTTTTTAAATGTCATTCGGTCTAAAGTTCTAAACTTTAAATATGGTTTTAGAAAATATATTGATTGGAAACATTTACACCCTGTCTATCAGACGAATCGAGCACAGGAAAATGATTTTGCACGCCTGGCTAGGAGAATTTGCGGCAAAGGTATTGGGCTAGTTTTAGGAGGTGGAGGCGCTAGAGGTATCTCTCAAATTGGTGCTTTGTATGCGTTAGAAGAGGCGGGTATCCCTTTTGATATTATTGGTGGTACCAGTATAGGAGCATTTAATGGCGGATTATATGCCCGTGAAGCAGATCTAGTCCCAATGTTCGGTCGTGCCAAGAAGTTTTGTGGAAGAATGGCAAACTTATGGCGGTTTGTTTTAGATCTAACTTATCCCCAAGCTGCTTATACTACTGGTCATGAATTTAACCGAGGTATCTGGAAAACATTTGGTGAAAGTCATATTGAGGACTTCTGGTTGCCATTCTACGTGAATACAACAAATATTACTCATTCTCGCATGGATGTGCACTCAAGCGGTTATGCCTGGAGATATATTCGAGCTAGTATGTCTTTGGCAGGTTTAGTTCCTCCAATGCTCTCCGATAACGGGGACATGCTACTAGATGGTGGTTATATGGATAACCTTACAGTAACGCATATGCAATCCCTTGGAGCGAACACAATCTTTGCAATTGATGTTGGAAGTGAGGATTCACGTTTAGCAATGGATTACGGAGATACTGTTTCTGGTGCTTGGGCTTTGTTCACTCGTTGGATTCCCTTTATTTCGAAGAAAGCATATCCTTCACTTGCTGATATACAGTCTAGATTAACTTACGTTACGAGCGTTGCAATTGGTGAAAAAGTAAAGACTACACCAGGATGTTTCTATATGCGTCCTCCTGTTACGGATTTCACCACGTTGGATTTTGGAAGGTTTGAAAAAATCTACAGCGTTGGGTACGAATATGGAAAATCATATATCGAGAAACTTCATACGGAAGGCAAGCTTGATGGAAAGGAATCCTTGGAACTAATACCCAGTACCAAAAACACTCAAAATATTTATCGCTACGAAGAAACTCGCTGTAAATGAATGTTATGATCTTAATATAGTCTGTTGTTAAATAAAACTTATTGAACTACAAAATGAATCTGATTTGTGTTTTACTTTTTTTCGAACAAGTATCGTCTTCGCCTGATTGTTTCTTTTTTTACAATTTTCTATACAGACCAGATCTCTATAATATATTAATTACTGATGTATTCAAATATAGTTTCTTTCTATGAACACCATTAGCTCCGAATTGAAAAGTAACGTTGTAGCTCATTAAAGCAGCGGTATATATGTCGTTGAACGCTCCCTTACCATATTGACCGCATAAGACTGGCCTTATAAAAACTGTAGGCTAGAAGTAATAATGAACCTGTTACGTTCAGGGAAATCATCATTAGCATATGTACTTTTGTTTCTTGTTGTGGGTTTAAGAAAATATGCGGTAGCGTTCCCTTTAGCTTTGACGGAGAAGGCTGCCGCTGGTAACTTTCCAGAACATCTTGATCACTTCCCTGCTTTAAATAATCCTTCTATATTTTCTTATTATTCAAAGCTTCTTATTAGTGCTTTCTTAGTGCTCTTGGGTGGTGTTTTTGCTGGACTAACGATCGGTCTTATGGGATGTGACGAAGTGTATTTACAAGTTTTAGAACAAAGTGGTGATGAATACGAAAGGAAACACGCAAACAAAGTTTTAAGACTTTTGAATCGTGGTAAGCACTGGGTTTTGGTCACTTTATTGTTGGGCAATGTTATTGTGAATGAAACCTTGCCAATAGTATTTGATAGTATCATTGGCGGTGGGTGGCCCGCAGTTTTGATTTCAACAGCTGCGATTGTAATTTTTGGCGAGGTTATCCCACAAGCTTTATGCGTCCGTTATGGATTGTCGATCGGTGCTAAATTGGAACCGTTGGTGCTGTTTATGATGTATCTCCTTATGCCAATTGCTTATCCAACTGCTTTGTTACTGGATGCCTGTCTAGGAGAAGATCATGGCACCATGTATCGAAAGGCTGGTTTAAAAACTCTCGTTACTCTGCACAGAGACTTGGGGTTGGATAAACTGAATCAAGACGAAGTTACAATTATTACGGCTGTTTTAGATTTACGGGAAAAATCAGCCAAAAGTATTATGACACCTATTGAGGACGTTTTTACCCTTCCAATGGACCGTATTGTAGATGAACAGCTAATTGGCGATATCATTTGTGCTGGTTACTCCCGGATTCCAGTACACAGACCAGGATTTCCCCATGATTTTATAGGTATGCTACTCACAAAAACACTTATTGGTTATGATCCAGACGACTGTTGGCCTGTAAGCAGATTTGCTCTTGCAACGTTGCCTCAAACTTTCCCGGATACTTCATGCTTGGATTTAATGAATTATTGTCAAGAGGGTAAAAGCCATATGATTCTCATCTCAGATCACCCTGGTGAAAAGTTTGGTACTCTAGGTGTTATCACCCTCGAAGATATCATTGAAGAGTTAATCGGAGAGGAAATTATTGACGAAACTGATGTTTACATTGATGTTCACAAAGGGTTGCCACGTGTGAGCTATAATAATGAATTTTGGAACAGGTTGTTTCATCGTTCTCATCTGAATACTATGGCTGCCTTAACAAAAAGCCGTCTATCAACAACAAACGGTGAAACTAACGCAGATGAGCAACGACCTATTCTAAATCCCAGAAATGCAGCCATGAATCCTCGGTATATTCCAAATGAACGGGTGAAAGTGAAGACACCTGTGAGCATCAAGAACGAGACGGGATATGGAAGTATGGAAGCTTCGAATCAAAGTGTCGCTTCTCTTTCCAAAAAGGCTGACAAGGTTGAAACTGAAATAGAGGCCCATTCGAAGAATATACCAACTATAGAAGAGCACGATGCCGAGGTCAATTCTCAACGTGAGGTAGGGAATCAAGAAGGTGAAGGTGGTCAGGGCCACTATACACAACATCAACATCACAGAGAAAGCAACGCATCACCGATTGATTATGGCAAGATTGCTGAGCATGGTTTTGATCAAATGAACGGTGAAGATTCTTCAAAAAAGAAAAACAAGTCTAATGCCAATTCCCCGGCAATCAAGGATCAAAGGACGGACAGTGGGTCTTCTGTTTCTGAAAAGACCTTTGCAGGTAAAAGGATAAGGCTCGGTAATGTCATTGAAAGTAACCTTGTGTCCGCGGACGGTATTGAACGTATCGTCATTGAGCCCTATGAAAGAACAGCCAACGACTCTGAAGATATTGTTGAAATGGTTGAAAGAAATGGTATTCTTGTTCCGAAAGTTAGCATTACCAATAGCGAATCTCAACAAGAAAGTGATACTTTGAACGTCAGTGATGCAAATACGCCAAGTTCCGAAAATCATAATGTTAATGCTTCATCGAGATCGTCTAAAAATAAAAAGAAGAAGAGGAAGTCAAAGAACAGAAAATAAGCTAATTGGTTTTCTTCTGGCTATCGAATGTTTACTTCTATATGTAGATAACCGTTCACAACACTGTGGTTTTCCGTTCAGATCATTACATCCGTTGTGATATTTTTGATTTTAATTATTCATTTTTGAACAGTCTGTATGCTCAGTCTTTATTTATTCTTTAACTAATTTTTCGATTATTTCAATTAAACTATGTCTTATGTGAATGATGCTTTGTATTCTAGTTCATTGCAAGCATAAATAATGATGCCATTATTGGTGTTTCCTCTCAGAAATTGAAATTTAGCATTATAATATGTCTGCCTAAATCTTAGACAACTAGTTCTTTGAATCGTAATGAAGTTATTAATAATAAGTATATGTATATTAAGTTTACATTGGATTTACTACGCTTGTAGATTGCTTTTCTATAATGAATTTTGAAAAGGCTCGAAAATGTCATGACATGAAGCTTTTAATAAAATGAAATTTCTATTTAAAGAAAAAGAATTAATTCTAAATTATAGTTAACGTTTAAGTTGATGCAAGAATGGGTAGATAGAGGAGTAATATGCACAAAGAATAAGGTATATTTTGTTTCAAACAATGTGTACTCTTCACCATCAACACTATAATAAAAGAAGAATATGTGGCTTTCAGAAGTACAAAGTACGTTTAAATAAAAAAATAAACATTGCTAAAGGTTAAAAATAGAAATTGGGATTGGTATAACAAGTTTGGGTTTGCTCTTTATGATACTTGTAAGCATTGAAGAAGAAATATAGATGACTTGGTAATTCATTTCGGATCCTAATGAGGATTATAGGGAGTAATCATGCTGTTTGACGGTCCCTTATTGTCTCTTGGAAATGTATGTTCGGAATGGTCAAAGAAAAGCGCCAGCAAGCGTAGTTTGTGCAAGTGTTTTCGTGGTAGACACTGACACTTTTTTGAGAAAACTGTTTGAGCTTAAGTTGCTAATTGTTAGATATTGTCAGTGTCAGGCGTATTCATGATTGTAGGGCCGGCCAAATCAGCAAACTTCTTTTTACGAAAAGATAGAATGGTAGGAACCATAAGCTTTATATCCGGATTTCTTCTTACGATTCTACGCTTTCCTATTCTTGGTTTTTTTCTTGAATGCCTGGGATTCTTCAACCTCTTCCGGGTCTTTTATCCGATCATTATTAGCTTTCTGAGATCTTTGCCTTATATAGGACCGTTTGTTGACCGGCTGACTTCTTACCAACAGAGTCCTGTGTAAAGGTGTCTTCTACTATTAAATATCAGAAGACAATAGCAGTTCATACGCTCTTTATATATAACAGCATTTTATTTGAATGGTTTGATTAGTCTCTACTAACGTTAATAATAAACATTACTTTTACTAAAAAATCACTGCTTTCTTTATCTGCACATGAAGCGAGTTACTATGGTTTCAATGGAAACGTACTTGTTCACAAGATGTAACGAAGAAAAGTATAATACTTTGCCTTTTGAAATTTTAATCATCACATGATCTGAATAGTACGCTTTTATAATAAGAGGAAATGTCTGGAAAAATCATCAGAATTGTATACTTTGGAATAACCTGAAAGCTCGGTATTTGCTTATCTAGGGGCCGGTAGCTAATAAAGAAGAATCTTTCAAGGCGCGTTGACCGTATCCAGTCCAAGATTCATCATAAACACGGACATCAGTAAACCCACACAACTCAAGAGCAACGAAGAGCACAGAGGCGGTTACGCCTGAACCACATGAGGTGATAATTGGAGTAGATTTGTCATGGAGGCCATGCTCTGCAAATATCTTTTCAAGTTCCTCTACTGGCTTGGGCTCGGTGATTCCGGGTTTTACAAGATCAGTGAAGGGAATGTTAATAGATGTTGGGATATGTCCACTGGCAATGCCAGGTCGGATTTCAGCTGCAGCACCGGTGAATCTGGGTTGAGGGCGAGCGTCAATGATGCGAGTGTTGCTACTTGAAGGATCTTTCAACACCTGAGAAATATCTTCAAATGAGGCAACCAAATTTTTGTTGAGTAAAGCATCTCCATAATTGACTTTAGCTGGGGTAGAAGGATCATCTGTTTCTAATTCATGACCAGCAGCCTTCCATTCTGCAAATGCATTTGGAAACAAAAATACATTCTTATGGCCAAAAACTTTAAAGGTCCAATAAACACGTGGAGATGAGAAAAATCCTTTTCTGTCATAAACGATTACATTTGTCTATATCGGGTTAGCATTGCTTCTGCAATTTCAAAAGACTTTACTTACGTTTCGATCGATCCCGAGATTTCCAACATACGTAGCAAACTCTTCAGCTGGAGGAAGCATGTGAGGTAGAGCATTACGATGGTCTTTGGCTTCATCAATCCCAAAATATTGAGCTCCTGGTAGTCGATTTTGAGAGAACTCCTGTCTTCCGTCCTTGGATTCCGTGGGCAAATACCAGGTGGCATCTAAAAGAACTGATTTTTGAGCTTGTTCCTTTAAAAGCTGAAAAACATTTTTGGCGTTTAGTATTGCGTTCATTCTCATGTGCGTCGTAAGCATTCTTCTCTTTACAAAGGGCTGTTTTTACTTCTCTTGTCTCTTGCTTTTTATTGTATGTATAAATAAATCATGCAATTTTCTTTGCAATATTGCTAATCCCTGCGCTCGCACAACAACAGGCGTATAATACGATACAGTATATTATATTATACTATGTTACTTCATGGGCACTTGGTGAACGTTGTAGTTTTGAGTGAACTTGGTTGGATCTACAGCTTATTTTGAAGAAATTCTATATGGATATACAATAAATTAATTAATAAATAGAGGAAAACTAAAAAAGTGCCAGGTTAATGAAGGCACTTCTGTGATGAAATGCCAGAACAACGGTATCCGAGAAAATGACTTTCTACTTCGTAAACTGACTTTTTTGTCCTTCAAAAAAAGGGTTTTCCAGACATGTCTTTATAACCATAAATCTATATATATGCGGTTTACCCGTGGACACAAAGGGATATAACATTATTTGCCAAAGATAATGATCATCGTCGTGAAAAATTATTAAATTAGGTAAAAACGAAAGTAGGATGCAACGGATAAAACAAAAAGAATCCTATATGGTATGATCATGAAACGAAACGAATATTGTCGAAAATATAAATAAAAGAACCATTCACCTTGGTTACTTGTATATATAAGAAGTTTTTCCAAAATATCTTTCCATGCATGGGAAAGAAAGCTCAAAAATCCTTCCTAAACTATTTTTCTCGTTATTTAGATACGCTATAATAATTAATAACACAAAAAAAAAATCCAAATCACTTGTACGATTATTGGAATTTGTCAGTTTAACGCCTTTGCTTAAGGCGGGCAAGTAATGTACTGGAACTAACTGGACCAGAAGTCTTAGGACTTTCAGAAGGTATATTTTTATGTGGAACACCACCAGCGGGAGAATCAGTTCTGTTCCGATTGACAGCGAGCTGTTGCCGCCGAGAATTAGCGACAGCACGAAGGGCTTCATTAGCAACTTTCGACGCTTCTTTTTCTACGAGTAAAGTTTCAGGTTGAGAAGCTTCCATAATTTCATCATGCTTTAGTGTACTTTGAATTCCAGCACTCGCAAAAATGTCCTCAAGTACAGATTCATCGCCACGTGTATTTTTGGAAGACTTATCCTTCGTAACATTAGTATCCTCTGGTGGTTTGAATTTTTCCATAGAAGCAATTCCAATTTTATCGAAAACCTTTCGATTCTTTTCCTCACTACTCTTTCCATCAACTTCTTTTCGAGATTTTTGTTTTCTACTTCCTTCCTCTTCATTACCTTTAGGGTGTTTTTTAAAGACTCGTTCTACTCCCAAAAACATGTTCCCAGTCTCTGTTCCTTCTTCCTTATCGCTACCCAAGGAAAATAAATCATGTAAGTCAGTCATTTTAAAAAATCGCCGCTGCTTTGGATCTTTCAATATCTTATTAGTTAAAAATTGCTTAAAGATTTGGCGGTGATATATTTTTTCCTCTATTGTTCCAGCAGTCATTAGGCGATACACTACAACGTCTCTTTTTTGACCTAATCTCCACGCTCGTTCACGAGCTTGAGCATCCGTAGATGGATTCCAGTCTGGGTCAAATAAAATAACACGATCGGCACCCGTTAAATTAATGCCTAACCCACCAACACGAGTCGTTAAAAGAAACACATCATAAATACCGTTCTTGTTAAAGTTATCGACTAAACCATGTCGAAGACCAATCGAAGTCCCTCCGTCCATACGGCAGTAACGAAGCCCCGGAATATCTTTGATACTGGTTTCCAAAATATCAAGCATTTGTCGAGTTTGGGAAAAAAGTAAAGTGCGATGCTTTTGCTTCTTCCAAAGCTTCAACAAAGATATTACAACCTTAAGTTTTCCGGATTTTTCGGGATCTCCATAATAATAGTCCTTTTTCTGAGACATGAACTCACGCATAACCAAATCCGGATGATTACATATCTTTCTTAAAATGTCAATTCCGTAAAGCATTTGACGTTTTCCATTTAAAATTTTTTGCATATCTGAACCATTTAAAAAGTCTTGATATGCTTTGCGTTGAAGAGGAGTAAGCTTGCAAAATAAAACTTGCTCGGATTTTTTCGGAAGGTCTGAGGCTACGTCCAGCTTCATTCTTCGTAATAAGTATGGAGATATTAAATCACGAAGCATACAAGCACACTTGTAAGCAGTTTGTACTTGAACATTTGATGCGTTTGCATAACCGCCAATATTAATTGGAAGAGCAAACTGATTTTGAAAAACAGGAAGCGTTCCTAGTCGGCCCGGAAAAACAAAGTCAAACAAATTCCAAAGTTCAATGAGGTTGTTCTGGATCGGTGTACCGGAAAGAATAATTCGATGAGGAGTTTTCACCTGCTTACAATTCACAGACATTTCAGAATCCGGGTTTCGGATCTTATGTCCTTCATCTAAAACACAATAACCCCATTCTCGTGGTAATAATAAATCACTATAAAGCCGCAATCCGGCATATGTCGTGATTAAAACATGGCCTTTAGTAAATACACTATCCACTAAAGCTTTGGCATAACTATGGAAAGACTTAGAAGCATTTGGGTTTATAACGTCTTCCGCATTATCCTCCTCTTCCAAAGACTGATACTGCCTTTTTTCTCGAGTAGCAACAGCACCGCTACCAGTGGCATGCAAAACAACGACACGTAATGGACCCCACCATTGGTGAAATTCATTGACCCATTGTTTCATTAAAGTAGCTGGACAAACAATCAAAGCCGGCTTTTCATACATCCTTGAATGATGAAGCGAAGAAATAAAAGATACAATTTGTATTGTCTTTCCTAAACCCATTTCATCACCAATAATACCTCCTGCTTCTTGGCTGTATAATTCCCACAGCCATTGCACACAAGTAACTTGATATCGAAATAAATGAGGTCGAATGTCACCAGGAATGGTGAAACCGCCTTTATAGGTTTGTCCAGCTTTAGTTGGATGTGGTTTGAACCACTCTTCTGTATCTTCTATTAACGAAGATTGAATAGCAGAACCCATTTCAGAGGAAGCCTCATTTTTTTCTTGCTTTCTTTTTTCGGTTTTTTGACGTAACTGACTACGCTCAGTACACCATGAATGTAGACGCTTACGATACACCAAATCATCGCCGTCATCCACAGCTGAAGTAGTTGCTTGTTCTGCAATGTCATCGACTTGGGCGTAATCTTCGTCTCTCTCTTGTTTTAACTCAAATTCTTGCTCTTCAGTTTGCTCGTCAATATAATTACTGGCACCAGTGTCATCAGTAACTTCAGGTTCTTCAGGTAACGTTTGGTTACTTGGCTGATTTCTATCAACGTTTGAAGCTTCTTTTTCGATACCGGAGAACCTCCCGAAAGGTGTTATCTTACCAGTACGAATCAATTCTTGGCGCTCGGCTTCTTCTAGTGCATGAGGATCGGTAAATGCAGCCTGCTGGCCTTCCCCAACGCCTTCCATGCGCAATTTAATATCATTTTCATCAGACTTCAGATTTTGAAGCGTCGAGCGAAACTTATCCAGCTGTTTTCGAAGATTTCCTTTCACACTAATTTGCGTCAAGCGACTGTCGATTCGATTTTCGAGCTGACGACTTTTTTGTTCAACAGCATGAATCTCCTTCCGTACCTTTTCTAACCTTTTTCTTTCAATTTCCCTAGTCTCACCAGCAATATATTGATCTGCTGAATTTGTCACATCGCGCTCCAAACTAGCCTGATCAACGGTGAACACTCCTAATTGGGTCAAGTCCTGATTTGATTCCATGTTCGATGAATTTTCCGTAATACTAAGGAATCATTGCTATACAAATTTACAAGTTATGATAGTTGTAACGGTGTAGAAGGCAAACACCGACTTTTACTATGACCCTCTCCAAGCAGTGCACTATGCTATGCTAGTCAAGTAACAAACCCAAAGTAACATACTAATGTCTACTACACCTGCTATTGACGCGCATCGTTTTTGAATTTGTGTTGATAGGAGTGTGGATGGGAATGGATGTCAAACATTCCTTGATCAAGAAACTTACAGATATTTATTCAATTAAAAATATTCCAAGTTTTGAAGGGAAACCATTAGGTACCGATTTTAAGGAATTCGTGAATAGCGAAGTATGGTCGAAAATTACTGCTGAGTTTTACAACTCTCTTGAATTTGAAACGGCCATTCGTTTTCGTTGTTATGAAATTAGAGTAAGAAATTTCTGTTCTGACATGTTACGAAGGTTTTTGCTGACAAATATTGCTATTAGTCTGAAAATCAAAATTTCGAAGAGAATGTTAAGGAGCTATTCTTAATCCTAGACTTGTTGGTTGTTTTAAATGAAATCGACGCTTCCTATTGTGATGCAGTCTTTCCATTCTTAATCATAGAAGAGTTAATGGATATCCATAGTCTAATGGAGTGCCGAAAATTATATGAATATTTTGAAACAAGATCGGTTCTTTTGGATGGGTTGGTTAGTAATCGTGGCCGAGGACCTGTTTTACTGCGTATTTCAAATGAATTACTGCGAAGGCTTTCAGGGCAAGTTGATCCTGCTTTATGTGGACGCATTCATATCTTACTCAGTAAGGCTTTCGCACCTGAAGAAAGAAGTGGATCTAATATTCGTGGTGATTATAATCTGGAAAACCCAGTCGTCACTACCAAAATTTCATCACCAAATATCCCTGTGTCGGAAGGAAACGAAGCGTCTTACTCGCGGAAAGTGCATGATTTATACCAGGTGTTTTGGGAATTGCAAGATTTGCTTGTCCAGCCACCAAAAATTGCACAGGATGCGGGTAGTATGCAAAAATTTTTGAATTCCACAAATGTTATTTTAGAGTCGTTTGAGGCTATCCAGAAAAACACATTCTTTATAGAGAATCCAAAGCCTACGATAAATCCTACGTCCAGTGCTTTGCTTCCGGAAAAATACACAGTTATTAACGATAACATATGCCCAAACTACATTCGTTCCCTTCCCCTTTTTGATTTTCAACTGATAGACGAAACATTCCGTCTTCAATTTATGCTTCAAGTTATCGTTTTGTGTGATTTCCTTTTAGATTTTTCGAAAAAACGATTAGATTTACGTCGAACTCGACCATTCACAAATAAAGCTGTCACGCCTAATACAAGCTTATCGGATGAAGACGTATGTCTTTTGACTTTATACTATTTGAATTATTAACTTGCTGTAGGAAAAGAATGTTTCTGCTATACTCAACCGAATTTATGCTCTGTTAAAAGAAATAAAAAATGGCGATTACGTAGAAACAGTTACTTCGGTTATGAACGTGGAAAACAATTGGAAAAATTGGAAAGGATTTGGTTGCCTATCGTTTGAGAAGCCTTTGCTCGATAAATCTGTTTTGGATGAAGCTGTTGCCGGTTTAAAAAAGGTTGCAAGTACTCCTCCTAAAATCCGTTATGCCATGGGTAATGCTCCGCTTACCAAAATATGGCAGAATGCTGGAGAAAATTCTTTAGAAGATTTGAAAAAAGAAGAAAGATATAAAATACCAACTCCTCAAAGCTTTCTTCCTGGTGTAAAGCGTGATTCTGACGAAATGGAAGAATCGGTAAAGGAGGATGAGCAAGAATATTATCGACAGGCAAAAGCTTCGAAAACCTGGCTAGCATTTCGTTCTGCGATCAATTCACATTTGGAGGCGTTTGAGTATACTGGACTCGGTGATTTAGAGTTATTAACGCAGGCTATTGAAGGTAATACGCAATTACGAAAACCTACAACAAATATTAATCCTGCATTCGACATAAATATTGTTGAAAAAGGTGATGAAAAGTTACGGGAAAGAGTGATAGAAGAAGAGAAAAAGCAGGAAATCCAAGAAGCAACGTCGATGGATGAAGACAAAGGCTCAGAAGGTAAAGGAGAGCAGCAAGTTGAGCCTGCAGATAAAGCAGAAGAAGCGAAGAAACCGAGTGACCGAGAGAATATATCTACGGACTCCAAAAAGGAAAATGGAGAAGAGACTAATGGAAATGAAGATGGAAACAAAACAGATATCACCGATGATAAACCAAATTTAGTACCGGAAGAGGAACCTCTTAAAGAAAACGCTCCTTCTGTTAAAGCTTCTCCATCTACAAATAAAGAAGAAACGAAAGAAGTTCAAAATCCCGAAATTTCAGAAAGTAAGAAACGTTTCCGAGAAGAGGGGGATAGCAATGAAGAAAATGCTAGTTCAAGTCCAAAGCGTCAAAAAACGGAAGATAAAATTGATACGGAGAACTAGTTGAGGTTTAATGTAAGTAAGCATGATATGGAAGCTATTCGTCATACTCATTTTAATTAATGTCTTTTGTTACCTTTTAGAGGTTATGGCAATCAGTAATTTAAAGGTTTTTTTGATTCACATCTTGAGTTTCTATGCTGTATTCGGTTAGCCGATGAAAACAGAAGAATGGATTGTTTATTTACCCAACTAAAACTCATATTATTATCCATAAATTTTCTCTTATGTAGGTTCATGATTTTCTTTTCGGAAAGGACATTCAAATATGGAAATCCTAGAAGCAGCCAAAACATAGAAAAGACGGATAGTACTGAAAGAAACTAATATTTTAAAGTAAGCATCATTAACTACAGTAATATACCTACCACTAAAAGATATTCGATGTCAATGAGTTTTAACTCCAATGAAATTTCCATGAGCGCAAATATTGCAGTACCTCCATAAGCTAACGCAACAGGTGTAATAGTAATCATTTTTATCATTATATATTCAGGGTATCAAAAATTAGACTTTTCGTTAGAGGAAAGTTCAGATATGCAACAAAACATGTTCGCCCAGACATAATACAAACAAGGCACCTCCCAATGTAAACAAAGTCTGAATAGAACAAAACAATGTATAAAATCGTTAAATTTCAACTCATTGCTAAAAGAATACTTTTTTTATAATTATTTAAGCTGCATAAGTTGGCACAAGCAATTTTTTAGTTTTTAAGAGGATTACGGAAACCGTAACTAGAGCTGAAACAAATATCAAACAAATCAAGTTACTTTTCTGTCTTCGCTTTCATATTGATAGGGCAACTTGTTAACGGTCCATGCTTGCTCTCCCAGCATTTTCGAAACTCCTCCATCTAATATACAAGGTTAAAACCATGACTCCAAAAACTACCTTTAGTATTACTTCTTTTGAGCATTTTCTCCAATCATGCTTATCCCAATAGCAATCATTAAGTCTCATATGCTCCTCAACACATCCTCCCTTTTCAAGAGCTGTGTCCCAAGCATCCTTCTCATTGTCTATCTGTGAGTTGCCGTTGGCATCGGGAGACAAAGTCATATTTAGTTCTTCCGTTTTTTTTTTAAAAACAATCTAAAATAAATAAAATTACTGGATACCCGAATTTCAAAGCAAAAATAAAGTGTTCAAGTGAATGTTCGAGTAAAGTAAGAGAGTAAGTGAAAGGTGAGCTATCATCAGGCGCTCATGAGAATACGTGCATACTCGTCAACTAATCGTACAAATTATACCATGGAAATAACCAAACATTTATGAAATTATTTCTTTCTCTTTCTTCTTTTTTTACCGAGAATTCTGCGATGAATATTTCGGTTGATTTGGAGAAATTGGTTGAGCAACAGCAGGGGTAGGTGTAGAAGACGACGCGTTATCATCAGCTGTACTGGAGGATTGTTTAGCATTAGAAGGCTTTTCTGGAGCATTCTTTCCATGCATGACTAGATCTGCCAATTTCGCATTTCGTGTTTCTTGATCTGGTCCTCCTAAGGAACGTGGTTTTCCCCATTGAGCTTTAAGACGAAAACCCTCAATAGATAGATCCCCATTAGGACAAGATGCTGCTGCGATTTCAGCACTTAACCTGCTTTTATAATTGACAAAAGCACATTTCGCACGATGAGAACAAACAACAGACTTTAAAGGACCAAACTGTTCAAAGTGTTTTCGAATTTTGTAATCCGGAAGTTCATCTTCAACACCCATAATGAAAAGGGAGGCCTAATAAACAGTTAGTTGCTACTCTGGATTCCGGTGAACTACTTACAATTTTTTTATCCTTAGGTGGTTCCATGTCTACTGAGAGCAAGACACGGCCATTTACAATCTTTTTTATAGGAAAAAGAGACTTTTCAGAGCTTTTTAAAGTGTCACTTGCTTTAGCATCCTTCAATAGTTGTTTAGATTCTTGTTCGTCAAACTTCTTTCGCGAAGGTTTTTGGTAAGGTTCTCGTCGTTCAGTCTTCCGAACCAAATTCCTAGCGACTGCACTTGACTCTTGACTATCATATGGCGTTTCTTCGTTTTTCAGAAGTCTCTGTTGGTTTTGAGCAAAAAACTCTCGGTTAATGTCGTTTGTTGGCCCGCTGTCCACCATTTTTAGAGCTGCATCCCGTAAAGCAATCTATTGTTTAGTTAGTTACTCATAATTTAGATGCTAAATTGACGACCATCACATACCGGTAACCCAAACTGTAAATCGAGCATACATGCTTGACAGCAATTTTTTAGTCTAGCACAACCAACACATATTTGAGTTTTTCCTCTTTTTCTTTCTCTCGAGCTTGACCACCGGAATACTGTGCATGGCCGCGAACATATTTTGCATTCTTGTCCTAAAGGTTCACGAGTCATACGAACGTACGCATTATCTCCTAGACATCGCTCGCAAATACTTGGAAATTCAACATCTTCCCATTCAGCTTTATTAACGTCGCGTTTTGGTACCAAAGACATTGTGAAAACGACGAATGGTTATGTCGTGGAGTTACACAGGTTGTACTTGGTAAACTAACAAACTACTAGGTGAATGAATTTGTTTCCTATTGAAAAGACTAATAAATATAAGCTGAATTGTATTTTATTATTCATAATACTTAAATATATTCTTTAAATTGCTATAGATCAAAATTTTACATATACAAAGATGGGCAAAAAACGATATTACGCCGGATGAGATTTTGGCATTCTTCCATTTTAGAGTACATTGAAGCATCACCTACAACACGGGCTGCACCACGGCATTCTCGAAGGACTTCGTCAAGGCGGATAATTGTTCTAACAATGGAGCCTTCCAATATATCTGTCAAGTCCGTGATTCGGTTAAAGGACATACCTCTTGCCCATTCATAACAAACTTCCATCAAACCAAATCGTGGTTGCGATTCGAAATCATTTCCCTCATTAAAGTATAACACTTGATGCTTTTCCTGAATGCGATTGACTCTCTCAGCGACTTGAAGAATCATTTCTTTACCCTCTTGTAAATGAGAAGAGATATTGGGTTCGACGTCGGTTTTCTCATCGAAAACAAATGCGGAAAGTAAGGCTATAGTCTCTTCACAAGAAAATTCACCCAAACTATTTTCTAGAATCAATTCTGTCAACACCAGTTCGCTCGTAGAGTTTATTTCACAAGCAACTCGGCCCTTCAATAAAACAGTCCTATTTTCATCAATATATTGAAGTTCTTGGAGTACCCGAATTCTTTGTTCGTAATCTGGAAGTAGTTCAAGATTTTGATCAGAAATGAATTCCCTCAAATTGCTGATATTGTTTTCCAAATCGTATTCCTGGAAGCATAGTGCATATTGTGTGACGAAATTATTTTGAAGCAATGGCTCATAAGACATAAGTTTGTGACTAACAAATGTTCGCTTCTCTTGAGCTTCGCAGAAATCAAAATCTTTCACTTTGCTCCAATCCGCCTCATCAAATAAAGGATCATTGAATCCCTTTACCGAAGCTAACTGATCGCTCAATCTTCTAAATGCTCCACCTCGACGGTCACGGATACCTCCACAATCGATACGCAGAACCGTTGCACATACACGCTCAACGCTAGAAAGACTAACAAGCCCAAATTTAAACTGACTATCAAACAAGGAAGCGTCTATTGTTCCTATAAATGGTTCAGTAAAAGGTAGTAAATCTGAAGGACGTTTCATCGCATTTTGAGGTGTCAAATAAGCGACTTCTAAGGTACAATCTGCACTAGTAGTGCGCGTCACTGTTCCTAGTAGTACACCAATGCTGCGAGTACTATCGGGTTGTTGATAGACAATTAATCTCCCATCACGGAAGACACGTCTACCTGTAGCCGTAGAGATAGCTTTCAAATGCAATTTCCGGGTAAATGCTTTATAGCTTTCACTTTGATAAATGCACTCTTTCATCATTTGAATATCTATGTCGTTAAGCTCTTTCTTAAGTAGTGAAAGCTTCTCTTCGTTGGATTTGATCTCAGCCTCATGTTGGGGCAACAATGACTGATTTGCATTTTCACTGAAACTACGTTTGATCATGTCCTCAATCCTCAATGTTTCAACACGTAGTAAATTTAGGACCATGTTATATGTCAGCCTGAACTGACTAATTAGTTTTGTTGAAGGACCAAGGATCATGTGTCGTAGACTGGCGGTATCTGGTAGTTCGGCTCGAGACAAAATAATTACTGTTCCAGTAACATCCAAACCACGTCTTCCTGCTCGACCTGAACATTGAGTATATTCACCAGGTAAAAGCTCGCGGAAACTTCGTCCATCATGTTTCTGAATGCCGGAGAAAACAACAGATCGTGCAGGCATATTAACACCCATCGCAAACGTTTCCGTTGCATAAAGAATTTTCACGAGTCCCCGCTGAAACAAAAGCTCTACTATTTCTTTAACAATGGGCAATAAACCACCATGATGTACCGCAAGGCCCCTCGAAAGCATCTCACGCATACGACCAATTTGAGGAAGTGTTCTGTCTTCCTTCTTCAAACGGGCTACGGCCTTTTCAATGACAATGTGGACTTCACTTTTTTCTTGGTGGTTATTCAAATCCCTATTAGATAAAGTATCAACGTATTCTTCACAGCGCTTTTTTGAAAAAACGAATATAATTACTGGTAATAACTTGTTCTTCTGAAGATAGCCAGCTAAGTGCACCCAAGTATTTGCATCTCGTCGTTCAACTGATTTGACATTGCCTCTTCCACGCATCAAGTTAACTTGAGTTCCTCTTCCACGAGGAGTGCCACCACGACCTCTAGCATTGTTGTTATTTGAAGGAGGTAAAATCTTATCCGGTTTTTTAAGCGCATCATTCGCAGATTTGTATCCATCCATTAGGAACCGGCCATGTTGGTCAACTACCTTATGGACGTTATTTTTGACCCATAAGTAATGCTCAAGAGGAACCGGTCGTTTGGAAGTAGAAATCACATAGATATTTTTCTTTTTAGTACGTCCGACCCATGAAGCAAACTCTTTTGTATTTGGAACAGTAGCAGAAAGAAGGATAACAGTTATATGAGGAGGAAGCATAATAATAACTTCTTCCCAAACAACACCTCTCTCCAAATCATTAACATAATGGACTTCATCGAAAACAACAAACTCGACATCACGGATCAAATCAGCACCACGATACAACATACTTCTTAAAATTTCTGTAGTCATAATCAAGCATGATGCTTCTGGATTAACCTGAACATCTCCTGTAAGGATACCCACATCTTCAAACTTTTGCTTAAAGTCACGAAATTTTTGATTTGACAGTGCTTTAATGGGTGAGGTGTAGATGGCTTTAGTCATGTGCTTTTGAGCGAGTGCTATAGCATATTCAGCTACAACCGTTTTTCCCGCACTAGTATGTGCAGCCACAAAGACGGAATCACCCATTTCCAGATGGTAAACAGCCTCCTTTTGAAAATTATCTAGTTCAAAAGGAAAGTCGAGCGCCATCTCAGGTACCAGTTGGTGGAAGTTATCGATAGTAGTGTTACTATCTACAACGTGAGCATAGTCTTTTCGTTTGGAGACACTGCCACTTGAAGAAGGAAGGGCAACGATGGTGCTCTTGTCGGGAAGTAAATCGTCAATTTCAGTATGTTTTGAGTTGATATTTTTCAAGTGTTCATTTAGTTCATTAAGGGTAGTAAATTTTTGCATAGAAGGTCGTACTTGTTTTGTCTCCCAAGTATCAGGATTGAACTCATCATTTAAGATATTACCTTCAACGGATTTATTCATAACCAACCCTCTAGAAAACCCAGGAGGAACTTGATACAGACCATCTTCTCCTTTTAAGGGCATTTGCACCGGTTTAGGGGCTGCTATTTCCTGGGGATTGTCAGGATCATCAGTCAAAAATGGTATGTTATTTGTGCTGCCTCGTACAAACTCGCTTTTGGATGCTGGTTTTCTCAGAAAACTTGAAGAGTTTTTTGCATTTAGATCAGCGATGTCTTCAGAGACTTCTTTGTAATCTATAATATGACCTTCCAATCCCTGTCTGCGAAATTGCAAATTTGTACGGGATATACTCTTGGGAAAATCAAAAAGAACACTAGAGTCTACCTCGTTTTCCCATTGCTTTTGTAATTTTTTAACCCATTCATGGGAGAATGATTTTGAAGGTCTAAGAAAGGATTCAGATTCATGATGCAGATCTAACGATGGAGCGAACTTACCTTCGCTCATACACTTTACAGTATTCAAATTTTCTCTAACATGTTTTAGCTGACTGCAAGCATGAATATGACTCAAAAGGTTTTCAGACATGGATGTTTGTAAAGTCGTTCCTGGCTGCGGTTGGAAGCTACTACCACTGAACAGTCTTCCAAACTAGAACAGTTATGCTTCCTATTAATGAAATAGTGTTTTGGCTACTCGTTGATAATGAAAGTACATTATATTAATATCAAAGTTGTTAAGATTAGTGGTAAAGCGAATATGAGTCCAGAATGCTTGGTATAGCTTTCATGAATTAGCTTTTTTAAAAAGTAGACATTCCAAACTTGTGTAGTATACAAACATTGATTATAATAAAAGCCACAATTACGACGTTCTGCGAGAAGACACACGCATGCTAAATACAATACTTTTGGTCAGGAAAGACGGTTGAGGAAATGCATTGATATTATTACTATTGATTCGTTTAAGGTCATTCAAAATTCAGAAAACATCTAAGTTTGAAATGTGTTTAGAATTATGCAAGATTATAAGAAACTAACGAAGGAACTTGGAGTAGAATGATTGCTTTTCTAACGTAGTTGAAGAACTCTGGTATTTCAAGATCAGGCCTCTCATATAAGGTACAACCATTTCGTATTTAGAGATTATTAATCCTTATTGGGACCTAACTTTGGTAAAGCAATATCCCAAGGACCATGAATTTCGCTGTTAAAAATCGTTAGCTAAAATCGAAGTTAAAAAACGAGCATACTTTTTGAATCTTTGAAGCTTTATAAACCATATAGGACAGACAAAGGATATGAAAAATATGGAGGAAAGAAAAACGAAAGCTATGATTACGGATGCAACCAGATAGAGGGACAAATAGGCGGTCATTATAAGTACAAGAGTCATGAGCATATCCGCGTAAAAGGAGTAGAACTATAACTGTTAGTATGTATCAGCAAAGAAACGGAATAATGAAATAAGAAAACTTACATGAATGTATTTTCGGAAGATAGGAAACAGCGCAAACCAATGAACGGCATAAAGCACAAAAAAGAAGACATCAATTGATCTATCCAAACGAGAAGCCAGAACCACAGAAGCACTTAAAGCAGCATTTGTTGATAATGAATTATGGAGCCTAGAGATAGAAGGTTAATGAAAGAAGTTTCCAAGTCTCAACTTACCGTACATGCGGTTGGATACTATCCGTGGCGTATTCATGAAAGAATATATTTGCCAGAAAAAGCCATACAGCGATTGCCCACACAGAGTCCTCAGAAGTTGATTTTGTGAGCGACATGAGGATGGGCGATAAACCAACAAGAGTTAGGACTATCAATATACAAGATTTAATTAATCCAGCGTAGTTAAGAAAGCATCTGCTTTGACAAGGTTTGCTCAGTACCAAGTCCCAGAGTAGGAAAGCACAAACGGCACTAACATTGGATGTTATTCCAACAATTCCGCAAGACAACCGTTTTCTATGAATTGCGACAAAAACAGCAGCAAAAATTACCACGCTAGACAAGTGCTGAGAGATTGGTAGGCTGTCAGCCACCAGCGACCAAAAGTCAGATACCTGAATGTTGACATTTCGCTGCAAGCCGCTCAAGAAGGATCGATCGATATAATTATCTGGATAATGTTGTTTTCTCCATAAAACTTTCTTCCATGGCTTTCTAAGGTGCAATTCATTGTCTGTTGGTTTCGGCTTCGTGTATGGATGTAACAATAATGATGGAAGCACTTTTTTAGGTGCTGGAGCAGCGCAAACGTCTTCCATAGATCCTAAGTTATCTTTTAAATTATATAAACATTTATAATCCGACAGTCGCCTCAAAAGTATTAACCCGACATAAGCTTGAAATAGGGAAGCACTTGTTTGTTTGGGAGACTTGCAGAGAAGGGAAGGGAGGTAAGAACAGCAGAGGAAAAGTCAAGTTGCAAAACCAAAGAAAAGAAAAGATTCAGTTGTTGTTGTTTTTTTCTTTTTGTCTTCGTTTTTTTAATTCTTTTTCTCCTAAGAAACTTCAAAGGTTTTCATCTGGTTTTTGTTGCAGGAAATTCCCACTTGACAAACAAGTAAACAAATGAATTAACTTGAACGTTTGCTGGGTTTTCTTGGAGCCTAACAATTCTAGAATTATTTTTTTTATTTTTATTTTTCAAAAGAAAAGAATTGGTTTGGTTATTCTACTATTATCGTGAATTGGTTTTTGGGTTACATATGGCAAGACGCGTATAATGGAAGTAATCTTCACTTGGACAGCACTATAAATAAAATAATTTATAGCTTTGCTTTTTCTTTTCAAAATGAAGCAGTATATGAATCAATTGTGCATTTTTTTAAAGATACAACATATCTGGAAAGGAGGAAATCATATTATAGTAAGCGATTTCTTGTTTCCATCCTGAACGCGCCTTGTTGAACTAGGTCACTGAAACGTTGTTGCTAAAGAAAACCAAAAGAAAAAAATACAAAAAAGGTTGAAAGGATAGGTTTTTTTTGGGATCTTGGGTTCAGAATTGGTTTAGTCGGTGGAATCCAATTGGTTTGTCTGTCATAAAACTACAAAACAGAATCGTATGGAAGGAGACACGCGGATTGAGGAAACTGCGGAAAAGCAAAAGTTTGTGTTACAATATGTAATGAATCGAACATTTGGTGTTGATGAGGATGTACTACAAGGATTGATTCAGGATTTATTTGGTGAATCCGCGTCGTTGAGTCATATAATGAATGAAATAAATAAAAACATTCACAACTACGATTTCAAACTCCAAAAAATTCAGGACCAGCTCGATGGACGGCCGACATGGCATTTCCAAAACGTGTCCGGTGATCCTGTTTCGCAAATGGCCACGCCGTACTCAACGAGTCAAATTGAGTTGATGCGAAGAATAATTGATTGGATTATGCGAGCGGATGAGTACCAGTATTCGATAGGTACACTGCAGATACACAAATACGCTCGTCGAGATTTGTCGCTGGCACCGTCCGTGGTAGAAGCCTACCTGAGTGCGTTTGAACGAGACGGTTGGTTGAACCATCGCGAAGGAGTATGGACATTTACAAACCATGCGCTTGTAGACATGGAAGCTTACCTACACAACGAGTATGAAAGCAGCTTGTACGAATGCAATGCTTGTCGGGGGATTGTCACAGCGGTATGGGTTAAAAGGGATTGATTTTTATTATAAAAGATAGTTTACTGACATTTGACTTTTAGGGCTACGTTTGTGAATGTGGTTACTGTCTGCATGTATATTGCTGCAAACACTTGGCTTACGTTTCATGTCCAAATTGTGAGACTAGTTGGACAGAGGCCACAAAGATCGGAAGATGGTAGGATGGTTCACATGCGACTACAAAAAATATGTAATGAATGAACAGACAGATATATAGAGATGAAAAAAAAATTGTATTTCTTGTGTGTATACGTTGATTGTATATGTGTGTGGAACACAAAGATGATCGTAAGTGAACCGAAACTCATAAAAATCATGAGGTCTTGGAGAAACTCTGAAGGATCCATGAAAAACAAGATCGAAGAGAGGAGGAAGAGGAAACGGAGGATGACAAGGAAACTAAGGTATCCGGTCGAACGGAAAACCCAACCGAGTTCTTTCCAAAAAAAAAAAGAAAAAGAAATCCTATTGTAGGTTGTGAATGTTTTGTACTTTATTCGAACGAAAATTGAACGAAAAAGAAACGGAATTGGATTCGAGGATATGATTTTTTTGTTTTTCCCAAAATGTATTATTCAATTAAAAAGATAAAGGGTAATGAGTAGGAGAGGAAAGAGGAAAGAAACCAAGGCGAGAACATAAATGCATCAAGACGGTTTCTTGAATAGGTTTTAGAGATTCTATGGAAGAGATTGTTTCCGCTGGAAACCATATAGATTTCCCATTTACTCCTTTATAACAGCCAACAATTCATGATCACGGTAAAGGCTATATTCCTGCTCGCCAACTTTGATGTTGCTTCCACCGAAGGCAGGTAACAAGACACGATCGCCTGGAGCAACACTAGGAGGAGTGAGAGTACCGGTCTTGTTCATCAAGCCTTTTCCGGTAGCAATGACACGGCCTTCGGACAACTTTTCGAGGCTCTTTTCAGGCAAGAAAATGCCGGAAGCGGTCTTGGGATCAGCCTTGACACGTTGAACAAGGATACGGTCCAAAAGAGGAACGATCGACTTTGCACTCTTTAATGTGGTAGCCATTGTGGTATAGTTATCGTTTGTTAGTAAGTCTTCAAAAATTAAAACGCGATTTTCGCTTGGATGTTTTCAAACAAACAGCACTTTTGTTTCCGAGTTGGTTTTTGGTAAGTTGGAGCAAGAACCGAGTGTTGCTGTTGTCTCCTCTCCTTAAAAGCACTTTGCAAAGCATCTGGAAAATTCGAGCATGAACCAATTACCATCCATCCATCAAGATCACTGAAAGAAAGGATACTGCGGTGTTTCGTTGTACTGTGAACAACGAAGAACAAGATACTGATTGATAACATGTCTCGTTCCTAGGGGATTGCCGATAAGTAAGAGACGTGTCGTTATTGGAAATACAGCGGTCTTCCAAGAAAATGCAACGTAATGCAACGCAATGCAATATAATGCACTTTTCCGTGTCGGAGAAGTTCGTTCTTATCTTATCTTATCAAATTGTCGAAAGCAAACATTGGGTTTTACTTGCCCGAATCGCTTAACCCGCGTTTCTTTGTCAAAGAATTAGATAAAACTCCGCGACGATGACGTCTACAAAGGCAAACCTAACAGAGTTATTGATCCAAACGATTGGTACAACAATCGAGGAGCAGCTGATAAATGTGGAGTCTGGTGACCCTGGTGTTACCTATTAGCAGCTCCACGCATGTTAAGGTTGGTTATCTTTGATTAAGGTTTTCCGAAAAAGCTAACCCAGAAAATGATTTAAAAGGCATCAGAAGGACCGAATTGAGAGACCCTTCTCTTTGGTATTTGAAAAAAGAGGTTTAGAACAAGTGTAAACATCGAATTGGCCTTTACAATCTTTCTTGTTGTTTTGTAAGGTAGTTAGTTAGTTTTCTTGAAACTTGACTTTTATATATTTTTATTTTTGTTTAGAAATTCTTTGATTGATTCAACATGACGATCGAATGGCAAACCATCTCTGCACAGTACTGCGCAAAGCGTGACAGCACGATTCCTGAATCGATGAAGTTGAAAAGCGTTGCTGGTATGGATGCATTGAATGTTACGAATGTGCCCAAAACTTGCGGTCTTTTGACTCCAAGAGAGTTGGAGCTAACCGAGAAGTATGACGCTACGGGCTTGGCCGACTTGATTAAACAACACAAAACGACAAGTAAGGAATTAGTGGTGGCCTTTTGCAAGCGTGCAGCCATTGCTCAACAATTGCTTAATTGCGTGACCGAATTGTTGCTCGATGAGGCCCTGGAACAAGCTACAAAGCTTGACGAACATTATGCAACGACCGGTGAACTGGTCGGTCCTCTGCATGGTGTTCCCATATCCGTTAAGGAACACATCAGTCTGAAGGGACATACCGCAACAGCTAGCTTTTTAGCAAAGGTGGACGTAGTTGCAGAAGAGGACGCAGATATCGTTCATACGATCCGTAAAGCAGGCGGTGTATTTTTTTGTCGTACTACTCAACCCCAAAGTCTTATGCAATTGGAAACGTCGAGTCGTTTGACGGGTACCACCGTTAACCCCTTCAACCGAAAACTCACCGCGGGTGGCTCTTCCGGTGGTGAAGGTGCCCTTTTGGGAATCCGAGCTTCTGTCATGGGTATTGGCAGTGATATTGGTGGTTCCATCCGTTCACCTGCTGCCAATAATGGCTTTTATGGTTTCCGTCCTTCCACCCTTCGGTTATCTCGAAAAGGCTGTCAAGGTGCCGTAAAGGGCCAAGAATCCATCCTCGGTGTTGTGGGTCCTCTGACACAGAGTGCTCGGGATTTGAATTTGTTTATGAAAGCTTGTATGGAAGAAAAGCCTTGGTTGGAAGATGCTTCTGTCGTGCCTCTTCCCTGGCGCACCCCAAATTTGCCTGCCAAAATAAAAATCGGTGTTATGCGTAACGATGGTGTAGTTACCCCTCAGCCTCCTCTCCAGAGAGCCTTTGACATTGTCCTAGACAAGTTGAGAAACTCTTCAGACTATGAACTGATTGATGTCGAACCATATAAGCACAAGTATTCGTGGGACCTTATTTCCGAGCTCTACTGGCTTGATGGCGGAAAAGCAAACTATGACTTGTTTGCAAAGGTTGGCGAACCCCTAGAACCAATGACCGAATGGATCATGAAGCAGCCCACTGTAAAAGATCACGACGTCGCTGGCGTTTGGAAGCTTGTAGCGGAGCGTGATGAATACCGGAATCAATACATCAAGCATTTGCAGACGTACGGAGTCGATTTCCTCCTGTGCCCCGCTGGTCCCGGTCCTGCACCCAAGCTGGGAGAGGCGAAATACTGGACCTATACTTCCGTTTGGAATTTGCTTGATCTTCCTTCTGCCGTTTTTCCCGTGACCAAGGTGGATACAACCTTGGATGTCAAGGATGAATCTTACAAACCCATGAATGATGATGATGCCTTCCAGTATCATACCTACAAGCCAGAAGACTATAAAGATGCCCCTGTTGGTTTGCAACTCGTCGGAGCCCGTTGGGAAGATGAGAACCTCTTGGCAGCCCTTGAACGACTTGTGAAAATACTCTAAGTCTTTTTTTTTGATGATGTATTTTACTTAATCTAGCTATGTATAGAACGACATTTATGACTCCTTTCGTTTAATGAATCATGTCTACTTTTCAAATTTTCAATACAAACTCATCCATGTTTCTTTAGGTTTTCCTATTGTCTATAGAAAGACATGAATAGGAAAATACAACGGCTGCAATGTAAATTTTCCATCAATCCATTCCTTAAATAGAGAAGCTTAGCTTTCCATTTTAATGTTTATTTTTTTTTGAACATGGAAAATTCCTTCTTTTTAAAACACACATTCCACTTGTATTCATTCACATATCCCCATAGTATCCTTACTGCACACTGTTTCCAACTTGTTTATGATGTACAATTCATAGTTGGATTTGTTTACACATTATGTCATTACTAGAAGAGAGGAATGAGAGAAGAAAAGTCATAAAGCACTGGGCATGAAAGATTATTTTTTCTTTATTGTGTATTTTTCTTTCTTTATTTACTTCTTTCTTTTTGCTTCACATAAGCATTGAAATGGAAGTTGTTGGAATTCAAGTTTTGTGGCTAAGGCATCCCAAGTACTGCCCGTCGGCCATGGTTTCGGGCAAAGAGAATTGACCGGTCGAGTCATTGCCTTTTATTCTTATAGCTATACATAATCTGTATATCAAAGCATTCTTATAAGGTTTATATTCTAGCTTGAATCATTCAAGCTAGAATATATATATTTAGAGAAAGAGAGTATAGAGGACTAAAGTTGGATTCAATTACATATTCAACTTGAAAAGTACAAGAAAACAAAGAGCTAGTGAGTTACCCTTCATTAAGAATAACTGAAATAGGATTGTATTGTATTATATTGTTTTTGCTACAGTTGTTGTTTTTTTATCAAAGGTATTTGAAGTTTTCAACTTGCAAGTTTGCCGTCCATCCATTGAAGAACTGTTCAATCAATTGGTTTTAAATTTATTTTTTACTGTCATTGTGATTTTGATTGTGCCTGTGATTGTTTGAAGATCAAGTATGACAGCTCAACGGGTGGCAGCAAAAGATTACAAGAGGGCTGCTTCTGTCTTGGTGGAAGCCTTTTATGACGATCCAGTGTCTCTTTACTTGTGCCATTGTAGCAATGACAAAGAATATAGAAAGCTGCTTCAGGACATGATGGAGTACATTGTGTATGCGCACATCATGCGCGGCATGGTCTTGCAAGCGGATGATTTCTCCGGTATTTCCTTGTGGATGGGGCCTGGAAATAACATGGATGATTGGTATTCAATTTTACGAAGTGGCATGTGGAGACTTAATTATCAATTGGATGCGGAAGGCCGCCATCGATTCTTCCGCGAGTTTCTGCCCATACTTCATGATACAAAGGCGGAAATCCTCCAGCAAAGAGATGATTCTTCCTGGTACCTAGTGTACATTGGCATTCTACCGAATAAACAAGGGAAAGGTTGCTTCCGCAGACTTGTACAACCTATTATGGATCTCTGTAACCAACAGAATCTTCCTATCTATTTGGAATCCAGTCATCCTCACAATCGTGCTATTTACGAGCATTTTGGATTTAGACTCCAAAAAACAATTTTTCTAAAGCGCGAAACAAATCATATTCCCCTTGAAATCATGGTTCGTGAAGCAGATCCTTTGCTCGGCTCCAACACAAATCCTTCACAACCTGTTAGCACTCCTGCTAGTCCTTCAAATCATAATAAGAGCAAGGCCATCTCTATCCCTATAGCTTCCGTTTACTAAGCTTTCCATTACACCGATCATGACATGCTTTTATTTTTGTTGTACCGTCACGGCGGTTTTCGTTTGAGTTTTTTATTTATAAATGATTTTACAAGTTACGAATATAAATGACCTTCAGTATCTCCATAAACAAAAAGGTGGTCGTCTGGTTTTTTTCTATTTTTCGTAACCTCCGTACAAGCATACCATCCTTCGGTAGGAGATGCAATTTTAACCGGCCCAAAATAGATCTGTATAAAAATAGTCTTTCATTTTCATTCTTATGAATAAATTCAATCCAACTACTTTGTAATCATTGCATATAGTCATTCCGTTTGTACACTGCGCTGTTCCCTAACTGAACACTGTTTCGGTTCCGCAGACGAAAGTAAAGAACGCCGAGAATTGATTCATTTTTTTCAAATTTGTACTCGTCTTTCCATATTTCCAATTTTTATCGTATTTGAGACTTTATATATTGTACTCTTGAAGCTATATCATCTCTTTTTTTTCTCGTCGTTGAAATTGCAGGTCATTGTAAGTTTATTTCTCTGGTTATATATTTTTCGATTTGTTAGAACTTCTCTTTAAATTTTTTAAGATCATGTCTACTGTGAAGGCTCATCTACTCTCTGAGAAAAACTCCTCACAGTCTACGGTACGATCCACAGGGTCTGAATTACTAGACGATGTATTGAGAGTACTCCTTTGGATTGCACCTTGGTATACATGTTTAAGTACATTGTTTTTCGCATGGTTAACTGTTCTTTATCCACGACCTACGCTTGCATGCTCGATATCTGCTTGGCTTTTCTGGTTTACAAGTATGAGAAATATAAACCACAGTCAAGGAACTTCTTTTAGCCAAGAATATGAAAAAGAAGCCAAGAACGTGTCAAATGAAGATACTTCTGAATCTGAGCATCCAACGACTGACCCTGAGGAACAAACCGTGCACATTGATTCGGACATGGACGACGAGACATATGGTCAAGGTGCCCCCGGCTACCAGCTACTTCACGGGAAACGGGGTCATGGGAGAACGCCAAGCATGGATCTGCATTCTTCTAGTGATCCATCCTCCCACCACAAGCCAAAAAAGAAGACACAAAGGTCTGATAGCATAGGTGAAGAGTCTCACGAAGAAAAGGCATCAGTCACTGAGGATGGATTACAAAAGGCTGGTAGGCTTTCTATTTCAAAAATTGTAACGGATCACCTAATTCGCAAAGATGATTACCCGGTGGAAACTTCTCAAAAGATCAATCAAGGACCAATATTTGTGAAATCATCCAATGGTCCAACTCTTCTGGACGCATATTTTGAACCTGTTCAAAATTTATATCGATATTCTCAGATGTCAAATACGTTGTTCTTCAGCTACCTTCCATTGGTTACAGCAATATTTATTTTCTTTCTGCCTACTCAAGCTTTATTTATATTTCTGTCGTCGGTTGTGCTTGCATGGCATTCTCCTCCCATGAAAGCAGTTTCGCTCGCCGTTGCCCGAATCTCTGTTTTTAGTTCACTTTCAGAAAAATTCGTTTTCGGAAAAATTGAAAATGAGAAGGAAGAAGAGGAGGGTCAGTTGGAAGAACCTCCATCGATTCCCGGGGATGCTTCTGAAAGGGAATCCAAAGATGGTGCTACCACCTCATTGTTGAAAGTGTTTAAGAATGGTACGGCCCCTGTCAAACAGGAGGGCACTCCAAATGAAGTAAATAGCAATGAAAACGTAACAGAGAAATCTCTACATTTGGTGGAGCATCAACGATACTGGGTTGGTGTCGGTTGGTTGAATCGAACATTACCGACGGATCACCCCAACTTTACTAGCTCAGACAGAAATATTCCTGTAGCGGAGCCTACAGCCCAGTTTCTTCCTCCAGACGGGATTGCTTGGATTGACGACAAATGGTCCATTGGTCCATGGACATATACGGATACATTTTGGAGACAACCGTCTTTAACTCAGTATAAGACCGCGTTTACAAGGTTCCGAGAATGGAAAAGAAGATATCGTACATTACCAGAGGAAGCCGTTCCCGTCCCTTCTGTGTTGGACACACTGTCATCCGAGAAAAGATTAGATGATGAACAGGTAGCCAACTCTGGTGGTACAAACCATACAACTGGAACTTCGAAATCTCAGTCCAAAGCAGCTGCGAATTTAAAAACGATTATGAATGAAAATGCGTCTGATACGAAGCCTAGATCTTCGTCCATTTCTACTACGAGATGATTTTCAAATTACGATATGGAACAAAGCTCTAATGAATGACTCTTTTTGGAAGCGGCAAAAAAAAAAAAAAGACCGTTTATGTCGAAATTTGACGAAAAAAATAAAAATAAAAGAAATAAATTTAAATGAAAACTTAATGATTGCTATTCGAAGCTTATGAAAAAGACTCAAAAAAATTAAAGATATGCCTGGGCGAAAGCATAAATAATGATGGATGAAATGAATAAACTGGTGGTGAATGTTGTTGTACTCCTAATTGAGGACTCTTGTTTTATTTTATTTCTTCTTTTGTTTGTTTTTTCTTTTCTTTTCTTTTCTTTTTTTTTTTTCCTCTATTCTATGTTCTCTAATTCTCTCTTGACGACTTTTTTTTACACCGATGCATAATTCTCCAACTATTTGGCTCTCCCCGTTACGATTTTTGCATCCCAAGTGTTCTCTGAAGATCAGGGATTGTGGAAGAAAAAAAAAATAGAAAAAAGTTTTCCGAGAACGAAGTAAAGATGGTAAGATGATGTATGTATGACTAGGAAATTACTTCAGTCCCCGAAAAGATGCAAATACGCAAAGGCCAACATTGGCCTTTGCGTATTGAGATGTTCGCTTGTGACATAACCTTGTGACTTTCCGGCGAAATTTTTCGTTGGTAAACAAATAGATTACGAGAAAACGAATTATGCAAAAAGAAAACGGCTAAAGTGAGGCCAATTACATATATTCGATCATATGATTTGTTGTAGGAGATTCTATCCTGTACCAGATCGGCTGTAAGAATTTAAATATTGCTTTGGAGCAGCTGTGTTTGGAAAAGCTATAAAATAAGAAGAATACCCCGAAAGAGAGAGAGAGAGAGACACTGACTGTCTGATTGTATAAAGGAAATATATTTGAGAATGCAAGCAAACATCACAAGTCGTCAAAACGAATTGATTGCTGCTCGCAGAGTTCCTGACAATTGCATCTTTGTGGGTGGACAGTGCGTAAAGCCGGAAGGAGCCGATGCAAATGCAATTCCTTTAATAAACCCAGCTACTGAAGAAGTGATTGGAACATGCGCAAATGCTTCTGCTGAAGACGTCAACAAGGCCGTGGAAAACGCTCATGAGGCATTTGAGTCTGGCGTCTGGTCGAAGCGTAACGGTAATGAACGTGGAGCCGTTCTTCGTAAGATTGGTCAACTTATGCGTGAAAACCGTGATTTGCTCGCTGGATTAGATGTTTTAAATTGTGGTAAACCTACCTCTTATGCCCTTTTTGATGTAGACTCTTCTGCCGATTTGCTCGATTATTATGCTGAAATTGCTGAAAATGATGAGGTTACTAGAGTTGTTCCTTTGACAAATGCTCCTGGTTACGTCGGTAAAGAAAAGCGTTTCCCTCGAGGTGTTGTTGGTGTCATTACCCCTTGGAACTTCCCATTGAAGATGGCCCTTTGGAAATCCATTCCTGCCTTGGCATCCGGTAACACCGTCGTTCTAAAGCCTTCTGAAGTTGCTCCTTGGTCTTGCCTCGAATTCGCCCTCTTGTGTAAGGAGGGTGGTTTGCCAGATGGAGTCTTCAACGTTGTCATTGGTTCCGGTAAGGATACTGGTGTCGCTCTTAGTCATCACGACAAGATTTCCTATCTCGCATTCACGGGTTCATTGTTCACAGGCAAGAAAATCATGCATGCCGCTTCCGACCACGTCATTCCCGTTACTCTTGAATTGGGTGGTAAATCGCCTTTGATTGTCTGTAAAGACGCCGATCTTTCTCTTGCCTGTAAGTCTGCTGCTTTTGGTATTTTCTTCAATCAAGGTGAAGCTTGCACAGCTGCTTCCCGTCTACTCATTGAGGAAGATGTGTATGAGGAGGTGCTCAAGGGCGTGATTGAAGAAGCAAAGAAAATTGTTTCCGGAAACGGTTTGCAGGAGAATGTTAATATGGGTCCTTTAGTAAGCAAGCCCCAGTACGAAAAGGTGCTTCAGTTAATCCAAACTGGTTTCGACGAAGGTTTGAACTGTGTTTTCGGTGGATTGCCTAAAGAAACTGGAAAGGGTTACTTTGTTCCTCCCACCATTTTTACCAATGCCGAAACTACCAACACTTTATGGAAAGAAGAAGTTTTTGGCCCCGTATTGATTACCAAGACTTTCCGTACAAAAGAAGAAGCTCTTGCCTTGGCCAATGCTACTGAATATGGTCTTGGCTCCGGCGTGTTCTCTACGAATCGTGATACCCTCGACTACTTCGCAGACAACATTGAGGCCGGTATGTGTTCTCTAAACACCTATCACTTTTCTAGCCATGAGCTTCCATGGATCGGCTGGAAGCATTCCGGTTTGGGTATTGGTTTAGCTACTCATGGCTATTATGAATATACTCGTTTGAAGCAAGTTGCTGAGTATGTTGGTACTGCTTAGGATCATGGGACATGTGGAAAATATTCTTTCATTATAAAAAGATAATGTTTTATGAGATTTTGTGAAGAATAGTTTAAGTTAATGAATGGAAATAATGTTTCATACAATTAATATTCATACATACGAGAATTGTTTATATAAAAAATTAAGTATAATAAACCATAAATAAGTAGAATCTTCAAATGTGGGCTCCTATAAAATACTTACCAATGAAAGAAAGCAAAAACAATATCTATCTACAAATTCTACTTTCTCCAAAAAAAGAAAGTAGAAAAAAGAATTTTGCATCTACCAGGGATCGAACCTGGGACCGTCTGCGAACATATCATGTAAAGCAGAAATCATAACCACTAGACTACAGATGCTTGTTGATATCAGTATTATTGTAGGACTATATATAGAGTAGATAATATAATGATAGACTTTTTTGTATAAAATGAAAGGAATAAATCGAGTACTCTTTGTGCTTGAAAGTATAGAAAAAAAATAAATACTTAAAATTGTCTTCTTTCATTGAATTATTGTTCTTGAATGTTTATTCGTTACTGTAAGACTACGATAAAAACCAAAGTAAATGGCATTGGTACTATTCTATCAGTACGAGAGTATACGTTGAAGTTGAATGAGGATGTTCTAACTCCTGGACTGAACTTATGATTAGGAATTAAAATGTATCTATTAAAAAGCTTCTAAAAAGATTGTATTGCTTCCGCTGTCTACAATATAGCTAATCAATACGCTTCAGGCTGAAAAATTAAATCCAAAACCTGATCTCAATAATTCATTTTAAAGGATATATTTAGAGAAAAAAGGTTGAAAACTGCCAATTCTTATTTTTATTTTTTTGAATTTTTTTACTTTTATGTCTATTTATTTACCGTTACGACAACACACTCATTTGGATTATAATTATTAATAAATTATAAAAATATCAAAGTAGTTTTCTGTTTCAACGCAATCTGTAAAATATCGCTACCATTTATTACGAAGCAGAGCACAGCATTAATTAGTTTTAGTGCACATAGAAACCGTGGTAAAGACTTTAGAGCATCATATCGTTTGTTCCTTAATCGTGAGCGCGACATGAGGAATCTAAAATTTGTCATTTGCCTACAACCACACTGAACAGCAATCCGTAAATCTGATCATTAGGCTTTGTGGTCTTGGACAAATGCAAGATGTCTTTGGTTGAGCATTTTGACGCGACGCTTAACGCGGACCCGAATACACGTACTCAAGCTGAACTTTCTTTAAAGCAATTGGAAAAAGATCCAAATTTTGTCTTGGCTGTCCTCCAACTATTAAGTGATCAGAGCAATGCTCTTCCCACCCAGCAAGCTGGTAAGCTCGTAATGGACAAAGATATATAAGGACTGAAACATAGCTAACTTACCATTTAGCTGTAATTTACTTAAAAAATAGAATTGCTCGTTCTTGGGCGACGATTGATGATGCTCCTTCGCCATTGGATATTCCTGCAGAACAGAAGGCTCTTTTCCGTCAAAACCTTCTCCCTATTCTTCTGCAAAGCCCCATATTCACAAGGTCTCATTTAATGGCCATTTTGAACATTATACTTTCCACAGATTTTCCCGATCAGTGGCCTGGCTTTAGCGAATTTACAGTGAATCTTGTTCAATCCAACGATCAATGCGAGGTATACGCAGGCTTAATTTGCTTACATGAACTTGCCAAGGTATACAGATGGCGTTTGGATGATCGCCAACGTGATATTGGTCCCTTAATTTCCGCCATTTTCCCAATCATCCTCCAAATTGCCCATAATCTTATAAATATGGAGGATAACGATTCCGGTGAAATGCTTCGTCTTATTCTAAAAACATTCAAATCTGTTATTGCTTTAGAACTTCCTACCGAATTGCTTGCCAATGACATGATCCTTGCATGGATTCAACTCCTTTTGGCTGTTGTACAAAAGCCTTTGCCGGCTTCCGTTACAGCTCTTGATCCTGAAATGCGCCAATCCCACGTTTGGCATAAATGTAAAAAGTGGGCATACTATTCCTTAAATCGTATTTTCTCTCGTTATGGAGAGCCTGGTTCACTTTATGGAGAATCTGCCAACAAATACCGCAATTTTGCCAAAAATTTTATCTCCAACATTGTCCCTAGCATTTTGGAAACCTACTTACAACAAACCGCTTTATGGTCACAAGGTCAGTTATGGCTTTCTCCTCGTATATTGTATTTCCTCGGATGCTTTTACGAAGAATGTGTGAAGCCTAAGAGTACATGGCAGCTTTTACAGCCTCATCTTCGATTGCTAATTGGTGACTTCGTTTTTCCTCAATTATGCATGAGCGAAGAGGACGAAGAATTGTGGGAACTTGATCCTGTTGAGTTCATACATAAATACATCGATATCTACGATGATTTTAATTCAGCTGATGTCGCAGCTTCTCGGTTCCTTGTTCGATTGGCGTCTAAGAGGAAGAAAGATACTTTCATGGGTATCTTAACTTTTGCTAGTGATGCTCTGAACCAATATGCCGCTTCCAACCCTAACGAAAAAAATCCTAGACAAAAAGAGGGTGCTCTTCGTATGGTCGCTGCTGTGTCTAACTCTATTCTTAGCAAGAACTCTCCCGTTGCTGGTATGATGCAGGATTTTATTGTTGCCCATGTTATGCCAGAATTCTCTAGTCCTGTTGGTTATTTAAGATCTCGTGCGTGTGAAATGATTAATCGTTTTAGTGAGATAACTTGGAATGACAAATCTCAGCTGTTGATTGTTTACCATTCTGTACTTAATTGTTTGCAGGATTCGGATTTGCCAGTACGAGTGCAAGCTGCCTTAGCTTTACAACCTCTTATGCGTCATGTTGAAGTGCATGATGTTATGACAGCTCATGTTCCTACTATTATGCAGAATCTCTTATATTTGGCTAACGAGATTGATATCGATGCTTTGTCCTCTTGCATGGAGGAGTTTGTTAGTTCTTTCAGCCATGAATTGACTCCTTTTGCTGCTCAGCTGGCTAAGCAACTTCGTGATACCTTCCTAAAGTTCATGCAGGAGAGTATCGAACAATCCAATACCAATGAAGATTTTGATACATTGGTAGATGATAAATCTATTGCTGCCATTGGCATCTTGAATACCCTTAGTACTATGATTTTGAGTTTGGAAAATACCGTTGATGTTTTGAGAGAAATTGAAGTTATTCTTTTGCCTATTATTAGCTTCGTCTTAGACAACAACATTTTTGACGTTTTTGCTGAAATGTTTGAAATCGTTGATGGCTGTACATTTGCTTCAAAGGATATCTCTCCTGTGATGTGGACTGTGTTTGAAAAAGTTCACGGTGTGTTGAAGGAATCAGGCATTGAGTTCGTTGAAGATGCCACTCCAGCTTTGAGTAATTTTATCACTTATGGCGGAAAGCAATTCGCTGCCCGACCTGACTATATCGCTGCTATGGTCGACATTATTTTGCAAGTCTTTAACAGCGAACATTTGGCCGTCAATGATCGTATTGCCGCTTGTAAACTCATGGAGTTGCTTATGCTTAATTACCGTGGATTGTTAGATCAATACGTTCCTACCTTCATTGAGATTGCCGGTAATTTACTTTTAGTTAGTGAAAAACCAACTTCACAAATATATCGCGTCTTCTTATGTGAAGTTATCATAAATGCCTTGTATTACAACCCTGGCATGACTTTGGGTGTACTCCAAATGCACCAGTGGACAGCTCCATTCTTTGCTTTGTGGTTTAAAGACATTGCCTCTTTTACTCGTGTGCATGATAAGAAGCTTTGCTTAGTTGCTATTTTGTCTATGATTCCCCTTTCTGCAGAACAGGTTGCATTGGCTCTTCAAGACAATTGGAACCATATCATGAAAATCTTGATTTCTTTGCTGAAGACTTTACCTAATGCATTAGCAGCTCGTGCTGAATTAGAAAAAGAATACGATGGTGAGACATTTAACCTTAGCTCTTCTGGTTGGAATGATGGAATTGACTGGGAAGGTGATGAAGATGATGGCATTGACGATTTCGCCGTCGAGTATGAAGGCCCTGATTTAGAAGGAGACATTTCGGGTGATGCCGCTGAGGAATTAGATGATTTCGAACGGTATCAAGGCAATTATCTTTTAGACGAGGATCCTCTGTTCCATACATCGCTTGACCAAATCGAACCATTCTCTCTTTTCCAAGAATTTATGGTACACCTAAAAGACAATAGTCCGGTCGTTATGCAGGATATGGTTAAAAATTTAAATGCTGAAGAGCAACAATCACTTCAATCCCTTCTAACTGAACAACCTGCTGCACTCGCTGCCTCCGCTGCTTCTGCCAATCAGTAATTTTTGAAGTTCTAATGATTTTGAACTAAAAACAAATTTGGGTCTTTGGTATCGGAAAAATTATTTAATTGTAATTGTTTTCAACTTCTCAATGGGTTTTGCAGTCTTTTGTTGTGAGTTACATTCGATTACCTTTAGCTTCATTATTGGAAGGTATGGTTACTTCCAAATAGAAATGGAGGGTAAAAGAAGAACATATTTTATATAATACAATTCAATAACCTTTTTAATAGTCTTTAAAGTGTAAATGCAAGTAACCCGCTATTTAGTACGGAGCTGGATTGTAACACATCTTCATTCTATATATCTAACCATTATATTTTACTTTCGTTTCAAAAATATTTTAAGAAAGGATGCCAGTAAGAACAGTCCGACTTACAATATTAGTACAATGATGCTGTAACTTGCACTCTTAACTTCTAGAGATATGTACGCAAGTACTTACTACCACTAAGGATCAGTATTACTGAACCATTCAATACGCCATGAACAATGGGCTGCCTGCCAAAACTATTGTTTTAGACAATGGTGCTTATAATGTGAAAGCAGGATTTGCTGGTGGGAATGTTTTGTAAGAAAAATGTTAACTGATCATCGCGAGTAGTTTCTCTAACGTCTTTTTGCAGTGAAATACCAAATTGCCTTACGAGGTCAAAGGATGGGAATCGCTTGTTTTTAGGAGACGAATTGTCAAACTGTAATGATTTTACCACATTGCAGTTTCGTAGAGCTCATGAAAAAGTATGTACACGATGCAGTGCTCGAAAGGGTCACATTCATGAAGAAAGAAAATACAAAATTCATTAGATACTTATACTAACGTACAGGGATATCTTGTAAACTGGAGTACAGAAACAGCTGTATGGGATCAAGTAATGCGACGGTTGGGCATTACTGAACCTAGCATGGATGGTCATTCTTTAATATTAACACAGCCTCCGTTTACGATGCCATCTATAGAACTCAACACAATTCAGCTAGTTTTTGAAGAATTCGGGTTTGACGCATACTTAGCAAGTACCCCGGCAGAATTAATCTCATGGGATCATGAATGCTTCACAGAGGGTGATGAAGCTTCTTACAAAAATGCTCATGGTGAATGCGTTTTAGTAATTGATTCTGGCTACAGCTTTACCCATGTTATCCCCGTCATTGATTCCCAAATTCAAGAGAATGCTGTACGCAGAATTGATGTTGGAGGCAGGTTTTTAACCAATTATTTAAAAGAAGTCATTTCTTACCGTAAATACAACATGATGGAAGAGACCTATTTAATGAATGAGATCAAAGAATCAGTATGCTTTGTCTCCCAAAACTTCACTAAAGACCTGAATCTCGCACAGATGAAGCCAAAGTCTAAGTATGACATTCTATACGCCCTACCCGACTATAGTTCAGGCAAGTTAGGTCACGTTGTTAAAGACCTAAACAAAGTTACCGACCAGCAGGTTTTGAAACTTGCTAATGAGCGATTCGCTAGTCCCGAACTTTTATTTTCTCCATCCGATGTTGGTTTACAGGAAGCCGGCATTCCTGAAGCCATCATGCAAAGTGTACAAGGATTTCCTGAAGAGATACGGGCATTACTTCTAGGTAATGTCGTAACGATAGGAGGAAACTGTAAATTCCCCGGATTCAACGAGCGGCTGAATGCTGAGTTGCGATCTCTCACACCGGAGGACGTTGACCTTCGTATATTTCAACCATCCAAGTAAGTTTTATTTATTATTTATTTATTTTTAGCATGAGAAGTACTTTACTAAAACAGCTCTAGTCCTTCCACTTATGCTTGGAACCGTGGAGGCCATATGCCTAGTGAACATTGGAACGCTAATAGTATATCTAAGTCAGAATATCTTGAGCATGGCCCAAACATTCTATATAGAAGAAAAAAAATATGAGTTATATAAATAGTTTAACCTGCATCACATTACCAACTGTGATAGTACTACATTTCTTTCCTATAAAAGCATTTACAGCGTCCATAATAAGTTAAAAAACAAAGTACAACTTCAATGTTAACGTTTCGAATCACTATTATCTACCCTAAAAGTACATTATCTAAAGCTGCTCTCAAAGTCATTTCGGAATTATCAATCTCCTAAAAAAATTAGTAAATTAGTTCAAATATTAATAAATAAAAGTAGCATCAGTGATCAGTGTGTGAATACATATAATAACCATGGGATTTGTCTTCAAGACTAATCGATTTTCATAACATCATTTCGTGCTACTTACTGCAAGTATCAAACATACCCATTCATAAAATGGAATCGTCTAGCACACGATTTTCCAGATCATCGCACTTAAGCTAGGCAAGCAAAGAGTTGGTTAAGGAAAAAATGAACTGCAAGTTTAACTTGAATAAAGCACCGGAAAACAGTCACATTTCACCTCTAAGGCAATGTAAACAAACGCGTCGCGTCGCGTAATCAAATCATAAACATTAGTATAAAACAATGGTTAAAATAATATTACTATAAAGGTCTTCATACAATTCCTGGCAATGAAGATAGAGGTTGTTATTTCTCTTTCAGTAGTTTAGTAAGAAGCGTCAACTGCAAGTAATTTTTATTCATGAAGTTTCTTATAAAGCTTTTATAAAAAGCAATTGAATATTATAAATGGAATACTAAGCTTTTTTAAAACTGTTACCTGATATATGTTACTTCCATATACGAAGGATGTTTTGTACTGTAAGATTGAAGCTCCCCACTGCAACCACCGTCCGCATATAAACAAACCAGAAAACAACCAAAGTTGGCACATATATAAGGGGATATTTGTGTCATATTATAAATAACAGAAAACTATCTTATGAATTTAGAAAGATGTCCTCTCGCACCTCGATCAGCAAATATAATTCCCCAGAAACATGAAGGTGCTGTGAAGCAAAAGGTAGCTGCGGTGACGGAGGATGCTCCCAACGAGCAGAAAAGGCCACATGCTTTGGAAGAGAGTGTTTCTTCAGCTACGGTTGAAACAAATAATGAGAACTCCGTAACTACGACTCCAAAACATCAGAAGGTAACAACTCCGAAGTCGTATCGGAGGTCAGTAAAACGAGTAAAACATGATGAATCTATCGCTAAAGAAGTTCCTCATATGAAAACGCTTGAACCAATTAACGAAGAATTAAAAAACGTTGGTACCGATGCTACAAAACTGGCTACAGCAAAGTCAACTACACAAAAGGCCAAGTTATTAGAATGGAAGCGACAATATAAGAAGGCTTTTCCAAATTTTCGTTTTTATTTAGATGGATTTGACTCTAATCTCCAACAACGAGTTAAACGTCAAATAGTTCAATTAGGCGGTCATGTGGAGACCTTTTTTTCTGGCAATGTCACTCACGTAGTTACGACAAGATCTATACAGGACATAGCGGCAAAGAATTCTAAACAAGATGTGCTCACCAAGGCACGTCAACTAAATATGAAAATATGGAGCATGGAAAAACTGTGTAACCGAGTTTTAAAAACGCTTTTGGAAGAAGATCCATTTGCTCCTAGTTCCTCTCAAAAGCAAGGTAATGATCTAAGTTATTTGCTTTATGTTGAAAAGGTCCAAGGTACCAATGAGCGTGATTTGTCTGTACCACGGCAAGACTTTGTTCATTTCAAAGGTCCGTATCTGTATGTTCACGATATCGCAAGTGCTTACAAGCCCATTCTTCTTAGAGAATGGCCTAAGCCAGTGAACGATAAGGATGTCCCTTGGCCCACCTTTCGCGCAACAAGTATAGGCAGATGCCCCTTTGTGCCTGAAAACAGACAACGATTGAGTATCAATGCACATACGGCAGCGACAGCCAAAGCTAAACAAGATCAATCACAAGAACAACAGCAACGCATTCAAAGACAATGTTCTCAGCAACCGCCGGCAATTTCACGAGCTAACTCTTTCAAACTATCTATTCCATTATTATCTAATAATGTTGGTTCTACCTCAAATTCAAATAGTGTATCTGTTAATGCTGAGAGTGCTCCTTTGCCAAATACAAATACTGGATACCATCAGCAGGAGCAGATTCCAGCAAAACCAAAACCATATCGCATGCTAGATGATGGCATGCAAGCGTCCGGTATTGTTCAGTCTAATCTTACTTCAGCGGTAATGTCAAATAATTCTAATATTCGTTCAGGGAGCGCAGCAGGTGTGCCTGTTGTTGCCATTAATGGACGAGATATAAATGAACTTAAGAAAAGGATAATTCAACAAAAATCCGGGGCACCAAACAAAGAGCAAGGTTACAAGAACATGCTTCATAATGCTAATCAAAGAAAAATTAGAATTGACCCAAAACCTGGTTATTGCGAGAACTGTCGAGAGAAATTTGACAACTTTGAAATGCATATTCGAGGTAGGCGCCATCGGAAATTTGCTGAGAACGATGAAAATTTCAAAGAATTGGATGAGCTATTTGAGCTTGTGCAGCGACCTTTTCGTCCGCTGTGAAATATCAACTTGGTTGATGTATAAATTTATGCCATTTTATCTTAGTGCTCAGTTAGAGTTTTGTCGCTTTTTATGTTTAAATATTGTGTTGAACTATTAATTCTTGATTTGAAACACAATGGTGAAGCTGGAGGCTTACACGGTGATTTGTCGATTCCTTTTCTACATGCATTCATTCTTTTTCTAATATAACTATATATACGTATTTCCTGATCTAACAGTGGTTACGATTCTATCTCTGTGATTTAACAACCATCTATCTTTTCGAAGATTTAACGAACGATTTATAACTATTTTTTTAATGAATATGGGACTATTCATAGGATGCTATGAAGGATTACAATCCTTTTATGGCAATATGACTTTTGAATGCAAAAGTCAACATACAATTACGTGCTCGTCGGTTGTAGCATGTTTCAATAGCTGAAAAGCATAATACTTGTATATATCTATTGAATATGCGGGCAATTTGGGAAAATATCTTGTAGAAACAACTTCATGATAAATACTAGAGTATGAACAGTAGTCGTCTACATCGCTGTCGTAACTATGGCATTTCGCCATTTCCGAATTCAGCGTTGTATCAAGCATCATAAGAATTGTAAAACAATCAAGATTAAGTGTATAACTGATATTTGTTTATTACTGTAATGAAGGACACTACGAAAATGCTCGTTATCGGTCGCAATTTCAGTAAACCAGTGGTACAGAACACCAGGGAGTAAGGCTTGCACTGAACGAATATCATAGTCGACGCGACTTTTCGTAGACATTATTAGATTGAGTTAGTACGAGTATCAATCGTCTACTTCTTCTTTCTTTGATTTAACTTATAGCGCTTTGACGCTTAAAGAAATATTAGTGTAAAAAGTTAGTAAATTTCATATCGGATATTGCGACTTAAATTCGTTTGGAGTCACATCAATATACCCTTTTGCTTCTTACCAGTCAATCTCTTATTGGATACACTTTCTGGAACCTGATTTATGGAAAATCTCTTTACTTCCGAACAATTCACCATGACTACGAACAACCTCGAAACTACTAATGCCTCCTCTGGTTACCAAACTGTCAGTAATGAAGACTTTAAGGTGCAATATGATGAATTACTCGCACCCAATGCTGCTGAAATAAGTGGTGTGAGACATGAAACCGTAGATAATGCAACTGCAGGTATGCCCTCACAAGAAGAAACCGAAAATCTTCCTCCTTCTGCTCTATTGCAGAAGAAGCATGCGGTTGAAAACCACTCCAAAGAAAAGCCAACTTCAAAAAGAAACACATCTCAAAAACCTGCTGTTGATGTGCACTCAGAAGCTGCTTTTCCCACACTTTCACCGAAAGTCAACAATAAACCAAAGGCTCCTTCTTGGGTTCGAAAGGCTGCTGGCGTCGGTTCTTCAGGTAATGATGATGCCGCCTCTTCAGCCAACTCACCTACTTCTTCTAGCAGGACTGCTTCTACTTCGAAAGAAACAGATTATATGACAGACACTTTGATTTTGGGTCCTGATCAGCAGATATCTCGCCTTTCATTTACCGGTAAACCAAACTCTGTTGCAGATATTGTCCGTACCATTATGCTGCAAACCTCTACTCGTATTAATGTCTCTACCGCATCCAAGACGAAGAATACGACCTTTTTAATTCAAGGTAAAGTTGCTGCTGTTAAAGCAGCTCACAGACAAATTATTAAGTCCATCGGTCGCCGAAACACTATTACTGTTCCCTGTCCTGTCTTTGTCGTCGGTGCTGTTATTGGAACCAATGGACAAAATTTAAAGACCATTATGGACCGCACCGGCACTCGAATCCAAATCCCTAAGCGCAACTCATCTGCCGCTGATGACAATGAAACTTCTGCAAAGAATGAAAAGTCTTCACTCACTTCCCCAACTTCGTTAGACGAATTGGAACCTCAATATGATTTGACTTCAGTTACCATTGAAGGTGATTTTGAGGGCGTTGAACTCGCTAAAAAAGAAATTGAATCTATAATCAACGAACGCACTAGTCATACTACTATTCGAATTAACACAATCCCTACTGATATGTACAATTTGCTTCGCGGTGCGGATGGTTCAAACATTGCTGAATACGAACAAGACAAAGATTTGAAAGTCCAAATTCCTTATGCATACTCTGATAACAATTTGCCAGTTAACCCTATAGTTTTATCTGGTGAAAAGTCTTGCGTTCGTGAATGTGCTCTATTCTTGCAAGGCAAAGCTGAGGAATTGGCTCGTACTACAATCCCCACTATGATTCCTGTTCCTCGTCGTCAGCATCGTTTCATTAACGGAGAAAAGAGTGCTGGTATCCAGGATATTTTGAGAAGCACTGGTTGTTCGGTTATACTCCCTCCTATAAATAGTGAGTCAGACATTGTTAGTGTTCGTGGGCCTGCAATGAACATTAGTGATGGTATTAAGATGACGATGGAGCGTGCCAACTCTACAATCATAGATGCCGTTAACATTTCCAATATTTTCACTTCCTTGAAAGACCCCTTTAGTCATGCTAACCTACTTGCAAGATTTTTCATTCGTTCAAAGTTCCTTTCTCAATATGAGAATGCTTTGAAAGTACAATTCCATCTTCCAAAGCGTGAAGAACTTCAGGAACTTACTAATAAATCTGTTATTGTTGAAATTTCTAGTAAAGACGGGGAAAACGTTCGCAATGCGCGTGCTGCATTAATTAAAATTATTGAACAGTTCCCTCCTTATAAATTTCATAACGTAGAGATTGACCCCCTTCTGCAGCGTTATGTTATTGGATCTAAAGGAAAAAACTTGCAGAAACTCAGAGCTGATCATAATGTCGAATTGCTCATCGGTGATAATGGCGAAGATGACTCAAATGTTATCCTTTGCTTTACTGGATCAAGTGATGAAAAACTTCCTGAACAGATTCAGGAAGAGTTGGCTGCTTTGGGTGAACGTATTAAATCTTCTGCTGATGCTTCCGCTAAGATTGTCTCTGAAACTTTCCAAGTACCTTCTGTCTATCACAAGCATATCGTGGGACCCAAGGGTACTACATTGAAGGCAATCCTTGGTAACTCCGAGGAGAATGTTGTTGTTCAGCTTGGTAAGGTTTCGTATCGCTCAGACTCGACTGACGATGATGTCTACGTTCGAGGTTTCTCGAACGACGTTCAGCGTGTTATGAACGAAATAAAACAACTTGTCAAAGATGCAAAAAATCACGAGATTCTTCACTCATATGTTGCTGAGTTTGATTTCCCTTCTCAATACTCTAAGAATATTATCGGCAAAAATGGAAGCAACGTGTCCACTCTTCGTGAAGACTTTGGTGTTCAAATCAATGTCGAAGAAGGACATGTACGCATTCAAGGTATCAAGAAGAATGTCGAAGAAACTAAATCCCGTATTGAAGCTCAAGTTCAAGCTCTTATGGATGATACCATAATTCGCGTTAATATCCCAAATGAATTCCATCGCCAGCTGATTGGTGCCAGTGGAAAGTACGTTAAACGTTTGGAGGAGAAATTTTCAGTCCGTGTTCGTTTCCCTCGTGAAGATGACTTGGGCACTTCCGGAGGCGAGGCCACTAAACCTTCATCAGTTGACGAAATTGTCATCCGCGGTAGCAAAAAGGCCGTTGCTTCTGCTAAGCAAGAGCTTGTCGAACTCTATGAATATGAAAAGTCTATCGCTTATAGCGAAGTTATTGAAATTCCATCTAAGGCTGCTTCTAGGGTTGTTGGTCGTAGCGGTGCTACTGTTGAAAAAATTCGTGCTCAATACGACGTCAAGATCGACATTGGGGACGAAAAATCTGAGGGTACAATTTCTGTTTCAGTACGAGGTTCTAAGGAAAATGTTCAAAGTGCCATCAAAGAGATTAAAGCTATTTCTGACGAAATAAAGAATCAAGTCGAGAAAGTTGTCAAAATTGATCGTGAATACCATCGTTTCCTTATTGGTCCTAGTGGAAGTAGCTTACAAGAAATTATCAAAGAATGCGGTGGTACAACTGATAAAGCTGAAACTGCTCGTCTTGTTAGTTTTTCCAACGGTAATACGGACGAAGATCGCAATTCTGTTGTGTTACGTGGCAACAAACAACTTGTTGAAGCCTTGGAGTCTCGTTTCTTACAAATTGTAGAGGAACTTAAGAGCCAAGTAGAAAAAACTGTTGATGTTCCTCAGCGTAGCATCAGTTCTATTATCGGAAGAATGGGAAGCAGCCGTCGCGATATCGAAAAGAAAACATCCACATCCCTTACGATTCCCAATGTTTTAGACCCTGAGCAGCTTGTCAAGATTACAATAATCGGAAGCAATGAAAACTGTGATAAGGCTATACAGATGATTCAAGAAAAAGTTGCTAGTCAATACACAGAAACCCTTGAGGTATCCAATGTTTTGTGTGAGCGATTGACGAATGGTCCAATAATCAGGAGACTTCGCACCGATCTCAAGGTGTTTGTAGACGTACCTAGTGTTTCTAAGCAATTGGAAGGTTCTGAAATTGTACTCGAGGATAATGAAGAAGACGCTTATCCTTGGAAGTTGGTTACCAAGCAAAAAAATACCGACAATAAAGCAACCTTGACTATTAGAGGACATAAGGAAAATGTTGAAAAAGCCATTAGTTCTTTGGAAAAGAACCTTAAGCAACTTGAAGAAGAATGCACTGGCTATCTTTCAGTACCTCCTAGCTTGCATCGCCATATTATTGGCGCTGGTGGCTCCGCTATTAACAAGATTCGTAAGGCTGCTCAAGTAAAAATTGACGTTCCCCGTACACCAGGTGTTGATATTATTGTCATCCAGGGAAGTCATTCCGGAGCTGCTAAGGCGAAAGATTTAATCATCGAACGCTTAAGTGAGTCTCAAGATTAAAAAATAAAACTTTTTTGATATGATTTCTATAAATACCTTTCATTTGGAAGATCTCTCAATTTATGCTACAAATACTAACAAGTTCGGGCTGTATCGAGACATGGTCGCTCTTTTTTTACCATTCTGCTTAATGCAGGCAGAGCCATAGTCCTTAATTTTTGCTACAAAGATTTTATTTTGTTCTCTTCAATCTAAGTGAGTCAAAGAAAAGATTGCTTTTTAGATTTACTTACGCTCGATCGTGAAGAAGCCTAGATCTTACTTTATAATGTATAATTTTATTCTAAGATAAAAAATAGTTGTCCTAAACGTTGTACTTTGAAAAATGATGTAGGATTAAAAGATACATGAATCCAAATGATGCCTTCATCTTGCTAACACTAACGGAAATACTTCAATATATTTATCAAAATTTCTAAACAAAATCAAGCATAAGTGTTTCAAATCAACCAAAATATTTATTCATAAACACACCAGTACCAGTATAAAAGTTATACAAACCAAACAGTTCCCTTTTTGTTCTTTCATAACTAACTATATTATTAAAAGACGCAATGATTTTAAGAAATTATTGCAAAAGTGGATCCCGATAGTGACGCTTAGTATTATTCTTATAGGCCAATTTGGTAAAGAACCGCTCTTTCTTTTGACGATCTTGGTGAGTATTAATATGAGATGCACTAAACTTTTTCCTTCCATCTTTAACACCTGCAAGACTACTTTCCACAGCGCGACTGCGAGCCATCGCTTCTCCGCTGGGGGCACGACTGGCAACATTTTGATGGACAGCAGCACCATCACCAACAGCAGTAGCACTAGCAGGGCGAATATTTTGACGGAAATAACGAGATAAAGAACGATGACCAGCACGAGCACCAGTCGGCAAATGAAGTTCATATTCTTCAGCAATAGGTACTCTACCAACATCCAAACTATCTACGCTGGAGTCAGAATCACTTGATGCATCTTCCCAATTTTCGTCGTTCTCTGCATTTTCAACATCAACAATTTCTTGAGGCTTCTCGTAATCAGGGTAAGAAGCGCTGAAATCGTAGAAATCAGAAAGCTCAAGTTGTTCCTCATCAGTATCATAAGCTATAGAGAAATGTCCTTTTTGCTGCATGTGGGATCGAACAGCTTCCAATGATTTAAACTGACGATTGCAAGTTAAGCAAGTGTAACCAATAGAAACCTTTTCTGCTAAATACTCAAACAACCCTGGTTCGTCTACAACAAATTCTCGCTCGGGAATAAACAAGCTATGAATCGCTTTCATGTGTTTCTTACTTGCGTCAAAAGAAGAGAATGAAGAATTACAAAAGAGGCAGTCTTTTAAGCCAAGTTTTTGACTAACGCGACGAGCAAGTTCCTTTTCGAAGTCTTCCGAAGTTGGTTCAGCTGGTATCTTTGATGCAGATGCTTGTGCTTGAGAAGTATCCTTCAGGTTAGATCCATTTCTTAAAGAATCAGAGACTGAAACTGACTCAGAAGCCAAGCGTTTTGACAGATTTTGGATTTCTTCTTCCTCAGCACTTTCATCAACAGGTTCTCCCATGGAAAGGGTTGATGAGGTTATGCTGCTTGTATCATCTTGTTTCAAGCTGTCCTTACGAGACTTAATCTCAAATTTGCGAACATTTTCACGATGCTTCTTCGAAGCTAAATGAGAAGAATAGGCGCCTTCTGAATAGAAATTCTTATTACAATAGTTACACTCACGGTAAAACTCGGCCTTTTTCTGAACAGCTTCATTATGCTTTTGGATTGAGAGAATTTTCTCGGCAAAGACATCAGCAGACAAGGGAGGAAGGCTAGCCACCTTTCTCTTCAAATTATAATGGTGCCAATCAGATTTCCAGTGGACTTTCTGAGAATCAGCACTGTGAAATGCTACATGGCAAGTCGTACACGAAAATGCAGTGGCCATTATAAATTCTCAAAATCGAGAATATCCCGATGCTAACTCGATAGTTTTTGGTAAATGCTATTTATATATTTTTTCGCTTTTTTTGCGATTGATATAAATTATTTTCGAGCCCTAAACCTGAATTTTCTATCAGGGAGCTATGTTGGTGGAGAACAGAAGAAATCACCTTTACCTGGTGAAATAGTATACCCCAGTCCACATTTCAGTTAGTAATACAACAGTTTAGAAATACATGCCTTTTCTTTTAGTTATAGAAAAGCATAAAAAAATAAAAAAGTAACTATATTTAAAGAATTTTTGAACTGGCTAATTCCTACATTACACAAAAACACTTCATATATATTAAAGACCCCGATGAATTCTAGTCACATTCTCATTGAATTGAATTGTTATCCTTAAATCTCTTTATGTTATAATAAATATCTACATTAAATCTAGCGCTTTCATTTCCCTTCAATTCTTCTTGTGCTTAATGAACATGTCTTCGATATGCTCTTATCTCCAAATAAGTCTTTTGAGAACTCCAGTAATCTGTTTAATCTTTTTAAAACTATAGAACAAGCTTTTTTAAACCTTGCATTAAATCAATTAATAGCGAAGGATCTCTGCAATGATTAGGATACCAGTCTTCGAATAAATTGTTCCACAACCCCTGTTCCTTTTCATCCTCTAGCAATGACGGTTGTGCTGATCTGTTTGATTCACCTTTCTTCAACTGTTTTGATAAATTCTTGAGTGTCGCAAGCTGCTCTTCAATGTTTAATGTTTTGATGTCATTTAACTCATTATCATTAAGTCGGGACCTGCCTACAAAAACCGATTTTCCAAGGTAGACACTTAAAATTACAATTGTAGACTATTATTAGTTAGTTTCAAGAATATGTAAACCCGATTCACGTACGAAGAGTTTTCCGGTGAACAACTCCTTTGTGCGGTTTGACAACAAATGCGATGCTTCCATAGCTACGCTAAAGTAATTCTCCATGACTTCGTTTGAACAATGACGATTTAATTCATGAAGGACGCATAATAATATAGTCCTTACGCACGAATATAAAATTAGTTCATCTTCTTCCTGCTTGCAAATTTCCAACAGATCAGAGACAAGACGTAGTGTGGTAGCATCTTTTTCAGAAGTACCAATGCTTCGAATAAAACCGCAGTAAAATTTTAACTGAGTTACCAGTTTTTCAATTCTGATATACGTTAGAAGATGATTTTCAATCAACTGTAAATTCACGTACTTTTCGTCATGATTGGTTGCCTTACGGGCTGACCGACTGTATTTTAAGAAGTCTTGTAAGTCTTCCATCAAGCTATCCGTCACGGAAGTGATATAAAGTTTAACATTTAATTGAATATCACTTGCTATCAGGTTTAGGCTTATTATTTTGTGAAAGAATTCACCACATACTAAATTGATTCGGTAAGTGCTAGATGCTTTAGCAACGTACTCCATTTCAGTCAATAAGGACATCATATCTTTCCTCGATTCGGGTAAAGCCAGAGTTTGCTCCTCTATATAATCCAAGCTTTTAATAAAATAATAGGTTGCAACATTACGTTCTCGATATTTCTTCACTAATATTGGCAATTCATGTAGTAAATGTAATTGTTTTAAGGTATAATCAGACTCAGACTAAAGTAGGTTAGATATGCAAATAAAATAGTAACGTTAAGTGTCTTACCGATTTCTTTTTCATCAAAGAAGGCTTTTCAATGAAATTTAGACAGAAATACATATAGGAAGACAATAGGTCAATGATCGTTTCTTTTGGCGCACAATGTTTTAAAATGCTATTACCATCCAAATGATTGACATGGTCAAATAGTAGATACTCAATGACTTCTTCCCATGAACCCAAGGGATCCAATTCGTTATGAACAGATGACATGCCATACTGGTACATTTGCCATTCTTCCGAATTTTCCAAACGACTTACTTCCATATTAAAACCAAATGGAAAAGTCGAGTCCGCTTCAGTTTCTTCGGCTTGTTGTGAAGAATCTATTTGTTTGTTTTCAATAATCCACGTCTCCAAGGCGTGTGCAATGATAGAAAATACCAAATTTTTCTTGTAAAGTTTTTTAAAAGCGGAATTTGATATCTTGTAACTCTCTTGAGCAAGAATCTTTTTTAGACTCTTTTCTTGCGTTGATTCTTGCAGAAAGCCTTTAAGGCTTTGATCACAATACCGCATTATTAACTTCATAACCGGTAAACGAATTTGGGCCTTCTTGCTGAATATGCATAAACTGAGCATTTCGATATCTTCTTGCTTTAGCAATTGATGATCTAGCAGTTGAAAGCATAGTTGCAGTGCTACTGCTCGCACACTTTCTATGTCATATCTGCATATTTCTGCAATTCTGGAAGAAAATCTCTCTAAAAAATTAAGTGAAGAGAGTGATAGTCCTTCGGTTTGTTCATTTCTAAATAGTTGTTGGATGATTTTTAAAGCAAACTTTCGGATTTTCGCGTCCTTAAAACGGATATTAATAAAATTATAATAAAAAATTTTACATACAGTATCAGAGAGTCCCCATCCTAGATATAACAATGTTGATCTATCCTGAAGATGGGATGGAAGCAGCAAGCAGCATTCGTGAATTGCCATAAAACATTCTAGACGTATAATTGATCTCGTATCACGTATCCTTATTAATATAGCACTATTTTTGGTTAATTTTTTTTTTTTTTTTTTTAAGTTTATTTGCATCCGTTTGTATTACCTTTTATAGATATCATCGAATAGATATTTGAGATTGTCAAGAAGAACTTTATCTGTATTCCCTTCATCATAATCTTCATCATCCTGGATCTTGGATAGTGCGTTTGCAAGTGAGACGTACAACATGCATGAAATACCACTTGAAGTATGTCGGATAGACAACCATGGGCTGGTAGTCATACAAATTATCCAAGATTTAATAGTTTCCATATAAGAGGCAGGTGATAGCTTATCTTTTTCTATAGACGCAGAAGTTAACCTATCAATAAGAAAGCGAATCTTGGATTTAAACGACTTTCCTGTAACTGTTGAGCATGCGTATAAATACGGTTCTGTGAAAGTGTTGTTCTGCACAGTTTGTTAGTTTATTAAAAGAAGAAAAGAGCCAGATTTCCGTACGAAATTAAAAGTCGAAGATTGAATCTGAGCTAGTGTTTCAGGTATTGATTCCATATCCTCCATGTCAAAATGGTTTAAAAAAGGTTGGCAATTACAAGACTAAACATTAGCAGGTAAAAAGCAGTATTTTCTTACTAGTAATATAAGATTGAGAAACCCACGCGTGAATTCAGACGAATCCATTTCTAAGTAGGAGCGCCATTTGCTGCTTAATAAATCCATAGAAATGTTTTCATCCAATAAATCATCTTTAGAACATTAGTTTTCGTATTTTAAAATCGTGATTTTCTGAAGGATTAATACTTACGGAGCAACCCGTATGAGTGGTCTTTAACTGTGTTTTGATTGTTTGAAGTGATTGTTAAATCACGGGAAGTTTCATTAGGAGTAATTGGTTCAATTTCAAGTTTTCGTTTTAAGATAGGTGTTGAATTTTGAGATCCATCATCATGATTGCTGGAAATACTTTCATCGAAGTGATTAAACTCTTTATCCGCCTCTATATCAGGCAAGGAACCATCTAAATGACTACTAAGATCAGATTCAAAATCGAATTCCATGATATTAAGCCTCTAAATAGCTTCGTGAATATTGCTCTGTCTAAGCGCGTAGTGCCTTGGTGTAGCTTAAGTAGACGATACGCGACGCGATGCGCGACTAGGAAAACTTGAAATGCTCATAGAAAGTGTCATACTAATTTACTTAAAAATAAAATATATCTCCTTTATAATTTTATATTACGCGTAAAATATGGGTTCGTGATCTATCGTTTCTGTTCTATCAGGGTTCCGCAGCTTTCAAGTTTCAAACTTCACGGCACTTACTTGGTTCCTGATTTTAGTCTTTACCCTACCACTCTTTTGGAACCTATTACTATTTAAGTCCTTAGTACATTTATATTTATTTATTTTGATCTACCTTCCCATCCTTACTAATACTTTGATAAATTTAATTTTGGTGGATTTAATTTCAAAATCAGAACTAGAAGTGTTTTAATTTTGGCGGTTTAATCCCTTTTTTTGACATAAATACCAATGTTACTCTTTTATATGCCTTTGTAAAGTTATGGAAGCTTCAAGCAGAGTCAATGCTCATGAAATCGGCGCAGATGAGAATCAACGAGTATATTATGCGTTTACTGGAAAAGATAGGAAGCTTCATCGGTCACCTACAAGAGCTCCTCTAAAGTCAGTGGAAAATACTTCTCAAGGGGCATTACATTCTACCTTCATAGACACAGGTCACTATGTATCGTCTCCTGTCAACTCAGAAGAAAACCATCTTTTTCAACATGAGAAAGAATTAAGTACTGTTTTGGTAAACTCTCTGCCTGAAGATTCATTTTTTGAACAGAAGAACACATCTTCGGTTATCTTGGAAGAGTCACTCAATTCCGACACCTTTGAAGCCATTAATTCTTCACATGTTGCGATACCCGTGTTCACAGAGGAAGATTTTTGTTTGCTTTCTGAAGCTGCAGAATTTGTAAAGACACATCCTTCCAAGGAAGATGACGATCAAGATCCGTCAATGGTTCCCGACTATGAAACCGATATTTTCGGGTATATGCGCGAGTTGGAAAAAAATTTGGCTCCATCCCCTTCGTATATGTCTATTCAAAATGAAATAGATTGGCCGACTAGGCATCTGCTGGTTGACTGGATTATTCAAGTGCATCAATATTTTCGACTACTTCCAGAAACTTTATATCTAACAGTAAATCTAATAGACAGGTTTCTTTCCACGAAAGTTGTTTCTTTTCAAAAGATACAATTGGTAGGCCTTTCCGCATTATTGATCTCCTTTAAGTATGAGGAGATTCATCCTCCAACTATTTATCACTTAGGGAAAATTGTGGAAGGAGTCTATGAAATTGAAGAACTTATTCGTGCTGAACGATACATGTTAATGTTACTGAAATTCGAGTTAAGCTGGCCAGGACCCATGTCCTTTTTAAGAAGAATCAGTAGGGCTGATTCCTATCAATATGATATTCGGTCTCTTGCAAAATATTTAATGGAACTAACGTTAATGGATGAAATGTTTGTAGGAGGATATCCGAGTGTCATAGCAGCTGCTTCTTATTACTTGTCCATGCAGATGCTAGGATATACTACATGGACGTCCCATCATATCTATTATAGTGGACTTACTGCTCGACAACTAGAGCCTTGTGCCTTAGGGATTATGGAATGTATTTTGGATGCTCCAAACCATCATACCTCTATCTTCCAAAAGTACAGTGAAGCCAGAATGAAGCGCATTAGCGTTTTTGCGTATAATTGGGTTTCCAGCATTTTATAATCAACCATCCTTCTATCTTTCGTTATTCCCCCTTTTTCATGGAAGCTTTGCTTTATCAAATAATTATTTTTTTTGGATTTTTGCTTAACGCTACTTCCTGTTTTTATATGATATCTTTTTTTCTTACTTTTTGCTTGATTTAATAACATAATTTTCTATATTTCCTTTATAATTGAATAATTGATACATTTGAACCTTTTACAGCCAAACGCAAAGTAATGAAGGGGAAAGTAAATAAAATAAAGAAAAAAAGTGACCAGAAAATGAAATAGACTATCCTTGCTAAAGTAATTCTTAAAAAGTTCGGGAACCATTATTCTTCATACTCTCCATAGTATTCTAATAAACAGTGCTAGCAAATATTGAATATCAGACATCTTTAGTCTCCAAAAAATAACATTAATTTCTAAATATCTAGCTTTATCAAGTTTAAATATTCTATATATATTTTTACAGAACGTCTCTTTATTTATGTCAGTCTATAATGCTTCACTCTACGACTGCTTCTGTTAGTTGAGACTGTTTTTAGCCATTTCGTCGGGATATCTGAAAAAACGGTTTTCATAACGTATTGTTAATATCCTATGCTAGTGAATTGGGAAGGGATTAGAGCTTTTTTCCACAGCGTGAAACGTCCTAGAACATTACTTCCTCACGCGAAGTTTCCTTCATTTACAGATGTTCCAGTTAGTATTAGCCAACATCTAAGCAATGCATACGGCCGGCCTGTTGACATTCGAGGTATAGTACTAGACAAGGACGATTGTATTACCATACCGAATAAACAGAACATACCTAATGAGAATCTCAAGAAACTACGAGAGTTACAAAATAAATTCGGAAAGAGCAATATTTTATTGGTTAGCAATTCAATAGGCTCAAAAAAGCAGGATCCGACCGGAAAAGATGCCGCTTATTTTGAAGATCGCTGGGAAATCCCTGTACTTCGACATTCGAAATTAAAGCCACTTTGCGAACAAGAAGTATGGGAGTATTTCCAAGAATTTACACAAGTTCAGAATCCTTCACAGCTTTTGTTCATTGGTGACCGACTACTCACGGACAGTACCATGGCTAATCGTATGGGTGCATGGAGTTTATGGCTATGTGTTGGTGTACAAGGATCATCAAGTTGGGTAAGAACCTCTTTACTACATTATAACAATACTAATATACCGCTACCCTTGTAGATGAACAAACTTGAAGGACATATTTACCGGACCTTCCAACCGATGGGTCCAATCCTACCTCGGACGTACGAGAAAGATAATTAAACAATACGTGCTTCATTAACGAATATTATATTTCACTTCACATTCCATTTCACACACTAAATTGCTGGTGTTAGGATGGTGATATCTTTCAACGTCGTTATCAAAAAAGAATGAAAGAATCTTCCCTTGCAGTACCCACTCCCATGTTATTTCACTGAGACTTCCAGAATCCGATCTTTTCTAGCAACTCGGAGACTCTTATAAACTAGGACTAAAGCATGTCTTCATAAGGGAGAAAACAGATTGCTCTACGCAGAGAGTAGATTCCACAATCTGACGTACAGAATAAAAAAGCACAGCAGCAAACCAATATTTTCTGTGTTTAGAAGGTAATTATTTTTCTAAAGAAAAGAAAAGAAGAAAGACAGAACGGGGACACGCGTTCCTCGCAGATGGGCTTGAAAAATGTATGGGAAAACCAAACATAAACGCACATACGGGAATTAATTAATAAACATTGTAATCATAAGAACTCGTAAAACTATTGTAACTTTTACTTGCGTTACTTGGTCGTGCTGAAGGATTCTCCACAGCCACAGGTAGATTTAATATTTGGATTAGTAAATACAAATCGCGACTGCAATTCATCGTCCCTGTAATCCATCACTGACCCAATGATTTGCAATAAAGCCCTTCGAGCTACAATTATACGAATTCCATCCTGCTCCACAACTTCGTCAAATTTTTCAGGTTGCTCAATGTATTCCAACGAATATGCCTGGCCAGCACAGCCCTTTTGTTTTACCCCAATTCGCAACAGCTTATCCTTCATAGAAGGTTCGTCCAACATGCTTCGCAGATTATTCACGGCATCTGAAGTCTAATACAGGTTAGTATATGGTTTTGCAGGAAACTCTTAAAAAAATTAACAATCCGTTCAGAGAAACATACCAATTTTATAACATTTTTACGAGGCATCTGTCGAGTGGGAGCTAGTTCTTTCTTTGCGGTTTTATTGGGAGAAGGAGCGGCTGCTCGTAAACGGGTGGGTAAAGGAATTTGAATATTTTGAGGTTTTTGCAACGTCGGGTTCATATTTTTTAGGTTATGAATTTCATATAAAGAAAGAGCTCGTGTACAGTTTCGTATCAAGCCCTCACGAAGCGGGAATCTTAAAATCTGTCGTGTAGATTTGAGTGCAAGCATTCTGAAAATTTAACCAATGTTTTCTTCCGTAAATCAATGGTTCAAATTCAATTCCCAATACTATATAAAATAAATTTCAGATTGTACAAAAAAAACCGTAATTTTTAATCTCAATTCGTGTCTCCTGTGAACATCCGTTCTTGGTTAACGCCAAGAGGTCATCATACATCCACCATGTATATGAATTACCACGCTTCCTATTGGCCCATTATAGGAAACTTGGCGTTGTAATACGCAAATTACTTTACCAATAACCACCACTCTAGAACGATGCGTACGGATAGTGTCGCCTGCATTACCGTATCCTTGATTATACTAATAAGGCATGAATAGTACGATAGCGTAAGAGAAGAGAAGATGAAAAGTGGTTAGAATGTTTTAAATGAAAAGGATCGAGAATTTGTAAGAAAAAACAATGTTGAAAACTCTTATTAATCGAACAAGCTTAACAAAACTGAATGGAAACCCGAGGGTGGGCTTTTACTTGAAGATTTGAAGTGTTAAGGTAGGAAACTTGAAACAGTATACGCTATATCAACCTCGAAAATTGGAAGCAATATAAAGCCAAGAGTTTATGGAAAAGCAACAAGTATCAAAAATAAGCAATTCTTCTACTCTCTTTTCGTCCCAATCCCTGTTTATTACTGAAATGGATGACCTATCGTTAATATACCTTACGGATGGCTAAAGAGATGTAACAAAATAAAATAAAATCGTTTCAAAACGCGAAAAGTGCCAGGACTGGTAGAATTTCTTGTTATTCTTTATAAATTCCTTTCTTTTTGAGTCAAAATGAAATGAGTCAATTCGATGATCTGCATAGGAAAAGATCTAGGAACGAAGAAACAAGCAGTTCTCGTGGTGCGCGTTTAACCGCATCGCAAATTATTGCTGACGATGAAGAGGGATCAGAGAGTGAAGGATATATAGACGATGACTTGGAGAGTCCGAATGACGATCCATCAATTCGACAAGAATCCGGACGCACTTCCTCTGATAGAAACCGCAGAAAGAAAAGCAAACCGAATGCCGGCTCCAAAGCGCTGGATGAACTAGACAAAGGCGAAACAGACTCTATGAATTTCCAAATGCTCGTTAGAAATATTGTACGTCTTGCCATTTGTTCCCAAAGTTCCCATCAGGCTCTTTCACGAAAGGAAGTGATACAGCGGGCATTCCCACAAGGAAGTTCTCGAAGCTTGTTTCAGCCAGCGCTAGAAGAGGCAAACCATCAGCTTCGTACTGTGTTTGGATTTCAACTAGTGCTAGTAAATCCCTCGGACAGAACAAAGGAAATGGCCATTTCCCAACTCCGAAAACAACATACCTCAAATTCTTCGTCTTCTTCTAATCTCCCAAAGTATTGGGTACTTAAATCCTCCCTCAGTCCTGAGTACTGCAATGATCAACGACTTGTTCCTGACTCCATAGCTGATACTTCATTTCTCGGATTTTTAATGCTTACCGTTTCCCTTGTTGCTGTTTCCCATGGATACCTTAGAGAGTTAGACCTAAAATCTCACTTGGATACCTTGTTATCTTCTGATACTACTCCTTTTCAACTAGATTTAGATCGATCTCTCAATCTTCTTGTCAGATTTGGTTATTTGGACCGCGTAAAGGATGACACACATAATCAATTTGTTTACTACGTCGGCTCACGTTCCGATACGGAAATTGGTAAACAAGGATTAAAAGCGTTTCTTTCAGAATTTGTTCAAGGTACCAACCTTGACGAAGTTTTGTCTGGCTTTACCGATGATAAGTCGGAAAATATTCCCAATACAAATGAAAGCGGAAACTGAAAATCACTGCTTGCTTTTCTTTTCATTCGTTTATAGAAATTTTTCTTTTGAATACCCTCATTTCCTTTACATATATCATATTCATAATGAAATTCAATTCAATTCATCGCGTCCTAAAGATCTATCAATATTATATATTTACAAAAGAAATATCAACTAACTATAATTAAAGAATGAAATGACCATATGCATAGTGTAAACCAACATCATGCTCGAGAAGATACTGCCAGCTCTTCTTCAAGACTAGCAATTCTGTCTCGAAGCGCCCGAACGTCAATTAATGAATATCGGTTCTGCTTTTCCATGTCGGAAATTAATTTCAGTAATTCTTTTTCTCGCTTTTCAAACTGGTATTGCGCGGTAAAGACCTTGGACTTCTCGCTATTGATTTGGTCTTTCAAGGCTTTCACTTCTACGGCATGAGAAAAGGCAACCCGCTCCAAAGACCCGCCTGTCGCTTGTGGTGTCATCCCAGAATTTTTGCTTTCTTGCACTTGCTTCTCAAGATATTGCTTTTCAAGATTAAGCCTATCGTAGTCTCTCTTCAGATTCTCGAAAAGAGTCTGATTGGCATTTCGCACCTGTAAGTCAAAAATAGTCTTTCTCTCAGGAAGAGAGCTTTTAAAGGACGCTGGAGGTTTATTCTCCTTCTCAGCAGGCTTATGGTCCTTTAACCGATGAAGTTCAGCGTCTTTCTTCTTGTTCAATTCTATTGCAGAATTTAACTCTTTTCTGACTTCCTTTAATTTCAATTCTGACTCTGTGAGTTTGTTTTTAGAATACTCCACGTCAGAGGCTTTATTTCTCAACAAGGTGACTTCTGATCGCAAACTTCGGGTAGTCTTAACCTCTTCTGAAAGCTTCTGGCAATTCAATTCTAATTGTCGTTTATTCTGAAGTTCTCTCTTTAACGAACGTAACTGTTCGTTATCCTGACTAGCTAATATAGCCTTTTGTTTCTCTCCTTCAAGTTCTCTAACAGTGTTTGTAAAATCTTGCTTCAATTTTGCAATTTCACTTTCTAATAAGGGAATCCTGGGAAGTTTCTGCATGGCTGAATCGAGCTGGCCAGTTATGTCTCCAAATTTTTTCCTCAAACCGCTATGCTCATCAAGCAATTTTTGATATCGATCATTAGTAGAAAAACTGCTTGTTTCTAAACGTTCGATATCTTTCGTTGACTTATCATGTTTAAGCAGTAGTTCACGATAATCATTTTCAATCTTGCGTAAGCTGAAGATCTCCTTGTTTTGAAGCTCAAAATCTGATTTGAACCTTTCAAGTTGTCGAACTTTCTTCTGTAGCTCTTCGGATTTTGCAGTCAAGCTTTCATACTTTGATGGAAAATCCTGCAATTTCAGTAACTTGCTGTTAGCATCTTTCAAATTGCTATCAAGATCTTTAATTGTAAGCATATGATTTTTTATTATTGCTTCAAGTTCTTGATTCCTAGAAGATTGAACTTTATATAAGTTATCTTTTTCGGTTAAAGCACCAAGTTCTTTCTTCAACTGAGACATTTCCTTAACGTCAGCTTCAAGATACCCGATTTTCTGTTCAAGGTTTTCTATCGTCATTTGTTGAACTCCCTTCAGAACGTCAAGTTCTTGGTTTTGTTGTTTTAAGATCGATATATCATTAGCCATGTCTGATTTTTCGATTTTGTTTCGTTCCAATTCAGAAGACACGCTTCTTAAGGTGAAGTTCATGTTTTTCGTCGTACTCATTTCATTAGCTAGTCTTTCTTCTAATGATTTGCTCATTTCTTTAAACTTCTGAAGTTCGCGATTTAAAGTAGAATTTTTATCCATCAAAGACGACAATTCGAGCCCTTTCTTCTCGTTATCTTCTCTTAGCTTTGTTAGACCCTCATCAGTAGACGTCTTTTCTTTAGATAATGAATTTATCTCCATCTTAGCAGCCGACAATGCAGATTTAATTTGTTCAATGTCCATTCGAGAAGTATCTAAGTCTTTCTGTAGCTTTTTATTTTCTTCTCTCATTTTCTCGTTTTCAAACGATATGGACTCAAGGGTAACCGTCATCTCTTCAATGTGCTTGTTGCCTGCTTCTTTCTCATTTACAATATCAGCCAATCGAGCTTCCATATCTTTATAAGTAGCACTTAACGTTCCACTAGATTCTTCCAAAGACGCTAATTTTTCTTGAGTACGACGCAGAATTTCTTCCTTATCAAGTGCAATGGCTCGTTCGCTGGTTAGGGCATTTTCTAAAGCAAGATAAGACTTATTAGATTCATTGACTTTAGCTTCAAGACCCTCCTTAACATTCGTGATTTTCTTAATTTCGTACTTCAGTTCTATAATTTCCGCATCTCTACGCTTTAATTTTTCATCATTGTGTGTACTACTGAGCATTGGTCTTAACTTAAAATATAGCTTCGTCCAGGGATGTTTTCGAAGCTCGTCATACACAGAAATATTTGCCTGTATCTGCTTTATGGATTCTATGTCCTTTAAGCGCTTCTGGAATTTCTTTCTTTGCACAAAACCACGAATTCGAACCTGTAAAGAAATTACTATATTCTGAAGAGTATGTAGTCTTCTTTCTTCCAAACTTGCTAGCACTCCTGCCTTGAAGAAAATCTTCGAAACACCAATTCTGAACTGATCTTCTGAAAGTCCCATTTGCTGAAGTATTAGAAGTGAAGCACGTCGAGATTCGATATAGTTATCTTTCGGAAGATTTACCATCATTTCATAACGAAGCCTAAAGTCGTTAAAGGGCATCCTATTAGGAAATCCAGCACGAGTGATCCGTATTCCTTCCAAAACACCGTTGCATCGTAGTTGGTCTAAAACCAAAGCTCTGTTGAACGAATGGCTCTTCTTTTCTTCATTAGGTATGATACACCTAATAAAGTGAGGTTGTGTCGTGTTAAATTGGTTCATCAATTGATTTAACTGTTCTTTGTGCCTCTGTGCAACGGTTCGAAAAAGAGCTTTACGGGTGCGTCCACGTACCGTTTTCGTCTCAACCTCTTGGTAATCAGAGAAAAGCTCAGCTATATGCTTATTGGTAGAATGAGCAAATAACTTGGCGATATTTTCGTTCAGTGGGTCACTATTTTTTTCTAACCAACCTTCTGTTGAATAAGGTACATCGGCCGCATAATGCGTTAAAATAAAACCAGATCCAGCAAATTTAAATGGCTTATACTTGGGCGATTTGTCTCTCCATAATGCATCTAATTTAGAAACGAAGGTAGTATCTGTGGCTTTTGGCATCACACATTCTTCATCCAGGCATGATAGAATGCCAATAGGATTAGATTTCTCAATCAAATCAATAGTAGGTTGCAAATCATGGCCAAAATCCACGAAGTCCCACTTTATTTCTTCTTTCATATATTCTTCCTGCTCCAAAACAAACATATGATGATTAAAAAATTGCTGCAGGCGTTCATTCGTATAATTAATGCATAACTGTTCAAAACTGTTTGTCTCAAAAATTTCAAAACCTGCGATATCCAAAATTCCAATAAAAGTGTTCGAAGAGGTGTTTCGGCTTATTGCACTATTTATACGCTTCACAAGCCAGCCAAAGTTTCTCTCGTAAATTGCTTTGGCCAATGCCTCTACAGAAGATATAACATGTTCTTGGGACCGAGCACTCACCACCCATTCGTGACCTGCACGAATTCGTGGACGGATAAGGTTTTGGGAAAATAATTCCGGAGATACACCCAAAAGATGGCAAAGCTTATCAACATCATCCATATTGGTAAGGCGAGCAACACCAGAACGATCAGCGCCAATAGCAATATTACCTATGTGCAAAATAATAGAAATTATGCTGAACATATCAAAAATTTCTTTTTCGGTAAAACCCAAAATTTTGAAGGAGGACAACAATCCTTTAAATTCTTCAGCATCATTAACGCCCGGGATAGTAAGAGAAGATTTCTTCAGGTATTCATAATCATTAAATTCATTAGACAAAAGGAGCTTTTTTCGTAAAGCAGGGTCAGCACCATTCAGTAATTGATAAAAAATATGATAATTGCGTTCTTCTGAGCTTTGGTGAACAACACGGGATTTTTCCAGCAAATACCACTCAATAGAAGCATTAGCAATTTCACCACTGACAGAAAATTCCACTTTAATGAATTTTCCAAATCTAGAAGAGTTGTTATTGCGCACTGTTTTGGCATTGCCGAAAGCTTCAAGGACGGGGTTTGTCTTTAAAATCTGCTCTTCTAATTGTTCTCCAGATATCACATTTGGATTACTTGCAACAGCAGCAAGATACTGTATAATTCGTTTGGTATTCTCCGTCTTACCAGCACCAGACTCACCAGTAACAAGAATGGATTGGTTTTCCTTGTTTTCCAACAGATTATTGTAAGCAAGGTCAGCAATCGCAAAAACATGGGGAAGTTTTCGCTCTTGGCTTTTGTCCTTGTATAATTGAATCATGTCTTTGCCATAGATAGGTAATCGTCGATATGGATTAACAGCTACCAAAAACAAACCTGAATAGGTATAGATCTGATCGGAAAGGTATCGCTGCTCTAAATTATAGGTGACCGAGGGCTCATTCAAATTCGTCAATTCAGCCATATCGTTAACTCGGTCGAACCGACTAGGATTAAGAGGTTGGATTTCATCATGACCAACAACGCTTTGATCTCTGGAATTGTTGTATCGGACTACATATTTGCCATCATCAAGTTCTTCTTTTATCCAAGCCTTCGTGAATGCAGTCTCAGGATGTGAAATCCAAACCCATCGTTTGTTATCTATATCATTCAAGCTATTATCAGCTAAAGAATCGCCAATAGTTCCTTTTAAATTTCTATCCATATGTTCAGGTCTTATTCATATATCCCGCAATGCTGTATAGGGATAAACAAACGATCGAATTTCACAAATAGCGTGCAATTGCTAAAAGAGTGACAAGAGCTCTCAAAGAGTTCAACTAACAAAGGGAATCCTGTTCAAAACTATAAATATCCAAAAGTTATCAAAAAATTAGCTGAAGCTAAGTGGTGTGGATGGTAGCTACTATAGAGAAAGTAACTCTCAACTCCCCGCTTATTTTACCAGCGTAGTCTACAGAGATCCTTTTCATTGCGAGGTATACTGTATTGCGGAATATGCAATGCTTTTACTTTTATTAATGCTTACAGTATATTTACGGGTATATATGTATTTTAGAAAAATACTATGCTAACCATTTAAGCATATTGTTTTACAGTGCATACTAACATTAGAATTAATTATCTCTGTAACTATTCTTATTTTTTTAGTATATATAAATATATTTGGTGATAATAAAAAAAATAAGCATAAATCTGAATAATATTTCTGTTGAAAAACCCATTCAATGGTACTATGTAACGAAGCATATGGTAATAAAACCGTTGACGATAGACTATTTATATTGACGGCACACATGCTAAAAAGCCTTTTTTCTGATAGGTCGCTTTTACATTTTTCGAGGCCATAAAAATAAGATGAGATTCAAAAAGTCAAAGGGGCCAACCGGATTTGAACCAGTGACCTGGGGAGCTGCAATCCCTCACTCTACCACTGAGCTATGACCCCTTCCATTGCTAACTGTTTACCACAGATGCCTATTTACACATAGTAATACATAAAAATTGTATAAGAGAAGTATTAAAAATGATGAATTTGTTAATCCGCAGGTCTTTAAAACAAAGCATTATTGAGACTACAAGTGAGAATGAGCAATTTACTAAAACTTTAGATTCATGAAGCGTTCGATAAGTGTTGCAAATACCTAAAAAGCCATTATAAACAATCAATATATTTCTTATGAAGTAACTGAAACATCAAAATAAAAAACTAATTAGCCCAAATGCAAAAATGCTGCAATCAATATGCCAAATCATAAATAATAGTTAGAAGCGGTATTTTCAAATATTTGATAGACATCACAAATCATATATATGAGGGTATATACTTAGAGATATTGCACTTGTTAATGTGTACATGTAATGTAAGTTAAACAATTAAAAACCTCATGGATTCCTAAATATTTCCATCCTTGCGGAACCTATATACCACCAGCACTAAGCAACAAAGAAGGAACCAAGACCACATTAGTAAAAAAAAAAAAATCCTAAAAAAATAAAATAAAAATAAAAAGAATAAATATTACGTCTGATAAAACTTTCATATGTCCATTAGATTTTCTTCCTTTACAAGGTCTAATGCAAGGATTAAATGGCGATCATGAAATTGAGGATGTGTCATGCTAAACATGACATGCTTTCCGTCAGGTAGTAAATCGCTGTTGCTAGAATGGAGTCTGATATTGTTTCCTTGAATAATTTGTACTTGCTTCATTGAGCGAGAGTTCCATATCTCTATGAAATCATCACTGAATGCCATAAGGTATCCTTCGTGACATGCAATCGAATTCGGTCTACCTATCCATGGCAGCCATGCGTCCTTTTTAATCAAACTTCCCTCGCCGTTAACGAACAGAGCTCCAGTTTGATAGCAACAAGCAAATATTGCTGGATCATGAACACGAAATACTCCTAGAGGTTTGGAACTGTTTAAACGTGAGCGATAGAGAGGATCCGCCAAAACAGAGGGACTAGGAAAACTAACCGCCAATTTCGGATCTAAGCGTACAATATCTATTCCCTTTTGTCGACTGATAGCTATAGAGTATTTGAAGCAATTGATGGAATAGCAGTCCGCAAGTACTCGAAATTCCTCCAAAGTGCGGAAAGAACTGACATTCTTTAATTTGAAGTTGTAGGCTTTTTGATTATGATGACCAAGCCCAACAACAGGTTCACAACAATGGATAGAACTGGAATTACCGGATCCTTGTTTAAAGAAAATGAGTGTCCTTTCTCGTTTTAAAGATGCACCTTCCGTTAGTTTAGAAATCTTAAAGAAGGATATATTGTGAGAATTACCAACAGGTATTGCAACTTTAGGCTCTAGAGTTCCACTCTCAATTACTCGGCTTAGTCTATAGGCATACATGGATCGATCACGTAGCTCTAACAAACAGTCAAATTCCTCCAAAAATCCTATCTGAGTTACTCGTCTATGACTCGAAATTTTACGCCATTCACGAATATTGCTATTACCCCCAAAGAAGCCGAGGAAAACTCCGGTCGTAGTAGATATACAAATTGACAACTTTCCATCCGTGCCTCCAAATTGCGAAATACATGTTATATCCCCATAATTAATGGCCTCGGGTAGATCATCTTCATTGTGTATAGGATAGCTCCAAGCTGCCATTGTCAATGCTCGGTCTACTACGGATCCTTCAACCAAGCTTATTTCCGGCGATCGAGAAGACGAGTCAAGTGTGCCAGATATATCAGCAGGCGGATACTGAAAAGATACGTCGCTAACAATCTGCAATGTAAACGGATTTTTTCTGTGCATCTTTTGAGCGTGTCTTTTTCTGGCAAAATTGATTTTGTCCATCCAAAGTTTTCGGAGTTGCGAAGATTCCGTATATAAAGTGTAAGTAGAAGAAAGTCCACCAAGATGTCTTACTGTAAAAGGATAAAAATGCGGTTTTTCGGGTGTTAAATTGTTCCATGAATCCTCATTCATCCTGTCGGAATTATAATCATTACGAATATCCAAGTTCAAGCGACTTTTTCTCTTTGACCTAGCATTGAGAGATCCTTCGTAGGGGAAGTTACTTGCCAAAGTTCCTAAAAATTTGCTAGATCTTGAGTTCCATTCCTCTATTAACGGGTTAAGTACTAAGAGATCCATCGGTATTGGCCGCTTCGATACCAAGTATTTCATCGAATTTGTTCTCTTATCTCTTCTTGCTTTGGCCATGATGAAATAATTATCCAGCAAAAAAATGTGAATTTCGATCCAATCAAGACGTGATTCACTTTTTCTAAAAACAGGTCCTTCGAAAAAGAATTCTCGTTCCGGATCTCTCAATTCCAGATTGATACCTTCATGATTTTTGAATAATAATTGGTATGAAAGATCACGGATACGGTTGGACTCTAAAACTGTAGCAATTACTGCATCACATTCTTCACATGTTGCCCTTAGCTCTTTCTCAGCTTGACTAATCAACTGATAATCCCAACTTGTAGGATCTGTATGTTTAAGAATAGTATCCCATTCAAGAGTGTATCTTTGTAATCTTTGGGTTGGTCTTTGTAAGAAATGCTGAAAATCTAGTCGACGACAGCGGGGGTCTGATCTGCAACTTGCTAACCAACGAGCAAAGTACGTATTTCGTTGACATTCCAGCTTGTAAGTTTCATCAGCCAACGGAAACTGCTTCGCATAATTTATATAGGATGTTTTAGCCAAATGTACCCATTCCAAAAGAATATCTCCTATTAAAGACACTACGGGCCCTTGCAATCGTTCTCTTATGATCAATTGAGGTAAAATAAATTGCGAATGTAGCTGACGAATTGATTCAACATTTCCAAAGACAGATTGTATAAAATCAGCCACTCGGTTACTGGGTACAATGGAATTCTCTTGGACAATCCCGTCTCTAAAAAGTTCGGCAAGTGTGTGAAGATCAGCAACATAATCTGATTCCTTACAAATAAGTTCATGGATATTGTTTTGTCGAGCAACTTCCTTTTTCGTGAGTGATGAAGGCAATGAATCCTGGGGTGAGAGATTCCAAAACATATTCCAAGAATCATCACTAGTGTCCCCTTGTGAACGAGTAAGTCCATTTGTAGATTTTCTTACACACCTACAAGTATAACATGTGTACTTGGAAGAAGTAGATTTAGAACGACATGTGTATGAATAGCACCCGCCGTTTGTTAAAATAGGAAGTACGCCACCATTGGAAGGAAACTCATCATCAACAAAGGTTATATACAACTTTTCAAGGTTAATAACTTTCATAAATCCATTCTGAATCCAGTCACTAATGATGTTTTTTGCAAGGACTTCGGCAATGAGAAAGTCCATAGATGGAACTGATATTGTGAATAACATAGCCATTATTTGGGCAAGATCTTGACGAGGTGCACCATCGATCGTTGTTGCACTAAGAGCGGGAAAAACCTCTTCCTTGCACCACATAAAAAGCTTTTTAAGTGACCACGGTTCACGACAGCTACCAAACAAAGCATTCGCTTGAGTGGGCCTTGATGAGCGAGACATTAAAGGAGATGAGATGTCGCCAGAAGCATATTGCCGAGCAGGGACTTTAGGAAGTTCTCTAGGAATATGTAATTCTTTATTGGGAGAAGAAAAACTCACTGGACTAGGAGAAGACGTCAAATCCGTAAAGGAAGGATCACTCCAATATCCATAAGAGTCACGTTGAGAAACAGAGTTAACATTAGCGTCATTAATTGCAGTACGAAATGGACTTGTGGACCGAGAGGGAGAGCGACTAGGGGAAAGAGGTAAATAAGGTTCGGGAGAGAAGGAAAGAGGCTGCTCATTATAAAGAGAGTAGAAGCTGTTGGAAGAACTAGTGCTCTGTGGTGAAGAATTGTTTGAATGAGCACTCAAAAGCGGAGGACGAGGCAACGGATGAGTAACAAAAGACGTTGGAGATGGAGTTTCCGGTAAAGGACGATGCGCATCCGTACCTGGGGACATGAGGTAAGGATCTATATCTAAAGGATCGCTCGGGGAAAAATTTGTGTGAAGAGCATTGGGAAACGAAGAGACCGTCCCGTTTGGGTCAGCATCGTATAAATAGTTAGAACTCATTGTAGGAAGAGCGGGGGAAGATCGCACGGTATAAGAGGTAGTACGGCGGGAAGGAGACAAACGAGGACGCTCGGGCGTTGTAGGAAGTCGGCGTGAATGTGTGCTTTCATGACGTTTGGGTGAATTAAAAGGAGATGAAAATAAACGAAAAGAAGAAAAGTCGGATATAGAGAGTCGTTTCGGTGAGACCGGAGATGTGTTAGGTGTGGAACTAGGTGTGGAAACGGGAGAAGCCAGAAAGTCATCCGGATAATCTATGGACGTGCGTTTGTTTCTGTGCTCATGTCGAGAAGGCTTGCGAAAAATGTCATTGGAGAGCTTCATATAAAGCAAAAAAAAATTCAAAGAAGGAGAGAATCAAGAAAGATGGTATTCTAAAAAAAACAAAAAATCGAAACCCCAACTTGGAAAAGAACAAAAGAGAACTAATGTCTATCGACTGACAAGAAAGGAAAGAAACGTAAGACACAAATGCAACAGAAATAAACGCTCTATTAATTTACGAAGAATCCCAGAAATTGATTGTAAAAAGAAAGAAGTAATAACAGTAAAACGAACAAAAACTCTATTGGAACTTCAAAAAGCGGACAGAAGCCCTGAACATCTAAAGAACACAAAAAGAATTCAATTCTGCAACAGGCAGACAGAAAATGTGCTGCCAATTCTAAGCTTACGAATACAACGTATAAAGAAAAAAAGTTTGGAAAAGAGAGCGTTACGAAAAGGTCTTGATTAAAAGTCAAGAGGTGGTGGAAGACTAATACAAGATGGCTGGTTTACCTCGTAATACCACAATATGCGAACCGAGAGGTCTTCGTAGATACGCAAGAAAGAAGAAGCAATGTTAATTGGTAAGTGACTGGCTAATTTTAAAAATATGAATATCGTCAAATTACAAGAAACAACATAGGGTGAAGCCGTTTTTTTTTGGCTTTCAATTTGCTGATATGAAGCATCGTTAAAACAACATCATTCATTCAAGGGTGAACAGCTGAGAACCAATGTATGTGAGATCATAGATCGAGTTGTTTGACATAAACGCAGGGAATTTCCCAGGATTACTTATACGCCGGAGGGACATATTTAAACAAGTGGTCATATTTGACGACTTTAGAGAAGAAATACCGGAAAAGACTTTGACTGAACCTGAGAAAAAAAGCTTGGCTGTGAGCGATTGTGGAATGGATTAAACAAATTAGGATGCGATGAACTAAGTCTGAAAATAAGAGAGAAGTTCAAGTATACCAGGATAGTAGAGAACGAAGCTACGAGCTGTTAGATTCAGCATTGTCTATGTTCTTGAAACCATTGTCTGTTTACTGCTTTCGTTTGGAAGTTAAACATACCTTAGCCTGAAGCTATAGGCAAAGCTTGGGAGCATGCGCATTCACTATGCAACGGAATAAGGATACTTCATGACAATTTAATTGAGAATTAAGAAAAAGCAACCACGATGAATACCGAACACGCTCGTTATTGTTTGTCGGATTCATTTAATAAGGAAAGTTGTGGGATTGAGACAAAGTTACTATTCTATTTGGAAGGAATCCGTTTAACAACCTTTCGAACCAAATTAATTATCTTAATAGCTCTCTTCTTCCATCCTAGGTTTTCATTTGCAACTCTTGGAATGAAGTGCAAAGCTGCTGTCCTGGACAGTGATATATAAATTATTTTAATGGCTGCATGCATCGCATCGCCTTATGTCCTCATAAAAAGTTTCTATACGTGAAACTACAAAAAGTCTCATACATTGCTAGCTACCCAGATTTTTAACTAGAGCCGTTCGCTTAAAAAGCAGGAAACTTGAGTAAGACATTTGTTTAAATCTAAACGCAGCTTCCAGTTTCTATGGATTCAACAGTAATAAAACCGTCAAAAAGCATTCAAATTATACAACTTATGGTAAACTCGTTTAGCTAATGTTAATGTTGGCTTGGTAGTATGACCTCAATGTAAAAAATTTAGTTAAAGATTGATGGTGTTTCGTCGTTATATGGTGTGCATCACTGAGGCAGATCAGCTATCTTTCTTGCGGTAAGAGCTACTTTTCTTCACCACCACAACCTCCCTTTCGCGTCGCAAAAACATTCAGAATTGTCGATTAGATCGTCAAACTGACTGTTTAATTTTTTTTACAATGGAGTATCGGCATCCTAATGCATTGGATGGAAATGAAGGTTCTCGTATATACGAGGAAATTTTTGGTGCTCCACGTAAACGGGATCCTATTCGAGCTGTTAGTAGTCCAGTACTAAGCAATGATGCTACTATGAGGAAACCAGTCAACCCTCCAATTCGAAGAATTCCTCGAAAGCCGATGCCGAATCGTTCTGCCAGTTTGCAACCTTCCATTGCCGCCGATCCCTCCTACAAACAGTACTCCGAGGCTTCTCCTATAAAGATTGTAGATTATTACGATAATTCACCTTCATTTATAAATACTAGTAACCCTACAAGTCCCTTGAATGTCAAAGGAGACTACGGTTTTTCACCTTCTCTACCTCCTTACGATGATTCGATAGCACCTAATACTATCAACAAACAACCCTCACCTTCTACTTATAACCGGAGTGAATCTTTTAACTCTGCGACGAAGCTCGCTTCTTCTCCCGAGAGATATAACCCCATTGCCTATCAACGTCAAAACTCAATAGCCAGTACCGTGGTCGAACCAGAGCCCTATGAAGAAATGTGTATGAATTCGAATGCTGCATCAGCGGTAGAATCTAGAAGCAACAGCATGCAATCAAGCCATGCTTATTATCAGAATCCTCAAAATCTACCTGGGTCGTCTTCAGCTGTTAGCATGAATGTTCGTCAAGGTATAGATGTACCTCCAAAACGACCAGAATCAAGCTCTCTACATGCAACAAATCGTCAACCTTCTTTCTCATCTTCCAGTCCAATTTCCCCTGCCTCTACTATGACTTCTGGATTTAACTTTCCCGTTGCAACGTCTCCTGTAGATACTCAACCGAGCAGAACAAGTACGCCTGCTCATCCTTCTTCTCCCTTTTCCAAACCCGCAATATCAAGACCTATTTCTTCAGCATCAGTTCCCGTTCGCGGTCCTCCGGCGGCTAATCTTAGAATTGTACCTCCCCCACAAAGGAATCCTAGAAATCATTCCTTTGATCATGCTAGTATTGCACATTTGGAGGCTATGAAGCAGAAAAATCTACATGCTGAAGCTACTTCGCGTTCATATACTTTAAGTTCCTACAAGTCGTCTGAATCAGCAACTATATCAGAATCTTCAACTCATCCATCAAGTCCTACCGCGTTTACTCCTTCTGGAAGGAGCTCCCCTGCTGGAAAGCTCAAGAAAAAGCGTAAAATTTATGCTGCCTTACTTTCCCGCGTTGCTGAAGAATTTACTGCACGAGCACAACTTAATGACATTTCCAAAGATGGTCTTATTTATTCCGATGCTTTTACAGGAGACTATGCAGTGGCACTTCTTATGGGAATAATTCATACCTCAGATCGTACCCTAGCATTGCTTGTTGGTAGATCTTTAGATGCACAAAAATTTTTTCATGATGTTACTTATGACCATCGACTTCGTGATTCCCATCGAGAAATTTACCAGTTCCAAGGCATAAATTACCGGCGCCTTATCTCTCATGATGGGGGTACCCACAGGGACCGTTTTTCTCGTGATCACAATGAAGAATTTGAGTCAGGTATGCCAAATCCTTCCTCTGCCATGGAAGATATACGGTTCCCCAATGGTGTTTTTACTTTGTTAACTCGCTGTTATTCTCCTACTTGTGCTAAGGATCATCCCTGTTATTCTATCTCTTGTCCACGTCGTTTAGAACAGCAGCATCGCATGTTTGCTAAGATGAGGGCTAATGCCGAGCAGTCATCTTCCCTAAATTTTGATGACAAAGAACAAAAATTGTGGATCCATAGTGTTCCTAAAGAAATCGCAAACAGCGTTAGTGAACGTGAGCGAAAAAGACAAGAAGTTATTTGCGAAGTTATATATACTGAAAGAGATTTCGTCAAGGATTTGGAATATTTACGTGATTATTGGATAAAGCCTCTTTGGGCATCAAATTGTATACATGAACGGAAAAAGGAAAAGTTCATTCGTACTGTCTTTTTGAACGCCCTAGAAGTCCAAGCTGTGAACTCTAAACTTGCTGAAGCTTTAACCAGAAGGCAAAATTATAAACCTATCGTTGATAACATTGCCGATGTGTTCTTGGAGCATGTACCAAAGTTCGAACCTTTTATACGTTATGGTGCCGGTCAATTACACGGAAAATATGAATTTGAAAAGGAGAAGGCTAATAATCCTGCTTTCGCTAAATTCGTTTACGACGTTGAGCGAATGAAAGAATCTAGAAAACTAGAATTAAACGGATATTTAACAAAACCCACTACTCGATTAGCGAGATACCCCTTACTTTTGGAGGCTGTTTTAAAATATACTGAAGAAGGAAACCCTGACAAGCAGGATATACCAAAAGTAGTTGGTATTATCAGGGGATTCCTTTCACGTCTTAATTTAGAAAGTGGAAAGGCTGAAAACCGGTTCAATCTCTTCCACTTAAATCAACAACTCGTGTTTAAGCCTGGAGAGCATTACGATTTACATCTTCTGGATGCTAATAGACAACTTATTTTCAAAGGACCACTGAAAAAGAGGAGTACAACTTCTAGCGCTCTGGATTCCAATTCGGACGTTAGTATGTTTTTATTCGACCATGCACTGTTGATTGTAAAGCCTAAAATTATAAACAAAAGGGAAATATACAAAGTTTACCAGAGACCGATCCCCTTGTTACTCTTGCAACAATATTTAGTTGACGAAGCTGGGACTCGAATTCCTTATTCAAATAAGAGTCAACTTGCAGCGGTTTCAAAAGTGGCAAATGGGAAGCCGCCAGGAAGATTACATCCTTTCAGTCTGCAACTTTTAGGTAGACGGGGATATGAAATTACCCTTTTTGCTTCAACAGAAGTAGGTCGTGATAAATGGTTAGAACATATTGACCACCAACAAACTTTGTTACAACATAGAAGTCAATGGTTTGAAACTGTAACAGTATCATCTGATTTCTTCGTCGGTGACAATAAAGTTAATGCGATTGGTGTTTATGATAGTGGTCGTCGCTTGTTGTATGGAACTGATTATGGCGTTTATGTATCGCTTCGCAAGTCTAATACTCCTCTTCAGTTTAAGCCCGTCCGAGCTCTCAATATGTCAAATGTATTTCAATTGGAAGTTATTGAAGAATTTAATTTATTACTACTGCTATCTGATAAAACACTATACTCCTATCCATTGGAAATGATAGAGGCGGAACCCAATCAAGCGCCGAAGAAGCCTAGAAAAATTTGCGGGCATACTACCTTTTTCCGTGTTGGTATTTGTTTGGGGCAAGTTTTGGTTTGTGCAGTTAAAAGTTCGGTATTAAGTGCTACCATCAAAGTCTTCGAACCAGTACCACATCTCGCTAAAGGAAAGAACCTGCCCAGTTTTAAGAAGCTATTGGCAGTAAACCAAGACCCTTTACGAATCATTAAGGAACTTTACATCCCTACAGAGTCAACTTCAGTACATTTCTTAAAAAATAAGCTTTGTGTAGGATGCACCAGAGGTTTCGAGGTTGTTAGTCTTGACAATCTAGAAACTCAATCCCTTCTTGATCCTGCAGACACTTCGCTTGAATTTGTCGAACGCAAAGAAAATGTGAAGCCGATTGCTATATACCGCATGAACGGTGGTGAATTTTTGTTATGTTATACTCAATTTGCATTCTTTGTGAATCGTGATGGATGGCGTTCTCGTTCTACTTGGTTTGTCGTCTGGGAAGGCACTCCTCAAAACTTTGCTCTTAGCTACCCATATATACTAGCATTTGAGCCATCTTTCATTGAAGTCAGACATGTGGAGACGTCAGAACTAGTGCATGTTATTCCCGCTAATAATATCAGATTGCTTGCGGATGGACGAGGAAAATTAGGAGAAGGCGGTGAGATTTTTTATGCTTGTGATCAGCGTAGAGACAACGTTGACACAAGTGTCGTCTGTTCCCTTCGACTGACCAGTGCTGATGCAAATGTACAAGTAAAGGAAGCTTTGACTCCAAGCAAATGAGTCTTATGATGAAAACGATGTCATTCGTTCTATTTATTTAGGTTAATATTTTATGGGTTACATTTAGGTTCATATTTTATTTGAGATTTAATTTTTAAGGGTACATGAATTTAATGACGAATAAAATTTTTTGTGCTTGCATAAATTTCTCGTAAATAATTCATCGGATATCACAAAAAAGAATGTACTTTATGGCAAAAAGCAAAATGAAAGAACGTTATTATAAAGCATAAGCTTTTATTCCTCATATTCGAGAGGGTCACCATATACCCACATGCCAATATGATTGAGGCGTGCCTGTTGCTGGCAATCTTGCAAAATGCTTAAACTGGCAGCATCTTTCTCAAATGGTGCTAGTTTTCTTCTAGGGGTAACGCTAGCCATACCAAGAGCAACCAACTGGGTATTGATACAGTCTGAGAAATCAGCACCATCACTAGGGTTATAGAGGGTCACTGAAGCAACATTATCTGTCTTACCATCAATTTTAGCCACGAGGCCTTTGTTCATAGCAAGCTCTCTAAAAACGAGCTTGGCATCTTCGTAATAATCAGAGTTAGAAGGAGGAAGCTGGACAAATGTAAGACGGGAGAGTTGAGCTTGAGGTTTTAATTTTGAAAATTTTTCAGGAAGGGCATACAAATTTTTGAAAGGAGTTTGTTCGACACTGCCGTAATCGTACAACAAAACATCGGCACTCTGATTTTCTCTATTGCAACGTAAGATTTTTCCACGGTAGATTCCATTGTCAAGGGTAGAAATAGCAGCAACGTTCATTCCAACATTGTAGCGATCCAATGACTGAGCGGCCTTTCTGTGATCGGATAGCTCGGACATCAAATTTTCTAACTGTTGGATGTTGGGGCCAGCGACTTGAAAAGAAAACTTTCCGTCATCAGCAATATCACTAAGCGCAACATCCAAATACGTTGGTTCGGAAGCAGCAGAATCAGAAGGTGCGTCGGTTTTTTTCTGAGCAACTTCAGGTGCATAGTTATGCCAAATGCCAACTTTCTTTTCCCTTGCAGAGGATTCGGCATCATGGTACTGGGTGTATTGAATATTTGATTGACTAGAATAACCTTGACACCAGGCCAAACCTTCAGTCAATAAATCCAAAGCAAAGTTTGATGTACGGTTGACTGTCAAATCACCTAAGAAACAAGAGTTATTGTCTACTGAAAGAACTTCTACTTCCACTTCCTGTTGTAACAATGATTTAGCATTGTTAAACGATTCAGTTGCAAAAGGCTCTTCCTTGTCTTGGGCATTACGAGCAGTTCGTGGGGTACGGATTCCAGCACAAGCGAACATAAAGAAACAATTTTCCTTTGGACAAAAACAGCGGAAACGAGAGCCACTGATAACGTTTTCAATGACTACAGGAAGTTTTCTGTTTCTTTGGAGGGACGAAAGGTTCTGACGAGATCTTAAAGGAGTTTCGGAAGCATTAACAATTGCTTCGTATTGAGGCTTCTTTCCTGACCACATGCCCTTCTTAGCTTCTTGAGCATTTTTTTCAGCTTGAATTAGATGATCATAGATAGGGGAGCGGTCAACATCATCAGCTCTATGTCTCAAAACGGAAGCGTAGCCATTTTCGACGGCTAACATGGCAAGGTTTCTTCCATCGCTTAAAGTCACAGTGCAAGCATTGATTTCAGGTAATCCATTCTGGGCAGGACGAACAAAATCGAGGGAAACATTAACTCGCTTGCCGATAATTTTTTTACGGAAAAATTCACGGGCATCAAGCTGGTAGGGAGCTTCTTTCTCGTTTGATGGTCTAGGATGGCGTATGCTACTTAGTTGGAGTCTGGCATCTGAACCATCGTCGCGACGTACTTCAAGAGTATCAGTCGAAACGACACGAGAAACGATACCGCTATAGTCACGAAGAGAAAGTGAACCAATATTAGGTAATTTAACATTCTTCCAGATACCTAAATTGGCGGCCTTCGCCTTACCTTCAATAGTTCGCAGGTTCTGCATAGCCTCTGGACCAAGGTTTATGCTATGGAGGTCGGCAACACGACCAAGACCACCAGAAAGAAGCACATGAGCAATGTTTCCGGCGGGGTGAAGTACATTAGCGATGAAGCTCGTGTTACTTGGCGTCACACCCAACAATTCAATAATAACGTTTCTTTGCAGAAGTCTTGTTTCAACAAATTGTCTCGCAGCATCACCGAAAGGTTCCTCCTCGGTAGGTGGTTGGTCGTTGTAAGTATGGGTAGCACGAGGACAGCGAACACCAGCAAGTGATACATTAATGTACTGATGGCGTCTGGGCTTCAAAAGAAGGCGAACCCGCAATTGATCACCATCACGGATATTTTCAATAATACCGTTCAATTTCTTCTTTTGGTTTCGTTTCATAAACTTGGGAATGTCAGCAGGGACGGATTTTTCTGTTTGAACGGCATCTTCTAAATTACTCCACACACCAAGTTTGCTTTCTTGAGCTGCGGCTTGAGCTTCCTCCAATCCTTTGAAATAAGCATTTTCGTGATTAGACTCTCTACGGACTGCTTCAGGACGAAGCTTGGCTAAGCCAGCGCGTAATAAAGATTCAGTCAGATCCAAATCAGCAGTACGGATGCAACCGTATTCACGCTTGGTAGTAGGAGCAACGTTGAATGTACATGTCGAAGCAGGGCGACCTACAACAAGACGTCGTGCATGTTCTTGAGCCTCAAAAGCAAATGGCTCGTCACCTTCTTTCCGAAAACGAGGGCAATCAATGTAAGCAAGAGAAAACTGCTTTTCATTGATTTGTTTCAAGTTATTCTTTACCAAAATAGTAAAACTATCACCGCTATGAGCGTATTTAATCATTGAAGAAACATATTCACTCATTTTATTATGAATCGAAGGTTTTGGTAAAGGATGGAATGATCAGATGGTGGATGCGTACCTGCTTATATGAGAGAAGAATGGAAGTATAAAGGAATAAAATTAAGAATAAATAAGTAGATAATGAAAAAGATAATTGGCTTATACACTCTTTCATTGTAAATACATAACTCCCAGAAATTCGACTTGCCCTTTATATGCGGAATTTCTACTTTTTCTGCTTGCTTCCTTTGGATAACTTTTAAATCTTTTAATATTTCTTTACTAAATTCTTTCTTTTCTTTCTGTCCTTCTGTATGCGTAGCAATAGTATACACATTTGCTTATATGAGGGTATATAGACGAGTAAATTTAGCATCGTAAATTGAACAGCAAGCTTCTAAATTTATTTTTATACCAAATATATCTCTTTTACTTTTTTCTATAAAAAAAAATAAGCGAAAGAAATTATTCTGCTTTTTATTGTTTTATTTGTTTACAATAAACAAGGGTCCTTAGTCTGTACCTTTTCTCGGTAAAAGAGTATGTTATATGGTCATAAAATTAACTTTTTTTAAATAAAAAATTACCTATAGTTATTGAAAAGAGAACTGGCATCGATTTTCGAAATTATCCTTTTAAACTGTCATTTTATAAGAAATTACTCCTTTATAGGATACAAATTCATTAAGAAGATGGTCTGTACGATATTGTATGAATCGACAATTCTGCATGTTGAAAATCATTATGGGTTAAAAAAAAAAAAAAAAAAAGAAAAGGAGTTTTCTTTTCATAAATAAATGAATTTACTCCAAAATCTACTTACAAAGCTAGAGATACCTCCGAGAATTTGAAACATCAAACCTATCAATATCGATTTCTATGTGAAAGCAAACACAGTCAGAGAAAAAGAAAAAGAACTTATTTTTAGATATTTATAACAATCTTTCCAAATGAGACGCCACTACTTCTTTTCTTATTTCGGCTGTTTATTTACTCAACGATGCCATTTATTATCCCTTTTAAGACACGTTTATATTTGGTTCATTCTAGTTAGTTCTCAACAAGACAACGTGGCCGAGTGGTTTTAAGGCGTTCGCCTGCTATCAAGTAGCCCAGCGGATTCCCTTTGGGAGCGCAGGTTCGAATCCTGCCGTTGTCGTCAATAATACATTTTTGTTTTTTTTAAATTCATGAGAATGCTATGGTAAACAAATCAATGCAATCCAGAGTGAAATCATTTGTCTACGCAGTTGTGGTTTGGTTCTCTGCAGTGTTCCTTGATTGTGTTTTTGGTTTCTGAAAACGCATCGATGGATAGGATTCGCAAAAAATTGACTCAAGGTCATCAGTATCCATAAATCACAACCAATTCTTATTTATCTACTCAGTCTGTAACATTCATGCCTTCTCAGTCATCGCCTATAAAGTGTTTACAGTACCAATATAAAGTAACAAAGAGTAACACGAAAAATCAGAAATAGTAAAGAAAGGAAGAATGAGAGGAGTTTTAAGTCATGTTAAATTGGAAAAGCAATTCTAAGATGGGTTATCATTTGTGGCTTCGTTTTCGCTTCTTCGTAGACAAATGGACTGCATCAGGATTTCTACGATTCATGGCGAAAACACGAATTAATATTTTTTTTCTCTTCAATTCAACAGGTGCTTTAAGATTTTTTTGTATGTGCTTTCAATTCCTTCGTGATTTTTGTATTCTTACTTCTTCGACTTGTATAGACAACGAACTACTATCCTAACCTCTTCAGCAGAACCTTTGGAATTTGGACTTTACGGAGTTTGTTAGTTTACAATTCTAAATTGTTAAATTAGACTTTGTTTAGTTTTGTTTTGTTTAGCTTTTACTTTTTCATTGAACTCTAGGATTTTGCAGACTTTATTTCCTTGGATTTCTTAGGGCTGTCGATTTCAAGACCGCACACTTTCTTTTTAACTTTTCTCCTTTTAAAAAATCTATCATAGAATTTAGCAGCTATGCTTTGTCTTCGTTCTTCTCGTATTCTTATCCGGCAATCTGCTTCGTCGTTAGTCGCGAATGGCTGTTTTCGTCGAGAGTTTCATCGTTCTCAATTTATACAAAAAGAAAGAGAACAAAAAATTGAAGCTAACAAAGATATGAGCGATGGCCCTTCAGATGCTCATCCTGCTAGTTCTGTACTTGCTGGTACAATCCTCAAAAACCTCAATATTAAAGCAGGCGGTGTTGATCCAGTAGCCAAAGAAGATAACGAATATCCTGAATGGCTTTGGACTCTTTTAGATGCTCCTGCTTCAGACTCTCGCACTGCTTTAAGCCGCTCTCGCAAGAACGCGATTCGTACATCCAACTTTTTGAAAAAGAAATAAGCCCTTACGCTCCAATAGATTCGTTCGAATAAGAATACGTTTTTCGAATACTCTTCTCCCTTCTCTTTTGTCACTTCCTATTTTTTTGTTTTTTCCTTTCTTACATATGCTCCATTATATTCCCACAGCATTTTATCAGATAATGTACAGATTTAAAAATAAAATATTTACAAAAAGGTCATTATAATTCTGATTTTACAAAATCAAACCCTCCAGACATCAAACACTGCTGCTACTCAAAATACAAATTGCTCTACTACTCATCTTTGGCGCCTGACTTATGGATTCTTGAAAACTCATTAATTCCGAAAACAACAATTGCAGAACAATAAGAGTATGTCCACCAAAATCATATTAAGTGATGTAGAAAAAAATGTTGTGAATCTCTTGAAAAAAACAGCCGAATTTATTGAACAAAGTCGTGGAGGGAACGCAACAGTTGAAGTACGTCTAGCAGGCGGCTGGGTACGCGATAAACTTCTGGGGTTTTCCAGTGATGATTTGGATGTAACATTAAATAAAATCAATGGTATCGATTTTGCTAAAGCTATCTTGGAATATGTGAATGTGTTGGACCCAAAAATTGCTATCCCTTACAAACAGTCAATTGGAAAACTGACTGTGAACCCAGACCAGAGCAAACATTTAGAAACAGCTACCCTTTCTCTTTATGGATTAGACATTGATTTCGTCGGTTTACGGGAAGAAATCTATGACGACAAGAGTCGTATCCCTGTAGTTCACCAAGGTACCATAGAAACAGATACATACCGTCGTGATTTTACTTTGAACTCATTATTTTATAACATTCGAAGCGAACAAATAGAAGACATCACAAAACGTGGATTCACTGATTTAAAAAACAGGAATTTGGTCACACCTATTTCACCAATTCGATCCTTTCTAGAAGACCCTCTTAGAATTCTGCGCGGTCTAAGATTTGCTTCCAGATTTAAGTTTACACTAGACCCTTCTCTTCATGATGCTGTGCAAAATCTTGGAGTTCAAAAAGCCTTCAACATCAAGGTCAGTAAAGAACGTGTCGGTGAAGAAGTTGAGAAGATGTTACGAGGACCAAATCCAGATCTTTCCCTCCATCTAATATATTCCTCCGGTGCATCTTCCTTTATGTTTGGTCCCATACCCGATGGAAAGAACAAAGTTCCTCAAAAATCTGTGGAAGCCGCTATACATCTATTTAAGCAGTTTCAAGAACTTTTCTCTAAACTTCCGTCTTTAAGTGATGATGACCGATTTTCCATCTGGTTATTTACTGCTTTGCTCCCTTGGGCTCAACAATCTATTATTCAAAAGAAAAAGTTAACCTTTATACCTGCGGTGTTAGCTAGAGATAATCTGAAACTGAACAATCATGTTATTACTCAATTAAATACAAGCTGTTTATACGCCGACGTGTTTGATGCTCTTGCAAACGACTTAGCTAAGGCTACTCGTAGCGAAATTGGGAATGTGGTTCGTCAGATTGGAAAAAATTGGGCTGTAGCTTTTCTTTCTTCTCTTTTATACTCATACTGTAAACGAGAAGACGAAAAAATTTCTGACGTGTTTATGAAATTCTCGAACCTGTACAGTTTAATTTACGATCAGAACCTACAAAAAAGTTACGAAATAAAACCTTTGTTAGACGTATGTAAGTTTTATTTTTGGATTTTCACTAACAGTGACTAGGGAAAGCAAATCATTCAAAAGATGGAAATTAAACCTGGCCCCGAATTGAAGACAATCATGGAACAAATGATTTCTTGGCAATTTGAGAATCCAGAAGGAACAGTCAGTGATTTAATCACATATCTGCAGTCTTTAAAACAAATCATGGAAGGAAAATAAAATTGGAATCTCTGAGCAAGTTGGATTTAGTGTGTCTACTCGTCTTGATACAGGTCAGCAAATATTTATAGAATTTACCAATCTCGAACAAGCTCTTTGTATTCGTATTCTGTAGTTTCAGGTAGAACTTGTGTACAATCGGGATAACAGTAATTAAGTCTAACATAACAGCGTGTTCCGGTTGATTTATCGTCAAAGTGTCGAGTTCCACATGAAGCGCACTGCAAATCAAGTTGGTCAAATTGCTCTATAATTTCGTTACCCGTGCGGCTAGGATAGTCACCGTCACATTTGTATATAGCAGTACACCAGTTCGCTGTATAGGAAGTATACCCATGATAAATCAATGAACGATTGTATTTCATATAAGCATAAGGGCATGCTCGACTTTCACCTCGTAGCATAGGGCATAACATCGAGCCTTTGCAATCGTTAGGAGCAACAGAATTGTCATAACCAAGGAAATTAAACAAGCTTTTATTCTCCTTGTAGCCTTTGACAGGACCGCTTGGCATTGATTTCAAATCGTGCGCATCTTTTGAAATTGGTGAACCAAACGACTGATAAACCTGAAGAAACGAAAAGACGAAAGAAATAAATATTTCCTGGCGCATTTTTAATTATTATAAGGTTTACTGCTTTTACAAAGAATTTACGGAGACAAGGCGCATATAAACCTGTAGCACCTTGTTTTCGTAAACAAACAAATCGAAAACAACACAAACAAAAATTTTACAGCTCTCCCAAAGTAAAAACATTTATGAGTTTTCTTGAAAACCCCATAAAGAATTATCATCTATAACTGAACCTTCTGATTCTTCATCAGAAACGTTAGTTGCTGGCTTGGAAGATTCTTGTTGTCTGTTTTGGAAGCTTTCTTTTATTAAGGAGAGCTTTTCTCTATAATCTCGATTTGAATCGTCAAGGTAGAGAGCGTCATAATCATCAGGACGTAAATTAATATCTGTCTCGTCAGACAAGGTGCGGCTATTCGAAATTTCTTTTTCATTTAGATCAGATGCTTCACTTTGCTTTTGGAGTTCTTTTTCTTGAAGCAAAGACTCTTTCTGTGTGGCTTGCTGTTCAATGTCGTTAATTTCATTTTGAAAAAACGACCATTCCTCATTTATAAGATTTTCATTTTTTGGTACTGATTCATCAAAAAAGTCATCTGGTAAGCTGGTTTTGTTCCGGTCACCACTAGCCATTTCATCGTTAGAAGAGTTCAATCTTGCTTGAGAAGAGCGATCTGGTATAAAATCATCTTCTGAATGTTTCGTATTATCATCATTGCGTAAAGCTTTCTGTTTTTTATTGTCTTGATTAGATTCACTTCGCGTCCGTTTTACACCAGTTCGTTCTTGTTTGATTCTTTGAAGTAACTCTCGGGCATCTCCCATTATATACAAATATAATTTCTTTTTTATATAATTATCCTTTAATAAGCCAACAATCAAAATTCGACTCAAGGTACCTTGTCTCTAAGTCGGGTTTAGGTGTAGCCAAGACTAGTAACTACTCATCACTTACCATCCCACCAAATCACATAAAATCTTTTAATAGTTAACAAATATATGATTAGTTTGTTATGGATTCGGGAATACGTTAATTTAATACGACCTAATTACATTTAACGGCTAGAATACGAATTGGTATGAATATAAGCGTTCTGAAATAGGAAACTTTGCTAACGAAGCTTCCACAGAAGATTAACAGTTCTATTAGAAAAATGAGTTTAACTAGAAAATCTACAAGAAAAAGAAAGGTTACTACAAAAGCTGCTGAAGGAGATTTTGTAATTGATAATGAAAACGAATCGGCAGTTCGTTGCATTTGCGGTTCTCAATCAGACAACGGCGATGTCTGGGTTCAATGCGACGGTTGTGATTGCTGGCAACATGCCGGCTGTGTTGGACTTTCAGAAGAGACAATTCCTGAAAGCTTTTTTTGTGAAACATGCCGACGACCAGCTGAAAGTGATCATGAAAATGAACAGGAAGAATTATCTTCTAAAAATTCACAATTTTTACATTCTGTTGTTACTCAACCTCCACACGATTCCTACATAGAAGAGGGAAATGTGGATGAACCATCTGAAACTATTTCCACGAATGTAACTAAGTCAACATTTGTTCCGGAAGAAAAACAAGAATCACCTTCTTCAATGTCATTACAATTTTCTTCTGATAGCACTTCGTCTTCTGACGGCGTTTCGGATTCTGCCAATTTTACTGCGGGTAAGCGGAAGGTGGCTAGTTTTGGACTCCCTTCTTACGCTTCCAAACGTGCCAAAGGAACAGAGCAAAGGCCACAAATCGAGACGGCTTCCCAGGAAGATTTGAATATAAGTTTATCGATAGAGGAATTAAAAAACCCAGTCCGAAAAAGTGTTGCTAAGGCTTGGGTCTCAGTTTTTGAAACAATCTTAAAGAAGGCTGACCAGGAGGGAGTTACTGGTTTAGAAGGAATAAATCCCACGGTCTCAGCTCTCAAGCTGGAAAATACGATGTTTTTAGAGCTTTCGTATAATGAAACCCAGAGTGCGAATCCAAATAACAAATATAGAGAAAAGTTTCGAGCTCTTCGCTTCAATTTGGTAGATGATAAGAATCCTGCTTTTCGTGCTCGCGTTTTAAAACAAGAAATTCCGTTTTCTAAACTGGTTCACATGACCAGCGAAGAAATGGCAAATCCTGATTTGAAGTCTTTGGCTGAAACTATTCGTCAGCAAAGCACTGAGAATACTGTTCTTAAACAACATACTCTCGGTTATCGCATTCGTACTATGCAGAACGGCGAAATGGTAGTGCAAGATGAACAAGGTGTTGATGTCGATACAAACAATTCAACTATAACTTTGCCTAGCAAAGTAACTATACCTCCTCTTCCTCCGTCTGAAGAAAATTCTGTTCCTGAGAAGACTCAATCACCTAATATTTCTGAAAGCAAATCTACTTCCAATTCAGACGAACCTTCTAATGAATATATTAAGAAAGAAGATACTAGTGAAATAAAAAGAAATGTAAATATACCTTCGATCGTTGAGATTGATGATCCTTCTGTACTAGATATAGTCGAGAAGGAACCACTTGTTAATAATGAGCATCTATCCTCTCCATATTCACCTAAAGAAGACGAAGATGTTTCAAAAGTAGAGAATGCTTCGCCCAGAACGAATGCTCTATGGAGGGGAAAGGTGAAAATGGCGTCCGTCTCTGAATTTTCTGCGGAAGCTATATTATCGAGTGGTCATATCGACCTCAAATTTCTGTTTGAGATTTTGTCTTCAACTGCTTTAATTGAAGGTAGAATTAGTATTGCTTCAACTCTTCAGTATTTGCAAGCATTACAAAAGTCTCAGTCGAAGATCATTGTCTCTGTCTTGTTCTTTCCAACTAGCAGCAATGAAATCGATGGATTTAATGTTTTATATAATTATTTTTTAGAACGGAATCGTTACGGTGTCTTACGTTCCAAATCTGCTTCTGTCAAGGACGCGTATATCATCCCTATTCCTTCAGGCGAAGAGATTCCTGAAGTACTGAATTTGCTGCACGATTCCAAGTTAGTGAAAACCCGAGAATCTTTGTCTTTGTTAGGGGTTTTTGTTATAAATAAGACTAACTCGAGAGGTGAAGGCATTGAGAGTACTTCCTCTTTGGGTTCAGCTTCTGCGCTTCTATCTTCTCTCCCTTCTACTAAGCCCGTTCCTACTCAGAACGAAGATAGCTTGGATTATTCACTAAAAAGATTACTTAATGTGCTAAGTCTAGAAGACATATATTTAATAAGGCATGTTGTAGAGAACAATCCTCTAATTAAAGCAAATCCAAATCTCGCGATTGATCCAAAGTTTATGCAAAAAGCAATCCTTGACGAACAAAACAAATTCACGAAGTAGCCATTATGAAGTTGCGTTTTACTCGGACTTGATGATATACTTCTTCGAAGTACGGTTGGACAGTTATTTTTGGTAATGAGCTATTCATCAAAATTTATGAAAGAAAATGGTTGATTTTGCTAATTGGGTATTTTGAGATTAGCAAACAAAGGAATAGATTTTTTGCGTAGGTATTTATATGTAAATAGATTTGTATCTTTTTATTACTAGCCTTTCAGTAATTTATTGTAAGGCGATAACTTTCTATACCGCTTAAAGAGCACTAACATATATCTCTATAGCCTAAATTTAATCTATTGAAGGTATATTAAGCAAACATGATCTACTATGAACGTTTAAAAATAAAACCATTATATTTTTTTCTGGTTTTTGCTTTGTCATGACTCAAGTAATATTTATTTAACCAAGGCGAATGACACCACTAGCGATAAGTTTGTCGATCTTGCTTTTAACGGCAGGACTCTTCATGTGCTCCATTAAAGCGGCAGGATTTTCACGAGCCTGACCAAGGATAGCTTGCATAGCGGGATCTTGGAGAATAGCCAAAACTTCGGGATCGTTTTGGATACGAGCCATTGTTTCTTCTTCAGTTTCATTTTGTCTTTGAGCGGCCATTGCGTTCATGCACTTTTGCAATTGTGAGTCGATTTCGCGGATGTTCTTACCAGAGTTAGGCTCTTTACGGTCGACGTCAGCAGCAGCATTGCAAGCATCAATACATTTTCCGTAATCCTTCAACATAAACAGAGCTTGAGCTTTACGAACATAGGCTTTAGCAAAAGTGGGATCTAACTGAATAGCATGGTTGCAGTCACGAATGGATTCGGCGGGTGCCATGACCTTCAGGTAAGCTGCAGCGCGGTTGCCGAAACCACGAGGATCAGTGGGAGCACGTTTAGTCATTTCAGTATATTCCTTAATGGCACCAGCAAAATCACCGGCCTTAAAAAGGTCGTTACCCTTGGCGCGGGCTTCATCCGCCTTGGCTGGGTCAATGTAAGATTCACGGTCTATTTTTTCTTTAAGCTTTTCAACTTCCTTCAGCTTTGTAAGAATATCGGGGCTGCGGTGTTCAGTAAGGGAGCGCTGAAAGTATTCGATAGCGTTAGCAAGATCGCCACGCTTTTGGTAAGTAGTACCCAAACGGCCGAGGGCCTTGGCGATTAACTTGAAATCAGCGCGTAAGTCTCGACCTTGTTCAATGGCTTCTTTACAAGTAGATTCACAGTTGTCCAATTCATCAGCTTCATAATAAGCAGCAGCGAGGTTATTTAAATAAGTGATGTCCTTGTAAGTTTCCCATGCCTTTTTGTAATGCTCAATAGCAACAGGGAAGTTACGCTTCTTGTAGTTTTCGTTACCGACTTGTTTGGCCTCATCGGCCTTTTTGCGAAGAGCTTCTTGGCTGGCATTTTCTTCGATTTCTTCGGGAGTCTTATCTTCCTCCATAGGTTGGGCGGCGGGCTCGGGCTTGGTTTCTTCCTTAGGAGCAGTTTCGGGTTGGGAAGGTTCAGAAGAAGAAGCAGCCTCGTTGGCGTTAGCAGCAGCGTCTTCCTCACCCTTCATGTTAATGTCGATACCCATGAGCATACCAATCACCTTCATCATGCGTGGATCATTCAGTTCCGACATAATAGAGCCGGGATTCTTTTGGATGTTTTGGAGTTTGCTCATAAAGCTGGCATCACCTAACAAAGATGCTGTTTCGGGATTACTAGCCAACTTTTGAATAAACTTGGGGTCATTCAATTGAGAAGTCATTTTGGCGAATGGATTAAAGCCACTATCCCCGCCAGCGGAGCTTTGTGCAGCCTCAACACTCTTTAAACCGTTCAAGAGTTGGGCATTGTTAGAGTCAAACTTCAAGCCTTCTTCAAAAGCAGCTTTAGCAGCTGTCAAGTCACCTAAACCGTGTAAGGCTGCTCCTTTACGCGACCAACCTTTAGCCCAGTCGTGCTTGATGTCTGTACATTTGGTGGCATCTTCTAAAGCGTTTTTGTAGTCCTTTACTGATGCATAACAAGCTGAACGGTTCGAATATAAAATATGATTATTACCGTCTAATTGGATTGCTTGTGAAAAGTAGTCAATCGCTGTCTTGTAATCCTTTTGGGCAAATGCAGCATTACCCTTTGCTTTCAAATCTTCTGCCATTTTGCTCGTTCTAAGTCCTATTTCAATGAAATTTTCTTCGTAACCTAAATATAACACCAGATACTATTGAAAACAATCCTTATACGCGTTTTCTGACTTGTTTTCGTTTCTCTTTCGTTAGTTTCTCGCTTTACGAACAAACTACGCTCCGGTCAACTTGACTTCTAAGTACCTACCCAGTGCGCTTTATAAGGGTATGACGATTCCCACCAGCGAACCTCTACGAAAGATCCAGAATAAGCAAGATCGTCTACCATACTTTCTCAATCAAATAACAAGGATAAACAGACAATTTTGTATTTTTTATAGTTTATGTTTTATTTTGTCCGTATATCCCACTTTACATTCGGCTCATTCATGTCTGGTCAAAAGTTGCCTTCCACTGCACTACATTCGTAAATAAATAAATGAGCTATCAAAATAAAAACTAAAAAATTATAAGAAGTCATAGCTTTTTCTAGTAGTAATAGTTGTAATTGTATTATCTTGCTCTCTCTTTTAATTTTCATGTGCTATTTCATTTTTCAAACCTCATTCACTTTGACTTTGAATACTGACGTTCGTCTCGTCAATGCGAAATCATTTTTCGACGGGAACACTTCGTTACAAGCAATAGAAACAACATATATAAACCGAATAAAAGCCAAGTACACCATACTTAGATCAATACTCTTGAAGAAATACTGCGAAACTAAACGGACATCTTTTAGTAGCGCGATTACTAGAATCAAACATGTGAGACAAGCATACACAACTTCATTGTATCAATAATGATAGATGAAGAAAAGAGAAAGAAGAGAGAAAGAAAAAAAAATAAAGTAATAAGTTGTATTAAAACGTTCATACAAATCCTGTGGCATTAAATATTCGTAACCTGACCAGAAAACTTTCCTAGATTATAAGTCAATTTATAGAGGTATTCTTAAAAACAAAGACTTAACTACATACTTCAGCATCAACCAGCTGTCAAAACAAGCAATAAAAAACTCCAATCCTTTTCGTGAAGGTATATACTTGCTTGGTTTGGATTCCACCACTAAATGGCATGGTTAAAGCGAAATTACAAATAGATACCCCTAAGAAAAAGAACCCAAACCCGAAAACGCTTACTTTTAAGCATTCCTTTCTCCAATATATATAACCCAAATTAATTTTCCTCTAATTGTGAAAGAGTTTTTTGATCCGGCATTTGTGCATCGTGGTATTCGTCCACAGATCCATTATCACTTCGATAAGTTACGAAACTAGAGGAAGCTGGGTTAGGTCTTTCACGAGAATTTGGAGGACGAGTTCCATTCAAGCCTGTGTTATTAACTTGCTTGCGAGGATCTGGTCCTTGCATTGACGGCTGAGGTTCTGCACCTCCACCGACGAGGTTCCGAAAGTGTGAACGATCTCTTTGGCTGAAAATGGGTATAAAACTGTCTAATCTACTAAGCACTTCAGCGTCAGGAGCATTGTACGGTATATCCATATTTAGCAGATATTCCTCAGGTCCAGTTTGCTTGAAAAATCTGGGCTGCCATTTTTCACCGTTAGCTTCCCGAGCCTTAGCCTTCTCGCGTTGACTATCTTCAATTGCAGTCTTTGATTTTGTCGCGAGTGATTGGTCACGAGCTTTAACGCCTTCGCAAGTTTCATACCACAATTTTTGTGACTCGTAAGGTGCCTGCTCTTCCAAGGGCCGAGATGTAATAGGATAAACGGGTAATTCCGTGACATCCAAAAATGTAGATGACTTCCCAGTGCTAGCATTTTCTAAAATTATTTCAGAATCCCATTTTCCGGAGAGTTTGTACAACACCTCACCTGTGCTTATACGCTTTACTTTTCCTGCAATAGAGTTGTACGTTCCACTAATGAAACCTTTTACTTTGAATTCAATATCAGCTGCCAAATCCGTATTTGGGCAACGTACGGTAACGTGGTCTCCTAATTCTATACGCATTTTGCCAAACAAAATGCCACGAGCATACATATTAGGCTGGGTTAGGATGTATTCCTCGTTCCGTTCTAAAAACTTCATCGTAGCAACTCCTTCCATTATACTTGCCGCAGAATTGCCCAAGAACCGCGATCTGGGTTTTAGCACACCGTCAACGCGAATTTTGTATTGCGGGCAATAATAAAAATAAGCACTAATGGGTGGGTGATGGCTCACTTGTTCGGAAATATACACAGCGGTACCATTCAAGTTTTCCAATCCGGGACTTGAGGGGCCAGCGGGAGGAAACTTCCAAAATCCTGTAAATGTCTCTCCCAGAACCGGGTTCAGTGGTTTTTTCACACCTGGAGGACGAATATGCCACCCTGAAAGGTAAAATCGGCACACGTCTAAAAATCTTTCTTCAGCAGAAGGAACCTGAGGAACTGTAAGAAGAAATTCTGGATGACTCATAAAGCTAGTCCATTTGGTTAGTTCATCAAATCCAACATTTATTGATACCAAAGATGCTTTTCTAAACACCTCACACAAAAAGAGAACAACATACTTTGTAATTCGCTCCAACATCGACTTTGGTTCCAAAACAAATGTAGGAAGCGTTACTTTTGACAGGTCCATGTTCGGTCTGAAATTAAAAGGTCAGCAATACATTTTCAAAGAGTGGATTGTTTGCTTACCTCAATTGAGACACAATCCCAAGAATGATATTCTAGAAACTGTGTTAACAATTCGTTCATTACGAACAGTAGGAAGCAAGAAAATCCTTGTTATATATTAACACTCTCCCAGTGTTTTGAATGACAACAAACATTTCCAAGCTTTTAATACTTAAGAGTACAAACCTTGCTTTCATCTTCAATTTCCTCCGTGTCTCTGTCTTGTTTTTCATCTAGAATTGCTTTGTTAGTCCTTCGTTCACCATAAAGCACAGCCTTTTTTCAAAATCATTTTAGCTGCTACTATACATACGAGGCATAGTCGATCGCCTATTTCAATTTATTATTTCTACTGTAAAAAATGGAGTTGTTAGGGGATTTTTAATATGACTTTCCTCTCTTGATGTTGGTTATTTGCAACTTCACTATGGACTGTCCGACGTTCGTCAAGGGTAATATATGTCTTGAATCTTGACGTCAAACTAAGGAAGACCAAATGTAAACACAAAGCGTCAATTCGAATGGCAAAAAAGAAAAATTTTATTAATGAATGAAAAGTTATTTATTTCAAAGAAGAATCTCTTTGCTTCTACTTTTTTTGGTTATATACAGTTTTTTAATAATATATTATTAATTTTTATCATATTCGCCCACGTATTTCATTACTGTTCATAAACAGAAAAGGAAAATATGATTAAAACATGCCAAGAAAAAATAAAGCGAATCCTTTCAGTTAGTGCCAGCTGACTAACAAGGCAAACAAAGCGAAATAAGTATGCTTTAAACGTTAGCAAAAACTCACCAGGAAAGCATTTCGCATAAATATAGACCCAGAAAGTATAATGTACTTTGTAAGTTTTTGATTTAAATTTCAAAACCGGCGACCGTAATGTTCAGCATAAATTTATACTCCTTCATGCCACAATACGAAAGGCGTCTAATTTTCTTGCCAATACAGAAGCAACCAACTTGCTCAGGAAACCAAAATTAAAATTGTAATACAACCAAAAAAAAACCCTTAGTTATCCATTACCCATAGTGTATTCCTTATTTAAAGCTTCCGAATCTATTCCTGCTCATCGTCTCCCTTCTAAAGTCCGTATTAGTTTCCATTCTCCATTGAAAATTCACTGATTGATCCCTTTCTAATCAGTACATACCCTTCTTTGCTTTAGTTTCTCGTGTTTCTTTTGTGCTTTTGAAACTTTAGTTTCCAGACGCTCTTCCCGAGCTTGTGCCTTCATAGCTGCTTCCAGCTTTTCTTTTCGATTCTTGTTTACATCCTTTTTTTGCCTCTTCTTCTTGCTAACGCCATTTTCTCCTGAATTTCCGGAACGCAGGGCAATGGTCGCGATTTCTTTAGAAACTCTTTCTTTTACACTTTGAGGCTTTTCTTCACCAGTAGAGTATCTTTCGATCCTGTCGTCTTCTGCAGGATCGGATCTTCTAAAGTTCCTACTTCTTACGGATTGTTTCTTGGCCATCGTGTCAATTTTCGATGTTGGTAAAAGACAGGTGGTACATCTACTGCACTGAACATCAGGTTTAGAAAAATGAGAAAATTTAATTATTAACAGTTTTAAATGGAGTTCAATTAATAAATAAAAGCAAACAAGAGATTCTAATAACTGCTCCTATTGGCTTGATAGTTGAGAATTCCGTTGAACATTGGACATTTATTAAACATGAAACTAGTTTCGTAAGAATAATACCAAGTCATCAACATTATTTGTTATTGTAATTTTACACGTATCATAAAATTCATAAAAAAAAAACCATCCAACCCAATTCATCGTTCTTTGAGCTTTATCATTGGAATGCAGACCATCCGCAAAACATGAGAGACAACTGACCTGGATCGCCAGCAATTCGGATCAATTCTCCAACCGAAGCTTCTATTGACAAAGTGTTGGATAACTTTTTCTTTACCACTAACAGTGCCCTTTCAGCTTCACTTTCTACAGATTGAGTTATGCGTTTTCCTTTGGAATCCTTGTACATGGAGGAAGTACTTTCTTCCATGTCCTCTTCATTCTCTAAACTTTCAGTTTGCAACTTTTGCTTCCGCATCCTTCGTACAGGAGACATCAACCACGAAAACAAGGGATCGTATCGTAGTACCTCTAATATAGAAACTAATGATTCCACTTCATTTCTAAGAGTTTTGAGAGTAAACTCCATGGAACGACGAAATACACCTTCTACGCCTGTTATACCCATGCCATCTACAACATCTCGAGTCAATCGAAATGGAACACATTCCGGTACAGGTAATTTTTTCCCCTATGGATGGTTAGCATAAACATTATCCCGAAGCCTGTATTTCCCTTGTACCACTTACTTGCTCAAATGTAATGCCAAGATCAATATGTACAACCTGACCTGATGTTACATCTACCAATATGTTATTGGCATGTCGATCTCCAAGTCCCAAAACGTATCCCAGAACGGATGCAACAGCGGTGCTCCTTGAATAGTTCGTCTGAGTTTCAAACCAAACCATTGGATCCGGATATTTTTCAAAGAAAAAATGGCGGAATACCGGATGATAGTGCCTACAGACTAGGTCGAAAACCTTCAAACGAGTGGTCGTATCTTCCATTTGTTTTTCCGCTATCAGCTTTCGACAGACATTCAATGACCAATCTTTAGGATAATAGAGCTTGTGAGCAGGATCCAAATAGTCTGCCAATGGAACCGTATTTAATACCCATTCAATAACACCTGTTTTTAGTGCTAAAGGTATCACTTTGTAGGTTCTCATACTTAATTTCCTTTGCATTGTTGATCTGTAATTTTTCAAAAAACCATTTACTTGCTCGAATACTTGTTCCATTACTGCATCTTGTCGTAAATCGTCATTTCCACCTTTCACTAGTTGTTTATGTATTTTCCCATCAGAGCTAGTGCATTTCACAATCTTGGGAACATTAATACCAGAAGCAAATCCGATGCTGTTAGAAAAAGAAATAACTGTAGGCACAGCAGAATAGTCCGCAATGTCACTAATTTCCAAATGTGAAGTTAATGGTGCTAAATCCAGTTGCGGAAAATCATTCAAAAACCACGTAGCACAAGGAGAACGGCTAAATTGTGTACTAACAAGTTTGCTTCGAGGGTTCCACTCAGCTAGAGTAACGTAGTTGATGAAAACCCTCAAGAGCTTGCGTATTAGTGATTTAGATTCACCAGAACTTTGTAAAGTCCTCATGATGTTTTGAACCGCCGTGAAACGTGACTCAACATTTTTTACCTCCACTTCAGATGGACTAGAAATTAAGGAATAAAGCACGTGCAGCGAATGATACGGATGCAATTGGGCAACATCAAAACATATCCGTCCTAGTAAATTCTGAAATTTGCTGCCATCATTGAGAAGCCTCGCAGCCAGTTGATAATAAACTGGGATAAACTTCTTACGAGGTGTATCTAAAATATAGTTCTCAATTTCAGCATTTAGTGTTTCTGAACCGGAATTAGAAAGCCACATGATACAGAATCTAGATATCGCAACATCATTTTCATCGCTATTACACAAACTCTTTAAATAATGAATGATACCCTTTTTCAGCATCATATCTTTTGAAATACAAAGTGCCTGGTACTCTCGCTGATCGGAAAGGAGTGCTGCCATTTCTCTTGAATAATGATGTTTTAAAACCTTCTTTTCTTTTTCTTGTTTACATAACTTCAAGGAATCCTCCAACTGCAAAATGTCATCCTTCTTCTCGAGATAAAGCCTCTCAGCTCTCTTAAATTCTTCATGAAGTTCAGGACTAGAATAATTAGCGTCACAAAATGAAGCAAACATGTAATGAATTTTTGAACATGTAGTATCATCTAAATTCGATATATACGCAAGGGCCTTTTCAAAACAGTTTTCTAAGATAAACTCTGTCTTTTCCGACTTGGTCACAAAAAGCCATTTTCCAAGATAAGCATGGCATAGAGATGAAATTGGAGTAGAACATTCAGTACTGTCCAAAGATTGTTTTAGCAAGCAAATGGCATCCGAAGTTTCCTTTTTTTCCCATAATATTCTTGATGTCAAAAAATCAACCTTTCGGCGGATATCCTTATCGTCTGCAAAATACTCACTGTATAACGATTCACTAGACATTGCTGTGGACAAAGCTAACTGTAATTTCCCGGTAAGAAGATATACTTCTCCGTTTCTTAACAGAGAAAAAATATGCTTCTTTCGAATTTCATTCAGATTATGTTCACCTAAACATTCTGCCCGGTGCTCTAGTAAAGAGAAAGCGACATTTTGGAAACTTAGTAAAGGTTCGATATAGTCATAACGTTCCAGTACCAACATCTTTTCGTTAATTAATCTATCGTAGAGATCCTCGTTTATGTTCCATCCTTCTCTAAAAAAAAAAGAAGTAAATCTAGAAATCAGAGAATGAAAGAATAAAGTTTCTTTTTCACCGGACTGATGTTTAACATTTAAGAAACGACATATCAAATCATCAGTCCGCTGCTCAACTTCTTTTGAATCTGAATCGTATGCAATTTGCAATAATCCATAGACTCTTCCATCAAACTCTGTTGTATCACCCACAGGAGGTAAATCCCATTTCTGCATCCTCCAAGCAGAAGCATAAATTTCGTTATTACATTCATCAATTGAGCTCTGGCTTTTTAAACGATCGACATAGCTTTCATTTAAACTGTAAAACCCACCGTTCATCAAAATATTAGACATAGTCATTTTCCTATTAGGAATTGATTGTGAACCGATAAAATCCATGGCATCGAGGTAAGATATAGCTAAAAAATTCTTTTTCTCATGAACAGCTTTCATTAATATATTACGAAAGTTGGTCTCTCGATGTATCCCATAATAGACGTCTAACCAGTCCAAGCCTGTTAAGACATTGGAAAGATGACTCTTATCGTATTCTGAGGTTTCCGTTTCATGTAAATTCAAAAACAGCAGACTCTGCTCATAGAGACCGCTCTGATATGCCGCCTCAGATGCAAGAGAATAATCAATCTTAAGCCAAAAATTCCTTGTAAAAGGTGTATTTTCACGAATTTTTGGCTGTTTTCGAAGATACAAAATAACTTTCATACATAATTCCCGTATAGAATTCTCCCTTGATTGTTTTATACCTTCGGAAATCAAAGACGTTATATACTCAAAAGCTGCTTTATTTCGACCATGAAACTCATGATCAAGCAGTACCATATGCACTATATGATGGAAAAAATGAAGAGAAATCCCCTTTACTTTTGTATTCAATAAAAAGAGAGCACGAACTTCATTTGTCTTATCTAGTTGAGCCAGTAATTCAGCAACGGCTGTGTTTACCCATAAATAGAGCCGATCGTTTTTAGAGTTAGTTAGGCTGGAATTATTTGAAGGTATTTCAAATTCGAATGTGCTGTAAGTCTCATATAGAATTGAACTGCAACCGAAAGGCAAACAACTCTCATATTCATGATCAACGTCCTCATGTAAAAAAAGCCTGATACAGCCTTCAATAAAGGATCCATAAAAGAAATTATATGAAAATAAGAGCAAAGCAACCTCTTTCAGAATATGCTTAAAGACGTCTTTTCTCATATTAGTGAACGTTATATTCTCATGATTAACATTATTTGGGTTATTCATTAACGATTCATTTTTCTCATCGGTTAAGGAAAGGAAAGATGCTCCCATTAAATTCGAATAGTAAGTCTTTAAATATTTAGGAAATTTAGATGTATCACATAATTCATAATACTTACATATTTCAGGTAGCGCTTTTCCAAAGGCATGCAGGGGACAAGAGTAGAGCGATTGCCAGAAATATAAGGAGGTATTACTTTCTTTGAGTAAAATTGGTAAAACAGTTGTACCTAAAAATAATGATTCTAGTATGGGAGTCCAGTTATTCCAATCAACCGGTAAAGCCTGAACATAATTTGCGTAGCAACGCAAAAAGCCAAATCCATTTTCAACATCAAGAGAAGAAGTTATATTATTCAAAAAACCACTGAACCAACCATAGAAGAAGCTTAGTGTATCTTTCGTTAAATTAGTAGAATTATGACATAAACCTAATATCTCCGTGCAAACGTTGACGAGGTATACAGAATCAAATGTGTTTTCAATATTAAAGCGTTTTAAATAGTATCTCAGAATCCCTATGCCAAGGGATGCCAATGAAGGTATTTGAATAAGTTCTTTAGCCAAACTTACTATTATCATTATAACATAGTTCGGTTTTGCAAACTTATCAAAGAAGGACAAAAATAAGCAAAGCTGGTAAATGCAACGCTTCAGAAGAAAATCGTCTGGTTCCCAGTATATCCGCAAACCAATTTTTCTTATTATCATGCACATCAGAGAATACACATAAGCAGACGATCCGATCGTACTGCTAATATAATTAAGATAATTTATAACATTAACTGATGGGAACGAGAAAGATTCAGTATATTCAAGTTCCAAAGATTCTTCTTCGAAAATAAATAATTGCTCATAAACAACGAAAACAGAAGAGAAAGCTTCCTTCAAATTTTTTCTAATCCCACTATAGTCTTTAATAAAGGAAAGAGGAAATAATATGCAATCAACTACATTTTTGAAATCAGACCCACAATGTATAGTCAAGTTTCGATGCAAACCTTCGTTCGAGACTCCTATATTTGTGAGGGTATTTGCAACTTTTAGCTTTGGAACAAGTCTTTCTTTAATGTCTGTAAAGGAAACAGAAATTCTGGAGCACAATAGCTGGGCTAGTCTTTGGTTTCGTGTCAAAAGAAGAATTAGAGTTGCCGTGTCAATATTATCTTTAATAAAATCTAATCCACTTCGATAGAGTGATTGAAACGGAAATTCAAAGAAGTCATTTTTAGTAAATTGTAAGTCTTTTTCAACGAACACCCAAAGAAGTTCAAACTTGTAAGTTCTAAAAAGATTTTCCAAACTAAATCTATAGTCATCAGTTGCTTTTAAAAGATATGTGATTATACTAGACCCTTTCTCCGAATTAGAAAGTTTTAAAACTTTTAGTAATAACTCTGGACGATAGCAATTCTGAGTTTTGACCAGCAGAACAATGAATTGAATCAACGCAAATTTCCTGCTTTCATTTTCAGGAACCACGGAACACACAAATTCTTCCAAAGACTCTTTTACTTCTTTGTTCTTAACTTTCATTAGATATTCGGAGATACCTGAACTCAGCTGAAATACCACTATAGGTTCAGGATCAAGGATTAATTGTTTGATGGTCGTTCTCGAATCATGAGCCAAACCAATTTCAGAAACATCCTCAGAAAATTTCAATAGAAAAGAATTTAAAAAAATCCGTCCGCTAGAAGAAGAGTATCTATTTTCGAGCATTACTTTTCGAATGAACTTCATTATCTTCAATACCAATTTCCTTCCGGAAGGGCCGAATAGTACTCGATGGATTAGTAAGATTCGAAAAATATTAACAAACTGAAGTAAATAAGATTCATCACGCTCAAAACAATAGTCCATCAAGACTTTTTGGGCGAATATTTGTAGCGCATTTAGAGCTACAGATTCGGATACACATGCAACGTCGTAAAAGTATTGGTAAAATGATAGCGAAAGATAGCAAAAATTTCGAGGATCACATAAATATATGATATTACGAAGGCCGTTTTCGTTATAACCGGACATGCTGTCCAACTTACTCTGTATAGACACAATACAGCCTATAACCTTTTTTTTTCGTAAGCTATTTATATCACTTATAGTAACGGAGGGTTGAACAAAATTTTCGGGCCTGTACACAGAGATATCGTCAGAAAAATCCTCATCAACTACGTCGAGTTGCTGAGCTTCACTACTCTGTAAGGCTGAGCAATTTTTTAAAATCACCACTAATAATATTGATAAAGCAGAAGGAATTGTATCCGTCAGTTTATCACCAAGACGGATTGATTTATCAGAACACGATATCGTGAATCGCAAAACACTAGTTAACACTAGAGCAATTGGTTCCACTAATACTTTAGAATCCTTTATAAAAGTAGATACAGATATGATAACATCGTTATCGAAATTAATACAGGAAGTATCTGCCTTCTTCTGGTGGAATACATTCATCATATAACCAAGATATGTATGTATAAAAAACAAAGTGAAAAGGAAAGTCAATTTTCCTTCTAATTCTTGCATATTACCTGAAGATTGACCATGTAACCCACCTAACATCGATTTTAGGCTGGGTTCTAACATTTTGATCAATGCTTCTAGTTCTTCTACATTATCCCACGTATTCTGAAGATTTTCTTTAGAAAATCTATCCAATTTTAACCCATCATAATCAAGATCCTGAGATTTCAAATACACCCATGCATCTTCTAAAAACAGAAGCGTGTAATCGCGTACGGGCTCATCACTGGATCCTGTAGGAATTGCTGATATTTTTTTAAAATATAGAAAAATTATTAGATCCATAATCTCATCAAAGAGAGATGGAGACTTCAAAAAATCACCAATATCTTGAGCAATATATGATTTGTCTAGATATTGAAAAATCCAAAGGTGGAAATAATGAAAAAAACGTGCTTTCCTGACGGAGTTATAATCTTGAAGCAAAACATACATTGTTTTCCAAAAAATCAAAGCCTCGTGAGAGATATCCAGAAAATGATTTTCTGACATCGACATACTCTGCACAAGGTAAGGGAATAACTTTGGAAATGAGAGAGGCTGAAAAATATGAAAATATGACGCTAAATGATAACACACTGAAGATGTTTCGTTAAACAATAAGCCCCGGATCGACGAAGTAAGAATACTTATAAGTACAGGTTCAGATAGAACTTTACTATAAGTCATATTGTAGCATACATTACTTAAAAGAAAGTAATACCAACAGTTTGAAGAGCTTTTGGCTTCAACCATGACGAGTGAATTCTTAGTAAGGTCATTTACTTGCTCATGATTCAAAGAGGAAGAAATAGAGACTATTATGGAAAGAAGTTGCACTGAAAAAATAGATTCTTCCACATCTGGCGAATTAAGGCTTGATAACAGGGTTGAAAACGAAATATTGTTTTTGAGTTTCTTTGAACAATTTGAGGAGGATCGTGCGATATTACAATGTTCCATCAAACATACAATCTGAGCCATGAATAAGTAAATATAATAGAAATCTGAGTAATCGTTGTCACAAATTTCATAAGAAAGAAGAAAATCTGGATGAAATAAAGATGCAAAATTTCGCTTTCTTTGAATTGCGTCGAAAACAAATATTGACAAGTTGACATGACTTACGTCCCCGTAGGCCTGCAACATTATACGAAAAACATCAAAAGAAGACTCCAGCAGCTCAAAAGTAAAGAATGATTCTGAAGAATTCAGATGCCATATAGTATAATCTGACCATATGGGAAATGAAGCTGCTAGACATTGCAATAATGAACTCCTCAATGCTGGTCTTTTCCATTTCTGACCTAGTTCTAAAACTTGAAGGATGAGTTCCGTTACTTGCAATGCGGAAGATCGATCATTAGTTACAATATAGACGCATATTCGAAACAGCGTATTCAAGGCAGGTAAATGAGCATTTGTTTCTTGGTTGAAGTTTTTAAAGAAACTTCGAAAAAAGCTGAGTACTTCCTTTTGGACTAGGTATATTGGTGCCGCAAACCAATTTATTAATAATTCTATTACAGTCACGTATTCCACAATCTCTGGCTTTATTCGAATAACATCGTGAGATCGCCAAATAGATTTTTCACTTTTTGAGCCTTGCGAAGCTATAGTTTCTTCTTCACTATCGCTCACATACGATTCATCCACGAAACTAAGGTCTTCAACAGATTTCAGACAATAAAGTAACGTATTTTGCCAATCGACGAATTGCAGATGCTGCACATGAGGAGAGTGGGAAAACAACAGATGCAAAGATTTTCCAAAATCCAAACACACAGGATCACATATTGTGTCTTTGGGAGTAAAGGTAAAGTTTCGCACGAAAGACAATAACGTTGGTATTTGAGACTCCGGAAAGATCAGTATAAAACTTTCTACGTAGAGTCGAAACAAGCTACTCAATTTTTGGAACCTTTCATTAATTGCAGCAATAGATACTTGCCTTTTGGTGTTTTGGTAATTGGTTTCTCTTTCCACTTCAAACAACCGCTCAATAATTCGTTGTATTGTCAAGCAATTTTCTCCATTCAATTCGTTCCTATTTCTGGAATATATTATGAAGGCTCGAAGTTCTTCAATGGCGTCGTTTCTGGTTTTGATTTTTTGTGATGAAACCTCATCTAGTATTTTAGCTAGCCCGGCCATATGCGTTCAATTTCCTTCTTTTTCTTTAAAAAAGGTAGTTATATAATCATTCTTCCTTTTATATTCTAATTTATACGTTTTGCAATAGGTACACCAAATACCTAGTGTTGTTAATACTTCGTAGCAAAGCGCGTAAATGTAGCCGGCGTTTCAAAAGAACGCCTAGTCAGTGAAAATCCGGACCCTATTTTAGACAAGATAAATATTTAAATACGTCAGTTTACAAGTATTATGAATAACCATCTGTTTATGTTGATATATATAAAGTTTATTAAATACTATAAAAGCTTTAACTGTTTTTACAAAAGACCACGCGTCCAGTTTGAATTAAAATAATTTTCATCTATTAAAGAGCGCGTTTCCCCCGTTAAAGCTAACGCCAATAACATAATAAAAGGAAGCAAATGAGGTAAAACCCTTAATGCATTTTAGTATTTCAATCCATACCATCTGCAGTAACAAATGATCCAGCATCACTAGCCATAGACATATTTCTATTATGTACCACTTCCGTTTCCTGAGGAGTTTGTTGTACTCGCTGGCGTTCATCATTTATGTAGGTTCCAAAATCATTCTTCTTTCCATTTGAATATTCAGAGTCCACATTGTGAGAATCCGAATCTTTGGATTTTATAGGCGACTCCCTCTGTTTTTCTTCGTTCATTGTAGGAGAACCGGAACGATTGCCGAGTCCAGGACGAATATAATTTTTCATGTCATTTATATAATTATTCCCACCCTTTATATCCCATTCACTAGTACCAATTTTCGAGCCCATCTTTCTCCATCGCTCAAGTCCATTTTCACGACGGGTTTTACATAATTCTACAATTTTAGGCCAATACTTTTCATGAAAATATTCAAATTTCAGAGAACCTCCAAAATTTGTATCAAGCTGATCCATTGGAACATAACGCTCCAAAGGTTCGTTGAATTTAAGCTTCTCTCGTGTAATCGGATCTATAAAGGGAGATATCAATTTAAAAAAGCCCCAGACAGCCCAGGGAATATTGATAACCAACGCCTTACCAAGACGCTCACAATAGTGAGTCTGAAGAATATTAAGGACTTCTTTTCCTTGGCCAACACTGGGATTAGATCGGTTAGAAGATGCTTTAAAGTTGATAAGTAAAGCCAAAGTTTCCACGCCTGGCGGCATCAACTCAATAGCACATTCAAGCGAAAATACTAAATGACGAATTTGAAGAGGTGAAGTTTTCGTGTTTTGTCTACCAGGGTACAAATACAAGCAAGGACGTCCATCTTTATCAAATCCCAACAATACCTGCTTTCCGGTAGCATTTTCTTCCTGTACCTCATCAGGATCCATATTGTTAACTCCAAACTGACGGCGCCATACAAGAGTATCAAGGATGCGTTTTTTGGTAGTAGCTGCATTCCACTTTGTAGCACGTAAAAATCTTAATATGCATTCTTTAGTAAGAAAGTATTTTTCGATTTCTGACAATCCTTCTTTTTCTTCTGATTTGGGTGAAACAGGAATACTTTTCAAATCTTGGCAAAATATGAATACTTCTTTATACATACTCTTTTGTTCTTCAGTTAAATCTTCGTCCAAGTACTGAGGTTTCAACTGACAATGAGGACTGGGAAATGGAAGAGGGGCATTCCATGCACCATCTGCTTCGACTTCGTTAGGTAGTGTAGATGGCTCGATTGGTTTTTCAGCACCAGCATCATTCAATTCTTTTTTGGACTGTTCTTCTAGGCCTTCAGTATTACCACCGGTACTCACCTTAGGTCCTTCCATGTTTCCAGTTTTATTCACTTCATTAATTGTCGAAGAATCAGGTAAAGGTTCCGGTTCAGCTATATTGTTCGTCATACCTTGACTTTCTGTATTTTGATTGTTATCAATTCTTGCATCCACAGGTTGTGGTACAATAGTTTCATGCGATGAAGTCGAAGATCCCGATTGTTTCACCGGCTCGGCTGCCAGGTTTCTATCGGACGAAGCAGGAGAAGATGCGAAACCAGACGAACTTCGTTCAGGGAAGAAATTAATAGGCATCGCTTCTGTCTCCCTCGGTTCCGAAGCAGGTGCTAAGTATTCATCCTTAGACTTGGTATCTAGTTCAGAAGAAACAGGCTCGTCATTTGTTTTTGCAGAAGTAGGACCCAGTTGCGGCGGCGACTCATCCACGGGCAAGGAGGAATTCTGTTCTTTAGTATCTGAAGTTACTTCAAGTGGCCCGGATGGTAAAGGTGGAGAACTAACCTCACTGATCTGCTGCACTGGACCTCGCTCTGTCGGAGAATTGGAAGCAAGATTACCCGTGTCCAAAGCAGTCGGATGAGGAGACAATGGAGATCTAGGGGAAGAAGGTTGTTGATTGTTTGAGGAAACGGCGTTGTTCCTAAAGAAAGATTGGTTTTTAAACTCAGGAGTACCGTGGGGGGTTGTGCTATCCTGCATTTGAGAGGGAAATGCCTCACTAAAATTGGAACGAGCGGGTTCTAAAGTCAAATTTGGCCGTTGTTCTTTCACACTTCTAGCAGGTCTGATAGGACTACTTTTTTCGCTTTTTTCTTTCTTAGGAGTACAAATACCAAGCACAGAACTGCAGATGCGACTGAGGCCGCTTGTGTTGCCAGTGCGGTTGTTCGGCGTCATTGTATACTTGAGATGAAAAATCACAACAGAAATCAAAAAAAATGAAAGTCTATATTCGAATGGTTGTAATGAACAATAGATTGCAAAGATAATAGGAGAGACCCACGGATTCAATTAGATTGGTCTTATTATACTTAATAACCCACAATCCAAATTTGTAAAACGTAAAAAGGCTTCCCTTTACAAGCTGGCGAAGAAGTGTATTTAGGAATGCTTAACTCGTGGAGCCCGAAGGAAAAAACCGAACGAATGAAACTGTGAGAAAAGACAGGAATTAAGAGACAAGAGAAGCAAGGAACTTAACAGATTGATCATTCGAATTGTCAATTCAAACTTCAATGAAGTCCTTAATCACTTAAAAAAGAGACGACAGTCCCGTCTAAGTAAGGTCTTTTCAGGATTGAATTCGTAGCTAGATTCTAAACTTTGTAAATCTTACTCCCTTCACAGAATTCCTTCCGGTTTGATCTAGCCAGAAAACACAACCGTGTATGGTAGTTGGATAGAGCTTACTAAGTAGCTATTGTGGGTAGTGTTTTAGGAAAAGACGGTAAACTTTAGGCTCCGTACCCGGAGAGTAAGCACGCTGGATGTCGTTCCAACTCCTTAAACAACAATTCCTGACAGCAATAAGAAATGAATATTTGATCATTAAAAAATTTTTCAAGAATGAAAAGGTATAAAAAGATCGTTCGTACATGACTAGATGTGGTGTTTTGAGTAACTCGAAGACGGGCTGCGACAAAGGTTGACCGGTGTCAAAACGTCTAAGTTCTCTTGAATTTGATGGAAAAAGAAGACTTCCTAATTATAGGAAGGTATCTATTCGTAGAATAACGATTTATACTTGTTGCTAAATTGAACAAGATTCTTGTACGCATCCATATCTATGCTTGTACCAAAGTCGACGCAAGTAAGCAGTTGTACAGAACTATCATGCTTTACAGAGACCACAAATTCGTAAAAGTGCATAGTCTCCAAATTATTATCCACCGTAAGGTTCATTTCAAAAGGTTGACCATTGCAATCCACCTGTGCGGCGCGATCACTCACTCGAATGACTTTTCCAACGATCCTGACAGTTCTGCCGGCACATTCGCCAAGCATGTCACTAGTTACACGCGGCGTAGGGCGCTCCATTTTTTTTAAACGTGTGTATTATATATGGTGAAAGGAAAGAATCGACTGAGACTGTAGCAAGAGTAAGGATCGTACAATATTACAAGTACGATGGGGTAACATACATATGTTACTTGGAAATGGAAAGCGATTCTTCAAGTTTTAAGAGAAATACTGACAAGTATATGTCGTCTTCTATGGAAAATTGTTATTTTAGAGCCCATAAGAGACACTGACTTGATTTGGTAAATGTTTGATTGATGGATGGGATGTCATGGTGTAGGAATATATTGGAGGTATATTTGAGTTCTGGTCAATCTGGGTGTATGTACTTGCCAAGAAAAAAACCAATTTTATTAAAAACAATGAAATATAAATTAAGTAAGTTATAATTTTCCACCCTCGTTTTTCTCTAAATCTTCTCGCAAGTCGAGCAACACATTTATATGTTAAGAAACATGTTACCTATCTGGATGAAAAAACAAGCCCAACTTGTACGCAGCCTACCATTCATACCTCGAGGCACTATTTTGCTTATGCTTCTTAAGCCATCTTTTTCTTTACGAAATGGCTCTTTTGTTGGGTTTTGTTCTACATTACCTCCATCTCGTGGAAGCGTGAATGACTTTTCGTATTTAAAGAGGTATACACATCGTTGGTGTAACCGTGTTCGTCGGGAGCCTCATCAAATACGAAATGCAATTACTATATTGAAAAAGAATTCGTTCTCTTCTTTTTCATTTACTAGGGAAAAGACCGATGGATTGAAGAGCACTTCGAATGATTCTATACCAACAGCTGTGAACGTTGACCAATTGCTCCTGGAGCTAGAACGGAAAAAAAAAATTTCTGTACCTATAAAAGATGTACTTCAAAATTCTTTAGATTTTACAAAGAGGGCTCACATTTTCTATGATACAGAGTCTTCCAATACATTGGAAGGGCAAGAAAAAGAGGAGAGCGATTTGATTCAAGACCAAGCGACTCCAGAAATTTCTCATCCATTTGAATATGGAGATTTACTTGTTTTGGCACACACCACTGGACTAGAGATTGGAATTTATGTAGGTACAAATCCTAAGAATCATGCCAACTTAATTACAACCATCACTGAAGATGGTGATATGAGTTTTAATCGTATTCCAAGAGTCTTGCTTCGATTTCCAAAGTTTATTGAGGAGTTTCACCGTTATTGTCGTAAGAAAAAGCTTAATGGCCAATTGCGAATTCCTCCCAATTACCTGGAAATGATCACTAGAAGTCTAAAACGTATTAACAAAGAAATTCAAGAAACATGCTTTAATAATCTTGTAAAGTATAATGAGATTTATCCAACCCTTCGAGCCCGTGAACCTATGCCTTTTCATGTTACCTTCGCTGAACTCTTGAAGATTGTATACAAGGACCAAACTCCTAGTATTTCTGAAAAGATCGCACTTTTGACGTATCTTGCTACACGCAATCGCCATTTCGTAGTTTTGGACCATCTTTTTTCGGAAATCCAAACTGTCTTTCTAAACCCTTTATATGTTGATCCAACCTTTGAAGATGTATTGCATACCATACGTATCAAGTCTCCTGCTTACTTCACATTTCTACGAAAAGCGCGTCAACTCATCCAAAATGAAGGTTCTAAGACGCTCCCCAGCAGTCCTAAAACTATAAGACCCATTCCATTGCGATCCTTCATATGGGATGATTATGAAAAGAAAATAATTAATTTCATTAAGTATCAAACGATTATGTGTAACTTGCAGAAAGTTCCCCATCCGCTGTTGTCTGATATATATAAAGACTTAGGTTTATATGACTATACCAAAGATTTTTCTGCCAATGATTTCCATAAATTATTGTGCGATATTGGGGTTTGGTCTCCATGGACGTTGTCTCGATTATTAGCACCGGAAGCACAAATTGCTTTTCCTCAGTTACATTATAAAACCCGAAAGAAATATGAAGAGGATTACGAACATTTCTCTGACCCTAGTCATTCTGTGTCGAAGGATGTTTTAGAAGACTTACGAACGGATCTCACCCACCTAAACTGTTTTGCAATTGATAGCTCATCTACACTAGAGGTTGATGATGCGATCTCAATTGAGAAAAAAAGAAAAGGATTTTGGTTACATATTCATATAGCAAATCCTTCGAGTATGATTGATCTTAATAGCCCTCTTATGGCTTTCGCAGAGAGAAACTTTCAGACGCTATATTTAACGCACATTGAAAAGAAGTTTATGTTGCCGTTGGGATTAACTAAACAGTTGTGGACGCTAGACGGAAGTGATAGGCAAAGAGCATTAACCTTTAGCGCGAAGTTGTCTAAGAATGGTGAAGTGTTGGATTATAAAGTCCAACCTAGCTGGATATCTCGCGTAAAGCGCTATACTTACTCTCAGGTCTGTGCTGCCCTAAATGAAAAAGAAAATCTAACGGTATATTCCTCTGTGCAGTCGCGAAATCTTGCCAAGGAGCCTGAGATACCAGCCGATGACCGACAGGCTATCTTCAGTATTTTAGAGGAGGTGAAGAAATTCACTCGCCTTAAACAAAAAAACAATTCGTTTATGTTTCAACAGCCGTCTTTGTCCGTGGATTTATTGCCAGAAAAAATTCCAGAGACTATGATTAGCGGAACGAATCCGGTTTACTGGAGCTCTTTCCCCTCCATTTCATTAACTATAAATCATTCTGGGATGAATGTTGCAGAACTTCTGGTTTCGGAATGTATGATTTTGGCTGGTCACATAAGTGCGAAATTTTTCAGTGAACATCGTATTCCAGGTATATACCGTGGTCAGAATATACCTTTCTCCTTTGACAATTCATTTAATGAGCACTTTGATAAACTTTTGCGTGCCCGTGATGAATGGGGTAAGGTTCCCCTGGAACAAATGTACCCAATCTCCCCGTATTTGACTTCTTCTTATATGTCTACCAAAGGTGCTCCACATTTTTCTTTAGGAATTAATTCAGGATATATGCAATCTACATCTCCGCTTCGTCGATACACGGATTTAATTAATCATTATCAAATGCAATGCTTGTTCTTAAAAGACAAGTCCAAGTTGATTACGCAAGAACAGATTGAGAAAAATTTACCTTATTATAGTATCAAAGAAAAACTTATAAAATATACAAGCAGATATACGGAACGCTTTTGGGCTTTGGAATTTTTGGCGCGACTTCCGAAAGATAAGCTACCTTTGTGCCATGGCATAATAAACAATGAAGGACAACCAACCGTTATTTTGGAAGAGTTTGGACTCAAGGCACAGATTACTACTGCTAATCTTGATTTAGACTTGGACAAATGTCATTTGACTAGAAAGGCAGTCCGTATCATGCTTGTTCAGCCTTTTCAAAATCAGCTTTTTGTTTCAATCGTTGAAGAATAGATATGTACATTAAATAACTTTGTTTTGTTTCTATTATATTAATAATATAGGATTTTATTCTTTCTTTTATCTTACTCAATAAATATTCTAATTATCAACAGTTTAGGATGGTTTATTTACTAGCGTAGGATAAGGAGGTCATGCGAAAACATCCATAGTTACTGAGACTACGCTTGTACTTTTGTGTAGTGGCTCTATTTTGTATGAAAAAAGGACATAAAATTGTCCTGAATGAACATTTTTGAACTAATTATTATTCAAATTTTGAGATGAATGGACTGTAAAGTCATATAACAAAAAAAGTGAAAGGAAGAACAATATGAATCAACCAAGGATGCAGCATAGCGAAGGGAAGAATGAAATGGGACAGGAAGGAGAAATAGAGAATGACAATCCAATTTCTTCTTTCTCGCAAAGGCTGCAAAACTTTCGATATCAAATGAAGTCGCATAATCGACCGCGGCAGCAAACGCTACATTCTTTCGTGAATAAAGAGTCGCAGATGGTTGAGGATTTCTCCAAAGTTGGAAGATATACAGAAAAAGAAAAGAAGTCCAAAGAGTCAAGATATACCATCACATCTCGAGTGCAAAAATCATTTAGGGAGCTATACTCCGACAATCCCAGCTCACAGAAAAACCCAAGGAAAGAGAATATTGGCAAGGGAACAAAATCTTCATCAAGTTTTTTTGGACATGTTATCCCAAAGAAAAAGCCGATTACATCTTTTAAACCTTCGACGGGGACTGGTTTGGAACCTGGAATAAGGAAGAAAGTCGATAACACATTACTCGAGCCACGAGTAGCATGTTTATATGCTAAAAGTCGGAAAGCTATTTTTCCCACAATAGTAGGGAATCAGAATTCAGAACGTGGATTTATGGAGAGTGAGTTGCCGCAAAAAGTAGCTCCATATTTATGGACCTACCCATCCCGAATCCAACATAATCAAGTTGTCGATGAGCATGGATATCTTAAATATTATGAACACTCTGATATAGATGTGAAATATTGGCTACACTCAAATACACACTCTCTCAAAGGGATTAAAGAATCCTATGACTTGGAAAAGAGTGGGATGTATTTTGGAATGTTGGAATTTCCTACATCGGAAGTGAGTGAAGAATCTTTTGATTCCTCAGAGCTGTTGGAACCACTAGCTGATGAATTGGAAACTGAAGATGATAAGCTCAATAAGGCAGCTATTCCAAGCATGTTGAATTCCTCTAACATCACCAGATTTTTTAAGAGCCATAAAGGAAGAAGGATTTATCCTCACTTTTTTAAATCTGATGCTACAAGCGCTTCAATCCCTTTACGTCAAATTCATAATGATTTAATAAGCCATGGAGTGCACGTTGACTTTCGAACATTGAACGACTGGTTGAATGAACGAAATATTCCTTATGTATAACTAACTTTATTGCATTAAGTTAACTTGGATTTTGTAAATTAGTTTTTTTTCGTTTAATGATGAATCATGATCAGATAATTTTAGGAACCTCTAATTAATGAAAATATTATCTTTACTATTCACTTTCTAGTTTTGATTTTTAATATTCAAATTCAAATTTTGCCTGGCTTATTTACTGGCATAATGAATTTGTCTGTAATCTTTTACTGAGAAGCATCACCTACACTATACGGTCTTCGTAACACTCCCGATAAGTCAAAAAAAAACCATAATTTACTAATCGAAGACAAGAATAAGGAAAATTTGTTAGTAGATCAATTTTTATATTCTTAGTCCTTGCTAAAAAGAAGAAAATAATTTTTGAGGTGCAATTCCAGTTCCTAAGCTGAAAAGTAACTTTCGTTTAAAAGCACAAAGGCTTGCAGCAATTTGTGTATAATTCACACGACTATCGTTTGGAGTTTCGTATTTATTTTGTATAAATTCAATATAATGTGTGCTTTAATATAAGAATGGCTTGTCGAGTGCTTCTACTGTTCATCTCGTTACTACTATTGTCGGGCTCGTTTTTTAAAATTACGGAAGGATCACCAACATTGGGAGACTTTAAAGACTGTTTATCTACTAATAGAAAGCACGATGTCCCGTCCTTCACCCCTTACGCGCTGGTAAAACATTTCAACCGGCGAAATCGACATTACTATATTCAAGTGATGGGTAATCTTTCTGAGAAAATAACCGTAGTTGGAGGGTCCGGTGAAGATGTCCATGCGGCTACCATTTACTCTGAAACATATGCGTTGGGATCGCTTGTCTCAAGCAAGTCTACAAAACTATGTGACGCAGTTATGGATGCGCATAGCTTTGGAGTACCCATCAAATGTCCCTGGCCTGCCGGAAATGTTTCCTTTATGATTGACATTCCCTTTGGGTCGACTGTTCTTGATTACTCAAAGTATGAACTTACGTCCCTAACGAATAGGCTGATTATTGTAGATGGGACTCCTGAAAGGAACGTGATAGCTTGTGTTACGTTTGATTTGTCGATTGTACTTAGTTATTTCTATCCTGTGATTGCATATACCTCGTTAATTTGTTTTACTTTTGTGTCTTTTTCAATCGTTTTTGCTCTTTTTCTTAACCCATGGACCGGGAGTCTTGACCCTTTCAGAGCGTTGTTCAATTTTAGTATGGACCCTGATGCTCTCCGTCTAACTGCGCTCGGATTTTCCGATTTAATTGGATATATGCAATTTGCCGTATCGACGTCTCAATTGAATGTTGCATTTCCAAAATTTTATATAAATCTGATGGCTGCTGTATCATGGAGTACTGTACTTTTTCGATTTCCCATCTTTTCTCAAAATGCAAACTATCAGTTTGCAGATTATACAGATTTAGCAAACGTAAATAGAGTTGCGTATGAAGAATTCATTCCGAATAAATACGGTATGGCTTCTTTCCTTGATTCCTTAGGAACCAGACAATCTTGTTGGATTCCGTTTTTAATAGTAGGGGCTGTGTATTTCGGCGCGGCATTGTTACTGGCTCTTTTGATTATTCTTTTAAAGTGGCTTATGTCAAAAATGTTTCACGATACAATTGTGGAAACACGCTGGGACACGTGGAGTTTTATTGGTGGGTTTTTTATTCGACTTTATTTTTTAGCATATTTTCCCATCATAACGTACATGTCATATCAATTTGTCGTGGAACCAAGTGGGTATGAAATTATACCGGTTCTGATCTTCATATTTCTAGGTATCTTCTTCCCTGGATGTTTATACTTATTTTTGTCATTTGTTGAGCCGGTATCAAAACTTTTTGAAGATCAGACTTATCTACACCTGTACGGGTCCATTTACAATTCGTATAGAGAGAAGAGGTTGATGTTTTGGGTGTTTCCTATTGTGAGTCAATTCATACGTGGTATAACTGTTGGTGTCCTTGGTGTCTCCGGATCAGCACAAGTCGCAATTTATTTCCTTTTAGAAATAACGAATATACTAGCATATTCGATATTTCGACCACATTATCCACAGACAAATATGAATGTACTAAGCTGTTACTTATCTATTATTCGTTTGATTATAGTAGCCTTAATGATGCCTCTAGTACATCCGCGATCTACGATGAATGGTCAAGATAAGTTGCTGACTTATGCAATCCTTTTCGTACACGGATTTGTTTATGTTATGTTCTTCTTAATATCAACACAGCGATTTTTTGAAATCACTGCACGGCTATTAGGAGCTAATAGTGAACGAAAAGGTGTTCCTTTGGATAGACCTTTTGGATGGGCTCGTGTTTTTGGCATCAATGAGTTGAAACGTCGCCGTCGTAAAAATCCTTATGAAAATAGTTTGGTAGCACACTCTACTATGGATAATACTGATCGTTCGTTCAATGGCAACTCCATTCCTCTGACTCCTATTACCCCAGCATCCAAAGACGAATCCCTCAATCTCACAATTCAAACGAGTGGAATTGGGCTTTTGGGTTCGGAAATGGATCCTCAGAGTATGGGTCAGATGAGTACTTTGAACGTAGAGTCACCTATTTCTCCAGTATCACCGTTTAATGATACAGGAGGGTATTCGTACTATCGACCTCCCAAAGTGAATCGATCTGTCCGACAGAGAGATAGGGATCAATTAAGGACGCTACAATTAGATTTCTTAAATGATAAACCGAGCTTGTTTGCGCATGATACGAATTATGCGGTTCGCGAAGCTGATGTGTATCATCCCCAGGTCGATGTTGATGTTGACTCGTTATCGCAATTGTCGATGCGTATGAATCGCAGTAAACCGGAACTGAGCGATCCTGTTCCAACCGGTAAAGTCACAAAAACGTGGCATGTTATCAAAAACTTTCTACAACGGGCTAGAGATCCACTTGGACAAAAAGAGAAAAACAAGGAAAAAGGATTCGTTGTTGTCAGATCGGCTAGGCGAATGCAACCGCCTCAAAAGCAACCTACCATTTCCGACGAACATGGAAGTGAAGAAAACAAAATGACTTCTTCCACGGAGACTCAAAATTTAAAGCCGTAATGGAGGGCGTCTCTCCATCTATCATGAGACGTTATTATTGATGTATATCTTTGACATGTATTTATTATTTTTTGTTTCTAGACATGTTCATTGTTGTTATAATACTTTGCCGTCGTTTGCCGTTTCCATGTTACCCCGTTCGTTTTTATTTTTATTAATTTTTTTTTTTTTTTTTGATTTGGATATTCCTGAAACCGTATATGAGTATTCACTTTCTTTGCCCTTTCCTTCCTTCTAACTTTCTTTCTTTCCACCTTTTTTGGTTGAATCAATGCCTTTTTAGCAAAAGGTATGTATGAGTTGTCCAACCTTTACAATCGTTTTTAAGATTATTGTATTTAATCCCTATAATTTATTTATTAATTTCTAAAAACTTTTTCCCTTTCATGCAATATAGCTTGCAACTGTCAGAACCCGCGCATACTATTATAATGTATACTTAGTAGACTGAACTTGTAGTAGAAGTTAACGATTGTTTTATTTTAAGCAAATGAAATGAAAACTTGCTAGTTGGTTTTTTTTTAAAAAAAAAAAATAAAATAAAATAAATAAATAACTAATTAAAGTAGAAGAAAACATTTATGCATAGAGGCCTATTGAAGAGATTAAACAATAAAATTGGCATATGAAATCTTGTGTCAAATCTACCATACAGTCAACTAGTGTTCCAAACGCAAACAGAAGCGTTTTTATTTCACTATTGTATGAATCAATCTCGTATTTGTGAGAGGAAGGAAATTTTCAAACATGTCCCGGTAATATAGGGAACTGAGATCTGGTCAAACTTGCAAAGAGATGGAAATCTAACTACTTTTTCCGTTCACTATTCGGAAAGACGGTTTCCTTCTAGGAACTCATTCTTTCTCACATAAATTTGTCTTCATGTTCAATAGGCGCCTAGCAACTTCGAATGTAAACAAAGATCAATGGCTATTAGTTGCTACGGTAGGATAGTCCGTGACAAAAGATGTCGGGTAACAAAATGTTTCTATGCCAACGATTATAAAACATACTGTTTTTTAAATTATGAAATAATGTTTTTAAAAGTGAAATTAAAATAAAAGAAAAAATCTGGTTGGCAGAAACTTATTGTTTTGTTTTTGGATACTAATTGTTCTTTGTTTGTTGATGTTACTTAATGCATCCGTATACAAAATAAAGGTCACCTTAACAACAGTTACTGCTGTTACCTATTCTTGATGTCAGACGTACGTTTATATAGGTACAGCCACACTTGAAACTTAACTTCTACCATTACCGCTTCAGCGAATTAATATTCCATCTTTCTTTTAAGAAGCTTTTAGACCGTTCAGAAAGGAACAATTTTAGAAAATATGGAGCTCCCTTCTCGTCCCCTTGGCCGTCAACACAGCAAGTCTCAATCTGCTTTTGCTTTTGACAACACTGCCACTAGTATTGCTGCTAGCACTATGAAGAATGAGTTGAACCATCTTACTGAGACTGTCAAAGACCCTGACACCAAGAAGGCCTTCAAGAAGGAGATGGACAACTTCTTCAGCTTGTTCAACCGCTACTTGCAAGAGAGTGCTAAGGGTACTGAAATCGACTGGGATTTAGTAAAGTCTCCTAAGCCCGAGCAAGTTGTCGAGTACGATACATTGAATGACACCACTCTTACTCGCGACTACTTGAACAAACTTGCCGTCTTGAAGTTGAACGGTGGTTTGGGTACTACTATGGGCTGTGTTGGTCCCAAGTCTATTATTGAAGTCCGTGAAGGAAACAGCTTTTTGGATTTGTCCGTCCGTCAAATTGAGCACTTGAACAGAAAGTACAACGTTAACGTCCCTTTTGTTTTGATGAACTCTTTCAACACCGATGAAGCTACTGCCAAGCTTATCAAGAAGTATGAAGCTCACAAGATTGATATTTTGACTTTCAACCAATCTCGTTATCCTCGTGTTCACAAGGAAACTTTGCTTCCCGTTGCCGAGTCTATCGATTCTCCCATTGATCAATGGTATCCTCCTGGTCACGGTGATGTTTTCGAAGCTCTTACCAACAGTGGCATCATTGACAAACTTCTTGCTGAGGGTAAGGAATACTTGTTTGTCAGCAACATTGATAACTTGGGTGCCGTCGTCGACTTGAACATTCTTAATCACATGGTTGAAACCAAGGCCGAGTACATTATGGAATTGACCAACAAAACAAAGGCTGACGTTAAGGGTGGTACCTTGATCGACTATGAAGGCAATGTTCGCTTGCTCGAAATTGCCCAAGTTCCCTCTCAACACGTTGAGGAATTCAAGTCTATCAAGAAGTTCAAGTACTTCAACACCAACAACATTTGGTTCCATCTTCCCGCCGTCAAGCGTGTTGTTGAAAACCATGAGCTTTCTATGGAGATCATCCCCAACAACAAGACAATCAAGCATAAGGGTGAGAACATCAACATTCTTCAATTGGAAACTGCTGCTGGTGCTGCCATCCGTCACTTCAAGAACGCTCATGGTGTGAACGTTCCCAGAAGACGTTTCTTGCCTGTTAAGACTTGCTCCGATTTGCTCCTTGTCAAGTCCGATCTCTATTCTATCAACCACGGTCAATTGGACATGAACCCTCGTCGTTTCGGCGGTTCTGCCCCTCTTGTCAAATTGGGCACTCAATTCAAAAAGGTTGCTGATTTCACCTCTCATATTCCCAGCATTCCTAAGATTTTAGAGTTGGACCATTTGACTATTACTGGTAACGTTAATATCGGCCGTAACGTGACTCTCAAGGGTACTGTAATCATTGTCGCCAGTGATTCTAACACCATTGACATTCCTAATGGTTCCGTTCTTGAGAACTGCGTTATCACCGGTAATCTTAACATTCTTGAACATTAAGGTTTTTTACGTGTTATATTTTTAAGTCATTGTACGCATAGATTTTCATGTTTATAATTAGCTTCCCTTATGAAGTTTTCCTTTAGTTTTAGTGTAAATTACTGCTGTCCACAACGTTCGCGGGAAATGACTTGGTATGATTTCTTTACGTTCTCTACGATATGCTCGACAGAAACAAGAAAAAAATGAATTGTTACAGATTATTATTATAATTCCATATTCAATTTAAAAATAAAGTCTAGTCAAGTTTGTAAATTATAGAATGAACGTCAGCTTAGAACTTACTGAATCGTAGACTCTTTAGGCATGTAAGTTGATGATGCTTTAGTTTTCAGCGATGCCTAAATCCTTCTTAACAAGGCCGGCACAAATTTTGTGATAGAAATTGCTGTACTTTCTAAAGGTTTTCACAGCTAAGTCATGATCGGCTTGATTTAACAAACGATAAGTAGGACTGAAAAAAACAGTTAGTAAAAAATAAATCTGAAGTAAAATGTATATAAGAACGAGAACTTACCGAACGAATTTCATACGACCAACCTTGCCCACTTGGTCAGCGATACGTTCGTATAGAGGTTTGTATTTGCTCTTCAGGACGAGCTTAAAGTAGCGGAACGAAATTTCAGCATTTCTAGAATTGGAGAAGGAGTAGGCAGAGTCCATGGCAGCTATATAATTGTGAGGGAAGGCGTCAGCTTCAAAAAGAACATCAAGGAAAAGAGAGAGTTGAGCGGCAGACCAACCCTCGATGTCATCTTGCTTAAACTTGTCTGGGTTTTCTGATGTTTTAGCGCTATTTACCCATACGTCAGCAAGCTTGTAACAGTTGTCAGCTAATGTGGTATCAAATTGGGGTGTTACTGGGGGCATTCCAGGTGCATAATACCATGCGTCCCAATCAATAGAATCAAGAGCTTGAGAGAGACCCAACGGTTTAAAGTACTCATAGAGAGCATTCTTAAACTTAACTTCGTTGACAGTAGAGTTAGCGAACTTTCTGAAATAGAAAGACAGGAAAGGTTCGAAAACAACAGGTCCACCGACGACACGTTCGATTTCATAAAGGAAGTTGAACCCCTTTTCATAAGGGATTGTTGAGAAGGCATCATCGGGATCTTTTCCATCAAGATCAACAATAAGCTTAGTAAATTCGTGGTCTTTACCGAAAAGTTCGACGGCTTCTTTCAACTCACCCCAGCCAATGATGGCATCAAACTGGCGATACTTTTCACCTTGAACGCGACCGATGATTTTTCGCTCTAAGAAGACAGTCATACCTTCATTAAGCCAAAAACATTGCCAGGATTCATTGGTAACAAGGTTACCACTCCAAGAATGAGCTAGTTCATGTGCAATGACGGAGACGTTTGAGCGGTCACCGGCAATAAGAGTGGGAGTAGCAAATGTCGCGTTAGGATTTTCCATGCCACCATAAGGAAATGAAGGAGGCAGGACAACAAAATCGTAACGAGTCCATGCATAAGGAGTAGTAAGAGATTCGGCGGCCTTCATGAAATTTTCCATATCATGTTCAAATTCAAATTTGCAAGCTACAATGTTGTCTGGTTCGGTATATACGGTGGAACGAGGACCCACGGAAGAAGAAGCAAGGTCACCACTTAAAATGGAAATTAAGTAGGAAGGAATACCAAGAGGTTGCTCAAACATGTATACGAGAGAATCATCGCGGAAATCACGAGTACCACAAGGAATACCGGATGCAATCACAGGAAGTTTAGATCGGATGTGAAAAGTGCAAGGTACTTTTACAGAAGGGGTGTCCTGACAGGGAAGCATAGAGCGAGCATGAATGGCTTGGCATTGAGAAAACATGTAGGGAGCGTTCCCTCCAATTGTCTGTTGGGGATCTAAAAATTGAATGGCAGTGCATTCCTTAGTAGTTGAAAAGCTTATCCGTAAAGTCGCAATATCTATGGCAGGGATTGGTTTTGGTGGAACGACATGAAGGGCATTTCCTAAGAAATCGCGACGTTCGTCAACACGAAAAGGAACAGGTGTACCGTTCAAGGAGGCAGATTTGACATCCAGGTAGGATGTATCCAAGATGATGTGGGACAGAGGTTCAGAAATACGAGCAGATTGAATTTTGTACTCCACAGTACCAAAAAGAAGCTTCTTACCAAAATCAATTTCTGCATCTAAAAGTAAATGATGAATGGAAACATCATAATAATTCGACTGTGTCGAAGGATCCAACGAAATCTTCATTGTACAAGCGCGTGTCAGCTACAAACAAAATAAAAACCAGGAACCAGAGAAATGTCTTAGCACTGTAAAACGGCTTTAAAAATCAAATTTAATTTCTTCTGTAAATTCTAAAATAAACCAATTCTATGTTTTTTGAAGAAAAAGTTTGTTTATGTAGTGTGGAATGGATGAAAGGTACTCAGTATCAAGAACAGTATGGGAATAATGAGCTTTTACGAAGGAAAAACTATCGCAGTAATAAATAAACAAACGATCATGGTTTTAATAGAGAAAGAGAGACATCGATGCACATTGTCTCTGTAAATATGGCTTTGTTTTTGTCCTTCAACTATTTACGTATGTACATGGAAATACTAAAGGCGTTCGTTGAAAGATTCGATGAGAAGGTAGCGATTGAACAAATTCATAAACATAACCATTGAAATCAATATACGCATATACTTATGCCAGAAAGAATGCGGTTTCTTTGTATTAGTGCAACTGTTTTAATGAGAAGACCATTGCTGTACACTGGAGAAAGGTATAACGCTGTTTGAGAGACCGAAAAATTTCGAATTGAAACAACTAGATAGTAATTTATTAACGTTACAATCATTTTTCTTTCATTTTATTTCCTTTTTAAACCCCAAAAGGCAGTTCTTCCTTTTTTTTATAAAATTCATATTATCGAGTTTCAGGTAACACCACAGTCTAAACTGGTTATACTTATATTAACACAGTAGTGCCTGGTAATATTAGAACCTCTTCTAGTAAAGACCAGTTTGATATATAGATCTGGAAAAAGTCTATAGTAGGTGGTTTCACGTTCTGTCTCTGATGGAAATAGATCCTGTTTTATATCAACTGAAACGAGCAGCAAGCCAAAACCCAGCTGCTGTGAAAGATGCAGAGACATATCTTCAAGAATGGAAGAAGGAACCTGGTTTTTTCGCCAAATTATATAGTATCTTTTTAGACAAACAAAACGACATTAGTTTGCGATGGCTTGCAATCATTCAAATTAGAAACTCCATTGACGTTATTTGGAGAAAAAACACGAAGTCGTAAGTTGGATGTTCGTTTGCTTATATGTCTTTACTAGCTAACATAATTTTGTTGAAATAGATCATTATTACCAGGTGAAAAGGATTTCTTCCGTAATAATGCTCTTGCTGGATCTATTCACTCAGAAGATCAGTTAGTTGTTCAAAATGCTCTCGTTTTATCCAGAATAGCTCGCCAAGATTACCCATCTGAATGGCCCTCTCTTTTTCAAGAACTGATTTCTAGTCTTCATCAAAATTTTGATGCCCAACAACCTCATTTAGCTTTACGATTGCTTATAACTTTGCATCACATAGTCAAAGCCATGGCCGGAAACCGGTTGCTTCAAGCTAGGAAAACGTTTTATGAAATAACTCCTCATCTTCTTATGACTTTACAGCCAATTTTGGACTGGCATCTTTCGCAGTGGATTCATGCGCTCGAAACCTCGTCTATGCAGTCTTCCGAGGCCATTTATTACTCAATGCAGATATCACGGTATGCTCTCAAGACTTGCAGAAGATTAGTTATATTTGGAGTACCAAATCCAAGTGATAGTGATTTGAGCAAAGAAATGCTTGCTTTCGGTGCGGTGTCACAGCAAAAGGTTTTGAACCTACTTACCAACTTTTACATATCGCCGTCTTCATCACCGATGGATGACCGCATTTTTGATCAGTTGTTCGCCCATGCATATCTGTTTAATAAGCTGTTGTTTGATTTTGCTTCTTACTCGCCATGCTTAACAGTCTTCCCATCTACTATTGATTATATCTCTGTCCACATGTCATGGCTACCTCAGGTTGACAAACTTTTTGCAGCTTCTTCTAACTTTCCGGAATCATTAAAAGACTTGGAAAAGCTTGTCTTGATGAGCTTGAGAGTATTCATAACAGTTCTAAAAGAAATTGAAGATACCAAGACCTCTCATCCTGTAGCAAGCGAAAACATTCGTCAATCGTTTTTAACTGATGATAGACATTTTTTACTCCTTCGATTTATTATAACGAAGTTACTAGTACTTTCTGAGGCCGATTTTGAAGATTGGTCAGAAGATCCAGAACAATGGGTCCTCGATCAATCTACCCATGATGCAGATTATAATATTCGAGTAAGTCAATGATTTATTTTATATACTTACTAACATAATAGCCTTGCTCTGAGAATTTATTGAAATGCCTTTTCGATCATTTCGGAGAGTTTTATTCCTACCAATTTGAAAGCATGTTGGAATCGGTATTTCAGTGTCCATCTACATTAGAAGAATCTATACAACAAGACGCCCTTTTGTGTTCTATTGGTACCGGTGCCTCTCATTTGAAGGAAATGTTTCCGTTCACTGACTGGTTGGAAAAAGCAGCTATCCCTAATCTATCGAAAATTACCAATGGTGGTGTTGCTCGAGTTCTGAGAAGAAGAGTGTCTATCTTTTTATCTCAGTGGATAGAACATGTTCCATCTGGTGAGCCATTGATGGGCTTGATATATCACATTTACGCACTATTGCTGAACCGAAATGATCCTTGTAATGATTCAGTAGTACGACTCACATCTATAGATTCTTTGCGAGCTGTCTTGGATGATTGGTCATTTTCAGAAGGTGAATTTCTTAACGTCAAGAATGATCTTTTTTACAGTGTCTTATCATCAATAAACGAATTCCAAACTTTGGAAGGAAAATTATCGACGTTGTCGTTACTTGGTACCCTAATTTCGCGAGCTGGACCTGAAATAGCACCTTTGGAAGAAATGACTGTTTCCCTTTTAGCCCGATTATGGAATGAATGGGCTGCGGAGCCAATGCTTCGAACAAGGATCTTGGGAGTTCTAGCCCAGTTTGTTATTGTATGTGATAGTAATTTTCATTCTTCTAACGCTGTTTAGGCAATCAAAGACAAGTCTATAGAATTCTCTGAATTGCTGGCTGTGATTATTGACTATTGCGTGAATGTTGAGTCTCCAGACCATGTTATATATGAAGCAGATGCTATGGAGCTTTGGAGTTCTTTCCTTCAGTATGTCAAAAGACTTCCTGATGAATTTATATTACTCGTTCCACATTTGTTATACCAGCTATCGCAAGCTACATCATCCCTACCATTTACCTTAATGATCTTGAATAGTTACCTGTTACTTCAAAGTTCAGTCATCACTGAGAATTATTCCCTTGATGTTTTGGAAAGGTTAACAAACCTTTTAAGCGATGTTAAGAATGATACGCTCCTCGCGTTATGTAAAACGCTTAGTTTGTTGTTTGAAGTAAATGCAAGCAATTCTATTCATGAATCTTTGGTTCATTCTACACTGCTTCCTGTTGTGTTGAATTCCATCATAAGTTCAGAAGTACGTGTGAATATCGGTTTTGAAAGACTAACAATGATTAGAAACATCCTCAAACTCTCGTACAGTATTCATTGCTATTGTCTAGGATTAGCCTGTCATTTCCGAACGTTATCATCAACACATGTTTGACACAACGGCTAAGCGTGTACATGCTCTTGCAAAACTGGATTTCATTGGTATGAAAAGTGGATTGGGAGGTTTCGTGAAGATACATTACTAATTGAGTTGTTTAGTTTGATTATATTACACATGCAAAGGATAGAAAACTGACAGCGCTCGCGATTACTTCGTTGCTACGTACGAATGCAGAAGAAGTCTTGGAGGCCTTGAATTCCATCATGCATCTGTGGTTTAGTGTTTTAAGCGAAGTGGAGGAAGACGAAAAGGGAGAGTATGTTACTTTTATATATGTTTTGTAAATTGTTTTGCAATTCATCACAAAACAAAATTTACAAAAAGAAAAAAAAAAATTAGAAAAGGAAACTAACAGACAGTGCCCCAATCTATTACAAAAACGAAGATTACTCGGCTGTAGGATTTTATCTGGATGAGTCTTCAGAAGAAATGAATCGCCGAAAAATGGTAAGGAAGTATTTGAGAGAACGCCGACTAACATATGTTCAGATTTTGTCTAGAGATGCTGTTCATAGCGTGCCATCTAAAGCGTTTTTCGTTTCAACGTTTCTGGAATGCCAAGAAAAGAATGGTGGAGCACAAGTTTTCGAAAAAGACCATTTGACCATGGTGGATCCAGCCCTCTTAGATCAAATGAATTCCATGTTGTGAGAGAAACCACCAAATAAAATTACAAACCACAAACGGTAGATAGGATAGGAATAAAAAGTCGGAATCATTTTATACGAACGTAGTCGTTTGAGGTATAACAGGAATTTGTCAAAAACTGTATATTTAGCGGGGATTTATGAATTAGCATTGTCCTAGAATAGAATCGATTACTTCAATCATAACATGGGGACACACTATGGGGGAAATTAGCCGACAAGGGAATTTCTAATAGAAGATAAAATTCGAACTCATTTATTTCCTACAAATTCATACGTAGTAACAATAGAATCAAGCTCACTATATTATATTATGTACCATCAAATTGGATCTGAAGAGTTAGTAGTATATAAATCCAACATCAACGCTCGAGGCAAGACTAATGGCCAAGTTATGAAATCAATACATCCATTCATCCTATAGAAAAGGTTTTAGGATTAAATTGTTTCTCACTTAATAGAAAAAACTTTTAGATATAGATTTGGATGAAAAGAGCAAAAAAAAAAAAATATTAACATACAAATTATGCGCATTTTCTTTTCATTGACATTTCTCCGGGTTTATTTACAAACAAACGACTGGTAAGAACTGTTACTTTTGTTCCTTAAATGTCCTTCTAGCTCATCTTTACGTCAGGAGAATTTACCGAAGCTTAGCATAGGACTCTATTCATCATGACGTAGGGTGCAACGTCAAAAGAAGAATGCCGCATATTTATTTTCATCTTCGCGCGTAACACAGGATTCCCTGACTGAGAGTAAAGAAACGCCGTTAAAAAAGAGATTATATACGAAAAGCCTCTTTAGAAATCGAAACAGAAGTCATTTAAGCAAGTCTGTTTGTGAATATAACGGTATTCAACAAAGTATGTTTTTTACGGTAAATGGTAAAATCAAGAAATACATGCAGTCTTTGCTTGGGCTTGGGCGATTTGCAAAGCAATGAAGCATTCTAAGTTTGGAGAATATTTTAGTCGACGACATTTCGGAAATTTATCTATATTGTTAGCTAGCTGTTCAGTGCGACGATACATTGTTCGTACCTGTTGGTCTTTAAATCAGATATACTGTTGTTTGGGTTAGCATTAGAATTAGAACTAGGTATATGGTTGTACTTTTGGAATGTTCGTTTCGAGTTTATATTTGCCTATCTTCATAGATTGCTCTTCACGTTCTTCATTCAGACCAGTTCTTTTAATTCTTTTTGGTATCGTTCGTTACTAACTGATAGTATATAGCTTTCAATCCGAAAAACCAAACAACGCAGGAGATAATATTTTATTCCTCGAGATACTATGAACTCTCCTGTGTCTGACAATAGAGGCAGAACCTTGGCTTCAGGTGGAGATTTCACCAACGTCATGAAGCATTCCAGAAAACCAGAGACTAGGTTTCCAACGCGTCGAGATCAGTTGGACGAAAACATCATTCCCTCCTTTCAGACACAACCAAACGGTTTGAAAAAAAAAGAAGATGCTTGTACCGAGTATGAGCGTGCCATCCAAGCTATGGTTGAGAAAGCCATTGCCGAAGAAGCTTCAGGCGAACGATATCCTTCTTATAAAGGTTTAGAAGACTATACCCTATTATCCAAAACCGGTGATGGCGCCTTTAGTAATGTGTATAAAGCTATCCACAACATCACCGGTGAAAAAGTTGCCATCAAAGCTGTTCAACGGGCTCGACCCGTTGATCCCACTAATCCAGGTCGTCGTCAAGGCGTCGAGTCTCACAATATTTTAAAAGAGATTCAATTAATGCGTCGTATTCAACATCCAAACGTAATTCAGCTTCTGGATTTTATCCAGACTCCCGAATACTTTTTCCTCATTCTTGAATTAGCTGAGGGCGGTGAGCTATTTCATCAAATCGTGCATTTTACATATTTTTCAGAAGAGCTAGCTCGTCATGTAATTTTACAAACTGCACACGCTATTCGTTATCTCCACGAAGAATGTGGTATAGTGCATCGCGATATTAAGCCAGAGAATTTGCTCTTTGACCCAATTGATTTTATTCCGTCAAAAGTGAGAAAGTACCGTGCTGGTGATGATCCAGACAAGGTTGATGAGGGAGAATTTCGCCCAGGAGTCGGTGGTGGTACAATTGGTCGAATTCGTTTGGCAGATTTTGGACTCAGTAAAGTTATATGGGACTCTCACACCCAAACTCCATGTGGAACAATGGGATATACGGCTCCTGAAATCGTACGCGATGGGAAGTATTCCAAAAGTGTCGATATGTGGGCCTTAGGTTGTGTACTGTACACCATTCTTTGTGGTTTCCCTCCTTTTTATGATGAAAGCATTTCTTCTCTCACTAAAAAGGTTGCCCATGGACAATACACCTTTTTGTCTCCATGGTGGGACGATATCTCAAAGAGCGCCAAGGATTTAGTAAGTCATTTGCTGACAGTAGATCCAGATTCCCGCTATGATATTCATCAGTTTTTATCACATCCTTGGATAACTCAATCCGAGGAGCCTACATTCCCTGCTAGTGATGCTCCTCCTATTAAAAGTGAAAGTCCGTTTTCCTATGATGTTGCCACATTTGCTGACGATGAAATACCTTCTGCTCGTACACCAGGCGTTAATTCTTTGCGTGAGGTATTCAATATATCGTATGCCGCTCACCGGATGGAGCAAGAAAGATTGCGAAAGCGGGCCTTTGGTGGTAATCAAGGAATGGCGAATTTCTATGGGACTATGAACGATCTAATTGAAGAAGAGGGTGAGTATGACTCTGCAACTTCGAATGTTGAGCATGCCCTAAAACGAATCGATATTGCAAATTCCCCACATCCACGGTCACCAAATGCACCATCATTGCCTCAGCAGAAACAAAGAAAACAACGCAGTAATGCGTTTAAAGGATTTCAGTTAAATCTTTCTAACGCTACCCTGTACAATCGAAGACATAAACTCTGAGCTTTCACAAAAAAAAAAGAAACATTTTGAATTATTGTGTATAAGGATGCCCTTTGATCATTTACACATGGAACGAGCGTTCTACTATAGTGGTTTCTCTGTTTTTTGTTTCATTTGCTTACGATTAAGAATCTGTTAATGTTGGCCTTGCTGAAATAAAAGTGAACAAAAAAGGCATGAAACTTCATGGTTGTAGGATTCCTACCTGTTTGTTTATTTATTATTTAATAATTTTCTTTATTTCGGTTACTTTTTCTTTTTTTTTTAGGACTCCCACTGGGTTATGACGACCGTTAAATTCTTTGTTTATCGCTAATGATGTTGAAGATCAAAAAATTTCTTTGTTAATTTGCAAATGTATATTATCCGTTCGTAATAGCCATTTGCGAAGAAAGTTTTTTAGAAATCACCGACACTTGGTTTAAGGCAGATGGTACGGTTCTTGCGGTTTTTCTTTGTCAAAAGCTTGTAACCATATAGGCTGTTATTGGGATAGTAAAGCAACAATGCTTGAAGTAGGTTTTGCTACGATGTTAGATGATATGTTTATATTTTGCTAATAAAAATTTCTTCCTTTTATGCTTCATTTATGGTGTTTAGTTTTAATAGGTTGGTTTCTGGTCGCACCACTGTAGTAAATTCTGAATTGACAAATTATACGAAGAGAAAGAGAGACGTAGAAACTCTTTAGTTGTATATTCTAGACTGAATTCCACGCATACTAGGATAAAGGTAATGACGAGAATTCACAAGAAAGAGACAGCCTCTGTCATAACACTAATACAGAAAGAAATAATATTCACTTGTCACTGTACTATTTGAACCGAATAAACTGTTAAATGAAAATATATAATTGATTGAAATATTTATTTCTTTCTGAAACCAATGAATAGTCATGGCTGATGGGAGTGGTATTTATCCAAACGACTAGTTGAGCTCATTGAGAAAAACGGGGGTTTTTTTTTTGTATATTTAATACTGATTGCAGTTCATTTAAAGGCTTAGATATATTGTACAACAAAGTGAAATAAAGGCGACCTTCCACTTCAGATCCACCCGCTAATATAATAACACTCAGTACGTTGGGTACCTTGCTTGAAACGAACGACAACTAATAAACAAACGTGAAAATGTCAAAAGAAAATGAAGTACCGGATGATGTAGAATCTTTAATGGCTTCGTTGGATCAGTTGGGAGCAGAAAATACAGAGACAGACTCAAAACCCGATGAGAAAGAATCTACTGAAAAGAATGAACAAGCAGATGCTCCCGAAAACGAAAAGGAAATTTTAGATTTTTTGGACGAATTGGAGAACGAAAAGCGTGAAGCGGCTTACAAACAACCCTCTGAAGGTGCTACTACACAAGAAAGTTCCCAAGATCAAACTGAACCAAAGGAGAAATCTCGAAACGAGCCATCTGATGACCACACTTCCAAGCGGTTCGGCAGCGAGAATGAAAAAGAGGAGAATAATGGTACCAAAGAAGAAAACAAGAGCAATTGGTTGGGTGGTTTATGGTCAAGTGCTTCAGCAGCTGTTCGTTCAGCAGAACAGCATGTTCGTTCAATCAAAAATCTTGAAGAAACGGCTCATTGGGACAGCCAGGTTCGTAAAATGATGGACTTGAATAAACTTGGTAAGGCAACTCTAGCAAAGAGTATTAGTAGGTTTTACTAACAAGTCTTGGTTTAGGAGACATCGGAAATGGTATTCGAAGCAAAGCCCTACCAACATTAAGTCATACCTTTCAGAATGTAATGAATGTAGTTGCTCCCCCTATTCAGGATCATGAAGTCTTGCAGGTTACGGTGTTTCATGATTTAGCTGGCTTTTCTCATGTGGATCGAATTGTTTATGATAGTTTTGATAATGTAAGGGAAAAAGGTTTCATTTTATAAAAGACTTTATTAACAGGGTTCTAGGTTATGTCTCAAGTAGAGGGTGGTGATTTGACGGTTTTGTTGGACAAAGAAGCAAAGGTGCGAAGCAGGACTAGCGATTTGTATGAGAACTTTGCGTTGTGCAATGGATTATTGGAAGCGAAAAAGCTGGCCAAGGAAAATTTGGTTGAGCCAATCCGACATGCGAAGAAGCATCTTGAAGAATCAAACTCGACAAAGTTGAAAGAGGAAAACAACAAGGACAAGGAAGAATCTTCTTCCATTCGAGTTACCCAACTGTTGCTATCCATTCAAGCATTTACAATAAAATCTAAAGAAATATCTGAAACGGAGCAGCTTAGCTTTCTATTATGTTTGAAGGATGTCAACCATGACCTAGAGTTTTTTACGACATCACAGCCAATTCCACTAGAATGGCACCAGTGGGCTGTTGACGATCGCTATGTGCAACTGTTCGGTCCTACAGCTATCCTACCAAATGAATGGGCTATTCAATGGACTGAAAATTGTATATCGGTGGCTGCTGGAATCCTTGCTCAAATGTACACTTCAAAACGCATGGCTTTAGGAGATCCGGCGCTCTTTACAAACATTGAAAGCAAAAACGAGCAAGAAGAAGAACAGCAATCTGCTTATTACGATGGATTGGTGTATACATAAGCATGTTTTTATAATGGTCTGCAAAACCGAAACTGGTATCTTTACCTGTTACTATGAAGATACTCGAGCAATTCCTTTTATTTTTTTTAAAAAAAAAATTTCTTTATTCTGCTGTTTTATTTTTTTCCTCACATACTTCAGAGTACTGACGAATATTGTTGAAGAAGCCCATCTTTGGTCGATCTGATCTGTCTTATCTTGTTCTTTTTCATTCCATTCGTACTCACTATAAAAACAGTATGTTTATATGGTAAACAAGAAAGCGGATTTTCGCAAGTCGTGTGAAACCAAAGCGAATGTATTTATTAATGATCAACAATCTATTCTTTTATATCCAAACATACAATTACAAACTAAAAGTTGATAAAACATAAATAAAACGCTTCCTGGAGAACCATCAAGAAGCCCAAAGAACTACTACTGAACGGTGGTAAAACTACGAAACGAGATAAATGACAAAAGAACGAAGCCGTTGTGAAGTGTGAATGGGAGAGAAAAATTGCCACTTTTCCAGCTTTACGCACATTTGCCAACCAAATTCAACCGAAATTCATGCTCTTAACGATGTAGGTACAGCAAAGATGTTTTTCCTTCTTGATGTTAGGACTACACAAACTTTGTATGATCAAATAACCCAGCCATGTGATCTAACATGGTAACTCGGTATAGAATTCGTAACTGTAGAAACATATGAAACCAGTTATTGTTTTTTAGCAAGAAAGAACTCTGGAAATTCCATACAAAAACCAAAAATAATGAAAAAACACTAAACAGATTCCTTTTGTTTACAGGATTATCTTTGGATTTCTATGTTGCTGTTTATTTATATCCCTGTTACTATTTACTCTTATCCAGAACCTAAAACACAAAGTGATTGGAGGACGTAAAAGGGAGACCGGCCTTAGATGCCATGCTCAAGCCACCTGTTACTTCCCGTGCCTCACAACCAACAAACGTGACGTTTCCTTTGTCATCAAAAAGTATATATATATTGACAAGCAATGTCCGTTCCAGGATAATATCAACTTCAAGAATTATCGTAACGGTATATTTCGTTATACCCTTTTTAATCATTCTTTTATATCTTTGACTCTCTTTTGCACAATGCTTTTGAAAAGTGCTGGATTTTTATTCTGTCTTGCTAGCGCATTCGTCGCTGATGCTATTCAACTAAACTCTCCTACCAAGGATACGGTTTGGAAGTCTGGCCAAACCAACACTGTCTCTTGGGATTATGTTAGCACTGATCCTCACAGAACCAAGGTTGTGTTGGTTAACATGCAAAACTATCCCAACAGAGTCTATGATCTCGGTACTGTCGATACCTCTCAAGGACATTTGACCACCAACATTCAATTGTCCTCCGATTTGCCTCACAATGACTGGCAAATCTACCTTAACAGCGATGACCAAATGAACACTGGTTCTTTGGCCCAATCTCAATTCTTTACCATCGATGGCAGTGGTAAGAGTGTCAGTTCTGGTACCATCGGTGGTGGTATTGTATCTAGCACCTCTTCTTCTGCTAGCTCCACTCCTTCTTCTTCTTCATCTTCCTCTTCTTCTGCTTCTTCATCTTCCTCTTCAGCCTCCTCCTCCGCATCTAGTAGCTCCTCCAAGTCTTCCTCTGGCAGCTCTTCCGCTCCTTCCTCCTCTTCCTCTGCTCCCAGCAGCAGCGGTAGCAGCAGTGGCTCTAGCTCTTCTGCTCCTTCTTCTTCCAGTGTCTCTGCCTCTGGTTCTGTCACCTCCGCTGCCGCTAAGACTGCTGGTGGTGACAGCAGCAGTGGTTTCAAATCTAGCCACCGTAGCACTGCTTCCAACTCCAAGGGCGGCTCTAGCAGCAAGGGCTCCAGCTCCGGTGCTGCCACTGAAGGTATTGCTAAGGTTGCTGTCGCCGGCTGTGTTGCCGTCGCTGCCCTTATGCTTATGGCTTAAATGAAAGCTGTTTGAACGGTGTGTTTTATAAAAATGTTAAAAGTCGTTTCTCTTTTAATTTAAGAGAGCAAGGGCTGAACAAGAAAAAACTCTTGCTGTTCTATGCAAATCTTCTATTTACTCGTTTTCGCATTTCATTTCATATCTTATGTTTTTTGATCCTTTGCATGGTGCATCAAATTTATTGGTATTGATCAGTCATTTATTTTATCTCATCGTTTGAAATCTTATTACCCAGATTGCATTTTTTGAACTCTCGGTTTATCATAATTACTTTTACACAAAAATCGATGAAGGTTTCTTTTTATTGTGTGTGAAATTTTTTAATATCGCATATATTGTCATAGTTGTTTTAGTTTGTCTACAAGTGTATATGTTTGATAAATCAATCATACCCAATTGCATTGTTTTTCTCATACCCTTTTGATGCCTTTTTCTCTTTCTATTATAAAAGAGGAAGCAGTGTAATAGTAGCAGGAAAGTACAAATGTTAGAGCGAAATGCATTTTTTCAATCACTTTGGATGATAATGAGACAAGTGTGTCGTACAGAGAAATGTTTCATGCTGTTCGGAAAGAAAACAGTAGGTTTCTGTGTCTTGATATAATCCTAAGAGGATAGGTGCCAAAAAAGAACTCCCAAGGCGAGACTCGAACTCGCAACCTTCTGATGACCTTCCTAAGAGTCAGACGCTCTAAACCGATTGAGCTACCCGGGACTTGCTGATCGTTTCTCTTTATTAACTTTATTGACTATAATCCGAGTAGAGTGAGGATGGCTTAAATAGGTTTCTTGGAAGCAAATCTATTGAAGCATAAAGTAATACTCTATCGCAAATGTTAATAGAAAAAATAAAACAAACCGACCAATCTATTTGAAATCATGGATGGTGAAATTGGTGATATATTTTGTACTAAAGAATATATATCGAAAAAGACCTGGCAGAAAGAGACTGAAAATCAGCTTGTCGAAACTCTCAACATTTATTTACAACTAGAAAGAAATAGAAAAAATAAAATAAAGAAAAGAATACTAAATTAAACAGAATAAAAATAAAAAAATAACTTTGCTCGGTTGTCCTGCAAAAGTTTTCACTCTCGCTTACTTACCCAAAAAAGCAGTCACGGTTTTTTTGGAAATTGTGTCAAACCGCAAACATTCAGATTTTTTTGATCTTCCCAACACCAAACACCAGCAGTTAACATTACACAAAATGTCTCGTGGACGCGGTGCAGCTTCCGGTACTAAGTATAGAATGACCTTGGGTCTTCCCGTTCAAGCCATCTTGAACTGTGCTGACAACTCTGGTGCCAAGAACCTTTACATTGTTTCCGTTTTCGGTACTGGTGCTCGTCTTAATCGTCTCCCTGCTGCAAGCTGTGGTGGTATGTACATTTGTAATAACGAAGATAATCTTTATTATGGGCTGATCACCAGTTGTGGTAAAATTCTTCGCAAAAAAGAATATCAGCCTTTGAGAGGATCTTGAGTCGTTTGATTCTTATGAGCATAGGTAACTAACATTATAACTTAGATATGATTCTTGCTACCGTCAAGAAGGGTAAGCCTGACTTGCGTAAGAAGATTATGCCTGCCATTGTTGTTCGTCAACGTAAGGCCTGGCGCCGTAAGGATGGTGTCTTCCTTTACTTTGAAGATAATGCTGGTGTCATCGTCAACCCTAAGGGTGAGATGAAGGGTTCTGCCATCACTGGTCCCGTCGCTAAGGAGTGTGCTGATCTCTGGCCTCGTATTGCTTCTAACGCCGGTACTGTCGTCTAAACAAGTTAATAAAAATACCGAGCATATTCTTAAAAAAATTCCGTCTTTCTCGTTGGTTAGTGCTAAAAAGAACACTTTTGTAAGTATCCTATAGCTATTGTCATATGTTGTAAGCATACACACCGCCATTTCTACTTGAAACTAAATTTAAATGAATGTTCTATAGATCTAACTTATTGGCTGCAAAAGAAAAATGTAATAATTATTATTCTTTACAAAACTACTACAAATACAGGGAAGAATGTTTGAAACCTTTTTCTATCAGCTTGCAAGCTTTTGTTCAATTTTTTTTAGCATGCCTTTCAGCCCAATCCCATTTGTGGAATGGTAAACCAGCCATTTCTCCATTTCTAACCGTATATTCTTCAGTTGATTTGGAATAGGAAGGCTACCTTCGGTTGTTTGCAATGTAGGGTTCAGTAAAATATCAAAAAGCTGGTTCCAAAGTTCTTGGTTCCAATACCTTTTCATCCGTTGAGTCAAAACCTGTCTTCTCCTACCAGTGGAATAGTCAAGCTTTGTCTCAATGTATTGTCCAAAAAGCATTGTGTGAATGATAGCGGCTAAACCGTGGTAATCGACTTGATACGTCCATGGTTCGCCCTCACGCATTTCTATACAATCTTGCAAGTCCGTTTCCCAGTTTGCCATGAATTTTGTGTTTGGTTTAAACAATGACATATCAAGACCCCTACCAAAATCTATAAGGAAAATTCCTTTCGAAGACCAACCGCAATATCCTTCAGGAGAATAGCTAGCATCCCATTCTAAATCATTCACAGCTTCTAAGCGTAGCAACGCATTATCAGCCTTTAAGTCTCCGTGAATAATCTGCTTAGAATGCAACCCTTCAATGATTCTCAAAAATTCTATCGAAAAAAAAAATACCAACATCTCATCTATCCCCGGTACAGAACTAGAGGAGTTTCGTAACGAGTTTACCAAGTCCAAAACAGATCCTTGTGGCCGATAATCCATTAACAAATGACTTGAATTCCGGTATATACTCAAATAGTAAACGGGAAGTATAGAAGCAATATCTCGGCTGTCACTCATCCTTTTTCGAGCTTCCTGAGTCAGATAGTATTCAATAGGAGAAGAAGGGCTCTCTATTTTCAATGCATATAATTTCGAGTCAATAGTACCATTCTCATCTTTTTTCGAAACCTCGCTCTCTGAGGGAAGCTCTTTAGCAAGATAAACAGGCGCAAAAGCTCCCTGCCCGAGTTTACTTATGATCCCGATTTTTACGTTTGAAGGATAAAGTAAAGGAAAAGTGGGGCTGTTTAATAAACTAAGACGAGTGCTGTTGCTTCGTCTTCTGCCACGTCCACTAGTGGTAGCTTTTGGTTTATGAACAAAAGATTCGATAGCTTCTAGACTAGTAAAATTACCATCGATCTCATGATAGTTTTCATCAAATTTTAAATAGGGACGTAGTGCATGGAACAAACATTCGCGTAGAGGTTGATCCAGAGGATGAATAACAGTAGGTAAAGAAGGCAGGACGGGATACTTTATAGATTCATTCATGCCCAGTAAATCCTGCTCGTTATATTTTGCGAGAGGTTCATCATACAGAAATGGGTTCACTGCGTGAAGGTTGTTGTTTTCTTTGAAGGGGAAAGGAACTGGATTAGCTGAATATCCGTTTAGCGGCTCCGCTGTTCGTTCCTCAAAGTAAGGAACAGATTCGTTATGACTTTTATAAGGTATCGACGGAGGGGATTCCGAAAATGTTCGCCTCCGTTTTGCGCTATTTGAAACCGCTGAAACTGAGGCTTCATTATCAAATGCATCAACCGACAGTGTGGGAAACGCCTGAATATCAGATGGATGCGAATGGGGTATCTGGGTTTTTTGTTTTTCGTTCTCATAAGAGCTCCCAGCGGCGGGGCTAGTTAGTGATGAAGATTTTGCATTCTTAAATGCATCTTCTTTTATGGAAGATGGCTCATTAAAGGATATTGTTTTTGTCATGTTAGATGGACTACCAAAGTCAGAGTATTGATTAGGTTTGGGGGACTTCGGCGGGGTCTGTTGAGTTTCAGAACGGAGTGGTTGGTTAAAAAGATCCATTATATCTGCTAAAGCAGCTTTTGTGTGAATGGTAGGAGAAGGAGGTTTAAAAGCGGGTTTGGGTGAAAGTGCGACAGGTGTCAAAACATCAAACACTTCCTTTTTAGGAGTCGGTTGCGGAGCCTGTTGATGAGTAGCGGATAGAGAAGGTTCCACAGGGGCAGCATATGGTTGAAAGTTGGGAGCTTGCAATGATGAGGAAATTGAATCAAAATATCGTTCAGCTCTGTACTCTTCCATTGATTTCTCTTGACCATTTGCATATAAAACAGGAAAGTGAAAAGAAGCATACTCAATCCGTTTTCCAGAAGAAGCATCATAAAACATAGGAAGATCAGGCTCCTGTTTATCTATAACACTAGAAAGTGGATCCGCTGATGCACTAGTAATATTACGTTCAGAGGAAGGGGCAGGAGCGTCAGAATATATTTGAAACGGTTTAGTGGAATGAGGAACATCGTTTTTCTGAACAGATGGTCGCTCAGAAACGGGTGTTGTAACAGTACTGGATTTGGTTCCGAGTATCGTCCTTGGTGGAGGAAATGGAGCTTCGTAAGCTATTGATTCCAAGGATATATTTTCATTCGATAGCTTTTCTAAGTAAGCATTATAGACCCTTGAAAACTCTGAAGAACGTCGAAGAAGCCTGGACAAAGGACGAGCCTCTCGCGACACGCCAGTCTGCAGTACTTCTGAAGCTTCTTTCCATCGCCCCATGCGAACTAACAATGAAGCATATTCCTCGTAGAATAAAGATAGCTCTATTCCGATCTTTTTTCTTGCTAAATTATAAAATTCATGAGTAGCTTCAGTGAACATTTCCGGTGAATCGCATAATTGATGTATTTTCACAAGCCAAATACGTAAATGTCGGACGTCGTTTTGAGCAAACTTACATTTTTCCAAATAAGTAAGAGCATCATCCAAAACTTTTGGTAAAGTGTTTTCTTTCAAATATTGCGTCGACTCTAGCCATTCCACGCAGCGATACCAGACATCAACTGGGTCGTCTAGTTCATCGACAACTTCGAGTTCTTCTGTAAAGACAGAAAAAGTTTGTATTTCTTCCAAACGGTTTCCTGACTTTCTGAATGCCTGTTGGGAATTACTTTCGTCATGCTCCGAAACCGCTTCGTTCACATTCTTATCCTCCGAAAGGTGCCATTCGGGCATTTTCTTCAATACGTCGAAAGCATTGACCGTATCCAAAGACGGGAGATATGGTGAACCTTTGATTTGGTAGCGAGTGATTCACCTTAACTGCTAAGTTATTTTACCAAGTGGACGGTGGACAAACACTATTAGATTTCTCGACGAATACTGCAGGAGTGCTGAGTAAACCAAGAATTGCAAGTTCTACCAATTAAATCCAAAATAATAACCTTGCTGTTGATATTAATTTTTTTCCTTAATTTCCTTTTTCACTTAAGAAGCCAAGTTCAACAGTCAGCTTTGTGGTTCGAAAAAATCATAACAGTTAGAGTAATATTCCTGTACAGAGGTACCTTTGGGAATTTTTTCTTTTTTTTGAGGATAAACAAACATATGTGCCAAAAGTGTAAATTAATTTAAAATAGACATCCGTATTGTTGGTTTCATACATGCACCACGGAAAACAATAGTATGGTATAATTTTTTTAAGGCATAGACTGGTGACTCCATTGTTTGCGCAATAGGGTACTCGATTCTCAATAGAATAAAACATCAGATGAATATTTATAATTTTTTACAAAGTTAGTTAAATATAACAAGTTTTAAAAACATAATAAAAATAGCAAAAACGACACCAGCAGGATTTGAACCTGCGCGCGGAGACCGCAATAGATTTCTAATCTATCCCTTTAACCACTCAGGCATAGTGTCTAATTGTTGATGTTTCTTCAAAGAAGAACCTATTTATATGGTAAATGCAAAAAATGAACAGAGTTTTACTTTCTACATGCTTAAAAGGTAAGGAAGAAAAGTGAAATTTATTTAAAGAGCTAATTTAATATTTCCTTGAAGTCAGAAAACCAGTTGTTTTTAGTCAAAGATTGCAGTATCAAGAGTTGTCCAGCAAACAAACAACACAACCAGAAAAGCGGACTAGTGACAAAGAGTTACTCGATTTGTCCTAGGAAACTTTTGGAATTATCTGTGAAGCCCCCTTAACTGAATAAATCTCAATTCTACATACTTGAGTAAGAAACAACTTGGTTTGAGATGACAGCGAAATGGTCCCATTCCAAGATGCAATTCCTTTTTTCTTTCTCAACTTCTGCTCAATTCGTTTTTGGAACATAAACCCCAAACTTGGCTTGGCCAGAGTCAAAGTTTTGGAAGGTTAACTGATTCAACATCACTATTGAGAGAAGGACTATGTCTGGAATCCAAACACTCTCGGAGTCTATTCTCAAAAGCTTTCATCTCATGCTCGTTGCTAAACAGGATTTATTTAACACGTACGTGAATGATAATAGCAAGTGGAACCTGATCTCCTGAATGCTGCAAAGTACATCATGAAATGTAAACAAATACTTGCAACTGCTAGAGTCCGACTTGGAAGGGTAGTTGGAAGAAGAACCTATTTATATGGTAAATGCAAAAAATGAACAGAGTTTTACTTTCTACATGCTTAAAAGGTAAGGAAGAAAAGTGAAATTTATTTAAAGAGCTAATTTAATATTTCCTTGAAGTCAGAAAACCAGTTGTTTTTAGTCAAAGATTGCAGTATCAAGAGTTGTCCAGCAAACAAACAACACAACCAGAAAAGCGGACTAGTGACAAAGAGTTACTCGATTTGTCCTAGGAAACTTTTGGAATTATCTGTGAAGCCCCCTTAACTGAATAAATCTCAATTCTACATACTTGAGTAAGAAACAACTTGGTTTGAGATGACAGCGAAATGGTCCCATTCCAAGATGCAATTCCTTTTTTCTTTCTCAACTTCTGCTCAATTCGTTTTTGGAACATAAACCCCAAACTTGGCTTGGCCAGAGTCAAAGTTTTGGAAGGTTAACTGATTCAACATCACTATTGAGAGAAGGACTATGTCTGGAATCCAAACACTCTCGGAGTCTATTCTCAAAAGCTTTCATCTCATGCTCGTTGCTAAACAGGATTTATTTAACACGTACGTGAATGATAATAGCAAGTGGAACCTGATCTCCTGAATGCTGCAAAGTACATCATGAAATGTAAACAAATACTTGCAACTGCTAGAGTCTGATCTGCAGCCGAAGATTATAATCGTATACTCATTGCTTCTTTTGAGAATGTGTACAAAGAGCAGAGATGATATAAAATGAGATTCAACGGTGGTATAAACAATGCTAGAAGCAAGAGTCATAACGAGTAGGGAAGTACAATCATTATATGGAAAAAAGCTGGAGAAATAAGAATATTTTTGATAGAGAATGCTGTAATGTTAGAAAAAAAGAGAAAGAAATTAAGGGAATCCTACCCAAAAAGGTGTCAAAAAGTTTCAAAACGAATATTCTGTACGAAAGACAAAACAAAAGAACGCAATTTAATAAAATTTAAGGATCTTCTGATAGAAAAATGGAAAGGAACTTAATACAAGCTTGCTCTTCATTCCATTTTCTTTTATGTAGTCAAGCAATGAGACATCCAAGGAAGGTCATTTTATGGAGTTTTTGTCGATACTAGACTGAAACGAAACCAGACCTTCTTGAGGAATTCATCTACAAGAAACAATTTTTTTATTCTGTAAATGAACTTCCTTTGAATGCATACATGAAATTGCTTGCTTGCTGAAACATGTAGAATTTGACCTATAAATATACCTTCTTAGACGTTTGTTTGTTGACATTTAAGATGGGAAACAAACTACTCACAACAAACAAAGGAAACTTTACTATTGGTGTTTTATCCAACAAAGTTTGAAATAAAACAAACAAATTCAAGCCGTGCCATCTGTTGAGTTTGACTGCAAGGCTCTGCAATTGTTTATTGTCAACTCAAGTAAACAGTCGAAAGAAACGTAAAGTAAGACTATCCATCCTCTTGCAAGGAATAAAAGAGAAAAAGATAACAAAAAAATAGAAACCAGGTTTTGCTATTTTCTTGCACTGTTCTAGCTTAAGTAAGAGTCCTCCCTGTATATATGGTTTTCATGGAATAAAAAGTAGAGTTTCCGTTTTTGAACAAGTCATACAACTAAGCTAAGAATAAATATTATTTAATTGCGTTTATTATTAAATTTGAATTAGGATGGAAAACTTGATCCTGTTTACGGGAACGTAAACAATGTTGGACAACAGTAATTATTGCCCGACTCGCATAAACAAACGAATAATTCGTTGAATGAAGAGTAAAATTTCAGCTCCAACAAACATGCTATTATTATTATTATTATAATTCGAGCTATATGTTGGATAGTTTAACAGACTTTAATTGCATTTTTGAAAACCTAACTGAAGGCTCTAATTCACTGAAATTTCCAAAGTATCACCAACTGGATGATACATTACTTTCCTCCTTATCAAAGCCTCTTATATTTTAGGCACCATGATAAAAGATATAAAATGAATATATTAGGTACTTTTAAACAGAATAGAATACTTATGTCCTTCTGTAAACAATTCTGCTTTGCTGAATACTGTTACCTTAGAGGTAACCACTAAGTTCCATAGTAAACAACAGTAGCTTTCATTGATTTGAAACCGAGGAATAACAGTACAAATGTTTAGAAAAAGAAAAGCAATCATAAAAAAAAATAAAAAAAAAGGAGCAGCAAAACCAAAGAGGAAAAAAATCAAGAAGAAAAAGCCTACAGCATCCCGGATTCCCATGTTGTCTCCAACCATAGTACTAACGAGACCCTCAGACGCTTAACTGCAGTGATCGGACGGGAACTGGTGTTTTCGCCTAGGTGTGGCCGTAGACAACTGTCGACGTTGTAAAAAGTATATGTAGTGAATATTCATCATCTCATATTTTACAAAATTTATAGAGGATGGTTTTTGATACATACAAGATTAAAGCACTCTGTTTTTCTCTTTTCTAGCTATTCACATTGTGCTAAATTGTCGTTGAGGTGTGAGACCATATGTCTGAATTTATAGCAATTGAGAAAGTCGTATTTTGAGAATTTAATTTTTAAACTACATTAGTTGAAACGGCCAATCTGAGTATGTCCAGCTTTGAATTAGAAATCGGTTGATTATTTTACAAAATTATCGTCATAACAACTAGATAATCATTAAAAACGTTGCATTAACAAAGGATGTTCATCACAAAGAAAACGAACGATTCATAAATAACACTATTGCGAGACGAATTCTTAAATACATAAAAGAATGAACGTGAAAAGCAATCCAACCTGCCGAATGAAGCTGTGCTTACTTTTGTGGACAAGAATACAGAAACTCGAGGGATTGCAATTGATATGAATGCTTCCAACGAAAATGTGATTTATAGGAGGGATGGAGAAGATTCGTTAAAACTCAAACTTCAGCGCTTTGCCCAGCAAAAGGTTGAAGCTCAATTTCTTCGTTTTGAGGTGCTTCATTTTCTGGATCTGTCGGTCCTAATTAGGTTAGTCAGATGCTAAGAACAAAAAAAGTTATAATAAACAGTACATACGAACATAATTTGCAGCATTTCTTATGCCGTTTGGTATGTCATTCACCATGTTTCCCATGCCATTTCCTAAATCAGCAATGAAGATTCGAAGTTGTCGCGTATCCGTACCTAGAACCAGTTAGAATATTTCGCAAGGTGTAAGACATACTCCAAAATAAAACAAACACGGCAACGTTAACAATGCAAACAAAATAGAAAAACCCTTTGTCCATCTTTTCAAATCCTATTACCTTCTTTACAAAATAATACACGGAATAGCAAGGGGCATTCAGAGAAGCCGTACATATTACTGCGACACACATGTTGGCACACATGTTGGATAGCACTGTACCAGTTTGCTTGAACCATTCTTTAGGAATTAGAGACATTGCTAATAGTTAGTAAAAATAAAAGATAGCGCTAACTTACAATAGAGAAATACTACAACGGATGCTCCACAAGCAGCAGAAAGTCCCCAAAGGGTTTTCGCCCTCACAGGAACCTTGACATAAAAAACACCACGAGAAAAATAACATAAAATATAATATACACAAAAGATGCAAAAAAAAGAAGATAGCTATTCGAATCCACTTCGAATATCTCGAATCCGACCCAGCGTTGTTAGTGGACTCTTGGGCAGAATGCTGAGCAGATCCATCAGCCATTTCTAAATCAATAAATTTGTTCGGAGCTAATGAATGTATTAGTGATGAATGCTCTTGTTGTTTGAGAAAGGATGGAGCGTTTGTCAAGTTTGCTGATGGTAATCAACAAGTTTATTAATCTTAAACACAACAAGTAAACAAACAAACATGATTCTTCATCAAAACTGCTTTTAACCTAGATTTTTTCAACAAACATATAAAAAACCAACCCTTCCTTTCTATTTCAATAAATCTTACCTGAATACGGAGGAGGCGTACCCTCTGAAGAATGTATATCTGATTTCTCATCAATGAGCGTTTTGAAAGACTCGTCAGAGTCTGAAAGAGGACTGTACTTATTCTTCATTTTCGCAATGGCAAATCAAAAACCAAAAGAACACCAATACTTATAGCTGAAACAAAATCAACTAGAATTACCAAGAAAAGTCTGTAGAAATCGGTTCCACTTTTCAGGGACCTGTAAAAAAAGGAATTGTTCCTTGTTTCTAAAGAAAATCAATACCTTGAGTAAATTCTGTCTAAAACCAAAGATAGTAATGAAAAAAAATCTTGGTAATGGCTTTTCGCATGTCTCAACTTCATAAAGCAGCGACATTATGTCACTGACTGGTCATATCCTCGTTACAATTATTCAACATTGTGGGTTCACTATGGATTTTAGTAATGGATAATGTAAACGAGTCGGTTATTACAAATAGTAAACAAAGGACCTATCCAACAATAAAACCTTGACGTCGGTTTTTCGCAATTATATTCAGCATCGGTAAGCACGCATTCTTTTGAAGCAACTTTTTCTAAATATTCTCAAGGATTTCAGAAGAAACCTGACCATCTAGGAGTTTTACACGTAGTAGAAAGTTCATTTACATAGGAAGGAAAGCATTGCTATGTCCGGTCTTTGGTCGTCGTCTGGCATGAGATATGTTTATCCTTTTTGGAGTATTATTCATTGAAGCGCGTCTTTACTTACCTGCGGTGATCGGACCGGAGCTGGTGTTTTCGCCAGCTATAGCTGAAGACGTAGAAGCTTATGGTTTTATCAATATATTTGGTTGAGCTCCCGTATGAAATACAAGAATAGCTTTCCCGTTTCTCGTTTTGGGAATCGATCCTTTTAATTTATTATTTGAGAGTTTTCAAATCAACGATTCATCAAGAGATTGTCGCCACTATGATTGTATTTTATTTTTTTAAGTAAAACAAAAATTTAAAATTTTTTTTTCCTAGTTTTGAATGAATATGGACCCATAGTAAAATCAGAGTCGGCTTGAAGGAAACTATCATTGTTGCAGATATATTCGTTCTGTAGCACGCATTATCACATAAAAAGGTCCATTTAATATTCTGATTATTGTGTGTTCTATGATAAGGTGCATTATTTCAAATAGCCCGGAATAAGCAATGTATGATTTATGCTATAGTCTCTTCTTTACTTTTACCAAACAGCACCACTATGTATTATATAGTCGAACATAATTGAAGAAGCTTGATGGAAACATTAATTTAAACTAATATCACTGGAATTTATGCCAACTGAAAAAAAAAATAAATAATTTGAAGTACGAGTATGATATGATATTCAAAGAGTCTTCTAAGAAAGAAATGACCCTTTCGCCTAACGGCAATATGTGTTCTTCTAGTGCGTATTTTCAATTGGTCGTTTCATGAAACACGGTTAATCTTTCGCATTTTGGCTTATTTGTACTTGCCATTAAACAAGAAATATTAAAATAAAACATATGTCTCTTCTTAAATTCAAAAACGACGGGTCGTATCATATGGGCACTAACTTCAATCGTTCATCTGTGGCTATTCACAATCCTAGCTATACTTGTTGAATATATCGACTACTTAGTACATGCGAAGTTAAGGATACGTTTAGGTTCTCTATTATTCTAAGAACGTGCAAAATGATGAGCTCTAGTTCTTGGTTCAACGAAAAATGGCTTATAATTGAAAAAGCAGAAAACTAAAAATAAATCTTCTTCCTACAAGAACATGAACATGAACAATTCTCTCAAAATAGTTGAAGACTTTTAATCTAACCTTTTTAACTATCAGAAAGATAAATTTTCTCGCTCTCTCTCTTTTTTTTTTTTTTATTTTTTCTTACTTTATGGAAAAGACGTTGCTTTGTTTATTTATGCGGTATGTAATGACTCTTAACTTCTTTGAGGTTTCTACCCAACGGGCTTTATTTACCGAAAATTCAGTTATTTTCGACCTGAATAATCCTTCCTACATTACCTTTAGCATTTCACACTGTACCGTTAATTTTTGGCAATAAACAGTACGCCTAGTGCTCACTTCCTGCCTGTTTATTTATTGATTTTTTTTTTTTAAGAAAAGTCCTTGTTAAGAACGTAAACTTGTTTTCATACTTGTCATTCTCGTTTAAAACGTCATCCCATATTTGAAAAGCGTGCGGCATTACGACAAGCTATCTTAAAAAAGATTGTACACAGTTTACAACCTGTTCGCAATCGATACAATACTTTTCGAAAAACAAAACAGAATCTTGATTCCTATAAAAATTACTAGATTCAGCGGAACTCTAACAATTTGCTACTATAGTATCTTGCACCAGCGTTATATATTCCCCCTTATATTTATTTCACAGCCTACATAAAAAGGTTTGTTCCTGGATTTATTCTTTCTGATTGAATTCATGGCGACAAAATTCTTTCGAATTTCGCCAAAAGGCTCGAAGTTTCTCCCTCCTCGAGTGAACTCTGGTTCTAACCTTTGTTTGCATCCTCGAGTCATTTCATCCTCACCTTGTCTATCCCAAAAAAATGTTCTCTTCAAGAAAAATACAAGAAACTTTCAAGGGGCCTCGTTTTCGACTCTATCGAGGTTTCCTGGTCAAAAGAACCCAAATTACAATTCCCGACAATTTAGTTCTGAAAAAGGCGAATCAGACAATTTGGCCGATTTGAGTCCTCGACGAAACTTTCCCAACAAATACAAAGAAACCGAGTATTTTGGTTATAAGCCTAACGTGTTTACTGGGAAAGAAGAACAGAAACAAAAGGTCATTAACTGCCTTCGAAACGAACGAAAATCAATTCCTGATGAATCCATAGAAGATGAGGTGTATCGTTTTTATGATCACCTATGCTTGGATGACTATTACTTCCAGATGGAACCCATGGAAATGATTGCAGAGCATATAGAAATTATCTACGCTGCTAAAGTTGCTGCTCGTGCATCTCATGCAAGGGAAGAACTTAACATTCACGTAAAAAACGAAAATGACGACTCCGCTATTTATATGGATAGTGCTCCTGTTACACAAATGGAATTGGATAAATCTCATGAAATAGAACAATCTATTTCTAAACGTTATTTGGATAATCCAAATGATAATGCCCTCTCATTTCGACTTGAATCATTCACCTCTACTGCCAACATTGACCGAGCTAGTACGGAAAACTCAAACATCTCTACCTTTCTCGTGAACAAATGTAATTTCGTCGAGCCTCCTAAAGACTTATCTTCGTCTCAGGAAAACCCAAAAATCGCTTGGGTGTCAGACAAAACATTTTTGGAAAAGGCCTCCGAGCATACCATCCAAACGTATCAGAATATAATGGACACTGTCTTAACTCGATTTGGTCCCGCTGTCGGTGTTTTTGAACACCAACAACGTTCTGAAATTCGGTTGGTCATCGGTTATCGTCGTGGATCCATTATGAGGTTTTATCCTTCTATCTCGAACTTGCTCCGCTACTACGGGTTGTCTTCATTTCGAACTTACATTGAACAGTTTAGCAATGGTGTCACAATTATTTGCTACAACTTCAAGTCTGACAATTTCAAGGATACTTCCACTTCTACCTCAGTTGAGGAGCTTTTCGGTCAAATTACAAAGGAAATTTCTCTGTTATATTGCATGCCACACACTGATATTGATTCTATGTTTACGTCCTCTAAGTTATCTATCCAGGAGGTAGCTTACGCTCATTGTGTCCGTGTGTTTTGTGAACATGTAATGAATAAGCTTGGAAGCGAATATACAAGCTTGTCAGCTATTCTTGATCATTCAAATCATCTTCACGTTGAAATCCTTGACACTATAAAGCGCCGCCTTTCAGTCCTTGCTTTCACTCGTACTAAAATTCACGATACTATTGTTCAATATCCTCAGCTTGTGCGTATGCTGTTTGATCAATTCTATCTTCAACATTCTATTGGAACTGGATCTTCGCCACGCCTCCATCGTGCAAAAACTGTTTCATCTGAATCCCTGGATCCTCAAGCTTTAGTTGAACTGCCCAACGAAAAACTCGTAGAGACGATTCAAAAAACATGCGTCAATGATGACGACGTATCCATTATGGAAATGTTTGTTAAATTTAATTCTCACTTGTTAAAAACAAACTTTTTCCTAACTACTAAAGTCGCTTTGAGTTTCCGATTTGACCCTTCATTTTTGGATCAAGCACAGTTCAAAGATCCCTTGTACGCTATGATCATGTCTGTTGGTAATGAATTCAGGGGTTTCCATTTACGCTTCAGAGATGTTGCTCGTGGTGGAATACGCCTGATTAAATCGGCAAATACCGAGGCCCTTAATCTAAATGCTCGTGGACTATTTGATGAAAACTACAATTTGGCTAATACACAAAAGCTTAAGAACAAGGACATACCAGAAGGAGGTGCCAAAGGTGTTATTCTTCTAAATTCCAAATTTCAAGATAAACCTGCTTTGGCTTTTCAAAAGTATATTGACAGTATTATCGATTTGTTAATTCCCAACGAACAGGAGAGAATAGTGGACAAGTACGGTAAACAAGAAATACTTTTTATGGGACCTGACGAAAATACTGCCGAATTGGTAAATTGGGCCACCATTCACGCACGTAATCGTAAAGCTCCTTGGTGGAAGTCTTTCTTCACAGGAAAAAGTCCTAGTATGGGAGGTATTCCACATGATAAATTCGGCATGACATCTCTTTCAGTCCGTCGCTACGTGGAAGGCATCTACAGAAAATTAAACCTTGATCCAACCAAGTTAAGCAAAATTCAAACAGGAGGTCCGGATGGTGATCTGGGTTCTAATGAAATTAAGCTTTCCAACGAAAATTACATTGTCGTGATTGATGGAAGTGGTGTTCTTTACGATCCTGCTGGTCTGGACAAATCCGAACTTTTGCGTCTGGCAAACGAAAGAAAAATGATTGATCACTTTGATACATCTAAGCTTAGTAAAGAAGGATACAGAGTGTTAGTCAGAGACAACAACGTTAAACTTCCGAACGGCGAGGTTGTAAACAACGGAACTACTTTCAGAAACACAGCTCATCTTCGTTACAAAGCAGATGTTTTCGTTCCCTGTGGTGGTCGTCCAGGAGCTATTAACATTAACAATGTTGATCAACTGATAAATGAAAATGGAAAACCTAAAATCAAGTATTTGGTGGAAGGTGCTAACCTCTTCGTCACTCAAGATGCCAAGACTGTTTTAGAGAAAACTGGGGTTGTTGTGATTCGTGATGCGTCCGCGAATAAAGGCGGTGTGACATCCAGCTCTCTTGAAGTTTTAGCATCTTTATCTTTTGACGATTCTTCTTTCATAGAGAACATGTGCGTGCGTGACGGAATACAACCCGAGTTCTACAACGAATACGTGAATGAGCTGAAGGAAATTATTCAGAAGAATGCCGATATGGAGTTTGAATGTCTTTGGGAGAACCATAAAAAGCAAAAGCTAACTTTCACTAGTTTGAGTAGTAAGCTTTCTGAAATGATTGTCAAGTTGGATAATGAGATATATAACTATGATAAATTGTGGGATAACAAGTCATTCCGAGAATCCGTTATTGCCAAAGCAATCCCCAAGACTCTCCAGAGAAAGATTGGCATAGAACATATCATTGAAAGAGTTCCTGATGCGTACTTGCGTTCTATTTTCTCAAAATACTTGGCTAGTCATTTCGTTTACCGTTATGCAACCACAAGTGATCCTTTCGCATTCTTCGATTTCATTTCCAATGAATTAATCAAAATCGATACGTAAACTATAACCCTAACAACCTTAGAATCATTAATACTAGCTATAGTCCTGTTTTTGGTTTACTTTAAAGAATATATTTCACCTTTATTCTTACTAAAGAATTAGAGAAATGTTGCTTTACAGCAACAGTGATAGAAAGCGAGAAGCGTAAGACCAAAAAATGTATTAAATCTTTAAACTTATAACAGGAAGCCATAAATCTATCAACCTTAAATGGTCATTTTATTTCTATACGTATCGTAACACACATTCTAGATCCTGGCCGTTCTTAAATTCTTGTCATTATTACCTGTAAAAATGCGCGTTCACATAGATTAGAGCATTGTTGCAAACCACAAACTTATTTACAAAATATTTCTTACAATAAGACTAATATATGATGGTGCCAAAATTCATGTGATTATCTTTAATCTTTGTACGCTTCCCAACCATCCGATCCCAATTTACCTAACAAAAAAATACATAAAATATATACGGAAATCCAACTATTCCAAATCCAATTCATTTTTTATTCCCCGACCCTTGCGAGATTGGTTTCTCGGCTTTAGAAGAGGATGAGGCCGAAGTAGCTCCAGTTTTCTTTGCTTCTTTTTGATCATCGGCCTGTTCAGTAGAAGAATAGGAGTGTTCTTTTTGTGTTTTATTGTTTTTCTCTTCATCTTTTTGTTTATCGTCGGTTTCAGTTTTGACAGAAAGCTGTGCAATTTCCTCTGCTATTGTATCAATGTCCGGTGTTGCTAGCTTGTCCAAATCTTCTGACCAACCAAGCATTTCACAAAGGGAACGAATATGTACTTCACAATCCCCAAGTACAATTGTGTCATTTTTTCGCTCTCCAAAATCACCAGCGATTTCACGATTAATTAAAACTCGTTCACAGCTGTCAGGAACAATTTCAGGCAATTCAGCGAAAGGGTGGACGAGTAAACTGGTTCCAAGAACGAGAGCCATATCACAGTTTGTCGTATCATCTTCCATTTCTTCAAAAAACCGAGAAGGAAGCCCCTCTCCATAAAATGTAATCATTGGCTTGACAAAACCTTTACAATGTACACACTGAGGAACTTGCTTTTGTTTAATACATGATCGGACATATTCGGTATCACTCTAAAAGGATTAGTTTTATAATATTTGATTTTCCCATACCATTTCATAACATTCTATGCAACGGCTATACTGGAAGGAACCATGAGCCTCTACTAAAAGATCTTCAGGAATACCAGCCAATCTTTCCAAAGTATCAATGTTTTGCGTATAACATCTCTTTAGCAGACCTTTGTCATGAAGCAAACGAATGAAATAGTGCGTGTAAGTCGGTCTAAACTTTTCGGGCATTAACTCATAGGCCAATTCGTAGAAAGGACGAGGGTTTTTCCGAAAATATGAAAGGTCTACTCAGTCAGTAGGTAATTTCACTGGAAGCATCCGTAAAGCATACCAAACACGGCCTCTGCATAAGGCAAATTGAATCTAACGGAGTCAGATAAAAATTTCGGTGCACAACTAATATACAGGCTGTTGTTTCTCTTACCTTTGTAAGTTATTATAGATACCAGTTTTTGGACTGACTCTGTTAGCTTCATCATGCAAGTACTTTCTAATTACCTTCGAAAATCTGGGATTCCAGCGGCCGTACTTATTCCAGCTCCTACCATGACACAGATTTGGTTCACTTTCACATGATGTTAACATATGGCTTCTAAAGACATATTGCTTGCAAATGAATCTACAAACCTTTCTTCTCTTTTATAAGAGAGGCAACCTTTTCTAATTTTTTTTGAGCATTTCCGTGCATTGTTTTAGTTGGCAAACCCATTTTTTTCCAGTTAGCTTGGAGCGTTTTCTCTTTTTTATTTCAAGCGCCAATTCGTTTGACAAAGGCGTATATTAAGTAATAGTTTCTAACAGTGATTCAATTGTATCTCAAAAATTCCAAGCTTGCTGCTAATCTTCTTTCAAAATGTCTTTGGTTTATTAACGAGAGAAGTTGAAACTAGCATACTCAAAATAATAAGCTTATGGCAACGTTTAGCGAAGACTACAATACTACACTACGTCACCAGAAGAAAACGTAATAAATTTCGTAAGTTTTCCTTAGCTTTCGATATAAGTCTTAACAGATGAGAAGATCAATTTCGCTAAACTCTTGCTTTTCGTACATGTTTACGTCTTAAACAGTACCAACTACCATACCATAATACAACATTATAAGGCTGTAAATACTCAATAACTTAGATGAAACAAAGGTTCTCAGCTTTAGATATAACCGCAATTGGTGCGGAATTGCGAGAGGAAATTATAGGTTGCCGTTTAAACAATATTCATGATCTGAGCTCGCGCTCATTTTTATTGAAGTTTGGCAAACAGGTATTTTATTGATTAGTGTTTTATTAAGAGTACTAACAGAATTGGACTTAGGACAAGAAATACTCTTTGGTCATTGAAAGTGGATTTCGCGTTCACTTGACAAAGTTCCAACGTGAAAATGCCCAACTTTCTGGATTCGTTTCAAAACTACGTAAACATATCAAATCTAGGAGGCTAACAAACGTATCACAGCTGGATACTGACCGTGTTCTCGTATTTACATTCGGCGGAGGTGAAAATGATCAAGATCCTTCATGGACATACTACCTTGTCTGCGAGTTTTTCGCAGCCGGAAACGTCTTATTGCTTGATGGCTCCCATAAAATTTTGAGTTTGTTACGCGTTGTTACATTTGACAAAAACCAAGTTTATGCTGTTGGTCAACAATATAAGCTTGACCAAAGTCGGCTAACGCACAATGTGGGAAATCATCAAAAGATGCCTCAGATGACTTTTGAAAAATTGACTCAATTATTGGAAGAAGTAGCTGAAACTTCCAAGGCTGAAAAGAATGCAGCTTCCCAAAAACCAAATGGCAAACAACCAAAACCCATCACCTTTCGTAAAGCGTTGACAGTTCGTCTTGGTGAATATGGTAATGCACTGGTTGAGCATTGCATTCGACAATCAAATTTGGATCCTTTACTTCCAGCTGATCAGTTAAGTGCAGATGAAGACAAAAAGAAAGAATTGCTTTCCGCTTTTCAAGAAGCAGATGGTATACTGTCTTCTATGGTAAAACCACCTGTTAAGGGCTACATATTTTCTACTCAGCAAAGTGTCCTTGCTGATCCCTCTGCTTCGAGCACGGAAGAGAAGAAGCATGTACTCATGTACGAAGATTTCCATCCTTTCAAGCCCCTACAGTTGGTGCAAGCCAATCGTGTATGTAGTGAATTTCATTCGTATAATGAATGTGTTGATGAATTTTTCTCCTCTTTAGAGACGCAAAAAATGGAAAAAAGAGCTCACGACCGTGTTATGACCGCTGAACGTCGAATTCATTCAGCAAAAGATGACCAGGAAAAGAAAATTAAAGGCCTACAAGAAGTACAGCAAGTCTCAGCCTTAAAGGCTGAAGCTATCGAAACAAACTCAGAGTTGGTAGAAGCGGTTGCTTCGTATATAAACAATCTTTTGAATCAGGGAATGGATTGGTTAGATATCGAAAAACTAATTCAAGTTCAAAAAAGACGTAATCCTGTTGCTGCTTGCATAGTACTTCCTCTTAAACTAAAACACAATTCTGTTGATATTATGCTTCCAAATCCCATTGCATTATCAGAGTCAGCAGACGATGATTATGAACTTTCAGATGAAGAAGAGTTAGAGGCAGACTCTTCAGAGAAGCCTAAGCAAAACGTTTCAAATGTTGTTGTCGAAATTGATTTGTCTCTAGGTGCTTATGCTAATGCTCGTAGACACTATGAGAAGCGCCGCGAAGCTATAGTCAAAGAGACGAAAACTTTGGAAGCTGCTTCGAAAGCTTTGAAAAATACTCAAAAGAGGATTGAGCAAGATTTGAAACGTTCAACAAATGCTGAACATCAGAAAATCCTTCCCACAAGGAAAGCGTTTTTCTTTGAAAAGTTTCATTGGTTTTTTTCTTCTGAAGGATACCTTGTCATGGGAGGTCGGGATGCTCAACAAAATGAATTACTGTTTACGAGGTATTGTAATGCAGGTGACGTCTTTGTATGTGCTGATCTACCGAAATCTTCCGTAGTTATTGTAAAGAATCGAAACGCAAATGATCCTTTACCGCCAAACACCTTGCAACAAGCTGGGTCGTTAGCATTAGCCTCTTCGAAGGCCTGGGACTCAAAGACAGTTATCAGTGCTTGGTGGGTTCAGATTGACCAAGTCTCCAAAACAGGATATGCAGGAGATGTTCTCCCAGCAGGAAGTTTTGCTATTCGAGGTTCTAAACACTACTTACCTCCAACCGTACTTACTATGGGTTATGGTATACTATGGTTATTGGATGAACAAAGTACTGAACGTCATTGTAAAAAACGTGTCGAGTCAGAGGTACAAAATACCGAGCAAAGAATATCCGAACTTAAGATTGATGAGGTTCAAGTGGAAGCTTCTCAACCAGGAGATGTTTCAGTTTTGGATACGCCAACCCTTAAAGATTCTGTGGATGAAGCAGCGTCCGAAATTTCAAAATCTCAAAACGTATTTGATCATGATGTCCATATTGTAAGTGAAAAAAGAGGTAAGAAGGGTTCCAAGCCTATAACAGCTAAGAAGCCTTCCGCGAAAGAGAGAAGGGAAGTTCGTAAGCAAAAGAAGCAAACTGCGTTGGAGGAAGCCTCTAAGAAGCCAGTGTCCATCGAAGATGCGTCGGATCCCCAAGCAATTCTGGCTATTTTGAAACAAAAGAAGAAACAGAAATCTAGTGATATACCGTCACCACCAGAACCCAAAGTTGAGGAAGAGTTGGAAATTCAAAAGGAAGAGAGCGAAACGAATACAGAGGATTTGGATAAGAGTCTTGAGAATACGTTTAAAGGGTCTAAAGAGACTGGAAGAAATGAAAAGGATATCACAGAATTAAATTCACAGAGAACTGAGAAAAAGAAGAAGCAAACTACAATTGAGCGTGAGGACATGACTCAGGACTTGTATGAAGAAATGCTGTATGCTCGTGATGCTTTGACGCCAAGTCCGGATGCTGAAGATGTTGTTGTCAATGCAGTTCCTACGTTTGCTCCTTATAGTACGATGGTTAGATTTAATCTAAAAGTGAAAGTTACGCCTGGATCTGGAAAAGTTGGTAAATCAGCTCGTGAGTCTATTAACTATTTTATAAAAGCTCTTGGAAAACCTGCTTCGGACGAAGTGAAGATTTTGGAAAATCTGAAAGATGGAGAAATTGTTGCTCCATTCAGTGTCAACCGGTTGCGCGTTGTGTTTGGGTCTGGCACAAACTCAAAGAAATCTAAAAAATAGATAGTATGAGTCATTTTGATCGTTCAGTTTTGTTTTCTTTAATATTTTGATGATGATGATAGAGTCTAAACAAAAATTTTGATATACGAAGAGAAGCATAAACAATGTATTTTTTACTATAAAAGTATTATAACAAAACTATAGAAACTCGCATGTAGGAAAGAGTGGAGAGGCATTAAAAGCATTCTAGTTACTAGTTATCCAGCAAAAGGGTGCTAGTGCTCAGCATAACCTTGTTATTACTCTTGGAGAGAATAGTTGCAATTTCTCTAGCTGTTTCCAGTCTACGAAGTTCAACAAAGCCAGGCTTATTTTTAATGGCATCACCAATCAATTGAGCGGCTCTTCCTTCACCTTGGGCACGAACAATAAACCCTTGCTTCTCCATGCGAGCATGATCAACGTAAAAGGTAGCTGTAGAAAGTTAGTTATTGTCCCTGTTAAAATTATTCAGAAAAATAAGTATACCTCTTTGTGCATCCTGTTGAGCAATTTGTTTAGCCTCTACCGCTGCTGTAAACTCAGGGGAGAATTGAACTAAAAGCGAACAGTTAGAATTTGAATATAAAGAAATAAACAGTGAAAATATAGCTTGTTTAAATAGCAAGAGGATTAACTTACCATGTGTCAAAGAGACATCGTCCAAAAGAATATTAAATCTGGCAGCACGCTTCATTAAGTTTTCTCGAACCAACCTAGATACACGTTCACGCTGGGTAATCAACTGACTGGCATTAAATTGTGCAACAACACTTTTCAAAACTTCATTGACAATGGATGGTAAAACTCGCTCGTCGTAATCTCCACCTAAAGTCCGATAAATTTTTGGTAAAGCTTGAACATCAGGACGAGAAAGAACACGGCAGTTAATGTTAACCATTTGAAGATCTAAAAACAAAATGATTAGTAACGAAGACTTAATAGGCAAGCAGCGAGAAACGGTACACTGTTTCGTAAAAATCGTAGACCAGGCTTGAGTAAATTCACCAAGAAACCGAGTGATACGAATTCAAGGAAGCCATCGGGATCCTACATACCTTTTGTACCGGTCAAAGAAGAAACGTTTCTTGGTTTCGCACGGACATCATAATCAATAGGAGTTTCTATCCATGGAATAAGGAAATGTGTTCCTTCAGGGTAAATAAAATTTTTCACACCTCCAATACGACTATATTTAATCACACGGTGACCACCGTCAACGTTGAATAGAGAGGTTTGGACGGCAAATCCAGCCAGACCCAGAGCTAGGATTAGGCCAGTTCCCGTGAAAGCGTATTTTCCCTTAGGCATTCCACGCTTGATAATCTCATTCATTTGCTGGAAGGGTCTTTGACGATTCATTTTTGAAATTCCCTGTTTGGCAGTTGCATCGCAACTGCTGATACGTTTGGTTTATACACCCTCCTTGAACTACGTACAGGTTCACTATGTAAACCTATGGTGTTTGGATGTACTCAGTATATGGATATGGGAATGTAACGAGTTCGCTAACTACTCGATATGTAGTAGAACAATAAATATAAACAGATTCTCTGAGAAAGGCGTGAATTGGAAAATGCAAGAAGACAAGAAGCTTGAGGATTCTGTTAAGGCTACTTGGATTGAAACTTTCCTTAAAGATTTACAGCAAGAGATTTATTTGAAGGATCCTTTTGACTTCCTCGTGAACGTCTTGTCTATCATTTACTACTTCCTTCATGTCGATGAAGTATAGAATCTTGAAGATATATGCTCCAGCTACGATGAATGCTTATTCATTTTCCATACAATAAACAATCAAACCGTGTTGTCTAAAAGAACGGACTGGAATATAAGTTATAAAAAACGATGAAAATCCATTGAATAGTGTCAACACAAATAGAATACATATAAATACAAACCAAATAGCAACTAGTCTTCTTTAACAAGTCAGATAGTCGCATATATACCTTGTTTCTCCCCAGAATTCATCAGCCGAAGCTAGTATTTCTATTAAACCTCGCATTGCATGCGGACAAGTAAGCACGCACGGGATAAAGGAAATAACCATGTACGGCATAAGATTGAAGTGATACTCCTTAGTTCTTAGCACCCAATTGCTTCAACTTTTGCTTAACAATCTTTTGCTCTTCAATCAAAAAGGCACGAACAATTCGGTCCTTGACAGCATTGGCACTCAAGTTACCACCATAAGCACGCTGCACGGTTTTCTTATTATGGGAAAGACGAGCAAACTCACGGGGACGTAAAGCAGGAATACCCTGCAAGGGAACACCAGTATCACCGCATCGAGGAATAGTTCCCAATTTCTTAATGTGCAAGTAGCGCAATTTGTTTCCGGGAGTCTTAATAATTCTGGTTTTATTGCTACGGGTGTTGTAGGCCAAACGGCGACGATAAGTAACTCTTTGGGCCATTTTGCTTTGTAAAACTTTGGTTATTTACGTGAATTCCAAATTTACTTGAATTGAATTGTGTTTAACACTTTAAATTTTTCAACAATAAAGGTCTCTATATAGCTCAAAAATCTCCAATTCGTTTCCGATACCGTCAAGTCAACAGGTATTCAAAAGATTCTTAAAGGAACGGTTTTAAGTCAATTTAATATCCGTGAAACTCTCAAAGGCTTGTTTTGTCCTTAAAAACTAAGGCAAAACGCTTCAATTGAGATGCTTTTTCTCGTTGAGTTTCTCGTCCCAGAGGTCAAACTGTGACTGCTTCATCGATGACAGCTTAAGCCAAAACACATTAAGTTTCAGTATGTAGTATACCGCAGGGTACGATTTTAGAAGATAGCTTCACACAGAGGCTTCCAGTTCACAAAATGAATTCCCTCTCATATATGTTCAGAACTTATATTTGTTTATGTTTGTTGCAATCTATAAGCAATAAAGGATAAAAGAAAAAAAAGTTTTTTATTTATTTACAAAAGTGAAGGTATTGCGATCGTTGAATGCTTATTCTCATCAACAGCGAACTAGTGATTCACTTCTTGCATCAAGTCAGTTAACTGGTAATTTATCAACCACCTCACTGAGATTTGAAGTTGGTTAAAAATCAACCTTTTTTGGACTAAAAGTGGATGCTTTAGAGACGAATTCAAAAATTGGAAGCTTTAAAGACTTATCGACCTGTTTTTGGCTTTTCGCATCGTCTGTATAGCATTTGTTTCTTGGATTAGCGACTTCCATTGAAAGATTCTAATAGTATAGGAAGTTTTGGTGCTAAATTGCGTTACTCAACTTAACTGATTTCTTCGTTGGTTGTTGAGTTGTATATCTCAACGCTCGGAGCTTTTTTTTGGATCACAGTTCCTATTTAGTTCTTTAGGGGTTGACTATATAAAGTACAAACTATACTTTCTGCTTTTCCTTGTTTTGGAGCAATAAATATTTTGTTATTGATTTGAACGAGAAGATGAAGTTCGGTCAACTATTGAAAGAAACGCTAGTACGAGAATATCAGTACTCGTACGTAAATTACGACAAATTAAAAAAAGAAATAAAAAAGAGAAATGATGATGGAGGTTGGTCTGAAGAAGATGAATCCGACTTTGTTGAACTACTAGAAAAAGAGCTCGACAAAGTCTATTCTTTCCAAAAAGCAAAATCAGAAGAGACGCTGGAGCGTATTCGCTACTGCGAAGAACAAACTTCAGATGCCATAAGTCGTCTTAATAGCAGTGACGCTCCTCCAACGGACGCTGATTTCATCAGTTTAGAGACTGAACTTACCGATATTATGGAAACGGTGCATGATTTGGCCAAATTTTGTGAACTAAATTACACCGCCTTTTACAAAATCGTGAAGAAACATGATAAACACACATCTTGGTCTTTAAAGCCTGTCTTTGCTGTTCGTTTGAACGCGCGTCCTTTCTACAAAGAACAATACGACCTTCTAATCGTAAAGCTTAGCCGGCTGTACGATTTCGTCCGTACTCGTGGTAGTCCCACCAGGGGCGATAATGCAGCTGGTGGCAGTCAACAGAATTTTGTCCGACAAACTACAAAGTACTGGGTTCACCCTTCCAACGTAACGGAGCTTAAACTTTATATTCTCAAGCATTTGCCTGTTCTGGTTTTCAATCCGAATAAAGAGTTCACTCGTGAAGATTCTGCTATTTCGAGTATCTATTATGACAACGACGATTTAGAGTTTTATCTTGGTCGTCTTGAAAAGCATGAGGGTGCGGAAGCTATACGTCTTCGTTGGTATGGTAGTATGGAAAACAACAACATCTTCGTTGAACGCAAAACCCATCGTGAAGACTGGACTGGAGAAAAAAGTGTGAAGGCTAGATTCCCGTTGAAGGAAAAGAATGTCAATGCCTTTTTGCGTGGAGATTACACTGTGAAAGAAGCCTTTGCTAAAATGCGAAAAGAAGGAAAAAAACCCATTTCTGAAATTGAAAATTTGGAACGTTTGGCTAAGGAAGTTCAATATACTGTTTTAAGTAAAGGAATGAAGCCATACGTTCGTAGTTTTTATGAAAGAACCGCATTTCAATTACCAGGTGACGCTCGTGTTCGTATTTCCTTGGATTCAAATTTGGCATTGGTTCGAGAAGATGGTCCAAATCGTGCTGGAAACAATTGGCGTCGTATGGACATAGGAATTGATTATCCTTTTAATCAAATTCCTGATGAAGATGTGGTACGCTTCCCTTATGCTATTTTAGAAGTGAAACTTCAGACGCAGTTTGGTCAGGATCCCCCTGAGTGGGTTAATAATTTGGTCAACAGTCACCTCGTTGAAGCAGTTCCTAAATTTTCCAAGTTTATTCATGGTGTCTCTAGTTTGTTTTACAATCGTGTTGATATGCTTCCGTATTGGTTTCCACAAATGTCCGTAGATATCAGAAAACCTGTTAATAATTCCGTTCGTCCTGTCAAGAGTTTTAGTGATGCTCCTAGTTCATCAGCGTCTCAACATGTATCTGACAGCGAGAATACACAATCGAGTAACATTTTAGACGAAGAAGCTCGTATACCGTCGTCATCCGGTGTCAGAAGAAATGGAAGTATTCACCGCGCTCATGATCAGTTTGACGATTTAGATGAACACAGTTCTTTACTGAACGTAGGTGAACGAAAAAATGATGAGTCTTTTATTACGGCAGTTACTACAAAGCTGAAATCTATAAAGGATAATTTCTTCGTAGAAACTATTCCGAAGTTTGAAGAATCAAATGAGCCTTCAGTTTTATTTGAGCAGAACTTTACAGCGCCTCCTGGCAAAAGGATATACGTTCCTGTTCGTGTGGAACCAAAGACGTATTTTGCTTTAGAACGTACCTATCTGGATTATTTGCGTTATTCCATTTTGATGGGTTCCATTGGTATTACCTTGTTTAATTTTTCTCATAATCGTGCAGGTATACTAGCAGCGTCTTGTTTTACTCTAGTTGCCTTGTCTGCTATTATTTATACCACTCTCTTGTATTTATGGCGAGCTGTTAATATTGCTAAGCACAATGCTGTGCGATATGATGATCGATTTGGCCCAACCGTTATTTGCAGTATAACTATCTTTGCAGTCGTTGCCAACATTGTGTTTAATTTCCAAGCCTAACTAAGTGACCTGACGATGTCTAATTATTTTTTTTCAATAATGAACTATTAATATATATAGACAGATTACACAAATTACTGACTATAATATCTTGTTTTTACAGTATCAGGATAAAAAACCAAAAATTATATTAAAAAATTAATACTAAATCAAAATTGTAGCAGAAAGGGATTGAATATGGAATAATGGGTATATACAAAAAGAAACAGCAATATGTGATCTATATAATCGCATACTAAATCAGATTCAAACTGAATAGTTTTTCCATCCGTCTTGCTCTAAACGATCAGCTTTTTCAAGTACAACATCACGCATATTATCCATATATTCTTCCAGAGCGTGCAACAAATCAGGACGAAAAGACGCCAATATACGACAAGCCAGAAGACCTGCATTTGTGCTGTTGTTAATAGCAACAGTGGCAACAGGTACACCTCGTGGCATCTGAACGATGGAATGGAGAGAATCAACACCATCTAGCGAGCTTCCTTTGACGGGAACACCAATAACGGGTAAAGGAGTCATTGCTGCAACCATACCGGGTAAATGAGCAGCACCCCCTGCACCTGCTATAATAACGCGAAGACCACGGGAAGCCGCAGTACGAGCATAGGACACCATTCGTTCAGGTGTACGATGAGCAGATACAATAGTCACTTCATATGGGACTTTGAATTGATCCAAAATAACAGCGGCATCCTTCATTTTAGATAAATCAGAATCGGAACCCATGATAATTCCAACCATAGGAGGTTCGGAGGGAACTTGGACTTTTTCTTCTTCCTCTATCAACGACAAGTACCTGCGTTCGCATTCTTGGGAAGAATCAGCAATGATGGTAATATGACCCATCTTTCTTCCTTTTCTGGATTCACCTTTTCCATACAAGTGCAAAGTAGCACCTGGGATTGTAAGAGAGCGTTTCGCAATTCGAGAAACGTAACAGGGATCTTCACCACCAAGCAGATTTACCATAAGAGCATGTGTAGTTGCAGTACTTAAATGGGTGTTGGCTTCTGTGAATGGAAGGCCTGTAATTGCACGGATATGAGCTTCAAATTGGGAAGTGGGGCAGGCTTCAATTGTATAATGGCCAGAGTTATGAGGACGAGGTGCGATTTCATTTAACAAGACAGATTCTCCATCTTGTAGCACAAACATTTCTACACCGTAAATACCAGCACCCTTGAAGGTACGAACGGCATCCATGGCTAGGGTTTGTGCACGCTTTTGAAGATGATGAGGGAGGCGGGCGGGAGCGTAAACCAAATGACAGATATTGTCTCTTTGAATAGTTTCAGTGGTAGGATAAGCGTAAACTTTACCATCTAAAGTGCGAACCACCATGACGGCAATTTCCATGGAAAAAGGAACGAATTTCTCGACGTAGAGAGGGCGATCGCCTAATGCTTTAATACCGTCAGGAATATCTTGGGGTTGACGAACAACATAATTTCCTCTTCCATCGTAAGCAAGAGTTTTGCTTTTAAGAACAAAGGGGTAACCGAACTTTTGTCCAGCATTCTCGACTGCAGCTTGATCAGGAGCGTCGCAAAAATCTGGTAAAGCAATATGGAATGTTTGAAGATGCTGTTTTTGTAAGTACTTGTCTTGAATGCATCTAAGCGTGGAATAAGAAGGCTCTACAGAGACGGTAGACGAGATCGACTCTAGAGCATCAGTGTTGATATGCTCAATTTCAGTAGTAACCACTGTAGACTTCTTGGCAAGTTCTGCAATCGCATTTTCATCACGGAAAGAAGCGTCAATATGGTCATGACCACCGTCAATTTGCTTTGCTGGGCAGTTTGGAGCATCAACTACGACACAACGAACATTTAGACGATGAGCGGCCTCCAACATCATTCGGCCTAATTGACCACCTCCTAAAATCCCTACCACGGTAGAAGAATCCATAATGTCTTTTCGTCGAATTTTTGTCCCAGCAGTTCTACTAGGCTTTAGATGAATGAAAAAGCTCCTAAGTTATCTATCAATTGGCCTTGACATGATGAAACGAAGATACGGGATTGCTGCGCAATGTATGTTAAAAACTTACGGTAGTGCTTTAATGAAGTTGCGTAGCATGTTTAGACTCGCTTTTGGTTTTTACGAGGTCTTTATAATACAGAGTACAACAACAACGATGGCAACAAAAATCATTAATTAACAAAAGAGATTTGACGTGGACGAACGACTTCGTCGAAAGAGTAAAGTAAATTAAAACTGAGTTGTTTCTTTAGAGGTTATGAACGGAGCGTTATCTCTGTAGAATATGTAGTTCAAAACCACTTGGAACCCACCATTTCATCGCTCGATACGTTCCTTTCGGTGGGTTGGATGGTTAGATGTCAATGACAATAGCGAGTCTTTTCCAAATCAAACAGAAATAAAACAGATGAAAGATAATTTAGCATAGACCTTCTGTTACAGAAAATTTTCAAGTCTTACCACCAATCCTAATAAAAATTTTGCTCATTGCCGCAAATCATTTGCCAAAATGTAGGGCATTGATAAAGACTCAAATCTATTATACCACTTCATCTCCAAAAACAAACATTATAAAAAATCAAAATATGAAACAAAAAATTAAGTGATGGAAAATATCCATTTCCCTATTCAGTTTAAAGCTTTTATCCTTCAACTACAGTCAGACGATTAGCTAGATTCAGCTCAGTCCTTCGTTGTTGCAATTTATTCTTCCAAGCTTAGTTACATATTTTATTTCGAATATATTACTCACGTATAAACTTCTTCTGTACTGAGGTCGAAGATCATCGCCTGCATTAACTTTCCTCACTGCCTAAATGGTTAATCAAATTGCTAAAAAGTACTTGCTGTCATAGGTGGAGTCTTGCTATTTATGAAAATAACCAAATCAGTGGAAAGATAAAGTATAGTTTGATGAAATGTACTTGAATTGGATGTTTTGATACTACTTGAATGAATGAATAGTAAAACTGCCAAAGATTCACTAAAATAACCTATGTAGACTGAGTTTACTAGATCAATCAAATCTTCCCATCTGGAGACTTGAGGTTTCACCTAGAGGTATATATACCATTTTAGAATTAGTAAGCTTATAAACCATCTTAATTCTAGCTTTTTTCAATCGAAAAAAAGGATTATTTGTTTTATTATAATGTATTCGATAATATAATGAGATCATCTTTTCTCTTTTGTAGTAATATCTTATGATAGTTATTACAATATTGATCTTTGTTTACTTTTTGTAATACGCTCCTCGCTTGGATTATACTGTAAGGAAAGTATGGTGAAAAGCGAAAAGTCGAATAATTGTAACAAGGATGTGACCAGTCAGTGACATAATGTCGCTGCTTTATGAAGTTGAGACATGCGAAAAGCCATTACCAAGATTTTTTTTCATTACTATCTTTGGTTTTAGACAGAATTTACTCAAGGTATTGATTTTCTTTAGAAACAAGGAACAATTCCTTTTTTACAGGTCCCTGAAAAGTGGAACCGATTTCTACAGACTTTTCTTGGTAATTCTAGTTGATTTTGTTTCAGCTATAAGTATTGGTGTTCTTTGGTTTTTGATTTGCCATTGCGAAAATGAAGAATAAGTACAGTCCTCTTTCAGACTCTGACGAGTCTTTCAAAACGCTCATTGATGAGAAATCAGATATACATTCTTCAGAGGGTACGCCTCCTCCGTATTCAGGTAAGATTTATTGAAATAGAAAGGAAGGGTTGGTTTTTATATGTTTGTTGAAAAAATCTAGGTTAAAAGCAGTTTTGATGAAGAATCATGTTTGTTTGTTTACTTGTTGTGTTTAAGATTAATAAACTTGTTGATTACCATCAGCAAACTTGACAAACGCTCCATCCTTTCTCAAACAACAAAAGCATTCATTACTAATACATTTATAGCTCCGAACAAATTTATTGATTTAGAAATGGCTGATGGATCTGCTCAGCATTCTGCCCAAGAGTCCACTAACAACGCTGGGTCGGATTCGAGATATTCGAAGTGGATTCGAATAGCTATCTTCTTTTTTTTGCATCTTTTGTGTATATTATATTTTATGTTATTTTTCTCGTGGTGTTTTTTATGTCAAGGTTCCTGTGAGGGCGAAAACCCTTTGGGGACTTTCTGCTGCTTGTGGAGCATCCGTTGTAGTATTTCTCTATTGTAAGTTAGCGCTATCTTTATTTTTACTAACTATTAGCAATGTCTCTAATTCCTAAAGAATGGTTCAAGCAAACTGGTACAGTGCTATCCAACATGTGTGCCAACATGTGTGTCGCAGTAATATGTACGGCTTCTCTGAATGCCCCTTGCTATTCCGTGTATTATTTTGTAAAGAAGGTAATAGGATTTGAAAAGATGGACAAAGGGTTTTTCTATTTTGTTTGCATTGTTAACGTTGCCGTGTTTGTTTTATTTTGGAGTATGTCTTATAACCTGCGAAATATTCTAACTGTTCTAGGTACGACGGATACGCGACAATTTCGAATATTCATTGCTGCTTCAGGAAACTTCATGGGAAACATGGTGAATGACATGGGAAATGGCATGCGAAGCATACCAAACGGCATAAGAAATGCTGCGAATTATGTTCGTATGTACTGTTTATTATAACTTTTTTGTTCTTAGCATCTGACTAACCTAATTAGGACCGACAGATCCAGAAAATGAAGCACCTCAAAACGAAGAAATTGAGCTTCAACCTTTTGCTGGGCAAAGCGCTGAAGTTTGAGTTTTAACGAATCTTCTCCATCCCTCCTATAAATCACATTTTCGTTGGAAGCATTCATATCAATTGCAATCCCTCGAGTTTCTGTATTCTTGTCCACAAAAGTAAGCACAGCTTCATTCGGCAGGTTGGATTGTTTTTCACGTTCATTCTTTTATGTATTTAAGAATTCGTCTCGCAATAGTGTTATTTATGAATCGTTCATTTTCTTTCTGATGAACATCCTTTGTTAATGCAACCTTTTTAATGATTGTTTAATTGTTATGACAATAATTTTGCAAAATAATCAACCGATTCTAACTCAAAACTGTGCGGTGTAATCACATGTCTTTCATGATTTGTAGGGAACGAGTGATTGCCTTACCGTCAATGTTAAATTTCATTTACAGCATAGCAAGCACAAATCTTTCAACTGAACGATCCGACTTTTGTAGCCTAATGAATCAAATTGTCGTCTACTTAGAGAGTCAAATAAATGAATTGAAACACGAATTATCAGACTACAACTTCCATGCAGCCATGTAAACAGACGCAGATGGAACTGAACAAATTGCATCTTGAAGTAGGATATCCAGCAAAATTACCTTCATTTACACATTGTAAATGTCTACGGCCACACCTAGGCGAAAACACCAGTTCCCGTCCGATCACTGCAGTTAAGCGTCTGAGGGTCTCGTTAGTACTATGGTTGGAGACAACATGGGAATCCGGGATGCTGTAGGCTTTTTCTTCTTGATTTTTTTCCTCTTTGGTTTTGCTGCTCCTTTTTCTTATTTTTTTTTATGATTGCGATTCTCTTCTATTGCATTTGGTAATTTTTTGGTTACCCCATTTTTTGTTCAGTTGCTAAGCTTGGACAGAAGGTCTTACTTACTTCTAAGAAATGTCATTCCTGCGGAAGTCACCTTGGATTCGAAAGAAGCATTCTGATGACTGGAAATAATATAGCGTTCGCTACAGAGACATTCCAAGCTTAACAATTGTGAGTATATCGATTGGAATGAATCAAAGAGTCTCCAAAGTACTGATGAAATCCTATCAAATATAGAACTGCAAAATATACATGAGGATTTTCCGTTACATTTTTTTGTTCATTTACGTTGTATTTTTAAAGTGGCGATTATCTTGAAAATTTTCGTTGGAAACGGAGTACTAGCATAAACAGAAACTTTTGGGTACAACACCACCCTAGAACAACATGGCCACCTTAGGTCGCATGAAGCATGGAGCTTCAAATTTGTCGATGATTCATTCTGCCAAGGGAATTGCTCGTTTGAGCAAGCAGTTTACTGGCGTTAGAGGTCATGCTAGTCGTGCTGCGTTTGTCACACCTCCCTATCAAAAACTTGTTGAAAAGCTTGAACGTGTTCGGAAGATTCTTCCTAATGAAAAACTCACTTTGGCTGAAAAAGTGTTATATGCACATTTGACGAACCCAGAAGAAAGCCTTTCTGGTGTTTCTGCTTCGCAAATTCGTGGCTCTTTGTATTTGAAGCTGAATCCCGATCGCGTCGCCATGCAAGATGCATCGGCCCAAATGGCCTTACTTCAATTTATGACATGTGGTCTTGATCGTACTTTGATTCCCTCTAGTATTCACTGCGACCACTTGATTGTCGGTCATCGCGGTGCTAACAGTGATATCCCCGATAGTATTGCCAATAACAAAGAAATTTTTGATTTCCTTCAAAGTGCTGCCAAAAAATACGGTATCCAATTTTGGGGTCCCGGAAGTGGTATTATTCATCAAATCGTTTTGGAAAATTACGCGGCCCCGGGTGGGATGATGCTAGGAACAGATTCTCATACACCCAATGCTGGTGGTTTGTGTTTGTTTATTGTTTCTGTTGGTGCCGATGCTGTAGATGCCATGACCAATACCCCATGGGAGTTGAAGGCACCTAAGGTTATTGGTGTTCACCTCAAAGGTGCCATGTCCGGTTGGGCTACTCCTAAAGATCTTATTCTTCATTTAGCAGGAAGACTGACAGTTCGTGGTGGTACTGGTCATATTATTGAATACTTTGGACCTGGTGTTGAATCTCTCTCATGTACAGGAATGGCTACTGTTTGTAACATGGGTGCCGAGGTGGGTGCTACCACTTCCTTATTCCCCTATACCGAATCGATGAAGCGTTATTTAGAAGCCACTCACCGTGCAGAAGTTGCGAATGCAGCTGCAAATGTCCATCAACAGCATAACTACTTGGCTGCCGATGCAGGCGCTAAATATGATGAAATTGTCGAAGTCAATCTCTCTGAGCTTACTCCCTCTTTTAACGGTCCTTTTACTCCGGATTTGAACACCCCTCTTGAAAAATTCAGTAAAGCTATTGAAACCAACAATTGGCCCAAAAAAGTATCTGCTGGTCTAATTGGATCCTGTACCAATTCCTCTTACCAAGATATGTCCAGTGTGGTAGACGTTGTGGAACAAGCTACAAAAGCTGGTTTAAAGCCACAAGTACCTTTCTTAGTTACTCCTGGTAGTGAACAGATTCGTGCAACTATTGAACGCGATGGTATCACCAAGCGTTTAGAAGATGCTGGTGCTGTTGTCCTTGCTAATGCATGCGGTCCTTGTATAGGTATGTGGAAACGTGACGATACTGTATCTACAGAAGAGCCAAATGCTATTTTGACCAGCTTCAACCGTAACTTTCGCTCTCGTAATGATGGTAACCCATCTACCATGAATTTTTTGACTAGCCCTGTTATCGTCGCTGCTAAGATTTTCTCCTCAGACCTTGCGTTTGATCCTACTCGTGATGTCCTTAAGACCCCGGATGGAAAACCTTTTAAATTTACTCCGCCAACTAATATCGAACTTCCCCCCTCTGGTTTCACTTCTGGCGATACTTCGTATATTCCTAGTCTTAACCCAGAACCCCAACCCGAAACGGAAGTAACGATTGATCCCAAATCTACACGCTTGGAAGCTTTAAAACCTTTTGATACTTATAAAGGTGGAGAGATGGACAACTTAAAGGTTGCTATCAAGGTCAAGGGCAAATGTACAACAGATCACATATCTGCTGCTGGTAAATGGTTAAAGTATAAGGGACATTTGAGCAATATCTGTAACAATACTCTCATTGGTGCTGTTAATGCTGCTACTGGTGAGGTTAACGTGGCATATGATAATGGTGAAAGCATGAGTATTCCTGAATTAATGTGGAGATGGAACAGTAAAGGTCAACCATGGTTGGTTGTAGCTGAACACAACTACGGTGAAGGATCTGCTCGTGAACATGCCGCTTTGCAGCCTCGTGCTTTGAATGGTCGAATTATCTTGACTAAGTCATTTGCTCGTATTCACGAAACTAACTTGAAAAAGCAAGGTATTCTTCCATTAACTTTTGCCAACGAAGCTGACTATGATAAAATTGATGCTGAAGATAAAGTGTCTACTCGTGGTATCACCAGATTACTCGATGGTGCGTTGGAGGAGCCCATTACTCTTATTGTTACTAAGCAAGATGGCTCTATAGTTGAGATTCCTTGCAAACATACAATGAGCAAAGATCAGGTAGAATTTTTCAAGGCTGGTTCAGCTTTGAATCTAATTCGTGAAAAAGCTCGGGTTGGTGGGGAAGATCGAAAAATAATTGATTCAATCAAACAACAACCTGATCATTATGCTACTGTGAGTTTATACAACCAACATTTTATAGTCACCGAAGGTGACCAGTTGAGCCTACCCTTTCAAGCAAAAGGATTACAAGTAGGAGATACTATACGTTTTGATAAAGTTACCAGACTGGGCTCTAGGGATTATACTATTGTTGGCAAACCATATATTGACATTTCTAACCATACCATTGAAGCAACAGTGTTAGCACTCCCCAAAAGTGCATTGAGCGTTCGCGTTAAACACAAACGTCGTCATAGACATGATCGTGTAATGAAGCATAAACAAACCTACACAATTTTGAGGTAAGTTAAACATGAGACGTTTATAATGAAGACAAATACTAACCCAGGTAGAATCAACAAGTTAATCATTCATTAAAAGAATCTAATATTTTTTCTTCAATATAATCTTAAATAGATGCATACGGAGTTTAAAATATGTTAAAGAAGTAAAATGATAGATTGTATTAGTAGTACAGGATTATTTAGGGTCTTAATTACGAGAAAGGTGGATTAGATAAGAGTTTATTTATTAATTCAAATTTGGAATACCAAAATATAATGTAAACGTAAACTCAAGGTCGGCATGACTTTGCAATTGAGGTAGGAATACACTAATAAATGTGATCGCTGTTCTCAAATGATCACATAAGTAGGAGCATTAGAAAAAGGGTAGTAGGTATTTATCATTATTTAATCCATTAACTTCTTCGAGGAGGAGGAAGGTCTATGCAAATAAGTTATTATACAACCAATGGTTGAGTATGAGTCGCGCCCAACACAGCAAGTTCCAAAGTCCATACGCGTCGAACCCACACAGAGAAATCAACTCCCATATAATTTGTTTTCATAGCAGAATCCCACCAACACTTTCTTGCGGGTTTTTGCCAGAACAGCAAAAGTTTTTGGAAAACGGGGAAATAGTTCGGATCAGAAACAGGACCTTTATCAGCGGAAAAATCCAAGATCGACAGTGTAACTGAAGTTATGCATGCTCTATGCGGTTCCTGGGTCCTTATTTTCCATTCATCGTCTTCATTGAATCCACTATAACACAGCATACGAACTAGATTCTTTTCCGCAGATTCTTCAGGAGTTGAGCTGTCTACACGAAGGCAATCGAAAATGCGTTTTTCATCAAGTAACTGTTTAGCTACTTTCTCTTTTGTTCTTGCAAGATCGATGGGTTTCGTTTCCACAACTGACTGTTCTATGGTAGGAGGTAAAACATAAAATTCAATGTCTTCTTTTAAAAAGATTATTCCACACTTTCCAGGAAAAGACGGTGCTGGTGGCGATATGAACTGTATTTCATCGTTGATACGCGAATCCATCATCCGAAAATAGCTGATTATGTAGCCAAAAATGGAAGGATCAAAATCAGCTGTTTGAAAAATTAATGGTCGATTGTTTGTTAAGTATTCATGGATTTCATAGTCAAGCATTAAACCTCTTGGGAAAAGACACATTAAAACAGACTCAGGCAACGACAAAAGTTCGTTTCGGAATACTTCAAAAATAACACCTCTGACGAATAGCTGGATTTTTGGATTGACTTGCTCATAACTGCATGAAGTATCAGCTGCAACGATAGGTGCTTCTTGAGCCTGGGTTATTACGGAGGACATGAGAGACTGTACCGATGTCGTTCGCCTTAAATATTTTAGAGATCTTTTTAAGTATAATTATAAATCTTTCGTAAACGATTTATCCTAAAAATGAATACAATATGACATTTGGGAATAATATGCAGTTTCGTTGTGTTTACCAAAATACGGTAATTTTTAATGTAGTAGGTGTGAGCATAAGGATGTGAAGAATAAAAATTAAAGGAAGTAACATCATAAATTATTAGAGTAAATTCATAAATCATTAGACTTTTAATGGTAAAACTAAAGGTTGATTACGATGCCAAAACTTGATTAAGAGGGAGGCCATCTGAACGGGAGCGTCTTCATGAACAAAATGACCAGAAGCTGGAGATACTTCAAGTTGGTATTTTCCCTGCATTTGACCAATAATTAAGCTTTTATCTAATCGGTCTGCGGCTGCCACAATAAGCAGTTTACCACATGCCGATGTTAGAAATTTATCACTCAAACCGGTGAACCAATCTGACCAGAAAGGAGAAGTGGAAGCTAGATCCGTTCTCCATTTGTAACAGCTACTATCTTCCGAAGGGATTAACAAAGAAGGCACAGTGATGCATGCGGAACTGTGTTGCCGGATGGTAAGTGTTTTCAGGTGCCAGCTTATAGCTTCCTCTATAGAGGAAAAAGAGGAAGGACGTGTAGAAATATACCTACGCATATAGTTAAAAGACTCTATTGCTGAACCTTCAATGGCATCAATGATAACCAAACCCGAGACATTCGGCAGTCTCTTTTGAAATACAGCTTCTGTACAAATGGATCCACCCAGACTATGGCCAACCAAAATTAGCTTTTCTTCTAGGTGAAACATATTTTGAACATACTGAACTGCATGTACAAAATCATTTGTTAGTGTCTGTAATGACATGTCAGTTTCTGGTTGAACACTTGTTTCACCATGGGCTCGAAGATCCAAGGAAAGAAATCCTCCGGAATTATCTGAATTAGATAATAATTCAGGAATCATTGGAGCGAAAGACATAGCGCTTGAACCCGCACCATGCTGAAGCACAAACAAACAGCTGTCTGGCTGTGGCAGAGTTAAATACCCTATTATGTCCCCGTGACCGGTAGGTATTTCTATTCTTTCTTGAAAATAATTTCCCCAATTGCTCAGGCTCGGTTCATAAGGAACCTTTTCTTCTGGTTGCAACGGTAGTGTTTTCTTGAGATTCTGTTGAATTAATGATCTCAATGAGTGGTCCCGAAATGACATTTCTCATAAAATTATAAGTATTAAGCTCAATTTTCAGGTTCTTAAATCAAATAGGGTCAAAATTCATACATAGACTTGAGTTTTCCTTACTGGGGATAGTAAGACGAATACAGTTGCGCGTAGTAAGATGAGATACATTAGACGCGAATGCTCACAGTAATCGAGTATGACAAGCAAGATATCCAAAATTGTAATCAGTAAAGTACCTACATTTTTTTCCATCCATATTTAACATATACATATATATATATATATATTTATTTTCATGGATAGGAAAATACTTACTAAATATCCCAGACGACTAGAAAACAAGCTTCTATAAACCAACATATAGTATATTCTTGTAATTTTATTTAAGAAGGATTTTATTATATAAAATGAGAATGCATCTTCAAAGACTTCCTTACGTCCATTATGATTTTGGGTCATCACTAAGTGTTTAAGGCATGAGATTGACTCCTAAGATACCTATTAATTACGGGAATATGAGATAGATGCTCGCAACTGCTTTTTCATAAGTTCCAATCCTCTAGGAAGTGAAGTAGAAGGGGATACAAAGTCTACCAGTTGCTGTGGAAGGATAAGCTGGGGATTGAAATTTGAAAGATGAGGTACTTTACTTACACCAAAGAACTTCTTTCTTAGAATCGATCCCTTATTTGAAGCTTCTTCTAATTGACTTATTCCGATATCCTCTTCTTTTTGCAAATGCTTTCTCGACTTTGCTCGTGGATTCTTCACTGATACACCACCAGTGGTAGTCGGAGCGGAATCATACTTATGTAAAAGCCGATTGCGACTTCCTTCACGTACAGATTTAGGATTAGAAGAATCTGCCAGCCCGAATTTAGTAACCTCTTCAACTGATGGTTCGCTTGGTACGGGTTTCTTATTGAAAGTAGGGGTTTCTCTTTCTATAGGTTTAAAATGAGGCTTAATTCTTTCAAACTTGGGTGGAAATTCAGAATTGTTGACGCCCTTTCTCGCTGAATGTTCATCAGGTTGCATACCAGCTTTATCGGGAGAATCTGACCGACTTTGTGATCTTCTATCTTGGTAACCTGGGAGCTGTACTCTATTTCCTTGAAGAATGTTTCTTCTTTGTCTATTAGGACGAGAGTCTAGTTTGTCTAAACCGCCGTTTCGGGGGTTACCAACCTTTTTTCGGTTTGCAGAAGCCATACTTCCTTCTTTTTTCTCCTTCATTGACTTTTTTATATTATTAAACAAATCATCTAAAGACTGTCCTCCGAAAATTATTTCTGAATTCTTAGCATCCTTATTTCTTAAAGAAGCAGCCGTAGAAAAGCATTGAGATTTGAAAGACAAGAAGTAAATATAATTCTTCCTTGACTTAGCGACTTCCTCAACGTTCTTCCGCAAAAAATTCCTGTATGGCCCGAAGAACATCTTAGTAGGTGAGCGTGTTAGTACTTGACAAGTGAGTGAACCTGTTAAAGCGGTAGTCAAGTAGAAGTCAGAACATAGATAGAAACTGAGAATATAAATTTTTCTTTTTTCATTGTTTTTGTAAATTAATTATTTATACTCGCTCTATGCAGGTCTATGAATGAAATTTCTAAGCATAAAACAAAAACCATTCACGTATTTCATTCATCGAATATATAAAATTGAACATGATAACCATTCATACAGCAAACCTGTTTGCTATACGCTTTCAGGATTTAAGCATCCAGTAAATAACTGGAGAAATAACTACAGAAAGGACCAGTACAGCATGGTGAAGAGATTGGAATGTTTCTTTCGGTAAACACAATCCTTCTGTAATCCAAGTATCGTAAAAGTAGTTATAAAGGTTGCCATATGTGGCATCAAATACGCTCAACCATAATGTTTTCAAGCTAATTATTATTAGCTTCAATAAGACCTTTATCCTTCCATCAGATCCAAATCTGTTTATATTTTGGTTAGATTCTAACAAATTTTTTATATCAAACATCTCATTTTCAAAAAGTGAAGCATCGCTCTCAGAGAATCCGAAATATATGTTATTCATGAAGATACCGGGTAATTCACTCCATGCATCTAGCTCGATTCGCGTTGAAGTAAAGGCATATGAAGCATTCCGTAATAAAAGAAGAAGAAATACATTAGTTGGACTGTAACAGGGAATTTTTAAAGTAGCTTCTTCTGCATGACTGATTCGCTGCTGGAACGACGAATGCTTAACAGGCGATTTTGAAAACGCATCTTGTACATTCCCATGGGCAAGGACTTGCTTATTCCTTCGGATAGTAAATTTATCATTCTTCAAAATTAGCGTGTACATATTCGTAACATAGTCTGTCAACCCGCTTCGAGGAGGATTTTTTAGATGATAAACAAATTGGTTTTCATAACTACCAAAAGAAAAATATGCATAATCATACAAGCCGCATTTTTTTACACCAAATTCTATAAGGGGAAAAGTCGCTTCATTATCTTCATTAGTTGAATCTTTCTGACTGAGGAGCTTTATATTTGCATGCCCACAATCCCAATGGGCAGTTGGCTTTATCTGAAAAGACAGAGTAATCGGTATAGAAGAACTTTCCCTTGTAATCGGTACGTCGATATCACTGAAGACAACATGTCGTTTCCCAGGAGCAGTTGTTATAAGTCCATACTCATTTGCCAACAGTCTGTTTGGCGCTTCCACCAACTTGAAGGATCCTATCGCACTGTCCGAAGGTAAAAACCAACGATGGCTCCAGCTTTCCAAGTCTTTTTCTGTAAATTGTTCAGTAAATACTGCTGGAACGATACATGGCTAACAAATAGTTAATTCAAATAAGCTTCTATAATTTATTCGACTTCTAATTTTCCCGTAATTCAGCGGACATACGTACCTTGTAAGTTTTAGCGTTCAGCTGAACTGCCAATACCGTTGGCATTGACTGAAAGTAAGTGATTGCAATTATGGAAATTAATTGAAAAATATTCATATCTTCAAGGACTCGAGCCAAAATTGTACATGAAGACAATAAAGAGTCTTGTAAAGTTACAAGTCGATAGTCAATTGTTAAAGGTTTATTCTAGTGCATGTAGAAATGAAAAAACAAAGAAAAACGTCAGAATATAGAAAGGTATAGTCTTTCACTCGTTGTCGTGTTGTTTTGTTATGTTGCTTACGCTCATTTACGTTACTGACATCGCACTGCAAAGATCATTTTTTCAATTTTTTTGAAGTAGCATAAGCTAAAACAACAGTTAATATTGAAAATGGATCAAAGGGTTGAAAGCCAATCCTCAACTTTAGTCAAAAATCATCAGCAAGTTTATAGACGATTTTGATCAAAGACTGTACTTATGAAAGTCTCATTGTTTATTAATTTTGAATAGATTGTAGAAAAGCTACATATCTATGATTATTACGTGTAGTACGTGCCTTCTTTTCTGTGTAAACTACTGCTATACCAAAAGCCCAAGCGTAACTCAATAACCAAAATGAGCGAAACAACGTCTATTGAGAAAATCAGGCTGCTGCAAAAATTCCAATACGAAAAAGTACTAAAGGAGGATACAAAGAGCAAGATAGTAACACTTTACGGCTACATCGAGAATAAGGTCGCATTGGTGCTATTGGAAAAGACAGCTTTTGATTTGCATTGTATTAATCTTCAGGAAATCCCAAAGTATATTCAGGAAACTCGACTCGTGCAAAACAACGACGTTTTCCATTGGTACCTTAATACTTTCCTTCAAAGCAATGATCTCCCTTCTTTGAAAACTACTTTGATATGGCCTGCTGCGGAAAATGTAAGTTGTGCTTCGATTTTCTGGATGTTGATAATTTAACCTATTATTGTAGCATATTCGAAAGTACTCGGCCCAGAAGCGCAGAATGGTTCGGGAAACTCCAGAGATGTATCTTCAAATTGTCAAACCGTTTATAGAAACTCAACGGGGTCCTCAAATTAAATGGGTGAAGAACATTCTTGATCATGTGGCTGAAGCAGAACGTATAGTCCTAGAAGATTGTGATAAAAAAACTGGGTTTCTTGTTTTACCGGACTTGTATGTTTGAACGATTTGTGATGCTTGAAGCTCGCATCCTTCTTTGATGTGAGTGATATGTGCTTTCCTAACTTATTTTTTTTAGAAAGTGGGATCGACAAACTATGTCGTCCTTGAATTTGATGGCTATTGTCCACAGAGATGACTTAGCAAGCATTCGGGATTTGACTTTGGAACACTTAGACTTGTTAGAAAATGTCCGCTCTCGTGTGCTTAACGATGTTCCAAAAAAGTTCCCTGTACATAAAAACCAGTTAAAGCTATTCGTTCATTGTATGTATTTTTTTCGGGAGTATTAAAGACTTGACTTTCTAACGTTATTTTAGATCCTCCTTCTTACTATCATTTGCATGTTCACATTATGCATGTTGATCATGAAACTGGCGAAGGGTCATCAGTCGGACGTGCTATCCTTTTGGACGATGTGATCGAAAGACTGCAAAGCTGCAAAAGTGGCTATGCTGAAAAGACGTTAACTTATGGTATTGGGGAACAGCATTATTTGTTTAACGATTTAACAAATGCTTCTGACTAAAATACGGAATGCATGTTCAAAAAGCCAATACTGTCTGTTGAATAATGGGAGAATAGATATAGGATTGCTCAGAATGTAGTTGAATATTGATAAGAGCATTGTTGTATTTATACTTTAAGGAATTAATATTGTTTTTAAAGTCTATAGAATACAGAAGAAAAAAAAAGTTAAATAAGGGAAACAGCTCCTGCACGAACATAATTTGCGATAGCCGAATACTTCAAAAGCAAAATATCGCCGCGGTCCAGAGTCACATACTCATTTTCTGCCACCCGAAGATTTTCTTCAATAGTTTCATTAACCATACAGAAAACGGGACTATCCATGTCAGGCGCTGCTACCATACTGGTCCTTCCAATTGTGTCGTCCAGCTTATTCATCTTCATAGGAAGTTCACGAAGAAAAGAGGTCATATAGTGCCTATGTAAGAGTTGTTGATGCCGTAAAAGGTACTGTCGTTCAGTTGATGATAAATTTAGGAGGACACTTGGATTCGCCTGAATATACTGACCATAGTCATCAATTTTGCTCAGTCTTGTCCGTAAATAAGATCTTAAAACAAATTTAATTCGTTCAAGCTCAATTTGAATTAGCACGCTACGATAGCCAGTGGCATTGGCAGTTCCAATGGAACTTTGTAAAGTCTCTAGTTGAGCACGAAGTCTTTCTGTAACCCTTGTAACTACATCTTCCGCGAAAGGAAGCAATTCAGGAGCCATGCGCTCATTTAACCATTGTGTGCAGAGGGAAGAGTAATCTTGCTCGACTTCTGTTGTTGGTTCAGCTAGCAGTTCGTCCACATCCCAATCCATTTCTTTTTTTAAAACAGTAAGTTAGTGACTTATAAGGCGTTTGTTAATAATATTGGATATATTTTTAGAAGGTGAAGTCAAAAGTTACAGCAGCGTAATGAAAGCAGACGAAGCTTAATAACAGCTTAATTAAGCGACCTTTCAATGCAAAGTATCAGCTATTTGTGAGTTATTAGCATGAATTTTTGACCTTTTAAACTGTTATTGATTACTGTCTTAGACGTTGATATTAGTTAGGTTTTTTATAATCTTAAAAAATTGTAATATTAATAAAAAAAACCTTTAAAGTCCAATTCCATACTATAAATTACAAAACTATACTATTACAAGTCTATCGTGCTTTTCCCTTTATACCGCCTGTTGGATCGATCGCCAGCCCGAAGAAGTAAGTGATGAGCGTAAAGTTCTATTACCAAACGTCTATTAGACATATTAGCAATAACTTGCATTATAGAATCAGTTTTTGGAATTCCTAATATATGTTAGTTTAAATACCTTAATAAAAGGAGCTTTTATTATTACTTACGCACAACGGTATCGTTTCGCGTCACAAGAGAAAGCATATTCTTGCTTTCATGTACGCAAATTCCCTCGATTCCAATTCGAGAAGGACTTTTGCAGCGAATAACTCGCATGTAGGATCCATGATACTCTGCTTTAATCATTTTAGCAAGAAGGGACTCACCAGTGGAATTGCCAATTGCCTCGTCAAGGTAATTGCACCACATGGAGTATAAGGGTTCATATTGTTCATACTTTAAATGCTTGGGTACTCGATTTAGACCAAGATCTCGCTTTTCTTTCGAGGATAAGGATTTTTTTTTCTGACTTCGATGATCTACGGGTTGCTTTCTTTTTCCATCTGACATTGTTGGCACAAGCAGAACCGGTTTGAACGCGAGTTTTTCATTCACCACATCTTCAGCTTCTCCTTTCGTTAAAATTTTGCTTTGATGAACAAGACTCTCAGGAGTGACATGCTCTTTGGCATTTGTACGTTTTAAGGACTTGTAAATAGGATCTTCCATGAATAAAAAACCAAGTGATACAAAAGGACAATGACACGCTGAAAATAATAATATAAGAAATTAATGGATTTTGAAAAAAATGCAATGACAAATTTACACGATAGCAGAGGTTTCTTACTTCCTCTCGAACATAATTCTGAAAAAGGTATTCGCGTACGTTTCCCATATTGAAGTTTCTCTATGAGGATTTAGTAATATTACCAATAGGTAGGCAAACCATAATAGTAAGAAAAGCAATAAGTTATTCTATAATACGGGCTATGTGGGATTCAAAAATCTAGGTGGGGGACCTTCAACACCCTCTTTATTTTTTTTACTGAACGTACTACCCACTAAAGCATGAGGTGGGGGTTTCCCTTGCTTCGGTAAGGGTTCCTGAGGCAGGAAACGAACCAAGGAAATAACCAAAGTGCTAAATGTCACAAGTCATCAAAAATACTGTGTATGAAAATATTTATGATGAATCTAAACAACTAAATGAAGAGGAAAGTTTCCTTTCTAAAGTTGAATTATTTGCGCGCGATCGAGGGTTTGTAAAGTCTACTTGCATAGAAAAAACAAGACGCAGGATTAACATGATTGGGCGTATAGGATCAGCGTTGAAGCAATTCCAAAAGTAACGAGAAAGCCAATATCTCTTTTTGAATTATATAGGAAAGTAAAGAAGCAAGGTGGTTATGATGCCGTAAATAATATGCAAAATGGATGGTCTGACCTCGCTGGGGAATTTCGCCAATTAGATCCAACTAGGGCTCCCAAAAGTCTAGAAAATATATATTTTAAAAACTTGATGTACGTTCTTAATCTCTCCGAAGATGCATCCTAACTGTGAATGACAGTGCATGGGAAATGTTTGATATGTGGCATTTGCAATGTCCTCCTCCACATCTTTTAGAACAAACTTTGAATAGGTACGTTGTTGAGTTTGATTGCCTTGCCTTTCATTTTAATTACGTTAGCCTAGATCTGGAAATACTGACTGTGAATTAGAAACAATATTCTTCAACGAGTTAGAACATTCAACACTTCACCCTCTTTTACTCCAAGCGATACGTTAGAAGTTGCAGGTAAGATGGTTTCTTCCGCTTGAAAATTGTGTGCCTACATACAGTCGCTAACAGTTGTTTAGATGTCAAGAACTTAAATAAGCTGCAAAATTTTTATAAAAGCGTTCGTCCACCATCTCCCGTTACGCTTGAACGACGCGCCGAAGAAGCACTAAATTCGAGTTATCGACCTCTACCCAATGCAGCAAATTTTTCCAATACAACTTTTCCAATTATCCCTATTCATCCTTTACCTGTAAATTCTCCTTTACAGCAACAAGTTGATCGAACTTCAGGAATAACGAATACAATTGAAGAATCATTAGGTCAAGGCCTACCTGGGCCTCCTCTATTGATTCGCATGGCTTTAGCTTTGAAATCAAGACAAGAAGATGAAGTAGATTGGGCAGTATGTCATTTAGTAAAAATATCGTTTGAAAGACATCAGGAGTTTAAACTCGAAAGATTACCATTTTTGGCTGAATGCTTGGTGGAGGCATTGGGTTTTCAAATTTCACTCTTAAAAAAATTCTCCAGCGATACAGATATCACTCAATATCTTGATCGAGCAATAAGCATCGCTTTAATTTTGCGAAACTCTGTTCTCTCTGTGGAAAATGCAAAGCTAATTGCAAAAACTGAGCTGATAGTAGGTGTTCTAGAGTCTGCCATTCGTTGTGCCAATACCTTTGAAAATGTGGAACTTCTTCATTATTGTCTAGATATCTCGGAAACAATCAGTTCACATTTGAGTATCCAAGATGAAAAAATTGGTTTGTATCTACTCCTGTGCAGTTTCCTTAATTCATCAGACAACGCGGTACTCATTGGCACTTTACGAACTCTCGCTCGCCTTGCTTTGAACGATCGAAACAATAGACTTCTTCAAGATTTGGATGAGAAGGTAGTTATCAGAATTATTTCTTTAACTGAGACAAATAATGAAGAGCTCGTGGCAGCAACACTTGACTTCCTATATCAATATACAACTTATAGAACAAACACGTCGGGATTACTATCGAACCCTGCAGTTTGGATCCTTGTAAACCAACTAACGAGATTGATGATGTATCAAGCTCAGGAACGTTTTGTAACGATCGCTATTGCAAATAGCGAAAAAACAGATGTGCAAAGTCCCAAACCCTTACAAAAAGCATCATTTTTGCCCCTTCCACAATATGAGCTTCAGCAACTTACTTTACTCCGAGAACCTGAGCGTTCAGTGAAATGGATGAGTTGTTGCTTTGAAGCTAGTCCAGATGATTATGTATTGCAAACCGATATCTGGCAAATGTACTGCTCTGATATGGAAAGGGCTCAAGGTCCTGGTCTAATGGCTATCAGTCCTGCAGATTTTATTAAGGTATCTAGTCATGCATTTTATAACGCTAGGGCTATGACAGTGTCAACTCCCTTACTTCCGGTAGAATACGTTATCAATGGAATTAAGCGAAGAGAACTTCCAGTTTCTACAATAGGAGAAAAATTTCAGGTTTGCAGGTGGAAAAATAATGATGGCACTTTATGCGGAGATACTGTCATGGGTACTAAATTAACGTGGGCACATATTCAGGAATTACATATCTTCCCTCAGGTATTAGAAGAAATGCGATGTCGATGGGGAGATTGTACTTATCAAGTACATACTGATTTGTCAGGTGGACCATCAGAAACGTCTCATCAGCGTTTGTTAAAGCACATTTTGACTCATTTATATGATAATAATATTCAAAATACAAATTCTGACGGTCGGAAGTTATTTCCCTCAAGAGAATTCCGGATTCCGTTGCTTTTAACTGCTGTGGATGAGCGTGGTGATGCGACCGGTATTGCATTGACGGCGACTCTAGTTCTTCGTAATCTTGTTCGATCAAAGCAAGGAAAAATGCTGTTTTCAGCCATCGAAGGACATGTTCTTGAAGTTAGTACGATGAATCCTGCAGTTGCACCGTACGTGAGTGAAATGCTTCTTGGTCAAATATAAGAAAAAAAAAACGAGACTGGGTCATTGTAATTTATAGAAGTATTTAATGAAAGTCAACGAAATGTTGTCGATTTAAGGTTTAATTACATTCATGTTAACATATAAAAGTACTTATAATCCTATAGTATTTGCCAAGATTTATTAACATTATTACCAAAAAAGCTAATTACCAGTATATTCCGACTGTTTGTATTCAATAAATGCATCCAAATTTTCCAAAGCTTCCTCAGCTCGAAAGCGTAGCAAACCATCGCTTTTACGATTTATACGTTTAACCATTTGAGAAATCTTGGGTAAAGACTCAGCCAACGTTTGTAAATAGTTCCTCTGCTGGAAAACAGGGCCGTCATAAGGATAAGATTTATCGCCATAAACGTCGTATATAGTGTTTAGTGCTTCAACGGTTAATTGTGGATTAGGCTCTGACAAGGAAAGACAAGAAAACAAAGTCTGTCCTATTATTTCATTAACTGAAATGTTGTCAGTGCGACCTAAGGTAGCAAAAGCACCAAAAATGCGGACCTGTGCATCTAAAGATCCATGAGCTGAAGCATAATGAATTAACGAGGTGATGTCTTCAGCAGTAATTGAATTTGAAACTTCTGGGGCGGCTCTAGCAGCTGCCCAAAGCAGCCCACAACTAACTGTGAAGGTATCAGCGCTAAATGGCCAAGAGTTGTTATGTAACCCTGCAAATATACTTTGGAAAAGCCACTGTACGAGTTGGGTAGCCTGCATTTTCCACTTTTTAGAAGAATCAGAAATATCATTAAAGACACCATTGCAGGACCATGATACATTGTTCAAGCATTCTATGGTTCTTTCAGAAACTTCTAACAAATAACTTCTCAAATTAGAGGGGACATCATTGGAGGAAAACTTCGAAAGCCAACTAAAGTATGAGCTTAACTTTGGTAAAACAGAGTCAAGCATATATTCAATTAGTTTGGAATTGGACTTTTCATTGCTTGCATTATCAACGTCCATGGGCTGATCTGAGTTCATTGGTTCCTCATCAACAATACTTGATAGATCCTCCAAGTTTTTGCTGCTATCATCTTCTGCAACGAAAGAATCTCCAAACTCTTCCTCAACATGACCCTCGGCAAGGCTCTGAAGCAGAGATGTCAAAGAGGACAGGATTTCCAAAGCAGCGGGTACTACCAAAAGATCGGGAGAAAGGATTGCTTCCTCGTCCTTAAGCTGAGTGACTCCGTTCTTTTTAAAAGATTGTAAATCACGATCAACGAAATTCAGGTAAGATTGCTCATCTGGAAGCAAAGCTGTTAAAATGGGAAGAGATTCATTAGATAAAATTTCCAACAAGCTTTCAGAAGATAAAAGCTCACCAAAATTTTTAGCAACCACTTTAGATTGATAAATATTGAATAAACAGCCTACTGAGTAAACCTTTGCTAGAGGTGAATCACTCTTCATGTAAAAGTGAAGAAGATCAATAATAGCATCGGGTGTATTGTTAGGATTTTGAAGGAAAGACATTAGACCATTGTCGTTATCATCGGTTAAAGTAAATAAAGCTTGTAATGATGTTTCAACGACAGGCAAGGGAACCTTAGCCGCAGGTACAATTAAGCGGAAAAGAAATGAAAGCACATTCCTTTGGTTAAGAGAGTTAAGGACTTGAAAAGTTGTTTCACTAAATGGTTAACAAGAAGCCAAGAATTGATTACAGAAAAATATGGATCAAATACATACCCAAGATTAAGATACAAAGATGCGACATTTTCAGCTATAGCGCAAAGACAGCTAAAGAATCCTTTGTCTTCGTAACTTTCTAACTTCGTTTTCTCTTGTACGATGTTTTCTATAAACGAATCAATCTGAGTCGAATCATTAGCATTCAAACATCACACCACTTCAAAGGTATTCATACCTTGTCCTGCCAAGTCCCTAAAGGAGCAAGAATGTTTTTTCTGTACAAGTCTATAAGGACAGCATATTCCTCCTCGATGACAAGATTTCGAAGAGCACCTGTAACTTCGACAACGACCTCAATAGAGTCATCGGTCAAACGATTCATAAGCTTAGAAACAAGTCCATTCTTTAATAACTGCAAGCGTCCCTCTGAGCTGCTAACAATGATACTAGAAATAGCACTAGCAGCCCATGATCTTTCTTTCGCTTCGGGATTTTCAAGCTAAATTTTAGTCAGTTAGAAATAGCTCCCTGAAGGCTTTCTCTGAGCACTTACTCTCGAAAGAACTGGTAAAGCACTTTCTTTTAGATCCAAGGGCAATTCCTTGATGGCTCCATCTTGTTTCTTTAAAGGATTTAACCTATTTTTTCTTTGATTCCTTCTTCTAACGTTTGCTTTTCCCATTTTTCCACAAAACCTATAACCCAAAAACTTGAAGGGTTGAGAATTCAAAAGTATCGTTCTCTACAGGTCTAAATTTTCATACGAAACACTACCTTTTTAACGTATTATCGTTTCGCATCGCCAACCTAATTATCACCTTAATGTACACCATATCTGATCACTTCGTGGAACTCCAGACAAAGAGTGAAACGTGAAAATTATAAGGACAAGAGTATTTTTATGTTCTAATAATATACGTATAATACGTAAAAGTGTATAGGTTATGAAAAAAGATGATTATCAACTGAGACGTATAAAACCTTTAGATCCGACTGTTGTAAATAAAATTGCTGCTGGTGAAGTTAGTTTTGATTCTAAATTGGGACACCCAAATTTAATTTAACTATTTCATTTTGCTAACTCTGTCCGCAGATTATAGAACGTCCAGAAAATGCTGTTAAGGAATTGTTAGAGAATGCTTTGGATGCTGGAAGCACGTCGATAGAGGTCCTGTTAAAAGATGGTGGGTTGAAACTTTTGCAGATTTCAGATAATGGTGCAGGAATCCATGTATGGAAAGTCATATATTTCTCATGAGTTTTACAACTGGAACTAACTTGACTCAGTATGATGACTTGCCTTACCTCTGTCAACGCTTTAGTACATCAAAATTAGAAAAATTCGAAGATTTGCAACAAATCCAGACATTTGGGTTTCGTGGTGAAGCTTTAGCTAGTATTAGCCATGTTGCCAAAGTGACGATTACAACGAAACGCGAGGGAGATTTACATGCTTGGAGGTATGCGTCATCACATGTTATATTCAGAAAAAATCTCACCCTTTAAATTAGAGCCTTTTACGTCGACGGTAAGCTGGCTCCTACAGCTCCCCATAACACCTCAGCTCCTCAACCTTGTGCAGGCAAACAAGGCACGGTAATAACTGTTGAGGATATTTTTTACAATGTTCCTGGAAGAAAGGCCGCTTTGAAACATGCTAACGAAGAGTATCGTCGAATTCTGAACCTGATGCAGAAATATGCCATTCATTCAGAGAAGGTGTCGTTCTCTTGCAAAAAAGTTGGCGAAACTGTTGCCTCTATTTCTCTTAGTTCCAGGCTTTCTATAAAAGACAAGATCCGTCATGTCTTCGGAACTCTTGCTGTAAAGCACTTGAAAGCATTGAAAATTCCGGAAGGAACTATCAACGTGGAGAGCTTTCACGCGGATGGCTTAATTAGCAGCGCAGATTATGAGGATAAGAAAAGCATTTTTATAGTATTTATCAACAATCGACTCGTGGAATCTATTGAATTGAAAAATGCCATTGACGAAACCTATTCGAAGTTTTTGCATAAGGGCGCCTCCTATTTCGTTTATTTATCTCTCTCAATGAAGCCAGAGCAAGTAGACGTGAATTTTCACCCTTCTAAACGAATAGTTCACTTTCTCTACGATCACGAAATAATCGGTGCAATAAGTGATAAGCTGGCGGAGCTTTTGAAAAACACGGATGAACAGCGTTCATTTACTATGCAGACCACAATCCCAAGTATTACAATGGTTAAAACTCCTGAACTTCCTTCGCAAAAAAACAAAAAGATATACGAAAACAATATGGTACGCACCGACCCCAGGGAACAAAGTATAAAGGCAATGTTTTCATCCTCCCAAAAGTCTGCAGCTTTGAATTCAGATATACAACATTCTCAAAGTAAGGAAGTTGCAAATGAAGAAACGCCTGCTGAGTCGAATCCGTCTCCTTCACCTCAAAAAGCAATGGAAGATGACGTGAGGGAAGAAGTCGAAGATGGAATTATTATTCCATGTGAGTTAGAAAGTATTAGACAACTTCAGAATGAAGTACTGAATTCTATGCATTTATTAGCTACCAACATTCTTTCGGAGCATAAATATGTTGGGTTGGTATGCCCAAATAAGAGGATTGCAGCAATTCAGCATAATATCGGTTTATATCTAGTTGATTACGGAAAGTTAGCTTATCATTTTTTCTACCAAATTTGTCTAACTGAATTTGCCAATTATGGGAAAATTTACATGAATCCGCCAATTCCTCTTGAAAAGATCCTAGCTGTCTCATTTACAGACGAGGATGTAGAGCTCTATCAGAAAACCAGAAAACTTTTGATAGCCAGGAGGGATATGTTAAATGAATATTTTTCTATAGAGATATCTGCTGAAGGATTTCTTAGCGCTCTACCCTGTCTAAGCAAGGGTTACAAGCCGTTCGTAAATAGGTTACCGTTATTTCTGAAGGGAATTTCGCCTGATTATGTTGACTGGTTAGATGAACGAGCTTGTTTAGAAGGAGTCATGAAAGCTTTGGCAAAATTTTACGTGCCAATAAGGCTATTACCAGACAATGCTACTTCTGAAGAGATATCATACATGGAGAGGATATTGGAAGAGTTTTTTTTTCCAGAATTTCGGCGAAGATTGATTTGTCCCAAAGAGCTTTTTGAGCAGATGGCCATTTTTCAGGTCGCTAGTCTGCCACGTTTGTATACCGTCTTTGAGCGTTGTTAATATGTTATGATGATTGAATAGCTATGTTTAGTAAAAGGAAATGTTGATTAATTGTTACTCAAGGAAAGAGGATTACCTTTATTAAAAGTATGCAACGCGATTGTATAGCATACAACGTGAAAAGAAAAAAATAAATAAATACTCGTAAATTAAAACTATTTCCTAATTTAAGCGTAATTTAGAAAAAGTGGTGGTAATTGAAAATGAATGAACTTTTTGGTCATTACTGTACATGCCTATTGGTATTGTTACTATTTCAGCATTTGGTGTTGCCAGCGCGACACAACACCACTTTTCAATACCCCATCACTTTTTTTAGGAATATCTGAAAATAGTTTATTCGAGATGGTTAATCTAAACATTAAATCAATGAGGTACTTGTCCGCAGAGGATTTTCGAACTTTAACAGCAGTATGTAAAATTTTGAAAGCACTCAATGCCAAAAGACAATGATTGTTTTTCCTAGCCTGATAATTGTTTGAAAATAAAATACGATAAGCTAATACATATAGGTTGAAATGGGAAGTCGTAACCATGAAGTTGTTCCTACTACTATGATCAATCAAATTGCGAAGTTAAGAGGTGGCACCTGTGCTAAGTCTTTGTCTGTTTTATATATGACAAAGCTAATTGCCAAGATGCCTCATATCAGCTATGACGGATACAGATTGACCTCTGCTGGTTATGATTATCTTGCCATGAAAGCATTATCGAAACGTGCAAGTGTATACTCTGTTGGTAATCAAATTGGAGTTGGAAAAGAGTCGGATGTATATGTCGTTAGCGATCAGAAGGGAAAGCAATATATCTTAAAAATTCATCGTTTGGGAAGAACCTCTTTCCGTAGCGTAAAGAATAACAGAGACTATCTAAGAAACAGAAAAACAAGCTCATGGCAATACCTCTCTCGGTTGGCAGCTACAAAAGAGTATACATTTATGAAAATCCTCTACGAGCATGGATTTCCTATCCCCAAACCAATTGATCATTCTAGACATTGCGTTATTATGGAATTTATTGATGCTTTTCCTTTGCGAGCAATTGAGGAAGTGCGAGACCCTGCTGATCTTTATCAGAAACTTATAGATATTTTAGTACGGTTTGCGAGAAATGGTTTGATTCATGGTGATTATAATGAGTTCAATATCATCGTCCATGAAGATGGTACACCAGTTATTATTGACTTTCCTCAGATGGTATCTACTAACCACCCTGATGCTAAGTGGTACTTTGAGAGGGATTTAAATTGCATTGTTGATTATTTTAAAAAGCACTATCTATATGAAGGCCCTATTCCTAACTTTGACGAAATTGTAAGTATGGAGAAAGAAAATTCCTTGGATGTGCTTGTTGAAGCCACCGGTTTTAATAAAAAGCAGGCGAAGGAATTGGAACGATATAGGAAAGATATCGAAGAAAGAAAGAGCAAGGGTGAATTGGAGGAGAACGAAGGACGAGAGGACGAAAGTTCTGAAGAGGAACAAGAGGAAGAAGGGGAAGAAGAATAAAATTCTGGTAGCGGCTGCTTATTTTCAGGGAATTTTAGGGCGATTATTGAGAATATTTTTGGTTATTGGTAATAATGGATATATTTGATTTAGGATATTATAAGCAATAATTTTATAGAGGTATCTTAGTCTTTTTTTTTTAATCCTTTAGGCTGTACTATGTAGATTTTTAGAAGTTAAAATCAGAGATTGCTTGTGGTTTTTTATTCATATGAATGCATTATAAATTCTATTTAGTTCTATCATTTTATAAAATTTTCTGTCGAAAAAGCGCAACTTTGTAGTACAAGTCGATTGTAATTAGTTATCGCCATCAACAACTTGCCAAGCACCAAACGCAAAAATCGTCAATTTCATTACCACCAAAGGAATGAACAGTATTCAAAGTCCAAATGAAATAAAAGGATTGGGCATACAAAATTTACCAAAAGGTATGCGTCTTGAATGACGTTTCGGCAATTTCTAACGTGTTCATAGAAATCCTAATTATAATCTTTTCTTTTCTAGAACCGCGCTCCTTATTATCGATTCAATGCACTTGTAAGTTTTGGAACAGATTGCTGTCTGATGATTTAAGCTGGCGTACTGCATTTTTCCATCATTTCGTTGCAAACGAGTTTCATGAATTCAGTCCCCTAGGCAATGGAACCTGGAGACAGGAGTATCTACTAAGATCAGCTATTACCAGAGCATATGAGCGTGGAAAAGGTCAGACTGTTCAATATGATTGTCGTGTCGGGCAATTGACTGATTTGTATTACGATTTCCTAAGTGGGCGTTTATTTGCTGGTAACCGGCTTACGGGATCTATATCAATCTCAGATCCAAATACTGGAAAAGTTGAGAGGTCCGTGTTGCATGCTAGCTCAGATGGATCCCTTATCCATACGCTTACTGTTATGAGATTACATAAACAAATTTTCGGATTTGGTTTCGTGGATGGTCGTGTTGGCGCCATCATAATGACCCGACAAGCGGAAAGTGGGCGTAAGTTCCGATATTTTATGGATTCTCATAATGATGCTATAACTTGTATGGATGTCTATCCTGGCGACCTTCCTCCGATAGGGGAGATAGGTATGATCACCGGAGCTGACGACGGAAGCGTAAATTGTTGGGATGTTCGGACTGGTGTCTGTTTACGAAGCTTTAGATTTTCTACTTCTCAGATACTTTCAGTTTGTTACCGACCACGGTTCAAATTTTTAATCATAGATACTTTCAATTACGCCACTGGTACCTATATGTTATATGTTGTGAATGGACCACTACAGTCGGTAAAAGTACATCCAATTTTGTTTGCCTCTAGAAAACGGGTCTTAAGTGATGACGAAGAGCCTCCCTGTTTGTTAGCAGTTGATGAACCTGCAAATTTTGTATTTGTTTCTTTGGGAGCACCAAAGAATTCCTTATTAAGATTCTCTTTTAATAAAGTCACAAGTTTCGATTTTGATCCTTCCCACGTTGAATCTTTGGTAATCCACCTTCAAGGAAACCCCGTGTGCTTGTGTTTGGATACGAATGAAAGAGTTATTAATAAGCCAATTGTTGGAAATAATGCTCGTCTATTATCTGTTGGTGATGACAACGGGAATGTGTATATAGTTAATAGTCGTTTTAAAGAGTTCAGGCATCCTGTATTAAAGACGATTCCTGTATTTCTTGGTTCGCCTATTTCCGACCTTTATATCAATGAAGCTGTTATAGTGGTTGGATCCTCTACGGGATTCAGTGCGATTTATGACGTTATCTCAGGAAATCTATTAAGAAACCTGTCTGGAGCTAGAAATCCAGCAAGGCGTGATGCAGTACGATGCATAGTATTGGATTCCAACCCCATGAGTCTGAAAGGCGTTTTAAGTCTAGGTAAGCATGTGAAAGCGTGGTCATATGTAGTTCCTAAAGTACATATGAACAAAAGATCTCGCATAGTCGCTCCACCCAAGCCAATGACTACGTGGGATAGTCCTTCAAGAGTTGGAGAGTATACGAAGAATGAAGTTGAAAGAGAAATCATGCTAGGACTAAATCAGATTGCAGAAGAAAGACAGGAGAAGCAAGAAAAGTTGGAATTACAACGCAAATTAGCACGACATTTGAATGAAGGTTTAGCTGATCTTTCCGAAGAGGAGTTGCTGGCTTATGCTACTATGCTATCAGAAGAAGAAGAGATGAGACGGTTACGAGAGTCAGCTGCTGAGCAGGATTTGTTAAGAGAAACTGCTCCTCAACCGGAAACCCCCATACCTTCGAGCTCAGAAGCTGGTCCTTCTGAAGCTATGACTCCTGATGTAGGTATCACCGAATTAACAGAAGAGGAACAAATTGAGCTTGCGATGAGGCTTTCGCTTGAAGGTAACTAGTTAGAACGCTGTAAGTTTTCTTTATTATTCTCTTATTTAGTCTCTGTATATTAAAGTTGAGTAGATATAGAAGAAAGACAAAATAAAGGGCACAAAGGAAAAGGGTTTTTTATTTAAAATTTTATTTATGGGTTTCATTTTTGAAAGTTACCGATTGTGGTAATCATTAAATAACTTCTGTGATCGTGGATTATCAACTATGAACTAAGCGAGCAGTTTTTTTAAAAGATGAAGTGTTAATAAAGAGAATGCAACTGGAAACTTAATTAGATAATTGTAGATAATAACTAACAAAATATAAAAAAAGAACGACTTCCTTTGACGCATCTTGCATATATATAAAGTCACTGTACATACGTTAATTGTAGTTTTCTTGTACAGACTCAACGTGACTCATCTACTTAAAATTATAACTTTCTTTTTTTTAACATTCGTCAATTGCACTTTATAAAATTTCACGACCCGTAAATAAAACATTTTTATATATAATTTATTTTCGTTTGTTTACCTATTTAAATGAATTTATGTAAGAAATCTAGTAACATAATACACTCCGTCTCTATATCTGAAGTTAAGCTTACATCGTAAGCGTACCGCTAAACGAGTATTGTAAGGCTTCCAAGAATTGGGAACTTCTACCTTTTTCAAACGGAAGTTTAAGAAAATGACTTCGAAGATGGCACAGAAGCCTGCATATGAGCTTTTCTCTAAGGAGACTAGGTCCTTTGTTTACGGAATGCAAACAAAGGCCGTCCAAGGAATGCTCGATTTTGACTATTTGTGTGGTAGACAAGTACCCTCTGTTGCAGCCATAATTTACACTTTTGGTAATTAAAAATTTTTCTTTTTTTTTTTTTCAATTCTGTTTCCATATTAATATTTGAATCAGGCGGCCAAAGTATTACCAAAATGTACTGGGGAACCAAGGAGATTCTCCTGCCAGTTTACCGTTCGGTGGAAGAGGTATGTATGCATGTGTTAGCCATACGAAAAAGCAACTTGAGAATTCTCTAAGGACATAAGAATTTGATGAAAGATTCAATGGTTGATTTACGGAATGGATTGACGGTAGCTATCAGAAAGGTTAAAGCGTTCTTGGTACCTAACGTAAACTATAGGCTTGCACTAAACATCCTGACGTTGATGTCGTTGTAAATTTTGCGTCCAGTCGTAGCGCCTTCCCTTCAACCATGGAATTAATGGATTATCCTCAGATCCGCTGTATTGCTATTATTGCCGAAGGTGTACCTGAACGACGCGCTCGTGAGATTCTACTAAAGTCCAAAGAAAAAAATGTCGTTATTATTGGACCAGCGACTGTCGGCGGTATTAAGCCAGGATGCTTTAAAATTGGTAACACAGGAGGTATGATGGATAACATAGTTGCATCAAAACTTTATCGCCCTGGCTCTGTCGCATATGTTTCCAAGTCAGGTGGTATGTCTAACGAATTAAACAATATCATCTCTCATAACACTGATGGTGTGTATGAAGGTATTGCTATCGGTGGTGATCGCTATCCTGGTACAACTTTCATTGACCATCTTTTGCGTTTTGAAGCCGATCCTGACTGTAAGTTGATGGTTTTACTTGGTGAAGTCGGTGGTGTTGAAGAGTATCGGGTTATTGAAGCCATCAAGAATGGTACTATAAAAAAACCCATTGTCGCATGGGCTATCGGTACTTGCTCTAGCATGTTCAAGACTGAGGTTCAATTTGGTCATGCTGGTTCCTTTGCGAACTCTGAAATGGAGACGGCAGTAGCTAAAAACAACGCTATGAGAAACGCTGGCATATACGTTCCCGATACATTTGAGAATCTTCCAGCCGTGTTACATAGCGTTTATGAAGAACTTGTGAATAAGGGCGATCTCACTCCCAAACCTGATCAAACCCCTCCAAATATTCCATTGGACTATGCTTGGGCAAAAGAATTGAGCATGGTCCGTAAGCCGTCTTCCTTTATTTGCTCTATCTCAAACGACCGCGGTCCTGAATTAACCTATAGCAACGTCCCTATTAGCAAAGTTTTTGAAGATGACCTTGGAATTGGAGGTGTTATTTCTCTATTATGGTTCCGTCGCCGTCTTCCTTCCTACGCTACAAAGTTTTTAGAAATGATTCTTCAACTCACAGCTGATCATGGGCCTTGTGTCTCAGGTGCCATGAACACCATTATTACCACAAGAGCTGGTAAGGATTTAATTTCTTCTTTAGTTTCTGGTTTGCTTACCATCGGTACCCGATTCGGTGGAGCCTTGGATGGTGCTGCACAAGAATTTTCAAAAGCATTTGACTCTGGTCTATCTCCCCGAGCCTTCGTTGATAGCTGCAGAAAAGCTAACAAACTTATTCCTGGTATTGGCCACAGAATTAAGAGTAGAAACAACCCGGACCTTCGTGTTGAGTTGGTAAAGCAGTATGTCAAAAAACATTTCCCTTCTACCAAACTTCTAGACTATGCTTTAGCAGTCGAGAATGTTACTACTTCGAAAAAAGATAATCTAATTTTGAACGTTGATGGCTGTATTGCGATATGTTTTGTTGACTTACTCCGTAATTGCGGCGAGTTCACCTTGGAAGAGGCCAACGAATATATCAACTTGGGTATTTTGAACGGCATGTTTGTTCTTGGACGTAGTATAGGTCTTATTGGTCATCACTTAGATCAAAAGCGCTTAAGAGCACCACTCTATCGCCATCCTTGGGACGACTTTTTGTATCTTTCTTAACTTGATTGATAATTTTGCCACTTCTTTACTATTTTTTGGTTTATGGTTTTAAATCTTCTTATACTTTTTTGCTACGTTTTTAAGTCTTGTCATTACATCCTTCCTCTTTTCAGTAGATTGAAATGAATAATATCTATGAGTACATCACTGTAGTCTAAACGAGCTTTAGATTTATTATTTTGATAATGCAGCAGTAGTTCATTCTTTCGCGGTATTGTGTCTTTGATATATGTTTTCAGGAGTAATAAGTAAGTCAAGAAACTCGTCTAGAGGGCTCATAGGAATTTGGTGATTTGGAAGAACTTGTTCCGACAAACATATCCCAACTGAGTTTCGACTTAGTAAATTGATTCAAAGAAAGCTTACCATACCTTTATAAATGTCGCATCTGGAACTATTTTGAGAACACCAAGCCTTGTAACGATGAATAAAATCATCATAATAACCTCTGCCATGACCAAGCCGTGCCAAGTTTGAATCGAAGGCTACGCCGGGCATTATTATTAGGTCACAGTAAATTTCATCATCCATTACTAGTTTTTTGTTTGTTAATGATCAAGGAGCCAATTTTTTTCTTTTTTTTTTTGCAAACCTTTTGGAGACAACCCGTCTGGTTCAGGAATTTGCCATTTATTTATGATCAACTGATCAGTACTGTATACTTGATACATTGACATTGTATGGCGTCCTTCACATTTGGGTAAAAAAACATTTTTTCCTATGGAGTAAGCATTTTTACTTAACAAGTAAGATGGTTGGTACTAACCTTGTTTCAGAGCTTGGTGAACAAGTTCATGAGTGCGTATTTCCATATGAGGCATGCTCATAAAAAGGCAAACATTTTTGCTCTTTATCCATTCAGGAAGACTTAAAACTTTTTCACAAACAGAACTAGCTTGTATGAGTCAGTTAAGCTTGCATCAAATATCGTTTATTTACATTCAGCTTCAATCAGTTGGTCACTCAAATCAGCTAGTACTTTTGACATTAACGACCGAATCTTTTTCTTATAGACCTGAGTCATGCTGAACGCTAAGTATATTTGTTTCTTTGATTGTTTCACGAAAAGCTCAATATTCAGATAGAATAATAAGTCAAGTCACTTTAAAGGCCTCTGTAATTAAGAATAAACTGTATATAAAAAAAAATAAAGCTGAATGAGTTATGCGTTAAAAATTTGGTGAAATATGCTTTCAATACAGTTTGGCGAGTCTGTAATTGGGCTTGGGACTTGAATTGCGAAAACACGTATAATGATTTTGAACTATTTTGGAAAAGTAAATCGAGAAGGATTTAATCCATTTGGAGATAATTACTATGTCTAGATTGTAACACTTCATTCAAACTCACATTCACCTATATCTGCTTCTACCTCTTCAAACCGTTGAATTTTGAAGAACTGAAGAACTGAAGAACACAGCACACATGACAATATAATGCAAATATAAAAGCAAAGTTATGATCCTTTATAATAGCGATGACTGACAACGAAATTCCTCTGTCAGAAAAGGAAATGACAGTACAAAGACTTTCCTTCATCAGCAAAGAAGAGCTATGGAAACTTATATCTACAGGACATATTGATATTCAAAAATATTCTAATTTACCATGCAAAGTATCACCAAACACAGAAGAAAAAAGACATACGTGTGAATTATCACCAGTAATTGCAGAGCATATCTCCTACCCTGTACGCAAGATTGACCTTCCCAAAAAGGCTGTTGAGAGTCTATCACTGTCTACTATAAGTAATGATGAATTTCAAAATCAAGCATGGCTTCTCCAGCAACAGCAAGCAAAGCTTACTGCCATGCAAGCTTCTTTGGAAAGAGTTAATTTAGAGTTAACTGCCTTAACAGAAAGGATTATTTTGCTGTATTACAAAGAGAATTGCAGAGTGGGCGCGTTATCCATAAAGAGAAGCTTAGCTTCTCTAATTCGGCCTTTCCTATACTGTCTAAAGGTATGCTAAAGTCTTAGTGAAGAAAAGTAAAAGGAGAAAATCATAATCAATAGCTTCAATTCTAACTATATTAGCTTTTTTTAAAGAACTCTGTCGTATTTCTAGCTGCTTGCTACTTTATGAAATCGCCTTCCTCTAAATGGATATTAGATTGCATTCGTCAGGCATTTCTGCTTCTTCGTCATTTAACAAGATTTCCGGCAATCCGATTTTCTACTCTTCATTTACTATTAAACTAATTTTTATTTATCGGCCTTGTTATTTTTCAATTGTGGTAATATTTAGTTTAAGTTGTGTTGACATACTCTTTGCCAACTCATTAATTACTTTTTAAGAGCCAATCAAGAATTTATTTATTACTTCGCAAATTACTTTATCTCTATCTTTTGCATCATGTTTATACCAAGTATGTAACAATTCTGATGATTTGTTCTAAGGTAGCACACATTGAATAAAGACGAATGGCTTCTATTGTCTCATAATGCATTTTTGCAGAATTGACTTCCAAGTATTTATGAATACTCAATAATAAAATCAGTCGTAACTATTTCCCCATGATTGTTAATGTCATTCACATTCAACAATGAATTATGATTTTCATTTCATGATAACTTATTGTTTATGCTTATATTTTTATTGAACATATAGATACTTGCAAAGGCACCTTGAGCAGTGATTTGTTTGTGCATTGCATGCATACCTTTACATGTTAGCACTGAATGGTCGCACCAGAATTGATTGCAAGACTTCACTTAAGTAATATATAATTTCTTATAATTATTCTTTACTAATGATGCTACTGAGGTACTCAACTAATGTGAGAAGACTCTGTTCAGAACTTTTTAAACATTCTGTTCACATATTTTTTTATCATATAAACAAGATAAATATGTCACCTGCGGGTAACGTGATAAGATGATATTCTGGGTGAACCTGCAACTTCCTTTCGTTGTTCAAGACGGTTTTATGGAAGAATATTAAGTCTCCTTATAATAGATAAAGCACGCTTTATAGTAGTATGCTAAACAAATTAAGTATAATACAACATTCAGACGTTATAAAGATTAAGGCAGCATAACGTTTTGTAGCATATCTAAGAAACCATCGGCCTACGAGTGTCTTTACCACAACTTAAAAACCAGAGTTCGAGTCATTGAGATGGACTCCCTAATTCGGTATTGTTCCGAAGAAATAGCATTAGATGGAAGCTCTGGTTGTGATATAGACCGTTTATGGTCATTTGCAGAAAACTTTTATTTCCGCCGGGGAATCGTGCAAAACTTGGATGATGATTATAAGGGGTTCATTTGGCCGGTTCTATTACAAGAAGATGGAATTGAACTTTGGATTGAGGACGCGAATTCTGCCAACAAACATCAAATAATAGACTCAATTCCATGGAATTATCAAGAAATTAGCCCCTTTTTTCGAACCCAGTTAAGGTTATTCGCTTCAGTGGATCGTCAATGGATTACTCTTACCTATAAAACAAAAGCAGATTCTAAAATACAACCGTTGGCTTTTGAACTACTTTCCTGTATTTCGAGATATCGCCACGAGGGTATAGATCGTATTCAGTTGTGCAAGGAGACAAGGCAAGAACCTAGAAGCGTGTTTGGCAGAATACAGGCTCTTGAAGATGCTTCTTTAATCTCAAAGGTATCTATTAGCCGCTCCAAGGCTCAAACCGCTTTATTAGTGTTAAAGCGCTTTGAGTCTGAGAATAGTACAATGAATGAATCTGTTGCACAAGTGTCTGGTGGCCAGGTTTACAATACTGATAAAATCCGGCATCAGATTTGCTCTGTAGTTCAAGAGTTTAAAAATGGCGTTTGTCGCCATGTAGATGCACGGACGAAGGTAGGTTTAAATCAAAATAAATGGGAACGAAGGTATTTTTCCCGTCAGACTAGTTATTTGCACAACAATGGCTATATTCGAAAATGCCTTACTTTCCTCCCGAATTCTCCTGATCGTTATATTCGATGCTTGCAGTTCCTAAAACATTATCCTATGCCTACTTCTGAGAATTTTAACCAAGATATGGACTTGTCAGATGCGGACGATAATGTAGAAGAAGAAGATTTGGAAGATGAAGAATCCCAGATTCCAATAAAAGGAGAGCTTGATTCTGCTTTCCTTCAACCACTTGAAGACGAATCACTTATGGTACCTCAATGGTCTCGATTTAATCCTTTGGAGTTCCAATGCTATGTCGCTGTCAGAAATTCAGGTTTAGACGGATTAATAACTTTACGAATTCTTCAGAAATTGACTGGATTGAAATTTAATAAACCTCTGTTCAAAGTTCTCGGTTCTCTCGTTGAAAATAAATCGTCTGTTCCTGACTACCTTTCTCATTTAGTTCTTACTAGAATTGAAGATAAGACAAACAAATCTAGACAATATCGTTATTTTACTTTGCATAACCAAATTCAACGATTGCTACGAGATGGTTTATCGGCTGACGAAATTACAAAAATAGCCCGCAATGTACATCCTACTGCTGGCGAGTTTCCTCCGTATAATACCTCTCTTTTTAAAGATGCGAATACTCTTTCGAATGAAAACAATTCTTCCATTTATTCACCTGATGGTATGACTGTTTTGCCAAAGAAGAGAGGCCGTCCTAAGAAAGGCACGCCGAAAAGTGCTCCTCCCACATCCTCCCCAATTAAACAAGAAAACTCTTTATCTGTCTCAGTCTCCTCTCCAGTTCCTCCAAATCAACTTGATTTTTCCAGTTCTCAAGGTACACCTTCAAACCAGCCGTCCCTAATGGTTAACTCTGATTCGAATAATTTAAATTCCGAAGCCAGTGTTGACGTGAATGATAATAATTCCTTACCGTCAAGACCAAGTGAGCTCGATTCTTTATTCGAATTGTCTCTAAAAAGTCAGAGAGAAGATGCCTTAAGAGAATCGCTTCCTCCTCCGAAGTCTGAAACATCTATACTTGATGTACCGTATACTCCTTTTGGAAATATTGATATGAATATAAATCAAATTCTACCAAATTCTTCCGAAAATTCTATCTTAGAAGACCCTTCAACGACTGTTTCAAATCGTCCTCGACAGGTTGTGGATTTTGTGATGCTACAAAGGAAGTCACTTATTATGGCTTACTTAGAAGAGAAAAATGGAGCTTTTGAGATTTCGAAGAATATGTATGAAGATTTGGCAGATTTGAAGGTACGACGAGACCCCAATTCTGTTAGAACTGTTATGGATCGCAGAACACTCCGTCAAACCCTTGATAAATTACTACATGAAAAAAAAGTTCGTAAGGTTGTTATTGCTTTCGAAAATGGGTTTGGTAAGTTAATAAGGAAGGACATCATTGTCAGATACAATATGAAGTCTGATGATCCTAGACTTTATGATATGAAACATCAAATGATGAGAAATGAATCCGAATTTCGCAATGATAAAGATATACTGAGAGGTGTTGAAATTGATATTCCCGATAGACCCAGAAGTAAAAGGCGAAAACAAGCATTGCCGGTGGAAGAAATAAAGGCCCGAAGAGAATCTCGAGCTTTTGAAAAGAATATAAGAAAACAAAAAGAAAAAGAAGATCCAATGGAATTAGCACAAAAACTTCTTGAATCGCTGGCACCTACATTAAGTCAACCTGTTACAACTGAAGAAAGTACATTGGAATCGCAGCCACTTAGTAAAGCCTCCAATAAAGTAAGAAAGGATCGTTATGCACCTCTACCAGAACTTGATTACTACCCCAGTGCTACGCATTCTAGTAAGCGATCAGTAAAAAGATTCAAGAGTGACTTTACCGCCGAAGAAGACGATACTTTAATCAGAGCGGTGGTTATTATTCAGGTACAGTATGGTGGAGTTCATCGTAATATAAAGTGGGAGGCTGTTCAAAAATGTTTTCCAAGCCGTGATATTACCTCCTTGAGTCGGAGGTATATTTCAATCCGGCAACATACGAAATACAAAAGTCTACAACAATTTCTCTTGGCTAATTGGACAAGAATGTATCAGGATGCTGTCACTCGAGGGGATCTCGAGTCGTATCCAGAAAACGCTGATAGTTTTGACCCTATGCCTTCCGTTAAAGCATCATATCGACCCTACATAATAAGCTCTTCGGATATATCTTCTTCAAATCTTCCAGACAGCTTAGAACAACTGTATGAAAAATATGATGTTGAAATGGTGAAAGATGGGAAAGATCCCAAAGACTTGTTGTTCGATACTTCCCTTTCCGCCATGGCAAGAATGAATATTTATTCAGATATACCGTTCATTAAGCCCATTTATGAGGATAATATAAATAATGAAGAAGAAGAAAAGAAAGTTGATTTAACTACTCTTGAAGCTAAATCCACTATCAAGAGTATTTTAGCTATTCCCGATTCAGACTACGATTCCCGATTCGCACAATCGCGATTACTTAAATTTCCTGAAGAAGTATTGCTTTCTGCTCATAACGATCTTATCCGGAAAGATATTGTAGCACGTGTGCACTCTGAGTCAAACCGGGTGCAACCAGGAAGAAATTATCACTTTACAGATAAATTCGCTAACTCACTTAAATCTCCATTTCCTCCATTTCTGTTGCTTCAGGCTCCTAGGTTTTACAATTTTCTGGCGGATGGTTTTCGTGAAGGTAAAAGCCATATGATACAAGAAGCTTGCAACAGTGGTACGGTCGCTTGTGTTTTAGATCTTTTCAGTCGAGGAAAAGTTGAGGCCTCAATAATAAACAGTAAGTTCAACGAGTTTGGCCTAGCTGAGGGATATCGGACCCGTTTACTGGAACATGAAAATATAAAAATGGATTTAATACTTAGCAAGAAAGCTAATGATTCTTTTGAACCTATTGACTCTTCGTCATTAATACCTCCCCCTAGTTATGAACCTCGGTTATGGCTCGATGGTAACAAAGGCACTATTGACCAAATCTGGTTGGAAATAAAACAAGCTATCATTTATCAGTTGCTTAGGAGACCTGGAATACAGAGAAAGGAACTCGGAAGAATATTGAGCCCTGGTTTAGATGATAATGAGTTACGAGAAATAATAGAGTACTTTTTAATAGCTGGCGCCGCCATTGAGAAGAATGGTCTTTTCCTAAATCCAGGATTTTACCAGAAATTAATTTAAGCATCTGATACTGCCGTCGATTGTCTTTTGCAATATCGGTATCTGCAAGGTCTGTCATTCTAATTTCTTAAGTGCATTTATTCTGTGCGATGACAAAACCTAAAGATCGTTAGGCAGTTTGTATATTAAAGGGGAATATATTTATGTGCGGTATGATATATATACGATTTAGAAAATGATGTTGGAATATAAAAAGATAGACATAATACAAAATTTGGTCCAAAGATCTTTACTTTTAATAATTGTAGACGAATAATAGAAATTACTCATAAACTCACTTTATTTCTACTAGACATTAAATTACGGCCGTACCAAGGTGAAAATATCAGTTCCTGTCCGATTGCTACAGTTAAAACGTTTATGGGGCTCGTTAGTTCAATATTGTGGCTGTAGACAACATTTGGAATCCGGGATGCTATAGGTTTTCTATAATTCTTTATTCATATTTTTACTTTTAGTTTTAACATCTTTTTTCAGCGTCGTAAAACAGCATCCAATGTTTAAGATCACTACTGTGTGTCTAATCCATATAGCTATACGTTGTATCAACGATCTCATATATCACTCTTTATTTTGCATTTTATATGAGCTTCGTAAGTTATTCCTGTACATTCAACCAAGGCCATTTGGAAACGAGTCTTCAAGCAGCCAGTTTGTCAATTGGCAATCTTTAATTATACTCTTACCGTAAGCTTTGTAGTTTTCAAACAAACAAGCGAAAACCAAATACTTAGATTATAATCAGATTATTTTTCTTAAACTGAATCATAAGGTGCAATTCCCACCATGTTGTTTTCATAGTCAAAAGAAGTAAAGATATTGTTGAAGAAAGTATCTCCAAAATTGAGTTGGTTATTACCATCCAGAGAACCTTGATGAATGAAAGAGGTCCAGCAGGCGCCGTCCTGTTGTGTAGCATAATCATCGACCGACCACTGATATCTTTGACCGTTGAGCTCAAATGCGATGTCAGGAGCATCGCAAGGTATACGACCATCACCCGAATCTCCCAAAAGAGGACTGAGCGAAGATGCAATCTTTGTATCCAGCAAATTTACTGTAGCACCTGTGTCCAACACTGCTTTATATTTACTACCCTTTTCTAAAATGCAAGTCTCATTTCCATTCTTGTCTATGACACAGATACTGGTGACGGTCACACAGAAGCCATCCGGTGTACAGTTGTTGTTATCGTGCCAAGACACGCCCTTTTTTTCTAGATCAGAATGAGTCTCGCCAAGTATCAAGGAGCTATCGTTGGGATTTTTGGTGATATTAAAGGAGGCTGTCGCAGGGGAAATGAGTTTTTTGTCAAAAAGGGCACGAAACGCATTTGTTCCAGATTCAAAAGATCCAGTACCCCTTGACATACCCATGATTCCACTGTCGCCATATGTTTTGTAACTGAACAGACTTGCCGTTGTCGCAGCACCAAAAACCTGATCGGGAATTTCAAGGTCCCCAAATCGGAATGTGTCTGAATACATCTCTGTATCTATAGCACCTGATACATAGCCCATATTATTTGTATTTCCATGATTGTAGGCTGTGGACGATTGTGAAGGATCATACAATTCTGGATTATCCTCGCAGCTAGTCCCAGTGCAATTTTTCATTGGCACCCATAGATCAGTACTGCCTGTATCAAGAAGCACATTGAATGTCTGTGCTGGTGTACCAAGGCCGACTTGCACAGAGTACGCTACACCCCAATGACGTCCTCCCAATGGTCGTCGCATTTCGGAACGCTTTACATTAGTTGCATTACTGAAATTTGTGTCTTCCACCCTGTCGGTGTGATTCGAATGTGGTGAGGTTACTACTCTTTTCAGCGGCAGGGTAATGGGTGAAGAAGCTCTTACCTGATCGGTAGCAACCAGCAATAAGATGAGGGTAGAACAGAATGTAAGAAAGAGCATTCCCAAAAAATTGCTTTTTTCGATGATTATTGAAATCGTATAGGAAAAAGAGCTATATATAGCTGTTTCATTTTGTCCAAATCAAGAATATCAGTTCACTTTTTCTTCGTCGTTACAATGAAGTGGGGTTGTAAATTACGTTTCTCTTTTTTTTTCTTCCTTTTCCTTAAGTATTGATTTTGTAAATAGTGTTTTATCACTCTTACTGATGAAATCTTTCATCCCTCAGTACCGTATTCATTATGGCCTTTTTAGTAGTACACTTAGATCATTCACTTAGGATTTAGAAATGGACAGTTTATTAATGAAATAAGACTGATTCCAAGAGATAATCCGGATTTATCATGAGGTAGAAAGAAAGAAAACGCTTGTCATTGAGTAGTAAAGTGAGAGAAACGGAGCAGTTCACGGATCTAATATTTGTACAGTGAGCGGCCGTCCAATTGATCCAGTTTGGCAACTTTTATTTTTACATCATGAAACGAAGGAGACTTACATGACGAATTTCTAGTCATCTCGATCTTCCCTTTACTTTTAGTTGCTTTCAAGCTTAGCTGCGTTATACATTGCGGTATAACCGCTGGTCCATCATATTGGAGAAAAAGAAGAAGGATAGTCTTAAAAAGAACTTCTCAAGATTCACCAATCGCGAGTCGAACCAGGAGCGAAGATTTAAAAGGCATCCACGTAAACGCTACACAAGCGATGCAAAATAACATTTTCCGACGTTTATAAGAAACGTGTACATTTTCTATAAGAAAGAAATAGGGGTTCAGTCTTTTCTTAAAGTCCTGAAAAGCTTCAAGTTTTAAAGTCATTATTCGATACGTAATAAAGTATACATATGCAGTATTCCTCTTCTCCTGTACGTCACAGAGTATCCTAACCTATTTACGGTTCTTACTGTAGCACTCGTTTGTCTTACAAGAACGACAAAAGGTAAAAGCAGAGGGCTGTTTGGGACTTTCACCCACGACCAACATCACCCAAGTTGGAATCAAACCACTAGATCAAACCGTCAAACTTTTCATATATTTGATAGGTCCTATTCGTGTTGTTTCTATAAACAAGCTAGGTTTTATGCCTGGAAGTATTACTATTATCTGCTGTTGTCGAAACTTTTAGATCTTGTCACATCCGAGCATTTTATGATTTTTTAATACATGATAGTGTTTTAAGTATAATGATGGAAAATAATACTTGTGAGCGTGCACGCACCGAAAACAACAAAGATAGCCTATTGATCTGTCTTAAAAACTAAAGGATATTTCAGTATTCTTTGTCTGTCATTCAAAGTAAACGATTTTTGGATTTTCGACGAGAGGTCCTTTGTTTACTTTTTGTAATAACCGACTCGTTTACATTATCCATTAATAATATTTACGGTGAAAAGCGAAAAGCCGAATAATTGTAACAAGGATGTGACCAGTCAGTGACATAATGTCGCTGCTTTATGAAGTTGAGACATGCGAAAAACCATTACCAAGATTTTTTTTCATACCTATCTTTGGTTTTAGACAGAATTTACTCAAGGTATTGATTTTCTTTAGAAACAAGGAACAATTCCTTTTTTTACAGGTCCCTGAAAAGTGGAACCGATTTCTACAGACTTTTCTTGGTAATTCTAGTTGATTTTGTTTCAGCTATAGATATTGGTGCTCTTTTGGTTTTTGGTTTGCCATTGCAAAAATGAAGAATAAATACAGCCCTGTTTCAGACTCTGACGAGTCTTTTAAAACGCTCATTGATGAGAAATCAGATATACATTCTTCAGAGGTTACGCCTCCTCCGTATTCAGGTAAGATTTACTGAAATAGAAAGGAAGGGTTGGTTTTTTATATGTTTGTTGAAAAAATCTAGGTTAAAAGCAGTTTTGATGAAGAATCATGTTTGTTTGTTTACTTGTTGTGTTTAAGATTAATAAACTTGTTGATTACCATCAGCAGACTTGACAAACGCTCTATCCTTTCTCAAACAACAAGAGCATTCATCACTAATACATTCATTAGCTCCGAACAAATTTATTGATTTAGAAATGGCTGATGGATCTGCTCAGCATTCTGCCCAAGAGTCCACTAACATTACTGGGTCGAATTCGACATATTCAAAGTGGGTTTCAGCGAATATCTCTTTTTTTTGCGTCTCTTGGGTACATTGGGGCTTATTGTATTCTTCTCGTAATGTTCTTTTATTTCAAGGTTCCTGTGAGGGCGCAAGACTTTTGGGGACTTTTTGGCGGATTTATTGGGGCGATATCATTATTTCTCTATTGTAAGTTAGCGCTATGTTTTATTTTTACTAACTATTAGCAATATCTCTAATTCCTAAAGAATGGTTCAAGCAAACTGGTAGAGTGCTGTCCTACTTATTCACGCAAATTTGTAGTGTACTGTCCAACATGTGTGTCGCAGTAATATGTACGGCTTCTCTGAATGCCCCTTGCTATTCCGTGTATTATTTTGTAAAGAAGGTAATAGGATTTGAAAAGATGGACAAAGGGTTTTTCTATTTTGTTTGCATTGTTAACGTTGCCGTGTTTGTTTTATTTTGGAGTATGTCTTACACCTTGCGAAATATTCTAACTGGTTCTAGGTACGGATACGCGACAACTTCGAATCTTCATTGCTGATTTAGGAAATGGCATGGGAAACATGGTGAATGCCATAGGAAACGGCGCAGTTGTCATAGGAAACGGTGCAGATGTCATAGGAAACGGTGCAGATGTCATAGGAAACGGCATAAGAAATGCTGCGAATTATTTTCGTATGTACTGTTGGTATGTACATTACGTAAATGCTTCCTATCATAGAGCAATTATTAACCAAGTCCGACAGATCCAGAAAATGAAGCACCTCGTAACGAGGAAATTGAGCTTCAACCTCTTGCTGAGCAAAGCGCTGAAGTTTGAGTTTTAACGAATCTTCTTCATCCCTCCTATAAATCACATTTTCGTTGGAAGCATTCATATCAATTGCAATCCCTCGAGTTTCTGTATTCTTGTCCACAAAAGTAAGCACAGCTTCATTCGGCAGGTTGGATTGCTTTTCACGTTCATTCTTTTATGTATTTAAGAATTCGTCTCGCAATAGTGTTATTTATGAATCGTTCGTTTTCTTTGTGACGAAAATTTTTGTTAATGCAACCTTTTTAATGATCACTTAGTTGTTATGACGATAATTTTGCAAAATAATCAACCGATTCTAACTCAAAACTGTGCGGTGTAATCACATGTCTTTCATGATTTGTAGGGAACGAGTGATTGCCTTACCGTCAATGTTAAATTTCATTTACAGCATAGCAAGCACAAATCTTTCAACTGAACGATCCGACTTTTGTAGCCTAATGAATCAAATTGTCGTCTACTTAGAGAGTCAAATAAATGAATTGAAACACGAATTATCAGACTACAACTTCCATGCAGCCATGTAAACAGACGCAGATGGAACTGAACAAATTGCATTTTGAAGTAGGATATCCAGGAGAAATACCTTCATTTACACATTGTAAATGTCTACGGCCACACCTAGGCGAAAACACCAGTTCCCGTCCGATCACTGCAGTTAAGCGTCTGAGGGTCTCGTTAGTACTATGGTTGGAGACAACATGGGAATCCGGGATGCTGTAGGCTTTTTCTTCTTGATTTTTTTCCTCTGGTTTTGCTGCTCTTTTTGTCTTGCGTTATGTCAATCGGGATACTCTCACATTCGTAAAATCACCTACCATCGTGAACTAAATAGTTACGCATTTTAAGAATCAATATTAGTAACAATATTAAAAAAGAAAATAACTGTTTGGTTATTTTATGACTTTTAAGTTATTAGCGGTACTCGAGAGATGAACCATCGCATGTCTCCACTGACCTGCACGTTCTTTGGAATTCAGTAAAACTGAAAAAATAGGTCACGAAAAATCAGGGCCGACGTTTTCATCCAATTAATCAAGAAAAATGTCAGATAATCCTGTAGACTTAATACGTTCAACACTAGATGGATTCGAAATTGCACCTGATTTAAAAACCCTGTCTAAAATACAGGACTTGGGAGCACACATTGAAAGAACCAGGGAAGAAAAGATTGATGATTCAAGGAATATCTTAAAAGGTAATTTCAAGTTAAAAAACTGTAAATTTTTTGATCAACTAACGATGTAGCGTTATCGAGAAAACTTGAAATATCATCACAAGTAACTGAAGCATTGAAACAAGCAACCGAATCACCAGAACATGCAGAAGAAATCTTACAAAAAGACAGAGAGAAGTTCCAGCTGGCTAAGCAATTGAACGACACCGAGACAGAAATAATGAACTTGGAATCTCAATTGCAGAGAATGAAGGAACAGATTTTACAATTACAAAAGGAAGAGGAAAAAGAGGAAGATTTCCATCATTATGAGGATGATGCTGCTCTTTTGAGACTACGATTTTATCACTCTTTAGGCTTTGACTTGCAAAGTTTTGATGATATGGAACAGAGAAAAGTAATAGTCTGTAAGTTACTAGTGTAAAAATGTTAGATATCTTCTGAAAAGAAGATTCAATCTGTTCAACAGAAAGTACTAACGCGAATTTAGATACAAAAAACGATTTACGAACGGTGCAAATAAGCAACAAGTATACGCCTTTCTTTTATTCAAATTATTTATGGGATTTAATGAATGACGATGAGGGGAATGATTAATATAAGTTTATTGTATGATCTGTTTTGATTTCTTTATCCGTTGCTCCACAAACCGTACTGCAGTTATGAGCATCGCTGGTTTAATATCATATAGCTTTGCTACCACGGAAACCACACGAGAAGATATACTATCTGGGTCAGGTCGAGGTAAAAACATGGGCAAATATGGTTCATCTTTTAAAAGGATTGACCTAAGATTCGCTTCATTGGTTTTCACGAGCTTAAACGAACGAGCTGTATTGATTAAGTGATCGAAGTCCACATTGAAACTATCGGAGTTTTCTGCTTGATTAGCAGTGTCGGTCCGTTTTGAGGGAATTGAAAATAAATCAAGCATTCCCTGTGGAAGCTGATTTGGGTTGCCGTCATCAAGAAATTGCCTTAAATACCAATCTATGTAACCATCGATTTCTCTATCATCTAGATACTGTATTGAATATTCGTCCATTTCCATAAATGACTCTCGCTTGGTTTTTCGAAGACTCAAAACAGATTTCATCCACTTTTCCCAATCAGGAATTATCATGCTGTCTTCAGACTCACTAGACAAGCCTGATGTTGGTCTGTCAAATCCATATGAAATGTTTGCTGAAACCAATAGTGCTGCGAGAATCATTAACTCTGGACTTGTGGAAGTTTCTGAAGTAAATTCTGAATGAACATTAGTGCTGAATGAAGCTTCTGCTTGTCTGTGTGCTTCTCCTAAAGACATGGGAAGATTTAACGAGTTGATTAGTTGGATGACTGGAAGAAATAATTCTACGGGAAAAACAAAGAACTTGATAGTATCTAATAATATCAGAGATACGTTAATTGGAGGAAGTTGTATGCTATACCTTGGAATGAGTATTTGAAGAATAGTTGAAACGGCTCCCTGCAGACGATGGGTGGAAGGATAGTGGTATGGAACCAGCATACGAACGTAGTTAATAGGAAGTCGTTTTATGATTTGTGGCGGAATAACTTTAAAAGCTTTATAGTAAGGCAATAAGTCTGCACGAATCCACATTCGGATTTGATGAAGTGTAACGGGAAGGCGTAGCAAGAGACAAGAGATATAGATAAAGGCTTGAGAATATAGTAATTTCGGATATGATAAGTTTTGGTCTCTGTGAATATTTTTGCTTGCTTCTGACGTATTTGAAGTTTGAGTGTCTGGATCTTCCATATCCAAATCTGAGTCTGAGACCTCAAGAAGCGATAAGTCCTTATTCAAGGATGCATAACTAGAAGAAAATGATTCATATGCAAATGATAGATATAGTCCCCATAAATCACGGACTAATCCCTCGATAGTCGGAGGGAATTTCAAGTCAGAGACTAAAGCACTACATTGAGTTTGCAGAATCGTTTGGTAAACCTGAAAATACAAATCGCGACCAGCAGCTCCGTACAGAGGCTCCTCAGAATCAGCTGTATCGAATTGTTTACGAACAACCTTACGTTTTCTCGTTTGGAAGAAAGCACCTGAACCAGGTTCATCATCCTGTGCTATTTCCATTCCCTAATTTATAAGTATTTCTTCAAACTACCGTTGGACTTACATGTTGAATGTGACCTCGCCTGCAGACTGTTTGACCTTCATTCTTGAAATACCAAATGCATTTACAGTTTCGAATCGGGCAAGGGGGACCTTGAAACCAGTTACCATCCATTGTCCCAAGTCATGAAATTAAAAAAATATGTTACAATAGGTGAACAATTTTTCTTGAAATAATATCTTTTACTTCAATAAAATATCTTAGTAGAAATCATTCGAGACGCCTAAAAGAATCAAAAAAGCGAAAAATCCGGGTTGACTTATGATCAACAAGAATTATTGTTGGATAAAATTATATTAAAGCTTATTATTCCAAGCATAAGCTTGAAATATATTAAACAAAAAAGAAAAAAGCAAAGATAAGAAAAGAAAAGAAAGGGACGCTACGGCAGGAGATAATATCCAGTTAGTTCTTTTCCTGTAGGTTTTTCAAGTTCAGTAAGCCGATAAAATAGCAATAAAGGCAACTGTAACCGAAGCAGTCTGGTTTTGAGTTGGTTCGCTCTTACAACAAGATCGGATGTCCTTGTACTTCAAAATAAATGGAAATTTAGATACAGAAACTAAATCCATTACACAAGTAATGGATTAAGATGGATTAAGATTATGGAAAAGAATTAACAGGTTTTCGGAGCTTTCACGTTTACTATTATAGTAGTGACCACGTGAATTACAGAGTTGACTGGGGAACTAAACACACAGCCAACCAAACGATTTATCTACAGCTCGGGCTATTCTGTATAATACTAGACTCTACATGCTGTTTACGCTGTAATTACATAGCTTACGAGAACATAAAACGTTGCAAAACCTTTTTTAGATGTTTATACAATCTAAAAGTAAGAAATAACCTTTCCCAATCTAAGAAGAACCGCTAGGAGCTTCACGAACGGTGAGAGGAATTTCTTCACCCATGGCAGAAACGACAGAGACAATCAAGTCCTTGCCTTCCTCGAAACCTTCTTCAATTTGTTGACCAATTTCACCTTCGGGAATACGAACGTCGTCCTTAGTGCTACCATCGGAAGTCATGAGAGACAAGAAACCGTCATCAATGTCAACCAATTGGTAGTCATCACGCTTAACGACAGGAACTTCCATATTGTGGGTGGAAGGAGACACATCTTCGTACTTACGGCCAGTGAAAATGTCAATGGCGACAATGTTAACCTTGGCGTGACCGTGCTTACCGGTCTTGGAGGTAGACATTTCCACAATCTTGCAAGGACGGCCCTTGATGACAACGTGGCCGTTCTTACGCAAAGAAGAGCATTGGGTAGGGAAAGTCAAAGAGGCACCGGCCTCACCACCTTCAAAGTCGATCTGGTGTTCTTCTTCTGCCATTGTTAATTCGTGGTCTCTGTCAGTTGCCAAGTTACTGTTGTTGGTACTTGTTTTCCGTGACTATTTTTAGCCCTACCCTATGAAACCCTACCCCATCTTTAATGTGCGAAGAAAGCTTTGGAGTAAGAAATGTTGAGTTGCGTAAAGAGAAAATTGTGGATTACAATGTTGTTATGTCAAGGGTACATGTTAGATTGTGGAGTAACTTGCTTTCTACTTGTGCAGAGGTGAAGTCCGTCAACATAAATTCTTAAGGGAATGAATTCGGAACATTCAATTCATTTATTTGAGTAAATAAAGGATTATGCCACAGAATAATTGGGAGGAAGATGCTTTAACGAATGCCATCCAATTTGATGCATTAGAGAAAGTGCTACAGAAAGTTGTCGGTTCCCTTGAGAATTTCCAGGTAAACTTGGATGTCGCGACAGCAGATATTAATAAAGTAAGTCAGCGGTCGAGTGACATTCATGTTCGTCTGAATAATATGAAGAAGGTAGAGTCTGCTATGGGGGCCGAAATTGATACCGGTATTTTACCTCCTACATTAATAAAAACAATATGCACTGGCGATATGGATCATCCCAGTTGGGCAACCGCGTTGGAACAACTGGAGATTTACATTGGAGATGAAAAGAGCGTTGTCAATAACGAGAAGCTGATGCTTCTGTCTCAAGAGAGTAGTGGAGAACAGATGGAATTGTGTCAAAAGCTATGTTACAAAGCCATTGAGAGGATTCGAAATTACATTGTTGTTACGATTAAATTGTTTCGCCATGGTCTTGTTGATGTTGCTTCTATGAGGAAGCATCGTTTAATCGCTAAGAAAAGTTATTACTCGTTTCTCTCAAAGCATAATCCACAATTATCACTTGAGCTGCGGAAGGCTTATATAAACACCATGAGCTGGTATTACCACTATCATTTTTACCACTATTCTCTACTTTTATCCCGAGTCAACATTCATAAGGGTGAGCTAATTCGTCCCGAGGAAGATAGAAAAGGTTTTTTTATGCTTGGAAAAGGTTCAACACAGATCCAGTCAAGTCGGATGTTTTCACTTGACTTACGTTCCCAGAACTTTGATATTAATTCCGTCCTCATGGCTTCGACACTAAACCATATAGAATCGTCGCCTCAGTTTTTGGAACGTGTATACTTTTCATGGGAACTTGTGTTTACAGAACACGCAAGCGCCGAATATTCCTTCCTTGTGGAGTATTTTGAACTTTCTATGGATGAACAAAAAACTATATTTCAAACAATATTTGATGACACTTTACAGTTGTCTCAACAATATGTTTCAGACCTAATAAGTACAAGTCTTGATAGCATTTCGATTCTCAAGTGTATTAGATTTACTCAGGATCTTATTTTACAATCACAAAAAAATTTGGTTCCTGTTATAGAGCCTCACTATACGGCCATGATCATATTACTTTGGCCCCGTTTACAAACAATCATGGATTTACATTCTGAGTCATTGCAAAAGTGCCCTCTTCCTTCGAAACCCGACGACCTCGCCTCTACTCCTCATCCATTAACTCAAAGAGTTTCCGAATTACTGTACAGTCTCGCAACACTTAGCGCTAATTCTTTGGAAGCCGAACCTTTGACTCACAGTGTTTCTCGATTATCTCATGACTTTACTGCTTTACTTTATAGATTTTGTGAGGGCATGTCCGACAAACGGAAAAGGAATCGTTTTCTGTCAAACAACTTCACTCTCATTTCTACAGTTTTAAGTGGTGCCCATGGAAAACTGGCTTCTGACCAAAAACTATACTTCGAAGAACTTAATGACAAAGTAAACGACTAATGACAATATCCAATATCAAAGTATTAATAAAACGTATCTTCATTATTAGTATTATCGCCTGGAATATTCTTTAGCTAGTTATATATATATTTATATTTATGTGAAATTAGAATGCTTCCTGCTAACCTTGTATCAAGTGCCACAATATAAAAACTATTAAAGACTTTAAGCTTGATGCTCCTTCACAACCCTTAGGAACCCTGCAACACGGCCCATATCTACTTCTCCTTGTTGACCATCACTCTCTACTGCTTGCAATAAACTTTCAAGTAAAGAGTCAACCTTGGTCTCCTCAACACCTGTACATAAGGATACTACTCGACGGCATTTTGATTTGATATTAGCATTGCGACGGTGAAGAGTTTCAGCAAGAGCGTTAAGTCGAGCTTCGTTTCGTTCATAAGCAGCGATGCGAATCTTTAATTCAGTAACAGACGGTGTATTTTTAGAGTTCACCACGAAAGGCGCATCCGCATCAACAGTTTCAGTTAAACTGACTGAACTGAAGTTTTTGTCTAAAGCCAGCAACTCATTTTTCTGTTCATCAATTGATAGCTCTAAGTTCTTGCATCTCTGCTTCAACTCTGATAGCATAAGAGTATGAGTTTCTGACCGTCGCAATTGCTCTCGAAATTCTGCTAGCTTTCTTGTAGATTCTCTCAATTGGGCGTATGTGTTATCAATCATGGATTGCTTCGCAGCCATTTCATCTTGAAAATCTTTATCTAACGAAGTAATAACATCCGTGACCGAGGTAATAATATCTTTGCTTTTTTGCTGAGCGGGCATCACAAATTTTTCTTTTTCTATATTAGTGTTGGAAACATTGACAGTTTCCTTAATATCCTTTGCCTCATCATCACCAAAAATTCCAAAATCATAAACTGTTAAGCCTGCCCGATTAGGTATGCTTTTGGAAGCCCCTGCTTGTAGCAAAATATCCACAACAGTTTTATTTCCGATACGAGCTGCTATGTTAACAGCCGTATCACCATTTTTGTCTTGGTAATTTAAATATTTTTTAATGAATTCTTCTATTGTAAAGCCATTGCTTGGAGTGGCATGAGCGTCAGCCCATCTCAAAAGGGTCTCCAAATAGTATCTGGCTGCAGAGCCCCTTCCTTTGATTCCCGCCGTTAGACATATATGATGAACCACTGTACGACCTGCGTGATCGATGCAGTTTAGGGAAGGATAGAGCAGATCAAGCAACTCATGAAAAGACGACTGGTTTAAATGGTTAGTGACCATAACAGATCTCATTAAAGCGGTTTCTCCTGTTAAATTTCCACGTAGTGAATTCGCTTTCCTACTAATTAAGACATTTAACAGTGGCATCTTCGCGAGGGCAGCTGCCCAGTGTAGAGCAGCATGTCCTAGTTCGTCAATAGGAACGTCTAAATCCAAAAGATCTGTCAATTTGGATTCAACAAACTTAATGTCCGAGTTATTTAAGTCTAAGAATATTGAGGTTAAAACATCCTTAGAGGTATTATAGTCGTGCATAACATTCTGATCAAGGGGCGGTAGACTAGCGGTCAGTGTGGAAAATGATATCGGAAATTCAAGCTTTTCCTTTTTGAGATGAACTTCCTGTTGGGTAGATGGGAGGTATGCAGAAGGGAATGATGCAGGATACGAATAGCCAGGTGAATGCAGCTTGTGTCGCTTGATGCTGTTTTCAGGAGTGGTGATAGAAGAAGAGTCCAAAAGGTACATATTTGAGCGTTTTCCAGCTTTCTGTTCTTGTTTATTCATAAATGAAGGTGACGATATGTTTCCAGCATTATTAGAGGGTTTCCCAACCTTCGATAGATTATTATGGTTATGATTCCGTAAAGGTAACCTGTTTGAAAGATATGCTTCTTGAGGGTCCTTATCAGGATGTTCTGGGCTTTTTGACAATTTTGGAAATAAATCCAAGTTAAATGAAATTAAAGACTGTAGCATCTCGTAAACACCATATTTTTTCGCTGTTGAGACAGCTTTTCCAAAAGGAACCCAAACACCGTCAACATGAGGGTCTTTGATGTCGACGTTTTCGTATTCACCGTTCTCGATTATTTCATCCAATTCCGCTGCATTCTCAAGACTACTTGTTCCGGCAAGACGAAGAATTTGAGATATATTAAAGTGTGAATCAGAACACCGACGGAGAGCAACGTGTTCACCATATTGCAATTCGATATACCGAACACCAGACAATTCAATAGCGTTTAGCTCAACTACCTTTCCATCTCGTAAAACTTGAGAATTTATAGAAATCCTCAAATTCGGATTGTCGTTGTATGTATTTTTTGTTTCTTCTTTTGGCGTTCCGAAATGTTCATGGTTTCTTTCATATGAAAAAGAATCATTTCCTAGCTCGAATTGAGAGACGAAATTTGCAGATGTCATGATATATATACCACGAGACTTAAAATCTAAAGCGAGAATCGTGTTATTCTCTCGGAGTTTCCTTCGTACAACACGCTCATCCAACTTCCAAAAGACTCTAGTGTAACTCCTTGAGAAAATATAAAAGACGGTTCCACCTTTTTCCAAAAGTCTTCGTTTGGTTGTTATTAAGGGTTAAATCCTTTTATAATAAGTCTGAAGTGAAGGAAGTTTGGGTGAAGTGTTTGTTGTTTAGTTGTACCCTCTAGCTACTACGAACAACCGTGTTCGTTTTAACGATATATCCTTCATAGCATCTCGAAATCCAATTAAATATTTTCACTTTCCTCTTTTTTTTCAATAAACCTCATCATAAAATGTTTTTTTTAAGAGGTTTCTTCCTATAAGACATTTGCTACAAGTAATGAATTTTGAAAAATTTTCACTTGACTTTTAAGGAACCGATTCAATTATTTTCGGACATGTATATGTAAGGTTCATCTCTGATATCAATGATCTATTAGCTTATCCTTTTAAATTAAAGATAAACACGGTTTTTAAAGCCATTCCAAATGTTTACTAAATCGTAAACAAAGCGTTTAAGAGAGTATGTGACATCATCTTCGCGACGCGTTTGATGTTTGTTTACAATATGCATTAGGTGATATCTAAACAAAATATTCGAATATTGATGTTGTATATTATTTAGCTAATCGATCTAAACAAAAAAAAAATCTCAAAATTCGTATTATTTAAGGTAAACAACTTGAAACTTGCAAGACATATGTTTTACATTTGATGTCGTTGGGGAATGCTTAGTAGCATTTTGAGTTGTGCGATCTTCGCTCAAAGTCCTTAAGGAAGCGGATTTGAAGTCATTGTGATATCCTCGTATGCATGAACTATGAGACAATACTTTTTTGAAATATCTTCAAAGGATAGTTTGCACTATAAATAGATGAGCACCCATTTCTATTTCAGAGAATGCATGAGATTATATTGGTATTGTTGCACTATACCTGGATCGCCTCAGGTTATGCTTGAAGAGGAGGACTTCAGTAAATATATAACAAGTCTAGTGGACGTAGTGGACGGCACTGGTCACATCCATTCAGTGATAATTGACATTGCCTATATATGCTGAGAAGGAAGGTTACCTTTGTATCTCCACATATGTTAAACTGATCATACTTTTAGAAATTCATATCGTGGATATATAGGCTGGCAGATGCCTAGTAGTTCTAGTTCGCAAGGTACTTACTCATAAAACCTTTTTATTTAGGCTGTATAAACAGATTGCAGGAAAATTTTTGTAAGAAAATTCTAGTAATGATAGGAACGAAATCATGACTGAAAGAGTTGTTTCAACATGCTGAAGACCCAACAATTTTAAAGAGAAACTATTGACCTTTTTCGATGCGGGAAGAGAATAAATAAAGAAGGGACTGCTTAAAAAAGGAGGATCGTTTGATGGAAAGATCTTTATGAAACGAATAGAAATTCTAATGGATCAATCTTGGATATTTCATGAATGCAAGGATCACGATTTTTTTGGCGTTCATTCAAAGGAATCTGGACGTTGTGGAAGAAGAAACCGTCCGCAGGTGGAATTATGAAGCTTCATTCATTTAAATCAGGCACCCTGGTCGCTGGGATAACCAAGAACGGTGGGACAGTTCAAAAGGACGGTACTGTGATTTCGTGTTTTGTTATAGTGGTTTGGTTTTGTAATAAACTACTATCTATCCGTTACGTTCCAACCCCACTTAAAATCTGATCTGTACATTTCTCTTTTCTGCCTTCCACCAACAAAGAAATAGGAGACCTAGAATTTTTAAAATGGGTCTTGTTTCCTGTAAGAGTTGGCTATTATGGCTGATTTCAGTCTACTGCATCTTGCAAGTCAGTAGTGCTCATTTTCCTTATGATCTTGACTATCAGCATCGGATCAGTTTAGATTGTGAAAGTGTTAAAGTCAATTCAAACAATACTCATGCTTACTTTTCCTTTGATTCATTTGACAAGAATAACGCTGGACAAGCTGCTGTAACTTATTTTAATGCAAAGGATTGGGAATGTGCTTTAGGTTCCTTAGGAATTATGTGGCCTCACTCTGCATTTTCCTCTTCATTTAATGCAGGCAGATTTATAATGTCGGCTTATATTCCTCAGGAGAAGCGACATGAATTGACTGGATCATTTGTCTGCAACAAAACTTCGGTAACAAACGATGTAATATCATTCAACGAAACTTCTTACAAGGATAATTCTTTGAAGATAAATGACTCGGGTGTTTATTGTTTCGTTATGAGACCTTTGACAAGCTTGGGTTATAATATTGGTTCTTATGTTTACTATAGCGATTATAATTATACTGATTTTACCGGGCGTGAATCGTCTTTCTTAAGTGATCTAGATTTCACTCCATTAATTTTTACAGCTCTCTTATTTCTCCCAGCTTGTATTTGGATCTACTTACTCCGTTCCCAACCGGCGAAAGTATTGCCTATTCAGTACGGGTTATTAGTATATATTGTTGCTATAGCAATTGGAATCACTGTTGATGTTTGTGATGAGGAGCTCTACAATGGAATCAATTACCCGATTGAGCTCTTTATTCGTTGTCTACTACTTTTCCTTGCCTCTTTTGGTATTGGGGTTTGGCGACCGGTCCAGTTCGTTCAATCCAAATTCCTGTTTATGGCTATTGGTGGGTTCTCTATTTTACTTTTCTTCAACATTTTCAGTACAGTGATTGGTTTCATTCCTCTCCTAGTATTTAGTCAATGGCTTAATGGCTCCGTTTCCAACGTTATCTGCTTGGCTTCAATATTTGTACTTTATAAGGAACGGAATCAAGTAGATTTTAAATCTGAATGCTCGGCAAAGGTTTGTAAACGTTCTCTGACTTATTGCATCGTTGTTTTTGCTCTTCGTCCCATGTTTATATCGACAAGCTACTATAACACTTACTATCTACGTCAATATGGCTTTGTGTATTGGCTCCTTCGCTATATCGTTGAAATCATCATTCCTTGTTACATTTGGTATCCTTCCCAAAATGAGCAACTTGTGTACACAACAAGCATTGAAATTTAAGTCTTTCTTAACTATTATCTATATGCCTACAATTGTCCAATTTTTTTTGCTAAATTCCAAACATAAACTAATATCGTCACATTTTATTAGAATCCTTTTATCCAGAATAATATAATAATATAGTATTGCTTCATGAATCAACAGTAACGAACAAAAAGACAAAAAGAATATACACTGGCATAACTAGTGTATCTTTATTTTTATGTAAATGATTTGAAATCCTTGAGATAATCACAAACCAAAAATTACCAGTCTTTTGATAGCATCCTACAAACCTCCACAAACAATATACTCCGCCGTAAACATGATTTCTTCGAAAAGTATGTGTAGGATGTACCGAAAGTTGTGTGAGCCGTGGGACATCCTTCTTCATTTATGCTGATACCCTTAATGGATGATGAATCCTGAAATCGTCAGTCAATCCATGCCTGAAAGCAGAATAGATAAGCAGAAAGCAATCTTTAGTTCATAAAAAGAGTACCGTTTTTCAAAGTCAACCTCTGCCGATTAGTTCCGACGTTCTGAAACGCCGCCTAACGTCTAATAAATAAATCAAGTCTCACGCACGAAACAAAAATTAAATAATATTGAGCCAACTGAAAGAACCGTGAGCTTTCGACTAATCGAAATCAGTTTTTATAACTAAAGCATCTTTTCTCATGTCATCGTTACCGATGCGTCTCATTCGGGAAAATGGAAAAACAACAGCTATGATTTTTGCAGTTATTAAGCCAGTCGAAACTGGTCCAAATTTATTACTGTCGCTACAAAATTCACAGTTAGTAATATCCTTTAGTATCTTGCTTACATAGAATGAAACTGTTCATCACCTTCCACCCAAACATGCCCTTCCGGAATTGGTACGAATCTCGTACTTTTCGGGGGACGTGTTTTTACTAAATCATCTTCAACTGCAAGTATACGCTTAACAAGAAGCTTTTGAGGATCCTCTGGTGATCTAAAATAATGTTAGTACCCTAGAAGATATACATTTCACTCACCTTAATATAACAACATCCCCCCTTTCAAAACTTTTGTTCCATTTCCAGACAAGAACCTTGTCACGCTTTAAGAAATTTGTTTCCGGATTTAGTGTCGGTTTCATAGATCTGCCATCAATGCTTCCAATACTGAATATGTGTTGTTCAATGAATAAAAAAGCTGGTATCCATAGTGAAATTCCAAGAAAATTCCTTGCGAAGGTTAAAATAAATTGTTTTTTATTGGGCTGGAACTTCGGCATTGTTTGTTCCTATAGTAGCTAGTTTGAGTAATTTTCAACCTACAGAATCTATTATGGTTTACTCAAGTTGGAACCAATTTTTATTTTGAATGTATCTTGAAATGCGATTGCATTAAAAATGATGCTAAAATTGGGCTGGAGTATAAAAGGGAATAGTTGCTGGTATGCAGCGGTTACCTTCCATCGTGTAGGATAATTGAATAATTTGCTACACCTCATATCGCGCATTTGATGTTCAAAGTTAACAAATTAGTCTATTATACAAAACCTTTTAAAATTACCACTTTATTAACATAACCTCAAAAATTTAAACCCATTCATATACGCGTTTCTAAAGATTAATTTCTAACTCAAAAACGTCGTCCAACCAAGCTTTCAGCTACAAGGTTTAATTAGTAACGTTTCACACTCATAAACATAATATTGGAGACGTACCTCTGAGTAAGTAACTGACGCGCAGTCTAGTTCGTCCCTTGAAATTAACGCTACAGATTGACCGATTCCTGCGTCCAACTATTAAAACGTTAGATACCAAACGAAATTTAACAAATCCTGTATCTTACTTTTCCTAGTGTAGTCAAAACTTGACATAGATCAATAAGAGGGCATTGTTCTTCATCAACTTGATGAAATAAATAGTCACGCAGTAAATGTAACAAGTAGATTTTTCGATCTCGAAAGCCAGGCAATACCGCTGGTCTGTCATTGCAATCGGTGATATACATAAGCTTATATAGTATTTGAAAAAACCGTTTATGCTGTATGGTCTGTGCAAGTCGCCTTTCCATTGCGGCGTTTTCTAGGAAGGAAGCATCCATTACAGGAAGAAAATGAGCGGCATAATCTCTAAAAAAGCTGTCAATGTCTTTTTTCACAGGTTCTTCAGAGATAAAAAACAAGACTGCTTTGTAAAAATCACGCGAATAGGAATGATTGATATGTCTAGCAGCTTTAGACATGTCATCGTCCAAGCTTCCCGTAGCCAATTTAGCTATAATACGCCCAAAATCTTTTAAATCTTGTTGTTGTCGATTTTCGAGAGGAGGTTTAACCGGTACCGCCAACTCATAATCAGCACAACTATTAATTCGGATTCTATTCGCTTAGTATGTGCAAATAAAATGAAAACTTGCATACCTCTTTTCGCGGTTTACGAGTATTCTTGAAGGAGTCAAATGGTTACAAGCCAAACCATTTTTGTGTAAATGAGAAATAGCAATAGCCATTTGAAACATGTAATTCCATAGTTCTTTTTCATTTGGCATTATACGCTCAGTTTGAGATTTGTCAACTGCAGAGATACCGTCAAAGTACATTTCGGTTAAAGTAGAGCATCGTGGATGATAATCATACACAAGTATTAAAGCTATTAGTTAGCTCCATAGATAAAGTAAGTCTTACATTGATCATTAAAAGTATCGGAATTAAAGCCACTGTAAAAGGTGACAATATTTGGATGAAATATGCGCTGCAAACATTTAACTGTATTAGAATCCACAGGATTCGGACAGTCTATGTATTTAGTCAGTATGAAACATAATCAAAAGATCAATAACAATCATACCTTGTAACCTTCTTAAAACGTATGTGTTTTTATCAATCGTACATGTCGCTTGATATGTCCATACATTGAAGCCCAAGTCTTCCTTATAACGGTAAAGTTTTTTGTTTAAAGGTGATAAAGACGTGTAGTCTGAAACAACAGAGGGTAGTGCTTGCCAAAGTTAGCACCTCTCAGGAGTATATACATACCATGCAATGTCTGACGGGAGGCTTCACTATTCCGCTCAATTTCTTCTCTGATGTTATCTTCTATAAATAGATCATTTACATTTCTGTCGTAAGGGCGAAGAGTAGGTAGGGTAGACGGTTGAGGATTGTAAAGATGGTAACGTGTCTTAAGATATTCAGTTAGTATAACATTTCGTCACACCATCAACACTCACTAATTTAAACTGGTTTTGTTGAGTATAATAAGCATCATTCGAAAACATCCCATCTGCTCCAAGTATTCCTGGGTTTGCATATGGATTTATAGTCTGTTATTGTTAGAACGAAAAAAAAAATTTTTTTTTACATTTTTAGAAGAAGAGATAGCTAATGGGGTTCGGTCTCGAGAAAGAAACATAGGAGGTTCTTGGGTTTTAGGGACGAATACAGCAGCACTAGCAGCTTTAGCGGAAAGCGTTGACTTAGGTTGAAAAGATGCAGAAGCAGCATTTAGTTTTTTTCTAATCATTACATGTTAGTCTGGTCGCGAATTAGAGCTGACTAACTTACCTAGAAATAGACGGCTCCGGTGTACTGTTTTGGGGTAATAGCGGCTGAAAACGCGTAAGTTCATGTAAAACATAGGATCAAATATGACGATATCAAAAGGAACATACATTGTCATGACGGAACATACAACCACTTTCAGAATATCTACAACTTCCATAAAGCAGTATATTTCTGCATAAACTGCGCTTTGTCCGTAACGAAGCATCTACTGCTGTTAAAAACAAAATCCACTGTTTCATAATAGATGCGTACCTTTTGATTCACCTGCGAACGGATATTTAGGTGATGTTTGAATATTTTCTCCTACTTTTGGAGATCCATTTGAAGAATGAGGATCGTCCATTCCTGCCATAAAAAGGGAATTGTTATGTTTATTGTTTCGTGTTCCAGGCAGCTTCTATAAGCTTCAATAGTAGAAAATGACGCGTTTACAGAGATACGGTACAGTTCCGTAAATAAACAACAAAGTTATATTTCATGTAGTTTAGGAATCTGATTATCGTTGGAAATTGAAATTAGAATTAACGAAATAGTCTCTTCATTTTTAATAAATAAAATGACAATATGTAACTCAGTACCAATTCGGGATGGTTCGTGGCATTAAAGCTATATAAGGACCTGAGAGAAGTACCCCTTTCTCAAAAAGACGTATAACTTAGAGAATTAAAAATATTAGCAATTAAAGCCATTGATTGGTGAGGTTTTCGTGAAAAAATACGTGAAAACACCTATATTTCATTGAACACATATCTATATAGAAAAGGTATTTACTACTGTACTATGCAAAGGTTCGCTAGTAAACAGAAAAAGCCCAATGCAGCAAAAAAATATGTTTTTGGCTTTTCTAGTTTCTGGAGTCATATAATAATCCCAGTAAGCTACATTTAAACATGTACAATGTAGAATATTGATAGAAAAATTCACTTGCATCTCTTCATCAGTTTGCCGGAGTTCAAAGATAAATTATATGCAGGCTAATGACTACTTGCAAATCTCTTGAAATGAAAAGGGCTAAATCTTTTGAATTTCGTTACAAAAATTTGATTAACTTTGTACGTAGCACGTCGCAGTCTTAGATATTCTTTTGCTTTGAATTTTGAACTATAGTAATAAATAAGTTTTATTTATTTATTTTTTTAAGCATTGTTTTCTTTTGTAATTTCTCTTACTAGGTTTCACGATGAGTACTTTGTCAGTTCTTTAGAACGACTCACTATTTTTGTTTACGCCTAGGGACACCCACTTTCGAAGTTAACTTCCAACGTTTCCCCATATATAAATTGTTTAGTTAGTTATTAAAAGCGAATCTGGTTAACCATAAACTGTGTAAACCTGAAAAAAATCACCACATTTTCTAATGGTATTGTGCTTCTCTTAAAGTACGAGCCCATAAACTTATCATAATTTCTCCTACTGTGCGTTACCTTTCCTTTTTAAAGTGAATAGTTAAGAACTTGAAAGTGAACCTTTTAGGAAATGGGTTCTCTTGGGTCAGGCCCCTGGTTCACCAGGGAACTTGAGCATTCTCACAGACTGACTAGTGAGAAAACGAGGGAGTTTTCTTTCTTGGTTTCAGAAACTATGGATTGGCTTAATGAACACATGTTAGAAGTTTCGAAATTACGCTTAGAAGGGTACGTTCTAATATCATCAGCACATGTCTTTTATTAACTTGTGGATACAGAGACCTCTATACATTGGCTAAAACTCCCAATAAAATTAAAGAAAAGTATACTACTCCGAGGCTAAGTCCAGTTCGACGATGCGAGCTTCCAACGCCGAGAATGCAGTTATCGTCAATACAACAACAATTAGAAGAAGCTGCAGAAACAAAGGTCAAAGGAGAGTCTAGTTACCATCCAGAGGAAGAGAATGGACAATCTAATAATATACCAGAAGGTCCCCATCCTGAGTCAAAAACATCTGAAACTTATGAGAAAAGCGACCATATTTCTACCTTACCAAAATTACCCTCACTTATCCTTGATGCGAAGCCAGCGGATCTAGACCCTGAACATAAGGATACTGAAATGGATAAGGAAGCCAAAGGAAATGAATCAAAGCAAGTTCCTTCACCTTCAACTGCTCAGCAATTTACTGAATGGGATATCCCGCTTCGTGAACCTTCCCCATCTCCTACGAAGTCTACTGCTAGTTCAAATAAACCATTGCAAAATAGGCATCCTGCTTATTCTTTCGTTCATTTACCAAAACGAGAAGATATATTAAAACGCCCTGCCTCTCTCCAAAATAGAGCTGATTCAACCAATTCTTTTCTACATCAGCTAAATCGGCGATTAACAAAAGAGAACTCAACAGCCACGACTAATCCAGAGACGGAATTCACAAATACAAATAATCAGGTACCTCCAAAATCAAGTTCTTCTCTCGCTAGCCCTTCTAGACTAAAACGGTTCCTATCCTCTATTACTTTCGGGAACAAGGACGACTTAAATAAACAAGGAAATGAGCATTTTATAAATAATCAAACATCGTTGCCTAAACAAAACCCTCATAAGCGTTCCTCAGAAGTTGTTGCTACAGAAGATAATGCCCCTAAAAATACAACTAAGCAAAGGAAAACTTCTCCTGAGATGTCTTCTTCCAAAGAATTTATTATTGATAAGCAATTCTCTAAAAGCGTTGGTGTTCCTTCAAGATCGGAACAATCTGCAAGTGCTTTAGCCCATGATCATCCGTATCATGACGAACAGAAGATTGACAAACAAGCTGGAGACTATGTATCATTAACAGAAGATGAAGAAAGCCCCTTAAAAACTAAATCAAAATCTACACCAATGTTTGAGAGGGCTGAGAAACTTCGTCAACAAATTCAAGGTTTAGCCGGAAAACGGACAGAGGAACCTTCAACCCCTCCCGGAATGAGAAGACCTGTTAGTGTTGTTCTTGATGCTGCTAGGAACTCAGCTGCGAAAGATTTGCAACTTGCAAAACTAAAACTAGGAGGAACAATTCATGATTCGCCAAAAAATCCCAAAAAATCCCATGTTAAATCCGAAGTTCCAAAGATACCTTCTATAGCTCCATTTACAAAGCTATCAACTAAAAACTCTATGTCTCAACAGAAAGGTTCATTAATATCGTCCCATTCTAACCCAGATAAAGATACCCATGAGAATGCAGTGGAAGCACGCGACGAATTAAATAATGACTCTCATCCTAAGACACTAGAGAAATCATTTGACAATGCAAAAGAAACTCGTAAATTAACTGAAGCCGGATATTTGTCCACTCATAATCAACGACCTATGGCCATTCGTGTTGCTACAGCTTCTCAACGTGAATTGGAACAAACTGAAAGAAGAAAAGCTAAAGCTAAATTATCGTCATCTTTAATGCAAATGCAATCCGAACATAATAATACTGATAAAGATTTACTGGGAACCTCATCGTCTCTAAACACTAATTCTGATAATAATCGACGATTTATACCAATGCGTCAAATAAAGACTTCGAGTGTTACGAAACCTGAAAATCAATCAGAAGATCAGATTGAAACAAGAAAATCATTAGAAACGAATGTTAAAGATGAGTCCGTTCAGTCACAAGCACTACATAATGGTGATAAACCAGACAGACTGGGATCTAAACGTTTAGTGACAAGCACGGCAGGATCGAATTGGAATAATGCAATGATCAAAAGACAGGAAGAATCAAGACGACGTAAACTTATAGCAGAAGCAGCATCTTCTAAGTCTAAACCCGGGCTGACAAGAGTTATGTCAAAATCTGCGCTACGTCCGACTCGTGAATTAGTGGAAGATAAGTCTTTGGCTTTACATTACTCTCGTACCAAAAAAGTCGAAGGTGATACGGTCACGTCTGTACCAATTTCAGCCAGTAATCATAAGCTGAATGGTGAACTGCATGCTAATGATGATACTAAGGGATCACAATTTCAGCCATCTTTGTTAAACAAAGCTAACTTGAAGCCTCAGACCTTTAAGTCTTTGCGTCAAAATTTCCCTCCACCCACAAAACCTAGCACCGTGAAAGAAAAAGTTTCTATAACTACTACAACTTCTCTGGGCAATAAGAAGCCCATGAATTCTTCTTATGTTGATCCTCCAACTGACAGGAAATTATCTGGTTCTCAAAAACTGCAAAAGTCACCATTGCTCAAAACTCCCAAAACTAGCCAGCCTACCAATTATGGTTCGTATTCTCCCAATGGATCTTATGAACTACCTGATATTGATAGTGATTATTTAGATGAAAGTGATGATGAAGAAAGAAAGAAAAAGATAAACTTACCATCGTGGGCAGAATCACCAGAACTTCGCGAGCAATTGAAGCGACAGCAGAAGTGGGATCCGGATAAAATTTTTGGTTCCATAAAGCCTTTACATATGGATGAGTTATTCAAATCGAAAGATCGAAATAAGCTACGTTTTCGACCAAGGAGTTCATCCGCCGACTGGTCATCTCAGGATAGGCTAACTCAAGCGGAAATTGACAACTATAAACGGAATATGGGATATTTATAATTATCTAATTAGTTTTGGAGCCAGATTTGTACATCATTAGTTAAATGAGGTTAATTGATTCATGAGATTCACCTGAAAACCGAAGTTTTTATTTATATCTATATATATTTAATGCAAAATCAAGTTCTACTTACCCTAAGGAAAGGATTAAATTTTACTGAAACACAATAAAATAATGTAAAAAACTCGCATATGGCATTCATACGAGTCTTAAAGTGAATATTTTTCGCCCAATTTAGTCTTTCGATTTCACTTTACCATTTTCCAAAATTACCCACTTGATACATACGAATGGGATTGGCAACTAGCGTATAATTTCTTTCTTGATTTCTTCAGTGTTTATGACTTTGTAAGTTTGGTCAATAATAAGTTTGAGAAAGCCTTCATTGGCATGGAAGACTACGAAGTTTTTGATGTTGAGGACTTAAATGATTTTTTGGAAGAACTTGATAAACAAGAAAGCTCTTATAATAATAATGTAAATTCTGAAGTAGAAATTTATGGAATTACCTCAAATGTTGAATGGGACATTACCTCCATAGAACCTGATACTAGAGGTATGTATATGTTAGGAATTTGATTGAAAACGAATTGATTATGCTAACATTATTTCTCAATTTAGAAGAGGATATGTTTAGAAAAAAGACCTTGTACGATTTATTCCGAAAACGTCGGGGTTACCTAAATGTATGAAAATGAACTTAATTGAGCCTTTAGGTATATTTCTTGATAGGTGTTAACAAAAATATTACTAGGTTACCGATTTAGTATCACCATTATGGTGTGAGGTGCAACAGGAGTATTATTTGACCAAAAACTTAAAAAAGACCTCTCCCCAGATGACCAAAGGAAGCTCTGTACATCAACATCTCGAATACGAAACGACGCCGCCTACAGATCGTATCTTACTTGATAAAGCCTCAAAAGAAGAGCCTTGGGCTCTTAAAATTCTGAAGCAAATTGAAGGGCTTCATCAGTTATCGATGAATGGAATTACTCGTGAATTTCCCATTTGGGGGTTTTACAAAGATTCTCTCATTATGGGGATAATTGACGAAATTAGCCTTGGTCAGCAAGGAAAAGCTAGTAATGAACATAAAGATATCCGTGACTATTGGCATCCAGCTGCAAAAGATATTTATTTTACTGATAATAAAACCAGGTTCTCTAATACGAGACCAAGTGACTCCCAAGTCTATCAATCGAAGATACAAGTTATGTATTACGCTCATCTTTTTCTTCATTATTTTCCTTCATTGAACTTACAGTCTACTAAGCCTTTGTACGTTAAACCAAATGAACTAAATAAAGAAACAGAGAGAACATCTTGGTTTAGTTCGTTTTTTAAGTGCCTGAACTTGGATGGCCATAAAGATCTGGGCGAAAAGTTTTTGGAGCAGAGTATTCGGACAATACCAACCATTCCTGAAGATGAGTTTCGAAACAATAATTCACTGGATGGACTTTACAAATTATGTTCAAAAATCTCTCGGAGATTGCGTCTGAACATTTCCGATCAAAACTTGGGTATTGTAAGTATAGCTGAATGAGTTTGACGGTGTTAAAAATTAAGTCTGTCTTTACACTGTGATTTACTCAAATTTTTTTTATAATTACTTTTTTCTATTGATATTAACTAACACATATCAAGGCATATTGGAATCCCCAATCACAACAGCTTTTGTATGTTGAAAAATTTGATCATGAACCGATAGTCTTAGAAAATTGCTATAACCGGGAAAACTCATTCTGGCGGACCATGAGAGAGCCTATAGGCGTACCTCCTAACGAAGTTTTCAAATGTCGCAGTTGCGAATTTCGTGATGAATGTTGGTGGCTTCAGAAAAAGCAGACACTGCCCATTTCATATGAATAATAATTAAGAAACAGGACCGAGGAAGCATTAAGAAATTTTCATTAAATAATCGATACCTATCGTTCCATATGTCGCCAGCGTATCACTTTATGCTCATCCTGAGGTCATATGCACGAAGGGTATTGCCAATATTGGTAGACAATATTTGAGATCATATATGTGCTATGTATGAAAGAAACGTAAGTACTTTTTGATTTAAATACTTCAGAAATCATATTGGTACTAGCAGTTCATTCATTATCGCCATGAAGTTAGCTATCTGTTTTGTATTGAGCTTAATCACACTGGCATCTGCGCTGCCCTCTATTCCGTACCTTAATAAACGCTTGGCTGAAGCCGAGAATGTAACTCTGTACAATTCTACCAATACTGAAACGGCCCCTACTGTTCCTGTAGTATTGGATGTTGTGTTACTAAATGGTACTTCTTGGATTTCAACTCGTGAAAGGTTCTGGGCAGTCGAAAGTGGAGGAGACGAATTCGCCATTACTGATAGTTTGCACAGTTTGAGGTCTATTGACAATGTCCTCTGGAGCCCAATACTAGACCACATCGAGCGACCTCGACTTCTAGTATTGGATGAAGTAGCTAGCGAAAGTCTTTCTAAGGTTGCAAGTGATGTTTCCGGTATTTCCGCTTATTGGACTGAAGCTGGTAGTGATAGCAATGCTACGATATCTGGAAGTTTTTACCCGACAAACGTGACAACCAATTCATCTCTTGCTTGGAATACAACTTCTAATCAAACCAACACTTCTTCTACTTCTCTCCCGACTGAAGTAAATTCTTTGATTCTTACTTCCTTTGGATTAAGTGAGAGTTTCGTTAATCACTCAGCATCACGATTAGTAGTTGTAGGAGCTGCGAAACCGGCTTCAACGAATGTCTCTGTTTTGGATTCTTCCGAAAACCCAGTTTATCAAACATTAACTAATCAGAGTACTACTTCCATTCGCCGTGAGGTTCCCGTAGTTGACTCCAAGGTTATTGATGTATTTGGTTACAACTTTTATTTCTTGGCTTTAAGTTCCTCTATATCTTTTTTGAAGAGCTTTGCATTTTGCAATCAAACATCTGCCTTTTCATTGTTTCAGGATATTGCTTCATGCGGCTTATCAGGTCAATTGAGTTCTTCCTCTTGCTTTGACGGAAGTTATTATTCACTTTTCGGCCCCACCGGATATTTTGCAACAGGATTTGGAAGTTCAGCTGATGTTGTCGTGATTCAAAGTGAAACAAATTGCAATGCAACTGTTTCCGCTGCTGCTTCCAATACCACATACGTGAACGTGAACAGCTACGTTGATTTGACACCAACCTTGCTAACGAACAGCACATACAACTCGAATCTCACGAACAGTTCAATTCCCCCAATTCCCTATACTATCACCAATACCACCAGCAACGATACTACTGCCTTAAATAGTAGTAACTCTTCCGGTGTTGGACCTTTGGCATATTATGGATCTGGATTTTTGAACATTTCTGATTATTTGAATACCGAAGGCGATGGACATGTTATTTTGAAGGGATCGGGTGGATCTATCTTAGGTGATTTCTACATTATTAATTACACAAGTGTGGCCTTGGGAGACTACTTAATTCCACTTTGGTGGTAACGGAAATTAAACCGCATCCTGCTATTATTTATCTTCTGTCTAGCCGAGCATTTTGTCTTTTAATTAATATTGTACATCTTTATTGCACCTTAGTATAAAGACTATTAATAACATCTAGGCTACCAGATCAGATTACTGAAATTAATCAACACTTTTCAAAATCATTTGCTTTGTTTTCTGTAAATTTTTAATCGTGAAAATTGTAAAATTGTAAGGTGGAAAGGGTTTGCTATTACTGATATTACAACAGTGTACGTCCAAGATGCTCAACATAACAAATAACCTCATATCCATATGTTTTATGATGTGATTGACTTTCTATAACCTTGACGAGCATCAATGTTATCAGTTTCAGTAGAACGAGGAAGTGCAATCCATTTTGGATTTTCTCTGAAGAGACGCATAGCGTGGATGTAATCATCGCTGGCAGTGGTAAAGCGATGGTAAATACCAGCTGGTAAGATGATTAAGTCACCTTTTTCGACGAGTATACGAATCCACTTGTCATCAACCGAGCGTAAGTCGAAATAGCCTCTTCCATCCATAATAAGACGAATTTCTTCATCTTCGTGTAAGTGTTCTTCAAAGAACTTTTGAACCATGGAATTGTAACGTTCACCCAACTTAACACGGCTGACACTTACTTCATCGCGGCTTTTGAAGCCATACTTTGTCATCAATTCATCAGCAAACTCATACAAATCACCATCAGAATGTGAGCTGATCACCTTTGCGGCTGCTAACTGTGCTTCAGTGATAGGAATGCCGGAATCATTAGGCATCCTTTGGTCTCCTTCATCTTGAAATAGGTAAGCTCTCATAGTTCGAACTGCTCAAACGATTCAACGGAAATATCTCTGTAAAATAAATAGAATATATGAAGAATATTATTTCAAATAACAAGTTTATATACTGTTAAAAGAAGTAGTGAAGATTGAGTAGGGATCGGGATGATGCTGAACTTTGCTTTAGCAAAATTTTAGTCAGTGAGCTTCCCACAGCAATTACATGCCAGGTATCAAGCACGCAAGCATTTCATTATCAAGATTTTGATATTGAATAGAACTTTGAAAATAGAAGTTACGAATAAAGGAGCAATAAAAAAAAAAATTATACCTTCATAAGTCTCCTATGGAGTCGTTTTAATCCCAAGTTGCACATCCATTGAAGTAATTTACCTGAAAGTCAAAGATTAGAGCGTGCTACCTGTCTCTTTTTCATTTGAAGATATTATAAAATATATAACCTCCCTTAGATGCAGAGTTTTAACTTCTAGAAGAGCTATTGAGAGGGATTTTGAATATCATACAAAGAACTCCAAATATCCTTGAGTATACTTTTCCAATAAAGGCGATTTTGTAAAGCATATAAATAATTTTTATCTCATTTCTAAATAAGAAAGAGACAGTATACTTGGCTTTCGCAAACTATGATTTCCACGATAAGGTTCTTTCGTGTACCTTTTCGCACTGGACAACAAATCCATCTTCAGTCACTCAAGTCAATCCAAAAGAGAAACAAATTTCTTATAAATATCCATAGCTGCAGTGGCCAACCTTGGACGTCTCGCCAATTTGGATTGAACGCGATATTACAAGGACCAAAGACAAAAAAGCCATATCAATTGGAAAAGATAAATGAAGAAGACATTGAAGAACTCTTTGTTCGCGGGAGTGGGCCAGGAGGACAAAAAATAAATAAAACAAGTATAGTTTCACAACTAAAACATCTACCTACCGGTATCACTGTCCGGTGTCAAGAAACACGTTCGAGAGAACAGAATCGAAAAATAGCAAGGAAACGATTAGCGGAAAAAGTTGACGAGTTTAGACATGGAGAAAACAGTTTGTTGTCGTTAAGGGCACAAAAAGTTATCCAGAAAAAACGGAATCGTCAGAAAAAAAGCCGAAGAAAATACGGCCGCCAGACTGAGGGACAGCAGAGTGATCAGTCTCTTCGGGAATGCACAGACGAAGAACAGTGAGATAATGAAAGGTGAAAGCTTGTTTAGTCGTACAGAAAGAATTACGTGATGGGACTGCATACACTAGGGAGAAATGATTACTTTGGAAATCCTTCTTTCATGGACTTTAAGCATCAAGATCAAGCACCACGGATACGACGAGCAAGCTGCATATCGCGTTGCATAATTGTCACACGCTTGGCGTGAATAGCACAAAGATTCGTATCTTCGAACAAATGGACAAGAAAAGCTTCTGCAGCTTCTTGAAGACATTGTAAAGCTGTTGATTGCCAGCGAAGGCCGACATCTGTAGAAAAGTTGGCAACAAATTCGGATGAAATTTCACGAACGATTCGGGAAAACGGAAGACGTTGGATGAGCAGATCCGTTGTTCTCTGATACTTTCGAATTTCTCGGAGTGCCATTGTCCCCGGACGATATCTTTTTCGACGCGGATGAGGAATTGGGTCTCCTGGTTCAGCCATCAACGATTTTTTAGCCATTTCTGTTAATATTTGATGTTTTTCTACAAAAAAATAAATATGAGTGTAAGACCTCCGAGAACTGTGAAGATTTCAGTAGAAAACAAAGCTTTCGCGTCGCGTTTCTTTTCGCGACTGGTTTTAATAGAACAGGCACTTGTTGAAGTCTTTGAACAACTGCAAACTCAATAAATACTTTCTTTCACTAAAATCCAAATGTTGAAATGCCTTTAATAAAGCATTTTCAGCTTTTTATATCTGCTTTCTGGTTTGTTCAGGATACGGCCCCAAGTAAACAATACGATGTTCAAGTCATCCATACTCATGAGATTATTGACAACTCTCTAACGTGTTATTGCGTAAGTTAAGAAACCGCGTAGTAAATTTGTATACTGATAGTACATACGCGAGCGCAGTCATTTTTTTGGAATTTAGTATTTCGATATGTATACTTTAACGCAACGCAAAGCGGTTGCATTATCCTAACTAGGATAGTTAAGTTACAATGAAAATATCGGATACCGAAAGTATTTTTTTCTCCTTATATTTGAATTTTTCCTTATACGAAAATATTGGTTTATTAAGAACAAAATCTATGAGCGTCGCCGTATCATAAGCGAAATTCTGTTCTACCATTATTATTATTATTATTTCTCTTAAACAAACAATCTTCGCTGCAATCGAGGTAAACCATTTACGGTGGATGCCCTGCTCATTTGCAGTGACACTGGATAAAAGGTTGTAAATAGTAGTAGGAGGTGGAACTCATTCAGAAGAAAATAATGAGTGGAAAACAGCAAGACCAACATTGTCGGATTTCGTACTTGTATCAAGCAGCACATTATTTACTTCAGCATACTGAAGAAGCGAAATTTTCTAAGCATTACATCTCCACAGCAAAGCAGGTATCTCAGAAATCTGTTTTACGGTTGCACCCTAATATTAAGAGAACAATTTGCAAGAAATGCAATTGTCTTATGGTGATCGGCAAAACATGTTCGGTGCGGACGGAAGAGCCATCTAAAAGGAAACCTGAATGCGATCGTAGTTTATGGGTATGCAATGAGTGTGGGACAACAAAGCGATTTCCCCTTTCGAACGGAAAAAAAAAAAAAAAAGAAGGATGATTATAGAAATGAAAAAGAAATGATGGAGCCATAAAGAATTCCTGCAATTGAGCCAAATGAAATGAAAGTCATGATTGTAGTTTTATGCACACCAACATTTGTTGAAATTTTTTCGCTCTGTATCAAGGTAGCAAATTTAGTTTTTAGTCTTTTGAAATTGCAGAGGCTTTTGATTGTACATGGGCCATGCGGGAATGCAAATCTAAAACAGCGTCGTGTTAACAAGTATATCACACATATTTCATACTTGTTCAATACTTACAATTCCAGTAATAATGCTCAAAACGACAAACACCTTAATGCTCAAGAACGAATCTTGAGCCAACCATCCTGCTATGTATGCTGCAACCTATAATTTACGCATTGTTAGCAAGTTCACCAGAGCGTATCTAACAGCCGTACACCAGATATTACGGTCGCATAATTCATGTACTTTGAACAAAGAATTTGTCCATGAAAATCGATTTTACCCTCTAAATAATTCATGGTAGATGTAAGCTCCTTTTCATTCAAACAGTGATATAGTGAAGGTAACCATTCGCTGTATTCGCTTATAATGGATTTTAGTGCAAGAGAAAATATTCGCATTAGTAAACATCCTTCTTAAAAAGCAATTCACTTAACTGAATAGAATAAAAACTTGGAAGACAAGTACTTTCTATATATAGAGCATCATTTAGCAGGAAGAGCTGAAAGATGTAGGGAGGTATTTCACCATAAATTGGTTACACTGTCGGCTGAAGTTTTCATCCACAGCAACAACACCTATGGTCTTTGATCTATGTAGACGCACCTTAACGTACTAAGAAGGACGATAACTTTTCAATAAGTTGATTCTGCATTTGGATAACCTTTTGAATTCAAATGCCAACAAAGTAAAGTGACAAACGCCATCTAGGCTAACTAGTTTTTATGTTTTTATGTTTTGTTTTTAGGCTGCATCTATTCGAGAAAAAGCTCAAAGTTTACCAGACAAAACTTCTTACTAGTCCAGTTTACACTGAATTTCGGTATCGGTTGTCTTCGATTCTACATGAACGGTTCCCTGCTCTCGCGGAGAGTTGTGCTAAAAGACTTTCTTTCCCCAAGCCCTCTTCGTAAATTACAGGCCCTATTTCAAGGAAAACTTCCAGAACCAGAACCTGAATCTACCTTTGATTTACAAAAGTCACCAATTGTTCAGCCAGCTCAACATTTCGTATTCCTAAATAGCGCTTCCTCAGAAACACAACTAGATCTGGACGGCTACGAAACTGTATATTCTCCATTTGGAAAGCGGTTGTCTCATAAGCATCGTCTTTGGCTGCATGGAGTTTTGAAGTTTCATAGACCGCTGCGGTTATTTCAAGAAGCTGAATGTCATGAGGTCGTGCACACAAAACAGGTAGGACAAAAGATAAACCCCTTGTCTATTGCTAAAGAAAACGTTTCAAAAGCTGATACACTTCCTGCACAAGTTCTGATTGAAAGAAAAATTTACAACCAACAAAAAGATTTATGTTTAGAAGAAGACCGTACCTTGTATTATACAAACAAGGATTATCTGGTAGATGAAAAGAAAATTATCAGTAAATCTCCTTCGACAAAGTCATGGGTATTTACTCCTACCGAAGTTATGGTTTTCCGTTTTTCCGCTTTGATGTTTAATGCTCATTTCATTCATTGGAATGGACCATATACGATGTCAGTGGAAAAATATCCAAATCTTATTGTTCCAGGTCCATTGCTTATAACAGCCATGGCGAATTTCTTTCGATATTCATACCCAGAACTAAGTACAAGAATTCGTCAATTCAACTATCGTCTTTTGACTCCTATATTCGTCGGTACCCCCATTCGTGTCTGCACAAATGATAATACATTGGCTGTTTGGCTGGAAAGCAATTCTACTGTTCATCCTACATTGCTAGCAAAAGGAAGATTTTCACTTGACTAGGGCATAGTCCAACAGCACTTACGAACTAGTAATAAACAGATACAAACAACGGTATATTATATACGCTTTTCATCAATTACCTTTACCAACTACACCAGTAATTTTTACAAATAAATTATTGTCTCATAGAGTCGTTTAGCCTAACAAAGTCGTTTCTGGCATTTTCATATTATTAAAACAAACAAGGATCTGAAGTTAATCCAAAAGTGTTTTGAGATAGGAACTTTCGAAACAACTAACGACAAGAAAAACAATAAAAGATGAAGTCCAAGAAAAAGAACAACAGAAAATTATTAAATATACATAACGAGTAACGAAAAAAAAAACATAAACCGAAAACCTCATTCCTTGTAGACATTTTTAACAGTTCGTCAACAAAAAATTTAAAAAGATTTTCTCATGAATAACCGTAAGAAAAATAAATAAGACTTTTCCCAAATATTGAGTGAGGTGTATGTATCCCTTTTATTTTACTTTTTTTAGTTTTTCAATCAACCACGACTTGGTAAGACATTTTTTACCTACCGTGTTTTACACGTAAATGTCGAACAAGAGCATCATGGCGACTGAAGTGTCTCTGGTCACCACAAATTTCACAACGAAAAACAGGCCGAGTTTTGGCATGTATTGTATCTTGGTGACGTATTAAGTCATACGTCCTCGAAAACACAGTGTTACATGTTTCGCCTGTAGTACGATTTGGTAAGGTACACCGTACTGGACCTGCCTGTTTTCCAAATTTGAATTTTCTCCGTTTCCGCTGTGTTCCAGCCGAAGTAGTTGCACTTGGGGTTGGGGTAGTGTCGACAGGAATGGAATCTTTCTCCCCACTAGCAGCAACACTAGCAGCTGCGGCCACTGGATGGTCTTCCTTCTGTTCAGTAGGGGACATATTTGCCAATGGTGGAGCCGGCGGTGGCTCGACCACAGAGGCTTGAGGTTTTGTCGTCTCAAGAGAAGCGAATCCACCATTCGCGAAGGAGTTCTTCATGGGAGAGGTTGATGTAGGGGACGGGCTTAGAGTGGTATTGGAAGGAACGACAACAGGCGGTTGGGTAGGAGAAAGAGAATTCATGGAACCGAGAACTAGAGAGGGGCGTTTTGGGCGATAAGAATTATTGATGGGAATAGGGTAAGTGTGATTAGATGGAGGTGGAAGGGATTCTTGAGGGAATTGATTAGAATTTTGCATCTGAGATGGAAGCATGTCAGAAACGCCATCTAGAGCCTGTGAGCCATACTCTGCATTAGCAGAGGGGCTGGAAGGTAACAACGAGTCTGCAGCTTCAGCCAACGCCTGAGATCGCTGAACAGTGGGATAATCCAAAGAGGCATCGCGTACTGGGTACGCATTGTAATCTAGAATGCCGTCACCATTCATGGACATGTTTGGTTGTCGGGGAAGATTTTGATTCATGCTATACATTTGGAAAGCTTGAGATAAATTTGGCGGCGCAGGAACAGCTTGATCCTGGTAATTCTTAGGAGACAAGCCAAACTCTTCTTGTTTGACAGGCAATGCCGATGAATCCTTGGCATCGGCGGAAGGAAACATAGAAGGGACAGCCGTCTGCTCTTGCTTTAATGAGATGGGGGAGGACGGCATGACAGGAGCGGGCACAGGAGGAGGAGCAGATTTTTGTTGCTGTGGTTGTTTTTGTTGCTGTCGGAAGTGATAATTCTGCATGGCCGGGTCATTATTGTTGATACCATTCGCAACCTGTTGGGAGGAAAGCAATCCAGCTTCTAGAGAAGGGGGATCCATGCCAAATGGATTACCATCGACGTTGGGAATAGAGCCAGTCCCGTCTGGCATCACCTGGCTGGGAAGTTGCATGTGGGTGTTGGAAAAGGAGGAATCGTTGACGGCAGGAAGGGAAGGAGTTAGCGGAGGAGGGGCGGACATATTTTGGGTAGCTGCTGCGGCATTATAGTCGGCATTTGCAGAAGGAGACAATGGCACGTCGAGGTCATTGCTAGTAGGCAGGGAATTATTTTCGTTGGACCCATTGGACGGCGTAGTGACAAACGCGGGATTGCTTCCCAAAGACGAGGGCGCGCTGGCAAAATTTCCGCCATGGGCATAATCGGCAGACATTGGATCTAAGGATAGGTCCATGGTAGAGTCTTGAATGGTGTCGAGGGTAAAGGGGTCCATGCCTTCGGCTTCATTGTAGACGCGTATAGGGACGTTCATCATATAATCCCAAGAAGACATGTCGGGATAGCCCGAAGGATCCATAGATTCCTTTGCATTCGGATCCAAACGTTTCAAATCCATTCCGTTGCTAGAAAGTTGGTCAAAATCGGTATCGGAAAAGACATTGGGAAACACGCTTGGTATAGTCTGTTTATTGTTTTTTAAAGGGGAATTGGAAGTCAATTGAGATTCCTGAAGTCTCCAATTGGAACCATACGGTTCATTATTTGTGGTTTTCGATGGCGCTCTTGACTGTGATTTTTCTGTAGTGTCCATGAAAACTTTCAAACTACAGCCTCCCAGCTGTATATATAAAGGGATGATGTCATAGAAAAAGATCTAGAAAGCGAAGTCATCGAAAAATACAAACCATCAGAAATGACGTTTTCTAAGGAAACTCCACCAATGAAACAGAGCATAACCGAACATGAGATAGATAATACGTCAAAAACTGATATCATTGAATGTTTAATTTTCTAGAGGCGCCTACTTTAAGCGAAACCAATCGAATGTCAAACCGCGAAAGTTGCCGATTCTTTACAAATCATCACCTGCAAAATGTAAAAATAGGGCACTAGAACGAAGTGCAAACCATTGCATACCATTTCGTTAACCATCTTTTTTTTTTGTTAAAGCAAATAAAAAAGTCCACCATCAGAACGTTATATTATGTTTGTACGGAGTTTCTTAGAGAGAAGTTGGTTGTCGTCGTGGTAAGCCAAGTCAAGCTTAGCTTAGCTTAGCTGGGTCAGGTTCCGGTCATGTTTGTTATGGAAAGGAAGAGCGTCCAGATTCGTTTGTAAGAGGAGGAAACAAACGGAGAACGATGAACCACGTTAACTTGAGTCTAGGTATAGTGATGGTGTTTCATCAAAGAGATTAGGACACTTCATCGCATGTAAGAATGGTGTCAACCCATCGTCCATCCTCGTACGTCTGTTGCAGATCAGATCGTCTGCTTTATGAAAGATTTTCGTCGAACGTTTTGTAAACGTCTGTTGATGTGGAACGAGTTTTGGTGAGAAAGTCAGAGAGTATAAGATGAGAGAGGGAGAGAGGAAGAGGGAGAAACGAGAAAATTTGAGAATGTGAAAAGGTGGTGTGTAGTGGTTGTGGAGAAGAGGTTCGCTTGATTCTAACCCCAATAACCTAAACCACCACCAAACGTTACCCGAGGAAACAATGTGGAGGGAGTGAGGTAAAGAAAGAAGGAAAAATTGGATTGGATTGGATTGGATTGAGTAAATGGATGATGGGTTGATGAAAAATAAAACTGTACTGTAACGAAGTAAGAAGAATTAAACTATCCAAGCGTTCGGAATCCATTCCACACTTAGTCTTGGATCACAATCTCGATGCTATTACACTTTTTTTTTCTCTTTACATATAAAATACTACTCTCTTCATCGTTTCTCTACGCGCGCTTCAATCAAAGCATAAAAATCCATCAATTAACCAAGCTCTTAGCAAATACTATACAATGAGAAAACAAAAGCGTGCTGCCATCATTAAAAATGAAATAAAAAAAAACACACAAAGAAGGATCTCGTAGAAAGAATGTTGGAAGAGAAGCCTCTGCAAGGAAATCATCCACAGCCTGCTCTTGCTCTATCTTTTTGGCTATAGGTATGGGCATAGCGATGTATTTTCATACACACTACCGGCAGATGGCTCCAAGGGAAAGAATGTTCAAGGGAATGATTTCCAATCCTACAAGAAAGCCAGCACATACAAGAGTAGAATCATAATTGCACGAAGAACCAAGAATCATGGTCCATACGGCTTGGCCTTTCCTAAAAGACGATGAAACCTTCTCTACGCTTCGCTTCTTCCAGTCCAACTGACACACATCTCGTGATATTTCGATGCGTTCGTTTGGTAAAGTAAACCAGACAAATAACCAAACAACAAAAACTGTTTAACCACCGAAACCATAAATGGTACGGCCTTGACGCTTCAAGGAATAGACAACGTCCAAAGAAGTGACAGTCTTACGCTTGGCGTGTTCAGTGTAGGTGACAGCATCGCGAATCACACTTTCCAAGAACAATTTCAAGACAGCACGAGTCTCTTCATAGACCAAAGCGGAAATACGCTTGACACCACCACGACGAGCAAGACGGCGAATTGCGGGCTTGGTAATACCTTGAATGTTGTCACGCAGAATCTTACGGTGACGCTTGGCACCACCCTTTCCTAATCCTTTTCCTCCTTTACCGCGGCCAGACATAGTTCAGTAATATATTTAGTGAAACCGGTTGTAGAACGCTAAACTCGCTAGTTCGAGTGCTTACTGGATAAAGTTGGGCTCCTGTGCCTTCTTATATATAGTGCGACAATCGCCATCAATCCTTTGACGTCAATTCTAATAACAGGGTTCGGGTTGTTGATCAAATTTTTAGGGCTCACTCTATATATATAAGGACGCGCCTGCAGTCGCCAAAAGTCTACTCTACAACTACACAATACAGCAATTCTGAAAAATGGCTCGTACCAAGCAAACCGCACGTAAATCCACTGGTGGTAAGGCTCCTCGTAAGCAACTTGCATCTAAGGCCGCCCGTAAGGCTGCTCCCGCTACTGGTGGTGTCAAGAAGCCTCACCGTTATCGTCCCGGTACCGTCGCTCTTCGTGAAATTCGTCGTTACCAAAAGTCTACTGAATTGTTGATTCGTAAGCTTCCATTCCAACGTTTGGTTCGTGAAATTGCCCAAGATTTCAAGACTGATTTGCGTTTCCAATCCTCTGCAGTCGGTGCCCTTCAAGAAGCTGTCGAAGCTTACCTTGTCTCCCTCTTCGAAGACACCAACTTGTGTGCTATTCACGGTAAGCGTGTCACTATTCAACCCAAGGATATGCAATTGGCTCGTCGTCTTCGCGGTGAACGCGCTTAATCATTAAGTTGATGATTACCATTTTGTTTATCTCAAAGCGTTAATTTATGCTATGTATGAATTCGTATGGGTTTATTAATTGGATGAGTGTTACTTTATTCCGTGTTCTTTTCTTTCGCATTGTCATTCTTGTTTATTAATTGATTTTTCTTTTCATTCCGTGGACTTGTTGGATGAGCTCGGGCGGGTTCTCGAACCATCTATGATAGCTTTTCTATGGTTGAATGTGTTCTTTGCTTCTTTTAGTTAGTTGGTACTTAACCTTTTAACTATTATATTTAGTAATGTTATTTTTTTTGCGCGCAAATATTTCTGTATTTCTGTTTCGTATATGTTTTCCCTCTTGTAATGAATGAATGAGTAAGTGGTGCGTACGTATGCTTCCTGTGGACTAGCTTCTTCATATTTGTCTAGTTTGTTTGTCAGCTTTGATTCAATTTTTATATTCTTATTAATCAATGCAAGAATGTACAATGCCTTTGCCCTATTTCATCATCTCTTTCAAATGTTTTTCAAAAGAAAAATGATTCATCAAATTCTGGTATTTCAGCCGGCGCTGGTTTAATTTCTTGGCCCATAATAGTGGTAGGCTTGTTTTCTATGGGACTAGCTTCTGACTGTTCTTCTTTTCTCGTAGCTTCTTCCTTTGCCTCCCTATCAGGAATGCTGGAAGGGAACTGAAATTTCCAGTTGCGTAGTAACTCAAGAGCAATCAGGTCGCATCCCATTTCATTGTATACACGAGCGCTGTTGAGAACAAACAGATATTCCAGCATTTGATCCCTTTGTAACACGTCGCATCGAAGAAAATCGTATAGTAAAATTAATGCAGGATCATCCGATGTATGCTCATTTTTGGTCTTCCCATGATTCTCTTCTACGTTCTCTGTCTCTCCTTGCGTCTCCTCCTCATGATTATCCAATTTGAAGGACTCTATTAGATCGTCGTCAACTTCTATAAGTGACCTTAATGGAACAAGCAGACTTTTAATTGATTTCGCTTTCTCATTTATCATTGTGAACCCCCAGTTTGCAAGCCAACGATCATTGTAGAAAGCTGCCGAGGGCAAAACAAATTCCTCGATAATCCTTTTTAGACATTCTTTTCCGTCTCCTTCATATACTCGTACGATAGCTACAGCCAAAGATAAAGTATGCAGATTGCGGATGCAAACTTTCGCTGCATCATACGGACTGTCTGCAAGAAGAAAGAAAGCCGCCGCATAAAAGTACCGATGCTTACTTAATAATGCGAATGCATTCTTGGACGCTGCAACCTTCCATCGGTTCTGTGTAAAGTCATTAGACAAAAATTTCACTGTGGGTCTTGATTCTTTACTCCAGCTCGCCAAGCTCCAAAGTTTTTGTAAGACGGATACTTTGCCAAGCGCTATATGGTATAAACTAACTTTCTCGGGATCCCGATCACCGTTGTTAGTAAAGTGATTTCTACACAAATCCTCAAAAACGTTCTTCAATGCTTGCTGATTTAACCAAAAAGGTAACCTGTACTCCTCAACGGCCGGCCATAGCAAGGTCTTTCCATGAGCTTTCACCGTGTAGTCTAGCAGAACACTTTTATTGGTACTGTAAAATGCCCATAAGGCATCGCGAGTAGGAAGAAGATTTGATCGATGTTGATATTTGTTTAAAACGTATTGGTTCAACATAATACAAAATCTTCTCCCATTCAAATCCAATGACTTTCGAAGTTGATCTGCTTTACAAAAGGCCTCTATTACGTTTAGTAGATAGAACTGTGATGACCTTGTTAAAGTTTTCACTTTCTTGTTTTTCAACAGCAGACACAGGTCCGTTGTAAATGCTTCTACATACGCCAGTGGATTTTCGGAAACAGATGGCTGTTCATCAGAAAAATCCTTCTTGACTGTAATTTCATTGGCATGTTTCGTCAAGGCTTCATAGAATGAGCTCATCAGTTTTTCATCATCATGTTCATAAAATTCTAAACAATCCATATTCAACAAAAAGTGCATAGGATGGTCATTTTTCAAAGAAATGTAAAAGAGCAAGAGAATTTTCCGGACTAAATACTCTTGGTTTTTAAGCAACAACTGCTGTAAAAATTGAGGATGGAATACCGGCAAAATACCATTCAGTTGGTAAGCAAGGTCAAATATATTATTTGCTGTTCGCTTTAGGGCGGAAGGAAATAGCAGTGATATATCATCAGGAAGTTTGCTCTTAAAAAAAAATAAGTTATTTCCGGCGGCAGTAACCAAGGTACCATTATCTAGCCAGGAAGAATCACTAATAACCATGTCCGTATACATACCCAAATTATAAAGCCGAATAGGTACCCAACAAGGAGCGTCACTAATATAAGATCTACGGTTCTGGGATAGTAAGATAACATGATGCTGGAAACCTATGGCAAGGATGGAATGAGAATTGGGAGTTGAAGTCCAATCTAAATCTATTATGGGGCCATATTTATTAAAAACATTGGTGAATTCTTCATTGGCAGTAAAAAAAGAACTCCCTGTATCAAAAATAGACAAGCGAAGCCGATTCTCTGAAACCACAGCTACTTTTCTCGAAGTAGAGCCTTTAACCATGTTTGCGGCTTTTATATTCGTTCTTACTCGAGAAAACTCAGTTATAATTGCATTCGAAGGACCTGAAATTCTTGCCATCCACGTTTGTAGCAAACCATCATCAGAAATCGAGACAAATACTTCACGTTCGAATGACTCTATACTGCTTTGGCTTAATGTTGAGGACCACCCCATAACATCAACGGCGGAAGCTGTATAAATTTTGGGAGTAAAGCCTACTCGATCTAGAAACTCGAGTTTTGTGCCTTGATGATTCTCTATCAATACATTATAAAACCAAGCATGACCACCTTTTGTTAATGCACATAACACAGAAATTTGATTTTTCTGCACTGGTAAAATAAAAAAAGTTATGATTTCACTAGTGGGAACTTCACTACTAGAACAAACTAACACGGGGGCGAAGGCGTTATCGCAATGCCAGAGCTTTATAGTAGAATTGTTAATTACAGCTGCATATTCACCTGCATGTAATGGTAAAACAAAGTCATTTTCCTCTAATCGCAGTTTCGATCGTCGCACTAATGATCTTTGACTATCAACAGATAAGTACGACTGTAACATGCAGACGCGTTGACTGTCACAAGAAGCAATTCCATGTCCATTAGATGTTCTAACAAGAGATTTTACGGAAACATCATGTCCATAAAACATTTGGGTTGTGTGTAGTACGAACTCTTCATCTGAATATATATTTGATAACTTAAATGCATACTCGTTGGCATAATCCTGGAAGTGAATTATAAACTTATAATCGTATTCATCTTCTTTCATGGTTCTGTATACCTTAAGAAATCCATCCGGCGGTAAAGCATTTCGTGGAAACTTGACAGGAACACTTCTAACCAGTTTAGCAGTCGTAAGGTAATCTTCATCCATGTGGAAAGAAAATACGTGTAGTTTATAATTAGAAAATAAAAAAAATAATTGTGGATGCGAACTAGCTAGACCTACCAGTTTTGGAAGGACGGGATCATCAGGCAAATCGCCTGAGTACCGACTAATGGCATGAGCCAAAGCAGCTGTAAAATCATCCCTTTCTAGTAAAAAACAGAATGGTACTGATGCTTCATCGGTATATTCCTTCAAGTCCAAAAAACAAGAAAGATGCATAAGCTGGGAGCCAAATCGACTACCGGTCTGCCATATGCGCAAAATATTTTGAACGTCAACTGTGCAGAAAAATGGAAGAGAACTGCTGGAGTCTGGATGCAGTGGTTTTGACCAAGAGTAAAATCGTATGGGTACTGGGTGAGGGAGATAGCTAAAATCGTATAAGGACGTTACGCTTCCTTGAGGAGATGATCTTAACCAGACTTTAGCTAGTGGATTTCCTTTTTCGACAGATGCTATGTAACAAGCATCGGATGATAGACTTGATCCAACAAAAGGGATGCCTGATGCTGAATCCAAAGACCAAAGTACACAAACTTGGTCGTCAGAAAAATTAAGAATGTTTAATTTTTTTCCTGTACATACTAAAAGGTTTAAATTATATCCCCAGGATAATGTCAGAACAGAACTATCACCCGGCACTTTATACGTTATATAGTGCTTCCAATGCCATTGTTCGTCAGGCAAATACACAGTTACGAAATCCGTATACGATATGGCCAAGGCTGCACCACGACAATTCAGCGCGATGGCTGAGACACTTTTATCGAGTTGTATAGTTTGATAATGCTCATAGTTATTTACAATAATAGCGACAGAACAAGCTGTGCCTAAAGACTAGATTAAATTAATAATGAGATTACCATTAAAAAAATTTGAAAAATGAGAAGCTCATGCGTACCAAAACACGCTTTTGATTCCAGTAAACATAATCCTTGGCAGAAGCGCCTTTTAAAGGAGTGCCTGGATTAACAAAAGCCAGGGGCATTCTATGAAGGAATTCAAATCATGAACTCCCAAAAAAACTTGTGTTTCTTACAAACTGTATTGTATTTGCTAATTTAGCATACGCCCTTCTTGGTTGTTTTCTCTAGTTTACTTCATCACATTAAAGGTAACCATGTTACTCAGTAAACAAAAGAAGTTGCTGGATTTACAAACCAAAAAGACACGTAGGAATGGACAGTAGTTTAGTTACTTAATTAATTCATAACAATCTTAGACTTGAAAGATTGAGCTATGCGAAGCGTCTTATACACATTTGAATTGAGAGCATTTGTCTATCCCTTAACTGTTGAGAAATAATCAAGTAGGCATAGTCAAAGATAGCACAGGTTACTAAAACATTTACATAAGGATTAACCTTTCTCTCTCTAAATGATAATGATATACTGCAATCAACATAAGTTGCTTGAGTGAATAATAGAGAATGGCATTTCGTGAAGATTCGTACAGTAACAGTATCAACAATTGAGAAAGCAAGAAAAGAGGAAACAGCATATGTTTATACACTTTCTTCGTTCCAAAAGACTGCTTATACCCATCCTCAACTGTAACAGTTAATACACTGAACAAGCACTGAGAGTATATAGGGTTTATAATGGCATGAAGAAAGTAATTCGAAATTGAAAGAGAATCTTATATATCACCAAAAGAGCATGTCAGTCCACACTTTGTTGTTGGAGACGATTATCGAGTCCGAAGTAAGATTTTAGAAAGAATAATACTTGATGTAAAATACGTGAAGGTTATATGATTTTAGTGTTGTCAATTCCTAATTCACCATTACTGACCGGAAAACAAAAAATAAGGATGGGCACAAGACAAATCAAGTCCTTTCACACCAAAGATGTTACTATCGCGTGAATGAATGAACACGAATCGAAACCAGATGCAAATTCCAAAATTACCATAGAGGAAATATAAGTAGTAGTAATACTACCTGGCTTGTTAAATGCTCGACCGTATATTTTTTAAAATAAAAACTAAAAGATTCATTTTTCTATAACTGTTCGTACATGTTTTTACATCATTTCGGTAGATCGTCGGACAAGACGTCTTACACGTTTTTTGAATTCTTGAGCTAATAAAGTGGTTAGTACGGAATTTCAGATGTTACATACGATTCTCGCGGAATTCCTTGGCTGCATCAATATTAGCTGGAGACTCGTCGTTTGGAGATGAAAGCATGGAAACAACACTGATCAAAATGGTTTCAGGTGAATGAACAGGTAACCAGCGCTCGCCCGCGTCTTCATAACCAAATTTATCATCACCGGGAGGATGAAGAATGGAGATACAGACTTCACCATCAGGGTGTACATTAGGATGCCAAATTTCGGTAGTGAACTAAAATAGAAATTAGCATTTACTTCAAAAATTCTTCAGCGCTGCAAAATGCGATAAGTGAGCACATCCATGAATAAGCTTACTTTCATTTTTGGTGGCATTAAAGGGTAATCCTATAAATTTAGTTAGAATATGAAAGGCTCTCCTCTATAGGGATCACCGAGTTGGATCTTCACATAAGAAACCACATACCTGAGGGAATGTCAAAGTCGCGTGGAAGAAACCGCCCTCATAAAGTGTGTCATCGGGGCCGATGATCATAACTTCCCATTCATAAATGGATTTATCATCTACCAATCCCACACTGAAGCCTTGAGGAGGATTTTTTTGAATTTCCTAATGAGTGTTAGCCTTTAGTCACATATCAACAATTGAAATTATAAAACAAATAAACAAACAAAAAAGAACTATCAAATCACATACTTTTAACTGTTTCCGAAGAAGCTGTTCACTTGCTGGCGAAGACATATTTGCAAATTTACTCTGAAGGCAAAACTGTTTTATAATTTTAAAGAAATATATTCAGTTTTTGCTTTTTTTTTATTAAACAAAATAAAAAAGAAAAGGTGATGGAGAGAAATAGGAGGTGAAATAATATAAAGGGAAATGCTTACAAAGTAATTTGCTTTGGACAAAGAGATCACCACTAATAGCTGGGCACTACTGATGGGCTCTTGAGTTACCTTTATTTCGCTAAAAATAATTTTAATACCTCTTTATATATAACCTGCTTAAACACACTTACTGCATTGTCGTTTTAGTTTATAAAACAATTATGTGAATTATAGCCATGCGAATTTGCATTCAAAGTTGTGTTTCATTATACATTCCTGTTTGCAATTAAACTGTTAGTAACTTCGCGATAGCTAAACTCTCTTAATGAGACTTACATTCTTTAATTTAATATGAATATTATAAACAAAATTGAGTTTTCATTATTAAGACAAACATTATAAAACATTAAGCTCTGGTTGATCCTGGGAGGCTAATCTATTTTAATGGAACCATATATTTTGTTCACAAAGAGGAAAGAGCCAAAGAACCCAACAGAGCCGCATAATAAGAAAACTAGAATAGAGATCATAAGACTGTAACCAAAGTACAATAGTGTAGTTGCAAACGAAGTCGAAGAAATTCTGTTAATCCAATAAATAATAGAAAATATAAAGACATAGACACCGCAAAAGCCAGGCGTGATGAAAGATCGCCACCACCAATTATAATTTTCGGTGCACAATTGAATGTATACTGTGATGATTGATATCATAACACAAGTTGTAATTAAAATACCAAAACAGAAAAACGAAAAACCAAACATGAAGTATAAGGGATGAAACCATAAGCTATCCAAAATAAAATAAAGCTCAATTAAGATAGTAACAAAAGGAATGGCTCCGCCGATAAAGGCAGAAGAAGCAGTAGAAATCCAGATACTTTGAGAAGGAATCTGACGGGGTATTTGATTCGTTCTAACAGGAGGAACAAATTCTCTTGATCGGAATCCGATCAATGACCCGACAAAACTCAATGGCACAGTAAATACTAAGTAAAGAAAAATTAATAACAACCAACTTGTGAAAGGGACTGCTGAAGAAGAATTCTTAATTGAAAACAATACATTGAAGAATAGAGCTCCCAGTAACAAAATTCCAGGAACGACGAATGGGGTTAATAAAAGATTTCTCTTCCTCAGCATTCCCTGCATTACTTTGTAAGAAATCGAAGACACAAAACCAGATACAAAGCCGGAGACAATAAATAAGGCTACGATGGCCGTAGCAAGGCTTCCACGCCGTGAAGGTGCAACAATTCCAAAGATAGCAAACAAAATAATTGCGGATGTCATAAACAATAGTTGAGCACCAGTTCCTAAAAGAATAGAAAAAAGCATAGGTCTACGAGGAGGTCGGAATACATCGCCATGAACCAGTTTCCAGCCAAAGTCCTCTTGAACATCTTCTTGATCCAAAAATGCGCTGTTGTACTTGTTTATGTCACGGTTCAAAGTACGGAACAATATAAGACAAACGATAAAGATTAGGAAAAAGTCAAAAATACCCGAATATAATAAAAACATCCATCGAATCTGATTTGAAGGTCCGTGCATATACTTGTCCCAACGAGTAGCCCAAGGGGTTGTGGAATATTTCCAGGTTACTGAATAAGAAGTGACAAACGTTAAATCACCTCGGTCAGGTAGAATTTCGGGAGAAGTTGACGTAGAGCATTCAGGATCGCTTACTACTTTTGATTTGCGGGATACTGGCTTTACATAAGCACCCACCACCCGATGTTGATTTTGAGTAGTAGTGTGATATTCAACGATAATATCATAATGGTTGTAGAGGTGAATACCCTCTTTCGTAACTCTTCCCAATGGAAATCCGGGAGTCAACAAGTACTCACCGGGGTTAGCATGTTCTGCATAGGTAGCAATAGGAAGGTTGTCAATGTTCCAGTGAACTACGTAGTTTTGGGAGATTAGGTCTTTGAAAAATTGAATATCTGGTTCGGTAATGTAAGACGAACATAGTGGGAGGCAAGACACATTTTTTAGCATTCTCAATTCCAAAGGAGAATTGTAAAAACGGTCACCAAATAAGACGCTTCCGAGAGATTCGGGTTGTTGAACAACAGTTTCGGGTCGACAGAAATGAAATCGATCATCATAATCTAAAACATTGTTTTAGTAATAAGAATCATAAAAATATCAAGTTCACAGAGGAAGTGGTGCAACTGGTGGACAACTCCTCTGTTTTAATCATGCAATAGCTTACACTCATAATTTAAAATGTCGGTCCCATGTTCCGCACCATAAGATGGAGAAACAGTATTTACCGTCGTATCAACAATGCTATCGGGAGCATAATTTTTAGGCCCAAAAGATGTCAGTTGAAATGCCAGACATGACGGGAGCAGGTATAGAAGAACGAAGAATCGAAAAGAAAGCAATGAATCCAGAAATAGTCTCATATTCTATTCAAGTCAAAAGACACCAAAAGATGCCCCTAGACTATGGAAATTGACAGGAAGCTGTAGAAGTTGCGAAACGTAGCAGTTACATCTCCCTTACTCTTACTTTTCGCACCCTGCGTATCTGCATTCCTCGCTATAGTAAAGTATCATAAATCCTTATTTTCCCGTATATACTTTTACATTCTGTAACGAAGCGTTAAAGGAAAAAAGTGAATGAGTTAAACAACATGAACTGGAGCGGATAAGTGTTGTAAGAGATCGCATTGTGACACATCTTTGTGTTCTTTAATAGGTTTGTAAATCATGACTTTTGTTTTTTTTTTATCATATTTATTAATTCTGCTAGAAAAATGTCGGTTCACGAGTTTTTGGATGTGTTAAATCAATCAATTCGGCAAAAAGATACCAATATACTTGCACAGTGTTTTGTATTCTCAAATTCTAGTTCCTTTTATGAGGAGTTGTCTTCAAAATTCCCACAGGTATTGACTCTTGGGTCACGCTCTGACAACGGCTAATGTTCTTGTTGTGATTTAGGATCCTAAAGGTAAAAGTAAACTCAAGGGTGAAATACAAAAAAGTTTTGGAAAAATACGAGGTTGGAAGGAATCCGTCCTATCATATCTGGATTTTGTGCAGAAAGCTGTTTCGGGAGACCCTATATCTTGTTGGTCTTCTTTACAAGCTGTTTATGTGTAAGTGGTTTTTCAAAAGCTTAGAATAGCTTACTTTTTGGTGGATACTAACTTTGATTAGGAATTTGACGACTTGTTTCGCACACCTCGATGGAGCATGGTTAGCACCTATTATTAAATCAGTGTCAACTTTTTATGTGAATTTATCCATTCATTTAGACAAAATATCTCCTCAAAATGCTGGTGCATTGGATACGAATGGATTTCTTGAACGCAACTTTATAAGTGAGGCCTCTCGAAATGTTCAACGAGCATTCAATGTGATTTTGAGCGACCGACAACCCAGCATAAGTCCTTCTAAAAAAGACGCTATTTTCTCTATTTCGAATCTTCTATATAAACTGTATTTCCGTCTAAAGCAGATTCGACTTTGCCAGACAATCCAAGCCAACGTCTTGTCTTCTGGCGTTTCCATTAACCAAGCTACCAGTGCAGAAATTGTTACTTTCCGTTATTATCTTGGCCGTTGTCATCTTTTCCAGCACAAAATCCATCAAGCGAAAACACATCTGAGGAGCGCTTTTCTCAATTGTCCAGATGAGTCTTATAAACAAAAGAGGTACGATAAACTTCTTGAATTACCTGCTAACGGGAGACAGATTAATTTTAATTTATTTGACAACGTGTGGTCTTATACTTGGCAAATTACCCAAGTGGCATTATTTAGAAAAATATGGCTTAATACCGATATTCCAACCTTTAATAGAAAGTTTGAAGAGAGGTGATCTCCGCTCCTTTCAGCTTTCTTTGGAAGATGTTTCCAGGAGGAATTGGTTTATAAGGCACGGTATATATTTGACCTTACATGATCGTTGTGAAATTGTAATCTGGAGAAACTTGTTTCGTAAAGTGTAAGTATGCTTGTTGTGATGGCTTTTTACTAACAACAATATTATAGCTTCTTTTTGACATATCAGAATGCCCATAAAACCCCCCATGTGAACGGGCAGTTTTTATTAACAGCGGCGCTTCTTAGCATGCAAGATGATACGTTTGATATTGATGATGTGGAATGTATATGTATATCTTTAATTGATCAAGGATACATCAAAGGTTATATGATTCATTCATCGGCTACGCTTGTTTTGAAGAAAGACGCAGCCTTCGGATTTGCTCCAATAGAAAGTGTTATGCCGATTGTCGGCAAAGATAGAAACGAAGAGGAGTTTTTCCAAAAAAAATAAAAAAGTTTCTCATTTTTACTGTATGATGCATATAATAATTGTAGGAAATTGTCGAGTAGACTGGCGTTTCATTCTTTCGAATCCAAATCTTTAAATTTGCATTGCTTTCTGAATTATTACTGTGCTTTGGATCTCACATATTGTTATCATCAAAGTCATAGCAGCCTTATATTTACATAATTTTAGTGAAAACGCTTCTAAGTGTCTTCTTCCATTTCTGGATCAAACAAGTCAAAGTCTGCAAAAATGTCTTTACTGGAAGGCATGGATTCCGCCCCTTGATTTTCGGTTGGTCCAGTGGCATTCGTAAACGTAGGAGACATTGGATAGTCGACAGCATTTTTGGCTTTCTTGCTGGGAGAACCAGTAGCGGTAACATCTTCATGATTTTGAGCAGACGCTTCCTCTACCTCGTTGAAAATTTGAGAAGCATTCGCAGAGGGGTGAGCTATTAGATTTGTGGAATATTGGAAAAGACTGGTCTTTCGCATTTGATCTTCGGATGGCCAAGGATAATGGACAGGAGCTTTAGCATCCTGACCTGTTTCTGGGTTGTAACCAGGAGGTGCCGAAGAAAATTTGGATAGTCGTCGACCATATTCAAGAAGGGTATTAGCGTCTACTGTCCTTTTAACTTTTTGGTTGTTATTTTGAGGAAGGGTGGTATCATAGATGGAAGTCAATTCCTTCATACTGCTTTCTATTTCTTCCTCCAAAGCATGATCTTCCTTAATTAAACTTTCTATCTGAGAGCTCAACTCATTGCTTAGGGAATGTTCTGAAATCAGATTCTGAAGACTCTTTAATTGATGAATCATTTCAGACCAATTTTCCATAAGAGAATGATAGTTGACTTTCTCGGTTGAAAGACGAAGATGTTGACTAAGACATGTTTCTATCTGTGAAATAACAGTGGAAAGCTCCATAATTATGAATAAATTTCGAAAAGAGCATGCCCAACGCGTCGCGCGTCGTTCACGAATGGTTTTTTGTTTGACAGTGTAGTAATGTAAGAAACTCCAATTCTACTAATGTAGGATGATATCGATAAAGAAAACTATATTTTTCGGCGAAAATTATTCTTTTTTTTTTAAGCTTTAATATTTATAATAAGCGAGCTTGTCACTTGCACTATGTGACTTCGTTACATTGATAATATCAGCTAACAATAAGGATAACCATTCCAAAAAAACATTTTATTATTTGTTTATACTTATTGCAAAACTCATTATAAAGGAGAGAAATGTTAGACATAAAAGAGATATGAGTTATGATGACACAGATAAATTTTTATTAGTATTTATAATAACAAACGGAAAACGACCATATAAATTAACATAAAGGGATCACCAAAGCCCTAACGGAACGAGAGATATGAATTCAAAATATGATAATGGAGACTTGAGACGAGTTTAAGAGCAGTAAGAAGCGAATTTTCTATCTGTCAAAGGTTGGGGGAAAATACCGTTGTCAATGAGGATACCCATGTCCCAGGTAGCACCGCCAGACTTGGCAGTCCAGTAAAACCAACCAGCACCACGTTCCAATTGATCTAATTGAGTCTCTATGAATAAACGGATAGCATTTTTGTATTGATCGGTCCAGCTAGAAATGTCGCCGCTGTTGCCGCCGACAAAGGCAGAACCGCTTTCGCTGCTGTTCCAGATAGTGCAGTCAGCCAAGGTAGAAGACCATTCACCGGTGATGGTGATGAAGGGGTTCTTTTCGATTTGATCACCGAGGTTGCAAACGTTGTTGAGGTGGTCATTGTATGTGAGGGAGCATTCATTGCTTTGGTACAATTGATAACGGTGAATATCCATGACCAAGTTGTACATGTTTCCATTAATAGGACCATAAGTCCATTCAGACAAGTCGACATAAGCATCGTGGACAACGGTGGCGACAGAGTTGGATTTGCTAGAAATCATCTTGTACATTTGTAAATCGTAATCCTTGAGTTGATCCATGTTGAGAGCATTACCCAAGGGTTCATTGACAGTTTCGATACCGATAACAACGTCCTTGTAAGCATCTTGGGTGTACTTGTTGGCAACGTAGGACATAATTTGGAGAGTACGCTCGACGTTTCCATCCTTTTGCCAGTCGATGCTACCGGTCTTACCAGAATTTTCGAAACCGTTTTGACTACCGGGCGCGCCATGCAAGTCGATCCATACCTTCATGCCGTTGTCACGAGACCATTGAATAGCTTGATCCAACCAGTATTCTTGACCTTGAACGTAGGGTTCGTTGCCTTCGACGCTGAAGGCCCAGTAACCGATGGGAATACGAACAGCGTTGATGCCCCAGCTAGCGATACGAGCAAATTCATCAGCAGTAAAGAAAGTGCTCCAGTGGTTTGACAATTGTCTGTAAGCTTCGGACTTACCAAGAGTTTGGCAGAAACCCCACTCGTCACTGGGGGCATTGTTCATACCATTGAATTGGTTAAACAAGTCGGCATTGAGCCAGTTTTCAATGAGAAGCCAACCACCAATGTTGACACCACGAATTTTTTCGGTGGTGTAGTCAAAGACGGGATTGTTGCGCTTCATCACCAAAGCGGAAACGGAGTGCAAAAGGAAGAAAGTAGCAAAGAGAAGAGAAACCATAGAACTAAACAAAGACATAATGATGGTTAATTAAAATAAAACAAGAAAATTCAAAAGAGAGAAAGATTGACACTGAGATAGAGATAGAAAATGCAAAATGCAAAAAAAAATATTAATAATAATCCAAACACAACAAAGAAAGGAAATCAAAAGTTGTAAAGAGAAGCGGAATCTATAAGAGTCTAAGAGTCTATAAAATCACAAACGACTGAAACTTGTAAAGAAAGAGAGTGAACGACAAAGGAAAGGAATGTTTCTATAAAAAGAGACTGAAAGAAATGATGTATGAAAACCAAGAGATCCAAGTAGAAAAAATTCCTCAAGGAATGGAAGTGAATAATAGATTGAAAAAGAAAAGAACAAATAAAGAAAAAGATTTGAAAAGAAAAAAGTTGAATTGGCTTTCTAGAAAATCATGAAAGCGAAAAAACCAACTGAAAGAACTTTGCGCGAGTTTTCAAAGAAATGCAATTCGAGAAACGAAAAAAAAGATAAGCGGGTTAAAAAGATCGTTGGAAACCCTTAAAATGCTTTTTTTTTCTTGCTAAACAATGCTGAAAAAGGTTGAATTCCTGCTGAAAAAGTGAGTGAACAAGGCTTTTTATATATTATGAAAATGGTAAATAGTCCCACTATTCTTTATTAAAAGTCACGGGCCAATCATGACATCTTAAGCTACTGGATTCTAAGGGATATTTTCGCTAGCTTCTCTCATTGGCTGATACAATGGCTGGTCCCTTTGTTTACAGGACAAAGAGTTATGGTATCTATTTACATTGATATCATATGTTCTTTGGTTGTCAGGGGGATTTTATGAAACAATAACAAAGCGTATGAAAGTACGGTAAATAGATTTCTCGTAATGCCGTAAATAAACAATGTGAGGTGGTAGCAACAACAGTGTAAATAGAAGCGATTCGTATCATTTTCATCAAGTACGTGTTTGTTGAATGTAGAAAAAAAGCAACGTCAGGACATAGAGAAACAATAAACAAATCTAATTTTCAACGTAAAAATTGAGAAAAATAAAAAAAAAAGAATAAAACAAGTGAATCAATTCCATCTTGTCATTTTGCTACAAGGAGGAGTAAATAGGGAGGAATCATTCATCCTATCTGCTTTGTCATATGTAACCATTGTACCCTTAGGAAGAACAAATCCATAGGGCTCCACCGACACACTGTTTGATTTGAATTAGCACAAGACACATTAAAAATAGAAAATGAAATGAAATGAAATGAAAAAAAAAACTTTCAAACGTATTAAAATATGAAAATGTAGAAATGCAAAGAAAAGCTAGCTTTTTACGCGAACGAGTTGGATGTACCTTGAAGAAGTGACGAGATTACGAAAAGACAAATTTTACAAGTAACAATCCTAAACACTTTTACTAGGATGAAATGAAAATGAACAATATCAGGTGCTAAAAGTCGAATATTGATGGAATAGATTCACCCTGTTGCTTTGTTTTTTTTTTTGCTTTGTAATTTGTGAATGGTTCTTGTGATTCCATCTCGAAATGTCTTTTCCCCTATCCGTAAGTTTGTCCGCAAATAATGCTACATGTCGAGTAAGGGAGGTCATACTACTCTCAAAACTGGGACTTGATGGACTGCTACTACTCCTCATACAAATCATTTTCTTATTCCCCTAAAGGGGAATCAACGATTCCGGTTTCCTTGTATTCTGACAAATGAAAACTGGATGAATTCGGGTCCCCTAGATTTGCTTATCGTCCACGGAAAGAAAAAAATTTCTTCTTTTCTTCTATAAAGAATACAATTGATCTAATATTCCTATGAATTTAAAGTGCCGCGTCGTTTATCCGTCTTTTTTCTTTCTCAGCACCTCTTTTTTTCTTTTTTCTTCCTGCTACAATACAAACATTCTCTTTTAGTTTTTTCTTGTTTTTGTCGTCTCAATAAGCTTTTGTCCTATTGTTAGCGAAAAGTAACAGATGGAAAAGAGACAGAATTAAACATTAACATTTTTGTTTAGCGGAATAGTGAGAATCCTTTTCCAGATGGTTTCTTTGTTACCTCTTTCTTTATAGAAGCGGTAAAAGATATAAAAAAAAAGAAAAAAGAAATCATGTAGAATTGAAAGAGCAATTATAAAAAGAAATCCTCCATCAAAAATTTATATTAAAGAAAAAAAAAAGTACATCCAATTTAGAGTTGTAAATATCATATTATATTCTTTGTAATATCGTAGTATTCGTCTGAATAGATATTGAAAACAAACAAAGAAAAAGGGATAATAAGAAAAAAAACAAAAAAAAATCGATAAAAAATGACTATCAGCAAAAACACCTGTTTTGAAAGAAAAAAGAAAAAAAAAAGTTTTCTTTTCTTTGTTCTTTTTTATTTTTTTTACTGAATCCAGTTTCGTTTGGTTTCGTTCCTCGATGAATACTTTGTTGAACGTGTTGTTTTCTTCGTAAGAGTTGTAGAGTGGCATTTCAAATTTCAAACGTCGTTGTTTTCTTTTTTATTCATTTCATGATGATTGCATGATTCTTCTTGTTTCCTAGCTTGAATGATCATCTTGTCTCTTTGTCTTTCTTACCTTACCTTACCATACTACTTTTCTCTTCCCATATAGTAACAAAGTATGCACATCACAGTGGATTGAATTTATCTCAAAGAAAGAGAGTTTTATTTTTATTTTTTAACTTGGTTTTTATATATTGGTCTATTTATCCTTTATATATTTTTAGGTGATTCGTACAAGGAGGCAGACACGCACTATTGAGTATACGTATTTCTGACTCAAAGCAAGAGAAAAAGTCAATAATGGAAACCAACAATACTTTAAGCCGCACATCTTCCTTTCAGCCACGCTCCTCTTCGACGGAATTTGTCCGATCGACGAATTTGCTGGCGAAAACGACGTCAATCCGTTCACTAGACAACTGGGAATTTCAAATTATGCATGCGTTGCAAGACAATACGAGTCCTTCTGCCGTCCGAAGAAACATGCGCAAACTCTTGATCGAATCTATATAGCTCATGTTCGTTGCTGATACGATAATTTCCCAAGATTACTCTCTACGTAAAGGAATTCCACGTTGTCACCAAGCCCTCTTTTCGCCAGATTTTGTTCCATACTTCATTAAAGAAGAAATTAGTTTGAGTTGAATGCGTATTGCTTGCACGGTTTCATTCACAAATCATTGCACAATGGTTGCATCTAAAACATCCTTCAATGATTATACCTCGCGGCTCAGCCTAATGCATTAACCAGCAATATTCCTTGAAAGAAAAAGAAAAATAAGGATTTTTATGGGAACCCTTTTTATTTCTTTTTCTTTCAATCTTCCAACAGATCAAAGACAAGAGTAAGTGCAAAACCAATTGGATGGAATGGATTCATAGGTTCCTTTTCCTTTGTTTAAAATATCAGAAGAAGTGAAAAAGATACAAACTATCTATCTGCTTTGCTTTTGTTTCCATATCTCTCGATTGCTTTCATTTCTTCTTGTTTGGCAATTGTCATCGCTACTTGAAAGCAGTACAATTGTCAGTTAGTATGAATCGTCTTTATGAAGGCATATCTCGTATTGTAAAGTAATTATATTTATAGTTTATTTCTAAATTCTCTCTACATTATATGAGACTCACGTTCGTTGTATCAACCGCAAACACAACCGTAGCAAATCCAAATGCCAATTCAACGGGCATTCGCAGCAGAAAAAAAGAAGAAACCTACATATAGATTTTTCAATTCCAACAAAAATTTACATTTAGATTCAACTTGTTTGTCATGTATCCTTTTGACATTGTAGAGCGTTCGCTCGCTCGGTATTGGTATACCCCTATAACTTGCTTCTACGAACCCACCTATTTTTTCTTTTTCTTCTCAATATCATTTCCCTTCTTCTATCTTAATAACGACAGCAGAAACAATTTTATAGAATATATGAAAAATTAATTTTTCCTTTTGGATCCTCGAAAAATCATCGAATCTTGGAATCTTTTCTTGCTGTAAAGTAGGAATTGACAAGATTGACCGGTCGAAAGCTAAGCTAGCTAAGCTAACACTCTTGTAAATTAATATAAAGAAATATGTTGCATCTTTGGAAGACTACAAACTTATACAGTCGAACCACCTTTGGGGTTGCTTCCAATCTCTTGCGAGAGAAGCCAAGTTCTTGGACTTTGGCACCGATCGCTTTGAACCTCCGTTGGAGCCATCAATACGCGCCCCGTCGTGTCAAGTTTAAAAAGGCACAAAAAGGACGAGTCCACGTTCCCACAGGCGGATCTACCAAGGGAACACAGCTGGAATGGGGAGAATATGGTATGCGACTCTGTGACCGAAGCATCCGTTTTCGAGCCAAGCAGCTCGAAACCGCTGAACAGGTCATCAAGAGAATTTTAAAACCAATTAAGAATGCTAGTATCTATACGCGTTTCACCTGTAACATCCCTGTCTGTGTGAAGGGTAATGAAACACGTATGGGAAAGGGAAAAGGTACTTTTGAATATTGGGCCGCGCGTATCCCCATTGGAAGAGTAGTATTTGAAGTTGGTGGAGAAGGCTTGCGTGAAGAATTAGCTCGACATGCTCTTCGACAAGCTGCGTTCCATCTTCCAGGAAAATTCGAGTTAGTCACCAAAACCTCTCCTAAACGACTTGGCACTACATTAATTCAGGAGCAGGGACACAAGATGTCCTCTTTGGAAACTGCAAATCAAAAAGGAATTTAAAAAAAGGAGTTTCAATTTGACTTGACTGCTTGTTGCTATTCATTCCCTCTATCATCCCATTTCCATCCACTTTTTGATGCCATAGTTGAATGCTGTTGTTCTTATCTTTCTCCTTCTTGCCTATACCCTTGTCTGTAAGGCTATAATCATCTAATTACAACTCGTCAATGCCATCAATTTCTCATTCTTTACTTTTTCATACAGAACGATCACAATGATCAAAAATATCCTCATATTGATTCTGAACTTTCTGAACTTTTACGTTGAACAATTACTATAAAACTTAAAATGTGTCTTTTTTTTAAATTCAAAGCTGTGAAACACTAATTATCCTTAGGAAAAACTCACTCTCACTTTTATTCAACCTTTCCATACAGATGGACAAACATTTCGGTGTTCACTTAGGAATCGAATCTCAGGTCTGCCTTTCTTGTTGTGAAAGAACACAGTAGTAAATGTCCATTATAATAGTCAAAATAACAAAGTCATAAAAGTCTCGTCTACTAGCAGTGACTATTAAAGCCGACAATGGTATTATAACCCAGAAAAGTTTTACAGGTTGTCGTTTTGCATTATGATTGTCCGTGCAAATTTATGTATTTCTGTTCGTCGTCAAATCAATCATTCATCATTTAATGACTGCAAACATGGTTCTTTTTTTTACTACACATAATTTGTCCTCGGGTTCATTGGGATCAACATATTCATCTATCCAGCATCATCGGCTCATCTGACTCAACTCGGTAGGTCTCAATCTCAACAGGATCAATAGGTCCATCCTCTCAAACACTCACCAGCATATGAACTCACTACTCTTACACTTACACTTACTCTACTCCCTTACTTACAAAGATTCTTGTCTTGCTACTACTCATCAAGTCTACTTACTTCGTTTTGTCTTCCCTACTAAAATCTTGGTTTGCCACTTCATAGACCATGTCATTTACCGTCACGTCGTTTACTTTAATGCTTACTTTACAATGGCCGAAAAGGGTTAAACAAAAAAAGTTTGTTTGTTTTGATGAAATTTGATTTGTCAATTCTTTGCCTTTACGTGCGCTATAAAATCAGCGAGTGGCTAAAAGAGTTTCCAGACTCCAATAAGCAAGCGCCTTATATTTAGCCATCAAAAAAACATAAGTTCTAGATTGGTAATCTTACTTTACAGTTTCATCCGACAGCCGATCTTTTAGATCCTCACTGGATGATCAATAAAGATTTCCACGCATATATATATCACTCCTCGCAAATTTGGAAGTGACTGTTCTCAACTATATATTTCAGGTTAGGGTTGACTCGCACATCTTGAACTTACCCTCTACAAAAACACATATGCGTCTTTCTTTTCCACGTAACAGAGCTTGTCAAGAGCTTAGCAGAAGACTCCAGATTAGAAATTCGAACTATGTTCGTATTCCTTCTCTGGGAGTCGCTCAAGCTGCTAGATTCTCTACAAGAAGCACATCAATGGCACCCAAGCCTACCATTGCCAAAATGTCCTCCATCGTTGACGAAGCTAGCGGAACTCCTTCTGTAGTTCCCCCTCGTAACCCTTATGGCCCCAACCCATCGGATTTTCTATCTCGCGTGAACAACTTCTCCATCATTGAATCTACTCTCCGTGAGGGTGAACAATTCGCCAACTCTTTCTTCGATACCGAGAAGAAGATCGAGATTGCCAAGGCCTTGGACGAGTTCGGTGTTGACTACATCGAATTGACCTCTCCTGTCGCCTCGGAACAATCTCGTCGTGATTGTGAGGCCATCTGCAAGTTGGGTCTCAAGAGCAAGGTTCTCACTCACATTCGTTGCCACATGGACGATGCCCGTGTTGCTGTCGAAACCGGTGTCGACGGTGTTGATGTTGTCATTGGTACTTCTCAATACCTTCGCAAGTACTCTCACGGTAAGGACATGACTTACATTATCAACAACGCTACTGAAGTTATCAACTATGTCAAGAGCAAGGGTATCGAGGTTCGTTTCTCCTCTGAAGATTCCTTCCGTTCAGACCTCGTCGATCTCCTTTCTCTTTACAAGGCTGTTGACAAGATCGGTGTTAACCGTGTTGGTATTGCTGACACCGTCGGTTGCGCCACTCCTCGTCAAGTCTACGATCTCGTTCGTACCCTTCGTGGTGTTGTCTCTTGTGACATCGAGTGCCACTTCCACAACGATACCGGTATGGCCATTGCCAATGCCTACTGTGCTTTAGAAGCTGGTGCCACCCACATCGATACCTCCGTCCTTGGTATCGGTGAGCGTAATGGTATCACTCCTCTTGGTGCCCTTTTGGCTCGTATGTATGTCACCGACAGAGAGTATGTTACTTCCAAGTACAACTTGAAGAAGCTTCGTGATCTTGAAAACTTGATCGCCGATTCCGTCCAAGTCCAAATTCCCTTCAACAACTACATCACTGGTATGTCTGCTTTTACCCACAAGGCTGGTATCCACGCCAAGGCTATTCTTGCCAACCCTTCCACATATGAGATTCTTCGTCCCGAAGATTTCGGTATGAGCCGTTACGTCCATGTTGGTTCTCGTTTGACTGGATGGAACGCCATCAAATCCCGTGCCGAACAACTTAACCTTCACTTGACCGATGCTCAAGCTAAGGAGTGCACTAACAAGATCAAGCAATTGGCTGATGTTAACTCTTTGGCCATGGACGATGTTGACCGTGTCTTGCGTCAATTCCACGCTGATCTTCAATAAATCAGTTCCATTTAGTTTTGCTTAAAAGTTCTTTAGTTTTTGCTTATACGACTGTTATCGAAAACTGAAAAGCAAATTCTCATAAGCTACTATCTATATAATTAATTCTATAAAAAAAAAGTCCTTTTTGGCCATTCGAAGATGGTTTTTATCCATAAAGTTATCGGGTTTCTACGCAATGCATTTCTAATTTATATTATTGAATGCCCGTTGTTAAAAAACCTAAAAAACTGCAATTCCTTTTAATGGTTATGTTTCTTTTCCTACGGTTTGGTGTCATTACTTGTTTAATAATATATATATTTGCGTCAGTATATCAAATGTCTTGTAGATTCAATAGTAGTTGTTATGTTTGTGAATACCAGGATAGATACTCAGTCGACGATGGTAACATCCATGACTCAAATTCTATTTTATTAAACCTTTTACCCATAAAATTTGACCAGTCAAGGTATCTACACACGTTTCCTTTGTTTTTTATTCGAAGGGGCTGCGTTGACTCTGTTTTCCCTCTTGTTCCCAAAACCTGATCCTTGTTAGCTTTTTGTGATATATAAAATGTTTTCAAGTACTTACCTTTTTTGTTGGGGACTTTTTGACGGTTATTTCTTCCTTTATTATCTGCTTTATTAAATGACTTATTGTTGTCATTAATGTCGACATCCAAATCCATTTCGTCATTTTCACTTTCAATTCCTTCTTCATTGACCTCAATCTTTCTTTCTGCTCGAGAGTTTCGAACCTGCAAAATTCGTTCCAACCATTTTTTATCAGCAGCATCCTGCGTATATCTAGAGAGTTCATTGAAAGTGAATATTCTCAACATCCTATCAAGCAATTGTTTTGCCTTAATTTTTACAAAAGCATTATGCTCTTTGAGCCATCGAAAAATTGAAGGCATCAATGAATCCATAAACCGCTCAATTGTTTCCTTAGGACTCACTGTAATAATCATTTTGACAAATCCGACAGCAGTACGTGCAACTTCTTGGTTGCTTGAAGACAAATTTAATTCCATAAGCTCCATTAGTGAGTCAATGATAGACTGATCGATTTCATCTATGCAGGTTAATATAACAATCCCATTGTATTAGTATGCTTACCCCTAAATTCATAATAAAGTCTTGTCAAAGAAAGAATTGTACATGTAGTTAAAGTTGGCGTTGACTCGAAAAGACCAGCTGATACCATTGTGAAGTATTCTTTAAGCGAAGCTTGAACCGTCTCATCATTTGAATCGGCTCCTTGAATACGTGAGCGATCGATTTTACCACCTTCTTTCATAATATTTCCCATTTCAACAAGCAATTCATATGCTTTAGCACGTACATCAGCCATATGGTCTTTAGATGCTAGAGTTGCCTCTGAAATTAGCGGAACCATCAAATGTAAATCATCTTTGGGAATCAAACCTAAGAGAAGCTTCCAAGTCTTGAACCTTTCCAGAAGAGTATATTTAGAGTTAGATTGAACACTGGCACCGACGTCAACTAATGATTCAACCAAATTACCAACGAATGGTGATACAGTCTCTACCATATTTGGATTCGAAAGACAAGCATTTAGCAATCTGTAAGCAAATCCAGCTCCAAAGTTTAGAGAAGAAGCTTCGCTTTGAGAATCCTTTGGAGGTTTCTGATTGAAAAGCTTTACCAAATGAGGCAAGAAAGGTTTCCAAGTGTCACTAGGAGCAATATTAAGCAAGCTAGGAAATGCATTGACAATTGCCTTGTTACCTAAATTTGCATCGCTCAAAGGAGCAGAATCAATGAATGTTGTTATAACTTCAGACTGCTTGTCAGCAGAAACAGCAAATATAGAGACTATAGCATCAATAACACATTGTGCTAGTGTATGGGCAGGTGGCATGGACGCAAGAACATTACCAAGTACACCAATTATATTCGCAGCATTTTTTGAAAGTATGGACTGAACTGAGGAAACCTTGGATAGAGAAATGAAGGATTTGACAATAGGCTCACGATATTTTTCTTGTTGATAAACAGTAGAGGCCATTTTTTTTAGTACTTCTTCACTCAAAGCACTAGGATCGTTTACGGACGAACAGAAAGCTGGAAGTACTGACCACCATTCAGGAGCACCAGAATCAATAACCGGTATAAAGACATTACAAAATTCTAGAAAATCATTATTTTCAGAATCAAGCAAAATATCCTTCAGCCATGAGTAACGTTGAAATTTCGAAAGTTCATTTATTGGTGCCAACGATGTTATAGTCGTCTCAACACCAAACTTCTCAAAAGATACCATGAATAGTTGTTTTACTTCTTTTGACTTCGGAGTTTTCCATTGGTTGATTGCGCGAGCAAGGTCTTGAAAGGTATTGAACAACATGTCCATATGCTCCTTACGCGCGGCCTTAACGAGCAATGTGAGGAATGCACAGCAGGTATTAATTATAGACGTACGCTTTAGACGTAACGAGCGAGCGGATCCAATCAACTTTGAGATTTTACCAGTCACATGTGTAATTACATGCAAAGCGATGGATTTGTTTGATAGTGCGCTAGTCAAGCATTTTTCAGTGAGCCCACCATTGTCTTCTTCGAAAAGAAAAGCATATTTGGACTCATTGCTGTCAGTATCAGCCAGCGAAGACTCCAACAAAAGATCAAACAAATGAGTAAGCCTTTTCATTCCTTTCGATTGACTTCTACTAGCGAACGTAGTGCTGAACAAGATGGCAATCAGTGGAGCCCTCTCCCAAGATTGAAGCATTTTGTCCGTCTGATCAGCTACAAATGCATCCGGGATAGCATCAATTCGTTTTGAAAGAAGATTAGCGAGTAGTGAAGTAGCTTTCTGAACGACAAATTCTGAAGAAGCTATATCGGATTGTAAAATAGAAACCAATGAACCGGTGGTGGTTCCAAGATCAGTACCACTCACATGTTGAAAATCAACAAACTCATCTAAGAGCTGCATACAATGAATAGAAGTTGAAACATTTGCTTTATCTGAAGAAGGGGATTCATTTAATTCACGGAATACTTGGGAACATAAAGCGATGATACGAGACGTCAAAAAAGAAGAAGAAGTCTCGTTCTTCTTGGAAACTCCCTGCAAAGCTTGTATAGCACATTTACGGATTTTCGGTCGGGAATCAATTGAATATTTTAATAAGACTGTTAATGAAAGTTCAAGAGACGCAGAGTGTGAACTTATATCTTGTGCCATTATAGCAAATAAGAATTCCTGTATGCATAACAAAATACAGCGAATAGTAGGAGCTTCAGTGCCCTGCTCTTCCAAACAAGGAACAAGATGTGATTCTAAAACTTCAACATGAGCGAGCCTTTCCTTCTCAGGGACAACTGGAAGCACAACTGATAGCAAATACACGGCAGAGTAGTCCACTTTATCGCTTTGTAGTATAAGGGCAGTCAAGGCTGACATGTACACGATTGGAGAAAGCTCAAGCTTTTTTTGAGTAATATACTCTTCGACTGAACATAGCAAAAGAGCCGGTTGCCGTTGATTGTCTAATTTACCGTTGGTATGTGATCGAATTACTTTCAGCATGCGCTCAAAGTTTTCGGATTTCGACATTTTTGATTCAAAGTAACTCTCAGAGCAAAAGATCAAACACTATTCTATTACAAATAAATTACCAAGCCAAAGATTTATAAAAATAATTAGTAGAACCTTGAAACCAGTAAACCTCCCAAAAAGTAATTAAATGAAGAAAAAACAACGTTTTTCCCAGGCGCCAGACTCAATTTCCAAGAGTATATTTAGCGAGGAAATTTTAACATCGTTAAGTTTTGCTTCTTAGTTTTCTTTACTTTTAATGATTTATTTGCTTTGCCTAAAAAGTTATGAATTCTTCTTGAAGCTAAGTTGCTGTTACTGCTATTTAATCAAAAATCTACTTAGTTTTCGTTGACTGACAGACCAGCTGTTCCTCATATCATCTACTCAAACTAAATTGTTTACTATCTCTAATCCACATCATTTCCTAAAACAGTACGGTTCAATCTTACAATTAACAAAACTCAGCTTTCAAGCGTGCAATTAGTCATCATATTTTTTAATAATAACTCAAAAAGGAGACAAGAAAATACGTATCCAGAAGTCTATAAATTTCATATGTCTATAAAGCTCTATAATGTATATATAGACTTTTCGTCCGTAAGTCATTCAAAACTCAATCATAAAGCAGGAAAATGCAAAAAATCCTTGAATCAAGAAGGTAACATTTTAGTTCTAGTAAGTACGGGGAGAGTATGCAAAGTAATTAACTGATTAGCTCTTATATAGGCACCACGCAGAAAAGCATAAGAGAAGAGAAGGCATTGGCGAATTAAAAATATAATCATAAAAAAAAAGTCATCTTCTAATTTATCATTCACATCCCTCGTAAACGATCAGTCTTCTTGTTCCATTATATGGAGAAAAAAAAAAATTCCGAGCTTAACAGCGATAAACTTCAAAATCAGAGAAAAAAGAGGAGGCAATTATTCATAAACTCGCAGTCATCATTAAAATAGTAAAGCAACAGCAAAAAATCTCGCTGTTCGCATGATCGTTGAAACATATTTGGCATTCGTAAGTCCAAAAAAGATTCTATTTATTTTTAAGAACATAGATTTATCAGACTTAGTAAAAGTCATTAGATATAATCTCTTTCAAACAATCTCAATCACAAGAAGGGTCAAGGTCACAACGATGGTTTCTAGCAAATTACCAACTTGCCCCGGCGGAGTCATTAGGAGGGATATTACTTTCTGTAACAGCACACATCCATATACGTGTTTTATAAACTTTGAATAAATCACGAACGAGTTCGCGAAAATCAATGCGTTGTTTCGCGTGATAGTAGAATGTAAGCTTCTTTCGATCCCACTGATATTCCCCATCTAAAACTTCCATAGGAAGCTTTCTTTGTCGTACCTTAGCTTGACAAACCAACAATGCTTGCGATTCGTCCTGGTATTTAGAAGCAAGTTCATCTACTTCTCGGGATTCTGCTAAACGGTAAATATGCTTTGGATGCAAGCCCGTGGCTGTAACAGATACACTGTTATCACTCTTAGCACCAAAGCCGTTATTGCCTTCGGCTGCTTGTAGGGCGGCTAGTTGTTCCTCTTTCAAACTTGCTAATCGCGCCGCTGCTTCAACAAGAGATAAATCTTTCGCGATTACTCGTCCGAGATCTTGACCTCGATCTGCCTCTACAATAACATAACTACTAAGTTTGACGCCAGTCAAATGACCTGCATCGGCGACAAACACATCAGTGCGACCAGCTTTGAACTCGACCAAAAGTAAATTAGAGGCTGAAGCGTTTGCTTGAGCCATAGCAGAAGGAGCATCAACGTCCGTTTCCAAGACGTCAGACAAAGGAGCTGATAGTGGAGGGACATTTGCAAAATGCAAAGTCTGGGGAGGCGCAGAAGATGGAACTCGATTTGACGACAATAAGGTAGGACGCATAGAGATGGGATTTGTAGATACATCAAAAGAAGAGCGTAGAGGAGGAGGAACGAGTCGATAATTCTTAGGATCGGTAATTGAAGAGCGTCTTTGTCCTCTGGGCCATGCAAAACGATCCTCAGCCAAGTCATTCGGACTTGCCATCTCTTCAAAGGAGTTACCGCCACTGACCAAATCCTCAGGGACAATGGGAGAATTTGCAGTATTGATAGAAGGAAAACTGGCGCTGTTGCTTCTCTGTTTAAGAGATAACTGAGCCAGATTATTTTCTAAATTGGCTGAAACACGCCCAGTAGTTGGTGAGAAAAGAGATGAGCGAGAAGTGCCTGAGGCAGAGTGACGGGCCCAAGAACGAGAAGCTCTGGGAGTGAATCCATTGGTATTGGCAAGATCCAATCGATCTGATACCAAATTCTGTACGTTATTCGCTTGTCCAGATAATCGGGAGGAAGACAACGGAACAATAGGATCCGAAGCTTGAGAAGGAGCAGCAGTACTGGATAAATTATACTTGGTTGTGGGAGAAGCAGAGGCTTTGGACCATATGGAATTGTCACTAAGAAAGTCAAAAGAGGAAAACGTAGGATCCGCAGACAAAGGAGCCTGAGCCACGGGGTGACGAGGGGAAAGGTTTAAGGCAACATTCTGCAAATTTGGAGAAGCCTGAGAACCACCGTTCAAAGATGACCTACCAGGAAGACGAAGAGTAGTGGCGGGTATGGGGCGTCCGTGATTATCAGTGTTTAGACTTGGACGGCGGGCAGAGAGGCCAGTGGACAAGCTGGAATAAACATCACCGGTACTAGGGCGGACCGACTGCATGGGAAATGGAGTAGAATTTTGAACAGAAGCGGCCTGCTGTTGTTGTTGTTGTTGCTGAAGAGCAAACAATTGAGTTTGGCCGGAAAGACTAGGGCTAAGAGATTCCGAAAAAGACAAACGATTCCACTTTTCAGGATTATTCGGGGAAGCACGCAACGGATTGGCCAAAGCCGAGGGGTTAGTGAGTTGACCTTTAGAAAGAGAAGTGGGAGCCTGAGAAGTATAACGATCTTGTGAAGGAGAAAAATTAGGGGAAGGACCTTTTGACCATGTAGAGGAAAGGAGCTCGTTGGGAGGAATGGAACCTTTCGGATCAAAAGACAAGTCATCTGAGAGTAGTTGAGAGGAGTGATTGTAGAGACCTCGCTGATTAGGGGAAGAAAGGGAAGACGAGGATGAAGGAGGAGAAGAATCATGAAAACGGGAAACAGGATTTTCCAATAAGGATGGATTGGGAAAAGCCTGTGAGGGAAACCCAGAATAGGAATTGGATGAAGCCGAGGTAAAGGGAGATATAGAAGATGGACCTGGAACGAGAGAAGGGCTTTTTTGGTTTGGAAAGGCAGAAAAGCGGGGAGAAGAAGTATCCATTTGAGCGGAGGGTTGAGAATCAGAAGGCAAAGGATGAGAAGAGGAGGTGGAAGGGGAAGCGAAAGAGGAAACAGGGTTCCATGATTCCATGATGGAGAGTTGACGATCTGAAGGAGAAAACGAATTCAACTTTGGATTGGGTACAAAAACTGTGTCCATAAGAGCCAAATGTATGGCGAAGGAGGTTAAAAGTGTCTAATGGAAGAGAGTAAAAAAGAAAAAGGGGTGAGTACTGGAAAGGAGTACTAAAAATGGGAAGACAATGAAAACGAAAGAAAAAGGAGTACAAGTTGGCCTAGACGGAAAGAAAAGAAGAGAGACAGAGATAAAAACAGAAACAGAGAAAGGGCCAAACTTTTTCTTTATAAAGAAGATAGCCAAGAAAGGCAGTAAAAGAGAGTAAATAAAAAGATACCAAGAAAAACGATTCCGCTTGGAAAAGGGCAATGAAATCAAGAATAAAACGTTGGATTCAATTGACCACGAGGAGAGAGAGACAGAGAAGATGAAAGGAGATGTTTTCTAAAGAAAAATAATAAAGAGTAAAACGTTCTTCCCCTTTTTCCCTTTTTTTTTTTTGTTTTCTACGTCAATGAAGGAATAGACGGCGACGGGCGACGGTGAGGAAAGAATGTCGAAAAGTCGTCGTCAAAATCGTAGTAGAAGCGGGAGAAAAAAGGAGGATAGCTTAACAGTTTTTTTTTTTAAATTTTTATTGATGGAATTGGAATCAATGAGGAATGACAATGACAATGACAACGACAACAAGAAAAGAACAAGCAACAAGAGACCTAACGTTGAAGCACGATGATGTATTTTTCTGTTTGAAAAGGAAGAAACAAAATAGAGAAAGAGAAAAACGGAAGGAAAATGTTCAAATTAAAAAATTGAACGAAATAGGATGAAATGAAACGTGTTCACACAAAAAGAAGCGAGGAAAAAAAGACAAAACTGTATGATTTTAGAAGGATGGTAGAAAGAAACCACTTGTTTGAAAAATAAAATAAAAAACAATTCTTTCTTTTATATATACAGACAATGCCAAAATAAGATGGCAGCAAAAACAAGGAAGAAAGATTACAAGTGCAGTTTGGTTCTAGGTAAGATGTTTTGGAGACGTCAATGAGCCTTTCTAAGGTGGTAACATTCGGCTACTCTGTATGGGGGAAGGAAGCGGCTGCGTTGATGGTTTGGTTTGATTTACGTAGGATGATGATTCCACTCCACTGGCTGGAGGGGGGGTAAGCCTATGAAGACAAAGGAACGGAAAGTCAAAAACCTTTTTTTTTTTTTTCTTTTTCTTTTTTTCTATTTTCTTTTTATAATTATTTTTATAATAATAATTGGTTTTTTAAAATTATTTTTTTTCTTTTTGGGGGGGGGGAGGAGAGAATTGAATGACAAAGCAATGGAAAGAGAAAAAGAAAATTAAAAATAAAAATAAAAAGAATTGTAGAAAGTCAACAAAATAGTAGGGAAAAAACAATATTATTCAAGTAATATCATCAAAAATAAAAATAAAAAACAGAAACAAAAACAAAAAGATAGAAAACAAAATTAGTGATGGTTTGATGGTTTGATGGTTTTATGATTGGGTGAGATCCCCCACTGAGATGATGGCTTTTCATCTAAAAAAAAACCAGAGGTTTCGGAGTTGATGGGAAAAGGAAGCATCACAAAAGAGGAGAGCAGGAGATGCAACGAAAGAACGACGCAGAGCGTAAGAAAAGAGAGAGAGAGAGTAAGAACAGTGAGAGGTGAGTAGGAGCAGAGAAAGACCAAGAATACAGAATGAACTGGAGGGGAGTGGAGTGGATGGATGAGTGTAGTAGTGAAGAATTTTGTTTTTTTTTTGAAATTTGAAATTGAGATTGGAAATTAAAAAATTGAATGGGGAAATACAATTTTTGATTAAAACCCCAGACTTTTTAGAGTAAGTATGTGTCTCGGTTACAAACTCGTTTGAAACGAAAAGGGTTTCCAACAATGAAATCATAGAGACGTTGCATTGACTGCATCAAGTCATAAACGTTGTTTTTGGTGTGAGCATTACAAGGAAGAGAGAAAGCAGTTAGGAACAGTGAGAATAAAAAGAGACTCGAAAGAGTCTGCAAATAAAAAAAGAAAAAAAAAGAAAGAGCAATTCCTATTTTTTTTTATTTGCAGACTCTTTCGAGTCTCTTTTTATTACTTCATTCATTCATCATCTTCATCATTTATACATAGCTACAGACAATGCAATGCTTTATTTTTATGTGCCTGGGGTGGTTGGTAGTCGTATCGATTCTGCTCAGTTACATCCAACGTACATAGGTAGAGTGTGTGTGTATGTGTGTGTATGTATGTATATAGGAGAGAGTGTGGAGTGGAGCAAGGGCATTATGATTCGTTTCTCCTATTTCAAACATTTAACGATAGCCAAGGGAAAAAAAAAAGAAAGAAATAGGAAACGCTCTTTCATACTGGTTGATAATATCTGGAGGGAATTTCTCCTCCCATACAAATACAAACTATTAAATAAGAGAAGATGAGAATAAAAGAAACTTGAAATGAAAACCAACCAGAGAGGTTCTTTTTTGTTGTAGAAATTGAGACAAAGAAATTGAAATTTGTATAAAAAGTATAAAGAGTAAACCAAAAACAGCAATCCTAAAGATCAGTCAGGAAATGAAATGAGATGAAATTGAAATTGAAATTGAAATTGAAAGTAAAAGAGACTGCGAATGCGAAAAGAGCCAATTCCCTTTCATACATATACCATTCATCCTTTCCTCTACCTACTCCTACTAACATACAGTATGACATTGCTATTCTTAGCTTACCTAGTGTACACAGCCGGTCTTTTTGAAATTCCATTTTCCTCTCGAGTTAAACTAAACCAAACCAAAACCAATTCCTTTTTTTTCTCCTTTCAATAAACCATTCCAAACCCATTCTATACAATCTCCTCCTTCTTTCAATTACAAACTAGAATTAAAATCTTCTTTTCTCTACAATGGTTTTTCTTTCCTTCTTTATTCATCCATCCATTCATTTATTTTATTTGTTTCTTTTTATTTTTCCTTCTTTGTTTATTTCCTTCTTCTTTTTTTTTGTTTACCTTTCTGAATCATCAACATCATCCTCCAAATCCTTCTGCTATATCTCTTTGCCCAATCTTTTTCCTAGCAGATGTTGCCATCAACGGATTTATTATCTACGGCTTTGGAACCTAAACACCATATCTATCCTCACGCTCTTCATAATTGGCCCACGCTCGCACACTTTCAACCCGATTCATCCGATCTCCGGCCCCACTTGTTGAAACCCTTTTACACCATCAAACATTGTTTTTTTTTTTTGGTTCAATTTATTTTCTTTATTTTTTTTTATTTTCAGACTCTTTCGATTCTCTTTTCTCTCACTGTTCCTCACTGTTTTCTCTTGTTTTTTTTTCTCTCTCGTTCTCTTCTTGTTTGTTTTCCTTGTTGTTTGACGTTGCTTTCGGTTGCTGATTCCCGGTTCCCCTTCCCCTCTTTTTTGCGACACTTTGTTAATCGAGGTTCATGTCATTTCCCCACACTTTAAAAATTTCTCCTCCCTAACGAATAATCGAGTTAGAAATCGTACTAGCCATCTGTCCAGACCACCAGCCAATTAATCCTTGATTCTTGTTACTTTCCCGTGTCGCTTGTATCAAATTCCTCAAATCCGTCCTTACTTCGTTTTTTCCCTTTCCCAATATCAACAACGTTTTCTATACTTTTTTCTATTTAAAGAAAGCCCTATACTTACAGAGAAAACCGTTGTTTTCGTCATTTTATTATTTATTTTTTTTTTTAAAATTATTTAATTTCATCGCTTTCATTTTGTTTTGGTTTTCTTTCGAGTTGTTCCTTACTTGTATTATTAAAAAGGGCCGGTTCCTTCTTCCTTACTTGTAACCGCTCTGTCGCGCTTTTTTTTTCCCTCTGTTCATTGCAATAACTTTGTTTTTCTTATTAATCTCTTTTTTTTTTTTTTTTGTTTTGGTTTCAAGTCTTCTCTCATCTTAAACGAAACTTGTTTACCAATCTTTGCTTCGCTTCATCATTTTATAAAAAAGAAAAAGGTTAGTAGAGCCGTTTGGTCTTCTTTATTTTTTTTCCAATATCCTCCTCTTCTTTCTACTCTGTCTCTGTCTCTCTCTCTATAGTGCTTTTAGCTTTTACTACCTGTTGCCACTTTCTTACTCCCACACAGGTACACAGACACACTCTCTCATAAACGCTCACGCACTATATCTTGTGTTTTCTGAACGATCGTTAGATTCCTACCCTTCTTCAGCATTCTTATCTATCATTTATCTCTTTTGATTTTTTCATGGAAACGTCCTTTTCTTTTCCTCCCTGATTTTCTTTTTCTTTTCCTATTCCTTTTCATTTTCAATTGTTACTGGCTCTGGTTCTGAAACAGGTTTCCCATAGTTGTCCTTTTTCTGGATTCGTACTTTCAATCCACACCAATACCACACTTCATTATATACACATCCTCCAAATTTGGTTTCCTTTGATTGTGTCTTTTCCAGGTACCTTTACTACCTTAAAAAAACTCAAATCTTTTTGTTGTTTCCTAATCCTTTTTTTTGTTTACCCTTCCTCTTCACCCGTTTTTCCTTTTGGCTTACTGGTGACGGTTCTTTTTGATTGTTTCGTTTGTATGCTATATATTTGATTTTGGCAACTCAAAACACCATCGCTTTTGTCTAATCGCCGAAATTCCTAGTATCGTCAGTCGTTTTTTCTTATTCTCTACCTCTTTTATTTTTCCCCCCACGTGCCTAATTTTTTAATTATTCTGTCTTTTCTACCACTGTAAAGAGGTTGTCTATCGTTTTCTTTGACTTTTCATAAAAACTTTAGGTATCTTTTATTTTTATTTTTTTTTTTACTTTCCATCAAGTGCTTTACCAAGTATTCTTTGATTTTTTTTTATTAGACGAGGCACGTACGGCATATTGATACCATTGAAAACCTTTCTCTGAAATTCATTGTACCTCAACCTTTATATTGTTGTTTTCCCATTCTATTTAAAAAAATGGTTTACTCTCCCATGTCTCGCCCCCAAGTTCCACTGACATTTCGTCAATGGCCTCCGTATGACTACAAAACTGACCCATTGACTATTCCAAGATTTCCAAACAGTACTCCATTACAAAACACTTCATCTTTACCCACTAGTTCTTCACTTTTGGACACCTATGGCTCTTCTTTACTTTCCAAATCGGCAAACACATTGGGAAATTTAAAACCCGCAAACAACACCGTCCTTTCTCCTGATGAGACTTTTCCTTCAACAGTGATGCCCCAGTATCGCTCTATGGATGTTGGTACTCCTAAATCTCCTGATGCCGATGGCTGGCCTTGGCACTTGACTTCCAACAATACCCAGGGTTATGCATGGTCTCAATCCTTCAATCCCAATGCTTCTGCAAATTATTTGCACTCTTCTTCCCGTAATCTAAATGATTATCCTTCGCCTATTTCATCCTTAGACAGCCTTCCCTCGAAAAGTAGTGTGGGTAGTTCCGGTTTAGATTTTCATCCTATACCATCTAGTTTGAATGATGATGCCAAGCCTACGCCATATCCCATGAACATGGCTGGTGTTTCAATGGGTGAAGCTTCTTCTCATCCTTCGTTTACCTTTGCACAAAATTCTGTTGATCGTGTTTTCAATCCTAAACCAAAGTTGTATTATCCTTCCAAGTCATCGACGAATGTTCGTACCACTAAACCCGTTTTATCCAGACAATCTTATTCTTCTGGATCAATCCCGTCAATTCCTTTAAAGTCAAGTATAAACACCACCGTCGGTGCACAACCGTCTGCTCTTTCAAACCAAATTTCCCCTGTCGTCGGTACTCCTGTTCTAAACTCTTCAAAATTTTCAGCCGGTGCTCTTCCAGAACAAGCATCTCCTGAACAACTAAAGCAAACCAATATCAACAATGCTGCCAATCAACGTCCTCGTGCTGCCACTCCTGGAAGTAATAACGGTTCTACCACTTCTACTGGAAAACGCGCTTTATATAAGACTGAACCGTGCAAAAACTGGCAAACAACTGGTAATTGCCGCTACGGTAATAAATGTCAGTTTGCTCATGGTGATGATGAATTGAAGGAGCCTCCTCGTCATCCTAAATACAAGAGTGAACCATGCCGCTCTTTTATGCTATACGGTTACTGCCCCTATGGATTAAGATGCTGTTTTTTGCACGATGAGCAAAGATTTTTGAACAGTCAGCAAAATATTCAGGAAGTTATTAATACGGATATAAAATAATCGATGCTTCTGGTATAAGAATATGAACCGTTTAAAGCTAATTTATTTGTTAAATATTATGTTTATCATTATTTTACAGTTGCTATTTATGTTTATTGCTCCGTATCATATTATGTGAATATTCTTGTTGATAGTGTATGGTCAATACACATATTGTTCACTGGTTTTCGAAATACCGCTATGGATATGATGCCTGTAACTTCTTTATTTCTTTATTTATTGCAATGTCAAAAATTACACTTGTCTATGTTGGTTCCAAAAAAATTCAAGGACTTAAATGGAATAATTTAGTTTGGTACACAAGATGAATTTGTTCTCTTGCACGCTTTTAGTACAATTTATTTATTGCTTTAAAAAATATAAAAAGATATCAATCATAAAAATTGAGTATTCATGTCAATAAACGACGTTTACGATATCACTCAGATTGAGATTTGTTCTTACTCCATTTACAACTTACATACTTCTGGATCATGTGTCCATTATATATTCTATAAATAAAAAAATACAAATGCATAACAAGCTGTCGTATATAGAGAATATCATAAATGAGACGTAAATAATCCAACTTCCGTTACATACTTCAATCAGTAATTAATCAGTATCCGTTTGTCGTTCTAGCATCGCGAGAGAATTAATTTTCAATAAGGCCAATTCCAAAGCTTGCTTTTTACGCTGAAGCTGGATTTGAGACTTTACACGAGGATTTTCGTCCACTAATGACGCCAATTGATCAGAAGTAAGAGAATGAATAAGTCGTTGATCTAACTCTCTAGGAAATTGGTAATAAAACTCGGAAAGAAGTTCGATGTTAATAAATAATACAGCTGTGTTTATTAGTTTATTTGAAACAGCATTAAGGAAAATTTCAGGACACAAATACTTTGACTCTTTCAATTTACAAGTCTTTGACTTCAAAGTCGAAAGACGTAGCTTCAAAATTGTTTCTCGCATCTGTAGGTATTGCATCAATCGACCTTGATCCAGCAATATTGCACTATGAGCAACCGGTAATGGTTCAGAAGATTTTGCTTGGGAATCTAAGAAGTCAAGTATTTGTGATAATCTTTTAGAGCCCAGAGCCTTTTTAATTTTCTCTTCTGCCGCTTGACATAAACTAAGTTCTTTCTGTATGAGTACGAGGGCTTCTGAACGACTCGCCTTCCATTCTTCATCATCTATTTCGACTTCAAATTTATATGGCTTCACACAATTTTCTACCTGTTCAGAGGTATTATGATATCTTCTGCGTAAAATGTCTTGAGTAGCATTCAAAATATACTGCAAGGCACCAGGATGTTCCCCAAAAGGACTTTGTTTAGAAATCTCCTCGATCTTTTTTGAAAGCAGCTCTGTAACCTGCAATGTAGATACCCTACCCAAACCCATGCGTGTCAGCATAGAAACGCAACTATCCAACTTATACTGCCAATGTTCATCAACAGTTCTAGATTGCTTAGTCCAGTCCAGAATGTTTTGATCCATCCAATATCTTTCAGCCAGCAAGTCTAAAATTTTTTCGTTCAGGGTTTCCTTAAGCAATGCACGAACCTCATTTTTGTCAAGTTTCTGCGACAGTTCCTTAAATGCAGCTTTTAAAACATCAAGGTTTTCGGCAATATAAGATTCTGCGGTTAAAAGGCGATCGTTGTATTGAACTTTATATTGGTAACTACAATCATCCAACTCTGACCGTATAGAGTCAGCAGTATATTGTAAATTCTTTGACATTGTGTACTCAAGTACATGAATCAAATTTTTGCGAAGATTTTGGATTCCTAACATAGGCAAAACTGGAAGCTCGCGAAATTCAGGATGAGCAGAGAAATAAGACCTTTCCCGAGAGCTCACGATATCTGTTAGATTTTGATTCCGTGACCACATACTCAATTGGGGTACTTTAGATATGACACCAATGTACCCATAGTGCAATGGATAATGCTCATTACGTAGGATAGAAACAGCTTTTTCGGGAGGAATAAGATCCATCTTTGTTATCACACCAATTGTCCGCAAACCCAAAGGATCAACACGTCGACTAGCTTTTAAGGCAGTTGAATTTGCAAGGTCAACATCTGCTGCACAAACTGCTAAAATTATGTTTGGCTCTTGGATATATTTGTCACACAAACTAGCGATCTTGTCGTCTAAATCCACTGGTTGATCAGACGAATGAATTTGGATATAACCGGGTAGATCAATAAGTGAAAGATTTGGAATATGTGAAGCACAAATGGTAAGACGAATTGGGTCATCGTTTACACCTTGACGAGGAGGTATAGCCATGTTTAAGTCCGTCAAAATTTGTTGAACTTTCGTGAAATCAGTAATTTGACCAAATTGGAAGCCATTAAACTCACAATAAGGAGTCGTAGTTTCTTTAGAATGAACCAATGTAAGCTCAATGGGTCTTCTCGTTACCATGTTAGAACCTTTAGGTAGAAACTCATGTCCCACAATAGCTTCTAAAACACTGCTTTTTCCACTACTTTGGGACCCTACAACAACAATGCTTGGAAGCGTGATATGACTATTATCATCTTGAATGTCGTGTAGAATGTTTCGGATTTCAATCATCTTTTTTGTAAATATCATCATACGGTCATCTTTAGACTCTTGCGCTAATCTTTGTTTTTCATCTTCATTTAATTTTTCGTAACTGTTTTCATCATCATTTGTCAGATTGGAAGCAACAGCCCCAGTAAGACCAACTACAACGCCTGCAGGATTGTCATCGCCTCCAGAACTACTCGATTCATTCTCTGCTTGATTTTCTTTTTCTAAAGTTTTCCTTAACTGCATTTGGCGACGTTTCTCGACACTCTCTTCGTCAAGACGAAGAATCTTCTCCATCCATCCAGGCATATGAATTTCAGGTAAGTTTATGGAAGTAGCATCATTTACTACACCTCTTGTCTTATCCCAAGCTGTGTCAACAACATTAAATGCTCTGTCAAATACATCTTTTGTATAATCAGAAGCGCGCTGTACCTGAGCACCAACGTAAGCAACACCGCCAGCAACTAAAGAGAACCCAGCAACTGGTAACCTTAAAGAGCGGATAATGGCTTTTGGAATAGATGAAAACGACAGAAATCTAGGTATATTCACGGTAGGTAGGGAGTTACCTTTCAACGCTCCAGGTCCTTTAAAGATACTGTATGCGCGAAATGGATGAAATCCAGAGAGTGATAATAAGCTTGGCGATTGGAAATGCAAATTTGGTCTCCGTAATCCCGTTCTATATCGAGGATATCGGGCAGGATTTCCTAGCTTGAAGCAAATCTTAGATAGGTATTGTTCAAACCGCATTAGAAAACCAATATATAAGAATAAAATAAATTAAAAATTTCTAATGCGTTAAGAACATGAAATAAAACTACCAACAGGGTTTTACCGGGCTGGAAATTCTGAGATAAAGGAAGATAATCAGCTTTCGTGAATATTGAGAGAATGATATATTTCCTAGGACTAAAATACTTCAGATTGCTTTAAGATATCGTATAATCAATGAATCTTGCTTTGCTCTGTTGGTTTTCCTCGTTGAAAGGAAGGACGTACCTTTCTAATTAAATTGGATCTCTAGAGAGAAAGTAGAATACGGAGAAACATTGTACATCGTTATGCAAATTAACCACAAGATAAATTTAAGTTCGTAATATTAATAAACAAAACCCTCAGTTATAAAATCCAAACGAATTGTTCATTCTACTTTCATTATTTTCTTTCCTGAGTATTCTCTTGTCTAAGTATCTGGTTCATTATACCTGTGGGTTCCAAAATTTCACCCAAGGATCTCTTCCCTAGCCAAGACCGAAGCGTTAAGTTTGATGAGGATAACGGTTCTTTGAGTGTGTTGAGCGAGTGGGACAGTATGTGCTGAAGCTTTACAAGGCTAAAATAACAGTTAGTATACAAATATAATAAATGAGAACAGAAGTGGCAGAACGGACAACTGACTGGCTTGATGCCTCTGGCTGGAAAAACAATATGTCAGATAATATCTTAGACTTTGGATAAATCATTTTAAAAGATTTATAGTAGATTATAAGACTTTCACATCAAGCATAGAAAGACCAACCGGCTCAGATGGGAAAACTTACGAATTGTGCACTGTCCAGAAAACCTTCTACAATGCCAGCCAAATAAGCACAACAATTGAGTTGACTCATTTCCTTTGGCACTGAAATAAATTTGTTAAACAATGGGTTATTGTCAACGATCATGTCTATGACTGTTAGATAATCACTATAGAGAGAAATGAAGCGCTTTATTCAAGCCATTAAACTTACACTCATCCTCAGTTTCTTTCGACTTTTCCAAGGAATCCGCATGTCGTCCAAAAAGGTATTTCCATAACGTAGAATGGATGTATTGAAGAATGTTCAGGATTCGAATTTCACGTCTGGGATTTCGTTCTCTCCATATGACCAGCTCTACTAACCGTTGTCCGACTCGATAACCATGTTCGTTTAGTCTAAATTAAAAGTGGTCAGCTGCATTGCACGAATTTCTTCCAGTGTAATCCATACTTCTCTTCAAATTCTTGAATACCAGATACCTGAGACTGAATCCGTTGGATCAATTCACTAAATAAAAAGGCAAAGCAAGACAAGTTTACTTCGGCAGTACGAATTCGATTGAGAGTCTGATCGTAGATATTTTTACTCACTATTGGAGCCGTCGAAGTTAATGACTCTGATACCGAACTCTTAAACAAATTTTTGTTGTTGGATTGCATATATGTGTTTGTTTAAGTTCTATATACTTCAGTATGTTAAATCAATTTACTAGTCTTTATGATGTTGAGGTATGATTTTAAGATGTAGCGTAAGAAAAATTAGGCATCCGCCTAAGAAATCGTTTGCCTTGTAATTTGAAAGGCAGAAAAGTTTTGGAGTACAATGTTGTATACAATTTCACTCACTATCAATCTATCTAAGTTTTGTAAATATACTTCGTTTGTTTCTTGGAAGATTGCAAAGACAATAATACTCATTTAAAATTCGTATAAACTAACAACTGCCAACCTATACTAGACATATAAAATTACCATAAAGTAAGATTCTATAAATTAAGTGATAGTCAAACCAATTCTTGCAAATTGAATTTACGAATATGTTCGAATTCATCAAACACCATCACTTCCACAGCTTTTTAAGCTGTATTGACTACTGCACACATTATCTCGAATTAGTAGTTAGTCACTTCAAAAAGAGAAAAAAAGAAAATCACAATTAAGACTGAAAAATATTATCATCTGTAATTAAATTGCTCTTATCGAGTAAAGAATGACTACTGCACTTTTCTTTCTCCCTCTCTGAAATGTAATAAAGCAAACTCTTCAAATAAAAAATAAAAGGTCGCTTTTTCTTTTCCGTTTCCTTCGCACGATGATTAGTCACTTAACTGGTCATCAGATTCACTAAAGACGCCATCCGGAGTAAAGTCTCGAGAGTCATTCTTTTGACTCATGCGCAACCCCATTCTCTCACGCAAAGCTTTACGAATAAGATATGCTTTATTATGATTTTCAGTCTCCTCATCCGTGCTAGAGCTGGTCATTTCATGAGGATAAGGTGAATATAAATATACATCGCCTTGAGACGGAATAAGAGCCTCTTGGTTCATCTCTGTTTCATGAAGTTGGGATAGATTATCTACATCAGATTCGACAGAAGAACTAAGACGACGAGTATATCTTGAAGGATGTTCTTGTCTTTCAGGAACAAGGCGATGGACATCAAAATCTGGAAACAATTCCGGTCCTAATTTGTTAATTACGTCCGTGACTTCAGCAACAAGTTCTTCTCGTTCATGTTGTAAAATGTACACAGCATTTGCTTTAGACGGTATTAACGCCAGGAAAAGCGGTCGAATGGACTTGTATATGTCAACAGCGACTTCGCCAAAGCGTAAGGCCGCATAAGTTACCATAGGAAACAAGATTGAAGAAATTATAGGAATTGCATAAACAAATATACTCGAATGTGGGATTAACTTATACGAGTAAATGAAATAACAACAAAGCATAGCATAAAACGAATACAAGATCGGGGTCATTCCCAAAGCCACCAGTAATTTCCAGGTTGCTAAGATATCTCGACCCTGGATTTTGACAGAAGACCCCCTCAGTGCTTCTTCGGCTTTACGAACACTAATTCGTTTAGCGGCAATAAAGACGGGAGAGAAAAGGATAGCACCCGGCAAGGCACCGAGAGCTAGCAAAAAAAGCTTGCAACAGCTATAAACCAATTTGTATAAGATCAGAAGACGGGAATAGCGAAGGCCTTGTACTTGATGATCGCGAATTCCTAGACGATATAACTGGCGGTTATAAAGCAGAATCCGATCATGCAAACGTATTACTCGAGGATCTTTTTTAAAATGATTATATCCAGTGATCAATTTTCGATTCAAATCGACCACTTTTGGTAATGATAGCTGTACATGAGCTGGCTTGTACAACCGGCGACAAGCTTGGATAACCATCAAAGTTTCATAATCGGGAGTCTGCACAGTTACAGATAACAATGAGCCATAAATCATATCCAGCACATTTTGTATAGCCTCACGGCGTTTACCATCTTTGTAGAGCTGGACATCCTTTTCAGGGATGGATAAGGGAGAGCCAAACTCTAAGACAGCTCGTGAACGGAAGCGATGTGGGTGAAAGTAATTCATACCACAAGAAACTATTTGGAGGCCGCAGTCTGGATTTTGAGAAAGGGTTTCGAGGGCCATAATGGCGACGCCTGCTTTCAAAGGAAGCATTTCAGGACGGTCATGTGAGCCACCTTCTGGAAAGATCGCAATACAAGCACCTTCGACGAGACGTTGTCTAACTTTATCAAATACCGTTGCTTGATTAACTTCAGGAGCCACTTTATACGTGCAACCCTCAGGTGAGTGGAGCATACGTACAGCAGCTTCCTCACGGAACTCACGTTTAACACGTATTAAGGTGTCACTTTCAATGGAGGCGATATGCGTGCTTCCAGAATTGTTTGGAAGTATAATAGTATCGCCAAGACGATGATTTGTAAACTCTGTATCTATACCATGAATCTCGCTTTGGTCCCCGTCAGGTACAACATAAATTTTCCCTTTACCACGCTTAGCTAAATCTTGCGCACGTTCAACTGGAATTGCACCGAAAGCTCTTGAAAAGATACCAATAATTTTTTGTCGGTGGCTTTTAGCAGCAACTAATGTCGATGTTCGACGATTCACTTCTCGCCGTAATTGAAGCATCAAAATCAAAGGATCGACAAACTAATAAAAGTTAATAACACAATTGAATTCAAAAAAGACCCGTTTTACTAACCTGGTTGGCATGAGGGGCAGCAACCAAAATAATAGGTCCCTTTCTAGGTACTCGAAAAGCACCTCTGGTTTTCACTTCCCGGAAAAAAAAATCAATTAATACTAAAACAGCTGTTAGCTAAATCAGTGCACTTGAACAATCTCCGTAATCGGATTCTGCTTATGGTAATTTTTCAACTTACTTGACAGGATCCATAGTATTGTGTCGTATACAAATGGATAATTCATTTTGTTTTAAAAAAATTGACCTTCAAAAGGCATTCAAAAAGTTTACTTTAATGCCCTTTCCCTCCGAGATATTTGCTAATCGTAAACCCATGAAGGCACAGGCAACTACTTTTCGCTTTGATACATCCATCATTCCCTTTACGGTAGTTCACTCGACTACTTTATTCTTATCAAGTTCGTTTCGGTTTCACAATCATGGAGGGTACATTTCAGTTATTATTATCCAAGTCACACATATTGTACAAGCAAGGACATAATAAATCTATGAGAATTAGAGAATACTAGCTTGAAGAAGGTATTAAAGTGAAGAAAAGGTTTGAATTAGTAAGTGAGTTTGCAGGCGAAAGTTACTTTTCTTAACTGTCAGCGACTTCCAGAAATGTATTTTTACTGAGTCCTTTTGTAATGGTATTCAGGTCCCTTTATTAACGTTCATCGGCTCGGAACAGTAACAATGTTACAGCTCTGAAAATGGCAACTGAACTTTTATGAAATATGAAATAATAATAAAAAAATTCTATTTTGTTCTAATACAAGTCAAAATATGAGCAGCATCCCAAAACCAGTAAATAATATATTTTTTAAGCAGAACAGTTTACCACACTACCGGTGAACCCTGATGAGCCGAAGAAGAGACGAGATTAATCATCATCTTGATTATTTTCATCTTCTTTTTGTTCTTTTTCTTGACCTGCTTTACGAGATTCTTCCTTCTCTCTTCGTGCTAACTTCTTCTGCTCTTTCTTCAAACGTTTACGCTCCTCTTTTGATAAGGCAGATGTATCTTCTTCACGACTATGTTTCTTTGAAGGTGCTTCTTCTTGTTTGCTAGGTGTTTCTTCGTCGACTTCTTTCGTTGATGGAATCTCGTTGACTGGATTGCTAGCAAGGAGAGGTACATCTTCACCTCTCAGATACATTAAAACTCGAGTCAATTGTGATAAAACGCTTTCGCTTCCTGACTTCTCATCTTGAAATTGCTCAATCTTTCGAACGTATCCTTCTAAAAAGTTTAATGATTGATCTTTGTCGAGTTTCGTAGTCTTTCTTAAAGCAATGGTAGGAGGACAGTCTGTAGTCATTTTCAATCTATTTAGTTTTTATACTTGGGAAAGAATTCTGTCCTTTGGAGCCTGGAAAAGGCTTTTTTGTAGGAATACAATGGTAAAGAAAAGCTTCTGTTTGGTATGCAAAAAAATACGGGATTATAGAAGTGGTGCCGAAAACCTACTTACCGTAATCCACCATAAAAAAATTTACCTAAAATAATGAATTGATTTCTACTCTTCAGTAAATAAGTATTATGTTTTAGATAAATACAATAGAAACAAATAAAAATATAAACAATAGCAAAGACCATTAAAATGTTTTAGGAGAATTTGAAGATCTATATTCGAAGAGGTTTCATTGACGACGATCCATCGTCATTTGTAAGTTTAATCCGCTTTCTTCTTGAATTCGTTGCTTTACCAACGGGTAAAGAAAGGAACGATTTCATATACACCGGTCTATTTTCTCTGCGATAGTTCTTGAAGTTCAAATGGGCGATCCATCGCGAAGGTGAGAAATACTTATCTTTTAAATAATCAACCATCTCTGGAGTTTTGACAATTTGAGCTGAACTCCTTTTTCCTTTTTCATTATTCAGGATTCCTTCATGAATCATCCTTGACTCAATTCTTCTTGCATCTGGAAGATTACAATCTATCATTTTTGTTAATACAGAACTAGAAACTTCAGGTAGTCTGGAGTTTTTTGCATACTTAATCTCTTTGCTAGTTTTTGTGTTCCTTCGTAACCGAATACCCAAGAAAATTGGATTGCGCGCCGATAAACTGTGAGGACCGTCATCCTTTCATACAATTGAGGTTCGGATTCACTTAGAAGGCACGTATAACAAAGTAAAGTACTGGGCTGACGAGGATCGCTGTCACTTTCAAATCCATAGCAGCAGCAATGAATCCATCCGTTACAAGAATCACATTCAAACTGTAGAGTGTTAAAATAATAATGTGCTCTTTATTATACTTACCATATCCAGCTCTTCGCTGGTGTCACCACATTCGCAACTTATACGGTTTGCTTCATCTGGCATCTTTTTTGAAGATATCGCCTTTGGTTTAGTTGTAGATATATCTCCTTTCTTTAGATCAGTATTTTGATTTTTAATCTCTCGTAGACCAGTTTTTGGAAGACTTGTCTCAAGTTGTTTTTCAGCTTCTTCCATTTCGGGCTCCAAAGGTTGGGTTAATTCTATAGGTTGAGTATTGTACGCCGGTTGCAAAAATGCCTCCAATTCAGAATCAATCTTCACCTGAGACGCGGTAATTGGAACTTCAATGTCATCGAGTTCTTGTTCCATCATATTATCATCAATGCTGATACGGTCGTCATTCTGGAATCCTCCATCATGCAAGACAGCAAGACTATACCACAGTTAGAATCTCTTACATGTGTTAATGTTTACTTACGACTGTCCTTCCAATGTAATTGACGTGAGATTCTTTAAACCTTTGGTATGGGTACCCACAAGGGATGCAATGGTTTTATCTTGTTCAATTGTTAGACGAGGATCCAATTTCGTTCGATTTAGAGAAACGGAATTTGTTTGAGTCATTATTTGAATAAATTTTTTTTCTGAGTTTGATTCTGCTTATTTGTTAGTTAAAGTTTCCATCACATTTAATTACCTTCTGCTTTCGTTTCAGACTGTAAGTCCCGTAAAAGTCTCAACAAGAATGGTTTAACAGATTTTTCAATGTTTAAATTAAGTAACTTTCCATCTGTACTCATTTCAAAAGCGTAAACTTTGTCAATATGTTCTGTTTCAATACTTGATTCTGAAAGTCCCTTGGTAGAAAAAACAAGGTACGCAGTAAACTGACTCTTTGAAAGAATAAAAGGATGAATATATAGTTTCTGTTTGTTTAGCTAAATAGTATAAACGCGAACTTACAATGTTTTCTAAAAATTTGTCTGCATTTGAATCAATCCCTTCCCGAATGCGTACAATAGGAATTGTATGTAAGAACGCGTCTTTTTTTTCAAATAAACCATCCTCTAAATTCTCAATTGTTTCATACACGTTTTCATGGAAAGAATTCCTTTCTGAATTAGTTCATTGTTCTCATCAGAAGTCTACAGCGCGTCAATTACAACGCGATTTACCTTGAATAGCAGATCATAGAAACTGCTAGTAAAAAAAGATCTTTCATGCTTAAAATATTATCTGGCGTAGCTTCTTTTATTGACTCCATAATTTATGTAAAGTGGCTAAGGGTTCATGTTCGCACATGCAAGTTCGCATTATAAATCGCTCGTAATCATTTTAGTACGATATCTTGAATAGTTTCGTTGGCGTAGTCGTCCTGTCCTGCATTTACACGCGTCACAGCAAATAATTTATTAGCTTATGAGCATTATATTGAGTTATATGTATCTACTATTATACTAACGGATTTAAGTATTATAAATAGTAAACAAAAGATGAGACTTACGCAAGGAAGAATGAATAATATCGATATTCCATCCCCATGAACGAAGATAAGTTAAACTTATTTGAAATTCAATGGGAGAATTGGTCTAGTAATTTATAGATTACAGTAGTCATAGTTAATAAGATAGCAACGACATCAGCAGCAATCTTGAATCAGCTTAATACTTGTTGGTAGACCTCACTTTCAACAACATAGTGAATTTATAGGAAGATCATTTTTCCTCCCTACCCATTCCTATAACATTCTATCATTGTTTACTCCGTAGCCCATTCATTCTCAAAGGACAGTGTCATGTCCGCTGTTCACAATTGTAAAAGTATCATTCATTAAATGTATAGTCAAGATAACATAATATAAATGCGTTTTCCATGGAGCTTTTGCATCGCATAAGAGATTGAGAATCAAGTATAGAAAACGTGCATTAATCATATATATAAATATGTATCATGAAGCGGTCAGCAACAGCTAATAAAACTCTCGATTTAGCGGTACCAATATTAAGGTTTCTATACCTCCTTAAACAAATCGAACGTACATGCTTTCTATTTCTGTTTAGAAAGGATGATTGAAGACACTATCAGTTTTACAAGTTATTACCCGAAGACCGCTGGGCATTCCCAGTTTGTAACTATAAACTTGGTTCCTGCTTGGCATTTGTAAACATGAAGAAGCCTTCATAGTAAAGAGATAACCTCAATAAAATGACATTAAATATATCATCATGGGAAAATTTGCAAACTTAGACATAACTTGCAAACCGGGAAGAAACCTTCGCTAAAAATAATTAATTCATATCCACTAGAGAATGAAAAATTAGTGTTCCATCTTTTCACATGTCTTCAAGAGGAACTAGACGATGCAGCGAAATCTAACACATCAATCCAAAACCGATTATCTCGCAAGACAGCAGCTACACAGATATTCTCGTTGTAGCCAACTTGCCATATTGAATCCAACTCTGTCAACAAATCACGAACTAATTTACCACTTCGGATATCCCACAGTTGTAGCTTATTCTTACTACCACTAATAATCTTGTTTTCGTCATGCTGAAAAAAAATATGACCAATTGGGCATTTCAGAACACAGAGACATTTCTCAGACTTTGTATCCCATACTCGTAAGGAGTTATCAGGAGAAGCTGAAGCTGAGACAAGATAATCATTTTTCAAAGTTACCTGACTAACCAAGCTTGAGTGCCCGTTAAGGGTTCGTATTAGTGCACCCGTTTCTACATCCCAAATTCGTATTTTAGCATCGAGACCCGCACTCATACAGCGCTTCCCAGTACTATCAATGGCAACACTATAGACTCGACCGAGATGTCCACGCAAAACATGTAAACATGCACCAGTGGAAGCCCTCCAAATACGCACTGTACCATCATAACTTGCACTTACAATTGTGTCGCCTTCACAGGCTACTTCTCTAATAGAATCCGTATGACCCCTGAGCGTTCGTAAATAGTAAGGATTATTTGAAGTTGGAGACTGTTCATTCTCTTCGCTGTTTTCTCTTTGGTTCATAAAAGGAGGATCATTGAGGTCAGGTAGTCTCCATAGACGAATTGTGCAATCGCGAGAACTAGATACTACATAAGGTGGCATTAATGAATCAGAATTATTAGCTTTATCCGAAGTATCAGCATTTCTATTATTTTTGCAGACGATTTTAATGCAACGAATGGTGGATCTATGTCCATGAAACACTTGTTTACATTCTCCCGTACGCAAATCCCATACACGTATAGTTCTATCGGTTGAGCCAGTAACCAAAGTATCACCAACATACTCAAATGTCCAAACTTGACCTTCATGTTCCTCTAAACTTCGAATCAAAGCGCCCGTTTTTGTGCTGTATACGTTTATATTGGGGCTACATGTGCTTACAACAATTTTATCATCGTCAAATTGAACTTTCGTAATTAGATCAACACCATGTACTGGAAAGGAGTAGTGTTTAATTTTCTTTGGAGCATCCATCCAACGTTTTCGAAGGTGGTAGTGTCGTAAGTATATTTTCTTCATGGTAATACAACTAGAGAGAGAATTTTTCAAACAAATGGTTTTCATTTGATCATCATAAGAGTCCCAATAAAATCCTTCTCGAATAAATAAATTTTTCCAAAATTCGTCGCTGTGGGACACCATTCGAGACCAGCTCCGACAAACTTTGGAAACGGCACAAAGAGAGGAAGCATCGAGGTAGCTGAGCACTATACGGCTGATTTCCGGAGGGAAGTCTGAAAGGAAATCCTTTTTGAAGACAGGAATCAAAAATTCCGAAATCATTTGCAGAGCATGCTTACTCGATTTCTTCAAAAGATGAGAAAGTAAGTAATATTGAACGGGTTGAGGGAGTGATTCAAAGGTATTGATGATATTATCAAGGTGTAAAACAGAATCAATTTCTTTATTTTTCTCTTTTAGAAATACATTGGGGGATTTGTGAATAGTTGAGTTTGGTTTAACCGACTGAAAGGATGGAGAGGATGTAGAAATACGCTCAGTACCTAAAGGCTGCATAGAAGAGCTACTTTCATCTCGGATTTCATCATCTGCGATCGTAGAAGTACTTGAGGATTGCTGGCTATTATACACGGGAGAGCTGGAGGCCTCTTTGAAATAGTCGACTTTGTCATAAAGGTTTTGATTAGAAGAGTTGTTCTTTTCTAAAGAAAAAGATGAAATAGCACGTTTTTTATGAGCAGCTTGGATCGTTTGGGGTTCTGCCGATCGTTTAACTGATTTCGGGGTTGGAAACTGTATGCGATTTAAATCAGCAGCACCTGAGTCCTCTAACACCTGTTCGAGAGCTTTCAAGTTTTCATTATCTGAACATTCTTTGTTTTCCGTAAAAGTCCAGACTTTTTCATTGGAAGCTATGCAAATTTGCAAAGGAGCTGTTAAAGAATCCTCGAATTGATTACTAGGATTTTGGCGAGCATCTTCTACCTTTGCATTTTCATTATCAAAAGAAGGAATGCTCATTGACTCTACAGAAGGTGTACGCGTTATGGTTTTCGCTGTTGAAGGGTTGGAAACTTGAATAGCTAGATCATCAAACTCAGTAGAAGAATATGTCTTTGAATTCCAGATCTCCATGAAGAGAAAGTAACTACACTTCGGAAGTTACAACGTTTCTAAGGACAAGCGATACGAATTAACAACAGGAAACGTTTGTAGAAGCTTTCTAAATTTCTGTCTTATAAAAGCAGAGGGCTTCCAAACATAAGTATAAAAACGGAAACTTTACAAAAAGAATACACTCGCACCAGAAATTTCTGAACTCTTTATTGCTTATTGTACGGTGGGTGGTCCCTTTGGTTGGTAGCAACAGTCTATCCTTTGATTAACTATAGGGAAGCTCAACTGTTACCAAAAGTAACGAGTGCTACAAAACCTTAAGAGGATATTGAATAAAAGGATACTAAAGTATGTAAGTTTAGAAATAAATTGAAAAGACCAATGGCCATTTGTATTTATTGTTGAAATAAATTGGCGATACTGTTTTAAATATGCATTGCTCTTTTAATGAAGAAGACTGAAAAGAATGTTTCTATTTCCGCCCTACGTAAGAAGGAAGCAACAAATGCACATATACATCCTACGTAGAAGACTTTTTTGTAGTATACTAGGAACTAGGCTAGAAACAAAGAAATTAGAAACTTAATAAGAAAAAGGAAATAAGGGAAATTGATGTTGAAAGAATCGAAGAATGTAGATGATTTCATTAGCATCGCAAAAACTCATCTTTTTCTGTTCCTGTCATTTTTTATTAAAAATCACTCTTCTTATGAAGTCCTTAACTGCCGTTATCCAACAAGCGGCAAGCAAAACCACGTCTTTATTTGTTTTCTTCCTATGCAAACGTCAACGGGGACATATTATGAGTCAATAAATTTTCATTTTGCAGGGTTCGCGACTAACGGACAGATGAGCTGAGCCTTAGATGGGATTCTAGGCGTCAATAGTCTTTCTCTATTATTCTTTTTTTCTTTTTGTTTCCTCAATAAAATCATGAAAAAAAAAATGCGCGACCGATCTATCGCTCTCAGTTCTCCCTTGACTTTTTGGTTTTGTGTGTCATTATGGCAAGTTGTTCTTCATACGCGACATCGTATATTCGAGAATAGAGTCATAAAGCAAATGGAATTCAGTGTATTGTTTCATATAATGAATAACAAAGAAAGAATATCAATGAACAAAAAATTTCTCACATATCACAAATCATTTTGCACTTTTTATTATATTAGCGTCCTGTAATATGATACTCTTTTGGTCCCTAAGATGACTTTTCTTTCGCCAGGGACTCATCATTATTCAAGTAAAGATCCATTATGTTTCTCTAGAAGATTAACTATAACCAACTAGAAAAAAAGGCGACTATACCAATGATGGAAAGCCCAAGAACAAAAAGTCGCATTTGCCAGTTTGTCTAATTTTGCCTCATCCTATTATGTATTTAGCGGCGCCTCATTGTCTCCCTGAAATTTTTTTAAGTATCTTTCCCCCGATTCGCTAATTACTTGGGGCAAAGGGCTGAAATGGCCAATCAAAAAAAAAGGCGAAGGACCGAAAGGGGGGCTTAGTCTAATTGGAAGGTTTTTGCTTGCCCCGTCTCGGGACCAAACAAATAGTAATATGGATCGTCAAGAAAAAGCAATTTGACAGGCTTCTCGTATTATTAAGTGGCAATTGCCACGAATACTAGAGAAAAAGACAGATTGTTAGGCTTTGAAATGTTATAAATAGTTGAGGGATCTCTGTTCTGTTCTGTGTACTAGACAAATCGATCGACGAGTCTTGATACCAGATTCCATTCTTTTTCTAAAGTTATATCCATCTTTATATCTTCGTTGATCTTTTCAAGTCAAAATGCTTTTCAGCAAATTACTTGTATCTGCCATTTCTCTCGTTCCTTTGGCTTCAGCTATCCCAGTTGGAAATGTCCAAGGTCACCGTCATCACAATCAATCTACCATTAAGAGAGATGGTGGTGGATTCCCAGACGGTGTCTACGATTGTTCTCATTTCCCTGAGGACCAAGATGGCGTTGTTAAACTTGACTACTTAGGCTTCGGTGGTTGGAGCGGCGTTCAAAAGAACGACGGCAAGTTTGGTACTGCTTCCACTTGCGAAGACAATACCTACTGCTCTTACGCTTGCAAGCCTGGTATGTCCAAGACACAATGGCCTTCTAACCAACCCTCAAATGGTGAATCTGTCGGTGGTTTGTACTGTAAGAATGGCAAACTCTACAAGACCCAAAAGAACTCCAACAACCTTTGTGAGAACAGTCATGGCAATGCTTATGTCAAGAACACTTTGGGCTCTAACGTTGCCATCTGCCGTACTGACTACCCCGGTACTGAGAACATGAACGTTCCTACCGACATTGGCTCCGGTTCTCAACAACCCCTTTCTGTTGTTGACGAAGACAACTACTACAACTGGGGTAACAAGAAGACCTCTGCTCAATACTATGTCAACAAGTCTGGTAAGTCTGCCCAAGACGCTTGTGTCTGGGGTAACCAAGGTGATGACTACGGAAACTGGGCTCCTTTGAACTTCGGTTCCGGTTACACCGATGGTAAGATGTGGTTGTCCATGTCTAAGAACCCCTTGAACTCCCAGGCCAATGTTGACTACAAGATTACCATCAAGGCTGATGGTGGTACTCTTAGCCACGACTGCAAGTACGAGAACGGTTCCTTCCACGGAAGTGGCGCCAGTTCCGATGGTTGTACCGTTTCCGTTACTGGTGGTGGTGCTTACTTCGAATTGTATAACTAAACTTAGTAGTACTAAGCTTAGTTCGCAATCCTCATCGCTTCTGAAAAATCTGAAAAAATCTATAATTATTTGTGTTTTTATTGCTTTTTATGAAAATATCAAAATCTTACAAAAGCATATATAAAAAAGATAAATTACGACTTTGCATTGTTTGATGACTTTTTGCATTTTTTGGTTTTGTTTTTTGCATTTTTTAACTAATTAATTAATACAAAAAAATTTTGTTTTTATTTTATTTTTGGTTTTTTGGTTTTTTTTTTTTTTTTTTTTTAGTAGGAAAAAGTAACAAAATAACACAAAGTAGAAGGCAGAGTAGTAGAAAGATCATGATACATCGTCTGCCGAGTTGTAAAAACCTTTATTGAGAATAAAGTGCTTATTCGCAATACGCTTGATAAACTATCAACGTTTTGGAAGACGATGAAATTGTTAATGGATAGTTCGCGGAGATAAAGAACACGAAACCGGGGGAAATTGAAGCTGTATCTCCATTTTCACCTTTAAGAAGACCGTTACCTTCTACAACGATGAGAATGCTAGGACCAGTTATGTCGCGTATAGTTTGACTTTGTTCAGGAGCAAGGGTAGTTTGAAGGATATTGAATTCTTCAATAGGAGGCTTGTAGACAACTGTTTTACCAGTACCGTGAGCTTTGGGAAACGGAACAGGGCGTGTAAGTTGATCGTCAGCAGTACCGGTTTCGTAAGTTAAAGATTTGATCAATGTGCCCTTGTCCTTGAATTTGGAAGTGAATCCCGAACGGATGACGTTGTCACTGGAAGCCATACATTCTATAATATTACCAGCAATATAAGCATGAGGATCCAATGCACGAAGGAAGATGGACTCTCCTGGTTTTAGATCTACATGGTTCAAAATAAGCGTAATAAAAAGACCAATATCGTTGGGATATTGACTATTGAGACGAAGTATCAATGCACTCAAATCATGACCACCAAATGGCTTTCCTCCAAAATCTTCATCAGTATCCTTGGCAAATTGGACAAGTTTAGGAGCATATTTTTCGAGTTTATCATTATCATTATTCATCATAACATCGAATAACTTACGAAGAGCATCTTTCTCGTTTTTCTTGTATTCCTTTTCAAATTCCACAGCAGCCTCCTCTCCAACAAATTCGCGCAAAGGAGGGATGTTTTTTAAAAAGGAAACAATCTGTTCTCCTTGACGGAATCCACAGAGGCCTTGAAATTGAGTCAAAGCAAGCGCCATTTCAGGTTTGTGATTATCGTCCTTATAGTTTTCGGGGTCGTTGGCATGCAATTCTTTTGCAAGCTTTTTATCAGGATGAGCTTGCAATGAGAGCACCTTATCGATAGAAAGGACCTTGAACAGAAAAGGTAGTTGGTTACCATACTTCTCATAGATTTTTTGTCCCATGGTTTCTGGCGTCAATATTTTATCAAGACTTTGGCCAGTCTGAATCACCGTTGAAGGACAAGAAGGATAAGAACCCATCCATAGCTATTTTCGTTAGCGTTTAATGAAAAGAGAAGTTAACAAATTACCTCTGCGTATGGTTTCTCTTCGTTTACTTCAAATCCACTTCCATTCTTTGCGAACTGAGCGGCTAGAGAGTTGTTACCAACCCTGCCCCAGTCATATTCCATTACTTGACATTTTAAGCGATACATTTTTTAATTCTTGTAAGCGTTATCTTAGTATTGGAACAGGTCAAAGCTTTCACTGACTTTGGTTCCTTCTACATGCATCATGAAGTCAGTATGATATGTAATGACAAGTAGCAATGCTACTTTGCACAGAAACTTGCGAGGTGTAATGTGCTTTGCTATATTGTAAACAAACGAAATATTGAAATAGTTAGGAAGAATAACAAGTAAACTTAAGAGGAAATATGAATTTAGTCTTACAGCAAGATCCAATATAACAATGTAGTTTTGTCTGAGACTGGATCTATTTTCCTAAACTTGAACCCGTGATTTGATGGCGCTTTCTGAATTGGGCAGGGAAATGAAGTAGGTAAATGATTGAACAGAAGTTGTGTGTTTTCTAGGATTACTATATTTTATAAAATATTACTTCCAGTGTGAATTTGAATGTATGCGAAATTGCGATTTAAATTTCTGAGAAAGCGAAAGTCGAGAGCAAAAGTACATACTTGCTTTTTCCTAATATATATTGTATGATAAATTTTTTTCTTAGAAAAAAAGAAAAGCAAAGCAACTGAATAGCAAGTACTGAAAGGGCGTGAATAAATACTTCATTTATCTTTTCATTTTATATTTTTTTTTCCATCCCACCAAGAACATGGCTTTCTAATTTACACCAACGAACTGTACAGTTTCTAGTATCTCATTTCGAGGGGTTCTTTCTTTATTTTTCGAATTTAGATATTTTTGCATAACTTTGCTCTCCAAAAAACCATCGTAGCTTGTGCAAAAAGCTAGGAAAGCCTCAACTTTATCTCAATTTGCATATATCTCAAGTTTTGACTGATGTTCTTCTCTTTCACGTAAAATTTTTAGTTGGACGCAAATTCGACTTCAAATTTTGATTATTTTTCCATACCTTTTGCACTGCTGAATCACTCCAAAGGGATTTCGAATGAAAAAGTCTACTGGAAAAGAGGCTGCCCTGTTTGACCGCGCTGTAAATCAGTTCGAAGATGGTCACTTTTCTCGTAGCTTGAAAACTACTCTGTCCATCTTGAAAAAAAAGCCAAAACATGCCGAAGCCATAGCATTAGAAGGACTTAATTTATGTAAATTGAACAATTATCATGATGCCTTATTAAGATGTCAATTGGCAATTGGTTTGAACGCTAAATCTCGATTTTGTTGGCAAGCTCTGGCTATCACATATAGGGATCGAAAGGATTACCATAGCTCTCTTAATGCCTACAAAAATGCCATCAGAATTTCCCCGAAAAATGAAGGCTTGTTGTATGATGCTGCCTATCTTCAGTTTCATTTGCGGCTTTATGGCCCTCTGGTGCAATCGTGGCAGACGTTAGTTAACTTGGACTCTGAAAATTTGGAATATCGGTTGTGCCTTACTTTATCCTATTATCTTTCTGGCTCTTATGAACGTTGTCTGTCGTATTGTACAGATCTTCTAACATTTCCCAAGTTGGGTTCTAACGCGTCCTCAAGACTTGCATGTTTCATACCCAATTTGGCTTTAAAACTAGATCTTCATTTCGAAGATTCCTTTCGCATTTTTCAAGAGTATTCTTCCTTTATTTTGAATGATTGGCTTCGATATGAACAACTAGCGAACTTATATTTTCGGTTTCAAAAGTATGACGAAGCTCTACATTTGTACGGTAAGTTAATTGCCAAGTACAAGGATCGAAATGATTTCCTATGGAGATATCTCAAAAGTTTGCACGAGCTTATAATTTCCAAAGGATTGCCCAAACAGGTGCTGTATAATAAATTTCGGTGTCTGCTGGACTTGCTTCCTAATGCAATGAACATCAAGATCATTATCCTAGAATTTTTGGTAATTGCCAATCTTGACTATGATTTCTTTTTACAGCATCTGCTCATATATTCTAAAAATAAGGGTATACCCTCAGCTATTTTGTTATTAAAATCATTGATACGAGGTAATTTATTACTTGCCCATAAAATAAAGGACTTTTTAATATTTGAACTGCAAAATACGAACAGGGACAATCCTACTGCATGTCTCTGGAACTTTTATTATCTCAGTTGTCTTACATATTTTACATTTGATTATGCAAGCTCTCTACATTGGATTGATCAGGCAATTTCCAACCTTCCTACTCTTCCTGACTTATATTTATTAAAAGGTAAAATCCTATCTCGTTTAGGTGAATGGAGTGAAGCTATCCGTACTTTGACATTTTGCTGCGATCTAGACAGAGGGGATCGTGCACTAGCTAGCCGGCTTGCCAAAACCTATTTCTATATAGACGAAAATCAGCTGGCATATCAGTCTCTTTCCAAATTTTGCAAAGATCGATTTGGTGGAGTTCCTATTTATCTTGCGGAAACGGAATGCATTTGGTTTCTCATTGAAGACGGTGAATCTTTACTTCGTCAACAATCTTACGGATTAGCGTTAAAAAGGTTTCATCAGTTATATAACATATTTAAAGAATGGACAAGTATCAGCTTTCATTATCATACGTACTGTGCCGAAAATGCGCAATTTATGCAGTATTTGGAAATGGATGAATGGACTAAGACATTGTGGGATTCACCAGCATATCTTCGAACCGCTTTAGGTGCAACAGTTATCTACTTAAAATTACACGAATCACCTTACTTTAAATATGGAGAAAATGCCACTGCAGTGTACTCGATGAATGAAAATGAGCGACTTCAATTTGATAAGGACCAAAATCAGAGTATGACAAAGTTACATCTTCAAGAAGAATCCAGGATAAAAAAAATCAAATTAGATGAAGATGAAGATCCTTTTGTTATTGATCCTGACCTTCTTGGAATGGAATTGTTAGAAACTAAAGATCCCCTTCAAGAAGCGATGAAGTTTCTGTATCCAGTTCGTTTAGATAGCTTAAAAGGATGGGGATATTTAAAGGTTTTAGCATCTGTAATTTATAAATCTAAAGGTATGGTTTATGATCGAAACAATATCTAACGTTACAGGCTTGCATTTGAAAACACAAAACATTTTAGATAACTTATGATACACTGACATTCAAAGTCTTACAAGCACAGACATTTCCAAAAATCCCAATAAAATATATTAGTTTTTATAAACTAAAAAAACAGAAATCACACCCAAGTTGCCAAGTATTATCCAATAGAAAGTTGCTTTTTTTATTTATGAATCCTGCATGTTCTCATCGCTGTCAGTTTCCCAATCAGGTTCTTCGGGCTCACCTGCATCCTCCTCGGGATTGGGAACACCGAGTTCATTTAAAATTTGTAAAATTTCTTTCATATGTTCTAAAATCCCTTCATCATCCCACATCGTTTTTTGGTAAGTAGCCAATGCTCCCAAAAAGTACGACTTGGCGCTGATCAACAATTCTTTAATGTCATCTTCCGAGGCGTTTCCTTGCTCTTGTAGGTTTTGAGCTTCCACGTAGCAATTCCAACCAAGTAAGTACCATACATCGACAATTTCATCATCTTCTTTCTGCAAATAAATTAACAAATCGTGGGCTTCTTGATGCATTTCAACTTCAATTAGGAGCCTTGCAACAGAAGTTCGAACAGCATAGGTGGGAAGATCTATACTGTCCTCCATGGCGGCTTTCGAAATTGATTTTAGGCATTCTTGAAGTGCCTCTTTCGCTTCATCAAAATTCTGTTGGCTGATACGCATAGACGCAAGGGTCTGTAATGCTTCAGCATTAGTATGATCAACTTGTAGAGCTAGATTAGTGTACTTTTCGCATTGACTTTCAGCTTCTTCTCGCATACAAAGATCGGTCATAAAAAGTTCAGCAACACTACAATAAGCTCCTTGTAGTTTCTTTTTTACATCGACATCATTAGAATTCAACTGGTATAGCCGGGAGAGAATGTTCAAACCACGATCGTAAAGCATTAATGATTTCTCACTATCTTCAATGATTTGGGCCATCCAGAGATACTTCTCATATCCATTATCCTCTTCTAAATTGTCGCTTCTCCTTATTGATTCCCGAAAAGCGTTTTTGGCTTTCTTTATTTCTCCAAGCTCAGCGAAAGCTTCACCAAGCATTTCATGAGCACGACCATCATTATCAGAAGCTTTTCCTATAGCCACTTGAGCAAGTACGATGGCTTCAGAAGGATTATTTTCTTTTAACTTATCGCGAATACCACTGAGATCAATCTCAAAATCAGACATTTCCAAAATTTGTAACTTTGTTAAGAAACCGGCCTTGGTTTCAGTCTCTACGGTATTCTTTCGAAATCTAGCTTTAAAATATCAAGTACTAAATTCTTAATAAGTTCTCTCACCTGAGGAACGAAAATGTATGCAATTTGCTTCTAAGTGGTTAAGTGTAAATTTGAATACTTTTTGACATGTACGTGTATACCACTACAAGTGGGACCAATTTAGAAAAAAACAGGCGCTTCAGGATTTTTTGGATGCATTTAGGAAATTAATTTATTTAAGCAATTATTGGAGTTGAATTATAAATTTAAAAGATACCGGTCTACTGTATTGGCAAGCGCAGGAATAATTCAGTCGAAATGCCTATTTATCTTCTTCACCTAGCTTCGACACATGCTGATTTTCATATACCTGAATTGGAGACGTTAGCAAAGATTGAGTCCATTTCTTATCGATGGGTCAAGCCTTCTTGCATCGAGGAAAGTTCAGAACTACAAGAAAATAGCATTGGAGATTATCCAAGAGAAAAGCCTGTATATCCCATTAACCATGCAAATGCCACGACATTAAATCCATTTCTGTTAGTAGAACTTGATGATGACGCGTCTGCTTCTAAATGGGTTCGAAGATCAATTTTCTGTAAAAATATCTACGAGTTATATGGCTTTGCAGATACCTTCGAAAGTTTACATGATTATCTTTCCAAGCTTCCTTCACCTCCTTGGCTACAATATCAAAAGGATACCTCATATAAGTTCACATTTGAAACATTTGGCACCCGACGAACGATGGAAGAACAATTATCTATCATAAATGATTTTGGATACATGAAGTTGGAGGGTCTAGTCTCGATGAAGCGTCCTGAATGTATTTTCACCCTTTTGGAAAACCGCAGTAAAGATATTGAAGGACCAAAATTGTATTTTGGTCGATGGTGCGGTGGTAGTTCAAGAGACGCCGTTGACAAGTTTGATTTGAAAAGAAGAAATTATATAGGGATCACTAGCTTTGATGCTGAACTTTCACTTATAACAGCCCAGATGGCTATGGCGATGCCGGGTAAATTGATATATGATCCATTTGTCGGCACAGGAAGCTTCCTATACACGTGTAGCTATTTCGGTGCTTTTACTATGGGTACGCTAAAGTTTGAACTTTCTCTTGATTTATTAACATAATTTTTTAGGTTCTGACATTGATGGAAGGCAGATGAGAGGGAAAGGAGGGAAATCAATACGATCTAACTTTACCCAGTATCAACTTGCAGGTTCCTTTTTAGATGTTTTTACTGGAGATGTAACCAATTGTCCCCTCAGGGAAAATTTTTTACTTGATGCAATTGTTTGTGATCGTAAGTTCGTGATGAACAAGTATATTTACTAACATTTTGTAAGCTCCTTATGGGGTTCGCGCAGGTGCAAAGAAAATAGCAAAATCTTCGTCAGGTTCTTCCACTCCCAATCAATTAAATTCAAATTCAACATCTCATTATCCTAAGCTGGAGCAATATCAGATTAGTGATATGGTTTTCGATCTAATCTGTTTTGCAGCCAAGCACTTAGCCGACTATGGCCGATTAGTACTTTGGCTTCCTACTATCACGGAGGAATATAGTGTTGAGGACATTCCTCGTCATCCTTGTCTCTCTTTAATATATAATAGTGTTCAACCATTTACGCATTGTACGTAGTAAACTTGCTGGTGGTTTCTTTCACACTAACATTGATTTAGGGTCTCGCCGTTTGTTAACTTTCGAACGTTTACCCCGATCTGAAACACAAAACGTATCATTAGAATTTTTGGAAAAGGCTTCAAAGGCTCCTTCTCATCATGATTTCCGTAGAAAGGTATAATTGACTCCTAATGTTAAATGCTCCTTTACTAACTGACTTTAGTACTTTATGGGTGCACATCGTACTACCTAGCCTTTGCCAGCTATTATAATAGTAATTAGTTTTAAGATGAGGTTACAGACATTTGAGAGTAAATGTCATTTATGCGAGTTAGTATATTTTAAAAATTTTGAAAAAAAACAATGTAACATTGCTGTGCTCTCCATAAACTCCATGCCCATACTAACTTCATTGAACATTCAGATTTTCTAAAATATTTGCTTATACCTCTACCTCCACCGAAATTTTGAAATTGTAATACAAGATACTTCAGTAGGGCAATTTATTTTATAAAGAGCTATTAGATTTTGTACTTTTTGAAAATATATCTTGTGAAGTCATCATTTTTCTACCATCTCCTCAGCTTTTTCTAATCACCCATTGAAAGGAACATTGCTGTATTGTTCCTTTAAAGCACAAAAGGAATCGACTTTTGCAAAATTTCTGTATATTTTGATTCAAGAAAATAGATTATGATCGCTCTTGGTTTAGAAGGCTCAGCAAACAAATTAGGAATTGGCATCATTCAACATGCTGCTAACGGAGAGGCAATCGTCTTAGCAAATGTTCGCCATACTTATAATACTCCTCCAGGTCAGGGATTTTTACCTAGTGATACAGCTAGACATCACCGTGCGTGGATTATCCCATTAATGAAACAAGCATTCGCTGAAGCCAAAATCTCATTCTCCCAAATAGATTGCATCTGTTTTACTAAGGGTAAGATTTTTTATTAAATTTCTATTTCCTAATTCTTGATTTTCTAGGACCTGGCATTGGTGCGCCTCTTAATAGCGTTGCTCTTGTAGCTAGAACTCTTTCCTTAATGTTCAAGAAACCATTGGTAGCGGTAAACCATTGCATAGGACGTATGTTTTATAAAATCGTTCAAAACTAATTACTTTATAGACATCGAGATGGGACGAGAAATTACGGGTGCTCAGAATCCTGTCGTGTTATATGTGTCTGGTGGAAATACACAAGTCATAGCTTACTCCCAAAGAAAATATAGAATATTTGGTGAAACTTTAGACATTGCGATTGGAAACTGCTTGGATAGATTCGCACGCGTAATTGGATTATCAAACGCACCTTCACCTGGTTACAATATCATGCAAGAAGCTAAACGGTATGATCTAAGAGGAAAATTAAGCCCGGCGAGTTACTAACGTTTACTAGCGGGACTCAATTTGTTGAGCTTCCATATACGGTAAAAGGAATGGATTGCTCATTTTCTGGTTTACTCTCTGGTGTTGAAGCGGCTGCAAATGAAGCCATGGACGAAAATAGTAAACGTAAAATCACAAAACAGGATCTTTGTTATTCTTTGCAGGAAAACGGATTTGCAATGTTGGTGGAAATAACAGAACGTGCCATGGCCCATGTCGGTGCTGATTCGGTTCTAATTGTAGGGGGCGTTGGCTGTAATGATCGTCTTCAACAAATGATGGGAGAAATGTGCTTGGACAGAGGTGCCAAGGTATATGCTACTGATGAGAGGTTCTGTATCGATAACGGGATTATGATTGCTCAAGCAGGTTTGCTTGCTTTCAAAACGGGCGGAATATGTTCTTTAGAAGATTCTACAATTACTCAAAGGTTTAGAACAGATGATGTACATGTAGCATGGCGAGAATAAATAAATGGTTTTACGGCATATTTTAAAATCAATAATCTCTATTATGTAAATGCTACATTTTACCTGTTATTATGCTAACAGATAAAATACTTTTATGAACTCTTTAGTCCTTTCGTTTACCGATTGCAATCCCTATAATATATTTTTGACATTATCTAAACTACGTTCTAAATTAAGTTAAAAAGTTGGACGTAACTAACACTTTCCTGACTATGTTCTATGTTCTCACTTTCTTAGGATTTGGACAAAGTTGAAATCAGATTTTCATCCTGTATATCCTTTAAATCATTAGGCTGAATATTATAGACCCATTCATTTTTGGAAAGTAGCGTAATAAGCTCATTCATTACCACTGAATTCGATAGTGTAGCTAACGACCCGAACATTATACATTTCACTTTTGCTCTACTCAGAGCAACGTTTATGCGGTGCCAATCACGCAGCAAATCCCCTACCTATTAATATGGTATTAGCAAGTATTTCAATAAGTGTTTCACTTACATTCTTCCTTAAATTCGAGCGAACAAACGATATGAAGATTATATCTTTATCTCGACCTTGATACTTGTCAGCTGTATTGATTTCCAATTCCTCATGCGATTTTAGTTCATGTTCAATCAAGTTAACTTGACTTTTGTATATAGATATGATGCCAATATGTTTCTCTTCTACACCCATTTCCAACAATGAGCGGACCGCACAAGCTAATAGCGAAGCTTCAGTCCGGTTCTCCAATATTCTGTCCTTCTTATTTTCCAGATTATTAAGTAAGTCGGTATTATAAAAGACAACGGAGCTATCCGGATTTAGTAAATGGTGAATCCAACTCATGTTTGTTATTATGCCAGGCTTTTTAGTGGGTACTTTATTTAAAGGTAAATAGAGCTTGTTTACAGAAACTTCATTTGATCCACAGAGCAAATTACCGCCGTAAATTAAATTATTACATAAAGAATTGATATCACCATTCATGCGGTATTGTAATTTTAGTGTTGCTATAGCCTCAGGATGCTTCTCTGAAAGCAACTTGAATAAACTTTTGACTAGTCCACCTTTCGCAGCTTTGGGATTTTTTACTAAAGGTGGGAGCTGATAGTGATCACCTACCAGAATAAATTTTTCAGTATGCATCAAAGGACCTAAACACACTGGAAGCGGTATTTGAGATGCTTCGTCAATTATACAATAATCAAACTTCCTGACTTGAAACAGAGGATGGTATACTCCAAGTGCGGAACATGCCACTATCTGAGGTGCTTCATAGAATTCTTTAATGAATTCTAAATCATTCGGAATATCGTCGGCTGTACGACAAAATTCCTTGACTTTTGGATGGATTTTATGACTTGACCCCAACCTAAGTATATCGTAGTTTGAATACTGCAATTTAAGCAGTATATTATCTACAGCAGAGTGTGTAAACGATGTTAAAAGTATTGATGCACCCTTTCTTAAAAATGAAATAATTAACCGTGCAATTGTTGTAGTCTTACCGGTTCCTGGCATGCCAAGAATAAGCGCGTAATTGTTAGCAGCTTGGCATTTTTTTAAAGCACTGATTTGGTCTTCGTTTAAACCTTCTGTTTGCGAAGCTTCTAACTGACAATTCGAAGTACTGAATGTGGGTGGCTTTAAATTTATAATCATATCCTTTATCATAAGTGGAGCATCAGGTAAAATGCAACCAATTAATGTACTCCTCACTGAAGCTATACCGCCAGAAAACTCATCTTTATCAATTCTAAATGTCTTCGTAACTTCTTGGTAGTTATGTTCCTTTCTATGATAGCTTCCATAAAACACCTGATTATTTTGGGCATCGAAGTTATCCAACTTTTTCCAAGGAATTATTAAATGTCGAAATGTTTGGATACAGATGCTATCGTCCCTTATATCTTTTATTATACCTCTAGTTAAGGACCAATGCCCCTCTTCGTCTGAAACGAAAATACGATCTCCAATACTAAAGCTTGAGCTTCTTATTTGTCCAGGACTTCGAGAACTAAGTATAAAATAATAGATGGTTTCGTCAATTTCAAGGGGTATTGTTTTTTCTTGTTTTATCGTAAGTCCACACAACGATTTCCCTAATAAATCCAACTCGCACAGATTTGTCGTAAGTATATCGCCCTTTTTTCTTAATGCTAAATTTTCTTCTTGTGTGAGAAGTCTTTCCCATTTCTTGAAAAATTGTAATTCTACTTCGCCGAGTTGATCCGTAATTGAACTGTACAAGTCTTTGACACCTGAAGTTTCAGGAGTCCCATTCTCAAGAGCTTTATGATAAAGGAAACATTCATTAACTGCATAGCAGCGCTTACACTGATGTTCACTTTTAAGCATTGCCGGTAAAGAACGACGAATATTGTGCTGAGCTAGAGTATTACGGGCGATAAGTAAACCACGAATTTGCGACATTGATGCCTCTAAGTCAACCAGGCTGCTATTTTCCAAATAACATAATAAAGCATTTTGAACACGTATATTGTAACGATCGGAGACTAGTAAAGTATATAATAAGCTTTGCGCGAAGTGGCTAATGCTATTTATATACTTCCCTGTTTTTAGTTCCAATGGCACGGTTAATGTAAGAATATCTTCTGATGAACTTTTCAGTAGGACTTCTACAGTCGCGTCGATGTTTCCTTTCAGTCCATATTTGGGAGACCATATAGATTCCTCCACATCAAGCAGTTTCTGTATTGAGATATTCTTTCCCCGTTCATTGGATTCACCGGAAAATGCTTTTTGAAAAATTTTTTACAATATTCAAAAAAAAGTGGAACACGCGCGCTAATTTCTTCTCGGCATTCATCAACCTTTAAATCCGCAAAATATATATCTATCATGTATTTTTTTATAGAATCTTCGAGGATTGAGTTAATGTTTGTTACAGCATTTTCTTGATCCTTCAGAGCACTTTGGAACAGATCATGAAGAATATTACCAGCAACGGTGGGTTTCGTTGGCAAACCATAATTAACAACTCTGTCTGAAAGAGCTGCTTTGCGCATACACGAAAAAGATTCGGCTACGGCAGTTGCTGAAAGTAATAATTTTGGATGTACTATTACAAATCCCTTGGAGTTATCGATGATGGCTTCCCTTAATGAATTAAATTCAGCTTCCAAATATACCAAATCGCCTATGTAGACGGGAGTATCTAACCAATCTTCTCGAAGAAAAACTTGTTTCAGTATCTCATCGCTTTCATTGTACAAAACGATCTTCAATTGGGGATAATTTCGTTCATCACGAATATAGAAATCATCATTTACTTCAATTATAGTTGATTCAACAAAACTGTAGGCAGGGTTAACAGCTGGTATTTCATTATCGAAAGAATCATCCCAATCATCCAAGAAATTGTCATCAACACCTTCTACAGGGGTATGGTTGGAATTAGACGGTTGAACGTTACCATCCTCATCGTAATCAAGAACAGGTGCAGGATTATCAACCTTGTGTGATGTTTCCACGGATAGAACTTCAGAACCTTGTTGACTTTCATGAAGGGACTTTTGTTTATACTGGACTTCAATTGAGTCAAGGGCCGCCAAATCATCGTCTTCTAATTCAAAAGGATCATCATCGAGCTCGGTATCTGATCCACCAGCATTAGAAACTGAGCATTCACTATTAACGCTTTGACTGGAAGATTTAGCATTTTGAATAACAGAAACAAGACTGGGGATTCTATCTAATGGACTAGCAAGACCATAATTTTCTTGATTATCTTCATTGAAAGAACCCCTATAAAGACTGGGTGACTCCTTTTTGTTTCGTTTTGGAGATAGCTTCTTGCTATCGGAAAAACTTCTCTCCAAAATCCGTTTATTGTTTGTATTGAATCTATTGAGATTAGAGCCTGTCGTAAGTTGTATATCATTCGTAATTTTTCCTGTGTCCAGGGTGTAACTCGGCAAACTGTTCAAATAATCTTTTGCTTCACTATTAGTAAAAAATTCTGTAGTGTAATATAGAGTGCTTACCACTTTTGTTAGTTTCACCTAGCTTATCTTGTAAAGCCAACTCTTTCGATGTACTGAATGAGACAGGTCCTTCATGTCCCATTGTCTGTGAATTACGGAGTACGTCTGTATCTGATTGAAAACAAGGAGCTTTCGTTGCTAATTTGGAACTATTTTCTTCCGTAATGTTTGAAATTGTTTGAGAGGGATTGAATGCCAAGCTCTGTAATTTCGATTTTGTTTGGCCATTTAGTCGGTAGTCTTTATATCTTGTAGGATGAGAAGCAGATCTATATATTTTCCCACTACTGCTTTTAGGGTAAGGCTGCTGATAGTTTACAGCAGTTGCATATTTACGATTCCTTGAGAAATTCCTACCTTCAGAGTCTTGACACATAACTCAAGAACTAGAAATTATGCAAATCCATGAAGTATATAGAAAGTGAATAAACGAAAGAAAAAAAGAACGCCCAATGAATGAGGTTCTCTGGTACTGGGGATATTGTCAAGCTGTCCTAACAATTATATGCAATATTAAAAGCATAAAAGATTTTAAATAATAAATATAGTAAAAGAGCGACGTTGGCCTTAAAAGGAAAGGAGTAGAAAAAGAAACGCGGGCTGTTGAAGCTGAAAGACTGTGCCGGGTCAAGGTAGTCAAGTTCTGACAGCTATAAACTAAAATGGCAAATCGCTTCAATCCCTCAATAACCATGACAAGCTTCATCTATATATTGTATAGATGTTACAAATGAAAATTATATTTCATTGCTTTTCAGAAGACACAAATTTAGATGTACAGCAAGTTTCAGTACGATCGTTTTGTTACTCTTGTCGAGTTGCTAGTGATAAAAGCTTCTTTAACCACCTCTTTTATTTATAGTATTCTTTATTTTTGAATAATAAAATTCATTGTAAGTTACTGACTATTCTTACATGGTAGAAGTTGTTTAAATGTAAAGACGTGTATAAACAAAAGTAAACAAACATGTAAGCACTTAGATGGACGCCCTGTTTCCTAGGAAAAAAATATACAAAAGTTCGGTTTTATAAGTTGATAAAAATTAATTTGTATAATTAAAATTGGATTCTCATAGAATTCCATGTATACAGTAAATCCAATTTTCCTAATGTTTGTTTACAGTAGCTATATCAAAACATATCCTTTGCATACTGCCTACTATCACTGAAACCTCCATATCAATTCCAATTGGAAACTGGGAAGTTTATAACAATAAATAGAATTGGAACTCTTACTCTGATTATTTATCCTCCGAATTGCGAATATAAAAGTACCCGCATTCTGGGTTACAAATATATTAGAATGAGCTTTCGACTCAACATTGCAATGAAGATAGCAGTGTTGCTTCTCTTATTAACTGTTTATAAAACATTTGCTGCTCGGTATGATGAACGTGAGATCCCATGGAATTTAAATCAAAATCGTGAAGCCGTACATCCTTTGGATTACTGGGGAGAATGGGAAAACCATAGCTACCACCCTAGCCCGGACGACTGGAGAGTGCCGTTTTACACCATTATCTTAGACAAATGGAAAGATGGGGATCCAACAAACAATGAAGCCAACAACACAGTTTATGAGTACGATATACGCGAAACAGGATTCAGAAGCGGTGGAGACATCGTTGGATTGAAAGATTCACTGGATTATTTAATTTCAATTGGTATAAAGGTAAGCACTGTTTACTGTAAACAAAAGAGTCGCTAACATTTAAGGTTATCTATATCGCTGGTACACCGTTCCTAAATCAACCTTGGGGTGCTGATCAGTACTCACCACTAGACTTCACAGTCCTCGATCATCATTCAGGTACTATTGAGCAATGGAGAGATACTATAGAAGAAATCCATAGAAGGGGATTATATCTGATTTTGGATTTGACAGTGGCTACGTTAGGTGATTTGGTTGGATTTAAGAAATATTTAAATACTACAACTCCTTTTTCGTTATTTGAGCATGAAGCGGTTTGGAAGGACGCACAATATTACCCTGATTGGGATTTCTCCAATGAATACGATCCAGACTGCGAACTCCCTAGATTTTGGGGTGAAGATGGTGCCCCCGTAGTAATTGATTATGTTGGCTGTTATGATTCAGACTTTAACCAATATGGCGATACAGAAGCTTTTGGTACGCATCCCGACTGGCAACGTCAGCTCTCCAAGTTTGCATCTGTTCAAGATCGCTTAAGAGATTGGAAACCGTCTGTTTCTGAAAAACTCAAACGATTTGCCTGTTTAGTGATTTCGTCTCTGGATATTGATGGATTCCGTATTGATAAAGCCACGCAAATCACTGTTGATTTTCTTGCTTCATGGGCTGCTTCTGTTCGTGAATGTGCCGGAAAATATAATAAAAAGAATTTCTTCATTCCAGGCGAGGTTACAGGCTCATCCAGTTATGGATCTATTTATTACGGACAGGGACGACAACCTGATCAAAGACCCGCTTCGCTCTGGTCTTCCTTAAACAAGTCAGAGTTAATCAAAGAAAATTATCTGCGGGATCCTGGGCTAAATGCCCTTGATGCCTCTGCATTCCACTATTCTGTATATCGGGCGTTAACAAGATTTTTACAAATGGATGGTGATTTGCGAGTTCCTTATGATCTTCCTGTCGAGTTCACAGACCTCTGGAATCAGATGGCCATCAATGAGGATTTTTATAATCCCAATACCAAAAGAATTGATCCCCGTCATTTGTTGGGCGTTACCAATCATGATGTTTTTAGATGGCCCGCTATTTATGATGGTGTAGAGCGCCTGTTGTTGGGAACAATGGTTACATATTTTTTGTTTCCGGGGATTCCTTCGATTTATTACGGAGACGAGCAAGGGCTCTACGTATTAGATAATACTGCAGACAATTATCTGTACGGTAGACAAGCCATGCCTTCATCACCTGCCTGGAAGATTCATGGCTGTTATACGTTACTTTCTGATCAATACCCCAATATGCCCTTTACTAAGGCTCTGGATGGCTGTAAAGACGACTGGAACACTTTGGACCACTTTGATTTTGCGAAACCTGAGTTGCAAATGCTTAAAATCTATAATCAAATTCGCAATCATTATCCTGCAGTTAAAGATGGATGGAAGTCAAAAAAAATTTCCAATTGGACTAGCTATTTACAACTTCCAAATAGCGGGTCAATCCCAACCGAAATTGGTGTTTGGAACATTGTAAGAGGATTTCTTGAACCTCTTCAAAATCCAGCGGACTATAAGCAAGATAATACGTGGACTGGTGATTTATGGTTTTTGTACAGCAATGAAAATAAATCTGTGACGCTTGAGTTCCCTTGTTCTTCTTTAAACGCCATCGTATCTCCTTTCCAAGAAGGCATTACTGTTAAGAATATTATTTTTCCATATGAAGAGTATGTCCTTCGTGAATCAAGTACGTTTTCAAGTGAGTACAAGTCTTATCTTGGTTGTATTCCCAAACTTACTCTTCCTGCATGGGGCTACAAAATTTTTGTTCCCAAAGAACAATTCATAGATTACCTTCCACGTGTTACATCGTTCAGCCCTGCCCATGATGCTAGATTGCTAAATGAGAATGGTCAACAAAAGTTTCAAATTATGTTTTCAGAGGAGATGGACTGTGATGAAATTAGTAGAAAGCTGTCATTTATTTCTAAAACAGAAACAGGAACTAGTATGGAGCTTGACAAGGATTCAGTTGTTTGTCAGAGAGTTAATCAATCGAATAATGAGTATTACTTTGGATACCCGACTGCAAAATTTGAATGGTCCGGGTTACTAAAAAATATAGATGATGGTGTCCATCAAATTGTTCTTCCAGAGGTGCAGACTAGCAATCATCTAACTAAGAGCGATTCTCTTTATCGTATTACACTCCGATTCGGGAAACACGATAATCCAATGGTTTTCCAAAATGCTACTAGAGTTCCTGATCTGCTAATTGAAGAAAACGATAAATTATACATCAAGCATAAGGCAGCGGGTGCTGATTTATTCCGATATTCTTTTGATTTTGGCCTTAGTTGGTCTGAATGGGAGCATTATCAAGGTTCGTTTACAGAATGCACCCTTTTTGCAAGAAATATTTCTAGAAAAACTTGGGTTGGCCATCACGTCTCAGTACAGTATTGGAATCGCATTACAGCATCGCCAAATCATATTCAAGAAGGGAGTATAGGTAAGCTTGGATCGTTTCCGCACCTTTATATGAACGGTCCATACAATGAATGGGGTTTCGATGCAGGTATCCCTAATAAACTAAAATTCAATGATGATTTTACATGGAGGAAATCCATAATCAGTGAGATATTTCCTTCAAAATTGCAATTTAATGTTTACAATGTTGATGAATATGGAAGGCCTGATCAAAAAAGAGTTTATGGCTCTAATGGAAATAGTTCTGTTCTTTCACGCCTTCCGCCTTCCGAACTTAAGGAATCTGTGGTTTTAATTCAAACTCCTCCTCCAAAGTCTTATTTGTCCTGGGAAGTAGTTGTTGATGATCTAAACAGATCCTTCAAGTTTCTCCCTAAGGGATCATCAACTGTTTCCATTATATTTTTTGTTACTTTTGCAACAACCCCTCTGTTATCAGCAATACTAACTGTTTGGGGGTTTAAAAGTTATTTTTATAAGGTTCGACTTAATGATGGCGAACAGCTCAAGACTGTTTGGAAAGGAAAATTTTTTAAACCTTTTAGAAAATATGATCAACTCCAACAACCTTCATCTCTTGAAATGGATACATTTCATAAAACTGATTCTGCTAAAGGAAGATTATTGACTTTAGTTGCAACACTGGAATACAACATCCCCGACTGGCAAATCAAAATTAAAATAGGAGGTTTGGGAGTGATGGCGGAGCTTATGGGAAAGCATTTACAGCATCATGATTTATTGTGGGTTGTTCCTTGCGTCGGAAATGTTGAGTATCCTGTCCAGGAAGAAGTCGAACCTTTAGAAGTCGTTGTCTTGGACCAGATCTACCAGGTTAAAGTTTATATTCATTATCTATCTAATATCACTTATTTACTATTAGAGGCTCCTGTTTTTAGGAAGCAAACCACTTCTGAACCTTACCCACCTCGCATGGATGACTTGAGTTCGGCTATTTTCTATTCGGCCTGGAACCAATGCATTGCTGGGATTGCTAAAAGATACCCTATTGACTTATACCATATAAATGATTACCATGGTGCCTTAGCGCCTCTATACCTACTTCCGAACATAATTCCTTGTGTTATGTCTTTACATAATGCAGAATTTCAAGGTCTATGGCCTCTCCGAACGCCAGAAGAAAAATCGGAAGTCTGTGCCGTGTATAATATATCTACAAAAGTTTGTACAAATTATGTGCAATTTGGAAATGTTTTTAATTTATTACATGCTGGTGTTTCCTATATTCGAATACATCAAAACGGCTATGGCGTAGTGGGTGTTTCAAGTAAGTATGGCAAACGGTCTAGAGACAGGTACCCAATTTTTTGGGGTCTGAAAAAAATTGGAAAACTCCCCAATCCCGATCCTGCCGATACAGCTAGTATAGAGCCTCGGAGTGAAGTTTCTGAACCTACGGAAACAGATGAAAAAGCTATTGAACAAAAAAAGAAACAGAAAAAGGAAGCACAAACTTGGACTGGACTTGAAATTGATGAAACTGCTGATTTGTTAGTTTTCGTAGGCAGATGGTCTATGCAGAAAGGAATTGATTTAATTGCTGATATAGCTCCAATTCTTCTCGAAGATTATAATGTTCAGCTGATTACAATTGGTCCGATTATAGACTTATATGGAAAGTTTGCTGCCGAGAAGCTCGATTTTTTAATGAAAAAGTATCCAGGACGGGTGTATTCGAGACCAGAATTTACGCATTTACCTCCCTGTATATTCAGTGGAGCAGATTTTGTTCTAATTCCTTCAAGAGATGAGCCTTTTGGATTGGTCGCTGTTGAATTTGGCAGAAAAGGTGCTTTAGGAATTGGAGCGCGAGTAGGTGGTTTAGGCCAGATGCCGGGTTGGTGGTATTCCGTAGAATCAAACACCACATCTCATACAATTCAGCAATTTGAGGAAGCTTGTCGAAAAGCGCTAAGTTCGTCAGAACTGCAACGAGCTCGTTTGCGTGTTCAATCCGCTCGTCAAAGGTTTCCTGTTTTAGAATGGACTTCAAAACTGGATCATCTAATGAAAAACAGCGTGAGAATGAGTAGAAAGTATAGAAAAGATTCAGAGAAGACTGTGAAGTTTGGCTCCCGTTTCGTTTTTCCTTTGCAGAAAAATCTATCGAGTTTACGTGTATCTAATAACGAAAGTGTTTTGGACCAAGTGAACGATGAAGATTGTCTGTCTTCTTCTCTCAATAATCAATCCGAGCTGAATAGAATGTATTCCTTGGGTTCCAGACGAGGACCTGGGCACCAGGCAAATTCAAACAATGAATTTCTCATCGGACTTTCTAAAACTAATAATAGCGAAGTTGGAGAAAATTCTGAAACTTCGGAGCATTCATATGAGCCATCCGTGAGGGTAATATCTGAATATAGTACTCCCCCAGAGTTACGCGATACTTGTGAACACGATGTTTCAAACAGTAATAACTCATTTTGTCAGTGTTGTGAAGGAAACGAAGACTTGTTATGCAATGTTTCATCAGAGGATGTGCATCAATCAGGTATTTTACCCAACGAATGCTTTAAAAAGCAAAATGAATCTCAGTTAAGTTTAGCTTCCGTCCTTACACTCAGTGGGAACAAAGAGTTTGCCTTAACAAAAACGGATGATGACTTTACGGATCACAATGGTAAAGCACTTGAGTATTTTATCCAATGCCTAAAAGATCTTACTCCAAAAAACTCTAAGGATGACCTCTGTATTGAGGCATTTATCACAAAGATGAAAAAAGAATGGTTTGATGGTATTCGAAATCTGAGATTTGGAATTGAGCGACCAAATATGCTCCTTGACTATGAAGACAAACAACTATTAATGAATGATTCGTTTAACAAAGTTTCAACTATGCTGGACAATATCTATGATCAAAAGCTTATTGATGAAGAAGGTTCTTCTATTGACTCTTCCAAAAGGCAAACGTCAAGAATTAAATATTTTATGCAGCGAAGATTCGGCGAGTGGCCGGTCTATTCGATTATTCTTTCTTTCGGGCAGATTTTAGCTGCTAGCTCTTACCAACTGATACTTCTGTCAGGATCTTCGGCACAGTATGCCGAACAGTTATATATCGTTGGTAGTATATTTGCAGTTTCATCCGTTGGCTGGTGGTATATATATCGAAAGTTACCAAACATCGTGTGTTTGACATTGCCATTCGTGTTATACTTCCTGGCTTTTACGCTCATTGGAGTATCTTCTTTTATTCAAACGAGTACAACATCTCGCATATGGATCAGTTATTTAGCGGGATGGATATATGGTGTTGCCTCTGCTAGTGGTTCTTTGTACTTTTCTTTAAATTTTGGAGACGAGGGTGGAGCAAGCGTGATAGCTTGGATTATACGTGCATGTATCGTTCAAGGATTACAGCAGATATGGGCAAGCTGTCTTTGGTACTGGGGTTCGAAAATTGATCGATTACTTCAAGACCATCGGCTTTTCCCTCACGAATTTTATCCTTTAGGAGCAGTAGCGGCAGTTGCGTGGCCCTTAGCCATGCTGATGTTAATATGTGCTGTGTTACTTATTTTTGGGTTGCCCGAGTACTATTGGCAAAGTCCTGGGAATATTCCAGCGTTTTATTCAGCATTACTAAGAAGAAAACTTGTATTATGGTTTATAGTTGCAACTATAGTGCAAAATTACTGGTTATCAACTTTATATGGTCGTTCGTGGAAATACTTATGGGGAAGTTCGATACTTTCACCTTGGAAAATCTTAACTTTTTCGTTTTTCTTTTTCGCGATGTTGTGGCTGTCGACTATGATATTGCTGGGATGGAAATCTAGAACTCATACATGGCTCTTACCAGTTTTCGGGATAGGACTAGGATCACCACGATGGTTACAGATGATGTGGGGAACCAGCAATATGGGCGTTTATCTTCCGTGGTGTGGTTCTGCCAGTCCCATTGTTGGTCGTATCTTATGGCTTTGGCTAGGAGTGCTAGATTGCATACAAGGAGTAGGTATAGGAATGATACTTTTGCAAACCTTGACACGAAGACATTTGGCAACTACCTTAATGGTTGGACAAACCGTGGGTACAATTACTTCGATGATAGCCAGAGCAACAGCTCCTAATCGACTTGGACCATCATCTGTTTTTTTGGATTTTACATCTTGGCAATTTGAAGATGGAATGAGAATCTTTAAAAGCGCTCCATTTTGGATCTGTTTACTGTCGCAAGTAATCGTTAGTGCAGGGTATCTACTATTTTTTCGACGAGAAAATTTGAGTCGTCCTTGATCAATAAGTGTGACCTTTCCTAATGAAAAGTTATCTGTTGTTGTAATTAAGAATTACTATATCCAATTGACGGTGTTGCAGCCCAATTAACTATGAGTTTATAAAAAAAAACCATGTTTTACATGAAAACTTCATGAAAATGATTAAGAATAATGTTATCGTTTATGAACACAATGAAATTCATTGAAAGGTATTTAGGAAGATTAATGCTAACGAGTAAGATCTGCATCAAGCCTAGTTGGTGATGTAGGTACACTTCTATTGAATAAATAGAAGAAAAAAAAGAAAGATATACGTTGCATGGATGAACAGTGAATCCAATGGATGTCTGAAGTCTTTTGCAAAGCAATACTACAGTTTTAGGAAGCACACTATGGCAATGTCCAGGAGTGTTAATTAGTCAAAATAAGAAAGAACTACAAATTTTCAAAATCATTCTTACTTCATTATACTACATAATTTTAGAGCAATAAGAGATATGTATAGCGCATTCACAATGGGTTCTATAATTGCCAAACAAAGATCTGCCGCCTAGATGAATCCGTCTTACAGAGGATGACACCAAACACAAGAAAATCCGTCGATCACGTAGATCATTAAAGGAAAATCAAGCAAAAGCTCGTTAAACCGATACTTTAAGGGAGATCATCACGACGAGCATAAATGATAGTCACGATTACGACGTTATCGATCAACATAGATCACGGAACAACAGTCGGAAAAAACTGTTAAGTAGTTGATCATAAAAAGATTTGCATTGATCTCCAATCAGATCAACAAAAGTAAACGAAGATCTGTCATGTTGCTGTTACCTACGCACATTTTAACAAAATTGCTCATATCTTAGGTTGTTGAAATAAATTATTTGAGAGGTTATTTGAACAAATTTCTTAGTAACGAATACTAATTTTAATTGTCTCAACTAAAGCTTGCAAGAGATTCATGTTCCATCAAAGAATAACATCTTGTTCAAAATTGCAGATCACTCTTGGAGCACCTTTTTAGAAAGTAAACATGCGCTGTTTTTAGCCAAAGATTTTCGTTTCACGCCAAGTTGTTACCTGCTGGAGCTGATTTTCATTCCATTAGACTATCAATTTCGGCTGATCGGCGTAGATCACCGTAAGAAAAAAACAGTCTCGTCAATCCTATATAAGAGAACGATCTGCAATGAATTTTCCAATATCACAAGTTGAAAGAACTTCTGTACATCCAAGTGGGATCTCCATAATAATTCAAGAAAGAGTTGATTTATTTCCCGTTAATTCTTGTCTTTTTTAGTGTTTTAATTGCTAAAAAAGCCGGGTTCAGTCATTCTGCTCCGGAACTCCTGATCTGCTTCTGTTCTGTAAAGAACATTGGTAAATCCTTTGTGATATTGTAAGAAAAGCGTATTTCTCTGTACGAGGATTCTTTTTCTGATAAAAAAAGGATAAAAGAATATCATTACTTCCTTCGCATTTTGCTCTTTTCTTCGATTAGCTACGATTGATCATCAACGAAAGAAATTCATGAGATTCGAATTACAACTTGTCCTTCTCTGTTGAACTTTTGCTTTTGTCATTTTAATTAACAAAAAGTTGTTCATTTGAAAGAGCTTGGCTTTCAACTGCAATTATTGTGCTCCCTCTTCTAATACTTTTAATCATTTTGATCCTCTTCCCATTTCTGTTTCTTTTAATACCTTTTTCTTTCTTAGACTATTTCTCCTTCAATATGTCAAATTTTGCGGCTACTTTAAAAAACGCTGCTGCTGAATTTCAGTCTGAAAACTCAAACCAAATGCTTCGGTTCCTCTTTTATAAAAGAGATGACCAATTCATTACCTACAAACGAGATGGAGGCCCCGTACAATGCTCGGGTGATGGTAACGCGTTTGAAGAGTATGGTCATATGGGTGTCCGGATTGGTGCCATTTTTGTTATTTTGTTCACTTCTTTAATTGGGGTTTGGCTGCCTCTTGCTTTGTCACACTTTATGCATGACCAGGCAAATCTTGTTATAACCTACTTTTACTTGTTTTGTCGTTATTTCGGATCTGGTGTCATTTTGGCTACCGCTTTTATTCATCTTCTAGCTCCTGCTTGCAACAAATTATACGATCCCTGTTTAGCGGACCTTTTTGGGGGTTACGATTGGGCCCCTGGTATATGTCTCATTTCGTGCTGGTTCATGTTTTTCATTGAAGTCGTACTTTCTCGATTCGTCGAATGGAAGTACGGCATGTCTCATTGTCATAACCCCAACTTAGGTACGCACAGCCATAATCATGAAGAAGAAGGCGCTTTTGGTATCCATTCCCATGACCACTGTCAAGATGACATAGAAAACCGTCCAGGAAGTCCGAAAGATATCGAAGAAATCAAGCTAAAGTCCGTTTCTAACACTGAGAACAGTGATTTGGTCTCCATTGAAGAATCTAGGAAATCCTTACTTTATCAGCAAATCGGGGCTTTTCTTGTCTTAGAATCCGGTATCATTCTACATAGTGTAATTATTGGTTTGACTACAGCTATATCGGGTGAAGAATTCAGAACTTTATTTCCTGTTGTAGTGTTTCATCAGGCGTTTGAGGGAACAGGTTTGGGTGCTCGTCTTTCAAGTATGGCTTGGTCTAAAGGCTTTAATATTCAACCATGGATTATGGGAGGAACTTATGCTTTGTTTACTCCTATCGGTATGGCTGCAGGTTTGGGTGCTCGCGAACACTGGAATCCTCTTAGTCATGGTACTTATGCTACTCAAGGTGTGTTGGATGCAATCTCTTCAGGTATCCTTATTTATGCTGGTTTGGTTGAATTATTAGCTCAAGATTTTCTTTTCGATCCTAATAGAGAGCGCAACTGGTTGAAACTAAGCTTTCTTCTGTTTTGTGCAATGGCCGGAACTGCTCTTATGGCCCTACTTGGAAAATGGGCGTAGTCTTGTGCCACCGAGTTATACTAAGTCTAATTATTTCTAATGTTATGTTTTGTTATAATAGTTAATATGTCATGTGTTTCCTTTTTCATTTTCAAGCTAGATGCTGAGAATGCAGTCTATGTGAATTAGTAAATAAACCTTTATTCTATAATCAACCCTGAATAAATATGTTCGTTTTATTAAACAGTTTTGGTTGTATCAGATTCTATACTATCTTCATATTTTTTAACGTCCTCTATATCTCCTGGTACATTTTCACTTTCTTCGCGTAAAGCTTCCGTTTCAGCTTTACTTTTGATGTAATAGGTGGAAGGTTCTTCAAATTGTATATCCAGGGCTGTATTCCATGCTCTGTTCTTGGCTCCCGTGTGACACTTAGGCTCATTGCAAAGTTTCTCTAAATCTTCCAACCATCCAGCTCGTTTGCATAATTCTACAATTACCCAATCGCAGAATGGACTAATGAAATTTACATCAAACTGAGTATGACGAACTGGTGTCCTTGAGATGTATAATTGGGGAGTTGATGCTGGGACTAAGCTGATTAATTCAGAAACCGGTGCTACCTTTAATGATGTACCGATGCAAATGAGGAGGTCAGTTTTTTCCAAGTCACCGCTTCCTACTTTTTCAAAAAATTGATCAGGTAAGGCTTCTCCGAAAAATGTGATGTCGGGTTTCATCACTCCGGCCTGAGCAGTATCTGCTTCTTCCTCTTCCTCCTTTACATCTTCATTGCTGTCTGAAAACGCACGATCACTTGAACTTGTCAGTTTCCTTTTCTTAACGGGTCTCTGGTTGCATTCGGTACAGTAAGAAATTTTTTGGTTTCGAATATCATCATACAACAAAGAACCCTCAACCTTATGCTTGCATTGAATACAGGTAGCAGTAGCAAAAGATCCTGATTAATTAGAAATTTAGTCAAAACGCAGTTAAACTTACCGTGACATTGAATTACTTTCTCATCAGTAAGCCCAGTTTCTCTTTCCAGATTGTCTATATTTTGTGTAAACAAGGTGGAGAGTTTGTTTTTTTGTTCTAGTAAACGAATGAAAGCATGCGATGGCGAATAATGTTGAGTTTCAGGTAGCAATTCTTTGGCAAAAGTATAAAAGATTCCCGGTTCTTCTCTAAACGTATGGATATCAAACATTTCAGATGGCTCGGACAAGCCGTGCTGAGCAAGTCTAGAATAAAATCCGTTATCCGACCGGAAATCCAATATCCCTAAGCTTGTGCTGATACCTGCTCCTACTAAAACAACGATATTCTTTGCTTTGTGTAATTGTTCAATCACATCATCAATAGTATTGTACTGTGGTAGCTTCAATCGACGTGATGCTTCTCGTCTTAAAACCTCCTTTAACAAGGGAAGGAGACTATAATGTTTTTATTAGCTCCTATCATTGTAGAAGTATACTCGCTTTTTTAACATACTCTAAATCTTCAAATTCATCCAACGCAGTAGGCTAATAATCGGTTAGTAAATTTGTACATATAAGCAGCAGACATACCAGTGATATACCCAATTTCTTTAAAATCAACCGAATAGGTATTTGTTGTTCAACGACATGTTTTTGCAAAAAAGCAGGGTATCCTAAGATGCGTGAGTTAACTGCTGCGTTCTCTTGTCATTTCTCTTACCTAAAATACGAAGAGACTTAAGTATCTCTTCACGCTGCTTAATTACTTCGTGATCATCTATTACTGTTTGCAGTTAGCAAAAATTGCTTAGCAATTTTAACTACTAAGCAAATTGGGGCCCATCAACATGAATGTTACAGCAATGAAGTTGAGAGTCACTACCGCAAATTCATCTCCTGCAACATGCTTAGATGTGTAAACGGACTGTATAAGAGGATTCAATGTCCTACAATCGTATTACTTACCAGGCCGGTCCCATTCATCGGATTCAGCTTCAGAGTCTTCAGCGTCTTTGCTGCCACACATAATATCCACCAAAAGACTAGCACTTGAAGAAATACTAGATGTACTCGATGTCTCTATATCATCTTTACCTTCAGAATTGACTTCTTTTGGAGTAGAATGCAAATCTTCTACAGGCGAGAAACTCATCGGGAGGAACAATTCAACAGAATAAAAGCTAGGAAAACAGAAAGCAAATGGTCTTAAGTAATATTCCTCAATTTTTTTAATTTATAACATTCGTTTAAGAATTGCAGAAATATTCGTCAAAATCCCTTATACTAATTTATTTTACAATCGTGGAAACACAGAACTGATTCTTCAGTGAGATATATATGAGTAAGTGTGCACATATGTAATACATGTCACTAGTATCGATAATCAAAAAAAAATAATATATATATAAAATTACTTTTTAGCTTCTAGTTGTAAAAAATATAGTAAACGCAAAATTATAAATATTTGTTTAATTTACTTTTAAAGTACTCAAACTAATATGGAGAACTGAATTCACTATTTTTGACGAATCCATCTATTAATTACAAAGTATGACTGATAGGAAAAAAAATCAAAACTTATTTCGTTTGTCTAAGAAACTCTGACTGGTATTTTACTAATCTAACATTCATATAGAATTAATCATAATCATTATTAAGTCAAAACATGGTTTACAGGGCAAGATTCTTAAAAGATTTACTCCAATTCTTCATCAACTTCATCCATATCATCCATGTCAACATCTACTGAAGCATCAGTTGGTGATTCGTGATTCGGCAATACAATAATCTTGCCATCCTTAGCTATAACATGTGCCACTTCTTTGTCGCGCAATTGACCGTTCAAAATAAGGACAGCCATAGGATTCAAGACTTGGTTCTGGATGACACGGTTCAACGGACGAGCGCCGTACGCAGGAGAGTAACCAGCACTGCCCAATAAATCCTTGGCTTCCTCGCTAACATCAATCTCAATAGCACGATGGTTACTTTGCAATCTCTTTTGCACTTCCATCACCCTGTTATTGACGATACTACGAATATCGGTACGACGAAGACGATTAAATATCACAGTAGAGGAGATACGATTCAAAAATTCGGGTCGGAAGAATCCGCGAATCGTGTTCAACACCATTTCACGAGCCGTGGCATCAATCTTACCGGTATCGTCTTCCTGGTCAGTAGTCAAATATTCGGCTCCTAAGTTAGAGGTCATGATAATGACAGAATTCTTTGCATCCACAACTTGTCCTTGGCCACTAGTAATTCTACCTTCATCTAGAACTTGTAAAAGGACAGTTAGAACATCGGGAGCAGCTTTTTCTACTTCGTCAAACAAAATGACGGAGTAAGGACGACGGCGAAGTTGCTCAGTCAATTGACCTCCAGCTTCGTGACCAACATAACCGGGTGGAGCACCAATTAATCTGGAAACGGAATGCTTCTCCATATATTCTGACATGTCAATACGAATCATGGCATTTTCATCATCAAACAAAAATCCAGCCAATGCTTTCGTAAGCAATGTTTTACCAGTACCCGAAGGACCACAAAACAAAAATGAAGCTATAGGCTGGTTAGGATCAGACAAACCAGCGCGGGACAAACGAATAGCATTGGCAACTGCCGAAACAGCCTCCTTCTGACCAATAACTTGTTTACCCAAGACGCGCTCCATTTTCAAAAGACGTTCCTTTTCAGTTGTCTTGAGTCTGGTAACAGGGATACCAGTCCAGCGGGCAACAATTTCGTTGATTTGATCAGGTCCAACAACATCAATCAACAAAGGCTCGGATCCAGGTTGAGCATTAGCCATAGCATCTGCATCAGCAGCTCTCTTTTGTTGCTCCAAAAATTCAATGCGCTTTTGGAGATCAGGAATACCGTAATATTTCAAGTCAGCTGCTAGTGTAAAATCGTTACGGCGCTCTGCATCAGCTGCCTTAGCTTTAAGCTCATCAAGGCGACGTTTGGCATCTTGAAGATCGCTACCTCGAGACTTCTCAAGCTCATATTTTTCGCGAATCGGGCGTGTCTCTTCCTCCACATCAGCGGCTTCCTTACGAGCGGCCTTAAGACGTTCACGGGAAGCTTCATCCTTCTCACGTTCTAAAGCACGAATCTCAACTCGAAGTTGACGAAGCTTACGCTCAAGGTTGTCAAGAACCTCTGGTTGAGACTCACGAGTAACACGGACAGCTGCTGCTGCTTCGTCCACAAGGTCAATAGCAGAGTCAGGAAGACGACGAGCAGTCAGGTAGCGCGAAGCGAGATGAGCAGAGGAAACAAGAGCACGATCGGAAATGGTAACACCGTGATGAACCTCATATTTCTCCTTTAATCCACGAAGAATGGAGATGGTGTCTTCAATGGAAGGCTCCTTGACCAAAATGATTTGAAATCTACGTTCAAAGGCAGCATCTTTTTCGATATACTTCTTATATTCACCCAAGGTTGTTGCACCAATGCAATGCAATTTACCACGGGCAAGCATAGGCTTCAAAAGGTTAGCAGCATCCATACTGCCTTCACCACTGCCAGCACCCATTAGGAGATGCATTTCATCAACGAAGAGAATAATGGGAGTTTCGCTGTCTTCAATTTCTTTCAAGACAGCCTTAACTCTTTCCTCAAATTCACCGCGAAACTTGGACCCAGCAACCAAGCTACCAACGTCAAGACTAAGGAGCTTACAAGAAGCCAAATTGGCAGGAACGTCTGAATCAATGATACGACGAGCAAGGCCTTCAGCGATAGACGTCTTACCGACACCTGGCTCACCAATCAAGACTGGGTTATTTTTGGTTCTACGTGAAAGAACACGAATTGCGCGGCGGATCTCATCTTCACGACCGATAACGGGATCCAATTGACCATTACGAGCGAGTTCGGTCAAATCAATGGTATATTTATTCAAGGCATCAAATCCTTCTTCAGCATTTTTCGAGTCAACTCTCTTGTTTCCGCGAACATTGTTCACAGCAAACTCAAATGATTTCGGAGTGACACCAACGTCAGTTAAAAGCGATTTGATAATATCGTCCTTGATGAAGGCAGCAATAAAGTGATCTTGAGCGATATAGGAATCCTTTTGGGTTTTTTGAAGTTCATGTGCGTTTCGTAATAGCTTTGCGGTTTCTGGAGCTAAGGAAATCTGTTCCGGTGGAGGATCTTGTGCAGGCAAACGGACAAGTCGACTTGTAACACTGCGTTCAAACTTTTGACCATCACCACCGGCTTTCTCGACAATGGTCCGTAAAAGTGATGATCCGTTTGCATCTGCTTCAGATAATAAGACAGCTGCGAGATGAACAGTTGACAGTTGGGAATGTCCGTAAGATTGAGCTAATCCGTAAGCATCCGAAAGTGTCTTTGCAGCTTTATCGGTAAATTGATAATCAGCCATAATTAATAAGAATTAATTAACAAAAGGAACAATAATTAGTCACAAATTAAAAGGAGGGTTTATAAAACTTTTTCGTAAACGGCAACTAAAAGAAAAAGGAGATTAAATAACAAAAAGAGGTAATTTTAATGAATAAATAGAGAATATTTCTAAAATCGTTGTTCTCAGTAGTGAAGTTCACGGACATCATGGTGTCGTATTTATAACTATGCCAAGATCTAACGAACGTTCTAGAACGTACTAGCTAATTCGATAACAGAAACCCGCTGGAACCATCTATTCTGCAATAGAACTTGATAGTAGAATATTATCTTATTGCTAGAATGTTGTAGAATACTACGATATTCTCTGTAATTCTGTTCGATAATTTAGCATAGACAGTAGTAAACACTCTAGGAATGCATCGTAAAAACAAAAATCGTTGCTTAATTAATACAATGACAAAATTCTTTGCTTTTACAGCTGCCGTTTCGATTATGAATGTGTTATTTGATATGAAATTGTACCCAAATCGACTTGAAAACCAATCCATTCGCAAGGGACAAGTTCTTGGGTCTTTTAAATATTAGGAACATACAAATAGCTCATACATTCTTACTAGTAATTGGTATAGAAGAAGAAGAGGACGAAGTTGAATGAAAGACTCTGGAAATATCAGCAAGTAGTAACTCAACGAAAAGAAGCATCAAAGTATATGCTGTATTCCATTATAAAATTAATTATCTACAATAGAGCCAATTTACTTTCAATCATGAATAAAAGATTTACGAATGTAAATATTCAGTTTATGATAATATCATATAAACGGTTCATGTTACCCGAGATGTGACTTACTATGGGTAGTTTTTATTTAGTACTGGGTAAATAAATGAAAAGAAAGGGTGTAAAAACAAGGGAAAACTTTAAGAAAAATAATAAATTGGATAAAAGATGATATAATTTCTCTTTACATGGATTACAGATGGAGGTTTGCTTCATCATTCCAAACGAGTGACAATGTAGTAGAACTACTCGATGAGTTTAACAAAAGACAAACGTCTATAATTATTTTTTTTGGGCCCTTGTAAATCTCTGAGAGTCAGTAAAGAAGACAATATCAGATACAGCTAGATTGAATTTTTTACAGTGTCCGAATTTCTCTGCGGTTAGTCAGGCTACTTTCAATGTCGTCTAAAGGTTCCATCAACACATGTACTTTTTCGTTTGCATTCCCTCTAATATAAGATCTTTATTGCTTATTTGCCTCAAGCACTTCATCCTTTTGTTGATATGTTTATGGTCATCCATAAAAAATCTAAAGGCGAAGAATACATCGCGATGCTATGAAGCAATTCTTACTGGAAAATTATAACTAATTCTGCTATTGGTTTCACGCTGCCCTTCATTGTTTCTGTTAAAAGCTGAAGTGGGACCACAAGGCAGGACACTTGATCCCCATGAAAAGGTTCTACTGTTTTTGGTATATGAAACCAAATGAGGAATAGAAAAACGCTAGTTTATTTCGAAGAGCATGTTTTGAATTTGGATACACATAGGTAAATAGTACTATGGATTTGTGAATATTGTGAAAGAAAAAAAAAATAAGTTTTTTTTTTAAAAAACTTTTTCAGTTTAAATATGAATAATACGTTTTCTTCTTAAATACTAAAACAAAATGAATTCTAAGGAAACCAACCGTATCGAAATGCTTTCGCGCTACCGTGTATGGGGACGCGTACACCCCAAATATTTTCAACCTGAACCAACTACGGGGAACCTTGACAATACTTATTGTAACCTTTAACTTAAGGATAAATCGGCTTTCCTCTATAAAAGATGTTGGAAGCTAGATTACAACAGGCAGCTTTGTTAAAAAAGCTCCTCGATGCCATCAAAGAACTTGTTACTGATGCCAACGTATGTTATACAGATGATTAAAATGCGTTTGAAATACTTTTCGAGCTTCTTAAGAAGTTTTTTCAATCCAATATTCGGCTATATATTAAAATAACAGGTTACTAACATTTTTTTTAGTTCGATTGTAACGACAATGGTATTTCACTCCAGGCTATGGATAGCTCTCACGTTGCCCTTGTCTCTATGTTAATCAAATCTGACGGCTTTGAACCTTATCGATGCGATCGCAACATTGCTTTAGGTATCAACCTGAATGCTTTGTCCAAGGTTCTTCGTTGCGCTCAAAATGAAGACTTGGTAACTTTGAAGGCTGAGGATACACCTGAGACTTTAAATATGGTCTTTGAAAGTGAAAAGAATGACCGTATTTCTGATTACGCTGTCAAGCTTATGGATATCGATCAAGAACACTTGGGTATTCCCGATATTGAGTACGATGCTACCGTTACTATGCCCGCTGCTGAATTCCAACGTATTATTCGCGATCTTTTGACTTTAAGTGATTCTGTTCGTATCCATGCTAGCAAGGAGGGTGTTCGTTTCAGTTGCAAAGGTGATATTGGCGCTGGTTCCACGACTCTTAAACAACATACTGATCTTGCTGATAACGACCAAAGTATTGAAGTTTCCCTTACCCAAGCTGTTAGTCTAGGATTTTCTTTGAAATATTTGGCTCAATTTACCAAGGCTACTCCGTTGGCCAACCGTGTTACACTGTGCATGAGCAGTGAAGTTCCTTTGCTCGTTGAGTACCAAATGGAATCTGGATACCTTCGCTTCTACCTCGCTCCCAAGATTGGTGATGAGGAAGAGGACGAGTAAAAAATGTAATGTAATTTGTTTTTCACTGCTTGATTCGTCAAGTGTTTCATTCTTTTCTTATGTATAATCAATCGAATCTCTTACAATGGTATCTTACACGGGTATAGTGTCATACTGCCCTATATTTAATATGCAAATTGTCATTTTCAATTCTCTCTTTTGTTACTTGGGTAGTCATTAACATTCAAATACAATTATTTGAAGCTATGCTTCTATTCTTCAGCATATTGAACTAATCGTCTGCCAGTCAGTAAACCATACATGCAGACAAAAAAGATATTAACTACCTAAACAAATTCCTTCTCATTTCTATCCAATAAGTACATTTCAATTTACTCATTTGGACTATTTGAACAACGTATGAAGCATGTTTTTTTCAGTATAGTTCGAACAAATGGGTATATGCCATTTTTTGCAAAATCTAGAAATATTTTAAATAAAAAGTCACGTAATCGTTTACGCTTAAGAATAAATGAAAACAATACGAACTTCAAACTTTCATATTAAGCCGCATAGCGAATCTATAATACTATATTATTATCGAGGAAAAAAGAGTTATTATCCTCAACTCCAAAAAGTTGACTCAGTTTACAACTGGCACAATTCTTCACTTTTTTTATAGAATTCAAAGGAATACTCGATTGATAAAATTAGAACATAAATTTTCTGTTTTTGTCGATTTCATTTGAGACTAGGACAAAAATTTACGTCGCGATAACTGAAATTTTGGTGTAATTCAGTCAGAACCTTCTCTTAAATGGATAATATGAAAGCTTCTAAACCTGATAGTATTATTATCGCAATTGCTGGTGGACCATATGCTGGAAAGGTAGGATTTGCTTTTGGTTAAAAAGACTCGAAATTTCAGGTTGAGATTAGAGAAACGTTTACTAACAATATACTTAGAAACGTTTGTGCAACGAGCTTCTTACCCGGTTAGAAGCTCTCTCTCCGTCCACAAAAGCTCACATTTTGCATTTGTCCTCCTTCTTGTATCCTGGACAAACGAATCGCTATTCCTTGGATTCTTACGATATAAAAGCATATAAAGAAGCTCTAGTAGCAATTCAGTGTGGAAATGAGCGCATTCCTCTTCCTGATGGAAAAGAATTATGCTTTTCTCCTGATAAGGATCGCGTCGTCTTCACCGAAGGTTATTATTTACTACTACCAGAACTACTGCCTTCCTATACTTCAAAGTTGTTTGTTTACGCTGATGGAGATACAAGATTAGAACGTTCGGTAATTCGACGAGTTTGCGGAGACCATGAAGTTTTGGCTGAAGTTTTAGACGATGTACGTTGATATAGTTTTTGATGATTTCAACTAACATAATAGTTTGTTCAAAATGCTAAACCTGCGTATGAGATGTCTATTCATCCTGTAAGCTTCCCATTACATACACAATTACACTATAGCTAACGTCTTGTCCCAGACACGAGAAAATGCAGACATTATCCTTCCTCAGAGAGCAGACATTCAATCAGCTCTTTTGTTTGTCATTCAACATCTTCAGGATCTTTTAGAGGAATTAAATCAGCCAAAGCTGATAAGTTCCGTTCATTATGATCCTTTACATGAAAAATACATGAAGCTTGCTCATGAAATGGTATGTTACTCTTGAAGCTTTGTAAACAATTTTAACTGAAAGAACTAATTTCAGGCTGAAACGTCCTTGGCGAACCGAGAAGTTCCGGTTGGATGCGTTTTTGTATATAAGGGGGAAGTGATTGGTAGAGGATATAACCAGACGAATTGCAGTCTATCCGTAAGTATCAGCCTTGACATAAACATATCCTTTTACTGAATAAGTATTAATAATACAGGGAATACGACATGCAGAAATCATAGCTATTGAAGAGATTTTGGAGAAGTATCCTTCTTCTGTCTTTTCGGAAACTACGCTTTACGTTACTGTAGAGCCGTGTCTTATGTGTGCTGCAGCACTAAAACAGCTGCATATCGAAGCTGTTTATTTTGGATGTGGAAACGATCGATTTGGTGGCTGTGGAAGTGTATTCAGTATCAACAAAGAGTAAGAGCTAATTGAAACTGAAGTATAAAGTATCTCATACTAACAATGGCAAAGTCCGTCTATTGATCCAAAGTATCCAGCGTATCCTGGACTATTTCGACCGGAAGCAGTTATGCTAATGAGACGGTTTTACGTTCAAGAAAATGCAAAAGCTCCTGTACCCCAAGCGAAAAAGCAAAGGGTATTAAAGCATAATATTGAACAGATGGACATTACTCGATACGTGTAAGACCTCAGCAACATTTCAACATAATTTATTCTTTTTTCTTGTTTTTTTGGAAGTCGGCAAGTTTTAGGTACATAGATCAATAGCATTGATAATACAACTCAAAGAGGACTAAGCAATATAGTTATGAAAGAATTACAATAAAGATGGAAAACTACATAGACAATAAAGCAATATGGAATCTAGAATAAATGGACTGGAACAACATAATAAGCAAAAATTGAATTCCATTGGTTTCATACGAAAGTAGAAAGCTATCATAGCTTACTTCTTCTTGGAGACACCAACGGTCTTACCACGACGGCCAGTGGTCTTGGTGTGTTGACCACGGACACGAAGGTCGAGAGCGTGACGAAGACCACGGTGAGCTTGGATCTTCTTGAGACGTTCAAGGTCCTCACGGAGCTTACCTTCAACGTTGTTGGAAAGCAATTGGTGAGACTTGCCATCGTTGATATCCTTTTGACGGTTAAGGAACCAGGTGGGGATCTTGAATTGAGTAGGGTTTTGAACAATGGTAACAAGACGCTCCAACTCTTCAGTGGTGAGCTCACCAGCACGCTTAGACATGTCTACATCAGCCTTCTTGCAGACGATGTTGGCGTAACGACGACCGACACCCTTAATTTGGGTCATGGCGTACATGACCTTTTGCTTGCCGTCTACATTGGTGTTGAGTAGACGGAGAATGTGTTGAAACTAGCAGAAATGTTAGTATAAAGCTTTTGAAGACATGAATCATCTCAAGCCCTTGTTCGTTAAATTATAACGGAGGAAAACACATAATGCGATTCACAAATTCACCCAGACACAAACCGATGGCTCGACCAAAATGAACAACGATGACCAAGAGCGGAAGTAGGTGAATATAGGAAAACAGTATATGTTTTTCTTGAGAAATTAAAGAATTTTACATACGTTATCAGGAGGAACGAGAGACATCTTCCTGCAGCTGCTGGTAAGTACGACACAAAATGGATGAATGCAGAGGCTGTATGTTTCTACCAAAAAAACAGTCACGAATAAATGGTATAACGATTTGCGGTACATCCGTTGACGGTCAGTTACCGAGATGGGACGCAATGGAAAGTAAAGTCACCGAGGTATAATGACCACTAGTGAAGTTGCATTCGATTATGATGTTAAATCTACTGCGCCTTGGTAAGGATCGTTAATTCGGTTATCATAAGCCGTCGAAATGATGAAGTAAATGCTCAAGCTCGTTTCCCATGCCGACGATTCGGTTTTCATAAATGTCATGATTGTTCATAGACGTCATGTAAAATCAGCGGGTTGTAAACAAACAAACATGTGGTCTTTTTCTGAGTCTTTTCAATCAAACGAAAAAGACTTTTCTGCTTCAGAAAGCATCGTATTTATTACATAGATTTTTTTGAAAAAAATAAGCGATTCTGGTTTCCTTTTAAAATCTGCGTTAAGTTTATCCTACGATGGTTGTTTAACAAGAATTGGATTGTCGCATATATTTAGAATTTATCATGAGTGTCGAGAGTATATACCTTTGTTAATTTTATAAATACAAGTCTTTTCTATTCATTTATTTGTAAAGGATCTCTGATCCATTCTGTAACTCTTTGTTCTTCACGGGACAAGTACATTGTGTGTTTGTTTACATGAAAAGAAAAAGCGACAAGAACCTTTTTTGTTCCTTTTCTACTTCTTTGCTTAGATATGTTGTAAGGTAGTCAGATTATCTGATGTTACATTCAATAACATTTTTTTCTTTTTCTTATTTTCTTTCAGTATGTATTCTCTATCCTTCATATCGGATCACAAACAAAAGTTGTCTTTTTGTTTTATTTTTTGAGAAACCCGATGTAATAACTGTACGATAATTTGATTTTTTCATTATTAAATCTGATGATGGCTAAGCATGAATCATAACAAAGCTCCGGTTTTAACAGCAGTCCGCTAGGGGAAAATTTTCGGCCCTGCGACACTTACACCAGTTGATGAAACAAATATATTTGCGGCTCTAAAAGTATATATATATATATCAAGGTTGCACATGTTTAGTTGTTTCGTTGCCTTGAATCAAAGGTTTAAAGCTATCCTGCTTCCTGGCTTGTGATTATCCTTCTTTTCTTCTTTTTCTATTGAATTAGAGTCGTAAACAAATCAGCTTTCTATTTGGTAAACGTTCTTTTGGAAGTGTTTTCGAGCTTTTTTTTGTTTACTTTTCTTTTTCTTTTTGTTTGTGTTTTTGTTTTTTATAGATTTTTTTTTGTTTTGTTCTGGATGAAAATTGTGTTTTATATTCACTAAGACTCGTGCTGGTCTGGTCTATTTATTTATTTATTATCCTTCGCTCTATAATTAACATTCTCAATTTTGGTTCTCATTGCTTTGTCTCTTGCTATCTTGTCCGTTTCGCCGAATCTGGCCATAGTCATAGTTATTAAGTGCCCATCGTTTCTTTTCACCTAGGAGTTTTTTTTTGCATCACATATTTGATTTATAAATTTCGGCTATGGGACGTAGAAAGATATCCATTCAGCCTATTTTGGACGATCGATCTCGGAGCGTCACTTTTTCTAAACGAAAAAGCGGTATATATAAAAGGCTTTTGAACTTGCCGTATTGGCTGATTGCGAGGTTTCAGTCACCATATTTGACCGCAAACGTCGACTTTATGTCTTTTCCTCGCATGATTTTCAGCGAACTATAAATCATGTAAATACTAACCATATTTATGAACATCAAACTGCTGCCCAATATGTGAGCAAGCAACGACAGGCCTTTATTCCTCGCAACTCTTATTTTTTACCTTCTTTGGCCGCTGTCAATTCTCCAAATTCCCATCATCTCGATCGTGCTTCATCATCATCCACCTATTCCTCTCCATCTTCTAATCCTACCTGTCTAGCCACTTCCTCCCAAATGAGGCGAGGCAATGAACCTATGACTCCTCCTGCTAATCCCTACAGGTATCCTTATATCAAGAACGAGAGTCCTCGTCCAGCTCCTACTCCTACTCCTACTCCTACTGATATAAGCCATGCCTACGAAGCTCAAAAACATTACTCACATTTGTCTCCTGTTAAGGAAAGTCCTTTTCAATCCGGCTATGATCCCACTTTTGCTTCTTCTTTGAATCACATGGATACAAAGCGCAGTTCTATTCATATAAATAGTTTACAATCGTTAGCCTCAACTCAACCAGCATATGTTGACCGTAAAGCTGGCTATTGTTCTTCTTCCTTTTCAGACCCCATGAAAACTAAGCTTCCAGTAGGCTTTCCTCCCCAACCATCGGTCCCCGAATACCATTACAATAACCAAACTAGACAAGATGTAGGGCCCTTCTCCACTTCTTCTTATCCTTATCCTTACCCTCATCAAAACTTTCAACATTTACCAACATGGAGAAAAGATCATGATCATAGTTATGCTTATAACGTTGTCCCTACACCTATGAGCATGTACTCGATGGATCCTTCTCATGCGCTGCCAGACAGACTCGTGCCTAATGCAGCCCATCTACCATATTGCTAGTTATTCCAAGTCTTGTCTGGCTTACCTCTTGCAGGGTACGAACAAAGTATCGGTTTCAAAATTCTTTTATTTTTCCCTCTTTTGTAAGTTTAGCTTACATGAAAACAAAACAGTCATGATGTATCAAAGTATTGTCGAGAGTAGAGACAAGAAAGAAGGAGATTTACTTTTGACTTTCTTCTAGATTGAAGGCCACAAATGGCCAAACAATATTCGGAAAAGTTTCGAGGGTTTTAATAATCCCACCTGCTGATTCAGTAGGAAAATTAAGGAAAAGGATATAGTGTTGCTTGATTTTTCCATCTCCGTCTTTTTAGCTATTTATCGTTTCGCTCATTTATTTATTGTTTTGATTTACTAAACTAAGCATTTGTCTTTATTGTTTTACCTTGTCATATTTATGCTAACACCTGGAACTGAGCATCCCTGCCGTTTAATTATTTATAAACATATACATAAAAATGAGTATAATTCATTATTTATAGGAAACCGGTTTGTCCATATAGATTCCCTGTATAACCCTTGGAATACATGCATAAAATAAAAAGTCTTTAGTTATTTGCATAATATATTATTTCCGCGTTCAATCTATAAAAAAAAATCTTCAGACCTATGCTAGATATGTTAAATGTGTTGCATAAATTTTTGGACAAACTTGTTCTGCGTATACCCTTTGTTGCTTTAGATTACAATAAAAAGAGAACCGGAATCAGTTAAAGAAAAGAAAAAAATGTAAATGTGTTTCTGTAGTTCTATTATTCATTGGAAATGTCAAATAATCAACAAAACTTCAAAGCGAAATAGGCGATCTCGGAACCAAAGAAGAAAAGGGTTATATATTAAAGCAAAGGTGAAGTTAGAAAAGTTGACGTATTGCAGTAGTCTAGAGTACTCAGAATCTAGCTGGTGTTATTGACTTTCTATAGGCGTTCCTCTAAAAGCGGGATTTTAGTAGCTTCAATCTTCATGAAAGCAGCATATTTAACTCTGGCATAGATAAAGAACCTAGATTGAGTATATTTGAAAGAATAAGAATATAAAATTACATCCTTAGCAAATCTTCCGTCGTATTTTCTATTCCAAAAATTGCACTATTTTTTTTCCTTAGCAAGACACTGCAGCCTTGTGTCAAACTGATTTGCATGCTTAATCGAATTCATTTTCAGTAATTAAATTTTAGAACGGACACAGATTCAATATACAAACAATTCATACCACTATATCCCTCATATACTCACAGTATGAAAAAATGTCAAAAGTAATAGAATATTAACTTTCAGCATGCTTTAAATAAGGGCCATATTACCCGAGAAAAAAGACTTTTCAGACTATGAGTACAAGAAATATCATGTTCCAAAGAGTCTTATATTTAACCAAAGATAACGGAATATCATATGGAACCAGTAAGCACAAGGAGGTATGCAAAAGTCTTTATGCACTTTGCTTTAACAGCGTTGTTCTTACTCGAGCAACTGTTTAAACATTCGTTAACAGAATCATTATCGAACAACTTGATAACAAGAAAACCTTTACATCCATTCTCAATGAATAGATTAGATCAAGCACCTTACTCCGCCAAAGCTCTTCCGGTAAAAAGCAGAATCCTGTAAACGTTCGTTTCAAGACAAGATCAAGATCATCTGGAAAATACCTTGAGTACAAGTAAATTCCCTAGTCGCTTTTCTTTTTTGAAGTCGTCCTTTTATATAGGTTAGTCACTTAGAAACTTAATAGCGTTTTATTCCATCTTCGGGAGTGAGGCGTGGCATATAATTTACATACCTCTGTCATAATTTCATCCGTAAATTCTATAGTTTCTGTTGAAAGGGCTATACGGTATCCTTGATGCTGATACTTGTCTGCCAAAGTTACAAGCTGAGGTATTGCCATTCCTGTTGACTGATACTGAACACATCCGCTAACATGGTGTTAGTATTGTTCTAAAAAAGTTATTTCCAAGACGAACCTTCTTTCTAGCTGATGTTTTACGCGCTTCATCATGGCGATTAAGTGTGTCTTTCTGCGGACTATGAATCCTTTTCGCACAACCGGTGCACGTTTGATTCTTTCGGCACCCATTTTAAAGATCTTGTACTTTACAATTCAAAAACCTCCAATTCTACTGGCTTTTCCTTGTTTTTTTAGCACCTATACTCAATGTTGTTTATGTATTTGGTGGTAGTAACTGAATAAACTGCGTTAGCATATGGTATAATGTAAATAAACAAATGACTTTTCTTTTGTTTTTTTGTTATCATATACAAACAAATAGAATAAAGAAACTTTGCTATAGAAATAATACAAATTATGTTATAAACAATAAAAGAATCGTTGTTTTCTCCTGAAGCCGTATTTTTTACCTTCTAGTAGTCGTTGGTACTAGTTGTAAAGTGTAATATTTTTTTGAGATGAAAAGATGAAAGAAAAAAAAAGAAGGGACACCCATTTTTTTCTATTCTAATGTTAGGTTTATTTATTTAGTTATGCATAAGAATGAAAAAAGTATTGCCAATCGAGAGTCAAGTTTTATTTTTTGTTCATACCTTAAAAAAATTGCCAAGAAAGAAATGTTTATACAGTTCCCAAATAAAAGGCTAATTGAATAATTGACCTTTCTTCATACATTCCATTAAACCATTCTATAAACCCGCTTAGGTACATCGACTGACTGCTTCGTAGCACATTCCATATTCTGATTTTAACCACCATTCTAACAAACGTTTGACAAATTCCTTTCAGTCCAAAATTCAAAAATTGATTATGCTTTTTTTATAGAAAAAAGAATATTTAAAAATCAATTTTCTGTAACAAACGTGGCGAAGCAGGACCTTTGAATTGGAATACTACTGTGTCATTACGAGTCTCTTCATCTGCAAATTATTTATTAAGCAAATTAACATCTTTTTTGAGCAATGACATTTGAGAAATCAAATGCGAACCTTCCTCCTGCCATAAATCGACAAACAGGGCTCGTTCTTTTGCAATTAAAAGAGGAAGAGGAAAACCAACGAAAGGAATTATTGAAATATCAAAAGTTATTAAGAAACGAAAATGATGCGAATGCCGAGTTGGAGGCTACAATAGACGAATTACGAAAAAAAACTGATCATTTACGACACCAAAATCAGCAAAACGACAACTTTCTTAAAAGTTTTCATGATGAAAGTGGTAGCTCCGTTCATCGAAAATCGGAGCTCCGTGACAAAATAAAAGTATTAGAAGATTCAGTTCTCAATTACCACGCTTCCTTAAAGCGAGACCAGGCACAGTTGAAAGTGATATTGCAGGAAAGGGATTTGGCAAAGTCGATTTCTGAGAAACTACAGACTTCGCTCAACGTTCTACATTCACAGAGTAATCCGCAACTTATTCAGGATCTTATAGTAGAGACGAAGAATTGTAAATCACGGGTTACTGACCAGATTGACCACAGCGGAGACTTACTTCGTCATTACAGCGATATATCAGATCGTATGGAAAAGATGTACACCCTTCTGGTAGACACCAGCCGTGCTCATCGGGTCGCCCTTACCGATGCCACAAAGTCATATACTTACTTATTTGATTCCAACCTTACTAATACAAGACATCAGGCAGAAGACATTTCTGCCTTTGTCGAAAAGTTCCAGTCGAAAAAACTACCTTCATTACAAAGCGAATTCATCAATTACAAGTCTTTGAAAGACTTTGCCGGTTAGCTACTTTCGTTTATCGTATGTTTGCATTATACACGTATAGAATACTAATTAATACTATTATCTCTTCATTTTCTATTAAACGTTCATCGATGAGTAACAAGAATTTGCGTCTTCTTAATCACAAGGATCATTTACATTACAAATATTGCGCTTTATAAATTCAACCTACTGAATATAACATACATACTTTTTTATCAGTTTGAAACTTTTATTCTTGCTATACCTTCAAACCTATCATGTAAATGACTGACCCATAACTTAGTTTTCATGGAGGACAGTCAAGAACTTCTCACCAGCAGACTTGGTGGTCTTGCCGCTGTCAATCTTAACATTGTGCTTGTAGGCCTTGGCATAAGGGTTAAGACGGAGCATAACGTTCTTGTTCTTGAGAGGGTTCTTCTTTTGAACGTTAGTACGCTTAACAACAGCGGGACCAGCAGGCTTAACAATGCTTTGAATTTCATCAGAGTTGATGAGACGAGTAACATCAGCGTTAGAGATGACATTTTGAGGGAGGACGTAGTCCTTTTTGAATTGAGAAACTTCAGTGAAGCTTCCGAAAACACTGTCAAGGAGATCGAAAGCAGACTTGGTCCAGATGACGAAACGACCCAAGTGACCACCAGGGGCAAGTTGGAGCAAGTTCAAACGACGAACGTTGACGAGCTCAACACCGGGGACGTTACGGAAAGCCTTGACGATACCAGCGTCTTCGTTGAAAACAACAAGAGGACCACGGCGTTGGACGTAACGACGGTTACGGAGCTTACCCTTACCAGCACGAAGCTTGCGAGAGTTGGTAACCTTGGCGACATCACGGTAGGCCTTGAGTTCCTTCAACAAAGCAACGGCCTCCTTAGTCTTTTGGATAGTTTGGATAGAGTCTTCGACAACCAAAGGAACTTCAGCAATTTCTTCAACGCGGTGACCACGAGCCAAAAGGAGAGAGGGAACACCGGAGGCAGCAACTGCGGAAGCAATAGCATAACGCTTTTCATTTTGGTTGACCTTGACATGCCACTTGCGCCAGGTCTTGGTAGGGGCGAACATACGACCGCTACGGCACATGTTACCAAAAGCAGCTTGACCGGCACGGTGAGTACCACCACCACCGACACGAGGAATACGAGCAAGAGCACGACCAGTACCCCAAGATTCAGCAGAGGTTTGGTGACCAGCCTTCTCGGAGACGGCGTAGGGTTGACGCTTGTTCTTGGCAACAGCGGTATGAACAGAGCGAACCAAATCAGGACGAATGGGGGCCTTGAAAACGAAAGGGAGAGCGATAGTCTCAGAAGAGACACCGCCGTCCTTAGAGTAGACACTAACAGTGGGACGAGCTGCTGCCATTGTAGCGGTGATTATGGACTTGGTGGTAGTGAAGAAGCTTTTTTTTTCTGAAATCTTTCACTGCGCAACTATCCGTGACTGTTCTTCTCCATGGAAACTGAAATTTTATAACGAAGCGTTGCGAGGAATAGCGTAATAAATACACAGTTTTGTTTGTAAATAAATGAAATCCTTTTATCCATAAATTAGTACCGACCAAACATATTAGCAAATATTTGTTTCCTTTAATACTAAAAATGCGCATGTTAGAAAAGAAAAAGCATCTTTATTGTTAACCTTCGATATGTTGGTAAGGTATCTTACAATTTACAGTGACGCTTTTCTTATGATTCGCACTGTTTCTGTGCTGAAGTATTAAAAATATCTTAAATGAAGATCAGATAGAATCATGTTTCTGAAATTTGGTGAAAAAACTTCGAGTTTCATGCGAATTCATTGAATCTTCAAATGTGATCTCTTTGTTTACATTACCCCAAGCTTGCTCACTACCTACCACTCCATAAAGAAATTTATTCATAATGGAAGAGAATATTGCCAAATTAAAGTTATATTGGAACGAGAATGAATCAATTGTTGCTGATGTTGTTTTAAACGTAAGGAAAGATGTGGGAATTTACGCTCATAACTGATATATTCTAGGTGAATACTGAAAACGATAAGTTTCCCATCCCTGTATTAAATCTTAGTAATAATACTTGGAAATTATTAAATTTTCTTGAAATGAAAGACGATGATCAACCTAGAAAACATGCTGGTAGTGATTCAAATAAAGAGGTGTTTACTAAAACCACATCAAAGCCAAGAGCACCTCTGCAAGCGTTGCATGACGAAGGAAATAATACAATTTTAAAAACAAAAGAAAATAATGTGAATACGTCTCCGAAACAGTTTCGAGAGCGACCTACAATCGGGGATGAGAATGCATTCAGTTCTCCTACCAAGAGTTATCAATTGGGTGATAAACAGGAGTGTGAGTATGTGGATGAGAGTTCTGAAACACTTGATCTTCAAGGATGGTTTACTGTTGAAAACGAATTGGGGCAAAGATCTTCCATTGAGCACGAATGCGAAAACGTAGCTGAAGATTACTCCGAATTCGACGACCTGTCTTCTAATTCTGAAAATGCTGATTCTTACCTATTTCCTTCAAGAAGTGATCCTTTTTCATATTTGCTAGAGAATGGGTCTCTCACCACTCTTTCCATGACTTCAAACGATATGATTTCCACGTCTTCGTTGAACGATGATACATCAGAAGCTTCTCACGATAAAGCATTAGATTTGGAAAAGGACGAAAAACATAATCTTCTGGACAGTGATTCAGAATTACATTTGCAAGAAACGAACCAAGTAGGCATATCTAAAGAAGATGAGGAGGTATCCGATGAAACCTCAATTCTTGTGCATCCAACAGAAAGCTTTACATTAGAGAATGATTGCTTATATTATAATCCACAACATTTAAAACCAGATGAAACTGATTCAGGCTCTTTAAGGAATTCACAACCCACTAAAATATGGTTAATGCTAAAGGCAAAAGTCCTCTTTGATGAGATGGATCAGTGTTATCGTATTCCTTTGAATTTTTTTCTTCCGACATATCGTGTCGATCTTAATCTGATTATTCATTCATTAATAAACCTAAACTGGAATGCCCAAGTTTCGTCTGGACACTTTGATACGCAACTCGAACAGTCTTCGAATGCTTCAAGAGGAACGTCTTCTTTCTCGGCACAATTATCTGCTTCTTCATTGTCAAGCGTTGTCTGGTATACAAAAGAATCCGTCACGAGTGTCAAGGTTCTTGAAACAACCATCTCAGTCTGTTTGCAAGAGGATTTATCATCTTTCAAGCATTTAGAGTACGAAATTCAGTGTATTTGTGCTTCTCCAATTACAGAAAATAGCACATTCACCATACTCGCTCCAGAGTCTTATGTATTGAAGAATGTTTTCAGTAATTGTTTGAAGTTTGAATTTGAACAGCAACAAAATGGAGAGGAACTAGATATATTATTCACAAAAGTTTGCCATGATTCAGATAATTCGTCAAATAACACGCCGCATGCGCTTCAAATACAATTAATGGATACCACTGATGCGGTTACAAAGAATCAAATACAGCCTATTCCAATCGTGAAACATATGAACCAGCCTACAAAAGTTACATTTGGAAAATTAATATCGGATTATCAAATCTTTCTTTATGATATTTATGGGATATGCCAGACGATGGCATTGGGATGTTGCGAATTCACGTATAATAAAGATAAGAAGTATGGGTTTACCATGACCCAACGAAAGCATGGATCTAAAGCAACGGTTCAGAATCCATTTGTTAACACTCGTATAAAAAAGAATTGTTTATTCCCTGTCTTTAAAGTGTTTGATGATTTTGAAGAATATTTACAGCTTGTATTTTCTTGTATATTGATTTTGGATCCTGAAGATCAAACTGACATATTAAAGCTTAAGTTACCGGAGCAAGCTCGATTAACGTGGGTGATTGAAGGAAGTCATGACTACTTGACGAACGTTTATTATTCGGATGGGATATGTAGAATCGCAAACTCACCGATGAAACAAAGCGTTTCCCTTCGAATAGGTATGCTAGTCCCTCTGGAAAAGAAGAAAGAAGGAATGTCATTTAGATTACCAGCTATTCTCGACTATACGCTGAATCATGTGGTGGTTGACATGGAAGGGTTGAGATATCAGGTCTCAGCAATTGAAGTTGACAAGCGGATACATTTAAAGCCCTTGCAACGATTGGAATTTAAGTTGCTAAGAAACGTATCAGTTTTGTTTATACTGAGAGATGAAACAGCGAGAAAGAAGAGGACAGCTAAAAGAACACATACGGAGACAGAAAATGAACACAAAGTAGATGTTTCATCAAACTTCTTAAAGGAAACATTAGCCATTTGTTCTCTAGTTGGGTATTTATTGATTTTTTACCAAGTATTTATGAAACAAGTTTAAACGAGCGTTTACGATAGATAAAACAGGAAATAAATGATTTGAAAACTACTTGATTACCTTTTCACACAAAGATCTAGAAAACTATATTTAATTTGAGACTTGAGACAAGAATTCGTATAGTAAATACTGGTAACGATGAGACACGAGCAATCAAAAGTACATATCATATATGCCCATCATAAACATAAAAGCGTAAAAAAAAAAAAACAAATGGCATAGAGGATGGGAATAGAAACTTAATTGTAAGGGTTGTATTTTGCATTTTTGATGGCATCAGAGATATCCAAACTCTTAATTCTGCCTGTGCCAACATCATAGACCCAGCCGTGGACTTGCAATCCACGAGATTCCATAGCTTGACGAACAAAGCCGACACGGGTTACGGAAACGGCTTGGGCACGGGTATTTAATTCAGCAAGACGCAAACCACGTTCGTGGGGATCTTTTATGGCATCTAATTCCGAGCGGTTATCTTCAATGACATCGCGAATATGACGAAGCCAATGATCCATTAAATTGTTCGTACTGGGACCCATAGCAGCTGCAACACCACCGCAACCATAATGGCCACAGACGATAATGTGTTTGACTTTAAGAGCGGTGACGGAATACTCCATAGCGGCCAATGCATTGATATCTGAACGAGGAACAACGTTGGCAATATTACGATGGACAAAAACCTCGCCGGGTAAAAGATCCAAGACGGTAGTCTCGGGGACACGAGAGTCAGAGCATCCAATCCACATGACCTGGGGACTTTGAATATCCTTGGTGACCGAGAAGAAGGATGGATAATTACGAGTGGTTTGTTTTGACCAATTCAAGTTACGTTCAAGCAAATTCTTTAATTCAGGAGATTGAACGACTTTGCCTTCCGAGGGAATAACATTGGTGGGAGGTACTTCATCGGTAGTTTCAGTTTGTTCTTGGTTATCAATTTCTTCGATACGGCGTCTCAGCTTGTCAAATCTTCTGTGTTGCTCCATTTCGATTCCGTTTTCGTTTGGATTTCCTTTGTAAGGTGAGAGGTGGTAAACTGTAGAAGAGAACTTGCGGTTAGGAAGGTGGGTGGTGTTGGTTCTATAGCTCCGTCGTGAGCATCCACGCAATATCGAGTATTGACTTAATTGGGTCGCTGGATGCAGTCGCGTCCAAGAACGAGAGATTGTGGGATCTGAAGCATTTGGTTGGGACACATACGTATTCGACAAGAAACGCTTCCACCCATTGAAACTTGGTGACACAAGCAACGACTTGGAAGGTGCAACTGCTCTTTGAAGAGCGATTCCTGTAAGTTTGAAAAATTGCATTGGAAAAAAATATTTTTCTTCTTCTTTTTTTATTTATATGATATGACTTGAAAGCAATGGCAGATGTTTCAGATGGAATATATTCACCAAAAAAACAAAAAATCAAAGTAAAACCAGATTTACCTTACAAAATGGCCCGTACTCAATTTTCCAATGAAATGGAAGGTAAAGACAGGATTTGCTTTTTTCTCTTTTCTCTTTTCTCTTTTCTCTTTTTTTTTTTTTTTATTACTTTGATAACTTTGATAAGATCTCTACGTAACTGCGACTCAGCAATGCATCAGAATCTACGATCTGCTTTTGTTGGGATTCCGTTTTTTTATTGGCATCACTAGTGTAAGATTTGAGCATTTGATTTGTTGCCTTTTCAAAACTTTTCTACCAATGCTTTGGCGCTCATCCTCAAACGCATCCATCCAGTCTTCCGCTAGCGAGTCGATTCATTCTTTGGCTGTAAACAAACTGTTAATTTGCGACGCACTTATTGAATTCTGACGTCTTCGACAGCAAAGCTTATGTTGAGTCAAAAGCGAAAGACGCGAAGGGACCATTGCATCCAAGGAAGGATAATGTAATTTCTTGATTGCGATTACTGTAAGAAAGGAAAAGAAAAATAAGAAAAAGGTTTATATTCTCCTTCTAGAGTACTGGTTTGCCTTCCACTTGGTTTCGTGGTTCGCTTTTTTCCTGCTCAGTCTTCATCCTCTGTTGATTGGAATCAATAACTGAATCAAGGAAGCCAAACATGACCAAGACAGTATTTACCTTAGAAATTCATAAAATCCAGGACTCATCAGTGTTCTCGTGTCCCCAGAATTCTTTAGCCTCGTTTCTGGCAACGTTTCTCTTTCTTGATTTTCTTTTGTTTACTCTTTCATACTACGCTGCAACGCGTTAAATCCATCAAAACTTTTGTACCCTAACCTACAAAAACCAGTCACAGTTTATGCCGACACAGAAGTGAAACTATCAGGTCAATTCCTGCCATCAACACGCATACATACTCCTCATCAAAATGAAGTACCTTGCAGCTTATTTACTTTTGACCGTCGGCGGTAAGGCCTCCCCTTCTGCCTCTGACATCGAAACTGTCCTCTCTACCGTTGGTATTGAGAGTGAAACCGCTCGCGTCGAATCTTTGTTGAGCGAACTTCAAGGCAAGAACATCGAGGAACTCATTGCCGCTGGTAACGAGAAGCTCGCTACCGTTCCCTCTGGTGGTGCCGCTGCCCCTGCCGCCGCCGCTGCTGGTGAAGCCGCTCCCGCTGCTGAGGAGGCCAAGAAGGAAGAAGCCAAGCAAGAAGAGGAGTCTGATGAAGATGTAAGTTCTGCAATCAGTTTTCTGGCTTATCGTTTGGTTTATTTGTTTTATCAGACGATAAACCTATTCTCTAAACAGTCGTTTACTAACTTATATTCAGATGGGTTTCGGTCTTTTCGACTAAACTTAGCATTCCCTTGCTATTTACATCGTATCTTCATACTAAAAAATATATTGCCGTGTTGGTTATTTGTTACATCCATTTTTTGGGCTTCAAATTCACTTCTGAAATCGTAGCATTTCACCAGTACACACAAAATGAACCATTTGTATTTCTTATATCTCATTACTATATGTATTAATTTTCGTTCACGGTCTGTGAACATTAGTTCCATGATTATTGTCTATTTGTTTCTCTAATTTGTTCCATATCCTTATGTTTTCTGGCATTGTCTATCCTCAATTCAATCACATCAGATAGTCCTTGCATGCTCCTTCAAGCTTTGCTTGAAATGCTCGAAAATAGTCATGATCAAAAAATGAAGGCTGATAATCCTTGCAAACCTCAAAAAATTCATTAACGTCTTCTGTCACAGAAGTCGCAAAACAAGTGTCCGGATGGCTTTGCTTTATTGCCTCTGATAAATACCCTGCTCGGTGTAACAACCAAACCACAAAATCATCTAACGAAATTTTATAGTAGCTTAAAAAGCCATGTTGTTCCCCACGCAAAGCTGAAAAATTTACTTTCTTCTGCTGATCCAGCCGTGCTTCACCGGCATGTGTTCGCCCTCCATTGAGCTCAATTTCAAGTGGCTTGTCATTGGGGAACATAATGTGCTTCACTTCCAGTATTAATTGCTTACCCAAAAGTAAAAGCTGATATTCATCTACCAGATGAATGGCATCTTTGATCGGGTCATTCACACTCTTGAGGAGCAACGCAGTAAACGCTCCATCATAGTTCATTTCATTCAAAAATCCAAGCTTTATACGATGAAGTAAAATCGACCATGGATATAAACGTTTTTCGCTAGATGATGACCATAGTTCTTTAGCTAGTTTTAGATTTTTGGATAGAGATTCCCGATTGTTTTTAAGCTGAGAATGATAGTAGGAAGCATCTTTTTCCACATCAGATAACTCTTTCGTACACTTCTCGCATTCGCAGTCAAAAAAGTATTTTTTTCTTAGTTGCTTTTGTCGAATTGATCGAGGGACCCGAACATCAGTGTACGAAATAAACAGTTGTTCATTCTTTTCAATTTCGCGACTTGCTACAAGTATTGCACGAGAGCCTTCAAAAATAACATGACAATTTGGTACGCACGAATGATTTATGCGTGAGAGATCAGTATCTAAACAAACGCCTAGTCTGTCGAAAGAGCATGTTACAAGATTCATTGAATTGATAGCCACCTTGCAAAACAAAAATCGAAATAGGTCCGGCTGATAAATCTTTGTATAATGGGAAGCTGCTGATGCAATTAATTCTGCATCAGTCCACGAGGCCGCTACCTTGGGAAAGTCGGTTATGTGCGATTCTAGTAACTCAGTGCTCTTTGGGTCTTTCAGCGACATTGCGTACAAGCGAATAAGCAAACGGCAAATAGATGGAAGAATTCCGTTATGTCGAGATGCCTGTAAAGCCCTACATTCTAATTTATGCAATGGCCAGTCGGCTTTTTGACAAGCCTAATGTGATTAGAATACAATCATTTCCGGCAAATCGTACTTAATCTTACCTTTGAACAATAATAAATTGTTTTACATGCCGTGCATCTTTTCGTTTTTTCTCCCTCGCTAGTACAACCCGAGCAATGCGTGCTCAAAATTCCAACTTCAAGCGCAAAATTATCGACAATTTTTGACAGAAGAATTGTTCCTATTGGTAAGTTACTTATATTCTTTCTTATATCTAGTGTTATTACCTGGTTGAATCCTTTCTGCGGCCACTACGCCCCGACCATAATAGGGTAGCTCAATAGGTGCAATAAAACTGCTCATAGTGGCTCGGAAATAAAAAAGAGAGCGTTTTAGATTACAATGAAATATAGGACATCGAATAGATTATGCCCTTCTGGATGCGAATTAATTTTTCTATAATGTGGAAATCTTGGATCTAGTGCTATGTATTAGTAAGAGACACATATAATATCACTAGTAAACTGTCATGTTCCGTTCTTGCATTCATTTAGTACGACTATGGATACATTAATATAATTAACTAATATATTCATTGGTTCTTCTGTTCACCTTTTACAAATTTAGTTGATCGTATAGTGACAAACTGGTAGCAAAGACAAGGCAGTAATGCTTGGCAAGTAAATACCATTCTTCCAGTTCATCTAACATTTCTATTTTTGCAATCCTTTGCTTTTCTATATCTGGAATCCATTCCTTTTCAAGAGCAACAAAATCCAAGGCCGTAATGCGTTGGAAACCATTGTTTTTAAAACGGGTTTTCTGATCTTCGATGGTATCATAGCTTTCCAACGTTTTCAAGTAAATCCCACGTGACTATTAAATGTTAATATATAAAAAAATGAAGAAATAACCGTACTGCCAAGTTGCTTTTCATCATTTTCCCAAAACTATCCATCCCTTGGATAGGTTCATAAACTAATATGCCAATACATGAGAAGTGTTCCCGAAACCATTGGCATATAGAATTTGCTTCATTAGGTTCCAAATAACACAGACAGCATTCAGATAGTACAATCGTAGGTAGACTTTCGTCCGCCGTGTCTGGTAAACCTGCCTCAGGTATACAACGAATATCTAATGGGAGTATATCCAACGAATCCGATAATAGCATCCCCTTTGTTGCATCTGAATATTAGTAGCTGCCTTTAATTTTCTCGGCTTCTCTCAAAAACTGTTTTGGTTTCCCTTACCTAATTTATAATCCCCCAACATTGCAAGCAGAGCTTCTTGTTTTGCAATAGACTGAACTTTTCTAACGCAATTTGGATATAAATCAAGTTCAATAAACTTAATAGTTTCTTTTGGAAGCTTCGCCTATACAAGTAGTTTTGTTAGATTATAAACGATGTACTGTCTTAAGACCATACCAGGAAGCGAAAGGCCCTAGTATCTGTTCCTGCTCCCAAAGATATTATTTGCTTTTTGCCTTCGATTTTGGTTAAGAAGTTTTTCAACACATGATCAATTGACCAGGTTCGAACGTAAGTTCCACGATTGATAATAGGAGGCTTATGTATCGAACGTTTAGGAAGAAAATACTGTATATATGGATCATCAATGTATCCCATTTTGGTCGCACTCATCCTGCATTTTAATGCATCCAGATCCGTTTCTAATACCTCCATCAAGGAATAATATTAAGTTATCAAATGGAAACGTCAACTTATGTTAAAGAGTATATCAATTGTTTTATTTTATGAGAAGTTTTTTTACTCATAAAAGTAATTTCCTATGAATATGCCAAAACCAGCAGTTTTATTATTTTAGTTGGCTTCGCTTAGGTTGACATTGGAAAAAGCGTCAAGATTGTAATCGTAAATTCCTCAATTTAATCTTTATTCTTTTAAAAATTTCATTTCTAGTATGCTTTAATTTACCCTTAAATAATTACATAAGAGTACTTTCAGACACCAAATTTGAGCATGTCAAAACTATGGTTTCCTAGTCTTTTGCTAACGCACTTTATGAAAATCTATGCATTTTCATTAAATTTATCTACGTATAGAATAGAACAGGTGAATAATTAGATCTTCACATAATTTGACCTAAATCCATTTGATTTCATACACAAAACGACTAAAACCCTTCACATAAGAGCCCTATATATATAACACAAGTAAATTATTTTCATTTTTTAAGCCTGACCTTTTTTTATTGCCTGAATGAATTTTTGAAAAAATTGCTTGAATGTCCTAGAATCCGAGTTCACCAATACTTGTAGATATTCTGATGCCAACAATTCAGGGAAACTTACGGAAGGGAAGTATACTCCAAGTAAATATGATCTATAAGTTTCGCCGCACATTTCAAGAATAGTCCTCTGCAAATTAGCAAGTTCGCCAAGTACTATGTGAGATTGCCCATCATTTGCATTAAAAATTGGATTTACAGGCATCTCAAAGCACAACGGTGACAGTGAACCAAAAATGACTCTTTCAAATCCTTCAATACCATCGGGACCACCCCATAAAGAAACCATTTTTGATAAAAGAGCGATTGAACTTTTTTGTGTAGAAGGTTCGCCATACAAATTAGCAAAGTGAATAATACTATTGATAAGGGGATCGAAATAGCTTTGGACTTGTTCAGCGAAAAATGCTGATCCAAAACCTTTATTTAATAAGTGTAAAATGAATGAAATGTATGATTTTCTCAAATCACTTTGCTTGATAGCATCATCGGTTCCCTGAGGAGTTTCTGAGAGAGAAGCGAACACCGTACTGAGTAAAGATGGAAGAAGATTTGAAATCACTTCCATCATAGCTTCTTTATATATGTAGATAAGTTGACTGATGAATGATAAAACGTCTACCAATTCATTTATGCTTATTGAGCTAAGCAACAAAGATACCAGCTGAGGAACCTTGGGCAACATATCCGGACCAACTACATTTATAATTCTTCCTGATGCAAAACGTACGGCACTCCTAATGTCCTCACTGAAACCCATGGTATTAAGGATAGAGAAAATTGCATCAGAAGCTTTATTAAAAGTAGAAAGCCAAGCAATTTCCTGAGAATCTCGGGCGGGAAAGCCTTTAGCAAAATTTCCAATTGCCATAAGAGAGCAATATACAGAAATAATGCTTTCCAAAGAGGAAGTATTACTGGAAACTGATGCATTAGCTTTATAAAGTAAGGTGTCTATTAACGAATCGCAAAATAGAACCTGTTCTTCTCTGGGCAAGGTACCAGAAGAAATTAGGATACCAGCTGTTTCAAATAGATACAGCTGGGAATTAAATGAGCTAGCTCTTATTGAAGAGTTCAAAGTTGGCTCAGGAGAATCTATATCTGTAGAAGGTTGAACGTCTATATTTAGGAGATCACCAATCAAGGCAAGAGAGCTTTCTGCGTATGTTGCAACATACTTAGTAACACTACGAACGAAACGATAAAACAAATACCAGGCACGGACTCGTACACGCTCATTTGAATTATGAATACCTGTAGGTCCAACAAAATATTCCATCGTTGGACCAATGGCAGACGACTGATACTCAAAAAATCCAGAGTATCGAACTAAAATTTCCATGTACAGAAGTTGTACCAAAGGATGTGGATGTCGTCCCACTTGGGATTCAATCACGAGAAGCAAGATTCTGGAAAGAGGAGTAGGGCTTCTGTCAGCCTCATTGACATATGCAGTTGGTCCCCGCACACCTTCTCCAAAAATGTAAGTCTCATGCAAAGCGAACTCAACAAGCTGCCAAGAATTTTCTAAAGGCATTGCTGCAGCGGAGGATATACTTGAAGTAATAACTGAATACATAAAATTTGCATAAAGAGTATGATCGATTAAGTTTATGGTGTCCTGGAAAGTCTTTAACTTTTTGCGGAGCTCTTGAAATTCAGCTTCCTCTTCACTTTCGGGATCGTCATCCCATTCTTGAGACTCATCATAAGTCATTTTCTTAGAGAGCGCCTGTAATAGCGAAGTTAATAGTTGTTTACTAGAGTCATCAAGTGGTTGTGAGGATGATTCTTTTCTAAGAGAAGTAAGTAAATCGGATAAGAAGGGAAAAACCGCGGAAGAAGTTTCATCGTAGTCATCGGATAAGTAACGAATAAGGTAAGGGTAAAGAGTGTATAATTGATATGAACAGTTTTCCAGAGTCTCAGGTGTCATTTCTGTATGATCGGATTTTATAGCAAGCAACTCAACACCCTGAGCGTTAACAAGCTTAGCAATGTGCTCATCGAAAGTGGGATCACTTGATTGTTCCTGAAACTGAGTAAAGAAGTAATTTAGGTTGAGAAGGACTAAGAGATTGTACTTATCAAGGGGTTTCATTTTTTTGTTAACGATTTCTGTTATCGTCTCACAAGCGGCGCAACGAAGTTCAGGAATTTGAAGGAATGAGTAAAGCAAGTTCATACAGGGCTCATTGACTACCAAACTAATGTTAATCCAGGAAACCCATTGGCCAAAAACCTGAAGAGAAAGAACAACAGGGGAATAACTTTTGGCATTACTATACGCAACCATCATATCAAATACAAAAGACACAATCTGTGACATGTCTTTTTCGCGTATCGCATCTTTGACAGCTGTGCTCTGCTGAGCCTGAGTTGTGGATTTTGGGATAAGGGAATCTGCAACTTCTTCTCCAATGGATAAAAGCATTTTTAAATAGAATTCTGAGGGCTCTACTTGAGATGATGAAGCAGCCATGCTTTGCAAAGACTGGAAGAAATCATTCCATCCTACTGGATATAGTTGAATAAATAACAATGTCAATAAATGTTGAATAGCATTTATAATATAAGCCGGATCATCCAAAAACTTTTGCTCTTTCACATAAGCCCACACATTCTCTTTGACCATTTCCAACTCCATTCCATTAACTTCTTTTTTCCAATCACTAGCTCTTTCACATAAAATTTGAAGCGAAACTAATCTTGCAGCCTCCTTAAAAGTTGTTTTACCAACAAAAATCTCTTGACACACCTTCCATCCATCTGGGGACGCCCGCACTGTAGCAATGAAGTCTGTAGCTTGCTGTTTAATCCCTACGTCTACAGAAGGGTCTAATGCTACTTCTACAGCTTTTTCCACATCCTGAGCCGACATGGCAATGAGAAAGACGCTTAATTTGAGTCTTGGTTGGCAAAATGTATTTGGTAGTGATTTCGCTCTCGCACCCCTATTTGGGAGGTATAGGGAGAAGCCCTAAATGTGTTCTTTTCATGCTCTTCCCTTGCAAAAGTTGTTTTTCTTTTCTTTTTACTTTTTAAAAATGGTTTCAAATCAATGAATAATATTCAGTTTTGAAATTTTTGAAAATCAGTGATATTTACCACAAACTCATTACGTCCTACAAAATTCTACTTTTCTAGATACAGTAAAGACAAAAAGATTAATAAAAGAAATTACCCAGAAATAAGTTAGTAATTAAGAGTCGTAATATCTTTTCTAAACCAAAAAAACCAATTCTCCCATATATCCTTTTTTTATAGGACTTCAAAAACCGCTAAAAATCTCGATTCATTGTTTCCAACAGACAATCGCATAAAACATGGGATAAAGACCAACGAACGGGAAAGCTCTCCTTTCTATGAAAAAAAAAGGGTAGTTTACGAACCACTTCAAACATGCATTACAAAGAGCCGGCAGTAAGTGGCTTACGACGCTTATTTTGACGAGGAACAACTTGACGCTGAAGCCAAGAACGTTTCTTTTGAGATAACTTTGCATCAGATCCAGGTGCTAAATGATCCTTCTTGGAAGCATCCAGAACCGATACTTTAAAGTCACCCTTCTTTATAACTTTGTTTTTGCGCCTTTTTAGAGGTGCCTCCTCAGTTGGAAACAAAATCTTATTGTTCATGGGGACATGTTCCAAGCTTTCGGTATCGTAATCATCCTCATCTTCCTCGTCCTTCGCTTCTTCTTCCCTGGCAGCATCCTCTAAAATAGAAAGATCCAGTTTTTGTGCTTCTTGCAAAGTTGCATTCCGTTGGCGATTTTTTTCATTTGCAGCTCTTCGCTTTTCTTTTTCATTTTCCCGTAATCTAGAAAAACCGTGTTAGTAGGTGTTGCTCATGACATACCAAGCATGTCTCGTTTCCCAGTACCCATACGCTACAGCGAAAAATGCATGCTCTATTCAATACCTTCTTTCATGATCATGAAGTTGCTTTAACCGTTCTTTTGCTTCCAATGAACTACTCTTGACAGATACCTCTTCGGGTGCTTCGTCAGAGTCAGATTCGGATTCCTCTTGATGAGGAATTTCCTCCTTAATCTTAGGTGAACTTTTCTTTTCATTGTTAACTTTCTTTTGCCCAAGTTCAGATAGAGCGGATGCCCCATTCGGCGACGCAAGTTTTGCCATGATGAAAATTTCTCAAAGTATGTTTTTCGACAAGTTGCTTGAAACAAAAAGCAATTTCTAAATTTATTATTTTTATACCGTGACTTCGAGACCACTTTCTGTCAGAATTTTCTGCTATTCAGAGCAGAATGGTTTTCGACAAAAGAGATGGGTAGAGGGACGAGTGTGTTATAAGAGCTATGAACCACTCAGTTGAACATTTCCACCAATTCGCAAAGGATATGTAAGAAGAAGGAGAATAAGAGAAATATAATAAGAAATGGGAATGCTCAAATAAAAAACACCGGTTAATTTTCGTTTCTTTCTTCAGGATACTCTACCAGCGAACTCTTAGTTTTTACCCAAACGTTCTTTAAACGTTTAATGTCTTTTCTTAATACCAGAATTGTTCAGGTTTCCCTCAAGATATTTTATTTCTATCTGTACTTCTAATTTGTGATTTATTTGTTTACGTTATTGCGACCTCCAAGGCATTGAAAAAAAAGGAGTATTTTCAATAAGAGACAGCAGTTCGTCCTTTTTTGGGCTATTCCTTTTATAGATCATGAATTCTTCCTTTCCTGAACAGTACAATTTTGCATTTTTCTTTATTCGGTGAAAGTTCGGTGACTTCCGGTGACCTCGGACAGTTTCCCTGCAGAATTTTGTTGAACAACGCACAGAAAACGATCTTCTGACGAACCTGTATTTCGTAGAATTATACAGCCACTTTTAGATTTTTTTAACGTAAAAAAAACATTCACTACAATGACTGCTGAAAATACCACTGTATTGGAACCCGTAGTAGGAAAAGATGAGATTGGTTGGATGTTTGTTCAAGAATACTATACTTATTTGAACAAGGAACCCCATCGTCTTCATGTATGTATTTCATTAAATGATCATATCAAGTGGCCAATAAATTGATATGAAATGTTCTGGGTATATTCTAATGCTTTTAGTGCTTTTATACCAAGAAGTCAACTTTGGTTCATGGAGAAGAAGGAGAAGCTATAAGCCTTTGTCACGGTCAACAGGTAAGTGTAGAATACTGCTGAATGATGATAGCTACAGTTCTATCAGCATCATTCCCAGTCGTTAGTTGTTGCTTAACGGTTGACTAACTCATGGCTATAGGAAATTCACAATAAGATTTTGGATTTAGACTTTCAAAACTGTAAAGTCCTTATTTCGAATGTTGACAGCTTAGCTTCTTGCAATGGAGGTATCGTCATCCAGGTATTGGGAGAAATGTCCAACAAGGGAAAACTCTCCAGAAAATTTGCCCAGACCTTCTTCTTGGCGGAACAGCCCAATGGCTACTTTGTTTTAAATGATATTTTCCGATTTTTACGCGAAGATGTTGAAGACGAAGACGTAGAGGAAACTGAAGCTCCCGATGTCTCTCACATGAACAGCAACAATGCTCCTTCTTTTACCCCTCAAGAATCTACAGACGAACCCCATCCTTCCGAACAATCTAAGCCTGAAACTGAGAAACCTCAAGTGGCTACTACTGAACTTACGAATGTAGAAGTCTCTCAACAACCTAACCCCGAAGCTTTACCTTCAGTAGCCTCTCCTTCTTTGTCTCAAGCTGCCCCTGTTCCCAATAAATTTGAAGCTGAAGCGATCCCTAAACAACACAGTCCTGCTGCCCCATCTGCTACCGCCAAGGCCCCCAGAACATGGGCAAACTTGATTGCTCGTAACGCTTCTGAGTCCAAATCTCAGGCTGCTGTTACCGATAGTGTACCTTCTCAACAACAAAGCTCTACTATCAAGCCCGCCAATGTTCCTACTGCTCAACAACCTCAGACCGAGAAACAGTTAGAAACTTCAGTGTTTGTCAAGAATATTCCAAATGATGTTTCCGAGGATAATTTGAAGCAAGTACTTGGCGTTTTTGGTTCTGTCAAGAGCGTTGAATATGCCCGCCGTAAAGGTACAGCTTATGTTGACTTTAACGACCATACTTGCGTTCAGACAGCCCTCGCTAAAGGTTCTGTGGATACTGAAAACGGCGTTCTAAATATTGAAGAGAGACGCCGTGTGGTACCCAACAAGGTAGGTAAGTCCAACGATCGTCGCGGTGGTGATGGCCACAATGCTGGTGCTAGACGTCAGTTCCGTAATCGCCCTAGCAGAGCTGGCTATGATGGTCATTCAAGAGATAACAACTCTGCCAAAAAACAAAATATTTAATTTAAAACAAAAATATTGGAGCACCTTTGTACAATTAGTTTTGCTACTTCTTTATGTTTGTTGCTCTACGCAGCGATGATCGTGCAAACAAGCTATAATTTCTCTTTTAGCCTGATTCGTTTCACTTGAATCACTGCTTACAAATTTCCTCTCCTTATCCTATAGACTTCTCCCGTGTTGAAAGAACTATACTGGTTTCGATCTTGCGTAAATTTTGTCAAGACATACCTAGCATCTTGTTTATTACATCTTACCTTTCTTCCTTTCCGTTATGACTACATTCCTTAATTTTACCAATGTGTATACCCTTGTTATAGACTCGTATGTAAATGAAAAAGTTTATTGTTAGCAAGAAAAAGGATCTGAACTATAAGACTAGCAACTATGTAAAGTTAGTAAATGATTCATCAGAGAAAAATAGAGAAAATAAGCTACCCTCAGTATGTCAAGTTTCGTCCCGCACCCAACCAACATTTTAGTTGAAGGGCTCCGTTGAAGAAATTCAAAAAAACCATCATTGGGTAAATTACAGAGTGGTGAACATACCTTTAAAAATAAAACCCTTTTTAAACTGAGTAATCATGACTTCGTTCTCCACATTCTTCCATGATCTGAAGTAGCTGCTCATCGTCAGCGAACGATGAACCGGATTCCAAAATAATAACTTGAACAACATTGCGTAAAATTTCCCATCGACATCTTTCTGTCCTCAATTCGTGTTGGATACTCTCCATAGAATCACGATAGACCTCACTTTTAGAAGAATGTTGCAAAAGACTTCCGGCAACTTTTTGGGAGGCCGGTTCAATTGACTGCAACAAAATACGCTCCTCCTGGATTTTTCGGTTGAGCTCTATTATCTCTTCTTCTACTTGTAAGTTCTGATCAGAAAGATGGTTTTGCTCTTGGAGTAACGACTCCACATAAGCCTTTGAATGGTTTGAAGGAACTGAAGATGAAAACTCCTGAAGTAATGGTAAAGTAGTCAAACTTTCAAAAGCATCGAAAAACGGGCTTTTGCTTTCATCTTCTTCATCTTCTGTAACATTCAATGATAAGATTCGGAGCACTTCTGTAAACTCTTTCCATATTTGATATGTTCTATCTTCACGTTGTTGCAAGAGAAACCCTTGTTTTGAGTCATGATTCTCACTTGTTGCCGGACTACTTGCTAATAATCCTACAAGTCTTTGGCATTGATTTTGTAACTTCGTTGGTAGATGCATGCGACTCACATCACGTTTACCACAGCAAATCCAAAGCTTCTCGACTTCCTAAGATCTTTTATTCGCGTAAATAAACAGGTAGGATGGAGGTAATATATATAATGTGTAAACAGACATAGATTGTGACTAGCACTTACATGTCCTTAGGGTAGGGTTGCATCAAGAAGTGACAAGAATCTAGGGCTCGTAACGTGCCATTCGCATGACAGGAAGAAACTAGAAATAAACGTCCAAGAGCCATTGTGCCTTAATTTTGAGCTTAAAAAGTTTCATTAAGGAAAGGAATTGCAATTCATTTAGTGAAGATGAAAATCCCAGAATCGAAACCAATGCAAATGTCCGTTGAAACGGAAACTGTCATGAACGTTTCGCAGGTACAAATATCTGGAAGTTGCTCAAAAAAACCTTCCTTTGAAGCTTTGAAATCTAAAAAGAATAGCTCGAAGAAGAAAAAGGTTTCAGTGCCAAATGGTATGTTATGGGAGACAGCATGTTTACTACCGTAACTGTTGATATGGTGACTTGACCGCTGCCAGTGGATGCGAATTTCCTTTTTATGAATAAATATGCTAATTAGTCAGTCATAACTTCGAAGTCAGCAATGTTCGCTGCGAGAGTTGCATCTGCTGTTGACCAAGATTCCAATGATGAGGAAAGCGAGAACTTTGTATACGAGAGTGTAAATTCTCCATTTGATGAAGATTCTCAGCATTCACCATCAAATTCTATTCGATCTTTACAAGCTTGCAATCTTCCTTTAGAAATGTTGCCGCCCATCAATCATGTTTCTCATTACGGCGCTACTTGCTCAAATGGCACTTCCCTTGGCGCTACTAACTGGTCTCCAAAGATTGTTCCTAAACGATCAGCAAAGTTTTCTTCCATTCCTGCTGCTGCATCTACTGACTTGAAAAATATGAGTCCTACTGCCACGACTCGTGGGCTCGCTACACATTTTCCAAATCATATCCCTAGTACCAAGACCCATTTATTACAAAAAGATAACTCCCAATCTTGGCATTCTCATCACAGTCGATTTCTGAGTGAAACCTTGTCGAAATCGGATTCTTCCCCCACCTCCTATTCTAGGTATTTCCTGTCAAAGCGATTATTTATTCTTCTGCTTTTAGCTGGTATTTTTCTGTTCCTGTTATCGTACGTCTATTACATGCTGGACTTTATTTAATACTACATTATTGGACTATGGCTGACTTTCTGTATTCCTTCTTCCTTCATATTAAAAGTTTATGCTATCAATATCTAGTCTTAAAAAATTTTTGACTAGAGCTTTTTGTTGACTAAGAATTTTCTGCATGTTTAATAGTTCCGACCTGTTCAACTAAAAGACATTCTGATCCGTCTTAATTGCTTTATGCCCTGTTTCATGTTTTGCTCCTAATGTTAATCGTCCGTTCCGTTCCTACTTAATTTTAATATCCGTTTTATCTTTCTGCGTAGTTGATATGATTTTATTACGTTTAATCTATAATGTTCTTTGCATTACTCGTACCTCACCTTCATTATTTGTTTGGATTAGGAATAAAATAATTTCTTTGTCTACGGTCTTCTCTACTTCATTGTTGAGAGTAAGTATAAGCAACAGTTTCTCGAGTTAGTTATATCAACTCAAAGGTACTGAAAAGATATTGGTGGAACTTAGTTGCTCCGTTGTGTTGAATGCTTGTTACCTTTCGTAATGATGAATTCCGAAAAATATAGAAACAAATGTTAATGTGGATGGATGGTTGTTTACTGAGTAATACGATCTTGATCAGCTGTACTTTGTGGTTTTTACTTTCGTGGTTGTTGTGAAATAGATTGATTCTTTTACTTAGAAACATATTCATTCATGAATGTAAATTAGATAATATATTATACACCCTTCCTAATATTATTCTATTAACTCTTGCTTCTGCCATGTAGTCGTTTTATATACCCCATAGATTTTACATTAATAAATACAGTGGCTTTTTGATGTAGAATCTCTACAGCCCATAATACTTAAAGACGTTCCTGAAACGAAACAACCTGTTTGGTGACTGGATGGAGTTCTTGCCAATTGTAATGTAAACCAAGTATTAATGATCCTGGATTCAGTGTTAAACAGCCTCCGTAGTGAACATTGAAAGCCGGAACTTGGGAATCCACAATTGCCAACTAATTCGTTAGTATGCTAACGCTAGTAAGTAACTTACACAATTAGGTAAAGGGAAAGTACTTAAGGTGTAATCAAAATCCCAAAGGACAGGTCTGGTTCTAGGGTGGAACGGAGACAAATGCGACTGATCTAGGATAGTCTTCACGAGCTTATACGAGTTAGTAAACGATTAGATTAGCAATAGAACTTACCTTTCTGTTTTGATACAATTGTTGCTCCTCAAGGGGAAGCGTGTCAGATTGAGCGCTTTGAGATGAATCATTACAAGCTTTAAGGTCGTGTCTTTGGAATCTTCCGGTAATGTCCTCACGATAGATTACAATCTCCTGAGAAAAGAAAGATATTCTACAAGGATTAGATGAGAATATAGCATTTTTGCATATTCTTTGGATACGATTAACAAAGTGAAGAGGAATTGCACGCTTCGGCATCAACGAAAGACCGTAAGTGGTCCAAGGGTCATTAGGTCCAGGAACGAATATAATTTTGCAATTTTTTGAGATATTCGTGAATTTAGCAAATATAAGAGCTAGTTTGTTGAATCCTTCTTTGTAATCTAAGGAACTACCAGAGTTGTGAAACGCGGTAGACGTAAAACTGCCGCATAGAACAATACAGGCCGGTAGTAATTCGGCGTATTCGTATTTCTGAAAAACTTTTTCTAACGCTTGTAGACATCGGGTATCGTCTAGATGGACTTCGCTTAGGAAAACAAACGGGGCTTTATAAGCTTGTTCAGCATGACGGAGTAAAGTGATTTGATTAGCGTCTAACTGGGATCCGAAAGAATCTACCTGCGATAGCGCTTTTAAAGAAGCTTCTCTCCTTTCTATAGGTGGATGGCCAACTTCCGTAACCAAGAAAACACCAGAGTCCATAAAGTGTCCGTTAACCAGAACAAAGCAACCGGCGCAAAAATGTCCAAACCCAAAAGTAGCTTTTGATATATCAAGCTGTACTTGACTGTCCAAATCCTCTAACCAAAGTTTTCCATCAGGCGCAAGCGACAGAAGTCCGAAAAGCAAGAAATCATCACCAGATCTTCCTAAAAGATTTCTAATTGGCGTGATTTGGTGTGAATTCGTTTGGGAAAAGGATCCACTAAAAGAAGGGTTTTGAAAGTTTTCATTTCTAAGAATCCGGCTATATATTACGTGAAACCTACGATGAAGCATATCAACAGAAGCGGAAGCCGGGGCCAGTAAACTCGGAGTTGTTTTCGATGAAATAAAGATCTTTCTGTTAGGGTCATAAATTCTCTTTGGAAGTTGAAATGAGTCAATGACTCGGAAATAATCATCTTCGCGAAGTGTATCCCGCACTTGGGTACTGCTAGACCTTAAGAGAGAATTGGTTGAGTCAATCGTCGGTGTCCGGGAAAACGAAGAGGTACGTGCTTCATGAGGAACGGTTAAGTTGGTTAACAAGGAGGATAAGAGAGGTTTCGTGACAATTGGCTCCGAATCTTAAAGATGTGTTAGAAGCAATAATTAAATTTAGCCATTACTTACCATGCGTGCGTTTCCAAGTCTTGGCAATTTCGTCTAAAAGTGGTTCACACTGACTTCGCCAATGTGAGCCACATCTTTTGGATACATAAGCAGCTAATTCTTGCAATGAATCTCGATTTATATTTAGATCATATTTCCTGGTAAACACATGAAAAGCAACTGGTCGTAGCGCAGTAGGATTCACCAAGTTTGATCCATACACATTTTCTTTATTTTCCTTATTAACTGCCTCCATAAACGCGAAACCGGTATCTTCAATTTTTATATTTTAATATTCAATCAAGGTAAACGAAACAACTGATACAGTAAAAAGAGCGTTATGGCTTCATGCAAAAACGAAAAGACTAGCCTACCGAAAAAAGTACTAAGTATACAATTCACGACTGCAACCTGCAGATGAATACTATGGGATAAATTCAAAACTTATAGGGGTAAAAAAGAAGTTTTTATAACCTTCAATAAGTTGGCTTTCATAAATATGAAGGCTTTTTTCGAAGTTTTGTCCAGTACATTTACAGACTGCATCGTATATTGTAAACGAAAATAGGGAGTCTAAAATACTGAATGTTAAGTTCTAGCTTTTATGAGTTTTTTCACGTCTTAAATAAAAGCTCTGAATATATTTATTTTATATTCAAAGAAAGGAGTTATGTTGTCTCCATATAGTTGATCACTTTTGAGCTATGGACAAGATCGAGTACCATACAAACAAGTATTTTCATAGTAACAATTGTATTGAGTTTCTATCGTAATTAATTATTAAAAGAATGACTAGACTTACAAACATTGATTCCAAGAAGTAAAACAGAACTGCGAATCCAAAAAATTGATACAATGTTCAACACGCAAAAATTCCGTTTGAATACTTGCCATTACGGCAAGAAAAGTAAAGTATTTATAGGCCAACAGTCATGTAACGGTTCGTCACGATTTACAATGCGTTCTTATCTTTAACCATCATAAATGATATTAGGTTATATTCGTTGAAGAGTTATTTTGAACTGTTGAGTTTGTAGGTGTAGGGGAATGAGAAGAGCGACTTGGTGGTTTATAATTGGTGCGGAATTGAGAACCATATGCATTGTTGCTCATTTCGTTACTATTCATCATTGGCATTTGGGGAAACCCTGGCATCATGAAAGGAGGAAATGGTGCCGGAAAACCCTGCAAATGAGGCAACGGTGGCATACCAGGTGGCATCGGCATACCGGCAGGCATCGGCATACCAGGATGAAATGCGGGTTGAGCAGATGGTTTTGCATAGTTGGCTGATGATTTTGCGCTATATTTCGATGGATTGCTAACTTCATCAACATCTTCACGCTTTCTCTTCTCGTTTAAGGAGGAAGAGGAAGAATCGAAGCCAGCACTGGAATCTTCGCTTTCTTTATTATGGGTACCCAAGACAGATCTTACAACAGATTCTATCTTTCGTTGAACTTGGTAATCGGCTTTCAAAGAATCGAGCAGTATATCCTTTTTGTGACAGTGGGGGCATTCAAAATCAGTATCTAAAAGAGCGGTCTGTATACACTCCTCACAAAATAACTGGTTACAGCAAGGAGTTCGAAGGGCATTTTTAGCCAGCTTTTTGCAAATAGTACAGGCCAATGACGAGTCAGGAGGCTGCATTTTATAAACATCGTTCTCAGTCAAGGCTACTTTTCGAGCTTGATAGGACTCCCATGATGCTTGGTCAGGTTGTGCAACTACATATTCTCCTTCAGCGTTAATCATAATATTGGCGGTATCTCCCTCGGCAGGAGCATCAATGCTTTTAAGGAACGAACGTGGAATACCAGTGGTCCTCTTCACTCTCGGTTTGCCATCGTAGTTTGGATCAGAATTTGTAGGACAGGCTTGAATCCAGTGGCCTTTTAGACCGCATCTATAACATATATAGCCAGGTGGAGGAGGCTTGTCGGGAACGGACGCCGCAACGCGTCTTTGATTAGGCTTGTAAATAGGAGTAGCAGATGCCATTTTATCCTGTGTCTCACGCCATTGATCGCTAGAGACTTGAAACATCTGTTGAATAGCAACTTCTTCTGATGAACCTGGAGCCGACTTCGTGACAGATGCATCCCCAGCTGGACCGGCAGTTGGCTGAGGTTTCTTCTGTAACATAGGTACAGGTTTTTTGGCTAATTCTGGCCTCGAATTTCCAGTCATACGTGGTGTACCGCTTACATAGCGTGCGGCGGTACCTTTGCCAGATTTTTGAGCAGGAACACGTCGTACAATTACAGAAGTAGATCGGGGAATAATATACGTATCGTCATCATATTCTTCATTGGTGTTGGCATTATATAGCAAAAGATCGAAATCAAGACCGCTACCCAACTTTTTTTGCTGGATAATTTCACGTTTGACATCAAAAACCGACATTCCTACAGTACCGTCAAAAGTCACCCGCGAGGGATCCTTCTGAGATTTAAATTTATAATAAATGACACCCGACATAGTAGAGTATAATAAAGATATTTCAATAAATATACTTGGAAAGGCTTGTAATAAAATTAGACTTCCAAATTTACCAAAGAAAACTTCAAAATCGTAAACGAATAAAACTCTCCGTTTAAGCAAGTTCTATTATCAATAACTTGTTTTATATACAAGATTGTAGCTTAATCCAAGGGATAATATACTAAACTTTCTCAAGTTAGTAAGAATGTCCTTTTCGTTTTCGTTGAAACACTTCAGCGCCTTTCTTATCGCCTGAAAGAAAAGCTTCTGCTTTCGACTTACAGGGCAAAGAAAATGAGAAAGGGAGTAAGATTAATAAGCCAAAAGTTGACTCGCTTTGAATGTACTAGGGAAAGAGAAAATACTTATCCGATTTGGTTAAATCACGCAAGCTCCAATAATCCTTTTCTTATGATGAGGCAATGATAAGAATTGAAAACAGACACGCAGAATTTCCAATATAAACCGGCTGTATGTATTAAAACTGCTTAAAACTTAATAGAGACGATGATACGTTAAACGTCTAATTATTCACTCCACTTTCAGACAATGTAATAGCTAAACCTATTCTATACTTCTTTATCTTCCAAGAAAAGAATTTATTCAGTTTTCGAGAAGTACAATGATTTTTGTTAAGAATTCTTTTTTTTAATGTGGTTTCTAAAAACTTTTTATTACGTCACCCAATAAAGATTCCCACTTAAAGACTTTCAGCTTTTGTGAATTATTAAAATCAAATATTAACTAAAAAATACACTGATTCGGTAAAATGCAAGAGAAAGTTTGCTATTCCCAATAATTCGATATCACGCACAGTAGCGTCGAAAAAAGGTAGGCAGTTGTTGGTAGAGGACAACTTCCAAATATTGCTTGCTTCCTTTACATACTGTCGATTGCGGATTGCCTTTTGTCTCATTATTTATTGACTAGCGCCCTTTTTTGAATCTCACAATTCTAAATTAGGATATAATAACTTGTATTCTTTCTTTGCTACCTCTGTTTCTCACAGCTATATCACTTGTCCGAAATGATTTTTAAATAGAACATTTCACTGATCTCCTAAAATGTTGTTATCAGTAGCTACTTTGTTTTCGACATATAAAATTTAAACTAAGGACATATATTAATTAAATTCACCAGCCGCATAAACCTAGATTAATCTAATGAATGCATATATATATAACCGAAACCCCAATTCACCTTCCAAAAAAGTTACCCTATTCTGATTTCTCAGATTTTACCATTTAGAGTGACTAAGAGGTTGGTTATTACTGCCAGTAAAGGAGCGACCACGACCACCGCCGTAGCCACCACCGCCGCGGCGGAATCCTCCTCTACCATAACCTCCACCTCTACGATATCCACCGCCGAAACGACCGCCTCCACCAGAGTAACGGACCATCTCTTCTAATTTGGGATCAATCTCCTGCTTGGCTTCCCGCAAGATGCCAACCAACTCTCGAGCTTGCTTGGAGTTGTCAGAAGTAAAGTAGGTGATGGCAGTACCTTTAGCGCCAGCACGTCCAGTACGTCCAATACGGTGAACATAGTCTTCAGTGTTTCCTGGGAAGTCATAATTAACAACGTGAGTAATTCCTTTGACATCTATTTTATGTTAGTAACAACCCCATTGGGTAAATTCTAATTCTTTCACTTCATGCTGGCATTTAAATGGGTATAAGTTTCATGAGGCAGCGTTCCTCATTATACCCAAGATCATGACATGCTCGTTCAACTTTTTTAAGAAGAATCGATCCGCACTCGTATCAAGTCCGAAACTTAAACGCAGAACAGCCGATTCTTCAAAATCTGCTACCTAATCTGCAAGTTTAATCAAAAGATGTTCATGGCAACTTCACCGTAACTTTTTTGGTACAACGTTTGCCAAATTGTTCAAAGTTCAAGAAGAGAATAGGTTTAAATCACACAGTGTGGTTTTCAAAGCAAGTAGCCAAGATTATCCTGGGTTTCAAGGCCCAATAATGCAAATGGCTGGTTTCAAAGCCTCCAGAGAAGTTCGGCACCTGTATGATACCCAACACCGTAAACGAGACCTTTTCATTCCACCACAACCAACCACATTCGCAATCAAGCCTTCCACAACACAAAGCCCACACTATTCATGATTCTAGTGACCATAATCTCCTCTTAATCTTCTCCCCCTTTTTGGAAAAGAAGAACAGCATGTCTTGAGCCAAGCGTTCGCAATAACCGACAGGCTACTCAAAGTTAAAAGAATATCACCTTAGTATGCGAATCCATCTATAATCTCAAACATAATGCCACTCGTACAAATTGAAGGCATCTTCTGATTAAACCTTTCGTCAATCAAACGAAGGTAGCAGGGCATGGAACCCTTTCATAAAGCCTACACAAATAAAAGTTTTTGTAATATACTTACCAATACCTCTGGAAGCAACATCAGTTGCAACCATTACAGGAGATTTTCCAGAACGGAACTCTCCCAATACCCAATCACGCTCATCCTGAGCCTTGTCACCATGAATGGCAAGAGCGGGCCATCCATCTTGTCTTAAAAATCGAGTAATATCATCAGCAACACGTTTTGTGCCTGTGAAAATCAAAACCTTGTTAACGCGATCCTTCAGAATCTCTTCAATATCACGACCGAGACGTGCACTCTTTTCAGAGTTGTCTACGACTTGAATGACTTGCTTAATGTTATGGGAGGCAGACAAGTCCAAAGAACCAACGGTACATTGAATATAATCATTTAAGTAGTCGCGGGCAAGACGTTGAACCTCCTTGGGCCATGTAGCGGAAAACATCAAAGTTTGACGATCAGGACGAATTTGGTCAACGATTTTACGGATTTGAGGTTCGAAACCCATATCCAACATTCGGTCAGCTTCATCCAAAACCAAGTAAGTAACTCTACGAAGGTTTGTCTTATTGGCATCAAGCATATCTAAAAGACGACCAGGGGTTGCAATGCAAATTTCTACACCACGAATCAAATCACGAATTTGAGGACCACGAGGAACACCACCATAAACACAAGTGTTACGAATACGAGAGGAACGGCCAAACTTGGTGCACTCAGTTTGGATTTGGACTGCTAACTCACGTGTAGGAGCCAAAACGAGAACAATGGGGCCATCGCCTGGAGCAAGCAATGGTTGAGCATTAATGTGGACGATTGCGGGTAAGCAGTATGTAAGAGTTTTACCAGAACCAGTTGCAGAAATACCAACCATGTCACGACCAGACATAGCCATGGGCCAAGCTTGTTGTTGAATGGCTGTTGGGGCTTCAAATCCCAATTGCTTAACTTCCTTTAAGACGTAGTTGGGAAAACAAGCCTCATCGAAGTTTGTAACTGGCTTAGGAACGTTCAATCCATGAACGACGATCTCCTTCTCTTTGCGGTAAGCGTCAACTTCAGCATCGGAACGGTTGCTAACATCTTCGTGCTCCTTATAAAAATCCTTTTGGAATGGAGTCAAAGTTTCGTTCGTCCAATCCTTCTTCTCTAAGTTGGCACCTGCTTCGGACTCGTAGAAGTCATTCTTACGGCCACCATATGAAGAACCGTCTCTACCACCTCCGTATGAACCACGAGAGTTGTAACGGCCACCGCCGCCTCTATAACTACCGCGGTTACCTCCGTCAGAATAGCCTCTGCCATAGCCACCGTCTTGGTTATGATAACTATCTCCTCTGTAAGACATCTTTAAAAAATTTGGGTAAGATGGTGTTATGGTAAAGGTATGTTTATTAGGTAGAAACGGCTGGGGTCGGACTATATATAGTGAAAATTTTCAGCAGTTCAAGTGGAGGCAACTTTCAAAAATAACGAAAGCCAATGAAATTTTTTTGTAAAAAAAATTTTCTTTTTATTTTTAAGGAAATAAAAATAAAGAGTGTAAATAAACAAATGAATTCTCTGGATAATTCGTAGGAGAAACCGTTTGTGTTAAAGTGAACAATAATAAAAAGAATGTAATATTTTAATTAAAGTAATTAAAAGACAGAGAAGGTACTACATTGTATGGTATGTACTCGTTTACGAAACCAAATGTCTTCAGCATTTGGCAAATCTAAAAACTATAGTGATTTTCTTGAAGCAAATTAGAGTAAAAACATTATTGAATTAAAATATAGTAGTTTCATTGTCTAAAGTAATATCAAAAGCTGCCATCTCAAACGAAATGCTTTGCTCTAATATATTTAATAGTTGCTGGATTTTTTCAGGTACTAAGGTAGAAGCTTCAGATTCCAAGTTTCTCAAAAGACCGTTGATATGCTCTATGGTTACAGAATCCTTGCAATGTAAAACAAAAGGTTTAAAAGCACCGGAGTCCAAAATATCCATTTTTGAGAATATGTCTTGAAGGATAATAGAAAAAGGAAGCATGGCTACCTGGATACCAAGAACTCCTTCACGTTGTCCAACATCATTGATAAAGGAAGAGTGTGCGTTGACAAATGCAGGTTTTCTATCCACGAATTGTTCAGGTGCCAAACCATACTGCTTGCAAATTTGCAGATGAATTACATTTTCCTCCTTTATGATCTGAATAATATTGGCACTGCGTTCTATAACAGCTATATTAGAAGAAGAAAATGCTGTCAGGCCTGCAGCTTGGGCATTATTCATTAGCATATGATACTTCAGAGCTAGGTATTTCTTAAACTCGTCAATAGCTAAAGTTGTATTCTTAAACTTTTGCAAAAAATGATGCTCAAAAAGAAAGTTCCAGGTTTGTGATAGGTGAGGATGATTTCTAAAATACCCAACGAATTCTCCTTCCTCAAATGGTAAACACCCATAGCCAGAAGAATATTCTAAAGAATTTGCTCCGCGACCTAGATGGAAGCTATACTCAAGAGCATGCTGAGTATAAGCAACGGAACGTTTCACGGCGGTTTGCACGTCCATTTCATTAGCGAGATTAGCAGCAATGGCAGAAGACAAAGCGCAGCTTGTCCCTTTTGCAATTTTTGTAGACAGCCATTTTTGAGGTATGACCAACTGTACTTCGCTAGTGCATAGAACGTATACATACCATGAGGATGGCGTTAAAGAATCCTTGCAAACAAAAAACTCATTATCGAAAGAAATACCATCACAACGAATAATGATATTTTTACATCCAGAGGCAATCAATTTCGCTCCCAATGTCTTCACATCATCGACATGGTGAATCTCGATTGTTTCTTGAGTCATATGTTTCAATAATATACTCGCCTCTGCTATGTTTGGAGTTAATATAGTAGCTCTGGGAATGAGCTCTTTAATAAATAGTTCCAGATAGCCAGGTAAAACGAGCAAAACACCCTTACGTGTAGCAATCAATGGATCCACAACAACAGTCTTAAGTTTGTAACGATCAATCATATCGAGAGTTACTTTGAGTATAGCAGGAATAAATAACATTCCAGTTTTCATAACATTACATTTAACGTCCAACATACACGCGTCTATTTGTTTTTCAACAAAGGGAGCCGGTATTAAATGTACACCATTGACACCAATGGTGTTCTGTGATGTTATAGCGGTTATAGCGCTCATACCATACACAGAATGAGCTGTAAACACCTTCAAATCGGCTTGGATACCAGCACCGCCGCTGCAGTCTGATCCCGCAACTGTAATACAGGTAGAAAGCATGCTGATCAATAGTTTCTATATCGTTAAACAAATAAAAACAATTGCGATATATCAAGGGATCCTAAGAAAGAAATAAATAATAAAAAAAAATAAAACTGGAAACCCTTCTCTTGTCTTGTACACCCTTCTCTATTGTAAAGTTTTACTCAATGACTTATCAATGGGATACGCTCCAAATATTTACAAAAAGACAGTCAGAAAATGCAAGTTTCAAAATAGTAAAATAACATTCGAAAGAAATAAATATATGCGGATCTCGCTTACATACAAACTGACAAATGTTCTGGATGAAAGCAAGCTCTAATAGGGATAATAGTCCATGCTAATATTATCTTAAGGAAAACACTATTATATCGATTCATCCACCATGAATTTAACAAGAGTTGAATAAAATGAAGATAGAAAGAATTAAAAGAAACTTATAATAGAATTTATTGCTTCCTATAGATAATCATTTTCTTTTACTAAAAAATGAAGATGTATGTCAAATGATGTGGAGTAACTATCCCAACTTTTCCTTATTTGAATACTATTTTGGTGATGATAGCATAAGAAAAAAAAAAACAAAAAAACGACAGCAGTCTTAGTCCCATTACAATTCGTTTTACCGTTTCCATCAAGTAGTGGAACAAAATGGCAGCTTTGACATATGTTATACAATTCTACTAGTACTTTTAGTATTTTCTTTACGATTATTGTAAAACTTTTGATATAAATTTTATTAGATTTCCAAAACTATTCAATCTTCCTCATTTCTATACTCAATGATTGAACCTAAGTTTGGACAAGCGTATCATTATATCTAAAAAGAAATCAAAATAAGAATTATTTTTAAACCATTAATTGGAAAAGCGATGTCTAGCTTTCAAGCTTCGTAAAATTTACCACGAATAAACTTCTGTTTGGTCGTTCGAGGTGTATTTTGTTTTCCTAAAAGATTCAATAGGTAGATAAATTTTCACCTTCAAAGTTGATTAGAGCATATCTTGCTATGCTATTTTCTTTCTGCACTAAGCATGCAATCTCAAGAAAGACAGTAGGTATCCTTTGGTTCATCATATATTTTGATAGACTTCTTGAACAATCCCTAAAGAGTAGTGTATACGGAAATCAAACTATCGCAACATTTGCTGAATGTTGATATGCTTAAAGACTAGGGTCTTCTAAATTTTGCTCAACAACATACTTTTGATAGGGGGTTTCCCAAAACAAAATTTCAAATTTCGTAGCACGTACAAACACTTGAATCAACTGTTGAATTCTTTCTGGCGAAAGTGTACACACAGTTTCCTCTAATTGACGGCAACCTCTGCGAACTGCAGAGATGTAGTCTTCGGACACATAATTGTCGATCCACCGTTGATAGGGACCATTCACATCTCTGAAGGGCTCCTTCATTAGACGAAGAGCAATTAAATAATAACCGATTAAGCAAGGAGCCTGCGCAAACTCTAGAGCAGCCAAATCTTGCTGAGAACCAGTATCTAAAATATATCGAGAATATGCAGTACATGCTGGACTTTCTTCAGAAGCTTTGAGGTCCTCTATTGTAATGCCATATTGTTGGCAAAAGGAAACATGAAGCTGTTTTTCCTGAATGACATGGAATACGGACTGAGCCGCTTCAAAAATTCCAAGAAAGGTAGACTCTTTGTAACCCTTAAGGGAGTACGCGCGACTGAATTGAAGTAAATAAAGGTAATCTTGTTTGAGATATTCTTGAAAAGCACGTAGAGGCAAATTACCCTTCGCCAGCATATTAGTAAATTTATGGTAATTATATTCCTTCCAGACAGGAACCACGCTAGGATGGCTAAGCAAATATTCCAAAAAGTGACCTGGAGCAAAAGGAGCGATCCGTAGGCGGCTCATATGATTTAATAAATTCGTACTACAAATGTTTATAGATGGGCTTTGAGAGATAGCACCATGAACATAATCAATGGCAAACTGAACAGAATCGAGCATGGTATGATCCCAGGCAAGGAAGGAAGCAATTGCTGAAGATAAGGTACAGCCTGTACCATGAACTTCTCCTTGATTTAGGTATGTCGAGGAAAAATGATAATATTTTTTTCCATCGTATAAAATATCAACGACCTGGAGTTCCAATTCGCCTTGCTCTTCTTTTGTGGCTTTTAAACCAAGTTGATTGAGTGGCATATGCCCACCTTTCAGCAGGACATAGCGTGCTCCAAAACTATGTATCAAGGAAGCGAGTTTCTCCATTGAAGAGATAGAATTGACCTCGGGAACATCGCCATTTACCCGTTTGGCAAACGCTAGTGCTTCTGGTATATTTGGTGTAATAAGAGTCGTTACAGGAAGAAGATATTTAATAATAGTCTCTACTATATCTTCATTTGAAAGAGAATCACCAGAGGTAGCGATCATAACTGGGTCAACGATAACCTCCTTTATGTTGTGTTTCACGACGGACTTAACGACTGCTTGGACAATTTCCACGTTGCTAAGCATTCCCGTTTTAACGACATTACAAGGAACGTCTTGAAGGCAACAATCAATCTGGGACTCGACAAAGGAGGCAGACATGTTTTCCACTTTATCTACTCGCTCCGCGTTTTCCGCAACTACGCAAGAAATCGCGCTCATTCCATAGACGCCTAGACTGGTCATCGTCTTTAAATCCGCTTGGATTCCAGCACCTCCACTACAGTCAGATCCAGCTACAGTGAGACATACTGGGATATCGCGACGTTTGATGGTGTATCCCATTGGATCCAAGACTGTCTCAATCCTAGTTGCATCGAATTGACTTGATAAAGAAGCATATAAGCTGTTTGAGGGCATAATGCTTAATAGAAAGTAGAAAAAAAGCCAACTTTTTTAGCAAATCACGCTGAGTTTTTAGGATAAATTTCCGCAAATACCAAGGCTCCTACTTGGTTTTTAAACAGATAACCATCAGCAATTGATTTTGACTATGAAAAGATACTTCCATTTATATAATTAGAGACGCATAGCTGTAAGCGTCCTTACCAAGACCGGTATCACTCTGCCGCTAGATATTATCGGTCGCAAGTACCCAGCAATTGGTATAAACGAACACTTATTTTATAAAGTTAATTTAACCGAAAAAATTATTGTGAGAACATCTTTGACAAAAGTTTTGCTGCTTTAATTTCCTCTTCTTTTGTTCTTTCTTATTTATTTATTTATTTTTTTAAAAAGAATACCCTCCACATCTCTTGATATAGGGATATCCAAGAATGCAACCTCATAGTCAAGTGAAAGCTAACCAATGCAGAAAAATTATCAATAAATCATTGAAAATCATTTACCGAACGGAGGAGATCAAGAAGAATCATTCTATTGACTCACAAATTCTTTTCATAATTCGAACAGCAGTTGGAAATATTTTGACATAGGGGAGCTGGAGCTCTTGTGCACATGAAATATTGATGCAAGAAAAGTCATATGGAAACTGAATCAGCACGATCATCGGGTATTAAACCAGTACTCCTAATAAATGGCCAAATAGACTCAGTATGAGTGGTGATTCTAGATTAGTGGATTCTCTTCAATCAGTAAAACGCTTGTTAGAATGGCAATCTTTCGAGAGAGTGAATAGAGGACTATTCTGATATATCAAAGAAAAAAGTAACCAAAAGGTGATATCGCTTAAGTTGCTTGTCCATATTTTAATAATAGTCCATGGAGTCAAGGGATCGTTCATGACCATTTCCTTATGATAGTGTATAGATGTTCGCAAAATAGCTTTCTGACGTATCGATAATTACTATGAATAATTGATGTGCCTTTGGATATTCAAAATATACTCTTGGCAATGAAGCTATACGACGCGCTTTAAAGGAGACTTTACAACATTGGTAAACGCTACAACAAACGTGTTATAGTTAATAGATACAGTGTTCAAAATGCTTGCAAAGACATAAGTAATGTGGTTAATGCTCCAAAGGTATAAGCAGAGTAGAGTGCGAACTGGAAGATACCAATCCAAAATTATCTGACAAAAACTAAATCAAGGATTCATTTTTTTAAAAAATAATAAAAATTTCTTCAAGTACTTACAACGGAAATAGTCTATACTAATTATAGACATGGTTGCCGTTCTCATTGCTAAAGAAACACGCTCTTCAGTTCCACCAAAACCATTAACCTCACTTTTCCCTTACGAGACAAATCAAGAAAATATAGTGGGGATTTTGGAAATATTATTTTATAAAAAAAGATTTCATTTAGTTTTCCTGAGAAAGGGCCTCAGACATTCGTGTTGAGTGCAAAAGTTCGGTCGTTTCAGAGATTCTATTGAAATACTGCTTAGTAAATCATGGCAGAATATCATATCGACTCTAACGTTTTTCATAAACGTCTAAATACATTAATTTCTTCATGGAAAGATGCCTCAGATGCAAACGAACTTTTCCAAGGCTGTGAAAGCATTTTAGTAGTTATTGGCACAGCGGATGTACCAAATCCCTATCAAAAATCTGCTGCTATGCATACCTGGCTTCTTGGATACGAATTTCCTTCAACCTTGATGCTTGTGGAAAAAGAACGAATTACCTTTTTGACCTCCAATACCAAAGCGGGTATGCTTACTCAGTTGTCTGAAGCAGAAAACAAGGCTGCAGAGGTTGATATATTAAAACGCACTAAGGATCCAGCAGAGAATCGCGCATTGTTTGAAGAAATTGTAAAGCGCGTGCGTGCTTCTAATAAGAAGATTGGTATTTTTCCCAAAGACGTCAATCAAGGAAAGTTTGTGAATGAATGGAATGAAGTTTTTGAGCCCGTCAAATCAGAGTTTGAAATGGTTGATGCCAGCATGGGTTTGGCTAAAGCATTGGCTGTGAAAGATGAACAAGAAATAACAAACGTCAAGGATGCTTCACGGGTCAGCGTCGCTTCAATGACTAAATACTTCGCTGATGAGTTGTCTAGATTTGTCGATCAAGGAGTAAGAACAACCCATTCTAAATTTGCTGAACGTCTTGAGCGCTTGATCGATAATGAGTCTTTCTTTCAAAAGAAAGATGTTCGTTTAGGCGATATTGATACAGAGCAGATTGAATGGTGCTATACTCCGATCATTCAGTCTGGCGGACAATATGATTTAAAACCTTCTGCTATCACAGATGACCGAAATTTACATGGTGACGTTGTTATTTGTTCTTTAGGTATTCGTTACAAGTCTTACTGCTCTAACATTGGCCGTACTTATTTGTTTGATCCTAGTCCTGAACAACAGAAAAATTACTCATTTCTTGCGGCGTTGCAAGGAAAATTAATCGATTCTTGTCGTGACGGAGCTGTGATCAAAGATATTTATACCAAAATACTGGGCTTCATTAGATCAAAACGACCTGAACTGGAAGGTCATTTTGTAAAGAATTTAGGCGCTGGTATTGGTATCGAATTCCGTGAGTCTTCTTTACTTGTAAATGCCAAAAATACTCGTACCTTGAAAGCAGGCATGACAATGAATCTTAGTATCGGATTTGCCAACTTGGTTAATCCTAAACCAAAGAATTCTCACCCTAAGGAGTATTCTCTTCTACTGGTAGACACCATTCAAGTGACGCGTGGTGATCCTGTTGTTCTTACGAATTCTCCAAAAGCGCAAGCTGATATCTCATACTTTTTTGGAGAAGATGCCGATGATTTAGACGATGCTCCAAAACCACGTAAGCCAACTCGTGGAACCGCCACTGTGTCGAGTCATAAAGGTAAAACTCGAAGCGAGACTAGAGAAGTGGATGATTCCGCTGAGAAACGTCGCACTGAACATCAAAAACAGTTGGCTGCTAGAAAACAAAGTGAAGGTCTTCAAAGATTTGCTGAAGGTTCAACACATAAAGCTGGAACTGAAAAGCCAACAGTTAAACGGTACGAATCCTATAAGCGTGATTCCCAAATGCCTCAGGCTATTGGAGAACTACGGATATTGGTAGATTATAAAGCTCAAAGTATCATTCTACCCATCTTTGGTCGTCCTGTTCCTTTCCATATATCTTCTTTAAAGAACGTTAGTAAAAATGACGAGGGAAGCCTTGTTTACCTACGGTTGAACTTCCTTAGTCCTGGCCAAATTGGTGGTAAAAAAGATGAACAGCCCTTCGAGGATCCTAACGCGCAGTTTATTAGGAGTTTCACTTTTAGAAGCTCTGATAATTCTAGAATGAATCAAATTTTCAAAGACATCCAAGATATGAAGAAGGCAGCTACTAAACGTGAGGCTGAAAAGAAAGAGTTTGCCGATGTCGTTGAGCAAGAAAATTTGATTGAAATCAAAAATCGTCGCCCTATTCATCTCAATGATGTTTATGTTCGCCCTGCCTTGGATGGTAAACGCTTGCCAGGTTTCGTTGAAATTCACCAAAATGGTATACGTTATCAATCTCCACTTCGATCAGATAGTCATATTGATCTACTATTCTCAAATATGAAGCATCTGTTTTTCCAGCCTTGTGAAGGTGAATTGATTGTTTTGGTTCACATTCATCTGAATGCTCCGATTATGGTTGGAAAGCGGAAAACGCAAGACGTTCAATTCTATAGAGAGGTATCTGACATCCAATTTGACGAAACAGGAAACAAAAAGAGGAAATATATGTACGGTGACGAAGATGAAATTGAGCAAGAACAAGAAGAACGACGTCGTCGTGCCCAGCTAGATAGAGAGTTTAAAACTTTCGGTGAAAGAATTGCCGAAGCTAGCGATGGTCAAGTCGAACTTGATATCCCATTCCGTGAGCTTGCATTTAGCGGTGTGCCATTCAGATCAAATGTATTGCTGCAGCCAACGACAGATTGCTTGGTTCAGTTGACTGATACCCCATTCACAGTAGTTACCCTTTCAGAAATTGAAATCGCTCATTTGGAACGTGTACAGTTTGGATTAAAGAATTTTGATTTGGTGTTTATTTTCCAAAACTTTCATCGACCACCTGTTCATATAAACACAATTCCAATGGAACAGTTGGACAATGTAAAGGAATGGTTGGATTCTTGCGATATTTGTTACAGTGAAGGACCCCTAAACTTGAACTGGACAACTATTATGAAAACAGTGAACGAGGATCCTGTCGCCTTTTTCCAGGAAGGTGGTTGGGGATTTCTCGGTACGGGAAGTGATGATGAAGCTGAAAATAGTGACGAAGAAGTCTCTGAATATGAAGGTTCGGATGTCGAATCTGATGAACCCTCTGAAGAAGACTCAGAAGAATATAGTGAAGCAGCTAGTGACGAAGAAGATAGTGGAAGTGAAGTTGAAGAAGAGGAAGAAAGTGGTGAGGATTGGGATGAACTTGAACGAAAGGCCCAGCAGGAAGATGCAAGGCGCGAAGATGGTGGTGGTCATCCTTTGAAAAAGAGAAGATAAACCGGTTAATCTAATAGAGTTGTTAACGTTTAGGTATATGTCAATATATTTTCATATAGTACATTGTAAACAATATTCACACTACAGGCAAAACTAAAAGTACGAACCAGTAAAATAACTAAATTTATTCGTTTAATTTATCCAAAACTCCCTTTAACCTATCAGAATTCCAAAATTAAATTAGTTTTTTTTAGAAACCTTGTAACCCTTAGACTTCAACCATTTTCTACGGTTCTCTTCAATGATAGCTTTATCAGCTTCATCGTCAAAAGTGAGGTTATCATTCTCAGAGTTTGCACTGACAGAGTCATCTTCTGCATTGTAGTGCTCTTCTTCTTCTTCAGCAGCAGCATCATCAACTGTACGAGGAATCTTGTCTGAAACTTTCTTGAGCTTAGCAACGAAGAAACCGTCAATGTTATGAACATGAGGATAATACCTCCGGGTTAATTTCATGCTAGGGTGAAAACGCTTTTCACGGAAACGAACAAACCCTTCACGGCCAAATTCAAGGCCAGTAGAAACAAGCTTAACGTTTGGACGCTTCTTCAAAGCATACTGAATGACAGCTTCATCTTCCTCAACTGTAATACTACAAGTAGAATAAACGATATAACCGCCTGTCTTGCTATCGGCATCAACAGAATCAATGGCACTCAAAAGCAGTTGTCTCTGAAGATGACTAAGTGTGTCAAAGTCCCGCTCAGATTTGTTTGTTTTTACAGATTGATCTTTGTAAATGACACCGGTACCAGAACAAGGAGCATCAAGCATAACACGATCGAAGCCACCTAATACATCATTAGGAAACTTCCTACCATCATAATTACAAACAATCGCATTTCGTACTCCTAGACGGTGAATGTTGGCTGTTAAAGCTTTGGTACGAGCTTTATTAGCATCGTTAGCAAAGATAACACCAGTATTCTTTTGTAAAGCCGCAACATAAGTAATTTTACCACCGGGAGCAGAAGACATATCAAGAATTCGTTCATTAGGCTGAGGTGCAAGGGCCATTACTGGCAAAAATGAAGATGCGGCTTGCAAGATATAATGACCAGCGAGGTATTCAGGGGTGGCACCAATAGGAACTTGCGACTCAAAGACTTGCAAACCAACCTTTGACCATTTACCTATAGGCTCGAGGTTTACACCACGATTAATCAGAGCCTGCGCTAATTCACGACGTTGAGTTTTGAGGGTGTTTGTACGGATAGTAACCGGGCGAGGCAATTCGTTAGATTCAAAGAATTCGATGGCTTCGGAGACAGGGAATAGTTCAAAAAACTTTTCAGTAAGGAACCTTGAGTAACCATAATAGACACTGACATCGCTTATAAGCTGGTCGACATATTCAGCGCGGCTACGACCAGGTTCGCAAAGATTTTTAAAGTCATTCAAGACACGATTGATTTCTTGAATACGGAGTTGAATTTGGGACAAATCCTGAGTAAAAGCGCTCGTTGGTTGACCATCGACAAGACCAGCCTCATCTTTAGGTGGAAGAATAGTAGGAGCAGTAGGATGGATATTGGTATGCAACTCTTCTTCAGCTTCCTTTTTTTCTAACTCGGCCTCTTCATCTAATTTACGAGACATGGCTTCCAAGTTGGCAACTTGCAAATCATCCTCGTCGCCTGAGTCGTCACTGAACATTGGCTTCGCGCGGTTTTCTTCGTCAGAATCGAAAACAGAATCTTGTTCTGATTCTTCGTCATCTTCGCCATCCTGTACAAACTCATCTTGAGCTAGATCATCATCTTCGTCACCCTCTAATTCTGACAATTCCTCGGCTTCTTCAAATTCATCACCAGATGCTTCTAAGTCATTGTTTTCGGGTTCTGATTCTGATTCTTCAAAAAGACTCTTCTTTTCTTGGGCAATTTGCTTTTTAGGGGGTTGTAAAGCAGCAGTTTCTTCCGTTGATTTTCTCTTTTTCTCTGCCTTTGCGTTAGGCTTTTTGACAGTCCCGCGAGTTTCTTCTAACGTGGGAGGCACTCCTTGTTTACTTTTTTGTTTTCTACCCATTCTTTATTATTAACAAGTGGTTTCTGTGACACAATCCCCAAATGTTTATGTTTGGTAGAATCTAAAAAATTAAGCACCACTCTTTTCTTTATGGATAAGATGTTCCCTTGTGTCTTTATTATGTTTAACGTACTGCAGTATAATACTGTATGTGTGGTCCTTTATTTTTGACCGTAGTGGACTACTGACCACAGCGCGGGTAGAGATTTCAAAATTGAATTGTTATGTACCTTATGCCTATTTTGAAGAGATTCTAAATTTGGGAAATTCTGTACCGTTAAGAAATATAAAAAGTATAGAGACATGTAAACGGTTCTCGTATGGAACGTGGATACACGTTTACCAAGTATAACGATATCCTAGATGAAATCCATCAAAGAATAAATGAATAGCGTATTTATTCAACGTTAATTGGCAGCTGGGCTAACATCTGTATTTGAATAACCGATTTCAATGAACTCGTCTTTGGATTTGCATTTTCAGTTATAGTTGAAGTTGATATGTTATTGAAGATAGTTGCGTAGTATTTAGAAGCAATTATTGACACTGAATTACTAAAATTTGGTTATGTCCATTCGTTCTCTGATTATTTTTGGTCGCATCTAGGGACGTTAGCTCCGTGAACATTGGTGATTTCTAGTGCAGAGTATGGATGATACTCCCTTCAAAGAAACGGAAGGTGCTGGGAAGCTGAACTAAATTCGAATTATTTTGCAAGGTTATTGAATAACTTTAACACGTGGAGGTTGAAAATATTATCCCGCTGAAGGTTTCTTCTCATTTATCTGAACTTTTGTTTAGGGCGCACATACATGATGGCCTCTTTGCGCTTGTGTATTCTGTCTTTCTAGAATCTATATACCAAATCTCGGAGTGGACGAAATTGTTTCAATAATGGAAGGTAGATTCAATATCAATTAGTATGCAAATGCAAGGGCTACTCAAAGGCCCTAGTGGACACTGAATTACCCTCTCCTGGTTTTTTTGTCGTCGTTTTATTCCACTAAGAAAAAATTGATCGAAAGTTCAATGGTTCTATTTTTATCGGTCTGAAGAGGATTGGAACGGGATGTCGTCAGTCATATGAAACGAAAAGTTGATGTGGTATTTTCATTTTTTTGCATGCTAACTACTACTTTTCTTTGACAGAAGGGATAGCTTCACAACTCTACGGGTTTCGTACGGTATTTCTCACAATCTTTGCCTTTGCACGTATTCTTTAATTTAGCTAAACGTCTCTTCAAAGTACCGACAATAACAGGATCTCGTGTTTTTCTTTGATTAATAAGAGGTGCATCTCATTGATTGTACGTTCTTACCCTGTATATTAATAGGGTATACATACAAATGAAAATACATCCTATGGCATTTCACTGTTCCATTGCGTTTTTTTTTTCAATAGGCTTGCTTTGGTTTTACTACTTGCTCAAGATTATCCCGTTGCTTCTTGAAACATTGAATATCCACCATGATGGTTGAAATAAAAGACAAACGAGATCATAGTAACAATCGTTCACCAAAGTTTCTAATTATTTTCCGTTCAATTGGACCTTCTGATCCTTTTGATTGATTTAAAGCCTCTTAACATTTGGTTATGAACACGACTAGAAAATACTTTGAAACGAATGGATCTTCAACTAAGGTAGATTGTTCTTGTACTCTGACAGGATCAAAAGGTCTTAAATGCATTGTAATTGCGCATTCGCAGTTTACAAATGGATTTCAGATTTATTGTATTGAAAAACAGGTTTTACTTGAACTATGAAAGGGCTTCAGTACATTAGACATAAGGATTCACTATACATGTGGAAGCAAGCAATGAAAACTGAGAAAAACTGCAAATTTATTTCTTTTCAGAACTTTTCATCAATACAGCACGCACAACACATTGAATGGGAATCTTTCTATGCCACTAGAAAGAGTTTGCATATCTGTTTGACCTCATGTATAGATTCATATCTCTTAAAATCTGTTTCTATGATAACATTTCAAGGAGGGATTCAAAAACCTGAAGAGCTGAAAATAAACGTTTTTACGAAAAGAAAAACTCATATGGGTAAAAAGAAAAAAATTTTCAATTTCGAGCTTTTGTGGAAACGAAACGATTTGTTTTTACCACGTTGAGGAGGTTCGTCATTAACAATTTTTCATCAATTTATATTCCGATCGTAGGATCTAAGCCTCTTCAATTATGTGTACTGTTTCTTAAGAAATAACTTCACAAGAAGTAGACTAGTTTTCTATCCGTTCTCGGATATTTCTGAAAGGATGGTTTTGAGATCAATCTAAACGTGCATTGGATTTCCTATTACATACCTCTGTTGGCAGATAGAATGTTCGAGTCTCAATATTTCTTATTCAGTACGTTTTTTTGAGAAAGAAAGGGGCGAGCATCTCGGTCTTAGTTAAATCCATGGTTTTCGGGGATTTCATGAATGGCATATAAGGACCATTTAGAATCCAGTTCTGCTCCCTTGTCCCTGTACCTATCCGTTTAGTTCCTTTCCTTTTAAGGAAAAAGAAGAAAGAAAGAAAAAATCGAAAAAGAATTGACGAATTGACACAAGGAAGTACACGTTTAGTAGCCTGAAGTGTTATATGAATTTTCCCAGAGAACAATAGTTTGCCTGGTTGAACTTAAAAATATATGATTAGTGATTGAAAGCTAGTCGGTTTTTAAAGGATCGCTTTTATTTTTCAATCTCGTCAAGTTACTTTCACTTTCGTCATTCAATTTCTTGAAGGAGTTTATCGTCAAGAATTGTTTCAAAGCGGATAGATTTTATCCTTAGTTTTTTCTAACTTCTTTTTATTTTTGAGAAATCTGCTTGTATGGAGTAATCGAAAGATTATACACGAAAACAGCATTCAGATATTTGGTAGAAAGAGCCTTGATTTTATCAATTTTCTTACTAGTTTGTGAAAAGACATACTCGTTGTCTTCGCTAGTTCACTCTATTTCTCTGATTTTTTAATTTCTTAATATATACCATAAGAATTGCAAACATTATCAGACCGTTTTTCTTATTTTTTAGTACCTTGGAATTCTTCTAATCTTTTATTCCTACTACTCTTTATTTTTTAATCTAATACTGTCCGACCTAATTCTTGACAATGACGGATTTAAAAATCTCAGCATCTAAGAAGTCTAATGTTGAAGAAAACAGCGAACATAGCCTTGTTGTTGTCGATCAGCTGCCCTCAAATAGCTTGAACAATCCAGAAGAAATTCTTGAGGTTGTTGAAGATCCGTTCGCAAAGTATACTGCTGAAGAGCGTGAAATTCTGTATCGCCAGATAAATGATTCTGAGGCTAAAGTAGCTGGATATACACGAATCCTTACGTGTAACGACAAGTGGGATTATTTGCTACAGTTAATAGGTTGTCTTACTGCTATTGGTGCCGGACTTGGTCTTCCTTTCTTGGCTCTCATTGCTGGTAAGCTAAGTAAAGTTTTCACCGATTATTTTAGCGGACAGAATGTTGATAACTTTCAACATAGTGTAAATCAATTCGTGCTATATTTTGTTTATATTGCCATTGGTGTTTTTGGTTGTTCTTTTGTCTATACAGTTGCATTTATCGTATCTGGCGAACGAATCTCGCGGGAAATTCGTAAGCAATATTTGCATGCCGTCCTTAGTCAAAACGTTGGTTATTTTGACCATCTTGGAGCAGGCGAGATTACCACACGTATAACTAGTGACACAAATTACATTCAGGATGGTTTAGGCGAAAAGGTTGGTTTGGTGCTTTCTTCTGCTTCCACGTTTGTGTCTGGATTTGTAATTGGTTTCATTCGAGCTTGGAAGTTCACTCTCATTATTAGTTCCATGCTGTTGGCTATTCTTGGTGGTATGACATTCGGTATTAGTTATATAACAAAATATTCGAAACCTCATATTGGACAGCTATCTAGTTCTAGTTCTTTTGTCGAAGAAGTTTTTTCAAATGTACGTAATGCGCTTGCGTTTGGTACCCAGAGATTATTAACCGAATCTTACGCTAAATTTTTAAGTCCTGCTAAACGTTATGGCACCAAACGAGCCCTCGTTATGGGTGTAATGACTGGGTGGATGTTTTTTGTATCATATGGCTATTATGGTCTTGCTTTTTGGGAAGGTGGTCGTCTTTTGCACGCTGGCGAATTAAATGTGGACAAACTCATCTCTTGCTTTTTTGCTGTTATGACCGCATCATATAGTTTGGCAAATATTACGCCGCAAATGCAAGCTTTCGCGAACTGCGCGTCTGCCGCAAAGAAGATCTTTGATACAATTGACAGGACTAGTCCAATAAACATATTCTCTTCCAGTGGTAAACAGCTTGAGAAAGTTCATGGAGAAGTTGAGTTGAAAAATGTACGTTTTGTATATCCTACTAGACCAGAGGTTGTGGTTTTGGACGACTTCTCTTTGTTGTGCCCTGCTGGTAAAATTACTGCGCTTGTCGGTGCTAGTGGTAGCGGAAAATCTACCATAATAGGTCTTGTGGAGCGTTTTTATGATCCCATCGCAGGGCAGGTTATGTTAGATGGTGAAGACATCGGTGATCTAAATACTGCATGGTTGCGCAGCCATATCTCCTTGGTACAGCAGGAACCAGTTTTGTTTGCAGTATCTGTTTTTGAGAACATCGCCTTTGGTTTGATTGACAATGACTTGTTTAAGTTTACGGAGGATGAAGTACGAGAGCGCGTGTTCTGTGCTGCTAAAACTGCCAATGCTTATGAATTCATTATGACTTTACCTGAAAAATTTGATACAAATGTAGGCCAGCAAGGCTTTTTATTGTCTGGTGGACAGAAGCAAAGAATTGCAATTGCAAGAGCTATTATTAGTGATCCTAAAATCCTACTCCTGGATGAAGCAACAAGTGCCTTAGATACTAATAGTGAAGTTAGCGTTCAAAAGGCCTTAGAAGATGCTTCGAAATCTCGCACAACTATAGTCGTTGCACATCGTTTATCGACAATCCGCAATGCTGATAACATTGTAGTAGTCAACGCTGGAAAGATTGTTGAACAGGGAACCCACTCTGACCTATTATCGTTAAATGGTGCTTATGCGAAATTGGTGGAAATGCAGAAATTTAGAGAAACAAACAACGATGATGCTGTTATTATAGAAGAGGAGAATATTGATGGATCTCGTATTACTGTCGCACAAAGTGGAAACGATGATTCTTCGTCCAAAGAGATCCATCCTGTTAATCAAGAAAAAGTCAATGGCACAATTTCACTGCGCAACATACCGCTTACCAAGTTACCGATGGATGGTGTTCCAGATTTATCAAAGAAAAGCTTAGATAATATAGGTGACGAAAGCACGGATACAGATAGCACGTCAAAGCTTGAGAGTAATGTCGCCAAAATGAGCACCTGGAGAACATTGGTTTTTATTCATTCCTTTGTTGATGGTGCTTTAGAAATTGCTTACGTTTCAGTTGGGATTCTAGCGTCCATGGTTTGTGGTGCCGCATACCCTGTACAAGCAGTAGTTAACGCGTGGTATATGAATATTTTTGCAAATGTTGCGTCTCCGGATTATTTTCATCAGGTTAACACATTTGCTGTCTATTGGTTAATTCTTGCCATTGCGGAATTTTTTGGTCATTCCATGTCTCAAATAGCTATGTCCTATATGTCAGAATCCATATTATTACGCATTCGTCGACATGTCTTCAGTGTCCTTATCCGACAAGACATTGAGTTCTTTGACCGCAGTGAAAATTCTGTGGGTACTTTGACTACTTCACTATCAACTTCCATTCAAAACTTGGAGGGCTTGACCGGGACCACACTCGGAACTTTTATGCAGATTTTTACGAACATAGTTTCTGTTTCAATTCTTTCGCTAATCCTTGGATGGAAATTGTCTTTAGTTATTTTAGCTACTTCTCCCGTAATGATTGCATCTGGTTATTATAGGGTCGCTGCGTTAGATCGTATCCAAAACAATTTGTCTGAAGCATGCAAAGCGTCGGCGGCATTTGCTTGTGAATCCACATCGGCTATAAAAACGGTTGCTAGTCTCACAAGGGAATCGAAGATTTACGAACATTATTGCGCATCACTAGTTCAACCAGGTAAGGAGACGGCATTCTCGTCCATGGTTTCCGCTTTTTTGTTTGCTGCATCTCAAGCTGTAACGTTCTTAGTGAATGGGTTGGGTTTTTGGTACGGTGCTACTCTAGTGCGTAAAGGCGAGTACAATCTAGTCCATTTCTTCACTTGTTATATCGGCGTCGTTTATGGTGTACAGCAAGCTGGACAAGTTTTGGGTTATGCGGCAGATGTTTCAAAGGCCAAGTCGAGCGCTGCCTCAATCAAATATATCTGTGATAGCAAACCAAAAATTGATACTTGGTCTGAAGAGGGACTTAGAATTGAAACATTGGGAAATTCCTCCATTGTTTTTGAGGCTGTAAGGTTTCATTATCCTACGAGAAAGCACATTCAAGTGCTGCGTGGACTCAATTTGACGATTAAACCTGGCCAATTTGTTGCTTTTGTGGGTGCTTCAGGGTGCGGTAAGTCAACGATGATTGGCTTAATTGAACGCTTTTATGACTGCCAAAGTGGATCTATAAAAGTAGGAGGTGTCGATATCCGTGAATACAACATTAATGATTATCGTGAGCAGATAGCACTTGTGTCGCAAGAGCCCACTTTATACCAGGGAACTATTCGAGAGAATATTGTTCTTGGTGCTTCGAGAGATGTTAGAGATGAAGAGATTATTGAATGCTGTAAGATGGCAAATATCCATGACTTTATTATGGGTTTGCCTAACGGTTACGAAACACTTTCCGGAAGGAAGGGTTCTTCGTTTTCTGGTGGACAGAAGCAGAGAATTGCCATTGCTCGTGCGCTTATTCGTAACCCTAAAATATTGTTATTAGATGAAGCAACAAGTGCTTTGGACAGTTATAGTGAAAAGGTGGTCCAAGAAGTTTTGAATAGGGCTTCTGAAGGTCGTACCACGGTAGCTATTGCTCATCGCTTATCGTCTATCCAACATGCTGACTGTATTTTTGTACTTGACAAAGGCATTATTGTAGAAACAGGTACACACAGTGAGCTTGTGAAGAAAGGAGGTCGTTACCATGAACTTGTAATTGAACAAGGTCTTGGGAATTGACGAAAAAAGCAAGAGGTAAGCTTTTGATTTCTCATTTAGTTTTGACATTATATACGTTATCTGTTGTGAACATAATGCGTTTCAGTTAATGAATTCCAATACAGTTAATTTTTATATGTTATAAGTTAAATATTATGTGCCGTGATATAATGTCCATGCATTCGTATTTGTTTGTTCACTGTCTTTATTCTTAGTCCGTTTCTGTATTATAGAAATGTTTGATGCCTTAAGTGTTTAAAACAAATATTTGGCCTTTGGACTTTCTTCGCTGATTTGCATTTCCGTTTTTCTCGCTTTCCAAATTCTACCTCTTAGCCAAATTCCTGGACAATAATAGTAACCTTATATATAGCTAAATTCACCACAAGCTGCTCTTTTCACAAATATTTATTTTTACAAAGTTTAAGTCACTCCCTTAATGCTACTGCGAACTTATATCTTCTGAACATAAGCAACTATGTGTGTGTCTTTCCATAGTATAATAGAATTATATGAAGAATTTAACCATAAAGCCCTTGAAAGATGTTTTTGATCCTGTAATACTAAGAATGATTCATCGAATGGAATTATAGCCAGATAGCTTTGTCAGAAGTTTCTATATATGATTGAAACTTGTGCCTTTCAAAGGCAATTCATTAAATGGTGAAAGTACAACATGTTGTTGAGTAATAAAAGTAGGTCTCTACAGCTTCTTATGTCTCTTTTTTCCTAATAATTTATACTCTTTCAAGAAAAGGAAGGCTTGTGGATTACTGTAAGCACATGTATGGATACTCCATCGCAGACCATGCGTATATGATGTTAAATGAGTATTGATATATTGGATGTTTGCTTTGGATAACTCTGCAGTGGAAAATTCCCAAAACAATAATTTCCATTTCTCTATGTGGATTCCAATCACCTACAAAGTTTTTCAATCTAACATAACATTTAATTTTATACTTTAGTTTTTTGATCTCTGAACAATCATGTCGTACACCTATTAACATTGTTCATAAATGACAACAAATACATATCCGTAATAACTTCAAATCATCGTTTAAGCTGGTAGGCGAAACTTTTTTCCCTGCAACACAGTGCGTCGATAGACAATAGCAAAGTCGGCATAAAGAACTGTTTGAATAATTCCCGCAAATACAGAGACTAACATGACATGTTGTCGAATTGCTAAGCGGTAAATCCAATGGGGGATGTAGAGACCACGGTAAAGACACATGGCAAGCAAGTAATGAGCAGTTATAGTTTCAGCTTCACCGGAACGTTGAAGCATAAACAGCTGAGGCAAGATCGCTACACTTTCTAGCCAGATACTGAATGTCCATAAAATACCAAAAACACTGTATTTAATAGGGTAAATGAGAGCTAGAATCGCGCAACCGCCCAATAGGTATCCACTACGAAAGGTGTCCAAACGTTTGTCATATGTCGGGCGTAAATTCTGTAAAATTAAATAGCAGATGTAGGACTCGGAACAGATAAATATTATACGCATGGAAAAAAAGTAAAGGCTTTTGAAACTCCAAAACAAATCTATTTCGCAAAAACGCGAACGGGTTAGCTGCTATTATTTCACTTCTAGGGAAATTCGACATACTTAAGTATCTGGTAATGTACACTAAAAGAAAGAGCAGATGTGATTTTAATGAAATTCCAGAGCATGATCTCGATTTTCTCATTTTTTGTAACAACAGGAAGATCGCAGCCAAATGGGCCAAATCACCTAGTTTTATTAGTACTTCTAAGTTAGAGACTTTTTCTTACCCAGTCCGCTAAACAAAGACATGTTTTAAAGCTATTGTTTGTGTTTTCTTTCAGAAATGGGCTTGATAATGGTGGAGGTAAATATTGGGTTACATAATTACTTGTAAGGCTGCTTGTACTCAGTGGGGATATACGATATAAACAGTAAATGTCAAAATGAAAAAGAAAATAATTGTTAGAAGTAATAAGTACATATATAAGGAATTAAAATACTCTTAATTTCATATTCTTTGCTAACTTCTAATGCAAGAATTTTCATAGTATTGTACAGATATTACACATCATCAAACGTAAAACAAAATTATTGTTATTTAAGAAGAACGAATTCTTCAAAGATTATAAGAGATATACTGTAAACCTATAAGAGTATAACAAAGAATCGTAAAGCACAAATTCGACGATACCAGATCTCTCTACTGTACAACCAAATGAAAAAACTGAACAAGAAAAAAAAAATAACATCAATACCACCAAACGGTTTTCTTTCCGAAAGAAAAGAACAGTGGACATTCCTGTGTGAAGTGGACGAGCTGCGTTCGAAATATTACGCACAAGGAATCCAAAAATGAGGTTGACAACTTGGAAACGTGCAACAATTCATGGAATAAAAAATAAATAACTTCTGTGGATAATCGTTTACGAAAGTCCAACTTTGTCTTTGTCTTTCATAATAGAGAATCACCCATAATTCGTTACATTGTATATACATTGTAACATAGACAATGAATGTTTTGAGCACTCCAAGACAGTGAACAAAAAAAATACTGTACTCGAAATATTGTTCTATCTTTCTATACATCCTACTTTTTTCTCGTATAGAACAATAAGTACGCCACTTTATCATTCGAACCGCCATAGCTGCCAGTCTCAACAGCAGCCTTAGGAATCTCAACGTCAGAGACTCGAATTTTATGAATATGGGTATCATCAATACGAATCCAGCCGCTTCCATCATGCTGTTTAACGTCTACGGTATAATGACCACCCGAAGCAGAAATACCATGATGATATACAACAGCATTCAAACTGTACTCAGTGGGAACAGTTCCACGGATAGAAGGACTGAAAACACTTTGTGGAATGGTCAGATCAGCTGGGTAAGCAACAGGCTTATAGTTTTTTTGAGTACCTCCAGCAATATCATAGAAAAAGCGTTTCAAATGCAGAATTAGCACAGGGGGTAAGGATTCTATGTACATTTGCTTTGTAGCGGTAACATTTCCCTTGGAGGAGGGCCATTCGGGTAGGACTTCGGGCTCCGTCATTTTTTCCAACGTGTCCGTAACAGAATGAATGTCGTCAGCTTGAATGTCAAGCTGCAATGGTTGAAATGGTTCTAGCGTTACTGAATCTCTTTGGTTTGGAACGCGCAATGTAGAGCGTAACTGACCGCCGAAAATCTGACTTATAGGAGAACGTTCTACCGTTGCAGATCTTGCGATAACCGGCTTCTTGTTTTTCCCAACCTCTGTCCATCCACTATTGTCGTCATTATTTTCTGGAGAATCGCTTATGCCATTCACAATTTTAATAGTTTCTTCGTCAGTCTTGTTCCCTTTCTTTTGTTGATACTTTTTGTATTCGTTCAAAAACTCTTCATGAAGCTCATTTAAAAACAAGTTTAAAAATTCCTCAGCATCCTCTTGTTCACCGCTTTGAAGAATTTCAAAACGAGGATTTCCTTTAGTGGAAGAGTACACAACTTCCGGCAAGATAGAGTCGCCTTGTTCTTCATCCTCGACCCATTGTTGTTTAAAATCGTTTGAAAACAACGTTGTGGATTCAATTAACGGGGTAGATTTTTCAAAATTGTACGGAACAGTTTTGTTGATAAGCTTCAGCAAATTGAAGAAAGGTACGCAATAAAGCAAAGCCTGCAAAATTGAGTTCATAAAACAAATGTTTCCTGTGTTAATAAATCCGCGAGGTTGAATAACACTCTTTGGTTGAAAATCGGGCTGAAATGATTCCATCAGTTGGGCAAATGCTACATTTGCATTCTTCTTCTCCATTGGTGCAATTGATGTGTTGGTAGTAGCTGCAGCAGCCGGAACACCCTCTGTAAGAGGAACTCGAACATGCTTTTTCACAACAGCAGACCAAGACTTGGGCTTGCTAGGTGTAGCTTTCGTATTTTCAACACTCTTCTTTATTCGAACCGAATTGTTCAGTTGCTTCGGAGCACCGAATTTTCGTGGCTTTCTCTTAGGAAACTCACTTTTCCTACAAGAATACCATGGTAGCTAACTTCATTAGAATACAGCTTGTCAAGGAAATTTTCATACCAAAGAATTAATGCAAAATTCTCTTCTGGGGTGAAGATTCTCTATAGCCGCCGTTTCTGTTGTGGATTGTAAATCTCGCATGAAAATAAGCCCGTATTAACAGAAGCTTTTGTTTATTGTGAACTTTCCAATTTGGCTAATGTACGCTTCTGTCGGTGCTTAGTGACATGCTATCCATTGATTCATAGGAAAGGATGTAAACACTCGTTATTTATTATAGGAATGTAGAACATAATTCCTTAGTAAACATTATGAGTAATTATGAATGAAAAAGTATAGTACAGTATATAAATCCATTGGAAAAAATCATAAAGAAACATTGAAAGAATTACACTTCTCCTATCCTGTATCTAATGGGTGCTTACTCTCCCCGCTGTGCTATAGTTTCCAACTTTAAAAAATTATACCTTTCATCACTTTCTTCTGCTTCTGGGTCGTTTGTTGTGAGTTTCAATCTCTTTAAATTTATTTTATTTTTTCCAAGCTTTATTAAATTATTAGACGTTGTAGAGGAATCATAAGTGCGAATGAGTGCGTACTGTCTGATTCTTTATAGTATCGCATGAAACAAAGAGACAAACAAACAAATCTAGCTCCATCCCTAAATGAAAATATAGATTATAGTTTTTTCATTCATATTTGGGTGATTTTTAACATTCTACATTCCTTTGCTTAAAATTTATTATTACTGGTATTATAGTATCGAGAAATTATCGAGGAATCGAGAATCATGAAATGCCTTATATAAAATATTGGCGGCCATTTTTTATTTACCCATTACACAAACGTCCCTAGGAAGGGAAACCGCTGAAATAGTAGCTTTAGAGAGATTAAAGGGGTTTAAATGAACAGTTTTTGAGCTTATAATATTCTATTACTTTGATGGTGAGCGCAGAAACATCAACCAGAGGAGAAAATACAGCGAATATGGGAGCAGTCAATAAGCTAAATGTGAATGCTCCCAGTTTTTCTCCAAACCAAGCATCCTCGTCGCATGCTTCAAATAAAGGAAAAAAAACGGAGCCTCGTGCTCCAAAACGATCTAATCCACGTGGATCTTCCAAGAGCAGCCAAGGAATGCCCAGAAAAAATCAACCTTCTGCTGCAGGCGGAAAGTCACATAAGAGTAGCACACGACCAAGTAAGAAGACGAGCGCCGTTGCTGAAGCAATTAATGAGTCTTTAGAAGATGCTGAAAATGAAGATGATGACCATCTCTTTGATCTTTTGTCTGCTAGGACAAATCGTCGTGGTCAGATAAGCTTAAACCATTTATTGAACTTCCAATTTGCTCCCAGGAATACCTATAGCACAATGTCTGCTCCTCCTAGGCGAACAAGGCAATATAATACGTATGGTTATGGCTCAGGCTATCATCCCATGGATAAGGCTCGCTACGTGAATGCAAACTATCGATTTATTGTCTCGCCTTTGGGAGAATATACATATCAAAAGCTGGATCCAGATGCTCCCGTGAAATGGGAAGATGTCTGGCAAGTCTTGTGCTCTTCTGATTTCCAAGTTGCCGTTTGTCCTTTTTGTCTTGGTGAAAAACCAGTTGCCGCTCGTATGTCTCGATGTGGTCATGTTTTTTGCTATTCTTGTTTACTTCGGTACATGGAGACACCTACGAACGAAGAGGTAAAGGCAGCTGAGCATTCTGGTTCTAAGGTTCCCAAATGTGGGATTCGATCATGTCCAATTTGTTTGGATGTTATTAGAATTCGCGATATTCGCCCTATTCGTTGGGTACGGGATGAAGAATTTCAGAAGTTAGAAGAGGGAAAGTTGGTATATCTTCGTTTATATCAAAGAAATGTCGGCTCTATTTTGGCATTTCCCAGAGCATTTCGTTCTCTTGCAGTCGATGGTTCATTCCATACTGATAGTTTGCCTAATGTCTCTATGGATGGTGCCGCATATGCTCGTATCATAATTGGAACTCATGAGTATATGCTTCAGCAATATGGCAGCGAAATTGAACAGTTAGCTCAGGTAGCCGCTGAAGATGTTAGTTTATACGGAGTGGCAGATGATTATTACGAAAAAGCTACCGCGAAGCTGCTTGATCAGTCAACCGCTTTATCTTCAAGTTTGGATCACAGTGATGGAGCATCGCTTGTAGCTGGCGTTGACAACCTAAGCTTACAAGATAATGCATTAAAACAGTTGTCGAATGTTGAAGATGTTGGAAAGGGTGTGGGTGAGCCGGCGGAAACCGATTCCTACCTATTTTACCAACCATCCGCCCATTCGCATGTATACCTGGCACCATTAGATATTCGAATACTTAAAGCAGCATATGGGTCATATACTCAATTTCCAAACGAGTTGCGACCCGTCATTGAAAAAATTTCTTCGGGACACTCTGTAAATGCAGAATTTAGGCAACGCTTCAAATATATGGGACACCTGCCTGAAGGTTGCGAAGTCGCCTTTATAGAGTGTGATTGGTCTAAGGTAGTCCCTGAAGAAACGTTGAAGGTGTTTAAAGCAGAAATCAATAGACGTCGTAAACAACACAAAGCTCAAGAAACTCGGGAAGAAAAATATCGACAGAAAGCACAGCGTGCAACTGAAGATCAGATTTTTACAGAACTTAATATGCAAAGGCCTGTAAGACGTCAAATAGTCCAAGAAGAAAGTACGGCTGAAGCCTTCCCTACCTTGGAGTCTTTGAATGCGGTTGGAGAGGGCAATTCATCGGCGCGTTCGAATGATGAACCCGAATCTTCTAGTACAATGGATCCTAGTCAAAAGACGATGGAAAAGCAGAAGGTGCAAACGGTTTGGGGAACGCAGACGATATCTGGAGCTTCATATGCATCAGATGAAAGTGAAGATTCGGATGCCTGGAAGGTCAATTGGGACAAGGTTGCAAATATGAGTGCGAATACCAAGAATTCCAAAAATAAGAAGAAGAAAAAACTTGTATTACTAAGCACTGGAGGAGGACGTCGGTGAGCAAAATTTTTTGATTCTATAATCTTTTTGGCATTTCAGATATACGTATGCATGGTGTGCATGTATACGTATTTTCATTTCCTATAAATGATCCATTTAGAATTAGCTTTCTTGTTGTATTTAAATGATTTCAGATAATGATATTTAACGACTAATTAATTATGTTTGGTTTAATAGAACGTTGAAATGATAATGGGTCTTGTGTCTAAAGCATGGAGGTTAAAGGTACATTTCATTAACAACCCTAATACATAGTGTAGGGTAAAAAAGTATATAAAAAAGGAATAAGCATGGAAACTGCAAATCCATTGAAGTCGAATTGTCAGTTTATGCGAATCAACACAAGGCATATTTCATTTCATAAGCTTCATCAGTAAAAGGTATAGAAAACCGCGTGAAAAATATGTAGCATAAGAGCGAAAAAAAAAGGCATTTTCGAAGTGATTTTCTTTTCTCTTTCTTTTTTGTTACTTGCTCAATTTTAGCTTTGCAAAATGCCTTATTACTCAACGATGATAAAAGAACAGGGGAAAAACATAAGAAAAAAGGGGAGTGCGAAAAGTTTACAAAAATTAAAGGAGGAAAATCCCAAAGGTATTTTCTCCAGAATAAGTGATGTACAAAAAGCCATCTTCGCTCTTGTGCTCGTCGTAAATCGTGGACATCAGAGCAGCAGTAGGAGGTAAAATCTCATCGATAAAAATAAAGATAGCTTTTTCTGGGGAAAGTTTGATACGTTTTCTAATGACATATACGAACTGGCCAACGGTAAGATCTGATGGAACCAGATACTTCTTTTTGTCAATGGCGGCGATATCGGATTTGTCGACTTTCTCACAAATTACCTAATCACTTAAATTAGCATAACGTTGAAAAGATTCAAAATACAAGAGGGCATTCACTTGCGCTATGAATAAACGTACAGGGATTCGATCAGGATACTTTTCACGGATCCTTTGAGATTCCGTTTTTCGTTTCTCTGGATAGAATTGTTAATATCAAATTATTCAAGTTCATTAAGAAGATCTCGATTAGGACAGGTAAGCCAAAAAGGTTCTTTGTTTACACATCCATGACATACCAAAGGAAAAATCGTCCTTGAATTGAGACCGCATCAGCAGATTGACACGGGAAAGTGAGCTTCACTTGTGTTCTACTGACAAATATCCTGGTTAAATGATCGCTGCTTTCTTTCGTATTTCGAGGTAATGGCTCCGGAAAGGTTTCTATGACTTCAATGTCTATATCCTCAGATCTTTCTTGGACAGGTAACGTCGTGACTTTATGTTAGTTGGAATCTGTAAACATAAATAAAGCAGTTTTTAAGCAGTTTCACGATGATTTCGTTTGTTTTTACTAAAACCTTTAATTATTTTTTGATTTTTTTATATACCTACTCCTTATAGCCTGTTCTCGTAATTCATGACTCTAATTTTCGTAAAGACAAAGAAAAGTAAATAAATAAAATTAACATTACGATGTAAAAGAGAATAACAAGGAGTAATTCTTTTAAGTAGTATTCATTAAAATTGGTTTAATTAATTTTAGTCTGCTTTTGTTTTATAAAAGCAACTAAATAACGGGAAATCATTTATTCTCTAGTTAATTCATTAAAAGCAAGCCTTGTTCGTAAATCGGTCCTTAGTAGATCATTGGAAAAACATTGATTACTATTTTATTTACATACTAACTGTTAACTCTTTCAAATTATGTAGAACATGGAATCTGCAAAAGAATTCATTGAAAACAAATGTGAAAACCGAACAAGTCAGCCTATACACTTGTTACGTTGAATTATTTTGCAGATTCCATTTAGGAACTATTTCTCATTTCTATTCGTATTTTTTGTTTTGTCGCTTTATTTCTGTTTTTCTTTCCTCTTTTTTGGGAATCTTTTGTTTGTTTACATTACACATGTGGGGGGGGGGAGCGCGGGGGTCATTTTAGTAGCACAATCGCGAACTTAACGCGACGCTCAGCTTTCCTTTTCTTCCACCTAAATCCTTCATTATGTACTGGCTGCGTTTCTGCCTGCTTATTTCCGCTTTGTTTACTGTCCTTTGTGCAGCTAATCGCGGTCCTACAATAACGGACACTGTTTACTTTGATTTGAAACAAGGAGACGAATTTCTGGGACGTGTCGAACTCGGCTTGTATGGAAAAACTGTCCCTAAAACTGTAAGGCCCTCCAAGAAAAAAAAAAAAAAAATAGAAAACTCTATTTCAATGAATATTTCCTAAATCAGAATATTAACAACAATTCGTTCTATTAGGCTGAAAACTTTCGTGTATTAGCAACCGGAGAAAAGGGCTTTAGCTATGAAGGATCTTCCTTTCACCGTGTGATTCCCAACTTCATGATTCAAGGAGGAGGTATGTCTATTTTGTATTTTATTTGCCGCACCTTCATTGCTAATACGTATTCGTAGACTTTACCAACCACGATGGTACTGGCGGAAAATCAAGTAAGTCAATTGTTCACTTGTAAAAGAATCTAAGTCCGTGTAAAAAATTGCGCAGATATATTTGGAGTGCCCATCTTAGTAAGTGAACTGTCGTATACTGACCAACCTAGTTTATGGACCTCGTTTCCGTGACGAAAACTTCAAGATCAGCCACAACCGCGTTGGTTTGTTGAGTATGGCTAACGCTGGACCCGATACCAATGGATCCCAATTTTTCATCACCACCTCGAAGACCCCCTGGTTGGACGGCCGCCATGTCGTTTTTGGTGAAGGTATGTTCTTAATTTATGGCATGATTCTTGTCTCAAGCTTTTCTTTTTCATATGCTAACCTATAGTCGTTTCTGGTTACGATATCATTAAAAAGATCTCCAAGACTAGAACCGATAACCGCGATCGTCCTATTGTCGATGTCGTTATTGCCAAGTCTGGTGTTCTTTCCAGTTCAGAAGGTGATGATGGAACCGATGAGTTATAAGCTCATCAAGTTCATGAATATTCTTCAGTAACGAGATGAATATTCCCTTCTTCATCCTACATGATTCCCTGTGTGATTGTGGCATTTCTTTAGGAATGCGTTGCTTTGAACAGATATGAATTTCTACCATTACGGTGAAGAATTTTACTATCTCATGATATTCGCCAATATAATCAGTATTTCATTAAACTCATGTTGTATTCCTTTTATTTCATTCGTAGGATATATACTTTATGTAGGGTTCTTATATCTATATATGTATGTAGTAATGATGGTTTATCTACCTGTTCTACTTTGCGTTCTTTCTTTCAAGATTTCAGTTGATTATACTATTATTATATATATATATACAGATATATATATGTAGTTATCACATTCTATATATTCTCTATTGAGAGGAGGCGTTTCCGGCTTATTGGAATTCCTCTCATTGTTGTCGGACACATTGCTCGAACTCACGCATCCTTCACTAAACACTCACTTTGGGATCCGAAAACCAATTATCCTTCATATCTTCGAGTGGATTATTGATTTTTTACTTAAACAAAAAAAAAGAAGAAAAATTTTGCCGAGTACGTCGAATACTCGAATACGATTGAATTCTTTTATACATTCAAATGGCGTTCGATGCAAAGAAATCGCTGGGCTCTTTACAGGGTTCCGCCAGTCGTGCTCAACAAAAATTGAACGCTCATTTACCTGGTAAGTATAAATTTATAGCTATTATCATATTTGGAGATGAGTTGAAAATGTTAAGTTGTTTTCACGGATGAGGTTTTAACAAGCATCTTTTTAGCTGAATTTCGAGATGGTCCTATGTACGATACAAGGGCTGTATACGGAAATGGACCTCGTTTGAGTATCCGTCATGTCGATGTTTCAACTTTACCACCTCCTCCCAAACACTTTTCCCAATTGAACCCCAGTATGTCACGTTCAAGCAGTCCCAATAAAACTGCATCTTCTCCCTCTAAACCATCCTTTGCGACACAATCTCCTAGCTTAACCAGTCCATCTCCACCTATTCCTACCGTAAGCGACTCTTCAAGACGTAGCTCTCGTGCGCCACCACCACCTCCTCCTGTACGCTCACCATTGGCTTCTTCTTCTACACGAGAAGAGTCTGGTACTCTACCTCCACCTCCTTATACTTCTTCTTCCTCCGTACCTTCTCCTTCTATGCCATCTGCTTCTACAAAAAACAGCTTTCCTGCGCCGCCTCCACGACGTTCAGCTCACAATTCAGGAGTAAACACTGCCCCTGCACCTGGAACCTCAAAACCCTTGAAAAAACCACCTCCACCGGCACCTCCCAAACCTAGACGTTTGATGTCTCGGGACAGTACTCCTTCAGCAGGATCAATGCCCGTCCCTCCACCAATCCAAAGAAACACGCGTCCTCCTATATAAAAATGCCAGGTCCGTTCTTTCATTCCCTTTTATATAAATTTGTGCACGGCTTATAAAAGCGAAAAGGAGGAGAAAAAGGTTTGCTCAACTAATCTGAGCAACATTTCTCACGACGTTACTATAGTAAATGTTCCTAGGATTCTTCTTTCTTTTTGTATCGTAATGACCTGTTTGTTTTTATGAAGATACAGTGAAATGTCTTTTATTTTCTCCCGCGAACAGGATGTTTGTTTACTCTATGACCATCGGTGAAACTGCTGGATTTCGTAAATCCTAGTTCACCTTGACTCTATAATGATGAAATTTTTCCGCACGATGTTTCTTTTGTTTTGCTGTAGTTTTTTCGTACTTCGTTACTTGTTTTGTTGTTTCTTATTAAAATAATTCAAAATACATGCTGCTCTTATCCAACTTCACTTGATGATTTCCTTAACTCTGGGTAGGAAATATCAAATTTCTTTTTGGTTTAAGATGGGTAATTGTGAAATGTTAAGTAGAATTTAATATCATTAAATTGTTAGAATCCGTACTTTTTAAGTTCTTTTCTTATTTTTTAAACGAATTCTTGCTTTATTAGAAAGGAGTGTAACACTCAATTTGAAATGAGGTTGCCAAGCTTTAAACGAATTTCAACTGTTTTACAATGTAGAAAAAAAAAGAAAGAATATAATTTTATTTTGATAGGAAGTTCATAATCACTACCTTACAAAAGTTGGCTTGTACACAATTCCAAGGATTTGGAATTTCTAATTATAGATAGCTTTTTCATTCTAATCTACATAAGCTTGCAAAATTAAGCAATTAACAATCCATATACGTTCTGAAAGTGTCCTTACCGTACGTTAAGCTTGTTGAATATTAACACTTCCTGGATGCGAAAAATGTTTACCATACCATTATGCCAAGAAAAGCTCTATTTCGCTTAAGACATTCCTCCTTTCATGTCCTATGCAAGCTTTCGTCTAAAAATAAAGAAAGTAGTAGTCTGTGATGGTACGTTGACGAAACAAGTCATAGCTGGGAGCTACGCAATCATTAATTCAGGTTCGCTGAGATACTAGTAGTGTACTACTAGTGAGTCGTATTCGACGCATAATTTTGTAATGATAATCTGATCCGAACAATCCATATTAAAGAACCTTTCGTAACACTCCCCCTATATTTGCAACGTTGCTTAGACGCTTCTAAATTACTTTTCCTATTACTGCTTCATCAGAGAACTAGAAGAGTAGGAAAAATTATTTTGAACGAGATATAAAGCGAATGCCTTCTGCACACAGCTTCACCCAACTTGCTAACCATACTTCTCGGGCAGAACAATGTGAATCTAATAGTCATGAGCAATTGGGATCAGATAAACCTTCTTACAACTCACGGCCCTATTCTGATGCGCACATAAAGGTATCTGAGAAACTTAAGGAGCTTGTGTTTCAGCAGATGGGTGGGAATCCCGTAGGATTTCGATGGCCGGGATCTTCCAAAGACAGTCATAACAACCGCCTGAATGAAGAAGAATTAGAAATGGTAATTAAAAGAACGTATGATGACAACTCAACTAACAACATTCAGGTGGTGGGGACCTGCATTTGCTGCAGAAGCAGTCTCCGATATCCCAAGACAGTGCCATGCTTCCGTTGTGTTGTTTGTTTGACTATAAACGACTTGCATCCCATCCATGGCAGGTTGGATCATTCTCAAAAAAAGGATAATCCTTCAACTATCTCAGCTGCACTTGTGTTTCAAAAGATTAAAGAAACACGTTTCTGTCTAAAAAATGCGAGACGGAAAAAAGATAAACAGACATATACTTTGGCTATCTTGTCTCTGCAACAATTTCTTTCCCGTTTGTTCCGTAACTCATACATACTTCTTCAAGCCTTTTCTACTACCGATCATGTACACAAAACATGTGGACTCAATTTCCACGATATATGGCTTATGTATGAACAACTCATGAGTATGGATCCTTCTATCATGGAAGAAGTACTAAGAGCTACAGACAGTTTGCTTAGACGACCTAAACAACACTGCTATGACATTACTCATTATCGGTTCTTGTTAATTATCCTTGAGAATCCAGTCATCACGTACAATCAAAGAAATAAGAAGCATAACAAGTTAGGAATATTGAAAAGAATTTTTGGGATCCTTTCCAACCTTGGAAATGAAGCACATCGATACTTCATTTGTTGGTTTACACAAGGTCCATATCGGAATGCCACATTCTTTCGTGACAAGGTAGACCTTGTCAATGGATTTATTGGACAAAGGCTGTGTAAGCAGAGCGAACGAATTCAGTACAACTATTCTTATAACGCTGACTGGCAAATTCGTGCAGCAGCCATCAGTATGGCTCTATTGTATGGAGCTAACTGCCAAATGAATCTTGTTGACAAAAGTTCTTTTTATTGTACTATGGTTGACTATGTCAACCTGAATAAGGATTTTGAGCTCTGGGAGCAAAAGAGGCATTATTTTACATTCTGCCAGTACCCTTTTCTACTTTCCATGGGAGCAAAGGTAAAAATCATGCAGTTTGATACGCGCCGGCAAATGGAATATCGAGCGAGGGAGGCTTTTTTCTCCTCTATCCTTTCTAAAAAAGCAGTCGAACCTTACCTTATCCTTCGCGTACGACGGAATCATCTTTTAGCCGATAGTCTACGACAAGTGAGCAAACCAGGAATTGACCTTAAAAAGTCTCTTAAAGTCGAATTTGTAAATGAAGAGGGCGTAGATGCCGGAGGATTAAAAAAAGAATGGCTTTTGTTGCTTAGTCGGGAAATTTTTGATCCTAGTTTTGGGCTTTTCGAAAGTTATCCTGATGAACAGATGGATTACGTTTGGTTCAATACTAATAATAATTCCGTCAACAAAGAATACTATCATCTTGTTGGCGTGCTCATGGGTATGGCTGTTTATAATTCAGTGAATTTAGATGTAAGATTACCTCCCGTGTGCTATAAAAAGCTTCTAGGACTTCCCCTTACTCTGAATGATATGGCAGATTTTCGACCATCATTAACTAATGGGCTCCGAGAGCTTTTAGAGTTCGAAGGAGATGTTGAAGAAACATACGGACTGAATTTCACTATTAATGTACCCACAGGAACAGGGTACGAAACTGTTGAACTCATTAAAGATGGGTCACATATAAGCCTCAACAATAAAAACAGGAAGGAATATGTGGTCGCTTATTCCGATTATTTACTAAACACATCCGTTAAATCACCCTTTTCGACTTTTCAGGAGGGATTTTTGAAAGTCTGTGGAGGAAATGCTCTCTCGCTTTTTCAGGAGCAGGAGATTGAGAAATTAGTTAGGGGGAATGAAGAACACATCAATTGGGATTTGTTACGTGCAACTTGCACGTACGACATGTACAACCGTGAGTCTATATGTAGACAGAGTGGTAGAGTGCATGAAAGAAGGTCTCATATGCTTAATAACCACAGTGTTCAAAAAATCTCGGCAATTGCTTGGCTTTGGGACGTAATTTTTAGTCTCACGGAAGATAAACAACGAAAATTACTCGTCTTTATGACGGGAAGCGATCGAATTCCAGCAACTGGAATTCAAAGTATTCAGCTTCGCGTTTCAATACTAGGACCAGATACTGAGAAGCTTCCAATTGCTCACACTTGCTTCAACCAACTATGCATTTGGGAATACTCCACCAGAGAAAAATTAGAGCGAAAACTAAATCGAGCGATATATGAAACAAAGGGATTTGGACTTCGATAGTTGTTGTATTAATTGTATTATTGCGGAATAATTAAAGTCTTCATAATACGTACTTCTAATAAGAAGCTTAAAACGATCTCCAAAAAAATTCGTCTTTAGGAACAACTAATTTTTAGTCACAAAGCGATGGACTTCTTCCTTTGGTCTTCGTTTACTTCACATCATACATTCTTAAACATTTGATGCTGCCTCTATATTCGAAAATCCTTAAAACAAACCATGAATGAAATCTTCATAATAATTCTATCCTGCACATGCACTCATTGTCCAGAGACGGATGATCAGTACAACGTGTTTAGGGATTGTTTAACATGTTTGCTTTAAAGTCCTATTCGTCAAAATCAAAGTCATCGTCCTCATTATCTTCGAAAGGGTCGATAAATGCTTCCTCATCATGGTCCTCAACGCCTTCATTTCTTTGAACTTTGACACAGTTTTGACATCTTGGAGCCATCTTACATCGTTGTGACCTTGTAAATGCAGTTAGAGGTTTGTCTTCATCACAGGCAGAGCAGTTTAGTATGGAAGCTTGTTTAGGTGTACATGATGAACAAATTGCCTTAGGATTAGGAAGACTGATAATTTTACCGTTCCAACGTCGATATCCTTTCTGCCATTGAGTATCGTTGTACTCACTGCGACCTTTAGCTTGTTTGCATCGCATGCACGTTAGAAAGTTATTTTTCTGTGAAGCTCCAACTCGAGGATTTGGATTATTGTTGTTTTTTGTAGCCATCGTTGATTGCTGTTTAACTGAGAATTTGTATATCTTCACTTAAAATAGTTGAATGATCAGAATAATAATCCAAATTCAAACTTTCATCGAGATAGAACTGAAATCAATGACATAAAATCATCAGCTTTAAATCGACAGACAAACGAAAGGCAGTAGACGAGGAAAAGGTTGGTTGGGGTAAGGAAGAAAACATCCTAGAATTGCTCCTTTTTTAACATGTTGTTTAAAGATATTATGACACATCTTTTATGAAACTAGTATTACAATATATATAAGTCGAGGTTTTTTGAGGTGTAATCTTTTTTTTTCTAATCAATAAACCTCTTTATGGTTGCATAAACTCACTAGAACCCAATTAAATATACCTTTTTATAAGTTGTTCGAGTGAATTAACGGAAAGATCAAAATCTGATTTTAAGAACTGTCTTCTTGTACGTCTCTTTTAGCCATACTCAAGATCATATGTAAGCTAATTGTAAATTACATAGTCTGCTACTCTGGGTTTTTTATTTTTATATTCGTAAGAGTGCTGATGTTTTAGAATAAGTTTTTTGAAGTAATTCAAACAGATTTTTCAACTACTATCTCAAAAATGGCAAACGACAAAGAGAAACCCTTACGAATATTGTTGGTTGACTGTTACGACTCCTACACCTTTAATGTACATGATTTAATTCAGCGTGTTTCTAGTGAGTGCACTATTACTACTGTACATTGGGATACAGCTCGTCCTGATCTATGGGATCGTCTTAACTGTTTCGATGCCATTTTTATAGGACCTGGTCCCGGAAACCCATCTGAATATGCTTTCGTTTTTGAAAAAATATGGAACTCTGATGTACCGACGCTGGGGATTTGCTTGGGCTTTCAATCCCTTGCTTTGTATTATGGATGTTCAGTAGACAAAATGCCTACACTTCCGTGGCATGGAAGGGCTTCTAGCATACGTACTACGAATGATTCTATATATCAAAATTTGCCTTTGGTCAAAGGGATGCGGTATCACAGTTTGTATGTTGATTCTATTCCTACTAATGCTCTTCGAGTCCTTGCAAAGTCAACAGAAGATCAAATTATTATGGCAATTGAAGCAGTAGAAAAACCACATTATGGAATTCTTTATCATCCAGAAAGCATAGGTTCTTCTGATGCCGTTAGCATTGTGAGAAATTTCTTTAATGTTGTTAGGAAGTCTAGAATGAAGAACCAGTCTACAGCTTCAAGGGTGACAGGATTTGATGCCCTAGAAATTCAACCATCCCCTTTCATCAAAAATCCAGGAATCCCTACAATGAGAATCTCTAGTCAAGAGATACCATGGGTAGATCCTCTGACGGTTGTCGATTATCTAATCAATGTGAACAAGCCAATTTGTTTTTTGGATTCAGCTAAGAAACCAGGGAAATTTTCTATTGTTGGCTTTTTTGATGGCCCTTTCTCCCATTTTATTCGTTACAAAAAGTCGATTAGTACTACGTATATTGTGAATTGTCACAACAATCGCGAGGAGAAGTATGAAGGAGATTTTTGGGAAATAGTTGCGAAATTTATGGATCAGCATAAAGCCTTTCCTATCGATTCTAAACTACCGTTTCATGGCGGCATTATCGGAGCAATTGGCTACGAGTGTAGCGACTATTCTTCCAGGTCCATAGCCGAAATATCATCGTTCGCAGATAGTGCAGAAAGAAATGAAAAGAATTATGTTGATGCTGAGCTTGCGTTTGTCGATAGATCGATTGTATTTGATCTAGAAGATAAAAAGGCGTATGTTCAGACATTGCACCCTACAGATGATCGCTTACATATCTGGTGGAAAGATTTACTATGCGATCTTGAAAAATTTAATAAACGTACAACAAAACCTCATGGTTGTGGATCAACAACGAAAAAACCGACTGAGCAAGATTATACTGACCGCGTTCGTGTATGTCAAGAAAAATTACTAGCTGGCGACTCCTATGAAATGTGCTTAACAGATACTACGTTTGCCTCTACTGATCCATATCTTTCAGACTATGACTTGTATCTGCAAGTCCGTTCACATAACCCTTCATCTTTTGCCGGGTTTCTTCGTTTTCCCCATTTAACCTTACTATGCTGCTCACCAGAAAGATTTATGAAATACGAAAATTCAACGTGTCATTTTTCTCCTATTAAGGGTACTCTAAAAAAAGGTCCACAAATGACCTACGAAGAAGCAAGAAGTAAATTATTAAATCCCAAGGACACAGCAGAATTGAATATGATTATAGATCTCATTCGAAATGATTTACATCAATTGGCGAAGAAAGGTTCAGTTGAAGTTCCTCAACTATATCAAGTTGAAGAGCATCCAACTGTTTACTCCCTTCTTTCGCATATTTACGGCCAGGTAGACAAATCTGTAACCGCGTGGGATGTTTTAGCGAAGTGTTTCCCTCCCGGATCCATGACAGGTGCTCCTAAGTTAAGAACGGTTCGAATGCTTGAGGAATTGGAACCTCATGGTCGTGGGATATACTCTGGAACTCTAGGATACTGGGACGTTACTGGATCATCAGAATTTAACGTGGTAATTCGATCAGCTTTTAAATACGATGAAGATAATCTTTGGAGAATAGGGGCTGGTGGTGCGGTAACCGTCTTAAGTACTCCATTAGGTGAATACGAAGAGATGCTGTTAAAAGTTAACAGCATTTTACCTGCCTTATGTTCGTTTGGTCCTGGTCGAGAAGGTTATTAATAGCGAATTAGCAAACTGATTAATTTATGCAATTGGATAGATAATTAGAATAAAATTAAGGGCGATGGTGGAAAACAGATTAACCGTAAATGTGTAATATATAAACTTTTCAGTTTGTTAGTCTCTTAATTTATCGAGGAAAGACTTAGTGGATGTCCAAGGAATAAATCCTGTACGACGGTAGAATGTCGCTGCCCCATAACTAATAGGTCCTCGCTAGTTATATCCTGATGAGTTAGTAATAACCTAGAAATCAACATACCCTAAATTGAAGTGCAGCTTGCTCTGCTGCTATTTGGATGGCTTCTCCTTTCTTCAAAGAATGGCCAATTCCTCTAACATAGTCGTCGCACCAAACCTCAGCAAGCCAAACTATATTATTTGTATCACGAAGGGTCACGTGAAGATGCTTAAGCGAAACAAAGCGTGGATTGTGCATTATTAAGTTAGCAGCTTCTATAGTTCTTCCGTAAATTGGACTGGTATAATTCCATTCCTTTAATGGGCGACCGGTAAGTTTTAAATACCTAGCTCTGATCACTCTCATTGCTTTTTCGTCATGAGCAAATGAATCCACTTGTGTTAGATATTCTAGCACAGCCGGTTCGGTGAGGAGTGGCTCTTGCGAAACGTGATATTTTTGAACAATAGGCAATGAATCCAACGGATAATTGTATTTGTAATTTGTAGACGAAAGGTTATCACGATTTTTTACTTCCCGAACATTTCGTAAAGCATTTCGATATTTTTCTACCTTCGGCTCTACTTTTCGAACAGAAGAGAACTTTTCTATTTCTCTTGAAATATTTTGAATAGAAAGTTCTTTTTGATCCGCTTTCTCGCGTAGAAGTGTCTAAAAATTAGTAAACGATAAGACAGCACGTACTTACCAATGATTTACTCAAGTTTGCTTTCAAAAGTAGTATTTTATCCATCAGATCCTTTGAGCTTTCCCTATATTTGATATCCTGTGAACTTAAATTAGTAGAATAAGTTTCGATATGTTCAATAAATTGGTTAATAGAGGCTATTTGTTCAGCCCGCTGTTCTAAAATATCCTGTTGCGTTTTTAAATGAAATGCAACCAGTTCTAAGTCTTTCGGTTCTAAAGTTAATGAGTCTTGAGTGGTTAACGACTTCGGTCTTAACAAACAAGAAGGATATAGATATGCTGCATTAGCATCGACAGGAATATTCTGTGAGGCATTAGAAACAGCACATAGTATGTTAAGCAAAGATTTCGATTTTGGTAAAGCCGACTGCAATGCTTCGTTGATTGAATCGTATTCTTTTTCAAGTTGAGATTCCTCTTCAAGAAGCTCTTCGTAAGTTGGACAATCCTTTAGCCCTAATATATTGAAAAATTGGTTGATTTCGTTCGTAATAGATTGAAAATTTTCCTCGTGTTATGTTAATTGTCTATTGTTAAAAGTCTTCACTTACATGCTCGGCAAGAATTTCAGTTTGTAGCATTCGATGTTCCTCCATATCAGAATCCAATTTAAACTAAATATCATAATTAGAGATAGGATGTTACACTTGTTTTTCCTACCGTTTCCTTTTCCAAGCCTTTTGCTCTTTCCCGAATATGCCGTTTTTGCTCACTGATTTCAAGCTTTTCGGTTTGTAAGGATTTCTAAATATTAGTAAGATTATAGCGAAAATATCCTACCATTTCTCTTTGATAGCTCTTTATCTTCTCTTCAACTTCTGCCGTCAAGACCTTGTTTTCAGCTTCTAAGTGTTCCTTATTTGAAGATTAGCATAATTTAGATGAGAAGTCGTTCATACTATCTTTTCAGACATAGAGCTAATTTTTTTCAGCTCATCATCGGAAAGATCATTGCCGGTAGTTTTAGTAACTGGAACTTCCGAACTGTACGTTTGTTTGATAGATCTCTCATTCTGTCTCAAGGATGGAGACGCAGATTTGTAAGGAAACATGTTTCATAAGGCAATTCGAGGATTAAGTAGCAGCTTTGAGGTTTCACAATCGTTTTTATATACGCAGTTCAAAGTAATTTACGAGCCAGTGATTAATCAAGCTAATAGTAGTGTATATTGGATTTGTTATTTAAATTGCTTTAAGATTAGAGATATTCTCTAAAAAGTCAGATTAAAGTAATTGTCTTCGTGTTGTTGTAGTAAACAGGTAGGTTGTTTACAGATAAGGCTGGACAGAAACCCAAATATTGGAACATTAAGCTCATTAGAAGGTTTCGTTTATATTATGTAAAACAATTAATTATATAAAATAAATAGAAAAATGAATTTTGTAACAAAGAACATACAAATTAAAAAAGTCCCAATGCCAATCACATACCCTAGTTTAGATTATTCGACTCTATATCCATGTTAAGCAATGCTTCATGCCATGAAAGAAAGGGATGATATGAACTTGTAGTACATTCAGCCTGCGATTGGAATTTTTCATGATTGAGGTGTGAATCCATCTCGAAAGATTTAGACTTGGACTTAGAGTTCAATGAATGACCAACAGGTAAATCTGTGTCCTTGGAAAGCTGCTGTATCCAGGTTTTCCATGCAAGATATCCTTCTTGCACTTGAGAAAGTTCAGACGAAGCTTCAGCATCAACAAAGCTTGTTTTCTGATGTGCGGTTTTAGATTTGTTTTTATATTGAGACACTATAGCTTCTAATTTTTGCAATTTCCTTTGGGAATCAATAGATACAGATACCATGGCTTTTAAAAGGCGAATACAGTCTGATAGATGCCTGTCATCAGTAAATTTTGTTACGACAAATAATAGACATATCGATGCTGCCGTATACACAACTTCAAATTCGAGAGATGAAAAAGTATTTAAGCCACCATTCTCTTGCAAGAATGAAATGAGCGATAAAATTGACTGTACAGAGTCTATACAAGAATTTGTCTCTGGGGTTACGGACACAGACACCGGAATTGATGGCGACTGCAAAGAAAGGCTATTAGAATTCAAGCGCAAATAATATAAAAATATTGGTCCAAAAAGTAGAAGGTTAACATGATGATACAAAAGAAGCAAGAAAACACTCCCGTGAAATAAAGGACTCGATTGGTCGTAATTCCCATGTTCTAGTTGAAACGGGAGTTCCGCCTTCCATTGTTTAAACCTTTGAGACGCTTCTTTAACCTTGGACAAAAGAGACGTATAATCTTGTTTTTGATCGATGCAATGTCCCATTAAATTATATATAGATAGCAGTGAAGGTACTGCAGTTGAGAAGAGTTTGATTGTAGACGTAAAATGCGAGATTGTGGATGGAATAAAAGGAATCTCCAACTCAGGCATTGTTTTTGGCAGCGTTGTAAAACAAAAATCATTTGCTGAAAACAAATTAACTATAGGGGTAATCCCCTTCTGGAGAAACAATATAGAAGAGAGTACGCGAAGAGACCATACTAATCTTGTATGAATCTCCGGAGTAACTGAGTCACCAGTGATCTCGGTAGAGCCAGATACTTCAAGCCCAATGATTCGAGCTATATGCAAGGCTAATCCTACATAAGAGAAAGCTTCCCTGATTCTGTCTGTCATAAGACACTGAAATGCAACAAAAGCTACCGCTTGCACCGTGGAGACACTATAATTTTGCAGAAGAGAAAAGAGTAATTTCTCACTAATACTGAAAAGTCCAGATATATCTTCAATAGGTTCTTCTATATGGATCCTATCGTTATTCGCGCTCATACTGCCAAGAGCCATAATGCTCATTGATACAATAAGAAAGCTAATGTCCAAGTTGTTTGGCGATTTCGGAAAATCATGAAAGATTTGGTAGCGTTTGTAAAACAACGAAGCTGGATAAAATTGTAGGATGCATTGAAAACGACTAAAATATATATCAGAGAGCTGTTTTGCAGTTGATAGAGAAGGTAGCATATGACAAGCTAAAAGAGATAGTGATTCCAGACATTTTGAGGTTATTTCTGAGGATTTATGCTTAGAAGATTGTCCTAATGGGACCAAGTCGTTTTCAACAGACTTCGGTAGAGAAGAATCTGAAGCTTCCGAAAATTGCATGGAAAGCGGCAGTGGGTCAAAACCTAGATAAGAAGATGAACATTTCAAAATATTCAAGGACGAAACTACTTCATCCAAAAGAATTGAAGATGAAGTTGGTCCAATGAGAAGTGGTCCTAACAAATCATGAGAGAGGCGCTCAGTGGGTAGGAAACTAATAGAATGTTCAGTTGAGTTTGCCAAAGGTTCTAAGATGGAAGACTTTTTGTACGAAGAACACCGAGCATGCTCTCTACAATCAAAGAGATCTTTCATTTGTAATTGATTCGTGGACTTCTCTGTAGTCTCTTCATTAGGATTCAAAGTAGGATTATAAAGACTTTCATCTACAATTGCAGGCTTAACCAAAGAAGCAACTGACATTCCTTGTTTCATATGAAACTCTATATTATTACATAGTTGGACCAAGGACCGCGTACATTGAGGGACTGAAGGGCAGATATGCTCGAATAAAAATTCAAAACATTTTTGTCGTTTCTTTAATTCTGCAACGAATTGCTTGGACGGAAGAGACCTTTGCTTTTCGGCAACCTCATAAACGCACTGAATCCCCAAAACTTCACAAGAATAGCACGGCTCCTTGCCTGTACAGCGAACTTTTTTTGACCGACAGCCTAAACAAGCATGTCGTACTCGTTTTCGTATGCCGACGGGAACCCTACGTTTCTGCTTATTGAATTCACTCTTTTGTTCTAGGTATAGAGGCCGATGGGAGAAGCCCTCAGGCAACATTAGAAATATAAAAAAATTGTCTATATTCAAAATTCACATACTTCCACAAGATTACAGATTTCCTGAGTATGTCCATCGGGCGTAGCTATCCGTTTACTTGCTAAAAGTAGTTAAAGTAAGGATAAGCGATTTGAGCAACTCTCACATATGTTTTATGAATTTATGAGTAGATCGGATTTTGTTTATATAAAAATACTTCATTAAAAACAATTCAAAATGAAAAGCTTGAAGTTTGATGAATGGATGAGCAGTGTTTGCGCTACGTAATTCGAGAAACTCTTTGATTTTTAGTTTAAATGCATAGTGAAAAGTGTTTAGAAAGCAAGAGAATTAACTATTTACGCATATAAATCTTTTCCTGCCGCCGTAGTATGGATTCGTTGTTCTTGGGGTTATTTTTCTGAAACGTACATAGTCTAAGATGAAGTCGAATGTATATCATGGTTTTCAGATCTCTAAGTAATTTCATACAGTCCGTACATAAAAGTTTTTATTCAATAAAATCATAACTTCCACGATATTGTGAAAAAGCATTGTAGTGAATTCATCATATTAAAAGAATACGATATTGCCAGCAGAGAAGAACAATTCAAGTTGTTGGGCAAGGCCGAGTAGAAAAAACGTTTAGAAAGTAAAATCGATTTTACTTTTCGAAATATTTCTTCTTTGTCAAATATCTTGAACAATTTCTAAAGGTAACAATACCCGTCGATATATAGTGATCCAGAAAATTTTTCAAATATACATTAGAAAAAAAAAGAGAAACGCTTTCTCAATCTAACTTAGCCTTCCTCATCGAGTCTTAAGGCTATATATTCCCTTTAAAAAAAAAGAAAAAGGAATTCGAAAGGAGACTATTCTTTTTAAGTGATATTCACTTCCCTTGTAAACCTGATATTGGACTTCAAAACGTTTATTTTCTCTCCTTAAAGACAATTCCTCTTCTGGAGTATTGTCTAATCATTTGAACTATGTCTTCTAATTATCCAAAATGTGTTGTGTTTGATTTGGATTATACGTTGTGGCCTTTATGGATTGACACTCATGGTATGTAACCAACATCAAAGTGAATTTCGTTTCTGTATTATTTGAATAGTTTTCTAACTCCCCTAGTTACACCACCCTTTCGGGCTGCGAAAAATGATCCTCAAGTCATCGTTGATCGGTATGGGACCGATATAACATTTTACAAAAACGTCACCAATATCCTTCAGGAATTGAAAGATGCAAATGTTAAGCTTTGCATTGCAAGTCGAACCCATGCTCCTAAGTTTGCGTACCAAGTACTGAATCTGATGAAGGTTCCTATCGACGGAGAGTTGCAACCGGCTTCAAGGTTCTTTTCCAACATTAAAGCATTTCCTGGTAAGCTACATAAGCAACTAAAAAGTAATAATTAACATCTGACATTTAGCAACCAAAATCGATCATTTTGAGCAGCTTCATAAAGAGACGGGAATCAAGTACAAGGACATGCTTTTCTTTGATGATGAAAGTCGTAATCGTGTAGTTGAATCTCTTGGTGTTACTTTTTGTTTAGTTCCCGATGGCCTCAATCGTGCTTCTTTTGAAGAAGGCGTCAGGAAATGGCAGAAAAACAGAAAATAACTTTGTTGAAACTCTTACGTTTACTTTTACAATGTTCCAAAAATCAAAATAATGGATGAATTATTCCAATCGTAATGAGAAATCTTTTACATAGTGTAGCTATATTTCAAAGCATTTGAACACCCTGCTATTTACAGCATTTTACCAGCAATGGGTTGTTTTTACCTTCTACAAAAGCATATTATCTTTTTCACGTCTTACGTTATTCCTTTAACCATTCCATATATTCATTTCCTACCCAAGAAAACTTTTCCCTATTCAAAATTTTTCTAAAACAAAATAAACTCCTCAAGCGCCAAATCTATGCTCGTAAAATGTACCTGGAACATCTGTGCTCATTAATATATCAGCTATCGGCCTTTCTATAACGAGAAGCTCAGTTGATCCTACCAAGCCAACTAGTAACATAGGTCGATATTTATGTGTTATCCAGAATGATCTTGACGCACCAGTTCCAAAAGTGGATAAAGATGTGGCATTTTGAACAGAAGAACGTTGCTTTGTGGAAGAAGTACCATCAACAGTTCCCTCCATTTTACGTTTTTCGGCATTTCGATTTGTTGGAAGATTCAAACTTAGGTCGAAGAAAGACACATAGTTTGCTGACCAAATCCAGAATCGGCTGGGATTTTGGATATCAAAAAACGCACCAAAGGGCTTGTCCAATAAATGTGCAAATGGCTTTGGCATATTGTTTGAATTTGTTTTAGACCACTCAGTTAGCTTTCGACTTTGAACATCAAACTCGAAAACCTGATTACCTGCTGTCACAACAGCTAAACGACCAGGGATATCTGATCGGAAAGCCATAGCTCGTACAAAACTGTTTACTCGAGGTAATTCTATGTATGACAACGTTGAGAATGAATAGCAAAACGTATTTCCATGCAAATCAGCAATAGCAAAATAATCACCATCTGGTGAAACGGAGACGGTGGCTATCCCCTCGCATGCACTCTGAACAGCCCCTCTGTATTTGGAAGGTGCTTTTTTGGTTTCAGGTTGAGAAACCTCAAAAACTTCAAGCTGGTGTGTTTCAATTCGACTCAAATCGAGCAAGAAAATGTCAGATTCGTTGCTAATTAAAATGAGTTTCTTCATGTCTACCGTAAACTGCAATAAGGTTGCTCCAACGCTAGACAAAAAGGGATCTTCAACACTTTCCACATAGACCTTGTCATCAGTGTAATGAACACGGTAGAGCTTAGTCGTTTGAATTGTAGATACTGCAAGCAACTCCCCATTTTGGGATATCGCGGCATGAACGATATTTTCTTCGTCTTGTAAAACAATTTTTAGGAGGAAGCGGTAACCCGGAGAACCAATTCGCCAAACTAAAACTTGATGATCCTCCCATAACATAAATAAACGAGCTTGTGTAGCAATTGCCATACGAGGCTTTTGCGGAACAGCTGGAATCATTCGGTGATGTTTCGCATTAAATTGACGAACGGGCACCACAGCAAGCATCATATCTGCACCACCAGAAACCAAAACATCTACAGTCTTACATTCAAGAATAGACATGCAGCGAACATCATGCGAATGAAATCTCCGGAAGCTATTGCTTACCCATTCACGCTTGCCACCGTCTCTTGTATACTGAACCGTCTTGCGATCAATACCAGAAGAAAATACGATATTACCATTGCTAGAGACAGCTAAAGTCAGTACATCAGCCGAATGCAGCTTGAATGACTGGGTAAGAGTAAAGTACTTTCCGTTCCAAAACTTGACCGCTCCGGAAGAATCTGCCGTGACAATTGTATTATCTTTAAGGGATTTAACATCCCAAACGAGGGAACGGCTTCCCTTCTTGGCACGATCAACTTGCATTCGAGCTATGATTGTGGAATTTGGGCTTTCGACATCCCAAACTTTGACAATTCCATCTGCACATCCACCGACAAGATGGTTCTTCCCTTGCCAACATAATGAAAGGATACGAGAAGTCTGTCGCATCAAGGTACGCTTATACTCTATTACACCACGTCCTCCACTAATGTCAAACAAGACGCAACTACCGTCATCACAGCCAGCAGCTAAAGTGTTTGTTTCCTCATGAAGCGAAATAGACCAAATCGCACCAGCATTAGAATCTTGATGCACTAATGGTTTACCGGTTTGTAAATTCCATTCGGTGATGGAAGTAGAAAATCCAATACTAAATAAACGTAACTCTTCATCACTTACACTCCAAGCAAGACCTTCTACGCTTCGATTTACACCACCATAGAGGACGCCCTTCAAGCACCAGTCTCCTTTTGGTGTCCATATTTCAATATTTCCGTTAGCGCGTCCAACTGCCAAATGTAAATTAGATGGCAAAGGATCTTGTGAAGAAAGTTGATGCGAAAATGCAAGAGCAGTAATGGGTGAAGGGGTGTACTCAACGAAACGACAACGATGAATATCCATGATAAACTAATTTTTGTCCTTTTAATATATAATACAAGGTAAAGCCAGATAGATCGACTTATTATAAATATAAAGACCGACAGTAAAAGAAGTGGATTTTGTTCGATTTCCAACAAACGAGTATTATTTTCGAAATGTTGTTACAATTAAAAGATACTTTTCTTGTTTATCTCTTTATTTCCAAAATTTTTCAACGAAATAGACCAACAATGCAAAATTACTAGATCAAAGGAAAATGAAAAATGTCAACGCTAAGAATGCGTGAATAAACACCGAGAATCAAGTGCTTTTCACTTCTAGAAATAAGAAACTTTCAGGAAATTAATAAAAACTGAAACCTCCTAGTTTCATTGACCTCCAGTGTTGTTCACGCTGTTAGCAAGGTCTTGGTAGTGGTCAGTGAATTTTCACCAGGTTACTGAAATAACGATGGTACTTGAAAATACAAGGAGAAATAAAATAACAAACTTACGACAGAAGCAATATTTTTCTATAGTTTAGATTTAATTATATGAGCAATAGATTCTTTTCCTCCTGCTCGGACATTATGTATAAATAGTAACTAAGGATACTAATAACTTGTAATCAAAGCAAGGAGAAAGGAGACGTATAATTTGAAGTTTAGAATATTTTTTTATCCTTACAATTACCCTCAGCTGATGAAGTCAAATTCTCAGTCACCGTGTACGATCAGATCGTTCATACTTCAGGTCACTTAAGGTAGTGAACTTACGACTTACCATTAACCAACCACGGAAAAAAAGCCAGTTTACTCTTTGAAGGAGAACATAAAGAAGAAATGGTGCAGTTTGAAGCAACAGAAAAGCAATTTAAGCTTCGTCGCGAGGATTGCTGCTTGTTAATTGACCGTGCTACTGGACATGTCCAAATTACGCCAGAAGAACTGGATTCGGAAGATCGCAAGAGTGAAAACAGCGTTACGATTTTTGGATCCATAAAATTAAAGAAGGATGAATATCTAATTCTTGCTACAGAAAGGTCTAGTGCTGCTCAGATATTGGGTCACAAGATTTATCGAGTAGAGAAGTTTGAAGTGATTCCTTACATGGGACGACTTGCAACTGATCAAGATGAATTGGATTTATATAATTTACTTCAGAATCATTTAAAAACAGGTCCCTTCTACTTTAGTTATACTTGGGACCTGACGAACTCGTTGCAACGGTCATGTGCAGAAGAAACCAAAAATCCAAATGTTTCCAGGAGTGATAATCGGTTTTTTTGGAATGAATTTGCCAGTAAAAATTTCATCCAAGCCGTTCAAGCACATCCCGAAGCGGCTTCATTCGTCACGCCTATGATTTACGGCTTCATCACTTCCTCCAGTACTATGGTGAAAGGTCGTTCAGTGACTTTGGCGCTTATTTCTCGTAGATCCAAATTTCGTGCAGGAACACGTTATTTTACTAGAGGTATTGATGAAAATGGTAATCCCGCCAATTTCAATGAAGTTGAACAAATCACCATTGTCTCAGATGATCGTTCTGAAATAACATACTCTCATGTGCAAACTCGAGGAAGTGTTCCGGCTTATTGGGCAGAAGTGAACGATCTTCGTTATCGTCCGAGAATGATCACTAATTCGGCATCCCTTGCTACCAGAGCTGCACAGAAGCATTTTGACGAGCAAATCGCTATTTACGGTGATCAAATCTTGGTTAATTTGGTAAATTGCAAAGGACATGAGCTTCCCGTCAAACAGGTTTATGAAAATGTCGTGCGACGTTTGGACAACCCTCGTATCCACTATCATTACTTTGATTTTCATAAGGAATGCAGCCGCATGCGCTGGGACCGTGTTTCGTTATTGATGGATGAGATTCTTCCAGAGTTAGACGAGCAAGGATATACTACTCTAGACACACAGAAATATCGTGTGCTTTCTAGACAAACTAGTGTTGTCCGTAGCAACTGTATGGATTGTCTCGACCGAACTAATGTTGTTCAAAGCTGTATTGGTCGACATGTTTTGACAAATCAGCTTCGAAAGTGCGGTTTACTGGGTGCGACCCATCCTCTTCGTTCCATCCTTCCTTTGGATAAGAGCTTCTGTCGTATTTGGGCTGATAATGCTGATCATATCAGTACTGCTTACTCAGGAACTGGTGCTTTGAAAACCGACTTTACCCGTACCGGAGTTCGTACTCGCCGTGGTGCATTTGATGATTTTGTCAATTCAGCTAAGCGATATATTCTTAACAACTTTTACGATGGTGCCCGCCAGGACGCTTATGATTTGGTGTTAGGTCGTTTTATTCCCTCTTCCAACTTTCATTACCGCCTTGATTTACGCCCTCTTACTATTCGTTGTATGCCTTACGTGTTATTAACATGCGTGTTTCTGTTTTTCTTTTCCTTGTTTTCCCGTTCTTCAACGGCAGTCCTTCCCCCGCACATTCTTTTGTTGCTTTCGTTCCTTGGTGTTTTGACTTCTGCTTTCTACTGTTTTTCTCATGGAATGCAATACGTGAACTGGCCACGTCTGTTGCTTCCGGCTTTTTTACATTCAGAGTTTAACTCCGAAGGCCGAGTCTTTTCTCCTAATAGTCAATTGGCAACTCAGCACAAAGCCTAAACTAGTTGAGTAGTCTCCTGTATCAGAAAATTTCTGCAACAATCTCGCTGAACAGAAAGGAAAATGTACTTCTTTTCCCTCACGCTTGACTCTAACCTGATATGATAAATGAAAAAGATGTTTTATGTTTTCACTACTGTGTGACATGAACCTTTCAATAGCTTTTGCTTTTCGCGACGACTTTTTTCTTGACATTCATTATGAGACTATATTTAATAACATATCTATCTTTAACAAGAGGAAAATTTTTAACTCCTATAGAACAATAAAATCTAGAAAATATAATTTAAATCATTCAATCTCTTTTTTATTCCACTTTTACTTCAATGCCTTCTAGCATTCCTATTTCTCTCATCAACCTTCCCTATTCTTCCTCTGTGTTCAAGTTCATTAACCATCCATATATGACTTAACGTTATTTACCGCGTAATTTGCTATCATTTTAGTATCAAAACTAAAAGTAACGAAACTATTGATTCTAACCTGGAAAGTGCTTTTCACTCTTTAAAAACAAAACCTTTAGGCCATGAGTAACCAGGAGAAATTGGCCAATAATCCAGTTAATGGCTGGGTTGTGCAAAAATTTGGTGGTACTAGTATCGGAAAGTTCCCGTTAAAAATTGCAGTTGATGTTGCCAAGTAAGTTTTGAATCGGAATTGGATCATTTGGGGAAGTTTGAAGTTTGAAGTTTGAAGCATGACAGTTGTTTAAGGGACTGTTGCCAAAATATTTGACTAAAGAGCGCTCTTTGAAGGCTTCCGTCTGGGTAAACGACTCGAATGGAATATGCTCGACCATTACTACTGTCTAGGAGGTGTTGTAATATTTCGTCTAGTCTTGTTATTTCTATTCCGCTTTTCACAAACGAACCTTCACATCCTAGTTGTTTTTGCTTGTACAAAACTAACATTGCTTAGATCTTACTTGGAAAATAAGCGCGTTGTTTTAGTCTGCTCTGCTCGTAGCACCGACACAAAGGCAGAGGGTACCACGAATCGTTTAATTCGTGCTGCTGAACAAGCTTTGAAACAGCATTCGACATCTTACGATATCGTCACTGCCATTGAACAAGATCACTTACAAGCAGTTCGTGACTTTATTGGAGATGTAGAGATTCAAGAAAGATTGTTCAAAGAAATCCGCCATGACTGTGCCGAATTGGAACAGTACTTAAACGCAATTCGCATCCTTACAGAAATTTCTCCCCGTACCCGGGATCTTGTTCTTGGTATGGGTGAACGTTTGAGTTGTCGCTTTATGGCTGGTGTCTTACAAGACCAAGGTGTTGATGCTGAATATGTCGATATGTGTCATATTCTCGATGAGCACAAAGAGTGGAAATCTCTTGACGCGTCTTTCTATAGTTATGTCGCCAACCAGTTGGCCGCTAATGTTACCGTTCTCGGTAACAAGGTCCCTGTTGTAACTGGCTTTTTTGGTATGGTCCCTGGAAGCTTGTTATCTCAAATTGGCCGTGGTTACACTGATTTTTGTGCTGCTCTGCTAGCCGTTGGTTTGGCTGCGGATGAATTGCAGATCTGGAAAGAAGTTGATGGTATTTTTACCGCCGATCCTCGTAAAGTACCCACCGCGCGTTTGCTTCCCTTAATTACTCCTGAAGAGGCTGCTGAATTAACTTACTACGGTAGTGAAGTAATTCACCCTTTTACCATGTCACAAGTTATTAGTGCTCGCATTCCTATTCGCATAAAAAATGTCGGTAACCCCGGAGCACCTGGAACTGTTATTTTCCCTGACACAATTTCTCGACACGGTAGTGCTACCCCTCCTCATCCTCCCAAGGTTATGCCTGATGATTTAGAATACGAGTCAGCACACAAGGGACCCACTGCTGTGACTATTAAGGATACCATTATGGTAATTAACATCAATTCCAACCGAAAAATCTCTTCACATGGATTTTTGGCCTCCATCTTTGCCATTTTTGACAAATACAAGCTTGCCGTCGACTTAATTATTACATCTGAGGTCCACGTCTCTATGGCCCTTAATCAAGAGTCCGATGAAGCTAGTTTGCAAGATGCTTTCGTCGAGTTGCGTCGTCTCGGTACCCTCGATGTTTTGCATGGTATGGCTATTTTGTCTCTTGTAGGCAAACATATGCGTAACGCAGTAGGCATTTCTGGTCGCATGTTCAACACCCTTGCTGAAGCCAAAATTAACATTGAAATGATCAGTCAAGGTGCCAGTGAAATTAACATTTCTTGTGTTATTGATGAAAAGAATGCAGTGAAGGCTCTAAATTGCATCCATAAGGAACTACTTGAGCCTTCTGTACTTCCAGAAGTCCCATCTCATGCTTCCTTAGTCGTTGAGAAGCCATGGCTTTACAGCGCTTAAACAAAAAATAGATGGATACATGGTGATCTCACGCTAAATGTTAATCTTTCTGAGCTTTCTGTTCTTTGACTATTTATTCATATGGTGATTGTATTGCTGAGCAGGATATTACGGTTCAAATTGGAAAGTACTTTTAACATGGCTTAACTAGTTTTGTTTTCTTTTTGTTTTAATGAAAAATTTACTCTGAATAATACATTGTCGCAAAATTATAGAATGTAGAGTAGTCTATGTATTAGATATGCATATCAACGTCCATCCACGTAACCCAAAAAGTTTCCAAAATATATTACTATGAACCGTAATTAAAACCAACCCTCTATTTATTGGCCTTTGCCTTTTTATTCTTTTGAATTTCCTTCTTCTTATTACGAAGGTTATTGTTGTAGTTCTCCTTTTTAATATTGGCATTTTCCAGCTTATTATAAAGCTTTCTTTGTTTATTGCTCATCATCATTTTAGAGAGTTCCTTTGCCTCTTTCTCGCTCTTCTGGTCGGCACTCATTGCGTCAATAGAACGCTTCTTAGACTTAGTAGGCTTGTTATTCTTCATGTATTCAGAATACTCAATACCAGCAGCCTCAGCTTCAAGCTCTCTTTGATGTTCAAGATCGACCTTTTCTGTTTCATCTTCCTCAACGTCAGCGGAAGGCTCTTCAACCTTCTTTTCTTCCTCAATTGCCTTCTTATCTTCGTTATCATCAACACCTTGTTCTTCTTCTTCCTCTTCTTCGTCTGCAGATACTTCTTCTTCAGGATTATAGTCATTTTCACTAAGCTTGACGAAGGGACTAAGATGGGGAGGAAGAGTTGCACCAGGAACATAAAGATCAGTTCTTTCCAGACGACCCTTGTTCACCGAATCGTAAACCCACTGGGGTTGAACATAAACACGACCTTCGTATTTTTGTGCAAGATGAGGACGGTCGCTGATATGGTGAGTAATTACTGGATCAGATTCAGCATATGGAGATCCTCCACCAAGCACAGGGTCCCAAGCAACCTTTCCGCCAAATGCACGAATAACAAACTCCAAAGAAAACCGAGGAACTTCACGAGAGAGGTAAAATGTAAAGGGAGCAAGTAACGAAGCATCGATGGAAGAAACTTGAGCATCGGCTTTGGAAGGAGTTTCCGAAGTATCTTCGTCGATGGCTTTAAATTCATCCAACTTGTCATCCTCTCCATTGTCGACTGCAGCATTTGTCTCCGCAGATTCTTGCTCTGGCCGCTCATCCGTTTTAGCATCTCGTTCAACAATATCACCAATCTTGTTACCAAGGCTAGCAATACGTTTACGAGCTTGCTTGTTATCACCGTGTGCTATCGCAGGGAGAGAATTTGATTCTTCCAAGTCATACGCAGCAAGACCAGCAGCGGACTCACTCTTAGCAACATCCAGCTTAGGTGGATAACGAAGTCCAATACTGTTGAATAGCTTGAAGTTTACAAATCCCATTAAAGATTGGTAAAACTCGAGAAATGTGTGCATGATACGGAAATCTACATCAGTAGGAACGTTCTGAGAGAATTTGTAAGGAACAATCCAGGTAACCTCAACACCAAAAATATCGGCCTGATAGTAAATACCCTTGATAGACAAGAAAGTCTTACGCAGACTATGGGTACGGATTACATATTGTTGAAATTCAGCACAGAGACGCTCGCAGTTGGCTACAGTCGCTGCTCCGATCTTATCCGTGACTGGCATGGTAGAGAAAAGAAACAGCATACTTAAAGCATCATCAATATCCTTAATGGCGTCGTGGAAGGTGGGATAGCGCTCCTTGATAATATGGTCTAAATGATAAACAGGCTTATTATTTTCAAGGCGCTTTGCAGTATCCAGTTCACCTTTACCAATTGCCTTACTTAACTTGCGTACGAAAGTCTTATATTCACGGAACTTTTGGACAACTGGTTCATGAAGCAAATATTGAATGTCCTTACTGTAGTCTGTGTGGTGTTAGTATCTTCCGTTCAATTTGTATCATCTTCTAAATTCAAGTTTGCCGCTCTTTTAAAGAAAATTTATTAGAAATGAAAATAAATACTCTTTTTCATTGTTTTCATCTCCAAGAACTTTTTTTATTTTTTTTAATTGAGCGGCTAAACGTCCGATTATACTTACAAAAGGTAACAGGAGCAGTGGAGCCTTTATTTGCTTTCTTCTTGTTCTTGGGCTCGCGGGGATAAACACCCTTTAAGATGCAAATGCGACGAAAGTCAGCTAGAGTAACCTGAAGCTTCTTTAAAGCTTGGTTTCTCGTGATATACACACGAGCAGCTCCGGTTTTCCCTTCAATTCGTTAGTTTCTATAATAAAACAGTGTATTCATACCTTTCTGCTTAATTTTTCCCATACTGCAGGAAGAGTGCTTTGTGAATTGTTGAAGGGAGTGGGCAAGAAAAAACTCATTTCTGTGATAAAGTGGGCATGGAATTTAGTGCAGTCGGACGATCTCGTTACATAGGACTTACACTCCATCGTTAAATGACACTATACTAAACTTGACTTTACAGGTGCATAGCATTCATTATACATTGTTAGTAATTTATTACTTTTTTTATCCTAAATTCACTGGTTTTACAATACACATTTAGGAAATCTACAGAGTCGCTTGCCTAAGCATACTTCCGATTTATCTTCTAAAAAAGCAAGATTCAATAGTACCTTGTAGAGGGATTTCGCAATAAAAGAAGGTTCATTCCTTAAGCAATTTTGTGAGATTTGTAGAATCGTAAATATAAACGAATGTAAAAGGACACTAATTGAAACGTAAACAACAACGGAAATAGTACTTTACGCAAGAGCGGCTAGACCAGCAAGTCCCGTACTCTTTCTAGGCCTGCCTCTTCCTCGTTTCTTCTGAGGCACTGCAGCACTTGCACGCTTTTCTAATGGAATAGGATTTTCCTTTTCTTGCATAGGAGCATCAGATTCTGATGAAGAAGATTCGTCATCTGAGTCATTTTCTTCACTTTCTCCTTCGCTTTCCGAAGACTGCTGTTCTTTCTGCTTCGAAAGTTTGGAATCATCACCTTTATCGGATTTTTGATTCTCGTCTTTTTTCAGTGTTGGATCCTTGATTTCTGGAGAAAATGTTTTAGAGAGTTCTGAAAGTCGAGAATATGACAATGATCTTTGAGGTTCTGGTTTTCGAGAATTAGCTTTACTTCTCGTTACTTTTGATGGTGATTGTTTAGAGGATTGTTCAACACGTTCATTTTTATGTTCAGGGACCAAAGGATGGGTTCGCTGGCTTAAAGGTATGGAAGAATCGGATTCCGATTCACTAGAGGAATCGGTAGTTGATTCGCTATCGGAATCGGAATTTTGACTAATCTGTCTGAATTTCTTTCCAGAATCCTGAATATTAGCATTTGAAGTATTAGTCGTTACATTGGCATCACTGTTTTGAGAAACTTCCTTTTTTGGTGATGCCTGTTTTGAAAGGGCTATCGATGCACTTTCTTTTGGAGAAGTCGATCTTTCTTCAACGGCAGCATCACTTTCCTCTGAAAGGTCATTTGAAGAACTCGATGAGACAGATACGGATGAAGACCCAGATATGCTGTCACTATCGGAGCTACTATCTTCTTCTTCAGATGGAGCAGCTGTGGAAGGATGTGAAGGTGTTTCGTGAACAACAATTTCGGGGGCAAGAACACTGGGTTCTTCAACGTCTTCCTCTTCAGATTCGCTGGTTGTAGAAGATTCTTCCTGTTCTTGCTTCCGTTCTGTCGTCTGATCATTGGTATTTTCAGTAGGAGCATCATTACGTCCCTTTAGTTGTTCCAATCGCTTTGAAGACCTTGTTATGCGAGTGTTCGCCGTGGAAGGCTGAGATATATCATCACGTTTCTTATTTTTCGTTGGAGAAGACGTTAGTTGTCTGGGGGATGCTTTCTTAGGAGACTCGGTTAAAACTTTCATTTCTTCATTCCCTTCCCGGTTATCGTCTTTCGAAGGGGATGTTTTCCCAATCGGATGTTCTTTTCTTTTCGGACTCGCGTCTTCCATTGACGCTGAAACAGGATTAGGCTGATTAACATTATTACGTTGTTCATCATCTACATGTAAAGAATCGTCTCGGTGACCAATGGACGTGACTGACGATATAGAATCACGGGCGTTAGTGGGACGGTAAACAAACCCAGATGACTCGATCCCATCGTCGGAAACTGTATTTACCTTCTTCTGGGAAGGTTGTTCCGACGATGAAGATCTTGGTCGTTTTAAGGAAGGTTGACTATATTCAGTCAACTGTTGAGGTAATGTAGTTTTGCCAATTTCAGCGGTATCTATCAACACGTGTGTATCTTCATTTTCTATTGATGGACCAGCATTTTCTTTTGGAAGAACACCAAAAGCATTAGAAATGTTTGTAGAACTGCACTCTACCAGCACTTTTGAATTTCCATGAAAGATATCACCAATGCAATATTCATTAGGAATGTCGTAGTTCTCTTCGTCTTTAATATTAATGACAGAAATATCCCTAAAAGTCTTAGTTAATCGACCCGTAAAAGTATTAAAAAACACTTACCCTTTGTCAGGATATAAGGATTTGTAGGTAGATTGGATTTTTTGCTTCACATCATTAACGAAGGATGCCCGGTCACATAACAGAATAAACTGATAGTGTTCCATTCCATCCTTCAAAATATGCAAGCGTAAAATAATATTCATGTCAGCGAAGCTCTAAGTACTTATTTACTACCAAAACGAGCAAAAAATATAACTCTAGGATAATTATATGTTCTAATAAATGAAACTTTCTAAATTATTTTATAAACATTCAAGGATCACGATACCAATGGGTATCTGAGCATGTAGGCTCGTGAAGGTAGAAGGCGTACTTCGGTATTAGCTAGTCTTTGAATGATAAGGTAAGGGTGAGGCAGAATTGATAAAGAGTCTGGTGTAGGATTTTTTAATGAATGAATCAAGACAGTAAAGACATTATGTTTATATTATATACGCGTAATAAACTTATATTAATAAAAAAATTTAAATTTAAATAACCCATGTCTCTCAGTTTTATCTGTTAAATTACATTTAAACCTGCAGAATGGCTAAGAGTAAAAACTGGTAAGAAGAGACAGTAACCGAAATAATAATCCCCTGGTAAAATATTCGACTAGAGAAAAGAAAGTACTCATGAAAGGAAAGAAAAGACCCAAAAGTATATATAGATCATTAACGAGAGAAATTATTGTACATACAGAAACGAATTAACCAAGGATTGACTTACATATCAGGATCTAAAAACATAACATTCTGTCCATTGTCCGTAGTAAGCAGAACACCTAGTTCTGTGTATTCCTGAATAGTGTTGAGTAGGTGATTTTCAGTGAATCCCTTCGCGAGAACGCGCTCTCGAATGGCACGAAGAGACAACGAAGAGCCACTTTCTTCGTCGGTAGAAGCGTTATTAAGCATATCCCTGATAATTTTGTATATTTTAGAAGTGATTGTAGTATCATGATAACCAGGATCTAAATCTTCATATAATGAAGACTTAGAAACAGCCATCAACCTTAAAGCTTCATCAACATCACTGATTTCCACTGTGTGGCTGAATCTTAGTCTAGCGAGTGCTTGTCCCATACGAAGGATACCTAAAAGTGTACGCGGAGTTGTATGGGAAAACTGTCTTTCACTTGCTTCATCCCGTTTTTGGTTCTGACGAAGCTGAACGTACGCACCAGTCACGTACTCACATACATGCTTAGGAACAACAGGACGGTATTGACGAGCAGCTGAAATGTAATGGCGAATCATAGAAGGATCCAAAGGTTCAAAATCCATCTTAGGTTGCTCGTTATACATATGGACGTATGTAACGTGCTGAGCTAAGTGCTCATCGGTTTCGCGGGAGGGGGTATCAAGGATAAGGAATAGAACATCAAAACGCGAAAGTAAAGCAGCCGGAAGATTGATATTATGAATAGGAGCAACCTTTGGATTATAACGTCCATACAAAGGATTTGCGGCGGCTAAAATACTTGTGCGAGCGTTAAGGGTGGTAGTTATGCCTGCTTTCGAAATAGAGATGGTTTGTTGTTCCATCACTTCATGGATAGCAGTACGATCGCTTTCATCCATTTTATCAAATTCATCAATACAACAAATACCATTGTCAGCCAAAACCAAAGCACCACCCTCCAACACCATTTCATCAGTCACGGGGTCTCGCATAACGGCAGCGGTCAAACCAACACCCGAAGAACCTCGGCCAGTTGTATACACACCGCGAGGTGCAACTTTAGAAATATATTTTAAAAGTTGAGACTTAGCAACACCAGGATCACCAGTAAGACAGACGTTTATGTCACCACGGATACGCATACCGTCACCAAGTACCTTAGTTACACCACCTACTAAAAGCAAAAGCAAAGCCTTTTTAACATCTTCATGGCCGTAAATTTCTGGAGCAATTGATTTTGCTAATTTTTCGTACACATTTCCACCTTTGTGTAGTTCGGCGATTGTGGCCTCGGTTTCTGCAGTTCCCTCAGTATTAGTATAACTTTTGATTAAATGGGAAATGGCATGGCACTCAAGATAAGTATCAGTGAGTAAACCAGCACGCAAAGCACGGAAGCCGGTGTAAGGAGTGGGTAAATAAATACCAGAAACATCAACTATATCACCTGGATTAACCGTACGAGTGATTGCACCATACAAATGAACGGTAATTGTACGAGGAATATGCCCGATTGGAACTTGGTTGGTAAGTTCTTGAATTTTCACCTCCTGAAAAGCAAGGAATTTGCTTGCACGAGTACTCATAAAAAGCTGACCTTTTGCATCATTTTTTCTGCATTCATCAGATGGGCATTCTGTGATAGGTAAAAATGTTTTTTGTCGAATCTGCTGAAAGACTTCGTAACCACAGCGATCACATGTGTAGGCATTCACAATTAAGCTTGGCTTCACATCGCTTGTACGCGTGATGATTCCTCGTAAAGTAACTAGGGAGCCTAGATTTTCACCACGAAGATCACGAACGCTAAAAGGCTTTTTGTTACGAGTCATGGGGTAAAAATAAAGGTCATAACCACGCGTCAGTTCTGGGGGGAATCCACTTTGTTCAGGATCAAGATTTTCGTTGCGCTGAAGACGCTGCTGCATAATTACATCCAACACCTCATTTTTATAGTTTATATCGACAGTAGGAGGCGGCATCAAGGAATCTACACATTGAGAGAAGAGCTCAACAAAGCGTTTCGTATTTCTTTCAATATTCGAAAGTAATTTGGAATCACTAGGATCAAATTCATAGAGATCATTCAAATCAATTGTAATGACATTCCGCTTCCGATTAGCGACGTCCTGTAAAATATCCATGTATTTGGCTCTTAGCATTGGGCCATTTTCAGCAGATTCAATATCTTCCATCAATAAATCATCTTCGTCAAATCCTTCTCGGTTTTGGAAAGCCGCACCGGCACTAGTTGCTAAAGGTGCTACTTCTTGTTTGAAATGCGATAAAAAGTCTGTGATTTTGTGCTGACACTCCTCATACTCGGGAATCTTTAAGTCGATGGTAGGAAGCGCCATCCTACAAGATTTTCCCCTTCACAGATAGTTAAAGTGAGGGTATGTTCACTAGGAAGACAAGGGAATTTAGCAAAAACGAGCTTCTACCTGTTGTGCGAGGTAATATGCAGGATGCTCTGTAGAAAAGCCAAATACTGATTGTTACTTTCAAAGGTAACATGTTCAGAATGAAAAATAAATAAGCTTGGTTTCCCGACCCTCTGAAAGGAGTTTTAAATAAAAAAAAAAAAAAAAAAAAAAAAAAAAAAAAAAAAAGAAAAGAAAATATATATATATATATATATAGAGAGAGAGAGAGAGATAGAGAATAGAAAAAATGTTTAATTGTTACCAAGAACAAAAAAATACCTTGATTTTTTTCGCGCTGAAATGACTATAGATTCTTAGAATCAAAAGATTTGCTATGCTTTGATAATCTATATTCCACAAGATTCTCAAACGTATATGTCGACCTTATTATTGTACAATTGACATCGTTTCCGTTTTAACCTGAACATGTTATGAGTCTACGAGTTAGAGTGGTAGTCTACTTTTTTCAGCCGAAGCAAAATTGCGTGGATGGATGTATCATTCTACCGGGACTTTTATCCAAACAAAGATACCTCATATCTTATATTTAAAATACAGTGGATATCAGTGGTTGAAAACTTCACAATTCCAGGATTGCTCGGTGTAAAATGAATGAAACAAATATTTAATGATGTACGAAGTGAATAGTGAACCGCAGTTCATAACGGAAGTTGATTTTTTTTCTTCGTAATCACTTCTGGTACAAAAAATCAGTTGATTTTGTAAAAGTCAATGTTGACCTTTGAAAGTATATATAAAAGGGACGCGTACCGTTTATTAAATTAAACTTCCAGGTGCGCGTGTAATTCCTCCTTCACTATAGAAAATATCCGTGTAAAAATAGTTAAAGTCGTTGTCGATAACTATTTTCATTTTATTTTTATTTCTTATTTCTATTGTTAATAAAATAGGAAATCAAACGAACTCTACCAAGAGGAATTTAGCCTAAACCCGTCCTTTTCGTTACGCCAGGTTTTTACAATTTACAAAATCGCTTTTTAGGGCCTTATTCCTTTGTATTTGCGATCTCAAAATTTCATAAAAAAAGGCATACTGATTTCAAAGCGCGTTCCTTTTCTTTTTATCTCTTCAGTCGCACATCAGTCTGGGGATAAAAAAAAATAAATTAAGAACCAGAAAAAAGAGAAATTTTATTCTCTGTACTATTGAATAGGATTTGACGGTCTCTTATTTCCTTTCCTAACATTATTCCGACGAATTTGTGACAAATCTTCTTATAAAGCTGTAAAACGATTTTTACGTATTCAGAGAAGAAAGTTTTTAACTACAGCAAACCCCTTGAGAAATCAAGAAGTTTACCTTTTTCATCAATACTCTCGGGAATCTGGAATTTTAATAAATTATTTGTAATATGTCTAATTCTGAAGAGTTCTCCTTTCCCAAGGAAAAGGGAGAAGTCGTTACTTACGACAGCCCTGTCGGAACTCGCGAAATTTATGTCAAATCAATTAGAGAAACTTTTAAATTTGAAAATGTAAAGGAAGAAGATAAAATGGAAGGTGGTGATTATTACACCGGTAAACCTGAAGACGAAAAGGACGAGGTGATTCTTCGTCCTAACCCACGCCGCTTTGTTTTATTCCCTATTCAATACCACGAGATTTGGCAATTTTATAAGAAAGCCGAAGCTTCTTTCTGGACTGCTGAAGAAATCGATCTTTCCAAGGATTTGATTGATTGGGATACCAAATTGAATGCTGATGAACGTTACTTTATCTCTACAGTCCTCGCTTACTTTGCTGCCTCTGATGGTATTGTAAATGAAAATCTTTTAGAACGATTCAGTTCTGAGGTTCAGATTCCCGAAGCCCGTTGTGTGTACGGTTTCCAAATCATGATAGAGAATATCCACTCCGAAACTTATTCTTTACTCCTGGATACCTATATCCGCGATCCTAAAGAAAAGGAGCGCCATTTTGATGCTATTCTTACTATGGGATCCATCACTGCAAAGGCTAAGTGGGCTATTCGTTGGATTAATGATCCTGATTCCAACTATGCCATTCGTCTTGTTGCTTTTGCCGCTGTTGAAGGTATTTTCTTTTCTGGATCTTTTGCTTCCATTTTCTGGCTAAAGAAACGTGGTCTCATGCCTGGATTGACCTTCTCTAACGAGTTAATTTGCCGTGATGAAGGTTTGCATACCGACTTTGCATGTCTCATGTTCAGTCACTTGAAGCATCGACCTGGACGAAAAATTGTAGAGGCAATCATTGTAGAGGCTGTTGATATTGAAAAAGAATATTTCACTGATGCTCTTCCTGCCAGTTTGCTTGGTATGAATAAGGATTTGATGTGTCAATACATTGAGTTTGTTGCTGACCGTCTTTTGGTCTCTCTTGGTAATGAAAAGTATTACAACGTTACAAATCCCTTCGACTTTATGGAAAACATCTCTTTGGCTGGTAAGACGAACTTTTTCGAAAAGAAGGTTTCCGACTACCAAATCGCCGGTGTCATGTCCAGCGCCAAAGCTGACGATAAAGACGATCACGCCTTCCGCCTTGATGAAGACTTTTAGATGCATAATGAGTAACGGTTTGTTCAATTTAAATAGTCTGTTACATGACACCTTTATTTGGTTGATTCCATTTAAATCTTCCTAAATGTTTGTCCTTTGAATTGCAATTTTATGGGAGTGTATTGTCTTATTTAAAAGTTCGTAAATATCAGCGCTGCGTTCGTTCTTTTTTAGGTACGATATAGTGGATATCTGTACTTAAATTAAAAGTCGATCAAAGTGACATTATTTGTTAACCATTAAATTTGGATGTATATTTAAATATATATAACTACTTTTTCTGTAAGTCCTTCTGTTAAGAAGTGTTTGGAACTGTTTCTTTTTTTTTTTTAGTTGTTTCCCATCTTTAGATCTCGTGGATTAAAGAATTACTAGTTTAAATGTATTTTCTTTAATAATGAAAAAGGCAGTAAATTTTAGTAAATTAATTATACATTTATGAGTATAGTCTTGTATGTGATTTGATTTCCACAGAGTACTCAAGAATAGCCTTCTTTGTATCAGCATTAATCCTTGTAATTGTAACAAAGTTTTGTTTATAATCTATTTTTTTATTTGCAAATGCATATTTGATGTTGAAAAATTATCGAGCTTTTCTAGGAACGGTACGAAACTTCACCACTGCCAATATGTCGGTGAATGGAGCGAAGGTGACGGAAGGTTCTGCAACTATTCTTTTCAATGACCCTGATGAGGTTTTCTACAATCCTGTTCAACAATTCAACCGTGATTTGAGCACTACAGCCATTCGCACATGGGCTGAAAGTCGCGACGAAAAGGCGGTGTTGAAAGCAAAGCATCGTCAGGAAATTATTGAAGCGTTAGATAAAAAGAATGAAAATGAAGGAAAAGGAAAGTCAGAAAACTCATCTCCGTCTCGTAGTGAAGAAACTACTGCTCCTGCCGAAAATGAAAAAAATAAAGGAACTAAAACCGATGGAAGCAGTAACGTCGGATTTAATATTTTAGAAGCATTGTCCGCTACTGGGTTACGTGCCATTCGTTATGCTAAAGAACTCCCCAATGTAAAAAAAATTCTTGCTAACGATTTGCTCGCTCGCGCAGTCGATGCTATCGATGCTAATGTTAAGCGCAACGACGTTGCTCACATCGTTGTCCCCAACAAAGGAGATGCTAATGCTGTTATGCACTCATTTAAGAACCAGTACGACGTGATTGATTTGGATCCTTATGGTACTGCTACTCCTTTCTTGGATTCAGCGGTGCAATCCGTTGCAAATAATGGGTTACTTTGTATAACTTGTACAGACTCTGCTGTACTTGCAGGAAATGCGTATCCGGAGAAGTGTTTCTCCAACTACGGCGGAACTTCATTGCGGTCTGATTTCTGTCATGAACAAGCCGTTCGTCACCTTCTATATGCTATTGCTATGGCAGCAGCTAAATATGGACGAGCTATCAAACCTATGTTGTCTCTCAGTGTTGACTTTTACTTTCGTGTGTTTGTACAAGTAGAGACGAAACCAGCTCTTGTTAAAGATCTCCATAGGCAATCCGCAATAATTTACCAGTGTTCTGGTTGCGGAAGCAACGCCCTTCAATATATGGGTAAGACTGTTCCGGGAAGGATACCGGGAAGTACAAAATACACAAACGCTACCGGTCCTCCAGTTAGTGCTAAATGTGAGCATTGTGGATACGTACACCATGTGGGTGGTCCCGTTTGGGGAGGTCCTTTGCATGATGCTGAGTTCGTCGAACGCATGAGAAAAATTGCTGAAGGTCTAGATGAAAAAACCTATGGAACGAAACGCCGTATTCTGGGAATGTTAGCAGTAGTCGCAGAAGAATTGCCTGATAAACCTTTTTATTTTGTTATATCTCAGATTGCGAGCGTTCTACGTGCTCAATCACCTCCGCAGAATACATTCGTTTCTGCATTGCTTAATGCAGGTTATCGTGCTTCTGGGTCTCATGCCAAGAGTAATGCCATTAAGACTGATGCTCCATGGTCTTATATATGGGACATAATGAGAGCTTGGGTAGCAGAACATCCTGTGAACTCTAGTAACGTTAAGCCAAATTCTGCAGGTTCTATGATTCTTAAAAAGGAGTGTTCTTCAAAGGTTGATTTTACCTTACAGCCTGGTGCTGAATTTTCCTCCAAAAAAGCCGGATATACCCGTTATCAAATGAACCCTACTGAAAACTGGGGTCCTAAGGCAAAAGCGGGTAAAAGAAAAATAGCTGACACGGAAGGGCAAACTAAGGAGTAATTGGGAAATTGGTATATTTGTATTGTAATATATTTTGAATTTTTGGTCGTTTGGGGTGTGTAAACATTGTGATTTCTCCTGTAAGGTAATTTACACTTTGCTAAACTCGATTGTAGTTAAATTTATCTAAAAAATATCACTTCGTAGCAAAATAGGTTCTAGGCATTTCGCGTTTTTTAAGTTATAACAACTTGCACAAAATTCTTGCTTACAATTTCAACCATGAATTTACAGGGACTGCGCATGTATAAGTTTTCATATATTTGATATAAACCTATAATTTATGTCTTGATGTTTATAACTAGCAAAAGCGATACTTGAACAACCTCGGTTTCTTTCTATGGGATCATTCCATCCACCTCATCTCTGAAAATTCTGCTCCAAAAGATTTTTGCCAGCTTCATGAAATGTGGCTCTCGTTTAAACTTTGATGTTAAGAAAATTCCAAGTTTATTAGCAGGAATGAAATTCTATCCTCATATGCTCAGGACTTACCGGTTTCATGCAATTCCTAACAGATTTCAGTTTACTTGCCGGAGATGGGCGTCAAATTTAAAAGGAGACGGCAGTACTTGGATAATCAATGAAAATGATATAAAGAAATACTCTTCTGAATCCAAAGATTTAGCGCACGCCCATCTATTTATGATCAATGAACAAAATGAACATTCGCAAGTGAGGTTTGATAAATTACCATTGCATAAAAATGTGAAGGAAGGAATATTAGCTCACTTTCCTGAGATAAAATACCTTACCCACGTCCAAGTACGCATCATACGCGCCTCTTTAATGAATCGCTTTCCTTTCATGGTGCGCGCATGGAACGGGTCAGGTAAGTCATTCAGTGCGCTCGCTGCAGTAATGTCTTTTTATTACCAATTTTTGGACAAATTTACCAGTGAAACCGAACATGGGTGCCAAGTATTGATAGTGGTACCTAACAAGAACCTTGCTCAGCAATATCAAGCCTGGGTAGAAAAGCTTGCGACAGGTGGTCCTTTGCAAGAGCCCTTAAAAAAGATTTCACAAATTTTGGAGGTTTCATTGTCTCGTCTTGAAGATATTAAGCGAGACCTTCCGTTTCTATGCATTGCTGAATATGAAGATTTGGAACGTTTGAAAGGGTTGAATCATCCGATTTTGGATCATATCCTACCAAATTTAAAGACTATTATATTTGATGAATCGGATCTTTATATTCCTACAGAAGGAAGACAGCGTCGTTTGGCTGCCCCAGAACCACGTTTTATTACCACCTCACTCCCTTCTTTCATTCAGTTATGCAGAGAGCGTTCTTTGAGCTCAAGGATTAATACAGAACTTTCTGAGATAGAGCGCGAGAAGAATATGAAAAGTGGCAGCTGGCTGCCAAATCTTATTTTCTTATCAGCAACAAATTCCTACCCATGTGCTGATTATGTTGGTAAAAAAATTACAAATCGGCTGGGTATTATTGGGATTTATCGGAAATTTTTGCCCTTCTGGAATATGAATTCCTCTCGGAAGATACACCATATGCTGTTTAAAGTTACGAAAAATCAACGAACCGATTCTCTGCAACTTGAAGATGTTCAATATGAGTATGCTAGAAACCCTAATTTTTATTTCTCAGTTGGTGATTCACCTTTGTATTATGATAATACTGAAGTAGCGGCTGACATGTTTGTCGAGTCCGTTCGAAAAACTCTGGCTGAACTTTACAAAAGCCATCGTACAAAGTTCGCGCCGAAAAAAAATATACTTATTGTAGTTCCAAAAGAGTTTGACGTATCGTGGTTTTGTGAACGATATGAACGAATTGGTACGACTCCATTGCGATCGTTTGAATGCTTTCCTCTTAAAGGGGAAGCTATTCCGGAAAGTCATGAACAGAAACAGATTGCCTACGTGGTAAGTGCTTCTGAAACAAGAGGCCTCCATCTTCGTGAGGTAGGTCAAGTGTTTCACCTATGGAGCACATTGTCAGCTGCATCATATTTAAACATTTCTGGGAGAATAAGTTATCTAATAAGGGAAGGCTTGGTGTTTAACTACTTGTTGCCTGAATTTCTAAAAAGTCAGGATTTTCAGAAATTAAACTGTACAAGAAGCGCTCTGTTAGTACTTCAACGTGTCGGTATTCAACCTAAAAAATTTTTTGAAACATTAAGATAGAAGCGATCATTATAGGGTGATTTATGAGCATCGTTCATTTAATTAAAAATTGGTTTCATTTCGATTAGAGTATATACAACTAATGCGACGTGTAAATAATAATAATATAGGTTCCCAAATTAACTAAATTAGCATGTAAGGCCTATTCTGACTCAGTAGAACAGGGAATTAACAAAGTAGGCAAAGAGTACACTTCACCTGTTTCCATAGTAGGCATATCCCATAGAATCTCTACTATGGTTTGGACTTAGACTTCTTGGAGATTCTGAAGGACTTCTGTCCCTTCTATAACGGGGATTGTTTTCAAACCGATTTGGGCGGTAAGAATTATCTGAACTTTTGGAATATCTATTTCTGTTATTTCTTCGTTCGGGTCGCTTCAGAGAAAGAAACAACTCTTCGCCGTCTAGTTCACCGTTGTTCATTTTATCAACAGCATTCAGAGCCTGGTCTGGATAAGAATAATCAACGTAGCAGAAACCCATGTTTGATTTAGCTAGTAACAAAGGTTAGTTAAGTTAAGTTTATTGTAGCCATACATTTCCTATAGAGAGGCATGTCAATTGAATTTATTCTACCATAAATTCCAAATATTTCTGCAATATGCTCACGCGTAACATTCCGTGTTAAATTCTCTACAAAGACCTAATCGTCATTTCGTTAGCAAAGACTGTCGCAACAAAGTAATAGCCAAGTGATTTGAGCATACGGTAGTTTCGGACCGGTCAGGAGAACGCGACACGGAACGTGAATATGGAGAATTTGAAGTATAAGAGCCACGACTGTGGGAGCGATACGAAGACCGCGACGTTGATCGTTCATAAGGGCCAGGACCTCGCTGAGGGCGGTCAGAACGACCTCTATCATAGTCCATATATCTCTCTGTGTACGTTGAAGTCATAACTTCCGGTCTTTCGACGAGAGGAAACTACAAGAGATGTTGGAGGTTGGCAAGCTTAACCAAACATACTACAATAGAATGAAAGCCAAAATATCATTTATATAAACAATTAATACAAAAAAATATATTTTATTAAATGAATGAATTGAAATTATTCTGCTAGGTTTATTCTTATACTAGTTTGGGCAGCTTGGTTTGGCGGACAGGATATCTTTCAGAATGAGAGTTATTCGAAGATTTTCTTTTGGGCTCATACAAGTCACGAGGGCCACGGAAGAATCCAGGATCACGGATCCGTTGAGGGAACAAACGTTTCGCTTGACGACGTGCAGCACCTTGACGCATGCATCGACTACGAATGTAGTAGCTGTAAGCAAGAGCATGAATATCTTCGGGGAAGGGGGATGGAACTTCGGTAAGTCCTGGACGAGCTACTGGATCACGCACATAAACGAAAGAGCATGTTTGGAAGCATACTTCTAGGTAAGAGGGAATAAAAGCCATAAGAGCCATATAAGGTTTTGGATAGAAATGGTGTACACCATTTTCTAGTTTAGGATCCAAAGTTGATTTGGACAAAGATGTTTTTTGGCTTTCTTCGTTGGAAGGATTCGCTTGGGGTTTATTTGAATCCTCATTTTGTTCGCCAGAAGTGTTCGTTCCCGAAGAAGCTTGTTGTGAATTCTTGGGATTCAATGCAGAAACACAATGCAAAACAGATATGGGATCGACGGTTACCAAATCACCTGGCTTGAGAGCACGATAGCTCCGTTTTTCGGGTAAACCATTAACATAAACTTTGCCATGCACCACCAACTGACGAGCCTGGAGAGCACTGGAAGCAAACATTGCTCGATGAATAGACATATCTAACCGTGATTCTATAAATGCATACATCTGTGACATAAAGGGAATGGGGTTTTTGTTTTCATGGGAAGAAGTGACTCCATGTACTTTGGGTTGGAACGAGTTTTTCAGCTGATATTCACGTAGTTGAGGTCCATGGTATGCTCTTGTTTCACGTTTTGCAGTCCATTTTTTTTGAAATAGTGTACCGTTGCTTGGGGAAGGCAATTGTTTGCGAGCAATATTATATAGATTAATTTTGTTCCATGAAGGGCGCAAAAGCTTGAAATGTATGTTAGCTTAAATAATTTTATACTAGCAAAAAACTTTTTTATCATACCATCCGCTTCAAGGAAATAAATGGCTTTCCTCTCATTTGAGAAGTAGTAGTGTGAGCAAGAGTTGTGAGAAGACAGGGAGATGAAGCAAAAAAAAAAAAGACTCAATATTAGTAGAAAACACTACCCAATATGAAATAATTTTTTCCTTTTAGAAAAATAAGGAATTGAAAAAGAATAATTTGTTGTGAGGAGTGAGCGAACTCAGTACCCTAGAAAACTACAAAAAATCCTTTTCATCGTGATCGCCAGTAACCATTTTTTTTTATTCTCTAGTTTAATAAAACATTACCTTTTTTATATACATCAGTACAGGTATGCAAGGAAGTTTGGTTAGATACAACTATAGGACATCTTTCCATGTTACGCTTGGAGCCTTTAAACCAGTAAAAGGTGAACAAACCTCTTAAGTTTTAATATTTTAACGACAAGTTTTTCATGCTGTTTCATCAAAGTATAAACATCGGCTTCCACTTTATCCTGCTCATGTAAATGTCAAATGCCATTCAACTAGACTACCATCACGAACCCCTAAATATTATTGAATGAAAAGAAGAAAATGTATAATTCTCAATACACAGGTTCCCAATTAACTCACCGAGCGTTATTTACACCTCAAAGTATCCATATAAAGGATGAGGCATGAATTGATGTTCAGCATGGACATTCATAGAAGAAAGGTCAATGACAAACGATGACTACTATAAGCCCAAAAACATATAGGGTCTCCTTCATCTGTCTCACTTCGACTCAGTTGCCTATGAGAGTCTATCCACTTTCGCAAAAGTTTGGAACCCTCTGAATGTAACAATCAAGTGTCGTACCACACGACATTTCCGAATGTGATTTAATGACTTCTTTAAGTATATAATTTGAATTGACATTCCCTTTGGTCACCAAAACTGAAGAGAAATTGGATGTAAACACTTCCCCAGATTCAACAGACTTATGAGTTTAAAATTATTTCAGAACTATTGTTAAATTCTTTTATTTTTTTTTTTACTAAATGACATTAAATACATATTGAAAACACAGACCTTAGTTCATCTTAACAGTTGGCAGATGATACGTTACATCAACCTCATGTCTCCTGTTCCTTCAGCGACGTTTCGTACAGGCAAAAACAATCTTGTCGAAAACCAACCACGCATCATACAGGAGTTCCATAAAAACGTTTGGAATTGATTTAAATCCTTTATTTCTTGTTGTTTCTCTATAAAGCGTGAAAACTGGAAATTATGATTTCATCTGCGGTCATTCTCGTCGGTGGTCCATCTCGGTATGTTACTAACTGATCTGTTCCTAATTTATTGTTTATGAGTTTCATAGAGTTAACAATATAATCTTTTAGTGGCACCCGTTTTCGTCCTCTCTCTTTTGATGTTCCTAAGGTATGTATAAACTTGAGTTGTTCATCGTTCGATCGCTCTTAATGTAGAAATGCAATTTAGTGATTAACACTTTTTTTGAGTAGCCTTTATTTAAAATTGGAGGTCGTGAGATGATTTATCATCACTTGCAAGCCCTGTCAAAAATCGAAAGTGTCAAAGATGTTTTCCTAGTTGGCTTTTATGAAGAGTCCGTTTTCAAAGATTTTATTCATGAAGTCTCTGTTGAGTTCCCCATGTTCCATCGTATTAAGTATCTCCGTGAATACAACTGCTTAGGCACCGGCGGTGGGTTGTACCATTTCCGTGACCAAATTCTAAAAGGACATACAGACAACGTGTTTGTTATGCATGCCGACGTCTGCTGCAGTTTCCCCTTAAACGAATTGTTGCAATCACACGAAGAGAAAAATGCTTTGGTTACTCTTATGGCTACCAAAGTGAACAAGGAAGATGCTAGTAACTTCGGTTGCCTCGTTGAGGATCCCAACACCAACCGTGTTTTACATTATGTCGATAAGCCTAGTTCTTATTTGTCAAACATCATTTCTTGTGGTGTTTATCTTTTCGATGCCTCTATCTTTGACGAAATTAAGAAAGCTTATGAGCGCCGTATCGAGGAAGTCGAGAAGCAACTCCGCTCTTTAGATGATGGAATGGAAGATTATTTGAGTCTGGAAGACGATGTTTTAGCTCCTCTGTGCTCCGACTCGTCTAAAGCCATATTTGCTTATAATACTCCTGAATTCTGGCGCCAAATCAAAACTGCTGGTTCTGCCGTTCCCGCCAACTCTCTTTACCTTCAAAAAGCTTACCATGATGGCAATCTTCCCAGCCCTGACACTGAAGCTGAGATTATTCAGCCAGTTTTTATCCATCCATCTGCTACAGTTAGTCGCGGAGCCAAAATTGGTCCCAATGTTTTCATTGGCGCTCATGTACGAGTAGACGATGGTGCCCGTATTCGTAACTCGATTATTCAAGAAGATTGTGAAGTTTCCTCTCAGGCTGTCATTTTGCACTCTATTCTTTCTCGTAACTGCAGAATTGGTAAGTGGTCTCGTGTTGAAGGGTCCCCAACCTTACCAAGCCAACATTCTACTACTATCATGCGCAACCACGTTAAAGTACAGGCTATAACTGTGATGGGTGCCGATTGCAATGTTCATGATGAGGTTCGTGTTCAAAATTGTCTTGTACTCCCTCATAAGGAAATCAAGGTTGGTTTGGTTGGAGAAATTGTCATGTAAGAGTTTCCTGGTTCTACAGGTTATGAAGCAATCCTTTTACTATCTTTAAGCTATATCACATAGATTATATATTTATATGCCTAAAAAAAAAAAAAAAAGAGAGAGATTTGTACAATGTAGCTCATGATGTGTGTGTGAGACGGCGTAGATAACAAATTCGTTATAGGCTATCAAAGCCGTTGACTTCAAGTCTATCGTTTTGTAAATTTATGAAAAGTTCACATCATCAGTAGCTTGAGCGTGCATGGATACCTGCCACTCAGGAAGAGAAGTAGTCTCTTCTTCGTTAGTTGCATTTTGTGGGTTTGGCTTTTGCTCAATGTCGTCTGTGGTGAAATTTGCACTGTCGAAATTGTTTGTCGAAGTTGAATGGTTTTGTTGTAGAGATTGAAGTTGTTTTACTTCTTCAGCAAGCTTCTTCAATGACTCTTCTTGCGATTTTTGGATCATTTCTAAAGATTGTGGGAGGGTCTTGGCACTCATCGTATATACATCATGAGAAATCCTGGCAATTTCTCGATCTCGCTGATCGGAGTCACGACGCAAAGTGCTGAGGGTCTCTTCCAAGTCATCTAAAGCAGCATCCAGATCATCCTGGTTCTTTTCAGTTCTTTGTGAAAGACTTTTAGTGGTTTCAGACAAAGAGTGTAGTGTCTTTTCAGCTTCTTCAAATCTACGATCTAACGCATTCTTGTCCTCCTCGTAGGCATTAGGGCTTGGTGGCTCTAACATGGGGACAAGGTATTTCTAAAAAATAGTTAAAAAAAAAAACTTGAAAAGATTCTATTACCTTTACTAGTGTGTAAACAGACCATGCAAATCCACCCGAAATAACACCCATAATAAACCAGTCTCGCCAGTCCCTTGTAAGAGTGTTTTCGCTATTTGAGTGACTTGTGATCGAGTTATACAATGGGCTTTGAGCTAGTGCAAACGCATTTTGTATTTCGTCCTGGTTAAGACCTTTTGAACTCAGAAATTCTATTTTTTTAGCAACTGGAGCATCCATGATCGAATCCTGTCTCAAAAACTCTACTGCATTTTTTAAGAGGTCCTGTTTCATATTTAAAGACAAGATATTTGCATATGATGACCAGGAACCAAAAAAATAAACAAAAAATCAGAAGTACGAAGTACTTGTATGTGTAAGTAAACGACTAATGAATAAGGAATAGCTAATTATGTGAGATATGTGAAACCCCGTATATAGAAAATTGAATCTGAGAGTATTAAATGCTGATTAAAAAGGTGAACTAATTTCCTCCGTTGAAACGCTGGCTGTAGAAATAGCAAAGTGAATGACAATTAATGATAAAGCAAGTAAACATTCCTATCAAAAATCAATAAAATATAAAATAAAATAAAAAGGATTGAAATTATTGAAAAAATCTAAAAGGAAACAATATCTGTTAAAAGAATACTAACTTCTATTGTCTATACAAAATCATCATTCTCTACGACAAATGACAATACGCTCTTCATAGAGCACTAAAAAATAAAACAAAAAAAGATAACCCTTTTCTAATTCCCAAACCCAAAAAAATAAAATAAAGGTACTTATATAGTACCAAGTTGTGAAGTCTATGAGTTTCGTACTTGACGAATATTAAAATTAACACGTTTAGTCTGAATCCAACGGTTCCATTGATCGCTTTCTGTTAAAAGATAAGATGGGATCGTTGATGCAAGAATCTTGGGCACAGCTATGAGTTGGGTCAGTTAGTTTCGATTACGTCTTTAAAAGTGTCAAAAACATACCATGGAATGCTTGTCTTGAAGGTCCTGTCATAATCACAACATCCCCGCTATGCAATCTTAAAGCCATTGGAACCTCAGAGCGACTTGATCCTCCAATCAAGTAAATACAGTCTAGTCCTATAGAAAGGGAAATGAGAGGAAGTGTTAGGTCCTCTTCGGATCTGTCAACATGAGCGCTAAGTGTGTCACTGGGAGAGTAGAAGTTTACGATGGCAGCTTCGGCTTTCCATTTAGGATAGTCTGTGTAGCTTTGCACGAGATCTTCGACGAAACTCGCCAGCCTTGTTGGGAAAGGAGGAGACAACGCTGGGTCGGGATACACCTTTTCTGTCCAGTCATATTGTTCACCAAGGGTGACCCAACGAAGTTTTTTTTGAATAAGTCTTTCTACCGTAGCAGGTTTTGTAGGAGGGATTCCCTCTATGAGATCACACTCTCTACCATCGTGGTACCGTCTCCAAATACTGTCCGTTTCCAAGGGTAATTTATAGAAAGGGGACAAATTAGTCTTGTTTTTAGAATCCTGTAATTGTTCGAACATGATTTCTTTTAGTAAATATTTCTGCAAGTCCGGGGAAACGCAATCCTTCAGTATAATTAACCCAGGAACCTTGGAGTATGTGAAAACATCCGGACGTACAGCTTGTAGGTTATTGTAACCATAAGAGTTTGGATCCCTTGTATCTAACACTTCTGATAAGTCTGGTACAAGATCACCTGGACATTTATATCGCTTTTCTTGAACTCGGAAATTATTTACATTTTCCATCTTGAGAAGTGTCAAATATGAATGAATTGATACCTGAGAAGTTAGAAATCAGCGACAGTTTTTCCAACAAGATGGACGTTCTTCTTAACGCAACCACGATTTCACTATTCGAGCTTCCTGCTCGAAATTCTCAAAAATATTCCGTGTAAAAGAAAACTAAAAAAAAAAATTACAATGAATTAACTAAACTTCCTCGACTCGAATAATCTATTCAAGTTGTTTGTTAGAAAACAAGGACTTAGAACTTTGTGTCAGTAGAGAAAAAATAATCATACGACAGAAACACAAGTAAAACATAAATAGGATATATACTAATGAACATTAATAAGAAAATAATAAATAAGTTTTGCTCTAGAAAAGGATTTCTTGTTAATTTCCATTTTTGGTAATATCTTAGTGTCCCATTAATTTCAAGTCATTCGCAAGACAAACAAGTAAATAAACTAAATAAGTTAAGAAAAATAAAAATTGAAATAGAAATAGAAATAGAAAGAACTCGTAAGGTATATAGCCAGATGAATTGGTTTGTTAGCTAAATTCTCTGTTTACACTATGTAAATTTGTTTAAATGAAATTCCATGTCAAACACATATTCTTTCCAAGGTACAACTGATGCTGGCAGGATTTAAAACCTTGATTCATTTAATTGTTTAATCGTTTAAATAGAAAAAGACAAAGAATGATCACACGCACCGATTTTGGAATGTTTACGGCTTGAAACGCAAAGAACGAGTATGTGAAAGAAGGTCATCCTTTAAGTATTCTTGGGTTTCTTAAATACCAAGAATATATTCTGAGAGTTAAGATATAAAGTACACTTATAGTCAGTCCTTCATCACGCCTTTATTAAAATCATGTTTATTTATAAACAATACCAAAAAAAAAAAAAAAAAAAAAAAAGTGCCGAGTAGATTCTTTTAAAAGTTGTAAATACTCAATACAGAAGAGAAAGTTGGTTTTACTAAACACTTCATTATTATTATTTTTGATGTCGTAGAATAATTCATCAAAATTCCAAGAATGGTTGAAACGTGTCTGTAGACATATGAATCACAAACACGAAAACGTACCCTGTTTTTTGCTTGTACGCATTTTTTAACTAGTTTAGTTTAATTGATACGTTCTTTTCATCTATTCTGCACGACTAATATTGTTTCTGCTTACCATTTATAGTCACTACTTGTACAGTCAAAGAAAGAACCCATACACTTACATACAACTACTCATTCCGTTATCTTTTGTTAAGAGACAATCAACCTTTACAAAAGATCTATATAAACTTAACGAATATTTGAAAATAGTTTCGATCAATTGCTCTAATATTTGTTTATCAAAGGTTTTAGTTACTCGAAAAAGCACTAGTACTCAGGCGTAACGACAACTTCTAGATTCTTGTTTATTCTTGATAAAAAGAAATTTTCACGTCGCCTTTTTGATCCTTTCTACATATTTGCATTGACGATTATGTTTGTATGAGTCTTTATTGATCACCATAAGTATTTCCAACTTCATAATACTCTTACTCTTGGTATTTAAACGGTACTTGAATTTATTAAATTTCCAAAGAAACACATTGTAACTACAATTGATTGAATTTAATTGTCTACGGAAAGACTCATGACGGAGACGAATAATGCTGCTGAACCGATGGATCCTCCAAAGGAGAAGGGTGTAAACGCATTGTCTTCTAAAATTTATCAAAGGCCGAAATCTCAGATGTTTTCTAATGATCCAGAGACATACAAAGGTTCACATAGTCCAAGCAGATCTTTACCGTCTGAAAAGCTAAAGCACCAGCAAGAATTTGTGGTCACCGATAAGGTAAAGGGAGTAAGTGTTCCCCCTTTACTTCACAAAAGAAGCACATCTGTTGGGAACCTCAGCTCTAATTCTCGTTTATCTTCCAAAAATAACTTTGCACCCAGACAAAGAACACATTCCTCGTTTGTCCCACAAGACAACGAGAAAAGTGGATATAATCAAAGCCAGAAAATGAAAGAGAAATTAAAATCGATACCAGCTTCAAGGTTTCAAATAGCAAGACTACGTCTAAGAAGCTTTTGGGATTATGTTTGTTTAGAGTTGACTGCCTCTGATACCGTATCTGCTAATCCAATTAAGCAAACCATGGTCAAAAACTTCTTTGCTACTCCGCTCTCTATCGAAAAGACTCTTCTTTATGGATGGTTTGTTTGCGTCGATAGCTTCCTTTACGTCTTTACCCTTTTACCCGTACGTATTTTCCTATCCATTCTGTTTTTATTTCAGTTCATCTCTTATAATATCTTTTCTTTTTTATTCCCTCGAAGCAAAGTGACTTCAATGGCTTTTTCCAGGTGCAGGAAGATTGATCTTATAAAAATCTCCTTGCTACTTTGGACAAGTATATTAATCCGAAGACTTGACGTTAGTCGTCTATACCATGTTATTCGGGCGCAAGCTAGCATTCGTTTTTATGTTTTATATAATGTTTTAGAAATCGCGGATAGACTCTGTGGTGCTTTAGGACAAGACGTTCTTGATTGTTTGTTTGCCGACTACAATCTCTCCTTCCAATTTTTTGACATTTCAGGTTGGCTAAGGTTTTTCTACTACTACTTTATCTCTCTTGCGTACATGGTTTTGCATACATTGGTTCTTCTATATCAAATAGTTACTTTAAACGTAACCGTGAACTCTTACTCTAACGCAGTTCTTGCTCTATTGATGTCAAATCAGATGGTAGAGATTAAAGGATCTGTGTTTAAAAAATTTGAAAAAGAAAATTTGTTCCAGTTAACATGTTCAGGTATGTCTTCTCAAAAACTCAAAACTAATTCCATCAGATGTCATTGAGCGTTTTCAAATTACAGTCATGGCGATAGTCATTTTTTTTAGAAATTTAACAGAAATGTATACTACTTCCTCACTAGATGCCCCCTTAATAACTTTTGACCGTCTTAAAACATTGATGGCCCCATTTTTTTGGGTCATTGGTTCTGAATTAGTTGTGGATTGGCTCAAGCATGCTTTTATTATAAAGTTTAATTATGTTAAACCAAGTATTTATGGACGTTTCACTGACGTCCTTTGCCATGATTATGTTGCTGCTGGTGGACGTCCTACTCAGGTTCGTAAGGGTGATATCCTTTTTTCTATTCGAACCCATAACTAACCATCCTATAGACTATCACTGGAAAATCTCAGCACGTTGCGCGAAGAATGGGCCTTCCGGTTCTTCCGCTTGTCTGTGTTTTTATTCGGACCTCCATGCAAACGTGGAGTATGTTTCGATCAACACATTCCATGAAACAAGAGATTGCGAAATCTATGGGAGTACTTCTTCCGACCGGAGATAACTACATTTATTACCTACCAAAAGGACAGTCCCAAGTATATAACATCGAAAAAGAGCCTTCATGGGAATCAATTTTCTTATCCTGGTTACAAGGGAAGGCAGGGATTGCTATATTGTTCTTCATTTTGCTCATGCTAAAACTAATTTTGGGAATGGCTCTCCTTTCGTTTGCTCAATCTAGATACAGGTCTATGAAGGTAGGAGAAGAAGATACAGAAGCATGGGAAAAAGAACGCAAAACGAATAACTTTTTTAGAGGACATATAGTAAGAAAGCACTTGATATTTTTTGAGAAAACAAAGCTAACAACACTCTTGTATCAGGAAATTGACAATCCAACCAAAACTTATCTTAATAACTCCAAAGATGATTTGCCCGTCAGCAAGGGCCAACTACTCACATTAGAGAGATACTCAATGTTTTCTAAGCGTATATGGTAATTCAATGACCCTAATTCCCGTACCACTATTTTATTTTACGCACGACATGGCGATGGAAAAACGGAAGCAAAATGATTCATAATCATACACTAACATATTATTAATACTTTAAATATTCTTTTCTTTTCAAAAATAATGCAGTATCCACTTTCAAACTTTGAACACGAGCACAAACCACGTTAAACAATTAAAGCTGAGAAGCGTTTTCGAACGACTTCTTCACGTTTACTTCCGCGTTATCGCTGTTCTAGTATGTTGTCAGTATTCCTACTAATTATATCGACGTTTCCAGTATGTATAAGATCTTAAATTTAACTTACTTCAACAACGAGGTTTCTCTTGTTGTACATTCCATTAAGAGTCGTCTGTCTCTGTACAATTCCTAATAAATGTCGTGCTTCTTGCTCAAACTCATGAACCTGTGAAGGATCCGTGACATTCTTCAATCCTTTAAACTTGTCTCTAGTACGACGAAGAGTATATTCACGGTAAGTATAGGGAAACAATTTGGCTGTTTTCATCAAATCCCTATACAAATGGATAAAAGTCTGTCGATTGGAAGCCATGTTTGTTAAATAATTAGTCTGCCTTTGTTAAGTGGGAGTTGTGGTGTTTTTGTATTACTTCGCTGAATCATTAGGTGTAAAGGTTCTCTCCACCATCTATAGGATGAAGTGAAGATGAATTGGGGAATAAGAGTATTTACAGAATAAAAAAAAAACAAAGACTTATTTTATAAAAGTTGTGAAAGTATATAAATATTGTTGTGGCGAGAAACTCATGTCTTGGAAATGAACTTTTTTTACAAATATCTGCTCTTCGTAGCCATTGTAAGTGCCTTCGTGTTCATTCTGCTTTTCGGACAGTTACGAATCTTTCGACATACTGTCATTGGAAAGTTGAACCGATTGTTTTTGCTATGGCTCCCTAAAAAGCTATCTCAACTGGATAATAAATTGCTTCATGGTAAAGGCTATGTATTTTATCGCATATCATCAAACTACGTTTTCTTTCAAAAGCATTCTCTCGTTGTTTTGTTCTATTTATGTATCGTTAGCTTTTGCATTTTCAACTTCTTATACCATGGACGAACTATTACGAATCAGTACCATAAACTGGACTGGTTGCTTCTAGTTACTTCTGCTGTTTTACCCTATGTTTCTCTTTATATCGCAATCTATTCGGACCCAGGTGTAGTTACGCAGGAAAACTGGCAAGAAGCTTCAACCGCATACCCTTACGATTATAAAATCTTTTTCCCGCGCACTTGTGAAACTTGTAAATTTTTGAAACCGGCTAGGTCCAAGCATTGCCGCTTATGTAACTGCTGTGTCCAAAAGTTTGATCACCATTGCATTTGGATAAACAATTGCGTTGGACGCAACAATATTCGCTATTTCTTTCTGTTTTTACTTTCTACGCTACAAATTCAATTGTACGGAGTTTTCTGTATAGGATTCCATTTCAACAGAGTGCGAGATTCGACTCTCAAGTCTCTGTTAGTTTCCTGGTGGGCTGCTATCACCGCTGAAAGGCAACTTGGTTCCGTGTTTTTAATCTCAGTCTTCAGTAGCGTAATCGTGTTTTCTTTCTTGTGTTATGAATTCTATTTGGTCTACGCTGGATATACAACAAACGAAAGCGAGAAATGGGCGGATTTAAATGAACTTATTCTGCAGTCTAAAGTTTATATGCATTATAGAAACGGAGTTCAAATGCTAACCCTTCAAGAGGATGCTCCTGCAGATGCCACATTAACGTATTCACTTGGTCAGGTCCACAATATTTATGATCGAGGATTTTGGAATAACTTCAAATCTATATGTTTCCCATAAAAGTTCCCATGTGCCAAGAAATCCATGATGTAGTGGACTACAAAACTAAACCGCTCATAGCATAGGAAGTAAATCAAAGCAGGCCATTTTTCTATATTATTCTAGTATTTCTTTAATTTCAGGAATGACTGTCAATCCTGCTTCGTCTTGTTCAGGCAAAAGATCCGCCGAAAAAGCATTTGGTTCGTTTGAGTATTCTATTTCATCAAGTATATCACATAAAACATCTTCTGCAATCTGCTCTGTATATCTTTCCGATACTGGTCGCACATGGGATCCTAGCGATGACGGACGATGCGAAAATTGAGGACCAAACTGAAACCTAGCAATCCCCCCTCCGTACATGCTAATTGCAGGATAATAACCAAGAGAACCATCATTAAACGAATGTTGATTAGAGTTTATAGAATTAAGAGGCGTAAAGTCGAGTAAATTTTCAAATGCAGTTCCCATATACGAGCCGTTTTTGTATACTTTGATATATGAACCAGGTAAATATGCCAAATCCACATATTTAGCTTGTTCATTTGGTACCAAAAGTTCATCCATTGCTTTGCTTGGTACATAATCTGGCTGTTCAAAAAAAAGCTGTCCTCTATAGCGAATAGGAATTCTGTCATGATATATGTTCGAAACTTGAGCATCTGTCGGCGTAATCTTGGGCAAGGAAACATGAAACCCTATGATGTCTCCAGTTCCAAAAGACTCCATAAAAGCTCTTGGTCGAGACATGTGAACTTTTTGCCCTCCAACGTCTCGCAGTCCATAAGAGTAAGCGTCATAACCAACCGGAGCATCGAGTGGAGCTTCTCGCCTGGCAAGTCCTATGCGAACGTGGGACCCATCATGGCCACCTCCTTTTTCTACTTTTACCTCAAAATACCACTCTCCTTGGGTCATAAACACATTAGAACGTGCCATACGAAAACCCTTCTCCACTGTCGCCGACAACACCGAATGGTCAACTAACACAGGCGGTGATACATCGTGCCAGTTAATTCTTGCACAAAAGGGTGGAAGTTCAATTTCACGATACATAGTGGTTGGAAGATCACGAGCAGCTTCACAAGGAGTGTATCGAAAACCTCGAGAATTAAACGGAATTTCAGACAAAGAAAAGAAGCCATGGGATTTATTCGAGGATGCTTGGGTAAAATTGGGTAGTTTAGGGACAGTATTGAAATCCGAAGGTTTCCAAGGAGGCGGTTTGTAGCGTATAGGAATGGTGGGAACATCTTTTTTCTTGTTGAAAGCATGCGGTGCGGAGTTATTAACACGCTTCTGTTCTTTCTTAGGTTCTTTAAATTCTTCCTTTAACCTTGCGGAAACAAGTAAGGAGGAGTCCATCTCGGAAAACCGCCGCTTTGGCACGGTTGCACCAATTTTTTGGAAAGGGACAATGTAACCAGAACGAAAAACAAATAAGTTCGGATTACTTAAAGAATATTCAGAGTTCTGATTCCTTAAAGACTCATCCTTTGCACTATATGTATCTTTATTAGCAACCAAGCAACTTCCTAAAGTAGCTTGCCAAGTTTGCACTTTCTCACGGTCGGGACACAACAAGTGCCAATTTTCTTCTATATAGGGGATTAAATCCTCCTTCTTTTTGAAGAAGAATTTGTCGGCAGCGAAGTTCCTTTTATTAGCGGCATTCAAGTCTTCAATAGGCAGATCAGGATGGCTATCGGTATAACGCTTAACTACCAAATTTGCCATCGAGGTAGCCGTTACGGCCTTCCAAGCTGACACCCCTCGTTCCAAACTCTCGAATCCATCATCGCTGCAAAGTCGGCAAGTGAAGGTATAGTTCGTGGAAAAGCCAGTCATACTGTTGCACGGGGGTGTCAAGCAAGAAAGATGGAAAAAGTTTTGACACGTACGGCATTGAGCATCAGGGAATTTTAAATTGCGATCTTTTCCACAATAGCAGTATTGATTCTGATCGTTAAGAGTATGTGTATCGTCCCAACTAAGACTCGAAGGGTCATAAGGTAGTGCTTTCGAAAACGACATGTTTGTGCAATGATGTATCCTCTCTTAAACAGGCCCAATTCCTTATTATTGATTGCAACAAAAATCCATGAATAAATGCAAATGCTGTCACTTTATGAAGGGAGGGAAATGCTAATATACCACAATGTCAAAAACGAAAACCAAATCCTTTCCTTTTTCTTTTCAAGTGTAAACGTTCAAGAAAATCCAAATAGCACTATGCTTCCAAATTGATTACAAAAGCATTCAAAGCAGCGTCACAAGAATGAAAAACAAAAACTGTAAGTAAAATGCGAGATTTTTATATATAAGAATTTCGTTTTCTAATACAAAAGCAATATGTCCTTCAACTTGACTTTTCAGCGAACATATATAGTTGTAAGTTTCTGCAACTGAGTATGAATTGGGAGGTGGAATGCGTTGGGTTAGGCTACTTACTGGATTGCTAACCATCGTTAAGCTTCTTGACAAAACATAAACTAGATCGTTAAGTTATATTAACGTAGTTGGGGCAGCTGTATATCCAAGTCTTGCCTGTTCGATTAAAAACTTACCTTCAGCATAGCTCTTTGCTGCGGCATTAAAACTGACAAACCAGTAGTTCAAAATATGCCGAAAGCACCTAAACCAAGATTGCAGCATGCTCCTTTATACAAGGATATTGCTGATTCCTCTGAGACTGGAATTCTACGACAAAAGTCTAGTAAGCAAAAGAAAGGAAGAGAAAATGTAGACAGAAATGGATATATGGACGCGAAAGCATCCAAACGGGTTTTGCAATTAGCCCGAGAGCAACAAGAAGAGCTAGAACAGGAAGAATCTGAAGGAAAACCCAGAAGTCTTACTGAGGAGGTCGGGTACCCTCAATCATCCTACGAGAAAGATACCCTTGAAAATCCGGTCATTGAGCCAAGAGATGAAGATGATGACTCAGATCAGTCGGATGCTGCTAGCAATGCAAGCGACAGTGAAGAATTTGGCGAGGATGATGAGTATGAAGAATTAGATATAGACGAAACTGATCGCAAGCTTTTTGATAAATTTTTCCCTGAAAGCAATGATCAAGAGAAAAGCGATGCCCCTGAAGAGCAGTCAACGAACCTTTCTGATTTAATTATGCAGAAGATTAGCGAAGCCGAGGCTCGTTCACGAGGTGAACATATTCCTACTGCTGAGGAAGAAGAAGAAGAGGCAATGCCCCCTCTTCCCCCGAAAGTGATTGAAGTCTTTTCGAAAGTAGGTGTTTTATTGAGCAAATACCGCTCAGGAAAAATTCCCAAGGCATTTAAGATCATTCCTACCTTGTCGAATTGGGAGGAAATTCTGTATATTACACGCCCCGATACATGGACTCCTCATGCTTGTTATGAGGCCACCCGTATTTTCATTTCGAATTTAAAACCCATCCAAGCTCAGCACTTTTTGAATGTGATTATTCTTGAGCGAGTTCGTGAAGATATCCAAACTAACAAAAAGCTAAATTATCATCTTTATATGGCTTTGAAGAAGGCTTTGTATAAGCCCTCGGCTTTTTTCAAAGGATTTTTGTTTCCTCTTGTTTCGGTAAGTTGAATTTTTACTCACCATATTCTAATTTTTGCTTAGGAAAACTGTAGTTTACGAGAAGCTGCCATCGTTGGTAGTGTTTTGGTAAAAGTTTCCGTACCAGTTCTTCATTCCGCTGCTGCTTTACTCCGTTTAACGGAATTTGATGTTAATGGTGCTAGTTCCGTCTTTATTCGAATCTTATTAGACAAAAAGTATGCATTACCTTACAAGGTTTTGGATTCCCTCGTTTTCTATTTTATGCGCTGGAAAGCTTTGGATCGTCCTTTGGCTGTTCTAGAGCATCAATCGATGCTTGTTTTTGCTCAGCGTTATAAATTTGACATTACTCCTGAACAGAAAGATGCACTTTTGGAGGTCGTACGCGTCAAAGGCCATTACTCCATCGGCCCAGAAATTCGTCGAGAATTGGTCAATAGTGCTAGTCGTGGCGAAGAAATCCCTCAGGAGATGGAAGAATATTGATAGGTTTTGCGGGTTGGTATATTGGGTTAATTATATAATACTAGTTATTTTTTGGTATATGTTAATATAGTATCTTTTTTTGGTCTTTGAACACGGCAGAACATATTGCATTAATTATTTAATTATCTAAAGCATTGTAAGGCTAAGAATAAATAAGTTAGATGTCATTTCGCTTCTATTCTTGCAGAACAAATTTTTGTTCATACGTCAAAGGATATCCATCACAGACAACCATGACTTTGACTTTACGTCCACGGCAAGGCTCAGGAATTTCCAACTTGCAAGTAAGTGAAAGTTGAAGTCGATCTGGTTGTCCTTTTCCAGACAATGATACACGACGAATAGCAAACAATTCTTTTGTAGCCAAGTCAACGACTAGGACAAAGAAACCTTCGGTTTGTGGTTTAGGGAATCGAGAAGAAATGGTGAAGTCAGGATTCAAAGGTTTGTTTTTTCGGCGCAAAGAAACATGCAGTTTTTGTGACTCTCTTTGAGATACTCGGATATCTAAATCAGGATAGGCCATAAGCTTTTCAATCGCAGCTGACAAATCGAAAACATTCTCATTCTTCGACAATCCCTTCTCAATATTTTCTCTCGATTTACCAGCAAACTGATATACTATCTTCATAGCATCTTTCTCTTCATTACAGTGCAACCCGGGTAGTGCATTTCTATACTGTTCATCGGGATAACAAGCCTGCTTAAAACACTGCAATAAAGTCATATATTGCAAGCAAACTTGTGAATATCCTAATTCGGCAGCAACATCAATGTATGCTTGAATGATACGAATAACCTGGTCCAAAACTTGAAGAGTATCTGTAATATAATCGTCAATAGGGAGTTTCAATCTACCAATGTGAGCCTGCGACAAGATAAATGCTTTCACATGCGGATCAACCATATTTAGCTGAAGGCACTCGGCTGAATACTTAAGACCCTTATTTATTTCCGCGTTAATTAAATCTTCGTTGTGTCGAACAGCTAGATCGTCAAACTCGGTAGCTTCACAAAGAAGTTGAAGAGCAAAATGAAAATCAATCTCTTCTTTAACTTTCTGTACATAATTTCTCACAGTATGGTGGAATAAGTAATAATAACTGACAATTTTTCCTAAAGAAGTAGGTGCATAAGTTTCTTCATCCACACGATAGATACAAGCAGACTTCTCGAGTTCCGTAAATCCGTTGACAACTAAGTCAGATAAAAACTTATCTACACTGTCCTGATCATCACCTTCAGCGCCGTAATAAACGGGATTTTGATAAACTCTCCGATAAAAGTAAGTCCATGTCAAAAAGTCCAGTGCGCTCTGAATACTGCCGATAGTGCCGCTAGCTAACTCTGCGTTTAAATGATTATCGAGTACTTTATGCAGATAAGACTCAACTGGAAAACCGCTATGCAGAAAGTGTTTATAAAATGATTTTTTAGTGTCTTGCACGAATATACGAGCAACACCAGAGCTATCGAATTGAGGTCGTCCTGCACGTCCAAGCATCTGTAAAACATCTGTAATATCCATGTCTTTATAGCCTTCAATTTTAACGTCGTAATACTCGGTACCTTTCACAATTACTAAATGTGCTGGAGTATTTACACCCCAAGCCAAAGTACTAGTAGCTATGAGGATTTGAATTTTGTTGTTCACAAATAATTCTTCAGAAATTTTACGATCGGCTTCAGTAAGACCAGCATGATGTAGAGCCATACCAAACGGTAAGGCCAGCTTCAAATTCTTATCTTCGACTCTGGAAAGAATCATTTCTAATTCTGTATCGTCCATATGCAAAAAGCGACGTGGATTATCCTCTAAACCACAGTAGGCAATTAAGTCTTTCGCGGTAAGTCTGGTTTGTCGACGAGAGGAAACAAAGATCAAAACAGGCTGTGTGGGAGAATGCGTTTTAATAGCTTGAAAAGCAGGTTTATTCATGGACATCATACGTGGACAATAAGCCCTTCCAGGAAAGCCATCTATGTATATTTCCAGAGGTACAGGACGTACAGAATGTCTAAAGTTAAACAAGCCATCCTTAATATTAAGCCAATCCGCCAAATCGTTAGCGTTCGCAACAGCAGTAGAAAGACCAACAATCCTGACACCTTTATTTGTCTGTGAAGCTATATAATTCATACGAGAAACAATCATTTCCAAAATAGGACCTCGATCACTTCCCAACAAATGAATTTCATCAAGGATAACTAAAGAAACGTCTTGAACATATTTCCTAGTTTTCCAACTTCTGGATATACCATCCCATTTTTCCGGTGTTGTAATTATAATATTCGCCTCCATGATTGTCTTCGTATCAAGGTTAGTATCACCAGTTAACTCAATCATGCTCAAACCCATTGGCTCAACTAATCTGGAACCCCAATCGCTCATTCTTTCTTTAACTAAAGCTTTCATAGGAGCAATGTAAATAACCTTGTGAGATGGATTCTTTTGAATAGCACGCCAAGTAGCAAATTCCGCTGCCATCGTTTTACCAGATCCAGTAGGAGCACCAACAAAAACATTTGTATCGGTATGATATACTGTATGAAAGAATTGCGTCTGTACTGCATTAAAGAATGCAAATCGGTTTCCACAAATGTACTCCAATACGGGATCATGGAGAGCAGTGATCGGTAATGGTTGTAAATCCAGAAGTTCAGTTACGGGATTAGAATCCTCATGCAAAATCACGTTCGATAATGAAACTGGAGTGACGGTTTCTGCACCAATCCATCTATCGGACATCGCAACAATATATAATTGAGAGGGTAAAGGATCAGATACAGGAATCGTGAATGACATTAATTGCGGAGAAGTAGAGCTCTTCTTGTTTAAAACGAGGAGCTCATGGTACAAAATTTCCAACCCGTCGCTATCTTCAACAAATATCCAAAACAACTGTGAATTGCCATGATATTTCATATCCCATGTGAACTTTGCATTAATTGTCAAAGTTAAGCGAAGTACATTTTTAGTCAAAGGTAACAAGTCAGCTTCCACTCCAAGTAAAGGTAGTCGAGAGACACAGTGCTTAATAGTCGGTCCCATTTTCTTATTGTGAACATAATCTCCAAGCTCATTGGAAGACATTTCGGAAAGGTCTTCAACAGAAAGGTTACTGTATTGATTTTCAAGTTTAGTAGCGATATCATTTGGAAGATCGAATTGTAATAATGGATGTTCGAACCCCCATTGTCTCTTTTCTATTGACTTGCTCAGGTTTAAAATGGTAAACGCTGATGCCCAAGCACGAGATAAAGCAATTTCAAACAGAGATCGTGAAATTCGTCCGGCATTTTGCGCAACGTAATTCGTGTCAGAAGTTAAAGTAAAATCCTCGACACGAGCTTTGGAAATATAGCTTTGCAAGATAACGTTGACTTTACCCGCGGTGTTAGAAATGCTATCTCTTAACTGGCATGGAGCGTTGCGTTCCATTAGCGATTCTAACTCTTTATGTTCGTTTTCTCTTGATTTTATTTGTGAAAATTCGGTACACTGGCTTAGTAAAGAAAGGATATCGGCTTCCGACATCTTACTTTTTAATAAACCATTCAGGGTGGTAACGGTTTGATATGAAATATAAAAATGGGAAGCAATTCTTCCTAAATCCTTAGGTGATAAATAACCGTTCCGCTTATTGAAAATAATCATTTGATTCTCAGCCAATCTGGAAGCAGCCAACTCAATCAATTCTCGTCGTTTGCTGCCCAACAAAGGATCATCTAATAGTTCATCGTAAGCAATTCCATATATTAGTGGATTTCGTCGCATTCTGATGTACAGATATGTGTAACCTAACCAAGTTACAGCTTCATCTACATTCGTAACAGTACCTAGAGCAATTTCGGCATTTAAATTATCAACAAGCCGTTCAGTAAACCGAGATTCAATCGGCGTCTGTTGGGTGACAACAGAAACATAATGAGAAAGCTTATCATGAGAAGTAATAATAAATGCAGCAGCAGAATTTTCAAATTGGGGACGACCAGCACGACCAAAAATTTGCAAAACATCCAAAACGCCCAAATCAACAAAAGAACCCTTCTCTGGATTATACAATTGAGTACCTTTAATAACCACAGCATAAGCTGGAAGATTGACACCCCAAGCGAGTGTAGCTGTACAGCATAAGATCTTTAGTACACCCTGTGAAAAAAGACGCTCTGTTAAATGTCTATCAGAACGTAACATACCAGCATTATGGATGCCGATACCATACTTGAAAAGTTCTCTTAAATCCTTGTTTTTAGATTTCCCGACTTCCCTTTGAAGAAGTCCGTACTTTTCGTGAGTTGAGCAGTCAAGATAATCAGCAGCACCCTCGTGAAAAAATTGTTCTCTAATTTTATTAGCAGATTTTACTGTTTCTTTTCTAGAATGAACAAAAATCATCACTTGACGCCCTTCGCGAACGAGTTTAAGAACTTTATCGAAACAAGCTTCATCAACATTTGAACTCACTACTTTCGGCGACCCCTTGGCACCAATGAAATGATGCTCGATAGGACATGGACGAAATGCAGAAGAAAAGTAAAACAGTCCTTTATATCTGTTAACACCCAAAAAGTCTGCTACGTCAAGGTAATTGGGAAGAGTCGCAGATAAACCAACGATTCGAATCATCTGCTGACTTGTTTCTACAAATCGCTGAGTCCGAGCAACTAGTGACTCAATTACAGCACCACGGTCATCGTGGAGCATGTGAATTTCATCGATAATAACCATCCGAACTTTTTCTGTTAACTGACTATCACCTACACTCTTTCGGGTAACGACATCCCATTTTTCCGGAGTAGTAACGATAATTTGAGTTTCTGCAATTTCACTTTTGGTAAGTTGCATATCACCAGTCAATTCCCTCGTCTTTATTCCTAGCCATTTAAGACGTTTATCCATCTTTTCTACGACCTCTGCAGCTAAAGCTTTCATAGGTGCGATATATATTATCTTAAAATCATCTTTCAAAACCCGCAAGCGTTCTTCGTTTTGCTCGTCCAAACCCAGTTTCTCAGTAAAATTAGATATAGTTTGAAGAATAGTAAGTAAGGCAACATCAGTCTTACCGGCACCCGTAGGGGCGCAAATAAGCATATTTTCGTTCGTCTTATAAGCAATAGGGAATACAAGTGATTGGATCCTATTCAAAGTTTCATAACGAAGAAAAGTTTTCCTACATAAAGTATCTAACGAACTTATAAGTATTGGGGATTCGCTTTGCATAGGAGGTACATGTTTTGCGGGAGGGACAACTATTTCCTCATATTTGTCATAATCATCTCGTTGACTTCCAGCTGGTAAAGCAAATTTTTTACCAATGACACTAATAGTGTTTCCGAGCCTTTTGTCACCATAAACATGGGGATACTTTTCGGTTTCAAATAATTGTTGTCCAGTAAATAGTGGACCGCGGTTATCTTTGGAGCGTGTAAACTCCGGCCCCTTCGTTCTTATAGAATCCAAAAGGGCTTGCCCATGGGTAGCAGTTGACTCTGAAGACGTTTTCTCATTCATGGAGAACGACTGACTAGTATACTCTTGCAAAATCGACGAAGACTTCTCAAAAATCTGAGATAACAGTTCAACATTTTCAAACCCTAGGAGATTTAATAAATCCTCTTGTACAGTTAATTGATCATTTTCGGATTGAAGAGCCTCAATAATTGAGTCGAATAAGCTGGACGGGCTCAACTCCGCATCCATAGTAGAGCAAACTATTTCACATTTCTCCTTAAGCCAGTTTAGACTAGAAATCGTATCATTAACCCATTCATTTTCTTGTACGGGTATCTTTTTGGGTTGAAAAGTGTAAGTCGTATCCAGAATATTTTGAATGGCTTTTCCAACAGAATCAAGTGAAGAATTCACATTTTCTGGTTCAAATTTATATATATCATCTTGAAAACAATTCGAATCCAGCTTTTCTAAGCGATTCGTTACATGCTTGAGCGCTAATTCCATGTAAGCCAGTAAAAACGAGTTTTTCGATTTCTCAAAAAAAACAGGTTTCTCAATTTCCTAATTATGTTACGGAAAGACTTCCTTACAATTATTAAGGAAATAGATTTAAAAGCTTGTAGAAACTAGTGAATGGCTTTCTACTTGGCAACATTTTTCAGTCGACTTAGATATAGCATTTTGCAGTGCAGCGCGGTATTATATGATGTGTTATTAAGTATGATAGAAACAAACTTGGTCGGAACCAGAACGCTATAACTTGCAGCATTAAGAAGAAGATGAAGCTGTATTCAATTTCCATTCTTCGGTTTGACCCAAAGCCAGTTCAGTTGCTATGTACAGCTTCAGACCTTTCGAGTTTCTCCTTCTTTCAGAGGTCTACGTATGGAAATCATTGTATTTGATTTGTTAGCTAACAGTGTATGAAATTAGTGTTGGAGAATTTATGACATTTTTTACGAAAACGGTTACGGAAAGAACCAGTCCTGGACAAAGACAAGATGTTGAAGAATCAGACTACGTGTTTCATGTTTATAATCGTTCAGATGGTTTGTGTGGTGTCATTGCAAGTGACAAAGAATATCCTTTACGAGTTGCATATACCTTGTTGAACAAATTACTAGATGAGTTTGTTACAAAAAACCCTCGCCAAAAATGGGAGTCCGGAGCAGTTACCCTTCCATTCCCAGAGCTGGATACGTACTTGTCTAAATACCAGGACCCTAAACAGGCAGATACAATTATGCGTGTGCAGCAAGAATTGGATGAGACCAAGGATGTGCTTCATAGAACTATTGAAAGTGTTTTAGCTCGTGGTGAGAAATTGGATGATTTGATTGCTCGTAGCGATAATTTGTCCAGTCAATCCCGTATGTTTTACAAGTCTGCAAAGAAGCAAAATTCCTGTTGTCTTATCCAATAGATTCTTATATGATTTGGAGAAGATCACATTTTTTGAAGACACCATTCCCGTCACGTATATAAATAATGAGAACATTCTGATTACTTAATAATTAAAAGCTTTTTTATTAAGAGTTTATTTATTAAAAGATATAGAAGATAAGGATGTTTACGCATAAAAGTTCTTTGACAATGGTTGTTATAACAAAAACTGACGGATCATTACGAACAGACCAAACATTGGGGAAGCCCAACTGTTTGTTTTACTTTCCCGCTCCTGGCAATTTTTCTCCCTGATTCCTTTTGAAAATAAAAGTTAGGTTTCAGGTTATTGGGCATTCATTGCTTACAAAATGATCTGGTTTATAAATTCCATAGAACATCGCAGTAATGATTAAGAGACTATTTCTTCTTTTTTCTGATATACAATCTGGTTTACGACCCTTTCAATGTTAGCCTTCTTCTACGAACGTATATCATGTCAGGAAGATAAGTCTTCCTCGTCATTTTTATCGTGTTGTTAATATTTGGAGTATTCATTAATTTTTCAGTTAGAAAGCATGTTTCAAGGAAATGGTAGCCCACGTTTTAGAGCATTCATGTTATGGTTCTTAATGCTGTGGAGACACCGGTTTGTTCTTGTCATTGTTCATTAAAAGAAGAGAATGGTTGTGGAAGCGCATCCATATGAAATTTTCAGCCTTAAGTCGATTCAAACATACAGAAATGAATGGCATATATATATAATTCCTTATCTCCCAGGAATTGGTTTTTTTGATTTGTAATATAATGCTTTACAGGTTTTAAACTCAGTTGTACCATCTGGGTTTGGTGTTTGTTCTCCGTCTAGTGTATAGTATTTGCCTTGAAATACTTGTATATCCTCTGGAATTGACAATTTTGGAAAATTCAATCGATTCTCTTTGTTTTCTTCCATGTCTATAATGTAGGATGTTGTAAAAGGCAAGTTGGGGTTGTATCAAATCATTTGTTTACATCGGTCGTAGAAATGTAAACAGTGTTCTATCATCAAATATACAATACGTAGGGTTTAATTAAAAGATACAAAGTAATTTCAAATATACAATACTGAACAAGAGATAAATATAAAAAAAATCCAGGTTTCTTGCTATAAATTGCGAAATTCGGTTTATTGTCAGAAAAGGCCATCTTTAATTCATGAAGTTTCATATTGTCACTCTTAGTTTACCTTACTTTTTTTTAGAAAAGAAAATTAAATTTAGAAGAGACCGACTTTCACAATTAGCTAGTTTTATTAATTATGCACTTGTTTACTAACGAAAGTGCAAGCGTCATCAGAAGTAGATTTCCATGATGATGAAGGTTGATAGAAAGAAATTAAAAATCATCTTTACTTCAATTTTGAAGATTACCAGTAAAACATAAAAACGAACAAAACCGATAATTTATTCAATATTTATTTATTAACGGGTTCCTAGCTAACACGTTAAAAATCTTTGAGAAAAGAATCGCAACACAGTATGTATCTGTTACGGACTGTAGGGAGGCCCATAGTGGACACGAAGGATGAGTGAATATGACACAGAACAACAACAAGCTTGAATAACATGAGTAATTTGGAGGGTAAGAGACTAAAAGCAACTTTTGCATGTCGAATACTAACGTATTAGCATCATTATTTCATTTAAAGGTGCGAAATATCCCTTGCTTCACTAACAATGGGTAGTTTGCCGCCAAATCGTTGAATAAACAATCAATAAAGGCATCAAAGGAAGAGCGAACAGAACGTGAAAAAGTGAAAAAGGTATGGAATGATTTATGAGAAAACTTTGATTACCATTGATCACCCTTTCTAATTACGATAACTGGATTCAATTGATGTGTCAAACATTGGAGAGCGCGAATTACAGGATAGAAAAGCTTACAATTTCGATAGGCAATCATAAAAGGGAATCAAGAAGTCGCTCAAATATATGCTTCGAATGCCATTCGTAAACAGCAAGAATCCCTTAATCTTTTGAAGTTGTCATCACGGATAGATGCGGTTTCTAGCAGACTGCAAACGGCAGTAACCATGAGATCTGTACGTTATTGTTTTTTTTTGGATTGAATTTAGATGCTAACATCAGATAGGTTTCGGGAAATATGGCTTCTGTAGTTCGTGGCATGGATAAAGCCATGCAGAGCATGAATCTGGATAGGGTAAGTAGTTCGATGATTATGCATAAAAAGTTAGTGTGCAATTTTTTAACCAAGGATGATAGATTTCTCAAATTATGGATAAGTTCGAATCTCAGTTTGACGACGTTGATGTTCAAACGGATTACATGCATAAAGTAAGTATGGCTACATGTGATCTTTTTTATTAATTATTTAGACAATGGGTTCTGCCACAGCTGTCGATACTCCCCAAGAGAATGTCGACCTATTAATGCAATCCGTTGCTGACGAGGCGGGTTTGGAATTCAATCAAAATATGAATAATAACCTTTCTGTTCCTCAAGACAAGGTTCCAAATTCTACGCCAGCTGTTGAGGATGATAATCTTCAAGAGCGACTAAGAGCCTTGCGGTCATCATCTTAAATTATTTGAATCCATTGATTTTGTCATCCGTACGTGGATTCCTTTACAGATTTTTCTTTCTTTTCCCTACCGTTTCTTTTTTCTTCCGTTTACCAAAAACTAATGAGCAATCATTTGTAAATAAATCTAAAAGTTGACTAGATTTATGTCTTGAGTATAATGAATTATTCTGTTTTGTGTCAATCTTCGTAAAGTCCCTATTGCTTTAACAATGTATGAAATTCTGATGCTATTTATTTTTTATTTTCTGTTTTATGTTGCATTGCAATCAGCTTTTGTATATAAGTATTTTTACTTCATCCAGAAGTTCTTAATATTAGACACATATATTACCTTCTACGCTTCGGCTTCCAACGCCCTTCAAGATAGACAATTCCATGAGTTACTCCTTTTCCTAGTGTTTTATTTACTTCTGAAAGTAATTTATGTTTATTATACAAGAATAATTTTTTCCTTTTTGTTTGTTTTAGGTTGAACGCGTCTTGGCGTAAAAAGTATTGAATTTGAAGAATGCAGGCAGAATTCAAATCTAGCATCAACGATTTTTTGGAGCAACTCCCAAACCATGCGAGGCTGTATCAAAAACCAGCGGCTTGCCTTGCCGTTTTTCGATTATTACCGATTTTAGCAAGACAGTATGTAATGTCTATGCTGTTTAATCCTATGCCAGTTGCCCTTTCAGACTTTGACTTATGGACGAAAATGTCGAGTAAAGTATATCAATCTGAGTCATTTAACAAACTCGTGAGCATGCACATTTTTCAATTCGATGGACAACATATAATTCTTAACGACGAATTCCGAAAACAATTCATTACTGCTCTCACCGGTGGGTATGATTGTACATAAATTGATTAGATAATGGTTTATTAACGCTTTTAGTGGTAATCATAATTCCTTTGGTGTTCCCTGTATCGATGAAGACAAACACCGTGTGGATTTAGACTTTCTAGACAAATACGCAAAGGAGACTTGGGAAACTATTTTACATTTCATGGTAGGAACGCCGGAGGGAAAATATCCTGGAGAAGGAGTCCTAAGCTTACTTCGAAGAGGGGGTTTAATGACTGGTCCCAAGAATCAATTACGAATCACGCACTCAGGTTTTCAATTTCTTTTGCAAGACATTAATACGCAAATTTGGACTCTCTTACTTGAATATCTCAAGCTTTCCGAAGATACGCATATGGATCCTATTCAAGTATTACATTTTCTATTTATGCTGGGAAGTTTGGAATTGGGAAGAGATTATTCTGTCGATTTCTTGACTGACACACAACAAATTATGCTGGAAGACTTACGAGAATATGGGATCGTGTATCAAAGGAAAACGACATCAAAGCGATTTTATCCAACGCGTCTTGCAACGAGCTTAACCACTGATGCTCACTCACTAGAAGGAGCTAAGAATGATAATGATGCCGACAAGGGGTTCATTATAGTAGAAACAAATTATCGCTTATATGCTTACACAAGCTCGCCATTACAAATCGCTATCATAGGATTATTCGCCAATCTAAGAGCGAAGTTTTCAAATTTAGTCGTTGGTGTAATTACTCGTGATAGTATTCGAAGAGCTTTAATGAATGGGATTGCCGCTGAACAAATTATCACATATTTGTCTACGCATGCTCATCCACAAATGAAAGCAAATGTAAGTAATCATATGCATCTACAACTATCAATATATTAACTAATATCGGAATAGGTACCTTTACTTCCTCCTACGTTAGTGGATCAGATCTATTTATGGGAATTAGAAAAGAACCGTCTGAAGGCGACACCAGGTATTCTTTTCCGGGATTTCCTTACTGACATGGAATTTGACCAGGCCGTTGAATATGCAAAAGAATTGGGTGTCCTCGTCTGGGACAGTTCGATCAAACGCATGTTTTTCATTACCACAGCTGGTGCGCAGCCCATGATTGCCTTTTTGAAAAGGAAAGCTGTAAAATAAAAACCGCAATCTGGTAACTACTGATGTATTACGAGTAATGAATATAAGCATTCTTCACTTAAAAGTGCGAGTCAATACCGAATAATCCAGTTTAATATGACATCTTTTTAGCTATTGATTTCGTCCATTATTTAAAAATAGAAAGCTTACACAATTTTCAGAAAAGCATGTGACAGTTAACAATTTCGTATCTCAATGATAGTTGGCAGAGCTGAGTTTGTCAAAGCAGATTTACTGATTTGATTTAATTCAAATGACTTATTTTATTCTATATGGTTTTAAAATAGAAAGCACAGTGTCATGTAAACAAAACAATACAGAGAGCTAGAATTGGTGCCGATTTTGAAAAAATAAGTTTCCGTTTAAATACAACTGCTTGATTTTTTATAAAACAATTCTTAAAATCAAGTCTTCGACTTTCTTATCTCTTCTCACATAGCAATCATTATTAACCAACGTTATATTCGCGTTTGACCACATCCAAGATACCCAGAGGTTTGCTTTTTTGCTACAGATTACTTTGTGATCTTTTCATCCATACTAGAGACTTGTTTTATTTTAAATTATCAAAAATGGCTACTAATCCAGGGAGCTCGAAGGTTTTAACTTTTGTTCGTTCAGTTTGGCAAGATTTCAGGAACAGTAACGGTTTTGATGCTTGCTTGCTAGGTGATATCCAAATCCTCAGAGCAATCCCCGGATTTGTAGAATGCTCTTTAAAGCTAGAAAACCGCCATTTGAATAGAATGGGAAATTTGCATGGAGGATGTATTGCCGCCCTTACTGACTTGGGTGGAAGTTTAGCTCTTGCGAGCAGAGGATTATTCGTTTCTGGTGTTTCAATTGATATGAATCAAACATTTCTGAAAAGTGGTGGAACTCTTGGTTCCCAAATTCTCCTACATGCCAAATGCGACCGACTGGGTTCCAATATCGCTTTTACGAGTGTTGACTTTTTGACAGAAGCAAAGGAAACTTTTGCCAAGGGAAGACACACCAAGTTCGTTCGTAATGCTTTAAACGACCCGAGAAACTGCTTTGATTTGAACTAAACCAGCGTAAACCGTATGTAACTTACGAACTTCGTGCCTGATTTCCCTTTTTACAGGACGCTAATGATACTCTTGAGAATGGATTTTGTTTTAGTTCTCAATTATTTTTTTACCTTTCACATATTACAAAAATAGAGAAAAAAAAAGAAATAGATTTAACGACCTTCATTCCGCTTGCTTACGAGTTTAGTCAATCTCCCATGTGGTTACTGCAATTTTCCTACTCATGACCCAGTTCCCTCATCTTTGGGAAAATCGTGGTTCAGTGGCTTGATGATAATCTAGAAGATGGAAACATTGTCTCCTGAAGGAAGTTTTTGGATTTTTGGATATGGTTCCTTGATTTGGCACCCTCCTCCGAAGTATGATTTAAGCATTCCATGCTACCTTCGGGGATATGTTCGACGATTTTGGATGAAAAGCGAGGATCATCGAGGTACCGTGGAGAAACCAGGGCGTGTGTTGACCTTAATTCCTTACGAAGAATGGAAACAGTTTTCAGATTGGGCTCACACGCCTTACGACGAAGGATGTTGGGGAATGGCATTTCGTATTCCTGCTCCCTTCGCAAAAGAAATCAGAGCATACCTAGATGATCGAGAAATCAATGGCTACACTCCTCATGATGTTCCGGTGTATGCTCACATCGGAGATAAAAAACCCATCCTTGACCATTGTCTCGTTTATGTGGGCACCTCAAATAGCCCCCAATTTCAACCATCAGAGACTGTCGAGGAATTATCTGATCTTATTTCCACCAGAAAAGGAAAGAGCGGACCCAATTATATATATCTTTTCGAACTTGCCAATGCTCTTCGTCATCTTTCACCTGAGTCCAAAGATACCCATGTTTACAAATTAGAAGCCGCAGTGAAAAAGAAACTTCAAACATTTTAACAATTACTGAACATTAAAGCTTCAGATTATATTTAAGCCTGAGCTATGGAAATGGTATTTGAAATTCTTTGCTATCATATGTTTTGGCTACGTATTTATAGTTCATAAATTTATAGATAATAATAAGAACTAGTTATTCATAGAGGAAATTTGATTTTCGTTCTTGCAATATAAATAACCATAGATATACGGTAACTTATATGTATGACTGGAAACACATTCAACGATTGATTCTCTTATAAGTTCATATGTATAGCATATTCATGTTGAGTCAAGTACGATGTAAATATTGATTAACCTTCATTAGTTTGGACGTCATTTTTTCCCTTTTGATTCCGTACATGTTCAATATACTGACACAAGGTTTTTACGGAGGAGAATTTGTAATAATTATAGGCATCTTTATACTTCCACACTGTTTTTTCGGTTCCGTGCATCGTTGGATTATGCTGAATATCAGCATTTAAAGAAAAACCAAGATCAAGATACCATTGCAAATTGAGACGATTCGTTAGTAAAGAAGATTCAAAAGCGATAAAATCTTTTGCCGTCTCCCAAGGGTAAGAAGGTATATATTCGAATTTTATGCCCTCGTTTTGTAACCACTTTTGAAATTGACGGGTTTCCTCATGAATTGCGTAGTAAAAAATGAGAGGACGAATGATCTGAGGGGCTGAGGGGTCAATAACCATTGCTAACTCAGCTTGTTGTAGTTTCCTGGTAGGATTTCTGCAATACTGTAAGAATAAAATGTGTATAATCGCGTTGACAGAGTTGCAGCATCTTTGTAGGAGTGCTTTGGTTTCTTCATCATACTCCTCTTGTTGTTCCACATCCGACATGTCCTCGGAGCTGTTCCCACTTTCTTCTGCACTGGTATCAAGAGAAATTCGCAAAGAGAATTCCGAAGCGCAGGATAGATAAATAGTATCTCCAGTAAATACAACGCCTTGATTTTCACAAATTTGTGCTTCTTGTAACAGTGCATTCCAAACATCCATTTCTAGTAAAACTTGTTGAGCACTCTGTATTTTCACTAACAGTGGGTCTTCTTCTATTCCCCAATTCCAATCCCATTTTGAAGAAGAAATAACCTTTTCACTACTTGATATTAGATCAACACGCAACCTTGCTTTTTCATGCGCAAGTCCAGTCTCAAAGTTATAGCTTTGTTTTGCTTGATCCTTCCGGATCAATCCAAGACCTAAAGAAGTTCCACCAAGAGCACTGTATTGTATTGAAACATCATAATTACCCCTCTTGTTGCTCAATACAAGAGGCCACGATGAATCCCTAACATTAGACAAGCTCTGAAAGTATTCACGCTCAGAATCAACGACTTTTGATAGTCTCTCCTTGGCATCAGAAAGAAGATTCTTCGAAGAATTTAACGACTTTCTTTTCCAACAAGTTGCCAGAATATTATCGGACTCTTTTATTTCAGGAGGATGGCAGCGCTCCAGTCCAAGTGATCCAGGAGGGACAGTGGACTTTAGGAAAGGAGAAATTGTATCTGAACTAAACTGTTTATACTTTGAGAGAAGTAAAGAAGTCATATCAAGTGCTAACGAACATTCGTTTTGAGCAATTCTATGCCAAAGGGTTAGTATGGGGAATCGAAGATAGAAAAAAACTAAGGATGCTTACAAAATGTGATCTATGAGTTCTCTTTTATAATCATGAATATTCGTAGACCCCGAGGAAACGTCATTGGCTTCTTGCTGGGTTGGAAGAATTGTAAAACCATAGTAAGGATCTTGTCTTCCGGGCAATGTTTTCGTAAAATCTTGCTCGTCCTCTAATTGCTTCTCTAATTCACTTTCATCTAAATCTCTAAAATTCCCCCTTTCCTGGACAATCTTTTGAAATATTTGAGGTAAGTCAATTTCACTAAGTAAGTGAAAGGGTCAATAAAAAGAACCATATGCAATCATAGAGACTTTACTTACGGTGCTAAATTTCTGGATTCTATTACTTCAGGATTTAAACTGACTGGCAAAGGTGTTGCATCCATTTTGCTATTCTCATCTTGTACGGGGGACTGATCCATAAATCACACCAAAAAAGTTTGTTTTAAAGTATTGTCGTTTCAAATTTAGCAATGAATATACCAAAAAACTGGAAGTAGTTTCCGCAAAGAATTCTGCTTCTACTTGGTTACTGCCAAACAATAGATATTCGACGTTTCATGAGAACCGTCGTTCGTTTCTGTTGTTCTCCAAAGACAAGAGTAGAAAAATAATGCTCCAGAAAATAAATATCCGTGCTATTAAGAAGAGAGAGAAGCTTACATAAACGACTTTGAATACTTTATAATTTCATCTTGTGTAATGCAGCTTACTACGATCAGTAATGCTTGTTAACATTTACATTTTCTTTTCTTAAAAAACACTTTCACTCGAAAATTGATATTACTCGCAGAAGTCATTCATTCCCATATGTTTGACGGTATTCTTTTCACATTGGCATTACCTCTGCAAACAATATGAATAAAATATTTCATTCGATAAATTTCACTTGTCGCTTTGGAAAATTTATTTGTACTCGAATTAGATTTCCATCTTAGCATTCGCACTTACATTTAGGAACATTTGAAACGCGTCGCGAGGAATAAAAAATGAAACGGTCAAGTAGCTTTGGTTCAAGAGATTTGAAAAGGATAAAAGATTCATTTGGGTCTGAGAAAAACTGTTTGCAAGATAAAGAATTGCTTCATGACAGTACTGAAACGAAAAAGCAAAATCTACAATTCACCACGAAGCAAGATTCAAAGAGATTCTTATTAAACGAGAACAGAGAAATTGATTCTACTATTAAAACTTGTCTACACATACCATTGCGTGGACCATTTCCAGCAGTAAAGGACATCAACGCAGAAAATGAGGGACTACGTGGATTTCATTCGGGTTCTTTTTTACGAACTTGCTTTCGAGTAGGTGAATTATTAAAGGTTTATCGCTCGCGTCCTTCTACCTCTCTAATTGTTGTCGAATTTTTTGGTAGTACACAAATATTTGGAACCAGATGAACATGCTAACACAAATATAAAGGTAAAGTTCGCTCGCATAAGTGTGTTGGAAACATTATTCAACTAGAATTGGAAGACGCTTTTCGAGGTAGTAAGTCTCCATGCATCTATGGTAAACTATTTTCAAAAGAATCGATCGCGTCCTTTTTATTGGAAAAAGGCTCTTTATTACGAGTTATAGGAAACGCTGCCTGCTCTGAGAAACTTCTTAAAATAATGCACGTAAGCAGTACGGATATGGATGAACTGATTGAAACCTACAGCATGACTTGTTACGAACGAACATAAAAACCAACCGTAGTTAAACAGAGAACATATGAAATTTTAACGAGTAAAAAAAGGAATCTATTTATCCCTATGTAATAAATTTAAATATGTAATCTACTGCTAAGAACCACAGTTAAGACCTAAATCCGCATGACAACTTTGTAAGCGGATAGCGGCCATTCAGTATGAAATACCTTAATATCGAACTTAGCTAAAGGGTACAACAAAACTCCGACCGTTCTATAGAGAATAATAATCAATCAGTTATTGAAATCGTGAGATGTCAATAAAAAAACCAGTAGAACTGTATAGCCCATTGATGAACTTTTCGCAGGACGTTTCTACATAGTGGATTTAGACACAGTAAACATAAAGACATTCTAGAATTGAAAGAAAACCATCCTGAAGGAGCAATCGGTAATCAAACTATCCTTGAGATATAAGTGAAGTACACAACATTATAGAAGAATAAAGAAGAATCAAGCGAAAGATTATTAGCTAATGTTACTGAAGTCAGCAGAACATAGTATGGAAATTTAAACATATTGAGCCAACCACTTGAAACCTTCTCCATATCCTTGACGAAGGACTACTGAGCACATAAAGACTTCAATGGGACGGATGCCAGGAACAGGTTTGGAAACTCCCTTACCAGTAGTCTGGTATAAGCCAAGAGCAGCCTTCAATTCATCCTCAGAAATAGCACCAGGAGCATCAATCTTGTTACCTAAAATTAAGAAAGGGACCTTCGCAAGCTCCTCCATAGCCAACAAAGCATCCAACTCTGCTTTAGATTCGGAAAGTCGCTCGAAATCGCAGCAATCTACAAGATACACAATGCCATTAACTTCAGGGAAGTAATCTCTCCAAAGGCGTCGAGCTATACAAAAAGTCAGTTTCATCAATTCAAAATGCAAGAAAAGGAGTAAATTCGAAAAAAAGACTTGATTCACAGTCGCTTTTTTCACAACAATGTATGGGGCCATCATAGGTGACCCTATACACTAGTTACGACTTTTGTGGTGAAACAAACCTGCTTTGATAATGATGATAAATACTTACCCTGTTGGTGACCGCCCAAGTCAAAGGTTGTGAAGCGAACCTTTCCAATAGCTAACTCTTCAGATGTAGGGTGCAAAGTTGGTTGCATAACAGCCAAACGGTCATTCTAATTCAAGAGTTAGTAACAAAATTTAATTTTCTGTGGCTTTGCTTTCCTACCTTTAGCATGTGGAGCAAGGTGGTTTTACCAGCATTATCCAGACCTAAGAACAGCATCTTGGCATGCTTATTTACAAGACCAAGAGCAGCTAAAGCATCGTAGAACCAATTAAGGATAAACATTGGAATATTTGTCTCGAAACTGTACAAACTTTTACAGATTTACAACAAGCGTTGGTGGTTGGCAAAGGACGACCTTAGTTGGAGGTTACATATTCTTCCGTAAACCAACTGTACATAATGTGATAAGCATTCTTTGTGAAAAGACAAGTTCTTTTTTTTTCTTTCTCATTGAAATTCTCAAATAATTAAGGTTATATAAATTATCCGGTGTCCAAGAGAAACACTTTTGAGATATTCAGCTTAAAACGGCTATAGGTTCATGTTTACACCCCTTCATTCAATTTGTCTTTGTAATAAAACTAAACTGGGATGTAAACTAGGAAACGATGACGGTTAACACTGGACGATTGACTTTTATGAAACTTACTTGTCCTTCCTTCGAAACACTCGTTCTCTCCCATAGTAAAAATCCTTTGCTTTGAAATACATACTTCAGCGAATTTATGACCATGCTGATTATATGTCCTACAGACGATCGCCTCTTCGTCGTTTGTCTGTGGCTTGCTTGTGCTAACAGATTTCTTGATACATTCAAACGTATCAAGATCATTGAACAGAAAATGAAACCTTACAGCTAATTTTTACGCTAGTCTACTAGTTGGGCTACATACCGAAAACGCTAGGTAGAGTTTTTTAAGGAACGAAGTCTTTTCAGCATTGCGCCATGAATAATTCCGGTATTAGCTTCATTTTTCTATTCTGATTCTGGTTTAACAACTACATTTACGTTCAGATGATCTTTACTCCTAAATATCTTGAAGCTAATAAATTATCGACTTTACACTGACGACGAAAGATACTCATCTTTGGGAATGTCAAAGTTGATTGAGCAAATTTAGAAGAAAAGGAAGTGACAGGAACTTTATTGACTGTAACGTCAGGATAAAACCAAAGGCTCTATTTACATGACTTTTATGGTAGAAGCTATGTTTGACTACAAACGTACTGAGAACAGGTTAGTTTAGTGTTTCATGTTGAATAGCAATTGCTCTTTTTGGTAAGATAGTAACGTGATCCTGTTTTGCATGTGAACAATCTGAATTGTTTGCATAAGCTTCATAGCTTGTAAACGCTTGGTTCGTTGGAACAAATGACTAAGAACTGTAAAGAAAGTGTATGGCTATTCTTATTGAAATTAGTTATGGTATTCAGGTATGCTTGTTATTTGTTACATTTGACAAACAAGAGAATGCTCCCTGAAAACAATCGCATATTCGTCAAGTTTTATTCTGTTTTTATTTTCTTTATTATATGTTATCTATACCAAAATTATGCTCTAAAAACTTGAACTGAATATTCATCTTATCCGTACCATCCACGCACTCAACGTCCCTTCAGCGTCTATCTTTGTATCTCCTTCGAAACGCTTAATCCAGGGCATAATTTTAACAAGGAGAATAATTTGTGAATATATAATTTCCTTCTTTAGTTAAAGATTAACGAGGGACATTATTTACAACATTTCTATCAAAATTCCATCTGATCTATTACTGTACTAAAGTAGTAAGAGTCTTCTTTCAATTTAAACTTCCCCTACCTTTCCTTTTCTTAATTCTTTTCTTTGACCAGGAAAAATGCTGTTATTCGGTGACTCTAAACCAGTTACAGCGGTAACTACATATATCGACAAAATGACTGTTGGAACCCGCGATGAAAATGACCTTTCTGGAATTGTCGAACTGACAGAGGTGGTTGGGCTCACCTCTTCTGGACCGAGGGAAGCGGCACGTACAATTCGAAAAAAGTTAAAGTATGGTGAACGTAATGTACAAATTCGCGCTTTGCTTGTTCTTCAAGCATTAATAGAAAACGCAGGATCACGGTTTGTGGAAAATTTTTCGGATGAAAAATTAGAGGAACGTATATTTTTATGTGCAACAAGCCCTGCTTATCCAAAGGAAGTACGAATCCGAGCTTACTCCTTAATCAAATTATGGCAGTCAGAATACTCAAATGTTCGCGGAATGGAAAGTTTGAGCGGCCTGGCTAAGAAACTTCCTTCAAGGATGCCTCCAATGAGTAGTCGTCAGCAACAACCAATTAATATGAAACGTGTCGCACCTATGCTTGAGCGCTTAATCATCTCATCTAATATGGCGGCTACCAACTTAACAAACACACTTGCTCAAATAAATCCTCAACGTGAAGATCCAGCTCATAACAAACAAATTATGATGTACTACGTTGACTGTAAACGTTGCCATCGACCCTTGTTGAGATATATCGAAGCTATTCAAGATGAGATGTGGCTTGCAAATTTATTGAAAACGAATGATGAAGTAGTTAAAGCCATGGATTCGTATAAAGAAAAACTAAACCATAATGAGCATCATGATGATGGCTTCGAAAGTGATTCTGACTCCCATCCTTTAGATGACAGCGCTTCCTATCTGTCCGATTCTGATGCTTCTGATTCAGTTTCTCAAACAGAGGAAGATTTGGACGCCAACAATCCTTTTAGTGATTTGAATCGCACAGACTAATGACTTGTATATATCTTAAATTTACGCGTATAGTCTCTCTCTTTTTCTGTTGTCCAGGTATAAGTCCTTCTTTTAGTTATTTTTGATCACTCTCAATCGCTCTTCTAAATGTAACGCTATACTATTCACTCAGCAATTACACGATTATTAACGTACGGAGTATATCTTGATTTTTATATATTGCTGCTCGTTTTGGTTATGACTAAAATACGACGATTATTCCGTTGTATATCTGTTTTATGAATAAATGAATCATGTTTTTTTAGTCTTCGTTGTATGATTTAGGAAAAATTACTTTCAGTTCACTACTTGTAGTTTTTTATTTTATTTCTATTTCTATTTTGATTTGTATATTTTTTTTTTCATAAGCGCACACTCTATTTCTATTTACCTCTTTCATTATGTGTAAATCATTACCATTTGAGAGCGAGTTCTGGGAAAATCCATACAAACGCAATTCCATCAATTCAACGCATATAGCGATTTATTTTTAAATAAAATAAAAAAGATAAATAATTTATATAAATTGAGAATATTCATTCATCGTATTTCTTCCTGGTCTATCGAGCATCCATGTTTCATGCTATGGGAAATATGTAAACAAACCTTCCCATCCTAACCACATACCAAATACTATCGACGTTCAAGCTAATTCCAAGCAGAAGCTGAATAGTTTAAGAACTAAGAAATAAAATGAATTGCTCAGCGGATTTCAATCATAGGATTTTCTCTTCTGAGTTGCAAGATGAACCTGCATTTGGGAAATTGTATGAGCAAGCAAACAAGGGCCAAGCACAAGGACTTACTGCCTTTGATGTATTGTCTGAAAATAAAATAATTAAACCAGAGAAAACTCATAATACGAAAAGGAAGCGTTCCGAAAAAGAACCAAAGAGACTGTGTCCAATACAACCAAGGAAACATGTTAAACAAAGCAATGAAACACCTGAAAAGTTAGAGAATTTCTTAAAGAGAAAAAACACTCATACTCCCATCAATCCTAAAACTGTTTACCCATCGGCGCCAATGTATATAGAAGATATAATCATCAGAGAGACCGAAAAGTCAAATATGCAGACGCCTGTTACCAGCCTTCCAGGAACTCAATCACTGAATTCATATCATGGACATGAATCTTTTGGAAACAGTCTCCATTTTCATCTTACACCCTTTTCATTAGGAGACAGTCCTTCCAGCCAAAAATCTGAAAAAGGATGCACAAATAGTGGGAATAATCTAAGTTATATAAAAAACGTTAAAGAAGATGCACCCAGTAAAGCACCCTGTCCCACATATACAAAACCAAACAAAATTAACTCAGCGTTACCTAGAGAGAAGGTGGTAGTTATTTATGTAAGAGCTTTAAATCAACAACAAAAAACTAACTTGGTACTTAGGATGACGATGAAGTGAGAGACTACTTATACGTGTTTGGCTCCCGATCTCAGCACAAAAAGCAAGATTACTCGACTGTAGTCAAAAGAAAGACTTTCCAAAGCAATAACTTTTCCAACTTTACTCTATTAAAAAACTTGGTGGACCCACAGTACAACCCTAAAACAGCGGAAGAACGGTCACTGTGCATTCAACTTTTGGAAGAAGTACTCAATACTTAAGGTAAAAAACAAACGTAAGCAAAAATAACTGAGTTTTCTTTCAACAAATTAGATTTCTTTTGGTCATCAGGAAGCATCGTCTTGTTTAGAACCCTGTCCGAGAATTTCATCCACTTGGTTTCGTAATTTGGGATAAGCTGAAGTTATTTCTTCAGCTAGAGTCTGTTGAAACTCTTCCATTACTTTAAATTTTCCGTGCACATACTGATTATCCTTTTGCACTAACTCACTGAATTGTCGCGCATATACGTCGGGATTCCGACCTTGTTCAACATAATCAAGCACATCCTGAGAAATCGGTTCGTTTGTCTTACTAGCAATCTTAGGAAGTGTCCTAAGATGATTCACCAAAGTGCTAATATTTTCGGGAATAGTATCTGGAGGAGTTGTATCTTCCAAATTGTAAATCACCAAAGCCAAATCATATAATGATTGAGTTGTATCTTCCAATTTGTTAGCTAATTCGTCTGATGCCATTGTTTGCTGTAATAATAAGCTAACTGTCGAAAAACAAGCTTATATAAAGTTCTTTTGGTAAAAGGCTCGTAATTATGAAACAGAATAATAGAATCTACAAACTTCCAATCGAAACCTGTATATTTTGAATGCGGAGTTGCCAAGTTCTCTGTTTATGCTGGTAAATTACTTCTGCGCAAGCGCTTGGAAATTAGACCTTTTCTTGTTGTAGCGGGTGCGTGTTAGTCAGTGGAGAAAAGCAAAATAAAGAAGCAAAGACAGAAAGACAAACGAAAGCCGATTTCTTCTATTTATTTCATACCAACTTAATATACTTTTAATTAAAACATTCTAGAGTGAACATGAAAATACGATGGATACTGAGATAGAATTAAAAGAAATAACGGTAGATAGTCATATTTGACATTAATGGTTAACTAAGAAAAAGCAGTAATTTGTGAACCCCCAAAATGAGATAATATAGATCATTAACAGAATACACTTCACTTCAGGAAAGGTAGCTTGAACGCTCCGAGTAAGCAGTTCAGCTCTCTGGCTGCAGACAATACTAATGAGTTCTCAGTATACATGAATAATGGAACTTGTTTCTATGGACCATAACATAAGATTTTATGTATTAGAATTTTGAATAGTCGTAGTTGAAGAGTTGGAGTCAGTTGCTTCTGGAGTATGACTAGGTATCGCGACACCAGTATCGGTTGCAAGAGAACCTGGTTCAACTTGCGCTCCCGACGCTTGAGGAGCTTGCTTTCCAACATCTCGTCTAGAGGATCGAACATCTTTGTGAATTACACGACACCAACGGCTATGTCCTGGCCATGCTAGCTGCTGGCACTCCTTGCTGCAATACTTTGTACGACGACAGCGCCTGCACTTGGCAAATTGCCGGCTATGCTCTTCCCATTTAGTGCATTGTAAACTTGCGCAACGACGAATTCCACCTCGACTTTCATCCTTTCGACAGTAATTGTTCATTATAGCTCTAGCCCAGTACTGAATTTGAGGAGGATAGAACTTTAAGGTAAACTGTTCAACAAGCTGGAAAGTATTCCACACTTTGTTTCCACTGCGCAAGGGAGACATACGTAAACTAGGTACATCTTTGGAAGCTTCAAAATCAGAGCGTAAATGGAAGTAATTTTTACTTGTGTATGCCAGGATTTGTAACCCGTAAAGTATATCTTCCTCCCTAGGCAGTTTATTTATTTTTTTGTCGAAATTATCAAAAAATGAAGCAATTCCTTGAAAATCCGCGGTATTTTCTAATCTTCTTGCTTCGAATAACACTAAGGGAGTAGGAATCGAAATTGCTCTTTGCGCACGGCGTCGTCGAATGATGGCCTGTTGCTGAGCTATCGACGTAGATAATTGATCTGATACACGAGATGATTCTTGTACTGAATTTAAAGGGTTTACAGGTAAAGGTGTGAAGAGATTTGAAGAATTAGAGGGTCCAGAAGAAGTAGTATCGGGATTCGAGCTTCCTCCAGCGACAGTTGGATGTTGGGGTAAGTTTGGGGAGGAAGGAGAAGAGGCGGGGTTAATATTTTCATTAGACAAGGACGTAGTTGAGGTAGAAGACGGTAATCTTGAAACGGTAAATGGTGATTGGACTTGAGAATCTCCAAATGCATCTTGGGGAAATACAGCAGAATGATCTTGAGAAGAACCAGTCTCCGTAAGTTCTCGTCCAGTAAGTTCTCGGTTTGCTGAGCGTGTTCGATTTTGAATTTCATTGTCTCTCACTTCAACAGCAATGTTTCTGCGCCCAGAAATGTTGTTCAGGTAAGGCGAAGACGACTCACTGCCCACATACAACGAATTTAAAGGAGAGTTGTTTTCAGTGATCGCATCCATGGAGTTTGAGTCTATCGGAGCTAATGAGTTGTTTGGAGGTGGAGTGGAAGCAGATGAGAAAGCAACTGGTGGTCGATTAGTGGAAGGAACCACAGATTCAAGGGCAAAAAGAAAATCATCCAAGAGTGTAACAATGATGGGAACAATTCCTGCTTCAACAACGCGGATTCTAATAGCTTCAGAACCTCGGATGCCTACGTTGACGACACATTGCAATGCTAGCTGCCAAATCGTCATACGAGCGAACGTTTGTCCTCTTCCAGCTCGCAAAATATTCATTAAACGAACTAAGCCACCGTCTATGGTTAATATTTCTCTGATTTTGGGTGAAGTGGACGTTAAGTAAGCAAGATGACTCAATGAATTCATGAGGGCCATTTCGGAATCGCAATCAAGAGCACGTCGATCATACAAAACTGTGTTGATCGTAACAGATGCTCTATTGTTCCAAACGACACTGACATTAGATTCTCTCATTTTGCAGTTTATTAGTCAAAGGAAAGTAACGATAAGCAGTATAATAAATCAAAAAATAAATAGATGCGAAGAAAATAAGAAAGAAATTAGCGGAAAATAAACAATGGGGTAACGAGACGAAGTCAAAGAAGAAGCCAGAAACAAGATAAAAACGAATGCAATGGTTACAGACACGCAGGATAGGGAAATTTTAACAAAAACCTGCAAAATTCCAAAAAGCAAGGTTGTTTAAGTAAAGGGGCTTTTGAAGTATAGGGGAAGTACCAAACAAATAAGGGGAAGAGCAATTCAATATAATACAGATCTTTTATGTTTTCTTTTCTCTTAAACTTATATTTTTCGGAGTTAGTTTAATTCAAAAGACGTGTACGTTCCTCTAAGCAAGAGCAGTGATTTGCCAAATAAATTTTGGGTCAGTCGTATAGGCAGGTCTATGATAAAAAAAAAAAAGGAAACCGCGGTGAGGTTAAAAAAGCGCCTTAACCTTCACCAGAGATGTTTATCAGTTGTAAATTGAAAGAAAAAAAAACGACCGTCAAAGGATAATTAGATGGTACGATAGCCAACGTAAAAACAGCTACCTTTTGAACGGATAACCGAGAGATAATGCTGGAGAAAATGAGAATTCACAATATTCAAACCAGTTTAGTCTATATATTTCTCGATGACGATCAAAGTTCCTCTTATAAGTCTTTGGTTTCCGGAAGAATAAATAAGCAAGAAAACCCGGTTCTCGAGAACTCAAAATCTCTGTTTTTACCAAGGAATTGGAAATTTTTTTTAAAAAACTTCTGAGCAAGCATAAGGCAGCACGCTTCACGTACTTTGCATATAAATACAGAGGTCTCTGTGTTTTGGAGATTCCAATTCCTACCTTTTGTGTTCTAATGAAATTCTTTTCTTCAATAATTAAACGGAAATGAAGGTTGAACGATGTTTTCAATGTGTTTTTACTACTTCTTGTTTAAGACCTTCTTTGGCGGCAATATAGACAAAGGGCAAGTTACGTTTTCCCTACTAACAATGCTCCTGCCTCAGAAGATATTCGCTACCCAGGGGGAAGGGTGGTACCTTAATATTAAATGGCGTGGGGAACGACGAGAAATTTTCAAAGGATCTACAAATTCGCTTAGGAGCGTTGATCATAATATTATAGATACTAGCACAATATTATAACGTATATAATAATCAGGCGTACATATATGTACATATATTTATTTACGTTAAAACGAAAATGTATATTCACTTAATCTTATATATTTCCTTTATAATTTCATTTCTAATTTGGCAAAAAGAATGAGCGAATTTGCTGAGACATATTGTGAGCTTCAACTTTGGCGATTGCTTGAGTTAAACTGAGTCAGTAAAGAAACCATGAAAAGGAAACCGACAACAAAAAAAGAAAATAAAAAAAAATGACATGTTCAAGCAGTTTGAATAATTTGCTTCACAATAAGCACTGCGTGAAGATAAATGATAAAAAGACCATCGTTTAACAAATTTTCCTTTTTTATTTGGTCTGTCTTTATACATTTTTTCCCTTAAACGTAAGTAATAAATAATAAATACAGAATATCAACCATAAGTATAAAGAATTCTTTTATTAAGCCACATTTCAAGAATCATACTTATACACGAGACTGCTCAACGAAATCAAAGAAAGTAAACATTCAATTGACGGTTGCTTGCTTTTTTTCCATTTGTTCCTTCCACTGTCTTGATTTCTCCAACAACATGCGCATCTTGTCTCCTTGGTCCACAGAAGTATCTGGGAACAAGTAATCCAAGTATTCTTCAAAAAGTCCATTTTCCAATCTGCGACGTTTCGTAACCATCTGTGGTGTCTGTTTCTCGACACGTTCGCGGGTCTCTTCAGTTCCATGCATGCTTTCAAATTGCTTCCAAGCCTCCAACAAAACGACACGTTCTTCTTTTAATCCCTGTTGACGAAGACTTGTCATTGCAGCTTCAAATACCTTACGAGCACGTATAACCGCCGTAGGAGAAGCCGTATCATCATTCGGGGGATCTTCGTCATCGTCTTCCAGATGTGCAATTTCAAAGTTGGCAAAACTAATCCAAACTTTCACGTGTGGAGCAGTCTCTAATAAGCGCTGATATAGAGACCTCGCTCTTTCATATTCCATTTCTTCAAATTCAAAATCAATATAGGCTTTCCAAACCAATTCAGGTGTTTCTAAAACAGGCTGAGCAACAGCCAACTCAAACACAGCACGAGCACGATCAGTATCACCAAGTTTGTTTTCTAAATTAGCATAACCAAGCCAAGGCGCACAAGCTTCCGGATCATACACAATCCATTTTTCGTATAAAATACGACATCTATCAAATTGTTTAATACTGTCCTCATATTCAATGTAACTCCGAAAAAGCTTAGGCTTGGGGCACATACCTAGTGCCCGTCCCAAAGTCTTTCTAGCGGCATCAATGTTTTGTTGTCGTAATTCAAACATGGCATACATAATCCAAACTTTTGCAAACGTAAAACTTTTATGAGGGATTAATTTCAGACACTGCAGGTAAACATTTCGAGCCCTTTCCGCTTCACTAGCATCTATCTCCTCAAACAAAACGTAATTCAGCCATATGTATATATATCTAGACCATGCCCTTTTCTCCTTACTTTCGGGGACTTTTGCAATGGCTTGTTCATACATTTCGCGAATCCTCTCAAAATCTCCGGTCTTTTCCTCCAGTTTTATTAAATCAAGCCAAACGTCGTAGTCATAGGGATTCTCCTTCAGTTCATTTTCGTAAGCAAGTCGTCGTTTATCAAATACTATTGATTCAATTCCTGATTGCTCCCCGTACTGTTTTTCAAAATGGGTATATTCCTTATATAATTCAGCAGACTTCGACCTTGGCATGAAATCAATGGCATACTTAAAGATAGTACGAGCCCGCTCATACTCCTTTTGCCGGATTTCAAATTTAGCAAACGCAATGAAGAACTTCTCAGTTAAGAATTCATGTCCCAAAGCATCCATGGCGGCCATATAAACAGCCCGGACGTTCGCGACATTCCCACATTCTTCTTCAAATCGTGCCCAACGTAACCAGTTTACTACGTCGGGGTGGACAATAACAAAACGCTCAAAAATACCACGAGCACGTTCATTCTCATGGTATCTTCGCTCCAGTCGAATATAACTCATCCAGGCAACCTCATCTGGTTGCCACTTGAGCCAACGCTCAAAAATTTGACGACAACCAGTGATGTTTTCAAGCATTTCTTCCATATAAACATACTTATACCACAACTTGTCAACTCGAGGAAGGAATGTGATAGCTCTATCAAATAAGTTCCTAGCATGGTTTATATTACGAGTTTTCATTTCACACTCAATATACTTGAGCCATAGGGGAATGTACTTGGGATCAACATCAATAGCTCTTTCAAAGACAGATCGCGCCCGCGCATACTCTTTCTGTTCAAGTTCCCATTGCCCATAACGCATCCAATGACCCATCGCTAGTCTGTTACGTCGAATTGCATCTTCAAATCCCTTTCGTTTTCGGCCCTGAAATTCATGTAGCTCTTCTAAGTCTGCAATACTAACTTTTGGCGGAACAAAGGCAACATCCTGTCTTTCTACGGCTTCACGTAATAATTGCTCCGCCGAAATTTGGATGGGAGCAGGATTTTTGTTTTTTACCCTAGGAATTGCTGGATCCATTTTAAATCGTTATTATATCAGTTAAAACTTAATAAAAGCATATAAATAACCACTCCAAATTTAAAAAATCCGTAGTTTACTTGATTAAATGTTTGTGTTGCGTGAAGGGCAGGACGCGCTTCTATTAACAACACCCTATACAGACTTTTCCTTTACAAACAGCGTTATAATTTTCAGGCGTTTTAGCGATTTATAAACTGTTTTCTCTGTAGAGTATATAAAAAAATATTTATAATGTTTAAAAGGTAAGTTGTTTCACTTGTTTCATCACTTTTGCTATCCTTGAATTCGAATTTAACCCTGACATTAGATTTAATTCAAAAGAAGATTTCAAAGGGACCACACCTATTAAGTCCTCAATCCAACGAGGAATAAAGTCAAAACTTGTTGAGACATTTCCTAAACTCGAGCAAGTTATTGATGATTTGATTCCTAAAAAATCTCAACTGACTCAAATTAAATGGTTCGTCTTAATTCCAGATTTTGTTTGAAAGCAACTGCTAATATTTAATCATTAGTGAGGAAAGAATTTTCCTATACGCTTTAAATGGAGAAATAATTCTTTTCCAACATTTTGACGGACCTGTGATTCCTTCTCTTCGCCTAATTCACAAGTGTACGTTATTTGCTTTGCTTATTGTATATAGTATTAAAGTAACCTAACAATTACCTTTATAGGCCCTGATGCTTTCCCTCAAGTTCGCGTTGACCGCGGCGCTATCAAGTTTGTTTTATCCGGTGCCAACATCATGATTCCTGGCCTTACTTCAGCAGGTGGTAATCTTCCAGAAGACATTGGTAAAGATCAATATGTAGTAATTATGGCTGAGGGTAAAAGTGCCCCAGCTGCAATTGGTATCACGCAGATGACTGCTAAGGAAATGTAAGAGTTGAATGGATAATTTTGTACTATGTACATTTTATTAACAGTGTAACTAGGATTGAGACAAATAAGGGAATTGGCATTGAAAATGTTCATCATTTGGGTGACAACTTGGTAAGCTTACAACAATGATCCTTTATTTGTTTACTAATCATTATAGTGGAAAACCATCTTAGATTAAATGCACATCGTCATTTATGTGTTCAATTTTATAAGTCATGTTGATTGAGAATTCTACATTAAAAATAAGTCTATGGAGTGTTGTCTTCAAACAGGCACGAATGGAAAACCCCGAATTTTGCGTATAAACTTCGTTCTTGTTTAAAGTAGTGAATAAGTAGGGTACTTTTGAATGGTTTTATTTACGCGCTCGAATTCCGCATCAGTTTGTACAAGTTGCCGAAGAGCCACAAGAATTTTCGCAACCAGCTCTTTTCCAGATAGTAAATTTGTAATTTTTGTATCAGCGTAAACTTCGTCCAAGAACTCTTCCATCTTACTCCAACATCCACTTTGCATTAAAAGTTTACAGTAGCTTTCACTAGTTTCCAAAAACTCATCACTTAGATTTAGCAAACGTGCAGCTGAAATTCTATGTTCCAAATGATTTATCGTCATGACCCTTTCAAAGTCTTCATAGCCCTCTTCGTGTGTAAAATCCTCAACCATTTTGTGTAGAAATTTTCCTCTTCCCATTTCCATTAGTGTGTCATTTGTCTGTTGTTCATAAAACCGCAAGGGCCTGTCTTTGTTTTCTATTCCATTGGAATCCCAGTGCTTACTGCCAAATGCCCACCAGGGATCACTGACTCTTTGCCAAGAAAGCATGAGGCTAGAATACACAAATGTTTGTCCTGTAGATAAGCTGATGCTTGGAACGCCTTCGCGACTTATGTTAGCTGAAATGATATGGGGTACTATATGAGGTTCGTCACTTTTTAGTTGAGTCGCCGAATCTAAGGCAGGAGCTAAAGAACAAGAACCAAATAAAGCCTTTTTATTAGGGATATCCCAAGCGTGAGTCATTCCGTTAGAACAGATGCAAAAAAGGAAATTGTTGTTGCACTCTAAAAATACTGGTTTCGAATCCACCATAACCGGAGGAAGTAGTCTTGATCCCGTAAGAGAATAAACATGTAGAGATGCATCATCACAGGCGACTGCCCAAAAATGTAGGCTACCAGTAGACAGTAAAACTGGACGTGGCAGATAATCCATCCATTTTGTGTTTCCATTTTCTAAAACCACAATACGAGATGGATTTTTTTCATTGCTTCCATTTTTAACCTCCAAGGTATACCGACTAAGATTATCTATCGATGATACCACAACAGCTCTCAGGGAAGGAATTTTGAGTTCACCTGCAGGCATGGCTGTGATTCTGTCTATAGCATTCGGAAGAAAATCCTGAAATGCATTAACGCTAGCTGTGTTGCTTTCTTCTGTTTCAATCTGTTCTCCCGTAATAGGGTCTTCCGTTGGTTTTTGTTTAGGCCCGACTACTAGAATCGGTACACCACCCTTGGGTATAGAGTTTACAGGATGAGAAAGTTGCTGAGGAGGAAGATGAGGAGCACTGCTTTGTTGCAGTTGAGTCGATGGCAAACGTGATGTACTAGGTACTGCTTGTAATGTTGTCAATAATTGAGGAGCAACGCGTTTCTTTCCGTCTTTTGTAATTGTAATCTTTTGGGTGTTCTTTAATGGAGTCTCAGCTGTAGTTTTCTCGACATTAGGTGCTTTTTTAGGAGATGGGTTCGATACCTTGGGTACTGTTTCAACGTTGATTGACGGTGTATTATGATTATCAATTTCATTTTTCTTTAGAGGGGTTGACGAAATTTCTGAGGGTAAAGGAGCAGGCTCTTGATTGTTTATCTTGGATATAGATTTAGCATTTTCAGCTGATTCTTCGAGAGATAGTTGTTTTGAAGACTCTGGTAGAACTATTCCATGTCTACCGTGACCATACTTTGCCAAAGTCTTTGCAATCTCTTCATCACTGACCATTTGACCAAGTTCATGTTCCTCAAATGTACAAACGAGAAGTGTACCATCATAAGAACAAAGATACAGACTCAAACCATCAGGTGACCAACAAACATCTCCAATACTTTTTTGACATACATTTTGACAATTAAGCATTGGTCTCGACGTCGCACTAGTCCAAATACTTAAAGAACGATCTTGTCCACCACAAGCCAAAATGCAAACGAGCTTCTCATTATTGTCCTTAAACAACTTCGGATTAAAAGAGGTTACCTCGACAGGTCCTTCATGTCCTATCAAATTAATATCACTGGTCCAAGTTCCTCTTTCAATGATCGAAACACATCCTACGGGTCCGTTCATAGCATTAGAAGCAGCAATATGTTTTCCATCTGGAGACCATGAAGGTCTTCGAAAATATGTAGAGAGCGGAGAGTTATTGAACGGTTCGGATATAGTCTTTTCGAGTGCAAAATCACTTACACGCCAAACTTTGATTGTACGATCATCGCTTTCTGTAGCAAAGTACCTCCCAGCTGGATCGAAAGTTATTCCCTTCACGTGGCTTTGATGTGCTTCAATTCTTTTGAGACGCTCGAACGTGGTTCCATTCCAAACAATTATGGAACTGTCAAGGCCAACACTAACGAATAACTGACTATCGTAGCTCCAGCAAATGTCTTGAATATCTAATAACCCATTAGTGAAACCCCTTAACTTAAGTACATACCGTTGTCATGCCCTAAAAGACGACGATAGCTGCGCCAATTTTCAATATGAGTCTCATTGGAACCGAAAGTAGGACCGATACCAGGGATTACACTATACTTGTTAATTTAAATACGCAAGTTTAGCACATACTCTTCCTTGTGCCAGATAATTACTACACGATCGTCACTTCCTGAAGCAAGATATTGTCCATTAGGACTAAAACGAACAGAAGTTACAGTACCAGTATGCGTGCTCATACAGCAAAGCTGTTTATGAACTTCTAATCCCTCATTTCCGTCCGCTAAACGTATTGCTTCGGTTGACCATATCCGGACAGTGCCATCTAAAGACATTAGCGATTTGTATTCTAATTGTTTTATGTGAGCTTACCTAATCCACCAGTAGCAATCCTTGATCCATCTGGGTGTACATGAACAGAGAAAATGGATAATCTATGCCCGCGATCATCTATTCATATGTTAGCAATCTGTAATTCATTGAATAAAAATTTTTAAAAAACGTATTTAATGTTAAAGTATCTTACCGAAATGTCCTAACCATGGGATTTTATGAATTTTCATTGATCTTGAACCCTTGGAACGTGCAAGGAAAGGAAACAGCTTTTCTTCAATTATGGCACTCAGAAGGTACACCTAAATCAACGTAAATTTAATAATGTTGAAATGAATCTGAGGGAAAATCGTTCACCTTACTAAAACTAAATCACGGAGGAAAAAAATTGAGAGTAATTAACCAGACAGACCTTGAAATTCGATCTGCCATTAGTTGCAAGAGGAAGTATATCCATCGTAAGTTCTCATAAGCATTATTTTACTTAAACTCTATAAATGTAATTATTTAATTTAAATATTTTATCTTGTCATCTTATAATCAAATTCCTTAGTATATTTCAATTATTTTCAATGTTGAAAGGATACGTTATATAACTAACTAGAAATTTTTACAAACTTTATCCTTCTTTATCCAATTTTCCCTCTGTTTCTTGTTCATTATCGGAACCTGTATCAACAATAGACGAAGTATTCGACAAAGAAGCTTGCGATGGCTTTGATGCGAGCTCACGGTTACTTGAATCTTTGGACGGACGACACACATGAATAATTTTTGATATAATTTCTTTTCGAGTAATGTTTATAGTTTTGTTTTTCGCTGACCCTTCATGCGCTTGCGTTGAGTTCTTCTCATCTAAACTTCTCACGAAATTAGGATCTGAAGACAAAGTTGTCGACGAAGTTTTTCCATAAAGATTGATAAAGCAATCTATTAAGAAATCATCTAGCTTTGTTGTAGGATACAGACCATTGTTCAATTTTCGTAGTTCGTATACTTGCATCAGTAATGACAACTGCTGCTCACCAAGATTCAAAACTTTTTCGTAAATGACATTAAACTCACTGATCGGCATTAACTCTCTTTGCTCTTCTTTAAGTTCAACGATCGAGTGACTGTCACGTAAGTCATTAATATATTTGTTCATAATATCAAGCCAGATGTTTCGATGATCATATATTGAAGGAGAGGACCTTCTAAACCGCCTCATAAACTGTAGTAAATTCGCATCATCATTTGTTTTGTAAAGTAATGAAATGAAAAACTTACTATAGACGGTACCATAATAGAAATATCGGCCTGGCCGCTCATAATAGGTCCTCCAAATATTTACCAAAGACTTTCCTGACGACTTGAACGATATAAGCTTTTCCATTTCCTTTTTAGCCTCTTCGAATTGCTCTAGATAGTCCAATAACTTAGCTATTCTATATGTTGGTCGATGCTGCCATGATTGTTTGTCAACGGAACGTAGCTCTTGAATTGCTGAAAGAATTTGATTTAGTACCAAACGGGAATCCAAATTATCCGTATGTTCATATGCAGCTACGAATTCTGAATTATTTTTAGGTGGAAATTGTATTCTCGTAAGATATTGGAATACAACCTTAGTAGGAATAAGATTTTCAATAACAGCTTTACTCAGATTGGAAAGCAATGCATAATGAGGTTCTAAAAGCAATGTTTGCTGAGAGCCACTTCCTCCCTTTTTAGGTGCAACCTTGGTAGCTTCCTCAAAGTACTCTAGAGCAGTAGCCATATCTCCCAATTTACGTAATGACTTAGCTAACATAATCGCAACTTTCCAATCTTTCTTCAAACTGAACGACTTTGAGAAGAAGTCAGCAGCAATCGCTATAGCTTGTTTTGAAGTAACAGCTTTTAAAGGCACGCTGAACAATCCCGAGCTACCACTAATGACTCGACTCTCTAAGGAATGAAAAGCACTCATTTCCAGAGGAGGACGGGCAATTGAGTAAAAGCACGCTCCATAATCGAAGTACAATTGCGATTTATAAGAGTCATCTGCAATAGGATCCAACGAAACAGCCATAAAAAAGCAAAGTAAACCCTTTCTTTGATAATCTGTAATTTGTTCTTCATCCATTCCAATCAAATCCGCACTCCAAGATAGTTCTTCATCAGCCAAAGCTAAATAAAGCACTGCAGAAGTATACCATGAATCCTGCCGGAAAGGATTTATATACAAATCCATGAGAGCATAAGTAACTGCCTTGTTCAATTCCTTTATGCACCTGGTACCCTTTAGTCTCGCTCTGTAATAACCAAGCAATACTTGAGCTTGAGAATAGTACATGTTACGAAGTGTATCATTAACATGCTTGGACGACACTTCTTGTAATTTTAATAAATTCCGACCGATTAACGAGAATTTCACATGTTTCGCAGTGATATCTGTTTCCAAATAATTGTTTATAGAAGACTTGTTAAAATATATATCAATAACCTCTTCATTAGGAGGCCCAATTTTGTCGCATATTGTTTCAAATGCATGCTTTTGATCCGATCGGGGCATAATCCAACCATGGGAACGCTTTACGGCAAAACCTAAAACAAAAGGTACCAAAGCAATGGCGTCTTCACGAGAGAAGTCTCTCTTATGAGTCTGGTGGTCTTGAGGAAGATAGTATTCGCTACCAATCATCAGGCCAAAACGGCAAAACACGCACTGAAGTATTTCATTTTCGTTTTCCCATAGATCCAATTTCAGACATTCTGTCTGGGATAACTCCAAAAAAGAGCCACCCGCAAAACCGCAATAACCCCGAAATGAGAACTGTGAATGAATTAGAGTTAGAATATTAGGTAGCACTTTTTTAGGTTCGAATTTTACAGTTGAATCCTGCAACAATCTCGTACAGAGCTTGTAAAATATACACCACGAACTTATTATAGTATCTTTGACATCTTGACCATACGAATCAAAGTCAAGACTTGCTGGTTTTGGAATTCTATCATCAGCTATATCATCATCTATTCCAGCAAATACGGAGAAAAGCTTCAGATAAATGATGATGACTTTTATATTGTCAAGAGTGACTTTAAAGGAAAGTCCGCTTAACAATTCGGGGTTTTTCCAAATGACATGCCATATCGATTGCAAAAGGTTAGAAATTAATTTCAGCATTCCAAGTAATTCAGCCTTTCGGCGGTCGACATTTTGGGTACTGAAAGGCACAGAACAAAGTCGTTTAAGAACAAGTCTTAATGGATAAAAAGAGCATAATATAGATTCATAAGGCCGATTAGCTGAATTGAACGCTTCTCTAAGTAAGCCCCAAAGATGAATTTGGAACTCCGTGGAAGTCTTTACTAAAAACTGGGATATTAAATACGACTGGTTGTCATTTGAAACAGAATTTTCAAATAGCAAAACTGGCTCCAAGTTCTCTATTACTGCGTTGTAATCGAGTAACTTCGTATTTACAAAGAGTATGTTAAAGAATTCAATAGTTTGTAATTTTGATAATTCAAAATCGATCACATCAATGTTTATGTCAGGCATGCAATGGCTGTTCAAAAGTTCAAAGGAGATATGATTTTGTATGAGAATACTTTTTATCTTCAAGAAAGTTTCGACAATGGAATCATTAGGAGATCCTAACAATCTTAATAGTAGATTACGGGCCCATTCGAACCTGATTTTCAACTGGATGAAGGGTTCGGTGGAATTATATTCAGAATGGAAACACAAAACTTCACCACTCAGTAACTTCCAACGTATGCACCTTCTTTTCTTACTTTCAAGATTGATAGTAGAATTTTCGTTCCGTGCAATCTCATTCTTCGCGTTTATTTTTAATTCTTGAAAGTAATCATCTAAAAAGATTTCGAAAAGTGATTGAGCACATGGTAATGTATGATTGTCTCCTATACTTTGTTTAACAACGGAATATAACAAGTCTTCTACTTTAATAGCGGTTTCTGTCAGCTTAGATTTGAAACCTTTACCCCAACATTGCCGCATGTACAAAGGAACTCCAACTTCATCGTCTACGGGTTCTAACATCACGCGGACGAAAAAAGCTGCGATTTCAGATGGGACCATTCTCCTGCTGTTGATATTGAAAATCAATTTAGCTAAAAAATCTCTTGAGGTCTCCATGTGTTCTAATCTGTGAGAACTTTGCATTGCTAAGTCAAATAGCATCATCTGAGAGAAAGCGCCGTTTGCAGACATGTCAGTTATGCTGGTATCACTGACATTGTCCTGACTTGGAAAGTTAATAAGTAATTGTCGATAATCATCAAAGAGATCTTTGTAAGGATCAAAGATGCCATCGAAAGTAAAGGACTCTGTTTGCGCTGAACTTCCGGTTGTCATTGAAGCTTTTATGTCTTCAAGTATATTGAATATGGATAGGAAAAGATTCGTTTCTGATGAAGCACGAGGTTCACGACCGCGTGAACGTTTACTACTCCTAACTTCTGAATCATCGGCTGGTCTCTTAGGGCTTTTTGAAGTTGCCGATGGTAAAGGAGGAGGAACAATGTCATTAGCATAAATAGGATCCTGTTTAGTAAAAAGTCTGTATATTAAATCTTCAGTAACAACATTTTCGGATGATTCAGGCCATAGTTCCGAATCAGTAGAATCTAAGTCGTCGTCTAGTGATGCTAAATTAGGGGCGTTTATAAGGAATATGGTTGTAGAAGGGGTAGCATAAGAAGGCAAACGTTTTTCTACAAGCCGCAGCAGATTAAGTATTAAATCTAGAATCCCATGCAAAGATTCTTCTGGAAGAGAAATGGCTTTCACTTTGGCGGAAATATCAAGAGAACGACGACTAGAAGGGACAGTTGGTATGAAAGGGAAATGAGGGGGAAGTGTATACATAGTCAGCGTAAAAAAGTCAAGCTTAGGAATATCATTACGTTGGACATGAAATCGTTTCAATATTGAGCACAGCTTTTGTAAAGATGCTAGTTTTCCAGGGTTTAGCTCATCCGGTTTCATTAAAGATAATGCGGGATCAAAAGACTCATATCCCGTGTATAAGGAGGACTCGAGCGCAAATCTCAAAACTCTTGAGAGATGTAATTTTTCTGCAAGCTCAGCAACTTTTGTCCATAAATCAATATCATTGGGATCGCAAGCAAGAGCAATGGAAAAATCGTTTATAGCTTGGCGACATAAACTAATAACGTCTGCCTCAGAGGAAAATGGATACTTTTTGGAAAGGGCACTGGAGAAGAGAAACTCGCCATGATTTTTTCGAACAAGGTAATGTAGGAGTAAAAGAGCATTGTTTTTAGGCTTTCGTGATAGATGGGAAACATCGGGTTTACGGAGAAGCCGGAGATTGAGCAGTTCTTCATAGTTCTTGGAAGCGAGATCCCAGTCGTTCTCTTTTTGTGCAAGCAGGGCATTTTGATAAATTTGAAGCGCTTCTTCTATCCGAATTTCTAACGTGCGCTTTTCTTTATCTAGGTCTTCACCTGCTGCATTTAAAGGCGTGAAGGAAGCCATGTTGTGAATAGATGAACTTTAAAAAAACAAAAAAATATATGTGGATAGAAAAAGTAATGCTTATGCGGTTGCAATTTAAACACCCTTTTAATAGAACGAACGCATAAAAATCATAAACGTAAAGATTGTATATCCATGAAAACTGAAAGTGTTCATAAGATTTATGAACAATAAGCCAAAAGGACAATAAGAAACAGAATATTTTTCAACAAAATGGCAAAGTAAAAGTGTCGTACTTCCTAACAAGTTGCCAAAGGTCAAAAGAAACTTCAATAATAGATAAAAAGCAAAAAAAAAAAAAAAAAAAAAAAAAAAGAAGCTGAATCGGAAAAAGCAAAGAAAAAGTAAGACTAGTGATCGGTCAATAAAAAGTGTCCAAGTATAATAGGTAGTTAAATAACCAAACTTTTTTCAAACAAAACAATAAAAATAACAGGTATTCAAACGAAAAAAAAAAAAATTACAAACTCTAAGAACCGTTTGCATAGGATAAGACAATGTACAGTGTAGTCGATTTTTTACAGACCAAGCATATGTCGGATGTTAAATAATGGTCTTGCTTAATTAAGTTCTGTAGACTTTGGGAAAGACCAAAAAGAAAAGAGAACACTAAACAAAAAGAAACTGCTTTAGATGGAGACTTCTTTCCAACTGACTAGAACTTGGGGGATTTCGCTAACAATGAACGTTGTGTGTGTGGGTCTTATTACATAAAAATAAAAAGTTGGAGTCCATAGTGACGGGTCGTCTTTTGGCATGGAGGATGGTGTGGAGATATTGATTAAATATCTACTGATAATAGCTCTTTGAAGCCGATTCTTTTTAAGTCATTTTGCCGTTTCCCATTAGAATAGAAAGCACCTTGGGCGTATTGATGCAAGTCGAAGTATGGAACAGTAATTTGAAAGTAGTATACTGCGCTACGAATGGAAATAAGAATGAAACAATAAGAGAAAGTTCTAGAGAGAAGATAATACTGTTGCAAAATATTGAAGAAGCAGTCTACGATCATTATACGGTGGGTTGAAGCAATTCGTGAAAATAAAGCTTGAAGGTCAATCATAAAGTGTAACAGTTACACCGGTGTAGAAGAAGAAGAAAAAAAAAAAAAAAGAACACCGGCTACTAATGAACCGGTATACTAACGTTAATGAAGAGAAACGACTTTAAGCGTTGAAAATGTGTCTTTCCTTATTCAATTGGCTTCCTATCGATTTTTGCATCTACAATACGATTTAATGTTTTATTACCATTAATAACAACATAAACATGTAAAAACACAGCGTTTCATTCGTTGAAAGTCTCTTTACGTTCCTTATCCATAAATCGCAGAAAACTTGATGAATATGGATGTTTCCTGAGCGGAAAGCAAAAGAATCAAAGAAATAAAAAGTAAATGGTGATTGGGGAAAGAAAAGAAGATAAAAAAGATAGAGGCTGGATGTTTTTACCATTTACGAGAGAGCCAAAACAAGAATAGATAAAACGTTGCTCTCCCTTTCAATAAAGGTTAGGAAAAAACACAGATAGGAATCATCGTTGCAATCATCACCATAAATCTTCAACCAACATTCTTTCAAATTTACTTTTGTTGCTCGGCGTCACTCGATTGGTAAGTTTGAGTTGGTTCTTGGGTACCGTTCTTCCACTTGGCATAGACGAATTCCACGTTGTTAGAACCCTTAAGATCAGAACGTATTTCAGGCTTTAATGCCTGACGAACTGTTTGAGAGCAAATAGAAGCGTATTTTGAGTAGCTAGTTTTCAATGTTAGTATGATTGCCAGCTTTAGAGATTTTTTAATCACAAATCTTTTTCCAAATCTTCTTTCCCTATACTACTTACCTAAAGTTCTTTTTCCAAGCGAATGCCATTTCTAGTTCTGTTACAAAGTAGGAGATGGGGGATTGCAGGATTACTGCCTCCCGCTTCTCAGACGTGAGCGTCGAGTCTAGGGGAAGGGTATGACACTTTATTGGAAAACTTGAAAATCGCCTGTTCTTGTATCTTAAAGATGTGAGAGCATAGTAAAAGTTAATTTAGTTTTCTAAATATGTTCTCTTGTTACGATAGAGGACAACTGGTGCTTTACGGATGCTTCTCAATCGAGTTGTACTGACACGAAACTCAATGTCCAGGATGGTTTTAAGGTAATTCCATTTTCTATATAAGTTAATTAATTTAACTGACTCTTTTTTACTTCCCATCTTAATTCTCATCCGAAAGAATCAGGTAAATGTTATTTGCTTATTAATGCAACAGTTTTGTATCGTTATCTTAGATACCAACTATCCCGCTTCAGATCCTTGGGTATATACTGCTTTTTACTGTAACTCACTATTATACTTATCATGCTTCACTTCAATTCCTTATTTTAATTCAGATGCTCATTTGGCACTTTGACGTTTGCATTTTACACAGCCAGCTAGAAACTTAACAGAAACCAATCAGGGAACCATTGAATTTACGGTTCTTAAAGGAAAAGAGTATATGAGTGATTCATTTTTCAAAGATATTCCAGAGTACGTGATTGAAAGATATTGAAAGCGAACCAATGCATTCAAATCACTACTTATGCTAATGCACCTCGTAGGTTTCTCGAAACTCGCGTCAATGAGTCACTAGAGGCTCGCTCCAAGTCTCTTTCGCAATTCAAGGAGTTGGGGCCGGCTGATCACGTTCATACGACAAAGGTTGGCAGTCGAAATCCGTCAAAAGAGGTATGTGTCGGCTGTATAGCGAGTTCTTCTTGAATATACAAGTCTATGTGAACAGGATCTTTAATTGGATTCTTAGATGCCCATTTATGTGAAATGTTATAATTGTTGTGAACGGGGGATATGAAGCTCGTCTTGTATTTGGAGGAATTCATACTAACACAACTAGGTTGGAACGTATCATTTTGTTTCGGGAATCGATGCCTCTTCGTCTGCTTCTTTGGCTGCTTATCTGAATACTCTCTCGTATTCCTTAGACAAAAGTCAGCAATGGTTTACTAAGTCTCAAACCTGGTCTATAAGTCATAGTGTATATTGCTGTTATAATGCATTCTCTCGGTTGGACGTTCGTGTTGAGGCAAAAGTTCCTGGTGGTGTAGACACTTATGCGATCGATGAAAATGGACGAAAGCACAAAATGGATGTTCGCATGTGGGTTGAAACCTACATGTCATCCATACTTCGATCTTTGCTTTATTCCGATGAGCTCTACTCTCGTTTCACTGGCCATCGCAAGTTCAACCCTATACCCAATCCGGATAGTGAGCTTCGTTTTTTTGAAGCTTTCGAAGAACTTTTTCCCTTGGGACATATGCTGGGCTCTTCGCCCGAAATCCGCATACCCACAAACGTCAACAATCATTTAGTTCGAGGTTTCTTTATATACGTTCGTCAAAATTGCCGTTTTAGTGCCGCTCTAAATTCTTTAGAAAAATTGCATATCAATTCTCCTGAAGTATCCGTTCTTTTGGCTCAATTATACCTGTACATGGATCATGAAGTGCATGCTGTTCGTGTGTTGCACGAAGCCTTACAAAAACAAAGAATGTCTGCTGATTTACTCGTTGTTCAAGCAAGGTTCTTGGTTTCCAAAGAGCGTTATGACCTTGCTTTGACAAGTGCTAAGCGTGCCGTTCATGCCTCTCCATCTGAATTTTTACCGTGGATATGTTTGGCTGAAGTCTACCTTCATTTGGAAGACTTTGATTCTGCTTTGTTGGCCTTGAATTCTTGCCCTATGTACACTTATTATGAACGAGATGTGTACCCTATTCCTCCTCCTGCAAAGGCTCACCTTCCATTGCCTGTTGGCTTCCCTAAAGAGGAGCTTGAAGGTGAAAATGCAAATGGACGAACTGGTTCAGTGGACATGGTAGATCCTTACCTTGCACGTCTCCCTTCTCCAAGCCTGCGTGGTACCTTTGCAAGAGTTTATGAAGTATTAACTCTTATCTGCTCAAAGATTGGCTGGGATGAGCTCCTCCGAATTCGTTCCTCTGTTTTCGTTATGGAAGAAGAGTACCGATCGTTAAACAATAGTGGCAAACCTAACCCAGATGAGAAAGAGGATCCAACCACAGAGGAACCTTCAGTTAAGCAGAGAAATGACAATGAATCTCACTTGGATAAACCAGAGGCTATAATGACCAGCTCTACTCAGAACTTGAGCGTTCATAACAAGCGCTTATGTGAGCGATGGTTGGATAACCTTTTTATGGTATTGTATGAAGACTTACGTGTATTTACTATCTGGCGTGCTGAATATACGCATTTTAGGTCACAGGGATTGGTTTACCGTAAGTCTCCAATGGAATGGGAAATCTTGGGTGAAGTAGCTTTCCGACTACACCATCGCGTTGAAGCTGTTGAAGCTTTTTGTGCCTGTCTTGAAAATATGTTCTCGTTCAAAGCATGGAAAACCATGTTAATAATTTGTGCTGAGGATAATAATATTGAATTGGTACTGACTGCTATTGCTAAACTGACTCTTTCTAATTATCGCTGGTACCAAGAGTACTCTCCGTTCTTGTTAGAACATATAAAAAATAGAATTATGCAAGACGGTGCTTTGAAAATGAAAAGCATATTGGCTTCCACAAGATTGGATCCATATATCTTGAATTTGATTCACAAGCTTTATTTCGAATGGGCAATTGTTTTTCAGATCCCTGGACATGAATTATAATTTTCTTTGTAATGTTTTCCTCACCTTCTTTTCAATATCTGGTTTTGCGCGTTTAGACAGCCTTCTCTGTCTTATTGGGTTCTCAACGTTCCTTAATAAAGAAGTTGGTTAAGTAACTATACTGACCTTTACATTCCTTACGAAAGGTAAAATACATATATAATGAACAAATAACAAAACTTTTACTGCCTTAATAAACAATCTTCAGATACTTGGTATATTTTAAGATGTAAACAAGGTTTGCTTAAATCGATTAACAGACTATTATGTTACACTCTCTGGTTACTACGCTCATGAATAGAAATTCCAGTGAATTATAGGTATTTATTATGGATATATAAAAACCAAAATGTAAGATATCTGAAACTCAAGTAATCCAATCTGGCAATATGTAGCACAAAAGTAATGGAGTCTACGTGCTAATACATAGGAACCAATATTGAATAGAATAATTAAATAAATAAAATAAAGTCATAAACGTTAAAACGAAGGAGAAATTTTGTAGTCCCTAAATCTTGATCGTTATAAGAAAAGTGTAATGAAAGTATACCATTGCGGGAAATCGTGAGCTGCCCCATTGGGAAGCGATGACTCATATCAATTTTCACTCTAAAAAAAGTCTTATAACAGTTCGAGTTCGTAAGCAATAGTATGCTGTAAACTACTAAGCTCGTCTCGTATTTGCCGAAATATATATTCTCGGGCAGTACTCTGAGGAACCCGAAATTCGTAACAAGTACCCTTTTTCAGGATCAGCGCTATTTTAAGGTCTTCTCTTAATTCAACATCTTGTAGTTTTCGAAGAGGAAACTCTTTTGAACATCGTAAACTCTTTGATCGAACAAACATAACGCGTCGGTCAGTTAGAATAACAATCTTTTGACTCTTGATGACTATGTGCGCCCTATAGTATTCATTGAAGTATCGCCCATTGTCAAGATGTTTCAACCAATACTGGCCCAGAGCTTCTCTCAAATCAAACGGATGAACAACTCCGTCCTTGTGAACTAGCCTTGACATTCTTATTTTTTCAATGCTCCGTTCGTCAAATACTGTCGTTGTATTTCTGGCGCCTTCCGTGATACTTGATGCAAAATCAAAGAGACCTACGAGAGGCTTAGTAGTAACTCCAACCATACCTTTACCAAGACCTTTCATAAATCCTGGAACTCCATTTCTTCTTGCCCCTAAAACAGGCTGAAGAGCTAATCCACTAAGACCACTTCGAACTCCGGTGTAAAATGAAGTTGCACCAGCCGTAACCCCGTATAAAAGATGAACCGGCCGATTCCGTATACGTGCGGTTCGTCGACGAGTCTGAAACTTTTGATCCATGGTAATTACACTTAAACTTCTTGAAATTGTACCTGCTAGCTTTGTCACGGTGTCAGTTAAACCAAATATTGTTTTCTTAACAAAACTTGCAGTTCCTTTAGCAAACCCAATCCCAAGTTCATAAGATCCTTCATTTATAATAAATCCATGAAAAGGTTCGTAAAATATGTCAGCAAAACCCGATGTAATCGTGGTAAATAAGCCAACGGGATTTCCTAAGAAGTCAGCAGAGCCAACAATTTTGTGAACTTGAAAAAGCATCTCTTGTTCATAATGGTTCCTGACAAGCTCAAACAAACGTCGCAAAGATACATGAGCATTATCCATTATCAAAGCATTTAAACGAACAGGTGCATCATTAATGTTTCCAATCGCCATAGACAAAATATTTACAAAGAAGACAAAGGGGTTATGCGATGATACCGATGTGTTTGCATTGTTTATCCGCTCCGTTCTCACAAAAGACAAGTGAAGTTGACTTGGCTGCAAGTTGAGAATTTCAAAATACACCTTCATATCAGAACTAAATTCATTCGGTACACGTATACACAAGCTAGTGTCAAACATTATATCTTCTGACGACTTAAACGATTGAGGCATTGAATCTTTCATAAATTCAACCGCAGCAAATGCAAAGTCTTCGTCAATTTCAATAGAGAGTTCTTGCAGTAATATCGTAGCATATTTAACGTACATGATACCATAGGTATCGTTTTTCATCAAGGCTACCATAGAATGAAAAGTCGGGAGCAAAGAGTTATCGTTCATTGCTTCCTCCTGAGATAGAATGGTAGGATACACAAGTAAAGGATAAATACCTCCATACAACTGATTATCGGCTTGTATCCATCGGATATCCAGTTTGAAGGTTCGGAGAGTACTAGACTCAGTAAAAAAGAAATTAACACCATGAAAGGTTATGTAGGCTAGTTCTTGTGTGTTTCTACAAACAAGAGATATACCAATTCCTTCCATTATAAACTTAACGGATAAATCTATATAAGTGTCGGCTTGTTCTAAGCTGAAGTCCGTTTCTTCACAAGCTACCTTACTTGAAAGCTTTGGTTTCGCAACTACTGAAGCCATATCAGTGGGTTTTAGAATCAAAATTTTCGAAATACCACTTGCGATAATGTCTCTTGAAATATAAGTAGAAACACCAGATCCATCCTTTATTTTGAAAGGCGTTAAAGAGCCAATTTCTGCCAACGTCGTTACACACTTGTTTGAGCCACTATGCAAAACAATTTCCTTGGATAGCGAAGACGGATAATCCCAAGAATATTTAATTTCACTGTGTGAAGGCAAATTGTGTGTCTTTTGTTCGATAACTTGGCTCCGTTTTTTACTCTCTTCATCAACGATATTAACCTGTGAGAACTTAAAGTTTAGATTCGTCTCATTCCTTATATAAAATGGCCATGCTCCGTTTTCCTCTATGAAGTAAATGAAAATAGTCGCCCTATCTAAAGTAATCTCGGCCCTTATTAGCCTTTCACCTTCTATCGTAGGTAAACGAAGATATATGGAGCCAATTTCCTCAATACAAAATGGTGAAGACCATTCAAAAAAGTCATTACAGGAAACTCGGATCATTGGAGATGTCGCTTTTGTTATATACTTCAAAAAGTCTTCTTGATTGGGTTGAACCTCCATTGTACCTTCTTCATTAGGTTCAGCTATCGAGAGCATCCATCGGGTTTTATTAATTATCAGGAACCTTGATGCTATAGTGACAACTTTTGTATTTGAGTACCCATTAGGTCCTGTTTCAATAAATACACCAACTTTGTAAACAAGATCATGAAGGTACTTATGGGGAAGTTCGACTTCGAAGACACTGCCAATTGCGTCAAAGCTAATTGGCTCACTCCACTGTGAGTTATTACTTTGTAAACGGCACCGACGGCTACCATGATTTTTCCAATATGAAAAAAGACACGGAATTGCCTGGTCATTGCTACCCTCAGAAAGCTTAACAGAAGAAAATGCGAACTTTTTATATTCGCTTTTTGGACCAATGGCTAACGGCGTCCTAGTTTTATTAATCACAACGTATGGACTAAAAATTTCAATATGAAAAATTCCTGGGTAAACTTCAACATATTTCAAACCTAGCTTGACTTTTCTTCCGTCCTGAAGTGTCACTGTAAGGTATTTATCTCTTTCGTATACTTCCGGATTATTAGTAACAATGGTAGCAAATGAATTAGAAACAAGTTCAGAATTAGGCGTTTGGACTTGCAAAAGCAAAACATGAGACATGTCAACTGAATGAACGTAAGAGCATTTACCAACATCGACCTTCGATATCCAAGTTGAATTTGCTTCCTTATCGATGATTTTGACCTGAATATCAATGGGTAACAAATTTCTTAACTCTAGTAAAGCAGTTATGTTTATGTGCATGTATGGATAATGCGAAGCGATCTGCTTGTTTTTGTATTCTGCGTTCACTGCGAATCGACAAAAGGGAACTTTATCAGCCTGATGTAATTGGGAACACGAAAGTGTACTTTTCTTCTTCTCGGCTAAAAGTCTCCAATTTATAGGTTCTAATGACCAGGCATATCCAAATTCTGAAATTGGCCGTATATGAATAAGATTCTCGTAAGCGGCTTCAATAGGTAGATTACAGACCTCTTTTGGGGGGATCGTGTAAATCGGCGATTTCCTATGTCCATCCGAATCACACAAAATGATATCTACTTCCATCATACTTTCATTTTTCAATAATAAAGGAGACCTCAAAGAGATATGCTTAACATATTCTCTGCTTAAAGAAACATCAACGACTATATAATGCTTTACGGATGAACTTTCAGATATAAGTGGAAAGATATACTCTCCCACTTTGTTCACCTGTATACGTCGTAAAGTTTGAAAGGCGCCATTTTCAAAATGTATGCCTATGCATGATCTGTTTCCGTCTTGCTTCATGATATCTTGCATTTGCCGCCATTCTTCAAACTTCCAATCGGTTCCTTTTCCATCCTCTAATCTGCGCACGTAAGAATTATCACTTCCTTCATAATCGGCCCAAATACTCAAAGTATGTCCAGTATGATTATGAATACGGTATGGTGCATCTGTTTTAGATGAAGCCGGCAAATTCTCATTAATTCCTTTTGAAAACCCAAAATTTAGCGTTTCCAAGAGTTGAGAAGTTATTACCAGTTCTAATTTCTTCCTTGAGATTAAATAAAGAGCACTTTTAAAGGTAATAGGGTTTCGGGATAAATGAAACCCAAAAGCCCAAGGTTCTAAAAACGGCTCCCAATGGGAGTTAGCAAAATTATAAAAATTCATAAAAAGTTCCAAATGGGTATTCAAATTTAGTTCAGACGACCAGTCATTCAGATCAATTTTCAAGGGTTTTAAATTCAAATTTATAATCGGTAAATCGTGCAATTGACTAATCAAAAGGATCCGAATTCCATCTATCGTCAGGGAACATTCTTCTTTGCAAATCTTAATTCCAAAAAGTGAGCAAGAATTCGCAGTTGGAATATCCGTAAATATTTGATCATCCACTTCTTCTTCTTTCAAGTCTTCTCCCTCTTTAAGGGGCACCGCGTATAAAGCATAGTAGAAATTATAAACATCTTGTGACACTTTTTTTAACAATAACAAGTCTGGATACGTAGATCGAATTATCAGTGCTTCAAAATCCAATGATATGTTAGACATTACCTGCATATTGCTGGCTTTATGCAAGGAGTACGCAAATCGAAATCCAAACGGATCTACTAACTGAGTACTAACGTTCGACGTATTGTCCATTGTTTGAGCATTTAAAGTAACGTTATTTGCGGTTATAGCCAATATTGATTGTTGGGTTATCAATAGTTCACCAAAATTAACAGGAAGAATATATGGCACCGGGGCTTGTATGTCCTTAAAAAACAGAAGGGATAAATCAACGAATGTGATCCTGTAAAATAACGTACATTCTTCTATTTGGGTAGAGGCTTCTTTTGATACCAACGCTCTATTATTCAAAAACTTCAGTGTGTTTAAATAAGAGCGATGCCAATGAACGAAAATGGACCATAATGGATACAGATAGTCAAAGTTAGCGTATACCTTCGCCGAGTCCACTTCAATAATCAAGTTCGACTTTGGCATGGGGGTCACATAATTAAGTGAACCTATAAGAAGCGTGTGGTGTTCGTCAGGGTACTGAAAGGTTTTGTTTAAAATATGATGTTCTCTTCTATTAACATCATAAAATTGTATTTCGAAAATTGAAAACTCGGTATAATTACGACCATTTGCATACATATATTGCTCAGCTTGTAAATGAGAGAAATCCATGATAGTATGTAGAGCCATCAAATTAGTATGGTTTTCAAATACATCGTCAGTAAAAACATTATAGCGTATCTTTTGAAAGTTATAGAGTACAACTATCGAGAATTCATTAGAAGTCATCTCAGGTAAAGTCAATGCCCTAATCGTTCCATTCCTCGACAAGGCTGTCACTAGTTCATTCCTTAACTGTTTATCAGAATAATGTACATCCAGGTTTGTAAAGCCAGTAACAGCATTGTAAAATGACCACAAAAGTACATGATGAGGATCACACATATCCACCTCCAGATGGGGGGTTTTTGCATCTATTTGGAGAACACTAGAAAGAGTATTCAAATCCGTTGCGTAATTAAGATTGATCTTGAAATCAAAGTTTTTTGAAAGTTGTATTCGCTGCTTGACATTAGAAAGTGATGTAGAGACTTTAATTGCATTAATCTCCATTTTGGTCAGAGATTTCCTTTGATTATCGTCAACTTTTGGAGCTTCATTACTTATACAAAAGGAACCAACGTTAACAAAAATAGAAGACCTGACTTGTTCATTGGGAGAAACAATTCCCTCATAGACAATCGTAGGATTGCGTACATGAAATTCAGTTTTTGTGAAAGTACGGGTATTTTCTTTTCCATATAATTTATAATATAATTCATACTTAACAGAGTCATAAAGATCCTTTTGCTTTTTGTATTTCATGAAAAACCCGTACAGAGAATTAAAGTATTCCTCTACAAAAGTTAAGGTAACGGGACCTAGAGATAAATCTAAGCTCGAGTCTTGCTGTAGATCTCCATTTTTCTCCATGTTAACATCGTAGCTTTCATATTGCAAATTGCATAAATCCTCATTATCAATTGATAATATTTTTGAAGGGGTAGCGCAACCATCTAAGCAATTTAGAACCTCAGCTTTATAAAAATGAGCTTGAAGAGAAAACGAATTTCGGAATTCCATATATAGTTTCAGATTTTCCAGATTGAGTATGGAAAAGCTGACTTCTCTATCATACAAATAGATATTAACGCGATCAAGGCGCAAATTGGCATTCTCATTTATACTTGACTTTTCGACGTTTTGGTATTTATCGTCATTTGCTGCACCATTATCCGTTCCCTCAGTTACCTTATAAGCGTTATACAAAGGGGTGAATGTACATAAAATGTAATCATATATAAGTATAAAACCAGCAGGTACAACATTAAGACGTAAATCGGATATCGCAACGCCGATTGTAACCCTAACGCCTTCGTAAATTGGCTGTAACTCGGGTGAATCCTCATCAATGCTCGTATAACTAATGATAACCTTACCAGAGGCTTCATCAATAGCATCTGAAGATGGTTCCACCAGGACGTTATTGCATACTCCTGAAGGATACGTAAATTCTTTAATAGTCAAGTCCGTAAGAGTTACTAGAACATGATAGTCAAACTTTCGAACAACCAGCTCCACTGCAAAAGTAGTCGAAGCACGCATGATAGGAATTACTTTCTCGTTGAATCTCCAATACATGGAGCACACGGCACTATCAACAGTAAAGTAAAAGGCAAACACCTCTTGAGCTATAAACTCAACTATCCTTGTGTTCGTTAATTTATTTGAGAAATCTTGTGATGTTTGCTGAAAAGATTCTGAAGCATCATAAAACTCAGGGGGTTTGACTGCATCAAGAAATTGTTGAGTCGTAAATGGTATTTCCATAGCTGGAAAATCGGGTAGCAAATTACTCATCATATTGGTAAATACTTGATATTGATCATCGGTGAACATAATTTCGGCACTTTTCATATGACTGAACACGCGAAACTTGGTTAGGTTAGTAGCTTTCTGTAGAATGGATATCTCAAAACTAATATCCAAAGAACACTCCTTTAAAACGTGATAATCAGATTCTACTGACAAAGAGGACATCCCAACATCGTAGTTTGGAGCTATTAAACACCTCGTTTCATATAGTGAAATGACAAATCGATCGTACATTAAGTTTTTTAATTGTTCCATAAGTTCGGAATTGATCTGTTTGCTTTGCAGACAACGAAATTTCTCAATAAGTTGATCATCTACAAGCTGAGTATGAGCGACGATGCGACCGACATCGAGAAATAAAGTAGGGCTATCATAATCCGAACATTTTTGACGAACTACAATTAGAGGAGCCTGTAAGTCGATAGTCATATCTGCTGTCTTATGCTGTTCAAGTGCATAATCTAGGCTGGCTCTCGTTTGTCTAGCTAGATTCATAACCTTGGCAGCAGCTGAATAACTCCATTCCGTGACATGTTCGAGTTTCGTTCGAGATGGTAGAAAAAATTCAATAAGTCTCTCAACACAAGTTCGATTGTAAACTAAAATGAGGGTTCTAAGATGAACCAATAAGACCGAACTAGCCTTTGAGTCCAAAGAATAAGAATCGAATAAAAGGAAAAACAAATGTTCTCTATAATTTTCTGGTATTTTCGAATTACTTTCTTTAATACCATCGGAATCCTTGCAGAAAACAACTTTAGTAGGAGGGAAGTTAGGATTGGTAACCCCATCCAATACATCCAAATCCTGTAAGGAAACCTTTAGTTTAAAAGATCGTGGACGAACCAAGCATTCAGTTTCAAATCCTTCGAAGCGCTGTTGAATAATCATGCTATTCTTATTTTCAGACTTTGAAATTATTGAAAAGCTTCCTCTGTCAATGGAAATATTAAAGACGGCAATACAAGTATCCGGGTTCAGTGCAACGCTGTTAGGATAAACTTGTCCACTCCATTCTATAGAAGAAAAAAACTGTTTCTGTTCTTCTTCAGTGAACCTAGGAGTATCAGAAACATTATCTCGTGGTTTTCGAATATGTGCTGCTGCCCAATCAAACCAGCCTTGAATAGCAGATTTTTTTAACTTTAAATAATCAGGATTCTTTTCGTTTAGGAGGGAAGTATGAACACGGGACCGATATTTGAGAAGATCATAAATGTTCGTCCTCTGTTCAATTGTTTTCTGTAAATGAATTTCATCGCTATCAACTTCCTCATTTAAATATCTTCTACGGATTATATCCATATACAGTACACGATCATCACGACGAGATTTGAAATACTTCCAAGCCCATTGCTTCTGCTTTTGGTGGATGGAATCTTTAACAACTAGAGCAGTGTATCTAAACCAAGCAAGAGGATCATCCTTCGGGCTTACTTTGGGACGGAAGTGCACATATAGCTGTTGCCTCAACATAAGCTTGAAATAATCTATCATAGTTAAAAGACTATTAAATTCGGCATCACTTAGAGCAAAGGATATTTCGTCAATCGACAGAGTGCCCCGTAACTGCATAATCTGATCATCAGGATGTCGAAATAAAACAAAGTGACCGTTTACTGTCATTGGTTTTAATATATAATCAAATTTCGGAGATCGTATGCAATCGGGAATGGCTTGCCGTAATTTGGCAAAGATCTCTTCGGGAGAGCAAGTTCTAGGTATCATGCACTTATCTATATAATAAATAGAAACATAATCAACAAATAAATACTTGTGGATACAACTTTCGGGAAGGGGGTCAGAAGGTAATAAATAATCTTTAAAATCGTCGTCTGTAGAATGTAATCGTAGCGAATTCAGAGTAACCCCTAACGAAAAAGGGTGTTTGCAATCGCTTAAATCATCGTCATAATGCAAATGCACTCGGCCAACTGAAATCTCGAGATTAGCAGTTAACTTAGCAATCATAAACTCTAGGAGGGATTGTTTTTTACTGTTCGTCGTGGTAGTATTCGCATCATCAAGTGCTTCTCGAAAGTTTTTTCTTAATATTTCAAAACTATCAAGTTGTTCTTGCTTAAAAGCCTGGCGTGACTCTTTTAGTTCTTGTTCGGAAAATGAACTTTTTCCTTGAGGCCGAATTAATAGGTATATATCTTCAATTTTTACTTTTAAAGATTTTTTTTGTAAATCTGACCAAGGCATTTCTAAGTTGAAATTACCTATGAATCCTCTGGTGATTTTTATAGGTACACCCAATTTGTCCAACGCCTGACAAGATGGTTAGACAAACTACTTTTATATAAATCTCTTTCACTTACTTCTGGCTTAATTGCAAGATTTTGAAGACTTACATGTCCACCCCAGACACCGATATTCAGCTGTTTGGTGTCCAGGTTGTCCACATAGGAACCCAATATCTTGTTTAAGAGTCCTAATCAACCCATTAGTAGATATCCTCGGATTAATTTTTTAATTTAATGTTTATTATACCTGCTATTAGACCCTCTAACATCTTGATGGCACTCTCGGAAAGAAGTGCTAAAGCTTGGTTATCCTCTGTGTCATTACCCAAATAACAACAATGAGTGAGCGAGTTTACTTTACAAGATATTTACAATGCATGAATTTCTTATGCAAAATACGCTTTGATTAACTAATTGATGATTGCTATTTACAAAAAAATAAAAAGGAAAGCAAACATTTATATATTTGTTACGATGTAAGTAAATACACTACAAACGGGTCATGAATATACCATTAATAATTGGCAAAATAATTAATTATTGAAACGCAAACCGGTAGCAAAAAAGAAAATAATTCCATTAAAAAGATGAGTATTTCGTACCGCTGAAATATGTGAATGGTAAACACATATCTGTCAAGACAATATGCAATAGTTTGACGCTTTCCCAACTGATCTTCTTTATCCTTCGAAAACATGACAGCAATAAATAAAATATGTATTTCGAAGTTACTTTGAACATGCGAGATATTCAAAATACATACAAAGATAATCAATAATAATCCTTAACGGACTATCCGTGTACGAACTCTAAAGAGAATTGGTGAAAATTATATACAAAAAGGCAGAAAGATTTTGGAGAATATCAGATAACGACAGCAAAAATCAAGGCTATCAAGAAAGTTTCAGCAAAAAAGGTAGGGAGATTGAATCCTTGAAATAAGTGTTTCCACTGTCAAAACTCGTAAACAAAAAGAAAGAAAGTTATATACAAACATGCTTCTCTTGTAAGTATCTACCTTTCGTTGCTATACAATTCACCCATATCGGTTAGATCCTGCTGTATGTCATCCATGGAAGCCTGTTCAATAATGGGGGCAGCTGGAAATCCGACAAAATTGTCCAATTCACAAAGAATAGCAGTTTCATAATCTAATCTTTGTTTATTAATTAAAGCGTTCTGTCGGAAAGAAGTCTGCTTTTGGAGTTGAACGATGGGATCATAAGATAAGTGTTGTCTATTCAGCAAACGATAAAATTTGGCAGCAACACTCGCAGATAACATTTGTCTCAGCTTCCGTTTATCAAAACGGAGCTGATAATGCCTTTGTGAATATACAAAATTCATCATATTTCGGATAGAAGTCAACTGCTTGTTGAGAAGTTCGGTAGCCCGTTGAATCCTATTGTCTCTATGTTCGACAATCAGCTCGACGCATGCATTAAATCGTTGATGTCTTTTATTTTTTATTAACTCTTCTTGTTCTTCAAGCTTCAAAAGTCTCTTTCCGTATATGCGATTCCGTAGGACTGCAAATTCCTTTTCTATAGCCGATAAAGCTTCAAATGCCTCTTTGCGCTTCAATGTTTTTTCGGCATCCTGGTCAGAAGGTTGTTCGAACCCATGCCGACCTTCCATAACTGACTCTCCGTCCAGCTCGGTACCCCTTTCATGATCTTCAATTGCTGAATTTCGTTTGGATCGGCCATCACGCGCACCATACCTGGCGCGTGAAGCGGCAACTCGCCTTCTTTTCCTACCAAAAGACTCTTGTGCTTCAATTTTCCTAGGATTTTCTTTTTCTTCTTCGTCTTCTTCTTCATCACCATCCTCTTCTTTTTCGGCAGCATCTGCTTCTTCTGCCGCTATTGTGTTTTCATTTTGTGATAGATTTCCTTTAGATAACCCATTAGATGCACCCTCATTGTTATTTTTGTAGCTAAACTCTTCCGATTGTTCTTCCGTAGCCTCTTTGTTTACGTTGGGCTGTGTACCGGGTGCGTGGATCGAAGGAGCTTGATTGGCATTATTGTTCTCTTCCTCTTGAAAAATTACAGTTTCTGCTTCAGACAGATTATCTTGTTCATTTTCTTCATTTTGAGTAGTGATTTCTTCACGAATAGCGTCATTTTCAGCATTCGACGACTGAGGTATCGCAGGTAAAATTGGTGAACCCCTTTCAGGAATGTCAATAGATGAATTTTTGGAAACTTCATTGTTTGAATCAACAGGAACGTTTTCTTCGGACTTTGGTAAATCTGATTGAATACTTGTGAATGGGCCCAAGCTGTCAGACTCCTTATTTTCAATTTCAGGGTTCGGTGCTGGTGATTCTTCCATACGTTCAGTTTTCAATTTATTTTCCTGTTCTGATCCCTTCTTGTTTATCATTTCCAAATTTTCTGCATTGACAAGGGTAGGTGAATAATTTTCAGTCATAGTGAATTCCCTATTCCTCAAATCGGATCCTCAATCCGCTTAAAGTGTGAGACTTTAGAAATGGTAAGCAAAAAAGGATTGAATTCCTAAATTTCTGGCTATGATTCCTGCTTTTTCATGAAATTGGTTGTGTTGTGGAATGGGTGACATACAATTTCATATTTTCGAAAATACTGTCGTGCAGTAAATCACCACTTTTCAATAAATAAGAGAAATAAAATACGAGATGTATATCGTTAGAAATAAAAAAATATTATAAAAGTTGAACGAAAAGAAATACCCAAAATTCCAAAACACTGTTGTTTTTCTTATAACTGCCGTTTATTTACATTTTTTGTTAGCAAGAGAATTTATGCAATAAGCAAACAAATACCTGTAAATTAACATATGTTCCTAATAAAATAAATAAAATGGCTTTTGGAACTAATTAAATATGGTGGAAAAGAAACCATTGTCGTTCCTTTAGTGTTTACGCAAAGAGGTTTATTATATAGCCCAGTTTATTCAGTATCTAAGACAAAGTCAGTTAGTTTACAAAGAGTACAGAAGAATTGTAAGCCATAGTATATATTATTTACTCAAATATGTATTGGGATGTGATTACCAGGACAACGATCGAGCACAGACTTAACTAAAGTTGAAGGTTTTGATTAGAAATTCATACAAGTTTTTTTTTACTTTTTTTTCTTCTTATTCAATACTTCTAAACATTGCTGTTACAAAGCTCTAGCAGTAATGAACGAACTCTCTATAGTACCTATTATGACTTAATTGTTCACCAAGTACCATAACATACCATATAAGAGAAGAGTTGATAACTCATCAAGCAATCCGTTAAGAAACAATTTGTTGTCATACATAGAAAAAATAAGCTAAACATCTGTCTACCTTTCTTTTTTTTTGGTAATCCTAACAATCAAGTTGTCGTCCTATGTCAATTTGGGCAAAAACCTGCAAGATCTAATGTTTTGTGATACTCTCTGAAACTTACTTACAGTGATAATTTTACTACTTTTTTGAGACCTAGGGATTGAAGGATCAAAAATTGAATTTCCGATTTCTTCAATTCTTTCACAATTTGCTGGCTTTTGAGAAGGAAATGATTAACTATTCTAGTCTTGCATTATGTTTTTATCCGCTCAAACTAATTCAAAATATCTCTTGGCAACCCCGAAAAACATCCTTGTGTCGTTAAAGACTTTACCGAAATATAATTGTAGGTCAAAGTTCTTTTCTTTTACGTCCACAGGATCAATTTTGTTCCAAACGAAAAGAACATGTACCTCTAAAAATGTATTGCAGGCTTCTACTCATCTTCGTCTGAGAAATGTAGTTCAGCAAACTCCGGCAGCTTTTATGAGGAAATATGCGACCCAATTAAGCCCTTTTAGAGGTCAACACTCAAATCATAGGCTTTTCCCTACTTTACTAATTACCATTCCTGTAGCTCTCTCAGGCTGTGTTTTTGCGTACAAAATGTGGGAGTATTTGTATCAAAAACGTCAGCAGCAGCCTTCTTTAGCTCCAGTAGTGGAATACAAAGTGACTGATATTCACAACAGAAGTTTTTTCATGAAGATTAAACTAGTATTGCTATTGTGCAGACGTATCACCTATTTATTTCTAATTTTTTTTCCCGTATCATTAACTGCTCCCGTTGTATACTTATTTTATTTAAGTCCTTTCCAAAGTTATTTTTCTGCAATCTTTTCTGTTTGGGTTAAATTGTTGGTGCGTCAGCTTGAAAAAGCTGGTGCTACCTTTATAAAGGTATGGTATAGGCTCTCCCAAAAGACCATTTTCAATAGTTCATGTTACTAATTTATGCTTTTAGCTCGGGCAATGGGCTGCTACGAGGACCGACTTGTTTCCTCCAGATCTTTGCAATCAGTTATCAAAATTTCATTCTCATGTAACACCGCACAGTTTTGAACATACGGAAAAAGTTATTAAAGATTCTTTCAATGTCAGCTCAATTTCTGATGTTTTTGAAGATTTTCAGCCCATACCTATTGGAGTTGGATCAATTGCTCAAGTATACACTGCCAATTTAAAGCATGATTGTGCTTTAAAAGAGCAAAACTTTTCCTTTTCATCGAATAAAGAAAAAATAATGGACCTCTTATCTTTCCAGCGAAAACCGATTCAAGACCTACATAAAAAGGTAGCTGTCAAGGTACTACATCCGAATGTAGGACTTAATATCTCTCTGGACTTAAAAATCCTTGAATTATTTGCCTATTTTTTTGACTTGATTCCTACCATTAAATGGCTATCGTTTCCAGAAGAAGTAAAAGTATTCGGGGACATGTTAAATCAACAGTTGGACTTTCGCCATGAAGCGAATAATCTAATACAATTTCGAAAAAATTTTTCCAAAAATCCATATGTGGAATTCCCTATGGTATACGAGAATTACACCAAAGATCAAGTCTTAGTTGAAGAATTCATACCTGGTATTCCGTTGAGTATGTTCCTTCGTCATAAAGATGGACCTTTCAATAAGCTTTTAGCAAATGTTGGAAACAGTTCTTTATTTCAAATGCTTATCCTCGATAATTTTACTCATGCAGATCTGCATAGCGGAAACATAATAGTTGGGTTTAAGAAAGGCTCAACATTTTCGCGTGATTTGGAAGTCTCTGAAAATGAGTTATGCTCTAATTTGATGCCAAGTAATAATGAAGAATGGGAATCGACTATGCAATACCTGCAAGACTTAGGATATCATCCGTTCCTGACTTATTTGGATGCGGGTCTTGTTACGACGCTTAGTCCGCAGGACTTGCAAAATTTTATTGACTTATTTCAAGCGGTCTTAACTTTCGAGGGGTATGAAGCTGGCTTGTTGATGGTTGAACGAAGTCGACAGACAGAACATGTCCGTAATAAAGAAATATTCGCTCTGAGGATGGAGCATCTATTAAACAATATTCAGAAAAACACATTATCGCTAAAGTCACTTCAAATTGGAACAATTTTACAAGAAGTCATGACGATGTCTAGAGAGCATCATGTTCGCATAGAAGCTAACTTTGCCAACACTGTGTTATCCATTCTTTTGATGGAAGGAGCAGGTAGACAATTATACCCTGATATGGATCTTTTGAGTAATGCAACGCCCTTTTTGAGGGCTGCTTCTGCTAGGCGCGATATATCTATAAAAAGTCCAATGATTAAAATATGGCTGGCTCTAGAAGCCAGACAGTTTTTACTACTAAGCACATCCAAAGAGACGGTTGAGAAATGGATCAAGGCGGATATGATTTCTCCGAACATCTAATGATTGTAGTATTCATGTATTTAATAGAAAATGAAGTTCACCATAGTCAAGATAAAAATATTATTATTTGTTTTGAGTAGGTATACCTAGCGCTAGATATGAAGTAGGAAAATAAAGCACAATTCATTAGACACAAAAAAATATCATGTTTTAAGGGGGGAAGCAATGATTAATGGGTTAGATACATTCTACCCTTTTTGCGACGGTTTCTCAATATTTTTCTACCGCTGGCGGAACGGATTCTGGCTAAAAATCCAAACTTCCTTTTCCTTTTACGGTTCGAAGGTTGATATTCGTTTCCCATAGTTTTCCATCGAACTTGTTGCTGCACGCCTGTTCCTTCGAAAGTAGGGAATGAAGAGCGCAAAAGTCCATTTCCTACGCCATTGGGTCCTTGTAAACTTGGAAGAAATTGTGCTCTTTTCATAGAGAAAGAGTTAAGAAGACCACCCCATCTTGCTCCAGGGAGGAGCGATTGGAAGGAACGAAACAACATGAAAGGTATGTCAGGCCTGGCTATTAAACAGCTTCAATATAAAAAATTAGCAATCCTTCTTCTTCTTTTATTAAAAATTCATCCAATCCTTTAAAAAATCAGAATTTTCTTTCCAGGCAGCTTGATTGAGCACACAGTGAGGATGGTATATGGCGGAGGAATAGAATTAAGCAGACAACAATGTTGGATATACCTTGTACTGAAAGTCTTTTTCCAATCCTTTACTCCTTTTTTATCTTAATTATTTCTTTTTTTTATTTTATCATTAATTTTTTAATTTTCTAGGGGGTGTGTGCTCTCCAGAAGAAACTTTTTTTTTGAAGGATTAATATTGTGCGTGTTAGTAGGTTGACAAGGTACTAGGATGATCATTTATTTTCTTCAATCGCAACTAACTATACTATTTTTACGCTTCCTCTTTAATGCTAGAAACGTAAGTAAACCTTTGGATCAAGTAGGATACAAACACCATGACAACATCAGTGCCATTGTAAGTCCATTATTTTAAGAAAGCGACTTTCCATTTTCTGTCAACTGGAAGTTCACTTAAAGTTATCCTACTTGTATGGCTACAATATGAGATGGTAATTACCACAGTAAGCACAAAAGAAAGTAATGTTCCTAGCCAAAATAGGAAGTTTTTAAAGATATGCTATGCATACCGTGCTTAAGAATGAGATGAAGGAAATAGGAAAGAATATTTATCTTCTATGTACTGGAGATGCACATAATATATGCTCAAATGAAGACAACATGTTTTTTTGCAGAAAACCATTCTACTTCTTCCATTCAAACAAATCAAAAAAATTGATTGAAATAAAATCGACACTATTTTAACAACTGTCTTGAAAAATCACGAATAAAACCTGGACGAATTTACTGTTTACTAAGGTAGAAGTTTTCTTTACGGTAAGTATTATTATGTATTGGTCGGAGTCATTAAATAGCTTTCCAGCTTGTTCCCTAGTGCAAAAACGAGGATCGCTTCTTCCTTCTGTTTTGACCTTTATCCAAGGACTATTTAATATTTAAAAAAAATGGATTACCAAAATCGTGCAGGTAGCCGCTTTGGAGGAGGCGGTGTCGCTGGATATCAAGAAACGAATGCAGCTCGTCGCGAGCGTCTTAAAAAGTTGGCATTGGAAACGATCGATCTTTCCAAGGTATGTTTTTTAGTGTGTACTTTATTTGTCTTTAATTAGTCACAAGCCTTCTTTTCTCAGAATGTCTTTTCTATGATGAATCATGTCGACCTATCACCCTGTTGAAATTGAAGCATCAGCTGCCGAGTCTATACCTAAGAGACAATGTGAGGTTCTTCGATTCACTAGGAATTATTTGGCTGAGATGTGCTATGACTTTTTTATCCAGAAAGACATTGGTTTCTAAGTGTTGGCTATTTGCTTACACAATGGTTCTGTACGGATGTTTGTATGCTAACGATGTAGGATCCTTACTTTATGAAAAACCACCTGGGAACGTATGAGTGTCGTTTATGTCTCACGATGCATGCAAACGAAAATTCTTATTTGACGCATACTCAAGGTAAAGCGCATCAAACCAATTTGGCACGCAGAGATGCCATGGAAAACAGAAAGGCACAAAGGACTGCTCCTGTAGTTCAAACAGGATTATCTCAGTCACAGGTGCCACTACGAAAAAATATAATGAAAATTGGGAGACCCGGGTATAAAGCTTCCAAAATTCGCGACCCCGACACTGGCCAGTTTGGTCTTCGATTTCAACTAAAATATCCAGATATCCAAGTAAATGTTAAACCTAGATATCGTATTATGAGTGCTTATGAGCAGAGAGTCGAAGCACCTGATCGGAAATTCCAATATCTAGTCATTGCAGCTGAACCATACGAATCTGTTGCTTTCAAAATAAGTAAGTAAAACATTTAGTTATATATGGCTAAGTCTTACTAACTTTTTTTTTAGATGCACATGAAATTGACCGTTCTCCAGGCCGATTTTGGACATACTGGGATGCACCAACTTATACAATTCAGTTCTTTTTTAACGTGGATAAACTATCATAAATTTTATATTTATAAACGAAAATGATGAGTATCCGGTTAGTTTTATTGCTTCAGTTGCTGCATTTTTTTTGTCTTTACGCTTCCACTCTTTCGTCCTACCTACCTAACTACCTACTCCCTTAGGGAACGACTTCACTAACTCAGTGGAAGAAATAACCACCAAAAAGGATAAGGCAACTGAAGATATTATAATTAAATGATGTTTATTTAGTGTAATAGTTAAGAAAAAGTTATTTAAGGGTTACAATTTTGGCTGAATCAGGTCTCATTTGAATAGACAGTGGTTGCAATGGGTTCTTCTCAATTCTCCGGGTTTCAGCCTTTGGACAGTGTCTTTACCTTTTCTATGGCTACATTGTTTGCTTCCTCTGTTGTTTTGCAAAGAACAATATTGAAAAAACCACGTTTCTTTACTACCAACCATACCATGAACCTATTATTTCGTCCTACATTGTTTGCATGGAAAATTTTCTCAACGACTTCAATCATAACTGCTTCTACGTTTGCATCTTCTTTTTGTATACTAATGGCACTAACGGGTTCTTATACGCCAAGAGAATTTGGAATGTTCTTGCGTAAACAATTATCGTTCGCAAGAATAAAGCCAATCCCAAATGACGTTGAAAATCCTAACTGGAGTGAAGCTTAAAGCGCTATGAAGACAAAGCAGTCTTACAAAAGACTAGAGCTATTAGGTGGTTTATTAGAGGTGTTTGAAGAAAATCATTCAGTTCTAACGTTCTTTATAGCCTACGATGGAAGTGATGTTGTACATTAGAAGGAATAAATTTGAATTTTATATAAAAAAAGACACCTAACCATTTTAGTTTTAATACCTCTGTAATTTCACAAAAGATTGCAATTCCAAGCATTATCGTTTTACGAACTTCGCTTGAAGCCAGCAACGATACATTTTCACTTTCTTCTTACGATTCACGATTAGTCTGAAGAGTACTAGTTAGTTTATGCTTACCCAAGGTACAATTCACATCAATACTTACCTTTTGTCGACTCCGTTTTGACAAATTTCAAACTTTGATCCAAAAATTTTTTGAATCTCATCTAAAAAATAAAATTAGCAAAGGGAAGCAAGTTAATCCACTTACCATTCTCAAGATAGTAAACACGGGTGCCATCTCCACGAATATAGAAATTCTCATCCAAGTACCTATTTTTTTTCGCTCGTAATTGTGTCAAATCTAAACGTCCATAATCACGGAAAAATATAACTCCCCCAGGCTTTAGTACTCGATACAAATTGTCGACCGCTTGGTCCCATTGATCAGGCGAAAGCGCCGAAAAACAAAATATCAAGGTAATTGCATCTGCAGAATTTTCGGAAAGTCCTTCTGGCAAGGTTGGTCCAGCTAAATCCCACACAGATGCATGACAATGATTAGGATCGTAGAGAGGGTTTTGATACACGACATCAATTGCCTTTTTGGAATAGTCCACTGGGTAAACCTTGAGTTCTTTGTTTTTATTCTCTGCTAATATAGGCCAAATGGTATTGCCAGCACCACATCCTACTTCAAGCAGTACCTTTCGTCCAATGTCAGGTTGCACGAGTTGAAGTAAGTCCGGAAATTCCTGAGCAATCCATCTTCGATTCATAAAGAAGTTTCCTTCATTTTTTTCATAGAATCTATCCCAATACTGGTTCGGATTTTCCATATACTCTTCCTTGTTTGCAACAGGATTTTCCTTTTGTTCAGCAATCCTTTTCTCAGCCATGGTCAAATGCTCTGCATCCCATTCTACATGATCCCTTGATAAGTTAGTAATTATTATTTATCCTCCAAATAGGTGTTGAACGTACCAGGCATTATAATTAAAAACTTCATCTTCTTCCTTCAATAAACGGCCTCCAAACGTTTCGTTGATGGAGAAATTTGCATCTCGTACAGAAGAAGTTTGCTTTTTACTCATTTCTATACGTAAAGTACGAGTACAAGCTGGTTTTCGCCAGCGAAAGGTTTTGGAGAAAATCAGAAGTACTATTTAGGCCATTATGTTTACGTTACTGCTCTTAAAAAGATTTTGTAATTTAGCATAAAGAATTGGATAAATCCAGAAATTTTTTTTTGTTCTATGAATGTATGAACGAAGTCTTCGATCTATACTTAGTATGTACTCCTTGAAACCGAACCTTCATAAACATTGTTTCTCGTATAAGTCCCTGTATTACTCGAATAAGTCTTGTAATAATACTTCACAAAACATGTTTACGCCGTAACCTGCGCAACTTCTTTTATTATCAACTAACCAAACTGACGGATTTTAACTAAAGTACACTTTACAAATATTTCATTTAAACTAGCTGTTTAGTAAATTAACTATTCTATTTACATTCATCAACCCAACTTGTTCCATATAAATAGCAGAAATAGCGACACTGAAACCATTGTATTATTTCGAAAATTACCTTGTTCAATGTCATCATTTTTCACCCTTTACTCAATTGTTTAGTGAATTGTAGTCTCTGCAAAGGGAGTCATATCGATGGTTGGAAGTTCTACCAAAGCTTGTTTGATGATTTCAACACCCTTCATCAAATCCTCTTCAGAGATAACCAAGGGAGGAGCAAGGCGAATAATATTTCCATGGGTTGGCTTAGCCAATACACCACGAGAACGCATAATCAAACACAAATCCCAGGCGGTACGGCCATTAGTCTTGGTTTCGTCAATGACGATAGCGTTCAAGAGACCACGACCACGAGCAACTTGAAGGATGGGGGACTTGGTGTCATTGAGAGCATTACGAAACTTTTCTCCCAAAACAGCAGCACGTTCAACCAAGTTTTCTTCTTTGACAACTTGTAAAGCAGCAAGGGCAACAGCAGCACCAAGAGGATTACCACCATAAGTAGATCCGTGAGTACCGGGCTCAAAATTGAGCATAATTTCCTTGGAGGAGAGGACAGCACTTACGGGGTAAACACCGCCAGATATAGCCTTTCCAAGGATAACCATATCTGGCTTGACACCGGAGTGTTCGATGCAAAGCATCTTACCTGTACGAGCAATACCAGTTTGGACTTCGTCTGCGATAAACAAGACATTATGGGCCTTGCACAATTCATAAGCGCTTCTCAAGTAGTCATCATCAGGAACAACAACGCCGGCTTCACCTTGGATGGGTTCAACTAAGAAACCAGCAACTCTAGAGCCATAATTTTCAAGGAAGTACTTCAAGTCCTCCAAGTTATTGTAACGTAAGACTCGGTCGGAACCCTCAACTTTAGGACCGACATTTGGCAAATAGGGACCGTAGTTATCACGGGCTTCAGGGTCAGTGGACATAGAAATGATACCCATTGTACGGCCGTGGAAGTTATCGACACAGGAGAGGATAATGGCCTCATTATTAGCAATCTTTTTTTGCTTGTAACCCCAAAGACGCGCAAGTTTGCAAGCAGTTTCGACGGCTTCAGCACCTGTGTTCATGGGAATAACCATCTCATAACCAAAGTAGTCAGTAACATATTTGGCAAAAGGTCCAAACTTATCGTTGTAGAATGCACGAGAACTCAAAGTGACACGTTGAGCTTGCTCTATCAATGCACCGACAATTTTGGGATGGCAATGTCCTTGATTAACAGCGGAATAAGCTGATAGGAAGTCCAAATACTCCTTGCCTTCAGGATCCCATACTTTAGCACCCTCAGCTTTAGAAAAACAGACTGGCAAAGGATGGTAATTGTGAGCAGCATAGTCATGCTCTAACTTTTGGATTTCTGCTGAAGAATATGTACTTTTCAAATCTGTTTGAGTCATCTTGCCTTAAATAATAAAAAATTCGTGGTTTCTTCTCAAGGTCCTTAAGTTTTATTCCTCTTGTCTTCAATCTTGTGATATTAGTGAACGTCAGCCTACGGTTCTTCGATGGACTGAAACCAACCAAAATAAGAAAAAAAAATAAGAAGGATAGATTGTTTTCAAAGGATTTTTTTGCGAATATATATATTCGCAACTAGCTTACTCCGTGGACATTTACTGGAAAATGATGTTCCGACAACTTTGTCAATTCTCTACAATAAAAGAAGAAGCAAGAGGATTTTTATTCATAAAGTTTTTAAACAATTGAAGAACGTATTAGACCATGTGGTCAACACTTGAAGAGAATGGTAGTAGGGGTATCCTTTCGATACAGCTTTTAGCTGAATGAATTGTAGCAATTGTAGTAATCAATCCATATCGGATAGATTGTAATGAATATTAAAGGTAAATTGATATTAAGCATGTTAAGTAATGAAAATGAGGGTCCGCCTTGCTCTAGTCATAAAAGACGACGGGAAGCTCCATACCTCAATTTTAAACGACATCAGCTTCGATGGAAAAAGCACTAGGAATTATTTCATTTCCTTCATTGGTTAACAATCGAGCTGAAAGAATGTCTTTTGCGGATACTTCTCCGACGCCTTTTGGTGTCCCAGTCAGTATTAGGTCACCAGGTTGCAAAGTCATGGCCTCTGTAATACTACTCAATATTTTTGGAATGTTGTTCAACATCAACGAAGTGTTTTCATGCTGAACAATTTTATCATTTTTTGAAAGTTCGACGATGACATTGTGAGGGTCAGGAACCTGTTGCTTTGGAATGAAGGGACCCACTGGCAAGAATGTATCATAACCCTTGCTAAAAGACCAAGGAAGGCCTTCTTTTTTGGCTTCACTTTGAATGTTGCGGGCGGTAACGTCTATTCCAACAAAGTACCCAGCAATGGCCTCTGACCATCTGGATTGAGATATAGGTTGGCGAGCAGGCAGCTTAGAACCTATAATAAACCCGAGCTCAACTTCGTAATTCGCTTGAACTTCTGATGGAATGAGTAATTTTCCTTTGCCGGGTTCAACAATTGCACTTGGAGGCTTTAAAAAGAAAAAGGGCTTTTTAGGAACAGCATTATTCAGTTCACGAATATGCGCACTAATAATTATTTTTTAATCAGCAAACTAGTCTAACTCCAGAATCTTTATATGAAGAAACTTTGAAGTTCTGACTCTTGAATGTCTAAACATATAGGTACCGTGTTTCCCTACATTCGCTGACCTGAAGACTTTCAAGAGCATATTCAAACTTTCAAATATTTGTATTGCAATTACTTACGCATAGTTTCTTCCAATACACAAGATTTTACTTGCTCGAGACAACATAGTGTAAACTGTATGGAAGATTGGTATCGGCGATCAGATAAACTCGAGTTAGGAAGGCAGACATATGTCAAGATGAACTCTCCCTTTTATGCTTGGTTTGACTATTATAATTTTTTACTGGGACAACTTTTTTAGTTTAAATCAATCCATTGCTAGATTTGGGATAAAAGAATGCATTGCTCAAGATATTTTCACCCTCTATGTATCCTTGTAAACCATTATTAGTACTGTAGATAAAACTACCTATTATTAAAGAACCTTAATAATTTAACCAAACATAATCTTTTTGATTTTTTTTGAGCAGTTTGTAATGCCAACTTAATGTCATTTATATCATCTCATAGAAAAAGTTTAGTAGCCCAATGGAGAACTGGTTCTTTTTCTTCCAACAGCTTCATAATATAAAAGAAAAACCAAGACTTTTCTTAAAATTAAATTTTAGAGCGATTGTACTCTAATGTAAACAAATCTATTGGAAAATGTTCATATGTAGTTAACAAAATATCACTTCCACATGGTATCCATGAAGCATGGTTCAAGTCAAGGTATTTTTGATAAGAAATTCCTACTGTTTCTTCGCTAGAAAACATCTTCGGTGCGATGGTGACAACGAGGGAGTCGAACGAATTTGATTCAAGTGCCTTTTCTAATAAGGTCGCTCCTCCTTCCACCATGATTCTCGAGGCACCATTACTTTGGAGCTCTTTCAAGCTCACGTAATCGTTCCAATTATTTGGGTGTTCCTGATCTCGAACAAAAATTCGACCGCCGCAATACTCAATGCAATTCCAGCGCTCCTGCAATTGGGCATCTGTCGTTTTCCTTTGTAAAACACTAGGAGCAACAACAACCCAAGGAGCCTTTGTTAAACCACGTCGAGCCAAGTCCATCACCTTCAAAGTAGCGTAATTGAGAGACAAATGCGAGTCAATGATAATAGGAATGGGTTGCATGGAAACGGGAGCTAAACAGTTGGAATTCTCCGGACAAGGGTATCGACAAGTTAAGCTAGGATTGTCGTTCCGAACAGTATTGCTGCCCACCATAATAGCATCAAACAAAGATCGCAGACCGTGCGTCATACGAAAGGATTCTTTGCTGGATATTTTTAATTGTCCTCGAAATACATGCGGATTCTCATAACTCGAAGGAACTTTATATCCAATTTTCCCGTTCATTGACTGTGCCCATGTCAACAAGACATGGTTTCTTCGTTCATGAGGGAAGCTCGCTGGTTTTACCTCCATCGTAAGTCAAGCAGGCATCAAAAGACTAAATAAAATCTACTCTTAACTATTATTAAGAAAAAGAACTAATTTCCGCGACCCTTCGTTATTCTATTGCAGCGGTACTTGTTCAGTTTTTGTTTAGAAAGTTCAACTAAACTTTATTAAAATAATGTAAAACTAAATTTCTTTATTTAGATAAACAAATACTTACTGTCAACACTTCTCTCGATGGTGTAGTTGGTTATCACACCCGGCTGTAATGTTCAAGATACCGGTTGGTCGCTAGTTCGAATCTGGCTCGAGAGATTTTTTTCTTTTTGTTTATTTTTTTCATTTGTTTTTGGTTTAAACATAAGTATTAGATGTAAATAAAACCGATATTTCACAAAGAAAGCAATTGAGCTAAATTTAACTAAGTGATTGTCTTTTATTATTTAATTATTTTTAAAATTTCAAAGATTACACGCTAGCCTCATTTATAACTAACTCTTTGTACAGGACGTTAATAAATTAATGAACATGTATCTAAATCTACGCGCTTCCAATATTGTTGTTCCATATTTCAGTTTGATAAGGTACTTTTATTTATTTATTCTTTTTTTTTTTTTTTTTAAAAAAACTCCAGAAATAGGATATAACAAATATGAACAGAAGGATTGCTCTGCTGTTTTTTTTTTTTTTTTTTTTTTTTTTTCTATACTTGCAAATTTACTTTGCTATTCCATACAACGATCATAGGTGACAATTAGCGTGACCTGTATAATGTGAATGCGTCTAAGCAAACAGAATGGTTTCTTAAGCCAAATCCATTCTGTTGAAAGTTGTAGGTTTAAACAGAAATTGAAACAAAGTAATGACTACGGTATTCGCATGTAAAGGGTTTCAAAAGTGTCCTGTGAAATTGACGCCCTCTGCACCGCTACAGGAGGTTGTTCTTGCTTCCTACGAGAAGCTCGGATTTTCAGACTGGAGCCGTTTAGAATTATTTCATAATGATAAAAAGCTAGATTTATCGACATTAATGCGCCATTCAGGTCTTTCACAGGGGTCCAAATTAACAGTGAAGGAATCACAACAATTATCCAACGCGCTGCGTGGATCTTCTTCAGCATCTGGTGGTCAACTCAAAGTTGCTCTTCAAATGCCTGGTTTTCCGAGAGTTGTTGATCAAATATCGTCTCAAGATACACTACTACATTTGTTGGAGAAGCATTCTTTCCTTTCCAACGTTGACCACGTTTTAATCAATGGTCGAGTATATCGTGAATCAGATTTTCAGCAACCGCTATTACTTTTTGGATTGCATGAAGGTAGTGTTCTCATTCGTCTAATCCCTAAACCAAGCAAACCTACTATGGAAAGCACGAAACCCGAAAGAGCAATCACGTCTCCCACTTCTCAGTTGAACAGAAATTCTCCCGAATTACCAGAGAAAACAACTAGTATGCAAGATTTTCAACGTGCCAAAGATTTTGTGGATGCAAGACATTCTTCCCGGCAAAATCCACCTGAGACAAACACCTCCAAGGTTGAGCCCACTACCATGGTCCCTTCACCGAAAGTGGAACCTCCTGGTATGGAGAAGGAAGAAGTAATATCCGAAACTCCAAAGGAACCAAGCTCGCGTGTCGATGAAGTTGAACCTTCAAGCCTGCAGGATTCGCAGGAATCGTCACGAGCAAGTGGTATTTCGAAATCAAAAGGAATTAACAACAAAAATATTTTAGGATCAATGATGAGCAAAATAAAAAAAGAAAAAAAAATAGAAAGAGAACAGGATGAATATGATTTAGAGCCTTCCAAAAGTCAGCTGGAGCTTTACCAAAATATCCTTCGAAAGAGAGCTAGTCAACCTTCTCGGACAATTAGCTCAGATGTTCCAAAGAACTACCCTTCTACAGCTACCGTCAAGTTTGACTTTGGCGATGGTAAGCCCCTGTATCATGAATTCTCTAAAGAAGATAAGATTCCTGACCTTCATAATTTTGTCACATCTCACTTGCCGAATGGATTTCCTAGCTCATTTTCACTCACGTTCAGCAATTATGAGCCTCTTCCTACCTCCGGACACGTCGTTGAATATATCGGACGCGCAGTTGTTCGTGTCCATCCATCTTTATGATAACGTTCTTGAATGATGCCTTAGACGAGATGATTTTGATTTATGTTTGTAGAAAAAAATACAGTAAATATTATGGATATTTGATTTATTGTCATCTGAAATTCGGCAAACTATACTAGCTGTTAAACTATGTGAAACAATTGATTCAAAAATACACTCATCGATTATTACTATGGGATCCAAGATTATTTCAAACTTTGAACATGATGATTGTCATTCTAAGTACTGACTCGGATTACAATGAGATGTACCTATTCGATGAATTTGGACAATTTTTGGGCGTCCAAACAATCGTAATCAACAAGCAAGGAGTTTTGAAGATTTCCTTCAGCATCACGATAATATCTTCCTAAAGTTGGAACAGCACTAATACCAAACTTCTTGCGATATAGATTCTCTGACGTCCTCCATTGTGGCATATTCCCGACGTAAACATGTACCAAATTTAGTTTTTTCGAACTGTTGAAAATATTGTTGAACGCAGGCAAAGCGGCACGTACAGTAGGACACCAAGGCTGTTTTGTATGAGGATCAATGGAAGCAAGGTAGGCTACGAACAGAGTATCTCCTTTGGTAAGCTTACCCAAAGTAATTTCTAAAGATTCTTTTAGGGGAAGCAACATCTTTGAATAAAAAAATAAAAACTAAAAAAATAAAAACTAAAAAGAAAGCAAAAGACTTTACGATTACACGAAATGGTATAATTCTTTTCGGAAACTGGTCTTGGTTCTTGGAAAGAAAAGGAGTATATGCTGTTAATGAATTCGTCAATCTCGATTGTATGATGGGATTCAGGAATTCATGGAGAAGCATATCAAAGGAAAGACTCGCAGAAGATAAACATTGGCACTCCTCGAGATCATATTTAAGTGATCAAAGAAAATCCCATTGGATTCAGAGGACATCTATCAAGGAAGCCAAGCATACATTCTTTTGCTTGAATAGCAACTAAGAAAAATCCATTACAATCGTTTTCCTGTACGCTACAATGCTACAAAAAATTTCCAAAGCGTTGAAGGCTAGTCAAAGATGTGCTTACTTTCTATTTCCCATACCGCTAAAGGTGGATATGTGCTCAAAGAGCTTTTCCTCCGCATGTTTGATACATGATAGTTTTTATTTTCCAATCTTATTTCTAATTCACTTAAAAATACTGACTATGCTTTAGGATTGCTAATTCTTCTTGTTTTACACAAAACTTCGATTCTAAAAAATACATGCTTGGTAAAAGCTTTAGCCCATAGCACTTCATAGCAACTTCATTTTGAGAAAAAAAGTAGATCATGAACATAAACATTGAATAAATACTTACACTTTAAAAAATGTCACTTTACCTGCATGAAGAAAATACCTATTAACCAAGTTCTAATAACTGTATGACCAGGATTCTAGAATAACGAAATTGTCTTCTAACTCACAATACAAAATTGAAAGATCCACGCAAGGCATCGTACACATCCTTTATTTTAGGGTAGGGGTAAAGACAGTCACGGTTTGTTTCGAAGCCGACATTTTCAGTTGACGATGATTCTGTAACTACCACACTGCACAATGGCTGGCGTTTCTGTCAAGGATGTGGACGCTCAAAAGTTTATTACTGCCTATTCTGCTTTTTTGAAGCGCTCAGGTATGTATTTTTACATATTCTAAAATAAGAGATTCAATTCATGTTAGTGAAATAGTTCATCTGAATAAGATGGACGAAAAGCTTCTGTTAACGAGGGATTCTTTCTTATTTTTATCATCGTGCTTGTGTTAGAAAGACATTACTAACTTATAATAGGCAAAATGGCTACTCCTCAATGGATTGACATTGTCAAGACCGGTACCCATAAGGAATTAGCTCCTTATGACCCTGACTGGTACTTCGTTCGTGCTGCTGCCATTGCTCGCCATATCTACCTCCGTAAGCAAGTCGGTGTTGGCCGTCTTTGCAAGGTCTATGGTGGCTCTGTCAACCGTGGCATGCGTCCCTCTCACCACCGTGACGGCTCCGGCAGTGTTCAACGCAAGGTTATCCAAAGCTTGGAAAAGATTGGTGTTCTTGAAAAGTCTGACAACGGTGGCCGCCGTATCTCCCAACAAGGTCAACGTGACTTGGACCGTATTGCCTACTCTCTTTTGGAAGAAGAGAGCGAGTAAATGCAGACATAGCCATAATCTAAATGTTCCAATCTGTGTTTAAAATTGTATTGTATAAATAAGTATGAGTTTTCTGTAAAGCTCTTCTCTGTACTATAGGCTTATTGCTTTTATTGCTGTAGTTGTGTTTCTAATGTATACTGTCTTAGCTCGTCTTGCGGGTTATTCAAAGCTTTGAAATTCGATATATATTTGAAAAATTTCATAAACATAAATATGCATTAGGCATATTATATAGCTAACATAGAGCTTGTTTAACTAAACACTTGGGTAAATAACTTAATAAACTACTGTAAATCGGATAAACCATCTATATTTCGTACCATTATAATCCTTAAATTAACAATAATTGACATAAAGAGCTCGGAAGATTAGCTCTTTCAATACCTTAGCAATCCTCATTATGAACATAAATTATTCCTGTCGGCGCAATTGATAAAAGCACTTACTGAGCAACCTGAGTAGCTGTAGAGGCGAACGTACTAGTCAGGACGTCGTTCGAAGATTCAAACCTATTAAAGGTATCCGTCATAGACTCATCTGGTGTCTTGACTGGCGCAGTTTCGTGGCCACCGTTGTTATTAAAATCTGAAGAAAATTGTTCAACCTCTTTCTCATCTACTTCCACTGGCAAGATCGAGTATACTTGCTCTTCATCCTTCTTATCCTGAGCAGAATTGTTAGGATGACCCTCCTGAGGTTTCACTTGAGAGTCTTCGGAAACTTTGGAAGACAAGTTTTCTTGATCTTTTTCATTGTACACAATTGGTAGAATGGAAACGCTTTCAGGTGCCTCTTTTTCTTGGGAACCTCTAGAAGGAGTAGGAAAAGCCTTTGCTTGCTCCTTTTCGTCATAGTGAATAGGCAAAATTGAGTAAACATTCTCTTCGTCTTTCCTAGTATCTTTAGCGGATAATGTGGGAATACTATCTTCAAGAATAGATTGATTCAGTACATCGTCTCTTTGCACTTTAATGGGCGAGCTTTCCTGCACATAGCTATGTTTATCAGATTGACTGACTTCGGCGTTTAAATCTTTTTTGTCAGTTACAGGAGAAGGAACGCCTGTAACAGCTTCATGCAATTCAAAAGAGGCTGTACCCAAAGGAACATCGTCGCAGTGTGCATGTTCAGCGTTTACTTCAACAATTTTCTGAGTTTGATCAGCTAAAGTAGGTTCCATTTCATATAATTCCGTGTCAATATTGGAATTTATATTCACCTTATGAGAATTTTTAATGGCTGTCAAACGACGGATAGTGTCAGAGGCGATACTTCCAATTCTAGACAAATACTGACGCTTTCTTTGTTCCAATAACGAACTTTGTTTAGTATTTATATCTTTCACCGTAGAATTCATGAATCGAAGAACTTTATCCAAAACAGGCGTTAATTCTCTTACTTTCTCATCATCATTATTAATATTTCCATTACAAGCAGCAACAGCCACTTGGAAAGAGGAATATGTTTGATTACGCACGAAATCAGCACTAGACTCCACACGGCCGACAATATCTTCCTGAAGTTTTTCTGCAAGATTGCGCAACTCAACAGCTCGCTCATGAGTATTTAGAATCGCCTTCTTCACACCGGTTAATAATTCAGCTACCGCATCATCATAACCAAGTGTTTGAGCACGGAATACCAAATTTCCTAGTGAGTTTTCAATTGCCAAAATTCGAAGATTCGATAGCTCTTCCAAAGATTTCAACTCTTTGGAAAAGTAATCATTCGTATTATGAAGTGATTCCTTCCACTGTTCTTCAATTTTATTAGCAAGTTCACTTTCTATGCTATCAAACTCCTGGCTAAGGTGAGCAAAGGTGTTAGTAATACAGCTTCTTTGATCATACTCAGGGACAACTGTTTTCTCAGATGAAGCAACGCCTTCGGGATATGAAGGAGTTACGGTTTGTTGAACGGCGAGTTTGTCGACAGGATTCGCAGTAGTTGAAACAACAGGAGTGGAGAGCATAGATTTTGAAAAATCACTGTACATTTTAGCTGTTGTAGAAGAGGCATAGTGCTTAGAGTTTTCATGTAAGACACTATCATATATATGCTGTAGCTGAGGACGTATGTGCATATTCCAAAAAGAAGTTAAGTTATAAGAAAAAACATTAACCATTTGCCAAAAAGAAGAATTTAAGTATGGCAAGATTACATAGCGAAATTCCATATAACCATCAATGCTCTTTTTACGAACAATTGGCTTGTAGTATTGATAATTTGGGACAATAAAGTCAATCCAAAGCTCGTAAGCTTTTTCGGAAATCCATTTCGCGTATATCTGAACTTGGGCAATGAACTTTTCAGTCGCAGGGACGATTATCTCCCTATAGGTAGTTGAAGTTTTTGTTTTCACATCATTGCAAATTTTATGAAGTTCCTCGTTGTTTTTTATATTTAAAACAGCTTCCCAAGTCCGTCGTCCATAAAGCTCTAAACTCTTAGGAATTTGGAAATGGCTAGACTTTTTAATTTTGCTATGAATGTTGTCAAAGCTAGGCTTAGCATGCTTATCATAATAAGACTTCACATCGTTTCTAGCTTGTTTAGCAGCATCAAATAAAGGCGGCGTTGCTTTTGCAAATTGTGAATGAACCGCTGTTCCCAAAGGACGAACGTGGTGATCATACACACTTTGCACCAAGTTCTCTTGTTTCTTTGGAACTTTACGTGCTAAAGCTCCATTACCCTCTATAACTACAGAAAACAAAAATATAAACAGCAAACTTTTAGCCAAAAGCCTAACAGAGCGTTCGACTTTCATGCTGCCGGTGGATTTCCTATACTAAATATAATCACTAATTTAAACCTCTTGTTTCAAGAGCAAAAGGAAATTCAATTGTAAAACAAAAAAAAGCAATACTTTTCTGCAATAAAACGAAGCAGCGGACGTTCTCGCTACTATTGAATAGTTTGCAGGTAGTAAGTGCAGTTTAGGTACGCTAGACACTCAACTCAATATTTATGTAACACTAACTTACAATTTAGTTGGTATTATATATTCATGAAATGTTAAAGAATTTAAAAGATATATTTTCTATGTACGAATCAAAAGGACTTAATATTTCTATAAATTTGGTAGATGAATAAAATACGATAACAAAAAGATAAACTTCTTTTTATTATGCATGTCTAAAAAACGTAAGGAACAAATTTGTATATGGCTTCTACCAGATTAAGGAAAACAAACTTCCAGGGACGATGTGAGTCTTTCATAAGGATCGATTTCGTTATTACGGAAAAGAAGTTTAGGAATTTCGTATAAGTTTATAAACATTTGGTAACAGTCCAGTCCATGCGCCATAGACGGTGCCCATCAAACCGCGAACAAACTGCCATGCTTTTTGGGAATCAGGAATTGGATAGTCGACAGCAGGTGGAATACCAGTATGGATTGAATTGAACCGATCGCAAGCAACGGATTTGGAATTACAAATGCCTTGAAGGCCTTCATATCCAGCGAAACGTCCATACCCACTCTGTTTACAACCACCGAAGGGCATTTGCAGTAAATAAAATGCACCAAAATCATTCACAGCGACCATACCGCTTTCCAAATTTTCGACATAGTATTCACATACTTTCTTGTCTTTACTGAATACAGAAGCACCCAAACCAAAGCTAGTGCCATTTGCAATCTGCAGAGCATGTTCTTGGTCATTAGCACGAAAAACTAAAGCAATAGGAGCAAAGCATTCTTCTTGAGCAATCTTCATTTCATTCGTAACATCCACAAGCAAAGTAGGAAGAAAATAGAAACCATTTGGATACTTCGGATGATGGTAACGAGTTCCACCACAAACCAAACGAGCGCCCTGTTTTACGGCATCTTGAATCAATTCTTCAAGATGGTCAAAGCGGTTATTGGAAACCATTGCGCCCATATCCACCTCTTTCTCCGTATACATACCAAGCCGCATTGGTGCAATTCTGTTGTACAACCTGGCGATAACAGCATCATATATGGTATCCAAGGCAATTATTCGTTCAATACCAATACAGTTTTGACCAGCACTTTGAAATACACCACGCATAACAATAGAAAGAACTTCTTCTAGTCGATGATCATCATTAAGGATACAAGGATCCTTACCACCGAGCTCCAGACAGAGCGGCGTTAACTGTTTGGCAGCTGAAGCGGCGACTAGTTTAGCAACCGATTGGGAACCAATAAAGGTTATATGACGAAGCCCAGGATGACTTGTCAAATAATCAGCTACCTTTGGAAGACAGGTGACACATTGAACTAACTCAGGATTATGACCCAAAGACTCTAACAGTTGACGAACTATCTGACAGTACTGATGGGTTGACCAAGCGGTTAACTCACTTCCTTTGATAACGATTGCATTTCCTGCGAAAAGAGCAGAAATAATGGGACCAAGGGCATTGTGCAAAGGATAGTTCCAACTTACAAGAGCAGCAATTACACCAATAGGCTCGTATTGGACGTAACCATGTTTATAGGAAGTGAGAAGAGACGTAGGACGTTTTGTAGGACGGAGCGACTGTTCTCCATTTTTCAAGGTCCAATTAATTTTCTCCAATGTTACCAAAATCTCTCCAAATGCAGCATCGACAAGTGTTTTACCAGTGTCCTTGCAAGCGATCTCTGCATATTTATCTTGGTTTTTTAAGATGTTTTTCTTCAATGCTAACAGAAACTGTTTTCTTTCTGTAAATGATGTTTTCTTCCATGATTTTTGTGCCTCTTCGGCCAAGCGAATTGATCGGTCAATGTCGCCAGGCTGATGAAGATCCACGCGTCCGAGTAAAGAACCATCTCCAGGACAATGACATGTAATTGATTTTTCATCCATCATTATAAGCAATCGACAGGTGCAAGTAATGAGAAAGGAATCGTGATTAAAAAGAATGTCGCGTCAGGAACAAAGTAATGAACTTGAAACCAGTGTTAACGGAAAAGAATGTTACAAAAAGGAACTGAGAGTTCAAGACAAAGCTTGTAAAAAATAATTAAACTGAATTGTAGAAACAAAAGAAATCCAGTCCTAATGGCAGATGCCCGTCGAAAATAGACAACACTGTGTTTTGAGGAAAGAAGCAGTACAATTAGAATCGGTCGACCTTCTCAATCAAATAACAAAACACAACGACATCGTAAAACCAACTAACAAAGAAATAACTAATAAACAGTAAATACTATATCGTAGGAATAAGGAGAAGGAACGAGTTAGCCGTCAAGATGGAAAAAAAAAGAAAACGAATATTAGAATTATGGAAAAGGAGGAGGTATGGAGTGCAATCAAAAAGATATTTTTTTTTTGTATGCGTTTTGTTTAGATATGCGATTAATCCCATGGTGTACCATTGCGTGGTCGATAGTTGATACCCCGGCGACGCAAAGATTCGACTATGTCGTCGCTAAGAACACCTTGGACGCGTGTTGCATAAATTCCTGGAGTGAAATTGTCGATTCTTTGCCATCTGGCAACCCATGATTCTGTTGGTACCATCATGGCCATGATGCCTTCAAAAACTGGAGAAGTAAACGTTTCTACATCGTCAACACCGTCATTTGGACAACCTTTATTCGCAAAAACAGTATGGGGAAGTACAACTCCACAGATTAAACATGCTCTAGAACGGGAACGACTCAATTTATCCATATTGTTGGGATGTATTCAACCGCTGGGTGTTGGTTATGGTCACATAAAATCAATGGTGAACACTAAGAACCGTACTAGCAAAGCGTCGTGCTCCGTAGATTTAATGTAAATGAGAAGAAAAATAAAATAAAATAAAACTTGATTTTAATGAAAAACTAAAACGAAAAGGAAAAAGAAAAGAGTAGTACTTGATTCTAAGGTTCCACGGGTCAGTGATAATATCTAAACATTTTGAGTCTAGGATTAGGAAGAGTTGTTTTGCATTTGATAAATAGGTAGAAAAAGCAAAGATTTTATCGTATGGCTCTTTTTTAAAATGAAATTACCAGTCTGGTCAGCATATATGCGAATGCACGAGTAAAGAGAGCAACAATAATAAAAGAACGTCGGAATACAAAAATAAATCAACGAAAGCTTAAAAAATATTGGTTTTCTTTTTGGGACTCCATGGAAAGGATAGTACTTTGGACTGGACAGCTGAGAGTTGCATCAGAGAATTTCCCCAAGAAGAAGACCTTAAGAAAAAATGAAATGTCCAATCTCCAGAAGAAGCACAACTTTTTAAATATGATTGGTTTTGTGTGTGTAATGTCGTTTATCGTCCACGATAAAGAGATAGTTTATTTCTTCGATCATTGACCAGAATTTTTCGAGTTTCCCGGGTACTAATGTGAATCAATAATACCAAAAGAATACTGCAGGTTAAGCCAACGGAAATACCTATGGCTAGTCGCTTGTCTATAGGATTATAGTCGAATGTTGGTTTGTCAATCACATGCATCCAATAAAAGGTACTAGACAAAAGGATTTCAGGACCAACCTGTACTTTTGTTTGTTCGCCGTTTTGAGGAGCAATAACGATACGGGCTGTCTTGTTATCCTGTTTATTTAACCATTTTTTATCAACTTTAACAAACCAAAATGTTTGGTTTGAGGGAATAATTCCGCTACTTGTAATCACCGTATTATTTTTATCATCATTTTCAAGGGCGACTTCTAGGAATTCTTCTGCTGGCTGTTTCCATCGCACAGCATACGTATAACCAGCAGCCCACCGAGACCCTATAAAGGAATACGTTAGCTACTATCATTCTATTCATTTGAGTAGGGAATTGGACATCAATGCATTCTTCCAGTTTCAAATGACATTACCTGAGCTTGGCGTAAGCAATTCCACATCTGCGCGAGCAATGGAAGCAAAAGTGAAGAACACTGTTGAAAACAGCAAAATAAAGAGCGTAGACTTCATCATAATTTCCAAGCAATAGAAGGTTATTTCAAGCGGAAAAAAGAGCTACCAATGCGAAAAGAACAAGCCAATGCTTCCAACTTATGTTTGTGTGGAGATATGGAAAAGTAGGAAGGAAGGAAGTATAGGGAATCATTACCTTCAAGTACGCACTCGTAAATGTCTTACAGGGAACAAATTCACTTTTTCTTTGAATTCTAAAAACATACTATAATAGTTTGGAAAAACAAAAGGAAAGTTGCTTCGTCTTTTCAACAAGATGGTCGGTATGTTTGCCTAAGGCAAATCAACAAAAGCTGTGGGCGGTTCCTATAAATTGAGACTTTATAGTTATTCTATCTTTTTATTTTTTTTGGGCCTTTGAAGGAATCACTTCTTGGTATTGTTCCATAAAGCTAGATGGACGCATAAGTTTTGCATTTCCCTTCAGTAAGGGCTGCTCAATGTGATGGAATTGGGCCCAGAAACTCTCTCTTGAAGGACATTTTTTTAAGTGACTAGCAACTCAATTAGGATAAGTCCTTCTTTTGCTATAGCGAAAACCATAAACACCGTCTTTCCTTTCAAAAGAGAATCAAACAGACGAAGAACTCAAAACTATCCAATTTTAAACTGCATTTCAAAAAGAAATGAAAACCTAAATTCCAACGGGTCTCACTCGCGAATAGATTGCTCATTTACTTATATTTACCTTTATTTTTTTTTACAAAATGTGTTACTGAATTACAACATCCTTCAATAGTAAATAAACAAACGTAAGATGCTTCAAATGGAAGTATAAGAAATTTCAAAAAGAAACCGAAATGCGTAGATAGAAAGAAAAAAAATTCTGAATTGGAACCTATGAAAACGATGGTCATGCATTCGTTATAATGGTGCCTTTTCGTAGTTGAGTATGGCCTTCGCAGTTGACCATTGTTTTGGGCTATTCCAAACGGATCATTGATGCAATTTACAGAACACAAAAGCAAAGAAAAGAAAGAAAAAGAGAATCTCTAAAAAAGCATTTTGAGTGTTTGTCTTTGTTTTGGTTGGGAAGAAAACAAACAGAAACAACGGACGGCATTAAAATACAAAAGAAATGAATTGAATTTTTCAATATATATTTAGAAAATTAAATTTCCCGACATGTTTTGACCATTAGCTATGAAAATGAAGGACATGGTGTTTGTTTGGGTTAGGGAAAAGACCGACTCAAGTGTAAACAAACAATGCATGTATAAAAAGACAACTCAACCAAGCTTATACGCAGCCAAACACAAATAAAATATATTAATTACCAGCAGAAATAATGCTTTCTATGCTATTACCGTTTGGAAATACTGGCATCTACGCTAATGATGTTGATCGGGAAGACTTGCCTGAAATTGCAAAGCTTGTACAAGCGTTTCCAAGCATTGAAGAAGACTACCATGTGGTAAAGCTTGTAGGAGCTGGAAGCTTTAGCAGTGTGTTTAAAGCAGTCGATAGACACTTTGATAGCTACGACAATTCGTATTGGATTACTTCGCAAATTGAAAACCAGAACGGACTGGAAAAGGGAAAGCGTCTGCGACAGCAATTCGTTGCAATTAAAAGAGTATATGCAACAGTTCTGCCTTCCCGCATTCAGACGGAGCTAGAAATGCTTCATGAGCTTCGCGGCAGCGAATGCGTCCTCAATATGATTACCGCTGTCCGACATCAAGATCAAGTATTAATTGTACTTCCATTTATTCAACACGCGGAATTTCGAGACTTTTATATGAAGTATACATTGCCGGAAATTGCTATCTATCTACAGGACCTACTGAAAGGACTTGCCCACATCGCATCCAAAGGAATTATCCACCGAGACATCAAACCTGGAAATTTTGCGTGGAATCCATATACTCAGAGGGGAGTAATCTTGGACTTTGGGCTTGCACAATGGCAAGTGGCAGATACGCCTTCTGAGAACTGTTGCATTGACCGACTACGAAAACTGAAGCAGGAAGGAAAATATTATGATTTTTATCCCTTTGAGAAAACCATCGCAGACCCATCTGATGGATATCTAGTTCACGATCCTCGTCCTACCAAGAGAGCTGATCGGGCGGGCACACGGGGATTCAGGGCTCCAGAAGTACTATTTCGTTGTCAATACCAGACATCCATAATTGATATTTGGTCAGTAGGAGTTATTCTTTTATGCTTCCTAACTAGAAGATACCCTTTTTTCCGATGTGAAGACGACATCGATGCTATCGTTGAGTTGGCACACATTTTTGGGAGAAACCAAATGTCACGATGTGCCTTATTGCATGGTAAGTTTTTTTTTTTTAAAAAAAAAAAAAGAACAAGAAAAAAAAAGAGGTGACAAGATAAAAATTTCGAATGAAAGGAAAAGGGTTCATGGTTTACTAACTTTTATAACTAGGGCAAATCTGGTCTGACAATCTCACAACAGTGCAAGACCAAAAGCACAGTTGGCTCGATTTAATTGGAAGCATTACAAAAAGCGATGAAAACTCTTTACTCGACGTGAGTCCCGGATGCGAAGTTGCTCTTGTCATTGACTTGTTGGACAAGTTGCTTGAATTACAGCGTAAGTTTTAAACCAAAAAAAGAAAAAAATCTAACAACCACATGTTTAGCATCCAAGAGACTTAGCGCTGAAGCTGCTTTGGAACACGACTTTTTCAAGGTAGCAGGCATCCAGCGAGTGTCATACCCATAAGACCCATCTATTCACTGACGACTCCAACCTGTCAAACGAGAAAGACGAGAGTATGTATCTATTCTTCCATCATCTTGTGTCCTTTCCATTCAGGTATTCTCGTTCGTTCTCCATGAAACACGAATTCTCTCCCTTTACGACTAGCGAAATGAAACTCTGTACCAGTAATCTCTGTATTTTAATATTAAGCATTCTTTTATTCACTTATTCTCACATCAATAACAAAATATTCAAAATAATCAAGCAAAGAAAGTGTAGTAATTTTGTTTTCCTCATGTAAAATTGTGTTTCTTGAATTTTCTTTTTCGTTTGTTTACATTCGACGTCATTTTATGTTTTGATAAAAAGGTTCTTTTCTTTTCTCACACGTATCTCGGTCTGCGTGGTGTCATTCCTCGCTTCTAAAATGAATCTCAGTAAACGCAAGTGTGAGGTAAATTTCATTACGTATACTTCCATCGATGGAATTATCCAAGACGCTCTGGGCAAAATATATAAAGGGCTATATCTCCCGTGTTTCTACACCATTCTAACAATTGAATTTGAATAGTAATATATCTATAAAGAAGAAAATATTACTATTACAAAGCGCTCATTCTTTTAACAGACGTGCTGCATTTATTGATCTTCATTGAACCCTTTAACTAATCGTACCGAATTTATACAATATGTCTAGTGGACCTGCTAATCAAACTCGAGTTTACTACCAAACCGACGTTGCTTCCTTTGTCATTATTGCCGCTAGTGAGAAGGATGTAAACAACTGGCGCTCTGACAAGACTATCCCTTTGACTGAAGTCGTCGACTCCTTCCAAATCTTCTCTTTGAACAAGGGCAGTGAAGGTGAACTCGCCAAGGCCTCCAAGTTGGAGCTTGAAAATGCTTTCGGAACTAGCAAGGACGTTGATGTTTGTTCCAAGATCCTCTCTGAAGGAAAGATCACTCCCCATCGTCAACACCACGGTGTGAAGCAATTCTAAATTTAAGGAATCTCATTTTGCTGAGAGATTACTGGAGTTAGTACTTTATAAGCCGTCCAGTGTCTCTTATGTTCTGATGGGTTGTGATCAGATTCATCTGTAATATACCCCTATTTCATGTGTGAGCATTTTATGTGCATGAACACATAAATAGAAAATATAGATCGTTGGTTGTTGTTATCCTTTCTGACGAATTTCACAATTGAAAAGGGTTGCGTTTTCGTCTTGGTTTTCATAATGTGCGTTTATATTTGTATATGTACATATATAAGCAACAGTCTAGTGATGAAGTTTTACGAATGTTTTACGAATAGAAATGAATAAAAAAGTCGTTTTGGTTCAAACAAGAATAACTTGAGTAAAAGTAGAGGACTATAGTACATAAGTACAGTAGCTACCGGAAGAACCCACCAAAGTTTCTTAATAGGAAGAGCAAGGCATTTTGGTTGTAAAAGTAAAATTAATACAACGCACTGCAAATGCAATTTTGCATACGAAGAAAAGAGTGAGAGATAGAAATAGATTAATTTTCAGGAATTTCCCTTTTACTCTCATCGTGCTAGCTGTTTGTCAGTATAGATACGTATTGTACGTATACCTTAACTATTAAGCCTGCTACTAAACACAAATTCGTTGACACCAACCTTCTTATAGCTTTCTCTTTATATCCAAATCCTAGGTTTGCTTCCCATTTAGTAAACATCGATTTTTATTCACCATGAACTAGACACCACTACCGCATTTTTGATTCCCTCTACATGTCATCGTCATCATCATCATCATCATCATCGTCACCCATTCCACGGCCTTTCACAAAGTAATACTCCTTTAGGGACTTTACACTCTTGTACTCATCCGTGTTGAGAAAATCGACAGGAATAATATCCCGAAAGTTTTGGAAGAACTCATAAAATAAACTCAGCCATGAATAAACAATCCGAAGTTCTTTTCGGTTTAACGGTATCCTTTGCAACGTTGGTGACTTTGAAGTTACAGGAATCAGAATATCCCTGATGATTTCTAGAATATTGAACCATAGCCGTGATAATAGAATAAATAATGATTTAGGCAACATGTTGACATAAAACCAGTAAAACACTTCGTCCATTTCAGCAAGTAGAGCTTGTTGTTCTCTTTCTGCCAAAGCTTTTAAATCTGAGCCATCTTCTGGAGCTGGGTGTCCCGGTTCTCCTTCTTCTTTCAAATATCGAACAAGCTTGAATAAACCTCCACGTTCCATAAATCCTCGGATGAATATGATTAACTCTGAACTCATTGCATTTAACATTTTCTCTTCAGAAACGGAAAGGAAATCGACCAAACTCGAATAATAAAAGCCAGGGCTTTCTCGTATTATAAGTAATTGTTGTTTGAGCAAAACTTTTCCACCCTCATTCAAATCGACCCATAGAGTCTTTTCATGGTCTTTCTTAAATTTTTCAGGATCAATTTCCACGGTTACATGGCCGTATATTTCCTTTGAACCAGTTTCGTAATTCCTTTGGAAAAGCGTTAATTTATATCGTTTTCGCCCTTCGATTACCAATTCCATCATTTCCTTCCACGTTGGCAAAATAGCATCACGAACAGAAATGGTTTGCTTTGAAAATTCCGATTTTTCATCTTGAAGCACAACATAAAATTCAAGAGGCGCATCCATAGGGACAATTATATGAGCCGCTAAAACTGAAAACACAAGTTTGCATTTCATTGACTTCTTATGTTTATACGGTAAAGACTTTTCCTCTATAACTTTGTGATCCAGACGTTGGTTCAACACAACCATCCAGTCTTTCACCAATCGCACGGTGTTCACAAGAGTCAAGGATTCTTCGTACACTTGAAATGAAATCTGTTTATCGTAATGCTTATGTAGACTGTTGGCTTTTTCCTTGAGCTTATCCACCGGGATCCCTTCATAATGTTGACCTTTCGTAGGATTAAATATATTTTCGTCAAGATTTGCAAAGTACAAGATTTGAAGACAATTCACATAATGATGAATTAGTTTCTCAATTAATTTGCCAATATGAACGTAAAACTTATACACTTCTCCATCATCCGGCCAATCAATCTTTTGTAAGAAATCAATGGATTGTTGGAGTGGATCCAGTATCGTCTTTGACGATTCTGAGCAAAATCTTGCTTGCTGTGGAAGGAAAGATTCCTGCACTATAATCGGTACAACACTCTTCGTAGCCTTTTCGATGATGATACTTAAGTTTCGATAAACAAATTCAACACTGAAACAGCGATAGAACTCAGGATAACGGAGAGAGGATTTGTTCATGCTCGTTACTATATCTCGTGATTGCTTGTAGAGAGAGTTGATTCGGTCGATACTAGTTTCCGATATCTCAGAAGAAGGAATGTCAACGTAATTCTTCATTAAAGTTGGTAACTTTTGAAAATATAGATCGAGGGTAACTTCAGCAAAAACATCCGCGACTAGCAATTGATTAAAGATTTTCGTTTTGAAATTAGCTTTAAGAGTTTCGTGTGTAGCTTGTAATTGCATACCAACTACTCGTAATCCTACCAAATCTGTCTCCGGATCTCCTGATAACTCCTGGCTCACAAGTTTATTATAAAATTCAGAGAATTTCAATCGAAGGCTAGAAAAGAAATTGTTGTAAGCATCATTCAACTCATTCGGATTAATATTGAACAAAGGGTTGCAGAATATGTAATTGTTCATGATATCCAGTATAAGCCGTGACTCTTCAGACGAACGAGGTAAAAAGCCAAGAGTTTCTATCAACTCGTCTAGCGCTTTTCGGTGATAGTAATATAATAGTTCAGAATATTGCTGAGAATCACAAACGGTCCAAGTAGAATAATCACAATCACGAGCAAAAACAAAAATTGCGTGAAAGAGGTCGCGCATCTGAGAAAACTTTAATTTGTTCTTTTCAATAAACTTCCGAAGAACATCTAGAACAATACAACAACAAGTTCCAGGGTGTATGCGCCATGCATTGACAAAACTTCGTATTACACTCCATAAGACATTAGTAGTAAAATCACTACCTTCATTGTGACAGTAATCAAAACAAGACTCTATAAGACGATAGAGATATATGGTACAATCATCAGGACGTAAACAATAAAGATTGGATTTTTGAATGGTGGTCAGTATAGTATTATCCTTCTCTGACAAGTGTGATTCACCAAACAAACCAGCCAAGTCTGGATAATTATCAAAGATCCTACTTGTTACATTTTCAGCATAAACACATTCTCTCTCCACGAAAGCTTCGTAAGCAAAGCGATCAGAAAAGTCTTCAAGCTTCATTCCTGTTTTATCATTGGCAGCACGATACTTGGAAATTTGTATATCTGAAATAGCGGCCAAGGGAACGTTTTCTGGGAGCAAATTTTCAACTTCCGAAATAAAAGCATCATAATTTGCAAAATTAAAAACACCGCACATAAATTTAATGTAACTAATAAGAGAGAAGTCGCCTAGCAAAAATAAATGCCTACTGAGAGTGCAGTTTTTTTCATATATAGGCCAGCATTCAGCTAAAAAACATAGATACCGGTAAAGAGAAATATTTTCAGGATCTTCCAATTCTTCATCTGCACATTCAGCCAACGTGTAAAAGAGCCATTGTGAAGATTGTATGAGGAATTTGATAGATGTAAATTCAACTGAAAAGTAATGAGAAGACATAATCTTAAATAAATGTAAGACAAGATCATCGAGATTGTCATGACTAGCCAGAGCTTCCATCTCTTCATCACTGGCCTGGGATAGCCGATTCAAAAAGGAACTGATACCAATGCGAAAAAAGAGTTCATTTGCCGAATTACAAGACGAAGGCAGCTTCACAAAGGGATGTTGGCATAATTTATTATAGGCCTGATGATAGTAAGATTTAGGAATCTTGATCGGAGGAGTCTCTTCACGGCAATCAGCCATTGCTAAGGATAAATTGTCACGAATCTGCTCCAGAAGTCCGCTTTCTCTGTCCAATTGCTTGGCATTTCTTCTGCTGCGGACGGCAGAGAGTGCAATGATGGCCTTTGCTGTCCATTGATAGAACACGGCGGGTTCAATATGAGTTTTTTGCATATTCAAGGAAAATAGGAGAAACTTCGGGGAAGAAAATGTTACAAAAAGAAATCAAAAGATAAATGAGCAGTAAAAATAAAAATCCTGGTCAATGCACAAATTTATTAGGGTCAAACTGTATCATTAAGTTTTCCAAATTAAACAATTGAAACAGAGACTTGAAAACGCAAAATTAACAAGTATTTCATAAATTAATTAAAAAAATATAAATAACTTAGGATCGCATCACTAGGGATGAAATTGAAGGCCTTACAGATCAAAATAAACTGAATATGTTGGTAGCTCTCAGATATTAAAGAAGGAGACGAAATAGTTTTCAATTTGGTCTCCCTTGATAAGAATAATGCATAAATATGATATATAATGGTAATTTCTCCTGTTTTTTAGTGTTTATTGCTAGTTCCAAAGGAAGACCCGAGTAGACCGTACGAGTAGCATAACCCTCAATGCTACCCAGAAATCTTTTATACAAGACAAAGGCAAAATGCATGCCATGTATTGAAAGAATGTAACCGAAAGAAGTATTAACCCTATTGCTAAAGTGTCTTTAAGGAAAGAATTTAAAATGCAAATTTAGTTTATATTTGATAATACTTTGAATTTAGCGAAATTACAAAAACATTAAAAAAGTCTGTTCATCGTATATAATATTAAATCTAAGTTGTATAAGATACAAACTGCTGCTTACGCTTTCGGTTCCCTTAAAGGAAAGGTAAAAAGCATCACGATCAAACAAATCTTACAGCAATAAAGAAGATCATAACCAAAAAGGAAAATTCGCATGCGTGAATATAACAAACCCTTATTGTATACCAAGAACTATGTCTTCATGAGCGGGATACGCAACGTAAAAAAATTTTCGAAAAGCTTAAAACCAGATTAATTAATAACCATGATTATCAAAGACAGAAAGTCCATCATGAACCAAAAACACGATTACCGTCTTCCAAATATTGATGCCTGTAATTATTATATGAACTAGAAGGGATTCTACGTTGAATAGAAGGAAAAACAATGAGTATCTGTCTACGCTAACTCCAGCTAGTATAGAAAGAAATTAATTGAAGTAGATATAAACCATACCTGTTTCATGGCAGAAGAGACTCAGTGAAAGGACCTTTAGAAACACAGTAATTACCGATGGGATCTTTCACCTTCTCTCAATTACGGAAAATGAATACACGGGAAAGTTCCAATTCTTAGCCTTGTAAAGTAAAATGTACGACATCATCTTCTCAACATTTGGCTATTTTGAGCTTTTTCTTTTTTCACTTGCCACTAGGCCAGTAAATCTTTAAGAGAATTGCCTTTTTATGCAATGCGAAATTATAAGTTTGTAAAGCATGCCACCAGGTTGGACGAATTAAAGCTATAGAATATGAAGCAAATAATTAAACAAGAACCAGTAATATAGATTATGAAATGGTTGGAAAAGGATGTTTGCCTTCGATTAGTGTCTCATAGCGGGAAAAGCTTCGTCAATAGGTGTAACTGTGCCGGGGGACATTGGATTTGACGGACTTGGGGCGTATGCTTGTTCAGGAAGATAACTAGAAGGCTGCATGGGGACCTCTAAATTCATGGGAGCGACACCAGGGACCGGTAATGGAGAAGGGGTCATTGCCCCAAATGGACTGAATGGGGCCTGGGTAGGCAAACCAACGGTAGGAAAAATTGGAGCAGCAGGCACCGGAGCAGGCGAAACTTGTGAGTGATAAGCTACCACAGGAGGAGGATTCAGCGATGAATTTTGGTTTCTTCCCCAAGAGAGACGGATACGAGAATTCCCAAGGGGATATCCTTGTAATTGAGCTATGGCCAATTCTGCTGACTGATGGCTTACAAACTGCACAAATCCACAGCCTTTTCCTGGAGGGATTTTCACATACGTGATATCACCAAAGTTTTGAAACAAAGCATGAAGGTCATTTTCGGAAACATTTTTTGAAAGACTGCCCACGAAAACAGTTGAGTTGGTAGTATCAGGGTACTGGGGAACAGGCTGCGGCATAGGTTGCGGCAAAGACTGGGGTGGATTGTAAAAACCCATGGGTTGAAGATTAACAGGCATTAAGCCAACAGGACTTATGACTTGTGCCTTGGATTTTGGAGTGGCGATCCCGACTCGGATGGGACGGTCTCCACAAATCTTTCCCTGCATTGTGGATAGAGCACTTTTTTGTTCGGTCTCGTCGGTGAATCGGACAAAGCCGTAACCACGAGAATTACGGGTACTAGGATCGGTCATAATTTTGACGGATTTGCAGGAAGGATAGTCGGAAGCAAACAAGGAAAACAACATGCGTTCGGTTACGACGGGAGACAAATCACCGACAAAAAGAGAATACTCAGGAGCTTTGATAGACGAACGATCACCAATGCCTCCTCCAGAAGCCCAATTGAGTTTGAACAAGCGATTCGTCCCTGGAAAGGGTTTGTCATTATATTCCATGGCAGCTTTGGCTTCTTCATGGGTACTAAAGTCAATAAAGCAGTAACCAGAATTAAGGCCAGTATATTTATTTTGAATCAGCTTGACAATAACGTTGTGTCCAAGAGAGGCCCAAGCTTGTTGAATATACAACTCGTTGAGCCAAGGCTCGAGTTCGCCCATCCATAGAGTTGTTTTTCCATGGGAAGCGGGCTCGCTAATGATGGGAACGGAGGAACGGTTATTGTTGGAAGGACCATCCAAGGAAGAAGGATGATTGTCATCAGAGGGTTCGTGGTCAACAAGTCCATTTTCGGATTGCGTTGGCAGATCCTGTGGTGTTGACTGCTTAATTGAGGGGCTGTCTTGTATGTGAGGAGTTGTGGAAGGATCCTCAAGGCTAGGTTCTGCAGCCGATCCCTGTTCAGAATGGATAGAAGTCATCTAGGGCACTGTCAATATAGAAAAGCCAGGAAAAGAGAAGAAAGGGAAAGATGCTGAACGTTGACAAAAAAACAAAGGAAACAAGTCACTAAAAAAGGCAAAGTCAAAGTTTTGGAAGAAGTGATCAGCAACGGTCGTTGGGAATAAAACAGTCGTTTGAATTAGTTGCAGCAATTCCAACGTCAAAAAGAAAATGGGTAAGAAAAAAAAATAAAAAGCAAAATAGAAAACAAAAACAATCAATTCTTCTACGAGCGAAAGAGTGGTTCGTAAGAATTCAAAGTCAAGATATATACCGTAATGATACTCTTGCGATAGTTTTCAAACAATCCAACAAAGGACAGCTTGTGATACACACACACAAAGAGAGGGAGAGAGAGAGAGAGAGGTGTATGCTAGTACGTCTGAAAGAGCCAGAGCTCACAAAAACAAGCAAAACAGTACAGTGGAATAAAAAAGCGACAAAGGACTTTCCTTGACAGAAGAGGAAGAAAGGGAAAAGGGAAACGAAAAAGAAGAAGAAGAAGAAAAAAAAAATTCTGAATTTGGATCAGTAAGCAAGAACGGTAGAAGGTACCACGGTAAGACGGCGGGTTCGATAGATGATATCAAGGGCCGAGAGAGATACTATCGCTATGATGATAAAAAAACCAAGTATAAAGCAAAGGAGAGTAGAGACTATAAGGCAAACAACAGTCTGGAAAAAAGGAATTGAAAAATGCGACGCCAAAAGTACAACAAGTATAAGCAGAAAGACGACGACGTCGATGATTTACAATAGATCAGTGAATGGATGAATGGGTGAACGAGGAAAAAGCAAAAGTAAACCCGTTAATATGAATTTTGAGTCACCAATTCAATCTTTTGAAATAAATGGTAAAAGAAATTACTCAAAAATACCCCAAAAAGAAGCAATGTGTATTATGCGCCGGTTCTCCAAAAGGCGAAGTGGACGATGGTAAGCATGGATGGGTAAGGGAAGAAGAGGAGTCATGAATTTCGCAAACCCATTTTTAGAAATCAATACATGAAATCTTTTTCATACATTCTTACTAATTGAAATCATATATTCATCTACAGAGAATCGCACATTAGTTTTTCCCCATGTGGGGTACTTTCGTTTTTCCATGAGCTTATTCATGTCAATCGAATGTTATTGTTGTCATTGTTAGCAAGACAAACAATACAACAAAAACAGGCAGGATTACAATGCTAAATCGTGGATGATGATAACTAATAAGGAAAATTATGAATGCTCGTAGAGAAAAGAAGTACTGAAATCTCCTATTGAATTTTTTTTTTCGTTTTCGTTTTCGTTTCCGATTCCGATTTCGGGGTTCTTTTTTTTTTCGTTTACAGTCTCAAGAGCCAAAAGCTGGGTCAATCGGCTTTCTACTCCAATCTTTCTGTTTCCTTCTCTCTACTCTGCATGACAAGGAAATGCGAAATTATACAGTAAACTAATTCAGCCGACAGACGACGTCGCGCTGTCGCATGAGTGTATCGTTGCTTTCCCTCCTTTTTTTTTTTTTATTTTCTTTTTTTAAACCTGGGAAAGCTTCTCTACCACGTCAACTTGCGTTAAATAATCCGACAACTCATTCTTACATTGTACTTTCAAGTACCGATCATATACTACCGATTCCTTTTTGCATGAAAACCAATTTATCAGATTTGTAATATATACCCTTTTCTTTCCTAGTCATGCAAGAAAGTCAGTATGTCCGAGTGGTTAAGGAGTTAGACTCGAATTCCCCATTCGAGGCATCTAATGGGCTCTGCCCGCGCAGGTTCAAATCCTGCTGCTGACGGTATAAATGTGTGCGCGGTAGGAGAGTGGAACTCCGACGGGCTCATAACCCGTAGGTCCCAGGATCGAAACCTGGCCGCGCAATTCTTTTTTCATTCTTTTTCTTTTTTTGCTGGTTCTACTTGTTTTTTCATTCTTTATATATTTTAGAATTTCGCTTCTTGTGAGGAATCGTAATTACTACTTGCTGCTTTGACGACTTAACGCCCGTCCTTTCTTTCCGTATACAGCGACTTCCTTGGTCCCTCCTTCTCCCTTTAAGATCGCTTTATATGTCTTTATGGAAAAGCATATGCTTATATCAATTCCTTTATAACATACCATTGGACAACAACATATCGTCTTAGGTCAGATACCAATTATGATATTCCTTCCTTCGCGTAACCTTGCCTCCAAGAAACGAAATCGACGCTTGGAAATTGTCGCAAACCTAGAATTTCATTGTTTTCTACAAGTTTGATTTCATTTTATGGAAAAAAGTAAAGACTTTCCTTGTTTGGATCCAAATCAATGTAGCCATTTCCCTCCCTGCCTTCAAGATGCCAAACACCACTTCTCATCCATCAATTCACGGTCTAGTCCTAATCCCATTAGTTCTCTATCTACCAAGAATACACATTCTTTACAAGACCTTGAATTTCAAAGGAAACTTGCTTTTCTGAATCGAAAACACCAACTCAATCGCCCTCTCGTCCCTTCCCATCCTCCCATGGACCCTCGTCCTCTGTTTGCCTCTCCTTCTCACACCCATCGCGACGACAAAAATACCAATTCGAACTTAATATTTTTGTCTCCGCGTCGTTCCTCTCCCGAAGACCGCCTTTCCCTTGTCAAACGAGAAGACGTCAAGAATGAACAAGATCCAATTCCCCTTCCTTCTTCTTCTTCTTCCTAGGCTTCTTCCCACAAACAAAATCAACTACAATCTGAGAAAGAAGACCCAATCATTGTCATTAGTGATTCTGAAGAAGACGAAAAACCATCGATTTCTAAATCCACTTTTGTCGTCAAGGATGAAAAGCAAGTTATTCCTACTTCCCCCTACGATATTCCAAACGAGGTTATTGAAACGGGATACAAACGGCTACGGCTGTATTCCAACGACAACAAAGGCTCTATTTCCAATGTCAAGCCTTCTTGGACTGCGTCTTCTTCCGGAAACGCACCCCAATCCACATTGTGGGATGGTGGAACCAATGAAAATCCCATTTCCCTCACCGACGATGAAGACGAAACTCACTTTAATCAACTCCTCGCAGATGCTTCTGTAAGCATGGCTGCACCACACCATCAGCCACCTTTCTATTCCGATTCTTCCTTTACCGATTTGCCCAATACTTTTCCGTCCCAACACCCATGGGGTGTTCCTCCTCCTCCTCCTTTAGTTCTGCATCAACATCATCTTTTTCAAGACCAAACGTCTTTGACCCAAAAAGAACAACTCAAAGAGCTTTTCAAAGACTTAGACGATCAGCTCGAAAGTTCTCCACAAGCTCGAGAAGGCACACCAGCTGGCTTGGTACCTGTGCTTATGGAGCATCAAAAAGAGGGCTTGGCTTGGCTTAAGAAAATGGAAGAAGGTACCAAAAAGGGTGGCGTCCTTGCTGACGATATGGGTTTGGGAAAAACTGTACAAATACTCGCACTACTGGTATCCAGGCCTTCCAACGATCCAAAAACTAAAACGACTTTGATTGTCGCTCCCGTGGCTCTGGTTCAACAATGGCGCAGAGAAATTATTGCAAAAATCAAACCTTCTATGCGTCCAACCGTATACGTGCACCATGGTCAATCAAAGAAGCATAGATTTGCTAAAGAGCTTACACAGTACGATGTCGTTCTGACTACTTACAACGTGATTGCTTATGAGTACCGACATAGAATGGCTTACGAGCAGAGTTTAGAAGATGGCGCACCTTTAAAAAAATTCGAGCATCTACCTTTTTTTGAAGCCAATTGGTATCGAGTTGTTTTGGATGAGGCCCAAACCATCAAAAACAGAAACACCCTTTCTGCCAGGGGTTGCTGCTTATTGCAGTCAACTCTTCGATGGTGTCTCAGTGGTACCCCAATGCAAAATGGTATTGAAGAATTTTATAGTTTAGTCAAATTTTTGAGGATCCAACCGTATTGCGATTGGTCCCACTTTTCAAGAGATTTTGTTGGTCGAATGGGTCAAGAATCTGATTCATCCAGAGCTATGAAGCGCTTCCGTGGACTTATTAAGGCTGTCTTACTTCGCAGAACGAAGGCTACAAAAATTGACGGAAAACCTATTCTTACACTTCCTCCGAAAACCGTGCGAAAAGAAGAATCTGCTTTATCCAAACCTGAGATGGAGTTTTATAATGCTTTACAAGCAGGAGCTCAAATTCAAATGAGAAAGTACATGCAAGAGGGTACTGTCACAACCCATTACGGAAGCATTTTAGTCTTGCTGCTCCGACTTCGACAAGCTTGTTGCCATCCTTGGTTACTGGTAGCAAGAGAAACCACCGATGATGATAATGATAGTTTTCAGAAAGAGGCCAGGAGTTTGTATAATAAGCTTTCAGGTGAAGCTTTAAATCGTCTGAAGACTACCGAAATGCTGCGATGCTCTGTTTGCCAGGATTATGTCTTGGATCTTCAGATTATTATTCCATGTGGCCATTTTGTTTGCCGGGAATGTTTGAGTCATCTCATCACGTCTAGTGAAGTTGCGGCTCAGAGAGATGGTATGGAAGAAGCAACCCCTAAATGTGCTGTCTGTTTTGAATATATTACTCCAGACAACTTTTTAAGCTACAATCTCTTTCGACGTTTTGCTGGGATGGCACCGATCATAGGTTCGGACAATAAACTGAAAACTGACCGAGTTGCTGAACTATTGCCGCAGGGTTATGATAATATCTTGGAGAATCGTGAACTTGGAATGAATATATTTACGAACCCCTACAACTGGATTACGTCTACCAAGATTGACAAAGCCGTAGGCGAAATTACTTCTATTTTAAAAGAACACCCCCAAGACAAAATTTTAGTGTTCTCTCAATTTGTGTCTTTTTTAGAGTTGTTCACTGTTCCATTAAAACAGAATAATGTTCAGTTTATACACTATCATGGTGGATTAAGCCCTACTGCTCGAAATGAAGCTATTTTGCAATTCGAAACCAATCCAAATAGTAACGTGCTATTGATTTCATTGAAGGCAGGAAATGTCGGTCTTAATTTGACATGTGCTAATCACGTACTTGTTCTAGACCCGTTTTGGAATCCTTATATTGAAGAGCAAGCTATTGATCGTGCACACCGAATCGGTCAAAGTAAGCCCGTCAATGTATTAAAAATTACTGTGAATAATACAGTGGAAGAGCGAGTAATTGCTTTACAGGAGAAAAAAAGAGAACTAATTGATAGTGCGTTGGGTGAGAAGGGCTTACGGGAAATTTCACGCTTAAACACAAAGGAGCTGGCCTTCTTGTTTGGTATGTAATATTCTCTCTGTGAATTACGGTTTTGTACAATATAGATCGAATATAGAACTTTAATAGTTTCTCGTTCATTAAAAGTTCAGATGAAAGATAATAATGACACACATATGCTAATAAATCTCTTTAATCATTAATTTCTGCGAAAGCAATATTATCTTCCGTAGCTGTTAATAAACTATGAACAACAGCTTTGCCATGCCCAAGACGCAAAATACAACTTGAACCTGCGAACGTAACATCTCTTTCCTCCCCCCAGCGATTAGCGATCAGAAGAGTACAGTCTTTTTCCATGTCTACTAAAGGAGACAACCTAGCCACCCAATACTTTACATTCATTAAGTCTGGTTGAGGAACCGCCAGGCAATTTGAGTCACAGAGCAACCAGGCCATACTTAAAGCAATAACTGGAGACCTTTGTTTTTCTGAATCAATCGATGAGCACTCTTTCATTATTTGATCTTTGATGAAATTGCCATATTCAAATTTTTCAAAAGGTGCTGTGAAGTCTTTGGGATTAATATCCATACAGATAGCCATAGAAATAGGACCTAAGTCCGGTAAAGATTCATCATACATAAATCCTTTTCCTTGTTTCGCCCAAGTTTTATCTGTATCATATAGGAAATGTTTTTGATATACTTTCAGTAGTTTTGCCTGGGGTGAAACCAGAGCTGTGCTGTTGAAGTAAGATTTTTGATCTTTAACTTGTTGAATTTCAGGAAACCCGATAACAGTATAACAGCGATACTGCTCAGCTACAGTCTTAGCGAAAGATAAACTAGGGCTTGTTTCGTCTTTGATATCTTCCAAAAATGGCTCTATTTCAGAGCTGTTTTTGAAATTGTAACCTATATAGCATTAATATATGCAAAGCTTATTAATTAATTCCGTTTCTTTTATACCTGACAAAACCAATTCTGGAAATACTAGCAAATCCACCGAACGAAGTGCATCTTCGTTCTTTTTCAAAAGCAAAGACAGCTTTTCTATATTATTTTGAACTTGACCAATCGTTGGATTAAATTGCACACAGCCATATTTCATCTTGAACTGCCTAAACAATGAATACTAAGCAATCCAGAAGGTATTTTGCTAAGATGGTATATGAGTATGTTTATGCACTGACTTCGTGTAAGAGCGCAGATATGAAACTGAAATAGATACGAACATAAAATAGAACCTTTGCAAAATCTCAGCTTCAACGAGTTTCAATACTGATGTTGCAGATGTTAAACTATATAATCCGATTCCAATTGAAGGTCGAGCATACGACTTCGTTAACACCAGCGCTGGCTTGTACCATCAAGAAAACGACGGAATTATTATAATTACTTTCTTTCTTTAATAGTACGTTGCATACAATCTAACTTTGATAGCTCTATGTTACATTAAAAAAAACTTTTATTATCAGGCGTATTATGAAACCAAGAACCCAATTTTTTACCCAAAACATATATAAAAATTATACAAAGAGCTCCTTTATGCAATTTATAATAACAGGTTAAACTCGAATAAAAACCGTTACCCCGAAAACCCATTTCCAAATATCCGGTAAAACTCGTGTCTGTAGATATATATTTGACATTTTTTTGGAGTCGAATAATCGAACCCACTTTTTAAGTCAAATAATCTTGAAGCGATTCATTATCACCGAGACAATCATCGACGATCCGGACAAGCTCTGTCGTTGCAGCCTCAACATTTTCATCGTCATCTTCCATAATTTCAGCGATAAACGGCACGGACTGTGGAAGAGTAGAAACCCATTGTTCCGCCAAACGTCCATATAATTGAGTCTCGATTTGGATAGCCAAAACGCGAACATCGGTATTTTCGGATCGGAGGTGTTGCAATAGAGGAGTATTAATAGCTTTATAGTTTTCACTAGAAGGTGCGACGTTCGCAAGCTCAGTAATAGCCTTAATCAAAACTTTGTTGTCCAGCAAAGGAGCATACTGAATTTGTTCTAACAGAACAGGAACAAGCAAATTAAAACGAGCAGGTACTATCCAAAATTCTTCCGTGTCGTTTTCAAATGCAACAGCCAAACTGCTAATGATCAAGTGACGGAGTTCACTGTTTGTGTCCTTAGATGAGAGGATGTCAACTGTGCTATCTAAGACGTAAGCGTAGTAGTTGGTAACAATCGACTTCAAAGTATCCAAAAACGTTGTCAAAAAGTTATAGAAGAAAGTTTGGCGAGAAACAATGCCAGACGGGTCACTTTCCCGTAAATCTTCCATTGCCCACGATTGTAGGCGCAAAAACAAAGGTCTAAAAGTTGTATCGCTCAACTTCATTACAAACTTGAGGAAAACATTTACGGCTTTTGTCTCTACATTATCCACGTCCTCCGCGAAGAATAAAGAGCGTCGGCTATCAAAAGAATCAAGGAAAAATCTGAAGATAGATTTGTAAACCGTACCAACCGCTGCTCTTGTAGAGTTCTGCAAAGTCATCTCGATTAGTTCAAGCAGACGAAGGGCCGCAGTAGATCCCAATTTCGTGCACTCAGTCCAAGCAGAGAGGATAGATTTAATTAGATGACGGGTAGGAACATAATTGGCAATAGTATCAAATAACAATTCACCAATTGAATCTTGACCGAATGCGCGATCGGAAGCCAAAGCAGCTTTGATTGTAGGTTCGACATAGCTAGCACTGAATTCTGGGATAACCTTGAATAGATCAATCATCATCGAAAAGCAAGCCAACTCTAAAAGATCTCCTTCAGAATCATTTTTTGCGCCGAATAACAGTGAAAGAACACTCTCCATAATATCTGCCAAATAAGGTAAGATTCTAGCTCCTAATGTATTTGATAACACTGTTATACAAACAATGGATGAGACTTGAACGTCTTTTGCTTTACTCTTTAAGCCATAAGTACCAGATACAACCTCAATGGCAGATTCGAATGCTTCAGAGTTCTTCTTGAACCGTTTGGCCATGTCAGAAAGACAATCCATTGCTAGCTGCACTGTTTCTTCATCTCTACCATTAGATATGTTAAAAGTAACATCAGGCACCAAAGTGACTAATGAAGAAACCTTAGCACCACGTTGCACACGCTGTTGCAAAACGCCCAAAGCTTTACGGCGAAGTAAAGTGCGCTCGTCATGAAGCAACTTGGCAAGAGCTGCACAGAAAGACTCCTCGGGGAGAAGGGCAATAAGATTGCGAAGAGCTGCATAAACGTAGTCAATCTCTTGGTCAGACTTGACAATGTCACCCAATTCAAGTAAGATCTCTAACGACTTGAACAAATCTGATTCGATAAGTTTGAATTGTTCAACATCAGAATCGATAATTCGAGCTAGATCGGATTCAAAATTCCTTACCTTGCAAACAGTCGATGTAAGCTCAAGTAATTTAAGACGCAATGTTCCGATGGTACTAACATCAAGTTCCATGGGTAGTTGCTCCAATTTCACAGTAGTAATAGGCTTTCCGTTACTTTGAGTAGCAGTCTGCGCCTTAAAAGACTGCAAACAGGTTTGGGAGCATTGATTGATAGTACGAATACGATCAATAGGTGAAATACTTTGAGCTAGTGTTAAACAGAAGTCCTGGACGACCTTAGCTTGTGAAGGTTTAGCCGCAACAGCTTTTTCAGCAAATTGAATGAGAATAACGGACATAAATTTGTGAGTACCAATCGTTTGCAAAAGCATTCGATATAGTCGAAGACGGCGATGTTGTGGTATGTGAGGGAATGCGTTTACGAAGCATGAGATTAATAGAGAGGAATCGAAATCGCTTGACAGTTTAACCAAAGCAGATATAACAGTCTTAATTGTCTGTTCAATGACGTGGATTGAGAACGCATCATCGCGAGACAAAACTGTAGTCCCCATGAAAGTGAATATTGGCATAACTCCGTGCAAAACTACTTCCGGAGCAGCATGAGAAAGTCCACTAACAAGTAATAAAGCTTTATTTTGAATCTGAGGATTGTTCGTAGATCTAATACAACCGACCAATGTATCAATTCTAATGGAAGGAGATAATTCTTTTACAGGAGCAGCACAAACCATATCATAAAGAAGACCAAGTAATAGCTGAAGCAAATAGTTGGCTGAGACAATTTGATCCTTAAGGCTGATAACTTGATTAAGTATGTCAAACAAAGGAGCAATTAAATAACTATGGCTTGCAGCATCCTTAGTTTCGAGAAGTTCCAGAACAGAAGTCACTTTTCGTAACTCAAAAGCAGATATTCCCTCTTTACTACGTGCCCGTTTTGAAGATGCGCCATTCTTGCTACTAAATTGAAAATTTTCGAGCAAATTTCGAAAAACATTAGGAGGGATATCGAGAGCATCCAAAGTATCAATAAAATATGAAGGTTGGTCTTCAACATCAGTCAATGATCGGATTAATTCTAAATACTGAGATTCCTTTAACTTCTCTTGCAGACTGACCAAATGCTTGCAAGCAGCCTGAGATAACGCTGACTCTGTCTTAACCAGTGCCAACAGTGAAGGAAAGTAGTGTTGATCAAAAACTTTAACGATTGCTTCAGCCTCCTTCGTAGTAACTTGTTTTGCTTGCTCAGCGTTAGCAGGTTTTGATAAATTTGTCAATTTGGGAGATAGAAGTTGCTGCTTCATGCCGCTAACTTTTCCACGAACATGATGCAAAACTTCCAACAGAAAAACACGAACTTCTGTAAATCGACTACTAAAAGCATGCGACGTCAAAAAGGATGTGACAGCCATCTTAACTGACAACTCCTTGCTCTTCTTCTCCGCGTATAATTTCTCTCCGATATAAGAGTAAATGTAACTATTGTCCATTTGAAGTTCTGAAGAACAGCTAAGAATATAATCATTACAAAACACCCGAACTTCTTCGAGACTCAACCATTTGAAATTCTCAAATTCTGGATCGTTCAGTCCGTAAACATTTGATATACTCTTCTCGGTGGACTGGGAAATTTGAGATATTATTTGCAAAGCTTTCGATCTGACTTTGAGCGAAGTACGAGTCAAGGCATAAAGAGTAGTAGGCAAAAGAGCTTGAAAATCGGTCTCGTTGCTTTCAGAAATGATTGCCTTTTCTAAACACTCTAAAGCAACGGCGCTGGTTTCTTCCTTTCCATAAATAATACAAGAACACAAAAACGGTATACGCTTTGTAAACTTGTGAAGCAAATCATAAAAGTAAGTTAGATTGTCAGATAAAGCATCATCAGCCAAAAAGACGCAAGGGGTATAATCAACTGGTTCTTTAAGAGGTTCTTCAAACGAATCAATCTTAGAACGTAAAGCTCGTCTGTCTGTATTTTTAGAGACCTTAGAATCTTCGGCTTTCGGTTGTTCAACAACACCAGTTGTTTGACTATCCGTGGTAACACTCTTATCTTGCATATCAACGTTATTAATGACTCGGCGATAACTTTGCAATGTGGAGTATTCTGATTGCAACGATACTGTCGAAAGTAATAGTTTGGCCTGTTCAAAAGAAATATGAAGATGGGTGAATGAATTATCTAATAAATGAAGAAGCTCACCTTTATTGGATTTCTTAGATTTTAATAAAGTAAACCAGTACATAGTGAACAATTTATCCATGCGATACTTTTGGTTTAATTCCAAAAGCAATCTGGAAGAGCCATACGCTTCCAAGCGCTCAATCCATTCTTTTTGAAACTCTATTGAGCCTTGCTGAGTCTGTAACAGATGACCTATACAAATCAAAGCTTGGTGTATATTATCAGTGGTGATACGAAGCGTGATGGCGTCTAAAAGAGGAGGAATAACTGCAACATGTAAAGGAAAAGAAACGGCGAGTGCAGATAAGCACATAAACCCAGAAATTTGAAAGGTGGTGCTAGCCGGATAGCTAACGGCGTAAGATATGTACAAAAATAGACGATCCATGATAACGTTGGAGTCGACGTTAGAAGACGACCATGAAATCATGGACTCTAGAAAGACACCAGCCCAAAATCGTGCAAGGACTGGATACATCGTGTTTGACTCTGCAGAAGCCTGGGCGAACTGCGCAAACATCGATAGTAAATCTTTATCACGAATCATAGCGTGAACGATGTCAGCACGTGACAATGCAACGCGCATTTCTATAGCGGGCTTCAAAAAAAGCATAGGTCTTGAACTTGGCTTCGAGCAAGCTAAGACCCGTGCAAAAAAGGGATGATCATGATAAGGAAAAAATGTGAGCAAAAACTCATCAGCGACGTACTCATGGATACTAAACCGGCGAATTAGCCATTCTAGCACTTTCAAAGTAGTTTTTTGTGTAAAGAAGGGAGCCAGAAGTTGTAACAAATGAATGCATTCCTTGTTTAATTTTTCGTTTTCAGCTTTATCCAACGTCAACCTATCGACATGAACGGATTGTTCGCCTAACAAAGTTTTTTCATAATGCAATAAACGAGGTTCACGAACCGCCAACTCATGAAAGCCGCTTACTGCTGTAATATAAATTTCTTCCAAATCCATATCGGCAGCAACTTTGGGCTCATATAATAACGACGGTGCCCGCCGAACTTTACCAGCCTTCAGAACATTGTTGTTCTGTACTTGCTGTAGCTGCTTCTGAAGAGAAGAAGCCATTTTAACGTTATTCACGCTCTAGAATTGCTACTGCGGCCTTTGTTACCGTTTTGGCGAAGGATAGGTAGAAAAATCCACCAGATGCATATTTTCGTACCAATTTCTTATAGATGGCACCAAAACTGAGTGGTTATACACTATTTAAGTTTACCGTACTACTCCGTGTTTCAACTATATGTCTTCTATTTTGTTATCGATGTATCGTTTTGTAAAATACATCGCTATTTTCTCAACTTTAGTCACTTAGCAACACCATCTTGTAAAGAGCATTCCTTTTATATTCCGTATTCTTTGCTAATTTTGCAGGAATTACTGGGATCGTGTTGCTTTTTTTCTTCTTTTTTGGAACCAGTTGTGCATTATCATGGAAATTGATCAGCCTATTCAAGCAGGTCCTGTGAAGGATGAAAATTTCATTACAAAATATCAGGATGCTGGTGCTGTGGTGAGTAAATCATTCCATAAGCTCGCTCCCCTCTTTGTTCCTGGTGCTTCGGTGCGTGAACTATGTGGTTTAGGTGACCAATTCATTGAAGAAATGGTAAGTGAAATGAATTAGCTTGAAAGAGCATCGAAACCCAAGGACCAAAAAGCGAATTTCTATAAGAGCTCTTTTGTATGAAAGCTTTGAGCTGATGGGCTGTCTATGACTGAAACTGAGAATATATTTTGACACTACCAAATTCGCTATATTGGACTTCCTTGTTCATGCACGATGCTATATAGAAATTCTAACACATTTAGGTTGCACCTATGTATAAATCAAAGCGATATGAAAAAGGTCTGGCTGAACCCACTAGCGTTTGCGTCAACAATTGTGCCTTCAATTATTCTCCGGGTTCTGAAACGTTGGTTAACGGTGTCGAAAACTCTTATCGTCTTAACATTGGTGATGTAACTAAAGTGTAAGTAAAGAAATACTATCTTGACATTTCAGAAATACTAATAATTGATTTTTCAGCGCGATGGCTTGTCACATTGATGGTTACACTGCTAGTATTTGTCACACTGTTGTGGTAACGCCGCCACCTCAACCTGGAATGGGTCCTTACATTGGTCCTGGAGCTGATGCTATCTGTGCTGCTCATTTCGCTACCAAGAGCGTTGCGAATATGATTTCCACTATCGATCCTTCAAATCCTGTTACAGGTCCTAGATTGCGTAAGCTTGTTGAAGACATCGCCGCTCAATTCCACGTTCATGTTTCTCCAGGATCTCGCATTCGCCGTGTTGATAGATATCTTGTTGGACAGATAACTGTTGATCGATTGGAGGAAGAAAGAAACTCAAAGGCTGCAGTTGAGTGGCCTGCACCAGAAGAGGAAGAAGAAGAAGAGGCACAGAAGCGTGCTATTGATCCCTCGGATCCTGCTGGTGATATGCTTGCAGAGTTGGACAACTGGCATGTTATGCCAAAAGAAGCATGGCTTATCGATATATCTATGTCTTCTAAACCAGTTGATCACCTTAGAGAGCACCCAGATTTAAAACCTACAGTCTACTTACATGATGTTAATGTTTCCTATATGTTAAAGTTAAAGGCTTCTCGAGCTCTACTCTCTGAAATTAAGGAGAAGAAATCCGTTTATCCATTTCATATACGTTCTTTGACTACGGAGAGAAGCCTGCTGGGTTTAAAGGAATTGGTGGACAGACACATTCTTGTACCTTACCCTGTTATGGTTGCTTCTCCTTCCACACTTATTGCACGCGAGGAATTAACAGTCGTCGCTAAGCCTAATTCCTCAGCAGATTTATTCTGCTTAACTGTACCAACTCCTCCCAGTTATATCAAGAGTGATTTTTCTTTGGTTGAGGGAACAGATGCGTACATGTTTAGTGAAGGTATGCAAAGTCGTGTAAAGATGGTTTCGCTCGAATAAACGGATACGCGATGCTTTGTCGAAGCAATAAGAAAAGCTTAAAATTTAGAATATTTGAAAAGGTTGAATTTTTTGGTTTATGGAGATTTTGTTAGGATCAATAAATAAGGGTTTACTTGGTTGAAGTAGATGTGGTTGAAACAAAAAAAGAAGAGAGCATATCATCTGTCGTCAATGCGTAAAGAAAAAAAAAAAAAAAAAAAAAAAAAGCTCATTTGGTCGATTAGTACGATCATGTACGTAATAATTTTTAAGTAATTCATTTACTAAGAGTTCAACATTCGCTCGTTCGCACAACTTTTTATGGACAAAAAGATTTGAAAACAAAATAATATGGTCAAGGGAATTGGCTAGAAGAGAAAGATCGTATCAGAAGCAATTACGCCATGTGCGGTCTTCAGCCTAATATTACATTTATAATGGATGCTCCTTGATGTATTCTATCAGAGATTTGATGGTAATCATTTTAATTCCCCATTGGGAACAGAATTTTTCACAATCATCAAAGCGAGACATTAATCCATCCTCATCACGAACGAGCTCACAGATAGCAGCGGCGGGAGGTAAGCCTGCAAGTTTACACAAATCAACAGCAGCTTCTGTGTGTCCATCACGAGCCAAAACACCGCCTTCCCGAGCTCTTAAAGGTACCACATGGCCTGGTCGATTGAAGGCTTTAGGATTCTTTAAGTTCGGGTTGGCTAATTGTCGGGTTGTGAGAGCACGATCGTGCGCGGAAATTCCAGTAGTAACTCCTTCAGTAAAGTCTACAGTTACTGCATAAGCTGTTCGCATTCTTTCTTCATTGTGCTCGACCATCATGGGGATATCTAGTTCGCTCAATCGTTCACCTGTCATAGGAACACATACATATCCACTAAATAGTTTTTAAGTTAGTAAAAATTTTCATAACGAAATATTATGTTCAATACCTTGAATGTCGGACAAGAAATGCCATTTGTTCTGTTGTAAGATTCGCGCCTGCGATAATTAAGTCACCTTCATTTTCGCGTGTTTCATCATCCAAAACAACAAGAAACTTTCCGTTCTCTACACTCTGTGTTAGAATTCTATGAGGAAACTGGAAATACTATCATACTGAAGTCTTGAATGGCCTCTTCAATGGATGAAAGCATCTTTGTAAATGGTAAGATGGAACACACACGCTTACCTAGCTACTTCAGGGAAGAATGGATAGTGAGTGTGTGCGAGATGCGATGATTAGTAAACATTCAAAAAAAAAAAAAAAAAAAAAAAAAAAAAAAGAGGGAGAGGAAGGAAGAGAAAAATAAAAGAAAAAGAATGATTAAAGAAAAATTAAAACGGAGAATTTAAGACTCTTGAAATCTTAAAACTTGTCTATTATTAAATTCCCATCTTTAATAATCGAGTTGATAACTCTTGGTCATCACGAACAACACCTTTGATACCATATTTAATTTTATTTTTACAATATTATTTGTTTGTGTTTGATGCAAGTCTCCTTACTGTTAAAAAAAGGGTTTAATCTTGAAAACTTTTCGTTTTATTGCTTTCATCGTTTGTTTATTTATTACGGTATAGTAAGGAGCAAGTAAAAGTATAGTACGATATTTTATGAATATCATACTATAAAGGGTTGGATACTATTTTTTTATTTTTTTTTTTTCTTCCGTAAAGGAATAATGCTTTGTTGTCGAAATTGAATTAACTATGCGACGAAAGGCATATACATGTACATTTTGCGAAATTAAGTCATTGTAAGTCTTTGATCAGTCCGATTTGGGTGACATATTTAATCAGATATCAAAGTATGTAAAGTATCGGTATTCGTAAGTAATCAATGTAGCATGAAGCTTCTTAATAAACAAAAATCATTGAGAATAACTCTGTAACAGCAGTGGATTATGAATCAAATTACGCTTGCTGCATTGTTTTTTGCATATAAAAGAGATACATATCAAAGAATTAAGAACATATGGAACGCAAAGCAATACCGACAGCACAACACGTACATACGTAGCTTTATGCTCTTATTCTCTTATTCGATTGTATGAAACGAAACCTGTCTACCGCTAACCATCATAAACGAATTGATATGCATTTGAAACCTAAAATATTTTAATTTTGAAAAGTGAATGTTCTTCTATTATGTTATGTTGTTTTCTTTCTGCCTCGACGACTGGGCGCCGAGGAAGACGATCCCGCATCCGCCTTGGGCTTCCTTGTTGCCTTCGTCGGCTTTTTCGGAACAGAAATAAATTTGTCCTTACTCAAATCAGTATCATCTTCTTCTTTTTCACTTTCAGCTTCGACAACTTCGTCCTCAGCTTCAAGAGCATCTTCCACGTCCGGCACTTCTGGAGCACGCGATCCTTTCATGGGAAGAACATCGCTCGAACCGATAAAAGCAACTGGGTGATTTGTAGAGTTGTATTTTCGTGTAAACGCAGACTTGACAGTAGTAGGTATTCCTTTCATTAATTGTTCACCAACATCGGCAGGCAAGACAACTTCCATAATTGCGTCGAAGTCATCACGATTCAAGAAGTACTCATCCATTAATTGGATAATATCGGGAATGGCATCTGCTTGTTCTCTAGCTAAACGCATTGATAATGATTCGTACAATATAGGAATATAGTGTTGTCGAACTTCCAAAGAATTGGCAGACACCTTTAGTCGCATGTGAAGCTGAATTTCACGAAGCACTCTGTAAAGCTTGTTCGTTTTGGAGTTATTTCCTAACCAAGAAGTAAATTTGATTTGTCTGGAACCAGATCCAGCAACAAATGACGCTGGCCTTACACATGATAGCAAAGCATGTGTTGGCATCAATGACCAATGCTGCTGAGAACCATGAATCATGCTATCGACAAGATCGGAGTCAGAAAAAGATTCTGCGGCTTTAGAAATCAATTCTAGATGTTTCAAGTTTGCCATCTTTGGTGGCTCCTGTCGTGTTCGATCAGGGGTTGTGTTCAAATAATTCTCTTGTACCATTAAATAAGAAAATTCATGATCATTAAAGTACAATTCCAATTTATCATTAATCGTAGCTTTGCTTGAAGGATGATATAAACCGCCATGCAAATATCGACTGCAGATATCCCAAGGCTTCATCACAATGTGTTTCTCAGCTTGTTTTACAGCTGACTGACTATTTTGGACGTTCATCTCCTTGCTTCCTAACTTCCAAGTGGACAACAAATTGACAATTTGACGCATATCAGACGATGTCCCTTGAACAAGCATATCCACCGCTTGAGGCGACAACTTTAGTCCCTCACGGTATGCTATCGACATAATCCTGGAGCGCAATGAATTAGCATCCGGACGTCGAAAACGCAAGTCAAAAGTCGTTCGATCCAGAGGTTTCAATTTCGGATGTGACCTATCATTGCACACACAAATAATGGGAACTTTGGTATTTTTAATAAGGACATTCAGTTGACCCACACCACCGCGATCACCAGAAGACATGCCATCAATTTCATCCATGATTAAAACCAAGCGAGATTTGGATTGATCAACTGGTACATGCGCGGAAGAAAAATAACCGGCAAGGGAACGGCTATCAGTTACACCTAGCAATTGCTCATCTAAAAGACGCTTGCTTCGGGTATCACTGGCATTAAATTCCAAAATATCAAATCCCTCCAAATTAGCTACTAAATGTGCTGCAGTTGTTTTACCAATTCCTGGAGGTCCTGATAACAACACAGCTTTATACAAACCTAAACCATCAGGACCGGGTTTACGAAAATTAGACTTCAAGTTCTTGGGCCAGTCCTGCAGCCACTTTTGCAACTTGAGTACAATACCTTTATTACCACAAATATCCTTCAAAGAAGTAGGAGCGTACTTTGTCGTCCATAACTGATTACTAGGCTGTACTTTTTGAGCAGGGGCTTCTGGTGCAAGCCTAGCCGCAGTTTCACGAATTTTGGCGTCTTCTTGTTCACGCTTTGCTTGAGCAGCTTGAGCAGCTGCTCCAGAACCACCTAATGGGGGAAGATTCTTTAGCAGATAAAAAAGACCATCCTCATTAATCGCGGGAATTTTATGATGCTTGATGGTTTCAACTTTTCGAGGACCGGCATTTTCGCCCAAAAGAATAAAATCTGTTTTGTTTGAAGGAGAACCGGTCACTTTTCCGCCGTACTGCTTTACTAAATCGGTTGCTTCTTGACGGGTCAACGTTTCTAGAATACCCGTAATAACAAAGCTTAGACCTGAAAGGCAATTATCGTTTCCAATAGGAACTTGCTTAGATCCTGGAGCTTGTGTCGTATCTGCTCGATCATAAAAACCGCCAGGAGCCATAACACCAATAGAATCTATGTCAATCAAAGGCACGGACTGCATAACTTTTGTAGCCTCAGGAGAGAATCTAGGGAGATTTTTAAGCTTTACATTCGACCTTTTTGGGGCAGGCGTGGCCGCAGGTTTTGAAACTTCTGGGGTTTCAGAAATACTAGGAGGAAGGGTGCGACGAATTCGTTTCGTTGCTGGGGCTGATGGAAGCTCGTCATCTTCTTCCTTTACTTCTTTAGAAGATTCCGACCGTGCAGAAGGAGCCTTTATTTTTTGCGAGGACGTTCTTGGTATAGATACTACTGGCGAAGACATTGGATGATCATCGGCAAGAACATCAGAAGAGTCCTCCACAGAAATATTGGGCTTTTCATCCGACGTACTAGGAATTAGGGAATTAGCAAGAGTACATCTATCAAGTTGGCAATGAAGAATGATACATACGCTTGAGACTTTGTTGCCGACGGGGCAACATTTACTTTTTGTCTATTGTTGGTTAGAAAATCAGGAAAAGTAATTTAAAGAGACAAGAAAAATCTCAAGTACCTTTTTTGAGTTGATGGACTAACTTCCTTTGTGGAACCATTGGAAGCTGGTTGAGAATCGACGTCTGTAGATTCATCGTCAGAAAGGACAATGCGTTTCTTCTTTTGTGAAGAATTCACGCTAGAGGAATCTGTCTAAAGAACGGTAAGCTTCATCCAATGGATTTGTAATGAAAGTAAAAACGCGTACTTGAGGAGCTGCAGCTTGTTTTTTTGGCTTGTTTCCTCCGCCAAAAAAGCTTCGGATGTCAGAATTGTTCATTCTGACAAGAATGCAAATACAGCACAATATTACAAGTCGTAAATATTGACAAACTGTGCAAGCAATTGTCCTAGTTACTTTTTCCTAAGTCTTCAGGTTTGGGACGGGGTGCTTGGACTACGGTAAATGCTTGAGGAGAAGGAAGGAACTATGGAAATCAAGAATAACGAGAAAGAACGATGAACGTGAAATGAGAAGTTTGGAATGGGTGTATGAAATTACCCATCGACGATTAGGATTTCGAGACAAGAAGCCAACTTGAGTGTAGAACATTGGCAGAAATGCCCTTGATTAAAAACGAATATTATCGGATTATAAAAAAGTATTTCTAATTCGAGTGTACGGAGATTTTGACGGAAAACGGTATTGATCTGTCAGTGTTTACATATTGACCAAACGTTTGCCAGGTGGAAAAGAATAGAATTGTGAGAAACAAGGAACATGTCAGAATGTCAAGTAGAAATTAAATGTCTAAAAGAAGCGGTACAGGTGGGAGAATCGTTTGACTGCATTGTAAAGATCACCAATTCGAAAGCAGCTCAGAGTGTGTTACAAATATTACTGTGTTATGCATCCATACACGGAGAGATGTACTTGGACCCCACATTGGTGCGTGTTTCGGAATTTGAAGATGTCCAACGTCAAGGATTGCTGAACAAGCGGACGATGAGTGGTTTGGTGCATATCCCAAAAGCGTCTACGGGAAATTCAGTTTCAAATGCACTAAGCGGAATGTTTGGCAGCTTGCTAGGATTGAATCAAGCTAGCACTTTGAACGAAGCATCGGAACAGCAAGAAGAAAATGCGACACCAGTGTACATGACTCGTCCAGACATTTTAGGAGTAGACATGACATTAGCACCGGGGGAAAGCCAGTGGTTTCGAATGCAAAGAAAGATTCCATTAAAGACGGTACCATCGTACAAAGGAGTTGCATTTCAGTTTCAGCACAAATTAGTGGTGGGAGCACAGTTCCCGGACCACAATGCGTGTGTGGAATACGAATTTGAAGTTGATCTTTTACCAAACAGCAAGCAAAGGCCGGAATTGCCGTTGGGAAAATTTAGTCAAGTATCTGTTGCGGGTCCGGATGTGTTTGCAGACGTGCATAAACCGATCTTTGACTTTGAGCCCGCGAAAGTGAAGGAGCAGAGCGTGGGAGAGACATGGCTGGAAGAGGAGCGCGAAGATTCCGGGAACGGAAAAAAAAGATTTGAAGAATTCTTGGCTACGTTGTTGAACGGTGATGGGAGTGCGTATGCAGGAGAAGAGGAGCGCGAGATGACCAAGAGGAATGAAAAGGAGGAGGAAGAAGAAGAAGAAGAAGAAGAAGAACTGGAAAAAAAGGAAAGAATTGAATTGTTAAAAAGACAAGAAACGCTTGGAAGGATGACGACGAAATATGAAATAGCGAACCAACAAAGATTAATTTGTCGATTTTTGTTTAACAAGTCCAGGTATGTAGCCGGAGAAATGATGTTATTGGAGGTGAATGGTATGGGAAGAGCGATACGACAATTGCATGTACAGCTGGAAAGTGTAGAACGGATTGTACCAAAGATTCGCATGCGAAACAGCACAAACACGGAGAGGGTAACACGAAGGATATGGACGAAAATGAGTCGGAGTGTGTATGGATTGGAAAACTTTAGTTTTTCCATGAGCATTCCAGAAGAATGTCCGACGACGTTTGAGACGCAGCAATTTGGAGTGGAGCATTTTTTGCGGATTGAGCTCTTGCGGGATTCGAGCGAACGAGAAGGGGCGACGATGGGCAGACGTGACCAAGAGAAGAAGCATGTGGAGGGTGTTTTGAATCCAAACGAGGAGAAAAATGGATTGCATGGAAAGGAAGAATCGTCGCCAACTGTGCCATCGTCCACAGAGAGTGGTGGTCATCGAAAGACGACTTTGATTACAAATACTCGTGAAATGAGAATTGAGCATGCACCCGTTTCCTTTCCAGCCGAAACGATTCAATGTTGTTTGCCTGTACGAATTGAACATTGTATCATGTAAAGGGTATTATAATATAGAATGGAGATTCCAAAGAAATGTTGAAATTTAATTTCTATTTTATTTCTACTTCTACTTCTATTCCTATTTCTACCGTCCTCGTCTTTATACTCTACTACTTGTACCTCTGTCTCTACCCTCCCACACACACAAAACATACCAGACGCTAATCACAAGGATTCCTCCCTCCAGTCGCAGTTCCACGCAAACCGCGCGTTTATTATCGCCTGGAAGCAAGGGGATTGCCCCACAGTGGAATTTCTAAACATGACGTCATTTGTTGGTTTCTTGAGTCGTTCGAAGGTTCTGTTTGAAAACTTTGTCATTCGGGTAAGGTTCGACACTTTCCAACCAAAAGTTTCATCTCTCATTGATTGGTTCCTCGAGTTTTTCCCTTGCTCCAACAAATAACTTTCTTTAGGTAACATGTGCTTCCGAGACAACCATGCAACTTTGGATTGCATCATACAGAAATGATGTCATACAAAGCGGAGATGGAGAAAACAGGTTGTTCCTTTTCGTCGAATGAGAATGATGTCATATCCGATAAAGAAAAAGGCAAGCTCCTGATTTGCGAATGCTTATGAGGTAAATGCAATTCGAGACAAAAGGAAAGAAGAGACCAGACCGGAGAGAGGAAGGAGGAGGTGATGAAGTTGACATTGACGAAAGAGGAATGATCGATTGATCCATCCTTCATCCACCCATGAGAGAGAGAGGTCCAAGGAGTGGATTCCATTGGATTTGAGTGTGTGTAACCCAAATAACCCAATATGATTCCCTTGGAACAAAAGAGAAAGAGAAAGAGAAAAAAAGGTTGATTGATTAATGGATGATGATTCTTGTTTTTCTTTCTCTTTTTCTCTTTCTCTTTTTCTCTTTTTCTTTGATTTGATTTGATTTGACTTGATTTCATTCTGTTTTGTTTGTTTTTTTTTTTTTTCGTTTCATACTCAATCATTGGTTGACGTTGATTGGACCATCATGATCGATCGCCTCTTTGCTTCCATCCGATCGGTAAACTCTCGATCCATAGATTTGTCCAAAACTGCGCTCCAACAAAGCCCCTCTTGCCGCTCTCCCTTTTCTTACTCATGATCCTGTGATGCTGTTCTGGACAAAATCGACGTTTACCGCATGATGCTTATATATACCTAAGCTTCACTCATTGTTTCGGTTCTTTCCTTATTTCGCACGAATTTAAACCTCCGTTATCGTCTATAACACACTCTCGATCGAATTCGTTTTCTTATCATACGGAGCTCGTTGTTTCTTGGATTTCCATTTTAACGATTACCCAACGTATCGTTTCGTAGCGTGTGGTTTCATTTCATTTCATTTCAGTTCAGTTCAGTTCAGTTCAGTTCAGTTCAGTTCATTCTTTGGTGGTGTGGTGTAGTGTTTGTGTATAGAGTTTCAGAAATCTACATCCGCAATCACTGTAATATAGTCCTATAATATATAATATATATAGTATATATAATATAATATATTATATATAGTATATATATATTTTTGAAAAAGGGCGTGTCTTGTTTCTCGCGCTTTGGAACACTTTGGTAATAAGGAAGAAAATCTTGGAAATCTTGAAAACCCGACTAACGACATCATTGACGATAAATTAAGTGGTTTGTTGTTTTTAATTTTTTTTTTTTTTTAATTGGGGGTTTATTTTTATTTTTATTTTCTATTCTATTCTATTCTATTTAAAGTGTTCTTTATTCTTTTCTTTTCTTTTTCCATTCATTTGCATTTGAAAAAGAAAAAATTGTTTTAACGAATCTTTTTTGTTTTGTTATTATTGTTGTTGCTTTTCACGAATAATCGCTTTCCTTTTCCTTTTGCTCTTTTTTTTTGTGTCTACGCGCTCGTGTGTGTGTGTGTGTGTTTGTGTGTGGATTATTTTGAAATTCAAAACAACCTTCTTATTTTTCTTTTCTTTTCTTTCCTTTTCCTTGATAAATTTCAAAATATGCCTACTTCTCACCTTCCCTCTGGTGCTTCTCCCTCTCAAAACCCCCAGTCTATTCCTGGTATGGTTCCCATTCCCACTTCCGGTGCTCCTGCTGCTCTTTCCAATCCCGTTCAAAAAGTCATGACATCAGAAAATCATCCTGCATCGTTCCCCTCTACATACCCAACATACTATCCTTCTGCGATGCCACCCAATACCATGTCTCATCCTGCTCATATACCCCGTGCTTCCTTACATCCTATGCTTTCCCAGCAACATCATCAACATCAACATCAGCACCAGCACCAGCACCAGCACCAACACCAACACCAACACCAACACCAACACCAACAACCTCAACATCAACATCAACACCAACTTCCTCCTCCGCCGACTCAACCTTCTTCTCAACCTCCTCAACAACAATCTGCTCCTACTTCTATCCATCAATCCTCCCCCTCCATCCTTCCTCCATCCCAACATAATCCTCAAGGTATGCCCATGCATCCCTCCTATCCTGACGCCATGATGCATTTACAACACGTCGTTTCTTCTCAGCAGTACCGCCAGCTACCACCCGCCGTCCTTGCTGCTCCCCCAGATCAACAAGCTTCTCAAATGCAGCAGCGTCTAATGCCTGTTCAACAAGTTCCTGTTGCTTCTCCTCAATATCTTCCTCATTTCGCTCAGCAACAACAACGATCCATGCATCCTCCCGCCGCTGCCACTCCTCCCAACCCCGCTGCTGCTGCCGCCACTTCCAAACCTTCCATGTCCACAATTGTTTCTCAAAACGGTACCTACTACTCCATCCCTTCCGTTCCCCATCCCGCCCAAAATCCTTCCATCGCTGGTGTCCCTACCCAAGCAGACTCTTCTGCCGTACCAAATCCACCTACTTCCGCCCCCGCTCCTTCCGCCGTCCCTCCCACTCATACCATCAACCAAATCGCCTCCAATCCACCCAACCTTCCTTCTTCACTTCCCGTTCACGTCTCTGCTTCCCCCTCTGTCAACCCAAACTCTCAACCCCCTCCTTCCGTTCCCGTGGCCTCTCATCCTCCCCCTCCCACAGCTACCCAAGCCAATCTCGTCCCTCCCAATGCACCGGAATCCGTTCGGAAACTTATGTCGCTCAACGAGGAGGCCTGGCTCCAAATTGGTCATCTTGCTGAGCTTTACGATGACTCGGACAAAGCTCTTACCGCTTACGAGGCTGCTCTCCGTCAAAATCCTTATTCTATTCCTGCTATGCTTCAAGTCGCTACCCTTTTAAGGAATCGCGAACAGTTCCTTCTTGCTATTGAATACTACCAAACTATTCTCGATCTTGATCCTAAACAGGGTGAAATTTGGAGCGCTTTGGGCCATTGCTACTTGATGCGTGATGATTTATCTCGTGCCTACTCTGCTTATCGTCAGGCTTTGTATCATTTGAAGGATCCTAAAAATCCAAAACTTTGGTATGGTATCGGAATTCTGTACGACCGCTATGGTTCTCACGAGCACGCCGAGGAAGCCTTCACGCAGTGTCTTCGCATGGACCCGAATTTCGAAAAGGTAAACGAAATTTACTTCCGCCTGGGTATCATTTACAAGCAGCAACACAAGTTTGCTCAATCTCTAGAGCTGTTTCGCTATATTTTGAACCATCCTCCTAAGCCTCTGACTGTGTTGGATATTTATTTCCAAATCGGTCACGTTTACGAACAGCAAAAGGAGTATAAACTTGCAAAGGAGGCGTACGAACGTGTATTGGCCGAGACTCCCAATCATGCAAAAGTACTACAACAATTGGGCTGGCTTTGCCATCAGCAGTCTTCTTCTTTTACAAATCAAGATTTGGCCATTCAGTATCTTACCAAGTCTTTGGAGGCCGATGACACTGATGCCCAGTCTTGGTATTTGATCGGCCGTTGTTATGTCGCCCAGCAAAAGTACAACAAAGCTTACGAGGCATATCAGCAAGCTGTTTACCGAGATGGCAGAAACCCCACTTTCTGGTGCTCCATTGGTGTATTATATTACCAGATAAACCAATACCAGGATGCCCTAGATGCTTATTCTCGTGCGATCCGCTTAAATCCCTATATATCTGAAGTATGGTACGATTTGGGTACTTTGTATGAGAGTTGCCATAATCAAATTAGCGATGCTTTGGATGCATATCAGCGTGCCGCTGAGTTAGATCCCGCCAATCCTCACATCCGTGCTAGACTGCAATTGTTGCGTGGTTCGAGCACCGATCAGCATAAACTGGGTACTTCAGCAGCACCCCCTCCGGTTACAAATCAGAATCCTAAGTTTGTAGGACAACCTGGTTCTGTATACCCCAGTGCACTCCCTGGTCCTGCACCTTCTTCTAATTGGCAGGTACCCCAACTTCCAGCACAACCCCAGGCAATGCCTCAACCCCCCACACAACCTTTCGTTCCCCAAGCTTACAGCAGTAATGTTGCGCTTCCAAACGGCGTTCAAAATCCATACGCAGGTGTTATACCGCAACCATCCCCCGGAACTGTTCCTACAGTAGGAGCTGTCACTAATCAACCATCACCTACTCATCAAACTGCTCAGCAACCTAACGCAGCTCCACCGGCAGTTCCCAATGCTCTGCCTAACCGTAACAGGCCATCCATTAGTGGTGCTTCTGTATCAAAATCGCCGCAAATCAAAAACTCGGATCAGCCGACCTCTCAGCATAGTTCTTTCTCGGCGATTGTGGGACCACAAGAAAAAACTAGTTCTATATTGAACCGGCCTAAGGAATTTAAGGGTGTAACTTCTAGTGTCGAACAGCGGGAACGACATACCAGTTCACCAAAAGATACGTCAAAGAAGGCTGATGCTTATACAGCTCCCCCGAATGAGTCTCCAAGAAGCGCTACGACGGACTTGGATCAAACTACGGGAGGTCAAGAGGTTAAACAAGAGACCTTGGTTGAAAAGAATAACAAACGACAACTTCCGTCTGATAAAACGAGAACCGAGGAAGCTTCTCCTGAACTTTCATCCTCTGATGAAAGTGTGAAAAGACAAAAAATAGTTGCAGATGAATCACAGGATAACGATGATAAAACAAATAACGAAGTGTCTCCCAGGTCTAGCCCTGCTGAACCTGTTAAACCTTCGGAACGTACTGAACCTGCTGAACCTATTGCTGAAGCTGAGGCTAATCAACAACAGGAAAGTCGTGCTAGTTCAGAAGAACCGAGTCAGAGTGTTGGAAGTCCTGATTCTGAGCCAAAAGACAAATCACGGAGCCCGAAGCAAACAGCTCGTACTTTAGATGTTGACGAGGATTACGATGGTGAAGAGGAGGCCGACTAAATCCCAGGTTGAGGTTTGTTTCAATCGAAGACTCAGTCAGAAATATAAGGCAGCTACTGCGAAGTTTGTCGGTAATGTCTTGTCTACTATGTACTACGAGTTGACTCGTATGCATTAAGTACATTTTATCTTTATGTATTATCGTTAATGTTTTTCTTTACCGTTTTTTTTTGCTTTAGCAATGTATATAGATTTTAGCTATTTTATTTTAATAAAAATCGTTACGCTGACATGCTTTGCTAGTTTTGAGCTTCATGAGTACGTTCTTTTATTTATGTTTTTGGTAGCCTCAAAGCGAATAAAATATTGTATAAAAAAAGATGCAGAGTGTAAACTATCCATTTTATCGTTGCTTCAGCAAAGATTTACTCAGGTTAAAATAATTTATAACAATTTTATTAAATGTGCAGTACAAATGTAGACATTCTATAAATCGCAAACAGAGAAGATATTGCTTACAAGCTATAAAAAAAAAAGACAACGAAAATAGTGCTTTTTTATTTCTAAAAAGCATTCATTTTACTAATGCAAAAGACGTTTTATTTATCAACTTTTTTGTTCATGCTGATTCACGAGAATCCGTAAATGAAAAGTTGCCGTTTGTAGCGGTAAAGTAACCTTTCTCAGTAGCAACTGCAGCTATTAGTTTAGCAGGAGTAACATCAAATGCAGGACAGTAAGTATTGATCCCAGGAGCTGCAATATGAACTCGTTCAGCGTCTCCAAATTCTGTAGCATCGCTATTTTTCACCACAGGTCCACGAACAGTTACCATTTCAATAGAAGGACGTTGTTCGATGGTAATCTGAGAACCGGATGCAAGGTTTAAGTCTATGGAGGAGAAAGGGGCGGCAACGATAAAAGGTATATTGAAGTGGTTGGCTAGAATTGCCAAATTCAATGTACCAATCTTGTTTGCAGTGTCTCCGTTCTTGGTGACACGATCAGCGCCCACAACAATAGCGTCGATTTTGTGCATGATGGAAGCAGCAGTGGAATCTGTAACTAAAGTAGCTGGAATACGATCATGTACGAGCTCAAAAGCTGTAAGGCGAGAACCTTGATTGTAAGGGCGAGTTTCAGTACAGAATGCATGTTCCAAGTTACCGTTTTCATACAATGCCCGGATAACACCCAATGCAGTACCATACCCAGAAGTAGCTAATGATCCAGTGTTGCAGTGAGTAAGGATGGTAAGCTTAGTCTTGGTTCCTTTATAATGATTTAGAAGAAACTGACGGCCAGCAGCACCAATTGCATGATTATCTCTCAGGTCTCTATCGAGTATAGCTTCTGCTTCTTGAATAACTTTTTCCTTGACTTGAGAAGGGTGGACGGAGCGAGCAGCATTCTGCAAGATATGAGAAGCCTCAAAAAGATTGACTGCAGTAGGTCGGGATTGTTTAAGATATTCTAAGCTATCAATAACAAAATCCTTCGCATTTTTACCTTCTTCCAAATTCTTCAGTCCGACAGCGACACTTAATGCTGCGACAATGCCGATAGCGGGTGCACCACGAACTTGCATATTTTTAATAACAGAAAATGAATCCTCAATACTTTTTACAGGAACATATTTGTGCTGATGGGGAAGCAAAAGTTGATCCAAGACAAATAACCCATCCTTGTTGTAAATGATTGCTTGTAAAGACATGATTTCTAGTAAATTTCACTTTCCTCAAGAAAAGACTTCTTTTTTAGTAAATTTAACTAGTTTAGTTAACTTTTACTACGCGTTAAAAGAGTTCTTTCTATTTCCTTTCTCTTTCTTGGTGGGGCAATAAAAAAGATGTACCTTGAACGCGTTGAATAGGATCGAAATTTCCAGGCGTTCTGCTCTTATACGGTTTAAGTTCTTTTCCTAATAAGAATCTTTCCCTCTTCGAAAATTTGTGTCTTGCTTGATGCTTGCCGAGGATGGCACTCTGCACATAAGCTTTATATTTATAGACGGTAATATTGGTCTCAACTAATTTGATTCTTTTCAGGATGACTTTCATATATTTTACAAAATGACAATTTATTGAACTAAACTTGTCCTTGGTGTCCTTGGGCGTTTTCTTCCGTGGCTGTTCACATCCTCTCTCTCTACTCCTCTCATTTTCCAAACCGTTTGAAATTTTGCTTTTGGCCGGTGGCAGCATCTAAATTAGACTAATTTGTTTCATTAAAAAATATTATGCTACATATGCCTTGTTGAGAATGTTCAAACGCTTTTTTCATACAGGACTTCGCCTTGCTGAACAGAGTACTCCCTCTGGATCATCGCTCTTCTCCGAACCCTTGTAAGTGTTTCTTTTAAAGGTATAAGGAAGTGCTAATTTGATATTTAGAAAGCCTTTGTCAGAAAGAGCTGCGATTGCAGAGAATCCATACTTTCGTGAACTCCCTCCTAATGTAGCAGCCGTTTACTTGAGCCCTTTGAAATGGAAAGCCAGCGAAAACGATGATCTGGTTGCTACTTTAAGAATAAAAAGCTATGAAACGAATGAATTGGACTTTTATTCCGATTTCATATGCCGTGCCGCTTACTACATGAAGATTCCAATGCGTGGTCCTCGACCTTTGCCGAAGAAGGTTGAAAGTTGGACCCTTTTAAGATCCCCATTTGTGCATAAAGGATCGCAAGAAAATTTTGAACGAATTACCCATACCCGCCTTTTCAAACTCTACAACATAAACCCTTCCCAACTTGAAATTTTCTTAGCGTATGTTAGAAAAAACAACATGCCATCTTTGACACTTGAGGCCAAAATGGTAGAATACGAGGACTTGGAAGTTGCTGCTCGTATACGGTCTCTACTTCCAGCAGAAGAGCAAGGTACTTGGAGCGACTCTAAGGATCACGACCGTATTAAATTACATGCAGATGAGCTTTTAAAGAATGACCCCGTTTTTCAAAAACTGATGAAGGGAGACCAAAAGAAAAAGTAATTGTGACTCGACTTTTTAATAAAGTTACTTCTTTACGTGCATTTTGCTGGTTAACTTGTGGATTATACATGTCAATATAATTACTTAATTGAACTCTTTAAAACCTTCAATTTTATTGTAACGCTCTTGTCTAGTGAATCATTAGCTTAAGTCTATTTCATCAGGGTTTTTTTGTTCTTGCTCAACAACACCCGATTGCCGTATACCTCCCACTGGTCCCGTACTCGAGGGAACAAACCCTGCTAAGTGTTTGGTGTTTGCCTGTGAGTGTTCCAACTGTTCCATAGCGTCCCCAGATGCTAAAGGTGTTCCCATAGAGGCAACCTGTTTTGCTATATTCAATGTATTCGTACTGTATTTTACTTGAACAGAGCGCTTAATTCGAAGCATCTCTTTAACTGTTTCTTCAGGATTTCCGTATTTAAGCTCAAAATCTTGCCAACGTTGCCAGTACTCGGTTTCTACTCGTGGATCACAATATTGGCTACCATGGGTAAAGATAGCACGAGCACGATCGATTTCACCTAGTCGTGTTTCCATTTCCGCGTAGCGAAGGCACACGTCCTTTACTTCTTCATCATTAAGGATTTCAATGGCTTTTTCATAAATCGGACGTGTAGCAAGTGCACCGTAATTAAAAGCAACTTTGAGCAATAAAACATTAAAAACACCATACCGGTCTTTTGGAGTAACTTCTTTCAAAGCCTTTTCTAATATTGATATGGATCGTTTCACCTTGCCGTAGTTTTCCTCATAATCTGCATAAAGTAAATAAATACTTTTAGAGAATTCAGACGGACAACCTTCTAATGCTTGTTCAAAGAGGTCTCTACCTCTTTCAAACTGCTTTCCCTTGTAACGTTCAATGAACTTCACAAGGTACAGAGTCCATAATTCGAATGCGATAGGATAGCTGAAAAGAGCGACACCCCTTTCATAAATTTTAAATGAGTCTTCGTAAAACCCATTCTCTTCCAAAAAGTTTGCGTAATTAACCACGACCTGTGGTGTCGCGATTTTAAGCTCAAACATGCGGTCATAAAGCTTCCGTGTCGAGTCTAAAGATCCAACGCTTTCTTCCAAGTCTAAATAATACATCCAAATTTTGGCTGACTTATGAAGTCGGACCTGAGGAGATAAAGCTTCATCAAAGAAACTAATCTCGCTTCTTTTAGGGGCTTTAACAGCATGCCCGATTAATTTTCTGGCGTTTTCAAAATTTTGATGTCTTAATTCCATTTCAGCCCAATCAATCCATACCTGGGCCAGTTCATTTACCGAACTATATGGGACGTTAGTGGCTTTTTCGAAAATAACTTTAGCTTGTTGAACATCACCAATATTTTCGTAGAATTTAGCAAAGTTTGAAAAGAAAGAACCTAATGAACCAATAGATAATTTGGGGTTTATCTTTTGTAAGCCTTCAGCATAAGTTTGTACAATTTTTTCACGATCATCGCCGACCAAGGTAGTACGACGCTGCCATTCGTCAACATTATTAATATTTTGTCGTAAAATAACATCATTAATATACAAAGAGCGTTGATCTAGCAGCTTTTCTAACCAAGACAGATGGTAGTCCACCCCAATATCATCTTTTGATTGAGAAGGCGCATTTTCCATTCGTATAGAGAGCCATTGTTCCTCGAATTCGACAGCTGCATCAAATACTTGGGTAAAATTGCGTACGGTCATGACGGTAGTAATCCCTTCATAAAAAATACTCCTCGCCTAAAAACAAAAAAAATTAGTATTCTGAAAACAAGGGGATATGAATTTCAATACTTAAAATCCATAGAATCCAACAAAAGTCATTTAAACAAATCTATACTGTTTGATCTAACTTACCTTTTCATAAAATCCCAAGCGAATGTAATATTGAGCTAAAGAAACCCAGAGCTTACCTGCCTGATCGGTGTAACGATGAATACCTGCCCGGAAAACGCGTTCAACGTCGATTTGTTCTATGTCCTCAGGATGCTGTACGATTAACTGCGAGAATTCGTTCCAGATCTGATAATTACTTTTCCCTTTGCTGGAAAGAAAAACCGGTCGATTCAAAATATCCAGATACTGCTTTGCGGCTTCATTCCATAACTCCAGATTGATTAACACTTCGATATAGGATTCAACTGCACGAGGCTCGAGTTGAATATATCTTCTATACACATGGATACAAAATAGTCCGCCAATCTCTTCAGCGAATTCCAGATATAACATCCATATATCATCGTGTTGTGTCACTGGTAAAGCTCGAAGAGAAGCGTCGAACACCTTGCGAACTTTTGTCACATCGGCCTGCTGCATAAGAAACTTTAAATACATATGCCAGATGACCGGCATACGGTGAAGAAGAACTAATGCTCTTTCAAAGCAACCATTCACGTCCAGGAAAGCCTGTTGGTTTGTGACAAACGACGCACCTTCTAAATGTGCTAATCGCAATTCCAAATACGCTTTCCATATCTTATAACTTCCAGGAAGCTCTAAACAAGCTCGTTCATATAGCAAAACACGCTTTTCAAGTGTAGAATTTTCGCGTGCTGACAAGTATCGCAGCCAACTTCGTAAGGAATATGGATTACGAAGCAACTCTAGCTCAAAGGTCTCATCTTCTATGTCTAATAAATCGGAATGCACTTTTACGTGAGCGGTTTCGCTCATTTTTTGTTATTTATTATAGGTTTGAGAAATGCACCCTCATCGAATGGTGGTTAGTCAATATCCTTTCTATTCACCGAAAGAGGTACTTGTATCATAGTAATTAATACGATGCTGTTTTTGCTTGCTGCAGAACACCAAGTACGAACAGTTCACTAGTCAAGTATGGTTTGTTTGATGACAAGACAGGCAGGAAATGAGAATAAGCATAAATTAACTTGAATTCACTCACAGGATTTCTTTGTCACGTACACTTCATAGAGTTACCTAATTAAATAGCATTACATGCAAACAGGATTCAAAACAAAAAGTGTATTCAAATTTTCTATGCCGAAACAGTGAAACTTATAGACTAAGCCTAACGAACTAAACCTATCATAAACTATGAAATAGCCAATTTCATCAAAGAAGGATTAAAACATTGTCAGATATGTGAGAGTTTCTTGGTATTTAGGTTTCTTCAGATTTGGCTCAGAAGCAGAACTGAATGATTTTTTTTATCATCATAAATGTTTATCACTTCCCTTTGAAATATGACTTTAAAAAACTACCTCTTATAGACCCCATTTTAATACAGCATCAATGACACTAGCAATAGTTAGAACAAAAAGCTCATTCAAATTAAATAGATAATTTGTATTGCAAAGTTCATTCGGTGATGCATGTTTTCTGAGGCTCATGGATATTCACCAGCAGAATATGGGTAAAGTATAATCATCCAAGCAAAACAAATCAATCAAATTTCCATACCTAATAGAATGTTAGAAATAAATGAAAACTTATTATCAAAATATCAGCGTCTAATGAACATTGTTCAGCAACGAAGAATTCCTAAAACTTATAAAAGATGTCCGCATCTATTTGCCCTACTAGGAAAAACGTTCTCATCATAATCTGGACGCTGTTCAGAATAGCTGCCAACTTACCTTTCTAAAATTGAGTGAGTTACTTGGTCTGGCTAACTGTACAGCTCACAAAACAAGTATTCCTCACTTCTTGAGCTGTAAAGCCACCATGATGTTTGGTTATTGAAAAAAGTGAAAACCGATGACCTTATATAGAAATTTGTGACTGTTCATAGAAGATGAAAAAAACTTTTGCTAAGCTACTACGCTATAATCCGTAAATAAATACACGATAATGTTCTTTTATGTTCTGTTTACATGCTTGGATTGTCCTATTTAGTGAAGATAACAAATAACAAAATCATGATTTAATAATACAATTAAACATCAATCTATTTTTAAATAACACCAGTTTCAAGAGAATTATGTTCCTCATTTCTCTTTTCTGTCCCTGTTTCTGTTTGTGCCTGAGTCTCTGTTTCTGTTTCCGAACTTAAGTCGAGTTCTTGTGCAAGTTCAGGATAGTAGATGAATAGATTATTCCATGTAGAATTCCAAGTTTTTAAGAGCGGGTCCGAACCCGTGTCGTGCACTGTAGGACCACATAGCGCCCCAGCCGAGTGTAAAATCAAATACACATTTTTTATAGACTCCATCACCTCAGCCATTGCTTCCGATCCGTGCATTGCGCTCAGTTTGATTGCAACGTCCATTAATTTTAACCATAGAGGATACAACATATTCGACTGTTTTGATAGAATATCCATGTCTAACAAAAGGGTTTTGCAAATAATACTGAACATTTGAGCTTTTGCTACTCCGAATAGATGATGCTCCGGTTTACCATTCAGTCCAGTAATCATATTCTCCATTGTTGGCAGTAACACCTGGTGGAATAAAGACATGGTGACATTGACATCGTGCGATTTGTCCAATTGTACCATAACCACTCTCTGTAAAGAAGAAAAGGATGATGTTCGTAAAGACCGACTTCGGGATAGACAAAACTTACAAATATGGCTGTACACCAGTTTCCACTTTTGATGCAAAACATTTTTATCGTCAGTAACATCATAATGCTCATCTTCAAATTCTGATGTCGCTTTCAAATACAAATCAAATGCGTCATTCAAGTCCTTTCCATGGCTTTCTAGTGTAGTTTTATCCACAGGCTTTCCCTTTGATAATCCCTTCTTCTGACGAGATAATATGTTAGCTAGTTGCTTTACAATGTTTTGTATAAACATATCAATACACGAAAAGTAACGTTGAAGCTTTGGTAGATCAAGTTGACGAGCCGAAATTCTATGAAAAATTACAAGTAGATCGGAAACGTCCCCTGAATTGACGTGAAGAAGCACATCGAGAAAATCAAAACCAAACGCACTGTATAATAGATATGGATATCTGTTGCTTAGTTCAAGGAACATTGAAATAATAGAACTCTCGATTGGAAGCTCTTTCTTTTTCACCATAGCAAAATATTCGGTAAGTTTCTTCCATTCAATAGAGGATTCTTGAAGCTCCAGGTCTTCATCCATATATAATAACAGTATGTAATAGGAAAAATGATTCATAGATTGCTCATCAACAACGTGTTCTGACTTACTGAGCAAATATGAAAGCACATGTTCTTTTATATTTGAAACATCCGTTTTCTTAGAAACTCCCATAAATAACGAAGTCAACATATCTGCAATGATGAGATTTTGTGTATTAAAGTGAGCATGTGATGACTTTGAAGGTCCAATTATGAAACTGGTATTTTCGTTTTGTATAGATGTATTATCGGGCAATGGGCCATCGCTTATGTCAATGAGTGAATCAACTAATCTCCTTAGTGTTGGACCTTCAACATCAAGCAAATTGTGAAGAAACTCATCAATCTTAGAAGACCTTATACACTCAATCGACGACAATGTCTGACCAATCTCTTCAGATGACGGGGCAGGAGGTTCGTCGTTAGCATAGCTAGACAAATAAGAAGATAAAGCTGAAAGCAGACCACCTTCTTTGTTAAAAGTTGATTTTCCTGAACTTACTGAAGGGTTGGGGAATGGGAAGTGCTCATATTGAAATAGTTTTGCACCCGGAAGAGAATCCTTCGTTAACAAATTGTTGCTACCCAAAGCTAAAATTAAGCTTACGACGGACGGCCAACTGTCATGCATACAATTTTTGAACTTGTTGCAAACCCAAAAAAGCACAATTAGAGCCAATTGGGCTCGGAAATCACGACCAAGACGTACCGAAAGCTCGCTGACCACTAATTGATGATCCTCATGAGTTATGGCAGTATTTATCTGATTTTCAGGTGTTCGTGCTGAAACTATAGCAGTAAAATCTGCTAGACGACGAACAATATAATCTATAATATAGGTTTGATTAAATTGAGCAGCAACGTCAGCTGTTTGTTGTATACCATTCACAACCCGATAAAACACGGTATCCTCGGTAGCCGTTGAAAATACATACATCAAGGCTGCCAATATAGAGTTCCAAACATCTTTAAAAACAATACAATCAAAAACATTTGAATCGGTACGACGGAAAGGGGTAGTATTCTTACAATTTTGAAGTAGCTTTGACCAAATGTAAAAAAAAGATAGTTCCGTGTCGTGTTCTTCAGCGACGATAATCTCAAAGTTCCGAATGGCTTTATAGATATCAGATAGAAACTGACGGTCAAAATCAGCGCCATCATTTACACCTCGCACATTCCGGCAAAAGTCATCTAAAGTCATTCTCGCTTGTGCTTTTATATTTGGGTTATGCTGATCAGTGTTTAGCATAATGATAGAATAAGAAAGAACAAAAGCAGCATCTTTAGATGCCACCACACCCGGATTAGCTTCAACATAATAATGAGCAAAAGCTTCTACTACACGTTCAATTAATTGAGATTCTCCAGGTAAGCGAAAAGATTGAAGCAACATACGTAAAGCTTCATCAATTCGCTTTCCTTTGAAGTCAAATGCAACCATAAAAGCATCCAATATCTCAGTATTCGACGCTTTTGTTAAGTATTCACCTAACACACGTTTACTAAGACGATTTGTAGAATGAAAAAAAGATGCTATAGAGGTTGATTCCGAGGGGTGTTCAATAATAGAATGAGAAGATAAGTATGAAATACCATCATTAGGATTTTCATTAAACAGATTTGCACCCTCAATAATCAAAAATTTTCTTTCCTTGGACTGTAACAAGGATGTTGACGCCTCTGAAGCACGATCATGATCTTTAGGTTCATAAGCAGGGAGGAGACGTTCGTGGAAATTATGAATAAAATTTAAAAGAGCGTCAAGACATAAAGGAGGTACGTTATTAGTGGAGTAGCGCGCAGCGTCAATTAAACAGTTTCTTGTAAGAACACGTACGAGGTCTAGAGCTAAATCAGACATCTGAGGATCGCAATCATAATTGACATATAAATCAACAAGAAATCCGGGTATCCGAGACAGAGAACCAAAGCATTCTACTATGAGCTCCCGAATTTCTGGAGGGCTTCCTTCACTGTCGAGAACAAATCGTTTCCGTTCTGAAAATGAGGTAGGTGTAGCTCGGTCTGCATTGTGATCATTTGCTAAATTTGTAGAAGATATCGCTTTTACTAGAGATGACTCAAGTCCGGAATCTTTTGGTACTTGGGTTGGGATTTGTAGACAAGATATTAAATAAGATATAAAGAGCTCCTGCTGTAATTTCAAATGATGAGGCATAGCTTGAAGTAAAGTAGTCATAACGATTAGGGAGTTAGTTAACACGGGTGTCTGGCTATTTCGAATTAAATGTAGTAAAGATTTACAGAGGGTATCACTAATTAATATGCGCAGAGAAGGAAAGTTACCCATGTGCTCGCCTGCTACTTCAAAAGCGGCATTAATAAATCGAAGAGCCATGCACTTCACCTGGTGAGTAAAGTGGTGATTTTTTGAATCTATGAAAGATATTAAGACACGAAGGACCTCTCGTATAGATTCTATCCCAAAAGGAACTATATCACTTGAATTAGCCTCATTATTGTTGTTCAAGCGGTTGTAATGAAAGTCTTGTTCTTCTATGGGATGCTTAGAAGATTCGTTCCAAAAATTTTCGTCATCTAACCCAGGATCAATGTACTTTAATCGTTCAAAAATGCATTGAATTATGTTAATCATTGATAACTCAGCACTTTGTCGCAACATGGCTGATACTCTCATCTGACAGCACATGCTTAATCCTGTTTCAACAATTTCGCAAATGGAATCATCACTCAGTATACGATTACCAGCACCACGTACCGATTCTTCCATTAATCTTGAAACGCGCAAAAGAACAACTTCATCCTGAGAGGAATCGTAACTTTCAAATCGACATTGTGTAATCGCAAATGAAAGATTTCTCATGGCAACATTTAGGTTCGGGGACTTATCGGTTATGATTCTTAGAGAAAAGAATTTTAAAATGGCTGAGATACATAAGCTTGTTACATTTCCCGTCGTTCTCGGCGACTTGATGGTTCGCAAGAATGGGGACAGCAACCTCAATGAATCAAAGTTACTAAGATCGTGCTGATTTGTAAGGTCCGCCTTTAATTGTGAGAATTCCATCACCAAGGGATATCGAACGGTACTGCTTTTCTCTCCGTTTGTTTTCCAGTGATTCTCTAGTCCATCGGCGAGAAACTCATCATTTAAGGTGGTGACGCCTAAAATTGATGCAACTCCTGAACTTCTCCATCGTGATGTCTTTCGAATAGCTGTTACTATTGTTATGATTTCATTTATCACCAAGGAAGATGGCGAAATTGAACATAACGGTTCTTGGTTTGGAAATGCACGAGGCACATCCATAACCGTTACTATTTTATTTATATGAATCAATTCTTAGTTTGAATCGTTCGGGTTTATTTACTTAAGCTGTTCTCAGCAAAGTAGTTGGTTTATGTGAAAGGGTCTTACCCTTCCCGCGGTTTATTGTCAGTGAGTCAGTATCAAAGTAATATTTGAAAAGAAACGCTACTATTATATGTTTTGTTTACATTCTAAAGCATTAACCAAAGGTTGAACAGGATAAAAATAATTAGTAAACTATAAATAAATAAATAACCTGTCAAAAGTCTAAAGGTAGGTATAAACGATTGGAGTAAGCTTTATTTTCCGATAAAATGGATTGAAACGATATTATCGTAAGCTACATGAAGAAACACATCCAACGGAAAAAACTAAGTATACAAATGAAAAAAAATGGCGGTAACGAACCTACTAAAAAGTAGTAATTATGGATCTAACAGCTTAGAAGATCCATAAAGTCTAAATATCAAGTACAAGGAGAAAGAGATTAAATGAACAAAAATATGCCTGTGCCTTCGAAAAAAGAAAGATTTTATGTGTCAATTTCTCCATTACTAACGAGCGCTTCATAGTCACAATTCGGATGTATAGAGAAAACGCGTTCTTCAAATGGAAGTTTAACCTCACTGTCTGCTTTATTTTGAATTTCCATGACAATAGATTCATGGACCAGACGTGTTAAAACTTTTCGAACAATACCAGCTTCATAGATAATATCTTCTTCGGTATGTAATTCGTCTTCCCGAAGTTCAAGGTAAGACTGAATTAAATCACCAGCAATCATTCCCTCAGTACCATCCTCGGCAGAATGTTCGTGTAAAACCCGAACTATGCCGTTCATAACTGAAACATATTTTTCATACGTAATCTTCAACTTGGGCTTTTCTGGTTTCTGGGTATTAGTAGTTGTTTCTTGTTGATCTACTTGCATCGCGTCGGCTGGTACAGCTTCTCGTTCTTTTGCTTCCGCATCTTCCTCTTCAACTTCAATATCATCACGTTCAACGTGGATGATGGACTGTCGGAGAAGGGAATAGGCCTCGTTTACAAAAGCAGGAGTAATATCATCGACGCAATTTGCACGAGCGATCGCTTCCGAAAGACGAATCATGGATTCCAGTTGACGCACAGTAATCCGATAAGAGTTCTTACCAGCTCCCTGAGCGTCGTCCATACGAAGTTGCTTGTACTTTTTCACGATTTCGGCTCTAGCTTCATTATTTAACTTTGGCTTAAACGTACGGGCATAACGAATGTATCGTTGTAACTGCTCAGTACTGAATTCTGGCTGCATAGCTTCATCTCGTAAACGGTGAACATTAACAATATGTTCAGCCAAATGACGATCGACCGATTCATTGCATTCGTCTAATACAACAAAAAATAAATCAAAACGTGACATAATGGGTGCTGACATATTGATATTATTACGCAAAGTAGTCTTTCTGTTATAACGACCGCCGATAGGATTAGCAGCAGCCAAAATGGAAGTGCGAGCATTCAAGGTAGCTTGAATGCCAGCTTTAGCTATTGAAATTGTTTGTTGTTCCATAGCTTCATGGATAGCAACCTGATCTGAAAGGTCCATTTTATCAAATTCGTCAATAGCGCAGATTCCATTATCTGCCAACATAAGTGCACCGGCCTCAATCGTAAAATCACCAGTTTCTTCATCTTTTACAACAGCAGCAGTAAGACCAGCAGCCGACGAAGCTTTACCAGATGTATAAACAGCACGAGGAAGGAAATTGCATATATATTTCAAAAACTGAGACTTTGAAGTACTTGGATCTCCTACAATGCAAATATTAATGTCACCACGAAGGTTAATCCCTTCAGGTGTTTCTTTATGAACACCTCCCATTAGTTGTAGAAGAATACCTTTCTTAATGATTTCATGCCCGTACACCGAGGGAGCCAAAGAATTCACCAAACGTGAATATATATGATCTGAATGTACCATAGCACGTAAGTCATCAATTTCAGCTTGCGAAAGTGACTGGAGGAACTCATCTTGAACTTCAATGCCCTGGGATCCATCACCACGAACATCTGCAGCATTACGATCATTTGCATCATCCGGCTGGACCATACAAGCAAGGAAAGAAAGTTTGTAAGTTAAATCACGAACACCAAGAGACTTTAATCCTGTTACACCATCACTGCCTGAATCTCTACCAGCTCCAAATCCTCGAGAATCTCGGTAAGCTTCTGGTTTTACACCAGGAATACCCAGTTGTGAAATGTCGGGTACTGCTATTAGTGTACCCGTAAAAGCACACTTATCGCCGGCTTTAGCCCTTTCTACAATGTCACCTCGTATAATTACATCCAACGTCCGTGGCATGGAGCCGGTAGGTATTTCATTACTGTTTTCTTGAATGCGTACTTTTTGCCAGTCTTGGAAAGTGGACTGAGAAATGTTTAGGCGCCACGTACGCTTGTTAGCGCAAAGTTCGTTGGGGCATTGCGTAGGTTCGGTATAACGGAACGCCTGCTCAACATGTGGAACTACGGTATGGCATTCTTCACATATAAAAGTGCCATGGGCCAATTCTGGGCGAACTTCTGAAGTCCTTGTGACAGTTCCTGTAATTGTTGTCAAACGACCGATACGATCAGTACGTAAATCTCGAATAGTAGAGCGGAAAGGAAGGTTATAGAATGCAAGAGCAAACGTTTTGTCGCTTGACCGATTTGCAGTTGACAACGAAGCATTGGCTTGTGATAAAGAGTTTCTATAATATTCTGGTTCGTATTTTTCAACCAGTTGCTGTAATGCACGAGATAAAAATGGGGTGAATCGATAGTATTGCTCCACAACTGCGAGAGCCAAAACATCATTAAAGGTAGTCAAGTGATTATAGTCTACATAGACAGTATGAATTTCATACATGGCAAGTCCATGAATCTGAGAAATATAGTATTTTTCTGACATTGCAGACGAAGATGGCGCGCCCATTTCGTCAACGCGATCCTCACTAAAGCTTTCTAAAAAATCTTGAAATGTTTCTCGAACAGACTCACCAGTCGTATCCACCACTTTGGGAATTGCATCCCCAATGGCTGCGAATGGTTTTCTTTTTACAAGATTATCGTCTTCCACCATCCCAGTAGATTCTGGCTGAGAAGCCATACTTACTGTTGGTCTATCGCCAACTTCAGAGGTTTGAAATCCATGTCTATACGTCGGCGTCGTTGCGTTTGCTCCAGGAGAAGCAAATGAAGACATTTTTAAAGGACAATGCCAAGTTTAAAGGGAAAGGTGTTATTCCCAAGTGGATGGGAGAAGTTGAGTTTTCTACTACCTACCTCTCTATACACTACTTAAGCGACGCGCATTAAATTTCGTCTAAAATATCTTTAAGATGATAATACGGTAAAAGTCATTTATTTCTCCAGAAGGATGTTATTTATATCAAATATAAGCTGTAGACTATTCATGTTTTGTTTTGTTTTGTTCACTTTGGTTGTAAATAGATATCTTCGAAATGTTTTCAGCGACGCATTCTACTCAAGATTTCCAAATTTATTGCACTTGGGTTCTCGAAGAAAACACTTTTCGCACAGCTTTTCCTTGAAATAAAAGAACTCAATAGAAGAAAAAATAAGTTAGAATTTTAAGGATTACCAATTTCCGTTTAAGTATTTTAGTTAAAATTGTTTGTTTACATTAATATTTACCGCGTTGCGCTCAAACACTTTAAAAGCAAGGAAAAAGCCTGTCGCAAGATTAACCTGTCAGAAACGCGATTTCACACGAATTTCAAGTATGGTATGGTAAAACAAGAGTTTCTTAAATAGTTTTATATTATGTATGATTTATGAATACTAACCAACTCTTGTAGGCTGATAGATTGCGCTCACAGGCAAAATTGGAACAACTTCAAGCGCGATTCGTTGGTGTGGGTCATTCATCAACAACCAAATAGTAAGTTTGTTTTGGAGAAAAGTACAGACTATACTGTTCTCGTTTAGTATGATACTTAGTACTAACGCCGTTGGGCTAGTGAATGGATGGTTAATCAACATAGAGATGCGTTGTCATCCATCGTCGGACATCCGCCGCTACTCGCATACATGTCAACTGCATTAGGTGAATCTAGGACGCAAGTTCGTCAGCAAATGCTGGAAAAAATGATTATGCCTTGTGGACCTCCTCCTCCCAACAATTGAATACCGGCTGAATCTGATGGATTAATGTCATATGCTTTCTAAATTTTTTCTTTTTAAATGAATTTTGATGATTTATTAAGCAGGATCCATTAAACTCTATCAACTATTATTGTCAGTTGCTATTGTTACTTTAGTTACTTGGAGCGCTTCACAGCGCACTTCCCAAGAAGTTTATGTTCTGTGCGTTCACTGCTTGTGCGAGATATTTTACTTTATCTATAAACTATTTATAAAAAGAGGGTGCTTTCGGATGTCGTCTACATTTATTTTTTGCTGGTAAATGCTACACGAACTGTTACTCTTTCTTGCTGGTTATGACTCTAGCCTGTTCCTTGTCGACAACGAAATTATAACTTTACATCCCTCTCTTCAAACTCTACATCCAGGGGAACGTCATTTATTACAAGAAATTGGTTATCTGGCTGTTGAGCGTCGAAAAACTGCCAGACTTTTTGACACTTCAATCTCACCCCTAGATAATCGAAATAATGTATTTCATCGTTCGCTCTACATGTTTGTTGAGGATATTATTCGAAAATTTGACGAAAACCTTGTCGATTTGGAACAGAAAATTTTAACTCGAGATTCTTCATTTGTTGGCTCTGAAAAGTTTGTTTCTCTGACTCAAGTTGAAGCCCATCTAAATCCATGGAAGTATACCTTTCCGGATTTGCTTATGATCACTACAACCGCGCTTCAATATCGGACGGCATATTCTATCTTTCATTCCCTGACACTGCTCTATATACGGTCATCTCGTTTGGATTTTAAGCAACTTATTTTAGAGGTTGAAATTCGCTTACAAAAAGTATGGCTTAATCACTTTCTTGAATATTTGGTTACTGATTTTCGAGATGATTACGGATACCTTTCTGTTTCGCCAGATGTTTACGAGGGCAGTGGACATGTCCTGGTTCCTTTTATGGATTTAGCATCAGCGAAGGATGCCCTTTTTACCAGAATTTGTATGTTGAAGGCAAAGTCTATGCTTATTGATGTTTATGCGAAGCTTATCAAAGAGTTTTATGGCGAAACTAAGTCTCTTGAGTTTCCGATTTCACAATCTTCGGTAAAGCAGACAGTGGGAAGATTGTATGCTCTTGCCTCTAGAGATATCGTTTTCAAGATGGCGTCTGCTCGTCGACTTGTGGATTTGACAATGATGCTCGAAATGGTGATGTTACATGAAGATACAAACGTTTTAACGACTATTTTAAAAAGACTTATCGAGTTTGACGTTAATCCTTCACAGCAAATCATTGAAAATCCGGAAAAGTACTTTTCGATGGTTTTGAGGAACACAGTTTCAGACTTGGATTTGGATTCCATGTATGGAGACTGCATTTCTTCTCTTCATTTGGCAAAGTCTTTGGAACCATTAAGCCCAAATATAAGCTTTAAGGGAATTCCAATTTATCTCGCTATTTCCTTACAATGGCCTTATAACATGTTTATTGATAGTACTATTCAAAGAGATTATTCTAGGTTATGGAGTTTTTTGGGTGCATTGCAGGTTAATATTATCGATATCAAATCCTTTAGTTACGAAAGGAAATCATCTGTCTATGGTAACGGCAGGTATCCTTGGAAAAGTTTATGGCTTACATTATGGTTTCTATCATGTCTTCAGTATTATTTTTACGATGGTATTATACGACCCTCATATAAGGTCCTTCGCGAAAAACTTATTGAACTAGGGGAAAGTGGAAATTTTGAAATGCAAGTCTACGCAAGTCTTCATCTCGATGCTTTTAATTATATTTCAAAAATGATATTTATTAGGGACAAACAATTCTTAACTATATTGACTTCCATTTATAATGAGGTTTCTAATGTTCATTATGAAGAAGTTTCTGACGAAAATTGTTCATTAGTCGTTCTGCTTGGTCAGTGTATTCAACATATCAGGGGAAAAGAAAACGATCCATCACTTGATAGTAGTCCAATTAGTGCGCTCTTGCTACAACTAGGTGTTTAGATTAAGAGTATCAATCGTTATGTCTCATATCAATCCAATTTTTTTTTTTTTTTCTTTCTTTTTTTGTTTTACAAGATCACTATAAATTTCATTATATTATAGGGGAGTTTTCGTGTGATAGTAGATTCGAGTTCAACAATATCAAAATAGCTATTAGTTATTTGGTTTGTTTTATCGGAGCAATTCTTTTCGTTAGATATTCTCATTCTCGTAGTGTCATCAGAAGGATCAATAACGCTCTATATGTCATCGTCCATTTGACCCGTTACCTCTTCATTTTCAGACTCTGTTTCAATGGAAGACATGCTATCATTGTCTGACGAGTCATCCAAAGAAGCATCTGCATGGTCTTTGCTAGCATATCTTTGAATGTAATCTTTCACTTTGGCAGTATAAGTTTGTGGTTCGCGAAGTAGTAATGCGGCAGCTTCTCCATTCAAAGGATCAGAAGCATTGGGATAGCGTAGTAGTTGAGGCAAGAACACTTCGAAAATGTTAATCATATCAAACATAGGGGACCAAGTTTGATTAATTACATCTAAGCAAACACTCCCACTAAGCTCGTCAATGTTTGGATGGAATATTCGATTCACAAACCCAATACTGGGAGATCTCCAAGGATACTCGCTTGGTAACTCTACATGGATCTTCCAAACTCCCTCAGCATATGGAGTTTCGTTAGGACCATGAAAACGAACATAAAATTCTTGCATATTATCGTTTACAAGAGTAACCTCATAGTCACTCATTAGCAATTTCATAACATCAGTCTCAATTCTTCTTCTAGGGCTTGACATCTTTGCCAATGTTAAAAAAACGGAGGAATTGAATAAGTTAGAAGAAAAAGAAAAAACACCTAAGCGTGTATGTTCAAAAGATAGATTTAAATGTAAGTAGATAGGAGTCAACGAACGAATGCGTTTTTTTTAAAAAAAAAAAAAACTCTCAAAAAACTGCAATTCGTAAAAAAACAGAAAATATGCCGAAAAAAGGAGCTTTTTCTTTCCAAGAGAGGTTCAACAGAATTTGGAGTGTGTAGCTTAGGTGTCGTGGCGTGTGCCGTAGCCAGGTATTAACAAACTAAGCATTGCGCTTAGTTTTTTATTCAATGAAATGAGAGAATATTTTTATAAATAAATTACTTTAGATACAAGTTTCATTTTCAAAATAAGGCTTCTTTAGCGTAAAACTGTTTATATCCTTCCAGATTAAGCCTACCGTTCCAGTAAGAAGTAAGTTGCGTTTTCAATGTTGTCCGTAAATTTCTAGCAAAATAATGTTACAAGTAATTGGAGATGAAAGGAAATATTCAATCCAATGATTTTCCATGCAAATACTCATAAGAAGGAATGTCCTATATTGTGACGACTGGAGAAGCAAATTACTTAGCCTTATGAAAGGTATTTGAAGAAAATTTAAAGTAAAAAGAGATGCTTAAATACGTTTATGATGACTATAACTGTGCTTTCGGTTTGAGTACTTCACATAACAAGGTATCCATCTTACTAGCAACCATGGCAATACCCATTCGGATCCAACGACTAAGTTAGTTATTCCATGACACATCTAGCATCTCTTTATTCAAAAGTAGAAAGAAAATAACAGTTAGGGAAGCCCATATTTTAACAGTTCTACGCACTGTTGCTCCAGAATTGACAACCATCATATTAAAGAGGATATGTTACCTTGGATACTTATACGCGTAGTTATACATACTGGGAGCCAGATCATCAACAGGATGTCTTGCATAAGTGTTCACGTCTAATTGTTTCTTTAAAGGATTTTATTGTTGGATAGTAACTTGCTTTACAATCTGCATTTCCTTAAACCGATATCGAGCAGTTATAAACTACACGATGCCAGTCGTCAAATACTACAAAAATGAAAATACAACGATACTTACAGTTCATGCCATGATCTAATATTTCAGTCCTCATTCAACTTTTACTATCAAAAAATTGGGAGAAGTTTGCTTCAATATGTATTCTCTGCATGACGATTGCAACAGTAGGTCGTGTGGTTTAGATGGTTATAATTTCTGCTTAACATAAAGGTTCGCAGACGGTCCCAAGTTCGAGTCTTGGCACGATCAATTGTTTTTATTTTATTTGCCCGTAGACACTTCTATGTGAACGAAGCTTGTTTCCGCCGTTTTGTAACTAAATAAGTTAATATGTAGCGTCTTTTACTTGATGCAAAATGAACTCTTATAATTGATGGTAAAGCCGGTTAAGTCGACAACAATTAATGTAGTACGTGAGAAAAAAGATAATTTGCAATCTTGATGAGATACTATTCTAAAAGGAACATACTTATATACATATCAAAATTGCTTGTTTGATTCTTGACAGCGATCACAATATCTTTTTTCCTAACAAACACAGAATTTGCGTTTCAATGAGAGTAATAAAAAAAGAAACCATTTCCTTCGTTTCCAGTGATTTTGTCTATTGAAATACGTAACTGATTTCCACTTAGCATTTGGGAATATTAACTATAATCCATAATAAGACTTTTGCTTTTGCTTAATAAAAGGCTATGAAGAATCAATTTGTAGATGGAAGGATGGGAGATCGAATAGAATACAAACGGAAACCCCCAATGATAATGATATAACATGATTTGAATCTTAAACCTTCAAAAGTATTTGAGAAAAGAAAAATAGCATAAACCTATGAAACAAGACCATCATATAAATTTTTTTCTAACTAACACGAAAAGACAACTTACGGTGTTTCGTTAACCAAGGATCCCGATTTCTCTTGACTAAGGGTATGGTTGAGCACCAAACGAACTCCTTTTGCCGTCTCTGTACATTTCTCCAGCAATTCCTTAAGCCGTTCAGGAGTGCATTTCCCCTTCTCCCAAATCTGAGTTACGTGCCCAAGAGCAGCCATGTGGCCGACTACTAAAGAACCGTACGGACGTGGTCTACCACACTCGTCCATATAGTCTGGATCCACCCAATATTCTGGTCCTTGGATTTTATATAATAGACTCACACCTGTAACCAAATCAATGCATTCTATATTGGCGTCAGCGATAGCGGCAGAAGCACAAGTAATGGCAGCCGCCAATGTTGCCATTGTTCCATCGCTCTCAAGAATCTGTACATAAACATCAATAGAACTTTTTGGATACAAGTGTAATAGGATACTAGGAGAAAGAGCTGTTTCAAGTAAGAAACCATAGTCCTTTTCTTCAGCACTCTGTACGTGTCCCTTCCTCTCAAGCATCGAAAAAGGACTAAATTTAACTTCGCAATTCAACTTAGCTATATTTTGGAAAGAAAAAGTTTTGTTTGGTCTAGGACCATAAACACCGCATCCAATTTTGATTTTACCAGACTCATAATAAGCGCTTCCCATGGCCTTGGTGGCCCATCCTAGCTTCAGATCTAGTCATATTAGCTTTATCTTCCTTTAATAAACAGTTCAACTTACATATTTTTCGGCAAGTATCCGCATTGCGATCTCTCGTAAAAGCAGGTTGTTCAGGCACTTCAAATGTTGGAGGTACTGAAACCAGAGGACCGCCTACTCTCTTACGGTCTGTCATGACTTCTTCTATATTTGGTCAAAAAAATGACAAGCCAATTTGTCAATCTTTTGCGGCGAGACCGTCGAAAGCTCAACTTTCTTCATGTTTGAACGTCTCACTTAACAGACGTAGTACTGCTGACGCTATGTTTAAATAGTGATGTCTAGCTATATACACTATAGTAATTACTGATAGTCATCAAAGACTCTTAAGCTACTAGCAATAGAGAGCAAAATGAACGTATATGAAGAAACTTAGTTCTGAAAATCAAAGAAAAAAGAGGCAAATTACTCTTATCTTACTGCTAAAAAGGTGCTAATCAAGCCTTCGTAAGCTAGCTTCAAATTTATTTCATGATTTCTAAGCACTTTGTATTCACTGCGGTAGACTTCACTATTTCCCATATATATATTGAGGTCATCGAACTTTCTACCACGCCAACACCACAATATCCATCATGAGCGTACGTGAAACGAATTATATTGAAAGAATGGCAGTTGAATTGAATACTAACATGTTGTAGAGTAAAATGAATATAGATCAAACGGGGTCAGGCACCATTGATGAGGGATTATACTCCCGACAACTATATGTTTTGGGTCACGAGGCCATGAAGCAAATGAGTCAATCAGATGTTTTAATTATCGGATGCAAAGGTCTCGGTGTTGAAATTGCTAAAAATGTTTGCCTTGCTGGTGTCAAGAGTGTTACGTTATACGATCCTCAACCAACTCATATCGAGGATTTGTCTTCACAGTACTTTTTGACCGAAGACGACCTGGGCGTTGCACGTGCTGAAGTCAGTGTACCAAAATTGGCTGAACTTAATCAATATGTTCCCGTTTCTTCGACTCCACAATTGTCAATTCAAGATTTAAAAAAATATAAGTGTGTTGTTGTCACTGAGACTTCTCTCAGCAAACAATTGGAAATTAATGACTTTACTCATGAAAACGGAATTGCCTTTATCTCCGCAGATAGTCGCGGTTTATTTGGTTCTGTGTTTTGCGATTTCGGACCCGAATTTATTTGCACTGATGTTGATGGAAACGAACCCTTGACTGGAATGATTGCTAATATTACCGACGATGGCACTGTTACGATGCTTGAAGAAACTCGCCACGGCTTAGAAGATGGTGACTATGTGAAGTTTGCTGAAGTTAAGGGTGTGCCTGCTTTGAACAACGGCCAGCCTCACAAGGTAGAAGTTAAGGGTCCTTATACCTTTTCTATAGGATCTATAGACGTTCTTGGTGGTTCCGCTGCCACTGGTGGCATTTTTACTCAAGTCAAAATGCCTCAAAAGCTCGCCTTCAAATCCCTTCGTGAGTCTTTAAAGGAGCCTGACTATGTATTTCCTGATTTTGGAAAGATGTTGCGTCCTCCTCAATATCATGTAGCCTTCCAAGCGCTTTCTGCTTTTGCTGATACACATAACGGCGCCTTACCTCGTCCCAGAAACGATGCTGATGCTGGCGAATTCCTTCAACTTGCGAAGAAGATCGGTACTTCTTTTGATTCTCAGTTGGAGTTGGACGAAAAACTTCTTAAAGAGGTTTCTTATCAAGCTAAAGGTGACCTTGTTTCCATGTGTGCTTTCCTTGGTGGTATCGTTGCTCAAGAAGTTTTGAAGTCTACCACTAGCAAATTCTTCCCCTTTAAGCAATTTTTCTACTTCGATTCCCTCGAGAGTCTTCCAACCTCTGTGGAACTTAGCGAAGAATCCTGCAAGCCTCGAGGCACTCGTTACGATGGCCAAATTGCAGTTTTTGGTGCCGAGTTCCAACAAAGACTGAGCTCCTTAAACCAATTTTTAGTTGGTGCTGGTGCCATCGGTTGTGAGATGTTGAAGAACTGGTCTATGATGGGTGTTGCCACGGGAGAACATGGTCATATTCATGTTACCGATATGGATTCGATTGAAAAATCCAACTTGAACCGTCAATTCCTATTCAGACCCCGTGACGTGGGTAAATTGAAGGCTGAATCTGCCGCTAATGCTGTAGCCATCATGAATCCTTCACTAACTGGAAAAATTACCTCTTATCAAGAACGCGTTGGACCCGAGAGTGAAGGCATTTTCGGAGACGAGTTCTTTGGTAACCTTTCTATGGTGACTAATGCTTTGGATAATGTTGAAGCTCGTTTGTACGTCGATCGCCGCTGTGTTTTCTTTGAAAAACCATTGTTAGAGTCTGGTACTTTAGGTACAAAGGGTAACACTCAGGTGGTTGTTCCTCACCTTACCGAATCGTATGGATCATCCCAAGACCCTCCTGAGAAATCTTTCCCTATCTGCACTCTTAAAAACTTCCCTAACCGTATTGAGCATACAATTGCTTGGGCACGTGATTTGTTCGAGGGATTATTTAAGCAACCTGTTGACAACGTAAACTTGTATCTCAGCTCGCCCAACTTCTTGGAAACAACTTTGAAAACCAGCAGTAATCCTCGTGAAGTGTTAGAGAATATTCGTGATTATCTTGTCACTGATAAGCCTCTTTCTTTTGAGGAATGTATTATTTGGGCTCGTAATCAATTCGAAAAGTTTTTTAACCATAATATTCAACAATTACTTTTCAACTTTCCCAAGGATTCTGTTACCTCCAATGGTCAACCTTTCTGGAGCGGTCCCAAGCGCGCTCCTTCTCCTTTAACATTCGATATCAACAATCGTGCTCACTTTGATTTCATCGTTGCTGCTGCCAGTATCTATGCTTTCAATTATGGTTTGAAGGAGGAAACTGATCCTGCTCTTTACGAACGGGTTCTTTCCAGCTTTAAGCCTGCTGAATATACTCCCAAGAGTGGTGTCAAGATTCAAGTCAATGACTCTGACGAAGCACCAGAAGCAGCTGCTAACTCTGACAAGCAAGAGCTTAAATCTATTGCTGATAGCTTACCTCCTCCATCTTCTTTGGCCGGCTTTAGATTGACACCTGCAGACTTTGAAAAGGATGATGACACCAACCATCACATTGACTTCATTACAGCTGCTTCTAACCTTCGAGCTCTGAATTATGAGATTACGACCGCCGATCGTTTTAAGACCAAATTCGTCGCTGGCAAGATTGTGCCTGCTATGTGTACTTCTACCGCAGTTGTTTCTGGTTTGGTTTGCTTAGAATTAGTCAAGTTGGTAGATGGCAAGAAGAAATTGGAAGACTATAAAAACGGATTCTTTAACCTTGCTATTGGGCTTTTCACATTCTCAGACCCTATTGGATCTCCCAAGATGAAGTTCAACGAAAAGGAGGTTGACAAAATTTGGGACCGGTTTACTCTTCCCAACTTCACCTTGCAAAATCTTATAGACCACTTTTCCGAAAAGGAGGGCTTGGAAGTCACTATGCTTTCTTCTGGTGTTTCTTTGCTTTACGCTAATTTTCAACCACCCAAGAAACTTGCAGAACGTCTACCCCTCAAGATTTCTGATTTGGTTGAACAAATATCGAAGAAGAAGTTGGAGCCTTTCAGAAAGCATTTGATCCTTGAAGTTTGTTGCGACGACAAAGATGGTGAAGATGTTGAAGTTCCTTTCATTACAGTCAAAGTTTAAAGAGAAAAAGTATTAATGATTTTTAATGGTTTAAGATTGTCTGCGCAATATGGATTTAATGGCTTGGTCTTTTCATAGATTCGATATAGCTAAAAAATCTTTGTGTTTGTATCTATTTATCTTGTTAAACTAAATGAGCATATATTTTCTCATTGATTGTGTATATGTAGTATCAGTGCTTAATGAAAAGACTGACGAGTTATGCAAATCTGCATTAGCTCGTATGATCATTAAGCCTTCACGAAATCGTCGTCACTGTGCCTGTAGCATAAGCAAACAAGTTACGGCTCACCTTTTTGTCATATGTAATTAATGGCTTATTACTAGTAAGTACTAACAAATTTGCAAATGATCAGGCATAAGGACTTTTGAAATTGAACCTCTTGAACCTTAACGGTATACCAATATTCCTGATTGTATTCTGTTTCTATTTAATTACAGTATGAAAAGTGTTTATTTTCTTAACAATTGCCGCTTATGCGACATAAAAAGTACTATCCTACGGGCGGTAACAGAAGGCGATTTAAAAAATATTTTAACAAAATATATCATACTAAGGGAAGTCCTCAATATGAAGCTATTAGCGGAACGAAAGCCTTCATCCATTTGTTCATTAACATGTCTACAGCATCGAAAACCTGTATTTTGGGTGCCTCTGCGTTCAGTATTTTTATGGTGTATTTCGTCCATAGCAATCAGATCGCAGAAAAGCAGGTAAACTTACACCTTATAAGTGAATCGTGACTAATTCCATTTTAGAGAATGTCAGCAGGTGTAGAGAAAGATCAGGAGCGAAAACAGATCAAGCAAAGCAGGTTTGATGATCTAAATAAACAAAGAGCATTGTACGATTTCTACGAGAAGGATCAACCAATTACGAAAAATTCAAACGACTCATCGTGAAATTTAAATCATCACGAACTTATTTGAGAAACAGCTTCTCAAACAATACAAAAACAAAAACACGCGTTTATAAATAGCACAAACAAAAGAAAACAGTTATTTTTGAAAATACATTCTTTTAGTGAATCATTTTCCGAGCCAGATCAACAAGGATGCTAAGGTCGATAGTATGCGTTACGGACTTCCACAAAACGGTTTTTAAGCAATATAGCGTGAAGGCGTTAAATCCATTGTTTTCATCACTACGGACTTTATAAAAAAAAACATAATCTTAATAAATCATCTCAGATCTTTTAAAGTTCATTCGTTTAGTCGATTAATTCTTTATCGGGAGAAAGAAAGTGTTGTGTGCTTGACAGTCGTAAAGACTGTAATTTGGAATTTTAAATGAGATGAGTTCATCTACGAACAAAGTTGGTTCCACTGGTTTGGTAGCACCTCGAAGATATTCTACTATGACTAGTTTGAGGAACGTAACACCTCAGATGAAAGGAAGTTATCCCCAAAACCCTTCGTTGATTCGAAACTTTTCGAACCCTTCAACTCCAATGTATCGAAGCAATAGCACGCAACTAAGTGTTGCAGAATCTTCAGCACTTGAACTTGGAGTGTCAGAGGGAACTGCTTCACCTCCAGGAACGTTAGATAGATATCCTCGTCCGTCGATTTTGAACCTTCAAGATGCAAGCAGTTACCGTACTGAATCTTTTGATAGTGCAGCTTCATCGTTCTCAAAAACCGATAGAATTCCTTCTTCTGGCACTGGTAAATTACCATTGTTGGGCAATGATATTATAACAAGTATTCGTATACGTCCGGTTGAAACACAAAATAACAACCTCTGGTCACATGGAACTGTTTTAAACGATCCTTACGAGCGGGAGTACATTCACCAAGATACAAGCTCTAACTCATCTTCTCTTCAACAGGAATACATGTTTAATCATGTCTTCGGTGTGGAATCCGATAATCTTAGTATATACAGGAAATCTGTCGCTTCCGTTGTCCGTAACGTCTTTTCTGGATATAACGGCATTGTATTTGCTTATGGTATGACAGGAACAGGTAAAACTTATTCGATGCAAGGAACAGACGAGGAGCCGGGAATTATTCCTTTGGGTATGCGTGACCTATTTAACATGGTAGAGTCAAATGCAGACTCTGACACGTTTCAAATTCGAATTTCCTATCTTGAAATTTATAATGAACGGATTCGAGATTTAATCAGCGATTCGCACGAGGAGCCAAAGGTTCGTGAGGGTGCTAATGGTGAAGTTATTGTCTCACCAATGACCCGTGTATTAGTAACTAGCCCGGAAGAAGTAAGCCAAGTTATCGAGCAGTGCAATGCTATTAGAAAAACAGCCGCTACCGATTACAATACTTATAGTTCTCGATCTCATGCGATATTACAAGTCTTTCTTATTCGAAACTCAGAATCAACTCACACTACAAGGACGTCTACGCTCAGTCTTGTTGACTTAGCAGGAAGTGAACGAGCTTCTACTGATCATGAACGAAGAAAGGAAGGTGCATTCATCAACAAATCGTTGCTTACATTAGGAACCGTCATTTCTCGATTATCCACTTCTTTGAATGGGGGTGCCTCTTCAAACAATAGTCATATACCGTACCGTGAATCCAAACTTACTCGTTTGCTTCAACAATCCTTGTCTGGTCAATCCCAGATATCCTTGTTAGCAACTATCAGTATCGAGCCCCGTCATGCGGTTGAAACCACGAATACCCTAAAATTTGCTATGAGAACTCAGAATTTACCTACTGAAATTCGACAAGCCGAAGCATCTACCAACTATCAAGCCGAAGTAAGTTCCTTACGCGCTGCACTAGCTAAAAGCAACCAAGAACTTGAACTTTGTACCAACGTAATTAAACAACTTAAATCTGATTTGGAAGAAAGAGATGCTTATATTTCATGGCTTGAAGCTGAGAAATCGCATGAAAGCGCTATTAGTCGTGCTCGGTTGCGCATGGAAGAATTACTTTCCGATCGAAATATGGAGATTGCTGATTTGAAAGAAGAACTAAGCGACAAGGAAAAAATCATTTATGCACTGAGATCTTCACAGCAACGACGTGAGCTTGCGGAGTTAAATCAATCCAAAATCCGTTTTCCGAAATTTCGAGAGTTACCAAAAGGCTATGTACTCGAAGGAACTGGAAAGGAAAATATGAATTTTTTTGAGAAAAACGACCAAACAACCAGATACGTTTCTGATCAGGCTGAAATGGATGCACCTGATGTGGAAACAATGTCTTTGGAAGCAATCAATCCGCAAACTACAGCCATTTAATGATTTGCTTTTTTAAAATTATTTATCATTTATTAAAAAATTTATATTTGGATTGCTGAAGTTCCTATCGTCCTTCATTTTGTTTTTGTCTTGACGTTTTATTTACTGCATTTGAAAGTACCTCGCTATTTGTCTTCAGTATTACAATGATTCCTTTTGTTACACCTTCTTGGTACTACCCTTCAACAGTGCTATATCCTATGGCTTCTTTACGTTTATTCTTTCATTCTTAAACGAACTCTAATTAACAGAGGCATTGAGGCTGCTACACATCTCTATTTATGTAGATTTTGACGACTAACGCTGAATCGGTACAGTCTAACCTGACTTTGAATTAATTGACAAGGGTCAGCTTGAACTTTATGGATATTACAACAAATTTTCTTTCTCGCAGCTTATCTGAAATTGCTTCGTCCGTGTCCGACGCGTCAGGGGACTTCTCTTCGACGAGTACAAATTATGAGTTTGAACAAAAGTTACGCCAATTGATTGAGCATGCTTTTTGTCCTAATGTCTTCACATTGTGCTCGGATGATACAGAAACTTTTATAAAAGGAAAAGGCTTCAAAAACTTTGCTTCTTTTATTCGGTCTTTTGGCGACCGTGTCGAACGCAAAAAATCTAACAACCCCAACACTTCGGCGCAACATGCAAACTCACAAAGTGGTAGACTTCGGGAAGATACAAGCTCTATTCGTTTTTTACCAATGTCAGCTGTGCGAACTCCTCAACAATGGCATCGCGATCGAGCATGGAATAAAGAAAATGAGATTGAATTAGAACAAGAAATGTCTTATGAATTTGCACCCGGAGGAAATATGGAACATATACGTGAACTTTTTGAGAAAAATATTAAGAAATGGGCCGCGGAAGTTGATGATCAAGTAGAGCCGGATTCGTTCTTAGACCCTATGCTACAATATTTCAAATTTCTAATGTCTGGTAATCCGATAGCACAACAAGAAACCTTTTCCCATCCTGTCGGATGTTTAATTGTGCTAACTTCCCATAATCCACATCCTCTAGCTACTATAATGCGCTTGTATAAAGAAGTAAATAACGCTAATTTTCCTAGATTTATGTCAAGGGAGATGTTGCATTATTATCTTTATATTCACGATGAAGATGAACATGATTTAGAAACTTCTCTTCAAGTGTTTGGGAACATACAACGTAGCATAGGTGCGAATTCTAAATTTATTCGACTGCGATCACGATATATCGATTTAGCGCATATACAAAACAGGCAGTCTCCATCGAACTCGGAATATAATAGGGATGAACTAAAAGGTGAAGGTGACCTTTATAATCCCTCAAGCTTACTTTCTTCGGCTTCGTTAGTCAACAGTTTTTCAAGTCCGACACTGTTCTCATTTGACTCAGAATTAGCTAAAGTGCCTGAACCTACGTGGAAATCTCCTTTAGAAATTTTAAAGGAAGAAGATGAAGAAAAAGGAAGTTCTTTGAAGCCAGTGATACCCTCGGAAGAAATTCAAGAAATGGAAAGTTTAGTAACCACGATACTTTTTGAAGGCATACGTCCTTTTATGCAGAGATGTGTAAACTCCTGGGAAGAGAGTACGGTTACGCATTATGGTGGATTTACAGGGAAGTTATTTTCTGCTTCAAAAAAATACCTTGGGAAGAACCATTCATCCTCTGCTCAGGGAAACTACGATTCTGACTATTTTATGTATTCTGCAGACAAGCCAGAAGCTGTGAAGCGAAGAATGGCTGATTTTTTGTTCATGCTGCGTGAGTATAAACGAGCTTACGAGATTTATGATGAGCTACGGAAAACGTTTTGTCAGGAAAGGGCGTGGAATTATTTAGCTTCTTGTTTGGAAGCCCAGATAATCTGTCTTTTGATGCAAAACCGTGCAATTACTCCAAAACTACGAACGTCAGTTTTGGATAAGATATTTAATGATATGGTGCTCGTTTATGCTGCAAGACTTCATTCCTTATACTATACTTCCCGAAGTATTGTTATAGGAAGTCTATTATTAGCTACCCGGCCGGGAAATTGTATTGACGATGCTGTACACTGGTTTCAACGACTAACTAATTTAAATGTAATTCCTCTATCGAAATTTGAGTATGCCTTTTTTATAACATGCTTAGCTGGATTATTTACTGTCCGAGCCAGTCTCCCTTCTTTAGATAAAGTAATCAATGGTCGCGAACGAAAAGCAGCGTTTTGGTTTTTGCATTCAATTAAAAATTGGTTAGATTGCGATCATCCAAAAATGGCTCTAGTATGCTGGAAATTTGCAAGTTGCATCTATGAAGATTCATGTTGGTCTGTTCTTTCGACTCATATAAAAGCAATCGGCGCAGAATTGTCCTCAACAGCTAATGATAAAAACTAAAACAAATGCATTCAATGATGTGAAAAATTGAAGTACGCTACATCTTTTGATGATAAAAAATCGTTCAAGGCCTTTAGTTTTTGGTAAAATATATCATTTGACATGAAGATATGCCCAATTTTTATGAATAATAACATCTTTTTCTGAATAAAAACCTTCTTTAGTAGATTTCTCTATGTCGTTTTTTCTAAGTATGCCCAAAATTGATGTTCAATCTAATACGCATAGAAGTAGGAATGCATCCGGTATGATCTAACGTATAACAATAATAGTTGAGATAGGTTGTTTTTTAAAATTACTATTAGAATATGAAAATAAAGCATAACCATCCCTTCAAAAGAATGAGACAATCTTTGTTTCATAGAGAATGGTAGACATGCGCATATCCTGTTGGAGAACTCACCTTGTCAATATTCAAGAATTAAGAAGCGTTGGATACAATGCATGATGATGAATCTTTAATTGATTTTCTAAAGAAAAGAGGTATATTTAAAGAAAGTCGGCTGAGAAGTCTCTATTCTGATTTAGGGAACCTTTATTCCAAAAATCCAGAGGGATTTAATGCTAATGTACAAACATGGAAGGATGCGATAGAAACTGCGTGTTTTTATAACAAATTGGGCTCCAAATTAATCATTCATTTCGATGAAGGCCTTGAAAATGCTTTCTTTAGTTCGTCATTTGGAAAACCTCTGAGTTTAGGAATGATTGCCGTGAGTATTAATGAAGGGAAATTCGTATGTTAATTACTAACATAATCTAAAGAATTACTTGCAAGAGAAGAATGTATGGCCTAACATTAAGGAATTTCTACACATGTGTGAAAATCCTGACCGGGGATTACAGTCTTATTTTTCTGTGTATTCTTGGTTACATTGGGGAGGTAGAATCATAAGCTCTAAGATACAAAAGGGAATTTTGTTTTCACCTTCATATCCAAAAGACACTCTGGTACTTGTGAAAAACGTAGAATTACTGGCTTCTCTCATACGCAAAGAAGCTCATCAATTACAAAGTACATACACGAGTACCATATATACACGGAGCTCGTTTCAAAGTACGTTTGGGCCGAAACTATGGAAAGATACAGTACTCTCCTCTATGGAATTGGAATGTTTATTGCAATGGATGTGCCATCGTATGCACTTAATTGTCTTTGATAAGGATGTAAGTGCTCAATATACCTATTATCAAAGAAACTAACTAATTGTCACGTTAGACTATCAAGTTTTTACCTAATGACTTTCAAGAAGGCGTTATAGAAACTGTTGATAAATCCATAGCAGCAATTGTGGAATCCAGAAGCTTCATATCAAGAAGCAAGGAACTTGTTAACAACAAGATTGAAGATCTTACCCTGAAGGTTCATGAAGCGATCTCACAGGCAGAGAAAGTAACTGCCCTTACGTATTTACGGAGAAAAAAAATTCTGCTTAAAGAGTCCGATAGGAAAGAAGCAGCTCTTCTTCAAGTAGACTCTTTGCTTTCCAGTATTGATGGGGCTTTTGAAAATAAAGTACTGTTGTCAGCTCTTTCCTCGGGTTCTGATGTTCTCAAATCTGTTGTCAGTCAAATGGGTGGTATCGAACATGTGAATGAGATATTGGAGTCTGTTCAAGAAGCCAAACTTGATTTTCAGGAGGTTGATTCCGCTGTTACGGCAATAAACACCCCAGAATCTAATGTTGACACAGAAGAACTCGAGAAAGAATGGGAGGATCTTGTCAAAGAGGATAAAAAAGAAGTTGATCTTACCGCTATGCTAAATAGAGTGTCTTTAAATCCACCGTCGAAGCCTATGCCTTCTTCGAAAGAACAAGTGCTGAATGACTTAAATCCAACTCATAAACAAGCTGAACCATCTACCTAACTTTTTACTCCCTCCCGCTACTGCTCTATATTAAAGCCATGAATATTATGTGATCGTATGCACTTCTAGTACGTGAAAATCTGGAATTTATTTTAAGTAATACTTAATGAATTAACGTGCTCTACTGTTTTCATCCTATGTAAATTGCTTCCGTTTATTCAACACCAAGATCTTCTTGTTTTGTAAAGCTTGAATATTTTCTAAAGTTGGTGGGTATTAAGCGCTCACTTGTAAAAATTTGTTAGCTTTAAATTATACAGATTTCAGTAAGACTTGGCTTATCTACGTTTGTAAATCAGTCATAAACCTCTACTCTTCGTTGTAAGGATATCTAACAATTTCCATGCAGCCTTGGGAACAGGTAGTGGAAAAGTTGAATATTTTGGAACGCGACGTTCCGGAACAAATATTTCTTCAAAAGGTATTATTGATATTCATGGAAGATTCTAACATATAGCAATTGGACTTTCTGGATGGTTTTGTCTTTAAAATCGAAGAAGAAAAGCTTTCTCATAATCTAACTGCATTACTGCCGTATATATCGCCAAAGGAGAATTGGATTAATTTTGGTATTACAATAATATTCGCTAAGTAACTACTACTAACGAAACTAGAGAACAATGAGTTGGATGTTGAATTTAAGAAACCATATTGTGAGCGAGCATATCGACTCTTGAGTATATTCGAGGAGGAGATTAAACAATATGTGAAAGAAGAAGAAAATTGGGAAGTTCTTCTGACGTTAATCTCGCTACGAGGTTTAAGATATAAACCTTTTGAGTTTTTTTGTGTTCAAATAGTCGATAATACACTGATATCGATATCCACGGAGGAGAAAGAGAACTTTCAGAATCATGTTTTGAATTATCAGTCTTCCCTGTTTTCAAGAGATGATCGTTTAACAGGACAAGGAAGGCGATACGCTTATGAACTTCCTCCTGAAAAGTTCAGACAAGATCAAACAGATGCACTTCTAAACCCATCATGGAAATTGAAGAATTTCTTTATTCCTGAAGTACTAAATTGGATAGTTTGCAACAAAAATCGATTTACAATTCGAGATATATGGCATAAAGTGATTCCATCAGTGCTACGGATTTTGAATGATCTTAACCCTTTGATAAAACAAAAGGGTTTGATGTTAGTTAAGTCAATACTAGATGTAGCAGGTCTTGAATTTTTAATGCATACTGGACTAGCCGAAATTTTACGTGAAGATCTAATGCTATTTTATACATTTTTACCCCCGCGATATAAAGCTGAGACATGTTCTTCCCTTATAAACTTCTCATTTAACGTACTAATTCAGTTTGCAAAAGAAATGCCAGACTTGCTAGATAAGTTATATCTGGACGGTGTTATGTATATCTTTCAGTTCGCCTCAGACAGCATTCCCATGATTCGTCTCGCGTTTTCGGAATGCATGTATCTCATGAAGACATTGAATCATAGATTCTTAAGATACCTTAGTGTACGACATGTGATAATTTTTACTCTATTGCTATGAATGCTAACATACACTAGACAACTCTGGATCAACTTTGCTTAAGGATCGAGAACCCATTACTTTGTAACACTCCAGAATTTCTCTTTTTCCTTTTGGAAGCACTTCAGTCATTCTTACATTTTTATTATTACCGCATATCCTCCCATCATGCACAATTTCTCATTTCCCTAGTTTCTTCATATAGGAATTGTACCCACAGAAACTTAAAAGAACTAGATTCATGCAAAGAAAAAATTATGGAAATCCTTAAATTTATTGAAGATAATTTAACAGAATCTCAGAGACTGGACTACCAGGCTGTATTGCCTTTAATGGAACGCCCAACTGCTTGATTCATCTAGTCTTTTTACCGCGTACAGTTCTCGGTATATGTGCCTACCCCATCATACATAGTGACCATACGAGATGTAAAAAATCACTAAAGAAAATGGATTTTAATGGTAAAGGACATGAAAAATATGTACAATCTTATGGTTTATTTAAGAATCGACCACGAATCAACTTCGTAAGGCCTCAAGAAGAGGAAACAACAAACCGAGAAAAATATGGAGAAAAAGATTCCGTTTCATCTTTTTATTACTCATTATTCCCGGAAAATGTGAAAGATTTGGGTAAAAATGCGACTACCGATACACGTGGGTCAATATGTCCTACATGTCAAATATTCATTGAACCTGAGAATCAAATTATGCACGCGAAATCTGTAAGGCATTTATTATCTGTAAATCATATAGACAACAAATTCCAACCTGGCCTCGTAAAGCCAGAAAGCCTTGGTTTTCGTGTCTTATCTCAGTTTGGATGGTCACCGAAAGGCGATGTTTCTGGATTGGGTGCTGAACATCAAGGACGCCGTGCTCCTGTCCGTCATACAAGAGTTAAAAATGATACTTTGGGGATTGGAGTTCGATTACGTTCCAACTTATCGAAAAGCGTTTCTCGAAAAGGTAAGCGACATTCTCAGTTTCAACACAAACGTGACATCCGTCTAAAGCAAGCTTTGTTAAAACATTTTTCTTCAAACAACTAAAAAACGCCTTTCATTAGAGATAGTGTTCGAAAATAATGATCTAAATATTGTGCTTAGTCATTCAACGAAAATAGTTAATTGTCTCCTGCATATATGCCAAAACTAAATGAACCATAAATGTAAACAATAACCAGGTTCTGCAGTAGGAACCTTTAATTTGATTAGCTGTCTTTTCTCTTCAATTTTGAGCGGATTCTTTGAAACAAGGATGACTTCTTCGATTTTGGTAATTCGCTGACTGGAACAATTTTTCTTGTAAGGAAGTTAAAACTTCCTCCAAACGTCAAAGCCATGATGGTGGAAGTCAAAATTATAACGTTGTATGGCATACTAAAGTCGGGGGTAGGGATAAACAATAGAAGAGCTGAGGTTCGCAATTGACATATTTCAACATCGTCTGTGTTGTAAACACTCACTATTGAAGGTGGAAGGTCATAACCTCGGTTAGCATCAGGTGGGTACTCTTGGAGTCGTAAAGTTGTTTTTTCGATATCATAACTCATAACGACAGATGAACGAGCAGGAATCGTAAATCGAGACTCGATCATGGTTCCAGCTTTACGGTCTTTTAAAGGTTGGTATACTTGGTCTTGAAAAAAATCAATACAGGTTACCGGTTGATCATTAACTGCTATTTTCATAGTGTGAAGATACACACGAGCATACCAAGGTAATCTTTCAAAGTACACAATACTGTAGGACTCATCAGTGGGATTGGTAAATGTTGAGATGATACCACCCCAGTGGTTTCCAGAATTTGTTAGTGACCTTTCAACAAGAACTGGAGATCCTGGACGCTCTTCACTGATTACAGGAATAGATATCTCTTTCGCCATTTCTAATGGATACCCAACGACAAGACTGGAAGAGTTTTTAACATATATATCACTTTCAGAAGATTTAAAAGGACATTTCTTTTCAAGGGTTTTGTGAAATAGGTCTTCAAGAGTATGAAAACTTGCTGTGTAAGTGGCAGTCAAACAACGTAAAGGATCATGAGCAATATCATCACCGCAAAATTCAGGAGGAGATGAAAATCTAGTTTCAAGTTTCCTTCTATTTGTCCTCTCCACGTCAATGACTGTTTGAATCTTGACAATTAATTTCATTGAGCTAAGATCATCAGTAAGGTTTGGCACGATATCTATAGATAGAGAATACCAGTCGGTGTCAAACAAAAGATGGCTGTTCAGAAGTGAAGCAATTCCAGCTCTATTCTTACAAGGTAAAAATTTGAGCAAAGAGGAAAGATTTTCTGTGCAGACGGACTCTTGAGGGAGAGAAGCAAAGTATCGGGTATGCGAAGTAGAGGACCAAGATGGTACAAAAGAAAGAAGTGGTTCATACGTATTTAACTCATCAATATTGTTGGACGAAAAACAAAACAATCCCGAAAGCTGGCTAGTTAATTTGTACCAAGAATCTAAATCTTGGTCGTCAATAAAGGAAGCCCAAACCTCAAAACCTGACCCGCCAGAATGAAATCCATTGTCAGGAGGTTGCTTCCAAAACCCATAATCCCATCTGCCCCTAGTTGCCCTAACATGAAGGTCCATTACCTTTTGGTCTTTCATTGTTCGGGCAAGAGAAAGTGGGAAAAATTGGTAATTTGATTCCGAAAATGCATATCTATCTTCCCTGTTTGCTTTCGTGTCAATTTCAAAGGTGAATGAAGCGTACGTATGCCGATTTGACAAGTTTTCCAAATATAGTCCTTCGTTATAACTCTCGTTTAAAGACGAATATCCAAAAGAAAACAGAGAAAATAAAAAAACCAATAGTAGACCGCATAGCATCATTTTCTATGGACCAAAATATACCTGTAACGCTAGCACTGTATACGTTGTAAAGTTTCGGTTGCTGGTAATATTCTAGTATTTTAAAAGGAAAGTGTTTAATAAACTTGTATAATGTTTACTCCATCAGCTTATCAAGGAAAAGGCAAAGACAAAACAATAACCTTGTAAGAACTCAGTTGTCCGAAGCAAAATTGAAGAATTAACTAAACCGATGCTAGTTCAGTGAATTTTTGTAATTGTAACAAGACCTAACCAATCAAAGTATAGCTTCCTTGATCCTACTTTCCCCAATAGAAAATCAAAACTTCTATGAGTAATGATAAATTCAACGATTCTTTAACTGTTGTTTCCTAAATTGGCTTGTAAACATATGCTTAAATGAATGGTACAGATACCCTTTTCAAAATAATAGACGCATATTATTTTAGATATTACTATGGAGAATGGTATGTATTAAAGACTAGGGAAACAGTAAACAAACCACGATTTCTTTCAATGGCTTTAAATAAGAACAATTCCATTGCTTTTATTTCATAGAACTCCGTTCTTGACTGGAATCTTAATATAGCAGTACAACTTCGGGATAAACCAATAGTCAAGGCATCATGAAGTGCATAGCATTGACAGACGAGTGTTTCCATGCTTAATTTAATTATCTTGCAAGAAGTAAGGAATGAATCTCACAATAAGTACAAACGCAGCTGGAGTATGCCATAAAACGATCAAGGCTTGCAGGTAGCATCCTACTGTAGCAACGGTAGTCGAATATCCTTTTTTGTTTTTTATTATATCTTCTTTTTAATGTAGTTGAGGTTCATGGCCTGACTTCTATCCGCTGGTCTGCAAACCAAGACTTCAATAGGTTCCATCTCATCAAAAAGGCATGTGTATACAGACAAGATTCAAGAAGAGATATCTATATCTTAGGTTTGCTTTGCATATCCTGCTTCCATTTTATTTCTCTTTTTCGACGGTCTGAGTTATCTAGAAAAAAAATAACAGTGCCATTTGTTGGGTGAAACTGAAAAAAAGGAAGAAACGACGATTAGACTAAAACTTTTATTTATACTTTTTGTTCCAAACAGTAAAGTACACCATAGGAATTCTTTGATAATTCAATTTGCAAGTTTGTTCATTCATTAGCTTCGAAATAGTAACAACTCGGAATGATAATCAAACAATTTTAATTATATTTTATTCAAAGTTTACAAAGTAGAAAATAACTCTTCTCACGTATTAGGATGGTTCCTTTTCGGCGTCCTTTGGACATCCTCAGTTATGCTTTGAGGCTCCCCATACTTGTTCACTACCAATCTTTGCATTGCTGGAAAGTGAAGTAAGAGGCAAGCATACTTGAAAACAAGCGCTTAGAACTTCTATATGCTTTTCATTGAAAAGTTATGTTTCACGCCTTGAAACCAGTATAACTTGATTTGATTTTGTAAAAAGGTCGAAATTCGAAGAGACCAGTTTTCCTCTGGAGTTTATAGGTCTCAACTAATTTTGTTTTGCAAACTATAACTAGAATTAATAGATCGTCGCCCAAGCATTATCTGATTTCGCTTTTTCTTTTACAAGTTTCTTTGACTCCTATAATAGAAATCAATAAGCCTATCGCATTTTATCTTGGCTTCCACTATAATAAGGATACAAACTTCATTTAGAATAATCCGCATCTCTTGTTAAGCTTTTCGTTTTCTTGTTTATTGCACCCGACCCATCCTCTCATTCTACGTTTTTTTGTTCTTCCCCTTTTTCACTATGAATAAAGACGAAAAAAATGCTGCATATTACTATCGAAAAAAAAATTCTTCTTCTACTAATGTAAAACCCGTATTAGCTCGTACACAGTCTGATTTGTCTGGTTTTGGTGAAAATGAATTTAGAAGTTTGACTCCATCTAGAATGGCCCCGAAGCCACCTTCTATCAACACGAATGTTCAAAAAGAACCGTTTGGTTCTGGTTCTAGTTCATTCGCAGCTTCTCGTACAAATTCTCGGACACCATTAGGATCTCGACAGACAAGTTCAAACTCTATACAGAAATTACACTCATACTCTTCTGTTGACTCCCGGCAAAGCGATGAGAAACCTCAAAAGAAATCCGCTTTCGAAAGTTTCGTCTCGAGTATGAGTTCTTTGCTTACTGGAGGAAGTGGCAGTAGTCCAACGAACTTACATGCTTCTGGTGCGAGTAGCCCAAGAAAATCAACAATTATATCTTCTCCTTTTGATCCGAAGCATGTAACTCATGTTGGTTTTAATTATGAAACTGGTGAATTTACGGGCATGCCTACCGAATGGCAGGCACTTTTGAAGGTCAGTGGAATTACGAAATCTGAACAAGTTCAACATCCGCAGGCTGTACTTGATGCCATGGCTTTTTACTCACAGTCGAAAAAATATTTAGAGAATGGCACTAGTCCTCCTTTCCCTAGAGATAGTGTGGAACGATCTGCCGTTCCTTCTCCAATTTCGAGCATTTCAAGCGGTGCTTCTTCGCCAGTTCAAACTCGTAACGCTTTGCCCAGTAATCTTCAACCATCTCGTCCGGCACCGACTCCTCCAGTAAGCACGGGTGTCAATTCCTCTATTGCATCGCCGAAGCCTGTTAAATCCCCCAAACAATTTACGTCTCATCAATCCTCTCCGTTGGCATCAAAGAAGCCTGCCAATCAAGTTTTAAGGAGTCACTCGCCAGTATTGCTTCCTTCGCCTAGTTTGAGCTCTGTTCAGCCAAAACAAATTCGTCCAAATAATACACCTCAAACCCGCCATAATGAGTCGCCAGCAAAGCAGATTACAGCTCAACCGCCTTCAACGGAAGCTGTGACTACCCAACGAGTGCAAAAACGTGGTGCTCGTCAACAACCAAATGATGCAGCAACTATAGCTAAATTGCAGTCAATCTGCAATAAAGAAAATCCTACCCTTCTTTACCGAAATTTTACCAAGATTGGACAAGGTGCTTCTGGTGATGTATTTTCGGCTCGCCAGGTTGGCACGAACTTGTCTGTTGCTATTAAGAAAATGAATATCAATCAACAGCCCAAGAAAGAATTCATCGTAAATGAAATCCTGGTGATGAAATCGCATCATCACAAGAATATTGTAAACTTCATTGATACATTCTTTTTCAAATCTGAGCTTTGGATGATAATGGAATATATGCGAGGCGGAAGCTTGACTGAAGTTGTTACGAACAATACATTAACAGAAGGCCAAATGGCTACGATTTGTAGAGAAACTTTGGAAGGTTTGAGGCATCTGCATCGAAATGGTATTGTTCATCGCGATATTAAATCCGATAATATTTTGCTATCCTTGCAAGGAGACGTTAAGTTGAGTAAGTGCTACCAAGTTGGAATATCATTGTGGTCCTTATTAACATTTTTTTTAGCTGACTTTGGATTTTGTGCCCAAATTAATAGTCAGATGTCGAAGCGTACAACTATGGTGGGTACTCCGTACTGGATGGCACCCGAAGTTGTTACGAGGAAAGAATATGGGTAAGCTTTTTATACGTCGAGTAAACTTAATGCATTCTAACTATAATTTTAGTTTTAAGGTGGATGTCTGGAGTTTGGGTATTATGGCTATTGAAATGGTAGAGGGGGAACCTCCTTATCTAAATGAAAATCCTCTACGAGCTTTATATCTAATTGCTACAATCGGCACTCCAAAGGTTAGCAGATCGGAACTTCTGAGTTCGGCGTTTAATGACTTTCTCACAAAGTCTCTTAATGTTAATCCAAAGATACGTCCTAGTTCAGAAGAGCTTTTGAGACACCCGTTTTTGAAAAAATCTGTCCCTCTTACTTCTCTCATTCCGTAAGTAAAGCTTGATTTATTTGACCTGTCTGCTAATATTAATTTAGTTTAATCAAGTCTATTCATCGTGCTAGATAATTCGGTTCTTACAGCAATTCATTTTAGAAAGTAGTTGAAGCGATTCAACCTACATAATTTATTGCTTTGTTTTTTTTTCTCAAAGTTTGTAATTATACATTATGATTTATGAGCTAACGACTAATTACTCTACGTCTTTTATTTTCTTTGTTTTCTCATTTTTTACTGAGTTTGGGTATTATGCAAATACTTTTCTGATTACTTAACAATTGAACCCGATTATTTTTGTAAATAAACTACTTGCGTTGTTTGTGGGTTTCCAAATTGCCTCGATAGTCTGGTTCGTATATGTAAAGAATAAATGGCATAAATTGTTTTTTCTCTTTTTCTTTTGTGAGACACGGGTTTAGTGACTATATTTGGAAGACAAGAAAAAAAAATAAGAAAAAGAAAAAAGAAAAAAAACAGAAGAAAAAAGGTTACAACAAGGACTCAGTCCTCTATTTGGGATAAAATATTTGTATAGTGTATGATACTTTGAATATTGAAAAAAAGAAAAACATATTTGAATCTTTTTATGCTTTCCAGGAAAGAATTCAGAAATATATAGCAAATGAATAAGTAATTTCACAAAACTCATGATTAAAAGCACCTCTTTTGTTTCTAACTTGCACTTCGTTTCATTCTCTCGTACTATTACACACCCTTACCTTATCATTAGGAATTTACCAAAAACTAGCCTTTGGTTCCTGTTCCTTTAAAACACTAGAGAAAGGGAATTTATTTAAATTTATTTATTTTCTTGTTTTATTATAATATATAGAGCAGGGAAAAGAAAGGATTTTCTCGAATACTAAGCAAACGTGTCGGCTTCTATACTAAGCAACTGAATACAGGCACTTTGAAGACTGACAAAGCACACAGTAAACCCGAGAAAGGTATTTTATACGCGATTTAATAAGTTTAAAACCACTTTGGGTTGATAAATTTGAGTTATTAGCATCATGTCCGCAATTGTCAGCAATTCTTTGAAAATCCCTTCTAGATTTCTTCAAACTGGAATTTTTGGTCTAACATCTTATTCAATTCGGCTACAAATCCCATATTACGGCTTGCAAGATCTATGGAACTCTATTTTGCTTGCTGTTCCCAAAAAGAAAACTTCCTATTCAAAAAAGCGAAGCCGTTTTCTCGCCGGTAAGGCCCTTAAAGACAAAACCAATTTAAACCGGTGCCCTGTTTGTCATTCCTTCAAACTGACCCATCATATGTGTCCTTCTTGTTATAAGGGTCTTCGTCAGGAATGGAAATCTCAAGACCTTTGAGCATCGTTAGTTTGCTTATGTTTTCAATATACTTTTGACCTCTTCAATTTTGCAAAAAGAATCTTTTATTAGGTGAAAAGCTTGTAAAACTAGCAAGTCGGCATGAACCCGCAGGTAAAGGAGCTTTGTTCGTTAGCTTGCTTTATCTTTGTTCCAATGTTTTGGGAAAGCTTCGTTCAGTATTTCCATCACTATAAATTATTTCTACTAATTTTGAGCGAACAGTTTTTTCTATGGCTAATTTTGTGACTAATTTGTATTCAAAATACTTCTTTTGTTCAAGATCCCTAGTCAAGTATGTCGAGACTCCCCTCTTAAGAATAATATTGCGTCCATAGTGTTTCTATTTCCAAATTTATATACATATATACATTCTATTTCTTATACTCTGATTAAGACTGTCCCAACTATGGCAAACAGTAAGTAAAAATGCAACTTGACTTTACAATTTCTGTAGACCGAGGATATAGAACTCCAATCCTCTTTTGTTTATCATTTTCCCCTTCTTTTTGAATTTTCATCTATTTGTTTTTTAATTTTGAAGTATCGGGTTTATATTCCTTTGTCTCTATTCCTTACATAGACCGGTGATTTTCACTTCGTAAACTACAGAAATTCTTATGGCTTTGTCGAATTTCCCTGAATTAGAGCTAAATTATAATGATTTGAAATCAAAAATATCTAATTTTAATAGCATTTTTGATCGGTTTCTGCAAGATGAGCGTAAGCAGCTTTTAAATAACAAGAATGAGCATCTTAAGAAACTCTCGAATGTTTATGGTAACTTTCCTTTTTTATAATAAAAACAATTAAAAAAGCTAATCGTTTCTTTAGAAAATCAAAAGAATATTGAAAAAACGTTGGACCATTTACAAGCTCGAGAACAAACTTATAATGAATTGCTTGAGAAAGAACGTGTTGAAAGAGAGGCTACTGAACAAGAAATACAAACAATTCAGGGAAAGGTAGAAGCTATGCAAAAGCGTAAACAGACTGTTCTTGATGAAATAGAGCGTTCTCGAGCTGTGCTTACAACGAAACAACAGACGAAAGAAGAACTGGAATCGTCGAAGAGAAAACAAGAGCAATTAAACATGCCAGAGCTTCAATTTTGGCAGGACTATTTAGGATTACGAATGGAAGGTGTTCATGAAGAAGTTATTCGCTTCGTATTCACTAATATAGACGAGAAAAATTGGGACAGGCCATTCTCTTTTCAAATCAATTTAAGCCATATAGATTATGAAGGTATGAATTTAATCAATTTCAGCAATTACTAACCGTTCTTTAGTGACCCACTGTCGCCCTTTGCTTCCTACCTTGGATAATTTGGTGCATAAACTAAATCAGTCAAGAGATTTCTACCAGTTTTTGAGAGATATACGGAAAGGATTTGTAAATTATCATAAAGGCCGTGAAAGCTAAATAATTGTGCATTTTATCTCTATCTTACCGGCTCTTTTTTTTTTTTTTTTTTCTTTTTACGTTACATTGACACAGGGCGAACACAAGACAAGCCTAGAAACTAACATGCTTTAATCACACAGTAAAAGACGTAATGTACAGGCTTTAGAATACTAAACTCTCATTTCATTCGTTTCTTCTCTAATTCATGTCCTTTTAATTTCAATGTTATGAGACAAATTCATTACTCATGTTAAGCGATAGACTCAATCACTAATCCTTTCCTTCAATGAAAACAAGTGATTGTAATATGTACAGATATTTACCAATATAGGTACTCAAATATAAGATTGGGACGCTAAATCAGTTCGTATTAACAAAGCGAATATTTATTATGCAAAAGTGAGAACGTAGATAGCAATAGAACCGTGAGTAGTTCGTCGTGTTCTTTTTGCACAATTTTTCGGTTGATTTATAAATAAGAATTAGACGAAAAATTGAAACAAAACAAAAAACGTTACAGTCGTAGATAGATACACATAACCTTACAGATTGCAGCAAACCGGTTCAAGCAGCCGATCGCCAGAAGCCAGTATCAATTCGTTCCCGGCGGTGAGGATCATAATGATTCGGATTCATAGTATTACGAAAAGAGCGTCTGAGTACTTGTACAGCTTTTTCCCCGGGTAAGCTTACAGTTACTCGAAAAGGTTGACTAGGATGTATACGAAGTGGTTGTTTTGAAGAAGACCGAAAGACTGGCACCTTTTCTTCCAATGGCTTCAATTCCTCTAATTTTAATGACCTAGTAGATAGTTTACGTGTGGGACCCGTAAAAGGAAAACGAATGTTCAATACTACATCTCCTCGAGGACGAGATATTTTGGCGGTACCATGAGGTCTGTTATGTGAAATGCTATTCGAATCGAAAGACGATTTCATCCTATCGGAATAAGGAGAAGTTACAGCTGACGAGTACCGGGAGCTACTCAACTGTTCTTGATGAGGACGAACAGGCAATTGAGAAGTACCAGTTTGATAAGAACGTTGTTTGTAAAGATTGTTATCAAAAATAACGTCCTTAATACTGAGAATAACTTCATCTATACTTCTGGACTTGCTATGACGAGTTGCGTTCTCATCGCTACCAATTGAAGAACGAAAATTTCCAGACTTCTCGGAATTTGAAATAGGTTGAACGGGAGGAATAGGAGGATCGCTGTCTCTCCAAGAAGAAACATCTGCATCTTCTTTTTTGTGTTGAACATTGGATAAAGTCGGTGATATTTGGTTATCCTTAACATCATTGATATTGGATGTATCCAAAGGACTACCAGGCTCTCTTAAATCGGTAGCTAATTTGATCTCTTCTGCCTTCTTCCGTGCTCGTTCTCTTGATTGCGTTAGCTGTTCTTCTTCTTGACGTCTACGCTCCACGGCTTTTTGACGGGCTTCTGACATTACACGCTGCTGTTCTTCTCGAAGACTATTCACTGCTACAGAAGGAGACGAATTGTTTTGTTCTAAAGCAGGTTGTTCTACATTCCTTGTAGTTTCTTCGTTCTCAGAAAAGGCAACCGTGTTTCGCGGAGCATCAGAACTTTTCTCTAACGTAGACTTGCTATAGTTCATCTTTTCAACAGTTCTTCCTCTAGAAACCAAACTATCTTTCTCAGTTGGATCAGAAGAAGTCATGGAATTTTCATTGGGAAGAAGTTCAGGGTCCATAGGTGCATTATCAACCAAATCTGGTTTAGATTTCGACACTTCCGAAGCATTAATATCAGAATTAGTGTACGTTGTAGAAAATGTATGAGACGCGGATTGGGAAAGTGAGGAGGAAGGTTCTTGTTCTTCGTGTTCAGGATGTTTTAAAGGCTCATATTTTCTAGTTTTTGCGTCAATAACAACTGTTGTTCCATCTTCAAATTCAATTGTACTTCCCCAATCATCATCATCTTCATCATCGATTTCATCCCATTTTCCCTCAGAAAAATGAGAAGCACGACGAACGCTGGTTGGAGAAGGAAGACGACTTGGTGATACTTCTTCACCACCTGAGGCAGAAGGATTTTTGTTGTTTGTAGTAGAGTTTTCCTTAGTTTGAACTTCTTGGTCCTTTTCGGCTTGATGAAGTCTACTAGAGGAAGAGGAAGCGGAAGCAGCGAGAGCTTGAATATTTTTAGGATCGACATTAGATAAACCATCTTGAGACTGATTAGAAGAAGCAGATATTGAGCTTGGATTCTCAAGTCCTTTGATAACGTTGCCGTTTGAATCGTATATTGTCCCAGCGTACGAGGCTAAAGCAGCTGAAGTTGAATGACGGGCAGCAGATGCAGCGGCAGACGCATATAAAGAAGCAGCTCCCTTTTTGTTTTCCACATGAGTATCTATACTGTCGGGGGATGTGGTTCTATTTGTAGTCGTACTTGACGATAAACGTTCGGCTGAACGAACTGCCCAAGGATTCGTACTGCTAGTACCAGCCTTTGGGGTACCCGCTCCGCTTACATTTCCACTAGTACTTAATTTGATAGAAAGACGGACCTTATTATGGGGAGCATGGCCGGTACCACTCGCAGCCTTGATACCTGCAGTTGGTGAAGCATGGTCTACACTATTCAATCGCACCGGATCGTCGATAGTCTCAGCAGCAGTTGGTGCCAAAGAAGCAGATGCGCTTTTGGGTGTCGAATTATTTGATCCTCCGTTCGTAGAAGGTGAGATGGATCCGTCTAAGCGACCGGATACTTGGACGTTCTTAGTAGGACCTCCAGAAACCCCGCTGACGGCATTAGAACAGCCTGGTGTGGATGTCTTCCCCAAGTATGCTTTATTTAAGGAAGAAGATTTAATTTTCGGTCGCTTAAATATCGAGCTTATATGGTCCGTAGAGGACGTTTTAGTTTCTTCTGCAAGGTTTTTTACTTCATTTTCATGTAATTTCTCCATGACCTAATTATAGAGACGTTTCTCTCCGTTCACCGTTAATGGTGTGTAAGTATTTGTAGTAGCAGAGATTGGCAAAAGAATACAACGCGAGGACTCTGTTCTTAAGAGTGCACGACGGTAACCAATTTTGGTGGTGTATATTACAGTAATATATTATTATAAGTTAATCTTAATAATAAAAATGAGTTTTTTTGTGCATGAATAAAGTAAACTGTAATAAACAATAACTAACAAAGAATAGAAAATGAGACTAATAAAAGACAAAAGAATAAATTTCAAGTTATCATTGCGATGACAAATGGTGACTGGACGGTAGTTGAATATACGAAGACTAGAGACTAGAATCCCAAATTTGTATAACGAATGTTCTAAGATTAGCAGGAGCGTTTGTAAGAAGCTTTACGATTTGGTACTATTTGGTCTGATTCAGAAAGAGAGAGTAAGATGGAGATGATGGATACTCTCTAATATCGTTAAAAAAGTGGCTTGTTTCAAATGGAAACGTAGTCGAACTTCATCTCAATGCTTTCCAAGTTATTTTACGTATTTTCTGATCTGAATTAACAAAATACTGATTTTTATCAAGTAAGCATCATATAAAAGCTGGCTAGTAGAAACATCTTTTGTTGGACCGTATCATGAGAATACTTCCATCTATAAGTCTACACAAGGCGAATTCGCAATGAATACTTGAATTTTACAAGTAAAATAAAAAAAAAAAAAAAAAAAAAAAATGTGGTGGACAGGAATGTATTCATTATCCGTTCATTGTAGCCTACCGCTACGAGAGACAAAAACAGATAAAAGAGGGAAAGCAACTTCCAATTTCAATCAAATAGAGCAGCTGGGCTTTTAATGTTCGTGATGACGAATATGGTAAAAGTACTCAGAAGCATAAGAAAAGATAAAAATGGCACCTACCAAATGAAGTAAGGGAGCACCACTGGCGTTTTTGCCAAGGTATTTGGCATAGTACCAATTAAAGAAGCCATTGCTAGACTTCTTGGGGGCACTACCCTTGGGTAAACGAGTGTAGAAGTCCACAATACGGCCCATTCGAGCAGAACTGGGGAATGCATTTAGAGCCTGCGAAGTTAGTAGAGTTTTTGAAGGAGAGTTATTCTCTTTTCTATCACTTACTGTAGGATTAGCAACTTGAGGGGGGATAAATGGTTTCAATGAGAAGGGAGCCATTCTTACTGAATTGTTGGTAAATGGTTAGTTGGATTCGTATCTGCTATGGATCCGCTCAGATGGTTTTAGGATCATATTTCTCCACGGTAAAACACATAACGATCTTCGTTAGAGTTTTCTAAATAATAAACATTACAATTTCAATTCTTACAAAAAAAGGGAAAATAAAGAAAAAATAATGCGACTCAAAATCTTCATTGTAATACCATATATATGTGTTTCGCTCAACGTGCTATATAAATAATTTTCTTTGGACTCCTGCAAAGAAACGTGTACCGACCCGTCTATGATTCTTCATGGTCGCAATGGAGACGAAAAACGAATAAATAAATAAATCGAGATTACCATTAAAGAAGTAAGCGTATGAAGAAGCGAACGAATTCATTTAGAGTGACTGAAATAATTCACAAGTTACTTGTCCAAAGGTTTCTATCCTTTCAGCTAAGGAAGCTTTTAGCCGTTCATTTTCAGCTTCACACTGTTCTCTTTCCTTCTTTTTCTTTTCAATTGACTGTTGATATGACTTTATCTTTTCCATTTGATGTTTGGGAGCTGTTGAAATACCAGGCAACTGTTGAATAAGAGTATCTATTTGTTGAAACTTTGTGATCAAGTCCTTGGCCATATCTTTTTGAACAACTGTACAACATGGTTAGTCTTACCAAGAATCAAACCATCATTGGATTGTGCTACAATCCTCGTCTCTTACATTTCAATTCTTCCTCAGAAATCGGATTCACTAGTACTGTCAGCAAGAATGCCAAATTAAACTCAATATCTAATTCAGAGGAACATACATTTTGTATCCGATGCTTTCTCTTGTCCAGGTAATGGAACGAAATCATGTTGTGAACTCAAATAATGAATCGATGAGTAAAACTGAGTTGTCACCTAATCCTGTAAGTAATATTCTTTTTTCATAATAATCCCTACCTCATCAATCGTATCCTGAAGTTGCGTACAACAAGACATCGTTTTTTATGCGCAATGTCTAAGGGAAGTAGCAAACCTTTCAATAAGAACTTCAAAAAGCCTATACATCTGTAAGAGTTACATTAATATGCGTTACTTCTAAACCTTGTTAGTACTATATATTATAAAATATAAAAAGCAAAAAAGATATTGAAAGGGGTGGGACTCGAACCCACGAGCTTTCGCACTAGTGCCTTAAACTAGCTCCATAACCACTCGGACACCCTTCCTTTGTTGGAAGGTATGTATTTTTATATCTACCTATTCTACAACTTGAAGTGACCTTCATATTTTCACCGAACTAGAAATGCAATAATTACTCTTTCGTTTGCTTCTTCTATGAGCTATCTAAATTTTCAGTCCCTTCGATCGCATATCTCGAATCCTAGGACCTCTCTTCCTTGGACTTATTCAACCCAATGTATATACCATAATCGAACGCAGCGGGGTATCGAAAACACCGACATGTTGAATATCGGTAAACCAGTGTTCAGGAACGAGTTCGATACCTGGAGAAAGACTTTTTGTCAAACAATACTAATATGTCTTCCAATTGGGAAAAATTAAAAAAAGTAAGTAAGAAAGACGTTTTTATGGATTGTTCTTCAATAGAAAGGTGTAACAATCTTAAAAGACTCTGGTTGTGCTTCAGTACTAACAAAGGGTCGACTTTAGAAATTAGATAGCACTAAAAGTGGTCGAATTGAAAAGAAAACCGGGAAAAAAGAGACGAAACATAAAAAAGTTGTGCCGAATGGAAAAGAAAGTGCTTCTCAAAATGGACTGCAGATCAACGATACCCGTACTCAAGAGCTGAAGCAGTTTGCTCGAGAGCACGATCTCCCTGAATCTCAAGTCTTTGATGCATATGGCGTAGATGCTGGAAATCTAACTCGAAAAACGAACCTCGAAACTCTTGGAAAGTATATTGCAATGGACTGTGAGATGGTTGGGGTAGCCGATGACATGTCTGTCCTTGCTCGCGTTAGTATCGTTAACTATCATGGAAGGGTTGTTTATGATACCTATGTCCGACCAAAAGAACGTGTGACGGATTGGCGAACTTGGGTAAGTGGTGTCAAATCATTTCACATGAGAGACGCCCCTCCCTTTGAAAAAGTTCAAAAAGAGGTAGCTGACGTTTTGGAAAATCGTGTCCTTGTAGGACACGCTATACAAAATGACTTGAAAGTCTTACTTTTGTCACATCCACGCAGACTTATTCGAGATACTAGTCGATTTTCCGGATTTCGAAAATTAGCAAAGGGAAAAACGCCTTCGTTAAAAAAGCTGGCTGAACAGGTACTCGGCAGAGATATCCAATCTGGTCAGCACTCTTCTGTACAAGATGCTCAGGCGACTATGGATCTTTACAAACATGTGAAAAAGGAAATGGATGAAGGTTATTTTAAACGTGGTTTTAAGGGATAACATTTGAAGATCTATTTTCTTTTCTCTTTCGTTTGAGTTATTCCCCTCAACCTTCCACTCTTTCTTGAATATTGGTTTTCGTGAGTAGTAGTACAAGGCGCTTGTAAAGGCAGCCCCTGCTACTACTTTTTGTAACGCTACTTTTAATAATGGGTCATTGGGTATTTGCTTGTCAATAAATGGTATTTATTCATCATTGAATTTTCATTATTTGAGCTTGATATCAAAATAAAGACAGTAGTTGCGTGTGCTACGGTTTTACACTCGTTATGTTCCGACTTTTTTTATTATCCTAGATTAATGAAAAAATAAACCTGTAAAATAGACTGTCAATACCGAAAGTAGAGAAAAACTAACTATAAAACAATATGTGCATTCTCAATAAATTTGCTTAAAGTTGAACTATTATCAACAAGACAACGTGGCCGAGTGGTTTTAAGGCGTTCGCCTGCTATCAAGTAGCCCAGCGGATTCCCTTTGGGAGCGCAGGTTCGAATCCTGCCGTTGTCGACAACATTTTTCTCTTTTTTGTCCCTACAATAGGGAACTTACAATTTAAAAATTGTTTCCTCTAGAAGTATTAAAACAATAAATAATAGAGCAATGTCATATACGGTAATATGATTACTTTCATTAAACATTTTGTATACAAGCATATTTTTATAGCATATGCGTAAATGGATGTTATACGAACTATATGTTGGTATGAAAAAATTTCAAGTCAGAATAAAAAATATAAATACGGATTATGAAAACATAATATTTATTTAATTGTTTTTTTTCTTCGTTTCTGTTCATAAAAATGAGGCTTGGGATACTTTTAAATTGTGTCTACTGTAGCGTAGTTCAGTCATGGTAATCTTTCTTTTTGGCAACTACAACTTATAAACAACTTGAAAAGAGGTGTTTTGACGAAAGGGAAAAATGGAGTCAAGATTTATGCCAGATAGAAGAAGTCGATTCAAAGGAAAGGCCGTCTTTAAGGCCGATGAACTTCGTCGTCAAAGAGAAGAACAACAAGTCGAAATCCGTAAACAAAAGCGTGAAGAGAGTTTAAACAAGCGCAGAAACTTAAATTCCGTACTTCAAAATGAAACATCTGAAAACATGGAAAATGAGCCTGTGCGAGGCTTTATGGATGGACAGATGGATGATGAATTCCCCAAGCTTACTGCAGACGTTATGTCTAATAATATAGAGCTACAACTAAATGCTGTCACAAAATTCCGTAAATTTTTGTCTAAAGAGACCAATCCCCCGATCGATCGTGTTATTGCATGTGGTGTGGTAGATCGCTTTGTTCAGTTCTTGGAAAGTGAGCATAATTTACTTCAATTTGAGGCCGCTTGGGCCTTGACTAATATTGCAAGTGGTACCACTGATCAGACACGAGTTGTTGTCAATTCTGGAGCCGTTCCTCGGTTCATTCACTTACTTTCCTCTCCAGAGAAGGACGTCCGTGAACAAGTTGTGTGGGCCCTTGGTAATATTGCTGGTGATTCTTCAGCCTGTCGTGACTATGTTCTTAGTTGTGGATGTTTAGAACCTTTGCTTTATATTATTGAAACGAGCACTGCAGATTTGTCTATGCTTCGTAACGCTACATGGACGCTCTCCAACTTGTGCCGTGGTAAAAACCCTCCCCCCAACTGGTCAACCATTTCAGTTGCATTACCTACTCTTGCGAAACTTTTGTATTCCGATGATGTTGAAGTTGTTGTGGATGCCTGTTGGGCTATCTCATATCTCTCTGATGGACCTAATGAAAAAATTGGTGCTATCATTGACGTTGGATGTGCTCCTCGTCTTGTAGACTTATTGAATTCATCTAGTCCTAATATTCAAACACCTGCACTCCGCTCTGTTGGTAACATCGTCACCGGTACTGATGCTCAAACTCAAATTATTATTGAGTGTGGTGCTTTGAATGCTTTCCCAAATCTTTTGTGCCATCACAAAGAGAATATTCGTAAAGAAACATGCTGGACTATAAGTAACATTACTGCTGGTAACATCCAACAAATTCAAGCAGTGATTGAATCAAACCTGATTCAACCATTGGTACACCTGCTAAAGAATGCAGATTACAAAACTAAAAAAGAAGCTTGTTGGGCTATTTCCAACGCTACGTCAGGTGGTTTGGGTCAGCCTGAGCAAATCCGCTACCTTGTGAAGCAAGGCGTCATTAAACCATTGTGTGATATGCTAGAGGGATCGGATAATAAAATTGTTCAGGTTGCTTTGGATGCCATTGAAAATATTCTGAAAGTTGGTGAAATGGATCGCACAATGGACGTTCAGAACATTAATCTCTGTGCAGTCTATATTGAAGAGGCTGGTGGTATGGATAAAATTTACGAGTTGCAAACATCTGGAAACAACGACATTTATCTTAAGGCATACAACATCATCGAAAAGTATTTTAGTGATGAAGACGGCGTAGAAGACTTAGCACCTGAGACAAATGGTAGTACGTTTAGTTTCAGTGGTGGACCGGCCGCAAATGAAGAATTCCATTTTGATTCCCAGGATATGGCCATGTAAAAACTAAATGGTCGTCTCATGTCTATGCTTTAGTTCAGAGAAGGTGGTCAGGCGTGTGTAATGTTAATACTCGAGAAAATACGAAGAAAAGGATGATTTCTCAGAAAGTAAAAAACAATAAAAAAATAAAAGGATTGGTATGTCCTTTGTCGTTGTTTGCTGTTTGCAGCTTTATGGATACAATAGTTTAAATAGATTCAGGTTATAACGTGAGGTTGATTAATTAATATTTCGTTTCTTTTCCCTTTCAATTATGTTTTTGTAGTAATGGTAAGAGCTACATACACATACTATCCGCATCTAAACAGGCAAATCGTAAAGAATATTGAAAAAAAGGTAAAAAAGGATTTACAAGCTATATTTATGATATGTAAGAATCATTTCATAAAAGTAATTATTATTTGCGACTGGCCAAAGACGAAAAGAGAAGGGGGTTAAGTAAAAGTTATTATTCGAAATCCTTTGCAAAAGCAAAGTGGATCTTTCGACTACTATAAGGAAAGCCTATTAACTCGAGTTAAGGAACGAAGAATTTGATCGAATTAAGAACGGCTTAATTGGTTTACAAGATTGTAAACTTTAAGCGGTAGCCAAAACCTTCTCAACCTCAGCAACACTTTCGTTCAAAGCTTCTTGCTGGAACTTCTGTGTAGAGACCTTGCTGTCGACGCGGCTCAAGACTTCAGAGACCAAACGCTTTTGTTGATCAGCACGAATGGAAGCTTCATGGTTAACCCAGCTATCCAAAACTGATTTGGCTTGATGGGTCAAAGCAACTTGTTGCTCGAGTTCAAAAATTTCGGCTTCCATACGAGCAGTATCCTTTGAGGTGTTGAACAAGACCTTGGTGATCTCTTCCACATCTTGCAGGCCAGAAACTTGTTGAATGCGCTCTTGAATAGCATCTTTATGGCCTTCACGAGAAGTTTCCAAGATATTGGCAATGTTGTTGATTGTCTTCTCAGACCACTCGTTGTAAGCCTTACGGCCAAGGGTACCGAAGACACCCAAAAGACCAAGGAAAGAAGCAACAACAATGGTTTCTTCGTTAACAACGTAAATGCCCTTGGAAATAGCAGTAGCGAGAGCAGCAGCAGTAACAGTAAGGACACCAGACTTGGTCAATAAAGAGGTAGAAGGAGCAGCATTGATAAGTTGAGCAGCCTTTTGATCGGCGGGGGTTCTCTTTGGTGGTTCAGAATTATTCAAGTTTCTCGGGGTGTATGAGAAACTGCGGCTAAATGGGGCGGCCGTACGCATAAAGGCAGCCTTTTGAAAGGCGGGTAATGTTCTTTGCACTATAATATTCGTTAGTTTGATTTGGAACACGATGAACATAGACACCACATACGAAACAATCTTGAAGCCATTCCGAAGTTGTTTGCTAAAATCAGCTTCTTGAGACGTGGAAAGTTGACGATCCCTGTAATTACCGATGCACGCTATATTGTTGGTAAATCGATAGGGCTCTACAACGAAGTTCCGAAACCAAATATAGAGATGTGTTAACAGTTACCTTATCCAAAAAGAATTGCATTGAGCTATGCATAATGGTTGAACTTTCCAGGAGCCAAAATGATAAAAACTTTGGAAAATGACATTTATAAGTCGAAAAAGAATTTAAACAATGTTATTGAATTAATGAATTATATGGATTATCAAACCCATTCATTAGAAGAAGTGAATGAGGCAGCAGCTGCGCTTTGTCGTGTTTTCAGTCATTTCTTTAAAACGAAGGAGCTCAAACGCCCCGATGCTGATGATGAATCTGCGGGTGCCATGGTCCAAAATTGGATTTCCGATAATTTCATTTCATTCACAGAAAAATTGATGCAGGTATATTCAGAACCCGATGTGGATGCCTTGCAGGTATCGTTTTTGACAATAGCCTTACGTCTTTGCAAGGCTGAATCATACTTGGACCCAAATGGACTTTTAAGAAATCAATTGTATTTTCGAATTTGTACCGCTTTAGCTGCAGCATCGAATTTATCGGACCTTTGTGTTCAAGATTTCGTGCAATCGTATCTCACTAAATACACGGATTTGTTATATTATTTCTATAAGAACGTCTCGAAAATAGCTAGCGCATACACAGAAGATGATTTATCGGGCTTTTCGTCAGATGAAATTCATACACTTGCTTCAAATATTATTCGCATAGTCTCACTCATACCTTCTCCGCTCTCATCATCTTTGTCCTGGGCATCTACGCTTTCATCAAATGTCGAGCAATCATCATCCTTAAAGCGCGCCTTCCAAGATGCTTGGTTGTCCGCATTGTCTCTTCCTCTTTCAATCGATCTCTATAAACGGATTTTGAGTGTTATCCACAAGCGCGTGATTCCCTTCCTTCCCAAGCCAACAATGCTTATGGATTTTTTGACTGATGCATACAATTCTCATCATACCGTTGCGTTGCTAGCCTTGAATGGTCTTTTCACTCTAATCATGGAGCACAATCTTGATTATCCTTTGTTTTATCCTAAACTTTATGCTCTTCTGGATAGAAATTTATTGTACTTGCGTACAAGGTCTCGCTTCTTCCGTTTACTCGATTTATTTTTGTCCTCTACTCATTTGCCTGCTACGGTCATTGCTTCTTTTATTAAAAAATTGGCCCGTCTAGCTTTAACTGGATCACCTGGTGCGATTGCTATCGTTATTCCTTTTATTTACAATTCTTTACAGCGTCACCCAAGTTGTATGCGAATGCTCCATCGGGATGTCAGCGAAGAAGATGATCCTTTTGATATTCAGCAACCTGATCCTTTGCTGACATCTGCAATTGATTCTTCACTTTGGGAATTGCATACGTTGCAGAATCATTACTATCCCAACATTGCTAGTTTGGCTGGTATCATGAGTCAACAATTCACCAAACCTCGTTACGAGTTAGAGGACTTTCTAGATCACAACTACGCTACTATGTGCGATGCAGAACTGCGAAGACCGATAAGAATTGAACCACCTATTGAATATGAGAAGTGTACTCTTTCTTCCTATCTTGACGATTCTTGGGCATAAATTTGGATTGGGTTTAAAATTTTAAGTTGTTTAATAAAATTGGGTTATCATGGTTATATTTTCTACTAGAATACTTCAAAAATAAAATTCTAAAACGATATGTCCTAGTTGATATGTACATCAGTCAGGAGTAATTGCATATATTCTCGCACATATATATCATTCACTTTTCATTCATATCATCAAGATACGTTAAAAAAATTCACAAAGTACTTTTGTTACACATATACTTTAGTTCATTTAAAATCCAGACTTGAAGAGATTGATCAAGCCGTTAGTACTAGCATCGTGGTTGTCAACCTTTCCTTCAGCTTCAAGTTGGGACAAGACGTTCTGGGCGAGCTTCTTTCCAAGTTCGACACCAAATTGGTCAAAGGAGTTAATGTTCCAAACAGCACCTTCGGTGAAGGTGACCCATTCATAGAAAGAAATAAGGGCACCCAAAGAAGCAGGAGTGATCTTCTTGGCGATGATAGAGTTGCTAGGGCGGTTACCGACAAAAGTCTTGTGAGGGACAATTTCATCAGAAGCACCTTCAGCCTTAACCTCAGAAGGAGTCTTACCGAGCATCAAAGCTTCAGTTTGAGCGGTAAAGTTAGAGAACAACATGCGGTGGTGCTTGTTGTTATCAATAGGGTTGTGAGATTCGATGGGAATCAAGAAATCAGCAGGAATTAGCTTAGTACCTTGATGAATCAATTGGAAGAAAGAGTGTTGAGAGTTGGTACCAGGTTCACCCCAGAGAATCTTGCCGGTAGTGTAGTTGACCATGTCACCGGAACGGGTAATGGCCTTACCATTAGACTCCATACTCAATTGTTGCAAATAGGCAGGGAAACGGTGTAAGTATTGGTCGTAAGGAGCAACCAAATGAGTTTGGGCACCAAAGAAATCAGAGTACCAGATAGAAATTAAAGCAGCCAAGGCAGGGATATTCTCTTCCAAAGGAGTGCTACGGAAGTAGTTGTCCATGGCATGAGCACCACCCAAGAAAGCCTCAAAGTTTTCATAACCGATGTAAAGAGCAACACTCAAACCAATGGCACTCCAGACGGAGTAACGACCACCTACCCAGTCGCTGAATTCGAACATGTTGGCAGAGTCGATGCCGAAAGCAGTCACCTCCTTTTCGTTGGTGGAAAGGGCGGCGAAGTGCTTGGCAACATGGGCAGTATCCTTAGCTTTAGAAAGGAACCACTCCTTGGCAGACTTAGCATTGGTGCAGGTTTCAGCAGTGGTGAAAGTCTTAGAAGCGACCAAAATGAGAGTAGTTTCGGGGTCGCATTTGCTCAAGGCCTCAGCCAAGTGAGTGCCGTCAATGTTGGAAACGAAGTGAAGATCTAAATCCTTCTTACCATAAGGCTTCAAAGCTTCAGTAACCATGACAGGGCCCAAGTCACTACCACCGATACCGATGTTGACAATAGATCTAATGGGCTTGCCAGTGTAACCCTTCCAGGCACCACTACGGACAGCGTCGGAGAATTCTTTCATATGGTTTAAAACACTGCGAACACCAGGCATAACATCATTGCCGTTAACCTTCATGGGCTTGTCGGACAAGTTACGAAGGGCGGGATGGTAGACGGCACGGTTTTCGGTGAAGTTGATGTGTTCACCTGCAAAGAGGGCATCACGAAGACCTTCGACATTGGCTTCTTTAGCGAGTTGAACTAACAACTTGATAGTCTCCTCGGTCACGAGGTTCTTGGAGAAGTCAAAGAAGATAGGTCCGTCTTGCTCCTTCAATCCCTTGAAAGTGTGGGAGAACTTCTCGAAACGAGAAGAGTCCTTGCTGAACAAATCGCGGAGGACTAAATGTTTACCAACATTTTCATAATGGTTTTGAAGAGCTTGCCAAGCAGGGAGAGTAGATGCCAAACTGAAGGACATTCTGAATGCTTATCTACAATTCTTTTGTTAGTACTAAATCTCTTGTACACACAATCACCAACACTAAATAATGCTGTAACCTCTATTGCTTACCTTATGCTTCAATATTTGTTATATGCAGAAGATAAGTTTATATAGTTCGATCCTTCGCTCCTTTCACACGTACACGTGACTGTTACGTATACCCAGACGATTCTTTGAAGTAGGTAACAATAGACTCATGACTAAGGAAAATCCCGGTATTGTTACCCGTTAAAGGATCTAGGTAGCTGTTACCGGTTAGAAGAAAATATTTGAGTGAAGTTAGCTGTAGCGGAAAGGCCGTTTTCCTTGGTTCATAGAGTACTCTCGAATTATTGACATGGATATTTGATTTGTTAAATTATTAACTTTTTACCTAGGTCGTCTGCTTTTAGATGGTGGATTCTCGGTTTGTTTAGATTTTACTAATAGTCATTAACAGAGTAAGTTGGGCGAGATGGAAGACGAGATTCGTCACTCGACAATTTAGTTTACGATTGTCTAATGAAAAAAAAAAGTATTACAAATAAATGAATCCTTTATAATACTGGTTCGATCTGGAATAGCTTTTGTTTTGTAGAGTTAGACATTAATTTATCCTGGTTATGAGGGATACCTGAATGTTCACTAGAAAATAAATATACGTAGATCAAAGAATTTCCAAAAAAAATAAATATATGGGGACGATTATGTACGAGCTTAGTCTAACTCGTGGATTTATCCGACTGTTTCTTCATGACCAGCTCTGTTCGCTGCAATGCACCGATGCGAGGCTTATAAAAAAAAGAACGCAAAAGGAAAAAAATGGTATCTATCTATCATCAATTTCAGTTTCGATCGAAATCTTGTTGAGGGTACGTAAAGTTTCTTCGTAAATCAGCATGGTAATTGCCCTATAGAAAAGTTAGTAAGAAAATGAAAGAGAACATACCTTCCGGGAGCCACTTTGGCTATGCTGATTGGCAAACCCCGATACAAACCACGAGCTCCAGAGGTGTGCAGTACGGTTTTGAAGCATTGCAGAAATGAAGGATTTTGCAACTTAGATACTTGCATGTTCTTTACGATAGTATCGGCAGGGAATAGCAAAGCTTTCGCCGTAACACCAGCCAATACTCCGCTTATTGAAGAGCTAGCTGCTATCCCCATCGGCGACAAGGATGAATAGATGGCCCGGTAAGCCATGAAGAAAAGACCGACATGAGGTCCAATTTGATATAGAGTAGCCGTCAGACCAGGAAAAAAGCCTCGAATTCCACGGGTTTGAAGGATGTTTTTAACAGTTGACATGAAGCGAGGAGTCTCTTTTGAAGCTGCAAACTGGCTTCGTAATGTATCAAATGGGTACGAGGCTATGGTTGCACAGGAACCAGCAAAAGCTCCACATAGAAAATTCAAAACATGTTTATTCATCTGCATGTTTTCTGTCAAAACCCGACTTTTAGAAAATACCACAAACTCTGTACTACCATAAATTAAGTATAAAAATTCAGCTGAAATATTACCCCTCCAAAGAGCTCGATAACCTTCATGTTGAAGAGTCGTATTCAGTACCTGAAGAAACGATGATTGGGAAACTTGCATTCTTATTTTTAAAACATCAAACGGTGCAATCGCAAATCTACACAAGATTAATAAGTTAAACTCATTTATTATTCCTGACTTCAGAAACGAAGATACCACAGATGTTCGTTTCGTCTTTTCTTTTTCTTTACCTGCATATGACGGACGCGAGTCCACCGGCAAAGGTGTAATGCCAAGCTGGTTGATGGAACTCGGTTGCACCAGACACTGCCATTTATGAATTAAAAAAGGTGTGTTCAAATCAAAATCCTCCTCGACGTCTCTATTGTTTAGAAAAAGCTTTTATGTTTTCTCTTCTTTTTATTTGATGATATGACCGATATATACTTAAACTAGTTGTTTCTTATGTTAAAAGCCGTTAGTTCAAACTGGTTATTTTTTGGTGTTTACGAATTCCATTTAGATCATTCCTGCTGCTTGATTGGAAAGAAGCCTGTTACAAAATCAGAATCTTCTCATCTTTTTTTTTTGCATTAAGCTAAATTATTATTATTAAATAAGAAAAAAAAATTTAAAAAAGTTCTATCTAACTTTTTTGTTAATATGTACAACAATAATATGCTTTTATATAATTTAGTAAGCATATGCTCTTAGATATTTTCGTTGCAATGTGGGTTTCCTGTAATACAAAAACAAATTCACGAAAGTCTAACAATCACCTAAACCGATACAGTTACAATGAATTTTTAGATTGTGGAAATGTCGTGGAAAGTTCCATTATTGACTTCAGTGAGGGTTTTCTCACGCTTCTACTCCTGCCTCTTAGTACATTAGACATTTCGCTTTTTATTTACCGTTTAGCGAAGTTCATTATTATCTATTATTCACATCAATAGCTAACAATAGACAACTTGGAATGATATTTATTTAGCGTCTTCAAAGTTGCAGGAATCGCTTTGCAATAGATCTATTCATTCTCTTCCCGTGAAATATGGGTTTATTTCAGTCCAAGTTCGAACCTATAGTTGATAAAAGGCGGAAACGAATTCTTCCTTTATTTCGTGCAAATCACAGCCAACATCGTCCATTGGACGAAGAAGGATATATGAATTGTCTTCCATTATTGCTGTACGGATGCATTTTTTCTGATTGCGACCAAAAAGATATCATAACTCTCTTTGAGAACACTTCCGTGTATCTCGAAAAGCAAACACACAAGAATTTGGACACATATGAATTGGATACCTTAGTTTACAAATCACATATTGGTTTTCCGCAATTTGTAGAGGGATTTGTTTTGTTTTACGAAGATCGGCTCGTGTACGATGGTGGTTACAGTATATACGACTTAACGCGTAAAACCTTTGAAGCTGATCCAGAATATGTTTTTGGTCTTTGTTATGAAGGTTGTGTTCCACTTGCATACCTAGGCATTGGTTTAGAATTGGATATGCAGGAAACGATCATCGATGCGTTTGCAGCAGCTGCATGCTTTTCCCCTCCTATATCCGAATCTGCTCCTCCAAAAGAACCTGCCTCATTTTGTGAAATAGTACAAGATGGTGGTCTATCAGTAGAGGAGTTTCTGCAGTACTTGGAAAAGACTGACTTTCAATCTGGTCAACCTCCTAAGCCCCTCGCTCTTACATCGATAAATTTACAAAAAGCTTTTAGAGAGTTGGTGGAAAGAGATTTTTTACGATTCTACACTGCTTACCTTGCTGCGACTGCTATTCGCCTTTTGGATGAAAGACCTGAAGGATCTTTCCAAAATATTCTCTCTCCCCTTTCTTCTCAGTTTTTACTTTCTTTTCATCAGACCCCTTCCTTTTTCCAGACTCCAATAGTCTTGTCTTGGAGGTCCATGGCTGCTCTGCCATCCGCCTCTAAAACTACATAATTAACAATGCCAAGGACTATGATCTTTTGGTAAATTCATTCACATCATCAGTTCCAAATTTAGATATATATTTGCAATCCTAATTATATTTTGTTTCATTTCTTTATACCATATGCTTCCTTAACATCTTTAATATCTTAATATTCATCCCAAAGAGTTTAGTTTATTATGCAGTGTCGTTCTGCTTCGGTATTAATACAAAAGTGTAGAACGTTACATTGTCGTAAATAAATTAGTATATTCTACCGTGTTCTCATTAAGCAAACTTTCCGGTTTAGACTTCGCGTTGAAAATTCGTCTCAAGAACCATAACCTTTTAAAGCAGTTTTTTACGCTCTAATTATTTATATTGGTTTACTTTTTGATCCAATTTTCTCCCTTCTCTCGTTTTCAGAAAATTGCTTCCGTCTTTTTTCGTGTAGTTGATCGAAAAGTCGTTTCCACTGAATTGTAGAAAAGGCTTTATGTTAATATCCCGTCGTTACTTCTGAAGTATATTGTTTAAATTTTATGCAGTCGGTGTTTTTCTAAGTTTCTTTCGTGCATATGCTGAAAAGGGCTCGTTATGTAGCTCTCCATACTCCCTTTCCATTTCATGGATTTCCATGCCAAGTCTTCAGAAAGTGCACAGTGTCTCCAAAACAACAAAGGTGGTTGACAAGTTCTCATAATGAAATTTCGTATACACGCTCTCCTTTAGAGCTAAAAATTTCACCGTCAGCCATTAAGTTAGAGGCAACTCGAAATGTGGGATCTCAGCCCCTCGGACCCACTTTACGTACTTTTACGGATGACTTAAACAAAAGGATGCAGGAATTTTATGACAACGGAGACTACAAAGCTTGCGTCTCTGATTTTCGTAAAGCTCTCCCAAAGTTCAGAAATGACTGGCTCAAAAGCGAAAGATTTATTCATTGTTGTATCCTGGCATGCTCTTGTTATGATAAACTATCACAGCCCTTGAAAATTAAAAGGGTGTATGGAATTTTAACAAGTAAGAAATCAAAACTCACTCCCCAACTTAATCGACTGTTCCTATCATATGCTACTGGATGTATTAACTATGGTCACAAAGCAGCCCTAGAATGCTTCGATAATTCTCCAAAAGAGCTTATTGATTATAATTTATGGCTCTCTTGGCTTTGCTTTTCCAGAGCACCTGCAATTGTAGTCTGGATGACTTTTACTCGTCTTTGCTCTGCCGGTCATACCCCCGATGTAGAAACATATGAACATCTGTTTCAATCTTTATCCTCTCAAAAACACGAATTTCTTTTTGATAAATCACACGACTTATTTCAGAAAGATAACTGTTGTTGGCGTCCGTCCACCTTTAGAATTTTAGTAGAATCGTTCGTTCGCCTAAAGCGCATGTCCGATGCTGAAAGCATAATTCACCGTTACATTCAGCAGAATCCCCAACAAGCCCCTAATGAAGCGCTATTCGTACCCCTTCTTCGGCATTATGCAGCTACTTTCGACCTTTCCAACATGGAAAGGATTCTCTCGTTAATGAAGAACTGTAATACCGATATGTCTACTATGACTCTTAATGTTTTCTTATGTATGGCGTTCCAAAGGCCAGATCACAAAAACTATTTTCAATTTTGTTTTACTAAAATTTCCCAGCTTCTCAAAAAAGATGTTCAGCTTGATTTCGATTCAATTCTGTTAATATCCCAGTTTATGAATCAGATTCGCGTGCCTGAGAATTTAAAGCCTTGGATTGATTCCCTCATCTCTCGTTTTAGTTTACCCGAGCGCTGCTCCCTGCCAGTTCTTCGAAAAATTCAAGAACATGCTTTTTGTTATCCGCTTTTGCAATCCAAATTACCCCTTGCTATTGAAACTCTAAGGCTAACCGGATTTGACTGGAATGTAGCCACTTTGTACATAGGTTGGTTATTTTCCTGCAAGCGTGTAACTGATGCGATAAACTTCTTCTATTCAGTTACGATTGAAATTGGAAACCGACCATCTCCAGAAATGTTCCATACATTCATGTCAGGGTTATTAGGTGCTGCTCCTTCCGAAAAGGTATTGAAGACAGTACATGAAATTCAGTCAAAGTATCCATTGATTTGTGATTCTTCAAGCACAAATCACATCATCCTATTTCTGAAATCTATTTCATTTAGTTCAACGCCTTCGACAGTAAAACGTTTGATGCAAATATTCGAAGCTGATGCATCTGTTTCGTCAAGTTCCTTAATGTTGGCTGTCGCCGAATGGTTGTTTACTAGAGATTTATTTCAAAGCTCGCTTTTATATGCGACGAAGGTGATTGAAATGGGCACTTCCTATAACTTCTTCCGCCCTCAAATTCTAGTTTGCTGGTGTTACTATCGACTAAGGGATTTTCGATCATTATCCCAGCATGTTACGTATCTGCTACAAACAGATAATGCTGCTTTGCTAAGAGCTCTGGCTACAAGTTTGAAGCGTATATCTCAAAATGAAAGCAATCTAATTAACAAACAACTATTAATGAACTTGAAGTACAGGGTATTACTTAGAGCTCAACCGTCTAGAGATCACAGTCCCGCAGCCAGAAGAAAGGCACTTTATAGAGGAAGGAAGTTAAAGAAGATCCTGTTATCGGCTTTGCAAAATCAGGCTTCTCTCGGTAATTTACTAAGTTAATAACTTACAACATACACCAATTTTGTTATCAACAAAATTAAAGAAGGAAATTTTATACTTGCATAAATGCTATAACAAGCGAATTCATTTCTGTACATGAAAGAATGTGACGTTTTTTATTTTTGGAATGAAAAGTCATAAGGTTAAAAATATTATTAAAATAAAAACATTTGCATGCGTTAGAGGTAATGTAAGTGACCTTTTCCGTTAAGACATTTTTAAATGCTTTTTGCAAGGCGTGCTGTAATCCAAGCGTATTGATATTGTCTTTGGTAAAAGTTACGGAAGCTTCTTCTATTGGCAATCCTGGGGACTGTAGCAAAACTTCCTCCAAGGACAACATTATGCTTTCCATCAAAGAAGTCTTTGGTATAATCCGGATAAAGCGCTTCTGGTTCAAAGCCTTCGTGTTTATCAAGCACTGTACTGGACCATTCCCAGGCACCTGTAAAAATCTGGTGTGTCCCATCATCCTTCAAGTTCGCTGGATGTAATTGTTGGAATCCAGTAGCCATTCCTTTGGTGCTGACGTATGTTTCAGACTTCCTATGAAGAACATGATCGTAGAAGTGATTTAGTTCTTCTTCGGTAGGCAGACGACATCCTTTGGAGGCAGCATAGTCATTGAGTTCTTCGAAAGATGCCATAACTGGCCAACTGTGATAACTTTCGAGAGGGAGCAATCCATACATTGTTGTCACGTATAACTTACCATCAATAACTTTCCACGATTTTGGATAATGTTTGTCATCAGCAGGTTTACTTTCTAAGTAGTCTAGGTATTCACCGTTTGAAATTGGTCGGTTAGCAATTTGAAAAGAGGGAATTTGTTTCATTCTCAAAGGTTTCTCATTATCCCATCCAAAAAATTCTTGCTCGTCTGGTTCTTCAGAATTCAATTTTGTTTTTTGATCACTACGAATTGGTAAGCCTTGTAGGACTTGTGCGTTAGGGAATTTTATCCAACTAGGGTCTTTTTTTAGCTTTAGATTTTTACTTGGAGGTAAACCACATAAAGTATTGTTTTGTTTGGGATGTTGGAAAGACTGTACATATATGTACAACGTAGTTTCGATATGCATAGCGACGTGTTCATAGCATAACCAAAGAATACGCTTTTGGGATGGTGACAGAGCATGGCTTCCATCCAACAATTTCAAGATATGGTTTTGCCATGAAGCAACTTCGTAAGAGCGTAATTCATTTGGAGACGGCCATTTGGGAGGAGTTTGAGAATGCCAATGGCATTGTTCCGGATTCTCAACATCGGGATCAATACCTCTTTGGAACCAATCCCAATATTCCCTTTTCGATGCGGTAGCTGGGTTTTCAAAAATGCGAGATAAATAGATGTCATTGAAGACCGGAATATGACCCATATAGAAAATAAAAGGGTGTCTCAAAGGAATCCATACATTAAAGATATTTGAGTCATTGAGAAGTTTGTTGGTAACGAAAAGCCAAATGTCTCTTGTTTGTGACCACTCCTCCAAAGAAATTGAAGCTTCTTTGGGAATTTGAGGAAGAATTGGAAAAGACTTGGATCCAACATAGACAGAGTAACTTGGGGTAGTATTCGTATGGACATTATCGACTACAAAGTTGCCGTTGTGAATAATTTCACGACATTCATTATCATTGCTCTTCCAACTTTCCTCACAGAGAAGGAGATGGCCAGCTTTGAAATTAAAAACCATAGGGCCTTTCGCAATTGTTAAGTCTTTTTTTGCTCTCAAATAGGCACGATGAACACCCAAATCTTCTTCGTACTTGCTAACATAATCCCAATCGTTTTCGTTAAACAGGTCCTCACCGAAAACACGGTTTGCACTGGTCAAGATATTTTTCTCAAAAGTCTCGGTGACGCGAGTGGAATCGTCGTAGGCACGTTCGACCAGCTCTGCTGAGTTGCGGTGATCAAAGCTAAGAAGGAATTTGTCACCAATGGCAAGGCGATCAGAGAAAGATTTGATGAATTTGGTGGCCGAGTCACGATTGAAGTTACCAATGGAAGAACCTAGATATAGAATACTGATTTGTCCATTGGATGAGCCACGGAATTTGTCAATGTTTTTTAAAAACATGTCAAAGCATCCACAGATACCAGCTACTTTTACATGTTTGTAAGAGGCATGTTGTTCTAGCTGGGAGAGGCCTCTGCGTAGTTCGTCCTCATTCAAGTCCAACGCATAGAAATTAACATCCTTGCCGGTTCGTTCAAAGGCGTCGAGCAAATGTTTGGTTTTATGCATAGCACCACAGCCGAGCTCGACCACTGTGTTTGGCAGGTCAGGCGACAAGAGTTCTTGAGCAATTGCATCACTATCTCTTTGCAGAATAGATAGTTCACAGTCAAACAAATAGTATTCTTCGGTTCCTGTGATTTTGTCAAACAATTGTAATCCCTTTTCATCGTACAACAAAGATGTGGGTAGCTGACAGACTTTTAAACACTGTTCAATGATCTCGGGAGAAAAGAGAACCTCCAAGGATCCAATGTTGATAATATTGTTACTAATCATGATCGTAAAGAAGGCTACTGAAATGAATAATCGTAAACAACGTTGACAAGAGAAGAAGATATGAAGACAGAGACTAAGACAAAAACGAGAGCTGAAACTTTTTAAAAAGCTGAATGAACAGTATGAAATGCAACAAGACAGGTGTAGCTTATTGCTTTTATTGTATTTTTTATTCTTCTTTATTAACAGGCAAATATGAGAAATGTATCTCGATGTTTCTAGCTTCTCCCAAAGGAAAGAATGGTTGTGCTAATCTTCAAAATTGAATAAAAAGGTTTGTTTAATGCTAAAAAACGAGTGAAGGGTTTACTTATATAAGTCCGACTAAATACAAGGGGACACCAGTGTTCCATCTTGATGACAGCACCAAGAGTCATACTGACATAAAGCAGCTTTCCCGTAGTCAAGTCATTGGTACAGTATCTCTCCGATCAGAAAAGAAAAGAAAAGAAAAAGATGTTTAAAAAGCAATAGTTTTTTCTTTTTCTTTTTTTGTCTCTGTTTTGTTTCGTATTGGAAAGCAAAGCGAGGCAAAGACTCAAATTCAAATAAGCAACGACTTGGCGTGTCGATCGTCTATTGAAACCGATGATGAAGCATGGAAAGTAAATCTTTCGAAAACATCGCTAACTGTCATTTCCTTCTTTCTCCTTTGAAAACCATTCAAAAATGACCTTTTACTTTTCTATTGATGAATATTTCAGAGCTTCTCTCCTTGTCTGTCTCTTGGTTTAGTTGAACAGGTTGGTTTGTTTATTGCTTCCATGACGATTACATCTGGAGTCACAGACTCTCGTCATGGACAACTTTAAATCATGATCGGTTGGAAATGTAAACAAAGGCAAGCTAGAATAGCTTCTTTGAAGCGCTGTTGTAAGTTACTCCGACATATTTGAAGTTTTTATTTGTAAACATAGATTTGTTTTTCTATTTGGTGGTTTCCTTTAGGGAAGCATTTTGGAGAAAGGAACATTCCATGAAAAGGCGTCCGTTTCGCTAATTCATCCAACTATTATCATAAAAGAAAGCTCTCTAATTTTTTTCTCTGAAATACAAGGGTCTTGAAAAGACCCTTTGAAGTACATAAAGAACGTTCGTTTGGGATAAAAACAAACCTTGTAACCTGTCAAATCGTATTACATTTCTACTACGAATTTGTTACTTGTTTTTTTAAAAAATCGGTCTCTTACCAAAAAGCAATCCACAAAGAGGCCATTCAATAGAAAAGTCTTGAACAAGAATCGACAAACACAATTGTCATTCTTCAGACAAGTCACTTTGGACCGCGTTTTTGTTTTTTTTTTTTTTTTTTTTTTTTTTTTTTCCTTCGTAGACGCTTTGCTTTATATTTGAATGTGGAGAGACTTCGCGACGCGACCATAGACGACCCAAAGAAGTGAACAAGGAAAATCAAAGGATGTAAATGAATTGAATACACAAGAAAAAGAAAAAAGAATTTTACAAAATCATTCCAAGTAAATGAAAACAGACCCTAAAATTTCAAAACCAATTCTTAAGTTTTCTCAAAAACTATTTATAAAAGAATTTTCATTCTTTTTTCTCTTTTTATTTTATGTATTCAATTGTTTACGAGATTTCGAGTCTTCTGCTTGAAGGAGTCGGGTTGAAAGGACAGACTGATTTATTATAAGTACAGCTTCCATTTCACCTAGTACTATAGCTTCCATTGACTGTTTTCAAATTAATAATAAACAATTCTTTATAATTTCCATTTTTCTTCACAAAATGAACCCTTCCAACTTCAATGCTTCTACTCTTCAAACCCAACGCAGCTCTAATGCCTCTCCTACCACTACCACCACTACTACTACAGGACGCGTTTCCAAAGCAGACTCTTCTCTTGCTGGAGGTAACACATCGGTAGCGTCACTTCTACGTAGTTATCCCATGAAACGCACTAAACGCACTTACCGTCGTTCTCCAGCGAGTGTTCCTTCGTATACTGCGGAATTTGAAAATAAGGAGAATGTTTCAAAGAACTCCAACGATGGTTCCGTTAAATCTACAAAGCGTGCTTTAGCGGCATCGGATATTATGAACGAAACGACGTTGCTGGATCTCTTTCATACACCCATGGACGACGCAACCATGGATATTACCGAACGCGTAAACAATGAAACTCGTCAAAACATGTAAACAAACAAAAGTCTTACAGCGAAAAAATCTTAAGAAATGATTTTAATTTTGGTTGAATGGATTTAATTTCTATACTTCCTTTTTAAAGACTTTTTTTATTTTAATCTTTTAATGCTGTTGTTTGTTTTTCCTTGTTTTGATCGAGAAATGTCAATTTGGTTTCATTTCATTTGACTTTGTTTTTTATTGTTGTTTTCCCAAATGTTTCAGTCATTTTCTACATCTCTCCTTTGATCTTTCTCCTTTTTTAATTGTTTTATTTTTATTTTTCATCTTTTCTTTTCCTTTTCCTTTTTTTTGTTTTTGCTAATTTCGATCTTTCTATGTGTTTTGATGTACCTTCTCCCTATGTTTGAATCGGGACACACTTGCTTGAATCATCATTTCAGTGCTCGTCTCATACCCTAATGACCTTTTGTCCTTGTTTGTAATATTAATATGTTGTTCATTGGAACCAGTGGTTTCCTAATTGTTTTCATCCACCTTTCTTGTACCCAACCGATGAATCCATAAACATTTGTGATAATTCTTTCCTCCCTCCATTGAGAAAAAGGAAATGTGCTCTCTAGCAAACAAAAGATTGAATAAATGCTTTCTTTTCTACCGTTCATCATAGTAACCATTCATGAAACGTATGTTCAATAAAGTAATATTAGAAAAAACACTACAAAAACCATACAACTGGTAAACAGCTCAGCAAATTTGAAAACGTAGGCAAAATGCTACAAAGCAGGAAAAGACGGAAGGAAAAAAAAAAAAAAAAACAAGAGACTGGAATGCATCCAACCTATCACAGCCGGGTTTGCAAATACACGGAAATTTCTTTCATCAAGAAAACATGAAAAGAGAAGCTTAAAGATACAGAAAATAAAAAAAGTTAGCAGACAGACGTACGCACACAATGGACGACAGATGGTTTAAAAGATCGAGTTGACAAGGTCAGCACCAGCGCTAGCACCTGCACCAAAAACAAAGGCGTTACCAATGTTGCTACCAAATTTCTTCAAGCCGTTATGCTTTTTGGGAGGAACATTTTGTTCCACAATGACAGGTGGTTGCTGTCCACCATAACTTTGGGTATATCCCGGGGCAAACGAGGAACTACCAGGAGAAGGATATGGACCAGGTGGTGGTGGAACTGTTGAAGGGTCACGCAAAATAGAAACATAGTTGGAAGGGAAGATGCCCTCTTTTCCATAGAGACTACCACGCCACCAGTCCTTGTTAATATGATCCTTCACATCAATCACATCGCCAGCTCTGAAAGGTAGATCACCGGCATCAGGACCTGGGAAGTTGTACAGGGCGACCACACGTTCGATAGCGGTGGTTTCCACAGCGTGAGGATAACTTGGAGGGGGAGGCATGTGTGCCTCTGCACTAAGCTGTGCCGCAGATGCTTTTTCAGAAAGATTGGAACTGGACTGAGGACCGGGAGCATTAGAGGAGGAGCTGCCCATATGTGCCTTTTCTTCATTTGGTCCTACAGAGAGGGAAGCTACCTTGGATGTCACAGAGTTAGTCTGGGCTTCCGAAGCAGAGTCAGAAGATGCTTGAACATCAGCTTTCTTAGGTTCATTTGATGAAGCTGCAATTCGATTACCTTCATAGGGTAGTTTTTGCTGAAGCCAATGAAGAGCATCATTGTCCAAAACGCCTTCGTCAATCAAGAGCTGAAAGTCGTTGTAGACGTTTCGGATAACATGGTTTATATAGTTTTCTGGATTTTTTCCTATCATTGGAATTTATTGATTCTTTCCTACAAAGTTACAATTGACTTGTGTAGAAGGCAAAGTTGGTAGTGGCTATTGCTATATTTCGCCAAGTCAAACCATCCGACCCGAATGAGATCCTCATTCTTTTACCGCAGATGCTAGACGACGACGCATAGTAACTACACGTCTGACGAAAAGAGAAAAAATAGGTTTCAAGGAATAATTACCAGACAAGAATACGAATGGAAAGGAACTACTTCTACAAAAGCAATTTCAATTATGATTCATCTGTTGCTATCCCGAATCAAAGTTTCTACAATATCAACAATTCTATTTTAACGTAGTATTTTATTTTTAAAAAACATGGAAAACAACATGAAAAAAAGTAATCCGTAAAAGCTACCACCATATTCATTTCCCAAATTGTTTATTTATGAACGAGTCCTAAGGATGTATACTAAACTTTTGTTAAGATATGTCGTACGAGGATGGCTTTAATACATTACGAGATTTGTTAAGTATCCGTATCGCCTTAAAAAGCTGCCGTATGTCTTTTGATATTATTCTTCGTAAAGCCGAATTTCATTCCAACATTGTCCTCGTTATGGATCACTAAATGGAAACAATGCATCTCTTGTCTAGTGGGAGAACTGCAACATTTCTACATCTCTGACTTACGAATATCATTTATTTGTAAAAAATGCAAAGAATTCAAAAGATTTTACTGTACTACGTTTTACTCACAATTTTGTACCGCGTAACGTACTTGTTTGATTTGGAAGAACCGTGGTCAAGTTTGCGTCCTTACACACCTTATTTATTTATATTGGCATTTGGTGGTTATTTAGGTGCTACATTGTTGTATAACGTTGCTACGACTCATGATAAACCTCAAGCTTATGTGGATTTAGTCAATGTATGTGTGTTTTGCTACTTCTTGAATGCCAGTAAAATTCGGTACTAATGTTGACACAATTTAGGATATTAAAGAAGCCCAAGATGCTTTAAAAACCAAGGGTTTCGTTATCGAGGAATAATTATTTTCCTTTGATAGATTTTATTGAATGTCCAACCACTGACCACGTACACCGTTGTACTGCTACTGGGGATTTAAAGATACGAAAAGGATGAAGGACTTTCCTTACAATGGCAATTGGAAATCGTAATTTAATTTCTTTCATTCTCCTTCCATTTTTACGGTGGTAATCAGCATAATTATAATGAGATTGTTCCATTATTCTTCTATAGACAGACAAACAGACAAATCGATATACAGTTCTAATCGCATACTACATACCATCTCCTCTGCTTTTTGCATAAAATAGAAAAGATTCTTATTTTTTGAAGAAACACAATCCCAGTTCCATATATATATTTACCAAAAGTTGTACAATCCTTTAAACCTATCTCATAAACACGGTTTAAATTCAATAAGAAAACACAGGAATAACGTCGATGATTATTATAGAAAGCAAAAAAATTCTTTTTTTTTTTTCAACCGTTGCGAAACTCCAACATCATAAAACTAATTCGCAGTTCATTTTTTTTTCTTACAAGTTTCCAATGAATAAAATTATTTTCTTAAATAACGCAGATATACAGGATTGTTGGTTTCATCAACCCAAGCATAACCCATCGTCTCTAAAATTTCGTTCAATTTCTCCAAATGACCTTCCTTGATTCGCAAACCCGCAAGCACATTTGCAGTATCACCACCACAATTTCTGTAATGGAACAAGGAAATACTGCATACTTCCTTCAAACTCTTCAAAAATTTACTAAGAGCTCCTGGACGTTCAGGGAATTCGAATCTATATAAACGTTCATTTAACACGTCGGATTTACCACCGATGAGATAACGGGCATGCGTCTTAGCAAGCTCGTTGTCACTAATGTCCACGGCAATCATGTTGTGTTCTGAAATTTTCTGAAGTACTTCAGGAAGTTCTTTCATGCGATCTTTGACGACAAACGATGTATAGATGTTGGCATACTCAGAATTGTCGTAGCGGTAAGAGAACTCAGTTATGCTTCGAGGAGTGATGATGCTGTGGAGCTTTTCAAAAGATCCAGGACGTTCAGGGATAGTAACACTCAAGAAAACTTCTTTGTTCAAACCAAGATCTGCACGTTCGGCGACAAAGCGAAGACGGTCGAAATCCATGTTGGCGCCAGACAAGACACATACTTGAGAAGCTGAATCAGGATTTTGAGGTTTATGCTTTGCCATGTAGCGCTTCATACCAGCAACAGACATAGCGCCTGAAGGCTCGACGACGGAACGGGTATCCAAAAAGACATCTTTGATGGCAGCACAGATTTCATCTTTATCGACCAAGACAACATCATCAACATATTTAGAAGCAACCCTGTAAGTTTCTTGACCGACTAATTTGACAGCCGTACCATCGGCAAACAAACCTACATCCTTCAAAGTAACGCGCTTTTTCTCTTCTACAGAGCGTGAAAACGCATCAGCATCAAAAGTTTCGACACCTATAACCTTGACATGAGGAGCAATTCGTTTTACATAAGCACTGATACCGGCAATAAGACCACCACCACCAATGGCACAATAAATAGCATCTAACTTACGGAGATCCAGTTGGTGAAGAATCTCTAAACCAACAGTACCTTGACCAGCAATCACGTAAGGATCATCATAAGGATGAATGATACGAAGGTTCTGTTCCTCGGCAAGACGATTGCATTCTTGTTTGGCGATATCGAAGTTGGCACCGTGTAACAAAACGTTAGCACCGAGTCTCTTTACGTTTTTCCATTTGATGTCAGGAGTGTTTTGGGGCATCACAATAGTCGCCTTAACACCCAATCTTCTAGCAGAATAAGCAACACCCTGGGCATGGTTACCGGCTGAACAGGCAATTACACCGCGTTCCAGTAATTTCGGGTCAAGAGAAGCCATCTTGTTGTGAGCGCCACGAACTTTGAAAGAGAAAACGGGGGTAAGATCTTCACGTTTCAAATAAACAGGAACTCCGGTACTTTCAGAAATGACGACACCTTTTGTCAAAGGTGTTTCTTCAATCACATCGTAAACGTGAGAAGTCAACGTAAGGCGCAAATAATCAGGTGTTCCATCGGGCAAAAGCATTTCCTTTGGGATGTCAAAAGAGACATGGGAGCTTTCTTTTTCAGCAGTTGCTGGAGAAATATTATCCTCGATAATTCCCGGGATGTGAAGATCGCGATAATTATCATCAGCATTTTTAGCATTGTTTGAATTCCAACGTCTGCATTGGAAGCTCCAAAGTGATGATGCGCGAGGAATTTGGATGTTTCTTAAAGATTGGGTATCGAGAGCTCTACGAGCCAAACGACCCGTTCGAAGCAGCGAACCGTACATATTAGCAAAAACTATTTAAAAAGCATCCAATTGCGAAACCCAATGAGTATGCAGGCTCCTTCTTGGCTGATCTCTTAGGTTTGGCTGAAGACAACATTTCCACTGTTCGGTGAAGACACCTTTCTAGCGTGACTAGGAGAATTTCACAAGGGTTCGTTAACGCTTAGAGATTTAGATGAAATTGATCGAGTAGAAATGGAATAAAATAAGAAAAAAAAAACACAAAAACAGCTGTTTTGATCCAAATCCCTTACAAAAATCAGACAATGCCAAGGATTCTGCTGAAGCGAAATAGTCCGGTGAAGTCAACGGACTCAGTGCTTGCAAGTATAAACAAAAGGGAAATCAGGTTGGGGTATCGAGTGTTTTTATTCACTGACTGTTTCTCTATTTGAATGGTTCCTGTGAATATGAAAATCCTTTGAATGAATGTAAGAATGTATCATCTTCACAGAAAGTTGGGTATTGTTTACTTTTGCACTGCAACGTACTGCGGAAAATTATCTGGATTTTTTTTGAAAATACAAAAAAAGGAAATCGTTTACGAGAAATGAAATCATGCTAGAAGAAGCAATATAAAAATTTTTCTTCTCTTTCTTTAAGGAAGCGACAGAAACCAGGTTTTTAAGTGACCTATGTCTACTCCTTAAGGACGTCTCTTCTTGGTGAACAACGTGGTATAGAGCAATTAGAAAATGTCTAGAGAATAAGGAACTTGTAAACGCAAAAAGAAGAAGAAGTATATCCTTGCAGATTTTATTTTGAGGGATACGAAGGTTTCCTGAGTTGGAAAAAAGTTCCTTAAACCACGTTTCCTCAAAAGCTAGATTGCATATTTCAAAGAATGGAACATTTGCACGGCAGATCAACCTCTTTTCGAGCTAGTCCGTTTGGCTAATCTGTGATGAAATCGTTTTATCCAAATATTGGGTTCATACTTGTTTATTTACGAACTAAACGTATCGCAACTCGTTTTAAAAGATTTATGCGATGAAACGAAATATTTCGTTTGTTTACGGAGTGATTCGGACGCAAAAGGAAGAAAAAAAAGAAAGAAGAATAGAATGATACGGATGAGTAAACGAATGGAACCGTTTAAAGCATCCATAATTCAAACCATAAGGCATTATCAACTGCAATTGACTCTATTCCAGACATGACCTATGACGGCATCCTATATTTCCATTGAATTTCACAGGTAAATTAAATGAAAATGATAAAATCCTGTACTCTTCCCTTTAGCAATTCATAGACGGTTCAAATATCAGCAAGCCACCAACAACTGTTTCACTCATTTGCATCCGGATTGCAATGCATTTCAAATAGTAGACTACCAAGGAATCATTTCAACGTAAACAATGTTTCACTACTGACGTTTTCAGGTATGTCAAAGAGCGAACAATGACAGCAATTAAAGCTTTTTCTCAGTATGTTTCCTGCTCAAGTATCATACAAGACAAAAAGAAATCATTTTTGCAAGATTGCATCCGTAATCGGATATGTGTTTCAAATGTTTGATACTTCGGATATCCGAAACCGCGTCCATGATCGCAAGTAGACTAAATACTCAAGTCAAAGTGAGGTCGAATTCAGGTATAAATGATGGATGCAACGTCCTGTTTTACTATCATTTTAACAATCCATCGTTAATAAGAATCTCACTATGGCCCCTGCTACTGCTGTTGCTCAATTCCAAAATCTCTTCAACGCTGATCCACTCAAGGTTGACAAGGAGGACGCCCTTGTAAAGACTGAACAGAATGCTCTAACAAAATCTTTCCCAAACTATCAATTGGACAATGAATTTACATTTTCTCCAATTCGTGAAAGCACTGTTTCTCGAGCCATGACACGCCGCTACTTCGCTGACTTGGACAAGTACGCAGAGTCTGACATCGTTATTGTCGGTGCAGGATCTGCCGGCCTCACCGCTGCTTACTATCTTGGTACGCGCCGTCCTGACCTGAAGATTGCAATCATCGAGGCTTCTGTGGCTCCCGGCGGTGGTGCCTGGTTGGGTGGTCAACTCTTTTCGGCCATGGTCGTCCGTAAACCTGCTGACGCCTTTTTGAGAGAAATAGGTGTTCCTTATGAGGATGAAGGTGAATACGTTGTCGTCAAACATGCTGCTCTCTTCACCAGTACGGTCATGGCCCGTGCTCTTTCTCTTCCCAACATCAAGCTCTTCAACGCTACCGCTGTTGAAGACTTAATCGTTAAGGCTGACGAAGATGGTAATCAACGTATCGCCGGTGTTGTCACCAACTGGACCCTTGTTTCTTTGAATCACGGCCTTCAATCCTGTATGGATCCCAACACCATCAATGCTCATTTAGTCCTATCTGCAACTGGCCACGATGGCCCCTTTGGTGCCTTCTGCGTTAAACGTGCTCATCAAGCTGGCCTTATCCCTCATCTTGGTGACATGCGTCCTCTTGACATGAACCGTTCTGAAAACCTTATTGTAAAGGGTAGTCGTGAAATATATCCCGGCTTGGTTGTATCGGGAATGGAACTTTCTGAACTCGACGGCGCCAACCGGATGGGGCCTACCTTTGGAGGTATGATGTTCAGCGGTATTAAAGCCGCTCAAGAAGCTCTCAAAGTCTTTGAAGAACGCAAGACCGCCAACGAAAAATGCATTTAAATTTTCCTTTTGCTTCTAAATATCAAAATTACGATGAACCCGTACAGAGAATTTTTGCTAGAAATTTTTCTGAATATTTCTAACTGAATAAATGCTTTTTATGTGCGTTATAACATGCAGCATAGAAAGCCAGATAATCGCTAAACTTAAATGACAAATTCGCTATAGTTCTATTCGGATTATTCCGTGGTCTTGAGAGGTTCTGTGATCGTCAGCAGCATAGATGCTTTTGATGAACAAGAGTCCAATTTTGCTAGATCTTTAATGTAGCTATATAATTACGATAATTCAAATGCATAACACTACAACATAAATTTTCATAAAATCCTTTTAATAGTATTTAATCAACTACAAGGCTAGTTCGATTTTTGTCATTTGATGTAGACTTCTACAAATGTATATAATGAAATTTCTAAAAGCCAATGCTTCGTTCATAAAAAATATAACTGTAATAAAAAGGACTAATTCCTATCGGATGTAATCAATAATTTAATTATGGAAAAGATGACTTCGGACATTAATGGATATTACGAAGACGTTCGACATTGAGATAGACATCGGTATCCAAGCGATCACTTTTATCGTGAATTTTGCCGAGTCGAGCGTTTTGGGATTCAACTTCTTGTCCAGTAGCATATGCCAAACCCTTCAAACGACCAACAACACCATCAAGCTGGTCTAAGTTCTTATCGATTTCTTTTTCGTTCATGTCATCTTCTGCATCTGGCTCGAACTGATAACGCGAACGTTCGAGAATGGATACTCCTTTCTTGTCATTAGGCTTGACTGATTCTTTTTGATTTTTCTTCATAGTTTCACCGATACGGCGTTGAGACTGAAAAGCAAACTGTCTATTTAAAATTTCATCTTGACGTTCAGCCTCACGCTTTGCAGTAAGCCGTGCCTCCTCAGCAGCTACACGCTTCCCTTTACCCCATGGTTTCCCGATGTGAATAGCAAACATGCTCCTGTTCAAAGTTTTGAGTTCTCTAGCCTGCTCTTCTGCTCGCTTAGCATGTATCTTGGCAACATCCAGTTCTTTCTCGGCACTTGCAACCTTTTCTGTTTGTTGTCCCAGGTTTTGAAGAGTGGACATCCCTACTTGTTCGGCATTGTTAGCCATTTGCAAGGCATTTCTCGTGCTCGATAAACTGTCTTGCTTGACAAATTGGATTTTTTGCTTAATAGCCTCAACGTCCTCGTCTTCCTCTGCAGTTGCACTATACGAATCTGCCATGCCAGCTTCTTCTCCACCATCATTCAAGTAGTTTTCGGAATTCTCTTGTATGCGACGTGCACCTTGAAATAATTCTTGCTTTTTCAAGTCCAATGTTGTTTGGCTTGCTGGTGCTCTCTGATAACTTGGCCGTTCATGTCCGAACGGAGTGGAAGGAGCTACCGCAGCTCCGGATCGCATTGGAGGCATGTCTTTTCGAGCATATGGATCATTGCGAATCGACTGCATATTATACCCACCCTTTGGCATGCTAGATTCATATCCGCCGTCTATACTGTACGCGTCAGGGTATGAATTACCTGAATACCCATTGGAAGTATAAGACGGAGCAGGAGTTGCAGTACTGGCGGCTGAACTTCCCTCCTCTGGAGCCTTGTACATATCGGGATTGACGCCCTTTTTCTTTTTAAAAAGACCCATGGCGAATTTGTTAAATATAAGGTAGACAGAAAGTTAAGTACGACAAGTAGGTAAAACCACTTATATTTTCGTCAATTATTTAAAAATGATGACTTTTTATAAAACAATATGCTTAACCACACGTTTACGCAAGTTTGAAGTTCCGCTTGATCAAAGTGTTTCCCATCAACTGTACGCTTTGTAAATTGACGCGTGTCCTACGCCTTCTAATCAAAGAAAGCAATATTGCATTCAATTGGCACTTCTAAGTAAAATCGAAGACCCCGTTTCTTAAACCGCGAATTTTCAGATGTGTGTTTTAGGCAAGGTTCCATTCCATACATTCTCTTGGTGGCATGCGCATCTCAAAGAGCCCAAACAGTGAGATTTAGCGCGGACATATGTAAACAAGGTATATTATATTCCGTGTTCCATACTTGTAAATTTAAAAGCTCATGTTTAAAAGGAGATGTTGTCTTTAATGAAAAACAATAAAATCAAATCAATCGTACTCAATAAATGTCACTTTTCTGTAGGTCTTCGAAGTTTGCAGACTAAGGTAACTTTGGTAAATTAACATTTACATCGAAATAAAATACATAGACACTTAAGGATAATTCAAAAGCAAAGTTCTAGCTTTTTGAAAATCTAATTTATGTATAAAGCTGATTTCCTTGGTTTACTATATAAACCCTCACGGGTCTTTTAACTTCTACCAAAGGCAAGTGATGAGTAACACTTTTTTTCATGGTTTGTCTGAAAAACTCTGTTGACTAAAAATTATGCGTTATCTTTCTGATGCCTTTTATAAAACCGATGTTCTTTTTGTTGCTAGTTAGATGTAGTCATTTACGCGTGAATATATATGGAGAAATGTTTAAGAAAATTAATGGAGCTTATTCCAAGTATGATTGTACTTTAGAAACCTATACGGAGAATGTTTGAATGGTTTGAAGCGTTATAGCTGTGAATCTGTATATTTTTGGAAAAGTAGATCTCTCACTTCATTTATAATGTAGTACTGGACCAGACATAAAATCGTACTAACATATTTCAAAAACCTCTACAACACGATATATTATATTACTGTATGATAATTAAACAAAAAGAAGCGTTTTTTCGTGGATGAATCGTAGGTTGAAAAAGAAAAAGAAAAAGTCTTTCGGGCTTCCATGAGTAAGTGGTTTATTCGAGTCTTCAAAAACTTGTCTTGGTTATGGTGTATCTTGTGTAAATTGATACATCACATACTGAAGCAGCGTTTATTCTTTTTTTTTAGCGTTCACACCGAGAAGCATAAAATAAAATAATTAAAGAACTTATCGTTTCATAGTTAGAGTGATTTATGTAACCTGAAAGTACTACACTGTGAAGTGACCATTATCTTTTTATACATGTCTTTGTTCAACGCGACAAGTTAACCACCCTTCTCCACGTCTTTCACCAAAGGGAAAAAGGAATTCTTAGCAGGGATTTCAAGTATAGAAGACCTGATATTTTTGTTTTTCTTTTAAAAACAAAATATACCATATTTAGGTACTTCTCTGTCTTCGAAGGACGACCCTCATTCCATAGCAAGTCTATTCGGAGCTAGAAGAATTCTTCGTGTTTTCTCATAATTGCGTCTTTTTTTTGTTGGAATACTTTAAAAAGTAGCAGAAAACTGTAGTTCTTAGATATCGCGTCAGTGTTCATTTTCGTTACAATCGAACAATTCAAGTACCCCAGTACATAATATACACATTTGCATATAAATAGCATATAAATATGGTTAAGGAAAAGACAGTGGACGAAGGATCTCTCAGCTTCGATAACTCCTTTTTAGGCTTTGGTTCCTCTTTACCAGTTTCGTCCGCTTCTTCCCCTAAGAAACAAAATGGAACTGATCAACCGTCTTTTATTTCTAGCGAAGAAAATACAAATGTCGAAGAGAATCCCACTTCTGGTTTTGAGCGTTATGGATTAACTCCGTCAGGTCAAACCTTTCGACTTCCTCACGAGCAAGAAAATCGTCGTAGTATCCTTGAAACCATCGATCCCCGTGTCCCCAAGACGCCTTGGGACTGGGTCGTAATCGGAAGTATCCTTTTACAGGTTGTCTTGTACATTTTCACACGCGGAAATACTCGCCGCTTTTTATTAATGGCTTGCTTCTTTTTTTGGCGCATGAGTTACGATTTCGGTATTGGATTCCTCCTTCATTCTCAATCCAATGATCGTAAAATTGTTGAATGGGTTGTAAAGCTTGGCTTTTTTGATAAAGAAAAGAATCCAAAGCTTTATGAGATGACTAAACATCAACTTGTTTCAAAAATGGATTCCTCATATAATTTTGAAAAATCTCCAGTTGAATTTAACAGTTGGCTCGTTTTTCGACATTTCGTAGATCTTATCCTTATGTGCGATTTTTGCTCATATGTATTGATGGCTTTGGCTTGGACTTGTTGGCCGAATATGAATTTTCTTCTTCACATGTTACGTTTTTTCGGAGGCATTGCCTTAATTATTTTTAATTATTGGGTAAAGCTCGATGCTCATCGTGTTGTTCGTGACTACGCATGGTATTGGGGTGACTTTTTCTTTTTACTCAGTAGTTCCTTGGTTTTTAATGGTGTTTTTGAATTGGCCCCTCATCCTATGTACTCTATCGGTTATGCTGGATACTATGGTATGAGTTTAATTTCTGGAAGCTACGGTGTTTTATTAGCAAGCATGGTTGCTCATGCCGCCCAATTTGTTTTTCTTGTTGTAGTCGAAAATCCCCATATTGAAAAGACGTATGGCAGTGAATCTGCTCATTCCCGTATTATGCCACGAGATGAAGATGCTGAATTTGAACTTCCTCCAGCTCGCGACCTTGTCGGACTTATTAATTTCAATTCAGCTAGGATCTCAGACGTTGCACTAGTTATTATTGCGGCTTATAGTATTCTCTCAAGTTTACTCTCATCTAATTCTTACTATAACCAATTCTGGGCCCTTTTTCAAGCTTTTGTATGGCGCTTCTTGCACAGCGCTTTCCATGGGTGTATATTATTCTACCAATCAAGAGATAAAGCTTGGTCTCGTCACTTCATCCGCAACGGTGAATCCGTTGTGCAAGCGTGGTCTCAATGGAAAGGATTTTACAACATCACCTTAAACATGTCTTATATTTCTTTTTGTATGGCGGCTTGGAAATTATATCATCTTCCTGACAACTGGACTTACGGACTCGTTACCCTTCGTCATACTTTAGGATTCGCTTTAATAGTTTTACACATATATACTTCCGTTTCTATTTACGAGGATTTGGGTCAGTATGGTTGGTTTTATGGAGACTTCTTTTTACCTAGTCGCTCACCCAAGCTTGTCTATCAGGGTATTTATCGATACGTTAATAATCCTGAGCGTTTCCTTGGATGCTCTGCTTATTGGGGTCTTGCTCTTATCAGTAACTCAGCTTGGATTTTCTTATTAGCTACCTTAGCACAGCTATCAAACTTAGCTATCATTCGTCTTGTTGAACAACCTCATATGCGAAAAGTATACGGCAATGCTTTACGGAAGGAAGCAGGAATATCGAAATTAATTAAGCAAGCTACCCAAGAACACAGCAATAAACTTCCGAAATCCATCGAGAATCATGTCAAAGCTTTGGGTAATACCGTCGATAGAGTTCTCGATCAAACAGCAGAGGCCTTGCAAGAGTTTGTAAGTACTGCTCCGCCTAAAGTACAAGTGCTATTGAAGGGTACGGAATCGAGTCTCCGTAGAAGCGCTCAGCTTGCCATATTGAAATTGTTTGCTCCACAATTCGATAGACATGGATCAACTGCTTATTCTCTGAACTTAGATATTGAAGATTCTAAAGTCCCACTTGGATATCCCATACGCGTGAAGTGGGCGGCTCCTTCAGATCATGAATATAATGACTGGATTGGACTTTATCGAGTATCAGATAACATTAGTGATATCCATACACAGGTGCCGAGCGAAGGACGCTGGTCTGCTGTTGATCATAAAGGATACAATTCACACACATCTAGCATAACACAGGTTTCGGAAACTAAGGATTCTGGAGAAATAGTGTTTTCAAGGGAGTTGTTGTTTTGGGAGCCTGGGACCTACGAATTTCGTTATCATCATAGTAACAAGCATTTGGTGATGGCTAAAAGCGAACCATTTCAGATATATGCTATACCTAACGATTCCAAGGATACCTCCGAAGTTAAGGATACTTTAGACAACTTACTGAAGCTTTGCGTTCCCGAAGACCATTCCAAATCATTACAAGATCTATCCGATAGCAAAGCAAAGACTTTTTCCAAAGCTATTCAATATACTTTTGGTATTGAACTCGGTTATCATGTAATTCAAGTTGATGGTTCAACGAAGGTTCTAGCAAGCAGACTTGTGAGTGCTTTGAAGATTCTCCAGCCTCTTACTTACTCCGAAGAAAGTAAGAAGGACGTTTAGACGTTTGCTAAACTGTATTTTATTCAACATATCTTACAGTACATGATTTTGAAGTTATAGAGCCTCTTTATATTCATTTTAACATGCTTATGGCTTACTAGATTATAAATAATGATACTTAATAAAACCCATAAAGCTTTTGTCGACATTTAAAGATTTGATAGTTGTTTATTACCTATTAACCATTATCCCAATTTAAGTAGCATGATAAATTGTCATTCAATAAATAAGTTCATTATTTTAAACTTCAGGAATTCATGCAAACAAAATAAACCAACTTTAATGTTATATATTAGAGTCATTTTCGTCGCCAGAAAGTATACTTGAAACAGAAGTGATGCTTCGACGATCTTCCTTGGAATTTGCAACGGTATAATAAAACCTGTTCAGCTCTTCGCAGTTGTTGCAGAAATCCTTAAAAGAGTGCTTAAGTTCCTCAGCTGTTTTTTTCAAGGACACATTCTGACCTTTGTTACTTTTGTTAAAGCTTGTTTTACCAGCCTTAGAATTATGGAGTAAGTTAGGAAGCCACAAAAACTGAAGATTATCGTCAATTTGTACTAGTACACTTCCCGTCTTGTGAATGTATTGCACGTACCGAAAGCTTGGTTTTCCCCATGAATATACCGCGGTTACCATCTGTGGAAAAACATTGCTCTCCTCACTGTCAAGGATGAAATCAAAATACTTTAATATCTGGCTGCACCACCACTTTTTTGGATGGTTATAGTCGGCAGAATAAGATACGTAATCTGGAAGCGATGGTGGTTCAACCCCAAGTTTAATTACAGAAACCTGATTGAAAGGATTGAGTTCTGCAACGGCTGAAACTTCATGGATTGGTGCTTCAACTAAAGCCAAGCCATAACGCTCAAGGATCCTGGACCACGATTGAAGCATGTTTTCTATAACACTTGCAGTAGCCAAAAGCCATTCAATTCGAAGATGGAAACAGGTATTGGGGTTATGAAGCAGATCATAATGTAAAGTTACCATCTCTGAACGTCCAAGTCTCCGTTCAGGGTCTGCGTCAAATAGAATCTGCCTTGAAAGTTCAATTCTTAAAGGACCTTCTTTAAGAGGATTTTGATTATTCGAATCTTTGGACTGATTTTCTTTCTTGCGATTAAACCAACTCCTGTAAGGACGGGTCGACATTGGCTTTGTATTAAACTCGGAAGATAATCTGTATACGTAGTGTCCGTCAAGTAATGGATGTTTTTTCCTGATATGCTCAATTAGACCATTTTTTAGTAGTTTATTGCCAAAAACTAAGGCTTCTTCTCTATTGTTTATCTCTATGAACGTATTCACTATCCATGAGACAAATTCACTCCCGAGAAAACAATTTTCGTAAACACGGTAGTGCCACGTTATATCATCTATCTTCAAACCATTTATTCCCTGCATTTCCTTCGCTAGCGTGTAGTTGTCTATATCAGTGGTCAAATGTTTGTTTGGCATTAATAGAGATTTTCCATTACGGTTAGAGTCATTGGTGATAGCTTCCAATTCAGAGTTAATATAGTCCCTTAAAGACAATGTGGTAAATTTAATTCCCAGAGAATTCGCAGAAGTTACCTGCGGTGTCTTCTGCGAATTTTCATTCATAGGATCGAATTCACCTCGGCGTAAAATTTCACATAATTTGCATACGCCTTCGACTCTCAATTCTTCTTCTGTATAACTATCTTGCTCCGATGCTTGAAACTTTTGTATAAGGTTTGGAGAAAAGTTTCCGGTAGGTATTAATACAAACCTTGCTCTCCAATATTTAACTGAATCTGGTAAGTAAGTTTCAAACCCGCTAATAAGCTGATCGACATAATTCCAATTGTAATTTGCAGTATCGTTAGCGTTAAACGTTATACTAGAAGGAACATAATCGTGCGTATTCTTGGACCAAATGTAGTAATCATACTTCATCTTGCCGTGCCCTGAAACCTTTTTTACATATCTCTTAACTTCAATATTATACCCAACAGAATCACAAGAAAGACAATGAAATTGACTGTCCCCTAAGGCAAGATAAACGGTGTTATTTCCGACTTCGTTAGGAGCCGACACAAATGTATTGAAGTTACTGGAGAATTCTTTTATGGCCGAACTCGAAGGCTCATTTAAATAAATGGATGTTATAGGATTAACAACAATTTGATATCCTCGAGATAATCGTTGACAAATCATTTCAGTAAGAAGATCCTGCTGGTTCATTTCAGTTATTTCTGGATCAATCCCTACTGTATAGGTATATTCTTCAAAATTATCGTTTAGCTCCTCCAGTGAAGGAAAATAACTAAAAGTAAGCGGAAGTGCCCCAGGCGTACACATTGAAAGCCAATTGAATCTTCTAACGTCTTGTTGATTCATGTACAAGTGTTCCCATCTCAGAGAAACAGGATCGTTGTCGGCTGTAGTTTGCTTTAGCTTAAACGGATTATCTATAATCTTCCACGGGGTTCGGGATGGCTTTTCTGATGTTATACCTTTTGTCGGTGATAAGTTAACTGGCTCTAGGTTATTAGGTCTAAGATGATTTGACAGTCTGGTAATAGATTCGGCCATATTATGGTTGGCTCTCGTAGAAGATCCCGTAGAAGGGAGTTCAACAGGAAATGGTTTTGAAATAGCTTCTTTAATTCCCAAGGGATTTATTGAAGTAGTTGCAGTCGCAGGTTGCACAAGGAAACCTTTCAGGTTCAAGGAGCTTGATCTAGCCCCTGATGTTTTAATTTTCGACGGGGTACGAAATGAAGGTATACTGAGATTTTTCTTTGATGGTTCCCTCAGTTTCTCGCTTAAACTTGAAAGAGTGTTTGGGCGTAATGCATCATCTTGGCGACTTTTAAAATCGATGTCTTTTTCACTTGAATTTCGCAGATGATCCCGGTTTGCAGTAAAGGACGAATTAGGAAATTTGATGTTTTGAATGGGCTCTTTTTCAGGACTAAGGGTTGTAGTACGATGAAGAGGTTGACGAGACGTTTCTAGCGGTTTTTGGAGATGATTGCTAACAAATTGTTTAGCGTCATATTCCTCTTGTGCTTCTTCTTCAAATGCATCACCGCCCCCTAGGGAAGGATCCGACTGAAGTAGAGGAATTGAAATTTTGGCACTCTCGGCCTCAAGGACACCCATCATTTGCAATTCATGCATCTTAGCGGTGGGTTCAAACCGATGCTCACGCATTAGGTTTTCCCATGGTGAACGCAAGGAACGCATTTCGGTAGTACTATAGAAGCTGATATTGCAGCCTATAGGAAATGTATACAACCAATCACTACTTGTTCGAATATTCTTCAGAAAGGAACCAACTGAATAATTTGAAACAGAAGAAGTAAACGACTCTGGAATGCCACCACCGGTGGAACCTGGAAATGAATCGGAAATTTTTGGTAATAGGAGTTGAGATTTTTTGGTACTCTTACTAGGGTTTTTATAACGAAGTACTGGCGTCTGAAATAGAGGAACTTTACCTAAAGAGACAATATCCATGCCGACAACTGTATTCAAAAGGCTTTTTGACGTCAAATGCAACATCTTCTCGTCAACTTCATATAGACCGCTTCCGGGTGTTACAACAATAATACTAGTACCAGTTCTCGATAAATCTCGATCAATATAGTCAGACTGAAATTGATAAACTGCCATGTTTATGACTTCTAGGAAGTTGCCTTCTTGAGAAGCAGTCATTCTGCCACAAACATAATCAACCTCATTACCAAACTCGTTTATAATTTTTTGAACTAACACATTTTCTTTGAATTTTGCAAGCTCGACTTTAAGATTGGCAAGAGTGGGCTGCCAATCTCGACTAGAAACGTTATCGACAACAACTTTGAAGAAATCTTTGTATGGGCCACCTTCTTCTATATCATTTGGAGAGCTGTGAGACAACTGTTTTATCCTTTGGTTTAGACCAGTACTATCCGGGCGCCAGACACACATTGAACCATGGTTTCCGTATTCAACACGAGTAAATAAAATAATAGATATCAAATGATGAGCGCCCAAATCTCTCCATAGAGAGAATAAATCTGGTAAAAATCCGTCTATAGCTTTATTGTAATTCAATTCACCATCTTCTTCAAAATGCCACATTTCTTCGCTCATTTGGATAAATATAAGAAATTTCGCACTTTCAGATCGAAATATGGGTCTTGTATTTTCTGTAAAGTAAGCAGACTTGCATTTTTTTCCATTTTTCCAAATAGATCCTATTTCACCCTGAACATTTCCTAAAAAATAAACCCGCTGTTTTTGATAAACACAAGTATCACAAAGAGTTCTCGACAGACGCCACATATCACTTCTAGAGATGAATTGATCACGAAAAAATATTACGACATGATCTGCCTCAATCATTGTTTTGTCAGTACACGGCTTTACAGATACAGGCTCTCGACTATGACTCCCTAAAAGTGTACTGAGTTCATGCTTAACAGAAAGTTGTAGGTTTGGATGCTTTTTCTTCAATTCTCCCGAAAGAGGGAAAGGTTTAAGGTAAATGGATTCTTGTGTACGTTTACTTTTGGTCCTCGAAGGCGGACTCAAGTCATCTTGCTCGCTGCCATACTCGTCTGATTGAGCAACTTTTACTTCGAAAACGTCTCCTAACGTAGCACCAGGTACCAAATCATAGTTTATAATAGCACTATGAGAAGACAATGCGGAGTCATGGGTCCATAAGTTCAAAGTGCATGACATTTTAGAGGATCTTCGTCAATTCACGCGTCATGAAGTTTATTATTCATTCCATTAAGTTAAGTATGTTAATAAATAATGAGGCTCCAAAAATCCAAAAAACTCGGGAAACTAAGACGAATGTCTGTTTGGGGAAAGTAAAGGTGTTTTCCAAGGTCAATGGAAGATGTATGGGTTATGGTTATTAAAAATGCAAGGTGCAAACTATGCAGAGAAAGTGCTTAATGATGTTGCTAGTAGTATACTATTGTATTTTTGAAAACAGAAGGGAGAAAAATAGTTAGGTATACCTCGAAAAATGGTTATTTGGTAACATTTGGAGAGAACCCCAAGTATATAAGATTTTTAGTTTTGCAACAATACTATTATTATGGAAAAGAAAATTTAAAAACAAGATACTCTGGAAGTAAAGAAAGGTATTAGAGCACTAGGTTCATACTATTATAAAGGACGACACAACATTGATCATAACCACAAACATAAATAAATACTCCGGATATAATTACTCATAAAAAATAATCGGCAATGGGTTGTTTGGTAGGAATTCCACTTCTTTCCTGTGAAGCTGCTCCGAAAATTTTGTATGTTTGAGATTGATCTTCACCAAGCTGCAAGATCGAAGCGACATTTCCACAGCGATAGCAGTAATTGGGGGCACTCCAAACAGTCACTACGCTACCCATGTCTTTTTGAGCTATTGTAACAGTATCACCAGGTGCCGGGGTATCATCATAGGGAGATTGTGGATCAGAATCAGAACTGAAGTCCTGTTCACTAAACTTTCTTGAATTTTCTTTGTCCTTTTCGGAAAAGTGAATTTTATACCCTTCCATGACCAACTGGTGGGCACGGGCAACAAAGGATAGGTTATTGCCATGGTTGAAAGCCTCTGCCACATCAGAACCAAAAAGAAATCCAGCTCCTCGAGGCGATAAACCCCATCCACTGATATCTTCTGGATCTGACCAGAGTAAATCGCACATGGCTCCTTCATGGGGAACTTCTTGCTTTCGGTCAATGAGTCGAATCTAAAATAAAAAAATGGTAAGTTAATACAAGCAATTGTAAAAGGAGAAGAAAGTAAAAAAAATAAAAAGATTTCGTACCTGATCCAAGCTTGTAATACTCGGAGAAAGTCCACCATGCACACACAGAACTTTGTCATCGATGACAGCACCTAAAGAAAGATAATCAAATACTTCGCAGCAATAGCGCCAAACATTAGCAGAACTGTACTTTCTAACACATTCATCGTAAAACCCGTATACTTGAGTGATTTGGCGGGATTCGTGATTTCCACGAATTAATGTGATTGAATCTGGATACTTGCACTTCAATGTTAATAGCAAAAGGAAGGTTTCTACAGAATAGAACCCTCTATCGACAAAATCTCCCAAAAAGACGTATTTTGTTTCTGGGCAAGAACCACCTATGCGGAAAAGTTCAAGCATATCGTGAAGCTGACCATGGATATCACCACATATAGTAACCGGAGAATTGATGTGCTGTAGATTTGATTCCTCTATCAATATATCACGAACACGCTTGCAAAGCTCGACCACTAGTCATTTATATTAGTAAACCGAAGCGATTAAACCTATGTAATCATCCACGTCGAGGAATCACTACAAAGAAATTCAAACACAAGTAGATGAGAAAGTTCATTAAACACGTACCATTGGCTTCAGGGATCACTCTTCCATTTTCAAGCTCTTGTAATTGCCAATCCAAGTCAACATTAGACATTATTATGAAGAAAACGAGAGGGGATTAAATTAAAAAATAATAAAAAGGAAGAAAGAAACGAATGAATGAAAAATGAAATAATAAATTATAAACCTTCAAATAATACAGAGTAGGTATAAAAAAACTACTTCAATAACAAAGAAAAAGGGCTATACTTTCAACAACGATAGTTTTTTCAAACTAGCAGCCAAAGGAGTGCAAATTAAAGATATCTAGTTAAAAAACGCTATTAAAGATTGAAAAGTAATCCGACGAAATCGCTCAAATTGGCCGCTTTTAAAAATTCCTATTTTGTTGAAGTTTACTAGGAATCATAAAGTATGGGGAAAACAGGGTCTTCCAAATGAAGCGATCAGATAAATTTTAACCTTCATTTAGGGTACAAAGAATACCATATGAAAAGTTTTAGATATAAGTAAACAAAAAAAAAATTGTTTATTTACATTTGTATTCCTTGTAAGATTTCAAATTCGTGTTTTCTAACACTTAGAAATGAGATTAAATACTAATTATTTAACAATTCTTTCTTTTTCTTGCCTTAATGATTAATATACTATGATATGTTTGCGTTTATAGAATAAACCAATCTGATATTGTTGGAATTCTCTTATTTTCTAGGAAACATTTGGAAAAATACAACGGTGGCTGCTTTTTAAATTAGAAATATTTATAATATAGTGAATACAAGCTTATTTTTTTATTTTTTGGTTGTTATTGTCTTGTTGAATATTCTCTGCTTCTTTTCATATAGTCCAAGGTATTCGTTTCATCAGATAAAAATCATACACACGAAAAGAATTGCTTATACGAAGTATTTATTTCCTTTGAATACCAAGTTAGAGGTTGAATAATAGTCGTCTATTTTATATATATGTGTATACTACTCTTCCGTTACCTCTTTCCTCGCAATCCACCTTTTAGGGCCACATCCTAGACATTCCCTCCAAACGTGAAGGCTAAAGCCAACAACCACCAACAACAAAGGAATTGATATTGGAGTAAAATTCAATAAAAAGACTAAATAGGTATTTGGAAGCTTAATCTTTTAGAATTCGTCTCATATCTTAATTAAAAAAAGCCGTTATTGAAAAATGAGTGTTGAAATTTCATCGATCGATCAGTTTCAAGAAATTTTACAAAAGGACAATGAACAAGCCATTTTGCTAAACTTTTATGCTCCTTGGGCTGCTCCTTGCCAACAAATGAATCAGGTTTTCGATCAATTTGCCAAAGATACCCCAGAGGCCACCTTCCTGAAAATTGAAGCTGAGAAGTTCTCTGACATCGCCGAATCTTTTGACGTTACCGCCGTCCCCTTATTCGTTTTAATCCACGGCCAAAAAGTTCTTGCTCGTATTTCGGGTGCCAACCCTCAAAAACTCAAATCCGCCATCGACGAGTATATCCGCCCCATCATCCAACAGTCTTCCACTACACCCTCTACCGGTGCTCCAGACGTTAACGTTGGATCTGTTCAAACAAACGCCGTCCCTTCCGGTGCAAAGGCTGCTAATGGTTTGGATGTCGAAACTGATAATCGTTTACGCACCCTCACTAACGCCCACGATATTATGCTCTTCATGAAAGGAACTCCTTCCGAACCTGCTTGTGGATTCAGCCGTAAGTTAGTTGGTATGCTCCGCGAAAGAAATGTTCAATATGGGTTCTTCAACATTTTGGCTGACGATGCCGTTCGTCAAAGCTTAAAGGTCTTTTCTGACTGGCCTACCTTTCCTCAACTTTACATCAAAGGCGAATTTGTTGGTGGTTTGGACGTTGTAGCTGAAATGATGGAAACCGGTGAATTTCAAGAAATGCTCACTTAAAAGAATCCTTTCTGTTTACCTTCCTATTACCCTTACTACTTTTGTTCTTTTTGGCGTTTTATTATTTTATGTGTCTATAGATTTTTCTTTTCAAACACGTTAGCTTAGCATATTGCAGATAATCAAAGCATACACTCCTTCAAGACATTGTTTTAACCAATTATACTAGACATTCACCATATCAAATATTTATACCGACCTAATTCACAAACATTACAATCACTACAAAGACTCTTAGGAAACTCCTAATATCAAATTACCGTTTAGAATTAATATCGAGTAGTACACTCCCACAATTCTTCTACCTATTCATTCACATCTACATAATCCTCTTTAAACACACAACACTGCACTTATGAAATAACCCGTATGACCCACTTTCAACAATACTTTCCCGAGAAATCAATACGAACAAATCCTCTTACCGAATATATAAAATAAGAGTTCTAATTCAGAGTGAACAGTTTCCCAAATCCTCTACATTTCTTGTATCTCTGACACAACAACTGTAAAGAATTCAGAAACACGTCAGAAAACGCCAACTACCCTACATGAATCGACCAAAAAGGAAACAATTCATGCAAGAGATCATCGCCTTGAACAGATGCCATTATGCAACTTGATCCAAAAAGGATCCAGCTACAAAGCATCCATTCAGTAAGAAAGTAATATCTCACTCTTCGGGCAATGGCGCTACCGATCATCATCCGTGTTGAGTTCTGTGGCTAGGTTAGGAAACCCAAGCCGGACGCATACTATAGAAATGATCCTATGGAGTATCGTCGATGGTTTACAATGGAGCGAAAGGTCTGATATTTATAGTAAATGCAATCCAAAAAAGCAGTCACAGCTCAACAAAAAATGGAAAGAAAGCAGTCCTCGTCGGCGAATCATATACCAAGGAAGACTGTAGAATTTTTTGCTGCTAGTACGCTGCTTATCGCTAGTAAATAAATATGCGACGAAGATGATTGAAGAAGGGTTTCGAAAAATTATGACAAACTTTCTATGATTGTTGAAGGTTTTCTGATGTCTTTGTAGTTGTATTGTCTGATTTACTGTACAATTCTGCCTAGGAACACCCTAGTAAATCTGTTTGTAGAAATACTAAAAATTTAAAGAGACAAGAGGAACACACACTCTTTTTTTATTTTTATTTTTTTATTTAATTTTTAGTTTTAGTCTTATTATTAACTTTTAGTCTTTTTTTTTTTTTTTTCTTTTTTTTTTTAGTAGGAATCTAAGATTAGTATTAGGGATTCAATAAATGCATAGAATATAAGTGCCAAGAAAACATATCTTAATCGTTTCACACATTAAATCCAGGATAGAATATAGTGAATCGAACTTGTACGCATCATTATTATCTAATTTGACTATTCTATCTCTATTCTCTTTCTTTATAGTAATTACTAAAGTTTCAATTTCTAACTGTGGTCTCTATTTTTTTTTGGACTAGAGACCATGTTATCTAAAATTCAATATACATCATGGTAAATAGAAATAAATAGCAAACCGAAAAACTAACCCATTCTATTTCTAGTTATTGCGAAGAAAATATCTATCAGTTGGCAGAGCATGTTGTAAAAGAGAAGCCACCTCAGCTTCAAGCATATGTAGTATTTTTATCAACACCAACGAAAACGGTAAGCGATCTTTTCATTTACGAAAGAGACTGTCTAATTTGAATGATGAATTAGATGCCAATCTGGGAGCAGTCAAAGTCACCATTCGTTATTTGGGTAAGGTCGTGATTTTGTAGAAACAAATAAATTATAATCATCAAGTCATTGAACAAGAAGGTCATAAAGCTCATTTATATAAAAGAAGAGGAATCGTCATGTGTCTTGCTTGCTTAAAGGAAAAGAACGAAGAAAGCAAGACTCTATTTATTTTATACACTTTCATTATGCATCAAGATGAAACAAAACTGTTGACCAATTTTAGGATTATCACGTGGTGCTTTTGACAAGAAGTCTCAAAAATCCCAAGGAAGGATGGTTTGTGTGGGACCCAGATACTAGATTATCAATTCCCTGCTCTTTGGAACAGTATCTTGAACAAGCGCTCCGTCGAGACTTGGAACATCTTCCTGGGCAACCGCTTGTGTATGGAAATCTCTGCTACGAAACGAACAGAAAATATAGAGTTATTGATGCGAACACGTTTGTCCAACATTTTGGCTCTGATCGCTCACATATGAAAACCGACACAGGCGAATGGCTTTCCCCTCCGCCATCGTATCCTTGTATAGGAAAACGAATGAATCTCTCACAATATACGAATGTAAACGAAAAAAAAAACGGTACTATCTTTGGCATTGTCTATAGTGAAGACGAGTTTCGACAAAAGTTTCAAACACGGATTTAGGAAGAGACGATGGGAACACAACTCAAGCAATACGTTTCGCTATCAAAGGTTCTACAAGTAATACGGTTAGCAATCCATAAGATATCTAACCCAAGACGGGTTCCTACTCTAGAGAATAACATTCAACGCAGTACATTAGTCAATTATTAAAATTCATACCTTTCTTCTTTTGAACAGCGAGAACAAACAGTACTTTCGCAATTCAAACATTCACGAAGACATATACAACACGTGGATTTTTTACAATATTCACAGAAAGCAACGCGCGTTCTTGAAGTAGTTTTTTTATAACAAACATGACAAAGTTTGACCATGCGAGAATCCCCAAGGGCAGCATCTTTGATTGCAGCAGTTGTGGAAGCTACGCTCCAAGGATTGTAAACAAGTCCAGAATTAGATATGGGCGACGCGCTTTCCCTGCAAAGCATGGGCTTTGTCCGTTTATTTCTGTTTGGTCTATAAAAATTTCCAACAGTGTTCCGTTTTAAAACCATAGTTTACGATACAAAGTGGGAGACGAGGTAGGGCAGTTGAAAAAAAAAAAGATTCTTTGTTCGTCCAACATGCCAAGTCGCCTATATTCCAGTTATGAACAGGTAGCATACCTCATGTTACCTGCTTTGTAAAATACAAATAGTTTACAGAAAAAAAAAATACTAGGAAAAGGAATAACATAGAAATATGGAAAGAAATAGATGTAATTGAGAGGAGAGATGAGAATAATCATAGTTTTTATAATAACTATTTTATAATTTTTGATGAATAGTTTTCAAATACAGCATTGTTTTTCGACGCAAAATAAGGTAAAATGGACATGATGAAAAACGGAGAGAGAGAGAGAGCGAGAGAGAGAGAGAGAGATAGAGGAAGAAACTGGAGAGAAACTTTGACATATGACAAAGAAAGGATAGAAAAGACATGTATGACCAAACTGGATGATCATGCATAATGATCGCTTTCAGCATTGGTCAACTGAAGGAATCAAACATTTCTTTAAAATGAATGATTGTTTTTTTCTTGAAAGAATATGCTCCATTATGGAGAGAAATAGCTTCTTTGTCAATGAATCGTTTACACCTTGTAACCATATTGAGCCATGCATCTGTAAATTCGTGTTAGCATCATGATTGGACCCAAGCGCGATTGAACACTCATTACTCATTACATACTGTCGATGGGCTTCAATTAATTGGGCACAGTCAATGGCACCATTTTCTGTATTCAACATACACTGATCACGGGCTTGTTTGGTTTCCGGACAAGCACAGCAAGGCTAGTTAGACAACAATTAGCAAGCTGAATGTAGAAATTACAATCAAGACGTAAACGTCGAGTCTTCTTACCTTTGGCTTTTCCTCAGAAGGAGCAGCAGGAGAATTTGAGGCAACGTTTTCAGCAGCAGGCATGGTCAAAAAAATAATATCTGTTTGGCTTTTTTCTCAGAAAGAAGAGGCACGTAAGATGACAAATATGGAATTCAAAGGATACTTCACTGGTAAAGTGATAAAAGATGGGTAGGATTGAAGTTTCCAAAACTTGGTTGAATTTTCAAATTGTTGCAAACTCGGTAAACAACGGTTACGGATGACAAATCAAATCCTTCAATTACCTAGTTCCTCTTAGTGGAAGCAAAAATAGAGCAGCAAAAGTTTCTTACAACGAACAGGTTTCATTGTTAAATGAGACGTCTTTATTTTCTTGTTTTCATCTTCCTTTAGAACAATATCAGTTTCTTTACCTTCCAAACTCTGTTGTTCTTTGTTGATTTTGTAGGTAACAATTGTCTTCTCACAGACACGGAGGACCTCACTCCATAAAATACGCCAATTGAGCGATAACAGTATTATCTATACCGAACTGGAGCTCACTATAAGGAGACTTGTCTTAACAAAAATAAAGAAAAACTCTATAAAACGAATTAATTTGTTAATGTCTAAATATATATAAAAGGGTCAGAGATACCTTTTTCACAACCACGAGTCCCATACTATATTGCTTGCAAGTGCTACAATATCATCTGTAGGCCATTTTATGGGATTCAAGATTAAATTAATGCTCATTTCGCTAGCAGTCTACCTATATCCGTGGAGACAGTCTTGATAGTAGTGTGCATACATGATTTCCGTTATGGTATATATTTATTTTTTTGCATAGCACTAAGGTAGAGGGAGAAACGATGGTTTCAGTTGTTGACAATAAATGATAAAAAAGCCTGTTTTGGATGAATTCTGTATATAGGGTATAGGAAGAGCTCATAATGCCGGTGTTTTAATGATGATTATGTATTTACTACTCTCTCTCTGGGATAAGTACGAGAGTACGAGAATGAACCGTATTGTACATTACTGCAATGGAGGATCCCTATTGCTTTTTGTATGGACTGTAGTGATAAATTGATTATTTATTGCCTTTAAATGCTATAGTAACCATTTGGAAACTTCATCAGCGTCTACGGCCACACCTAGGCGAAAACACCAGTTCCCGTCCGATCACTGCAGTTAAGCGTCTGAGGGTCTCGTTAGTACTATGGTTGGAGACAACATGGGAATCCGGGATGCTGTAGGCTTTTTACCGCTTCGTATTTAATTCTTTTCCCTCTTTGTGCTTATTTCTTTTTGTGGCTCTTTTTGTTGAAGCACACGGCTGGCATTTTGATCGGCATGGTCCTTTAATTAAGCTGATAATACTAGTTGATGTTGGAGACTGCAATGATTAGAACTAAAGGTCCTCCTAGACTTATGAAACGAATAGCAAGAATCAGAAATTAAAGCACCTAACGAATAAATAAAAACAAGAATTGGACCTAACTATATAGATACAATGACTATATCATCCAGTAATAAGCATCCTTACTTATCCAAAGTTGAAGAGATCAAGTAAGTCAAGAAAACGGACGCCATTCAGAAATTCGTCATGCAAAATGCATTTTTAAAATAAATATGCAGGGACGAAATAATCGAAACATAAACACAAACATAAGCATGAAGGAGAACAATCGAAAAGACCGGGCATTATAATAAATAACTTTACTTTACGTATCAATCAACTCCCACTGTTTTCCACATTCCTAGACTGACCCGGTTCCCGTCGTAACCCTGGAGAATGTTCAGCATGTTCAGAGGACGGTTGCTCCAAAGTATTATCACTACAACCATTAAGTTGATATTCAGGCTCGGACGGCATGCTGTTTAGTGGGATACGACTATCATCCGTCAATTCGTTTCTTTCCGACGGCATTCTGAAACCTAGAGCACTTGTAACAGCACTAATAATCCCAGAAAAAAGGCTAGTAATTCCAGAAAGAACTAGAGGAATCAGTATAACGATAAAATCCACCGACACTAAAAGCATCCCATTAGTAAAAATATAAAATTACAAATCCACCACTTCACTTACATGAACAAACAAATAAGAACATGTAGAAAGCCACGATGACAAGAACAGCTGCTACAGTAATTTGAAACCATAACAATACATATTCTTTCATTGATTCCTTTATAAAGGGGACAAGGTATTTGTAAGAAAAGAAAAAGTTCAATATAATTGAACCAATAAGGCACCAACCAAGCCGAAGAGCTTCATTCTCTTGTCTGCGTTGTGCTTCTGGGATTCTCGCAATGTTTGCCGGCAAGAAAATCAACCACAGTATTTTCTTACAGACCCGTAAAGAATTCGAGGGACCATTTCCTTGCGCCATGCCAATAGAAGCTTTTTGATGTCTTCTTCTTGAGTATGGTGGAACTGGATCTGGATCGGAATGTAAACATAAACAACCTTTCTCCATATTGTCAACATGAGAATACGGGATTTCGCTGTATTTCGGTAAGTAGCTGTCAGAATTTGTAGAAGAGCTCAAACAAGCAACTTTTGCTGGTTCGACAGTTTTTTGATGCCTTTCTCTTTCTTTTTCATCCATTTTTTTGTTGAAAATAACTATGTCTAAAGGAGTTTCTTAATTACCTTTGCTTGATCACTAAGTTACTGCGAAAATTATTGATTACAAAATAAAAGGACCAAAAAGCGTATAGTTTCGAAAACAAAAAGATCCCATATCAACTTGGTTTATACATTAAAGTAGGAATGACAAAAAGAGTCTTGAAACCCAGAAAATAAGCCCACAATGGCAAAGACTAGAGCTTTGCAGAGGTGAAGCTGTCATCCAACCCATTCGACATCTAAGTGATGCAGTTCGTTAAAGAGACTTATCGATAGTTAGTAAGCGCACGCTATTATATATATTATGAATGAATGAACAGTTGGAAATCGCTTTTGTTTGTTTCTATCGTTTAACTACCATAAATTTAATAAAGATGAAAAGAAAATGCACTTGTCCGTACAAATTTTGTTTACCATAGTTCGACGTCGCATCTACAAACTTTCCATGTATTTACAGATTTGAAAATAAAACTACGAAAATGGGAGTGTTGTAGCTTTCTCCTAGAAATCATTCAGCCGCAGTCATTAAACTTTTAAATCAAAAATACGCATTTTCAATTCCTTGTTAGCATCATTCAAAGCAAACAGCATGGTTGTTTTGCCAAATGCTCATTTGTTCCTTTGTTTACTTTTTGTAATAAACAGCGACTCTTTTAGATTATACTATTACGAGAAATCGCAACGAGGATGTGACCAGTCGGTGACATAATGTCGCAGCTTTTATGAATTGAAACATGCGAAAAGCCACTACCAAGATTTTATGAAACTCGTATCTTTGGTTTTAAAGAAAGTGTGCTGTAAAATTTGGTTGCTTTTTGGAACAAGCTCCAATTCCTATTTTTGAAGACTGCAACAATTGGAACCAACTCTTAAGAACTTTTGTTGGCGATTCTAGTTGATTTTGATTAGATTGCAACTGCAGTTGTTAGTTTGTGATTTAATGTGGCATTGTAACCATGAAGAATAAATACACTCCTGTTTCAGATTCTGATGAGTCTTTCAAAACACTCATTGATGAAAAGACAGACATCCATTCTTCAGATGGTACGCCTCCTCCTTATTCAGGTAAGATTTATTGAAATAGAAAGGTAATGGTGTTTGTTATTGAGAGTTATTACTGAGGAATCCTATTTTAAACTTGTCGACGATTGTCAATAACAGGACGAACGCCTCCATCCTCTGGTAAACAACGAAAACTTCAGTTACTAATACATTCATTAGCTTCAAACAAATTTATCGATTTAGAAATGGCTGACGGATCCGCTCAGAATTCCGCCCAAGAATCTGTTGATAACACCAGGTCGGATCCTTTAACAAATGAGAAGTGGTGGGAAAACTTTTCCATAGGCACAGCGACTATTATACTCTTTTATAATGTTGTTTGTCTAGTCATAATTTTTGGTTACAAGGTTTCTCCGTATTCAATAGCTTTTTATTGGCTTGCTGCCATTTCTATTGGATCTATTTTTATTTTCCTATTAAGTAAGTTAAAAATATTTTGTTCTCGAATAACTGACCTATTTTTAGCGATTCTTGTAACGTATCCAGGATGGTACAGGGAAGCTGGAAGAGCAACCAAAAAGGTTCTGAAGAAATCTGGAAGAGCAATAAAGAAATTCACACCAGCTGTATGTAAAGCCCTAATTATACTGATAAGTTGAATGGAGTCGGGGGTTATGTTTTGAAACTAGCAGGAGGCTTCGAATATATACATTCAGCCATGGTGTTGGTTGTTCTGGCCGTATTGAACATATGCTTGTTTGTTCTTCTCGTTCGTAAGGTTTTATTTTCTATGAACTGTTCTAACTTGTCCAGGTAACCCAGACATTGTTGAAGATCATGTGACTACACGTCTAGTAAGTACATTTAGTATTTTTTTTTAGGATTCTTCGTTAACCTTTCAGAACAACAGAATTAGAAGGAATGGTCAACCTCGTAACGAAGAAACCGAACTTCAACCTCTCGCTGAGCAAAGCTCTGAAGTTTGAATGTGAGTGTGAGTTTCACCGAACTTGCTTTCATTTTTTGTACTTCGCCTTCGCCCCTTCCTTGGGATCATCGATGTCAATTGCAGTCCACCAAGATCCCTGTGTTTGCTGTCACAAAAGCTTGAATCTGATGAGTCCAGAAGACTTTGATTGCTTTAGTAATTCACTCTTTTACGACTTTTCTAATTAGTTCACAGCACTGTTGTTTATGCACCGTTCATTTTCTTCGCAATCGGAATAGAACATCCTTTTTAATGATTTTGACAACGAATATTGCATGGCAATGAGCTATTGTTTAGTTCAACATCGAGTCGCGTAATTGATTATGTTTTAGAATTGGCAAGAATGAATGTGAGTTTCGATAGTTATTATTTTCATTCAGTATAGCAAGCACGAATCTTCAGATCAAAAAGATCAAAAGATCAGACATATCTTAATACATTGATTAAACATTCATTTAGAGAGTTAAATCAACGGAAGATGAAATATTGCAAGTAGAACCCAATTTGTATAAACTACATTCTCAACCCATAAACCCAAACGCTCATTTTAACACTCATTCTGATGCTTTTTCAAACAATGTGAATCAATAGAATAGAAAATGGCAGTTTGTATTCAAATCTTATTTTTATAATATGAAAGCATTCTCCATTCCGCCGTGGAAAACAACCAAAATTTAGAGCCGAGTAGAGATGCTTTTAAACGACATCAAACGTAATGAAATACTGGACGAGTCCTTTATAATAGAAGTAGATTGATAGAAAAATTGAGTCGTCTACGGCTACACCTAGGCGAAAACACCAAACCAGTTCCCGTCCGATCACTGCAGCAGGTGAAAACGTTTGACGGCCTCGTTAGTTTCGTACTATGGTTGGAGACAGCATGGGGATTCGGGGTGCTGTAGGATTTTCCTTTGTTCTTTTTGTTTTTTTTATACCTCTTAGTATAACGTATGCATGCATTGTGTTGCATTTGGATTTCCTTTTGATCGCCATGGTACTTTGAGTTAGGTGATGTTTTGCATATGGAAAAAGCTAAAGCAATGGACCTCAATCAAGAGTATAGTAATGGAAAAGATGTGTAATGAATAATATGCAAAAAAACAAGCATAGCCCAAGCTAAAGGACAATCAGAAGACCGGACCCAGCATACCAAAGATTTCCTTTTCATCTACATCAACTTTCACTGTGTTTAAAGCCCCTAGATAGACAGATTTCTTCAAGGATTTTTTAATAAAGTTATTTTTAATTCCTATTTGTTGTATATATCATTTAAAGTATACAATCTGTATTTTTTTTATAAAAGGTCCTTTTGTTTACTTTTTGTAATAAAGGCTCGTTTGGATTATGCTATTACGAAAAAGTACGGTAAAAAACGAAACTCGAATAATCGTAACGAGGATATGACCAGTCAGTGACATAATGTCGCTGCTTTATGAACTTGAGACATGCGAAAGGCCACTACCAAGATTTTTTTTTTTTATTCCTATCTTTGGTTTTAGACTGATTTTACTCAAGGTATTGATTTTCTTTAGAAATAAGGAACGATTCCTTTTTTTTTAAAGATCTCTGAAAGGTGGAATTGATTTCTACGGACTTTTCTTGGTAATTCTAGTTAATTTCGAACTAGCTATAGATATTGGTGTTCTTTTGGTTTTTGGTTTGCCATTGCAAAAATGAAGAATAAATACATCCCTGTTTCAGACTCTGACGAGTCTTTTAAAACGCTCATTGATGAGAAATCAGATATACATTCTTCAGAGGTTACGCCTCCTCCGTATTCAGGTAAGATTTACTGAAATAGAAAGGAAGGGTTGGTTTTTTTGTATGTTTGTAATCCAGTTATGGAGATTTCTTACTGAGGAATCCTATTTGTTTATTTGTTTGTTGTTTTTAACCTTGTCGACGATTGTCAATAAACAGGATGAATACCTCCATCCTCTGGTAAACAACGAAAACTTCAGTTACTAATACATTCATTAGCTTCAAACAAATTTATCGATTTAGAAATGGCTGACGGTTCCGTTCAGAATTCCGCCCAAGAATCTGCTAATAATACTAGGTCGGACACTTCTGAAAAGAACAAGTTTCAATGTCATTTTTGGAGAGGAATAGCGACTACTCAACTTCTTTTATATCATTCTGTTTTTTTAATCATAGTCTTCGGTTACAAGATTCCTCTGAATACAGGTGTTTTTTATGGGCTTGCTGGCGGTTCTATTGGATCCATTATTATTTTCGTAATTGGTAAGCCAAAGTGCGCTTTTTCCTTTAACAGCTAACTTATAATTAGTAACCCTTATAGCCTATCCTGGATGGTTCACCCAAGCTGGGTGCAACATGTGTGTCGCAGTGATATATACGGGTCTTCTGAACGTCGTTGGTTTCGTATTCTATCGTAATGTAAAGAAAATAATAGGATTTGAAAAGATGAATGATATTGCTTTCTATGGTGTCTGCTTTGTTAACGTTGCCGTGTTTGTTTTATTTTGGAGTATGTCTTTTAATCTGCGAAATATTCTAACTGTTCTAGGATATCCAGATGCGCGACAACTTCGAATATTCATTGCTGATTTAGGAAACGGCATAACAAATGCTGCGAATTATGTTCGTATGTACTCTTTATTATAACTTTTTTCTTTTCTTAGCATCTGACTAACCTAATTAGGACCGACAGATCCGGAAAATGAAGCACCTCATAACGAGGAAATCGAGCTTCAACCTTTTGCTGGGCAAAGCGCTGAAGTTTGAGTTTTAACGAATCTTTTCCATCCCTCCTATAAATCACATTTCCTTGGAAGCATTCATATCAATTGCAATCCCTCGAGTTTCTGCATTCTTGTCCACAAAAGTAAGCACAGCTTCATTCGGCAGGTTGGATTGCTTTTCACGTTCACTCTTTTATGGATCTAAGAATTCGTTTCGCAATAGTGTTATTTATGAATCGTTCGTTTTCTTTCTGACGAACATCCTTGTTAATGCAACCCTTTTAATGATTTCATTCACAGCATAAAAAGCACAAATCTTTCAACTTGAACGATCCGACTTTTATAGCCTAATGAATCAAATTGTCGTCTACTTAGAGAGTCAAGTAAATGAACTGAAACACGAATTATCAGACTACAACTTCCATGCAGCCATGTAAACAGACACAGATGAAACTGAACAAATTACAAGAGTTAAATATCCACTATACATATTTTTTATTACACTGACAGTTGTCTACGGCCATACCTAGGCGAAAACACCAGTTCCCGTCCGATCACTGCAGTTAAGCGTCTGAGGGTCTCGTTAGTACTATGGTTGGAGACAACATGGGAATCCGGGATGCTGTAGGCTTCTTGCTTCAATTTTATTGATATTTTTTATTACTACGTTTAGGTAGATTCACACTGGAAAATTACTATTGTCATTCCTTCTTGCAGGATGTTCCTTGAGAAGTAACATGAAGCAAAAGAAAGGGTCAAATCTGAAGAAACGAAATTACAAAACTTTAGAACAGAAATTAAACAGTCGCCTTTGTGTCTAGCGAAAAACAGTTGTGGTATATACGCATTTCCGACTCATTATTTCCGGGATAAAAAAGAAATTGAGTGCATAGCTTCAATCAAAATTAGCAAATTTCATTACAACGAAATAAAAAGAGAAAAATAAAAACCATCTTCGTGTTCACTTTTAATGTTAGTCGTATGCGGAGAATTCCATGCATTGCCATATTATTGACAGATGAAAGAAATGCGATATAGATAAGGTGCTGTTATGTAAAGGTGAACTCGTGCACGGAAGAAGCTTGTTTGAATGAATATTAAATATATATATGGATTCTAAACAGTCCAGCTACTAGATAAATTAAATACCGATAGTTTCATTCGTACTTTTTACCCTCCCATATGAAGATGAAATTAGCAATTAATGGGATGTGAAACCTCCTCTTAATATTTCATAAGATCTGTCCGATTACGGGTAATTCTCGTATCAACTTTTGCAGCTCCGAGTCACAAATAATAATACCTTGTAAACCCACTTTTTTCTAAATAATTATAAAAACGGAAGAGTCGAGTTTGCTAAGGATTATACCTATTATCTTTGAGATTGCTATACAGAACCTGTCCGGTTTTTTCCTAGAAAGGTAATCAATTTCTTTCCCTTTATTTTAGCAAAAATTAGCCTTCGTTTTAATCTTGAACTTAATTTTTATCAGGTTGATGTTGTTTTCTATCATGATACCATGGGTTTTGATCAATTTTCAAACAATAAACCTTCAATTATTATTCTGTAAATCTGCACATGATTCGCAATGATCTTCATACACTCCACAATGTAATTACTCTAAAAGTCGGTCACTCTTCCTCCATAAGAGTAATCACCATGAATAGTTGGCTCCTTCTTGGGTCCTCCAACTTCTCCAGTCTATCCATATTAGTATATCATTCTTCATTTTACATTATTCTCATTCTTTTTACGAAGAAACTCGTACCTCAGGATTCACATTCCCTTCAAAGTCGTGGAATCTCGTCCGCTGAGCAACATCAACAGGTTTTTGACCAGCTTCCTTTTGCAAACGATTCCATTCTTCTTGTTCTTCTTTGTTTAATGGAGGTGGAGACGGTCTTTTGAATCCACCGGGTGGTCCATGAAGATATCTTTTCGGAATGGCAATATTAACTTTAAAAGAAGATTTCCAAGCTGCTAAATTCCTCATCTTATTATTATTCTTTTTCCGTGTAATCAAATTTCGGTTCAATGCCTAACCAAAAGGGCAACTTTTATAATTCAATTTTTGGTGCAATGAAGTCCGTTCAAACCGATAAGGAAGCTTAAAATATTGAATTTCTATAGAATCCAAAAGCCACCAAGCTATATATATATACGTCTTATAAGGTGTTATGCGAAATCTGAAATTTGATGATGTTGAGCTCTACGACTAGTGCCTTCTACATCACACTGAATCGAGAATTATAACCATCTCAAAATATACAACTAAAACGCAGTTTCCCAAACAAAGAATGAAAGAAAGCCTTTATTACTTAACTAAAGTGAATAAACTCTTGAATTTTTAAGAAATTTTTTTAAATCATAAAAGTCATAACCATGAATTTTTTCGGTGAATGGGCTACTTGACTGTTTGTTTTGACTACCACTTGACTAAATAAAACTATTCATAATACGACTCATGTAATTACTCTTTAGCGAAAATATGATTCTATAGCATCAAACACCAACAAACGGTATATTTTTATGAGATTTACCTAAATAGACAATGACTGAAGCTATATTGAATAAGTGAACGGCATCTTTGGGAAAAGAATAAAAAGAGAAAAAGAGCGAGCGTTCAACGCAAACATGGTCCAATATCGATAAAAAGAAAGGAAAAAGGCAGTTAACAACAGTAATTGTAAATAAATGAAAGAAGTTATATAAAATATGAATGGGAACGTTGAGATGAGCACACAATTTAAATTATGATTTGTATGTAAAAAAATCCTAAAAGAGAACAGAGAGGTTTAATATTCAAGAGGTTCCTTCTCTTCTTCGATCTCGTAGTCTTCATCAATTTCATCAATACCAGCTTCTTGATATTGTTGATACTCGCTGACAAGGTCGTTCATATTGGACTCAGCTTCAGTGAATTCCATTTCATCCATACCTTCACCAGTATACCAGTGCAAGAAAGCCTTTCTTCTGAACATAGCAGAGAATTGGTCACCCAAACGCCTAAAGACCTCTTGAATCGATGTGCTGTTACCAATGAAGGTAGCAGACATTTTAAGGTCTTTAGGAGGCACGGAACAAACAGCCTTGAGAACATTATCGGGAATCCACTCAACGAAATAAGCAGAATTCTTGGTTTGGACAGAGCGAATTTGTTCGTCGACTTCCTTCATAGAGACCTTACCACGGAAGAGAGCGGCAACAGTCAAATAGCGACCATGGCGAGGATCAGCTGCAACCATCATGTTATTAGCAGCGAACATTTGTTGAGTAAGCTCAGGAACGGAAACAGCTTGGAAAGAGCTAGATCCAATAGCAGCAAGAGGAGCAAAGCCGACCATGAAGAAATGCAAACGAGGGAATGGAACCATGTTAACAGCCAACTTGCGCAAATCAGAGTTGAGCTCACCAGGGAATCGGAAAGAAGTGGTAACACCAGCCATAACTGCAGAAACTAAATGGTTGAGGTCATCATAAGAAGGGCTCTTAATTTTGAGGGTATTAGCAAAAATAGAAGACAAAGCTTCATTATCGATACAGAAGGTTTCATCAGAGTTTTCGACCAATTGATGCATAGAAAGCGTAGCATTATAAGGCTCAACAACGGTATCCGAGGACTTGGGAGCAGGGGCAACAGAGAAGGTTGCCATCATACGGTCGGGGTATTCCTCACGAATCTTTGAGAGCAACAAAGTACCCATACCGGAACCGGTACCACCACCCAAAGAGTGGGTTAATTGAAAACCTTGAAGAGCATCACAGGCTTCAGCTTCACGACGGACAACATCCAAAACAGCATCAGCCAACTCAGCACCTTCAGTATAGTGACCCTTGGCCCAGATGTTTCCAGCGCCAGATTGACCGTAGATGATATTGTCAGGACGGAAGAGATTACCAAACTTTCCTCCCTTGACAGCATCCATAGTACCAGGTTCTAAATCGACAAGGACGGCGCGAGGAACATATTTTCCACCAGCAGCCTAAAACAGTAAGTAACGTGTCCAGCTCAATATTCTAGTAACGACATGTTTTATAAACGCGTCGAAATTATTTTCAATCATACCTCATTAAAGTAAACGTTTAACCGTTCGAGTTGATCCTCAGAGTCACCGCGGTAGCTATTACAATCGTTAATTTGTATTCAAACTCAAATTTCTTCTTATACATACATTCCCTCAGCATCCAATCCATGTTCATCGGCAATCTGAGACCTTTATTCCGGTTAATACTGTTTTTCTTTGTCAAATGGAATTTTCATACCAAAAGGAGGCACCAACTTGGTTACCGCACTGACCAGCTTGAATATGAACCTACTAAGTTAGTTTAATTAATTAAAATTCTCTTACAATCTCACGCATCTATGTTAGTTTGTTGAGTTTTGTTTTGATATTGGTTTGGTGGTAGGTAGGTTTGGTGCACCATAGCGATTTAGTATAGCAAATCAAACAATTCCGCATAAACAATGGACTGTCTATAAAAAATATATAATTGTAATATTTAATTTTTTAATAACAAGGTAAGTTAAAATTTTATGTATGTATATTTCAAACATGTTGCAGGACATTGCCTCTTGCTCTCTTACAGTTTATGCTGTTAAATAGTAGTTTGTTTAATGAGCGGATGATAAACTTGTTCTTTCATTTCTTTGCGTTTTACAAGCCGTTGCTGCTACTTTTAATCTTACATTTTTAATGCGGTTTTAATGAGCGGGTACATATGGCATTGACGATTTAGTAGAGCCTTCAATGATCTTATACATCTTTAGCACATGTTCAACTTGAGCAATCATAAGTATAGACTCAATTACTTTTTTACTACTCACACTTTGAGATTGTTAACAAATTTTAAATTATATCGATAATCACATAGAAATCGTTACAGTATAACGAACAACATGGATAATATAAGCAAAAAATCCGATATCTACCCTTTTAAGGAAATAATGAAGAACCAAAGAAACCCAAATTATCCTAACCTCGGCAAGCACATATTCAACCTATAAATAACCATCACAAAAATGTATTAAAGTTAACCCAGAGATATAGTTCAATTGCGCGCACTCTTTTTTTTTTAAAAATCATTAATATCAAACTCCTTAGCCCATTGAGAAACAACTTGCTTATCATCTGAGGCGGAAGTCTCTTTGGTGGTAGTTTCAGGTTCAGCCCACCATTGAATGTGTCCTGCATGCCAATCATTAATGATAATACTGGCAGCAGCATTCAAGTTAGGAATACCACCACGAGATAAACGACCACGTTTACGAGCTACGTTCACCAAAAAGTCCGTAGCAGTGTCCAACTCAGATGTATTCAATAGAGGAGGAAGTTCGTACTGATTGAGCATTCGCTCAAGTAGACCAGGAATGCGGTTAAGATAGTTAAGGATATAGGCTGCAGCAGGCACGGGGTCATCAATTTTCGAGGAAGGAATAGCATTTAATAATACTAAGCGATAACGTTCATCTTCCTTACTAGCGGTTGGGAAAACAATACCGGGACTATCAATCAAACGCAACTTGCTATCCAATTTAACTTCTCGCAAAGCCCTAGTCATACCAGCAGCACTGCCAGCAGGACAGGGGGTAGAACGAGAAGAGGCAGATCTGTTTACAAGAGCGTTGATGACTGACGATTTACCCACATTAGGGTAACCAATGACACTAACAGTCAAAGAAGTCTTAAGCTTTTTCTTGGAAGAATAAGACTTAAGAGATTTCAACAAGGCGGAAATTGTACCATTGGAAGAATATGTCTTATGTTTAAAGCCGGAGGATCCAGAAGACGAGCGCAAAGGAAGAGTGGGGAAGTGAGCACGCAAATAGACGAGCCAACGGTCCAAAACTTCAGGGGGGACGAGATCAATCTTGTTGACAACATAGACAAGACGCTTTTCCTCGGCAGCAGAAGCAACAACTTGTTGCTCCACTTCTTTAGAACGTGTGCCTTCGGGATCACGAGCATCCAAGACGTAGAGAACAATATCCGAGAGCTCAACAGCCTTTTTGAACTCTTTATCAAAAGCCTTTCTAGAATTGTCACTTTTAACAATTCGTTCGGAAGCGTCCAAAGAGCCATCATCAACCAAAGCAGGAGCATCGTTCTCATCATCTTCATCCATAACAGCATCGTCCTCTTCCTCAGCTTCTTGTTCCTCGGCATCCTTAGCTTGTGCTGCTTCGGCAATCTTTGCAATCATAGGATCAACACCATCTGGTCTCTCTTCCTCATCAGCTTCCTCTTCCATTTCACTGTCCTCTTCCTCCTCCATATTTCCTTGTGACCTAGCGGCTTCCCTGTTGGCAATCTTTTCTTCTTCCCTTTGTCGCTTTTGTGCCTCTATATCAGCCAAAATACGATCTTTGTAAGGGAAAGAATTGGGGATACCAGGGTCCTTCGGAATTCTGCTTTTCCATTGAGGGTTCTTCTTCTCAAGCTTTCTTTCTTTTCTGCGAGAACTAGCAGCTTTTTTTTCAATTCTCGCACGGAGGCGAGTAGTCCTTCTTTTACTTTTTTTTCCTGCTTTTGTTAGCTTCATTTATGATTTTTTTCTATGACTTACTTATCGAAACCATCGTGATACAAAAACTTGCTAATTGCAAATTTCACTCACAAGGTTTGCAGAATGCAGCTTTTCACAGAGGTCACCAACACTACAATGAAACCCGGTAACAAGTGTTACCTAATACCAATTGTAAAAGGAGGATATTTTATAAAAAAAAAAAATTGAAGTTAAGTTCTTTTTCACATTATTATTGAGTTTAAAGCGTATCAATATGCCTTGGTGAAATAATATTGGAAAATCACATTCTAAAAAAAAGATTTTAAAGTCAAGATACAAGCGTTTACTATCAGAGTACTTCTGCAGTCAGCGTTATTGTTTCAGTTTAACAAAGAGTGTAAATAGTAATAAGAAGTCTAATTCAGGATTTTTTTTTAAACATCAACAGAACATTAGTATGCTGATTCAAAGTCTAAATACAACGTAATATACAAATAGTAATTTAAAAAAGAATAAAAAACCAAAGGGGCAGTCAATCATCAAACCTTTTAGTCGGGCACATTTATGAATTTGTCTTTGAAGAGCGAGCTTCATGATAATAATAGCGAAGTGCATCTCGTCTAAAGTTCCTCATTTTCCCTAAAGATGTGTTATAATTCGATACATCATTCATTAAAGCAAGGGAATATTTCTCTTGAAAATTCTCTCCAAAACCAGACATTGTTTGATCCATTGAACTTGTTTCAGGTTTCACGGAAGAAGACCGAGTACTACTGAGCATAGAGTTATCTAAATGAGAAAATTCCTCGTCTGCCCATGACCAATTAGCATCCCAAAGATCCTTATGAAGCTGGGGATCAACAGTCCCTTTCAGCAATATTTTAGGGCCAAAGGCAAGAAAGACTTGTCTTGCAGGAACAATGCTCAATTGACGAAAGCGATACTTTTGAGCGAGTATTCCCATATAAACGAGCTGGTCTCTTTCGGCCTGGCTCGTTGAAATCTTACGTAAATTCGGGGTTTTATGAAACATAAAATAACTGTCCTTGAATCCAAGGATCCTTGCACATTCTGTTCCAAGCATATACAATACATCACCTCTTCCATTTAAGCAAAACGTTCTAGCCTTGTACTCTAAACCATCAGCAAGTCGTCCATACTTGTCAATCACGGCATTCGAAGTGACACTTTCGAATTTCTTGTCTCTCTTTTCCAGCGTATTATCTGTATTTACATGGTTCGTTTCCGGGGTGTCCTTAGCAGGCTCTTCTGGTGCTGCTGAAGGGGTTTCTGCTATATCATGGTCATACACAGTGTCATTGTGTTCCTCTTCAGGTAAACTTAGAGATGGCCTTCTGAAATCTTGTTCATAATATGTGGTGTTCATTTTCTCGGTATCAAAGCTCGCTTCGAGCCCAGGAACTGAAGTCGAGTAATTTGTTTCAATATCCATCTCTTGTTCTTCATCTATATTTATGAGCATAAATACAATAGTTCTAAAATTTCTTACTCATTTTGAAAAGGAAGATTTGATTTTCTTTTTCTTTTCTTAGGTTAAAGGTCAATCATTGCTGGAAGTTGGTGAACGAGCCATAAAATGTTTGTAGTCATTGTTAAGAATAACATGCTGAAAGGATAAGCAGCAAGTAAATTTTGGATATTTATTTCAATTCGTTTTATATATTCAATCCCTATTGTATTAAGCTTTATTTTAGTCATTAATCATCCCGGTAATAGCAACTTAAGATTTTCCTTCCAAGATATTTTTTTATTTCGAGTTACAATTTTATGTTGTCTATATAATAAAAATTTTCTTTTTTATTTACAAATCCATCCTGTTCTTGGATGTATTTAAATCCAGTCTTAATTATCATTTTACTAGTTTTCGTAATACAATATCGTGTTAGTCTACTATTAGTCTTTAATAAGATTCATTTGGAGAGCATCGCTCAAGTACACAAAGTGCTAAAACGAGTACGCCCGATTTCGTAAAAGAAATATGATCGTTATTCTGTTTGTGCTTTTTCTCTTGCTTTCACTAACATTACTACAACAGCGACAGCTAAATAAACAGGAAGATGAGTGCAATTGGCTACAAACGGCCTTCATCTTCCGCTACAAAAGATCAAAAACCAAAAGTCTTTGTGCGAGCTGCACGAGGTAAGGTTCAGAAAATTGTTCGTGAACGATACCTACGAGATGATATTCCATGTCACAGTAAAAGCTGTCCATTGTGTATGTCTAAACTTCCAACGGACTCGAATGGAAATGAAATGGAGCCGATACTGTCCGAGGAACCCTTCTATTTAGAAAAATTCGGGCGTCACTATTTAATTCCTGATACTAACGTCTTCTACCATTGTATGGATGCTTTGGAACATCCTTCCAACTTCTTCGACGTGATTGTCTTACAAACTGTGCTTTCTGAAATCGCCTCTAAGTCGATTCCTCTTTACAACCGTATCAAGCGCCTGTGTCAAGAAAAAACAAAAAGGTTTACCCCTTTTAGTAATGAGTTCTTTTCAGAGACTTACGTTGATAAAATTGAGGGAGAATCACCCAACGACCGCAATGACAGAGCAATTCGTGCTGCTGCTTCTTGGTATACCGGTCACTTGGCTGGATTAGGAATTAAAGTTCTCCTAATTACAAACGACCGCCGTAATGCGGAAATTGCTGCTGAACAAGGTATACAAACTTCCACTTTGAAGGACTATGTTCAGTTTTTACCGGACTCGGAGGTATTGTTAGACATGATATCTGCAATTGCCGATGCCACTGCTGCTAATGAGAAGGCATCTTCCGAAACAAAAGCTATATACGAGCAACATTGGTCTACTTCTCGTATGCTAACCTGTATCAAAAATGGAGAAGTCCATAAAGGTGTACTAAACGTGAGCACCTATAACTTTCTTGAGGGCTCTATCAACACACCAGGATTTAATAAGCCTATTCTGATTTCTGGAAGAGAAAACCTGAACCGTTCCGTCCAAGGTGATGTTGTCTGTGTTCAAATTTTACCTCAAAGTCAATGGAAGACAGAGGCGGGAGAAATAGCCAGCGATGACGAAGATGTATTAGTGAACGCTTCCGCTGAGCCAGATGCTTCTCGTAGTATTGACCTTGAAACCCCTACCAGTAAGAAAGCTCACCCTACTGGTAAAATCGTCGGTATTTTGAAACGGAACTGGAGGCCCTATGTTGGACATGTCGACAATACTACTGTAGCCCAATCCAAGGGTGGTTCTCAACAAACGGTTCTTCTTACTCCCATGGATCGCCGTATCCCTAAGATTCGTTTCCGCACTCGACAAGCCCCTCGACTACTTGGCCAGCGAATCGTAGCCGCTATCGATACTTGGGAGGCAACTAGTCGCTATCCTGAAGGTCATTTTGTCCGTGCTCTTGGTGAAATGGAAACTAAGGAAGCCGAAACAGAAGCTTTATTGCTTGAGTATGATGTACAACACCGACCATTCCCCAAGGCTGTATTAGATTGTCTTCCTAAGGAAGGCCATAACTATAAGGTACCAGCGGACAAATCTGATCCTCTTTGGAAGAACAGAAAAGATTTCCGAGATCTCTTAATTTGCAGTATTGATCCACCTGGATGTCAAGATATTGATGATGCTTTGCATGCACGTGTTTTGCCGAATGGAAACTTTGAAGTTGGTGTACATATTGCTGATGTAACCCATTTTGTGAAACCACGAACTGCTATGGACAGTGAAGCAGCTTCTCGTGGTACTACAGTTTATTTAGTTGACAAGCGTATTGATATGCTTCCTATGTTATTGGGTACAGATCTTTGTTCTTTGCGTCCTTACGTAGAAAGATTTGCATTCTCTTGTCTTTGGGAGATGGATGAGGATGCTAACATTGTTAATGTTTCATTCACGAAATCTGTAATTGCTTCGAAAGAGGCATTTAGCTATGCAGATGCCCAAGCCCGGATTGATGATAAAAAGATGCAAGATCCATTAACGAATGGCATGCGCATTTTGTTGAAACTGTCTAAAAAGTTAAAACAGAAAAGAATGGATGATGGTGCTTTGAATTTGGCAAGTCCGGAAGTACGAATTCAAACAGATAATGAGACATCGGACCCTATGGATGTTGAAATAAAGCAATTGCTCGAGACGAACTCCCTTGTCGAGGAGTTTATGTTATTAGCCAACATTTCTGTTGCTCAAAAAATTTACGATACATTCCCTCAAACTGCTGTTCTTCGTCGACACGCATCACCACCTCTTACAAACTTTGATTCCTTGCAAGATATTCTTCAAGTATGTAAAGGAATGCATCTTAAATGTGATACATCAAAATCCCTAGCAAAATCTTTGGATGAATGTGTTGATCCTAACGAACCCTACTTCAACACCTTACTGCGTATTCTGACAACTCGGTGTATGCTTTCAGCTGAGTACTTTTGCTCTGGTACAATAGCTGCTCCTGAATTCCGTCACTATGGTTTGGCAACCAGTATATATACTCACTTTACTTCACCAATTCGTCGTTACGCAGACGTTTTGGCACACCGACAATTGGCGGCAGCTATAGATTATGAGGTGTTGAATCCTGCCATTAGTGACAAGCAACGCTTAATTGAAATTAGCAATGGTATCAATTACCGCCATCGCATGGCACAAATGGCTGGTCGTGCTAGTGTTGAGTACTATGTTGGGCAGGCTCTGAAAGGAGGGATTGCTGAAGAAGATGCGTATGTGATTAAGGTTTTTAAGAATGGTTTTGTTGTATTTATTGCCAAATTTGGTCTTGAAGGTATTGTCTATACAAAGAGCATGACGAACATGTTGGAACCTAACGTTGAGTTTTTGGAAGATAAATATATGCTGAAAGTGGAAATTCGAGATCCACCAAAGCCCAAGATGGTCGAAGTTCAAATGTTTCAAAAAGTACGAGTACGTGTTGGTACAGTCCGTGATGAGCATTCAGGCAAACAAAAGGTAGATATTCGGTTGGTGCACTAAAGTTGACCAAAACCAATGTCCTTACAAGCTACAGTTTTGATGGTTTTTACAGGGAGACTATGGTTGATTTAAAAAATATAATAGAATAATGAATTTATCAGGTTAAATGGAATATTTTATTGTAAGACTTTACATCGTATAAGAGGAACTAGAAAAGCCTCATTGATTGCTTGTCAAAAGAAAACCCCTTAGCAAAAAGATCCTTTTCGTTAGATTTGAACTGTCTAGAACTGGTAAGAATCAAAAGGAAAAAGAAGGTACAACATGGTTAAAAAAGAACATTAAGTAGGATTAAGGGGGCTGGGAAAAGAAAGATATGGGCATCGTTACACATGTTTTTCTAAATTGAGTTTGGAAGGCTCTACGAAAAAACCAGTGGCCTTTACGCAGAGTGTAGGCTCTTCGTTGTCAGAAAGGCGATAAAGTTCACCGTAAATCCAACCCTTCCTTCCTTCTATTTTCGTAGTGTTACAAACGATCTTGTACAGGTGTCCACAGATAGAAGGGGCCACATAAGTTATATCCAAATTAACGGTGACGCCTAGGCGAGACGCAAAGTTGCCAAAAATACCGTAAGCCAAGGCTTCGTCGAGCATAGAAGCAATGAAGCCACCGTGCAAGATGTTTTTGTACCCGCACAATTGTTCGTTAGGATAAAAGAAGACAACCGAGCCCTTGCCAGACTTTTCAACAAAGTAGTAAGGACAGAATGCAAGGGCCTTTTGATGGACATAATTAGCGACCAGGGACTTATTTTCTTCAGATTTGTAAGGCTGGTAAAGGACATAATTTGGGTCATCCCTTACAAGTTGAAAGTCACTGTGAGCTGCTAATTTAGTTTCAGGCATGGTATGGATCAAGTGAAAGGTAGGTAGATGTAAGAGTTGTAAAAAGAGGCTCAAAGTGCTGTGGAAACGCTTTGAAATTTGATTTGTGGGTGCTTACGTTTGGAATAAGCAGGGTTTATCAAAAAATTCGTTCAAAGATCAATGGTGGGTTCTTCTTTAAATGGAAACGACAAATGAATGAACCAAGTTGTTTGCAAGGAGAAGCGTACTTTTTAAACTGAATGAACGCTATCGCCCTCTGCGACGGACGAAATTTTTTCAATTTCCATGGTTCCGAAAGGTATGATATTATCGAGGATATGATATCCGCTTGGAAGATATTGTTAGTCGCAGGTGAGCTACGAAATCCGGAGGAAGGTTGCACGTGGAAATGCTTCTACTCTGTTTGTTACTTGGGGAAGGAGCAATACGAACGACTAGGATACAAGTCGGTTCCATGATGTAAACACAAACAACAAAAGTAAAAACGAGATGAGACAGTGATATTCCCTTGCTGCAAAGCAAAAGAACAATAAAGGAACAGGAAAATGGGTTTGAATTTGAATATGAATTTTGGTAAAAGAAGCAGTCCGAGGTGCTCATCGGAAGCATTGCATTGGATCTTTCTTCTTATCTAGATCAAAAGTCAAAGAAGTCTCGGTTTGTTTATTAACGGATCGCGGTGGAGTATGATAAAGTACACAGAAAGTCGCAAGTAGGTATTGCGAGAGCGCGTTGCAAATATGTTGTTTTTATTTTGCGCACATTGTTTTCTCTCGCTATTTCTCCAATGCTAAAGAAGAGAGCGAGAGTGTGGAATTGGCGCAAAAGTCACCACACGGATGGGTCATTTCTAGAAAGAGAAACTCACGTTTTCATTGAGAAATTTGACTCGGTTTTTCATTGTACTTTTTTGTATTTTTTATTTTTCATCCTCCCATCTCTACAGAAGTGTATTTTAACCAACTCTGCAGCGTCTTTTTTGTTTGAAAGTTTCGAGGGCGACATACAAAGATCGAAATAAAGAAAGTAGAATTTTTAGAAAATGAGTTCATCAGAATCTGCAAACGGAAAATCGTGTCCGATTGATCATCGCGCGTATATGCAGCAGCAGCAACAACAACAACAACGGCCAGAAATGCTGGAAAGAGAAAATGGAAATTGGTCTTCGTGGTTGAAGACGTTATGGACGACGAGCGTTCCAATGGAGCTTGCTCCGCCATCGGTTGTTGCACAGCATCGCGCACAAGAGTTGAAGGGCCAAGAAATTCCGCCCGAATGCCCTATGCACTCTCAGCGTGAAGAAGCAAATGAAAAAAGGGGACCTTCTACTTGGTTTCGATGGTGTCAGGAAGGACCTGAAAGAAGAGGTGCAAGTGCAGCCGGTGGTGTTGACATGAGAAACATCCCTTCTGAATGCCCAATGTCGAAACAAGAAAATGGCGGTGGAGAGAAATCGTCATGGTTTTCATTTTGGAAGCCTACAGAAGTGAAATCATGGGACCAACGACAAGAACAAACACAAGTACCAGCACCGGCGCAAACACAAGGATACCCTTCGGAATGTCCAATGTCACAAACCACGAGCAAGGCCAAGGAAAGCTGGTGGGGACGAATGTGGGGAAAGCAAGAGGAAGAATCTATGGAGATTAACCCGGACAATTTGATGTACAAGGAACTGTCGCAAAAGGCCAAGGAAGATCAGGTGGTGGATTTGGGAACGAAGCGGTCGACAAGCAGCATTCCAAAAGCGGATGGAGATTTGTGGAAGTATCCATCGCCTCAGCAAATGTACAATGCGATGTGGCGAAAGGGATATCGTGACAGCGGAGAGAATGTGCCAATGATGGTGGAAATCCACAACTTTTTGAACGAGGGAGCGTGGAAAGAGATCCAGGCTTGGGAGCAGATGAATGGAGAAGGCACGGATGCAAAGTTGTTGCGATTTGAAGGAAATGCTAGTAAAAAGAGTCCTCGAGCCATGTGGTACATGATGCTTGGACGGGTATTTCCCAGTCGATGGGGAACCTATGAAGGACCGTTTGATCGACACGATTGGTATGTTCAACGAAAAGACAACCAAGTGATTCGGTACGTGATTGATTATTACGAAGCGCCCGACGAAGGTGGTCAACCAGTTTTTTCTCTAGACGTTCGTCCGGCGTTGGACAATGTCGAGGCTATGAAGATGCGATTTCGCCATTGGCAGTCGATGAGGCAGTAGAATTGGTTTGAGTTGGCAATTGCATTAGAAGAGTGGTAGTAGGAGTAGTAAGAAGAGGAAGAAGAACAATAATAATAATATCATTCATCATCATCATCGCAATAGCAATAGCAATAGCAATAGCAATTGTAGCAGAACGACAACGACGATAAAATAGAGTCACGATGGACCGTGTGCAGGAAAATTGAAATGACCAAAAGCGCGTAGCATTTTTTTTCTTTTTTTCTTTTTTTCTTTAACCTCTACACTTGCTTCTATAACAATTGTCCTGGCCGTGTCAATTGAATTTCATTGACAGTGTGCTCTGCTGTTTTCCCTCCTCTCTCCTCTCTCCTCTCTCCTCTCTCCTCTTTCACTGCACTCACCTCCTCACCTCACCACACCCACCACACCCACCACCTTCCATACAAATGGGAACCCTACCCTACCCTACCTTACCGTGTCGGCCAACGTACCGTGGCTGACCGAAAAGATCACATGAAAGCTCCTCCCGTCTCCCGTCTCCCGTCTTTCCCCCCTCTCTCTGTGTGTGTGTCTCTCTCTCTCCCTCCCTCATTCCCTCCCTTCCTTCCGCTCTCTCCTCCCTTTAGAATGCACCCGACACAGCCTCCTCGTATCTGTGCCTGTGCACCATCTCCTCAGGACATTGTGAATGGAGGAGTCGGCCCAATCATAACGTTGCATCCCGCACAATTGGAAAGGAACAATGGGTTCGCTTAAAACTTAAATCAGCAACCGTTGCTTATCCGTTCGTGCGAATCATAGATCTGAATTCATAGAAAAGAGTCTAGATGGTTCGGTTTCCTTCTTTGATTCGCTCTTCTCCTCCTTATCTACAATGACGTAGGCTGCTCCACTTTAAAGTTTGAGTTGTCTCCTCAATGTCGTCATTTTATCATTCATCGGTAAATGGATTTCGTGATTTTTAGATGTACAACCTCGAATCTTATGTTTCAACCCCACGGTTTGTTACCTCTACTCCAATCATTGGTTCGTTAAAACCGCTTGTTCTCGTAGGTTTGCTAAAATCGCGTTTGTCCATTGTTGAGCCTGTGAATGGTGGTTCTCTCCCTAATCAAACAAAGTGTCGTCTTGTTGTTTGTGTTGCTTTCATTGTCCTTTGTATCGTTCTATCTCCTTATCCATGCTGGTTATATATACCCCAAGTTTACCTTTTCTTTGTTTCTTTACATACCATCTAACCCCATTCCCTTTCTTTTCCTTTGTCCATCCACTCACTAATTACTTTTCCATATTGTCAATTGGCTCTACAACTTGTCATTCTTTCTGTTTCTTTATCCATCGTCGATATCGTTTTCCTTTTGTTTTCGCTCGAGTCGCTAGCTGTCTTTGTCGCGTTGTACTTTTGTCGTGTGTTGAGTTTGGATCCTCTTTTTCATTCTCTCCTCCTCTTTGGTGTCTTCTTTGTGTCACCAATTTTTTTTTCGCGATTGCTCTCGATTCATTGTTCATTCTTTATTCCCCGACGACGTTTGGAATTTGTATTCTCCTTCTCCAAAAGTTCCTGGGCATTGCTTCTCAGGTTTGTCTTTTTGGTGTACCGTGTCCAACTGATTGTGTGTGAAATCAATTAGTGTTTTGTTTGTATACATAGTTTCGCGTTTTGAAACTCGTTTTCAATCTTGTCGCTGTTTCGTTCTGTGTATTCTTTCCTGACGAAAGAAGGTTTGTGTCTTTCTTGTCTTTTTTTCAATCGTTCTTGTTTTCTTGGGTAATTCCATTTTCCTACTTGTTGGTCGCTTGAATTTTGTTCTTCTGTTATCAACAACCAATTCACCTCTATTTTAAATTTTTCTTTTTTGAATCGTGGTTTTGAGATTTCTTTTTCTTTTTTTTTTTTTGCCATTGATTCCAATAATACTCTTTGGTGTTTTCTCTAGTTATCCCCCTCTTGGTACTTTGTATTTTCCTATTACAATTTATATCTTGTTTTCCTTTTTTTTTTTTTCTTTGCTTGAGATTCACGTTTGGTTCATGTTGATTGGATTTTCGAAACTCACATCCAAACATTCCCCCCTTTTTTTTTAAATACGGTTCCTTTTGATCTCTTTTGTTTCTTATTTTCTTAGATTCTTGTCGGTTTTCTCGCGCTTTCACACTCATTCTTTTCCCCTCTTTTTTTTTTCCCCCCAAAATCTATTTCTATTTCTATTTCTATCTATTTTTTTTAAATCTATCTATCTATCTACTTCTCTCTCTCTCTCTTTCTCTTCCTCTTCCTCTCTCTGTGTTCTAATTGAGTGGAGTCAATTTTTCTACTGTACACCTTCTCGTGTGCGCGTATACCATTTTGATCTTTTGAGATTTTGAATTTTTTTTTGTGGAGATTCTCTACAAGATAGCTATTTTGTTGTTGCTTCTTTTATTGCGCAACTGGTTTTAGATCCTTCGTTTTCTTTTTCTTTTTCTTTTTTATATTTCAATCGCATAGACGAGTGTTTTTACTCTCTCTATCTTTAACCTCTCTCCTTCGCTTTATATATATATATATATATATATAAAGTGTTCTTTCCCCTTCGCTTTTTTCTTGAGCTTAATTTCTTTTTTCCTTTTCCCATTGGTACACTATGAGTTCTCCCCCGCCTAGCAACTCAAAATCCAGTTCGGTTAAGCGACCTTTGAATAGCTTTATGCTGTACCGGCGCGATCGCCAACTGGAAATTCCCACTACGAACCATCAAAGTATTTCTCGGATTATTGGTGAATTGTGGAGAAATGAAAGTGCCCAAGTCAAACGTTACTACGCTGAATTGTCCGCCTTGGAACGTCAAAAACACATGCTTCAAAACCCCGAGTACAAGTATACGCCGAAAAAACGTGCATGCCGGAGATCCAAACGCAAGGCTAGTACAACAACAACACGTTCCCGTCCTCAAACGGATTTTGCTATCCTTCAGCAAATTTCCACCTACTCGGCTTCCACCGAACAAACCGCTTCTGTCTTGTCTCGTGTAAATGAAGAACGTCTTGCCGCCGGTACTTCCGATACCAAAATCCCCGTCGATTTGGCTCAGCAAGTTTACAAGCTAGCAGATTACAATATGGATCCCCATGCAGTAGACGAATCGGATAATGGGTCGACCTCTACTCTTTCCTCACCTATGGTTCGAAATTTATCTTTACCTTCTTCTTTGCCCGCCGCTTCTTCCAACATTGTTCAGAATTCTACTGAACCTTTGCAAGATACCCTTACGTTCCATCGGCACCCATTCCCTTTGGCACGGACAAAGTCCTTATTTCAGCCTCCTACCGAGACATGGTTTCCCAATGTTGCTCCCCCTTTGAAACGATCTCTTTCCATTAATGACTCACGGGATGCTTCTGTTTTGCTCTCGAATTCATCCGATTCCATCCCAGATGTCGATGATGCTTCTGGAGAGTATTCAACGTCCGCTGATTCGTATCCCATGCATCATCATCAGCCAGGATCGCGATCCTCCGTAAGCATCGATCCCAATTCTATGAAAAATTCCGCTTCCAACAACTTGGTGGAATCTTTACAAGCAGCGAGGAGAGCTTCCGTGGCAGATGAAGTTGATTCTAGTCCCAAGACACCACCTCCCACAAACTTACATGAGCCAAGAATTGAATTTGGTAGCTTTGAGACTCCCTCTAGTATTCGAAACTTCGGTATCTCTTCGGTCGGTACGGATAATGAAGATCCTTATGTAACTCCATACTATACCCCAAGACCCAATCCAAGTCGCATGAATAGTGCTGCATCTGGTTATTTTTCATCTCCAACCTCTAGATACTCTGTTCTTGATGCATTTCAAACACCCCAATATGATGACGTTGTGAGAGAAAAGACTTATTTAGACGTTGAACCTTTGATGGGAGACTTGTTTTCAACGAATACTTTAGACAATACAGAGCTCAATGACTTATTTACACAAATCCCCAATCATGATGCTCTTCATGAAACAAGAGAGGAGTATTCAAATTTGACTCCGTCTTTACTGGAACCTTGGTTGCCCAATGGAAACTAACAAAAACATTTGTTTTGCGCATATGACTGATTATTAATGAACGATCCTAATTATTTGATTTTTATATAGTATAATTCTGATTTGGAAAAAAAAATGCGCATGTATGATTCCAAAGTCGATTTCATGATTCTATTGTTCTAATGATGAGTAACTTTTATACTCACATTACTAAACTTTAAAATAGGGGAAATGTTATTGTTGAATCTTTTCTTTTTCTCTAATTTCTTTGGACTGAACTGACCTTTTGTGGCCTTCTGCTTTTCGTTTGTTGTGAACCTAAGTTGACGCCAACTTCAGATTCTCTTTTAATCCTTTTTTTCTCTGTGTTATTTTTTCTTTTATTAACATAATCTTAATTTGTGTAATCGATGTCTCTGTGGTTGTCCATCCTATACTGATGAAGAAAAAATCGCTGAAAAGGCAAAGACCTATATGCGATGCGTTGGACGAAACTTTAGTGACTATTATTAATTCCTAATAATATGCATATAGCATGTACAATATATCAAATCTTTTACGAATGAATGGAATGATTTAACTACGCAAATAAAGCTTTCGTAATAAGAACTAGTAAATAAATAATAATAGGAATGAATAGATGGAGTATATAAACAGGAAATCAAAAAAATTAAAAAAAAAACCAACATTACTCTGTGGAAATAAAACGCAAAAAAAAATGAAAATGAAAATAAAACAGAATCGACAACCAAGAAAGGGTAATAAAAGCTCAAACATATTTAGATGGGAAAAGGAATCATGATATCAAGGAGAAAAAAAAAAAGAGAAAACAAAGGATCAAGGAATAAAGGAATTAAAAAGGGGTTACAAAAGCTAGCATAAAAGAGAAAAACAAGAAATAAAAAGAAAAATAAACTAGCAAGCTATGATCCTAAAGGCAAAAGGAGGCAATGCCGAAAGAAATCGGAAACATATTGATTTCAAATTTCAAGAAAATAAATAAGAAAACCAAAAGGTAAGAATCATCACTGTTTTCATTAGAGGGGGTTTGTGTTTACTTTTTTTTGGTCAAACAAAACGTAGCAAGGTTCCGCTACAGTTTTTCAAGTTTGGCTTTTTTCATCACAAGGAGAAGATCAGCATGAAATCCCTAATACCTGCTATGAACAGGTGGAAGGGCTTTGGGTATTCGTAGGGTAGGGGCAAAGCTTTCTATACCTAGAATGTACAAGCATACCAAAGGGGTGGTTTTCCTTTCTGTGTAGGCCGCAAAAAGTTCATGCTTAAGTTCAGGAATGCTCGAAAATCCGTGTTCTTGAAGCAACTGCAAAACCTTTATGTTGAACGGAGGTTTGAGCATAGACGAACGGATGGAAGATAATCCGGGGAAATTGGAAGACAATAGAGGAGATAAATAATTACAGTAAGAGGACTTTTTTAACCATGGAAATTGGCTGGCTTGTTCCAACGGTATTCGCTTTTTTGAGTCCACATTTAACATAGCACTTATTAGAGCGCGACATTCACTGGAAAGGTAAGAGGGAAATTCAATTTTACCAGACTTAATTTTTGAATGAAGCATGGGAACGGAAACATCGTCAAATGGGACACGACCACAAACCATTACGTACAAAACCACACCTAAGCTCCAAACATCCACTTCAGGTCCAGTGTAAGGAACAGCGTCCAAAAGCTCTGGAGCTGCAAAATATAGACTGCCGCAATAGGTTTGCAGCAGGTCAGTCTGGCTATAAAAATTACTTAGACCGAAATCAATAAGCTTTACTTGGCGCAAGTCCTCGGTAAGCAAAATATTTTCGATCTTCAGATCTCGGTGGACAATGAGGTTTTGATGAAGGTACCGCAAAGCATCTAAAAGTTGAATCATAAAGAGACGAGCTATCCCTTCATCCAATCGGCCATTTGCCAAAATGTACTCCAAAAGCTGACCACCACCGATGTATTCAAATAAAATGTAAGTGCACGTTGGAGTTCTAATAGTTTCAATGACAGGACAAATGTTTGGGTGTCTCAAAACGCGTCCAAGCAATGCTTCGCGTTGTATGCGGACAGTTTGTTTCGTATTGGCAGGTGTGATTGGAATCATCTTCATCGCAGCCTTTTCACCAGTAATTGTATGGATAGCTAGTTTCACTTTTCCCATACTTCCAGAACCGATGGTGCGTTTTATGATCCAATTTCCGATGTGTCGACCAGGACCTGCGGTCCCAACGTAACCGGAAGTCGATTTTTGATGTCTTGACAATGCATCAATTTTAGAAAGAGTGGGTTTTCTAGGTACCGCGAAAGATTCAGAAGAGTAATTTTCCACTAAAGAAGACAACTTCATATTAAGGGGGAAAAAGAAGCAAAACTGACGTTTAGAAAAAAAATAAAATCAACGTATAAAAAAAAGAAAAACCAAACAAAAAAGGAAAGGTATCCGAAGAATTATCCACAACCCAAATGAAAAACCAAGAAAATAAATAGGATGAAAAAGAAACGTAAATCTTTTAACACAGAGTTTGTTTACAGCATACTACGAAAAAAGTTATTCAAAAAAAATAAGCAGAAAACCTCAAGCTTGTCTATCAATACGATTCATCCAAAGTGTCAAGTGGTAGTAGTAGAAGTAGCAGTTGTAGGAGACAGACAGAAAATCTGAAAATAACTGTTGGGGACAAAGAGAATGAGCATCATGTACAGAAAATAATTACAATAATTATCCACATGGATATCCAAGAAAACTAAAGTATGTGCGGTTTCTTAGGGGTTCTTCTCTTTTGACACCTATGATTGATACATGTTTGTCATGAGGAAGGTCAAATTCAAAAAGCACTATAAGTTTCCGATTTCCTCATGAATAAAGATCTACTCTCAATAGATGCATGATTGCTTCTACTGTTGTTACAAAAATGGTTTGTTGGATCCTACAAGATATCGGTTTGTGAAATTGTTTTAGAGTGTAGTTGAAGACTATGACTAGAAAACGAACGAATAGATTCAGTAAAGCTTGTTTATATTTTCCTGTTTTTTTTTTTTTTTTAGTACACCGACGAACCATTTCGTAAATACAATTAGGGATCAACTTGTGATGGTTTATTACTTCAAGTTGTTAACATTTGGACGAGATATAAAAATAACTAGAGTTAAATCCATAAAAAAAAAAAATACTTTACACCGCCTTTGCTTGTACGATACTCAATAGAAAAGTCCTTGACTTTTTATGTATTTTTTTTATTTACATAATCGTAGAGAAATATAATACAATATATCACAACAATATATAAGTATATTGTTATTCTAGTTGAAAAGTCGAGTCTTTGCTAGAACAGTCTAGAGAAATTTCAAATTTCGTACTTAATCGATCCAAAGTGTTATTTCTCGTGAAATCTTCTAAATCGCAGTACTTGTCAGTTGCGAAAATCACTTGAAAGAAATCGTATTTATTCACATAGACATTTTTCGTTTCCCTTACACTTTAATAAAAAATGGAAAAATTACTAGCATTTGCTACTGAATTACAGGCTCAAGGAGGTGGGTCAGCCAATCCTCCTCCTCCTTCTAATCAAAAATTGGATACTTCTGTTTTGGATCATATTTTTGGATCAAATCCTGCGGATGAAATGAGACATGCCATGAATGGCATTGAAGACGAGTCTGTTCCCCTCGATCAAAAAGAGATTGCTTTTGATAACTTAGAAATGCTTGTTGAACATATTGATAATGCAAATAATTTGAAGCCATTACAGATGTGGCCTCGTTTATTGAAGCAACTTGAAAACCCCGAACCATCCCTTCGAAAACTCTGCGCCTGGGTTATTGCTACTGCTGTACAAAACAACCCTCGTTCTCAAAATGACTTAATTGAAAATGATGGTTTAAATAAGCTGTTTACTAGTTTACAAAAGGAGGACTCGGATGAAGCCAAAAGTAAAATTTTGTACGCTATCACCAGTGAATTGAAGCATAATGAGCCCGGCGTGTTTTTACTTGACAAGATAGAGAATGCTTGGAGTCAATTGGATGCTATTCTTGATATGAAACATTCCAACATGACCAAACGTGTAATCTTTTTCTTCAATTCCTTGTTGATTCAGGAAGACAATTCCAAGCAGGTTCTTTTCGAGAAAGCCAAAGCATATTCTTTTACAAACAAGGTTTATCAATTTGCGTTACAACACTCATCCGATGAAGATTGTGTTGCCAAAGCACTGCACACACTCTCTTTGTTCTCTAAACATGGCTTGAATGTCTCTGATGTGCAAAGTTTAGTAAAATCTGTCAAGGAATTCGAAAGCACTTACCCTGAAATCTTCACCACTGAAGAATGGAAGTCTTTCCATGATTCGTTGGAGAAGTCTTTGTAAAAAGCAGAAAGATCTCTTTGTACTTTTATCTTTAATAGTTAAAGTGGTTTAACGTTCTTGCTACTTGATAATAGTAGCTTTTCGTTAAAGCAAAACAAAGATGTTGAAAAGGGTTTTGGGCTTATGATGTTTAATTTGGTGCTGTTTACTTTGTTTTTCTTTCTTGATCTATGGTTAGGTTCATGAATTCATAATTGTTATTATTACGATCAAGCATTAATAATTTCTATTCATAAACGTAAATAGTAATCATCAAAGAGATTTTTCTATTGCAAATCCATTCCATGAGAGTAGCCCAAAAGTCAGCTATATCTACTATAGCCTTGAAGTTTCCCTCCCTGTAGTTTTTTATCTTCGTTTACGCCGGTGATCATAATCAGAAATTCGATCTCGCCTCTTTCTTTCTCTATAGGTATGATCATCTCTACTATGGTGTCTATGGTAAGAATATGTATCGTAATCTCGTACCCTTTCACTACTTGACGAATAATGTTTTCGATGTCGTGACGAACGCGAAGGAGAAGGGCTTCTTGCTGTCCTGCGACCAACGGAAGGAGAAAGCCTTCTGTCTTCTCTTTCTCTTTGAGGGGAAACAGACGATGAAGAACGTACACTTTCAACTTGGGTGTTGTGATTGCTTTTTTCAGTCGAATTATCCCCAACAGCTTTAACAGGCAAAAACATTGTCTTTTTTGGGTCCTGTTTTCCCCAGCTTCCTACTTCAGGAACTCCCAGATCCATGGGCTTTGCGCCCATTCCAAGAAACGTCGGGCGGCGATTAACCTCAAATGCTTCTTTCGAAGAAAGTTTACCATTCCATCCCATGCCACGAAGCATCGCAGCACCGAAATCTTCTACGGGTATATCAGCATAATCTCTTAAATTGGAAGAATCCGGTAGCAACTCAATATCACGGTTATACATCTCTCTTTCGTTCTCTGCTTGATTAGATATTATCTTAGCTTGTGATGAGTCTGAAAGTGCATTTTCACCATTTTGATTTTCCAAAATCATTTTCACTTCCAATGGAATATTAGGGTTATCTTCTTTTTTGTTTGCTTCCTGATCTGATACAGAAGAAACAACAGATCTTGCTTCAACATTGGAGAATCTGTCCGTATCTTCTAGTTTCGTTAATTCCACGGCAGACTGTTTCACGTTAAGACCGTAATTTAAGCCAATTTCAGGAAGCCGTTCAGGAGCATTCTCGGTTTCTTTTTTACTTCTTTGTTGCTCAATTCTTTTTTTCCTGTCTTCTAGCCAACTTTTATTTGCTGGGACATGAATGATTTTGGGATTCTTTCTTTCAAAATGGGCTTGTTGAATCTCCTTGTCTTTGTATTCAATGTCACCATCTTTATTTAGTCCAGTAATAAACTGAGGGTCTTTTAAAGCATCTTCTTCATCGTCCGATCCTTGGAATGCTTCTAAAATAGCTCTACGCTTCATTATATAAAGGAATCAGGGACTTAACAGAAGTGAAGAACAAGATAAAAAAAATTCCTTTAAATAATATATAAATGTCTTTCTTTATGCTTTCGCTAGTACTTTAATGTTCATTCGTGCAAGTATTCCCAAATATCCACAGTTTGGTAAAGGGAAGGCCTTTTTTTGGTTTACCGATTCGTTCAAAATCTTTAATTAACTTAACGTAAAATATTATCATCCTTAATTATCAACACCGTTATATAGCGATATGCAAAAATAAAATTAGTTTACGAAGATTGTCTGTTTTCATACCTTTAGGGGTTTCAATGAATGTTTGTTTCTGCGTCTTTTGTTTACATCTGCCTCCCTAATGAACTGTAGGTTGCATGTTGTCTGCTGAATTCCATAAAATGAAACAGCACATGAAAACGTATTTCTGCGAGTGTTAGTACTGATTTCTTGGTTACGAAGTAATTAACCAAACGCGCTCTGATTGTATCAAGCAGTTCCTCTGGAGGCTTTTCTTATAATGGTACAACCAGACAGTGCACTAGGAACAGTTTAAATAAATTCTTATTATATTAACAGTTATTACAGCTGTCTACGGCCACACCTAGGCGAAAACACCAGTTCCCGTCCGATCACTGCAGTTAAGCGTCTGAGGGTCTCGTTAGTACTATGGTTGGAGACAACATGGGAATCCGGGATGCTGTAGGCTTTCTATAACTTTTTTTAACATTCACTTTGTTTTTGACTTTTATGTTCTTTCTAAGCGTTGTTGCACTTTTTTATGTTTTCAACTGCTTTTATACAGTTACTGCAGTCTCGTACTTCATGACTTTCTGTTACTCGACGAGTGACAGTACTGAGCATTGGAATTTGTAGGGAAATGGGTAGTGAATAAATAAAGCAAAGATATTTCGAAAAACGAATCATTCATTCGTTTGATGTCTTTTACGTTAAATCTTAAAAAAAAAATTTAACAAGGAGAAAAGATAAGCAACCTTCTTTGGCTGATATTTTGGAAATGAAGCTGACCTTGCGTCTTCAATTTAGTATCCTGTATACGGTTAAAACTACATGATTATTTTGATGTATGCTATTGAAAAGATGCATATACCTCATCTTTGTACGACTCATCTATTAACCGGTATATAAACGGAAAGGTGTATGAGTCGGTTTTGTCACATAATTTCCAATATAGCATGGATCTCTTTTTATTCTGTATACTTAATATGCGCAATTTCTTTTTCTTCCACCCAAATAAGGACCATTATGTGGAATAGTAGAACAATTGCAAATATATCATAAAAATACATAAAAATATCCTTACTAAAATTTTTTACATTGAAGGATGGAAGTTGAACAGAATTAAAAATAATAATTAAATAAAAAATAAAAAGGAAAGAGAACTTAAATCAAGAGAGACGCTTCTTTCGTGTGAATAAACGCAAATGCAGTACCTTCTATATCATAAACAAAATAGCCTATTTCGATAAAATGAGAATGATTGATTAAATAAAATATAGACGAAGAGAATATCTAAGCAGAAACTTCATTATATATATATATATATATATATATTTCTTCTATTTAAAACTTATTATTTGTTTATTTAGCCCATCTATTTACCTCGGTTCAATTCTTTAACACTTTAAGGGGCTGCGCTATGGTCCTTTATCTAATGAAGATAGCTACACTTTGAGCTTTTATGAACAGAGAAACGCAAACGCTGTGCACCTCAAAATTCAAGTTTTCTTTACTTATTTTATGGATTAATAGAAGAAATTGAGGATTATTGCTCAGGAATTAAATATGTTAGACTTATTTGCGATTATAACAAAAGGAGGCATAGTCCTTTGGAAAACGTCTGATTCAGCTGCCTGCCAGAAATGTTTACAGGTGTTGTTTTATGAAGCTTTCTTAAGTGAACGAAAGAATATGGAGACTACATTTCATCAAGATCGGTTTACGATACAATTCCAAGAGTCAATTCAAAACGGCATTGTTTTTGCGGTAAGGAAGAGGCAACACATGATTTTATGATCATGAATATTAATTATTAAAGCAATTTTTCTTTGCAAACTTGATTCCTACTTCGTTCATCTCTCTTACTACTAGATTGAATTACTAACACCTTTAGGTCGCCTTCCAAGACGCAAAAGCTGAAGCTTTTACGCAGAGCTTGCTGAATAGTATGCATAACATATTCATTAATTTATATCAGGAACAGCTGAAAAACAAAGATTTCCCATCCGAGGACGATATCATAAGAAATTTCGTCCCATTATACAACGCTAAATTGTCCCAGTTAAGTAAGGTGTCCGACAAAGAGAATCTGACTTCAAATGAGGTCAATCGTCAAGAAAAAAACAAGGCATTACCTCGTCAACAGCCTCGGCAAAAGATGCACACCTCAAAACAAGCTCCATCCACTAGCAAAAAAGGAAAAAAAGAGCTTCGAAGATGGGATGATCAGTTGACAAATGAAGAAGAAGAGGCTCTAAATTATTCTGGTAACGTTTCGAATGAAGTTCCTAGCTCTTCGCAACTGTCAAATGTCGTTGGTGATACAAATTTTCAGAAAACAAAAAAGGGTGAGGTTGTTATTGGCGATTTAGAAACCGATCCAAATCAAAATTCCGCTACCACCTCATCGTCAGCCTTTTCATTTTTCTCTGGACTGATTGGTGGTAAGTACTTAAAAGAGGAGGACTTGGATCCTGTTCTTAAGAAAGTACAAGAACACATTGTCCAAAAAAATGTTGCCAACTCAATTAGTCTTGAACTATGTAAATCGGTTAAAAAGTCGTTGATTGGTAAAAAAGTGAGCTCTTTTGAATCAGTCAAACAAACGGTAAATGATGCCTTCCGCGAAACACTTACTCAAATCCTTACTCCAAGCACATCTTTAGATCTTTTGCATAGTATCCGTGCCGTCCAAAAAAATGAAGATAGACCCTACACCATATCTTTGATTGGTGTTAACGGAGTGGGCAAATCTACCACGTTGGCGAAGCTTGCTTACTGGCTTTTATCAAACAACTTTCGGATTCTAGTCGCCGCTTGTGATACTTTTCGTTCTGGAGCTATTGAACAGTTAGGGGTGCATGTAAAAAACCTTCAATCTCTTAAAGGAAGTTCTATTGAGTTATTTGCTCAGGGTTATGGAAAAGATTCTAGTTTTGTCGTAAAAAATGCCGTTGATTATGCCAAAAAAAATAGCTTTGATGTAATTTTAATTGACACCGCCGGTCGGAGACATAATGACCAAAGATTAATGGGTTCTCTAGAAAAGGTATGCATGAACGCTCTTTTTTTCTTTTCTTTTTTTTTTGTTTTGTTTTGACTTACTAACTTTATTAGTTTACCAAAGCTACTAAACTCGACAAAATTTTTCAGGTTGCTGAAGCTTTAGTTGGTACTGACTCTTTAGCTCAAGCCAAACATTTTCAGGCATCATTATACCACCGTCCTCTTGATGGATTCATCATTTCAAAAGTTGATACAGTTGGAAAAATGGTGGGTGTCATGGTCGGTATGGTGTATAGTGTGCGAGTTCCTATTGTTTTTGTTGGCGTAGGCCAAATGTACAGCGATCTCCGTACATTATCTGTTGATTGGGTGGTGGATCAGCTTATAAAATAAAAGATCCTACAGACCTTGATTCACTTTAATTATGAGTTTAGTTGCTAAAGAGTATAAATCATCGTAAAGGAGTTAATAGCTGTCTCCACTTCTTAATTAATAAAGTCCTTATATGATTTTTGTTTCTAAATGGGTTAACTGCCTTTTTGCTATTTCATCGTATTTGAGTTTTTGCAGTCGGTTATACCAAATCTAACAACCTCATACCTGACCTTCGTTTTTCAAGCTAAGTAAATATTCGTCGTTTACTTTGACAATTACAATTAACACATTACTCTTTATGGGGTTTTTAAATAAAGCATTGTTCTTTGGAGGAATATATGGTATAGGAGTATATGCAGGTGCTGTTGCATGGACTATCAGAAAAGACATTCTACGTTATGAGTCAGAACCCCATTTGAAACCTTTAGTTCCAGAAAAAAGAGTCGTATCTATTTATAACAACATTGCCGAAAAATATAGTAAGCGAATAACAAAAGAAGAACTGTTTTCAGGCATTTACTTTCTTCGTTTTTTTCACTTACGAAACGCAAAAGTATGTTAATCTGGATATATAATGAGCTGAGTAGTGTTGTCTGCCTAACTTTGAAGTGATTCGGCAGAAGAAGCCTTAAGGAATCATTCATCTTTCGTCGTTACGATTATTTTTAAGAGATTTATTTACTAATTAATTTATCAGGGTCGTGTTTTGGAAATAGGAAGTGGACCAGGCTCGAATTTTTCATTCTACAAATGGAAACAAATACAATCTTTATCTCTCGTGGAACCTTCAGAAGAAATGCATAAACTAGCTTCCTCGCGCGCTGAAAAGAAAGTTCCAGAGTCGGTTCATCTAAAACAATATTCAGATTTTGAAGAAGTGCCAAAGGAAAGCTCGTTTGATACAATTGTTCAAACATTTTGTCTTTGCTCACAAGAAAAGGCAGTGGAAAGTTTGAACAATGCTAAAGAAATGTTACGTCCAGGCGGACAAATATTGCTCATTGAGCATGGTCAGAGTAAGTATGGATGGCTGAATAAAATATTGAATACTTATGCTGAATCGCATTATGAGGATTGGGGGTGTGTATGGAACAGAAATATACTGGAACTCATTGAAGAGTCTAATCTTGAGCTCGACTCTTGTAAACGCTACAACTTTGGAACAACCTATGTGATAAAAGCTCACTAACTTAACTTTGTCGGTGAGCATTTTTTATCTCAGTCTACTTATTAATTATTGATATAATGCTAATTTAGAAGCAATTTTTGCTGATTTTTTTTTTCCAAAAGTGATATGCCATAACCTTCACCTTCCTAAAGTAATGTAGTGCCAGATCACCAAGTAGCTCCCTCAACAAAGCATAAAACTAGACCTACTACTCGTAAAAGCTACGTTAGTTTTTTTCTTTTTTTTTTTTTTTTACTTCAAGCTTTCTTTTCTTTTTTACCTTTTTATTTAAATAAACAAACAACTTATCAATTTCGAAAATGGAAGATGAAGAAATTCTTAGGAATGCTGTCAACTTGCAGGTTCTAAAGTTCCATTATCCTACTATCTCTAGCACAGTTGACATCGCTTCTCATGTTGCAGTTTATCAATTCGATATTCCTTCTCAACAATGGGTATGTATAGAAGATGGTTCTTAAAGCAACACATTTCTTTGATTATACAATGCTTGGCAAAGTTCGACTCACTGAAGAATATGGTGGTCATTTTCTGATATTGAATTCTCACATTGTCTTCCACTTTATTCTTCAGAAATGTCTTACCGTCGAAACAAGGTACTTGTTATTCTGATGTACAAGAGGACGGTTCGCATGACAATAGCTTTGCGCAGTATTGTTTTCATTTTAATGATTGAATGCTGTTTCTATTTTAATTGATTTATTGCTAAATGCTAACTATGATTGCTAGGTAAAAACCGCCATTGAAGGTACTTTTTTCCTTGTTAAGGACCAATCTGGAAGGATTGGCTATGTGATACTTAACCGGAATTCTCCAGATAACTTATACTTATTTATTGATTATCCCCAAAATGTCCACTTGGTGGACCGTTATTTAATTCACAAATTACAGGACCGTCAGGTAGTTGGATTATGGATGTTTGACCCGAATGACATGAATCGTATCTATAACAGAATTTCTCATCATAAGTTTTGAATATAATGAAAACTTCAGGATAAAATTTTATATACGGAAAAGGTAATGATATTTTCAAACTTGGTATTGATTTACGTCTCGAAGTGAAACATGCGAAAGATGCAGACTTACAAAAATGGTTCTATCAATTAACTGTTTTTGCTTGCCATATTCTCTACACGAAACGAAGGAAGAGCAGAGCTCATATCAGATAGGATATGAACTGAACCTTTATAAGTTCAATTCCTTCATTTTCTTTTCAAAAGCTTTAATCTTTAATGTTTTTCTTTTTTTTTTTGTTTTTACATATAACAAGTCATTGACATTAATAGTATTTGAAGCATCTCGCTCATTCTTACTCTTACTTAAAAAATTTCATCCTTGCTTAACAAGCTTACAATCGCTCCATCTTATGGGTTATTGGGAGATTTGCTAAACAAGTTTAAAAGCTTATATAATGTGGTAAGTAAATAAATTTTTAAAATACGTTCTCAATGACTATGTGTCATTTCTTTGATGTTTTGAATCAATTATCTCGTTTCCATTCTTCCTTTACTAACTCAGTGAAGCAAGCACATATTAAACGCTCAAGTTTCCATTCGTACAGCTTGTTGCCGCCGTTGGGTCGATTGCATTCAATGCCATGATGAAGTCGCTGATCACCCTCTACTCAGGACTCCAGAAATGACTTTAATATGCAAGAAATGCCGTAAAGCATTTCGTGTTCATTTCGGAGAGGAAATGGACGATAGCGACGAATTTTGCCCCAAGTAAGTATTGAATTGAACCCCAGAAGCGTTTTACGACTGCATATCGTCTTGATTGCTTCAAAGGTTTAATAACTTTTCTAATATTAACTTTCTTCAAGCTGTGATAATCATTATGTTGTCAACGCCCTAACAGAACAACCTAAGCCAACGAATCCTTTCCCAGAGGATGTGGATACCAGAATGCTTCCCAACGATAGAGAATTAGAAGAACTGTTAGACGATACCACTCACCTGGGTTGAGCGTTGCAGTTGCTATTGTGAGAAAGCTTCTTCCATTATATATTAGACCATCATGGTTGTACGAACCAATAAATAATTATAAGTCTATTTTGTCTTTTATAGCATCATTTCATAGATTCATTATATATACGAACTATCAATTCTAAAGAATAGAGCGTTGATTAAGTTATGCCTGTGGAATATGGTCGTGATACGGGGAGAAAAAGAGAGGAATGCCAGGTTTATCATAAAGGATTAAAAAACTGTGTCATTTAGCAAATGTTTCTGTGTGTTATAAAAAAAAATCCGAAAAGTTACCAACAGAAACTGAAACAACAAAAAGAATAGGTTCGTTAAAACATCATAAACTTACATCCAACACATATACGATGTTCGGTATCTTGCGTATTGGAAGGGGCATTATAGGATCGAAGTATTAGTACAAATGAATGGAAAAGAAGAAGATAGTGTACTTCAGGCTTGCATGGTATAGTCAATTTCAAAGTACGGAAGCATGGTAGAAACAAATTTTAGAAAGAGAACCATGTACTGATCTACGCGAATCGGCTCGTTTCTTTCTCGGTGTTGCTTTATGAGCTTCAGCAAGACGCTAGCGTGTTTACAAGGATGAACACTGGCCATTGTATTATGAGAATGATAATGAGGAAAGGGCTCCATCGTGACAGTCTTTCCAGCATGCTCTCCGGATACGTCTGCATAAATATCTTTCATGGAGAGTAACTGGCCTCCCGCATTCCATCCTCGAAGAAATAGTCGTGGAGTTCTATAATATTTATCATATACAATGTATAAATCGTATCTCCGAGCTTCATTTCGAGGAACGCTAACGGGAACCATCTGCAGGTCATCTTCTTCTTCATCTTGTAGTGGTAAACCCTCAGAATCTGGAACATTACTGGCATCTTTACTATTTTTTGGGGCATCATAGGATGTTTCTTGAAGCAAAGACCCACTCTGCTCACTATGAATACTGCTCACGGATGAATTGTCATCCATGCCTGAAGGTTTAAATTTTGAATCTTCAGTTTCTACATCCACCCAATCTCCATTGACATCAACATTTATCTCCCTCGGCACAGACAGGACTATTAAGTTAGAATGAATTTTCTACAGATTTCACTCGTCTTCGTGACATACCATGCCGGGTTACCAAATATTGCTTGTCTTTAGGTAAAAATCCTCGAATACGATCGCCACATTCCCAACTCCAAGTAGGAAACTTTGTTACTAAATAGTCGCCTGCTAGAACAAACTGTTTACATGTTAGTAATTGTTGCTTAAGAAACCGGTCAATTTCAAAAACTACCTCCTCTGGACTTATCATTCCAGTCGTTTCAAAGTTTGAGCTTTTACTAGCAGCTGTAATATGTTCCCGCCAGTTCAAAAATGCTGATGTTAGTCGCTGTGCCATTGCTTATGGTTGAAGTCAAGTCGTAGGTAGCGTAGTAAATATATAAGAGAAGTGTCATGATATACAAAGTAATCAAGGATGCGTTTATGGTTCATATGATATAAAATAAGAATGAAGTTCAGTTAATCAGCTACAGAAAAGAATCGGATGAGTCTTAATGTGAAACGGGAATTTCAGATCTGCAATTGAGATAGAAATATGAAACTGAACGAAATGCTTAATAAATTATAAATTTAAACAAAAAGGAATGTGTAAAATGTAAAACGGATACCCATTGAGAGTATCAAATGCTATGATGGATCAATACCAAAGAACACTCCTAGTCACCTTAGGAAAACAAGTTAGCATATATTAGTCGTCTTCATAAGCAGACTTATTCTAATTGTTCGTACTCTTTTATAACCATTATTTGTGATGATTTTAATTGTGCTTTCTTACGAGTCTCGAGAGGGTCTTCAGTAAACCAATACCCACTAGTATTTGATGTTTTTATTAGCTATTTTACACTCTTCAAGTAGTTATAAATAATAATGAGCTGCTATCCTCAAATGGCAATCGGAAAGAGATTACGAGTAAAGCTGCTTTACGATTTTACACCCGAGCCCCAAAAAAAATCCTTATTCCTTTCATCTATTCCACAACTAAGATTTTTCAATCAACGTTCCCTGTACCATTGTCAATCCAGCCTCTCGCTGAAGCCTAGTTATATCATGTTAACAATAGAAAGACCAGAGGTTAATAATACTTACCCATCTACTTGAAATTCTAAAGACTGGCCTGGTTCAACGGTCTTCTTTTCCTTAGTCTTCCAACGGCCTTGTTCTTCTGTAGTGTCCGGTTCAATGAAGGACCAAGAAGAAGGGATGGATTTTCGAGGAATGGAAGCATTGAAAATTCCCAATACCAGAAGGCCAATATGACTAGGGCTTACCAAATTAATTTTTCCTTCTAAATAACGTAAAACGTTAGTGTTTTCTAGTTCCTTTTACTAGTATGACAGGCCAAGAAAAGATCTTGGAAAATATGCACATAAAAAAACACTTACCAAGATGATCTCCTTTCTTTGGAGAGAAAACTAAAACATCTACACGAATCCAACAATAGGAAAATGGAGAATCGTACATAATTTTACCGCTGTTTTCCAAAAATCGCACATTGTCATATGCCAACAAAATTCCATTGATTCGAGGCATTTTGCTGAGAATCATACTATCCAAATGCTCATGAATGGCAGCAAGAGGATTCCTGCTATGCGCAGGAGCAATGGAAAGGTACAAATCGACCGTCTGTTTGTACAATGATAAATCGGGCATGTTGGCAGAATGCAAGTTTACCTTCAGTAGGAAAACCAAACTCCTACTTGTCAACTACCTAATATTCCATAAAAATTCTTTTAGATACACATCCCTTTAGCTAAAATATAATTACTAATGAAGAATCCTTTTTACTGTGTTTGCAGGCAATAGATTAAAAGTCACCGGTATCTGTCTTACCAGCTATCCATTTGAAGACAATTTCATTGAAGAGTACAATATATCACAGTAAATAAGAAAACATAAGCCAAACATCCCTCCAACGGAATGTTTCAAGGTTTTTGAAAACGAGTTAAAAAATCTAATATAGTGAAAACCATGCCCACAGAAAATGAAGGACAGGAGGTAAAATTATAAAGTAGATTTACAGATATCTTCGTTATGCTGTTGTCCATATGGAGGTTTGGCTATAATAGTACCAGTTGTATCAGTATTCAGATATAAACCGGGCCGGGTAGTTAGGTACTTATACCTCATACCTCGTATCTTATCTCTTTTCTTTTTTTTTTATTTTCCACATTCGAAACAAGGAAATTTGTTCCACAGGAAAGACGCTTCAATTAAGTATCACCTATCCACGACTTTCCTATTGTACGATCAGAAGCCTTTTCAAACAACCAGAAAGGCTTTAAAAGGAAGAAGAGCGATTATAATACGGTTTTTGTCCGCCATACATTTAACTCGTTTATAGAAAACGTGATACGACAGCTATGTTTTCACTGGCCGTAGCTTGAAATTGAGGGAGATTAAGCTGAAGCATAAAGCTTTGAGATCTTGAATCAAATAATAAAAAACTCGCAATCCTTCAGGATCTTCGCTATTTTGAACATCCGCCAAACTACCCAGTTTACTAGTCTACATTTTATCTTGGTTAGAATGTATCCAAATACATAGTAGTGAACTTCCAGGTAGGAACCTTTAAAATAAAAATAAAACCATACCTCAAACATAATATGCTCTCCATTCATTCGGATTTCTAGTTCCTGTTTTCCATCCTTGTTTTTCCTAGGCCATTGCTCATCGGATTCTCTAAAGGAAGTAATGTAAGTATCGAGTCATTAAATGTTTAAGACATACTTGATTATCTCACTTTCTTCTACGATAGCTTGGACTTCTTTCAACACTAAAGGACTAACATACACTAGGTACCACAGTTGTCAGCATAATCAAAAAAACACAGTCATCAAAGCATACTCTCTTTTCGAATAAGTGAGTCATTTCTATAATTTGAATTGTTGGCGTAGCGAGCTTTGTCTTTGTTAGTATCTAGTTTTGAAGCCTCTTGTCGTATAGCACACTCGTCGGCTTGGTGCTTCAACAGATTTCCATACCGAGTCCATCGCTGTGATAATCAAATTCTAATTCCCTTGTTAATATGCCATTCCTGAAAAGTTTACGTAAACAAAAAATCTCTAGAACGCGTACCCAAAAACTCATGACCGAATCGGCCATAGTGACCAGAACTTTGTAGTAAAAATTAGCATCTTATAATCATTAAGAGACAGAACAAAATACATACTAATAACGAACGTAGAAATCACTACTCATACTCCAATGTATTGCAAATGAATTTAATATTTTCCAAGTGTTTTTCTTCGTTTCTTATATATGAGCGAGCCCGAATGCAATACATTATTCTAATTACTATAGCTTAAAAACATGGTTAAATACAATAACGAAAGTTGGTCTACTGCTGTATTCCAACTACTAACGGGTTGTTGCTTGGGCATCTTTGTCAAGGGGAAGTTAGAGTTGTGTAACAAGAAATACTAAGTGTAGAAAACCAACAAGAGAGTTTGAAAAAATATAAGAGTCCGAGCAGTTTCATGAGAATTTTTAGTTGTAATATACACAAAGCAAGCACTTTCTGAAGCGTCTATCGGTTCAATTGCTTTGTTTTTGGATGGATATACTTTCTGACTTTAAAGTCAAAAGAAAAATAAACATTAGCGTGCTTGTTTCCCTTGAGTTTGAAGGCTTAAGGACTAGTTGCTAAGAATTGAACTAATCCAGCAGTAAGCTTCTTTTCTACCGTTTAGATTTTACAGGCTGTACCCAGAGATAGTAGCAAAAGTACTGCCGAATGCAATTGCTCTATCGTCCTTTATCCGCTCGTTCCTAGAAATTTGATCTTTCATGACATTTTATCTTGATACCACGAATTCCAATCTTCCAGTTCTCGAAGCCAATGAAGAAATTGTACATGCACAAAATTGTGTTGGATTATATTTCGATGAAGAGAAGAGTCTCGATTATGGAAATGGGACACTATACATTTCTCAGAAGCATGTTTTTTACGTTGATTCTGAAAACGCAAAAAAAAACTCTCTGAAAATTCGCTTGTCTGATATAGTCGAGTTAAATCACACTTCGCGGTATTTTCGGTCTTCCCCAAAGATTCATCTTTATCTCAAGTTTGTGCAAGAAAAATGGGCTTGTAAAATTTGCTTTTACAATAATACGGGGAGTACCTTGGATCCTTGCATGAATTGTGGTGTTGAAGGCCGATTTCGCCTTCTGCAGGCAGATTGCCATCTCAACGGGGAAGGTAATAGAAAGAAAGGAATCTGTCCTACTTGTACTTTTCAGAACTACCCGGACTTACTGTTTTGCGAAATATGCGGTACTCAGCTCACTCATTTGCCTACCGCAGAGCATATACAGCTTTCCTTTCGAAATGGCGGGTCTTCTAGGTTTTTTGAAATTCTTAATGAACAGAGACAGGAAACGATTAAAAAAAAGAACAATGCCTTGCAGGATACTAACCGTCTCAAAAAGATCATTAACGAAAAATCTTTACGAATAGGAGGAATTCGTGATCTTCAACAATCTCATGCCCTCAAACTTGCTCAAAATGGACAAACACTTGTTAGAGCATTTCAAGACTTAGACGCCTTTTTCTCTTTAACCCAAGAGACCATGGACTTGGCAGATCAATTCGTGGAGCGTATACAAAACCTTGCAGGTGTTGCTAAACAATCAGATCAAGTTCAACAACTTTTGAAACGTACGCATCAATTGGGTTTGTTGAGAAACAATTATGCAAACATGGTTTCTGATAATTCCAATGCACACTTATTTCAGGTGGAGCTATGTAAAAGCATTTCTGAATTATTACTAAATCACTTAAAATCTGACACCGATACCATAACAATGACCCACGCCTGGGCCATGTATAACCGTGCTCGTAGAACCCATCTTGTTTCTCCAGCTGATTTTGCAAAAGCTTGCGAGCTGTTTTCTACGCTCGACTTAGGAATTTCCGTTTCCAAGTTATCATCTGGAGCGTCAATATTTCAGCTCAAACTTCCCAATCAAAAGGAAAAGTTTCTCTCTACCTTGTTGCAGACAATGCAACCAAGTGTAACGATCTCGCAATGTGCTATGAAATTGCATTGGTCTATCGGTGTCACCATGGAACAACTTGAATCAGCAGAATCGGAAGGCTATATCGTGAGAGATATTCATGAAGATATTGGATTTGGAATTCAGTATTGGAAGAATCAGTTCCAATATTTTGAGAGCGAACTAGATAATTTTTTAGTTCCGTCGCAAAACCACGTATGACAAGGATAATACATATTTTACGAATAGAACTATTTATGAGCTAATACATACATTCCTCTTTTTCTTTTAGTTTTTTCCACCCACACAAGCTCTTTTGTTTATATATTATAGCCTATCATTATATTCTAATAAAGAATATCAACACGTATGGACTGTAATCCTCCACCAAATACATAATACACTTACTATTGATTAGATTCAATCGAGTTCTACCTGTATTTACATTGACAAAATTAGGATAATTCCAGAAAATGGAGACCTATGAACAGGAGTATCGGTATGATTTGGGATTCCTTCAAATAACGTTCTAACAAATGACAGTTTACTCGCAGCAGATATTGAAGAGAAACTGAACGATCTGGCGAGAACAGCTGACAATACAGCGTCTCAGGCTTGTCAACGACTTCTAAATGAAATTGACGAAGTGGTAAGATCAAGGAATTGTTTCAACAGGAGAAGAAGTTACTAATGAATTGAAGATTGGACAAATAGAAATTGAAGCCGGAAGTGTCCCAACCGCAGAGCGAGGTGCTTTGAATGGCCGAATCAGAAGCTACCGGGCAAAACTAGAAGAATGGAGAAATATTTTTGTAAGTAAATAAACAAAGGGGACATGGATTCTAGAACAAAGACAAAACTATAGAAATCTGTCCTTCTCTTAGATATGAATCTTCTATAGCTAACATTTGAAAACTAGAAAACCGAAATGGCTAATGCCAATCGGAAAGCCCTCTTTGGACAGCGAGATACTACCGCTGATGAATATAAGGGCGTTGATCAAGATTACGATCAGAGAACTCGCCTATTACACGGGAATAGTCGACTGGAAGAAGCATCACAGAGGCTTCTTGAGTCACAACGTGTTGCCAATGAGACAGAGGGTGTGGGAGCCAACATTCTACGCGATCTTCATGGACAACGAAATCAATTGGAACATTCCCTGGGAGTGGTAAGAAGTTGAGTTAATCAACCTTTATATACGATGATAGTAACAGTATGAGTACTGTATTTTAGTATTTCTTATAGTTACCTCTCCATCGTGATGTTGATTTCTTCTCTATTTGTTCTTTAACTAATTATGTCTACTAGTTAGGAGAAACATCTGGACACCTAGATCGCAGCTTAAGAACGTTGAAGACTATGGCGAGAAGGTAATTAACATAATAAAAAAAAACTGAAACTTCCAAGTTTTTGAATCCTTATTTAGGGTGTCTTTCGCATGAAAGTGAACTTATGACTAACATTACTTTAGACTTGCCATGAATCGATTCTTCACAACGGGCATCATTGCTATTTTGGTCATTCTTATTCTTCTCATTCTTTACAATAAATTTCGCTAGTACCTCCAAATGGTGCTTAAATTGGATTCTTCAAATTGCCTGTTTCTTCCAGATGGAATTTTGCATTTCGCGCATAATTTGCCCACATTTGACTAATTAACTCTACGTTCATGTTTGACATATTAATGTTCTATTACCGATTAGCGACTAAATGAGCAATTTTTTTCGATCATTGAATGCAATGTATCAACAATACTTACTTGCAGTGCATAGTTTAATTTGCAAACATTTTCATTCAATTTTTCTACATTATTCACAATTCGTCCTAAAAGAGCGCTTTGCTGCTCTTCCATAGGATTATTCATTTTGGAAATTTCGCTTATAGTAGTAAGTAGGTAGCAGAGCAAGCAAACTGGAATGCACTTACGGTGAGAGGTATAAGATTATGTGCACATACAATGCGAAATATATATATATATATATATATTATGGATTTTTTTGGTTTATAAGAGAATATAAATTTTGTAATCGTGAACTGTGTAAGTGAGCGTTCAATGGATTTTTGCAGCAATATGTTCCAACAATGAAATATCAACTAGATAGTCTTTTACAGTAAGTATCATATGGCTATAGAAATAGTCATATAGATTCATTATTTTACAAGAACTTCTATGAACATATAAGTTTACGGGACGAGCACAAATTTCCAACTTGATGATGAGAAAAGTATATACAAAATATGCACGAGTATTCATACCAAACGTACAAAATATCGAAGAAAAGATTTATAGGTTACTTACTAATTTCATAAATTATCTAACCTTAAGAAATAATAATTAGAAACAAAATCAGCATGATTAAGCTTACATGACAATTAATTATAAACACTGAAAAGAAAGTCGCTTTTTGATATAAAACCCCAAAGATAAGAAGAAGTAATGACTAACACTGTTCGTTTGCTCCTCCATCTTTTTAAAAGGTACCGTGCTGTCGACGGATTGCTATTATTTGTTCTCGTTGTGCGGGTGGTAAAGACTGTATTTGTTCGGGAGTTAAAGTCATAAGCTGATTTATAAGTGCCATCTATACGAAAAAAATTAGCAAATAGAAAAAAATAAGAGAAACTTACCCGTTTTGCTTCAGTGCTGTTTGTGTCTGCATCAGCAGAAATATCAGGACGAGCAGCCGGAGTTGCTCGTGGAGCGGCCTGAGGAGCAGGGGTAGGAGCCTGAGAAGCGGGATTGCTACGCATCGACAATACAACCTGTTGTAGTACTCGAGAATCAATCATATTCATTAACAGCATTGCCTGGAAGGCCGCATAAGGAAGGGCAGGATTAGCATTTAATAAGCGTCTAGCCTCATCCGGAGCTACGTGAACTACTGTCTGTAGCTGGGTAAGCATGGTTAATAATTCTTGTGCTGTGAAAGATGAGAAAACTTTCGCTACAGAAGGAGGAACAGAGTAAGACTGCGGTGTTTCGGAGCCAGCTTTGCTACCCGTGGACGGTAAATGTGCTGCAGATGGTGTACTTGAAATAGAAGGAGTCGCAGTAGGGATAGGATATGAAGGTGCCGATGGTGGAATCCCAGAAGACGAGGTATAAGGATTATACGAAGAAGCTGGAAAAGGACTCCGGCGTGTTGCATTCAAATTTGCTTGCGTATATAAGTCATTGGCAGAAGAGGACGTAGACGGCATAGGGGGAATGTTATAGTCGGAGGCATGAGCTGGATGCATATTTGAAGCAAGAGAATGAGGACGGAGATGAGGAGGAGGGTTTTGATAAGAGGTATATCGAGCTGTATGAGAAGGATCAGCTGAAGAAGAAGAAAAATCACCATGCTTGTCTTGAGATCCGTAATTCTGGTGTCTTCTGGGGTCATTAGAAGGGAATTCTACACGGATTTTTCGAGGTCCAAAAAATTCACGATTATTTAGGCGTTGAACAGCCAAAGCAGTTGTCTCACTGTCATAAAACTCACAAAATCCATAGCCTTTTCCATTGCCAGTTTCCAAATCCATAACCAGCTTGAACTGTTTTACAGGACCCACTTGTTCAAGGATTTCTGTCATTTGGTGTTCAGAAACATCGTAAGGTATGTTTCCGACTAGAATTTGTTAATAAATAAAATCCTATAGCATAATCTTACCAAACACCACATTCCCGACTGTCATCGACATGCTGGTAGTCGCGTAGAGAAGTCTGATCGCTACAACCACCATCATTATTGGACTTTTAAGCAAAAAAAGGAAGTTCAGTCTGAAGTAATCAACCCTTTTCTTTTCTTTTTTTTCTTACGTTAAATTCTCTCATTATTGAACGAGGTTCTTCTATGCATGCCATCTTAATCATCAACCGTGCAGGATCTTTAATTTTTCATCGTGAATATGGACCATCTCCTACATCACTAACACCAAATGAATATTTGATATTGGCTGGAACCATTCATGGGTAAGTTAATTTACGGTCGCCTATATTTCTATAAACAGCATAGTTCTATCACACCAAAGCTAGTATGGCTGTCCGGAAACATATTAGTATAGCGAACAAGCATGGTGATAGTTCTCTTTGTCAATAATGGACGAAGTGTTAAAACTACCTAAGTTTAATGTCACGCTTAAAGAGAAGTTACTAATTGCCCAGTGTTCATGCCATTTCTACGCAAATTAGCCCTTTGCCTGGATCCTCTGGAATTCAATTCTTAGAAGCTACAACGTTCAATATTCACATCCTACAAACGCATACTGGAGTTAAATTCGTGTTATTTACAGACAAAAAACAAACCAACGTACGTCCCCATTTACAGAAATACTACGAACTTTACGCAGATTACGTTCTAAAAAACCCTTTTTACACTTTGGAGATGCCTATTAAATGCCAATTATTTGAAGAACAGCTGAAAAGATACATAGATTCTCATTGACGAATTCATTTTAATCAAACAAACCGAATCCCATCTAGAAAGTATTAGTAACTGAAAAACTATAAATGAAGCTAATTTATGAATAGAATGAAACTCTTGGTTTTTCTATCATAAGCTTCAACAAACTTACATCCTCGTCTGATTCCTCCTCGGCCTTAGCCTCTTCCTTCTTCTCCTCAGCAGGAGCTTCACCAGCAGCAGGGGCAGCGGCGGCAACAGGAGCGGCAGCAGCACCGGAACCAATGTTTAAGAGAAGTTCCTTCAAGTCCTTGCCCTCAAGAGCCTTGGCAAAGATAGTAGCCCAGATGGGTTCAACTTCGACATTGGCAGCCTTGGTCAAAGCCAAAAGCTTGTCAGACTATTATAATTATTGTTAGGTGATCGATTCTAATAATATAAAATTACGTGAGGTCCGAAATAAAACATTGATTCTTTATTAATAGGTTTATTAAACAATATTTTCTGACACCATACGGTGACTTATTTAGAAAATCATTTATGTTTCATTCTTCTCATCGTTCAAAATAAACTTACGGAAATCTCAATACCCTCGTCGGCCAAGATGAGAGCGGAGTAACTTGTAGCAAGTTCAGAGGCAGACATTTTGGTGTTTGGTAAAGTATACCCTTCTGTCATGGTGGTGTCTATTGTTGGGCACAACAAAGTGACTGTCATTTATTAACCCTACCCTATACCTTACAAAACCAACTCTCCGGGTGAAATATAGGGAATAGGTGAAAACGAAGCGGTTGATGTTTGTAATGTTTCACTGGGATATTGTTCAAAAGGGGGAGAATGAATGTAGTAAGAGAGAACAGCATTATATGCAGCCTATAGTCATTAGTATGTGTTTGTAAAAATAAATACCAAAACAGACGTTGATGCAGTGTACAACATGTCAAATGAACGACGTAAAAATGAATGCAGTATAGTACTTCACTGAATATGCCGCAAAGTAGCCAGTAGAATTCTAATAGCGCAGGATCCAGGTTTGTCGTTCATTACACGTGTCGACAAATTTCAATACCCGCTTGTCTGTTTAGCCTACATACCTGCTGTTCAGCCAAATCCATACTACTTGCTTGACCTTGACCAAGGCAGAATGGACCAGAATAAGCGCCGATAATGAAGACAGGTTCTCTGGTTTTCCTTCCAGTTTCAGCATCAATCCTGTAAACAGGATCTTTGAGCTTTAGTCTTCTACATAACCGAGCTAGCTGTCTTCGTGGATAAAGAATTTGCAGCATAGTTCGGGGATCTAATTGACGAGAGAATATATGACTATCAACGAACTTCTTTGATTCTTGGAAACCCTGCATGATGATGATTAGTAAAGGAACATAATTGAATACAGCGGTCTTTTCTTACTCCTTCCAAATGTACTGCTCCCAAAATAGCAAGAATAGCACGTTTCATAGCATCTGGTTTGTAAATTTCCCCAGCCACTCGAGTAGTTTCTACTTCCGTTGTTTTTGCTAAAACTTTTCCAAAAGCCTGTTTAGGATCCTCATTCCAAAGTTGCACTTCGAGACCCCAAGAGTTTCCTAGACGATTCAGCGCGCGTGAGTCTAGCAACCCATCGCGTAGTCCTTGAACTCCCTTCTCAGGTAAACGCGGATATAAACATTTAATTCTCTCCAAAACATACATATCACTCAAAATTTTTCCAATCGTCCATAATTTCTCATTGGATACAGCTGCATTTTTCACGGCTGTTTTGTCTATTAAGGCTTGCGCCAAAGTATTCATCGGAAAGTTTGGCTTCAAACCAATTCTATTGCTTAGAGTAGCTATCTTTGCTAAAGCCTTTTTAGAAGATAATACTTCGCCAATGAATCCATGATTGCCAGTACTATTAAATCGGCATGTGTTCACTTGAATTCCATGAGCCTGTTTACGAAGCAATCGAGACGTTTTATACAATATAGACATTACTTTTAATTAAACATTAATCAATTCCAGCTATTTTTTTCGATACCACGAGAGCAGGGACCGTATAAGAAAAAGATTCAAGAAAAGTACGGTGTAGGTTGCGACGCTAGACACTAAATTTCCACCATAAGCACATATATGAATGAGCCATTCATAGTTTTTCTTGATTTATAGTACTTAAAAATTTTTAAAATTTGTTTTGAAACAAGTCATATTTATAAAATAAGCCTATGAATCTATAAGCTAAGCTTGAAAGAATAGTAGGCAAAGCTTTTGGTTTTCAAAAAAGCGACAAATGCTCAAAAATAATTCTTTATTGATACAATGTCTATAATTGAGAAATTGAATATGCCTTTCCTTCTATTTATTTAAAAACAATTTACAACATTAATACTATCACTTAACCAAAAGTTGAAACGATAAAATAACAGAAAACAGAAATATTTATTTTAAACCCAATTTATCTACGGCAGCCATTCCATATATCCATGCAAGACCGGCTTGCTGGCTTGTAAGAAGCAACCTCGAATTCAATAATTCATGTAAATTGGAAAAAAGTAAACCATAGTTTTTTCTAGAAAATAATCTAAAATAAATCATAAGGAACCTAATAGTATACATCTGAAAAATAAACAAACACAACTTTAAAGGAGAAATTAAAACAAGATGATCTGTAAAGCTGAACTCCTCACATGAAATTTTTCCTTTTTTGTTCTAAAATGATATTCATCTCGTGGGAAACATTGTCGTAGTAAAACTCGCGAGCATTCTTGCTGTCATAACCAACAAATGTTATATAATTTCCAAGAGTGATAGCAACTGATCTTTGAGATATTACCAAACTTGGACCTGGATCAGTTATATGTAGTTGATTGAACATTTTTAATCGCCTTGTCCGCTCGCGCTTTTCTGCCTGTGAATACATCCACACTTCCCATGATTGAGAGCCTGTGTTTCTTCCTAACGATTTCTTTTGTCTAACTTCTTGCAAATACGAATCTAGAAGCGGTATATAAGATGTCCACTCATGGCGATGATTTAACTTTTGTTTTCGATTACGAAGGGAAGCATTGGCATACAAATTCACAGAATGAGATGCGCGCGGGTTTTCCATGTTTCTTTGTTTCCTTATTCCGTAGACATACATTCCATCGCAACTCATCACCCATGAGCCAAGACCGTTCATCTCATGAGTGCTTTCCTCAAGACTGTCAAACGAATGTTCCATTATAGAATTGTCGGGGTCATGCAAATCTACCTGGTTCGGGCCCATGTCCCATTCATTTAATACCATATAAGACTCATTATCTGCGTTCCCATAATGATGATAAATAACATTTCTCGTCGTCTGATGAACAAAACAAAAAGATATAGACGATATGCGAAATTGACCCTTCACGAATCTGCTATTACTGACTCCAACGGTCAGAGTGCCATCGGCAACATCCGAAATGGCGAAATTATATACAACGCGGTTATCCTTGAGATTAACCATCGCAACCTTGCTTGCATCAGCGATGAATAGTATGTCAGCCGGAGAAATAGGATAAATATCCTTTATTTTTTCAGAGGAGATTTTGTTGTTCTCGTTTAAGTCGCAAGACACCCATTCGGAACCCTTTTTGGTGATAACTATCACCCTGTTCTCAGCAGTTAAGCAAATGAAGCGATTTGCTATAGGGGACAGTATGGGCAAAGATTTGAGAATGACGACACCCAAATTAAATTTATGTTCCAAAAATATATCTGCAATCCCGCCATTTACTTTAATGCGAAAAACTTGAATATCTCCAGAGGGTTCTGTCACTACCAAGCTGTATACCTTAATCTTGTCACTTAAGTGCTTTTCAGGAAGCCAAAAAGCGTCTAATTTACCTTTAGTTCGGCACTGGAAAAAGCATTGGAATAACAAACAAGGCGTGTTGACATCTAAGATATAGAGTATATCTTTTGAAAACAAAGCAATCACATTTCCATCTGGATCAATTGCAAAAGTTTTGATGGTTTTTGGCATTTGCTGTTTGTTTAGCTTCAATTTTACGCAGCTTGTCTGTAAATCCCAGACGACTAGGCATTTGTCCAAACCGTAACTAGCCAGTATTCTATGATTGCTAGAAATCGCAATTTTTCGGATATCAAGTTGATGATGAAGTGGAATGGGCTGGATCAGAAACTTTTCTTGATGTAATGACTCATCATTTGTGTTTTCATCGTGATCGGACCAGCCACGGAGTAGTCCTTTTACTAGGGCACCAACGGCAAAATCTATAATGAATAGAACGCTAAAAAAAGTTGACCACCTCCATACTCGTCTGTCGTAAAACGAGTTGTAAATGCTCGTATAATCATCACGGTCAACAGTATCTATAATGATCGGTCTATACAGAGCAAAAATAAGTTCACCCGTATCAATTTTTTGTGCTAAGCTTTTCAGAAAAGATGAATCAGCAAGCCACCCAGTGGTAATTAATGGAAATAATTTTCGTTCACGAGTGATTCTACCCAATCTATGGTATAGCGTAATCAGAAACCGAATGTTGGGAGAAGCAAGTCTCCAAAAGCCATTAATTTGCATGCTTGATCTCAATTGAAGATAAATAATGTATGTGTAGAGAGAAAAAACGCCAAGGTTTTTTATGATGTAAGGAGACCACAGGAATTTAAAAAAATCTAAGTATTTGAACCACCACTTTGTAGTAATTGCACTAGTTGGAGCATCGAGGAAATCTTGAAGTTCTAGACGGCGGATATCTACACTGAGTACAGCGAGGAAAAAGCTCATATGCAGCATAAAGCTTATAACAAAGGAGCAAGCTAGAAACAAACAAAATTCTTGAACAAGTGGGTAAACAAAGAAGCTTAAGATAAATAGCGTCATTAGCTTGGTAAATAAAGATGTCAGCGACGTTACAATGGTAACCGTAAATCCTTCCATTATTCGTGACGGGACACGCTTGGTTGGCGGCGATGCAATGACCACCCGCAGAAGTCGAAAGCTGTCATAGGTTAGTGAAACATAAAGTATTTAAAAAAAATAATAAGCATACGAATTCTCTATGTCCATAAAGATGATTATGTAATAAGCTATTGGCCAGGGACAGATAGGCCCAGTTCTTTCAAAAAAATAAAGGATTGAACAAGCTGAAAGATAAGCTGTTCCACTCTGAATAAAGATTGTAGATGTTAAGCCAAATTTGGCACGAACGTCCTGTAAACGAACTAAAGACAGATATAAATACCCATATAATAATATCCCAAATCCAAACCACAGGTACCATCGGTTGATACGTATAATTTCCGGAAGTTGAGCAACAACAGTCGTTGGGTTCCGGTCAATTGTACTAGCATACAGTTGAGGTGAATCTGAACTAAAACTTTGTAGTACAGAATTAAAAGTATCTAAATGTTCCGGCTTCAAAAAGTAAGTAATCACAAAAGCACTCAGAGAATCTCTCCCTTCAGCAATTGTATCGTTATTTAATAACCGAGGCTCTTCAGGCAGACACTTTGTGTAAGAATATTTCGCAATTGGATTTACCTTTTCGTAAAATTTTGGTATTGGAGAAATTGTTACACAGGATTTCTCGTCCCTGATGCAGGGATAATTATTGTGCGCCAAATATTCATGAAAATTGGTTTCCCATCTATAAGCGTTTGAAAGGTAATCCTCAGAATATACTGATGAATTTGTTCCTAAAAGGTACAGTTGCTTCGTTATAACAGAAGGTCTAGCATTTGTAGATTCCGCAAACCAAGCAGACCAAGTAGTCAATGATGAATCCGACAGGGATTGTTGATACGCAACTAACGCCGAATAAACACCTGTAATTGATAAAAGAGTAAATATTAATATGAAATACCAAGGATTACTAGCTATACAATAGCTGTAATTTGCTATAAAGGTAGGGAAAAGAGCCCTGCTCGAATTTTTGATATTTCGGCAGCCTTTGAATGCTGTAAAATTCATTACGAATAATTCACTTTAATAGCATCGGAAAATAAATTAATTGATAGTCAAAAGGTATGCGTTACAGTATTTCAATGATTAAGCCCGTGTTGGTGTTTATGGGTGGGAAAAACCGTTAGCGAAAAGCGAGACCAAAGATCTCCACTAGCAGTAAATAAAATAACATAAATCTAAATTACTTTATTGAATTTTTTGACTCGAATATGAATAATTTAATTACTCTTTTGCTCGTACACTTCAAAAGATCCATGGTGCAAAATTATGCAAGTAGAAGCAATTGCTGATAATTTTAGTTGCTTGACGGTTGCTAAGGTATGACAAATTCAAAACGTTCAAGACCTTTTTTTTTCTAATAGTCAAACTACTTTTTGGTTTCAATATACGATGTATACCGACATTAGAATACTCAACCGACCAGAAGGATATCTCAATAGAAATATATAGTTATTAGCCTTTTTTTTACCCCCAAGAAACTAAAAATCTATAGCAGCAGCGGAACAGATTTGAGTCGTAACTTCCCTAGCAATATTTTGAAGGTGCGCTTCGTATTCCATTGAAACGTTATCCAAAGTAACTAACCTCTGAGGAAAATACGTTTGTTCGATACCAGTTGTTATTTTAGATACATCAGTTACCAACATCCACGCTTCTTCAGGATCTAATAGCTTAAGAGCGTTCAGAACAACTAGATAATTTTCCAATATCTCGGTTTCTTGATCCTTTTTGAAGCTATCGGAAGAAAGCAAACGAAGTACTTTTTCATATATAATTGCAGCAGCGTCACGATAATTCTGATTTTTCAAACGCCAACTGTACAACACGTTATACCAGCACGGTTGACTTCGGACGTCTATCATCTGGAAAGATCTCTTTTCTAGAATACTATCAACTTCATCTTGAAGCGATGGCATTGAATAATCAATAAGTCGAAACAGTTTTCCTTTGTAAGCCAATTGTTTCAAAAATTCGTTGAGTGCATCGCTCTTTTCTTTCTTGTTCTTTATCAGCAAAAGTGCAGAGTAAGCGGTGTCGAATTTTGAAGAAGCACAAGATGTGAAAAATAATTGCCTTCTAATATCAGAAGCTAGGTTTATATCTTTCCCTTTCAATGAATCGGCCATCAAAGCGAATTCTAGAGCATCAACATACGCTCCCTCAGTAGATAATAGTTTCGAGACGTATAAGTAATAACTGGACAATTGACTGTCGAGTGAATATTTATGAGCTGTCTCAACATATTCTTTGAGGAGGGGACGCTCCGATATTTCTAACTTGTTGACGTTTAGATTGGCATGCTTAAAGTAGTAGACAGACTTTTGGGTTTCCTTGGATCCTAGATAGGTTATAGCCTTTAGATACTGGCAGATGGAATCAAACCCTAGCCAACTCAATAGAGCGGAACAAGCATTGTGTTGTTTTAATAAAAGAAGTTTCTCAAAAGCCTCTGAAATTATTTGAGTGCTAGACGAATCCTTTAATAAACGGGAAACGAAGTACTTAAGACTAGTCTCTAAAGAGAACGATTGGCCGCGTAATTGATTTTCACGACAAAAGAAGGTTACAAGGATTTCAAAAGGGCTGTTAAGATGGGAGACTATGCCAAGATTTGATTGTAAAGTTTGATCATCAATTTTCGAATAATCGATATCAACGTATTCTAAAGACAAGTTGAAGGTAGCTGTAAAAAAGCTCACCTTTTTCCATATATCAAGCAATTCTAAGAATAGTTCGTCAGAACCAAAAACCTTCTGTTCCAATTGTACATCCTGTTGACTAGACGCAATCGAAAGAAGGAAGATTAAAGCTTCTAGGGATGTTTGTAAATCCCCAAGAACCGTAATAAGTGTGTTCGATAATGCTAACGAGAAAAAAGGAGTAAAACTGAATGATACAGATTGTTCCGGGAAGCCTCTTATATAATTGATAAGAGATTTTATGTCGGCTATTGGATTGTCCCGGGAAGCAAAGCTTTCGGCCAAGGATTTCAAATGATCTGGGTTTACATTTGGATAAATATACTTGTCAAAAAATATCCATAATGTATCGAATACTGAATAAGAGGCAGGGTTTTTGGTCAGTTCTTGAAGAGAGAACCGTATTTCCAAAAGAATAGCAGACGGTAGACAGTTCAGTAAACTGCAAGCAAGATCTAATAGCTGATAGCCTGATACTAAGTCGGGAGCCTTCATTTCAGGAAGCTGGAGCATGTTATTTATTAAATCGCCGTCTAGGTATTCAATATTAACAGGCTCTCGCAAAACACCAATCTTGTTTGCATAGCAAACATACATGTTTTTTGAATTTGAGTCTACCTCGATACTCAATACCTCACTACCAAAGCTATCCAAGTACAGAGTCAATTTGGCAAATCTCTCCCATTCATTGTAAAGAGCTTGACGATATGCAGGGTAATCAAAAGATGAAGAGCCAAATTCAGGCTGTACAGGAACAGAACCGATAATCATTGTGGTAATTTCTTTCATGAGTTCACTTATGGATGTACTAAGTAAAGAATCCATCTTTGACTTTGAAGTGTAAGGATTAACTTTCTGATAACACAAGAAAGCTAATTGCAGTGATTCGGGGGATATGTATTTTTTATTCAACAAATTATCAATCCAAATTTCCGACACATCACCAAAAGACATAGTAGTCGGAATATCAAACGAAAATTTGTCAAAATTAGCAAATGTATTTTTCTTCGTGCTCTTCCACGTGACTTTTGCAGTTTGATCTATGTCGGGAACGACTTCAGCACATTGTATGACAGCATGAAGGTTACTTTTCCAAGCTAAAAACAAATTGAAGCGTAAATTGTGTTGATCCAAACAAATAAGACTTGTCTTTAACAGCGTCCAAGGCAAATATTCATCATCCGGTAATCTTGGAGGAGTGATATTAGTCACTAATGGAGACAACTTGAGAAATGTGCCGTTGTCTGGATCAAGGTCAAACTTGTAAAAGGAAAAGTACCCATGAGTACTGTTGGGACAATATACAGAAACGTAAGACTGTGTGAAACTATCTATAGATAAATAAGAAAGAGCGTTTGAATTTTGCACAGAAGGGGGTTCGAAGGATATATTCTCCAACAGGACACCATTTAGTGAATTCCATATTTTTAGCGTATGATCCAAACTCAAAGTTAACAGATAATGGTAGCGATGGTTATAAACCATCGAAACAATACTGTTAGGTGGGCGATAATCATTTTTGAAAGCCTGAAGAGTAAGATAATGCCGGATAGAGGTCATATATCTAGAATCATGATAATGTTCTTCTCGAATTTGATTATTATTAGAAGTTAAGTTCAGTTTCACAAGTCCGCCTATATCAAATGTGACAAACAGTGAGGAACGATCAACGCCAGTTGCGTAAGATGGACTCTTAGTTAAAAAGGATGGTGGGCGATAGTAGGTGCACCAACCTTCATCAACCGTTGGATTGGAAGATAAGAACCATTCTGGCTTTAGTTGAATAGAATAGAGGACTCTAGTCGACGTGATTACGAAGAGGCTCACCTCGTCCTTTTCATCATCAAATCCAAAGGTTATGCAATTTTTCAAAACCTGGGAAGGAAAGTGGATTCTTATATTAAAAGAAGGTATGCAAGAAGACTCTTTTTTCAGAGATACTTCACTTAAAACCAAGGTTTGATTTTTGAAAACATTCCAATGAATACAGCGAGGGAAGAGATTGCTTTTACGAGTAAATATTCCACTATCAAAAGCAATCAATTCTCCTTTTAAAACAAAATCGCAATCAAAATTCTGTTCTTCGGCTACTACTTCATTGATGGAATCTTCTTCATGAGCAGGAACCCATAACTCCAAACTTCCTTCTAAACCAAGCGACTGAATATAAGTGGGAACAATCGCTTGCTTTAATTCATCCATATTCTTCTTCTATAGCTGCAAAACCAGCGTTGAAAAGGATGTTCAGCGTTGGAGTAAGGTATACGATGTCTAAGGAAAGTGCTCTGGGGGAAGAGATCGAGCTCAAAAATCGAAGACGTATGTCCCTCGATCGCTGAATTCAAGTTTAAAAACTTTTCTATTGTACTATATGTCAAAAATTTGTTTAAAATATTAATTAGAAAATCACTTTTTTCTTATGGAAAATATTATAGCCAAAACAGGGAAACAACATGACTAGACAGATAAAAATACACGGTATAATCGAGTAATTACACTGACAATATTTTTTTGTTAAAATAATATGACTTGAATTGATATTTTATTCTATCTGAGATAAAAGGTAGTATAGCTTTGACCCAAAGCTAACTCCGGAATCATAGGTAGCCTGAAAAGACTAAATAATTTTTCAATTGTTGATTACTTCTAAGTTATTTTCGCATCAAAGTTATTAACTGAAGTTATGGCTTGTTAGCAAATTCTCAATGGGCTAATGGGCTAACATATACGACTAGAGTCATTTGCTAGAAGTTATTGTTAGCCAGAAAAGAAGTGACCGCACTTCAACTTTCTTTTGGATACAATTTATAGTTGCTTTTTTCTTGTGCGAGACTGACATAAATATTCAAGTTTGAATTGGATCCTCGCTAATCAAAACATTAAGATTTTCCCAAAGGTGCTTGGGGAAATAGATATAAAGATTGAAAAAATATATATAGTAATTAATTAATACAGACAAGAAGAGCACATCGTGTAGATTTATCCACTAACGACATAAGCGGCGAACTATCCGTTCACCACAACAGTAATTATGATGAATACATATATAAAGAAGAGTTGGGAGCTTTTTCCTACAAAAAAAAGTTTGAATAAACTTTTATTTCGAAATTGGCAAGTACCGCGGAACCATATTTCAACAGGAAGCTATTCTAGCATGCTATTAAAATGTGAGTCGAATACTGCGAAACATAGGCCATCTCTTCTTACTTTAAGGATTCCCCATTTTCAAAATCAATCTAAAATATACTGGATGCAACAAGTCCGCAAAAATTCCACGAAAACAGCAGACCAGTATACTCTTCAGGAACAGTATGATGAGTCAGGGAAACCATATATATTGCACATGAGCGAGTCAGCAAAGCAACAATTAGAAAAAGTGGCAAATCAAAAACAACAAGACACTTTTTTACGCGTGGTCGTCGACGGCGGTGGATGTCATGGATATCAGATCTCCTTTAAGATGGATGACCAGCTAGGAAAGGAAGACAGGTATGTTGGAAACATGGTTTTACTTATCATTTCTTTGTTCACTCCTGGAATTTACTAATGTTTATAGCGTATTTGTTCGAGGAAAAGCTAGAATTGTCACGGACAGTATCTCATTACCATTAATCAGTGGCTCTGAAATCGTTTATACAAAAGAATTAATTGGTTCTTCGTTTCAGTTAGTCAATAATCCTCGTGCAAAATCATCTTGTGGTTGTAATGTGAGTTTCGACTTGAACTAAGCATTGGATTGACAGTCAGTGAATTCAAGCTAATTTACAGCTTGCATTTGATTCTTTTACCCAGGGCAGGGCATTTTTGACTAATATTAATGAAAAATAATTACGGTATGACATTAATGCAGTTAATTTAATAATTAGTAAAGCAAAATATCGTAAATAAAAATATATTTCACACAGTTAAAAGTATATGGAAATTGAGAGTTATTTATTCGCCTACAATCTTTCGAACACGTCTAAGAATGCTGTCTTTTTCGGGGTCATAAGGATCGTCTTTACTAGGAATTTCCAACACAGCAGGAAATGCCTGAACGTATTTTTCAATTCTGTCTCGAATCCGATTAGCAGCAACTTGATTAATCAAAACAATTGCAATGTCCGACCGCTTAGTAGTATAATCATCAAAGACATCCGCAATTTGTTCATCAGTGGTTTCTTTCGTTGGACAAATTAGTATGGTTTCAATTATAGTATAAATATTCAATCTTGCTTACTTTGGTTCACAATAAAGAAGTTTTTCTTGCCATCTTCGTTGACTTGACCTGTTCCCGCTAAAAGCAAGCCTGTAACAGTATCGTCGTCACCGATAACAGAAATTAAAGACCTTTGTTCAAAAGATTTATTTTCAGACATGTTACCGCCCTTGATGTTAGAAGACGTACAACGGATTTAGGATGTGAAGAGGTACGGTTCTCTGTAGCAGAGGATTTGAAAGAAATCTAAAAAAACACTCAAAAGTGCTTTTTCTAACTGAATGCTTTTTGGAATGATTAATAATGATTAATAGAAAACTTAAATCTAACGTTTATTGACACAAGCTGAGAAAGTGTTCCAATAAATAAGAATCGGGTTGGAGGTTAAAAAAAACCATGAATGAAATGAATCAAGAAGCATATAAACAGGAAAGTTTATAAAGTTAGAATTTTTTGCATATATACACAAGTACGTTGTTTTCTCTCTACCAAAGTACCTGATTTTGTTTCCATTGGTGCTGATCAATTGTTATAACAATCACACCTAGGTAAGATCTTTTTGCTTTCATTCCCTAAACCTTCAATTCTTCAATTGACTTGCGCTTGTCGGTACAAATCATATTGGCCTTTCATGAAACATTTCTTGTCCAACATTGATTGATTTCGAATTCAATTTCGACTAGCGAATGCTCACATCAAATGTAAATATATAAAACGCTGCTTTTAAATGCCTATGAAAAGAAAAAAGTACATCACCAAGCTGCAGTTTAATACTGAAAGGTAAGTATTTACATAGCCTTTTAGCTATATATCGTGAAAAGACATCCGTTGACAGGCTATGCTCAAGTTTGACAAGATTAAATAAAACAAAAATTTTTAGTACTAAACCTTCTTCAAAACTGCCGGTCGATTCAATACTACTTAACATAAGTATTAACCTGTTTATTTACATTTTAAGCTGCTGCGTTTAACTTGGCTATATCATTATATGATATTCCTTCGGGTTCGTAATTCACACATCTACGATCTTTTGCGGGAGCTATAGTCGAGTAGAAACCTAGCTTCTACCAAATACGAGTAGAATTGTAAAAAAGAAAAAGAATAAATAATGTATGGTATGAGAAGGTTTTTTCGTCCTACGGTGATGCGTGCTGCATTCCCCGTAAGAGCTTCTTTAAATCACCCTAGAGCATTTTGGTTTTCTTCGGAAGCAAAGAATCCTGAAAATGGTGAAAAGGCAGCTGAAACGGCACCTAAGCCTGAGACTGAAGAAAATGCACAATTAAAAGAAATCCAGGCCAAGTATGAAGCAAAAAGCAAAGAGATTGCTGAATTAAAGGACAATGTCCGTCATAAGTTGGCAGATGCTCGAAACATGGAAAACCGCATGAAGCGTGACATGGAGCAAACTCGTGCATTCGCTGTCCAAAAGCTTGTCAAGGATCTTTTAGATTCTGTTGACAATTTAGAACGTGCTTTGTCTATTGTACCCGCAGAGAAGCGTAACAACCGTGAGGCCAATAAAGATTTGGTTGATTTGTATGAAGGTTTGGTCATGACTGAGTCGAACTTGATCAAGATGCTTCAAAAGTATGGTGTGGTCCGTTACGATGGTCTTGGCGAGCAATTTGATCCTAACATCCATGAAGCTGTTTTCCAAATTCCTATTGAAGGAAAGGAGGCAAATACCATTTTCCACTGTGAAAGCAAGGGTTATACTCTAAATGGTCGTGTTGTTCGCCCCGCCAAGGTTGGTATTGTTAAGGGTGAAGACAAATAAAGAAAGTGAATAGGTCATCTTTTTGTGAGTCAGAGTCCTACTTCTTCAATGTACTATACAAGATCGATTCCATTTCTCAAATTTGTGCATTTCATTTTCTCCCTAGCTCGACATCTATATACTCTTGTCTTTTCTTCCATGTGTGAGTCCACGAATCACCGACTCCCGTAATCTCAAAATTTTTCTTGTCCGTTAAATAGAAAACTTATAATCGTTGTAATCGATTTGAATTTTGGGTATTTTGCTCCGGCTTATAATTATATTTCTTTTGTCTCTTTTACTTGGAAAACTATTTTCCTAAGGATAGAAGGAATATGGAAATATCTCTAATTTTGACTTATGAAATGAAATCTATCATGTATTTTTTTCATGCATCGTTTCATTTATCAATATTTACCAACTTACGAGTTAATAAAAAAGAAAATAATCATTCATTCTCCTACTTCTTGATTGAATTTTACGATATTTTGACAAACTGTTGAAACCGTAGTTAAACATTATAGTTCATTTTTATTCTTGAAAACTCGTTTTTGTCGTTTATTTTATAGCTTCTGACCGTATAGTAAACAAATAGAGCTGCTTGCTTTCATCTAAATCAGAGTGTTCTTCCATATGAGGGAACTGAAACGTAAAACAATAACAAGAAATTTATTTACATATGTCGATTTCATTTTTATCAAGAAAGACATTCTAATGGCATGGCTATACTATGGAATAAGCTGTTCTGGGTGGTTTCTTTTACGGTGTAAGAGGCCTACCATACCATGTCATTGCTTTTTTCGTTTACTTCCTGGCTGCTGCCTGTTACAACGAACCCAACATAACTCCTAAAAAGTGTAATGTGGTTTCCTTAATTTCCCAAATTTCCTAGACATTGCTTTTTTATGCCTATTAAAAGTACAATCAACCATTCATATTATATTACCAAGCAAAATTGCTCTTTGCTAACTTAAGTCATCTCAGGCGAGAAAAAAGTCTCTGTTTCTTAGCTGCTAACTAGGAAATTCTTTATTCACGTATATGTTTATCTGTTTGAAAAGCCGTCTCAATCGCTGGATTTCTAGTAGCATCGCTTTCATCGGGTGTTCGTATTCAACTTTATAATGTCTTCAATTGCGAGTATTATCAAAACAAAACTGCAACTTCCGGATTCTTCAAAGGATTTAGCTAAGCTGAGGTGGAGATTTCGACTTCCGGATTCACAATTTTCTATCAATAGTTTACCATGCGAGATTCAGTTCATCCACTATAACAATTCGGAGGAAACGAAGTCTTTGCTGGGTGTTCTCTACTTATTCACTGATTACATTGCTTTCCGTGGTGATGAAGAAGGTACTCAATTTTGTATGCCATATACTATTATTCGAAAGGTTAGCAAAGTAAAAAGTGATGACTATGAACAACTACTCTCTGTCTCCACGAGCAACGGTTATGAATTTCGAATTTCACTTCAGGTTTCTGAAAGTACCGCATTGCGTTTTTGCGGACTTTTGAAGGAAGAACTTATTTCACATAAAGCAAACATGCATAAAGCATCTGAATTTACCAAACAATTTTTTTCAGAACAATTGATAAGTCCCAATGTTGCAGAGAGTAACCTGTCTTACGGTTTTGGTTGCAAATATGGATATCCCACAGATCCACGGGCCTCCCGTGAAAGAGCCAAACTTCGGATGTGGAAAGAATACTTCCTGTTATATGGAACAAGCCTCTCATTAATAAGAGTCTCTCTGTTCTCTAAGCTTGTCCGTATAGAATTACCGAATAAACTAAGGGGTGAAATATGGGAGTTAACTTCCGGATCCTTGTATTTGAGGCTTCAAAATGAAGACGAATATAAAAATATATTACGGGCTTATTCTGGGAAAACTTCTTTTTCTTTAGAAGAAATTGAAAAAGACTTGGGCAGAAGTTTGCCAGAGTACCCTGCATACCAAAATGATGAAGGAATTGATGCTTTGCGAAACGTTTTAGTTGCCTTCTCTTGGAAAAATCAGGATGTTGGTTACTGTCAAGCTATGAACATTGTGGCGGCTGCATTGTTGATTCATTGCAATGAAGCTCAAACGTTTTATTTAATGCATAAGATTTGCGAGGATTATATACCCGGATATTACTCCAAAACTATGTACGGAACATTGATTGATCAACAGGTGTACGAAACTTTAGTACAGCGGCTTATGCCTAACCTCCACGCTCATTTTGTAAACAAGGATATCCAACTTAGTATAATATCCTTACCATGGTTCCTTTCTCTCTTCTTTTGTACTATGCCATTACCTTTTGCGTTTCGATTGATGGACTTCTTCTTTTTGGAAGGACCAAGGGTCCTTTTTCAGATTGGAATGGCAGTATTGTATGATAACGAATCTGAAATCTTAAAGGCCACTGAGGAAACCATGCTTATTTCTCTTCTGAAAAGGTATTTTTCGCAATTAAGTGATCGAGTTTACAAAGATGCTACTGATAAAAGAGTCGCGTCGATTACCAAATTTCAATTATTGCTTGTAACAGCTTTCAAAAAGTTTGGAAACATTACTCATGCAATGATAGAGTCTGAAAGGAAACGACATTTCAATAAAGTAATTAATTCGATTGAATCGTTCGCCAAGCGGACACAAATACGAAGTATTCAAAATTACGGCTCGTTGACACGTGACGATTTGAGTAATATATATGACCGTTACCATGAAATTCTTTCTGCTAAACATGAATTTGAGGTAAGCAATTCTGCTGATACAAAGCTTGAGTTTGATGAATTTTGTATTTTCATGGGAGGTGTGACAGATTGGGCTAAAAATCTTGACGCGGCCGCAATAAATGGATCTTCATCATTCTTGAGACATTTATTTTTACGATTCGATAAAAGCAGAGTAGGTTCTCTGTCTCTGCAAGACTTAGTTTCTGGGATTGCAGGATTAAAGGTACGAGACGTCATGCATAATATCTCATTTATTTTTGAGCTGTACGACTCTGATAGTGATGGATTTATGGATAAATCTGATGTATTGAAAGTATCTGAGGCTCTTTTGTGGATTACCAGGTACATGGGCGATGAATGCTTATCAGCTGTCAGTGAATTTATTCAGAGGTGCTTTCATTTTGCAGATGAAGCTAGTCCTGAACATCGGGAAGAAGAAAAGTTGATTGATGTAGACGAGAGTTTACCTAGTGGTGATTCGACTTTGGAAAGAAATGTAGGCGCAAATAGCGATATCCGAGTTAGTCTACCTACTTTTCGGATGGTCATCTTTTCAAATGTGCTGCTGGAGCAGCTATTTTCTGGCGGCTTGGCAGATTCCATCGTGCTAGCACCTGTGGAAGAAAAGACAAGTACCGTTGGTGGTCTTCGTGGATTATTGGATTCCCTTGTTCTCGACACTAATAGATGGAGTGAAACTTTCCGTAATCATAAGCATGTTGCAAATATTCCTTCGTCAGATAATGCTACGAGTACTGGACACAGGTCATATTTGACAAGTGATGATACTTCAAATTATGAAAAAGTAAAAAGCCGTACATCAGATATTGATGAAGATGTTGGAGAACCTGTTGAAGACGATAAAGATTTACTACAGTTTGATCCTTACAAGAAAACGGAAGCGTAATACTATATCAAGTTTTGGTCACTTTTTCGAAATCTTTTGACAAAATATAGAAGCCCTTGGCATGTATACGTATCCCTTTTACTCTGATCAAGATCTTTTCATGCTAATGTTTTTTTTTTTAATTGTTATTTAATAAATGATCTTTTTAATGCACTATTTCTTTTTTTTTTTTTATAAATATATTATCGTAGACGCCAGTCAGCGTTTGTTTTTTAGCGTGCTGGAACGCAAAGTTGATTTAAGAAGGCATTTGGAATTTCAATAACGCAGAAGAATCAATATGGCAGAAGGATCGAAGTCAGTCAATTTAGCGTCTCTTAGTTTGGAGCAACTAGCAGAAGTTATTAAGCAACTTAATACTGAACTCGAATACCTATCGAGTTCATATGCTCAGTTAGGGCGTGCTCATGTAAAATTTCTTGGTTGTCTTAATAGCATAAAGGAAACAGTAAAGGCGGAAAATGAAGGTAAGGGATAAGGTTTGGTTTATTATCTATTACTAACAAAATAAAAATAGAGCGTGATATGCTTGTTCCTCTTACAACTAGTCTCTATGTACCGGGCAAGTTAAAGCTCGGCAATAGAAAAGTGTTGATAGATATTGGAACAGGATACTTTGTTGAAAAGGTAAAAAAAGAAAAGAAGCAATATGAAATTGTGACTAATGGTTGTTTTTCAGAGCGCACCTGATGCGATTGAGTACTATCAAAGAAAATGTGAATATCTACAAAACAGCATTGAGAACATTGGCAGTGCTGTTGAAGCCAAGTCCTCTCAAATACGAGGTAAGATTAAACAATTTTATTATGTTTTACCAAAAGTGATTATGATGGAACGAATTATTAACAATATGTGAATGTGTAGCTGTTCAATCCGTCATGCAACAAAAAGCTACTGATCAAAACATGAAGAGCGCTCCGGCATCAGCGTAGATTTGGTTAGATTGTATGATTGTCATGAAATATATTACGGAAAACTGACTTTTCATGGCCTTTTGGCGTTATGCATGAATGAAAACAATTTAGTTTTGATCAACAGGAGGATAGTAAGTATTCGTAGAGGATTCATCAGCTATGCTTTTGTTGAACGTATTTGTAGTCTGTAAATGGATCGCTTTGCTATATATATGTGTATTTTCAGCGATGTCTTGAATTTCCTGAAAGCGCTCGCGTTCGAATGAAGACTCCATATAAACACACTAAAGAGGAAAAGTCGTAAGTATATATAGAGTAGAATATTTTAAAAAAAAAATGCTTATGCTTACCTTATTGAGACAATCCAATTTCGCGTTTATTTTTTGTGCTTCCACCATCTGCAATAGAAAATCTTCAACGAAGGGCAAGTCAACCTGAAAGTCAGAAGCGATTTTTTTCATGGGGATAGCACTGTATGGAAACAAATAATCGACCAACGAACGTTCGCGAATTAAAGATAGGAATGTGGATAGGTGAGGAGCCAAATACATGTCGAAGGCATATTCGGGAAAATTGGCTTGAAGGGTGTTGAACAAAGAGCTATAATTTCTTTGGCTCATAAAATGCATACATTTTCGTAAGGAGGGATTGAGATCGGATAGAGCATTAAATATTTCATCTTCGTTTAGTTGTTGTAGCAGCTCATTATGGTCCCAGGATACTAAAGCGCAAATACAAGTGTAGGTGGAGACATCCGTTTTTGTCAAGAGAATATCGGAAAAATCGGGTTCTATGTGTAGAAAGTGGTCTAGGGCAGATTTATAATCGCCCAGGCACATGTGGGCCAAACCGCAATAAGCATACACGGTACTTTTAATTTCCATTGCAGAAGAGAAAGTAGACTTTGCACGGGAGCCAAAAGCAAGAACATGAGAATAGTTTTCCATCCAAATGGAGACTCTCATTAGATCGAGGGACAGATGGGCGATTTGGGCGGCGTTTGTACAATACTCACGAACCTTTGCATAAGCACGAAGGGCACTTTCAAATTGACCCAAATCGGTAAAGAAAGAGGCCAGGTCGACTTGGGCGGACTAGATGAAGGTAGAGAAGTTAGCGATAACGGAAGGGTGAGAATTTGGAAGCAACAAGTGCATACCCGAATGGATTCTCTGATGAGATTATTTTTGTATGATTTCAATTCTTTTGTAAGGTGGTCTAAATTTTGCTTTCGATGGTAGGTGACACTGTCAATCCAAGATAAATCATACTGTTGGTCGGGCATATCATTTGCGAATTCTGTAAAAGTAGATTTGTACAATTCCAAGTTGTATGTGTGTGCTTTCAATTGATTGATTGCGTATTGTGAGCAAAAGGACCTGAAAGTTTCATGAGAGCGAGCTATGAAAAGGGCTCTAAAAATCCTTGGCCAAACTAGAATAAGAAATAAAGGTTGGTAAAAGGAAAACGGGATTTATGGTAACAAAAAAAAAAAAAGAAAAGAAAAAAGAAACTATAAATAAATTAAAGACATACCACCATATTGATTCAAGTACTTTTCCAAATCAGCCGTGTCTACAGCTGTCGTATCCATTGGGGAAGGTAAAGTAAAGTGTAGAATAATTATAATAAATATAATAGGAAATAAAAAAATAAAGGAAAATTTGTCTAGAGATTCAAGAGTAAGTGATTTGAAGGAAATGAAATGAGAGAAAAAGAATCTTGAAGGTCAAAGGGCAAAAAGGCAAACGAGTATGAGAATCGATGATAGGAAATGACGAGTTTTAAGAATAGGAGAGGGTAGAGATGGAAAACCAGTGGATGTTGAAGAGATATTTAGTAAAGAAAAGGAAAAAAAAGTGGAATATCGTTGAAAGGTAGGATGGAATGGAATTTCAAAGAGATTCTTTTATGAAAGAGTGTGTGATTTTTTTGCTAGGGATGATACTATTTCACATTTGAGTTGGTGTTTTTTTTTTTTTTTTTTTATATTTCAAAGAGATTATTTTGTATTTTTTTTTGAATTCGAGGAACTGTTTGAAAAAGAATTACCTTTTCGTGTGATTTATTTATTTATTTATTAAGGTACTGGAACGCAAGTTTGGATATGAGAAGATGACGCCGTTGGAGATGGAAAAAGGATTTGGCTGGGATTTTGGATGTGTGTTTAGCAGCAGCTGAAGACGACGACGACGACGACACCCAAGAAGAAGAAGAAGAGAGAAAAATTGAATTGAATAAAAAAAAGATTGATTTGATTTGGAATACGAAAAGAAGAAAAGAAGTGTTCAATGGAAGAGAATTTGCAACAGAACGTTTCAGTGGAAAGCGCTCGTAATGAGTAAGTGAAATGGAAGAATGGATAAAAAGAGAAAGAAATAAAGGATTAACATGGAATGAAATGATTAGATTTCGAAATTACATTGAACAACATGAAGAGCCATTGCTAGTGGGTAGCAAGTCGAAAGAAGGAGGATTGAATCATATGAAGAGTAGTTCATCAACACACAAGGGAAAGAAGAGTCTACGGAAAAAGTGTTGTGTGATTTGTTAGAATGGTGAAAGAAGGATGTGTATGTGGAATGCAAAGAAAGAACGTTAGCTGATTATTAGAAAAAGGAAAAGCGAAATTACAGTGTTGGATGGTTTTAGACGAGTCCATTCATTCGTATATAGGAGGATCTCTTGGATGGAAGATGGAAGATGGAAGATGGAAGATGTGAGAGGAGGACTGTTGTTGAAGAATGCAATGACATTAGATATTGATATTGAATGAATTGATAAAGCGACTATTGTCAATGACCAAGAGAGTTGTAATCTAGTGGAGGAACTGATGAAATGAAAGAGAGAAGAGAGAAGAGAGAAGAGAGAAGAGAAAAGAAAAAAGAAAAAAGATAAAAAACAGGGAATGTTTTATAAAAGAAATAAAAAAAAAAGAAAAAAAAAGTTTAGATAGATATCCATTTTTATGCAGACATCCAAGGTCGGATAGCACAGTTGGTTAGTGCGCATGACTGTTAATCATGAGGTCGAGGGTTCGAGTCCCTCTCTGACCGAAACCATTTTCTTTTTCTTTTTTAGAAATTTCAAGAGACAGAGTGGAGTGTAGTGTAGTGGAAGAAGACTAAGGAGACTAAAGGAGACTTTTGGTGTAGAAAAGTGAGTGGGGGTTGTTGGTTTGGGGGAGTGTTTTTTATTTTTTTTTATGGCATAGTAGAGAGAGAGAGAGAGACTGTGTGTGAATGGTACGGTACGGTTTTGGGAATTCTAGAGAGCGAGAAATGAATGGATGGAAGAAATAGAGAGAAACAAGAGGTTGTTGAAAGTTTTTTTGTTGAAAGTTTTTTGTTGAAAGTTTTTGTTGAATTGTTTGACTTTTTCTTCTCACTTTGATTCAACAGAGTCTTTCATTTTGATGGTCTCTCATCACACGTTTCATTTCATCACTATGCATCCTCGACGACTGCCTCGACTCTTACGACGATGGTTTCTCGTTATTTGTCTGTTTTACGTTGCTCCTTGCGTTTTCATTCTCTTTTTACCGCGCTCCACCGAAGGCTACTGTCCCGTCAAGTGAATTTCGAGGTGCGACGGAAAGAACCTTAAAGATTGGAACGGAGGGGGTTTCAAACGTAAAAATCAGCGAGCGAGAAAAAGGGTCTAGAAACGGTCCAAAACGAATGACTGAAGAATGTATCGACCGAATCCAAAGGAGTCAAAATGATTGTTTACAAAGAGAGAGAGAGAGAGTAGAGTGGCAGAGAAATCAGACTCGTAGAGTCTCCAACAAAAAAATTTTATTTTTTTTTTTGTCAAACAAAAAACAAAGGGTTTCTCTTTGTTGCAGTCGTCGTCGCCGTCGTCGTCATCGTCACTACCACTCTACTCTACTCTACTCTCTCTTCCTACAGACCAAGACCATCATCATCCCAATCCTAGGTTGATTGGTGAAATGATAAAATCCAACACATCAACGTATCCAAACATCCTTCCCAACACTTCCAAACCCCTCTTTAAACGCAAATAACGAATTCAACCAACTCCCAACGCACAACCCAAGAAAACACACCACCACTACACCACAAGATTACAAGATTACGATACGTCGTCGTCCAACGGAGGAACTGTGTGGAAGGAAGGAAAGAACCGTGACGATTGTTCCGTTGGAGGGAGAATCATGAAAATCCCATCCCAACAACAAAAACAACACAATCTCCAAGTAACAACCCATACCCAAACGGTGGATGTCTTGTTTTTGTTTTTGTTTTCTTTTTTGTTTTTTAATTCTCTTTTTCTCCTCTCTTTCTCTCTCTTCCTTGTTGTTTTTGTTGTTGTTCTTTTGCTTCACTACGGTTCCTTAAATTCTTGCCGCTTTTTCCTCCCTTTCTTTGTATATTCTATATCAATAGCAGATATGACGTACAAGCGACCTTGTCCCATCCTTTGATATCACATTCATGACGTCCTGGATTGGTTTGGAACATCTGTGTAAAAAGTCTGCTTTTGACGTCATGCATTCGGACCTAAACAATGGCGTATGCTCACAAATATATATACTGGCATTCCCCCTGCTCTTTTTCTTTATCCATCTGCCTAACCAACGGGAAAAAAAGATTCAGATATTTTTATTTACCTTGTTTCGCGGTTTCGTTGCAGATTCACGATTCATTAATATCAATTGATTTTGTTGTTTTTCATTTCACGAATTTCTTTTTCTATTTCACGTTCTTGTTTACCTTTTTCTTTTTTTTTTATATTCTCTCTACGAATTTTATAACTTTTTCTAGCTTCTAAATCATGTCTGCTCCTCATCAAACTACTGGTGCTAACTTGGACCAAGCTCCCAAGAAGCGTTTGGCTGTTGGTGTTATCGGTTCCGGTAACTGGGGTACCGCCATTGCTAAAATCTGCGGTGAGAACGCCCGTGCTCACGGTCACCACTTCCGCTCCAAGGTGCGTATGTGGGTTTTTGAAGAAGAAATCGAACACAAGGGTGAAAAGAGAAAACTCACTGAAGTTTTCAACGAGACTCACGAAAACGTAAAGTATCTTCCCGGTGTCGAATGCCCTCCTAACGTTATCGCCGTCCCCGACGTTCGTGAAGTCGCTCGTCGCTCTGATGTTTTGGTCTTTGTCGTTCCTCACCAATTCATCAACCGTGTTTGCGACCAAATGGCCGGTCACCTTCGTCCCAACGCCGTCGGTATCTCTTGCATCAAGGGTGTTTCCGTCGGTAAGGACGGTGTCCGTCTCTTCTCCGATGTCATCCAAGAAAAGCTTGGCATCTACTGTGGTGTCCTTTCCGGTGCTAACGTTGCCAACGAAGTCGCCAAGGAACAATTCTGTGAAACCACCATCGGTTACAAGCCCCCTCAACCCATCGTCTCTCCCGAGCAAATCGTCGCCGTCTTTGACCGTCCTTACTTCTCGGTCGTTTCCGTCGACGATGTTGCCGGTGTCGCCCTCGGTGGTGCTTTGAAGAACATCGTCGCCATGGCTGTCGGTTTCGCCGACGGTATGGAATGGGGTGGTAACACAAAGTCTGCCATCATGCGTCGTGGTTTGTTGGAAATGCAAAAGTTTGCTACCACCTTCTTCGACAGTGAACCCGGTACTATGGTCGAGCAATCTTGTGGTATTGCTGACTTGGTCACCTCTTGCTTGGGTGGTCGTAACAACCGTGTTGCCGAGGCTTATGTTAAGTCTGGTAAGCCCATTGACGTTCTTGAAAAGGAACTTTTGGGTGGTCAACTTTTGCAAGGTGCTTCCACCGCTAAGGAAGTCCACGAATTCCTTTCCACCAAGGACATGGTCAACGAATTCCCCTTGTTCCGTTCCGTTTACAAGATTTGCTATGAAAACATGGACGCCAAGGATTTGATTCAAGTCCTCCAACCCTTGAAGGAAGAATCCGAAAACGAAGGTGGTACCGAAACCGAGTAAGCGGTTTCTTTTTTTTCTATACTTCCCTTTTGTTTTCTTGTGTGTGGAAAAGGATACAATTCCCCTCATCCTGGCGCACTTTGGAAGAAGCTGCTCTTTCCATTACCCTCTCCTATTCCTTTTTTTTTTCTTTCTTTCTTTCTTTCTTTGTCTATTGCTTAGAGTTTGAAAGAAAAAAAAAGAGAGTAAATTGGATGGGTTCTCTTTTATTTTGTTTAGCTTTTTCCCGGTTGTCCGAGGTTGCTGCATGTTGATTTCCTTCAGTCTTGAAACTTTGTTGTGGTCGGATTTCTTTGGTTTTACAACTTTCGTATGGAACTTTACGGAAAGTTTTGATTAGTTGAGGATTATTGTTTTTTTCAGTTATGATTTTGGTTATCGGTTGCTTTTCTCATTCGTTTTTACCCCTCGTGAGCAATTGAATATCAATCCTCATAAATCGGAAGAGGCCGTTGGAACCAAACTTCTAGATTAATAGAAAGCTTGTTGGTCTTTTTATGGTGGTTTGTTTGTAAAATAACCATAAGGATTTCATGAGTGAAGGAAAAGTTGAAGGTATTTATGATATCCCTATTCCTCACACTTTGTTAACGACTAAGAGAAATGATTTATATATCTTGTCCACTGTTGATGTTATTTATTATGTATAAATCGAAAATGATCTTTTTTTTTTGTCTAAAACTTTTGATTCCATTTGTAGAAATATATATGTATCAAAAATCATTTGTAGAGGTTTCCTTGTTTGTTTAGCAAAGAAATCATCATGTGGGAAGTATAGATTAGCTAGCTTCTTTTCGTAAAAACGCAGCAGATACACCAGTGAGCAGACACACATTTTTCAATGAATTTTACGAATGGAAAACAAGAATAAAAACAAAACGTGGTAATCCTGTTGTTCAACAACAATCTATTCTATTCAATTCCATTCTAATCAAATCAAATTAACCTACCTATTCCAGTCCAGTCCATTCCAATCCAATTTAATCTATTTTTCCTAGAATTCCAAGCTGAATACCCGACCCAATCCAATGGAATGCATCGTCTCATGGGTTTGCACTGTTGCTTTTCTTTTTCGTAGCTCTCTCTAGTCTGTAGATCCTGCCTTGAGATTGAAAACACCATCGGCATTTTTACATACTTGGAGTTGCTTCAAGACATCCTTGGCTTCTAAAGTTTCATTTTTAGAAGCGTTTTTGTTGTGCTTTTTCAAAAGCTTGTAAAGAGATTCATTTTCGTCCTTTTGGCATAACGAAAGCATCTGTTCAACTGGAGATGACTTCTTGTTTTTAGAAGACGACTTCTTCTTCTTATTGTCTTTTTCCTCTCCAGACTCCTCAGGAGAATTGGAACGCTTTTTTGAGGTCGGAGAAGAAGTTTGCTCTTTTTCACTGGTTTCCGATGTTTCTTTGGCTTTACCCGTAGTAGTATTCGTGTTCACAGTTCCATTTTCCTGATTCATCTTCTTTAATTCTTTCTTTGTAGGACGATAAAGGCCCTTTTGATACCGTTGTGCCTCTGTCATGCAAGACGAATGGGAACGATAATCGGTCCCTTGAAAAGTTGTATTGCAATCAATGCAAGTAAAATACGCTCCTTGACAACGAGAACGATGTTGGTCAAGTTTTGGTTTCTTGATAATATCTTGACAAACTATATGGAAAGAAATTCAGGTTAGTTTCAAATATGTTTCCCATTTTATCCCTCGTTCTTTGGATAAATCCACCATTCATACCTTCACAGCAAAATGAAACCATTTTGTTTTCTTTTTTTTTTGTTGTTTTTGGCTTTTCGTCAATTAACTTTTACTACTCGCGCCAAGTTGCTGTTTGTAAGTGTATTGTTACGTGCAACAAGTCAAAGTAAAATTTTCCCGTCTTGTGCAATCTTTAAATCCTTTTTTTTTTCTATTCATTCCTCTCTCCCATAGTAATTAGCTCTTTCTAAAAATGTTATTCAGTCATTGAAAGGATGTTTCCATTGCGTTTCATGAACTTTGATCCTTGTTTTGCTCACTTTGGCTTGTCAAATATCAAACCATTTTCCTCCTTTCCCCACGAGATGGTTTTGATTTATTATTATTTATTTTTTTTTATTTTAACAATAATTGATTTTTAGTGTCGCTTACATTTCTCTTTCTTGGTTTCTTGCATTTAAAATACTTTGTCGTCTCCTCGGTTTCAACTTAGGACAATCATTATAAAAAAACAACTTTCGCGGTTATTATTACATTACAAACTATAGCTACGTTTTTTTACAAGTTCATGTTTCCCTCTTAAAGATCAAGCTGAATTTCGAATATAACCAACACGACTACTACTACGATATTCCATTTACGAAAGCATCAAAATCTCATTTTTCTAATCATCAAAAAATTTCAATAAACAAAATATGTTTCCCAGAAACCAATTCGAGCAATGAAGCCTTCCGGATTTGTGACTAAGTTTACATAGTATTAGTTTCCTTTTATGCTGAAGGTTCTTCCTTTTGCTCCTCGGTTGGCTTTTCAGAGTCAGCTGGAGCGGATGCTTCTGTTGTTGAGGGAGTAGCATCTGTCATAGGTGTATCTTTTGATTCTGTCGTTTCTGATTCTGACTTTTCATTCGACTCGGGCTCATTTTCCACCTTTTCGTCAAGGTCTTGAGAAGGTTCTTTTGATTCTTCCGTTTCTACCTTCTTTTCTACGGCATCGTTGCCCTCAACCGACTTTGTCTCTTCAGCTTGCTCAGCTGTTGGTTCTGGTGTCTCTGACTTGGTCTCGCCAGAAGATTGCTTTTGCTGAGAAATAGCTTGCATAATAGGTTTCCATTTATCCTCAAGAAGTTCATGACAAATCTTCTTTATGGATTCTTCTTGTTCAGCAGGTAAATCCGTCAAACTATAGATTTTCTTCACAACAACCGCAATCTTTGTGTTTTGGACAAGGGAAGCATCCAATCCTTGGAACGTGGAAAGTTTCTCAAGATATCCATGAATGATTTCATAATTTTGTTTGGACAAGTCGGCATTTGGTGCCAAAAGACTACCTTGCAATTTATGGCGGAGAAACAACAGGGACTGTTCCCTAGATTTAAAAGTACGCTCAGCTGCTTCCTCTTCACTTACTGCAGGTTTCTCTTCTTCTTTATTCTCCGCTTCCTCTTCCTCTTCCACCTCTTCTTCTTTATTCTCCGCTTCCTCTTCCTCTTCCACCTCATCTTCTTCCTCTTCATCCTTTTTAGCCTTCTTCTTCGCCGGAGCATCCGCCTTTTTCACCTGTTGGGAACCTTTTCGAGGAGAAGCCCGAGTTCTCTTAGCATTAGGTGACGCATTTTCCGTTGAAGAGCGCTTTTTATTAGAAGCATCCAACGAAGGATCGAAAGACACAGATTTCTTAGTACCTTTCTTACCTCCCCGTCTAGCACTGGCTCGAGTCGGCCGCTTTGTTTCTTCTTCTTCCGATTCTTCGACGGAAGCTTCCGATTCCTCTTGTTCTTCGCCCTCAGACTCCTCTTCAGATTCTTCGACGTCAGAAGGAGGAGGGGAGACGTTCTCTAAACTCTTCGTAGCCTGAGCAACCTTATAAGCTTTGATTAAACTTGCAGTCTTGGGTTTGGGCTTTTCAAGATATTCAGAAATGGCATCTTCACTTAAAGGAGATAAAGCATCTGGACTTGCCCACAAATATTCTTTATTAGGGAAAAAAATTACAGGATGATAGTTTTCCGCACGTTTAGGTTTGCTCTTCAGAGCTACAGAAGTCATTTTATCTTCTGTAATAATCATACTTGGCCACCAAGGAAATCCAGCAAGCTTAGTTAATACACGCATACCGGGTTTATAATCCGTGGTTGGTTTTTCTCCGCCTTTTTGCTTTGTAGTATTTTTGACTGCTGACTTGGGAGTACCTTCAGACTTTTGTTTCTCGGTAGATTCCTCTGTTTTAGAATCTTCAGAGGGTTTCTCTTCTTGATCTTTTATTTCAGCATCCTCTTCTTTTTCAACGGTACCGTTTTCTTTAGGTTCTTCCTCAGCAGTTGTTGGCTCCTTTTCCTCAGTTGATGTACCATTTTGCTCAGGAGCCTCTTCAGGTTTCACTTCAGCTGTTTGCTGGAATTCAGAATCATTAGCTTTCTTTTCCTGAGCATCCTCAACCTCGTTCGTCTCTGGTTTTTCTGTAGTTTCTTCAGAAACTTGATTTGGTGTTTCTTTCTTGTCTTCAACTACTGAGTCATTCTCTTCTAGGCTTTCTACATTCATTTTTTGGGCATCTTTCTCGGAAATTGCTTCCATTTTATCAATTTTGAGATTCGCGTCGTGTTCCCAAATAATAGGTAGAAGGATAGATTATGCAACCTGGGAGCGTCAACATTTCTTGTATGGGGTGTGCAAAAGTGACTAAAATTAACTATTTCGAAACGAGATCTACAAGAATTACGAATGATAAAAAGAATATATGAGTAGGAATTCTTTATGAATTAAAACAATCTGTTACAAATAAAGCAACTACAGTTTGAAACAGTAGTATGAGTAAAGATGACTTTAAGTACGAAAAAGGTAAATTCTTTACATCAATAATTAACGATGGTTGGCAAATTACGAACAACGGAAATTTTATTCCAAACAAAACAAATAACAATCAGTAAGATAGATAGAAAGCCTTTCGTGAGGTATAATATCTAGGTTTGAAAAAAAACAAGAGTCCAAAGAACCTGAGAAACAAAAATGGTAACTAAGTAAAACACCAACAAAACCACAATCCAAAACTATTTTTCATACTGCTTAAAAGGATATTCAAACAACAACAAACCAAACTATCCTTCCATGCAAGCAAACCCCAAAATAGTTTTAAGATATACAAAATGTAATCAACCATAGCTTATTACCGAACAGTCAAGATTATTAAAGGGTTGAAAACAATATGTACAATCCGCTTCAACTTTTTAGAGATCATGACTACCAATCCAATCACTCCATCTCTTGACTTCAGAAGGCATAGCCTTTTGCTCGGACATAGCCTCTGGAAGCTTTTGTTTAAGGGAGTCGACAAACAACTTGGCACAATTAGGATCGTTGATAAGTGTCACGTTGAAGTCCACTGCATTTCTACGCATAACATAGTCTTTATCATAAATATCTTTACCACGAGCAGAAGCCAAATTGAACACACAAGCAACGTTATACTTCTCAAAGACTGCACGAAGAGCACGCTTGTCATCAACGGGGAACTCGATTACTTCCGCTTCAGTGGGGCTCAATTCCTTAGAAACTTCCTTATCAGCAGAGTAAAGCTTGTAACCAAGCTTTTGCAAGTCAGCAGCGATTTCCTTCAATTCAGGACGGTTACCACCTAACAAAATACCTTGACCGGGAAGAGGGATCTTGAAATTCTGTACTGATTGAAGAGCGGTCCAGTAAGCTTCTCTGACATCTTTGCCAAAGCAGGCCACTTCACCAGTAGAGCTCATTTCCACACCAAGGAATGGGTCAGCACCTGCCAAACGAGTCCAAGAAAATTGGGGAACCTTAATGCACACATAATCACGAGGAATAGCCATTAAGTCACGAGGAGCTGGAACATCTTGTCCGACAATGGCGCGGGTAGCAACATCAATGAAGTTAACACCAAGGGCCTTAGACACGAAAGGGAAAGATCTAGAAGCACGGAGGTTACACTCAATAACCTTTAAGTCACTAGTGCCGTCAGCGTTCTCAGCCAAAATGATTTGCATGTTGTAAGGACCAGTGATGTGGAAAGCTCCTGCAACCTTCTTAGCGATTTCCTTGCAGCGCTCCATGATGTCAGTGCTCAAAGAGTAAGGAGGAAGAGCAATTGTGGCATCACCGGAATGAACACCAGCATTTTCGACGTGCTCAGAGACAGCATGAACCAATAATTGACCCTTTGAAGCAACAGCATCAACGTCCAGTTCACGAGCTCCTTCAATGAACTTTGTGATAACAACAGGATGATCGGGAGAAACAGCAGCGGCATTCTCCAATTTGTTCTTCAAACTGGATTCATCACGAATAACACTCATGGCAGCACCAGACAAGACATAAGAAGGACGTACAAGAACGGGATAACCGACAGTGTTGGCAAACACGCTAGCTTCTTCGACGGAAGTCAACTCTTTCCAAGCAGGTTGATCAACACCAACCTTATCAAGTATTTGAGCGAACTTGTGACGATCTTCAGCAGAGTCAATCATCTTAGGATCGGTACCGTAAACGTTAGCACCAGTCTCTTGTAACTTCAAAGCGATATTTTGAGGGAGCTGACCTCCTACACTGACAACGACACCGTTAGAGTTTTCCATTTCATAAATATCCATAACGCGTTCATAAGAGAGTTCTTCAAAGTATAAACGCTCACATTCATCAAAGTCAGTAGAGACAGTCTCGGGGTTGTAGTTTACCATGATAGTGCTGCGTCCAAGTCCTCTCAAAGTACGAGCACAAGAGACACCACACCAATCGAACTCGACACTAGAACCAATACGATAGACACCGGATCCAAGAACCATGGTACCGTGTTCATTGAAGTCAACGTCGTGAGAAGATCCATTGTAAGTAGTGTACAAGTAGTTGGTATGAGCAGGGAACTCAGCAGCCAAGGTATCAATCTTCTTAACCCAAGGATGAATGTCATAACGCTTTCTACGAGCACGAACTTCCATCTCAGTAGCACCAACAAGCTTGGAAATTTGATAATCAGAGAATCCGTGCTTCTTAGCGCGTGTCAATATCTCTTTATTCAAACCATAGAGAGAACCAATGTTTTGAAGCTCCCTGTACACTCCAGCCATATTTTCAAGCTTACCCAAGAACCACTTGTCAATCTTTGTTAACTCATGAATTTTATCAACGGAATAGTTGTGATTGAGCATGGCTTCAACAACGGCAAAGAAGCGACGATCGGTGGGAACGGAAAGAGAATGATCTAAGTTTTCAAAAGGCATAGCCATGAAGCCCAAAAAGGAAGGATCGACTTGACGCAAAGCCTTTTGAAGAGATTCTTCGAAGGTACGACCAACAGCCATGACTTCACCGACACTCTTCATCGAAGAACCAACTTCACGGTTAACATGTTGGAATTTGCTCAAATCCCAACGAGGAATCTTAGTGACAATATAATCCAAAGAAGGTTCAAAGTTAGCAGTAGTAGTCTTAGTAACCGCATTGGTTAATTCGGGAAGAGTGTGACCTAAAGCAATCTTGGCAGCTGTGTAGGCTAGGGGGTAACCGGTAGCCTTAGAAGCCAAAGCAGAAGAACGGGAAAGACGAGCATTAACTTCGATGACACGATACTCCAAGCTATCAGGGCTTAAAGCATATTGAACATTGCACTCACCAACAACACCCAAGTGACGAATGATCTTGATGGCAGCAGAACGAAGCATGTGATATTCTTCATCGGAGAGGGTTTGAGAAGGAGCAACGACCATGGAATCACCAGTGTGGATACCAAGAGGGTCAAAGTTCTCCATGTTGCAAACAGTGATACAGTTATTGGCTGCATCACGAACAACTTCGTACTCAACTTCCTTCCAGCCTCTCAAAGACTTCTCGACAAGGATTTGAGGTGTCAAAGAAAGAGATCTGGCAGCCAAAGACTGCAATTCCTCTTTGTTATTAGCGAAACCAGAACCAAGACCACCAAGAGAGTAGGCGGAACGAACAATGACAGGGTATCCAACTTCGGAAGCAGCTTGAAGAGCTTGATCAACAGACTCAACAGCAGTGGATTCAGCAATAGGAATGTCGATTTCATTCAATGCCTTAGAGAAGAGATCACGATCTTCAGAGGTTTTCAATGTTGAGATAGGAGTACCCAAAACCTTGACATTGTTACGATCAAAAACACCCATATTATCCAATTGAACACCCACGTTCAAAGCGGTTTGTCCACCGAATGTCAATAAGACACCATCGGGTTGTTCACGTTCAATAATGTGCGAGAGATAATCAGCAGTAACAGGTAAGAAGTAAATTTCATCAGCCAGTTCATGAGAGGATTGAATAGTAGCAATATTAGGATTAATTAAGATAGTGTGAACAGAGCTTTCACGAAGAGCCTTGATGGCCTGAGCACCAGAGTAGTCAAATTCACCAGCTTGACCGATGGAAATGCCACCAGAGCCAACGACAATAACTTTGTTAACTTTTTCACGTTGAACTGCTTTCACATGGCCAGAGCGAAGGTAAGCGCTGGCATCGGGAACGTTCTTTTCTTTATTCAGTTCATTGCGAGCTATCGCCGAAACGCTAATAGAACGTTTTTGAGATGCAACTTTGGAAGTAAGTCCTTTTCCGATTGCAGAGAACGAACCTAAGCATCGTCCATTTCCAAATATATTTTTGGAAATACCAGGAACGGCACGACGCACTGATGTCGTCCAAAATGCCATTTTTCTACAACCCAGGCTTGTTCTATATGTTAAGAAACAAACTGAGTTATTTAAATTAAAATAGACTGGTCAATTCTGGAAGGTGACTGATCTGTATATAAGAAGCTCTTGTCAAAGTGATCTGTAAAGCGTGACTTCTTTCTCGGTGGAATTAGTCCACTGATAGTGAGGTATTACGAAGTTTCTTATACTATAGATTGATGAGTATAATATAAGACGATTTAAAAAAAGAGAAGAGTGAGTCTTACATACCTTGAAGAAAACTTGCAGTGAGTTTAAAAATTCATTTTAGCAAAATTTCATTCGAAAAGCACTCCATAGAACTAAGCAAGTTAACAAAAATTTTCGACAATGGAAGTTATAGTATTGCAAAAGTAGTAAGGATGTTCATGATATTAATCAAATGTGTTTTAATGCATTATTAATTGATGAGAATGCTTCTATTTTTCTAAATGAAAGACTTCTGTATCGCATCTCATAATGATAGAGTTATTTAAGATTCAACGAGAAATTGTTAAACGAAAAATTCAACAAGTAAAACAAGTCGAAAGAAATTAATGAGTTATTTAATACAGGATAGATGAATGATCCTCCTTTAGGATATCAAGGACATAAAAGATCCTTCTAATTGGCAATGAATGACGGGTATAAGAGAACAGCCATAGGAGTATGCTTAAAGGCGCTCAATAACAAATGAAGAAGCACCACCACCACCGTTGCAAACTGCAGCAACACCAATCTTGGCGTTCTTTTGTGCCAATACGTTCGACAAAGTGACGATAATTCGAGAACCACTACTTCCCAAAGGATGACCCATAGAAACACCACCACCGAAGATGTTGACATTTTCAGGGTTCAAACCCAAAATCTTTGTATTGGCAACACCGACAACACTGAAAGCTTCGTTAATCTCGTAATAGTCGACTTGAGAAGATTCAACATTAGCATGCTTCAAAGCTTTAGGAATGGCAAGACTAGGAGACGTAGTGAAGCGTTCAGGAGTTTGAGCAGCCTCACCCCAACCAAGAACCTTCGCGAGAGGTTGTAATCCTAATTCTTTAAGCTTGGTACCAGAGACCAAAACCATAGCACTAGCACCATCATTCAACGAGGAAGCATTGGCGGCAGTAACTGTACCATCACCCTTGAAGACGGGACGAGTAGATCTCAGCTTGTCTTCGTTCAAGTTCTTGGGTTCATCATCTTCAGAAATGACCTTGTTGGGTTTACCACGTCCGCCAAAGACCTCGACAGGGATAATTTCATTTTCAAAAGCAGAAGACGATTGAGCAGCTTGAGCACGTTTGTAAGAAGAAATGGCAAATTCATCTTGAGCAGCGCGGTCAATCTTGTGTTCTTCGGCACAGAGTTCAGCAGCGTTACCCATAGGAAGACCATCGTAAGCATCCGACAAACCATCACGCAAAAGACCATCGACAAGTTCGACATTACCGAACTTAGAACCGAAACGGCTCTTAGTAGCATAGTAAGGAGCATTGGACATGCTTTCGGTACCTCCGACAACAACGATGTCTGCGTTACCAGTCATAATGGTTTGAGTACCAAGGATGGCGGCCTTCATTCCTGAAGCACAAACCTTGTTAACAGTGGTACAAACGGTGTCAACTTTTAGTCCGGCACCCAAAGCGCATTGACGAGCGGGATTTTGTCCAAGGTTAGCTGACAAAACATTGCCCATGAAGACCTCTTGAACATCAGAAGCTTGAATCTTTGCTTTTTCAAGAGCACCTATTAAAGTGTTAATATTTATGAATTCACCTTACTGAAAATCTTGTATTGAGTTTGCAAGCTATCGCGACGCGTCATAAAACACGCCTCAAAGCAGCTAAATATAAACCTACCTTTGATGGCAACTGAGCCCAATTTAGTAGCTGGAAGAGAAGCAAGGCTACCGCCAAAGCTACCCATAGGGGTACGAACTGCAGAAACAATGTATACGTCGCTAATGTCACGTTAATCACTTGACCAAGATAGCATGTTACAAGATACTTACGTGTTCACCATTATGATATTTTTAAATACTAACTAAAACCTACGGCTTTTTGTAGTTGGCTTTGAGTAGAAATACAATACTAATTTGTACTAATATAGTTCGACTACATGTTTAAAGATCCCCAGTGAAATACACTATATGGCATAGTCAGAAAACTCAATGAAGAGGTCACTGACTTTGTTAATTCCAGTTAATTATTGAATCAAAGATTTGAAAAAATAATAAATGAAAATTCCTTGCTACAAACTCTCGTATATGAATGCATTGTCCATACATGTTTATTTAGATAACCCAGTGTACTAGGAAAAACCAAGCACTGATATCGGTGCGCTGTAGTACAATTTATAATGAGTACACAAGGTATCTTTATTTTACAAACTAGGTACTTCCATCTGTACTGTCCTTTCTAGGAAAGGCAAAAATAGAAAAAATGGACGAGGATTTATATGATGAGTATGTAAAATTTGTTTAAACACAATAATAACCTTTCAGATTTGGTAACTACATAGGGCCTGAAAACGAAGACGAGGAACTGGATGAGATACCTCAAGTTCCAAGTCCTTCAGTTGCTCAAGTGCCTGGCTTTGAGGCTGAAATGGAAGAGGAAGATTTGGAAGATGTTGAGCGCGTTGAAAAGATGGCGCTTAACCTCGCCGAACCTCAAAATGCGGTCGTACTTCATGAGGACAAGCAATATTATCCTAGTGCTGAAGAAGTTTATGGCCCCGAGGTAGACGTTGTCGTGCAAGAACAAGATACTCAACCACTGACTCAACCTATTATTGATCCAATTCGTCAAAAACGTGTTGCTATTGAGACGAGCAACGTGCCCGATACTGTATATAAGAAAGAGTAAGTTAAACTCATAAATGCTGTAACTAATAACTTAATAGGTTTTTATACGATCTTTTAAGCCAAACTGATGACGTGCGAACTTTTATTATTGCTGGTCATCTTCACCATGGCAAAACCGCATTATTAGATTTACTCGTATATTATACACACCCTGGCACGAAATCACCAAAACGGAGGTCACTTCGCTACACCGATACCCACTATCTTGAACGTCAAAGGGTGATGTCTATTAAGAGTACTCCGTTGACGCTAGCAGTGCAAAATATGCAAGGGAAGTCTTATGCTTTTCAATGCCTAGATACCCCAGGTCATGTTGACTTTGTCGACGAGATAGCTTCTCCTATGGCGGTTGCTGATGGTGTCGTTATTGTCGTTGATGTTATTGAAGGGGTAAGTGTTTGTAATTGTTTCTTCTACATGCTAACTAATGTGCAAGGTTATGATTAATACCACGAGAGCGATAAAGCATGCTATCATTCACGACATGCCAATTGTGTTGGTTTTAAATAAGGTGGATAGACTTGTGTTAGAGCTTCGTCTCCCTCCCAATGATGCATATCACAAGTTACGACATGTTATAGATGAAGTTAATGACAGTATCTGCCAGATTAGTACGAATGCCAAACATAGAGTTTCTCCTGAACTTGGTAATGTCTGTTTTGCATCTTTTGATTTGGGATATTGTTTTACCCTTGCCAGTTTCGCTAAACTGTATTTGGACAAAAATGGAAGAATAGACCTTGATGATTTTTCAAGACGGTTGTGGGGCGATATTTATTTTGATAAAGACACCAGAAAGTTTACAAAATCTTCGACTGGCATGAGAAGCTTTGTTTACTTCATATTAGAACCTCTATATAAACTTCACACACTAAGTATATCTGATGAACAAGAGAAATTGAAACGACAATTGCGTTCTCTTAATATTTTTTTGAAACCGAAGGACTTTTTACTTGAACCCAAACCATTTTTACAGCTTGTTTGTGCTTCCTTTTTTGGGTTTCCGACTGGTTTAGTTGATTCCATCGTGCAAAATATACCTTCTCCTCGAGAAAATGCAAGCCGTAAGGCAAATCAATATTATACGGGTCCTTTAAATTCTTCAATTGGTAAATCTTTAACGACTATGAATCGCGAAGAATCAACCATGATTGCTCATATCACGAAGCTATATAATACTGTTGATGCAAATAGTTTTTATGCTCTCGCTCGTATTTATGCAGGGAAAGTTAGAAAAGGACAAAAAGTTCAGGTACTAGGAGAAAACTACTCCATCGAAGATGAAGAGGACATGGCGAAGGCGTATATTGAAGAAATTTGTTTGCCAGGTGGAAGATATCGCATACCCATTGAAGAAGCTACTGCCGGAATGCTTGTTCTTTTAGCAGGCGTGGATAATTCCATAAGCAAAACGGCTACTATTGTGTCGGATGGAGTCCAAGATGATTTGTACATATTTAGGCCGATTGCACACATGTCAGAAAGTGTTTTTAAAGTTGCTGTTGAACCTTACAATCCGTCAGAATTACCAAAAATGCTAGATGGACTTAGGAAAATTAATAAGAGCTATCCTCTTGCAATTACAAAAGTAGAAGAATCTGGTGAACATACTATTTTTGGGACTGCTGAACTTTATATGGATTGTCTTTTATACGATTTACGGGTTTTATATTCTGAAATAGAAATTCGTGTTTCTGATCCAGTGGCTCGTTTCTGTGAGACTGTAGTTGATGTTTCGAGTCTTAAATGCTTTGCTGAGACCCCGAATAGAAAAAATAGGTTATCAATGATTGTTGAACCTTTAGAAAAAGGAATCGCATCTGACATTGAGAATGGTCATGTGAAAATAAATTGGCCTCAAAAACAAATTAGTGAATATTTCCAACGTGAATATGATTGGGATCTCTTAGCATCTCGATCAGTATGGGCTTTTGGGCCTGATGATCGGGGTACCAACATATTGCGTGACGATACTTTAGAAATGGATGTTGACAAGAAGACATTAGGCCAGGTTAAAGAGTTCATCAAACAAGGATTTCAATGGGGAACTAGAGAAGGACCTTTATGCGATGAGACTATCCGTAATGCAAATTTTCGAATTATGGATGCTGTTCTAGCTCAGGAACCAATTTATCGAGGTGGAGGTCAAATTATTCCTGTCGCTCGAAGAGTCTGTTACTCATCATTTTTAACTGCTTCACCAAGGCTGATGGAGCCTGTTTATACTGTCGAAGTACATACACCTGCTGACTGCTTACCGGTTATTTACGATCTTTTAATGCGCCGTCGTGGACATGTACTACAAGATGTACCTAGACCAGGGTCTCCTCTATATTTAATAAAAGCTTTAATACCTGTTATTGATTCCTGTGGTTTTGAAACGGATTTGAGAGTACACACTCAAGGCCAAGCTATGTGTCAGCAGGTGTTTGACCATTGGGAAATCGTTCCTGGAGATCCACTGGATAAATCCGTTAAACCGAGGCCTTTAGAAACCGCTAGAGGACCCGAATTGGCAAGGGACTTTTTGGTAAAGACACGCAGAAGAAAGGGTCTTGCTGAGGACGTGGCTATTACTAGATATTTCGACCAGGAAATGATTGATTCTCTGAAGGACACAGATATAGTCCTTTCGCTTTAAAACGAAAAATTAATCAAGTAGTAAATGATTACGTACATGCTTGATAAATGCTGCTGTCTTTGTTAAACAAAAAGTCAGGGTTTAGTTAAATTCAGTTCCATTTTGTAAACACTGTATGGGAAATAGAGAAGAACAAATAAATATGACTGTTTATATAAGAGATTTTGAATATTGAAGGACAAATTTTCGAAGCATCATACATGCCTTGTGCCCCTATTAATATAAATACAAAGGTTCTTTTAATTCAATAATATTAATTTTTTTCAGAAAGATTAGTTTACTTAAGAAATATTTTCTTTTGATTGTAGGTTACATATCGCAAGTTCATGGTTTCTTAATAGTCGTACAGATCTTTTGACAATTAGACATATATTCTATTTATAATGTTTTTAAATATTTTATTATTTCGTATTTTGCACTCTTTTGCATCTGCTAATAGACTCTTCTTCTGATGTCCTGGATTATTGGAGTTCACACCATACTATCAGTCTACGAATTACCAAATTTCGAAGGGACGGGAGGAATTGGTGAAATATTGTTCATACTTTGAAAATACTTAATTAAAATAAAGCTTATAAAAAAAAATCGATGCCTTTTCTGCTTCTATGAACCGGTTATCTCTGTTATTCATCTTGGCAATTGTATGTGTCGCGCATTGCTACAATGACCCGCACGTGAAGGAGAACTCAAAATGGAATACAACTTCGGTTGAGCCTATCGCTATTAAACCGAGTTTGAAAGGTAAGTTACTCAATCGTTATGCACGGGCCGCTATTCAGACTGGTGGTGGAGTGAGTAGCCAAAAGAGTGATAGTACAACGAATACATATCCTACAAGTAGTGGCTCCTCTTCCTCTCCTTCCAAAACTTCTGATAGTGCTTCGTATAGTAGCATGTGGCCTTCTTCTTCACCGAGTTCATCCACTACGCCCGACTCGTCTTCTTCATCGGTGGGCCCAAGTACCACCGCGTCTTCAAGCGCATTTTCTCCAACACTTTCTTCTTCCCTTACTTCATCGAGTCCTTACAGTTCGACGTCTGATACTTCTACTACTAGTAGCGGATCTTCTAGTTCTTCCACATCTTCAACTAGCTCTAGCAGCAGTAGTGAAAACACCTCTAGCTCATCCTCTAGTACATCTAGTCCGACGTCATCCTCTTCACAATTTTCTTCTAGTCCCTCTTCATCTACCTTGTCAAGTAGTTCTTCGTCTACTATTAGTTCTAGCCCTAGCTCATCATCCGAAGCTGTTGTTAGTTCTTCTTGGTCATCGACTCCTTCTTCTTCTTCTTCATTCTCTTCTTGGTCATCGTCATCCCCGTCTGCATCATCATCATCTTCTTCGTCTTTTTCTTCTTCTTCGTCTTCCTTCTCTTCATCATCATCTTCTTCTTCGTCGCCATCTCCATCATCTTCTTCTTTCTCTTCTTATTCGTCATCTGCTCCTTCTAGCTCAAGTTCCATTTCTTCTAACGTCGCCAAAACATCATCTTCTTCGACTTCTTCGTACTATCCTTACAACTCAAGTTCTAAATCTTCTGAGTCACGCTCACCATCTTCCTCTAGCAAACCTAGTTCGACGCGTACATCATCATCTATCTCCACGACGGCTAGTTCTTCCAGCAACAGATTATCTTCAAGTTCAGCTTCACCCACGAGTACTACTCAGTCCTCGTCTTCATCGATATCTTCAAAGTCATTAGTATCGCCCTCCCCTGGCCAACAAGCAGGTGCAACGCGCATTACCAGTGCACACAGGACTTACAGACCGTCTACTATTTACAAGGTAACCGTCGCAACCATAAATGGACATACAAGTACGTATAAGTCAAAGTCGACAGATTCGAGTGTTTTATTAGTTGTCGTGGATAGCTCATCCAGCTCTCTAACTTCATTAAATAAGTTTTGTGGAGTAAAACTTTTAGTTTCCGCATTTTCTTTTGCAAGCCTTGCTATATTTCTTTTGATGTGAAGTATAACATAAAAATTTTACATTTTGGAACCCTTTTTTTATTTTTATTTCTATTTATTATTTTTTTGTTATTGAAGAACCATACCATTTTCATTCAGGCTCTTTCAATGTGTTTTACTGATAATGCTTGAATGGAATTGCTCACACTCTCTATTCAACAACTTTTTATTTCTCATGACATGTTTTTTTTGTTGTAACCAACTCTTAATTTAAAAAATAAAGATGCGGTGTTAAGGATTGATTATTTGGTGATCTGAATGTCTACTTTGAAATTTAATAACGTCTTATTCTTTTTTCTTTTAATTTATGAATTTGCTTAATAAATATGAATTTTTGGAACGTTATGATAAGTCGTAAATGAATTGGACGAGATAGTTTGAGTAAATCAGGTCTAAAGTGAAACGTGCGAAATGAGAAAGCTTTCAGGTAAGACAAATAATAGAAAAACATAAAATTTCAAGAAAGAAGGTACGTCAACTTAGAAGAGCTTCTCGTTTGCCGTCATCAACCGTTGATGGACTTTGACTTGGATGGAATTCATTATCGGGTTTCATTCCCACGGAATGATTTGGTTTTGTCTGAGGTACTGTAGGAAGAAAAATTTGTCTTTCATCAACTTGATTTTTGTTTGGATCATTTTCTCGCTCTTGGATAAGAGTGTCTAATTCAGCTTGAATTTCATCTTCTTGATCTCTCGACATTCTTCCTTGTAATATGACATTGACTTCATCGACGTACTGAAAAGCTTCATCATTGTCATTGCATATCTTGTCGATTCTTTCTAGAGGCATCTGTTTTTGCAACTGCTGAAGAATATTTGAGCCTTCTTGAAGACCAAAAAGAACGTCTTGTTGAATGAGTGTGAACTCTATAGAAGAAAGAAGTTGCTCAATATTCCCCAATTGACCATATGATTGTTCAATGAGTCCAGAATAAAATTTCTTAGCAGATAGCGCTTTCAAAGCACCCTTTCTATTGTTGTCGGCGAGACACTTTCGAGCAAGGTTTATTTCCAACTGCTCAATCCGTTCCAATCGTTTATGATAACGCATCAACTTATCTCTTTGTTCCTTTATATTTAATATGCTTCGATCTCGATCATTTATTTTACTATTGTAAGCACCCATATTGTTTTCCGACTCATGGAGGGAGTAAATGTCTTCCTTGAGGATTACGCACCAAGTTCCTAGATGTTCAACACCTCAATTCAATTCTTTCTCTATGTCAAAGTCTCAACTGCAAAGTATTTATTGCTAAGAACATTCACCCTTATTTACCCTTTTTCTAGTACTTCTCTACCTAGACTAATGGTATTGATCATTCAATGTCATTAAAAGTGATTACGAACAAACCTTCAAATTCGGTAAACAACGGTTCACACATCTCTTGCGTTCACTAGTATAATAACGTACATAGCCGATAGGTAATAACGAAGTTTATTGATGGGTAACGCAAAAATCTAGTGTTTAGACAGAAAGTTATCCAAGTCTCCCACTACAAAACACATAGTCAGTAAGATATATCACGAAAAATGACCACAATAGACTCACAGCATGATGATATGATGGTAAGAAATATGCTAGATGGTGGATTTTGAACGTTTCAATGATGAATGCGGAACTAACATTTATGGTAGCACGATGCGATGTTGGATTATTATGGAAAGCGTCTAGCTACTTGCTCGTCTGATCACACTATTAAGGTGTTTTCTTTAGAAAATAATCAGCAAACATTATTAGATGTTCTTCATGGTCATACAGGCCCTGTTTGGCAGTTGGACTGGGCTCATCCTAAATTCGGCACCATTCTTGCTTCTGCTTCCTATGATGGTCATGTAATTGTTTGGCGTGAAGTCGATGGTGTCTGGAGACAATTAATAGATTATAGTGCTCATCAGGCTTCCGTCAATGCCGTTTCTTGGGCTCCTCATGAGTACGGTGCTCTTCTTGCTTGTGCTAGCTCAGACGGTAAGGTTTCCGTTTTGGAGTTTAAAGATGATGGATCCTATGATACCAGAATGTTTTCCACCCACGAATCTGGTTGTAATGCGGTTTGCTGGTCTCCACCAAGTCTTTCAGGCTCTATCGTAGGTCAGTCTCCAGCTGCAGGCCCTAAGAAGTTAGCCAGTGCGGGATGCGACAACCTTGTTAAAATTTGGGCCTTTGATTCTAATGTCAACAATTGGATTTTAGAAGATACTCTTACTGGTCATGTCGACTGGACTAGAGATGTTGCTTGGGCTCCTAGTGTTGGCCTTACCAAAACTTACCTTGCATCTGCTTCCCAAGACAAAAACGTTTTCATATGGACAAAGGAAGGTGATGGTCCTTGGCAAAAGACTCCATTAACTGAAGAGAAGTTTCCAGATGTCGCTTGGCGTGTTTCTTGGTCTCTTTCCGGTAATATACTTGCTGTATCTTGCGGCGACAACAAGGTTTATCTTTTCAAAGAAACCAATAAAAAATGGCAATTGATTAATGAATTGAGTGGTTAAAGCCAATTTTCCTTTTTAATATCTTTCCTTTTGATCTCTTTTCAGCCTTTGCCATGCTTAATCTCTTTTCTTACGGCTATGATGCACTCGTACTCCTTTGAATTTTCCACGATATTCCATCTTTGGGTTAGTGATAGATGAAAATTTTATGTATATTTTTTATTATCCACTACTAAAGTTGCTCATAATCTCTAATTTGCTATATAAGCCATGAAACCCTTCCACTTTTCTCAAAAAGGAATAAGGATTTAATGAATACTCCATTATAATTTAAATACAAATCAATTAACCAAAATAAAATTAGCCTGAAAGTCATAAACGAAACATAACACGTAACTATTTACAATAAAACGAGTGGAGGTGTGTTCCTTACTAGGCAAGCTTCTTGGACTGCCTCAATGGTTTTCTCTATTGCCGTTTGCCAAGCAGCTGTCTTATCTTTGCGATTGAGCTGCTGAAGCCATCGTACTAAAGCTTGTGCTTTCAGTAAATTTCGTTCTTCCCGTATAACTCGTCCAAGATATCTCGAAAAGTAATCAACGTCATGAGAATTAGGTCCTCTTGGAGATTTTTGATACCATTTTGCTAGTAACTCTCGAAGGTCATCTATTGATTGTTTTTGTTGAAAACTAATGACAGGATTCGGCTTCATCTTCACTTCTCGAGCTAAATCGTATCGACTAAGTCTATTTTCCTCTAACACACTTTCTTGAATTTCTTTTGGAAGTTCTTCGAGTACCTGAAGGTCTACCTGTGGAAGATATTGCTTTTTTTCTTTCTTATTTGGTCTCAACATCCTTTCGAAAGCATCTTGCTGCTGAATTTTTTTCACTGTGTCTTCCGGAACCTTTACATTAGGAAGTGCGTGGCTTTTGAGCTTTAGCCGCTTATTAATAGTAATTTCATGATCTTCCTTTACCTCGTTTCTAATTGGGGTAGGTAATTCTTTTAAAAACAGTGGATCTAACTGACTTGGAATCTCATCAATCCTTTTGTTTTGAACATCCAATTGTCGTTTTATACTTCCTTGCATGGACTGCGGCAATTGAGCCAGAACTCCAGGACTTATCTGTGAAGACGAAGGAAGATCGTATGGAGTAGAGGGAATGAAAGTATCTCTCGCAAGAGAAGGATCATTGTCTTCGTTGGATTTGTCAAACTCTTGAGCTTGAGAGTGCAGTCTGTTCGGTGAGCCAAATTGGCCAGAAACAATTTTCTTCTGAGGTGTTTTTATAGGCGCGTTGAAGTTAAACAACTTCTCATTCTTAGTATCCTTTACAATTTTAGATGCCTGCAAACCAATTCCGCGAACATCTCCTGGGTCTACGTCCAAAGATATAAAAAGATTTGTTAGTCGTTTGTAGAGTATATCAAATGACTTCGTTGCAGAAGTGAACATTATAGATCTCGTTAAGGGAGTAACTTCACCGGCACCAAGATACTTAACAGGATCGAATGAGACATTTTCTGGTCGTTTTAAAACACGAAGTTGAAGTTGGTGTAACGAAACGTCGCATTTAGACATACGATTCAGCAATTCTTGCAAAAGCCGCTTTAAAAAATCCATTGCATCTTCTAAAAAGACAAAACGAACACCCCAATTCACATCGACAGAAATAGATCGACGTGGAGTTTCATTAGTGATAACATCAGTATCGATTCCTCGAGATATATTGTACAAATGTAATCCATAGTTGGTACCAAACGATTTTTGAAGAACATTTTTGTTTAGTCTTTGCAAGTCTCCAACAAATTTTACGTTAAACAACTCGAACAGTTTAGAAGACTGCGACGGGCCAACGCCAGGTAAGTCTTGAACAGGGAGAGATTGCATATACACAGATGCATCTTCATCTTTTATATAGAACACGTTATGTGGCTTTGCTTTTCTTAATGCAAGTCTTGCTAATAAAACATTTGAACCAATGCCGACACTAACATCGCAATTGGTTTTCATCCTAACCCGCGTACGAATGGACTCTGCTATATTCACGCAATCTTCAAAGCATTGAACATGATTAGTTAAGTCAAGTAAGGCTTCATCAATACTGATTACTTTTAAATAGTCGTTTGGAGTATCGACTAAAACAGAATAAAATTCCCGTGAAACAGCTTCATATGCATCGAAATCATAATCAACAAGTACCAAAGAAGGACATAAACTCTTAGCTGTAGAAACAAACATTCCATTTTTTATTCCATACTTCCTAGCTTCATAATTACAGCTAGCTATCTCCGAATTTTTTATTCCATGAGCAACAGCCACAGGTTTTAGCTGTAAGTCGCCGGTATTTCTAGTAGAAACCGCGGCAAAAAAACAATCAAAATCAACATGCATAATAAAGTGTTTTTCATTTATGCTCTTCAAGTTTCTTGAAGAAGTAAGTCCGGTAGACGCCGTCATTATTTGAATTTCCTCTTTTAAAGCTGTCTTCCATGTGCTAAGATGGTGCAATCGAGAAGAATTAAAAAACTTTTGAAGAAATTCTGGATTTTGAGTAGTAGATTTCCTGATATTTGGGTTTTTTAACAAGAGATAATTGTGACGTGCTGAATTCGAAAGCGATTTGAGTGAATCGGGTAAATTTTCTGACCTTTCCTTCATTTCTGTTTGCTCTTCATTATAAGATGGTAGCGCATCTTCAACTTGGCTGTCAACCTTTAGGGATTCATGATGTTGCTTGGATAACTGAGAATCACGTTCTCTATAAGTTTCAGGAAAAGAAAGCAAAGACTGAGAAGCAACAGGTTGTATGGCACGATAATTGGTCCACGGTAGCAGTTTCTTTTTATTAATGCAATCAACTATCCACTGTGGAGTCACGACTTTATGATGTTTCCATTGATTAGCTTTAGAGGGTGTTAAAAAAGAACAAATAAGAAAAGATAAACTTGTCTTCTTATCCACGTATTGCACGAATGTACCACCATTTTGAATTATCATCGTTCGTAACTCTGAGTACGATGGATTCGTGTAACCATTTATGGCCATACTAAGACCTTTAAATATATTTGATGTTGATGACTCTTCCGTATCTCTATAGAGAGCAGCATTCTGATTTTGTAGTTTTCTTTTTTTACGTTCAAAATAATCCCCATAGTCATGAAACCCTACACTTTCATAAGCATCGTCCTCGAGTTCATTGAAATCAGCCTTTCCGTTGGGATGATCTCGCTTTTTTCGCTGCAAAGCCATGCTTAAACACACTATTCTCTGATTCTTTTAGGAAACCAAAGTCTCGTAGATCTTCGACAACGGGTAGTATAACATTCAAAGTAAAACAGTACCTTTATTTAAGAAAAACGAATAAAGGGATGTCTAAAATTTGCCAATGTCGTTCGACGTACCACAGAAATTTAATGCTTATCCAAAGAAACCAAAAACAAACCTCCTTACAACCAGCATATCCCTATTCCAAAAATCTTCTGATAATCCTTATGTACTATACGAGACCTAGCCGTAATATAAGTATATATAGGAACTCCTATATTTTTTGTTTGTTGTGATGCGCGCATACAATTGCACTTAATTAAACTTGGAACGCGCTAGCTGAATATGCATTACCCTTCCCTGGCGTTGGAAGCCCCTTTTCCTGAGGTTAGAAAATTTCCATCCTCCACCACCTCACCTTCAAAGGCAAATAAAAAAAATGTCACTACCAATTGCTGTTTATAGCCTTTCTGTCAAAGGAACTGATGTTCCTGCTGTGGAAGAACCTACGGATGCATCAATTCATTTAACAATGGCATCCATTGATGCTAATGAAAAATCTAACAAGGCCACAAGTCTGTGGGTAAAGGTGCGTCCTAGTATGCCTGTGGATACAGAAGATGATGAAGAAATGGATGAACAAATGAAGGAACTTCTTGAAGAAAGCCAACGTGAGTTCGTTTTATGCACCTTGAAGCCTGGTTCTTTATTCCAACAACCTTTGAACTTGACTATCACCCCCGGAGATGAGGTTTTTTTCAGAACTGCAGGTGACGCTACTGTTCATCTTTCTGGTAACTTCTTAATGAATGATGAAGAAGAAGAGCACGATCATAGCGATGATGAGGAAGATGATGAAGACTATGACTTGTCTCCCAGTGAAGACGATTTGGTTGACACCATGAGTGATGAAAAGAACGATGATGAAGATGAGTCTGAGGAAGATGAAGAGGAAGAGGAGTCTGAAGAAGACGAATTGGATAACGCTCCCGCCAAGAAGGCTGAAGAACCCAAGAAAAAACGCGCTAGCCAAGAGGAAACCGCTTCTCCCCAAAAGAACGAAAACAAGAAGCAAAAGACTGAGAAGCCTAATAAAGAGAAGAAGGTTGCTTTCGCCGAGAAGCTTGAGCAAGGCCCTACTGGTCCCGCCGCCAAGAAGGAACAACAACAAGAACAAAAGCAACAACCTAAGACTCGTACTTTGAAGGGTGGTGTTTCCGTTACCGATGTTAAAACTGGAAATGGTGCTACTGCTACTAATGGCAAGAAGGTTGAAATGCGTTACATTGGTAAGCTTGAGAATGGAAAGGTTTTCGACAAGAATACTAAAGGCAAGCCTTTTGCTTTCCTTTTGGGACGCGGTGAAGTCATTCGCGGTTGGGATATCGGTGTTGCTGGTATGAGCGAAGGTGGAGAACGTAAGATCGTCATTCCCGCTCCCATGGCTTATGGTAATCAGAGCATTCCTGGTATTCCTAAGAACTCAACTTTGGTTTTTGAAGTTAAGCTTGTCCGTGTACATTAAAGCTGTCGCTGAAGCTATAGTTTGGGATTTACTTTTGATTTCCATTCTAAATTGGTATCATAATCACATTGACTACATCGATGTATTTTGGATTAGATATAAACATCGGGTGCACCTAATAGTAGGTCACAAAAAATATAGTTTAGATAGGTACTAGGATGGTATCGGTTTCTGGATAAATTGGGATTTTTCGAATTTTGGGTTCATTTCAATTACTACTTGCATGGTTGGTGATTGTAAGTTAATAACATGTAAAATTGCATGATAATATACTTGGTAAAAAGGGTAGCGAGTAATTCGTTATTTCAACTATTTTAATTGAGTAGAGCAAGCCTGAAAATATAGTCATTCCGTGGTTGTTCTTTGTTTCTATTTTAATCAGAAAAAAATAGTCAATGTTCACCTACTCGGTGTTTGTTTACGTAGGAATTTGATGCATGTTTATGTTTGCTCGTCTGACGAACTAGAGGTGAGGTACGTGTATACTATATAGCGGTAGCGAATGTAAACAAAACACATATCTAGTTCAAAGCACCTAAAAATGCAAAGAAGAGAATCTCTTCGAGAGAATGGCCTTGTTAAAGGCCTTCATAAAGGTGGTAAGTCTATAAGAAACCGTCCAAAATGCAAAAAAGTCTAATGTATGCAGGATTTTCTATAAACAAACTAAAAGAATTATCACATGCTGAGGATTCAAAAAGAAGCCACCGTATGATAAAGTCAGGAAAGACATCTGTAGATGCTTATCGACAAGCTGGAAAAGGCCTTAATCACTTTGGGGGCTACTTGAGCGACTGGGGATCCAGGACTAGAAGTGTCAGTATAAACGATATTAGTGACAAGCTCGGTGTTTTAGTCAGTGAACTTGGAGAAAGCGAATTGGAATTTGTAAAGCAGTTTGACGAAAGTCGACTCAAATTGAAGGGAATTCGTGATATGGAAGATAGCATCGCACCATCAAGAGCTCATCGTCAACGATTAGTGGCATCTATTGAGAAAGAAGAAGAAAAAGATCCACTTTCTCCCCGTCTAATAGACTTGCAAAACCAATTGGTTCGAACCGAAGCTGAAAATCTTGTTGGTGAAATGCAACTCGATAACAAAATACGAGAAGTCATGAAATCATCGTTCCAACAATTGATGGACGCATTTCAGGTTCGGGCACAGAAACAAATGACGGTGGGTTACTATTCACGGCTTTTGGTTGACATGATCAATGACGATGTTGTTTATCCAGGTGATAATCCAGTAGCCTACAATAAAAAGAATGCTGCTCAGATTATGCACCAGTGTATGGATTCTATGTCCAGACTTATGGCTCCTCTTTCCATTGACGAAAGGAAATCCGATGATACTCCTATGAAGGGTTCTTCTAGCTCACTCCAGCTTTCGGAGAGGGATTGCTCTCCGAGTGTAGAAAACGAACAGAATGTACTTCAAGTTAGAAACGTCCCCTCCCAGAATTCCACATCCAACGCAGAAACTTATAAAGCGCAACTTCTTTCCACCATTGCAGAAGAGCAAAAGCAAAAAGAGTTACAGGCAAAGTCGACCGTATTATTGTAAAGTGGTTGATGCTAGAAAACTTTCTCTATACATTGTCTCTAACGCTCTACAATCTTGCAGACTCTGGTTGCAAACCCAAAGCTTTTTCGTCTTCACTGTATATCTTTAAGACATCAAGCGATCTCTTCTTTAATTTGTTAAACATACCGAAATACAAAGCTTGGCATACCTATATACTTAAAACTATAAGCTATCCGAGACACTTGATAAATTGAGAATCAAAATAGAAAAAAGCAAGAAAATCAGTATTCCATACGTGTATTAAAATGACTTAACGCTTCTATTGATGTACAAGAAATAAAAGACAAGTTAAAATAAAAACAAAAATAGTTATAGTATTTGAATTCACTGTAAGATATATGTTTTCCACTTTGAGCTACAATAGATCGTTATTCCTTGGACTTGAAGAATGAAATGTTGAGTGGAAAAGCCGCGTCCCCCAACGTCGCACATTAAGATCACACTAAGGTGGTAGAGAAGTCGTTTTGGGTTTGAAAGAAGCTTTTTTATTTTTTAAAATTTTATAAATAAAGATTTCTTGCAATATAAGACTGGCTTCTTGTAGTATCCGATTACGATTGGCCGATTTTGGAACCTGGTTCACTAAACTTCAGACTCTCAAGGCCTCCGCCAAATTATAGCAAGAGGCAGATTTTATTTTATATTCTAATATTTCTATTTTGGCATATAACAACTATGTCCTCGATGCTAAATACAGTAAAGAGCTACATGCCTGGCAGGAATATGTCAATTTTTTTGGGATTGGTAGGCTGTGTATCAGGAGGTATTTACTACGATACCCATCAAAAAAATTTGACAATTCAAAAGTATTGCAATCAGGTAGCACATCTTGCAAAGGCACCTTTGGAGCCTCAGGCTTTGCCGAGAAAGGTTCGAGTATACCTTCATGGTCCTCCTGGAGACGGAATATGGGTAGCTAGAGAAGAGTTTGAGAAATACGTTCGTCCAATTTTGAATGCTGCTGCTGTGGATTTCGAAGTTTTTGAATCTAAAGGAGAGGGTAACCTGCTTGAGCAAATTGCTACATCAGTTTGGAAAAAAAGGAACGGCATTTCTGAAGTACCTGAAGCTGAGAAATTTATTAAGTCGTTCTTAAAAGAAAGCGATGAACCCAGTGTGAACCTGTTATTTGGTAGACACGCCTTGAAAGAATTCCTCTACGGAATCAAGTATGCTTTCTCCGATGAATATAATGAAAAGGTAGTAAATGAGATGAAGAAGGAGCAGGAAAAGGCCGTCAAACTAACAGATTCCTCTGAGAATTCCAAGACTTCTGACACTTCCGAGACCTCTGAAGCTAATGACTCAAATTCGCAGCAGATTAGCAATTCACAGTCATCAGAAAATACAGAAGAAGAACAAACTACTCCTGTGGAAGATATTTCACTCTGTAAAAATCTTACCTTGAATGGAGATGTACCTCTTGGCTTGGTTGATTTAATCGCTCTTTATCCCCTTCCACATCTTTTGGGTTTTACTAATACGCCGCGACGCATTTATCGTTTCTTTAGAAGAAGATATTTGGCTGAAGAATTGGGCGAAATTACCAAAAACATTGTCCTCAATTTGGAAAGTGTGTCCATTCCACTAACGGATGGTCCTATGTTACTGCAGGAAGAGGAAGCAGACTGGCCTAAACAATACATTAATAGAGAAGATGCTGAGAAGCATGTTTGGACCGCTCCTTTTATGGAGGCTACTGACAACAGGCAATTCTATAGAAACTTAAAGATGTACAAATCCAGAGACGATGACTACGAAGATAATGCTTAGTATAAATAAACAACTATAGGAAGAGACTTTGCACATAAATATAGGAAAAGAGTGTAGAATATCTTTATTTAATATCTTTTTTTTCATTAGGCGTCCGTAAACAGTGAATAGACGGTCGGATTCAATCATCAGTTAACCATATAAAACTGTTAATTATGGTTTATGTAATCAGAGATTACTCTCTTCTATTACAACTCGTCGCTATCCTCGTATTTAGAGAACAAGTTATTTAATTCTAAAATTTGTTAGCGTCTCGATGACCATGATACGTAAATATACTTACCCTTTAAAAATTTGCCTTTTAATTTCTTAGGGAATCTCACTTCCCATTCAATGAAAGCGTTGCCAAAAGCTGATGTAGTTTTACCCTTTTGTGTATTATAAATAGGCATGCCTTGATTCTTTATACGATCGGTTTGGCCAGGATGAATAACTTCACCAGAGGAACGCTTAATTTCAAAGAAGCTTCCATCAAGTTTTCTAATTTTCTTCTTCCAATTACCCAAAAGCGCTTGTTGATAAGATATCGTTTCTTTCCTAAACAAATCATTGCCTTTACGTATCCAACCATCTTGTTCACCAGCTTCCTGAAGTATAATTACTATATCACCAACTTCAATCCCGGGAATTTCATCTGACTTGCCAGAAAATGTAACCCGGAAATCCTGGGGAGCACCTGCGGGTACCTCAACTGTGAATTTTTCTCGTACTTCGGCAACACGTTCTCCTTTACAATGAGGACATCTGTGTTTGATAGAGCGACCCCTTCCACCACAAGCATCACAAGGTATACGCATTTGTTGGCGGAAACCAGGAGCAATCATATGCTCTAAAACTCGGAATCCAACACCATCACAGATGGGACAGGAATGAATTGCTTTGTCCTCTGAATATTTGGGATTATATCCCTTTCCGTGACAAATGTGACAGATACGCTTCACAGGGAATTCAACTTCCATAATACCACCACTATAAAAGGAGGCTAGATCAATCTTGGCAATTTGTTCAATGCTTGGACCACGGCGAACTGCATTTTGGCGTCGGCGTCCCCCAAACATGTTTTCAAATATGTCAGCGAAAGGGTCAAATCCAAAACCACCTCCTGGGAATCCACCTCCACCAGGTCCTCCTCTTGGTTGACCATTCAATCCTTCTTCACCGTATGCGTCGTAAATTTTTCTTCGCTCGGGATCCGAAAGAACTTCGTTGGCTTTGTTTATTTCAATAAACTTCTCTTGAGCTTCTTCATTGCCACTATAAACTAATTAGATTTCTTATTCAAATAAAAATCACATGAATAAAAGGGCACCAGCCTTCCTGACAATCTTTTACTTACGGATTTTTATCAGGATGCCATTGCTTTGTTAATTGCCGGTAGGCTTTCTTAATGTCCGCTTCAGATGCATCTTTGCCTACTCCCAAGACCTATAAATTTTTTTTGTTAGTAGATAATTCTATCATTTGTAGCACTTCAGGCTGCGCGATCGCTTGTTTACCTTGTAGAAATCAGCAGCGGCAAGAATTGTCTGAAAACAAAGAAATAGCCCGATAAATATATGTAAAAGATTGAGATGCATGTAGAAAACGTTGACTTCTACCTTAATTACGAGGTGATTCCTCCGTCAAGGCAAGTGAGTTGCTGTTTGTGTTTGGTTCGTCGTGTTTTCCTAAAGAAATCTACGATAACGGAAATTCCGTGGCTCGACCTCGGAAATCAAAAGCAGTGCCTTATAATATAGCTACATGAATGTTCATGTTGTTTTTCATCTGTACTAGTTAATCATTCTATTTATGCTTACATCTTCTTAAATTGCATTTTGAATTTAAAAAGGTCAAGACTTCTATTGCTGGGCTGATGGATGCTACGAACTCTACTTGATCAACGTATTATAGGAAAAAAATAAAACAAACAATTAATTAGTATAAGAGAGAAAATCCCGAGAAAAGAAATGTACATTCATGACAACTTTGCAACGATAGAGACTCTTCTACTCATTGTGAACAAAAATCAATGTTTGCTCCAAACTGTCGTTAATATGCAACTTATGTAGCATAACTCAATTAATATTTACAGAAGGCTTCTCTATGCTGGTTACAAGCACTTGATGGTTGTAGTCGTTGAGTTGAAGAGGTGAACCCGACGGCGATTTGGGAAGAAACGTTTAGCTAAGTAGTTATGAGACACATATCGTAAAAACGTAATGTATATATGCAAAATTGAAAGCAACACACGCAAAAAGACCGTTTATACGGAAAAGAGAAAGATAAAAGCCACGTAAAAAGAAACATCAAAGAATTGTGATGAAAGCGTCCGTAACACTTCGTTCAAATTCAGATTATTCTCTTTTAGCAGAAGGTTTTTTCACAAAAAATGGGATAGCAGAAATAACAAGTCCGCAAATTTTTCTTATTAGAAAAAAGAAATAACGTATACAAAACGTAAAAGGAGAAAGCCGTTTGGTTCGTTCAATAGTCAACAAATTTGGGAGATACACGGAAAAATGGAAGTCATATTTAAGTACTTTGGAAAAGAAGTGAACCGACAAAGAAAGTTATAAACAATAAACGATGGGAAATGTCAAGGCGAATTTGACAATACGTAACCTCAAAAGAAGGCTAATCTTAAGCGCCTAAGAGTTAGCAAAGTTAAAACCTCGTTTTTAATAATTCTTACCCTCAGCTGGTGCTGCGCAACAAGATAGCAGACTTCTCCAAAATGATCTTTTCTTGTTTCCGGGCGTTTCTTTTGAGACTATTCTATTAGGTCTCTGGGTTTGTTCAGTATCAATAACCGTGGGTACATCTCTCTGCATTTGTTGCCCTTGTGGACCCTGCATAGGCCGTACACCAGCTTGATCTCTCGACACAGGGACTCTTTCGTTTCTTCCCTTTTCATTCGTTAATGCATTCGCATCGGGTGTTTCTTGTGCTTTTGCTGAGTTGGGTTGTGTATGGGAATTACCATGTTCCATTGCTGACGAGTTAGATACAAGTTTACGGGTGCTTAAACGATTTTGCGGGGCTACGTTTTTTGGGTCTTGCTTAGGAGCAGGCGCTTTAGCTGGGCGATGTGCGTTTGCATCTGGACTTCGACCAGCACGTAAGCTTTGCCAACCTTTGCCATGGTTCAGCAAATTCCAATCAAACCCGCCATCATCGTTCGTGCCCATTTTTAATAACACTTTCTGAAATAAGGACTGTAAATACTCATAATCGGGCGTAGCTTCGAAAGGCAAGTTCCGGACATAATGCATGTATTGATAAAACTCTTCTGGAAATCCAGCACACAGTTCACGCAAAGGGGTGTTCTGTTTTTTGTCTCCAATGCGCTCATATTTTTGTTTATTTGTGGCAGCTTTAAGGCCTTGCCAAGGAAGACTACCACGAAGGAAGTACATGAAGACATGACCAAGCGCCTCTAAATCATCTCGTCGAGACTGTTCTCGGCCCAAATGTGTGTTGATAGACATATAACGGGCTGTTCCTGAAAGATTTTTCTTTTCCCTATAAGGTATGTGTTGCTTGGAAACAGGATCACGGTAAAATTTCACCATACCAAAGTCGACAATATGAATCATATTTGCATGCTTGGAGTTGGGTCGTCCTATCAAAAAATTATCAGGTTTAATATCTCTGTAGACCAAACTGCGTTCGTGTATAGCCTGGACTCGAGAAATCATTTGTTTAGCAACCATAGCGACAGTTTTAACGCTATATCTGCGACCACACAAATCAAGCAGATCCTCTAAACTAGGGCCTAACAAATCGATAACTAAAATATTATGGAGGCCCTCCTGTCCGTAATAATATACGTTGGGAATTCCTAAAGATCCTGCCAGCAGCTTGTAAGTACGATATTCATCTCTGAGTTGAGGAGCATCACTCCGTCTTGGTTCCTGAAAGGATTTATAGTTAGTAAACTTTTTGTTCTTCTGATTTTCATTGCTTGTTTAAAACTTACAAATTTTATAGCAACTTGCTGGTTATTCAACAAATTTGTCCCCTCAAAGATGACACCGAAAGATCCTTCTCCAATCTTTCTGCCAACTTTGTAATGAATTCCTACAACATTTGCCTGTCCGGTCATCTTTCTATGTTCTTTTCAACTATCTGTATTGGCAAATGTAGCACGTTCTTTGTTCATGTAAGAATGTTACACTAAAGTCGTCTTTAACACGACAACCAATAAAGTTGATTTATTTGTGAAAAGACCCGTTACTATTTAAAAGAATAATTCTTCTTTACAGGGTCTTTTCGACTTAAAATGGGTCAATGGAAGTGGGTACGTTTGTTGCACGGGTGGGTACGTGAAAGTTTACTTCACGCAGCGTGTCCTTATTTTGAGGCCACCAAAGGTCCCAATTTTCGCTGCTTTCTTTACGAAGATTGATCTCTTTCTGTACTTAATTAATTTATTTAATTAATTGAAACATACATAAGAAGTTTGAATCTTGTAAGTTAATTATAAAAATATTATAGAACGGATTAGTTCATGTTTTGCTTGAAAGTAAAACGCTTTTTTGAGCTAAACCGTTATTTTAAAAGTTCTTCTTCTATTCAATTATTCCGTCCTTTACTTTGGCAAAAAACATTTCCGTTAAAGAATTTGCGATCATTTTCTAAACAGGAGTGTGTCTCAAATACTTTTCTATTGTCGAGTACGAGGAATATGTGGGAGTTATGTCACTTTAACTGCTTTACTAACAGTTCACCAAGAATCCTTGCATACCTTTGGTACACCTTTAGTAGCTAAGATGCCTTCGATAGAAAATCCTCTTGTTTGGATTGATTGTGGTATGCGAGTTTAATACGTACAAGTCGCTGTCGAGGCAGAGGAACTAATAAGACTATAGAGATGACGGGGCTTCAAGCTGGCAAAGACGTTCTAATGGAAGTGGCTGCGATTATCACTGATGGTGATTTAAAACCTATTCCAGAGGTATGAATCCTCGCTGGTCTGTCACTTTTTCTTACGGACAATAAGGAGTTGGAAAGATCGTACTTGACTGAGTATTCATCTAACATTAAAAACAGTCCTTCGATGCGGTGATTCATCTTAGTGATCAGCAATTGGCTTCCATGAATGAATGGTGCACAGTGGTAAGAAGGCTGCTTATTCATGAGCCGAACTAGCTAATAATGGTTTGTAGCAACATGGCAAATCCGGTTTAACCGAAAAATGCAGAGCGAGCACTCTTTCTGTTCAAGAAGTGGAAAAAAAATTACTGAATTATATAAAAAAATACGTCCCGGAAAAACGTGTAGGTCTCATCGCTGGAAACAGTGTTCACGCTGATGTTCGTTTCTTAAGCATTGAAATGCCCAAAGTTATTGAGCACTTACACTACCGTATTGTTGATGTTTCTACCATTAAGGAATTAGCAAAACGTTGGCGTTCAGATATTCGTCCGTACGAGAAAAAAGGAGACCACCGTGCATTGTCTGATATCATGGAAAGCATTCAAGAGCTTAAATACTTCCGATCAAATTGGCTCGATTGAAGGAGGAAGGATGAAAGAACAGAATAGCATTCAAAATTTTTGGAGAAATGAAATTATTTGAGATAAGTGTACAATTGGCAGATGATAATATTTTGTCTACTTTACAGAAGCAGTTAGAAGGAGCATCAAGGCAATAATTTAGGCGGCATCTTATTTTTTTTGAAAAAAGGAAGATATTTTTGCCATTCCTTCTCCAGAGAACTGTTTAGACTTCTTATTCCCATTATTTTTTGTAGATGGTTTCACGGCATTAGAATCATTATTAACACCAAGCGGCCGTTTCCTTGAAACTAACATTTCTTCTTTTTCTCTCTTTTTTCTTCGTTCTTCACCAAGTTGTTCTACGTATGTATGCAATGGTAAGAATTCTTTCTGCCCACAGATTATTCGGTTGAACCAATCTTCGGGGAAGTCTTCCAAAACAAAATATGCAGCATGCTCTTTACATGCCAGATGAAACATTTCTTCAGGGATAGGGCTTTCCAAGTCCAATGGTGCTAGTTGGTGATTCAATTCACGTATTACACTTTGCGGTAGGTTTTCCTGCGCAATTACTAGTTTCCGATGAAGCATTTGGATGACCGCATCTTTATCCAATTGATATGTTTTTGGTAATGAGCCCACTGCTTCATTTATTTTGCATATTCTTTGCAGCGTATGTTCTATTTTCGAGACAAGAATTTCACCAACCCGGGAATAATGAGCTCCTTGGGAAATAAAATGATCGAATATATCATCAAAGGATACGAAACGGCAAGGTTCAAATCTTCGATTCCAAGTCAACTCTTGCAGCAGAGGAAGCAGAAAAACTACCAAATCCACTGGAGTGCATATATATATATGCCCATCGGAGACAACACGATCTCCTATGAACCAAGAACGTTGTTGAGTAGAATCGCCTACCTTTAAGACATGTAATAATTCGTCAGATGTCAATAGATATCTGAATGCATGTTTGGTAACGGGATGGAAGAGTTCTACCAGCTGTTGACTAGCGGAATTTTGAGGGAGAACAAACACTCTCCCGGTCATATTGAAATAAAGCTCAACAAAGAATATTAATAAGAATTTTTTTTTGCTCCTTGTAACTATAATGAAGGTAATAAAAGTAGACCGATTCGTAATGAAACAAATAACCAAATTGGATAGAGTTTTCTGTGGATGAATGACCAAATTTTAAGAGATACTTTTATTATTAGTTGTGCTCTTTAAATTGAAGATGAAAGCATTTCGGGTCCAGAGAAGAGAAATATAAACCTTCGATACCTGAGTTCAAGGGTAAAATCTTTAGTTTCCAAAAAATTCTTTTAATAACTACAAATTTAAGATGGGATAAAGGTTATCAGAAACTGGAGTTCGTATATGTGCTGGTTTTCCTATGTATGTTTTTTTCGGGGGATAATTTTGCTTTCTCTAACCACGATGTCACTACTCGCTTTCAAGAATTTCTGAGTGTTAAAAGACTATAAAATAAATTCTTTTCTTTTTTAATTTTGAGAAAAAACGATGTTGTTTTCTTCAGCCAAGTACGGTAGCGAATTCGCAGACGTTTAGTTCTCGATGTTTGCAGGATACAAACACAAGTCTATAATTGGGAGCTTTTTCAAAGGGGAATGGGTAAATATATTTTTAAGCTCTTATTTTACTTGTACCGGTTTCGAATAATATCTCAGGTATTAAAAAACAAATTTTGAATGCTAAAGGATCGTAGTTGTGCTAGAACATATTGGACTACGATGTATGATCTTACATTCTTATACTACACAATTTGAGAAAATACTTAGTTTTATGACATTAAAAGTCGAATTGGTTGTGAAGAAAGAGATACTGGTAAGGTTGCTGTCAATTGCGAGATGGCCATTCTACTTATGGTTAAATTTAGATCAGGAACAGCAGTTAGTTAGTTTTTTTTTTTCATTTTGAAAATGTCGATACTGGATAGTGGTAATGCCCATGATCGTTGACCATTACGAAAGATACGGGACTATACATTTGTTTTCATGGATAAATCGAAATTGATATGATATCGTTTTGGATAAGCACAAATCTGCACTAAGAACAAATTATAGAAATAATTATATGCTCTTTAGTAGCGGATCGCGATTCAGGAGGGAGCACATCCCACCAGGTTCTTGTGTTAAAGTGCTATATCAACTGTAGCCAGAAATCGAATTTTATCATCTTTCTTTTTGTAAAGCATTAATAGTATAGTTTAAATGTTTTTCCTTCCTTTTCCGTACACTGTTCATGTTCATATATCAGTCGAAAATACGGTCTTTCTGGGATTATTCAATTTGGTTTCCTGTTTCATCCATAACATTATATCTTGCCGTAACATTGAAAGATATGCACTTTGTTTTAGCTTTCCATTTACGAATACGCACAGGTTTATTCGTATTTTCTAAAGAAAATACGTCTTGAGACAATACTAAGATAGCTAGATTCATTCTCTCTCTCCTGCCTACGTTGTCCTTTAGGATTCTTTCAATTTTAACCGATCAGAAATTCAAACATGATAATGTCGTGAGGACATGTCAGTAAGTTTTGTAATCCACTTCCTCGCGTTGGATGGCCGTTTCTCGGTGTCTGCTTTCTGAGTACGGACAAGCATAACATAACCCCTTTCCAAGTCGTCTAATTCTTAAATTTTTTATCGTACTGTGACACATCATCGTCAGAAGTGGCATGAAAGCTTAAGTGAGGAATCTTGAATCTTGGCTGAATCAGCATCTTCAAATTGCTTGTATTTGTTCTTCCAGTCAGTCATCCTCTTTTGTACATAAATAAAACAGCCTGATCTTCAAATCTTCCATAACCTACTCGAATCTTTAGAAACATCCAATTCATCTCAAATCTTTCAGGACAGTAGTATACATTTGATACGAGCAATAAGCTTGGAATAAATCTATTTTGTAGTAACTCCCAACTACATAAGTCGAGCCCACAATGGCAAAGACCAAAGGTTTGCAGCTATATAGCTGTCATCACCGTCTTTGTTCCATTAAGCGACAGCTAAGAGGCGAGGCGTACGTCATTTTATGCTTATTGTAATTGTAAATAAATGATGGCCTCTCTAAAATTGCCTTTATTTGTTTCTATCGTGTAATTAAAATAAGAAACCCCTTTTTTCGTAAGTACGATTTTTCTTTGTTTTTAGTACTTTCGACCGATATTCGATTACTAAAAGAAAGGCTACGAGAACTGTGATGTCAATGGTTTATTGCTGAACTTTTCCTTGAAACTGTTAACCCAAATCACTTACCTTTCAATAAATAATATTTTATTTTACTTCTTGTATACATACTATTCGAAAGTACGCAACATGGTTTTATTGTTGGATAGGTCCTTTTGTTTACTTTTTGTAATTCAAGCTTCGTTTGAATTATACCATAACTATAGCCACAGTGAAAAACGAAAGTAAAATAAGCGTAACGAGGTTGTGACCAGTCAGTGACATAATGTCGCTGCTTTATGAAATTGAAACATGCGAAAAGCCATTACCAAGATTTTTTCAAACTTTTCATCTTCGGTTTTAAAGAAAAAGTTCAGCTGTAAAATTTGGTTGCTTTTTGGAACAAGCTCCAATTCCTATTTTTGAAGACTCTGCACCAATTGGAACCAACTCTTGAAGAACTTTTGTTGGTGATTCTAGTTGATTTCGTTTAGATTGCAACTGCAGGTGTTAGTTTTCGATTTAACGTGGCATTGTAACCATGAAGAATAAATACACCTCTGTTTCAGACTCTGAAGAGTCCTTAAAAACGCTCACTGATGAAAAGTTAGACACGCATTCTGCAGATAGTACGCCTCCTCCATATTCAGGTACGATTTATTGAAATAGAAAGGTAATGGTGTTTGTTATTGAGAGTTATTACTGAGGAATCCTATTTTAAACTTGTCGACGATTGTCAACAACAGGACGAACGCCTCCATCCTCTGGTAAACAACGAAAACTTCAGTTACTAATACATTCATTAGCTCCGAACAAATTTATTGATTTAGAAATGGCTGATGGATCCACTCAGCATTCTGCCCAAGAGTCCACTAACAATATTGGGTCGGATTCGACATATTCAAAGTGGGTTTCAGCGAATATCTTCTTTTTTTTTGCGTCTCTTGGGTACATTGGGGCTTATGGTATTCTTCTCGTAATGTTCTTTTATTTCAAGGTTCCTGTGAGGACACAAGACTTTTGGGGACTTTTTGGCGGATTTATTGGAGCGATATCATTATTTCTCTATTGTAAGTTAGTGCTATCTTTATTTTTACTAACTATTAGCAATGTCTCAATATCCTAAAGAATGGTTCAAGCAAACTGGTAGAGTGCTGTCCTATTTGTTCTCGCAAATTTGTAGTGTACTGCCCAACATGTGTGTCGCAGTAATATGTACGGCTTCTCTGAATGTCGTTGGTTTCGTCGTCTATCGTAATGTAAAGAAAATAATAGGATTTGAAAAGATGAACGATATTGCTTTCTATGGTGTCTGCATTGTTAACGTTGCCGTGTTTTTTTATTTTGGAGTATGTCTTTTAATCTGCGAAATATTCTAACTGTTCTAGGTACGACGGATACGCGACAACTTCGAATATTCATTGCTGATTTAGGATACGGCATGGGAAGCATAGGATACGGCATGGGAAGCATAGGAAACGGCATGGGAAACAGCATAAGAAATGCTGCGAATTATGTTCGTATGTACTCTTTATTATAACTTTTTTTCTTTTCTTAGCACCTGATTAACCTAATTAGGACCGACAGATCCAGAAAATGAAGCACCTCGTAACGAGGAAATTGAGCTTCAACCTCTTGCTGAGCAAAGCGCTGAAGTTTGAGTTTTAACGAATCTTTTCCATCCCTCCTATAAATCACATTTTCCTTGGAAGCATTCATATCAATTGCAATCCCTCGAGTTTCTGCATTCTTGTCCACAAAAGTAAGCACAGCTTCATTCGGCAGGTTGGATTGCTTTTCACGTTCACTCTTTTATGAATCTAAGAATTCGTCTCGCAATAGTGTTATTTATGAATCGTTCGTTTTCTTTCTGACGAACATCCTTGTTAAAGCGACCTTTTTAATGATCATTTAGTTGTTATGACGATAATTTTGCAAAATAATCAACTAGTTTCTAATTCAAAGCTGGACGTATTCAGATTGGCCGTTTCAACTAATGTAGTTTAATAATTTACTTCTCAACTACAGCTTCGTCAACTGCTATAAATTCAGACATTTGGTCTCACACCTCAACGACAATTTAGCACAATGTGAATAGCTAGAAAAGAGAAAAACAGTGTGCTTTAATCTTGTAAGTATCAAAACCATCCTCTATCAACTTTGTAAAATCTGAGATGATGAATACCCACTACAAATACAAATACTATACTTTTACTTACACATTGTAATGTCTACGGCCACACCTAGGCGAAAACACCAGTTCCCGTCCGATCACTGCAGTTAAGCGTCTGAGGGTCTCGTTAGTACTATGGTTGGAGACAACATGGGAATCCGGGATGCCGTAGGCTTTTTCTTCTTGATTTTTGTTTTATTTCTTTGCACTCATTGAACATCATGTTAATTCACTTTATCATGATCGTAAGAATAGTTCCCTTTCTGCTGAACGTTACTCAAAGAGTGACGATAACGATCGGAATTTGCTTCAAAAATCTTAAGTACCAGCAAACTAAATTATACATATATATAACTTTCTTTTACATTAACAATGTCTAATAGGTAAAGCAATAGACTTCTTAGTTTGTTTAGATTTATATAAACAGAGCAGTTTTCTCGTTTCTTTGAAGTGTCTCACATAATGACGATCTGTTTTTCTGTACTAGTGCGGATTATTTACAAAAGGAATTCCCATCTATTTTTCTTTTCCCTCCTTTTTCTTTTCATTTTTTTTAAGAATTCTCTTACTATATGAGAAAAAAGTAAATATTCTTGTGTTCTTGTCATAGATTTTTCCATATTTTGTTTATTGCAATGGCCGAATGAGGCTTTCTGGCTTAATTGTTATAGCTCTTGTAACTTTTTTTGTCTCATTTAAACTACAAAAACATATATCACGTATATTCTTTGCAAACTGTATCTATAAGCTGTATAATATCGAAATTGTATGGCAAGTTCTGTGATTTCTTATACAATAATGTTCAGACTTTAAGCAGGAAACCCGTCAAGTTTACATAAATTCATTTCGAAAGTTCTATATATAAATTATACTTTCATTCATAGTCAGACTGGTTGTATGGTGTAATGGCTAGCACATGAGATTTTGATTCTCGAGACCTGGGTTCGATTCCCAGTACGACCTTATTAGTTCATTTTTTTCCAGAACTTGGTTCTAATACCCATCCGTAATAATGATTAGAAAAGTAAAGATTTCTGGAAATAAACCTGCTAATAACTTTTATTTTTATATTTCTAAAATAGCAATACAAGCTCCTAAAACATTATTAACAGGCACTCGTATCTTCAAAAAATGGTGAAATCTTTAGGAACGAATAGTCGATAAAAGTTGTTGGATTTGAACGACTCGCATTTTTTTCCCTCAAAATTGACACGCTTCATAACTCTTTGGATAGTAATTCTCTTAACATTAAAAATTTCAGTACTTCCTAATCAAATTTTAAAAGCTATTTCTTTTGTTTATTTGTTTACACTTTAATTAACGAGATTTGCCAAAGTATAACGCGTTGCCTCTCACTTAACAAAGAAAGCTTCATTGGTCGATCGAACCATACCTCATACCAGTCACAAAGCTAAGCTGCGTGACTGCCCAGATTCAAATAAGCCAGCCACCTGGCCTGCAACCTTCCCTGTACCAAACACCTTGAAAGGGATCTTGACTGAAGGGCTAAATATAGTTCCTTAATATACCCTCCCCTGTTTTATACTATACCCTCTTTTGTTTATATACTGTCTTACAATCTTTTGTAAAGAAAAAAAAATAGAAACTACTACCTTCGTTTTTGTATAGTCTTAAATATGCGTTTCTTTGAAACTGTTACTGCTGTTCTCTTTTTTGGAGGTGCCTTGGCTGCCCCTTTCCGTCATCCCCATCACTTACACCACAAGCGTGATGAGAAGGTTGTTACCTCTCAAGTAGTGGCCTATACGACTGTTGTTGCAGGAGGATCATCTGAAGTTAGCCCTACTTCCTCTTCTGCTACTATTACTCCTACTAGTTCTTCCAGCACTAGCAACGGTGCTTCTTCCACCACTTCTTCTGCTGCTTCCCCTAGCAGTACTGGTGGTTCTTCTAGCTTCCAAGACGGTGTTTATGATTGCTCTAGCTTTCCTTCTGACCAAGAAGGTGTTGTTGCCCTCGATTATCTTGGACTCGGTGGTTACACTGGTATCCAAATTGGCGATGGTGCCGGAAGCCATTGTACCGAAGGTGCCTACTGCTCATATGCTTGCAAACCTGGTATGATGAAGACTCAATGGCCCTCTGAACAACCTTCTGATGGTGAAACCCGCGGTGGCTTGATCTGCAAGAATGGAAAGCTTCACCGTACAAACACTAACAAGAATTCCCTGTGTGAACAAGGTCTCGGATCTGCCTCCGTTCAAAATAACTTGGGTCAAGGTGTTGCTATCTGCCAAACTGACTATCCCGGTAGTGAGAACATGGTCATTCCCACTTTTGTAGATGGTGGCGCTTCTTCTCCCTTGACTGTTACTGACAACAACAACTACTTCCACTGGCGCGGAATGGGTACCTCTGCTCAATTCTATGTCAACAAGGCTGGTTATTCTGCTGAAAAGGGTTGCCAATGGGGTAACCAAAATGATGACTTTGGTAACTGGGCACCTCTTGTCTTTGGTGCTGGTATGACTGATGGAATTACCTGGTTGTCTATTTTCCAAAACCCCTTGACTCAACAAAAGGCTAACTACAATGTTAAAATTGTTGGTGATGATGGTGCTACAGTTAGCGGTGACTGTGTCTTTGAGAACGGTTCATTTGGCAACGGTTCTAATGGTTGTACTGTTGGTGTTACTCATGGTTCCGCCAAGTTTGTCTTTTACTAAGTTTAGTAAAAGACGATAATACTTAGGTCACTTATGATCGGTGAATCCATGCGCAAAGATCCGGTGTTGCGTATGTAGTTGGAAGGTTGTATGCACCCGTAATAATTTTGTTATTGCTTCGATAATAATGGGCAATAAGTATGTTTGCCGACTAAACCATTTCTAAGCGTTGCGGAAATGGGAAAAAAAACTAGACGCTGAGTTGAGAACAAGCGCAAATGTTCTGTTAATTCTTTTAAACTTTCGATATTTCTTTTAGTATGATAACCTTATGTACGAAGAACTGAGTGAAGTATGAAACCCTTCTACATACTGCAGTCCTTTCCTTTTTCAGCTTGACCCTTTTTATTTCTTTTGATCTTTTTTTTTAACTTTTTACTTTCGTTTTTCTTAAATGCTATTTATTCTTTTTTATATAGTTTGATTGTTATGAAATAAATTTTGCAATGATAAATGTGAAATTCTCTATTACTTGTTTGTCCGTCCGTCTTGTAGCTATCATTAGGAACAAGTACCTGCCATCAAGAAGGGAGGATGGTAATTGCAAGAAAGCGAGTTGTAAGGAGCTATCAGGTAAATGAAGAATAAAGAGCCACAAAGAGAATAGTAATATAGAATAAGGATAATTAATTCAAACTCGGTAAATACATAAACAAAGGGAGGACACCACCAAAAAGGGAATGAGGTCAAGTGTGCGTAAGGGACGAAAGCAATAGGAAAATTGCGTCGCGCAGCGCGAGATAAGAAATGGGTAAAAGAGATGATTCCTGTCTACAGGAGAGATTGAAATCTACAAATCAAGGTATCTGGATATGAAACCGAAAGATGTGATAAAGCCCATACAAGTGGGAAGATCATTTATAAATAGCAAGAGATGGGCAGTCCAAGTGAGAGAAAAAACGTCCTTAGCAGACAGAACAGAACCAATAACTAATAGAGGAAATCGAATAATTTCTTACACAAAGAAAATCCGTCTAGTGGGAGGAATTTCATTCGAAAGAAACTATAGTAAAGGAATTTACAGAGAGAATTACTTGAAAAATTTCGGTAAATTTAGCGGAAAAAGAGAAATAAGCAAAATGACCAACCCAGAATGGATTACTAAAGTTAAAGATGTCGAATTGTTTGATTTGAAAGTGCAACCGGCACGTAGCTTTATTGGAGGTAAATGGGTAGTTGCATCCTCTGGCCAGGTGTTTGATGTAGAAGACCCTGGTCGTAATCGAGTCCTTGCATCGGTGACTGATATGGCTGTGGAAGAAACTCGAGAGGCAATTGAGATTGCACATACGGCTTTCCAAAAGTACCGCCATAGTTCTGTGAGGGAGCGAGCAGCTATTTTGCGCCGCTGGTATGAATTGATACTGGAAAACGCTGATGACTTGGCGACTATGATGACACTGGAAAATGGAAAATCGTTAGCAGATTCCAGAGGCGAAGTGGTATATGCTGCAAACTTTCTCGACTGGTTTGCAGGTGAAGCACTTCGCATCAATGGTGATTCCCACATGGCTTCGGTACCAAACAATCGTATATTGACAATTAAACAACCCGTTGGCGTTGTTGGAATTATTACTCCATGGAACTTTCCCGCCGCCATGATTACTCGCAAAGTAGGTGCTGCATTGGCTGCTGGATGTACGATGGTCATCCGTCCAGCAGCAGAGACCCCCTTTTCAGCTATTGCACTTGCCAAACTAGCTGAACGTGCTGGAGTTCCACCAGGCGTTATAAATATGGTCACCTCCAACTCACCCGCTGAACATGGCCTTGAATTGACCACCAATCCTCTTATTCGCAAAGTGTCATTTACAGGTTCCACAAATGTTGGCAAAATTCTCACTAAGCAGTCTTCCTCAACACTCAAAAAGCTCTCTCTTGAGCTCGGTGGTAATGCTCCTTTTATTGTGTTTGAAGACGCCGACTTGGAAAAGGCTGCCGATGCTTTAATCGCTTGTAAATTCCGTGGTAGCGGACAGACTTGTGTTTGCGCCAATCGTATATTTGTTCATTCTAACGTTTATACACAATTCGTCCAGCTTGTATATGATCGCGTCTCCAAATTCCAACTTGGTTACGGGCTTGATGAGGGCGTAACTCACGGACCCCTTGTCAGTCGTAAGGCTGTCCACAAGGTACAAGAGCATGTTGACGATGCCCTCAACAAAGGCGCTACCGCTTTGACTGGTGGATCCGTCGCGTATGAAATGGGTCCTTGCTATTTCCATCCCACCGTTCTCGTAGACGCAAAATATAACATGCTCATTGCTCAGGAGGAGACTTTTGGACCTGTTTGTGCCCTCTTCAAATTCTCTACCGAGGAGGAGGTCCTTAAACACGCTAACAGTACACCTGTAGGCTTAGCTGGTTATCTGTTTTCTAAAGATATTTCTCGTGTCTTTCGAGTTGCCGAAGCCTTAGAGGTTGGTATGGTAGGCTGTAACACGGGTGCTGTTTCCGATGTGCTTTCACCATTTGGCGGTGTCAAGGAAAGCGGCTATGGTCGTGAAGGTAGTCAACATGGCATATCCGAATACTTGGACATCAAGTCAATGACGATTTCTATCGATTAATACCAGGAAACCAGCAAATACCTCCTCTATGCCTAATTCGGTTCAAGAATCTACAAGAGCAATGTGGTGGATATTGTATTCTTTCCTTTTTGTACCATTTTTTACGAAATATAACTGTCTGATTTAGTTTCTTATGATGCATGTTCGCTGTTACATAAAAAGTGTTTTGTTTACTTACATAAATGTGAAGTTATGTATATTATTTTGTTTTTCCCATTATTATTTCTACTTACTTTTTTGTTTTCCTTTTTTTTTTATTCGACAGCATACATAACTAGTCTAAAAGCTCAACAAGTCGTTCGAAAGTGAAAATTATCAAACACGTCTACTACAACTGATTAAATTAGTCTTCCAAGAAGTAATAGCGAATCCATCAAACTCCATGAAGTTTCGCTTTTCGGATATCAGTTAAGATGTATTGAATGGCCCACGGTACATCACAGAATAATAATGCAGTGTATGAAAAAGGCATTAACCACGAACTGTAGAGGACACATGAATCAAACCAAGAATTAAAAGGATACTGAAATACTTTTTCGATAAAAAGTGGAAAAAGGACGGGAGCAAGGAAAACGCAACTTATAACAGGATATAATAAAAATCGAGGAAAAGAAAATGAAATAAACTGTATGAAAGTAAGCCAAAGTCCAATGAAATAAGCAAGTGAGAAATTCAAAGTGCTCACAGTGGTCAAAAGAAGAGATTTTGACATTAGTGAATAAGCAAGCGTCAACTGCGCCTGTCGACGGCTGGGTTGGAATAACCAATATAAACCGATAGAAGCAACTGCGTAGGCTACTACTAAGGCAACTGAATTTCGTGCATCTTTTGAGAGAAAACTGGTGCACATGAAAATAAACGATGTGCCCATGTTGAGCAGCCACAAACAAAATGGCTTCCACAGATTCAAATGTTTAGGATGAGACATCCAATGTCGGTATCCCCCAATCATCAAACTCGCAGCGATTAGTAACGCAGCCGGCATATAATCACCAATGCTAACAAAGGTAAATTGATTTAGCAAAAAATAGAAGAAGTAAGATTGATGCAAATGCTCTAACAAATTATTGAGGGATCGAAAGCTACTTTCAATAGCTTGTCCACATCTAGTCATATCAAAAGTAAATGGATCTCCAGCATCAATTCGTACTGTTACAGCATCAATCTTGTATTTTGGAAAGAGGGAATGAGCGTTTGTTAAGTTTGACACCGCCTGTGATACCATACTTCGAGAAAGCGCCTTCAATTTACTGCTGTAATCGGAAGACGTATACGGGTCGTAGACATTACCCTGTAATTTAAGAGAGTACATAAAGCTAGACATAAAAATCTTTGCTACAGCATTAAATAGGTCCAAATTTGGCAATTGACCATTCGTGGCTTGATACAATATTTCTGCCACATCATTATTGTGTCCTTTCCTTGGAAGTTCCATAGCTAGTGCAGCCTGAATAGTACCTGCTTTGAATCGAAGACTGTCTATGGTATAGGCGAACGGTGTTTGATCGTGGTATGCAGACAAAAATGCAGAAGTTCCCGAGACTGGATGATCTGGAACGAGAAGAATAATATCTTTAGACCATAAAGACCAACCTTGAAAGTATTTCATTAAACTGATAGCAAGAGCGAGCCCTGCTTCATTATAGTGACCGTCATAATCCTTCCAAGGAACGCACAATAAGAGAGACTCAGTTGCATCCGCTCTAGGAGACCGGAGTACCGTATAGAAGTTTGAGCCCTCATAATGCTTTTCAAAAAGGCGAGTTGTATAATTTTGTCTTTGAACAGCCATTCCCATAGTCGTAAATATGGTCTCTAGATCATGAAATATCGGGTTCCACTCTTTGGCTTCATCTTTGTTTGACCAGTCGCGAACAAGCGAAAGAGCTGCCCTCATTGTCTTTGTATTTTCATTTCCAAAGTATGTATTGACTTGTCCAGGAAGTAAGGCGTTTTCCGACACACGTAAGTTTTTCGAGAATTGCTCCGATGGAAGTAGGAAGATATAAAAGGTGCCAATTAGTGTACATATAATTTGAAAGAACAATAGATGTCTGCTAATAAAGGGTACCAGGCTAGATTGAAGCCTAGTTATTACACTCATTTTCGATTTTCCCTTTCCGCAATTTCACAGTTGACATAAGATTCTATGAAGTACCTTCAGAGCTTTTTAATTAAATTTACCAAAATTCCCATGAATACCTCTTTCTAAAATAATTTAAAGTATTGGAAAAGCGTTGCTCGTTTGTTTACGAAGATACTCGTCTCATAAATCTCGTTCCACTATACAAAAGTATATACCGAAATGTAGCAATCTATAAAACAAATTACGGCTAAGGAACGAAAACGACTGACTTCATTAAAGCTCAGTAAAAGGACTGACTACATTTTCTACTTCGTTTTTTATTAATTGACTAATAGGTCACACAAGAGTAACAAGTAGGAACCAATTTATCGTATGCAATAAACAAATTCTTACAAAAGTTTTCTTTGAATAGCCAAGCTTCTCAAACTTTTCTTTGTGCATCTATACCCGTAAGTGGATCAAATCTTCATACGAAAAGTTCGATATTAAAATTATTACAAACACGATCCTACTAGAGTTGTTTTTTAGTGTACTATAGCGACCAGATGAGTTGGCAAAAATCTCAAAAATAAGGAACCACCATCAGATTTATTGAAGTTCCTTTCTTACATTCTTTTTTTTTTTTTTTTAAATATTTCATTTTGTAAGAAGTTGAATTCATCAAACGAAATTCATTTCTTGCAAGAATATTTGAGCGAACAAAGGTTTGACTTGGGGATGAATAGTACGATGGAATTTACAGATTTTGATAAAGAAGTCATAGGACAAAATGAGTGTAGAGTACTTGTGATATTCCGTGCTTCAACCTTAGAAGAACAAAAGTCAAGCGCCAGACAATTTAAGTTACAGCTGGAACATTTAATGGAAACGTACGGCAATGATCGTATATGGCAAAACGAGAAATTTACATTGAAAGAAGATACGATTCGTGGAATATATTGTCTCTTTGGGTCTACGGATTTTGGTGATTGCATTTCAGATGAGTGGTGGATCGTTTGGCTTCTGTTTGAGGCCAGTCGAAGCATTAAAAATGCATTTTGTAGAATTATAGATGCAGATGGAGAATTCCTGCTGATAGAGGCTGCTTTTTCTTTACCAAAATGGATTGACGAAGATAATTCAGATTATCGTGTATGGATCCATGATGGAAATGTCCTTCTGCTATGTCCCGATCAAGAAAATCTTCAAGCATATGAAAGATGTAAACCTTTATCTAGGAATGAAGCTATTCAACAAATCAGTACTGGAGAAAACTTCGATATCCCTCCGAAAGTTAACAGGAGTATACGACTCAGACTCCAGGAATATCCCGAAACAGCAAACAACCACCATCGAGCTGTTATAACTATACCGAGATCAATTGCGTTTCTGTTAAAAAAAGATAAACATCTTGTCAGCAAAGCCGTCACTGCTTTCTATTACCGAGATCCAATATCCGAGAAAAAATGTGACTCTATGAAAAAATTCTATCCAAAAGATCTTGTTACCATGACTGTAAACTTTACGCCGTTATTATATGCTCAACTGGCTCAGCAGCGAACTCGAAAATTCGCGCCTTTTTTATTACCATCACAAGGAAAAGAGCCGGCTTTTACCCGAGCTGAGCTAGGTATGAAGCTTACCTGCGGTTTCGAAATTCTTTATAATTCTAATGAACAAGAAGAAACAAAAGGTTACATTGATAAAAGTCTAGAGGGAGCAGTTTTTCCAACGGATAATGAATTGAAGGCATTACCACTTATTAATGACAATACCAATTTCATGAACATAGATCCCGATGATCTGGAGGACATGATGAATAATAGAATGAAAGATCTGGAGGAGTTTGGCTCAGAAAAAGAGAATTTGGACTCCACGGGATCAGTCTCCTCCGACGATGAACAGGCGCCGAATACGTCACGACGAAATAGACCTGAAGACTTTAATGAGCAGGACCTTAAAGACATAATTTCAAAAATTGAAGAATTCGTGGAAAGTGATGAAGAATCCTCTTCTGGTCGACCAGACCTGTATGGTGTTGAAAACCAAGAAGTAGATGATGAAGAAGAACTGTATCATTATGACCCAGAGAAACGGGATGGGATTTTCCAAAGCAGTGATATTATTGAATCCAACGAAGGTGAGATTGAGTTAGATGAGACAAAATTTTTCAATATCCTCAAAGAGCCTTCTTCAGACGTTAACACGAAAGCAAATCCGTCGGCATTGGAATCTACTTCTTCGGAGTCATCAGATGATGAATTGCCTGGGAATATGAACTTGCGAGAGTACATGCAAGCCATGGATGAAGAACTAAAGTCGCAAAAGATAGGAAATAAAGAAGGGTCCTCTGGATCAATGAAGGACGAATCATCCGACTTGGGTATAGATTTAAATCTTGCTAAGAATCTTATAGAAGGAATTCAAGCCAACCCCGATGCGTATGGTGGACCCATTTCTACACTACTAGACAGCCTTAATATACAAGTTCCAAAAGGAAAATAGAAATTAAAATGTTTTTTTTTATTAATAAATTACTATTTTCTCTATATTTTCGTTAAACAAATGTAATCTACTCCAGGTAGATAATGTAACTAAGCTCCGTTCTAAGAATATCTAACTTACCAACACCCACATTGTACAAATTGGAAACACGCTTAAACCAAAGCGTTACGTGTTTCATTGTTAGCAATCATGGTTTTTAAAACATCAGCAGCACGATCTCTTATATTTCGTGTCAAACATGCCGGCGTTCAAGGAAGTGTTCGGGCTCCGATATATATGGCATTAAGCCGACGCTTTTACGCTTCCAGCCCATCCAAGAATAGCGAGTACGACTTGTGTGTTATTGGAGGTGGTCCAGGTGGTTATGTTGCTGCCATCCGTGGGTCTCAACTCGGATTAAAGACTGTTTGTGTTGAGAAGCGTGGTTCATTGGGCGGTACTTGCTTAAACGTAGGATGTATCCCTTCTAAGGCCATGTTAAACAACTCTCATATCTACCATACAATTACTCACGATACGAAGCACCGTGGTATCGAAGTTTCAGATGCTAAGGTTAACATTGGTCAAATGTTGAAGGCTAAGGATGACTCAGTAAAGTCTCTTACTTCGGGTATTGAGTTTTTGTTTAAGAAAAATAAGGTTGAATATGCCAAGGGTACCGGTTCTTTTGAAGATCCCAATACTCTTTCAGTAAAGGGTATCCAAGGCGCCCCCGACCGCCAAATTAAAGCCAAGAACTTCATCATTGCTACCGGTAGTGAAGTAAAAGCATTCCCTGGTATTACAATTGACGAAAAGAGAATTGTTTCTTCTACAGGAGCTTTGTCTTTGCCTGAAGTCCCTAAGAAAATGGCTGTTTTAGGTGGTGGTATCATCGGCTTGGAAATGGGAAGCGTTTGGTCTCGATTGGGAGCAGATGTTACTGTTATTGAATTCATGCCATCTGTTGGTGGTGTTATGGACACAGACATTTCTAAAGCATTCTCTCGTATCATTGGCAAGCAAGGCCTTAAGTTCAAGACCTCCACCAAGATGCTCAGTGCTAAAGACAATGGTAAGGCCGTGGAGATGGAAATTGAAGATATGAAGAAGAACAAGCGCGAGAAGTTGGAAGCAGATGTCTTGTTGGTTGCTATTGGCCGTACCCCTTATACTGAAGGTCTCGGTTTAGAAAAGATTGGTGTCGAATTGGATAAGGCCAACCGTGTTATCATGGACAGCGAATACCGCACCAAGCATCCCCATATTCGTGTCATTGGTGATGCCACTTTTGGACCCATGTTGGCTCATAAGGCTGAAGACGAGGGTATTGCTGCCGCTGAATTTATTGCTAAAGGCCAGGGACATGTCAACTACAATGCTATTCCAGCCGTAATGTACACTCACCCCGAGGTTGCCTGGGTTGGTATGAGTGAGCAACAAGCCAAGGAATCTGGTTTGAAATACAAGGTCGGTACCTTCCCTTTCATGGCCAACTCCCGTGCCAAGACAAACATGGATGCCGAAGGTTTGGTTAAGGTCATTGCTGATGCGGAAACTGACCGCCTCTTGGGCTGCCACATCGTCGGCCCAATGGCTGGTGAACTTATTGGTGAAGCTACTCTCGCCATCGAATATGGTGCTAGTGCTGAAGATGTTGCTCGTGTTTGCCATGCCCACCCTACCTTATCTGAAGCTGTAAAGGAGGGCATGATGGCTGCTTGGAGCGGTAAAAGTATTCATTTTTAAGCGACTCTTCACTTAGCAATTTACGAAAGAAGGTTCTTTTAAACCATATCAGCATGAAAAGGTTTCATAGGACTCTTGTTAAATGAGTTCTTGTTCGAAACTTAAGATTTATATGTTGTACTCTTCAATGATTTTCTTGAATACGAATTATATTAGTCTCCCTCCACTTTTTCAATACAGCAAATTTTTGTCAACGTATATAGGAGGGTCTAAGTTACGTCTATTGTATTTTGTATTTTGATTTTATTCACCGTATTGACCAGTAGCTTTCACTAGTTTAAAGCAACATCCTTTTCCTTTATACTATCAATCTTGAAGACCTAAACAACATATGCAACCGAATTTGTGTAAAAATTACAACTAAATAAAAGACGTACGAAAAAGTAAACAAGCAGCTATAATGAAAATTGTTAATATTCTATTTCACGTTTTTTAAATTGATTATTCATTATGCCGAAGCTATTGTTTCTTATTTAACGATAAGCTAAATACCATGAAATTACATTTCTGCGTTCAGTAGTGAAAAAAAAGGTAATGCTAAACAGAAATCTCGCAATTCAATAAGTATTTCCTAAATAATTTCCTTGTTTTACTGAATGAAATGTAAAAAAGAAATTGAATTCCTAAGGTCAATGAAGTTGACATTCATGGACGATATCCTAAAGCTAGACGATCAATGAGAACAACTAACCCTCTCCAAGCGTTGGTGGTGAAGAACATGAAACCCGAAGAATAGAATGATTCAGAACTTATGGTAAATTGTTATATTATATTCTTTTAATTTTGTCTCTATATTGGTTTGCGTTTTAGAAATATCATTACCTTGTTGCATAAGTGAAAGTGTTTGGTCTTAGAATGTCGTTTCGGTTGCTTCCCAAACGAAAATATGATGATGTGAAAGCAGGGAATTTCATAAATCCAGGAAGAGTTCCTTTAGCTAAAAGCAGTAGAAGGGATAAACCTCAAACTTCTTCGTACTTGATAAATCAAGACTTGATGGATAAAGCGTTGGAAGCTAGTAATTTGAGACAGCAATATAACCCAAATTTGACCATCGTTGAAATGGCGCCTGGAGCAGGTGTTATGTCTACATCTTTGTATAATTACTTCCAACCGAAAAACCATATTCTCCTCGAATCTAGAGATACATTTTTTGATCCTTTACGAAAACTATCTAGTCAAACAAATGGAAGGATGCAATTGATAGAAAAGGAAGGATTTAAGTGGAACACATACTCTGAGCTCATTGAATCCCGTATTCTACAGGTTACTCGGCAATCAGAAGCAGAACAGGCTGTTTCTACACATCGAGAACTGCTTTTTGCTGCTCATATTCCTATTCAATATTACGGACTCTTGTTTACTTCTCAAGTTGTAGAGTACCTTGCAAGCCGAGATTGGCTTGGTTATTATGGAAGAGTCCGAGTGCTTTTATGGCTTCCACGCTCTCCGGCGATAACCATTCTAACCTCTCGAGGATTTCGGAATAGATCAATGACGGCTGTGCGCCGTGAAGCATTTATAGATACCAGAGTGATTGTAGGAAGTCAGTCTATTCATGATGGATTAATGAAACGGTGCTCTTCCAAATCGAAATATTCCCATGATGTTCCCAAGCCATTAATTCAACCTCCTGATGATTTAGAATTTATGGAGCCTCTTCATGATGGACATATTTTAGTGGAGCTTACTTCTAAACCCCTTGACAATAGTCTTTCATTATCTTTATTTACACAAGTGATCAAAAGCCTATTATACACATCTAGAGGAAAACTAAAAGATTCCCTTGAACGTCTTGGTGCTGGCGCTACGAATTTGATTCCTGCAATTCAAGATGCTGGTGTTGACGTGGAACTACCCAGTTTTTGTTTATCTGCTGAAGATTTCAAAACAATCACTCGCATATATGAGAAGTGGCCGTTACGAGATCCTCTTAAAAATGATGAGTTCTAAAAATAATGCCCATGTTAATCTCGTTCCAATAATGTCATCTTTCGTTATTGTATACCTAAAAATTTGATACCTTAACTCTTATTTTATAATTTAATTTTTTCAAAAGTCATACACTTATTTTAGCTATTTGCTTTTATAATCTCGTAAATTTCTTCTATCTTTTTATAGCTATGTAAAGCATTACCACTATATTCTAGAATCACACGCTTCAGTTCATATTTTAAGTTACTTATTTCTTTATGTATAAACTGAACACTCCTTTACTGAATTATAAGCATCATGTCATAACAATTACGATTCCTTTCTCTACTGCATTTGCTGTCTTCCTGAACCAACAGTATGGAAAGCAAAATGACCAATTCAGTCCGTGTTCGTCCCATTACCAACAAAGATATTTCAACTGTTATTCAGTTCATCATTGAACTCGCAGGTAAGTTTTTGTCTACGTAGCGCTACTAAACCAGGTTCCTTTAAAATGGGTATATACTCAGAATAAAGAATGTGCTGATTGAATGTGTTTTGTCCTTTTTAATGATACAATGCCTTAAATATTTTGATGGGAACAAGTTGTATATTGACAGTTACCTATACATGTCTCGAGTATTTACTAATGGTTTGCAGATTTTGAAGAAGCAAGAGACCAAGTAGAAGCTACGGAAGAGAGTCTTTTGAATGTTTTTGGATTCAACGAAAATTCAAATCCTACAGCCTATTGTCTTTTCGTTGAGGAGAATGAAAAGGTATGTCGAATATTTGCATCTATGTCAGCATCCTTACCTGATCCCTTTATATTCATCCTGTTTGCGACTTCTTTCAATGCTAACCTATAAAAGCCAGTAGGTATGGCAATATACTTTCTAAACTTTAGGTAAGTTCATTTACTACTACCTGTTTTTTTTGAGTCAAATTATTAACAATGTTAACAGTACCTGGACCGGCCGGGTTGGCATATATTTGGTATGCTTTACTTTTTATTTTTGCAAGTTCTATTCTTGAGCACTTTCTAATATTGACTAGGAGGATTTGTATATTCAACCGACACATCGTGGTAAAGGATATGGTAGCTTCTTACTCTCTTATTTAGCCCGTGAGTCTTTACGGATTGGAGGAAAACGATTAGATTGGGTTGTTCTTGATTGGAACCAGAAAGCTATTGATGTTTATGAAAAAGCCGGAGCAAAGAAGATTGTCGGATGGAGCATGATGCGCGTTACAGGCGAGAAGTTGAAACACTTAGCCGATAAATTACCAGATAACTTTTAATTGGACTTCATTCTTTATGATTAAGAGGTTATCTTTTATCGACGTTCATGAATAGCTTACTTGCCTACATTGTTAACAATGACTTGTAGTCAAGAAAACTTCTCATGTTGTTTGTGAATTGTAATACTTCCAGATTTATTACTTATACTTTTGATTTATATAATTCCTTCTTGTAAGTTATTAGAAATTCTTTTGGGATATAACGCATCATCATATTGAGCTGAACTAGCTTACTTGACTAATATACGAGAGAATGCAATATATACAACCATATATAATTCATGGTAGAAAAAAAACTCTTTTGAATCAATTCCTTTTTTAGTTTTATCGAAAGTTGTGAACTTTTGAAAAGACTGCGCGACGCGTTCTTGTATTATATAATGACGCGTAAACCGTAAACAATCTTACAGCAAATATTTTTATAGAAACATGTTTCGTGGGAAATGCGCATATTTTGATGAAACAGTTCCCTCTCATTTAATTGCACTTTGGCGTAAGTAAATACAAGACTTTTGAAATGCTGCGTGAATCTTAAATTACTATGACCGAACAATTGCAACTGACCCATGAAAATATATAGAAATACACAATGGCACAGCTAAATTCCTTCCTGAAGGTTATCACAAGTTTGATTACGCTTTCTCAATGAATGCTGGAAAGAAAGTACGACTCTCCATATATGAAACACTTTGTACAACTTCCCCTTGGTGGATCGCAGAGCAAGTTACTATTTTGAGAAGAGGGTATTATTCAATTCATTTACCTAATAATTATAACTTACTTACATACGCGCTAGAAAACCAAAAATGGCTCCCATCATTCATTTTAATGAAGTAGAACCTTTATACGTCGACCATCGAATTCAAACGGTCTATTTACAACCGATTCGTTCTCCCAATCTTTAATTTCGTTTAAAAGAATCTTTAAAATCCGCTGGTACTTTTTTCCTTTTTCTTTCTTCTACTCTCTACTCTGAAACTTATACTTTCCTCGGTTCACATGAGGTGCGTAAAAACCGCTCAAAATAGTTTTTTAATATCAAAATCTATGAAACTAAAGCTTGGATCCGTAGGAATGAATAATCGCTCTTCGTCTCGCATTGTCTGATCTCCTCCCATTACACGAAACCACCAAACGACTTACTGAACACAATTTTGGTCAATTGAAACTATTGTCTCTCGAAATCTAAACGTGTTTATCCTTTTTAATGCATCAATAAAGAATTTATTTAAAACTGTGAAGTTTAAATGAAACAAAGCTTTTTGTAATTTCTTCGCATTTCTTTACCGTTGTTTACTTGTGCTAGCCCCGTCTATTCAGACAGTGAAAATAGTACCTGCTCTCTGAGAGGTATCCTGAACTATAAACACTTCGATGATTATGAGTCATTCTTCTGTTCGCAATTCACGACCTACCCAGGTTGCATATCAACCTTCGTCAAAGGAAACTCTTACAGACCGTAAAACAACAAGGCGGAGGAATGCTATGTATTCGGAAAATTCAGAATTGAACAATTATCAGAATCGTCCTTCAGCAGTAGGCCTTTCTCCTGCACCAACATTTTACCCTACCGATGAAGAATTCAAAGACGCAATCAGATATATTCAAAAAATTACACCAGTTGCAAAAGAATTTGGAATTGTCAAGATAGTACCTCCTAGTGGCTGGAAACCATCGTTTGAATTGGACATGGATAAATTTACTTTTCGTGCAAGACGCCAAGATTTACGGATGATGGATTTAGGATTCCGGGAATCTGCAGCATATGATGAACGCGTGTACAGGTATTTTTGTAATAAAGGCATTGAGCTTCCACAAATATTTATAATCGCTAACACCACGGTGGATCTATATCAAATACGAAATTCTCTCGAACGCTTAGGATTTTCAAAAGGAGCAGCAATTCCAAAGGAGTGTTGGAGAAGGGTACTTGTATCTATGAACTTACCAAATACTTCAGGGGCTGAGAAGGAAATAATGACCATCTACTCGAAATACATTGCTCCTTTTGAAGAGTACGTTGCTACATTGTCATCCGATGCAAATAAGTACCAACCTCTTTTTACAAAAGTGGAGGATAACGAATTACCGCTTACCGATAAGTCGTCAAGGAAACAAAAAATAGAAGATGTTTCATTTCGTAGATCTTCGAGGAAAAAATCGGACTCAGTAGAAGAAACTACTACTCAGAAACACAACGGAGGGATGAATGCGGCGAGGAAGAAACGCGCAAAAACATGCGAAAGCTGTCAAAGAAAAATTGATTTTTCTGTTGAATGCCTTGGTAAGGAGTCATATTGTAAAGATTGCATCCTAACCCCTCATGTATTTGGTTTTGAAATGGGTGATGTTTATACTCTTTCCGAGTTTGAAAAGAAATGTGATAATTTCAAGACTGAGTATTTTTCAAAATTTGATACGCAAACGCTTATAAGTGACGAATTAGTGGAAGCAGAATATTGGAAGTTAGTAAAAAGTAAAGAAGAAGCCTATGAGGTTGAATATGGCGCCGACTTATCTACCATGGACAAGGGGAGTGCCTTTCCACACTGGCGGAAAACACCAAAAAATCCATATTCAAGAGACCCATGGAATCTGAACGTTTTAGCTTCTTCGAATGGCTCTTTACTTCGATACGTTGAGAACGCAGTTTCTGGAATTACGTCTCCTTGGCTATACATCGGAATGTGCTTTTCGACGTTTTGTTGGCACGTAGAGGATAATTATACATATTCAGCAAACTATCAGCATTCTGGTGAAACAAAGCTTTGGTATGGTATTCCTGGTAATGATGCTTCTAAGTTTGAGGAAGCAGCTCATGAAATAGCGCCCGATTTATCTTCCTCTCAGCCTGATTTATTATACCAGCTTGCTGCTATGGCTAATCCGAAAGAGTTGACGAAAAGGGGAGTTAAAGTATATTATGTGGACCAGACTCCAAACGACTTTGTCGTCACTTTTCCAAAGTGCTTTCATGGTGGTATCAACCTTGGATTTAATATTAATGAAGCTGTTAATTTCGCTCCCAAAAATTGGCTTTTGGATGGTTACTCGTTGGAAGGGGCTCTTAAGTACCAAAGCATTCTTAAACCGGCAGTACTTTCGCACGATCGTTTAATTTATAAACTCGCTACAAAAAATACTGATGTGGTAGCGTATGAAGAGCTTCTACCTTGTCTTCGCGAAGCAATTACGAGGGAGCAAAGCGAACGTAGCTTTATAAGAAAACAATATCACTTGAACGAGGCTTTGGTTCGTGAACCTCTGAAAACAGATGAGCAATGGCAATGTGTGTATTGTAATGCTTATTCTTACTTTTCAAAAATTGTCTGTCCTTGCACGTCTTTAGTTGCTTGTACAAAACATATGGAAAAACTTTGTGATTGCAAAATTGAAAAGAAGACCTTGCAAATACGAATACGTGATACCGAATTGTTGAACTTGCTAAATTTGAAACTCCCAAAACTTTCTTGAATTTTTCAGATTTATTGGACTATGAATGACAAACAAAACCATTTCTTCTAGTTTTCCATTGTTCCTCATATTCATTTCAGAATTACGAGATCCTTCATAGCTCGCTATTTGAAGAGTACAAGGAATTTGCTACAGTGGATGGCGTTTGTAACATAAAAGTTAAGAGTCCCATCATATCAGGCTTTTTTAGCGCTTAAACAGAGGATTTGACTTTTGAAGTATGAAAAGGAATGGATCAAGCTCAGTTTTGCCTACTACGCAAAGCTCTGCAAGTTTTGAAAGATCAGAATCTCCAAGTTCTGGAATCCCACCTAAAGCTCGAACCGCTTCTCCTGTGAATGATGTTAACGTAAATAACAAGGAAAAAGAAAAGGAACTATGGAATCGACAAGATGAAAACGAATTGGAAGAAGATGATCGGGATGACTTTGGAACAGCCGCTATTTCCAACGTTACAACCAAACCGGGCGAAGCAGACGATGATACAAATGAAAAAGTTAGGACAAGATATTTATTGGATAGTTTTGATGAAGAACAGATGCAGCGTTATGAAGTCTTTAGAAGAGCAAATCTCAACAAAACGAACGTCAAAAAGCTGGCCAACCAAATCCTCAACCAGAGTGTCACCCCAAACGTTGCGATTGTCATATCCGGTTTTTCCAAAGTCTTTGTAGGTGAGATGATTGAACTGGCCAGAAAAATTCAGGATCATTGGGGAGATAGTGGACCGCTTAGTCCTGATCATTTGCGGGAAGCATATCGCCTTTCACGACAAAACCAAAGATTAATTCCTAAAAGTCGTCGTTCAAACAAAATGTTTCGATGAATTGGTTAGACATTGATTGAAGGCTTTCAAGTTAATCGTTACCTTCTTTTGTTTGAAACATCTTAAGTCCACTAAGAAGAGCATAATCATGAATGTTTTTTGGTAAGCTTGTAAAAAGTTTTCACAGGACATTCAAGTCAGGAATCATCACAAAAAAGATTTGTCTGACTGCAGGATTAAGTATATTCAGTTCCGATGTTCAAGTGCGTACTTATCGCCAGAATCTTATGTGGACGTCTGCTAATAATTGTTTAAGCTTTGAAAGACGTCTATGGCGTCGTCTAATATCTATTTATAAATTATCAATTTACGTTATTTAGTATAGACTGTTGTATATTTTTTCTGTAAATGAAATACACAATGATGAATAATTCTAATTTAGCTGTACGCAATATTAACTGTAAAATCTGTTAATAAACTTTTTTTCTTAGTATAAAGCATAGTATAAATGAGCACATAAATAATGGTTTTGGTATTTGCATTTGCTCATCATCGTCCCCACACCCACTGTAATAACAGTGAGTGTCTAACAACTCCCATTCTCCTTTTGACTAAACGCTATCTTTTAGTGATATATTTTGAGCCATTTTCTTTATATTCAGTAAGAAACTGAACTTTGATAAAAAACTTGTAGTTTGAAACAATTCCAACAAAGTTTTCCATGTTTAGATTATGAATTTGGTACGTTTTAGATGGATTTTACAATGGATCGCCATTGGGTTCTTTTTAATTGGAAGCTCTGATGCTGCTTTTCGACATGTTTTTCGTACGTCTGCTCAAGATGGATTTGCAAAACGGAATCGGCAACTTGCGTCTGAGCAAAAATATGATCCTAACTACAAAGCTCAATTCCAATTAGATACTTCTAGTATCAGGTTCAATGATGGAATTGTCAATGGTATTTTAAAGAAACATGTCTCAGAGAAAGTGGATGAGTTATTGTTTCCATTTACAATATCGTTCTTAAAGGATGGAAGCACTCGTTTTGAACTTGATGAACAACGTCGCATGGACGGTGATGTTGATTACGATGGCGTAAAAGTTCGAAAGGACAGATTCGATATTACTAAATATCACGATTTGGGGAGTCGAATTCACATTGATACAAAACGCCCGGAAGTTAAAGTACACGATAAAAAGTTACTGAAAGTCGATTATGGCGATAATCAACAATTTTCAATGATTTTACATTTCCAGCCATTCATGATTGAATTTTTGCGTGACGGTAACGTCGAAGTTGTCTTAAATCAGCGTCAATTATTGAACATGGAGCATTACCGTTCTCGTTCCGAACGCTCTCAGGAGGATGAACCGTTAGGTATGTGGGAGGAGAAGTTTGATAATATTCTTGATAGTAAGCCTCGAGGGTCCGAGAGTCTTGGCTTAGATATAAGTTTCATTGGATATAAACATGTATATGGTGTACCCGAACATACTTCATCACTTTCTTTAAAGGAAACAAATAATTCTGAGACTGGATATACCGATCCTTACCGTTTATATAATGTTGATATATTTGAATATGAAGTCGACTCTCCTATGAGTCAGTATGGTGCTATTCCATTTATGCAGGCGCACAAGAGAAATTCAGACGTCGGCATCTTCTGGTCAAATGCTGCCGCCACTTGGATTGACATAGAAAAAGATGCATCTTCGACATCTACTCATTGGTATTCTGAGTCAGGAAAGATGGACGTGTTTATTTATTTAGGTCCTACTGCTTTAGATGTTTATAAGGCATATTCAGGATTGACTGGCCGTACTCAATTACCTCCTTTGTTTTCCTTAGGTTACCATCAGTGCCGTTGGAACTACTTCTCTGAAGAAGATGTTCAGGACGTTGACAACACATTCAATGAAGTTGATATGCCGTATGATGCTATATGGTTAGATGTCGATTACACATCTGGTCGTCGCTATTTTACTTGGAATGAAGCTACATTTCCCCATCCTCAAGAAACTTTAAAAAAACTGGATTCAAATGGCCGTAAGATGGTTGTTATCCTCGATCCTCACATTAAGAACGATCCTAATTATTTTGTATCAAAGGAGTTGATAGAGAATGATTTTGCTGTGAAGGATTCGTCTGGTGTTGATAACTATAATGCCGAATGTTGGCCTGGAGATTCCATATGGGTTGACTTTTTTAATTTAGAAGGACAGAAATGGTGGGGAGATCTTTATTCTTACGATAAGTTTAAAGGCTCAGATAAAAATCTTTTTATTTGGAACGACATGAATGAACCGTCTGTTTTCAAGGGTCCTGAAACATCTATGCATCGTGATGCTATTCATCATGGCGGATGGGAGCATCGTGACATCCATAATTTTTATGGACACCAATGTATTAACAGCACTTACGAAGGAATGATCAAACGAGATCACGGGGAAATTCGACCATTTATTCTCACCCGTTCTTTCTTTGCTGGCACCAATGCCCTAGCTGCCAGCTGGATTGGTGATACTTTGGGAACTTGGGAGCATTTCCGAGGATCTCTTGCTACTGTGTTAACAAACGGAGTAGCCGGAATGCCATTTTCAGGTGCTGACGTTGCTGGTTTTTTTGGAAACCCAGATTCTGAACTTTTTGTTCGCTGGTACGAATTGGGTATTTTCTATCCGTTTTTCCGGGCACATGCTCATATAGACACCAAGCGTAGGGAGCCATGGCTTTATGGCGAGCCTTATACTTCAATGATTCGCAATTTATTGGGAATTCGCTACCGTTTACTTCCAACTTGGTACACGACATTTCATACAACTCACATGACTGGTCTACCAGTGCTCCGACCTCAATTTTTAGTACATCCAGAAGACGAACAAGGATTTGATATTGATGATCAATTTTATTTAGGCGATTCTGGACTTCTTGTAAAGCCAGTATTGGAACCTGGTGTAACTGAAACAGGTGTTTATATCGCAGACGGTGAAACTTATTATTATTTTTACAATTTTGATGAGATTAAGGGTAAAGGGAAACATGTCGTTCCTGCTACTCTAGGAAAAATTCCAATTTTGTTACGAGGAGGTAATATATTAGTTACACGTGAACGTATACGACGTGCCTCTGAGCTTACTATCAACGATCCTTATACTCTTTACATTGCAGTTTCTGGCAAAACGGGATCAGCTAGAGGTGAACTGTACATGGATGACGGTACTTCATTTGAATATAAAAAGGGCGCTTATATTTCTCGGGAGTTTACTTTCAATGAAGGTGTATTGGACGTTTTCGATACTCATCCACACCCTCAATCAGGCGTACAATATGCAGAGTCTATGAAACATATCAAGGTGGAACGTATTATATTAATTGGTGTCAATCACCAAAAGATCAAGATTCGCAAACACGGCGTTTCCGGTGTTAAGAGCTGGGATGTGAATGTCAACAAAGACGGCATTGTACAGAAACCTGGTTTATATTTAGTGTAAAGTTCTCCGTTATTAAATAAATGTTGAGATGATTATTTATGGCAGGACTTGTCATGTATTAGGTATGAACTTCCCAGATTTTTGTAAAGTTTAATAAGAAACGAAAGACGAGCGGAGAAATTTTTATTTCTTTCAAAGAGATGTTATTGAAAATTTATTACCAACAGAAGGAATGATATATGATGAATCGAGAAAATGATTACAAGACCCTAATTTACAAACGTCCAGACATGGATTAGAATCAGATCGTGATTGTTTTATCCGCGAGATATTTAAAAAGAACGACACGTAGTAGAATGTAGAAGGCAAGCCTTTTCGTACAGACAACGAATTAAATATTGATTAAATAGATGTAAATGCTGGATATAAAAAAAACCTAAGCCCAGGTAGTGCTTCGCTGTGAAGGAAAAGTTTTCGAACTCGACATCTTGCTGGAAGGTTGGAAACTAGGACCTGTGATGTGAGTGGAGTTTGGATCAGCTGGTGGTAATCCAAGCAGCTTTCTTTGATTAGGACTTAGCTTCAAATCATCAAAAGTAGGGCGAGGGCGAATAAACTGCCAAAAAGCCTCAAGGATATTTAGGAGCAGCAAGAATTGAAGTGCCCAAGAAGCAAACCTGATAGAGTTTGTTTTTGGAAGAAAACATTTTAGAAATTGAAAGCAAATAAGAGCAAATAGATTAGAAATCATGCGGCTCCAAGTGCGATCGGTAGGGATCTGATCATGAAGACGTTTCGAGACGGTATCAACAACAGGATGTTTCCAATAGCCAGAAGGAGGAGGCACTGGGTAATCTTGTTGTTTTGGAATTTCCTGAATAGGAAGCAATTTTGATGATGTAGACGCGTTGGAACTTGCATCTTCCAATGACGACGCGACTGGATGAACGTCTGAGGTGGTTTTAGAGCGCCGTAAGTCTGTAGTTACATCTTTTTGGCGTTTTGGAACAAGAAATGGTGAGTTTCGCGTCGGTGGCTCAACGATTTCAACATTTTTTGCTGGGTTCTCTTCGAAAAGAGATTGGGCAAAAACAGACTGCGAAAATGGAGTAGTCATCGTTTACGGAAAAGATTAAGAAAACCTTTACTTAGAATCTTGGCAAAGAATGGAGTTAATGCAACACTAGCGAAGATTCTCAAAGGTAGGAGTATCTGGTTCTTTGTTAGTTACTTCTCAGTGATACGAGGAAGTATATTTACAAAAAGTCGCTAAAATAACAAGCTTTAACTGTATCTTTAGCCGAACATATTTTGTTCAGTATTACACTTTTACCGAAAGTAAATTTAAGCTCAAAAATAAGCGATATCATACCTTCACACAGGCATAAGCAGCAGCTCCATCAATTAAGACTTTAGAAACTTGTTCGATGGGTATATTATATCCAATTTTTTCGAAAATTCTGGAAGCGACGCCAGCTCCTTTTTCGAGATATTCAGTGGGCAAACCTGGAGGCGTCCAGTCGAGCGAATGAAACAGGAAGAAAAATGCTGGAAGAGGTAAAATGGCTGTTAGTTCATGTAGGAATAAGAATGCAACCGCATAACTTAGCGGTTTGTCTTTAAAACTTCCTGCTTGTTTCCCTGCAAGCTTTAAACAACGATTCCACAAGTTTTGAGACTTTGAGATTGTAGGACGTTGAGATGGAAGCTTCGATGAATATTGACGGTACCTGGGATAAAAAACAGGATGGCAATATTTCGATTGAAATTTCACTGGAGGAAGAATTCCACGGATGGTAAGACGAGGAAATAATGTCTGTTGGGCGAGTCTACTTTGCATATTGGTAAAGGCTAAACAGAAGATCATATTATCTTAAGACCTCTGATCCCAAAGTGTAACAAGAAAAGTAGTGTAAGGCATAGTAAGTAAACACAAGTCAATTAAAAAGATTCATATAATTTCTAAGTATAGTATTTAAGAACTAAATTGTGAATGGATCATTACGAAATCCGAGTAAATGTTATGGTAGACATTCGAGAACAACTTCAAGGAGGAAAGACTATTACAGAATTCTACTTTTTTATTCAATACTAACAATAAATAATAAAAGAAGGAAATGTCATTAAGAGAGGGGAGGCGTTGAACATATATATCCAAAGTCTAAACTTGACGGAATAATTATCGGTAAGAAATATCACTTGCGTGTGTAGTTTAAAATAATCCACAAAAGATCTCTTAAATCTTGTTAGTAACATTGCAGACTTATTCTTGCAAGGCAACCCGTAAATTGCGCAAGCAATTTAAAGATTCGTCAACCTGACTCGATAGCAGATCCATCTCTGCTTTCAACTTTTCTTGGTGTATATTTTGGTTATAAAGGGAAGATTTTTCAAATAGTTGACGTCGGAAGGTTCTCTCGAAGCGTCTACTGTCTTCCAGCTGCTCTTTCCAAAATCTTTGCTTCCATTTAGATGAGCTGCGCTGTAAAACGTAGAACCCTAAAACAGAGGTTACAGCAAAAATACTGAAGGAATTATACATAGATGCATGAGCAACTATATATAGATACAAAGAGCCCAAAGCTCCGAAACCTTGGAATAATGTCACGTACAACGTTTGTTTTTTCAGTGCTTGAAACTTTTGTGAAACGTTTTGTTCACACGTTTCCTGATATGTCTGAAAGTCTTTCATCGCACTGTAAAAGTTCTTTTTGTCATCCCCATTTCGCGATAATTCACCCAAGAGGAATGCTAATTCCAACTTAGACTCCTTGAGATAGGATTTGCGAAGTTGGTCTTTTAGACTATTAGGCCATGCGTCAATATTTTTATAAAGTTGCAAGAATCCAAGTTTCTTCCATAAGGCTTTCAATTGAACTTCAAAAGACTCCGTATCAGCGTGGAAACATTTGGCCCATTCTTCCAAAGACGATAGCATGAAATTACTGCTATTTTTAGAGGTAATATACTTTTGGCCAGCATTTTCTGAGCTTATTGCATCCTTAAATGACTTCAACAACTTTTCTACTAGTTCGTAATTGTCTTCAGTTAAAAAAGAGTTTCGTAACGCTTGAAAGTTGCTTCTATCCCAAAGCTCTTTATATTGGGCAAACTGGCCTGCATCTTTGCGCAATATTTCAATGGCCGATAACGCTTTTGGAGAGGATATGGGCAAAATTTGAGGCTCGTTTTTAATCAGATCAGCATCCGTCAAATCCTTGTCCAAAAGATAAGTTATATGTGAAGCCGGACGAGAAGCACGATCATTAACAATGTTCAGATAGGAAGAAGAGCACATGTATGTACTATGACAGGTTGCTGAAATTAAATTATCAGTATAGTTTGCAGGTAGATAAGTGATCTCTAAGTTATGAACTTGAAGAAAATCGCTCGGTATAGAAAGATGGCTAGAATTATATCGAGCATTCTTTTGAATGATAGGAGTATCTGCAAAAGAAATAAACAATGGTTCCTGACCAAGAGTCTTTAGGGCTTCATCAAGTTCGGCTACTTTCGGTAGAAAAGGACTTGTTAAGAGAGCTTGTAAAATAGTTTTGGAGCATGCAATGTCATTTTGCGAAGAAGTCAAAGACTGTAATAAAATACGATGTTTAGGTGTCTTTACTGTTAATGCATTCGTTATGGCGTTCAATCGAGAAATGAGATGAGGTTGGTCTTGTGTGAGCTTTTTCATCCTAGAAAGGTTGTCATTCAACTTTGTCTGGAACGTCGTAATGGACTTTGATGCTACATTTGTTGAATATTTTCGAAGAAAAAGCATCCTGGGCGCCCAGTTCATGAAAGTCATTTTCAGCATTTTTACTTAACGGATGTAATCCTTATAGTGTCGCCTTAATTAATCATAAGGAAGAAAAAAAATCTCTTCTATACCTTTAAAGAATACTGTTCCTACTGATTTAATCGAAAAACCGGTAACCGCCAAATGTCCCAGTCTAGTTACTCGTAGGATGAGCTATACCACAAGGTACAATTGTCGGCCTTACGTACTCAACACACACCAAAGTAATCATTTTGAGACTAAATGCAAAGAGTATGGCAGCAAGGTTAATAATAAATGTAAAAGAAGATGTTCACAAGGTCAATTTCTGCTTTCCTTTTCGTTTTCTTTGCAAGAATGTATTATACTAAAGAGTAGTACTACAATGGAGAAGCAATGTTTACCATCTGATTTTACAGCTATGAAAGTGAAAATCACATAATTGGTTTTGATATCTTCCTCTAGAATATAATTTTATTGAAGCAATATAAGGATTCATTCTACCTCATATAGAAAAGCGAAGAGAAAATCGTCGTTTTTCGAGTCACCTTTCTTATGTTTACCGTCGCTTAAAATGCCAGTAGAACAAAAGATACTCTGCAGATTCTGAATACATAAAACAAACAAGATTTAAAAAGAATTTACACTCGTTGAGCCGGTACCCGTTCTTTGCACACGTCGCTTTTCCAATTGCATACTGGGAGATGGCTATGTATGCATAATAAGGATGTATGATCGCAATTCAGTTGAATCTACTGAGTATATACTTGCTATACACAATTCTAATAGTTGGTATACTCAGATGAATAACCCAACCATCAATAAATGATATCTTATTCAAATTGTCTTGCAGTCGAGCGCTTGCACGGTGAATATGATATGTCCATAGGAATTAACTTAAACTACAGTTCTACCTTTTGTTTCAACGTGATTTCATCCAAGGCAGCCGGTGTAAACAGATAAAACAAGTAGCAATACGTAAACAAAAAGCTCTGAAGGAGATTCCCATAGGTTGATTGTACATTTCAACATGCTTCATTTCTTTCTTCTTGAAACAAACCCAATGAATATAATTTATTTTTTTTCTTTTTTTTTATGAAGTCTGTTTACACATGCGGGTTTTGAACAAAAAAAAAAAAAAAAAAAGACAGAAACAGAAACAGAAACAAAAACACCTTAGTCAAATCACAGAAGCAAATGCAGATTCATAGTCGATGAACAAATTGGTTTAACATTCTCACTTGTATTAGATTACAGGGAAAACTAAAGAAGACAGTAGTTCTTCTTTTCATTGCTTAAAACCGGCGTTTCCCTGTCTCAAAAGCATCTTATGAGAGTTTTTTAAAGTTAATTATTGATAGCTTCGTAATGTATGTTTTGTTTATTTTGTTTGTTTACGTTGTATATTGTTTTGATATGACCCGCCTCGTTAGTATGTTTACAATCGAATGTAAACAAAACACTAGTATATATAGGTGGGGGATAAATAAATCCATGCAATACAACCTTCACCTTTTTGAATCACAAATAGCAATGAATAATTCAAAAGCGTCAATTCCTGGACAATACGAAGACGAAAGCTGTGTTATATATATTGGAAATCTTGATTCTCGTGTTTCAGACGAAGAGATCATTAACCTTTTCTCAAAATACGGTATAGAAGCCAACTGAAGATGACTTCATGTCAATTCAATTCATTATAATAAAAACACACAGCTAACTCTTTTAGGACAAGTAGTTTCGCTTTTTCGTCGGCTGCTCGATAGCTTTTACCCCAAAGAAAAATCAAAGACCTTTAAGCCTCCAAGAAATGGAGTTCAATACGGTTTCATCCGATTTTCTACTCGCGACGGCGTCGAGGCAGTTCTAAAGGATGCTAAAGGAATGGTGCTTGGAAAAAGAAAATTGTATGACCAAGAATCAAGTCCCATGATAAATATTCTGACCAAACGCAGATCTATCAAAGCAAGAGTAGTAAATCCTTCAAAACTCACTGAAAAGAGTCAAAAAAAGATGACTGACTCATCAAACTTTAAAACATCGGGTAACGAAATCAAACCGGTTACAGAAAACAATTCTCAAACTGTAGAAAAAAAAGGAAAGCCCGCTTCTCCTAAACCCTTTAATTCTAAAGCTATCAATCCCTTAGAAGTTCAACCCCAACAATCAAACAAAGCTAACTACACTCCAGTTTCATCAGACTCAAACTTTAAAGAAGCAGTATTATCGCTAGGATTAGAGGAATTTAGTATGCAAGCAGCGCCAACTGCTTTCTCATCTACGTTCACTTTAACTGTTATGAACATCCCAGCTGAAATGACTCCTATTGATTTATACAATTGCTTTAAGTCCATTGGAACGGTTAAAGGGACTGCAGTAAGCCAATTTACAGATCAAAAAGGGTACAGATATGGAGAGGTTATTATGGATTCGCTTGAAGCATGCAAATCGGTAAGTGTATCCAAAGATTCGAATGAGTACTAATATATCAGGCAATTCACATTCTAGGAGGATCCCAATATAATGGTAGTAAACTTGATGTGAGCATGAAAAAAGCTGCATATCCCAATAATCGCGTCTTGAACCTAACCCCATCCACTGAAAACTTATGGCCATTTCCACAAGAAAATTACGGAAATTCTTACTTTAAAAATGATGCAAATAACCATGGTATGACTTGGATGATGGGTTCACCTACCAAAGAACGCTATCAATGGGGAAGCTCAGCAGAACAATTCGATATTTCTGCTTATCCTAAAAACAATTTCCCCAGGAACAACAATGCACTTCCTTCAATATCCCAATGGGAATCTTTACAAGCCAATACGATGCACTCCGCTCCTGTTGACCCATGCAATCTCTATGTTAAAAATTTGGATGATACTGTCATTTCAACAAAAGATCAATTAGAAGCATTATTTTCTCCATTCGGTAATATAACATCTTCTATGCTTGCTTGCTATCCAAACTCAGGCATATCCAAAGGATACGGTTTTGTAGCATTTCATCGCATAGAGGAAGCTATTGCAGCAAAGGACAGGTTAAACGGCGCAATGATTGGAAAGAAAAGAATTTTTGTGTGTTTTGCCGAAAGAAAAACAGACAGAATTCGCCGTCTTCAAGAATTATTTGCAGACCAAAGGGCTACAAGCAATAGTTCACCATCTTCAATCTTTGTGCGTCCCGAGAAGAAGGTTCCCGTTACTATAAGAAAACCCGAGGAATCAGAAAAGACTCCGTTTAGCTCAACTCAGTCTATTACAAACACTATTGAAAGTAGCAAGAGCTTGGACGAGTCTAGTAAAACTGAGAATAAAAATAAACGGGACAATGCGATGGACGAAAACCGTAATGAGATTCATGATACTGCAACACCCAAGATAGGCTTGCCAAAGGAAGAAAAAAGAGAAAAATCCCCTTTGAAAGAGAACTTGAATTCAACTGAAATTCCTGCGAGAAAGCGTATGTCAATCAAGTCTCAGTCAATCGCTAAGAACCTCAAAAAAATTGAGGAAATGTTAAACCGTAAAAAGCTAAAGAGTTCATGTTTTGTTCCTCGAGCAAAAGCAACTACTTGCACGACATTGACATATGTAACAGTAGAGCCGATTCATTATCAAGAAGATGAATTACTACTTGAAGATACATTCCCCAAGGCGAATCATTTGAAAGCAGATCCAGATATTTCTTTAAAAGTCAAACAAATGAGCTCTTCATTGTATCAGGATTCCAATAAAGAAAACTTCGAATCTACGGTGAAAGTCGGAAACGCATCTCCTTCAGCAATACGATTATCACAATTGTAGTTTGCAATCAAGAAGTTATTTACTCTAATCTTAAAATTGCTTAAATTATATCCATATGCTATCCCAGCCTTTGCGAAAGATTCGAAAACTGGGTGTCTCGAGGACGTACGTACCAATTTTTTATTTCTCCCATCATCCCAAGAGCTATCAAAGTTGAGGTGAATTCGGAATAAACAGATATAAACCAAGTCATTTTCTTTGTAATAAAATACATTGGAAAGAATAGATCCGATTTGCGTCAAGTTTCCGTTTATTTTGGCAGAGAAGGACTATTTGGTATTAGTTGATAGCGTTACCTTCAGGTTTGTTTCTAAATTACTAAAGAACTGTATTTCGCTACTTTTTTTATTATAATTCCAAAGAAATGTCGATACCTAGGTTTATACTTGGAAACCGAAATTTATGGAATAATCCGCTGAAGATTAAGGGAAGTCTTCCATATCAAACGCTACGTGGTTATGCAAAAGCATCGAAGAAAACTTCTTCTTTCTCGATGACTGTACCCGAGGCTACCAAATATCTGCGAGCTTTGAGTGTTTCCGTTCCGTTTGATGGATCTTACGTTCTTTCTGTGGGTCTACGCACCCGAAGAGGACTTCCACCTGTTCGAGGAAAAGTGTTATTTCCTCATCCATTTCATGAAATTCCTAAAATATGCGTCTTAGCTGTTGGGGATGCAGAACGAGAGGCCTTAGAGCACGGTGCAACTTATGCTGGAGGAGAGAATCTCGTCCAAAAAATTATAGCGGGAGAAATAGAGTTTTCAAAATGTTTGGCACATCCTAGTGCTTCTCACTTGTTGCCTAAAGTAGCTAAAATTTTAGGACCAAAGCATTTGCTACCCACAACGAAGCGCGGTACTATAGTGGAAGAAATAGGTCCTGCTGTGGAAGCAGCCATGAAAATGACGGATTATCGGGAAGCAAATGGTGTTATTAATATCCCGATTGGAAAACTGGATTACGATGACAAGTTATTACAAGACAACATCGAAGCGTTGCTTAATAGTATACGCAACCATATTTCGCAGCTGTCAACAAAAGTTAAAGTTTCAATCAAAAATACACACCTCTTCGCTTCCAACACGATTTCTTTACCTCTTCCCTATAAATAATAACGCTTCAGATTCCCCCCTCCCCTTTCTATACTCTCATTGAACTACAGAAAAGACGCCCTCCTGTAATCTTTCATGTTTTTCCTATTTCCGGTTAATATACTTATTCTTCTTCAATATATTCGACTTGACAATCATATCTGAATTTACAAATTGAATATTATCCATCTATGTGTATGTTTAGCTTGCTATATTAGTATTTTCAGGAAAATATAAATTAGTGTGAATTTTTATTAACCATAGTGTAAATTCCAAAGTATTTCGAGCAAACTCAAGACATTTCTTCACTCGGTACGTCGCCATTTTGAGTATTCTTGGTCGGTATCAATTTCTATAGTGCTAGCACTTTCATCCAAATTATCTGCTGTAATCCATTGATGGTTCGGATCGGAAAGTAATGAAAAATCATCTTGTTCTTCATCAGAGAGTGGATCAGGATGTAAAGACTGACATGCACATAAAGCTTGGTAACATGTATCGAAATCCGATAGAAACAAAGTTATCTCAAAAACGGGTGACCATGCAGTATCGTCTTCAATTTCTGAGGCGTCGTTTGTTTCAGAGAATTCTCCGGCGCCATTGATCTGAAACGGAGGCTCTTGGCCAAACAAGCACGAGTAAAGGTTGGAAAGTTCATTCATGTTTTTAGATCTATATACATTTCCAGACTGGTCTTGCAACAAAGCTGTTACGGGTGTAGTGTAAGTTATGGACATAGACTTGAAATCATTCTCAGACATCGATGAAGCATTCGCATGGAGTAAAGAGCCATGTATGTCAACTATAACGATTTTTTCGCCATTCTTTCCAACGATTCCTTTTCTAAGAAACTCCTCTTCTTCGGACGTCGTTTTGCATGAACATAAAGACATAAGATCTCCCTCCAACTGTAAGTACACAAAGGGTTTTGGATTACTTTGTTTTGCATGCAGGGTAATTAGCTTATATGGAATTCGCCAACCGAAATTTTGCTCGGAATCAAACAAAATAAAAGACTTTGACGTTATATATACATTCAAGAGAGCACCAAGTCCCCAATTTACTTGACATGGGAAGTCAATTTTATAATTTACATTTGCATCCTCAAAAAACAAAATTTCGCGATCATCAGATACAGTTTCTCCAGTCTCGACTTTCCGTACAAGATCTTTTGGAATTTGATTAATTTTTTTTAGATCGGTCATTCTAATCTCGTCAAGTCACTCAAAATTGCAAAGTTCCTCCCAATACTCGGTTCCAACTATAATTACCTTTGGAAAAATTGGGAAGTGTTTATATGATATATATGAACATTTAATCTCAAGAGGGATTTGGTTGTAGTTTTAGAGATGACTTTCCTGTTATGAATTAACGAATTAAAATAAGCATATAAAACGAGTTTATAAAAGAAAGAGAGAAGTTACAAAAATTCGTAGTTTGAAGAAATTGCTCTTGAATCTGAATTTCTTTTCAATTTCTAAAATTGCTGATATACTTATTGAACTGAATTGAGCGTATACTTCATACATTGTCTACCTTAAATATCGTTGATGTATTCTTAAAACTGTACTTCGAACGACTTTTCGGTTTCTACCAAGCAAAGGTTTCATAAGAAGCGATAGAAAAGTATGAAAACGGTATGCTTAAATACTGGAGTTGCAGAGAACACTCACTCTTTTTGTAGCCTCTTATTAGCCTTGTATTTACGTATATACAATAGCGATAATTAGTTAATTTACGGAGAAAGATTCGAAGAGTCAGGGAATTCGAGACACTTCTCCAAACTCGTTACTCAAATAAGTAAAGATAATGAGCACCAGCGCTGTTTTCTTCGAATTTGCCTGAGGGTAGATTGATTTGCAAGTTTTTTTTCATTTTATAAGTAGGTTATTAGTGGAGCAGAAGATTGTAGCATAACATACATTATTGGAAATCTTAAAAGATTCTTTTTTAAAGACCAAAAGGAAATAATAATTCAATAAAACTCGTCATAATAAATATTCATTGTTATTTGGAGTTCGTTGATGAGGGAGATCCCGAAAACTGAGAATAGACACCATCTAGTTTATCAAAGATTGATTTCATTGCCTCTTCAGCGGTGTTCGATTTTGACTTTGCACCCAATGCTTTCATTGTATCACCATGGTTTCGATAAACTTTAGAATCTGAGAAAAGATTTGGTGATCCCAACATACCTTTTTCATCAAAATCAAGCGTGCAAAACCATATGAATCCCTCAAACCATTCATTCATAAGATTTGTCCATAAAAAATAGCGAAAATTAGGAGCCCTTGGTAAAATATCTTTCAGCTTGGATTCCGACAAAAACTTCACAGCATCATCAGTAGATACAGACTCGTCACTGATTTTTTTAAATACCGGAAGCGTAAATTGGGATATAGTTTCTAAAATAGCATCCATCTCGAGCTTTGAGTGCCATGACTGAAACCAAGCTTCTGTGGGAATCCAAGAATTAGTGGTCGTCTCTAAATCTTTACCAAAAGGGTTGGAAGTGCATCTTTTAAACATTTCAGCTTCAGACAGCCCTTCAGGAATCTTTCCCCTCAATTTCTTTGACATAACCCTAGGCTCATGTAAAAATACATCTTGTAGAACAGGAGGAACAGAGAACGAGATCAGTTTCGAAGATAAGTCGGAAGAACTATTTGTACGGCTAGCGGATGACAAGAACACGAAATCTTTAAGGTCAGAATCCACTGAATTAGTATTCAAATCATTACTTTCTGGCTTTGTTGGCTTTTTGTCTATGAAAACTTCGTCATTTCTTGAAGTTTCAAGGGAAAACGATGATTTTCGTTCCTCATCCAAAGCTGAACTTAGGGTCAGTGACCTTAAAGAAAGAAACTTGTGTTGTAACCGTAAGATAGAGTATGAAAAATTCGGATTTTCCTGAAACTTGTTTTCCAATATATTTGCAAATGCTTGCAGTAAATATTCCAATAGTAAATGATTACGCGGATTACGAATAAGAAAACGTGGCGAAGAAAGAGAGAAGAAGAGGTGCATTAATTTCGTACATGTAGGGAAAGATAATTTTTCAAGAAAAGGCGAAATGTTACACAGCGTCAATAAAATCAATGGTGACAGACTACTATGAGGTGATCCCTTCACTGCCGTGATGTGAAAACTAGACTAAAAATATTAGAAACCCTTCAATGTTAACAATCAACTTACAACAATGATAAATTCTGCGTATGAAATGGTCGAGAGAGCCGAAATTCCGAGAGAAGTCAATAAAGTCTGACTATTTAAACAAGGCCTGTTTAATTTCTCGCACAAAACTTTCTCAGAAGACAAATAATGAACGATAAAAAGACATAATTGGACCAAACCAGAATATTTAGGCTCATCTCTGTATCGTAAAGCGTAAAATTGAATAGCAACTAAAAAGTCTGAAGCATAAGAAGAGGTAGTTAAATAAGCTCGGAATCTCTAACAAATAGTTAGTAGACCTGTAAACTCAAAGCGTGAATCGTACATTGTTGTATAAAATTGCTTGCCAAACAAGGAGAATTAGCTCCGGGTAGTGAATAGAAGGCTTTTGTGACAAAGGAAGGTAGGATGTGATAGGCAACTGAACATTCAGTAAACGACAGCAATTATCAACCAGGAATTCGTAATCTTTTTGTAGGTGAAGCCGAGAAAAGTAGGCTCTGTATTGATTTTCAACATGACTATCCAAAGGTAGATTATACTTTCGTAGAAAATATTGTGTAGATGCTTTTGATGCTGTATAATCCCAAAAAATGAGTAACACTTGACAAGCTAGTTTCGATAAAGAACCGCTGGCGTCGTTAGAAAGTAAATTGGAATACGCAATTTTCCTGCTTTCAGCTCTCAAATTGATAGCCTACAATAATGTCAGTTAACATTCGAAGATCCATTTAGTAAAGCACTACTTACCGTGTTTATAAGCGAATAAAGAAAAATAAGGCTAAACTGCTTATTAGAAAAATAAGTCAAATAAGTCAAAGTATGAGAATTAGATTCCTCATCTTGATAAACCCGGTTGGAGATCAAAATCATGATCAGTCGGAGAACTTCAGTTCGGTTAGAAAGTAAATTTTTTGGCAATTTTGATGCTGACTCTTGGGAGCCTATTCCTTTATCCCTAAAAAAATTTAGCAATAGTATAAACAAAATTTGTCAGCTGCGCCTGTACATACCATATCCGAAATGTGAACTGTTCCGGACTTTCTTCAGGGAGCGTAAATCCACGACAAAACATAAGATTACACAAGGTATTTAAAAGTTCCTCCATTAAAGTCTTCTCATATACGTATGATTTATCAACAGGATTACCAAGTTTACGGCTAGAGGGCTCTTGAGCGGCTGAATCACCGGATGCCGGCTGTATAGATGAAGAACCAGTGAAAGGTACATCATGTTCAGTTTTTGTTGAAAGTTCTTTTTCAAAAGCAGATGTAAAACTTGCTAAATCCAACTCTGAGCTTTCCGTAGATCTCATTTTTCTTTTACGCAAGCTCCACCAAAACTTTTGATTCCAGTGACGCAGATTGGACTGTTCATCCAGCAATGGAATTACGCGCGTAAGCACACGAATACAATTTAAAGCGTCACTTGCAGGAGCACTTTCAACATTAGGAAACTGCTTGTTATTTTTGAGTGCAAAAAGTCGTGACGTTAACACGAGCAACAATTTCTCAATGTTCTCAAATTGGAACTCACGTATTCTTCGAATAAGATCAGGATGTAAGAAGCTGTAAACCTCTGCAGCACTTTCGGGTATGCTCCAAAACTACAATAGTTGCCGGTTAGCTAAACACAATTCCCGCACAATCTAACAACTTTATACTTACAGATACCCAAACATCATCATCTAAAGGTATGTCCTAACTTATGTTAGTAAGTCATTGCGCCTTCCTCTTGAGCATCGTGCATACTGAATCATCGGCAAGGCGTCCAATCCCCCGTTGGAAAGCCAATCTTGAACTTGTTAATACTCATTATTATTTCAATTCCTCTTACTTGGATTCTTGACCTCCCATTTTCCAGTATTGGCGCCAATTCTAGTGTTTTACTCTAGCAACGTCTACAATGAAGAAGCTTGCTCTTCACTTTCTCATTCCTGCTAGATTTGTGAAATAACGACACAGTATGTACCTCAACGCACTACAAATAGTAACGTTAGTATATTTTTATGTTGAATTACGTTTTTCGGTTTTGTATCTTATTTTTTATTACAATACATGCTACAGTGCAAAGCGATACACTATGTCAGAAATGAGAAAGTTTCCAAAATTAAGTGTACCGTAAAGTAGGCGTGAAATTTGTAATTATTTTCTTTTTTATTTTTTTTTTCATATTTTTTGTCTTCTTTCTACTTTGGAGTCGTGCTGATCAATTTTAATATTGCAGACTCATTTTGATTATCGCTACAACCGCATATCGACCTATTCGTGGTAGGCCTTGTTAACCTACCAAGAACCAACTACGGCGGGCCAACTTGGACACTCAAGAATGTCGCTCACGGTAGCTTTAAAAGCAAAGCCTATTGCCTATAGTGCAATTGCTTTTGCTGAATTTGTAAATGCTTCTGGCCTAGGTCATATTGCTACTAAATTTGAAGATGTCAGTTTGATTGACAACGCCGATATGGCAAGCAATGTCGCTATTGACTTAAATGACAACAAATCATATGGATCCGAAAATGTTGTCAAGAGTTTCCTTGAAAAGTACCCTGATCTTTTTCTGGGAAAAAATGAAGAGTCATCTGTCCAACCCTGGATTGAGTTAGCTACCGCCTTAGCTCCTTCTCACAACTTTGTGGAAGTCTCTAACTTGTTGGCTCAATTAGATGACCATTTAATAATGCGTACTCTCTTCGTTGGTTATTCATTAACCATTGCCGATATGGCTGTTTGGGGCGCCTTGAAGGCCAACAACATGGCTGCCGGTGCTGTCCGTACTGGTCAATTCCATAACCTTGCTCGTTGGTATAGATTCATGGATACCCAAAAACCATTTGCTGTTGCCTTGGAAAACTTCACTAAGTCGGTCAATGCCAGCAAGAAACAAAAATCTTCTGGTCCCAACTATGAAATTGGTCTTCCAGATGCTGTAGATGGTAAGGTTGTTACTAGATTTCCTCCTGAGCCCAGTGGTTACTTGCACATCGGTCATGCTAAAGCTGCGCTTTTGAACGACTACTTTGCCAAGAAATATCACGGTAAGCTCATTGTTCGTTTTGATGACACCAATCCTAGCAAAGAAAATGCTGAATTCCAAGACTCTATTTTGGAAGATATTGCTTTGCTTGGGGTTAAACCTAACGTCGTAACCTATACCTCTGACTATATGGATAAGATTCACGACTTGTGTATCGAAATGATCAAGTCTGGCCAAGCTTATGCTGATGATACCGAGGTTGAGCAAATGCGTGCCGAAAGAAACGAAGGTATCCCTAGCAGATACCGCGAGCGCCCCATTGAAGAATCTTTGGCTATTTTTGCCGAAATGAACAAGGGATCTGATTTAGGCTTGAAGAATTGTATCCGTGCTAAGATCTCCTATGAGAATCCCAACAAAGCTCTTCGTGATCCAGTAATTTATCGCTGTAACTTGTTGCCTCATCACCGTACCGGTACGAAGTACAAGGCTTATCCAACTTATGACTTTGCTTGTCCCATTGTCGACTCTATTGAGGGTGTAACTCACGCTTTGCGTACCACTGAGTATCGTGATCGTAACCCCATGTATCAATGGATGTTGAAGGCTATGAACCTTCGTAAGGTCCATGTATGGGAGTTCTCCCGTATGAACTTTGTGCGTACTCTCCTTAGCAAGCGTAAACTTACTGCTCTTGTTGACCATGGCTTAGTTTGGGGGTGGGATGATCCTCGTTTCCCTACCGTTCGTGGTGTCCGTAGACGTGGTATGACTATTGAGGCTTTACAACAGTATATTATTTCTCAAGGTCCTAGTAAGAATATTTTGACTCTTGATTGGACATCATTCTGGGCTACTAATAAGAAAATAATTGATCCTAATGCTCCTCGTCATACTGCTGTTGCAGAAGAGGGACTTGTGAAAGCTACCCTTACTAACGGTCCTGAGGCTCTTTACACGAAAGACCGTCTCAAGCATAAAAAGAACCCTAATTTGGGCAGCCGAAATGTTGTTTACTCCCGTGATATTTTGATTGAACAAGCTGATGCTTCTGCTTTGAACAAGGATGAAGAAGTTACTTTGATGGACTGGGGTAATGCTTATGTTAGAGAAATTAGTCACGACACTTCCGGTAAAGTTACCGCATTGAAGTTGGAGCTTCACTTGGAAGGTGATTTCAAGAAAACCGAAAAGAAGGTCACTTGGTTAGCTGATACCCAAGACAAAGTACTCGCCGATCTTGTTGATTTTGACTACTTGATTACTAAGGATAAGCTTGAGGAAGAAGATGATTACAAGAATTTCTTAACTCCTAAGACTGAATTCCATGCTTCTGTTTATGCAGACAATGCTGTCAAGGATTTGAAGAAAGGAGATATTGTTCAAATTGAGCGTAAGGGTTATTTCATTGTGGATACTCCCTTCGACGGTACTGGTATTACTTTCTTCAACATTCCTGATGGCAAGACTGTCAACCGTTACGGAACGAAAAATTAAATAGAAAGATTGGTGTACTAGATATTTTCTAAATAAAAAGACAAGGTTTTGGTTGTACACAAATCAATACTAAATATTTGGATAATTCCTAGTTTATTCATACTAAAAAGAAACAATCCATTTGTAAACTAACAAAAATGCCAAAAATTAAAGTCCATGTCCAAAGTCATAAAAAGATTGTATTCACAGGAATTCTAATTCTGAATTTGAACTTCGTTTAATTTTTTAGTAACATCGTGCGTTCCAGAATCAGGGCGATGAGATCTGCCACCACGTTTACCACCTCGGCCTCTCTGGTTTGGTGAATGGCCGTTAGAATGACGATGGTAATTTGGTTGTGACGACTTCTTGTTTGGCTTAAATGTTGGTTTAGAACTTCCAGACGGTAAAGAGGGAGTACTATGTAATAATTGAGCATTGGATGATCTTGACTCTGAGTTTTTAGCCCATGCACTGGTAGAAGGAGGAGGAGGAGTTGAATAGACTGAATTTTGCTCAGTTACAAGACGAGCCGAAGTTGTTGTCTTAGGACGAGGAGGGGTAGCATCACTCATTAATTTGTTCTTCCTAGCAGACCCAGCACGAGTAGTGACGACAAACTGAGGATCTGTGACGTTCAAAATCATTGATGGTTCAACTTGCATTCCTCTATACGGTGAGCATTTTCCATCGAGGGTTGTACCGCTCATAAATGGTAAGTCAAAAACAACGTCAAGTTGATGAGAGGCAATACTGACAACCGTACCGTAAGCAGCTATGGGAACTTTACCAGAATCTTGAACATATACAACACGATCACCCAAAGAGAACGTCTGACTGTGTAGTAATCCCTTAGTTTGACAAGGTTTCAATAAAGCATAACGAGGAACACCAAAAACTTTTCGAGGAACTTGATAAGTGGAATCGACAGACGAAGCTTTCTCTTCTATCATTTGAATACTTTCCGTATCCAAAGCATCTTCGTCCAATGCGACCCGGTAAAGTGAATTTATTTCTTTCTCTTTCATCCATGCCTTGACAGCTGTAAGCTTTCCACCTTCTTCCTTAGGAAATAAATCATTAGCGTTTACATTATCTTTAGTAGCATGGGTGGTTAGGGTATGAAATAACTGAGGGAAAGTATCCATATACTCCTTAATTAACGTTACAGCTTTATCTGAAAACTCCCAACCGGTACCACTTTTTCTTGAATATCCCAACACTTTCTGGTTTCGAGCATCGAATTTCAAATTCAAACCAATGTTTTCTCTTTTGTTGCCAACTGTAATAAGATAGCTGGAGGTGATTTTACTTAATAGCAAAGGATGTAGATTGAGCATTTTAGCAACAACGTAAGATGGGTAATACCTCTGCTTAAACTTGGAATCTTCTACAAGCGAACGGCCCCAAGTAGCATCCAAGCCAGGGGCAGTAGATAACCAAATAGCCAGTCGGTTATTTTTACAGCCAATTACCTGGGCAGGTCTGCCATAATTGTATTCGCCTAAATGAAATGCCTTAGTACCTGAAGGATATTCAACGTCAAGAGGAGGTGCTTCTTTTTCAATAAAGCGCGGATCATCAATAGCAATTTTATCAACAACCAACTGAATTGGGTAGTCATCTAAAACATTTTCATTAAAAGCTTTCACTAGAGCCCCTTCTTGCGTATACTGTAAGCCCTTAATAGGACGCACCTGCAACATAAGGCGCATATCACCAAATAGAACACCAAAACGCTTGTTATATTCCCTGTTTTTAGAAGATACCTTCCGTTCAAAAGACTTCTTTTCATACTCGTTCAACTCTCGCTGTTTCAACTCACCATTGATTTTTTGATAAACGACATTCTCATCCGTAGCGCTCTCAACGAGAGCTTCACGTAAATATGGCCAATCAACAAAAATTCTTCGACCAATATACTGAGAGGCAAGCTGCTCATTTGTCAACATCTGCCTTTGATCTTGAACATGAACGATTACACTGGGATTTTTACTTTCATTCCCAAAAACATTTATGCCATGCAAGGAAAGTTCGGCTGTATGCTTTAAGGTATGAAAAGATGGGAATCCTACCATACCAAATGCACCTAGATATACTCCCGGGCATAAACCAACCAAATACTGTTTGCCTTCCATAGATGGTAGCTGATATGGGCGTTCCACACATCTCGTAATTAAGTCAGGAAATATATAGGGCAAAGAAGAAGGGAACATCGATGGTTGACTATTTTCAGCCAAAGTAAATATAGTGGGAGGTTTAAACATGTTCCGTTCGCGTTCATTGTCTGTTAAAAGATTATCTCGAGAGTGTAAAGCATCCAACAGTCGACGTTCGTCAATGAATGGAATAATCACGACAGCCTCCCAACTCGCCGTTTTGCCATTCTGGTCTAAAGCGAAGTCATTGGGATAGAAATCTTTAATGGGGGACTCAGAATTGAACATAAGTTCTCTAAAAGCTGGAGGAACTAATTCACTGCTTCTGGACGGTAATACCGCCATTAATTGTTCGAAAGGACGGAATGGAGTACCCATCTCAAACTTAATGTTCGATCTCAGACCCTTAAAAACATCAGAAATTTTGGGAGAATAATGATAATTATAATACCAACCCCACGATTGACAACCACGGTAATAATAGAAGAGGACCCATTGTAATCCTTCGACGTACCTTTGAGTCATATCCCGCAAAGCATCTTCGTCAAAATAGCTGAAATGTACTTTGTCTCGATAATAGGCATCCTTCCATTGAATGAAGCTATCTTCAAAACCTGCTTCTTGCTTAAGTTGATCTTCATCTAGCAAAGGAAGCTGATCATATTTTTCCAGGATCTTTTCAACTTCTTCTTGTTCCACTTCATCATCGCCCTCAAACGACAAATCTTTGAATGCAACTCTCAGATGTTCGACGCCATCAACTCTGGTTAGTTTAGCACACGAAAGATGTAAATCGCTTGCAAGATGACGGATGAAACGTTGGTCGGCGCTCGATAAATTCGATGGAAAGTCTAAATAAAGGTCACGAGAAGATAAAAATTTGCGAATAGTTACATAAAATTCTTTCTGACTGACTGTAAGAGCCTTTATATCGTCAGTGAAAGTTTTAAGGTATTTTTGGAAGTCAAAGGATTGCTTTTCGTTTGCCGGTTGTTTTTTAGATTCATAAACTTCAGCGCGAAATACTTCTTTTTCAAAATTCTCAAGTTCTAGTAATATAAGCTCCAAACGATTCATATTTATAACGCCGTGTTCATTAATGTAACCGCCAGCACTCGGCATCACCTTCTTATAAATGTTAAACATTAAAGCTAAAGCACCTTCATTGATATGTAAACCTGGTAAGTGTGGAAGAAAATCATTACCAACGAAAAATGCCAACAAGATAAAATCATCAAGAATTCGTTCGAGATCGTACTTGAAAGTAAAGGATGAGCGACATTCCTGAAATTCATATTCTAAATATTCTCTAAGAAGACTTAGATGCAATAGATAAAATTTTTGATTTGCTAACTCAGTGGAACGACGCTTACTAGCTGGGCCAAAAGTAACTTCTTCTCTTAGTAAACAAAAATGAGGATCATGAGACAAAAGACCAAGCATAATTAAATCTGCATCTAAACCATATAAACAATGGCGTGTATTAGGATCATAATCCGGTTGAGCCTTTTGGGTACGAATGTACTCCATAATCTTATGTTCACCTTCACCAGGAGTATCATGTCCGGAGAGAATAACCTGGATGTTACTCCAATTGGAATCATTGGTAATTTTTTTATGAATAAAATAATACAGTTGGCGGGATACTCGTTCCATGAACGTGGTTCCGGGAGTGATGCAATTACTGTCAAAGCGAGTCTCTGGAATCTCTTCTCCATTTTTCTCTGCCTTCAAACGGGCATCATGAGCATCCTTCGCGGTTCTAAACCGACGACTTCTCTGTTGATTCATTTTTGCTCTAGGAGCACAGCCATCGACGGCCATATACAAAAGCTTCTTTGGCTTTATTTTTTCAAAAAGATGTTCAATGTAATTAAAAATAGCAATATACATTTCTTCTTCGGGTAGTGGAGGCGACGAATGATCATCATTTTTGTGAGTGCAATTGTGTAAGATACCGTTCATATCCAAGTACATGTTATCGAATCTGAATTATATGTGTTAGAATCTTTCAATAAAGTTCAACCGTCTCACATACTCTGGAATTCGATCATTTTCAATTAATTGACTGCACAACGGATATCGTTCGCTCATCCATCGAAAAAACTACTGTTAACATCGTTCTTTTCAGAAAGTATAACAAACCTTTGGGATTCCCATATCTACTATAGTATTTAATGCAAAAGATTTGGGTAGTATGGGTAAATTATAAATATATTATTATATTTTGTTGTTTGCAAATGGCAGTTGTCAACATGAATCGCGATTAAATCAGAACTACTCGTTATCCCTGTATAGAGGTCAGTATATGATATACGGTATGCTTACAAACTGCGTATTTTTCATAAATGAGCTCGCGTTGCAATTCATTATATAGTAAATATTACACCATGAAAGAATTTGTTGTTTGAGAGTAGACATGTGCATAGTGCTTTTAAGACAATAAATGAGTTACGACAGAAGCCAAAAGGAAAGCTTTATACTATAGTCTCATAATTATTTTGATTTACTAATGGATTTATACCAGTAGACTATTAACAGCTATGGAGACTCAGTATTCCTAGCGATTACTTAGCTGATTAAACAAGAAATAATATGTAGGACATGCAAACTACGTTAAGTTAAATAGAATGTAAAGAGGGGGCTGCTTGTAGATTTTTGAGTAAATAACATTCAGTAACTCGTAAACTGGTTGAACAATTAATACAGAATAGGATTGGGTATGTAATATGAGAAGGGGAATGAGAGAATCATTCTCCTAATCCTCTAATCACGTTGAGTCAATCGCAGCAGATTCGCTTCAAAGAGGATGAAAAATTAAAAAAAAAGTGCTGCATTTCACTAAAACCCCAATTTATGGAATCATTAAACAATAAAAATTTAAGTCTGCGAATGTTCCAATGTCGAACTATCCGGAAAGAGGTCTTCAAAAATTAATTAGTAACTTGGTTGAACAAGATAAATATATGAAACAGAAAAAACCCCATAATGTCTTCCTTCAATTTCTTTTGCGATAAAACAAAAAAATAACGTGCTAAAGTAAGTATTTGATCATAAACAGAAACGTAAGTTTCTTTTTCCTTTCTGCTTTCTGCTTTATTAACATATCTAAGCAATCCCTTGTGACCTGAAAATGACCAAAAACCTATTGCCAAAAATAAAAGAAGCATCCAAAAATACCATCTAAACGAGCCTGTTCATATGTACAGCATACTCTGCAATATACATATGCTAGTTTTTATGTAAGGATATCCTAGCAACAATTTTAGAACTTTCCAATTAAGCGGAAAAACTCCTCACGAGTTTTACTGCTTCTTTGAAAAATGCCGGTTAGACTACTAGTAACCGTGCTGCTTCCAGGCTTTTCCACTCCTCGCATCACCATGCACATGTGCGAAGCTTCCATGACAACAGCTACACCTTGTGGTTTCAGCACTGCTTGAACTGCTTGTGCTACTTGTTTCGTTAAACGCTCCTGTACTTGTAGACGACGAGAAAACATATCTGCAATTCTTGCAAGCTTAGATAAACCCAAAACTCGTCTACGAGGAATGTAGCCAATGTGAATCTAGAATGAAGTTAGTTTAATGCTTTGTAACATGTATTGGCACTGTTTATTGATTAAGCTTCTTACCTTTCCTGTGAAAGGAACCAAATGATGTTCGCATAAACTGAATACATCAATGTCTCTAACTATCACCATCTCTTCGTGATCTTCTTCAAAAACCGCATTATTTATAACTTCACGTAAATTCACTTCATATCCTTTAGTGAAATAAAGCATTGCCTTTGCATAACGTTCTGGTGTACCATATAATCCTTGTCGCTGAGGATCCTCGCCAATACACGATAAAATAGTCCTGACAGCCTCAGAAATCTTTTCAACTTTTTGATCTTCTTCTGTTTCGATTCGCTCTTGTGTTCCTTGACCTGATTACATTAATTGTATGTCCATGTAATGAAGTCTACTGCTTTATAGTCTGTTCATATTGAATTACTTACAAGGCCAGGACAAACCATCCAAATCCAAGGTTGGAGTCGATGCTCCTGATACTGATGCTGGCTGCATTCGTAATGGTGATCCTATGTAATCTTTTTTATTCGTTTCCATTGAGGAATTATTTGACTACGAGAGAAATAAGTCTTGAAAAGAGAAATAAATTGGTTTTTGAAAAGATTGAAAGAGCGATCACTGCATGTCATGTTACTCATAATAAGGGACTATAGTGAAATCACAGTGACTCTCGGTAATAAACTAAAGTTGATTTTGTTGTTTAAATATATCCCAAGCTTCATTAAGATTGCTAAAAGCAGATTCAGCAATTAGACGTTGTTCAACAGTTGCTTGTTGAGGGAGTTTGTCAGGGTGCACGCATGATATAGCCTTCATGTATGCGATCTTGACACGTTTAGTCAAAACCAAATCTGCCAAGGACACTGGTTTCCAACGGCATTCCGGCCACAAAATCGTATCCATAGATGATAAAAGAGCTCTAATGTTTCCTTCTTTACCACTTTTCCATCTGTTGATGAGCTGCTGAACTGGTTCACGTAATTGGTTTTTCTCTTCATCGATTTTTTCAGCCTGTTTTTGCTTGTCACGATATTCAGTTAATCTTCCTGAAGTCTTTGGTAATTCCAGCGATTTCCGGTTGGTAGATTTCGACGTAGTATTCATCGAATTTGCCTGTGAAGGTTGTCGACCAAGTGCTCGTTCACACCGACGTTTTCCCTCCAAATACAGATTGGTAACTCTGCCATTGGATAGTAAATCTGACCAAACCTCTAGAGCTGATTGGTACTTTTCTAGTTGCTCGAAGACTTGAGCTTTCCGAATCATACTTTTCACGTAGTACTCATTCATGCTCTTTTCGTTTATAAATTCACCTTCGCCCTTTCCTTGTCCTATAATATCCAATGCTTTTTGGGAATCTTGAAGACTGCTCCGTATATCACCAATCTTCATGTAACATAAGCTTCTATTGCATAAGAGTGGTATAGAGCGAGTATGACCCTCAGGAATATGAGACAAAGTTTTTCTAAAGATATTAATTGCCTGGTTAAAGTCTCCTTTGTGGAAGCAATCATTACCTTCTGTCTGACCTTGCTCGATAATAGACAGTGACATAGAGTCAATATCGACTTCTTCTCTTTGGATATCTAACGCCGATTTTTTGTTAGTATGATCCGATTCCCAATGATGAGAAGACGATGAATCGCCATGTGTCTGCTGAATATCAAGAGAAGGTTCTACCTTCTGATGGTTTATTGTTTCATTTGGTATTTCTATTAAAGAGGAGAATAAGTTATCATTAAATTCGTCAACATTTTGATGGTCTTTTTCGGGTACAGTCTCGGCAGGCATAACGTTTACATGCTCATTATTCGAAAGCGGGATGTCTAAATTGAGCTCTATTGTTGACGCAGCTTCACTAGACCTATCTGGAGCTGGTATTCTAGGATTGTGGTTATCGAAATCATCAGATACATATTCCCCCGTCATCCACCGAGGCTGGTTTGGATTCTTCAATGCTTTTCTTTCTTCCACGGCAGTTCTCAATTTTTGACGTCCAACGTTCCATAAATCGGTTGCCTTGGTGAAGAATTGATCTTTAATCTGGTTAGATACTTGCTGTAATTCGGACAATTTATCAGAGTAATATTGTTCGTTGTTGGATACTGAGTTGGAGGTCTGATTTTGAGGAGACCTGGGCTCTTGCTCCAAAATATAATCTATAGCTTCCTGTAAAGATCCAGTTTGTTGTAGAGCAGATCTGCTAAGAGTATCGGGAAATCCCATTGCGCGGAGTTGAGCATAATAATCACCGCCCGAAAGCGGTGAAGGGTTGTTTGTTAAAGAAGTTTCAGGAACATAATGTCCAATTTCTTTGTCTTTAATTTCTGGTGCTTCGGGAGTGGTTTGTTTTTCAGGCGACGAAGGACGTTGCTTAATTAAACTATCTTCATCTTGCAATTGAAAACTTTCAAATGCATTCAAATTTGAGTCCAGAACACTTAAAGAAACATCGTTTGCTTTGTTATCATCATCAGAAAGTCTTGTTTCAGTTTTAGGTAACCGATGGAGAACATCAAGATTACTGTAAGGGTCATGACTGATCGAGGAATTGGGGGAGGGAGATTCCAAAGTTTGTGGTGTTTGTGGTGTTTTTCTTTCCAATTCATTTAAAGAAGTATTCTTGCTTTCATTCTTTTTTTGAAAGAGATTAGCAAAAGGATCATGAGTTCTTCTCATATCTGAGGATTGTTTAGTACTGTGAGGTTTCTTAGGATTAGATACAGAAACAGGGCTATTTGAATTATTTATTATCTCTAAAGAATCCTTTTTTTTATTCTCATTGTAAACGTTACTCGTAAGATCGAAATTCAGTAAGTCATCCATCGCCAGCTTGATGTTGGAAAGGGCAAACTGCACTAGCCGATGTGAGTATCAGCAAGGTTGGTTTTAGAATCAGTTTTGGTTTTGAGTAATTTTTTCTCAGCCCAACTAAAAAGATTTGGAATTGCTTGCAATTCAGCCTTTTTTTGGAGGAAAAGCATCCTCTGCAGTTGTTCAAGCATTTGGGGTTCGTAGCGTAAACAATCAGATTGAAGCAGGTTACTAGCAATTGTTGTATCTCTTTTTCCAAATGGAAGAGAATAACTATAATTTTCCGGAAAAATATCTTGGTAAAAGGGGCCCAAATATTGCAATTGAGGCAGTAGCATGGAATTTTCATAACCACTGGCCTTTGACCCATGTTTGTAGCAACTATAGATCAAAATTCCATAAGGATCCCAATCAAAAATCCCGAATATTGGCAACTGAGGAAGATATTTTGTGATTTCCAGTAAAAACTTCCTAGTGGACAGATCTGGGAATCCTTTTGCCTAACATTGTCAGCCGGATTATTCAACATTAACATATCTATCTCTTACCGTCACTAATATGGTATCTTCTAATCCACGCTCTACGAGGGTTTGAAATACAGCTTCTTTTTCAACCACTAGAACCCATCGTGCGGTGGACTCTAAAAGTGATATAGAATGGTAGCTAATTAGGGTAGGCTAAAAACATTCAGTTAGAAATTTTGAAACTCTTTACTTATACCTTGGATGTTTCTAGCTTTCCTCCTTCTCGCAAGGTGATGCTTAAAGGGCCATATACAAGCCCTTTCCCTGATGCTTCCTAAGTTGAAGTTAGAGATCGATTGTAGGATGATAACTCTTGCAATTATTACCACGTTAAGTGCTGATCTAGGGCAACCTATGGTGCAGGCAAGGTCTTCGATCAATTCATCAACAACGAATTGTTTTTTGAATAATTGAACATCATGGTAAAATATATCTCTAACAATTGTTAGTGTCTAAATTGAAGTATTACGCGTTTACCTTTTCGTAATCACACTTTCGGTCTCAATTGCCTCGTGTATACAATCCAGGACCTGCAAAATCTGAGCAATTTTCGCGGGATGATTGATTATATTGTATTTCTTTGGACGAGAATTTTTTGATATGCTTCTTTTTGATGAGAAACCGCGATCATTAGCCTTCCTTTTAGAAAGACTTATGAATGCAGGTGTTTTGCTAGGATCTGCCAATTGTTTCAGAAACGACACGACTATTGCTTCAACTTTTTCTTTTACGTTGAAAAAAGATATTTTATCTTCCTCTTCCTTCGCGAATGTCATATTTTTTGCGAGTATCTGACTAGCGATTCGCGTTGCTTTGTTTACGTGTGTGAGTTCGTTTCATTCAAGGTCATGTATCTACAAAGTTGATAATTTTTTTTTATCCAACGTGTGTTAAGTGTAAGCTAATAAAGTCAAATTTATTTATTTCTTTTCAAATGTTTCAACGGTCAATTGTTTCTTTGTTTACGGGAATTAAAAAAAGAAATGAAACAAATAAAAACAATGGTCACAGCCAGGCTCGAACTGGCGACATTCGACTTATTAGATCGACATGATAACCAACTACATCATGCGACCATTTGTTGTACATTTAAAATGGTATGTTTATATATTGCTTGTTTCTTATACAAAGTATATCCAACAAATATGAATTGCGATCGTATGAAAAGATTCATATGTGATTTAAATTTTAGCAACTAATACAATAGACATCGTATTCCATATTATTAATACTAGGCTGGTGCTTAGGCTTTGAAAGACGCGTATAACTTGAGCTCAGCTAGCAAAGTTGATATTCATTATTTAACAGCATACCATCATTGTTAAAATCACAAGTGCAAAAAAAAATTAAAAAACTAAAAAAAACAAAAGGCTCGAACATTTTTTCTAAAAATCATAGAGTCCTTTCAACTTGGGCTAGATATACAGGAAAACAGAAGCGCCATACATAAAGGAATTTATGTATCATACAGAACCATTCTAATCAATCATTAGACGCTTTATCTTTATCATCTGCTCAATGAAGCAAGCAAACATTTATGAAGTGTATTTGTAGACGGATGTTAGTTTAAGACTTTACCCAAAAAGAGACTTTTCTCTTATGCCGGAAACAGAGTATAGAAATCCTTAAGCTTTTCCTTCGAATACAATACTCTTTTTCGTTATCCGCGAAGAAAAAGCTTATTTCTACCAATCCAATTCCAACCCAGCAAAGAATAAGTGAAGCTGTAGCAACCTATGTGTAAATGTAAGAAAGGGAAATATTTACGTAACCAAAGACATTATTTTTAAGGAATTTTTCCAATTCCATTGCACACAGGACAAATTTCAGTAAAAATTAAATAGTCAATCTGGCCTACACCTTTACAGTTTCCACAGAGTCGCCCAGGAATCCGAGGATCACCAGGCTGAACTACCAAAGCATTTGGTGGAGGCCGTCCAAAACTGATGGGTTGAACATCAAAGGAGTGTCCAAATCGACGGGCACATCTGCCACAAGGACGGCCACCGAATTTATATCCAGTATTGTTGCATTTTCGGCAAAAGTAACCAGGAGGGTATGGGTATGGGCTATTCACGGAATTGTTTTGTGGTAAAGGCGATGAGGAATAGGAGGAATGACTCGGAAAGTATGGCTTTCCAGTTCCAAGCGGATCTTGATTAGCGGAAGAATGATATGCCGATGAGTCGCTATGGTGGCTAGAGGATGTTGCATGGGAAGGTCGATGAGGAGGGCGAAGACTCGTTTGGGATGTATTGGAAGAATGCGATGGACGATACGGTAATTGTGGAGTTGAAGACGGAGCGGCATAATTTTGTTGAGAAGATTGAGGTTCTATGTTTCCTTGTGATAATAATTGGGCTTCTTCACGCATAACTTCATCATATGAAGGAGGAGGGGCGGAAAGATCTGCCATGATTCCTATTTTTTATAAAATAAAAATAATTATTTCCAATCGTTACTCTTTTTGTATGTGGACTTTGAAAATGGTAATACAGAGGTGATGTGAAGAGACCATCGATGACAACCCTTTGCCAAAAACAATAAATCGCCATATTGAAACATTTGTAATTCTAGCTCTACATATCTCAAATAAAGAATTTTTCCTTTGAAATGCATGTAAAATCAATTCTGAAAAGGACGCAGAGTGGCTCTAAAGCCATAGAGTCTGATCACGATGAAACAGACAATGAGAGTCTAAAACTTCCCGTCACTGCATCAGTGACAAATTCACAAAAACCTGCGTTGGATCGTTCCCTTTCCACAGAAAGTCGTAGATTACGATGGGATGAAGAAAATCTGCGTCTAGCTGAAGCACAAAAAACTTCTACGATGAAAATCTCCGAACCAAAAACTCCATTTCAACACACCCTATTATTAGATGATGAGGTTCCCGATCTAAGCTTGGATAATTCTGAAACTGAGTTGGCAGATGACCCGCTATCTACTCAATTACAAGTTCCTCCTATTTCTCAGGAACAAAAGAACGACGATACTAAGAAGGATGCTGTGAAAACACCAGATCCATTTCCAGTACCCAGAGATGGTCCAGTTCTTTCTCCGAAAAAGACGAGTTTTTCATCAGATTACCCTCAAGCTAGTACTTCAGATGCGGATCGAGCTGCTGATGTAACGCGAAAAAGTACCACTCGAAACGCGAGGTTTTACTCTCCTCAATCCTCTGAAAATTCTCCGTACCTTGAGAAGCAGATGAATGATTCGAATCCGAAGGTGGTAGCTGTCCGCACCAGACAAAATTCTCCTATGAAGGATTCCAAAGCTAGAACGCCTGGAAGAGAGGGCATTGGATTTGGTATACCTCCAGCAACAGAAACAACGTCAGTATTGCCAGAAGCTATTATAATGGGAGAAGAAAATGAAAGCATGGATGAAGGTGATCCAAGCGCTCATTCGTTTAATCAAGGGCAGCAAAAATCCAAATTTGACGAGCTTCGTCGAAAGCATTACTTCGCCATGGCAAATCCTTTGAAGAAAGAAAATAATGAAAGTAAAGGGTTGGAAAGTGATAATGATGACCCTGTAGGAGAAGACCAAGCCAATGCCGAAGAATCTGACGTTGAAATGGCCGAAGATTGAAGATGAGTTAGTTTCTATGTTTCTCATGCTGTCTTTTTTATTTAAAAAAAAATAAAAGAAACCCTGCTTCTTTAGCTGACGGAAGCTTTTCCAGGGTTGTTTGGAATGGACCAACTATGAAATTACGAACAAGTATTACTGAGTTTGATGAAGATTTATGAGCAAGACTGAACTACGTTTTTGATTGTATTAGCCTGAAATAAGGAAAACATTACTTTAATGTTACTTACTGATGGTTATTTATATTATATAGATCCAATACGACTCCCATCTGTTGGTATTAAGTATTATATTATTCAAAATATAAAATTGTCTTTTTACTTCCAATTCTTTTCCAAGACTCCTCTTTAAGTTGATTTGATTCAACTATAATCATGACATTTCGAGAATGAGGTTGACCGATGATTTAACGAAGTTAAGTAAAGTAAAGGAAAGAATAGTGTCATTATGCATAATTTTCCTCGTCGTGAATAACAGAAATAGAAAAAGAATGAAAAGATTTTAAGCAATCATTGAGGAAACCACGAAAATATATTCATTTATAGGAAGATTATTTGAATATCCCTTAGACACCCCTTCTACCAGAATGCTTGAAAAATGTTTTCACAATAAAAACTTGAAGAGAAGAAAGACCTACAACCATAATGGCCTCCGCAATACTAAACCATAAGATGCGAGACTCTGTAGATCGGACGGTAGAAAAGTTACGGCTTTCTCGAGTACGGAAGTAAGTTTGGATACGGTCAATTTCTGATAAAGCTGTAGAGATTTCCATAACAGTCCCTTGCATGCTGTTGGGATTATAACCCTTTGGTGGAGAATCACGGTTAAGAGAAGGAAGAGACATCTCGTTTTCCATAACCAACTCCATAGTGAGGATTTTGTCGGTGAAAGCAGACATGTGATTATCAAAGCAAATGTCGTATTCTCCCTTTTCTTCCAAAGTGAAAAAGATATCTGCCTGGCGTCGCTTCTTACCAAGAGCAACGCTCTTTTTGCTTGGAGCAGTGATACTGTAATCGACATCAAAAGAACCACCAGATTGAACAGCATAGGTAAAATGGCACTTTTCACCCTTGAAAGGGGCTTCTATGTGAAAACATTGTCGTTCTTGGTTTTCCAGTTGAAAGGTTAATTCAATGGCATGGACCCATGTCAAAAGCGCCAGTAATACTGTAAATTTAAAACCTAAGAACCTCATTTCTATTTATAGATGGAGAACACAGACTTATATTCTGAAACAAAGACTCCTACCTACTGTTTATAGTGTAACGCCGTTCAGGTATGGTCAATGTTGGTAGTGGGTAGGTAGTTAAGTAAGTCACCTAGTATGAGAAACGATGTCGCTAGCATCAATATAAGAATGACATGCTTGCTGATGAATATTATTATCAGTTCTGAATATACTCTTTTTTCTTTTATTTTTCATTTTTCCAGGGACGAAAACCCCCAACCCGAATTACACTCCCTTCAGTGGGAATAATGAGTGACTCATCAGAAAGCTAGCAGTTTCTATTTATCATTTTTTTAGTAGTGTGATGAATGCGTTAATATACTTGATTCTTCCAATTTCTATGGTACTAATTGACACAACTAAAGATGTATTATGTTTTGTACCTAAACAAACCTCTACTTCCACTGTACTCGAGTAACGTGAACAAAAAAGCATTTAAGGAAATACATATGTGTCTATTAACTTTTGCAATTATATGAGCCAGAATATCAAGCTTTTCTTTTTCTATTTATTTATTACTGCGTCGTGTTCAACTGTCGTATACGGGTTTGCAGTTTATGTTCAGCCGCGGTAAATGAATTTTATTAACATTTGTATGATTCAAGCGATTCTTCTACCAGTTACTGGAGATGCTATGAAGGATGGAAAACTCCAAAGGTTCCGTAAGTACAGTCTGAGTTGCTTTCTCTTTCTAACGTAGATTGTAGCTCCATAGTAGTTCCGGGTCTTTCAACAATCTTTTACCTCCCTTTGGACACCAAAGGTAAAAGCTCTTGAATGCAAGTTGTGGTCTATAAAACTAACGAAGCATTAAATTTAGCAAAAATGATAACCCAACTGACGCAATTCCTATCAAAAGTCCTTTGGAGAGACTTAGCACGTCGGCGGAGCCAAGTTCTCAACAAAACTTGACACGAACCCCAAAAAAGGCATTATCAAGAGCTGGCGAGACTTCATCTGTTGCTGCGGTGGTAAGCCCAAGACAATCCAAGCGTCTTTTTTCTGAGGTGTCAGTTCAATCCCGTAAGTTTATTTTCCTAATGGTTTGAAAGGAACAAAACAAGTGAGGACTCAGGTTTAACGATTATTAAGCTTTGGTTTTTTTGTTGTTTCTTTTGCAAGCCATCTTCATTTTTTGCTCTCTGTCCTTATAAAGCTAACTTTAGTCTCTTCCTCGCCAAAAGCAATTAAGGCGAGAGAGACGTAATATAGCGAGAAAGAAAAAACAAATTCAGTCTGTTGATTTACCATTTACAAAAGGTGGATACGGCGGCTTTTACGACTCGAAAAATGGAAGTTTAAAATTCACAAAACATGAACTTACGGTAACATATGCTGACCGGTTCCACACTCCTCCTATACATTTTCCGGTAAACCTTTTTAAGCGTGTATTTTGGCTTCAAGGGTGGCGAGACGCTCATGTTGAATCGCCCGTTCATGCTATACAGATTACCCTAAAAAATAGAGATATGAAGCGCATAGTACGAGGAGACTCAACAAGCATGCTTTTTTTGTATAATCCAAACCATGTTGAAGCGGCACGTGCCGGTTTGGATTTGTTTGACCAATCTGAATTCAGCCTTCTATCTCCTTCATCGGCCAAAGAATTTCAGCATCTGTTAACTGTTAAACAGCCTGCCTCCAACTCATCGGCTACTTCTTCTCCTTCTATTTCCCGTATAAAAAATGCACCTTCTAAATCTGTTCAATCTAGTCCTTCTTCTAGTCAGTCTCGTTCACACTTATCAAACAATCAAGTCGGTACACCTATTGGTAGCCCTAAAACGCCTAAAAGTGAAAAACTTCCCACTGTATCCATAGAGTCTTTGAAATCTACGCCGAGTAGGCCACCTCTTAATAGCACGCCAAGGTCGGCTTCCACCGCTCTCAAACGTATACCATCGTTACCTAGTGTTTTTGGAGAGAATTACGGAACTTTTTATAATGAAATTACGGCCTCACAGGAATCTGACAAATCTCTTGTTTCTGAAATCCCTTGTCAAACCCTTCTTATTTATCCCTTTACTGGTACAAATACCATTTCTGTGAACAATACTGATTTGGTTCGATTAAACGATGGTGAATTTTTAAATGATACCATTGTCGACTTTTATTTACGGTAATGATTTCCTTTTTTGCATATTACTAACATTCTTATTCTTAGCTATTTATATTGTAAATTAGAAAAAGAAAACCCTTCTTTAGCACAGTCAACGCATATTTTTAATTCCTTTTTCTTTAGTCGACTAATCTCAAAGGATAAGGATGGGTAAGATATATATGAATTCGCTTGGGAACCAAACTAATGCCCTCTAGTAAACGACTAGGTCAAAGTGGAGTGCGAAAATGGACGCAAAAATTTGATCTATTTACCAAAAAGTTTGTTATTGTCCCCATTAATGAAATGTTTCACTGGTACCTGGCTATTATCTGCAATATAGACCAGTTGGTGCCGACAAATCATAAAAACTCTTCCGAGGAGGACGACGAAATAACGGTACCTTCGACGCAAAATGATAAGTCGGAGAATAAAGTTGTTCTTACTAGTAATAGGTTTGTCGTTACAAAAGTCAATGTCAAGATGCTTTTACTAACTATGTTCGTATAGTCCAGTTATATTGATCTTTGATTCCTTGGCAAACATGCATAAAGGTAGTTTGAAATATCTACGAGATTACTTAATTGATGAGGCCTGGGAAAGGAAGAAAATACAATTGAAGCCCACAGATATTCGCGGGTTCCATGCCAAAGTACCTCAACAGAGTAATTTTTCTGATTGCGGTATTTTTGCACTTCATTTTGTAGAATTATTTCTTGAAGCCCCTCAGCAAGTATTATCAGATATCTTGGACAAGTCAGCAAGACAAAATGTATCCCAAAGTTTTGATGAACGCTGGAATGTTCATAAAATTAATACTAGACGGGAAGATATAAAAGGTTTAATTGGAAACTTATCTAAAGAATGGATGTCTAAAAATAAGGACAACCAACTGTCCTCTGAAAGTTCGAAGGACAACAATGATGACGATGATGACGACCTTACTGTTCTGTAAATTAGCTAGGTTTTTAGATAAAAAGGGATTTTAGGAATTATAAATTTAAATATTCTATTCATAAATAATTGTTAGACTAAAATTATGCACAAAACGATGTTAATTAATAAACTCTAAAAGGACATATACGTAAAGTAAAACAGAAAGGTTGATTATCTTTTTCGATTGTATAAATGCTTTCTGAACAAAGCGTGGTGCTCTTTATTGTCCTTCCGCAATTGTTTGTTTGCGCTCTTATTATATTCGACATACGCCATATTATCACCACCTGCAAGTGTACTTAAAGAACCACTAGTCCGCTTTGCTTTAGCAGGACCTCTTGGCATCCTAGTGCTAAAGCCAGACGAGTCATCACCGTCGTCTAAATTAGCAGCTTCTTCATTCTGGAGTAAAACTTCCTGCAGAAGCTCTAATCGTTCAGCTTTCGAGGCATAGGCCAAATTCGGTAAATTCTCCATTCCCTTCAAATTTGTAATAACTTTAAATGCATACCCTTGATCTATCAAAAATGCTTGTCTTTTACTAGAATAAAACATTTCTTGGGTATCCTTTGAAACTAAACTGTAAAAGAAAGCATTAAATCCAGCATCATTTCTTCTCTTGGCACGAAGAATACGACCTAAACGTTGAGCTTCTTGCCGACGAGAACCATAGTGTGAAGAAATCTGGATTAAACATGTTGCTTCAGGAAGATCAATTGAAGTGTCACCAACCTTTGACAAAAATATAGTGTTCACAAGTTCGTTATACTGGAAATTTTCCAAAATACGCATTCTTTCCAATTGAGGCGTACCACCGTAAATGAAATACTTTCCTAATTTCAATGCATACGCGCGTAAAGCATATACATTATCAGAAAAAACAATAATTTTATCGCCTCTCTTTTCATGGTAATCGATCAAAAACTGACAAGCTTGAAACTTTTTCGGATTCATAATATATAATAACATTCGTTTTCTTGAATTTTCCCTCAGATATTCATTGTAAAATTCAGTGGTCATTGGACACCACACTTCGGCACACTGTACATTTGCAATATGTCCTTTTTGAGCAAGATCCATCCAATTTGCCTCGTACATTTTAGGACCAATCAAAAAATTTAAATCATCAATTTTATCATCTTCACGGACAAGGGTAGCCGTCAATCCCAGTTTGGAATGAGCGGCAATGGTAGTAACGACACGACGAAACATGGCAGCAGGAACTACATGTACTTCGTCTAACAAGATAAAACCCCATTCACGTCCAGTTAAGAAATCCATCATTTTCTGGGAATCGTAAGAACGATTTCTTGTATTGGCAACCATTGAATATGTGGACACAACCACACCAGCTTCACTATGAAATCTTTCCTTATGGTCAGCTGTAAAAACCGCAATGTGATCTGCTTTGATGTTACTCCACTGGAGAAACTGTTGACGCCATTGCATTACTGAAACAGAACTAGTACACAACACGATAACAGACTTTTTGATAGTACAAGCAGCGGTAATGCCTACCAAGGTTTTTCCAGCACCGCAAGGTAATACAATAATACCACTTCGAGCACGACCGTTACCAAACATCTTACTCAAACTCTTTTCTTGATAAGGACGAATTTGAGTACTTGGTTTTAAATCAATAGGAAGGTCCGGGTTGATGTTATCATTTCTAAAATCATACTCCTCCAATAAAGGATAGTCAATTTCGGCACATCTCTTCTTTATAGTTTCAACAGAATAGTGTTTAATTTCAAAAAGGTGAACAGCATCTTCGTCATCCTCTTCCTCTTGTAATCCAACAACCGCAGAAAACAAAAAGTCAGAAGAATCCTGCCCGTTTTCACCTGAAGTTTCATTTTGTTGGTTTCCAGTTACCGAACTAGCTTCTTCAGAATGTTGCTGTTCTTTCGAAGATTCTGGCTTCGATTGTGAAGAGTCAACCCGAAGGGGACCAATAATAGGATCTTGAAGTAAAAGACGAAGGACATTAGCATCACCACTCTCAATAAAGTAGCGATTTTTCTTCAACACTAGTTTTACCTTGCCGTAAGACACGGTACATGCACGAATAAATTCAACGATAGACTGAGGGATTGGAGTTTTTGACAGGCGATCAAGAACGCTGATAATATCCTCCGTTTTCAAACCAACACTGACTGCAGCATATAAAGAGTAAGTAGTAATTCTGTATTCGTGGATGTATGCTGGGCGTGAAACAGGTTCTGATATGGTGACTAGGAAATCAATGGCTTGTTCTGCCAAAGGAGAAAAAGCTTCTAAAATGACACGCCCATCGACTGGATTAATCCATAGTGGTCTTGCTTGATGATCGAGTTTCAGACCTAACAGAGCTGAGAAGTCATTCTGTCCGAACATAGAAGAAACACCAGTGGGAACTTGCTGAGTGTTCCGATCTGTACTTTTAGCTTTTGAATTATTCGTAGAAGATGCTCGAACTCTTGCAGTAGGAGTGTACAAATCATCATCATAATCATCGCCTTCTGAGTAGTCGCTGAATTCCTCCAAATCCTCGTCAGGAGTACCCTCTCTAGCCTGATTTTTCCTTTTGACACTCATTATAATTTATTTTCAAAATCTCAAAACAAGGATTTGGAAAAGGGAACAGATGCTTCAATTACAAAATTGAGAGCTCTGGTTAAAACTGAAATAAAATTAGTCAGAACAGTAAACCAGCATTCACTAGTTCTTCAGTATTTCAGTTTGAGAAGCTACGAAACCCCCAAAAACTATTTTTTTTTAAATAGGTGTAGTGAATTGTGGATGGCAACTAGTGGAGTGCTGGGGGGCTATCCATATAGGAATTAAGAAAAAACGTATATTGCGTTGCTATCATTATACATTTATTAAAATCATGAACTTTTGAATTCCTTCTTAAACATTTAGTGAGAATTCACAGCAAAGGTGCTGAAGGCGAGTACCCTGGAGCCAGACGATGAAGTGTTTCCGATCGCTCCTTTTCCTTTTTTAATTTCCACTCTTGGTAAGGCTTTTTTAGATCATCTACAAAAGACCATTCAATTGGATCTGGCAAATTCAAGTCGTCTACTGGCACACGTGGCTATAAAGGTGTATTAGCACAGTTTTAATATAAGTACAGTTTTAGCTTACAATTGTGTCGACAGAGCTTTTTTTTAATTCATTTGGATCAAACGGAGGAGTAGGGATGCTAGGAATTAAATCTTTATTCGGGACCCTATGATAACTCATTTCAGCACTTTAGCTAGTGGTTGGGAAATGGATTATTTAGTAATATAATTGAATGTGAGCCTCACAGTTGGAATATTCGACGTTAATTTAAGAATCTTTTAAAAATTCTTCTTTCTTATTTATAAATACGCTTGCTTGGTGATATGAGCGATTATGATTCAGGTTGCTAAAAACTAACTTCACTGTAACATGAAATGTTCTTGACGAAAGCAGAGAAGCAATATTCGTAAAAAAATACAATTTTACTTTTATAAAAGTATCCTCCTTTGTTGGTTTTTTCTCTTGTTTTTATTGCTGAAAAGGAAACCAGAGTAAGGATCGACATTTGTTTACATCTTGTCGATCATAGTAAAATTATTGCGGTTCTTGCTTTGTATTGTTTTTTATCGTAAAATATAAGGAATATGTAATTTCTTTTTTTTAAAAAAATCCCGTTTTCTTTTGATATATCTTTATGGCTTCTGTCTTGAATATTCATGTCCTAAGTAGATCACTTGAGTGACATTCATTGGAACCACATGAACCGCTCCCTTGAGGTATGGTGAATACACTTTTAATAAGGGAAATAGATTTACTTTCTATTTCTTAGAAAGCACTCAATGCTTTTGGTTTTGGTTTTCATCTCCAATCGTATATACTATATGATCTGCATGAAGTTATGATCTGCGTCTGACCGAATTTTATTTTTTGAAATTTTCAGAAGAGAAACTAGATCGTTGGAAACGAATTGTCTGTTCTGAAACAAAATCGTTGAAAATGCGTGCAAATTATGCTCAAGGCGTTGATGTTTATTACCAAAAAAGTGGATCTACCTACCGGTATGTCAGTCACTTTCCGATGTACAAAAGAGGAAAGGACCCTTTGTATAGGAAGCGAAAATAAATGGCTAATTACGTTTCTGTTTAGGAATCTTCACTTTCATGCTTTAAGGCCTTTGACTATGGATTGCTTGAGTCGTTTCTGGGATCACGATGAAAAGACTCGTAACTGTGGATTTCATATAGTTGACTTGGCTTGCGGTAGTGGAGAAATTACCCAAGTGGTTAGAGAATGGGAATCATTGGGAAAGAAGGTACTTTCCGAAGGCGTTGCTTCTAGGACTAAACGAAAACTATCTGTTCGTGAGATTCCTTCCAACTTTCCACCGATTCAGATTGTAGCAGCGGATCCCTACACCGGAGAAGCTTATAAAAACAATGTTGGAGTGCCTTGCTTTAATTTAAACTTTCAGGATATTGCGGATGGTAAATTACCTCCTTCAGAAGGAGAAGATGGAATTTACGACCTGGTCATTTGCTCTTTTGCTTTACATTTGCTGACGGATCCATCAAAGTTATTCGCTACCTGCTATGCTTTAGCAGCCCAATGTAGATGGCTTCTTATTGTTGGTCCTCATAAGCAGCCAGTGTTAAAACCGGAATGGGGATGGATACCTTGGAACATAGAAACTTGGCTTCCACTGGATTATGGCGTTAACCATGACCATGTTATAGAACGGGTGCATGGTCGTTTTTTTCAAAGTATAAACTTCTTGTAACTTGAAATTATGTGCATCTACGAGTTGATTTTACCTTTGCATGAATTCTCGGGCAGTTTATTGACTCTTTTCGCTGCTCTCTTAAAAAAAAATTCTTTTTTTATTTCATGTTTTTCTTTTCTTTATGACTCTCTTAAAATAAAGAAGTGAAAATTCAAATGTTTCTGTTTTTCTGTGGTTTGTTGTGATTATTTAAATGTAAACAAACAAATTGCTACATGTTTGCCTTGCTTTTTCTTGTGTTCAGACAAACATTAACTCTCCCATTTTTGGTTGAAATTTTTTTCCTTTTTAGAACTATTTTGTTCTTCTACTATGCGGTTTGTTTTTTTATATTGGGTGTTTTTTGTAAGACTTCTGGTACATGCAACTTATCGGTACGGCAGTGAATTTTTACATAACTTTCCCGACTCAAAAAGGACGCTTCAAGACTGGAACGCAAATAGATTTCAGGAATATCGCATTAAGTCATCTATATCTGTCCCAGTAGACTCATTATTCCCGTCACATCAAACCCTATGGTTGGGCATAGAAGCTGATTGTAGCTACTTGTCCCAATTTACAAGCCGCGTAGAAGCAAAAAAGCATATTTTACAAGAAATAGAAAAAGTGTCTTCCCTATATGATCGCTCCTTTCATGTATACGTGCAGGTACTTCAACTAACTCTACCTTCTTCTGAAGACTGCTTCGTTAGAAAATCAGTGAGCGAAAATGGGGCAGGGTTCGATAAAACTGCTTCTTTAGAAGAAAAGCTGAACTCTTTTACAAAAAGAAAAACGGATACGAAATTTGAGAAGAACCATTTAATACCAAATCCTAAGTATCTTAGCTTGCCTTCTGAAGATGCTACCAGCCAAACTGTTTCTCCACAGGCATGGCTTTTGCTTACAACCTCGAATGACACCAAAGAAAAAGGAATTTCATGGTTTGCTACTATTTGCAATGGTTTTACCATTGAGGATGGATGGCACGTAGGCCCATCTAGCGTTGTAGCGGCATATCCAAATGACTGGCCTGTTATTGCTCATGAGCTAGGGCATATATTTGGATTGATCCATGATTGTGATAAAAAATCTTGTCAAGATCCAAACGAAAGCTGCTGTCCTCTTTCGCAAGCACTTTGTGATGCACAAGGCTTGTATGTCATGCATCCATCCAATTCCTACCCAAGGCATAGGTTTAGTGATTGCTCAATATTACAGCTTCATTCTTTATTAGCGAAAAACTACATTTCGTTTTCTTGCCTGTCTAAACCATCAGAGGATGTAGGCATTAGATTAGGTATGTCTTTGGTGTTTTCGGATGTGAAATTATTAACTTAAATAGGAATGTGTGGTAATGGCATTGTTGAAGGCGATGAAGAATGCGATTGTGGAGACGATTGCAGTCAAAACCCTTGTTGTGATGGGAAAACCTGTAAGTATGCTGCCGGCGCAGTCTGCGATGATTCAAAAGATAGCTGCTGTAAAAATTGTCAATTAAGTCGGGCAGGAATGGTATGCAGAAAAGCATCAGGATCGTGTGATAAACCGGAATTTTGCACCGGAAAATCCGCAGAATGCCCTAAAGACGAACATTGGGAGGATGGAAGATATTGCTCTTTGCCTAATGCAAATGGTTATTGTGCTTCTGGTAAATGTACCTCTCCTTCAGAACAATGTCGAGAGCTCACTAACTTTAGCGTTTCGGCTTGTCAGCCCGGTAGCTGTAAAGTTTCTTGCATGAATGATAACGGCGTATGTTACTCCAGCTCTATGAATTATTTAGATGGTACGCGATGTGCAGGAGGTTTATGTTATAATGGAAACTGCATTCCTGTAGAAGAGACTTCGGCTGCAACATGGCGAAAGCAGCCCTCCCTCTTTTGTGCTTCAGCTACCATGCTTATATCACTAGCGCTTATAGCCTGGTTTTTCTGGTAGTTAAAGCCTTTATAATTATTTGGAATGCATGCCCTAACGTTTTTATTGCATTTGTACTTATTAAGCGCATCTTTCGTTCAATCGATGTGGAGCTTATCTAGTATATAGAGTTATAAAATCTCAATTACCCATAAATCCGACTATATTCCTAAACCATTACACATAGCTACATCAAAATTGTTAATTTTACAACCGGTAATTTGAAACCTTTTATTAATCTTCTCCAAAAGACCAGAGTTAAGAGTAAATTTAAGCAATATCCTTCTTGAGAGTACCCATGAATTGTCTGGCTTCGGCAGGGGTTTGGAAACGTCCATGACCGAACTTGGAAGCAGTGTCGATCCATTTGAGGTTGACAGCCTCCAAAGCCTTACGAGAAGTGTGGGTGATGAGAGACTTACGGATGGTCATGATACGCTTAACGGGACCAGGAGTAGCACCGTTCAACATGATGTAGTCATTGTCGACAGCACCATAGCGAACGAATCCACCCATAGGAGTGATACGCTTCTCAGTGGCATCAAAGTCAGTAGAAGCGTTCTTGCTGTCTTCACCAGAACCAACACGGTAGATCTTGGAGTTCAATTGGGTACGGTGCATGTAACCGGCGTTACCAGCACGGGGAACAGTCCATTGGACGTTGGCAGGGTGCCAAGCACCGATACAAGCAACCTTACGAAGACCACGGTGAGTCTTACGAGGAAGGTGCTTAGTACCCCAACGGCCAGTGGTACCTTCAGCACCCTTACCGCGAGTGACAGCAATGACATCGACCATTTCGTTTTGTTCGAAGGTGGACTTAACGTCGACGGTCTTTTCAAAGTGTTCACGGGCCCACTCAACCTTGTCGGCAACGGAACCACCGTTGATTTGAATTTCCATAAGGTGGGCCTTCTTTTGAGCAAGAGGGGTCTTACGGATTTGAGTGTGGGCAAGAACACGAACAACAGAGCAGTACTTCTTGATACGCTCGAGTTCACGAGAAAGAGATTGAGTGTTCTCAGAGTACTTCTTGGCGTACTTAGTGAAAGCCTTCTTCTTGCTCTTGAACCAGTTCTTGTAGAAGCGGCGCTTGACTTCTTCAGACAAGTGCTCAGCCCAGACAGTGGTGAGGGAGCGGAGACCACGAGGAGTCTCGACATAACCAACAACACCGACAACAACCATGGGAGGAGTCTCGATGACAGTAACGGCTTCGAGAATTTCACGCTTGTGCATCTTAGAGCCAGGGCGGTCGAGATCACGAACAATATGAGTCATACCAGCCTTGTAACCAAGGAAGGCAGTCAAGTGAACAGGCTTGGAGGAATCATCCTTGGGGAAAGCCTTCACCTTACCGCGGACACGGGAGGCACGCTTACGGGGCAAAAAGCCAAGGGAACCGAGACGAGGGTGCTCGTACTTGCAGTGAGACATTACAGCGACCGCTTTAGTTGGTTATGGAACAATATTTTTCACCAAAAATGTTAGACCTCAACATACTGTGACTGGCACACAAACCAGGTTAGGGTTAATGTTACTTGTTACTTGGCAGTGAAGTAGGAATTGCAATTATAAACACAGAAAAGGTGACTTGGGAGTTGTACTAGTTTTAATTAACTTAAGATTTATTTGATTTTATTCAATTAAGTAAGTTGGTAAACGTTTGGTGTAACGACCGTTTTGCCCAGTAAACAATAAGTACTACTGCATTTAAGAACAGTAGGTTCTTGATTCAAGCAAACTATATAGAAGAAGAATAACTTGCTTTATTTTCATTCTTATAACCGTAATTTCTGGTGCTGGTGCATTAAGAAAGCTTCATTGTCCTTAGCTAAGCGCGGGTTACTTCTCTTTTAAGACAATTTAGAAACGAAAGATCCAGTCAGTCCTGCTTCAGTTTATCTTTTCTGTTCGTAAAGACTGTACATATATAACTATAATGAAAGTTGGTATTCAGGGCTGCTGTCATGGCATTTTGGATAATCTTTACTCCTTGGCTAGCAAACATAATGTGGAACTTTTAATTATAGGTGGAGACTTTCAAGCAATTCGAAACTTATCTGATTTTCATGGTATCTCTGTTCCCCAAAAATTTAAGCGTCTAGGCGATTTTCATAAGTATTACTCACAGGAGAAGATTGCCCCTATATTAACCGTATTTGTCGGTGGTAATCATGAAGCTAGCAATTATCTCGAAGAACTGTATGTGCAAAATGAATTTCGAAGCTAGAGAAAGCATTAACCGAATTGAATAGTCCTTTTGGTGGATGGATTGCACCCAATATTTACTATATGGGAAGGTCATCTGTAATTCGCGTTGGAAACTTACGAATTGGCGGTATCAGTGGCATTTATAGCGAATTTGATTATCGAAAAGGTACGTACATACCAAAGTGAGGCTGTTTCATATCTAACGTTACATTCATGATCTAGGCCGATACGAGCGTTTGCCCTACGAATATAAAATGCTCAAAAGTGTCTACCACACTAGAGAGTTTGACGTGCTTTCTTTAAAATCCTTTCGTTCTCCTGTTGATATTTTCCTTTCGCATGATTGGCCTCGGGGAATTGAACAACATGGCGACACAATCAAACTATTGAAAAACAAGCCTTTCTTTCGTAAGGAAGTCGAGCGAAATGATTTGGGATCTCCAGCGTTAGAAGAAATTTTAAACTCTATAAAACCAAGACATTGGTTCGCGGCTCATTTGCACACTCGTTTTGCCGCTACTGTTCATCATAAGGATGGTTCACCTCCTGTCCACAAGGACATTTCTGAGCTATCCCATTCTAAGGAAGAGCACAAAATAACAAAGAAAGCTCGTATTGAAACGACTCCACAGACCGATCTTGAACATGCAAACGAAAATAATGATCACAGTAACGATACTAGCCAGGCTTGGTCAACTTCTACTACACAATTTTTAGCTTTAGACAAATGTCTTCCAAGACGTTCTTATTTTGAAGTCCTTGAGATTGACCCTACAGAGTCCTTTCAGGATGGCGATCTTTACATGAAATACGATCCTGAATGGCTGAGCATCGTCCGAGCAATGATGCCATTTCAATCAAGCTTAGTGAAGCAGACACCTTTACCATCTATGGATGAATTACAAAAGTAAGCTACCACAAGTCGTTGCCTGTCATACTTACTTACCTAATTTAGTTTAATCAAAAAAGAGAGACAGTGGATAGAAGATAACGTTGTCCAGAAAAACAAGTTGGGCATTCTTCGAAACTTTACCCCAACAGCTCCTTTTCATTCGAGTGGAATCACAGAAAAAACTATTCGTAAGATTCTTCTTTCTTCTTTTAGAAAGTATTACTAATTTGAATTTTTAGCTGCAACTTATGTAAATCCTCAGACTACTTCCTTTTTACAGCTGATCGGATTGCAGCCTGAGTGCAATGAACCTTTACCTCAACCTTCCATAAAAAATAAAGATGAAATTGATTTATGAGATACATTGAGTTGTGGATTTGGTTAATTCTCTTCGTCTGATGCAATTGTTGGTATAGCTGTTTTTCTGTCGGATGAATGTATAGTATAAGAGTGAAAGTATAACTAGTGATATAACAAAACCAAAAAAAAAGCCAATATAAATGCTTCTTGTTTAATTTAAAGATTTGTATGTTGGCTTTTTCCATTCGCTGATTAAAAGTATATTAACAAAGAAATCCCCAATACTTTCAAGATTGGAGTACTTCTTTAGTAATTTCTGAGTTTTATAGTTTTTAGTGTTTCCTTCTATAAGTCCTTGTCGACACAAATACATTTCCTCATATGTATAGAAGTTTCGACGCGTATATTTCTGCCAAGAACCACCCACAATATATATAAGCTACGTACTTCATCATGGTAAAAAAGACAAATACAAACGCGAATAACTACATAAAACAATTTGAAAAGTTTTCTGAAAAAGAAGTATCGGAAGCAGTTGCGTATTCAAATCGTTTACTGGAAGAGTGTACATTAAAGACGAAACAACATCTCTCCGATGCAATACAAGGGAATGATTCACGTGAAAAATCCGATTATAAGAATGAAACTCTTTTAATAAAAACTTTGTGTCAGCACTTTCTGTCAGAATTGGAAGCCACCGAAAGTGAAATGGCTGCCAATATGGCATGTATACAAACTAATTTACAGTCGATCGACAGAGAGAACGGTAAAGATCTGTTAAACATATTAGAACAATTATCAAAGGAGACATCAACAGCCCAAAAAGTGTTAGAATACAACGGGCCTGAAACTCAACATCAGCTAATGCAAGGGTTACTAATGTGCATGGAATCCGATTAAATGTTTGCTTTGAATTTAAACAAGTTTCGAATGTTTTACTGATGAATAAATTTCGTTATAATTCTTAAACAGTCTATTTATCCGCTTTGTACCGTGTTCCTCTATAATTATTTTGAAACTGTTCCTTTAAACGATCATAATGTTCCAGTTCCGATTCTGATACGCTGGGATTTAATTTCTGCAATGCAAGTTCAAAATCAGAGTGTTGAATACGTAAATCAAGAATATCCTGTCCATCATGACATTGTAAAAAGTCCTCAACAGATACATATGCGCGTGAACTTTTGACGATCTCTTCTATCTCAGTAGTTTTCCGTTTTAAGGCGAGGGAAAGAGCATCTGCGCACAGAGCATAAAGGTCAGCTCCCGTAAGATTATTTGTGCATTGTTTTGCAATGTCATAAAAATTGACGTCTGCATCTAGCTTGAATTTTCTGGTAATAGTGCGAAGAACTTTTTCACGAGCATCTATAGTAGAGTTGATTCCAAGATATACCATTTTATCAAACCGCCCTGGACGAAGAAGCGAAGGATCCAACAAATCCGGTCGATTAGTTGCTCCTATAGCAAAAACAAACTTGTCCGACTTATGAACTGAATCAAGTTCTGCTAAGAGTTGACTAACTATTCTATCCATGACGTTGCCACTATCGCTAGAATCTCCTCTTTTTGGAGCGACTGAATCTAATTCATCAAAAAATATTATACAAGGCGCCGCGTTTTTGGCTTTTGTAAAGATTTCACGCATGTTGGCTTCTGATTCACCAACGTACATATTCAAAAGTTCAGGTCCTTTAACACTCAGAAAACTTAAAGAGAGTTCTGTAGCTACGGCTTTGGCCAACAACGTCTTCCCGGTTCCTGGGGGTCCATATAATAAAACACCTCCTCGCATGTTTACCCCTTTACCAAATAGTTCCGGCCTTACTAAAGGCAAATGCAACGTATCTTTTAATACGTTCTTTGCTTCGTCTAGACCTCCAATGTCTTCCCATTTTACTTTTGGAATCTTGAAATCGCCAGTTAGGCATTCTTTTCTGTGAATGTCAATTTCTTTGTAAATATCATGTTCAGATACAACGGGACCAGAGCAATGTATGGAGTATTCAGTATGATTTTGTCTGAGATGCCGTATGGCTCTAAGTAATGAAGTTTCAAATAAAGTACCTAGTAGGTGTAAAGGAAATGCACTCGTTGCTTTTGATATCTCAACCAAATTAACGTTTTTCTCAACGTGAAAATTCTTAGAAAATACTCTTAAGAGTTGTAGTCTCTCGTCATCATTAAGATTCGAAAACGCAAATTCGTAGAAAGATTCACCCATAATTTCTTCAGGAATGTTTTCAACGTTTGAGGCGACTCCAATTATAGCGTACCTGTTATAATGAAATAAATTCAATTTCTCTTTAAATATTGTTATCAATTTTGAATTGACATTATTAATGGAACCTTCAATTGGTAAACTCAAAACATTCAAATCTTTAATCAGGATAATTCCATATAGATGACGGGACAAAGGCTTCAAAAATTCAGTTATTTTTGAAGTAACTTTTGTCTTGTCCAAATCGACAAGGTCATAACATGAAACCTAGTGAGATTAGCATTTTTAAAATTAAAATTAATGGAGGGACTTACCGAAAACAAGGGAATACCCAAGTTGGAAGAAATGCATGAAACAATTTCATTCATATCCATAATTCTCCATCCTGAAATCATAAAAAACGGGTAACGTACTGGCGGTTGAGGGTGTGTATAAAGGGCTTTTAACATAGCATGCAGCTTTTTAGTTACCTCGTTCGTTGCAACGAATGGAAGAAATCTTTTTTTTAAAGAAGGTAAATATTTTGAGGTGCCAATGGTTTCTAATTCAATCTCCGTAGAATGATCAACATAGTAGATATCTCCTGCTTGAGCTTCAACCTCATCCATTATGAACCAAGCGAATTGTAAATGTTCTTCCAAAAAAGTTGGAGATTCATGAAAAATATTCGAGTTTTTATCTATCCGTAAAGCAAACGCAGCATTGAGGCATAATTCAGTTCCCTGGGAAATTACTTCCCGTACGAAATCCCAAACTTTATGCTGTAAAGTACCGTCAGACTGGAAAGGTAGATAAATACATTTTAACCTTATTCTTTTTGCAGAAACAACAACTGGGGAATCCAAACTCGGGATACAACGTGTCTTGTTTTCTCCAAATAATGAAGAAAGCGTTGGAGAAACCCTCACGGTGTTTTCAGCAACGTCACAAGTAGGAATGGCTTTTGCATAGATAAACGTATCATTATTTGTACCAAGCTTTATCCAGGATTCTTTTCTTTTTCTCAGAGAAGACAGCGTCACAGGATGCACGAAAGCATTAAAGCAGTTAGCTAAAAAACAATCGGCTTCTACAGATATATCAAATTCTTCAATTAAAAGTTCATTGGAATCAATAGTTGAAGACAATTTTCTGGTAAAAAGTAATGACAGGTCTTCATATGAAGGCAAAGGTTTTGAGCCAGATATAACGCATTTTTCAATACGGGTACGGGATGAAATATAACCCTGCGTTACAGGAAGACATTGAGCGACCTGAACACCATCTGAAATAAACTCTCCATTTTTTAAAGGTATTCTTTCTTCTCTATACAACCTAAGGACTGCCTCCATGTTCGTCGGAATATCTGACCATATGCAGAACTCGACGCAATTTAACTCGATTGGAGAGATAGAAGAGATAGAAACGTTGTTTTGAACGAGCTCATCACATTTGGAAATCTCAAGGAAAGAAGACTCGAGTGTAGGACTGTGAAAAAGCTTGAATATCCAGCCTATGAATGGATTAGAAGAAGTAGATACAAACACATATGGATCATCCTTTTTAAATTCTGGGATAACAGAGGCAGCCCATTCAAAATTTATCCAAGCTTTTCGAGTTGGATGAAGTCTTGGTAAAACACTGACAGTAGTGGAAGCGTACTTATTCATTCATGAAATCCAGTCTCCAAAAATTATTTTTTCTATCATAAAGCTTTTACATGAATCTATCCTTAGGTACTTTTGAGCTGAAATCTTTCTACGAAGTGCAAGACATAGAACTCTACTCTGCCGGAGTGGGAAGGTCAATCGGTTTAGGGTACACGTTGAATGAGTATTCGAATATGGAAGCAGTATGACCTTGCCATTGGTAGTTTCTTTTTTGTTTTATATGATAAACTTTCTGGAATAGATTATTTGATTTTCAAAGTAGTGCCTTATATATGGAGAAACAGAAACCGACGAGCTGTTTTCAAAGCTTTACTAATCAAAACGGTAAACATATGGAGTACTAGACATAAACCTACTTGTTATGTAGTTTATTTATACTATTTTCTTGGCGACAACCTTTCATTCCTTTGCCCAAAAGCATAGTAACTCTCTTGTTGGCCCATACGTTGGATTATTTACATGGCTAAACATATCTGTATATTTTTTTATTTAAAAGTTGAAGCAGCTACATGAAATCGATTTAGTTCTAATTTATTTTCAGTTAAATATTTTATGAGTCCAGTAACTTGATTAGCTGAATCAATGATAATTTGACTTCATAAAGCAAATCAATCGAATCTTTCAGTCTGAGAATTCATTTTTATAAACATACATATCTTTATATTCTAATTTAGATGATATAGTTGCCTTTGACAAAGTTACTTTGCTAAAGTCTTGCAATGTTTACAATTTGTAATAAGAGTTGTAATATGATGAGGACTGTCGCTCGTTATTAGAATAAAGAAATCAGTGAGAAATGATTGTCAGTTTCAAGGACGTGTACTTAGAATTGGATACTTTGGTGCTGCTTGAATGAATTATAAAGCTGACATTGAGCTGATTCACCAGATAATCTATGTAGACTGTACGTAGCTAGATCAGTCAAATATTCCAATCTGATAATTTCGTGGATATATTTGTTTACAGTAAACAAATGATGGATGAATCAGAATTCCACAATCAATAAAAATTGGATAAATTATAATCGGCATCTTGTAGGTCTTTTGAAAAAAAATATCATCATACATGATAAAATCTGTCGCATTTGTTATAATAGATTACATTCATCGCTGAAGTGTAAATTTATGAAATTGTCGTACTTATTCAGTAAACAAACGAATCGTATTGTAAACTTTTTGATTTAATCGAAAACATTGTTACAGCTTTATTGAAGGTAACTTTATTTTTATTTTAATAGAATAAAGTCAAATAGGTTAAGCATGTTGCTTCGCAAGATGGGTTTTGGCAAACATTTCAGTAGAAACACCAAATTGGAAATTTGTACTTTTTGAATAAACCAAGATTCCGGTTTATATTGCTTGACTTTCTTTTTTATAATCCAAATTAAAAGTAGGAATATTCGGTGCTTAAAGGATAGCTCTACTTCTACGAGTATTTACCACGTTCTTTCTTTCATCAATCTTCATACTGACTAAATGTAATCCTCTTTCAGGCCTTTTACTTCTATGTATTTTTTTCAATTTTAAAGTAAGTCAATTTACTACAGTCATCAAACAATGAAAGAATTTTAAAAGGTACGAGCGTGCGCTTTTCTTCTCATTTGGAATCAACAAGTATTTAGCCTTCATGCTCAATTCTAAAAAGATTTTTATAACTGAATCAGTTTAATTAAAAGTATGTAGTAACTCCTTTGGCTTGGCTAGAAGGTCCTGACCTACAGAAAAGCAATAGGGCGAACAAGCTAATCGTTCATCAACACTAGCTTTTATGAAGGGATTGATTTTCTTTCTTTCTTTCTTTCTTTCTTTTTTTTCTTTTTAAAAAGAATTACGGTGATAATTGTTGTTCAAATTCAATTGAAGTCGAAATTTTCTCTTCTACATACTGTTACTGATGAAGTATCAGATTGATCATCGCACTTGATAATCTATTGCAAGAAAATGAAGGCATTCCAATTCTGACCATAGTCGAACACAAAGCTACGATAATACAGAGTCAAAGAATAAAGTATCAACAAACGATATCTTGAGCTACACATAACTCATTCCTTTTGTAAAATATCCGAAACGCTTCCCCAAAATTGTAAATAATTGGCCTTTTTTCTCTTTAAAACTATATCTTATAGATAAAAGAGGGTTTACTCTTACATTATTTATATATGGATGGCTCATATTCTAGTGAGGCGACTTTTGGTGCACAAGAAGATTATCCCACATCACAACCAAATGTGTGCATTCCTTGTGCGTTAGGAACATGTCTTATTCATTTTCGAGAGTTTTCATCCTCCAGTTTCGTTGATCCGGTTTCTCTATTTTGCTTAGATACATATCCGAACACTGGCCGAATGCAACCTACAATTGAAGCCAGTAAACGCACTGCTAGAAATAACTTTACCTCTAATCCATTTCATTCTATTCATAAAGGTCTATATCCTGTTCCGAATCCTCCTTATGTCAATGCTTTGCCTGCTGAATCCAAAGCCAAAGAGAAAGAAACGGTAAGTTCGTTACTGGATTCCAATCCAAAGGTATCTACAGAAGGAAACGAAATTTCTACATTCCATTATCCAAATAACACATCAGCACAGGCTTCTGCCCTAAATGCTGATTTTTTTGAAAAACCCAAGTCGTCTTCCAAACCTTATTATTCACCATCTCTGTCTCTCTCGTCTGATTTCTCACAGGACTATAGTCCGTACTGTAATTCAACGTCTCATCCATTGACAAGCGCTGCCGCTGATACGACGCCCTCCAGTCAACATGTCGAGAGAGACTCATCAGAACACACCCAGCAAAGTACATTGGAGGAGTATATGGATGATCTTGGATTCGATGATTCTTTATCGTATGCTTATATTCTGAACCCTACATCCGACTCTGATGTTGATTTAATACGCCAATACTTTATTTCCAAAGAAGGATCCTATTCCATCAACAACATGCATATCAAATATGTCTCAGCAGATCCTAAAACACCAGTCATGTATATGGTCGATCCAGCCTACGAACCGACCAAGCAGGTAGCTCGGTACGAAAAGCTTCAAGAAATATTTGAATTTCTCGATGCTACTGTGGACAGTGTTCTTTCTGAAAAGTTCATTAACCTTTACTTTCGTTATATCCATCCTACGTATCCAGTTGTTCATCGTGAGCGATTCCTGTTATTATTTAATACAGCAAAACACAAAATATCGCCAATTTTGTTAATGGCAATGTATGCCGCATCAATCCTGTATTGGGATGCTGATGAGTCTTTACGCAATTTTCCTCGTGTAGACTCGAAGAAGCTTTGGGATATGACGGAAGAGTCACTGAATCAGTCTTTCTCTTTACCAAGACTTAGTACATTGCAAGCCGCTGTTATTTTTCTTGCTGGTAGACCATGGATCAATGTTGCTGGTAATTGGAGTATTTTGACAAGAGCCGTAGCTTTGGCTCTTATTCTAGGGTTTCATCTAGATTGTTCCGACTGGCAAATTCCAGAAGAAGAAAAGGTTTTGAGGATACGGACTTGGTGGGCTCTTTTCATCAGCGAAAAATGGCTTTCAATGTATATTGGCATAAACACAAGCATTCGACAGGATGACTATTTGGTTCCTCCATTGAGCAACACTCAAATGTTGCCATCTGAAAACATGTATGCTGATTCTTTTAAGGTGTTTATGAAAATGTCAGAGTTGAGTGTTTTCTTACAAACAATCTTACAAAATCTCTTCACAGTGAGAGCCGTCATGAGCATGTCAAAAAACAGACGTACTGTTGCCCAAAAAATTGGAAAATACTTAGCATACTTGGATGAATTTACACAAACATGCCAGTTCCAAGCGGGTACACCTGGTGCGTGCTCTTTATACCTACAGATCGACGCTCTAGAGCTTTTACTTCGTCGGACGGCTCTTAAAATGAAACTGACGGATCTTCGGTTTCAAAACGACATGTTGACACTCGTTGAGCGGTGTATAACTAGATTTTTATCCATAGATGAGAGATTATCTACTGATTTTTTCTGGCCTTATTCTCAATTTTATTTCTGCATACTCTCATCTTCTATTTTAAAGATGTATTTGGACTTTGAATTTAATGAAAACTATAACACGCGGATTATGGATTTACTGACTCGTTTCACAAAGCATTGCGTATGGTTAAAACGTAGAAATTTTGATCTTATTTTCATGGCATATAAAAGACTAAACGCTTTGTTGTTGGAATTAAGCACAGACCGGCCACCAATAAAAAAGTTATTACAAGCAGCATTTGAAACCAGGAAACGAACATTTGATTCAACGATGTAAGCGAATGCATCCGTTGGAGACAACCAAGAGGTTTACTAAAAAAAAGGCTTTGTTCATTTAATTATTTACAACATGAGAAACATAAGGTTCTCCATCTTAATTCAATACTAATAACTTAATGATATCAATGGTTTCACAAAAAAAAAGGATTTGACAAAAATCACCCTGTAGGTATCAATAAGCACTTTATAAACTTTCTAAACAAATGTGCACATCAAAATCGTGTTTGTATACTTTCGTTTCTTAAAAAGAAGAAAAAAATCTCTCGAGCCAGATTCGAACTAGCGACCAACCGGTATCTTGAACATTACAGCCGGGTGTGATAACCAACTACACCATCGAGAGTTGTTCTGACTGATGTTAATCACAAAGCTATATAAAATATTGAAAATAAAATTTCAGGTATAAAGAAGAGAAATGTAAAGCTGAATGAGAAAACTGATGTTTTATCGAGTGTTGGTTTATATTTTTTCTTATTGAGATTTTTGTGCAGTTATTTGCAAGTATTATAGAAACTTAGTTGTATCATGGTATCGTCGGTCTACGCTTGTCCAAGTTCATATAGTTCTATTCCAAAGCATCAAAGATTTGAGGTTATTATGACCTTTCATTTTAGAAAGAGAAGCTCAAAACTTACCATGTCTGAAAAGGTTTCGTACGGATTAAGACCATCTATGAAAAATCATCGATGTATTTACTTACTAAAAAACGAAAGCGAAGTATAAAGGACGCCATGCGCAAGAGGTAAAATACAAGGGTACATAAATATGAGATCTTTGGTTATCAAAATAGTTAAAAGGCGACCCTGCTCTAAGTAATATGATTATATTCCATGTTTGTTCTGTAACGTCATTAGCGACAGGACATGGCTAAAAGGAATGCTGATATTATTTTTGAATACAAAAATTATAGAATTATTTTTAAAAAGAACAATGAGTTACTAAACTCGAGAAATGCTTATCCTAAGTCTATGACAAAACCTTCAGATCCTGGTACAAAACATCATGAACAAAGATCATAGGAAGTGAAGCAGCTAACATTATTTATAATATATTTTATCTCTGTAAAACAGGAATATAAGTTTTCTGCTTTTGTTTACATTTTCTAATGGGAATAATTAGTTCAATACCGTTACTTTTGTTACCTCCTATATAGTCATCTGGAAACAAGGATATGGTACCGGAAGCGTTGATGAACTTTCCAAATACCTAATCCTTCATATTGAAAATGTCTACTGCCGGAGCTACACCTCGTAAGAATAGAAAAGGAAAACTGGGAAGTATTCATTGCTAATGATATGGGCATGTAGAAGAAACACTGGTTGCAGCATGCCGTACCGATAATGTGGATATGCTCGCAGAGGTCGTCCACGGGCAAGAAGGACATGAGGTTGAGTTTATTAATCAAGCCCGTGACTCCTTGGGAAATGATTGCTTACATGTTTGTGCAAAGTATGGATCGGTTAACTGCTTAGACTGGATTTTGGATATTTCCGGTATTGAATTGAACCATCATTCTCGTATGACTGGTGATACACCATTGCATGTCTCTGTAGGATATTTGAAGAGAAATGAAGAGATTTCTTTGCAAATGGGTATGAAATGACTTAATTTCCAAAGCTCATATATCAACACATGCGTTACTGATTTCCAACTGAAAACATCACCCGATAGTTTCTGTGGTTAAGATAGCTTCTTGGAAATTTCATGACTTTTAATCTATTTTATATGTACTAATGTTGATTTATAGTTGAAATGCTGATAGAAGTCGGTGCCGATTCGTTAGCTACCAACAATGATGGCTTCCGTCCAATTGATATTGTCCCAGGAGATTACCGTGAGCGCTTCGGTGCTGCTTTAGAAGGACCTGCCCCTACTTTACAGTACAGTACTGACGCCGTTGCAGATGATGATGATGATGATGAAGGCGAAGGATCTGGCTCTGAGTAAAAGACTCGTCTCCGATTTTGTAACGTACTTTTAGGGCATTGGCATTCGTCCTCATTCTATAGGTTGAGCCTTGTCTATGAATATTTGAATATTCTACTAGTAATTAACCTGTTGTTTATGTCGCTGTTGTGGATATCTTTTTTTTATTTTGCTACAAAGGAAGCATTTCCACTGTCACTATCTTTTAAAAAATTGACATCACTGGATTCTGTGAAACTGCTTCAGGTCGTTCTGAAGAGAGGAGCTGGCGTAATTTGTACACAGTTCAGAACAAGGGAGACGGACCGTTTCGATGTCCTTTCTTTGTCCAATATACTTTATGATAATCTTCTATTAATTTTTTATCTCATCTAGATATCTCCTTTTGTTTATGTTTAAATAAGATTATCTTTCCTTGTGTTCCCGGTGCTCAACAAGTCGCTCATTTTTTTGCTTGGAAAAGAAGATCTATATATGACATATTACTTTTTCATATGAATATCCAGAAAGAGTCACTAAATGTGCGGAAAGTCGTTCACGGTTTCAAGTATTTTTGTTCTAGCTCAATCGTAGAAGTTTTAAGTTTTCAGGCCTTAAGGAAACTTCACCATGAGTTCTTTCTCGTTTAGTACGGTTGCACAGTACATTAATTTGACGTGCCAAATTGGATTATCCAACGTACATTTCTAGTTTCTTTTCAATATCTTGAAAGTATTGAATTATCACATGTCCTTGTTTCTTATATGATACTCTTTGTCTTATTAAGAATTACATATAGTATGCTAGCAAGTGTCACTTCATCCACCATCTTTTGTTTACATTCTCAATTCTTCCTCCTAGACCTCACTTTCTTTAATGTCAGAGAAAAGCATCTTTAAAGGTCAAAATGTAGTGGAATACAGTGCATCTGATCCATTAGTTTTGTTCATTGTTCAGGTATGCGTTCAAAAACGCAAACTGTCGTCCTAATGTTTAGGCAATCCTTATTATAGGTCTTTCACGCCTTCTTCATTTCCCTCTTTCTATTTTACAACAACCTAGGGTAATAGCTGAGGTGTAAGTTTCATGAAAATACTAATCAGGAAGCCAATGTTCATTGTCAGAATTCTTTTCCTAGTCCATCACCTATAGAACGAAATCTAACTATATATTAGAATTGGAGGAATTCTTTTGGGACCTACTGCATTTGGTAGAATTCCCGGGTTTTTATCTCATATATTCCCTGATGAGTCTTTAGGTCCACTAAATCTCGTTTCCAACCTTGGGTTGGTTTTGTATCTATTCGTAATAGGAATGGAGGTTGATATGAACGTATTTATTTCGAATTACAAAGTGACTACTCTAGTGACCCTAAGTAGCATCCTGTTTCCTTTTGCTGCTGGTTCAGCAATTTCAGTTGGGTTGCACCAATTTACACCCAACTCCAACTTTGGTGAATTTCTTTTATTTATTGGAACAGCTATGTCAATTACAGCTTTTCCTGTTCTAGCACGAATCCTTTCTGAATTGCATCTTCTTCATCGCCGACTCGGCGTTATCGTTTTAGCTGCTGGAGTTGGAAATGATGTTGTTGGATGGCTTCTTTTGGCCCTATCAATTACATTAGTAAATAGTGGAACTGGTGTTCAGGCCATTTACGTGTTGTTACTAGTTTGCGGTTGGTGTGCCTTTTTGTTTGTGCTAGTAAAACCTTTGTTAAGGTACTTAGCAATGAAGACAGAAGCTTTGGAAAAGGATCCATCAGAATTTTTTATTTGTATACTTTTATGTTTCGTATTAATTTCTGCCTTTTTTACGGACATCATTGGTGTGCATCCTATCTTCGGAGGATTCCTCATCGGAACAATTATACCACATGAAAATAATCTTACAGTTAAAATTACAGAAAAAATTGAAGATTTGGTCGTGTGTCTACTGTTACCATTGTACTTTGCTAGTTCCGGTTTAAAAACAAATATAGCAACTTTAAATGATGGCAAATCTTGGGCTTACACCATAGGGGTGATTTCAGTTGCGATCTCTTCTAAAATATTCTCTAGTACTATGGCTGCTCGTTGCTTAAAAATATCTTGGTCGGAATCATGGGCAATTGGTTCTCTTATGTCTTGTAAAGGGTTAGTGGAATTGATTGTTTTAAACATTGGACTTTCAAGTGGGATCTTAGATGAAAAAATATTTACCATGTTTGTTGTCATGGCTGTTGTAACTACCTTTGTAACTACGCCGATGACTAGATTTTGCTTACGATTTGTTCAATCTGAAAGCGACCAAACGATCGCCAGTCGCAGGGATAGTATTCCTGAAAGCTGGTTTTCAAGCTATATCTACAGGTTGTGTTTGCTATTTCACCAACCATCTGCAACATCTGCTGCAATGCTATTTACTAATTATTTGGGTGAAAGCTATAACCACAAAAGTTCATTACTTTCTATGCCCGTATATGAACTTCAGGGTATTTCTACGACACAATTAGAATCCAGAACATCTGCTCTGCTAAAAGCATCACAGTTTCCGCATAATATTACTAAAGAAAATACGCTAGAAATGTTCAAAATATTTGTTCATCTGAATGAGTTGAGGTTTAGCGAAGATCACGTTTTTGTGGATGATGTTGACTTTGCCGATGTAATAATTGAAACATTGAAACTAAAAAACACTCAATTGCTTGTCGTTCCTATCTTGAAAGAAGTAGATATCGACTCTTCCTCGAAGCCCACTTCACAATTTTCTTCTATCGATAGAGTATTCGGCTCTTTTGGAAAATTCTTTCATTTATTAAAGATTTTTAAGAATAAAAGAGTACCATTTGGTATGTTTTTAACCCAGAAGATCTCTGAAGTCCATGTTGGGTTTCATCAAGAGAAAGACTCATGGAATGGGTCCATAGTCCTTCGGGATAATGAAAGTCAGATTTCCAATAAAGCTCTGGAAAAAATGGACTTTGCTGAAAACATCACTGAATTACAACAGCATCGTGGGGCTGGTAAAAAAATATTAGTTTATATTTTCACGGGTTCTGTGAATGATATCTTGGCACTAGACATGTTTCTAAGTTTACTACATGATAATGAAAGTACGGCGGTAATTTATCTTCTTGAAGAATATAAAGTTCCTTCAGTTGATATCAAACGACCTGAAGCAGCGTATTCATTTGAACAGATTTTCTCTAATGAAAATGAGCATCAGAAGGAGACATTTTTGCCGAGATTGAGAAAGAAAATGAAGATAGAGAAAAACAATCCATCTGTCAATGCTTCCAGAGGGTCCAGCAGTTTACCTCAACTCAGAAGCTTTTCCGTTTTCGAAGCTAAATTGGCAAAGGTGCACCCGTGTATACGTTCAAGGATTCGATTTATAAGATTTTCTTCGAGCGATCAATTGATTACTTGGATACGAGAGCTTTTACCAGGATCGAATACGTTAATAAAGAACCAAAAAGTGCAATCCTTTATGATAATGGCTGGTTGCGAGGATGCATCAGACTCCCACCTTGACGTGAATAGCGATGGGATGTTTTTTTCAAGGAATAGACAAGGAGATATTATTTCGAATTATGAACATATATTCGGAAATTGCATATTTCGCTTGCTGTTGGAATTCCCATTGATCGACTTTTTCCTGGCAATGAACTCTTAACGTTTATCTTTTGAATTCGAATGTTCTAATGTAAATGCGTATTTATATAATTATGAATTAGCCCTCTGTGAAACCTCAGGGGAAGAATACGCCGAAAGACTTATTTCCCAATGTCTTTATCATGAGTATAGGAAAATATCTTTCTATGCAGTAATTTTATTATGATGTTACATACTGACAGAGACCATATGGGGAATTAGTCAATAAATCGAGGTTTTCTTTCCTTTCAATCTTTTTATCGTTATTCAAACCATTCTAATGTGTAGTATCTTAGGCAAGAAGTATGGATTCCAATGGTTAATCTAGATTTGTTTTCGTACTTGTTTCCCGCCTTATTTAAACAATCTATCACACATTAATTTAAAGAATAATATAGTTACTTTTTCGTTCTTTACCTAATATTACCATAGAAATAATGGATTCGCAATGTGGTATACAGGAGAAATGCTGCGTCGAAGTTTGTCCAATAAATTGGAGAATTAACAAGGTAAGCTTTTTGAATTTTTAGACAAACAATCCTAAGTTTTTAGAATTGTTGCTTTCAGGATTGTAATTGAGTATAAGCAAATGTTGTTTACGCACTCAGCTAAGAAACAATTGGAATGGTAAGTGAATGCTCATCCATATCATCATTATTTATATCTAAGTTCCTTCAATAATTTCTTTCTCTTCTCATCTTTCATGCGTTCTCTTGTTTTTAAGTCCCTGACTCTGTGATGGCATTGTGGTCTTTCATTAAATTCTGGTTGCCTTTGATATAGTGGGTCGGTCCATTCAAGTGATTAAAATAACAGAAAAAATGCACAATTTTGATATTTAGAAACCTTTAAATGCTAAGAAACTAGGAATCTACTATGCATGCGGTATTTCTCTCCGGTATAAAGATAAAAAGCTGTATCTGCATTAAAAGGCCTAAGCCTAAGGATTTCTCTCCAATTCCCAATTCTTAATGAATAAAATAAATAGGTATATTTACTATTTTGACTGGTCTTCTACCCACTTTCGGGCATGATCCTGCCATTTACATTGCCAAGGAGAATACATTATACGATGACCATTTCCAAACTATTTACGTGAAAAAAATCTAGTTAATTTATTTTATTTTATTGAACTTAACTAAATCAGTCCAACAAACCAAACCGATGTTTTTTATTCTTGTAATAGGAGGTGTCTGACATAGTTACCTTCTAAGAACGTACCACGATCGATATATGTAAACAAACGGGATCTGGGATTTTTGAAGTTATACCTTATAAACGTGTTTAAAATAAAAAACTGGAAAAGATTTATTCTTTAAGATTATCTGCTTTTCGCTGTACTCCAAAGCAACTGCGCGTACAAGAGTGTCAAGAACCTACATTGAGAACTCTTTATATTCGGTTTCTTTAGTACTTACTTCTTATTGATAAAATTTATTTTTCTAATTTTTCTTTTTCTTTATAATTGGACAAAATTTCCTTGGTTTTCTACTGATTATTTGAATCAACTTCATTTCTCACTACTGTCTTCAGCTTCTTTACTAAATTCTTCACTTCATAATTTATTAAAAGCAATCTTTCAACTCGACGAAGCTGAAAACAATACGCAGGTTCATCTATTTAGCGTTTGAGAATTTACGAGAACTCCGCCGTTTTCCTTTTTGACCTCCGACTAGACCACTGATTTGTTTGTTTGTTTTCCTTTTTCTTTTTTTTTTTTTTTTTGCTATTATACATTGTTCATGATAATCCTTAACTTCCTCATCTTGTAATACCTTCTGTTAAGAATTACGAATATGCAAGCGAATCATCAGAATACATCACAGATGAATGATGGACCTTCAGCTCCCTCTCAAAAAGCCGTTCCAAAAGAAAAATTATTACCTTGCAAATACCGTACTGGCCGTGTTTTAGGTGGTGGCAGCTATTCGGTTGTTAAAGAAGCTGTTCATATTGAAACAAAAGAGTTGTATGCAGCGAAGATAATAAACAAGAAACTGGTTGAGAAAAAGCCGGAATTTGTAAAAAACGAAATTACAATTTTAAAACGAATCTCAAGTGGACACCCTAACATCCTACGCCTTGTTGACTATTTTGAAACTGTAAATAATTTGTACCTAATCACCGAACTTGCTACTGGCGGCGAACTCTTCGACCGTATTTGTTCTCAAGGATCATTTTATGAAGCAGACGCGGCAAGGCTTATACGCACAACTACCTCTGCCGTTAAATACCTGCATGAAAATGGAATTGTACATCGTGACTTGAAGCCCGAAAACTTACTTTATCGTTCAAAAGATCCAAATTCTGAGCTCCTAATTGCTGACTTTGGGCTGTCCCAATTTTATGATGATTCACAATACTACATGCTAATGACGGCTTGCGGAACTCCCGAGTATATGGCGCCAGAAATATTTCGACGTGTCGGTTATGGAAAATCAGTGTAAGTAATTCGATTCCTTATAAACTTCTTACTTTTTTTATTTACTAACATATGATTTAGAGATATTTGGTCTATCGGTGTGATAGCTTACTTTTTGCTATGCGGATATTCCCCTTTTGTAAGGTCTTCACAGGTAGAAGTCATTGAAGCAATTTTGGCAAATCAATATGAATTTCATGAAGCTTACTGGTCCGGTGTCTCCTCTACTGCGAAAGATTTTATTTGTAAATGTTTGGAAGATGACCCTGCGAAAAGACTGACTGCCACAGAAGCCCTACACCATCCGTTTCTTTCTACAAAGGTTCCGGCAACTGCGAACCTGCTTCCTAAAGTTCGAGAAAACTTCAATGCACGAAAGAAGTTTAGAAAAGCTTTTAATGCTGTACGAGCTTTTAATACTTTGAAGAAAGACATTGAACCAAAATCTCGCTAAAGACCATCTCGATTTTATCCACCTTTTTCGGCATATACCTTTTTTACGTTTCACTATGTCTATTTACCATTTAGCATTTTCATAAGTTTAATATTATCATTCTTTTTGCATGTAGAAACTTTATTTCGTGATTGAACTGCAAACACGTTTTTATACGTTTGTCAACATATTAAAACCATAACTATCATAAAAACCCGAGCAGCATACTAACAAGATATATGACTGCTAAGCTTCTATTACCCTAATTCTAACGGAACCTGGAGAGAGGAGAGTGTAAAAAATAAAAAAAAAGAACGCAAAGCAAGTTTCGTGTGTAGATTCTGTTTGACATACTAAACAAGTTATCTAAATCAGTTTGGAACATTAATAAATAAGCATGAATAATGCAGATAAATATACATAATACCTTAAGCCGAAAATATACTAACGGATCCGTCGGTTTTACCATCAACCAAAAATCGATCTCTGTATTGAAGATAAGTAGGAGTGACCTCACCGAGTACACTATTGTTCAAAACATTTTGGGGATAGTCACTGCAAATCCATGTACGATGCGAGTTCACATCGAAAATGCGCATACTTGGATCTTCGGAGGCAACAGCCAGTCTACCTTCGCATACTCTCAAAGAAGATACACGCTTTTCCATTGGAATTATATCCAAAGGAGATCCACTACGTAAATCCCAAATACGTACAGAGTTGTCGTAGCTTCCCGAGTAAAGATAGTTAGAGTCAAATTGAAGGGTACTAACTGGAGCGGTATGTCCGAAAAAACTTCTCACAGGTAAGCCAACTCTTAGATCCCATATGCGAATAAGACCATCTACAGTACCACTAGCAACAGCAGCATCTAAACAGTCCAAAGCGCGTATAAATGGCTCATTTGCGATGGAATAAGCAGAGTCATTTAATGGAGTTAATTTTGGAGACGGATCTTGTGTATCAGCCCAGACAAAGTCTAATGTTTGGATGCATCTACCAGTAACGATATCCCACTGGCGGACCGTTTTGTCATTAGCACCACTAAGTAAAACATCATCAGAAGACAAAGTAAGAGCGGTAACAGGACCAGTATGAGAAGATAGAACAGTGGTAGCATTATCAGTCGTATGATTTTGTGGGCTTTCATCATTACCATCAAGTTCATTAGAAGAGGAATCTTTTTCTGTATTCTGCAAGATTCCATTTTCCAAGTTCCACAAACGTACACTAGAGTCCATTGATCCAGAAGCAATAAAGGAATCCTGCATGGCCAAACAAGAAACATAATCCTCATGACCCTCCAATTGTCCTAAACAGACGACACCAGCCATGTCCCAGACCTTGACAGTTTTGTCTAAAGACGCGGTGACGAGATTGCCAAAGGGATGAGAAAAGTCTAGACTAGTTATAGGAGAAGAATGTGCTTGAAATTGTTTTACTGGAGTTCCTGATATAAGACTTAGGGTGGCCGGCTGTTCGTGTTTTTGATTTTCTTCGCTAGCTGCCGCAGCAGGAAAATCTAAATAATCTGAAGCTAAATCATTAGAAACAGAAGCAGCGCCTGAGGGTGGCTCTTTATTAACACCCGTTGATTTTTCAGAATTGTCAGAGTTGTATTGAAATGCACCTGTTGCAGTCGTAGGATCTTGGGAGACATTCCCTTGAGCATAGTCATCTATCAGCTCTTTGGAATCAACCTCTAGAATTGTTTTCTCTAAGGAAGTTAATTGGGCGTCAAATTCCAAACATTTATCCTCCGCATGGTTCAACTTGTTGAGTATTTGTCGACGTCGTGAATGCAACTTTGATAGCTCGGCATCAATTTGCGTAAGTTCACTTGTGTGTACGTTTCTACGCACATGTAGCTTTTTGCAGTAATCGACTAGGAATCGGTGTTGGGAAGTAGGAGTAGTGTCATCAGTTGCTGCCTGGTTTCTATTTGAACTTTGCGATAGCTGTTTCAAATCAAAAGTAGCTTCTTCTTGTTTTTTTGCTTTTAAAGATAAACTATCTGATTTTGTTTTCGATACTTCATATCCATCAAGCAGACTATACGGGGTATCGGTATTGCCGGGAATTTCACGCAAAAGACTCTCCGATAACGAAGTTGACAAGAAAGGCTCATGATGGATATGGGAAGTAATCCAATTGCCGAAATTAGTTGGAGTTAACTGCGGTCGTATAAAGGGATGGGATAAACTTCTTAAGAAACGGCTCACAGGATTGACAAACGGATTGGAAGGGTTGCTCTCAAAAAGGCTCCAGGTCGTAAACGCGAGTACCTTAGACCAGTACGAAACACCCTTTTGCAAAGTTGTTGGGGGAGCCGTTGACTGAGAGGATTTTGACCGCTGTTGCGAGCGTTTATCCGACGGCCTTGATTTTGAGTATTGATGTTTTGGTAATTCCATTAGACAAAAGCACCGAGAATAAAAGCTTTGGGTATATTTGTGAATCGGCGAGACGAATTCTTTTTAGACTTGACCTTACAAAGGTTTGGCTGTCAATTCAAGACAAGTATTGCACTAAGGCTGGCTTTTTTTAATGAGCAGAACTTTTGCTTTTACCATAAAAACATGGAAAGAACTGTCGGCATTCAATGTAAATGACAATCTAAGGATATAAAGCCAACAATCGACTCCAAACAATTTATACGAATGAAATCCAATAAAAGTTCAGATTTTAACGGTATTTTTAGATTTTACTTTCTATTAACTCTGCTCAAACTATGCTTGTCACGTAAGATTACTACCAGCTCTTCCCAGTGTGAATAAATATAGGTAGAGGATACGTATGCGTTAAGTCCAAATGAGCCTAGTAATATTCCTTTTATTATCATCAACCAAGTGCCTTCTTTAAGAAATAGGCAAAGAAAAAAAAAAAAAATAGAAAAACGAGTAAGGAGATATATTATTGACGATTACTTCCATTCGTTTGGAACTGAAAATGAAACTTTCGTCTTAAAAACTACTACCTCTTGAATCTACGAGAAAAGTCGTCAACAAGACCCTATATAGAACTACGAATAAAGGGGAGTCAAATAATCTATTCAAAGTTCTTTTTCAGTTTCGTCGCATGTCAATATGTTTAATTCTTTACTATTCTGTTTTGCTTATATAGTTTAAATTACACGTACAGTCAGCTCGTGTCCCGTTTAGCTCAATCGGCTTAGAGCGTCCGGCTTTTAACCGGAAGGTTGCGAGTTCGAGTCTCGCAGTGGGAGATTTTCTTTTTTTATTTACAACTTTTAAAAATTGCTTGTAAAGAAGTGCGTATAAAAAGCAACTTTTTTCTTTTTCTTTTTTTTTTTAGTAAATGAACTCCCTGTATACTACATTGATGAACTTATCGTTGTAAGAGGCATGATACTGCCAACTTCTACCATTATACGATGCATCACGATGGAAAGGAGTAGACGTTAAACATACAAACCGTAAATAGAGTATACTAAGATGAAAAGAAATCAATGTGAATTTTAGTTTATTTTAGTAAAGGGGTTCGTAAGTGTATGATAACTATTGCCAGCCGGCGAAGAAGAAGAGAGTTCTTTTTCTTTCGTATTTTTTCACTAGAATTTTAAATTCCAAAAGACAAGTATTGAATAATTAATAACAAAATAATAAGATTTTAAAATGAAAAATCATTCGCATTAAATAAGACTTCCGTCCAGAATGCACGTAGAATTTTTTTTAGTTGGGTATTAAATTTCAAACCATTATCAGCATTGCATGGTTCGTCCATGTGATTAATACAAACAAACAAACAAACAACATATTAAACAGCAAAATCAATATTCGGCTGACCAGCTACTTCTAATACTTTACCGGGAGCCGCGACGTTGCCTGTAGGGTGGGGAATTCCATTAGAAACAACAATTTCTTCAGGAATTCCAGAAGGAGAAATCTTCCATTGTTTGTAATCACGTCGCTCTTCTATATAATCAAACGCATATTCACCAATTTGGTCAGCGTCCACACCGATTTCTTCCGCGTCAGGTGTAACACGAAGCTGCAAGAAGGGAATCTTGTCTGCAATAAATAAAATAATAAAAGTAACAACAAAGTCATATGCAGCGACTGCACAAATGTAAGCCACTTGCAAACCCAGTTGGCGCCAATGATGATTGAACCATCCACCTCGGATGGCATTGTCACCAACAAAGGTTCCGTCCATGGCTGCAATGTAGTCAACGGCAAAAAGACCGTTTAAAATGGTACCGACAAAACCAGCAACACCGTGAATGGCAAATATATCCATGGCATCGTCAATCTTCATATGTGTCTTTAATAAAATGGCCCAATTGCAAATTAGACCAGTAATTGCACCAATTGCCAAAGAAGTATGAGGACTCACGAATCCAGCACAAGGAGTTGCGGCAACCAAACCAGCCACTACACCGGAACAAAATCCAATCGTAGTCCACTTTCGAGTTTTGAAAATGTAATCATAAAGAACCCAGACAAGACCTGCTGTAGCAGCCGTCAGGTTTGTGTTGGTGATGGCTATTGCTGCACGAAGGTTCGATCCATAAGCACTTCCACCGTTAAAACCAAGCCAGCCAAACCAAAGGAGAGCAGTCCCCAAAACGACGTTCAAGACCGAATGAGGGCGATATTGTTCAGCTAAAAATTTGGAACGACGGCCTAAACAGACAGTATAAGCCAGAGCAGCAAAACCAGACCCTACTTCAACTGGACCACCACCAGCGAAATCATATACACCCCACTTATATGCCCATCCATTTGGATTCCAAATCCAACAAGTCAAGGGGCAATAGACGACAGTGAGCCAAATAAAGGTGATCAAGAGCATTGGCCCAATACGGCCACGCTCTGCAGCGGCACCGGTAAACAGTGCGACCGTGATGGCCGCAAAGATCCCTTGAAAGTTTGCGAATACAAGTTCGGAAACATAGTTGCTTGATGGTGAGTAATCTGCCAAAGTGCGAATGAAGGCAAAATGACGCAGATTACCAATATATCCGGAGGTACCAGTTTGAGAAAAAGCAAGGGAATAGCCCCAGAAATACCACTGAAACAAAGTCACGCATAAACCGAGCATAGAGAGCATAATTAAGGCTAATGTATTTTTACGTCGAGCAAGTCCAGAATAGAAAAAAGCAACACCCGGGACCATGATTAAACATAAACATGTTGATGTGAGCATCCAACTAATATTACCATTGTCGAAAAACTTGTTGAGGTTTTCGTGTCGGACATCACCACCACTGCTTCCAGTTGGAGTAACGGAGGGTGCAAAAGAAGTTATGTAGTTTGTCACCACTTCTTTCAATGCTGGTGTAGGATTCAGCGAAGCAGGTGTAGGGATAGTATGTATATCAGCCATGGTCGGTCAAAATTAAGTATCACCCAGTATATGGAAATAAAGATCGATTAAAAACGAAAACGAAGAAGGAGATATAAATTACTGTAAATTAAAAGTTATTCTTTTTTATTTTTTTAAGCTTCCAAAAAATAGCAAATGAAAATGAAAAGCCGTAACGCCAGGTGAACCCAGAAGAATGATATGCAATGAATCTAATGGATTCTTTTTTTTTTTAACTAATGAAATGCTCTTTTTGCTTTTGGTTTATTGCTGACAACGTTTTTGGGTTGTTTACAACAAAGGAATCCACTTGATTAAAGGACTCAATTGATAGTTTATAGACAAAGCTCAAACAAATAGGAAAGTGTCAGATTCGACTAACCCAAGTGCCAAAATTCGTTTTAAAGCGGTTCAACAATTTTCATAAGCAGAAAATAGGAGCAATTATTTCAATTCAGATGGTGGTGGTTTTAGCGCAGTTTTCTGTAATAGGAACAGATGAACCAAATCGATCCAAAAACAAGAGGCAAATTTCCAACGCTACAGAAAAGGTAAGGAGAGAGTAAAAACAAATAAGCAACATATAAAGATTATCAGATTTTATGATCCTGTATTCATGATTTTGTGGATGATGGAGAAAAAAAATTTTCTATCCACTGATAATGTTAGCGATGGTTCTTGATGCGAATAGCGGCAACAGCCGTAGCTTAGGATTTGTAAATCCGATAATATGGGAAAGCGACACCAATCAGACAAAGCAGAAATAGATCGTCAAAATGGCCATCGAAATCCTTCGCAGTGAAGTTTGATGTCGCTGTTAGGGATTTCGAAACCGGTAGAGACAAGAAGTATGGATTCCAAACAATTTATGATGTCCCCAATGAAATTCTAAAACAGATAAAACATTAACTGCTTGTTTGTATTACTGCAATTGCACGGCGCATGAAACATTGGTGGATTCACCTTGTTGCTCATTGCTCATTAAAGCCTTGTCAGAGAGAAACGAGGGAAAGAGGTTGTCTCGCATCCTACGAACAAATGATTAACAGAGTGCTTACTCGTTTGAGCTTTTGATATTTGGCAGATAAGATATTTCTTGTTTTTGCTTAATTTGTAAGTGACAAAGCAATCAACAAAAGGACAAATGAAAAATAAAACAGAGCAAGGTCAATTGGAAATTTCAGGACGACTTTAAAACTTTGGAAACATTGTAGACGAAGAATCATAAACTAAACGGGATTGAAATGCGCAATGAATGATTTTAGCATAAGGCTGAAGGGTTCAGTTTGAACGTTTTTTATGAGTTTCATAGAAATAGTTTCAGGTAAAGTTTACTTTTTCTTTGTTTTTTCTTTAATAATAGAGGATTTATATCCAAAAACAATAGAACGAATCGTTTCATAAGTTATTTTTTTCTTCTCTGGTTTGCAGATATCATGTTTTATAGAGTAATAAGCATGAAGATCCAGTAAGGGCTTTCAGCAGCATTAGAAAAGTTGCAGAAGGTTTAGAAACAAAACAAGATTGTTCACTGGAAAAAGTTTTTGTAACCCAATTGATTTATTAGGCCTCATCACAACTATAAATCATTCCCCAAATTGGGTTCTAAAACAGAAGCCGTCAACGCTCCTTCCAAGCCGTTTCATCAGATCAAAGCGTAGACTCTTAAGGATGAAAATCAAAACATCTTCTATGTCGTTTCGAAACCAGTGTTAAGCAAGACCAGGTAAGGTAAGCTGGATAATTCGATCATTCATTGAATCTGGTGTTTATTCATTCCATACATTTATTCCTGTTCTTCATATCTTTTCGGAATACTTTTGAAAGTCCTCCTCGTTCATAAGATCGTTCAATTCATCCATTCGTACATGAAACTCCTTCATTTCATTTTCGAATCTCGTAAGCAACTGTTCTGTCGTTTTTAAACATTCATCAATTGATTCCATTTCGATTCTTTCGTTTTCTTGACCTATTCTCCCTTCTGCACTTGCATTCCCTTGTTTTATTACAGGTCCATTCCTAACGTATTCTTTCTGTACCTCGAATTCTCCGTTTTTCCCGTCTGAGTCACTTACTGGATCATGTTTGTTTTCCATTTCCTCTACAATACCTTGTAATTCCTTTAAATCCATGGCGAATCGAAAACTTCGTTTTTATTCAAATTCTGCCTCTCACTTGGTAGTTTCTGAGCGATTCTTGAAGAATTGAATTAAATTAAATTACTATTAAATAAAAACAATCAACCTTTTTGTAAAGATTTTTCGCTTTTTCGCGCTTTTTGAATCTGGGTTCCTTGAATCTGATATATAATGGAATTAGGGTTGCTTCCAACAAAAATCATTTCTTGTATAAAACAAATTCATCACAAAGAAGCTTTTGTATTTTTTTGTGTATTTATTTCCAAACCTCTGTATCTTTTCACTTTTCTAAGTTTTCTCCTACTCTTCCACAAGCGTAATAATTGACCTATATACCTCTACTCTTCTCTCGTTCATTCAAATTACAGCTAAACGTTCGTTTTATAAAATTTAAATCATATAATATTGAACGTTTCCCTCCTTCCTCCTTCTTGTCACCGAATTTGCTGGCAACAAGTTTTCTAAACTATCCCGCTCTCAATTCTCGTAATATACATTTGCCAGGTATTAGCATAAAAAGTCTTTCACGCATTGATCTTCTACTATCATGGCTCGTTCCGGTCTACAAAAGCAAGTGATACGGTTTTATCGTCAATGTCTTCATGCAGCTAAACAAAAGGAACATGTAAGCTACAAATCTAAAAACACTCTGGTTTTTTACTTTTCATTTTGCTTACACCATTATAGATTTATCAACCTCATTGGCTTGAATTTGTACACAAAGAATTTCGTCGAAACCAAACGATTCCCCGAACTGAATTCTTCTACATTGAACATTTGCTAAGAATTGGTCAACGTCGCTATGAGACTTATTCTCGGCCAGAAGTAAAGGACATTAACTTGACTTAGTGCCTTCGTGCTTCTTGCTATTCCTATATTTTCTCAAGTCCCCTTCAAAACGACTGCCATAACATTATCATGTCAAATTGTTAATTACACCTTTCTTCTTCCTTACTCTTTTTGACTAGTAATCACGTCCAGCTCAATCCCTCTCATCTCCTTCAACTACTATTAGAGCACAAACCCACGCTTTTATACATTACTCTACAATTTCTTCAACACCTTCTTACCTTATTTTTACGATCAAGAAAATTTTATTTTTTTTAACCCAAAATGTAACAGGGAATTATTTCACAAAACATTTTTCAAAATTCAACCATATGCATTCGCATGATAATTCATTGAAAACACTTTTACTTCTTTTCGCCTTCACCGGAAGCGTTACCAGATTCATTACCTTCGTTTTGATTGTTCTTGTAAACAGTCTCGAAAACCTTAAGAGAGGCTTGTTGAAGCTCGTCAATCTTCTTCTTGAGGTCCTCACCAGTAACGCTCTCATCACCGCTGTTAGCCTTGGCGATGTTCTCGCGAACTTCGGTGATCTTGGCACGCAAGTCTTCAACACCTTGCTTCTCAAGCTTCTCCTTGTGAATGTCAAGGTTAGATTCAATGTCCATACAGACACTTTCGGCACGGTTACCGTTCTCGATAGCGTCCTTACGAGCCATATCAGCAGCACGGTACTTCTCAGCATCGGCAACCATAGACTCGATTTCAGATTCACTCAAACCAGAAGAACCAGCAACAGTGATAGAGTTGTCCTTGTTGGTGGCCTTGTCACGAGCAGAAACGTTGATGATACCATCAGCATCAACATCGAAAGAAACTTCGATTTGAGGTTGACCCTTAGGAGCAGGAGCAATACCACCAAGTTGGAAGTTACCAATTAACTTGTTGTCACGAACAAGTTCACGTTCACCTTGGAAAACGCGAATCTCGACAGCAGTTTGGCCATCAGCGGCGGTAGAGAAAACTTGGGACTTACGAGTGGGGATAGTAGTGTTACGGTTAATCAAACGGGTGAAGACACCTCCCAAGGTCTCAATACCCAAGGACAAAGGAGTAACATCCAAAAGAACGAGATCCTTGACGTGACCAGACAAGACACCACCTTGAATAGCAGCACCAATGGCAACAGCTTCATCAGGGTTGACAGACTTGGCAGGTTCACGCTTGAAGATGCTCTTAACAGTATCCAAAACACGAGGCATACGAGTCATACCACCAACGAGAATAACTTCGTTGACGTCAGTAACTTGCAAGTTAGCGTCCTTCAAAGCACGCTTGCAGGGATCGACAGTACGGCGAACCAAGGGGTCAACAATCTTTTCAAATTGGGCACGAGAGATTTCAATGTTGATGTGCTTAGGACCAGTGGCATCGGCGGTGATGAAAGGAAGGCTAATGTCAGTCTTAGACAAGGTAGAAAGTTCACACTTAGCCTTTTCAGCAGCTTCACGAATACGTTGAACAGCCAAACGGTCACCAGTCAAGTCAATGTTATCGGAGCTCTTGAAGGTATTAATGATGTGACGAACAATAGCAATGTCAAAGTCTTCACCACCCAAGTGAGTATCACCGTTAGTGCTTCTAACTTCGAAAACACCATTGTTCAACTCAAGGATGGAAACATCAAAAGTACCACCACCCAAGTCGAAAACAGCGACAACAGCATCGTTCTTCTTGTCAAGTCCATAAGCCAAAGCAGCAGCAGTGGGTTCGTTAACAACACGCATAACATTCAAACCAGCAATGGCACCAGCAGCCTTGGTGGCCTGACGTTGAGAGTCATTGAAATAAGCAGGGACAGTTACAACAGCGTTCTTAACATTTTTACCGAGGAAGTCACTAGCAGTTTCCTTCATCTTACCAAGAATGAAACCACCGATTTGAGAGGGAGAGTATTTTTGACCACGAGCTTCTAACCAGGCGTCACCATTAGTGTGTTCGACAATCTTGTAGGGAACTTCATGAATATCACGTTGAACTTCGGGTTCCTTGAATCTACGACCAATCAAACGCTTGGTAGCGTAGAAAGTATTTTCGGGGTTAATAACGGCTTGACGCTTGGCACTAACACCAACCAAACGCTCGTTATCCTTGTTGAAAGCAACAACTGAAGGGGTAGTACGAGTACCTTCAGCGTTGGCGATGACCTTGGGGGTCTCACCCTCCATGATAGCCAAACAAGAAGTGGTGGTACCCAAGTCAATACCAATTACAGGACCTTGAGCCTTTTCGTTGGAGGCTTCAGTGGAATTCCAACGAAGGCCAGATCCAAAGCGGGAAGCAGCAGCTCCAAATCCAGCAACTGAACGCTGACCTTGGAGTCGTAATCCGTTTCGGACTACTTGAGTAACTCTGGGAGAAATCATCTTTTAGTATTTGTAAAGAGTCCTTGTCAGAAGAACTTTGGAATATGAAATGCCAATTATCCACACAAAGAGTTCTTTTTCTTACGATATTAAAATCCTATCGTTAAATTAAGTATACTATAATTAAAAAATTACTTCTTTTACTAAGAAAACACGGATTTTCCTAGTTCTTTTATAAGTGAACAAACAGGTGGTGTTTGGCTTTGTCTAAGTTATATGCCGTGAAAGGCGACGAGAATATTCCTTCGTGGCGGACCCCTCCTCAACTGTCGTCCACTCATTATCAGATACTCACATCTCAAAATATGTCTCACCCTTACTCGAAACAAAATCGAAATCGGGAGAACATTTCTTAACGGAAAAGAAAAAAATTGCCGAGCGAATTAAAATGCCTAGAAAACTCAAAGAAGATATGCAGAACATATTATTGTGAATAGGATTAGAGACCTATCAAGCTTAACTTTTCAAAAAGAAATAGAATAAAAATAAAAAAAAATGGAAAAAATAGTAATAACACTTAAAATATATTTGATCCTGTGTCCATCTATAAAAAATCTATAAAGAAAGTACAAAGTTCATTAAATAACTCATTAACAATGGGGAATCTTCCTACAGTGGATATAAAGTAGAAGTCGAAAAAAAAAAAAAAAAAGACGCGAATGAACCGAAAAGAATGCTTAAGAATGCATATCGCTCTTATAGTTTGCAAAGAAACAAACCGAAATAAAGGAAAATAAAGAAATTAAATTACAAAGAGAAAGGTCGGAACCAGAAAGATGGGTTTATGTTTTATTTCATCACACGCCTAGCAGTTCCAATATGGGTATTGTTAACTTTTGTAGCAAACCGCAAACTACATAGGGTTTCCGACACATGTTGTTGGACTGGAGATACGTTGACAAACATCAATGTTTTGCTATTTCCTCCTAATGAATGTTGAAGCAGATTTGTCAGCTTGGAATTTCGATACGGAACATAAGTTCCTTCTTTCTCGCCGCCCAAAGCATGAATCACATCTCCCAAACAACTTAAGCTTTTGTTAATGGCTTGCGTCTCTTTCAGTCGGTCTCCTGTACTTTGACTATGCGATAACCGTTCGGATCCAGCCAAGTCTATCAAATTCAAAGTACTATGGCATCTTTCTCCGGTGAGATGGTTAATACCTTGAATGTGAAGCATAAACACGGAGTGTGATCTGGAAGAATGCTCGTTGGCGTTTGTTGCTGCCACGAATCGATTCTTTGCAGACTGTTCTAAGAGCCAACTCACTTGCTCAGAGTTCTCTAAAGGCTCACGAGCCAAATTGGTAACCCAAGTCTTTCCTTCTTTCGCATCATGGTAAATCTCATATTTCTTTTTATCGTTATCATCGTTGGAATTGCTCACTAGTAAATCTTTTATACTCTCATTATAAATTTCGAGAAATTGCCCTTCCATACGATACTCCCATCCACGTTCGCGAAGTCCAAAGGCTCGATTGTATATCATTTGCACCGCACATGGAATCATACCCGTGGGAGAAGACATTGTATAAGTTTTTCCAGAACCCGTTTGTCCATAGGCAAAGATACAAACATTATAGCCATCCATGGCACTTTGTATTAATTGAGAGATTTCCTCAAAAATTTCTTCGTTATTGATATCAGGAGCAAAAACGCGATCGAACTTGAAAGGATACTTTTTTAGGGAATTGCCTGTCAAAGAACTGCCGGTCCCTTCTGTTAGCACTTCTATTTCATTTGCTTCTTCTCCTTGGCCTGGGTAATTAATTTCGGCTGGCTTTTCGTCTCCCATGCATGGTCGGACACGGCAAAATACTCGTATGTTACCCTTCAATTCTTGTATAGTATTGTGTAATTTTCTTCGCATAGATTCTTCTTTCAAAAGTTTGTTAATTAAAGTTTGCTTATCGCTATTACTAGCGTCAAGAAGTGATTCCACTTCAGATAGCCGATTTTGTAGATTCTGATTTTTTTGTTCTAATTCAACGACAGTGTTTTCCAGTGAGCGACATCTCGATTCAGAATTTAAGAGTGCTGTACTTCTTTCATCAAGATTTGCTTGTAAGAAAGTACTTGTCTCTTTCTGTAATTTCAATGAATTTTGCGTTTGTTCAAGTTCAGATGCTAAATTATCACGGCTTTCTTCTAAAGGTTTAATCCTAGCTTCTAACTCCTTTATCGCAACCTCATGCTTCTCAGTAGTTTTCTTTAGAGCCAGCGATGCACCTTCCTGTACCTTTTTGATAAATGCATCTTTTTCTTCCGTGACGTTCTTTACCATCGTTTCATGTTCAGCAGAGACATTTTTCATTAATTGTTCGTAGTGATTTTCGATTTCCTCCATTCGTTGTTTCGATTGAAGTTGTAAATTGTTATGTTCCTCGCTATAAAACAATTCTTGTTCTTGTTGTTTTTGCTGATAGAGGTAGCACTCATTTTCAAGCACCCTTGCATGATTCACTTCCATATCTTCTATTTGACGATGATGCTCTCGCTCAGCACCTTCTAAAGCTTCCTTCAAATTTTCAATTTGCTTCTTAGAAAAAATTTGATTTGCTTCATGTTCAGCTACTTCACGAAGAAGCGTCGAATAGTCATTTTGTAAACTTAACGACCGATTTCTTTCGTTTTGTAATGACTCTTCAAGCATCTGAGTACGTTGGCTAAAAAAATCTTTTACATCAGGGGATTGAGTAGAGGTTTGTAAAACTTTCTCGGAAAGATTGGCATAAGCAAGCTCAATGCTTCTAAGACGTGCTTCAGTCGAATTATCCACACTGGAAGAAAGTTCTGCTCTATCGTCAGAGTAAGTAGTCATGCTTTCATCCGAAAAACTTTTTGTTTCATCCATGCTACTTCTTGAAGTTGGTGGGACACTAGCAGGTTTTTGTAAATGAGAAGAAGCTGAAACCGAGCGCTTATACATTGAGCTCCCCATCGGCCTAGAGACATTCGATCTTCCGGAAGAAGCGGGAACCCTTGTCTTCATAGCCGGAAGAGATGTCCTGCCAGCACTTGCCGGGGGAGCCATCTTGCTAGGCAATTTAGTTGGTTTTATTAGATTTGCTTCATTATTTAAAGTAGAAAGGGACGCTCTCGGTTTTAGAATACGAGAAGACAAGTTGGTTTTTACGGATGGAGGAGGGATATGAGAGTTAAATTCCTTTATTCCATTGCGCGCTGGCGACAACGATTTTGTAGGGGTTGGTATACGTGACTATACGAATGGTTAACAATCAAAATCTTACATTTTTAAATATTCCAGCTTACTTGTAAACCCGTACTTCTATTTTCCTCCATAATTTTTCCGCCTCAGAGGTATAGGATAACACTGCATGTATTACGGAGTAGGTGCGTGTTCAAAGCATGCTGGAAAACAGAATCGTTGATTGTATAATGTCATTATATAGCAAATATCAACAAAGAAATACTTTTTCTGTTAAACAAATTTCTACATTTTGATGTGTTTTCGCTAATTATAAGAATAAATACGCGTTGTGTCTATACTATTAATGCCTCAGATTTAAACTGAAATGATCCCATTAATCTATATTACCTCTAGCATTAAATAAAAGATTCCAAATAATTATTTTCCTTCAAAATAAAACCTCGATATTTCGGGAATAAACAGTACAATGCGTTTAGTAGCAGTCTCTAACAATTAACATATGGTCGTCAACAAGGAATCAAAAATATTTTCTAATCTGTCTTCATTAGGAAATTAATCGTTTTTCATTTAAATACTTCTAATATGCTGCAGCGACAGCTTGTTTCCTACTATCGCTAACAGCATACAAAGTATTATTCGACTTAAAAACTGCTTGGATTTCACTGAATGGAGATCGGACAGGTATCAAATCTATCACATGTCCGAACTTTTCCAAAGCTAGTCTCACTTCATCTTCCACGGTTTCATCAATATATGCAATATTAGGCATCAACTGATGATGAAATCTCGGACTCTCAATAGAATCCAATAAAGATTTGTTCCATTTATACTTTTTTATAATTGTATCCAAAACGGCAGTGACAATTCGGCTACCGCCGCTTCCACCCAAAACCATTTCAACGGTTCCATTATTTACAAGAATGGTAGGAACAGCAGAACTCTGCGGCCTTTTACCAGGTTGGATGAAATTATAAGGTGAAGGACTAAGTCCAAACGCGTTAATAATTCCCGGACTAGCAAAATCATCCATATGGTCATTCAAAATGATACCAGTTCCGGGTTCCATAATCTGGGCCCCAAACAGCAAATTAATAGAAGCTGTCAAACCAACAGCCATACCATCTTTGTCAATTACTGAAAGATGTGTAGTTCCGTGATTCTGGGGAAAATCATATTCAGCGTGGTAATGAGTAAAATCGTAAGTACGGTTCGGTGATATGTTTTCACGAATATCATCTGCATGCCTCTTAGAAAGAAGCTGCAAGACGTGTTGGGAATTGTCAAAGAAAGTTGGATCTCCCAGCAACGTCCGGCCAGCAGACATCCACTTCATAGTTTCAATCAATTGATGGAGACCCAGGTCAGTAATCTCGCATCCAAGAATAGAATTTCCTTGAGAAAAGTCTACCTCCGAAAGTATGTTTAGGCCCAAAATTAGTACCTCACCACTACAAGGTGCTCCGCAGGTGATGACTTCACGACCTTCAAAGTTTCCATAAACTGGGTTCTCTACGATGACCGAAAAGTTAGCCATGTCTTCCAAGGTGAGAATACCACCTTCTTCTTGAACAAAATCGACTAACCGTTTGGCAATGCTGCCTTTATAAAAAACTTCAGCACCGTATTTACTAACTTCTTCGAGAGTTGCTGCAAGAGTTGGGCGATAGAATGTTTCTCCAGCCTTTAAGAAACGCCCGTTAGGAGCATACACTTTGGACCAAGTAGGATGAGTTTTAAAGTAATCAAATTCTGGGCGACGAAGGCGTGAAGCTAATTCTTTTGGCATCGGCATTCCATACTTCATAAGATGAATTGTAGGCTCAAAGAGTTTAGCCCACGGAAGTTTACCGTATAACTTCCATGCCACTTCGTAGCCAGCGATTTCACCTGGAACCGCTACAGATAATCCACCAACTTGGGAGACATTGGGGTTACCATGAAACATATCTTTATAGGAACCAGAAGGAGCTGTCTCTCTAAAATTTAATGAATTAGCTGTTCCATTAGGATGTCGAATTAGCATAAAACCTCCACCACCTATTCCGCTAGAGAAAGAATTTACGGCTCCAATACAAATGCCGCTAGCAATGGCTGCATCTACAGCATTACCACCAGCTTTCAAGATCTCAGTTCCAACCAAAGAGCATGTCTGTTCTTCCGTAGCGACCGCACCATTCCTTCCCTCGATAACGGTTTGATAATCCCCTTTATTCTTATATTTAAGAGTATTTTTCTTGCTAATTAAGTACTTTCCATTTAATTTTATAGGCCAAATATTCAATGAGATAATAGCAGCAAGCAAGACTGTAAAAAGTACTAACAGTGATGGACGAGAAGACCGTTCTAAAGAACTCGTCTCATTCTTTTTGAACACTTTTGATGCTAAAGGCCGTGACTTTGAAGTTTTCTTGGCTTTTTTTGATGACATGTACTTATCATCTTTTTTTGATGCTAATGGCTTTGAACTCATCTTTTAACAAAGGAATAATTATAGGAAAAGGAGTAAAAAGGAAAACCAGATAAAAGTATTTTATATTTATCCTTGTTTTATATCTGCTTTGGGTTTTCCTGGTTATTATGCAACCATAAAGAAATTCACCAAATTTCTATTGAAAGTGAAAAACAAGAAACAAAAGAGCAAGCAGCGTCCAAATATAAAAGAAAGAAAAAATAAGAATCCCTTCTTTACCTAAAACAAGGCATTGAAGTCCAACGATTCCTTTGTAATCACTCAGGTGTGGTTAGTCAACGAGTGGTGGTGTGCATGTACAAACAAAAAATAATCAAGTCGCTTAGGATGGTTTTCAAAATACATAACATTCGGCTCTTGCAATAATTCACAAGGAATATTCCTTAAAAGGATAAAGAAACATTTCAAAATGCTAAACTCCCTAAAAACTATTTCGCAGTCTGCTTTCCTAACTCTACGTCAAAACTGAGATACAAGTTGAGTTTGTTGACTATTTTGACATTAAAAATGAATAGCAGTTTTAGGTCATTGTCGGTTTGAAACTTGACGAGTATTTACTTTTCTAGGTTACTCCAGTAAAGCATCAAACATTTTACTTCAATGGTCTTAAAAAAACGTTGTCTCCTTCCAAGGCAATCAACTTGGAAACTAAAAATAAATTCCAAAAGCAATTTTTTATGGCTTATACAAGAATGAGTTTCAAAACGTACCGGAGTTCATAAACATTGTAGAGCATACACAAAAAAGTCAGAAGTTTATAGCATAAATCTCTTCTGCGCATAGACGAACGTTTGTACATATGTAGGACAAATTTATTGTTGATAAATAAGAAAAAATTGTTGTTAAAAATGGGCAATAAGCCTTTACTATTTCACGATGGAAGGAAAAAAAAATAAAAAAAAAACGTAAACATTGACAGCTACGTATTTGCTAAACAATATATACAAAAAATACCATATCTAGCTTATAGTTTACTTTGCTACCAACAATACCAACAAGTCCCGGGTAGCTCAATCGGTTTAGAGCGTCTGACTCTTATGAAGGTCATCAGAAGGTTGCGAGTTCGAGTCTCGCCTTGGGAGTTCTTTTTTTTTAGTTTTACTCTAATTTGCCCGTCATCAAAATGAAAAACTTTGTTTTTCTTTTAATAAGTAAGTATTTTAAACGAAATGAGTAAATTTGCAGTGATTTGGATGTATCAGAGATGGAAGTTGAATCAGTTACTGAACTTTACAGATCGTAGCATCTTGTATAAAGTGTATATACTAGGATAAAATTACCATAGATTTCTATAAATTAGGAGTTTGAGTAGTCAATAATTAAAAGAATAGACGAGACACATTTTTGACATAGTAATGAGACAGCACTATCCGGTCCAAAAATATCCCAATGTTTTATACTGCAAAACTCTGCTTCCCAATGTCTTCCAATCGCTAGTTTTAATCCAGAATTCAGACACAATCCGTAAACGATTGTATATACATCCACCTTTCCATGCAATAATTTGAGCATCTAGTCCACGTGGGGGCGGTAGTACAGCAATGTTTGGAATGTTTGCTCTCTTGGATTGTAGCCGTTCTTCTAAAAGGTGCGAAAATCCAGGAAACAAAGCACCACCACCAACAATCAAGATGCTAGAGTATAAGTTTTTGGCCTGATCACCCAAATTCCCTTCACAAGCACTGAAAATACTTTGGTTGATGGCATCATCCAAAGGGTAAATAAGCTTCTCCTTTATTCTTTCAGGATAGGCAAGTGATCCCAAATGGACTACCCTTGGTTTCTTCACTTTGTTTGCGTCGTCCGCTTTGGAGTCTTCTGCTACTGATTTCAATTCTTCTTCCTTTGAGGCTAAAGGCGCTGTTATTTGTAACAAGGTAGTATGAGCAAGTGACTCTGGATTGTTCGGCTGATTTTCGTAAACGTCCACGGAAACAGGGAAAAGCTTGTATCTATCTTTCAACTTTTCTCCATTCTCAAATATATCTGGGCGGAAATATCCAAACGGAGAAAGAATCGTTTCATCCAGCACCTTGAATGAATATTTCTTTGTGCCGCCATCCGGCGTACGAGAGTGAAAATCATTCACCTGAATATTATACGTCCCTTGGCTAATACCGCAGTATTTTTCCTTTAAACTCTGCATCAGATCCCAATCGTAAGGGAGGCAAAGGTCTAATTCACGATATGGGAAATTGCTTTTAGCTAGAAGTTTTGCAAATAATAGCGTTACGTCGTCTCCTCCGTACTTCATATTAATTCTCGAGTTTGGAATTACAATACCTTCTTCCACACAGCTCACAGATGTTTTTTCGGCACCAACGTCTACAACACAAGCTGAAGACATTCCGGCGCCAAACGAGGTACAGAGGGACTCCTGTACGATGGCACTTTTTCCAAACTGAAGGTCATAAAATAAAAGGTCTAAAAATCTTTCTATGTAAATGCGATCATAAAGGTCTGGAACGATGAAAACAGAAGAGTATTGCGGTAACTGGGAAAGTGGTATTTGTAACAAGTCGGAAATAGAATACTTCAGTATCTCATATATGTCCGAAAACATTTGCTGAGAGGATTCATAATCGTTCTCGTTGAAGATTCCATCTTTTAAAGGATGAAACAATCGATATTCCGGATATTCCTTCAGAGGAAGGAGTGAAGCCTAAATTTGTTAGTCGGGTTTTCGTTAGATTATAAAAGGACATTACTGTACCTTTTCGCCGATGATTACATCTGGACGTTCATTATTTTCAAATTGAATCCAGTCGGGCTTAAGGGGATCTTCATGAGATGGGATGACCTCAGGTTTAGATATTTTATTGAAGTTGTTCACGAGCGCTGGACCATTGGGAACGGGTCGATTTTTCTTTGCTTTCAAGCGAGCCTTCAATTCTGTTTGCAGTAATTTCAAATTATTTTCAAACTAATTATTCAAACTGATAAGCTAGTTGTTCTCACATATTCCTAACAAGAAGAATCAACGTACCTCTTCGTCAAATTCAAGGTTGCCATCCTCGTTTTTTTCGCACATTTTGGATAATTGGAGATGAGGATGTTCAAAATTAACTCTCATTTTTCTGGCAACAACCATAGGAACGGTTTTCGGAAAATGATCTGATGCTAATCCAATACGAAGATTTTGGGATCCTACATGAATGACCACTGTTTTAGCATCCCTCTAACCTTAGGTTAGTAGACCGGTTTGATTTCTTTGCTTAAATATTACCTGTTTTCCTTCTTGCGTATTCTCTTCCATGCCATCCTCCTCTTCTTCGGCAGCCTTTTTGGAATCTTCTTGCTTGACGTCTCCTATTGTAGTATCAGGCTCACCATCCTTGGCATTAGCGGTATCTCTCCAAATATACATTTGATCATCTCGTTTTAAGTAATCTCTTCAAAAATTAGCGCTCGACTTGACATGGACATGACATACGTATAGAAGTTTTTTTGATTGATAGGAGGAACAATTTGAAATTGTGTAAATTTAAAGTCAATTCCTTCCTCAGTATCACTTTGTTTTCTTTTCGGAGCCATGCTTGCACATAATAAAACACTTTTGTGTAGGTCGTGCTTGATTCACGCAGTGGGTGCTTGTACCGTATAGTTTCTTCTTCGTCCTTGTCTGGGGAAGTGACCGAAAAGTTACGAGGTCGAGTAATAAGTAATATACCATAAAATAATGAAAGTATTTTTATTTTATTTCTTACACGAATCATTGACTTTAATTATAGACTTTCTACTGAACTCTTTTGTCTAATTAAATAAAACCGACCTTTGTATCTGACATAAAGTATAGAGCCTAATATATTCGACTGTCAGTTTCATAAAATGCATTAAGTATATTATTGTTAATTCTTTCGAGTAATCGAACTCCTAGCAACAACTATTCCCCAGCATTTCAAGCGCTATTTATTATTCACGAAGAAACATAAACAATTAAACCGCAAAATCCACCCATGGCTCTGATGTATTAATATATATTAAAAAAAGACTAAAGAATGGATGTGCTAGCTGACTTGAATAAACAAACTACTTTTCTCGTGTGATTATATGACTATAATTTGGTAGTGAATCAAACGGCGTAGCCGTATGTTGTTCAAAAATATGTTTTTTCTATTCTTTTTCATATTCAAAATTCTCTTTAATTTCCCAAAAAGCTTCAATGTTAAGCTGGAAGTTCATTACTCCTTGCTTGTGAAATGTATAAGATCCATAATATTCCATATAAAAAGTATCCAAACCCTTTCCCTCTCCATTCTTTCAATTTAAAAATATTTAGCCATTTAATTGAACCATATTTACTGGTACTTGCACTATTGTACGTATACGTTCATTTCACCATTTTTACATTTTTATTTGTTTACTTTCGTAAATTCACTGCATTGCCGAATAATTTCTTTACGGTAATACGTCCGACAGGCATATACAAAATAAGGATATACAATGGACCACTGTAAACACCATCCTATACTCCACATCACATACTATTAGTTTTGACACCCAGCGCGTCTTTTTCAATGGTATGGAGTAAACTATAGTGTTAAACTAACAATTGCAGTCAAACAGGAGACAAGATTATATCCTACGAGTGAGGTACCATAATCCACTTCCTCCTCCCCCATTTCCTCCTAGGCTCATAAACATTTCGAATCCAGTCAAGCAATATGCCTTGCCAAATTTTGTATCGAATGTAGTCCAAGAAAAGAAAATTTCTATTGAAAATGACGCTGAACTTGGAATGCCCATGGATTTGGCCGCTGTCGATGGTTTTTTTGAGGGCGATACGTCTTGGATGCAATCCGATATGTCTGGTATGAATTTGGACCCAGCAGACCGCGCTTTGCTAAAAGTTGCTGGAGGATCGGGATCTTCTCATGTTGAGGTTCCATTTTTGAGACGGACTGAATACATTTCTTCTGAAGTTGGACGAAACACCTCAACTCGTGGTAACTTGCGATTGACTGCTTCCACGAGCAAAGCTATTGCTGAACAACGTGGTCGTTCGCTTCGTGAAATCCCCAGTCAAATTCAGGCTATCGATCAAACCTTTTCTGCCGTCAAAGAGCCTTTGCAAAATCTGAAGCATCCAACGAAGCCTGACTTAAAACCGGTTGCTGCTTGGAATATCTTGCCAAACGATTCAATGGCAGGCATTCAACATCTCATGCTACGTGTATCTGATAACCTTACGGACCGCGCACCTACTCCATCAATAAATGAAGATGACAGCGTTTCAAAAAGACATAATGTTGCTCTCTTTATGCCTTCTTCTGCGGAGGGAGAACAGTATTTATCTTACTATCTTCCTTCGGAAGAAACAGCAGAAAAAGTCCTAGAAGCTTCCAACAGCTCATCGACGACCAAGGGCCCCTTCTTGTATAACTTATTCCGCAATTTTGATGCCACTATGCATGTTAATCCTAGCGGTTTAGAAGATATTTGTTTAAGCCTTCACACTGATAAGGAAAATCCTGAAAATAACAAGGCCCTGTACACTCCAATCTATGCACGGTCGACATTAAAACGACGACATGTTCGCGCTCCCATCAACCCTGACACAATTGATGGTATCGAGTTGAGACTACGAGAAATCAACAAGGAAGAAGGTGTACAGTTGAAGCGGGCTAGGTATGAGTCGTTTGCTATGGGCGATGAAGAAGCTCTCGTGAAAGAAGAACAAGAAGTTGCTGAAGAGCAGGCAAAAGAAGAAGATGAACTTAATGAAACAGGAATGCAACAACAGGACTCGAATACTCAGCCTCCGCCTGTAGAAAATGCTCAGGAGCAAGAACAGTCTTCTAGCCCTAGTGGACAGAACGAAGAAAAGGAAAAAGAGGATGGAGATGAACAGAATCGGCAATCAGAGACCGTCAATAATGAAAATAGTAAATCCAGTTTAGATGAGTCTACAAATTCAACGAATGGAGATCATCAAAATCAAGAAGAACCCGTCCTGGATCCTGCCGACAAGAAAGAAACCGATATCCCAGTTGACAATTCTCCCTCTTCTGCACCAGGATCACCGTCTGCCGCTAATCATGCCTAAAAAGTATATTATATAGTCATTCAATTTGTAGATAAAAATAATACGAATGTCTTTTTGCCATGTTTACTTATTGAATTACTAATACAACTTTCCTGTAATCAATTACAATCTCACAATAATGGCCGCAAACTTTACATTATAAAAAGTACTTACAAATGCAATACCATCAGATACTACATGTCTACGGTAAAAGGGTTGCTTTGGAAAAAAAAATAATATTTTCTTTGCCTTAACGGTAAGACTTTTGTTGACGAGCACGAGCACCGTGACCACCGAACTGAATGAAAAATTAGTATAAAATCATGAAAATGATCGGCAACAGAACAGTCCTTCTGTAACCTTATGAAAGGTCTACTTACCTTCTTGGGTTCCATACGACGAGGGTCGGCAACCAACAAAGTACGGTCGTAAGTGACGAGGGCCTTCTTAAGTTCAGCCTTGGAGTGTTCGTCGACAAACTTTTGGTAGTAAGCAACGATAGCCTTGGAGATGGCTTGACGAATGGCATAGATTTGAGAAACATGACCACCACCGGAAACACGGACACGAATATCAACGCCGGCGAACTTGTCAGCTCCAGCAACCAAAATGGGCTCGTAAACCTTCATACGCAAAATTTCGGGTTGGACAAGAGAAAGAGGTGCACCGTTGACCTTGATCAAACCCTTACCGGCCTTACAGTGAGCAACGGCGGTAGCATTGCCCTTTTTTCCAAAGCACTGAACTGATTGCATGGTTGGCTCCAGTAGGATTATTACTTTACACTTAGCAAACTATACTGTGGTGGTGGTGAAAAAAGCAGTCACACATTCGACCCACAACGAAAAAAGCATCCACGACAGGGGAGGAACTTATCCTCTACACCAACACACCTGAACCACCATGGCAATCCACGTTAAAGGACAGTTGCCCAACGCTCACTTCCGCAAGGACTGGCAACGTTATGTTAAGACCTGGTTTGACCAACCTGGTCGTAAGTTGCACCGTCGTCAAGCTCGCCAAACTAAGGCTGCTAAGATTGCTCCTCGTCCCGTTGAGGCTCTTCGTCCTGCCGTTAAGCCACCCACTATTCGTTACAACATGAAGATTCGTGCTGGCCGTGGTTTCACTCTTGAAGAACTCAAGGCTGCTGGTGTTTCTCGTCGTGTCGCTCCTACCATCGGTATTCCCGTCGACCACCGTCGTCGTAACCGCTCTGAGGAGTCCTTACAACGTAACGTCGAGCGTCTTAAGGCTTACCTTGCCCACTTGATTGTCTTCCCTCGTAAGGCTGGTCAACCCAAGAAGGGCGATGCTACCGATGTTTCCGGTGCCAAGCAAACTGATGCTAGCGCTGTCTTCCCCATCACTCAAGAAGCCGTTGAGGAAGCTAAGCCCATCACCGAAGATGCTAAGAAGTTCCAAGCTTTCAACACTCTTACCAACGAGCGTGCTAACGCTCGTCACCTCGGTGCTCGCATTGCCTTCGCTAAGAAGCGTGCTGAAGAAGCTGAGGCTAAGAAGAAGTAAAATGTTTGTAGTAATTGGATCAGTTTGACTTGGAAAATAGGAATGCATGGATCTTGTAATTCTCAATTATATTTGTATCTGTACTATCGCTGAATGTAAACTTGTTGAAAACAGTAATTGTGTATTCTTTTCACCATAAATTATTTGTAAATACGAAATACTTGCCTGTGTCAGAGTCATAGTAGGACAACACATGTATGCGTACAAGAATATTTGCTTGACACTGTTGCAATTACTGGTTTAACAAATTCTCTGGTCTTCCACTGGCATCTAACTACTTGCTTTCTCTCCCACTATTCTTGAAATTTTTACTCCATTCTTAGGTGACAAAAGTATCATTTTTTTTTTCTTCCACGGAAAGGCAGTCACAAAGAAGCATTTGTTGCCGCCGACATCAATTACTCATTGTGCCCTCCACCAACAACAATTAGAAAAAAATGGCAGAGGAAGCACCGGTAATCCAACAAAATAACGTCCTCGAGCCTGAAGTTATACTCAAGAAACGTAAAGTTAATGAGCGAACTCGGCTTGAACGAGTAGAAGCTGCTCTTGAAAAGAAAAAGGTAAGAAGAACACAACTGCGAGAAAAAAATGTTTGAAAAGGATGACAACTTCACTCTCTCGATAGCTAGCTGCGGCGATGCTGCTTCTATCACCATCTTTCGGCTGATTCGAAAATTTTTATTTCGCAGAAATGCTTTTCAAAGCAAAATATTAACATTTTATAGGCTTTAAGCAAAAAGAAAAACATTATTTTCAAGCGTGCCGAATCATTCGTAAAGAACTATCGGGATGGTGAAAGAGAGCGTTTGAGGTTGAAGCGCGTGGCTAAGAAGACCGGCGCCGCTTTGGTTGACGAGGAGTCTAAACTTCTCTTTTGCATTCGCGTTGCTGGTGTACGCAATGTACCGCCTAAGGCTCGTAAAGTCTTACAACTTTTACGCTTAACCAGTATCAATAACGGTGTCTTTATCCGTAATAACAAGTCGACAGCTAACATGTTGAAGCTTGTCGAACCATACGTTACTTATGGCGTTCCGAGTCTAAAGTCTGTGCGCGAACTGATTTATAAGCGTGGTTTTGGTAAAATTAAAGGTCAAAGAGTCGCCCTTTCTGACAATGCTCTTGTCGAAGAAGCTCTTGGAAAGCTTGATGTTATTTCTATTGAAGATATTATTCACGAGATATATAATGTTGGACCTCATTTTAAAGAGGTTAGTAGCTTCTTGTGGCCTTTCAAGTTGACCTCCATTAAACGCTCTTTGATTGAGAAGAAAGCCAAACATTATAATGAGGGCGGAAGAACTGGTTTCTGTGGTGAAGACATAAATAACTTTATCAAAGAACAAGCTTAAGATCGACTCTCTTTTAGCCGTATTATAATGCCCTCGTTAAAAACATCGGAAGATGTTTTATGTATATTAGAACTAGTTTTACGGATTGGAATTTATTAATTGGAATTGTATTAAGGTATCTGGATTTAATTTGAAGATATATTTGAGTGAGTGGTCATAAAGATAGAACTAGTATTGTAAAAGCTCGTAACTATAATACATCAACTTTGCATGGAGCTCTACGTTTCAGTATCGTCTTGTGAGAAGATGCCGTGGTAGGTTTGCTCATGTTGCGTTGGTCCAAATTCAGCATCGTCAGCTACGTCGTTGTCGAATGCCATCAGTTCGGTTTCATCCGGCATACCTTCCAAAAATAGCGGGTGATTCTCTTCATCTGTTGTCTGTCTAGATGGCTTTGCAGCTGGTTCTTCGTTTCTTGGTATATCCAATGTGGAATGAAACATCCTAGAAGTCTCTGCATCCCCCTAGTATACAGTTAGAAGAATACGTTTTCATGAACTTACATTAGTTTGCCATCCTATTGACGCAGACGGTGCTTCATTTTCTAAAGCTGGGGCAGCACTGGTGTTCTCTGGAACGAGTAAACTGCTATTTGCAGTACCACTTTGCTGCCACCTTGCACCCAAAGAACTTTCATCGAAATCGTCGGGTCCCATAACAGTAGCGAGAATAAACTGAGCTTCAATCTCCATAAACTTTCCCTTATTAAATGTGAACAAAGCGGGCTTTCCTGATACACTGTAGTATGATGCGATTGACGTTCCTAGAGATTCAGCAAGCAAAACAGCAGCCTGCAAAGGTTAGCAAATGAAATCCATATGAACGATTCGTATACATACCCGAAATTCTTTTAGAGATAGCGTTATTATTATGCCTTCATTAAGGGAAACTTGCTCAAATTCTTTTCCGTCGATTGAAACTGTTGTTTGTGTAGGCTGCTTTAGGACATCTAGAGAATCATTAGAGTAATCCAAAAATTTGATATCTACCTTTGTTATGAACGACCTCTTCCGTAAAACTGGTCAGAAGGACCCGTCCTTGTACTGGCTGTATCGTCAATTCTTCTGTTTTTTGTCCAAAATGCTCAATCAAATCTTTCAGTATTTTCGAATTAATTTGCCAGTTATTATGACAAGAGGCCTTATCAAAAACAGCGTGTAATGTTTGGGTCTGTTCATATGCAATTTTGTAAGTTTTTACGACTCCTGAAGATATCGAGTCAGTAGCGTCCAACTTAATATTTAGGACATACCATGCTTGCAATTAAATTTAAAGATAACTCTGCATTCTTTTCCTGATGTAATCTGCATTTGTATATTCTCGACAACGACATTCTTTTTACTGGAAGATTCGGCTGCACCAGCGTTGGTATTGAGATTGTTGTTGACCAAGAGAGTCGATTCAAAGATTTTATTCCGAAAAATTGAAAGGATCGGCTTTATTTGCGTGCTTAATCTCACTGTTGGAGAAACAAACCCTGTAAGAAATAGAGTATCTGGATGGAATGTGAACTTATCAAAAAACTTTTTTGTGAGAGTTACCTTCCCAAATCCAGACCTAGACGAGTTCAACGTGGTTAAAATAAGCTATAAAGTTCGTTAGTCCCTAATGACTGAATTGAATATGGATTCTTCGTGGATTCATACTTGATCTTTGTTAATTTCCCAATTTACGGCATCATCAATCCTAGAAAGATTCAGAAATATTCTCGAAAGGTCCCTTAAGTTTGTATTTGAAACAACAAATTCCATAGAGCTCAATAGAGTTGCTTTTCTTCAATCGGATGCGATGCGTCTTACAAACTTCAACGCTCAACTTTTTAGCGTAGTTTTAATTAAATAATTATATATATCATCTACAAATTAACAAATCTTAAATGTGAAAGTTGATAGTTCCGTATACCCAGAAATTGTTCTGTTATAAAATAGGACGTACTTATGGACGCGAACAAAGCTACGAATGAATGTCTAATTTGACCGAACAGTATAAATAACATTCTTATATATATTTGAAGAACTTACAACAAATAAAAAAATAATAATTTATCTATAATCGGATTCTACATATACGGCTCGCAGGGTTAGTCAGCTATCACAATATGTTGAAGCAATGCACATATGTACTACTGTCTAGAATTAAAAATATTAATTTTCTTGGTACAACCAATCTTTAAGCCTTATAACTAATGAAATCAAAACTACCAATCTAACACCTTTCTCCAGTAATACCTTTTTACGAATAAGAAACCAATATTATCCATTACTTTTAAATCCCAAAAATCTTGAATATCAATAAACCATATTCCCTAAATTTTTTTGTCAGGCTGTTTCTAGCCAAAAAGAGAGAACCCGTCGTTCGTAGCTAATGAAAGCTCTTCTTCTTGTTTCTTTTCTGCATCTTCTCCATCTTTAGTATTCTCAGACATATCGATGCGTTGACCCAGAAGACTATTAAATAAATCGTCAATGTGTTCTTCGGGCCAAGATCTCACCTCGACGGGTACCATGAAATTCTGAAGCTTCTCATGGACATGATAACGTAATTTCCGTCCCTTTGACGCTTTGGTATCAACATTTTCTTTCTTTTGTTTTTGTTGTTTAGAAGCGACCCACCGAACGTTTGTATCTCTTCCAGAGTCTGCCAATCTTGAATTAATAAAGTCCTTCAACAGAGATTGGTAAAATTCCGTATCATCATAAAGGTCAGGATTAGGAGTTTTGGAACCATCTGAGCGGCTCAAACGCGAACGCTCTATTAGATCATCTTTATTCAGCATTGTTTGATCAATTTGTTGTACAACATTCTGATTTAAAGCCTTAAATTTGTTGCTTTGTGTAATTCCTTGAGCAGCTTGAACACGACTGTGCCATTTTGTTAGGGTATTATTTTTCCAGTCTTCTAAAGAGTCGTCTAAGTTATTCATTGTCGATAAAATTGACTCTAGATCCTCGGAATCCGCTTTTCTTTTCAGGCCTCTAGGTTCTATACCACTATCCACCATCAAATCAACGCGGAGTTCCATCGTTTTTTGAATGAAGGAGAGCAAGGAATTTTTAACATCATCAGTGGAAACCACAGACTCGTCTGCTTGATCATTGGAGACATTGTCTTGGTTTCCCTCGGATGTATTCACAGTGTGTGCTTGAGTAAACCCTTTTTGCAAACGTATCCGTGTATCTAGGACTCGATCGTACAATCGCATTTGTTCCTGAAGAGCAACACCCTTCTTCATATCCTGAACAGCAGAGCTTCTAATCTTATCAGACAGTCTTTGTTCTCCATGCAACATCTTTTTTAGCTTGGAAATATCTCCATCAGGAAGTGCAGCCGCTTCATTATCCTCCTCTTCGGAACCCTCATCAGACTCGTCTTCGTTTTCAGATAGAGATTGATCTTCACTACCTGCTTCATCTTCATCTCCCGAAACGCCTTCAGATACGTCCTCACCCGAGTTTTCATTTTCACTGAGAGGTTCTTCTTCCAAATCCTCGGAATCTTCCTCAGAAAGGGATTCATTATCTTGGTTTGCCTCCAAATCCTTTCTAGATATCTTTTTTCCTTTAAATCGAGGATCCAAAGCAGGTCCTTGTCTGCTACGCAGCTTGCTTGCACTTAATTGGCTTGGTTAGTTGTCATTCAATGATCTGGTTTTGCTGAACACATACCCAACATCAACATAGTGTTCTCTCCCAGCATTCTTATTCTCATTATCACTAGAATACTCTTGATCAGAGAGTGCTGCGTCTAACGCCTCTGGATCTTTCTCCACTAGAAAATTGTTAGAAAAAACAATTTTTGTGGAATTGCATACCTTCTGGAGTAGGATTCAGCATAGAAGCCAATTCATCTTTCATAAAGACTATTTTTTGTTAGTTTTTTGTCAATTTTTACGAGTTCTCATACCTTTCCCCATGGTGGTGGCCTTGTTAGTAGTGCTTGGGTCTTGGCAAATTTCCTTCGTGTTAGTCAACTCTAGTATATAGAGCAAAAGGTTAACCAACAAGGTGAATGATAGTTGGAATATATCCAAACAATATATAAATAGAAAGTAAGAAATCAAGAACCGCTTTTTCATTCATTTTCGGTTTCTAAAGTTTAAAATTCAGCGACCATTTCAATGCTAAAAGTAATACTTTACTCTGGCAAATTAAATACACAGGATGAAACGCCCTATTATGTTTTATTCATTTCCTTTTTCCTTTTAGCTGCGTTCAATCAATGAACATTGGCAAGTACAGGGAAATATTGAAAAGTTGTCATAATGGATATTGAATTAGCTTGCTAAAATGATAAAAGTCATGTTTTATGGTATGAATAGGTTTCCATTAGGCATCTTTCAGCTCAATTGGAATAGTGTACGTGCAATTCTGAAACGTAGGGATCTATAGACTATAAAATCAATGTAGAAAAACTCACTAGTGCTTATTTAGTATTCTAAAATAAATTATGAACAATATCTGGGTCATATTTTTTGTTTACATGCATGTTTATGTGTTACACGCATATGCTTGTAATAGGTAGTTGAATAATGCTTATATGCATATATGCTCTTATATATGCGTATAACGAGGTTCGAGGAGAATGGTGGACTAGGTTGTCTCACGTAGAAGAGGTAAACTAGCATTTAGCAATTTGAGGTCACGAAGGACCACCACAAACACGCGGCATTTCTGATCGTAAATAAGAGCTTTGGAACAATTTGTTCCGGAAACGCGAAAAAAATGGTGAAAAACGTTCGTTCATATCGACGTTCATCTACTACGAAACGTTCTGTGCTGGACGAAGACTCTGAACCAGAACTACCTAGCATGAGTAAGGAAGCACTGGAAGCAAATAACGTTGATAATATATCTTCGGAAGATGAACCATTAGTTAAACACGAAAAACCAGAGAAAAACACTGGGAAAGAGACTATTGGTGACGATGATGCAGCGGGAAAGAATACCAACGAAGAAACCGATCAAGATAATGGTGAGGAAGATGACGACGCAGAAGAAGAGTATGTTGTTGAAAAAGTGCTAAAGCACCGTCTGGCTAGGGTATGCATGTTTTCATTCTTGGTTGATTATACTAACAGATGATCCTTGCGCGTTTCACCCTCTAACAACGGTGAAAACAAGGGATCTGTATTAACAGAGAGGTGGTGGTTATGAATATCTATTAAAATGGGAAGGATATGATGACCCAAGTGATAACACCTGGAGTACAGAAGCAGACTGCGAGTATGTATTATCGGCGATGGAGGTCTATCGAATCAAGCGAAATTCTTGAGTGACAAGAAGAGGAAATTTAATATACTTTTTAATTCCTTATTTCTTTCTTCTTTCGATGGATTCTCTCTGCCATATTTAAATTACTAAACTAACACATGTAATAGTGGTTGCAAAGATCTCGTAGTAGCATATTGGGAAGAACGAGGTGGTCGTCCAGATGCCACTTCTAAAAGAAAACGTCTTGGTCGAGGCCGTAAGCCGGAAAATAAAGAGACTTCTGTTAAAAGCCGAAGGGTTTCTGACCCAGAACCTGCAAGACCCAGTGTAGAGCCTGAAGAAGAACACGAAGAGAGAAAAGAAGTTTCCTCGCCTACTAAGACACCTAGTCCAGAAAACCATACTGCTGAAAAAAGAGAATCTCCTCGAAAAAATGGTCATGCAGAGCCTAAAGAAAATGTTCCATCACCAAACGGACCATCTTCCTTGCCGAGGAAAGAGGAACTACCGAGTGCTAGTCCCAAGAAGAACCATTTAAAAACACCTGCTCTTCCTGAAATGAAAGAATTAACTGCGCAGCAAGTTGAAAGGTATGATACGTGGGAGGAGTTGGTAGCCAGCATAGATACAATTGAGCGGAAAGACGACGGGACACTCGAAATTTATTTAACTTGGAAAAATGGTGCTGTGTCGCATTATCCAAGCTCAATCACGAACAAGAAATGTCCTCAGAAAATGCTACAGTTTTATGAAAGTCACTTGACGTTCCGCGAAAACGAATGAAAGATGTTGCTTAGCGAATGAGATGTATAGCTTTTTCGCGGACAATACATAGGTATAGTACATTTGGACACCCTTGCTTAGAATTTTGGTTACATACATTTTTTTTCTTCACGTCATTCGTCCTTATGTTTCCGTTTGCCCTTTTGAAGTCTTGAGTAATATCTTACTGAATTATGAGAGCTTCTCGGTAGTGATCATTTAATGTTGTACATGGTGCGATATAGTGCAGAGAGACGCATGAAGGCAGTTTTATATATAATTCCTTTAATGTACCTTGAATTTAACGCTTTTTTCGTGAAATTGTCTATTTGCTCATGTAGTGACTCATTCCTATTATAGTAACTACTAAAACTAAACAAAAATGTCATATTATTTTTAAACCATGTTGCACAATTTGTTTCAATTCATTTGTTTACTAATTCATTTTTTTCTTTGTTTACTTGAAGGTGACTATTGTTTTTGATAAAAGTTTGCGATGCCGTATACTCGTACTGCGTAACACCTATTCTATCCTTATCTCATATCCAGCTGTTTTTGAACATTATATTGTAACTTGACATTTGCCATATTATTTACCTTTGTTTTTAATGTCGCTGGGGAAAAAGAAAGAAGCAAACGCAATTCTTCTAAAGTCGCTTTTGCGCGAACCAGCAAACAAAGTATGTGCAGACTGTAAACGTAATGAACAACCAAGATGGGCTAGCTGGTCCTTGGGCGTCTTCATCTGCATCAGGTAAGTGTTTCTGGCCCTGCATTTGAAATTTTCTTTGTTTAACATATATAGATGCTCCGGTATCCATCGAAGTCTTGGTGTTCATATCAGTAGAGGTACGTGAATAAAGCTAATGATTCGATTTACAGTATTCGACTAACGAGTTGTGAAGTGAAATCTGTAGACTTGGATGCTTGGACAGATGAGCAAACTGAAAATATGCGCCGCTGGGGAAACCAAAGAGCAAACATGTAAGACTAGCTCCGTTTTACAAGATTACCTAACATATACTGTAGGTATTGGGAAGCAAAATTAGCAGATGGCCATGCCCCGTCAGACAGGTAAGTTTGGTTACCGCTAGTGAATGAAGATGGGCGGGATTTGTTTTGTCCAAAAATACATGCTAGCTGGTTTCATGATGGCGAACACACATACTTACCACACTTATAGCAAAGTTTTAACCTTCATTCGGACAAAATACGAATTACGAAAGTGGGTTTTAAGCCATGAAATTCCTTCTCCCGAAACGTTGATACCGTCTGAAAAATTAAACCCATCCGTTACCTCATCAGAACCGGATATCATTAATAAATCTGAAGCTACCAGCATTCCCTCCATAGCTAAGGAGTCCTTACAATCACCAAGCGAGGCCTCCATAATAGACTTTACTTCCGGGAATAACTCAGAAAATTATCGCTTGCCGAACCCCGGCGCTTCCACGGCCGCTTCTACCCCAAATCTGACTTCTTTATCTGCAAATAGCACCTCGAGTGCTCAGGCTAATCGACAGAAAGATCTTAAATCCTCGATTCTCTCCTTGTACGCTTCTCCCCGTCCCGTATCCGCCAACTCATCGGTGTCTGCCTTCTCCAATATACCCTCGGCCTCTACCTCTGGTGCTCAAGGGTCACAACAATACGCCGGTTGTCAGTCACCTGTTTCTGGCACTTCTTTTGTTGCCGAAAAATGGAAGATGCCTCTTTTTGGCTCAACAAATGCTTATTCTCTTGCACGGGAATCAGGCATGCAATCCCAGCCTCCCCGAAGAACCCAATCTGCTATGGATAACAGTATAATGAATACCCATGATGTGTGGAAGTAGTATGCACAAACAGTCATGAGAGCTTGTTATCTTTGCTTTTTTAAACTTCTATATTTATTCTTTGCTGCTATTTTAGAAGAAACACAACAGGCATGCACGATTTTTGCATAATCGAACTTATTGACACTCTTTGAGATGCCCTTTTTAAATATGTATTCAATCACTTTCATGATACTTTGATCGTTAATAATCCCTTTCTTGCCCAATTTTGAGTTGTTGGTACAATGATCCACTTTGAAGCTCTCTTATGTATACGACATCGGCAAGAACCGCCTCATAATGGATCAAAAAAAAATTTCTTAAAAATACTTTATGAATTGGATATTAATTCTATTTCACTATACTCTTTTTACTAAGGTGAAGTTTGCATGCATGAGTAGAAAAACCTATAGATTTTAGCACTTTTTGTAAAAGAAGGCATGTACAGCTATTAGAAAATGGGAATTTTATCTTCTCTCAATTAATTGAAGACTACAAGTTATCCAAATATTAAGCTTGCTTAGTTTTTTAATTCGTTTGTTTAGAAGCATAGTAAACAACTGCTTTGTGTATCAATACATACGATAAAACGAATTATAGATAGAGACCTTTGCTAGTTCCTGCCAATTTACTTGACTTTGTTCAACGTAGATCCAATCTTTCATGAAGAAGAGTTGTGCCCATTTAACCTAAGAATAGTAAATCTCAAAATTGACGCTGTAATAACAATCCATAACGCTTTGAACCAAGAAATTTGAAATTCAGTCTTTTAAATTTATATAATATTCTAAAAGACTGTATTTCCTCTAGAATAATCGTCAGAAGAATTAAAATTTATTTGTAGGCATTTGTTTATACATTATACTAACAGAAACCATAAGATGAGACTGTATTAGAATTTAAGACAGCAATAATTATAACGAGATACCGACTATAATATAATCGATAGAGGGTCCTGTATACAATTGTTGTTACCCGATATTGATCCAATTTCTAATGAAGATAATCGTGTACCAGATGCTATACATCACCACTTATGGAAAAAGATATATCTTGAACGAAAAAGGACATCGATTCTACCAATGATTTCTGTAAGTAATGAATCAAATAAAGTTCTAACAGTAAAAGGGTGTATTCTTTTTCAATTTGAAAGGCGACAATGTCATTTGTCGGACATATCGACATGACTTGAAGTACGTATAGCAATGGACGACTTAATCAAGTAAGCAAATCTAACACAAGAAAAGGAGACACGTAACTGATGTTATCCGTATCCACGTTCTTGCGAATCCTGAATTACGAACTCCAATTGCAACATTTGGTTCCACTAGTTATGCCTATGTCAGACACGAAGATTTATATATTGTTACGGTTGCAAAAGGAAATCCAAATGTAATTATTTTACTGGAATTCTTAGAGCGTTTGATTGAGGTACTGTCTCGTTATTTTGACAAAGTCAATGAAAGTTCCATCAAGGAGAACTTTGCGTTTATTTACGAGTTGCTGGATGAAATGGTTGATTTTGGAATTGTACAAATGACGGAACCGCATGCACTCGCTCGAAATTTGACCATTAGCCCAACAAAAAAGAAAGATTCCTCTATTTTATCAATGAAGCGCTCTAGCTCTTCCCAGACTACGGCAAGTTATCCAAGTGACCAATCCAGATCTGTTCCATGGAGAAGAGCAGGTATAAAATATCGTAATAATACAATATATCTCGATGTTGTTGAACGATTAAATCTTCTCATTAGTTCTACAGGCAATGTTTTACGGTCCGACATTTCTGGGTCAGTGCATATGCGAGCTTTATTATCGGGTATGCCTGAGTGCCAATTTGGTCTTAGCGACAAATTAGACTATAAACTAAAGTATAACGATGATCGGAAAAATTTTCTCCGTTCACAAAACGATTCTGCAGCCTCTGAAGGAATTACACTCGAAGACTGCCAATTTCATCAGTGTGTGATGCTTCCTGAGTTTGAAAATGAACGCAAAATATCATTTATTCCTCCAGATGGTGAGGTTGAGCTTATGAGTTATCGCTGCCATGAAAATATTCATGTACCTTTTCGTATACATCCTATTGTTGAACAGTTATCGAAACAAAAATTAATTTACCGAATTAGTATCCGCTCAAGCTATCCACACAAACTTTCTACATCTCTTAAACTTCGAATACCTGTTCCGGAAAACGTTGTAAAGGCTAACCCTAGAGTGAATCGAGGAAAATCTGGTTATCAACCTTCGGAAAACATAATCAGTTGGAATATACCTTACTATTTGGGAGAGATGGATCTAATCTTGTACGCTGAAGTCGAATTATCAAGTACTACCAATCAACAACATTGGTCTCGTCCCCCGATTTCTCTTGATTTCAATATCCAAATGTTTGCCAGCTCTGGCCTAAAAGTAAAATACTTGCATGTGCAAGAACCATCTAACAGTAAATACAAAAGCATAAAGTGGGTACGCTACGCGACGCGTGCCGGCACATGTGAAATTCGGTTTTAGTTTTTACAAATTATTTATTGTGTACATAACAAGTGAATGAATACATTCATTTCATGTTCAGTTGGCTTAATTATTTCTACGATGGGGACGCAACATACAAAGACAAAAGTCCTACTTTGATTATTAGCCGTATATTTCAAAAATTAAGGAATAAAGGAAATGCTAAGTTGTGCAAAAGGAGAGAAGGGGGAAGACGTGACAAAGGATAACCTTTTTCAATGAATGCTTTTTAATAGACGAGATATCTTTTGCTGGGAAGTAGAGAATCCCGCATCCTTTAGCTTATTCAGTTCTTCATTAACACTTTTCATGTCAGGTTTTTCCAAAACCTTGGGATATCTGCTCAAAGTTTGAGCACTCGTGCCATCTGGCAAAGTATCACCAGCTTGCCACTCTCTCAAATCTTCTGGAAGTTTTGGATAAAGAAATGGCTCTTCCATTTCGACAATTGCGCGTTTAGTAGCTTGTTCTCTTCGGACTCGACCGTATTCGTCCCGGTAAAGCTTTCCTTGATAAATGTTGGTTTTCACAGAAAGGACTTTGAGGTTATAGACATGCAACAAATAGTCCCGGACATCAAATTTATTCACATTCAACGGAACACGAAATGCAGCAAAGTTTGGCGGCAAATTCAGACCTCGGTAGAGAATAAAAGGTATGTTAGGAAAATACACCAAACGCTTTCCGGCTACTTTACTCATCTTGTAGTATCAAATAAGGTATAATAAAAATCTAAACAAAATTGTATCTTGTTTATTACACGCAAAACGGACACGAATCGGGATCCTGTTTTGTCAACCAAAATCGGCTTCTAGGAAAAGATTGACACGAAAAAATTTGTCAATAAAAGAATATTTCCCACTATTGTTTATTAAAAATACAAATCAAGCCGAACGACGAAGAATTTGACTACCTCGTCAAATTTAGGTGAATTGTAAGTAGGTAGAACAGACTGACTGAGCAGCTAACCATGGTAAAGGTATCTCACGTTTGACGATCAGAATACTGAACAGAAGTTTGTTTTTTCTTTTTACTCTTCAAAATCAATTTTTTAAAAACAGAAAACTTGAAATATGAAAAAAGCACTAGGATGATACATAAAAGCTTTTATGTCCTGTGAAAAACTTAAACATTTGTCCCAATTCTTCTCACCTCATGTTGTAACAAAACAAAACAAAAACTATAGAGAACAAATCAGTAAAATCATCTTTAAAATAGAAAATACTCTTCATCTGAAATATTTATTTACTAAGCTCTAATATTTTACACCACGCTATTTCATTTATCGATTGTGAATGTTTGTTAATCAATTTACAAATTACGTTAGTATTCGATATATACATCTTTCAACATAAACTAAAATATCGTTGCCACTCATTATTCGCGTCTCTGTAGAAAGTAAGACACGCAAACTTCTCCCTACAACTGAACACTTGTCCTTTGCTCAATGTCTGGATTGCAGGCAGTTGACGAGGTAGATATTGCCGGTTCTTTGGCGCCTACGCCATTGAACTCTAAGCCTGATAGCCTTGGCGCAGGAATTGCAGACTCTTCCGAAGGAACCGAAGAAGCAAACAATGAGCCAGAAAACGAGGACGACGACGAAGCATTCATTGCTTCCAACATTTTAAAATCGAATAGAAAAACAAAAGGAAAAAAGCTTGGTGGCAAAGCTTCAAACTTTCAGGCAATGGGTAAGAAGAATGATGGTAGATGAATTTTGTGGAAGGGTGATGTTGCTTTTTTTTTCATTGCTATGTTTTTTCTATTAGAAAATCATGTAATTTTAAAAAAACAATGGAACAAACATTGCTAATATCCGTGCATTTACCGATTTTCTTGACCCCTTCAGTGACTAACAGAGGTTTAGGATTGAGTCAGAATGTCCTTCGTGCAATTATTAAAAAAGGATTTAAGGCTCCTACTCCTATTCAAAGAAAGACCATTCCTTTGGTTTTGGAAGGACGCGACGTAGTCGGTATGGCTCGTACCGGTTCAGGTAAAACGGCCGCTTTTGTTATTCCAATGATTGAACGGCTCAAGTCTACCTTAGCACAGTCAGGTACCAGAGCAATAATTTTGTCTCCGAGCCGTGAACTTGCTTTGCAAACCATGCGAGTTGTTAAAGATTTCAACAAAGGTGCTGACCTTCGGGTTGCTGCAATTGTTGGTGGTGTTAGTCTTGAAGAACAATTCAGTATTATGACTTCGAAGCCAGACATCATCATTGCTACTCCTGGTAGATTTATGCATCTTAAAGTTGAAATGAAATTAGAACTCAATGCAGTCGAGTATGTAGTGTTTGATGAGGCTGATCGTCTTTTTGAAATGGGTTTCGCAGCTCAGCTTACTGAGATTTTACATGACTTGCCCTCTTCTCGTCAAACTCTTCTATTCTCTGCTACTTTACCTCGCACTCTTGTTGATTTCGCTAAAGCCGGTCTTCAGGATCCCGTCTTGGTGCGTTTGGATGTTGAATCTAAAGTTTCTTCTGATCTTCAAAGCGCCTTTTTTTCCGTCAAGACGGCTGAAAGAGAAGCAGCTTTACTATACATTTTACAAGACGTTATCAAGTTAACGCTTAAGCGTGATATAAAGCCCGTGGTTTCTATGAGTTCCGAAAATCCCAAGAAACGTAAAAGGATCATGGAAGCTGTCAATCAAGGTAAATATTCTGGTTCTTCAGATGCTACACTTGTGTTTGTACCCACCAAGCACCACGTTGAGTATATTTCCAATCTACTTGTTCTTGCCGGTTATGCAGTCTCTACCATTTACGGCTCTTTGGATCAGGACGCCCGTACAAATCAGATCAACAACTTTCGACTTGGTTACACCAATGTGCTTGTTGTAACCGATGTAGCCGCTCGTGGTATCGATATACCGCTTTTAGCTAATGTTGTTAATTACGATTTTCCTCCCCAACCGAAAGTTTTCGTTCATCGTGTTGGTCGTACTGCTCGTGCTGGTCGAACTGGTTGGGCTTACACGCTAGTCCGTTCTGAGGATGCTGGCTACTTCATGGACTTGCAATTGTTTTTAAACAGGGAAATTGTAACCACTAATAAAAAGGTGAAAACTGCAGATGATTGTGACTTTACAAAGCAATTGGTTTTGGGAAGTTTACCAATGGCCTCTGTCTCAGAATTATTTGAATGGGTTCGACGAATTCTTGTTGAAGATGTTGAGATTGAGCAATTATCCAAAGTAGCTGCACGAGGTGAAAAGTTATACTTTCGTACAAGACCCGCATGCAGTCCTGAAAGTGCAAAACGGGCAAAAGAGCTAGCGAATACTAACGGTTGGAAATCAATAAACCCCTTGCTCGGTAATGCAACGAATATAGAAGCAGATTCACAATTTAGCGCTCTATTGGCGAAGGTTTCTTCCTTCCGTCCTTCTGAAACCATTTTTGAGATTGGTCAACGTGGACATCATCGCTCTGAAGCTGGCGAAATTATGCGCCAGCGAAGAAGTAAGATTAAACCAAAAGGCCCTCAAAATGGTATGGTTGATAAAGACGTAGTCGATGATACGGAAAGTCCAGCCATTGCAAATGATGAACCCGAGCTCTCTGAGACTGAACTTGAAAACACTTTTGAAACTCCTCAAAGTTTGAAAAAACAACAAAAAGAGTCTCATGACTATCGTGACAAAGAGTATTACATGTCTCACTATGCACCCAAAGAGAATATTCAAGAAAATGGATATGCCATTAATTCTGGTGAAAACTTCTCGATGGCAGCCCGTCATGCTATTCTAGATTTGACTACTGATGATGGATTCAGTCAAACGAACAGTGGTGGACAACGCTGGGACCCCAAGAAGAAGAAATTTGTTAATACTCGTAACGACGAAGATGGTTCTAGAGGTGTTAAGATTATTCGCGGTGAAAGTGGTGTCAAATTACCAGCTACGTACCGCAGTGGCAGATTTGAGGCTTGGAAGTCTAATAAAGCACAAGGCAGTAATAGTTCCATGCCATTAAGCGATAATGGTAATAAACAGTTCAAGCATAAACAAGTTAAAGCACCAAAACCCGCTGACAAATATCGTGACGATTACAAAGTCCGAAAGAATAGAGTCAAGGAAGCCAAAGAAAAGGGTATTGGTGTTACGGTTGGTAGTGAGCTTAAGTCAGCTTCCCAAATCCGAAAGGACCGTGAACTTAAAAATAAAAGAAAAGCTAAGACTGCTCGTCCATCCAAGAAACGCCGTTAGAAAAGGATGGGTTTGTTTTAATAACTTTTGGATGCTTATAATTATTTTTTTGTTAAAAGGTGTACTTTATGGGTAAAAAAACAGGACATATTGGTAAATAGGGAATCTTGGATGATGAATAAATTGATATCAGCATTAAATATTTATTAAAATGTAGCTGCTCGTAAAGAAGGGAGAATGTGATTACAAAGGTTTTGCAGAAAATTTCCCGGAGGACGGATTAATCGCCTCTACTTTTAGACGCTTGGATATATTTATGGACTGACCGGTATGAGTTGTCGTTTTGAAATGAGATCAAATCAAGACACCTCGACAGGTAAACCGCAATATCTTTTGAGGCAGCCAATTCAGGGGATTGGGATAGCATGTCTTCAAATATATTTGATAAAGCGTAAATTGCGGCTCGCTCATTTTTACTTTCGGCCACTAACCGAAAAATATGACAGTACATATCCTCGTCTAGCAAAATGCCAATGTTCGTTAATTTACTCCAACGAATCCATACATCTTTCCACCGATTGTATTTTGCAAAAACGTTAAGAATTAACATGTATGACTTCACGGTCATACTTATGCCGTGACGATACATAAGCTGTTCAGTTTTATAGATGCGAGGATCAAGATAATGAAAATCGCTCGTCTCAACCATGCATGAACAAATTAGACATTTGGACAAGATCCTTCTCAACTCAGTAATGTCAATAGGGGTCGTTTTCTGAATAGACGTATACAATGAGGTTAACAGTTGAATCCTATGACTGACAAGCTTTCTTGACGATTCCAAAGAATTAATGGACGGAGGAGCCGAAAGGGCTACGGCAGTTAACAAGGTATTCACATCTTGCACAGATACCTCAGAAGCCAGCCTGTCTAGTAGACTCTTGACATGATCAGAGAAGGATTCCAAAGAAAAACGGTCATCGTATGCAAGATACATCCTTCTTGCTTCTTCGAATGGATTTAAAGATTTTGTGAAAGATGCATTTTCTTTAGCGATTGAGTCGTTACGCATGCAAGATGTATGAAACTTTCTTCTATCTCCCGGAGAAGTACGGCGTTCAGAACTAATTTTCTTCTTATTCACTTGACGGAAGGAAGTAGAAGAAGAATCTTCATTCTCATGGTTTTCAGATAAAATCTGTTGTAAATCTTGATCAATAGTTTCTAGCTGATAGAACTCTCGTGCTTCTTTTGTAAATAAATGGATAATTACATTATAATTTTCAGGATGAATACATGTCCAATTTGTTTTTTGTGTGGACATCTTGTTATGCCAAGCTTCAGGACGTTTTAAGGCTCTGCGATTCAAAATTCTTTGTCGTGATAGATTAGGAAGACCCTGAATTTGAACCGTGCCAATTTTTAAGTCTTTTAGTTTTTGGGAGATGCCTCGGGTTACGGATATAACATGACCATCGTCGTTACATGTACCAAGAAGCATCAAGTCTGAAGTGCTCCAAGGTTGATCAGCGTTGGGACGTATAAACTTCAAATCGGAGACTAGATATTGATTGGACAAGGCTTTTAAAACTTCTTGAAGGAACTCGGGAGCCGCTTCTGGTAAAGGTGGTATTTCTGATGTGAATACATTTCTTTTCGGAAATGTCCTCTCGGCATATTCCACGTACCAAGGCCGGATAACCCCCTCTGGTGATTTTTCTAACTCAGAAGGCTTTGCATCTAAAGCTGGATTGTCTTGAGGTCCAGCGTCTGACTTTGAAGAAAAAAACCGATAGGATAAATGCCGAAGAGAATAACCATGTATGCGACACGCAAAATGCGAAGAAATGCGAAAACTTGATGGAAAGCTTTTCATATTGCTAAAAAGGTATCTTCAAATGATTGAATAGCCGATCTTGTTTTAAGCAAACTTCATATGAGTGTGAATACTCTCAGAAAGTCGTTTATTAAAAACAAACAGTGTCTTCAAGAATATATCTTTTCTTTCAAATCCTCTTTACTATTTAACTGTACGCACGTCTAGTAATGATAGAACCCCAAAATGAAACCGCGTACAACCAAAATACTTTGCTTCTGTACTGATTCAAAGAAACAAATCATAAGCTGGTTTCCATACGTAAAAATTCCTTTATATCCTTCAAAACAAACCTTTTTGAGTTATAATTCGGTTTGTTTACGCTTTTTTTCACTAAACAGGTTTTGTTTCCACGTAAATAGAAGGGCACTAGGTATAACGAGATTTGGTGCTCTCACTTTACTAGTTAGTGTGTTTTAGTGTATTTCAAAAATAGTTCTTCTTTTAATTTAAGAAAATGAAACATTACTTCTTTGTTTTATTACATTCAATAGAGGCTCCATTTATCAACCATAAACAATGCTTTAATACTCTTAAAAATGACGCCGAAAAAACCCGAAGGACCCAATTCACCATTTATTTTATTAGAGGCTTTAAAATATACACCATTAGTTTCGTCTATACCTCTTAGCAACGGTAAGTGTTGAACCAAGACGCGTATGCTGACGCGAAAATAGGTACTGAAAATGCAGTTCCTCCAAGGTCGGTAGCAAGCAATACACCTTTATGCATGTCCCCAGAAGAAAATGGATTAATGCAGCGATACTTAGATCTTTTGGAGCCAAACATGCAAGATGTGTCTGACGTGCAACAGCTTCAATTTTATAAAGACGCGCTCGCTCCCATGCTGGAAAATGTTCCCATGCCTAGCATACGCATTCCTACATCTAAGCAACCCAATGACGATTCATCTACTTTTCCAACTTCTTTGTTGAACCCTTTAACAGAGTCCTTACTGCAGCCTTCTGAGGTTGAATTTGTTCCCACAGATGTTAACTTAAGTGCATCTTCATCTTTCACTGACTCAACTTCTGCATCTGTAAGTCCTTTTGTTTCCAATAAGGATGCTCTCAGAAACTCAGAGGTTCCTCGAAGTCCCTCGACAGCTCGAATTCTTAGAGCTGTTGAATTTAAAAGCCCTAGTCGAGCATTTTCACTTACATCTACACCTAAAAAACGTCAGATCTCAGAAAGTGGAAGCGTCCCTAGTACTCCTTCTTCGAAAATTCAAAGGCTTCAGGATGTTATAGAGAAGCAAGTGCGTGATACCCAGTTGGTTTTGGATGGCATCCTACATACGGACTCAAAAACCTCTGAATGTTATGTATCCTTCACAGGATCCAACGTTAAAATATTATCTGCGGAATGTATTGAGAGGATATCTATTTCCTTGGCAAAGTTGAGCTCATTAGGGGATTGTAATAAATTACTCAAAGAAGAAGATGCCATTTCTCTTAAAATGATCTTGGAATCGAGTCTGAAAAGTTTGGACTCTGTAAACGATTCTGTTGAGGATGCCGATGATGATCTAATATATTCCAAAGTTGATTATTTATTAAAAAATATATCTCTCATATTCCAAGAACTCTATACGCTGCCTTCATTTAAAAAGCTGCAAAACGAGGAATCCTTTTTATTTATCCTTGATACCCTTCATTCCTTAATTGAGTATTTTTACTTAAAGACAATGACTAGCGTTGATATGGGCATAATTGAAGGCTTCGAGGAATCTAATTATCGTTCATTTTTATCCCTTACCCAAAAGATTGCTCATGCATTTACTCTATTGTCCAAAATTGTACATACTATTCCTTTGTCTGAAGCTGTTGTTATCAAAATTGTCTTTCTGTCCATGAAAACGATTACAGTGGATTCTACAATGAAAGAAAAACCATCTTTAATTCAAAATCTTCCATTGGACATTCTTAAAGTTCCCCTGTTTGATACGCTTCAGTTCATTTTCAACTTATACCCTGCTCAGCGTGAATTTGTGCTGCAAGAAGTACTTGCTAACTTTGCTCTGTTACCTACTGCTCGATCAACTTCTAGAACCTATAAACTGTCAAATGGAAAATCAGTTCAGTTGTATTCCACTTTACTGGTTCGATTGCTTCAGGCATGTACTGTAAGGCATCTTCCAGAGGATTCATCGTTCACGACCGATGACCCCGCAAAGGATTTAGTCAACTCTGAGAGTTGTCAATCCCATCTGAGATCTGTAAGTTCTTAATTTCAACATATAACTAATTTTTAGGTTGATGCTTCACTCTCTAAATCGAGACATGAAGAGTATAGAGTCGCAAACCATATCGTTGGTTATTTACTTGAAAGGTCGTTAAGGCAAACGAGATCTGATATAAATAATTCATTTGTAACATTGACAAGAATTATGCTAGAAGATTTGCTTAACATGCTTACTGTACCCGAGTGGGTTGGCACAGAAACCCTAGTTAGACAGTTCGCATTGAATCTTATTATGATGATAGTGAAAGAAAAGAACTCTGTTACCACAAAGAACACCGCTCTAGATTTTTTCAGTGTCATTGTAAATAAACTGTTGACAACATTCGATATATCTCTATTCGAAAAATATGACCTGCCGGTACCTTCGAATTTTAATGATCCAAATTGTTTCTTAAGCGGCGTACCTCGTTATGAAGGCATTACTTCGACTTGTCTGGCGTATCTCAACACTTTGTGCGGCAAGGACGATTCTCTTGAGGTAAGATTTTTTACATTCTGTACTTGCTAAACGTTTAGAATATTGTTCCGTATACGCTGAATCAATGGATCTCTTTTCTCTTTCAGATTAGAAAGGCTTCAAGTGACCCAGAATCCAATTACCTCATTGACAAAGTTCTTTTGAAAAGCTCAAACTTGAACATGGATTCCATTATGGATTCAAACGTTTACACAGACCATGAGATTATTCATGATTATTTTGTTCTTTCTTTATATCGTTCTTCTTTATACTTGAACTTGAAATTTTTTGTATCACTAATTATTGGATTTCTTGACAGCCCCCAAACTAGTTTACGAACGAAGAGTTTAAGGATCATCAGCCAAATGAAGTCTATTCCAGCTATACTTCATGCACACCCAGAAGTTTTATCTCAGGTAATTTCTAAGGTAGCTGATCCGTCCGCTTTTGTTCGAGATACTGTCTTGGATTTGTTGAGTACATACATGATGGACTTCAAAGAAACCGTTAACCAGCTATACGTATTTGTCGCAGCTGGGGTGTCCGATAGCTCTGTAAGTGTTCGGAAGCGCGCAATAAAACAACTTGCAGATATATACGAAGTTACTAGTAGTATAAACATTCGATGTGATATTTGCATAAAGTTACTATCGAGGATGAATGATGAGGAAGAGAATATTACCGTAAGTTAGCAAGAGATGTTGCATGTATACTAACATTGAAACATTAGGAATTAAGTCTTCACACCCTCGACTCCTTGTGGTTTAATAACGCTTACTTATCTATTGATCCTTATAAAAAATATGATGAGTTGAGCTTTCTGGAAAAGCAAAAAATAAAAGTTCACTACCGCTCATTACTAAAGCTTTCTTCAGATCCGACACCCGCATTGCATGTTTCTCTGGTAACGACATTAAAGAAAATGCTTACGTCAAAAGAAAACGAACTAAGCAAAGACTTTTGCTCACGCATTTGTTTCCTCCTTTCCTTTTTATTTACCTTATTAATCGAGGTAGCAACGGAGGACGAGGGTGATAGTTTTGAAGTGGGACTTTTACATGAAACAATGAGTACTCTTTTTGTTCTTTCTCGTTCTTTTCCTTTTCTATTTCATTACTCGCAACTACAAGTTCTCAAACCATATTTGAAATCGGCTTCAACCATTGAAGAGCAACGGTTATTATACTACGTTGTAGCCATTTTTCGACAAGTTCTACCTCGTCAAAAAGATATTCCAGAAGTGTTTTTGCGTAATCTCGAAGCTACCATGTTTCAAAGACTTACCAAGGCAGGATCTGCCACATTAAAAGAAATGATACCTTGCTTATGTTATCTATTGAGTCACCTAAATGATGATCAAAGGCTTTATAAAATTATAGGTTCTTGTATAAGAACACTTGAAGAAACGAGAAAGAATGATTTTTCTTCATTGAAGGCCTTTCGTTTAATAGAACTTATCGGACTATTTGCTAGGTTTGGAAAACTTGAAAAAGTAGAAGCCGATTGGACAGGAATTTTTCCTTCCAGTAAAGGCGAGAGCAGCAATGTTTATGCGCTATTGCTTGATTATATGGATCAACTTCTTGCATCGTCTAGTGATGAGTTGCGTATACATGTAATTGAAAACATGACAAATGTTGCCTTAGCCCAACCCACGTTGTTTACTTCTCCAAAATTGCTAAACATTTTAGACAAAATTTTTGAAGAAAACAGTGTTGATTGTGTCTCAGTTATTTTTAGATCATTCTTGGAACTTTTAGCAGCTGATGAGGATCTCATTACAGAAGCCGATGAAAAACTGGAAAGTAGAAACCAAAAAAATCCTAAGCGCGAACAGGTGAATGTAGACATGCTTAAAGGTTTTACAGAAAAACAATGGACCGAAGGGTAAGCTCGCACTGTTTTTGATAATACTAACTCTGTTAGCGTGAGTGCTTGTTTAATGCAAAAATATTTATCAAATATCTTGGATTCTTGCTTTTCAAAGGAATTAAGTTTTGCTCTTCTCGCTTTGGAGATATTACAACATATTATTCACCAAGGACTTGCGAATCCCAGATTGGTAAGTTGTACGTTTGGGCATACGATATCTAACGCCATTAGTGTTTTCCAGTTATTGTCGCCTTGGAAGCTACTGAAGTTAAAGAGGTAAAACAGGTGGTTATCAACTTACATACAGAGTTGCTTCAAAAACACGAGTCCCTAGTTGATGGATTGTATGCGCAAGCAGCAAGTTTAATGTTTTCTTCCAAAAGTTTCCCAGAAAATTATGTTTGTACTATCGAGGATACTTCCGCATTTCAAGACATGTATAACGTTGTACTATCAACGAAAAACACTAGATCAAGAAGGAAATTTATAATGCAAATGCTGAAACTTTTAGAACATGAAAATGGAAATTTAGCTAATATCTCACACGAAAAGATTCTGTTTTTTAATTTCTGTTGTTCGGCAATGGGTGGAATTAAATACTTGAGCCTTGACGAGCCGTTAATGATTCTTCAAGTTATTGATACCGTATTAGCAACGATTGGACCAACCATTACTGAATGGATGAAGGGACATTTTGAAGAGCAATACAAATATTTTTCAGGAGTCCTACTTTGCAATTTCATCCACCTAAAACGATACCTGAAGTCTGTTTATACTATAACAGATGAAAAGGTACACAACTTTGATGCTAGCAAAACGTTCCGAGATAAGAAGGTTCCACTCAGAAACAACGGTCTTAAGACCGAGTTATTACATCCAGACAGCAAGAGAGAGGATGTAGCAAATATGGTAAGTGAAAATGAGATCAATTCAATTCAAGCAAGCGCTAACCTGATCTTTAAAAGTGTATCCAAATGTTTGAAGATGAGAATATATCAACTGATCCTATCGTGAAAGACGATTTAGATGCTCCGGAAGAAGTACAGCCAGGAGAAGCAGGAGTGAATGAATAGAAAAAGCACATCAGTTTTTGTTCAGTTTTCCCAATTTACGATCTTTAATATCCATTCAATATGGATCCTTATTTATGGTTTTATTTTCTGCGGTATTATTTCTTTATTATATTACAATTTACTTTTTCGCTTTTTAAGTTATTTCGTTTGCATCAGTCTAAATATATTCGGATATCATCCTTTTTTTATGTGTTCAGCTATGGAAGCTTCACTGAAAAGTTCATTACACTGTTCTACATTTCATGATATTTTTCACTTTCATATGGCTTCTCATGGCTCTACGTAAATGGCTTCAAGGACCGTTATAAAGAAAGTATTAATAATGAAAATAGAATAATCACTTACATCTTGTACTATATATTCTGTGGAAATGCTTATATGGTAGCGCGTCAAGAAAAGCCCACCACAGCGACGATGAACAGTTAATCAAACTTCAATGCACAAAAATCAAGAAAAGTAATTTATTTTAGAAATATTAACTAATAAAAATCAAAGAGAAATTCATTGAATTTTGGTTGAATAGCTTAAGAGTGTTTTGGTGTTGTATCGCTATTGTAATATTACAAGACCATGCCTCAGGACCACACATCCATCACTTAACCTAAACCAAATAGAAAGACAACATAATGGAAGCATTGTTAGCAGTCCAAGGAAAGGATTTTATACTTACCGCTTCTTCTGGATCAGCAGTACGTGGAATTACTGTCCTAAAGTCCGGAGATGACAAGAGCGAACAGTTGAATAGTCATAATTTGATGTTATACTGTGGTGAAGCCGGAGATACTTCGAACTTTGCAGAATACATTTCAGCAAACATCAATTTATATACTTTAAGAAACAACTTAATTTTGAGTCCTGAAGCCACAGCATCTTTCACTAGAAAACAACTCGCTACTTCTCTTCGCTCACGCAAGCCATACATGGTTAATCTATTATTAGCTGGATACGACACTGAAAAAGAAGTTCCCCAACTTTATTGGATTGACTATTTGGCGACTTGTGTTCGTGTTCCTTATGCATGCCAGGGATACAGTTCTTTCTATTGTTTGTCTTTGTTTGACCGTTACTACAAGCCAGATCTCTCGCTTGATGATGCCATTCACATTATGAAATTATGTTTTGATGAACTGCAAAAACGTATGCCTATTGACTATAAGGGATTTATCTGTAAAGTTGTTGGCAAGGATGGTATTCATGAAATTTCCCTTTAAAATAAAAAGCCTTTACATGCTAGAATGAATTACCATTAACGACCCTCATATATCTCAAATGTACAAAGCTTTGCAATGGATTGGATCAACCCTTCTTGTCGCGTTATGTTTAGAATTCCTAGCTGCATGTTCCGTTCTTTTACTATTCTTTTTCCGACTATTTTATGCTTCAAAGTGTATATTTTGTATTCCCAGCAGTGTTTTTCGATATTTGATAAATGTTAAGTTAAAGCTACTTTGTAGTATTTGTGAAAAAACATATGTAGATTGTGCTTGTGGAGTATTGAAAAAGTAAATTTACCAGCTATTGGAATGAAGTCTTTGTGTACGTATCCAATCAAGGAATTTGTTACATAATGAAATGTATGGTGAAAATAGCATTGTACAACGGTTTGTAAAATTAATAATTGACTGCAGTAGGTTTGGGGATGTAGAAATGAAACGGTGAAAAGAAATTGAACATGATAATATATGTTGAATCAAAATGCTCCTGTATAGTTAAGCCAAAAACAGCCCAGAATTTAGTTCTCCCTTCGTTCAAGAGTATAGGCGACATCACCTCGAGCCATGTCCAAAAGCCGCTTGACTTGCTGAGCAGGTTGTGATAGCAAAGAAAGAAGACTTGCTTGTAAATCTTTATGAGAGGGGATTTTAGATATTGAGTCAATTTGAAAGTAATCAAACCCTTCGGATTCCAATCGACCACCGAGTAAAACCATTTTGCTTTGATATCTTTTCAATGCAGTTAGACATCCGCGAATGCTTTCGGGTGCTACATTTGGTCCCAGAGCAAAAACGGCAAGGGGACCAGCAAACAAGTCATCGATGTCAAGCTTGATACGCTTGGCATTCTTATGAGATGCCACAGTATTAGCCGCAGAAAGATCGACACTGCCGTCGGCGCCCTTTGGCATGCTTTCGTATACGTGCAACGCATGTCGGAAAATAGAGCCGGAAATTATTTTCAAGCTGGCATCAGGAGCATGCTTTTTTAGTTCATTACGAAAATTTCGAGACTCAGAAGGAAGAAGATTGTTATGTTGTAAGAGCAAAAAGTTCGGAGATTGCTGTAGCAATGACACGTATTGGGAATGCAAGACTGATTTACGCAGTTCAGGAGATTTAAAAGAGTTCAGTGCAGCACCTGTATAATTTGTTAGCAATGGCTGTTAAATTTTGAATTTTCCATACGTGTTACCATAGAACACTTCATTCTTTATGAACGGCCTTAAAGATACTAGGGGATGTATTATATTAGTTTTTAAGAAAGATATAACATCAAAAAGTGAGCTTCTTGATGATTTTGGGTGAGTTCAATTGACTTCCTTAGTTTAGGCACTGACTCCTTAGATATTGTGAAAATAGGCAGACACAGTAAGTAGTAGTTTAAGGCAGATGGGAATGCTCTGCCAAGTCACTAAAACTTTCAGAAAACAGTAAAATTATAACATTAGAAGAAAAGGAAATAAATTAAATTTTAGAACCCAAAGATGATCTATTCCAGATGTTTGCCAAACGCCCTGAACTGAGTAATGATTGTATAGTACGGAGGATATTAAGTACTTATTTATTAAGTAAATTCTCTAATCAAGTTTAGATATAGTAGTAACTACGGTGGATTCTACTTTATATTCGGCAGGGCAATTTGAGTTGACTTTAGTTACTACATAGTGCTCTATTACAGAAGTTCACGATCAGTATATTTTAGGTTGATAAAGACAAGATGGAGTAAAAGGCTTTATAATTTTTGAAATAAAGGAAAGGTGCAGGTGCTTCCAAAATGATCACTGGCATTTTTTTTTTTCTATTGTAAAAGTTCGATCTAATTGTACCATTGCTAAAAAGAGATAATTTCTGTTATTGAAAGAAACATCATGACGAAGTAATATGTGCAAGCAGCGATCCTTCGTATATTTTTCCTTGTAGCAAAGAGCCGCCTTTCTTCGGAACCCTTTGTACTGTATGCTCAGAATACCCTAAAATCCATTCTATTCCGATGTCCCAATGAAAATCACTAGTAACAAATCGTACTAAATTTCTTCTTCGGAGAGAAGCATGTTTGGTATTCCTTCGAAAACAGGATATATATGACCACAGTTTCCACAGGTCATTTTAGCCTCTGTAATTTCAGTCTTCTTCTGTTAGCAACTAATTACAAACATCAGTGATTTGCTTACCTCTAGTAAAACATTATGAAGTGATTTTAATAGAACTTCATCTGATTCCTCCGTCAACTCTGGCTTCTCCTCGGGAAGACTGTTATTTCCCAACTATGAAAATTCGTTAGTCATTATCAAAAAAAAAAAAAGAAAAAAGAAAAAAGAAAAAAAAATTGTCTAGAAAAACATAGAAATGTTGGAGTAATGCTCAAAAATCCCCATGATATTGACAATGTACACCAACAAGTCAAATAGGCTGTTGTCCCTTCCAATTATCTTACCTGTCTTGTACTAATTAATAAAGCATTCCAATCAACTCGAGGAATAATATTGCGTAAAAATTCAGGTTTCAGCTCCATTTGTTGGATAGCCAACTTGGCATCTTCAATCTTTAAAGGAAATGCTTCAGCGGTGCTGCTGCAGCTCTTGTTTGAGCAGGTAAGAAAATTAACTAAACATTCTTGTTAGGAAACAAAATCATAGTAACCATTCTTCTATACCAGTCAACAATTTCATTTTTAAAGCAGTTTGTTATGTGGAAATGAAGAATACGAGGAAAAAGTAAATCGTTTTAAAAAAGAGTCCCGATAATTAAACTTGTCTTCCTTTTAAATGTTTTATAAATAACGCTCAAGGGCTAGATAGTGAAAATATACAGGATTGAAAAAATTTTGGAGAAATGTCAGGTTAGTGAAACCAGCTGCGAAATCCTTAGGCATTCAAATCCATACAAACTCCAACAAGATTCTCTACTTTTTTCCGGCTTCATACTTTTGACAGGTAGAAAAATATATATATATATATATATTACAACATCTGAACAGAAAAAATTTCTTGCCTTTTATGAAAGAGCAATTTTATGATTTTGGTGGTAAAGTATTTCAAGCTGTATAGCCTAGTTTAATAATAATAATGAATTAAAAATCACTAGAACTCTAGTTTAAATTTTCGACTTGATAAATACGAAACTGTTTTGTACTATAGCTAGCAAAAGGAGATGCCCTAGTTGTTTACGATACATGAATCAAGATGCCCATCCTCATATATTTTCAAAATACAAAATACTAAATAAAAAGATAATCTACTCAGATGCAGAAACACCAGCATGTTCTCTACCACCCTTCTTGCTGGTAGCTAAGGTATAGTTAGAAAGGGGCTGGTCCATAACTTGCAACATGTATTGCAAGCTAGAACTCCATTTAGCAAGTCTCTCGTGTAAAGAGATCCACTCGTGCTTTCCGAAAACACGGTAAGAGCTTCTGTGAATTACGAAAGTTTGATTAAGTTGTGACATGCGACCTTCGACGAGACCAGCGCGAATGACATCGATAATCCAGAGTTCAACTTCACTTTCATCAGTTTGGAGTACCTTAGCAATGTCCTTGTAAGATAAGACATTATTGGGAGCTTGGGTAGCGAGAGAAGCAATGGTCAAAAGCTTCATTTTACGAGTAATGGCCTCTTGGTCAAACTTTTCTTGTTCGCAGTAAGAACGGTTGGTATCAATCCAAGAGAGGAAGTCTTCAATCATACCACCAGACAAAATGCCGAGCAATTGTAAAGTAGCTTGTTGGAGTTGTTGGATAGCAGGTAGGGTGACAATGTCGTCGTAGAAGAAATATTTGGGGCTGTTGACCGTACGTTGTACTAATTCACGGACTGCTTCGTCGGTATTGGAAGGAGCCATCTTGACTGCCTCTAAGAGGAAAGCAAAAGATTGCTCTTCATCGTAAGCTTGAATGGCTTTTGAAACAAATATGTTAAAGGCGCGCTGGTCAGAAACGGGCACGCCAGCTTGGTGGAGCCATTCAGGGAAATAAACAAAGTAGGGAGAAAGCAAGTGGTAAAGATTAAATCTTGTAGTGATAGTTACAACACTGTTTAAGATGTGTAAACGGGCATGTTGACGATCTTTGATGGAGGCATTAAACAGAGTGCTGAGTACACTGAGGACAAGAGGAGCAAAGGAAGAATTTTGTTCTACGATAGACTCCAAAACCTGGCAGAACTTGACAACTTGTTCTTCATACACAGTCGATTCTTGTAAGAGACTAATGAAGACATTCATCATAGGTTCAAATTCTAATGTATGTTAGTGTCACTGCTTTAAAAAGTTTTTTTTTTGGTAGGAAAAAAAAGGTGAATAAAACCATTCTAACCGATTAAAGACGCTTACCCTTTTCAGGAATTTGAGAAAGCAACGATAACCGGCTTAAAAGAAAGCTCAAAGTTTCATTGACATTTTCGGAAGCTAAAAATTCCTTGCATTTTTCAAAGACATTTTTTTCTTGATTGGCTTCTAGTTGATCTAAGAAAACAGCCAATTCTTCCACCTATACCTCAAAATTAGCCAAATTTTTTCCCAAAAAAAAAGATATCGCTTTTAAATCTTCATACCTGTTCTTCTACGGAGGAATCTACAACCAAAACAAAATCAGAGGCTTCCATCTCTGCACGAAAAGATTAATTTGCAAGTAAAATGGCAAAAGTTCGTGGTTGGTGGTTGTTGGTAGGAACGCCTGGCGCGCAAGTGGTGTAGCAGTACGACGGCCCTAGCAGGTGTTGGTGGTGAAGGTGGAAAAGAAAAACATGTTACCTAAGGAAGAGACCGAATAAAACAAAGATATCCTTAAAGTCGATGACCTGCCAAGAACATGCTTGCAAACAGAATCCTCAGAGCAAGGTCTATTTGGAAGGGTAAGAAGAGAAGAAAGCGGAGAATAAGAGGATAAAGGAACTAATTTGGGATAGGGCCAAATGTTGTCGATTTCGGCGTGGATTTGGGGGAAGCTATAAAATCGCAAACTCCCGTTAAGACCATGGTGCGTTCAGCGACGATTTTACCAAGGATGGTTGGGTAAGAAGAGGCAAATGGGATGTTGAAAAAGAAAATAAAACTAATTGTATCTATTTCAGAGCTCAATTTCTCGTACACAACGGCAAAAACTATGCCTCTGTCAATGTAACCGAAGACATGATTGGACATAAATTAGGAGAGTTTGCTCCTACAAGAAAGGCATTCCATTACCGTCAAACGAAAAATCGGTAATTTTATAACATGTATGATCTTTTGGTTTTCCAACTATGGTACTGATCGATTGCAAAGGAAGGGAAGGACTAGAAATGAAAAGCGTCGTGTCGTATCGTATCGTGTATCGTACTTGTTGGATACATGAAGGAGGAAGAATATAAAGGCAAGGAAAAGAACGACTACTTGTATGAAGATGCAAAACAATCTAAGCATTTGATTGATAGATACCTAACCTAAATGCAACTATGAAGCAATGAAATCCAGAATCCAAAACAAGTCCAGCGGTATAAAGGGGTACCAAAAAGGCGGTAAGGAAGTAGAGTGGGTAGAAAGGAAAGAAAGACGATAAGAATTAAGGTGTCTTTAGGGGGACAGCAGTAGAAAAGGAAAGAAGTAATCGATTACTTGCTACTCTTTTTATCCTTTTTAGAGTCCTTCTTTTTTGTCTCTTTTTTTGAGGGAGCTGATTCTGCAGAGGCGACGGAGGAGCCCATGGCGGCTTCGCGTTCATGCTAGAAGGATTGCAAGTTAGTAAAGTAGGGCAAAATACGAAATACAAAAGAATGAAGGAGAAAACCTGAAAGTGAACGTACAGCTAATTGTAATTTGGATTTGATTCGATCGTCCAATTCGTAAGCGACCTTGTTTAAAATTTGATGTAAATCATCCTGTAGAAAGGTTAGAAAGGAAGGAAGGACTAAAGGGGGAGGAAACATACGGAAGATTCGGCAAATTTTTTTCCTTTCTTTTTTCCCTTTTTCTGAACCTTTGCTTGGGGATTGCTAGAGGTATTCAACTGAGGAATGTCTAGGTCTTGAATAGGGATGGAAGGCTAAAAATGAAAGCAAATGTTAGATGGTGAAAATTTCAAAAGCAGGTAAAAAACAGAGAATAGAAGAAATGATTGTTTGAGGATGGATATCAAACACAAGAACAAAAGACGAGAAGCACCCATTCGCAAAAATCAATCTTGAATCACATTTTCCAAACATACCTGTTTCTTCTTGCTTTTAGCGGCAGCGGCGACCATGGTCAAGGTTTATAAAAGGAAAAAAGCAAAAATACAAGTTTCAATTGCGGAATCTTTACCACAACGACAACGATTTGCTTTAGTAGGCCTTTCTCGTAGACCAAGCTGGCGAATCTCTTTCAGTTGGTTTCGGTGAAAAAGGTTACCGAGTTTACCGAGTCTTTTCCGAAGGAAAAATAGAATTGGAATAAAAGAAGAGAGAGCGAGGAGAGCTAAAATGCATTTTCCTGAATGATTTTTTGTTGAAAAAAAATTCGCTTCTTGATTAGATAATAGTTTGTAAAGTTGGGCTGGGCTGGGCTGGGCTGGACGTATGAAAATAAACAGGAGAATAAATGTACAAGTCAACGTCAGACAGAACGAGAGTCTATGAGAGGGAAGGATTCAAAACAAAGAAAAGAAAAGAAAATAAAGCCATGTTTTGAATGTTAAAATTGTTTTTCTCGTAATTAGATTGAAAGAAACCAGAGAATCCGGTGGCAGAAGAAATAACTTGCAATGTTATTTTGTCTTCGCTTAGCTTGAGTTTATAGAGGAAAAGAAGAAAACTTGGAATGAAGCGAAAATGTAAATGTAGGTAGGTCCTATGTAGCAAAACCATGCAAAATGAAAGGTTGAAAAGGGTAATATTTCATAAATATCGTCGTATCATTCTCTCTTCTTTGCTTTTTTTGTCTTGCTATCTGCTTTTCCTTTTTTTTTTTTTTTTCTTTTCATGGAAACAAAAAGAGTACTGTTCCAGTACGTACGACCCGACATCGCATCGCGTCGCATCACATCACATCGCATCCATTTCATTTCATTCATTTTCAACTCAGTTATTTCACTTCACTTTAATCTTTCGAAACATGCAATGAAGCCTCTCTACGTATAAAGCGTTTCCCAAAAGTAACTTCTGGTCAATCATCAATTCTAAAAAGGATGATCCTTACGCTTTCTCTAAAAGATAGGTGGGACAAATGCTCGCCAGTTGCTGCTAGACTTTTTACAACATTGATACAATGGAGTATGGATTGTTTTCTATGATCAAAGGAAACTCAAAATTCAAAACTGATACTTCGCTTGCAATGTAAAAGTGTAAATGTAGAATAGATAGAAAGCGAAAAAAGGAAACATACCAAAAGATGTCTTTACAGTCCAAACCAAAAACAAACTAATACCACCATAAAAGAGAGACCGACTACTGCCTTGGTCTATAGAGCCCTGCATAAAAAGAGCGACATAGAAATGAAGCGAAAAAAAGACATACGAAAAATAAAGCAGTGCTGGACATCAAGTGTCATCTCCTTTGCTGGTAATTTCATCAACAAACTTACGAATCAATTAGCCAGCTGGAAAAAAAAAATTAAAAATAAAATAAAATAAAAGTTGTTGACAAAGAAAAAGGAAAAGAAGAAAAAACCACAAGCAGCAAAAGCAACTTTCACAGCCACTAGTCTCGAACCAATTTTGTATTAAAAATTACATATTCTTTTTTCTTATGACATTTCCTTGATCCTCTGTAAGGAATCTATATGGTCAATACTATTGATCTCGATAGGATTGATGCGTATAGCACGTCGCTTTTCCATCCGCGCTTTACTGAAGCAAAGCACAAATGAAGGAATACCACCATAGATGAAAAAATATAATATATATATATATATATATATCTTATTTATAAAAAAATTATATCCTAATAGAATTTCCATTCCTTTTTTTCGACATTTTTTTGGTGGTTTCTTTTTATTAAATTTTTTTTTCTTTGTTTCTTTGTTTTGTTTACGGGATCATCACATCTCCATATTGTTACCTCTTCTCCGCATCTTCGCTCGTGGCTCTTTGACCCTTGCTACCTCATCCACATTTGGTCACCTCTAAAATATTTCTTCCCCACATTTACGCTTTCCTCTCCCTATCACAACGAAACCAAAACAAACCACACGAATTCCTAGCTTTTTTACATTTTTTACTTCACGCGTCGTAGTTACTGTTTGGAATTGTTTTTTTAGTATTCCTGTTACGCTGCATTGAAGCCCGGTTTCGAATTCCTAGAAAGTTGCTTCCTCATTTCGCTTTCCTGTCCGACAGCTCGGAAGAAGCTTTTTTTTGTACAGGCTATTGTATTTCATTTCATTTCAAGGTATCACTATTTTTATTTTTCTCGGCTTGTTCTGCTTGCCTGAATTCCATCTTGTAGGATTTTACGGGTCTACAATTTAAAGGGTCTTGCTCTTTCTTTCCTTGGCCTGTTTCTACCTTCATTGAATTGTAAATCTCCTTTCCTTTTCTTCCCCCCTTTCTTTCATATTTCTCTCTTGACAAGCTACTTTTCCCTGTTGATGTTTGTTTCGACGAATCTCCGCTCCTTCATCGCCTTTATTCAATTCCTCTCTAATTGCTATACTTGAAGCCTCTTCCTTCTTTTTCCTTTAATGTTTAATCGTTTACGGAAACATTGTATTCTTTCAAGACTTCTTTACTTGTATTAACTTAATTTCTTCTTTTCTTCTTCTTCCCTCTCAGGCTTTTTTTTTTTTTTTTTTTCTTTTCCTTTTTTTTTCTCTTTCTCTCTTGTTCAACTCTTCTCTCCCCCTTGTTTCATAAGCGGTGGTGTCTGCTGTACGATCAGACATTGTCTTTTTGGTCTTTGTACCTCGGTTATCGTTTTTGCTTTCTTTTTTTTAGGCTCGTTTCCACTTCCCATTTCTCAACCATTGTTTCTTCTTGTCTAATTTCAACCTCTTAATTTCTCATCTCTTACTAATTTTTCTCCCTTACTAAATTTCCTGTATGTCTGTTTTGCAGTCTCCGTCCATACCTTCCGACCATCCTTCCATTCTTCAGCCCTCTTTCTTTGGATACGTAGGTACTACGTTGGATGCCCTCTGGTTATTTCAAGCTTGCCAACAAAACGTCCTTCCCTTCACCCCTCGTCGTCCTCAACGCGAGGAACGAAAACACATCATCCATTCTGGTAATGTTTTTATTTTCAATGAAACCCAATCTGGTATCAAACGCTGGACCGATGGTGTCCATTGGTCTCCTTCTCGTGTCATCGGCAACTTTCTCATCTATCGACAACTGGGAACTTCCTCTTCCAATTCAAACGAAAAAGTAGATACTACCAAAGCTGCAACTGGAAAGCGTACTGATGAAAGTGGTGGTCCAAATCAAACATCTCCTGAATCCAATTTTCCTTCCGCTCCTCCTCCTCCCCCTCCCCCTCATCATCTGTCCCATGAGTCTCATCCCTCCATACCTATCGATGATGTCTTTTCAGATTCAAATATCTCTGTAAATCACCCTTCTCAGTCTTCGAATCCATTATCCACGGCCGCTTCTAATCCCTCCACTCTTCCAGCAAAATCAGATTTCCCTCCTACGTACCTTCAAGATCCCGCTAGGTTCTTGTCCACTTCTTCCGCATCTGTTCATCCTATACCAACCCAGTCTTCTGACCCTCTGTTCTCCCACCACAACAATCTTGCCCCTACTTCTACCTCTACGACTGGTCCTACCCCCATTCCTTCTGCTGGCGAGGATATAAAACCATACACAGGTGGTGCCTCCTCTGTATTGGCTTCCGGACAAAATTACCCAGATACACTTTCTCGATCCTTCCCATCCTTTCCCGCTACCTCAAATCCTCCTGCTCCTTTACAGCCACAGTATCCTATGAAGCGCCGTCTTTCTGTACCATCGTCTACCTCCACTTCTTTGTCTAATGGGTTTCCCGTTAATTCTGCGCTCTCTTATCTTCATGATAGTGAGCGTGCTTTGGTTGGATCTTTAAACGATGCATATTCTTTCAAAGAAGGAGGCCTTGTCAAAAAAACCATTTCTCTGACTATCAACGGGCAATTGCATCACCTCATCTCTTATTATACTGCAGAAGATGTATTGAGTGGAAAATTGAAAACACCAAGCTCCATGCCTCTCTTCCGCCAGCTTCCCATTTCCCCGGAATTATTGGAGAGTAAAAACTTTCGTATTCCACCCTTAGTCGAAGCAGCTGAGTCGGAAAAAATTTCTTATTGGAATTCTGTCTCTTCATCTTGCGATACACAACAACAACAGCCGACATCTCTTGCTTTGACTGGTGCTTCTGCTTCCGTCCCAGATGTGGATTCTTCTTATCATTTTCAAAACCTCACGCTTTCCACTTCTCCTTCATCTAATCTACCACCGACTTTTAATGGGAACAGAACCTCACCATCATCATTGCAACAACATCCTCATCCTTCTTCCCAGCTTCCTTTATATGGTAAATCTCCCAACCAAATGCCAAATCCAGATATGCCGCCTATACCGACTTTTAGCAGCCATGCTCCTCCTCATTATTCAGAAAATCCAATTCCTACTATGACCGCAATGCCAGAGTCTTCTGCGTATCCAAATCCAGTTTTTATAAAAAATGAATATAACGAAGATACCTCTGGTGTCCACAGTGAGTTACCTTCCTTTCATACTAGAGAAGAACCTTGGATTGATAAAGATGCGTTATACAATAACTCTCGGCAGTACCTCACGGCCCATTCCACTTTCCCTCAGCAATCTACACCTCATAACACGGCACTTCCCGGTTATGCAAGTCTACAAGAAACAAGCAACCCAAGTCTTGAATCATTTGATCGTAATATGCATAGGCATTCATTAAGTACAAGTCAACCCAGCTCAATAGTTCAATATGACACTGGATTGGCTTACCAATATCCAATTAATCAGAATATGAACCCTACGGGAGGCCTACATGGAATGTCTGAATACTATTGGAACAAAGACGCTCACTTACAGCCCCCAATGATGCATCCCTCCCAAGGAAATGCTATGTATATGAGTGCGGGCCAAAGTTGGATCCCTAATTCCAATATGAATATGCAATCTAATTCTGAATATCCATTTCCTGTACAACAGGAAATTAATTCTTCCTCAACGAAAAGAAGAAGCACAGTTAGTCGTTCTCCAAAGATGTTTCTTCCTATTCCTAATTCTCGCAGGGGTTCCGTTCCTTTAATACAAACAAAACAATTACCGATGCGCTCGACAGGAAACCGTGCTTTTTCACCTGTCAATACAATACATCGTTCTGCATACCGTGCTCATCCATATCCCATCTTGCCTAATGTTTCGCAAGTTCAATATCAGCCAGACGAAACCAACAAACCGATGCGCTAATCAAAGGATAAAGTTACTTTTAATGGATTTGCTCTGATCACTGATAATATAATGTATTTTTAATGCTCCGGATTATTCTATCCTGTGCTATAATTTACTACGACTTTTTTTTATTTTTTACTTAAAAATCTCTCCCCCTCTCTTTTATACTTATTTTTAGCTTTTTTATGGTTTCAGTTAATTTTTATACGCTACAAAAGAAAATGACAAAAGAATTCTTCCTTATTTTGTGGTAAGCTTTGCACATATTTGAATCAAGGATAGTTATATTTGTTTTAAACTAAATAAAATAAAGACTTTTTCGCTTTTACAATTGTTTGCGTTCCTTACGTTTCTACATGCTTCAAACTTTGAAACTGTGAACACACATTTTTGATAAAGGATCGAATGCAAAATTACAGATAGTAATAACGTTCTGCATAAGAAATGAAACCAGTGTTTAGCTGAAATATGCTTTTCTACTGACACTTCATTATATATATATATATATATCTCTACGTTTATTGCTTGTTTGTTTATATATATATGTTTATGTTACTTTATAGATCGCAATTAACGTTTTTCGCGGGTTAGTGCAATTCCGTAATTATTTTTCGAGGCGTTGGCGTTGTCGCTATTTACTAACCTCCCATGATATAGTAGAAAACAAATTAAACTGCAGCAATTTATCAACAACTGAATTTATGGCTTCGGCGAATGTAAGCACGCGTGTGTATGAGCTGTTAGAAGCTTTAAAAAAGGAATTTGATGAAGTCTCTAAAAAATCACAAAGTTCAGAGCACCACAAAGATGATTTTGACTATAAAGGTAAAGTTTCGCAACAAACAAGCAATTCAACCGAAAATTTTGACTAACTAGTGGAAAGGAGTAATTTCATCACAAATTCAAGAGATTGCTCTCATGAAACAAACGGTAATGGATTTGGAGATGCAACAAAACAAAGTCAAAGAAAGGTAACGAAGATCGGGAGAAGAAATCCTGATTTCTTTATTTAATTGGTTTCTTAACTCTAACCGGTATAGATACGAAGATGAAATTGCTAGATTAAAAACCCAACTCGAGAATCGGAGGAAGGAACTTGCTTCGGGAACCATATTTGGTCGTAGAAGAAGCAGTGTTTCTATGGGAAAGCCAGGCTTTTCTGAATCCTCAAAAACATCAATATCTGCTAATGGAATCAGCGGGTCTGCTCCAACAAGCTTACGCTCCCCTGCTGTTGACTCTGATGGTACCGCCTTAGCACCTCTTCAACTCCCCAACTCAGAATTAGCCTCTCAAGGATACCTTGGTTCATTTGCGAATCCTTCAATAGGTGGACTTGATGGTTCTGGCGTACGATGTAAGTAGAAATTTGATTAACTTGTTTAATTGCGGTCGGTCTTTAGCTAACTAAATAAGCTTATCCCCAAAGCTTGCCTCTAGGACATCCTCCAGCTCCTGAATCCGCTTATGCTTCTTCGGGACCACTTGCTGTTGCCAGCGGTGCTAATGGCAAGGTGAACCCACCCCTTCCATCAGAAATGATTCCCACATCTAGTTTGACAAATAATGAGGAGAAGGATTGGTCTATTTCTACTTTAAGAAAAGACAAACAATTTCCTATTTCTGTCAGATTGCTTCATACTCTGGAGCACACTAGTGTCATTTGTTATGTTCGTTTTAGCGCAGATGGCAAATACTTGGCTACTGGTTGCAACCGAGCCGCTATGGTGTTTAGTGTAGAGACTGGTCAGCTAGTTAATCTTTTACAGGAGGAATCTGCTGAGCGTGAGGGAGACCTTTATGTACGAAGTGTCGCCTTTAGTCCAGATGGTAAATTCCTTGCTACCGGAGTAGAAGATCGTCAAATCCGGATTTGGGATATTGCTCAAAAACGTGTCTATCGACTTTTGACTGGCCATGAACAGGAGATCTACTCCTTAGACTTCAGTAAAGATGGTAAAACACTGATTTCTGGTAGCGGTGATCGTACAATATGTCTTTGGGATGTTGAGGCTGGTGAGCAGAAGTTGATTTTACACACTGATGATGGTGTGACCACAGTTGCCTTCTCTCCCGATAATCAATTTATTGTAGCTGGTTCCTTGGACAAAGTTATCCGTGTTTGGACAGCTTCGGGTACTTTAGTAGAACAGTTGGTTGGACATCAAGAGAGCGTTTATAGTATTTGCTTCTCACCTGACGGATCTCACTTGGTCAGCGGTAGTCTAGATAACACAATTAGATTGTGGGAGCTTCAAGCCACAAGAAGGATACCACCCAGCTCTATAAAAGAAGGAGGAATATGCAAGCAAATATTCAGTGGACACAAGGATTTCATTTTGAGTGTTGCGATGAGCCCTGATGGAAGGTGGATTATTAGCGGTTCCAAAGATCGAACAATCCAATTTTGGTCTTTGGATTCATCAACATCCCAGCTTACCTTGCAGGGCCATAATAATTCTGTCATTTCCGTCGCGATTAGTCCCAATGGACACACTTTTGCAACTGGAAGTGGAGATTTACGTGCACGAATCTGGTCATATACGGACCTTTAAATCCTTATTGTTCTTAATGTGTTTTTACTCGCTTAGCCCCTTTCTCTTTTACATTTCATCCGTAATGTGTTTTTGTTCAGAAAATCTTTCAGATTTAAATTATTCTTGTTCGGTTATAATGTGATTGTTAACTGATGTTATATACTGGGATTTCTTCTTCCAAATGTTCTGGTTCCGTTCCTTTTTTGATACAAAATTGTGATTTTGTTTATTCTCGCCCGTTATTTTTTTTATAAAATATGAATAGTCACTTTTGTTTCTATTCTTTTCTTTAAAATTACTGTTCTTTCTTAATTTTGTTTTGTAAACCTACATTGCCAACTTTATGAAATATATCCAAATTGAATATCTTTCTCGTTTACTTTCCTGATATAGATACAAGTGGGTATGTATGTATTTTATATAATTTAATTGTAAAAGTTATTTCCGTAAATTCACCCCTTCGTTTTTCATATCATCTTCGGCGCGCCGACCTTTTTCTGTAACTAAGTACCTATTCCACCGTTCCTACCGATTGAATGGAAACTTCACGTATCTCCAAACGTAAATTATTCATGAATTACATTTTTGTTTGCGTTACATATTAAACACCAAAGCATTGGCCTGATTTAGACGGAGTCTAACAATTTAAAATGGAAGAAAAATCTTTGGTTTCTAGTTACGAACATTGGAGTGATGCAGATATTCAACTCCACTTTCGTTCAACTCTTTCTTTAAAAATAAGATCTGCTATAGTTAGAAGCATTTACCAGAGACTGAAGAATTATATTTACTCGTCTATATCGATAAATCTAGTATGGAATAATATACAAGACTTTTTCTCTGTGAAAACGAATAATAGGGACATGCGGGTGTTGGCATACAATTTAATGGAAAGATATATATATACCCAAAAGGAGCTGTCTTTGATGGAAAGATACGTGTTTTTCCAGTCCATTGAACAGAATGATTTTCATGATCTCGCAGAGCTTCGACTAAAGCTCAAAACTTTAAATGTTTTAACCCAAGAAGGACACAAACTGTCTGGAATTGAAAACAAAATTTGTCCTTTACTAGCGACGTGGTTCATTCAAGCTCACCAGCTTCAAACAAATCTCTCAGAAGAGAATGTTCTTAAAGAAGAAGGTTTGCTATTTTTAGCAGAGTTATTCAATTTTTCTAGCAATTTGGTAAAATTTCAATTCTACAGAGTTCCTGAACGTCATGCACTTATGCTCATTAATTCAGTCGTTGAAGTCTGCAACCGAACACCTTTAACAGAGGTAGTTGAGAAAACATTACTTCTTTTTGATGCTCTTGTTCGCTATTCTTCCGTTCCAGCATCTTCTGTGAACGAAATCGTTATTATTTTATGCAGTGCTTTTGTGAGTACATTTTCGTATTCCAAGCTGGCTAATTCCGTCGTTGTGAATCTGTTTCAGAGCCATATTTCGCATACTGTCTTTGAAGTCATCGTAGATATTTTACGGAACTTGAGAACGAATGTGAACGCTGTTCGTGGTGCAGTTCGTCTTATGCGTTTTTTTGTATTGCAGGAATCAAGTATCGAACCGATGACATCTTTTACTTTGAGCTCTTCTATAAAATACACAGAACTTCCTTTGGGGTATCATGAAACCATTGATTTTGAAATTCTTGGTACCGTTTTTCTATATTTACGAAATCCTTCTATCTGTTCTCAATTGTCTTCAGTTGATTGGAGACGTATTTATAATATCTTGATGTTTTCATCGAGTTATTTACCACTAGAATCATCGGAACATAGAATGTCGATTAATTATGCTGCCGCCTTTGCAAACTTATATGACCGAATATTGGATGTTTTGGAGATTGATGCTTTTATACCATCTTTTATTTTCTTTGAAGAAAAATTAATTGGGTTCTTTTATAAAATACTTCCTCTTCTGAAAGCTCCGACTTTAAAGAAGCTTGTTCATTACATAGAAATATGTAATCTAACTTGTCCGTCAAGTTCCTATTGGACTCTTAATCTTTCATTTCTATACAAGGTAAGCCAGACCGACTTTCTTTCTGAACAAGATCAGGCCAATGTTTCAAGGATGATTCAAAAGACTTGCTCGTTACTGGATAATCATTCTGTGCCAGAGTTTTGTAGAGTTTATCTTCTTCCAGCCTTGAGTAACGTCGGTATTGTAAAAGATGAAGAATCGGTTGCCCCTTTGTATAATATGCTTTTTTTTATTCACGTTAATCATTCTTTTATCGAGCTACAGGATTTAATTTCAATTTATCAGAAAATAATTTATTCCCCTCATAGTGGGAATATAAATATTCGGCTTGCTACAAGTTCATTAATTCGTCTTTTCTTCTTTTATTTTGATTTGAAATCCAAGGAAGGGACCGTCACCCTTCTGTCGACGTTGTTGTCTTTGCTAAGCAAGAATAGTTCTCCAACACTAACTAGGTTGATGTGTCTACAGTTATTTCTTCGATTTCGTAGAAATGCACAAGGTGTATATTTGGTTGAACACTTACACGAGCAAGCTGCTTCTTCAAACTTTGGTTTACTGGAAGAATCAATGCCTTACGTCTACCCTGTTTCGGATTCATTTATTAACGATATTTTAATCGACAAACATTGCTGGGGAAGACCGCCTTCTGATATTTTTGACGAGAGTGATGAAAGCGGAAAAGTAACTCTTTTCACATTTCCTGCAACTTCACTATTGGATGCCTATAGAGATATCGTTCTTAAGGAAACCGAATGGAATATGTTCAGCTTTTTTATCACTCATTTTCCGGATCAGTTAAGCAACCGAAGTTTATTTATACAGTCAATCCTTCAAATTAGGGATATAGTTAGCATTTTCTGTGGAATGATTTCTGAGCGCGTATCATTTCCCGCTGCTGTACCTGAAGACATTCGGAAGGCCCATATTATGATACCTCTTCTTCAAGGTGCTTTAATGTCGTTCGGATATCTGGACAACTTCACACGGGCTGAAAAAGACGAATTGGTAAATGCATTTTTACCAGGACTTGAAAAACGGAATGAGGTTTGTCATATTTGTATACACGCCTTGTTGCTATGTTGTTATGAAATGCCCGTGTCTATAAGTAAACATTTGCCAGCAATTTTGACAAGACTTTCCAGGCTAATTACTAAGTCAGATTTAAGCGTTCATATTCTTGAGTTTCTATCCAGTTTAGCTAGACTGCCGGACCTCATAGCTAATTTCACTGACGCTGATTTTCGACAGGTTTTCGGAGTTTCTTTAAAGTACATTCAACATTATAATGTAACAAAAAGTGGAAACTCTCAAACCGACGATACTGCTGTTATTAAGCAATCTTATTCGAGCTATGTGTTAGCCTTGGCATATAATATTCTCCAAGTCTGGTTCCTTTCAGTACGGATTAGTGAACGTAAAAAGTTTGTCCCTTGGATTTTACGAGGATTAAGTTTGGCGGCTGAAGGCCAACCACTTGATGATTTGAGCTTGGTTCAATATGATATGATGCAAAGATTTTGTTATTCAAATTCGGATATTCATAATCAAGCTCCAAATGGTATTGACCCTCACATGGATTCACAAACCTGGATTCGTGGAAACTCCCTTTTTACCGTTAATGTCTTAAAGAACTTTAATTACATGCAAGCCCTTGTACGTCGTCCTTCTGGTACAACACAATATACATTTAGAAATATGGCTTATTTACGAAATTGGATGTTTGAGAAAGACTTGTCAGGTTCTAATGATCTGCCGTCTCATAATGGGTTTGCTCCGACACCTAGTAGTTTTTTCTCACATTTCTTGGATCCGCAGGGTATTTCTGTCAATAGTCATCCGATTCTTCTACCAAATAATGATACTGTGCGGAGAGCAATAAGTGTTTTCGATCGGGTTCCAGTTATTGAGTCTTTGAAGGCTGGTGTCGTTTATGTCGGCTATCAACAAACGGCTGAAGCAGAAATATTAGCCAATACAGATCCCTCTCACGGTTTCAAAGAATTCCTTAATGGACTTGGTATTTTAAAGGAATTGAAAGGAAGCAAAGAATTATATACTGGAGGTTTGGATCGAGAACACAATATTGATGGGGAGTTTGCGTATTATTGGAGAGACAAGGTCACCCAACTCGTTTTTCATTGTACAACATTGATGCCTACTAATTTTGAACGAGATCCTAGCTGTACCATGAAAAAACGACATATTGGGAATGATTTTGTGAACATTATTTACAACGAATCGGGTCTGGTTTATAATTTTGACACAATCCCTAGTCAATTCAGTTTTGTAAATATAGTAATTTCGCCTGAATTTGAACCAAATAACTCGTTAAACGAGTCACCCAAATTTTATAAGGTGGAAGCTCAGACAAAATACGATATAGACTTTAGTCTTTTTAACAGCCATAAGCTTGTTTCATTAGAATCTTTGCCTGCAATTGTGCGCGACGTGACATTGAATGCAGCGGTATTTTCTCATATTTATCATCAAGGTGCCGGTGATTATGTTTCAATATGGACTGAGCGTTTACGACAATTAAAGCGATTAAGAGAACGGTTTTTACCTGCGCATTTGGCTGAAGAGGATCATGATGGAGAGTTACAGATAAAACTAAAAAATGGCACGAACTTTTCGGATTTTACAAGCTATCTCTAATTTACACTGCTGGGCAGTCTTTTTTAATGATAGATATTAATACCATAATGAATTTTTTCATGTCTTATTAATAAAAATTGATTACTTTTCATTAAAATAAAGCGTATGTAAAAGTTCTATTAAACGGGTATTAAACGCTGAAAACATTCAAAACCAAAAAGAATAGTACAGCGGGCCAGGTGAGAAATGTGAACTGCTTAAATGATTTATGTAGGATGCTTTTGTAATGATAACGAGGATTGGCACGCCTATTTTGAGCTTGAGTATGGTATAAAGGAAGAAGACGACCAGACTTCTGGAAGTGCTTGTTTGTATGATACGTAACAACAGCAAATAATAATAAAGAACAAAGACCGTAGAAAACATATATTGCAATCTGGTCAGGAAGTAAACAAAGCTGAGTTTGGTAAGATTCTGAAGGCGCTTTCCCTTCTTCATGAACGTAATAAAGTGAAAGTAATTGATATCCTGGTCTTCGTATACCACTTGTCATTGCAAATGCTTTCACATTATATTCAGGAACCTCCTTTACAGAACCATAATCGTCAGTATAACTATGAACAACTTCACAATAATCGTGATCATCACCTGCGAATGCTGCAATTGGCATAACGTCCTTTAAAATTTTTTCAGAAAGCTCTTTAGAAAGTACGTTCTGGTATTGATAACCATAACCGAATGATATTGTATCCTTTTGCTCGCGCAGTTTCCCACAGGATGTGCCATCCGGACGATATAAGGGAACATGACCAAAAAGAATCGCCGGTGATGATGATTCTTTATCCTTGTTGAAAAAATCCAAGTAAGATCTTGGTTTTCCGTATACGTCAGGCGATAGAGTATTTGAAAGTCGAATCCCATCAACCAAAGCCAAGGTATGATTGCCAGCAATTACGGATCGAGAGGTAGGTCCATAAATTGATTCAAATGTTTTTATTTTCTCGTAGTAAGTTTTTTCTCCGAAGCCAATATCATGATTTCCGGGGTAAACTTCAACATGCTCAGCAGCGTTAAAATCGAAAATTCTATTAAATCTTTCTAAATCTTGTTTCCATTCATCACGATTAAATTCTCTTCCGGTATCCATCAGGTCACCCATTATAATGGTTAGATCCGGTTTGAGCTTTTTGTGAAGGTATCGCCAATGTCGAAATAAAAACTGGTCGGCGATGAATTGTACAAGACGTAGCAAAGGCCTGGGATAACTGTAAGTACCGTTATCTACGATCTGGGGATCGGCTACCAATGCAACATGGAAAGGCTTCGCTTCATGAGGCCAGCGTTCCCAGTTAGACCAATTGCATTTTGTATGTGGCCGAACATGAATTGTCCTTTCTAAGTAATAGACCAAAAAAAAAGATAAAAGGTAATAGAGCAAAAGTGTGACCTTCATAGTCGCAATCTTTTTAAAGCGGTAAACAAAGGAATGTGTTGAAAAAAGCTGAGTTCATAAGCAAAAACCAATGAACTAATATATTATTGATACGTCCAAGTTAGTTATTATTTGTATAATTCCAATGGTTGAATGAGAGACTCCTAGAAGCAATTGCTTCCTGGAAAAAGGAACGATAATTAGGAGCTTGGGTTGACCGAGTAAACGACAAGAATAAATTTACTTAATATATCAAATTGAAGCCACTTTATGTGAACTTTCACCCTATGAGATAGACTTTGAATCGTTTGGAAAGTTGAACAGAAATTGTTGTGAGCAGATTGTGAGTAGGAAAATAGTAGCAATATACACCAAGTTAATCTTACTGTTTTGGTTTATAGACTTAATTACTAATTATCTTATTTTTCAAAGAATTAAGAGAATAGATGGTGCGGTCGTTCCATTTTTCTCGAAAATGAAAGTTGTTTACATAGAATTGTTTGTTTATGATGTCGACAAACCTGGATAAAAAAAAAAATCTATAACAGAAGCTCTACTATATTAAACGAAAGAGATGAGAAACACAATTAAACTAGTATATATAAGAGCTCTTTTGTACGTAGATACATCCCATGGTGTGGCAGGAAAGAAGCAGTGCGATACCATTTATTAAAAAGAAACATAAAATTAGTAACCTTGAATAAGCATTCATTAAGCATAGATTGTAAAAAATAAAAAGGGAAGGGATAGGACAATAATCATTAGATGTTTGCAATATACTGGAGATGAGCAAGAACATCTGCTTAACAGAAAAATACAGACATCGAATTTTAGACAAAGAAAAAAGAGGAAAATTCTTCTCTTTCTTCATTTCTGAAAAAGATCGAACAACGGCATACCCTACCTTATAGTACATAGGTAGGCAATGCAGATGCAAGCTATTCTAATTGAAAAGGATGATCGAAAGGAAAGAATTAGATGAAAAGGCTTAAAATTCTTCCTCATGGGCAGCGAAAGCTTGAGAGTAAATGGTAATTACCATAAAGATGATAAAGCCACCGATACAGCTCATTACTGAAGCTGGTATATTCGTGAGACTCACATTTATAAAGACAATGGGAAGGGCTAAACACAAGTTAGTATATAGACTGATCAAACGAGAAAAGAAAAATGCCGTACCAAAGCCAGTACTGATGATAGCGCCAAAAACAAATCGACCAAAATCTAAAAGATTGCTATATCGGTTAGTTAAAGGCCTGAATAGGAAAGAATGAGAGAGAGCTCGCAGCGAGAATTAGAAAAGCTTTCGAAATTACAAAAGTCTTCTAAAGATGTTTCTCAAACAAAACCGCTCCTTATCATGACATACCGATCCTCTTCTTGTAAAAAGTCATGACTCGAAGAATACCGTTCGGTGAGTAATTGCGGTAAAGGTGCCAGCAAAAAGGGAATGACTACAAGGTTAGAGAATGTATTTTCATGTTTCAAGACCGATAAAAGTGACAGATGCAACCATATCCTTTTGCGGTAGAGATTTAGAGACCTTACCAATTAGCAGAGGAAACCAATTTCTGTAAAGAGCGCCAGACAAGATCACAAGCATAAAGCCAATGGCTAACACCTTTATTCAACAATTTTGTTAGCAATTGGTGCTTTAGAGAAATTGAACACAAGAACACTCGCATACCGAAGAAAGACCAATAATTCTATTGACGAACGGTGTCGTTAGTATTCAGGACTTGGAAAAGACTACAATGGGGAAAGCCAACTTACTTTTTAAGATCAGACATGTTTGCTTTTATGCAAAAAGACCTTGGAAATTTTTATTTGGATAATTTGCTATGAGTAGAAGAAGGACCAAAGACGTAGTAGTATTCAACCACCTAAATAATTACGTTGGTCCTCGCTAAAATACAGTAAATAATGAATTGTAAAAGGGAAAAAAATGAACAAAAAACAGAGGGATTGAAGAGCATGAGAAGAGATAAACAAAAGAGAAATACAATCTACACTTCCATTGTGGGGATTTTATGCCAAGGGAACGTGGCTGCCAACCGAATTAGGTGAGGGGAGCAATGGGTCAAGACAAAAAAAAAAAAAAAAGAAAGGAGTATGGGAAGTGCATAATGCGAGTCTATTTGATGGTATTTGATCGATTCAAATTTTGGATGGGAAGGGTGAGGAGGAAAAAAATCAATTGGTTAAGCATGGGATAAAAAAGTTGTTTCTCGATGGACCATCATGAACGATTTTCTTTTTCCAGGACAAATTTGTTGTACAAGGATGATCATATGCATATAAATAATAAGCAATTTTCTTTGAAATAGAGGAATGACGAACGGTGAAGCCAAATTGATGCATTATAGAGTGAAGCGTAGCATTATCCATGTAGCGAGAGTTGGTGACACAAGGAGCAGGAATGACAAAAAAAAACCAGGGAGGATGAATGGGATCTGGGGGAAGTAGTAGCTGGGTACATTTCCAAAGAATTTGAGCTCTTGTATTAGGTGGAGCAAAATTTAAAACTAAAGAGCAACTAATCCCATGAAACTAGAAGGATGGTTAATTTTTGAATAAAAAAATAAAAATAAAAAAGAGAGAGAAAGAAAGAAAAGAAGAGTAATACTTACCTGACCTTCTTTTGGAGAGCGAGTCAAGACGTCTTGCTCTTGGATGAGAGGATGGGAGGAATGGAGGTCGATCCTGGTAACGGAAAACAAACCACAAGTGGAGCATTTGTTATCGACAGAAACACTTCCAATTTCCAAAATCTGTTGTGGGCGATTGTTTGGATGTTTTGGATAGAAGCTGGGATCAGCTCGAATCCATTCGACCAAGATTTTACTAGAGTCACCACCCTTTTGGCTGTTTTGACCATTTTGACTTGCCTTTTGGTAAGCATCAATTCCAATGGCTTCCAATTGTTGCTCTACATGTTGGATTTGTTGGGCAGAGGCTTGGGTAGCTGTAAGTCGGGCTTTTTCCTTGAGTAGATTGTGGTAATGGCGAATGAGTTTGTTTCCTTTGAGACCTTTTGGTGGATGTGCTTGCTTTTTTTTGGCAACGCGATCCTTGACCGAGACAGGACGACGCATACAAGCTAGCAAAGAAGGGCACGTCAATGAACAAGCAGAACGTGCAGAGTGTGAAGTTGATGTTTAATGAACGACTTTTCTTTATTATATTTCTTCCTAATGGGAAATGAAAAATGAAGAAGCTATAGAAAAAAAATCAAAAGGAAAAAAAAAAAAAAAAAAAAAAAAAAAAAAAGACAGGGAAGAAATAGGAATGAGTTGGACAAGAAAGAACCAAAAAAAGAAAAAGAAAAAGAATTAAATAAGGAATAAATAAATAAAAGCAAACAAAAAAGAATACCTGTCTTTCCAATTCCAAAGACAAATCCGTTGTTCTGTGTGTGTGTATGTGTATGTGCGACTAGAAAAGAAACCACCAAAACTGGATGGTTGTGTCTTTTGAGGATGGGATAGAACATGAACAAGTCGTAGACTAGTAAATTTTTTTTTTTAAAAAAAAAAAAGAAAAGAAATAAAAAAATGTCTTTTTCTACTTTTGTAAACTGCCAGCAAGTAATGATTTCCGTCAAGAACCTCAACCTCATTCTTCGCGACTCTTGAAAGCTAATAAAGAATTTGAATCTCAGTCAGAATTACGAGCGACAGAATGAGAGAGTAATCATCAAAACATGAATTTCAACATTTCGTTCACCTTGACGATTCACGAAAAAGGTTTTTTTTTTTTTTTTCGCTTCTTTCTTTTGTTTATTTATTTATTAATTATAAATTACTTCCTCGATTGGCTTATATAGCTTGTACAATACCTCATTACTAGAATACCCAAGTTGAACCCAACTGCCCTGCCCTTTCTTTTCTACAGGGAAAGAAAATAGCAAACGCAGCTTAGCTGGATTCCAATCGTCGACAATTTCATTTCTGCTCCTGCTGTCTGTAACTTCTCTACGATTCTTTTTTTATTTAAAAAAAATAAATGAAATAACATAACATAAAAGAAATAAAAAGAAAAGGAAAGAAAAGTAACGGGAAAGGAATTTTAGTCTTTTCAATTGCGCTTTGTTCCTTCTGTCTTGTTACTACCGCACACTCAGGTACCGAAACTCGCTTACCACAACTTTAAAATAAACTATCTCGGAAATTCCCACTTAAACGAAACGCGGCACCACCAGCCTTTTGGCGTCTCATTTTGCATTCCGAGCATCCCCCCTTGAACTGTGGAACTGATATCAACGGAATGTCAGTTTCTCCGATAAAAGAGCTCATGCGACGTCAAGGTACATGTTCCTTGGCGAAGCCTCTTATCCGGCTCGGAGATTTTGATGATGAAAACAAAGTTTTTTCCGACAAACAATGAAATCATAGATTCCTCCCCATTGGATCAAACGAAACACAATGTTGTTTAATGACACTTCGGTTCTTTCATTGTTATTTTTTAATCTTCCGTCCCTGCTCTACTTTGTACCCTACTTCTCTCATCCTGTTACCGCCGTGTTTCCTCCTTGTTCCCCTCGTTGTTCGCTCGCGGGACCGCGTGATGTTCAGACGAACGTTCTTAGACGCGATTTCGATGACTTTCGGTTCGGCTGATAACGTCATGGTGGTTTCAATGTTCTCCTGACCCTCGTAAAAGGTTCCGACTTGTCACCTTCGTCACCTGCGTCACTATCGATGAATTTCCAAAAATCCTACGTAGTTGATCCACAATCTTCCATCAACCTTCCAAGTGCCTCACCCTCCCCCGATACAGAAATATAAATAAAGGTGGATTACGCTGATTCAACCAACAACTGACCTTTAGTTTCGTAATAGGATTTCAAAATGTCTTTGTCTACCAAGCTCGCTATCACTGACGTTGACTTGAAGGGCAAGAATGTCTTGATGCGTGTCGACTTCAACGTCCCCTTGGACGGTGACCGCATCACCAACAACGCCCGTATTGTTGGTGCCCTCCCTACCATCAAGTATGCCATTGAGCAACAACCCAAGGCTGTCATCTTGATGTCTCACTTGGGCCGCCCTAACGGCTCTCGTGTCGAAAAGTACTCTATGAAGCCCGTCGCCGAAGAGCTCAGCAAGCTCTTGAACCGCGACGTCAAGTTCCTCAACGACTGTGTTGGCCCTGAGGTCGAAAAGACCTGCAAAGAGGCTAACAACGGCCAAGTCATCCTTTTGGAGAACTTGCGTTTCCACATCGAGGAAGAAGGTTCCGCCAAGGTCGACGGCAACAAGGTCAAGGCTGACTCTGCTTCCGTCGAATCTTTCCGTAAGTCTTTGACTTCTCTCGGTGACATCTTCGTCAACGACGCTTTCGGTACCGCCCACCGTGCTCACTCCTCCATGGTTGGTGTCGAAAAGACCCGTGTCTCTGGTTTCCTCATGAAGAAGGAACTCGACTACTTTGCCAAGGCTTTGGAAAACCCTGCTCGTCCCTTCCTTGCCATCTTGGGTGGTGCTAAGGTTGCCGACAAGATCCAATTGATTGACAACCTCCTCGACAAGGTCAACCGCCTCATCATCTGTGGTGGTATGTCTTTCACCTTCTTGAAGGTTCTCAAGAACATGAAGATTGGTGACTCCCTCTTCGACGAAGCCGGTTCCAAGAACGTCCAAGGCATGATCGAAAAGGCCAAGAAGAACAATGTCGAAATCTTCCTCCCCGTCGACTTTGTCACTGCTGACAAGTTCGACAAGGATGCTAACACCGGCTCTGCCAATGCCGAAGAAGGTATCCCCGACGGCTGGATGGGTTTGGACTGCAGCACCCAATCCTCCAAGCAATTCGACGAAGTCATCCAATCCTCCAAGACCATCGTCTGGAACGGTCCCGCTGGTGTCTTTGAATTCGAAAAGTTCGCCACTGGTACCAAGACCATGCTCGACTCTTGTGTCAAGAGCGCTAAGGCTGGTAACGCTGTCATCATTGGTGGTGGTGACACTGCTACTGCTGCTGTCAAGTACGGCAAGGAGAACGAGGTTTCTCACGTCTCCACTGGTGGTGGTGCTTCTCTTGAACTCTTGGAAGGTAAGGCCCTCCCCGGTGTTGTTGCCCTCTCCTCCAAGTAAATTCTTTGAGAACATCTCAGCTTCTTCATCGTTTGTTTCCTTGACACATACTAGCATCTTATGATTCGTAAATCATAACACTAAAACTTTTTTTTTGGATTTTGGGATGGTAGTTTTTGTTTCGGAAATAGCCCGAACGGGTTTTGGGAATCCTTGGGTTTCCTCCTTTTGAAACGAATCGACTGTGAATAACCTGTTTAGGGTTTGGTGATGAGTATATGCATTTTGAAAATAATTGTTCCCTTGTTTATGTTTAATAAAAGAAATAGATATTTATGTACACAGCAATTTTTCTCTTCAAGTGATCATTTCTGATTGCAGTAGTCGTTGGTTCTAGTAGTGAACACTACAACAAGAGGTAAGAGTAGAAAGCCAGACAAATAAATGCTTGTAAATCGAATTCCTTGAAAGAATGTTTGCTTCTTCAACTGTTCACACTATAATGGAACAACAAATCTGTTGCGCTATGAAACTGTGTTTGCGAAAGCTTTTCAATAACCAAAAATAAAAAAAAAACTTTTCTTTCTATTTACTGCTGCTTTGAAGACTTGGGAAATTTATTGAATAGTGAACTTTAAGATAATCGAATGAGGTTGTATGCATGTTGGTAAATTGCAATATGCAGACATTCCCTTCCTACACCAAAGTCAAAAATTTCTCCCAAAGCAAACTAACAAAGGCTGTCCTGCAAGAGGTCAGCATCTTAAAATTGCTTGTATTGGAAGGCATAAAACAATTCAAAATTTTTTTTAAACATTTGGATTGACTATTTTATTTTATATAAAACTCTGAAAAGTTGGAAAGCCTTGCTTTTTCAGTCTTAGAATTTCTTCTTTAGGGGAATTGAAACGAAGTTTTGGACGACGGGATATATTTGGTTTTTTATTCTTTATAGACGATATTGAAAGTCTAAAACTCTTATTTTATTACTCATTGGGACCCTTTTTGTTTTTCTCTTTTATTTTTCATAATAATTTAAAATTTCCACCATGGATTCTCAATTTACTCTTGAATTGACTCAGTTATTATACCAGAGCACTGCTCCTGATACCACTCAAATTACAGAGGCTACCCGTGCCTTGGAAACAAAGTACTTGAAAGAGCCCAGTGCTTTGTTGTCCTTGTTGCACATCATGGCCACATGCGAAAACTTCCAAGTGCGCCAACTTGCAGCTATTGAAGCTCGTAAGCTCTGTCACAAATATTGGCCCGACGTTCCTGCTGATGTACAAAATCAAGTTCGTGCCAATTTGTTGGAAATCACCATTAAAGAACCCGAAGGCATCGTACGCCATGCTTTTGGTCGCGTTATTGCCGCCTTGGCGAAAATTGATCTTCCTGATGGAAAATGGAACGACCTTTCTGGATTTTTGGTCCAAGCCGCTATGGATCCAAACGATTCCATTCGTGAAATGGCCATCTATGTGCTTTATTCGATTGCTGAGACTGTCGATTTAGACAGCAAGTTGCTCTTAGACTTTGTACATCTGTTCTCTCGTACCATCACCGATTCTAGCCGTACTGTTCGAGTCACTTCCGTTCAAGGTTTGGGTGCCGTTGCTGAAGTTTTGGAATCCGACGACAAAAAGCTTTTACATGCTTATCGTGATACCCTACCTAGCATGCTCATGGTTTTGCAAGACGTCGTTCAAGTCGGCGATGAAGATGCCTGCAAAACTGTCTTCGACGTTTTCAACACTTTCCTCATTGTCTCCGGTGCCATTATTTCAAAGGCTCTTGGAAACATCATTGAATTAATCATCGGCATCTCTACATCCAACCAAATTGATGACGAAATTCGTTGCATGGCTTTGTCCTTCATCATCTCATGCATCCGCTTCAAGTCTCGTAAATTGCAGGCTCTCAAACTTGGCAAATCTTTAATCCTTTCCCTTATGCAAGTCGCTACTGAGGAAACCACCGAAGATGCTGATGAGGATTGCCCTGCTCGTCTTGCTTTACGGGCTATTGATCTTCTTTCCACACATTTGTCTCCTACCCAAGTGTTTTATCCCATGATGGAGGCAATCATGACTTTCTCTCAATCCCCCGAGCCTGGTCACCGTAAGGCCGCTTTATTGTCCATTGGTGTTGCTGTCGAGGGTTCTTCCGAGTCCGTCGCTTCAAGCCTTCCTAACATTTTCCCTCTTATCGTCAATGGTTTATGTGATGTTGACATGAACGTTCGACAAGCCGCTCTATTGGCTCTCAGTCAAATTGCCGTCGAAATTCCCATGGAAGTTTCAAAGCACCATGCTCAATTCTTACCCTTGGTCTTCGAGTTGATGTCCACTCAAGGTGTTAAAGTTGGAAAGTCTGCTTGCAATTGTATTGACGCTTTGCTTGAAGGTCTTGACCGTTCTGAAATTAGCGGTTATTTGCCCATGCTTATGGAACGCCTTGTTGGTCTCTTAGACTCTAATGTTACCCCTGACATCAAAAGTTGTGTTGCTGCCGCCATTGGCTCTGCTGCTTTTGCTGCTCAAGAAGACTTTTTGCCATATTTCGAACGTACCATGGCTAGCTTGTCCAATTGCTTACACACGTCTGATGACGATGAGGGTTATGAACTTCGCGGTACCGTTATGGATACATTAGGAGCTATCGCCAATGCCGTCGGTAAGCAAGCTTTCTTGCCTTTCACTGAACAACTTATTCAATTAGCTTATGAAGGTATTCAAATTGACCATTCTCGTCTTCGTGAATGCTCATTTTGCTTCTATGCTGTTTTGGCTCGTGTCTACAAGGAAGAATTTGCTCCCTTCCTGCCTCATATTGTGCCTGCCTTGTTCAAATCTCTTGACCAAGATGAAACAGATGTTTTAAGCGAGAAGGTCGGCGCTCCTACTGCCGATGAGATCGGTCAATTGCTTGAATCTTCTGAAGGTAATGACGATGAAGATGACGAAGAATTAGAAAAGGCTATGGGTGTTAACTCCGCTATCGCTATGGAGAAGGAAATCGCTGCTGATGCTTTGGGAGAAATCTGTACTTATGTAGGTGCTCCTTTTGCTGAGTATCTTGAGCCTACCGTTGAAAAATTGGTTTCTTCTACCACTCACTTCTATGAAGGTGTTCGTAAGTCGTCTTTGACCAGCTTATGGCGTTGTGCTATTACTTTCTACAAGGTTTGCAACTTACCCCAATGGAAGCCTGGCTTGCCTTTGCAAATTCCAGTTCCCGATGCTGTACAAAACATCTTTGCTGCTGTTAGAAAGTGCTCTTTCGATACTTTGGATGAAGAATACGAAAAGACCGTCGCTACCGATATTCTTCGCAACCTTGCCGAAGCCATCAAGACATGCGGTCCTGTTGTCTTAGGAGATGATTACTCAAAGATTTGCGAAATTGTTATGGAAGTACTTCAAAAACAACATATTGTCCAAGCTGGTGATATCTTTGACGAAGATTTCGAAGAAGAAGACGTTGTTAGTAACGAAGAAGTTGACGATACTGAACAAGATGCTATGTTTATCGATTCTGCTTGTGATGTTGTTATTGCTCTTTCAATGGCCTTAGCTGAATCCTTCGTGGAGTCATTCCAAGTTTTCTTCCCTCATATCGTTAAATATTATTCGAGCAACAACGGAACAGAACGTGCTATGGCCGTTGCTTGCATCGGTGAAGTTGCTGGAGGTATTGAATCTGCCATCACACCTTTCACTGCTGATGTCTTCACGTTGTTTATGACTGCTTTAGAAGATCCAGAGGGTGAAGTCCGTAGTAATGCTGCTTACTCAATGGGTCTATTATGTCAATTCTCTACTGAAAATTTGTCTTCTGAGTACCTTAATATTCTTCAAAAACTTCAGCCCTTCTTTACCCAAGAAATATTCCGTACTGCTCTTGATAACGCTATTGGCTGTATTTCTCGTTTAATTTTGCATGATCAAAATGCTATTCCCTTGGATCAAGTCTTACCCATTTTGTTGTCCAAGCTTCCCTTAAAGGAAGACTATTTGGAAAACGCACCCTTATACTATATGATTCTTCATCTTTACCGCCAGAAGAACCCTATTCTATTGCAACATTTGGGTGATTTAATCCCCGTCTTTGCATCTGTTTTGACTGGACCTGCTGAGCAGCTCAATGATGAGTTACGCACTCAACTTATAAACTTATTGAAGGAGATTGCTCCAGAATATCAAACTCTCATTTCTACTTTCCCTCATTTGGTTGCTTTATTACAGTAAAAAATTTTTGTTTTTTTCTGCGGATTGTTATTTTGGTATTATAATATTAGGATAGGTTTAAGAAGGCTTTGGTGTTTTAAAATAGATACCACTGAATAATTTAATTGCTTCTAAGCGCGTATATAACAGTAAAAGAAAGATAAATATTCATGATTCAACTATTACTTGTAGCACATCCGATAATTTCCTAGGTTTATGAGATTGTCGATGAACGTCTTTCACAGTTATGTAAGATAAGTCATAAGACCCGGGTCTATAGGCGAGAAATTGTAAGTCAAAATCTTTCTCGCATTTTGGCGAAATAATTCCAGTGTGAAAAATAGTAGTGGAAGCAATTATGCCTGGTAGTTTCGTAACGTAATAGGGCTTGTTTGAAGGAAATGAAGATAACCCATCATGCTTTTCACCGTCGTTTGCTTCATTGTTATCATTAGTAAAAAACACATCGTAAGTATATAGTGGAATCTGCACGACGAGTTCTAAAGGTACATCTGAAGGATTATACAAATTAATACTGACTGGAAAGGTAGTGCCGGACTTCACGTAAGAAGGAACTGTTGCAGACATTTCAAGCACTTTCAAGAGAGGCGTCAAACTTGTCGTCGATTCACTACTAGATAACTGTTTAGTATGTTTATGCATGTGATTCTTTCGCATAACAAACATGGTGGGATGCTTGTAAACAAATGGCATGCCATGCACATATGTTTCGTTAAGTTTTCGCACAATAGTTCCTTCACAAAAACATTCAATCTCAATTCTATAGGATGATGGTTGCAATTTTAGCTGATAAACGACTGAAAACAGATCGGAACCTGTCAGAGTTGCGTTGATACCATCGTTGCACTTTGGTCCCAATAACGAGAGGCTTGAGGATGATGATTTGGATGTAAAATCTTTTAAAATGAAGCTATGGCAGGAAGTATCCGGCGCAAGAATGCAAGTGAGATACTGATTTAGCTCATCAATCATATAAGCCTTTAGCTTTATCAAAACCGGGATAGCGCAAAAAAAATGATGCATTTTTGAAATATAATTTAGACGAGATTTCTTGTCATCCTTCTGGGTATTTCCGGATATATATGAAGCTGGAAGAAGGGGTGGATTTGCTTGAAATCGCGCATCATTAGAAAGAGACCCTAGAATGTTGTAGTCTATATCAACATCAGTTATATAGTCGTCACTTTCATCATAACAAGAAACGTCTCTTATAGCATCTGATTCAGATTCTAGCGAACTTTTGCTTGAGACTTGATGAATGCCTTCATTATTGACGTGAATCTCTAGTTTATGATTTGGAAAAGAAAAATTATCTGATTTGTAAGAATAGTATTCCCAATATGTAAATCCTTACCCAACTTTATGAGACATGAGAAGAGCCTGTGTTCTCTCTCATTGTCGACCCAATTAAAAACCGTTGAATGCCTGGTCGACAAAGTGAAAGCTCTAATATTTCGAAAGTTCGTTGATGAATTTGAGCGATTACTAGGTGAGTTGCTATACAGATGTCCTTCAATGTTAAATTCTTCGAAAGCTTGATCGAAATCACCATCTAAAGGCTTTGAAATAGTAACATTTACGTAGAAAGATTCGCCTATGATTATGTTATTATTATAGACTCCCACTTTTCTTGCGTACCATAGTATAGCTTCACGTTTTCATTCTGTGAATAGTAAGTATCTAAAGACTTCAATTCATGTTCTTTTATGGGAGAAAAAGAAATAAAAAAATCTAGTTTTATGCCTTCTTGCATTAAATGATCTATTTTGGCATAGAGAAACGTTTGATAAATTCAGTTCAATCTCCAAAGATGAAGAGCAATAGTCAGAAAGTAAGACCGGAATTAATGCGTGTTTGTGAAAGAAAAAAGAAATAATTTGAATACAACTTAGTTTAATTTTTGTATATATTTTCAATATATGCTACTAAACTATTTACTGGCATTCATAGACTCTCTATAGACAGTATAGAGCAAGAGGACCAATTCATCAAAAAGAAGCATCGTCTTTTATTGATATATCGTAAAAAGTCAATAGAGAATCAATTTGAGTTATTTTTGATGTTAGGCTATTTACCACTCTATTCCCATAATAAAGGTTTCTCCGTCCATAAAATGTCGCAAAGAATATTCAGACTCTTATAGTGATTACTATTCTCTGTTAATCGAGTAATTAAATGTAAGCCAACAGCTTCGTTTGAACAACATATTATGTTTACTTGTGCATGCAACATTGATCTTCAAAGTCGAATAAAAACGCAGAAGACCAGTAGTGTTCATTGTAAGTTTAGTCATTTCAAATAGTTTCGTTGAGATTGAAACCATTTTGTTTAGAAATCATAATTCTTAATCTTTCCCTAAAAAAGCGTTAACTATTCAACTATTATAATAGTATTAGAGAAATAAAAGGCTTTCACCTATAATCTGTACTCTCATAATAGATTTCAATCATGACCCATTGCGTGGCATTCTATTTAAAGAAAGTTCAAGTCCTCGATAGATTCAATGACATTATAATACCACTGAAGATTCTACATGGGTTTCTACATGCAATTCCCATGAAATATCCTCAATCCTTCCTAAAGCATGCTTGGAATATCGAAAACTTATCCACTCTTCCCATGTGCTTTTTTCCTCAGCGGTAAGTCGCTCCCATCTTTTTTGATAATTAAATCTGAATTGTTCAACAATGATTGCTACTTGTTGCTGAAACTTCACAGGGCATGAAAATTGAAGAACCGGTGAGAAGTGAAAATTACTCTTGCTAATAACAGCTGTCAATCTATAAATATTTAATGGCTCTTTGGATAGACCATTGTTCTGAGAATCATCACTTGAACAAAAGTGATAAGTTGCTCCATAATTTAATAAGCATCCGGTTAATGCTGTAATGGAGCACACCTCTTCGACCTCTGACTGCATTGCAGAGTAACTAAACCTCCATGTGAAATCAGGAACTTGGACTGTAATCATCTTCCTGTTCCTTTCTAGATTTAACAATCTATTGACATACCAAACCAAACAATGCTCCAACTTCTCATTCCGATATTTTTGGGGTAATGCAATTACAAGAGGCCATAATTCTTTGGTTTCCGTGTATTCTTTCCAACAGTTTACATTCACAAAGAATGTTTGTTCAATGGGCTCTGACAAATATATAGCTCGAATATTAGGATAACCTAAAAAACCAAGAAAAGATTGAACAAAATTTTGATCTAAAAGTACACAATCAACCAAATAACTTGTTTTTATTCCAATTAATACAGGAATAATGCCATCGATGAACTGAAGTGCAATACCATGAGTAAATCCTTTTGTTTTCAGGTATCTGTGTATTTCATATATGCTCTTTTTCATAATAATTTATCCCTAACAAATTATAGATATGTAAAGCCTGCCATTAGCCAATTTTTCAATTGGACAGTGACTAGTTCCAGTAAGACTGCCAAATAAATAATTCAACCTTTATTAAAAGAATGGGTATATTACTCAGAAGCCTAAGAAAGACGAATTTAACACTTATTTAAATTAAGAAAAGGTTATGCATATACTTTAATATTTATGAAACTTGAGAAGAGTCGAATTTTGACATGAACTGAATTGCATTTGGCAAACAATCTCATCCTAGATAACTATTGAAACACAGACTTCAAAATTTTGGTTTAAGAAGGGTATGGACGACATGGCGTCCTGTTTAATGTGTCCACTGAAGAAAGTAGCAAACATAAATACGAAATTGACATAACAAAAAGCGTTTTTTTTCTTCTTTTTTGGGAATTTCACGACATAAAAGTAGAATCAGACTAGATATAAAAATGAATCATGGCATAAAAGTAAATATCAGAAATAGAAAGCAAGCAGTAAATAACTTATTCGTCTCCTGCATGATGCAGCGTGACAGAACTAAAACCAGTAAACGGATTCTCACTTTCCGGGATTGGAGTAGCCGAATGCATGTCAACACCAGGAAGATTGGATGAAATCAGATACTGAGAGTTTAAATAGTCAATACTATCCGGTGCATCAGAAACTCCTGAAGATTTCCGTACAGCCTCCATACCTTCCTGAATGTTTGGTACGATAGGAGGCTTCATGCTGCGTAAGAGTGCCCACTGGATATCACGGAAGAATGGATGTTCTTTAATATCGGATGCACCAGCTACTGAACCGAAGCGCTTAGTTTCATCTTTAATTAATAGCCGCCTAATTAAATTTTTGCATGTGCTCGATACGTTAGGTGCTGAACTATATTCAGGGAAGTTGACGTCCGCATACAGAATATTTGAAAATGTAGCATGCCTGTTTTTTCCTTTAAATGGGGTAGTACCATACAAAATTTCATACAAGAAGATCCCCAAAGTCCACCAGTCCACGGCTACGGTATGACCGCAACTTCTAATCATTTCTGGCACAATGTACTCTTCAGTTCCAACAAATGAGTTTGTACGATAAACGGAAAAGTAGGAATTCGTATCCAAGGCCGGTTTGTCTTGGGAAAAAGTAGAATGTTTTGTCACACGAACCCGCGGATGAGCTTCTGTATTGATTGGTTTTGATAGATCAAAATCGGACAACATAATATGCCCAGATTGATGTAAAAGAATGTTTTCGGGCTTCAAATCTCGATAAATGAAACCCATTAAATGAAGATATTCAAGTGCAAGTGTTACTTCAGCTGCATAAAAGCAAGCACTTTTTTCAGGTAGAACATGGCCAGGAAGTGAATGAAGTGCGCGAAAAAACTCCCCGCCAGCACAATACTCCATACATAAATAAAGATGATCTGTGGATTGAAAGGCATGGTAAAGAGTGACAATAAATGGGTGGTTGCTTTTAGTAAGAATCTCTTGCTCGGCCAAAACGCGTTGAACTTTGCGTCGTTTGATCATTTCGGCCTTGCTCAATATCTTCATAGCAAACAGCCGATTGTTGCTTTTTTGTTTAACTAGATACACCTTTCCAACATCTCCTTGGCCTAATAGTCGGATTTTTTCAAAACTTTGTGGAGCAACTTCGACCTTGCTGATTTTTGTACTGTTTCCAGAGTATGTACGTTTGCTATATTCGGTCGGTCCAAATATATAATTTGCTGGATTCTTTAACGTTTTAAATTGAGCTTTTCTCATGTTAGAGCTATTCACTGGCGGTTTCGATGGAGCTTCAATTCCTTCATGAGAATCCGGAGCTGACGATATCCTCCGAAGAACTGGCTTCCGATCCAAAAATCCATCGTTACTATCGGTCATTCCTTCCATATAGTTCTCATCAGAACGTTCAGGAGATTTTGACTGAGACGAATTTTGGTAGCTTGTAGATACGGTCACCGCTCGATTACGGCGAAAGTGAAACAAATTTTTCAATTTATCAGAAAGATGAGAAGAGGAGTTTCTCGAATCATTCGAGATTGGCTCTTTGTCTCGATTCTCGCTTTCACGCATTATACACCAATTTTATACCTTTTCAAGGAATCTCACCAGCGCCTTTCTATACTTTTTTTTTTAAGAAAGCAATAAATAGAAGATCTCAATTCTTAAAAATTCCCTTTAAACAAACTATCCACGATGTTTTTCAGATATTTCTATGCTCTTTGTGTCATTAAAAGTGGTGGATCTGAGAAGGATAAATCAATGTGATTGCGCTAAGGTGTAAGAAACTTGATGTTATAGAATAAAAATAGGCTATTGTATTTCTTAAAAAAGATATATTTATTTGTTTGACTAATGATAAATCTCGTTTTCATTCGTCCTCTTGTTAAGCCAAAACAGGCTTTTATTATATAGCTGTACACAATGATTTCAGTCATGGTCAATGAGAACCATCGAAAGAAAGATAAATATGAATGATTTTATGCTTGATTTCCTGGATATATAAAGCATAGCATAATAGACATTGACAGCCCAAACAGTTGGAGCCCTCATAAAACACACTAGTACCAATGCATGTCATGACCAAATCGACATGATCCCTCAAATACTTGATCTTCAATTTCAAAAAAAAAAAAAAAAAAAAAGAAAAAAAATATATTCAATATTTGACTTTGATTGCGCTAGCAAACTATGCTATAGCTTTCATAATGTGACATCAGCTATTCTTTTCATATCGGTGTACATTTAGGCATGTCGCTTTTTTTTTGAGAAATATATTTAATTATTTTTAAATAAATAATTATTAAGAATTCCTTACTAAAGAAAGGAAGCTTGTAGAAAATAACTTTCAAACTTACCATATCTTCACTTTTTGCGACTTTTCTCTTGAAAACTCGTAAACGAATGTCTTTAGGATACATATACTCTCGATCAACGGTGAAGAAAGATTCGTAAATAAAAAAAAAATAAAAAAAAATAGAACTTTAAACAATGGTGAATTTCATCAGTGAAAGGAACTGGATATGATTGTTCCTGCTGGTAGAACTTCTCTTGATGCCCGTTCTTTTATTTTAAAACGTGTCCATGATCAAGACAGTGTATTTATAAACTTGAAACAAACAATATTGTATATATATTCACAACAAGTTCCCATCAGCATCATCTTGGTGAACTGAATACCGTTTGTTCAAATTAGATGTAACTAACAATAAACAACTTTAGGCCGACATTGAAGCTGCATTTTGAATCTGTTCGACTGGTTCATAAAACAAACATATTATGTGTATAAAATTTGTACGGACGTCACTTGTTAAGAAACTGTACAGCCAAGGAAAAGTAGATGGATAATCTTTTTAGGCATCTTATCATCAGAAATGGCAAAATAAAACTATAATAACATTTCCAAATAGTAAGTGATTGTAAAGAGTGCCTTCTTGCTTTCACAGTACTCTTCTAGGATGCGGTTGGCGATTTCTTGGTTTCAATATTCGTCCTGAAATTCAAACACACCATTCGAAATATAATCCAACCCTATCACATTCATATTTTGGAGTTAGCAACTAACAAGCTCTATTTCATTAGGCAAATAAGTTATTATAAAGGTATTCGACCTTTCATTCTGCATTGACCTCCGTAAGCAGCATCCATGGCAAGTGATTATACTAGGAATAAATCCATTCAATAGCACCCGACTTGTTGGAACGTTATAAGAGCTTTTCGTTAATAAACAATGCCATATTAGCTTTTTCCATTCCAACACGATACTTCTCTGGAAAGCGGATTCCTTTCAAATTTCAAAGATTTATTTGAATAAGATGTACATAAATGTTTCAAATTGCAAATTGAATACTTATGAATGCCAAATGTCATGTCTTCCTGGCAATATTTGACACCCTGCCTTGATGCCTCAGACTAAGCTCTCACACATACCTCTCAGTAGGAACCAACATTTCTCCCATTCTGGGTACTCAAACTATTAAAAGATATTTGAGCTTAGTTTTTCTTTCATATTAAAATTTAGTTGGATCGGTTATATAGATTGGAAGAAGTCTTGTCGACATAACTTTTTAGCACTGCTAATTAGGATATTTTGATCTCCACTAAACGTATATAAACGATTTATATTGCATTTACATATTCTATGCGTTTAAATGCAGAGTTTTTGACACAGGTTCCTTCATTTATTAATCCTTTGAAGGAATCAGAATTGGATTTAAGATATGTCAACGTTTGATATCTAGATTTTGTACATAATTACTAACCAAAAGTACAGGGTATCAGATTCCGTTAATTGAAAACCTGGGTATACTTCGAGATACCAATGACAGCATTGATTTTACCGACAATGACATTCGGTATCTAGGAAACTTTCCACGTATGAGACGTCTTCAAACCCTTCTGTGCGGTCGAAATAGAATAAGCACCATCGATCCAGAGCTAGGGAAAGTGTTGCCCAATTTGAAAATTCTTTCGTTAACCCAAAATCATATTCAACAATTGGCAGATTTAGATCCTTTATCCACATGCCCAAGGCTTACTCATTTAACCTGTCTTGACAATGCTGTAAGCCAAAACCAGTATTACAGGCTGTACTTAGTATGGCGGATCCCATCATTACATATATTAGATTTTGAGCGTGTCAGAGAAAATGAGCGACGTCGAGCTCAAGAAATCTTTGGTACTATTGATCGTCCTACTGAAATAGCTGCATCCATAATGGGAGTTAAGAGTCGCGTATTCGACTTGGGAACTCTTGTACAATCGTCAAATACAGATACGAACGCAACGGTTTCCACTGGCTACGCATTAACACCCGAGGAGAAGGAACAAATTAAAGAAGCAATTAAAAATGCTTCTTCCATTGCTGAAATTAATCGATTAGAGGTTATGCTTTTAGAAGGTAAGATACCAAAATAGGTTCGTAGCCTTGTTTGACAAATTGATTGTTGGTATGTCTTCACGAAAATTCCGAATAAAATATTATGTTTCTTGGGATGCTGGTTAATGATTCGAGTATAGTTATTAATCGTCGCATACTCAATCACCCGTAAAATCTGCAAAACTTTGGGAAACTATTGAAGTAGTGACTCAGTAATAAATGCTCGCAATCGAAGTTAAGCTAATTTGGATTAGTACGTATATAATAAGAATAAAAGTAGAACTCACTGTCCAAGTATTCAGCTGTAACCAATAATTCCAGGACCATTTCTGGAGGGATATCGAATTTAGGAACATCCTGCTGGTTTTTATAGCGATAGTTATAGTGCAGATATTCGCAAACTTTTTCTAAAAGAGAACCTCTATCGTTTATTTGTGTTAGATGTATTGTCGAACCTGGCACCAATTCGTACCTAATATCAGGAAATGTACACTCGTTGTTTTGAGCTTCAGCAAATACTCCTAAAAAATTTTTGTTAACTCCCTTCATTAACTATGATAGTGTCCTTGCCTTCATTTAAAATCGCTTTAATGGTTCCAGATATGCAAGCGATGTCTTTTCTTAACACAAACTCAAAACCATCACTGGAAATTAGTTTAACATATTCTTCTGACATATTTTGATTTGTTTTTATTGAAAATACGAGAGATTCTTTGTTTCTTTACACTTTTCGTAATTATGCTAGGTCCACAGTCAACAAGTTCAATTTACAATAGTAGTAGTTATAATCCACTTCACTAATATTAGATTCCATTTGTTTTATTGAAGAGTAGATTATGAATATGTTACAAATGTCGATCCAACAAACATGGTTTAAACAGAAATGTTTTTATTTAGAATATCTCTTGCCGAATGGCTTAAGCACATTGTAAAAACTCAGTCAAAAATAATTAGGTTTTATCATTATGTGTATGATCTAGGGAATTTTTGTTGATGGTTGATTGTTTGTTATGATTGATTGTTTTTGTTTACTTGTTGACATAGAAGTGACTGAAAGTATTAATCAGAATGGAACCGAATCCTAGTCTATTAGCTTCTACAACCTAACCACTAAAAAAAACATTTGTATTTATAACTCCTTCGTATAGAATTATGGATCAACAAGGAAGGAGAAATGCTCCAATGGATAGTTTGTCTCAGCCAGCGGTAAAACCTGATGACAATTCCAGTTTTCTTCAAAAAGCATTTCAGCATCTTAAACAGCTCTGTATGGCTTGTTCCACAGGAACAGAATATATTGATAGCGACTCTGAATGCATCTACAATCAAGAAATACCCAATGAGCATAACGAATTCGGATTCGAGTCGTCCAATTTTTACAATGGTTCCCCAACATCAAACAGTTTCAATACTTCTGTAGAGGCATTGAGTCTTGATTATTCGCTCAGCATGCCGCATGCAGACACGCTTTTGAAATTAAGCAATCTACCTGTAACGCAACAGTTCGCAGAGGAGAAAGGCTTTGTTACTCGAAGTAAGGAGGAAACAAAGAGAATAAAAGTTCCATTCGAGAAGGGATTCTTCAGTATTCTTTATGGAACATCGCGCACTCCTTTTCTGCATGCACAATACGCCGATTTTTTCATGTCAGAATCTCAAGCTCCCATTTCCATTGAAATTGATAACGAGAATGCAAAGAAGAGCATGAAGCTAGCTGAAAAAAATTTCCCTGAGGCTTTCGAGCAATTTATCAATTTCCTAAATGGTCCTAACGTACCTCTCTCTGTCCTTCTTCATCACGTTATGCTCTATGACCTATACTCCCCTCGGCTCAAGGACGCAATTTGGGATACTATTAAAAACTACATCCAGAAGATGAAAGGAAGCTACGGATATACAGACTTGCATGTCGAAGCTGCACGATACAAGCTTACACACCCAAGGTTTATCATGGTCCATCCAGAGGAACTCTTTTCCGTTTATAACAATCCTGACTGGGTTTGTGTTTCTAATGAGCATTTTCATTGTAATATACACATCCAACCTATCGTCAGTAACGCCATAAGGAGTAGAGATGACCGTATAAGAGAAGTGGCCTCAAAGTGTCAAACTCCAGTTGAATATGCATGGCTAGCGCTAGGGCTAGCATTGCGAAAGAAAGTCTCCATATTTCCAATTCATGCCTATCTGAATTGCAAATCCAAATTATACGATGAGACCATTCCTCCTTCTTTATTGTATTATTCAAAGGAAGACGAAAACATAAATACTTCAAACATCGAGGAAATTATTAATTACATGTATGAAATCTTCAATGCCGAAGCTGCTCTTTGCGGTACTTCTAGCAGGAACAAGGACAATATTAATGCTTCAAAGATGCAATTCGCCAATCTTGAAGTTAACAATGTCAAACGAGAAAAAGAAACTAAGTTGCAGAATCCATTCGAGCCGGAAAACGTAACTCCCGGTAGTTGTTAATAGAACATATTTCGAATAACCGTCATATGTCTTACTCACTCACAAGACTCCTAATTTCTTCGCTAACAGATGCTTTACTTTGTAAGCTCATACCTGCTGCTTTTTGAGCCGTATTTATCGCATCATCCATTCCCCTATTTTCAGATAATAATGCACTCAGGACTCCAACGAATGTATCTCCAGTACCACTTCCATTGATGCACTTTTTAATTACATCCGGAACAGGATAATACTTTAGGACTACTTTGCCAGGCGTACAAAGACTGTTCGAATTTATTAGAAGCCCCTTAATTTCATCAGAGCTCACTAATAAGGCTCCTTTAGAGCCCAACTTGATAATTATATTTTTAACAAATGGAAGTATATGTAAACACTTTTGCAAAATCCCATTCTCTGTCAATTCTTTAAATTTGGCTGCTTTTGACAATCTTTCAATCTCTAAGACAATTAGTAATTCTTCAATGACAAACTTCACGTACGCGTATAATAGGAAGAAGTTATTCCATAAGAATTAATGGTTTCCCACCATTTGTCTGTTTCACATAAACCTCGTTGCTTTATAGCTTCAAACAGTATATCCAGTTCATACAAGTTCGGTGTAATATAATCAACGGAAGAATTTTTCAACACATCCAATATCTTAACACATTTAGGCCCACTGGTCGGTTCAAAAATAATCTTTTGACCGTCTCTCTTGTGAACTGCAATATCATGCATCAAGGACGAAGAAATATTTCCATCAAAGCAAATATAATCAGAATCATCAAGAGTTTCTTTTACATCTTTGTAAGTCAACCGTTCCATAATTGACATGTCAGCACCTGCCAAAAGGAGGCTTCCTTGATGATCGTTGACTGCGGTGTATGAACAGGACGAGAAGTCTTCTTTCTTAATCAATTTATACTGTAAAGAAGATTTTCCAAGATAACTTTGAATGGCCGTCGTAGCAACTGAGTCACCGCCTATGCAACTAATCAGTTTGGTAGGAACTCCTATCAACGAAGAAGCTACCGCAATATTATGGGCTACTCCGCCGAAAGCTTGCGTTGTACGGCAAGGATGTGAAGTGCCCAATAACTTGGAAGGATGTGCATTTTTATCGAGTGTAAGTACAGAATCAACCGATACGCTTCCAATCGAGATCACCTTTGGTTTTTTGGATGCAGAACTTTCTAATATCTTTGGAGTAAGCAAGGCAGTATCCTTCAAAAAGGGTTCTGAAACATCAATGTATGATGTATTCTGGGGGATAAATGAATTTCTCTGCTTACGTGTAACCAAAGATGAAGAAATAGAAGCAGCATTTCTTGCATTGTTTAAAACTAAGTCGATATTCGTGCTTAAACTCTTGCCTTTTGTTAAGTGGAATAACTGACCAAGGAGAAAGGGAGTAATATCTTTACCATGAATTCCTTGCTCTTCGCATCTCTTTAAAGATAAATTGATAAAGGACTCCATTGTTTCATAACTTAAAGAGCATTCTTCCGGAGTAGGAACTGCAACAAGTGTACCACATTGCAGATTAAGCTTTATATTTTGGTGAAGTAAGGCGGCAACGTCTTCAGGAGATCCCAAACACATTGGACTTTTGAAAGAAGACTCTCGAGAAAAAAAAGCAGGAAAGGAAGAGTTTTCGGGTCCAAGCGTTACTACAGGAACACCTTGTGTTTCTAAAAATTCTAAGGTTTTGCCAATATCCAAAATACTTTTAACACCAGCACACACGACACCCACTCTCGTACGTCCTAACTCGATCAAGTCTGCCGAAATGTCCATTGTAGTTTCAGCACCTCTGTGAACTCCTCCAATTCCCCCAGTCGCAAATACATCGATTCCAGCTTTCTCAGCTAAAATCATGGTTGAAGCAACCGTGGTTCCGCCATTCAGCTTCTGGGAGGTAATATAGCCCAAATCTCTACGAGATACTTTTCGAGCTAGTGGGCCAATTTTGGCCAAACGTTGCAGTTCTGATTCTTCCAAACCTTTATTATGTAAGAAAGTATAAAACAAAGTCACGTACCTATTGTACACTTTCCATCGATTACGGCGATTGTAGCAGGAACAGCGCCAGACTTCCTAACAGCATTTTCTACTTCCAGGGCCATTCGTTGGTTCTCTGGAAAGGGCATTCCATGTGTTATGATGGTGGACTCTAAAGCAACTAAAGGAAGTCCATTCTTGAGGGCGTTCGATACTTCCTTCGAAAATGCCAACGATGAAATATTGAACCTTGGCGATCTAATTCCAAGACTTAGGCTTCTACTAATACCATAATGTAATCCTTGTTTTAAAAAAGACCTAAAATGCCCGGTATAATTCTGCATATGTTAAGCAGCTGAATTTTGAATCTTTTATGAACCAGAATCGCGCTAATTAGGAAATTACTTATTATATAAGCTTATTTCCTGGTATATGTAAAGAGAAAACTTTTCTTAGGAGAGAGTTGAGGAACGATTCTACCGTAACGATTATGTACTGAGTAAAATAAAGAAGATAGTGGATCATTGATAAAGCAGGCCAGCACAAGAGAAGAACATAGAATGAGTTAAAACGAACATGAGATATAAATTAAATAAATAGATATATTTATATGGAGAGATTAGTAGTCTTTAAGACAAACAACGGTTTCTTGAGTCTGTCTATGATCGAAAATGGAAGAGATCTCCCGTATTCGTAGCGTTTAATATACTCTTTCCATCATTTTTCTAAAACAGAATAGGGATTTCTGGTAAAAACGGATTCCACGACAAGCAGATATAAAGCATTTGAATCTCTTCTTATTCACACATTCTTCGTGTGTTATTTTAATGTAAGCATATGATACATTACATGTCTTCCAAAACGAGTCAGAAAGTGTAAATAAGAGGTTTGGAGTCTCACAATATAAACCTTTCCAAATGCCTGAAATTCATTTCAAGCAGTAACATCTCATAGATTTGAAGAAAAAGGCACCTTTTCTCTAAGAATAGCAAAGGTACAGCACTCCTTGCCCTCAAACATTGGTCAACCATTCTGAGGAGAATCGTGAATGTCTGCTTCCATTAGATCTTTAGTTAATGAAGAGATATAAACATTAGGTTAGCTATAACAAGAGTTAGCCTAATTTTTGTTCACCATTGTTCAGAAGTTCCTCTACAGTTCTTCGCTTTTACTTACCTCATACCAAACACCAAGTAAACCAAATTTGGTGAGACAGGATGAATACAGCAGGGAATCTGGAGCATGAAGATTTAAAAATGGACGTGGATACAACAATGAATTCAGAATCGAAGCCTTCCCTTGTTTCTGAATTACTGGAGTTTACACTTCAGTATCCTTATAACTATGAAGGTCATGTCAAACTCGTAGAAGAACTGAAACGTCACGGACTAAAAGAGGATCTTCATGCCGCGAGAGAACGATTTCAGAGTCTTTTTCCTCTCTCAGAAGGTATGTTGGATGAATGTGAACGTAGCGGTCGGTTTTATGAGTATTTATTTCTTTTTGACTTGCTACAGGAACATTCATCATCCAAGCTTGAAAATGATATCACATTCAGTTACTAATAACTTCATGTTTAGATATATGGATTGAGTACTTGGAAGACGAAAAGGCAGTGTGCAATACTCTTAAAGACTATGAACGAATTGTCGGTTTATTTGAAAAGGCAGTGACAGACTATCTGTCGATTCGTCTTTGGCAACTATATTTGGAGTTTTTATTGACGCTGGTCGATCCAAGCACATTTTCTTCTGAGAATGCCGAGCTGCAAGACGTGGTTTCTCTACAGGATGTCTACAGCTTATTCGAAAGAGCATATGAAATATGCAAATACCATTTTAGTCAGGTAAGTGAGTAGATAATTTTTTCAGTTTGCTAATTCATATGGATTTAGAGTCAGATAATATGGGAACAATTTTTGGAATTTCTTGAAGAAACCGGTGAAAACCTATTCGAATCCGATCAAGATAAAACCGTCAGAGATAGGATGCATGAATTTTATCTTGAAAGACTAGAAACTCCTCACAGCCAAGTTGGGGATACGTTTTCATCATTTTCATCTTTTGTTACCAATAACTGGTCACAAGAAGAATACGAAGTCATAATGTCGAACACGAATAAGGTATATGAGATGAACTTATCAAAGTATAAGAAGATATATGATAATGAATTGCAATTGAGTGCTTCAAATCATTCCCTGGAATGCTACATGGACATCCTTAACTCTGAATCCAGACGAAGCACCGCTATTTTTCAATATGTTGCGACCCTGTATGAGAGAGCTATATGCTTTTATCCTCTCGTAGGTGATCTATGGCTTGAATATTTGGCTTGGGTAAGCAAGTCTGATTTTCCTCCTCAGGCTTATGCTATAGCAGAACGTTCTGTTCGGAATTGCCCTTTTGTAGGGAAATTATGGGCTATGAAGCTTTTATATATGATAGTTGTTGGTTTGTCTAACAATTCTATTCACGAAGAGAAAGAAAGATGTTTAAAGATGAACTTACTTTCTGGATTTGATGAGTATTGTGCTTTTTTCTCAGAATATCTTAAACTTTGCATATATATTTCCTCTAATGAACTAGATCCCGCCCATTATATTAGAAATGAGATCCAAATTATTGAGGATTTCATGCACCATCATTTCCCCGGGCTTCGAGATTATAATTTGCGCATCGAAAGTGCTAAAATCAATTTGCTTATTTCCTTAAATGATTATGACAGTGTTGAGAATTGTTGGATTAAACTTCAGAAAGATTTCCAAAAGAGCGCGAAGTTTTGGATCCTTAGATACACAGCTACATTGCGATATAATCCAGAATTAGCTATTGATTCTTTGAGGAAAGGTCTGTATAAGGATCTCGACAATCCCATGCTATTATTTGAATTTTACGAATCAGTTGTGACGCTTAATCATGATTGTTTTACCTCTATCTCTCAGTTTTATGATTTTACGCAAGCGAAAAGTTTGTTTGTGAAGAGGAGTCTTACTTCTCAAGCACAAAACCAACAACCGATTCCCTCAGTGGAAGAAGTTCAAGAACAGACAGTTGCATCGCCTGATCGCGCCAAAAAGAGGAAACCTGAAGATGACGAAAGTTTGTTGAAAAGGTCGAGATTACCTGAGAAACATCGCAATAGAGAAGAGTTTACTGTACTAGTTAGTAATCTTCCACATGACATTACCGAAAAGGACTTACAACAGTTCTTTAAAGAGTGCGGCAAGGTTTTGCAAATACTTATTTACGATGACAACCATGGAAAAAAGCTAGCGCAAATTGAATTTTCCGAAACAAGTGAGGTTCTGGCTGCTAAGACTAAAGATATCAAACAAATAAAAGGGCACGAAATTTCCGTACAGATTCATGTTGATACCACCCTATATGTTACTAATTTTCCGCCTACATTTGATGAAAATAAAATTACGGATCTCTTCTCAACGTACGGGCGGGTTGTACAAGTTCGGTTTCCAAGTCTAAAATATGACACAAACCGACGTTTTTGCTATGTTCAAATGAGCACTCCAGAAGAAGCGTACCATGCATTACAATTGCACTCCAAAGTATTAGAAACCCGTTACGAGTTGAAAGTATTTATATCAGATCCTAACAAAAGTGGAGCTAGAAGTGGGGCTGTATACGAAAAAAGAGAGCTTTATTTAACCAACGTTGACTTTGATGTTAATGACAGTCAAGTCCGCGAGTTTTTTATAAAGTATGGCACCGTTGAAAGTGTTCGACTGCCTTCAAAAGCTTCTACTAAAGGTCACATGGGGTTCGGCTACGTGATTATGTCTTCTAGTTCAGAAGCCGAAAATGCTTTAAGTGCTGCTGGAAAGGTTTTAGGAAAGAGAGTTTTGAACGTTGTTATATCCCAGCCCAAGAAAGCTATTAGCAAAGAAAAAGTAACAAAAGATAGGGGACCAACGTTTACTAAGATGCTTAATAGGGATTCTACCGATAGTAAAACTCCACCAACCTCACTTAATCAGGTTCATAGTAAAAGCCTAGGAATTATTAATGTTGATCAAACGATCAACGAACCAAGATTAAGATCTGTGTTTGAGCCATATGGAGAGATTTTTAGAGTCGTACTGCATCCCGAACATGAAGGTGCAATTGTTGAATACGTTGACATACATAATGCTGGTAAAGCAGCCCTTGCCGTGGAGGGTATGAAACTGAGCGGTCGAGAATTACATGTAACAACCGTGAACGAAATGATGCACAACAAACCCAACTATAATCAAGCATTCGTCCCCAAACCACGCCCACGCAAGGCTGGGGCAAGATTAGGCTTTCAGAAAACTCAGAATTCGAGCAACCAAACTGATATTCAACAACAGTCTAAGAATGAGGAGAATGATACAATGCAGATTGATCCGCCTAAGACCAATGATGATTTTCGAAAATTTCTATTTAAAGACACACAAAGCTAAATCCGGTGAATTGATATTTTTCATTATAAGTCTACGGAGCTAATGCATGACTAAGTTAGGCAGACTTTTGCCATAGGTGTTTTCAAATTTCACTTTCTTTCGCGAACTTTCATGAAAATCTTGCAGTGTAACAATATTTGCTATACAGCAGCACATTAATTCTTTTAGATAGTTTTTCTGTAAATCATAGGATAGTTCGTGCTGACTACTTTCCATCGGTAATTTTAGTACTTTAAGTAAGGTTTTTTTCGATTCCTCAAAAGATTGTAGTGTTCCTTCTAAAAGTCTTTCTTTAGGTAAGGATTGATGGTATTCAACATTCTCGCGTAATTGAGACAAGGATATCGATTTCATTTCGCTTAAATGTGCAAACGGTCTAAAATGAGCTTTAAAACTGGATAAGATTACTTTCTCTTCCTTAAAAACTGAAGGATAGGAGAAAACACCATACTTTAATAATGTAAGTGATAACTGGTTTGTTAGTCTCAAGTCATCAAAGATAATACTTACAAGAAAATATCCGAAATAAACACTCTTCTTTGCTTCCAATTCGTCTATAAGGTAGCTTAGAAAATTAAAATTAAATGCCTCGGGTTTCGCTCGGCTAATAACATGTCGAAGATGTACTAAGTGCTTTCCAAAGACCGAATCTAAATAGGAAAATAAATATGGCCATTCATGGGGTTTGTGAATGTCTTGCTCAAAAGAGGTGGTGAGAATTAACTCCACGATGACGAATTTTAGATGAAGAGCAAAATCAGAAAATTTACTAATCATGGCTTCGTCCAGCGAAGCAAGTTCACTAAACTTCCCATCTATACTATTCGCCTGTAATTGGCCTATTACGCAGTCAGGGAGCAAATTAATTAAATTTCGACGGAATCTGCATGGGTTATGTGTAGCAATCCTTAAAAAATCTAGTAGGAAACCAGAAGAATGACTCAAAAAACCTTCAAGCTCAGATTGAACTTCTATATTAAATTGACTGGACACTAAGGACATGGACTCAGGATTGTAAAAGGAAGAAGGAAGGCTAGAGAATTGATGGACGCAAGAGAGAAAAAAAGTTATAGGGTTGTACATCATGCAGACACCACCGCCAGACAAAAGAAAGGTCTGTAATGAGGAACGAACATATGGTTCAGGTACTCTGCTTGGCCGTGTAGTGTCGATGCAAAATGACAAGATAGAAGTAGGTGAGGCTGGTGTTTGCGTCCGTAGGGCAATTTTCATATCATTAGCAAAGTACTGCAATCGTTCGTATGCATCCTCTAAATTACAAGAAGGAACATGACGAGGAGGAGCAGTAACAATGAGTTGCGCTTGTATTCGACTATCCCAGTATTGCTTCATTATATTTTCCCGGGCAGTTTCCTCAACCAGTTGTAATTCATTCAGTAACTCTGGAACGCAGTGACTAATACTTTCTAAACTTTCGTTTAAATCTTTAATAGAATTTCTCTCATAAACACGTAAAATTGACACGCGCAACTGTAGCCGCGTCCTAATACCCACTAATAATGCACGAGTACTAGAGTCCTTCTTGGTTTCGTTATCGAGGTATTGAATGCCTTCGGACAAAAGATCATAAATTTTTTCCATGGGATAAGTTTCTAGAAGGGATAATTGATAGGAAAAGGAGCTCATATCTTCCTCGTCATACATATTGCCAGTCAAGAACTCCTTACGTACATAATCACAACTTTTAATAACTCCCAGGACGTATGGAAAAAGAACTAAATCCGTCAGTGTATCCAACTTTTTCCTAGAAAATCCCATGTCCTTAACTCTGGAAATAGGAGTTTTACAGACATCAAAAACATGTTTACTGCAAAAAATACTCTCTGACATAGGAATACCATAATGCCAATCACTCTCAGCTGTAAAGATACCATCCATTATTGTAAGAATCTCAACAGGATTTAGAGCTTTAGCAATATCAACGTTCGTTTCAGAGTAATTGATTCCACTATCCATTTTCGGATCCATGATCTCGAACGCACTAATTGAATCTAGTAAGGTAAAACTGGGATGACAAATAAGTTCCTCTTCTTTTAATGAATGAACTGCATTGAAATAAGCAGATGTACAGTCCTCATATCCGTCTCTATCCACACGATTTTCATTATCCTGACCAGCAGGAGCTTTTAAGAACTGATTTTGAGAATCACCGCCATAAAATAAAGAGGAAAAACTAAAATCTGGCATCATATCAATGGAATGTTCTCCCCATCAACCAACTACGAAGTGTTGTAGTAGCTGATTAGTTTTAGCGGGCTAGGGAGTTCTCGTTGAGTACACCGAAAAGCAAGTAGTTTATTCATAATTAGATTTATTTATTAAATAATAGCTAGCTATTAGATTCATATCTAGATAAATATCAAACAAAAAACTGTAAAAATGTAATACTTTTAAATTAGTCTCGTAAAGGTATACGGAATACAAAAATAAAAGAGGGATCTAATTGAAAATAGCATTCATAACTTTCCGTTTCAGGTTTTCAATCTCATTGTTCTTTTGGCGTAACTCGGCATTCAGCTTTGCGATTTCTAGCTTTAATGTTGACACCGAGTCCAGGGATCCCAAAGTACTTACGGCAGAGTTCGTTCTTTGAACCGTGGCATCTTTTAGAATAGTAGGCTCTGTCAAAGCTTGTAAATTAGGAGTTTTTTCGGAGTTGAATGTATGACATACGGTTGCACTGAGGGGCCCCTGGTGAACAGACCATATGAGTCTGTCATTATTAGCTTCGATAATTTCAAGTGGGGAGGAAACGAGAGCTAACATGGTATGAGAAATGTTCCTCATGTTGTTAACCCTTGAGGAAGGAACATTTGTGGGTATGTAAGTAGAAATTTCATCTGTGTAGCTATTGAGTAAATAATTTACCTTTTCTGTTGGTAAATGAGCTGCATGTGAAAAAGCAGCCCGTAGCATAGTATTTTGAGCGTGCATTAACTTATCAAAACGTTCATACCAGCCGGTATCTATGTTTATTGGAATCGATACTTCGGAATGCAACTGTTTTAATTTATTTCTTGCACCTGGGGGACGACCTCTTTTCCGCGGAATACCCTTCTCTTGCTCAAAACTATCGGCATCAACATTTGCAGATCTAGACCAAGAGTCACTCAGGGTGTCGCTTTCTTTTGGTGAAGCAACGTTTCGTAACTCATCTGGCCACTGTTGCCAACTGTTGGCGGGATCTATTGTATCGGCAACGTTTACAGATTCTGAATCTTGGAAAGAATTTTCATGTCTGTTGGAATCAGTCGTCCTCCTTGGTAATTGGGTTGATTCATTTGACGAATTAAACATATTCGTACTTTGTTGAAGTGATGAACTTGGAATATTTGAAGGGTGGTTTCGTTGATGTTCGACAGGATCAACAGCAATGTTTTGTGATGTAGGCATTAAAAGTGAATGAGGAGTTGGACAGTTTTCAGAGTCATCATGGACGAAACCAAGGCTTTGACTATCAGTTCCTAAATTGTGATCCGTCGAAGACATCCAGTTGGATGGAGAACCGGAAGCGTGCAGTACTTCCATTGAATTGCTATGATGAGCAACCAAACCAGCACGTAACCCTTTGATTACCAAATCATCATTAATATTAACATTAGATCGTAACTGAGGTTGACTTTCCGGGATTTCCAAATAATATTCATTGGGACGGTTCAAAAGATAATCAAAGAAGGCGTCCACATGCATTTGATTCATCCACCGTTTCAAACGAACAACATATTGTTGAATTTTTTGACTAGATTGCTCATCCTTTCTTTCAACGCCCAAGAAACCAACCAGTTTAGACCAAGAGCTAATCACTTTCTGATGGTATTGCCGAATTAATAGAAATAAGACCCAAATGTCAAACTTTTGGCCTTCAGATTTTGGAATTGAATTAAATGCAGTCGCTAGTTGTCTTGTATCTGCCCCTGCATACCAAGGATTGCAGCATAAACAGAACTGGCAAAACTTTTCCGTTATGTTGTCCGCATTGATATCGAGCCTAGAAGGTAATAGTGTGTAGAAGTTCATTCTTTTTCTCCAGATAAGAATGTTTCTAGTGTGATATAATGCCCGAATTTGAAACGGAATGATTTGGAAAGTATGCAATCACAGGAGATCAATTTACTTAAGGGAAAAATAAAGAAGATAAATTCCACCCGAAAAGATATAATCTTTAAATTTGTAGTTTTATCCGTACCTTGAGTTGTTTCCCGACAGACCAGCTGAAGATTTTTGGAACAGGATGCCTGAAGAAAACATAAGAGTTTTTATGGGAGTAGCAGCAAATTATGTTTCAATAAATACTTCAAATGTGTTTCCTTCCTAGACAACTTAAACAGCCATGTATTTAATTGCCAAGCTTCATTAGCCAAACTTCGTATTTCACAATTCCACTGAAATGAGGTTAAAAAATATACAGAATACAGTAAAAGAAAGAAGCAAGGCAGCCTTTATGAAGAAAGGTATACAAAAAGTATCAGGAAGATGGAGAATGGTAAACAAAAGAAATGATAGTCAAAACGTGTAAAAGATTCGCATTTGTTACTTTTGAGTTGTCACCTATAAAGTACCATGAGAAAAGATTTACTGGTTTTTACGCTTCTGCTGAAAAACAAAAATTAAGTATCTACAAGTATTATCTAGAAGCTGGTTTTTACTGTTCACTTTAATGCCAAGACTACAATCTGGATGGGTGTCGACTCGAATCATTATTTTCTGCACTTTTCTTTGCCGAAGACCAAGACTTGTAAACCAGTAACTGTTGTATTTTCTTTATATCATTGATAGATATGTTTTTAGCTGATTGTAGACTAAAATAGTTGACGCTATGCGGTTTGCAACATAGTAAACAAATATCGTGTTAGTAAACGAATATAATATGGTTCAAAAGCACTTATAAGGCAACTTCCTGGGCAAGAAAGAATGAATTTCTAAATTCATTAACATATGAATTCAAATTATAATAATGATCTTGGTAGGAGGAGCTAGTCATAAAAGGCATCTTCTTTGTTACTGATTATGTTAAGAATTCGTCTGTTTCGAAAGGGCCATACTTTCACTTTACTTTTAAATTTTTATTTATTTTTTGAACTGAAAAGTCATTCATTGTGTTATTAATAAGAACGACTATAGCTATTTATCATTTTCTACGATTGTAAGCAATTGGGTTTTTGAGCACATTGACGAGTTCAAGAAGAGATTTTCTTGGTTGATATATATAAACTAATGCAATAATGATTTGAGATTCATGAAAGCATACGTTTGATTTATTGTTTACGTTTTACGAATATGAAAATCGGGTTCCATTCCATATCCATACGTGAAAAAGCTAAAAGATTCTCAGTAATCTACATATAAATCTTTTACTTAATTATACATACTTAATGAAGCACAAATATCTTGCTCACTGCTTGAATCGTCTTGGTTTTTATTATTCTTCCATGTAATCTTGATATCACGGACTTTGCTTTTCATTTATAATTGAATTGTATTTTTCTTCTTTAGAGTTTGAGTGGTTACTTTCATATTTCACTCTTGTAATACAAAGTCAAATTTTAGAATCGTTGGATCTGTATATTCTACTTGAAATCAAATCTGAGAAATGATCGAGATGATCCTAAACAATCTAAATGAAGACTATTTAAGTTGTTAACGATAAATTTCAAAGTGTTAGGATTATAAGGATAAAAGGACTGAAAGTAGCCCATCCTATTCTAAATCATGTAGACCCTAGGGCGCGTTCCTACTACACGTAAATAAGAAATTGAGGAATCATTAAGCAATTCACTTCTTTCTATGAAATAAACGATTAAATTCGTTTCGAATGTATTTATTTATAAAAATACAATGAATGAAGGGTCCAGTGTCCCAGTAAAACACAGAGAAAACCAATTTTTTGAAATTGGCGTTGTGGGCAGGTATTCTAAATGCTACAAAGTTTTTCATATATATCAATGTTATGAGAAATTTATTTTTTAAAATTTAGTATTGTTATGGTGTTTATTAACTTGGGATAGGAAAACTGGATTCACTGTTCCTCAAGATGTCAAAAAGGGAGCTGATGGTTTTGATGACATGGACGCGTATTTCTTGTCGGATGGGTCAATTCATCTAGAAGATGAACAGGATGAACCATCTAATCAAGAAATCGCCCAAAAACGCACTGCACCGCTTGTTTCTCCTGATGTTAATGAACAAAATCACGATTCACCTGTTAATCCTCATTCAGATTCCTTCCAGGAACGAGAAAATGAACCTCCATCTTCACCGTTACTGATGAACTCTAAAGCCTTGAGAGCTAGTCGTGAATTTTCTGCGCCATTAATGGGTAAGTACTTTGCTTTCGTTTTTCGGATCAGTTCATTGCTTTTCTGAACAGAAATAGAAACTCTTAAATTACTAACCACTGCAATTTTAGCTTCAAAATCGCCTACTCGTTCTTCTCACTTATTTGATGAACCTAATGATCTTAAGTATACACCTAACAATACTGACCTATCTTACCAAAAGAAAAACAATAAAGTAGTAGATTTTTCAAGGATGAAGCTCTCTCCCGATAAAAACAACTTCGAACCTAGGAGAAGTTCCGAGTTCCCTAACCGATCAGCTCCTTCAAATAGCAATCCATCTTCATCTGAATTTTCCTTCAGAGAAAAACTACCTGTTAGTAAACAAGTTAAGGAATTAAGGAAACCAAAAGCTTGGAATTCTCCAAAGAAAGGATCTGAAGTAGATGAGATTCGCATCCGACCTACACATAAAGCGCTACTACCGACTTCACCTTTGAAACCCCAAGCACAAACGACCCGCCAAACCATAAATGATATAATCAAGGAAACAACACCCTTGCCTTCACCTCAACCAGAGTCAGATTCTTCGGATGTTCCGATCTCTCAAATACCCCGGTCTTCAGAAAAAGCTACCAAAGTGAATAAAGATCAACAGAATGTACAACCCGAAGGAAATAATACAGAAAAAGCAATCAAAAGACGAGGAAGACCACGGAAACAAAAATATGAAGCCGAAAAGGATGTCGGTAAACCAATTGAAGAAAAAGTTGAAAAAGAAATACCAGAAGATAAGAAACGACGAAGAGGAAGACCAAAAAAGAAAGATTTACCACCTAAACAAGAGAAAGAATATGTTCAAGAAGAAGTACAAGATGTACTTAATGATGAGCCTCGGAATGAGAAGCATGAAAATATTGCTGAGGGTTTGCGACGATCCAATCGTACCAGGATAGCTCCATTAGCCTTTTGGAAAAATGAACGCGTCGTTTATGAGCTCCAAAAAAACAAAACGGAAACACCAGCCTTACCAGAAGTGAAAGGTGTTATTCGTATTGACGATCCTACCACGCAAAAAAGGAAAAGGAAAAAGGTTCGATCTGAAGGGCGCAAACAAGGAACAAAAGAGCCATCACCGCCAGCCCCAATGGAAGAAGATGGTAACGAGTCGGGTCCGTTTGATGAAGAAGTGAATTGTCCGGTATTGTCTTGGAATCAGAAAAACCAGAAATCCTCAGAAGCAAGAACAATTGGATATGCCTTACCATCCGTTAAATTATATCAAATTCGAAATCAACAGACCAAATTTGCGAGTTTATTCAGCGATCCAAATTTTTTTGGAGCAGGGATCCTGGAACTTCCTGTTGGCTCAGAAAAACCCGTGAAACCATCCAAACATAACCTCATGTCCTTTTGTATTCTACAAGGCTATTTAGAAATTATGGTTAATACGACAACATTCAGAATGAGAAGGGAAGGAGTATTTATTGTTCCTAGAGGTAAGTCTTTTATTTTTTTATGGAAACTAACTTTTCAGGGAATTATTATAGCATAAAAAATATCGGTCATGATGTTGCTCGTTTATATTATACACAAGCGGCCGATACGCTGGACGACGAAAGACGGTATAATAAGGAACCTGCTGTTAAATAATCTCCCGGGGGAGTAATCTTGTATATAATGTGTATATATTATCATTTAATTAGACATTTGTTTACAATCATCGTATGTGTCCTTCACTGTAGTGTATAACGACCCATAATTAAATGGATTTCAAAAGTAGTTTACTTCTGAATCATGTCTTTAAACTTCAGCGTTCTGCTATAACTATCGATCATGTCGCTGAGTCTGTCGACATTTATCTTTGAAGAGTCAATAGACAACTTCTTACCATCCTCTGTTAACTTGGTTAGATATCAAGAATAAAATATCACCACTTACTATATAGAACTTCTACAGTTGGATTGACATTAGAACCTTTAGGAGCGATAGAGCTTGTTAAAAACATGCCATAATTCGTTCTTGCACTGTCTTTGTTTGCTAAAGCTAAAAGAAGTCTTGCGGAACGGCTTGTCTTAGAGAAAGGATTCAAGTTCATTATAGATAATTTGTTTATGAAGCCAAAAATCATTTTATGAGGCGATTTTGAGTGCAGAACTTTAAAATTATGTTTTTTAATTTCAATAAGGGCAATTCTACACTATATTTTGATCGTAAAAGGCAATATATTGGATATTCCGTTCAGATGTTCTGGGTAAGCTTAGACTGGAAGGCAATAACTCAAGACCTTCCCTTTCAGATATTTTTCACTCCTCGATTCCTAACTTCTTATTTTTTTCTTAGCATTGCAATTGCTATTTTGAAACTCTACTAAACTTACGCTAATAATCAGAACTTTTTTTTTTTTTTTTTTCCCAAAAAAATCTCGCTGGTTTGCAATACAGACAGTCCACGTTTTCTTGCAGAATAGTTTTTATTATGAGTTTAAAAGCCAAAACGAAAAATCCAGCAAATATATTTAGCCATGAAACTCTGCTTCACATATTTGAGAGCCTTTCATCTCGCGATATGGTTGCATTAGAAAGAGTATCCAAAAGTTGGAAATCAATTGCTCAAACCTCATCTGTAAGTAACCTTCTGGAGTTACATCTTTACTAACTGCATTTAGGTATGGCACAATCTTTTCCTTTCAGAGTTTGGGAAAAATCGTATTCGACGGAGGGCTAGAATTAACAGAATTCGTAAAAACTGGAAAAATGAATTCAAAAGTGAGAGTAATTGGGATTCTGGAACTTGTAAAAAAGAAGTTTTCTCTCTGTTTAAAAACAAAAATACCGCTGATACAGATAAATCAAAGTTAGATATCACCGTAATCCACAAGGGACGCTTGTACACATGCAGTACGACGACGTTATATGAGTGGTCTTTGCACGATAACAAAATGACATGTTTGAGTGCGTTACCGTTTCCAGAGAAGTACAGGGTCGATTCTCCGACTGCTATGTGTGTGGATGGTAACAATTTCTATATAGCGTTGGAATCTGGAGCGGTACTTCAAACAAAGCTTACTCAAGATGGGTTCAATAGCTTTAATAGTGTTCTATATATTGATAACACAATTATATCCCTTTCTGTGCGACACAATCTGCTGTGTGGATTGACAAAAGATGAATCGTTATACATTTTTAAGGTCAAAAACTTGTCGGCAGCTTGTTTTCAATCACTTGGAAAATTCTCTGTTTCGGGGGTTAAGGTTCCTATTTCAATTCATATAGAAAGTGATCTTGCTTATTCACAGAAAGTACCCATCGTTCGACTTACATACAGCGAATACATGATTGCTCATGGATGGACCATTGGATCACAAGAGTTTTGGATTTCGGATTCAAAGATTATAAAAAATCGAGTTGGACAACGTCAATCTTCGGATATTGCTTTTTCTTCGCAACCCGCCTCAAGCATCTACCAACAGGGTCCTTATGTCTTAAGCTCTCACGCAGATAATACATTAATGCTACACTATATCTCTTCTAGCCTTGATTCTACTCATATTCAGTGGGGAGTTCAGCTTCGAGGACATGTTTGTGGTGTGGAAAAGTCTAAACTATTCGATTGCGGAAGAGTCGTATCTGTTTCTAAAAATTGTACTGAAATTTGTTTATGGGATCTTCAAAACTATAAAGAGGTGAAAAAAGCTACGCCGTTTATGATTGAGTCAAAACGAATTTTTAGTCGATATATTGAAGATTATGAACAAAACAAGACTCAAGTGCAGGACATTGGGTTATTTGACGATACGGTAATGATTACACTTTCAGATGGAAACGTTATGGCATTCCTTTTTCATGCTTAGCGCGGTTAAAGATGGTGAACTACTTCTATTCTCTATAATATTTATGGTATTTCATTTACATTGACAACAAGTTTGGTATAAAAACCTGCTGTTAATTTGCAATAGTATAATGAAAAATTATTTCGGTAGTCTAATTGTAAGGTGGTTTCTCAAAGTATAACAGACCAAATTATTCTGTCTGATTTTAAGCACTTTCAACATCCTCTATTCTAATACTTCATGATATTCTTTTCGGGTTTCTTTTCCTAACTTCCATATTCCCTGTCAACCTTTTTTAATAAAACCTAACCCTACCCTAAGCGTGACTGCCCACATACACCAAAAGAATTGGGCAAGAGTACAACTGGAAGGACCGTCCGTCCACCAAAAAACAGCGAGAAAAAATGGCCAACCTCAGTACGCAGAAGCGCCTTGCTTCTTCCGTTTTAAAATGCGGCAAACGTAAAGTTTGGATGGATCCCAACGAACTTAGCGAAATCAGCAATGCTAACAGCCGTCAAAACATCCGTAAGTTGGTTAAAGACGGTTTGCTCATCCGCAAGCCTAACTTAATGCACTCTCGCTTCCGTATCCGCAAGACCCACGCTGCTAAGCGCCTTGGTCGTCACACCGGTTATGGTAAGCGTAAGGGTACTGCTGAGGCTCGTATGCCCTCTGCTGTTGTCTGGATGCGCCGCCAACGTGTCTTGCGCCGCCTTCTCCGTAAGTACCGTGAATCTGGCAAGATTGACAAGCACCTTTACCACAGCCTTTATTTGGCTGCTAAGGGTAACACCTTCAAGCACAAGCGTGCTTTGATTGAACACATCCAACGTGCTAAGGCTGAAGCCAACCGTACCAAGTTACTTCAAGAGCAACAAGATGCTCGTCGTGCTCGTTCCAAGGCTGCTCGTCTCCGTAGAGCCAAGGTTGTCGGAGAAAAGCGTGAACAAGCTTACACCGCTGCTGAGCAAATTGAGGAGTAAATGAGTGTACCAAATCTTTCCTATAAAATAAGTTTTGCTGCATAATTTATTACGATCTCAAACTGTTTTAAACGAATATGTTGACACGTAGCGTAAAATTGCTTTTGAATATTATGATAAATAGGAATAGTAGTACTTGACTCGGTTGGTAAGTTTCGCTGAGGTTTATTTAAATTGTTCATTATTGAGTAAATAATAAAGTGTGAATGGATAATAACTCCATAGTTTAGAAGACACTAAGTATGTGTTTCTCACAATTGACGAAGGCACACGTTATCGATATAAGTGTCGATATTCCTTTGTTCTAAACTCCAAACCAAACAATATTTATTTGTAGGACATCAAATAAAGGCTACTATTAAGCATTAAAATTCTTAACTTGCTTGTTAAATTAATACCTTTAAATAATAAAACAAACAATGTCAACACTTTTAATTCAAATTGATGAGAAGTCAATTTTTTTGGGCATTCCTGAAGAAGAACGCCCGCGGATAAGGCACATGTATAACAGCAATGAAGTTGCAGAAAACCTCGCAGAACAATTGATGTATTCTATCATACGTCTCTGCTCCACGCTGCCCAATATAGTATTGCAAGATACTTGCGTCGTTTTAGTTGTTGATCTATTCTTGAGTAAGAAGGAGAGAGAATCTATTTGCAAAATATTATTTTTAAACCTTAAAGTGAAAGCAATTCTATGGATGTATTCTGCTCTTACGGCTACACTGAGTGCTGGGTCCAAAGACGCACTTGTCATTGACATAGGATGGTATGAAACAAAAATAATCCCTATTGCCGATTTAAAAGTCCTGAGCAATTTAATCCATATTTCCAACAAAAGCACTATCTCAGTGATAAAATACATGCATGAGTGCTTAGTAGCAGTTTGTGCAGCCTCAGATCCGACAAATGCTTCTCGAGCTGATCTTGTGCCTCTCTCGTTTCAGGGCCTTCTTTCATCCCTTCTTAATTCTTCTGTCTATCCTTATGCAGATCTAGATATTCCTTTCACGATGAATGCCGAAGAAACGGTTCGTATGTTCCACAATTCCCCAAGGAACCTAATGACTCTCGCTTCTAAAGCGTCTCACCATACTTCTCAAGAAACGCATCTCCTGTTTGATAACTGTCAAAATGATCGAGTCAAATTACAACCTTGGATACCGGCTGCTTGTTTAGACTCACTTTTCCATGGTACAGATTCTACGCATTTAGACCTTGTAGAACAAGCCTTGCCAAATCTTCTGCAAAAGGTCATTCAGTTACTTCCCATGGATCTCAGAAGACCTTTATCAAAAAAAATTTTGCTCATAGGACCTTTGGCTTCTATACCTGGGATGTTAGAACGTTGGAACCATGAAATGATCGCACGAGGGATGCCTGTCCACTGTCTTCAATCACATTATCAAAACCCATTTCATGCTTGGTATGGAGCCACTATCTCTTGTAAATCGCAAATGGGGGATCTCAATATGCATAGTTCATCAACTTCTGCTGAATATGCCAAACAAAAATTACCTCCATCTCCAATGCTCTACTTCAATTCCCAATATTCTCGGGGAATACCCTTACCGGAATGGTGGTTTCCCCAGATTTAAAAGCTCAAACCATCTCAGTAAACCATTAATAACGAGATAATTTTTTTTCCTTTAAGACGCATTAAACAAATTAGCGAACATGTGCCGCCACACTAAAGTTTTGCTTACCAGTTTTGTTTGCAATTTCTACGTGCAGAAAGCAAAATCCATTTATCGTGGTTAATTGCTTTGAAATCTCGCAGGAGACATGAAAGCTGCTGCGCAGAGTAATAGTACGAAAAATTATGTGGTACGTATTATATGATGAACTAACATAAACCGAAATGAAGCTAATCAACTTTTTTAGTTCTTACCGTTTTCCAAACGTGTAGACAATTTAAAAATTGATGTTGCCCATAAAGTACGCCGGGCAGCTGATATAGAAGATGAAAATGTAAGTTTTCGAAGATGTTTTGAGATTGGAAAAAATTTGACAAATACTAACAACGAATAGCTTGAGTCGTACTTTATCTCTTGCTTAAATAAGTGGGTAGAATTGAATCTTTCAACTCATTTTACCAGTTTCTTGAGGGAGGTTTCTCCTTATACGCAATCACTTCCTCAATTGATTTTTCACCAAGAGACTATTTTCTCCATTCTCGAGAAATATGCTAGTGAAGGTAATTCGCTTTCTTTACAACCATTATTGGAACTGATCACTCAATTTGCTCGTGATTTAACGACCGAATTTGCTGTGTATGTGGACCGTACACTACTATTGTTATCCAAACTCGTGCGTTCTACTGAGCTAGAAGTTGTTGACTGGTCTTTTCACGCTGTTGCATACCTTTTTAAGTACTTGAGGAAAATTCTAGTTCCTCAATTAATTCACATCTATGATATCTTGTCTCCATTATTAGGTAAACAAAAAGAAAAGGCACATGTCATTCGGTTTACCTCGGAAGCTCTTTCTTTTTTGTGTCGCTTATGCAAAGAAGACATTGCTTATCCATTTGTTCATCATGTCTTGGATGATTTGAACGGAAATTTCTCATCTCAATATTTGGAGGGTATTGTTATTCTTTTTTCTCGCATTATCGAAGGCGTTGGTTCTAGTATTCATTCAAAAGGTATTACTTTCTTAAAGATCCTTATGAATCCTCCTGTTTATGCATTACCAAAGGCCACGTCTGTGTGTATCCCCGTTTTGATTTCCATCATTCATCATTCTACTATAGAGTCTTTTGTAGACGTTCAGGATGTACTTATCCAAAAGATTACGGAGAATCCTTCTCTTTATATCAAATCATTTATAGTCGTCGTTGCTACCCGGAAGGGTGCCAAGCTTTCAAACTTCTCGGCTTTCCTTGAAGTCTATAGAAAACTTATAGAGACTATTTCTTGGGAATCTGCGGAATATTCCTATTTAACTTTAGTATATCAGTTAGGAGCGTATTTATTTACGTATCCCGACGTTTCTGCCGTTATTCCTCACAGTACACATATCATAGGCGTCCTACAGCAAGGCCCTCCCTCATTGTTTTTATCATTTGCTAACTTTATACAAAAATTGAATCATCAGAGATATGTTTCCTTTGTTAGGCCTGCGTTGTCTAAATATGTATCTTCGCATCCTAATCTTGAAATGGTTCATATGGCTGTTATGGAAATGGTTTTTGATAAAGAAGTATCTTTAACACCCAACATAGTGAACGCGGTTTCTAAGAGTTTATCGAAAGTATCTTTTTTAACACAAACTGGAGACCTTTTGACTGAAAATGAATTAGCTTCTGTATGGTCTCAATTAATATTAATATCCTGTTCCAGTATGGATGAAGATCAAGTGTATGATTGCTGTTTGCGACTTTTAGGAAAAACAAAAGGTTTATCTACGCCTTCATTGCTTTATGGAAATTTGGTGGGCTTAATTTTAGCTATCGTCAACGAAAAGTCGAGTAAAAGTTTGAAGAATGATACATCACGTTCACAAAAGGTAATGGATTTGGTGTTGCCTAAGTTTGAGCTGTATTCCTCAAGCAAATATTTCTTGGAAAATTTAATACCGTTCGCATCAATGAAAATTGATTCCATTGGAAAATTTATGGATCCCATAATAAATTCCTTGCTAAAAAATTTGATAAACGGAGCTGCTGGTCTTAGAGGCGTATCAATAAATTTAGTTATCACTATTATTGAAAGCGTCAAGGGACAGTGTTCTGCTCCTTTACTACATGTCAGGGACTTAATACAAATGCCACTTAGCCCCGCAACAAGCCGAGATGCAGTTGTACTTGCTCGCAACATTGTCAGCAAAGTAACTCTTCTTTCAGCTCAGGATAGAAAAATTGCTTTATATTCTTTGATTGGGTGTATTTTAGTCAGGTTTACTCCTGTCTGGAAGGATTTTGCGAAGGCAATAACAAGCTTGGTTAACAAGGAACTAGAGGGAGAATTTATGACTATAATGTTTACTTGGCTATCTTCTCCTAATCCACCGGCAAATTTGCTAAACGAAGAACAACAGTCAATGCTTCGTTTTGAACCTTCTGAAGTTAATTATCTTTCCTCATTGGACAGGTACGAGTTTACTTGCCCATCTTTTGCAGCTTCCGAAGAGACATTTAGCACTTGCATGTTCAATTTTGAGGAACCCAGGGTGCAGAGCATAAAAAGTTTGTTAAAGCCTTTAGAAGACAATTATTCAAATCTTCCTTCATATCGTTCACAGAGCTTGCGTATTTTAAATGAATCCTCCGATTTGGTTTATAGCCATATTGGTCGAATTGATGATTATCTTTTTAGTCTTCAACATGGATTTGAACTAAACACGGATTGGTCTCGTCAAGATGTGTATATGCTGTTAGGTCTTTATTCGCATCTTCAAGGACAAGAACACACAAACAATGCAAGTAAACGAAAGGAGTTTTTCCTCTGGGGTCTTAGTGTTAGCGACTCCAAGGTGCAAGCTTCTGCATTAGATGCATTATTTTGTTACAAAGACGAGAGTTTGAATGTCTATGAAGGAAACTTAAAGAACTTGCTTGATGACAAAAAATTTAGAGATGAATTAACTACCTTCCTTTTTGTTAATCCAGAGGACAGTATAATTCAGGAGCCCCATCGTTTAAATCTTATGCCTGTCGTTATTGGAATTTTATATGGTAAAATGACCTCCGCAGCATATGGCGGTCAAAAAAATCAAAATGCTCGACGTTCTACTGTATTATCTACCTTGGGTAACATGAGGATTTCGGATCTAGAATTATTGATAGGTTTGATGCTTAGGCCTTTTGAAAGTTTGCCTCGGGATTTTGTTAATGAAACAGATCCTCTTGGTCTTGTTAAATCGCTACCGATAATCTCTCAAAGACGTCAGATTGGATTCCTTTCGATGGTTGAAGAGCTTCTTAAGCAAATATCTTCAAAGTTAAGTCCTGTGGCACCCTCAATTGTCAATGCTGTTCTGTACAGTCTGTTGTTCGCAGATCATATACTTGTGTCTTCTAACGATCCTGCCTCCCCTGAAGTTAAGCTCGCCCATACTATTCGCCATAATTCATTAAAAGTGTATTTATCGTTTTTGACTTCCTGCCCTGATGTCAATTTTGGCCCTTATAATGTGTTCATATTTAAGTATTTCGTTCATCCAAAACTTTCGAAGTTTGCGACTGAGAATACTCAAAGCGTTTCTACGTTAATGCAAATATTCAAAGTATGGTTTGAGAGTACTGCATATTTATCCTCGGTTTTAGAATTTGGCAGTTCCATAGTGAAGGTGTTATTAGATGTAATCTGTCAATCTACCGTTAAGATACCTGTTATTCTTTTCGTGTTTGAGGTTCTTAATAGTGTGATTGTACAAGCTCAGACTGAAGACATGGATGAAAAGTATAGACGGAATGTTGCTTCAGTAGTGATACTCCCTAACGTTAAGTTAATATTTGAAAATCTGTCCGAAGTACTTGGGAAGCCGGTTTTTTCTGACAACAGTCGAGTATTAGATGGATCAGTGGTGGTCCTTACCAATATTTCTGAATTCATATCTAGCGAACTTGACTCGTCACACCTACTTGACTTACTCGTTCAATTTTTGAAGAAGCCAAAGCGATTGGTGCCTACTCCCGTGAAGGCAAATATACTGGAGCTGTTTGCTCGTTTTCTTCCCAACAATAAACCATGGGTGCAAGCTTCGATAGCAGAGCCTACAAATTTCGAAACGTTGATGCAAATGTATGCTCATATTGACGAATCTTCATCTCGCAAATCTTTGAATGGCATATTAAGAGCCTTCAGCGATGTCAATAACGACCTTGCATTTGGTTCGGTCTTTTCAGAAGAGGTTAATTCGTTATCTCAAAAGCGACTTGATGAACCTGATTTTGAACGTCGACTGTCAGCATTTACTTCGTTAAACGAAAACCATTATGCTAATATCACCAACTTAACTTGGTTGCCCGTACTCTATAACTGTTTTTTCTTCATTAGAGATGAAGATGAATTGTCTATTAGGAGCAGTGCGTCACTTGGAATTAAGCGCTTTATTGACACTATACCTTTGAATGGGGAGTACGATGCTTTTAAAGCCTCCATATTCCAAAATTCTATTCTTCCTTACATAAAAACGAACATGAAGCACAAAAATGAATTTATTAGACAGGAATTCTTATCTTTGCTTAATTATTCAATTGCCAAACTGCCTACTTTTGAAAGTATTTCTGATATGCATGCATTGCTTTTTGATGGAGATGAAGAAGCCAACTTCTTTAACAATATTCTTCATATTCAACTACATAGAAGACGACGTGCAATGAGGAGATTGGCCACCATATGCGATACTGGTGTTATCAAAAGTTCGAACATTTCCCATATAATCTTACCTCTATTAGAGCATTTTTGTTTTTCCTTGAATATTCCTCAAACGTTGATTGACGATACTGTACTAACCATTGGCGATATCGCTAAGTGGTTGCAATGGAACCAATATCAGGCAATACTTAAGCGCTACATTGGATTGCTTAAGAATGCTTCTATGGACCAGAAAATCGTTATTCGGTTGATAAATGCATTAGTAAGTGCCTTAAGGCCATTGGAGGTTGCCGTCGCGTCTTATAATAAACCAGATGAAGAGGATATGGAGGAAGACAATGATGCATTGACATACACGAATGCTCTTACCAATAGTTTACCAGAAAAGTCGAAGTTGACAGCTTGTTTCGATCACCAAATTCTTCCTCCGTTACTTCTTTATCTTCATATAAGAGAGGAGTCGACGGTAATGCTTCGTGTTTCAGTTGCTTTGTCAATAGTACAGTTGATCGCAATGCTTTCAGATGAACAGATTGCATTACGCTTACCATCCGTACTCATTGACATTTGCCATATCCTTCGAAGTCGCGCCCAAGAGTCACGGGATGCTACTCGAAAAACTCTTTCTTCTATTGCAAAGGTTCTGGGCCCCAAGTATTTCTCCTTTATCCTTAATCAATTAAGACTTTCTTTGCAGAGAGGTTACCAATTGCATGTTCTTGGATATACCGTACATTCACTGCTAGTCACAGTTGAGGAGGTATATCCCTATGGTTCCCTTGACTATTGTTTGGATAGTCTTTCAACTATATTTGTGCACGAAATATTTGGTGAGGTAGGTTTAGAAAAAGACGCTGAAGAATACAAGTCGAACGTCAAAGAGATTAAAGGGAACAAGAGCTTTGATTCATACGAGATTATTGCTCGTATGTCTAGCATTGAAAGCCTTGGTATCCTTTTACGTCCTGTGAGAAATGTTCTATCTGAAACAACATACCCTAGATCTTTAAGGAAAGTGGATGAATTGTCAAGAAGATTGTCCATGGGTGTTATGGCTAATAAACAAAGCGCGACGCAGAAGGCTTTAGTTTTTTGCTATAATGTTTTCGATTATGTGACCAAACAGAATGCTATCATCTCTTCAAGTGATAGCGCGGAAGGACATCAGAGGAAGCCCGACCATTTCGCAAAAAATTCGAAGAAGCTCGTAAGGTTTGCGATGGATGCTCTTCGAGGGATTATTACCAGACATAAGGAATTACTTACCTCTCAAAATATGGCCGGATTTGTACCCATTATTGGGGATGCTTTATTAAGTGACTCTGAAGAACTAAATATATCCGCTTTGCGTATCATAGTTGTTTTACTCCCACTGAAAATGTCTCAAATTTTTTCAGGTAGTCCGGTTTTCATTTCGCAGGCTATTAAGTTGATACAAAATTCTCCAACTACGAACTCCGATTTGTGTCAAGCTAGTTTAAAATTTGTTGCTAGCATTTTGCCTTACGAAGGTGTCGAGATCAAGGAGTCTGCTTTAAGCTATCTTTTGGAAAGGATTAGCGGTGACATAGAAGAGCCTGATCGTCAAGGTGTTATGTTTTCTTTAGTTAGAGCTAGCATTGCTCGCAAAGCTATGTCAGCAGAACTTTATAAATTAATGGATAAAATCCGTGACATGATGGTTACAAACCATACAAAAACAACCCGTCAAACTTGTCGTCATTTGTATTATGGTTTTCTCTTGGATTTCCCTCAAGGAAAAACTAGGTTCGCAAAGCAAATGTCCTTTATCTTAAAAAATCTCGAATATGAATTCGCGCCTGGCAGAGAATCAATAATGGAATTATTGCATGCTATCCTAAATAATTTTAGTAACACTCTTCTGAAAGAGTATCTTCATGGAATTTTTCTTGCTTTGGTAATGGTTCTTATCAATGATCCTGAGCCACATTGTCGTGAGATGTCTGCTGAATTACTAAGAACGGTTTTCCAGAGAGTAGACGAAGAAAGCTATACCTTGATTAGACAACTTTTGTTTACCTGGATTTCTAACAAGTCCAATTCTGGCAAAAATCTAAGCCGAGTTGGGATGCAACTCTTTGGGTTATTATTTGAAATTTACGGATTCGAAAAAACTCAAGAAGTTGAAGTATTCACTGGTGCATTGATTAATGTTCTGCAAACGGCAATTGACAAAGCTGATGATGCCCTAAATGAGTGGGAAATGCTTTATTTTGGTCTTCAGTCATGGCTAAAGCTTGTTATTGCTAATTCAGTAAAGGCTTGTAGTCATGATTATGAGCAAATTTGGACTCGTCTTCGGTATGTTCTTCTTTTTAAGCATTCTTGGGTCCGGCTTTCTGTTTCACGCCTTTACGGTTACTTCTTTGCGATAGCTAGTAACACGAGCTTCAATCAAGTGAAGTTGAGAGCATCAGAAGTTGAATTTGGATTGGAATTTGTTTTACAGATTTCAAATGCAATGCAAGCTCAATTACGCAGTTCTTCTCTATCTGAGGAATTGGGAACACAGGTTGTTAAAAATTTGGTATTCTTAACTCGCTGGTTTAATAGCATTCGGAAAGCAAACTCTGAACCTTTTTTGGAAATTTTTGGACGCATGTATAAGAGTTTAAAGAAACAAAAGGTTGAGAGCTTGGATTTAAGCAAGAAATACATGATTCAATGGTTTGTGATTATTATTCGAATCTTCTCAAGTGAAGAATTACTGCCTGTTATTAAGGATATTTTAAGTGCTTTATATAGATATACCGAGTTGAATGAGGCGGAAAAATCCGTACAACAAGAACTTGTAGATACTGTGATTGAGTCTCTTGATGTCCTTCAGTCCAAGGTTGGAACGACTGAATATGTCAACGCGTATCAAGAAGTTCGTCAAGCTAGTCTAGATGTCAGACGCGAGCGACGTGAGAAACGAGCTATTGAGCATGTGGTTGATCCTGCAACCGCTGCCAAGAAAAAGCTGCGTAAAAATGAGAAGAAGCGCGATGTTCGCAAAGAAAAAACGCAGCATCAAAGGATGTTGAATGCTGTTTTTAAAAAAAGGTAAAAGGGACTACATGGTAGAATATTAGGATAATGACTTAATAATACGGATATTGGTGAATTCGGATATATATTAATCTACACTAATTAAGTTTAAGATGGAATCTAATAGAGGTCAAAAGAGCAAGTAGAACAAATAGTAGTATGTAGTTTTCATATAGAGATAAATAATGTATGACTTGATATAAATATGCAATGAAGGAAAAGGACGCAATAATAAGTGGGAAAAAAAACGGAAAACGCATCAGTTTCTTGTTTTTGGTCTACCGCGCCCACGACCTTTTGGTTTTCTTCCACCCACAGTTGAAGGTTCATCGTCACTTACACACTCATCTAAATGAAGACCGGCATCACGACATCTTCCACATGGTCTTTGACGATCACAGCCTTTCTTTGAGCGCCGGCAGCGAGAACAGCGACTTTTTGAAAATGAAGAAGAATCAAAGTAAGTTGGAAATGAGCCTGCGTTGGTGAGTGAGTTTGGATGACTTTCCGATCTTTGATTTGTTAAGAGTTCTTTCTTATCTTCACTGTTGTTTGTAGTAAGCTGTTGAAAGCTTGAAATTGCCTGACTAGTCGAATGTCTCGAGCCATTATTCGAACGTCGACGTTTAGAAAAAGAATATAAAGAGTCACAAATTAAAGAGTCACGTTGATGGGGGTCCACCAAAGGATGTGTCTTGGAAATGAGAGACAATTTTCCAGAAATGGGGTTTTCAGACTTAACATTCGTAGACGAAATTTTGGAAGTAGAATCGGAATTTCGACGATCAGAGGAAGAACTCCCGCCTAGCCGAATAAGTTGCCAAGCAATGTCTTCATCGGAAAGGGACCGTTTCTTTGTATAATCTCTGGGATGCTGATCTATGGAAGAAGTGACTGACGGAGGAGAGACAGGCAAAGATGGATTTGAGTATGAGGGATATGAATTGGATGTTTTCATTGGTGAGTGATCTGTTGGATTTAGAATGGGGGAAATTGAGCTCTTTAGTTCTCCTTTAGTACTTGAAGCGGGAGAGACACGAGTCTGGGAAGGTTGGTCGGATGAAAAAGTGGATTTCGGCGGAGAATGGTGGACCAGGTTAGAAATGTTGGAAACCGGGTGTCGAGCAGGAGCTGAGGAAGAGGAAGAATTAAGGGCAGGAGCATGATGAGAGTGAGAAAGCTGATTTGTAACCGGGTTGTTGGGTGTATGGTAAGTAGCACTAAGGGGAGTAAGAGGATGGCTAGGTTCAGGAGAAGAAATCAAGAAAGATATGTGAGGTGGAGGATGTGAGGAGGAATGAAAGGTTGCGGTAGTGGGTGACCGTGAAGAAGTAGCAGACTTGGACGTAGGCTTCACAGGATCCGAAATAGTGTTGGCTGTAGAATTGTTAAAAGCGACACTGGAGGGAGGAGCCATGGAGGTAGGTATGGAGGGAGGAGGAGCAGCTGAGAAAACGGGACCCGATATGGGTTGCAAGATGCTTTGTAAGTCCATTTGGAAAAGAAGTGAAAAGTATATGAAAAGCTAAGAATGTAAGAGAAACAGATACAATTAGAATCTGATGAGAAAAAGAAAGACAAGAATGGGAGTAGCTGAATTGCGAAAACAAGGCAGAAAAGAGAGAGAGAGAGAAAGAGAGGGACGCACGAATGATGGAGGAAAACAAACAGAAGAAATAAAAAGAAAAGAGAGAGAGAGAGAGAGAGGATAAGGAAAGAAAGGAATAAAAGAAAAAGAAGAAAAGCGTAAGGTAAGCGTTCAATAAATAAACTAAAGGCTTGAAAATAAATAAACGAGAAGAAATAAAAAAGGTAATGTAAAGAAAAGAAAAGAAAACTAGACCGAAAAAATGCGTGAATGAAGTCAAGCTAAAAGCTTTGAGAAGAGAAATTCTTTTAAAAAAGAAACAAAGCTAGAAACTTGAAGAGGGAATAAACAGCAGCTTGGAAAAATCAACGAAGAGTGAGATCGTATTGAGAGTCTACAAGACGAGAAAGTGTGCGGGAGACAGAGACAGAGATAGAGAGAAAAAAAAAAGGAAAAAGAAAAAGAATGAGGCAAAAGGAAAACAAAGGTCAGTTGGGAAGCAGCGGGAAAGAAAGCCGACAAAGCAAGAGTGAAGGCAAAGGGAAGGAAATTAATTGAAAAGGAATCAAAACGACAAGGTAGCAAAATGTGAAACGGAGGAATAAAAGGATGGATGTGTGAGAAGGAGATCCAAGAAAAGAGCGACGATAAAAAAGTTGCCGAAAAGCAAAACAAGGACAATCGTTTGTATCGCAGTAAATAAAGCCAAAAAAGGAAAAGAGGAACACTAAAAAAACGTCGCGGAAAGAGCGAAATAAAGAAAAAGAGGATGGAAAAGCAAAGCAAGACCAAAAGTAGAGATGAACAAGCAAAACGAAGCGAGGAAAAGAAAAGTCTCGGGCTGTCGGGACGTCTTGCGAGGAAGTAGAAAAAGAAAAAAGATGAGCAGACAGTTTTGATAGAAAAGGCAAAAAATAAAGAGCCAAAGATTTGGCAACAACAAAAAGTAAACACTTAAAGAAAGAGAGAAGGGGAGGGAAAGTGCAAAGTTGAAGATGAAATTGCGGAAGTAGAGAAGTATGGGGATCCAAAGTTGACGATCCTCGGTTATGACACATTACCAGTGGGATTAGCAAGTTTCGCTATAATATTACTAAAATAGTACGAAGCGAGATGTAGGGGAAGGTGAAGCGAAATTTTCATATCGCAGACTGTTTTAAGAGGTTTCTTGAAGGAATGAAAGGAGACGCATTTAGAAAAAAAAATCAAAGAATTTATGAAGAATTTTTCTTTGTTTTTCTGTTTTTCTTGGGTTATTTTTGACGTTTTCATGGAAAGGGGCTGTGAAGCGACGGATACGCGGGTTTCTTATGGGGTAGAACGTATTTTAGAATATTGTTAAGCGGTTTTCATGATATCATATTGAAGTGAGAAAAGAAAGAAAAAAAAAAAAAAAAAAAAACTAACAACAACAATACAAAGATATAGACGTTTATAGTTTCAAGTTGTTTTCTTTTTTTAGAGGGATTCTGGTTTGGTTTGTTGGTTTCCATGGATGTCGATTTCGATTTGCTGAGAATATCAAAGGAAGGAAAAGGTATTCTATTCTAAGGATAACGGGTTGTATGGGTTTTAAAGGTTTGTAAAGGCTTGGTTTCTATTTGGTTTTCTTTTGTTGGTTTTTCTTTTTTTTTTGTATGAGGAAACGAACGAATTTGCGATTTGTTTGAGAAAGCTGGATGGAAAACTATTCTAGAGGCCAATGCGATTCTGCAAGGGTGAGTTGATTTTGCATTTCATTTATTAAAAAGGTGATTGTTAAGATAAGGATGTTGTTGGATTTGGAATCCTTTTTCTTTAACTAAATCTGATGACTCGTAAACATAACTTTTTTCACCTGACTGTTATATCAGTTGTACCTTTTTGTATGTGAGCTACAATAAGAAGGATGGATGTAAACATTTCCAAGAGAATCAAAAAGTGGTATCCTGCTTTTCCCAGCTCTTTTCCAATTTTTCAACACTTGTTTTTGAGGTTTTGTATTTTTCTCTTCTTTTTTTCCCTCTCTTTCTTCTTTTTATGCGATTTCTTTTTGCTACTATACTATGCATAGCATTCATTACCATTCCAGTTTCAAACAAAACCACTTTTACTTTGCTGCTAGAGTAAACAAACAACAGAGAAATAGAAAAAAATAATGAAATAATTAAAAAATACTTTATTTGCCTTCCCATACTTTTCTTTTTCACATAAAAACAAGGAAATCATTCTCTCCTTGGAATTTCTTAAACAATAAACAGATGGCAATACAAGAAATCGTCATTTTTGCCAAACGCCAAACGAGAAAAGAAATAAAAAAAGGATTTGTTCTTTATGTTTTATTCTTTCTTTAAAGAAAATCTCTCTTCTATTCCTACAGCTAGTGAACGATCTTGACACTTGTTTCTAACTTTGCTTTTGCTTTTGCTTCTGTTTCTGCTGTTCTCTCGAAATGCTACAAAGTCTGCTCTTAGAGGTGTTGGGAAATTCTGAACTGAAAAAAAAGAAACAAAATTTAAAAAAACAAAGCAAAAATGAAAAACAAAATCAAAACCAAAAATTCAAAGGAAACCTGTTCAAAACAAAAATCCTCCGTCAGGGGGAATCGAACCCCCGCCGCATCGGTGAGAGCGATGAATCCTAGCCACTGGACCATGACGGATTTTACCTGTATATACCGAAAAAAAAAGACTTATATAATAAATTGTTTCTATTTTAATTTGATAGAATTATAATTTATAAACAATGAACAATGAAAGATTCATTTTCTTTTCTCTGTTTCAATCCAATGGATGTCGCTTTCAATCAATAAAATTTCCTATTTCTTTACTTGTTGTTGCTCTAATTATAATAATAGTAATAATAATTATTTATACGACGCTCTTTCCTTCCAACACTCAATTCATTTCGACGTCATGTTCTTTGTGCTTGCCTTTTTGCCATTGTCGATTTGGGGAAATCCATGAATGTCTCATAGATTGTTGCCTATGCTTGACATCATTCCTTGCTGAATAGAGGCTTGGTGTGATTTGAAATCTACTTTTTATATCTGTCCAGGTTCTCTTCTTGTCTTTTGTCTTTTACCAATCCCAATTCTCCTCATTACAGTACTTTGTACAATTCTTTTTTTCCTCTTCTCTCCCCTCCTGAAATTCAGTCTCTCCATCTTCATTTCCAAGTGAAATCTCTTGTTTTATCACCTTTCTCTTTAGTTTGATTTGATTTGATTTGCTTTGCTTTTCACAGGAGTTTCTCCTTCTTCCAGTTGTTCTTTGATTTTCCGTTTCATATTCTTTTCCATTTCGACTTCCATTTCCATTTTTAAATTTTCAATTCAGTTTCCTTCTGTTCAAACTCCCTGATTCATATCAATTTTTCTCCATTTCTCTCTATTGTTTCCACTAGCTAGCTATGCTCTCCACCCCTCCCATCATCGCTCCTACTGCTGAAGACAGTACTGAACAAGATCTCATCTCCAACATACCAGGTGCATACACCGAATTTACCCAACAACAAAAACCGAAATCGCTTGCTGATGCTGCCAACTTTCAGTATCTTCCCAAGCTTCATGGTGAAACCGCTCCTTCTCAACCTCATACCGGTTCGCAAACTTCCACCAAAGGCAATGACAAAGACAAAGACAAAGACTATGACTACGACCTAGACAACGACGAAGATTTCGACCGCTCCTCCTCGTACAGTCGCTTGACCGACGAGTACTACGGTGATCACGATTTCAGTGATTATTACGGTGATCTCGCCTTGTATGCTTCTCTCCATCATCATGATGACTTGCAAAATATCGAGCGGTTTCACAACAAACCATCTGCTTTTGCTTCTCGAGACGGAAATTTGTCAAAACACCCTACCCATGCCTATGCTCATACAAACCCAGAAGACAATAGTCACAATTATGAAATGGGCGATTCTCAAACTCTCCCAATGACCGAAAGCTTTGCCGATTTGCTGGATCCGCACGTTCATTCTTCGGATCATAGCCATGAAGACGCTTTTGGCAACTCACATACCGATCGCGGTTTTACCTACCCCCCTACTATGCCCGTGGTTAAATTTCCCGCCATCAACTCTTCCTCTTCTGGTCTCAATTCTTCTTCCTCGAATATCCAGATAAATTTCGTCAATGGTGAACCCGTGTTTCCTCGCACTTCCTCCAGCACGTACAAACCCGAAGCAGATGCCGTCTCCAACCTCTCTTCGAAATCTTTTGTTAATAAAGAGTATGTCATGCATGAAGATAAAGTCAAGGACAAACTAGCTCAACCCGAGCCCATCACCGTTTCTGAACCGCAAGAAGATTTGAAATCGGTTTCCGACCGGCCACTTAATTTTTTTCCTGAACCGTCGCCTGGTCACGCGCAAACGTTTTCTCCTTCGTCGTCGCCAGCAACTTCGGATACTGTAGAGAACGAGTCCAAGCAGACCGAGAGTTCAATTCAGCTTCCTCCGTCGGCCCAGAAAAACGAATCCTCTTCTTCTTACCCTAAAAGAAGGGGATTCCGACTTTGCCATGAAACCGACATTCTTTACGAGGACCCTTCTGTTCATCCTGTTCGCGTGTCTGTTGATAATGGACCCAAGCGCCGATCAAGCATCAAACATGCACAGCAGAACAAGTTCCACACTTCCTCCGACGCAGGACCCACTGAAACCCGACATAGATCGTTCATTCTTAATAATGAAGATGTCAATCCGGCGCCTCCTAGCACTGACACTACTAGTCAGGCATCACAGGATCCTACCGTTAATACAGAATCTTCTAGCCCTTCTTATTATCACAATGGTAGACGCGTTCATAACAATACCTTGACACCGTATCCTTCTGTTTCCGACGCTACTTCGATGGACGTGTCGTCAATCACGAGTTATGACCTTCGATAAACAGAGTATATTCCTTTTGATTTTCCTTTTTTTTATTTCTTTTATTACGAATGCCACTCATGAATCTTTCTATTTGCTATCCCTTTGAATCAGTTACTTTTTTTCCATCTTGAGAGATTTAGATTTCATTTCATTCTATGCCCTGTCTTGTTTTGTTGATGTATTTCATGATTTTTTTTTTTCTTTTCTTTTTTACGACGGTTAATGTTATGATTTATAATAGAATTATTGGTTGAAAATTTGCTTTCATTTATTTTCGTAATCAATGATGGACTATCCAATTCGTTTTCGTTTTCAATCCGAGTCCATCCAACAATCCTCAAACATAGCTTTCCACGCAATTAGAGATTCACGTACTCTTGTTTGCAATCAATTGGGATTCCTTTTCTATTTTATTTTATTTACTCATTTCGTTTATTTATTTATTTATTTACTTACTTATTTATTTTTTTTTTTTCACCCTGATCGCATTATTTTTATTCATATCTTTATCGGCTAAGCAAGTGATGTCACGGACTCATCATATTAAATCATCCTATAAAGCATGATGTCAAAAAAAAATAATACCTGGTCTCTGTGGTATAAATACCAGATGGCTCTACATTCTCAACATCTAAATACTTTTATTGAAATCTTTTGGTACTCAACATGCAAAATCTATTGAACCTTAGAGGATCTAAAGGCAGCTCTGGCGGCGGTGGAATTGCTGACGATCCTATGGGATTCGCATCTCATGCCAGTTCAGATGTTAAGCAAGCACAAACTATGAAGAAAATCAACGATGTGATTCCCGGAGATACCAAACAAAAGATGGCTATCATGAACAGAATTAACGATGCTACCGGTGGTAATGCCATGAAGGCAGTTATGGAAATCAAAGACAGCTCCTCCTCTCCTGAAGAAGCTTTCAGCAAAATTCAAAGCCGATTCAAAATATAAACATGACTCCAGAACAACCGTCGCATCATTGTTGGCCAATTTATAAAAAATATCCGACTGACTTCACGATTCGTTTAAGAAACGCAGCCTTCATTAATTAATGACACTTGTTATGATAGGTAAAGCCAAATGATATTGAAACCAACTTTCGTTTGTGCTTAAGAAAAAGAGCAACTTTATAAATAAAGAAGTAGTGTAAAAAAATGTAAATGTGTCTCATTCACTTTAATCTTACTCATTCTTCTAGTGCTCCATCCCAAATAAGACGATATAATATACATATTATTCCTACACCTCTCGAGACCCGTAACAATGAACCCAACAAAAAACAAAACTATATAAAGTCCTAAGACTTATCATCTATCCTTAAATCCTATAATGGGAATGCCAACTACTACTTCAACCACTTGAAGTCTTAGCTGAAACACCTTCAGCAAATTGTTTGTAGAAATCCAACATGCCTTGGCTAATTCCCTTTCTGAGTGCAAGCAATGCTTTTTCAAAATGTGCTTGTGTAATTTCTGTTGCTTCTACATTCTCATGCATAGCAACTAACCCAGCATCTTGGCATAGAGCAACTATTTCTGCTCCCGAACAACCATCCGTACGTAGCGCAATATCCTCCAAATCTACACCTTCACTAAACTTCATTTGTCGAGATTGAATCAACAGAATTTGTCGACGTGCTTCAAGATTAGGTGGTCCAACATAAAATAGCCGATCCAGTCTTCCAGGTCTCATCAAAGCCGGGTCAATCACATCTGGCCGGTTCGTTGCTGCAAGAACAAGTACATTCTTCAATGCCTCTATACCATCCATCTCATTTAGTAGTGCCGTTACAACTCGATCTCCGCTGTGGTCCTCACCTCTACTACCGGTCAGGGCGTCGATCTCGTCAAAGAAGATGACGGAGGGACTTGCTTGGCGAGCTTTTTGAAACAATTGACGAACAGCTCGTTCACTCTCACCAATATATTTGTTAAATAACTCAGGTCCCTTGACAGAAATAAAATTCAATCCCGTTTCAGTAGCTATCGCCTTCGCAGTCAACGTCTTCGAACATCCCGGTGGACCGTACAGCAAAATCCCCTTCGGGGGACGAACGCCTAATCGAGCAAAAGTTTTTGGGTGCGTCAAAGGCCATTCGACTGATTCTTTTAATTTTTGCTTAACATCTTCCTGGCCTCCTATTTGTGACCACTTCACATTGGGCGACTCAATGATGAATTCCCGCATCGCGCTTTGTCGCACCGAGGTTAACGCTGCTTCTACATCACCAAGTTCCACGGCACCAGGATTTTCCTTTATTATAGTATCACCAGCCTCACTTCGGTTTTTTAAAGTTCTTTTAATTGCTCGTAAAGCAGCCTCGCGAACAACGGCGGTTAAATCTGCACCCACATATGCATGGGTGCGACCAGCCAAATCTTCCATTTCTTCAGGGCTAAGACTATTTGGAACATGTTCAAAAAGCAACTTTAAAATGTCCAAACGAGCGTTTTTATCTGGTATTCCAACCTCGATCTCTTTTTCCAACCTTCCAGGTCGTCGAAGAGCTTCATCTATAGAATTTGGACGATTCGTAGCCGCAAATACGGCTACCTTACCAGCACTCGACATGCCGTCAAGCAATGTTAGGAGACTTGCAACAGCTCTGCTTTCTGCTTCACTTATATCAGAAGTTCGCTTAGGTGCAATTGCATCAACTTCATCAATAAATATAATAGATGGCTGCTGTGAACGAGCATCATCAAAAATCTTTTTTAGCCTAGCTTCAGTTTCACCCATATATTTGCCTACCACAGATGGACCATCAATCCGGAAAACATGTGCCTTTGTTTCAGCGGCTATTGCGCGTAAAATCATAGTTTTACCGGTTCCAGGAGGTCCATATAGTAAAATACCTCTTGGAGGTGAAATATGAAAATATTCAAATAATTCAGGATTTTGAAAAGGAAGTTCTATGACATCTCGTACTTGTTGTATCTGATGGTCTAAACCTCCAATAGAGGAAAATGTTACAGGCGAAGAGGATGTCTCCAGCTGATTCTGAGAACTTTCGACAACGGATGAGGACAGTGAAGTTTGCGATTGAGACAAATCAGATTGTAAAGCACCTTCAACATCCATTTCAGAAGACGCAGTAAACCGATAAAGACGAGGTTCCTCCAAAGAAAGATCAGAAATTGCTTCCAACAGGTTGCTAGGAGAGCGAATATGAATTTCATTAACTTTAATATAACCCGGTGGAAGATTATCACCTCCGTGTCTTAAATGTTCACTCAATGATGGAAGAACTGAACCTGGTACCAATGCCTTTGTAGTAGAGTTTGTGCTTTGTGCCGAATAAAGCATGCCCAGATGCACATAACGCATTTCCAGTAGAGTCTTCTTGATTTCAGATTCCGAAAACGGATTCCCTTCAGAATTTGGACCACAAATTATTTTTAAACTCTCCACGTCCTTCAATGGATGAGCATATTTTACGGCGTTCACCCTTTGGCCAACCTTTACATTTGCCCATTCCGCGAACTGCGAGCAGATTCCTACTTCATAGGGGCCCAAATTTACTCCTCGAGGGACTTGAACAATACCAATTGACGAACCATCCGAATGTTTTATAGAAACGAGTTGCTTCTGGACGAATCCCAGTCGTTTTAAAGCGGCAGGTGAAAAATACACATATCGAAGATCTCGCCAAGAACTATCTCCTTCTATCAACTTCACTGACAATTTAATGGGAGCGGACATCCCAATATGAACTGTCTAACCTGCTTTTTAGTTTATGGCTGTTGGCAAGAATATCTTCTGATATAGGGAAGCACACTCAACCTCTTTAAGCAGTAAACAATAGAAATATTTTTATTCAAAGTCTTTTTTCAAAAGCCTACGAGGTGCCAATATGTTTACGGGTTTTAAATAAAGTAATAGCAATTCATCTAATTCACAAAGACCTAAAGTGTAAAGTCACTTATTGTAAGAAGTTATTTATTAACAGTAGTAAGGTAGTTTTTTTACATTACCAGTAAGAAATCCAGAATTACAAAACATGATTTCATAAAAACACATTTTTCATGTCTTAGGCTCCATTTTAGTTACTAAAATTGAAAGGAAAGACGACAAACTATAACCTTAGCTACAGAATGAATAGATTCCAAATATACCAGTCACGTTTACGATGATATTATGGGTAATAAAACGACAATAAACGAGCACAAAAGAACAGTAAAGATTATATAAGATAATAAACAATTTAATATGAACACATCAAATCTACCAGCATTGTATTGGAACAGAAGCCCAAAACAACCCAGAGTATTTGACAAGAAACAAAAATAATAATCCTCAATAAAAACTTCATACTTTCCAAACATTCCAAAATGCAAAGAAATAAAGGTATTAGGGTATTAACAATAATAGGAAAAGTAACAACGCCCACAAACAAGAAAAACAATAAACGACAGTTTGTATGTGAATATATTTATAACGCTCAGTTTATTTTTTTGTAGACCATCTGCCCACCAAAGGAAAACCATGTTGGAAACCCAAAGATATATAATCTTCAATCACCAACAATCCATTAACCCACAGACCAGACGATCTTTTTTTATACAAGAGAAAGACATAACACCAAAACTCCTTCATAGCAAAACATACATGAATTGCAATCTAAATGAACCGCAATCCATACAACACTTGTAACGATGTTAATATAAGATAGGTATAATTGAACAACCGTAAATGAAAAACCACACCTGCTTATACCAAACATCGTAAAAACTCTAGCATAGTATAACTCCAAAACCATCCTCAAAATGAAAAGAATTAAAGAAATTAATTTAGTATCCTTCCTTTGAAATCCCACAAGTAAACTTTTTAACAATATTAAAGAATAAAGAATGATGCTTGGTTTATTATATAAAGAAAGGTAAAACGAAGAGACCATAACATGTTCGTATTTACACAAAAACGTAAGAAGCCGTTGTCAAACGAAAGACTAATTAAAACGAAGCTCCCCTTGTCTAGGCAATAATGACTGCTGAAGACGAGGGTATGTTCCAGGGAATACCTGGGGAAGCTTAGCTGAAACTCTAGATGACCCATAGTCAGTACCAATCGCAGGGTTCATGACTTGAGAGGTATATGGATAAGCAGGCATTGTAAGTTTTCCAGTAGGGACCTCACGGCGAAGAAGAGGGGAAACAGGGTTCAGCAAAGAGCCACCAGTGAGACTTGCAGATTTCGCCAAAGTTGGGTTCACTAAAGAGGATGTGTCCAAACCGGATGAACTCGGCTTTATATTCTCACTACGAGGGGCTTGAAAAAGCAAGTTCGACTTTCGATTTGGTACGCCAGTGCTCGTACCAAGCCCCGTCGTTGGGGCAGTAGCGGGCTGATAGGCAGAATAAGCAGGTGAAGCATCAAAAGAAGGAGGAACACCATTCAACAGATTATTTGAAGGAGATAATGTAAGCGAACCAAAGTCTCGAGTCAACCTCGTAGAAGCACTGTCCAGAGAAGGTGCAGTCAAAGAAATGCCACTCAAGGCAGGAGATAAACTTTTGCTTGTCATTCCCACTTCTTCCATTAATCTATAGTAAAGAGGAGAGGGTTGCACGTGCAAATTACTGAGAACGCGCTTGATCACCATATGGAATTGAGTTAAATATTCATGGCCAATTGAAGGATAGGTAATGACTTTGTGAATAAAAGAAGGACCAACTGTCTGATCTTGCAATATATATGTAAGCACGCTATCATTCTCGGAGAAGAAGATATTCTTAAGCAAAAGATTTCGAGACTCAGGTTCCTGCTTATTGTTGATTAACTTGAAAATGAGAGTAGAGGCGAGTTTATGAGTGCATGTTGTATGTAAATGAGCTGCAAGGTGAATGGCTAAAAGACGATGTCTATTCTTGAAGAAAGAGTTGTCTAAGAGCCAAGTAAGGAGAAGCATGCCATTGGTGTTCGTGGCAAGCAAGTGAGAGTTAATAATAATGGCAGCGACAACAAGAGCCTGTTGTTCAAAAGTAGCATGCTCGTTCTCCAAGCAAGCACGAATTGCTCTAGCACCAAAGCGACTTTGTCCAATTTCGCAACAATGCCTAGCCATGGTTTCAAAAAGAAAGCAATTATTAGGGTATCTAAAATGCAAGCAGCACTGGGCCACATAATTGCCAAATTGATCGAAATAGAGCAACGCAGCATAAGGTCGAAGGTGCGCAACGATAAGCTCCATTTGAAGATTGGTGGATGCGACATCAATGATCTTTTGTGCAGCCCATGTGCCGTTCTTGTGAATGCCTATAGCAGCGAGGTATGGAGCGATACGCTCAAGCATAGCCTCCTTGACAGGATCAGAACAGTATTCAAAAAATTTTTGAATAACCGTATTACCAAGATAGTCACTTGATAGTTCAGCTACATCGTCCAGCATGCTGGTGGCGATAACTTCAATTTCTTCTTGCGTGTAGAACCCACTGTCGATATTCTTTCGAATCTCGCGAAGCTTAGACGCCTCAAACTGTCTTGAACGTAAGGTTTCAAGAGAAGGACGAATTTCCGTAGCGACTTGACTTTTTTCAATGGCACTGGTAATCATTGATTCAACCGTCTCTAAATTAATTTTCATTTCAAACTGCTTGGCAATCTCAAGTAAATCAAGACGATTTTTTAATAAAAAGTTAGCGGCCGCAGTAGAATGCGACCGGAGCACTGGCTCTTTGGGTTGAACAAAAGAGACTGTCGAAGAAGCAGGACTGCTGTTCTCAAAGCTAGATGTTGGTCTAGCAAGAATAACTTGAATAGGACCATGGTTTTCAAATACGGACCGATTATGCAAAGCGTCCCTAGCAATTATTGCAGATCCCAAGGACTCATAGCTTACAATGGCCGAATTATCTGGAGACAGCATCCATACATCTTTTACTTTACCGTAGGACGAAAATAGTGCATGCATAGCACCACTAGAGGTCCCTACGGGTAATTTCGACACATACAGCATAGTGGTTGTGCTGAAGAAAAAAAATGCGCAAAAACCCTTGACAATATACAAAAATTCTCGTTTACCCTGTAATGTTCTGCGCTATTACCAATAACGATTTCCAAGGTCCCGCACTAATCTTTGTTCTGTACTAAGGAATATGGTTGAAGAAAATCCACGAAAAAAGAAAGAAATCGAAGAGATTGACGCGTCTAGAACTATTTTTGTTTAGTAATTGGTACTGGCTAGGACCTTGCAAGGTTTTTCGGAAGGTCTGAGACACAACTTAAAGGAATGCTCTAAAGGTCGAGCTTACTCGTCAAAGACAGGTAAAAGAAAACGGACCTTTTCTTTTTCAGATATACAATAAAACCGTTTAGAAATGTTTACATGTTGCGTCCCCCTCTGTTTCCCGTTGTTCTAAGCAGTGAACAAGATCCCAGGTTCGTGCATACTCAAAATCACAATCCAACTAGCTGCTTGAATTTTGATTTGTGCCATAACAATTTGGTAAAGAATTACCATATGCGCTAAATTGTTTAAAGAAATCTTTTTTGTCTAGCTTAGGAAAAACGATGAAACGGAATTGTATGTTCATACAACTCAAGCTATTTGAAACACGAAGATGAGCTTTGTTTCATAACTTTAGAGATACTCTTAAACAATTCTTTGTCAAGGAGTGAAGCTTCTAATTAATGTCAAATGTCAAGGGAATATGAGGTTCGTCTTTACAAAGTACAAACGTCTATGTAAAAAGAGATCCATGGAGGGTCTAACGAAAAAGTTCAAACATACTTTTCATCTAGAGATTATTTCTTCTTTACTTAGATTTATATTCAGGAATGTCCATTTTTCATACACATATTCCTATTCGTAAAGTCGATAGTTTGGAATATGCTTCAAACATACTTACAAGCACTTATTCCTACTACTTTTAAACTAAATATGAATTAAATAAACAAAGGTAGAATAGAGAATTATGGAATATAGCATAAAACATATTATCCCTAATTAACATCTGCAATGTTTTTCTACCCAGATCATTTCTTTCAGACATACTTCTGTACATACAAGTCCTATTCTACACTACTGCATAGCAAAATAGATTCAATCTTAAACATTGTATTAATTTTCAATTAATTTTATGAAAAAGCACTAACAAAGGAAAAGTTATATAGAAACGCTCCGAGGTGTTTGAATATTACAGGACATTAGCAAACCCTCATTTACCAAAACCGTTTCGTAGAAAGTCTAAAGAAACAACAAATCCAAGTTTAATTTTAAAACAACACAATAACAACAACTAAAAAAAATCTCCCAAAAAAAACAAATAAACCACTATAGAACAAATTTAAGATGTACGGGATTTTTGGTACTTACGGGCTTCCTCCATGTAGTTATCAAAGAGGTAATGGGTATCCATAGGACCACCACGAGCTTCGGGATGGAATTGAACAGAAGAGATAGGGCGAGTGGTATGAGCGATACCTTCGTTTGATTGATCATTCAAATTAACCCAGGTAGACTTCCATTCGGCAGGAAGGGATGCGATATCGACGGCATAACCGTGGTTTTGAGAGGTAATATGGCAGTTACCACTAGCAATATCAAAAGCGGGAATGTTATGACCACGGTTACCGTACTTGAGCTTAATAGTTTTAGCACCAGCGGCCAATGCAAGTACTTGGTGACCCATGCAAATACCCATAATAGGTCCATTGTAGGTATCCATTAATTGTCGAAGATTGCTGACGGTCTTGGTAAGATGAGTGGGGTCACCGGGACCATTGGTCAAGAAAACACCATCGTAGTTGCTAGCAATGTTTTGGATGGGGTAATCAAAGGGGAAGACAGTAACACTAGCACCACGGCTAACAAGAGAACGGAGAATGTTTTCCTTGACACCACAGTCAATAACGGCAACATTCAACATTCCGTCGCCACCACCAACAAAGAAAGGCTCACGAGTAGAAACCTGGCTAACCAAATTGACGGCACTAGGATCGGCAAAAGCCTCATCGTCATTAGCATCGTATTCTTCACCGATGCTGATTTTGGCAAGACTACTACCTTGTTCACGCAAGTAAGTAACGATAGCACGGGTATCTACACCGGAAATTGCAGCAACACCTTCACGGGCACACCATTCACCAAGAGACTCAACAGCAGTCCAGTGAGAGTACTTGGTGGCGTAATCGTTCACAACTACACCAGCACATTGGATGTGAGGAGATTCAAAGTGACGAAGAAGACCGTGTTCATCACGCTTCGAGCCACTTGGAACACCATAGTTACCAATTAATGGTTGAGTAAAGACCAAAATCTGCTGTTTATAGGAAGGATCAGTCATAGATTCAACATATCCGACAGGAGAAGTGGTGAAGACAGCTTCACCGGAGATGTTACGGTTGGCACCAAAAGAAGTTCCATGGAAGATGGGACCGTTACGAATAGTAAGAGTAGCGATATCGTTCGTACTTTGTGGGGTAGGAAAGGGAGTCTGCTTAGGCAAGATACGCTCACTGTTGGTAACAGGAGGAAGCTTAGAATAAAAGCGTTGCCCACAGCGGAGAGAAGTATTCAAAACAGAGGGCTTCAAAAAACGAAACATGTTCAACAACGAAAGTTTAACGACGACAGATGATCAGAAGAAATCAGTAAGTAAATTAGTTTTATACACAAATGTTAAATTAAATAGTTTCCTCGGCCCTTTTTCTGTTCAGCTTTATAGCACCAAAACGCGAGTTTGGATGATATGAAGCTAAAAGCAAAAAAAATATTTCTTACGAGAGAAATATCCTCTATACAAAAAAATGCGACTCCAAAACTGTAAAGATAGTCGCTAATCAAACGAAAGAATAGCCTACAAACCCTGTAATACCAATTGACTTCTTAAAGGGAATGGTGGTAGTAAAGTAGAAGTTTGTGATTGATGCTATTTTTACATGTTGGCAAATACTGATCTGCGTGGTGATCTAACGATGGAACTTAGATTGCCAAGATATAAGTACATCTCATACGAAATCAATTTTTTTTTGAAAACCGATATTATTATATTGTAATATAATAATAAATACCGTGTAATAAAGACAGAATACTATACAAAGATACTGAATTAAATTAAGTCCTTTAAGCAATTGATTGTTTTGTATTGCCGGAAGGTTTAATAATTCTGTTTCTATCCTTTAGAATGTGAATATGAACAAAAGATAAATAAATGGAACTCATCATCAAGCCAGCTCCATCTTCACGAGATTGAATTTGAAGCAGCAGTCGGTAAAATAAAACAAAGCTGTTTTATACAAAGATCATTAAGGCTCATGATGTACTTCCAACGATCACTCTTGTCAACTTGTTAGAGGAAGAGCCAGACGAACTTGTATGTATTTGTAAAAAACCAAGAAAATGAACATGAAAAAACGAATGACGAGATTTTTCGGAGAAACCGTGCAAGATAATTTGTTTGTGAAGAAGGCTTCTAAATTATCTTCTTGTTTATTAAAAAACGAAGGGTCAATAAAAGTAAGAGAAGAAAATATCCTCATTCAGCGCTCCCAGAACCTACTGTTTTGGTACATCTTATTTTTATTGCAGCAAACAGAACGTACCAAATTACTATTAAGGAGAAAGGCTAAAACAAATCCACACATAACCAATAAATATGAGTGAATTAAAGAACATTAGGCGTATTTCGGCTTTGGTCGTTGCCATATGCCAAAGGAGTAATTCAATCGAATGACGAGCAGATCGATCGCCATTCGAATACTATCTTTCAATAAAGTCATCTTACTACCACCGACTTCGTGCCAAGTAATTGGAATTTCGTAGATCGGTAATTGAAGAAAACGCGCAAGAGTTAGAACTTCAATGTCAAAAATCCAGCCTTCAACATGCATTCGAGAGAATATGTTTTGATATGCAAAGCGTGAAAACAGTTTGAAACCGCATTGTGTGTCGCCTATTTCACGAACCCCCAGAATTTGCAACAGCTTATGGAAAGAATGCATCAAAAAATTACGTATAAACGAACGTTTCACAACTGCTTCAGTATTTACCATATGGGCACGAGAACCAATGACGACTCCCCCAATAGCATTCTTCGGCATGCTTTCAAACAGTAGTTCGATATCGGAAAACTTGGATGCGCCATCAGCATCTGCAAATATAGCATATTGTCCACGAGCATGAAGCATACCCCAGGTAACTGCACCTCCTTTCCCCCGATTTTTCTTGAGTGAACAAACACGAACATGATCTCCCAAATCCAGAGAACCAGAAAACCGTAACACTGAATCCACTGTTGAATCTGTACTTTCGTCATCGATCACAAGAACTTCCCATAAACGTTTTCCCCGATTACCAAAGGTTCGGTAGTATTTCTCTAGATGATCTACCGTTTCTTTCAGCATATCAACTATTCTATCTGACTCATTGTATGCAGGAATAACCACGGTTAATCGTATTTGCTGGTCATCAACGTTCCTCTTCAATGTTTTGTATTCTTTACGACCATCTACTATATATACACAACGATTTTCTCCCTCGATCTGCTTCCTTGGGCAGTGTGATCGAATTAAATAAGTGTAAAACTAAAACATATGTTAGCCAACTAATGATGGAGGTTAATAAAGTGAACGCTGTGATGAAAGTCAATTGGATACTATCAACACCATAAACAATCATTCTCACGCATTCTCTGCAAAAGTTTTTTATTAATTGCAAAAATACTTACAAATATTCCAAAAAACAATACCAGAAGAAAAGAACTGAGTGCAATTGAAACAAACATGTTGGTAGGATCTTTCCTAAAGAAGGACTTCAAAATTTCGATAGAAAGCATTGATTACGCCCATGTACAAAGCAATAAATATTCTAAATGGAGAAGAAATGTCTTTAAATGATCTCGCTGCTGGTACAGCATGTAGTTTCTAGTAAGGTGTATGGTTCTGGAGAAGTGAGTCGTTATGTCATGATCACTGGCATGACATTTTTCCTCGGCGATCCATTTTATAATACATAAAAATAGAAATTTAAATTTAAAATAGTTTTCTAAAAATTCAAGTAGAAGCATTACACGTGATGCTCAGTGTTATAATACCATATTGTCCTAACGAGGTCAAATTATGAGTCAGCCTATATATATTGTGTCCATCACAATTTCTCTTTTACCATAAACTACCAAAGAATAGACTTGCGCAGTCTGTGATTTAGTATACTTTAAGTGAAGTATTGGCAAAATAGGTTTTCACTGCCAATTGATTTAAAAAACCTAAAATTATATTGCCTCCCAGTAGACGCACATTTTGGTTTTTTTTCGTAAGAACACGAGATACGTTTTTACGATTTTTTGTTTTTTCCCATTTCTCTTTTCGACTTTAATTCTTTTCTTTTTATTTGCTACATCTAAAAAGGAAAGGTATTAAAATAAGGACAAAAAAATCGTAGATAAAAATTTGATTGGGAACTGATAGTAGAGCAAGAAACCTCTATTTAACATAATAAAGGCTCTTTGACTTTTGTCGCGTCTATAGAATTTTATAATGGACTCACAATCTTTAGTTGACTCCATTTATTTTGTGGACTTCACTCACCCATCCCAGCAAGAGAACAAATTTATTGGTTTGATTCCAGATCAAAGGATTGCAATCGTTCCAGAATTTACTTTAGAATGTGGAGAAGTTTTATATGATGTACCTGTGGCTTTCAAAACATGGGGAGCATTAAATAAAGAAAGAAACAATTGCCTTCTTCTCTGTCATGCTCTTAGTGGTTCTGCTGACGCTGCAGATTGGTGGGGTCCTATGCTTGGTCCAGGCCGTGCCTTTGATCCTACGCACTTCTTCATTGTCTGTCTCAATTCTTTAGGAAGTCCTTACGGAAGTGCTTCTCCAGTCACCTGGAATTCTGAAACCAAATCAATTTATGGCCCCGAATTTCCTCTGACAACAGTGCGCGATGATGTTGCTCTCCACAAGCTGGTATTGCAGCGTCTAGGCGTTGAACAAATAGCCATGGCGGTTGGTGGATCTATGGGGGGTATGCTTGTTTTGGAATGGGCCTTTGATACCAACTATGTTCGCTCTATTGTTCCCATCTCAACGTCCTTGAGACATTCAGCTTGGTGTATTAGCTGGTCGGAAGCTCAACGCCAAAGTATCTATTCTGACCCCAAATTTAATGACGGGTTCTATGATATGGATGACCAACCATTGAGTGGACTGGGTGCTGCACGTATGTCTGCATTACTAACGTATCGTTCCAAGTGTTCGTTTGAACGTCGTTTCGCTCGTAAGTCACCAGACTATAATCGCCATCCTTATCCTGATCGTGTTCCTACTCCGATGACTCCTGGGGATGCCCATTGGGTAGTTCACAACGAGGGCAATGGTTATCGTCGTGAGCGTCCATCTCGATCCAGGGATTCATCGCCCGAATCACCTGCTAGTGGAAGTGTCAAGGCGTCTTCTACTCCTTCGTTGTCTCAAAGTACAGGGAGTGTTTCAGGTACGCAGAGTCCTTCATTGCGTCGTCCTGCGAATACTTACTTTTCTGCTCAGTCTTACTTACGCTACCAAGCAAAGAAGTTCGTAGGTAGATTTGATGCTAATTGCTATATTTCTATCACAAAGAAACTTGATACTCATGACGTTAGTAGGGACCGTGGATCAGAAGATCCCAAGGAAGTTATGAAACACCTTACGTTACCTGTGTTGGTATTGGGAATTGAAAGTGATGGTCTGTTCACGTATGATGAACAAGTAGAGATTGCTTCCTGTTTTCCCAATGGCAAATTAGAAACCATCATTTCGGCCGAGGGCCATGATGGGTTTTTACTTGAGTTTACACAAGTTAATTCCTATATTCAAAAGTTTGAAGAAGAACATCTTGGCGACATCATGTCACAGAAAAATGCTTCAGCCGAATTGGAATTAGAGTCTCTTAATGCCCAACGTGAAAGCGTTTTTGGTGAAATGGAAGATATTACTTCCTGGTAAAAAGCTAACTTGGTAAATATAATGGCTGGGAATTTGCAGTCGAAATCTATAACTTATCTGTATGATGAGTATCCGTCTGAAACATTTTTATCAATATACCATTGATAAATTGATAAAAAAAAAGCAAGAAAAAAATTTAGAAAAAGATCATGTTCTTAGTTTAGTCAACTGGGGGATTCAACTCCTCTTGAACATATGAACAATGATTTGAAAGTTTATGTGATGATTTGCATGTTTATTTTATGACTATTTTAATTGTGATGTCGGTTTCGCTATGAGGTATTTTTTATTCTCCGTTTTATTCGTTTTCTGCTTTGTCTTGTTAGGTAGGAGATACTCCTCGCTACGTGAACAAGATATTTAGCATTTATTGCATTCAAGGTAATTTTCGAAAGAAGGATAATTGAATCTTTTTGATGACCTCGTTTTCTGTTTTGAAGCTGGCTTCTTACCCCTCCAACATGGGGATTTATATACCACGCAAAAATGTCTGTCTAGGTTAATTGATACGGATGAGAGTTTTTTTTCATTATTTTTTGTTTAGATTGTTAAAAAAAAATAAAAAACTCGTCTGTTTCAGGTTATGGAACGGAAATGTTTCTACATTGTGCTTTTATCCGAGACTTTGGTTGGAGATGTGGATTGCATCTCGAAGATTTAAATTGTAAATATGACTAGTAGTTAGCTATAGGTGTGTTCTTCAAAGTTCTTGAGTAATTATGAAACCCATAAAATCTATTCCCTTTACTACCGTTATTGTCCGGAGTAAGAGATTCAATTTAGATTTTTGTTGCTAAATTCACAGTACAGTTGTCGATGAAAGAGAAGCGAACAAACGAAGAGCTTCTTCAGTTCATTTCCGGAGAAGTTTTTACATTCTAAAACATTCAAATAAATGCTTACGCTGGCTTTTACGAACAAATACGAGTAAAAGTTTTATAGCCATGGACTATGACTAGGGCTTTTCTCATTATTGTTTACATGAAGATAACGCAGAATATCACGAAACTGGTATCTCGGAAATCTGAGTTATTAGTTTCTTATCATGGAAAATCGAAGCAGTCACGGTCGACTACAATTTATTACAATAAATATTGAATTTACCCTCTCCGTAACAGGAAAACTTTTGGTTCAGAAGATGTCTTTCCGTAACTCCTCTAGAATGGCCATGAAGGCCCTCCGTACTATCGGAAGCCGTCGTTTGGCTACCCGTAACATCTCTGTTATGTCTCGTAACGTTGCTGCCTCCACCACCCGTTTTGCTCCTCGCATGACTGCCCCTATGGTTCAAACCCGTGGAATGCGTGTTATGGACTTTGCCGGTACTAAGGAAAACGTTTGGGAGCGTAACGACTGGCCTCGTGAGAAGTTGGTTGACTACTTCAAGAACGACACCCTTGCAATCATCGGTTATGGCTCTCAAGGTCATGGCCAAGGTTTGAACGCCCGTGACCAAGGTTTGAATGTTGTTGTTGGTGTTCGTAAGGATGGTGCTTCTTGGAAGCAAGCCATCGAAGACGGTTGGGTTCCTGGTAAGACCTTGTTCCCCGTTGAAGAAGCTATCTCTAAGGGTACCATCATCATGAACCTCTTGTCTGATGCCGCCCAAACTGAAACCTGGCCTCAAATTGCCCCTCACATCACCAAGGGCAAGACTTTGTACTTCTCTCACGGTTTCTCCGTCATCTTCAAGGACCAAACCAAGATCCAACCCCCTAAGGATGTTGATGTTATCCTTGTCGCCCCTAAGGGATCTGGCCGTACTGTCCGTACCCTCTTCAAGGAAGGTCGTGGTATCAACTCTTCCTTCGCCGTTTACCAAGACGTTACTGGTAAGGCTCAAGAAAAGGCCATTGGTTTGGCTGTTGCTGTCGGTTCTGGCTTTATCTACCAAACCACCTTCAAGAAGGAGGTTGTTTCCGATTTGGTCGGTGAACGTGGTTGCCTTATGGGTGGTATCAACGGTCTCTTCTTGGCTCAATACCAAGTTTTGCGTGAGCGTGGTCACTCCCCTGCCGAAGCTTTCAACGAAACTGTTGAAGAGGCCACCCAATCTCTTTACCCCTTGATCGGTAAGTACGGTCTTGACTACATGTTCGCCGCCTGCTCCACTACTGCCCGTCGTGGTGCCATTGACTGGACCAACCGTTTCCTTGAAGCCAACAAGAAGGTTCTTAACGATTTGTATGACAATGTCGAGAATGGTAACGAAGCTAAGCGTTCTTTGGCTTACAACTCTGCTCCCAACTACCGTGAGCTTTACGACAAGGAGCTTGAAGAAATCCGCAACTTGGAGATCTGGAAGGCTGGTGAGACTGTCCGTTCTCTTCGTCCTGAATTCAACAAGCACTAAGCCCCCTCTTAATGTTGATTTGTAGTCATGTTAGAATCATCCGTATATTAATTTTTGATTAGTTACTTTATTATAGCATCCGTGACACCAATTACAAGGTTTTGGTTTAATTCTATCTTGAAGGATAGCTTTTGTACTGTTAAATAGTGTTTTATTGTTTATTTTCTTCCCAAAAAAGTGTAAACTTGTTAGATTCTCGTATGCTTTTGTATTCTCGATATTAATCCCGCGAGCATGATCAAAGGTGATGTTTTGTAGGAAAGCAATTCATGGTCAATTAATTTATTAATTTTCATAGGTAAGTATATATGTATGTGGTTAGTCACTAGGAACCAAACTTTATGATACTTGGGATGTCTATGTTCATTTGGCGGACGCATCCTTTTACTAAGATTTTAAAACATCCGTCCTTTCGTTTGCATCCTCATGTTTTCTTTTTGAGAAGTAAGTCTACTTTCCAGAGACCTAGTGTACATGATTATTTATATGGTGATCATCCGGTAAGGAATGCTCTTCAAGCCGGAAAACGAAGCTTCGAATGTCTGTTTGCCCAATCTTCAAAGCAACTAAACGAATACCAAACGCTTCTGAATTTATTAAAGTTGAATATTCCTTGTCGCCTTACCGGAAAACACGAACTAAATGAATTGACGAATTCACGTCCTCACAATGTGTGTAATTACTCTGTTTATTGAGACTAATTTCTTTTTAATCAATGGTAGTAAACTAACTGTATACAGGGCATCGTTTTAAAGGCTTCACCCTTGGAACCTCCAGTCATATCTGAGATCGACCATGTAGCACAAGGACATCTCAGTCCATCTACAAAAGGAGACGTTTCTTCTTCCGAAGGAACCTCAAAAACATCTCCTCCTTTGTATATTTATTGTGATGGTATATCAGACCCACAAAACTTGGGTGCCATTATTCGAAGTTCTGTAAGCTACTTTCTCCTTTTGGTTAAGCTAACGATATGTCTAGTACTTTTTAGGTGTTCATGGGATCCTTCTGTCAAAAAAACACAACTCTGTTCTATCACCGGTCGTTAGTAAGGCATCTGCTGGTGCGCTGGAATTGATGAATATCTACCGGATTCAGAATCCCATTCAGTTTTTAAAAGACTGCAGCTTAAAAGATTGGAAAGTATTCGCTACTGCACCGATGGGAAGCATGTCAAATGAAAATCAAACTTCACTGCTTACTATGCCTGAGAGTCTGGCGGTGAAGCCAAAGATCGTTGTCTTTGGAGGAGAGCGTATGTCGTTGATACCATTCATTCATCTTGAAAGGTTACTAATAAGATTATTTAGACGGTTTGAGGACAAATATGATTAGACAGTGCGAATACATTTTGACACTACCTCATGGAGATCGATTTGTAGACTCATTGAATGTTTCCGTCGCTGCAGGAATCATATTACATTCGATGAAAGATTATTCTTTAAAAATTACAAGCAACAGTCAATCTAAACTTTAGCAGACATTGGGATCAAGCCTGGAAAGAAGAAAATAATAGACGAAGATAATAAGATTATGTAAATAAGATAAAATATACTATATGCAAAGACCAAGTGTTTAATCCATTATGTTTAGTTCATGGTTTTAATCTATTTTACATGTGGTAATCATTTAAAAATGGAATAGGGATCTGATTTATACGTCTCAGATGTGATTTGAATGTTTGAAAATGTGCTAAAGCTTGCTAAAATGGAAGCACCTGTCCATGCCGCATGCCTTCGTTCTTTTGGAGTGTATATTTTGACGCAATTAGGGACATCTCCAGATCCTTGAAGTTCTTTTAAAAGTCTGTCTCCAAAGCCACTCAGTAACGTACCTCCACCAGAGAGGACGATATTATTTAGAAGGTCTTTGCGTAAATCAAGGTCACTCCGCAAAACAGCTTGTGTAATTTGATGTTGAACACCTCCGTTTTCATACCCAATGAGCTCGGGACGAAAGAGTAATTCCGGAGCACGAAAACATTCAGACCCCAGTTTTAGAATTTGACCATCAGGAAGAGTAAACTGCCGTAATTTTGTGTTGAAAGAAGAGTTTGTTTTTTCCTCTGTTTGAAAGTTTGGAGAAACGTAACAGCAAGCCTCCTTGATTTCACGAACAATTTCTGCTTCGGCTGAAGTTACGAAGCGATAGCCAAGTTGTCGAAGCTGAAGCTGTAAGAACTCGGTGACATCTTTACCTCCGTAATCATCGCGTTGAGCGCTGGAGAGAACAAAGCCATCGAATACTGGTACAGTGTGTGTTAAGCCTTCTCCGACTTCGACCACTAGACCAGTTGTGCGTGCGGTTGAGTACAAGGCAAGAACGGGCTGCAAGGAAAAGTTGAGTGCTGGAACATTAAAAGTTTCAAAGAAAATCTCAGCCATTCTCTCTTTATTTTTTGCATTGTTAAACGGGGTTTCAGCTAATAAAACTGGATGATCTTCGGGTAAAGTTTGAAGCTCGTTTGAATAAATCCATGACCAGATTTTTTCCATATCACACCAGTTTTTGACGAGACCGCGCTGAACCGGGTATTCGAGTTTTAACAACCCTCGAAGCTCTTGCACTTTAGAACCAATGTATGTATCTTGTTGGAGGTGACTAGGCATGACACGCGTGTGCTTTGTTCTTCCGATGCTGTAGACTTGTGTTAGAGAAAACAGGGAGATTGTCTAAAAAAGCAATTTACAAAGATGAAAACAGACATACACGTTAGAAAAAAAGCATTGGGGAACGTCGTTTCCCGAAAATCCTGCTTTGAGAAATCCTGACCCCTATATATAGACTGTTAGTGGGTTGTTGGATTAAAGCTTGCTTGTCGGAGAATCCAATATTCCATACATTGTCGATACACACAGTCTGGTTGGTAAGTCTATGTACCTGTTAGCAATGAGATAATGAAGGTATTTGGTCTATTTAGTGACTCACGCTTCATTCATGTTTTATATATTGTTTTTTTTTTATATAAAAAAGAAAAGAGACGCGTCAACCCGATTTAATCGATAGAAATGCGACGAATAGATACTTCAAATGGTAGAAAAAAGTCAATTCAAAGGTATAAACGCGTTCAATTCAAAATTCAAAATTAAAAGGTTAGTTTGTATATGTAGAAAAAAAGATGTGTGTTTTGCTAAGAGAATGTTGGATACTTGTAGAGGAAGTGGGTACACGCAGGAGGAATAGCGAAGTGGGTACGTAGGTAGGTAAGAACGAAAAGCAAAGAGCGTATTATTAGACAAATGAAACGCGCTATGTTTGAACGATGAAATAAAAGTTTTCACTAGTTTATAAAAATAATGAATTTACAAATGATATCGACGTATAGTTGTACAAGTACGATAACTATACTTTTGCAAAACACAATTCCAGGAATATATAAGCTACTTTTGAGATGTTTGCCTACTTTTGAAACGTTTGTATAAAGTTGGATGAAAAGAAAAATGATATATTTATGAAAAGTACAGTATTATATCAAATTTACAAAACAAAAAACAAGAATGCTTTCAAGTTGGACATCAACAACAAAAAAGGGTTGTAACTAATCCATTCTAGTGTGCGCGACAAGGAATCTTGATGTCTTTTGAGATTGAAAAAAAAAAAGAAAAAACACACATATCCACATCCACATCCATAGCACATGCATATAAAAGAAAAAGTCATATAGAGAATGTATAATCAAGTAAAAACCGAACATTGGGAGCAAACCGTCACTGGTGAATTTAAGCAGAATCATGGGATAACCATTTTTGAGACAAAATGCCAAAGAAGAAAAAGTGTAGAACCAAAAGGGGAAAAAAACCAAACAAAAAAAAAGAGAGGAGAAAGAGCGAGGTTATACTCTATACGATCAACATTTATGGTGAAATCACACACAAATCCTTATACTTGATATGCAAGATGATGCTGTTTGGACTGTCCATGTATCAAGGCAAGGGATTTTTTTTTTTTAAAAAAAAAAAAAATTTGGAAAAAGAAAAACAAGGATATGCATAAAAGTTGAAAAGATTAGACTTTTTTGGGGAATTTTTTTTTTTTTTTTCAGATAGTATTTCATATAGTTTTCTATTTTTATAGCGTTATAGCGTCATCAAAAGATTATAGACGAAAAATCCTTCCTAGGAAAGGGAGAAAAAGGAATAAAAAAACAATGGGTCCTTGTTTTCAACGGTTCTCTTTTTTTTTGGTTTTTTTTATCGCATATAGCACACAACAAAAGCGAATTTCAATATCAGACAAATACTGATGGGGCTTGTTTCCAAGTCAAATTTGTTATTTTTAAAAAACTTGAAGACTCAACAGACATTTGTCAGATGTCGAGAGTTTCGAAAGGAATCCAATTATGCTTGCCATTCTGCAGAATTGTTTTTAATTTGTTCACAACCCCAATTGGGACTGTTGAGGTCGTCGCGAGCGTCTTGGACGTATAAAGCATATTCGCTGGGTTGATCGGACGATTCAGACTCGTAGCGTTGTTCAGTGGCTACGGAGGAAGGATCCATGCGTTGAGGACCTTGGCTTGAAAAGAGTCGTTGATGTTGAAGTCCAAGTCCCATAGCAGGTTTCATAGAGAAACGGAGCATAGCAGCAGTAGTAGTAGCAGCAGCAGCAGCGACACCACCGTTTTGAGCAAAAATTCTAGCAACGTTGTTCAAGGTCATAATCAAAACAATCAATTCGTTAGAAAAATAAAAATAAACAACACAACAACCAACAACAATAATCAATCAATCAATCAATCAATCAAAGAGGAAAGAGAAATCTCAAAAAAAAATAAAAAAAAAAGGGAAATATGAGAAAATTGAAAATGAAATGACAATAGTAATAACGATAAAAAAAATAGAAATTAGAAATTAGAAATTAGAAATTAAAAATCAAATAAAGAATTGATTTCAATTTGTTCGTTTTGGTTTAAAAATGTTGTTTTCCTTCTTTCTGTTGTAGACCTACTTTTTCCCTCTTATATGTGTATATATATAGGGAAAAAAATATAAAAATAATAGGCCGAGATTAGGGAAAAAATAATTATAAAGGGGAAAAGATCACTCGATTCAAATCACTCGATTATCGTAAACAGAGATGGATGAGTGATTCCGTTCGGTTTCACAAGAAATGAAAAAGAAAAAAAAAAAATCAGTGATAAAAGAGTCTTTTAAAAAGCTCAAGCTTAAATGAGTTTCTTTTTTTTTCTTATAAAAGAAGTTCGTTCGTTCAATTCTTTCTGTCTGTCTGTCTCTCTTTTCTTCTAGTAGCTGTAGAGTCCTATTTATATATTGAAAATGAACCTTCATCAAAATCGCATGTTAAAAAAACCAATGCAACAGTGACGCCAATGCTTATAAAGTCTGATGACTGATAAAAAATGGCCGCCTTACCATCTTTGGATTTTTTTTTTCATAAAATAATGCGCCGACTAACGTAAACCACTTTGTTCATTAGGCGAAGCATCGGAAGGCGAAAATTTTACGTAAACGTAAGAGTGATATTAAAGTGAAAGAAAGCGACTGAAAAAAAAATGTTTCTATACCAATCATGAGAGAAATGCGCACTTTGAAGTCTTTGTTGGAAACGTTTTTCCAACTTTAACTGCGGTAGTTTCATCTAGCGATTCATCTAGCGAAAGAAATTTGCATCCAGCCTCGTTATGAAGTAAACAAACAAAAGCAGACGAGGGAGAGAAGAGAAACAAAACGAAAAGAGAGGAAGAGAGGAAGAGAGGAAGGCAGGAAGGCAGGAAGAGAGGAAAGGACTAGGACTAGGACTAGGACTAGGACTAGGACTAGAAGTAAGATTAGGATTCGAATAAAGATGGAATAAAATTTGAATAAAGTAAAGTGAAAATTTGAATGAAATAGAGTAAAAAGGAAAAAAGGAAAAATTCTTATTTTCATAAAATGTTTTTCTTTTTTTCTTTATTCTTTATTCTTTATTCTTTATTCTTCAATCATAAATCATTACCGGGACGAAAGACCATGGCTGGAAAACCCAAAGTGGGAATGAATTCTTCAAGCAACAATTTCCAAATCATCCTCTTCATCGCTTTCGGTAAATTCATAACGGAATTTTGTGTTTTTCAAATCCAAGGTGCGTACAGATGAATTTTGCCCTTTGGAATCCTTTCCTCCTGGACAGCTATTGCTGTTTCTCAAGGTAGGATCAAATCCAATTCTTCGTAAACTTCGAGGTGAAAATATCCTTTGTGCCATTGTTGTACCATGCGATAAACTACTTGCATTCGAATTTCCTTGCTCCGGTTGTTTCGGATCTCTTTTCTCTTTCGGTAAATTCCATGCCGTCGTCTTCCTTCCTTCTTGTTCCGATTTCCACTTGTCCTCCGATGAAAATGGATCCGGCGTCACTGCCGTCTTTGTTGCATTCGGCTTTACCAAAAGGTCTTTCCAATCTTTTTGTTGTTTACTCTTTCCCTTATCGTCGGGGCCTCCCGACACGAGCTGGTGATGCCGACCTACAACAGACGTAGACGATCCATGGATACCAGACAATTGCGACATTTCACTAGAACTCGCTGATGTCGAATTTCTTGCTTGTAGGTTCAAATATTGATGGCCTAATGTAAGAGCTGGCGTATAGGACACCGTATCGTTCTTATTATTGTTGTTGTTGTTCTTCATGGAGGAATGCGAAACAGATGACGACGATGCATCCGGTAACGACGATCGTTTCATAGTTAATCGTTGTAAAATTTCTCTTTCCCTCTCTGCTTTTGCTTGTTGTCTTTTGTATCGTTCTTTTCGATCTCTTTCTTGCTGAACTGCGTCTTCCGCGTCATAAAGACCTATCGCTAGGTTTGGGACTGCAGAATACTTTTCTCCCGCGTAATACCCTTGGAATCCTTGACCACGAAGACGCTTCTCACGTCGTGCTCGTGGTTCATGCATGACCGTCGTGGTCGACCCAAATTCCGTTCGTCGCGACATCGTCCTTTGTACCGCCATATCCACATGAAATTCACACACCTCCGATAAGCGATTGTCCAGCCAATGCTTACAAAGTTCTCCATTTTTCTTTCGGCTTTGACAGTACCCCAAGTGCTTTGATTTTCCAATCTCCAATAGCACGTCGTAATCCGAATCTAGCTTTAATGAAAACTTTCCTGTATCTGGATTCTTTGGCTTTAGTATATCTGGACACAGCAAGGCAACCACCGTCCCAGGCTGTACTTTCCAATACCGTTCAAACGCTTTGCCAAACAAAAAGACCTCCATCTGCCATTTTAAATCCGTAAGCGTAAGCATACAATATTTCTTTTTGTGTATCGTTTCTCGTGTGCCCGTATTGTAAGCCACAATCCCCATTACCACAAACGTATCAACATCTGGTTGTTCATATTTTGGAGGTACTATGAGTTTTAGCAGTTGACGAATAAGATACACATAACATCCCTGCAAATTTTCCTTAACTTCTCCATCACTCAAATAGCGTACCATTATGACTTGGCGAGAGTATGGCTCAATTTCGTTACAGGGCGTCGGATATGTAGGTTCTTTCGAACTGTTTGTTTCCAAACTATTGGGCTTTCGATGAAATGAAGTCTTTCGATTCTTTGCTGCTTCTTTTTTTCTCTCCTCCTTTTTTTTGTCACTGTCTCGAGCTTCCGCTAGTCGCGCATGAAAAGGTTTGACCGCTGGTTCCCCTTGTTTTCTACCCAAGGAAACATCTTTTCCTGTCTTTCCCTTATCAATTCCCAACAAAAGCCGTTTCGGGCTCTTCATTTTGGACGGAGAGCTCACTGTAAGGACCCGAACAGGCTCAGGGGATCGAGGAACTTCAACCGCTGCTCGTCTCGTTTCTTCTTCTTCTTCAGTAGCTACTTTCCTTTTCTTTTGTTTGATCTCTTCCATCTTCTTCTGCACCTCAAGTAATTGAGCCTGTAGTTGTTTTTCCTCCTCTGTTAACTCTTCTTTTCCTGAACTATCGTTCATGTCCTCCATCCTAGAGTGTATCGATTGTCTATTTGAATCTGACATATTCAACACAATAAAGTGAACGCTTTTTTAAAAAAGTTTATATTATTTAGAAAACTTTCAATATAAGCTTGTCTTTTCGTAAATCATATATAATCTTCAATCCTCGCATCAAAACATAGGCATTCTTTTCCCCAAAGAGTTTTCCTTTCCAACGAGCAAGTTTACAAATGTACAATACAAGATAGTTTGGCTCAATTTCACTTTGTAAATCTACAGACTTGTGCTTCGTCTATGCTCACCAACAAACACGTCAAGGAGAAAGAAGAAAGACGTATTTTTCCACAAAAGCAAAAAAAAAGATACTTTCCAATTAGATCAGAACACAATACAGCATAAACCGTTAGGTGCCTTTCTTTCTTATTTATTCCATGTAAACAAAGGGTGCAGCTAACCAAATGTAAATAGGATAGCGAGTCAACCTGCATAATCCTTAAAGTTGAATAGAATATATGGCAATTCATCTCGTTGATAAATAAACATACGAATGAATTTGCTTTATAGCTTACAAGAATTTAATTGTTCTTTTCTTGAAAAGTAAAGATAGTTCTTTTTAAAAGAAAATTATTTATATTTATGAAGTGTGTTGAGAGTGAATCATCTGCTTGGAAGTCCATTGATGGCACATAAACTAAGCAACTCATGAAGGAACAACTTGCACAAACTTTGCATCAAAAGCATATTCTTTTTGAAATTTATAAAAAATTGTTTTCTCTCACATGAGGAATCAGAAAACTAGAATTTGCTTTACCTCTAAAAGTAAAAAAGACATAGAGTTTATTAAGTGTTTCTTGACTGTAATGGCCGTCAACTCAAGTTACACAAAAGTCCCTGACAACTGATTGGAATTTGAACATGGAAGAGTGTGGTTGTCTTACGATCATCGCTTCCATTTTATTTTTGCTAGACAGTTTTATTTTGTTTCTTCAAATTTGACCTTCCTCTTGCTTTCTGTTACTTCTCAAGGGACATCCCCCAAAAAAGTTGTTTCGAAGCTTCAAGTTATATATAAACAAAGTGAACAGCTAGATATATATGAGAGAAGAAAAAGCCTACAGCATCCCGTATTCCCATGTTGTCTCCAACCATAGTACTAACGAGACCCTCAGACGCTTAACTGCAGTGATCGAGCGGGAACTGGCGTGCTGTTTTTGCCTAGGTATAGCCACAAACATTTGTTCCAGTCGGTTACTACAAGTTCAGTTGTGATCCAGTAAGGACGTTCTTACATTTTGTAGTAAAACACTCTTCTGTATGATGACATTGCAATATTCCGGCCTTGACTAATTTATAAAAGACATGCAATTACACGACACTGTGTTGAAGCTATAGTTAATTACGGCAGGATTTTCGTCAGAGTATTAAATAATCATTAAAAAGGGTGTTCAATTCTATTCACGAAGCATAAACAACGATATTGCGTGACGAATAAAAAAGATTCATGATAGAGTGAATGAGAAAAGCAACTTAAACCGTCTTATTAAGATAGTGCTTACTTTGGAGGATGATGCTAATGCAAAGTTGATGGACTGCAATATTGACATGAATCCTTTCAAAGAAAATGCGAATTATGAAAACGTAAACCAGGTTCGTTAAAATTCAAACTTCACCACTTTGCTCAGCAAGAGGTTGAAGTTCGATTTCTTCGTTCTGAGGTGCTTCATCTCCTTGATTTGTTCCTTTTAATTTGGTTAATAATTGCTCTATGATAGGAAGCATTCACGTAGTGTACATACCAAAAGCAAGATTCACAGAATTTCCTATGCCGTTCCCTATACCAATTATGCCGTTACCTATGCCGTTTCCTATATCAATGACTAATAATCTAAGTCGTTCACGGGCAATTGGATTCACTAGAACAGTTAGAATATTTCGCAGGTTGTATGGCATACTCGAAATAAAAACAAACAAGACAAAATCAACAAAACAAACAACGTAGAAAAAACGATTATTTATCTTTTCAAATTGCATTATCTTTTTTGCTGTATAATACATGGAGAAACCGGGGACATTGAGAAAACACACATATAATGCTGAAACACACATATTGAACCCAGCTTGCCTGTACCATCCTGGATACGTTACAAGAATCGCTAAAAATAGGTCAGTTATTCGAGAACAAGATATTCTTAACTTACTTAATAGGAAAATAAAAATAGATGCAATAGAAACGCCAGCAAGCCCGTAAAAAGCTATTGAATACGGAGAAACCTTGTAACCAAAAATTATGGCTAGACAAACAACATTATAAAAGAGTATAATAGTCGCTGTGCCTATGGAAAAGTTTTTCCACCACTTCTCATTTGTTAAAGGATCCGACCTGGTGTTATCAACAGATTCTTGGGCGGAATTCTGAGCGGATCCGTCAGCCATTTCTAAATCGATAAATTTGTTTGAAGCTAATGAATGTATTAGTAACTGAAGTTTTCGTTGTTTACCAGAGGATGGAGGCGTTCGTCCTGTTGTTGACAATCGTCGACAAGTTTAAAATAGGATTCCTCAGTAATAACTCTCAATAACAAACACCATTACCTTTCCATTTCAATAAATCTTACCTGAATACGGAGGAGGCGTACCATCTGCAGAATGCGTGTCTGACTTTTCATCAGTGAGCGTTTTCAAGGACTCTTCAGAGTCTGAAACAGAGGTGTATTTATTCTTCATGGTTACAATGCCACATTAAATCCCAAACTAACAACTGCAGTTGCAATCTAATTAAAATCACTAGAATCACCAACAAAAGTCCGTAGAAACTGGTACCAGTTGTTGCAGAGTCTTCAAAAATAGGAATTGGACCTTGTTTCAAAAAGCAAACAAATCCTCCAGCTTTTCTTTTTCTTTAAAACCAAAGATACAAATTTAAGAACTCATGGTAGTGTCTTTTCGCATATTGTAATTCATAAAAGCTGCGACATTATGTCACCGACTGGTCACATCCTCGTTACGATTATTTAATGGTAGTCCCATTGCGACAATTGGAATATTATCATACTAAAGCGTCGTTTATTACAAAATGTAAACATAGAACCAGCGTTACAAAGAACAGTCAGGGCTGTGCGTTTTGTACCTATTTATTAGCCAAACCAGCCTAGCTCTTCCAGGAACAGCTGTAGTAGCAGTTATTGCTACAGCTTGAGGATTTAGAATGTTGTCGGAAAGAAACAACCTGATTTATATGTAAAATAGTTGTTCGGGAGGATGTGCGCCTGACGATCGATGAACTTTCCAGCATGCATGTGTTTATGTTTTATTTACCTTTTATTGAGCATAGGGACAAACTATGTCTTGGATGGTGACCGCTTTTCTGTTGCGCTTCATCTTGTCGATATCATAAGGCCATCATTATCATCACTTGCTAGTATGGTCAAGTGCGCCTGCATAGTTTCTTCTTGGTTGGTCATTTGTTTGTGTACTTTATTGAAATGAAAAAACGATTCGATTCTTAATCAAAGATGACCATTGTAATATGCGGCTTGTGTGCTTCTGTTAGTACCAGTTAAGTCAAAGGACCATTCTGATCAAAACGAAAAACTTGTGCCGTCCATACAAAATAAAAATGAAGCGGTAAAAAGCCTACAGCATCCCGGATTCCCATGTTGTCTCCAACCATAGTACTAACGAGACCCTCAGACGCTTAACTGCAGTGATCGGACGGGAACTGGTGTTTTCGCCTAGGTGTGGTCGTAGACAAAAGTTGTGGTTCATAACTAATTTTTGTTAGTATTTCATCCTGTTCATAATGGATTTGGGCGTCTTCCTTTTTGACGCCCTAAGATACCAGATTCACCTCAACGGTATCTCTATCTTTATGAAAATCAATGGCACGGTGTTTAAATGATCAACAAGATTCTGGCGTTGAATTGAATACGAGGAGCATAAGTTAGAAAGGCTGATGAGACATTGTGAATAGCAGTTGTCGTTTTCAGATAATAATGAAATCAATTTACACTCTTTTTTCAATGTAGTTTCCATCCTGACTGAAAAGTCTCACTTCACTTATCTTTGTAGCCTTCAGAATTCGCTTCATATAACCTCTTAAGTATGAATCAAGAATCGATGGTACGGTTCTATATTATTGACATTTTGGTTTATTGGTAAATAAAGAGAAAACCATTTATATTAAACCTTTTTTGGTAATCAGGGAAGTATTAATTGCAGGTAAAAACTTGTGTAGTGCGGTTCTCTGTATGCAGAAGAGCTAAAACCGATGTAAATGCCATGTTGGAATCAAGAAAGCTATACGAAAGCACCAGAATAGAGCCTTGGAGTTGTGTAAAGCAGTCGTGAGCAGTAGCACCAGTGTCTTAATATTCCACCATGATTTTGAGCACCAAAGAAGTCATTGGAGATGGATTCCTAAGAAAATCAGTGTATGAGATGCCTCGATTACCTGATGCGCGTTTACAGCATACAGCATACAGTATTCACAATTCAGAAATCGTTAAAGAATGAATGAATTTAAGTTGAATAACAACAAGCTAGAAACTGCTAAAAACTTGCTCCTTCAAAACTTCCAAATCCTAGCATATATATACGTGAGCGTTTAAATCCCTTTCATACTGAACGGAGTTCAAATTCAAACTGTTCACATTTTTGTTCATTCTATACATCAATATCAAGTAAGCTATATGAACCAAGCGTTCTCAAAAGTACGCATCACTGGCCAGATCATCCAAAAGTGTGGGATGAGAAGGTTTCCAGCCTAAAAGCTGTCGCGTCAAGGCACTTGAAGTTGGGTTATCAGAAGATAAAAAGTAGGAAAGAAATCCAAATTGTTTTTTCGCTTCTTCAGATGACTTAGAGACTACAGGTACATTGAGTCGTTTGCCAATCAACGTTGCAATATCTTTGGTAGGAATCCCTTCCTCGGCAACACCATGAAAAATGGAGCCAGGCGTTCCTTTTTCAAGAGCCAAAATAAACAGATTCGCAGCATCTTGTCTGTGAACGGAAGGCCAACGATTCGAACCTTGTTCAACATAAACAGACTCACCCTTGGCCTTTGCTATACTGATAATCATTGGTATGAATGCATAATCGCCAGGTCCGTGAACACTTGGTGCAAGGCGAACAACTGAGGAACGTACACCTTGAGAGGCCAGTTTCAAAGTTGCATTCTCTCCTAGATGACGTGAGATGGACGACTGAGGAATTTCGGTTACCTCTGTGCCTAACGTACCAGTAGAAGGAAGCACTGCAGTACCAGAAGTCGTAACGAAAGGACGATTAGACCCTTTTAAAACTTCACCAATTGTTTCAATTACACGACAGTCGGCCTCACAAGACTTTGGATATTTGCTAAAGTCATGAATAAAGTCATGATTAAAAGCCGTATGGATAACGCCGTCTGACTGTGCTGCTCCAGTCTTTAGGCTATCCAAATCCTCCAGTGAACCAAAATGGGGAATCGCTCCAGCTGCCTTCAGTTTGGCAGCCTTTTCCTCTGAACGTACTAAACCGATCACTTCATGTCCACCTGCAAGAAGCTGCCTCACAATTTCAGAACCAATAAATCCTGTCGCACCAGTAACAAACACACGCATGATTTTTCTACTGAATCGTTTTATGCAATTTATGGAACCACACTCTCAGAATGGCTATATATATATATATATATATATATATAAATAAAAGTCCGACGTGTCATAATTCATGACTAATACGATAGTATTGATAAGAAAGAAATTCTTCTAACAAAGATAATATTCTATATTCCTTTTGTTTCTTCCCCTTGTTTACATAGCAAAAGGCAATTTCATGTAGATTCACAAACCAAATAGAAAACTAGAATAATAAAGTTAACGAAAAGTAAACATATAAATAATACTTTTTAGAGCTTCTTCTCTCATCTATTTCACTCCTGCTGAAGAAGGACACAGACCTTTCTTGTGTGATTATTACCAAGGTTATAGACCTTGTGTACGCATTTGATTACTAGGGCATTGGAATTGAGAATGTTATAGAATATTGCTTTTCTCTATAAGCAATAAATAAATACATAAATAAATAAATAAGTGAGTAGATAAATGAGATTTCAACCTTCTTTCTTCTTTCCTCCATTGAAATTGCCCAAGTGACTAGTCTTCCTCAATGACAAAAGTCGGCATTGTCACAGGAGGATTTAAGAGGTACAAATATAGGACTCCTAAAGTCATTGAAAAGCGGTGCTGCCAAGGTAGCCATTCCACTCACACCTCTGAAAACAGTGCATGTAACAGAACAACCGGTGAAGAGGATTGAGGGAATCAATACACCAGACGCCTCATTAATAACCAAGCGAATTTGAGTATTACTTCAAGTGCAAGGTATATTTCGACACAACCGTTAAAACATTAGTCGTACCATACATATTCTCGTTAATAATGCCGATTGCACAAAGCTAGGATTGTTAGGAATCATAAGTTTGGAAGATTATAGTAGTACCTTTGACTTAAACGTTCGGTTAGGGTCATCTCGTGCGTGATAAAGCCGCAATGGGACATTTCCCAAAAAAAGGGAAGCAGTGATAGGATCATCAACATCGGAAGTATCGGTGGAAGAAATAGATTTCCGTGGAAAGTTATATATGTTGGAAAAAGAAGTCAGATATTCGAAGAATTACAAGATGCTGGCTGTCGAGTTAGACCGGCAAGGACATACTGTTAATCAAATCGATCCAGGAGTAGCTGCAACAGGTGTGTTAAGAGAATACGAAGGAGTTAATATATATGACATATCATGAAAATGAATTCCGTTAAAAATCAAGCTGGATATTCTAAAAATATAGCAGACGTAGTCGGATTCCTCTGAGATAACAACGGTCGATGGATTACTGGCCATCTCAGTTCCCGGTTGATTTACAATGTATTGACTTCTTTCCTATACTAATGATAAAGCAACAATAGAATTTCCTTTCGTAAGAATAATTATCCATTTTTGTTGGTAATTCATAGAACACAGATTTTATATATGCCAGACAGTCTTTGAATTTCGGGATGCAAATAACTTTATCAAATGTCTGATCCCATTCTTATAAATACGGGGAATCCTATAAACTCATTACATATCGGAAATTCGTCTAGCCGGCGAGGAATGGATGGTGCGTTGCCTAACGATAGAATTAAGCAAGGCTCATGTTGGTCCTGGCGCTGAGGAGAGCATTACAACAAGAACTAGAATTAGGGATAATAGCAGTGTGGTTTAGACTACTCAATGAATCGAATCTCTCAAGCATCGTGGATAGGATTAATAAAGTTGAAGGTCAAGCAAAGTCTTCATAGACGACGTCCAGAGTAAATCTGATGGCAAGGAGATTATGACGGAGTAGAAGAGGTAGAACATCTGGAAGCACCCATAATATGCAACCATGGAAAGCGAAGGCTCCTATAGAATGACTCTAATAGAGATTTGTAACGGACGGATAGAAATAAGTAATAGGGGGGTGCATGCCTTTCGATGTACAAAGACGAGACATTAAGGTATATCTATGCCTATGACTTTTGAGTCGACTATGCCTTGCTATTCCTTTCGCGTCAACTCACCGTAGCTTAAGAAATGGTTCATTGCTTCCCTAAAAGATTCATTTGTAGTTATCATAGAACAGAAAAATACGAGGAAAGATTGTTCAATAAAACTTGAGAACTCTGGATTCTCGCAGGCTGATTCTTCTGAAGTATCATACACTACTTGCGAAACTGTAGGCTCGGAAAAGCAACGAGTGTACTTTTCACACACAACATGAATAGATCATGCTTTTATTCAATTTAAAATAAATTAGGTCACTCAATTGAAAGAAACAAAAGCGATTTTGGAGAAGCCATCAACTACTTGCAATTGCAATAAGTGTAGAATAGCGTACGCCTACGAGCATTCAGCAAATAGATCAAAGATGGTGATGACAACTTCACCGCTGCAAAACTCTGGTCTTCGCCATTGTGAGCTCGTTTCTTGGTCTCTTAGAAAATGTTTTTTAAATGCTTTCTTTCAATTGTAGCGCCAGTTGATTTTGGCGCCTTCTCATCTTTTTACCATGTAACTTTCGCCGAAATTTACTTACCAAACAAAGGTGATTGAAGAACGTTTATTGTCGCAGTTCTTTCAACGAAAATAAAAAATAAATAAAATAAAATGCAGCTAGAGAATGAGAAACCTCAATTGTGCCACTACGACTTCTGACTGGATTTTACCGGAGTATAGTCAAAACACCTATTCACATTTAGATGACATGGAGAAGGGTTGTTTGTATTTACAATGTGATCCAACTGCATCATAACATGGGAGCAGTCATCAGGAAGCGTCCATAATTATTGCACGGATTTACGGAGTTCTTAACTCTGCGCGAATTGTTTCAATGCCTTTATTGAGGTTCGATTTTCTTGTCGGCGAAAATTGGAAGAATCCCTGAAGCGCGACGCAGACATGAGAGTGAAGCTCGGCAGCTCATTACCTGTTATATTTTTTCGGTCGTAGTAGATTTCTTCTTTTCTTATATGTATCTTGTCCCTTTTATAAGGGAATTGATGGCAGGATCTGTTGGGTAAGTTTTCAGGTCGCTATAAAAAATTATTTTTGTCATTGCGACTTTCTAATGTTTTTATATGTTTGTTCAGGTAAGTCTAATGGTTAGAGATATATGTGAAAAAGTATGCTAACTGCGTACTTTTAGTGTTGATGGATTCTATCGTTCTCTTGATTTCTCTAATTGTTTCTGGGATTAACTCGGTTTTGTCTTGGATTACAAGTGCTGTGGGCTTCGGAATGCTAGCAGAAACAAACGAATTGTCGCCTGAAGATTATATCCCACTGAAAATCAGTCCAATGATCTTCTCTACAGTACCTTCAAACAACTGTCCTCCTCTGTACATTTTGAGAAACCTTGACGCTTACACAGAAACCGGATCAGTCTAGGGATGCTAAAAGCATCGAAATTTCATACTCGAAACATTCTTGTGATGATATCCTGTCGTTTTATGTATTGTCTAAACAGGTTTATCTTCGGTTTTTATCTAATTATTTTATTTTCGGTTCCCGTTTTATTTATTTCTATTGAGCTTTTCTACGTAAACACATTTCATAGGCTGTTTTCGTTGAAACCAACATTGTTTCAACGCTGCTGTTCAGACTTCTTACAATGAAAAAATGGAGGACCTGGTGAGATAATTGGATTGTTGACTTGCTAGTGGGTTCTGTCTAATCTAATCTACATGTTGGATGTTATTTATTCTTTTTATAATCAATGATTTATTCATGATTCCTTTACTTTGTTAAATAGAGCTAATGATGATGAACTCAATCAATTATTAAATCAAATCAAGAATGACCTTTGCTTAAGCTTTTCCCTCAGCCAGAAGTATTATGCAAGTCAAAGTATCATGATGATCAAAATGAAACTCTGCAACATTGTGTTTGCATACATAAAAAAATAACTATATAAACAAAAAGAAAAAGCCTACAGCATCCCGGATTCCCATGTTGTCTCCAACCATAGTACTAACGAGACCCTCAGACGCTTAACTGCAGTGATCGGACGGGAACTGGTGTTTTCGCCTAGGTGTGGCCGTAGACAACTGTCAGTGTAATAAAAAATATGTGTAGTGGATATTTAACTCTTGCAATTTGTTCAGTTCCATCTGCGTCTGTTTACAATGCTGCATGGAAGTTGTAGTCTGATAATTCGTGTTTCAATTCATTTACTTGAATCTCTAAGTAGACGATAATTTAATTCATTAGGCTATAAAAGTCGGATCGTTCAAGTTGAAAGATTTGTGCTTTCTATGCTGTGAGGGGAATCATTAAAAGGGTTGCATTAACAAGGATGTCCGTCACAAAGAAAACGAACGATTCATAAATAACACTATTGCGAGACGAATTCTTAGATCCATAAAAGAGTGAACATGAAAAGCAATCAAACCCGTCATATCAATCTGTGCTTACTTTTGTGGACAAGAATGCAAAAACTCGAGGGATTGCAATTGATATGAATGCTTCGAAGGAAAATGTGATTTATAGGAGGGATGGAAAAGATTCGTTAAAACTCAAACTTCAGCGCTTTGCCCAGCAAAAGGTTGAAGTTCAATTTCTTCGTTTTGAGGTGCTTCGTCTCCTTGATTTGTTCCTTTTAACTTGGTTAATAATTGCTCTATGATAGGAAGCATTTACGTAGTGTACATACCAAAAGCAAGATTCACAGCATTTCTTATGCCGTTTCCTATGGCATTTGCGCCGTTCCCTATATAAATGACTAATAATCTAAATCGTTCACGGGCAGTTGGATTCACTAGAACAGTTAGAATATTTCGCGGGTTATAAGACATACTCCAAAATAAAACAAACACGGCAACGTTAACAAAGCAGACACCATAGAAAGCAATATCGTTCATCTTTTCAAATCCTATTATTTTCTTTACATTACGATAGAATACGAAACCAACGACATTCAGAAGACCCGTATATATCACTGCGACACACATGTTGCACCCAGCTTGGGTGAACCATCCAGGATAGGCTATAAGGGTTACTAATTATAAGTTAGCTGTTAAAGGAAAAAGCGCACTTTAGCTTACCAAGTACGAAAATAATAATGGATCCAATAGAACCGCCAGCAAGCCCATAAAAAACACCTGTATTCAGAGGAATCTTGTAACCGAAGACTATGATTAAAAAAACAGAATGATATAAAAGAAGTTGAGTAGTCGCTATTCCTCTCCAAAAATGACATTGAAACTTGTTCTTTTCAGAAGTGTCCGACCTAGTATTATTAGCAGATTCTTGGGCGGAATTCTGAACGGAACCGTCAGCCATTTCTAAATCGATAAATTTGTTTGAAGCTAATGAATGTATTAGCAACTGAGTCTTTCGTTGTATACGAGAGAATGAAGGTATTCGCCCTGTTTATTGACAATCGTCGACAAGTTTAAAATAGGATTCCTCAGTAATAACTCTCAATAACAAACACCATTACCTTTCCATTTCAATAAATCTTACCTGAATACGGAGGAGGCGTACCATCTGCAGAATGCGTGTCTGACTTTTCATCAGTGAGCGTTTTCAAGGACTCTTCAGAGTCTGAAACAGAGGTGTATTTATTCTTCATTTTTGCAATCACAAGCCAAAAACCAAAAACGAGCGGCAATATTTAGAGTTGAAAAAGAAATCGACTAGAACCACCAAGAAAAGTCCGTAGAAACTGGTTCCAGTGTTCACAGATCTATCAAAAATAGGAATTGGTCCTTGCTTCAAAAACCAAACAATCCTTACGGTACACTTTCTTTAAAACCAAAGATAAAAGAGTTTGAAAAAATCTTGGTAGTGGCTTTTCGCATGTCTCAATTTCATTAAAGCAGCGACATTATGTCACTGACTGGTCACATCCTCGTTACGATTATTTAACATTGTGGGTTCACTATGTTTTTAAGTAATGGGTATAATCCAAACAAAGTTCGTATTACAAAAAGTAAACAAAAAACCTTTCATCAAAAATATACAAACTGTATACTTTAAATAACATATACAAGAAATAGGAATTAAAAACAACTTTATTAAAAAATCCTTAAAGAAATTTGTCCATCTAGGGGCTTTAACGCAGTGGAAGTTGATGTAGATGGAAAGGAAATCATTGTTATGCTGGGTCCGGTCTTCTGTTTTTCCTCTAGCTCGGGGTATGCTTGTTTTTTTTTGCATATTATTCATAACACCGCTTTTCCATGACTATACTCTTGGTTGGAGTCTATTGCTTTAGCTTTTTCCATATGCAAAACATCACCTAACTCAAAGTACCATGGCGATCAAAAGGAAATCCAAATGCAACACGATGCATGCATACGTTATACTAAGAGGTATAAAAAAACAAAAAGAACAAAGGAAAATCCTACAGCACCCCGAATCCCCGTGTTGTCTCCAACCATAGTACGAAACTAAGAGGCCGTCAAACGTTTTCACTTGCTGCCGTGATCGGACGGGAACTGATTTGGTGTTTTCGCCTAGGTGCGGCCATAGACAGTAGTGGTCCTTTGAAAGACCTCTAGTAAAGTTATCTTTGCTTTATCATGCATGTGTTTTGATCCATTTCAAAACCAATTTTTTAAACTTTAAAAAAATTCTCGTTTCTCAAAAAGCGTAGTTTCTTCTCCATCGATGCGATTTCTAAATAAGCTATCACATAAAATACAACACGTATACCAACCATGCACTTCCATAGAAGATAGTATTCATAATATTCATATGACGCTGGTCCATTTTTCATAAATTTCTAACTCCTGGCACTTTACGATATCTTTGTTCGTGATCATTATGTTACTCCCATTGGAAGTGAACACTTGTTAATAAAAGGGTATTCATTCATGCTACATCCGTAGCTAAGATCATAGATACTTGAGACATTAATGTACAATAAAAAATTTTTGATAAAGGACAACCACACTCAAGGGACAGATGCTTTTAACTGTTTTTTTCTTTTCATCCAATGAAAAGAATTTCAGGTCCCGTATTAATTGAGAAAATCATTGATATTAAACACTCTAAAACAGTTACCATTTCGTTGTCGTTTCCTATGTGAACACCAACGTATCCTTTAGCATTGGGATGAAAAAGAGAAAAGCACTGCCATTTTAAAAATCAAGTTGAAGCCATCTTCAATGGCATTTTCCAAATCGAGCAAGAATTTAAACGACTGAACAAAAACAGGACATACATGTGCCACACGAACTAATTTAATCAAGTTTAAAAAGCTGTCAAGACATGTATCGCAAATAGAAAAGTACATGGAAAATCGAATGCCAAAAAGATATCCAAATTTTCTTTTTCTGCAAAAGTTACTATTCTCCATGCATACGTCTAGTGAATCGAGATAGAGGTCATCAGTTCACCACGAACACTCTAATGCTTCATTCAAAAGCTTTCAAAAGAAAAAAAGAAAAAAATACAGAAAGTAAACCAAAGAAGAATGCAGCACCAATCCCTGAATCTTGACATACGTCGTGAAGCAAACGGTAGAACCCGGTCAGAGACTTAAAGCTTTATAAGTCAATGTTTAGTATAATTTAATTCTCCACAACATCATTTGATGAAGAAGAAGAATCTGGCTCCCATGTAGGTTCACCAGGAAGACGTGGAACTCGTTTGTTCTCATAATCTCCACTTTCCTGTTGCATCTTGTCCAACATGATCCTCTGCATTCATTAGTTAATAAACTTTTTCCAACAATACAAAGTATAGCGGGAAAGAGAAACCCCCCATAGACTTAACGTACATAATATTCTTCATTTACATTGACTTTTCTTCTCCTCTTGTTGAGGTCGAGTTGCTCTTCTTTTGTAAGTGTTTTTACTTGTTCATCTCTTCTTGTAAATTTGATTTGAGCAATTGGAATAGCAAATATCCATACCAATAAAATGGATCCCATGAAAGGTGCGCCGACCCAAACCAGTGGGTTTCGTTTGGATTTATTACGATACCAAAGTTTCCACTCAAAAAAACTAGCCATGGTTTCTTGTAACTACGCAAAGTATCAAATACAGACCTGTAATCACACCGAACCAGATGCGACTTGACCGTTTCTATATTTCGAGTGCTTTTATATTGGGGAGGGGGGAGTTGAGATGAGTGATCCAAAAAAACCAAAATAGTCTAAGTTTACGCCGCTTTTTCGTCAAATGTTTTTCTTTGTGAGCTTTTCTTTTATTTAATTTCGTAGTTCTTTTCTTGAAAGACGTTTCGAACTTCACATATAATAAAGATGCATTCATACTTCATTTGACTCAACCTGACTTTCAAAGTAGGACGCTGAAACCAGTAACTGAAATGGAAAAAACAAAGTTCCAAACAATGAGTCCTGTCTTCGTTTCCTTCTGATTTGCTTCCTCTCATCCTAGCCAAACAAACAATTCATATGTCCTTTCGCAGTCCATTGAAAAGCTACCTTCTTCCTCGTTCCTTTCTATATATCTGAATGAATCGCGTATGCTTCTCTATGCTGTTAGGCGCTTGCATCAGAACACTAAAAGGTCTGATGTAGGATTTACTCGTATTTCAGCGTTTTTTCTCAGAGATCGAGACCTACATCTTTATTATGGTAGTTACCTGTTAATTTTGCATGAAATAACATTAAAACCTTCGCTACATGTCTATTGTAAAAGCAATTTCTTGTATATTTACATTGAATGTTACCTAGAGAAATGTTACTTGGTTTTGCCTGACTGAAAGCCAAGAGCAGCCATTTGAACTTGGAATCAACCAAATGTCAGCACCAAAAGCGTCTTTGGTAAAGCTTGTTGTTCCTGCTGGAAAGGCAGCTCCTACTCCGCCAATTGGTCCTGCTTTGGGTGCTCGTGGTGTCAAAAGTATCGACTTTTGTAAGGAATTTAATGCTCGTACTGTAGGATACGTCCCTACCGTTCCTATACCTTGTCGTGTCACTGTAACTCCTCAAAGGACATTTTCATTCACTATTCATACCCCTCCTACTAGTTGGCTTATATGCAAAACTTTAGACATCGAAAAAGGATCCAGTTCACCTAAACACGATATTAAAGGGCAACTTAGCTTGAAACACGTTTATGAAATTGCAAAATTAAAAAGCACAGATCCTACGTTGAAAGGGACAGACTTAAAATCGCTATGTAAAAGTGTCATCGGGACGGCCAAAAGTATGGGAGTTCAGGTTGTTCTGTAAACGCTTTCACCTGAGCCTTACCCACACCTTCTTCTAAATGATAATTTGTATTTGGTACCCTTTTTTCCCCTCTCCCCTCTTGTATAATTCACTGATTTCCGATCTGCTCTTCACACCCATTTTGGTTCAGAAATGTAATATAAAGTTTAGATGAATAATAATTATAGCAAACGTTTTTCGAGTCTGCCTTTATTTAATCCTTCCTATTCAAGTAGTTCTTAGTTTACGATATCTCTTTATTTCGTGGTACTAAAAACCTTTGAGTCGTTTACATAGATCTATATGCAAACATCATAATATATACTTCAAAAATGTAAGACCTACTTTTGCCAGCTAAGGGAACTTTCCTTTTATTTATCATATTATGACAATCGCAACTAAAATGAAAGAGACTTAAAAATTTCATCGATAAAACCATCTATTTCTCATGATTACTTCAAAGGAAGACCAAGTTGCGTTTTGACATCTACAACGGCATCTTTATCACCAGTGTTTTTCATGATATCGTCACTGATTTTGACAGCTTTAGCTCCGTTGGCAGAGTGTAGTTTAATTACAATATTCATAGCCTTGCTCTTTTGGTCTGGCTTTGATACGTGGTTAAAATCGCTGGTAAAATTGGTACCAATTCCAAAGGAAGACTTGATACCAAGCTTCTTGCCATAATTATGCAAGGAAATGCAACGGTCAACGTTCAAAGCATCACTGTGAACAATCATTTTCGTAGAAGGATCAATGCCGAGTGATTGGTAGTGATTAACGATTTTTTCAATGTATTCTTCAGCGACACCACTATCCTGTCGGACACCGTGGAAAACACAAGCTAAATCATCAGGAGTATTTGCGGTGAAGTTACGTAAAAACACATCGGTGGAGAAGGTATCGGTGAGAGCGATCAAGAGGCTCTTACCAAATGTTTGTACCCACTTTTCTGAAGCGATTCGATTGGCATCAGCATAGTTTTTAGTTATAGCTGCAACACCCATATACCACTCGTGAGCGACGGTACCAGACACTTCTAGGTCATATTTTTGAGCAAAGTGCACATTCGAAGTTCCAAGGAACCGACCGGGTCCTTCAACATCTTGTTGAGCCTTAATTAGTCCTTGCAACATAACATCTTGGGCATGATGATCACGACGACGACGACTACCAAAATCTGTAAAGTAACAGCCAGCATTTATGAGGCGCTTTCCTTTCTCGTAAGCTTTTTCAAACTGTCCTTCAGAAGACCAGTCTTTATCGACAAACTTAAAGTAGGCCTCCGAAACAAGAGCAAGCAATGGAATTTCGTAAAATATAGTGTCTTTCCAAAGTCCTTTAATCGTAATAGCGAGGTCCTTGGTGTCCCTATCATACTCAAGGGAAACAACATTTTTTGGTTCAAATGCATAGGAATGCATAAATTCATAGAAAGAATCCTTTAAATACGGGCATCGCTGACGAAGCCAAGCCTCTTCTTCTGGAAGTAACCTAAGATTTTTCAAGTTATAGATTCCGTTCTTCAACCAAGCAACTGCTTCCTCGTTTAATGCCATCTCAGGAGAACGATTTGTATATACATAGGAAACCTCAGCTGTTGGGTAGTGTTCCAAAACAGCTTGTAGCATTGTCAGTTTATATAGATCAGTGTCTAAAATAGAAGTAACCGCTTGTGTAGTCATTTTTAGAAAATGATTTCAATGAGTTTTGACGGGGAGTCAAGAACGTTTATAAAGAAGTAATTTACTATTATTGTTAGTACTTAAGAAAGCGTTGAACTTCATATCAAGTTACCAGTTAAAGAGTATGCAAGCAAAAGAAAAGTTAATATTCAAAATCACAATTAGCGGAAAGTGGCTTGCAATATGCCGTACAATGAATCAATCGTCTGGAAGTATAGTTACTGTCAGAGGATATTAAACTGCTCAAATCCTATTCAGCAATAGAGCAAAATTCACTTTTTACTCAAGGTCCTCAAATGAGATTATAAATCTTTTCTTGTTCTCGATGAAACACACTGAAAAGATGCTGTTCTAAGCTAGGATCATCTGTCAGAATATACTTCAAAATAGTTTTAATATTTTATCTCAAGGCATTTGAATAGGCTCGTCACCGCAGGATACAAAATTTCTTGTCACTTTCATTTTGATGAAACCATATGCACTAAAATTTCGAGATCTACGAGACCCTTTTTGAAAATACTTACATTATTCACCAATCCTTCCGTTACAACGAAAATTGTAAACAAATACAATCCAAACGTATATTGATGTCTGTAAGTACAGTTTCATATTTCGCCGGCAGCACGTTGACAAGTAACAAATCTAATTCTGTACTTTACTCTCACCCCCAATAAAAACGAAGTTCAATCCACAAAGAGTGTACTATATAAGAAAAAGAAGGAGATTCTATTAAAGTTAAAAAAAGTATATTTAATTATTAAAATCAATAAATTTTATGCATATTAAACAAAGGAACGGTAGTTCGCTTTACTATATAAATATGTTTATGGAATCCAATTTAACTAGCACCATAGCAGTGGAATTAAATCGCATATAGATAACAAAATAAATCCTTAACATTGTAGAGTAAGAACAGTGTCTCAGCGTGTGGACTCTGCCGTTGCAAGACCCATCTCAGATAAAGTTTCTTCTTCTAGTTTAACCTCTGATATATCTTCAGACTTGTTTCCGATACCTCACCAAAATAAGTAAAGTACTTCTCTTCCTGCCCATGCATATACCACTTTTATATGCCCAAACCTCATACTCTGATTTAGAATTGGAGACCCACTCTGTTGGCAGCTAATTTGGCTTTGTCTAACTCGCTCATTCCAACCAATGGATGATATTGTTGAAATAATAGTTCGTGCTTATTTCCAGAGCTAAGCAAGGAAAGCAACTCTTTGGACTTATTCAGGTCACTGGCAGAACCATTACGAAACCACATTTTTAGTGATTCAATCGCCGTTTTTTGAGCAGGACTAATATCTTTTAAAGACCTATAAATGGTATTCTTTTTATTTTGTTAGTATGTCTTCAGAAACTCTTCTGTTCCTACCATTTGGCGCAATTCTCGAAGAATGCTTCTAAAAACCGTAGTAGCTTGCTTCATATGAGTTGCTAAAATTTTTATTTGATTTAAAATATGATTAACTTGTTAATCAACCAAGCGGTCTGTTTTATAAAGTTTTTCCACGATAATGGCTAACGTTTAGGTGGATCATGACGGTCGTAATATAATGGATCTTGAGCGTAGTGTTCAAAAGACTGGACTGTACTTCATATCTTCAAATTTCAACGATATAAACGTTTTCTACAATTTGTTACTGTTACATACATAAAAATTAGTATACGGAAACAACCATTGAAAGAGAGCTATACTATTTACAGAAACGTTTCATCTATATAAAAATATTTATCTAAATCAAAAATAAACTCACATAAATTGTCAAGGAAGGCGATTTAAAATTGAACGGAAACGTACTGCAAATTCTGAAGACTGTTGGTGGTCGTTAGAGGCAAACTAAACGCAACATCATCTAATGACTGGCTTAAGCATAGCTTGTTCACATAACGCGTCATCTTATATAAAGAGGCCTTTTGATGAATTGATTGTGATTCGGCCTCTTTCAGTGCAATAGTAATTCTTTGTAGAATAAATTTTAACATTTCGACATCACTTTCATACTTCCCTTCCACCAAATCAAGGTAGTCAGAGTACAGTTGTCCGCCGAATTTCCAACCCACTATTCCTTCCATTCGCTCATGGAATCCTCCTAACAAGCACTTTAATTCTTCTAAGTTATTACTGATAACGGCTTGAGGAGCGATGCTTCGGATCAAACAGGTATGAGCTTCTTGAAATAAATTTGCATCTTGTAGGAATGTTACTTCTTTTGCATGCTGTCCTTTATAACGAGCACTTAACGCCTTTGCTTCATGAATCCAGTTGTTTGGAATGAGTAACTCTTTTACCAATTTTTCATCATCATCAGTTGAATCCATTGTGACATTACGAGCAAGACAACTTTTAACACTGGATATACGTGTCTCAACATTTTCCACATGAAGAAGCACAAATAAAGCCCATTGCCAATAACCCATACTTTCAAGCTGACAGGCGAGCGAAAGTGTTAAATTATCTGCTCTTACGCTCTGAGGTTTGAAGTGCATACCGCCTTCATCTATTACCTCATCCATGGCGTCTCTGTCCGAAAAATCACAGATATTTCGAGCTCTCGACAGAAATATTGCCAACTGCCAAACTACGCGATAGTCTAGTGGATGGCTTTTCGCGCTTTCCGGGAGTGTTAATTCTTCAAGGGATGCTCCGACTGCATACGCCTTCAATAACACAAACATTAAATCGCAAACTTCTCCGTTAGACTCAGTAGACACTGTAGGTCTTCGTAATTCTTTTTCGTACATTTTTAAGGACTCCATGTATAACGAAACAGCTTCAGCAATATTGATATCAGTGTTATACCATAACTTCATACCAAAAGCACATAACCAACTTAATTCTTGAGAGATAAACACCGAAGGAACATAACCCTCTTCTCCAGATCTTCCATAACCTTCAGCTAAATCAGTGTTACCAGAGAGTAGTTCAAAAATAAGACGGGTATACTTGTTGATATAAGCAAGATCTCCACGTTCTCGCCACTGATTCAACTGTTGTTTAACTTCAGCTTGGATATCAAAATCGCTATCGACTAGCGGTATCAAAGTCGACAAACGGTTGTTTTCCGAGTTAACAGCTTCTTCACAAGCAAGGCTAATCTGATTACCTGTCAATAATATAAATATTTTTTCTTCAGAGCATGAGGCCTTTTGAGCCCTTGCTAACGTCTCTTCTTTGACGTTCTTTGTAATCCACTCGGACAAACGATCCCGAACAATTTTCTCAGAAAGCATTTCTCGAGCTTCGAGAGACAAAGAAGTTGGAACCTCAACGTCAGTAATGTCAAATAAAACTGACGCTAACTCCCAAATTTTGACATGATCAACGTTTTTTGTAAATGCTACTAAATCGCCGACAACCATTGATAAACGCGGTGATATAGAACATACACCATTAACATCAACATATACCTCGCTTTTAGAGAGCTGATACTCAAGTGACTTTACGAAATTTTCGTCTCTTGGGCTAGTAAAACTAAAAATATTTTCCACTGAGTCCATTTTAAGATGTCCATTGATTATTTGTACGTATGATCCATTCGGATAAAATGTAAACTTTGGAATACTTTTAATATTGTTGTCCAAACTCGATGAATGATCTTTAGCAGTTATGCTGCCACCGAACAAATCTTTTTCCATGTCATAATAGTCATAAACATAGCTTCCAGGACTTTCCTTATTGCCCTGGGGTAACGAAAAAGCGTTTGCCATTTTAGACTTTATTAGTACAGATCTCTGTAACCCTAAGTTCAGATGCTCCAGCCAAGTACTCGCATTAATTAGATTGTTCATCGACTCCGTTGAACCTTGCACGTCTGAACTTCGTACCTGATCAGATTCTTCCTTCAACATGTTTTCATTTTCAAAGTCATTTAAGTCGTCAGAATTATCACTCACGTTCGATAACAAATCACTGGTTTCTCCTTCTTTGTCTACCATATTGTCGTTTGAAGACAGCGGGAATGTGGTTCCAACTTCTTCCACTCGCACTTTTGCCTTTTTTGATGTGTTATCATCAGAGCTTTCACTCTGATCATTGAATTTGCGGAAAGAATTCAGTTGATTATTGGGAGGAAAAGAGCCTGGTGTATTGTGAGTAAGTTGTGTCTTGTTAGATTGCGAGCCTTGATAACTCGACTTCTCATACATTTCTGAATTACCTAAATCACTTTTCGATGAAACTTCATTGTTGGCGGGCTCATCCTCCAAATCTTCATCGTTTTCAGAATCTTCATCGAATAATCCGTACTTAGAAAAGTGTTGAACTTTAAAGGTCCATTTGCCGTCATTAAAATCAATAAACTCTGTTTCCTTAATGTTCTGAAGACGCCTCAAATGCTGAGCATATCTGGGATGATTAGCATTTTTGATAGGTTCCCTTGTTTCTCGGGATACAGGCCATGCATTTTCAAGAGTAATAATGGCAGGAACATTCAAACCTTCTCCGACTGGAGGACTAGACCCTTCCTCAGGATAGACAGAGCATATCTTCTTCTCAAAGAGGACAACATTGACAGGAATATCTTCAATCTTTTCGAACTTTGTTAAATCGACAGGCTTCAAAAAGGAAACTTGACCATAACCAGCACGCCCTACACAGAATTGGTGTACAGAACTTAATTTGTCTTTAGGATACTTGACTAACTCCTCAACACTTGGTTTCATCCAGTAACCATCGGGTAAGGTAAAGCTTCGATCACCTTCATCCTTCGTTGTCTCTTGTCCCACAGCACCATCTGTTTTTGTCACTTGATCAGAAGATTGAGATGTACTTTTATCCTGAAGAATTTCATCTCGAGAGACTTTTGGAGTTATAACCAATTTTTTAATATTCTGTCTAGGGGTGAAAGCATCCTTGCTTAATAATACATCGTCATTCAGTGAATCAAACAAATGCAAAGATTTTGGCTTGCTGGGAGCTGTTGCCGAATTCATTACAGCAGACTTTGCAAAAGGAGAGATGGTAGCAACAGTGGAACGATTACTAGATCTAGGGGACAGCCAAAATTGAGGTAATGATGCCGCTTTCTTTGGAGCAGGTTGCGTTGTTAAAGGAGAAGCAATAGGCTCTTGTATTGAAGTTGGTGCAGTTTGGGATACGGTACTAGAAAACAACGGATTACTACCATATGGATTTTGATCAATGCTTGCTTGAAGAGGTTGTTGTGATTGCTGCCCAATTTGAGAAGTACCACCAAACAAGCCAGATCCCAAACCAGCTGGCTGAGTTTGATTATTCATGTTTGAGGAACCAAACAGCCCGGAAGAACCTGTAGCGGAGGGTTGTTGCAAAGTATTATTGGAACCAAACAGTCCAGTCCCTGTCGATGGTTTACTAAACAAACCAGTACCTGGTGCAGTAGAAGTGTTCGTACCAGATCCTAATAAACCACCTCCCGTGCTAGGAGGGTTATTTAGAGTTGAATTATTTCCAAAAAGACCGGAACCACCCGTGTTAGTATTGGTGTTACCAAACAATCCCCCACCAGTAGAGCCCGTATTACCAAATAAACCTCCCGTAGAACCTGTGTTAGGGGCGGTATTATTGGTAGCCGTCGAAGGAGTACTAGCGGCACCAAACCCACCAAATAAACCGCCGCCAGCAGGTTTAGCAGGCGGGGCAGTGGAAGTGGCCCCAAAAGCTGGCTTAGGAGTTGTGCTAGATGGCTGACCAAAAGAAAAGCCGGATGATGCTGGAGCAGTGGTACCAGTACCTGAACCAGTGTTAGAACCAAATCCAAAACCTGATGGTTTAGAAGCAGCATTATTGGCACCAAAAGAGAAACCGCTACCGGAACCAAGGCTTGAGCTTCCAGGAGCACTAGTATTTGTCCCAGAAGCGGCATTATTACCAAATCCGAACAAACCGCCTCCGGTTGGATTGGATGCAGGTGGATTAGCTGGAGCAGAACTACCAAATCCCGTATTGGCGTTACCCGTTCCAAAACCACCTCCAGTGTTACCAAATAATCCACCGCCCGTGCCTGTACCAGCGGTATTGGTAGAAGGATTGGAGGCCGAAGAGCCGAATAAACCACCAGCACCGGCACCGCCAGTACTTGTATTAGCGCCAAATCCAAAAGCTGGCTTTTGTTGACCAAAAGTCGATCCGCCGCCGGCACCGCCAAATAATCCACTCGAAGGAGTAGTTGCTGCTTGATTTGATTGACCAAACAAGCCACCACCTCCAGTGTTCGTTGCATTCGCGCCGAATCCAGACGTAGTACTCGGGTTGCTAGCACCAAACGCAGATCCGCCACCAAAAAGACCTCCACCAGTATTAGCATTCGTATTAGAAGATCCAAAAGGAGTGATAGAATTTGAAGTAGGAGTGGCAGTCTGACCGAAGCCTGTGGTGGAACTACCAAATCCGGGAGTAGACCCAAAAGTTGATGGAGTGGAAGTTGCATTTGTAGGGTTTCCAAATCGACGACCTTGATTATAATCTTGTAAGCGTAACTCTTCAAAAGAATACTGCCTATACGCCGGCATACACGTTATGGACTGAAAAGCACTTGTACCATTAGTTTGTGCGTCCTTTTCAGATGTTACCGCGTAAGGAGGATTAGCCGTACCATTGATCGTATTCGTGCTTCCTGCCCCAAATCCCGAAGAACCAAAAGCAGGAGCTTGACCAGTCGATGCTGAGCCAAACAAACCACCGCCGCTAGAAGGCTGAGTACCAAATCCTGTTCCCCCAGAGGGATTGTTTTGTGATCCGAAGAAACCACCTGTAGAGCCAGTGTTCGCTGGCGTGCTGCCAAATCCACCAGTAGTTCCTGTATTGTTGGAGCCAAATGAAAACGCACTTCCTGTGGAAGGAGCAGAAGCACCGCTTGCATTACCGAAAAGGCCACCACCGCTTGATGTATTTGTACCGCCAAAAGCAGGAGCACTTGATTGACCAAATAAACCGCCTCCGGTTCCCGAATTCATTCCAAACCCAGTACCTGTTGAAGCAGGTGCAGGGTTGCGATTACCGAATAAGCCACTTCCTGTATTCGATCCGAAAAGAGGTTGCGTGGTGCTCTGTCCAAAACCACCTGCATTATTGTTTTGGGAACCGAATAAACTATTCCCTGTGTTATTAGTATTGGACCCAAACAGACCTCCTGTTTGCTGATTATTTTGTCCAAAACCCCCAGTTCCTCCTCCGAAACCAGAAGAATTATTTTGCCCAAACATTATAAGGACTAAATGTTTTGTATTTTGTTGGTGTTAGTCACCTGGGATGATATGTGTGGAGGACAACTTGAGACTCCACCCACGTTACCCTATACTACCACTGAAAATAGGTGCTACTAAGCAATATTTTAAACCGATACTACTCTTTGCTCCGATCTAGGAAATTCCATAATTAAATATATTTTATAAATATTTTTCAATTTTGTAGGGTTTGTTTGAGCTCGTTGTCGCGAAAGCTCTTTCTTTAGCAGAATTGGTAACAGGAGCTTCATCTAAGAAGTTACCATACCTGACAATCTTCTACATTATTAGTTTGAAAAAGTTTTTTGCACATTATGTCTTCAGGTGAACATGAAGATGATGTTCAATTCGTTCACGAACGCTTCGGCGTGTCTCCTGAAGACCTAAAGCATTTAGCTAAAGTGCCAAGTTTTTCGGTACTAGTTATTGCATTACGTTCAAAGGTACGCGACATGAATTCACTGAAGGAACAGATGGTTTTACAAGAGGTGAATTCCGAGCATAAACAGAACGTGACAAATCGAAGAGTGCTGCACCTTGAAGAACAGCTTAGTTCACGGAATGAAACAGTCAAGCAATTTCAGGAGAAAACCGAAGAACTCCAAAAGGATGTGGATGCTTTGAGAGAAGCGAATTCTCTAATTCAGTCTCAGGTTAACAAACAATCTGAAGAGAAGAATTCATTAGTTATAGAAAAACAAGAAATGAATTCCAGAATTGCCGACATGGAAAGGAAACTTGTTGAGTCCCAGAATCTCCTTAGGACGCTTCACGAAGAAAAGCAAAAAGGCGAGGATTCAGTCCGAAACTTGCAGCAACAGATGCGAGAAATGGAAGAGAATCAGCGAAATTTTACGTTGAATCAAAGTAGCAAAACTCTGAAAGAAGAACTGTACTTACAAGAAAAAAATGCTTTGGTTTCGGATATAAAATTGCTTCAAGACGAAACTAGAAACATGTCCGAAGAACTCAAATCTTCAAGAGAAAGCCAGAATATACTCCAGGAGCAAGTTACTTCACTTAAGGTTAGTAATTCTGAGTTACAGAAAAAGTACGCAAAAGTTGTTCATGAGAGTCAAACTAAATTGAGGGATGAAGGATCAGGTACTTCTACTACAGCAATGGAAGTTGACAATCAGAATGACGTTTTTAATGATTTACAAAAGGAGCTTGAAGCTCAGCAACGTTTAACCACTTTATGGGAGTCTCAATGCTCAGAACTTAAATCACAACTAAATAAATCACTCAATTATCAGAGTACTTCCGAGGACTTAGACACATCTTCTAATGAGTCTTTAAAAGAACAGTTGGAAACAAGCAAGAATCAATTGAAAGTTGCTAACGAAACAATTAACAATTTACAATCCGAAGTTGATAAATGTGCTAGCGAACTGCAGGTTACAAAAGAGAGAAAAGAGGTATCCCCGACAGGTGTTGGTCTTTTTTCGTCAATTGCTCAGAAACTAAGTGCATCACAGAACCCTGAAATATCTTTCACGAAAGTGTATTCTGACAATATGCGGTTACAGCAAGCAGTTTTGAATTTGCAGCAACAACTTGATCGTGCTAACGATAAGATTTGTTGGTTTTTCTATCAAATTAAACAACGTGTTCCAATTTTTCAACAACAAAGGGAGGAGATTGCAAGAAATAACGTTTATATGATTGATATGAGTGAACAGTTGTCCACGTCAAAAGAAATTATTAATCATACCAAACAAGAATTTGAGGGTTTAAAGTTACAGCACGAAGAAACTCATTTAAGACTTATGGCTACTCAAGTTCAATGTCGAGATCTGACGCGGGAGGTTCAGTGTCTTCTCTTACAGTTAGATCACATGCAAGGAGCGGGTATTAGAGACTTACCCCAAAATATACAAGAAGCTTTGGATAAATATTCCAAACAGCCATCCGGGGATGAACTAACAATGTCTGTTGAAATTCCCAATTTTACGTCGGTACAAGATGCTTTAAGACAAGTCTTACAGCTTCGCGAAAACATACGAGCTCTTGAATGCAATTTGGAAATCCAAAAAAAAGCTTCTGAGTATCAACTTTCAATCAGGACCGAAGAATTGAATGATCAACATGAACATTCGACAAATGCACTACAAAATGAGCTGAAGTTGGCCAACACCAAAATGGAAAATTTTGTTCATGAGCGTAGTGTCCTTAAAGAAATGTTAAACATGTATAAAGAAAAGCTTGCTCAAAGCGTTTCCCAAAAGACTTCTACTGAAAACGGTCCTTCACAGGCAGTTGATGATATTGAAAAACAACTAGAGATGTATCGAAGCGAGATGGTTGCAGCTAATGAATCACTTTCTAAGAGGATTAATGATCTTATTAGCCAGCTTGAACAGACACGAAAAGAAGCGAACAAAGTGAAATATCGTGAACAATTAAGCTTACAACGACTAAATGTATCTAGACAGAACGTCGATTCTCTCAGAAAAGAAATGAACGAGCTGAAATCCCTTAATGGTTATCTTCAAGAGGTCCTCAATCGTCAAGATTCGAATGCCGGTAGAATATATGAAGAGCACATTCAACTCAAATCATTATGTTCAAGAATGAACAGCGAGATTGCAAATTTGACCAGTGAAAAGGAGGTTTTCGGTAAAATTCAGCAACGATTGACTTCAGAAAATGATAATTTGCTGGCTGAGCGAGAACGCTTGACAAATCTTGTTTCTAATTTGCAATCACTTCTCAACGAGCAACAAAGGATTTTTTCACTCAATAAAATTTCTTTTGAGACTAAAAATAAGGAATTGGAAGAAGCCATTAACACGTTGCAAGATTCTAATCAAAAATTAGAAAACTCTTTGCAATTAGCAAATGAGCTAACAAATGCGAAGGACATAGATATAGATTCTCTTCGGCAAAAACTCGACGAAGTTGAAGCTACGAAACAAGAGCACCTAAAAGTTAAGGACTCTCTTGAATTGGAAAATAGGGGATTACAGTCACGAATAAGCTCAGAAATTAATAAAGTAGAGGAACTCCAAAGAAAGCTGTCTCATCAACAGTCGATGTCGGCTTCCGAACGTGAAACTGAGCTGAGTTCAGTTGTGTTTGATTTGAAAACAGAAAATTCATCTTTGCAAACCAGTCTTAATGCATCAAACGACAACATAAAGCGTCTAGAGGAAGCTAGTCGCTTAGCTGAAGAAACTCTAGAGAAGCTTCAAAGGGAATACCAATCATTGCAGTTGTCTACTTCAAAACAATTAAAAGAAAATACTGAAAATATTAAAGCTTTAGAGAAGAGAAGCAATGAGCTTGAGGAAAAACTCATCAAAGCTCAACAACAACACCATAATGATAACGAGCAAAAGGATGGCAGGATTTCCGTACTGATAAAAGAAAATGAACAACTAACAACAGAAATTACAGATGCTCGTAACTTAGAGAAGAAACTACTTCAGAAACAAAGATCGCTACAACAAGAGGTTGTGAAATTATCTGAAGATTGCCGAAAAGCACATGATGCCTATGAAAAGGAGTTGCTCCGACATGCAAATGCGATGTCAAGTCTCCAAAAACTCAGGACTGAGTACGAGTCTGTACTTGAACGCACTAGTAATGTTTCTGAGCCTACTGAGTCTAATAATCGCATTGCAACTCGAGAGATTACAGATACACCAGACCTTGCCTCTACGGCTCCAAATGTGGTGGCTCTTAGAAAACAAAACGCCTTACTTCTTGCGCACATACAAACACCAACTGACCCTAACTCATCTACCTTAGACATTAAGTCGGAAAAACTAGGTTTCGTCATGAAGCTCTCATTATCAGATCTTCAAACTTACGTTAAGCAAATGTTTAATGAGGTTAGTATTCTCACTTGTCAAAAAGAGCTTACTTTGATTGAAAACAAAAGGTTGAAAAAGTTGGTCGAACAATCGAATCAAATTATTATAGAATTTCAGTCCACACAAGAAGTTTCAACAACTGAAATGAGTTCTGATGGGACACCCACTGACAATAATCTTCCTCAAATGGTGAAGTTATTGAACGATAGTAATAAATTCCTACGCAAGAAGGAAGAGGAACACAATGATATAATCAACAAATTACAAGAGAGAGTTAATTCTCTTGAGCGTGATTTGGAAGCTCAATTGAATCACTGTCGAGAGTTAGAAAATGAGGTATCGAGCGTGAAAGAAATTACGCGCCGGACTGAAGAAGATAACCAGAGACTCCAGCAACATAACCAGCAAATCCTTTATTCACTGAAGGAAAACAAAGTTTCAGACAGTTCGGCAGAGGCTTCGAAAGCTGATGAAAAACTGTTGGACGAGCTACGCCAGAATATTGAGAAGTTGACTACCGAACTTAATTCAACTAAGGAAACAATCGAAAAATTAGAATCAGAAAAAACAGATGCTTCAAATACGATCGAACAGTTGACTGCTAGAAGTAAAACAGTTGCCGCTGCATGGAGATCTAAGTATGACCAACTTGTTGCTAAAAGTTTGGAAAAGCACAATCAAGTTCGCCAACAACTTTCCCAAAAGACTTCGGAGCTTGAATCGAAAATTCAAGAAACTAATACACTCAGAGGAAAACTTCAAAAATATGAAGAAAATGGTGTCTCTGGAGATAATGATGGAGATCGTCAAAATCTCAAAGAGGTCAGTGATGATTCCCAGAGAGCTGAATATATATCGACCCAGCAAAGGCTCGTGGAAGCTACGGCTGAATTGGATGCTACTAAAAAGGAAGCTTTATCACTAAGGGAAAGAATTGGTCAGCTCGATAAAGAAAAGTCAACTCAATCCGCTGGTTGTGAAACGACAAAGGAAGAAGTAGAGAAGAAGAACCAAGCTTTAAAGCAGGCTGTCTTGAAGTTACGTTCTAGGATTACTCAAGAAGTGCAAAAGAATGACGCCATGAGTAAACAATTTAAAGCACTTGAAGTTCAACTGGAGAAGTTGCGTGAATCGTCTGAGTCGCAAACGCAAAACGCACATAATTCAGAAAGCTCAAAGACGTCTGACGAACAGAAATGGAACTCTCTATTAAAAGAGAAAGAAGATATGCTCTCTGGTACTTTCCAGATTGTTTTCGAAGAGCCCTTCGAGAAGATAGTTACATCCAGTTCTGACTTCCCCGATGCAGTCAAAAGGGAATGGAAAAAACGCCAAGAAGGACTTCTTAAAAAGATTCAAGAGGAAACCAAACAAAGCCATGAACGACAAATTAGCAACCTTAGAACCGAGTTAGAAATGAGAAGCAAGTTAAAACTTAGTATGCTTGAAAAGAATTTAGCAAAAGTTCGAGCACAGTTACAAGAGAGTAATGCCCAAGACAAGGATCCCTCAGTTAAAGCAACACAGTCGAAAGATGATGAGAAGTCTAGTACGATAACGCCTAAAACTAATGAGTCTACGAAGGAATCAAACGATGATCAGGCGAATGCTTCCTTGAAACGCCCTCGATCTGGTGGTGAAAATGAGGTTTCTTCTTCAGCAATTAAGAAATCAAAATGAGGAATTGTATTATACCAAGACGCATCCTAAAGCTTATATATACGATCATTTTTTGTGGGTTTGTTTTGTTAATGTAATTAAAAAGATGAAATATATTGTTTGGTTTAAAATGCTTGATATATAACTACGTAAGCTTATTATATGAATAAGTCAAATAGTTCTACATAATAAATGGACGTTAAGTTCAAATTGATAGTCAGCGTTTAATTTTCATGTTGCAATTTTGCCAAAACTTTTTATTTGTTAATGAAGTATCTAACTATACACAACCTGGTTTAAGGAGCTTTAGCGAATTTAAGATTCTGTAATTTCAACCTTATACTCTTAATGATTTCTGTCTGCGAGCAATAAATTGCAAGCGATATGCTAAATGATTTCGTAGTATGAGCGACTATTCATCAGAAGATTTTGAAGAGGATTTTGATTTAGAGACACGGCGATCTGGACTAGGAAAAAAGTGGGAACGCGATGGACGCACTCGACAAAAGGAACGCGCCATGCTGGGCGTTTTCGGAAGCGATGAGGAAGAAGAAGGTGGATACTACAATCCAGAATTAAAAAAATTCCGAGTTCCTCCAAAAAATATACAGTTTGTTGGGAAAAACGAGCGGTTGAAGTCAAAGCAAACAGTAACCTCTAGTGATATACTTGAGGGTACTCATGATGCTCCCAAGAAGAAAAAAGAAGAGGGTGGTGAGATGCCTAAAATGAAATTTAATACTACAGGATTCGGTGCAAAAATGCTGGAGAAAATGGGTTACAAGAAGGGACAAGGTTTAGGAGCGAATGCCGAAGGTATAGCATCCCCGGTAGAATCCAAATTGCGCCCAGAAAGGGTAGGCTTGGGAGCAGTTCGTGAACGAACCGAAAAAGAAAGGCGTGAAGCAGTACTTCGTGGAGAAATTTCAGACAGCGAAGATGAAGAAATTCGTCAGAAACGAGAAAGAGAAAGTAAGAAAAAGAAGAGATCTAAAGAAAACCTTATATCGTCTTCTGAATTATCAAAATCCTTAGGGGACTTTTCTATTCCACCTGTCCTTGCAAGTATTTTGGATGCCGGCATCAGCGAAACGAAAAGAATTGAACTAACATCATCCGTTTCGAAATCAGGAGCTGAAGCGAATGACAAAGCTTTAACCGATTCGATAGACCAACTTTCTGGTCTAGCGCATCTGGAATCAAAAAACCATGTTACGAACTGGCAGCAGCTACAAGCCCGAAAAGCTTACATCAAGATGGAAAAAGAACGAATTTCAAATGAATATGATAAAAAAAATATGGAAATCAGTCGTTTAGGAAAGTTACTTGAAAAAGTAGACGAGATTCATAATAATATAGCAAATATGGCTGTGGAAAATGTGAATGAATCCGTGGACGAATTAGAAAAAGCCATACAGCCTTTAACATATTTGATTGAGACACTTCCTGCTGAATTTTCTGAACCTAATATGCACTATGAACTCGATTCTGTTGCCGTAAGTATATTGATGGCGGTGGTATCTGAACCGTTTAAGAATTGGGACGTATTCAGACATCCTTACTTTTTACTGGAGCATTTCTTGACTTGGAGAAAGTCTCTTCAGTCCAATGATTTTCGTCCAAAGACAGATCGGCCTGATGCGTTTATGGATATGGAGTTAGAAACTGAAGAAGACCAGTCAGGCCAGACAAATTTCACTCACTACGAATCTCTAATGATGGCGCTATGGGAAACAAGGGTATCTAAAGTTTTACGGGATGATTGGAATAGCCGCGATACGTCTAAAGCATTACATTTACTAGAAGCATGGGACGTGGTTGTCCCATCTAAGGTGAAGGAAACACTAGTTAAGGATACTATCCTCCCAAAACTAAAGGAAGAAGTTAGCATATGGAAACCATCAATGCGATCAAGAAAAAGATCAACCGATTCTTTGCATCACTGGATATTTCCATGGTTACCGTATTTGGGGAATTTTTCTAATGAACTCTTGTCCCTAGTCTTGTCACGTCTATCTAGGATCCTGTCGGAATGGGACATTGGGTTTGGACCATTGGATGATTTTAGCGCTTGGCGATTTGCATTTACGGATGATATGTTAGATCGTGTATTGGAAAAGACAATCCTGCCTAAATTAGAAAAGTTTTTGCAGGAAAAATTAGTAATAGATCCTTCAAATCAAGATATGAACGTGATTTTAACTGTGCTTGCATGGAAAGATGCCTTCCGTGCTACTGTTTTTGGAAAACTACTGATAGATTACTTTTTTCCAAAATGGTTAATGATTTTATATGAATGGCTCACTCTTTCACCAAACTTTGAAGAAGCTAGTGAATGGTACAGATGGTGGAAGTCGTTTTTTCCAGAAGACGTGTCTACGAATGTTTACGTACAACAGGGATTTTCCAAAGGTTTAGATATGATGAATGAATCCTTAGAAAACAAAACCATTACTCCACCAACCTCTTATGCGAGCGCGCAGATTCAACATAGGTTGGACGCCCATGAAAAGAAGTTGGGTGCGCAGAAGCTGGCGAATCAACTACGAGATCAAAGTATTCGTCAAGCTCCAGAAACTATAAGTTTCCGAGAAATTGTTGAGGACTTTTGTGCTGATCAGGGGTTCCTGTTGGTGCCTCTACGAAAGTCGCATCCGCTTAGTGGGAATGCTCTTTTTAGAATATCCGCCCAAGCTACGAGGTCTCGAGGAATTACAGTTTATTTGAAAAATGATATTATTTGGATGAAACCTCCGGGTGCTACGGAGGACGCTGTATTTCAGCCTATCGGATTTGAAGAAATCCCTACCATTTTGAATGCACGTCCCTCTTGATGAGCCTGGTTTATATGAGACTATGATTTTGGTAATGCATTTTTTTCTACGTTCCTTTGAAGTATATATATTATTGTTACTGTTACTGTTACTGTTACTGTCATTTATTTATTGTATACGTAGAAACTTCATGACTTTACTGACGAAGCTCAAGTATCAACTTCTCCTGTAAAGCTTCAAGACTTCAATTCAGTCTTCTTTCTTGATGGTAAGATAGCGAAGTACAAGGTATTTCGTTATTGTATGCTAAGTCCGTTAGTGTTGGCCATCATCAGCTTGAGAAAGCAAAGGTAATTTCAAAGCCATCATGTCAAGTAGTAATATAGGTAAGTAAAAATAGCAGAATGATTTAGAATCTGAAGGTGCTTTAAGTTGATGGGATGTTGTCCCATCGTCCCCAAAAGAAGAACTAACAGGTGTTCTGTATACAGTTCCTGCGAATATGGAGATTACGAAATTCCTGTTAATAGGAATTACTACAGCTGCAGTTGTATCAGGAGTTTTTGGATTGAAATCCTATTTTCATATAAATTACGCTTTGCATTTGGCATCTCACTATCAGGTATTTACTTTGCAATGTAGACAAGCTGTGGCTGTCGTGGATAGCATGCGAGATTCCTTGATTACATATTCTAATGAATTTTTAGTATTGGAGATTGTTAATATGGCAATTGGTCTATTGGAATTCAACAGAAGTTCTTCAGGCACTTTTTATATTGTACCAAGCTCGAGACGTGGAGCGGTTGTTAGGATCTCATAAATATGCTTCGTTTTGTACCTATTCTTTTGTAGTTGGTACTCTTATAACTCCTCTATTCTGCTTTCCTATAGCCCACTTCTGCCGTAGCTTTGAATACGTTCACCCTGGGCCTACCTTCATTGTCTTTGCTATTCTTTATCAATATTTCTACGTCGTTCCATCAACTGTCTATGTTCGAATTTCTGAAATTTTAATCACTGATAAAGTTCAAATGTTATTTCCCCTACTAGGACTAGCTTTATCCAATCCGCCTAGTACCTTTTTCAATGCCCTCTTTGGATGGACATTTGGGATGCTATACTGCCATGGTTTATTCCCTTATACGTCTTGGCGTTTACCAGCTCGCTTTGTTCCTGCTGCTTCATTAACTCGCCAGATATATATTCGTCCACCTCATACCGATTCCCAAGCATCCTTAGATTTTGATCCCTCTGCCTTGTTTCCCGCATTTGCTGCTAATTTCAATACAAACCCTCGCACGGACACTAACCCAGACAACGTCAATGGTCGTGCAATCACTCCCAATCTTCAAAGAGATACTACCCCTCATTCTGATGCTGAAGCTTCAGGCTTCGCATCTGGCATACCAAGAAACCCTTCTTTTAGAAGCCGGCCAGCGACGACGCGTCAGCCCTCCGCATCAGTTTTGCCAACTGGTCCTGCATCTCAATTGTATGATATGATTAGTGGTCGGTCCGAACGTCCTGAATTGGCTGGTGTAAGAGAAGAAGACGTTGAAACTGTTCAAACTATTATGCAAACCACGAGAGCGCAAGCCGTCCAGGCCTTGTCCCAAACTAATGATGTTCAACGAGCTGTCGAGCTTCTTTTAGAGCAGTAATTTTTCGAACCTTAGAATTCATTTTCATCTTTTTGTTTCTGATGTCTTCGTCCACTCGTTATTTTCCATCAGGAATAATTATTAAACAACCTTTTTCGGATAAAGGATCAAATAAAACTGCCTTTAATTAATTTCACTTTTGATGCATTGAGTTGGACATTTGTTATAACTTCCAAATTGCTGGAAATATCTTAATGAATACTTTGATAACGTTGTCGTATATTGATAACTCTTACTAAAATAATATTAGGTAAAGAATTTTTTACGTTAACAAAAAAAAAAAAAAACCTTTCTCTGAAATTAGTATCAAATACAAAAGATTGCTCACGCAAACACATCTTGTTTTTCTACAATTCAGATTTCAAACTGTAATAGAATATTATTCGGAATTCTTAAAGCTGGACGTTACATTGTTGACGTTATAAGATTTTTTTTTCATTTTCTTCTACTTCGTGAGAAAAACAGTGGGGGTTGTTGATTTAAATCATCGAGTTTGTATGAACCCAGTGATGCTTGCTGAAGTTTGAGTGCGTTGAATGAGAATGACATTCTTACACAAGTAAACATTCACATCAACCAAAAATGAGGGTAAGCTTAGTTGGACTCGTAACGGAGTTGGGCTTCCTTCCAGTTCATAACGGACCAGAAAGCCTTGAAGTATTCGGCCTTGCGGTTTTCATATTGGGGATAGTAAGCGTGTTCCCAAGCATCGATACCAATAATAACCTTGGCGTTGATGACGGTGTCTTGGTTGGCGGTGCTAGTGATGTGGAGACTGCCCTCCTTGTCCTTGACCAACCAGGCCCATCCGCTGCCTTGAATGGCGGCAAGAGCACCGTTCATTTCCTTTTGGAAGTTTTCAAGAGATCCCCACTTAGCGACGATACTCTTGTGCAAAGAACCATCGGTAACGGGCTTACCACCTCCTTCACTCACAGGAGCCATAATAGACCAGAACTGGGTGTGGTTAATGTGACCACCACCATTGAACTTGATAGCAGCTTGAAGAGCGACTTCGGATTTCAAGTCGAGGTTGGGCTGGCTCAATTTGTCTTGAGCAGCATTCAAGTTGGTTACATAAGTGTTGTGATGCTTGTCATGGTGTAATTTCATGATAGTTTCAGAAATGGCAGGTTCAAGGGCCTAAAAAAAGAAAACTAGTTAGTAACGTACATACAATATTGATTTACATACATTGTAAGCATAAGGCAAAGGGGGGAGAGCAGCCTTGCCGTGGAGTTGTCTAACACCAGAAGCGGTGAGGTTACGAGCTAAAAGAGAAGCGTTCTTGGAAGCAAAGCGCAACATTGTGATGAAATGAAAATGTAGGCACAAAAAAGAAAAAGAAGCTGATTAAAAATCAAGCACTAAAATATGATCAAATAAAGAGATTTACAAAGATTTAGCAACTGTATTTGCAAAATAATAAGCAAAATCTACTTGCAAACAACAGTTAGTTTCAACAACTAGTTGGTAGTGGTTAAGTTCAAAATGATCCGGTCAGATCAATCTTTATCGTCATAAGTTGGTATTCATGAGACGATGCCGCTAGAATACAGCGAATATGCAAAGAGACGTCAATAGAAAAACTTGATTCATATTTTTTTGATGTATTCGTACTTTATGCATCAAACCCATAACCGATATCTGTCTTCTTTCTCTTTCTTTCCATTGAATCAATTATGGTCTACCATTTGCTGTGCCAATCGTAATCATCGAGAGTGAGTCTTGTTGTTTTTCATTTCTATCCATAGGTAACAATCTAACGTCAACGTTAACCCACCATAAAGCGAATTTAGAGAGTACTAATAGCAGAGAATGCAGGAAGACGTCGTGGTAATTTTTAATACATGCTAATTATTTTATTTTAAAAAAAAATAAAACATTTATAAAGTACGAAAACAAACGTTCAACTTGCTGTTTACCATCTTGAACAGAAAGCTCGCTTGTTGCATTAGAGTCGTGTTTAGCGAATATCATAAACATCAAGATTTGCTTCAAATGCGATTGTTTTGGAATGTAAGTAAAAAGAAGGTAGGAAACGAAAGAATATAAGTGTTTTCTAGGTTATTTTTACTTCAAAAAATTACATGAACATTTTTTCATTTTCTTCTAAGGGCAAGTATAGTTGATAATAGCAGGTAGACGAAATTTCAACAGTGACGATCCTTTTTTCAATTTTTAGCTTTCATGAAGTGTCAATTATTTTTCCTATTTGTTGGAACAGCCTGACTAGACTCAGTGGTGGTACTTTTTCCTGAAAGAGAGTCCCATTTATGAATAAGTGCGTCAAGACTGTTTTCTCTTAGTTTTTCTTTTATTACATATATATTCTTGTACAACACTTGCTCTTTTCGAATAAGTTTGCACCACTATGCAACTGGTTTGTTTTCCCTTGCTAATTTACAAAGAAAACCGATCTGATCTCTTTACTTTCCATAGTTCATTTACAAACTCGCTACTTCCAACTAGCTGGGAAATGTTCTTTGTTTTGGAAAAACAAGAAAAAAGAAAAGTAAAGACATATGTATATATACAGTTACATTCATCACTGAACCCATTTTAAATCCTTGTTTACATACCGCCTGAGCCTGACTGTTTGCTACCTCTAGTATCGTTGTAGTATTTCAAAAACTTACAAACAAACCTACAATAACTTCATATTTCCCCAAAATAGTTTCCTTTTAACTATAGAATTTCAATCATTAGACTTCTTTGAAGCTATATATCTTAAGAATAACTACTATTGAATAGGCTGCCATACAAGTTCTTGGGTTTGTCCTTATTGCAGGCATTTTTCCTTCGTCTATTCATAGCTTTCAAAGCTCTCTCAAAAGAGCTTGAAAATATAAGAATAGAAAGCTATCATAGAAGCAGGCCTTTCCCGTTTTCTTCCCTCCGACTTGACTGTCTCAAGGTTGTTTCCCATTCTTTTATCCAGTTTTCTTCAGTTGTTCAGTCATTTTCTTTTTCTAACGAAAAAATATGTCGGTTCCTTCTCGCTTTTCGATAACAGACATAACACCTTTCCTAACTCTCCCATCCGTTCCGTTGTCCTCCGTACCTTCCAGTCGAACATCATTCCATAGTAGTTTGGCTTCTTCTCCTCTTCGAATTTTATCCCCCTTTAAACCGCCATCCTCTTCCCTTCCACGAGTAGCTAGTCCGACCAAAATAACGTCCCCAACCACGATGAGTTCTCTTCAGGAAAAAACTTCGACCCCTATAAGAAAGGTAGACCTTGCTAATGATGACTCTCCCTCTCCGAAGACCTTTGGCTCAACGAAAACTTTTGTTAATGAGCAGAAGTCAACATCTTCTCCTAAAGTATCTTCTAATCCATCATTGACTTCGACGCCACCTGGAATCCTCGAACAAGACCATTTTTTCTCGGCTCGTTCAAAACGGAAAAATAATCTCTTTTTTGTCGATGAAAATGGTTCCAGTCGTGTCGTTCTTGGTACCCCTTCGCGCGTTCCAAGTCCTACCAAAACAGGGTCTATGCTTAATTCTCCACCTTCAAGAGTGGAATTAACTGGCTCTCCAAAATCTAGCGTATCCTCAATTCGCTCTTCACCTTTACGATCTCCAATTCGTTCTTCTGTACGCACGCCGTTATCACCACCTTCTAGAAAAAGATTACGTGCCAAGAATGAGCCCATTTCTCCTACCCCTGCTTCACCCAGTCCTCCACCAAAACTTCCTTCTATCTTGGGTAGGCCGAGGCGATTAGCCGCTATGGAAGCTAGTCCTGCCATTCGAAAAGCTTTGATTTCTTCAAGGCAGACGAAGCCGGTTTCGGAGGATCCCGTGAAGAAGAATACGGATTCCGAAACGAATGAGAAACCAAGTCCTTACAAGAATAAAAACGACAAGGATCCTTCGGGTGATAAATATATAGAAAAGCCTTTACAAGAAAGAAATGTCGAAACCGTGGGCATGTCTGGCAAGTTTACAAATCTGCTACGAGATGTCCAATTCAAAGAAAAACCAACTGGTGTACCTGATCACCATCGAGACTCATTGTCAAAAAGGAAACATTTACGGCAGACGAAAAGCGCTCAACTTTCTCCGAGACAGATCGCTTCTGCTGATAGTAAACCAGTCAACACGGATACAAAAAAATATCCTCCCAATCCAAAGCGAAAAGTCAAATGGTCCAAGAAATTGGTGCAAGGAAGCAGTGATACAGAACCGACATCTCCATCTCGCCCGTCAAAGGTAGAACCTTCTAAAAGTTGCCTTGCCTCTAAATTAAGAGAGTAATAGCATTCTCACGGGGGTTTTGGTGTTCATATGGTCGTAATAAGCATTTGAAATGTACAAGTTTTGTCTATTACTGCTAACCACTGGATTCATAAAATCCTAATGAAATTCATATCAATTATTAGTTTTGTTTTAAAGTCAACCATTATGATTGGATTAAAGAGGATAATTTTAGCATGCATTTTGTTTTCGTTCCAATTCGTTTCGTTCATAAGGCACCCCAAGTTTGGAACACTTTTCCTTTTAAATTATTCTTTTTTTACTATTATACCATCATAGCCGAAACTCTTTGATGAAATCATGGTTAGGATATACTGGTTGGACAGAGGACTCTGATCAATTCCTATCGGCGAAATATGTTTTAGTTTTATTTCTACTATATTTTTGTTTATTAATAAAGTAATATGTGTGAGAACTACCAAAACAGCAATTATATTCCGTAATCTTCATGGTACACATGTTATTCATATACACTCTGCTCTGCGTATGAACTACTTCCAGAAATCCTTTTCTTTGACTTGACCAAATGTAAGGATCGTTGGACATATTAAGCATATGATATAGGAAAATTTGTTTATATTAAATTATGCGCAGAATTCTAATCACAGGTGGGAGTAGTGGAATAGGAAAACGAATTGCTCAACTATGGAGTCAGCAAGGTCATCATTGCCATCTGATAAGTAGAAATGAAGAAAGACTTCAAGAGACTGTTCGTTCATTATCCAATATTCAAGGTCAGTCTCATAAATACACGGTGGCAGATGTTTGTAAGGATATGAATAGCATATCAACTCTTGTTGAAAGAGAGACGTTTGATACAGTCGTTCATGCTGCTGGAGTCTCGCAATCAAGCTTGTTTGTTCGCACTAGTGAAAATGAAATAAATAATGTCATTAATACAAACTTGCTGGCACCTATGAAACTGTCAAAGATTGCAGTCTCTATATGGTTACGCCAACGAATTCCCAAAGACAGACTTGTTCTTTTCCTATCTTCTAGGCTAGCAAATTATTCCCTTCCAGGAACAAGCGTTTATGCAGCATCAAAAATGGCATTGGAAACATTCACTAAAGTACTAGCTACCGAAGTGGCAGCCCGAGGAATTCGAGTAAATGCAGTTGCACCAGGTTACACAGACACGTCTATGCTAAGTGATCATATGCGTCAAATCGCTAAGCAACGTGTTCCGCTAGGACGTCTAGCTTCCACCGATGAGGTGGTAGATGCTTGTACATTTTTGTTAAAAAACTCTTATACAACAGGAACAATCTTGCCAATTCATGGAGGACTTTAAAAATATGATTAAAATAATTGTTTTTGAATCAAGGATGCTCGAATCATTGAATGGCATGAAATGAAATCTTGTACGTTACGCTGAAGAGTTTTATAAACTCAACAGGTTCCCCTTCAAATCCACTTACTTCATTCTTTCACAATATTGAATTCTTTGTCCAACGATTTGAATAAATCAGTATTTTCCGTTTTTGTTTACTTTTTGTTATTTCACACAACGCACAATTCTCGTTGCACTTTGTTATCCAATTGAGTGAACACGAACGAAAAAGTTGTCAGAAAATGAAAGACAGTCACACCAAACACAAAACAAGCATAGCTAGTTTCTACTCTACACAACATAACGATGTCTCGTGGACGCGGTGCAGCTTCCGGTACTAAGTACAGGATGACCTTGGGTCTTCCTGTTCAAGCCATCTTGAACTGTGCTGATAATTCTGGTGCCAAGAACCTCTACATTGTTTCCGTTTTCGGTACTGGTGCTCGTCTTAACCGTCTCCCTGCTGCAAGCTGTGGTGGTAAGTAAACGAAAATTAGCTGGTGAAATTATTCGATTTGCAATCAATTGTTGGCCTTTTTTGCTTTAATAAGGAAAAAGTGTTTGCTTTTCGCAGCTTTCTCTTTGAGTGAAATAGCATTGTACTAATCGAAATTTTAGACATGATTCTTGCTACTGTCAAGAAGGGTAAGCCTGACTTGCGTAAGAAGATTATGCCCGCCATTGTTGTTCGTCAACGCAAGGCCTGGCGCCGTAAGGACGGTGTTTTCCTTTACTTTGAAGACAACGCCGGTGTCATTGTCAACCCCAAGGGTGAAATGAAGGGATCTGCTATCACTGGTCCAGTTGCTAAGGAATGTGCTGATCTCTGGCCCCGTATTGCTTCCAATGCAGGCACTGTAGTTTAAAACTTGTTCCATGAATGACATTTTGGGATTACGAGACACTAATGTACTATTGAATATAAAGTAGTAGTAAGACAACGCGTAGCCATGTTAGATGTACCGCACTCATTGAGGTTTGTGATGCTCCTTACTAGAATCAGTATTCATATCTTGGAAGGAATAAAGAGGGTTATACAGTTCTGCCTCTACTACCCACTATAAATATTTTCTTACTTGTATACGCACTCCAAAACTAATCATTTTTTGATTAAACCGTTCATTTCATAATTATTCTCTAGTTAATGTTGCGCACGTAGCGACAACTCTCTCAAAAGACAAAACATATAATATCTAAGAAAATACGATCAGACAAAAATAAAAGGTAGCTTGGGTTTTGTCTACAGTGGTACTTACTCAATTACTGAGCGCGTATCCTTTGGACAAATGCCAAAAGTCATCATATCGCATTAGTAAATGTAATAGAGAGAACGCTGTTTATATAGCAGTATAACATCAAAAACAGTCACGATCCTTCATAGTTTTTGAAGTTCGTTAAATGTTTACTGAGTAGGAAGATGGTGCGTTACTTAGAAAAAAGGATTGTGGAAAGCAGCGCGTTTCGACATTGAAGGAACACTGAGTGCTGTGTAAATAAACCTCGAAAAACTAAGCAATTTACCCAGTATTCGCCCCTTTCGTGGTACAGGATAGGATACGAAAAGAACAGAATAGGATACTGTTGATAATTGATGCGAAACGATGGCTCCTAATACGAAACTTGATATCAGTGTCATATGTGCTTCGAATCAAAACCGCAGTATGGAGGCGCACAATCTACTCAAGTACGTTTCTCTTGAAGTTTTTGGTTTGCTTCAGAATCTATGCTAATATTCAATGGTACAGAAATGCTGGATACCAGGTGGATTCGTTTGGTACAGGAAGTGCAGTACGTCTTCCTGGTCCAAGTATCGACAAGCCCAATATTTACCCGTTTGGGTATCCTTACGATAGTATATACAAAGAACTAGAATCGCAAGACTCTCGTTTGTATACGGCTAATGGACTCCTGAAGATGTTAGACAGGAATCGACATATCAAGCGTTCTCCTAACCGCTGGCAAGACCAAGAGTTTATATACGACGTGGTAATTACCTGTGAAGAACGCTGTTTTGATGCTATTTGTGAAGACCTGTACCGTCGAGGCGAATCAAAGAGTCGGCCTGTCTACTTAATAAATGTCGATATTAAAGACAACCACGAAGAAGCAAGCGTTGGAGGCAAGGCCATTCTCGACCTCGTGCAGCAGTTGACAGATGCAAAAGACTCTTTTGAGGACGAATTTACCGATATCATGGCTCAATGGCAAGCCAAACACCCAAATCTTCCTGCTCTTTACACGATACATTTCTTTTAATGAGCTTCTCCTTAAAGTTTGGTATCCATGACCTCTGCATCGTGTCGCCTCGTTGAAACACCTTCAACCTCAGTATGCTGGATTTCGGTAGTGTATTCTGCTATGTAAGGGATTCTTATTACAACCTTCGTCCTTTTCATGCATGCTGCTATCTATTTGGAAAGCTCTTTCTGCCGAATTAGTCACTGTTTGAAAACCTTGAACCTGTCGTGTACCAATCCCTTACATTATTTTTACCGTTTACGAAATTGTTCAGTCACTCTTTTTTTGGGTTGAAAGCCCAGTGTTGACCTTTACTTCCTTCTCTTTCATCACTTCAGCTCTATCAGGATAATTCAAGGTTAAAGGGAGATTTGGTTGCTCATTACTTTCATATATCATTCGCAAACTCTCCATTGTCTCTTTTCAACAGTGCTGTAGGATGCAAAATATCATAATTCGTCAATATCGTTTTCTTGCAAAATACCTGGAACCTGAATTTTTCAAGGGTAAGTCTCATTGGTCTTTCATATAAAAGAAATAATAGAAAACATAAGTATTAACAATTTTAGAACCTGCTCTTCGCAATGCAAATGCAAGACCCCGTGAAAAGCTTCAACGCTTGTCTCATGTGCAATTCAGTGAGCTCTTAACGGATGTTGCAGACGAATTACAAAGAAGGATTAATAATGATCCGAAAGGTAATGAATTTTTAAATTCTCTGATGAACAGAAACACTAATAACTATGTAGTTCCGTTTTTACCTCCTGTGGAATCGTATCACCCCAAACGAAACCATGCCCGCCAAAAATTGGCTAGTTTGGCTCCATCCAGACTTCGAGATTTATGTATGGACGTATACTTTGAAGTGCAGGCTCGTTATGGTAATGCACTTAAAGAAGTTGATACCCCTACTTCTTTGGCCCAGCCTAGTCGGACGAATTCACATCCTCAGGTGGCTTCTCAGAGAAATCCCTCAGCAACCCATGGTGTAAAAGCCGAAGGTTCTTCCTCATCTTCTTTGCATCCCAGTGAACGTAGAACTACAAGTTCGCCAAACGTGGTCAACTCAAAAATTGCAAGTCGTGAAGCACCGTCTTCCTCGTCCCATGCTTTGCCAATGGTGCCGGATGCCGCTCCAAAAAGCCCTCCTCATCGTGTAGCCGAAGATTCCACAACCAAGTATTTAGCTAAGATTGAGATGTTGGAGAATAATCTCGCGAAATCAAATTCTCTTTTGGATGTCTCGAAATCTGAGATTGAGTCTTTAAAGGCAAAGCTTAATTCTGAAGCTGTTCATCATAAAAGTAGAATGTTCAATATGGAAGAGAAGCTTCATGAAGCATCCTTACAAATCACGACTTTGAACGAAAAACTGAAAGAAAGTCAATTAACAAGAAGCACTTCTCCTGCTGGTGTTGATGGTGAATTTGAGAAAAGCTTGAAAATGATGCAAGGGCTCATATTATCAGAAACGACAAAGGTACATCACATAAATGAATTAGAAAAATCTTTTGAGGCCCAAAAAGATGAAACTGAACGTTGGAAGCGAGTCGCTATAAATGCTAAAGCTTCTAAAATTGACGATGATGTACGATTATTCACAATGAACACTATTCCTATGAAAACGGTTCGTGAATTGGTATCTCCCAATGGTATTGTAGACGAGCAGTTGTACGTTCGCTATTTTGTAGAGATGAACGTATTTATGTCGTCTTTAAGAAAAGATAGTCCTTCACAGTGGATGTTAACGGCTAAAGATATTGCCTTAACGCTTGAGGCTATCGTTTCCGGTCTTCGGGAGGCGGTTCTTACGAAAGAGTTACTTGGCTTAGGCAGTAGTATAGATGATTTATGCACTTTCACCAATAATCTGATGCAGCAGGTGCGAGTTGCTAGTTCTAATGGTGCATTCCCTATAAGTCATATTGATGCCTCTGCTTGCTCCATTAGCATTACTTTGTCGGAGATTGTAAAAAAGCATGGTCTCTTGGATTCAGGCAAGTCTTCTGCTTCTTATGCAAGAACTTCTCTGCATCCGGTAGACGATTTAAAATCCCTTTCAGCTGCCAAGACAATACTTGGCGATAAAACAAGGCGTTATAACGAAGTAAATCAACATCTCTTGAATGCCATTAGTGATGGCAGAGCAACTTACGAAGTGCAGCAACTCATTCACGTTTTAACCAGCATTATCCGGGATACTTTATTTGACGTTTCTGCTCCTTTGGAGTTGATGAGAGACCGTAACGCTTTTGGAATCATTCATGTGTCTTTACAAGAATTACGAAAATGTTGCATGCTGTTAAGTGATTACGAAAACCAAGAGCAGCCTTCGGACCCTACAATTCCTCCGTTGACTGACCTTGCTTTTTCTACGGCTAAATGCTTCAAAAATATTTTACGATCAATTGAGGATGCTGAATTTACTGTCCAGAAAACACAATTTTCGAATAAATAAAATACTTATTCTGAGTCAAGGCTATAATTAGCATGGCCCGTGGCAGTTGACGAAAATTTTGCTCTTTTCGCTCTTTATATGTACAGTAACAATCCCAAAAGAAAGTGGTTTGTTTTTGGTTTGTTTGAACTTAGCTGGATAGTTAAAGCATGGCTCCGTCTTGTCAAGCTGAGTATTCCATTCTAATGATATTAATTAATGTTTGGGTTATATCTAGGAAAGTAGGTGAAGTAGAAAAATTAAGTGTAAGGTCAGCCAGTTCTCATCGGCAAGGATGAGAAAGGACGAAAATTGTGTTGATAAATGAGAATATGAATATTTGTAAATGTTAAGAAGCTTAAATAATTACTTTCCAATATTCGGTAGTTGTACCTAATTACAATGGAAGAGAAAAAAATTTCCTCAGAATGTCAAGTTCTAAGAATAAAACTGCATATCATCAAATTTATAAAGTAAGTTATACGGTACTATTTTATCAGCAAGGAAAGCGTTTGGAACTTCTTGCTAAGGTATTCTGCATGTTAGGAATTTACCAACTGCCAACACCACGAGACCAACAGGATGTCAAAAGTCGAAGCACTTCAAGTTCTTCTACTTAAAAAGCTTGACGAGCAAAATGAAATTGCAAATACTAGTCATCTAGAGTTTGAAGGGAAAAAACTTACTGTCCAAGATGCTCAGTCGGCAATTTTGTCTTTAGCAGCAAGAAGCATGGTTGAATTTGAGCGTCACGATATCGAAGTATACACCTTAACAACTGAAGGTGAAGAAATTTTAAAAAATGGATCTCATGAAGCTAAAGTTTTCAATGAAATCTGTGCTTCCATGAGCGGTCTTAGCATTGGTGAGTTGAAGGTATGTTATTGAACCAGGGATGGAGAGAAAAGTTCAATTTTAAATTTAGAGATCAATAACTAGCTTTAATTGCATGTTATATCTGATCATTGGCCTCTCTGGCTTCTCAAGTTAAGAGAAAGAACACCGTGTTCTCTTACCTCCCGACTATTATAAAATAAAAGTGTTTTCGAGGAAAATGTTTAAGCTAATTGTTTGTTAGGACAAATTGGGTAACACGGCCGGTCTTGGTCAAGGTAGAGCTTTCAAGCTTGGATGGATCAAGAAAGATGGAGACAAATTAATTAAAAACGTAAGAAAACATTTAATTTCTTAACTTTTACTAATTATCTCATATTAGACTGATTCTATCGAGGATGGAACTCCTAAGTTGTTGGCCGAGATTAAAGAACATGGCACTCACAAAGATACAAAGGCTCTCAACGACTTGAAAAAACGTAAATTAGTTGAGCGCAACAAATTGATGTATTTTTCTTTGAAGAAAGGTCCAAATTTCTCTCTTACCATTGAAAAGTTAAATACCGATTTGACCGCTGATATGATTACTTCTCGTTCTTGGGAGAACGCCAAGTTTAAAGACTACAACTTTGCTGCTGAGGGTATTCCTCCTGCTGGTGGTTGTCTTCATCCTTTGATGAAGGTCCGTGAAGAATTCCGCAAATTTTTCTTTGAATTGGGTTTCGAAGAAATGCCTACCAACAATTATGTTGACAGTGGTTTCTGGAACTTTGATGCTTTATTTGTTCCTCAACAACATTCTGCTCGTGATGTTCAAGATACTTTCTTTTTAAAGAAGCCTGCTTTTACTAATAAGTTGCCTGATCTTGACTATGTCGCCCGTGTTAAGAGCACCCACGAGAATGGAGGTGAAACAAGAGGTATTGGTTATCGTGCCCCATGGTCTGAAGAAGAAACTCGCAAGCTTATCCTTCGTACTCATACTACAGCTGTTTCAGGCAATATGTTGTACAAGCTTGCTAAAAACGGTTTCCGTCCTGCAAAGTATTTCTCAATTGATCGAGTTTTCCGTAATGAAACTGTCGATGCTACTCACTTGGCTGAATTCCACCAAGTGGAAGGTGTCATCTGCGATAGGAATCTCACCCTGGGAGATTTGATTGGTTTCATGGAAGTGTTCTTTGCTAAAATGAATGTCCGAAACTTACGTTTCAAGCCCGCTTACAATCCCTATACTGAACCTTCTTTGGAAATTTTCTCCTATCACGAAAAGCTCGGTAAATGGGTCGAAGTCGGAAATAGTGGTATGTTCAGACCTGAGATGTTAGAACCTATGGGTCTTCCTAAGGATGTTCGTTGTCTTGGTTTTGGTCTTTCATTAGAACGTCCTACAATGATCAAGTATGGTATTTCTGATATTCGTCAATTGATGGGACCAAAAGTGAACTTGGACTTAATTCAAGCGGGTTCTGCTGTTCGTTTAGATAGAGAAGATTAGATAATTCTGGCAGTTTGTCTGTATAGATTTAATTTTGGTATTACATTTTGCGTTTATGCAGGTTTAAGGGACTATTTACATTGAAGTTAATGTAAAAACCAAGAAACATTAACTAGATGTATGTGTTTACTAAAAGAATATAGAAGCATGTCATTTAATCATAAGAGCAACCGTTGTTATATGCGTCTATCCATGAACCCGAACATCTAACACTTTATCAAGAAACTCATCATTAAGGCGGTCATCTTCTTCGTCCAAATGACCAGTTAAGTCTGGAGGAATTTGTTGTAACTGAACGCTTGGAGCACTACCCAAATATCGTAGTTGTTCCAACGCGCGTATCCTAAGATCCTCCAACATTTTAGGTGAATTTTTGTTCTCAATTTTCGTTATTAATTTTGGGTGTAACGTGTAATCAGGAGAGAAAAATTCATAGTAAGAAGTATCTTTCGGTAACTGTGAAGGAACCGGTTCGTCCACGCAGATAGAGGTTTCATAGCACCAAGCCCTAGCGACATTACGAAGGGTATATCCACCACCGCCTACAACAAGCATGGGAATATTAAAGGACTTTGTAAATTTCACACATTCTCCATGAGCACGAATACTCAGGTTGAAAACACCTAATCTATCATAACCCAAGGAGTCCGCTCCACACTGAAGAACAATAGCTGATGGCTGAAATGTGTTGATCGTTGGCTCAATGATAGACTTATACAAGCTTGTGTACTGATCATCTCCAATTCCATCGTCTAATGGCACATTCATCGCAAAGTACTTTCCGCCTTTAATCCCATTTTCATCAAAATTTCCAGTTGCAGGAAAGAAATCACCGTTGTATTTGTGAAAAGAGACGGTTAGTACACGATCAGATTCATAAAAAGCTTGTTGAACACCATCCCCGTGATGAATATCAATATCAATATAAAGAACACGAGGAAAATATCGTAGCATATTGAGAATAGCCAAAACAATGTCATTAACATAGCAAAATCCACTAGCTTCTGCTCTTTTGGCATGATGGAGTCCGCCGCTCCAATTAATGGCAATGTCGGTTTGTCCTTGGGTTAGTTTTCTTGAAGCATCTAAACTAGCACCCGCGGACCTTTGGGAAAATTCATATACTCCGTCAAAGATTGGACAGTCAGCGCCAATGTTGAATTTTTGAAATGTGTCGGCATAGGTTTCCGCATCGTCAGGAGTGATTTTTTGTAAAAAATCTAAATAGTCTTCTCGATGAAAGCTAGCCATTTCGTTAAAGGTTGCTTTTCTAGGACTATAGACATTCATTTTGTCATGCAACCCGTATCCCATCACAAGATGGTTAGCAATCGTGATACGATGTGGTTTCATAGGATGCTTGTCACCATAATGATAATTTCCAACCTTATTATCTAGGTGATACGTGACTCTTCGCTTTTGTGGGCGAAAGCTAAAGAAAGAGCCATATTCGACATCATTAAACGAAGTATCTGTCTCTTCCACGGTCATTTTTTATTCTCTTGCTTCAACGAACAGTTCAAAAAAAGAAAGGAAAAAATAAATAAACCAGCGCAATTATTTAAGACAAAGACAACGAGTCAAACTTGGTGTACGAGATTGAAATTAACAAATTCGAATTGTATTAATGTCACCTTGCTAAAATACACAGGATAATAAACAGAGAAAATTTTAACTGCTCGAATGATTTTGCGCTTTTCAGTTCTATTGATAATTGAAAACTTAGGTAGAAAGTCGTTACAACGCTTATAAATACCTATTTATAATCTCAATTGACAAACGATAACAGAGTAAAAACACGCGAATAAAAGCTTAAGCCAAATATCTTCTAGTATTCACATAAAGCAACTCGTAAATAAAATATAATTAGAAAAACCATAAAATATAGCACATTTTCATGCTTCTTTGTAAACAAGTTCAAATGTGCAGTTGACAGCCATCTTGTTTACAGAAATGCTGGCTACTCTGTGATAAATAATTTAAAGGGAGTTTCCGTCTATGGTATTCTACTTTAGCATTCTCGTTCAAATACGTTGAATGAATTTTTAGGAATAAAAACTAGAGAAAGTTTTTTTTTATTTGTGAAGCAAAAGTAGAAGGGTAAGAGGATTGAAAGACTAAAATATCTTTCCTTTGCGTTTTTCTTTTACTAGTACGTTTCGTCGACGATTTTTGTTTGTTTGTATGTAGCGTAGTTCTAAACAGTGGCCAAAGTAACCACCAAAAAAATTTGGGAAAAAAGAAAGAAAGGCCTGTAAGGCGGATTCCAGGTCAGCAATTCTATCAGTTAATTAAACTTTTTTTCTTAATTCGTGTCCGTCTGTCTTTTTGCTCTTGTTGCAAGTCTAGCAAAGGACTGTAGCCTTTTGCCAAATTACAATAAGTCGCCTCCTTTTTATTCCGTTTGAAAAATAAAAGAGATCGCTGAATAACTTATCTTGTCTTTCTACCGAAAACAATATTGCCTTGGTGATTCTTGCACTTGCAATTTGTGGGCATACTTGGTTTTGTTTGCTATTTATTTGCGGACTCATAAAGTTTTGATTTTATGATCAAGACAGAGTATTCATTGAGAACATTATAAACTGGGTTTAATTATTGGAATACCACGCATTCTCAGTTCTCATAAAATTGATTCACAATGGCTGACGAAGCTGTTTACGTTCTAACAGATTATCTGCAGTCCTTGGATAATCTTCCTGATGAGACAAAGCACACATTCGATGAGATAAGCGTTAAGGAAATGGCACTTCATGATTTAGGAAAGCAAATTCAAGCAGCAGATCAACAAATTCAATCACATGTCAAATCCCTGGGTTCTCATGTTCCCCATCCCAAGGAAGAATCTCTCTACAGCTCTATAAGAGAAAAATATGAAAAGTCCATTATTATACAGAGTGAAAAGGTTCAGCTTGCGGAGCGCGCACGAGTTGTTTTGATGAGACATATCAAACGCTTGGATGATAAGCTCATGAAATTGGGTCCTGGTTTTACTCCGGCAGAATTATTGAGTCAAGCGAACGACCTAAATTTTTCTTCAGCTTCTTTAAATTCTCCTGTTGGTGTTAGTGCTCGCCAAGTGCCTGCTCAAGCTCGGAATGGTACTGGACGGCGGCAAAGTTCGGTTTTTGGCCGAACTGCTTCACAGAATGGAGGAGTCCAGCAGGGCATGGTGGATGGTGCTAGCGCTGGCGCTGGCCGGTCACAAAAGGCTTCAGGTACAATTTCTAAAGCCCCCGGTGTCAAAGCCGGAGCTGCTGCGTATAGTGAAGTCGTGTCTGAAGAAGAAGAGGATCAGGAAGAAGAGGATAATGAGAAGTATTGCTTCTGCCAACAAGGATCTTATGGGCAAATGGTTGCTTGCGATAATGAAGATTGCGAACGAGAATGGTTCCACATGGAATGCGTTGGATTAAAGGCGCCGCCAGAGGGTACTTGGTATTGCGAAGCATGCCGTGAAAAAATGGGTAATTAAACAAAAACTTGCCGTTTCATTCCCTTGCTTTAATTCAAATCAGGAATTTTAGCGATTGTAGAGCTATATATAAGTTTTCGTACAAATTGTTTATAGTAGATAATCATTCATGTATTAATAATAATAATAATTTCTATTATTTATAATTGGAAAATTCTGAGTTTGTAAAAACATCCTCCATTACACGGTTTCATCCGAGAGAAAGCAAAAACCTTTCAATTCTATCTGCACATCAATGCCAATACATTTCATTGCTATTTTAACGTTGGTAGATTATTTACACCCTAGATGAAATCTCCAAATTTGAACAAAAAAAGAAGAATAAGAGAACAATACAACCGGTTTGCCCAAAAAAGAAGGACTCACAACGCGTGGTATATGGGAAGAGATACAACTTTTATTATATTGGTTCCAGGATTTACTCAGAACCACTTTGATCATCCTCTTCGTCACCGGAAATTTCAGCATTCTCCTTTTCGAATTTTTTCATGAGATCAGCAAGCTCAAGTTCATCAGTCTCACTAACAGCCTTGGGCTTCATCTTAACGATACAAGTACCATTGGCGGCGGATATAACCTTTTCTATGTTGACAATAGCCTCTTCCAACTTCTTTAAACCAAGAGACTTGTCTAAAGCATTGGTCAAGAGAACGTACAATGGAGGAGCAACGAGCTTGACTTTGATAGGAACTTCCTCGGTACGAAGATCTTCAGCAGATTTCAAAGCAGCCTTGATGGCGTTAATACCGTCGTAGCCAAAGCAAGTGACTTCGACGTCAGCACGAATCTTGATGGGTTGAGGAGTTAAACGACGAGAGATTTGACCCAACAAGTCATCGATGATTCCAGGCTTAGGAGCTTCCAAACCTTCGAATACGTGTTCAGCGTTCGAGATGGCCAATTTGAAAGCGTCGTAAGCATGGCCATATCTGCGATACAAGGGCCAACCGATAGAGGTATACATGGTTTCTAAGGGAACGTTGTGCTTTTCTGCAATATGGCGCATGATAGAGTGGACAGCCTTGGACTTGTTGAAGCGTTCTTCGCACTTGATGACATCTTCAGGACTGACACGACGCTTGGACAAGTCGATATAACCTGAAATTGACAATTAGTATGGCATAAAGATTTTATATCTACTTTTTACATACCCTTTTCTTTGTCGACACGCAAAACAACGACGACTTCATTACGGCCAACACGGATGTGTTTTTGAACGGAACGAATACGACGCCTAGAAAGTTCAGAAAGTAAAACCATTCCTTCAATGTTATCGTATTCAAGTAGTTTGACATAAGCACCCATCTCTTGGATTTGACGGACTAACGATTACAAGTTAGCTAACTGGCAAAATATACAGTTAAGAGAGCAAAAATCACTGATTTTCAACTTACCATTGACTACAACAAGTTCGTCCACTTCAGGGAAGCGGTTCTCGTACATTCGGCAACTAGTCGTCGACATTTTGGCTATGGGTGAGGTGTTTGGTTTTTGGCAAATTTTTCTGGTGAGTCGCACCTCTCAGTTTACGTGTTGGCAAACCAAGTCTGGAAGAAAATGGGGCTAAAAATGACAGAAAAAGAAGTGTGAATGGTTAATTTTCAATTATACATTAAGAAATTTTCAGCGTGTTGTCAATTGGTAGAATCTTTGAAACTTGGAAAAAGAATCCGTCCTTATGATGATCAACAATACTGTACAAAGAATTTTACTGAATCAAAATGTATAAAATGTTTTTCTAAGCTATTATAAGAGATATCACATCCACAGGCTCAAGAGAGGATGTAAATTTTTATCGTTTCAAGAAGCAACTTATTCAGCCAAGCAGGTTGACAGTTTTGGCCGGTGTAAAGATTTTGTAATTAGTGTACATATTATCAAGAAAATCAGAATTAATACTTCTAATCTTTTGCAGATGTGAATCTATCGTTTTTGTTTTCTAGCAAAAGTTGAATTTCCAATTGACAAACGGAAACTACTTGATTTGGAAAGCAAACTACAAATGCAACTTTCAAGAATATCTACGTGGTTAACAATTTAGTTTTGGAAAAATCAAAGACTGTTAGCATTGGACAATGTGTATTTGTTTACTGATGCTGTCAAACAAGAATTCCTGTTGATCAACAATTATTGTCCCAGGCATATTGAATCCGTAAATTACGACTTTTCGGGATATTTAAAATGAAAAAGTGGATTTGTATAGAATAGAATATAGATTGAATGATTTTATGGGATTAATTCATAAGAAATAAGAAGGGTCTATTTTTCAAGCATCTGTTTGTTTCAATTAACGGTTACTGACCTTTGGTATTCAAGGACAGTATACAGAGTATACAAAAATACCTAAAAGAATAAAAGAACACATAAATCACTTTGCTAAGAACGAAATACCCACACTTTTTTTTTTCATTTTTTTTCTTGCCAATCTTTTTATTGTACATTTGTTTATTTAGTAATGAGCCGCATCGGGATACGTTAAAAAAAATGGTGGATGATTGAAAAAAACTGAATTATTTTTGCTCCAGCAGTGACTCGAACACTGGACCTCCTGTTTACGAGACAGGCGCTCTACCACTGAGCTACAAGAGCTTGGTTGGTATACCAGTTATTGTAAAGCTATTTAGAAAGCAACAAAGACTTTGCGATGTGAAATGAGTTAGGTGAAATTGGTTATGAGAGCCAAGGGTAATCTGAAAAGTAGGATGGGAAAAAGGACCATTCTATCTTTTTAAGTCCAGTCAAAATAGACATGTTTGTGTTTGATTCTATTGTATTTCTTCCTTGTATAATCAAGCGACTGACCAAGTTTTGTTTTATACCAAGGCATCCCAGTTTCCTTGCTTTTCTTTACAAACAGCATGCAGCATAAAATAAAGTAAAGAAACAGCAAGTTTTCATACAATGCTCCATTCTTCAACAAAAGACTACTAAAATTGAAGTAGAGGAACAGCAAAAAAAAGGAACTCCCAAGGCGAGACTCGAACTCGCAACCTTCTGATGACCTTCATAAGAGTCAGACGCTCTAAACCGATTGAGCTACCCGGGACTTGTTGGAAGAATACTACGTTAAAGTCTATATAAAGGTCAAATGATTTGAAAACAAATTTGCAAGCAGTCATCATAAACAAATTCTCCTCAAGAACTTTAGACTACCATCCTTTCAAATTGCCAAAGTAATAGAACCCAGTTTTGATCCGTTGGTTTCCGTTCATTTGAGAGTTCTTTAAATACGGCTCCCTGATTTTGGTTTCCGTTTTGAGTCATATTTTGAATGATGATGACTTTGTTGGTCCTATACAAAAGATAGCGTGACAGATTCTGTTTGAACCTTAGTTCTCCTGGTTTTTTCCACTCATTGAATCTCCGGTTCTTTCAATAATTCAACGATATCAAAGGGAATGAATTCTCGATTCATCCATTTGTCACTTTTCCTTTTTTTTCTTTTTATTTTTTCACCCCTTTGATTCGGTATATAACAGTCGCCATACAAGAAGCGATAAAATGATATCATGATTTCGTTAGTACGATAAGCAGAGACTAGCCGATCTCGTCTATTGGTTTTTTTTTCGACATGAGTGAACAAAAGGTAGAGTGAGAGAAGGAGAAGGAAGGAGAGAAACAAAAGGATTTACTTTTGTTTTTTTATCTCTTTCACTAATTTCTCTTATTTTTTATTTTGTCTTTATTTTATTTACATACGGGTTTTTCGTCGACTATAGTCTCACACTTATTTTCGTTCAATACTTTTCCTTTCAAATCCGACTTTTCTTCTATTGTCGGGTTCAACGAAAGACTTTTTCAATTTCAATTGAATTTTAAAAGAATTCTTTTGTTGTTTTCTCAAAAAAAAAAAAACTGAAATACTCTTGATATTCTTTTTTTAAAAAAAAATTTTCATCAAAAGCCGGTCTTGTTACTTCAGGGGTCTCAAAAAGTTGACAAGATGAAATTTATTGTATCGTCAAATATCGAGTTTCAAGTGGAGATACAGACCAGTCGGATTAGTTATTACGAGTCATGAATGCTCTAGGTCTTGTATATAAGGCTGTTGTATTGCCTTCGAGATTTTTCCGTTCATTCGCTTCTTGCGTGTATTTAGACAAGCGGTAGTAAACGGAAGTCTATTTATAAGAAGCTAACCGCTTCTCTCTGTTCTTCAGCTGAAACCTGGTGATCCTCGTTTACCAGTTTTGCAATCTCTTGCATTCAATTAGAAAGTGTAAACAAATCCTTGTGCTCTCTTCTTGTGGGTGTTTTAATTGCTTTTTTTTTTCGTATCATTTTTCTTTTATTAATACTAGTTTTTTGTTTTCTTGTTTCTTTTTTTTATTTACTTTACTTTACTTTACCTTTTTCTGGTTTCATATCATGGCTATTCAATCTCTCTACAGAGTTGTCGCTGTCTTTCCCTTCCGTAGTAGCTTTACGGATGACTTGGAATTTGATCCAGGTCAAGTAATTGACGTCTTAACCCAATATGAAGACGGTTGGTTATTTGGTACTTATGTAGATGCTGATGGTGTTCCTAAACAAGGCAGTTTTCCAAGTACTTTTACTCAAGTGGAATAATTACCCATACTGGTTTGACGAGAAACAGGACCCAGACAGGCCATTTATTTTTCTAATCACGGGTTTCAAATGTCTATTTCTATTTCTACTAATTCTACTAATTCTAATTCTAATTCTAATTCTATTTTTTTTTTTTTTCAAATATCTTTTGTTTACTTTTTATCAACTCTTAACCAACTTGTTCCCAATGCCTAATCTAAGTTCTTTTATTTATCCCAATGATCGGTCCCTTTTCTATTGACACACAGACTGAAGTATTTACCTGTTTTTGAAATGCTCCAACGATCGTCTACCTTTTTATTTTCTATTAATTTAGTTTCTTATCTTTTCAATACTTTGGAAGAATTAGATTCATTCATCAATTCCTCTAATGATTTCTGTTCACTATTGTTCTTGTGCACTATGTCTTAAAAGCGAAAGCGAAGGGTACCAATGTCTACCATGATTTAGAAAACAGGAATTCATCAACAAGAGTACAATTCATTGAAGAAGATCTCACCTTTTTTATCCAAAATAATGTAACAAAATAAAATAAAAATCATATTATGTGAAAGACAGCATCACCACTTATTTTCAAGTTTCCCCATTCCTTTATTCCAATAACAAAACACGAAATCTTTGTCGTAGTAAATTTTGCGTTTAGTTTTTTTCATACAGTTTTGATCGCATCGCACACTCATACACAAATACAACCCTTTAAGCCGTTTGCGAAAGTGTAACCTATTTTCTATGTTCTGAGTATTTATACTAGCTTTGCCAAATACGGTTTAGCGTTTTGTCGAATGGCATTCTGCATCATATGGTAAATCTGTTCGGCTCCTGCAATCGCCACATTCATCACGGATTCCAGGTAATCAAGATGCATTTTCGTCTCAAGCTGCATATAGGTAACCTTGTTTTTCGTTCCCATAACCGCAACTGTCATCCAAGACAAATCAGATTCTTCCAAAGAATTCAAATCCAAAAGGATGTCAGAGTCAATAATGCCGGCCGTACTACAGCAAACATAATCCGTCATGGGAATACCAGCATCCATAAGTGCCAAAGTAGCTGCATTCATGCACGTCGCGACGACAGCACCATCATCATGTAGCACATGCAAACAAATGGATACTTGGCTTTTAGGATATAGCTCCACTTGAACCACTTGTTCAAACGTTCTTTGTAATGCCAAACATTGCAATTGGATCCTTCGATCCGACTTGAACCGCCGTTTCCGATCAATTGTACTAAATGGAGCAATATTAATATCTACATTTATAAAGGCTCGATCCGCTCTGGATTTCGATTTGATCGTTGGCTCCGAAGGTCCATTTATAATGCACATCACTCGGGTATTGCCATATTGAATAATAGAAGAGCCATTTTCAGAAGGCTCTACACCAATCCGACAAAAGAAATTCCTCATTTCGTTCCATCTTCGACCATCTAATCACCACAAGTTAGCTTCAGTTCAGCCTAGATTCTCATTGAATCAGCTTTTGCTGAATCAAACACCACCCCCAAGTTACCAGCCTGATATTTGTACAATCTTTCAAAAAAAAAAGCGTAAATGAACTACCAGAAGGCATTTCTACTTACCATTTCGAAGACCTTCTAGCGATAAAATTTCAAGAGACTAAAACATTTCACTATCAGCAATTTGCTCTTTTTTTTCCTTTACATCGAGACCCATACCATTGACGATACCTCAAGGATGCAGTTTTTCGTTGCAATCACTCAACGTTAAAATTCTATGTGGATAATTATGAAAATGGGAAAAGGTGGTTGAACTTTGGTACGTGGACACAAACATATTCGAATACAAAAATTATAAAAAGTGGTTTCCAATGAAAATGAAATGAAAAATAATTAATTAATTGAAATGATATCAATAAAACTTAATAAAATTTATAGACGTAGCAAGTGAGTTTGCTAGTTCATAAGAAGTCACTCTACTACTCTTCATTAACAAATCCCGTTGATTAGTTGGAGACGAATTTCCTAAAATATTTCTTATTAGAAAACATAAATACTTGTATTGCCCATCAATTCATGCTTTCTGCCTCAGCTTTCGACGCCTGGAGGACTATTTAAAGAGGTGACCATCATTGCTTCAAAAAAAAAAAAAAAAAAAATATGGGAATTGGTATTGATATTGTCAAAGTGTCTAGAATACGAAAGCTTCTTGAAAAATCAAAGTTTACCGAGACACGATTTCTAGAGAAATGTCTTCATCCAAAAGAGATTCAACAGTATCGTCTGTTGCAAGGCCCACAAATTAACCAGGATCAACGAGCCAAGTGGCTTGGTGTACGGTATGTTTGTTGTTGAACGTTTTCTTTGCATTCTCCGAATACTAATAGTTGATTGACTTAGTTGGTCCGTAAAGGAAGCCGCGTTTAAAGCTTTACAGCCTACACATTACATTTACATGCCATTTATGGAATATGCACACAATGAACAAGGTATGTAGGGACCTCTCGTCTTCACCAAGCGTGCTGCAATTCCTTGACTATGCAAGTTTGAAACTAACCTTCATGTTTAAGGAATGCCCGTGATTAACATTCACAAGCCCAACGTTATTATCCCGTCTCTTTCCGTTTCTATAAGTCATGATGGCGATTACATTGTAGCAAACGCCCTCTATCTTCCGTAATATCAACAAATGAGTCTCCTACAATTACTATTTCTCAAGATTTATAAAAAGTCTTTAATTCTGTTTCTTTCGATTTTCCTTTTGTACCTACAAACAAAGAGGTCCACCCTTGGGTTTCGTTACAATATCTCCTGAAAATAACGTATCTATCAAGAACTAATTGTCATAGTACAAGAAACTAGGTGCTTACGAAGCGCGCGATTTCAGAATACTTTAGCAGCGCACCTTTTACAGTTCAATGTATAGCTGGAGGTTATTCATAACATCTTCTCGGGGTCAATTAGACGCATTGTTTTAACATATTGCGACAGTCGAAGCATATCCTTTGGAGGTTACCAAACTGAGACATCGAGCGCGCTCTACGAATATAAACTCTTTTGAATTTCGTGAATCATTACTAGTCGTAGGTGTGACGATATTAAATGAGCATTACAAATGGTTCTTTTACTCTTGGAAAGCATGAAGTTTGGAAATTCGGTGACGTCTCAATGCTATTGTTGACGTACAAAGACAACTATCCTCGAATTTGTGATGGTACATTCATGCAAACAAAGCGGACACGATGAATTCCTAGTCATCGTAATCGACATTCATATGTAAAAATAGGTAGAAAAGGAAAAAAAGGAATCTTCTTGTTTCAGTCATTATCAAAGGGAAAGCATCGCAAGCCCATGGGACAGTCGTTACAACAAAACTCTAAACAATTTTATCATCAGCTAATTGTATTGACTGTAATATTCATACGAATAATCAAAATTGATTTATATTCTAATTTCTTAATGACAGCCATAAAAATTGAATGAAGCTAAGGCATATGTGAATTAGACAAAAATTTCGCTTACTACCTTCTTAATTGCTTATATCTACAGCACACTTTTGACTTTCGCTTATAATAGTAATATTCTCAAATGAAATTGGACGAACACATAGATGTCATCATTCTACTATTTGTTTATTTACACGTTTCCTATGCTGAAAAATAAAAATTAAAATAAAGAATTATTGTATCCGGATTCAAATACAAACCGAAGTTATCGGGTTTCTTAACTTTTTAAAAAATATATAGTGCTTTTCTATGTAGCCTTGTATTAGCTGTTGGTGTTGAATATTTTTCAAACTTCAGTTAGCTGTTGCCGGTGAAACCAAGCAAAATCTATCAAATAAATATCCAAGTCCAACACAAGATCATTAGAAAAATACAAAGACGCCATTTCAGCCTAAATTCGCCAATGATTTTGTTTAGTAAAAAGTCGAAAAATTTTGGACACACTGGGGATTGAACCCAGGCCAACTCGCATGCAAAGCGAGCATGCTACCACTGCATCATATGCCCGCTTTATGGTTACGAGTCTAAACAAATCCTATATAAGCTATTACAGGGGTCTTACTACAACCTTGTTGCTGCTAACGACGCTTCAACATTCTACACCACGGTAATTTGTTTTTCTTTCGTTTTCGTACTGCATTCCTTTCTGTTCCCTCCTTTTCAGCTAAATCAATGGCCGAAGGAGATGCACAAAATCTTTTCCAGTTCCTGAAAAGCGATGGTTCGTTTTACCTTGCAGTTTCTGCTATTCTTGGTTGCCTTGCTAACCTTTCTGTCTAGTGTCTACCGATGAAAAAACAAGACAATTAGACAACTTACGCTCATTTTTTAATAAAAATAACATTCCTGTATGTGATTCGGGACTAATTACCCTTGAAGAAGTCTACTTATGCGAATGAATACTTATCCTTCGTTATGTTTACAAATGACTTTTTCTTGCCCTTCCTTGAACCACTGGCTAATTTTGTGTGTTTTAGAATGATGACCTCCCTATCTATATAGAATGCTTCAAAGTTTCTTTAGCGACCGTAAATCCTTTGATCCTTCGATCTGCAGTTTCATGCTATGAAACGTTCCTTCGAAGACTCCGTGCGCAGTGCCCATCGTGGGTGAAATTTCGCGTCCCACTCTTGAAAAATCTTGTAGTTGATCATCTAGCTTCCAGGGATCTTAGAAAACGTATTCTTACTATTCTGTTAGAGCTCTGGCAATTTAATCCCATAGAAATTGAAAGAAGCCTGCACCATGTTTTATCAAATAACAAAAATGCAGAGATTCGTATGCAAGCTTTAAAATGGTTTGCACTAGCCCATCGCTCAGAGTTATCCTTTGACCTTAAAGCTCTTCGCCCTTTTCTATTTGCCAACCTGGAACACGCGGATCCTTCTCTTCGTGAAGAAACAAAAGAGTTATTAGTTCTTCTTCACAAAGATTTATCGCCTTCTACAAAGGCCCACCTTCTTCGAGAACTTGAGTCGCATCAAGGTCTTCGAAAAGATTTACTGCAGTTTCTTTCCAAAAAATTATCTCCCCAGTCTACGGATGATTCTACTTCTCTTTATCAGTCTGGATCCCTATCCTTACCTTCCACGTTGCCCATCATTTCTTCCTTTTATCCTGCTGTAGAGCTAGAAAAACTCGATCCTCTGTACGTAAATTTCCCAAAACAGCTCGAACAAGACGTTGCCGCTATGCTTTCTTCATTTGAAGGACGTGAAACTGAACAAAATTGGTCTTTACGTCAATCAAACATCTTACAAATCCGTCGATATATGCGCGGAAATGCACCGGATCAGTATTTACCCGAGCTTCTGTCTGTGTTAAAATCGCTTCTTCGTGGTATTCTTGTAAGCTTTATGTCGTTGCGTACTACGCTTAGTTATTCTGCAATACAGCTCCTCAAGGAGATGGCCTTTATCCTCAAAAACAACATGGATGGGTATCTTGATGCTCTCCTACCCAATCTTTTGAAAATGTGCTCGGTCACTAAAAGGATTGTGTCTCAAGCTGCTAATGTTACCTTTGCTTCTATCCTTTCTTTATGCGGACCGCTTTCAAGGACTTTGCAATTTGTATCTCTTGCTGCTAATGATAGTAATGCTCAGCTTCGCGTTTTTGCTAGCGGCTGGATTTCCTTATTGCTCGCCTTGTACCCTGTTGCGAAATCACATATCAAGATATCTGCTAATCAAAATTTGTTTGAGAAAATTATATGTAAAGGTATTACAGATTCCAATTCACAAGTCCGTGAATCCTACCGAAAATCTTTTTGGAAATTTGTTGAATATTTTCCAAATAGCAAGGAAGATCTTCTTAAAACATTTGAGCCTTCTTCTATAAAGCAATTAGAACTGGCGAACCCTAATCGGAGCCAGCAACACCCTTCTTCAGCTTTGTCGGGGCCTAAGAGAGCTCCGGTGCGGTCAATAACACCTGCTATACGTCCTGAGATCAAAGCTCAAAAAGATGAAACTCCCTTTACACCACCTGTCCCTCAACGAAAACTAGGATTACCCCAACGAATGGTGGCGCCAAGCCGGGAGAGAATGGATACACAGTCAAAAAGTAGTTCCACGTTGAGTACACCTTCCAGCTCGAACATAGGATTAGGCCATCCGTCGTCTTCTGCCACTCCTCAGAGTTCGAAAAAGCCAATTTCTTCAAATACGCGTGAAAGCTCTGAAGCAAGCTCCTTTGAAAAATTAAAAACCTTACAGAAGGATTACGAATCTAAAAAAGCTAACGATTCTCTTTTACCTCAATCATTTGCTTCTCATGTGCCGTTCTTAACACAAACACTATATCACGGTACTCCGCTTCTTTATTCCATTTTATATACACCAGCCTTGATTGAGCTTTTATGCATTTGTATCGATACCCAATCTTTTCTCTCCCAATTCCTCCTTTCAGTATATGATTTATCCAACGCCGGTAATGCCTTTGCTTTGACTTCATTTCCTTATCTAAAAAGTCGTCATCCTCCTCACAAGTACTTTTTTATTCTTTTTGATTTGCTTATGGAAATATCTAGTATGGCGCCTTCCCAGAAAAGCTTTTCTTTCAATACGAACCAAAAGCGAATTGTAATTCATGGCTGCTTGCTTTGGATGAAAGAGATATTGGAAGGCGAGGTACAGTACATAAAGCAGAGAAATCCAGACTCGTCTCCACCTTCTAAATTTAGTATTGAACAACTCAAGCTTTGTTCCTCTAGAATTATTCCTATGATTACCAAGACTAGGTTAACATCTAAGAACTGGTTGCCTTTAAGTGGTTTACTCTATGCATTCAATTCTTTTGATCCAGAAGGATTTGAAAAGCTACTTGGAGGAATGGATAAGGAATCTAAAACTAAGCTTCTCCATTCTTGGGCTTACCAAGATGAATTCAAGAAAAATAATGAAAATAACTCACCGAGCTTACCAAATCAAATTATGGAAGATTCTGTGAGTAGAAATAATGATATTAACGGTGATATTATAAAGAGCACGACGATTTCCCCTTCTAAGGAAACTGTCAAGGATGCTTCCGCCATCCCTATAGAAAAGGTCCTTGAGAAACCCCAAGATGTTGACATGCTTAGTAATTCTCCATTAAAAGAACGGTTTAATACTGATAACCAGTCTACGTCTTTTACTTCCGACCTGGCTTATGATGTTGCACATGATTCGTTAAGTTCTTCGCAGTCTCTAAAAGATGGTCAAGTAGAGAAGGAAAATGAGGATAAACCAATCTCCTCGTTCATGGATCAAATAAAAGAAAATGACAACAGGATTCAAGAAGATAAAAGTATGGACGAACATACTGAACATATAGATGATGGAATTCAGTATGAGCAACATCCATCCCCTGATTTAAGTAAAGCAACTGATAATATTTGGGTTTTTAATGCATCGAAAATGGCCACAAGGAAGGATGAGTTATCGAAGCAACACAATAAATCTTCGCAATCTACAGAATCAGAAAAGACTGCACCGTCGATAAATATTTTGACTGATAAGTCAAATACTATGAACTCAACTAATGTTAACATTACTGGGAAGGGAAAGACGGAAGAAAAGCCTACAAGTGTTACAATGATGGGGCACCCATACACAAAAGCAAATTATACTGAACAACTCTTGAAAGACTCGGAGATCCATATGGTTTCACAGGCCAAACATATTCCCTCGGAAGAAGAACTTTCGATAATCTCAACAAAGTTATCTTATTATTCAGATGAAAAGCAAAGGAGTGATGGTCTTGCTGAAGAAAAGATCAACAAAGAGGATGCCTGCGGATCCGCGAACCAGACCTTCGATAATCGAAATATTCGGGAGGATGACATTAGTTTGAGTTTTTCGGAACTAAAGGTCCCGAATTCTGATCCTACAGTCTCTTCCCCTATGTCGGATGTATCTCGGTCGCTCACGGAAGAAACAGTCGTCGGCTATCCACCGCAACCACTTTCACCATCAGTGATAAGTAACTCTAGAAAAGAAAGCTTAACTGAGTTGCCGAACGTTGAAAAACTGAAAGTTGGTGAATTTGCTACAAGTGCTACCATATCTATCACAAATGTAGTGCCTCAAAATAAATGGTTACAGAATCGGATGAGGAAATTAGAAAAAGGGTCTTCGAAAGTAAAGAATATGGATTCTAAAAAAATATCGCAATATTGCACTACTGCGGTTGAGGCCTTAAAGAATGGTAACATTTCCAGCAAGCTAATAAAAATATGCCTATCTATTTGTAAGGAAACTCCTCATGTTTTATTAGAGCATACAGATTTTTTTTCTTCCCTTCTTGAATTCATTAAAGTTGAAAATCAGAATATGCATGTTTCCGACGGTTTACTACTCTTACATGAATATATCATCCAAAGCTATCAAGTAATTGAAGATAAGCGATACGAGTGCGCTTTTTTCACAATCTTAGAGAAAGGAGACCAACGAAAAGATGATGCTATAATCATGGCTGCTGTAGAGGATGTAGTTATGGTGATTGCACATGTGTGGAGAGCAGAGAAATCAGTGATATTTATTCATGATATGCTTCTTCAAAGACAGATCTCCGAAAAAAAAATGGCTCTCTGCTTACTATTCTTTGCTGAATTTCTTAAGCGATTTAACGAATTTACACATCCATTAATGGAAAGGCTTATAAAAGAGGTTGTTATTAAATATATTGAGCATCCTGACGCTGAAATCCGAAGGGCAACTTTCAATACTTGCTTGGTCGTTAATTCGATTGTTCAAAGTGAGGAGAAAACCATGTCAATTCTTGGAGACTTAACAGAAGGACAAAAAAATTTACTTGCGCATGTATGGAAAATGAACGGATAAAATATGATTTATAGCCCTAAACCAAATGTACGTTTAAAGTTCTTCATAAATGGATATGCTTGATTCATTGCTTTTTTCGCTCCATTTGCTGCAATATCTTGAAGTTCGGATGGTTTTGCTTTCCATTGCTCGTACGACTTGGCAAAAGGAGAAAGAGTATTAACCAAACTATCAGCTACGAAAGACTTGAATTCAGAATGCCTTGCGTGTTTGAAATTTTCGGCTATTGTAGTGGGCCTTGAATCTGACAAAGCAGCCGTCATGTTTATTAAATTGTTGATTGCTGGCCTGTTTGGATCTCCATAGGTAATACCTTCTATGTTGTCAGTAGCAGCGCCTGTAATCTTTTTCCTAATGTCCTGTTCTGAATCAGTTAAGAGGATATAATTTTTTGAATTTTGGTCGGATTTGGACATTTTTTTGTTAGGTTGTTTCAGTGCCATGATGGAACTTGATGAATCTGATTGTTAGAATAATTAGCATAATTTCAATTCGCTTACTTATAATAATATCTGGAATTATGAATAAATCTTTTTTAAAGGTCGAATTGATTTTTCGTGCAATATTCCGCGTAAGTTCTATATGTTGACTTTGGTCTTTTCCGACTGGAATATGAGTAGCACTGAAGAACGAAGTTAGTAACGAGGAACGATGCTTAAGAATGGTTCATGCTTACCCGTAGAGGAGAATGTCTGCTGCCTGCAGGACTGGGTACGAAAAGAGACCTAAATTGAATTTACTAGAAGAAGCAATACTTGTATTCAAAAACGTAACAGCATCCATCTCATGGAGTTGAAGCTTTGACTAAATAAATCATCCGTTAGGTTCCTCTTTTAATTACTGTCGCTATTAATAACACTTACCTTCCACTGAGTCATTCTGTTTAAATGACCCATTGGGGTATGGCAGCCCATCAGCCAATTCAATTCGGTATGATAGGGAATCTATACAATAGTTAGTAAGCGATTGGTTACATTCAAGGAAGAGTCGAGTCATGCTGATGAAACGAAGAAAGCGCATAGGAAATCAAGGGCGAACGCAAGATCAACAGCGACAATATCATCAATACTAATCAATACGAAAGAAATGTGGTTCATCTTGCAGATAGAATTTTTTTTTTTTGTAAAAATAAAACACATACATCAGATTGGAAAAACACGGTAGATCTTTGTGGATCGATTCCGATGGACAGTAGAATTGCCAGGGTATCCATACGTCTTTGATAGAAGTCTTGAGGAATCTGAGGAATGGTCAACGCATGCAAATCAGCGACAAAGAAGAAACATTGAGAGGAGGAAGAAGACGGGACGGAATTTTGTAAATTCGTCCACTGTCGAAGTGATCCCAAATAGTTGCCTACATGAGGAATTCCTGTTGGTTGGATTCCAGATACGACGCGGGCAGAACTATCCAAAACACGACTGAGATTTGAAGTTTTCATCAAAACGCCAAAATCATCAAACTCCTTGGGAATTAAAAGACAGATGAAATCAAATCCTATATGGAGTAATTATCGACTAAATAGGCACCGCGCAATACTGATAATAGACGGTTGGAGGTAAAAAAAACAGGGACTGAATGGTGGTAGTAAATCAGAATCCTGGATGTTCTTTACAGTATTCACAGTCTTAGATTGAAGATGTTAGGAAGTAGATATTATTTGAAATAAGAACTAATAAAGCAAAAGAGACGAGTTACTCCGGTTGAACTGAAAAGTCAATCGACGGGACGGAAGTCTCAAAGAACGATATCTATTTCTTTTCTATCTAAATAACAATAATATATATACACTTTTTGTTAAAAGTCGATGTTTATAATTTCGTGTTGTAAACAATGGTAACGGTTGCCATGGGATTCGCGCTGCCGATATAAACATAAGTTTACAATGGTAGACAACTCAACTTTTACCAAGACTATTTCATTTGTGAAACTAGATAGGTCCTTTTTCGTAAATGGATTCTATATCATCGAAAGTATGCTAAATAATTGAGAGCTTGTGAATGCCAATGTCGCGTTGCTTTCTCATATAAGGAAGATAAATTGCGGTTTTGACTTTAGACGCGTAAAGGCAAAATGCTTTCCTTATTTTTGAGATAAAGCATTTTTAATTAAATGATTTGAAATTGAAACAGGTAATTGAATAGGGAAGGAATCCCGTTTTCGAAACATAAACAAGTTTCAATCATTCATCACATACGCGTATAGTGCAATAGAGCGAAGGTGTATATTCTATCACAATTAAGGTAAAAGGAAGTCAGGTTTCTAGTATGGCAAACTTATACAATTGAAAGCTCGAAACTAAAACAAAAAGGCATTTATCTAATCGTGTCAAGTACGATTTTTTTGATTTTTTCAACCAGCAGACCTTAACATTCGTTCATTTGTACCTACATCATTTTTGATTTTTTAAGTACGTGAATAAGGATAAAGAACGAGCCCCGCTGTGCATGGGAAGCTGGATTTTCTCACTATACAGGCTGTGCTTTTCCTCAACCGAAGGGAAGCATTTGTTGTAGCATTTTTTATATCCTTCTTTTATTCGGATTGGAGCTTTTTGGTTGATTTCTTTGGAACGCATTCGAATTTTCAGCCGGTTGGGCTACAGTCTCTATTCAAACGAGGTACCAACTCGGCGGGTGAATTCTTGGGTAATTCCTTAACCCATTCTCATCCTTCTTTGTAATTACAACGTTCATTTGAAAATAAAAGTCATGGATTCGAATTTGACTGGCGGAACGTCTTTGCCGCAGCCTGAAATGGCCGCGGCTAATGCACCACAATTGGACTCTGTACAGCAGTTTAATCCTCGTTTTATGTTTCAACAAAGCGAAGAATTTATTAATCATCGTCCATTTCCCAATCAACCTCCTCGTAAGTCGGCTGAAGATCAAGAGTATGAAATTCGAAAGCTAGCTTCAGAGTTTGAAAACTGTTCCCTTGACTCGATCGCCGAGAAGATACGAATAGACCCTTATGGCGGAAATGCTGAAAAACTCCGCCAAATTTTCGGAGTTTGTTGGCTCAAACAATCTTGCGAAGACCAAGAAGATGCTGCTGTTCAACGAAACCAAATATATGCCCAATATGTTGATGCTTGTAACGTCTATCATGTAAAAACATTAAGTTCCGCTTCTTTTGGTAAACTTGTTCGCATGCTATTTCCTACCATAAAAACACGGCGGCTTGGCACTCGTGGTCATTCTAAATATCATTATTGTGGCTTAAAACTACGTGGACACGAGCCATTTCGAAAGCATCGTCGCATTTCCGAATCGAGCGTTTCTCCTGACTCATCATTATCTTTCACAAAATCACTCTCTTCTAACATTGATACCGATGTCGGCCAAATGGCTCCTGTATACCCTCCTCCACCTGTTGATCCTGCTACTACTACTCCTGTAACATCTAAAAGTAGTGCTCCTTCTCTTTCTGACGCATATACTTCTTCCTCGCCGCCAATATCTCTGTTGACTTCCTCCGTCAATATGCAACCACACGCCGCCAGTTCTCCTAGACTATATCCCTCTCAGCCTTCCACTATTCCCACCCAACTTCCTCATCAACCTATTCCCTCAAATCCTGCATTTTCATCTTCAGTCCATCATTTTACATCTCCGTTCAATCCCCCGAACCAAAGCATTGGTCCATCTGTGCATTCTGAAGCGAATCCCAATTATTGGTATACACAAAATTCTGTGTACAAACTAAGGTTAAAGTTTCTACCTCCTCATAAACTTCCTTGGATTCCTTCATTAGATATCTCTTCCTTTTCACTACCTCCTATCGATTATTATTTAAGTACTCCTTTTGATAATCATGAAGCAAAGGCGGCTCTGATGACGGTTTATTCCTCTCATTGCATTACTCTCATTGAATCAATTCGTTATATGCATTTAAAGCAATTCCTTTCTGAAATATCTAGTTTTCCAAATAGCCTTTCGCCTTCTCTTCTTGCATTACTCGCTTCACCGTTCTTTTCTAGATGGATCGAGAAGTCGGATATGATTATGTATCAGGAAATACTGAAGCTTTTGTTTCCTATGACATTACAAGTAGTACCAACTCCTGTCTTGGTGCTGTTACGACATTTGACAGAGAATCTTCTTAGTCATATGTCTAGTATATACAGCTCACATTCACGTTGCTTGGCACAAGTAAAAATTGAAAGCGCTGCTACATTCAGTAATCTCCTGTCCCGTCTTCTACGGGTAAATGACACCGCACACGCTGCTGCTAGATTTTTGGCCAATCCTGCCGACCGGCAACTGATTTGTAGCGATTGGGAGCGTTTTGTGAACACAAAAGTAATCGTGTCTCGGGAAGCTATGCATAATGATAAAGAGGCCGTAAACGTCCTTGACGAATGGTTTTCTCTTCTTTCGACTTGCTCTAGTCCGTCAGAGCTTCTTGATCCTTTAAAAGAGAAGTCGAATGTTAATGACATGGCTATGCATAGGATAGAATTACGCCAAATAGATGGAGTCTTGGATAGAATGGCCGATTTCTTTTTAGAATTGCCTTCGAGATTTCCTTCTTGCTCTCCTAGAACGTTTTTACTATATTTAAGCGCACTGCAAACTAGTGTACTTCGGGAGATTACTGTTGGTGGTGGTAAAGCATTTGGTGCATTATGGGTGATTCGTTGTTGGGTTGATGAATACATGACATGGGTCGCCGAAATTGGCGGCTTTTTGGACGATGATAATGATGAAGTTCCTCATGTGCAATTTCATGGAAATGATACCTTATCGTCTGAACAGTTAGCACATTCCTTGCACTCTCGTCAGCACATTCCACAGCAATTTCCCCCAAAGTTTCAAACCGAGGTGTCTCCGCTTCATCCACAGCAAGAGCAACATAATAAACCAACGGTATGGGACCCTTATGACAATGTACAGAAACAAAGAGAGGAAGATTACATGTCTGTTGTGTTCGATACGAATGGTGCTTGTAGTTGATGTACAGTAAAGAAGTTCTTCATTTTTATTATTGTTATTTCTGGATTTGTTCTAATCCCCGTTCATCTTTTTAAGATACGTGTTTATGAATATTCTTTTTGTTGTTTGTTTTGCCATATCTGGAAATACGGTCTCTGCTTCGGGAATGAATATAAGGATACACGGCAAACTTTCATTAGCTCCTTTCTTCTCTTTTTTATCTTTGGTTCTTTGATATCATCGATCATTTTCATTTCCATTTTTTGGTTATTTAATTTCATTCATTTTCATTTTGTTACGGCATTTGTAATAAAAGATATCTATTTTTTTTTTTTGGGTTGAACTACTTTGAACGCGTCTAATGTATGAAAACTAGATCATTTTGCTATCGTAGTGTTACCACATGTATAGAAAACCATCAGCATTTCATTCCATCATACAACATCGTTTTCAATTTGAAAAAAATTCGATTATTAACAAGAGCCAAATGCTAAAAAAATAATAAACCAGCTATAAAAACCCAATATATATGCATTACGCATAGCATCTACATTACCAAAAGCAATTAAAGAACCAGAAGAAAGATTTCGTCATTATTTCAAGTAAGAAGGCTTCCTTCTTTCTTTGAGTTTTTTGTATTGTCCCTTGCGACCACTCATCTTGGTTTTTTGAATCTCCAGGTATTTCTTCTTGAAGTAATTACGACGTTCGGTATTATGTACAAGTTCATCAGTAATAGTTGGTTGTCGTTCACGGTTTGCAATGCGACCGGAAAAGTAATCTTGAGGACCCTCAACAATCGTGCCTGTTTGAAAGTATTTCGGCATGTGCTTTGTATTTTCTCTTCTATAATGGCGTTTAGGATCCAAGACATTTCGCATTCTTAAAAGCTGAATGTCGCGCTTTACAGATTCAGTTAATTCAGTTGCAGGCATGTCGAACCAATCTCCACCAGCCGTGTCCTTTACGGCCTTTTTCTTGTTTGTAATCCCGGGAGCAGGGACGTGGGGATTCAATGTGGTAGGTTCTTCCACAGAAGAATCTTCATCCACGTAGGTAGATGGATTGGAAACCAATTCTTCTTTCTTTACGCTTGGGACATTCTTTTGCTTGAAATATGAAGGCAAGTTATACGCAGAGCCAAGCAAGTGAGGAATTCTAAAAGAAAAAAAAACACGTTAGTAAGATCTCCACATAAAGAAAAAAAAAGATTCAAATCATTGTTTGGTACATACTTGGGCACCCAAGCTTGTTTTGGTAGCTCGTTTGTTTGGTTTGCCTGTTTATCTTGCAAATTGGCTTTTGCAGATTGCAAAAGCCTTGATACTGCAGAAAGATCAAGGGAATGCTGAACTTGACTCATTCTATGTCTGCTACAGGTGTCAATCCTGTTTTGGTAGAGGAAGAGAAAATTCACAGACATAATTATTGTTCTTCCAGTTTAGGTAACAATCGCATATAGAGTAATCCATCACGGAATAAAGGAGTATGGTCATAAGCGTTAAAAGCAGCTAACGACATAAAAGTTAGCTTCGGAAAACAAAATAGCAAATCAAAAAATTCATCGTTAATCAAATATAACATACCTTAGTGTGCGTACAAATTTGTCTAGTGTAATGCGAAACATCTCGCAATTTATTCCACCTTTCTCTAACGGAGGAGGTACCTGGGTATAGAGAGGATGCTTAACGACAAATTCAATGTATAGAGTCGCGTAAATTTGGTGTAAAACATGGGTCAAAGGTTCGACTCTTGGACTTGTAATAAAGACCAAACGTAGATTTGTCGGCGTCTCGTAAAAATGAAGCTTGTACTGACTCGTGGTGTATGATAGAAACTCGTCTGCACCATTGGAGACTTTGCGTACCAGATTTCGTAGAGAAAAGATTACACCGAATATCAACTTCTCAACGTCGTCTTCAAAGGCAGTAGACTCCAGTTGAGACACCAATGTTTCCATAGAATTTGCGTCTGCTGGTTTCCAGCGATGCGCAAAAACACATTCATCTAAGACACGTTAGTTCCTGACTCAAAAGCAACTTTAACAGTATACTTTTTCTACTAAAGATATAAAACGCGTAAACAGCCATGATGTACCAAAGCGAGCGTCCTCTTTTTGTTTTATTTTATAATTATTATTTCTATTGTATTAACGAATGAAATTTTGGCACTCTTACAGTGGGAATTCGAGTTATAGGCAGAAGTTGGAAGCTCGGTGTAGGTGATGAAAGCTGGTATAAACATACCCACTCTATCGTCATATATATATACTCCTGTATTAGCAAAAGTAATCTTTAACAATAATAAAAGCTGTTTCAAAGGTTTTAAAATGGTTTCTTTCCCGTGTTTAAATAATTCGTAATTCTTTAAACCGATTTCTCTTAGTTCTTCTTTTCTGTCATTTGCTTTTTTGGTTTGATTCGATAACTTGGCGATTTGTTTAATATTTCCTTTCTAATGCTAGTAATGTAAGGATGGATGCTCACTGTTCTCTGCGAACATGACAATGGCATTATAATCTCCTCCTCGCTGGGTTCCTATGTCAAGATAAATATTAATTTAGGAATCAATTCTTCGAGGGTAAACATATAGGCAGCATCAAAAGGTCCCAACTACTAGTCACGGAATCGTAATGAAACTTCTCGGCATTCCTCCAGTCTTTCAGGACTGAATCATTTCACGTTCTTTCTTGTTCCTCTCCCATTCATCCTTTTTGCTTTCGTTTACCCTTGGTAAAGAAAGGTACCGCTATTAGTGTTAGTAATAATCATAGTGATAGTACAGGTTGCATAGTGAGCCATCTTTCAAGATTTAAAACGATGTCTTTGCTTAAAAGATTTCATGATTAATCTGTTTATTTTCCAATAGCTATTAGTTTTTTTTACGTGGACTGTAACACTTAATTATACCCTCCCTTTTGGTCGATGTGAGAGACATCTCTCATCGAATGGAATGCTTCTTCGCCATAGAATTTATTTTTGTTAATGATTTTCAATAAATAAATGGCTAGCTGTTGTAGTTGATAACAATGGTTCTTTTTCATTTCAGTCAGGACGGACCCACGGCAGGTACAACTTCGTTTTCCGTTCATTATTTATAATAACAACACAAAGAGATTATTTTCCTTTCTATTTAGCATGCTTTTTGCTCTTTCCCGATGTGGTTTTCAACATCATCAGTGTTGGAGCACCATAAATAAAAACCGAAACAACCCATCCTAGTGTAGTTGCAAAACTGAGTTTTTTCGCAAGACAAGCTCTTAATGCAAGGAAGGCTTCTAAGCTATGAGCGAAGATCAAAAAGTACACAGAACCATACAAAAACTTAGGTCCCAAGAGTTGGCGACTATCAACTTGTTAACCTTTTGGAGCTAAATAGATTTCAATCAACTTACAGTTCTTCAAAACGTGTTCCATGATAAAAGGGCTCGACAAACACAACGTACATTTGTAAAACAATCAACAATGGGAATAGGCGCCCAATTGTGTTTTTAGGGACGTGAATTTGGAATGACATTGTATAAATAAATCAAAAATATGAAACAAAACAACCCGTCTTACTGGGTAAAATGAAATTATACTGGACGTTTATACTTGCAGTAGTTGTTCGAAAGAGATCAGTTCATCCTTGGAACTTTCAAGTCAATGAAGTAAATCATAACAAGATAATGTCAGTGGTCCTTTTTTCTTAAATATTATATATGTATAGTTTATATCATTCTTCTTTATAAAAATACAAGATGGTATTAACCAGCTTTGCCCAAAATAATGACTATGTATGCAAGCAAACGAGCAAGCCGAAGCATCTCGTGAGACTCCTATGTATATAATATAGATTTCCTTTTGACAAAATTTGATTGAATCTGTCTTAGTTTCGTCCTTTCTTGCTCTTTCAATATCAGTTTCCTGATGTTCAACATATTTGAATTGCGTCTAAATTGTCATATACCCAACAATTTCATCTAGTTTCCTTCCATCCTTGAATATTTTTCTAAACTTTTATTTCCATTTTTGTATTTGACTCAAGTGCTGTTCCATATTTAAGAGAGTCCCATTTCTGGTGTTCTAAATAAACTTTCCCGTGGCCTTGCTCTTCTCTATATTACTTTACATTTTCATATTCATATCAATATCTCCTCATTTGTTCTCGCACTCTTCTTTGTACTCCTGAAAGTAGACGGAATAAGAGCGCAAAAGCAGACTGGACGAAAGGGTCGTCAAGCTTTGTTAGTCGTCTAGATAATATTGAGAAAAAACAAATTTTATTTTTATATTCGTTTTTCCCTTTGCTATGATTTAGATGCTTTTTGTCATGACCTTTGTATTATAAAGTCAATCCTCTTCTTCGGTTTTCCGGCGTTTGCTTGGTGTCTTTTGGGCCAAGTTATCTTTTACATTGTCGTAGAGTAATTCAAGTATATTTTTCTCTTTATTCACCAAAACAACCGCATTTTCTTCGTCTAAAGTTTTTGGTTCTTCCAGTTTAGGATACATTTGCAAACGATTTTCTATAACCTTTAGCAGCTTTCTATAGTGTTTAGGCTGTATTTCAGTCTTTTTGGGAACATGAGAAACCTTTCCCTTTTTTTCCATCATCACAAAAGACAAACAAATGCCTGTATAGTCTAAATCATCTGCAGAGAATGTAAAATCTCTTAACATTCGTTAGTATTGATAAAAAAGATAAGCATTTATACTTACCCTTCAGGGTTTGAAAGAACTTCTTTATATAATAGCATCTCGAGTCTTTCTTCGGCTTCCTCTTGTCCAATTTTTTTTATATATTCCGATAACCAGTCCTCACCTTTAATCAACACAAAATCATAAGGAGTTCCTTTTGGCTTTGTAAATCCATATTTTCGAAACAACTCGGAATTGTCGATTTCCCCATACGTATTCCATACCTGCTCTCCTGCCTTTATATCACGGCAAGCAATCATAGTCAATCGATCTTCCAAATCGTAAAGACGAATCTAAATGATTAGTATCTTTCTTGGACATTGATGGATAATTTCCTTACATTACACAATTCATCATCCCCATTGAACATGTCTGCAACTGGACACATTGACTTTTCAAATTGCTCAGGATCGTATTCTGATTCCACATCACTATCCTCTTCCTCAGACCGATCATCATCATCATCGTCATCACCATCTTCTTCTTTTTTAGATTCTCCATTTTCCTCAATTTCTTTACTCGTGGGTGATTTATTCGAGATTTCTTTCGAATTATCTTTCTCTTCCTTAGTCGCAGGCTTCTTTGTATCGAAGCTATACGCAAGCATTACAGCTGCCATACGAGCATAATCATCAAAGCTGACATTTGAAAATAAGTCTGGGTATTGCTGTTTGATCGGATCAATGGAATTTTTCCAAAGATCATTAATTTCTTTATAATCTTGGTTGGATTCAAGTACCGTACCACTCAGCAACTTTTTTTTCTTCTCTTCCTCCCAAAAAAATGGAGAGGTGATCCTATCTGTACTTGGAAACACATCCAAGTAGGGTCTCCAAAAGCTATCTGGCTTGCTATTTTCGTAGGCCATAGTTAACAAAAGAGCTGCCCAACCTGGCAAAGCTACGACTTCTGGAATCTTTGCCAATTCTGAATTCGACAAGCAAAGAACATTCTGTTTAGAGAACGTAACCAGTTCTTCATCTTCCTGAATTTGTTTAGCTTTAGCTTTTACTTTAAAGATTTCCTTGTGGAGTTCCTTACCTTTATATCTTGAGCAGCGACAAACCCGATTCCAAGAGACGGATGAACGGATTGTAAGTCTTTTAGTTCTAATTTCTCAGAAATAGTATACCCATTCTTTTCTACCGCCCATTTCAACATATCAAGCCCATAGTATAAGTTTTTCAAGTACCACTGCATTTCCAGGCGGCTGTTACATTTGGTGGACTTGTTTCATAAAAAAGACATTACAAAGTAGCATTCGTTACCCTTACAAAATCCATCTCTCTCACTATTTTAATAAACATTTCAATTTTTACTTTGAAAAGAATTGTTGTATAAGCTGATTTGCTCCAACATAACTATTGTTTAAGGATATCTCGTCTCATTTTATTCATTTTCTAGTTCAAAAAATTATTCGTAAGTGCGTTCATGAAGGGCATATTTATTCGTATCATCAAAATCAAATTCTCTTTTTACACCAGAAAGGAAGAACAGTTCTTACTTAGTATACTCATTGCGTCTTCTTGACTCCAAGACTTAGCCTTCGCAATAGCCGAAATAGATTCCTCTACAAGTTTGTCAAGAGTGCTAGCGCTGTGATGATCACTTTCTGGCAATATTCTGTCATCAGGAGCAGATCGAATTGTTTCGTCCATTTTTTTATAACGACTGTTTATGCCAGTAGAAAATGAGTAGTAAAAGTCAGTTGGAACTTTATGAGCAGAAAATAAGGAAATCTGTTGACCACTTCCAGAATAACTATGGAAGCAGATTTTTGGTGGATAGTTTTGTTTTTGACCTTCCCTTATAGATTCATATTCACCAGGTTTGTACTTCCTCAATTGAGACTTTGAGGGTATCCAATGACCCTCCCATAGTTTTGACAAGACATCGTATATGTACGTATATGTTTGCACTGAATGCACGCTGACAGTCCTTTGATATTTTGATGCCAATCTTAGCTGAAATTCAAAAACTTTGATTTGATGCTCCATACGAACGTAATGAGGTGATAATGGCCCTTGCGGCAAAGACGATCTAGCATCATATGGTCCAACAGGCAAGCGAAAAGGTTTGTCTAAACCGATTTCGCCAACCAAAGCAGTAGGATGTTTGAGAATAAGCTGGGAAAGAATTTCTGAAAGAGATGAAATGGATATAGGCTGCGGTAACTCTCGAATAAAATCATCAGGCGGTTCCGGCGAAAGGATCTTTTTGTAATGTTCGGCCTTGATGGTCAATTCATCGGACTGAGTTATTTCATCAGGGTCATATATCAAATACGAAAACCAAGGATGAATGCCAAAGCTTGGAATAACCTTTTCAGGGTACTTTTCTGCTATTTCGGAAACGTATCCTTGATCCATAGGCCGTGTGCCCATAACAATTATTTTCCCCAAGGACAATTCCGGTACGATGTGAAGATCTTCGGGAGTATCTGTCGGATGGCAATGAGCGTCAAGAATCGTGTTCAAGCCCATTTTAGGAAGGATAAGCAGTTGACTTTGTTTCTCTTGACCAAACTAAGGATTTTGTTTTTCCAAACAATCAAATGAATTGTTTAAAATTCTCAGGATAAAGTCCTTTTTCTTCTCCTTTTCAACAATTTTAAAATGCTAAAACTTGGCTAAAGTCATAAAAACAATATGTAATTCTGTATAAGTAAATCTTTCGTCAGTCGAACCTGGTAGAAAACGCAACAACATCATTCTACTAGTCGCGGATGTTTTTTTTGGAATTTTTGTAAATTAAAAAGGTATAAACAAGGTTTTTAAAATTAAAGACAAAAAATTTAGTTATGGAGGATTATCAGCCAGCTTCTTTTACTGCAACACTTTCAGATCCCCGTAAGGATTTCATCGGTCTTGTTGTTATCGTCATTGGTAGTTTGATTAATCTGCTTCATGTTTATCAAACTAAAGAAGGATTAAAGACAAAATATCATGTTTCATTCGGTCCTCCAGGACGCATAAAATGGTCCCCCTTCTCGATTAATAGAGACATTCCTTGTAATGTAAGTCCGAAAGAAATAATCATCAAAATGGTTATTACTTTCATCCTTTCTCAATTGACACTTCTCACTTTTGACTTGGCCATATTTGCTATAACAAGCTTGGCACTAATCATCACCTGGAAGCTATTTGAACAATTATGCAAAAACAAGGACGACGATAAACGTCTTACTGAGCAAAGGGAAAAGTTGAAAGCACAAAAGACAAGGGATCAGAGTAAGCCAGACAATAAGAAAAAGCCTTCGGACTTAAAGAAGAGAAAGAAACAAATCTAAAAACCCTCAACATTTAGATGTCCTACTATAGTTTTACTTAATGATTTTTTGGTCTATACCTACCAAACGTAAACCTCTATGAAAGTAAAAGATTTGGCATTTGTATTTACATAATAACTAAAATAATAAAATGCAACACTTCTGCTTAGAATAATCTAACCATATATGTGTACGAAAAAATTTTTTTCTTGTCATAACTATACGTAAAAAGAATGAATAAGTTACTCATCAGCAACATGATAAGAAGTTTTTCTCATATCAAAAAGACGGCGACGAGCTCCAACCAACTCATTTTCTATTTTCAGGATTTGCACTTGCTGTTCCATCTCTTGACGACGATACTCGTGAACACCTAGATTAGAGAAATCTTCGTGCTCCATTTCCTTTGAACGCAATGCCATAGTCTCCACTTGTCTTACTAAGGCCTTACATGCATCTGTAACGGCTTTGGCAGCTTCTTCCAAATGATCCTGTGTCTTGGATGCAAAGTTTGCTTTGACTCGCGAAGCGGCAACCAACTGAGCTGTAGCAGCTGCTACACCATTCGATGCTACAATTAAATGCTCGAAACTAGCTTTACCGTTAATCACTCCATCAGCTGTCTCTATCAGTGTGACGGTTGCACGAGCCACAGCCTTAGCAGCAGAAATAAGTCCTTCTGTCCATCGGTTATGCTTTTTATAAAATGCACCTCTAGAACTAGATCCTTTTCCTTGTGCTACAATTTCGGCTTGAGATGCAGTGGCAGCTTTAATTAGTCTAGCTATCGCTTCTGTTATAGCGATTGAAGCAGCTAATAATGAATCATGTACTTGCAATTCAGAAGGAGACAAATTGATATTTTTCGGTTGAGCGGCCAGGCCTTGCAACTTGAGGATAGCATTTTGAACAGCATTAGCTGTCTCAGCCAACTGCTTGTCTACCAGTTCTTCAATATTGTCACCTCCTGCACTTAATAGACCAACCGCGCTTTCAGATTCCTTGTTTAGGAATTTTTCACTGTACTGAGATAAATGCTGTAAGCGTTGTTGTATTTCTACGTTCTTGTTAATGACCATATCCGTTTTCTGGTCAACATCCATATGTACAGTAGAATGAGAATACAAGCTAGACAAAAATCGCTTCGCTAAATCAATCAGTTGTCGTGTTTGCGATACCAACTGATCGGATCCTTGATCATCACCAGTAGAACGACTCAAACCCTTACAGTTATTAGATACCTCCGACATGGACGTTGAAAAGAGGTTGACACTGTTGATAACTTCAGAATGATCAGCGTTAGGTCCATCGGCAAAGTAGTTGTTAAATGCCGTTGCAAATTCCGTACAGCGATTACTTGTATCTTCAATAATGGATAAAACAAATTCCGGTGTTGCATATTGATTTCCTGCATGCATAGGAGAATCCAACTCATGCAAACTAGCGTCTAAACGTTGAATACCGGTAAAGAGTACAGAGTTAACTATATCACTTAACTTTTCAAGTTGTGACTTTAACAAATCATCAATCTGTGAGTCCATAGCTTGGTCAACATCGCTGCGATCTAGTTGAAGGTTCTTTAACTGCAAGAGAGATTCATCAACGGCAGCCTTTTGGATTTCCACTTCTTCTTCTTTTTCTTGTAAGAGTTTACGGTACTGAGCTTCAGAGGTACTTAATTCTTGACGTAAACTTTCCATCTCTTGATCTCTCATACGCAGGCTTTCTTCTAACTGCGTGACTTCCCTATTATATCGGTTTAACAAATTGGATAATTCAGCTGACTTGTTGCTTTCAAGGCTTCTTGCTTTATCCTGTAGCAAGCGTAGCTCACGCTCACTAGTCTCCTGTTTGTCGCGTTGAGAACGTTGCATTGAATCCAATTCATGACGAGCACGATCGCGCTCAAGGATCATATCAGCGAGCTCAAGATTCTTACTCTTAATTTCACGTTCCATTCTTTCTTTCTTTTCAATGGCTTCTTGTGCAGAGTTTGCTTTAAGCTGAAGCTGCTTATACTTAGTTAATAGATCCAAATGTTCTTGACGCAACTGCGTATAAAGCTTAGCTAGTGCCTCGTATTTGCTCTTCCAGGTGTTAATTTGACTTCTCAAAGAATCAATTAAATCGTCATTTTGATGCATTTGATCTTGTAAATTAAGACCTGACTGATTTAACTCGTTTTCTAATGCTCTTACTCTAGCATCATACTGATGAAGAAGCATATTACTTTGTTCCAACTGAGCTTTAGTGGCAGCAACCTGCTGTTCCATACCAGCAAGTTGTCCTTGACTTTGCATTTGCATCTGTTGTTGAAGCATTTGTTCTTGAGCAACTCGTTGCTGATCCATTTGAGCCTTTTGAATAGCTTCCATTGCTTGTTGATGTTGTTGAGCAGCAAGACGCTGGCGTTCCATTTCAGCAGCTTGCTGAGCCGCGAGAGATTGTTGTTGCGCAGCAATTTGTTGGTCGTACGCAGGTTCAGACCAGAAATCTTGGATCGATTCAGGCTCATTGTAACTAGGAGCAGGTTCTATATCACTGGCCGACGGAAAGCTCATATCTACTGGAGAAGAACCACCAGTTCGTTGAGGACCAATGGAAGATGTACCGGTTGGCTGTGGCGCTATGGAAGCAGGCCGCTTTGGTAATTCTGGAAGATTGTCATCGCCCTCCAAATCTGGAGGCTCATGAGGAAGACGAGGAACAGAGATTAAACTAGTAAGGTAACGAAGGTTGGAGCAATCTGCGTAGAATTGACGAAGACGATGGTGTTGAGACTTATACCTTTGCTTCAAAGGTTCTAAAGTATCAGCGGCATCTATAGTCTTGTATAATGCACGCAGCATGCTTATTAGAAACCGGTAAATACCATAAGACTCCTGTACCAACGGAACCAAAGCAGAAATTCGGCATTCGTTCTTACTCGAACGCTTAAAGGAAGAGAAGATTTGCTTTTGAAAATCATCAATATGATCTTGGAGATTCATCATGTCGTAAACTGTTTCATAACCTTCATTGGGATCGTCGACTTGTCGAAGACTAATGTATTCCTTGTATTCGAAAGTTCCATTGAACTCGGGATGTTGACTATGAAAAGCAAGCTTATCCAACAGGTAGTCAACGTAATCTCGAATCAAGCCACTGTACCCTTTCATACCTTCTCCACCAGGAAATTGACGAGCACATGTCTTAAGCCAACCTCTTTCTGGTTGCGAATCTTTTAATGCAGATCTATGACCTTCTTGTAACACTCGGTGCACAGTAATTAAGGCCTTAAAAGTCTGTATTTCGCTAGCGAACAATGGCTGTACCTTTACGGCAACCCAAAATGGTTTGGCGGTGTGGTGATCCCACGTAAAAACGATACAACTACGTACATGCTTTCTTTTAGGAGCTGTTTCATCAACACTCGTAGCTTTTCGTACGCTTGTGACCAAAGATGCATCTGACTGCATATGGTCTGCTTGCAAACGAAAGGAGTTCATATTGGAACACTTTCCACTCGTACTTAGCCAATTGTCTCCTCCAAAAAATATTCTAAAAGATCAAAATTTTCCTAAACTTGTTCAAAATTAGGCAATTGCCTTTGTTGGAAAAGAAGGTGGTTGTTAAAAGGAATCATCTCGGTACATCATGTCAGAAAGGACGAAATTGAGAAGCGGAACGAGCTATGATATGCTTTTAGTAAAAGTTTCAAAAACTTTTGGAATGACGGAAAAATACAATAATTATTATAAAAGAAAAACAATAGTTATTGTAAGTACTCTGATATTTTAAATATATACATATTCATTCTATTTACCATCATCGATCGTAGTATTGAGATTAACTTACGATTATATAACTTGTAGGTGTCTCCAATTTCCCTCAGTAGTAAACAAAATTATTAAATAAATAGGATACATGCAAGTATGTAGGTGCCAATAACTTACCAGTCTAAAGAGAGTAAAGTTCTTTCGTATAGCTCTGCCTGAGCTTTCGCCTTACTATATGTCTTGGCTCTGTCGTAATATATTTTGCAAGACTTTGACCTGCATAGAACAGGATCGGAAGAAGAGATGTTACTGCATCCTCGGCATATATCTTCCAACCTTGCTAATCGAACAGCGATATTTTTACTCTTTTGAATAACTCTCGTCGTAGCTGTCGGCACAATCTTCAAACAATCATCACAAAGATATTTATCTTCGGAAACATTTTGGCTGCTTACCATGTTTCGGAGACAAGAGGAACAAAGCCTTTCCGTTAAAAACTTATCTAAAGTCCTATTATGAACTTTAGAACTATCACCCGAAGATCCTGTTCGTATTAATTTATGAAGTCGTTTTGGCATTTCATTGTACCAAGACTCAGCACTAGCGCCCAGCAGATTTAAAAATCTATCCAACGGCGGAATCAAATTATGTCTTATATAATAATCAATATCTAATTGTGAAAAACTATCCGAAAGATATTCCTCCGGAGAGACTGAACGATTTGCCAATGTGGTCCCTGGTGCTCCCGCTACAACCAAGTAAGGAACACGCTCACCATACTGTGGCTCGGACCTAGGATCCTTAGTCATTAGGCGTCTTGCCATAGTAGCACCAGGAGGGGCCGTACTTAGTTCTTTGTATTTGTCCATCCGTACCTCCTTATTATAACAAAAATCCATAGCTGGGATTTCTTCAGACATTATTTTAGCACAAAACTCTTGAAATCCTCTTTTAACTTGAGATAAATCTTTGGATTGAAACAACTTTTCTATGCAACTGCGGAGAACTTTTTGTTGTATGGGTGTTCCATCTCGTCGAACTGTCTCAATCCCTTTAGCATCAAATGAAGGGACATCTTCATTCACTTTTTCATATTTGTATCCAACATATCTTTTCTTTGCCAGTAAGAAACATGGTAAGTATACCTTTTCGAATTTCAATCGAATCGGTGAAGGAAACATTGAGGTGATTTCTGATGCAAGTGAATGTCCAATCTCAAATGCTTGCTCTTTAGTTTTCCCTGGTAATTCGACGAATAAACTATCAGTGTCACCATATACAACCCTGGCATTAAATTTTTCATGGTTATTGATGTAAGATAACGCATTTCCAAGAAGTTCTCGTCCTGTCTCAACAATCGTGTCAGCAATTTCTGAGCAGGGCATTCGACCTGAGAAGGAAGCAGACGTGTAGCCATATGTAACGTTTGCGATTAGCTTAAGTGCCAACTGCCGACTGTCCAGAATCTGGTAAACATATGCTGAATCACAGTTTTTCATCCCCTTTTTTATCATTGATCTGGTTTCAATAAGCTCCTCTAACATCTTGGCTATCAACGATTTCCTGACTTCTTTATTTACGTATGCATATCCATTTGGTGAGATATATACATTGTCTTTCACAAAATCCATCACGCGGGGATCAATAGAATAGGGCATAAATCCAAGTTTGAATTTCCCGTTAACGGATCGTATAGGGCCTAAACAAGTAGAATAGCACAAATTATATGCTATAATGATAGAAGGGTACAAGGATTGAAAATCCAGTACCAATACAGGATTATGATACATATTAGATCGGGGTTCCATAACTAACGGTAACGCTTCCAACGCATTCTGCTCAGCTACCTGCTTAGCACTTGGCGAAACAAGTAAATAATTTTCAGATTTGGCAATACGAAACATGATTGCTTCAACTTTAAATTGTGATCCCCTGGAAATGACAGACATAAAATCGATACCAACGACCCGAGCTTGCTCTCGAATTTTCGTAATAATTGACCTTGAAGATAGTATTTCAAGAGAAAATTTTGTTCTTTTTAACATATACTGAAAAAGAATATGTTTGTCGTGAAAAGCAGGGGTACTCCAAAGCTCTACTAAATCCGCTTGTCTATAGAAAGGTGTTTGGATACCGAATAGGTGAGCTACCACATTTTCCAGTGAATAATTTAAGAGACTAATCTCTCCTCTAATTATTCGCCAAATATTTAACATGTGTCGTCCAACAATTTTAATTGATGAGGTGGTAGAATAACCCCAAGCATCATTTTTCTTGGAAAAGGTCCCTTTTGTTGTATCAGCTAACCGCGAAAGCTGTTCTGGAAGGTCATAATTAAATTTATAAGCTGCTCTTTCTATAAGGTATCCCCATGAGCTACTGTGTACCTCATAACCACATAGTATAGTGGGATCTAATTGACGTGTCAACGAGATTATTTCGTTCAGTAGTTCAATTTCTGAAAAAACAGACAAAACTGTAGCATCCGGAAAAGATTTCTCAAATGCAGTACTTTCTATGTTCGGAGAATTCACGATAAACCCACATTTTTCAATGGAACGAATATTAGCATTTTCTTGATACGCCCAAAAACAACCTTCGATTGGATCTTTGGAAGGATCAGGTAGTAAACCATTTTTACTATTACAAAATAATTCCAGTGATAGTATACGTATTGAAGCATAGGGATCCTTATTGAAAACCTTTTGCTGACTAGAGGTAGGTGTTCCGTAGGTATTAGTATCAGGCTTTGTACTCTTGGATTGAACACTAAGTTCAGAAAGACTAGGAGGAGGGATAGCATATTCCCATGTAGTAGATGTTCTGACGGGTGGTAGTTTAAGCGGCTTACTAGTCATATTTTCTTCCACATACCCATCAGAGCGGAATTCTTGAAGGTATTTTGCTGAGATACCTCGAGGATAATACACATTTCCCAAATATTCCTGGTGGCCGGAGGGAATGTCCTTCGTCAAACTGTAGTGCACATAAGGATAAAGTATACTCGGTATATTAGTAGAGGATGTAGTATCTTGCAACTGTTGGCAAGATGGTGGTTTTTTAGCAAAAATATACTCCTCTTTTGGGGGCTTATATGGTAAGCGGTACTCCTTTGGTAGCTGTGTCCATCTGGTAAGTCCTTCGAAACTAGTTCGAGGTTTTCTGTATTTTTGAAAACGGACATACGTAGTCTCAGGATTACTAGAAGCAGCAGAACGTAAACTAGGGGATAACTCATCAGACGAGTTAACCAAATCAACTGGACGCTTTCTAAGATTGCCACCACCTTTTAATCGTAAATTAGACTTTGGAGAATTTAAAGGTGAGCTAACAATTCGATATGAATCGTTTAATGAAGGAGGGCTTGATTTAGGAGAATCTAATGGGGATTCAGATAACGGTGGTGTTGAAGGGTTTGAAACGGCCCCAGCATCTGAATTAGGCTGTACGAATGGGAATGCTTCGAAGACGGAGTTTCCCATAATATTTTCTAACTCAGAATCTAATTGTTCAAACGAATATTCAATTTCAACATTGTCTCCTTTCACTTTCTCTGGTGAAGCTTGTAAATTAGACGAGATTTCGCGGTCTTCACTAGACAATTGAGAAACAGAAGCTAATGTTTGCGAGGAATACGCAGGGTTTACTGTATGCAGCGCGACAAAAGCAGTAGGTATATCCGGAAATGGGTCAGACATGTTTAGTGGTTCCATTTGAGAAGCTTTCTTGTAAACGTCGTCTAATAGCTTTGTAAATTCCTTCTTAAGCTGGTTTTCATTTTTCCAATGCGGAGAGCATCTGGTGATATTATCACCAGTGGACTTCAAAGACAATTGACTCTGTTGCAATTCGGAAAAACTAATGGTTTCATCCGTACTGATTACATTGCGTCTTTTTGCCTCTGATTTCCAAATCTCAGACAGACTACTAATGAGCAAAGAATCATGACCGAATGATGGCTCAATTATAGAAGAGTGAAGATTGCGCTCAACCAGCTTACTGGCGTTAAGGATTACTTGAGGACCCATATGAAACTCTACCTCACAGTACGATTTGCGCTCTTTCGACGCTTGCAAATTTTCGTTTTCACAGTGAATAGGCGCACAACCATAAAGATTATAGTCAACCATAAACTGAAGAAGATAAGGTAGATGAGACTCATAGACTTGAATGACTTTATTTAGAATCGCTCCTTGACGAAACAAATCCACCAGCCTATCCCTGTTTCTTGGGCTATATAAAGCGATTTTCAGAAAACGCCGATAACCGACATTATACCCGTAAAAAGGAATTGCTTTAACAAGCTGGACACTTTGTACGGAAGGTCTGTACTTCTCGGGTTCTGTTCTAGCAGCTAAGGCAAGAGCATGATGAATAGCAAGATGCATGATATTGAGGAAGGTCGATAAGCTTTCTTGTTTCTCAATTTCATTAGAGAAGTCAGAATATTCGACATAAAGATACGGAAATACGTTATGAAGGAAGCAACAAACTGTTTCCGAATTTTCGTTGATCCCAAAAATTCGAATGACAGGAAACAATGGAAGACGAGCCTCATCACTATTCACATCGTCAACCAAATGATCATAAGACGGATCATATGGTTCTAATTCCCAGTCTATAGATTCCAGCGAGAAAGACATGTGAAGTAATTACACATTAGCGAATTCGAAAGATTCTGGGAGTAGATAAATAAGTTTATCAAGAAATACAAGTACATAAACAAGTCTTTATAATAACAATGAACAATGAGGTTGCTGAATAACAACCTGTGGATTGAAACCAAAGCGTACTCTTAGAAGTTCCCAATTGCATTCATTTATGGTCTATGAATGTACTCCAAACATCTCTTTTCCTTTTTTATAGGATTGAAGTTAATAAAACCCAATTTTGTTTGAAGAGAGACGTTGCCAGAAGTAGTGTATATGATGGTTCGAAAATAGCATATCCTATAAGGTAAAATAAATCATGCTAACAGCGAAAGGCGACACTTGCAAAAGAATGCGAACTAACACTTGAATTTAGAATTAATTTATTGGAAAAAAATAAGAAGAAATTTCATAGCACCACGAAAGGTTTTGAAAATCGTCCTTAATAAAACTATCTATGCAACTCCAAATATCTCTCCAAGAGAACCATATCCATTCATAATACTTTTCCTTTCTCACATTTGGAATTCTTTTCTTCTGATAGTTTAATATTTTCTTGCTTTGGACCAGCATTGAGTTAGGCCGGGCTCAGCTTTTGAACCTACCTCTTTCTATTAAAATGGTCCGACTATGCTCGTTTTTATCAAGCATGATATATCATAGCGAATACTTGCCAAGGTTTCGCATCATTTTTGAATTGTCCTCTCCATCCATAGTTTGTTTACTGATTTATAATAATATTTTTGTCACCCTTGATTTCTCATTCTTTATGAGAATAAACAAATCAGTGGAAAAAAGAGTGTACGTTTTTATGAATTTGTACGTAGAATTGAAAGCTTTTATCCTTATTGAATGACTAACAATTGTTAGCATAGATCTGATTCACTAAAAAACCAATATAGGCTGTGCTTAGCTGGACCGATTAAATCTCCTAATCTAGTTTCTCTTGTTGGATTCAAATGTCTTGAGTAGAAAAACATTCTCTCGAACATTCTTAATTCCCTTTGATATATTTGCTTTATAGAGATGGTTTTATTTTGTTTAGTTTAGTTTTGGAGCGACTCTCCATCATTCGTCTGACCTTGAGTTTGCCTTGTTTCTGCTGTCATCGAAGCTATTTCCTCCTTGATATTTACTTGGTTTCCAAGTCTTTTGTCTCGGTACCTATTTTGGACGAAAATAGTTCGTTTGCCGTGGATGCGGTGCATATCAAGATTGATTTTTACTCATTTTAACGCTTGTCTTAGATCTCCTTTTTCGAAATCGTTTTCCAAAGTTATTTCCTTTGTAGTAATTTATGGAGAGAAAAGGCAATGGCATTTACGAGTGTTTCTTGGTTCAACTTGAAGAGCCAATTCTCCACTTCTGATACGTCGAGATCCTAAACAGCTGCTTGATATAATACTTCATAAAGAATTTCTAGCTAGAAATTGTTTGGGTCATTTTCGATAACTTGTCCAAACATGTAATCAAACGTCCTATTCTTAACTGTCTCTTCCACAATCTCTTTAATTTGTTTTTGATGATATCCTTGAGTTCTGTGATATAAATAGGTAATCTTTTCACGGTCGGCTGGAAACACTGAGGGTATTGAATCAAAGACAGCCCATAGTCTTCTTTTCCAGTATTTTGCTTCGTGTTTCTTCGCATCATAGATATTTGGCTTTTTCTTGTTATATTCATCTAAGTATAACTTGGCGGCTTCTTGTCTGTATGTCTGGCAGATTAGAAGAATAACATCCATCGGTTTTTCTGAGATATACTCTTCGTCAATTGTCCTTTAAATCATCTTTTCGAAATTCCTTTCTTGATTAATCGCATTCACTTGAACGGATAGAACTTGCATTTGAGCTAACAATCTTCGGAGTGAAATTTCACCATCCGCTGCTTATGAATTTACCGCCATCCTTTAAGATATGTGGTTTTAATAAAAACAAATTTCTACCTGCAGATGGAAGGCTAAAATTTTGTTCACCGTTGAAATCTCACTCTTTGTGAGGATAAATTCCCAGTTGTAACAATATATCGTTAAAGGACATTTGTATGTAGAACTGAATGCTTTTATTCTACTTAAAGAACCGTAAGAGCTGCCGGCGGTTTGATTTACTGAAGATCCAGTATATGCTATATTTAGTTAGACCACCAGTCAGATTGGAAAATGTGAACTTTTTAACTCGAGCAATGTTGATATACTTTTCTATAATTAGTAAGACTATTACTCATCTTCATTCTAAGTTTTTGTTATTAACAAGTACAAAAATCGAAATTGTTTCCTTTCTCATAAGTTACATGATATAATTATCATAAAAGAACAATGCTTTGTTATTACAATCCAAACAAAGAAGCTGTAAAACAAAGAAAGTAGTTTAGACAAAAACTCTGCTACAGATTATCAATATGACAGCGGCATCGGAAGATTGACTGATTTAGCTAAGTACATTCTACGTAAGTTATTTAGTGAATCAGATTCCTGGAAGCCACTGCTATTCTTTTCATAGTATAGAAGTATCCATTCCTACGTGCAGTTCATAATCACGTACTCTCATTTTTTCCACTAATTTTTCGTACTCTCATAAAGAGTGACATTTTATCTGTAACACCAGATAACAGATAATACAGTTGTGATTAACACCATATTTAAAGCAGCATCGCTGGCGGTGTAACTCAGCTCTAGGATTTGTCCTTTACCATTACTTTAAATTGGACTATACGACAAACAACTTAAACATTTAATGGTTTGCTCGAGCGGAATTGAAAACAATATGTCAAACCAACAACTTGTTTTAGTCACCGGTGTTACTGGGTTCATCGGAGCCCATGTTGCTGTCTCTTTACTCAAAAAGGGTTATCGTGTGCGCGGTACTGTCCGTAGCATGGAAAAGGCAAACGAATTGATTCGTTTGAACCCGGAGCTTAAGGACAAGATTGAGTTTGTAATCGTCAAAGACATTACGGAACCCTATGCCTTTAAGGATGTTGTCAAGGATTGCGACTATATTTGCCATGTTGCTTCTCCTTTCTTCATTTCAAACGTCACTGACAACAAGACCCAACTCTTGGATCCCGCTGTCCAAGGTACCCTCAGTGCCTTGGAAGCCGCCATCACTGAGCCCAAGGTCAAGCGTGTTGTCATCACTTCTTCTTTTGCTGCTGTCGGTGACTACACCAAGGATCCCTCCAGTGGCTACGTCTACAGTGAGAAGGACTGGAACCCCATTTCTTATGAGGAAGCTCTCAAGACCGAAAGTGGTCTTCTCGCGTACTGTGCTTCTAAAGTATTTGCTGAAAAGGCTGCTCGTGAATGGGTTAAAGAAAAGCAACCTCACTTCGATATCTGCACTATTAACCCTTCTTACGTCTTTGGACCTACCATCCATCCCATGAACAGCATGGAGTCTTTGAACACTTCTAATCAAATTCTCTGGACTATCATCAATGGTTCCAAGATTCAACCTTCTACACAAGGTTTCGAAACCGATGTTCGTGATGTTGCCGATGCACATGTTTTAGCTCTCAACCACCCTAAATTAAGCGGTGGCCGTATGCTTATCCCCCAAGGTCCATTCTTCACAAACACCATGAGCAAGATTCTTCTCGAGAAGTTCCCTGAGAAGAAGGATGTTATTTCCGACCCTTCCGATGTTCCTTTTGACACCAAACGCTTCACAATCGATAACTCTTTCTCTAAATCTGTTGGTATGAAATATTACTCCGAAGAGCAAACCTACATTGATACTGCCACAAACCTCTGGGAACGTGCTAAGCAGTTTCAAGAAAACAATTAAACTCAATTTAAATAAACTAATATAGATTGTATCTCATTTTATTTCAGCTGTTTTCTAGATAGTCACCTTTAATATATACGATCTATAGTGACTTGAAGACGAACAACCGGACTTTATTGACTGTAAATGAATGATTCTCTCATTTTCCTATGGCTAATAGCAATCATTTGTGATGCAAGTCCATATGACTGATGGTTCTTATAAAACAACTAACACTGTATTTTTTCACAATTTAGTTGTATTCCGACTACGATATAGTAACGTATGTCAAGGCGAAGTATCATTTATCGAATATTTCCAAACTCAGATAAAAAATTTCTTATTTATTGTTACAAAAAGTCAAAGAGAAAGGAAGAAATATTAAAACCCAGACACCGGCTGGATCAAACCAATTAATTATTTTTGTTCAATTAAAGCAACCAAAATTGTATGCAAGTAGGTATTGTCGATCGTTTAGCATGAGTAAATGAGAAACAGAAAAACTATTATTGCTCCCTTGTTTTCAAGTTTGTTGTACTTATATTCATGATACAATGGACCGTCATAAAAAATCTGTAAATAATAACATATAGAAACCATAGCATCAAAATAGAAGACTAACTTTTTAACCAATGAAGTGCATGATAACTTCATAGCTTCCGAAAAGAATACAGGCATTGGGGACAACTCGAAGTAAGTGAGCTGTTAACCCGCCATAAAGGCCTGCAACCCCTTGTTCTTTCCAGACAAGGTAAAAGCATTGTAACAGACCATTGTATTTAGGAATTCCATTTGTTGAAGGACTTTGTCTCAACCGGGTTCGAACAACTTCATGAGGATAAGCAATCGCGGCAGCAATGAATTTAGCTAGTCCTGCACCTCCAAGTTTACCTGACCAATCCAAAAATTTATCATACAAAGTGTCTTTGTAGCCGAGCTCTCGCCTTTGAAGTTGTCGAAGAGCAACAGTGTGTTTGAATTTTTCGTAAACAACCCACTGCAACGTACTCTCACCAACCCCTAGTAAACTCGCCGATAGACCCTTATAAAGACCAGAGATTCCTTCCACTTTCATAGTTTTTATTATACAATCAACTGATGACTTATAACGGGCCGTTTGTCCGCTTCGTTTATCCAACTGTAGCCGGGTCTTCACCAACCATATTGGATTGGTAGCAGCAGAGGTGATGACTCCTGCTATGGCAGCAGAAACTAAATGGACTTGCGATGATTCTTTTCCATTATTGAAATGATCAGCTATTATTCGTTTTCCGTTACCGTAAGAAAAAAAATTGATGGACCGAGCTGGAATCGTTCCTACCAAGTTAGGTCCTAGCCCTCGAAATAAAGCTCGTGCTCCCTCCTGTAACCGGACGTTATTTAAAATCAAGCAAGTATCTACAAATTGCCTATAAATAGCTCGAACTCCATGCTTCGGGCCAGATTGTTTTAAAACTCGATCCTTGTAAAAATCTGACTGAAGCCTCGTTTTGACAACATCTAAAGGGGCAGTAGCAATTGCTCCAAGCATCCCAGCAACCCTAATGTTTTATTAGCATTCCTATGAACTTGCTTCTTCATTTTGAACTGTAACATACCCTCCAGCAATAAAATGCGATGACGGCGAAGGAACGCGTCGATTGACATCTTCTTTATTTTGATTTTGATTTACTTTATCTAAGACGTCTCTTTTGGGAGAAATTGCCTCTGGATTTTGAGACATTGTCAAATATTCTAAGTTTTGGCTCTTGGCAGCGTATTCCCGCTCATCGGTGGGCTCTTGGAATTTTTCAAGTTAAAACATAGGGCATCATTCCATGAGTTAAATTATTTTTATTAAATACTCTTATATTAACAAGTTAGAAGTCTTGCAGCTCTCTTCACTTCTATTAACTCCCGGATGAAATAAGTGAAAATGAACTTTTTACGGCGAGATCTGAGAAGCATATTTCAAAGTAAAATCAGTTACAAACTGTTCATTACTTGCACTGTTTGAGAAATTGGAGTTTATCATCATTTTCTGGCCTTGCGCAAATGAAGGTAAGTTGTAATTCTTGTGAGCAAGCTATAGTTTCTTTACTTAAATTAGTATTTTATTGCAATATATAACAAATCCAGCTCTTCTACATTTTTAACTATGATTACAATGTTTAGTACTAATATTTTTGACGATGAGGTTTGATGGCAGACGAACGTTCGCAAGACATAAAGCTTGTACGCTTCCAATATTCATTATATTATGAACTCAAGGTACTTCACGATAAAAAATATAGAGAATTTACAAAAGAATCGTCGATGATTGCTATTCTCAAATTTTAAGCTCAACGGCTTTATGTGAATTTCAAGTTTCCATCCTTAGCTTTGGAGACTTTACCAAGTCTAAAAAGAAAAATGAAAAATGAAAAAGTCGAAAGCCTTTAATTCTTCTGCGTCACAGAGCAAGGACAGGGCCCACCTCTGGGGTAAACATCGATCCATGAATTCAAACATTGTAGAACATAATTAACTCCACCCAATTTAATAGAAAATCTAACAATCATAGAATGTTTCAGAGACGGAAATATAGCTCATACATCTCATATACTGAAATGCGGCTCTAAAGAACGAAAACTTTCAGACAATAAATCCTGTAAAAAAAAAAGTTTCAAATTATAAGCATAAAGGCATAGTAAATTAAAATAATAAAAATAATCTCACTGCTGACTCAATTGCTTCTTTCTTACACACAAACAACAGAGGTAATAATCCATTACTTTTAACAGATTTAAATCCTTTTTGCTTTAGGTCCACTTTTATAGTATTAAGAAATACGACTTATGCTTCGGAGTTGAACCAGAGAAAAAACCCAGAAACTTTTTTATGAGTATTATAATAAATCATGTAAACCCGTATTTGCAACGCATATGGGGGAATTATTTTCAACGACACTGTTTCAACTTTGCAGATGATCGGTTGGAAATATTAAGCTTATAAATACGAAGACAATGGCGAATTTCAACGACAAACTAATGGTTTACTGTCCTAGGCAAGCAATCTACTCTGCTGAATATCAAAGTTGACGTATACCAAAAAGAACCCAAAGAATGCCAAGTGAAAATATATGATATATATATATACAACATAGAGCTTTCCAAGGGTGTCCGTCGTCCATCTTTTCAAATAAAGCATTTCGGATCTTGAAGGAACAACTTGCTCAGAAATCTCTCCCCAAATAACACATTAAAGACATTGGAAAACTCCTGAATACCGTAATCATCTGGCATTGAGGTTGTCAAGTCACTGTGCTGACTTCCTCTTTCTTTTGATATTGTGTACGAGTCATTCTCCTTGGCTTCAAATCTGAATTTAAAAAGCAATAATCACTTATCTGATTATATGTGAATACGGACGTATTGGAATTGACGCAACCAGCTGTACCACGATGAGAACCAAGAATTAGCCAGCACAAGAGACATATAATCTGTTCTGCACTCTAAAACCATTCTGTGTATCAAAGTAACGTTTGCCTTGTAGTTCTGGAAATTTGGCAAAGTACGTATACTCGTTTAGATTTACATACCTCTCCCACTTCCCCTTCACATTGGTGTTTTCTTTTTCAGTCTATTATGGGCAACCCGAAGAACAATTATGTTTAAAGTGCTATTATCTTACCGCTACGATTGAGAAATTGAAGCTTGCTAACTAGGATTATGATCGATACCCAAGGAATATTTGCTTAAATTGTCTTTAGCAAATACCGAAACTCATATGAAGCACCAGTACTTAATCGCGACATCCACCTTTGATAACACTTACTTAACACGTTCAAATGTGAACCAACTGTTTATATTAAGTGTATTACTCTAGTTAACTTTTCGAAATCTATTTTTAACCAAAAAGCTATTTTCGCTAAAGCGGCTCTAACACAAAGGTAACGAAGAAATAATAGAGTCATACTTAAAGTAAGTCTCGATCGTATAAATCTTTTCTTTTATGGAAACTCCTCATATAACAACTCGGTAACGGTTATAATTAATCACTGATTAACATATGCAAACATTTGTTTATTTTTTAGTTTGTTACTTCTCAGTTAACATAACGTTTTGAAAAGCATAGGAACAATTGTTTAAGTAAATGCCATTTATGGCTCATGCTTAAACTACACATAGCATTGCACAATTTCTACGATTTGCTTTTTGGGATATCTCAGCCTATATTTATTGCTCAACGTATGACACATTTGAATTACACATAAGCGTTGACTGCCAGTATTAAAACAAATGAATTAACTAATATATCATTCATGCAAAAATTAAATAAAAAGGATACCCAAAAGGCCACCAAAATAAATATATGAACATTGTTTTACCGAAAATCCCATCGCAACACAAAAGTAATCCGTAATTACATTGCAAGAAAATCAATATGAGAAGGTACCGCTTACATTCAGTGTCACCATATTGAATTTTCGAGAGTAGCTTTTCGAGGATTAAATTCCTTTAGAGCCTCTGGTAGGTCTGAAACAAATGATCCACATTCGATATTTGTCCAAGAGTTGAAGCTTGCAGAAATTTCATCTTCGTGAATTGGCCGGGATTTGACATTGTCAATAATGAACGTCATTAGTTCAAAAAGAGGTTGGTTTTTATATACAAACTTTTTCGTTGATAACGTGCGTAATAATCCCACGAACTCGTCTCTTTCCAAATAATTATGAAATTGAAAGATTAGACAGGAGAAGCATTTGATTCTATAAATAGTTAGTAATTATTTTACACTTTTCTCAAATCGTTTACCTCGCTATAAGAGAATCGTTCTCATCTTCAGCATGTAATACTTGCTCTATTAAGGTATGAAATAGATTTTTCAAGTTTTCTTTAAATTGCTTCATGAAAAATTCGTCCTGTTCTTTATGTACAATAAATTCAGCAATTGTAGATAAAAAAAAGATGAAATGGGATGGTAAATCCAGATTCCTGTTTATCGAGTACAGCAAAATCCTTTGAAAAATTTGTAAGGTATTAGGAAAACCCAAACATATTACGTACCACGTATGGTATCCCTTTTCAAACGATCCGAATATCAATATGTTTTCCATCACGTCTTCAGAAATGTTGCTCAATTCTTCTTTTGTAAGCGTCGTCAACCAAACTGCATACACCTGAGCGATCCAATGATCTAATCCAAGGATCTCTTTAATGAAATTTTCGTTTATTATGGTACCAAAAGGAATTGACAAATTTTTTTCCAATATCTTCCTCAATAACTTTTTTTCTGGAATCAGTCTAATAATTTCCTGGAAATCCAGACATCTTAAAATGTTCCAAATATACTTAAGATTCGGATCATTTTTGTTACAATGCTGTATCAAAAGTAGTAGGAATTGAAACCCAACATCTACTTTCCTTGCATCCAATAACAAACAATTAAACCAATGATCTACTATCGGATCCCGTTCATCGGCGAAGATAATGCACATAAAAGTATCCATGATATAACCTTTTATGTCTTTTTCAACGGTTTCTAGTAACCGATTTACGATTGTCAACAATTCCCCAATCGTAAAAACGTTGTCACCATAAAGCTTTAGTATCTTTCTGATAAATACAGAATAATTGATTTCTTCAACTATTAATCTGTCTACAACATGGTTTGCGAAACGGTTGTAGTTTCCGGTCAGAATAAGGTGCTTTTTCATAATGAATAAGGAATTTGTTAAAGCAAAATTTGAGCTATCATCATCAGTTTTGAAGAAAGCTTCAAATAAGCTGTCCAAAGCTTTATATGGCTTAGAATTCTCACCAAAAACCTCTATGTAAAAGAATTGATTCCCCTCAAAGCCTTGCATTTCTATACACAATGATTCATCCTCGGGAGTTTCAAAGGAATAATCCAAGTCCAACTGATAGAGATGTTTAATCTCATGAAGCAAGTAATCTTCCACCAAGCTTTCTGGTTTTATCAATAGAATTCGATCAATAGTACGCTTATCGATCGCCATGTTTGGAAAACGTTTAGCTAATAGTATGAGTACCGAATAACGCATGCGAGGCTTGTTCAGTGTGTAAATGATACAGTCGAAGAATTCTTTCAGCATACAGTAATGATACATATAAAACAATACCATGTAGTATATGTAAACAGAATCTTCACTCACTGAAAAGGTTCGTAATAAAGTATAATTGATTATGGAAAAACTCTCACCTTTTTTAAAGGCGAACTTTTCTGGATTCTTTCTAAATTGATCAATATAGAAATTACATTGATCATAGTCAATAACAAAGCTACCTCTAGCCAATATATAACTTAGCTTGCTTCTTACTGGCTGAGAAATTTGAAACAAAGGAAGGTGAAGTATAATCTGGCGTTGCACATCCATGGAACTCGCCATTAGCATTGATTCTCGAAGATAACCCATCGCAGCAAGCCTTGCAACATACCCAGAAAACATAAAATACCCATTCAGATATAAGTAGTTTAGCATTTGGGCAATCTTAAAACTTTCCTCGCTAGCTAATGAAGTAATTTGGAACATATTACTTAGAACTAGATTAGTCGCTATATTAGGACTGACATCGTAAAATTGTAAAACTGATAGAAAAATACAAAGTCGATGTTCCGGATTTTGATTTTCCGAGTATATACACCAACGAAAACAGGATGCTATAACTTCGGTAAATGAATAATAAAGCAGTGTTTTTGCAAAAGAATGCGAACAAAGGGAAGGCTTGAAATTGCTTAGCGTCTGCAAGAACCGAATTGGTAAAGCTGATGCGTCCAGTAAGCAAATATATCGAATGTTTAAGTCATTCAACACTGAAAGCAAAGAATCATGTGTTTTATTTGGCTTCCAAATAATAGATAGAATAGGGTACATAACTTCCCATTCTTTAAAGAAAATAAATCCAGCACGGTTCAAAGATGCCAGACGAAATAAGAAGTCAGCAGCTTTGTTTAACACTACCTTTTTTAAATCCGTATAAACCGAAGATGACTGGTACAGTTTTAACAAAAAAGGCAACAATCCTGTGACGCAGGTTTTTATACTAGAGGAGTCTTGTAAAATAGTAACAGAAAAGTAATCCAGAAAAGTTATAATTAGTGGATAGACGTGTGTTGGAAGACTAGGAATTAAGGAAATCACCTTTGAAATAAAAAACGAGGGAATAATTAGATTTTCAACCAACAGTCTTCCGAAAAGCCGATTAACGTAGATAAAATTACTGGAGAATGATTGAAGGTTGTCTCCTATATAATTCGTAAAAAAATTCAAAAGTGAATCACCAACAACGTCGGTCCATAAAAGGATCCAGTCTTTGGGAACGCTATCTGGATATTTCTTGAAAAAAGATCGAATCTCATTAATCCCAGTACATCGTATAAACCAAATGGCTCTAGGTAAAGGTACGCGGAAATCATGAACAAGTTGGATTATTTCCTTTCCCCAAACGCCATGAGGAATCTTTTTGGAAAGTTCGCTTAAAGAAACAGTGTCATTAGCCAAGTCTTGAAGCCAAGAAAGTTTTCTGGTTTCCGATAATCGAACTCTAGGAGGTGGATCCCAACGAGTGTAAGGTATATTCAATGGAATGCTGGCTTGTGAGCGAAGTAAAGCTTTAGAATACTTGTGAAGATTTTGGATTGCAACAGAATTATTTAAGCGATCCTTCACTGAAAGAGTAGCGGAACCTCGTTCATCATCTACTATGGTAGTATATGCATGTCCTTTGGAGATAGCCTCAACTGACGAGAAGGATTGAGCATCCGTCTTTTCATCATATAATCGTTTGTCTTGAATTTCATCTCTGCTGGCTAGGTATTTTAATAATGACTCAGCATTAGGATGAACATCCAACTCAGAGATAGTTGTTGTTGCAGATTTAATTTCGTCCAAGGTGCCGATATGTTCTTTGTGACTCATACAGGTTAAAACAATTCTAATTTAGCATATATATAAAGCAAAGGAATGGAGTATTTGTTTTCCTTATCGTCACCCTAATCCTTGTTAGATTTATGTAGAATGGTCGATAGGAAACTCTATAGAATTCATACAATCACACTATTAAATTCAGAATGTTTCAAGGATTCACTGCGATGCAATTTTGAAGGTCTCAGAGTTGTTCAACGAGGGATATGGTATACCTAAACAATAGCAACAAATCAATTTTGGGCATTTGATGGGAACGATGGTTAAAGATCTTCAAATATGAGAAAAAAATAAAGTGCAATAGATCACTATTAGGCGTACAATAAAGGCAGAGCAATCTGGCTGTCTGAATATGCTTGTGTCACAAACTGAAGACTAACCTGGACTTGCACTAGTTTAAGTAGCAAATGTTCCTTACGAAATAGTTAATCTATTGAAAAAGAAACGAATTCTTCTTTCCAGTCTTTGACAGTCAACGTTGGGGTTATAGTGAAGTCATATACTTTCACGCCAAGCTGACTCAAACTCTACCATTCATTACCTTTATGTTCAGCATCTAGAAAATTTAGAGCTTCCAGCGTCGTAAAATATTTGTAGAAGTCGATGTTGAATAGAATTAATGATCCGTAATCCAATGGAGGAAGTTAAAAAAAAGGAAACCGCGAACAACGGGAATGGTGGGCTACGCCGCCATATCTCTGGTAGATGGATATCTAATGTTCCTAGTTATGAAGGAAATGAATGGAGTAGCGAAGAATCAGAGCCAGAAGAGAATGAAAGCAATCCTACCAGCACTGATTCAGTCGCGAATTTGAAATCTAACGAGATAACTAAACATGAGCTTGAAGATCAGATTTCGGAGGTTTCGGAGGAAGACGAAGAGAATGAATCTGATGCTGACACGTCTGACAATGATTATGAATTTGACGAATCTTCGACCTTCATATATCGCAAAGAAGCATCTGGTAGCCAAGAAACTCTGGCTACAAAACATGTTACAGCTGATGAAAGTGCAAAAATGTGGGCTGAAAAGCGCAGATTGTTGCTACAGCGACTAGGGAAGAACCCAGATTCTAAACCAGCTGATTATACAGCAACGTACATGTCTGCAAACGTCAAACCGCGTGCATCACCTTTAGCTGATAACGGAAAGTTCGAAAGAGGAATGACCACTGCTCCACTTAGGAGTGTAAGCGATGCGACATCAACCATATCAAATGTGCCTTCTCGTAACCGAAATGAATCATTCAATGATGAACGTGAAAATGAAGATATTACCCATAACGTACTTAAAGACTCAAAACAGCTTTCACCTTTTACTCCACAAGATACCAACAAGACACGCCCTTCACGTCCTTCATCGAATTTTTATCCACCTACGGAAAACAGTACTGACGAACCCCTGCAGGATGAAACTGTTCTTCGTGAACAGTCTTTTGAAAAGCCTTTGCATACTGCCAATTCGTCCCAAGCAGATATATATTATGAAAACCCTTATTCTACTAGCTTCAACCAACAAAGACCTATTGAACAAACAGAATATCACGATTCAAAATCATTCATTGGTGAAAAGGGAGGTGAAGAGACATCCAGAGATTTTAAGCATCCTCATGATGCACCTTCAATTTTGCATAGCACAGAAAATGAATCCACTCAATATTTAGACTCGGAGAATGATGATAACCCTTATATTTTGTCTCCGATGAAGATTGATGAAACTCGAAATTACACACAAGTTTTGAACAACTCTGAAGTTGAGAAGTCAGAAAACCCGGCGGTTGAGACTTCAAATTCCATATTAGGATCTCCAGCGCCCAAAACTTTTGAAGAAAAGTTTTTCCAGAAGGAAGATGATCTAAATGTTCCATTAGTTGAGTCTCCTGAACAAAGTTACGTGGCTTTGAATGAAGCTGACGAAACTTCCGTGCATTCTAATGCGAATATCACATCTGCTCGATCATCTGAGTATGATGATACTCAAAGTAAGCAGAATAATAGAGCAAGTAATTCTGAGTCTCCATTTTTGTATTCTCCTCATAAATCGGGAGAGAGTGGGTTTAAGAACGACGCAGCCTCAACTTCAGATCTTGAGAATATTTCACAAGATGCGGCTGCTTCTTCCGAAGAAGAAATGAAGTCTACTCATTCAAAAAGTTTAGAGAGTTCAGATGGTGCTAACTCACTTCTCACTAAGGATGATGCAATTGATCCTCCTCTTAATCATCCTCTGTATACACTAGTTGGAAAGACTGAAAGTAATTCTAATGTTTTTAAGTCAAATGCAGAAAAAACTGTCTCAGGCCTAAAAATTCATGAAAATGGTAATCTTCCTTTAACGGAGAAGAAAGCCTCCGTATTTAATGCTGGTTCGCTTTCTGAGACTATGTCGATAAATTCGAAGGCATCCAGGTTACCGGAAAATGAATCAAACGAAAATGATGAGAATTTGGAAAATCTGTATAGCTATTTGTCTGATGAGACTGATCAGAATGTTTCGAAACTAAACGCTAACGACCCATTTTGGTCTGAGGGATTACAAGATGATTCACAAGGCGTAAAGGCTATTGAAAGTACGGATTCGCTCCATGATCATTTACCAACCATTAGTGAGGGTGGTGCTAGAAAAACTATTTCTGAATCTGCTAGTTCAGTTGCTGAGAACGTAGACAGCAAAGATACTACCTTGCCTTTGCCTGATGTCTCTGAAGGTAGCCGACGAACTTCAATTAATAAAGAAGAATTAGAGAGAGCAGCTTTAACGAGAGGTTCACTACCATCAATTCCTGGCAAAACCAATGACCAAAAATCAGCTGAACCATCCACCGTTGATAGCCCAAGAAACAGTGCGGTCTTTGTATCTAAAGCGTCTGAGTTGAAGAAGCCTGAAACTGAAGAAAAGCCTAGCAAAATAACGCAAGACAAAAGTCCCCTTTACTTCGCTTCCTTTGAAGCATTCGTTAAAAGTCCTTTGATATCCATTAAGGAAGTGAATAATTTAGGATCTACAGACCACAGATGTAATTTTTACAATCGCAAGATTGAGGAGCTACGAAACTATGATTCGGGTTTAGATAGTTGGATTGCATCTTCTCAAGAGAATAAAGAGGACGTATCTTCCTCTAAGACTTTTTCTAGACCTGTTCAAATGGATTACAATAAAAAATATCCCATTCGTGCTCCTAGTCCGGCCAAGTCTTCAGGATCCATGAAGCATAATATAGCAGCGGAAGCTAGAAAGAAGTCTAAATCCGCTGCTAATGATTTCCTACAAATTTTTAAGAAAAAAGGGAAAGCTGGCACAGATAACACATCGAAAGATTCAAAAGATTTAAAAGACGTAAAAGGCAAAAAGAAGTTTTTCGGCAAGAAAATCGGATTTAAATCTTGATTTGCGTCTTTAGAAAGTTTTACTGATATTTACTCTTTTATTTTTTCTTCATTTCTATCTTATTTATTATTATCATGTTTAAACGAAGTGTTTATTAATAGGACAATTGTGCTGTGAAAGGATATTTATAGTGAATTGACTTTTATTTCTGCTTTCCTCTGTTTGAGTGTATAAATAGCATTTATGAAGCTTCATTAAAACCTAATTTAGATGATGGTTAATTCATAAAACCCTCATGCCCTTCAATTTAAGCATCATCCAAACAGTTTAAAGCTCATTCTGGAATTTGCCTTCTAAAGTAAATGCAAAAGAACATGTATTAGCATACGTACAGCTAATGATTCTTGAAAGGAATAAAAAAAATCGTTAAGTATTTCACTAGTTCAGTGTAAACTTACCAAGTAGCTATTTGTGTAACCATAATTAATTTGGATAGAGATACAAAAGGCTATATAATTTCGGATATAGATTATTGCACCAAACCAGTATCCTGCTTACTTGGATGTTCTCAATACGTAAAAAAACGTCCTTAGGAACAACAGAGTTTTTCAATCAACGTCGTATTTCGTCAAACATGTAATAGGAGAATAGCATCATGGTTCAAGACTACCGTTGTGAAAGGGTTCTCAAATCATTGAAATGCCAGCATTCGGAATGTTGAAATATAGCGACATTCTAGTCATCTAATATTGTTGGTGGTGACTGGATTTCCAGTGTACTTTTCAAATGAAAATAATAAATAGTGGTTTACTGTTTTCCCATCCTGAAAGCTTCATGTATCGTATTACACAAAGACTTTATGAAAGTCTGTTTCTTTTTGGTCACACTTTTTCATACTAGCAGTTATTATTACGACAACCTTCGATGAATTAAAATTGTTTATAGAAACCAGAAAGGAGTAAAAAAATTTTCTATTTTTCTGCGTCTGATGTCTCAGGATTTTCCTATTGAAATACACTCCTCTCCGGAAAGTTTACCTGTAAGTTCTATTGATAATCTTATAGTATTTTTCTTGTTAATGGTTCCAGGAAACATCCCTTGTAGTTATAGAATCAGAGGAAGAAGGAGTCTCCGACCGACTGCAGGAGAATATCACTAGGAAAAGAAAATATGTGTCTATTAATGGAGGTGGAGATATAGGAGAAACCGTTTTGGGTAATGAACATACTTTTTTCTCAGAATCTTCATGTCTTAGCTCCTGCTTCCAGTCAGAAATCCCAGAGCCTGAGGAAGCAATAACTGAGACTACGTTAAGAAAAGGAGAATTTGACTATGAGGATCCTCCGATATATGGCTTTGATCAAGTACAACACGCTGAAGCTAGTTGTTCACCTTTTTCCGAATGGGCTATTAATTTAGCAAGCGAGGATGGAACCTCCCCTATAGAGCAATATTCTTTGCCGGTACATACGTTTCCAGAACACTTGAAATCTAGAAAAGGATCTTTCTACAGCGAGGAGTCTGTATTTGATAAAGGTGAAGATGAGCGTTTCGCATTACCATCCGCCGCCAACAAAAGTGTTGATCGTGAAACAGAGAAAGAAAATAGAGGTACTAGTATAAATTGGACGGACGAAAACTTACAGAAAAATAAATTTCCAAGGAGCCTTTCGTCCGCTCTCCATGACATGTCGCAAGATGATAGACGGATTCATAATATTAGTCCGGTTCAAGATCAAGGACAGCATGATCAACACGATGAAATAAAAGAACAAAATTACGAAGGTACCTCTGTAAAGGAGCTTTGTAGGATGGTAGAAGGTTACGGCTTTAAACCATCCAAGAGCAAACGAGCTCTGATTAATATTTTAAAAGCTTGTGATGCCGCTCGTGAGAAAATGAAAAAACAAGAATTATCTAAAGATGAATCCAGTAAAAAAGAGAATGCATCAATTCCTTCTGTTGCTACTACATTCGATGACATTGTCGCTGAATCTCATCGATCTATATCTGAAGCAGTTCGCGGTTCAAGGGATAAAACAATATGGCTAAAGATTCTATACTATGAGCCATTGGATTTGGAAGAGTTTACTTTATGGCTTCGTAACTCTGGTTTGGTACTATCTTCGGCAATCATTCTTTCATGGTGTGATACATACGGCGTTCTTGTTCAAGGGAGCTGGCATTCAAATTCTCGTGAGAAAAGGTAGATGAATGTATTCCTTTCTTATGTTGGCATCTACGTGCATCTACGACAGCAACATGCTTTGAGCTTCCTTTGTTATCAAGTAGTATCTCACTCAGCGAGATCGATGTTCAGCAAGGCACACGCATATTTACAAAAGGATTTTTTTTACGGTTGGAAAATTATTCTGCGAATCTATCTTCTTACGAAAATAATTCCTTCTCAGAAATATAGTATACAAGATGCTAATCGCTGCAACGAAGACTCGAATAATTGTATAGGGTTTATTACCTTCTCGTATTATCGTCTCTTTTTTACTTAAAAAGTTAAATCATAAGAAATCGTCTTTCAACTTTCGAATCCATTTTGCAATACATTGAATCTCAGTATGAATATTGAATTGACGTCAGGTATATAGAGAGTGTTGGCGTCCATTCCACATTGACAATTTCATATATATATTCTGTTTACGTTTGAATTAGCACTATACGACTAAGTCATATCTGTATTATTTAAAAATGATTACTCTTTATCATTTATCGGACTCTCGTTCTTCGAGAATTATATGGTTGCTGGAAGAGTTGAAAGTACCATACGATTTGAAGCAATACAACCGTGTGGGAGGTCGTTCACCTGCTGAATTTTATAATTTATCTCCTCTAGGAAAAAGCCCTGTGCTTGTTGACGATGGAAGGTCGTACATCGAGAGTGGTGCTGTCATTGAACATTTAGTTCGTAAGTATGGGAGAAACTTCAAACCCTCTGAACAAGATATCCCTCATCTAGAAAAGTATGATTTTTGGATGCATTATGCTGAAGGCTCCTTAATGATGCTCGTAGTCGGTCTTTTTGTTAATAGCAAAGCCGTTGAGATGTCGCCTTTTCTTAGTCGATTTCTGGTTCGAAAAGTAACGGATACAATTAATGATCACTACTATATGAAAGAAATATTCCTTAACCTTGACCACGTCGATGATTACCTTGCCACTAGCAGATATTTCGCTGGTGATCGGTTTACTGCGGCTGACGTGCAGATGAGTTATCCTCTTCTTTGTCTTCAGTCTTCAGTTCTAAACACGAGACCATATCCAAACATCAGACGCTGGCTTAAGGATATTGGTAGTCGTCCAGCGTTTGTAGTTGCATCAGGAAAGTCAAACGATAGGAATTTCCAGGTTCACAAGGAAACAAAACATTATAAAGAGGAGGAGGAACCAGATATGTCGTCCTTTAGCATTTCAGCTTGATTACCCTAGCCAGTACCATTTTATTATACGATAGCCTTACCCAGTTTTATTTCGAAACTTGTGTTACTCAGTTCGACTAAAAAAAAATCAAAATCCTTATTGTGAAAATAAACAAAAGAAGGGAAAAGGTTGAGTGAAATGATATATATATTGTTAACATGTTGATCCATTGAACTCTGGCTACCCACTAATACGATTTCGTTTTACTTTTTGATATTAAATTTTGTGTTTAATGATTGATTAATTTCTAACTAGCAATAAAAATAAATGGAAAAGGACAAGTGTGAATACGTGTATTGTACTAAAATTACTTTAAAGAATCGCCATAACAGAAATGTAAAAGTGCTGTATTTAAATTAAGAATTTAACTATTCTTTGTAGTTACTCTTATATATTCACAACTCAAGTCCATCTGAATTGAGTTGTTTAGCAATTTATTCAATTTCCTTCTAGTGTTTATGCTTAAAATAAAAGTTCTGCCAAGACTCCTTAGCATGACTGAACCTATCCTATTTCAAAGGAAAAGCTACTTTTAGTTTCGTTCCATGAGCTTTCTCTATGAAAGTAATCTCTTGTCTTCATACTTCTGCCAAACTCCTTGACATCACCTAGAGAAAGTTACGAATTTTACTTGAAAATAAGTTTTACTTCGTTTCCTTCTATCATATACAAATAAACAAATAATGGAAGAAAAGAATTATTGTTATTTTTGTTTTGAAGTGGTTGCCGCTACATTAGAGCATAGAAAACCTCGCAACTATTGGAACTGGAAATCATGGACCGACGAGGTTCCTCTTTTTGTAAAGTTCATTTTCAAAGAACGTCTTCAAAAAAAATTACGCGGATGTATTGGTACTTTCCAACCACGTCCATTGAATATTAATCTAAGATATTTGAGTCAGCAAGCGTAAGCATCGTTTACATTACAAGCATAGATCATGAATACGTTTCTAACCAAATATCCTTTAGCGCTTTTTCTGATGACCGTTTTCATCCCGTCACCTTGGCTGAATTGCCTTTCTTGGAATGTGGGATTGACCTCTTGGTGAATTTTGAGCCGATTGATGATCCTCTTAACTGGATTGTCGGTGTTCACGGCTTGTCAATTGAGTTTTATGTGGATAAAATAAGGTATTCAGCTACCTATTTACCCTCAGTTGCTGCAGAACAAGGCTGGACCCAAAAGGAGACATTGCTAAGTTTGATTCGCAAGTCTGGTTTTTATGGTAATCTTCGAAATATAAGCATTCAAGCTACTCGATATCAATCTACTCAAATTGAATGCTCTTATGAAGAATATTTCAAAGCTACCAACAAACTCTGATCTTTTTCTCGCTTCCTCTGAACTAAAGCACATAATGTCTCGTTAAAACTCGAGTTTTTGCTTTTTTTCCTTTAGGCAACCTTGACTAAACGCACATATTCTTTATTTTTTTATGAATTCCATATTTATTTGAATTGCCATTTTATTTAACTTCATTCTTTGATAATGGAATCAAATAATGATGATTCTTCATTACCCAAAGTGATGCTTGATAGGTATGAATTTTCAGATCAGCAATTCCATCCATATTCTCCCTTTTTGTATTTGATGAGTATTATATCGTAACTGTTTAAATGTATCTCTTATTTTGTTATTTTCAACATTTCCTTTAAAAGGTTTTGCTTGCATGATGCTGTCTTTTTCTTGTTGACTTTTATTGATTTTCTTCTAATTCTCTTTAGTATTCAGGATTACAATTATGTAAAGGCTGTTTTTCGTAATGCAATACAGAAAACTCTTGAAATACATTTGCCTGAGCAGGCATCCCGAGAAACAGGAAAGGGAAAAGAAGATCACCTAAGAGTTCGTGTGAAAGAGATGCTCAACGAAGTAAGTGGACCATCTGGATTTTGTTATTTTCCTACTTGGAGTATAAAATAAAAACTAACTTTATGCCATAGCTAATTGAATTCACCTTCACGACCGTCCAAGATAATATTACGATTAATGGATTTGATGCAAAGTCAGCACTTGAAGATCCCCAGAACTCTGACCAAATTGAATCTTTCGACCTTGGTCTCCGTTCAAGAGTTCAACAATTATTTAATGATGTGGAAGATGCCCAAGTTCGAGTTGCCAAATACAGGAAATATGTACCTCTTCAATACGAGTCTGCATTCTCGAATTCTTTAAATGAGCAATTAGCGACACTACAGAATCTTAGAGTAAATCCTACAAATGAAGATGTTCATCCTGTAAATGACGAAGTTGAAAAAGATGAACCACCCATTGACCTTGATAGGTATGAACAAACCATTGCTAAAATTGCTTTCTTGAAGAAAAGTATTCCAAAGGTAACTGCTCAGTTGGAAAAGACTCTATAATCTTAAATACTGTGGAAGGAAGATTTTATGCGTTCATGTTTACCTACGATATACCTTCTATCTAGCCTATAGCTTCACTTTGCATGCTCTCTTATTATTAAGATCGTAATCATTTATTAAAGGAAGTACCAATTAAATATCACTTCATTGTACAAAGCAGATACTAGTCAGAAATTAATTCATATGTAATGACACTCATTGTTTTCAGAATCATCAAATGCGCTTTCAATGAAATCTTCACGAAAAATAAGGGTAATTGAAACTAGTCAAAGAGTAAAGCCGTTTCGTGAAGTTAGTCGTAATACCATGGTTCATGAACAACTTGGTTGTTATCGTAATAATGTCCATTTACTCCTGTCCCCTCAAACTTGGTAGGGTAACGATGCGTTTCAGGAATGCTTTCAGGGGAAACGCGAATATTCGATCCTAAATCAGGCGTAACTTGGAATTTTCCAGTTTGCAGTTCGGTATCTGTAACTGTAGAACGATGAAGTCGAGCATATCCAATCCGCTTAACACCTCTGTATAAGATATATTGACACCAACGATCGAAATCGGCTGGCTCAATGTCAAGCATTCCGTTGTTACGAGTCAAAATGGTCTGGGGTTCTTCACCCGCATTAGAAACTACATAACCTAAGAAGACCAAAGGTCTTGTGCTTTCTCTCATAATCCTTGAAAGTTCCGTGCTTTGTAATTGACGGTCTAATGCGTTTTCATGCTGTCCATTATGGGAAACAATCACATCAATAAGTTCTCCATAAACATCCAAAGTCGCGTGAATAGCAGGAGCAAGCTCACCGTAGGGAGATGGAAGTAAATGGTGTGTGGAATTGACGATAGGGAACTTGGAAAACAATGCTGCACCCCATGTATGCTTGTCAGGACCAGGACCATAATCAGAATACATGCCCAAATCGTGAGATAATAGTTGTGTTAAATCACGGAATCCCATAATTAAGCGTTGGGTATCGGATTCCAACAGTCCAAAAACATCCAACTCTATGTCGCGAACAACATCCCGAATACGATTCTCAGCTGCCCACATATAATCATCCAATCCAAAGTGAATTGTCCAAATACCCGCGGTAAATACCTTTTCATCAGGATGGTAAGGAGTGTAATCATACGGTGGTTTGTACATTATAGCATACTTAAATGCCATAAACGCCAAGCCTATTGCTATCACAACGGACTTTTTAAAACCACGCTTGATAGCAAGCTTCTCTTCGGTATTTGGGTTGATTTCTGGGGAATGTTTTTTCAAGTTGAAGCTGCTATAACCTAATAATGGACAAAAAAGTCCAATTGCAAGAGCAATTAAAAGATAGGAGGTTTTTTCACGAAGTAAAAAGCCACCAGGAACAAATTCGTACGCTACTACCCAAACATGTGCCAAAGAATACAAGCTATATACTAAGAATCCACCACCAAAGATTTTTGCTGGACTGGATAATACTGCGGATCGAATTGAAGGAAAAGCAGAAATCAGCACGTAGGAGGAAAGCACGAGACCACCTAGGTAGCTTTGCCAACCATGTTTTAAATAAAAAACATACGATCCCGCACAGGAGGCCACAAATCCAAAGAGCATGAACGAGAATGATCTATACAAACGAGGTGCCAAAACGATTGCTACTAAAGCAACGGCAATGGATACGGCGCCATGAGGATAAGCTTGGGGTCCATTAATTGGATATCCATCCCAAGACCAGGAAATCAGGATAGTGGAATCGCAGAGCAATGTGTGTAAAGCAAAGATAGTAGAACCTAAACCAAATATAGAAACGAGAGATGGTGTAGTTTTACCTGTCTCTGGAGAAGCTTCTTGAGGAACTTTAATACCTGAAGAGCATAGAGAAAAGCCAAGAGTTGCCAAAACTCCAAAAACTAGGGCAACTGGTTGTCTTCCTCCATTGGTCTCATTAAGAATGGGCCAAATTGGGTTATTCGAGAAAAAGGAATATTTAGCCACAGAGGATGCAATCAAACCAAGCAAAAAGGTAGTGATTCGTCGCTCCAGTAAAACGGGGGAATGCTTACTATTTGAGAAAAGAGAAGACCATCCTAAACAGCCATTGAAAACGGCGAAGGCAACAGTAAAAAGTCTATATACAGGGTCTACCACCAGATAGGCAGCAACACCTGCCAAGGTTAATGACAAAGGAACAAAGGGAACGCTAGAAGTTAATTTCTTGAAATATGGAATTGCCAAAAGAAACGGAGAAAGCTGAACTACAATAGAAGCTTCATAGCCAGAAATACCCATATGCCAGAGCGGAAAATACCAAATTAAAAGACCTAAAGAAGTCAGTACGCTCCAGAAGATATACGCGAGGTAAGTTTCGGAAGAAAATTGGATAAAACTAGAAAAGATATGTGTGGTAGAGCAAACAGATTTGTCTGCCTCTCTTTTCTTTAGACTTAAAGAAGCAGCCTTAGCATATGTGTATTGGTTGTCATCTACTTGGGGTTTAGAGGGAACATTCGAAGATATAGACTTTATGGAATTATCAGCAACATGGAAGTTAAGACGCAAAGGCTGAAAGTCAAAGTAGAGAGCAGAATCGAATAAAACATCCCAAAAAATAAGGGACCACTCAAAGAATGCGTAAATTGTATAGGCACCAGGGATTCGTTTGAATTTATGTTGAATATACCAGTAAATAAGAGGGAAAACGGTACCGACGAATAAGAAAGAACCGTATTTTCGAACACGGTAAGCACTGGCATTTGGAGGAGAGTACTTTGAAGTCAGAATGAACCAAGGAGCGTTCATAAGCAAGTAACTAATCATGAAGACATCATGCATATTATGATCGTCCGTAGAAGTTACATAGACCCATCCACCGCAAAGGGCAGTTCGAAGCACGCCGATGAAAGTAGTAATCAAGGCGGAAGGTTTTTTCGAACCGGTTAGAGATAACCATAGAAGGAGGACAAGTAGACGGGGAGTCGCAGTGAGAGCGATTAGATATTGAAAGGCTGCACGTTCGGGGTACCAGTCGCCGATGGTCGCTGAAACAGAGGGAAACCATTCATCTGGATACGAGAAGAATTCGTTTTTAACGACCTATAGATTGTTAGCTTTTAAAGCAAATATAAAAATAGACAACAAAGTGCAGAGTTGCTTGTTAAAAGAAATATATAAATTAATTGAAAAACGAACGATCCAAAAGTGAGATTACAATAAACAATTATGAGAACTCTAGTCTTTTGGAAGCATAACTATGTATTGCACGAATGATTTCACGCTCAACATGCTCGATCAAGGGAAACAGTTATGAAGTTCAGTAGATGATCAAAACAAGCTCTTTTCCAAGAAACTCACCTCATGATAATGGTAATACAAAGTTAAACCTAGTGGAATGACAAATGCTGCTAAAGAACAAACACTATGTATGGCAGCAACATATTGGGCAGAGAATGCCAACGAGTTTGCTTGTGTCGCCATTCCCAAAGGTAGAGTTGGAAAAGGAATGGTAGTGGTATTTGGAGAGTTACCGTTAATATATGTTTACTACGCAGGAAAGTACATTGACTGCAAGGACGTGCACAACAAAACAAGCCTAGTATAATATTATGTAATACATAATTAAGTGCACATAAACAAACGCACATTACGTAGTGCCAAAATTCAAGAAAAAAATAAAATAAGAGAATGAGAATGAGAATGAGAATCTTATGATACTATACTATACATTAATCATTATATGAGTCAAGGAAAGATGGTGATTAAATAAAAATGGGAGCGAAAAGGATGAAGCTTTAATCGATGCAAACACGACGTGACGACTTCTTGAGACTTTTCTTCTTTTTCTCATCAAGACGTTTAGTATTTGCATATTCTTTGAGAGCCGATAATCTCTTTTTCTTTTCGGGCGATGTAGGAGCTATATATAGTGACTTTGCTACATCCTGAAGTAAATTGGCCAGCCGAGTTAATGCATCTTCAATATTTTTGGATTGTGTTCTTGTTGCCTGAGACTGAATCTGTAGCTGATCGTTCACACGAAATCTTCGAAGCTCTTGGCATGTGCAAATATGTCTGAGTAAAAATGACGGGAAAATGGGTCTCAAATTCTCCAAAGGCAACGAGACCGTAACTTTAGTATTGATTTTGTTTACGTTTTGACCACCAGGACCACTACTACGAGCAAACTTGATTTCCACTTGGTCTAAACATCATCGTTAGTGTTTGTCTCAGACGAAGTCACTATAACATAGGGACCGCAAAGAAAAGATATGTATACAGCATTGTACACCTTGTTTCTCTCCATTTCATCATCATTGGGGAACAATTATGATATTTGAAGAAATAAATGCATAATATAATCAGCCTTTGCCATAACAGAACACTCACTTACCCTTTGTCGGCTTCCAATTTTGCTTAAGGAAAGTTTCCAACTCGTTCATTTGTTCTTTGGTAAATAAGGCTTCTTGGAAATTCTGCTTTTTTGGAAAGAAGGCTTGAGAGTATGCATGAAACAGAGCCCCTCTGTGTAAAGACCGCCAAATGAATCCTTTTCTAAACATCTTGCAGTTGAACAAGAAGTGTCGTTGCCAAGAATTTTGCATCATTTTTTATCTTTTTGGAAAGCTCTCATTAAAAAAATAATTCTTTCTCCGACATGAATGCTCAGCGGTTTGTAAACCCATAAGCAAGAATGTCAAAAATCCTATATTTCTACACCTTTTATTCTTACTATAAAGCCATTTTAGCTTAGCGAACCGAAGTTTCTCTTATATGTGTATAAGCAGTCACGTTTTTCGAAATTTACCAAACAAATACTTGCGATGCAGGAAACTAACCTACACTCTCCAAAAATGCAAATTTTCGTCAAAACCCTTACGGGTAAGACGATCACCCTTGAGGTCGAGTCCTCTGACACTATTGACAATGTCAAGGGCAAAATCCAAGACAAGGAGGGCATCCCCCCTGACCAACAGCGTCTAATTTTCGCTGGTAAGCAGTTGGAGGATGGCCGTACTTTGTCCGACTACAACATTCAAAAGGAATCTACCCTTCATTTGGTTCTCCGTCTTCGTGGTGGTGGTAAGAAGCGTAAAAAGAAAACTTACACTACCCCTAAGAAGATCAAGCACAAGCACAAGAAGGTTGAGCTCGCCGTCCTCAAGTACTACAAGGTTGAAGATGATGGCAGTGTCAAGCGCCTCCGTCGTGAGTGCCCTACTTGCGGTGCCTCTGTCTTCATGGCCAACCATGGTGACCGTCTTTACTGTGGTAGATGCCACTTGACACTCAAGTTGGAAGCTTAAATTAGGCAATAAATTTTTTTCTTGGGATTTTTAATAGAATTGGTGAATTGTAGCTACCAAAAATGTTAGAAAGAGTTGTAACACGAACTGTACAGATTTTGGAATTGTCATTAACTAAAACTGAGCACGGTGAGAACGTATGTGGAAGAGGTAATTTCTGTTTCTTTTTCACCGTTTATCGTTATATGTATAGAAACGCGCAAACAAAACTGTCAAAAATAAATTATAGACCACGTAGGGTTATCTATGCTGAATAGTAAAATAAATAATAATCGTAGCATAGTAAATAAATAAATCCGTAAGATATTGAGTTTTTCTTTTTTTCTTTTCTTTTTGAGGAAAGACAAACTTTTTCAATAGGTACTAAAATCTGAAATGACAAGTATTTTTTAACAATTTTATGCAAAACAAACAAAAAAAGGTAAACAAAGGAATAAATGCAAAACGGTGTATCAGTAGTAGGTTTGAACTGTCTATACCAATTTGTCCGTCAGCAATCCTAAACGATCATATACAGTTCTTGCTCGAAGATATTTGTCAACACGCCAATACTCTTTCGAAAAGTTTGTGCCTGCAATGTCGCAATTTATGCGTAGTTTCTCATTTACAGCATCGTCGTTTCTTGTTTGGGCCCAGTGCAACGATTGTTGTTCCCATTCATTATAGTATGCATAATAACGGTCAAGTGCAGCTTTCTTTTCGTAGCTATGTTCATTAACAAGCTCATTTTCATTCTCTTTTGGCTCGACATATTGATATGTATGTTGACTATCTCCTCCCAAGCTAGCAGGGATCACACTGCGATCAATATAATTTTCCAGGTCTTTTGAGTTTTGAGTGAAAACGATTTTTTCTCTGATTTCTGGCTTAATCCATCCTTTTATAATGTTCCATATACTTCGAAAAATCCATGGTGATTTGTGCAAGATACAAACACCTAGGGATTCAGGATAGTATAATTCCAAACAAGAGGACAAATATTTCACAAAGGAATAATCCATATTGCTAAGAGAGAACTTACTCAGGTCAAACAAAACGTTAACATTTTGCGGGTCATCTATCGATGCTTGTAGGGTAGGTTGAGAGTGTAGAAAGAGACGAATGGTTTCCATAGCCCAAATTGTCATTTCTCTCAATGATTTTTGCGTCTCCTTTGATGGTTGATGTAAATGCGCACGTATATAACAGATCGGGCGGTCTTTGAGATCTCTGCCAAGCATAGTAACTTTTCCAGTACGAAGTTGCCTTATAAATTGTTCATCGTTAGTTTCTTTGGCAAACAATTCACCGTGTTCTACTACTTCGTCAACGTTAGATTCAATGCGCCATTTCAAACTGTTAAGCAACTTCAGACTAGCCTGGTCAGGATCCATTTGGCAAGACTTTAAAAACCGTATAAGAATAGCATCTGGAGAATCACATTTAGCAAAACGTATGAAGGAATTTCGGTAGGCATTGTCTTTTTGAATAGAAGGCCACGTTTTTTTTATCATGGATTTCAATGGAGAGCATGCGGCATAATGTAACGAGTTTCGTATATCTTCTTGTTCATTCGAAGGCTGTGAGCGACGAAAAAAGAAGGTACCAGCAGCAACCGCTGAAGCGGCCGTCGAGTACCTTCCTTTCGACCACAAACGAAAAGAAAACATGGACAACTACAAAAAAAATACTTTAATTCCAAAAAATGATGATAATATAGAGGAAAGTGAGGATTCAAATGCGATTCCACCGAATTTGAAGACGTTTGCAAATTCCTTGGCTGCTTTAGATGATGGCGTTAATGAATTTCGTAAACGTATGAATCAACTTTCAGTGACAAAGCATAATTTAGACACGTTCAATGAATCTTTTGCTTCTTTTTTATATGGTTTACAAATAAATGCTTTTTGTGTCGACTATGAAAATGCTCCTCTAGCTGAAAGTGCTTCTTTGCAAAAAATCAAGGATCAGTTGAAAATGGAAGTTCAGTCTAGACAATCTCAGCAAATTTTCGCATCTTCTTCAAATAGTGGTAATAGACATGCACAAGAAATGAACGCTTCAGCAGTGGATGAAACATTTACTACCAACGATACATCATTCATTGAGCGCCCAGAGTCCTTCCCCATACCTCGTTGATCTTTTCAGACTAACTTTGTTTATCTCGTTTTTCAAGTAATTTTTATGAAAACATGACAGCGTCTCTGGAGCAAGTCAGGGTATATAAAAATCTTCAATCATTTCATCTTTCGTCCTTGATCACTCGCGATTATAGTAATTTCTATTAGTTTCTTATTCTACTTTCGTTTGATTTTAATTTAATATTTTTCGAATAATATATTATTTTTCATTCAGGCTCTGGGGTTTCAAATGTCTTTTCAGAGCAAAGCCATTAGCAGCACTAAAAGCACCGCCGTTTGTTCAAAAAACACCAGATCTTGGTATCTAAATCTTTTCTTTTTTTGTAAATTATTCTTGTAAGCATTATTTAAATGAATAAGTACAGGTTACCCATTATTAACAATTCTTTTTTATTTACATCGTTCTAAAGCGAAATCACTATAAGGTCATCGGTTCTGTACCCGCGGTAAGGACAACACTACCGCGGTCTAAAGACAATGATGCCGATGATCTAACTTGTCCTAATTTAAACGAGAACAACGAAAACATCTTTCTGTTTGTTTTCTTAATATGGCATCAAACAAATCGCATCTTTTGTTTTGCGACTTTAATCAGGACTCAAAGTATGCAAGTGCACACCAAGGGTTGTTGCTGACGTTTTAGCTTATTATCGGTAGGAACCTATGATGGATACAAAATTTATAATTGTGACCCATTCGGGAAATGTTTTTATAAACGTACGTGAGCTAGAAAATATAGCTTTGCAATGTTCTCTGACCGATACGGTTCTAGTACAGGGTGCGACGTCAATTGTCGAAATGTTGTTTAGTACGTCGCTTGTAGCGCTTGTCGAGAAGGAGGATGGAAATAATCGAAAATTAAAGCTGGTCAACACAAAGAAAGGCACTACAATATGTGAATTAACATTTCCGACACCGTTGTTATCAGTGAAGTTGAATCGAAAACGCCTTCTTGCGGTATTAGAAGAACAAATCTACGTGTACGATATCAGTAACATGTTGCTATTGCATACGATTGAAACATGCGGAAACCTTTTTTCTGTCTGTTCACTGTCTCCAAACTCTGCCAATTGCTATCTTGCTTATCCCGACACCGAAACTAAAGATACTCGACCTGAACAAGATGCCTCTTCAGCGGCTCTCGCTAATTCAACTGTTTCCGGGCGTGTCATCATTTGGGATGCTGCTCTTTGTAAAGAGGTTACAACTATCCAAGCTCATAAAGATCCCCTTTCAATTTTGGAGTTCAACGCAGATGGTACCTTACTAGCTACGGCATCTGAAAATGGTAGAATTATCCGTGTATATTCCATTCCATCCGGGGAACGTCTTTATCAGTTCCGAAGAGGGTCATTACCGGCTCAAATATATTCCATTGCTTTTCACCCAGATTCCACCCTTTTAGCCGTTTCTTCAAGTACCCAGACCGTGCACATATATAGACTTAGCAACCACAGCTCGCCATCCAAACCTCAGCCAGCTCCCTTGTCAGTCACTCAACCACGAAGAGAAAGGTATGTTATACACATTTGTTTACACTCTTGAAAGTTTTTCCTTTGTTAACTTGAAACTAGTCTGTTCCGGAGGTCTTCGCGAAGTATCGTGGGGACCGTTGGAGGTTATTTACCACAGTCTGTTTCTGGAATGCTAGATCCAGAGCGTGATTTTGCTTTTGCTCATGTACCCGGGGACAAAGTATCTTCAACGGTAGCATTCAGCAGCGAAAATCCCGGCATCAACGTAGCTACGTTTGACGGAAATTTATATGCGTTTAGAATCAATACTTCTAGTGGTGGGGAGTGTTCTCTTATTAATCATTTTTCGTATGTTATAAATTCGTTACCGTTTTGTTGAGAGTACTAACAGTATTAAGAATTGGTCTATCGGCAACGTAAACGTTGTCTTTGTCCTTGTTTTTCTTTTATAAAAACACAAAAACAGATACTTATGCTCTTATTCTTTTTTTTCGTCTTTTAACGTATAGATGGTCCCTCATTCAATTCAAATCGCATGATGCTTTTTGTTTTTATTCTACGAATCCGCAGGCCGCAATGGATTCATACACGATATGAACGTTGTAATTTTACTTCTAATTAATAATCTAAATGTGAATGAATGCAATCTAAGCAGCCATCGTTCATTGCAGGTGTATCACACGATACCAAGTAGTCTACCAGGATCACCATCACTACAAGTGATGACAAGCGCAGAATATAGATGACTCCAATAAATTACAGAACTTTATGCAGGGATACCTGTGGGATTCTTGTTCAATCAAAATAGTTCCATTCCTTGTCGCTCCCTAGAATGAGTAATGCTGGACAATTCAATGGTGATGATTTCTGACTTACGACTTGGCCGGCAAATTTGTTGAATTGCCGTGAATCCATCTTTTTCATATTGACGATAATTTTCGATAATCACTGAATGGCGCATCCTCTCTTAAGTTATTTCTTCTTCTCTATTCTATGTTCTTCACTTTTCTTTTCGTCTCATTGTTTATTTACAAACCTCGTTGTAGGAGTATCTATAGTGATAGCGTAACTATCTTTCATCTCGTTAAATTCTTTGATTATCTGCTCATGATTAACATTAATCAATAAATTTCCTTATGAAAACCTGCCCTCCGCCATTACCTTCATAGAATTGGATCTGGTAAAAATCATAAAATTATAGATAATTACACTGAACATAGTTTATATCGAAATACAAAATGAACGCTCAGGTACGGAAAAGCAATCATTGTTGAAGGTAGATGATTGTTTGCGTGGTTGGAAATAATACTAATACGTCTTTGGTTAGGTTTTGAATCTTGTCGCCGCTTTAGGTGTTATGCAATACTCTAAAAGATTGGACTTTGAAGATCCCCAAGTTGTATATTATGCTCGTGCTGCTTATGTAATTTCAAATGCTATCATTTTTGGTGTCTATACACTTATTCAGACTCGCATTAGCTCCAACAATGACCGTACACCCTTGATTTACGAAGAACCTCCTGCCCCTTTCTCCGGACAAACGACAGGAAAGCGTGTTACGACTACTGTCAAGGATTATGACAATGAACAACTTCAAAAGGCTAAGAAGAGCTCTATGATTGGTGTAGCTATGATGGCCTTTATGCATTTATACATGGGCTATGCTCAACCTTTGGTGCTCCAATCCATCCTCCCTTTAATTGGTTTGTTCACAAATCAATTGACTTCTATTTACATTCTTGGCAAGGCAGCCGAAGGCAGTTTGGCCCGTCCTTTTGCCGCCAGTGGTGGTTTGTTCAATAACGCCAACAAATCTGCTCCCGCTACTTCTTCCAGCACACCCGCTGCTGCTGTTTCGGATGGACCCACCATCACTGAATTGAATGATGAAGAAAAAACCGCTTAAATAGTGCCATTGCATGCTAAACATTCATCGGTTCTTTAAGAAATGAATTCATTTGATTTTTGTTTTATTGTATTTTCTTCTATGGTGTTTTATAATAACTTACTCTCACTGTATCATGTTGATTAATTTGATGAACAAAATATTTTTAGGTGAACCCGCCTGTGCTCTATTACTCTTTTTTTTACCTCTTTGTCTATAAAATGTAGCTACGATTGAAATGTTCCTGTATATAGTACATATTGTAGATGATCATTTATATGTAAAAAAAATACAGCGGATACTAATTCATCAAAACTTCGTGAATTCAACGATATTTCAATGAAAATATACGAATAGAATAGGTCGCGAATTTTTGAGTTTCATGGACCTTTAATACAGGCCTAATTCATACGACACTTTAGGATTTACTACCATGTCTCGAGTGTTGGAGGATTCCCACTTCATTGCTTCGGTAAGAGAGATTTTAAGACACTATTGAAGAATGATTCTCATGCTTTTTATGTAGAATTCAAAGAATGTTCAAGTGAACACAGAAGGATGTCATCAGGTTGCATCTTGGATTCAACAACAGTTGGACACTTTAGGGCCAAAATTTGCAAATTGGCAAGATCATGAATTACATCCTAAATCACAAGACTCACATACGTTGGACTGGTAAGTTGCTTTGAGCCTTTTTTTATCTGCACCCTAATGCGTTTACCAAAATTAAATGAATGCACATTTTGCTAAAGGAAAAGAAATAGGATCTTCTTAATTGACATTTTAAACTTTTCGTTTTGGTCTGATGCAGACACCAGAGATTCAGGCAATCATCCTGCTCGATTCGGTGTGCGCTATAAAGGAAACCTGTACACAGGATATTGGAGTCTTTGTGCTGCCATAAATAAGGCACTAGACAATAATATTCCAATAACTACCCCTTCATTTTACGCAAATGAGACTCTTTGCCCCGACGACTTGATTGCTTCCATTTTTGCTAGCGATACAAAGGAGCCCGTTCCTCTTCTAGATGAGCGTATAAGAATTATGCGGGCGAGTGGTAAAGCATTGCTAAAGCACCACCGAGGAAGATTTGTTCATTTGTTGGAAACATGCAATCATAGCGCTCAAAAATTTCTCGAATTACTTTTACAAGATTTTCCCGACTTTCGTGATATTTCACTTTACAAAGGCCGGGATTGTTACATATTGAAACGTGCACAAATACTGGTAGCTGAAACATGGGCATGTTTTCATGGGCAAAGCTATGGTAGGTTTGATGATATAGATAGCATTACTATGTTTGCTGATTATCGAGTTCCACAAATACTTTGGCAGCTTGGATGTTTGGACTATTCAAGTGAGTTTGAAAGCCGATTGCGGAAAAGCGAACTGATTGCTCATAATGACCCGATGGAAATTGAAATGCGTGGATGCAGTATATGGGCAGTAGAGTTGGTCCGTCAAGCAGCAAACAGGAAAAACTTGAATGCAATTATGATTGACTTTTTCTTATGGGACATGGCGAAAGAATGGCAAGCTACAGGATATTCCCCTCATCAAGAAAGAGCGTTAAGCTCAGTCCCTTCCATCCGAGTTCGAAGTATATATTACTAAATATTTATAGAGATCTCTTTAGGATATTCAGGAATAAAAGACTTATATCTAACGGTGCACGAAATTTTAGTGTATATACCATTACCAAAAAGAATTCAATCCCTATTTGGACATCAATCATCATCAAATAAAACCGAGCCGTAAGAACTATATCCTGCCAAAGTACGCACACGGTTCGCTAATTCTAAGAGGTTTTTATTAGACGTTAAGGACAGGCGGAGTTGATCATTTTTTAATGGTAGATGAAGAATTAGTTCTGCGTGGCTAAACAGGGAAATGTCTAATATAGAAGGGGAATCCTTGTCGAAGAAATAGGTCAAATTGCCTAGCAAGCTGGAAAGAGAGGAAAAGGCTCTTGCTGCATCTTCAAAAATCTAGAACAATAGTACGTTAGTGTCCATCTTCTGAAAAAAAAATAAATAAATGTATGGAAAATAAATTACATACCGTGTCTGCATCTAGATTTTTCTCCTCGGTCAAGATACGCAGCTGTTTTCTCTTTTCGAGAGGCTTTGATAGTGACCTTACTATATTCAAAGGCCATGTTGCTTTTGTAAACCAATGATTTTGTAATTCCTTGAAATTGGTCTCATCAAGGTACATGCTATACTCTAAAGCAATGTGGATAGGACCGGTCAGAAGACTCATCCAAGGTGCTATAGTCTGCAATATTTGCTCATCATTGACCAGATGTAACAAAAGACTGTTTTTCAGGACAACTTTGTGAGAAACAACTTGTAGGAATGGCATATTTTGGTCAGGTGAAGCATGATCTGAAACGCTAAGTAAAATAATCTCCGGGTCGTAAAGTTTGATCCATGTTTGCCATTGCAATGATTCCAAATGCATTGACTCTGAAGTTGGATCGCCATTCCAATTGCTAACATACAGAACCGGTTTCGTATTCAGTTCCTCATTTACTGCTGGATAAGGATTTTGAAACGTGATTAAAGGGAACTTTTTAAATATAGAGCGATAAAAGGAACTTAAATTTGCCAAAAAGCTCATTTTTTTCTCAAGAGTAAGTATCTGAAACCACGAAGGTGTTCTTATAATTACCACCAACACCTCCAAGTGTCGCCCGCTTCATTTTCGTGATATTTATACAGAAGATTTTTCTCACTGAGTTTCTCTTATTCTTTTTATCATAGGGAAGAAAAACATAAATTAAGCTAGTCTTTTACTTTTTCATCTGGATTTAAAAGGATAGGTATAAGGTCAAGAATTCGTGTTCTTTTATTTATCAGTAAAAAAATGGATTTGTCTTTATTCTCAGATATTAAGTCCTCAATTAAGAAGGAAGCTGAATCTCAACATTCTAACAAAAACAACAAGCCTTCAAAGAAGGATACAAGCAATCTAACAAAAAAAAGGAAAGAAGGAAAAGAACAGACTTCTTCTGATAATAAAGACGACAAGAAGAATCAGAAAAATGATGGGAAGCCACAAACCAAGAAAGCCAAAAAGGAGAATGAAACTTTGCTGAAAGACATAATTGATTTAGGAGGCTCCAAAGAAGATTTGGAATTAATTAAAGACATCGGAAGTGATGAAGAGATTGATCCTAAACAGGATAAAAATAAGAAATCATTCAAAGCCGGTGAGGACTCCGAGTCTAGTGTACGTTATTTTGAAAAACACCCTCCATGAAACTAACTTGATAATCTAGCTTTTACAGGATTTATCCAAATTCGCTAGTCAACTTGGATTTGCTCAAGATAAGTTTGATGAGCGTGCGTACGATTCAGAATCCGTTGAAGACGATAGTGAAAATGAAGAAGCCTCTTCGTCAACTGGCTCAGATTCAGAAGGAGGAGAGCAAGAAGACGATACTTCTGAGAAGTAAATGCTTAGAGCAGCGAAAATATATATATTTCTTGGGTTATAACATTAGCTAGGGAACGGCCTTTTCGTTTATGATTTTCAAGCGATACGTTTTTTTTATATTGCCGTCTCATCAGCTAACTTTTTTATTCATTTTTAAAAATATATATAATTATATATATTTATTTACGGGTTATACTTGGGTTTACTTTTAGCGGTATATACGTTATTCGGTCTATTTATGGGAGGTTTTAAAAATATATTCCAGTTTTAATATCAGAACTGTCGTTCATGTGTAAGGATTATAGTCTATCTCTTAATGCAAATGTTTTAAAACATACTAGTCAGTTTAATTACCCTTCAGGCCTTATTTTGTTTAATACACCCTCGTGGTATATTTTTAGTTTTTTAAGAACATCTATTTTTCTATTTTTTCTTGTTTATGCCAATTTTGTTCATTTCCAAATTTAATTAGTCTAGTAGTCTACCACCGTTGTTAAACTTCGCTTTTCTTAAATTAACTTTTTAACCAGGAATGCAGCAGGATGAGGTTGAATTATTAAACTTCTCCTCAATTGTATGTCTCAGTCAAGTAATAATTATTGATTCTAACCGTAACCAAACTAGCCCTGCCCTGAAACCATTTTTTACGCCAAGTATGAAATACAAAACTATGAGAGCGAAACGGTCTTACAGGACCTTTACGAGTTTGAGACATTCTTAAAAAACAAAAACCAAATATGTTGCGTTTTAAATGGCTCTCTCTATTTGTATGCGTTTGATTCCATCCCACTTCTACCTGAGTCGCGGCCTTCTGTGCTTGTTTTGGATAATTCTGGAAGTCTTAGTCGTTCATTATTTCAGCGTGAAATCAATCCAGTTAATTATTTGATACAGCTTAACTTTGTCCGAGCTTTAAGGCGTTTAAACGTGTATCATCTTTGTAAAGAATATGGGTTTCTCTCTCTCAAGGAGTCTCTGGTCCCAATAAGGACTGCCTCAACATACTTTTTAGAGGGCTTGGATGTTTGTGAATGTCCTCTTCTTGATTTACATATTGGTTTTCTGAAAGACGGCTCTATGGAGTTTTCATTTCAACCAACGGGGTTGTCACTATATTGCTTATCAAATATAAAAAATTTAGAAGATTATCTATTACAGGATGTTGTTTTGTTGCCATTTGGATGTAAAGCAAAATTAGTCTCTTTACATTCACCTTCCTCTACGTCAACAATTGAAACTTTACGAAATCGCTATGGCTATTCTCAACTTTTGACAAAGAAATGGGTTGGTATTCAAGTTGAATTTTTAGACTACGCGTTTTCGTGGCCGCTGAACCTTTGTTTCCTGGAAAAACCCCTATTTTCCTCGCATTCCCTAAATGATTTCGACAAGTACTTTTCGACTGAAGCATACTCTTTTCCTTTTAATGCATCAAAAGACATGCTATCAAAAGATCAGAGTAAAAACGACTTTTTTTCAACCTCGGAAAACGTGGATCAGATTGCTTCAACTTGTGCTCCTTTGAAGCCAGGGCTGCCAAATCCGTTGACTATACCTTCTAGTCCCCGATTGCCTATACAAGAAATACACGATCCCTTTTCATTAGCGGAAAATGGTGCGGAAGATATTGATCGAGGAAATGATTTACTCATGGAAGATATCGAAGATATTGAGGACGTTGGAGTCACCGAAGCTGATTTTGATTATTTTGATTTACCTACCCATCATATAAATCCGTACTCTGAAAATGTAAAAGAAATAGAGCTGAGGTCTGAGAATTTAAGTCAAGTTGGTTTGGAAAACCCTGTAAAAGATACGCAAGCCGACCATCACCAATTGCCTTTATCACCGAACACTTTCAGTCAAAAAGAATGCAGTATACCTGTGAAAAATTCATCCAAAAGCTCTTTAGAGCCTGTATCTCCAAAAAACTCCCTCAAATTCTCTGGTATTGATGATTCACCTTTTGAGAATCATCATGATGAAGTTGTCCCACCGTTATACAATGCAGTTCCACTCCCCTCCTCCTCAGTCAATATTGCGAAAAAATACTCAATTGGTGGAAAATATTGGTGTCCTTCTGATTTACTCTCTCGATCTAATAGTCAAGGATCAATAACAAACTCTGTCAGCAGTGTTGAGGATGAAAAGAATTCGCATGAAGAATTTCGGGAGACAATTGAATGCCAATCTAATTCTATGGAGAACTCTATTGAAAGAAAAGTTCCCTTTCCATCGCTTGAAACTAAAAGTGCAGAGTTTTTTACTTTTTCTTCAGTTGGTAACAATCCAAATGTTACTAAAGTAAGCGATTCTTTTAAGCCTTTATTTGAGGATTACAATTTAAAGCACCTCAAAACGGTTAAAGACGAAGATTTATTAGAGATTATTTTGAGTCAGCCATTCTATTATTATTTATTACCTTTCTGGAGAAACCAAAAATCCGAGTATAATTGCAGTAGTGATTCACATGATTATCTCTACATTCAGGATGCAACTAAATTATTTTTCGAAGGCTTATTTTCAGGACAAGGTGAAAGTATCTCCTTAAAATCTTGCGTTTCTTGGGAAACAGAGATGAACAGGAATGGTACCCAAACCGTTGATATGGCTAATACATATATAACGAATGAGAATCAACCAGGTGTAATACTAAAATATAATAATCAAAAGCTGACGGTCGATTTTAGTGCCACTAAACATTGGTTATCTTTGAACCTTCAGCCGCTCAATGAAAGAAGAAACTACACAGTTTTACTTTTTACCCATGAAGCTCCAACATCGGTCGCCGTGGTCAAATCTGTTTTCGATGATATTCGTTATGCTTATGCAAATAGTTATTTTGGTAAGCTTGAGCTTAAGAACCTAGTAACCTTTGATAAAGACGGGATAATTGATTATGATTCAACATTTTCGATGGTGTTCTGTGAATCTGGCAACCATGTTAATGAAGAAAAAAATAAAAATATATCAGATCTGGTTAAGGAATGTGCCAATGTTTATCCGAATGGTAATCTTCTATTTTTATTCTTTGTTGATGATTCCGCTCGTTCGTTCTTTTCAATATGTCAGTTCTATAATCTGTTTAATGAAGCTTTATCTAATGAAACTAAAGAAGAAATTTTGTTCAATGAGAAATTTTCTTTGAAAATAATACCTTCCACTGTCGTTTGCGCTATTGGTCAACCTCTTTCAATGAAGGATTTATCTCCTATAACTATTGCTTTGGACATATACAATACTTCACCGATGAAGAATCTTTCTTTTAAGACTAAATTCCGTTCTTATGTTGTTGAAAAACCTATCGATACTTTACTGCATTATAGATTGGCTAATACATGTTCTGCCAATGCCTTGTTCAATGAGTACACTTTACATATGACTTATGCCATCGTGCTTAATAAGTACGTATTATGCAGCTGGACTGATACTTATGGTGAAATCGAACATTTCGAATGGTTTGTGTTATATCAGACAGATCAACTGGTAGACGTATTTCAAAAAATATGGACGACCACCAATGATATTATGAAAAAGGGATCTTTTACTTGGTATTTGAGTATAATAAAAGTTGGAAGTCTATCCTTAGAGGAATTAAATGCTTGGAAACAAGTGGCAGAGACTCAAGGGTGTATGAGTAATTCGAAGTTTAATATCGGCGATTGCTTGATTTATGAAAATTCCAAATCCTGTGTAAATTTTTTTTCTAATATTCCTTTCAGAAAATGCAACAATTCCTATAACTTGTTGCAAGCCCCTGAAAACATCGAGATTGCAGGTATAGTGAGAGAAGCAGCCACTTCTTTCCCCAACTATAACGTCTCGAATATTATTCCTTGCCTTGCTTATGGATTACTCGGACATACTAAACGTGGTTTCATTAAGCCAGTTGCCAAAATACAATTGTTTCACCTTAAGCAGAATGAACCGACTTTAGTTTTGCGTAAGTTATTAAAAGAATACATATTCATGTCTTTCTCTTCTATAAGAAATCATTATTCATCGGTTCCGATTCCCCATAATATATCGGCTGTCCTGTATCAAGGACAATTACTTGAATACTTGAGAGGGGGAAATCGTTGAAAATATGAGGAAAATGCTGATTATTTATGCTTATTATTTATCGCCTTGTTTATTTGGCTTAGTTTGTAGTACGCCAGAAATAAGCCTGTGTTGAGTTCCTTGATATTCAGTAGTCCCTTGGTTTGTTTACATGTTGGGTGAACTTATAAGTGGTCGTCTTCATCGTAGTTACCTTGCGCAAACATAGTCAGGATGAAAAATTATTTCAAAAGTTACTCTACTAAGAGAAAGGTAGACAAAGACGAATCTAAGAAGGATGAAAATTTGGGAAGCTCTTTGAGCCATCATGATGAAATGAAGGACAAACCAAGCACAAAAAGTTTTTCTCGTGATAATCTGTATTTGGAGGATAAAATGAAAGAACTAGATAGCATTCTACGTGCAAACGATAATTATTCACAAAAGAAACCTGGTAAAAGCAAGCTAAACACCCGTTCAGTACTTTCGCCAAAAGATTTGAACATACAAAGCAAAGTTAATAAAAATTCCCTAACGTTTCTTAAATCAGACTTCTCTTTGCCAGCAATTGAGGATCCTTCAATGAGCAACGGCAATTTAAGTACCGATAAGCAAAGGATCGATTCAGGAAGTGTAAAAAATAAAAGCAAAAAAGATCTTTTATCCTGCACACAACCATCCTTGTTTCAGCCAAATTACCTTGGTTCGAACGATCAACGCCGGCCCTATTCGAGTTTACATTTGTTTGGAAATTCGATCGCCGATTCAAAAGACGAAAATTCAAATTCTTTATTTAACTCTAATTCATTTTGTATAACTTCTACGCCCGTTGCCTCGCGAAAGAAGAACCCTTCGATTTTGCAATACAATTCAGTGTCACCTACACAATCCACTTCGGAAGAAGATCATTCTATGGAAAAGGTATTGTTTTCAATTATAAATTCTATTTTATCTAATCTAACCTTAATAGTATGCGCTTCGAATTCGTGAGCTTGAGCGAATGTTAAATGATGAAAGACATCTCAATGCAAACCATGAAAAAGTCATCGCGGAGATGAAGGTGCATCTAAAGGCGCTTCGGAATGATTTTCAGTTTGCAAAAAAGCTTTTTATGAACGCTCTTGCCGAGCATCAAGAAATGATCAACAATAACTTTAGAAATTGTCGAGTACAATCCTCTCGTTTGACCCAACATTAGTAAAGTTGTTTTATTAAAGGAATATTATCATAAAATCTTTCCTATAGTTTATTTTTGTGCTCACGACTAATGAATGCTTAATCAAACGAGCACCTAAGCTAGTAAACGCCTGACGAATTGAACTACTAATTAGCACTGAAATAATCTATTTACTAGTAGAACAGAATCTGGTTTGTTTGAGTTTTTTATTTTTTTTTTTATTCTTCATATCTGTAAACAAGTAAGTAAACAAATAAGATTACGCTGAATGTCGTTTCTCCGTAAGAATAAATGATGATGCGCAACGTAATAATAATACAACACCATAATGAATGTCAGAGAAAGGAAAAAGTCGATGGAAAACTTCATTTAGACGTGTTTATTTTCATTTTTCAACTGTTAAAGAGAAGTATATTACCTAGAAATTTTTTGAGGGTTTTCAAAAGGTGAAAACGTAAAAAAATGTCAGAAGCGTCTCCTCTATCGAGGAAAGTAAACGAAAAAGCCGAAAAAAATGAGAACACAGAAAAGAAATCTTTTGAAGGGGAAAAAATTAAAAAGCCCAACCCACGGGAGGATGCCAATGGCGAGGGATCCGCCGAGCAAGAGCCTGTGGATAAAAACAATGTATCAAATAGTCCGAGTATGACGGAGGTGTCAGAGGTAGATGCCAATGTTGGTATTGAATGGGACTTTGAGCATGCTTTAAAGATGTCAAAGGATTGCCCCTTACTGGCCAATCTAGCTTATGAAATGTCAAAAGTTTTCTGCGATGTATTCTCAGAGTTTACTTTCCAGATTGACGGGCCACAAAATTATTTTGAGAAATTTGATGATAAGTTTCTTACAAAGGTTCGAGATTTTTCGAATGATTTGGGTTCAACGTATGGATTAAATTCAACGGTTTTCCTCTCCTATATCCAAGCAAACGAGCCTTACCGGAAGTTGTTTGGTGAGGCAGAAATCCCATTGAGTGAGATTCAATTTTTTACTGGAACAATTGATTTATTTGACGTAAGTAATAAACATTTTGTTTTGATGGCAATTGTCATTGACAGTTTACTCGTGGTTGAAGAAGATTCCCCATTTTATACCAAAGCATTGCGTCTGTTTGAAGAACTAATATCAAGGTACTGTTTTTCTAATACGTTTCCATACAAAAAGAATCCCGAAAAATTTTTATACACTTTAATGCCCTACAAAACCCAGGCTGCCCTCGATATTGTGGGAAGATCCGTTTGGAAAAAGCAAAATATTTTTGCTTTTTTAAAAAATACTATTGAAAAGTGCATATCCTCTCCTCCCAAAACAATAAACCCATACAGGAAATTTGTGATCGCTGTGTTTGATTTCCTTACTGACTCCCAATCTGTAAGACGATTACACAATACTTCTTTTGGGCAGAAAAGATATACTGCTAATGCGGAAAATAATGACCTTCTTTCTCGTCTACGAAAAAGAGTATCTATGTCAAGCAGTCCTCCAGAAAAAGAGCCCAAAAATGCTATGGAAGATAATACTTCAGATGCTGTTGAGGAGAATTATATAAATCCTGAAGCTGAAGCGGACAGTCTCCCTGTCTTTCAATCCCAGGCTGATGAGCAATTGAATGATAGATCAGAAACGCAATCTAAAGAGACATCACCGTCGCATGTTCATGAAGATACGGTTGAAACTTCTAATACTAACAGAGAAAAGATAAATGATATAAATTCTTCTGAAATGGAAGTACTGCAGTCTATTTCCGAAGAATTGTCTATCGCAGTAGCGTCGCTATCCGAGCAAACTATCACCTCTGTCCATAATCAGGCGTCTTCACTCCTAGAATTAATTGAAGAGAGAATTAAATTATTAGATGAGAAAAAAAGAATTACGAAGAACAAAAAAAGAGCCTCTTCGGTTCAAAATCAATCTTCAGCTGATGTTAACCCGAATGCCGTATCCGATGTCTCTAGTGTTGACGAAGAGGATGAGGATTTTCCACCAATTCGAAACGCTTCTTCACAAGCCCATTCTAGTGCCGATCGGGCTGCCGTTATGAGAACGTCTACAGAAAAGGCAGAAGAACGCGCTGAGTCACGAAGACAGGTGACTCCATACGAAAAACTTAAATTTCGCAGAAAGTGGACGGAAGAACAGGAGCGCGAACTATTTAATATGATTGAACAGTATGGCTGCAGTTGGTCAAAAATCGTTTACATTCAGAAAATTTATGACAAGCCCCTAAGTCCTTTTACACCTACCCACGTTAAAGATAAAGCAAGGTTAATTAAAGCCCGCTATATGAAGCAACATCAACTTCAAAATCTATACCAACAATCACCCAACTGGAAGTATGTAACGGTCGGACCAGCATATTGTGAAATTCACAAAATTCCTTACAACAAGGAATCCTCAACAATGGAGTGAATTTTTAACTGAATTTTTTTTTTCAATTTCAGTATGGGGAACGTTTTACTTTCTATGATGGAAAATTTGGTTTCACCTGCACATTCTTGCTGTTGGTAATAATGACTTGGGCCAAGGCTGTAATGAAAGAGTTTATAAACGTTCTATATATTATTTAATTTATTGAAGTAATGGAAGAAGAGAAAAAGGGCATGACCAATTTTAAAATGTATCTGAATCCGAATATATACGTGTAATTCAATTTTGTAAAACAAAAAATTTTGTAGAGCTTAATTCTACATGAAAGATAAAATATAAAAAGTGTACCAAATAAAAATAGTCATAACCAACGGTCAAAGATTCATCATTTAAACTTCCCTAGGGACTTCACATTATATATATTACGAAACCAAAGAACCAATCTATTTTATTTAATGTCGGACGTACAACTAAGAACATCTGTCAGTAAGATTCGCCAAGTTTTGGCTCCTGGTTTGGATGAATCTGCTAGTATAGAATACCATTCTAAAAACATCGAAGAATCGATTAAACAGATCATTCGCACTTCTATATTGGTAGTTGAATTGAATGATAATGAGGTAAGAAATTATAGGCTTGATTGTGCAACAATAAAAACTGGTTTCATTTGAAATTTCACTTAGGAATCAAAAATCAACACCTTTGAAGAACCGTTATATGGATGGATGGATAGAATCTAGTATTGAAGCAGTTATTCTATAAATGAAGGAGCCTTCATTTCAATCTCATAAGGAGTGAAGTAGCTATGAAATACCAGTTGAGTTGCATGTCTTGCTTGTCCTTTAAAGAAATCAAAGTGATGGAAGGCATATAATTTTCCTGAATGAAATGATAGGCGTTGTTTGGATAAAGCTAATGTTTTGCTAGTCTTTAGATACACTGGATTCATCCATCAAAGAATTATTGGATGCTAAACAAAGACTACTATTATTGAAAAATGCCATTGACGATTTAGATTCTGACGTTAAGAGAAATCTTAATTTCTTAGAGGTACGTGTCATTTAAGAAAAAGCATACGTGGTATATATTTTGTAAAGCTAACAGGCTCTGTAGACATCCAGCATGCTAGATGTGTATACCCAAAAATTCAAAGGATTGCTTCAAGATTACGAAAATAAATCAGACTTTGAAAAGTACGGGAATGAGGATGAATACATCGAATTCCGACGTACCATTTGGCATGAACAAAACCTTGATGGGAAAGCATTCCCGCCAATGCGATTCTTTTTCGAACCAAATATTCAACAAGATGCGGAAGATGATGATATTGTTATGTCTTCTTCAACCATCGAAACTCGGTGCCCATTGACTTTACAACCGATAGTTCATCCTGTTATATCCAAAAAGTGTAATCACTACTATGAGAAGGATGCCATATACTCTTTAGCTGGAACGAGTGGATGTCGTTGTCCAGTCGTTGGATGCAATTCTCAATTGCGAAAATCAGACCTAAAAGAAGATCCTGTTCTTGAAAGGCGGTTACGTCGAGTTCAAGAATTAACCAGAGGGGACTAGTGGAATTCTTTCTCTTTTTCTATTGTTTTTTGTATATATTTTCATACCCATATGTTCATCTTCCATTGACGGTTGTAGGTAGTTTGAATTTAGACCTTTTGTTTGTATAATTGGAAAGTCTATTTCAATTTGAGCAATTTTTTTTCTATTCTAAGTGACATATATTACTTGTTTCATAATATCTGCATTCTGGTTTTAATGAAACTTCCGTCTCTACCAAACCTTTTTCAACTCCAACTTCCCGTATAAACGATACATCTGATGGTTTTCTAAACAAAAAATGGAACAAAATGAGTTGATGGATGATTTAACATTTGAAAGGAAACGACGTTTGCTGACTTTACAAATAGGCAAATCCATGAATGAAGTTGTAAATTTGATGTCTGTTTTAAATAAGAATATGGAAGGTATTAATGGGGTGGGAAAGGAATTTGAAAATGTCGCCTCATTATGGAAAGGATTCCAAGACTCTGTATTAGAAAAAAAAGACTCTGACATGCCGGACGCTGCCTGAAGCTTTGTCAAAGTGTTCATGAGTAGATGAATAAGTATTGTATGAATGGCCTTGAAAGAATGCGTAATTTCCCTTGCATTTATGTTGAAAAGAAGAAAATTCATTTATTCAAAGCTTCTCCAATGGTGGAGTACCTGAGATACTGCCTAGGAAAAGTCTTCTCTTTTTTTTAGAAAGCTTTTGGTGAATTGCAGGGCTTTTCAGCCCATTTTTTGCTATTTATCTCTGTATTACTTCCTTCTTTGCTATTTGTTTTACTTGTCTTATGTTATGAAACTACAAAAGAGATGCTCGCCGCTGGTTTATGAAGCTTTGTGGATGATAAGTTATGAGGATTTTGAGAAAACAAGTGAATGAAACTGAAAGAATAGATTCTATACGCTTTGTTTTCTATGATGCTATATTTACTTATGTTTCCCAGACGAGTCTATGGAATAATTTTAATTACAGATATGGTCTTAGAAGCAATTATCAAACGATGGGTACTATACATATCTTTTTTTTTTTAAAAAAAAGAAAACAAATTAGTTGATATCTGTTATTGATATGGACGACATATAAAAGAAGAAGCCATTGTACTCGTCATCGTGCGTAAGCAAACAATACAAATTAAAGAAAATAAAGAAAAGCAACTGACAATTTTTTTTAAATAAAAAAGGAGAGATATTGTCAATTCAGGTTAATCAACAATCAACAAAAATATTGGTCATTAGAAAGGGAATATAAAAAGAGCCAAAAAATTCATGAAACCCAAATACAGAAAGAGGAAAGAGAGAAGGAGAGGAAAAGAGGGAGAGGAGATGTTTAAAGAATGACGCAAGACCTTTTCGAAAATGAAAATGATTTTTTCATGGTTAAGCTTACAGCGAGTTGAAACACATCATTGATCCCTGAAGCTTCTTTAGCAGAACATTCCACATAAGGTGAACTGATGGAGGATGCCACGTTTTGAGCCTAAGTACAGCGTTAGCAATGTAAGTAAAAGATTGATTTGTTTACAGCTTACCTGTTCAAAAGTTACGGGTGTAAGACCTTGAGTACGTAAAACCTCTTCAGCATTTCTATCCTGTCGTAAATCAGATTTGAGACCAACTAGCATTGTGGGCGTCCGTGGACAGAAATGCTGAACTTCTGGAAACCACTAAGAATTACGATGTTAGCAATAAAGAAAAAAAGATGAATCCCAAAAATAAAAATTGGTATAATAGGACTGATGTGGTATGAAGAATAGAAATAGTAGCAAACCCACTGGACATGAAATTAACGGCTTTAGCTACTACTTGTACCATGGTGTCAACCCCAAACTTACCTTTTCAGTGATGTTATGCAGAGAGGCAGGACAATCAATTGAGAAACAGAGCAAGATAACATTGCTGTTAGGGTAACTAAGAGGGCGAAGACGATCGTACTCCTCTTGTCCAGCAGTATCCCATAAAGCCAACTCAATAATTTTGCCGTTGGGTTTGTAGGAGATTTGCGTAATATAATTTTCAAACACGGTTGGAACGTATCTCTTTTCGCAAGTGTTAGAAATAGGGTTCACTTGAAATTCTTGGATGGAGTTTGAACCGTCCAATGTATTCACTTACCTCTGGGAATGTGCCGGTAGAAAACACAATCAACAAACAGGTTTTGCCTGATATGTCAGCAAAAAGTTCTTCAAGTCCTTCAACATGTTTTCATGCTTGTTATAGCTCCACATACCACAACCGCCGTCTCCTACAACCACCAGTTTCTTTGAATGATCTAAAACAATATGTGTTAGAAGAGAACAAACATAACAGTACAGAAAATTGATTTCTCCAAAACAAACCTGATTTTGAGCTGCTTTTCATTCTTTGTGTGTCAAGCAAAGTTGTTGATATTGGTTTGTTTTTCGTTGAACAAGTCGCGTTGTACTTAAATTGCCATGACAACGTGAATGTAAATAGTCAGTGAAGCATGCTGTTTATATGATAATAACCAATTCAGAGTAAATAAAATGAAATAAAATAAAATAAAAATATGGTTATAAATGCAAATATGAAAAGGAGTGCGAAATTTGAATAAGAGTATACTTAGTTTACACGAATAGCAGTCAGACGTTAATGACTTAAATTCTTCTTCGTTACAAGCAGCTGATTGATCATTCATGCCAAGCAAAAAACAAAAAAACAATAAAAAAAATTGCACGAATCACTCTAAAACAATTACTATAAGCAAAACAATTGTTCCAACCTGAAATCATTTACTTCTTATATCGCATATACTTGGTTTGTTTACATTGTTACCTTGACGTGTAAAGATGTAGTTTGTTGAAGAGACAGAGGTGATATATGCAAGACGCGCCGCGAAGAAGTAAACATGAACTTGAATCCCAGTTGGAAGAAGAATCGCATGGAGGTTGGTTTTATGATTCTTTAGGGCTTACGTGAACTTCTAAAGAAAAAAGAGGAAACTTGTGAACCGCGTTTACTATTTCATGTCTGCAGTATAATGTCTTCTCAGTATACAAAAGGTAAAAGTAATGGAAAAAGGGAATCCTATTTCCAAACTTCATTTGCTAGACGGGACGGCTAGCAGACTTTTGTGTAACCCAAGTATTCTTTTCATATTCAGCGCTGTGAAGGAAGAGTATCAAGAGATAAATATGCAGTATTTTTTTTCTGTCTTTCCACTTTGCTCAGCAGATGCTCTCCATGGAATCACTGTACCTTGGTGGGCTGTTATTAAGGCCAATCTTTCTAACCACTTATTCAATGAGTACGATAGTATGTTGTACTTTCCTGTGAGAGACAATGAGGAAGCTTGGATACCAATTGTACTGCCGAATTTGGTGAATGTGGATCTTCTGCTTCATCATTGTTTGTCTGGCCTGGTATATCTCAAGGAAGGTATAACGACTGTTTGTAGGATTTGGAAGTGACTTATGCAGATAGCAGTGTATTTTTTGTAGGAGAGTTTCTTTGACCTGAGTGAGTGTGATTTTCAGAGAAAGAATCTCTTTTGTCGCTTTCCTTTCCCAGCCTTCTCAAGTTTCGCTAGTATGTAGAAATTTGCAGAAGCAATAGACATCCTTGGTCTATCCTGGTTTGAGGATAGCAATTGGCTGATTACGCTCTGGTCTATGGAATTTTATATTCTATAGAAGCTTAGAGATTCTATTGATATCAACTCTGAACAGTATTTTGGCTTTTTTGTCGGTATTTTGACCGTGCCGCTTGTAATCTTCATGCGAAGAAGATTCATGCAGGAAAGAATCAAAAATCGACTAGTTGACACAATGTACTTTCCAACAATGGTGAACGCGGTTCCATCTTTCTCAAAAGTGAAAACACTCGTGTATAGTGGGACTTCTTTATTTCTTAGTTTTTCATGTAATCAAGCGTAGTTAGAAAAAAAAGAGAAGGGGATGCTCTTGTTGTTTTAGAAATTGCCAATCTTGTTTTTTTATAAAGGAATGAGATCCAACGTGATCAAAGTTTCGTACTTGTTCATTCCGTTATAAAAAGATTAAGTAGGCAATGTTCACTTCACTTGGGATCCTCTTTTCATACTAACTATTGTCCCTATAGAGTGCATATTACCAACCCTACTTTAGATTTGAGAATTTGCATATTGGGAATTTTTTTTCTCTCTCTTTTTACTATACTTATCGGTCAGTGCTATTATGTTTTCAACGTGGCTAATGTTCTTGTTTTAGTTCTTGGAAGCCCAAAGTACATTATAATACATCACCTTTTGTTCGAGTCATGCTTGAAAATTAAAGGAAACTCTAAAACAGGAAGTTCTGCATAATGTCTCCTAAATTTGAGAAATAAAGAGCAGATGCGATTTTACTTAACTCAAGGCATAAAGTTTATGGTCATAATTCAACTAGAGTAAACTAACTCTTTAAAAATTATGAGTTTTATATAGCACCTCTATCTAATATGTACTAAATAATTACCTATAATTCTTTTTCAGAAATGAAATTCCATTTGATATTTTGAGTATCAGTTCATTGCTAAATTAGTAAGACAATAAAACAAAATTATAAATAAATAAAAGCATTTCAAAGCGTCAAGTGAAGTGTACGAGTTTTGATCATAATTTCTTGTAACACCGTAAAAACTTTTGAAGTGCAGCTGCAAAACAGAAAGAACGAAGGAAAAGCCTACAGCATCCCGGATTCCCATGTTGTCTCCAACCATAGTACTAACGAGACCCTCAGGCGCTTAACTGCAGTGATCGGACGGGAACTGGTGTTTTCGCCTAGGTGTGGCCGTAGACATTCAAAATGTGTAACTAAAGGTATTTGTATTTGTAGTGGGTATTCATCATCTCAGATTTTACAAAGTTGATAGAGGATGGTTTTGATACTTAAAAGATTAAAGCACACTGTTTTTCTCTTTTCTAGCTATTCACATTGTGCTAAATTGTCGTTAAGGTATGAGACTGAATGTCTGAATTTATAGCAGTTGACGAAGCTGTAGTTTGAGAAGTAAATTATTAAACTACATTAGTTGAAACGGCCAATCTGAATATGTCCAGCTTTGAATTAGAAATCGGTTGATTATTTTGCAAAATTAACATCATAACAATTAAATAATCATTAAAAAGGTTGCTTTAACAAGGATGTTCGTCACAAAGAGATTGAAAGATTCATAAATAACAGTATTGCGAGACGAATTCTTAGATCCATAAAAGAGTGAACGTGAAAAGCAATCAAACCTGCCGAATGAAGCTGTGCTTACTTTTGTGGACAAGAATGCAGAAACTTGAGGGATTGCAATTGATATGGATGCTTTTAAAGAAAATGCGATTTAGAGGAGGGTTGGAGAAGATTCGTTAAAACTCAAACTTCAGCGCTTTGCCCAGCAAAAGGTTGAAGCTCGATTTCCTCGTTACGAGATGCTTCATTTTCTGGATCTGTCGGTCCTAATTAAGTTAGTCAGATGCTAAGAAAAGAAAAAAAGTTATAATAAATAGTACATACGAACATAATTCGCAGCATTTCTTATGCTGTTTCCCATGCCGTTTCCTAAATCAGCAATGAATATTCGAAGTTGTCGCGTATCCGTCGTACCTAGAACAGTTAGAATATTTCGCAGATTAAAAGACATACTCCAAAATAAAACAAACACGGCAACGTTAACAATGCAGACACCATAGAAAGCAATATCGTTCATCTTTTCAAATCCTATTATTTTCTTTACATTACGATAGAATACGAAACCAACGACATTCAGAAGACCCGTATATATCACTGCCACAAACATGTTGCACCCAGCTTGGGTGAACCATCCAGGATAGGCTATAAGGGTTACTAATTATAAGTTAGCTGTTAAAGGAAAAAGCGCACTTTGGCTTACCAAGTACGAAAATAATAATGGATCCAATAGAACCGCCAGCAAGCCCATAAAAAACACCTGTATTCAGAGGAATCTTGTAACCGAAGACTATGATTAAAAAAACAGAATGATATAAAAGAAGTTGAGTAGTCGCTATTCCTCTCCAAAAATGACATTGAAACTTGTTCTTTTCAGAAGTGTCCGACCTAGTATTATTAGCAGATTCTTGGGCGGAATTCTGAACGGAACCGTCAGCCATTTCTAAATCGATAAATTTGTTTGAAGCTAATGAATGTATTAGCAACTGAGTCTTTCGTTGTATACGAGAGAATGAAGGTATTCGCCCTGTTTATTGACAATCGTCGACAAGTTTAAAATAGGATTCCTCAGTAAGAACTCTCAATAACAAACACCATTACCTTTCTATTTCAATAATCGTACCTGAATATGGAGGAGGCGTGCCATCTGCAGAATGCGTGTCTGACTTTTCATCAGTGAGCGTTTTCAAGGACTCTTCAGAGTCTGAAACAGAGGTGTATTTATTCTTCATGGTTACAATGCCACATTAAATCCAAAATTAACAACTGCAGTTGCAATCTAATCAAAATCAACTAGAATCATCAAGAAAAGTTCTTAACAGTTGGTTCCACCTTTCAGAGATTTAAAAAAAAAAAGGAATTGTTCCTTATTTCGAAAGAAAATCAATACCTTGAGTAAAATCTGTCTAAAACCAAAGATAGGAATAAAAAAAAATCTTGGTAATGGCCTTTCGCATGTTTCAATTTCATAAAGCAGCGACATTATGTCACCGACTGGTCACATCCTCGTTACGATTATTTGACATTCGTCTTTCACCGTGGCTTCTAGTATGGATAATACAAACGAATCGATTATTACAAAAAGTAAACAAAGAACCTTTCATCAAAAAAATACAGATTGTATACTTAAAATAATATATATACGAAATAGGAATTAAAAATAACTTTATTGAAAGACGCAGTGACTTGACTTTATGAATTTGAGGGAAAATTCAGCAATAAAAGTTTGAGACTCTACATTGTCGTGTATACTTTCAGCATTCGTAAACATTCATTATTTTGAAACAATGTTCTCTAAAAGGTTCTTTGAAGAAATCTTTCCATCTAGGGGTTTTAAACGCAGTGGATGTTGATGTAGATGGAAAGGAAATCTTTGTTATGCTGGGTCCGGTCTTCTGTTTTTCCTCTAGCTTGGGATATGCTTGTTTTTTTTGCCTTTATTCATTACACCGCTTTTCCATGACTATACTCTTGATTGAGGTCCATTGCTTTAGCTTTTTCCATATGCAAAACATCACCTAACTCAAAGTACCATGGGGATCAAAAGGAAATCCAAATGCAACACGATGCATGCATACGTTACGCTAAAAAAGGTAAAAAAAAAAAACAAAAAAAAAGAAGGAAAATCCTACAGCATCCCGATGAATATTCTTTAAAAATTAATAGTACATCCATAAAATCCAAATCGCCTTTCCTTAGAAGAAAAAACATAAGGAACTGCCCACACCAGGAATCGAACCTGGGTCGCATCGGCCACAACGATGAGTCTTAACCACTGGACCATGTGAGCTTTGATGAGTGTAAGAAAAGAATAGAAGAACAAGAAAAGAAGACAATATAATGTCAGTCAGATGTAACTTGGTTTGGTTTGTTTTTTAGACAAAGGTTTATAATATTATTTCTTTTCTTTTTTTTTTTTTTTTTGAATTGAGAAGTAAAGAAGTCTTCTCTACTTCTCTAACAAAGTGTGATTTTAACGGGTGCGTTTCCGATCTTGTAACCTATTCCCAATCTCTAGCCAGTACGCTCAAGAATACATTCAGAGATTTATGAATATTCAAGAGGTAATAATTTTTTATTGATTTTGTTAATAATATTTTTAGTGGGATTCTGTTTCGCTCTTTCAATGGCAAGCATGTTCGGAATTAGTTTCATTTCAAGACACATTGGTATTAGTTCAAGCATAATTTTTATACAAAATCCATGAAGCTAATCATTAAAGAAAACCAAGAGTAGTTGTTCATGCGAAGGGACAAAAATTTTGTGTGTTGGGACATTTGACGGCCATATTCTTGTTTGCAACAATAAGCTTGAATTGATAGCTGATTTTGTTGTCTCCGAATTTGGAGCAATTCAACAGCTAGCATTAACGAATAATGAGTATGCACTTTGTTGTGTTTGTGTATGTATCTGTCTTTCGTCAAAATTTCATAAATTAATCTTTAATGTGAGAGTCTAGCTCGACAAACAAAATGCGGTTGTAATACAGTTTTGGTCAATCGAAAACATTTTAAGGAGCAAGTCTAAAGATATATTTTGCTTATACGAGCGTCGTTTAAATGGTATCCCGAATCCTTTAATTCCTGCAACTAGTATTGCTATTTCAGCTGACGTTTCATCCGTGTTTTGCGGATTCGCTAATGGAACAGTAATTCAACTACAAGGATATTTTCTTCGGGACTTGGGCTCAAAGCAGGATGTGGTTTTTCGCGAAAGAGACTCTATAACCGACCTTGCTATTCTGTCCCCAAGAAAGCTATCTGTTTCTACTACTACACAAACATTTGTATTTGATATTTTTACCAGGTCCATTAATATATTAGAAGACAACGGATTAGCTATCGGTTGTTCTGAAGTGTATATGCAAAAGTCTCTCTTGCGTGCCAATTCATCCTTCCTTTCAGTTTACGATTTGAAAACGTTGATTTTGCTAAAGACGCTTCACGTGGATGGGACAATACAAAGAATTTTCACGTGTTTTGGAAAAGTTTGCCTGCTGGTTTCCAGGACTCCCTCATTTTCATCTAAAGATCACAGCAAAATAGCATCTGAGTTAACTTCATATTTCTTCTTTATATTGGACTTGGAAGCTCAACTAATTCTTTTTCAATTTGAAATTAAAGAAGGAAGTATCTCGAATATTCTTTGTACATCTGATGATTGCTTTTTCTTTTATGATAACTGTCCTCCTCAACAATTAATTCGTCTTCCGCAAGATTTTCTTTTATACAAATGTTTTGAGAAAGAAGAGTTTGAGAAGTCATATTTACTAGCAAAGTATTTGAAGTGCACCGAAGATATCACCAGAGATTGTGCTCTTCGTACAGCACTGCTGTATTTTAAAGAAGGTGATCTTAAAAAGGCCATCGATTACTTCATTTATGCTATACCTTTTTCCGATTCAGCTTTAATTATCAAAACATATTTAGAACGACGGCTATTGGGATGCTTGCTTCGTTATTTGGAAGCCCTTGCTGCTGAAGGATACGCTTATTCGTTCGAGCAATCTACATTGACTTTTCTATATATTAAACTTCAAAGATATGATTCTTTGATGACATATGCAAAAAGTGAAAATTGCTCCACTGAGCTTTTGCTTCCTATACTGCGAAAATACAAATGTTTTGACCAAATGGAGGCCTTGGGTAAGATTTGGAATATGCCCTTAGTTTGTCTTGAAGTTTACCGAGAGAAAACATTAAAAGGTAAAGCATTTCAACTTCTTGAGAGTTGCCATGATTACATGGATGTAATCGAAATTTCAAATCATTATGGCATATGGTTTATAAATTTGGATCCGACTAAATTTACAGAAAAAATAGTTGAGATATCTGTTAATTTACTGAACCTTGGAAAGCAAAAGAACTTAATAGTGTTTCTAAAATCAATTTACCTTTCTACATTAATTCAATATCCGGAATTACAAATAAGATTGTGGGATACAATAAAGATGCAAACAATGGATCCCACGATTCTGAAGTTTTTAAACACACGAAAGCTTCATTCTATCACGCAAAGGGAGATGGATTGTACAAGTTTGAATAACGAGTCACTAGCTATCCTTTTAATTAAAGAATGCAATGGCTTACTCGATTATGAATCTTCTATACTTTCCTTACAGTCAGTTAAATGGACTACTGCACTAGATCTGCTGTACTCCCAAAAGTCCCTAATTTCTGGCTCCAGTGATACAATAATCCAGAAACTATTAAAAGACCCGAATACGGCGGATCATCTAGTCGATGAGTATGATGATGAAGCTATGCTACATCTGTTGAAGTTTTTGGTACGAGAACGGACGGTTACGAATATACGAGAAGATATATTTTTCAAAATTCTAGAAAGCTGTTTCATACAATTTGAAATTCCGATCCAACATCTGCTGGAGATACTGATGAAAGACCAAATTTTAACTTTCGGAGATGTTAAAAATATTTTATTGAAATGGTACAGTCATTGTTCTTCTCGAATAGAAGAAAAAGATAAACAGTATATACACATTCAGAAAGAACTTGCAAGTAATCAAAGCCAGTTTATCTCTATTCCAGTGGAGGACCGACTTTGCGACAATTGCGAGGGGGTTTTGAAGATACCCTTCAAAACCTATAGTTGTCTTCATATCATCCATCGAGATTGTGCTTCTGAATCGATCTGTCCCAAATGCAAATCTGGAACGTTGGAAACCCCATCCATGACTTATGAAAGGCACGAATCTTCTTTTCATGAACTTTTTAGTCACCTATCTTTATTAGAATCTTTTATGCTATAATATCTTTGAACGCCCATTTTGCCATAATCTTTACAATTTCTACTATATGGACAATCAGCACATAAAGAAAGGTATCATTCATCTGGATATCGTTAAGAAAATATGGTATTGCGCGAAATTATTTTTCGTCTTCACTACCGGATTGATTCTCCTCCTTGGATCCTTCTTCTTGCTTAGGTTCATGTTTGGTATCGGTTGATTCTTGTTCTTCCTTTCTTGTGGTTTCGAAATCCGCATTTTCTTTCTTCTCTTCCTCATCTTCATCCTCGTCTACTAACCCAAGAGCATCGGTCACCTCTCCAACCATACGTTTGAATTGCATCCATTCATTCGGATTCAATGCGATCCCCTTCTTTCCAGGGAGCATTTCTCCATCCTTCTCATAATATTCACGAATATGTACATATGTAGTTCCACGAAAGTCTGAAAGAGTCACCCTCTTTTTACCAGAATCATTCAACTTTATTAAAAAACGCATTAACAATCGTTTCCAGAGATTGAGAAGTTCCTTTACTTACTTGCCAATGAAGTTCTTTGGTATTTTCACTCTTTTGTTTTTTGATATTAGCTGCCCCACTTCCGTTAGAAGCGCGTTTTCCTACCATCGCTGTTGTAAACGGTTTTGTTCTTTTACAGAAATACTGACTTGTGTTCTGGTATGCATTATGAGGTCACTAATCATATTTAATGGCTCGTTCCAGTGCTTTAATAAATAAATAAGTTTATGTCGCTTAATAGTATGTTTTAATCTTTTCTCCATAGATTCTATACATAACTTATGGAAAAATAAGATTACAAAAGCATTATTATTGCTAAGGAATGATTAATTATGCATGGATACCATGCAAAAGAATAGGATTACAACTAAACATCGTTTCTAACTCATAAGCTTCATCAGTACCTTTTTAGAATAACATCAAGGAAGGAAATATGAATCCTTAAATTAAAATGAACGGAAAAAATAGTCAGGAGGTCTACTGAAGGGTGATCACTGACCGTCAGCGGACATATCAATATATATGCACCGTAGCACACTTTCATTGTTTTGTTTTCCCTCTCACATTCAATTCAAATACTTTCAAGATGTTTGTTACGAGCTTGTGCTCTAGCAAAGGCCCCAAAAATAGGATAGGTTATGATCGAACTAGCAAAGAAACCGACAGCGATTCCTATCGCAATCTCAACCATTGTAAGACCAAACTCTAGACTACTATACTGACTTCCAGACTGAGAGTACGTAGTTGTGTTTGTCGTTGTATTATGACTTGCAATATTAGTTGCAGTGTATAAGCCGCCACTCACACCACCTTGAGCAGTAAATCCTGAGGGAACTAGAACGAATATGGCAGGTATCACAACAACAAAGGAAGAAGATTTAATAAAATGTGAGTAGAAATTACCTAAGCTCCCAATCACAAAAGAACCGAGAGCACTAGAAATCTGACCTGTACCAAAATGCAATGAAGAATAGAAATAAACAACATAGCCTATGATAGATACTAGAATCTGCATACACCACTGCTTTGGATGCGATTGTGTAACAAACAGTAAAGAAAGCGTATATAAAGGTATAAAAAGAATATACCACTTTTTTTCAATCCCAATATCTTTTAGGCATGAATAATTCCTTGTAGCGTTAGTGTCCATCCAACCATACAGAACAGCACCGATAGTGATACCGAAGCTCAAAAACAAAGAGAAAATAACAGCATAAAGCATGCGAACACCTCCGGAGACTATATTTTTGGATTGTAACTCCAGCACTCCGCAAAATATAATATAACCTGGTAAGATTAGGGAAACGGCACCCTCAACCAAAGCTGTAAAACAAAATACCGGCCTCCCATGCTTGCTGATACTTCCAAATGCCCGCCCTATGAATGACAAGACAACGGCCCCAAAAACTTCAAACAGCTTGTCAAATAATGATGATTTGGGAGCAAGATACACTCTCAAAATCCCCAATAACAACCCCAGCAAAAATCCTAAAGGCATATCATACCATCCTCCACCGTAGGCAACCGGCAAGATGCAAGCGCTGGCGAGACCATGCATAATAGCAACCAACCATTTCCGATAAAGAGGACGAAAAGTTGTAATATTTCTCAAAATGTCCAAACCATCCTCAGCACTTAATTTATCCCGCATCACATATCGATAAATTTCATTCACCAGACCAAGTTTGTTCAAGTCAATCTGTGACGTTATGCCTATAAAGTGCATATCTGAATGTTCTTTTTCATTCCTGAAATAAATAAGCATACAGTCAGGGAGGTAAAGAAAGTTTGCACGCAGATCTAATATGCGAGAAGCTACCCGCAGATTTCGCAGTATTTTATGGCTTGGACACCCATACAGCATTAATGTTTCACATAAACAAAGTATAAATTCACAACGTTTATTATGAGGAGATGGATGAACGGTTATTCGAAAACGATCGTCCACGTATAATTTTGACCACCCTAATTTATATAATATACCACCCAAATAGATCTTCCCCTTCTTGAATGAAGACTCAGTACTTAATTCGCTAAATTTATTTTTCTCGATATCATTTGATTCTTCCGTTCTAAGACGAGAAAGGACGCTTCCCAATGTCTTCCCGTAACGATCAACAGAACTATCGATAGGGACCATATAAGCACTTACATCGACGTTCAAAAATAAGGAAAGGAATCTTCCAAGGAATCCCTGTTCTTCAAGTGGAATATAAGTTTCACAGGTCAACAGGGATTTGTCAGTAACGTCGCTATGAGTATAAGCATGCTGCCGCATTTGAACAAGACGAGTGGAAGCCGTCGAAGGTACAGGTTTAAGATCAGAAGTACTTATTGTAATTTTTGGAATATGTTCTTTTTTGGGTGAGGAAGAACTCATCGCTTTTTCACTGCAATATTGATCGTTGGACTGCAACAACGTATAGCTCGACAGGCTGCTTGCGGAAGAGTGATCTGACATGAAGGGGTCTTCCAAATCGAAACTGTTTACAGGGGATAACTGGCCGGGGGAAAGAATATCCAGCTGTCCATTGGTTGATTTGATGCTCCTGCTTGAATTCCCAGACGAAGAGCCTCTATCAGAACGGATATGTTTCTTTGACGATGGAGAAAGATAATTCCGAAAATTTCGTGAAGCTCTTCGATTTCTGGCAATTGATAGAGATTTGGGCCGATTTGCACGATTTAACCTGAAACTAATGGATTGTCGGCGTCGTACAGGGCTGGATGCGGTTCGATGATGAAAATCTCCCTCTGGTCGATAAGAAGTCGAATTCTCATGTACTTGTTCATTTTTTTTTGCTGAGAGTGCTTTTTGAAACTCAGGATTGGGCATATACGATCTGTTAAAAAGAGGTTGAACACATTCTCGATCTTTTTTTCGAGGATCAGAAGGCTTATGGCTTAACCAATTCTTCTGCTTAGGGTCTAAATGAAGCTGAGTTCCCATAAGACAAATAATTCGTATGGTCAAACACTCTAGTTACCAAAACCAGCGTACCAACAACCTCTACTATATTGCCAAAGTTTTTGGTAGTCAGTACAAAAAACCATCAATAAGTTAAACTCCCTTTTTGCACAAAATACTTAATTTAGCAATAATATCTGAATCGCCCCTTCGTCGACTTTCAGACATGTTGCGTAATTATGATAGTTTCGAACATCCCAATTTGCCCTTGCATAATAGCTTATTATTTTTTTGCCTTTAGCTCGCAGACAAAAATAAGCCAAAGAATGAAGCGAGCGTGCTTATTTGCGCCACTAGAGCAGTAGAATTTTACACCGATCATATAGAAGAGATCAATGTCAATGGTTGAACAGTTAGCAGGTACTTTTGCTTATATAGATCATTGTCTTATTCGAAAATGTAGTTTATGGCTGTTTGTTGATCTTTGCCAAACAGCGGAATTCAATATGGGAAATATCCAAGAACAACCTCAAACTCCATTGGATCCTATTCGTCATTATATTTTTGGAGATCGCTCAATTTTATCCTCTGAATTAGCTTTATTTCAGAAAAATATAGATTTCGCCACTTTAGTTATGGTGTAGGTAGGTCAATTATGGAAGTGATCGAAACATGTAAACAAACATAGGAGAAGTAAACAAACTGTGGGTGTTGTTTACAAAATCCCCCTTCAGGAAGGTTTTCCATTAAGCAATTACCAATAACTCAACAGTTGTTTGCAAAATTCCTGATTTCCTTGCATAAACAGGTCTAACCACTTTGGTATTTTACATTCAAGATTAAACTTAAGTATATCTTCATAGCAAACTGCTAAGTTTACAAAACCGCTAACATGTCTGACGCTCCCGTATTGCCTTCTTTTGAAGCACTTAGAAACAGTAGTAAACTTGATGTTGCTTCTACCGATGAACAGATGATGAGCAGTCTCTTCCCAGACAAGGAGCAAGAAATTGAAACCGATCATTTTGGTCCTTCTATTGCAATCTCAGAATTAACGGACGCACCGGTGGAAAAAATGCAAGATTTATCTCTCGATCCTGACGGACATCAAGACGAAAACGAGAACGAAACTGAGGACGAAATTGAAAATGAAAATGATAATGAGAACGACAATGAGAATGATATGGACGAGACTGAGCAGGAAGGGGGTAAACAAGACAATGAACCTTCAGAAAATGAAGTGAAGGGCAGAGCTTCTGAAGATCAAGATTCCAAGAAGAGTGAATCAGAAGCACCATCTCGTTCAGGTTCACAAATGAAGAAATCGAAATCTACGAAATCATTAAGAAAGGATTCCAACATTCTCGTTCCCTCTAAACATATAGGTATTAATGACTTCAATCAACAGTTCTATAGAAAGACATGTAAGGACGATCTTCCTTTGAATTTGATCGTCGTTGGAGAATACAGTTTAGGAAAAACCACCTTCATCAAGTCTTTCTTGCAAAACATGGATGCAGCAAGACCAAAACATACGCACGAATTTACTCAGTATAAAGCGAAGCTTTCGGATGGAGAGCAACTTTTCCATGTCAATATTGTTGATACGCCTGGTTTTGGCGAAAAAAGCGACAACAGCAATTGGTAAGTAAAAGTGTACATCTGATTAGGATTTCTAACATACGGATTTTAGTTGGAGACCTATTGCAGCAAACATCCTTCAACGCTTGAACGAATATTTTGAGAATGAAACGAAGCCTCAAAGAAATCCTTACTACAATGACAATAGGATGCACGCTTGTCTTTTTTTCTTGAACCCTAATGGACATCGACTCCAACCACTTGAAAGTTACCTAATGAAAAAGATCGACCGGTTTGTAAATGTCATCCCAATCATTGGAAAGGCTGATACTATGACTCCCGATGAGTTGGCAAAATTTAAAGAGCGTATCGCCGAAGACATGGTCTCAGAAAAAATATATACTTTTTCAGATTATGCTGATTCTGAGAAAAAGTTAAAACATCCCCTTCCATTTGCTATTGTTGGGTCGAATCAATACCTCGACAAAGACGGGAAATCCATTCGAGGTAGACAATATCCTTGGGGAACTGCCGACATTGATGACCCTGAAGAAAGCGATTTTTGCCAACTTCGAAACTTCTTATTGTACACACATAATGAGGGATTACGCAACAAAACTCATCGTCTCATTTACGACACATTTCGTCAAGAGAAACAAGCAACCCTGGATGAGCAATCTGAGTTCAAGTATATTAGGTACGTTCCTACATTGTATAATCAATTGCATTTAGCTAACATAATTACAGCACCGAAGAAATTAATAAGCAATATGTTCAAAAGCAGTCGCAACTGGTTGAGGATGCATTGACTAAAGGCTTGAAGTCTCAATTTAAAGAAAAAGAAAACAACCTTGAGCTTATGGAAAAGCATTTACGTACACACCACAAGGATTATAAGCATGTCCTTCAGAAACGAGTGATTAGCTTGGAAGAAGAAAAGAATCGTTTGATCAAGGAGATTGGACCCGATAAAATCCGAAAGGCAGGTCTAGTTATTTAGTCACTGAACTCTTCGATACTATTTACTCATTGAAATTGCTGGCACGCACTTGCTTAACTTTAATCATGATTCATAAAAGTGTTATAGTATTTTTATAAGGATACTTTTTCGCATTACATAAGCCATCATCGTAGGATCATTACTGGCTTATAAATCATAAATGAATATCGTTACGGCTAGAGATTAATTCAGCATTTAATACTCACCGAATTGAACATGACCGGTAGACATAGCATGTGCAGAAGCATCTTTTTCACCTACCAAACCAGCACCACACGTGTTGCAGCGAATCGTAAACGATGAAGTATCAGTGTAATAATGCATATTTCTCAAATGGGAGGTCAGTTGTTGAACATAGGGTAACGTCGTGTCATCTGAAGCATCAAACAAGACAATATCAGCATCCGTGTCCCAAAGGACGGAAGCCAGTGCTGCCAAATCATAATGGATACCGGAATAAACAATAAAAGTCCGCTGACCCGAGGCTGGTTGAGGATTGTAAGAATCGACACGACCAGTTTGAACATCAACGGAGCAGATCTCTAAGTCGAAATGGGAGGACAAAACGGAAAGTTCAATATACCCACCCCAACTTGACTCTTTACGGATCCACGCAGCATATTCTATTGGAGCTTTACCTAGAACCGCTGTAGAGTATAACTCGGGGTTGGATAAAATTGTGCTAGCTACCACTTCTCGAAGGTCATAAGGAGAGAATCCCAAGGGCTTGGACAAGGCGCGGAAGAGACAAGAGTTATCATCGGGCATAACTCGAAGAGCAATATCACCGAGTGGTGTATTCACATATGGAGGATCTTGAGAGCCGCTGCTAGAACCACCTTTACTTGGCAAGGTTGATGCATTGAAGGAACCTTCAGTAGGTTTAGATACAGCCTGATGATTGATGGGAGCTGGAGCGGGCTGGTTGGTAGTAGCTGATGGAGATTTGACGACAAGAATCTGTTGTCCAGACGAGATGAAACTTGAAATAGGTGAGCCCTTATCGTTTAAAGGGAGATCTTGAGGCGGAAATCCAAACTTTATAGAAATGGAATCCGGATCAAGAGAGAATGTTGCCGCTATTGTCTCCAGGAAACTTTGCACGGAAGCATCGCTAGGAATTGTTGCAACTGAAGACTTGTCCATATACTTCAATCGGAGGCGAAGAGTCGACATATTAATTAATATAAAAAATAAATAGATAGAACAATTTAAAGCAGGATCGACAAGAAAAATCCAGGTACTGTTGCTTTTAGCCAGTGATCACCCGATATACGTAAAGGAAGGAAACTTTCAAGCTAAGAAGTAATCGGATGATTGATATAATAAAAGTAATTCACTAAATTGTTTCACAAATATTAAAAATTTGAAGTTTTCGAGAAAAGCAAAAAACGATTTGCTTGGTAAGGCAACTTGGCTCATGTTGATTAAAGTGCTGCACCATATTCGTACATATTTCGCTAAGTTAATATTTACTATCGTTACATTGTGTTATTTGGAATTGTGGTGGTGTAACATCGAATGGTATTTCAATAGCTTTTCAGAGTTCCACACCCCCGACATTACTACTACAATTGTTGAAGTGTACAAGGACGCGAGGAATAACCTTTTCCTAACCTGTACAGGGATATTTTACTGTATTTTTATTAATTGACAAAATATACTTGTCTCTAAAGAAAGAAAGAGCGGAAAAGCGAAAATGTCGAGAAAAGTGGTAAACGCGCCTCGGTTGCAAGGGTTGAGCCGGCTACGCGTGCGTCCAAAAAAAGAAAGACAAGCTATTCCTTGTAGTCAAGAAATGGCTGCACTCTTGGGTTGCTGGCAAAACAACGGTGGTAACACGAACTCTACTCAGTGTTTGAAGGTCGCCGCGTCTCTAGAAAACTGCATGAAGAGCCAGGTAAGTAATTATGGAAAACAATATCTGTATTTGACTTTTCTTTCTCTTTTCAAGTCTATACATGCATGCAGGTTTTTGTCTAACATTGTATTTTAGCATGGTAAACAGAAATCCGAAAACACCATCAATTATCACTTGGCTCGTTTAGGAAAATTACTTTGATGTACTGTTTCATTCAAGTTTTAAAAAAAAATCCCCTTCAACGATGTCTTATGCAAGATGAGCTGGCGTTATCGTCCAAGCAGAATGTCCGTTCATCCTAACCAAAACCCATGATGCACTGTCCGCTTGTTTTATACCTATTTTCAGATTATGGTAAAAGACATGAGAATCCCCTCTCTTTTTCTTTATGCATTTGATTCTTCAGTCTCCAGTTTCTAGTTCCTAGCATCAATTATTAATTCTTTTTAAATGGTTATGTTTCAGTGGTTGTCGTGTGTCAAGACACAGGTTTATGTTGATATGTTTGAACGATGAAACCATGTATACGAAGCCGCGTTAAACAGAATTAAAATATCTTGGAAATTACTGGCAAGATTAGTTGTTTTTTTCTCTGCAAACATACCTTTGGCTAAAAACTCCCATTAAAACACAACTCAGATCTCTCTTCTCTCATATCCAACTAGGGCGACATTAGTCCAAATCAAACCAATCTAAGAAGTAAAAAGAACAAATAAATTACTTCAACATCGCTAAAATTTGCAACAATCTAAATTTTTTCTTTGAAACTGTTGGAGGATCAATGATGACGAGATGGCAAAAGCACTTGATTCATTTAAAGAGGAGTTTTTCTATGTTACTCTATCAACAACAGAACAGATGAGGACTACGATTGTCATACGAATATACAATATGATAGGCTCATCCATCTAATTTCTATTCAAGAAATTTTTTTACCTGTCATCTTCGTACATCTGCTTTTCTTCGCTTAGATAACTTTACCAATTAATCGAAATTACATCTCCGCGAAGAAAGCAGTCACTCTCTGAGGAACATATTTATTGAAATATTTGCAATTGTCAATTGCAAAACAGAAGTCTCTGACCGTTGTACTGCTTGTAATCAGCAGCTTAATTTTTAATTTGTTGAGACTTACCATTTTAGATTCAAATCACATCAACAATGGCTTCTTCTGATATTATGTTGACTCACCTTAAGGAACAGGATCCTACTGTTGCTGAAATCATGAAGAATGAAGCTGGACGCCAGCGTTCTTCTATTGTGCTCATTGCATCTGAGAACTTCACTTCCCGTGCTGTTATGGATGCTCTTGGCAGTGTTATGAGCAACAAATACTCTGAAGGTTACCCTGGTCACCGTTACTATGGTGGTAACAAGTACATTGATCAAATTGAAACTCTTTGCCAAGAGCGTGCTCTTGCTGCTTTCAACCTTGACTCTTCAAAGTGGGGTGTCAATGTTCAATGTCTTTCCGGTTCCCCCGCTAACCTTCAAGTCTACCAAGCTATTATGCCCCCTCATGGCCGTTTGATGGGACTTGATTTGCCTTCTGGTGGTCATCTTTCTCATGGTTACCAAACCGATACCAAGAAGATCAGTGCTGTTTCTACTTATTTCGAAACTATGCCCTACCGCGTTGATCCCAGCACTGGCATCATTGATTATGATACCCTCGAAAAGAATGCCCAGCTCTACCGCCCCAAGATTCTCGTCGCTGGTACCTCTGCTTACTGCCGTCTCATTGACTACAAGCGTATGCGTGAGATTGCTGACAGTGTTAACGCCTATTTGGTTGTTGATATGGCCCACATTTCTGGTCTTATTTCCGCCGGTGTTATCCCCTCTCCTTTTGAATATGCTGATGTTGTCACCACTACTACTCACAAATCTCTTCGTGGTCCTCGTGGTGCTATGATTTTCTTCCGTCGTGGTCTCCGGAATCACGATAAGAAGGGCAACCCCGTTTACTATGATTTGGAAGAGAAGATTAACTTTTCCGTCTTCCCTGGTCACCAAGGTGGTCCTCACAATCACACTATTACTGCCTTAGCTGTTGCTTTGAAGCAATGTCTTACCCCCGAGTATAAGCAATACCAAGCTCAAGTTGTTAAGAACGCTAAGGTTTGTGAAGAAGAATTCCGTAAGCGTGGTTATAAGCTCGCTGCTGATGGTACTGATAGTCATATGGTTTTGGTCGATGTCAAGAGCAAGGGTATTGATGGTGCCCGTGCTGAACGTATTTTGGAATTGATTAACATCGCTACCAACAAGAACACTTTGCCTTCTGACAAGTCTGCTTTGTCTCCTTCTGGTATTCGTATTGGTACCCCTGCCATGACTACTCGTGGCTTTAAAGAACAAGACTTTGTTCGCGTTGTCGAGTACATTGATCGCGCTATCACCCTCGCTGCTGACTTACAAAAGAGCCTTCCTAAGGAAGCCAACAAGCTCAAGGATTTCAAGGCTAAGTTGGGTGAGGGTAATGAGATCAACGAAGTTGTTCAACTTCAAAAGGATGTTGCTCAGTGGGCTGAAAGTTTCCCTCTCGCTGAGTAAAGGATTAATGATGAATTCTCAACTACTCCCCTTTCAGTTTAATATGTATTTTCAATGCTACAAAAAAAATTAATATGTGCATTTAGAATTAATGCAAAGCGCTTGGTTCTGCAGACTTAATGTAAGTTTGGACGATATGTACTGTATCTTTCAACAGATCAGGGAACTATGCTTTACGTTATTTTTAATTCTTGGTTACGATATAGCTTCAACTCTAATATTTCGTTCATAGTTTATCAGTTTTCTGGTAATAATTAATACAATAATAATGTCAATAATTTCATTCTTCTAATACATATTTACCTTCTTATTTTCTCTTTTCTTGTTCCGTCTTTACAGCATCGTAAAAGATGTAGGAAAATTTACTTCTATATAATACAGTCCATTAATTGTATTCCGTCTATTCAATATCCAAAATGTTAACCGTTGAAAGTACCTGAATCCCATAATATCCTTTAAGTTGAACCCTCTTTTTTGTGCATTACGTCTCATTTTTAGCAATAGTCTGTAAAGCAGCTCTTGCAATTGAAAGATTAGACTTTAACAATGACTTCTCCTTTCCTTCTACCAAAGGGTTGTTACGCACGTATGTCTTCAAAAACCAATCAACCTTGGAAGATAAATTCTTTTCCGCCTTGCATGTGTCCATAATCTGTACCAATTGAATATCTTCCTTGGTTCCGATTAAAATATCAGATAAGAAAACGAGGATGAAAGTCTGTAACTGAGAATTAATACTCATGAAATCAATGTGCTATTGAAATGTTAGCTATATATGACTCGTAGGATTAGTCAACGTACTTTTAAAATTGTTAAAGGTTGACCTCCTTCAATCACTAAGTAGGCGTAGAATTTTGCCAAATTGAAAACTTTTCGCGTAGGAACTTCATTTGCATCTCCATCGTCCTCAGGTTGTAAATCATTAAAAAAATCCCACAAAGAAAATTGGAAAGACTTCTTCAAATTATGTTGTCGAGTACAACACTTCAATGCAACTAACGCATAAAAAGGATTATACATTTTTTCACTTGAGGCACAGTGCAAAATTACATACGCAATTTCAGGCTGCTGAACTTTCTTCAAACGAAGTTTGAGAATCCGGTCCCAAGCATCGATGTAATCCTAAATAGTATTAGTAAAAGAAAATTAGTATGGATGATTACATACCTCAGCTCCCATTAATGCAACGAAAATCGAGGTTCGAACACCTGTATTCAAACGCAACTTCTTTGCTGTTTGCAAAAGTCGCGAATGAGCAAGAAGCTCTTCGTTTCTCTTTTTTTCTTCTGTTATTTTAGAGGAAGAGGATGCGATATTATTTTCTACCAAAGGATCACTCTTCCAAGAAGCGCCAACTAACCACCAACGGCCCTTCGTCTCTACCTGTTCAATATCTTGCATACTAACACGCAATGGTTCAGTAGCACGAAGAGATCGATTATTAAGAGAACCCAAAAACTTTTTCAGCTGATTTACTGCTTCAGACTTCAATTGAGAATTTGCCATAGCAACTTTTGCCTTTTTGTTCTCACGGAGGCTCGTGATAGATTCGACCATGAACTTGGTTCTGACAGAAATAGACGCTGGATCAGCTGTACTCAATAAAAGATGCATTTCTTGAACGATGTCTTGTAAAGCAGATGGATCATCACTTCGCAACTGATTACCGCAATTGCGTACTATTTTTAACAGAAGTTCTACATTTAGCTCCGTCAAGGACTTCAAAAACATGCGAACAAAGTCGTAAACCAAGACACAAGAAACAAGTTGAAAATTGTAAAGTTCAACGAAAAATACTATCAAGTTTGACGTTTCTTTATGAGAGGAAAGAGGCTCCGTCTCCTTGGATTTGTAAAGACGCAAGAATTCATCAACCAATGACTGTAGTAAGTAAGCTCCAAATTCGGGACCGATGATACGGTAAAGAGCAGTGGAAAGTGCGGCATAAACAATGACAAGCTGGTCTAACATAGATTCCCTCGCCATAACAATTTGCAGAATCAGTTTAGTTAGCGTATCGGTTACCGAATGGCGGGAATTCTCCATATAAATGGCTTCAATTTCGCTAACGATAGACCCTACATTGGCACCGGAAAGACGATTTAGTAAACCCTGAAGACGTCTCCGAAGACGGGTCAATTCGATAGAGTTCTGATCATCTGCGGAAGTCTTTTGACGAAGGGAGGGAGGGATGTATTTTCCAGTGGATGGTGTAGAAGAAACAACTGGAAGGTAAGGATTTTGGCGTTTGGGCTCTTCTCGGGAAGGTAATTGCTCGTCTTCAGAAGAGCTGTCATTGGCGCCTTCCTCGCTTGTATTATTTAATTCCTCCTCTTCATTCGAAATCTCCTCTTCTTGATTTTCATCTTCAGAAAACCCTTGGAAACTTTCTTCACTTTCTGACTCTTCCTGAGAAGCTAACAAGTCATTGCTTTCAAGATCATTAGATTCTTGATCTAAATCCTCTAAAATCCAACCAAATTCTTTATCAATCTGAGAGGTGCGCTTACTCTTTCCACGGACACCAAGTCTCTTTTCAAGCATCGCAATTTCTCGGTCATCATCTTCTAATGCAGCAAGTTGCTGCTTACGAGCAAAGTCTTCATATGAAGGAGATGGATCTTTCTTAGCTTTTTTGCTTTTAGGAAGCTCTTGCGAAGCTGCGAGCATATCTAAAGCATCTTCAGTTTCTCGTTCCTCCTTCCTTACACGACGTGGCTGCTGCTCATCAGCAGAGCGATTTTTTGTGTTTCTAGCAAGCTTTCTCTTTTCTCTGTGAGACAATTCACGCTTTCCTTTCTGGCCTCTTGAAGCACCATCTATTTTTTGTTAGCTCTGACATTTCGCGAGAACGCCTTACCTTCACTATTTATTTCATCCAAAATGCTCCTTGGAAGTTTTAATCCTCCATTTTTCCTGCTCTTTATAGGCCTCATTTTGGCACAATGGCAAATATAAAACTCGTCTGGTGTTTGGCTCTACACAACGTTTTATTGCTTTGGACACTTGGACTAGTAATATAGAGATTTTTGAAAAATCTCCTAGTAATTATTTCTTAAATAAAAAAAAAAGTATATAAAAATAATAATGAAAACGAAGCTGTTTATATTGAAAAAATGCTTTTTTCTAGAACTACGCGACACTACCGCCTTCCCTCGTAACAGTTCCGTAATCTTATTGTGTAGTACTCGGTGCATCCTTACAGCATTTTACACAGCAGTATTGTCTTTATTACAAACGCTGGGATGCACTATTCCATACTTCCTGTCCCTTGGGATCGTCGTGTACAAGAACGCTTCTTTCGAGATTTTACAATCATATCGCTGGGTTGAGGATCACGGCGCGTACTTGGAAAATGATTTCACGGAAATTAACGACAGAGCAGTTAATTGCCAGAAGACTGAAAATTCGTTCATGGAATCACAAAATTGGAGCTAAAGTCGCACCGCACTATACTCCTTCAATGGGCGTTCGCAATCCGGCTGCTCCAGAAAAGCTGAGTTTGTCTTTGTTATTGTCATCTTATGCGCATATGGGCCATTCGACGTCTTTGTGGAATCCTTTGACTCAACCTTTTATTTACGGAAAACGGGATGGAATTCATATTATTTCTTTGGATCAAACAATGGTGTACTTACGGCGCGCAATTTCTGTAGTACGAGAAGTTGCAAAGGCCAAAGGAGTAGTTGTCTTCATAGGAACACGCAACGGTCAAAAGGATTCAGTAGTAAATGCAGCAAAACGAGCTCGTGGTTTCCATGTGTTTGATCGTTGGCTACCTGGTTTGATCACCAATGCAAGAAATGTACAGGGAAATCTTGGTGGAAAAATTGTCGCAGTTGATGATAATGGCAGGGTTGTTCCTACTGAAGAATCTCCAAAGTTTGTAATCCCGGACTTGATGGTCATTCTTAATCCTTTGGAGAACAGGGGAGCTTGTTTGGAAGCTCAAAAGGCCTCTATACCTACCATTGGGATCATTGACTCAGATGCTGATCCCAAGATGGTTACATATCCCATTCCGGCTAATGACGACTCGTTGCGATGTACTGATTTGATAGTAGGGTTATTGAGTAAAGCAGCTGAACAAGAGTATAATCAAAATTCTGCTTCTGTTAATAAAGCATCTTCTTATCTCCCCCGTGCTTAACCATGTTGCATTCGAATACCGTTTTGTTCAAAAAAGAAAAGTTTTTGCTTTGCTTATGATATCTAATACATACTTTTACCTAATATTTACCATTTTTTATTAAAACTTCTTTTCACATCCGATAAAGATAGTGTTCACCTTTTTAAGGAATCATCTTTAAGAACTAAAGACCATTATTGTATTATTATATGTCAAAAAGATTAGTATCAATTATGTATGAGCGGCATAACGAAATTCATTCATTGAACTTCGTATTTCACAACTGAAAGCAATACTCTACTCATAGTTGCTGAGCTTTTGTTCAAATGTGTTTCTCAATTCATTGATCGTCATTCGTTGAGTAGGTTTTCGATTCTGTCTATCCGTCACACTGAGAACTTGCTCTTGAACTTCTTTTTCACCAACTACAATCTCGTAGTTATAATTCAAAAGCCTAGATTCGCGTAGTCTCTTTCCTAAAGACTGGGCGTCAGCTTGCAAATCGACGTAAAAATAGGTTTGGTTTAAGGGAGCGAAATACGATTGAACTTGATTCGAACCGGAAAGTTCGTTTTGAATTTTTTTTGCAAAGTCTAATACGTGTTGACTTTGATTAACGGGCAGGATAACTGCATGGCGTGGACTTAACCAAAATGGCCAGTGACCGTTGATATGCTCTATCAATATTCCCATAAATCGTTCTAAGGAGCCAAAAACAGCTCTATGTACCAGTACAGGCATACTTTCATTTTCTTCAACGGTTGAGGAGCCACCAGCTTTTGTGCGATAGTACAGTTTGAATCGCTCAGGTAAATGAAAATCGAGTTGAATGGTTGCCGTTTGGTGCCATTTTCCACGAGCATCTGCAACATTAATATCTATCTTTGGTCCATAGAAGGCACCATCTCCTTCGTTTAACACCCATGGTACTTCGTTGACATTCAACGCTTCTTTTAATGCGTTTTCCGACAAGTTCCAAGTTTCAAGTGAACCGATCGAGTCTTCAGGTCGTGTACTTAAAAAATATTTCATTTTAGTCATACCTAATAGGGAATAGACGTGCTTTATAAACTGAAGCGTTTTCGTTATTTCTGTTTTAATCTGCTGGGGTTCGCAGAAAATATGACCATCATCTTGATGGAAGCATCGAAGCCTAGTTAATCCAGAAAGAGCCCCAGAAGCCTCATTTCTGTGTAAAGGACTGAAATCTGCAAAACGAAGGGGTAAATCTCTGTAAGATCGTTCAGTATGAGAATATATTAAACAGTGACCAGGGCAGTTCATAGGCTTTAACCCATAGACAGCATTCTTTTCTTCCTCAGTTTCTTCAACCTTTTTGCTTCCCTCCACACGAAAGATCTCTTTTTCATAGTTTTGCCAATGTCCACTTCGTTCCCACAAGTCTTTCTTATAGATTATAGGTGTCATAACCTCTTCAAACCCCTCTAAACGATACTGTAGTTTTAAAAAATCTACAAGTCGATTATACACACGCGCCCCATGTGGTAGAAAAAATATAGAACCAGGTGATTTTGGGTCTGTTATATAAAGCTTCTGTCTTTGAGCTATAGTACGATGATCTTCAAAAGATGGCTTGTTAACATCGGAATAGAGTCTAGTATTCACAATACAAGTGTGGGATATTCGATTGTTAACGGCGCTTTTGAAGTTCAACTTCAAGCTACAACATCGTATATTTGACAACAGCATACTAACTTATTTCTTTTTAATGAAAAATTAAATGGAATAAATGTACCTACAACATTAAAACCTCAGCAAAGAACAAGCTTTATCGAAAATATGTTTTACAAGGGACTACTGTTAAGTAGTATGCATTTGGAAAATCAGGTTCCATATTCAGCATTGGTTTCTTAAGAAGATTAGAACGGTTTTTGTTTGTTTTAAATGTAATTTACTTTTCGTAAGTAATAAATATAACACTGTTTAAATTAAAATCACCAAAATAAGCCTAAGAGATATAACTAAGGTAAGACTAAACTCGAAAAACAAAATAAAACATTAGGCAAAGTAACGTTTAAATAGTATAGATTTGGATAATTATAATCAAGCTAGTCTTCTCAATTAATCATAATGACGGATAAAGTTGTAGTAAAAAGTTATAGCATCAAGATGTCCTTGGAAAGGCATGTTTTCGTTAACCGTATGAGCATTAAAGTCGTCCGTCTGACTAACAGCTTTGGGAGAGACAGGCGTCCAACGGTAAATACTCTTCGTCAGGTTCCAGTAGTGACGGGTGTCAGTGTTTGCAGTCATCAATGCAGGGGCAATGAGAGTATCATTACCAAAAGTATGCTTAATTGCTCCTCCTAGTTTCTCGTAGGTGGAAGCTCCCTGTCCATATGGAGAAACAGGTGAAGGTTCGAGGGTCTTTATAGTAGAAAGAGAAAAGTCACCAACAGCGTCAGGGTAGGAAACGATTTGAGTTCCGTTGAAGTGGGTAAGATTCAAATGGTTCTCTTCAGCGAATCTTCCAACGAGTTGTTCGTAATGATCATACAGTTGTTGAAGGTTCTTTTCGACTGAAATACGATGATTCACATTTACTACTGTTTCTTCGGGTAAGGCGTTGACCTTGACACCGCCACGGATAACATCAACAGCAATGGAAGTTTCGAAAAAATAACGTGTATCTTTGCTCTTTGAAAGAATGCTGGTTAATGATTCAGTATCTTTCTTCAAAATTAAAGAACGGAGGTGTTCATCCAAACCTTTACTGTATTTGGCAAAGCATTCCAAAGAAGAAAAGAAAGGGTTTTCGGGAACCAGTTTTCCTTCGAAGGGGACTTCAACTTGCGGAATTAGCTTACTCATGATGCCGATGTTAGTATGAGAGGGAGGGATCGAAGAATGGCCGCCGGGTGTCTTCAATCTTAATACAACATCGATATAACCCTTCTCTGCAACAGAAACAGCGGCAAAATAGGTACCATAGTACTCGCTGACAAAGCCACCTTCGTCGAGAATAAGCTCGACACCATCTTGCCCATAAATCTCGTAAAGGCGTTTTGCTAAAGGCAAAGCACTATGATAGCCAGAGATTTCTTCGTCAAATCCAATGGATGCAATCACCGTACGCTCTGGCGTAAAGTCAGAGGAAGCAAGTAACTCTAAAGCCTCAAAGATGCCAACTAAGGAATTTTTGTCATCGGTAGCTCCGCGACCGTAAACGATACCATCCTTGTAAGTAGCGCTAAATGGGGGGAAATACCATTTGTCTAAAGTAGCCTCTGCAATGGGGACCACGTCTTGATGGGCCATTAAAACAAGAGGTTTCAGGTCCTCATTGGAACCTTTATACGTTATCAAAAGACCATAAGTAGCAACGTATTCAACTTGTAATTTTTTAAAGATGTTTGGATAAATGTCGCGGAAGACATCGTGCAAATCGCCAAAGATGTTCCAGCGCTCATCTTCGCCAACATGACCAAGGTCATCGTAAGAGATGCTTGGAACGCGCAATACTTTTTGAAAGCGCTCAAGACTGTCGTTGCGAAATTGTGGTGTATTGATAAATTCGGAGCAGCCGACACCTTGGGTCTCTAAGAAAGGTTCAATTTTAGATGAGACAAGGCTGGCAGGTTGATAGCAAAACGACGTAGCATTGACATCCGCTTCAGAAGATAATTCCTTTATGGGGGTTTCTTTTCTAACGAAGAGTACAAAAGATACGACAGTTGCTGAGATAACAAAGAATATGACTACAAACCAATCCAAGATCTTTTTCCATATTGACTTGGATTTCTTTGCCCACTTTGGTTCTCCCAACAGATACTCCAAGTCATCCTCTACAGATTTTCCTCCCTTAGGTTGAAAACTCTGCGTCTGTACCATTATAAAATTGTTCAGCTTTTCTCTGACGGGAAATTGCTAAAATATACTAAAGGCGAGTATAGGAACAATTGCTAAACTATGCCTTCTTAAAAGAAGCAAATACTGGAAACTGGTCTCAAAAACAAGGTAAAAACCAGTTTGAACAATGGATTTTGTAGATGAAATTACACTTTCTCAAAACTTCGCTGGCAAATTAAACCAATCCAATATCAATAATCAAATTAGACGAATGGTACCATTCAAACAAAATAAATTCAAAACAAATTGGTTAGATGAAAATAAACCGAGATGAGGAAGAAAAGAAGGAGAGAAGGAGAGAGACGAAAGAAAAGGGTCTATATATATACCTACGGTTTTCGCCTGAACAGAGATAAGGGACAATGAAGTAGAGCTACCTATTTCTTCAGAGTTGTTATTTATTACGAATCCTTCGTAATTCATCGCAAGATAAACTAAGTCAGTTTGAAACGATTTTCCGTATCAAGCTCAGTATACCGAGGTTCATTATGATGATATAGTGAGCTGTAAAGTAAGAGAAAGAAGCTCTCAATGTAAATAAATAAACAGAAGGAAATACAAAAATAAAAAAATTTAAAAATAAAGAAATAAAAAGAGGAAGCTTTGGTCTCTTGGATGTAATACATGACCAAAAAAAAAAAAAAAAAAAAAAAAAAAGGAATTATATATATATATTTGTAAGAATAAACCAGATTGTATGAGAACAATTCTTTTTTGTAAGACATGATATGCCTGAGAATGGCAAGTGTTGGTAGAAAGAGAGAGAGTTGGAGGAGATTTGTATTCATTAGATTTAGAAAGAATCCAAAAAGAAAAAAAAGAAAAGTAGTTTAGCTGAATCTGATACTATTGCAATCCTTAAAATCGACCTTCTTGACTTTCCCTACTTTGTTTACATGGCATTCAACAAGGGTATTTTTCTCTACTGAAAAGCAATTTTGTATTCAGTAGCAAAAATTCATTCTATAGACTAAAAAAGAATAAAAAAAAGAAATATGTACTGAACTGTTAGCCCTTAGCTGACGGGAATCGAATGTGGAAACGAATGTCTTAGTATCTTTGTAGAAATAGCACTTTAGTAAACAATTGCTGTTCTGGTTTGGTTTTCAAATTTACTTTTTTTATGTTGAAAAATCATTCTTATTTTCATATCCTTCATGTATTCTAGGTTAATTGGTACTATAGAGGAAAGAGGGAGATTTTCTAAAAGTCAACCTTTACAAGTTCCTTACGTGTATACTAAGCAAAATAAAATCGTGGCTGCTTATTTGTTTAGACGTAATTATCCAAACTTTGTTTACTTGACTGTTTGGTGTTGCAATGATAGCGTACTTCGGACAGGCTATATGTTTGTTTACTTTGGGTTTAGCCTGATCATATATCTTCAGCTTCCCCTATTCCTAACCCACGAGAAAAAACATCTTTTTACCTATCCCAAAAAAAATATAGATTGCAATTATCTTTAACAACATTGGAAATAGGGCTACCTCATACGTTTGTTAACAGCAAAAGCTGGAGAAGCCTTTTGTGAAAGCACTTTGAGCTGAATTTTGACAAGCAAGAATCCTTCATCAAGGAAAGAGTATACTAATCCACTTGCATTTTAATAAAACAACAGTAAAAATATAAAAAAGTATAGATACCTTAGATGATGGTGGGAGGTGATCATAACTTACCTTCGAAAGACAGTTTAACAAATGATTCACTGAATGATTCGGACCAATTTGAAGACTCAAAGGATTTTGAGGACTTTCCTCCAAGAACTGATGATGAGTCACATTTGGTTCAAGAAATGTCAGCTGTAGGTCAGCCATCTGCTAATGGGTACCTCCAACAAGAGAATTACGTTACAGATTATCCAAGGAATTCTGACACTTATAATTCGTATCCTGATGCCTACTATGAAAAATCCGAGTCACAAGAAATGGACGAGCTCTTTTATCAGACCGACGACGGACTTGTGTTTTCATCCACAAAACCGGAAAGAAACACCCGAAACTTCGAAAACAGGTACCAGGATATTCCAGAGTATGCGCATGAACCAACTGGTTATACTCCTGAGATCTTGAGCGATTATGCTGGACTCATGGAGAACCCAGGTGTGTATCCCAGAGTCATTCCTGGAGAAAAAGGGGACGAAGAGATATACTCAGCAAGGTTTTCGTATCTAGATGCGAAAAATCCTTATCCTGCTTGGATCCCAGACAACATGATTCCTCTAAGCAAAGAAGAAATCCTTACGATATTTGAGGAGCTCCAGGAAAACTTCGGCTTTCAGAAAAGCTCCATGTTAAATATGTACGATTTCTTTATGGTTTTGCTTGACTCCAGGGCTTCTCGTATGGATGGAACCAACGCAGTGCGATCTCTCCATGCCGACTATATCGGTGGTAGAAACGCTAATTATAGAAAATGGTATTTCTCTTCAAACATGGATGTCGATGACTCCATTGGCTTTCAGAACTGCAAGTTCACGAAGGCTGGTCCCAAATTGGTGAAGGACAAGTCTAGCAAAAAGAAGAAATCGAAGAAAGATGACTCCGATTTAGAAGAACAGGTAAAGATTGATCCACTGGATTATTCAATGGAAAAATGGGATACTGCTATGCGAAACATGCTGCCTGAAGTACAAATTCGCCAAGTCGCCCTTTACCTTTTATGCTGGGGAGAAGCCAACAATATCCGTTTCTGTCCAGAATGTCTGTGTTTTCTATTTAAAATGGCCCTGGATTTCATGCAATCCGATGAATATACTGCAGAAAAGCCTCCAGTCCATGAATACTACTACCTGGAAAACGTGGTGACACCTCTCTATAACTTCATCAGAAACCAACAATTCGAAGAATTTGAAGGAAAATTAGTCCGTAGAGAACGTGATCACGCAGAAACAATCGGTTACGATGACATTAATCAACTATTTTGGTATCCTCAGGGTATTAATAGAATTGTGCTGATGGATGGTACTCCTCTCTTCTCACTACCAAAATGGGAAAGGTTTCATAAACTCAACGAGGTGAACTGGGACAAGGTATTTCAAAAAACTTTTTACGAAAGCCGTTCTTGGTCTCATTCCTTGACAAATTTCAACAGGATATGGGTCATTCATTTTACTACTTATTGGTACTATACGGCATTCAACTCTCCTACTCTCATTGAGAAAAACTTCCGTCAGTCCGTTGGACCACGACCAATTCAATCATGCCAATGGTCTTCCGTAGCTCTTGGAGGAGCTGTTGCTACCCTTTTGATGATTTTTGCTACTATTTTTGAATGGGCTCATGTTCCTCGAAGGTTTCCCGGATCTAGGCCACTCTTACAACGTTTCTTTCTACTTTGTATTATTCTAGTGTTGAATATTGCTCCTGCTGTGTTTATTTTCGGGTTTTCAAATGATGAACAGCAACGTTCCGTAGGTAGATTGACAGTAGCAATCGCCCATTTTACTTTTTCCTTTCTTTGTTTTCTTTATTTTACAGTTGTTCCTCTAAATAGTTTATTCAGATTTAAAACAAACCAGTTTTCGAGGAAATTTCTTGCAAATCGATACTTTACTTCGGATTTTGCTCGTCTACAGATTAACGACATGTGTGTTTCATGGGGTTTATGGGCTCTTGTTTTTGCAGCCAAGTTTGCGGAATCCTATTTTTTCCTGACTTTGTCTTTCCGTGATCCCATTCTTGTTTTAAGCACCATGAGACCATACTTTTGCGAGATTAAATGGGCAGGATCTTACTTATGCGTGTTACAACCTAGAGTCATTTTGGGTATCATGTATGTAACGGATTTGGTTCTTTTTTTCCTTGACACGTATCTTTGGTATATTGTAGTAAATACCATATTCTCCGTCACCCGCTCTTTTTTCCTGGGTATTTCCATTTGGACCCCATGGAGAAATATTTTCGCACGTATGCCAAAGAGAATATACAGCAAAATTCTTTCTACCCCAGAGGGAGATTCTGTTTACAAGCCGAAAGTACTAATATCCCAAATATGGAATTCTGTGATCATCTCTTTGTATCGTGAACACCTTCTGGCGGTTGAACATGTGCAGAGGCTCATATATCATCAAGTCAACTCTCTTGATGCTGATGGAACCAAGACTTTAAAGACACCTACATTCTTTGTCTCTCAGGAAGATTCTTCTTTTAAGACGGAATATTTCCCGGCACACTCGGAAGCTGAGAGAAGACTTTCCTTTTTTGCTCAGTCACTTGCTACTCCGATTCCAGAACCTATACCTGTAGATACTATGCCCACTTTCACGGTTCTGGTTCCTCACTACGGAGAAAAGATCCTTCTTTCACTTAAAGAAATTATAAGAGAACAGGACAAGCTTTCAAGGGTTACTTTACTTGAATATTTGAAACAGCTCCATGCTCACGAATGGAAGTGCTTTGTCCGTGATACAAAAATTCTTGCCGAGGAGGATGCTTTAACTCAGCAAGATTTTGAGGAAGAAGATACGAACGGAAAGTCAAACATCTTGAAAGGAAAGTTTGACGACTTACCTTTCTATTGCATTGGGTTTAAAAATGCTACTCCCGAGTATACTCTTCGAACTAGAATTTGGGCTTCCTTGAGAAGTCAAACATTATACAGGACAGTCAGTGGATTCATGAATTATTCTCGCGCGATAAAACTTCTATACAGGGTTGAAAATCCTGACGTATCTGAACTTTTCGCTGGACAAATGGATGTTTTGGAATATGAATTAGATCGAATGGCATCACGCAAATTTAAAATGTGCGTTTCTATGCAAAGGTATGCAAAATTTACAGCGGAAGAAGTAGAGAATACAGAATTTATTCTCAGAGCTTATCCTGATTTACTTATTGCGTATCTGGATGAGGATCCTTTGGAAGAAGGTGAAACTACCCCTAAACTTTATGCTGCACTTATCGATGGATATTCGGATATTAATGAAAACGGGAAAAGAATTCCAAAATATAGAATTAGGATGTCAGGAAACCCCATTTTAGGTGATGGTAAATCTGACAACCAAAACATGGCCTTACCTTTCTACCGTGGAGAATACATACAACTTATTGATGCAAACCAAGACAATTATTTAGAAGAATGTTTAAAAATTCGAAGCATTTTAGCGGAGTTTGAAGCCTTTAATTCACCCAGCAACGATCCATACGAAGAGACGCAAGAACCCTATCAAAACAATCCAGTTGCTATCATGGGTGCCAGAGAATATATTTTTTCTGAAAATATTGGTATATTAGGTGACGTTGCAGCTGGTAAGGAACAAACATTTGGTACTTTATTTGCTCGTACAATGGCTCAGATCGGCGGTAAATTACATTATGGTCATCCAGATTTCTTAAACGCAATTTATATGACAACTCGTGGTGGTGTTTCAAAGGCACAGAAAAGTCTTCACGTTAACGAAGATATTTATGCAGGAATGACCGCTTTACAACGTGGTGGTCGCATTAAACACTGTGAATACTACCAGTGTGGTAAAGGTCGTGATTTGGGATTCGGATCCATTTTGAATTTTACTACAAAGATTGGAACAGGTATGGGTGAACAAATGATTTCACGAGAGTATTACTACTTGGGCACTCAGCTTCCTTTCGATCGTTTCCTTTCATTTTATTATGCTCATGCGGGTTTCCATATCAACAATATTTTCATTATGCTTTCAGTGCAGTTATTTATGGTTGTTTTGGTGAACCTAGGCGGAATGTATCATGTTGTCACTGTTTGCGATTACGACCATAACCAAAAATTAACTGTGAAAATGAGGCCAGAAGGATGCTATCAATTGAATCCCGTTATGAATTGGCTGAAGCGATGTATCATCTCTATTTTTATCGTTTTCTTCATTTCGTTTGTTCCGTTGACTGTCCAAGAGTTGACGGAAAGAGGTGCATGGAGAGCATTAACACGTTTAGGAAAGCACTTTGCTAGTTTCTCACCATTATTTGAAGTATTTACTTGTCAGACATATGCCTATTCTGTAATAGCGAATATATCTTTTGGAGGTGCTCGGTATATTGGTACAGGAAGAGGATTTGCTACTGCAAGGCAGTCGTTCTCGTTATTGTTTTCTAGGTTCGCAGCTCCTTCGATATATTTGGGTTCACGTACGCTACTTATGCTTTTATTTGGAACTTTGAGCGCATGGATACCGCATTTGGTATACTTTTGGATATCGACTGTTGCCATGTGCGTGAGTCCATTCATGTTTAACCCTCACCAATTTGCATGGAACGATTTCTTTGTGGATTATCGCGAATTTGTGAGATGGATGTCGCGAGGTAACTCTCGTTCTCACATGAATTCTTGGATTGGTTATTGCCGGTTGACGAGAACTCGTATCACAGGTTATAAGAGAAGGATTATGGGAGTACCCGTCAGTAAAGGGTTCTTGGACTCACCGAGAGCTCGTGTTGGTAATTTATTTTTTAGCGAACTCTTCATTCCGTTTCTTCTTGTAATAGGAACGACTATACCTTATTTGTTTATCAATTCCCAGCCGGGAAATCCAGATCCAGAAAAAGCGACGAATCCGATATTACGGTTTGTTATTTTAGCATTTTTGCCGATAGTAGTCGCTGCAGGCTTATCACTTTGTTTTGCTGGAATGGCATGCTTGATGGGACCTTTGCTAGGACTGTGCTGTAAGAAATTCGGAGCAGTGTTAGCGGCAATTGCGCATGCTGTTACGATTTTGATGTTTATACTTGTTTTTGAAGTATCATGGTATTTAGAGGCATGGAGCTTACCAAAGGCGGTACTTTGTATGCTGTGTATAGTGTCATTACAAAGATTCTTTTTTAATTTTCTACAGATTATATTCCTTACACGTGAGTTGAAACACGATGGAGCAAATTTGGCATGGTGGACGGGCAAATGGTATTCAAGAGGATTAGGCTTTCATGCATTGTCGCAGCCGTCTCGAGAATTTGTGTGCAAGCTTGTTGAATTGAACATGTTTGCGGCAGATTTCTTCTTGGGCCATTTGATATTGTATTTAATGTTACCGATTCTTTTAATACCGTTTATTGACAAATGGCATTCTATGATGTTGTTTTGGCTACGTCCTAGCAAGCAGATCCGCCCACCGATTTATTCTATGAGACAGAAGCGATTACGAAAGCGAATTGTTCGAAGATATGCATTTTTATTTTTTCTAATGTTGATTGTATTTCTTGCTTTAATTATTGTTCCTTTGACGATTGGAAAAGGGTTGTTGGATGATTTTGATTTGGATATCCTGAAAGACTTTGGGCTAATGCAACCAGCGGACCGGAACTGGACCGAAAATGGTACAAATCTTACGACTGTTAACGAGTAAAGAAAAGAAAAGAAAAGAAAGGAGAAAAAAAAAGATGAAGGGGAAGATATGCTGGTTGAATTGAGAAATTCAGTAGCTTGTGAACGAATAACCCAACCCGAGTCTTTGAGAGTAAAGAAGATCTTAATCCTATGGAGTTGTTTTATTTCATGAGTCAGATTATATATACATATGAAAAAGGTTTCTATTGTTGAGACGAATCATTGATTTTATTAGAAGAATAAATAATTAAAAGAATTATTAAACATGGATAGAAAGTTGAGTTGTTTGTAAGCATGATTGATGCTGAAAATTAGAAACTAGAAGGTAGAAAAAGGATCAGTCAAACTAATGAAAAGTCGGTCAAGTCAAAGCCAAAACAAGAGAAAAGAAAAGAAAAAACAAAGCTTGTATCGAGATTAAAACAACAAGCCAAAAGATTTCCAGAGGTCAAATCTCATATACTTTTCCATAAACAACATAGTACGAGCTTTGTTTACATATGGAGAGAACAAAGAATTCATGTTACCCACTTCGGTAATTGATTGTAAAATGACGAACGATTCGGATCGACTGATAAGATATCGAGATGAAACGCACTCTGCTATTCGAAAAAAAGTAAACAATAAGGAAAAAGCAAAACTCCAAGCTAGCATTGACAAGAGACGTTTTAAGATCATGTCTAGTTGCATTTCTACTAGTTTGTAATTCATGTTTTCTCTGGTACCGGCATTGATGAGGATGGCAACAACCAAAGGTCGGCTAAAGCAAGCTTGATCTCAGAGGGAAATCATTGAAAGGCATATGTACTAGCGTATAAGAGAGAAGAGAATGCATCGTCATGCCTAACGAAGCCAGCCCATCCGGTTCCTGCAGAAAAGGTCATTCCATAGCTTTAGCAAATGATGTTGTTGTTTCGGGTTGGTCTTTGTAATTTATATACGAGAGGACCGTTATTGGTTCAAAAGGAGTTGTTAATAAAAAGCAGAAAGAAAGAAAAGAAAGGAGAAACAGCGATTTGAACTATTTGAATGGAAAATAAACAAGCAATTATTGAAGAAAGAGCCAAGTTTACTTGGTGTAGCTTTTTTTCGAAACTGATGGGTTGAATATTGGGTTGTTGAAGGACGAAATCAATAAATTATATAGGAACCATATTTTAAAATTTAATCTATATAAAAATACAATTTAATAAAAATATAGAAAAAGTATTTATGTTTGAAGCGATTTTTCACGTTTATACTTCCAATCGGAAACGAGATAATTCTTTAGGTTGTATTGAGGTGATTCAGTAACTTGCCTATAACCAACAACCTATTTGTATAAAAAGGAAGCCAAATATACAGATTTGGGTGTTTGAATTGGTACATTCCAACATGTTTTGTAATATTTCTAGAGCTCCTGGTAAGGTAAGTATTTGAAAGAAGAACACTTGTTTCGTTTTGTCTTTTCTGCTTCCGCTTTGTGAAACTCGAGAGTGGATTTACGGCGGACGGGGATGGTATTGCCAGCAAACGGAAACAAAAACGGTGTTTTTGGATTAGGAACTGAAATACTAACTAGTATTCTTTATAGGCGGGCTCGCGTTTATTTACGGTATGTATTTGGGATTTGCCGACACCTTAATTGAGAAAAGAAGCATCGTTTCACGAAAGCTGTCTAAAGGAGCGTATGATTGAGTCGTACACTCTATCCTCGATCCCCGTTTGAAAACTTTCATCCTTTTTGTGTTGCTTGGATGCTTTTTTCCTTTGCGTGTCTTTTATCCAGAAAGGCTGTAGTCTAACATTTCTGCTTAGCTCCCCGCTGCCAGAAGCTTTTCTTATGCCCCCTTGCGTTGCTCCATCGGTTCTCGTCAGGTTTCTATGAGTAACTTTGAAAAGGTATGTATGCTGTTGAAGCTCCGTTCCGTTCCGCCTTTGGAACAAAAATGGTTTTGATTAGCCTGGACGTATGCTGACTGTTTATCTTCTTTTAGAACAAGTTTATCAACTACCAACGTATCCAAGACAATTTGGAAGTCGTCAAAAAGAGGTTGCAACGCCCTCTTACCTATTCTGAGAAAATCTTGTACGGTCATTTGGATGACCCCGTCAACCAAGACATTGAGCGTGGTGTCTCTTACTTGAAGCTTCGTCCTGACCGTGTTGCTTGTCAAGATGCTACTGCTCAAATGGCTATCTTGCAATTCATGTCCGCTGGAATGCCCGAAGTCGCCGTCCCCACTACTGTCCATTGTGATCACTTGATTGAGGCTTTCTCTGGTGGCCCCGAAGATTTGAAGCGTGCCAACGTCACCAACAAGGAGGTTTACAACTTCTTGTCCAGTGCTTGTGCTAAGTACAACATTGGTTTCTGGCGCCCTGGCTCCGGTATCATTCACCAAATTCTCCTTGAGAACTATGCTTTCCCTGGTGGTTTGTTGATTGGTACTGACTCTCACACTCCCAACGCCGGTGGTCTTGGTATGGCCTCCATTGGTGTTGGTGGTGCCGATGCCGTCGATGTTATGGCCGACTTGCCCTGGGAATTGAAGTGCCCCAAGGTTATCGGTGTCAAGTTGACTGGTAAGATGAGTGGCTGGACTGCTCCTAAGGATGTTATTCTTAAGGTTGCTGGTATTCTGACCGTCAAGGGTGGTACCGGTGCCATTGTTGAATACTTTGGTCCTGGTGTCGAGTCTCTTTCTTGCACTGGTATGGGTACTATCTGTAACATGGGTGCTGAAATTGGTGCCACTACTTCCATCTTCCCTTTCAACTCTCGTATGTCTCAGTACCTCCGTGCTACCAACCGTTCCGACATTGCTTCTTATGCCGAACAATTCGCTCCTGTCATTGCCGCTGACGAAAACGCTCCTTATGATGAAGTTATCGAAATCAACCTCAGCACCTTGGAACCCCATGTGAACGGTCCTTTCACTCCTGATTTGGCTACCCCCATCTCTAAATTCAAGGATGCTGTCAAAGAACAAAAGTGGCCCGAAGAACTTAAGGTTGGTTTGATTGGCTCCTGTACTAACTCTTCTTACGAAGACATGTCTCGTGCTGCTTCTATTTGCCAACAAGCTCTTGACAAGGGTATCAAGACCAAGTCTCTCTTTACAATCACTCCTGGTTCCGAACAAGTCCGTGCTACTTTGGAGCGTGATGGTCAATTAGAAACCATGAGAAAGGCTGGTGGTGTCGTTCTTGCCAATGCTTGTGGTCCTTGCATTGGCCAATGGAAGCGTACTGATGTTCAAAAGGGTGAAAAGAACTCTATCATTACTTCTTACAACAGAAACTTCACTGGTCGTAACGATGCTAACCCTGCTACTCATGCCTTCGTCACTTCTCCCGATCTTGTAACTGCTATGGTTTTTGCTGGTAACATGAACTTCAACCCCTTGACCGACACCTTGAAGGATGCCAATGGCAACGAATTCAAATTTGAAGCTCCCTCCGGTGCTGGTCTTCCTTCTAAGGGTTATGATGCTGGCTCTAACACCTATGTTGCTCCTCAACCCGAGAACGTTACTAGCGTTGACATTGATCCCAAGTCTCAACGTTTGCAAGTTCTTGCTCCCTTCAACAGATGGGACGGCAAGGATGCTAAGGGCTTGAAGATCTTGATCAAGAGTAAGGGCAAATGTACTACTGATCACATTTCTGCCGCTGGCCCCTGGTTGAAGTACCGTGGTCATCTCCAGAACATCTCCAACAACTATATGATTGGCGCTGTTAACTCTGAAAACGGTGAAGCCAACAAGTTGAAGAACCAACTTACTGGTGAATATGACACTGTTCCCAATGTTGCTATTTCTTACCGTGACCAGGGTATTCGCTGGGTCAGTATTGGTGAGCAAAACTTTGGTGAAGGTTCTTCTCGTGAGCACGCTGCCCTTGAGCCTCGCTACTTGGGTGGTGCTGCTATTATCACCAAGTCTTTTGCTCGTATCCACGAGACCAACCTCAAGAAGCAAGGTTTGTTGCCTTTGACTTTTGCTGATGGTGCTGCCTATGACAAGATCACTCCCTTCGATACTGTTGATATTGTGGGCCTTACTTCTTTCCAACCCGGAAAGCCTTTGACCTTGGTTGTTCACCCTGCTGATGGTTCTGCTGAATGGAGCACTCCTCTTAACCACACCTTCAACCAAGACCAAATCGCTTGGTTCAAGGCTGGTAGTGCTTTGAACCACATGGCTGACATGCACGCTAAGTAAACTTGAACGAACAAATTTTCGCTATCGAAAAGTTTAAAGTTTTGTTGAAATGATCAAAAGTAGTTGGACATGTCCAACTTGGAATTGCCTTTTTTTAGAGCGATTGATGGAACTCCCCCCTTGTAATCTAATTTTGATTCAACAGGTATTCCTGAGGCTTCTCCTCGGGAAGAAAATTCAAAGGAAAACGTTAATTTAATAATGCCAGCAAATGAAATTCGCTTAAATGAAAAGAAAGGTTCCTATATATTCTTGAGTAGTATGTTTGTATGTATAGCTTGTATAAGTAAGGATGTGTAAAACAATGCTTGTGGTAGCGTGTGTTATTTTCTTTTAATTCACGAAGTTCTACAAAGATTTCATTATTTATCTTCTATCAACAATTAGACACTATGCCTGAGTGGTTAAAGGGATAGATTAGAAATCTATTGCGGTCTCCGCGCGCAGGTTCAAATCCTGCTGGTGTCGAACTTTTTAGTTTTTTTTATTATGTGCTACATATAGTACATATCTTTATTCTTTTGCTCTTTTGAAAGAACTAAAGGAACGATAAAATGCAATGCTTTAAGAGCAATGGGTCTTATAAGCACTTTGAATAAATCTGCTTACTTGGGAAGTGACATTGTTCTTTTGATATCGTATTAAAATGTCAATACGATCAAGCAGAAGAGCATTTCCAAGGAAGAGGCATTGAAGAATACTTTAGAAAAAAAAAGAAGATAAAGAAGCTATAAATATTGATAACATGTTTAAATCAAGGAACATAAAAAATAAAATACGTAAATGTCTACATGTTTACTCCAATTGGCTTATGGAAAGCAGGCGCGTTTGTGCAGTACAACGAAGTAGAACGCAAACAATTTAAGGTAGGTCCATTTCTTTGTTTGTCTTGCTCCAAAGACGAAAAGGGAGTAATTCTTTTTTGTTGAAAGGGAAAAAATGCCGGCAAATGCCGTTGATAATAGTTCTGTAGTATCCTCTTCGTATTCAGATGTTTCATATGTGTCTGACACGAGGAAACGACAATACAAGAAAGATGAGACTCTTCGAAGAAAAATAGCTACTGAACTAAGCAAGAAATCAGCAAATCTTGACTCACCCGTGAGGTCCACAAAGCGACATGGGGAGCCTGGGACGGTTGAAAGCGTCGCACTCGATGCGGCATTGACAGTTCATATGCATAGCTCAATAACGGAAACAGCGCAACTAATGGCTGCCAAAAGACAGGATTGTGTCTTAGTTATAGACGAGGAAGGACAGCTTACTGGAATACTGACTTCAGGTGATATTGCAAAGAAGTGTGTAGGTGCTGGATTTGATGCTCGACAAACTTATGTAGCTGATATAATGACAAACGGCCCCATATGCATTACGAGTGATACAAGAATTGATGCGGCACTTGAGTTGATGATAGAACACCATATCCGACATCTTCCTGTGGTAAGCGATGGTGAAGAAGGCGATGAAGGAGATGTCATCGGAATCATCAACATGCGAACATGTCTACGTGAGCCTCTAGATCGAATTGCACGCCAACAAGAAGCAGCTGAACGGCTTGTGGCAGCTCTTGAAGGTGCTCAGGAAGAATTGGAAGATAAATCAGCTTCTGGAAGCACTAATAACTCTTCACATTCAGGTGGCCCGCATGCAGCAGAGTTTATTGAATATGTTGAATCTCTTAGGAAGAAGGCATCAGGTCAAGATGTATTATCTTTGATTGAAACTACTCAAGAGCCAGTTCTGGTGGGCACACGAACAACTGTGGCTGAGGCTGCAGAATCCATGGCCCATGCGAACGTTTCTTCTGTCCTTGTAATGGAAAATGGTGCAGTATCTGGTATTTTTACCTCTCATGATATTGTGCTTCGTGTTCTTGCTGCTGGACTCGATTCTTTTCGTTGCTCAGTCATCCGAGTTATGACTCCTCATCCGGATTGCGCTCTCATTGACCTGCGAGTCAGCACTGCTCTTGAGAGGATGCTTGAGGGAAAATTTAATTTTCTTCCCATTGTTGATGAAGATGATTCTATCGTTGGTTTGCTTTCGCTTTTCCATCTATCAACGGCAATCCTTGCTGAGCAGTCTCCTGAAGAAGAGGAAGGTTCAGAACATGAAAGCCATGAGCTCGAAGAAAACATTTTGTCGAAAACCGCTTCTCAAGAAAACCATCCCCTCTTGGCCCCCTCCAATGAAGATATCGATTTAACACCTAAAGTACCCGCTCCTAGTCAAGGTATTATTCCTTCACATCAGCCAGGTGTAGTTGAAGCTGACGTGCTTCCGGTTCCTTTGAATTGGCAAGAAACAAACTACCATTCTCCCGAAAAAAATAATCAATACGCACCTTCCCTTCACGGATCCCATGTTTCCTATCATTCGGGACAATACCCGCTTTCCCCAACTCGTAATAACGAATTTCCTTATACTGGACAACCTTCCGCTATAAATGCTTATGAGGGCTCTGATTTACACGGTTATGGAGCCTCTCATACCGCACCTTCATACGTTGGTTCGCTTGCTCAATTCCAAGGAAACCCGTCAGTTGTGGAACAGGCATTACAAGATTTAGTACAGCCGACCGATTCTGCATCTCAGATTTTTCCCATCCCCCGCCCCTCTCCTTCGCAATTTAGCATAAAATACCGATCAACAATTGGACGAGTTCATCGTCTTCGTTTAGATCAAATAAGTTCATTGAGTGATTTACAAAAGGCGGTTTCAAATCGCGAAAATGAACAAAACATCACTCTTACCTACATAGACGACGAAGGAGACGTTGTAGAAATTACAAGCGACGCTGATCTTCGAGAAGCAATCTTTTTAACTCGTCGGCGCGGACTCCCGCGCTTAGAAATTCGTGGTGTGGGTGCAAATAGTCATACTGTTGATGGTTTCAATCCTGTGTTATCGACGGTTGGAAGCAGTGCTGGAACTGCATCTGTTTTACAACCTAAAATTCCTACTGATGAAGCCGCTTTTGGGTCACCGAAGCCCCAAGCAGCCTCAACAAAGAAACCTTCTGACCGGTCATTAGCTTTTGCGGGCGTGGTATCTGGAACTGTGGCTGTAGTACTCTTTTCAGCTTGGTTTTTACGTCGCAGACGCTGAAGTTTGTTTCATGAGTTACAGAAGAAATTCGAGTGTGGATAAGGAACCATCGATCATGTCTTTTATTTCAAGATTGAATATTTCAGACCATCTTTCTTTTTTAAAGTTACTCAGACCAATCTTACGTTTTATTATCAATTATGTGCATTTAAATAAATAGTTTGACTTTCTGAACGCAAGTAAAATAAACTTGCTGTGCCTTAGTCGTTAAGGTGTTACTAAAATATACGACTTGCTTGATTCATTTACGCATATATTCCACTATTAATATACAAGAATAATAAAAAGGTTACTGTACTTCTATCTATGTAGTAAGAAAGATGTGTACATAAATAAATAAACATATGCAGCACAAAATAATTGAGGTTTTTTAAATAGCTTCTGGCATGGAAATGTCATTAGCCGTTTCGGATTCAGCGCGGATTCGTGATAAAAAAGCTCTTTTAAGGGAAATCCTGGATTGCAACATACGTATGGCACATTTTTTTTCTTCTAGAGTCATTTCTTCTGACTTCAAATTGGAGGCTTTCGTCTTTAATGTCTGAATGCTCTGTCGCAACAACGTTAATTCTTTAGAAGCAGCAATGACCTTTCTGGATTCTTGAGAAGCCAAAAAATCTAACAGTCGAAACTGCAATACAGAGAAATCCTGTTGCGAAAGCGTATTTGAAGGAGGTGTCGTGATTGTAGACATGATGCCAAAACTTCACGGAAAACGGCGAAAAGAGATTATTTCAAAAACAGAGACAATGATTCCTAGCTTTCGAGGCAAGGAAGATTCTCCTGACCGGGATTACTTCTAGTATGGTAGCTAGCGGTCTAAAAATAGTTAGTATTAGGTGTAAGAGTCAGTAAAGTACAAAGCTATGATGTTTCATCAAGTAATACCCAGGTATAGAGGAGCACATTTACTAAAGAATAGATATTTAAACTGACTTTTTGTTATAAAGTTGGGTTTTTAAAACTGTATAACGGCTTATTGATACCTTCCAGTCTGCTTTCAAACTTTGTGATAATCCAGCAATCCAAAGTTATCCATTTTCGATTCGATTCTACTTCTTAATTAAAAGTAAAAGAGGGTGCAATGACCATCAAGCTAAAGGCTTACTTTTTAAGTGCTCATTCAGTGAATGTACACTCATAGTATTTGTTTATTAATGTAAATATTTTGTATCTCCTTATACGAAATTTCACAAAAGTGTTAATTTCGTTATGTTAAATAACAAAACTCGCAATATCAGTGAGTCCGCATCGGACACTGAACAAACGCAGCCAGCAGGAACCAACTTGGCAACTCCCAACTCTTTGATCATGCTCCTCTCTCGTATTTCAGCTCGTTCCGCTCTTCGTGGTGTTCGTTTTTCTTCTTCTCATGCTCCCCCTCAACCCGGATCGTAAGTTCTCTATACTGTTGACGTGTTGAACTGAGAATTAACAACTTGTTTTCTTGCGTATAGTACCGTTCCCTTCTATGTATCCAAAAAGGCAATTCCTTCTATGCTTTTCTTTGGAAGCTTTGGTATGCTAGATTTCTGAAGTTACGGACAGATGGAATAGATCATTGCATCGTCCGTTTCTAAAGGACAAAAATTGCTTCCTGTTATAAGAATGCTAACGCTTCAATCTTAGGCTTCGTCTTGGCTCTTCCATTGATTGTCGTTAAATATGTATGGCTCCAGCTCCTGAACTCCCTTTACTAACCTATTTTCTTTTAGCAAAACCGCAATGCTTAAGCGATTTCTTTCAAATGAATGAATCCGTATGGTTGGCATGCTTTTTCTTATATACTCTCTCAAGCAATCGAAACCTTTCTCATTTTATCTTTGTGTCTACTAGAGACCACCTTGTACTTCAGTCCCTGTAATTCTTCCTACTTTTGTAAGAGGTAAAAGAACGTATTGTATTGCTTCTAAGAATTAAAATTAAAATCTAAGGTGAAATAAACATTCAACTAGCCTTTTCTTGCTTTCAAGAATCCGTGCCAGTTCCATCTTCAAAGTTTACCGTGAATTAGTTCAGCTAGAGTAATACATAGCATTGCGTTTAAAAACATAAAACTAAGTCCAGATTAGTCTAGTATTAAGCATTTTTAGGTGTTCCATCTTCCTTTATTAAAGACTCCTCAGGAGATAAAATACGAGGACCATCACCGATTTTGGTAAGAATTACTCGGCTCACACCAGACGATACGGTTTCTGCTGCAACGTCGTCAATCTTCACGGAAGTAGGATTTCTAGCACTTTCATTCCAGCCTTCTGCGTGTTTAGAAACGGCGTGCAAGGCGTCCAAAATAAACGAAGAGTTTTCTTCCAAAAAGTACACGACTGCATTGGGACCGGCATCAAAGGTATAAGCAGCAATGGTCTTTCCGGCAGCAGCATTAATATTTTCAACGACACGAATGATAGCTCTAGAGGTATCGTTTAGGTAAAAGATAGGAGGAAGGGTATCAAGACAGCAAGCATGAAATTGGTTTGAATCAGTCATCGTAAGATTGGCAAACGTTTCAAAATCACGATTACGGATAGCTTGCTTCATGGCTTGCATACGTCCAGGAACGATATTCTTTATGCGTTCTTGGAACAAGGTAGAAGAAGCAACTGTTGCTTGCATACCTGAAGTAGAGGATACACCCTTTTTAGCAGCAGAAGCAACCATGATGGCAACACGCATTTCAGGCCAATGTTCAACAGGCTCAACTTGCACGGCAACGCTATCAGCTCCGCTATGCAATTGTCCCATCTCCCATGAAACGTATCCACCAAACAAGCTACGACAAGCGCTACCGGAACCTTGTCTAGCAATTCTGGACAACTCAGTCGGAGTCCACGTCAAGTCGTACAAACGCGCAATGGCTTCAGTAAAGGCAGCATATCCAGCAGCGGAGGAAGCCAAACCAGCGGCGGTGGGAAAATTATTTTCGGATACAACATGCACCTTTAGTTGGCTAATCTTATCCATTGAACCGTTGTTGTTTTCCAATTCTTGACGAACACTACGCAGTTCCTGTACGCAAACGGAAAGTCGTTTGCTGGCAGAAATATCTTCAGCGTTTCCATTCAACCACAAAGTATCTTTCTCAAATGATTTGGAGCAGCTAGCTGTTGTCACAGTTCTCAAATCGTCTTGTGATAAAGTTACACTTAGTGAACTGTTTGTCGGTAAATTCAACCCGACGTCGCGTTTTCCCCAGTATTTTATAACTGCAATATTCACAGGAGCACTTACAGTGCACTGGTAGACCTTTTCTGCCATATTTTCTTGTTGATGATAGATGTTCTAGCGTGTATTATATTGCGTAGTACTGGCAAAGCGAAGCCCAAATAAGTTATGAAAAGTTAAACTCCGTAAAGAAGAACAACCTCACAATAATAGTCTGCTTTTGAATGCCTAAATGTCAGGTAATTTCTTTGATCATTCCTAGCGTCGTATAAGCATAGATCGAAATTCAGCATTTGAACGCACTAATGGTAAACAAGGTTTCTGAGCTGGAGCGCTAGAAGGTTAATAAACAAAAATAAGTACGTTTGTTTAGTATACAAAAGTAAACAGGAGTGAGTCCCTTGTGAGATCCATCTGAATGCTAAAAAACAATTCCAATTCACTACAAAATTCAGTGCCTGATTCTTGGAAGACGAGCTTACCCTCCATTTTTATTTACTTAGGCGCTGATGGACTTGTACAACCCAGTTTCTAAGTTAAATCTTTTCTAGTATTATTCTTTGTATTTGTACTTGCTTTCATTTACTAAATATGTCCCAGTTGGCGAAACTGGGTCTTTCCACTCTTTTCTTTTCATACGAGAACCCTTTTACTTATTGATCAAGATAACTTCCATTACAAGGTACCAACGTTTAGTTTCAAAACTTTTTTGTACCCATAAATCATATTAAACCACGTTATTTCGTATGACTGAAAGGAAACGAGATTTGTATTTCGGATTCAGTTGATCGTCTAAGAGAAGAGAATCTGATATTCATACCGGTAAAAAAAAGACTTCTATCTTGCAAAATAAAGCAATCGATTTTTCTATAATTTCTATAATTTGGAAAACCCATCAAAGTGCTTTAAATGCACTATTGAAGCCATTAATAAACGCAATGGCTCAACCTGATGACTTGCAAAAAAAGACGACGACGCGAGTGTTAAAAAATTCAAAGTCTTTGAATTCTATAGACGTCAAAAATAAAGAAAGTAACCTATGAAAGACTACCAAAGGAATCTTCTACTATATATCCAAAACATCTTTGGATATACATTTACGGTACTCCACCACGATTTAAAAGCCATCCTTAAAAATGGATTGTCTTCGAACCAGTGAAAGGTCGAGTTTAGTAAATTCCCCATTCCCTTTAATATGACAGAAAAACAGGAAGCTTCTCAAGAAAGTCAATGTCCGGTATCACCAGAAGTTCGTGACGCCTGGCTTAAGAGTCAATCCGAAAAAAATAAAGCACAACCTCACCCACCGGCGTCACCTGTAGAACTTTCGACGGATCGTGAAATATCTGGAATTCCCAAGGCAAAGACCGATCCCAACGATCAGGAAGAAGCAAAATGGATATACCCTTCTCAAAAAATGTTCTTTGAAGCCATGAAACGGAAAAATTGGAATCCTGATGCCAGTGACATGAAAACAATCGTTCCCATACATAACGCAGTCAACGAGAAAGCATGGAAAGAAATTTTAGACTGGGAAAAGGGATGGGGATCAGAATCGTAAGTACAGTCATATTTGAGTTCCTTAATATGAAGAGGGACAATGGATAAGAAGAGCTTTGACAAGCTTCAAATTGGTACTATAAGCTAACACAAGTTTAGTTGTGGGGGACCCAGACTCGAACAATTTCAAGGAAACGTAAAAAAGCTGACCCCAAAGGCACGAGTGCTTAACTTCTTAGGTTACAATAAACCTTTTGACCGACATGACTGGCTAGTCGATAGATGTGGTCAAAAAGTTTGTTATGTAATAGATTTCTATAATGGACCTAGCGTACAAGGCGTCCCAAGTATGTTCCTTGATGTTCGTCCAAAACTTACTGTCCATGGTGCCTGGATGCGCTTTTACCGTTGGTCCAGTCAAGCTATCTTTCAAGGGAAGACTAATCAACAATAAATTGGATAATATCAACCAACCAACCACTCCTTTCCGGATCTAATAACAAAGTGTTAACGTCCTAGTCCCCTATAAAAAATAATAAAAAAGATATCCTTCTTTTTGTAGTCTGTTCTTGTTAATGAAATTTATATCCCATATTAATTCATATATTTTATTCCATTTGAAATTTTTAGCATCTCCATAATTTTATCATTCAGCTTGCTAGAAGGCTCTTAGGTAGCAGAATTTCGTCCTCGGTACAGAATCCAGCAGCGGCGTTCTACCTGTGTTGGAATGTTTAACTGTATGAAAAAATCTTGGAATTTTTCAGTGATTTCGACAATACCATCTTTTAAGCATGAAATAACACGATCCATATCGTCAAAATCATGAGTTCGTTTTGATGCAAAAACATCAGAAGAGTGAATGGGAGGGTTTCGTTTGTAAGCAATAAGTTTATCGTATGTATCACAGTAAACCGTTAAAATATCGGAAATATCACGGGCAACCACACCATAAGTGTCATATTGTAAAGATTTCAAGACAAGCAGTGACAAACTGGTGATACGAACTTCGAGTAACCATGGGTTCTTCAAAACATCAGCATTTTTCCTATCCAACGTCTTGCGGAATATATTAAATAAGGAAGTTTTGTAAACAACTGAAAGATATTGCGAACATTGTTTACGTAATGAGGCAGGTATTAATGATTCTGCGAAGGAATTCTGAGAAGCATCGGGTGCGCTGAAGTTGCCGTGCTCTTTTACCTTTTCTAAAATTCGGGAACGACGAGAAGCACCCTGTGCAAATATATCTTTTTCTTTTAACGAAATTGTATTGAAAGAATCATCTGTAGTACTGCTCCCCAGTCTTGAACTTGATTGCGCACTGTCAACTCCATTGGGCTTCTTACCAGAGGAAGATAGTTGCAAGGATGTAGACAAGTTTTCACACAGCACTAACGTATTATTCAAAATTTCTTGCCACACACTAGTCTTCCTATCAATATCTTGAAGAATGCCTTGGATTCGCTTTGGATCTTTGGAGCAAATGAGAAACAGCTCCTGTGAAGCGATACATTGAGTTAAGGGTTTATTTCTCGTTTTAATTCCGTCCAACAAGGTTCCATTAGGATCATTAGAACGCATGCTGATGAATCGAGAACGAACCACGGGTCCTGCATATAGAAAGACACGGAAAATCAAAAGAGCTATGCTTAATGAAATGTTAATAAGGAAGGTCATCCATAAGCTATGAACCAACAGACCAAGATTTACCGGCCAACGGACGAGTGCTTTTGAAGCAGCGAGCCTATGAAAACATCTAGTAAAAAGCAAAAAGGTTCTCCAAATGGAAGATCGAAATATAGCATAAATTATAGGGGAAGCAAAGCCGCATATTAAAGATTTAATTATAGAAGATTGAAAAATGGAAGGCAACTTTTCCTTAACATAAAGTACAAAGGATTTTTGAAGGACAGGCTCTTCAGGTGTATCAAGGTCAAAGTAAAGATGCTCACAAGCAGAAGAGAAAGCCATCATGGAAGCTACAAACATCATGTAAACGAATCTTTCATTAAGTCTTGGTAGTTCATACGCTCTAGCGGCCGTTACCCATTGCAAACGCGAAGAAGAGTGGCCTTGCAAATATGCCAGCGCCAGTATACCCACGGAAACGAGAAATGAAATATACACGGGAAAGAATGACTTTGGAGAGAATTTAATCATAATTTCTTTTGCCAATGAACTTTGAACGTCTCTGGTGGTGGTCATTCTGCTCTTTAGCATGACAAAGTATGGAAACACAAATAGAAAACATAGCAAGCCTTTCAAGAAACTGCCAAGAATCAGTTTCGGAGAGAAAACTATAAAAAAACTGTTAGTGTCTTTATTTTATCAGGTTTATAGGGACATACTGGATCCAGACGCGAGCCAATATGATGTTACACAGCACAAACAATACAATGCCAAAGAAGCGCGCAAAAAGCGCTGCTGTAGTATAGGTCGTAAAATTGTATGATATCGCACCGCTTTTGTTTTCGATCCATTTAGAAAACTGGTCCTTAAAGCGACCATGGTGATAGTTGGCTCTGTGTAAGTATGTTAAACATCTCTTACTTACTACTGTCAACAAAAGATGAATTGGAATACGAACCTGAAGCGATATCATTAAACAATTTACTGCAGTTACCTTGTTCTACTACTAAATTCTGTAAAGCCTCGCAAAAAGACAAAATAACGATGAAAATTAAGCTGTTTTAAATTCGTTATTTAAAAATAAAAGTCACTCTTTCTGTCTTGGTAGAACTATTTACGAATGGTAGCTTCAAAGCTCGTTAGTAAATAATGTAAAAAGTAGTTTAGTAAAAACTTGGAATGCAATTTAATTTTATCAAGAAACTATGGTACAAAGAACGAATTAAAAAACGAGACGAATGAGGAAAGAGCTAGAGACTTATTCACGACTTGGTAGAAAGAGGTAAGGTGGTAAAACCGACGAGAATTTCGTTGATTAATAGTCGATAATAAATATGCCCGGAAACTCATCAAAATTATACGATATTCAGTAGTTAAACTACTTTCAATAATAAGAAGTATAATAGTAAATAGTAGCAATAGGTAAAAGCCAATTATACCTATGAAATTAGGATGTTAAATAGTTAAATTTCTAGCACGGGCTCAGAAATTCGAACTTCTTATAAAAGGACAATCATGCAAAATTCCATTGCAAGTTTAGTTTAATAAGCCAAAAGTAAGTAGAGCGACAAGCAAGGTAGTTAACATAACATTACCAGAGAGATGCATAGCACCACTTTTTACGGCAGGGTTATACTTTACATTTCCTTTTTGGTCAAAAACAGGAGAATTGTCAACTGTGCCGTTCCAGCAATATTGAGAGAAGCATTGCTGGCAAGCTTGGGGTGCAGATTGATTCTTACGTTCCAAGGACCTTTGAATAACCGCACAAGCCAAACAAGAGGCAAAATCAGTCGAATTATTCTGAGTAGCAGCAACGAAACCGTTACGAACTAAACCTTGGATATCCGAATTGCCAAGGCGATAACGGTCGTCAGCAATGTTTGACTCTGTCGTCCAAGGAGAATTGGGGAGATATACCAAGAGGGGAGGAGTGTTCTCATCGACATGTTGGCTTTGGCTGGTAGTATTGCGTCCGTCACAACCAAAAAAGGTTGGACGGTTATTTAGGCCAAGGTTGATAAATGTTTCTACAGAAGGAATATGGACAAAAGAGTTAACTCCATAGGAAGCGTCGGAAGCCTTTTGAGTAATGCGCTCATATGTGGAAACTAATGATGTACCATTTGGCCAGTTGTTTTCAGTATCACTACTAGCATCGAGTGCAAAAATAACGTCGACACGACGTTCTGGTTGAAGCAAAGGCCAAACTGGAATGTTTTGGTTATCGGCACCACCGTCGTATAAATCCACATAAGGAGCAGTGGTTAAACCATCAGAAGCAGCGGTTCCATCACCTGCTATAGAGGATGCACCGTCAAACATGTTGTTGTAGTAGCTAACAGCGGAGCCGTTGATTCTCATATGGCGCAAAGTAAAGCCAAGACGACGACTCATACGGGAATCACGCAAACTAACGCCAATGAGAGCTTCATTGAAGCGTGTAGAGGAAGTACCTATCAAAAATCCAACATTATCGAATTGAGTAACGCACTTATTATCGATGGAAGAACCATTGTTTAACTTGGTTCCAAGATATTCAAGAGGCATGTAAGCGCGGACGTTATTGTCGAATGTGTTGAAATAGTAAGGAGAGAACTCATAGATGCTTGAATTAGAAGAAGTGGCATTGTGACCATCGGAGAGAGCACCGGGAAGGCCTTGAGAAACAATAATGGGATAGGGATATTCGGCATTTTGAAACCAGGAAGCATTTTGTACTGAAGAGTAAGTTGTATCTGGACCACCACGAAGGCGACCAGTCGTGTGACGAGCGATAGCACGACCCCAATAGTCGGTCAAACTCACGTTAAAGCCAGCAGCAGCTTTTTGGTTGACTTCATCAACGAGATCGGTGTAATAATTCTTATTATCGCCAAAGTGAGTTTCCTCGACAAAAAAGATACCAAGACGAGAATACCAAATGGTGGAAGACAAGTTTTGCACGGTGCGAAAATCATTAATGGCTAAAGAACTAACAAGCCAGGAGCCACCATCGGCACCGGTGATATAACTAGCACCTTGCAAAAGACCACCTAGAGTGGTTTCGTTGCTTCGACGATCAAACGCAGCTAGAGCACCACCACCATAAAACATAGAACGATAGCCACCACCAGAGACGGCAATTCCTAAACGAGGGCCATTGTCCCCAAGAAGACTGTCCAAATCGAGAGAGGACGTAGAATGGGCAGACTGTAAAAAGGAACGAAGAGCCTCATTCGAAGAATGGGTGCGTTTTTGGAGAAAATCAGATTCTAATTGTGGAAGTTGACCAGAGCTTAAGGAATGAAGAAGTTGTTGCGATCCGCTACAAGAGCCGATAACGGGAGCGTAAGAAGCATTGGTGGAAGGAGGAGGAGGAGGCTTTTTCCAATTTCGTTTATCGAGCTGAGAAAGGTGAAGACGGGCGTATTCCTGATCGGGGTCTATCACTTGACAACTGATGAGACTGGAACAGAGAAACACAAACACAAGGAAATAGGAGAAAAACATATAGGAAAAAAATGGAAAGAATTAATGATGCAAAAAAAGAAATCCAATTGATTTGTATACCCAAAGACCAGTTTTTCGTTTTTCGTTTTTTTCCTCCTTGAATACTATGACCTAATGTTAATCTGATGAGATGAAAACAGGCAAATTGATTAGAAAAAAGCGACAAGAAGGAAGAAAAGAGAAAATGGAAAAAAAAAATTAACCTTGTAGACGAAAAACAAGGCGATGAAAGGAAGCGCACACGGAAAAGGAATGAACTGTGCGAAAATAAATAGATTCACACCCTAGAAATCGATCTAAAAAAGCAACCCTATGTCTAGGCAATCCTTGAAACAGTTAATGGGGAATGTTTGGATTAATCAAGAACTCCAAGTGCCAAGTTCAAGAAGAAAGTGTGTGTTTGACAGAAAACCGGTTTCATTTATATTCGGTAAGAGCTTTTCGGTAAAGAGTTGGCTTCGTTCCTGGAATGCTGTTATTGGTTCTCTCTTTACCTTCGGCACGGTAAAAGTTCCACGTTTCGGCAGTTTGTGTACCCCAGATTGACATTTGCCGGAAGCGAAAACCGAAAATGATGACCTCATCGTCAAACTTGGATCGATCAGAAGTTTCCATGCATCTTTCATCGGCGTTGTTGAAGTTTTTGCTCTTTTTATTTTGTTTTCTTTATTTATTTTTTAATAAAAGAGATTCCTAATTTGATTTCTTTTCTTCCTTTAGTTATTCTTTTCACTGGTTCGGTGCATTGCCTGTCGGGTTTTCTCTTCGCCATATACGTTCGATGACTTGACATCAATGTACCGTTAAAAACACCAAATCGAAAGAATCGGTAGTCTCTCAAATCAATAGTATGTCGAGACAAGAAACTATAATAATCCACTGTTGATCTTTTGCGGTAAATTAGATTGTGCGCCAGCTTGTGGTTGCTTTTTCTCGTTGGCTTTTATATATGATGATGATGGACCACTTTACTAAATCGACCAAACCCGCTGAAAGTGATCCACAGTTAGCAAAACATAAAACTATTCTATGACAGTAAACTTCATTATATTGAGAGAGCTTTCAGAGTAATTCTCTCTTGATTTTTTGTTTCTTTCTTTTTCTATTTCATTTCCCTCTACCAAGGGTAACATCGTAACCTCGTGTAAAATAGACTTGTTTGTAGCGAGCCAAAAAGTTCTGGGGATTGACGTCGTTCTTTGGGTAGTTTTAAAGGAAGGGCGTGAGACAGAAAAGTATTCTTCTACTTCCAACCTGAATCGTTCAAACAACATAGAAATAGTGAACTTGATGTTTAATTTATTGCTTTTTATAAAAATATATTGGTCTGTTTTGTGATTGAAATCTGTTTTGTCTGGTTAGCGTGCTGTTTTCTTGCTTGAAAAATAAGAATCATGAGTGTTTCTGGGAATTTGGAGTTTTTAAATGATTATACCGTACAAGAAGGTAAGGAATCCCATCAAAGTTGATTTCGTTTGGGCTAATGGTTCTCCTACATAGATCTTGATGAATTTGTCAAATACACTTGCGGCTATAACCAACAGAGGGACAAAAAGATCGAGTATATCATTGCACAACATGATTGGAACCCTGTATATGAGGCTGTATTGCCAAAGAAGCCAAAGTCCGGAAAAGATGAGAAACGAGAAGGCTTCATGTACCCAATTTTACGCTGGCCGCTTATGTTTACGGCCTCTATATGTCTCACCGTCGTTGCGTACGTTTTTTGTAATTTTCTTTCTTTCTTCCTTTTTCTAACAAATTTCCTTCAGATTTCTATACTTACTAGACCGTATGTATATCAACTGCTATGAGTACTTCATCGTCTGGCGCGGTCGACCAGCTCTTTTACGACAGCGTCTACAAGACGCCAAGACGTTTGATGAATGGAAGCAACGAGCTCGGGATTTAGATGATTATTTCGGTAATAACGAATGGAAGCTTGACCCCGTATACGACTACTATGACTACTCTCTTTTGCGCACCGTCCTCCGAAGCCTGAGGATTCATCGTCAAAGAGGAGAATGGGCACAACTAAAGTCTACATTGGATGTTTGTGTTCGTAGTAATTTTGCAGCCATTGATAGCCCTATGCTTTATTCACGCACATACTCTGGCACAAAAAAACTCGTCGAGGACTATATTGACGAACTTGCGCAGTGCTTACAGGTTGTCATTGATAAAAAACTATATCCGCCTCAAGAAAGATCTCGCATGTTTGAATACTTTTCCCATAATTATGGCCGTACTGCCCTCTGTTTGTCTGGTGGTGCCTCTTTCGCTCTTTACCATACAGGCGTTCTTGCAGCACTTTTGGACCAAGATCTCCTTCCTAACGTGATTACTGGAACAAGTGGCGGAGGTATTTTGGCTGCTCTTGTTTGTACTCGAACAAACGACGAACTTCGCCATCTACTTGTACCTGAACTAGCTCCCAAATTTCAAAGTGATATAGGAAGCTACATTGACTGTGCGAAACGATACTTCCAGACTGGAGCCCGTTTTGATGAAAATGTCTGGGCAAGAACTTGTATGTTTTTTACCCGAGGAAGTATGACTTTCGCCGAAGCTTATAAAAGAACTGGCCGAATTCTTAATATCTCTGTTATCCCCAGTGATGCTCACTCACCTCCTAAATTAATCAATTATTTAACTTCCCCCGACACCGTGATATGGAGTGCTGTCATCGCTAGCTGTGCTGTGCCGGGAATCCTAAATCCTATACCTCTCATGACAAGAGGTCCATCAGGAAAGCTGATACCGCACAACTTTGGCAATCGTTTTAAAGATGGAAGCCTTCGTACAGATATTCCTTTGGGAGAATTAAGGACGCAATTTAATGTTCACTTTTCAATCGTCAGTCAAACAAATCCTCATGTTCAAGTCTTCTTTTTCTCCCCACGCGGTACTGTAGGAAGACCTGTTTCCCACAGGAAGGGTCGTGGTTGGCGCGGTGGCTATTTAGCTAGTGCCATTGAACAATATCTCAAGTACGACATGATCAAATGGTTACATGTTATTCGTAGCTTGGAATTGTTACCACGCCCTCTTGGTCAAGACTGGAGTAGTGTTTTCCTCCAAAAATTTGATGGCACTATTACCATTTGGCCAAAAACGAAATTAAAGGATTTTTGGTATATTTTATCTCCCCCTAGTAATGAGCGTTTGGGAAATATGATTGCCGCCGGAAAAGCTGCTACCTTTCCTAAATTAGATTTTATTTCCTCTCGCATCCAAATTGAAAAACTTATTGAGAAAGGACGCGTTATGGACCGATTGAGTACTCTTGGTACATCGATAGATGGAGACGTTGGCACGTCAATAAACAACCAGGATATGGATATCAGTCTTGAGTCCGCTACTGTTAACCCCAATGATATTGCTATAAATCAACCTTACACTTCACCGACACCGTAGTACCCTGAATCCGCCAAAAAACTTACTCATTTTCGAAACTTTTGCGGAGACTTCGAAAATTATGTGATGCTTCATATTTACTTATTAATAGTAACATAAATTTTAATTTTCATGCCTTCCTTATCATATTTATTTAGCATAACTTCTGAAGACGAACAAAAATGACATTAAGGTTTCATTTTATAAATGACATTAGTAGATCATTAAGTGTCGAACTCTAGGTCATTATCCGTAAGCTCTATCAAAGCTTTTGTACACCTGTCAATGACGGAATTTCTATCCCAACTACTCTTCGTATCCCAAATTATTCTATACAACGCTGCATGTAATTGCACCAGTTCTTCGACTGTCAAATCCTCAGATCTGTCCAAAAACAAATCTTTCAAATTCAATAGTTTTCGTTCGTCAAGTACCAACTCTGGTAACTTTTCCTCCTCATAAGTGTCTTCCACTTCAGACTTCTCATCGTGCATTACATTATCATTATGTTCGGTAAACCCATTTGGCTTTGAAAAATTCTTAGCCGAGGTGCCATTACTTAGCGCATCTCCATTCGAATGTCCGTTATTCTCCGACATATTTTCTTGAGAAGCTTTATCTTCCTCGGTTTTTTCAATAAATGAGTTAGGAACCGACATAACCGGAGGCTCTAAATAATTACCTTGAGGAGGAGGACCCGTCACCTCATCCTTAGACATAGAATCCATTGGCATATGGGTTAAGGTCTCTGTCAACATGTCAGGTGGTTCTTCCGTCGAATCATTTATTTCAGCAGAATCTTCCATTTTCTGCTCTTGTTGGTCTTCAGGAAGTTGCATAGTAGCTTTCGTGGCATCCAAATGCTTTTTTAACTTATTCTCTCTTAATTGCCTCCGCTCTTCTTCGCGTACTGCCATACGCTCACATCTTTGAGAAAATTGTTCATCATCCATGTCTTCCAGTCCCAGCAAGACATTAGCATACATCTCCTGAGCACGCTTGACTGTCTCGCTTTCACCTAAACGCAAAGCATCTCGGAGAATAAGCTTTATATCACGAACGAAGTCTCTTGGAGTCCAGTAGCAATTATCCCAAACACGTTTTTCAATTTCTTCTAAGCTCATCATACTAAATCTTTGATTGGTGTCAATTTTACGAACTTCTTCGTCAACTAATTCAAAATTGCAATCTTCTCGTTTGCGATATGAATGGCCTGTTTCAGGATCAACGCAAAAAATATCGTTGTAGTCTATAAGAGGCTTTTTGAACTTGCGATATCGTGTGCGTAAGTTGGATAGGAGGGCATTTAATTTCACTTTAAGCTTATTTAATAACCGCATATCGGCCTGTTTCGTTTGTTTTAAAGTGGTTTTAACTCCCGTCACGGGCGCAGGAGTGGGTGCTAATGGCAATTCAGGAAGTTTTCTCTTTTTCCTAGGAAGTCCTCCAGGTAATTTTTGAGGCGAAGTACGAATAAGATCAATAATCGGCTGAAAGAAATTCTCAATTTTATCACGAGAAGGGTATTGCAACTCGATAACCGATTGTTTCGGAAACCATTCCTTTAACTGAGGGTGTAAATCCTTTCTCGGACTTGTGGAAATAGCAAGAAATAGTATTTGATCAGAAAAATCTAGTCGCTCGAGCAAAGAGGAAAAGGTAGTACTAGCCGAAGGAGGAAGAACGTTTAGCCAGCTATCAACGTCAGGAATATAAATAACACTAGGTGTATGTCGACGAACTTCGGTAAATAAGTGTATGATGGAAGTTTCTATGCTTTGGGTTGAGTCTTGTAACAAAACTGACATATCAAAGGACTGAACATGAACGCCTTCGTAATACTGTAAAACAGCAGGACCTAATGAAACCTGTCCTAATCCTTTCTGGCCGCAAATCAATACCCTTGGCTTGTAAATTCTTAACTTTTCGAATTGGTCTAATTTCTGTTGATATTCAAAATCGTCTTCTCCGGGATCATCATACATTACTTCGTCCAAAATATTCACTTTCGGAGGGATAGGCATGTGTTTGCTAAGATATGAAAGTATCCGATTTAAACTATCATCCAACAAAGGTTTCACCTCTACAGGTAAAGGCTTGTTAAAAGCTATCGAGGAACGGGCTGTAGAAGGAATTATACGCTTCATCGATAGGGCAAAGTCCTTTACCTTGACTTGGATTGTATTAGGATCAAATTGCAGTCTTTTATTACTTTTATAAAGCTGAGGATAAGTTCGCTTTATAGAATTTAAAGCAGCTTCTGTACACAGAGCACGAAGATCAGCACCACCATAACCTTTTGATCGCTCGGCAAGCAAGTCGCAAAGCCATTCTGGTAAAGGGGTTTTCCAACTTCGAGTATGGATTTGTATAATTTTCTTCCTTGCTTCTCTATCTGGTAAAGAAAAGTAAAATTCACGGTCAAAGCGACCAGGTCTTCGCAAAGCAGGATCGACAGCATCTGGCCGATTTGTAGCACCAATAATGATGACCTGTCCACGGCCGTCCATGCCGTCCATTAAGGCCAAAAGAGTAGAAACAATTGAAGCATGTATCTGCTCCTGCTTGCTAGAACGTACAGGAGCAAGACCATCTATTTCATCAAAAAAAATAATACTCGGCTGCGTACTTTTGGCTTCTTCAAACAAAAGGCGTAGTTGACGTTCGGCTTCACCGACCCATTTACTTAAACAATCAGCTCCTTTTCTCATATAAAACGATACTTTTTTATCTTCAGAAGAGCAAGCAGCGGCCAGCGCTCTTGCCAACAAAGTTTTACCAGTACCTGGAGGTCCATGAAACAACACTCCCCGTGGTGGTTGCATGTTGAAAGTTTGAAAAATTTCCGGATAAAGCAACGGAAGCATGACCATTTCCTTCAGTTGATTCACATGGTTATCTAAACCACCAACCGACTCAAATGAGAGAGATGAATCAACGGCAACAGGATCAGAATCAGCTAAATCATTTTTCTCTTTAACACGGCCATAATTTGGAGGTCCTCCTGCACTCGTAGAGTCCGTTAAAGCCTTAATGGTCTTTGCGGATGAACGCTTTACTTTGGCAGAATCACTCTCAGACTCAGATCCACTAGAGTCGATATAAGGCATAAAACTGGAGACTTGGTTTCGTAGCAAATTCCCTACTGCCACTTCAGAGTGTGTTTTTTTCTTTCTGTTTTGGTTGAAAGATGATCCTTCATCTTCTTGATCTTCTACCTGAGGAAACGAGAGAGGGAGACTGTAATTGACTCGACTAGTTCGCTCACGTAGAGTAGGACGATGAACTTCTTCGTCGGAATCTTCATCAGGTCTCTGCGTTCTCAAACGAGTGGAACGTCGTGTACCCGGCCGAAGTGATCTTCTTGTTCTTGCCGACTGAACCAGCGAATCATCGGTATCAGATAAATCTTCAGATTCAGAAGCAATGAATGGTTCATCTTCATCACTTACAACATGATTTCTAAGTCTCCGCTTAGCCCTAGGTTGTAAATCGTCACTACCAAATTCCTCCTGGTCACGTTGAAAAGCATCGTGGATACGTTTATTTGCAGCGAGAGATTGTGACCGATGACGCCGGCGAGTATTTTGGTTGGGTAAAGATTCTTCAGATTCATCACTTTCACCAGAATCGTTATATTCTTCCTCCTTTACATCTTCATCAATAACATTTCCACTTGCTTCCTGAGCGATATCATCTACTTCAGTATCAAGGTCATCAGGAACCGGCTTGCTCTCGTGTTCATCTGAAGACATGATCTCGTGCTCATCAGTAGGATGTAACAAGTCCGCAACTGGAATGGATGATAAATTAGAAAGGGGATAAGAAAAGGAATGACGAGCAGTAGTAATGGTATCAACAGCTTCTTCTTCGGAAGAGTCAAAATCGGTCGGCGCAGAATCCTTTCCGTTCGGTATGCTGTCTAACCAATGGTCCTTTGCCCCAGTATCAATTAGTTTTAAAACAATCGGCCTGTTTCTCCAGATAAAAGGGTTTGAATAATCCACCACTGAGTTGGAATAGCTTCCGAAAGAAGCACCAAAAGGATTGGGGAACGACGTATTGGGCAAAGAGTTGAATATGTATTTGAGAACAAAGTATTACAATGAGATTAATCTCTTAAAGGAGAGATCAACTCTAATAATAAATTTCTCTTTATATCCTTCGTATGAATCTTGCCGAAGAGAACAACTCAACGTTGAATCAACTTTTCAGAGTTTAAGAATCCTGTGAAGGGAAGAAAAGTAAATGTAAACGTAAAGCAAAGTTATCGTTGCTTATTTTTTAAACTTGGAAAGTGATATGTAATAACCAGTCCTCTAGAGGGAGAAAAAACAGCGTGTTCTATCGTTGCCAAAAGACGTGTTAAAAAATGAAAGCGAAATTGCCAGTTCAATTGCTTTCTTAATTAGTTAGCTTTCAAATTAATCAACCAAAATTTTCTTCCAGAAAGATTAGAAAGCAGAATACGGGTGCAATGGATTATGTAAATGACCTTTTGCAAGGAATAAACCGAAACCCGCTCCAATTGCAATGAAATATACAGATAAAATTAACTGCTTTTTTAAAAAAATAAAAAATAAAAAAGAGAACGATGGAATAAGGAGTAATGGATGGAATTTACCACAACCAACCCAAGGGTTTTATTTTTATCTTCTTTGAGCTAACAGAAGACAACAATATTGAAGTATATTTCTCTTGGTTATATCCAACCTTCTATAGCTTAGCAGAAATTGAAGGTTTTTCTTTTAACTTGTTTAAAGAAAAAAAGAAAATGCAATCCTACAACGGACGCGAGGACAAAGTCTTCAAAGTAACTATGCGTTTCTGAAATGCCCACTACGGCTAAAAAGTGAGAAGCAAAAAGCACCAAAAAGACGGTTCTTTTTTCCGTTTTAGAATGGTTGGAGTTTCAATAAGATGACAAAGAGTGGTGTAGAATGCCAGGACAAAGAAGCCCTATGTACTGCCACCACCACCAGCAGCCCTGGCAAGTCTGTATTCATAAAGCTCAAAATGGGAGCATGAAAGCCACCAAACCACAAGGTAAAGCTACAGAAAATTTCAGTAGAATATAATTGGTATCAAGAAGTGAATGAGATTCGTTTATGATTCACCAAAAATGCATGCCGGCTTTTTAGACTTAGCACTGTTCCTACAGGCTATTTATTTAATGTCTCTTGCTTCATAGGTACTGAATCTTGGTGGTGAGTTTTGCAATGATATTGTCCGTCAAGAAGTGAAGAGACCGGGTAAAGCAAAATCGGTTTAACATTGAAGTAATTATTTATTTATTTTCTTTTTCTTATTTTTCCTTCTTAACTAATTGGAATAGATGGTGGTTGTTTATGGTCTCGTTCAACGAAGAGTAAGAATGTTACATGGATGCTCAAAATACAACAGTTAACAGTGGAGGAAGGGAAGACTACAAGAGGAAAGACCATTTCATAAATAAACAGCTTGATTTTTGTGAGTATTTTTCAATGTTTTAACCCTGACATGGTGGTAACTGGTGGTTTTATTGAAATCTTGCCATTGTATCAGAATTCTGCTTGAAGGGAATCTCAAATGAAACCGATTGACCATGAAAGAGAACCTTCTGATTTAAATAAATGAAGAAAAAATTGAGTCAAGTTTTCGTATGGTTTACATTTTCGAGCAATAATTTTTCTCAAAGTCGGTTTCATAAAACTTTACGGTATTTACTTTGGTTGAATAGGGGAAAAAATGATGATTCTGAATATAATAGGTAGGAATAGGTTATTTTATAATCTATTGATCTTGTTGCAGGGCTATATTCCTAAGGAAGGAATGATATGACATGAGGATGTACAAGCTTTTTAAGGCAATCTTAAGTCAGCGAGATGTACCGAATCCGATGAATCTGAATCATTTTCTCTAGATTTATTCTAAATTTTTCCTCCATTACCTTCTTGGTCGATGAAGAAAAGTCTGTTGAAGAAATTGGTAAACCGGGGGGTTTTCACTTTACTAGTTGCTCTTTTCTGAAGCTACATACCTTTGTTTTATTATCCATTATTTTTCTTTTTGAAAAGCCAACTTATCCAGAAATACTCGATGTTGCTGTTGTTTATTGACCCATATATCAGTAAATTTGAAAATTGATCACCAATTGTTGTTATTGGGTTTTTTCTTTAAAAAAAAATAAAAAAATAAAAAGATTCTTTTTCTACTGGTTCTTTATGGGAGCCTAAGTCAACGTTACCATTTAGCCACTGCCAATATATATGTGTCCTGCGGTACTCGCCTTGTTTGCCCAATCCATATACCTTGGTCAGTTTTCCAACATGGAACAAAAGACGGTATTTTTCAATGGATTTCCTTCCAAAAAGGTTGTTCAAGTCCATTTGAATGCTTATTCAACCTTAGAACAGGCATTGGTTCAAGCTTTTGGCAAAGAAGCTGAACGTCTTCTGAGTTCATTTTATTTGACACATGAAAGCCGAATTGTTTCCCCCTCTACCTCGATATGTAGTTTGGAAGCGAATGTTTCAAAGCCAGACGTAAATCTCTATCTTCAAGGTCGACTATTAGGAGGCAAAGGTGGATTTGGTAGCCAGCTACGAGCTGCCGGTGGTCGGATGTCAAAAAAGCGCAATGAGCAAGAAAATCAAGATTCTTGCAGAGATTTGGATGGTAATCGTCTTGGAACCGTTCGTGAGGCGAAAGAATTGTCTGAGTATTTAGCCAAGAAACCCTCAGAAAGTCGAGCTAGAAAGGAAGAGAAAAAACAAAAGTTAAAAAAGCTTCTTTCTACAGAACAAAATGTTTCCCGGTTCGATGACCATGAATTTTTGGAAGATTTAGAGAAATCTGTATCTGAGACACGCAATGCTTTTCAGTCTTCTTTGGCTCATCGTCGTGGTTCTTCTTCGGCTGTCTCTTTTTCCTCTTCAGATCAAAGTGTTTTGAATGAGACCGAGTCATCTTCTTCCAACAAGGGAAAAGAGTCTTTGAAAGAAGGCGTGCAATCTCACGATCCCTGGCTTCAACGTATGGAAACGAATGCCTCTGAAGAAGATGACAATGAAGATGTACAAGTCAAAGCACTGGATGGTTGGGATGATGAATTTGTATAATTAGGTTATTATTTGCTTACGATTTATGAATTGGGAATTGCTGGATCAAACTAAAATGTAGATGCAATCATGAATGAATATTTCTTACAATTATAATTGCAGTGACGGTTGATAAATAGCTTTGAAAGTTATGCCTGAAAAGGTCTTTCCTTCAAAATAGAAAGATGGGATTGGATTCACTCATACGCTTCAAGATCCATACCGATCATTCTCCTTGCTCCAAATTAATGCTTTCAATTTCTAAAATCTTCTACAAACTTTTTTATTCTTGAAACATATTCTTTTCCTAATGGATCAGATTATAGAATTAGAATCGACGACATTTGCCATTTACCGAGGATAATATGGACGCACTAAACATATTATCGCGTTTTACTGTATACGCGTTATTATAGATTCTTCCTTCTTGGTGGAATTAAGATCTATTAAAAAAATTAACCCTAACCTATTAAGTTGTGACTGGTTTTACAAAGTCCAAACTGCTCAGAATGAGATTCTGACAACATTGGTAATTTCGGCTTTACCTTGAACTGAAGATGCTTATCCCTAAGGAGAACCGCAAGGCTATTCATCAAACTCTTTTCCAACAAGGTGTTTTGGTTGCCAAGAAGGGTATGTAAACTGAATCCTGAAAACAGCACAACGCTCGTTTATATCTAGTCGTACTATGTATGGCGATACCCAGTGAAAAACAGCGGGATTCACCTTTGACTAGAGTAACGAGTCTTTGTTGTACTGTTTTCTATTTGCTGAAACTATATTGTTTCATAAAGCATAAATACAAAAGTCTTTAAAGTGTTTGAAAAGCTCGTCAATCGGATCTAGTTACTAATCGATTGTTAGACTTCAACCTTCCCAAGCACCCTGAAGTTGGTGTTCCCAACTTGCAGGTTATCAAGGCTTGCCAATCCTTGGACTCTCGTGGTTACATCAAGACCCGTTACAACTGGGGTTACTTCTACTACACTTTGAACAACGAGGGTGTTGAATACTTGCGTGAGTACTTGCATCTTCCTGCTGAAGTTGTCCCTGCTACTCACAAGCGTCAAGTCCGTGCCGCTGCTCCCCGTGCTACTCGCCCTGAGCCTCGCGAACGTGCTGCCGCTGATGCTGGTTACCGCCGTGCTGAGAAGAAGGATGATGCTGCCGCCCCCGGTGGATTTGCTCCCTCTTTCCGTGGTGGATTTGGTCGTCAATAAACTGAATAGGACGATGGTTCATCTTTAATTTTTAGTCCCTCGTATCGTTTGATAAACCTTGAAAAAGTATTTGTAAGTTACTATATATCTCTTGTAATGAATGTGGAAGGAATGAGTACTTGGGACTATTATTATTTGTGCATGGACGGAATAGGCTTTTTCCTGAATCGAATCTATACTAGCGGTTATTCTAGGGAAGGCATTATGGATATTTAGAGGATTGTAATTTTGTTCATTCATAGTGTAGAAGTGAAAGGGAATTCTTGTCACCTTGACTTCGCCTGTTTCAATAGAAGAGTTGAAATGAATCATGAATTGTACAATTCTGTAAGTAATAAACGTGTAGAAAATAAGAATAACTCCCATTGGCGACGCATCCTTCTTGCATACGATCGCTTTTCCATGTTTAGCCTCTTTCAAACTCTTTCTTTAGTTTCTCCTTGAACCCTGTGATTCTTCAATCAGCAAAACCATTTATCTTTTTTAGTGCTGCTCGCAACATTCATTCCCTTTCAATAAAATCGAGATTGTTTTGTTTACTTAATAGTGAAGGGTAGCCTTGGATCACTAAAATAAATACTGCATTGCGTATAATGTTGATAACTTATTTTGCTCTTTCCCATAAGACTCGTTATCCTGAATGTGTCAGACAATTCCACTCTTCTTAGTACTTTTACTTTTCTGAGAAGTCAAAGAAATTAACAGTAAAATGTCTAAATATAGCGTGTTATTACCTACTTATAACGAGAAAAGAAACTTGCCAATTATTACTTATCTAATTGCACGTACTTTCGAGCAAGCAAATTTGTCTTGGGAAATCGTTGTGATTGATGATGCCTCTCCAGATGGAACTCAGGAAGTAGCAAAAGAGTTGCAAAGAATTTACGGTGAAGAAAGAATTCTCTTAAAGCCCCGTGCTGGGAAGCTGGGTCTTGGTACCGCCTATATTCACGGATTGAAGTCTGCTACTGGTGACTTTGTGATTATTATGGATGCCGACTTCTCTCATCACCCAAAGTACCTTCCTGAATTTATTAAGTTACAGAAGGAAGGTAACTACGATATCGTTTTGGGGACTCGCTATGCTAAGGACGGTGGTGTTTATGGATGGAATTTGAAGAGAAAGTTGATTTCTCGTGGAGCCAATCTTTTGGCTAGTACCGTTTTAGGAACTGGCGTCTCTGATGTTACCGGAAGTTTCCGACTTTATAAGAAACATGTTTTGGAAACCTTGATGAAAGAAATTACTAGCAAAGGATATGTTTTCCAAATGGTATGTCTTGTTTGTTTATGTAGATGTCTACTTGATCCTAGACAGAAAAACTAACGATTTGTAGGAAATGATTGCTCGTGCTCGACAACATAATTATAGTATTGGTGAAGTACCTATCGCATTCGTTGATAGATTATATGGTGAAAGTAAACTTGGTATGGATGACATTATCGGGTATTTGAAGGGTGTGCTTTCCTTAGTCTTCATTTGAGCATATAAACTGAAGCACACAGTATTTACGAGTTTATCAGCCTCTTGGTTTTATCATTTCTTGAGTTCTTTTTTTCGAGAGCATTCATTAAGAAATTTCCTATTACTATAATGGCCTATATTTAGATTTTAATGAGTGATTAGTATTCGAGTTTGCTTAATACTCAAAAGATGTTAATATGATTGATGCATACAGTATGGTTAGCTTACGTTTTCTAGTAATGCAAGACAGTAAGTTGAGTCGAACAAGTGCTTGCAAGATTTGCACATATGCATGTTCTTTTTTTTTGCTTTACAATTGAAATCTCTAAACATTCCAACGATGCAGAATATAAATTAAACACACATACACTAATCATAATCTACCGGTTGTGTTCTTCAAGATGCCCGAAATGATATATTCAAAATTAACATAAATAAAACAAAAATGATAAAGGTTTAGTAGAGGAAATCGTTATTCAATTTTCTCAAGATTTTATCGACATAAAGTCAAAACAAATAGAATTACATCTCAATTTTCTGTTTTAGCCAACGATTGCCCGGAAGCTTTTCCAATGTTTTCTCCCATTCTAATCAATGTTTCAGTCGTTTCTACCGAACTTTGCAAAATGTCATCGTCAAATATTACCTGATTTTCTTTTAGAAACATTACGATTGTACTGCCGCCATACTTAAAATAACCCAGTTCGTCCCCGCGTCTCACCTCTTGGCCTTCGCCAACGGTATGTTGGATGCTACCAACCATCATAGCGCCTATACAAACATACATAACCCGACCAAACTGAGGGGATTCAATAGGCATAACGGTTCTGGCATTTTCACCAAGAACATCCAAGGACGATCGGACAGCCATAGGGTTGACAGTATAGTATTGGCCGTCAATGGCACTAAGTTTTCCAACCTTGCCGTCTAACGGAGAATGAAACCTATGGTAATCTTGGGGAGCCAAACGAAATATACAAATGGATCCTTCCGTATATTGAGATGCTTCTTTTTCGTATTCTGGTCCAAGTAGACGAGCTACAGAAAATTCCGATCCTTTAATCCAATAGGTTCTAGCACTACTAATTTTGTCGTAGACGGTCAATCGACTATCAGCTGCCGAAACAAGGATATTTGAATCCTCTGGCGAAGCCAGGGGTCTCGCGCCTGGCTTCAATCTTCTATAAAAAAACTCATTAAAGGTTCTATATTCATTAACCGGTTTTTCCATTTCATCAGTATTCAAATCAAAAAATTTAATAAAGGGAACAATATCTTTTGTTGATAATGGAGAATCATACTTTATTCCTTGTCTGATCGTCAACGATCGCAATAATTTTCGAACTAAAATAAGTATTAGTATAAGAAAAGACAGTTATCATACCTCGTGTTCCTTCCATTCGCCGATTTCGTATACCCCGATATAACAAGCGTATACCAACCCGAACATAAGCGTTCATTTTTTCTTCCACTATCTGCCCTGTCTTACGATTTCGCACCAATGTTTTTGCTGAAGTCGATCCTAGCTTATGCGATCCATATGCTACCTTGCTAAAGACCTATATTGCTGTTAGCTAAAAGTTAATTGACAAATGATAAAAGAAAATACCTTGGTAAACCACTTTCTTTGAGCTTGGTTCAAGGTGAGATAATTGGACATCATTAACCTATTCACACGTTTCCAGTCATGGCTAGCACAAGTTGCAAGATGAACAGTAGCTCGGTATTGGTCCATTTTGTCTAGCTCACATTTCATACATAAGGGGCACTTATGTAAACAGACCAGAACCAACTCGTTGGTATTAGTGTCTACTGCATCTGAGTCTTCGGATATCTCAGAACTTTGGACTGGAGTTGATTGACCACTGCTGTCAAGCCGTGAAGAACTTGACCGGTGTATTGAATGACTCGATTCCCGATTATAGATGAGGTATGTTAATTTTTCAAGACATATAACAGCTTCATCAAGGCTGATTGCTTCCTCATCCTTATCTGAATATTTATGTAGTATATCTTCAAACAAAGAATCAATGATGGCAGCTGGTACGTTTGACCCCAAAGAATCCAATACAGCGTACATGCCTAGCTTTGAAACTTGCCCATTTTCAACCTCTCCGTATTGAGATAGCATGACTCTCCAAAACTTCTGACGAACCGCAGCAAAAGGGAAAAATATAGCTCGAAAAGTAAGTACGGCGGGTTCTGTTTCTGGTCGAGGATCTTTACAAAACAGTTTAAGAGGTATACTTTTGGTGACAACATCTGTCTCCAAATTATTTTCGACAGCAGATGAGAAATCGTCCACAAGTTTCTCAATTGGCTGTGGATAATTTTCTTTGGGAACCTCACTTTTTTCATAAGCTTCACCTCCATCATTAAGTTTATAAAGTCCGGTGTCAGGATCAGGCTGAGCAGAAGCGTTAATAATGCTCTGTATATCAACAGAGCATGCTCCAACTGAATCATTTAAGGATATTTTGTCATGATCAATGACTTTAAAAATAATATCATAATTTTTTTCTAATGTACCCACTTCAAATAGAAATTTTTGATTATAAACGGGATTCAGGTTATGCCTGACCCTTTTTGTACGGAAAGTATTTTTTGAAAAGGACATGATCACGAATGGGTCCATGTCAAATCCGGTATGAAAAACTATGTAATAACAGTTAGAAACGTTCTTATAAATAACCATACCATTTTTTAAGGGAGGTAAATTAGAAATGGAATCAATTTCCACAAAGGTAAATCCTAACAGATCCGTAACTTGATTTCTGGTAATGCTAAAGGGCTGTTTTAACTGCTTCTTTACTTTTGGTTTTACTTCATACGTCTCCTCCATACCCGAGTCGTCCACGGGATAAAAAGAGTCGCTCTCAGGTAAATTGGATTCAGACTCGGCCAAGAAACTAGAATCTTCTAAATCAGACTCGATGTTATTTAATTCAATTTTTTCTAATGATTTCGAAATGCTATTTGACTGCTCATCTGCGTTTTCGGAAGATAACTGCTTCTCTACATCTTCTACCCAAGCTTGAGCAAGACTAGCAGAATCTGCTTCTGGATTCCTAGGGTCATAAAGGCTGTATTTCAATCGGAATGTTCCTAAGGGTTTTACCTGCAAACTCTCGGAAGACTTTAGCGAACTGCTTTTCAGAGGTGGATATATGGGGCATTGTTGACTCTGATAAATGCATTAGTATTTTTATGTTTTACCATGAATTAACTTGATTGTATATACCTCTTGTGAAACCATCCTTAGTAGATGATCCAATCTTATAAGTGATTCTCCCAGTGTGTACTTCCTTCGTTTCTGTTTGCAACTGAAGCATAAATGGAATTCGAGGTCTTGGTAGTCTGTTGGAAGGGGCATATTTAGAGTCATTAAAGAATTATTATTGACAATTTTATTCGTCTGAACATTTTCGATTACGGCTCGGTATTTTTTGTACTTTAGTTTTATGTACTGAAACACACAAGTTAGTCTTCAACGATAAAAAACAAATTTGAAGCATCGTAATAATTCTACTTACCAAACAAGAATCGTTCTCAGAAGTGGTATCTGGAAGCGCGTTTTCATCTATGTCCGTAACCTTCTCAGGTTAATTGATTTGTGTCTTCAAGCAACCCGAAAGCGACTTACACCTTCTACCTCTATTTTAAGGATTATTAATCCGTTTCTAATTCCTTTCTGAAGCGAATTATAGCTTCTCTCCTTTTTTGTAAAAGCCATTTTTGTATAATCTCATTCAAACAAGATGAAGGAGAATCAATAATGAGCGTTACTAAATCGAGATTATGACAGTAAAGTAAAGATATAAACCATCTATATTAATAAAATAAGATCCACAAAAAGACCGCTTTAAATGTTGCGAATAATAAGTTTACGTATATTCCATTCAGTTGGAAGTAGATTTACGTCAGGTAACGTGTTTCTTTGTTAGCTATTTCGTGAAATGCTGATAACAAAGTCCAAATAAGTATAAAGAATGTAGCCAGTTCATATATTTTAATTAAAGGTTATTGTTCATTTCCATTGTAATTGTATTAAGCAATAAAAGAAGACTATTTATAGCATATAAAACTCATGTGATAGAAAAATAGGAAGCAAACTAATCTGATAATTACAAAATGAAGCGAACCGAGAAAACTGGAAATACAACTCGATATCGATCAAATGGATTAATTAGAATAATAGATGTAGGAAGAAAAGGAGTGAGGGATAGGTACAAGAAGGAATGAGAATCAAGGGTAAATTATCATCTGTAATATTTGGAGGGAACGAAAGGCATACGAACCACCGTAGCAGGTTGAAGTTTATTACGGACCTTTACATGAACCGAAGTACCAGTCTTATGGAATCCAGTAGTAACGTAACCCATAGCAATGTTTTTACTTAGAGAGGGGGAAGGACATCCAGAGGTAATGTTGCCCACTTGGACTCCGTCAACTTCAATGATGCTACCATGGCGGGCCGGAGCATTTTCAATTATGAAACCCACACGGCGGCGAGAAGCACCTTCTTTAATTTCTTTCAGAATTCGGCTACTACCGATAAAATTATTTTCTTCTCTTCTACGTTTTCCAACGATCCACGAGAGTGAACCCTCAACAGGAGATGTGGTGTCATCAATGTCGCTGCCGTATAAACACATACCTGCTTCCAAACGCAAGGTATCACGAGCCCCAAGACCAATCGGACGTACGTTTTTATTAGCTAAAATGCTCTGAGCAAAATCTATAGAAGCATCAGCCGGGACAGAAATTTCAAATCCGTCTTCACCGGTATAACCACCGCGAGAGACGAGACACCGAATACCCTTGAAATCAACGTAAGCAGACTGACCAAACTTAAGCGCTGAAAAATCATTGGAAGGTGCAAGACTTTGAATGACTGTCGCGGTTTCGGGGCCTTGGATTGCAATTAATGCACGATCTTGTACACGTTCAAGCTCGACACCTTTCCAATTTTCAAGATGGCTTTTTAAATTGGCTTCATCTTTTACACTGCACGCAGCGTTAGTGACAACGTAGTATGTATTATCATCATGCTTAGCGATAATTGTATCATCAATGATTCCACCTTGTTCATTTGTAAAAGCACTCAAGGTAGAGTGGAATGGAGCGAGCTCTTTTAAAGATGAAGGTGTAATACTTTCTAGGTATGCAGTAGCATTCTCACCGCGAATAAACCACTGAACCATATGGCTTACATCAAACAAGCCAGAATGTTCACGAGTCCATCTGTGGCTTGCACTGATCGTTTGATCCTTATATTGCAAAGGCATAGAAAATCCGGCAAACGGTACGATTGTCGCCCCTGCATTGACATGAAGGTCGTACAAAGGAGTATGCTTTAAAGCAGATGAAGAAGAGTTGGCTCTTTTCATAACAGAGGGAAGAATACGGGATTTTATAGAAGCAGACATATTCAAACAAACCAGAAATATATTTTACAGTATTAGAATGTCTACGCGCCGAGAAAACAAAAGCAGAACTCGGCAATCTTCAAAATTGCAGTTATGTAGTAGCTTCAATAACGGTTTAAAAAAAATAATAACTGATTTTCCTGTACGAGCAGAATGGGTAGGTTTCAAATAGCAATGTCTAGTATACAGATAAAAGTAGTCGTATGGGTTTGCCTTTCGTCCTAAGATGAGATCTTCGGAAAAAGAAGTACGAAACTTATCAAGCTCCAGATTTTACCAAGATACAGCAATCAATTTCGAAATGATGAAGCATCGTAAAAGTTTTTAAAACGAAACAATTGAATGATGCTAACTTCTGCATGGCTGGTACGATTGTTAAGAAAAATGATGAATAAACACCCTCATAGAAGATAGGCGGCAGAATTGTTGGAAGTGTATAATGTTTTGAGATTTATTTTCTATTTACCCAGCATAATTATAGAGACACCAAAAGTACATTGAAAAGGAATCTAAAACACTAGCGTACTTTGGGAATTCGTCTGTCTCAAATCAACATATAGCGGGTTGTAATAACTAAGGTAAGTTTCTAAAACAAACAATCACACCCTTATAGAACAAAACGTTAAATAGGATTCTTGTTTCATGACCATCATCATGCTTATAGCTTATGAAAAGAGTTCGAAGCTACGAAATCGTGGTTCAATAAATGAAAAGAGCAACTCATAATAACACGAAAATCGATTTTTTGACATAAAAAGAATAACCATTAAAATACAACAGAATCTAACATGCCAGCCAGCATGGAAGAAATGTTCATATCAATACATTGAGAGACTTCAGAGTCCAAATGCTTTTTGGGATCTTGTTTACCAACATATTGGATTCGAAGTTGTTCAGGAGTCAAAGTAATCTCATTCTGAACACGTTCAGTATATTGTTCAGAAAGAGATTTCATGCGTTCCATAGTAGCTTGGTTTTTGTTGGCAGCAGCATCAAAATTATCCAACAGAAGGCCGTGAGCCCAAGGTTGCTTGTGAAGATTCAAAAGCATAAGTTCTTCTAATTCTGTCTTTTTATAGTTAATTCGGAGAGAGTAATAATGTCTTCCCAAGCCGTGGATGAGAGCTTGGATGCTGGGCTTATTGATGTGACCCAAGTTAGAGGTCGTTTGTCTGGGCTCTTGACCCATCATTAAAGTGGAGGGATTAATTAAGCGGAAAGCATCAATGACAACTTTTCCTTTGACGGATTGAATGGGATCTACGACAACAGCGACAGCACGAGGAGTCAGCTGTTCAAAGGACTGTTGAGTGTTGATATCTACGCTAGAAAGCCAGCAACCAAAACCAGGGTGGGAATGATACCAACCAACTACCATTTCAGGTCGACCAGTTTGCTTAAGCATGTCCATCATGTTCTTTTGGAAAACAGGGTCCACGGCTTCTACACTAACACCAGTACCTGACTGAGGCATGGCAAAAACGTCAACGACACGAACAGTGAAATCGTCTACAAATTCACCAAGCATCAAACCCATAACTTCCATGGGAGTACCGTGGCGACCGTGACGAAGCATTTTCAAAAGTGCAAGAGAAGAGATATAAACACATTCGGAATTGTCAACAAGAGGTTGGTCACCCATGACACCAGCACCCATGCGTGCTCCTTGTAACAAGCGTTGTAAGGATTCCATAACGAGGATATGACAAAGAAAAGATAGAACTTGAAAACGTAAATGTGTATGCTTTTACGAATATACGTAACAAATAGAATACAAATAGCTCCTTCGTTGGTAAAGGTTAGAAAGCAAAATCCGAGAAATTAATTGAAACGACGAGTAAACGTAAAACTTGTTCGAAAAGAATCGCTTTCAGGTTTTTCTTCCCAGAAATGGTTTCTTGTAAAGAATTTAAAAAGGTATCGTATAATATAAGAGTCCAAACAAACAAATATAAGATGGACAAATTTCTTCACCTACACTGCTACTGTTGTTGGTAATGCACAGGTTTCGCTGTTTCCAACTATGACCATGGAAATGCCAAATTGCTATATCTTCGTTAGCCCTCCTTATGTATTTTACTACACTCTTGCATAGTGTTTTATACTTTCTTTCTTTGCGTTATTTTATTTAAGTCAATAGGAAATATATCCTTAAACATTCTACGATATTTACACCTATAAGCATAAAACTTGTTACCGTTGTATGTCCATGTTCGTTAACCCAAATACAGTCGTCATTTCATTTCGTTAAATAGAAAAAATTAAGTGAAAAAAGAAAAAAAGGTGAGGTATAAAGAAAGAGAAGAGAAGAGACGTAGAAAGGAAGATAGAGGAGATAGAAACAGATATCTCATTTAACCAGGGCCAATTTTTGGCATTTCAAAGTGTTCTGACTGATTCTCTAATAATCGATTGTAGTCATCCACTCTGTCCTTATGGGTTTTGAATCGCTCCTTTTTGGCTTTTTCTAAAAGTCGCTTCTCTTGAATAGCTTCAAACTGCCGCTCAGCTTCCGTAGAATCCCTTTCTTCCTCTTTGAAATCTGAGACTCGTAGCATTTGGTAGTCTGATGGGTTTGCTTTCTTGGAATCTTCTTCTTCAGCAGCCAAATGCTGTTCAGCTTTTTCTCCAAGTTTTTTAGAACTTTTCTTTTTCTTTTTTAAAGGCTTTTTCTTGACATTCTTCAGTTTTAATGAGCCGCCTACAAAATCCATGGCAAGCGTAAAGGAAAGTATTCTCAAGACATGTCATATCCTATGTAGTATATACTGCGCTGAAGATGATTGACAATACTGGGAAGTTCATTGAAATGTTTCTTTCAGGTTTTATTTGTTCAATGATTTTCAAGAAATTTGTTTTTAGGAAATGAAAGTATCGAATTCATTTTCATCTAGTATCCTCCACCCTTAAAGAGCATAATGGAAACGATTTCCGTACATAACCACCGAAAGTTCAATCCGTATTTATAAAGAAGTTTCATTAAATTCTAGTGTTACATTTTCAAGCTTTAGTTAACCCAAAAGGCTTCGTTTCAAAGCTCGTTCGTAGTACTTATTGATTTTATTTATTTATTTTCATTGTTTATTTACTTTAGAAGCTTTTCAAAGTGCGTTCCATTTTGCAATGTATTATTCGGTAGAATAATGTCTCACAGTAACTATCGGTATGTAGCACTATGCTAGATAACGACATTTTACTGATGTAAGAGCGAGTGACAATTGACGTCGTGTGGTTTATCACTTCAATTGCCTGCCCTTAACCAACATTAAGAAACACAAAAAGAAAGAAAAGAAACCTTAGTAACTATTACTATGAAGGTAAAAGAATTGGTGTTTATAACATGAATTGCTAATACGAACACGATGTGCAGTTTCTTGAACTTGCCGACCTTGACGCGATTAACAACGCGTTGTCATTTGATGCCGACGATTGTCGAATTCATGGGAAATGCGAAATTTACACAACAAAAGTAAGTAATTGAAAGAATACGAAAAGTGAATTAGGTGTTAGTTTTCCTGGAGGACGCTTCTGGATAACGGTCGTAGTGGTTTCTCTTAACTACACTGCCATTTCGCCAAGAAACGCGCTCAGTTTTCCCAAGATGTTAAAAGTTTCCATCAAGAAAGTTTAAGATGTTCGTAGATACGCGTCACGATTTGGATGTTTTGATATTTCTTCTTCCCACTTTCGTGAACCGCACCGTCGAATCCTGTAGTATAATTTTTTTGTTATTTTCATTCCAATTCTCTTTTGTCAATGGCTCTCTAACCATCTTTCTAGTCCACCGGTTCGGATAAAAAATTATACAAGGCCATTGAGTCGCGATGTCAAGAAGATATGCTTGCATTTTCAAGTAGCAAATCGCCTGAGCTTGCTTTTAGTTGGACACAACAGAGCCCGTTTGGACCTCTCGATCAGTCTTCTTCGCGTCGCACATTTATGTATATTGTAGCTACACTAAATGCCTCACACCCCGATCACGACTTCAGTACTCTACAACCGACCGATTTTTACAAAGAGCCTTCACTTTCACGGGTTTTGGACAGCGTGAATGCAACTATCAATGGCATGGGTCGCGGTAGGATAAGTGTTAATCAGCTTTGGGAGACGGTAGACCGACATATAAACCTTTCCGAATGTAACATCTACTCTTATACTCCTGATAGCGATAGTGATCCTTATGGAGATGAGGCTTTAATTTGGAGTATGTCATATTTTTTCTTCAACAAAAACATGAAACGTATGCTTTATTTTTCTTTGCACGGTCTTGGGAAAGAGGGCACGTATCAGAGCCACTATGTCAACGAGGATGAGTCTGTCTTGACACCAGTTCCGGAGGATGGAGAACCAAGCGATTTTGAGGACGATTGGGTAGCCAATATGGATGAGTAATCTGTTATTAATTTCTCCTTCTCCGTAATATCGTTGTATTTCCTTGTTTCACCTTCCGGAATTCCTTTTGCTTTTCTTTTTTGATGATAGATTTTTACATTATTATTTCCTTTTTGAACCTAGTGTCGTCTAATGCTTACAACACAATAATTGCAGCATACTCCAATCTTTTTGCTTCTTTGATTTGATGTCTTGTGAATGCCCTTGTATAATGATAAAAACAAGAGAGTGAGTGATCTTCTTCTTCCCGATTAATTCCAAACTGCCTTTTTGTTACTGTAATATATATGCTTAAGGAAAAGTCTTAATTTTCGAACTCTTGCTATATGATCGAAAACCATTAATACACGTAACTCTCTTTCTTTTCTATTCAAAAGAATCTATATTCCATAAAGTTTATTTATCGCTACTCTTTACATTCGTTTCAATGTTCAGGGCTGAAGCCTGTGGGTTTGTCTTTCAAGATACATCACTAGTCCTTGTTTAAAGAAAGAATCCATGGTTTTTCTTTTTGTATTTCTTATCCCTTTGCTTTAACTTCTCTGCTTCCTAGCGCCGGTTTACTCGAAAATTGGATGTATATAAATAGAGTCTATAGAGATTTTGTTCCTTATTTTATTAAACAAACTAATATATCTGTATTGCATAAAAACTTGATCTTGACATTTATACAGAACGTAGACTTTGACATACTATATATCCACTGCTTGTTATAGCCAGCTATAATAAGCAATTGGAAAACCTCACGGTGGGAAAGACGACAGTGGCTTCTTAAGGGCCATTTTTAGACTGACTAGGCTTAACAGCAAATCCTATTTCATGGATCCCGAGTAAGTGTTTACTATAATTCTTCTAAAAATATTTTTAAACATTGGCTTGTACGAAACTTACCAAGTATAGATAGCTTTGGAAACCTAGAAATTCGAGAAATTCCAAAAATAAATTAGCACCGAATTCAGCTTTTTCATATTTGACATCTTCCTGCTTCCTGTTTCTGAACAAAATAAATGTTTGTTCCTACACATAAACAATGAATGCAAATATCACTTCTTCACCGAGGATTCTCTTTTTTTCTTGTACTTTCATTTTCATGAAAAAGTAAAAATTCAAATAATCGTTAACATTTTTTCTATCTGCATCGAAACATCTATAAACTAACCATTGTTAAGTTATTAGGAAAAAACCTAAGATCTAAACATGTAAAAAACAATTAAACGAACGAATGCCATGAACCGACACCCACTTACAGAAACACGTTAGTTCAAATACTTACGTATTATAAACATACAAAACGCCTGCTTTGTATGATGAATTATCTAAATAGTTTCCAATTTGGATCAATAGCATAGAAAAAAAGACTGTTGAACAACACGCTAAACAATCTTTTTCTTTTTTCTTTTTGGTGTAAGAACCCTTACAACCATAGTGCTTGACGAAGTTTATCCAACACCCGAGCATCCTCACTACAAGCTACCTTTTCGACGGGTATATCATAAGGAGCAAGGAACTTGGGTGCTTGTACAAGCGGTGGGCCAGCATCGGGATACAACCCATAAGGAATCGTAATTCGTGACAGGTTTGCATCGCAAGATGGCGACACAAGGGAAGGATCTGGAATAGGAGAAGAGTAGGAAATTAAATGCAACTTGTGATTCAAAGAGGTAGTGATACTGAAGGATTGTTTAATCAAACCGTTAGGTTTATAATGCAAACCACGCATACTTTCGTCATCCATGGAACTATCATCACTCATGCTCCCAGCACCACTATCGTCCTGCGGAAAAGAATTTAAAGAGTTATGAGGATCAACTGATGAAGACCGTTTTATATTATCACTAGAAGTTGCTTGGTAAGGTTTGCGTTTTCCTTCCATTTCCCGGTATGTTAAGAAGGAGCCGCTCACACGAGAAGCACTCCATGATTTACCATCAGTCCAACGACGCATTCCAGCTTCCCGTTCGTCCCAAACAAATACGCTACCAGCGCGAATCAAGCTTCGTTCGTGGTCAGAAAGACGGCGTTGTACCCGAGGTAATAAGCCTATTCGGCAGGCCTCAAAGAGGATAATGGCATCCAAAGGAGTTTTGATAACACCGCTATAAGTCTGCATGATAGATGTGATGATATCAAATAGACTTGACAAAACTTTATAGATATCAAATAGTAAACTCTTAGTATAAAAATACGCGCGAGGGTAAGAATGCTTATAATAAATAAACTTTTTTTTTTTTCTTTGGAAATTGAAGTAATTAGCCAAAGAGATAACGGTAAGTCTGTTCGTCCCACACCTCGCAAGGAAAAAAACAAGACTAAACTTGAAAATCACAAGCCTTGAAATAAAGCTTTATATGTACAGTATGAACAAATGGGAAGCAACTAGTTCCTTCCAATTATTCACAAAAACAGATATTCGTATAGTATAGTAACCTTTCTATCCAATTTCCAACAACCAAAAAGACTTTCAATCAAGCTGTAAAACCAAGTAAATTATTTTTGGACGAAAGCAGAAACAATGAACAAGGTCAAACTTGAGTTGCTTTTCTCAACCAGACAATCTTAACTCTGTACCGTGCTCTTCAGCTTGTATGTTAGTCTTCGACAACACTCTTTCGTTTTTATTTTTCCAAACCTGGTCCTATTAATTACAAGACACAGGTCGCCAACAAACGTAAAAATGGTCGTCGATCTAGCACTATACTTTCGGAGACGTGAATATATCGATGTGCCAAAGAGTTTGCTTTAGAACTAAAACTTTGGTCGTATAGATATACTCAAAAACCAGCCGACGCTAACCTCCAACCTTGGAAAGCAACAAAGACTTCCAACAGGAGCAACGGTTTTGAACGTAATTCTTTGCCAAGCCTCTGTGAGTAATCGTCAAACAGACGCTTATCAAGGGTGACAAGAAGCTCTCGATTTCCAGCTTTTAATAAGCAACGCTGTTGTTTGCGAAGGAAAAAGGTAGATATACTAGGGTTAAAAAAAGTTTTATATGCGAAGGAGCAGTGACCCTTTTAGCGAGTTACAAAAATTTTAGCTTCACAACACCGTGCACTTATGTGTGCGCACACACCAATTAAGCAAGTCACAGAAAAATTTTATATCACTGTTTAGATGAGATAAAGTGAAGGTAACGCTTTTCGGTAATTTCCACTCTATTCGTGACTATTTTACCAAGTTTGACATCTTAATAACCCTTTAAAGAGGAGTGATGTAAACAAAAGACGTTGTAAGGGAAAAATTAAAACTGCTACAATACTCTTGTCAAAGGAATTGCGCATTTCAGAAGTTGTTTGAGAGCAGTGGCAAGGAAAGTGGTACAGCCTTCTCTTGTCAATACATAAGTATGAATTCATATACTTGACAAGAGCTAGAAAAGACCATTTCATGGACGAGAGTTCGGAAACAAAGCAAGGGATTCATTCATTCATTCATATACTTTTACTTTCCATGATTTAAAAGAACGAAGATTTAAGTTGTGCGGTTTCATCAAAGTAGAAAATATCATAGCTTTTCTAAAAAAGTTCCATAGGTTTATTCAACTTCATTAAAGGTTGGTAATAGATACAAATTGATTCATAAACATCAATAGAATCAAAAGAATAGGAAATAAATAACACAGGGATCAGTAGATGTGCCTCAACAACGGAAGATTATATGTAGGTTAACAAAGAAAATTACGATGCAAAAGGGGGTCATCTAAAATGTAACAAACAAACACTAAATTTTCCGATTCGTCTGCTTTAATGTTCCTTGGGGTAATGTTTTTAATTCATCAATGGCTGCCTTGATGTTTTGCTGAAGAGGTTTTTTCTTCCATCCTTTAACCGTAGAAATTAAATTATCGGTTTGTAATTTTAGCTCTTCATTCGTCCATTTAGACATCACACTTGAGATTCGATTCCAGTCCAAATCCGCTGTGATTTTTGCATCTGCCGATACACAGTTATTAACATGCTCTAATAGTTGTAAACTATCGCCGGCATAGAATCTAGATGCATTTTTTCTCTTTCTCTTTTTATAGCTTTTTTTCTTTCCTTGTTTATCATTTTCATCATGTTTCGGTTTGGTAACCGAGGGCTCTTCCTTCGTATCTTCGGCACTGAGTTCGGGATGGTCTTCCGCTGTTCGAGTCTTTGCGAAATTTTTATTATCATTCAACGATTGAAACTTGAAATCAACTTGAGATTCTTTATCAGTAAGCTTTTCAAATGAACTTGTAGAGCCTGACTTTGGACTGCTTGTCAACGATTTTGCAGAAGAGTGTCTTGAAGGTTTTGCTACAAATCTCCATAGTAGGGCGCATTCTTCTGATGGGAGACCTAACTGGGTTGCAATCCAATTCCACTTTGTCCCTCGTTGGCTAACCAATTGATAAAGCTTTTGAAACGTCTCTTCACTCCAGGTTTCTTGTTCGCTTTTTGGACGATAAACAAGCTTTATATAATTTAAAAGAGATTTTTTATCAACATTATTTTGAATCTTTAGAAGGATTTCGTTGTACAAGGATTGTTGCCCCGTGTACCGTATGCTTGGATCACATATACGATGCCCGAATTCATCCAACGTGATGCCCTCATTTTCACAAAACGACAATATACAACCATGAATATACTCGGCATCACTGCAATTAAAGAAAGGAATTGATGAATCTTCGGTTTTAAGAGCGATATCTTGGATAGGTAGTCGTTCATAACCAGTCACTTCGAAAATGGCTCGCATATATGCTAACAGGGAGCTCTCAGAGCGGTGTAAACATAAACTTGCAGATTCCAAAAATCCAAATAAACGCATTTTTGCATCTGGAGTTTCCAAGATTTCTTTCATTTGATCAGGAGAAATCGATCTCGCTTGTAATAGTTCATCGATTTTTCCTCGAAACCACGTTTCATCCTCTTCCGTCCAGCTACTTTTCCTTTTTTTTACTACAAGTGAGGTTTCAGAATCGACAGTCATTGGGTCCACCTCAACATCTGTTAATGATTCTTGCTGTTTGCGTTTAGGAGGATATGTCCGAATAATGATGGATGAATAGACATTAGATTTAATAATCTGTTTTGCAGCTTCTAAACATTCTCTTTGGTCCTCTGTCCAAGAAGTAATGGCAAGTCGTTGGGGAGTGGAAGGCTTTGTTGCTAAGGATCCAAAGACAAATTCATCCCCTTCATCAAAGTCGTAAATGTCCTTTCGCACGTTCTTGGAAGGGCTTTGAAAAGAATTCTCGGTAGAATCAATCATGATTGTGTTGTGTTGTTCCATACAATTACTAGTAATCTTTGTTTGTAGCGCGTCAGAGTTATTATTCTCAATGGAACATGGATTTGAAATCAAAGACTGAGATGAAAACGCGTCCTTGTTAAGAGAATGTAAATGTTCCTCAGATGTACAGTTGCAATTGGGTTCTGTGCCAATAAACTTTCTCATAAAAATTAAAGAAAATGAAGATCTACTCAAACGTTAGCCATGTGATGTCAAGTAAACAAAGCAATGAATCCAAAAACGCGTCAAATTCAAAACCATATATTCATTTTCCAAAAATAAAACCACATGTCTTGTAAAACTCCTTGCACTAATAAATATTCGTCTCGTAAACGCGACGTAAATGATAACTTTCAACAAATCTTGATTTTCTACAAACTTTCTTCGACTAATTTTTACACCTTCACTTACTTAGATCATGTAAATAGCATATAAATTCCTTTAAATCGCATTTCCTTGTGTTTACCACACAATACAGATTGTTTTCGTAGTTGGGAAAAGATACGTTTCCTCTGGGGTAAACAAGAAAACCAAACGCGTGTCTCTCTTCCACCTATATGGGTGCTACTTGGTTCTCCAACACCAGGTAACACCATCTTTATCTAACGAAGGGAGCGAAGGCAAATCGCTTTAAATAAACAAAGAAGCATTTTCTTTGTTCTGAGATTGCTATAAATATTATCCCAGGCTGTCCTAAAACTTGAATAGAACCATCCTCGCTTACCAGAGAAGAAAGTATTCTTTCGTCAAGAGATATCTTCAAAGGGTATCTACTGTCTTTGGAATTTTTGTCGCTTTTTGTTATTTGTTGTCGAACGTGCAAATCTGGTTTTTGGAGTCATTGTCTACAGCAACTACCTATATTTTACAGAATCTTTACTTTATTTTCGTTGAAACGCGTCGACCGTGATTTTTACTTTGTTTATCCTGAAACAGGGAACGCAAACTAACAGTTTATGAAAGAAAACTTGTGTTAAAACAAGCAGAATCACTTTCTCTCTTTTGATTATTACCCTCGTTGAAGCAACTCCGTTCTTTTTTTTTGAAATTTTTTCCTTTTGACGAATTTTGAATTTCTTACTACTTTGATCTGTATAGCAAAGCCGAAGCTCTAAAATTGAAGTACTTCCAACATAACGTTTGTCTCTCTTTAAATATAATTATTTATTCATTTCGTTAACGACCTATAACTGAAAACATGGCCAGTGCTACTTCCGCTAATGCTATCCTTGAGAAAACCAATCGCTCGACAAACAATGCCCGTCGAAGCCCTCATATTCATAATCTCAACTTTGAGTTACCAAGAGATTATCAAATGACAAGTCTTATCGGACAAGGCGCTTATGGCGTGGTCTGTTCCGCCGTCCATAAGCCGACAGGCATCAAGGTTGCAGTGAAGAAAATTCACCCTTTTAACCATCCTGTCTTTACTTTACGTACACTTCGTGAAATCCGCCTGTTACGCCATTTCCACCACGAAAACATAATTGCTATCTTGGACATCCTCCCACCCCCTAGCTACCAAGAGTTGGAAGATGTATACATTGTGCAAGAACTTATGGAAACCGACTTGTACCGTGTCATTCGCTCCCAACCCCTAAGTGATGATCATTGCCAATATTTCACATACCAAATCCTTCGTGCTTTGAAGGCTATGCATAGCGCCGGCGTCGTGCATCGTGATCTAAAGCCATCAAATCTTCTTTTAAATGCCAATTGTGATTTAAAGGTAGCAGATTTCGGTCTTGCCCGTTCTACTACCACAGTTCAAGAAGGAAGTCCCGGTTTCATGACTGAGTACGTGGCCACTCGTTGGTACCGTGCTCCAGAGATCATGCTTAGTTTCCGTGACTACAGCAAGGCCATCGATATTTGGAGCACCGGTTGTATTTTAGCCGAAATGCTGGCTGCTCGCCCTCTTTTCCCTGGAAAAGATTACCATAGCCAAATTACGTTAATCTTGAACGTTCTGGGAACGCCAACAATGGATGATTTCAACAGAATTCGCTCTGCTCGTGCTCGTAAGTACATTCGAAGTTTGCCTCTCACGTCAAAAGTGCCCTTCAAAAACATGTTCCCTCATGCTTCTCCAGAAGCCATTGACTTGGTAGAGCGCATGCTCACTTTTAACCCGGATAAGCGTATTACCGCTGAAGAAGCCTTAGAGCACCCTTATGTAGCTGCTTATCATGATCCAGATGATGAGCCTAGCGCACCTCCGATGCCGCCAAACCTTGTGGATCTCTATTGTAAGAGAGAGGAATTGGAAATCCCGGTTTTGAAAGCACTAATATACCGTGAAGTCAATTTCCGATAAAAAAAAAAACGATTTCATTCATTCATTCATGATTTTGATCATATACATTGATATCTGACGCTAAACTGACTGGATTGGGAGCTGAGGAAACAAGGCTCGGTTCAATACCGAGTTTTTGAAGATAATCTCCAGTAGTAGGGCCTATAGTTGCCAATTTCCTTGAATAAGAAGCCAAACTTGAGCAAAGTTGTGTTGGACTGAAGACAACAATCCAATCAATTTCAGGGTGTTCTTTAATAATATCTGAAATCTGGCATTGACTTTGCTCGATCTCTTGAGTTACATAAACTACCAACTCTTCAACACGGTCTTTGCCTAACCTTTTCGGAATAGTATCTCGATGCTTTTCACCCATTAAGAATAACAAAGGCTTCGATGGATTAGTCTTTTGATACCAATCTTGGATAAGATCAGCCAAAACCTCACCACGTCCGCAGTCCCTGCCATATGTTTGTTGGAATCCTAGTCTTCGAATGCTATCATCTGTTGCTGGGCCCACTGTAAATACAGGTATCGTGTTCAAGATGGTCTTTTCAGCGGTTTCATCCAACTGTTTCAACGCAGCACTAAGGGTTTCACTAACTCTCTGACTGGTCACAATCAATCCGCAATAATTCGACAACAAATGAGCAAGTTTATTCTGTAGTACGTTCTCATTTACGGATTGATGCCGTAAAACTGCTAAAAAGTGTACATTTCGTAGGTATCGTTGAAATGCTTCCACATACGGATCGACCGGTTTGGACTCAGTCTTTAGCAGCAATACAGATTTCATATGATGCTTTAAAGTGTATGAACAGGTACTTTCGTACTTATGGACAACGATGGATGTGGAAGAAACTTCAATGAGAAAATTCCTGTACCAAGACGGTTTAATATGGGAAAGGAAAAGAACCTTTGGGAAACCTCTTTCCGCATCACTATTAAAACTTGATTCTAATGATAATTAATATAGGTTAACTAAATAATTTTTTCTTTATAGAATGAAAAATAAAAAAGGTAATTAAAGCAATGATAAATTCAATTATAGATGAAGTATTCGAACAAATAAACTGAAGTGTATATATGATTTAAACATCGCTTGCTTATACTGAATCCATTCAATGATTGAATATCTATTACATACATTATAAAAGTAAATAATGAGTGAAAGAAACGTAAAGAATGCATTAAGTTAAAGAAAATGAAACGTATATACTCTATAAGGAAACAACAATTAACTAATCAATAGTTATCACATGGTGAAAGCTATTAAAAGACACATAACACATACATAGTCGTAAGTTAAATTAGAAAACAAAAGGTCAGACATTAGATCCAAGATTCCAAAGATTAAAGCAAGCAAAAAAAGAAGGAAAAGAGTGAAAGAGTTTCGCCAAAATAATGAAGTCGCTTACTTTTTAAGACTGGACGAAGAATTAGAGGAAACAGCTGTACTTGACCGTGATAACGTAAACTTCTTCTCGAATAGTGCTTGGCGAATATTCTCTGTTTTGGTTGACACGACGTAGAAAATGGCATCAATGAGAGAAGCTATAGCAAGGAGACCCATGGACACCCACATTAGAATGACAAGTTTCTTTCCTACAGCAGCATGAAGATAAACATCTGTATCTTCAATCGCCATGACAAAAGAAGAGACAGATACGTGCACAAAGAGGGAAGTAACCAGGATACTTAAAAAAGTGAACACCGACAGATAAAGTCGAATGAGTCTCAAATAAGGCAGTCGATCTATAAAAGGGATCGCACCAATAGCCGCCAAAAGAAAGCAGACACCGCATACACAAAATGAAAACACAACCATCCATGGATGGACTTGAGGGAGAAGAAACTTGGACCGCAAATCCGCCATTGAGAAAGAAGGAATGCTCCTTGTGTTTGTAAATCTACTACACGTGACAGAATTATTTCCGCCGATCAAACACATAGAAAAGTATCCAACGTTAACTTGGGCAGAACGACTTGACAAGTTGAACAAGGATATATGAGAGCTCGTCTCGGACTTGCAACCCGTCATAACCAAAGCCAATATTATCCAGGCTCCCAAGAGAGAAAAACCGCAAGCAGCTTGAAGGATGCACTTGATAAAAAACATAATGATGGGAAAAAAGTGAAGTCTGCTCTTTATAGGGGAGAAAGGTGAAATACTTTGCTTGAACTAATCGTCAAAGACAAATAAACAACGTAAGTAAAAAGAGAAGAAAGATTATGATAAATCCCACACTCTGTATGTCGATAAAATGAAGAACACTCCAATTGCAATATTCAATGTTTCTACACAAAGAGGAAGAGGTTTCCGTACATAAAGTATCCATCTAAAAGAAGAAAAAAATAAAATAAAGAAGCAGTATAACAAAGAAAAAAATATGTGACATCAAGTCTTATTTCGTGTTATTTCTTTGTTGAGCAAACAAAGGAATCCAAAGAACAAAGAAGCTTGGAATGGCATTACGAGTACAGGCGTATAGACTTTTTCATGTAAGTCTCCATTGTTCATGTAAGAACAAAAGTTTCCATAATATCATGCCTAGTTTTGTTGTCGATGGAGAAGTAGGAAGAAACGTATAAGTTGTAGATTCCGGAAAGAAACGCGCCAATTTCTCATTATAGTTGCTTAATAAAATGGTCCTATGAATAGGTAAATACGATATTTGAGGATTATGGTTTTGCAATTGCTCTTTTTTTCCCTCTTGTTCAGAGGTTAAATCGTCAAACTTCCATTGAATCCAAATTCCAGTAGGAATACTCTTTGTATTTAGGAATTGTAAATAAAAAGCATCAAAATCTGGTTGATGAATCCATCCTTGGTTCTTCTGTTCTTCTTGTGAAGGTATGAGATGGGTAAGAGAAAACTCCAGCTCGGATTGAAGAATGTTCAATGTTGACGGGTTTCCAGCTTGTTTCAGTTCCATATTCCATCTTTTAAAAATTTTCTTGGAAACTGGTTGTAAATGTGATTTCGAAAGCTTACAGTAGATTGACACATGATGGCTATAAAGAAGATGCTTTTTATCAGCATGAGGAAGCATCCGAAGATTTAAACGATTGCGAATGGCAGGAAACTTTCCCATTAATTCTAAAGAAATTTGTTAGTTGGTCATATGTTTCAAGGAAAGCGAAATGAGAAGAGGACTATAAAATTACCTTCCCAATATACTCTGCATACCTCTAGGAAGTAAATGATGTGAGGATAAGTCTTGTCGTAATGGAGAGCATACCATTTGCACTAAAGGATCAGCAGAAAATGCAGATTTGTGACCCTTCATGCTGACTTACAAGACTATGGGTGAAAGGAAGGCGTATCTTCTTACTCTGCGAAGGCATGTCAGAATTCAGAGAATTTGTTATAATAAGTAAAGACACCAATTCTTGATAGCAAGAATGGAATTCAATGTATCAATTTACGAATACGTTGTATTAATTGCTACAGTCGCTTTTGTCGCATCTTTGAACTTTGGAAACTGGAGCTGAGCAAATCTGTAAAGATGATCCAGTGTTTACTAATAGTATCTGATGAGATTATTCAATCTTTAACTGTCTTGTTGTCATTCTCTAGGATGGATTGGACTTCTCGATAAAAGAAAATGGATGGTAATTACAGACATACATGAAAAAAGCTACTTTCTTCTATTTCTTATTATTTAACTAAAACGAAGTTCGTTTTCTATGATGAATCATTGCGCATCACATCGATACTCTATATATTCGGATTCGTAATACCAAGTGCCCAACTATCCTATATCCACCAAGTCCCAAAATATCAAGTTTGATTCGATAAAATGACAGAAGCAAAAATTGCACCCTCTTTGTTATCTGGTAAGTTATAAAGAGGGTAATATTGCATTAAATCCTTCATTATGGCCTATCCGGCGTGTAACCAAATTAGAAGATCTTGCTAACGACGTTCAGGTGACTTTGCCAACCTTGAGCATGAAGTCGGTCGTATGCTGCAATATGGTAGCGACTGGCTTCACGTTGATATTATGGACTCTCAATTTGTTCCTTCCCTCACGATTGGACCCATTGTCGTCAAGGCCATGCGTAACCATTTTACCAAAGAAAAGGCTTTCTTTGATTGTCATCTAATGGTTATGAACCCCGAAAAATGGGTTGACGAGTTTGCAGATGCTGGTGCAAACATGTTTTGCTTTCACTATGAAGCTACTGAAAAGCATATGGAAATTATTCAGCGTGCTCACGAAAGGGGCATGCTCGTAAGTTGTGCCATAAAGCCCAATACACCTGTTGAAGTGCTTGATCCTTTGGTGCAACATCTTGATATGGCTTTGGTTATGACCGTTGAGCCAGGTAAGGGCGGTCAAAGCTTTCGTGCTGAGTGTTTGCCCAAGGTGAACTACTTGCGTAAGCGTTACCCTAACTTAAACATTGAAGTGGATGGTGGTCTCTCTCCTAAGACTGTGGATGCTGCCTCCGAAGCAGGCGCAAATGTCATTGTTGCCGGTACAGCTGTTTTCAAAGCAGAAAACCCTACTCAGGTGATTGCTGAGCTTCGCAACTCTGTTTTGAAGGCACAAGAAACAAAGCCCTGGGCGAAATAGAAGTCGGGTTCTCATGATTTGATTCAAGTTATGTCTTGTTAAGTGAATTGATTGCTTAGTACAGGTTCTTTGAAATGTTTTAAAAAAAAATAAAAGTTATGTCTTGGTTAAGAGACATCAAGTGAAAAAAGGTGATATGAAATACAAGTAGCTAACTTTCTACCTTGTGAAGAGTAATTACCAAGAAGTCAAACGATTGTTTCATTGAACAAAAAAAAAACTAGTAGTCTATTAAACTTAAATGAAAGAAAGGAAGCTTAGGGTTGAAAGTTCCAAAACTTGAACTTAGTTGCTCAAAGAATATATAACGGCATCGGTGATTTCGTTAGTAGTAGACTTACCACCCAAATCAGGAGTAAGAATCTTTCCTTGATCCAAAACCTTGTCAACAGCATTTACAATGTTAGCAGCAGCTTGCTGATGTCCCATAAATTCAAGCATCAAAGCGACGGAACGGAATGTAGCGACTGGGTTAGCGATATTGCGGCCGGCAATGTCTGGAGCACTACCATGGACAGGTTCGGACATAACAAAGCCATCACCCACATTGGCCGAAGGAACTAAACCAAGAGAACCGATGAGAGAAGCAGCACCGTCAGAGAGAATATCACCGTAGAGATTGGGAGCAACAACAACATCAAAGCATTGAGGTTCACGGAAAAGGCGGTATACCATAGAATCAACGATTTGCTCATCCATGGCTATGGAGGAATAAGAAGGGCTAAGAGAACGAGCATGTCTGCAAGATTCACGGAAGAGACCATCAGTAACAGACATCACATTAGACTTGTGGATAATAGTTACCAAAGGGTTCTTGTGAATTGAAGCAGCACCAGAAGTACGAAGAGCTTGACGGGATTTGGCAATTTCAAAAGCCATTTTTCCAATTTTTACAGAAGCTTCTTCGCTGATACGACGAGTAGCTTCAGCTACACGCTTACCAGGAGTAGTTTCGACCATACGCTCTTCCTTAACGTATAAGCATTCAGTGTTTTCACGAACGATTACAAGGTCAATAGGCTTTCCTTGGGCTCCATCAAGAGACTTGACTGGACGGACGTTGGCGTACAAGCCCATCTTCTTACGCAAGGCAACTATAGGAGAGGAATAGCCCTCAACCTTATGGGAAGGGCTTTGAACAGCACCGAAAAGAGCAGCATTGCATTCTTTTTTCAATTTTTCTAAGGTAATATCAGGAAGAGCTTTACCAGTACGCTCAAAGGTACCCCAGCCAGCATCCAAGTCGACAAAATCGAATTGAAGTTTGTGTTTAGATGGCAGATTTTCTATTAAGCGACGAGCAGCAGGGACGACTTCTCTACCAATTCCATCTGCTGGAATAAGGCCCAAAACTATTTTACTAACTGAAGACATACTTCCACAGATTCAATAATTGGAAAGGACAGAAATCTACTGACGGTAAATATCTGATCTAAGATCAATTTTGCTTTAAGAAATGGCAGCGCATCGTTAAGGGCCATTAATGCATTTAAGTGTATTCAAAAAAACAAAAAATTGCTTTAAGCTTGAAGGCGTTTTAGAAACGTTCAAGCAAATTAGAAGGTTTCAGCAATTGATTCTAATAGAATCTTAATGCTTCGAAGCGTAATACTAGTTATAATTTATACATATGGTTGTCTTCTTTGAACAGCTTTGTTAGAGCGACAGAAGACATTACGGTCCTGACTAACCTACTTATACGGAAAAAGAAATTGTAAACTATGCAACAAATACAGACAGATAGGATATGCCTTCCTTAAATTGACCTTGTATTAAAAAAGATATATCTTAAAACTTGCCGAATTGCTTAGAGCCCTCAGTGTGCTTGACAACACGGAGAACGTTGAAGCGAACGGTCTTACTCAAGGGACGGCATTGACCAACAGTAACGACATCACCCTCGTTGATACGGAAAGCAGGAGAGACGTGGGCAGCAACGTTCTTGTGACGCTTCTCATAACGGTTGTACTTGGGGATGAAGTGCAAGTATTCACGACGAATGATGATGGTACGGTGCATCTTGGTAGAAACAACAGTACCAGTCAAGATACGGCCACGGATGGAAACTTCACCAACGAAGGGCACTTCTTGTCAATGTATTGACCATAGATAGCCTCAGAAGGGGTCTTGAAACCCAAACCGACATCCTTGTACCAACGGCGACCGGCACCCTTCTTGGCATTTTGGAAAATGTGAGGCTGCTTTTGATAAGCACGCTCGCTTTGCACGACAAGTTCAGTGGCCATCCTGTGTTGCTGAAGATAAAATTCACCGTTGAACACAATTAACACCAAAACTTTTAGATGTGACTGTTTTACTTCAGGGTAGGGTAACACCTAGGATACCTCGTTACGAAAATATGTATCTGCCTTCAGTAATATAATTACTCTCTTTCTCAGGTCTCATCATTCGGTAGTAAATCTGAGTTTAAGCGTTTACAATCTTTACTATTACTTGGTATACACAATCGTAATGCTCTTCGCAAAAAAAAATTTGTTACTATAGGAATGATCTTTACAAAGCAACAATATCCAACACTGTCTCACTTCCTGTCAGGGCATAAGAAAATTAAGAGTGAGTAGAAGGAACAGTTAAAAAAATTAAGTTGCACGTAGAGAAAAGAAATAAGTAAAAGAAAGAAAGGAACGAAAGACTCAAAAGGAGTAATGCACAATGCATGGCTATAATATGGGAGGGCTCATGTATCCCATCCCAAGACCACAGATAAGTAAAGTAAAAAAAAAGTAAAAGAATGAGTGAATAAAACAACCCGGCTTTGAGGTTTCCCTTGAAAACGCATGTTTTTTTTGCGCAAAGAAGAACCTAGAGAATTATACTTGAATGAAATCAATAAATGACAGTTGTTATATACGTTAAAGAAAAAAAAATTTTGAATCATAACGGAATTACCAAATCATGGATAAGATTGGCTTCATTACGATACGATTATATAGCCGATACTACCAATAGCGATGAAACTTAAACCTAACCACCAGATTGTGGAAGTATGCTTTTCGGCGAGGGTTGCAGTTACTCTTGAAAGCCAGCGCTTTTGTTGGAGTTGGTTAGTATCGGTAGCATCAGAAAATGAAACGGGAAGCATTTTGGGGGGACGATACACAAGATACATAGGCTGTTTGGGAGTACCATCCCATTCAAAAAGTTCAAGCTTATAGCGACCGTGATACTTATCGATGCTAACAGAGTATTCTTTCATAACCTCATCTTGGTTATAACGAGTGTAAGAAGAATAATTACCAAAGTTACAGGGGTCACTTTCGAGTTGACGTCCATCACCTTTGACGGGTGAAAGAATGATAGACTTTGACTCATTGATGGTATAAGTACCATGCTGCCATTGCAAAAATGCCTTTGGGCAATGAGGAAAGGTAGCATTTGATTTTATAATATACAATGCTTCTTCAAAATGACCATCTTGCGTAAAGCTGTAACTAATACCAGGAAGGTCAGGTTCAAAAAAGTCTTCGTGTAATGGATCGTAAAAGTCCTAGATCATAAGTGTCAGTATTTTCGTATGAAACGATATAACATTAAAATCTAAACAATAGATACTTACAGGACCAGTCATTACTGTCTGTGATTTCGAACTCCAAGAGCCGATAATATCTGGATCCGAAACTTCCGCATATGTCAATTTCGCGATCCAAAAAAAGCTACAAAAGAAAACGGAAAGAGGAAGTTTCATTTTTAATTACTTAGAGAAGGGATAAAGCCTGAGGAGGATGGAATAATCCCTTCAATTCTTTGTGGTTGGTGTTGGTTGGTGTAGAGGGAGGCTTGATACACACATAGATGAAAGTGCCAAATAGTGTCTCGTAACGAAGCATATATTAGTGTACTGTAATAATATGTGGAGTATAGCTAAATAAATTACTTGGAAAGAAATCCAGTGTATTATACAAAATGGATGGATAGCTAATTCGTAATTCAACGGATGAGTAGCTAGCTCTAATCGTGAGTCTATTAGTATGTTTTATTGTTTTCCAAACCATATCAGTAAGAGATTTAACGAAGATTTCTAGTATACAAACACGGGCACCACTTAAGCTAGGGTAGCATTGCCCCTGTCCATTGGCTTTTTGATATCATAAGAATTAATCAGTATAGTATCATCACCTTCTGGGTTGATTTGATTGCGATGGTATTTGTTGATACGTTGGCATTGGTGGCATGCCAGGAACAGAAACGGTAGATGGTGTTGAACTCATCATCATTCCAGGAGGAGGAGGAGGAGGAATAATAGAAGAACCGACAGGATTAAAGGGCATATTCATCATGGGAGCCATGTTTGGCATTGGAGGATATATCTGCGGAGTTGCAAATGGTATTGCACCGGGAAGGGGAGCATTAGGTGGAGTTGCATTAGCTCCTATAACAGGAAGAGGAGGAATGGCAGAGGGTGCAATGTTGGGAGTAGCTGATCCAGAGGAAGCAGGGTTGGAAGAAGGAGCAGCAGGTGTGAATCCAGGAGGAAGTGTAGATTGTGGAGTAATTGCAACTTTGTTTTTTTTAGCGGCAGCAGCTAATTTCCTTTCCGCCAGATCACCGTGTCGTTCACCCTTTCCTTCTCGTTTATATGCATAAGAAACAGTTATTGGTTTGTTCATTAAAAACTGATTGTTCATTGCTTCAATGGCTGCATCTGCGGTTTCAAAACTATCAAAATTTACAAATCCAAAACCCTTTGAGCGACCATTATCATCGCGAACAACTTGTGGTGTTTTTATTAATTGGCCCAGAGCAGAAAATGTATCGTATAAAACGCGCTCATCGACCAGAGGATCCAAATTACCGATAAAAAGGTTGGCACCTACCAAACTTCCAGTATTTCTATCTTGACTCGATTTATTCACCCGCAATGGTTTTCCATAGAGCTTAATTTGATTAAAAATTTGGCATGCATATTCAGCATCATGTTCGTTTACGAACTCACAGAAACCAAATCCATTGTGGCTATTCCGAACACGATCTCTTGGAATGTGAATGTTTCCTAAATGTTAGCAAACAATTAATAAGCCTATAAACTAATTTATCACACATACCAACAGGACCAGCCTGCAAACACAGCTCAAAAAGAATTGAATCGGTTACGCGCTCATCTAAATTTCCCAGGTATATAGTGGCTTCTTGGTTCTTTTCCTCTCGTGCAGCCATAGAAAAAACCTAATGTCGTTCAATTCCCTACTTTTCTAGGTGTTTGCTATGTTTTGGTCTTTTGCTAGTTAAAGGAGTGTGTGAATTGCGATGTGTTGCGCAATTGACTATTTTACAATACCGCATTGTACTCTACATTCTTAAACTGAATGTAAACAATGATTCAATAATAATTAGCAAGGTAAACAAATGATCAAAATCATAAAGAGATGGAAATACAAGAGTGTGGATTTTCTTTGAGATTTTTTTTATTTTATTCGTACTTAAAATCATTCTGCCATGTTGCCTAGTATCACTTTCGCAATTAAAAGAGCAAGCACAATATTACCACGGAATGAGGTCCTACAAAAATCTTCAGACGTTTACAGTTCTATTTATTTAATTTAATTAAAATAGTCTTATAAAAAATATTTTTTGAATGAAAGCGTTTACCTTCAGCTGCTTGTTTAACAGTATTTACTAGCTTTTCTCCCAGAATCTCTGGCTTTCGCATTAGTCCATTTACTTCCTTCCAATTAAAAAAAAAAAAAAAATAATAATAATAATTTTAAAGAATTAATATACTGAAAAAGAACAATATTGAGAGATATTTCGCAAACAACCTTCATTAGTTTCACATACTGTTTGAAGTAACGCGCATATTGCTACCCACTGCTAGGAGTGATTGCTCAATGCAAGCACGCAGAATTTTTCATTTTCAGCTATAACTTTATAATTCCATTTTACAAGCTTAGGAAAAGCCTTAATGTATGAAAAATAAATGAGTAGGAGCAAATTGATTGGTTTGCTTTGATAAAGAAGACATTCGATTGCACCAGACCATTTGAAGGTTTTGTATATGTTTGTAAAGAATACAAAACTCAAAATCAGTCAGGTTGTATATTATTTAGAAAACATATTGACTTGATTAAAAGTTTCTTTCGTTAGAACGTTCATGGTGACCTTATGGTTAATTCATATATGTTAATGTTTGAATAGAGAATCAATCAACCTATCAACTTGAGAATGATTACTACAGTTGAAAAAGAACCTGTTCCTCGAAAACGAAGAGTGATTAGTCAGGTTGCACAAGCTTGCCTTCGATGTCGACAAAAGAAAGTTAAGTGCTCAGGTGAAAAACCTGCCTGCCAAGCTTGTTTGAACAATAATGTGGAATGCGTCTGGCCTGATCGACCTAACATGAGAGGGAAACGTTCCTCTCCATCCTTTGCTAATCATTTGTCCTCGAAAGTTGGCAGTTTGGCTGGCCAACAACATACGCACCCAGAATTGGACACCATAAATTTACAGATACCGTCATATTTTCCTGTTCAATCATTTTCGAACACGGTCTCCCCATCGTCTACTGATTCCATGGAGTTTCCCCTATCCATCACAAGTATAGAGGATCAACAAAAGCAGCTTAAAATACCTTCCAATCGAAAGTTACTCCAAATGTGGGAAATTTTTTTGAAAACGTCGTATACTGAACTTTATGGTATATTTAATAAGCCATGCATAACTTCCCAGATATCAAAAGGTACTATTGATCCATTATTGGCGCTTTGCATTTGCGCTCATGCTGCCAGATTTTCTCAAGAAGAAATCAATATATTCAAGTCCCCTTCTGCTGCCTCTGATTTTTACGCAAAAAACGCATTTTCACTTCTCTCGTTTCAACTGCAAGACATTTCGTTAATTAATATATCCGCGTTACTGATGCTTTGTTTAATAGAACTCGGTGCTGGCAGAAGTTCAAAGGCATGGTTGCTGTTGGGAATGGCTTTGCGGATGGCGGATTCGTTGGATTTGGGCAATGACTTTAGCGAAGAATCTTTTTCCAGTATACCTGCAATGTCTAATTGGACAGAAGGCGAACAACGGCGAAGAACATATTGGTCTTGTTTTATGATTGAGCGGCTTCTCGCTACAGGGTTTATGGCTCCTTCTAAACTTCGAACCGTCTCCCTCAGTCCAAACAAAACTTCAATCCAACTTCCTTGTCCTGAAGCTAATTTTTTCTTTTCTCAGCCGATTGTAACAGAACTTTTTGATGGATCTATACCACAGAACGCTTTGGAAGGTCAGTCTCAAACTAGTTCTAAAAGTACAGCAAATGACTATTTAAGTTTTACGATGGGAAGTCTTATTCGTCTGTCGGATATATGGAGTGATATTTCCCGATGGGTGCTTCGTGGCGGATATTCACAAGATATTGTACCCCCTTGGATGCCGCAGTCTCTATTTCAACAAAAATTGGCTGTTTTAGAGAGTTGGCTAAAAAACCTTTCCCCGCGACTGAGCTTGACAGACGAAAATTACAGTATATATAGTGTTCCTGGCGATTTTTCTGGTGGTTGTTTTGTCTTCATGCATACATTGTTCCATGTTACATATGTTTATCTATTAAGAAACACCTTAGACTTATTTCCAGCGAATATGCATAAGTCAGGATTGTTTGCATCAGTATCCGAACGATATGGACAAACTGTACCTACCTCATGGATGGAGATGATTTTGAGTCATTTATTTAATTCTGCAAATACAATAACAAGACTCTCAATAGAACCTTTAAATTATGCGATGACTCCTTTTTTTGGGTTTTCAGTCTTGACGGCTTCCACCATTCATATGCTCAACAGGTTTTGCTTACAAACAGGAAATAACGAGTATCTCAATGCTTTACAATTTACCAGAATTGACTACTTGATATTACGTGAGCGTTCCAAATACTGGAATTTCAATAAAGGAATGCTAAACACTTTTAAAATGATCTATAATTACTACCGATTCCAGTATCTTGAAAAGCCGCCCTTTGTAAAATATGGGATTCCAGGATTTCCTGCTTCTATTTTGGAATATGGAACAACGATGGAAGATTCGACTTCCCCTTTAAACCGGGAATTTCCGTTCCCAAGAAACTATTTAATGTCTTCCAACGAGTTTGTAGATTTGCGAAACGATTTAGACGGTGATAATAGCGTTAGAAGCCAAGACGTTTCCGCAGATTTTGACACTACTACAGAGACTGAACTGTTTATAACTCATAACGATTTGCCTTTTGAAGAAGTTCAATGGTGGAGTAATGTATTTGATACCGAAGAAAGATCTAACTTGTTTGAACTTGGTCGAGTCTGACTATTTTTCTGACACTATAGTGTTTATAATAATTTGTATATAATCTTTGGTTTAATTTTAATAATACTTGTTTTTTTTTTGTTTCTGCTTATAAACAGTTAGATGTTTACAATTGTGAGATACAAGTTGCTACAGCTTGCCCAAGTAATCAAATTTAATACCTTTAAGGCTTATAAAGGGTCATACTTGTTTTCTAATATCATAAACAAAAAAAAGAAATCGTATCCATAAGCATAATCATAACAACAGAAATCATATCTAACCTTCATAATACAAGATATCACGGTTCAAGTCCTTCGGAGCAATTGAAGGAATACCAGATAAATGCAGGGTCAACTCCAAATCACCTAGTAGACAACGAATTACATGACGAACACCTTTTGTACCTGCGATCGCCAATCCATAAACGTAAGGACGTCCGATAAGTACCATTTTTGCACCGAGAGCAAGTGCTTTAACAATGTCAGCACCAGATCGAATACCAGAGTCAAAGATAATTTCGAGTTTGTCACCAACAGCATCAACAATCTTTGGCAGCATTGTCAAAGAGGCGACACCGCCATCTTGTTGACGACCACCATGATTGGAAACGACGATACCATCTATGCCAAACTCAGCAGCCTTCTTCGCATCAGCAACGCTCTGGATACCTTTGAGAACAATAGGACCGTCCCAGTGCTGTCTAAGAAACTTGAGGTCTTCCCAATCGTGAGAAGTACCGGGGAATATAATCCCAGAAAATTCACGAGCAGCCTTGTGCAAATCTTGTTCAACTTCTACGCCATGCTCTTCCTTAAAACGCTTACGGAAGACTGGGTCGCTTAATCCCAATGCAACACCAACTTGATCAGGTTTTAAGAAAGGATCATAACCATTGTCCATGTCAGAAGGGCGCCAACCTAAAATGTATGTATCTAGAGTGACGACCAAAACTTCACAGTTAATACTTTTTGCACGCTTCAATAGACTAGCGGTGATGTCGTTATCTTCGTTTTTAGGCCAGTAAAGCTGGTACCATCTTTCTCCAGGACCGCTACTCTCGGCAATTTCTTCGAAGCTCAAAGAAGAAGCAGTACTAATAATGTATGGGACATGCTCGAGTGTCGCAGCTTTACTGGAACCACGCTCACCTTCCGGATTAAAAATCAATTGAACACCGACAGGACCTAGCGCAATGGGGAATGAATAGTTTCTGCCAAAAAGCTTCGTCCCTAGATTCGGGAAATCAGACTTGACTAAACGATTGGGAATGATGGACCACTTCTTATAAGACTCTGCATTTTTTTCGGTAGTCTCTCGTTTTCCAGCAGAACCATAAACGTAACCAGTGGCATCCTTGGATAAGCGATCCATGGCCAAAGGTTCCCAACTTCTAGGATCAACACTGATGCTGGGTCTCTCAAACTTCAGACCATTGTCGTAAATTTCAGATTCGTAGCTTTTAGGCTCTGTTGCTTTGTACCAGCTATAGTTACGATACATTGTAGTGACTCCAATTGAAACGTTTTGTTTTTAAGCAATTCTCAATAAATTTCAGAGTTCAGACTCTCGGAAAAGGTACGTTTGCTGATAAAAACTTAGTTGTGAATTGTAAGTTGTTTTGTTCTTGCAAGATCAAGAAAAAATAGAATAGTTTGGTTTTGGTTATGAGCTGTCTTCTGATCAATTTCTCAAGATGATAAAAGGTTTTCGTTCAGCCTGTGATGACACCCATGAATATATATATATCGTGTACAACATCCCTATGACGGATGATCACATCCCAAGCAAGATACACTAATAAATCTGCAACTGCCGACGGAACACTGAACTAAAAATTATAGGTGCGCCGAAATCTTCAACAAAAGGAAAGTAACTGTTTCGATTTCTTTTTGTTAAAAAAAAAAAAAACATAAATAAACCTTTTTCACTGTATTCTTCGATATTTTTTTGTTTACATCAAAGAAGGAACGACATTATGTAAGTATTGCATACAAAATGTTGTAGGCTGTTCCAACAGTGTATGTAAAGTCCATGTCCTACACAACTATGATATAGAACAAGAGGAGTACCAACCGATCTTTCACTGGCATTTTTTTGCATTGTTCAATAAACGGTAAGAAAAAGATAATAAAGGAAATAAAAGGACAACATGGTAGAAACGAAAGATATGTAGGATAGTTTTTGAAATGTTGATTTTTTTTTTTTTTTTTAATGGACCACAAATATTTAATGCGTTTATATGTAGAGTAAATGTATTCTCTGTATGCCAGCACATGCATTCCGTTTCTTCACTTTAAATTGTGCGGTATTCATAGCGGTAGTTGAGTTTGATTTATTGTCTTTCAATTCCTTGCTGTTGCTTGCTGCTTATTGAATTCGATGTGGAGTTAGAATTGTCGCTCTACAACGGTATCCAATTTCAGTTCTGTTTGTTCAGTAGATATATACAAAAGAAAGTTAGATGTTGACTTTTTTTTTCCAGAAGATCGTAAAAGTAAAAGATATTGAATTTCGTCCTTGGAATTGGAGTTGACAAATCATTTTCTTTCATTCCAATTTTTACCTCTGTTACTGAAACGACAAATGACACATAAAAAGTTTCTCATTTATGAAAAAGGCCCTGGATGCAAAATATTAATGCCTTTACCTTACAACACAAGGTCAAAATGCTACTGAATTCGTTCAACGAAAAACGAATTGAAATGATATCATAATCCGGAAAGGAAACGAGAATCACACTGTGTACATTTCTGTTGATCTAGAAATATGGAAACCTTTAGAATGAGTATATTAATTTTCTTCAAGTTTCTCATTGTTTTGCATTTTCGCTTCGATTGATTCAACTCGTGCAAAACGTCAAGAAATGATATCCTCAACCTACAAACGTCAGAAGGTCACGTACGTATGTTTATGGTAGAAGAAGCTATTTGATCATCGTATGTGACATTATAGCCCCCGAAAAATACTATACAAGAAGACGATAGAGCCAGTATTCTTCATCAAAGCATTGATTGACATTGATTGAAGAGTTGAATTGCTTGTTGTATATTCCCACATCGTAGATTGACTCGTCTTTAAAAAGTATCAAAAGAATGACAGGAAAAGCTTTGTTGGTAGCTAGCAGCCATTATGGACCCATCTATCCCGATGGTAAAAACACTGGTGTGCATTTCTCTGAACTTTTGACACCATATCAAATTTTCCGTCAGGCTGGATTGGATGTCGATATCACATCTGAAAAGGGTACTTGTAAATTCGACGACGTTTCTGTCGATGAATCCCAATTACCCGCTGAAATCAAGAACGTCCTTCACGACAAGAGCAACGAATTCTGGACCGCCATTAACAATATGAAGCGTGCAGCTGACGTGGATTACTCTCAATACAAGATTTTCTTCGTCGCTGGTGGTCACGCTGCTCTCTTTGACTTGCCAGGAGCCATCGATTTGCAAGCCATTGCCGCCCAAATTTACAAGAACGGTGGCATTATCTCTGCGGTCTGCCATGGTCCAGTCATTCTTCCTTTTATTTCTGATTTGACTCGTCCAAACGCTTCTTCGATCGTTCAAGGTCGTAAGGTAACCGCCTTCAACAAGGCCGGAGAAGAAAGCATGAATGTGTTGGACATTATGAAGCAAAAGCATCTACAAACTATGAACGATCTTTTCAAGGACGCTGGTGCTCATTTCGTTGATCCTCCTAAACCCACCGATGACTTTGTTCAAAGCGATTCTCGCATCGTAACCGGTGTCAACCCTCAAAGCGCCGCTTCCACAGCCAAGGCTGCCCTTGAAGCCTCAAAGGCATAAACAAATATGCGGGTTTTTTCTAATGCGCATTGATTTGTTATGCCGACGATATGTAATGATATGACTTAGCATAGACTTTTTCAAAAATAATGATGTTTAACGACCGGTTTTTTTTTTAACTTCTTAACACACACACATACAAAAGCTTGTACGCTGATGTATTCGCGTGGTAGTACGTAGTTAGGTAGGAGGTATATACAAAGAGAGTATGAAGTTGTATATCCTATGGTATATTTTTGGTACTGTATGGAATTGCTAAATTGCAAAAAGGATCATTAACCAATTGAGGAAATGAATGGTTTAACACTTAAAAAAGAGAATCATTTTTCTTTTTCTCTTCCTTTTTCTTGAATTCTATAATTCAAGAGATAACTGTTTTACGACATATTTGATATTCTATACAAATTCCAACTTTTCCCTTTTCCCAAGAGATGTTGGAAGAGGAAAGAAGAGAAATCCGCAATATTTCTTCCTTTTCAGTCTTTCGTCCTTATCTTCGCCTACTCCACGTTTCCGCTACCCCTCCTATTACAGAATTGATAGTCGGTCATTTGAAAGTGGTCAAAAAGTGGAGATCAAGTTCGCTCTCTCCACTTTTTTCACCGAACCATTAAATAAGGTTTCACAGAAAAACAAATCTGCGATTCAAAAAAATCATCAAATATTTTAAAGTCAAAACATCAGCTTAGATACCTATACACTGCTTAAAACAAAAGAATTCCATTTAGATTCCAACCGTGTCGTGTACTCGTTCATTCATTCCTTTTCTATAATATCCACCACACGTATATATTTCTTTAGCGCTCAGATCAACTCGTTCCTAATGCATCGTTTTCGCTGATCAAACCCTCAGCGGAGAAACACACTTTACGCACTTTGAATTTAATTCTCCGCGATCGGAAGAATGCGTGCATAGAGCCCGTCCGCCCGCTACACTAGAACAACAATGTCAGGAGAATATTTATCTCTAACTAACATTGCACATGTCTCAGGTCGCTCGAGATCCTTTTCCTGACATGTCAAGAAAAACATAAATTGTTTCAGTGTCACCTCCTTCTCCAATTCTCCGCTACACCATTACGTCTGTTTCGCTCATAACTCCTCTATAAACATTCCGGTTTAGGTCAATTCGGCCTTAGCTATGTCAGGCAGACATCCATGAAGAGATCGTGGTGTCTCGTATTCGTGTCAATTACGTCTCTCTTACTTTCCATCATGCCATAGTTAAATTGAAAAAAATTATAAATTCAAACAATTTTTGAATACTTTTTTAGCATCCAAGCTTTGGTTTCAACAGTGTCTCGAAAGTATTTGCATTTCAACTCGAATTCTTTGAGAGAGAAAAAATAAACCATCCATCTCCAACGTTCCACTTTCCGTCTTTTCTTTTCTTTTCTTTTCTTTTCTTTTTTTTTGTTTTCCTAGCCGTGCGGTGTAATTGCAAGCTGAAAGTGATTTTTCATTGATAATTCATTTCATTTCTTTTTGGGTTCTTTCTCTTAGTTATTCAAAACTCGTTGCTTAATTCCTCTGTACTCTACTACGCAACCCTGTTTTTGCTTTTCTTTTCCTCCTTTCTCATCACAGAACTCTTGCTAATTCTGATTTCTTGTTACTTAATATCGTATTAGCGTTCATTTCTTAAGTAACAACATTTCAATAACACGATTCCTTGGAGGTTTTCTGATTGATTAGTATTGTTGTCTTTAATTGTTTGCTATTTCTCTTTTCTTTTGATTTTGGATCGCTCTATCATTCAAAGAAAACCAAAAAACATGCTGTTCTCGTTGGATCTGGTTTCCAAATCCATCTTCTTTATATTCCTTTGGTCTCTTCCGTTTCGATCAGTGGCCGATGACTCTGCAAGTTCCACAAGTTACCGTGTAGAACCAACACCCATTACTCCACAAGAGGGAATCCCACAGCGAATCTCTGTATATCAACCATATCGGGGAGGGAATTGCCATGGATATCGAGCCAAGGATATTTCACGAACCGACCAGGGTGTCACGGGTTCTTTGGAACTTATTGGTTCCCCTTGCTATGCTTATGGTACTGATTATAAAGATTTGCTTTTAAACGTCACTTACGATACAGAGGAGCGTATCCATGTTTCCATTCGTGATGCAAACCATACTCAATTTGAATTCAGCAACCGCCATGATATTTGGGATGCTCCCATCTACCACCCTTCCTCCTCTGTCAACCAATTCAATCTCCTCTATAACTTTTCCTTTAACGCGGATCCATTTGAATTTTGGATTACCAGAAAATCTGACGGAGAAGTCTTGTTTGATACCAGAGGCCATCCTCTGATCTTTGAAGACCAGTATATCGAGCTTACCACCAATATGGTGGATGATTACAACATCTACGGTCTTGCCGAAACTATACATGGATTGCGTTTGGGAAACAATCTCACTCGCACCTTTTGGGCCAACGATGAAGCTTCTCCTCTTGATCAAAACATGTATGGAACCCATCCATTTTACCTCGAACAAAGATACAAACCCGTGGATTCCAATTCCAATGTCAATTACAATTCCAGTAGCGAACAACAGAAAAAGTATACATCTGCCTCCCACGGCGTGTTGATGCTTACCGCCAACGGTATGGATGTTTTATTGCGTCCAAAGTATCTCCAATATCGAATGATCGGTGGCATTATCGATCTCTATGTTTATGCTGGAAGTGAAAAGCCACAAAACACGATTACCCAATTTATTGAATCCATTGGATTCCCTCAAATGCATCAATACTGGACCATGGGATTTCACATGTGCCGTTGGGGCTATGAAAACATTAGCCAAATCATGCAAGTCAGAGAAAATATGCGCAAATTTAATATACCAATTGAAACGTTTTGGAGTGATATCGACTACATGGACAGCCTTCGTGATTTTACCGTTGATCCCATATCTTATTCCCAAGAACAAATGATTGAGTTCTTCCATGATATCGAGTCCACTCATCAACACTATGTACCTATTGTCGATGCAGCTGTTTATGCTGCGAATCCTTCCAATCGTTCGGATGACTCGTACGGACCATACTATGAAGGTATCGAGAAGGATGTTTTCCTCAAAAATCCCGATGGAAGTCTCTACATTGGAGAAGTATGGCCTGGATTCACAGTTTTTCCCGACTTTACCAATCCAAAGGTTCAAGATTATTGGAAGCATGGTATCCAAAACATGTCTTATGCTTTTGGATCCAATTCTTCAAGTTACATCCCTTTCAGTGGATTATGGCTAGACATGAATGAACCTTCCTCCTTCTGCGTTGGATCATGCGGCTCTAACCTCGTAAACTCGAATCCTGTACATCCACCGTTTAAGCTTCCCGGTGAACCAGATGACCTTACTTTAAATTATCCTGAAGGATTCAACCTTACAAATAAGACTGAATATGCCTCTGCCAGCAGTGCTTCCTTAAGCCAGTATTATGCCACTGCGACTTCCTCTATGCAACCCGTCTACCCAACAGCCGTTCCCATCGGTCAACAACCCAAACACGACATTAATCATCCTCCTTATGCTATCAATACAGAACAGGGAAATCACGACTTGGCCAACCACGGCGTCAGTCCCAATGCTACTCACCATGATGGAACCCTTCGGTACGACCTGTTCAATATTTACGGATATGGAGAAATCAAAGTCACGCATAAGGCTTTGACTGATCTTCAGCCAAAGGTACGTCCATTTATTCTTAGTCGCTCGACGTTCTTAGGCTCCGGTGTGTATTCCGCACATTGGCTTGGAGATAACCATTCCAACTGGCCGAATATGTTTTTCTCAATCTCCGGAATGATGGTGTTCAACATGCTGGGTGTCCCTATGGTCGGCGCTGATGTGTGCGGCTTTCAAGACAATGCGGATGAAGAATTGTGTGCGCGGTGGATGGCCATGGGTGCTTTTTCACCGTTCTATAGAAACCATAATCAGCTAGGTAGTATTCACCAAGAGCCGTACTTATGGGCTTCTGTTGCCGAATCTTCACGTCGAGCTATGAACATCCGTTATTCCTTATTGCCATATTGGTACACATTGTTTAGACAAGCTTCCTACGATGGAAGCACTCTTATCCGCCCTCTCTTCTTCGAGTTCCCCGACGAACCCTCTTTAGCAGGAGCTGATCGTCAATTTTTAGTTGGCGATTCTTTGTTGGTTAGTCCAGTTTTGGAACCCAATACAACTACAGTTAATGGTGTTTTCCCTGGCGATGAAAACACCGTCTGGTACGATTGGTATAATCATACCGCTATTGAACACAAGCCTTATGAAAACAAGACGATGGATGCTCCTCTTGAACACATCAACGTAGCTATTCGTGGCAACAAAATTATCCCTATGCAGCAACCTGCATACACTACTGAAGAAACTCGCAAAAACCCATTCAGCTTGCTTGTAGCTCTTGACAAGCAAGGAACTGCGTACGGTAATTTGTACGCTGATGATGGCGTTTCTCTCACTCCTAACGCTACCTTATGGGTCGATTTCTCGGCCAAATCCAACAAGTTATCTAGTTCCTCTTTCGGTACCTACAATGATCATGTACCATTGGCGAATGTCACAATTTTAGGTGTTTCATCTTCTCCTAAGCAGGTTCTATTCAACGGTAACATCGTTAACTCTTATACCTATTCAGACTCGATTCAAGAGCTGATAATTAACAATCTGAACAATTTTACTTCTGCAGGTGCTTTTGCGAGTAATTGGACTATAACATGGTGAACCTCGACCGTTTCCCATTATATCCTGTCCTGTATTTACACTGCGAGGACATGAATGTAGAATAATTTAATGAATATTTAATTTTTGTTCTCTTTAAATTTCAACGTTATTTTTTCTTCTTTTTATGGCAACAACCAATTCCCGTAAAAAAGTTAAGGATACTTGCTGCAGTGTATTTGTTTTCTAAACCTTTTATTATTTCCATTCATAAAACAAACCGCCGTGTTAATTCACTTTGCGGTTTGAAATTCCTGACTGTAACTCCTTCCCTACGTACAGATCGACCTCCTACCTAAAATGACCGTTATGCTAAAGATTTATAAACATTATTAGCCGCTTCGAATGAGATTTAATGAAGAAAATAAAAATAAAGGGTCTATCGAAAAGAAAGCTTCGGTAGCTTATTGTGGATTTCGCAAAAAAAAATATTTCAGAGTTAAAAAAGTCGACGTCATTGGTTCTTACAGCATCGTTCATGCAAAATTTCAATTTTCACATTCACTAGCTCCTAAGGTGGAAAAGGATAAACCTAGAATCTCCTGTGAATTAATTGGAAATTTGGAAAAGGTCATGGAGGAAAAAGCTGATCAACAAAATATTGGTACCTCAGGACCTGTAAGTGAAGATGTAGAGTCAGCACGAGAGTTTGAAAAAATAATTAAGGAGTATGCGGACACTCTGCAGCAATTTGGGATTCATGATCGGGTTACTGGTTTTAGCGCACGAAGATTCAAAGTCTTTGGAAGATTTAATGAACGATTGACGATTACTTCTCTTCTAGATCAGTTGATGTACCCGTTAAATGTCTTGTTCTCCAGAAAGCCTAAACGCGATACAATTCCTTTGATAAAGGAATTTGACGCTGTATTAGATCCAGGTGCTTTTTTGTTGGTTATCGGTCATGAAGGATCGGGTGCTCATAACTTGCTCAAAGTGTTGAGTGGCGTTGTCGAGAAGAATGAAACTTTGGAAGGAAGTCTGACTTATAACGGTTTGGACTATCATACAATGCACAGTCAATATAGAACTGATTTAAGTTATCACACTGATGACCATTCCTCAATTGCGACCATCAGTGTACGCCGTTTGTTGGAGTTCGTTTGCGCCTGCCGCCTTCCTGAAGTAAAAAGAGACGGTGTTTCTCGTCAAGAAACAATACAAAAAATATGTGAACTTATGCGAGATGCGTTTGAACTGAATCAATATTATGATCAACGCATTTTCGAAATTCGAAGTGGAGGTGAACAGAAACGTATCAGTATCGCAGAAACAATGTGTGCACGGCCATTATTTCAATGCTGGGATAATACCCTGCGTGAATTCGATTCAGTGACAGCTGCGCACATTCTTTCAAGAATCAAAATCATCTCCCGTGTGTTTGGAATGACTCTAACAGCAATTTCCAATCAGTTATCCGATAAAATTCTTCGAATGTTTGACATGATAACTGTTTTATACGAGGGTGAGCAAATCTTTTACGGCCCCTCGTCCCGTGTGAAAGATTACTTTTTAGGCCTTGGTTATGTCCCGCAAAGTCATAGCACTATTGGCGAATTTGTCACTTCGCTATTCTATCCAGAGCTTCGGATTGTAAATAAAAACCACAAAGGCTTTATACCATCCACTCCTGCTGAATTCCGTCAATGTTGGCTCGAAAGTGAGGATTACGCACGACTAGTATCAGATATAGATCAATACACAGAGTATCATAGTGATGTTTCGGCTTTTCGTACAAAGGACGCATCCAATACGCCTATTGTCAAATGGAAACGCTTTTTCAATCGCGTCCCCTCTATCGTTCCTTATAGACTACAAGTGTTGGCTTTTGCTAAAGTGACTTATTTTCATTATCTCCACGACTATTCTTTTCATCTAACTTTTATCTTCTCTTATATATTTCAGGGTTTTATGCTTGGGTCCATTTTTTACCAAATTCAAAATTCGTCTGCCACTCTTTATTCTCGAGGAAGCGTTCTTTCAGCCGGAATTATTTTTACCGCTATTCAAACAATGTCTGAGGTAGACATTATTCTTATGAAAAAATCGTTGTTTTCTGAACATCAAATTCAGTGTTTATACCAACCGTCGGCTACTTTGTTTGGTTCAACCATTATAGAATTCCCTCTTCGCTTGATATTTGTATGTATGTTTGACATAATTCTTTATTTCTTGACTGGTTTACGAGTTAATGCCGGTGCTTTCTTTACCTTTTTTCTGTTTACCGTCCTAATTACTTATTGTATGGCATCAATCTTTCGATTTATTGCTTTACTCTCAACGACTGCCGAAATAGCCGCTTTCATAGGTGGTCTTGCCGCCATTTATTTTATTGCGTTTTGTGGTTCTGTGATGCCAATCTTCTATATAGGATGGTGGTTCCGATGGCTTAGTTATGCGAATCCTATCCAATACGGGTATGAATCTGTTATGTTGAACGAGTTTAAGAACACCATATATAAATGTTCTTCGATCATACCGAATTTACAGTTTTCACTGAAGAACAACATATGCCCTTCTCCATCCAGTATAGCTGGAATTCCTAATATCATAGGCACTAAGTACCTGAGTACAGTTTTTCAATATAAGAGCTCCTTTTTATGGAGAAACTGTGGTATTATTCTTGGTTTCTCTATTTTTATTTTGTTGTTGTCTCTTGTGCTAGCTAATTTTATCGTGTATGATAGATCGTCTTCTGCTATTCCTGAGTTTCAAATGAGAAAGCTATACACAACTGTTCAAAGTTCATGGGCGAGAAACCCAAATGATGAATCACTGAAACAGAAAAAAGAATATGAAGCTCATAAGTCGATGGACGTCTCCACGTCTTTAAAAACGACGGATGAATTATCCCTATGCTGGAAGAACTTATCCTTTTACATCTTGGAAGACGGAGTACAGAAAAATGTTCTAAAAAACCTCAATGGATTCGTCAAGCCTGGGTGTTTTATGGCATTACTTGGTGAAAATAAGTCAGGTAAATCTGTACTTATCAAAATCCTTTCTCAACGCGGTGTAGCAGGAATTGTCGAAGGAGAAGTAACTCTGAATGGAATTAGGAATAAGAAATATTTACGGAAAAGAATAGGTTATGTGTCCAACAAACAGATCTTTGTTCCTCAATATACTGTACGAGAAACGCTTCGGTTACATGCTTCGCTTCGTCAAAGCGGAGCTGTATCTATCTCTGAACGATATAAGTACGTAGACGAGGTTATTGATTTTTTGGGTCTATATGATGTCGCTAAATTCATTATTGGTGATGAGGGTGGAGGTTTGTCCCTGTACCATAAAAAACTGACAGGGATTGGAATTGAGTTAGTCGCTAGGCCAGGATCTGTTCTTCTTTTGGACGAACCAGCATCAGGACTTGATAGTCAATCAGCTTGGATGCTTATTGCCACACTTCGAAAACTAGCAAACGCCGGTTTGTCAATTATATGTTCGACTTCACAACCTAGCTCTCGGCTTCTTAATTTATTTGATTCTTTACTAATGCTCGATGGGTATGGTCAGACTGCCTACATTGGCGACGTAGGGAATTACGCTCAATCTGTAACAAAGTATTTCAAAAGGCTTCACGGAAATGACGAAAACAGTGATAAAGATCCCGCTGATTATGCAATAAGATGTGTGTACTACTCAAACGAAAATGAAAAGACCGATTATGCGGCTGCTTGGGCGTCGACGGATGCAAATAAACACCTTCTATCCGAACTCGACCATCTGATGAGCAGCACAATGAGTGATGAACAAATACACTCCGAACAAGAGTTTTTGAGTAGCATGCCGTTCCAAACGTATAAAATTATGAAGCGGAATTTTATCCTTTATTGGAGAGACTCTACACTTCTCATGAGTCGTTTAGCGTTTAATATACTAGCCGGGTTGCTTATTGGATTCGCATTCTATAAGCAAGGAAACGGGGTACAAAGAACACAGAACAAAATGTTTTCTGCCTATATGTTAACGATTGCTTCTACCTCATTTGTTAACGGGCTGATACCAAAATTCATTTATTTACGTGACGTTTACGAATATCATGAGGAAAATTCTGCAGCTTATAGTCGTTCTGCTTTTATTCTGGCTTTCTTTATTACGGAGGCAGTAATTAATTGTTGTTTTGGGACACTTTTTTTCCTTTGTTGGTACTACCCAAGCGGTTTTTACTTAGATGGTCACAATACCCCCTTTTATGGTGGTTATGCTTGGTTGATCATGATGGCTTTTGCTCTATACTATACGAGCTTTGGTATTGGCATTGCTACTGTTTCCCCTAGTGTGGGTACTGCCTCTCTACTAAGTGGTACTGCTTTTGTGTTTGTACAATATTTTAATGGTATGGTCCAAGTACCTAGCCAGTTGGTAGGGTTTTGGAAGTGGATGAATGCCCTTAGTCCATATAAATACTTCCTTGAGGGTATGAACGGAAACAACTTGCATAATGTACCAGTTGTCTGTGAACCCACTGAAATGTATTTGGTAGATCCCCCTTCAGGATTGACCTGCGGACAATATTTCTTTGATTATATAAAGTCATCTGGTGCTGGCATTGTTTACAATCCCCAATCTATCTCACGCTGTGAGTTTTGTCCATACACTGTTGCAGATGAGGTCCTGGCCAATTTTGGATATTATTATCACCATCGATGGAGAAATTTTGGCATTCTTATAGGGTATGCGGCTTTTAATCTTGGGTTCGCGATAGTCATATACGAGATTATTAGAAGCATACCGTTTCATCGTTTTCTTAGTCTATTTATTAGAAAGCGAGTTCAGCGTACTCGTAAGAAGTCCGAAATGTTAAACAAGAAAAAAAACAAGAATGGTGATTCTAGCGTCGCTTGAGTTGGCACGTATGATTACGTTTGTTTATTAAAAAACGTGTTGGCTCGACAAAGAAAAAGAGAGTGAAAAATTCGGGAAAATAATCTCCAACAAGAGGCCTAAAATGACTATAGGTTCTTGCAAAACAGAGACTCTAGGTTTTGTTTTGTATTGTATATTTTATTATTTTTTTGGAAATAATTGAACTTTCTTTTGAACGCATCTAAAAAAAAGAAAAAGAAAAAGAAAAAAAAAACCAATTAGATAGAAAAATACACCAAGTCTATTACTTTTGGAAAGGAGACCATCTTTCTCGTCAAAGTATACGAAACCTTTCAACAAGTATGTTTTTTTAATTTATACGTTTTGCATTGAATCGTTACAAACATGTATTTTCAGTAATTGCTGTTTAATGGAAATTTTTATTTCTTTGAGAATTCGCATGTTTATTTACTAACATTACATATGTCTTCAACTTATAATAAGCTTCGGTAAAGCATGCAAGAAAAAAAAACATTCGATGAGCTTCTTAGAGAACGGAAGGTATTTGTATTACTAATAAATAGAGTAAAGTAGCGAATATATAAAGAGACGCCGGCCACATAGTCAAGTTACACAGAAGATTACCATTACATTGTCAGTAACATGAGTTCGAATAATGCTATTGTTTTAAAGAAATATATTGATCCTACTGAAGGATACCCTAAAATTGGGGAACACTTTGGTTTGGAAGAACGCCCATTTAACTTGGAAGCTACTAAGGTTGATGAAGAGCATCCTTTGCTTTTGAGAAACATTTACACTTCTATTGACCCTTATATTCGTATTCGCATGCAAAATCCAAAATATAAGAGTTATCTACCATCTTTGGGAATAAATCAAGTGATTCCAAACTTGACACTTGCTGAGGTGGTCAAGTCAGCAGTCCCTGAACACAAAACAGGCTCTCATGTCATTTTCATGAGCGGCTGGGAAGAATACACATTGGTGCCCAAACAGGCTATGGGCATGGTCCAGTCTGTGAACAACCCCTACAACTTACCTTTGATGACCTTTGTTGGTGCTTTAGGAATGCCCAGCCAAACCGCATACATTGGACTCAAGCATATTGGACAACCCAAGGCCGGTGAGACGATCTACGTCTCTGCCGCCTCTGGTGCTGTTGGTCAGGTTGTAGGTCAATTGGCAAAAGCCATGGGCTTGTACGTTGTAGGAAGTGCTGGATCGGACGAGAAGATTGCTCATTTGAAGGAGATTGGATATGATGCAGTCTTTAACTATAAAAAGGAAAGTGTTCATGAAGCTCTTCCTCGTGTCTGTCCTAAGGGCATCGACATCTACTTTGAAAATGTTGGAGGTGAAACATTGGACGCCGTTCTTTTGAATGCAAACTTCCACGCTCGCATTATCTTTTGCGGTTGTATCAGTCAATACAACAATCCCAATCCTTATGGTTTGAAGAATTACTCTCAAATCCTCACCAAGAGTATTAAGGTGGAAGGCTTCATTGTCATGAATTTGATGCCTCTCTACCAAGAGGAATACTTCCGTGAAATGCCCAAGTTAATTGCGGAAGGAAAGCTCAAATACAAGTATGATGTTTACATGGGTTTAGGCTCTATTCCTGAAGGTTTCCTTGCTGTTCTTCAAGGCAATAACTTTGGCAAAGCACTTTCCAAGATTGCGGATGAGTAAACTCTCAATCGGCCGTCTTGCGTTTTACTTTTTACTATCTTTTACGAGGTATTGCATTTCAGTGAATTATAGGAAGTTTCCATAAAGTAAACAATGAAGGTTTTATTAGTATAGTGTCATTCACTGCCTTTGTATTTTCATCATATAAAATTTATGACTACAAATTTATACGATTTAGAATATATAAATTTCTTTTATTTTTTTTTTATGAGATTAAATAAATAAAATACTATTAAAGTCGTGAAGTGCAGGTTTTCGCCGTATTGTTCACATGATGAAAAGAATAGCCACCTTACTGCATATTCACATCACTTTGAATACACGCAAACGTATAGTCATGGAAATTCCAAGTATGGTAGATCTTGATTTCATAAGTATGGTATATATTGCACGGCATGTTATGTAGTAGGAAACCAAATCTTGAAAGTACCAAGGATAAAAGATATCAAGTTTGGAAAAATGGCTTTTTCTACTAGACAGGACGATAAGAAGACTATTTACTTTTTACGCCATGGACTCGTGGATCACAAAACTGATGAGGAAGGCGTTCATAGAGATCATGATCCCATGTTGAATCATGAAGGTATAAAGCAAGCTGAACAGGCTCGAGTTCAGCTTCGAGATGCAAAACTTCCTATAGAGATTATTTTTTGCTCACCTTTGCGTCGTGCTATTGAGACAATGCAAATTGCGTTTCAAGACTACATTTTCGAGGATCATCTTCCTGTAAAGATCCTTCCGACTTTGCAAGATTGCGGTGATTGGGAATGTAATGTCGGATCACCTGTCCCAGAGTTGGAGCAGCAATTCCCTCGATTCGACTTTTCAGCATGTTATGAAGACAAGGTGTATCCTCGAAAGGAAGGAATTCACAAGGCTGATTTCGAGACAAGTGTAAAAAAGACAGAGCAGTTGGCTGAATATTTTGCAAGAATACCTCAAAAGAGCTTTGCAGTAGTAACCCATGGTGTCTGCATTCGTCTCTTCTGTGGTTTCCAAAAGCCTGGTGAAATGCTAAATGCTACACCCAAGGACGAGAATTCGTTTAGTGCTGGCCAGCATGGAGGCTATACCTTCCATTATTACAGTGATAAAACTTGGAGATTTACTCCACTTGAAGAAAAAAAGTAGACAAAGCAATTCTTAAAGAGATGCTACTGAAAAACAATTTATGTTGAAGACCCTAAGGACCCTACTCAGTCAGCATGGTTGTTTGACGACTTTTAACGACCTATTGTTATGATTCTACGAGATGATAATCAAAAAGGATATGCCTTTTTTCTAGTAATAATAATACCCTATTTATTATGATGCTACGTGAATCAATGTGCAGTTTAGTAATAGAAATGTAAACAAGTATAAATTAGTAGCATAAAGATACGTTAGTAAATAATAGTAGTATCAGTATAAATATCATAAAAAGCAAAACAGTTGAATGGTTGTCGATACACAGTTGCAGTCGGATGCCTAAGACTTGTCAACCGGCAAAATGTAAAATCATGAAACCAGATTGGATCACCAAAAAATTTCAAAGCAATCTCAAGCAATAACACTAAAATCAAAACGTTAGTCGTTTTCAACAGATATTACAAAACAAATATTTAAGCAAAAATGTAAGCATACCACATTGCAGGAGGTTTGGGTTGATACCAGTGAGCTCCACTAGTGGTAAGAGTAGGTTTAGAAGGAGTGTTATTCATTAAAGAAGAGCTTGATGCGTTGGTGTTGTTCATAGATTCCATATTGCAGATTCGAAAAAAGGTCAAAGTCGTCTTAGGATCAAAGAGCTAATACAAGTGGTTTGGTAAACAAATCAAGCTTGGGTGGAGGATTCTATCAGAAAAGACCCTAATATATATGTTTTAGTATAAGTAACACTCAGATGGACCCCAACCGCCCTTTGTTTTCATTTTGTTTCTCTTCCCATTCTTCTTAAACAAAGCTTCCCATTGTTCAGTCAGGCTCAAAGAATCCTCGTCATCGGATTTAAACAATAGAAACTTGAATATGTGTTATTATATAAAGAATAGCTCTTTTTTTTATAAAAAAAAAAATATACAATGGGGTTTTGGATACTTACAAAGCGATTCTTTCACCTAGTCACAAACAGCAGATCGAAGTAAATATGGCTTGAAGCGAGATATCATTGGATTGTAGGCATTCTTTGATTTCATTTATGTACCTTCATAAGGGAAGGATATAGACTTACAAATGATTTCCTATATTGTATATGATGAGGAGTACACTGCAATCATAAAACAAACTTTCAATGGGAAGATTAACACACTTCTAGCGTTTTGTTTCTAAACTGACGAAACTATTTTTAACTGAAATGTTTATGGAAATGGTCATTAAACTTGAGTTGAGTGCTTGACAGGACAACACAAATCAGGCGCGTTACCTGTCAAGTGACAGACATGGGAAATTCAATAGCCGAAACGTAAGCCAAACTAGCATGCCTAAATCAGCAAAAACAAAAACCGTCCTACCCTTGTTATGAGCAATCGAATTAAAGGAAAATTTTCTTCAATGATATTGAACTCACAGTGGTTTAGTAATACACGCTACATCCTTTCTATTCACATAAATGTAAATCATACTAAGCATGGAATATGCCATTATCTTTTCTAAGTCTATTTATTTATTTATTTATTTTTGCAAGCTCCCGTTAAGTGTCTGATTGGGAAGTCAGCAACATCTGCAATATGAAAAATCCTAAATTAACAAACTTCTTCTCTACACGTCCTATATCTGTAATTAGGACATGGGCATATTTTATTACGGTGAACACTCCTTTTAAGAAGGTGACGAATTTACGAGTTTTCTTTACGTGTCCAAAGCAGGACTCAATTGGTTCAAGTCTTACTCAAATTTTTAATATGAATAACGATAGTGAGTTAATTCATTAAGATCAGTGAAGCAAACAAAGTCGAATTACTACTTAACTCACGATAGTCATGGATATTGGAAAATTATCGTGTGGTAGGGTCGTCAGAAATGGGTTCTAACCAAAAGAAGTAATTAAAAGGAATGTTTTATAAAAGGAATTTTACTAAAGAATAGTTAATTACCGTTAAAGCATTTCTATCTTTAAACAACATAGCCCCAAGATAAATCCACCGATGACGATCATTTACGTGTCTGTTATATAAATATTATAGGATGCATGCTTGGATCTGGAGTCTATATAAAACCAGTGTCATAGACATTAACTTTATTTGAATCATTTTAAAAAAACCAAAAGATACTTCTCCTGCTATTTATTTTTTCTGGATTAAGCAACTCGTGAACCTCTATTTAGCTTTAATTGAATTCTAGTACACCCTTTCACGGCTCTCGAGACATCCCTTTTCGGAACATTACCGTTTTTTTCATTTATTTATTTTTCAAATAATCCCCCGAAACATGAGTTGTTATCCGGTATACAACAATACGCCGGTTGCAAAGCAAGTTGATTCCATTTACGAAAACCATCTTGACCAATTTCTTTCCGAAGGAGAATACAAAAAGTTTAATCTTCCTAATTTATACGACCTTCACCGTATTGACAATTCCATTAAAGATGTCGAAAATGATACAGCAAAAGGATATGTGAATTTAAGGGTCTATCCCGTCCCAGATCTAAAACGACCTAATGTTCATGAAATTATTGGTAAAGTGAACTTTGAACAAGTTGCCTATAAAGGGGATGCATTTGGTCCTAGCTGGTCCACGTTTTGGATCCAAGTCGAAGTTCGCATACCCGATTCCTGGTCAGACTATGCGGAAGTCATTTTTGACTGGGACTGTGGTAACGAAGGGTTGGTTTACACAGAAGATTGTCAACCGGTTCAAGCGTTTAGCGGCTCTGAAAGAACAGAATACATTCTTCCCAAAAGCTGGCAAACCGATCACAGTATCCATATTTTTTACGTTGAAATGGCCTGTAATGGAATGTTCGGTTGTGGAGGCACAGACCAAATTGCTCCACCTGATCCTAACCGGCATTTTGTGCTAAAAAAAGCAGATCTCTTGGTTCCTAACCTGCCAGCTCGCGCTTTGCGTTGTGATTTCATGATCATTCAACAAAGTGCTAAGGAGTTCCCATCTCGATCTTGGCAAAAGTTCAGAGCAAGACAACTTTGTCATGAAATAATGAATGCATTTCACCCCGAGGATCCTTCCACTATTGAAGAATGTAGATCCCTCGCTAAACTTTACCTTGGAGAGCATATCGATTCTGAATACGTAAACGAAACAAATCCTAACCAAACAAAAGTCTATGCAGTAGGACACTGTCATATTGATACAGCCTGGCTTTGGCCTTTTGCAGAGACAAGGCGTAAAATAGTGCGATCATGGGCTACCCAATTAAACCTACTGGATAGATACCCAGAATACCGTTTTGTCTGTTCTCAAGCTCAGCAGTACGAATGGTTAAAGCAGGACCATCCGAGAACTTATGAAAGGTTGAAGAAGCATGTTAAGAGCCGTCAGTTCTTGCCAGTCGGTGGAAGCTGGGTAGAACATGACACGAATCTTCCTTGTGGAGAATCACTTATACGACAATTTCTCTTTGGACAACGTTTCTTCCAAGATGAATTTGACGTCCGATGCGACACTTTTTGGCTGCCCGATACGTTTGGCTATTCCAGTCAGATACCACAAATTTGCCGCCTTGCTGGAATGGATAGATTCTTGACACAAAAGCTTTCTTGGAGTAACATCAATTCTTTTCCTCATAGTACCTTTAACTGGGTTGCATTGGACGGTTCTCAAGTGTTGTGTCATATGCCACCTGCGGATACTTATACGGCAGACACAAATGTTACTGATATAATACATTCCGTTTTTCAACACAAAAATTTAGCCAACGATCAAGCAGGCTTGCTAGTATTTGGAATAGGTGACGGGGGCGGAGGTCCTACACCTGAGATGCTCGAAAAGCTTCGTCGATGTAAGGGAGTCGCTAATACAATTGGACAATTACCCGAGATTAAACTTGGAGATTCGGTTGATGACTTTTTTGATGGTGTCTTCAAACGTACAAGTAATGCAGCAACATTGCCCTCGTGGGTTGGCGAATTATATCTTGAATTTCATCGCGGAACTTATACAACGCAGTCAGAAATCAAGTCGTCTATGAGAAAAGCAGAATTTTCACTCCACGATTTAGAGTATTTTGCAACGTTAGCTTTTGTTCGTATTCCCGGGTTCAAATATCCAGTACGGGAAATAAATGAGCTATGGAAAACTACATTGTTATGTCAGTTTCACGATGTTCTTCCCGGATCCTGTATTGAAATGGTTTACAAGGATGCCATACCCATGATGCACAACGTTTTTCGATCGTCGGAACTGTTAATCAAAGCCATTTTAGAACAACTTGGATTCAGACAAATTACAAGCCATACCACTTTACCCGATTACCTTCTAACCACCTTACCTTGGAACGTTGGTGGTGTCGTGGACGAAAGTGCAAATACCACTCCATTATCCTTCTATGAATCAATCGATAATCCAAACATTTTAGTACGTTCCGAAAACTATGTTAAGCACCCAGCCCGAGCCTACGAATCCAATGGTTGCTTAGTACTCCGTACGGATAAGTTTTTGGTTCGAATTTCTAAGTCTGGTTTGATTATGAGCATTCATGACTTCTATAATGACAGAGAAGTTTTGGATTTAAAGACCGGAATTAACAAGACCGGCGCAAACCAGTATGTGCTCCTCCAGGATACCCCTTTGAGCTTTCCAGCTTGGGACACTGAGATTTATTCTCTTGATAAATATAGTATCCTCACAGACGGAAAGGCGCAGATATATGAAACAGGTCCCACCAAAGCCTCAGTACTGGTCGAGACTCCCATTAGTGAGAAGAGTTCCATTAAAACCGTTATTTCAATCTCGGGCTTTAACAATGATGATGATGCATCAAGCATAGACTTTTCTTGTGAAGTGGACTGGCATGAAGACTACAAATTCTTAAAGGTTGAATTTCCCGTAGACATCCATGCGGAATATGTTAGCTACGAGACTCAGTTCGGTATCACACACAGGCCTACCCATTACAATACATCCTGGGATGTTGCAAAATTTGAGGTGTGCCATCACAAGTTTGCGGATTATTCCGATTACAATTATGGTGTGTCTATACTGAATGATTGCAAATATGGATTCTCCGTACATGGGAACTTAATGCGACTCTCATTATTAAGGTCTCCAAAACAACCAGATGCCCATGCCGACATGGGTAAGCATTATTTCCGTTATGCAATTTTGCCTCACAAAGGTGGACTCAGCCCTCAAGTAGTGAGAGCTGCTTACAAGTTTAACAGTCTCTTTAGATTCGTCAACAAAAATTCTATAGAGACAAGTGTTGAAGCTTTAGATTTTGTTCGGGTTGACGGCGATGAAAATATAATAGTTAGTAACGTAAAGAAAGCTGAGGATGAGGACGCGATAATCCTTCGTCTTTATGAGTCACTAGGAGGTAGATCCAGGTGCAGATTGACATTAAAAAACTGTGATATTAAAAGCGTTACCAAATGTAACATTTTGGAGGAAGATATAGCGCAAGTCAATCTACAAAATGATGAAGAAGGATGTCATATACAAATTGAATTGAAAGCATTTGAAATAGCATCCTTCAAAATGAGTTTATGAATGATTTATTAAATAAGAATGTTTTATGATTATTCACTATTTACAAATAGGTGGAGGATCAGTTTAGTAATGCTTTGAAAGTAAACTTATTAAAAAAAGCAATTCATTAAATATCTAAAAAGATTTTTTCATAACATATATGATAGGTTCCTTTAAATCAACGCGATAGTTGGAATTGGTATCAATTGTCATGCATTAGTTGGTGGTAAATCGAACGTCAGCAGGGTAAGAAATCTTTAATTGATGACGGATTTGGTCCGTTAGACGCATCATTCGAAGAGTCTCTGCGTGAGGAATTTCAGAAGCCTCAGTAAGGTTATTCATAACATATTCATAAACGGCGTCTTGTTCGTAAAAAAATCCCGTGGCATCGAAGGAGAAATCCATAGTCTCTGATTTTCCATCTGGCTTTTTCAGCGTTAATGTTTGAGGGCGGAAACATTTACCAGAAATAATCATTTGAACACCACTATCACCGTCTATGCGCAGAAAGTCTTGGGTTACAGGATCACGGTCCATTGAAGTACATAAAACCGCGATAGCTTGAGACCTTGGATATACCAGGGTAACGGCAGTGGAATAATCGGCGACATCACCATTAGGATCAGTAAACGTGAGTGCGTTAGAGGCGACTGTAGGATCATCCTTTTTGTTTAGAGGATCATCAGACAAAAGGACCTGAGCCCAGGTCAAAGGGTATACGCCCATGTCAAGAAGCACACCCGCACCTAAAGAGACATTGAGCATTCTAGAATCCTTGGAAAGTTCGCGGAAGTGAGATTGTTGACAAAAATCAATAAAGAGTCGAAGATTTTTTCCACAAACGCGCTGTTCATGTAATAATTGCTGTGCCTTTTTCACGATAGGGAAAAAGCGGATCCAGAAACCTTCGGCAAAGAATACCTTTTTCTCGCGGGCTAACTCTACCAACTCTAAAGATTCTGGATAGTTCATCGTAAAAGGTTTCTCACACAAGACACCTTTTCCAGCATGTAAAGCTATCTTGACAGTATCAAAATGCTGAGGATGGTGATTGGAAATGTAAACAATATCCACATTGATATCCTGAACCAATTCTTCGTAAGAACCATACGCTTTGGGAGAAGAATTGCCGTTCTTGTAGCCTTCAGCAAAAGCAGCGGCCCTTTCTACGCTGTTTCGAGTAGCTACTGCAACAATTTCATGCTGATGCTTGTGATGTTGAGGAGCTCTTACCAAGTCATTTGCAAAGGCAACAGCGATATTGCCAGTACCAAGGAATCCCCAGCGAAGGACGGAAGAGTTGCTGGAGGTTTTACCAATTGCCATGTTAAAAACGAAATCTTTTCTGGGCGACGAAGAGAGTAAAGAAAAGCAAAAACAAAAAAAATGATAGAGAAATGATTTTGAAAAAAAAAAAAATCAAAAGAAAAAAAAAGGTTAATCCAACCTTTTAATACTGGACCGTTCAAAAAGCGTATTTGGTAGGAGTGGAAAATTCAACTAGAAACTAAACGTTTTTACGTAGAGGTGATATATTATGTCAGAATACCAAAGAGAAGTAGTCGTTTACGACATTTAAAGAAAAAAGACTTTAATTAATTAAAAAAAAAGAACAAGAAAAAAAATAAAATAAATAAAAGTTGTATAAAGATTCTACAGTTTGTGGGGGGTTTTTTTGGTCTGCTGGCTTGAAGAAACCTGTCGTCGCTTTAATAAAAACAAACGAGGATTACAGGTTTGGTATCAAGACTTCATCCATATAGAAACCTAATTTGATTTTCCTTTTCCTTTTCCTTTTTCTTTTTTTATTCTATTCATTCTCAAAGATTGTCGTAATGCTGCTACTAATACCTTTTTGAATTTGAAAACTAACCGGTATATCAGTTCCTTCGCATCATGGACTTCCGTATAAAATTTTTATTTTATTTTAAGGATTAGTAGAAAAATAAAAAAAAAGATTTATTTTCACTCGATTTATTGTCCTGCAAAATTTACAAACGTTTCTTTGTAAATAAATCGACGCTACTTTTGCTCGCTACTATTAAACTCTTTTCACTACTCGTTTATCCTACAGTGGAGACACGCGAGTGATCTCATTTGTAAACAACATCTGCAGGACAAACAGAAACGATTTCAAGGTAGGTATAGTTCTTATTCTTTTTTTTTTTTTCTTTTATTAATTTAAAATATGTTTTAACGGTACTCTAGGTCAATTGATGATACAAATTCCATCATCCTGCATTGTCTCATACTGAGGCAATCGTTCATGTATACGAAAATTCATGAATCCAACATAACATATCTAGTATTTAGAGAATGAATCAAGAAAAAGACTAGAGGCAGCCTTGTTCGAGTTGTCTTTTTTTTTTTTTCTTCTTCTTTTTTCGTTTTCTTTCTCCTTATTGAAAAAACTGAATGAAAACGAACCATCCGACAGATCCACTCGGATCATAACACTTTTTTTTTTTTATTCTTCTAGAAAGCTCTTGTCAACAAAATCAAGCGAGTGCTTCAAAACAACTCGCAATGTAAATGAAATGACACTACTCTTTCCACATTCATTCCAACCGAGTCAAACTACTTCACTGTAACTAACATCAAGACTAACCCAAAGATCGGTATACCTCTTTAGTATGATACCCTGATGGAAATTTTCGAGAAAAAACGAGAATTAAACATGAGTGAAATTTTCATACGGTACGGAACCGAACGGATGATTTTAGTTCCGTCTAAAGTAGCAATAACACAGTGTCCCTTGCTGCAACCAGAAACTACTTTTCTCGTCCGAAGACCGGCTGTGACGAAATGGATTTTCTCCTTGGATTGGCCGCAGCAATGACTAATACAAACGGGTGAGGCAACGGTGGTGTTTAGTATATAAATAGAATACATAACTATTCATATATACCGTCATCGAAGTACCTCTAGTACCCAGAACAACATTCATTCCTAAAGGCATATAATTTTTTTTTTTTTTCGCTTGGGAGGAATTTAGAAATTATTCTTTTACACTAGAAATAGGAATAAAAACAGTATGTCGAACCAACAACTTGCTTTAGTCACCGGTGTTACTGGATTCATTGGAGCCCATGTTGCTGTCTCTTTACTCAACAAGGGTTATCGTGTGCGCGGTACTGTCCGTAGCATGGAAAAGGCAAATGAGTTGATTCGTTTGAACCCCGAGCTTAAGGACAAGATTGAGTTTGTAATCGTCAAGGACATTATGGAACCCTATGCCTTTAAGGATGTTGTCAAGGATTGCGACTACGTTTGCCATATTGCTTCTCCTTTCTTCGTTTCAAACGTCACTGACAACAAGGCTCAACTCTTGGATCCCGCTGTCCAAGGTACCCTCAGTGCCTTGGAAGCCGCCATCACTGAGCCCAAGGTCAAGCGTGTTGTCATCACTTCTTCTTTTGCTGCTGTCGGTGACTTCACCAAGGATCCCTCCAGCGGCTACGCCTACAGTGAAAAGGACTGGAACCCCATTTCTTACGAGGAAGCTCTCAAGACCGATAATGGTATCGTCGCCTACTGTGCTTCGAAAGTTTTCGCTGAGAAGGCTGCTCGTGAATGGGTTAAAGAAAAGCAACCTCACTTCGATATCTGCACCATCAACCCTCCTTACGTCTATGGTCCTACCATCCATCCCATGAACAGCATGGACTCTTTGAACACTTCTAACCAAATTCTCTGGACTGTCATCAATGGTTCCAAGGTCCAACCCTCTATACAAAGTCTCCAAGTCGATGTTCGTGATGTCGCCGATGCTCATGTTTTGGCTCTCGACCACCCTAAATTGGGCGGTGGTCGTGTTCTTGTCTCCAAGGGTCCATTCTTCACAAACACCATCAGCAAGATTCTTCTCGACAAGTTCCCTGAGAAGAAGGATGTTATTTCCGAACCCTCCGATGTTCCTTTCAACGACAAGCACTACACTATCGACAACTCTTTCTCCAAGTCTCTTGGTATGAAATATCACTCTGAAGAACAAACCTACATTGATACTGCCGTAAACCTTTGGGAGCGTGCCAAGCAATTTTCTGAATCCAAGTAAATCATTACTTGAGCTTTATGATTTTTGTATGCTTGAAACCTTATGGAGTAAATTTGTCATTTCGGTTTATAGATTTTGGATGCCATATATTAGAAAATGTCAACAATAATATGTTTTTGTCTTTCTAGAACGATCATGTTGCAAACGACTTTTATACTTGTATATGATTCATTAAATAAAACTTCCATAGAATCAAAGATCCATTGATAAGGAAAGGGAGCACACATCTATTCAACAAGAATCGCAAACCAGATACAAAAACATGAAATTGCAAGTTGAACAAAAGGGAACCAGATAAATTTTGAAAACTGAAACGAAATAGAATAAAAAGAATACAATGAAATAACAAAACAAATATCAAGTTTTAACAGATTTTTTTGTTTTATTACATTTATCGTAATATCATATTACATAAAATGATTTTATCTCGCTTAGAATAACGTCGTCCCTTGCATGCAAAACAGTAAACTCACCTCCACATTTTTCCATCCTAAAACGCATACTTCTATGGGCTAAAAAATAGGCAGCCAAACCTCTTGTTTACGTTGGTAAATATTAAAATTCTATATATATATATATATATATATATATATATTTATAAATTTTTTGTTAAAGATAATTCATACCTTTTTTGGTTTACGAGAAGCATTGCCGTGTACTTTTGTATTGAATCGAACAGCAGTATGAAGGCAGTGGTTGCGAATGGAGAACGAGGATTAGAATACACTACAAACGCAGAAAAACCAGCTCCTGCTAAAGGACAAATTCTTGGCCGTGTTTCTCATATTGGACTAAATCCGATTGATTGGAAAATTGCCTACAATGTGCCGATTTCGAAGGGCACAATTGGCGGAACCGATTTTGTTGCAATTGTAGAGGAAGTTGGAGAGGGTGTGGATGCCGACAAGTACATAGGAGCTAAGGTGTCTGGTTGGGTTCCTGGGTTTTTCTCGTTTTCGGGATCCGCTTGGGCTGAATACGTTTGTACCGATGCCAAACTAGTCTACTTTGTTCCCGATAGTATATCACCTTTGAACGCTTCTACAATTCCCTGCGCCTTAACCACTGCTTCCCAAGGAATTCATCAACGGATTGGATTGCCCATGCCTCGAGCCGATGGCTCTGCGAATCCGACACGAAGGAAATGGTTTCTCGTTTGGGGTGCCTCTTCGTCCGTTGGACAATATGCCGTTCAATTTGCAAAATTGGGAGGTTGTGATGTTGTGGCGACTTGTTCTCCGAAGAATTTTAAACTAGTAGAGAAATTAGGAGCCACATTTGTTTTTGACTATCATGACAGCCAGGTTGTTGAGAAAATCAAGCAAGCTACGAATGATTCTGTATTCTTTGGATTTGACGCTATCAGTCTCTCTCACACGATTACAAAGTGTATAATGGCTTTTAGCCTTGAAGCAAAGGCTGCCAAGTTAATTACTGTACTGGGACCTCCGGAGAATCCTCGTGAAGAAGCAGTCGATGTCATTACTGCGTTTAGTTTCTCTTTGTTTAATGCGAAGTTTGAATTTTTTGGTGAAATTGTGCAAGGCAGCAGTGAAGATTATGAACATATCGCCAAACTTTTTGAGTTACTGCCGATATTATTGGAGAAAAAAATTGTCCTCCCTAACAAAGCAAGGGAGTTTGCAGGTGGCTTACAAGCGATTCCTGATGCGTTAAATGAATTTTCCTCTGGAAATCACAGTGCTATCAAGTTTGTCATTGATGTTTAAAAGTGAATTGATGATATATATTTTTGTTAATATTAATTTCATTCTGGGAGAGGCATTTACTAAACTTAATTCTTTTTTTTTTCTCTAAATGGAATTATTCTTTCTTTTTTTCTTTAGTTCCTTTCTTTTTGTTTGTTCCTCGTCAGTTTTTCGATTTGAGGATTTGTATAAATTTGAATCAATAAAATAAAAAAAAAAAAAGAGAGAAAAAATTAATAACATTAAGGTCTGAAAGTAATGATAGTCGTAATTTTGTGTTTGTAAATTGACATTAGATAAAAGGAAAACCAAAGACAAGTGAACCCGACATTGGGAGTGAGAACCATTGTATTTGGTCTGCTACAAAGTGATTTAGCTACGGATGTATCTGTGAAATATATATATAATGATCTATTAGACGAGAAGCAAAAAAAGAAAAATATAAATAAAAAACGAAAGGGTCTTGTGTACGGGTCAGACAAAACGTTATTGTTTCTTGGTAGTAATAGATGTACCTATGGGCTCCTCCACCTCTTGCGCTTGAATTACTCGAATGTTTGCTGGACTTGCTTTTTCATCAATTTGTTCGACCAAGTCTATATAATCCATGCCCTGTTCTTCTTCTCCGGGGGTACAACGGATCTGTAATCCAGGAACCATGTCGACAAGCAGACAAATGATTGCGGTGACAACAAAGGACCAAGCAGCAACGGAGGTGAACGAGGCAAATTGGTAGCCCATTTGTACCCAATGGCGGACGATCCAACCACCTTGAATGACAGTGGCACCATCGGAAGCGGCGACGTTTGGATGAGCAACAACACCCAAAACAATAGAACCCATGACACCTCCAATTCCATGTAAATTAAAGACACGAAGAGGCTCATCGATACTCAGCCAATTGCCGATATCATGGAGGAGGTTACAGACGACGGCGGTGAACATACCGGCCACAGCAGCACCCCAAGGATAGACGTGGCCGCAGCCGGGCGTGATGCCAACCAACCCTGCTATGGCACCTTCGGAAACTCCAAGAATAGAAATTTTACGATAGCGGACATAGTCCATAGCGACCCAAGTGACGCAGGCAAAGCTGGAAGAGATGAGGGTGTTTGCAAAAATGTAAGCTGTGCGAAGATTGATGGCGAGAAGGGTTCCGGAATTGAAGGTGAGCCAAGAACACCAAATCAGGACGGCACCGAGGTAAGCCATGGCTGGATTATGGGGAGGGTATTTGGGGATATGGCCACGACCAAGAGAGTTCTTCCATCGGACAGAGCCCCAAGGGAGGAGGGCGGAGGAATTGCAAGTGTTGGAAGAAGAATAGTCATCGGCGGAATTGGTGGAATCATCTGAGAAAGAAGGTTCACGACGGCGACCCAAAACAAATGAATAGGCGAGAGCAGCGAACCCAGAAGAGATATGGACGGGACCACCCCCGGCAAAGTCCAAGGCACCCATGGTGAAGAGCCAGCCTTTGGAGGACCAAGTCCAGTATGCTTGGGGACAGTAAACAAAGGTGATGTACAAGAAAGCGATGACAAGCGAGGGAACAAGACGACCTCGCTCGGCCATGGCGCCGATCAAGAGTTGGGCGGTGGTGACGGCGAAAAGGCCGCCGAAAGGAAAGTAGACGATTGCAGGAATGGTGGAGCCGGGGACGTATGGGTCGAACCAAACATTATGTAAACCGCCAAGAGAAAGGGATCCATAAAAGGAAGAGCCAGGAGCGACGGCCAGCGAGTAGCCGATGAGATACCACTGAACCATGATGACCGCGGTGACGAGGAAGGATTGGGTGAGAATGGAAAGTGCAGAGCGTTTCCGGATCATGCCGGCGTAATAGAGAGCAATGCCGGGGGTGACAAGAAAGACAACCACACAGCTAAGCAAAACATAGGTCATATCAGCAGGTGAATAAGTATTTTTCATGAGATTGTTTGCCTCGGTCATGCTGGAATTTGCATTTCGCCGCATCAACAAGGAGATGGAAGCATTCGACGAGTTACGAAGGGGGTCCATATTGAATAGGTTGACAAAGTATGTTGGGTATGAAGAAATTGTGATTGTGATTGTGATTGTGAATGTAATTGTAATTGTTGATATGTTGAGATTTCGAGTCCAAGATATGGAACCTTTTCCTTTAGCAGACTCGCTTTTCAATTCTCTATCGCTGTTTTCTACTATTCAATCTGGGTTCTCTTTTTTTTTTTTTTTTTTTATTCTTCCAAAATCTTTTTTGTTCTTCTCTCTCTCGTTTCGTTTCTCGTCAAGCAAGTCTCGTTCGTTTCGTTTCGTTTTTTCGTCTCGTCTCGTCTCGTATACCTTTTCCTTTTCCTTTTCCTTTTCTTCTACAATCTTTTCTTTCTATTCATAAGAATTCCCTTCGAATTCACCTCCATCACAGTATATATACATAACCTATTCTTTTACTGTCTTTCGCTTATCTCTTCCCAAAACCAAAACAAATTATCAAAATACCACGTTCTACATACTTCACCACCTGCAATTCCAAACCGCCATTCCTTACCAAATAAACAACACATCCAATTTCAACTACAATCCAATAGTGGAACAGAAGCTATCCAAGCTCCGTCACTGTTTGTTTTGTGTACTTTATGAACCATGATGAAACAATTCCATCAGATACCTTTGTTTATCGCAGTTCGGTTTTTATCAACCTAAAATCATGCTTCGCCATGGCGAAGCATTTGCAACCCAATCAAAGTTTAGTGATAACGAACCTTCAAGAAAAGGTTCATGACACAAACATTTTTGGTGGTCCAAATCGTATATGCATTGGAACTTTAGATATGCTTTTGCATGATAACCGGACACTGATCAGGCGATCATAGATAGTACGGGTGGGAGATTGTAGATGTTTGAGGGCTCCAAGAATCCAAGAATCCTAGAGTCAAAAGGTATATAAAGAGAAGGACATGGCCAAGGAAAGATACAGAAAAAACAAACTTTGTAAGAATAGAAGAAGAAAAGGTAAGCAAAAGTGATTGTTACTAGTGGCGAGCAAGGTGAGCGAGAGTGGCAGTCGTGCATGGAATGGAGTCGTTTGGGAAGGTATATTCCATAGCAAAGAGACATTTGCATTCCAAGAGAAAAAAAAAAGTGTGTTTAGGAGTGTGTTGGAGTGTAGGAGTGGGAAAGTCCAAGTCCATTTCAATGGGAAAGCAGTTTCCGTTTGAAAAAGAATAAAGACGCTTGACAATGGTGAAAGACGCCGTGACAATTGCCTTGAAGTGTAGAGATGAAAGAAGAATGAATGTTGACTAACCATCTTTTTGTAGAACCTCTTTTTTTTTTTTTTTTTCTCTCTTTTGGATTTGGTTTTTTCTTTTTTGTTTCATTTTTTATTTTTTCCTCCTTTTCCATCTTTTTGGTTTCCACTTTTGATTGAATTCCAACCTCGTCTCCTCCCGAGTTCTTTTCATTTACATTTCGAAAGAATCGAAATAATAACGTCCATAAACGTCTTGATCGCTAGCCTTTAGAATGACTCTCTTCTCTTCTCAACATCATCAACATGACTATTCGGATCCCATGGACCCTTTGGGCCCAGAGGAATTAAAGCTCGCCGTCAATCTGGTGCGCAAGTCTTTCCCGGAACACAACTATAGCTTCAATGTGATTACCCTAAACGAACCTCCCAAATACGAGTATTTGGGCTGGAAGCAATACCCCAATGTGCAACCTCGACCCGACCGTATCGCCCTTGTCGTCGTCTTGGAAGCTGGCGTTCCTGGTCTCGTCGAGGGAAGGGTCAATTTGACCAAACACACCATCTTGGACTGGAAACACATGACTGGTATTTGTCCCATCATTACCGCAGACACCATGGAGCAAACTGAATGGATTGTTCGTAATGATCCCAAAGTCCGTGAGCAATGCATCTTGTCAGGTGTCCCAGCCGACGAAATCGATCACGTCTATTGTGATCCTTGGACCATTGGTTATGATGAACGTTTTGGCAATGCTCGTCGTCTTCAACAAGCCCTCATGTACTATCGATCCAACGAAGATGATTCCCAATACTCTCACCCTCTTGACTTTTGTCCCGTCATCGATACCGAGGCCAAAAAAGTCATTGCCATCGACATTCCCTCTGTCCGTAGACCCTTATCCAAACACAAACACTCCAACTTCAACCGTAAAGATGCTGAAAAAGAGTATGGCAAGATGCGTGAAGTCAAGCCCATCGCTATTGCCCAACCCCAAGGTGTCAACTTTACCCTCAAAGGACGATACATTGAATGGCAAAACTTTCGTTTCCACATTGGTTTCAACTACCGTGAAGGAATCGTCTTGTCCGACATCACCTACAATGACCATGGTAACGTCCGTCCTCTCTTCTACCGCATGTCCCTTGCTGAAATGGTTGTCCCTTACGGTAACCCAGAACATCCCCATCAACGCAAGCATGCCTTTGACTTGGGTGAATATGGTGCCGGTTTCTTGACGAATCCTTTAGCCTTGGGCTGCGATTGCAAGGGCGTCATTCATTATCTGGATGCCCATTTCGTTCGCCATACCGGTGAAGTTCAACATGTGAAAAACGCCATTTGCATCCACGAAGAAGATGATGGTGTACTTTTCAAGCACTCTGACTTCCGTGATCAATTCCAAACTACCATCTCTACCCGTGGTATCAAGCTCGTCGTCTCTCAAATCTTCACTGCTGCGAACTATGAGTATATGGTCTACTGGACCTTCCACATGGATGGCGTCATTGAATGCCAACTCAAACTAACCGGTATTCTTAATACCTATGCCATGAATGCCGACGAGGATACCAATGGTTGGGGAACACAAGTTTATCCCCAAGTCAATGCTCACAATCATCAACACTTGTTTTGTCTTCGTCTCAATCCCATGGTCGATGGCGTGGATAACTCTGTCGCCATCAATGATGCCGTTAGTGGTGATGGTCTTCCTGGATCCAAGGAAAACTACTATGGCAATGCCTTCACAAACAAACGTACCGTTGCCAAGACCGTCAAAGAATCCATTAGCGACTACGATGGTGCTACCTCTCGTACATGGGAAATTTGCAACCCCAACAAGTTGCATCCTTACTCGAAAAAACCAGTCTCCTTCAAACTTGTTTCGCGTGAAGTCCCTCCTTTGCTGGCTCGTCCTGGCTCCTTGGTTTCCAACCGAGCTGGCTTTGCCCGTCATCACATGCATGTTACGCCTTACAAGGATGGTCAATACTATCCTGCAGGTGACTATGTTCCTCAAACTTCCGGTGAGCCTTCCAAGGGTTTGCCTGAATGGATCGAAGAGAACCCCGAAGGAAATGTGGAAAACACCGATATTGTCGTTTGGCACACTTTTGGAATTACTCACTTCCCCGCTCCTGAAGACTTCCCTGTAATGCCTGCTGAGCCCATCAGTCTCCTTTTACGCCCTAGAAACTTTTTCCTCCGCAATCCAGCTTTGGACGTTCCTCCTTCCCGTAACGTTTTGACTTCTGAAGTTAAAGAGAACCATAAAAAGTCTTCTCATCCAGGTCAAGACTTACTAAAAAGTCTTACAGATGCTACTTCTAGACTCGCATTTGGTGAGCCTTACTTTGAACACCATGGTGAACAAAAGAAGGACTGCCAAAAATGTCATGAATAATTATGAAACCTCAGAATAGAATACATATTAAAAAGCCTTTTTTCTCCCTCTCTTGACGATTTTATATACAGATATATAGATTTACGCACATAATAATGAATCTTTTGTTTTCAAACAACTTTGTTTATTTGCAGTTTTTTTTCTTTACAGAGCGTTATTTAAATGTATTCTTTAACTTGCATAAAAAATCACGGTACGAATGGACACTGACAGTGGCACCAGCAAACTTGCTTTGGGGTTCTTAATTTTTTTATGTATAGGAATCGTCGTAAAGCAGTCCTTTCAGTTATTAACTATCTTTTCAATGGCGAAATTTGAGAAAAACAAAGTAAAAACAATTTTATAATATACTAAATGAAAGACTGAGGAGTAGAAATCCGCTTGCGTACGAAAAAGGTAGTAGAATATAACAATTCAGAATATATTGTAGCTTGTCATAAAAAACCAAAAACACAAAAAAGAAAATTATTATGCTACAAGAGGAAATTGGCATGGCTCATTTACCGAGAATCCATTTGCTTTCCAGTAATCAAGACCCTGCAAATCATATTTTTTCCACAGTTCTTTCAGGGCAGTTACAAAGTGGTTTAAAATAGCCTCATCGTTATGTAAAGGAGTAGGCGTTACTCTCAAACGCTCTGTTCCCTTTGCAACAGTAGGATAATTAATGTGATGAAGATAAATGTTATAATCCGTAATAAGATCCCTGCTAATTAATCTTCCGTACTCTGGATGTCCAACCATAATAGGGACGATATGAGATTGGTTGGAAAGGAAAGGAATTCCAGAATCAGTTAAAGCATCTTTTAGCTTACGGACGGCAGATTTTTGAAGAGCTCTTTCCTTGTTTGAAGTCTTTAGATACTCAACAGACGTCAAGGCAGCGGCGATATCATGGGGAGGAAGACTAGAAGTGTAAATGAACCCAGGACAAAAAGAACGTATGAAATCCACAAAAGCAAAAGATCCTACAGCATATCCACCTGTCGCTGAATAAGATTTTGCCAAAGAACCAGTAATAATATCTACCTGATCTGAAACGTTCAGAGCAGCAGCGACGCCAGCGCCTTGCTCTCCATACATTCCAACGGCGTGAACTTCATCAAGATATGTTAGCGCACCGTATTGCTTTGCCAACTTGCATATAGATTCAATAGGAGCGATATCACCATTCATACTGTAGATGGACTCAAAGGCAATAATTTTGGGACTGGTTTTGGGGTATTTCGCTAGCTTAGCTTCCAAATCCTGAAGATCATTGTGTTTAAAAATAACCTTGGCGGCTTTCCCATTTCGAATTCCTTGGATCATAGATGCGTGATTTAGTGCATCACTAAAGAAGATACAACCCGGAAGCTTTTGAGCTAAGGTAGCGAGTGTAGTGTCGTTGGCAACATAACCGCTGTTAAAAACAAGACAAGCTTCCTTTTGGTGGAGTTTCGCCAAAGAATTCTCCAAGTCGACAAATACTTGATTGTGTCCGGCAATATTTCTAGAGCCAGTTGATGAAACACCGTACCGATCGACAAAAGAGTGAATAGCATTAGAAATTTCTTTGTTCATTCGCATTCCCAAATAGTCGTTACTACACCAGACATCGATTACTTTATCATGATCATTCGTAAATGCTTTTGGTCCTTGATCATTGATAACATGATTAATGTTGCTCAACACTCTATACGTACTAGTATCCTTTCTTTTTTGAATTTCCCCTTGGAAAGCACCATCGTAATTGAAACTTGTCTTAGACTCGCTTCCAAATGACTTTACAAACTGCTGAAACGGTAAAGTACCAATCCTTGACCGTTGAGCTCTGATGCTATTTGCGCAAGAGAGCATCTTTCAATGAGAGAAATATTGTAGGTGAATAACGCAGAGATCCCCAATAAATACAATCCGACCCGTGAGATTTTTTCAGGAGCCCAAGAATCAAGTTTTGATGATGCATTTGATCAATTCGCTTACAACAACTTTGATACCAGAATTCCTTCTAAAGGCCTATGTAATAAATAGTTTAGAACACCTGTTGATAAACGTAGCAAGAGAAGATTTTTTTCTTGCAAAGATTTTTTTCATTTCTTTTATTTTCATTCTTTTGCTTCCAGTTCTTTCGGTTTTTAACAACCGAAACATTTTAGGTGTCTATCCACAAATTCCCAAAAATTGATTTCATATCTTTTTATTTGTTGAAAAAATAAAGAGAAAAGTTCAGATGGGACACTCCACGCTATGTAGAGATCGAGTCAAATATTAGAAGGAATGCCCAACAATACGTGAGGTTTCTCATGTTTTAAGCTGAAACGCGAAAAATATTTTTTCCATTGTTTTTTGTGTCTTTTTTTGCTTTCTTGTTGGGTACAAGTTTAATTCAACTACTCGAAAGCTACTTCATGTCCTCGAAACTATTTTCCAGGGTTCGATGTAAAGGTTTGCAGGACAAAATCACAAAGCCTTCTAGCCTGCTTTCAAGCTTTCAAGGTCACCAGACAATTGGTTGGTCGGGATTTACTGGAGTTGACTATCCTTTGCAGACTTTGGAGCCATTGATCAACGAGGTCAGGTCTAATAAAGCATTTGCTAAACCAAAGTTTGATTTACGAGTTTGTTCGTCGGGAGGTACAGTAACAGAATCGGCTTTGTCGGAGCTAGATATGGTCTGTAGCCGTTCACCGTACCAAGTAAGCAAGGTGATCAATAAAAGTCTAAACAATGGAAAGATCGATTTTCATGACCACTCCCTTATTGATTTTGCGGAACAGCTGACGTCTGGATACCTGGGTGCAAAGGATGGAAAGCCTCAGACCCTAGATATAGCAATCGTTGAAGCTACAGAAATCACTCCAGAAGGAAATCTCGTTCCAGGAGCTTCCGTAGGCGTGACACCTGAGCTCATCCAAGTAGCTGACAAACTAGTTGTTGAAATGAATACCAATAGTCCTTCGCTTCGTGGAATCCATGACTTGTGTGTGCCTGCTTCTCCTCCTTACCGAAACCCTCTAAATGTCTGTACTTCTTCCGACCGAATTGGACAAACAGAGATTCCTTTAGACCCCAAAAAAGTCATTGGAATCGTCGAGGGGTCTCATGGGAAATTCCCAAGCCGCACAGAGCCATCCAATAGTACTACCAGAGCGATTTCACAACACATTATAGATTTTTTGAAGAATGAAACGCATAGAGGAAGGGTCCCAGAAAATCTGCACCCGATCCAGTCTGGTATCGGTGCCATTGCAAACTCCGTAATCGAAGGACTTGGTAATTCTTCTTTTCGCAACCTTCAAGTTTGGACTGAAGTTTTACAAGATTCATTCTTAGACTTATTAAAATCAGGTACTGTTCAATATGCATCGTCCATGTCCCTTCGTTTCTCTCCACAAGAATTGGAAAACTTTTACAAAAATTGGGATTTTTACAAAGAACATGTGATACTTCGTCCGCAGGCGATTACCAATAGTCCAGAAATAATTCGCCGTTTGGGATGTATTTCTCTGAATACCCCAGTGGAAGTTGACTTGTACGGCCATGTGAATAGCACCTGCGTCATGGGAACGCGTATGCTCAACGGAATTGGCGGTTCTGGAGATTTCATGAGAAATGCGAAGCTTAGCATTATGCATACTCCATCTGTCAGACCGACGAAAACGGACCCAATTGGCATTTCTACCATAGTTCCTAAAGTTACACATGTCGATCATACAGAACATGATATCGATATTGTTGTCACCGAACAAGGACTAGCTGACCTTCGTGGTCTTTCTCCGAGAGAGAGGGCTATAGAAATTATAGAAAACTGTGCTCATCCTGTATACCGTCCCATCTTGATGGATTATTTCACGTTGGCAGAATCTGTCTGTCTAAAAGAAAAAAGGGGGCATGAGCCTCTCCTTTTGGATAAAGCATTTAAAATGCATACGTCTTTTCTTGAAGAAGGAAGCATGAAGGTTTCATCTTGGTAAGCATATTTTTGTCTACGCAATTTCTCTGTAACGATATCATGGAGATGCATTGTCATTGCTTTATTTTTCAATTCACCAAAAATAAAAGTGAGTGTTGAAAATGAGAATAGAATAAAAGAGAATCTCATAAGCTAAGAATTCATGTCCCATTGACTGTTTACTAATCTACTTTCTTTGTCGTTTTTTAAGGTATCACTACCATGGTTAGGAGTATCAATTATTTTATAAAGAACATATACTTTCTTTCTTTTATATCATTGATTTTTTTTTCCTGATCACTAGTTGAAAGAGGTCGTCCATTGATACAATTCTTGTTCTTGTAGGAAGGTCGCTGGTTTCAGTCTTTTAAAGGACTCTGTATAAATAAAAAGTTAAAGGAAAAGATATTTTACTAAATCTTCTACATTTCTTATTTTTTAAATATTTTAACTTTCATAGTGCGATTTGCTTCATGTTCAAAAAAATTTTACTAATACCCCAATACCTCATATACCACAAGCTGAAACGATTGAGCGCATGTTCTTTTAGATATTAAATAATAGATTCATTGGAATCGCAATTGTAAAAAGAGATCAATCGCAAACTCGTAGATGGACGGCTTTGAAAAACCTAAGAAAGCCTGTGATTTTTGTCGGAGGAAAAAGATTCGCTGTAATCGTGAGCTTCCCAGATGTCAAAACTGTTTGGTCTACAATGAGGCATGTCACTACTCTAAGAGACTGAAGCGCTACAGTCTTAAGATGAAGAACGATGCTCAGGCGAAGAGTCGACTGCCTTCACTTGAGTCGGAGGATAGTCCTAATTGCGATATAGTCGCATCTTCTGAATCGAAAGATAATTATTCACTTCATGTACGCCTTCGAAATGTCGAGGATAAACTAGACAGGTTGTTGAGTCTTGTTGAGGATTCTTATAAACCGCCTAGTAGATTTCGAGCTCGAGATTTCCCCTCATTGATATCCCAAATCCGAGACGCTAGCTCACTAGTTGACAATAAGTTGCAGGAATACTCAAAATTGTTTAAATTGACTCCTGCAGAAACAAATATTGACGATTTGTTTGCTCATTCTTTCCCTAGTTGGGATGAAGACTTTCCCGACATGCCTGAGCGAGAATGGGCTGTTGCCCGTATTCAATGGTACTTTCGTTATATCAATTGTTGGTGGCCGATATTCTACGAAGATGATTTTATGGCTGAGCTACACAAACTCTATGAGGATCCAAACCAAACAAAGGGCGTATGGTTGGTATCGTTTTATGCTATACTCGCAGTGGCCATCTCAAGAAGCAAAATGGAAGATGATCAAAAGCTTGCTGAATCTTTTTTCTGTGCATCATGGTATTTAATTCAGAAACCTGGATTCTTTTTAATACCCCAAGTGGAGAAGATTCAAGCACTTGTTATCATGATTCAATTCACTGCTCATTTATCACTTTTTACATTGTGTAAGGCGCTTTGTGGTCAAGTATGCCTTATGATTAGAGATTTAAATTTACATCGCGCTAGCTCAACTCTAAAGCTGCCTAAAAGGACTGCCGAATTATATCGACGAATATTTTGGGTTTGCTATGTTCTTGAGATAACTACTTCTTTAGTATTTGGAACTCCTTCTGTTTTGAGTGACATGGAGATTGACTGTGGGTATCCTGACATAACCAAAGAGCCTTTATACCCAAATATATATCATGGAAATATTATTTTCATTGCAGAGATTTCATTGACAATCTTGAAGAATGAAATTCGCTCCCAGCTTTATAGCAGCAGTACTCCCTCTGTTGAGGGTAAACGGTTAAAAGTAATTTGGTCTATCTTTGAAAAAATGCAAAACTGGCAAACTTCTCTACCTCTCGAAATTCAAAGTTATTTCGAAAGTCTAAAAAGAAACGAAAATATCTTCTTTACTTTAAATAGTGATGATCAGAGACTTTTCTCAGCAAGTATAGAAATATACCTTTCATATTGCAACACCGTCATTTTCTTGCAAAGGTTAAACGATACAGAGGAAGGTTCCGCTATTTGTTTGGACACGGCTCGGAAAGCAGTTGATGTACTGAAAAACTTCTTTGTGGTGTTAGATCCTATTTCAAAAAACGTTTGCTATCTCTGGATATTTCTTTATAATCCTTTTACTCCTTTCATAACATTGTTTTCTAATACCGTGAGCGGAAAGGAAAATAATCCTGATCAACTATTAGAAGATTTAAACCGTATGTACGCCGTCTTTAAGTTCTTTCTTAAGATGCGTGACTTGAATGGGCAACTGGCCGAGAAGCTTGCTTCAGTTACTGAGAATTTTATTCATGCCGCTGAGCATTATATTGCTTTACAACCTGCTTTTACTGCGGATGCTTTTGAGCTGACGAATTTTTTGATCTAAGTTATTTATTTATTTTTTGTTTAAGTTCGGATTTATATAGCAACTGGGGTTTTACTATGGTTAGCTGTTGAAGTTTTCGTTACAGGTTTTCTGTTTTGTTTTGTTTTGTTTTAATTTAATTTTCTATGACATACGGGGTTGTTTGGTATAAATTAAAATTATTTGACTATTTCGCATACCATGTGTAGCTAACAAGAATAGCGATTTATGTAAAAAAATATAAAGTAAAGAACATGCATCTAGAATTAAACGTATATTAAATGGGTATAGAATCTGAATTATGAGAATTAACATATAAATACATATACAAACGTGAGTTAAGGAGGACTAAAAGAAGACAAAACTAGTAATAGGGATCTTCATTGCTTTCAACTGTTTTCACCGGTCCCTGAAAGAATGTTTTACCTCCATATTTAGGGAAATAGTAATATACAACACAGAATAGACAAACAAATATGAAAACAATAATGGCCCAGTTCATTTCCATCTTGTTTGGATGTTGATAGCTTGGAAAAAAAAGCATTATAGCTATAAACCAAAGCCAGGCAACCGAAAATATTGCCAGCGGTTTACTAAACCTTCCACAATAAAATTTACCTATCAAGGTCAGTAAAGTTGCTAATTTTAGATATGTACCTGGTTGAAAACGATCAAATAGGATTCTTGCCAGAAAAGGAAGAGAATAAATAACAAAGAGAGCAATAATAGCCAAGTTAAAAACGGAGGAAATCGCTGCTGAATTAATCAGCATAAGCAAACCAATCAGGAACGTATAAATATCTACGCCGATGATTGCATTTATCGGGACACCACTTGAAGTAATTTTAGAAAGGTATCTACTACCTGGAAGACCACCATCTCTGGAAAACGCAAAGACTTCCCTTGTAGCTCCAATACACTAAAATGTTAAAAACCGACAAAAAATAATAGGCGTCTCAAAAGACAAAGTTTATTGACGTACCAAACAAGAGCAGTTAAGGCAAAGAGCAACAATCAAGACAGAGGCTACCCCAAGACAGCCATTAGTTCCCAAATTGTTTAACAAAACTTGTATGACTGGTTCTCCTGTGGGACTATTCATAATGGCTTCAAAATCAAAACCCATAGTAGCACAAATGGTAATTATAACGCAAAAACCCAAAACCAAAGCTGCTAGTAAACTAGATATAAGAGCAATCGGGGCGGCCACAGAAGGATTTGTAGCTTCTTCGGCAACAGTAGCACATGATTCAAACCCCGAGACAACCCATACTGGGGTAGTAATAGACATGATGAATGCCCAGCCCATGTTTTTCCATTGCGAGTAATTACTGAAGGTGGTAAAAATGTACTTCGCGCTCGTCCGGGTGTGAGAACTAGAGGAAGCGGCAAGGCTGATGATTACGATGAGAGCGGTACAAGTTTGGAAAAACACACAAAACTTGTTGAAATAGGCCAAATATTTTGTCGGCATAGCAATGAGAAAAGAGGAAGCCAGACTGAACGCTAAGTATATACCGTATTGTTCATACTTTGTAGCGGAATAGCCAGGGTTCCCAATGGAAATGACGGCTACAAGAAGAGAAGAAGCGGCATAAACTGTGGAAGCGAAACCGGTGCCATAAGCAAGCATACTAACATAGCCCAATAGCCAACTGAGGAATGCTCGGTACTTTGGAGGAGAAAGTTTAGCAATCCAATAATACAAACTACCGGACGTAGGCATAGCGGAAGCCAGCTCACTCATAGATATGGAAACAGGAAGCAAGCAAAAGCATCCCAAAAACCAAGACCAAACCATTCCGCCAGGACCACAATTCATGGCAAATATGAGCGAACCTGAAATGGAGGGGCTTTAAAGAAAATGTTAGAAACGGGGAATAGCCCAAGATAGATACGTACCAAAGACCCATCGCACCGAAAGACTGACCAAAGACACTCAAGTAAGAAAATTTACGTTGGAAGACCGGCTTGTAGCCCAGACTCAACAGCAGTTTATCATCATCAGCCAAAGGATGTGATTCTCCAAATTCGACATCTTTTGACCTAGGACTATGATCAGAGGCAGCTTCCTTGGAGATATGAATTACCTGGTTCTTCTTGTCTTTGTCCTTTTCATCAAGAGAACTCATCTTAAATGGAATTTTTTGATCTTTCAAAGGCAATAGCTTCCTGGCTACTAGAGGATATTTCAAAAAAAGGTTTGAAAAAGACACGGTCCAACGTTTATGAAAAAGTCTTTACCAACTCTTCAGCCTTCTCAATCAGTTCAAAATGGTCGCCGAGGTTTCGAATTAATAAAGTGCCACTGTTTGTAACGTCGGATACCTTTTACCTTTAATACTTCACATACTTATCTAACAGCAACAACATTTGATGGATTTCAGGAAAAGATCTCCTATTACAGCTTTCGTCTTCTTTTGATAGTGAAATCAGTGACAATGAAGGCACAGTATTGGCAATCCTTTACCCTTTCATCGTTGACATCGTCATCCTTTCTAACATTGATTATTATATGTATTCATAACAGACGTTATCTAAAATGATAGTCTTTGTTCAGCACTATGTGATAAATATGTCTATGTTTACAGGAACTAGACAGAAGGATAGAACGGATGTTTGGTGGTAGTAGTGATCATCAATCCACGGAGATATACATATGGAGGATAAGATGTATGCAAACAATGATGTGGTAAGGGGAACTGAAAGGATAATTGAAATTGGACTTTAGAGAATGAATGTGGTATTTACTAACAAAGTGTTAAGATTCATTCTTGAAAGATTCTCGAATTGAAAAAAACAACTATGAGAAGTACAATATTTATGTTTTTGTTACAGTTTGTAACACTTCTTCCAATAGTCGTAAGTGCTAGGAAGTTTGATGGTATGAATGAACAAAAACCATTCTATTCTTTAGCGGAAGATTATTATAGCTACGATGATGGTGATGCATATATACCCAAAGTCCACACACTATATTCAGGTATAACTACTTTTGGACATTTGCCTGCTCCAAATTGCTTGGCTAGTCGTGGTATCGACTATGATATTGCGTTTGTAGGCGCACCTTTTGACATGGGGACCTCATATCGGCCTGGAGCTCGCTTCGGCCCCAGCGGTATTCGAGAAGGATCACGTCGTCTCGACCCTGCGTTGTACAACGTTCCATTAAACGTGTATCCATTTCAATCATGGGCAAACGTAGTAGACTGTGGAGATGTGCCCATGTCGAACTATCATATTCCGAATGCCATGAAGGAATTGGAAGAAGGCTATTATCACCTACTTACCAGAAAGCCCACTTCGTTTCACGACCGCGAGGGTTATGCTCGAAATGGAACTGTGTTACCACGTCTCCTAACCATGGGTGGAGACCATACCATCGTACTTCCCATTCTTCGAGCTTTACATCGTGTCTATGACAGACCTATATCAGTGATCCATTTTGACAGCCATCTCGACAGTTGGAAACCTGGTATCCTCGGAGACGGTGTCGATAACGATGGCCTGAATCACGGCACCTACTTCTACTGGGCCAGCAAGGAAGGTGTACTGAGTAAGGATGCAAATATTCATGCTGGTATCCGTAGTCCTCTTTCTGGATTGAAGGATTATGAAGATGATGCGACTTGTGGATTCCAAGTCATTGAGGCTCGCGAAATTGATAAAATCGGGGTAGAGGGTGTCGTGAAGAGAATTCGGGATCGCGTTCAGGATAATTTGGTTTATCTATCTATTGACATCGATACACTAGATCCTGCTTATGCCCCTGCCACGGGGACACCAGAAATTGCTGGGTGGTCCAGTCGAGAATTCACAGATATCATTCGTGGTCTGAATGGGCTAAACTTTGTTGGTGCTGATATCGTCGAAGTATCTCCTTCTTATGATGTTGCCGAGTTGACTACACTTACTGCTGCGAACATTCTTTTCGATATTGTTGGCATGTTCGTAAAAACTCCTCTTGTTCGATCCAAGGAAGTATAAACTAAAGCATGTTCTAGTCACTTTAAGTTATTGATGTTGCAACCATCTTATGAAATATTTTTTGTAGATACGAAATCAAAGTTACGAGTTTTCAAACTAATAATAAAAAACTTAATTTATCCAAAAACCAACTATCCAAACAGAAGACTGCTTCAAGCAAAGAACCAAAAAAATAAATAAATAAAGAGTAAATGAAGGAGCATAACTATAAAGTCTCCGAGCGTTTCAGTTTTGTGAGCTTGGAATTCACTTTCACATAGTCAGGTAACTTTGCTGTTTTCCAAAGATACCAAGCGGCAACTGATCGATATGGAGCGCAAATTTCACTTTTTTCTAAAACATATTTTTTTGTTGGTATTGTCTTTAGGTTATGTAAGTATCGAAATCCATTCCGAATAATCAAGTCATCCGCTGGCATAATATCGGGTCGATTGAGTGAAAAAATCAACAGCATTTCGACCGTCCATCGACCAATTCCTTTTATTTTTGTTAATCGTTCAATTAGCTCATCATCTGTCAGAGCCTCTGCTGCTTTTCTAGACGGTACAACCCCAGTAATAGTTGCTTCTGCGATGCTCCGTATGGTTTCAGTCTTCCTAGCAGAAAAACCACAAGAACGTAACTTCTCCAAGTCCATCTCTAGTATCTTTTGAGGAGAAGGGAAGTGTCCATCCGTCCCTAAGGATTTGAACCTTTCATATATAGTGTCCGCTGCTTTTTTGTGCAATTGCTGACCTGCGACTGCCTGAATTAATTCTTCGTATGGCTCCTTAGATGGATTTGTTAATACAGGCCGATAATCTCCTACCAACTGAACCAATCGCTCCCAACGTTTGTCTATTTGGGATAAAAATGTTCCTGCTTCTGCAGCAGACAAAAATACCTTTTCTTCTGCTTTATGAATCAAACCAATACTCATTTTTTTATATCAAAGTTTAGCTTGAACTAGTTGATGTTCTTGCTATTGCTTGTAATGTTCCAAGTAGCGAAACTAAAGAAAAAAAAACAGCGAGTGGCAAAATTCCTTACTACTCGCTTTCTACTTAATTCATTGTCATAATGTTTTCTATTCTTGATAAAATGCTAGTCCGATAATGCGTTATGAAGAAGACGTGTTAATAATTTTGTTTGGAAGAGACTATATGCTGCAATGTTTTAATGTCGTGGAATGGAAATACATTATAGCTCATCGTCTTTCCTATGCATAGTAAACTTCTGTAATTTCCAATCGGATTGTAAACATAGATTTCTAAAGTGTAATTCGGCAACACTATTTCCACATCACTTGTTAACTGTAGCTTGTATTATAGATGGATGTCACTTTCTAGCAAAATTCATAAATGGAATGATCTATCCCAATCTATCAACGTTTAAATGTTTAAAACAAGTATTTTCATTAGACTTGCTTTAATACTTTGACAAGGTGTTCAATAAGCCATTCCAAGGCTCCAGGTTCAGAAGCCTCTCCTACGTTGTGAGTAGCTCCAGGAATGACCCCACTGGCGTCACTGTTAGAAGTCGATGGACGAATGGCTTCTCTAAATCTTTGGACAATTTCTTCGCGGTTGACACTCTTTGCAAGAAATTCATCCTTTTCAGACATAAACAAAGCAAGACGACTGTAATCGTTAGTTCCAGTGATTGGTTTGATACTGCCAAATGTCTTAGCAAAATCATCGGGAGTTAAGTCAGTAGAGAAAAAATCATCGCGACCACGAATAGATACTAAATCCATGAAGCGATTTGCAGACACAGGGGTATCACCCATTGAATGAGCAACCTTGCTTCTAGGTAAAACATCATCGCCAAGTCCCTTTTCGATGTATTCCTTTTGTACCCAAGCAACTAACGCCTCTGTCTTGTCAACGCCAATCGTATTGTAGCAACCTTCACGATCAGACACCGAAGCTTGGGCAATTGCAGCGGCTAAATGGTTATCAAGAGGAGACTGAGAAAGATAATAAAGGACGTTTTGAGACCCTGTGGAATGGCCCATCAAAACGATTTTCCTAGAATTGTAGTCAGCGCCGCCGAGATGAGCAAAGAAATCAACGGCTTTATGCAAATCCTCGTCATCACGAACAAGACTTCCCGTTCCCCATCCAATATAAGATGATTGAGTGTTAACCTGAACAACACTCCAGCCCAGTTTGTCGAGAGGTTCTACTAAACTAGGAACGTAGGGAACCGTTAGTAGACCGTCTCCAAGTCCACCTACAAAAAGAAGCAAAGGTCGCTCTTTGTTGGAAGAAATAGTTTTCCCACTGGAGCCAATGAATTCAAACCCAACGAGTTTACTGGTATACTGATGAAGAATTCCAGGAAAAGAAGACTGACGAACCGGAGCGGCAGAGTGCATTTCTAAAGTAAAGTAATAAACTTTTAAGAATTTATCGAATAAATTACAATATGTAATAAAGCAACAGAGGTCCTACAGAAAAAAAAGAATGCTAAAGGAGGTGGTTTACGTAAATTTGAGTATGTTCAAGAGCGCACCGACTTTTTATGTACTAGTATGAGAACTGATCAGGTAATGAGTTGAAATAGTATAAACACGCATATTTAGATGTATTTGGAAGATAGGTTTTGAATTTTTATGGAAGAGCCTAAGGACCATACAGCAACAAATGTATGATGTAGTATATTTAAAGTTAAATATTTCGCTTCTTTCTGACGCTGTTTTTTAATCGCAAAATTTCATTACTGTCTCATAGAAATAAAAAGCTAGAATGAACAGGGAAATCGTTCAGTGATTATTTCACGGTTTATTTACATTACTATATTAAAATTGATGCCATTACGCGTACTTGGGTTAGGGTTCTCTTGTGGCATATCAAATTTAATGGGTGACTCAAAACCTGTCTTCCACCACTGACTAGAAAATAACATTAAAAAAAAATGGTTGCGTTCACACCTGAAGAGGTCCGCAATTTGATGGACAAGCCAGCAAACGTCCGTAACATGTCAGTGATTGCTCACGTCGATCACGGCAAGTCTACGTTGACTGATTCTTTGGTCCAAAAAGCCGGTATTATTTCTGCCGCTAAGGCTGGTGATGCTCGTTTCATGGATACCCGTGCTGATGAGCAAGAACGTGGTGTTACCATCAAGTCCACTGCCATCTCTCTTTTTGCTGAGATGTCTCAAGATGACATGAAGGATGTTAAGGAACCCACTACTCACCCCGACTTTTTGGTCAACTTGATTGACTCTCCTGGTCACGTTGACTTCTCTTCAGAAGTTACTGCCGCTCTTCGTGTTACTGACGGTGCTTTGGTTGTCGTTGATACCATTGAAGGTGTCTGTGTCCAGACCGAGACCGTCCTTCGCCAAGCTTTGGGTGAACGTATCAAGCCTGTAGTTGTTGTCAACAAGGTTGACCGTGCTTTGCTTGAACTTCAAATTTCTAAGGAGGAACTTTACCAAAACTTTGCCCGTGTCGTTGAATCCGTCAACGTCGTTATCTCCACATACTATGACAAGGTCCTTGGTGACTGCCAGGTCTTCCCCGACCAAGGTACTGTCGCTTTCGGTTCCGGTCTTCACGGTTGGGCTTTCACCGTCCGTCAATTTGCCAACCGTTATGCCAAGAAATTCGGTATTGACCGTAACAAGATGATGACTCGTCTCTGGGGTGAAAGCTACTTCAACCCTAAGACCAAGAAGTGGTCCAAGTCTGCTGTTGATGCTGAAGGTAATGAAAACCAACGTGCCTTTAACATGTTCATCTTGGATCCCATCTACCGTATCTTCGATGCTGTCATGAACGGCCGTAAGGACGAAGTTTTCGCCCTTTTAACCAAGCTTGAAGTCAACCTTAAGCCTGATGAGAAGGAACTTGACGGTAAGGCCCTCTTGAAGGTCGTTATGCGTAAGTTCTTGCCTGCTGCTAATGCCCTTATGGAAATGATTGTCCTTCACCTTCCTTCTCCCAAGAAGGCTCAACAATACCGTGCTGAGACCTTGTATCAGCCCATGGATGATGAGTGTGCTGTTGGTATCAAGAACTGTGATCCTAAGGCTCCTCTTATGGTCTACGTTTCTAAGATGGTTCCTACCTCTGAACGTGGTCGTTTCTACGCCTTTGGTCGTGTCTTCTCCGGTACCGTTCGTTCCGGTATGAAGGTCCGTATCCAAGGTCCTAACTACACTCCCGGTAAAAAGGAAGATCTTTTCATCAAGGCCATCCAACGTACCGTTTTGATGATGGGTTCTAAGATTGACCCCATTGAAGACTGCCCTGCCGGTAATGTTATCGGTTTGGTTGGTATTGACCAATTCTTGGTTAAGTCTGGTACCTTGACTACTTCTGAAGTTGCTCACAACATGAAGGTCATGAAGTTCTCTGTTTCTCCTGTCGTCCAAGTTGCCGTTGAAGTCAAGAACGGTAATGACTTGCCTAAGCTTGTTGAAGGTCTTAAGCGTCTTTCCAAGTCTGATCCTTGTGTCATGACCACCACTAATGAATCCGGTGAACACATTGTCGCTGGTGCTGGTGAATTGCACTTGGAAATTTGCTTGAATGACTTGCAAGAGTCTCATGCCGGCATTCCTCTGAAGATCTCTCCTCCCGTTGTTTCCTATCGTGAATCCGTTAGCGGAACCTCCAGCATGACTGCCTTGTCCAAGTCTCCCAATAAGCACAACCGTATTTTCATGACTGCTGAGCCCATGAGTGAAGAACTCTCTGTGGCCATCGAGACTGGTAAGATCAACCCTCGTGATGATTTCAAGGCTCGTGCTCGTGTCATGGCTGACGAATACGGCTGGGATGTTAGTGATGCCCGTAAGATCTGGTGTTTCGGTCCCGAAACTACTGGTGCTAACCTTGTTGTTGATCAAACCAAGGCTGTTTCTTACTTGAACGAAATCAAGGACTCTGTTGTAGCTGCCTTCCAATGGGCTACTAAGGAAGGTCCCTTGTTCGAAGAGAACTTGCGTTCTTGCCGCTACAACATCCTTGATGTTGTTTTGCACGCTGATGCTATTCACCGTGGTGGTGGTCAAATCATTCCTACTGCTCGTCGTGTCGTTTATGCTTCTACCCTCTTGGCTGAACCTATTATCCAAGAGCCCGTTTTCTTGGTTGAAATCCAAGTTTCTGAAGGTGCTATGGGTGGTATCTACTCTGTCCTTAACAAGAAGCGTGGTCAAGTTTTCGCTGAAGAACAACGTGTTGGTACTCCCTTGTACAACATCAAGGCCTATCTTCCTGTCAACGAGTCATTCGGTTTCACTGGTGAGCTTCGTCAAGCTACTGGTGGTCAAGCTTTCCCTCAATTGGTGTTTGATCACTGGTCTCCTATGAGTGGTGATCCTACTGATCCCACTTCCAAGCCTGGCTTCATTGTTTCTGAAGCTCGTAAGCGTAAGGGTCTTAAGGAGGCTGTCCCTGAATATACTGAATATTATGATCGTCTTTAAATTATCTAGTTTTGGGCTTAACTTGAGTGAATAAATTTTGTGCATTTTATTTATATCGGATACAACTGTAGATTATAATTTTCTATTGTGCAGCTGGATTGAATAAACATTTTTCAATTTAGCCTTTATTAAACGAAGACAGATTTTGTAAAAAATGAAGCTACTTAGTTTTATAATTTTATGGTGGTGTAAGGAATGTTACATCTACCTATGGAGTGTGGAACACCTCAGCATGGCTGAATGCAGTCTGTAATGAACCAACTAGTGGACTGTGTAATTAGCTGGTAATTACCCATCTAAACCATTTCTTTTTTCATAAATCAATTTCCTTTTTTGTTTTTCAAAGAATAAATTCATTGAAATTGAATTTACCTTATAATCCGTGAAGTCTTCATATATCTTTGGAGCTGAGTAAAAATGAGTTTCCAAGCTGACTCACGAGAAAATGAGTCGCAAACAAATAAAACCACTCAACCGCAAACGATGAGTGTCCCTTCCATTGATGCCGGAGGGAAAACGGACGTTTCTATCGAAAAGCAACCTGCTACTGAACCTGAACAATCCAACACGAACTCGCAGAGTGAAGGGATTAAGGAAGTCCGTGTGCAGGGTTCCAATGGAGCGAATGAGTCATTGGAAGTGCCAGACTCCATGAAAGCTCCTGTAGCTGATGGCAGCGCTAAAGAAGAGCTCCCAGCCACAAAGCAAGTGAGGGATGAGAAAGCTAAAAGCATATATGACAGAGATTTATTGCTAGAAAAAAATGATCGTCTCGTGAGCTTTTGCAAGAAGTATATTCCTTGGTTAAAACCGGAGCAGATTGATCTTGGGTTGAGATGGAAAGAAATTTTTATTCAATACTCATCTGACTCACGCTTGGTTCTTTTGACTGGCTTTTTATCATTTTTATTTGGTTATTTTCGATTTGGTTTTCTAAGTCTATTCGTTGTTATGGCTATTTGCATACAGTATCATAGGATAAGTACTCGTCGTGTACGTATGAGTTTTCGCGACGATTACACCAGATATCTTTCTGTCCGAAGATTGGAAAGCAACCCAGAAAGTGTAACATGGTTGAATGCTTTCTTGCAACAATTCTGGTACATCTTCGAACCTACTTTGAGCAGTACAGTCATTGAAATTGCCGATCAAGTATTGTCCGAAAACATTCCTAGTTTTCTTGATTCAATGGTTTTATCGACTTTCACTCTTGGTACAAAATCTCCTCGTATAGAGTATGTTCGCTCTTACCCTAAGACTGAAGAAGATGTAATTATGATGGATTGGAAGGTTTCATTTACACCCGAGGATTTAAGTGATTTAACTGGTCGTGAAATTGCTTCCCGTGTCAATCCCAAAATTGCTTTGGATATCAAAATTGGTAAAAGTGTTGCTAGTGCAAAAATGCCCGTACTCGTTGAAAATATCTCTTTTTCTGGACATCTTCGTGTAAAAGTTAAACTCATTGATGAATTTCCTCATGCAAAAACCGTGGGAATCACTTTCGTGGAAAAGCCTGCTTTTTCTTATGTACTCAAGCCTATTGGAGGTGATAAACTCGGATTTGATATCAATAATATTCCGGGACTCACTACCTTCATCAACGATCAGGTTCACGAGAATTTGGGACCTATGATGTATAGTCCCAACGTATTTGAATTGGATATTCAATCGATGGTAGGTTCTTCTAATCTTGAGGTTGCCATTGGTGCTGTTGAGATTCATCTCAAGCGTTGTGAATCACTGAAGGGTGATGTTCTCGGTTCTGTTGACCCATATGTCGTAATTAAGAATTCCTTTGGAAAGAAAATTGGCACCTCCAAGACTGTTCAAAACACTACTTCTCCAACGTTCAATGAAACTTTTTATGCTATCATCAACTCTTTTTCGGAAAACCTCATTCTTGACGTTTACGACTTTAACGATCTTCGCAAGGATAAATTAATTGGTACTGCTGTTGTTGCTCTTTCAGCTTTGGAAGCTATGCCTGCTTCTAACGATGTCAAGACTCCTGTCACTTTGAGTAATAAAGAACGAGGAACATTAGTTTTTGATACCAAATTTTATCCCACAATTAACGTCGAAGAAGAAGATTCTGTAAAGATTGAAGGACCGGGAATTGTACAGTTCACTGCTCACCAATGTAAGGAATTAAGCAAGGACCCTTCAAAGCGTCACACTGCATATGCCAATTTAGCCATTAATGATAAAGTTATGCATACGACTCGTAAAATCAAAAAAAATAACAACCCTTCATGGGAAGAGTTCTGTGGTACTGTTGTTCCTAAGGGTGAAAAGGGTATGCTTGGTATTCAGGTATTCACAGATGATCACAGTCATCCCTTTGGTACTCTTAATATGAGTCTTCAAGAATTGGTAACCGCTACCCAGAAGGGCCTGAACTGGTTCCAGTTCCCAACTGCCGCTGGTGGACGAGTTCGCTTATCAGCTACATGGAAGCCTATCGAAATGTCTGTCGGTGACCCTGGCTCTCTTGCTGTTGCTGTTCCCATTGGAGTTATGCGCGTTCATATTAATTCATGTAACAGCTTGCATTCAAAACTCCCCGGTAAAAAGTGTGATGCTTATGTCCGTGCTCTTTCATACAGCATGGAGCAAGGTAGAACAGTGGTCATAAAGGATAGTTTGAATCCCTCCTGGGATGAATATGTTTATGTTCCTGTTATGACCAAACACGATACTTGCCAGCTTCAAGTTATGCAGTTTGAGTCACACGGTGATGATACTGTTATTGGTTCACTCTCTATTCCCGTGTCCAAATTTGTTCAACAAAGTGAAAATGGTACATTCCTTGAATACCATGAACCTAGTGAGCTTACCAACAACTTGATTTCGTCACGCGGTGTACAAGGTAAATCTACCATCAAATATCGATATGACTTCTATCCTTTGGCTTCTGTTCCTGGATTAGCGAATAAAGGACCTTCATCAGTCAATGCGTCACCCGCGGTCGATGCTGTTGGTGCGCCTGAAACTGGAAAGGATTCTCTTGCAAAGAAACAGCCTTCTTTGCCTTCGCAACTATTGTCTCCGCTTGAAGTTACCACTGAGTGTCTGAAATATGAGTCTGGCTTCATGTCTTGGGATGTAATATCAGGACAGCTATCAGGTAAATACAAACTGGCAATATTCCTTGATGATCTTCCCCACCACATTTATATGTCACCTGTTCTTAAAGGTCCTAATGGCAGTACTATCCATGAATTTGGTCGTACGTTTATCAGACAGCTTCAATTTTCACAATGCTCTTTCAAACTTTTAGATGGTACAAAGATTGTTGGCTCTTATGTTTGCCCTACTAAAAAGTTGATACAGGAAGGAAGTTCTAAGCCTTTCAAATTAACTTTTGACAAAGGTGGTTCCTTCTCAATTGCTTTCCGGTTTACACCGGTGGTTTTGGAATTAGACGAGAAGGAGAAGTATGAAAACATGGGTAAAATGACGGTAGACGTACTTAATGCTACCAACCTTGCTAGCGCTGATTCCAATGGAAAGTCCGATCCTTTCGTTATATTTGAGCTCCAAGATGAAGAAGTGTTTACTACGAAGACTGTTAAGAAAAATCTTAATCCTGTATTTAATGAAGGATTTGAGGTTGAACTTCCATGCAAGCAAACGAGTAAGTTTATTGCCAGAGTTTTTGACCGTGACTTTGGAAACCAAAACGATCCTTTAGGAAACTGTGTTATTGATCTGATTAAGCTTCAGCAACATGAGTACACTAACTTTGAGTTGCCTCTGGACAGTAATCAAGGAACCTTGAATTTGAGAATTCACCTTGAACCTCGATGGGTTTTGCGTTCAAAGCGTGCAGGAAATTCTTCTTTTGCTGAGGATATCTTGGGACAAACAGCACAATTAATGGCTATGCCATTAGAAGGGATATCTTCTCTTGGGGAAGCTGCTTTTGGTGGAATTAATGCTGCTGTTGATGGAGTTACATCTGTCGCTAATTTCACCAATAAAATGCGCAAAGGTTTCTCTCGTGGTCTTAAGAAAGACAAATAATTTCTCTTTTAATTTGCAATCTACTGAGATATGGTGGCTTCGCTGACATCTAACTTTTTAGTTTAATTTTTTTTTTTTGAATCGCTACAGCAGAAAGCAACTATACATATCTAGACTAAGCTCAATTTAATCATTATCAGCAATAATTTAAAAGTAAAACTTAAGTAAAGACACTAGTTAAGTAAGCACTTGCACAATATTCAACATAGGAATCGAATTAGCATATGTTACTAAGGACTTAGAGTTGAAGAGTGGAATAATAGATTAATGAACCCATTAGATATATAAGCATACAAAAATGATGGGAAAAAAAGTACTGAGAAAGCAAAATGCTCTAAGCTAAAAGATTGAATTCGGTACTTTTCAAGGGTATATACAGATATTGATATGTCACGTTTCGTAGCTTTTCCCAAACGTAAAAAAAAAAGAAAGTAAAAAAAAAGGGAAAATAATTGATGCTGCTGTAAGCTTTATTTTCTAAAATGTCGCATAAAGGAGTTCATGACATTTTCAAAAAAAAAAAAAAAAGGATTTTTCTATAGGACTCCCAGGTAATCTTCTTTCATGGTAGCAATCGCAAACTAAGGAGAGGTTAATAAATCTAGCAACGAACATATTGAGAGACGTACAATTTCAGTAGCATCTGTTCTAGTACCAACGATCTTCAATCGAACGTTGGATCCTCGTTCAATGACCTGATCTTCACCTGAGTAATTTGGAGGATTGGCAGCAGGATCAAATCTCATATCCGGAGGTACAAGATGTGAGGACACAAAGACACTTAAAGGACCAATATCGGCAAAAAATCCCATCTTATTTACCGTAGTAACCACGGCGTCAACCACTTCGCCTCTAAACGGTCTCCATAGAACCGCTCGATATTTTACTTCAAACTCAGCATAACCTTGACCTGGTACTACTCGCCCTTTATCAATATTTATAGTATTGCTGTCAAGCACACATATAATATAACCATATTGTCCTGAACATGTTCCTTCAACGTCCGCTAAGAGCTTTGCTTTTAGATAGTCCTGCATCCGAGGGCCAAAGTAGCTGGGATGTAACGTGATTGTAAGAGAAAGCTCTTTTAAGAAAAAAGGCATATCTTCTGTTTACTATTTATCTAATTTCAAAAGCGCAAACACTCTGAAAACACTTACTTTCTGGGTTATTACTTATTCAGTGAAATTGATCTATATTGCTTTCAATTCTGGAGGGCCACCAAAGAAATCATCAAAAGCCAATCATAAAAGTTATTATACACGTATGAATATCACAAGTACAAGCCCTTCTGAGTGTTTCCTTAAAACTCTAGAAGATGCTCTCGAATCGTGCTGTCCTCTCCATTACTTCCTTATGATAATGAAATCAGTAATTATATTCTCATAAAGGGTAACATTATAAAATAAATTTCTGAAAGTGAAATTGTAGTAGACTGGTAGATAAATTTATTTTTTTACTTTGTTTTAATATTCTTGTCATATGCATAACAGTTTAATACAAAGAAATGAAATGAGAAGCTCTATTTTATTATTAGTACAGAAGCAAAAAATTGTTTTCATGAATATTACTAGTATATAATTGAAATGCAGTAAACGAAATCAAACAAACAAGCTTCCAATGTAATCATAACGATGTGATATTTGTTCTCAAGCAATGAAGCATACAAGCCGAACATTCCTCGGAACAGATTAATGTTCCTATAATAGTCTTATAAACATGCTTCATGGACAATCAACCACAGCATTGCTTACTTGAATTGTTTAGTCCCGCAAAACGATATCCTTAGGTTTGTTGTCACGGAAGTACTTTTTCATAACTTCTTCAATGACCCAGCATGCTCCATAGTCAAAGATCATGGTAAACAATAATTGCATTTGGAAATTGAAAGGAAGTTTTACAAGTTGCAATTTGGAATTAAGCTCGGGTATAAACTCTGTAACACCAGCAATAGCAACAAATGCCGCTCCCAAAAGGCCATAATACATGCCTTTGTTTTCACTTAATCCTTCACGGAAAGGACGTCCTTGATAGTTAATCGCGAAGGTAGAAACTTGTTGAATCAGCTGCAAAAGATAAATTGCACTGTTCAACAACGATGGGCTGAAGCTTTCTTCTAAATCAACTTTATCCAAAGGATTTTCATAAGTATACACACATTTTGTGATATAAATCAGTGTAACAACATGGACGATAAATTGTGCCAAGACGGATCCAATAATGTAGGTGTTGAATATACGGTGCTGAGGCCTTTCCTTTGAAAGAGTCTCCATAGGCTTCGCCCTTGACACACAGTAAAAACAAACAGACATCAGCATACCGGAGATGGTATATTGAGTATCACCAAACTTAATGCCATCCAAGTGCAAAACGGAAAGAGAGTAAGCAGTGATCAAGCAATTTAATGCCAAAATCTTGTGTAATTGGACAAGTGCTACCAGTGTGCAACGTCCTTGACGAACGATGTTAATGACGGAATTAGTCACTGCTAATTTGGATGTAATTGGAGCTGCAACAGACGCATCACCTAACTTAATCTTCGGTGCATCATCTTCAGAAGCTTCTGCCATCGTGTCAAACATTTTGTTTGCTAAGTTGGCACGTTTTTCGGCAGACTGTTCGCTTTCGGTCAATCCTGTTTCGCCTTCTTTCTTAACTTTCAAGTCGTCCAAATATTTAGTTAAATTTTCCTGAGTCTTTTCGCGGTGAGGATTGTTAGGTCCGGGAGGGAATGCATGACACAAGGCTGGAGGAACGGGAGGAGGAGGAAGGTTAAATCGCTTAGAAAGGTTAATTTGCTTTTCATAAACCGACATCAAATTATTCATCCGTGCCCTCTCCTGCATTTGCAACATGTCTTCCTCAGATGCATTGAGTAATGCTATACCAACGTGAGATTGCTTAAGAGCACCGACGTCGTTCGTTCCATCACCACACATCAGAGTAACATAACCACAATCCTTCAAAGTAGCAATCATAAGTTCTTTTTGAGCGGGCGAAACACGAGCATATACCCATGCGTGCGTCAATACGGAAAGTAATACATTAGGATCTTCAATTTCGGAAAGAGCACGGCCAGTGACACATAGATCATATTTCTTATATAAAGAAGCATCTAACTTCTTCGTGCAATCCATAGGCACAGTGACAGTATCATCTGTACTCTTCCATTCCATTGTTCCCTTAGAAGTTTCATTCTTGTCTAACACTAAAGTAGGTTTTTCTACAATACCGACTTGTTCGGCAACGTATACTGCAGTCAATGGGTTATCACCAGTAATCATGATGCATCGGTGAGACGAGTTATTCAACATTTGAATGGTAGCTTTAGCATCGTCCTTCAAAGGAGAATTGAATATCAGGAAACCCGCAAAATCCAAGCCAGATTCTATTTCTTCGCGTGTCAAATCGGTAACCTTACTTTCTGATACAAAATTCTTAAAATGTTTGCAAGCAAGAGCCAAAACACGAGATCCTTTACGACCATATTCTTTGTAAACCTTTTCATAATCTCTAGGGACGTTCTTAAGCATAGTAGCAATAACCTCTGGGGCACCTTTAACTGAAACAAACGTTCTTTGGTTACCGCCCGCGATACGAACATTAGACACAGAGGACTGACGTTTCAAAGCAGATGAGAACTGGAAGTTACGAGTAATTTGAACCTTTCCTTTATGGAAAACAGAAGTTTCGGGAGGAACGATCACGTTATTCTTACTTACTGACCAGCCTAATGCTTCAATAGTAGCTTTCTCCATTGGATCACCCACTGTCTTAGCAGGCTCTCCTTCTTGTTCAAGTAATACTAGTGTATGAGCGGTAGCGATCGCTAATTCAGTTTCTTTAGGGACATTATTCAAAGTCTCGAGACGGGAAGGCTCTTCTTTGTTCAAACCAGAAACACCCTGGACAACCATATGTTCCTCTGTTAAAGTACCAGTCTTATCAAAACAGCAAATGTCTACATGTCCTGCTACAGGAATACGGAAAGGCTCAGTACAGTAAATGTAATACTTGGATAAGGCAGCCAATGAAGCATTTACCGCTAACGAAAGCTCCATAGGAAGCTCAGAGGGGACAACAGATGTAATAATCATAATGCAATCTAACATTAGCTTGTAGCGACTTCTGTCAGTTTGGCTACCGACGTGCCATACATAAGCAGAAGCAGCAATAGCGAAGACCATCAAAAACAAAATAAAGTAAAGCTTTTCCAAATTATTTTCGCTAACCTTTTCAGAGGAGAATACCATTGTACGAACAAGAGAACCTTGACTTGTTTCAAAACCAGTTCGAAGCACAACAGCAGGTACACCACCATCAGGAGTCTTTATTTTTGAGAATGGAGAAGGAGTAACTTGAAGAACTCGAGTACCACCATTCAAAATAGCATTCTTGTCAATATCGCCAAAATCTACTACTGCCTCCTCTGGGCGTAACTCAATAGATTCTTTAACCAAAGGGGTAGACTCTCCTGATAGCATGGCCTCATTAACGACACAAGTCCCGGAAATTAAAAGCATGTCGCAAGGAAGTCCAAGATCTTCTTTGGTATGCACGATGGATACAACGTCGTTAGGTAAAAGATCCTCGGTTGAGACAGTCATCCATTTTTTGTTACGATATACTTGAACATCATATGTCTGAATGCTCATGGTACGGAATTCAACTAAAGTTCGCTGACGCTGCCAGACGACAGAACATTCAAGGGCCACAATCATAAACATTGAGAAAAGAGAAAACTTCCAGTATTCATCCAAGCACCAAAGAACACAGCAGAAAATTTGGAAAACAAAAAAAGGAGCAACTGCGTGCTCTTTAAATAAGGCAGTAAATGAAGGGATAGGAATATCAAAGACGTTTCTACCATAGTGACATTTGTACAATTCCTCTTGGGCAGAATTCAAACCAGAGCTATTCTTGAAATCGCTAATTGTAAGAGAAGAATCCATAGGAAAAGTTACATTAGTAAAATGTTTATTCTCTTCCTTATACAGATAGCGCTTTTTTTGGAAAACGAATGAAAATTGGACGCGTTGACCATCAGGAAGAACCGTCTTTTCAATTGGTTCCACACTGCTGTTATCTCCAGACTTGCTAGGAACCACCATAATGTGAGTAGCATGACCAACAGAATTGCTCTTCTTGCATGTCAAAAGACAATACATACGAGTATTCCATTCACCAATTAGCCAAACCAGTACATTTAATGTTCCAGAAGCAATGTAGGTTAAATAACGAACTTCATCAGAAAATAAATGATTCTTGTAAACATATGCAATATAAGGATAAACGAATAAGGCAAACGGCCAGATGTATAAATGAAACAGTGTGGGGAGCTTTATATAAAGCTGTCCAGACTTAATGTCTGGACTACTCACCAAACCAGAATCTCCCATAAGGAATCCTATAATCTATTCACTGAACCAATTCACTAGTTCAGTTGGTGAATTGTTCTTAGAAGGTAGCGTTGAAATGCTAGATGAGAGTAAGCTCAGATTTCTGATAGTATTATATTATACATCTTATCTAGTAATAAAGGGGAAATGAACCTCTAACCATAAATGGCTCTGGATCTTTTAATTTGAGCATAATTTGATAGTTTTCTAAGTATTATCATTAATAACTTGATTAAATAAATAGCAGGTGATTGCTATATCCTCTTCAGGCGCATGTACGATTGAAATTCCGCATTTCGTTTTTGGATTGTTTAACAAATTCCTTCTTTCATTCTTTTCTTCCTATATACATCGTTGTGTGAAACTGTACCCTTTCATTTGATTGTACTATTGTTAGTCACTGTACTTATTTCACAATTGCTTGAGAGTATATACTGCGATTTATTTATTTCGACAATTCTTACAAAAGTCGGATAGAATGAAATTTGCATCGAATGGAACGCAAGGAAAGATTGTGTTTAAGTCCATTTTAATCTCCATTTTCCTCTTAATCACCTTAGCTTTCCTGAGAAATGGTATCCGCAACAATAGTTCAAAGAATCACCGTAAAGAGCCATTAAATTTGGAAGACATTGTATTGCAAAAGTTTCGACCTACATATAAACAGATTGATTGGATATACAACGAGAGGTATAGCGATACGTTTCTAGTGAAAGAAGACGAAGCTTTATATCTTCGTGATCCATTTGATTTGAATGAGTTGCTGTTCTCCGACGCTGATCTAGTGTATAAAAATGAACGTATCAATTATGACGGATATTCCGTTTCAGCAGATGCTCGATATGTTCTACTAAACGTGAACAGAACTCAAAGGTGGAGACACTCTTTTACTGCTTCCTACTATTTGTTCGATACATTAGAAAAAGAAGTGACACCACTGGTCCCCCAGGAAGAAAATTTGCGTATAAGCTTGGCCGTTTGGTCACCTACGGGACATCAATTGGTAAGAAGTATAAGTTTACAAGTATTGGTGGCTAAACTATTTTTACCTTTAGGCTTTTGTGTATGAAAATAATTTACACGTTCTTACAGAAAATAGGGAAATTTTGACTCTTACGACAGATGGAAATGAGAATGTATTTTACGGATTGTCTGACTGGATATATGAAGAAGAGGTTCTATCAAGCCCTTCAACGATCTGGTGGTCTCCAGACGCTCGCAAATTGGCATTTTTAAAGTTAAATGAAAGTGCTACTCCAATTTACCAGTTTCCTCTATACACCAGCGAAAGTGATACGTCTAGTTTTGAATTTAACTACAACAAGGACATAAAAATCAAGTACCCAAAAGCTGGTCAACCAAATCCAACTGTTTCACTACTATTTTCCGATTTGGGAACTGATAAAACATATCCACTGCATTCTTGGAATAATCATGTCTTTGAAGAGACTGTAGTACAAAATGTACTCTGGGTCAATGAATCGGCAACCCTTGTGCAGTTTACCAATCGCAACAGTACCTGTAAGAAGACCGATTTACTAGATTTGGAAACCAAAAGGATCTCGTCCGTCTTAAGTGAGTGTCTTACCGACGGATGGTTTGAAGTGCAGCAATTTGCAAAGACTCTTCCTGTGAATAATCCAAATTATGAAGTTTGGACCAATGGCTTTTTTGATATTATGCCTTATCAAGATTACAATCATTTAGCTTTCGTTCCTTTCAACGGATCATCTCCCACCTTTCTCACCTCTGGAACTTGGGACGTCACCGAAGGTCCCCTGTCCATCGATGCTTCTCGAGGGCACTTGTATTTCATTGGAACATTGAAAGATTCATCGGAACGTCATTTATACTACGTTTCCTTGGATAATCTTGAAATACACAATATTACTGACGATGGTGTACAGGATGGGTACTATTCGACTAATTTTTCTCCTTCAGGTAACTTTTATGTATTGAATTATCAAGGTCCGAGAATCCCTTGGCAGGAACTTCGTTCTATCCAAAAAGATAATTTCACAGTACGGATTGAAGAGAACGAACATCTACATAAAATTTTGGGATCGTACAATTTGCCGCAAATTAAATACGATAAACTCATTGTAAACAATACCACATTGCCTTACATGGAGCGGAAGCCGACAAATTTCAATCCTAATCGTAAATATCCTGTTTTATTTTTTGCCTATGGTGGACCCGGTTCTCAACAGGTTTCTAAACTTTTTCGTGTGGACTTCCAAACATATCTAGCTTCTCATCCAAATTTTGAGTACATTGTAGTCACTGTTGATGGTAGGGGAACGGGATTTAATGGGAATGATTTTCGCCAATCTGTCTATCAAAACCTAGGTACATTAGAAGCAATGGACCAGGTAAGTGCTGCTGAACATTGGGCACAGTATCCGTTTGTTGAACAAGAGAAGGTTGCAATTTGGGGCTGGAGTTTTGGTGGCTATCTGACCTTGAAAGCACTAGAGGCTTCCAACGTCTTTTCATATGGAATGGCTGTCGCACCTGTTACAGATTGGCATCTGTACGATAGTATTTATACAGAGAGGTACATGAATCTTCCGATATTGAACGAAAATGGCTATGAGAACTCAAAAGTACATAACATTACAATACTTAAGGAAAAAAAGCGTTTTTTAATCGCGCATGGTACAGGAGATGATAATGTGCATTTTCAACATGTGATGCATCTTATGGACCAACTAAATCTTGCAAATTGTTACAATTATGATATGGCTGTTTTTCCAGATAGCGCCCATTCTATAAGCTATCATAATGCTAGTCTTGCCATATATCATCGTTTGAGTGAATGGATTTCTATGGCTTTTTCAGAGAAAAAAAGCGTGATGTCGTGATTCTGTAAAGTTTTTATCGGCTATATCCTTCATTGCTGTATTAACGAATTAATGAATTTGTTTAATATCAGGTCCTAATTTACGATTTAATAGATTTCTACTATATATGACTTTTAATTATATACAAATAGATCCAAAGGGCCGTTTACGTATGCTTATTTTTGTTTTACTTTTAATAATGAAATCGTAATGTCTACAATTGTTTAGGGTTTCACAGATGAACTTTGGTAGGAGCTTTCTTCATTAGATATTTTTTAAATGATAATAGTAAGCTTTGTACAACAACTTGCGCATATTGATTTCATCTTGGCTAGTGAAAAAGAAACTAAGACAACATAGTACATTGAACGTATGGCTAAGAAATTGAAAATCAGTAAAGTATTCAAGTATAGTAACATAAACCGATAAGAATAACTATTAAAGTAATCGAATGGGAAAGAGATCTTGTATGCCTTGAGAAAACAAATCTTCAACGCCTGAATATGAAGACCTCCAGATGATTTTGACTATTGTATTTGCAAGACTTATTTAAAGTCATACATGATGAATATATTTTCATACGGTATTGTGATTACAATCTCTGTAGGTTTATTCGTCTTGCTTAACGTATATGTACAACTAGCAACAAATTTTGTATGATTTACTAATTCGGAAAAGGCTTTGAAGTGTATAAATTGAAAAATATTGTACAAAAGGTAATCATAAACTAAAAGAAAAAGGGATTATGGAAAGAGCAGCTGGCTTGATATCAAAGGATACTGTTCGGTGGGTGAGCTTGATCGCTCACGGAAGGCTTAAATGTTTGGACGTGCGACCACCGAAAGAATTTCAAAAGCGACATCTCTATGGATCTGTTAATATCCCTAGTACTACGATTGCAGGACGCTGGTTTCAATTACCGGCGAAACAGGAAGGATTTGTGGTCTTAGAACAAGATGGTAGTTCTATTGACGAAAAAGAAGGGGGTTCTTGTTCTGAACAATTACAACAGAAAGGTTGGAAAATTGAAGGATCTATACGTGCTAGTACTGAACTCTGGCAATGGATCGAGCAAAACGGCATGATTGAACAAGGAGAAAGTAAAAGATTGCTATTCGATCCCAGCCCTCATCTTAAAGAGAATATATCAATGATTGAGGGTAACTTACGAAAATCTGAAGCACGAGTGTTAGACGTTGGATGCGGTTCCGGTAGAGACTTGGCTTGGTTATGCTCGAGGGAAAGCAAAATACGATACAAAGTCACGGCTGTAGATGCGGAAAAAAGAGCAATCTATAGATTCTCGAGTCTATTTGAAACACTTGGATTGGAAGACCATATTGAACATAAACAAATCGCCAAGATGGATTCAGTAGGCAAATGGAAATGTTATAATATGGAAGGAAAAAGAGATATTAATATCCCAGATCTTTCGACCTCAGACCTTATGAAATTTTTTGAGACTTCGTCGACTACGAAGCCTGGAAAGCAAGATGAAAAGTATGACTTGGTTGTCCAAATTCGATTCTTGCACAGGTTACTCTTAACCCAAACTGATCAATTGCTTTGCGATGATGGTTTTTTGTTTCTTTGTACCTTTGTGAACGATGGCATTCATGACTATGAGTATCCCAAAGGCCAAGAACACCGACTCGAACTGGGGGAGGCCGCACAACTCATACGGTCTTCGTCTCCTTCTATGAAAATTTTAAAAGAAGAAGTCGGTTTTATAGAAGATGGCCGACCGGTTCAAGTTTTGCTTGCTCAGAAGCAAGCCAGTGTTCATTAAAATTACACCTTACCCAGAAAGCGCTCACAGTAGATAAAAATAATCGGTCATTTTACCCAAGTCATATTAATTCTTTATATGATGCTAATATCATCACTGAAAGTTGCTTTTTCGCTTCCATAGTACCCTCTGGCCGAAGTGTTTTACGATTAAATCACTTCTTATTGTGCCTGAATAAGAAAGGAAACAAATTTGAGAACAAAAAGACAACTATAAGCTGTTTTCATAGTAAATATCCACTCAATTCATAAACAATTATGCTGTTTACAAGTGCCTGACCGCTAGGGTATGCCTGAAAATGTCCATTAGCTTTTTGTAAAGGACAGTGCTTAGTATAAAAAGATTATATTTTTTTAAATTTGGAGAACTAACTAAAGCATTTTAAAATATTGCAAGATACTGTCTACGTTATCGCTACTATCTATTAAATTATAACTATTCATGTTCCTCTTAATAAACCTACCTTTGTTGTCCACATACCCTTAGCAATAAACCACTAGTTATATCCCATCGATAATTTGGTTGTTCTCTCATAACATTCATTATGCCATCCTCATCTATAAAACCTTCCGTTCTTTTAATCGGTTCTTTACGACACGCGCCTGAAGAGTGGAAAGCTCTTGGCGAACATGCTAACTTAAAGGTATGTAGTCTATTTAAGCTAGCTTACGGACTCATTGAAAGGGAATAAAAGCTATATATAGCTATTGTTACCATTGATTGCTAACATTGTGCTTAGGTATTCTGCGATGAAAGTCGTGAAGAGTTTTTTAGAAAATGCAAAACTGAGTTTCAAGACGTTAAGGGAATCATTCGTACTTTCGAAACTAAGTTTTTCATGGGTATATTTGACGAAGAAGTTATTGAGCACCTTCCTTCTTCTGTTAAATTCATCTGCCACGTCGGTGCTGGTTACGAAACTGTGGATGTTGATGCTTGTACGAAACGTGGAATCCGGGTCGCAAACTGTCCTGTCGCTGTAGACGATGCAACGGCCGATACAGGTATTTTTTTGATGCTTGGCGCGTTCCGTCGCTTCAACCAAGGACTCTTTAGCTTACGTGAAAAGCGCTGGAGAAATGACTGTCGCCTACCTTCTCACGATCCTGAAGGAAAGACCCTTGGTATCCTCGGCATGGGTGGTATCGGCAGAACAGTAGCAAAGCGCGCTCGTGCATTCGACATGAATATCATCTATCATAACCGTCATCAACTCGATGAAAAAGACGCTGGCGGTGCTAAATATGTCCAATTTGATGAGCTTTTGGCTCAGTCAGACGTCTTGTATTTGAGCTTGCCCTTGAACAAGCACACACATCACATCATCGGCAAAGAAGAGTTCAAAAAGATGAAGCGCGGCATTATCATCGTCAATACTGCCCGTGGTCCCGTAATGGATGAGGATGCTCTTGTCGAGGGCTTGAAAGAAGGTATTGTGTATTCTGCCGGACTTGATGTGTATGAGCATGAACCTCAAGTTCATCCTGGTCTTATGGAAAACCCAAATGTGATTCTTCTTCCTCATTTGGGTACCAATTCTTTGGAAACTCAGCACAAGATGGAAGCTTTTAGCCTTGAAAACTTGAAGAGTGGTGTCTTAAACGACAAGTAAGTATCAAAATCTCTTTCTTCCTTTTTACTAACAAAATTAAAGGCTTATTAGTCCTGTTCCTGAACAGAGAAATATGTAACTGTAAGAATCATGAATGATTCTACGAGGAACTTAATTTTTCTAAAATCTATTTGCTGCTTTTCTTGCTTACGTATATTTACTACCCCTTAAATTTTACCCTAGACATGACTTTCACAGTAATGAATTCTGTTTGCCGTCATAGACTATTGATGTTATTTCATTTATAAACTGAGCCAACCATCACCCGTCGGTTATACCAGACCCAAAAAATCCTTCCCAACAGCTAGATATATTCTATAAAGGAGTTGTTTTCATGGAGAAACTCATGAGTATACGACACACAAAAATGCAAATAAATATGAGAGTAGCGTAGACATTTTTACAAAAAGATCATGTTTTCTTTTTCTTGTTTTTGTTTTTCCTCTTCTTGGGTTTCGGAGTAGCCTCACTCTTTTCAGTATCTAAAGATATAATATCGCGATCCATATCCGTCGCCGTTCGTTTCTTGTGGCTATCGTTCTTAGATTTTGCTTGACTATTTCCTTTTCCTCGAACCAAATTGGAAAGTCTTTCTTGATTACGTCTTTCACGCTCAGTGGTCTCTAAGCCCTCCATTTTGTAAGGAGCATCAGACTCTTCTTCTTCATTCTCTTCATTTTCAACAGAGTCTTTTTGATTTCCTTCCAATTCTTTATTGAATAATCCAAAACTAGCCCTTCCAGCAACGGCAGGGCCTTCTGTCTCTTGAGTGTCACCATTATTCTCGGGTTTCGATATTAAGCTTCCATAACTGGACTCATACTCGAATTTACAAGAATTTTTATTGGAAGGAGCATCAGCAGTTTTCCTTAATGACCAATGTTCATCCGTCACAATGGGCTTAGACAATTGCTCCTCTGTTTGTCTTGGATCTATTCCCCGAGCTTTTTGCATAAACTGTCAATACATACGGTTAATCGCTTCTCTTTCCTTCTCAAGATAATCATACCTTCATAGACATTAATTTGGACGACATCTTGATAAATGTTTATGAGAAAATCCCAGTGAAATCGCACTGTTCCACCTGGTTTGATTTCTTCACATTTGTTCATGGCCAATCCTGGTTTAGGATTGGAATAATGAAGTAGAACGAAATTTAGCGAAGAAGTGAAAACCAAAACATTTAAGAGTCAAGCTATTAAAAAAAAAAAAAAAAAAAAAGGTAAACATTTCATAGGCTTCTTCTACTTGGATCTAGCTATTCATTGAGGGATCCTTTAATTCATAAAGAGGGCTTCATCAATATCACCGAAAGGTTCAATGGGTGCAGCAGCTTTGCTGAAAGGTAAGCTTTCCTTAAAAAAATTTCCGTTTTTAATGGTTTCAGCTCCAGGAATTTCGTACTCTTGATCCTCACAACGTTGCGATACAACGTGCACGGAGAGCTTGCTCGTCAGTTTACCATCATAATGGATATGATTGACGAAAAACTCGTACAGTTCTTCCTTGGTAATTGATGATACAAGTTCGGCTTGTTTTTCCAGTCGATTGTAGTCGTAAAAACCATCAGAAGTACGAAGCCAATACATAGAACTTTCCTCCCTTAAGTTTGTATACTTCTCTAGCATGAAGTTGATCAAGCTTGTTTTGTGGTCATTAAATTCTTTTTCAGAAATTTGCGCAAATGATTCTTTTAAGTGATCTAATAGAGCCCGAATACGTGTTTCCAAATAAGAACTGCTCCGCTCACTTTGAACAAATACTGTCAAATAAACATAAGGAGTGGATTGACGAAGAAGCGTAAATACTATATAACCGAGCTGTTCTTTAGTCCGGAGAATGGAGAAAGAAGGTTCCTTCATGAGTTGACGGGCCAAGCGAGTCAATGCTCCAGATCTCTGATCATCCATAGGAGCAATTTGTAATGCGTACATAATAGCTGAGTTTTTGTCTTTCTCGTTAGGAACGATTGTCTTATAAATATAGTTGCTTCCTTTGGGAAGCACAACTGCTCTTTTACGAGTAAGCTGCGATGCGAATACGGGCTTGGGATTAAGAATATTCAGAGCAGTTTCTATAAGTGCTTTCGCATCATCCTTAATATAATTTCCATGTATCAAAGATTCTATAAAAATTTGATTGGTGAATTCACTAATAAATTGGTAAGTATCATCAATAGTGACATCCTTAATGGCTTCCCGGAGTTCAGAATTCATCCATATTGGGTACTCTGTCAGCCAGGTTAGAACGCTACTAGATCTGGGATAAGCCTCCAAAGCATCATAATCCTTCAGTTCTTGTTCATATCGATTTTTTATAATATCAAATCTTTGAGAATGTATTTTCAAATCGCGCATAACCGTAATTACTTTTTCCAATAAAACATGAAGTTTGTCAGTAAAACCGCTAAGGTATAACGAAACACCCCGACTTGATGGCAACAAGACGAAAGAAAGTCCAGCTAGTGTAGCGGGATATGAATATTCGTTTAGGGCATCTTCAACAAGTCGGACGTAAAGATTAGTTATAACGCTAACTTTTGGCGACTTCCTAGCCACAGGAGAAGCAAATTGAATAAAGACATTTGCCTTTGGTACCCAAAACGTATCATCTTTCTTATGCCATAAGCGAACGTATTCGTCGTTTCGAATCAAGCCAGGAGACTTGGCTTTTTCTTTTACAGGTTCTCTCTCCACTTCTAGTGACCAAGGAATAAACTCATTTGGAGCAGGAAGGTGAAGCTCTCTAGGTGGCTTGCAAGTACGAAGCGATTCTAAGAAGGAGGGATCTAGGGGTTCCACCAGGTATTCCAACCCATAAAATTCCTCTTTCTGATTGAACTCCTTTTCAAGAGAGTGAGAGGATAAGATAACTATAAGATTGTCAGGTCGGAAACAATCAATAACAGCTTGAATAGCATCCATGTCAAAATTGGTAAGAACCGAAGCAGAATACAGAATTTTGTCCCTAGGGTAATTATGCTGCATTTTGCTAGCAACCGAATGAGCATATTGCGAAGCGTATGTTTTCTGACGAGTTTTGAATTGAGCTTCTGACATAATCCGAGTTTCCTCAAATAGAAATTTATGGGCTGCTTTGTGGTCTAACAGTTGAACGTATTCAAATAAAATGCGAATTACTCGCTCGTAATCGGCAAGTCCCTCTTCTGTTAGGGAAACGGAAACAACAACAATATCGGCATCTTCTGTAATGGTTATAGATCCAGCAACCAAGGAAGTACCTAGACCCAATTCTTTTAGGTATGCCAAATATGAACCTTCACCTTCGTGTCCTAGTAGGTGACAAACATAGTCTGCCGGACGGCATTCATACTGAGAGTACTGACCAGGAATAGGGAAAAGCATATCAACTCGGCGAAGATTTTTTACGGGCTTGATATAGCAAATTTTACGAAGTTGCTCATCTTGGTATGGGCTTCCTGGATGTCTTGGTCTTGGAACAGATTTGTTCTTTATGGGTGAAAAGAATTCAGTAGCCCATTCCTGAAGAGTGTCTAATGGCTCACGGCCGATAATAACTAGTTTCATCAAATTTGCCGAATAGTATTTGTCATAAAACTTTAATAACTCTTCACGAACATCCAGACCCATGTCTTTGGGAACATCGCCAAGTGTTTTTACATTTCCAGTATTGAATTTATTAAATACGTGGTCTGGGTGACTTAGGACACCATATAGACGCCAAAAGCGCCAATCGTCCGATTGAAGATTCTTAGAGTGTTCAGAGTCCACCGCAAGAATTTCACGATCTTTGCATCCTTCCAAGAATAGAGGATCAATAAAGAACTGAGAAAAACGGTCCAAAGCTCCATATAAAGCGTCATGCGATACTTCAAAATAATAGTTGGTGTCATTTGACGCAGTGTAAGCGTTTGACATACCATTATTGGTTTCCAAGTATTTTCTATATTCGTTCTCATCTGGATACTTTTTTGTTCCCATAAATAATAGATGCTCACAGAAATGAGCCAGTCCTAAAAGTTCCTTAGGATTACTTTGGCTTCCTATATGAACATCGAGTGCTGCACTCGAGTTATCTGTTTCGGGATCCCTAATCAATAATACCTCTAATTCATTTTCTAACTGTATGAGTCGATATTCCCTGTCATCAAGACTTGGTACGATTTGTTTATCTGCGACTACTTTTACCTGAGAAGATGCAGTCATGTTCCACCACGTTATTAAATGATTTCTTTGATCAAAAAAGAAAACCAGATAAAGTATTTATCCTAAAAGACTCAAATTTGGTTCTAAAAAAAACAATTGCTATTCCTACGTCTAAAATACGTATTTTATTTAATTAATAGTGAGGTCGAAGGACAGTTATTAATCCCTTATTAAGCGCACCTTCCAGTGCTATAGTAAACAAATCTTAATAAAAAACCCGAATCCCAGACAGAGGATGGATTTTCTCTATACTTTCGAATTAGTATAGTTGTAGTCCAAACAATTTATTTTTAAAAAAGAAAGAAAAAATAATTTATCGTGCAATTCTCCAATATACAATATCACCTGGTTGAACAACATAATCTTTTCCTTTAACAACAGTCTTTCCAGCTGTTTTGCAGGCTTCTACTGTACCATACTTTTGAAAATCCTCAAAATTGGTAATTTCACCTGCAACAAATTTTTTTTTAAAATCTGTGTGGATGGCTCCAGCAGCGTCAGGAGCCTTTGTTTCCAGTGGGATCGTCCAAGCTTGGACGATGTTGTTTCCCGCTGTAAAGTAATGCATGAGAGAGAGAGCAGAATATCCAGATTGGATGATTATAGGTAACTGACTAGAAACCTGTAAATTAGAACATTCCTCTTCCAATTCCTCGGGTGAAAGCAAGAAAAGCTGTTCTTCGAAAATGACAGATAGAGGAATAATGGTATCTCCAGGACTATGTTTTTCAACCCAAGCTTCAATTCTTTGTAGCGATCCTTTGTTTTTTTGCAAGAAATCATCTTCATCCATATTAACAAGGTATACAACGGGTTTGGCAGTAAGTAAATTAAAAGAATTGAGAAAAGGTACTTCCTCGTCAGACCAAGAGCGTTTGGAAACAGGACAACCATCATCTAATACACACTGCAATACCTTTTTTGCGACTTCCTTTGCTTTACCGGGTACTTTAGAGGATCGGCTTTCTTTTTTAAGGAATGATTCTACGAATTCTGCATCTTTCAACAGAAGCTCCTCTTGAATAATTTGTAAATCTCGAAGAGGATCCACAGTCTCTTCAACATGAGTGACATCTGGTTCGGGAAAGGCTCTGACAAGCTGAAATATGGCATCCACGGTTCGAATGTTGGATAGAAATGCGTTTCCCAATCCTTGTCCTTTGCTTGCATTCCGAACAAGACCTGCTGTATCATAAATCGTCAACTGCGCTGGAATTCGTTTTTCTGGATTCATTTTTTCGCAGAGCAACTCGTACCTAGGATCAGGAACTGGCACTTTTGCTGAAACAGGGTCAATAGTTGCAAAAGGATCTGCAACGAAAGTTAGTAAAATTTTTAATATGAATTATGAAATAATGAAATTTTACTCACAATTCGCCGGTTTGCCAAGATTCGTCTTAGTTAGCATCTGACTAGAATACTAGCATTAGTGGAATAGGTCTTTATTTCAATAAAATCATCAAATGAAGTTTAGTAAAAATAATGGAAGCAATTGCTTTTTTATTTCTCTATTCACTTACAAAAGTGTTGACTTTCCTATGTTGGGCATCCCAACAATACCTATTTTTAAATGATTTCCAGGACGTCCCAAACGATTTCTGAATACATCTTGTTTTGCAAAAAATACTTGACAGCTTGAAAATGACCGACAGACTTTTGGTCGTACTGATGCACACCTATTCTGTAACACTATCCTTGTACCAAAGTAATTCATTCTAGAAAGCAAATCCAAGGGCCAAAGGTTGTTTTCTTTTCTGTTTCAAAATAAAAATAAATTAGATAATTATTTACCACCGAAAGGAAGTATTTTTAGCGACTTCATTCAATTTGGTTAAGATGGAGATTCAAATCGGGGATAGGCGGCAAAACCTTTACCGATATGGAGGATTCATAAACATCTACGATTATAATGTGAACCAATTTGAAAGTGCGGACTCTATTGCTGAAATATATATTCAAGATGGCCAGGTATTCTTTCGCAACATTCAATCTAAGGCAACCTTTCAAACACTGCGGTTACTTCCTTCGCCTAGTGAAAAAAAGCTTTTTTACTACATTCCCTTAAATGAAGTACGAACAGTCTTACTAAATCTATGAAGATGCTGTTGAAACCACTGAATGCTAACTATTAGACAATGTATATTAATGATATAAAAACTTCCATTTTACCTATAAGTACATCTACATCTTCTGATGGTTCGTTTAATGCTTCTAAAACAGGAACTACGACTGTACGTTTGCTAGTGACAATATGTGCTAATGCTAACCACCATAATATAGATTCCGAATACGCCACAAAAGCCTTCGCAGCCTGATTTAACTTCTTTGACAGAACCTAGGATAAACAAGCCGTTTATCTTCGAGACCAAGTCTGAAAGTAAACTCCACCCGGTATGGGGAAAACAAAACTCAACTTCTTCAGGTCAGCTCTCGCGGATTGCTCCAGAAACGACGACGCTTGATTTGGAAAGAGTACTTTTTGGTCAAAATATTCCAGAATCTAAATCAAACGAAAAAGACTCCAAGGAAACTCCAGTGAGTGAAACATCAATGCCTGCAAATGTTGAGGAAGAGACAGATTCCAAGCAAATTCAAGACAGAAACTTAGAAGAAATTGGTGAATCTGATGAGAAAAGAATCCATCCGACGGAATCCGACCATTCTTTTGAACAAGCTGCTGCTCCGGAATCCGACACAACGAACGAAGAAGAAAATAATATACCCTCTACCCCTGCTGATATGAATATGTCTGAGAATACAAAATCACCAGAAAAATTAGATCAGCAACCTTCAGTTGAAAGGTTACCATCACCGGAAGAGCAAGAAGGAGTCCTTAGTGATCATCAACAAATAGACACTGGTGCATCAGCATTAGAAACTAATACGAATAAAGAAGAAACGAAAAACATGGAAAATAATTCAGAACATGTTGCTCGCGATGAATCGAATCTAAGCCCAGAGAGAAAAAAGGACATTGTAGAGAACCAAGAGGAAGTACACACAAGTCGGCAAATTTTACAAGATACTGAAGAAAACGAAAATAAAGATATAGAAGCTCAAGAGCAAGAAAGAGAGGAAGAAGAAATCCCTCTAACGAACTATACATTTCCATCGTCCGCTGGATCTACTGAAGAACAAAAGGGTTCTACACAGTTGCAGTCGGAAGGGATCAATATTGTAACCTCTAGCTTTAATTTAACGAAACCAATGCAAGCGTTTGCAAAAAAAAAAGCTATCAAAGTTCAAGAATCTGTTACGGACGCAACCAATTGTATTATTCTTGGGTCTCCTCCTCTTCGCAGAACGCATAAGTTTTTGTTGGCAACTTCTCTTGGAAAACCAGCAATCTCTTCTAAGTATATACTTGACTCAATGAAAGAAGGCACGCTGCTTAATTATAACGATTATATATACGAAGATCGGCAGGCAGAAGAAAAATGGAACTTCTCATTGAAAAATGTGCATAAAAGGCATTGTTTAGAAGGATTAAAATTTTATATTACCTCGGCAATGCGAAGTTCCATGGTAGGAGATTCTCTTCATGGATTATACTCTATTATTGAAACTTCGGGTGCGAAAGTAAGTGCTTTTTCAAAGATTTACCTTCAAAAATCAAAACCAAAGCTAACAACAATTTAGGTTGTTGAAGACATCCAAGAAGCTAAGAATCCACCGGTGGTGATTTTGGGATTACCAGTAAACGATGCTGAGGGCTACAACATGTTTGCTACGGGTCTACGCGTATATAAAATGGAAATAATAGCACTCTCTATTCTTCGTGATAGAATTGATTTTGATGAGTTTGCTATTGATTATTCTCAAAACAACGTATCCTCTACTGGATCCTCTGGACGAAGCAGGAAACGAAGTTCTCGAACTTCTTTTAGCAAGACTAGAGCAAAAGAACAAAAGACTTAATAGTTATTTTACAAAATAAGACGAACATATGAAAGAAACTTTTGGGTGCATGGTTTAGCCCATGGCGAGAAAATTAGACTACGATATTGATATCTTTTGAGAATGAATATTTTGTTTGTAAAGTTAAAGCTCCCAACATACCTTTAAATTCTCTAAGTAGAAATCCAAGTTAATCTTTTGTCATTGTTGTAATCTTTAACCAGGCTGATGGACTTTTTTCAACAGGAACAGAATTCAAGACACATATATCGATGGACTTTCAGGAAAGAGAAATAAAAAATTAGCATATGAAAAATAAAAAAATAAATGGAGAATAATACCAGTTCTTGACTCCTTTCTATTTTTTTTTTTAATTTTTTGCCTTTTGCCGCTCTTTGTTTATTTACTTGTTAGCACCACGTACATAAGGAATGACGTAACCTATCAGTATATTCCCACCCTCAGACTTGCTTATATAAAGCTAGGAACCTAGCTTCGACCTCATCATACTAACGCGACGTTATATTTCCGTAAAGCGATACTTTGTTAATATTTGTTTACAGTAAACTGACATTTGGTTGTCGTTTGTTTACTTGGTTAGTAAACATAATATCCTAAGCATTCTTTGTGGATTGATTTTATATTATACCGTTTCAATTAACATTGAAATTCAAATTTGACTAAAAGATATATTCAGTTTCTTTCTTTTCCTTTATTCGCCAAAGATGCACTCTACAAAGCACTTCCCTTCTGGTTTGGAGGATCGGTCAAACAATCCGGGAGCTTACGATGCTTCAGATGAGTATGCTTACTGCATCTGGATAGTTCCTGCTTATAGTTCCGAGGTTGAAATAAGATATCGTAAATTTACCAAATGGGCCTTGTCTCATGAGGAAGATTTCCAAAATATGCGACTTCCCACTGCTCCTCATGTTACGCTTGCAAAAGGAATTCATTTAAAAGAAGGCCAGTCGTTTGAAAGTGTTTTAAAGCATATTGCTTCAAAGAAGATCTCTCCCATGGACATAAAATTCGGAAAAGTGGCTCTTGGCAATACGTACTTTGATCGCGTCCATTACCAGATATTACGCACTCCTGCATTGAACGAGCTTCAACAGGCTGCTTATGAGCTTGTAGACGAGAATTTTTCTGATGAGACTAGAGAACCGTACATGCCGCTGATTTATGCAGAAGCTGTTGAAGGTTATTGGGGCACTTCTGACCCTCTTCTTTCATTATCTAGTATCAGTAACGTCAATTGGGAAAACCCTTCTTTCCTTGAGTTAGTGCAAGTGAACTTGAACACTCACCAAGGAATTATCTGTGGAAGAGTGGAAGTGTCTTGAGTCCTTTTATTTTTCAGTTGACCTTTTAAAGAGAGTGCTTTTTTCTTTTCCGTTTTCTTGTTTGTCAAGATGACTGCAATACCCTCAAACGAGGGTTTTCCCTGCTTACATACGGTTATGTATTCTTACATAGTTTGAACTTATCGACTTTAGGATAGCAGCAGTAAAGTAGATGACTTTTTATTATTTTTTGTGTATTTTTCTTTTCGCGTTTCTCTCGGACTCTCTCTCTCTCTCCTTTTTTCTTTTTTTTTGTTGATACTAAAACTAATATCTGCTAAACAACGTGCTAATGCTCTTTTTTTTTCTTTCTTTTTTTTTCGGGGTGGGTTTTTTTGCTTATGCGTATAGCTGTCCAATTCTTTTTTTTTTTTTTGCTTCCTAAGAAGACCTTATTGTATGTTCATTTTCATTTACATATACTTAATTCTGTCAACATATCTATATGCAAGCTTCTTTTATTCTTCTACTTCTCAAGAAACACCTAATCCTTTCATTTTGAAAACTCATTCGTTAAATATCAATAAATATTCAGTGTTTTCATATCGATGGAAATAGATATGGATATCGATGGAAATAGATATGGATGCATCATAAGGAAAAAATTAAAGAAAAGGGTAACGAAACAATCACGAAAAGACTTTTTCAAATGCCTGCAAAAACCCAAAAACACCTGAACTTTCTGAATCAGCATAAGTACCATAATCATGATCACCAACGTATACGGTATGCGTAAACGGAGGTTTAGGTCCCATGTGTTTGAATCCAGCAATCCAACGGAACACAGAATCATCATCTGTCTCATTGCTAGCGGAGAAAATGAAATCAAAGTCTGCACCATTTGATTTGTAAATGTCTTCTACAGCAAGACGCTTGGAAACTTTGCTAGAACGGCAAATGACTGTATCATTCTGAATCGTGGCACGGCAAGGGATATCAAAATTATTGACAGATTCACAACATTCCTTGGCTGCCCAAGAAGCAAATTCAGGATCTTCGGCTTCTCTTAGATGCAAAGCGACACTGGCATCTTTTTCTTCCACATAACTGCCCGCTGCACGCTCGGCATAATAACTAAAGATCTCAGTGACTGTCTTTATCCAACTGAGATCAACGTCCTTGATTTCACTCTTCCACAAGGCGGCAATTTGTTGCTCAGATGGAGGTAAGGCATCCGCTGTAGGAGGGGCACGTGTAAAGCAACCATTTTCAGCAACAAGACCCAATCTGGGAACACGCTGGAAAAGTTGATCCAACTCTTGTCGACCAAGAGCACTAATAATATACACGGTATTCTTAGGATCAGCGGTTAAATCCGTCAACAGATTAACTGTTCTCTGTAAACCACTAGTTACACTTTGATTTTGGGAACCCCAGGATGTAATAGTACCCTCGAAGTAAAGGAAGAGAAGACGCTTCTTAGCATTATGATATGGTTTAAGAATGAGATCTGCATTAAAAGTAAGCTTGCTTTTATCATTTGCCTGCTGTTCCTTCCAAGATTCTTTGATGAGAGTACCAAAAGTAATGGCCCAAGAAGTAGCATCATGACGAAGAATGAGGTTACACATGACTTTGCTTCTCTCCTCGCATTCACTCGGGGACATAGACAAAGCCTTGTAGAAGGCATCGGCGGTGTTGGAGTAGTCCCAAGGATTTACGACAATGGCATTGTGACCCAGAATGGAGGAACTACCGACAAATTCACTCAAGATCAAAGGCCTGTGACGTTCGCGTTGAGCGTAAATGAATTGATGGCTCGTCAAACTAATGCCTTCACGAAGAGAATTGTCGATGAGAGCATCGGAAATGGTCATGAGAGCCAAAAATTGGTGGATACTGATTTTCTGTCTTAACAAGATAACAGGAACATGACGAGAAGCGATATTTGAGTAGGAAGAATTAATTCGGGTTACGATATCGGAAATAAGGGGCAAGTGGAGATTATCTTGAAGAGATTCAGGAGCAATTTGAAGAAGAATGGTATTCTCTCTATATTGAGGGTATCTGTGCAAGAAAATTTCAAAAGAAAGTAGCTTGGAACGAAGACCGCAAATGGGGTCGAGTTTATCGTGGGAAAGGATGATATGTTTTCCCTTGAAGCGATCACGCAAAACACGGATCCAGTGTTGGACTTGGTTACTTTGAAGTTGTTTGTCTAGAGCAGCGGGATCGATGGAAATAGGAAGGGCAACGATTTCAATCTTTCTACCATCCAAAGAAACAGTTCCATCTTTACGAATATCAATGTTGATAAGACGAGAACAAGTTTGAAGGAAATGATAGGCAAACTCTGGGATTTGGAAGCCGAGGATATTTGCACCAAGCATGCCGCGAAGAATTTCTTGGCGGGTAGCAAGACAACGGCTGACCTCGGAGGAGGGAAAAGGGATATGTAAGAAGAAACCGATGTTTGCAGCAGGTATCTTTTCGCGAACCATTTGAGGAACGAGGAGAAGATGATAATCATTGATCCAAACCATATCGCCCTCACGATAGTTTGCAAGAATTGAGTCTGCGAATTTTTGGTTGACCTTGACATAATTGGCCCAAGAATGATCTTCGTAGGCCTTGGATTTAGGGTTGTCTGGGATTTGATAGTGGAAGGTGGGCCAAAGAATGTTTTTGCAATAGTGGTTGTAATGGCCGACAAAGTCCGTATCGGAAGGGTAAACGACGATGGATTTGTGAGAGGTTAAATAATCATCGGAGATTTTTTGTTTAACCATGTCGGGTAGAGAATCGGTGGGGACACCGGAAGTACCAATGAAGAAATGTTCGTCGAATTTCCCAGTACGGTCGGCAGCATGGACAGCGTTGTAAAAGCTAGCATTACCATAGGAATTGGGAAGAATACGGTAACTGATTTTTTTCCAAGCTTCAGCATCAAAGGTCATACGGCGACCCGGATGAAGACCGCCGCCATGGCCGGTGGAGAAGGAAAGGGAACGGGAGGCACGACGAGCAAAGGATTGCATATCGCGGTCATTGGAGGTACGGCGTTTGTAGGAGGCTAAAACATTAGAGGGTGGAGGGGATTGATGACGAGAAGGAGGTAAAGAAAGGCCTTCGTCATCGTTGAAAGCGAGATGGCGACGACCTCTTTTCTTTAGTAGCTTTTGAAGGTTACTGAGAGGGTCATCTAGTTTGGGGCTACCAGTTCCGGAATGGACGGAGGGAGTACCGGCCTGGCTGCGAATACCAGGCATGGAAGCGGTGGAAGCATGAAGGGAAGAAGGTCTGGAAGAAGATTCGACCTCTTCAGGAAGGTCCGAAAGGACGGTAGCGCTTTGATTGTCATCATCATCATCATCATTATCAGAGGAGGAGGTAGAGGCGGAAGGAGTGGAATCTGAGCGATATGGGGGATAATGACGGTTATCGTTAGAATTGAGATCGCCTTGGTCATCTTCATCTTCATCGTCTTCGGAGAGGATGGCATTTTCATCTAAAGGAGCATCCAACGGAGCGTCCTCAATCCAATCCTTTGACTCTTCGCGTTGAAGGAAGCGCGAACCGATTGCATCTCTGGGCACGGTATCGAAGGAGAAGCCTACCGTGGAAGGTAGGAATAAATTAGCAATGAGAATACGTCCCATGTAAAGAAAGAGAAAGAGAGATTTGATGGAAAAGAGAAATGAAACAGGAAAAACGAATTAAAAAAGGAGCAAAAACAGAATCCGATACGATACAGTTACGAACTGATTGAGTGTGTAGGAAAAGAAAAAGAAGAAAAAAAACCAAGAGAAATCAATCAATCAACCACAAAGGAGAAACAGGATTGAGAGAAAAAGGAAAAGAGTTTGGGAAACGGCAAAACGAAAAACAAGCTAAAAGTAGTATGGAGGAGGAAGATTGGAGAATGAGGTCATGAGGTCATGAGGTCATGTATTATTCTAGAAAGTTTCATAGTAATATTCGAGAAGGTGTATTAGAATGGAAAAGAGAGGAGAATATACGAGAAAAGAAGAGGAGAGAGAGAGAGAGAGAGAGAGAGAGAGATCAGCAGAAGAAAAAAGAGCTTAGCTTTCTCGATGATTTTTGAATGGATTTCAACGATTTCTCTTGTTTTCCATTGAAATTTCTACTTGGGCTTCCTATAGAATTTTCATCTTCCAATCTTTTTTTATTTTATTTTTCTTTTCTTTTCCTTTTCTTTTCTTTTCTCTCTGTTTGTTTTGATGATCTCTCTCTCTCTTCTCTTCCCTTCCTGACAGGACCTCCGTCCCCCTCCTTCTCCTCTTTTTCCTCTCATGCGACTTTTCTACGGCATCTCATTTTAGGTTCGATTTCCCCTCTACTACACGAGATCCTCTACGCTGGATGGTCACCGAAACCCCGATAAACTTCTCGAAAAGACTGCAACGGGATCGGGAACGTAAACCTTGTTCTATCGGGACCTTGTATGTCACGTCATCGTGATTCCAATCAACCTTTCTCGCAGTTTTCCAAACTTTCTTTTCATGAAATCTCGAAGCGGGGGCCTCTTCCCTTCCGAAGTGGGGGTGGTGGTCTCTTCAAGAAGGTTCTAGGGTCACTTGTTTTGGGGTTTCAATTGGTGTCACAATGAAATCATATCCAGCTATCATTGCGTCGTCGATCATTATGTTATTTGTCTCGGTTGTTCCCTCTTGTGTTACTTTTTGTTGTTTTTGTTTGACTTGGATAGATTACAAGATACTTGATGATCTACGACTAGCAAGTCCAATGTAAGTAACAATGTCTCGTGAGTCGTGTCGATCGTTTCCTACCTTGGCTATGTAATGCATACACAAATCACAGAGATAATACTGACTGTTGTAAAAGATAAACCAATTTTTACAAAAGGAAAAAGTTGTTTTCGAAAAAAAAAAAAAAAAGTTTTCAAAATTCAAAAGAATATTTATTACAATTTGATGATTTATAATGTTTTGTTTATTCAACTCATCAGATTTCCTCTCTCTCTCTCTCTCTCTTCCCACCTCTCTCTCTCTCTGTGTGTTTCTTTTGCTGATCTCTCTCTCCCACTTCAATAGCGAAGGAAGGGTTGCTTGGTTTGGTGGTGGTGGTTACACAACAACACACATCATTACCTAGAAAACATCACCCATGGAATCTGGAAGCAGCCGGAAACAAACGACGACGTTACGATAGAAAAACAGGTTACGAGGGATTTCGTCAGACGGTTGATTTCATAGAAATGTTTCCATGTGGCTTCTACCAAATGAAAAGGGGAGAGGAAAAAAAAAAAACTATATATAGGGCATGATTCTCTTGGTTTTTGATTCATCAGATTCTTTCGAGTTTCTATTTCTCTTTTCTTTTTTGTTACGAATTGATTCGAAACACTTTCACGACTTTTTCCCTTTAAATTATTTTTGTAATTATTCTTGAAATTAATTACATTTTCTGACGACCTTTTTTTTGTTTACTTTTAATCTCTACACACACTCCACTCTCTTTGGACACATTTTTTTTTTATTAATCTTAACGCTTTATTTTCGTACGTGTAAATATGGATCACTTCAAGGATCAAGCTGTCAAGGCCTTCAACTTTGCCAAGCACGAAGTTTCTTCTCGTATTTCTGAAAGAACAAACTATGATCATGGACCACCCTTCACTTGTGCCATCTTTGGTTGTGGTGGTATCAACTTTGGTTCCGCCGAAGGCCCTTGGAACAATTCTGAAAAACTCGAATTGGTCCTCGGTCACCGTCTCAAGGTGATTGCCCTTCTTTCTCCCCACAAGAGCTCTCACGAACGTGTCTTGAAGCAAAAGGCCGAAACTCCTTATGCCTCTTGTTACAACACTGTCCAAGAATTTTACTCTGCTGACGAGTACATTCAATACTTGACCGAACACCCAGGTGAACTTCCTCATGCTTTCATTATTGGAATTCCTCCTGAAACCCACGGTTCCACTGCCCCAGGTGCCGATATGGAGCTTGCCCTCTTGAAACGATTCCCCAATGCCTCTCTTTTCATCGAAAAGCCCATTTCCGCTGCTCCTGTGGAGGATGCCTTTGCTGTCGCCAAGCAAATTCCCAAGGAGGCCGTCATCTCTGTCGGTTACATGCTTCGTTACTTAAAGGTGGTTCAAAAGGCCAAGGAGATTATTCGTGAAAAGAATCTCAAGGTCGTTAGTACCATCGCCAAGTACAACTCTGCCTACATTCACAACAACAAGGTATTTTGGTGGGTCATGTCTCAATCCGGTGGCCCTGTCGTCGAGCAAGGTACTCACTTTTGCGATTTGTCTCGCTTCTTTGGTGGTGATGTCGACACTAGCACTGTTCGTGTCCAACGTGTCAACTGGGATGACGCCCCTGGTAAATTGTCTGCCATGCCTTTTGACGAAAACAAGGAAGTCCCTCCTCATGAACGTATCCCCCGTTTCACCGCTGCTGTCTGGAAGTACAAGGAGGGCGGTGTAGGTTCCTTCACCCACAACATTACCCTTCAAGGTACAAAGTATGACACTTGCATTGAAGTTCAAGCTGATGGTTACTACCTTCGTATCGTGGATCTTTACGGTGATCCCGTTCTCTACGTTCGTTCCCCCGAATCCGACAACGAACAAAAATACCACTACCCTGGTGATGATCCTTACTACGCCGAATTCAAGGCCTTCTTGGAAGCCGCCGAAGGTAAGGGTCCTAGAAGCGCCATCCAATCCGACTTTATGGATGCTGTCAAGTCTTATGAGCTTACCAAGGTCATTACTGCTGCCAAGTAAAAAGATTTTTTCCCAATTTTGTTATCTCTAAAAAAAGAAAATTAAATCCTGGGTGGTTGCCTTTTGACATATACATATATATATATTTTAGGCATGTTCAATGACTATGATGATAGATTTGTATAGTTTATCAATAATAGAAGTAATTGATGATTATATATATTCAAAAAGGTTCGAGTTTGGTAATAGTAGTACTAGTAGTAGTAGTAGCATAGAAAAAAAAAAAAAAATAAAAAAGTAAGACTTAATGCCATTGAAGACAGTGAAGCTTTTAAAAACGTTTGGTCTTTCGAGAAAAGCAACAGCACACCTTGAATCTCTTTGTTTCTCTCTGTGAAAAGCACTCCAACGCTCAACGTTTGTTTCTCCTTTAAATTTCCTTTTTCTACATTGTTCGTTGAAAACCCAATTTCCATTCAATCATATACTATACTCTTTCCATCAATTGATACCAGCCAAATTATTACTAGAATTATCCAAACGAAAACAAAAAACAAAAATTCCAAGTTTTATATTCATTTCACTTTTTCATATCAAACGACCTTCGTTAAATCATCTCTATAAGCAATAGTTTATTTTCCATTGATACGAGCAGATCAGTGTGTTTCTATTATATAAAAAATTCCAAGTACCGATATCTGATCTGACCTCCGCACATAATTTTTCTTGGAAATACTCCTTTAAAGTGTGGACTTTTTAAACCAGTTTTTTCTTTATAAATAAGAATTTACCAAATTCTTTTTCTTCCCTATTGAAGTTCGCTTGTAACTCCGCTCCACGACTCTAGAAAACCTTTTTACGCTGGAGGAAACGGCTGTTCCATTTCGTAGACTGATTTTATCTTTTTATGGGATTTCCTTGACTCTTCTTTAGTTTAGACAGCCTCTTTTTCATCTAACGTTCGTCCTCTCCCCTCTGTTCAACTGTGTCATTGAGCGAATTGCTATATCTATTTCAACCTGCTATGAGTATGCCTGTTACAATCAACATTCGGTACAAATACATTTTACTCGTAACATTGGCAACCGTCTCTGTATTGTTGTTCTTTTATGGCCTCACACGAACAGATATGCAGACGCTAAAAAATCCAGCAAGTCTTAGTGTGCCCAAAGTTCACGACCTTGATCAAAATAGAAAATCACTTTTCAAAAAAGCACCTGTCAAAAACAGTCTAAAATGTGAATCGACCATTTCTTTCCAAAAAAACGTTCTCTTCACTTATTACAAGCATTCCTTCGAGGGTGTCAAAAAGGTAGCGCTCATTGGATTTCCCGATCACCCAAACAAAGGCGACAGTGCTATTTATATTGCCGAACGTAAGCTTTTAGAGGTCCTTGACATTCAAGTTGTCTATATTTGCTCAAGCCAATCCGATTACAGTGCTTCTTCCCTCAAAGCCATTGTCCAAGAATCTTCTCCAGAAGAGTTTGCTTTTGCTTTTCATGGTGGAGGCAATTTTGGAGACTTATATCCCGATCACCAGCAACTTCGTGAAAACGTGATTCACGATTTCCCTAACGGCCGCTTTGTCTCTTTTCCCCAGTCGATTTGGTATAACGATGAAACAGCCTTACAACAGACTGCAAATCTCTATGCCGAGCATTCTCAAATTCAACTTGCCTTCCGTGATCGTCAAAGCTATCTCACCGGCGTGAATGGTTTTGGTGAAAACAACGAAATCCTTCTCACTCCCGATATTGTCTTTTTCATGGGCACGCTTTCGGATATTCGAGAAACAACCCCCATCAAATCTGATGTCTTAATCCTAGCTCGTCTCGATCATGAGGGCGGTCAGCAACACTCCTCCGAGTCCTTGTATCACGAGGGTTTGACTTCCGGCAACGTCACTTACTCTGTCGAGGACTGGCTTAGTTGGGATCCAGAAGAAGCAACGAATTCAGATGCTACCTTTGATACAAAAGGGGAATCACGCTTCCTGTCTGGTGCACACTTCCTGGCCTCTCACAAAGCCGTTATCACTGATCGTCTCCACGCACACATCCTTTCCACATTGATGGGTATTCCTCACATTGTCGTCGAAGATTCAAATATGAAAAAAATCACAAACTACCACAATACTTGGCTTCGTGGTTGTACTTCCGATGGTGTAAGCGTCATCGTCGATTCTCCTGAAAAAGCCATCAAGATTTTAATGGATTGGAAAAAACAACAGTACATCTAAAACAAGAGAATTTTCATTTACTTTCCACATTTGAACTTTTCTTTCTTTCTTTCTTTCTTTTTTTTTTTTTTTTTGTTCTGCAAAGTTCTTTCCCGGCGTTTCTTTTTGAAATTCCTCAGGTCCTGCCAATTCGAAAAATTCGTCCCCTGATATGTCATCTACTCCATATTCTCTACATATGCTTTTCTTTCTTTCTCTCTTTTTTGGAAAAATACAGTTTCTTCCAATTAATGAAACCTTCCCATGCTGAACCCCCTTCTTCCTATGTATTTTTTTTTCACACATGCGCCTGAAGCAATTGCTCGTGACGCTTCCGTCAATATTTATTTCATTGCTTCATTGCAATCCCAGATGCATCTTAGTCAATGATTGAATTGTTCCACTCATTGTTTTATAGCGCTCATTTTCGCTATCGTCAATGTTGAATATAATAAAAATAAGAAAACAAAACAAAAAAAAAAAGTCCTTCACGTAACAGTGGATCTATGTGCCGTGACGAAAACACCAAACATATAGTTTTAGGCTACGAATCTAAACAAATTTATTAATACATTTTCTCTTCTTTACTTTAGTTACCAGCGTACGCGTAGACTTGCTTTTAATGATAATAATGATACCTTTTTCCAACAGTCCCTTAGTCTCAACATTACAAACGTGTGATCCATTTCAAATTTGTTAATTTCGGCGGGAATCTATTTTTTTGAAAATGACAGAATTAGATTTTGAAGGGTTTAATATGTTTGAAGAGCCAGAAAACTTTCGCCCTTCTACTCCTCCTCCTAAAACAGTTCTTCATGAACGAAAGATTTGTCCTTCTGGGTATGTTTTGTTAGCCTGTCCTTGGTTTATCTTTTCTTTTAATTTATGAGTTTCACGTCTTTTATAACTAACTTTTGTTTAATAGACCAAAAGAAGTCGAACTACAACTTGTAGGATCCCATTCGTTATGGGCACACTACTTATGGAACAGTGGTATCGTGCTCTCAAATTTCATCGATGCTCATCCGGAAGTCGTTCAAGGAAAATTTGTTTTGGAATTTGGAGCAGGTGCTGGACTACCCTCAGTTATTTCTGCGTTTAATGGTGCCAAACATGTTGTGTGCTCAGATTATCCAGACCTTCCTCTTATACAAAATCTTGATCAAAATATGAAACGATATCAGGAAATTAAAGAGAAAACATCTGCCGTGGGTTATTTATGGGGATCCGATGTTCAAGATCTGCGAAATTATGCTGGCCTTTCAGAGGGTCAATATTTTGACGTGTTATTACTATCAGATTTGGTGTTCAACCATACTGAACAAACAAAACTTGTTCGTTCTTGCAAAGCAGCTATGGGTGATAATAAGCATGCCATTGCCTACGTGTTTTTCACTCATCATCGCCCTCATTTCGCTGACAAGGACTTGATCTTTTTCGATATTGCAAAAGAAAATGGGTTCGAGGTAGAACATATAGTAGAGGAAAAAAGAGATCCAATGTTTGAGAATGATCCTGGTGCTCGTGAAGTTCGTGCTACTGTTCATGGTTATACAATGCGTTTGCTTAACGAGTAAGTGCAAAAACATGTGTATGCTTAATAAGTCGAGGACTTTCGTTCAAGAAATTTATTAAACCGTTGAGGACTCCTCAATTGCGGATTAGGTCACTAGGCATGACTAAGACGTACAATGCTCATAAACAGTGCGTTTTCGATAAAAGTAGCTCTGTCATATCTAAGATGATACTACAGACTTTGGGTTCCGGGTTTTATTTATTTTTCCACTCTATTTAGTCTTACTTTACTGTTTGCTTTTCTTTTTTTGGTCCTCTGTTTGAATAAAATTTGAGTTGTGGAGTACGTTCATTAATGATTCTTGTTTTAATATAATCTAGTAAAACAACAGTTGCTTTGATTCCTATCTTTTAGTTTCAAAGACATATTCCATTCTCTAGAATTCGTTATGAATTCGCACTCTACTCTCTACTCACTTTAAAAGATGCTGAGTCGGATTTTCTTCATAGAAATTAACTGAATTCGTCATCTATTTATTGTAAAAACATTAGAAGACTCAAAAACATTCTTTCATCTTGGAAAGTCATAATTTTTTGGCAGAATGTGTCAGCGATCGTTCTTCAAAACTATTGAATGCTAGGTAGCACTTATTAAAGCCGTTTACTTTCATTTATAATTCTATGATACATGCTTAAATCCAATGTTTTTTTTTTTTAGTTTTCGGCTGATTTTTCATATAAACGAACCATTTCCCCAGTGTTGTTCATGCACCCACACTCTTCTTATATCTTTTTTACTAAAGTTTGTTGAAACGCTTTTGGTAAGTATTTTTTTTTTGAATAAAAAAACGTTATTTAAAGTCGCTTTTATTTAAAATTCTATGAAAACTTTGTAGTAAGCTGCTGGTACTCAAATTGTGAATATCAACTTGATGATGATAATCATATGCGCCTTTCAGGAAATTTAAGCAGTGTACTGAAGAATTTCGATTTCTACTTTTTATCCAAATTGGATGAGGGGAATTGCAAGTCTCAGTGACACGATGGTTACGGTGCAGGGGTCTTGAGAGTTGACATTTTTCTCAATACTTTTAATCAGTGACTTTAATATCGTTTTCTAATTATACCATGCATTTGGACTTAATTACATTGTATTAACTAGTTATGCTTTAGTTAGCGGATACAAAGTTAAGTTCTCGATAGAATGGGACTCATTGTTACTATTTATACTCTTTGGGTCGCAATTTCTTCTTTGTTTATTGTCTCAGCATTTCAGGTAGATATTCGCAACTTTCTTTTCAAGTTCATCCCAAAAATATATCCGGGTGTTTCAAAGTACAATGTTGCTTCCGTATTAGCATTTGTTTCTGAAAAGTCACTGGAATTTGCTAGTGTCAAGTTCCTGGTAATGCTTGCGATAGACAAATTAGGAGCCTTTTCTTCTCCTATCTATGGTAAAGTGTTTATTTTGGACATGTTTGGCTTAGGTTCTTTGCTTTCTCTGATCGTTGCAAATGTTATTGGAGCATATCATCTAGACGATGTGAAAGAAAAGCTTTCCTCTTCTAGGGATGTTTCAAACAAAAGTTGTTCTTCTCTGAAAAAGCATATCGGTCGACTTTCAGTCAATGTACGTACTGGATCCATCCTGCGTTTTCCTTATATTTCATACCTTCCTAATTGGCTGCTCGCGAAAAACAATGCGGAAAGATTGGTTTACAAAAGTCATCTGCTTTTGAATATCTTTACTCCTGATGATAAATCTACAAATCATCCAGTAGTATTGTGGGTTTGCGGCCGTAACAAGGCTGAGTCTGTAATTATACCGTACCTCGCCTCTCTTGGTTTTGTTGTTGTCGTCCCCAATTATGCACAACCTCCTAAATATTCCACTGCTGAATCCGTTTTGTTTGTAAAACTGTGTGTAGAGTGGATATCGGAATGTATCTACTGTTTCAATGGTGATGCCAATCAGATATATTCTGTTGGCGAAGACACTGGTGCTGCAGTGATTATGGAATGTCTTTCGAAGGAGTTACCTGCTAATACGATACACGGTTTGTTCGCCCTCGCACCTAGGCATAACCGAGATCTACAGTGGTCTATCAAACAATCTATCCCTACGTTCACTTTGGTTCCTGGAGTTCAAGAGGACAATCCTGAAGGTGATGCTAAGCAAGCTGACCCCAATTTACACAAATTTATGAGCGTTTCTGGTGCCGTTCCTTATTATTATAAGTTTAGTTCTCCCAGAACGCTTGCAACTGGTGACTTGATTGCTGAATGGCTTAATCATATAAATACTTCGAAAAAGGTGAACTAACATCTCCAAGTGAACGGGTTAACGAAGTTATCTGAGCAAATCATGAGAACTGGGTAATGACAATTCACTTTTTTACGTTCGCAATTTTTTCCTTTTTTGCTTCTCCCTAATCACTTACAAACTACAAACTCTTTCAAGTATTGACTTCCTGATTTGCGAGCTACTGGATAAAGCTTTCAAGTTGGAAGATATAACCCAAGTGTATCTAACAGAAGCTGAGCAACTCAATGTATCCAGCATGAAATATCATATTGCGAGGCTAAACGATGTATTTTCTATTAACCGAAAGCTCGTTTTCTGAAGGTTGTCTGTAACCACATGAATGATTTGTTGTTCAGTGATACATCTTGCTTTTTTTGAAGGCATTATTAGGTGTTGTCAGAACAGTCCTGATGTTAAACTTGCTAAACTTATTTTCGGAATTGGGACCCCTGAAGAAAACTGAAATATCTTAAATGCCTATTTGGCTTAGAAGACTAGGCTCGGTGAAGATTGCCTCACATCTTCCTATGAAGTTTCTCCATGATTATCCATGAAAATAATTAACATAGATCATGAAATGGGAAACAAGAAAAGCCATTGTCCAACTGTCATTATTTTGGGTAATTGGTGTAGATTCTCCTTGGGCTTTCACTAACCTCTCTCATGATACATTGACCTATATATGAATTAATAATGCCTGGATTAGCTGAACTACTTCCGTTCGAACTTATGTTAAACTACCCAGTCAATTTGTTATATTCATATGACGATTTGTCTTCAGGGTTTTGATGAAAATAATTTATGAATTATCAATAATGTATGATTACTCACTTTTCCTTTGTTATAATGAATTTATTTGTTCCAAACTTATGTCTTTTCTCATTTTCGTATTTCTTGTAAACAATATGTAGTTAAATTATACTATCTTTCTTTGTGTAGAGTACTAAAAGGTTCCTCATACTTCATCTTGTAGTGAATTCTCAAGATGCAAACAAAAGCAAGCACTTATTCATGAACCTCAATGTTCTCTTTGTAGTTTCATGTTCGTGACATAAACCAAGAAAAGGATGGATTTTGAAAATTTAATTAAAGAAATACAACAGAAGCTGGAAAAAAACATCGTGAACCATGGGAATAGTGTATCCATAGAAGAGAGTTGGTAAATAGCTTGGCTGTCACTTCTTAATACTAATTTACTCAAAGGATTATAAACAATGTTTTCAGATTGTTTGAAGAATACCCCTCAGGCATTACATGGGCTATCTTACTAAATGAGCTTGAATTAACAGTATGTAAAGGTCTTATAATAAAAGTACTAATGTGCTATTAGTGCACCGAAAGACTTTATCATGAGGATCGTACGTATTCTAAGAGAAGATGTAGACTACAGAGACATTTGCTAACCTTTCTTTGCTTCCTAGGATTTTCTACTCTAGAGTCTGTCAAAGATTCTGAATCCGACGTCCAGTTTGAAAATAGTTTTGAGCTAGAGTGCATTGACTACTATTACCATCCTCTTCCTACTTTACAATTAAAGGATAGAAGGCAAAATACATGTGATTTAATGCTGCACTCGTCTTACTACTTGTTATTCCATAGTCCGTTTGATATACTGAAACACGTATGAAAAGAAAAAGTCAGTAACATGAGTGCTAATCATAAATCAACTTAGTCTTTCGTTCGTTTTTCGAGGGCAAATTTATACCCAAAATGGTTTTTGAAAAAGAAATTGCAATTCTTACCAACTACTTATTTCCTACCAACGCTTGGTGCTGATACATTCTTTTCATTGATGCGAGCAGCTCTGGAAACGAAGGATCATGGGGCTTTTTTGATTCTAAACAAAAGTCTAGACGAGCAAAATAGAACCGGAGTACAGTCGATTTTTCTTCGACCAGTCAAAGCATCTTTTGAAACAAATAAAGACCTACTTGATGATTCTTCGGATCCAATTATTTTAGAGTTTAGTGGGAATTTTGTTGATTTCCCTAACATGTTGGATTGCGGACAGTATTTAATTGTCCCGTATTGGAACACATTTTGGGAAAAGACAACGCAATGGCAGGAAGGTATGATTGCAATCATGTCTTCCATAGAGAATTCTGGACAAAGCAATAATGATGAGCATGTTTGGATAACCGGTCGTGTTGTGTCGATTTCCCCCGACATCATAAGCCTTGATTGTTCTAATGGATTAAAAGAAGTTAAATTTACAACAGAAAAATTGCTTCATAACATTGTACCTGGGGAACAAATCGTTGCAACTTCATTAAAACAGGATCCCGATAGCAAAGAAAAATACACGGTTTCTTCTTACACGAATCTTCTATCAAGTGAGTATACGAGAGAAAATTAAAGCATACTAACCCTTCCTAGTTTCGCAGCTGAACTGTCCGTTGAATTCAAATTTCTTAAGGAATGATTTGAAAAGATTTAAAAACTTACGTCCACATACTCAAGGTCATATCAAAGTTTTACCTCTTCAGCTTGACGTCTTTTTAAATTCTTCATCGATCGTAGAATCAACAAGCAATGATCGCCATTTATCTTTTCAGATACTTTTGAGGGACCAGTTTAATGACAAGATTTCTGCCTCTTTACATCCAAGGGGTACGGAATATCAACAGACAGATGTTGTTTGTTTTTTGAATTCCAGTGAACAAGATAATGGCCAACATATTCGAACAATCAACCTTGCGGATTTGTACCCTTCCGAAGTTTGGTGCGATGTGTACGTGAGTCACGACAATATTATTAGCATACAGAAACTTTCATTTGTTTAACGACTCTTTTATTGTAAAAAAGGTTTTTATAGGTGGGATAATTAAAGCTTGATAAAAAACACCAGGAAATGGATATTCATTAATGAAAATCTTGAATAATCATAATAAACGATAGGAAGAGTTATCACTGTCTATTAGTAGGATAAAAAAAAACAATGATACATTATATGTACCGTCAGACCCAATAAAGACTATATCAAAATGGACAATAAACCATAACAAAACAAAATGTTAGGAAAGAGAGGTAAAGTACTTTTTATCTTCCATTATCAGACTGTAGCTCCAGCAGTTTCTGGTTTCCATTTGAGTGAGGTTCTTGTCCCAACAGATGGTTACTAGGTATCATCGCCGGAATTGCACTAGTGGCATAGGTTGGCAGATTTTGATTGTGCTTTGCTCTAAAAAGGCTGAAAGCGTAGTTGGAAGCAATCAAGCTTCCAAAAACAAGCAATAGAGAAAAAATCATGGTCTTATAGGATATATGGTTCACAAACGTATCTATGATTTCGGCCAAAATTTTGGCTACTAGTCTTGTATTGCTAGTTTTTCTCAAAATACAAACCCGCAAATCATCGCATACCTTACTGATTGCTGAGCTTGGACTATCGCAGTCGTATTTGTTATAGTCTCTCTGACATTCCATTGCTTTATATGCAAGAAGCGCTCGTTCGGTACTTATATTGTTTCGTATATCACCTTGCATAGTAAATACCAACGAAAATAAAAAATAAAGAACAATTGAAACTATACAAACATTAAACAGAAGCTGTAAGTACCCGCTCACTACGACGGGAATGTCACGATGCACATGTACCCAATTTACAGAATGACTTGCATCTGCGTGTTCTTTCCGGATGAGTTGGGAAGAATTACTGGATTTTCTTCTCAAGGGTTTTTCTATATTTTCTTTTCCATGTATCAGCAATGGATTCTTAGGTTTCCGTAGCTTCCTTTTTGACATGGTTTTTTTTAAAGGCTTCTTCTCTTCTGGAGACATAGATATATCCATAAGTTCGTTTGAATTGTCCATTTTTAATGTTCGTTCGTTCGAGTTGATTTCTGTTTTCTGTCGTAATGGTATAAAACCGGCTACATTTTCTGATCCTGCGTCCGGCATGGGAATATCCTCAGTATATGCATCCATTTTAAACTAATAAAGAACCGTTAGATTTTCTTCTCACATTGATCATAAAACCAACAAAAAAACTAGACTCAATTCCTATTACTTACAGGTTATCACGAATTTTCTTCCAAGTATATAACACCTAAAGAGAAATAAAATAAAATCCTATTCTAGGATATTACTTTCTCTTATAAACCTGGGAAACAAAAAGAAACATGTAATCTACGCAAAAGAGAATGGAATATGGTTTCGCATAAACTTGAGGATGGAGGACGAAACAAGGCATCTACAAGTTGGGTATACTTCATGGTAAAACGCATACTAAAGATTTAAAACAGCTTAAAAAGACAGATTTTACTTTTAACTTAAGGTAGAAGAGCTAACGTGTTTGATGACTAGTATGTGTTTTGTTCGTTTGGACCCCGATAAATAACTGAAGAAAAAAAACAACAGATGTGGGTTTTTCCTAAATCAAATCCGAAAGATATCTGTAATAAAGAGGAGATACATCATCTTTGTGAAGAAGAATTGGCTACATTGAAGCTTAAAATCTACCTTGAAAGTACACGATATTTTATATTTAGTCTGCAGAACGGATGCCGACATGAATGTCTTTGTTTATGGTTAAAATATAAACAAATTATCAGTTTATGTTTCCAGAAGTTCGCTAGCAGATATTAAATGTAAACAATGACTGTTTACATTTACAACGCAACATTATATACAACGCTTAACTGACAACCAAAAAGGAACTTACTAAAATGCTTTTAATAGAGGTATTGAGATCTATCTCATTGCTGCTTTACTTAGTGGTCCTACCAGGTAGAGCTCTTTGTAGCAAAGGGGATTTTTGGAGAACCAAAGTAGAGCTTGAAGAGGCTGAAAGAGTTAACGAAGAAAACAAGTACCGCATTTCGGCTTTTTGGTCTCTAGTAACGAAAATGGAAGATCGTTCTCTGAGTGGTTTAGACGGTCGGTACATTATTGTGGACGATGATAAACTTTACTTGGCACCTCTGTCAAAAGCGTCTGAAAAGATGGTATTCAGGTTCAATTTGCACCATCGAGGATTCCTCGAACTCAAAAGGTAAGGACAAGGGATTTTATTTAACTTGGTCGGATTTGGATTACTGATATGTTAGTGGAAATCGTGCCTATGTCCCAGAAAAATATGGGCCTCTGATTTATCATCCAGACCATTGGACAAACGGTTTTTCCATTGATGTGCAAAAGGAAAATCAAGTTTCTTCTTATACTCCATTTGTGCTCCAATATCTTAACTCTCCATGGTTTTCAGCATGTAAAGTAAATCACGGAACATGGCAGGTATTCGTTGGGAAAATGCATGAATGGAACGATGGACTCTGCTACCCAATGCAATTGATTATGAAGCGAGAAGATACGTGGTTACGCTTCAGTTTTAGTCACCGTAAGAATCCTCTGGATTGGACTCTCGTTCAGGAGTATACATATTGGCCAGATGGTTTGCCAGGGACAGGCTCTGAATCTGCGAAAAGTGACATCTTTGGGACCAAATTATAAGTGTATCTCCGCCTTTAGTACCAACTGAAAATGATGACTCTACAAAGTTTTCATACTTGCATGTTCACAAATAGAACAACCTCTACCAACAACCGCTCTACAAATATGAATTTTATAAATCAAAGAATAGTGGTACTTTATTAACGTTCCTTCTAACGACATCCGTAGTAAAAACCCAAAATATAATTATTTGTACATACATACAAGCCTGATCGAATTTCACTGCAAATTTTCAATTACCTGAAATTCCCCAAAAATCCAATTATTTTTTTCCCTTAGCCTTTTGCTTACCAGCCTTCTTTTTCCCATTATTTGTAGTTGTTTGCGCGGAACTTTGTGCAGGTTGAGTGGAGGGAGCAGCTGACGGCTCATTCTTTTTTGATGGCTGCTTACCAGGATTATTTTTCTTTGAAGCATTCTCTTTTCGTTCTGGTAAAGCCTTTTGCTTCTGAGGAGGCACTTGAGTGGACTTCTCAACAGAAGTCTTTTTCTTAGGAGAGGTGTTTTTACCCTCTCCTTGATCATTTTTGGCAGTCCTCTCTTCTTGTTTTGTTTCAGAAGTCTTAATCTCATTCGTTTTGGCCTTCTTGTTAGGAGAAGCTGTCGACTTAGTCTCTTCAGCGGGTTTTCTCTTGGAGGATTCTACTTCCTTACTTGAAGCACGAAGCTTCGTAACTTCTTCTTCCAAATTGGGGTTATTCCACAAAGGAACAGCCATGCTTTGAGTAGTCTTGACATGAATACTTGATATACCCTTGCCGCCGTTGGGGACAACCTTCTTTTCACACAAGTACCTCACAATGGATTCAATGTTCTCGGCAAGTTCTTGAGAAGTATTGGCAGTATGACCACAACGGATCATAAAGCTGCTGCAAGGTGAAGCACGGAAATATGTAGCATTATAAGCAGAAACAACTTGTTTCTTCAATTGGTCAGCATTGTCACTACTGATACGAACGGGAATAGGTGCCTTTGTTTTGGAGTAGAAGGTCTTGCCCAATACCTTAGGCAACATAGAAATGACACGGTCATCAGCCAAGAAAAGATCGAATTGATCACGAAGCTGTCTTTTTTGTTCAAATGATTTCCACTTAGCTTTCAATTTACTAATTCCAATGACACGAGTCACAACACCCGACATGCCCGCTTCGCTGACCAAATCTTTATAAGTTCTTTGGGGATCCTTTACAATCAAGCAAGCCTCATAAGAAGAAGGGATGATTGAATGCTTCAAGGGAATTTTGAAAGGTATCAATTTTCTATTATTCGTAATGAACTTTAAGGTAGACAACTGCAACCAAACTGTAGAGGTGGTATCTTCCTCATCCTCCAACAAGTTTGACTTGTTGGCTTCGGAATTGCCTTTGTTTTCTTCACCTTTTTTCTTTTCGTAGTCCAAAAGGGCAGAGCATATTTTTTCTGCCTATAATTGCTGTTAGTACGACCTATCAATCAAAAAAAAATTTGCCCAAAATTTTCTTATGTGAATCATCATTAGACATAGACGCTGTTTTAACAAAAACATATTATACACATACAGGAACTTCTTCTCCTAAAAGCTGTTGAAGAGACATCTTTTTTATTTTTTCACCCAAAATGCCCGAGGTTGGTGGTTTGCACAGTACAGGGCAGAGTCCCCCCAAGAAGGACTGCCGCTTGAATTAGAGTGGTCCGAAATTTTAGGATACCAAATTTATAAAGAATGAATAAAGCCAATTGTAAATGAACACATATTATATAAATTTATTAACTTGGATGTAACTTTCGGAGACTTGCAAATTGACTTTCAATTGGTACGATGAACAGACATTTAGTAAGTATATAGAATGAGAAAAGAAATACTAGATATTCGCTATTATTGTTTCATACTAAGAGATTTGAATGGAAAGGCGACTATTCATTAAAAGTGCAGTATGTAATGCATGCCATAAATTACTGCTTTGGTAAAGCAGTCAGCAAAATTAAATAAATATATTGTCTTCTTTTAATCCTTAAACACTCCCCAAAAAAGATACCCATATTAAGTACAGACATTAACAACATGTAACTCATCCAGTTTACTGAAGAACCTAACAGTAGAACGATCAAAAGCCTTCAGCCATTTCAATAAACTCATTGGTTTCCAAAGCTGAAAAACAGGATATCAATTCTTCAAAAGTCGATTCTGACAGCTTCGCATTTTGGATAATTTTTTTTAATTTTAGTAATGTGCGGGTTTTCCTGAGGCGCCATTGATCTCTTTCATGTTCTTCACTCATTTCTTCTGCTCGATAAATAATGGAAATTGGTATTCCTGCCATTCTAGCAACATTCAATCCATAGCTTCTGGAAGCAATACCGGGGACTAGCTTATACAGAAACGATATACTTTGAGAATTTTGATCGCTTCCTCCTAATTTCACATAACCCATGTGATAACTACGAAGTCGCTGCTTAAACTGCTTTTCCAAAACACTCAGGCCAGGATAATGAGTGACAAATAGCAGGTATGGACGTACGTAATAAATCAAATAATATAATACTGCATAGGAAATTGCTTCTCCATCAATAGTGCTCGTTCCTCTTCCAAGCTCGTCAAAGATCACGAGAGATTTATCCGTAGCTTTGTTTAAAATTTCATTTGTCTCATACATTTCGACCATGAAAGTTGACATATTTAAAACTATATTATCGGTAGATCCTAATCTTACAAGAATAGAATCAAATAAAGGTAAACGGGCACTCTTAGCAGGGACAAAGCATCCGCATTGTGCCATCAAGGACGTCAAAGCAAGCTGCTTCACTACCGAGGTCTTACCTCCCATATTTGGTCCAGTAATAAGCAATGTTTGTATACCTTCAGCATTGAGACTAATATCATTTGGTACATATGGTTCATCGGTCAATAACTCAATCATAGGGTGTCTACTTTCTTCCACGTAGAGATCGTTGGTTGTCAACTGGGGTCGAACATAACCAGTTTGTGAAGAGACACAAGCAAAAGAATGTAAGCAATCCAGTGAGGCAACCGCTACAGTAACCCTTCTTAATTCATTATAATACCCAGATATCTTCTTCAAAAAAGATATATAGATTTCTTCACATGATATAGCTAAAGCTTCCTTATGTTGAGCCAACTCAAGCATAAGAGCTTGTACTTTTGGTGTGTGATAGCGAATTAAGCTTCTAGTAGCGCTTATCCTTACCCAGTCTTCTGGTATGTTTTTACAGCCTCTAGATAGCTCAATACAAAACTTTATGTTTCCCCAAGTTGTATAACCTAGTTCTTGATAGTTGAGGTAATTCCGGAGTTCCTGCAGGTGAACACTTAGTTCTGTCTCAACCATCACTATACCCATCTTGTGTTCACGAATTTTGAAGATGGACTGAGAATCTTCAGAAGAAGAGTCTCCAATGGAATCAAAGTCATCAACATTCTGAAACATTTCTAACTTATTGTTTTCCGCGGCTTTCTCATGATTAAATAAAGACAAAAAATGGTCAATAGGAGACAATATTGACGGCAGCTGCTTTATCAGAGAGCGCAACAAAAAGGATTGAAAAGAATCGTTAGGATCAGACGGAAATGCAGTAGACACTCTGTAAAACCCTTTCAATATGTAAAGTAATTCTGAAGGTGTACACTAAAATAATTAATAAATAAACAATATTACAATATAAAACGTACCCTTTGATAGTATATTCTTGCAAGACCTTTCTCTAAATCAGGCAATCGGTGTAAAAGTTTGCGTAAAAACTGTGTATTCTCATTGAATCCAGAAGAGAGTTCTTCAACAGCATCAAGTCTATTGGTGATTTCATTTTCAGATAGCAATGGAGCTTTGATCCACTGTTGTAGCAAACGCTGTCCAAATCTGGTGTATGTGTGATCTAATACCCAAAACAAGCTTCCAGTTGAAGAGTGATCAGTTTGATTTGCAAAAACTTCCAAACCGTCTAGGGTTTGCTTACTCAAAATCATCGAAGAAAAGTGACTGAACGGTTGATAAAAATCAGACATTGTTAATATTTTTTCCAAAGAGAACTCGGTCAAATAGGAGATTGTCATTTCTAAACAAACCATAGACAACGTTGGCAAAGACTTTATCCTTTCTAAATGTAAATCCACGATGACTTGTTCATAATCGTAAAAATTTGATGAAAAAAAATTGCACACATTTTCTAGAGATAATTTTGGGGTATGCTGGTCGACATATTGAATGCAAACCTTTCTCCCGATTAATTGCTCTGTAGTGATATAATGATTTAGCAAAGCAATAGACTCTGAAGAAAGTTGGTCGGAAAAGATGATCTCGCATGGTTGAAGATGTGAAAGCCTTGTTTGTAAGTTGCTTCTTAATATGTCATCTTCAAATTGGTCGTATATGAAAGTTCCAGACGACAGTTGAGTACATAGAAAGCCTATTTGGACCTTTCCTGAGGGAATTTTCTTAGAAATGGAGCTTTCGGAAATGCATAGGATTTGCTGGGATTCTTGAAGAGAGCCGTTTAGTCGATGATCATACCGAGAAGTACTTTCACGAATAAGGGTGCCTTTAGTATACATGCCAACTACATCACGCTGAAAAAGTGTATTTCGAGTATTACCAGTCGATTTGAATACCGCTGTTTCCGTCTGCTTGGCTACGGCAACTTTAAGGCCAGCATTTATTAAACGCTCCAAATGAAAATCTATACGGTAAGAAGGGATACTGGCATTAAGAAAATTATGTTCATAATAGCAACCAATGCCAAGAGTCTTTGACACAATTTTTGCATCTTCATCGAAAAAGCGATATTTGTAACCTACTTCGATAGCCAAGATACAGTTTTTATATTTCTTTCTCAACTCGATATATTGTCGTTCCAATGGCGTATAAATATCCTTTTCCTTGGGTTCTGAAGAACTTCTGCTTCGAGGGCGCTTCCTGTTCGTTTTTGGAAAATGAACATTACTCTCTTCTTGTTCTAGGACGTTATGTTTCTGAAGCTTTATTAAAGGTACTTCTTCATCAATTTCGTCGTCCTCTTCGCCTTTAAAACCATTAACAACATTTGGGTGAATTTCTGCTAAACTTTCATTTTCTGATGAAGAGTTGTCATCAGCAATGATGCTTTCCCAATCAATTCTTGGTTTCGAGGAAAAGGGTCTCTCTTCATTTAGACTGTTGGAGTCTTGGCATTGCATTCCTTTTCGGTGTTAATCAAGAAATCAGATATAAATATAAAGAAAAGATTTATGGATCGAAGTTCAGCGGGCATAAAGCAGTAGAGAATGTTTCGATCAAGACATTCGCAAAAAAAGCAACGTTTTTGATGACAAAAACTCTATACGTAACAGGGTATTATATTAAAAATGTTCTTAGTTTTAATTAAACCTTTAATCCTCATGCCGCCGGAAGATAGCGGATGGATATGTTTTGCCTCTGGGATGAGTTGAACGTTCCATCTACCAACATCTACAAGGAGGGCGAGAAAATGTCATTTTACGACGAAATTGAGTTAGAAGACTTTACTTTTGGTAAGTACATAGAATAAAAAATGCAATTGACGGATCTTGGCTAACAAAATAGACGCTGATTTCAATTTGTATACATTTCCTTGTCCTTGTGGAGATCGCTTCGAAATCAGTTTGGTAAGTCTTTCTATACAGTGTAAAAAAAAAATAACAAAATAAAATTAACGAACTAATGAATAGGATGATCTTCGTTCGGGAGAAGATGTCGCTCGTTGTCCTAGCTGTAGCTTGATTGTTCGCGTTATTTACGATGAAGACGACTTTCTTGAAGTAGAAGAAGATGAAAATCCATCTGCTCCTGTCATCATTGCTGCTTAACTGTGATTTCAATGGTTGTCTTCCTTACAATAAATACAAATTTTCTTTAATTACGGGATCATCATAGAGAAGTTTTGCTTTAAGACAACATTTCTCTGATTCCCCTTGCCACTGCGAAAAAGCGAACAAGAGGAGAATATGGTTTCTGTACAGTGGAAAAAAAACGAATCTAAGTGATTAGTTCGTAAAAAAAATCCTTTAAAGATAAATGGATTCTAAAATGATGGCCATGTATGTTGGCTAAATTACTACCAGTCTTAACCAAGCTTCCAACATTGACTTGTTTTTTTTTGTTTGTTTGTGTGGGATCTTGGGAGTTTTAAGAATCCGCTTGGGCAAGCCCTTGCGTATAGATATGGTCTTTTTGGTATACGTATATTTCGTGGATTTCTAGCTATGAGGTTGACGAGAAGCGTTCAAACTTGGTAGATTCTGTATATTAATATTGATAATACTGTTTTTTTTTGTTATATTTTTTCCTCATTCAGTATTGCTACAGTACTCATCGTACTATTTGAGAGCGCCTCTGCATTTTGAATTTCGAAAACCAAAGAACAATGTCTTTTTAACGATTAAAAACTTACATCATTAAATTCATTATCGCAGTATAACACGAATACATATCACAAGAAAGTTGCACCAAAAAAACAGTCACAGTATCATATATTAGAATAAACAATGTGCTAATTGTTTCACCACCACCAACATGCGTGATAAGTGGAGAAAGAAACGCGTGAGACGCCTGAAACGTAGAAGAAGAAAAATGAGAGCTAGATCGTAAGTATTTTTTTAATCTAGATATTTCAAAATTGGATTTAGTAACTAACTGGTTGTCTAGTAAATAATCGGATCGCTCTGCTGACTCCGTGATGTCAAAAGAATAAACGCTCTGTGTCTTTTGCTTAACAATACGGTGAAGAACAGAATGGTGTTGTCTTTTAACTTCTCAATAAATTGTTTTTCATGATTGAATCCAGTGTCGAATATAGTAGTATTTTGTAGCAAATAGGGAGTTGATTGTCTTGGGTATAGCAAAAACTGTAGATTGCTGCGCTTAGGAGTAGCGAAAGGCTGAGAAGCTATGAAGATTCCTTAGTGTGTAAGAACATTGGAACCTCATAAAGTCGCATCCGTTAAATTGGTTCTTAAAGTCCTCAGTGAGAAGGCAAAATAGCTCTAATGTCCTTTTAAAAGTTATTAGTAAATCTGTACATCTAGTAGTCAACTCCTACACAGCTAATCAGCAATGGTTGTATGGTGTAGCGGCTAGCACATGAGATTTTGATTCTCGAGATCTGGGTTCGACTCCCAGTACGACCTTCAGCTTCCTACTTTTTTGCAACACACAGCTCCCTCTGCAGGAGCCCAATATTCTTTTTATACTTTTCCTACATTAAACTCTTTTGATATGCACCGAAACACATACGTTACATTCCTGTCAAAATTTTACGAATTTACCTGAACCAGTTTATTATAGTATATAAGACCTAAATTGACGAAGTAGTCAAGTTCAGTTCCATGTTCTAGTGGTATGATTTCTGCTTCACACGCAGAAGGTCCCGGGTTCGATCCCCGGTGGGACTAACTTTTTTGAACTTTTGAAATTTTGGTACATTCAATCAAGCATGCACTTTCTAGCAAGAAAACAAACCTTTAAAGGAACAAAGTGATTAAACATTTAAGCTAGGAGCAGAAAAGGCCCTGCTATTACACGTTACTTATACGAAAATTCAAAAGTTTTCCTTTTAAAATGAATACACTTGGAAACAGTATGAAAATTAGCTTCCCATAAATTAGTTTTCTATATTATTACATCCAAAAAAAAAGTAAAACCACAAATACCCTAAAATAAAAAAAAAAAAAGAACGTCAACCTCTTTTTAGATGCGAGCGCGACTCAATTGTCGACGAACATTATCAAGTTCATCCAAAGACGCCTTCTTTTTCGATTTCGACATGCGTGATGGGGCCTTCTTTCGGCCCATGTTGGAACCATAAGACAACAAAAAGTCATCCAAAACATTATTGAATTGGTTGTCGTTTATCAAGTCATTTACATCTTTTTGTTCAGGATCAAGGAGCTCGCTCTCGTGCTGCATTGGCACATACTCTTCTTCAATTTTGTCGAAACGGTCATCCAAGAAAGACAACCCTTCATTGCGGAACAAAGCAGAACTTGACATGGAGCCGGAAGATTGTGCCGTCTTGGCCTTTCTTCTTGGCTTGGACTTTTGAGTAGAAACAAGCTCGGGAACTTCATCCCGTTCTTCCTCTTCGTCCTCATCTGAGAAAGTACCATCACTACTAGCTGCTTGCGGTTGTTTCTTTTGCTCAAGCTTAAACTTTTCAAATTCAACTTCCCATTCGGACTTTCCGGCTGCGAGAGCAGCTTGTTCGTCGTACTCATGCTCCTCTTCCTTTTCTGGTGGCTGTTGATAAAATTCGTCCTCATCAACCTTTCCACTAGTGATTAAGTTGTTAAACTCATCATCCAAATTTACCTCACCATCGGTTTCTTCTTCATTTTCCATATCGGAATGCTCCAACAACTCCAGCACTTCCCGCAAGCGTGGGTCCATATCTGGCTGAAATCCTGCAATAGCATCCGGTACACTTTGCTGGTTTTGATAGCTTGCTTTAATTTCTTCTTTGGAAGGGAGTACTTCTTCAGGTAAAAAGGAAGGTTCTTCCTCTTTAATGACAACTTCATCCTTTTTCTTTTGGCCACTTCCCTTCGCAGCTGGTGCTGCAACCCATGTTGCATTTTCATTTCCCATACCACGCAAATGTTGCATGTAATCATACTCTGTATCATCAAAGAAAATACCATAAGCAGCTGCCTCTCCTTCGTTTGAACGTACAGCGCCACCGTATTCTGCATCCAAATCTTGACGATTCAACTGGCGTCCAGTCTTCTTTAGCGCATCTGAAGGCACCAACACACGTTCTGTTGCTTCCTCATTATAATATTCTGGATCTCTTTGAGAACGATGGACCAAGTGAAAGGTCTGAGCCTTGCTTTTATCCACAAATTTTTTGCGACCCTATAACGTGAACAGGTTAGTACATATTCCTTGTAAACCCATCATTGAATAATTGTTGTTTTATTTCCATTAATAGCTTGACAGATCTTGCTTAAAACCAAATTTTTCTTCAAACATATATATATGGCTAACAACCAATCTCTTCCATTCCTTACCATTCTTTTCTACCACAATCCAAAGTTCTAACAATCTAGCCTTCAATTCTTATTTAAACACGAAACTGAAGGTGTCAACGTTGTAAAATTTGCAAAATACAGGGTTTTTGCAAAAGTACACTTCTCCACGCGTCCAAAATGAGTACTAACCAATCTTGATTTAAGGTAGTCGAATTTCATCGCTAACTGGATTAACGAATGATTGGTTTCTTTGTTAATAAATAAATAAGTAATTAAAATGAAAAATCAATAAATTCCCTCTTTCAGATTATTAATGCAAGTCATGAAGCTCCAAACCTATTTTATTCAAGATATAAAAATATGGAGTCTAACGTAGTTTTCTTTATTCGGTAGTGGATGCACTTGCGAAATAATCATTAATAAGTTGCGTGTAAGCACTGAAAAAAGTGAAACATGCCAAAGTTCCGTTCGATGTATAAAAGAAAGTAAATTATTTATTTAAAAATAATTATACAGAAACTAGCTTTGTTAAGCATTATACTCTTTTGACATTTATTTATGAGCTACGTATGCAATATTACTATAACAAAAAATACAAAATATTATAATAAAGACAAGGTAGCAAGGTTTAAACATAATAATTTAAAGTCGCTAAATGATATATCGAAACACAGCGGACTTCACTATGCTGCGTGACTGTTCTTCCACTTCGTTATTCAGCAATTGCTCAATACCTAATGGGAGGTCTTAGGTATACAGTGAAACTACCAAACTGCAAAAGTCGCTTTTGTCGTGAAAATTCGACATAGCTGGCAGTTTTTGAAGGATATTTAACACATATTCCTGTAAAAAACTGATTTGAATTGTCCAAAATGGTATGAATTTTGCGAAGAGAGATTGAAATTTAGCTGCACATCGAGTGGATTTGATCGTTCTGTTGGAATTGTATAGAAAACTAACGTAGCTAGGTGATGCCAAAATCGAAAAACACCATTGGCCTCGGAAGAGCCATTCAAGCGGACTTTGCAAAGTCTCGTAAGAACAGAAAAGGTGGATTGAAGCATACTACGGATTTGGACCCAAGAGCAAAAAAGCCAGCCTTGCGATCTGTAACTCAAGAAAGTAATCTCGATGAGTTTTTGAATACTGCTGAATTGGGAGAAGTAGATTTTGTGGCCGAAAAGCAAAATGTGAAAGTAATTCAAAATCCTGAGCAAAACCCCTTTTTGCCAACCGTGGAAGAAGCCAAGAATTCAAGAAAACGCCAAGAGCAAAACAAGGATCGTCTTACGATTCCCCGTCGTCCTCGTTGGAACGAATCTACCACCCCCGAAGAGCTTGATAGAATGGAAAAAGATTCATTGTTGGATTGGCGACGTAACTTGGCTCAATTACAAGAAGTAGAAGGGTTCGTCGTTACTCCCTTCGAGCGTAACATTCAGATTTGGAGACAATTATGGCGTGTCATTGAACGTTCTGATGTGGTTGTTCAGATTGTTGATGCTAGAAATCCTTTGTTTTTCCGTTCCGCAAATTTGGAATACTACGTTAAGGAGGTCGATCCTAAGAAAAAGAACTTTTTGTTGGTCAACAAGGCTGATATGCTCACTGCTGAACAAAGAAAGTACTGGGCTGCTTACTTTAATGAGCACAATATCTCCTATCTCTTTTTCTCTGCTCGTCTTGCTGCCGAATCAATTATGGAAGAAGCTGAAGGAGTTGTAGATGATGTTCCTGAAAGTCTAAAGGCTTCTGAAACCCATACTGAGGACCATCGCATTGCTACTTTGGATACTCTGTTGGGAATTTTTGAAACTTATGCAAATAACTATGCGAAGGACAATGGAAAATTAACTTTTGGACTTGTTGGTTATCCGAACGTTGGTAAATCATCCACTATCAATGCTTTGGTTGGCCATAAAACTGTTTCGGTCTCTTCTACACCCGGTAAAACCAAGCACTTTCAAACCATTAATCTGACTGACAAGGTAACCTTGTTAGATTGCCCAGGTTTAGTATTCCCCTCTTTTGCTACTACACAAGCAGATTTGGTTGTGGATGGTGTTTTACCTATTGACCAAATGCGTGAGCATACTGGTCCGTCCGCCATGTTGGCTAACAGAATTCCCAAAGAAGTGCTGGAGAAAATTTATACCATTAATATCCGCACCCGTCCCAAAGAAGAGGGTGGATCCGGTGTACCTTCAGCTGAAGAGGTGTTGTTCCCATATGCTAGATCTCGTGGTTATATGAGAGCACACCATGGTACGCCTGATGACTCGAGAGCAGCAAGGATCTTGCTTAAGGATTACGTGAACGGTAAATTAATCTATGTTCACCCACCACCTAACTATCCTGACTCCGATATGCAATTCAACAGAGAACATCATCTCCATTATCTTTCTTCGGTTGATGAAGACGTTAACCGAAAGCTTCAAAATGCTAGCCTTGCAGATAAGTTGGCTCTTCGTGAAAGTGAAGAAATTGACAAGGAATATTTTTCAGAAAATCCTCATGTTCGCTCATTCGTGCGTGGAACTGCTGCTTCTAACATTCAAGGCCCTGAATACAAAGGGAGAAACACGACTCAGGCTTTTCAACGTCGTTTGAACGATGATGGCACTCCAAAATATCCAATGAACGCTCAAGGAAAACCATTGTCACGTCGCAAAGCTCGTCAAATTAGTTCTTTGGAAATAGGAGTATCTCCCGACGCTGTCCTGGCTGCTTCTTCCAAAAAGCACAACAAGAAAAACAAGCGCACAAAGCAACGTAGTGGTAGGGTGTTAGATGATTTTTAAATCAGTGTTAGGATTCAGCTTTTTAATTTTTTGGTTTTTTTTGGCATGTCTGTTTAATGATATTATTGGGTAAATAAGGATTTTTCGGTTGTTCCTAAACATGTTGTTTAAAATGTAGATATATATAATATGTTAATAAAAAATAAATGTCCTATGGATATTGGCATTCACATACTCTTTGCTTAGCTTAGTATGACTATGGATACAAGGTACTTTTACTCTTTCTTTATAATAATGCTATAATAAAATATAAACAAAGGTAGGTACTCTACGGATTTTAGTAATTTCTTGTTTGTTTACTTTTTCATGGTTGCCGTAGTAACCCATAGCAAAAAAACGTAAACAAACAAGAAATTTAAAAACTCTGAAAGAACCGTCTTCTCACCTACAAAGCTCAATTGAAAAAGGTTGTTGAAATGGCTTACGCTGAACGTATGCAAAAGAAAGGATCGCCTGAAATTTCGGTACAACCACTTCATCAAGGGAATAAAAGTCTGCATAAACAATTATTAGAACCTCGTTTTCTTCGGGAAAAGAACAAGGCAACAGTGTCTAGTCCTACCGACAGTCTTATGAGTCCTTGTACAGCAAAATTGCAAGCTCACAAGCAAAAATACCATACAAGAAACATGCCCGGTTTAAGATCCCTAATGCAGACACTGTTGGAGGCTAGGGATAATGAGTAAATTCCATGGCTTCATGCATTTTATTTATTTTGTGGACGCTTCAAATATAATCTCGAATTTACGATTGCTTGTTTCATGACTTATAATATTTATTTATGGCTTTTTTTCGGGCGATCCTCAATATCGTCCACCGCTGATACATGTATAATACAAACTTACAAGTTTTTGTGGTTCTTGCTTGCCTTCAGAAGACGTACATCTTATTTATTCAAAGTGTTTGAATGCAATACACTTGTATCACCTTAGACCTCTGAAAAGTACTCCTCATTTGGGAGACGCATACTATTTAAGTGCATTTTTCCTTCCCTACAATTGCAATCAATATTTCACTTTAATTTTTTTTCCTTTTTATAATCATCAAAGCAATTCGTAAATCCATCATTTTTCTATGAAACATCTTTGACAAGACGTCACAACTGTTATGAAAAGAATGTCATCTAATGTACTCCCACTTTCTCGAATATCAACATGAATACATACATAAATATTAAATCAACGAACTCATAACTCTTCTTTACTATGCTCCACGTGCATACTCTCAGGGAACTCACAAGCACTGTTCCTTGATTGATGTCCTCGTACATTTGTATTTATACGTGGAATATGTAACTGTAATCCATGATCTTCTGGATCAAAATCGGACGTATCGTCACCGCTATCATTGCTTCTCGAGCTTCGGGTGCTAGTACTATCACAAAAAGCACGACCCGAAAGCTCATCATCGAAATATTCATTGTCTTCTTGAATAAAGTGCTTAATCGTATTCGGTATTGACGAAGCATGGGAATCTGTTGGTGGTTCATCAGCAACATAGATCAAAAATCGAGAATGATAAGAGACGTGATTCTCAAAATTGAGTACCACTTCATCGAATGTTACTGGCTTTACTGCACATGGTAAGATCTCATCAGTTATAATGGCAGCAGATGTAAAGTTCACCAAGTACCATTGGCGAGAATCCATGGTAGGGCTTATTCGCGGCACATCACTGTTCTCCTTTGTATTATTCTGGTCTAAGCAAATATACAATATTGAGGGTTCCAAAATAACAGCTCTTAAGCGGCGAATGCATGGATTCTTCAAATCATTATATAATGAAGCGAGTTTATGCTGTACTGCATTCGTATTTTCGACTAGAGTATTCAATTTATTCTTTGTCGTCTCCCTGATCACGTCCAAATGACTTGCTAATGCCGAGTTTCTGTCTTTCAAAAGGATATGACCATCATTCAAAAGCTCTGTAATGTCATACTTTATTATTTTCCTCCCTGTAAGCGTATTATATAAATCTTCCCATTCCTTCAATATTGTTTTGTAATCTGTTTCAAGTTGATATCGATGTAACACTGCTTGCTTATTTTCATAAATGCATTTACTTAAATTAATTTTCGTAGTCAGTAGGATCCGAGGAACACCAGATGTTCGACTTCCTGGAACAGAGCAGCAAAACACTTTGGCTGGTCTGCTTAGCCATGCCCAATCTTTTGTGGGTATAGAAGAAGGGTGCAACATAAGATCCAAACATGACTCTATACTCAACCGAAGATCTGGTGATGAACTGGGTTTGAATGAAAACAAGTGACTGCTCTTTTCCTCATTAATACCTTTTACTATGGCAGATGCAAAGGTTTCTTCGTACTTTCGATTCGGATGGCTGAAGAATCTTGACACGAAGGAGTTGAGCACGTCGCAGTCCGACAAAGACTGATTGCGAAGTCCCTCTTCAGACAATAACTGAGAAAAAGAAGAAGTTATATGAGTGGAATCAAGATATAAACGATGAGAAGATCTAAGAAATTCTAAGGCTCTAGCGGTTTGCAAATGCAGGATTGAACGGGCATCTTTTGAAGGAGGAACACATGGTTCCTCCCCAAACCACCAAGCAGGAGAACCAAAGCGGTGATAGGAATGTTGGCTAAAACGAGAAACAGATGAAGAAGAGGGGTGCAGTTGATCCTGCTGATGTGAAGGTGTAAGATAAGGTTCAGAATCAACGAGAGACCCACTCTCATTAAGAGACTGGATAAGTACGTTCCTGGCGAGTGGAATTTCGTTCAAAGCTACCAAAAAAGGAGCAATAGAAGGGAACAAAGGACTCGGTTTTAAAACTGATCCAATGTTTTCGAAAAGCCTCTTACGCTTATGGGGAGAAGGAAGAAAGAACGAATCATTGTAGCTTGGAAGAGAGGACTCCAGAGAGATATTAGAGGCAACAGGGACCAGGCGATTTTTCTCTAAATGTCCGCCAAAAATATATTCGGCAGCTGCTTCAACATCATTGTTGCACCTTGTTAATGCTTCCCTAGCATCGGGTTCCGAGATACCCATAGACTTCAATGTTTCTATTTTCTCGTTTGAATCCATCAGAGTAGACTATAACAAGTATGAAAAAGAGAGAAATAGTAATTAAACTAACAAGCCTATTTAGGCCAAAGTAGGTTGGGAACACAAGATCCAAGAACGTCTGTTTTGAAATGTGTCTAAGTAATTGTTAGGAAAAGGTTTTTACTAAAAATATTTTCAATAAGAGCAAAGGATCTTCAGATAGGACAAGAACTGTCTACTGTAAACGGTGTAGGAAAAACCACTGTCAAATAGGCGTTCGCGTCAAACTTGCTATCTGGGTCAGGATACCCTCACTTCAGCCAAGTATCTTTTTATGTAAGAGTTCTTTAATTGAAACTATTACTTTATTTAACAGAACGTACCAAGTAAGTCCTTCTGGATTCAAGTTTTTAAGAATGCTGTTATAATCAATTAAGTAAAGAAGCAGCGAACGGATACGCAAATTTTAGCAATTAACAAACAACAAGTTATAAAATATCTATAAAATTCACCACTACTTTCAGGTTTCTTACAGAGAAAGAATGGTTTTGGTAATGGCGAAAGATCAGCTACTGAGGTCATATACGGTAGCATTATAGTAAGTAGCAAATACTGGAAATTGATAGCATAGAGAGTAAAATAAAGAGTATAAATATTTTCAGTAGGAATTGTAAAACAAATATTAATTTAACTAGCACGTCGTTGATATGAATTCTGCGAATGTATATTTGAGGGACAACATTTCCACTAACATTGTAAAGGATTCTTTTTTGTAGAAAATAAAAAAAGATAAGCTACTCTGCATGATGGATTAGCGATTTTCGGCAAGAACGGAACTATCCGAAGTAATCTTCTAAACAGACCTCTTTCAAAGAAAACGTCTATGGGGTTTCATGGTTATTTTCATGATCAATATGGGCTGAATAAAGAAGAAACCAACGTACAGCTTCAAGGATTGCTGTAGATGATAGCCACATATGCAAATCCATATATCGTTCTGGTTTATGCTATAGCGACAAACGGATTTATAAAGCATTAGGACATCGAACACTCATATTGTATATAATTCATTGAACTAATATTTTTAGTTTAATGAAGAAAGAAAAGAATGTTTTTAGCCTTTTATAGGGAGCAAGGACGAAAACGATAATTAAGGCCTTCACGTTGATAAATCAACAGACCAAAAATGAAAATAGCTGCAATTCATAAAGAGCAATCCTTCAAAAGAAAAGAAAGATAATGAATATAACATCGGATAAAAGCCTCGAATTCATTTGTTAAACTCCTGGCTTATGTAAGTTGTATCATTCACGAATCGTCTGTGTTTCCGCAAACTAAATAGTTCATAAAGAAAACTATATAAATATTTATTTTTATTCATGGGATAGATAGACAGGATGGTATTTCAACATGCGGAATGCCCTCGGGGTTTGACAAAACCAGGTAATTTTTAGGCAATTGACTGCCACCATATTAAAGTAGAATACACCCTTCTCGAATGTTTCAAAGCACACAATTTATGAAAAGAATGATGAAGATCTAACCTACGTCTGGTTCGCAGTAGATATAATAACCTCTCTGCCTTAGCTTCTGCCGACACTCTTCAACTACTTTTAAGATTTCATATCAAGTGTAAAATGAGCCGAGAAAGAGTGTCCATCGTAATGGATTGAAGATGGAGGGAAATCCATGCTTCCTTCTTGGATAATAGCAAAGCAATAGGCTAGCAGTGATCAAAGACCTGTTGTAACTAATATAGATACAAAGACATTAAAAGACAAATATAAAACTTTGTATAAAGGTCTTTCGGACCATTTTCAGTCGTAGGCCAGGGGTTTCCGCGTTTATGCTGACTTCCTTCAGGCTCTGAAATCACATTTTCAACCTTGACAAGAATGTTTAATATACCCGGATACTCACTTTTTTTACAAGAGTTATTACATCCTTAACCAATAAATAATTTGACCTCCCATATCAACTCTGGTGTTCAACAAGTGACAGACAGAGAAGAACCAATTCCATAAACGAATTGCTCAATAAAAACGATTATTCGTAAAAATTTTTCAGTACTGGAAAATGCATCTAAGCTGTCATTGATAAACTAGTGTCACTTGGCCCTTTACCTTCATCAAATATATAATTCTCACAGCCTTTTTGAAGTCATATAAATTCGTATAAAGCTATACTTCTCATTTTTTTTGTATCCAACCAAGAGTAAAGCAGCGTAAGGAGAGACTTATTTTTGTTCAACTTTTTTTTTCCATCAGAAAACGATTCTGGCCACGACCATCCATAATCAGTTAGTCCCAGGATCTGTTTCACATATATAACTTGGGTTAATTTCCAAGTACTATAAAAACCGATTTTTAGTTTCGCAACACGATGAACAAAAATCATGCTCCAGCAGTGACTCGAACACTGGGCCTCTTGCTTACTAGGCAAGCGCTCTACCACTGAGCTACAAGAGCTATCTGATACAACAGTAAATTTATAACTATAAGAAAGGATTCATATTCACTGAAATGTAATAAATCAGTAATTCCTTATATATACTATGAGTATCATGCTTTTAAATTCCTAAATTGGAATCTTTGATAGAAAGAATAAAATAGAAGATATGCTCAAACATGTTTTTTGCTTTTTTGCTTATGTTAAAAAAGGTAACAAGTAAGACAAATATAGGTAACAAAAATGTAATTAGGTGCTTGGTGGGGGTAATCAGATAAAATTGCTACTTCAATTCGTAGCTGAAGAAAGGTTTGATGTGCTTGAATTGAACGTCGCCTTAACCAAACAGATTCGCAGCAAACCCTTTTTTCTTTAGGAGGTTGTAGACGAACTGCTTTTATTTTATACCGGCCAGATTTAAAAAGGGTTGGTAAAAATGAGACCGAAAGCAGGCATAAGTCCACTCCTGTCAGAGAAGTCGATTATCCAAAATGACAAGGCATATATCTTTTTGATGTTGTTATGGAACGCTCCTAATTTATTTTTAATTCTATGTGGGTCCATTCAGTATACTATAGATGTTCGGAAGCGTCCACTTAACGTTCGCTTTAATCGATTTTGGACTATCAGGCTTAAAGTAGCCATTATTTTAGCACTTATTTGGTGCCATTTGTATGATGCTGCTAAAACAAAACATTACTCTTGGAATGCTCATTCCACTACTACGTTTCTGTTTGCTCTCTTTTTACATCTTACGGAACAATCAACCTTGCGAGTTCCTATGGCTTCACTTTTACTGTTTTATGCTTTTAAATGCATTTCTTCTCTCACTGTCCTTTTGTTGAAGATTAACTTTAGTTTCTCCTATATCTCCACGTTTTTGGCAGCAACAACTTTTGTTCTTTCGTTGCTTGCTATACTCGTGGAAATATACGTGCCTCCTTCTAATCGTGTTTGGTATCCTGAGGATGCTCACGAACTTGAGGAAACCGGTTTAGCTCCATCAGAGCTTACTTATGCCAATATCTTTTCAAAGTTATTCTTTTCATGGTTAAGTCCTCTCATGAAATACGGCTATCGCAATTATCTTTCCGAGTCCAATGTTTGGTCACTTCCCCATGGCGAACGGTCTAAAGATTTGGTTTCGACTTTTGAATCCAATTGGATCCATCATTCCAGTAAGAAAAAGAAATCCTCTGTTTTATGGAAGGTTCTATTTCTAACTCACTGGAAGTTAATTGCCAAACTTGTTTGTTTTAAATTTGCTCAAGATATTTTGGCTTTTGTTCAACCTAATTTGATTCAGAGAATCATCTTGTTTGTCAGTTCTTATAAATCTTCACATCCCCAGCCTGTCGCCGAAGGTCTCCTACTTGCGATGGCGATGTTCTTTACATCTCTTTGTCAAACAATATTGCTTCAGCAGTATTTGCAAATGGCTATGGTTCTTGGCATGCGTTGGAGATCTGAGCTGATTACGACCATTTATCGCAAAGCTCTCCGTCTTTCTAGTGCTGCTCGCCAGAGCCGGTCTGTCGGTGACATCGTTAACTACATGTCTGTTGATACTCAGAAAGTTAGCGACCTTACTATGTTTTTATTTATTACTGTTTCGGGACCTTTTCAAATCGTTCTGGCTTTGGGAAGCTTGTACCGTTTACTCGGTCTTAGTGCACTTTCTGGTGTTGCTGTAACGGTTCTCTTACTTCCCTGTAATGTTTTCATCGCTAATATCTTCAAGCGTTTTCAAAACATTCAAATGCACAACAAGGATGCTCGTTCTAGATTGATGACCGAAATTATCAACAACATTCGAAGCATCAAGCTTTATGCTTGGGAAAATATATTCATACAAAAGCTTTTCAATTTACGTAATAGCAAGGAGCTTCGTATGCTTAAGAAAATAGGATACATCAATACTATAGGTAACTTTACTTGGCTTTTTGCTCCCAACCTTGTTTCTTCCGCTACTTTCGCAACGTTTGTTATTCTTTACGGAGAATCTCGAACTTTGACTGTTGATGTTGTTTTTTCTGCGTTGACGCTCTTCAACCTCTTGCAATTCCCCTTGACCATGTTGCCGGTTATTGTTAGTTCCATCTTGGAGGCTACTGTTGCAGTTTCTCGTATTTTCAGCTTTTTGGTTTCTTCCGAATTAGATCCTGATGCTGTTCAGGTTTATCCTGCTGTTGAAGAACCCGGAAGTATTGCTTTAGAGATTAGAGATGGTACTTTCTCTTGGGAAGAACGCGACGGCAAGAAGGTTGATGCAGTTCTCCAAAATATTAATTTACAAGCGAGAAAAGGTGAATTGACCTGTATAGTTGGCCGTGTTGGAATGGGAAAGTCATCTTTATTGGAAGCTTGTTTAGGAAACATGTATAAGCTCAATGGCTCTGTTTTTCGCTGCGGTAGTGTAGCTTATGCTGCACAGCAACCATGGATATTGAATGCAACCATTCAGGAGAATATTCTATTTGGGCTTGAATTTGACGCAGATTTTTACGAAAAAACCGTCCATGCCTGTTGTTTAGTACGTGATTTTGAAATTTTTGCCGATGGTGATCAGACTGAAGTGGGTGAAAAAGGTATCTCTCTTTCTGGTGGACAAAAGGCTCGTATTTCTTTAGCTCGTGCTGTCTATTCGAGAGCAGACATGTATCTTTTGGACGATGTTTTATCAGCCGTAGACCAGCATGTTAACAAAGATTTAATTCGTAATCTTTTAGGCTCTCATGGTTTGCTTAAGTCGCGTTGTGTAATTTTGGCTACTAATTCTTTGACTGTTCTTAAGGAAGCTTCTGCTATTTATATGTTACGCCGTGGTAAAATTGTGGAGTCGGGTAGTTTTGCTCAATTATCAACATCCCCTGACGCTCAACTTTTCCAGCTACTTTCGGATCATAGCATGACTGACAGTGCCAATCTTAGTGAAAGCAAATCTTCTCTTTCTTTGACACCATCTGGGAGCGGTTACTCTACTGATGTGAAGAGCCTGAGCCGCTCATCGAGCATTGTTAGTAACTATCCAAAGGCAGTTCTGAAGAAGAGCGGTCGTCTTCGTGAGAAGCTTACTGATGATGATCTCGGTAAAGTTACCAAGCAAACAGTTGAAACATCTCAAAAAGGTCAAGTGAAATGGCAGGTATACTGGACTTATTTCAAAGCTTGTTCGTTTTGGTTCATTGCTTTGTATTTCTTTTGCATTATTGGTGGTATCGGTATGAATGTTGGAACGAATGTGTGGCTCAAGCATTGGAGTGAGGTTAATACCAATGCTGGGTACAACCCTAGGGCATACTACTATTTGCTTGTATATGTGCTCTTTGGTTTATTGTCATGTGGCTTGGTTTCCTATAGTAGTTTGGTAATAACTGTTCATTGCGCCATACGTGCCTGTAAAGCACTTCATGATGCGATGATACGCTCTGTTCTACGTGCTCCTATGAGCTTTTTTGAGACTACACCAACTGGCCGGATATTGAACCGATTTTCAAGTGATGTATTTCGCGTGGACGAGGTAATTTCCCGAGTGCTCATGTCTTTCTTCCGTAACCTTTTCCAGATTGTTTTTGTGGTGGGTGTCATTTGTTACTCTGCTCCTCCGTTTTTGATTTTGATCATCCCTCTGTTCTTTCTGTATCGTTACAGTCAGGTCTACTACACTCGTACATCGAGAGAGCTTAAGAGATTGGATAGCGTTACGCGTAGCCCTTTATATGCACACTTCCAGGAATCTTTGGGCGGTCTTTCTACTATTCGTGCCTATAATATGATGGATACATTTGTATCAGAAAACGACATTCGAATCGACACAAACCATCGATTCTGGTTCTTGTACTTTTGTTCCAATCGTTGGCAAGGTATTCGAGTTGAGGTAATCGGTGCTACTGTTGTTTTTAGTGCTGCATTTTTGGGTATTCTTTCGGCTATTCGAGGAAACCCGAATTCCGGTCTTGTTGGTCTTTCGTTGTCTTACGCCGTGTTAATTACTCAAAGTTTGACGTTTGTTGTCCGTCAATCGGTTGATGTTGAGACCAATATCGTGTCGGTGGAAAGAATGTTAGAATACATGGCACTTGAGAGTGAGGCACCAGCCGTCATACCTGATCATCGTCCTTCTGATGAATGGCCTTATCAAGGAGCTGTCAAGTTTGATCACTATAGTGTTCGTTACCGTCCCAATTTGCCATTGGTGTTGGACGATATCAACGTTGATGTGAAACCACGTGAAAAAATTGGAATTGTTGGACGAACAGGGGCTGGTAAGTCCACGTTGACTCTTGCTCTATTCCGGATGGTTGAACCTACGACAGGAAAAATTGTTTTGGATGATGTGAATACATCTACAATCGGCTTAGAGGATTTGAGATCTCGACTAGCCATTATTCCCCAGGAAAACCAAGCATTTGAGGGTACCCTTCGAGAGAACCTAGATCCCAAATATATACACAGTGATGCCGAAATTTGGGAAGCATTAGAATCCGCATCATTGAAGGGATACGTGACAAGTTTAGAAAATGGGTTGAACTCTGCGATTACAGAAGGAGGTGCAAACCTTTCATCTGGTCAACGTCAATTGATGTGTTTGACTCGTGCATTACTGACTCCAACACGTGTGTTATTACTAGATGAAGCGACGGCTGCCGTCGACGTTGAAACGGATGCCATTGTTCAGCGTACAATTCGGGACAAATTCAATGATCGTACAATCTTGACGATTGCTCATCGTATCAACACTGTGATGGATTCCGATCGAATTCTTGTATTGGATCACGGAAGAGTAGTCGAGTTTGGTCCTACAAAGGACCTTCTTGAGAAGAAAGATTCATACTTTTATTCTTTAGCAAAAGAAAGTGGGTTGATATAAAAAGAAAAAAAGTGAATAGGGAAAGTTGTTATCTTGAACGAAAAAAAAAAAAAAAAAAAAAAAGTCTCCCCCCTCCCTCTCTTGCATCTCTTCAAAAGGTTGTGATTCTTCTTTCCGTCTTTTTGTGTTTGAAAATTCGTCAAAAGTTGGTGGAAAGTTGATTTGATGCAGGATCTTTTCTCATGTTACGAACGAATGGTATTGGTTTGACTCTTGTGAATGAATGATATCAACTGTTGGTAAAGAAGAATCACTCTTTGAAACATGTTCCGACGTGGAATGATTTGGAAATCGTGTGAATATGAATCAACTGCTGTATCAGCAGGTACATAATGATGTTTATGGTATACTATTTTGGAGTAAGTTTTTGAAAGGTTTTCTGTTTTTTTTCTTTTTCCGCTGGTTAGTCAATCGTATCGAACGGTAGTATTGAACAGTAAAGTAAGTATTTAGTAGTAAGAGCTGTCTGGTTAGGACTTGAACCTATCTTGTAGATGATTGTAATTTTTCTCAAGAACAACTCCATGTTACAACGAACATTTCGTTTTTACTTTTACTATATTGATTTGATTCAGTTCATTCATTCACTAAGATCAATCATGTTGACTATTCATTTTCTTTCCAAAATAATGAAAAATTGAAACATTTTTTTTTTTTTTTTTTTTAGAAAAAGTTATACACTTCTACAGACTTGATACTAATAAACCAGTGTTCACACTCAACTCATCTTCTACACCATACCATACCATACCATACACATCCATCCAAGGTGGTGGCCTTCACTTCAACAAGCATATACCAGGTAAAATGAAACCGCTCTAAAAGAAGACAGACGTCCATCTGACGTTGTGTTTTGTTTTCATGGAGCGACAATTTCTTTCAAAGCAATTTCTTTGTTTTCTGAAGTCTTCTTTCATGTCCTTTTACTCTTTGTTGTTGCAAAGCATAAGCATCCCAAACAGTAAGCAAAGGCGCTTTTTCGTTAATATCGGTTATAATTTAGCCTAAATTTGGAATGTTTCATTGGCCAGAGATAATTTCTTCTTTCAATTGTTCTGAAAGGTTAAATACGATAAGCAATTAAACTTGTGACAAACGAAGATCTAATCGAACAGTTCAAAAAGGCTTTCTATGCTTTGTATAGAGATCTATGAAAATGGCGATTTATGATGGCAGTCAATTTTCACTATATAAATGCTGTATAGCAGGACAAGTAGAAGGAATAAACAAGATCGTCGATTCTATACCTGTAACAGCTTTTGTTTGGAAGGATTTCGTGTTGTGAATTCCAAGTTCTATACACAACAGGATAGGAATATCATTTTTTTGAGAGGATTTTCAGATTTTAATTTTGGTTCCTAGATCTCTCTGCTTAATAGATTGCTTTTCTTTCTTTTACCTTTTTGATCAATTTTGTTTACGTTACTCTTTTTACCCATTCTTCTTCTTATTATTATTGTTTCGCTTTCCTTTGGTTTTGTAGGATCGCATTTTCTTGGATTTGTGACACATTTGGTTCGGTTCTTTTGATATATTACAGGAACTCTTGAATCTTTAATTTCATTTTCACTTTCACTTTCGTTTTTCCTTTTCATTTCACTTATTGTCTCTCTCTTTGGGCGCATTCTCCAGTTTTTTTTTTTTTTTTTTTTGTTAATTATGCTTCCCATCGCAATATTTTACCAGGTATATGCTTACCTCAGTCTCGTGCTCTCAGCACAGGTCTTCTACATGCAAATGCGTGCACGTAATCTTCCCTGCTTGCTCTTGTTGTTTTGGGTTTGTATCTGCACACTGATCTATGCAGTACAATCTGCCATCTGGCATCAGACTTCAGAACCAAAATGGCTCGGCTATGGTTTTTGCGACATCACTTCCCGAATTATTACTTGTTCAAGCATTGGTATCCCAGCAGCAGCTTTTACTCTGGTACTCTATCTCGACAAAGTCATTCGCAGTGATCGTCCTTTGAAACCATTCCAAGATTGGATCTTCCAGATCTTATTGTCCCTTGCATATCCCATTGTTACTATGCTCCTTATGATTCCCATGGAAAGTAACCGTTATGTTGTTATCTGTATGAATGGTTGTATGCCTGCCTTTTACCAAACCGTTTACACCTTGATAATCTTCTATCTTCCTCCTTGTCTACTCTCTCTTGGTGGTTTGTTCTTCGTCTCTAGAATCCTCTACTACTACTGGCACCGTCAAAAAGAACTCCAACAGTTCTTCCAACGTGACTCCCAACTTACTTCTAAACGCTTTCTGCGTCTTCTTCTTTTGGATGCCGTTTTCTTCCTTGGTTACCTTCCCCTAACCATTTACCTTCTCGTTGTGAACTGTAAAGGACATAATTTTATGGCTGTTAATCATTATTTAATGTCCATTTGGCACCGAGTTCCCGTATACTTCTTCCCAGCAACTTCTATTTTCTTGAACAATTGGATTCCCCCCACTGTTCTCATCATCATGTCGATCTTCTTCATCACAAGCGGCAAATGGACAGATAATGTTGCCATCTTCTTGTGGAGCTTGGTCGTTCGTTGCCCCTACATCAAAAACACTAGCTTGGGTCGTCATGCCCAGTTCAAGCTGGATAGCGAGAAGAGTGCTGAAACAACTCTTGCTGAAAGAACTATCGATTCTAGTGATCTTAAAGAAAAATGTCTTATTTTAGAGAGACAATGGAGCAAATTGTCGGTTCCAAGCGACGACTCGAGCGAATCCCAAGCTTCCACCAAATATGTCTAATGCACTACCTATTGTCAAGTCTACTTTTCCATGACTTAACGTGTTTACTAATTCCAAATCTTCTATATTTCTTCCACCACCCGCATAAGTGGTAGGAATCGTCACCCATTCGCCAAGTTTCTTCACGAGTTCCTCGTCAATTCCCCGGCATAATCCCTCCACATCGGCTGCGTGGATCAAAAATTCAGTACAATAATTAGACAACAAATCTAAATTGTCTTTGGATATCTCAAATTCTGTTACCGTTTGCCATTTGTTGATTGCTGCAAACCATCCATTTTCCCTTCTACGACAACTAGAAGCATATGCCGTTAATAACTTCAAATCCCGTTTTCCGAACTACAATCCATCATGCCTATGACTCATTCTTACCTAACGTCAACAACAAGACGATCTTTGCCAACTAGATCCGAAATGGTTTTCAATCTCTCCAAATCAAATTGACCATTTGGGAATAACCAAGATGTGACGATTACCTAGTATAATGATCAGTATTTATTAAAAATTCACTTAATCTTTCGTTAAATATTTAATTTGGTTCTCCTGATGATAACTTCTTAAGAAACACCTGTCTTTCAGTCATTTCAAATGCTATGACCCAGGATTCTGACTTATTATAATTCTAATAAGATTTATGGTTCTGTTTAAATATTATTTTGCAAATGTACTTACCTTGGAAGCTCCTTGTTCTAACCAATACTTCGCATTCGTATTATTGATTCCACCGCCAATTTGTAAATAGCCTAGACGCAATCAGTCAGTTTCATAAATAATTCGTACAGTATAGGTTTCTTTTGTTTTTATTCACAACTTACCTGGCCAAGCATGGAGAGCAGTTTTAGCAGTTTCTTCACAGTTGGGACCCAACATAATAACATGGCCTCCCAGTAAATGGTTTTCCTTGTAGAGCTGAGCATAGTAATCGCTTGATTTCAAAGAGACGTAATTCGTTTGCAAACTAGCATTGTCCCCAAGAGTTCCACCAACGATTTGTTTTACTTGACCTTTGTGAATATCGATGCAAGGACGAAACAATGTATGCTGTGACATATTTTATATTTCTTTTACCAAATTTATACAAAACGAAACTGTATTTTGTTGTTAAAATGGCTTGCTTTTTCGAATATAAGTCTTATTAAATCGACTGTGGAGGCAGTGACAGAAGAAGTTATATTTGCCCTTTGCCAAGTTCACCTTCCTTCATCGACGGGAAGAATTGAGTTGGATTGTACATAATAAAAGAAATATGGAAGAGAAAGATGCTTTATTGAAGTTGCAAAAGCATTTTGAAGCGCAATTTGGTAATGTGGAAGGGATTTTGCCTGTCCAAACTCAAAGTTCCAATGAAGAGTCTGTTAACGAAAACGAAGAAGAAAGTGGAAACGAAAGCTTAGATGAATCAGAGAAAGATTCCTCAGGAGAAGAGGAAGAAGAACAAGAAACGGAATGGACGCCTTCTTCATCTTCCATCGTTAGAGTATCTCATCAAGAAAAGGAAAAGCCCATTGTTTTAAGGGCACCCGGAAAGAATTCGTTTTTGAAGAAAATGCCAAAACTGGAGACGGAAGAGGATTTGAAATTAAAAAGGAGAAATGAGCTTCGCAGGAGAAAGTCTTCTCGAGATGGTGAAGAAGACGAGACCCCTGACAACGAAGCTGAGAATTTAAAGAATGATGTAGAGCTTCAAAAGCTTCTTCGGGAATCTCATTTGCTTCATGAGGTCTCTTCACGCACTGGAGAAACAAATCTTGTAGCACAAGGAAAGGTCCGACAGAAAGCCATCCAACAACACATCAAGGAATTGGGAGGAAAGGAGAAAGAACAAAAAATGCCAATGATTGCTAGAAAGGGAATGGCCCAAAAAAGGAAGCATATTGACGGGATTATCCAAAAGGAGGCTCGTGAAAGCGGTACTGTGCTGGCGAAAAAGGCAAAGCAACCAAAGAAGCAAAAGAAGGGATTTGTCCCGGGAACATTTTCTTTACCGGGAAAATTCGTTGGCGGAACTCTTCGTCTTCCAAAAAGCATGGCTCCTTAAATGTTGGAGTTTACTTTTTGCATTGTATACATAGATTCTGGGCTTTAAAGACAGGTTTAATGATGGAAATAGTTTTACATTTATAAACTAACTTTCTAATTAAAGAGGTTATTTTGGTTTTCGGGTGGATTTTTTTTTGATTATGCATCTTTTTTCTTGGATTTAATAACATTAGCTTCATGCGTTTAATGTTTCTGCAAATAGTTGATTTCATTTATAAAAAGTTTGAGTAATACCTAAGCCAAACAATAAAGATAAGAATTCATGTTCTTTTTCTTTTGCAATCAACATACAAGAAAAAAAGCGAGATATAAATAAAGCAATAAACAGTTCATAGAAAAGCATGCTAAAAAAATAATGAAAAAAAAAGAATACAAAAGAAAGGGATGCACACACCGAAAATGTACACGTCTCAAAAGAACTGAAAAGAAGTGATCATTTTCAAACATCTTGGGATTGGAAGATCACTTACATAATTTAACGTGATTCCAAGAAACTATGGTTTGCAAATTGCTGAGCAATTTGATCCGTAGTAGCGGTGTCCCAAAAGATAGAGTCTGCGGCCAATTCGCTCTTTAAATCCGTCAAGCGTAAAGAGGGATCATGCTTTTGCTGAGGAAGTTCAGTTTGATCAGTCTTGTCTTGGTGGTATGAAGGGAATAAATGTTGGTCAAATTTGTAACCAGTTTGAACAGCTATACAATCGTTAGTTAGATGCTTCTACTAATATATCCAAGAGCTAATGCGAAACCATCAATGCTCTTCCGTAACGATAATGACAGTATAAATGATGACCTAATAAATATCAATAGACCTTCATTTTATCTGCTACATCTCTTGGAAATATCGGTGATGAAGTCTTACCTTTACGACTAGGACTGGTTAGCATTCTGCACATAAAATCATAACAACACTATGAATGCCATGGATCGTCTTAATAATAAGCAAAAAAACGACCAGACAATTGGTTTTACTTACACTCTAGCACCAACATCAAATAATGACGTTTGTACGATGGGATGAAGAGGTTCGTTCGTATTCACAGGTGCTTGGTTGCTCATAATGATATGGAAATCCTCTAACAAAAACAAAAACCAAAATATAATAAAACTAATATCTTTTAATCAACAAAAGATGGTTTCAGAAATGCTAATTCCGAGAGAATTGAATTTTGTCTTGGTGTTGGTGGAAGGATAAGTTCATATCGAGCGGTTATACAAACAAGTAGCAGAAATAACAATGTTACCCAAGGTTCCAAATCATTCCATTTTAGAGGGCGTTGAATTCGTCTACAACAACTTTAAGAATGTTTATTTACATTAACACAATGAATGTGTAAAATTTTCTTTTTATGGCTTCTGTAGCTTTATAAATATAAGCAAAGTACCTCTATAAACTATTTCAATCTATATGTACTTTTCTCTTTGGAAAAGTGTTGCTTTTCCAAATTGTAGTTGACCGGTTTATCGAGTTGCACTCTTATAGGAACTAAACAACTAGCGTGTTTGTTTTTCCCTTCCTCCTGTAGAAATAGATTCTATCAATGCATAGCTTCCTTCTGTATGTAGAAACTTCTTTTGTTCCTGTTTGAACATGCTGACGAGTTTTCTTCAATGAGAGTATGTGTATACAACATCACAAGGTAAATGCCTCAGACACTATTAAGAGATACTAAATAGAAAAATTAATGAAATCATGAACTGAATATAGCTATCGCGCTTCACAGAGAAAGAAAATATGAATTGAAGCAAACATTGAACATGTTCTGGTTTGACTAATGCCCAGTATTGCAAAGTCGCGTTGGATAAGCAACAAAACATGTATCATAAAACATAAGTGTTTTATTTTCTAAGAGATAACAGATAAAATATGATGCAACCAAACTCATGTTGAAGGGATTTGTTTCTTCCAGGTTATTTCCAAGTCAAGTATAAAGAAAAGAAATCACAGCTGCATAGTCAGATGGGTATTCACTATGATAAATAATCATAGAATTGTGAGGTAAAAAGCGATCATCACTGGTCAATAATGGATTGTGTGGAAGAACTTTACTTGACAATGAATTCGATGCAAGAGCATTCCAAGAGTACACTAAAAAGATCTCCTAAAAAAATGCCTCCATTCTTCATGAAACACAAAAAGGAGACCAAATATCTGTATCGTAAATTCAGCTTTGTCTGTGTCGACAAGCGCGAAATTTGTCTTCGCGGCCTCCTCAGTTCGGTAGCTTTCATCCTGTAAAAAGATCGTAGCTTTATTTGATATGAATAGCAAGTATCTTCACAAGCTTCAAAATTACTTCTTTACAGCTTCCGCGGCTCTCGTCGTTTCAGATGAACGCTGTACATGGAAAACATCATTTCATTGCCTAAACACCGACGAAACAAAAGAATCATTGATTTTTTCATGCGATTTTATAGATGACATCTAAGAATGGCATGCAAATAGCTTCGACTTCCTTCATTTTCCATATACAGATTCATCCTCCCAGTCTTTCCCAAATTTAATTCCTTCACTCAAAGAAAAAAAATAAAACATTTTCTTTCTTAATTTTTGATTTCGTGCACCTGATTACTCATTAGTGTTGGAAGTAAATTCCTGTGTTTGTTTGTTTTTTCCCTCTCCAAAGCAAGACGAATCCGTTCTCTAGAAGCAGAGAATTTAAATGCTGATACGCATTGAACGAGATTATTCTGTTTCTGGCGATCGATATCCTCAGTTTTCCACAAATTTTCCTCTTCCGTTACAGCCCTATGTCTCTGTGAAAGACTGGAATGCTTTTATTCATACGCTGAATAAAAAGTTGTTTATGGCCTTTTGTCCTTGGACTATTGGAAATCTGTTGGATATATTCCTTTCTATTGTAACTCTCTATGCTTCTGAATTCGTATTTGGAAGCGTACATAGAAAGCGAATAGCAAACATCGAAGCTTATGTTGCTGACTTTGCTCGGCAGCATGATCTTTTAGCAGCTAGTCTTCGCAATATGGGGTTTTTAAATATTGTTTTTCATACAAAGGAAAATTTTGCTAGAAGTACTACATTGTATTCGTCTCGCGAAAGCGTGGAAAACCAGTCAGTGCAATCCATGCCTTCTGCCCTGACGACCACACCTTCAAATTTATCGACGTATAGCCAGAATCCCGGTGCTGGTGTGAACGAATGGATGAATTCGATTCTTTAGATGCTGTCCAGCATATTCATGTACAAGCTAGACATCCGTAAGTGCTCGATTTAAAGGGCTGAGAATTTTTCCATTTATAAACTTGCCAAGGGCGAGTGAAGTCAGGTGCAAGAATGTCGACTGCTGGCTCTTATATTTCTTTCAAAAGAAAGAATTTGGAAATACGAATGAAGCGGTCGATGTTTGGTTGAAGAAGTAGCATGAAGAGAAAATGAGCTCCTGCAAAAGTGTTCTTTACTAACTATCTTTGCAATGTAGAAGAAATCGTTTTTTGTCAATTGTTCATGACTCTCAATTTATAGACCTTGTCCTTGAAAGCTACCCTAACTTTAAGTGCGTCGTTAATGAACGTTGCGGCACATGGTATGTAAAACCAGTTCACGCTCCCTTTTCTGCGTATTTTAAGAGTACAGATGGTCATACAGGACAATGGTCTTTTAGTACTCGTCGGTTAAATTTACATCTGCTTGATTTAATCCACGACTATGGTGGAATTGTCCTTGTTGATTCAACCAGGCGTGGTAAACGCATGCCTGACGCCCTGTCGAAAACAGTTCCCATTTGGATTGCTACTCTTAATAAATGCGTTTTTGAGAGACTTCGTCCCCATGACTTAGAAAATCGTCAGCTCGTGTTTTTTCCTCCTTATCTTCCTGAAACAGAGCGATCTGCTATGAACAAGAAATTAGATGGATTCGTTGATTTACTTATGAATTCTGGTATTAATTTGGATTTTATTTCCTCAAAATTACAGAAGCCTATACGTCCTTTATGGGCCACTCCAACTAGTACTCTTTCTTCCGCTCAATTTGAAGATTATCATACTGTAGTACTCGTCACAGCCAGTAAGCAAGTACACGATGGTTACTCTAGGGAGTATGGATTTCTTTACGTCCAAGGTGCAGCAGACGATGAAGAAGAATGGGCCAGTGGACTTAGTCCTACGGTATTTTGGAATCATGCTGACAACATATTATCATTTCCAGAGGAAGAATATGATTCAAATATTAAATGTTTATTATCTAAAATATCACACGATAACACTTCTACGGCTGCTACAACAACAACTTCAGATGTCCTTACCTACCTTGTACCGACAAATATATCCATTGGAGATCGAAGCAAATTTTCCGAAACCGAAAATAAAGGATTTTTTTTCATAGTGAATTTTTCTTCTCAACCATTGAATATACCTCAAGAACTTCACTGTCCGATCGAGTCTGGCAAGAAGGGTGCCCAAAGTTTTCGCAAAGAAGCACCTAAAATTTTGTCAAAGTTGAATGGAATCAAGCCTCCATGGGATGTGCAAGATTCCTTAATCTTGTTGGATGATCAAGGTGGAAAGGAAATTGCCTCTTGCTTTGCGTTATTGTTACTTTCCTTATATTATGATTCCGATTTACGAAAGCTTTCGACGCCTTTAACACTCGGGACTTCACAGACTCACCTTGATAAACATCAAATAAGACAAAGATTGATAAAGATAATTGAAGCTCATCCAAAAACCAATCCCTCTCGTGCTTTCTTAATTGCCGTAAATACTTTACTTTTAAGCACCTCTTCTTGAAGGTGTTGAAGATATCAACAAAAATACAGTAAAGCAGAAGAAGTGAACAATGGAGGATAGCGATGGAACTGAAAGTATTTTCGTTCGTGGCTCATTTACCAACCTTTATAAGCTACGATTAATTATTAGGACTGAATTGGCTCTCGCCTTAAGTGGTTTTCCTTATGGTTCGAATTGCTACCAATGTTTATCTAGGCGCAATCCTTCTTCTATCTTAGGAAAAAAAGTTGTGATTGCCAATTACAATCTGACGGTTCCGTTCTTACTGTATTATCGCATTCAACTACTAAAACACATAGACTAAATTCTCAGCGCTCCATTTTTTTAAAGAAGATTACATACTTTTTTACATGTCCCAACCTATTGTAGAGGCTTCGCAGAGTTTTTTATTTTTCCCATCCTCTTATAACTAAGCATGTGCACCTAACAACTTTTGAGTAATTACCATCTTTGCTACAATTTTAACAAATAACCATGCCAATTCTTGTCTTTACGACATGATGTGAAAGTCTGTTATTACTATTCTTCAACTTTCCTTTAATTCATGCGGTTACGAGAAATAAAAGTGATGGAGTTATGCAACTTTGCTAAATACGGCATTTTTATACTCACACTTTGCTGGAAAGCGGGATCTGAATACACTAACAATTCAATTTTAAGTTATAGTAAGTCACAATCTGAAGGAAATAAACTGAAATGATTTTCATCGCAGTTAAATATTTCTCATCAGTTGTACAGTATTTTAGTTGGAAGAACGGTGAGCTCGATAATTATGACATACGCTTAGTTCTCAGTCTATTCATATTTTTTAAATTGTCCATGGTTCCTTAGTAAATATGAAGGTAATTTTAGCTTTGTTTTCATTTGTCTTGGAAACTGACGGGTGAAAAAAGTTGCTCTTTCATTTTCTGAATTGACAATGATTATCGAATTTCCGTTCCTCATCTTTAAGCATCATATTTATTTGAAAAATTAAATCTATGAATTATTAAAACTTCTTTATAGACAAACACGAAAAATGGTTATCCGCTATAGTCTATAGAAATCGTAATAGAAAGCAAAAATTCTTATTAGATATCTTGCAAATCTGAGTGGTTTACTTGGCATGAGAATTTTCATCTGAATGATTGAAAAGAAAAGAAAAATCCTGTTTTGGGTTATACCTAGTTGCATTTACTTTTTTTTTTAGACAACAAGAGGCCGTCGAATTTTCTGTTTAGGCTATGCACTTCCTCGTCTAAAGAAATGGATAGTCGCGATAGTCCTATCCTTCAGGTATACACACAACTGTGACAGTATGCCTTTTCAACAATATGAAATATACTAAGTCTAAACAAACTCTTTCAATGACCGTCATTGACATTAAGTACATCCATGTTACCCAGAGAGTAACATAACACTACAGCCCGAAAAGAGGAATGTTTGAACAATCAATGAATAGGGTGGGTACTCTTCATGGGCGATGCATAAACAACAATATTGCAAAAAAAATTAAAATTTTCATTAAAGAATGAAAATAAAAAGAAATAAAACCAGACATATGAAGCTGATGCTTGCTTTTATGAACGGGAATGCCGAAACTTAAGGGATTGCAATTTATATGGATGCTTCCGAAAAAAATGCAATTTATAAAAGGGATAGAGCAAGCTCGCTAAAACCAAAACTTCAGCGCTTTGCTCAGCAAGATGTTGAAGCTCGATTTGCTCGTTACGAGGTGCTTCATTTTCTGGATCTATCGGTCCTAAATAGGTTAATCAGATGCTAACAAAAGAAAAATGGAAGTTATAATAAAGAGTACATACGAACATAATTCGTAGCATCTCACCATGTCGTTTCCTATGTCTTCCATGCCGTTTCCTAAATCAGCAATGAATATTCGAAGTTGTCGCGCATCTGGATATTCTAGAACAGTTAGAATATTTCGCAGGTTGTAAGACTTAGATGTCAAATAAACAAACAAGGCAACGTTAACAATGCAAACAACGTAGAAAAATCCTTTGTCCATCTTTTCAAATCCTATTACCTTCTTTACAAAAAATACACGGAATAACAAGGGACATCCAGAGAAGCCGTACATAATACCGCGACACACATGTTGGACAGCACTCTACCAGCTTGCGTGAACCATTCTTTAGGAAATTGAGAAATTGCTAATAGTTAGTAAAAATAAAAGATAGAACTAACTTACAATAGAGAAATACTAAAAAGGATGCCCCACAGCCAGCAAAAAGTCCCCAAAGGGTTTCCACCCACATAGGAACATTCAAATAAAAAGCACCACGGGAAATATAGCATAAAATATAATATACACAAAAGATGCAAAAAATAAAAAGATATTCGCTAAAACCCACTTTGAATATGTCGAATCCGACCCAGTATTATTAGTGGACTCTTGGGCAGAATGCTGAGCGGATTCATCAGCCATTTCTAAATCAATAAATTTGTTTGTAGCTAATGAATGTATTAGTAAGAAATAATTTTGTTGTTTGAGAAAGGATAGAGAGTTTGTCGAGTTTGTTTACAGCACAAGTCTTGAGTCGCTGGAATTATACATATTGATACAACTGACATTCTTTTGTTCCTTTCATGGTTGAGCATTTTGACAGAGTTATCAGAATCTGAAACAGGAGTGTAATATTCCTCATTTTGCAATGGCAAATCAGAACACAGAATAATGCGAAGATCTACAGCCAAAACGAAATCAGCTAGATTCACCAAAGAACGTCCATAGAAACTGATTTCACAATTCGCGCGGATCAGGTCAAAAAAGGAATTACTCCTTTTTTTTTAAAAATATAAACTAATAATACTGTTCAAAGGGAAACTCCTCGTAAAAGATGAAGCGAAGTTGAAAAACTCATGGTAATAGCTTTTCGCATATTTCAATATCATAAACAGCGACATTATGTCACTGACTTGTCACATCCTCGTTACAATTACTTGGCGATACCCATTCGAGCGAAATACCCAAAAAATATAACACAAACAAGTCGCATATTACGGAAAGTAAACAAAGGACCTATCCAACAATAAAACCTGACACTCTGGATTCTCGTACTTTCAGCATTCGTAATTACTCATTTTTTTTAAAACGGGTTTCTCTAAAAACTCTTATGTATCATGGACAAAACCTGGCCACCTAGGGGATTTGAACCCAGTAGAAGTTATTTAAATGGAAAGGAAAGCCTTCTTAGTTGTTTCCGGTCTTTTGATTGTTCTTTAGCATGATCTATGATTTTTTCTTTTTTTTTTTTTTTTTTTTTTTTTTTTTTTTTTTTTTTTTTTAAAACCGCTGTTACCATGACTATGCATGATTGAAGAGCACTGCTTTTTCATCTTTTCTGCTTCAATACTATAACCAAAGAAGCCTAACGAACAAAACGAAAAAGGATGCAGTGGGATGTATGCGTATGTAATAACAAAAAAAAAAAAGGTATTATAAGAAAGTTGTAGAAAGCCTACAGCATCATGGATTCCCATGATGTCTCCATCCATATTCCTGAACTATCGAGACCTCCAGACTCCTGTAATTTGTAGTACCAATCTATGCGTCCAAGTCACTCGCGTTACTAAAAATTAGTACAATCAATGGTCTTAGCTAGCAAAGACAGCTAAGACAAAAAGCTGCTTCGGCCGGGAATCGAACCCGGGTCGCTTCGATGGCAACGAAGCATTATACCACTAAACCACCAAAGCAATTGTTGATAACAGTAATATTATAATATATATACATTGTTATCAAACATGATGAACATTTATGAGGCAGGCTTGTTTATGTCGACTTATTTGAAGTTTATGGAGGTGATACTAGGCTTCCTGAAGCAAGAGATCCAAAAAAAAGAGAAAAAGTAGTTAAGACATTTTTTTTGTGTCTCAGCTTAAAGATATGCTTTGAACTTTGCGCTAGCAAACGAATTGTGTGTACCCTTTCAGAATCGATGTAGCAAAAGAGCTCCATCTTTCCAGATATTCTATTAGCTAATAATCAAACAATTGTTATAAAAGTCCTAGAAAAAACGCTTCCTTTGCTATGTATACGTATATTCACATTGTAAAGGCATGTACAGAAGGCCATACCAATCTATTTCTGATTTTTAGAATTGATGCTTGACATTGCGAGTAATAAAGGCTCATCTGTCCGATTTACAAGACAATATGGAACTCAAGATCCCATCAATCCGTATTACCTTTCTTTGACTTTGTAAACGAGTTAGGGTCCGTGTACATAGTCAAATTAATTATGTTTTAATATAAATACTTTCTCATACCGGTTCTTCGTGAAAAGACATAATTTAATTATGAGTGACTTGAAATTGGAAGCTCAACCTTTCATCTACATGCGAGTGATCGACTCTCAAGCTATAGGATCGAATTAAGCAAGTACAAATCTTCCAACTGATATAAACCCTGGGTTGCACTGATTTCTTATGAGCTGCTTATTTCCGACCTAGATTATATTCCTATCCACTTTGTATTCCTTTAGTCATTGCATTTGGGGAAATTCTAACAGAAAGTATAACCCTTATTAAAAGAACATGTATGTACCCCGAAGATTGTCTTTCATATAATTTCCTGTATTCAGCTAAAACACTCAACAAGACTGGATGTTCAATTCCTCTTCTTCACCGAAAACCAGAAAATGTTAATCTTGTAATATAGCCAAAATTAAAGAAAACCATTTTGGAAAAAAAGAAACCCAATGCCAACGAACAGACTATATTGTCATTGAGTGCGACATAAATGTAAATCCATTCGAAGGACACTACAAGTATCCATTCAAAGATGTAATTTTAATAAATAAATTTATATGAATTATCTTCGAGATCGTTTAGGACAATTGAGATTCAGATCCACCACCCAAACTTCAATAAACTAAGCTTTTCCTCCCAGGGCAATGCTAAAGCCTCTTGTAGTCACAAGGAAATCTATAGAGTTTAAATTAAGAATGCATAAGAGGCTCTCTATCAAGACTTTTTAATTGCCTAGATTAATACTACCGATGGACATTGTCTTCATGCATACTAAAAATCTCCAATTGCTAATAAAAGCAAAAACTAGATATAAATCCAAAACTCAATAAATTTTAACACCATTATATATGCTAGATTTTGGTATTTACCTAATGCTTTTATGATCAGTAATGTCCGTAAGGTCACCACTTCCCTTCATCCAACTAGTATCCGGCTGTAGGAGTTGAATCCGTATAACTTTGCTGGAGTACTTTGATAAACTAAGAACGATTCTCTCTATGAAATTTTCAAATTCATTTTCTTTTCTACTGTCTTAGAACCCTAAGACCACTGTTAACTTTTGGTTCTGTTTTTTTTCCCCATCCTAGTGAGATTTTCCTTGCTTCTTACTGAGACCAAGGAAAATCCAACAGCGCTTGTTTTTTTCCTATTATTTTGCTCTTCTATGAAGTCAATTTTTAGTTTTATTTTCTTTTAATTTGTGTCATATCAATAGCAAAGCATTTGGGTCAATTATCATTTTTTCAAGAGGTTATTCTTATGGTGGGATACCTCAACTAAATTTTTAATTTTGGCTCTACTGTAAAATCACTTTCTCTAGTGTTTACTTTTGTCTTTATGAAAGGAAGTCCATTGAAACTTCTATCCTTTGACAATTTACTGACAAATTAATCTGACCGGCTTGCGTCCCTTACTTCTTGTTCTCCCCTTTACGATTATTTATTTTCTTGTATTTAAAATACATGCACTCTCCTTAATATACTTATAGATTTCCAAAATGTCTAATGAAAAACACTTATATGTTCCTCCACCTAGGGAACCGCCAAGTTACGAAGAGGTCGCTGCCAATTCTCAGTTTATACAGGTTGAACGTGATCCACAAGCAGAGGAGCGGCGGCCGATGGAGCCCATGGAGATTTCAGAACCTCCTGGAGTTACCCGATTTCCTCGTTTGCAATCCAAGTTTGAAGCCATCCATGAGGGTTGGGAATCTGCTTGTCATTCTTTTCATCACAGGTTTGCATCTAAATTTTATCGAATCCCATTTTACTCCATTTATTTGCTTATGATCGCTATTATCATAATTACAGCAAGTTATTATGGATATTTCGACAGTAGCCCTTCATGGAAGTCAGTTCCTCACCTTGATGAATCTTTCTTAGTTGATTATATAAAAAACAGCCGAGTTTCGAACATTCAATCTCAGACAACCACATTCGCTTCTCTTCCTCATGTTTCGGGTACAATGGGGGATTCCGCGGTCTTACAATATATGCTCGATGTTTTAAGATACGAATCACTAGATGCGGTTGATACCAAAAAGTTTTATGCTTACCTCAACTATCCCAAATCAGTATCTCTAAAAATAAGTGACGATGATTCATTCCAGCCAACGTTGTACGAAACTTCTAAAATTCCTAATTATAAAGACGCTTGGATCAATTCACTTTCTTATTATGCTTATAGTGCATCCGGAAAGTTGGAAGCGCCTCTCGTATATGCTAATCAGGGTGCAGCAGATGATTTTCAAACATTAGACGAAAAAAATGTTCAGTTGAATTCGTCAGTTGTTTTGTTACGCAGTAATCGTAACAATGTTTCTAAAGCTATAGAAAATGCTGAAAGATATGGTGCTTCGGCAGTACTGGTGTTTGACGATTCATATACTGACGTAGAAGAAAACCATAGGGATGAAATTTACCCAGCAGGTCCTTACCCTTCTGATGATTTATTATACAGAGGGAGTGTTGCTAAATCCTACTATTATCTTGGCGATCCTCTTACCCCAGGAGTACCATCTCATTGGGATTCTAGCAGGATACGGCCTGAAAATGCGCAAGTTCTTCCTAAGGTTGTTGCAATTCCAGTAACTTACCGTGATGCTATGGACCTATTGAAAAGATTAAAGGGTCGTGGCGAACAGATTTCTGCGGATAGATGGAAATTGAGGCTTCCGTCATCTCTTGAACTTTGGACAGGTTCTTCTTCAGAATCTCCGCTAATGCTTCAAATTGAATCAGAATTTGATACTAAAAAAAATCAACCAGTGGTAAATATCCTAGGACAAATCACTGGTAGAGAGCCTGATCAAGTACTTATAATTGGAGCGCCTCGTGACTCATGGTGCGGTGGTGCATCTGAATCCGCTGTTAGTACAGCTTTGCTTATGGATATTGTTTTTACGTTTTCAGATATGGCAAAAAACCTTTCATGGCGACCCCGTCGGACTATCGTATTTGCCAGTTGGGACGCCAAGCAGTACAATACCATAGGTAGTACAGAGTGGGTCGAACACTGGAAAGAATGGCTTCAGGTAAAGGCTGTGGCGTATTTGAACGTTGATGTGGAAGTATTTGGAGATGTATTAACAGTGAATACCGTATCAGGACTGAAAAATGTTGTTCAAAAAGCGATTCAGTTGATGAACGAGGATAACAGCTTGGGTTTTCCAAAAATCAATTTAAATAAATTTGATTATATATCAGATGCTACCCCATTTCTTGCATACGCCGGTGTCCCTGTGGTAGAATTGGGATTCGAAAGAGGTGCTGACAGTTCTCAACCTTTACCGTTTCTCGGCACCTGTAAGGACACAGAAAGTTGGATTAGTATGTTTGGATCATCCTATTGGGATAAGGCAGATCGTCTCGCAAAAATATGGTCCCTATTGGCATTGTTTCTTTCTAATGATCCAGTGGTACCGTATGATTTAGAGACTTCTGTTGAGTATCTTGGAACCATGCTGGAACAGCTAGAAGGCTTGCTTGATGGAAAATCATTGTCATATGATCTTGTTAAAAAAGAGTATGAGGAACTTGTTCAGACATCTAAAAATTTTATGGCCGCGATTTCAGAGTGGCATTCCCTTATGCTTCACAATAGCTATTTCCTTACTACGAAAAAGCACCCGGAACTAGAAGGTTTTAATGCCAAGCTCGCAAGATTTGAGAACTCATTTTTGGATGAAAGTGGCCTTCCTAACCACGAATGGTTCAAGCATTTAATATATGGACCTAATCGATTAGGAAAAGAAGGGGTCGTCTTCCCTTCCATTATGGATGCCCTTTTGGATAACGATCTGGATCAAGTACAGGGGGAAATCAATCGTTTTTCGAAAGCAATTGATCGAGCTCACAAAGCATTAAAGACTGCATAGCGTATTGATGGATCTACAAACCCAATTGCGCTTCGCCGTTCTTGACATATTCTTACAATAGATCGAGATTTCAAAGCGGCAATAGCTAATTATTTTTATTCTTATTATTATTTTGTTCATTTCATCTATTTACTGTTCGTTTCTACATTACAATGAAGTTTGGTTACAAAAGTATCTTATACTTGAGTATGTCATACAGTAATACAAATTCTATTTTCTGGTAGTCATTCAATCAAACACTATATCGTACTTGTAATATGTGTTTTATTTGATATACATTGTCTAGAGTCCCCTTCTTTAACGTATCAAACATTTTGTATCGTTTCTTTGTTCTCTTTAATTCGATACCGTTTATAAAAGCCATTTCCATTGTTATTACAATTTACCCAAAACCATTCCGCTAAATAAAAAAACCAAACAGGGTATTTTCTCTAGAAATAGGTGGAAGTGAAAATTTGCTTCTGACAATTTTCATTTCTGAGCCTCCGGCAATTTCAAAGCCACTCTGAAATTCACCTCGCTAATTCCCAATTTACTGAAATAGATTGCTTTGTTTTTGTATTTCATTTGATATTTACCAAGAACAAACATCACAATTGAAATACCAACAAAAGGTGAAGGAAAATATCATCAGGGTTATTGGATCCCAGTACTATCATCCTTGAATTTAAAAGCAAGCAACTTTTGAATTAAAGAGGTTGACACACTTTTTTTATTTTTATTCAGCTTGCTGTGTCGATTGTAGGAAGTTTATTGTACAATTTCCTCTTTTCGCTTGTTTTTCATTTTCAAAGGATTCCTTTACTTTCTTTTACCTTGGTTTTTTAATTAAACAACTTGCAAAGAAATACGTGAGTGTATTTAATCAAGCTTAGCTCTTGTGGTAAATCGTCCTGAATTTGACAAATACATTTTGACACGATCTTTTTTTTTTTAATACTAGTATTTACAAAACTTATTGAAGATCTTTTCTACTTATTGTTAGTCTTTACGATGTTTTTTACCAAACGTACAAGTTTTTGGAATCAAATCCAACAAACTATAAATAACGAAAACTCCCAAGAGAAGTTTGATAAATATTCAATCCTAGTTTCTTTAGCATTTACCTGTTTGTTTGCGACCCTACTTTTAACGCTCTTTGTGTGCCTTCGAAGAACTTTCCGTTATGTTTATTCCCCCAGAGAGAAATATGCAAAGCGCGATACCAGTATTCCTCCCTTGAAGACAAGTCTTTTCGGATGGATAGAACCTCTCTGGAGCGTTAGAGTTGAAGATTGTCTTTATGATATTGGCGCAGATGCCACGATCTTTCTTTTGTTTTCTCGATTTTGCAGAGATCTCTTTGGTGTCTTGGCTCTCTTTTGTTGTGTCATTTTGATACCAATCAATGTTATTGCTTCGGACAAATCAGGTAGCACTTCCAATTCAACGAACGCGTATGCAAAGTTGTCTTTCCAAAATGTTTCAGGTAAATGGACAGTCGCACACATCGTACTCGGGTACTTTATGAACGGTGTTGTTTTAACCTTCTTATTCAGGTACTATCGCGTAGTAACCCGAATTCAACAGCGCTACTACAGAAGTTCCGCTTATCAGAACAATATTAGTACCCGTTCTCTGTTGGTGGCTGATATTCCTTCTTCACTTCGGTCAGTAAAAGGTTTAGGGGCTATTGCTGCTCATTTGAAGAAGAGTGATACACCGATCTATTATCACATCTGTCATGCCATCAACAATCTTCCCAGTCTTGTTAAGAAATACAACAAGGCTGTGTATGGTCTTGAAGCAGCCTTTGCAAAGTATTTTAAGGATCCTAAACAGTTACCGGAAGTGCGTCCAGTGCATACGGTAAAGCATGGATTGTTTAACTACGAAAAGATAGATGCGATCGACTATTACAATTCAAAGATCGAAAATTATGCCCTTCGAGTGAATATTGCTCGCGAGTCCCTTGAAGAAAATAAATATGAGCAATATGGGTTCTTAACCTATAACTCTTCGTTCACTTCTCATCAGATTGCTAAAACGAACTCGAGGGCGCTTGGGGCAGCAATCCATAGATGTCCTCAGCCCGAGGACATGATGTGGGATAATCTGTCGCTTCCTAGGAGCAGTCGGATGTTCAATCGAATTATGGGAAATTTGCTTTTTATTGCATTACTTGTTGCCTGGATCCCAGAAAACGCCCTTTTTGCTATTTTCATAGCAAATCTTTGGAACCTGGGTAATGTATGGCCTTGGTTTGCACATCAGCTCAATGTTCATTCCGGATTCTGGTCAGTCGTCCAGGGTATTATCAGTCCTGCATTAACCTCATTGCTCTTTACGGTATTGGAGATTGTACTTCGTAGAATTTCATCTTTCCAGGGTAGTTTGACTAAAAGTGCGAGAGAAAGGGGTGTATTGAATAAGTTGCATGTTATTTTTACCTTTGATAACTTCATTATTTATACCGTTCTTTCTGTTATTTGGAGAGTTATTGCTCTTATTATAGCTAAAACAGAGCAAAAAGGAAATTTTGCCGAGGGTTTGACGATCTTCAAAACGTCTGAACCGGTACCTTGGTTAGTAACCGCCTTCGTTGGGTTCTCTTCGTTTTGGATTATGTATATTGCTCATTCCTTTACGTCTTTCTTATTTCAAATGGCCCAACCAATCAGTCTAACTATTCGTATAATAAAGAAAAGATTTTTTTCGCCAACTCCACGTGACATGTTTGAATGGACTTCTCCTCAGAAATTTATTTACAGCAGTTCTATAAACAAGGTTCTCTTTTTCTTTACCGTCGCAATCTGTTATGCCTGCGTAAGTCCTTTGGTATTGTTGTTTGCTTTAGCAGCATTCTGCTCAAATTACATGTCGCAAAAGTATAACTTGATGTACATTTCTGAAACTTCAGCAGAAAGCGGAGGTCGATTTTGGAGACCAGTAGTGAATAGAATCCTCTTTGGGCTTGAGTTGGCGAACGTTATTTTGTTTTTGTGCATCTGGGCTCGTGGTGGTCTTATACGTGCATTCTGTCTGATTCCGACGTTCGCCTTTGTAATATTTTTCAAGGTTTTCTGTGCAATATGGTTAGACCCCAAGGCACACTTCATGATTGAGGATCCTTACTCTTCCGTCGAGGACAGTCTTAATCACGTGGAGAGTGAAATGTGCTTCGGTCATCCTTCGACATATACTCCATTATTGATGCCCTTGGTTAGAGAAGACGCACGTTCTTTGCTTCACTTGGTTTACTCTGGAAAGACAGAAGTTGTTGGTAAAACAAAGAACGAAGTATCTTCTGAAGACGATTCTGATGCAGAATTGGCCGAAGATGAAAATAAATTGGCAATGGTTGACTACGTTGACTTGAACAACATGGATACTGCCAAGGAGCAATTTGAACGACGTCAATCGAAGATGTTGAATAAGAGTCTTTCCAGATCTTACACGAGACATCACGGCCATAAGCCCGCAGTTGTGAATCCAATGATGACTGAAGAAGACTTGACGTTAGGACAGACTTTAACCCAGGTATCGGACTCAACGGCTTTGGAACCCGTTATGACAACAAGTACATTCGCTGTTCCTATGAACAGCAATGGTTTTGATAAAAACCAAAAGATTTAATCAAACTTTGGCTGTTAAACGATGAGCTTTTTGGGTTTGCTTGTCCTTTCTTCTCAAATGACCCAACCAACACTACTTGTTTTCTCTTTATTTATGCATATTACTCTCCTTTTACGTTTCATCTCTACGGTTTAGATTTATTTTTATTTTACTTGTCACCCAGGTCTCATTACGCTTTTTTGTTCACTCTTTTATATATCCTATATTGATTGTCGATTTTTTTCTGTCTTTGCTTGTTTTTGTTCCGTGATCTTTTGTTCTCCCTTCTTTGTTTGCTGTTAGTGATACTTATGTTTTTCTTAGAAGTTTTATTATTCTACCTTGTCAACGAATTTTACCTTTAACGATGCTTTCTTTATTTGGACGAAGCTTGAAGCGCTAGTTTTGGGCTATATTCTTGCTTTCCAATTTTCTTTTTTTATTATATAGATAAAGCGCTATGAGAACATTTTATTCGTAGCTGCTGGTTGCCTTTGGGTTTGTCTGTTTATATTTATCATGAGATGATGAACGAGAAAACTGGATATTAGAAATGATTTTAATTAATATTCTTTACAACTTTACTCTGAAAATGGTAGTATCCCACTTTTGTAAAGATCTTGTATCGATTCCTAATATGGTAAATACGCTTTGGTCTTTAATCTTTCGTACAAACTCAAGAGAAGTGCTTCGCAAGTATAATTAAATTTAGTAGAATAAGCACAAAAAGATAAAACCATGTAGAATCGTTTTAACCATTGAAGAAGACGCCAGCAGTGTTGGTTAGGTGGTTTTTCTTACATATAGCCCGAGTAACGCAATCGAGAAATCCTATATTGCTCGGTCAACCTTGTAATCTTCCTAATTAGAAGAATTATTTATATAAAAAGAAGATAAAAAACATAGAACAAGCTGATTCCTCCTCAGGAGGAGGAAAAAAAAGGAAAAGAAACTATTATCATATAAGGATCATTAATATCATCGAAAGAGCTTTACTTCGTAATTACATATTGTTTCTTAACGATGGCTGTGAGTGGTTTCGCTAGTCAGACTGCTTATTTGAGACTAATGACGTTAATTATTTTCTTACGATGCGTTATTCTCATATCCACTGAACAACTAAAAGAAAGAGGTGTGTTCTCTCTCACCGTTTACCTAACAGATTGCCCAAATCAGTCTATTTTCAGAATGTCAGAATCGTCCGGACAAGGTGCGGAGCCCGTAGCTCCTGGATTTGAAACTATTTCCAAGTATGTATTAGAAGATCATTTATGATGTTTTACTAGAGTTGAGGTTTTTGTCCATGAATACTAACATATGATCTTGTAGGAGCTCTTGGATGGTATGCAGTTTGTAATATCTTTTGTATCGGCGAGCTTATGCTTGTCGATTTGCAAAAGATTGTGATTTGAAAGTCATTCATTTACTAACCGACGGTTAAAAAGGGATTCATCAAGAACTTGGCTACTTTGTAAGTATATCCATCTTTTCTTTTTGTTCATTGGCTTGCATGAATTTTCAAATGAACGGTGTGAGATAGCTTTTGAGAGAGGTATCAGCAGATTTTGGTCTATGCATTTTTGCGAGTATGATCACCGATTACTTCACTTTTGTAGTCTATTCCGTAGAAGCTTATCTCCTCTCTTCATTTGTACTTTCTAGCAGATTCAAATGGGCTGTAATGATTCCGAGAATGTGTCTGTTCTAACCAATTTAGCACTGGAGATTTGTCTACTCTTTCTGCTCCTTCTTTTATTTTGTCAGGGACTTCTTTGCTTGAATATATGTCTTACTGGTTTGAATTTCCTGAACTGTTCGTATCTATTGTCGATCATGAACACCCCAAAGATCGCATGCTAGCCGTATTGAAATGGTATATGGCTGGTCTTAGCCGTGAATATGCATCCCGAAACAAGAGTGTATGTTTGAAAAAAATCAGAGTTGAAATGAAGCAAAGCTAATGCATTTTTAGTATGGTACCGAAAAGAAGCCTCTCAATCCCATTTTGGGTGAACTTTATTATGGTTCTTGGGATTCAAGTAAAGGCAAAGTTGAATTGGTTGCCGAACAAGTCTCCCACCATGGTCCCGTTTCCGCCGCCCGCGTACACTGTAAAGAGGCAGGCATATCCGTTGACACCCACAATATGTATAGAAGTGGATTTTCCGGCCGTACTGTATACGTGAACCAGATTGGTCAAATCCGTATTCATCTAGACAAATTTAACGAGACTTATTACTTAACCCTCCCCAACATTTCATTAGAAGGTCTTTGGTACATGACTCCTTACATTGAATTGTACGGTAGCACCTATATTGTCAGTACCTCCAACTACATCACAAAGATTGATTATTCTGGTCGTGGTTATTTTAGCGGAACAAAGAATTCTTTTAAAGCAACCGTTTATGAGAAAGGCGCAAACCCCGATTACGTCGCGGAGGGCGTTTGGACAGGCACTTCAAAGGTTACTGACACGAAATCTAAGACCACCTCTCCTTTCTTAGACTATGGTACCATGGATGCCATTCCTATTCTTCCTCGACCTTATAGTGAAGTTGGCGAATGGGAAACACGCCATGTTTGGGGTAAAGTATCTTCTGCTCTTGCCCGTAACGCTTATGACATTGTCAGTGTAGAGAAGTCTACCGTTGAGCAATCTCAACGTGACATGCGTAAACGGGAACAAGAAGAGGGTGTGGAATGGAAACGCAGATACTTTGAATGGAAGCCTGATGAAAGCTCGGCTCGTAATTTGTTGGCTCAAGCTGTGCAAGAGATCATCGAACCTGGATATTGGGTATATGTCGGCGATACGCAACCCGAATGCAAACCCGGTGACCATCCCGTAAGAAGAACGTAATCTTGTTATGGTTGCATTTACTTTTTCTCCCTCTACAGTATAAATGTTTTGGTTTTAATTTTTATATAGTTTTGTTCTCGTGACTATTTGGTGATGTTAGACGTAAGAACGGCTTGTTTTGGAAGGAAGTTTTGGAAGACATTTCTAAATGACATTACCGATGAAGCAAAGTTTACTTGTCTTTTTTCAGCATTTGAAAACAAAGGCTTACTTGAGATTAGTGAAAATCCGATGCAATGTGAAAAAAAAATAAAAAAAAGAAGAGAAAAATAACAAGCATCTTCATCACCTTCCGTTCTTAACACCAATCGTGTTTAACATGGTTTTCCTTCTAAACGTCTCTGTTCGACCTAAATTACTTGTACGAGATTATTCATTCATTCTCTTTTCCATACTAAACAGTTACACGACTTTCAGGTTTATTTATCATGTTCCGGTATGTTGTGAAATTAGCAATAAAAGCCTTATAGTCATGTATTTTTTAATTTTTAATAATTTTATTTAGAAACGAAAAGTGTCTTTTCTGTAAAGCATAAGACTTTAAGTATGCAATTTTTGAGAGTAAAGCCGTTTGAAGCGGAGAGGAGTAAAAACTGAGTATATGTAGATGTCAAAATTTAAGAAAGAAAAGAAAAAGCGCGCATTAAATACAAGAATTGAACGAGATCAAGTAAAGGGGATCACAACGTTAACACATTTTCTATAGTCGCAAAAGTACCAACTCTTGAGGGGTAAACAACCTAGGGAGTAGGTTTTTTTGGAAGTAATTGAAACTAGCATGTTTGTTAATGTTTCATGAAAAATAAACCACCGAGCAGTCTGCCGTTTATACATACCTTTTCTGCTAAAGAGCGAACAGTATCTGAGGGTTGAGCACCAACACTGACCCAATATTTGAATCGTTGAACATTAAGTTCTACATCCTTTATTCTAGGAATTACGTCTTTCGGGTCCTCCTTCTTTGGAATAGGATCAAAGGTTCCTATAGTCTCGAGGGGTTTCGCCCTAGGCGCCTTCCTGTATTCATGTTAGTAAAGTACATCACCGGACAATCTCAATAAAAGAATTGAAAGAAAAAAAAATAATGAGTGCTTGAAATTCAAGCACTGCCCGAAAAAATATAACCAAACACATCTTGTTTCACATACCAAGCATTACAGACGACAATGTGATAAAAAGGACGATTTCTCACGCCGTGACGAGCTAAACGTATACGTACAACCATTTTAAAAAGTTAGAACGCCAAAACTCACGAATCTTCTACAAAAACGGTTTGGTGGTAGTATACTGGCAGAGAGCAAATCTTAATATGATACGGACCCTTGGCAATATCATTTTATAAGCAAGAGTGGACCTTAAAAGAAAAACACCTGTAAAAAAATATAGAAATGAATAGAAAAACAAGTTTTAAATGATACAGCACATTATGAACATGGAAAACATGAAAGGAACCAGAATCACCCAGGTACATATTCCTCTCGGCTTTTATTTATTAACGAGGCTTTTTACCTACTTGTTCCCTCTTCGGTAAAGTAACAATACGTACAGTCCAAAACAAGCATTTTGGAAGAAACATTCCCTAACTTCTTACATACTAGTTGATTCAAGCAGGAATTTTTGTAGAAAGTTCTCTTTGAAGAAATATTTAAATAGAAACGAAGGAATACTTACATACCGGTAGTTTCGTGAGACATATTCCGGAAACTTGCTCAACAGTGAATATTTTGGTTTCTACGTATTCGTGTTGTTCCTACATAATCGCGATTGCGTTGCTTCCTACGCGTCTGTTTCTTGTTTTGCACTCTTTTGGACGGAAAACGACTCGATTTCAGGATTGCAAGCATCTCACATTATCACTAATCTTTGGGACATTTAAACGTGCAGTCTGATTACCACAGTAAGTTGTGTGGAATTATTAAATATTATTCGTGAAAGACAGTGAAACCGGATTTCGAAGGACGAGCTCTTTTCATTCTTTTTTGCATGTTTTACGCGTTTTTTAAAGACTGAATAAGGACTGGCTAGTACAGTCTCCTTTTGAATAATTCTTGTATCATATTTATATTTGCTTGAAAAAAAAAAAAAAGAAAATCTTTTTTCTTTACGAAATCTCGATTCTCGCTTCGATCTTCCTTATTTCGACAAGCCAGCCCGTGTTCGCATTGCTATTGTCTTATACTGTTTAAATATTTGTCTTTTGGTTACGTTATTCTTAGACTCATTGTTTCTTTTTTTTATTTTTATTATTTTATATAAATATATATATTTATAATATATATATTTCGGTTTTAATTCTCTGAAAGCATTGGTTGCGTCTCATCTTTGCATTATTTTCCACCTGTTTCACTCTTTTGTTTCATTATTTGGGTACTCTTTCTTTTGCATCTTTTCGTTCCTGCCTAATCACTATTAACTTTCGTCTATAACGTGCCGTTATCATTCATTTTCTCTGATGATTCCCAACGACTTATTTCCGTATTCCCATGCTAAAACACATCCAACTTCACAACCTCCTGATCAAAGCTCGTCTGCTGCAGACATCTTCCCATATCATGCTGGGTCTCTTCCACCACATGTGATGAATACCCCTTCACAATATCCTATGCGACATATACCATCGGATCGTTCATTGTATCCATCAGAGTGGTCGGGTTCTTCTCAGTTACTCGATTCAAGTTGTTATCTTCCCCCGAAGACTGTAGCGAACTCTACCACAATTTCAATCGGCTCGCCTCCTTCAGGACATAAACGCAGTTATGCTCCTCCGTCAATTGACCAAAATCAACTTCCTTTAGAAAAAAGGCAAGCTTTGGAACCGATACAAAATAGCACGCCGCTAGTAACTGCTTCTCCTAATCCTTCTATCTCAGACAGTCAACGTAGTGCTACTTATGCATCTCCGTTTACTCCTTGTAAGAGTCGATCCGCCAATTATGGCCCCCCTTCTGCAGGTATACCAGAAGAATATACTACGATGACGGATAGAAATACGTTTACCAACTCACCTCAGCTATGCCGTAACTATCCTAACACCCATCCTGCACCATACTATGCCCAACATAAGGATGTTACGCACCATCCGGCGTCTGGAAATTTTAACCTGGAAGAATCAGATGGCGCTTTTTCTCCTCAAACTTCCATAAACATGGACTTTGGAGACTTTTCTTCGGCTTCACGAATGATCAATACCCCAGAAACTGCAGGGCAACAAGATTACGTGGACATCTACTCTTCCCCATCAGTCTTCAGTCCCGATCATCATTTTGTTGATGATGTATCCAAAGGGAATTTATACATGTCATCTCGTCAGAGTACTTCTACTTCACAAAGTGAACAGCCGTCTGGCGTACATGTTTCGCCTTCGCACATGTGTGCCGGAGATGAATATAAGACATCATCCTTACCGGACGCCTTTGATTCAAACAATGTATACAATGATGGAGATAATTTTATTCCGTCTTCCACTTTAGAAAAAGTGAAAGAAGAGGATTACTTAAATGATGTTGACACTACAAACTTCAATAGAAATGAATCCTCTTCTAATTTAAACGCAGGCGTTCAAGAGAAAGGCCAAGATCTTGGAAATGCACGCTCTTCACCTCTGAAGTTCAGCGTAGAACAAGTTAGAAACCATGGTGTATCACCTACCCAGTCTCCTTATAGAGTTTCCAGTCAAACAAATAAAAAGAACTCTCATAATATAGTCGAGAAAAAATACAGGTCAAATCTAAATGACAAAATTAATGAACTACGAAATGCAATTCCCTCTCTACAAAGCCTGAGTTCTAAGATTGGATCAAGGTCCGAAGATGGTAAAACTGTTAGCTTTAATACATCTATCAGAAAGCTTAACAAAGCTACTGTTCTTTCTAAAGCCACTGAGTATATTCGTCATTTGCGTTCCGAGAATACGAGATTGGTAGAAGAAAATCAACACCTTCAAAATCGTCTCTCTGAATATATGATGGCCGTTCAGCAGTCGCTATCTGCTCCTTCCCAATCAAATCCTTTGCATGATTCAAATAAGTATTCTCAGCAAGGCACAATGAATTCTGGTATCCCCAACGGACAACCTGTTTCAGTCGTCAATAATCAATCATTACCTCGATATGCGTATGCTCCAACACCTCATCCACCTAAAGTACCTGATGTTTCGTCGGCCGGTAACTCTACTCACAACGATACTCTTGGATTGGTTGATAATAATGCGTATGCTTTTCACAGAGACGGTATGAGTAATGTACCTGAGAGTAGCATTCCAGCTCACGATTTGAGAAGGGCGCAGTCGCAAAATTTTAACGAATCTCATAGTAATGGTACTTTTCGCTCGGTGGGTAGAAATATGCTGGGCGGTTTAGCTGGCTTAGAAACAATGCACTTAATGGTAAATCCTGAACATAGCGGTAACCCGAATTCATTCTCTTTATTTACGGTACCCATTCTCCCTTCCATTTTTATGACGCTTAGGATTTTCTTTATACTTTCGGCATGCTTATGCTTTGTTTTACACTATGTATATAATTCCAAAATGAATTCTGGCAAAGGGTTGACTCTTGTGTATAGACGCCTAAGAATGGAAATCTTATTTTTGAGTTTTCTCTTTTTTTCTTCGTCTTATCGCGACTGGTGCAATTATTACAGATTACGAAAAAATATGTTTGAAAGCTTGGATTTGGAATCTGGGGTTCTTCAAAAATCACAGGTTGGAGATATTTGAAGAAAAGTCATCTTCAACTGCTTTGTTCTACTTGCTGTACAGCTTTTGAATATAAGCGTATAATTATATTTCATGACTACTACAGAATTAGTTTTGCGTCGTCGATCGAGGTGCTTTTGACGATACAACTATGGTGTTTTTTATCTATATCAATGTGTTCTTTATTTATTTTCTGCATCGTTTGTAGGGATCCTGGATGCTGCTTTAATATTTGTTTTCAAGCAATGGCTTGCAATTGGTTGAGTAATATATTCTTGTGTATATATTTTTACTGATTAATACGTGGATAAAAGATTGGATTGTTATTATGCTTCGTTGTTCTGTTTTGTGAGGTTTAAGTTGTCAATAGAGTATTCCTGAAGAAGTATCGGGTTCATCTTCCCAATTGGAACGTGTTAATTATTCCTATTTAAACGGCATGTTCATTGCAATTACGTTTAAACAATTCTTGTGGATAAATAGAAATACAACATTAAATCTTGATTATTTGGTAATGTTATACAAGGTTACTAGTTCATTTACAGACTAAATCAAAGTAATGTCTTCTTCGGTATGGCATGTGTTACAAGCTAATGTAAATTCAAGAAACTATATCTAGTTCATTGTAAGTAGAACCCAAAAAAATGAAATAAATGAACTACCAATGTAAATATGTACATAGTCAGTATATTTCGCCGATAATATGAATCATCCTGACTGTAGATGTTTTGCGCTATCACAAACTCATGCCTCAACGTCTTGGTATTCACGAACAACATGATCAGCTCTTTGCAATTTCTCATTAATGAAAATCCAGCGCTTCAAAGTGTTTTCTACAAGTCCATCAGCTCTTGGTAACAAGTTTTTACCGACAACTTTTGGCGTAAAGAGGTAAGGAATCAGCATAGGATGAGGTAAATTTGTCAAAATAACCAAATATAAAAATCTTAGATTCGAATCATGAGGATATGGTTGAGGAGGAGACAAGAGGATCTGTTGCACATGATTAAAGTCGAAAGTGGTCTTCAGCTCAATTCTGTTCATTACAGTATCCGTATTCTCATCCAAAATAACACTGTAATTCTTAACGGTTAAAGGTACGGCTTTTGCGCCGACACTTTCAAGGCGTTTTAATTCTTCTTCAACTTTTCCTTGTATCCATGTCTTTGCTTGTTCATCGACTTGAACAGAATTAGGATTTGTTTGTGTAGGATTAACGGACATTTTGAAGCTTCTAGTGATGTCTTCAAGATGATTTACAATCGATATGTATTATCGTCAAATTTCCAGTTAGTTTGAAGTTAAGAGAATGATTATTACTAGTCACTCATTATGAGCAATCGAAATATACGAACTAAAGTAAAACCAAAAATAAATTTCAAACTATATCATTTTGAAAATCTAATTGAGTTAGCTGAGATATACAAGATGTAAACAAGTTCCTTGGAATGGAAGCTCTTATTATTGCAATCCCTGGCCCTCTAGATGCTAAAGTTGCGCGTTATTTACAATGAAAATGTCATGATATGTAAAAATAATGGAAACCCTCTATATTAACATTGATTTCCAGTTTTTAGGATACATCCATACTCCTTGGATCTGGTATGCTTTCAGTGGAAGAAGAATCACCGGATTTTTGTTCCTGGTTTATTAAAAATTTTTGGGAATCTTGTGTTATAACTTCCTGGTCTCGGTCTTCCTCCATTGGTAAAAGGGCAGGATTCTCCGATCGTAAAGGCAACGTTTCTTCTTGTACTTTGTCATCTCTTTCTCCTTTTTCCTTATTAATTGCCTCCGTAAAAAGCTTTTCAGGTGCCCAAACCCTGACATAGGGATCTGTCCCTGCAGACACAATGAACGGTCCTAAGGAAGTAACCTGCAATAGAGAAACATTTGTCGCATCAGAGTGTTGAATTGAATTATCAACTACAGCCTTTGTAGAAGGGTCTGTGATGTAAACGCGACCATCTTCACTTGGAATAAGAAGATAAACGTCTTCATACGCTGACATTTCAGTCTTCATATGATACTCTTCGTCATGGCTCAAATTCCAGGGGAAATACCTAGATAGATAGAAATCCCAAGACATAGAGAAATGATTATTTTTATGGTGATCGTATAAATGAACTACGCGATTGCTGCGATAATCCCAAAGGCGCATCTGTGAATTTAAGTTGGCAACGATCAAGTATTGCCCGTTAGGACTAAATTTTATACTTGACAGAGGAACATTTATTGGCTCCACAAGCGTTTTAAGACACTGACCGCTCATGACATCCCATATTCGGGCCATACCATCATAGCTAGCTGATGCACAAAGGGTTCCATCGGGCGAAATTGAGACAGATATAATAGGCTCAGAATGTGCTGGTAACATGCGAATGCATCGGCCGTCCTGTGCACTCCATATTCGCACTGTCTCATCCCAAGACCCGGAAACTAATAATGTACCCATTGGATTAAAGTCGACTGAAGAGACAAAACTAGTATGACCCTGCAAGCAGCGAACGCTAGATCGGGTTTCTGTGTCCCAAATACGCACTGTTTTATCGTCCGATGCACTAGCAAGGTACCTGCCTCCACTAGCCCACCGTATTTCTGAAATACCTCTGTTATGACCAAATAATGTACATTCCAATCGAAAAGTTGAAGTATTCCAAAGTTTTATAGTTGCATCAGCAGATGCGGTTGCGATCCAGCGTTTATCCGGAGAAACTGCTATGCTTGTGACACCTTTTGTATGACCTGTTAATGTACAGTATTCAACAAAACCATCACTCGCATGAAAATTTTTATCCCTCTTGGAATGTGCAACATCCTCAAAGTCTTCTTCATTCTTCGTATCGCTCATAATCTCACGCTTGGGATGTAAGTTCAACTCCATGCTGCTTTTTGAAGCATGCACTTTGACTTTGTTTTTTAGAATTTGATTATTGTGAATGAATTAGTAAAGAAAGAGTGTTTAAAAAGAGGATCTTCCTCAAACCGGTTACGATAAAACTAACTCAGTTTTTACCAAAGATTCATTTAAACGAAAGAATTATAAATTTTAAATGACCATTTAATTAAAAGAAAAGAATAACCATACAAGTAGAATGAGAAAAAACGAAGTATGTGAATGTTCCCAGCTAAATGAGAGAAAGCTAAATTCGTAGGTCGACGCCGGTCGAAACTGATCAACTTCCAAAAAATCCTATTGTATTTTACACAATTCGAGTATGAAGAGATTATAGTATTTTTTTTGTCTTACAATATTTACTTGTCATTCTTTACGCGTACATCCTGCTTGAAAATATTTAAAATTGGATAACTATCAATTACGCATCAACTGCGAGAATTCAGGACCCACATGTTTTTTTGTTTTTTTTTTTTCTAAAAACTATTGAAATTTGAAGTAAGGAGAGCTAATTTTTCTTTTCCTAGAGGAGAGTCCGTTGACTCAAATTGGATCTCGACATGCGAAAGTATTGAAGTCCAACTTGTTAAGCATAGTGTATTATTATCTAACGAAAGGAGAGAAAAAGAAAAATCATTAATGTCAAAGTTCCCTTGCACAGTTTCGTCCCTTCAGTGATGTATCTTTGAGAAGGCCAAACCATATATGGAAATGAAAAGCGTTTAATGTGTATAAAGTTATGTTTAAAGGACTTACAATCGGAAATAGGGGACATTTTCTTTTTTTCTCCCGTGCTACGCCGATATGACTGACAGTTTTCGAGAAGGCCATTGAAGATTTTTCTAATTTTTGCTGACAACTATAAGGTAGCATTATGACTTATCTACGAAACATACCCGGAGATTCTAACATTCCTATGGACTTAATTATACTATAAGAAAAAAAAAAGCATCATTAGCAAGCCCTGAACATAGAAATTCCATTTTTTGTTATAGAGGGAAAAGGATTAAGAAATGTGTAGGGCCTCTGATGAACAACGTTAAACGACTAGAATTCATATTTTTGATTAGTTTGTAAATTGGTTTTATTGATTTATTTTTGGTGAGGAGTTTCATAATATACTGACTTTTTTTTAAAATCCGGAAAAATCAAGGACTTTGGGACCAAACTAGAACCATTTTGAAGATTCTTAAAGAAAGATGTTCTGTAATTGTACATAAAACCTGTTCACCTTGTCTAAGTTTCTTTTTCGTGTTTCAAAACAGTTTGTTTACTAGTGTAACTTTTCTGTTCAGTCTGTCACATTAATATCTTTTAAGGTAATACGAAATGTTATACTATTCAAAGTTAAGGTATCAGTAGGATTTAGTGTATTATTTTTTACGATATGGTCTGTCTCACTATTCTTCTCTCCCCATACTTGGTAAATCAGAGATACTGTCAACAAGAACCAACAAAAGAAAGTGTTGGTACAAACCAAAAAAACACGCCAAAATGAGTGATTGTAGGGACGAAAATTACTAAAACATTGCTAACATGCTCTAGTACGATTTCTAGACTTGGTTAAACCATTCGCTCCTTTTTTGCCGGAGATTGCTGCTCCTGAACGCAAAGTATGACAGTGTAGAGGATGTATTTCCTCAAATAATTCTTAAAAGCTCGTATCTAACAATATTAGGTTCCATTTAAGCAAAAGATGCTTTGGACAGGCGTTACACTACTTATCTTCTTGGTTATGTCGCAAGTACCTCTTTACGGTATTGTTTCCTCCGATACCTCAGATCCATTATTGTATGTCACATAGGAAAGGTTGAAGTCGAAAACTAACGGACATTAGGTGGCTGCGTATGATTTTGGCTGCAAATCGAGGGTATGTGAAATTACGCGTTCAGGTTAATTCTTTATCTTAAAAAGAAAAAGTAAAGAAGATACCTTTACCAAAAACCGGATGAGTTTCATTCAAGTTCACTTTTTTAACATACAATCAGTACTCTCATGGAATTGGGTATTTCACCCATCGTTACCTCTAGCATGTTGATTCAGCTTCTCGTCGGTTCTCAGTTAATTGAGGTCAACATGGAAGTTAAATCTGATAGAGAATTGTACCAACTTGCTCAAAAATGTAAGACAAACTATGAAGAGATCAGCGAGCCTATCCCCGAGTAGGTTTACGTTTCTGCAACAAAAAATACAAATTATTTGCATTTAAGATATATTTCGTTGCTGGCAGAAATAATAATATTGGCTTTCTAATCTCTCCATTTTCTTCTTCTTTTATGCTAACATATAACAGTTTTGGCAATTATTATCGCGTTTGGTCAAGCCACCGCTTATGTGTTAACCGGAATGTATGGACGTCCTCAAGACCTTGGGGCAGGTATTTGTCTTCTTTTGATTCTTCAACTTGCTGCTGCTAGTCTAATCGTTTTACTTTTGGATGAGCTCTTGCAGAAGGGTTATGGCCTCGGCTCTGGTATTTCTCTCTTTATCGCTACCATCAACTGTGAAAGCATCTTCTGGAAAGCTTTTTCTCCAACCACTTACCATATTGCTAACGGAGTTCAATTTGAGGGTGCTGTAATTAATTTTGTTTATGTCATGCTTAAGTGGGATAACAAATTATCTGCCTTGTATCAATCTTTTTTCCGTACCGGCCTTACTAGCAGTCATATTCAATTACCAAATCTTTGGAACTTCTTTGCTACTTTAATGATTTTTGGAGTTGTTATTTACTTGCAAGATTTCCGCGTTGAAATTCCCATTCGTTCTCAAAAGTTTCGTGGTTTCCGCAGTACTTTCCCAATTAAGCTTTTATATACCTCCAACACTCCTATTATGTTGCAATCTGCCTTAACTTCTAACCTATTTTTGGCCAGTCGTCTTTTGTTCAACCGTTTTTCTGATAATATTTTGGTTCGCCTATTAGGTGTTTGGGAGCAAGGTGCCGTTTCTGGTCTTTCTTATTATCTCTCTCCACCAAGTTCTCTTCAAGATGCTCTTATCGATCCCATTCACACTTTGGTTTACGTCGGTTTTACTATGATAGCTTGTGCTGTCTTTTCTAAGCTTTGGATTGAAGTTTCTGGTTCCAGCCCACGTGATGTTGCTAAGCAACTAAAGAGTCAACAATTGGTAATGGCAGGTTATCGTGAAGGAAGCATGTACAAAGAATTAAAGCGTCTTGTCCCCACTGCGGCTTTGCTTTCTGGTGCTTGCGTTGGCGCCTTGGCTGTCGCTTCTGATCTTCTTGGTGCATTGGGTTCAGGTACTGCTGTTCTCCTTTGTACCACCACCATTTATGGCTATTATGAACAGTTACAAAAGGAAATTAAAGGTGACTCTTACGGTTTGCCTGTCGCTCCTATGGCTTAATAACTTATTTCACTCGTCATGATCAAACTATAATTGTTACGATGGAGCTGTACATATGAACTTTATATAAATAACCTTGGTTACTGGAATCCAAGATTATGGGTTCCTAATTTAGATCATATAGAACATGTGTCTGAAAATCTTGAACTTCCTTTTCATCATTATATTAAATGTTAATCAAAATAATTATGTATATTTTTTCTAAACCATGTAGCAAAGCGTTAACGAAGCACGCTTCGTATTTTTAAGGGTATACAAATTTATACCTTTTCATCACTTTGTAACAATGGTTACCACATCTCCTTCTTGTACCAAATGATTGAGACCGACTAATTGAGGACTGTGTTTCGCGGAACTTCCCCATACCAAAGCATATTTAAGTTGTTCAGCCAAGCTTCTGTGAATTCTGTTGCAAACTTGTTCAATATTGGAGCCTTTACGAACAATCAAAGCTTCACTAAAGTCAGGAACTTCACCTTTCCGTTTGGTATAGATTCTATACAAACTAAGTTCCTCCCAGATTCTTTGCTTTAGGAAATCCAAATTCAGTTTCAAATTACAACTAATAACCACGGATTTGGGCAAACGGGCTAGTCTATCAACCTCTTCTAAAGAGACAGCATCGATTTTACTGTAGCAATAGAGACAATTAAGGTACCTTCTATTCCCCATAACCACATCAATGAAGTCATCCACAGTAATATCTTCACGAATTAATATGTCAGCGTTATGAAGTTTGTATTCATGAAGGATGTTAAAAGCCATCTTATAATCCATATGGGTCAGAGGAACTGTATGATTAAACTTGATGCCACCGTTCTTTTTATAGTTTATGGTAACGTCTGGCTTCCTTTTATTGAGTCGTACGCCCACTTGCTCAAGCTCATACTCAATTTTTTCACGTTGGTCTGCTGCTTTTGTGGCATCCAAAACCATAAGAATTAAATCAGCAGTTCTTGCCGCAGAAACTGCTTGGCGACCACCTCTTCCTTGAGAGGCACCTTCGATGATACCGGGAAGATCCAGCATTTGAATTTCAGCACCGTCATATTCTAAGACCCCCGGAATGGCAGTCAGCGTTGTAAACTCATAATTAGCGGTAGCTGATCGGGTTTTTGTAATCGAAGAAAGAAGAGTAGATTTACCAACAGATGGAAAACCAATAAAAGCAACTCTAGCATCTCCGCTTTTTGCTACATCGAAACCTTCACCTTTTGGTCCTCCTTTCGTGGTAGGCTCAAGCAACTGGGTACGAAGCCTCGCAAGTTTTCCCTTTAACTATAACAAAAATAATTAGAAGGTGATTACAACCTTTAATACCATATTGTGCTTACAAGACCCAAGTGATATTCAGTTGCCTTGTTTTTTTGCGTCCGGCGCATTTCCGCCTCAATCTCTAAAATCTAAACATTTTTTAGTTAATAATCGAATTTATATTTTCCTTTACTTTTTCTGCAACACCCATATTGACTATGAAAGATCGTCTTTGTTTGAGTCTAGTTTTTTTTAAGAATGGTCGAAGAGGTTATGCTGTGGAATAATGGCTGGGGAGGTTATTAATATTCATGCAGATACCTGTCTGTATGTAAGCAAAAAAAAGCGCTTAGTTAGATATTCTTAAGAAAAACTTAAATTATAAGTCTACGATACAAATTTTGCTTGTTGTAGTTAGGAAGAGCGTTTTGCGTTGTAGCCATAGGGGACGGGGAACAAGTATTCAAGTTAGTAATTTACATGTAAATAGTTGATTTATATCCCATTACTAGTCAGGCTCTGCTTATGAAGGGGTTTCAGGATCTTTATTGAAAGTGGAAAGAATGCTCTTTTAAAAAACATAAGTGTCATATGAGAATGAACAATATATTACATTGTTATCATTTTTTCATTCAAAACAAAAATACTTAAAATACTTATTAGAGGATCACTAGCGTCGTTCATAACCCATTATCATCAAAATCAAAGTCATAAAAGTATCATCACTACAGTAAGACCATTCAAGTTAGATTTTCAGGCAATTCCTCTTTTCTGCCTTCTTTCTTCCAAACGAATCCTAGCTTTTGCCGAGCGCTCCTTTGAAAGCTTTTGCTCAGCCGTTAGTTCAGTAGCTTTTGATGAAGTTTTGGGTTGTAATTCCTGCTCATAAGGTAGGATTTCAGTAAGCGTAAATTTCTGCCTGTTTCGCATAGAAGGAGCCCCGCGCAGAAAATCTGTGTTCACGGGCTCTTTTTGATGGGCAAGTTGTCGGTCGGCTAGCTCATGGTTTTTGGATAGTAAACCCATGGGTGGCATGAAAGAATCTTCAATTTCACTTGGCTTGATCTGAGGTTCTTTTCTTCGGTTCGTCACGGGTACTGGGGTCGGAGTTTGAGTCGCATGTAATAACCTTTGTCGAACTTTGGAAGCTGCGGATACAGGAGTAGACGAAATCGGACCAGCACCGTCCCCGAAGTTGAAGAAACTATCGTTGGATTGCTTCTTCTTCGCCGAGTGGGACAACATCTCTGCTGCCAAATATGACATATCTAACGGATTAGAAAAAGTAATATTGGAGGGCTTTCTAGATTTCGTGGTTCTTTCTGGGACGTTGGGCTGAAACAGACTATTCTCCCGTTGAGGAATTTCCAAATCATTGGTTATTGAATAATTGTCTTTTGGTTTTGGATCGATATATGTTTGAGGTTCGGAAAATTTTAATTCATGATTCCTTTGCAAACGAGAGATTCGATCATTTTCCGCTTCTAGTAATTTGCATCTTCTTTTCCAAAACGAAATTTCTTCCTGCCTCTCCATCATTATAGCATCTACCCTTTCCCTTATTTTACTCAATTCTTCTTCCAAGTCACTGTGAGCGGTTTCAAGCAAACCAAATTTTTGTTTCCAGTATTTTCCCGACGAAGACATAGGATCGTCTAGGTTTATCGTGTAGTCAACTTCATCCGGAATTTCAGTTGAGTTAACTAAGTGCGACGTGTCAACCAAAACATCGTGTATGATATTTTTCATTTTTCGATTATTGTTTACTACATCCCGAAAACAATCCTTGATTAGCTTTGACCACTCCGAATTTTCCTCTTTAGTATCCGAAGATTCTGGTTTTGGCATCTTTGCTTCTGTGGTATGCAGCGTTTTTTTCGACTCCATATTGAACTTTAGGTTACCCTGATCGCGTAGCAATCCATGACCATCCACAGAACGAGCTTCTTCTTGTTTGCCGTGCTTCAGTGGAAACCTATGTACTTCCTTTTGTCTAGAGTTAATAAAGTTTTCGTTTTTACCTTCCATTTTAGCTACTCGACTTAATTTATAGGCAAGCTGCTTGGATGAAGGCTGAGAGAAATACTTATCCTCAAAATCATAGTCGAAATCGTCACTGAATCGACTTTTGTGTCTCCGATTATTCTCTATATCCTCTTTTTCATATTTTTTTGATTGCAACTCTCGGTTCAGCGAGTCATCACCAAGATGATCTTTAAAATTCACTGACTTCTTGATTTGTAACGTGCCAGGCGTCTTCAAAATACCATTTTGCCCATTCTTCTGTTTTGTAGGTGTAAGCGCATCCATAGGCCTTAAACTATCCTCGGGAATCTTGTTTTCTTCATCCTCAGGATTCACTTCTTCAACGTAAACATTGTTTGGAGGATTCAATGTGGGCTTCGTTACAGTTCCTGCGAGTTTTTTTGAAAACGCATTCCATACCCACGCATATGTTGGTGGTGTATTTAACGTATCTATACAATTTCAGTTAGCATCTGCCATTTTGTTTATATGGGAGCGGTTTCACTCCTTACCTGACATATCGATTCTACATTCAATCACAACAAACTTCTATGAAAAATTACTTTACATAAAATAAAATAGCTGCCTTGAGTCCCTCTTTGCTTCCCAAATCTTGTTTCTTTTAAACTTCACTGTAGGTTTGTTGTTGTACTGATATATTTATGGCATTGCTTTGCATCGTTGTGTACTTCACAAGTATTACCATATGATTTATATGGTAATATTTTTGAGCTGTAAGATTATATTTGGAGTTACTTCTTAAAGCATAAGTGAATAAATAAATACTTTCAATCCTTATGGAAAAGAGGTGTTTGTTGTACTTTAATAGCATCAGGATGTTTAACATATGCAACGATTAGAAAGTTGTTTTCAATTCATAGACTAGTTTAACGTAGCTCTTGTCTCCTCTACAAACGACTTAAGGTCGAAAAATGGGACCCACTTACAGGGGCATCATTCTACTATTATCTCAGCAGTCTCTTACCTCTCTAGCATAAAAATGTTTTGATAAAAAAATTAAAACACTCGGATAGACATGAATTATCACAATCACTAAAGGAGCGTTTATTATTAAGTCCATTAATATACTAAATGGTACGTTCACATATATATATATATATATATATATATATATATATGTGAACGAAAGCTTAAGAATTAGTCCCCGGAATATTTGATTATAATAAAAAAAAAAAAGAGAAGAGAAGAGAAGAAGAGAGGAAAATAAAACGATCGAATACCGATGTGATTCTGCTTAGTTCGTGGATTCACAAAATACCGAAATTCTTGTAATTAAGGGCATTTGCAAACAGAGTAAAGGATTTACCATCTCGTTTAGTAGATGAGTCTCTAAGAAAAGTTAAGATGCTCTTTCTTATACAAGCCTTAAGTCGGAAAATAATGCTGTCAAACAAGTACAAATATAACGTGATGAATTAGGAAATATTAGTTCCCTCTTCATAAAGTAAAATAACCAAAGAAGGCCACCAAGAAAATGGAAGATCCTCTATATTTTTTCAAAGCCATTTTTCAAATAAAAAAGTAGTAAGGTTCTTGTAAAAAGAAAGGAGAATGCTTAAGCAAAAGCGACTTGAAAAAGATCAGCCCAAAACGGCAAGATTTCAACAGTAAAAAAGATTCATTTCTTTTAGAAATTACAAACCTTTACTGCAAATACGCATCATTTGTACGTCATCCATCTTAAAATAATGCATCCAAGCAACAACAGCATGCGAGACCAGCCAATCTATTTCAGTTAGTTCTTAGTTCATGACGCTGTATACAAACGACTATCAGCGATCTCAATTTGGGATTGTTCGCCATTGCTAGCCATAATATAAAAGAATTTACTTACAGACCACAGCACATATCACCACCACCACCTTGGTTTTGGGGAGGTTGTTGGACATACATAGGCTGTTGTTGAGGATAACCACCACCGCCTTGAGGGTAACTGGGGTAGTTTTGTTGAGGTGGGTAGCCACCGCCGCCGTAGGCTTGTTGAGGAGGAGCAGGACCCTAAAGAACACATAGGTCAATATTGTTCGTTAAAATATAGCAAAACAAATGGTTTCTGCCATGAAAACACTTCAAATACTTACGTAACCTTTGTCACCGTAGAATTGTTGAGCAGACATTTTGTTGAACCCCTTTAAGAAGAAATTGGTAAGTTATGTGATGGTAGAAGTTAAGTTACTTACCAACGCACACTGAAGGTTTCTTTACCAAGGGAAAGTGCATTGACCTTAGTTATATACATTAATACTTTTTTACATAATTGATAAAATTGTAAATATTATTTTAATGTTTCTAGTTTTTCCTGAATGCATATTATACATAAAGGTTCTCTTAGCTCGCTTCCAGACATAAGGTATTCCATTGTAAGAAAACATACCTGAAGCATGATATCGTATACTTTTAGATTCTTAAGACGAATACGAACGCGACACTTTACATACTAACTAAAGTGGCCCAAACAACGACTCCAGTGCACTCATTTACTCAGGGTTTTTATGTAGATAAATTTAATATATCTTTATTTTAGCAAAAAATATAAAAAAAAGGAAAAAAATCTGAGCTGTAATTTTATTCAACTTCAAAAAAAGAAAACGTTGTTTAAGTGAGTTTCCCATTTCAAACACTAACAAAATCGCGTCTCAATGTGGTTTAGCTATGTTTTGATTCCACAAATGTAGGGTCATTAGAATTTAAGACATTAAGACCCTACTTACACAAACAAGTGCTACCTAAGAAAAAGAAGGGCTAGTGAGTTCGAAGATACAGACATGAACAGCGTCTTTTGTTCTTGTTTCTGTCATATTTTCTTTTCTTTGTTGTTTCATTAATCTCGCGTTTGTAATCGCGACGGGACCTAAAACGCGACGCGTCATTAACAAACGCGACACGAGAAATTTTGATAAAGACGCGACGCGAATTTATAAAAAGAAAACAAGTTAATTAAGACGCGTTCTCTATTATAACTTTTAATTTTTGTCAGGGTAATGCGCGCTGGTTCGCAAACAACATTGCCGTTTTCTGTAGGAAAGGTTAGCTTTCCTTCATCAAAGCGAAAAGTTTTGGAAGAACATGACGATTCAAACGATGCCAAACTTCCAGCTGCTCCCACATCTTCTCCAGTTCTAAAAAGGAAAGCCGCCCATCAGGAAACATCAGAATCTTTGAAACAGGACCCACCTACCGTTTTACCAAATTATGCGTTGGTAAAGCATCCTTTAGAGTCTTTCTTTTCTGCTCTGGACATCTGCTGGAGCTTTCATATTTCCATAAATACAAAGCCAACATTTCAAATTTTGCAACCGAATGTCTCCTCGTCGATAAAACTGTCGTTTCACTTGTCTCACCTTGCCCAAATCCTAACCATATGGCCGGAAGCGTACCGACTAAGGCCATGTATCTCAACATATCAGGGCCACCGAGTTGCTACATATGAACTTCAACCTTCGTCCCAAAAATTATCAAGCGCTAATACATCTCGCATACAGGAATTTCATCGTCGTCTCGTTAGGTACTTTGAGATTCATCCTCAAGCTCAAAATATTCCCGAATCTGAACTTCCTCCTTTGCCTAGCTTAAATCAAAATAATTTTGGAACACCTTCGTTGACTGAATTATTTCGTTTAAAAAAGACCGCATCTCCAAAGAAGGTAATCTCGGGTGGCCCAGAGAAGGAAGAAGGTGAAACTGACAAACATGGTTATACAGATCAAGATCCGTCGTCTTTTGAAAAGCAAGTAGAATCATCGGTTACTCCCGTTGCTTCTAAATCTTCCTTGCAGTTGAAAAGTCATGGTACAAGTGGCGTTGTTACAAAGAAAGAGAATCCAGCACAACTATCACTGCGGCAGTCTTCACTGTTTGACCGTGTTCGCAAAAAGCAGAAGGTTGTAGAAGCTAAGAAAATTGAAATAAGCAAAAAGGACCCTGTTCTACAAAAGCTCTCTTCTGAAAAAGTTTCCCTGGTTCGAATCATTGACCTTATTTTCGTTCAGCTTTCGACTTGGCCTTCAAAGCGTTCTTTTTCTATGACGGAGTTGGTATCTAGCATTCAAAAATCTCTTTCTTGCAATACGTCTTCTAGTGAATGTATTGACATGGTTCAATTACTTGCTTCTACGCTTCCTTCATGGTGTTCCATCCACTATTTAGGGAATGTTCAGGTGGTTACCTTCACTAGAATGGTTCAAGGGAAACCCTACCTTCGTTCTCAGATTCTTTCTGAATTAAATCAGAAAATCAGTCAATAATCACACTCCATTTTCATGTATGTTCTCTAAAGGACACTTCTTCGCTTAACAATTTGGATCCTTGGTTTGTTAAGCTGCTGGCGGCTTAATTATACTTTTGTTTATTCTATTTTTTGCTCTTAAATATTACGAACGTTTTATGACCTTTGCATTAGTGTTTACAATTCTTTAATCGATGTTTTTTAATTCAAATGTTGTACCTTTTATAAATATTCACTTAAACTTATTAATCACCAACCCATATCTATTATCGAAGAACCCTATTACTTTTTGTTTAACAACTTGTAAATCATATCAGAAACACGGTTTATATAACCCATCCCCCAAAAATAAAGGAAATCTATTTTACCGCAAAAGAAAAATTGCCTCGTCCATACCATACGAAAATATTTAAAAAGCCTTCTCGTAATACGGCTTATCCCCTGTTTTGTTTTTTTATGAGAAAACCAAAGCACAGACGGTCATTTCATGCGGAAAGCATATTTAACATACCAACCAATTCATTGGCTTTTTGAGAAATGACTACTTCCTGCTCAACCTTTTCGCGGAATTTTGAAATGGCACTCTCAACCATGACACTACCGCCCAAAGCAATTCCATATATGTCCAAGACAGTGTTTGCGACTATAGTCAGAACATCTGTAAAGCGAGGATCTTGAATATATTTTCGTAAAAACTTTAAAAGCGGACTCAGAGAAAGATCGTCACGGTTAGATATAGCTAAACGTAGACCTCCAACATGCAATAGTTCAATTAACATGGTAATCACCAAAATCGGGGATCCGTTTTCTAGAGACATATCTAAAGCATCTCCATAATTAAAGGTTTTCAAAGCTTTATCGAAAGGACGGAGTCTTTTACGGCGTACTTCTTCCACGTAAAATTCATCATTTTCACCCTTGTACACGTCTTTTTTACGTTGAACAACACCAAAGGCACTACCAACACCTAACAGGAAAGGAGTCTTCGTACTAGGTTGCTTGCTCACGCGCCTAGTTCTTTGAGACAAAGCTCCATTGGTCATACCAACGACGAGATTTCGATCATCAGGGGAAAGACCCAGTGACAATATAGGAGCAGAATACTTGATACCGTGGACAACCTTCCAGTCAGCCACATTGTAAATTTTGACATGGCCATCTAAACCACCACTCAAGACACGAGTATTGTCTGAATTTGTACTCAAACATGTAACACTCTTTTGATGGTTGGTCAACGTTTTAGCTGCTGTTGATTTACCAGCTACAAGGTCCCAAACCTTAACAGAAGGGCCACCAGCAGAAATGATAGTACTTCCTGACTGCAGGGGCAAGACAGCATCCACCGAGTCTCCATGATCAAACGACATTACCTCAGGTTGTGCTAATCGTGTATCCCACAAACGCACAGTGCCATCATAACCAGCACTTACTAGTCTCGTAGCACTTAACCACTCTGCAGCCCGGACATAATCCTCATGTCCTTGAAGATCATGGGTAGCTTCACCTGTAGCTAAATCCCAGACTTTAACGGTCTTGTCATCAGATCCTGAAAGGAAACTGGTTGTTGAATAAGGACAGAATTTGGTAACTTGTACAGGATATTGATGTACATTTAAACTTCTCAAGATACTGCGAGTCGATAAGTCGAAAATCTAATAAGTTATGTTAGCTGGTTTCGAATATCACAAAAAGCAGATGAAAAAAGATGCAAGATTAGTCATTAAATTCCCTCTTTATCCGTATTAGGAAACTTCTATTGACCTATAATCATTACTGATATCTTCTATTTCTTCAACATGCGGAAAACAGACCGACATGAATTGAAAATATCACGAGCAACGCAAATTCCTTTAATCATCCAAAAATAAAAAATCTTACCTGAACAAGACCAGTGGCATCACCTGCAATGAGTAGTTTTCCGTCTTTTCGAATATTACCAGAATATGCAATGTCTTTAAAACGGGCAATTGTTTTCTTTACAGAACGAGAGCTTGCTCCATAAATTTGAACGCGGGTACCGCTGGTAACTGCAAAATCATGCGGTGATTCAGCAGAGAAATGAATGCTGCTGACGGAGCTGTATTCTTTTGCTACGACAGGAACTTTGAAAGATCGCCAAAATTTATTTTCAGCCGTGATCGGGTTTGGTAATGCAGCAAACCGCTGCGGTTGAAGCCTTCCAGAAGGTGCAGACATCGAATTGCTCGAAAATTGATGGTTATAGGAAGGTGTTGCGAAAAAGGGTGGTTGGCTAAAGGCGAAATTGAATGGTCAATTTTTACAAAAACATGAAGTTACATTTCCTATTAAATAAAATTGTCTTAATTTACATATAAATAACTTTTTTAAACTTTCTTTTGCTGCAATGCGTAGAATTCGTTGAAATTCAGTCGAACAGACAAGAACCTCATTTCTGAATCTTTTTGAGTAGCTAAGCCATACAAAAAGTGTTTCAGTCGTAACTGAAAATCTTCTGAACATTGTTGAAGTTTTTCTTGTATAGGTACGTACTCTTCTTCCAATGACTCTGTAGATATAGGCGCATTGACCTTCAAGCGACTGTATAATGACACTGAAAAACTATACAAAATTTCAATAGTATTATGAAAAGACAATATTGTCTTTAAAATCTCATGAAGCTGGTGAAGGAAGGAATCTTCAGTCCGCGATCTGGCGCTACCTAGCAAACCTTTATGTGTGATGCTAGTCACATAATGGTGATGAGCTTCAATATATGTATCCAACGTAGCATTTGGCTTTGACATTTCATCTTTCAGTTTTTCCCAGCTTATCTCTATAACCTATATGAAAATTAGTGACCCAACTTCATGTTCGTAAACTTACCTCAAACAGTATATAGTATTGAAGTTGACATGTAAAATGAATCATCTCTGCTAAGTGAATACTAACAAAATGCCATTCCGGTTGAACGAAATCTAGTTCACGAATAATATTCCGAGCTCCTAGGGTTGATCGACGCCAAGAATGAGATAGGACAAATTTAATTCTTTTTAATCTCCATAGAAAATTAAACATTTTTAAATACTGCCTTGAGCAATAAGGAGTGATAATAACGTTAATTGGGGAATCCACTTTGTATTCCAACGTAAAAACATCCCAGCCCACTTCACCATGCGATAACTCCAGTAGCCTTGCATCCAAGCACTTTAAAATATATTCTTGTTCGTAAGAAGCATTGCTTGAGCGAATTGCACTCTCTAAGCATGCTGTTAGATTATGTCTGAAAAGAGTGTTGGCGGGTTGTTCTAAAGAATCGCCTAAACTTTCCATTAAGTATGTAACAAAATCCCCTTGACCTAAAAGTATATACTTTTTAATGGCATTCAAATGTTCACTTAAATGGAACTTCTCTTCCATAAGTTGAACAAGATGTCGAGTGGACTGTGTATAAGCCATGTCGATAGTTAGTTTTAAACTTTGAAAATCAGTGTATGAGAGTTTTTTTGCAAATTCACTATAATGCTTCTGAGTCCATTCTGAATCACCGCAACCATAGCGAGCAAAATTGAGGCATTTTCCGATAAGAAAAATTTTTTCAACTAAAGCATTTGAAAGAAAACTTGGTATTAACTCTTTTTCTAAGTGATATTTCCCTTTCCAAACAATCCGTCCTGTTCCCTGTCTATCATGAGTTTGAGAAGTATCATCAGTCTCGATGACAAAAAACTCCCGAAAAGGATCTATCAACTCTCCTTTATAAACCCAATTCTCAATCATCTCATGAAGGGGTTGAGTAATTTCCACCAGTACTCTCTTGCTAAGTTCATGGATGATGGGATCACCATGGAAGCTGTATCTGGCAACAATGTGAATTAGCTTCTTCTTGTTCTTTTCTTTAATAAATGAATTAACAATAGAAGAGAGTATTCGAAATTTTAGGCGGGCGTTGTTAGTCCAAACTATACACCTTCGAATGCTAACAGTTTGTGACCTCGTCGAACTGTCTGTCCGAAGTTGAGACTCTAAAGAAGCGATGAGACTTAAATACTGCGTCAATTCTTTAGAAATAAACGCTCGAAAACTTTGTAATGCCAGTGTTTGCTCTTCAGGTGAAGAGTTATATATATTCAAAGCTGAATTTGAAGTCCTAAACCCATCATAATCCGCAAATTCTTTCAGTTCCTGATAAAGAAGACCGATTTCACATAAAGAACGAATTTGTAATATATGATGAGAAGGAATTTGTTCTGATAAGTCAGCAGTTCGGCCATGAAATTTCACAAGATCCGTTGAAACTCCCTGAAGAATAAACAGTGTGGCGCTTTTCAAATAATTCTCACTACTATCGATTTCTTCAGTATATGAAGCTTTTTCTGAAGTAGGTGTCGGCTGCTTTTGTGAGAAAGATGTCCACTCATAAATAGAATTTCGTTGAGAAACAGGTATGCTTTTGCTCGTGTTTTTTGCCTCTGTAGTCTCAGAGTAAGTACGTTCGTGTCCCAAAGAAGGTAAAGTCTGCATCTCTGATAAAGAATTTGTTGGGTGAGAAGATGGTAGTTCACCCATGTTTTCACTCGATCTTGACAGGCTAAACAATACTTGTAAAATACTAGCTTTATTTTGTAGCACCTCTTGAGTTCGTAAACGAGATACTAAATTAGAGAGTCGGCTGAACAGAATCCCATCGGCATTATTACTGGAAACTAATTTATATGTTAGTAACTAACATACTTAATTTCTTACATTTTGAGAATATTTGATATAGTATGTCTTCAATTCCAGATACTGGTGAATCAGGCGGATTTCTAACTCAAGTCAGTCTTTGGGAATATATTTATCTGTGTTGAACGTACGAGTTAATAATTCCTTCAAAAAATCCAATTATTGTTTCTATTGTATAAGGTTCTGATGGGTTGTGAGAATTCTGTAAATATTTATCGGCAAGACGCGATAGCGCAGCTCGAATATGAACTTCGGACATATTGAAAGAAAAGACGGAGGATTTAAAAGTTTTAAAGTAATGACATGAAAAAAAAACAAGCGTTCAAACTATATTGGAAGCAATTAAGTCATTAAGCTAACCGCCTACCTTCCTGTGGTAATAGCAGAGTTCAGAGATGTTTAACAGAAATTGCAAGGAAGTATTACTAGCGAAAAAGAGATAAGATTGTAATGAAACAAATAAAGAAATATATTAATATACAAATTACTCAAAATGAAGGATGTCATGAAGGGAGATGGGCTTTCGAATGGCATTTGAAAACCCATCATGGAACTTCAGATTAACCGCAATAACTTTCTCTGAAGAAATTGGAGAGGTTTCGTTCTCTACGCTATTTTCAATGTGTTGAGGGACTTTAATTTCTCTACCAAAAAAGTCGCGACGTATCGTTCTCTCGAGTCCCACTTCTTTTCTTTTCTTTTTCGATGATTCCGAAGAGGAAGCTTTTGGTATAGAATTTTTTTGAACTTGTTCAAGGCGTTTCCGAAGAAGTTCTTGGGAAAGCAATTGTCTAGTTGAATACGTATGAGAGGGAGGATTCCATACTAGTTCTTCTAACGGACTGAAAGGTTAGATGTTTGTCAATGTCGAATACTATACTTACGGTTCAAGTCGATAGGTGTACTGTCCATCACCGATTGGAATATGATTCAACCTCAGGTTGTAGTGGTCTATGATTCGCACGGCATGCTCAATTTTTAATTTATCTTCGGCACTAGAGCTTCTAGATGACTGAAACATAATTAGCTTTGGTTCAAATACATAAAATATCGTTACCTTCTTTATTGGAGGATTAATAACACTTAACAATGGATCAATTAAATCCAGGAGTACGGTTTGTTTTCTATAGAACTCCAAATCTTGGGCATTGAAGGAAGACATGAAGGTATCCAAAATCTCAAGCCGGTCGCGACGAAGCTTCATCATTTCCAAATCATAACGAGGATATCTAGTAAGATGAACTTTATTAGCAGAAGCATATAAGTAATGAAAGTGAATAACGGAATAAGGCATATATTTCCATAATTCGTAATTTCCTCTATGCGTTAGTGTATTAAGTTGATCAAAAAAATAAAGCCAATCTGCTGTTAGGACTGGTTTAGAGAACAGATTATCTGTAAAAGGCATCTGTAGGTAAACGTGATAGCAATCCATTAATGTAGCATCTACATCATTACCACTCTCAATCATGTTTAATAATTTGTCTATATGTGAATAAGATATTTGCGATGCTTCTATACTTCGTAGAGAACGCGCATCAGGGCGATGTAGAAGGGATGATAAGAGACCTGAATTTGTTGATGAATTCGTTTTTGGTTGTAAATGTCTAATCATTTCCTGATTAATGGATGATGCCTTTAGAGATAAAAGTTGTAGGCTGTTTAGACAACTTCGGATGTCCGAATTGTAAATATCAGTCAATAACGTTAACGAGCGACTGTCTATAGATAAGTTTTGAGATCTACAAATAGAGCGTAAACGTCCTACCAAAGTTGCTTGCGGAGGAGCATTGAAATAAACTACTTGAGCATATGGTCGCAAAGGTCTTAACGCAGGAGTATAAAGATCATTGCAGATACAAATGATAGGACGACAAATTGTCTTTTGCTTCGACTTTTTCTTTGATTTGGTGCTAGTTTGTGCAACACTGGCTTTTTCATCGCTTTCCAGAAGCGCTACAAGAGCGCGTATGAAGGCAGGATCTCCGCCATCAACTTCATCCGCAACGACACAAGTAGGTTGGGAAGACAAGGCAGAGTGATAAGAGACAGCCGCTCCAATTTTTTCATGAACTGTGCTAGCTGTACGATCATCGCTAGCATTTATTTCGAGGACCTTATAACCGGCTTGACGAGCTATTACATGAGCTAAGGTTGTTTTTCCTGAACCAGCGTGGCCAGTCAAAACCATAATCCTTTTATCTGGACGCCCTGTATCTCTAACTGCGGCCTTTGATACAGGAAATTGGCGTGGTGATGCCGACGCATACGGAGTGCTATGTCCATACACAAATGGATCCCAAGCTTTAATCCAACGCATGGCATCTCGGTGTACTCTTTCATCACCAATTAACTCTCGAAACAATTGAGGACGAAACTTGTCAACCCACATCTCCTCAGTGTGTAGCAAGCTTTTTGATGCAGGATAACTTGAGGTCTTGTCTAGGTGGCCGGCTGAAGAAAGCAAATCTTGATTCACTTTGGGTTGCGCCTTAATACCTTCCGACCAACGTTGGACATTTCGAAGTAAAGTGTCTTTGAAGAAAGGGGTTTCTGATAGCTCGGTAGTATCGTCGGCACGTTGCTGATATGGAATTTGTATATGTCGGTTATATCGCTTAGGAAAATGAAAAATAGCACCAGAAGAACTACGAGCAGTTACATAACCAAAGGCACTGGAAGAGCCACTTGATGGGTTTGCATAAGGACTACGCGTCGCCTTGTCTAGATCATGTAAAAATTTGGCATCAGGTACATTTGTACCTGTAGGTGCAACATAGAATGGATTAGAGTCGACGCTGGTGTCTTCTTTGAAAGAAAATATTGGATTTGTATCCGGTGAAGGGAGACGGATTGAATTACTCAGAGAATTATTGTTTTTCTTGCCAGGACTATCAAGTGGAAGTTCTTCATCTGGAAAAAATAGGTTTCCTTTTGGCAACTCTGTGTTCTGTTGCCATAAAATGGATTGCGTTTGGGATAAATCGTACTTAGATTCGGCCATGGGAGTGTCGGTACTCATTGGCTTACGAGAAATAAAGCTACTCAAGTCCATTTCCGAATATTCTGATTTATTATCAAGCTCAACTTTGGAACTGTTTGAGACATTCGGTAACTTTGTATCTTCGACCATATAAGAATCCATACTGGATGCCCCATTTTGGGAGCCATACAAATCCAAAGTTGAAGGAAGATCATTTCCATTTCTCGTTGGAGACCCAATTGGTTGAGAACTGTGAAACAAATCATTTGGGATACTTCGATGCTCTAAATTTTCCAAAGAATTAGCGTTTCTCATCTCCAAAAGGTACTCCTCTTCTTCCTCGTATTCATCCTCGTCATTTTTCTTAATGTTTTCTTCTTCTGCTTCTAGTAATTGCTGTAAGTCTTCATCATCAGGTATAAAATCCATGGACGCGTATTCACGGTCTGGTTTATTTACACTTCTTTCAACATATGCTCGACTACGATTTAAATTGGTTGCCAAATCCCATCCTATTCGTTATCTTGATTAACGTGTTTTAGTGATAGACCTTCTTCTCTTTTTGGGTATATTATTGTGATCGGTGTAAAAAATACTGTGTATCGTTATACTTCGCTATGTAAACTTACAGTGTCTCACAATACTGGATCTTTGGAATGCGCGCGATTTCTATGCATCTTTCGCATATTTCCTGTTTGTTGAATCTTCATTGTTGAAGCCGGATTATTCATTTCTATTTGTGAATTACATTCCAAAGATTTTTGAATTACTGATCTGTACGAATGGAAATTGTTTAACTGGCTTTGCTGTGAGAAACGAGGTTTTGTAGGACGTAAGAAAGGGTTTAACTCTTTTTAGCAGCAAAGCATTGAGAATAAACAAATCAGTTTCGAAAGATTCAGTGTTGACGTCTAGGAGTAAAAAGGTGAAGAAGCGGTTTTTTCGTTGGGAAAGTATATGACAAGTTGGTGAGTATTTTCGTATTTATCTAAAGTAATCGTCGGTTTACGGTCTTGGTCTTTCTAAACTTAAGCTTGATTAACATACAATGCCATGTCTTCTCCCTTTGTTCCTAATACATTGGCTGTGTACCATAATCTTTTAATTTTAGAAGCTTCCTTTCGAAAAACATATCTACAGCTTCGCTCCCGTCGACGAAAGTATCTAGCTTTTTACATTTCTATGTTGACATGGAATGTTTACTTTTCATACAGGGTGTTTTTTCGTGCTTCACTGTATTCGTTAATTGACCTCATTTACAAATTATGCCTGCTTTCAGGAATTGTCACTATGTTGTTGTTTTACGTCCTTGGACTTTACCGTTCAAGCATAGCATATCCTTCGCGCTATATTCAACAGACAAACAAAGCTTTGCGCTTATTCAACATCCGTCTCGTCATTACGCCAATCCCATTTTTCCAGTTTCGAAATCCTTTAGATGATGGCGTTCATTTGGTATTATCGAGTAAGCGCTTTGACATTCTTGTGATTGAAGGTTGGGAAGCGTTTAGAACGGCCTATATGACCTCTGAACAAAGACGTCAAAAGAGGAAAAAGCGGTTTCGTAAATCATCTGCAATTACTGCACCTTCTTCCACCTCGGCACAAAAATCAAGGATGTTTTCATCCCGACCCAAAATTAGAAGCGAAGGCCAAGCGATTCCTCCGCGGTTGGAGTCAGTTTATGAGTCTCCTACAAGAAAACGGACTACTTATTCCCAAGATCATTCTTTCGATGGTCCGAATTCCCCCTCGTTCCATGAGCTCTCATAGGATTTTGTAAGACAATGGTAGTTCTTTCTGTTAATATCGTCGACTTGGTCGTTAATCCTTTATCCATTTTAGTTTAGTACTGGACTCTAATTGTTAATGGCTCTTCTTTAAATAGTTCCTATCATTCGTTATTGTACTTTTTAATGAGTATGATCTCTATTGTTTTTGTTTTTATTTAAGTCTTGATGGTACTTCTATTTGCCATTTAAACAGCCTTTGATTATAATTGACATCATTTTTTAGCATTGGCATACATGAAAGTTCAATATGCTTTTTGTTTTCGTTCCCTCTGTCAATTCTTCTTGAGAAGTATTTTCATTAAAGGCTCAATGTTGTTTGATGAATTATTTTTGTTTACGCTTACGGCTACTCGAGGACATCACTTTGTTTAAGTTATCAATTGAAAAAAAAGTAGAAACTTTACAATGATGCTAATGAAAAAAAGATACAAAAGATCAAGTTTATCTATTTTACTGAAAATTTCCTTTTTTCATATGTTCACTCATCTGTTGTTCCTGAAGACAAGTGTAGTATGTACCTGATTATATAAGTAAATTACTTTTCAGAAGATTAGTGCATAGAACAATTACAATTTAAGCCAAGCAAACTATAAACAGCAAGAGCTCGAGGCATTTATGGTCGCAAAAATAGTATATACATTTCGCAAAAATTTACATAGAATGAAGTAGTTGCCATCATTAGGTTAAAGACAGAATTCAATTTCGATTATATATTGCCAATGTATTTTCTACTATATCCTTCTAATTTGATGGTCGAATTTTGAAGTTGGTACTAACCGCTTACATGTCCATCAACAACCTATACCTAGGACCTGTCACCAAACTTTCCTCTAATTAAGATGCCCTTGTTTTTAGAGGAACATGCACAGGTATTAATTTGCTGAAGAAAAATTCTAACTAGTTTAGTACTTGAAAAAGTATCTGGAAAAGGCATTAGAACCCATGTAAGTAAAACTATCTTACACTGAAGAGGTGTTTTTGAGTAGAGAGGTTTCATTACTTAACAATAAATACTAATGTACTATAGTTCCGATGCTGATGCTGGTGTATTGTCAGACTATGCTATGGCTCTTTTACGGCATGAATCTTCAGAGGAAGAAGTTCGTCAGCTATGTTACTCACAGCTTGAAGACTTTTTGAGGCAAGAAACGGTTCCTTTTGTTGATAAAATTTTCGATGTTTTACGTGAACGATCCTACCTCGAAGAAGCCCCAGAGGTGGCAGCTACTGTACAAACAAATGATTCACCGCAGTATACTGATAACTACTCTTTCCCGCCGAAACATGATGCTCCTGTTCCAAACTATATCGCTCCAACTCCGCAAAATCCAAATGCATTCTTCCCCCCAATACCTCCCATGATGCCAATGCCAATGTATCCACCTCCTGCGATGTCTGATTCAAGGTTTATGTCGGAGAATCCCGGATTTTATAACCCCTCTAGTCCGGCTGGAATTCCTCCTTTTCCTCTCCCTTTTCCTCCTACAGGACATCCATCTTCATATTTAAAAATGAAAAACAAGAAGCGGCCTACTCCAAGAAATGACCCCTACGGGTCGACTCAAGCAGGTTTTGGTCGCCGTAATTTTAAGGGTGGTCCTGGTTTCCCAATGGGTCAACGACCCGGTCGTATTGCATTAAATGATCCAACGAACACAGTTTTACATGTTCGTAACATTCCCGAAGAATATATGGATGAAGAGAAAGTTAATTCGTTCTTTTCTAAGTTTGGTGTTCTCGAAAAAGTCGAGCTTGATCCTCAACATCATGCAGCTATATTGACTTTTACGTCTCATGAGGCAGCTCAAAATGCATGGTCGACGCCAGAGCCAATTTTTAACAATAGATTCATTAAAATTTTTTGGTATAATTCTAATAGAGCTTCCCAGGGTTGGCCAGCCTTCCGCCAAGACCCTTCTCAAGTATCCTCAGAATCTCCAGACGTTGAAAATCAGGAGGATGATGACCCTACTCTATTATTACAAAACGAGGACTTTCATAAGGATATTGCTGAAAAGCAAAAACTGCATGAAGAACGGATGAAGCGTTTAGAAGAAAACAAAAAAGCTCTAGAAGAGTTGAATATAAGAAAACAAGAATTGGCTTTACAACAGCTTGAACAACAAAAGTTATTGATGAGCAAAATGAGGGAAGTTGATCCAGAAAGCAACAATAAGTCACAGTTGTTGGAAACACAATTAGCTGTTCTTAAAGCGGAAGCTGAAAGTTTGGGTATTCCTGTAGCAGGAGGTAAGGAAATTCAGGCAGGTGCCTCCACAAATCATCATCCCTCTTCATCCTTAGCTTCTCACAGAGGATCGTCTACATTTAGAGGAAGAGGTAGAGGTGCATTCTCTTTGGCATCTATGTCTATAGACAATCGGCCTACAAAGATTAAACTAAAAAATGTGACGCCCGAGAAGAACGAAGCTCTGCTACAGTTCGTTTTCAGTATCGGCGATTATGAAAGTATTGATGAACTTAATCCTGGCGAACGGTTGATTAATTTTCAAAATAGAAAAGCAGCTGAACGCGTAAGTGCCGTTACTAAGTCTTGTTTATGAATCACTAACATATATTTGTAGTTTTACCATGGAGTCTTACGCAATCCTTTTTTGAAAGACGTTCAATTAGAATGGGTTGCTAAAAGTGCTATAATACCTTCGCAAGCACCCGAAAACATGATGGAAGACCAGGCATGAATAGACTACCAAAAAGGAAACACAACATTGAAAAATGTTGTTATTTAAGGTAATAAATTTCATTTAATTTTGATTTTATTGTGAAATCTGTATAATTGAAGAGGGGGTTAGATGTTTTGTATTTCAAATATTATTTCAGTGTAAAGAAGTCATCAGCACAATTGCTCCGTGAAGGCATTAATGCAAAAAGGATTGAGAAAAGTCATTACTTGAGACGGGAAATGATGGCTTCCGTGTATTCGACGTTCGAAGATTTACCTCCCAAGTCCTTGGTACGAGATTCGGGGCTGTTGGCAAGGGTATCAAAAATAGCTAAAATAGTGTTAGATTAAAAATCGCAATTATATTACAAAAGACGTACCTGTTTCAATTTTAGCAGCATGCTCATTCAAGTTCATATGTCTCAACATCATGATGGAAGAAAGAAGCAAGGCAGTGGGGTTGGCAAGACCCTTTCCGGCAATATCGGGAGCAGTTCCGTGAACAGCTTCGAAGATAGAGGCATCCTTACCGATGTTACCAGAGGGAGTTAAGCCAAGACCACCAATGAGACCAGCGCACAAGTCGGAAACGATATCACCATACAAGTTGGGCATAACCATGACAGTGTCATTGTAAGGAACGGGATCGGTAACAATGTTGAGGCAAGTATCGTCAAGAATTTGCTCATTCAATTTAATATCAGGAAATTCGGGAGCAATTTGCTTTGCGGTGTCAAGGAACAAACCATCAGCCATCTTCATGATGGTAGCCTTGTGAACAACGGTGATGTTATCTTTGCCGACTTGACGAGCATATTGGAAAGCATAGCGAATGACACGTTCAGAAGCAGCACGAGTAATCAATTTGATAGATTGAACAACACCAGGAACAACTTCATGCTCAATACCGGAATATTCACCTTCGGTGTTTTCACGAATTAAAACAGTGTGGACATTGTCATAAGGAGTTTTATAACCGTTGATGGAAACGCAAGGACGAACATTAGCAAAAAGTCCGAAAGTTCTACGAAGAGTAAGGTTCATAGAGACATGTCCTTTGCCAACTGGAGTAGCTAAAGGTCCCTTCAAAGCAACCTTGTTCTTTCTAACAGATTCGGCAGCATCTTCAGGAATAGCAGTTGTTCCTATAAGATGAAAAGTATTAATAATCAGATAAGACTGGCAAAAATATATATATTTCGTCAATTAAATTGACTTTAGGTAAAAGAATACATACCATTTTTTAAAAGAGGGTAAACCTTGACGGGTTCCCATTCAATGGGGACCTATAAGGATCTATTAGCTCTATTTCTTGTTTGAACATCTTCTTTCTCTATGAAACATACCTTCGCAGCAGCAAAAACTTGTTCAACAGATTTTGCAATTTCTGGTCCAATGCCGTCACCAGCAATCATAGTAACAAGGTAGTTTCCATTGGCGTTCTTAACACCTTCAAATGCTCCTTTTGCTTGAGAGCTATTCATACGTCTCTATTATCGCTTGGTTAGCTTGAGGGAACTTTAAAACCTTTTGTTAAAATGAATTATCCGTCTTCATTAGTCAGACGTAAGAACCAAACTACATACAAAGCTGGCTTGTGAGCATCTAGGGATTGCTCTTAAAGAAGCTTGATTACGGAGTAACGAGATCATTTCTGCGAGTTCTTGTGTTCCCGTTCAAGAGTTGCAGAGGGTGTGGAGTGTGAGTTCAAACTTCCCGTTTCATTATAAACATTGAATTACGTACACAACCGTGTATCGGAAAACGTAATACCGCATCGGAACGATGAAGTTGCGGAAAGGATTTATTACTCTACAAAAAGTAGAAAAGAAAAGTTAAATAGCTTAGAAGAAATGCGAATTTTGCACACAAAGGTTTGGTTACTTGGGCAATGGGTTACAAACAATACGCTTGGCGTAGGTAGAAGAATACAATGGGATCTCTAGCAGAGCAATTGAAGTAGGTGTTTACGCGCATAAATGAGCTACGGTTGACACTTTACCTAAAACATTCTTTCAATAGTTCTCATAGAATAGGGAAAGCAAAATATACAAATATCAACAACCTGACACTAGGCTCAAAAGTAGTATTACAATAAACAAGTTCATCAAATGTGATGCAATTATATATATAAAGAAAGTATTTGAAGCTAGCAGCAATCCTTCTTTATAGTCTAAGGCGTATATGCAGATATCAGGGGTTAGTTAAGTCGTCCTTTTATCCATATTAACTGTGTCTTAACAACGGTTTTGCTCTTAAGAGTAACCAATATTATCAAGGTCATTTATAAGACTTTACGATCCTTTTGAATGTGGGAAATTTTTAGTTTGAATGCAAATCGTACATATGAGAATCGACGTGAATTATAGGGAGTCTTTTGGGCCTCCCAGTGTTAATTTGTAATTACACCCCATATCTCATTCAAGTACTTCTCATAATGAAAACGGTGGAGAAAGACATTCAAGGGTCCAAAAACAAAGGTTAAAAGTAAAAGATCATTTTTATGTTAACGACTCAAATCCCCGGTGTTGTACATGATAGATTCGTTGGATACTTTTCAAAAGTGTTAGGAAGTTCTGCTAAATTGGATCTGACCCAATTTATGATCACATTCTCCAAAGGAATCCTTCAATTCTAAGAATGGACAACAATTAAAACTTTTAAGGACCTGATGACGTGTCTCCAGTGGGAGGAATATGTTGCGAAGCATCCGTCGTAGAAGGAAATTGGGAATTCGAATTTAGAGTAGACGTCGAATTCATATGATTCATGTGTTGAACCGGTTGCTGAGACTGGAATTCGGAGGTCGTTGATCCAGACTGTTTTCTCTGTTGTTGATTTTGGCTTGCTTCTAACAAGTAATGGCCCAGTACTTGGAGAGGATTTTCAGGCCTATCTCGAGCAAGAATTTTCATTCCCTCCAAAAGAACTGGAGTAACATTTTCATTGATATACTCCCTAGATGGAGAAGGACCTGACATATTGTAAAGCGTTAAAGGGAGAATTTGGCAAAAAAACAGGTGTGTTAAAAAGATATCGAACTTTAGATAGAAAAAGCTCCAAAAAGGAATCCTGTTCTAATTAGAGAACAAACGATAGGTTTCCTATGTCAACAATAGAAAATGTCTAAGGGAAGGAGAATAAAGGAAATTCTCTATATCAAAGGTTACTTAAAGAATTAAATTAGAATGCAATAGGCTAAGCCTTACTTATTGAAAGCTCACTGACCATAAAAACAGACTGCTGTTCATTCATGGTGTAAGAACACCATATTTCTGAGCTTGAGTGATAAGTTACACTGTTACCAGTTATACCTTTTTTAAATAGTGGATTTATATTAAGTAAGATTGTATGAATAAGATTCAATATTTATATTTTTATGAAACAGAAAGTAAATATGTATTTCGTTCAAAATAGTCATCGCCTTGGAGCATTTGAATGGATTTTAAGAGGTCGTTTGAAAAAATGTGCCAAATCAAGCGGTATACCAGATATATGGCTTTATTTTGTATTTTGTTTTAGGAAAAATAAGTAGGAATAAAATTCAGGTTTAGTTAAGATCTACTGGAATCCCTTTTGTTTTTCATGGGTTTATTTTCTTATTTTGTTTCATGTTGTTTATTTACGAATTTTTGTGTACTGCAAAGACACTCACTATCATATATAAGGAGGATGTTGGTATTCGCAAATCCATGTTCGTCGAGATAGTGCTTGAAATGTAGTTTCTGCCGACTAGTTCATTGAAATCCTCCAGCATCTATTGCTGGTGGTTTGTATGTCGAGTAACGATTTCTCTTTCGACAAAGGAGTTACAGAGGATCCTTTTTTAAGTTATGAAGCCTCTGTGAAGTCGCGTCCCAACTTTTCATTAAACCCACGGGAATCTTACATTCAGAATGCAAATCATCGAGACGATTTACCTCGCTTGAATCACTCACCGGATCCGGCAAGTAGGGAAAACTATGGTTACGTACAGGAAAGCAGTCGAGGTGGGTTCTCTTCGTTGGATGCTAGTAGCAGGTCTCAAAATCTGTTTAAGCATGATCGACCAGAAATAAGTCATTCTTCTATGCGCAACGCAGTTGGAACTTTAGCAGAAACATCTCTAGAACGGGAATCTCCTTCGGATAGCTCAACCGTTCTGCGCGAATTGGATGAACTCAAATTCAGACTGAGCAACATTGAACTACATTTGAGTGACACTTCGCGAACCCTACCATTTTCTTCACAATCGTATAGTCCTTATGGAAATTACAGAAATCCCGCTTCGCACATCAACGCACACTCCTTTTCCCCGGCTCCTTTAAATACGATGCAAACCGCCTTATCACAACTGCAATCATATCATCCTTCTCCGGCTGTTTTAGAGCCCATCCAACAAGCTGTACAGCACGCCATCACACTCATTCATACTACTCCGTCTACCGTAGTGGAGGGTCTTTGCCGCAGTTTGGCTGAATTGTGCCTTGGTTTGGTCCAACAAGCGATTGATGCCTCTTTATCAAATCATCAACCAGGTCAAAATTCTATAGAAATGGCACCTCATTCTACTGCCCTTGATTTATCAAGTTCCGTAAATTCATCTCCATCCCGTTCCATCAGCACCGGTACTTTTGCTTACGGGTCACCGGATCGTCCTTTATTCCGCCAACCTCCTCCTTCCCAAGGATTCAATTCTAATTACAGAAATAATTCACCTTCGCGTGCGTCTTCTCGACATTCCATCTTTTCTGATACCTCTCGCTTCCAATCCAAGCTGCAAAGGTTACCGCATTCTCCCCTTCGACCTAGACAGCCTTCGTCGTCCATGTCAACGAGCTCGACTGCGCGACAGCCATCAATGAAGTACATAGAGAACTCTCAAGATCCTTCTTTTGGTCCTTCGTTTCTTGATACCTCTTACAATCACTCTACACCCACAAAAAGTTCTTTGAATGTTTCCCCAGAACCCGAATCACCTCTATAAACACTATTTGTTAATCAAATTCTACACCAATTCCTGTCATAAGAGACTGAATGTAGTAGAAGGGTCTCGTTATACGTTATACGATCTTTAGTTAATTTACTAGCATAATTTTCCGACCTTGATTCTGTTTCCTTTTACTACACAAATTTCTTTTTTTTTTTCTTCACGAAATGCAATACGATACTTTTCATAAATAAATAACTTAATAATAAAGTCTTTTTGGGTCAGAACGAATCCCTTGGTTTTAATATCTAGCATTCTCCATATGTCTGAAATCGATTTTGCATATCAACCCTCCCAAAAGAAAAGCTACTATATTCTTAATCTCATTAAAGAACGTTCGATTTTACTTCTTGTTTTATTTACTTAGCAATGAGCTTTCAGCAAAGCCTTCTTTTTCTTTATTCTGTAAATGCAATTATAATCTGTTACTTCTGTGACTTCGTCGTAAAGGAAGATTTTATAGATCCACTAACTCGCATTCTTCCTCTTCAAATCAATGAAAGGATAGAAGTACACAAAATAAAAGTGTAAAAGATAATTAAAGGAACTGACATTGGAGTTTCTGTTGGATGTTAGCCTTGTTTAGATTGAACGTAACAAAGCGTTGTGGCATGGTCTTGAGGTTTTACCAAACACAAAGTATTATTTATCAAAAGAATGGAGAGTCAAGCTACAAAAGAACAAGAAGAAAAAGGTCGTAGCTATAATGATTTGAGGACAAAGCTTTGGTCGGTTTCAGAAAATTCTGAACCGACGTTACCTTCAACAAAGCTTTCAAGGAAGTTCCCTCAAAACCGATTATCGCAAAAGTTACTCCCTTTAAAAATATCGACGTCTTCCCTTCCTAACAAAAGAAATGATGATTATGAAGCCTCTGATCAATGTTTGTCTCCTCATCATTCTATTCTACCATCTCCTTCTAACGTTATTGGCAACCAGCCATATCCAAATGGCCCTGTATGTATTTATCCTCCAAATATATATCTTTATGCGAAGCCCTCTATGCCGATCTTACAGTCGTTTGATGTCGTCGTCAATGTCGCCAAAGAGGTAGTGCAACCATTCACCAGTGAAGGTCGCTGCTACAGGGATTCCAAATATAACCTGGATATCCGCGTATTCGATTGCCTTGAGTATATCCACATACCATGGGAACACGATTCGCAGTTTTTAATTGAACTGGATCAATTGGTGTCATTCGTTACCAATCAAGCACTTTATTTGAACAAGCGTGTCTTGATAAACTGTCAAATGGGTATTTCAAGATCTGCATGTCTTGTTATCGCATTTATTATGAAGACTTTAAACCTTAATGTTTCTGATGCGTATGAATATGTCAAGCAACGGTCCCCTTGGATTGGTCCTAATATGTCTTTAATTTTTCAGCTCTCAGAGTATCAGCAGATCATCCATAAAGGTACGAACTCAACATCTCGGCCTACGAACTCTTCCTTTTTTCCGGAAAAACCGTATACAGCACAACTTCCTCTTTCCTCTACAACTTCGACTGATTCTCTAACATATCCGGCTTTACGAAAAACTAAAAGCAGTGGCAGTATGAACAATGAATCCCCGTGAGACCGTTCTGCTTTATCCCGCCCTATTCATCATCTTTTGTTTTTGACGAATGTTCTTACGCTTCTTTGTATCTTTCGATACCGTACAGTTTTTTTAACACACTCCTAACGCTTTCTAATTTATTTAATTTTACGCTCGTTTTAGAAAATTGGATCTTGAGTCAAATTGATCATTAACTAACACCATAGCATGTGTGGTCTTTGGTTTTACAGTCTTGTTCTTCCTGAAAGAGTTGCTCATTGTATTCTAATTGGACCCCCGTAATTATAATTCTTTTCTCTTCTCTTATAACGGACAAAATTACAGTCATTCGGTCCGTTAAATTTTGGCTACTAGCTAATAATCAACTAACTTCCTAAAGATAGCTAGTTATAGATATCTACCAGCTTTGAATAAACATTATATAAAACGAAATGAGTACAAACGATGGATAATGTGTTTTGTTTGGAACTATTGATGGGCTGGAAGAACGGTCTTTCTTTGTAAGAAGAAAGATGTGAATAATTCTTGCTAACTGTCATTCTCTTCATGGAAAAGTTGTATAAACGCAGCGTCAATTTTGATTGTGTATATAGAAAAATTATTTTGTTGCTAATATAAATAAATGCATGAATCGTTAAAATCAATCGATGTAAGCACTACTTTTTGACTACATAGTACAGTTACAGGTTATTTTTTGCTGAAGAATGTGCTGTATTGCTATCGAAGACTTATTACTTCTAACTTTAAGCAGCAAAGCTAGAAAGCAAAGTTTGCAAAGCAACGGAGTCTTCACCGTAGTCAGTAACGGCAACGCAAGAGCAGCCGACAACTTTACGAGCATTGCCATCACGGTCAAGGACACAAAGGCCAGCCCATTCACCCAAAACCTTAGGATCAGCAACCTTCACCAAAGGAGTTTGAGATTCGGCACAGAGTGCCTCAATAAGCTTAACGTAAGCTTCTTGGTCACAGCTTTCGCAAAGAACGCAAAGGTGAGCTTGACGACGGTCGAGGGCCTTAGAAGCTTCACGAACACCACGGGCAAGACCGTCGTGGACAAGAGAACGCTTCAAAACCTCCTTCAAAGAGTCTTCAACAGACAATTGGGTGGAAGGAGCAGTTTCCTGCTCAACAGCCTCAACATTTTCGACGACTTCTTCAGCCTGGGGCACAAAATCTCCTTCTGTTGACATTTTAATAAGAAAGTGTAGCGTTAAATCAAGACGTCCTCGATTATATGCTCCGGGTGCAAACAGTAATTTTCTCCAATACTTTTATGATTATTATCGAAAAAACAGTCTTAACCCTACCCTATAAGCTCTGAATGCCTTACCCATGTATTAATTTAGCGAGTATGTGCGTTTATCTGTAATGCCAAATTGGGTATAGTATCAATGCACTTTTGGATGCTCACTAAACCAAAAACAAACGCGAAGATTGTTTAAAATTGCTTTTCCCTTTAATTCTTTCATTTAGAAGGTTATTTTTTTTTATTCTCTTAAAAATTGCATATTTATCTTCTTGTAGTAAGCATATCTACATATTACTGATTGTTGGTCCTTTGTCTTTTCCATAAACGACGCAGCTTGCAGTATGAAGACTAAAATGAATTTTCGACAGGTAAGAACGAGTTTCTGAGCTAAATTCTAGCTCCTTTTGTTTATCTAATATTTATTTTTTGGCATCTAAAGCCTAATATTGGAAATGGACGAATGTTTACGGAATAAGAGTGGGTCGTCTAACTCATGAATAGGTGCTTTCCCAGGTGCTCAATCTTCTGCTTGTGCTTTCAAGTGCATACATGGGCTATAAAGCGTTATCGTTTATGACTGACTGTGAAAGCCCTGTTGTCGTGGTATTGTCCGAATCAATGGAACCATCGTTCCGTAGAGGCGATCTTCTATTTCTGGATAATCGAAAGCCATCTATAGAGAAAAAATTAGAAGGGTCGGAACCTTCTCTTTGGGAAAAAATTTGGCATGGCTCTCCGTTGGGAATTGGTGACATTGTCGTTTATTCTTTGCCGCACCGTCCGATCCCTATTGTTCATCGAGTAGTCAAGTTGTACGAATCAGAGTAAGTACATTAAAAAGCTTCCTATCCAACTGGTGAGATAAGTATTAACCGGAGACTTATAGGAATGAAACGAAGTTTATAACAAAAGGTGACAACAATCGAATTGACGATGTTGGCTTGTTTCCTCGGCCCATGACTTATTTGGATCGTGAAAAGCATGTAATTGGTGTTGTTAGAGGATATTTCCCTTACTTGGGAATGATTACGATTTGGTTGACAGACTATCCCATCTTAAAATACGTATTGTTGGGAGCACTCGGCCTTTTGACTTTATTTCAAAAAGAAGAGTCCTCCTAGAACTTGGAATGATCCTTTCGTTCTTCTCTGTCTCTCTTTTGCATTAATATAACCCTAAAAACTCACTTCAAGAGACGTACCAGTGGTCTGCAACAGGAGTATTTCTTACCTTATGGTAAGTAATATATGACAAACCAAATAGAATGATTTGGAAAAATGGAATATCGAGAAAGAATTAATAGCCCAACCTAGTACATAATGAATGGGTCTGTTTTTTCCTGACTATGTTTGTTCAAATGATACTTTTTACTTTTTAATATTTTACTATTAACTAATAATGGCATTTTTCCTACACGTATATACATTGAATTTCGCTCCGTCCTGCTGACTTAACATTCCTTTATGCCTAAATTAAGTAACGGCTTTGTGACCTTTGGTAGAACGTACAACAGCGTAGTTAGATTCAACTTGGACGTAAGGAAAGTTGTTTAATATTTATTTTACGTACGATTTAGACATTCATGAGCGGGTATTCTGTTCTTTTAGTTGGATTCCTCACTGCTTTGCTGTGTGTGGTTTCGTACTATTTCGCTCCGAAAGGAAGTAATACAAAGTAAGTTGGAAATAAAAAGAAGAAATGGGAAGGACAAGGATTATCCTCTATATTACTTACGGGTTTAAAATTAATTTTCGTCTCTTGAGTGTCTGTTGACATTCCTACATGCCCTTCAATTCAATATGTTCAACTGCAACATAATACTTGGGTCTCCTGTTTGTGTGCCAGCGTTCTCTCGAGTTTTTATTAACTTGTTTCTTAATTTAGTACATGGCAAATGACATTTATCTTAACTTTTTCTTGCTGCTACATTTTATGGTAAGAAATGAATTGTGCATACCTTGTTCGGCGCAATAGCTAACGAAACAATAAAGGGCCATAACTTATCTGGCACAGCTGCATCCCCTGGAGGCTCCTACCCGCGTCCTGGAGTAGTTTGTCTCAAATGAAAGAAGCGTGAAGGATCATCGTCGTCATTCATTATATCCTTATATAACTTGAAACAATTTGGATGGAAACTATTCTCTCCGGTTTTTGACGCATTGTCTTTCCAAAAGCCTGTTTTTCACGAAAGATCCCAAACCCTTTTTGACATGTATGTCTACCTACTTTATAAATGTTCCCCCTTTGCCAAGTTTGCGTGAAATACAACTTCTCGTATTCAGTTCTTCCACTAGAACATAGCTTCTCTTTAAAACGTTGAAACAAATAATGAAAGTCGTTATGTAAATGACAAAGATGCAGATTTTGTACGTAAGTAGTAGACCCTTCCAGTCAGAGCAATTACTTTACGTTTACAAACCATATAAACACATAACAACAAAAACTATGCTATTTAAACGAATCTGGGATGTTCATGTTTTTGAATTGGTACCTTCAGAATTTCTATTTCACATCTCAGATGGCCCAAATTGTACGGTTCAGTTTTAAATAATCGAGTCCATGGAAATAGCTCTTCGTCTAACGCTTAGACTTCAAATAGAGTGTATACATGTACAGACTTATTCACTTTGCTTTTGCTACGTTAATTTGTTTATTACTGCAATTGTATGATGTTGTTAAATAGCTTTGGGGATCGTAGCGCTGCATTAAATAATAAACAAACCGCAATTTTGTTTACAAGATAAAAAACATTTTATTATATATAAAGCTTGCAAGCACTAATTCACTTCTAAGAGAGAAATTAAATGGATAAAAAAAGGCTTTTAGAAAACCACGAAACGTAGTAAACTTCACTTCCCCATCACTCTAAACTGATGGGACTGAAATTCATTTGTTGACAAAAATAGAATAAAGAGGTCGTAACTAATTTTTTGACAAATTCTTTTTTTTTATAATTTGTATTTTGAGGATTATTTAAACTCTGAAAGATAGTTCATCTTTAGCTGACAACAGCGAAAAAATGCTGACACGCGCTTGAATTTTATACGGTTGTACGCTTCGCGTATTAACACATTTCTATTAAAAAGTATCTTTTACGTGAATTGAGAAAAATCTAAACTTGTCAACATTTGCTCTTTCTTTAATATTCATGTTCTAAGTCCTAGTGGCCTTATGTTTGCTACGAAGCAGAGAGGTACATCAATAATGAGCTTTAAAAAAAATCAGGAAGATCCATTGTCGCATAAGAAGAACGAGAAAGGAATAAAACTACAAGAAAATCCTATTACTAGTTCGTCTCAAGAACGCTTGGGACGTATTTCGGGTACCGAAAGAAAGATCCAAGCCATACTAGATGAGCATGCTCAGATTATTTTTTTACCAAAAGAATGCGAAAAGGTACATAGGATTCGGAAAGCTCTGGGGGAACAGCTGTGTATCTGGTGCGAAGAATGCGAAGAACGAGCCAATACTTACAAAAGAAAATCTAAACAGCTTCAGGAAGAATTCGATTTTCAGAAAGAGCTTTTGGATCAAATAAAGGATACACAAGCATTAATTCAGGAGAAAGAACGCGCGCAGGAAGCTACTAATCTGAAGACTCTAATAGCAGAAGTCAACAAAGAAATATCAGAGTTGGAAAGAAAACTATCTATTTTATATGATCATCGTTCTCATCTTTTGAAACGATTACAGACATGCGACTCGCTTGAACAAACAGAGATCCACAACTTGGAAGATCGACTTTTACGATTACAAGAACAATACGACACTCGACCCCATGTCAGTAAACTTACGAAAGCCATTCATGCTTTTCGTGAAAAAGAATCTTCTTTAAAATTTATGGTTATTCAAGCTTATTCCGGAATCCAATTTTACCAGCGCTTTATAGAAGATGTTCATCCTCATGAAATGAAACTACAGTCTATGTCCATGTCTACTGGTATTTCCAAAGCCAGACCACAATTACCTGAAGCTGAGCGTTTGGAAATTGTAACTTTACTATCCTCCATCTTGCACTCTTTCAAATCTGCTCTTGAGGTAGCAATCTCAAACAACTGGAAACCTATTATTGTACTTTTGGAACAAGACATAGTCCTTTACGAAGAAAAAATGAACAATTTTTCGTCCGTGACTCCATCTGATACTTCCTTCGAATCCGCTTCTCATAAGTAAAACTAGTATCATACTTTGACAATGTCAGTCATTGCAGGTTGTTAATTGGATTAAATCCATTTTATATATTCTCTTTATTTATTTATAAATTAACTGTTGACGTGTTTTTCGTTTTATTTACTTTGAACTTCTACATCAAAGGATCCCCATTCTACCATTTAGCTCCTCCTACCGATTTTTTACTATGATATTCAGGAACCGAAACTTACAAGGCGTTTATTACTATGTATCAAGCAACACCGTCAATTGATCATCTCTTGACAAGACTATGAAAAAATAGTTGGTGAATGAATTTTACATCGGTTTCGCCACGACCCGAGGGTTACATTTGAAATTGCATCGTGTTCATTGAGCAGCAATCTTTTTGGCATCATTTGTTGCTGTGGCTCTTTAGGACTTACTGAATCCGAGTCATTATATTACATCACCGAAGAGTCATCAGATTTCACGTTGAATTGAGGATTTCTTATTACTGATGCATTTTTATGAATTATACAAAATATTTTTCCTACGTCGTATATTTATTCCCTTTTTCTATCCAACCGAGAAAACTTACTCCCTAACTTTCTGATTTAACTTGAGGCAGAATATTGTGTAGCACCCTTCCTACACTTTTTATCAATAAATTCCCAAATATTGAGAAATTGTCTTTTGATTTTGACATTCTCTTCCGTTTAGAGCTTGATTCACTTGACTTTACTAAATCTGCTTGATTTCAAGTGACAAGGCTATAGCATTTGTTTGGACTGCCACTTATCTCATATTAGCAATTCTTCATTTTTAGGACTTGATTTCAAAGCATATTGGTTGATAAAGCCAACAGCGATCGTCTTTGTCTAGATTGGTTAATTTCCGAATTGGGCTCACGATACCTCGCCTTATTTATTTTAGCAATTTTGCTGATTGCGGATTTTCATTCTAAAATCTTAAACTGTGTACCCTATAAGGAGAAAAGTATATCTCTTGAACATGCCTCCTCCAATTTCTGCAGACTATAGACCGAATCATATTCCCATCCCCAAGTTTAATGCTGACCAAATCACATCGAATTGTAATACTCCGCAGCAGCCTGAACTTATGGGGAGGGACATTTTTGACATTAAAGAACCTTTCCCTATTCGCAGTACAGATGCAGAGAAAACAACAGCCGAAGGAGTCAACTATCATACGTGGGACGAGACAACTAAAAAGGTCGTCAATAGTATTGTATCCATAAAAGGATCTGCTTTACGTTCATTTGACACGGAAAGTGCTGGTGGTTTTTGTGCTACCGGATTTGTCGTAAATAAAAAACTTGGGTTAATTCTCTCAAATCGCCACGTTGTCTCTCCTGGTCCTATAACTGCCCGTGCTGCCTTTATTAATTATGAAGAAGTTGACATATATCCTCTTTATCGGGACCCAGTCCATGATTTCGGATTCTTTCGCTATGACCCATCTTCCCTACGCTATCATGTGGCCGATGAAATTCCATTAGCTCCGGAACTTGCTAAAGTCGGTTTAGATATTCGCATCATTGGTAACGATGCAGGAGAAAAGTTATCCATCTTAAGTTCGACTTTAGCACGCTTGGATCGACCTGCTCCTAACTACGGAATTGACAACTACAATGATTTCAATACCTTTTATTACCAAGCCGCCAGTGGAACCAGCGGTGGAAGTTCAGGAAGTCCCGTCCTCGACATATCCGGTGCTGCAGTTGCTCTAAATTCAGGTGGATCCAATAGTAGCGCATCTTCTTTTTATCTTCCATTAAACCGTATCGTTCGTGCCTTACATCGCATAGAAAATGACCTTCCTATTACCCGTGGTACTTTGTTGACAGAGTTTATCCATTGGTCCTACGACGAATTGTCTCGAATTGGTCTTCCTCATGAATTTCAAAATAATTGTCGTACTCGCGTTCCTGAAAGTAATGGTTTGTTGGTAGTATCGAAAGTTTTGCGAGGTAGTGAAGCAGCTGGTGTTTTAGAACCGGGAGACATTTTAATTGCATATGAAGCGGATGGTCGAGATGCCTCATATATTGCTGACTTCGTCTCCTTTTTTGAGATAATAGACGAAAAAGTGGGAGAACCAACTTGCTGGCGAATTTTCCGTCCCAAAGTTGGTTACATGGTAGTGGAGCTGCATGTTCAGGATTTGCATGGTGTCACTCCTTCACGTTTCTTGGAAATCGGAGGTGCCATTCTCCATGATCTTTCATATCAACTTGCTCGCTCCTATCAATTTCCTTTGAATTCGGGAACATACGTAGCTGCTTCAGGAATGCTAAATTGGTCATCAGGTAGTAGGGATTTTTTGGTGACGAAACTCGCAAATAAACCGACCCCAAATTTGGACGCGTTTATACAGGTGGTCTCAAATTTGGCGGATAATGCCCGTGTTCCTATGCATTTCAGAGTTTTAGGGAAATACGAAGAAGAGTTTACGATTATTACAATTGATAGACATTTCTTTATGGCCAGTGTTTTTGAAAGAAATGACAAGAAAGGAACTTGGGATCGTAAAGGATTGCCAGCTCCGATAACTACTAAATCTCGGCGGCCAAGTATCATTCCAAGACCAGCTGAAGGTGCTAAAAGTTTGGAGGCGATCCAGAACTCTTTGGTCTTAATCCATTGCCGCATGCCTCTTAGTATTAATGGATTCAATTCGACAAAGTCTTATCGTGGAACAGGTGTTATTCTATCTGTTGTGCCTCCTCTCATCGTTGTCGACCGTACGGTTATACCTGTTGAAATTTGCGACATTCGATTGACCTTCCAATCATTTAGTGCTATGGCTCGTATTGTGTATCTTGATGATCGAATCGCAATGCTGTCCTGTGATTATTTACCAAGCAATACAGTACAACTCGAATTTGCAGCCGATTTTATGCGAACGGGTGATGAATGTACTTTAGCGGCTCTCGATGAGGATTTACAGCTGCTAACCAAGAATACAACTGTACGCAGCGTATCTGTAGTTGAAACAGAAAGATCTTCTCCTCCAAAATTCCGTTATGTAAACTGTGAAGTTATTTCTTTGATGGACTCTTCAGCTTCAACAGGTGGCTTAATTTTCCGTGACCGAGAAGATAAACGTGAAGTAGTTGCTTTATGGATCTCTGTGATTCACCAAGAAGTCGGCGGAAAAGAATACACGAATAAGTTCGGGCTCTCTATGGCTTACGTGCTTCCTGTGCTTGAGCGTTTGCGACTGCCTCCATCTCTTCGACCTCAACCAGTAGTCAAAACTGCCGGGGTAGAATTATCGCACATCAGTTTGGCTGGTGCAACTACATTAGGAATGTCACAGAGACGCTCGTCTGAGTTTTACATGAAATCAAAAGAGAACGGAACGATACCTCGCCCTCTATATGTCGTTTCTCATCTAAAGCCTCTCCCTGAAGATTCCTCTTTAAGAGTCGGAGATGTCTTAATCAGTGTAAATGGAAAAATGATAACTAGAGTTTCAGACCTTCACGAATTTGAAGAATATTCAGAACTCGATGCTGTTATTCTTCGTGATGGAAAGGAAGTAAACTTTAAATTTCCCTTGTACGAAGATATTCCTACCTTTAGCTCTGAAGTTATCTCTTGGAACGGGGCTATTGTACATTCTACCCACAGAAGTGTTTACGAACAAGTGGAGCCTGGTGTTGAGCTCCCTGGTCCTGACGGAGTATATGTTGGAAGTATTCTGTATGGATCACCAGCATTGAACTTGCTTCGAGCAGCACATTGGATTGTAGCTATTGATGGCAAGCCAGTAAATAATTTTTCCGATTTTAAGAAAATTGTCAGTGAAATCCCTTCCGAACCTTACGTCCAAGTGAAACAAATGAATCGTCGAGGTGCAACACTATTAGTTAGTGTTCGCCCTGATGCCCGTTTTTGGCCCACGTACATTATCGAACGAAATTCAGACGGGAACTGGACCACTAAATTTGTAAACGATGAAACTCCCAAGGCCATATCATAAGATATAATTTATGCTATGGCTGAATAACGACTTTGATGACCGCATACCAAAATATAACATGATGATACATAGCATATGATAAAAAATAATGTTTGCTTACCAAGTCAGCGCACGTTGGAAATGTTTAATGAGTTCCTTATTATCTTTATTGTAGATTTACGTAGTTCATTTAAGGTTGATTCACTCAGCTAGCTGTATCAATTTTTTTTAAAGTCTTCTAAGAAGTGTGTTTAAAATTAATAAACATAAAGAATGAGTAATGTTACTTGTGTGCGATATCTTGTTCGCTGGTGTGGATTTGTTTGTTTACATGCTCACTATTCTCATAGGTGCTATTGTTTACATTTAAGTAAAACATATTTATAGCCAAACAAAAACACTACAGCTTCCACATACACATGAATGATTCCTCTAACGGCACTTCTGCAAAGATTGACGTTACTAGTACATATACGATTTTTGGAAAATGGAATTAGGATTTGATTATTGTCCATTCGAAAGCTTTGTATCACCTAAAAGAAAACGATTTGAAAACAAATCTATCCGTTTACAAAGCAACGTCAATCTTGAGAACATAGCCAAACAACGAGGATCTGAAGAACTAACTAAAGAATGCTGGAAATTGTTCAAGGACTTGAAGCCTACTCCTCATGAGAAGTTTCGTCGTGAACAGTTTATTGTCAAGCTCAAAACAATTTTGAAAAATTCTATACCAGATAACAATTTAGACCTTTTTGTATTCGGTTCCACTGAAAGCCGTCTAGCTATTCATCAATCTGATATTGATGTGTGTATTGTAACAAGAGGGAACGGACAATTACGCTCAACCTGCCAGTTGGCATATATATTGCACAATTGTATGAAAAACCAAGTACCTAAAAAATAACTGACCAAATGTCTAGGTGGAATGAAGAGAATCACCTGCGTACCGAGAGCTAGAGTTCCCATTGTAAAAATTTGGGATCCACAGTTCAATATCAGCAGTGATATCAATATCAACAATGATGTCGCAAAACTAAACACGGAAATGCTACATTTTTTCGTAAAAATTGACCCACGTGTGCGAGCACTCGGACTCATAGTTAAATACTGGGCAAAACAAAGAAGCCTAAATGATGCTGTTGGCTGCGGGACAATAACTTCTTACACACTTTCTTGTATGATTGTCAATTTTTTGCAAACTCGAAATCCTCGTTTGCTTCCTTCTATGATGGAATTGAATAGCGGCCAGAAAAACAATGTCAAGTTCACGACAGACCTCAGAGGTTTCCAAAAAGATTCACATCTAAATAAGGCTTCTTTAGGAGATCTTCTGGTAGACTTTTTTCGCTATTATGGATTCGTTTACGACTACAAAGAAAGTGTCGTCTCTGTTCGGAGTGGATCCCTAATAAGTAAACGTGCCAAAGGGTGGAACATGGACATGAATAATTCCTTATGCGTTGAAGAACCATTTAACACATCAAGAAATCTCGCTAATACAGCAGATGATACAAGTGTAAGAGGATTACAGAGTGAGTTTCAGCGAGCCTTTCATGTGCTTAATGGATACCCAGCATTCCAGGCATTATCAAATCTAAACGAGGAATTTCAATTTCCTTCGGAAATACATACTCCCTTCAATTCGTACCCCAGTTTAGATATGCCCTCATTTATCGGTAAGAACGATGTTACTCCCTGGCCAACGGAAGTTGAGAGTTTTTCGCATCCTTATTATCCACCTCAGACAATTCCCATCAATAATTGTAATTCAAACTACGTTTATTATATCCCGGATGAAACAAATTCACAAGCATGTGCAGACAGGCAATCGAGCTACCAATATTCGCAAACAGGAGACTTATACTATGGAAAAAAACCACCATGGCATTACTTGCCAAGCAAATCATGGTTAGTTTGGTATCCCAGTCAGGAGGACTTTCAACCTGCCAATATGTTTCAGTAAGCATCCATATTGATAGGAAAAGAAGAAAACTACACCATTGATTTACCTGTAGATAAAAATAGATCATGAAGGTCCTATAAATTTAATAAAAGGGTAAAAGAAACGTCAATAAAAATTTCCATAAACTTTACGAAACGAAGATAACTACTTGAGCTTCGCTAAGTTTATATTTAAGCAAAGGATCATTACAGATATTCCATATATAGCGAGACAAGCAGCGACAAATCGAGTAATCTTCAACTGTTTCTCTGAAGCACTATTGGGAGAAACAGCATTATGAGAGAAAAAATAATAAAGTAGGCCCGGAAGAACGAAAGAAATGAAAGTACTTCCTGTACTACCAACAAAAGCAAGAACCAATTCAAGGGAGGATAGAGAAAGGGCAATTAATAAGGAAGTTAGAAGAATACATAATGTCAGTACGGTATGATAACGATTGGACATATCGTGAGAAGAATAAGAACGACGAATAGCTTGATACAAAGAATTTCGACATGGATGGCATTGCAGGGGGTAGCTGAACAGAACCAGTATTACAATAGCAAGTTTTCCAAATGTAATTAAGAAACTTCCGTCATCGTACATGGCAATAATATTGCCGGAGGTTAACGAACCAAAGGAGAGATAGCCAGTGATGGCAACAATAAGATACAAAATCATTGAAGAAAAGACTGCGCTGAATAAAGTGAAATTGATGAATCCATGAGAAGGAGTTTTGACTTCGTTAATGACACTAAAAGCGTTTTGGTGGCAGGTAAACCCAAAAACGAATACTGGAAGAACAGAGAGATATCCAGAAAGAGACTCGGGACGAAAATAACGAATCTCTCCGCGTTCCATATCTCCTTTGATAAAGTGATAAATGACAATAACCATCAAGTAACTAAGAGAAATTAAACTTATAAAAGACGTATGACGAAGAGAATCCAAGCGGCGTAAAAAAGCCAGTGGTGTTAAAACCACGATAGATACAATAATCCATGTTTCACGATGTTCAAAGATTGAAGCAGTAAAGCCAATTGAAGGAGCGATTTGAGGCATCAAATCTCCTACTATGACGAGGTAGCTAATAGAGACACCAAAACATTTGATAGCAATAGCCGAATCAAAAACAATTGCTAAGGAAGGAAATGTATGCTTAGCAACAGCAGCAAACGAAGCCTTTCCACGAGGAAGGCGGTCTGCGCACAATGACACAAAGTATAAACCTAAGAATGAAGCAAACGCGCTGAAGAAAATAGTGAGACAACCAAAAAACAAACTTGTCTTTGTAAAAGCATGAGACATAGACAGAATTCCGGCTCCCAATATAGTGTTGGCTAGATTAATTACAGAGGAAAAGAAGCCAGCACTGCCATAGTGTGCAGGGTCAATAGGAGATTGTAAACGAGTGTAGTCGGACATCTTTGGAAAGAAAGAACAATAAAAATGAATTAAAGAATGCCAACCTTGAAGAAGTAGAAACGTAAGGGGATGGCCTAGTACAGTATTAAAACGACTTATGCTTTCTCAAACTTATAACTCGAGAAAGGAAAACGAATGGAGCAGTTTATAAGTATTGATATAGTTAACCTCAAATAAAGTTAAATATCCAACTATCGACGAAGAAAAGACCTAGAAAAGAAAATCAACCATGTAAACATGCGAATACGTAATGAAAACAATATATTTATTTAATTAGAAGAAAGAAAAATATTTCCAATTAAAAGAGCATGAAATCAAACGTTCATACTACTCGAAAAGTAAATGTACAAGGAAATCTGTGAACAGTGTAAGTAATGTATTATACAAGGGTGCATGCAGGTCAACAACTTGAAGGATAAGAAGTTATAGCAGAAGAACCGAACAAAGTGTATGTGATAGAATTATCATAAATTATGATTTCAGTGTAATAAGTGATTCAAGAACAAAGGGAGATGAGCTTTCACGATTGTTTGGTATAACGAATATACTGTGCCTAAGAATAACCTCGACGGATAAGAAAGGTACGATTTAAAGAATGATAAATATAACTAAAGAGTTTGGTATCTAACGTTAAGAATAATCACAGGATGTGAGACTTGTTTCTCAAGTACATTGAAAAGAAACGTGGAGCTATTTTGACTACGGACTAATTTATGCTTGTCTGAATCGAGAAATGAATAATGTCTTGGTTAGCTAAAATGCTTGATTTCTGCCATGCACTAACAGTAGAAGCGACAGCGATGAACGGATTGAAATCTCTTTGCGAGGGCAGTTTTCATGTAGACAATATGAAGAACCTCTAGCTCTTTTCTCTATTTATTTCTCCAAAGAATTGGAATTAACTGATCAGTCTTAACGACTTAGTTGCAGGTATTCTGAAGCTCTTCGCTTTAATTCAGCGGGTTTGGACTTTGATGGTTTGCATAAGTATAATCTGGAAAATATATCTTGAAACATATAGCTTATTTACAGTGGAAGCCGACAAATTGGTTTTTTACATAGCTGTTAATATCAAGTATGGCGAAGTTTACTTACTGTCTCTGCCAGAAAAAGTTCAATCTTGACAAGTTTTATTTCAGCTTGAAGAAAAGAACCGGAATTAAAAGTATTGAATGGTTAGCTAGTGAATAAAATCATCAATATCATAAAACCATACATTCTCAAGTTTGACGGAAAGAAAATTAGAAAAATAAATAACAAAATTTAATTCTATAACATTTTCGGCAATGATTTCAGGTGTTATAATCAGTCGCACTAGGATATTGGCATTTCACCCATGCATCATGAACTTGTCTACTACTTATACGACCCTGGTCAATCAACACTTCATTTTGCCTTAAAATGCCTCGAACTTCATCAAAAAAAGTAGAGAATAATAAAGAAATAAAAAATAATTCTAGAGATGAGGATGAAAATTCTGCAAACGCTGCCAATGGTTCGATTTCAGACGAAGAAACTGAATCTTCCAAGGGATCAGAAATCACTCGTTGCGTTTGCGGAATTGAGGACAATGATGATGAATCTAGTGATGGAGGCTTATATATTCAATGTGATCAATGTTCTGTCTGGCAGCATGGTCACTGCGTTGGATTTCAAGAAGAATCTGATGTTCCTGATGTTTATTTTTGTGAAGTATGCCGGCCAGAACTTCACAAGCTTTATCAACGTGGAAGAGGGTAAGGAACTAGAATGAGTTCATAGCCTGTGACTTATTATCGGTTTTCGCAGGGCTTGGGTTGCATGCGCGTATACGTAGAATACACATTCAAAGTAAGCTAACCATAAATAGGCCCAAACAGTCTAAATATCTTGGTCTTGTTGGTGAACGGAAGCCTCAGCAATCGGAACTTTCAGATGCTTCTCCTCCCTCACCAATTGCTAGAAGACAGATACCAAAACAACGCCTTACGATGAACTCTCGAGATGCTGCTTTAGATTACGAAGAATATTTAATTATTGCAAAGGAGCAGTCTCTCCTAAATAAAAAGTCTAGAGGGTATGGTTTCTTTCAACACGTCTTGGTATAGTTTAGAGTGCTAATATGAATTAGGACATCCAAGTCGGCTTCACCTGTTCAGGCATCAATTTTTGAAGAAGAATCATCGTCAGTCAAGGCAGCACCAGAGGAGCAAGGAATTGCTTTAGAAGAAGACCTAAGGCATGTCCAAGAAGAAAAAGAAGAAGATCCAGAAGACCAAGAGGAAATTCTTGATGGCGATCGACAGAAACAAGAACCACCGAAGATATCCAAAGACGAATCCATTCCCACTAATACCACTTCTGCTGTAGAAACAGCCGAGGACGAGGAGAATGTGGAAATTGAGCCGGTGAAAGAAGAACCAGAGTCGACTCTACCTTCTCCTGCTAGTGTTCAGTCTATACAAACAACTTCCAGTACAGGGCGGGGAGGAAGTGGACGGAAATCCAAACGCGAAATGCCTGTGGATCCCGAAAAAGGAAACTTGTCTCCATCTACAACAGGTCAACGAGGTCCAAAAAACAGGAAAACAGGAACTAGAAGAGGAAAGGGATCTGCAGTTTCAGCCAACGGCCATCGCTTTACTTCCAACCATGCAGAAGGAGAAGTGGCAACGGAGGCAAGCACAAAACATAAGGGATTGCATCCAAGAATTACTATTACTGAAATGCGGAGGCGTGTTGCAACCATGTTAGAATATATTGGACATATCCAGGTAGAGATGGCATCCCAATCGGCGAATGCCGTTGCACTATCGCAAATGACGAAAGAAATTTCTGAAGACGAGAAAGAAACGCTTCGTCAGGTGGATAATCTGACACGGGAACTATTACATTGGGAACAAAGGTTTGGTAAGACCTAAATTTTTAAAGCAATAAGGAGCCTCTTGGCTTGTATCCTTATATTTGAATTTTGTTGAAACGATCTATATTTTACGATGGATTTCGGGTTTTTGGTAATTTTGTCTTAATTTAATACTCGTGAAAATATAATTGCAACAACATCTGTTAATATATTCGTTTACTTATTTGTATATGTTATGGATGGGTACATATGTAGAAACAAAATTTGCAACAATTGCAAGACTCATAGACGAAGAATACTAGTAGTAACGATTTAGGTATGTGCGCCTAAATTGTGTTTGTTTGTTAACGAGTTGAATCGCATCGCATTTTCATGTACTGCATAGCCCTACCCTAATAACGACAAACAGTCACATGTTGTGTCTTTTAGAAGAATTGGTACCGGCAATCTTTCCTTCACACGCAAAATGGCTCACGAAAACGTTTGGAACTCTCACCCTCGCAGATTTGGTAAGGGCAGCAGACAATGGTAAGTTTCAAACAAAATTTTCTGAATGTTATTTACTAAACATTTATTTAGTGCTCACACTGGTCGCCGTCTTGGTTTGATCCGCAAGTACGGTTTGAACATCTCTCGTCAAAGTTTCCGTGAGTTCGCCAACGACATTGGCTTCTACAAGGTATGTGGAAAATTCCGCATTTTCTGGGAAATATCAGAAAATGAGAAGAGAGCGATTGCTAACATTGCATTAGTACCGTTAAAATATATTTCGGTAATTATATTGCCTAAATAAAATCGCGTGCACTACGGATCATATTCTTTATACTTTGTAGTCTAAGCATGTAAGAGGCTTGTAATGGTAACGATTGAATTGAAAGTAAATCAAGAGTTGTAAGAGAATGAAAAGGGAAGACGTCCTGGATGTTGACAGTTAAGAGTGTATGTGTATATAGTTATAGGAGACTGACTGTTCCAGTTGCAATATATATTCTTTTTTACTTACCTTGAGTGAGGTTTGATAGAGTTTGGAGCGAACGAACATTGTTAGCAGACAAAAGGTTTCAGATTGTGTGAAGCATGTGAGATGAAGGCAACAAAAAAAAGAACAGAATCATTGTAGAGTACGAAGCAAACCCTACAGCTTTGACTTTGCGATTTAAGACTATACCCAGCGAGTTTCTATTTCTTGTAATGTTACTCTAACGAGGTTTAACGCGGATATGTGAAGTGACGAAGAAAAAAGTCGTGACTGCTTTTTGGGACGACACAAAGAAAGCAGCGAGTGGGATTTTGGAATCTACCTCAAGCAATTCACTAACAAGATGGTGGTATGTTAACATAGAAGAACCTTTATGGAATGAATAATAACAAATTATAGTTGGCAGTTGATCTCTTGAACCCTACTCATGAATCTGAGATGAGAAAGCACAAGCTCAAGCAGCTTGTCCAAGGCCCTCGCAGCTTCTTCATGGTATGTTTTAAATGAGAAAAAGAGAAACAAGTAGAATAGTTGCCACACATGGGATGTGAGAGTCAATACCATACGAGAATTTAAAAGTAGTTTTGACAGGAGAACTTGTTTTACTTGCTTTTTCTTTTTTACAAAGGACTCCAGAAATGGAAAGCTAACATATGAACAGGATGTCAAGTGCCCTGGTTGCTTCAACATTACCACTGTTTTCTCCCACGCTCAAACCGTTGTTATTTGCGGCTCTTGTGCTTCCGTTCTTTGCCAACCCACCGGTGGTAAGGCTCGCCTCATGGAAGGCTGCTCTTTCAGGAGAAAGAACTAAAGCTCTTGATGCTTTTCTGCATTATTAATATGCGAAATAAAATTTTGTCTTGAGCATGTGGTAATAAATGTGGTTGTTTTATTGTATTTATTATCGTAGGAAAATGTAAACAGAAGTACATATTAGATCTTAAGTCGAAAAAGAAGAGGGATGTAGACGTAATGTAAGAATTGTTTATTAGTTGCATTTCATCGCGAGAGTATATGCTGAGAATGAATGGTGAGAGTTTGTCGAGAGGCAATCCAAGCCTCCGGAATTTTTTTTGCGTGGCTGGTGAAGATGGAAGAGGGTGTTACAGCCATCTGGAAGTATTAAAGGGCCCTCGCCAGCACCACGCGTTTCCTAAAGGACTGGAAGTCATGTAGAGTAGAGCTCGAAAATGAGAGAAACGCTTTTATGAAAAGAATCCGAGAAAGGACTCGTACTTTTTGTCTTTTTCTATTTAAACATCTTTTTTATTTATTTATTCTAGGATGTTTTGGATCTATGTTGTTTAGGCAGACAAAGGGAGGCGACAAGCTTGCGCGTGTCGATTCTTCAAAGACAACAAACTGTCTAGGAGCGTAAAACATAAAGAAGGCAAAGGCGACGTTTAATAGGAAGAGTGAAAAGAAAAATACATTAAATCCATAAAAACCAAAGCAATAAAGAGAATACAAGAGAGAAATACCGATGCTAGAGGTGAATACGAAGGAATCATTATGAGAGCGACAGAATGGGTCCTAAAGCTGCGAAACCAGCGGGAAGGACGAAAACGACAAAAAGAACAAAGTCAAAGTGAAAGTCGCCACCAGGAAGAATGCATAACCGACGCAATTGAGTCATTGATGTTTTCGCAATGCCAGTACGGCGAAGTGTATGGGATTGAAGGAATAAGCTGTTCAGGAAAGACAGAAGTTTTATATCACCTTGCGGGAAATGCGTTGGTAAAGTCAACGGAAACTTTGGTTTTGGTAGTGAATAGCGAATGGGACTGGAACCAAGAGCGACTGTTGCAAGTGTTGCACGAGAAGCTTATCCAAAAAGAAAAGTGTTTGGAGACGTGTGGCTGCGGGAAAGAGAGTGCAGACGAGTTTTCTTCGCAATTGTCGTCGGCGTCATCGAGCGAAGGAGTGGAAGGAACTGTGTTGGAACCGGAAAGAAAAGACAGTTTTGGACAAGCTACGAAAGGAGAAACGACGAAAGCGATAGATGAAAAACAAACATGCAGGATTTGGAAACGCTCAAAAGAAATCGTACAACGACAATGCATGATGGTGTGGCCTACGGAATTCGATGGATGTTTGGAAAGCATTCCAAACAATGCGGAGGAACTGGGAACGATATGGAAACGACACCAACATGGAGAAGGGGAGCCTGTACCGCTTGGATTTCGAGAAGATAAAGAGGAAAGAGCGGCGAATGGAGAACGATTTGGATCACAAAAAATACGAGGAAGCAAGATGCGTTTAGCGTATATATTTGTAGACGGATTGTCGTCTTTTTATTGGCAAGTGAGATTGGAACGAGGGTATGGAAAACGGTATTTGGAATTGGAACGAAAACTTAGAAATGCATCCAAGATGCTGGGTTGTCGGGTGGTGTGTACGAATTGGTGTTTGAATGGAAAAGCGCATTTGCCAATGAGTTTAAAAACGTTTCGAACCGAACGGCGAGCACATACTAGGTTTTACTTTGAACAGCGCCAGACAAAATTGGGGTGTTTGTTTTTTATAGATGCCAAAGGAGTCGCGTATCACAAACTAGACAAGGGGGAGAATTCGCAAAAGAGCATGATGGGATAAATTGGATCCAGAGAAAGAATTGAAAAGAGAAATGAGAAAAGAGAAAAGAAAAAGACAAAAGAAATGATAATTATGATGATATGCGGAAACGACAACATAACATACGCATCCAACTATGATGAACGAGGGATCGCATCAGTGTGATGGAAGTGATTGCATTGCGTTGTTTTTGTCGATTGACAAAAAGGAGTTTTGTTTTCATTGTCGTTTGTAGTATTTTCATTTTGAAATTCAAATTTCAATTTTTATTTCGATTTTCTTTTCATTTCTGTTTGGTCATTCCTTTTACCCAGAATTCTTCCTTAACGCAAACGATCCTTTCTCTCACCACACCACACTGCCGCCCAAGAAAGCTGCTGCAATGTCCACATCGCACCTCCACCTCGCACCTCTATCAGTCTCACACACTCTTCATCTCTATATTCCAATGTCATCGCTATATCGAAACCCGAGACTACAACATCGAGGTCGCATCGCAACATCGAGGTTCTGTAATATCGTCAAATCGAGACGAGCGAGGAAACCTCAATCTTTTTAGCGAGGTTACATAATACTAACGAGAAGCATTGGGAATCTCGGCACGGCCCGGCACAAACACGTCTTAAGCCTAAATGTGTCATAGGGAAAAAAGTTCGTATGACTGAGAGAGTCGAGAGGGAAGGGAAAAAACACCGGAGAAAGGAAAAGAGGGGTTCCGGCGGTCGCACGAAAACAAATAGAGAAGAAAAACAAACCGAAAACAATGAATTTTGGAGGAAAAACGATTTCGAAAAAAGCATTTTTCTCTTTAAATGGATTTGGATTATATTGGATTTCATGTTGTTTCCTTGTACGAATATTTTATAATGTCCATTTTTTACATGCAAAATTGGACATGTCTGGATTTGCATGATTGGCGCAAACCGTTACGAATTGGGTTTCGCTTCGGGATTGTTTGGTTCGTTCGCTATTCGTCAACCACCGTCAACACCAAAAGAACACGCTAAATCGACGTAACATTGGTCTGTTCTACCAAACCTTGCGTTGTGTTTACATCATTAAAGTTTGGTTCCTGAACATTTAGGTTTGTGTAGCATATGATATCAAAGTTGTTGGAGAGCATTTGGAATACATAGAGGTGATTCATGACGACCTGATCAGTCAATCCCTTGCGTCACGATGACTTAGTAATGGTTTGTAAAATTATTAAAACGTTGGTCTTCCCTGTGCCCTTTTGGTTCTTTACGCTAATTGTTGACTACCAAAGAAGAAACAAAATTCAAAACAAATTTGATCTTTTGTTTGGACTTTTCCACTTGACTTGACTTGACTTGACTTGACTTGACTTGACTCGACTCGACTCGACTCGACTCGACGTTATTAATAAGCTTGGCTAATTTTTGTTTTTTTTTTTTTATTTTTTTTTAATTGACTTTCACTACTACCTGTCCCAACTTCTTTTGAGACTTCTTGGTACGGCTCTTTTAGTTTGATTTTTATTTTGTTTGATTCTATTCCTCTTTTATCTGATCGGTCGGATTTCAGTTCAAAATGTCGCCTATTAAGCAATACGGTTGGTACCAATGGCCTATGCGTATTTTTCAATTAGCTATTGCTACTATTTGTTTGGCTTTAGCCGCTGCCCTTGTTGATCAACAAGGTGGTAACGGTCACTCTCCCGGTAAGATCAACTACTGTGTCTTTGTTGGTTGCTTTTCCATCTTGACTTTCTTCCTTACTGCTCTTGGTGCTTTCTGGCCTAATATTGTTGGTAATGTTTATTTAATTGCTGCCTACGATCTCTTAAACTGGATTTTCTTGCTTACTGCAGGTGTCTGTATCGCTGTGGCCATCCGTGTCCATTCTTGTGCAAACAGAGATTTCTTGAACAGCAACCATTTCATCCAAGGTAGTGGCAAGCGCTGCAGAGAATTGCGTGCCCTTTGTTTCTTCCTTTGGTTCTTGTTTGGTCTTTACCTTGTTTCCTTCATTATGCAATTCTTCTTAAGACACGACGGTGGTGGTCATAGCTACACTAGCCGTGGTGGCGGTCGCAAGAAGGGAAGCGGTCCTGCCGTTGCACCTCGTCCTGCCATGTCTGCTGTTTAAAAAAGCATCTAAAGGTGCTTTTTATCCCAAAATCTTCGTGTGCTTTTGAGGAAAAAGATCGTGCAGAAACATTCATAGCTTTCCTGATTGCTATGAATGTTTCCGATTTGCTTCCCAGCACGAGATGATTTTCAAAAAAAAAAGGCTTTTTTTTTCTCTTGGAGTTATTTTTTGTATTTTTTTTTGTTTGTTTCCAAGAGAAAAAAAAAGTCGAAAATTCATTTTAAACTATTGTAAGCTCCCGATTCGGGAACTTGGATGATGTTTGGTATTATTTAATTATTATGATTACCTCTTTTTTTTTTTTCTTTTTCTTTTTATGACAAGAAGTTTCTATCTATTCTATTGCAAAAGATGGCAATTGCACCTAAAGAAAGAACGGTGCAATGGTTAACGACAAATCAGTTAAATGAACAATTTGCTTTTTTCTTTTCTTTCTTGGCTGGTTTTGTTGAGTCTTTTGCTTTCTAAACTTGAGTTATGCTAAAAAAAAGAAAGACTACTAATTAAAAAAGATGGTTGTTGCCCTTTTTTTGATTTTTTTATTTAAAGAATATTTATGTTTTCATGAGCAGTTGGTTGTGATGATCATCACAACCAGCAGAAAGAGTGATTACTGAAGCAACAGCGGTGGTCGATCCTTTGCAAGATTAATGTTTTTCATTTTATGATGTTGCTTCTTTGATGCTTTTTTTCTCTCACCCAACAGATCCCTTAGATCCCTTAAAAATTCTTTCTTTGGGATCTTTGTCCGTTCATTCTATATGTCGGTTTCTTTCGTACTGTCTCGTATTTATATATCAAATATCTGTAGCTGATTTGGTGGGTTAAACTTGGTAATTTTCCTATACAATATTTAATGAGTTTTTCTCACCCTTGAAGTGAATTAATTATAATTATTATAGTAATAATATATGTTTGAGAAGTTAAACCACAAGTTCTGTAAGTAAATGTAAAGTAGAGTGAATCCAAAGCTACAAGAAGCTACCAGCTGCTTGGAGTTTGAAAAGAAATCGAAACTGTCAAACAAAATCAATCATCTACCAAGCCATCAAAAACAAATTCACTAGATTTGATTATTCATTCAAATATATATATATCTATTTATATCTCTTGGTTGTCTTGTCTATGGCAAAAAAAAGCTAAGCACGCCTTTATCAATCCAAATACCCGCTTTTTTTTTCATCTCGATTCTTCCTTATTATTGAATTGGGAATTCTTATGTAGAAAACACCAAAACCTCAAGACAATTAATACTTCGTAAAAAAAAAAACGACGTATTATCCTTCATCGTTTTGTAATCTTTTTAGTATGGCTCATTCACGATATCACTGCGGGAAGGTGCTTTGGATGCTGCTGGGGTACAGATAGATGCTCGGGTAGGTCGACGTAAAGAAGACTTGTCAATCATAGTGACATCGTCCGGCAAAGCTACAATCATGTTTTTGTCTGTGCCAAACCGAAAATCTTCCGCTTGAATGTTGGCTTGGTAGCGTCGAAGCTTGTATTTGTCCGTCTTGCCACGCTTGACAAGGTCCATGTTCCAGCTTATTAAATATGGACCAACACTTGATATGATTGTAGTTTCTTTAGCATCAATACCCGTGTTGAACTTTGCTGTCGTAAACGACACTCCGTCTTTTAACTCGCCTTGCATCATGGCCACATGTTGAGGACTATAACATGTTAGTTGCTATCTTATTTCGTTTCTTCACCCCTTTTCATTTCACACTTACCTTAACTGAAGACGTTTTGGCTTTGGTTTGCTGTCTTTACCAAAGCTACGTTCAAATCCCAATTTGCCTGCATAGCGTCCATCTTTGATTCGAGCGTCGATCAACAGCAAATATGTTTTGCAAGTTGCAAGAACCCAATTTCCATCCGCTGTTACATCAATACCAATAATGGGCTCTCCCAAAGCAGGTAAAGCTGTTTTCGCATTAATACCAAGTCTATCAAATAATCGGATATCGCCCTTATCGCTTGCAACCGCAATGTAACCTTTCTCAGTGGTAGCAGCTGTGTGAAAGTGATTGCGTGTAGCATACTGTTTAAACTCCTCGGCAACCAACTTGTTTCCGTTTACTCGAGGATCAATACGGAAAATGGAATTGTTTGACAAGCCCACCAACGTCTTTTCTGCAGTCATCTGTGCAAATTTGTTATCAGGAGCCACGGCCACCAAAGGTACATCGTCATGGATTTTCCATTCTTCTACCACTTTTCCATATTCTACATCCATATTGTATAGATGGTGAGGGGAATCTTTCGTTTGAAATACTATAGAAGAGTCTTGGTTCTGCAACAAAATCTTGCTAGGTTGTAAAGGCTTACCGTTCGGTTTCTTCAAGTTATCAATCGACGTGTCAAACTTTAGGTTATTATCGACGTGCTTAAATACCCCAATTCTGTTATTTCGTGCCACGTAAGAACGATCATTTTTATATCCTACCGCCAGGATACTATTCTTCTCGTCCTTTGTCTCTTTCCTCCACCTTGACTCATCAATCTCGCTATCTTCACTTTCACTAAGCTCTGTAAAAGAATCACGAACTTGGCTTTCATTCTCCTCTTCCGAATCTTCTTGTCGCAATTGACGCAACACTGCATCTTCGTCTTCCTCGGAATCTGCATCAGGCATTTCATCATCCTCGTAAAATGCATCACGAACATATTCCCGTTCATCATCCTTAATTTTGAGCCACTTTTGTTGGTTCAAGTTTTCCCACAAAGCTCGCATTAGGATTTCCTGAAATTTATCCATTTCTTCCTGATTTGGAAAGCGCAATAACCATGAGAATGCAGTTCCAATTTCATCATAGTAGTTCCAAATAAAGGAAAGATGTTCAAAAGAAAAAACCGGATTCATACTTGAACCTACCGATTGATTCATCCATTTTCGCTCTTTCGACGTGAGCGTAAACCAATAGTCCCAATTTCCAAGGTCATAAACACAAGCTTCCACATCTTTAGTTTGTAAAACGAAGATTTCCTCCAAAGAATCAAATAAATAAAGCTCAGCATGAACAAACCCCATTAATTCCCCTTCAAACGAATCCTCTGTTTCCTCTTCACCATCTTCCTCTTCCGCTCCCAAATCTGTTCGTCCTTCTTTCATAATTTCTTTTTCCAAATCAACCACTTTTGGGGCTTTTTGCTTCGTTTCAGTGATTTCGCGGGAGGGTTTCACTTGAGATGGTTGTGGATTTGAAGTTATGAAATCTTGTGCAGCTATTTCATCCAATTCATCTTGGTTAAGGTTATAAGACTTATGACGAGCCAAGTCTTCGGATTTCAAATCGAGTTTGGTAACTATATTCTCCAGACTATCAGTAGACGAGTGAAGACGATTGATAGGCATACTAAATTGTTCTAAATCTGCAAGCGTAGCTTTGCTGTGAGGCTGGCGGTACTTTCGTTCATACATGCATTGCAATGCAACCATTTCAAATGTATAGGCCACACCTTCTTGTAACCCATCTTCACAAGTAAATTCATATAAAGTTCCATCTTGAAATTCTGGATTATCCCACATCATTGTAATACCGTCCTTCTTCACCTCAAATCGTAGATTCAATCGTTCATCCAGTAGAAATGCTTGTTCATCCTCAACCTCATCGGATCCATCGCCCTCCAAAATTTCTTCTCCTTCTTCATACGCTCTTTGAATTACCAATTGATACTGGAATTCCGCGGTCGTCCTTCGAATGGAAGCACTTGCATCCTTAAACCTGTTTTCCATAGTTAGTTTCGTGTCTTCATCTGTCATTCCTCTCGCAAACTTACATGCACTCTCGAAAATCATTATGAACAGAATACAATTGACCATATGGAATTTGCATAATTTCACTTGATGTGGAATTTCCCCATATGTACTTCCTAAACTTAGTTAGCAAAGTCGCTCATTCTGCATTGCCCGTACCCCAAGGACTTTAACATAAACATTTTCAAAATTTTAGTAAAAACAGATCATAAAATGCCAATTCTCTTCCTTTTCCCTCGCTTTTGGCACTTTGGATGCGTCTACATGTTTGCCCTCTTTGAAGTCATCGCCCAAGTAACATCGTTACTTTTATTTACATAGGGTATTTACTTATGGATTGAAAGGCAACATGATGAACAGAAACGGAATAACTTTTACAATCGTTTCAGTAGAGTAACTTTTAATGCTTGTGAATAAGTCGTTATTTAATTTACTTTCTACTACGAACGATAGATTTAGCGGAGCCAAAAAAATAAAACTGCGTGTATTATATGTATTAGTGCATTAAAGTAATTCATCAAAAAGAAAACAAGGAAAAGAAAGGAATGGCAGTAATCATTACAATGAGAAACGGTAAAACGACACAAAAAATTGAGAATCATTAAAAAGAGCGTGGATGAGGGTGTAGCAAGCAGCATTATGACTATTGCGCTCCACAGGTTAAAAGTTCCATAATAGAATGTACATTAGCTTTTCTTCTCTGGATTTTTTAGAAGAGGTTGCATGACGAGCGATGTTCGTCGACTTGCTATTGCTTCGGGATTGAGCTTAAGAAGGGAATCGCGTTTAGGATACTGCATGGTAGATGGGGGAGGCATTAAATTAGAATCCGAATCAAGTTGAGGTGTTGGTGTCATTTTGGTTGGTGAAGATGGACTATCGGGTCGACGCATAGGAGACCCCAACCGAAATTGAGAAGGCTTATTTTTAGAAGGATCCAGAGACCATCGCTTAGGTTTTGTTTTTGATCCAGAGGCTGCTAAAGGGCTTCCCAAAGGCATCTCACTAAAACGGACACGTTTTTTTAATGGCTTTTTCAAAACACGAGCTGCTTTAGTGGGTGAACGAGCTTTAAACTTGCTTGGTGACTGAGGAAGATCATTCACAGACGTTGACCCGAACTGCTTTGGTAAAGGGGGAAACCTCGTAGCTTTGAATTGAGTCACTGAAGGAGAAATACCAACCAGTTGATCGAAAGCATTGGCAAGATACTCGTTTGTATCGACAGCCTCCTCAGGGAGTAAAGGAAGCATTGAAAACATGCTTTGTAGCATCTTCTTTGTAACATTAGATAGAGACTCTGCTTCCGATCTTACATCCAAAATTTGATTTTCAACAATGGACTTCAATAGATCGACCTCGTCTTGAAGCATATCAGCATATAAATCGTCACCCTCTGCTTTAAACGAAGCTATAATGTGAGATATACTGTTCAAGAATGTTTTACATATTTCATCAGGATTAACTTTTGAAAAAATTAAAGTACGTTCAGCATAAAGTTGTTCAAGTCGACTTTTCACCAACTCCAACTCTTTTTTAGGAATTGCCTCATGGTTTTCTGCTTGTGCTATCCAAACTTGAGAAAGATGAATTTCATCCTCAAGCTTTCTGAGAGTACGAACGTTGTGTACAAGTTCTTTTTGTAAATCTCGAGATCCATCAAAAGAAGCTTTCAAGATATTCCTTGCTTCCAGCATTCGAACTTCACGAGAAGATATTTTCCTCGCTTCCTTCGAAGATAAGGATTGATTGGATTCCTCTGATATACGTTTTTGCAAAAACGATACACGCTGCCGAAGCTCATAGATGACCCGAACATATTCACTAACATGTCGATCCACACTAATAGTATTTCGTGTCACCTTGGTTTTGATATTTTTTGCTCGATTTCCATATTTGAGCGTATTATGGGTTTCATCATAATGTTGAGAAGAAGGTGAAACGCATACAATCATAACAGTTTTACAATTCCCTCCAAGACTGAATTTCAAAAGTCGTGTGAGGTTTGAATCCCTGTAAGGAACATGTTGTCGACGACGTTGGTCGCATAAAGAATTGATACAATTTCCTAATGCTAGTAATGAACGGTTTATGTTAGCACCTTCTATCAAGCGATCGCCACGGTTCTTTGTCGCGCTAGCCCGTTCGGAACCCGCTAAATCAATAAATGAAAATACCGATTGCAATTCCTTCCCATCAGGATTAGAGCGAGGTTTTTGATGAATGTAAATTTGCAAAACAGCATGGGATCGCGAAGAAACCGCGTTTGCCTCAGTTGGGGACATAGTGCGATTGTTATTGCCACGTACAATAATATCCATCACCTCCTCCAGATCCTTTGGTGAAAAGCATGTAAGACCCGGAACTGAAATGTTTTGGTCAGCATCTTCTCGAATAGTCAATGATTTGGGAGTCACTAACGAGGTTGGATCTTGAGAAAGCAGATCACGAATTTTTTCATTATAAATTTCCAAGTAAGATACTGAAAGCTCAACGTCCATGGTAGCTTTGACATTCTCGATTCGAGTTAACAACTCGCGCATTGTAAGAAATATAATACCAGGATCGTTGGGCTCACCACTAATAGTATGTGTTTTCCCGCATCCCGTAGCACCGTATGCAAAGACCGTAGCATTGTATCCTTCAAGTACACTGTCTAGCAAAGATTTTGTAGTTCCTTCGTATACCTCTTCTTGCGTAGCATTGTCATGAAAAAGTCTATCAAAAGCAAACCGAAGGTCCCGAAACCGCTTACCAGCAGAGAGTATAGATTTTTGGACACCAGCTAATGGGTTTTCCTCTGGAGGATCAAATACTAACACATTGTTATCCAAGACACGTAAGATGCGCCGAATCCCCCTTTTTTTCGTCTGTTCGGAGAAATATGAGGACGACTTTGCTCCCGCAAGGGAACCATCACCAAGATATTCTGCTGAATTAGGTGTTTCAACCAACAATTCTTGTTCTTGTTCGGTAAACGGTCTCACTCGCACTGAAGGTTAGCAATTCTGCTGGATACGAATAACCTACCTGCTACGAATATTGACGAATCGTTTTTCATGGCAAACCATAAAGATTTTGCCCAAAAGAAGGAATATTGGTAGATGGAAAACAAGCACTGCCTAGTACAGTAGAAGATGGAAATGTAAGTGTAAACAAAGCTCCAAAATTTAAAAAACGAACATAGACTTTTTATTAAAACTATTTATAAAAATGTAATTTATTATTTTGTATTTTCATTTCTATCATATTTTGATTTTCTGATTTAGCAGTCACTTAATGTTTCAAGGCTAGCAACAGAGGAGGACAGAAATTTGTGGTAGGAAAACTTGATCATCTTCACCCACGCATAAAATTAAAAACAATGGCAGGTGTATCTGTTAAGGACGTTGATGCTCAACGGTTTATTACCGCTTATTCTGCTTTCTTAAAGAGATCAGGTATGTAAAAAGAATGAGAAACGGAGGCGTATTTGCATAAATAAGGCTTGTGAACCCTTCAGTAGGAGTAATATCCGACTGAGTTTGTGGGATATTTGCTTGAATAGAAAAGGAAGAAGGAAATTAACATGTGTTTTTTAGGCAAAATGGCCACTCCCCAATGGATTGATATCGTTAAGACTGGTACCCATAAGGAGTTGGCTCCTTATGATCCTGATTGGTACTTTGTTCGTGCTGCTGCCATTGCTCGCCATATTTACCTCCGTAAGGATGTCGGTGTCGGCCGTCTTTGCAAGGTTTATGGTGGCTCTGTCAACCGTGGCATGCGTCCTTCTCACCACCGTGATGGATCCGGTAGCGTCCAACGCAAGGTCATTCAAAGCTTAGAAAAGATTGGTGTCCTTGAAAAGTCTGATAACGGTGGCCGTCGCATCTCCCAACAAGGTCAACGTGACTTGGATCGCATTGCTTACTCCTTGTTGGAAGAGGAAGAGTAAACGATTGTTGAAACACGTTAGCTCCTAGATAAAAAACGAAAATTATATAAATAAAAAATGATGCTTTGTGGGTGCAAAGACAAGGTTGTCTTGAGATAATGCCGTAATTTAAACTGAATAGTAGTAGGTCTTGAACGTTGGGAAGGATAGCAGCATTGTTTAAATATATAGTTAAAGTGAAGAATTGCTAGTTTCCTAGTTAGAACATTTGGTCAAGCTATGATTATGCGATATGGATTTGTAAAATAAGTGAATTGTTTCAAAAACTCATACCGATTTTTTCAATGTTGAAAAAAGACTTGCTGCAACAAAAAAAAAAAAAAAAAAAAAAAAAAATTAAAATTATAGGGCACCTTTTTCGTTCCCAAGATGCTCCTACCATTTTAGTTACGAGAATGCGTTTACGAACTAGTTATTATTAAAATTAAGCCAAAATTTGCCATAGATTTAGAAAGAACAGATACAAAAGAATCTTAGAAGTTACAATAATAAATATTATGTTTGGACGTTCTATGAAATGATACAAAACAAGACATACTTACTATTGACGTTGATCATCATTTGCAGCTTTTGTCGTTCAAGAAGCATACTCCTTGCTAAAAGTAACCTGTAATATGAAAAGCAAATCAAAAGAAAATTTACCTCGCCGACACATCATCGTAACTGTTTAATCTGTCTACTATATATAGCAATCACTCCCAACGTAATGAAAACGAGCGACTCATTGAGCGCATGAGTACTCACTCAACATACAATTTCATCCCTTTAGATGAACAATTGTTAAAATCCTTTGGTGGACCTCTTTCTCCTTTCATGCATCTGTAATCGTTCATCTCATGGATGCTACTGCTTCAATAAATTTCATTAGATGGCCATTATAAATTACTGGATACAATGTCAAGATCAATCTCTTTAAAACAACCTTCAGACTTTGTTTATGGCCTTCTCCATATAGCCAGGCCTTCTTCCTTAGCAGAATTCTTTGATTAATATTTTACCGAGATGTAACATAGTCGTTATTACTATATGATTTATAAAAGCATGCTATTTTTGTATAATGATATAATTTCACCGAATATTAACGCCATGTTCAGTAAGGTAACGACAGGGTTACCTATTCGTCGGTGAAGACAAGGAGTTAAATGAAGCATGCAAAGAGCCAACCATCTCATTTCGTCTTTTCTTGGTTTTTCTGCTTTACTTCATTTTTTTTTCGTTTTTGCTTCTAGTAACATTATTATTATTTAAAAAAAAAACTAATATCCAAGATTAAATGGTATCAAGCTCTTAATAACTCGTTTATAAGCCTCAATCAAAGTCAAGAAAGCCAAGGTCCATATTTAAAATAGCTAATGCGAGTTTGGTTTAAGAAACTTCCAGATGGAGTTATAAGCTCCGTTCTCGTAAGCGAGGAAAGTCTAGTGGATGATTTAAAAGATGCAATTACTCAAAAATTCCCTTTGCGGATCGGGCAACACGTTGATGCACCCGAACTGAATATTCGCCTCAATATTCCGAAAAATGGTACTAGTGATGCTCAAACTAGAGACCTGGAACCAAATGATAATATTTTATTGATTTTGAATTACTACTTTCCTCATGGCCAAACCATGGATGATGCGCTTTTGGTGAGTGCACCAGCTGTTTCCTCTGCACAAACTCAGCTACGCGGCAGCTCATTGCCTTCCACTAGGTCAAACAGTTATGAAATGACTACGAACAATAGTTTTTCTGAAAATGTATCCGCCTCCCAACTCCCCAATTCAATTTCTGAATCAAGTTCTCACCACAGACAGTCCTTCGTTTCTGAACTATCAGAGTCCCCTTCTAATAATTCCCTCCATCGAGTACCTAGTAATTCTTATTTTAGTAAGGGTTCCAGTGTGGGAACGCCTACTGGCCGTTCGGCAGGAAGAACTCGTTCAAATACACTCGTTAATAAACCAGGGGTTCTTCTTTTACCTCGCTATTCGCGGCACCAGAGCAATAGTAATCGCTCTGGTGTATCGGATCATGCTTCTAATGAAAGGTCTAGTTCTGCAGTCAATACTATCTCTAAACAGACGTCTGATACCTCTGTTGGTTCTACTGGTACAATCAAGGCAGAACAAAGTAAACCTGTAGTGACACCGAAGAGCAGCAGTGATTCTTTATTCAATAGACCTAATTCGTCTCCTTTTCAAAATACCTTGGTCAACGATGCTTCGTCTATGGACGTCGAACAGATGGTACCCAGTTCCACCGTTAATAATGCTTCGGGAGTGCCTGTACCAGAAACGTTGACCAAATCTACTGATTTACCTCAGTTGAGTTATTCTGATAATCCTAATGATAGTATAACCAACTCCCCTGTAAATGTACTAGGAACGGACTCCATGTCTGGCAAAACGACTTTTGCTAGCTTACTGGAAGGTGTTATTCCTCCTATCGAGGTTTTAATTGTTGAAGACAACATTATTAATCAGAAAATCCTTGAAGCCTTCATGAAGAAACGTAATATTTCTTCAGAAGTCGCTAAAGACGGTCCGGAAGCTTTAGAAAAGTGGAAAAAGAAATCTTTTCACTTAATTTTAATGGATATCCAACTTCCCACCTTATCAGGCATAGATGTTACCAAAGAGATTCGACGACTGGAGCGTCTTAATGCCATAGGTCTAGTTGCTCAGAAACCGTCTGAACCTATTCCTGAGAACGAGCTGTTACCACCCGACAAGTTCCAGTCGCCGGTTATTATCGTTGCTTTGACAGCTTCCAGTTTGATGGCTGATAGAAATGAAGCTTTAGCAGCAGGTTGTAATGATTTCCTGACGAAGCCTGTGTCGCTTGTATGGCTTGAAAAGAAAATTACGGAATGGGGTTGCATGCAAGCACTGATTGACTGGAACAGATGGCGGCGCTTCCGCGGTCACTAATCCCATGTGTTTAATATCTTATTATTATTTTTTCCACAAATATTGTAATAGTGGATCTATTGGGCATTGTGATATATACGCATATGTGTGTATTTCGATGTTCTATTCTATCACTTGTTAATTTTTTTGCTAATCTCTGGTTACAGACAATATCTTGATTGATTTTGCTTATAATTTATTTTTTGTTACCAAAAACTCTCGAATGGTTCACGTTTTGTCTTATTTAATGAAACAAACTGTGCTTATTGCCAAGATGACCATGGCTTGGAAAGCGTCTAATGCTTCGGGGTACTCTCATAATAGAGCAGGAATATCTTCCAAAAAAAAAACACATTAGAGAGATGATTATCAATGTACTATTCTGTTCACTGGTGGTTATTACTATTAATGTCCTTTCGATGAATTTCCCGTTCAGTGTGGTTAGTTTGACCAGGAACTTTGCATAACGAAGTTCTTGTTCTGTATATGTATTGCACAACTATCCTAATTATTTACCTTCTTAACCGTGTTACGAATCTTTCTGATCGTTTGAATTATTAGATTTTCTTTTATTTCTTCTCGTATCATATAACAATACCCTCTATAGTGATATGGTTTTAAGCAGTCTTCTATATGTTTTTGTGCCTTAATTTTGGCTTCAATTCTCCTTAGGTTTGTAATATAGTCAAAATAAACCATTGTATTAATATTATTTTACCTTTTTTTTATGCTTTGTTATTAGTATCCACAGGAGCTGCCTGAGTAAAAATGAAACGTACTAGCTAAGACCTACTCCTTTCATCCGAGCTATTAGTACTACCTGATATACACTTGGTTTAAAGGCTTCCCTGTGCTACAAAATTACATACAGAATTTTATTTCGTTAGTGATTTCTGAATAAAGGGCTTAACGTTGGTGGTATGGCTGAAAAAAGAAAAGTTGAGGATGAATTGATTCCTTCTAGTAATGAACATGTTAAGAAGGTTGCTACTGTAACAAGTGTCAGTGAGGACGCTATTCGAGAGAGGATCGTGATATTACTTGGGTATTCAGGATTAGGTTACCATGGAGTTCAAATAAATGAGCCCTTGAAGACGATTGAAGGGGACATTGTACATGCTTTACAGGATTTGGGATATCTCAAAAAAGAGAAAATAGACGAAAACAAACTTGTGATTGCCAGGTCTGCAAGGACGGACAAAGGAGTCCATACACTTGGAAACCTTGTTTCTATCAACGTGTTTATACAAGATTCAGTAAATCCATCAGTGCTGCGTGAACAGCTGAATGAAAAATTAAACAGACAAATACGCATATGGGATGTATTCAAGGTACATAAGTATTTTAATCCAAGAATTTCTTGCGAGTCCCGAACATATGAATATATGATACCGTCGTTTGCATTGATTCCACCAAAGGAATCGACGCCTTTTTTTAAAAAATCACAAAAAAATTTAAATAGGGAGCCGGAAAATGAATTGGAAAGTCTATTGTTGTCTTCTACTGCCAAAGCTAGAAGTTTTTGGGAACAAGTAGAAAATAAACGAGAGGAGCTTAAGAAAGAGTTCGAAAAGGATCCTGAAACATTTACCAATCCATTTACTGGAATTTTTCCAGAAAAGCCTATCCCTGCTCACATAAAAATCCCAAATGAAGCTAAACTAAAAAAAGCTCAAAAACTGGCCGACCATTACTATTGCATGCACTACCGAATCTCTGAAGACCGCCTTCAAATACTTCAACAAATCCTTCAATTATATTTAGGCAGACACAATTTTCATAACTTTACAGTCACTCAGGACCCGAAGGCATCTAGCAACTATCGGATTATTGAATCAATTGAATGTGGTAAACCATTCGTCTATGAGCAGTGGGAGTGGATTCCTGTAACGATTCGCGGAAATTCTTTTATGTTAAATCAAATACGTAAAATGATGGCTCATGCTCTTATGGTGATACGAAGTTGCGCAAGGTCGAATGTCCTTACAAAGTCTCTTTCACCGGACGTATCTATGAACATTAGCAAGAGTCCTGGGCATGTGTTACTTTTGAAGGATATAAACTATTCCTCTTACAACAAGTCGCTACAGAATGAGAATCATTTCCAAATAGATCTTGTAAAATATAGAGACCAAATGGAAAAACTTAAGGAAGAAGTCATATACCCAGATATCATCCACTTGGAAAAGAAAGAAAAAATGTAAGTGTTGTTTTATTTATTTAACTAATAATCGCAGGTTTTTTAGTTTTTTGGCGTATGCTGATCAGCATACAAAAGGTCAGTTTGATTATTTGTTTCAGTAATTGCCTCTTTCAGACCATTTTTATTTTTGTTTTATTTTTATTTTTGATAAAGGATATTCCATTTTCTTTCTGTTTGACGCACCAAAGAAGAAATTGCAAAAAATCTTTTTTTTTGTTTGTTTATTTACATCTATTATCATTTTATACATACCCTACCCTAAATCCTTATATGATTTTTACTACATATAGGCTCAACGCTCTTCCTGCTTTTACCAACTACCCAGTGTAAATACTGAGCAGATATTTTATATACAATAAGTATTTCTGTTTAACCGCATTTAGAAGAAAAAGTATGAAATAGGAAGTTAAAACATGTTTGATGTAGAAATTGATGAGTGAAACCTAAAGCTAGTTTATTCACCTTTACAAGGATTGTTTCTTACCTTGTAAAGGTTGCTAAGACCTAGCAAGAAAAAATTGATGATATATCGGATTGCTTGGCAGTTCTATTCAAGTTAGTCCCTACGAGCATCAATACATGATATTCAAAATATGTTGGAATTAATTCAGTAATTTGCATTAATAAAACTTGCAGTGTTTTAACAAAGTTCGAGCTATGATAGTTGTATTCTAATAGAGGTTAAAAATTTCTTACATATTGCAGTTGACTTGGGAAAGTTGGGAAAGCTGGATTATAAATGTTCTATATCTTTTATTTTATTTTATTTTATTCCTTCATGTTGTATAAAGAAATCCAATCCAAACGTTGGTATAAGTGTAATAAAGCAAGTAGTAGCGACTAGGTTTTTGTTTACGCGAACTGACCAGCACTTGTTGCTTACACTAACACCCGTAGTTCGTCCCTTCCCACCATCGCAATTATAACAAGAAAACGGGTTGATTGCTTGTTTTCTTTACATTCATTTACTGTATTATATTCAAGCTGGCCCAAAAAACCTTGGAATTCGGGGTTTTTCTTATTGACGACGCCGATTATAGCAGTTATTGAAATTGTACAATTACGGCTTGCTTTGTGAGGAAACAATCAAGCTTGGGGTTTTTAATACGACGCTCATTTTCAATCAATGTCCAGAAATGTAGAAAGTAGGCAAAATGCTCCAAGGGACTCTGAAGACTCATTATCCTCAGACATTACATTTCATGGAACAAATGGTCCGCAGGAAAATCCGTTTTTAGGAAGAGATGAGTTTGAGGATATCTTCGGTGCTGAAAGCCAGTTCATTTCTTCTGGACAGGACTTGAGAAATCCTTTTTTGAGCGATGACAGACCAGGCCGTGTAGATCAAATAAATGACCCTAACAATGCCTACGTTAGAACAACAGGTGCTGATGTACGAAAAATTGAAATTCCTTTGCGTAATTTTGCAGATCCGATTCAAAACGATGACTACATACCTCGACGACGACGTGGCTTTTTTGAACAATTGAAATCTCTAAAGCAGGTCTTTAAGAAAAAAGAAAAACATATTGATCCTAAAGAACTGGGTCCTAGGATCATTACCATTAATGACTACACTGCTAATCATTTCTCAAACAATGTCGTCTCGACGTGCAAGTACAATGTAGCTAGTTTCCTTCCTAAATTCTTACAGGAGCAGTTTTCCAAATACTCGAATTTGTTCTTTTTGTTCACTGCTATTATCCAGCAAATACCTGGTATAACACCCATGAACCGTTATACAACAATCGCTCCCATGCTCATCGTTTTGTCTGTATCCGGAGTAAAAGAGGTCATGGAAGACATTAAACGAAAACAACAGGATGAAGAAACGAATACCTCTGTTTGTCATGTTATGCAAGGTACTGGATTTATAGAAAAGCAATGGAAAGAAGTTCAAGTTGGTGATATCGTGAAGGTCGTCTCTGAGACCTTCTTTCCAGCTGATCTTATCCTGCTGTCTTCTTCCGAACCAGAGGGCCTTTGCTATATTGAAACAGCTAACCTTGACGGCGAAACAAATCTCAAGGTAAAACAAGCGCTTCCTGAAACCTCTAGTTTGTTGAAGCCAATCGAGCTAAGTCAGTTAGAAGGTACAGTCAAGTCTGAACAACCAAACAATAGTTTGTATACTTACGATGCAACAATAAAACTTCTTCCCGATAATCGTGAGTTACCCCTGGGCCCAGAACAATTATTGCTTCGTGGTGCTCAGCTTCGCAATACACCCTGGGTTTATGGCATAGTTACTTTTACTGGGCATGAAACCAAACTCATGAAAAATACAACGAAAACTCCCATAAAACGTACTGCCGTTGAAAAGCAGGTCAATACACAGATTCTCTACCTCGTACTAATTTTTGTTTTTCTTTGTTTTTGTTCTTCACTTGGTTCTCTTATACAGCGATCTGTTTATGGTTCCGCTTTCTCATACTTGCATATTACAGCTTCTCGTGGAGGTGAATTTTTCAAACAGCTTCTGACATTTTGGATTTTGTACTCCAACCTTGTCCCTATATCTCTTTTTGTCACTTTTGAATTGGTCCGTTATGTACAAGCCCAACTTATTAGCAGTGACCTCGATATGTACAACGAAGAAACAGATGTACCTGCTGCGTGCCGTACATCTTCATTAGTAGAAGAATTGGGTCAAGTCAGTTATATTTTTAGTGATAAAACCGGTACATTGACTCGTAATCAAATGGATTTCCGTCAATGCTCTATCGCTGGCTTAGCTTATGCCGATGTCGTACCAGAAGAGCGCCAATACTCAGAAGATTTGGATTCTGACATGATTGTATATGACTTTTCGACATTAAAGAAAAATCTTGATTCCAGCAATGGTGATTTGATTCATCACTTTTTGTTAGTACTCTCAATTTGTCAGACCGTTATTCCCGAATATGATGAAACATCTAATTCAATAAAGTACCAAGCTTCATCTCCTGACGAAGGAGCATTAGTGAAAGGAGCCGCTAGCATCGGTTATGAATTCCTAGCTAGAAAGCCACGATATGTTACAGTTAAATTGTTTGATAAGGAAGAAACTTATGAGTTGCTTAACATTTGCGAATTTAATTCCACGAGAAAGAGAATGTCCATAATTTTTCGTTCTCCTGATGGGAAGATCCGACTCTATATTAAAGGTGCTGATACTGTCATTCTAGACAGACTTGCTGGTGAATGTCCCTATCTCAAAACTACAATTCACCATCTAGAGGATTATGCAACTGTTGGTTTGCGAACATTATGTATAGCTATGAGGGAAATCTCTGATTCTGATTATCAAAGGTGGTCGGTTATTTACGAAGCAGCTTCAACGAGTTTAGTGGACAGAGCCCAGAAGCTGATGGATGCTGCAGAGATGATTGAGAAAGATTTAACTCTTCTTGGTGCTACAGCTATTGAGGACAGGTTGCAAGATGGGGTGCCTGATACAATCTCAACTCTTCAAACAGCTGGTATAAAGATTTGGGTATTAACAGGAGATAGACAAGAAACCGCTATCAATATTGGAATGAGCTGTAAGCTTATTGATGAGGATATGGGCCTAGTCATTGTAAACGAGCAGACAAAGGAAGCTACAGCTGAAAGCATTATGTCTAAGCTTTCTTCCATATATAGAAATGAGCATAACAGTGGAAGTATAGAGTCAATGGCACTAATTATTGATGGTGTTTCTCTTACTTTCGCTTTGGAACGTTCACTAGAGCGTCGCTTCTTCGAACTCGCCTCTCTATGCCGTGCAGTTATATGTTGTCGAGTTTCTCCATTGCAGAAAGCACTAGTAGTGAAGATGGTAAAACGAAATACAGATTCCATCTTGTTGGCTATCGGTGATGGTGCAAACGACGTTCCTATGATCCAAGCTGCGAATATCGGCGTTGGAATAAGTGGAATGGAGGGTCTACAAGCTGTTAGAAGTTCAGATTTCTCTATTTCTCAGTTTTGTTATTTGAGGAAGCTGTTGTTGGTCCACGGATCATGGTGCTATCAACGCCTTGGTAAATTGATTCTTTTTTCGTTTTACAAGAATGTGGCTCTCTATATGACTCAATTTTGGTTTGCCTTTTGTAATGCCTTTTCTGGACAAGTTACTTACGAGTCTTGGTCAATTTCGTTATACAATGTTCTTTTTACAGTTCTGCCTCCAATTATTATAGGAATTTTTGATCAGTATGTAAGCGCAAGCCAGTTATACCAATATCCCCAACTCTATCAACTAGGACAACGTGACGAGTTTTTTAATTTAAAGCGATTTTGGGCATGGATTGCGAATGGGTTCTATCATTCATTACTTTTATTTTTATGTTCCCTAGCTGTATTCGCGTACGATGGCCCAAATTCTAATGGACCCACTTCTGGTCACTGGGTTTGGGGCACCACTCTGTATGCAATGATTTTAGCTACCGTCTTAGGTAAAGCCGCTCTTGTTACTAATCACTGGACCTATTACATGCTTATTGCTACTCTAGGATCTTTTGTCTTTTGGTTGGTTTTCATGCCTATATATGCTGTGGTTGCGCCAGCCATTGGGTTTTCAAAGGAATTCAAGGGCATCATACCTTATCTGCATGGAAATTTAAAATTTTGGGCTTCAATACTTGTATTTCCTACATTTGCCTTGATGCGTGACTTCGTTTGGAAGTATTCGTCGAGAATGTACTACCCCGAAGAATATCATTATGTTCAAGAGATACAAAAGTATAATGTTACAGATTATAGACCACGAATGATTGGATTTCACAAAGCTATCCGAAAGATTCGGCAGATGCAAAGAATGCGCAAACAAAGAGGATATGCTTTTTCACAAGGAGAGGAAGATCAATCCAGAATTCTCAATGCTTACGATACAACTCATGTACGAGGTGCTTACGGAGAAATGCGCTAAGAGTATCAAAATAGAAAACAAGAAATGCGTGCCAGCTTCTTTCCTTTTATTTTCTAGATTATGTTTTAATGAGTTTTCTATATGTTTGCTTGTAATAATTAAAAATTACTCGTTAAATAAACCTTCGATATCATTTTTAGACTAACAACCCTTTTACGAACGATAGGAGCCTATACATAGAGACGCATTTGTTCCTCCGAAACCAAAACTGTTTGTTAATGCATAATTCACAGTTTTCAATTTTGTTTTATTGGGAACGTAGTCGCACTGATCTTCTTCTGGAATGTCGGTTTTTTGAAAATTTAGAGTTGCAGGAATAGTTTTCTATGGTTATTAGTAAAGTGTTAAAAAAGAGTACATACTTCATGTATAGCCAAAATTGTAAAGATTGATTCAACTGCTCCAGCAGCTCCTAAGAGATGTCCAATGGAGCCTTTAGAGCTTGAAACTGAAACTGAGTGAGGGTCAATGCCATCGTCTTTCAAGAGAGTTGCAATGGCTTTACTTTCGGAGGCGTCACCGAGCTTTGTAGAGGTAGCATGGGCGTTTATGTAATCCAATTTTCCAGAAGATACATTCGCATTCTTCAGAGCCTTTTTCATAGCTGCGTAGGCGGATGAACCATTCGGATTTGGTGCAGTGATATTATAGTTATCAGCAGATTGACCGAAGCCGAGGACTTCAGCATAGATTTTGGCGTTTCTGCGCTTAGCATGCTCAAGTTCTTCGAGCACCAAGGCTCCAGCACCTTCTCCGATGACAAAACCATCTCTTTCCGAGTCAAAAGGACGAGAGGCTTTTGACGGATCGTCATTAAACTTCGTAGATAAACTCCTGGCTTTGCTAAACCCAGCTAAAACCAATGGATTGATACATGACTCAGAGCCACCAGCTAATATTACATTGGCTTGGTCAAGTTTGATTAAGTTGTAAGCATCACCGATGGCGTGGCAGCCAGCAGCACAGGCAGTGGTTACAGTATGGTTGCAGGCTCGAAAGCCATACTGTTGAGAAATATATCCTGCTGGCATATTCATTAGGACTTTTGTAATAATTCTAGGAGAGATCTTGCGTATCCCGCTATTGATAAAAACGTTGTTTTGCTGAATGGCATCTTCCAAATTTCCCATTCCGGTCGCAAAACAGACGCCCTACAAAATTAATATTAGCAAAAACTATTTCAGCCAATTTTGAATTCAACACCTGACCCGTAAGGTACTCCTTCGTAAACACAGAACATACAGTAGCTTCTTTTTCTTCGTCACTAATATCTATCCATCTAGCATCAGAGAGAGCTTCAGAAGAAGCCGCTAAAGCAAATTGAGTAAATTCTGCAGTTTCACGTAGTTTGCTTGAATTAATGTAAGCTTGGGGATTCCATTCGCCTTCATTGGTGCCTCTGGGTACCAAGCCTGCTATTTGACTTGGCAGGGATTCAAACCTTGGATTATCTTTTAAAGAAGCAATACCAGATTTTCCTTGAAGTAAGCCATTCCATGTCCTTTTTATTCCACAACCAAGAGGAGTTACGGCTCCTAATCCGGTAATTACCACTCGCCTCATTTTTTTTTATTAACAAATTTAAAAGCTGTTTTAAATGAATTAAAATGCAACAGTCTTTATTAGAAAAAGGGGCATGACAAGCTAATAAGTCGAATAGTAGATACTTGTAATCCTTCATGCAGGTATCGATTCTTTCAATTGCAAAGATTCATGTAGGTAGACTTTTCATTATTCATCTGTTTATTATGAATGAAAGATAGATGAATTGTATAAATTAAATCAAAACTGGCTTTTGTTAATATTCAGTTTATTGATGAAAAACATTCTTGTAACGATCGTTGAAATGGAAACAGCATCCGCTTAAGTCTTCCTGCTAAGGGTATGTTTTTTTATTTCAATCATAAAACAAAAATGCTCTTTGCTTACTGAATTACATTGTTTAAATATATACAGATAATTAATGATTTGCATTATTAGGACTTATTGAAATACGACAATAAAAAAGAAAACAACAATAAAAAAGATATGTGAATTAGCACACCAAGAACCTTTTCATCCCATAATAAACTTATACAAAAGTAAAGGTACGAAGCCTAAATATAAATAAAAAGACTTACAAGAAATATACATATAACAAATAAATATCCAATAGATTGGAACATCATTTGAAAGGACCAGTCTTCACTTTATTTTCATTGCGAATAGGGACACCATTGACGGAGTCGAGTTGCTTATAAAACTGAACGACTTTCGGATGGGCCATAACTTTGGACGGAGAAAAATTAAGTATTTGTAGTCCTTTTTGTGAAGTAGCTCTTGAAAGTGCAACGTAAGCCTGTCCTTTTTCAAATACACGACCCAAGTCTACTTTAACTCGGTCAAGGGTTTGACCCTGTGCCTTGTGTATGGAAATGGCATACGCTAGAATTAAAGGAATTTGACTCCTTGATGCCTGAATTTCACCGTTTGGTAACTCTATGTTCCAGGTTTCTCTTTGTACCACTATGGTTCTCTCACCGCCATTAGCAAGTTTAAAGCGTACAAGAGGCCATTTTGTGGAAATAGAAGAAGCTTTCTTCATAGACAACAGCTTATGTTTCTTCTGCTTTACATCTGGCAAATCATACGGAAGCACATCCAAAGTATCGTATTCAAAAGGATTTCTTCCTTGCATTTCAGCATCCTTCTTTTCTATTTGATATGTTTCTTCGTCAATAAAACCAATTACTTTCCCTAAAGATCCATTTACCAACTGGTCATCGATATTTTTTATAAGCATCACCTGTGCGTTTATTTTTAATACAAGCTGTGCAGGAGCCATACAGTTTTGAAGTAACTTGTCTCGAAATTCTCGGTCCCGGACGGTACCGCTGTCTATAGAAGTGAACGTTATTGGATCTTGATGAATCTGTTGCATACGCATTCCATTCGACCGCTCGACTTCATTACGAGTCGGAAACAGCTCAGTCGGAAGAAGTCCATCTGCGTAGTTGATTTCTCTACTCAGAAACCTAAACTTTCTAACCGAGTTTTCCGATAACCTTCCAAGGCGCAACTCATTGAGCATGTTAACAAACTCTTCATCTTTTTGTCGGAACACATGAGTTAAGCCAATGGTATAATCCAAAGCAGTTTTCCAAGTATTCGATTCAAAACAGAACTTTGCTTCTTTTCCTGAGTCAGGAACGGGTGGAAGTTGGAAGAAATCTCCTGTCAAAACCAATTGTATGCCTCCAAAGGGTCTAGCATCTTTTCGTATAACACGACCTACTTCTTCCAATTTGTCCATTAAATCCGCATCAACCATAGAAACCTCATCAATAATGAGAACTTTTGTTCGAAGCCAACGGGTCATACTTTTTTTGTTCTTCTTTATTTTAGATACAAGAAAATCAACGGATTCTCTTGCTAAGCCGGCACCTGCAAAGGAGTGTAATGTGACGCCGCCAATGTTACAAGCTGCTAGTCCTGTGGAGGCCGTAACAGCAACACGGTCTGTTTGCTTTCGATACTTCATCTTTAGAGCTTCAATTATCTTCCTCAAAAGTACTGATTTACCAGTACCAGCGGAACCGGTAAAAAAGATGCTATGTTGTTGTTCAACAACCATATCTAGAATTCGTTTTTGTTCGTCTGAAAGGAAAATACTGGGAACAGCTCGTTTCCGGCTAGGATCGGAAACAGTCCTGAACAAAGAAGAATCAACAGGTTTCGAAGCAACGGTAGAAGCAGGCGCCTTTTTGGTGATACGCCCGTTTCGCGTTGCTAAGCCAGTCTTGGGCATGCTATCAAGCGAAACACTCCTGGTACCAGGGGACGCTTTTTGGGAATCATTTGCAACGATTCCTTGTTGTGATTGTACTTTGGGATTCTCTTCCTTTGGTGGGTTTGGATCACCATATCGAAATGGGTCTAGAGCCCATGGAAGAGTACGAGAACGTTTAATGGGATGTCTTTGTTGCGAACGAGCTGACTGCGTTTGAATTGTGGAATTTCTGGAGGCCTCTTCCACCAATCGAGGGAGAGTAGAAGTAGTTCGATTGGCATTTGCAATCATAGATCCAGTTAACTTTGTATGCTCGACGGGAGAGGAAGACCAGGGTATTGCTTTTTGATCAATTTCCGACTCAACAGCGAAATCGTCGTCTATATCATTTTCATCTATGTAAACCCCGTGTAGTGTATCAGTAGCCGCACTTTCGTGAGGTTCAGGGGGATTGAAAATCGGCAACGCTGGATCTGAAGAATCAAAAGCATCATTTTCATCTAAATTTTGAAGAATTGTGTTTGAAAACTCTCTCTTCAAAGGAGCAGTTGGATTCGGCGAAGGATGGTGACCAGCTTTGGAAGCTGGAGCAGAAGTTTGAAAACCATCGGAAGAATGATTGTGTATATCTCTAATTATGGATGAGTTTTCCTTTGCTTGAGAATATGCCAGACTATTTTTTTGTTGAGCTCTTTGAAACATTCTGGGAAGGTTGAACCGAAAAGAACGACTATGCTTTACAAAAGAAAGGCCAGAAAACATTCATAAAATGTAATTTAAGATGGATTCTCCACTACGAGCACTGCCTCATTCAAAGAAGCAACAAGAGGGTTTAGTCAACAGAGCACAAAATTTCAGAAGCTCAATTCTATGAAGGAATCCAAATTTGACCAGACAAACTATTTGGGAAAGAGTTAGGATCGTTTGAAATATGTTTTACAACAAAAAACCAAAGGCCACGGCGACTTTGTCCTAGAAAGATGTATGAGCAACCTTTTCCATTCGTCGACGACAATTCCTTCTAGGAACTTCCAGTACGGATAAAAAGTATTTCTTAAACTTGGATGAACACAATGAAGTACCTGTTAATTTTAAAATAAATTTGACAAAACGAGCATCAGCTCTTCTGAGGTGCGTGGATAAAAGCAAGTACGAGACAACGTGTTCGTGTCGCGTTTGAAGAACACGGATTGGTTTAGGTAAACAAACGAAATAATGAACACCAAAAAAAAGAATAAGAAAAAGAAAAAGCAGTGGATAACTAATCAAGTAAACAACGAAGAAGAGAAAGAAAGATGATTTGAAATGATTCTTGCTTGAAATATTACATATTTAAGATGTTAATAATACAAGGAATATCACAGGAAAAAAAATTGTGGTAAACAATTATAATTTATTTGAATAATGGTAAGAAAATGATGAGAAACAGTAAAATACTATTGGCATAAATAAAGACCGGTACGATGCAACGAACCTTTACATGGTTCATAGAAAAAAAAAACAGGCCGAAGAAGTGGGAAAATCGGTCAAGGAAAAAGCCCTTTTTGAATGTGGAACCGAAGAAGGATTAAAGCCAAGCAAACTCCAAGGATTGGAATGCATTCTTCAAAATTTGAGATTTATAAATATTGAATAATTTATACTCGGATGAAGTAAAGCTTGCACAGGTACTTGCGAGAAGTCAAACTGAACAGTATTAAATTAAAAAGGAAAATCGAAAAAATGAGTGGAGAAGAGAACGGTATTGGAGAAAGTGTCCTGAAAAGATTCCAATAAACAAACAAAAAAGAGAAAAACTGCGATAACGATGGCAAACAGTAGCAGCATGCATGGTACGAAATTGGAAGATTAGAAAAAAAAATTAATAGAGGATTTAAGTTAGTAAAGAAACAAAAAAAAGAGCAAACAACAACTATAGCAGGATTAATTGACTTTTTTGACATCCAAGGTATTATTAGCGCCTCTAATTTTACGTTCAATCATACTCTCAGCCTTGGGGGCCATGTAAGTACCCAAGACGTGGTCCCAGAAAGTAAAGAAAGGCTGAGAAAAGTTCTTTTGGAAACCATAAGGTTGGTGATGAAGATCGTGGTAACGGGCATTATTGGCAAAGAAGATTTGAAGAGGGTCGTAAGGAAAGAGGTAACCACAGTGATCATCGACGGTTTTCAAAGTAGAAAGGGTGAAGAAAACGATGGCTTGGTTGGGGCTCAAGCCGGCGACAAGATAGGCGACACCAGCGCCAAAAGTGTCCAAAATCAAACCTTCAAAGGGGTGGTTGTACAAGGCGCCCATGGCATAAGGGACTTGCAAGCGATGATGATGAGCATGGATCATGTTGTACAACTTTTTGTTGTAGTGCAAGTATCTGTGCCAAAAGTATTGCCAAGTATCGATTATGAAAAAGGCAAACATGTATTGGAACAGAGGGACGAGGCAATTGTAGGCAAGAGAAGGAAGGAAAGGGAGAGCTTGGACGAGAGATGAAAAGTACTTTTCGAAAAACGATTGATAGCGCAAGAGTTGCAATTGATGGTTTACGGGTTCGGGATAACCTTCAAAAATGGCCAAAGCGACACCGACGACGATTTCACAGAATTGTTGAAAGACGACGGCACGGAAGACTGCCAGATGGGGAACACGGTTGCGCTTTGTAACCTCTTCGGGAGAATGGATACGGTATTTTTCGAAAAAAGGCGAGTTGAGCCAATGCAGGAAAGCAAAGAATCCAGAGGCAATCCAATACACCAAGATAGGCGAGAGCAAGGAAGCCGTGACTGGATTCCAGGTAGTGAGCATTTCAAAGGTCGTGACCATGGTGAAGATGAGCAACGAACTAGAAAAAGAAAAACCAAAGAAAAGTAAAGAACAGGTCAAGCCAAAAGCCAAACTGAAATGGAAATGGAAGCGTTCAAGCAAAACGCACTTGCGAAATCAAGAAAGCAAAAAAAAAAAAATTCTTGTTCAATCAAAAACAAGAAACGTTTGTATTTTTCTTTGCAAGCAACGTTTCTTTCAATAAAAGTCGTTGTTGCTAAAGTCAGATGGTTTCTCTCAACAAAGTATTATATAACGAGCAAGAAGGTTCTTTAAAATTTTTACTGTACTTTATCAACTATCGTTAAACTACGATAACAAAAACCACAGTACTACAAAGAGGCATCTTCCTCCATACCAATAGCACATATATATAAACCTTCTCAATTATCAGATGAGAAAGCACAACACCTGGACCATCGGAAGACACGGATTCCGATATCGCATGATATTATAAATAACGCAATTCTAGAAAGCATCCGCATATGAGTTAAAGATGATTACTGAGCCATGACAAATGCGTTATTTACGAGAAAAAGAGAAAAGAATAGTATGATTTATCATAGAAGAAATATTATAGGAAGATGCTTAAGAAAAGAAACTACTATTGTTTGTAAAGAAGATGAATTGAGAGGGAAAAATGCCGATGAATAAATAAAAGGAAAGAAAACCATAAACAAATCATCAGTTTTATCGAATGTTTTTGTTGAAAAATCGCATGTTTTTTTTTTATTTTTTCTCCTGAAAATCGCACGTTTTCTACGGATGCGGTTGGTGGAAGGGTGAGGCGTAAATCTCGTTTAAGATAAGCTTAGTTGTTTCTACAGAGAACCGAGACATAAAAGAATCGCTTAGGGAAAAGAAAAGAAAAGAAGTAGAATGCTACGAACAGAATTGGCGAGTTTGCAGGCTTCAACCTTGGGAGATGTCAGTCTTGTATATCAATGGTTTCCTTGCTTGTTGGTTATTAGAATAAAAAATGATTGAAATATTTTCTTGTATATCTTGCTTATTTCATGCTTCTCAAGATATGTCTCATTTCTATCAAGGACGTTCCTCTCTCTGTCTCTCTCTGTCTCTCTCTCTCTGTGTTTATCTCTCTGTGTGAGTGTTTTTCCTGTTGTTTACATTCGTCTTGTTTATTTCGCAAATGTTACTTTGCACGTTACTTCTTCTGCTACTTCTTATCTCTTTTCTTCAACCTTATCGTATAACCTTCACCTATCAACAACTCGGCCCCTCTCTTATCATTATCGCATTTTCACCTCGTTGGTTATGATTTCCCGTGGCGCTAACTTTTTGTTTCTTTTTGTGACTTTGTACTCCATTTTGACTCTTTTTCAAGGAACACTCTGCGTCATCTTCCGAACCCTCCACCCAAAACTCTTATCTGAAGTCACAATGATCTCTATGATAGTTCAGATGCAAGATTGTCTCTTTGTATTTAAATTTCCGCTCGTCCTTCCCTGCGAGCCCTTTGTTATTGTCGGTTCTTTTCTTGACAATTTGTCGACAACCCCATTGTTTATTTCTTTGGTAAAGCCATAAAAGAGTCATCATCTCTTGTGTCTTTTGTTGTCGTTGTTGGGGTTTCATTTAAAGAAAAACATAAACAAGACATAAAATCTTAGAAAATAAAGTAAAAAGTATATCACGAATAAAGAAGGATCTCTTTTCCCTCTTTTCTCGTTTCTCTTGGCTTTACCTACCCATTGCCATTGTCCTTGTCTTTTCTCGTAGGCGTTGTGTTGCTTGGTTTAGTTTGCTTCCAAAAGGTTGGACTGACGTTTGGTGGGTTTGTTTATTTGTTTATTTGATTTTGTGCATGTGTGTAGACTCTTTTATAGACTAAAAGATCATTATTATTTTTTCAAGGTTTCTTTTTCGGCGTTGTCTTTTTTTGATTGTTGTTTGATATCTGTTGTTGTTGTTGTTGTTTTTTTTGGTGACATTGGAAAAGCGTAATTGCTTCTCGACAACTTGGTATTCTTTTTCATTGATATTGCCTTTTTTTTTCCGTTTCCTTTTCATATTTTAATCTTTCTTTCGTTTATTTTCTTGACTCTTATTGACAAGGAATTAATATGAAAGTCTTGCAACGCTTGAGCGAATGGATCGAAGAAATCGATTTTAAAATCGCTCGTAGTCCCGTCGGTCGTTGGTTCCGCCTTGAAGGATGTGGACATGTCCGTGAACGTAGGGGAAGTCGTTTTAGTGTTGAACTCCGTGCTGGATTAACTACCTTTTGTGCTATGGCATACATCCTTGCTGTCAATGCTTCTATCATGATCGACACTGGGGGTCCTTGCGATTGTACCGCTTCTGATCCAAAACAATGCGACACCGATCAAGCCTTCTTGGCATGCAAACAAAACTTTCATCGTGATGTTGTCACCGCTACTGCTGCTATCTCTTGTTTATCTTCTGTCTGTATGGGTGTCTTTGCCAATATGCCCGTCGGAATGGCTCCTGGTATGGGTTTAAACGCTTATTTCGCTTATCAGGTAGTTGGTTATAACGGTTCTGGTCGTGTTCCTTACCGTGAAGCATTGTTGGCCGTTTTTGTCGAAGGCTTCATCTTTACGGGTCTTACCATCATCGGCCTTCGTCAATGGCTCGCCCGAGCCATCCCTGCTTCTCTCAAATTTGCAACAGGTGCTGGTATCGGTTTGTATTTAACCATCATCGGCCTCACCCCTAGTGCTGGTTTAGGTGTCGTTGGCCATTCCGCTTCCGACATTGTTGGCCTTGGTGGTTGTCCTCCAGAATATCTTTCCGCCGATTATACATGTGATGGCCATGAGCTGCAATCCGCTCGTATGTGGGTCGGAATCTTTTGCGGTGGTGTCTTTACCGCCATTCTCATGATGTATCGCTTTAAAGGTGCTGTCCTTGCTGGTATTGCCCTCGTCACCATTGCCAGTTGGCCTCGTAGATCAAAAATTACCATGTTCCCCCATACCGACAGCGGTAACTCCGACTTTGACTTCTTTAAAAAAGTCGTTAGCTTCCGTAAAATTAATAGTATCTTGGTCGCCCAAAATTGGAAAGTCACTGGTGGTCAATTTGCCGTCGCTTTGATCACTTTCCTTTACGTCGATATCATGGATACAACAGGTACTTTGTATTCCATGGCTCATTACGCTGGTCTCGTTGATCAACGTACCCAAGATTTTGAAGGGTCCGCCGTTGCTTATCTCGTCGATGCTTTGAGTATTTCTATTGGATCGCTTTTCGGCGTTTCTCCCGTCACTGCTTTTATCGAGTCTGGTTCTGGTATTTCTGCCGGTGGTAAAACCGGCCTTGTTGGTGTTGTCATTGGTATCTGTTTCTTCATTTCTCTCTTTTTCGCTCCCATCTTTTCCAGTATTCCCGTTTGGGCAACTGGCTCAACCTTGGTTCTCGTAGGTAGTTTGATGATGAAGAGTTCGGCTCTTATCAACTGGAGTTATCTTGGCGACTCTATTCCTGCATTTATCACCATTGCTTTAATGCCTCTAACCTATTCCATTGCTTATGGTTTAATTGCAGGTATCATTAGTTACATCGTTCTGAATACCATCATTTACCTCATCGACAAGGCAAGCGCGGGAAAAATTACTCCCGGCGATTACGATCAGAAGGAACCATGGACTTGGCGTGTCGAGGGTGGTCTATTACCTCCTTGGGTCAAGCGACTATGCCATGGTGAGAAGCGGTTTTGGGAAGACCCAACTGATCGCAAATTGGATGAAAATATGGACTTAGAGATGAGCCATACAACTTCATCTATGACTGAAAAGAAAACCAATGTTGATTCTGTTGTTTTGAAAGAAACAACTGCTGATCACCTACCTTTGGACGAACAAATTGGTGAAAGTGAAAGTATCCGGGAAGTGCGTCATGATACTCCCTATGCTGGTATCGACACTGAAACACGTATGCGCATTTAAATACTTTGGTGGGTTTGTGGTTTTTATATTCTTTTTCAGAAATGGGAATTCTTAATCTTTTTGTGTAATTCTAATTATTTATACATAGTCTATTTTTTATAACAAATTTAAGTGGTACATTCTAAAAAAGGCGTTTTACTCATCTCAAAAGGTCAATTCATTATAGAAAGAGGTTTGTAAAAAAGATAATCAAATCGTAGAAAAAACTGTACTTCCTCTCGAGTTCCTTGTATTAATCCAACGGAATGACATCGTCTAGTAAAGATGCTACTGCTTCGCGCTCATCAGAAGGTGCATTCATCGGTTTCATATAATCTGGTAAAGGAGAAGAAAAATCTTTGGTAGCCGTGTTTATTTCATCCTCCATTGCAGCATCATGAAGTAAAAATGGTATCTTAGCATTATGGGGATACTCTTCTACCAGCATATGCGGTTCTATTGACCAAGTCAAGCTTAAATCTTGTAACGAAAATGAAGAATCATGATGCTGCCTTTTTTCCATTAGTCTATCCAGAATGGAAAAGCACTTTGAAAAAATATTTTTTAAATGGTTTTCCAGTCCCGCCAATATAACATCAGGAACAGACTTTTCAATTCCTCCTAGTAAACCATTCTCTAATGCTATTGCAGTGATGCGTTCTTTGAGGGAATCAGCATCAGGAACTTCCAAAGTTTCAGAAGCAAGCGGAGCAACATAACCGGCTTTAATATCATTAACAAACACTAAAATATATTAGAATAAAAAAACACACAAATAATCCACCATTGCTGATACTTACCAGAATTTAACTTATCACGAGATACTGGAATTTTAGGGAGTTTGGCAATTCTCGTTTCCAGTAGCAGTCCAGGAAGATGTGGTTGAAGCCCATTATTTTCCTAAAGAATGAGAAAATTAGCATAAGTAAACGAATAAGGAACCACATGGACAAAGAGTCCAAACGTTCTATCAAGACTTACCTTTAAAACTGCCTTAATTCGGGCCCTGTCTTTCGAACTTAAAGAGAGAATTATTTTTTTCAAATTTTTAGCTTGTAAATTATGCGAAGTAAACTTTTTGTGAACGAACAAAGCTCCATCAGATCGCTTTCGTTTCATCCATGGCAATTTATTCACAGCAGGTTTTTCTGATCTTTGCAAATCTCTGATTATGCTTAAAATTATTCGGTTATGCAATTGAACTAATTGTTAGAATTGAACCATTTTTCAATAGCTACTTACCAAATCTCGAATTATTAGAGTATTTGGACAGCACATTATTTAATTCTTTGCGACTCAATTGACCAACGATAAAATCTGTAACGCACATAGTATACGCTTCATATTCATTTCCAAGTAAACTTTGAAGCTCAGAGATAAAATCCAGTAAATCCCTGGACTCCCCATCACCATTTGAAGGTTTTTGAACAGCTGTTTCAACTCTTTCGACGGATGTTTCTGTCATTCTGGTATAATGAATGCAAGTTTTTTGTTACAAAAAAAAAAAAGAAATGCTAAATTGCTGCTTCCAATTTCCAGTTACACACTTCGTTTTCCATCAACAAACGGCTTGAATCAAAGATCGTTCGCTTATACTCCAAAGACAAGAGAGAAAACCAACCATCAGCTTCTCTTTTTATAACCCTCTCTGTGCATCCAAAAGAATGAGATGTCCTTCTCGTTTATGCAAACCAATTGACTTTTTCAACCAAACCAAACTAATTCTCTTCAAAACTATCCTTTAATTAATTTTACAATCCTTTTTTAAGTCTAATATAACGGTAATGACTTTGCTTTTGTCAATAAACAGAACTTTTTCCACAACAGAAATAAATACTTTTGAATTGAAGACCACTATGAATTTACGAGATGCAAGACATGGAATGTTCAAATACAAAGTCGGTCATTCTATAAAAATTTCGATTTTATAATAATTTCAAAGCTTTCTATTTCTTCATTAAAACTCTTTTGTTATTCATAGCACCAAAAAGTGAATTTCTTTTAAGTAAATGTTTACACGCATACTTATGCTTATAAATATTTATTAGCATATTTTAATTCACCGATGTAAAGAATCCTACATTGAGTCATGCTTTTTAAATGATGAAGAAATGGAAGTCAGCAGCTAACCTGAAATCGCTTGAAAACCATCTACTCGTATGATAAACTAATAGCTGATTATTCTTTTTGAAATGCTATTTTAATTGTTTCCTAATTCACAACAGCTTAATACCTCACTTTTTGTTCTGGCCTTTGTACTCGTAAACGAAATGGCACCAAATGAACACTTTAGCCCTTCCAAGATGTCTACATCGGACTCATTGTTGGAATCTTCTTCTAGGGGACTCGGATCTTCCATCTTTTTTCAAAGCATTTCTCGAGGTTTGACATTCGTCTTAAATCAGCTAACGATTCGATTCACAAGTCCTCGGGCATATGCGTATTCATCCATTCATTTTGAAATTCTGAGAAGTACGATTTTGTTTATAAGTAGGGAATCCGTTCGTCTTGCTATGCAACGTATGCCTTCCCAAGAAAACTGCCTTGAAGATACAACGGAATTACCAATCCCCGACTCCAAGTACCGTTCGGGAAGATTATTACTTGTTAAAAATGCTTCTTTGATCACTGTTTATGTTGGTATAGTTGTTTCCACTCTTGTGGCCCTGTTTTATTTATATGCTATGCCAACGTTTCCATACAAGACCACCTGTATATTGTTGTACTCTTTTGCCAGTTTACTCTACCTCCTGTCGGAGCCCTATTATCAAATACTGCATTGGAAGCGGCAATATTCTCCCACTGCCTCTGCTGAAGGTCTAGGAACTATTTCCAATACAATAACCTCATTCTCTATTTTTCTTGTGTTTCAAAACAGAAACCTTTCCGTCCTTCCTTTTGCTCTCGGAACACTTATGGAATCTGTGGTTTATTTCATCTCTTTATATTCAACTGCTAATGAAAAGTCACTATTCATTCTGCCTCGACGAGTTTTACATGATGGGAAATCGATTTTATGGGAACGGTCTTTCCTTGGTGTCATTTCTTCGCATTCGTTTCATCTTTTACTCAAGCATTTGATGACAACGGGTGACAAAATCATGATTGCTTGGTATGCTGCACCTTCCGTACAAGGACCCTACGCGTTAGCATCAAATTACGGGTCTCTAATTGCCAGAATTTTGTTTCGACCAGTAGAAGAGCATTCTCGAATTGTATTTGCTCAACTGACACATTCGCCCGAAAAAGGGGACCAAAAGAAAGCAACTACTCTTCTTCTTTGGATACTGAAATTGTACTTTTATTTAACTATGTTTGTCGTTTTTGGGTATAACTATGCAAATATCGTTTTGAAATTTGGAGCTGGTAAACAATGGGCCTCCGATGAAAGCGCTGGTGTTTTATCTTGGTATGCATTTTACATTCCATTTATGGCAGTAAATGGCGTTTTGGAAGCTTTCTTCGTATCTACGGCCAGTTCTTTCGAACTTTTGAGTCAAGGTAGAATCTTCTTACTTTCTACCATCTTGTATTTTGTAAGCGGAAAAGTATTTTTGGATTGGTTATCTTTAGGGGCCCATGGGCTTGTTTTGGCAAACATCACAAATCTTTCAATCCGTATCTTGTTTGTTGTACGTTTTGTTCATAAGAATTTTCCTCTCTTTGGGTTTTCCAAGTTAATGCCGCGTCCACTGATTATCATTTTGGCTGTTTTGTTTTCAATCTTTAGTAGGACTCTTCTGCATCGATTTCAAGAGCACAATATTGGATTACTCTTATTCGTCGCGTCTGCACCCACTTTAGCAATGATCTATGGTGTTGCTATACTTGTACTCGACAAAGATGTTTCTACGTTTATTGTATCACGACTAAAAAAACCTCATAGAGATTAAATAACCCTTAATTGTATCGATATGTAAAATAATAATCTAATAAACAACTTCTATTTGTACATGCTACTACGGTATGTTAAACCAAAAATGAAAAAACGAAAAAGAGAGGCTTCAAAATTGTGGCACGTAATCAGTATTATAAACGTACGAGAACGTCTGACTTTTGAAGGTGTTCCTTCACATTTTCAATACTGCAAGTCTTACGATGAAAGATGCCGGCAGCAAGTGCAGCATCACAATCAGTCGCCTTGAACACGTGCTCGAAATGCTCAGAAACACCTGCACCGCTGGAGGCAATAACAGGAATCTTGACGGATTGTTTAACGAGACGAATCAATTCAATATCATATCCAGCATTAGAACCATCTTGATCCATACAGTTCAAAAGAACTTCGCCAGCTCCCATAGCTTCACATGCTTTAGCCAATTCAACAACATCCATATCCCGATATTCTCTTCCTCCCTTTACAGTACATTGATACCAAGCATATTCTTCGCCATTTGGACCGCGATAAGGAGTCTTAATAGCATGATGCTTAGTTTCTTCAGGGCTTTTAACATACTGGCGCTTGGGATCAATTGAAATAACAACAGCTTGACAACCATATGCAGCAGAAATGGTTTCAATAGCAGTAGTTCCAGTCAATTTTTTGTCATTGCTATAAAACTGCTCAGCGGCATATACGGCATCACTACCAATGGACACCTTGTCGGCACCTGAACGGAAATAAGTGCCTGCTACTTCAGCGGCAGAGTACACCGTACCATCTGGATCAACAACATCACGGATACCACCACCGACGGTCAAAGGAACGAAAACGGTTTGGGCAGCTTTTGCAAGAACTTGAAGCATAGGAGCATCCACCAATGGACAATTGCGAAAAGAGGTAATATTTAAGAAAACAACTTCATCCGCACCTTCTTCAAAATAGCGTTGGCACAGTTCAACGGGTTTACCGAGGTTGCGAACTTCACCACCGACAGCGGCTTTCTCGCGAACATCGTACTGGTCACCTTTGGTAACAACGAGGTCACCAGCATCGTTCGAACGAACGTCAAGGCAGGCAATGACACGTTTTGTCAATCCTCCACTAGAGTTTTCTAGCAATTGAGTATCCAAACCACTGATGGCTTTTTCATAGTTTCCGGATAAGAAAGCTTTGATACAGCGTAAACCAGCAGCACCACTCTTCTCTGGGTGGAACTGAGTAGCAAGGAAATTCTTCTTCAAGATAGCACCTACAAACATTTCGTCGCCATAGCGGGTGGTAGCGACATGGAAATCGCTAGGAAGTTGTAGATTGTCAGCAGGCATCATGTAGGAATGGACAAAGTAAAATTTGTCGTGAGGTCTTAAGCCATAAAATTCTTTTTCGGTATTAGAGCGAACAGCGCATGAATTCCATCCGACGTGAGGGACACTTTTGTCCTTACTCTGAAACTTCTGTACCAATCCAGGGAAAATTCCAAGACCCTTCGATTCAGGAGCTTCAACTGAACCTTCAAACAAAGCTTGGATACCAACACAAACGGCCATAAAAGGCTTTCCAGACAGTGCATATTCACGCAATGGTTCTAGGTATCCTTCCTTTGCTAAAGAATCGCACACAAAGCCGAAGTTACCCACGCCGGGAAAAATCAAGCACTAACATAGTGTTAATAAACCTTCATTTTACTGAAACTTAAAATCAATTAACTCATTTAAACTAAAATGCCGTCAACCCTTCAAACTTGTTTTTAATGAATCAAGGATATATACTGGCAATTCTTCATAATCTACTACCATACCTCAGCTTTTGCAATTTCTTCGGGACTTCGAATCCATTCAACGTCGTATCCAAGATGCTGTATGGCATTGACTAAGGAGCGTACATTTCCACTCCCATAATCAAGAATAGACACAGTCATGGTTATGGGTAAATTCAAACGCGTCTTTTGCCTGTTTAGATCTCAGATACTGCACTACTTGAGTTTCACTAAATCTTGTATAGTGCGTCCCTTGCAAGTTGTTATTTTACTAATCCATGTAATCATATGGGTCTAGCCAGTCCGGCTACAAAACATAAGAAAAAGAGGTTTGAAATCGTTATCTATAATTACACAGTGCATTAAACTACGGAAAATACTTATTGAATGCTAACGCTGTATGTTAGTAAACAATTAGATGGTAAACAAAGTGAAAGAATTTATTGCTTTAGGAATGAAGAACGATGGAAACTTAGCATTGTTCAGAATTTTTCTACTATAAGAATAATAAAATAATAATAATATTTTTTGCTATGGGTGTTTTTGAACATTAGCAACGTCAAAATGAAATAAATCTAGTTAAAGATTATATTGCGACTGGAAAGCATTACGATCTCAATTTAACCACTTTTCAAGTGAACATAGAGCTAAAGTAATGAACGGTTCCATTAAGTCTATAGAATGGGATTTAACATGCACGACAGCAAGCTAATTGATTTAGCACCTGGTATTACTCACTAAGAAGTACCACGATACATGAAAAAACATTGTGCTACACACTTACTGTTACTAGATTTTAAATCCATCGTATAATATAATATTTGATTTTAATTGAATTCATTTTCAAGAATTTTGCAGGGTTGAAGGAACCACCAAATTCATGGAACGAAATGAGACCGACAGTCCCTTTTTGGTCATGGGCTGCTAAACGTTCCAAAGATGCTTTTCGCAAACAATCAAAAATCGATAATTATCGATCTAGAGCCGCTTATAAATTACTGGAAGTATGACAATAATGATGATCCCTTTCCGTAGAGAATTCGCTTTCAACAACGTTACTAATTCCTAAAGTTAAACCAAAAGCATAGGTTTTTGAAAAAAGGATATGGAGTTATTGATTTGGTTAGTAGGATTTGGAAAACTATTTCTTGATTCGTTTCTGACGAAGTGTAGGGATTCGCTCCAGGCTCTTGGTCACAAGTAGCCTTGAAGGCTGTAGGCACTGAGGGTTTTGTTACTGCAGTGGATATTCAAAATGTATCACCTCCTCAAGGAGTTTTTCCAGTGTATGGCGATATGTTAGACCCTCAAACACAGACCAAAATACTAGAAGCTTTCCGACAACATCGACAGGAACCCATCAAAAGGGAATTGGTAGTAGATACAGTCTTGAGCGATATGTAAGGAATAGTAACCATACCTTTTCATCTAACTCTTATTAGGCTTCATTCAACCACTGGCATACGCATTCGAGATCATGCCATATCTATGGTATGCTAACTTTCATAATTTGTATGTTACTATTCAATGACTAACAAATTTAGGATTTATGTAATTCTGCGTTTCAATTAGCAAAAACCTTTCTTCGTCCCGGGGGATTTTTTGTTTGTAAATATTATATGGGATCCGAAGAACGTGAGTTTCAGAAGTCTCTGATGGAAGTTTTCAAGCGTGTGTACATAGAAAAACCAAAAGCGTCTATAAAAGAATCCAGGGAAGCTTATTTTGTATGTTTAGGACGAAAATGATACAAACGCAAGCCTTAACATGAAAGCTTCGTATATATTTCCTAACTTCTCTAATATACATAATTTTGGAAGTATTTATAAGTGTTTACATAAAATCCATGATATTATTACCTATACCTCATTTGTTTAATTCACTAAGAAGATCCCATCTTCCTATTACTCATCGCCCGCGATGAGACTCTTGTATTTCATTGTTTCTTTCAGTATTTCGTCTTTTCAAACGTTCTTGCATCTTTGATCGAAGCCTTGCAAGTGCCTCTTTTGTATGTTCAATATCGTTACGTGTACTTTCTTCAATTTGCCTTGGTGACTGAGACTGACTATTAATGGAAGCGCTTCTTCCTGGACGATCTATTATGGTATTTGATACTTCTTCTTTCTGAGTATAGCGATTCCAAGATGTTTTAGGAATAGGTGTTAAATGCTCGAACATGGTCGTGTTAATGTCAGGTCTTTCGCTAGATGTCCCCGTTGCCGGAATACCTTCATTGTTATTTTGACTATGGTTAGTAGAATCACCTTTGGTGTCCACATGGTTTGAATCGACTGGTTGCTCCTTAGATTTTTCATGCTGAGACATTTCGAAATTACCACTGGTGAAGATGGTGTCTTTATTATTTGTCAAATCCGGAGTCTCTATTTTCATTTCCGTAGGTTTCTCAGTAGATAGAGCTGTTCGATTGGAAATCGGAGTAGAGGTATCAAATAAATTACGATTTAAAGGTTCAATATGTTTTCTGAGACTTGAAGAATTCGAATTATTATAGGATCTGTTGTTTCCTGTCCCTTTCTTCGTATCTAGTGTTTGTGAATTATTATCTTGAGTGACTTTTGGTGAATTGAAAGCACGGGACTCAGAAAATTCTTCCAAAATTAAGGAATCTTCAGACTCAGACGAGCTTTCACTACTTAATTCATAAAGCTCCTTACCATTTTTTTTTACTTCATGATTCTGTTCCACTGAACCAGAAATCCCACTCCTACCGGATGAAAAATTTGGTAAATCTCCTTGAACATTCGGGGCACGCCGCTGAGAGACCGTTGAAGGGAGAGGAGTCGAATGGCTAGGGAAATTTGGTAACGAAGGGGAAGATCTTCCATTTGGCGGTCCAAACAAAAGAGGACTAGCACTAGCATTCCGTTCGTAGTTGTTCAATTTATCTTGCAGATTGTGTAGCATAGACTCAATACTCTCAAGCCTTTGGAAGAGAACCAATGAGTCGGTATTCGTTTGTGAAGAAGGTTTCGGAGATGAAGTAGGGAAAGGAGGATCCGTTTGCGTTGGAGGATCATGGAAATGAAATTGAGATGGTGAAGAAAAAGAAGGAATTGTTGGTCGAATAGGGGATTCTGAGGCATCTAGCGATGAAGATGGTAAAGGTAGTCGTGGTGGATGGAATCGCGAACGCGAAGGTGACAAGTCATTCATAGGAGTTAAGAAAGGAGCATCAAAAGAAGAATCATTATTAAGATCAAGGTGAATACGTTTACTCGGTGAAGCCGACTCGGACTTGACATTGATCTTTTTGGATGGTTTCTGTTTCGGAGTATGACCTTTAGCTAAAGTCCTCCTCGGGGTATCTTCAGACATATGTCGCCTTTTTCTCTTTTTTGAAGAAGGATTTTGAGGCGGAAGAAACTGCACATCTGGTTTCGTTGTTGAGCTACCTTGAGTTTCTCTCAAACTGGTCGATGGCTCATTCAGCTGTTGTCTTTCCCATTCCAAATATTCATTTTTAGCATTTAACCAAAATTGCTTAAATTTTCTCCATAATCCAGAGGTTGGATTACCTGGATTCATCTCATTGTATGCTTTCACCTGCAATTCTTTTAATTTGCTGTTTCCTTTCAAATTTGCACGCTTAAATAAGTAAGACTTTTTATTAGTCTACTTCTCTTCAAACACTATTAAAACAACAGTAATATCTAACGGTTGTTCCTATTCAATTCGTTTGTTGGAAAAGGAATGTATAATTCAGTGCTGGCATTTGCTTAATGTAAATCTGAAATGTTGAGACCAAAAAAATCATAGTTCTAAGTTATTGAATAAAATTGAACTTTTATTAAACATTTTATCCTGATCTTTTTCTAAATGTAGACATCTCAAATGGTTAGTTTGAAGAGCACTTCTTAAACTTGTACTTATTGATAACGTTTGCAACACTGAAAGATTCTTTCTCGCTTCAGAAGAATCTTTGATAAATGAAGATATTCTGGTTTGATTTGGGAGTTTAAAAGCTATAACAAAACAATTCTTAGAAACCGGTCAACACCTCTTTCTTTACTTAAGTATATCGTTCCTTTTCGTCAGGCTATACCCTACTTTCCATATTAGGAAAATTACTTTTCAAATAAAAAACATTTAACTGTCTCTAAGTAATCTAATTCTGTGATTTTAAAGATGCCCGTAGTAGGACTTACCGGACCTATATGCAGCGGTAAGGACACTCTGGTGGAGTTTTTGGTTAAAGAACTTGATTTTAAACCCATTGATCGAGTCTATAAAGCGGACGAAGCAAGCGACGTTGTTTACCAAGTTGACGATGAGATACTAGTAGGTGCCAATGCCTTAATAGATTATGTTACTCAACGCTGGCGTGGTAGATTCGTTATTAACGGAATTCCTTCAACTCAACTTCTTAATGGAATTATAAAACGACCCTTTTTTCTTCTTGTCTATGTTGATGCCCCAGTTCTTACCCGCTTTCGCCGGTACACAAGGTATGTAGGATGTCTCTTAAATGATTGCATTACATTACTAACGAATTTACTTGTGAGTCGTATTCCATAAACAATCAGGTTTTTGGAGACCTACTCTCGAACATCTCATTTGCTATAACAGGAAGCGAATCCATAAATGACGAAGTCGAAAGCACACATTCTTCTTGTTCTCCAGACCTGAATAGTTTATTGGAATATAGCTTGTTTGCATATAGTTATTTACATTTAAAAAATACCACTCTTGAGCAATTTTGTGCCATCCAAGATGAAGCGGCCTTTAAAAGCAATAATAGTGTAAATCGACATAGATCCTTGGCTCAGGTTCACATCAATAACGATGCCATTGAAAAGTCAGTTCTCTGGGATAAACTAAGAAGTGCGGACCTAATGAACAATGATAGATTCCGTCCATCTTGGGATAGCTACTTCATGCAAATGGCTAGTTTAGCCGCGATGAGAAGCAACTGCATGAAACGGCGCGTGGGATGTGTCCTTGTTCGTGATAATCGAATTATTGCTACAGGATATAACGGAACTCCTAGAGGTATAAAGAATTGTAATGAAGGCGGATGCCCTAGGTGTAACTCTGCTTTGTCCTGTGGTACTGGTTTGCACACCTGCTTGTGTCTTCATGCAGAGGAAAATGCCTTATTGGAAGCTGGAAGAGAACGCGTTGGATCTAACGGTATTTTATACTGTGACACGTATGTCAATTGAAATTCATCTACTTTATACTAACTATACCTGAAGATGTCCATGTCTAACCTGCTCTGTGAAAATTGCTCAAGTTGGCATCAGTGAGGGTACGTCAACTGCAATGTATGAACTACTAACTTGTTTCATCTAGTTGTTTATAGCATGTCTTATAGTATGGATACCCATAGTGCATCAATACTTGAAGAAGGAGGTGTCCGTCTGCGACAGTTTGTACCACCAGAAAACAACGTCTTTTGATGTTTCCTTTAACATGTATATATTTATATGTGGAAAAGTAGATACTCTTCTTATTCTATTTAAGAAGTCATTTTCTTGATTTGTGAATTGATCTATCAAGCTTCATAAGCTTTTCATATATATAGTTACCCAAAATAAAATATTCCATTTTTATCTAAATCTGACCAACAAACTTATATAATCCATATTAATTTGTAAGAAGGCCTTGGAGAACCTTGACCATATCAGCGCGAGATACCAATTGACCCTCATCACTCTTTTCCTTCAAACCCATCTTCCTTATACGAACAGAGTTTTGGTCAATTTCATCTTGTCCAAGGATTATAGAGAAGGGAACAGCGTACTTGTCAGCCGCATCAAATTGCTGTCTTGGCTTAGGCTTGGCTTTGTATAAAAATTCGGCTTTAATTCCATTCTTCCAGAGCTCATCGCAAATTTGCATACGCTCCTTCAAGAATCCAGTCCATTCCTTACCACCGCCGAAGGCCATAACGAAAACATCAACCTCGTTGGCACGAATTTCTTCGTCGGGAATTCTAGATCTCAAGATGGAGAAAATCCTTTCCAAACCTAAACTAATACCGACACAAGGTACTTGGCTATTTTTCTTAGCAGCAAACATACCAACAAGATTGTCGTAGCGTCCACCAGCAGCAATAGAACCAACACCGATACTATCATCGTTAGAGCGATCAGCTTCAGGGTCTTCAGAAGATTTCTTTTCAGTGGAACTCTTCACCTTGGGAGCTGACGCTTCTGTGACAGCTTCATAGATAATACCAGTATAATAGTCAAGACCACGAGCCAAAGACATGTCGAAGGAGAACTTATTCAAAATTCCAAAGCTTTCAAGATAATCGAAAAGTAATTCCATATCCTTAAAGGCGGAAGTAGCAGAAGGATTGCTAGACAAGAGACTATCGCTCTTCAATTTATTTAACAAAGAGCAATCACCCTTAAGCAAAACATATTCACTAATTTTATCAGCTACATCTTCAGAAAGACCCTTCTCAACAACCATTTCACGTTTAACTTCTTCCCAAGGAAGCTTGTCAAGCTTGTCGACAGCACTAGAAATAGTACGGACCTTATCAGAAGGAACACCACAAACGGTGAAAATACCATCTAAAATTTGACGATGGTTGATTTTGATGGTGTAGTTTCCAACCTCCAAAGCATCTAAACTTTCGACTAACACTTTGAGAGCCTCAGAGTCAGGGATCATGGGATCAAAAGAACCAGCAATATCGAAATCACACTGGTAAAACTCACGCATGCGTCCCTTGGTCATCGCTGGTTGATCTCTTCGATAAACCTTTGCAATGTGATAACGCTTAATGTTGGTAACTTTTGGATTCATAGCTAACCAACGAGCAAAAGGAACAGTCAAGTCATAGCGTAGAGAACAAAGTTCACCACCTTGATCCTTGAGGTCATAAATCAACTTGCTATCTTCTCCATACTTTCCGGCAAGAATTTCCTTTAATTCAAAGACGGGTGTGTCTAAAGTTACACCACCATGACGCTTGAAGATGTCGGTAACTGTCTTGAAGATACGCTCACGCAAAACGACATCCTTATCGTACCAATCCTTCGTTCCTTTAGGGGTTTTTAAAGTGAACGAGTTATCTTTCTTTTTTCCAGAACCAGATTCTCCAACTTTGAGGTTCTTGAGGGCTAAAAGTTTTTCTACCTCTTTGTCTATTTCATTTTTAGGGGCACCCTGGCTTTTCAAAGCTCTAACTACGTTTCCTTGAGCTGAAATCCTTTCGTTAATATCTTGACCGACTGCTGACATTCTTCTGTTCCAAATAGATGGTAACCGGCGGAATGTGGAAAGTTTGGTGGTGAACAAGTGCCTGGTGAAGGTGAACATAAGGGAAGTTATTCTGCTAGAAATAAAAATTTAATTACTGCTGTGAAAATATTAATAACATTTAGAAGTATTTTTTAGCATTTGACGTGGATTTTAGAAGATTGCTGGTGAAGGGCTCAGTTTAAGAAGAAGAGGATAAAGCAATGATCTTACAGTACAGTTGAAGCACTGGTACATGGGAATATTGAAATTTATAATTTCTTGATTTTCATTGTACGGTACATATTGAACTTATTAGATGATACTTTCTATGGCACTATTAATTTCTCGTTTCTACGTAAGGTGGAATCAAAATTTAGGTCAATCTAAGAGTAATTCACCTCATATATGAAAATCACAAGACTAAATATGTTGTATCTAAAAGTTAAATCATAACAAAACCCATACCGCTCGGTCTTGACTTGTCGATATTGTTCTCAGAGTCGATTCCTCCGGGAACCTTAGGACAACGGTAGTTATAGATATAGTAATTGAGGTAGCCGTCACCTTCACCAAATCGAAGGTCTTTCAAAAATAGGTTGTTATCCATTACGGTCACGGCATTGAACACGTCAAAGCGAAGCTGCATTTGTTAGTAACACTTTGATATAATTAACAAAACGGAAACATACGCGATTAGCGATAATTAGGGAATCCTTAATTAGGAGCTTGCATCTTTCAACGAAAGTATCCAAAGATGCCTTGGAATCGTCTTTAGGATAAGACTCGGAAGCATAATAATACAAGTAAGCGGCTTTAATATCATTGTATTGAGGATTTCCGAGGACACTAGAAGGAAGTGAATAAAAAGAGAAAAAGTCAGTAATTTTCTTCGTTTTAGGATCTTCTGCTACATAGCTCCAAATGACAGGTCCTTTGGAGACTTCGCTATCGCCGAGAAACCAGTGTTGCACTTCAACTTCGGTAAAGAAATGTGCCAATTCAAATCTTTCTAAATAACGAGACAATAAATTCTGTACTTGAGAGACGTCGCGCTTCTCCATAGGACGCAATCCAGGAGTAGCTGTCTCAGAAGGCAAATGATATTTGGCCATTTCCTTAGCAGGAGAACTTCCAAACGGAAGAGGTGCAAAGCCTATTTCATACAGCTTTTTCCAGTTTAGACTTCGGTGCATGTAACGGCAGACACTGACTGGACTAGGAAGCAAAATACCACCAGTGTATACAGCTTGCCAGACGTTCAAAAGATGACATCTACGAGTAACCTCCTTAATTAAAAGAGGTGTGAGACGTTTGTTACGTAGCTTTTTGTGGATACACAAAAAGTTAACCTCAGAACACTTCTCGAACAGTTTGTCACGTAAACGGATAACCAAAGGCACTGCTGAAATGAATGCTACTAACTTCTTAGAAGCCTTGACGCGAACACCAACATGCCAATCTTTGACATATCCGGGACACATCAAGGCCCATCTCAAGAACTCAGCAGAATAAGCAAATCGTAGCATAGCAGAAGAGTCTTCCACATAGTTCTCTGTAAGAAGCTCATAAACCTCGCGCAACTACACATTATATGTCGTCAGTAAACGGGCAACTAGGCATATAAGCCTGAATCCTATGCACTTACCTCGTTGTCATCTTCTAAATTCATAGTTGTCCACTCGAATTCTTTCAATAAACGGTAAGGTTCCTTTGGAACCTTTTCAATATCAGTACTAGGGTCAATAGGTCCTTCACTTTCGCATTCTTCATCTGTTTATTTAATGCACATTAGCTTTATTCCCCCTTTCTCACCTATTTGCAGTAGCATACCAAATTTAGGAACAGGTTGAGTCTTCCAAAACTTGTAATCATCATATGTCTTAGTAGGAGCTTCCTTTTCTTCTTCTACTAGAGAACGAAGTGCTAAACGATCCAAAAGTTCACGAATTCCGCCCTCGGAATAAGAGCTTTGTTCATTCTTCTGTTCTTGGTTATTTTTGTTATCCATTTCTTGCTATTTTGACGGAAGAAGTCAACAGCGTGAAATCCTTAGTTTAGTTTGGTAGGGTAGAGCGCGTCGAAACGGTCGATAAACCGTCAGCATGTGCAAAATGCAGATTTGGGAATATTCTTAAAGAACTCTTTCTTTTTTTTATTAAATGGTTTCTATTTTTATATAGTAAAAATGTTCCTGTCTCTAAAACTATAAAGAGAAGGTCAAGCATAAACTTGAATCCCTTTTTCGTTCAATATTCATTTAGCATCGATTTGGCTTAAGAAATTGAAAGTAACAAAAGCCTACATTTTTTTAAAGCTAAAGATAATACTTTTCGATTTACGCTCAAAATTGGATTCCCTATGCTTTTCGAGCATTTCCATAAAACATATATTTTTGGCTGCTACCAAAGCAGATGAATCGAAAAATACCATGCATTTGCTTAAAGTCAAAGAAAATGATAATGTTGCTTGAAAGAAAATGGCTTGGTCGGTAATATTTGCTAAGAAAATATGTTTGTTTACATTTGAAAATACTCAAAAACGGTCGTCCCTTCATTCTTCCTTCAAAAGCATTAATCTAAAAGGGGTTGGAGAAAGGAAAAGGAAAGCAAAAGGGAAGAACTGTATTTATTTTGTATATATATTATTGCATTAGTATCGTTTAGGGGGATCATAAACATTTTGGGATAATTATCGGAATGGAAAACGAAGCAGAAAGTTTTTCAGCAGAAGCTGAGATGGAACAGGAGGATTTGCGCATTTTTAGATTTGTAAGTAGACATTTTCAGGTTTCTTGTTATACTAATTATGGATATCTCTATAGATGATTGGTCTTGCAATCTCGGTACCTGTGCTTATCCTGTGTTTAATTATCATCAGAAGATATATTGATTGTAAACATAAAAAATATCGTATTTTCCGAGCGGTATTATGTTGCATGCCCATCTACGATGAGGAAGATTGTGAAGTGGACTTTTATAATCTTCCAGCTACTGAATCTACGATCACTCTTCCTCGCTACTCTCCGCATCTTCAAGAAAACGAAGAGTTACTTGGAGCTTCTGGGGAACGCGAAGGGATTGATGTCGTTTTAACACCCTCACGGCTTCCTGATACAGAGCCTAACCCGTATCCCTTTCTGTACAATGCAAGTAGTAGGCTGCGCTTCATCCAAAGAATGGAAATAGAGAAGTTGCAGTCACCAAGAATATCTTATCATAACCTTGGAGTTGGACGTTGCAATGGAAGTCGTATTTTGCCATCCTACCCTGAACCTGCTCGCGTACACGTTTCTCCAAATGAATCCAGTGACCTTTCTGATGTACAATCTGCTTCTTCTCAGAACACCAACGTTTCAGAGTGCTTCCCTGCGTCTGTCTCACCTTCTCCTACACCTAACTTCTACTCTCCTCCTCCTCCTTACTGCTACGGCGATATCAATTCACCTTCTCTCGAGAATAGTGTATTTTCGAATGCTAGTACTTTGGTAAGTGCTTAGCATCTCTTTCTTGCCGTTTTTTTATCTACAGGGTTCACCATTCCCTTTTTTTTGTGACTTACTATTACTTATGACACGAACTCCAATAATAAAAAATTTATTTTTCATATAACTAAGCTATAATTTATATTTTCTCGTCCATTGCTTTCCATGATCTTTCTTTTACCGTACTTCCAATGTTTATATAAATCGCGTACTCGCGTACTTCTCATCTGCATAAAACCAATATCCACCTGTACCTAAAACTGACCGGTCTTTTTATTTAAAACATTTAACTTAAACAATCATTTACACATTAATACTTAATTATAAACTAAAACCTAAAATGCTGGCGTCTAAATATGAAACATGCCTTCTATTTAACGATCAACAAAAGAATTTGGGATCACCTTGTGGTCATGTTCATTTCAAAGACAAATTAAGTAAAATATTACCAAGTGATGCGGAACTTTCTGACTCATTGACCGCCTATTTTAAATCTCTTCGACTAGATACTACCTTGAATCGAATCATCGAACAGGAAATGAACGGTGTTAAAAAGATAACACCCGAATCCATATGGAAGAATTTATCATATTCTCAAAAACGTTGGCAGCTGTTTACAGTTTTATACGAGGTACTCCTTTGTGCTTGAGCTATCGACTTACTGTTCTAGGAAGCTATTGACTTTGTTTCAATGGATACTCTTTGCATTGCAATCTCACTTTTAGATCGTTGCTATTCTAGAAAACCCTCTATCCCGTCAAAGGCTTTTAAGATTTATGCGATTGGTAGTTTATTTGTCGCCTGTAAACTCACAAGCGACTATACGGTTGGTATGTCGACTGAAATAATCGTTCCACTGCTCTTCATAAGCTAATCTTAAACTAAAAGCAAAAAAAAGTTTTTGTAAACAGCTTGCACCAAGTTTATCAATACGTGAACTGGAGGTAGGTTATCAATTTGGTCCAATTTAATTAATCTGTCAATAGAAATATGAAAAGATTGTACTGTCTCTACTGTCCTATGATATATATGTCTTGTCGCTTCCCTCCGTCGAATCCTACCTTACTCCTCTGATATTCCAGCATTGGTATTTCAAAACGCTTTCAGAAGAGGATTCCGAACAGATGATGTGTGAGTGGCAGTATATGTTAGTTGAGATAATGAAGGGTATGCTATAAATGTGGGATACAGCATCATTTAACTTATCGTAGATTGTCGATTTACGGCGTTCAGGCCAAGTGAAATCATATGTGCCTCCCTATGGATGATCCTAGATGTAATGTGGCCTTCTCGATTTACAATTACTTCTTTTTTCTATTTGTGTACTTCTATGGACATTGAAGGTGAAAAAGAAAACGAACTGAAATACTTAAAACGTTTTAACGACTGCATTGAACTCATATATAAAAAACTTCCCTCTTTTTCACATTAAATCTACCTTTCAAACATAATCAACAACTTCCTATTACATGAGGAGCTATCAGCATTCACTACCCCAACTATTCTTAATCACTATCATAATTTAATAATAAATGAAATTAATAATCTTTTACCCAAAAAATCCTAGCTTTTAATTCCGCCCGAAATAACTCCAACTGCACTATTTTACAATTAAGGTCCTTACTAAGAAAGGCCCACGATTTCTCCATCTTCAGTCAAGTCTATATTAAGGTAAGCAGGAGCTGTAGGTAAACCAGGAATGGTTTGAATTTTGGCTGTTAGTGGATAGATGAACCCAGCCCCAGCATTTAAACGCATATCGCGAATGGGTACAACGAAGTCGTTAGGAACGTTTAACAACTTGGGATCATGAGAAAGTGAGTATTGAGTTTTAGCCATACAAATGGGTAAATGCTCGTAGCCTTGGCGCTTCAAATCCATCATACGTCTTTCCGCCAACGGACTAAACTCCACTCCTTTGGCACCGTACATCTCCTTCGCAATTACTGTAATCTTCTCTTCAATCGAGGACTTTACATCATAAAGAAACCTAAAATCTTTCTTTGGGAAAGAGCAAGCTTTCATTACGGATTCAGCCAAATTAAGGGCTCCCTGACCGCCCTTGCTATATTGGTAGGAAGGGACAGCATCAATGGCTCCAGCATTGAGAGCTTCTTGACGAATTGTTTCATATTCTTTGATAGTATCTGTTTTGAAGCTATTGATTGCTACCACCACAGGGACGTTAAATTTCTGAGAATTTTGTATATGGTGAACCATATTAGCGCAACCTTTGCGAACAAGATCCAGATTCTCTACGAGATATTCATCAGGCAAAGGTGCACCAGGCTTAAGTTCGGGGCCACCACCATGAAGCTTGAGAGCTTTAACTGTAGTTACTAAAATTACTGCACTTGGCTTCAATCCTGAGCTTCTGCATTTGATGTTAAAGAACTTTTCCATACCCATGTCAGAAGCAAAACCAGCCTCGGTGACAACATAACCAGCGCTGTCAGCGCTTTCAAAGGATTCTGTACCAACCAGCTTAAGGCCAACTTTGTCGGCAATAGTAGAGGAAGCACCGATACTGATGTTTGCAAAAGGTCCTGCGTGTACTAAAGCAGGTGTGCCTTCCAACGTTTGCATAAGATTAGGCTTGATAGCATCTTTTAATAAGACAGCCATAGCTCCTGCCACACCTAGATCCCCCGCAGTTACTGGATCGCCATTTGTATCATTGGCGATTACCATATTTGCTAAGCGGGTTCTCATATCTTTCAAGTCATTCGAAAGAGCTAAAATTGACATACATTCACTCGCTACGGATATGTCAAAGGAAGTCTTCCGACTCCGTCCCTTTTCAGTAGAGGCCAGACCAAGTTCAATTGACCTTAAAAAGCGATCGTTTACATCCAAAACACGATTGGAAGTAATAGTTTCGGGATCAATATTTAGACGAACAAACTTCTCCAAAACTTCCTGACTAACATTTTCGAGTTGATTTGGATCTTGCTTTAAATTACTACAGATCTTTTTCCACCTTGTAAGCAAGCCTTTAGGAACAACGCGACGACCATCCTTTACAGGAATCAATCTTCTAATTAAAGTTGAATCAGTTTGGGTACTTTCATGAAACATTCTGGTTTCAAGAGCAGCAACCAAAAGGTTATTCGCAGCTGTGACAGCATGAATATCACCGGTCATATGCAGATTAAAGTCATCCATAGGAACAAACTGTGCATAACCACCACCGGCAGCTCCACCTTTAACGCCAAAGGTGGGACCTTGAGAGGGTTGACGAACACAAGCAATACCAAGTTTACCTAAATGACCAAAAGCTTGAACCAATCCTGCAACTACTGTACTCTTTCCCTCGCCAAATGGCGTGGGAGTGATTCCACTGACAACGATATAGTGGCCATCTTTACGATGCTTCAGTCGCTCATACAACGTCATGTCGACTTTTGCCTTATAATGACCATATGTCTCAATTTCTGTCTCGTGTATTCCCATTTCTTTAGCCACCGTGGTGATTTTCTTTAGCTCTTGAGATTTTGCTATTTCTATATCAGAAGGAACAGGATCTTTCAGAGTGACTTCGTTGATGCTAACTTTACGCAAATTACTTTTGTTTCTTGAAATCTCAGCTGCCTTGACGGTGTTTCGCATTAACATCGCAACGGTCATAGGACCAACACCACCTGGAACAGGAGTAATATGACTAGCCACTTGAGATACTGAAGGATAATGAACATCGCCAACTAGTTCGCGTTTACCATTGCGATGTATAGCATTTATTCCAACATCAACAACCACTGCACCAGGCTTAAGCCATTCTCCGCGAACGAACTCTGGCTTGCCTAAAGCAGCAACTAAGATGTCTGCTCTTGCAATCTGCTCTTGTATATTTTCCGTATGGGAATGACAAACGGTAACTGTAGCGTTTTCTTGACGAAGCAAGTAGCTTACAGGATTCCCGACAATATCACTTCTCCCAAGAATGACTGCATGTTTACCGGCAATTGGAATGTTATACTCATGTAGTAATTCCATAACCCCCATGGGTGTACAAGGAACATGGATAGGTGTTGCCGAATTTTTTGCAAGCATACCAATATTAACAGCGCCAAACCCGTCGACATCTTTTTCGGCAAGAATAGATTCAGTAATGGTCCTCTCATTGAGGTGATGAGGAAGCGGTAATTGAACAAGAATTCCATGGACACTTTGGTCATTATTCAACTTCCGTACTTCATGCAATAGGGTTGATTGACTAATAGTTTCAGGAAACGCACAATGCTTGTATGTGATTCCAATTCTTTTAGCAGCTCTCTCTTTCATGCGCACGTAAACGTTAGAATCTTCTCTTTTCCCAACTTGAACGATCGCGAGAGAAGGACGATAGTTTCCATCCGTTCGTTTTAACCGTTCAACCTCTTCAGCAACCGACTTCTGCAGCTTGCTATGCACAACAATTAGCCAAGTCAATAATAGAGAAAGAATTTCTAAAAAAGGAACGGAGCATAACATAAATGCTGATCATTCAGAGATGAGAATTCATCCAGTCATAGACTCTACTTCAAGTAAAAGTTCAATCCATTAGAGGAGAACTATCAATTGAATCCAAATTTATCTTTTTATCAAGTTGAAACACTTACCTAGATAATTGTTTTCCATTTAAAATGTTTGCTGCTGTCAAAAGTGACGAATGACTAAATAACCGTTCATTTACTTTTATTTTAATTTGACTTGAATTCTTTAAAGCAAGCCTACTCCAACAAAGAGTTGAAATAATCATTCTGCCCTTAAAAGGCCGACCCACCAAAAAAGTAAGTGTACTTGTTGAAATTAGTCTATGGATATCGGTAGTTTATGGCAATTCGCCGTCAAGTTAGAGATGAGATTGACAAAAACTCATTTAGTTAGATAACAAGAGAAAGGAATTTAAATAGAAAATACTAGCAAATTGAAATAGGGAAGAGAAGGTGATGACCTCAGATTCTTCATTCTTCCTCACTCCATACTGAGTACCTCTTCCCGTAGGTGTTTCAATCTACCATACGGTCAGGTCAGTCTTTCTTATAGTTAAGGTGTCTTTCAATGATGATCATGGGTGGTCCTTATAAAACAGCTTTGCCGGATGACATGAGATCCTATAAAGCTATAGTCATTTTCAACATGAAACCTACAAAACTACCCATTTGCGATCCCGATTTGGCATATTCAGTTTAACAAAAATGGGCCGTTCCATAAAGTCGTTCATTCGCGCACTCGCACTCGGTTCATTCAATTAATTATCTATCGTAAATAAATCTAGCTAGTATAAAGTATTGTACGAGTATTTCACTTATAAGAATGTTGTTTAAAGTAGAAGCTGCGTACGGCATTGTTTATATGTATTGGAAGCAAGTAACAATTGTCCTCTGCATTGAACAGTATACACTCATCTCTTCCTTTACCATCGTTCAGGAAATTGTGGTTAAAAGGTGAGTGTTTCAGTATAGAATCACTTGAAGATTTCTAGTTTCTGGTTGATTGATTTGTGAACTAGTTTTAGATGTAGCGCTGGTTCGAAACGCGACTTGAGTAGTCGATCACATATTTCTAGTTCTTGCATTGCTTAACCCCCAGATAAAATTATATTTATTTGAGCCAACTATTTTATTTTATTTACCCATTCTTTTTTTTCTTTCTATAAGAAACAAATAAGGATTTTTATTTTACCTTTCCTTGTCCCCCCTTAATGCTTCATACTGAAAATAGTCGTCAAAATGAAGTTTATTAACCTATTTCGAAACTCACGGGCCGTAACTCTGGCCCGTATAATACCAGAAGACTTAACTATAAAACCCGAAAATGCGTGTTTCCCATCTTTGCAAGCGTTGACTGCGAAAAAATCACAACGGACTCGAGGCGATTGGGGTGTAAAACGGAAATTTCCCGTTTTCAGTACCAGACATATCTCTGTTGATCGTTTTGATACCCCAGAACATCAGTGTTCTTTTTCCGCCAGTGACCGTTTTGTTCGGACACTGAAACGTTTACAAGATTTGAACCTTCCGGTAACGAAAAGAAAAGTTGAAGATTATGACAAGTTTGCCCAGTTCTTCCTCCCTCAAAGCTTTCCATACAGTAATGCCTATCTTGCTCATAAACCCAACCTGCAGCGTGGAGCGCTTTACGCTAATATCCAGTTGTTAGATTCGTCTTCCAAACAAGAGGCCACTCGTTCTAAAATGAACACATTCATATCTACCAAAAACTTACCGTTGCCGTTTTCTTACGGAAGATCAACTGCTTCCTCAAGGGAACTTATGTTTGGAGTAGCCGGTATCATCACTTCTACCGGTAGTACAAGAGATCCACGTCCAAACGATATGTCCTTCTATGTTAAATCTTTAAGTGCTGACAAAAATGGTCGGATTATTCCGTGCCTAAACAAGAAAAATAAAAAGCTTCAAACGGAACTGTTTTGAGAGCTGTGTACATTTTGTAAAAGAAGCCACGCCATCCACACGCCTAATTGGAGCGCTTTTTTATCATTATTCGGTTTCTTAATTGCACTTTTATTGCCGGCTTACTACAGGTTTTCTCCACGTTTTCCTGATCTTGGAAATTTGACTTCAAGATGGGCGTAATTCCAACGTGCTGTCAATTCTTTTTCCTATCTTCATGGTATAAAATTCTTTTGTCGCATGGAACATTTAAATACTCAATTTTGTTATTACTTTTATTATGTAGTTTCAACATTCGCTAGATTTTCTTTCTATTCATATTTAACTGGGAACAGTAAGTAGTATAAATCTTATACACATATCTCGCAAACATATTTCACATTCTGTTAGAGTAATTTATTTAACAACCTGATAAAAGTGTAACTTACGGATCAACTGGTTGAAGCTATCAAAGGAAGATGTATGCAATTTTAGTTGAGTATTACTTTTAGATAGTCTTTTTTATATATTGTTTAGAAATGAAGAAGATGAAGCTGCATTCCGTCCTACAATTGCTATGATCTTCTACTGAGTGCCTATACAGTGATCATGGTTAGCGTTGGGCTTTCTTCGGGGAATTCTTCCCACTCTGATACTGTAAGGAAATTATTTATTTAAAATTTTTCATATTAATGAATGAAAAGTCAGACGTTTCTGAATTAAGGGCCATTCTTCGAGCTGATTCCAAAGACAAGCCCGCCAAGAAAATTAATGCGATGAAAAAAATAATAGCGAACATGTCAATGGGTTATAATATGATTCCTCTTTTTCCTGCTGTAGTAAGCTGCATGGAGACTAGCAATGTCGACTTGAAGAAACTATGCTACCTTTTTCTGAAAAGTTTCGCAAGGTTCGCACTTCATCAATTTCTTAATTACTTACAGTAAATAGTATTAATCCTTCCGAAGCGACAAAAGCCATTCCAGTCGTGCTTAAAGTAAATAGCTTGGTTGCTATGCAGAAATAAGGAACTAACGATTCATAGGGCGTACAATCTTCAAACCCAGTCTTACGTGATTTTTCTTTAAAAACATTGACTTCGATTCATATTAAAAATTTTTGGATTGCTTCACTTGATCCGGTAACTCGCCTACTGGATGATGTTGATCCATATGTGCGAAAAACAGCAATTATGGGAGTTGCTAGGCTCTACTCTTATGATAAGAAGATTGTTGAATCTTCCGGATTAATAAGAAGCATTAAAGAAATGCTGAATGATGAATCATCTCTTGTAAGTCGAGCCGTCTTCTTTCTTACTGACACAGATAGGTTGTTACAAATGCTTTAGCCGTCCTTATTTCTATTGTTCAATCATCAGATGTATTTAAACTTACTCTCACTAAAGAAGTAACAACGAGGATAATTGAGTGCTTGAATGATTGCTCAGAGTAAGTTTCGCTTGTTATTCTATACCATATTAACATACATAACTAGATGGCTACAAACAATCATTCTCGATTCTCTTATATATTATGTTCCACAGAAACCCGGAGAAGCCGAAAGCTTTGCTGAACGGATTTCACCTTGGCTTCAGCATGGCAACACAGCGGTGTGCATGGGAACTATAAAAGCTACACTTTACTATATAAATTATATGAATGACGAAAGTATAATCCAAGATCATTTGAGAAAGGTTGTACCACCTTTAGTGACTTTATTAGCCAGAAAATCTTCAGCAACTCAATATGTTGTTTTACGCAATGTGGAAATAATACTGAACGCATATCCGGAGATCTTTCAATCGAGTTTACACTTTTTCTTTTGTCATTTTGATGATCCTGCAATTGTTAAACTCGAAAAGTTTAGTATATTGTCGAAACTAGCAAACGAGGAGAATCTTGATCAAATCCTACCAGAGTTCATGGAATATGCTTCAGAGATCGATGTTGAACTGTCAAGGAAATCTGTTCGGTATATAGGTCACTTGGCTGTAAAAATCGAAAGCCGTGCCGATGAATGTGTTAACTGTCTTGTCGAATTGATCAATACGAAGATAAGCTATGTGATACAAGAAGCTGCAATTGTCATCAGGGATATTTTAAGAAAATATCCTACTCGTTACAAATATTTAATATCCATTTTATTAAAGAATATGGAGTTTTTCGATGAGCCCGAAGCAAAGGCAGCATTTATTTGGTTACTTGGTCATTATGCGGAGTCAATTGAAGACTCACGCATGTTGTTGGGGGAATATGTGGACGGATTCTTATACGAACCTTTAGAATTGCAGTTGACTATATTGACGGCAGCCACAAAACTGTTTTTGAAGATGCCAGCTGCTGGTTCAGAAATGGTCACCAAAGTTTTGCAACTGTGTACTGAGGAAATACAAGATCCAGATTTGCGCGATCGGGGCATCATATATTCTCGGATGCTATCAACAAATCCAGATCTTGCAAAGAAGGTAATTTTGACGAATGCACCTCCTGTGGACGTGGAAGCCGATGCATATGACCCAGAAACGAGTGAACAGCTTTTGCTAAACGTAGGTACCCTTTCATCTGTTTATCATAAACCACCAAATCGGTTTGCACAGGGTTCTTTCCCACAATATTTGGAGCCAAGTCCAGTTTTACGAGAGCATGCCACTTCAGCTGCAGATTCGACAGACGATTTACAGTTGGATTATGATCTACCGTCGTCGGGATATATGATTGAAAAATATGCGTCCAAAAGCGAAGGCGACGTATACTCTGGAGGACTGTGGAGTCAGACCCCCGTTAGTGAGCATGGGCCAACTCCACAGACCGAATACGTATCAAATATTCAGTTCTTAGCAGAAATGGAAAACCAGGATATACCTATGATTTCCAAAGATTAATGAATTAATGGTGAGCATTGACATGGTCTCAATTACGGAAAAATAGAATAATAATAATAATATGTTTGTCGTTTCCTTTTCTTTTCGTAAGCTAAGCAGATGGAGCTACTAAATTATAAAATTACTGAATGAACATATGTGAAAAAGCTATTTACCGAAAGAGATTCAAAGTTACCCTGTGAGTCCAATGACATCTATCTTTATTATTTTTAAAAAGTGAACACGGAAATTAGTATCCATAAGCAGCGAGCTTTTGGTTAATAGAAGAAGCAGACTTAGCAGCAGCAACCTTCTTTTGCTTAGAGTGCTTGGCTTGGTAGAAAGCAGCGCTCTTGACCTTTCTACGTTCTTCCAACTTGGAAACAACATCGGCGTACTTCCAACCGACTTCAGAGGAGAGACGGCCAACAGTGCAGTACTTACGGCCAGGCTTAAGGCGCAAGACACGGAGGGCAGCAGGGACAACAACACGCTTTTGCTTGTCGAAAGGAGGGGGAACACCTTCAACAGCTTGCAAGTGTTCCAAAGCAGCTTGACCACGGGGGCTCTTGTGGGGAAGCATACCACGAACAGCCTTTTGGAAGATGCGAGAAGGAGCACGGAAGTGGAAAGCACCACGAGTAGGGTTGTAACGGCAAGTTTTGCGCAAATAGGCGAGGTACTTGAGCTTGTTACGGAAGAAGCTGCCAGAGATGTTTAACTCTTCACAACGGACAACGACGACTTTTTGACCCGACAAAAGTTGCTTAGCAACAACAGAGGCTAAACGGCCCATAAGATGGCTATTAAAAAAATTAGTATTTTTAACTTATAGAAAACAATGAAATGACTAATATACTTACCCCTTGGCATCAATGACAACTACTTTTTGAAACTCTGACATGTTTCGTCGTGTCCTACGGTCAGCATCGCAGACGCGTTGGTTTGTTTTGATTCCCCGTGACTGTTTTCTTGGACCCATATTCTTCGCATCGCGTAAGTCTAGCTTATTTATAAACGAAAAACCAGTGCAACCATGAAACAGTAATCGAAACAAGAAAACTTGAGATCTGCATAATTATATTTAAATAAAAGTGCCATATCCTATATTTACAGAACAATGTTGATTCTCCCTTGAAAGAGAGAAAACCGAAAGAGTCTTCAGTTTAGAATAACGATGTGGAGTGAACGGCCTTAGTAAACAAAGTTTAAAGATTTGTTCTTGTTTCTAGTATCTTGCATTTTTCAATGAAATGTTCAGAAACTTTATATAAATGTATTTCAATCGTATTACAAGACGCATTAAACACCTTTTGACACCAGTATCACAGTGAATCACCAACATGTCAATATACGTATAGCTCAAATAGCATATGTACGTTAGGATTCTGTATCTCAATTTGGTAATATATATGGAAAACTGACCAAGAACCAAGTTTTGGTCTTAGCAATATGCTTAGAAATTTGGCTAGACAATCTCTTACTCTCGGTCGTCCTCTTCTAACCAGATCTCTCAACATCCCCAGCCGTATCAGTTACCGCCCTAAGTTTGTATCCAACATGAGCACCAAAACCATCATCAACAGCCCTAAGCTTTCTAGTGCTGGTCCTTACAACCAAGCCATCAAGGCCAACGGAACCATCTATTGCTCTGGTCAAATCCCTGTCAAGGATGGCAAGGTTGTCGAAGGCTGTGTTGGTACTCAAACCCGTCAATGCCTTTTGAACTTGCAAGACGTCTTACAAGAAGCTGGTTCTGGCTTAGATAAGATTGTCAAGATCAACATTTTTTTGTCTGATATGAATGATTTTGCTACCGTCAACAAGGCTTACTCTGAAACACTTCCTGACCCTAAACCCGCTCGTTCTTGCGTAGCTGTCAAGACTCTTCCTCTTGAAGCCCAAGGTGTTAAAATCGAGATTGAGTGCATTGCTGTTGAGTAAGCTTGCTTTGCTGGATTTAGCAACGAGTGTTATAACCATTCGCCAATCCTGATGAGTATTGTTTCTATGCCTGATAAATGTTTTTAACTGGTAGCCTTTTGAATATATGCTTTTGGCTTTCCTTCAAGAACAATGCAAAATTTGCTCTATTTTTTATTTGAAAGCTTGTCGCCTGTAGCTGTAAACTCATTTTAAATTTATTACAATAGAGCAGTAGAAAATGCAGATTCAGGGTAGTCCAAGAATCTCAAGTCTCTGACATCAACAAACAAAAATTCCTTAATTACTATTGTCTTGAAACTTTTGAATTCTTCAGCAATAAGAATCTAAGACAATAAATCTTCATTCAATCCTACTCATTTCTTAGTGTTAAGTTTCGTTAACCATCCATACATATCGCAAAAATAAAATACCGATATAAACCATTCTTTTCATACTGAAACTGAACACGCACTAGTGCACTATCCTTTCATCTTGATCCTTCTGTAAGATCATCAAAGTTGAATCCATAGCATACCACTATTTCCATGTCTTCCTCAAAAGTATGTTATGTCGATATGATTTCTTTTCTTATTTCTAACTCTTAGGCTTCTGGTACTGTAAAGAACGCCGGCTCTTCAGCCCCTGGTGGTCCCAAATCTCAAATTAGGTATGTTTGAACAAATGAAGTTCTTCTGTTCCTGAACAAATCTAACATTGACTTTTCTCAGACGCCGTGCTGCTGCTGAAAAAACCGCAAAAGATTCCACCACTGGTCCTGCTGGCCCTCGCGCTGCTGGTGCAGATGGCTCGACTCCTACCTTGTTAAAATTGTATTCCGACGAAGCTACTGGCTTTAAAGTGTAAGTTTCTTTTATTTTCTACCTTCATTTTCTAGGGAACGAAGTCTCTTGTTTATGGCTAGTTCCTCTGAAATAGTATTTGTTGAAAAAGCAACATTCTTAACTCACACATTTACAGTGATCCAGTAGTTGTCATGGTTCTTAGTGTTGGGTTTATTGCTTCCGTCTTTGCTCTCCACATCGTTGCTAGAGTTTTGAAAAACTTCGCCTCTGAGTAATTCGTTTCTTGATAATTTATCCATCCATTAATCTTTCCTTTGGCACAGAAGCAACTCTTTAAACGAATTTCAGAAAGTCTCTCCTATTTACTATTACGTATAGATAGTTTTGAGCGTATCGTCCGTTTCAATGAAGAACCTTTCATGCATGAATTATATCCTACCTCTAGAATGTAATTTCAAACTATAAACCGACTTAAAGGATTGTCAGTACGTAATTGAAATTTAGTCGTAAATTGGATCTACAGTAGCGCATTTTTCAATTATGATAACATTTGAACAGATATGTTCATATTTCAGTGGTGGATGAGAGGAAGAAAGAATTAATAAATAAATACAACGGTAGGTAGGTTCATTATCTAACAGAAGTTTTTAAGCATTTTTACACAAGTGGCTTCCACGTTAGTTTGCTATCTTCAGGCGAAGAGCCTAACAGGTCCGGTTGAGGCGTGGTATTCGTCGATTTCCTAGGAGGTGGAGTGGGTGGAATATTGCTAGGTGAAGAACGTAAAGACGTAGAATTCGAAGAAGAAGGATTTGACCTTGGAGGTAGGGCTGGTTTCATTCGAGGAGCTGCTAAACGCTCTGGTTTTGAGGGTTTTGTCGGTTTGGATGGCGATTGCTGAGGAATTAAAGCCGGATGACTTGCATCCAAGGAATGCAAAGGATTCGACTGAGAATTTACTGCTGGATCTTGTTCTTGTCTATTTTCTAAAGTCAAACATTTTTCAGGCTTAATCCAATCAGGTTCTTTACTTGGTGTAAAAGGATTAACCGGTCGGTCTGGGTTAAGTTGATAGTCATTTCCGGGTCGGGCTGCAATCGATCGAGCAGGTAAGCCGTCTTCAAACCACCATTTTCTGTTGTCGAGACTTGGCTTCTTGAGCTTATCCATACCGTTGGCAGGCACGTAAGGAATTAAATTGGGCTTTTCGGCAACAGAACCGGAAATATCAATTAAGGTATACGAAGTACTATTGGCATCCCGTACCTCAACCTTCCTTTGCATATAAATTTCTTCAAAAAGCTTTTTCTTTTTTGCTTTGTCGATTTTGACAATGCTTGCATCATACGATGCATAAACAGGACGATGGTCAGAAAAATATAAAGGGGCAGAATTATAGGCAGTTTGTTTTAATTCCCCTCGATACAGAATTCGGTCTGTCCAAGCTGGAACCCGATGTTTATCTGAGGTATCATATATATCGGTGCCTATATCAAATTTGTAGGTAGGAAGAAATGTAATAGGTAACTCAGAGAAGAAAGGGAATACTTCACCTGTCAGCATTTGATTATTCAGTTGATCGTTTTCAAACAAATTCTGTAGCTTTCCTTGTTCGATGCAGTATAATGTGTCTTCATATGTCAAAGAAATACGATAATTGAAATCTCCAAACCATACAACGTAGTCATGATTAAATATTGAGCGACCTCGCTTAAATCTTAAGCCATTAGCAATGGTCTGGTAGTCATGATTTCTTTCATCGTAATTTGTATGGCCGGCAGCAAGGTGCGAAGTAATAAAACAGATGCCAGTATCTTCAAAATCAAAACGAATAGCAACAGCTCCCTTGTTACCGGAAACGCCCCCCAGTCCTGTTTTCTTAAGTGTTCCCTCCACATTTTTGATGCTCGGTAGACAAGACTCTTTCACAAAGACTATCATAGCTGTACCAACTAACTGACCTGACCGCAATTGGACGTAGTTTGTGCCATATTTAGCTTTACTGTTTAGTAATTGCTTTACGCAAGTTTCCCATTCACGCCTCTTTGCAGGATCAGCGTTTATTACCTGCTGAGGAGTTAGTTGGACGATTTCCTGAAAACCAACGACATAAATATCAGCCATGGGATTGTCATCAGGGAAAAGCCATTTTTCTAAGTCGGAAGTAGGGAGACATCCATTTAAATTATAACTTGCTACAAAAATTGATATATTCTTCTGTTCCGAGAACTCATTTTCTCGCTTTTTTAATTCATGATTGACATATTCATGAATAGGATCGTATAAGATTACTGGGTGCTGGTCTATCAAACGTCCAAGTAATAAATCAATGGTCTCTTGTCTTCCTTTATCCTGAAAATTATTAATATACATGCGTCCCACACTTTTAGACAAATCGTTCAAGGCACCTGTCAAACTTAGTTTTCCTTTTCTAGTAAAACTAGACTTCAAAGCACCGGTACCGGTGTAAATATGAGATAACGCATCACCGTTATTTGCCCACAGAGTAGAATGTATTTGCCAAAAATCATAACCAGCGTTTTGTCGAGTGTGTATCATCACATTTTCTAGTATCATTCTAGAAATAAGATTCTGAATAACATTGGTTCTGTCAAGGCAATCCAGACAATTTGTTCGAAAAGTACCATCCTGCGTTACCATTGCTTCTCCATTTCGCTTTTCAGAATAAAAGCTAAAAGACTCAACATCACCGTAAAGCATAGGGCGAATTTTATTTGCATCCTCAAATGAACGAATTAAGGAGTGGTAATCAAACTCAGTAAGATGAATTAACTCTTTTTCCGGTGAATATTGGATATGCTGTCGCAGTCTGTCAGATAAAGAACGTTCTCCTGAACCAGTGCCGAGCAAATTGACGATATGGACGGGACCATATTCTTTAATTATATCACTAAAATGTTTTTCAAAAGCTGCTCTGGTTGCTTCAAAAGAACGGGTGATGTCAATTTTCTGCCCGAACATCTGCACACCTTCTTGTTCCCAAAAGATAGGAATGCTTCCTCGAACTTGAACAAAGCTCACTGAATAATTTGGAGTATCAAGAATGGTTTCTGTTTCAACGTAGTTGGCAACATTGCCATCATCATCAACACCACGGGCAAGAAATCTTGTACCTGCACGATAAGATGACAATCTTGATATGAGTGAAAGTCGCACATTTTGCATCCCCAGCTTGAAAGGTTCCGTACCTGAAAAGCCACGAATAACGCAAGTATAAAAACAGCATGCATCCATCACGTCTTTTTCGTGAGAATTTAAATGGGAACGAAATTTAAACAACTGACGAAGCATAAACTCGTTCCACATAAATTGTTCGTGCATAGTGTCTGACTGAAGATCCGTATAAGCATGTGAAGTGCGCAACTGTAAACGAGAAGTTATATCAAAGTCTAGGGAAAAATAAAAAGTTCCGTTTGTTAAAAGCTTTCTCAAACTTCCAAATGGTTCTGAAGTATACCTGGATGCATCATAACCTGGAGCTTCTGAATCGTATCCATCTCCGGTGTCTAACGAATTCCCTTCTTGACGAATGTGATCCCAAGTGGGACGGTTCACACTATAAAAGCAAACCTCTGTTATACGAAAAATTCGTTCACCTTCTCGTATACGAGCGACCTCGCTAGCACCTGTAATAACACACAAAAAGTTTGAATTCTCAAGTTCAATGAGACCTAGTGTCCCGTAAATGGGGCGATTAGAAATCCTCCGAAAACCATCAAGTGGTTTTTCACTAAGAGATACAAATTCTGCTATACAAACGGACAATGAATTCTTGTTTTGAGGGACAGAATGAAAGACCAGAGCATATTCTCTATTTGCGAGTGCCAGCGATCGAGGCTGTTCTCGCAATAGACATTGCATTGTTTACGTTTGAAACAAAATGAAGGGATTAAAATTAATGTGGATCAATATGAGTGTTACTCAGAATCCCAGGCTAGTAAAGAGAAAACCAAATATCTTCGTGTTGATCTGGAATAGCTTAGGTAACGGTCTTTGATACCTGCAAATAAAAGTGAAATTATCAAAGTAATATTTCATTCTAATCGCGTTAAATAAAATGAAATCAAACATAAAACATGATTACTCAATTTGAGAATGAAGGTAGAGAAACATTGGTATGATATCCTCAAGTCAATTTGCTATGCTGCGTAATTACGAGGTATTTGCGAAAATGCAGTTCATCATCAGTATGCTTAACTAATTGAGTTCTTTCCTGAATGCGGTTATTACATAGTAAACAGAAATAATCCTTTTAGCTCAAGTGTACAGCAGCATTTGCACGATTCAACATGACCAACATATCAATTATTGAAGACAAGTAGCCCATGTAGATGAATCGCTGTTACTATCGCAGTAATAATAAGCATCATTAATGATATTAGCAACGTATATCATTAACCAACCTTGCAATGCTCTCCATGATTAACACTGAGAATTAAGCAGTTTTGGAAACAGCTTATGTGTGTCGACTGTTTCACATAAACTATAAGGCCTTATTTTAGTCTTAATTGAGGAAAATTTCTCGTTCGGCGATATCGTCAATTGAAAAAATAAAAAAAAGAAAAAGATGAGGGAATCATCCAAAGCGCTAAGTTCCATTCACTCAAACATGATCAGTTAGATTCCACAAAAGAAATCCTTTCAACTATTCGATTTCATAATATTCATGAAAGCAAAATAGCTTGGATCCTTGAAGTTATCGAGCAGATGGAACAACTTCTTCCTTCATACCTTCAAAACATCCTTAGAGAAAGATCCTTCTGAGTAAGATGTTATATAATAGCACAATATTTTGGTAAATAGAAACTGTTTAAGAAAAAACATTGAGGACCAAAATACTTCCATACCACATTTTTCAACAGCCAATACCCTTTCCATTCTTTAGAGTGCTCCATATCCCCATGCAAACGACTTAGAGGAGAAAAAGGAAAGAGGAAAACAAAAAAAGATAAAGGCTTATTTACCGTTAAAGACCGAAGATTCAACCATAGTACCTATATTCAACTTTTGAAAGTTTTTGAAGGAAGAATTTCATCATAAGCAAATTGAAATTTGGTATCGTCAGGATAATAAACTTCATTTTTAAGGATTTTGGGGCATTTGGGTTTTTTTGGCTATAGTATCTACAATGAATTTTAGGAACATCTTTAGGAGTCAACCTGCTAATGAACGATTAAGGAGAGAACGGACTTTGGTCTTTAAAATAGACTGGTTTATATTGTCGTATTGCTGTGTTTCCTACTTTATCAACTATCTTGATCGTTCCTCCATCAACAATGCTTACTTGAGTGGTATGAAAGAAGACTTGAAGATGTACGGAAATGAGCTGCAAGACATTAACGTCGTTTTTACTTGCGGCTACATTATCGGTCAAATACCTGGATCGTACGCTATGCAGAAAATGCCGGCGAGATATTGGTTCGCGGTGATGAACTCGATCTGGGGAATCATGACCATACTTTCGTTTACTGTCCATTCAGTTTCCTCTATGATGGCATTACGCTTTTTTATGGCAGTTGCAGAGGCCTCCACATTTGCAGGTACTCATTACATCTTGGGTGCTTGGTACAAAAGTAGTGAAATTTACAAAAGGGCAGCCATCTTCTCTATATCCGGTTTGATCGGAAGTATGTTTGCTGGGTATCTACAGACGGCTGTTCATTCATCATTGGACGGAGTGTGCGGTATGGCAGGATGGCGTTGGCTATTCATAGTTGATGGGTTGTTAACAATACCATTGGCATTTTATGGATACTTTTTATTCCCAGACGTTCCCGAAACAACAAAAGCTCCCTATTTCACAGAATATGAAAAACAGCTTGCAGTAAAACGACTTCCTGCTCTTCCGAAGAAAAAGCCTATTACCAAGCAATCATTATTAACCATATTCCGATCCTGGCGCATATATGGTTTATCGATTCTTTGGCTGTTCAGTGGCGAAACCCAGGCTATTGCAGTCAACGTGCTAATGGGACAATGGATGAAAGTCTCGGGAGACTTTAGTGTTAGCCAGATTAACAACTATCCTACAGTTATCACTGCGGTTGGTGTTGTCTCTACCATGGGAGCTAGCATTCTATCAGATAGACTTAGCGGACATACCCGCTGGCCATTTGGTTTATTTCTTTTTTCCGTGACCGTGGTTTCTTCTTCTATACTGTTAGCGTGGAGCGTTCCTTACGGGCTAAAGTTCTTCGCATACTTTCTTTCAGGATGCACGTATGCTGGACAAGCTGTTTGGTTTTCATGGGCTAATGACATATGTCGTGATAATGACCAAGAAAGAGGTATTATCGTTTTCATTATGAATATGGTACAAAATATTTGGCACGTATGGTGGGCCCCGGTTATGTATCCCAATACAGATACCCCAAGGTTTATAAAAGGTTATATTGCCTTGATAGTTGTCGGAGGATTAACCTTTTTTTGTTCGTGTATAGTAAGCTTCATGCAAAAAAGAGACCAACGTATAAAGCGTACTCAACAAGATACCAAAGAAGAGCAGAATTCGACTTTTGCTGAAGTGTCAGAGGACGATGCAATAAAAATAGACAATATAAGTTCTGGCAAGGATAATGAATTTAATAGAAATGAAGACACTGTCTTGGAAACTCCTAAGATGGTATATACGCGCCAAAGAATTTTAAAACCAGATTATATCTAGGATGAATGAGGATTTCTTTATTGTTTACATTTATATATATATTTATTTATATATTTCAATCAACATTAGGAAATACAATCTCTAGTAGTCCTGAGTCTATTAGACCTGCGAAGCACATACTCAAATGTCTCTTATTCTATCGGTAGGTAAGAACGTTCTCTCTACCTAGTAAAGCTCAATTGTGCAGTGGTGCATTTCTAATAAACAAGTGAACGCTTACGAGTAAATTGGTAAAAAGGTATACAATCACAATAGAAAGAAGAATAGATTCAGTTCAAAAAGCTCTTTAGCGGTGTTGTTTGTTGTCTGGTGTCCACCATAAAAGTATGAGCAATCAACAGTATCAAATAGAACTCGAAAATGCCTATTGTGAATTTAGAAACGGCCTGAAAGAGATGTCCAAGAAAGAGGACTATTTAAAGGTGGTTACAAACGAACAAGTTGAAGCAACTTTAGCCTGGGAGAACGGAGAATGGGTTTGGGAAGAACAACAAGGGGAAGGTGAAGAGGTAGAGTTAAAGAAACGCTTTCCTACTTGTGAGTCAGCGTTGCTAACAATGTCGCCGTCATTCCAGCGATGGTTTCACAACCAGCTAGCAAGTCGGCTTTCAAGCTTAGCTCAATAAACAAGAACCTTTGGAAAAGTAATGATATCTAAAAAGGACTCTTGCCTAGCAAAATACTCGTTCTTCAAGTTATTACGAACGCCTCTCTCCTCCTTTTTTCTTTTTCATTGTTGGGTAAGATGCAACATTGTAGCCTTGGATAAACCGATTACGTTGGTTTGCAATATACTTTCGCGTACGTACATCTAAACCATCTTCTTTCATGTCTCTGGTGCTCTTGGTGAACAGTTCTTCCCAGGTTTTTATTTTTCCATCAATCTTCTGCTCAGTGTTACGACCAATTCTTTGAAAGAACTTTCTCAGATCCGTTATGCCTAAATATGTCTTGTTAGTGGATCCTATTAAATTGAATTACCAGCTTTCATGAACGTACCATCTCTTGCTGAAGGAACGAAAGATGCTTGTCTGCTAGCGACTCGGAAATTAATCAATCTGTTTGGTAATTTCAGAAAGGAACTTCCTGCATTCATTTTAAATAATAAAGTGAAGTAGTTCAATAAGCAAATTGTAGCAAAGTAAAGCGACTCTGTCAAACCAACGGGTTTCAGAAATGACCTGTTTTTCGCGAGAAAACAATTACAAATTAGAAGAAAAAGAGATTCCAAGAAGCTAAGTTCGTTTTTTAATTCTCAAAGCAGCCTTCAGCTACTATCCTGTTATTGTCAGTGGGGATTTGGGAAGTAAGATGGCTACGCTCTTGGTTACTCAAATACTCAAAAGCAGGATATGCTAATACTATAATGCTTATATGTAAGTAAATTTATTAAAGGGAAAAGAAAACATCAATTATTTATATATAAGAAAATTGAAAAATCTTGTATGATTTTGTTAAAGCGATTTCAACTTCAACCTTTTAGAAATACTACATTGACACCTATACAATATTCGAAAGGATCTATCTTCTTTCAAGTTATTCCTATAATTAAAGGAATTAGATGCCAATTCTTAATAAACTCTCACTCTTCTTCACTTACTTTTCTTCCTTTTGATGTTGAAAGGAGTTCATTCCTATAGTATCTATTTAGTACACTTCTTGAAAACAATTATGAAAAACAATGAAACAGCAAAGAGACTCAATACCTGAATTAGTTTGGAATGGAAATATCAGTGTAGAAATACACCAAAAGGAAAATTCCCTAACCTATTTGGTATGCTTCTGAAAACGTGTAATCTATTCTCTAGTAGACTGTGTCTAACTGAACAGGCGAATCTTCCTAGACATTCTTATTTCGCCCAAATTCTCGAGGATCTAAAACGGTTATTTGCACCAAAGGTTGCTTTGGAAGAATGTTGGCTAAGTTCGGGGAAAGCATCTATCAAATGGTAAGCTTTACATAGCGTTGATGAATCTCATTCCTAACGTGGTTTCCTTTAGGCACTGGCCTGTAGGTGTGCTTTATGATTTACTTTCGCAGGAAGACCCAGAGTCTGCTACCTCCGTTCCTGTTTTATGGCACCTTGTTTTTCATGTCGGGTCCTTTCCAAGCTCCTTGGTTGTTCCCATGGGAAGTATGGAGACGTTTCGTACTTGTTTTTTCAATGCACTGAAAGAGGTATGTTCTGCATTAAACTTATAAAACGCATTATTAATAGATGTCTAAGTCTGATTACGTTCGAAATGGAAGCTCATCTCTTGTAATTGCTCTCTCTAAACCAGAGACAGACACATACTGGAATTCGCTACTCAACCACGATTTTTACGACTACCGGCCAATTGCTACAAAATTATTTACAAGCAAATCTAGAATAATCCCTTTAAAGATTTATCTTGGTGCAGATGCTCCTATTGTTCAATCGTCTGCCTCTCTTGGCTATACGTTGGGACAAGTTTTGCACAAGCAACTTCCCAGATTGTTCCCTTCTGCCGTTATGTATTCATTATTAAAGCCCGTCTTACATGGCATAGTCCTCCCATCAACGGTTAGCACGGACATAATGAACAGAGATTTCTGTTACCCCGATGGGTTTCTTCACATCGTCTTGATACCGATTTCAACATAAGGATAATTCAATTGTGAAACTTTACTTTTAATTAGTTAAAATCTTCGAAATTATCATATTAATGTCTCGAAGGATAAATCGTTCACAAACTTGTATGAAAGAGCTTAATGATATTAATTATTATATAAACTGAGTATAATCATGTCTTTATATTGGGTAATTATCTATAGAAGAGACATTCTAACAAAAACTTTTTTACTTAAATCAGAAAGCAACTTCGTTTTTCAATTAAAATCCGTAAAAGACTTATTGCATATAAGGAATAGTCGCGGGAGCCACTGTTCCATTTGGTAGAAAGTTTGCTGGAACAGTCTCAGTAACTCCTTGCGAGCGATAGTATTTTTCATAAGGAGACTCTCCTGCCTTAATTTTTGCATCGTTGACGTCAATACCAGGATGTCCATTTACGCTCAATAGTTTGGCACTCACTTGTTTAGTATCTTCTCCTTCAACAAGCTTTTTCCAATGGGTTTCGCGTACAGAAAAGGGCCCAAAAGTTTCACGGTCTAAAGAAAGGTATTCGGATACGGCATTAGGACTTGTAGAACGATAGTTTAAATATTCCATGTAGATCTTTGTTAAATCCATTACAGTTCGAGGAGCTAACCTCGTGTAAAGTCTTATGTACTTCATGACGGCGGAAACCCTACTGTAATGATCGTTTCCATTTTCCAAGGCTAAACAAACAGTTAGTACCACAATTACGTAGTGCTACAGACGTTTTACTTACTTAAAGGTTGCTCAAGTTCAAAACGAAGATAGGAAATCCAAAAATATCGGCTATCCAGCATAGCCGCAGCATTCTGCGAAAACTTACTTCTAGCTAATTCGCTGTTTCCTTCAACTTTCCAAACCAGTTTTATATCTTCCGTAATTAGAATTGCAGCGGTACCAGGGTCGCAACCCCCCTCGTTGATTATGCTTCTTAAAACAGCATGTGCATTTGTTAACCCGGCATCCCCAGATACTCTCCTTTCAAGATTCGCCCAACCTAAAGCTGCTTCCAAATTTCCTGGAACTAAGATTATAGAGTTAGTAAACATGATTCATGTAAGTTCACTCTCACATACGTTGAGTTAAAATTGCTTGATAAATTGCTCTAGCAGAAGCAATATTTCCTAAAGATTCTTCAAATAGTGCATACTGTAACCGGATTCCTGGTCGAGATATAGATGCAAATATACAGGCAGCGCGCTCATAAATAATTCGAACATCTTCTGTATGACCAGGCTGGGAAAGCATCCACCGAGCAAACCGGAACCAAAATTCATCGTAAAAAGCGCAAGCAACCAAACATTTTTCGTAAAGATAATAGATTCTAGAGAAATCGCCTTCTATTTCCTCGAAGTCGAGATACTTTCTCCAGTTTACCAGCTGTGGTTCATCTAACTCTTTAACGTGAAAGTAAGGCCGCTTGATTTCAGATTCAAATGTCCAACGTTTAGCAACCTCCACCTGGGTTTTCTGAAATATCTGCAAATGAATGTTGTAAATTCTAGCACGAATTTCCCTTTCAATTTCTAATTCACCTCTTTCGACTGTAATTTGTTTAGATCCTGCACTGACTACTTCTGGGGGTTCACGCAAAACATCGGCTCGTATAGAACCTAAGACGTCGGGTGGTAGAAGGAGCTGCAATGGTTGACTTTGTGAGACTTGCACAAACCTTATTATGTTAGAACTCAAAATTGCAAAAGCCCGTGAATATTTATCATACCTTTCGAAGTAACGCGCGTACTGATGCAAAGGGATATGGACAAGTCGTTCTAGGATCTGGTAGACGAAATCAGTTCTTTCTTGTCTTTCTTCAAACTCGATATATTTATCCCAGAAGGGATGTGAAAGGAAATCCAATCCAATCATCTCTGATCCTTGCACGAATACCCTTGTTTATTCGTTAGTAAACCGGTTACTACCATTATTGAGAACAATCTTTATGAACAAAAAAGGTACATACTCTCTAACTTCATTAGGATCATGATTAGTTTCCATTTTAAATGAACAATAGTTTGCCCATAGATCTACCGAGTAGGGAATACCGGCAATGCCTCTTTCATAAACCTATTTAGCGGTCAGCACATGTTCAGACGACTTTCTAAATTATTATTTGTTACATACCTTTTCAGAAGCTTCTGGTCCAGCGACGAAAAATTCAAAGTCTGCATATTTCTTCCAATACCCAAAAAGCAAAGGAAACTTTGTCAAGAACCTATCATAGACGCTTCGAAGTGTATTTATAGTTTGTTTTGATGAATTTCTATCAATTCCTCCTTCTATTGTTTCGGTTGCACGAATCAATGCTTCCCTAAAACTGGGTTAATCACGTTGCTCATTCCTAAGTCGACAAAAGCATACCAGACATCAAAATCATCCGGATTTTTCGTTACTTGACGGTTTAACTTATCCCATTCCGTCTCTTCTGCTATGTAAATGTCCCCGTAATCCATGTTCGCCTAAAATGGAAAGACGCGCAGGTTTTGGTATTTCTAAAGCTGTTCTTCTCTCATTGCATAAATATTCTATAAACGAGTTACTCCTAAGAATAATGTGAACACTCAAAAACACTACCTCTATTCTTTCCTTATATACAAACTGTAGTATTCATCTGAGAACTGTACATTTTCAATAGCATCTTCTTCATTACTTCTGATTGTTAAATTGGTTTCCTCATTTACTCACACCTCCATCCTACTCTACACTTCATGACTTGAATAATCTACGTGAACAACAACACCTTTAACAAATAGGAAAAGGAAAAAAGAAACTTCATAAAAATCTGAATAAAATTATTTAATATACTCAACATTTAAATACCAATGCATTAGACCTCATTTAAACAGAAATAAACCGACGTTGAAAAACGCTACAAATAACTGAATCGACTGTGTCTATATATTAAAGGAGTGAACCTTCAACATTATAACCTTTTCCTATAAACAGAACAATTCTTCAGAAAAGACAGGTTTCGAATCTTTTCATTTTTTTAAACAATGTATGTACTTTTTTGGCAGATAGCTTGAAACTTTTCAAACTGATATAGTTTATGCAAAGTCTTCTTCGTGAGAAGAGTATTGAGGAGAAGACTCGGTATTAGAAGCACGTTCAACGTACTCAACAGATTCACCACGAGCACCACGGCTCTTTTCGCGGTTCTCCCGGTCAGCCTTCTTTTGTTCCTTGTAATCAAGCTTGAAGTTGGTAGAGTTCCATGGTTTAATATCAGACATATACAGTTCGTTAATTTCTTCCAAACTAAGACCCTTAGTCTCCTTAGCAAAGAAGAAAATAACAATTGCACCAGTCAAGTTGGAAGCAGCAAAGACATAACCATACTTGAATCCGATAGAGTTTTGAATAAAGGGAGTAAAGAAAGAAATCAAAAAGTTCCAAAGCCAGTTAGCGGAAGTAGCGACAGCAGCGCACTTTGAGCGGTAACGAACGGGATAGGATTCACCAACAATAACGTAAGCAGCAGGGGCCCAAGTTTGAGCGAAACCGAAAATGAAAAGACAAGCGCAAACAATCATAACTGCACCAGCACGGGTGTTGGAAGTTCCATTTGCGTGATAAAGGGCACGACTACCAACGGCACCATAAATCCAGAACCACATGGATTGCCAGAGACCACCGATAATGAGAGGATTACGACGACCAAAGTACTCAAGAGTAAACATACCACCAAAAGTGCAACCGAAGTTACAAGCATCAAGAATTAAAGCAGACAAATAAGGAGATTGAATACCAGCACCTTGGGCAACTTGGAAACCATAGTAAAAGAAGTAGTTGTTACCAGTAAGTTGTTGAAGAGACATGACGAACATACCCAAGAAAGTACGATAGCGAATGTTTTTACCAAAGATACTAGGCCAAGAGCAAGTACCACCAGCGAATTCTTCGTCGATCGACTTCTTAAGGCGGCCATATTCTTCCTGGACTTCGGGGCTATCAGGAGGAATTTCAGAACTCTCTGAAAGAACCTTAACAGCATCCTCATCTCTGCCGATTTGAATAAGATAACGTGGAGACTCAGGCAAGAAAATGATACCAATGAAGGTAATGATACCCCAAATCAAATTGACACCCATGGAAACTCTCCATTGAGCAGTCTTGTGAAGCTTGTGGGTACCCATATTCACACATGCAGCAATGAAAATACCACCAGTGACGAACAATTGGTAAGTGACGACAATTGTACCACGGATGGAAGGAGGGGCAGTTTCAGATTGATAACCGGGGGCCAAGACGGAAAGAGCACCGATACCAAAACCAGTCCAAATCTTAGCAACGATGATTTGAATCCAAGAGGGAACGGTGGTAACTTGAATAATAATACCAATAATATAGACACAAGTCCAACCGATAATGGACTTACGCTTACCAAAACGATCAGCCAAGGGAGAAGACAAAATACAACCGATCAAAGAACCAATGTTAACTATACCGACCAAAAGACCTTGACGCCAAGATGAGTAAGAGTAGGAATCCGTAATAGGGTCGTAACGGTCCGCATAACGACTTTGAAAATCTCTCATGTTGGTGACACCACCAATAGAACCGGTATCAGCACCGAACATCCATCCAGCCATGGAGACGAAAATCAACATGATCATGGTAAAGATCTTACCACGCTTGAAATTCAACAACGACATTTTGAAAGTTTTTTAAAGAATCTGACTTTTTAACGATAAAAAACGAAAAGAGAAAAGGAAAATCAACGACAAGAACCGAGAATTCCGAAAGAAAAACGAATACTAAAGATATATCTACAAAAAATTGTACTATACTTGCGAAGGAGTGTGAAACTCGACGTTAAGTTCAACGACACTTCGGATAGAAAAAAAAAGAAAGAAAGAGATATCTCAATGGAAAAAGAGAGTATAGATATTTAGGGTACTTTTTCCAAATAAAAACACACCTTCAGGAAATCTGTTAGATATTCTTAATTAAAAGTAAGTATCCAACAGCTTTTTTCCAACCACACAAGGCTTATTGCTCAATGGATACAAATGGCCTCGAAATCAGTTGGGAGAATAGCCCAAAGATTTATTAATCAATTTATTATTCTTTTTCTTGTTCTCTATTTCTCAAGACCTCAAAAGAACTTGAAAAAAGGCAGTTGAGGTTAGAGACTGTAGGTTGGTGGAAGAAAAAATCCCGAATGGGTGCTCTGACTCTTATATAGGTATTCGGTAATTTTCCCCCCGAAAAACAATTGTACTCTTTGTAAATTTCATTAGGAAAAACTTGACATCTCAACGTTAAAACTTTCAGCTTATTACGTCACCAATAAGAACAAGGCAAGCAAATTAGATGTCATCGTGACAGTCGGATTGGTTGTCTGATCACACAAACAGTCACAAACAATGTGGAGGGCCAATCAAATGGCGAATGGGTATTGGAGTCTCCAGGGTATCGATAGACAAAAATGCGCGTTTCAACCACGATACTGCATCCTTATTTCGTCTTGTAGGTCTATAACGCGAACGATGCAGTACACAAATGAAGAAATAACGGGAACAGCGTAAACCAAAAGGAAAAAAAAAAGGCCCTATTGGAGAGGAAAAATACCAAGAAAAGATAAACAAAAACAATACGAACCCAAGTAATCCGTAAGAAAAGAAAAAGGAAGGGAACAAAACCTTTATCCTTCCTTCCTTACTTCCAGCTGCCAGTAACTGTTTCTCCATAACCTTCCATTAGATGCTCTTTGAAATCCCGATAGTTCCCCATCTTCCATCCCGTGTTTACTAACGTTTCGTCTCGCTAACTGTTTTTTCATCTCCAATGCAGGTTATCTGCCGGATAAACCTTCATGACATTGTTTTGCTTGCTCTATTGAAACCAGCCCTCTTGATAAGTTCTGATGAAGACAAACTGTGCTTTGTAAACCAAACTCCGTATTTTCACTTTACATGTTTCTACCAGGAGATTGAATCCAAGGGAAACAAAAAATGGGCTTCTCGTCCCTTAAATACTGAACCCGTTTGTTTATAATCGTTAAGGTTCCATGGCCTGCCCCTCTTGTTAGAGGAGAAGAACCCAATGGTCGCATTTCTCTGTGTGGAGATAGAACTAGGCTTTCCTTTCCCCCACTCAGTGGTTTCCAGATAAAACTAAGTTTAAGTTTGCTTGTCCTATGACTTATGATTGGCTAATATTAATCCATTGCGCCAATCACAAGCCTTTGTGAAAACCTTCCTGGTTCTCCACGATAAGTTTACGAACCTTCTTTGTTTCTGTTTCAAAAAAGCAAACAAAAAGAGAAAAAAAATAGTTTTTTACAATTTTATTATAAAAAAGTTTTGTTTTCCTACTCTGCGTGAGTCTTTGACCTTGTTTTGAAGAAAAAAATCAAAGAAACAAAGAAAATGTGGCAAGTGAATGTGTTTGCTCTTGTCCCGCATTTGTTACCCCGGATGCAAAATGCGTGCTGTTACGCATTAGTATCTCATTGGTAGGTATCTCCATGTACCCCACATAATAACAATAACGAACCGGTTACACCGGGTAAGTGACTGGTCGTTCTCAAGTCGGAGGTGAATATGTGATGAGGCCTCGGACGAAGCTGGTTTAGTGCAGTGCATTATATGTTTGCAGCGAGAAAGTCTTTGTTTCGGAATATGCATTGTGCATTCCATCACACATATCTAAAAAGAAATTGCAAAGACAGAGTTAGAATGCATTGGTAAACAATGATGCAGGAAGAAAAGATTCAACTAAAGCAGAGTTGAAGCAACAGATGGACGATTTTGAAGTTGAGTTGTAAAACTAAAAACTATTGACTGTACTTCTTCCTTTTCTCTTCTTTAAGTATTTGTAATTGAAATGTACTATTTGAAGAGTATTCCTTTCTTCAATTGCCAAGGCATCCTATCCTTCCTCCCAGCAATAGTAACCCTTTGCTTGGCGTCAAGGAGCCAGAAGCATAGTTTGTAGCATAGATATGCTAATTAAAAAAACAAACGCTCCTTTGAAAGAAGATTCCTTTAGATCTACTTCTTTCTAACTAGTTTTCCCTACAGCTAGTAGCATTTCTCAGTACCTTTCCTTTCCTTGTAGCTCACTATAATCAGTCCCCAGTGGTATTGTTCCAACACGCGCTTCCAAGGGACGGTTGTAGAGTCGTAGGAAAAAGGTTACCTGTTTTCCTTTTCTTTCATTTCTTTATGAACTCTCCATCCGTAGTGGAAAATCATGTGCCAGAGCGTCGCCCCGATGAGGTTCTGGGGAACCCATCTGAGACGTTGTACATTCGAAATATCGAAGAAAAAATCCGGATTACCAGTATGTAAATGGCTTTATCTAAAATTTTTGCAAGACTATTCTTAGTTTTTATTGCTAACCGGTGTTGAAAAGTGCTGAAACAAATTTTGGAACACTTGTTTGGAGCGTACGGCAAGATCCTCAGTGTTCACGCCAGAAAGACACTGCGTATGCGCGGACAGGCGTTTGTTGTTTTTGAAAATCTTCAAGATGCTAGCCGTGCTCTTCAAGATTTACAAGGATATCCGTTGTATGGAAAACCAATGATGATTCAATTCAGTCGAACCAAAAGTGATGCCATCTTACAGCTTCAGGACCCAAAGCAATTAGAATCGCATAAACTGCAACGTCATGAACGAAGAGGTATGGATACTTTCTGCCGTTATGGATGCAGAGCTTGAATCTACAGATGCAAACAGAATGCACTTGGGTCAAATCATTACTATTAAAGAGGCTTTGCAGTACATCCAATGATGGTTTTTCTCTTTACTCTTTTATCTTTATTAACGACTTTCTAGAACATTTGAAACGTACAGGTGCACTACAACCACCTGCACCCAAACCTGCTCATAAGAAACAGCCTGTGAAACGTGCTGCTGCAGGCGAACGGAAATTTAATATTAACGAAGATCTGCTTCCTCCTAATAAGGTTCTTCTACTTCAAAACCTTCCACAAGAAGTCACGGCTGAAATTCTTACACAAATTTTCGAAGCATATCAAGGTTTTCAAGAGGTTCGTATGGTTCCGGGACGCAGGGGTATTGCCTTTGTTGAATATGACACTGAAAGAGAGGCTGGTATTGCAAAAAATGGCACAGCGGGTATGGCCCTCAGTGGCAGTCAGGTTAAAGTAACCTTCGCCAGAAAAGCCTCTTAGTGTATTTTTCAACTATAAATGGACTTGGGTTATGGTCTTCTCTCTTTCCTTTTCTTCCCCGCCTTCCTATAATCTTCCTAATGATTGAAGAAATAGCAAAAGATTGTAACTGGAACTCTTCTGAGCGTGTTCACATAGAGTCGAATTGGATCCTTTAAGATGTGGACAATACTTTAAAGCCGGTGTATTTCCCAGAAGAGCCTTTCATTAGCTCTACATTCCCTTTTTTCATCAACGACTCTAAAACTTTGTGCAGTAGACCTTCCTCCAAACAATCCACTTCCTTGCATTGTTCCTGTAATTCATAATAGGTGCAAACAGCACCATCTCTGCCGGTGTCAAATAACTATTCTGTTAGTTAATGTGAATATTAAACTCCAATTGTTTTTTATCTATCCGGTAGCTATAGTGTCGTATATACCCATTTTGTAATAATATCTCCCCATTCAGCAATAGAACGCCAGTACACCCAAAATGTATCCCGAGGTTCTTTTTTTTGAGTCCATTCAGCGTCATTTTGCTTCACCATATCTTCTACGATTTCCCGGAATACGGGTAATGGCAGTGTTCCTACATAGGCCGTCAGTCAATGCTCTTCCTTTCACATAGTTCCAAACTTACGATGAATACTCTCATTATAAATTAATGGACATTCTAGTAATCCAGAATGGATAGTCAACTGAGTAATTCTATGCTCCCGGCACCAAATGTGGATCCATTTTTGCCAAGCAGATTTTTGGGATTGCCAAGTGTTTTCATTCACTTGACGAGTAAAAAAAGGAGGGAAGTTGTAAATTGCTGGAACTTTCATATTTTTGCGCGTCTTGATTACTTTTTCCTGTGGAATGTATTCTTCATGGATTATGTTTTCTTTTCGTCACTACAGGCATAAGAAACAAACCACACCCCAAAGCCTTAAACGTTAGAATAGGAAAAAATAAAAAAATAAGAAACCTAGTGAGGTTAATGAATGTTTACTAGTACTCTCAACAGGTGAATCGGCATGCGATCTTTGTTATACACAGCAATGGCAGTTTACTAAGGATGTAATTACGAGCCATGCTAGGCTCCATATATGAATGGTTGGTTCTTTTTTCACTATGGTCTCTAATAGTTTATAAAATTCTACTTCTCATTTTGATGTTTTTTGTTCCGTTTTGGCAGACGTGTAATAAAATCTCAGATGGTAAACATTGAATGCGAAAGCTGTACAACTTGCTTAATTCGTTGTTACAAAGAGCTTCCATATTCAGTTTAGATATATGCTGAAGAGATACACATGAGAATACAGATGAGAATGGATTGCTTAATGCCCCTTCATGTAAATTCTTACTACTCCTAGTTTATACTCAAGTTCGTCCTCTATATTTCACCAAGAAACTAAACCGTTTAAAAGATATCTAAGCTGACTTCATCAACCATTCGTTGAAGGTTTCGTAGATTGGTATTTTTATTCATCGTGTCTTGGGTCTAACAACTGTATCTTGTCCGATGCATCCAGGCAAACGACTCTTGTCAAACACTCACCTAAAAGAACTCGAGGATAGTTCTTACCGTATCACGCTCGACTTCCTCGAGCAACAATCGTTCTATGCATGAAAACTATTTGCACCTTTGAAAACAAACATCATGAATTTTCCCGTTCTCTATTTCAAAAGCGAAGACCTTTCTATGCCGCATTCGGAAAACCATTGACTATGAAACGATGGTTTATCACGTCTATTTTAGGATATCTTCTCTAGAGCCTAAAATCCAACCGGTTAGAATCGAAAGGAAATAAGTAATGAACACTTGTTTTAAAAAACAAAGCTTACCTCTATCATAATTACAGAATTACCGCGAATGGTAACAGACCCGATTTTGACTTTTTCACCATTTGCTTTCTCTTCGGTAGTGTCTTCAAGGACAATGTTCAGAAAAATCTATCATTGTTACTATTTTATTCATACAAGTAATACCTTACATCGTAGCCACGCAAAACGCCATATACTTTGCGAGAACCGTTCAATTGAACAAAAACCTGCTTGTCCAAATACTACGGGAGCCGTTAGCAAAAAATTCCATTTGTTATCAAACACCGTACTTTTTTCAAATCGGGAACACTAGCTTTTGACATCTTCCGTCTATCCTAGGTGGTTTTCTTCTTATTTTGCAAAAGCGTCCTCTTCCTATGGAAAATGAAATACTACATTTGTCACCTGTTACTTGTTACTTGATTTCGACACAGCTGCTGTCGAACAAATAGCAAAATACTTGTTCTTAATGGAATTTGCTTACTATTTGGTTTGATTATTCAATTTCTCCAGAATAATAGATGAAAAATAAGGGAGTATATTTTATTTATTCCTTTTTGCTATGACTGGCCGATATTGACAAGCTCGTTAGTGATTCAATTATAACAATTTTTTTACATAAAAGACGGTTACCTTCCAAAGGAAAAGGATATAATGAGTGAAAATAAGAAAAAAATCATGGAGAAAGAAATGTCAAAAGTGAGAACTACTCCAATTTCCATAGAATAAAACTGAAAATATCATAACATATAGGCGTATATATCAGGTGGAAACCAAAAAGGAAAAAAGCAAACTAACGGCATTATCGCAATTGCAGCATAGTTGGTATTTAGGTAAATACACATAATAAAAAAGCCCTAAAAGAGCCCAATCCCATATCCATTTTGAATCAATCGCATATCAAATACTTCGTCGCCTATGACAATTATTTCTAACTTCTCTTAGAGAAGCAACAATTAAAGGCTTGGTTTTAAAAAAAAAGGTAACAGTTCTAAACATCTACTTTTTTCCTGAAAAATGAAAAGCTGCTCTAATTCACTTAAGCATTAGGGTTCCAACCAAGTGCTTTCAGTTCTTCTAAAACCTTTCCTTCGGATTCTACTTTCTTAACTTGAGTAGCCTCCAACTTTTCATTCTTATCCAAACGTGCCTTGAGATCATCAATTGCACGTAACTTTTTGCAGAGGGAACGGATCTTTTTCTCGTCACTCACTTCAGCAGGAGGTTGTTGAGGTGCAGCCTTCTGGCTGCTATTAGACTTATTCTTCTTGTTGTTCTTTTCGGTAACTGGAGCAGCACCTGGAACGATACGTTGACGAGGAGTGGCTTGTAATTTCGAAGCGCTATTACTGCTTAAGACATCGAGCTCTTCACGTTTATAGGAAAATGTAGAAGCTTGGCCTCTGGCACCAGGGGGGCGATAAGCACCTGTGGGCTTGGCGGTAGGCTTAGAAGAGAGCTTACTTGCAGATTCGTGGGCTTTTGGAGCAGTAGGTAAGTTAGAAACGTTTTGGGAATCATCCACTAAAGCAACGTTTACAAGGCTAGGCCTCCAGAGTGCCTGGTAAAGTTCTACAAATTCTTCATAAAACATGGGTGCTCCTGTGATGTGCCAAATTTTAATACTGTTATCAACACGAAGTCTGGGAGAAGTTACAGCCGTCAATAAAAATTGGCTATCGGGACTGAATTCGCAAAAAGTACTATTAGCAGCTTCCACGGTTGTTATCTTTTTCATTTGATTGAGGCGGTCGAAAATATCGATGCTACCTTGGAGATTTCCAAAACCAGCCAACATAATGTACCTTGAATTTGGTGAAAACAAAAGTGTGTTACGGGGGGCAAGAGGCAAAGTATGAATAACATTGGCACGACTGTCATAAATTGAAGTTTTTGCAGGCATATAACCATAGACAATACCAAACTCCTTGGAATTTGAGTTCCAGGCGACATCATGGATTGGTCCTTCACGATCCAAATCAACACGGCAATCAAATTGACCAGTAATTCCCAGTAAGTATAAATTCGTCTCACCATAATAATTCTTGTTTGACTTGTCGACATCGGTCTGGGTCAAAACCAGTAAAGAAGTACCTAAAGCATTCCATTTGAACTGAACCTTGTCGGCCTTAAAGAATGTCTTCTGAGAAACAGGTCTGGTAAAGTTGGGGATGCTGTACGTACGAACAGATGCTGGTGCGCCCTTTCTCTCTGGGACAAACACGGCAACGACGTGATTGCGTCCGGGGGATAAAGCAAAGTCGCTCATTCCCTCCACGCGTAACTTGAAAACTGGGGGTTTTCCTAAGTTGGCAGTATCATAGAAATGAATTTCGTTGGTCACTAAACGAGCAGCAAGCTTTTCATCGACGGTGTACTGTAAATTCCATCCAGTTTGGTTACGTTGGACGAAGCTGAAAATCAAATCGCCACTGTCAGTATTCCAAATCTTCATATTTTGCTTGGGATTTCCATCAGCTTCCTTGCCAGGACGCTCCCATGTACCTAAGAAGTTTCCGAGAGGTGAAAATCCTAGCTCGTAAACATTAGTTACTGGTAAAATTGTCAATGTTTTTCCAGATCCGGCATCAATGATAACGACATTATTTGGGCTAGCGTATGCAAAGTATTTTCCGTTGGGACTATAGCAAGAAACACGCACGATTTCATCAACTTCTTCAAATTCAGCTGGCTTAGTGAAGTTTTCGCTAGTATTCACGAGCCCAATAGCCTTGGTTGTCCGAACTATACAGTTAGTTACTCCTTCTTTCAGTTTATTATTACGAACAAGCAAATTGATTTTTTTGAGACATCCTTGTAGATGTTGTTTAAATGACAATAGATCACAATAAATTAAAAAAGAAGTTGTATTGTAACGGTTAGATTTATGCCCACCATGCTAGTTTAACGATGGGGAACGTAAAATCGCAATTCAATGCAAAAGCCAATTGGGAGATTGAATATTCTCAATAATTTAACTGAAATCCAAGAAACTATAGTCAGTTATTTACTTTGAAATATTAAATAAAATATACGTGTTTTTTTATAGATAATAAACATCCACCTTTAATGTTTACAGTCATAAACTACTTTAAATTGATGAAGAGAAAGATCTATTGTACAGAGATATGCATCTAAATTCAAGCAACATAGCCATAACTAGTGTTCTATGCTAGACAAATCATTCTTTAATATGTTAATTTGTTGCACTTGCAAATCATGCAGTTTTTCTAAAGCTGAACCGATTAGTTTGTCATGCTTGGCCGTTTCTTCTTTGGCAGCAGAAGCTTGAGAACTTCCACTTTTATTCTCGTTCTTTTTTCTTTTAAATTCCAAATATTCTAACGAATGACTTAAATTAGAATTATAATTTTGTATTGGTACCGGATCTTGAGGTGGAACAGAATACCATAATACATTACCAGAGTCATCCTTATTGAGAACATTCACTGTGTCAACGTTAATTATCGTTCTATCATCAATACCTTGTCCAGAAGCACTACCATTTTCTTTTTGATGAGTTCCTGGGACTATAAAGGCAGCCGTATATGAAGGAAGAGGCGGTATTCTATGTAAGTTGTATGCAGTACCCAAAGGAGTTGATAGTCCGGAAAGACTTCCAACTGATCCGGAAGTACGTGTACCTTGCGGTGTTACATTTGTTTTTGTGTATTGAGGATTCATCTTTGACCCGTATAGATTAGATAAATTTGCAGGCTGCGAAACGGGTGTAGCATCTTGTGTACCACCATAAAAAGGACGCGCTGGTAAAGAGCCCACATTGCTTTGATTTCCCAAAGGATACCCACCTGCGGGACCGTAGATCCCTGGACTTGGCAAACCCATTCTTGAAAGATGGGATTGCGTACGGTCCGAGTGAGTACTAGTCTTTCTAGCATAAGTGGGCATTACAGGAGGAGTACCATTGTTCAAATGAGATGGTTTCGGAGTTGAGGAAAAAGAGTCGGAAGGAGACGGAGAAATAACGCGATTTGGATTCAAATTGTCATCAACATTTGTAGAAGTTGGCAATATAACACCCTGAGCAGGAGCAGCGTTCATACTATTATTACCAAATAAAGCCATCTGTGTTTGAGTATCCGTCATTTGGGGTCTTCCCGACAATAAGTGAAGCAAAGGGCTAGGAACTTTATTTGGAGGGATAGTGTGATCAAAAAGTATCATTTCGTAGTCGAATCCTCGAACTTCTTCAGGCATGCATCCTTTCCATGATTTTATTTTGCTGAATTGCTTCGTATCATCATTATAGCGAGACTCACAGACAAAGACTGGAGTTGAGCGAATACCTTTAGGTCTTCCTCGCACGTAGCGAGTAATATACATAACGAAACATCGTTCAATTATATCCGACAGGGGATGATCTCTATAAAGAGATGTTTTAAATACTTCATTTTCATAAAAGATGCGATCGGCACGGTGTACGGTTTGTTCAGGGCGAAAATACCAGCACACGGTAATCCAAGGTGTTTGGTCAGCTGAATTCCAAATTTTGAAGATTTGTGCAACAACCGGTTTATTAAAGTCAGATGGATTTTTTAATAATACCCAGTCACCTATGCTCAGCGGAGTACCTTCATACATAATGGATGTCTGATATTGCTTGTCGTATCTCTGAGAAGTGTGAGAAGAATCCACATCGTAGGCACCACCTTCAACATCCAATCTACCCAATTCCATTTGAATTACATCTGCTAAATATTTCTGCAAAAAGTCTGCATCACGAAATACCTGACTAGAAGGATCGTTAAAAGATTTAGCATTATTAAACATGAGATTAAAATCTGAAATGAACTCATCAAGCGATGAATATTGGTTTTTGTTTAAAGTCTTTTGAATCACGTCGAGGGCCATAGGACGTTGAATCGCTTGATAATATTCGGGAAACATCCTTGGATCCGGTAAGCGTTCAAAGGGAGCAAATAATTGCCTTCCGTTCACATCCCGATACCTGCGAACCTGACGCATTATTGCCTTTGCTTTTGCTTCTAGAGGAACGGTAGGTTTCGATGGGAATTGTTGCAATTTTCTATGCTTGACATTCTCTTCTTTCGCAAAGGATTCATCTCGAGCAAACTTTCTCTTTAATTCTGTGTCTGCTTCCGCTTCTTCCCCATACAACTCTGAATCCTGATCAGATGGTTGTTCTTCATGCTTTACTTGTCTGGGTGCTTCTGATGCGTTCGTAGAAAGCCCGCTTTGGGGCGAAGTGGAAGCAGGCCGGAAAGTGTTGGAGGTAGTACTTTTCTGACTCATCATGGCATGGGATGCTTGAGCTTGAGGCCATAGAGTCATAGCTGTAAATCCTTGCTGGTGCAACATCTGCCACTGGAGAATACAAAATTCTTCTAACATGCAAACGAGACTGAAGCTTTGCGAACCGTGGTATAAAAATTTCACATTTGCGATCAATTGAGCGATGTCAAAGACGAATTCCGATAAATCGCGATAAGCAGAGCTTTCAATCTTCAGTTGGATTGCTTTTAAACAGGTTGGCCGATTGCTAGCAAATAAATCATTAGGGTTGTCCGATAGTGGATTCGTTTCAATTACTTTAGAAAGCGAGTTCCCACTAATTATGTGTTAGATCATTCGCTTCCTCTCCTTCATGTATTTAAGCAAAACGTACGCATTATCCTTGGCACTTCGAATTCGCTCAAGGAAGTAAATAAGAACTTTATGGGTTTTTACATCCTCTCTATTGAAATGTTAGTCTATTTAACGATGGTTGAAATACCACATACGTAGAGGAACTTACGTTTCCAGACATAGTGGAATACGGCCACGTTTGAGTGTGGATTAGAAACATGGGACAATAAGAAAAATACCTTCTAGTGCTATAGGTGTACTTACCGACATCGTTCGTGGACCTTAATAAGTCTTTGCGTATTTGATCTTAGTCGGAATGGTTTACCGATCTTTAAAAAAATAATGACTATTATTTTTTAACGAATCGCAAGCAACTTTAAACGAATACGCTTTTGTTCGTTGATAAATAAACAAACAGGCAGAAGAAATAAAGGATATTATTTGCTTTAATAAAGTGTTCTTTGTTAAGGTATTTTGTTAATATATTTAAACGGAAAGTGATTTCGTTCCAGGTTGCCTTTCCAATATTGTAAGATGGGTAGAGAGTTGAATAAGTTTTGTTCAAACAAATGAATGATGTTTATACTGATTGAAAAGTAATGTACAATCAACTTCTTTCATGAATTTAAAATCCAGAAGACGTTGCGATGTCCTAGTTCTTCTTCATAAATGCATATTGCTATTAAAAAAAAAAAAAAAGTATCTTCAGGAGCATTTGGAACCTCCTTTACAAATCTTAAAAAAGATAATTGTTTTCATAATTTTATTTCCTTTTTATTTTTTTAAATTAATCAAGATTCTTTCACCGGCTGATCGATGTCCATCAGTCTGAAAGAATCACTGCTATATCCTCAAATTCCGTTGTACTCAATAACATAAAAAGCAGAAACGAATAATCTCATTGTGTATAATACATCCCCTAGTTATTTAATAAAGACTAATCTGTACAATTTATGAAGCTATAAATTGCATTTTCGTGGATAAATTATGGAGATTTATCAGAAACGGTTGAAAAATGTTTACAGTACGTTCGACGAAAGCATCTATACAAAATCTAGCTCCCCACCAAATTCATTAGCGCTGCAAGTCTTCCAACAGCTGGATGGAACCTCAATTAGCAAGTATCAACTACGACTAGTCATCCAGGAAATCCAAAAGTTAGAAAACAAGCAACATGATCCCCTCTATTGGTCTATCTTGGGTCGATGTTCTGCAACTTTACATATCATGCTGTTAAAAAAATTAATGAATGAGACAACTGAACTATCTGATAATATGCATTACTGGGAAACCGTGGACAAAAACTGGATTTCACGCTTATTTTATTTAATCCAATCTTTTCCTAGTCGTTTATGGAAAGCCTTCCGTCAATCTGTGGGTTCGACACTTCGCTCCCCAAACTTCTCACAAGTGTTCCAAAAAAGCAATTTTTTCCCAAAGGTAAGTGCCTCCGACATCCAGTTTTATGCACGTGAAGTATTTATATCGAAAACAAATGTTCTTTCGCTGATACGCCATGAATATCGAAGCAATGCCAAGCATTTGCGTACGTTACGAGATGAAAATGCATCGAAAATTGGTACCTTGAGTAGGGCTATAATGGATGCACGGAATCCTCATGAGGATTTGAATCCTTCCAATACTCCAAAACCTACAAAGTTAGATAACCTTGTGACCGAATGGATCGAGCGCCTGCTAACACTTCTAAACATTAGTCCTAATAAAACTCGTGCAGAAGACCTCATCGTTATTTTTGAAACTATTATAAAACCAAGTGAACAGCAATTACAAGCAAAACAATATTTTAGCCCTTCTACTTTTGAAAGAAGTTGGTTTAAAGTACTGACAGCTTTGTTGACGAGTTGGGTAACAGTTAGATTAATCACTAAAAACCAGCATAGTTTATCCGTTTGGATAGACTATTTATATTCTACACTGACTGATTTTATAAACAATTGGGTCTATAAGCCTGTTTTGGGCATTTTAGATACCATAAGCAGTAATCGTGCGGATTCCCAGATCGCAGTGATTCAGACGCAAAGCTTGGATAGTGATATGAAAAGTCTTCAGCGCATGGTACTAGATTTTGTGAGGGATACTTCAACATCTACCATAGACCTGGATCTCGTGAAGGCTCAAGTCCAGGAAGGAGACTTGACTCCAGTGCTACAGGCATACGAACATGACTTGAAAGCGCCAATAAAAACGGCTATTGCAGGGAATTTGATTCGTACCCTTTTGATTCAGTTGCAAAAAACAAAGGTGGATGTTGAGGTAGCACTGAGCGGCATTGATCGACTGTTGAAGAGTCAACAGCTCGTCTTTGCAACTGTAGGAATTACGCCCAGTATCATCTTTTGCTATGCTTTACTTAAACAATTCCAAAAGAACTTTCTTAAAAAGAGCGTTTTGTCTTTGTCAGAACGTCGTCAACGGTTCCGCCAGTCAATGCGGGATGCAGAAAGAATATTGTTATGTTCTGGACAGAAGAAAACCCTGGATGACAAGAAATATGGACTACTTGTGTTTCAGGTCAACACAATGGCTGAGCTATCTAAAGAGTTGGCAATTTCTAAACACATGCAAGAAGACCTTCTTCAGGACTTGGAAGATATCCAGACAAATGCTTATGGTATATCATCTCAACTCCGTGCTATTGATCGAATTTATAGATTATTTCATCCTAGCATTTAAAATGAATTTCTAGTGAAACATGTTTTTATAGGATCTCATTATAGTATGAACTGGATCACAAATCACAAATTGTTTCTCCCATCTTTCTTTACTATCCTTTACCAATATAATTGTTAAATTGGAGGAAAGCTAAAAAATGTATGAGCAGGTTTTCTGGCTCGAGAATCAATAAAATATCATATAAATACAAATATGAACGCGTTTGAAATGAGCATTGAGTTTATTCAGAAAAATGTTTAGGCAACCTCGAAAATTGAAATTAAATACATTTTTTTTTTCAATCGAAGATTATGTAATTCTAGGAAGACTATGATTATGTTCACTGATCCATATTTTAATGAAAAAAAGCTATCGACGTTAATGAACCATTCAACCAAGTTGAATACGTCTCAATAGAAATATACAAAAGTTTCTATAAGGAATGTAGAGAGGAAATGTTAATTCGTTTGATATATGGTATGTTTTCGAAGATGAGAGTTTGATACAAACATACGACCCAACACGACTCCCACACGTACTCACTGTAGACACACTCAAGATTGTAGACTTTTTCCTAAACCACAGCAAAGTAAATTGGTTCTGTTGGAAAAAGAAAGATTAAAAGAACTAGATTGGAGGCAAAGTTTACAGACGAAGAGAGCTATTAAATTCGTGGATACCCGATAGATACCTGAGAATTATGGATACGCACAAACCAGGATTACGACACAGTCAAATTAGTGAAGAAATTATAGAACAGGTTGAGCGCCAATTAGCAGAACCTCCATCGTTATGGCTGAACTTGACAGGTATGATATGATGGGAAGGATGATGAGCAGCATGATTTAAAATGAGGAAGCATGTAACTAATAAAGATTCAAGGCGCTCAAATTCTTGAAGAAGAAGGCCAAGATACCAAAGACATAGTTTTACCAAATAATCGCTCTCAAGTTACGCACATTGCTGTCGATGTATGTGGTTGTGTTTCATAAAGGAAACGAAAAAGCTGTTGACGATGGAGGTCGAAAAATAATCCAAATACTAATGAAGAATTATATAGATTGGTGGCTCATTGGCAAAGATTCTTTACTACGTTCGCGACACGACATCACCGAGTTCGTCAAGTTCGGAGATTAACGAAAAAGAAACTGATCATGGAGGAAGGCTATCATTTGCAAAGTTTGAGACTTCTAAAATTGACGATTGCATAAATCTTATGAGACAACTAATTCAAGATCACGCACGAGAATCGAGACGAAAGCCAGTTACGGTTATGGCAACAGGAGGAGGTGCATACAAGTTTTATGATCGAATGTCGAAAGAATTGAACGTGGAAGTGATTCGAGAAGATGAAATGGAGTGCTTAATTACAGGACTAGACTACTTGGTATCATGCATTCCTGGAGAGGTATTTATGTTAAACCCCGAGACGTGTGAGATGACGTTTCAAGAACAATTCCACGACGGAAAATATCCACATATGCTTGTGAATATTGGATCTGGTGTGAGTATTCTGAAGGTAACGGGACCCTCGAAATTTGAGCGTATTGGGGGATCATCACTGGGAGGGGGAACGCTTTGGGGGTTACTATCGTTGCTAACGCATGCATCGTCATTTGATGAAATGTTGGAGCTATCGAAGAAAGGAGACAATGCAGCGGTAGATATGTTGGTAGGAGACATTTACGGTGAAAATATTGGCTATGAACGGATTGGATTGAAAGATAGTACCATTGCGAGTTCGTTTGGTAAAGTATTTCGAGAAAACAAAAAACTGGACGAATTTTTACCGGAAGACATTGCCAGATCGCTGTTATTAGCGATTAGTAACAATATTGGCCAGATTGCGTATTTGCATGCGCAAAAGCATAATGTCAAAAATATCTACTTTGGAGGCAGTTTCATCCGCAACCATGTACAAACGATGCATACACTTACGTACGCCATTCAATTTTGGAGCAATCAGACAATGAATGCATACTTTTTGAGACATGAAGGTTATTTAGGGGTGTTTGGAGCTTTTCTGAAATATGCAAGAACAGAAAATAATGTTCCCGTACCTCCCATCTCTTAATTTCCTTTCTCTTGCTCTAATTCTTTCACTTAATCTGTATTATGTTTGTGACTAGTTTTTTTTTTCTTTTTCTTACATCGATACAGAAATTTGGTTGTCATGTTTTCGCTCAAGGAAACAAGAAAACGAGAAACAGGAAGCTAGATTTCATAGAATACCTTGGTTGGATCGATAGTAATGTTGTTGTTGATAATGTTGACGGGTTTCACGATGAATAAAACAAACGAATTCTATTTCAGTAAGGGCTACTTGGGGTTTACAGGATCCTTGTAAGCTACGTGGTTATTCTCAATGTCATTTCATTTTCATACTCATTTTATTTTCGCTCTAATTTCTTTTCTTTTTCCAACAAAACCAAAACACTTGAGCACAATTCCTTTCCAAACTTTTCCCTCTGCTACTGCTACTACTACTACTACTACTACTACTGCTTGTTGTCCTGTGCAAGAGCTCTGTATTTATTTAGCAAACCTCGCTTTCACAAACGATATTCTTAAAACCCGACAAAAAATTTCCCTAACATTATATATAATCCTATTTATTTGTTAAAATTATATCGTTTGTTTACAACGGTTTCTTACCCGTGTCCTCATCTCACCCTTTCCCTCTCCCTCTCCCTCTCCCTCTCTCTCACACTCTTCCTCTTCCCCATTGACATAGGTATAGCTTCAATTCATCTCTCATTGACAAATACAAGCATCAAAACGAATACTTGGTACTTACATCTTTCAAGCATGATGTTAATAATACCGGAAGAGTCCATCAGGACGTTTAAAGAAAAAAAGAAATCCTTCCATCAAACCATGAAACCATTCCTTCTTTATCATTACTACTACATTTCTCGTCTCATTCATACGCAATTCGTATCTTCGTATCTTTTCAATTCTTTTGTTCTACATAATCTCGATGATTCACTCCCAAGTCTATCTCCTTTCTTTTGTTGACAATTCTATTACTGACTACTACACCATGTCAAAAGGTGGCTGTTGTTGATTGCCTTTGTTTACAAAGATGAAACACTTTTCTCAGTCGTACTGTGCTGAGCCACGTAAACATAACAATGCGTCAGATACTATTTATTTTCGATAAGTTTGATGCCTCGCGAATGGGAACTCTACATGATGCATTGCTGGTATTATCAGTATCACGTTCTTAAACCTTGTGTTTATCTTAAACCTAAAAGGTGGTAATTGTACCATCATATTGAAACCTTATCGAGTATATGGACTGAATGAGACACATTTTATCGGGTGGATTGATTCACTTATCTCTTTGATTGAAAGAACAAGGTTAATCCGGAATCTTATTGATTGCTTCTACAAAGATGATTGGATCGGTTTTTTCGCTTCTCCTTCTCGGATTAAGCGAAGAGGAAATTGATTGGCTAATGTTTGGCCATATGGTTATCTGGTTGTACCTAAAAGCGAGTTCTCTTATCTGAACAAATCAGTTTTTTTTGTTTAGATAAAGGCGTTTTTACCACGAGACACGTCTATTTTCTAACGAGAAGTCCGTGCCTATATAAAGGGGGTGTGTCTCCGGATTTTTTCGCACTCTCGCCCGGAACTTTCCACCAACTCCAACAAAGTAGAAATACTTTGTGACTATTATTTTAAGCTTTCTTTTTCATTCTTTGCTAATTTACACTCATTCCCTGTATACATTAACCAATCTATCATCCATTTTTAAAGGATTGGTGAATTAATTTAAATTAAAAAAGGAATTTATTTTCTTTTTGCTTTTTTGTCTGGTTTAATTGCCTTGTTTTTATCTCTTTGGTTGTCCATATCTTTTGAAAGAAAGCAAAACTAAAGGAGAGATTCTTTAAAGTCCAAGTATTTATTAATTTGTTTTTTAAATTGTTAATTGATTGGACTGGTTTGTACTTTTTTTTTATTTTATCCCTTTTTGAAGTCTTGATCTTTGTGCCACTGTTTTTTTTTTTCCTTTTTCTTTTTGTTTATTTTTTTACGCCTTCCCTTCCATTTCGTTAGTTTTTTGGTTGGTGATTTTTTTTTTGGTTTCCTCTGGTAAATTTTGATTCTTTACCATGAGCACGATCCCTTCGAATGCCGCCATCGATGGCGCTTTCGACATTATCTCGAGCACGAATTCGAATGAAAAAAATGATATTAAAAAGTATCCCGAAGAAGCCATTGTTATTGCTGATGAACAGTCTTTGTACAGCCAAGATTCCCCCGAGAAACCTATTTCCGAAGGAATTGTTGTTGATGGCGAAACGTATTTTTCTCCTACCGACGAGGAATTCAAGACCCTTAAACGTGTTCCTAGTGGCGTTCCCTTTGCTGCTTGGGTAATTTGTGTCGTCGAACTTTGTGAACGGTTTGCTTACTATGGTTTAAGTGTTCCTTTCCAAAATTACATGCAATTTGGCCCTCACGATTCAACGAAAGGTGCTTTGAGCCTTGGTGAATCCGGTGCTACTGGCCTTTCTAACTTTTTTCAATTTTGGTGTTATGTGACACCTGTCTTCTCTGCCTTCGTCGCCGATCAATTCTTGGGCCGTTATAATACAATCTGGATTAGCGCTGCTATTTACTTTGTTGGTATTCTCATTCTTACCTGTACCGCCATTCCATCAGTCGTGGATGCTGGAAAAAGTATGGGTGGTTTTGTTGTTTCCCTTATTATCATTGGTATTGGTACCGGTGGAATTAAGTCAAATGTCTCTCCTTTGATGGCAGAACAACTCCCAAAGGTTCCTCCTTACGTTAAAACTTTGAAGAACGGAAACCGTGTTATTGTTGATCCCGCCATTAGTACTTCTCGTGTGTATATGTTGTTCTATTGGGCTATTAATCTTGGATCCCTTTCTGTTCTTGCTACTACTAATTTGGAGCGCAAAACTGGTTTTGTTTACTGCTACTTGCTTCCCCTCTGTGTTTTTATTATTCCCTTGGTCATCGTCTTTACTACCAAGCGTATCTACAAACACACTCCCCCGGCTGGCTCTATCTTTGTGAGGGTTAGTCAAGTCTTTTATCTTGCCATTCAAAACAGGTTCAACTTTGAAGCCACCAAACCCTCTTATCCCGACACAAAAGGTAAGGTTGCACTTAAAAACAATTGGGATGATTTATTTATTGATGAATTTCTTCGTGCTTTGCGTGCATGCAAAACCTTCCTTTTTTACCCTTTCTATTGGGTTTGTTATAACCAAATGACAAATAACTTAATTTCTCAAGCCGCTCAGATGGATACTGGAAATGTTTCAAACGACATTTTCCAAGTCTTTGACTCTATTGCTATCATTATCTTTGTTCCTATTTGCGATTACGGATTATACGCTCTTTTGCGTCGTCTTCGTATTAATTTCCGTCCTGTTGCTCGTATTAGCGTAGGTTTCATGTTTGCTACTGCTGGCATGATTTATGCATCCGTCTTACAGTCTAAGATTTATAAAACTGGCCCTTGCTACAGCCATTTCACTGACACATGTACTTACAACCACATTAACGTGTGGATTCAAATTCCTGCTTATGTCTTAATTGCATTCTCTGAAATTTTTGCAGTTATTACTGGTTACGAATATGCTTATACGAAGGCTCCTGCTTCCATGAAATCTTTTATTTCTTCTTTGTTTTTGTTAACCACCGCTTTTGGTTCCATTTTGTCTATTTGTATCTCCTCTACTGCTGTGGATCCCAAGCTTACTTGGATGTATGCTGGTATTGCTATCACTGCCTTTATTACCGGTATTGCATTTTTCGTGTGCTTCCACCATTACGATAACATGGAAGAGGATGAAAAGAAACTTGAGTATGCTCGTGATATGCAGAACCGTAAACAAGCTGTTGCTGATGAGGTTGCGAAAAGCTATTCTTTTGAAAAAGCACCTACAGAAGGTAACCCTCATGATCTTGAGACTTTCGCAGCTGTTGAAGAATCTCTGAGGGCTTAAGATATTGTTTAGAAAAAGCTTGAATCAAGAAAAGAGAAAGCCTTCTTTCCTTGATGTCTTCGTCTATGATGCCCATTACTGGTTTTATGCAATGGCACTTCTGCTTGGCATATTGACTCTGTATTTTTATTTTGATATCTGTTTTTGTTTAGTTTTTATTGTTTTTGGGCATTTCGGGTTTATTGATACATGGTCTACCCCGTCACTACAAGTATAATCGATAGTTCATGTTGATTCTATTTCTTTTATTAATATTGTATGTGAGGGTATTTTACGTTGTTTAGAAATTAGTCAATGAGCCGAATAATAAAATTAATCGAAGAAAAACGAATGCAAATATGATTTAATAATTGCACACTTCAATAATAAACAAGTAGACTTTTATGAATATAAACATAGGCCAGGACAAACAGTCAAGATTGAGTAAGTACAAAGAATTTACGGAGCAAAAGCATTAGTATTCAGGCTTGCTCAAGACCTGCGATGATAAAAAGCTTTAAATCACGGTTATGAAGACACATACAAAAGTATAAACATAGAGACGCGACGCAGAAAGACAAACAATACCATTAGCGTGCACCTGTTAATAAAAGACTAAAAGAACGGACAAGAAATATGAACAATAATTATTCTTAAAGAGTAAATTACACCATTCACGATTCCCTTGATATGTAAGACACAAGGATTACCTGCATAGATATAGACAATAGCATGAGAAAAGGGGAGAATGGTAGAAAATCAAACGAAGGACAACAAGCCAAGCCCGTGAAATAAAGAGAAACATAGCTTTTCGACGTGCTTCATTGTAACCACAATTACTCCTTCAATAGAAAAACGTACAACAGCTGAAAGAATTAATATACGCGAAGGCATATGATAGAGAAGAAGCACTAAAATAAAAACGCAGAGTGTTAGGCATATTCTTTAACGATTCCCTTTAAGAATTCTATTACAAATGGCATCAGCAGTTATTTTACCCTGGTCAACCAAATAATTTTGAAAATCTTCTAAGAGTCGCAATTGTTCCGGCGTTGTTAAAGTGGCTATAGCAGTATCCAAAATATCAGAGGTAGAAGAATTTTTTTCGGCGATAAAAGATTGAAAATACATGTAAACAAAAACACCGTTCAAAAACTGGCAGTCAACGCGATCGGTTAAGCCACCATGACCAGGAATAGAATCACCAAAGTCTTTAATTTTGAATGCTCTTTTCAGACCACTAGCGAAGAATCCACCAAAAGGAGCAACGAGGCTTGAGAAGGTAGCAAAAACTGCCAAGTGGAAGTAGATGGGAGCAAAGGTTACAGCTTCGGGAATATGCAAATATTGCACCAAAGAAGTTGGAACACTGTAGGTATGGGGTACAAATACAGAGTTCGGTGTGCAAGTTAAGCCAGTAAAGACTGAAGTTGAAAGATCTCTACTGGGACAAATAAAATAGTCAAACTGCATCAAAATAAAGGTTATCAAGGACCCAACAACGACTGTACACAACCAGCCACCCAGGAACCCTTCAATGGTTTTTTTAGGAGAAACTTCAATTAAAGGATGCTTACCAAACATCTTTCCACAAAGGTAAGCAAAGACATCGTTACATACAACATAGCAAACAGGGACAAAAAACCAGAAAAGACCTTCGAAAATGTTGTTGATGATGAAATGGGCCTGTCCGACAACAAGAAGCAATGTCATATGGGTCCAGCAAAACTGAGAAAACTGAAACTTGTATTTGCCCTTTTGAAGAGAAGCGACAAACAAAACGAAACCTAAATTCACTATTAGTTTTGGACTTTTTCATTTCCACCGCAATGCCTTACCCATGATATATAACATAAAGGAGATAAATCGATGATGGGATACTAGCGGTAGTACATAAGAATCATTTACAAACAGATGGTGGAAATAGGTGAATATACTTTCACCATAGGCATAGTACAAGGTGGTCATTAGGAAATACCTAAAAATGGTTAGACGTGTATTCCAAACGAAATGAAAAGAAAACAATAGAAGATTAACAATCCAAACCAATTCTGGGTAGACTTCCTTCATTGCATTCTTTTAATTTTTATCAATCTTACCAGTTGACAAATTTTGTCCAAGGTAAATCCTTTTCACGACTTGGAACACTTGCAATTGCAATCACTTCTTTATAAACGCCAATTTGAATCAAAGTAACCAATACAACAACCCAAAAATGACCCATCGCCAGCACTGAGAAAAACATTGCTATCATAATTAGCGTCCATACTGTACGCGTAATGAAGTTTTGACTAGGCTTTCTAGAATTCAGTGCTTTCTTTGCCTTTGTCGTTAGTTCAGATTGACCATCTTTCTTCATGGAAGGTATCGTCAATTTGGAGGATTCTTCTTGGTTTTCCTTCTCTGCAAGCGACTTCTTCACCGACCTTTTCCGTGCCATTTGTATCCTATTTAATTCTCTTTTAGTACGGTAAGATTCCGAACAACCAAATGCGTATCCAAACTGTTTCTTACTTAATGCGATATTGGCAGAGTAATGAATTTCAGACCCAAGGGACATATCAAAAAAAGCGAATTTGCGTTGGACTCCATTATAAGGAAAATGCCAATTAGTTTCGTGTTAAAATTCTTTATGAGATGCAACGATGTATCACAATGTAAATGGTTCTGTGTGAGTATTGAAAAAATTCATGTTCATGCTTGCTTGTTCTTTGTTTTGTTTTTCTTTGAAATTAAATTTCTTTCTTAGATTTTATATCGTTTAATTTACAATTTCATTTGTGATCCCTTGTTAACCTGAGATTGCCAAGTCATTTCACAGTCCAAGCAAACGTAAATAAATTCACATGGTCTATGATTTTTTTTCTCTAAAACCAAAACCAAATTTACAATATTGTAAATATCCATTTCAGAAACCCAGTCTTTTATCTTTCTTTGCAGTCATTGTAAGTGTTTGACGTTTTGCCGGTAGATTTTGAATGAGAAGGAACGGCATATGAAACTAGAAATAACCATGACTCATTAGTAAAACTTCCTTGACTTTCACGGATGAGCATTATTCAAATTTTTGTTTGGAGCGAAACAATCTTTGCCTTCATAATTTGTATCGACTTGTTTTGTTGAGTTAATAACTGCTTCAATTGATCCAAAGCAACCGGTTCTATTGAAGATGGACGAACGGAAGGCTTGGAAAATGTCGCTTTAGATTGCATATTTCCGTGTTGTAAAAGTGGCTTTATGCTTTGAAGTTTTTTCTCAATACCCCGTTCACCCAATATCCGCTCACGATAACGTTCTAACTCTCTCGCAAACGCTTTCTCTTGATCGCTCAAATTAGGTGAATGGACGTTCATGCACCGCTGTAATACAACATCTGCACGTCCTTCGCATTGCAAGATACGTTTTTCAAGATTAGCAAACCGTTTTGTATCCCATTCTTTTTGAGAAACAAGATTAAATCGTTTGTTAAGCTTTATTATATGATCGCGTTGACGTAGAAATTCTTCTTTTTGCAGGCCCAAACGATAGTGTAGTGCGATGATTCCTTGGTGGATTAAATCTAGATGGTCACGCATGCGGTTTACGGCTGTTCCAAGAAAACGGAGAGAATACGGAGACACGCCAAGTTTTCCGCCAAGTTCAGGTGGAACAATAAGACGCTCAGGAGATGTTTGAATGTAAGGATTTTCAAACGGTGATTGTAACAAGAGTGACTGATACATAAGGTTTTGAGAATCTGGTTCACGATTTATGCTGATGTGAAATGATTCCGACAAATCTTCGTTCTTGAAATCTCTGTCTATGGCTGGCATATCCAAGTGTTCGGATTCATCTATCACCGTAACCTGACGGTGTTTGGTCAAGTAAAGAAAAGCACTTCCTAAGGAGGGATATTTTATTTGCGTACAACCAACAACTGGATCTGCAGAAGTATTTAAAGGATTTGTATTCACACGTTCAATCACTTCTGTAGATTCAGGAATGGATGATAGAATATCCAGCAGTTCCTTTTTATCCCGAGCATTTTTGAAGTGTAGTTTGTTTTCATATAGCAGCCGTAAATCTCTGACCCAGGTTTCCACATCGATTGAATGAGCGCCATTAGCATGGTAAACTGTGAAAGTTAAAGGTGAAAAATGATCGTAATGTATAGTGGTGTAATCCGTCTTTGTAGTAAATGGTCTAAGCGTGTGAATTGGAGAGAGGACAAGAGGTTTGGAGGGTTCGTTACGTTGAGAAGGTAAAGACCATTTCCCAGATAATTTTGAAGGACACAAAAAGAGGTCAATTTGGCCAGAGGCTGTTGAAATAACTATCACATCTATCACTGGCGTTCCAAGAGAAACAATATCACAACAGTTGTCTAAGATATCATCACCGCGAAGAGGTTGAATTAAAAAGGGTCCTTGTAAAGCAGGTAAGAGTGTAAAATCATCAGGACGCTGAAGAGCAAGTACATTAGAAAAATTAGAAAACTCATTGCTGTCTTCTAACGAAAATCCACTTCGAGAATTTAGTTCCGAAGAGAGTGCTGCATCTCCAATCAGCTTTGTAATCCAGCGTAGAAGTTGTTGTGCATTCTCGGAATCTATACAAGTTTGATGATATTCAGAAACTTCTGATGACAATTGCTGAAGTATTGTACGTGAGATAAGTGCATGTCTTGGCATAACAGGACAAAGAGCGAAAACGTCTCCACTTATCGTCAAAATATATACAACAAAAGCACTCCAGCCATGTGTCGAATGGTTAAAGGTAAAAGAAACAGGGACATGTCCTTCCGCATCAACATCGAAAGCATTAGATGGTTTGTCGGAGAAAGAAAGTGGAATTGCATAGTCAGGATTTAGATAACCATTCTCAACTTCATATAAAGTTAAATGGGTTTCATTCAGTAATACCAAAGATCGGCCAGATCTTCCCAAAGGATGAAATCTAGCACAAATTACTGGGGAAGTCAACTTGATGATTCCAGCATAGTAGATAGGTTTTTCTGAAGAATTAGTCGAGTGACCTTGCGAACCTTTGAAACCTAATGAGCCAGTACTACCAAAAATTCCAGGAGTATTGTTGAAAGATTGGTTGAAAGAGGAAGAGGAAGAAGAAGAAGAAGGCTTTGCATCACCTTCTGAACGCAATCCCAAGACAACTACTTTCGACTTTCCAACAACAGCCAAGAATTTCCCATTAGGGCTTATGACAAGCTGAAAGATTGTAAAATTTAATTCAGGATGCGTTAATTTGGTAAAAGAAGTTGCTTCTGATCCTCCTTTATTATGCTTTACGTGTTCACAATCCACAAGTCGTACTTCATTACCCACTGCAACATACAGTTTCGTATCAAAAGAACACACTTGCTTCGGCAAAGGTTCTAGGTCATCTGTAGCTGTATGAATGCTTTTAAATGCAGGATGTTTCTCCAAAAGATCCGTCCATGAAAGATGCTGCGACATGTTCGGTGTCTAATTTCAGCTTCACCTACTTTTGACAGGATCCATATATTGCAGTATAGCGCAATGCGGTATATAGGATTTGTAGCTCGTTGCAGTACTGTAGTCAATAAACAAAATAACAAAAAAAAGAAAAATTGGGAAAGCCAGACGGTATAATTGAAGTGTGTATGGACGTTAATTAGAAAGATGATTCTTCCATTGGATCCATATAAACATTTCTCTATTTCGAGGAGGTTTTTGGTGAAGTTGCTTCAATTGGTAGCGATGCTCATCAACTTTAGCAGATGATAACATGGGCTGTATTACTATTTTGTTGATTAACTTGTTCTTTATATATAATTCTAAATTGATTCAGTATAGCCAGATCGATTGAGTTTCCGCTAAAGGATTATTTCACTTCTTCGCCCTCAGAAAGTACCTACATCAAGGCAATTGGTGAAATGGCATCAATCGCGCATTTAGATGCTCTTTCTCCCTACCTTTTACGCCGTTTTAGAAATAATGCGTCTGCTTTAGAGAATGTCAAAAAGAGCTGCTGCGTTTACGTTGGAAATTTATCATTTTACACAACAGAAGAGCAAATCTACACGCTCTTCTCAAAATGCGGTGAAGTTCGAAGAATTATAATGGGGGTGGATCGCTTTGCAAAGGTATGTACTATAACAATAAAGAAAAATGTTCTCGAGGTAGCGCTTGAGAGCTATCTATACTGGCTTTCTTGAGGGATTGCATAGTATACTAATACTAACGACCATAGACTCCTTGTGGTTTTTGCTTTGTTGAATACTATAAAAATGAGGATGCTCTTGATTGTTTGAAATATATTTCTGGTACTACTTTGGATGAGCGCATTATTCGAGCTGACTTGGATCCTGGTTATGAGGAAGGCCGACAATATGGACGTGGTGCTTCCGGTGGACAAGTGCGTGATGAAATGCGAGAGGAGTTTGATCCTGGACGTGGTGGTATGTAAAAGAATTTCACTCCCAGCTAAGTACTAACTCTACGGTTTTAGGGTATGGAAAGTTACACAAGGCATCTGATAGTAGAACACTGGCTAATTATTCCTCCATTTCTTCTGCACCGATGGGATCCTCTTTAGAATTACAAAGCAATCCAAGGTATCACCGGTAAAGGTAGGAATGAATTCTATGGAATACAACAGCGAAAAGCGGAAGCTTTTTTTTAATTACGAAAAAAAGAAAAAAGAAGAATGGTTTTTGTTCATTCGTAGACCTTGCAAAGTTATAATGATAAAGAGCAATCCTATGAATGTTATCAATGTATACAGTAGCAGAGTTTGAATGGAATAGAAGAAGAAAATTGTAGACTACACATTCATTTCATTTCATTTCATCTAATACATTATTTGTCAAATTTTTATACAAAGCATCCGTTACTTGTGTAAAACACGTAGGGCATCATCCCAGGTCCGAAACTTTTCACTGATTGACTCATGCTGCAAACCATTTTTAATTTCATGACCTTTAATAACTTCCCAATCTTTCCAAGTAACTACAGGTTTATTCAAAAAGGGTCGGATTCCGTCCCAACCAGCTTTTGTGCCTTCTAAGAAAGGCTCTCGGGCAAGCCAATCTTTGTACAATTTGTCTGCAGTGGAAAATGAATCCATCATCGTAGAAGCAATCACTCCGACAGGACCATTCTTCACCCATCCACTCACATACATGCCAGGAGCGATGTGTCCGTCATTATTGAGAATGACTCCACGAGTTGTATCAAAAGGAATGCCAAGTTCTTGCATACCAGGGATGGGCACACTTTTATATCCAATACTACGGACAACGGCTTGAGCGGGAATTTCAACGAAATCTTCTGAAGAATTGGATTCGTTGCGAATAGTTTCAGTCTTTTGAAACCTGACTTTTTCCACTTGACCATTTCGACCCAGAATTTCAACAGGAGTGAGACCAAATTCAAGTCCCCAAGACCTGGATGGATTCTGCAAAGGATCTGAGGAGGGTGGATTTTGCTGAGCGTCTTTAATTTTAGACTGTATAAGTTTAATCAAGCGCTTACGAGCACGGTCAAATGTACTGAGAGCCTCTTCTGAAAGGAATTGAAGAGAAGAGGTATACTGTGGAGCTAAAAATTTAGCAGAAGAAAGAGAAAACAGCTCTCGAAGCTCCTTTATAGTAAAAGACACAGATGTCAAGTCTCTTCTACCAACTATATGCAATCGTTCAAGAGCGCTTTTGTATAACTGCTGGACAAAGAGGGGATTAATATCAGTGGGAATTAGGTGTTCGGGCTTGCTAAGCATAATTCGGGCAATATCGAGCGAGACATTGCCTTGACCGATGACGACGAGATCTTTGAGACGAGACAGAGATAGTCCAACATTCTGGTGTCGAGGATCACTATTATACCAACCCACTAGTTGGCGTGCACTGTAGACACCGTGTAAGTGTTCACCAGGAATATTGAGGAGTTTATCGGATGATGAACCATAAGCATATACAAGAGCATCGTAATGCTGTGAAAGGGTAGAGAGAGGAATATCTTTGCCGACGCAAATATTTCCTAAAAAACGAAACTGATTACTGGTTGCAATTTCGGTAAACTTATGTTCCACTTGCTAAAAGAAGAGAGAGAGTTAATATATGAAAGAACGAAAGACAAGAAGTTATGAAACAATAGTTAGAGTGATACTATGTTCCAAGAGTAAGAATATTTTAAAATTTATCATACCTTGACTTCAGGATGGTCTGGAGCTACGCCGTATCGGACCAAGCCAAATGGGACGGGGCTTGCTTCATACATGTCAATCTTAATAGAAGGATCATTTCGAAACAGCCGATGAGCTGTATAGAAAGCCGCCGGACCAGAGCCTATGATGCCCACGACAGGACTTGAAGGCTGCGTAGAGTATCGACGAACCAAGGGCAACCACATCTTGGACATGGTGGGGTGAAAACAGCGATCAAGAAGACAAGGGAGGGACAATGCTATTTCGGTGAGAAAATTCCGGGAGGGATTGAAAAAATGAATGCACGAAATATAGTTCAACCGAAGGCGCTCACACAACTACCAAGAGTAATTTATAAACGCCAAGAAAAAACCAAGGAAACAAAAAAACAATCACCAAGGCAACAGCGATGAGTGAATTTATTAAAGTTGGTTTGAGAGACTTTCGTTCTCACCGCAAGACACAGAAACAAGCTGCCAGATCTTGCTGTTATACGAAAACAATGAAATAAAAAGATATATTCTGCTGAAAATACCAAAAACGAAGGATGCTACGATTGAAATGTTGTACTGGCTATTCTTGGCATATACCTAAGTTTAGGTCCCTAGGAACCTCCGTGTAAGAATAGACGTATGGATCATTATATGACTACGAAAAGGAAACCGAGAGGTTTACATACTAAGACGCTTACAACGAGGTATAGAGAAGTCAAAAAGGAAAACCAAAAACTCTTGTTTTTACGGGTTGAAACAGAATCGGTTTGCAAGATGAGCTTTCAAAGACTATTCATAATGAAAAGAAGGACGATGCTTGTACGAAGATTCAAAGAAATGAGAGGAAAAGTGCTGTATGACACAAACACGTCAAGACCCGTTGGATTCATCAGTGTCAAAAGCAAAGCCAAATTTTATCAATTACTTTTTTACATTCACAATTACGCTTACACTTTCAAGGGGGACCAAAGGACGATCCTGAGACAGCAGTGAGAGATGAATTGTGAACCCACGTACTCACTAGACCCCAAGAGATCAACAATTGCCCTGTCTTTTTTTCAATTCAATTCAATTCATTTCATTCCATTCAAGTTCAATTTTTCCTCTATTCATCTAATCTCTCTTATTTCCTACTGGGTATTTTCTTTTTTTTTTTTTTTTTTTGTTTTTTTTTTTAATTTCCTTTTCCTTGGGTTACTTTCCCTCTTTACTACAAACTCATATCTGATCACTCGATATTGCGATATAAGAATACAAGTATCATCAGTGCCACGATAGCACTGTTCCTCCACATCTGCCCGTACCTTGTTACTACGGTGAACTACCAAGGACAGCCAACCACCTTCTCTTAGCCACTAATATAAGCATCTTAACGATTTTCGTTAAATAAAGCCAGACTCAGAAAAACCAGTATTTTGGAAGTCTCTGAGAACGTAAATTCAGTTGGATTTGATATTTCTAGGTTATTTGCCTGGATCAGCTACGTATCTCGTGACAGCAGTTGGGTTCGTGAATGTTTGACTCTTAAGCGACACAACTCCTCCAAAGAACGGTTTTCATCGAAGTCTGTTTCCCATAACATCTTCTGTCTACTTGTCTTTCACATCCACTTTGTGCGTGGAAAAAGAGAGCCGACCGGCTCCATCTTCTGAACCGTCCCAACGTCTGGAAGGATTAAGCTTTTAGTACTATTTTGTTCGTTTCCGGACGTGATTGATTTAGTTGCTTGCTTTCTATCATTTTCAGCGAGGATTTTTCGATATAGATTGCCTTACTAGTTTTTATATTTCGACTCCTACTTGCAAAACTTGTGTTTTAATTTGTGACTAACGTCCATCCTTGGATTGCTCATCTTGATAGCTTTTCTTTAGTATTGTGGAATTTTTACTTTGAATATTCTTAGGAAAGGTATAGAGTCATTTATTGTATGCTTGATAACCTACAAGGATCTGGAACTTTCAAAGCAACATTAAGAGTCTTGTGTACAATAATTTCTTTATTTACTTTCCCTCCCCATCTGGTTTGCATTGCATAACGCGCCTAGTTGGACAATCATCTGTAGTGTTTTATTTTTTTTTCCTATTCATTTTACAGTTTGTTGCATTTCATTTTCCCTTTTTTTGATTGTGGTTATTCCTTTCTGTAGTTAGATTTGTTCTTGGTTTAAATTTGAATCGTTTGCGATTTCTCCCCCTTTTCTCACTTTCGTTTGAGCGTTCTTGATTACATCGTTTGTCCTTTGTTTCGGTAATTTTATCTCTATGAATTCCATTCCAGATTCCTACTCCTTAAAACAAGATTTTCCCGATGCTTTGGGTGATTTTGTCGACCCTTCTCACCCTCAAATGCGGATGAATTATAACCATCCGTCAGCATCGGCGTCTGTCTCTTCGGTTCCTCCTGGCCAGCCCGCTCCTACAAGTGCTGCACCAGATGTTGATCCTTCCACTGTAAATCCTTATGTTCAAAATACTTCTCTGGACATTTCCAGCCCATTTGATAATGTTACCCAGGGGTTGACTGGTGCTGATGCTGAAGCTCTCGCTGAATATTGGCAGAAAGCCATCGATACACTGGAAAATAATGACCAGGCCATCAAAACATTGCATCTTCCATTGGCCCGTATCAAAAAGGTAATGAAAACCGACGAAGAGGTCCGCAACAAAATGATATCCGCTGAAGCTCCTTTCCTCTTTGCCAAGGGAAGCGAAATTTTTGTTACCGAACTGACAATGCGTGCTTGGTTACTCGCAAAGAAGAACCAGCGACGAACTCTTCAGCGATCCGATATTGCCAATGCCATCTCAAAATCCGAAATGTATGATTTTTTAATAGACATTATTTCAAAAGATAATGTTTCTCCTGCCCCTTCAGTATCTCAATCTCAAGTTGTTAACCAGTCTACCGCGATGCCTTCAACCCCCTCTGTTTCTGGAATTCCCTCTTATCCTGGACAATCCGGAATGCCTTCTCATTCGATAGGTTACCCTATGGGATCCGGTGGTGTTCAACCTGCGTACTCCTCTCAAATGGCAGCTGCTAACCAAAGGGCGATGCACTATGGCTCTCATCCAGCCTCTGGGTATTTGCCTGTTCAAGAAATGGAACAATCTCTCATGTTTAAACAACCAGGTATGGGCCCTGATTACCAACAAATGCAAATGCCTGAAGCTTCTATGAACATGGCTCCCGTGAATGCTCCGCGTCCCGTCATGGTCGCTCCGTATATGGCTGAGCATCTGTATCGATACCCTCCGACTCATTTAGAATCCGGAACATCTGCTTTCCGGTTTCCCTCAGGCATGAGGTATCAACAAATGGGACCTCCCATACAAGGCTTACAAAGGGAAAATATAGGACCTTCGCATTTACATGAGCATCCTGCGTATGCACACCCTCCTCATCAGTCTTCTCCGCCGCAACATTATGACCCTCAACCTCCTCAACAACCACAACCACAGCAACCCCAACAAAGATTCTATCCTCAACCCAGTCCGATGTTTTACCAATCACATCAACCTCAAGGCCTTCATAATCCGAATGCTGTTCCTTATCGAACTCAACCGCATCCCATGTCACGCTTTTCTCATCAAAACCAGTAAAACTGCTTTTCTACAAAATTATCAAAAGTTCTTTTTATTTAATGCCTTGAGGATTATATTTTGTTTGCTAAACAAACAGTTTAATTTGCTATATGCGGAAACATCTCGAAATGTTGTTTCCGAACCTTTTAAATTCTATAATATTCTTGTTCCGGAGTGTGTTTTACAAAACGTAGGTACTCAAACATTACTTAGAAAGACATGGATTCTATGACACTTTTAATTATTATCTTTTTGTCTATATTTTGACTTGATCTATCCTCAATACACCATTTTTTGTAATGACCTGAGAGCTATTTTAACAACTCAAACTTATCTTCCTCTTTTCTTTTAACAATACAGCAATGGTTTTCTATTTCCCCAAATAATACCTACCTTCCAGACTCCGCGCTAACAGGGAGATCTCATATTCATATTCCATCAGAAGATTGGCATACAGTTTCTAACCATATTCGATCAACTATATATACGTATATTGGCAATGTTTTGGATCATTAAAAGGGTAGTTGCTATTACTATAGTCTAACGGCTAATACACATTTAGGCCCTTCAAGCTAAACGGTATTCATAAAAGAACAACCAAGACTAGCTGAAAGGCCACCAACCATGGCCACTGGAACTCGAGGTAATGAGTCCAGCGGTGCATGGCAGCTTATTCTACTCCTGCACCAGAACTACACAGTTGATTAAGGAGCAACTGGTAGGCAGAAAGAGGAGATACTTTTGCTGAAATCTGCAAACTGCTTCAGTTATTCAAAGTAACAGCAAGTTGCACCTAGAAGATTTTAAACTACGATTTCTTCTATCATTAAACTAGAAATTAAACTCCTGTCTAGCAACCCACAAGCTGCAACATTACTGCTGCTTTTAAAACTTTTATGTCTTCATATTGGTTTATGAATAATTGACAATATGAAGAACGTAAAGTAAAAGCTATCATCTTCATATAAACCTTGGCCTGCATATCGTGACTGTTTTTGTTTATAGAAAATTTTCAGTATGCGCTGAATCACGGAGATCTCGGATTTTGAATTATCAAGGATTTTATCTTTAGTAATTCGTTTGCATAATCTATATTTTTATATATAGAAAGAGACAGGGAATCTGCAGATATCTTCAGTTTGTCAAATTGAACGAAACGTCCGTTTGCAAACTTACTTAGTATAAAAAAAAGGAAATATTAAAAAATGCCTTCAGTTTTGCTTCTTGGTTCTGGATTCGTTGCATTGCCAACATTGGAATACTTGGCCCAGCGAAAGGGAAATGCTGTCACCGTTGCATGCAGAACCCTTTCTAAGGCTGAAGCTTTAATCAAGGGTGTTCCTAACTCTAAAGCTATCGCTTTAGACGTTGCTGACGAGGCTGCTTTGGAAAAGGCGGTTTCTGAACACGATCTTACTATTAGTTTGATTCCATATACCTATCATGCAACTGTCATGAAAGCTGCCATCAAGCACGGCAAACACGTTTGCACCACCAGTTATGTTAACCCCCATATGGCCGAGTTAGAGGAATCTGCTAAAAAGGCTGGTTCCATTTGTATGAATGAAATCGGTGTTGATCCTGGTGTTGATCATTTGTATGCCATCAAGACTATTGAAGAAGTCCATAATGAAGGTGGAAAAATCAAGTCCTTCGTTTCTTACTGTGGTGGTCTTCCTGCTCCTGAAGACTCCAACAATCCTTTGGGTTACAAGTTCTCTTGGTCTTCCCGTGGTGTCTTGTTGGCCCTTCGTAACTCTGCTAAGTTCTATGAAGGCGGCAAGATAGTCAACATTGAAGGTAAGGACTTGATGGAAACTGCCAAGCCTTACTTTATCTACCCTGGTTATGCTTTCGTTTGTTATCCTAACCGTGACTCTACTGTTTTTAAGGAGCGTTACCAAATTCCCGAGGCCGAAACTATCATCCGTGGTACTTTGCGTTACCAAGGTTTCCCCGAATTCATTCACTGCTTGGTCGATCTCGGCTTCCTCGAAGACACTCCCCGTGAGTACTTAGACCCCAAGGGTACCGCCTTACCCTGGAAGGAAGTCACCGCTCGTGTTATCAACGCCGCCTCTTCTTCTGAATCTGATTTGGTCAAGGCCATCTCTTCCGCTCACCAATTCAAGGATTCCGATGACAAGAAGCGTATTATCAATGGTCTCAAGTGGCTCGGTATGTTTTCTGAAAAGACTGTTACTCCTCGTGGAAATCCTTTGGATACTTTGTGTGCCACTTTAGAGGAACTCATGCAATACGAAGAAGGTGAGCGTGATATGCTTATCTTACAACACAAGTTCGAGGTAGAAACCAAGGAAGGTAAGCTCCAAACCCGTACTTGCACTCTTCTTGACTATGGTGTTCCCGGTGGTTACACATCTATGGCTAAGCTTGTCGGTATTCCATGTGGTATCGCTTCTCAACAAATTCTTGACGGTGTTATTAACACCCCTGGTGTTTTGGCTCCTAATGATATGAAGCTCTGCGCTCCTTTGATTGACGAGCTTGCCAAGGAAGGCATTGTGATTCATGAGGAAGTCATTGATCAAGAATAAATGACGGTTTCTTAGTTGTGTACTATTACCCCTTTTGCTTTTATGTTTCATAGCCCTTACTTTGTTTAATAGTCTTGCCCTGTAGTTTGAATGAACAAATAATCCATCATTACTATAATTAAAGATTGTTATGACTCCCGAAGCTGCATCAAGACGTGCATATAAAAATTGGATAGTTCATTAGTTCGTACGTGTAATGAAAGATTATACCGCTATTTTAAACTGGCTGCCAACGTTTCCAATTCCGCTACATATTGTTAATCGTAGTCAGAATTGATCCCGCATACCTTTTTTTTCAGCTTCCTCCTCCTTTGAATTCATTTTCCACCAGAGAAGATCAAGACCGTAATATGTAGTCAAAGCGAACAACATAACCTTCCCTAAAGGTCTTGCGTAGTTTTTGTAAAACATTATCTTTATTAATGTTAGCTACTGTAACTCTGGCTATGGTTTCACCTAAATTGACTTTGCAAAACGAATCATGGAGATACTTACGTGTGGAGACGGCTGTTGAGTTTGACTGTATAATCTTCTCTGGATAAGAAGCGGTTTTGTATATCCTTTCTTGAAGAAAACCATTCTAGCAAACTTTTACTTGGTTTCCTAAGATGTTTCTCGTGAGTACGCTTGGTGAACGTCGGTGCCAAAAGTGGGTAAACACTTGGTCAATTGAGTCGTGATAGCGCCCAATACGTTCTCATACTTCCCATGCTATGTTGTAATAAAGAATTATACAATTTGATTAAAAAATAGCTTTATTACAATTATTAAAAGTCTCAAAAGTTTCGAGAGTTCTATTAACTTCATAATATCTGCTGCATATATGTATAAATCTAATTCAAAAACAATTAAAATAAATACATAAACATAAAGCTGATCTAGAAACCCAATACCCGCATAATAGAAGTACCGACTATTAGCAAAGCAGTGAATGATATAAGAGTAGCTGGGATTCCGGCCTTTAAGAAATCGGTCACCTTCAAATAACGCTTTCCCATTTCATTTTCCATCATAATGGCTGTCATATTTGGAAAACCGCTGGTCGGTAATGCCATTGCAATACTGCACATTAAACCACAAGCCATTACAAATATACGAGGATGGGGGTCACTTAACCGGCTACCAACTTCGTGAATGACTGGCAAAACAATCATGGCAGCCACCATATGCGAAACGAATGTGGCTACAACTAGTGTCAACAAGGAAAACACTAACAGTACCTTGAATGTGTCCAAGGATGAAACCGCATTTCCGATGTTAAGCGCTATTAGCTCTAGAAGTCCAGATGAAGACACTGTTTTACCCAATGCAACACCACCCATTGCTAAGACAATGACGGTCCATAAAAAATTATTGAAGTCCTCTTTCGTCAGGAGACCAGTACCAAAGAAGACGATAATAGGTATTAAAGCAATTACACCCATGTCCCCAAAAATTTCATCGTAACGTCGCTCAAGACACCAGAGTATAATTGTTGCAATAGTTACGAAAGAAATAAACGACTGTGTTTTGGTAAATTTATCTCTACTTGGACGAATCTTAGCTAATACAACGCGTTCTGATGAAGAAGACAGAAACAGCAAAAATACCCAAACGCCCAAGACACACACTGTACAAACTGGTATGGATACCGCAAACCATTCCCCCCAACCAGGTGAAGGATCCATGTTTTGCAGCGCAATAATATTTTGCGGAGAAGCGATAGGAGAAGCCATACCTCCAATATTTGATGCAAGTGCGATGCCAATTAGTAGAATTTTTGCATAATCAGACTCAGCTGGAAGATTCCTTAAAAGGGGCTGTATGATGGAGAAGCAAAGAATTGGAGCTGCAACGTTACTAATCCACATGCTGGCAAACATAGCGACTATCATATTCATCAACAATACATTTCTTGGCTTTTGACCAGCACGGGCAAGAATAGAAGTGGCGAGCCGTTTTGCGATCTGATACTTACTCAGTGCTGCAGCGATCGTAAAGCCTCCCAAGAGCAATACAATCGTTGGATTCCACATAGAAGCAAAGATGACTTTAGTCGATTCTTTTCCGGGCAAGGGGGATCCATCCTCAGCACGTAAAATTCGTAGAAAAGCGGTAAAGAAGGGAACGAGGAAAGAGGTAACGAAAAGAGGGACAGCTTCCGTAGCCCATAGCAGGGAAACTAGCACAAGGAGTGCCATGCAGTTATTTTGTTCTGTATTATCAATCATGGGGTACATTAAAATAGCAATAAATAAAGAAAATATAACAATTATAGTGAGGAGCGTAGAGCTCAAAAAGAACCTTGGAATCTTGACGTCTCCAAATTTGGTACGAATGACTATGTATTTGGATGAAAGCGGGTCTTTGTTGTTGACTGATACTACCGATTGGAGAGCCGAAATACGTGCAGCCTCAGTTCTGCGTTCTATTGCAATCATCTCTCTCCAGACGGTATTCCGCTCCCAATCAACATACTCACGAAGATGCCCACGAAGGCGGCGAATAGCAACAAAAGTATCTCCCCGGCAACACAAGTTTGCGTACCATTCAGTCACTTTATTTAAACATACTGTCAATGCGTCACGAACTTCAGCCCGGAAAGGGTACGTCTCATTTATATGGCGCATGTATGGCTCACGCAAACTGCTTCCAAGAGTTTTGTCATACTTCTTAAGGATCTTTGAAAACCCTGTCCAGTTAAGCTGTACATACGACATAAGATCATGAATGGAAATGTAAAGCTGAGTAATTTTCCGCTTCAAAGAAACAAAGTTTTCATATGCCATGATATCAGACGGATACTGTTCAACCAACAAATGGTGATGTTCAGCTGTATCTTCCTCTTCATCATCTTCCTCTTCATCATCATCCTCTTCATCGTCCTCGGGAGTCCCTACAGAAACGTCTTTCTGAAGAGCTGAATTTGAATGCTCAGACTTTAATATAGCAGTAGATTCTACTCGAGATACCGGTGGTGGATTATTAAGGTTTCCGTCACTGCCAGTGGCACCGTTGACATAGATTTGATGATCGGAGGCCGTAGAAGTCGGTACCTCTTGACTGATGGTGGAGTCACGAAGATGTCGGATATTCTTGGAATCCTTTTTGGGTCGTATAGCACTTCGTGTGCCATCTCCACTGCTGCCTTGTTTTCCGAAGCCATACTCTAATGCATAGTTGTCATACTCTACGTTCAGTTTTCCAAAGGTCTCTTCGATTTCCCGCTCTTTCGGGCTATAAAAATTTACTATTCCATCAAGTTCTTTGTCGAGGCTTGAACGAAATCGGTCATCTGGGAGTGACTGTATTTGATGGTTTAAAAGTCCCGTTTCTTCATCGACTCTTTCTAACGGGCGACCAATTTGCTCATGTTCAAGAGCATATATACTTCCAGATAGTTAGTTCATACGTTCATACTCACTCTTGCTTGTAAGCACAACACATAATTAAACCTTCCAGACGAGCTCTAGTGCTGCAACTCCAAACCTTTCCGAGTTACTTACAGCTTCTTTAGATTAGAATAACTATTCCCTCAGGTCTGCATTAGCAAATTTGTCGAGAACTTAACTTCCTACTCCTGAACTCAAACATACGCTATGTAGCTTTCCGACCATTCCGGAACGGCATTGAATTGAAGACTGTGTACATATGTTAGCAATTGCCAACCATCTCTCGAATTCACTTCTATACCTGTGACTAAACTTCATTGAAAGAAACCGTCTAGCATTCCATACAACAAAAAAAGAGAGCCACCTTAGACGTTCAGTCTATCTTCCACAAAATACTTTAAGAAATGGAAATTTGAACGGTTTTTTCTAAAAACGTTATTTATGTGAAATGTTATTGCGCACAACCTTGTCCCTTTAGTTGGATAGGAATTCTGTATAGTGAAGCCATACGCAATACGCAAAACTCATTAGAGCAGAGAGGATGTTCTCAAATATCAACTTGGCAAAAACAAGCCATTGCTTGCTTGTATTGGATTACAAGGCAATAAAAGAACGGAGATTTTGTTTTTTAAGAGATTTATTTAGAAAATTACAATTATCAGTTTGTGGCATCGAAATTTGAAATCGTTTACCTTACTGAAATCACAATGGCTGAAGTAAAAAAAGTCCCAAAAAAAAGGTTTGTTGGAAAAAACGTAAAAAAGGATAATATTTCTGGAGCATCGAAAGATGTAGAGGACACACAGCTGGTTAATACGCGCGTTAAGAGTTCAGGACGAATGGCAACTCGGATTCCCGAAGAAATATTAAATGATAAAGGCATTAATGAAGCTGTGAAATTGGTATGTTAATATATGAGTACGATCACTAGTCATTGGTTTGCAGCACATCGATGAGTTAGTGTCTTATGGAGAGCGATTTATGGAGAATAAGCTTGACATGAAACTAACGGTATATATAGCTTCCCCAAAATTACAATTTTGAAGTTCATAAAACCATTTGGCATATACGCATGAGAAAAGCAAAGCGTGTTGCTTTACAGCTTCCAGAAGGATTGTTGATGTTTGGGTGTATATTGTCTGATATATTTGAACAATTTTGCCAGGTAGAGACAATTATTATGGGAGATGTCACTTATGGTGCTTGTTGCATTGATGATTTTACAGCGCGAGCTCTTGGGTGTGATTTCTTGGTTCATTACGGTCATTCTTGTCTTGTACCCGTGGATCAGACACCAATTAAGGTGTTATATGTGTTTGTCGATATTAAAGTTGATTTGGGCCACATTATTGGATCTTTAAAACAAAATCTTCCTTCAAAATCAAAACTGGCTTTGGTTGGTACGATTCAGTTTGTTGGTTCTTTAAATACAATTAAAGAAGAATTAGAGAAAGTAGAGGAAGATGGTAAAGGAGGATTTTATTCAGTGATTCCTCAAGCCAAGCCTTTGTCTCCCGGTGAGGCTCTTGGATGTACGTCTCCGTACATTGACAGAAACGTCGTAGATGCTGTTGTTTACATTGGTGATGGTCGATTCCATCTGGAATCTGTCATGATTGCCAATCCCGGACTGCCTGCATATCGGTACGATCCTTATTCACATGTCTTAACGATAGAGTCGTATGCCCACGAAGAAATGAAAGAAATTCGACACTCGGCGATTGAGAAAGCCAGGAGTGCAAAGAAGTTTGGTCTAATTCAAGGCACCCTTGGTAGACAAGGGTCGCCAAAGGTTTTGGATAACTTGAAAGAAACATTGAGAAAGAGCAAAAAAGAGTTCGTAACTGTATTGATGTCTGAAATTTTTCCAGACCGTTTGGCACAGTTTACGGATGTGGATGCTTGGGTTCAAGTTGCATGCCCGAGATTGTCTATAGATTGGGGTTATGCTTTTCCAGCACCGCTTTTAACTCCCTATGAAGCCTCTGTCGCCTTTCAGGCTGCACCATGGCGTGAAGTCTATCCTATGGACTTCTATGCAACCAATTCACTGGGCAACTGGACTCCTAACAATCCTGAAAATCGACCATTGCCACCCAGGAAAAAAGTGGAGCGTGCTGCTGCTGCTTCTTAAAGAAAAAGAAAAATATAGGTATAAAATACACAGATAACATGGGATCGACATCGGTGAAGTCAGGTATGTAAGCATAATACCAATTGCACTCAATCGGGACAAATTCAGCGTTTTAATAAAAAAATTAGGACATAGAAGGTTATAATTAATTATTAATAAAATTTTGCGACGTTAGTTCTTTACTACTGGTACCATCATTGTTAAGTAGAACAATAATGGACTACTGAGGAATTGAAGCTTTCTATGATGAATAAAGAGTCTCCTCTATTTATTAAAAAAGGTTTCTCAAAGTATCAAGTACTGTATTAGTTACATTCAAATATGTGAAAATTACTACAGTAGCGATCCTGCACTGGGGTAACACGATTTTTCGCCGTATTTACTTCCTTCATTTACATAGCCGCAACAAATCCAAATTTGTTAGGCTTCTTTCTTTAATCTTAAAAATTCCTTCATAAAGTACGTATATTTTGAAATAGTAAGCATTGAATTGTTTTTGGGATTGTTTGGTGATAATGTTTTGATGTTTAAGTAATGGCCGACGGAATTGAAAAATTCATGACTTGCAATCGGTTCAATCATAATTGAGAAAAGATTTGTTAACATAATATTAGAGAGAGGAAAAGTTTAACTTGCTGTGGATTTCTGGTTTTAATTGTTACTTGTTTACATAAAAATTGCTTCTACATATACAGCCATTCTTCTGAAACCATCCCGATAAACGTTCATTGTCGTTATAAATTGTATTATAGGTGCTTTTCTCATTTCTGAACGAGTAAACTATCATGGATGGAATGCAGATGAATTCCACCGGGGATGTCCCTATCGAGTATGACTTTGAAAATTATGCTAATCACATGAACAAATATTTGTATGCACACATTGTTTGTATGTTAATTGCCTACGTTTTTATTCTTCCAAGTGGTATCGTTTTGGCCATGGCCAAAAGCAAAGCCCATATTCCCGTTCAAGTGACCTACGTATTATTGACCCTTGTCGGCTACATATTTGCTCATATGTCTCATCACCATGCTTCTCATACTGATTATTATAAAGGAAATATTCATCGTCCGGTAGGAAGAGTTTTCATGTGGATGACATTTTTGATTGTAGTATTTGGTATTGTTACAGCTTTTATAAAACGTACGCTCTTAAAGGATTCTTCTTCAAATCAATTCCTTGATTCACCATCAGTTGATGGAAGGAAACCGGAACAACCAATGAAGGATACTCTGAGTTATGGTGCACCTCTGTTAGAAAACGAAGACAGTCAAGAAGACTTGGAGTCAAATTATGAAGGCACAAGTCCTAGAGACAATCAGTCGACATTTGCTTTTACTAACTTGCGAAAAGCTGCTGCCCCAAAAGGAAAACTTGTTTTATTATCGGTGTTGCGTTATACCCATAGAATTTTAGGACATTTATGGTTGTACTTGGGGTTCTTTGAAGTATGTACTGGAATTGTTTTATTCGCCGGAATTTTTAAAGGAAGTCATATTTTTAACGGTCTTGCCCATTGGATAAAGGGAGGCCTTTTCTTATGGTACGGAATTTTATCTTTTGGAGAGTACCTTGGTGCCTTCGCTGAATACGGATGGGCATGGAATATACGACCAAAAATAAGTCAACGCGGGTTTAAACGATTCGTCCCAAGCAAGGAAATGGTCGAGTCTTCCATTCTTTTCACTTACGGGATTTCCAACGTTTGGTTAGAGCATCTTGGTAATACAGACGGGATCTGGAATCATCACGATTTGCAACATGTCTCCATTGCTTTTATGCTCTGGTGGGCAGGCTTATGTGGTATTCTTGTTGAATCAAACATGGTTCGCAGATTTTTGAACAATAGCTTGTCTTATGCCTTAAATCAATCTCCTCATGAAGGAAGTTCTACTTCTGACGAGAGTCCATCTGTTTCGTTAAATCTTTTTCCTGCGGTAACTGTGTTTTTTACTGGTATTATGATGTCGTCTCATGAACAGAAAAGTCAAATATCTACCGTTATCCATGTTTATTGGGGTCGATTACTTTCAGCGGCAGCCGTTTCTCGTGCTTGCACATACGCTTTACTTTATTTGAAACGACCTAGTTCACCATGGCCAACCCGTCCTCCAACAGAAATCATCACAAGCTTTTGCTTGATCTGCGGAGGAATAATGTTTATGGCATCTACTTATGATGTGGTTAATAAAATTCGCGTCAATGAGCTATCTGCTATGTTGCTCATGAATCTAAGTGTTGCCTTAACTTGTATCATTATGGGTCTTGAGCTATTCTTTTTAGGACTGAAAGGATATGCTCTTGTAAAACAAAATTAATTAATGCTAACATAATGAATGAAGGGCGTAACATAACCGCCCTTTGTTGCCGCCTATAGATTGTATTAACATGGTGAAACATGTTTTGCAGCACAACAACGGCATTAACATAACTAAAATGACAAAAAAAAGTTCAAAAAAAAAAATTTTAGACAAACCAATTTCCTTAGTAATATTTTTTTATTTGTTCAAATAGAATATTTTTAATATCCAAGACAAGATTCAACAAATTCGAATCTGCCCATTTTATTTTCATATATAAAACAAACGACGAAAGAACAAAAATCACAAAAAATTAGATATCCGAACCAAAAAGAAAACGTATCAATTAGATGCATCGTAAGCTTGCTTACGCTTCACACGACACCACATACCAACATTTGAATCGGTGATAAATTGGTAAATGATTCCACTCCAACTCTTGCAATCAGGAATGTTGTTATAAAATTCAGGAGCTAATTCACGTACCTTGGCGATACGGGTCCAAGCAACGTAAGGGAAGTCATGATGTTCGATGTGGTAACCAGCGTTATACACAAGAATATTAAGTGGGCCATAGTAGCTGAATGTTTCCAAAGGAGTATCCTTGCCAGGACCTTCCTGAATTAAGCGAGTACGAGTCACATTGTAGTGTTCACTAAGAAAATGGCCTGCGGTAGGATGTAAGCTGCCAGCCATGAAGGAGCTCAAAAAGAAGTAGGCCATAGATCTCCATCCTAAAAATTTGACTATCAAAAAGTCAAAAATGAATTGAACAACTACGTTCCAAAAATGTAAACTTGTCAAAGGGAGCTGACGAACAAACATAGGACGAAAAGCATAAAAGAAGAGTTGGAAAGTACAGAAAAAAGCCTTTCCAAGAACGTTGTCCAAAAGGACGAGTTCCAAGGAAGTCGGTAAATCTGTGTCGAAGCCATCGACACCTTGAAACCTGTGATGCTCCATATGATAAGGGCGAAAGCTGGCAGAGTATGGAGCACCTACAGGAAGATTTGCAATAAAAGAAAAAAGGCGGTTATGAACAGCGCGTTTAAAACCTAAGTTGTGCGAGAGTTCATGGATGGCTAGAAAGACGTTTTGGTTACAGAATGCACCAATGAAGTAACCAGTGAGTAGAAATTTCCAGTTCCAAGGATTTGTTTTGGACAACAGCGTCGCGCAAGTTAGCTGAAGGAAAACGACAAAAAGAACTACCCATTTCGTCTTTGGTTCATATCCGTTTAGAGAAGCAACCTGAAATGGTGTTAGTACTAATGTTATGAGAACGCTTTGACGACAATGAAAAGAGAAGTAAAGAAAACAAAAAAAAATTATTCTTCGTTTTCTTTGTCAACATAGAAATTGTTAGACCAACTATTTCTTACCTCTGGATGAGCCTTGAGAATGGCAGCTCTTCGACTTTTATGTGGTTCTTCCGTGTAAGTCCAATAAAAATCATGAGCTTTGCTAACATCCTCATTTACAACGTCTTCATTAGGGCGGTCTGAAGGGAATGTACCATTAGTAACGTTGCAACGTTTCTGCGTCATTCTTTTGTTTTTAAGCCAGGCGAAACAAAAGACGAATAAATTTAACAAAAGCAATAAAAATAAATAACAATAATTTAGAAAATCAAAGCAATGCTTGAATTTTCTCCATAGAGCAACTTTCCTTACTGAAAGTGGTTAAAGTAACGTAAAGATGCCAAGTATACGTGGCGCTTATATAGGAAGCAATAGCATGTTGAGATCCGTTGCTGGAAGGAATTGGTCGGTAAATTACCAATTTATTTACATTGACAGTATTTCATATTCAAATGATGCCGAAAGTATGGAATAAATCCGTAAACGGACGAGACGGTATGGTATCGTCGGTAGTTATGTGAGTGTATGTCGGAATTTTTTCAAAGGTGAGCAGAAAGGAAAACATTCACTTAAATGAAATTCTCGCTTTTATATTTTTCAGCCATTTGTTGCGATTTTGCATCTAACGTCAGTTGGATGAACAGTTGAAAAGACTTATTAAAATAGTGACATGTCTTCAGAGATCCGAATAGACAGTTGGATTTAAGAAAGGTGGACTATTGCTCCTTTTCATTAGCATGGCTTGGATATACAATTGACTACTGTGTTTGCCTTTACATGGTAGCATCGCATCTACAGTTGGCATGAATTTTTAGTTTTTCTATATTTGTTTGTTTAAAAGAAGATTTCTCTTTTTTTATTGTTATAAGATATTTCAAGCATCGCTCTTGGATTTACTCTTTACTCTTGGGTCGAGAAATTATTCTACAGAAAAAGCAAACTCTTTCTCACCAGCTAGCGTTTCTGTTGTATCGCACCTGTTGCAATTTTTTCTGAGTTCCGAATATAAATTTTTGAATAATTATAAAATGACCATGATTAACGATGATGTTTCGAAAGAATTAGGAAATTATATGTTACGAGGATATACTCTTCTCGACACTGTTTGTCCTGAATGTCAAAAGGTTGCCAAATATATTATTTCAAAATGGGCTTTTTACTAACAATAACAGGTTCCTATGATGAGGTTGAGAGACCAACCCATGTTTTGCGTTGCATGCATTGACAAACCAAAACCAGAGCAATTGAAAGAAGAGGACTTAACACTACATGAACCATCATTATTAGAAAGCTTTCCTCAAGGACCTGATACTGTACAGCAACAAAAGGGTTCTTCTTCTCGGACAAACATTGAAACTCAACAAGTTCAGATGAATCAATCTTCTCAAAGAAAGCGAGAATCCGTCTATGTGAAGCTTGCTGATGAGCTGGAATCTCAGCTGGAAGATTTCCTGCCAATTCCTCACGATGAATCTCGAGAAGTCGCCTTCCAACAAATTGAACGTATTCTCCAGCTCATTGAACTCACTAAAAACTTACAAGCCAAAAAGTAGTTTATTACTTTAGACGAAAAATAAAATTATGATTCAAAAATGGGTTCATTTTCTCGTTATTTTACATGACAGTATATGTTCTTAGTAAACACTATGTAAGCTATACATATTATAAAACTTCAATTCAATTCATTTTGATGTAGATGCGAGTACAAACTCATTCAACCAAAATTGCATAGTAGATAAACATTTGTTTGTATCTTGCTACCATTTTTTCTTTTTTCTTTTTATTATTATCATTTTTACTCTATTTTGTTTATTAACGCAGTCTTTTTGAGTATGTTATGTGTTTTAACGTACCAGAGATATTGCTGGCATAATAAAAAACTAAATCAATTCATCCTTTTGTCTACAACAATGGCTAGAAAAAAATCCAGAAGCAATTCTGCTAAAAATCAAGCTAAAATCGACCAACCTATAGACGAACGAGCAAAGGTGGACGCCATTCAAACATACGACGATGTTGCGGATTCTGAAGATGAATTTTACAAGTCGCAAGACAAAATTCTCTTCGATGGCGACTCAAATAGGAAGGCAGATGAAGATCAAATGAGTCTTAGTGATGAGGAAGTGCTTGGTTTAGAAGGATCCAGTGACGAAGAGAACGAGCAAGATGTCGAGGGCGCGACTTCTGATGAAGAAGAATTAACGGGTCAAAAGAAGGGACCCGTTGATGAAGAAGAAGCTTTTGATGAGAAGGGTTGGGGACGTTCAGCTAAATCTTATTATGGAGGTGATGACTACGACAATGAAAATTATGATGAAGATGATGAAGAGTTTGATGCTCGTATGGAGGAACAAGAAGCGCTTCGTCTTCAGAGGAAGCGTCTTGAAAAATTGACTGAAGAAGACGCCGTTGATGATATTAGTCAATGGGCCGATAAGTCAAAGATTGATTCTTCTCAATATGAGGACGGTTTAGCTACAATTGAACAACTTGACCAAAAAATATCCCCAGACATGCCCCGGTCAGAGTTGCTTAAGATTCTACGTACCAAGAACCCTGAATTTGAGCTCTTCATGGAAGAATACAAAGACCTTAAGCCTTCGTACAAAGAAATAAAAGAAAAATTAGAAAGTACACCCACAGCTCTCCTTCAAGCTCAAGTCAATGCTTTGGGTGCCTATATAGCTTTTCTTACATTCTATTTCGCTCTTTTGCGTGGTGGTGAAGAGGACATAAAAAATCATCCAATTATGACGGATCTTATTCGCTGCAAGCAAACTTGGGAATCCTTCCGCGATCTTGATGATGTTCAAATATCCAAGCATGAACCTCAAGGAGAAGAAGCAACGAACGACCGCTTGGAAGACCCAGCATCAGAAGCTTCTGAAGAAAACGAAGAGGATGACAATCTATCAGACATGCAGGATTCTGCGGAAGAATTAGACGATGAAGAGCTGGTTGATGGTGGAAGAGAAGCTTATAAAGTTGATGAAGAAAAGGAAGACGATGAAGAAGACGACATTACATCGAAGTTCCGAGAAGCAAAGGCCAAAGGTGTTCAAAAGGCTCTCCACAATGTCGATGACTATGGCGAAAGTCTTATGCTCGATTCCATGGATGCAGAGGAGAAGGCTGCAAAACGACGTTCTCTTAGATTTTACGCAAACCAAATTGACCAGAAAGCAGCTAAGCGATCCAGAGCTCAAACAGATCTTTCTGGTGACACGGATGTGCCTTATAAGGAACGTCTTTATGAGCGTCGTCAACGTTTGTTACGAGAAGCTGCTGCACGTGGACAAGATCAGGCTCAAGGTGCTGATTTGGATGAGGAAGATCCTGAGAACGAAGGTCTCCTTGCGAACAAGGACCGAGAAGTTGATTTTGCAGACCAAGATGCTTTAGAATATTATAACGCTGTATCCTCAAAATCTAAGAGTGAGAAACGTAAGAGAAAAGAAGATCATAACTACGAGCGTGATTTGGTACGGGCCTCTAGACATCCTGAACTCTTTGAACTTGGTGAAGGAGATAAGCGTGGAATTACTAGGGACATTGCCACAAACAGAGGTCTTACTCCTCATAGACCGAAAGAAAACAGAAATCCTCGTCTTAAGAAACGTATGCGTTACGAGAAAGCGAAGAAGAAGCTTGGTAGTAAAAAGGCTATCTATAAAGGTCCTCCCAAGCACGGTTATGGTGGTGAAGAAACTGGTATCAAGGCAGGCCTTGTTAAAAGTATTAAATTTCAATAGGTTTAATTTGATTTTTGGAAAAATTCAGTGTTTGGTTAAGGTTGGTTTTTGGGACAGTCTGAGTTATACTTAATTGGATTAAACAGTCTTTACGTTGGTATAACTTCTTTTTTGATACATGTTGCATATATCTGGGTAATTAATAATAATCATCTTACACCCGTCATAAACAAAGTAGTAAATCGTGAAATTATCTGACAACATGAAAAGATTAGAAATCGACATTTATGTTTTCCGCCTTCTTACCAAGTAGCTACATACACAGACAACCTTATGAAATGCTATTGCATTCCTTCAGTTACTACTTGATAATTTACGAAGTATGTTTCAAGAACATTGTAAGTTTTTGCAGAAGGATTGTTTCCATTATATAAATAGTGCTGAAAGTAATAAACGATCATATAGTCAAAGCATATTAAAGGGCTTAGTAGGTAAGCTCTTAGAAATGTTCTGAACGCAAATTATAAAGTAACAAGAAAAAAGAAAGTAAAATTTAAATAACCAAAACGAAAAGAAACGCCAATGAACTCAAGATATCATTAAAACAAAAGCCATTACTTGGCAAGCCGAAGCCTAAGAAGGGCACGGACGTCCTGAACATATTGCAAAGCATACAAGAAAGATAACAAATTTAATAGATCAACGTCGCTAGGATCGCTAATCCAACCCTCCACCGGAATAGCATTCTCCTTATGAATGTCATAGCTGGCAGGGGAATTGTCGATTATCATAATACGTGATAAATGAATTTTACATACACTTAGGTCTTTAACAAAAGAGCTATTCACAAGCGTGCAATGCTGACGATAATAACGCTCTACGAAAAGCTTCTTGTCTCGTTCAAGATAATCGATAATGGGATCTGCATACGGTTGCACGGAAGCCGTAAACAAGACCAAATGAAACCACTCGCTGACATTCGCCAAAAAATAATCCAAATGAGGCCGTTTGTGTATGTAATACAATATTGGGTGCTCGCCAGGAACATGTACTTCTATCGGTTGACCAGAGGTAGTTCTACTACCGCGAGAAACTGAATGAATCAAGGTTTCATCCAAGTCAAGAACTAAAGTCTTCTTTGGAAGTTTATTGGAAAGCAAAGGTCTTGGAATTCTGTCGGCGCAAAGAGTGATGTTGCGAATGCGCATATTTGATGCAGATGGCGACTTGAGTGGATCATTAATTATAGTAAAAGAGGCGGAAACATTAGGACGATGCGATAATGATGAAGAGGAGGAAGATGAAGGAAAGGAAGGTGACGAATTTGGACTGATAACAGGACCCTGGGTGTTATGGCCGATCTTTTTAGATGGTAATTCTTCTGGTTGTTGACTTATGGGATCAGAGACGGTAACGATATCTTCTTCAGTTATAGAATCAGGAAGTAAGTGACGGACGAGAGGTGTGCTATGGGAAAGAACGTTGGACTCGGAACGAAAGTTGGGATAACGGTTTTGACGAAAAGATGGAGTTGAGTAAGATGAATACATCTTTGGACGTTTAGGACGAGTAGGGAGAGTTCTCCGACGACGTCTAGCGGTTTGAAAGGCAGGAAAGAAGATGATACGACAAAAGCCCCAAAGAAAGCTGAAAAATGTGACTTTTTTATTTTCATCGACAAACTGCATTAAAGTTGTCTTTAAAATATGGAAAAACAGTGTGCAAATTCGTTTTAAACATATGCGAAGCCAGTATGCAATCACTCGCATAATGTTGGCATGGCGAACCTGCACAGAACCATCTTCTTCATTAGGAGCCTTTTCCAGATTTGTTTTGACATACTGTTGATTTTTTATGATGCTTTCAACTGGCGTTTCCTCTTCAAAGTGAGCGTGGTATTCCTCTTCCTTACTTTCCGCCTCAAACGCAGTACTTTTCTCATTTTTCGATGATCTTTCTAATGGCGTAGCAAGAATTGCTTTGTTTATTTCATCTGATATTTTTGCAATTGAATTCATTCCAAGGGATTTTTAAACCATGCAGTTTAGAATTGATTCAGGCGTCAATCCTTCGGAACTTTTACAATTCAGAACTAATCTACACACAAAAATATCTTTCCCAAAATATGTTCTGGTTAAGAGCAAGATATAACCTGAAACTGGTCGTCAATCACCGGTGGTACGACTTATAGGTGATGAGCAAGAGCGTATGTACCTAGACCAAACGAAAGTAACAGTTCGCAACAACTGGAATCATTGTTTCAATGTACAGAAATTTTTCTTTTTTTATTAAAAATTTTTATTCACTAATAAAACTGTGAGAAAATAGCCTGTAACTGACTAGCAGTTCTTACATGTTAAAAAAGGGTATCATATTATTGTAGAATGATACAAAAACCAGTGAGCAAAAAGAAAAATACAAGGATCTCTGAGGTTTAAGTGGAAATTATAAATGCAAGTTAATGTAAGTATAAGAATATAATATGAAAAGCGACGCGAATCAAAAGTCGTTTTTATTTACATATTTGTTTATGTCACTTTATTCTTTGGATTGCTACCCATTATTTGGTTTTCTATAACCAAACACCCACTTACCCTTGAGCAGAGCTCATACAGAAAGAACACTGAGCTCGATGTCAACATGGCCGGCTGATGCGATCTACAACACTTCTTTTATTTCATTGGACTATGGTTTAGTTGGTGCTGGTCAATTACTAGATTCCAGCGGGACTCACCGTGCTTCAACAGTTGATCAGAACAAATGGGCTTTTACGCGTTCTCCATTTCATGCGGATAGTGGATTTGTACAAACAAAATATACATGGAAAATACTACCAGGAGATTCTAACTACAAGTTTCCAAACATCGGACGTCTTTCTAGTGAAGCTACTTCGCTGGCATCAAGTGCAAACGATGCAATCCGCACCGACGGTATTTTCTGCTATATTCCGCATGAGGTTCTATATCCTTTAAGTAGAGAGTCGTATCTTACAACAGAAGCTGGCAAGGTATTTGACTCATCGATTATCAACACATCGGCTATTGGAATTCTTCCTGCTACACCTCAAAGTCGGTTTCTTCCTACACAATGTTTTGCTTTCATTCAAAATCAAAAAGAAGAAGGAAACCATTTTCTGTACCTTTGCAAACCGTCTACGTGGATGTTCCAAGCAACCCCGAAGTTGCAGTCTGCCTTGGGTATGGAATCACAACCTTTTTCGTTACATGTTCCGGCTTTTCACTTGCACCCATATCCTTCATGGAAATTCCAGGAACCAATCTTACAAGTGATGTTTGGGCCTGAAGCATCGTCCCTTCTTTACGTACTAACGGCCACGGAGGTCGTACTATTTAAAATCAGTTATCATATTCTTTTTCTTGAACAGAGTGATTTTCCTGCTTTCATTTCTGCTATCCCTTTACGATTTCTTTATGCAAAGGATGTTTATGATTCCGATGCCTTCGTCCATATGTCTTCGCACCCTTCTGATCCCTCCCTTTTTGCTACCGTATCTGCGTCAGGGAACTGGAAATTATGGCAAATATTAGAAGATGGTTACCGAGAGTATCTTTCGGGTACTTTTCAAGCCACTTATGATGCTGCTCTTTCCCATATTCCATTTGCCAGTAAGAGTGATGACACAGACCAACAAGAAGTACCATCACCGTCGAAAAATAGATATAGAATAATTTGGGAGGCTAGCTCCTTTGGACTACTATTAGCAAATGAAGAAGCTGTAGTACATATTCATCCCTCGAACCCGTCTATTCCGCGTCTGTTATATAAATGTGACAAGGACTCAGCTATTTTACAAGTATCTTCAGAGGTACTGCATGTTGCATCCGAATTTTTTATTTTAACGACAGATGCAGTTATATGGATGGATATTCAACAGCCAATTCAACCTCTACTGGTTTGGAAACATCATCGTAGCCGTGATCCTACCCTTCAAATGAAAGTTTTCAACGCTTTTATAGAAAACATTTACGTATCATTGTATTCAGGACTAAATGGAATTATTCAAGAATTTCATTTTTCTAAAGATAGGGCGCTTGCTATCTCCTCGGGACCTCCGTTTCTTCTCTTGCATGATATCCAGGTCCCTATACAATCATTAACAATGCAACCGTGCTACTTCATTGATGCTGAGGATGGCCAGACTACACAAGACTCTCGCTTTGACTCCCCGTTTTGGTCAGTTATAGTTCATCGTTCCGATGGTTCCATAACTATAAACTTGATATGTGAAAAAAGTTCTTCGGAGTTATATGAAATAGAGGAGGTAAACGATTCAACTCGACATTTGGCATCTTTGAAGTACTTAAGTCTAGACGACAGGGAAAAAGATGTCGATAATTTTGAAAAAGAAGCAGAAGTTTATAAAACATATATCATTCATCCTTCCGTCAGGAAATTACAAAATTGGCTTACCTCTAAAACCGAAGAATCAGGTCTAATTTCCCTTAATGACTTCTCCATACAATTAAAAAACGATCTGCAAGATAAACAAATGTTATTTAGCGAGTCAATAGTGACTTTATTTGATTTATTGCAAAGTAAAAAGCTGTCTACCCAGTTTAAAGGACTGGACGAGGTGGTGGATTATATAAAAGGTACCGCCATTCCTGAATATTTTCCGCATATCTCCCATTTAAGCTTATCCTCAAATAATAGTGATGCTTTACACTCTAAAGAGCTCCTAGAGAATCTATCTAGAGTTTGGGTAACTCCATTGGCTTCAAATACTGAGTTCAAATCATTGATTGATTTTAGACTGAACACTTTGCATCACATAAGTAATTACGTTTTAATGTCTTCTGTTGGGTTTGCTAAACTTTTTCCTGGTTCTACTGAAGATGTAAATCTTGAGTCTTTTAAAAGTGCTGAACTATCTTTCATTTCACCTTTTCAAACTAAGCAGCCTGTGAAACTTCACGAAGATGCAAGTGAAATGCTAAAGGGGTGGAGTTTAGGGAAAGTTAATACTACATACAACATCGGAGATTCATCTGTCGATATATCTGAGCCATTAACCAGTCAGACCCTTGAGTTTACTGAGCCTTCATTGTCGTCCTTTGTCCTTCCTTCCAGTCAGATTGCTACAGTACATTCAGAGGATGCTCTTCCTCCATCACAGTCATCATCCTTTCCTGAATTTTCAAGCCAGGCTACACCGGTTATGTCTCAGGTCGTCACGGGTAAGTATGGAGCAAGACCAAAAAAGAAGAAGAAGAGGAGTGGCTTTTAGAGCTTTTGTTTTTGTAAATTTAAGAATTGTATAATACATCTGGGATAAAAGTTATATTACGTGTATGCAAATAGACGAATCTCATCTAAGGCATACGGATAAAGTGATTTAGTTTTCTAACATTTGTTATAAGTTATTCAATCATATTATTATGATAGACGACATCTTATTTTTTTGTTCTATCAAACAATAGCATCTTCCAATAAATTAGCCAACCCAGTAAGCATAACTTCTGCGTATCACTTTTCGTGTAATTTCAAAAGTATATCCACCGTGAGTGATGCCCGAATTATTTCAATTTTGAACTTGAAAGTAAATAAAGTATTTGTTTTAACCTAAACAATTTGTCGTAAACTACATAACCAGCCCGCGTGTTTTAACCTTTACTACTCAATTATCATTTCTTGCTAGAAAAAATTGTGTTTTATTTATGAATATTATATGTATAGCATAGTAAAGGTCGACTACTTGGAGTAAATATGTTTATTCTGCAAAAGATTTTACCACACCAGTCATTACGGCTGTTCGAGTCTAAACGCGTATATACAATTCGTCTTTTTGGAAAAATTCTTCGTCCATATCAAGAAGAATGTATCAACTCTTGCATAGCGGCATTCCAGGCAGGAAAGAAAAGGGTTGGCATATCTTTGGCTACTGGATCTGGTAAGACCGTAAGTGTGTATTTCCTAGGTTACTTTCTAACAGTGCTAAAGGCTCTTTTCCCACATCTCGTTCAAAAGACACCTGAATTAAGAACCAATGCCAATCAATGTTTAATCCTTGTGCATCGAAGAGAACTTGCTCAGCAAGCGTATGCAACTTTCTTGGAAATTTTTAATAAACAGGTAAATTATATATTAGTCAAAATTATCATTCTAATTTGAAAGGACGTTGAAGTTGATATGGGCTCGCAGCATGCTACTGGCAATGCCCCTATTACTGTGGCTTCTCCCATGTCACTGAAAGGAGATCGATTAGAAAAATATAATCCAAAAGATTTTAAACTAATTATTGTTGATGAAGTGCATCATTTGGCAGCTCCTACTTACCTTCGAGTTTTAAGGCATTTTGGGGCAAACGAAGCAAATTCACAAGTCTACTTGGTTGGTCTCACAGCGACCTTTTATCGTGCGGATGGGAGATCTCTTAGTGCTGGGGTTGATGAAATCGTATACCATAGGTACTGTGATCTATTTAGGAATCCACTAACACCTGCAGACATTTTGTTGACATGATAGGCGAAAATTGGTAAATCTCAATACTTTCTATTCTAAAAAATTCTAACTGAGATAAGGCTAGTTCAACAAAGAGTGATTGGAATAAATTGGTCGCCGAATTTGAAGTTAGCAGAATCAACGAATCGCGATGATTGCGAAATGTTTGAGCGTGAAGTTCAATCAAAAACCGCTATATTTGAAATTCCTCAGGCATGGATAAAGCATGCCAGTAAGTCCACGTTTTTATTAATCAAGGCCTCACTAACTGAAGTAGGAAATCGCAACTCAACGCTTGTTTTTTGTACCACAGTAGAGCACTCGCTAAAAGTTTGTAATGCTTTTCGAACGTTAGGGATTGATGCAAGGGTTTTATCTGGTCGTACCAATTCCGATGAAAGAAGAAGCTTAGTAGAGGAATTTCGAGAGAAAAAGTTTCCCGTACTTGTAAATTGTTTGGTATTGACTGAAGGTGCTGATATTCCCAATATCGATTGCCTTATTATTGCTCGCCCTACCAATTCTCCTAATTTATTGACGCAGATGATTGGAAGAGGTTTACGCATGTCTCCTGGTAAAAAAGATTGCTTAGTATTGGATTTCTGTGATTCTTTCAATCGCGTTCCTCTTCACATGCAACCCACTCTTTCTGGAATTTTAGAATTTGATTTTCCGTCTACCTCTAACAAAAAAAAGGATACCGCCCTGCAAGTTGCAGATCACGATCCCGGAAAAGTTGGTCTTCATAGCACTCTCCACTATAAAAAGGTTCGACAGCTTTCTGATTTATTAAAAGACATGGAAAAAAATGACAAGAATATATACTCAATTTCTCCTAACGCATGGGTGCCTTTAAGGATGAATCGCTATGCTCTGTCAACGACTTCAGGAGCGCTTGTCGTTGACGCTGACAGTGATTCCGGAAATTATAGTGTCATTGCTTACGAAAAGCAAAAATTGGGTGATTATACATATAATAAAAAAAAAGTTATAGGAACCAATATTAATAGCCTTGACTTGGCAATCCGAGGTGCTGACAGTTATGCCGAACGCTATAAGTTACCTTCTGCTTTAATATCAAGAAACGCTACTTGGAGAAAAAAACCTGCCTACAAATCCCAGAGAGAAATACTTGAAAACAAAAAGATACCTTTTGACAGAGATACCTTGACAGCAGGTGCTGCCGCTGATATGATCACTAGGCTAATTTATGGGAAGAAGACCACGAAACGTAAGGATCAACTAAAAAACTATCTATCTAATCCGGGGCAAATTGGACGATTGAAGGAGTTTAAGACATATGTTCGGAAACAATAGGTATCATAAATGATTTGAATTCACGGATCATTCACCCTCTAATAACTATTTATTGAAGAGAATTAAATAGATTATTCGCATTATCTTTCTTTATCCAATTCAGTTTTCTTTGTTTTCTATATCTAGTTTCAATAATGAAGCTAATTTTTGCTCCCAACCAGCAGATTGAAATTCGTCAAACTCGAAACAAGTCTCCCCGCCCAAAAAGAAATCACCCTGCTGAGTACGAACTAAATCCACCATATGGGCTTCACTTCCAATATGATGGGCAAGGTCATGTATAACAGATCTCACATAAAATCCTGAAGAAACACTCATATCCAAAACCGCAGAAGGACCAATTGCAGGACGTGATCCACGTTCCAAATCAGTTACCTCTAATTTTCTTTTTTTAGGCTTTGGTTCATTTTTGTCTGTTCCACCATTATCTTCTGTTTTGGTAATACTTTCGCCAGAAGCAGTTTTGACAGCCGAATCTTCTTCAACATGGGATTTCTGAGAATCATCTGTCGTTTCTTGAGGAGAGTTATGTTTTTCAGTAACCTCTGAATTACTATCAACCTCCTTCTTTTCTTTATCGGAAACCGGGCGTAGGAGTTCTTCCGACTTGATTTCTTCTTTGCTTGCAAAAACATCAGGATCGTTATAATTATGCTGTCCTTTTTCGTGAAATTCCACAAGTTCAAGGTGATCACATTTCATGGGACGAGGTTTTACATTTTCTGGAAGGGGTAATCCTTCTCGGGCATATTCATAAAGGCGTTTTCCTTGTATATGCAAAGCGGAATACAATGGAGGAATCTGAAGAATATCACCACGAAATGCTGCTAAGCCATCTGCAATCTCTTCTTTGCTAGGGATTTTTGAAGCAACACGGATGATTTTTCCAGAGGAATCATAGGTATTCGTGGAGCATCCAAATAAGCAGGTGGCTTTATATTTTTTTACGCAAGACAATAATTGCGGTAACTGTTTTGTTCCAATTCCTAGACCAACAACCAAAACTCCTGATGCCAAAGGATCCAGTGTACCACCATGACCAATTTTAATGTCATTGCGCTTCCATTTCTTGCGCTTGCTATTTTTATCATTAGGATGGGGAGGGTCCGACTGAAAAAACTTTGCCAATTCGCTCTTAGAAATAATTGCCTTAATTTCTATATTTTATTTATTTAGTAAACTCCTTCTAAACGAATTGGAGATTGATGCGCTCTTGTATGCTTAACTTCTCCAACGATCATTCCGTACCATTCAAACATTGAGCTGAAGATTTACCAGACGGTTTATTAATAGAGATGAGTCCTCCTTTCATATTAGAAGCAAGACAATGTCAGACTTACGAACGAAATAAATTTTATTTCTACTAAAGACAAAACCATTACAGCTGTTTTTACGAACTGCACTCCAGCTCGAATTTTTGGATTTTAGGGTAGGGGTGGACATTCGTGACTGCTATTGGGAAACCACCGACAAAAATGGTAGAACATTGAAAGCGTCAAATTCTCCGTCTACAGAAATGGCTTTCGTTAAGCAGGTCAAGAGCAGCCCTTACTTTTCACGCTTCCAAACGAAGTACCGTCGTCGTCGTGAAGGTAAGACCGACTACTATGCTCGTAAGCGCTTGATTTCTCAAGCCAAGAACAAGTACAATGCACCAAAGTACCGTTTGGTGGTTCGTTTCTCTAACCGTTTCGTGACCTGCCAAGTTATCTCTTCCAGAGTTACCGGTGATTATGTTCTTGCCGCTGCTCACTCTTCTGAACTTCCCCGTTACGGTATCAAGTGGGGTTTGGCTAACTGGTCTGCTGCTTATGCTACCGGTCTTTTGGTCGCTCGTCGTGCTCTCATCAAGATTGGTCTTGCTGACAAGTACGAGGGTATTACCGAACCTGAGGGTCAATTTGAACTCACCGAAGCTATCGAGGACGGTCCTCGTCCCTTCAAGGTCTTCTTGGATGTTGGTTTGAAGCGTACCTCCACTGGTTCTCGTGTTTTCGGTGCCATGAAGGGTGCTTCCGACGGTGGTTTGTATGTTCCTCACTCTCCTAGCCGTTTCCCCGGTTACGACATTGAGTCTGAGGAATTGGATGATGAGACTCTCCGCAAGTACATCTATGGTGGTCACGTCGCTGAATATATGGAAATGCTTATTGATGATGATGAAGAGCGCTTCCAAAAGCAATTCTCTAGCTTGATTGCTGATGGTATCGAAAGTGATCAACTCGAAGATATCTATGCTGAAGCTTTCTCTAAGATCCGTGAAGATCCTAACCCCAAGAAGAGCGACAAGGATGTTTCTGCTATCAAGGCCGAATCCCTTAAGTACAAGCAAAGAAAGCTTACTGGCGAAGAACGCAAGGAACGTTTCAACGCCAAGGTTGCTGCTGCTGGCCGTGTTTAGAAAGGTTAATATCTTATTTACAATACTATATATGGTTTTTTGAGGCACTAACCAAATTGGTTTCGATTGACTGTAGAAGTTGACTAAACCATCATTGTAATCAACCTTGTAACTTGCAACCATCATAAAACTTCAAAGTGTTCACCAGTAAAACCAGTAGAATCGCACATTCTCAAAGTCTTGCTAAACGACTTCCCTGTGTTATTTGGTCTAGTTATAGTTTATTTTGGGTATTTCCGTAATGAGATATTCTGCTATTTTTTATTATTGAATTGGCAACTTCCTTTTTTTGCCAAGCTTAAAACTTCATTGTCTCAGTTTACCAACAGTAATCATCAATCTCCATCGTTTATAAATTATTCTAGGAAACGAGCTAGGATATTTCATATCGCTTGTCAGCTTGAAGCATTTTGATACGAGAAAAAGAAAGTTATATAGGTCATTCGTGTTGTCAGTGTTTTTGTTACCACTGAATTTTTCTACAAGAACAAAAAAAAGAAACTTCTCATATGGACCCAAATCAACAATCAGATCGTGTCCGATCTTCTCGTAAGTCATCAATTTCTTACATTCACTAACTCATCATGTATCTATAGTCCTTGATCAATGCAAAACGTTTCTTCCTCAGTTGAAAGAGGCAAATGAGGAATTGCAAAATTCTGAGGGCAAACATGACCTTCAAGATCTTTCCAATGATGAAAACTATATAGAAATGGTATGTTATATTTATAAAAACGACAATCACTAAGATGTATAGGATTTGGCACTAGGTGTTTTGGAAGAACAATCTGCGAAGCATAATGAGCTAGAGCAAGAATCATTGAACGCTGAAAAAGGCGATGATGAAGTAAAGGAAAACCCACTAGAGCATCTTTTGAACATTTACCATCAACAGTTGGAAAATCCGTCTGATAATGACACGACACTGACAGACTTCCTTGGAGAAAAACTTAGCAAAGCTGCTCAAGCAGATTTGGAGCAGAAGCCAGATGAATCAGACGAAAGCAATTTACGTGAAATTGAGACAAAGACTACAAAAAAAATATAATTACGAAAAAGTATCAAGAGAGAGATGCGTTAGGTTAAGGCTGTACAAAATTTCATTACCGCTTAGTACGTATAAACCATATATAGGTGTAGATATGAATCATTTACTCGTATACTTTGAATCAATTCTGATTCCACATTAGAGTTCGTTTAATACTTTCAAACCAATCGGCATCATCTTCTGAAGAATGCACGGTTGGGAAAGGATATCGTGAAATACGAACGGTCAAATAATCTCCTGGTAATAGTTCAGTTCGATTTCTACCGTCGAAAGAAATCCTGATGTAAAATGGTTAGATAATCAAGAATTTAAACATTTCTTCATTATTTTCTCATCGTGTTAACATACCAGCTGCTTTGAGAAGCATCTTGCGGAACAACAACATGAAGAGCCATTGAATCAGGTACATGAATAGGCCGCAAGCTCAGCGAATGAGCACAAATTGGACTGACAATCATGACAGAAATATCAGGATGACAAAGCGAACCACCAGCAGCCAGCTATTTCATTAGCATGATTAATTCTTGTTAGCACTACTTACCGAATAGGCAGTCGATCCTGTTGGTGTTGATACACAGAGTCCATCAGCTTTAACAGTCGTCAGATACTTGGAATCAACATAGAGCATTAAATCACTCATTGCAGTATTAGGGCCTCTGTCAATAACGACTTCATTCAAAACAACCAAGGAATTCGTAAAGTCGTGTGTATCAGTGTCTGTTTCACGCAAAGACTGTGACAGATGACGATCAATACTTATAAGCTTGCTCCTGTCTCGTTTTTTCATAACACGACATTCGAAGCGAGTTCTCAGATGAATGTACATTTCCTTGCAAATTTCTGAAATGGAGTCTTTGTAGTTATTGATATCAAAGTGTCTACCATGTTGATTAGTTCATAGTTTTTCAATAAATGGCTAACCAGCGTTTAACATACGTTAAAAATCCCAGAGTACCCATGGCAAAAGGCATGATTGGAGGAACTGTCCTTTGAAACAATCGGCTTGTATAGAGAACGGTTCCATCTCCTCCCAACTATATCATGGTTAAATATTGCGTCTATCATATACATGTGTACTTACTGCCAAAACCAAATCAAACAACTGTGAATGCTTGGTACATAATAAAGTGGTCCAGTATTGAATTCTCTCGTGTTTTTGAAACAAAGATTCCATGCTTTTTTGAATAAATATAACAACATTTTCCAAAGACAGTAGCCAGTCTATAAGTTCTCGTACTTTCTCGTCAACTTCTTCATCTCCAGGCTTGGAAACGATCAGTATGGACGTAATGTTTGGATGAATCGGCGTAACATCTATATACACATCATGTTAACAAAAGCACAAGTAGTTGCATTTTCTTACGAAGTTTTTTGTTAATCGTCCGAGTCTCCCAAACCACATCTCGTAAAGCTTCTTGTTCGTTTGCAGGTGCCTTTTTCCGCATGATCATACTGTCTGACACACTGCCAAAAATTTGGGCATGTACAGAACAATACGGAAAGCTCCCATGATAGTCATTTTCTGTAGTGGGATTCGTCGGCAAACATGAATCATCGTAAGTCTCCATCAAGAAAATAGCGTCTAAGTGACTCAATGAAGAAGTTTCAGAGAAATCACTAAACTAGTGCTATGTTTATTAATTTGCGAGTATTAATATGAACAAAAAGTACAGGAATCGGTAATTACGAGAAGCTTTGTTAAGGGTTGGTTTGAGTGTGAAGTGGGCCACGGTAGCAACTGCTTACTTAACCACAAGTAATTCTCAGTTACGAGTTCAGTAAATTCAATTCAAGTCTTTATATTTGAAAAAGTCTTTTACTATAAAATAGTTTTTAGTCAAAGCGTTCATAATATTGACGTTATGCCACAATTTAGCGAATCGACAGAAAATGCAAATTCATAAGAACAAGTAAATGCCCTCTCATGGATTATTGTATCTCAAAGATCATTCAAAATCCTAATAAAAAATATACATATTATAGAGATGTCTAAGTAGTTAAAAAGCTTACTCAAGACGTTTAAGAGAATTTACATAGAATGCTATGCTCAATGAAAAAGCTACCCTTTTGGATAATATATCTCCTCTCCTATAAATTTCAGGTTTATTACAAAATGATTTTGTATATGAGTACACTTTACAAATTTCCCTAACAGCAGCTTTTACTTATGCTGCGAAATGTAAGCATATGAAAAATCCAATACCAAGTACTTTTCCATTCACTGCACTAGGATCAAATCTATTTACTCCTGAGAGCGAACCTTGGCACCAGCGTTAGTGACCTTAACACCAAGAGCACGGGCCTTTTCAACAATTTCGACACGCTTACGAGCAGAAACATTAGAAGCAATCTCAGCAGCGTAGGTCTTGTTGTGCATCAACAAAAGTTCGACATCAGCAACGTTGCGAACAAGGAAGGCCTTTAAGCCATTGGGCATGCAGTATCTGGTCTTCTTGTTGTTACCATAACCAATTTTGGGCATACGAATGACACCCTTGAAACGGCGACGAACACAGTTGTCAATACCTCTGGGCTTTCTCCATGACTCACCGACACGGTGGAAGCGGTCAGACTGATGGCGTCTGAAAGGCTTGGTGTGCTTCTTGATAACTTTGACAGCAGCCATTTCTTTGGTGTGTGGTAAAGAAACTTTGCTTGACATGCATTGTTGTTGGTTTTGGGGTACTGTGACTGTTTTTCCATCACGGCTCCAGTTGTCCTCTTACCAACTACATGTGAAGTTGGTCAAGGCCTTGATGAATTAATTCTCAAAAAAAATATACTCGATTTCTTATTTATTACTATATTTCTCTATAAAGGAAATTTTAGTTGAAGCAGACATATAAGTCCATGCTGGATGTGAAGATTAGATTGTTTAATAGTGCACGACCATAATCCCAAAACTTAATGGCCTAAATTTTTTACATTACCTTTGTAAAACAAAGTCCTTTTCGTTTTTGTTCTTGTCATTTGCTCTCTCTTCCGATTTTGGATAATCCTTCAACGACCAGTTTGCTTCGCTAGAGAGTATTGTTTAGATTGTTACTTTATTCGTGTTATATACTTTGGGTTTAATCGTTTTTACACTCCTTTTTTGTTGTTTGAAAAACTTTGTTATATTTATTTCCTGTTTATGAATTATGAGTTTCCTTCGAGACGTTTTCAATGCTTTACGAATGTATTTGCCATCCAAAATTACTTCAACTTCATGGTTAATAGTTCTTTTGGTTCATGTTTTTTTCTGGGTACTGGCATATTGTTTTAAATGGCCTTTCACTAGATTTGGATTTGGTTCCATATATGGCTTGAGACATACTTTTGCGAATGGTCAAAGAGTGTCTATATCATATATTGGTATACGAATTCGTCGTCCTTCAACTTCGAATCCCCACTTTATAAGTTTAGTTATTAAAGGCTTAAACTACAATCTAGTTACCGGTAATGATGATCGAACGGTAGTGCGTGAGTCGAAATCTTCAACGGCCTCGGGTAGTAATTCTACACGATCTAGGAACCTTTCTTCTGTTCTTGGGGAATTAGAACAAAAATGGCTTCGATTTTTAAATACTAGGTGGATCAAATGGATTCATGTATCCCTACAAGACGCACAAATAAATATACCCTCTGTTGGTACTCTAGAGATAGGAAATTTATCTACAGAAGTACTATCTAGCCGGAATACGTTGGGAATAGAAAATAGTATGAGCAAAGATATGAAAGGATCTTGTGTTGATTTTTCCTTGCGGATTCTGAATCTGCTTTATATTGATTGTGAAGGTAAAAATCGGCAAATCACTGATTTCTTAGACATCAACATAACTAGTCAATTTTCGACTAATGAATACTCTACTCCCGCTAGCCTTACCAAATTTCGTTGCTCTGTAAAATTTGGAATCTTATGCATTGATTTGGATGGTCCTTTATTTGGTTTCTTGAAACAAGAGCAGTCATCCAGTAGTGCATTTAAAGAAGACTCTTCTACCTTGGTTAAGGATAGTTTCGAAGCGTTCATAGTGAAACTCTCAGAAATTCAAATCCAGATTGGGTCTCTTAAACTGTGGAAACGGAACATGACAGGTCTTGGAGCTACATACGTTTTCAATGGAAGTGACTTGGGCTGTACACTTAATTTATTAAACATGAAAAGTCCTTCCCATCGAATGTTTTTTTCCGCGGAAACAATTGTTCATCAGATATTAGCCTCAATATTGTCCTTTAATATTGAAAATTATACTCCGGGTCATCCTCCCCATTATCTGCTTAACATTCCCTTAGTTACTGTTACTTGCTTGACGTCCACATTGGGACAGTACGCGATCTATCCAAATACGCCGGAAAAGTTACGGGAGAGTAGCTTACGCATAAATAGTACGCTAACTTCTCCATCTCTTGATATTCGGCTGGAACTATTACACGATGTTATGTCTCTGTTTCAGAAAAAGGAAGCTACTCCCACTTTAGAGCGTTCAAAAACACCCTATTTATATTTTCCTGAAACAAAAGTATCCATGTCTCTGTATGAGCCGGTGGTACGATTTATGATATCTTCCGAGTCAGAATCTCATTTTCCAGGCATGATCGTTGCGAATTTGTCTTCAATGTTTTTAGAATTCAAGTACCTAATTTCTTTGGAACACGTATTCGCAATATACTCTTCTCTTCGACTTGCTTCGAACCATGTTCTTTATCATAGTCCGGAAAATAGGAAATGGCTCATAAACAGTTCTGAAATGATAACCTTGTCCTTCAACTATTTTTATAATAATAACTTTGGTAATGTGGATTTATTCCTGGATGAGTTCAAAATACGAATTGAGGAAGAGGAAGTGGTTAAATCTTTAAAGAAATTCTTAATTCTTTGGAGATCGCAAAAGCCTCGCAAAGATATTAATGAATCAGTTGATGGGTCTGATATGTCGGTGCCCTTGCTTTTCAAAATTCCAAGTTGGTTGAAAAGCCTTAGAATACGGGGTAGCTCAATATTTTTTATTGTTAAAGCAATTCGTCGTGAAATATCGGATGATCCTCGAGGTATAAATTGTCATGTTGACCAGTTTGATGGATCGTTCGAACCAAGCAATCCTGTTGGCGCTCGCAGGTTCAATATCGTTATAGGGATGTTTCAAATAAAATCAATGATTTACGCGGATGAACAAACAGCATTTGAGCATTTACTACTTAAAGTTCCGAAGTCGAGCTTTACGTACTCCACGTTGTTCAATGATCAAACGAGGTCATCCCGATTGACTATGGAAATTGGTGTCCTTCGTGGATATTTGTCATTGTTACACAATTGCTGTCTTCTTTACGCATACAAAGCTACTCGGTTTATATTCAGTGATGAGAATTCACGAAATACAAAAGAAAAACCTGTTAGTCGTAAAAAGTCAAGCCTTGATGGCTTAACTTTTGATTTAAGAATAACCAACACTCGTCTTAAATTTGACTTGGATGACGATATCAACCTTTTGCTTGACCTTGGTAGATTGACCGTCTTAAAACGCGAAGATATGATTCTACCAGAGTTATTTGCTAAGTTCATGCAAATACACACTCGTAATCCCGACGTCCCTGAGCTGTGGGATAAGATGTTTGCTCTTGGCGATTTTCATTATCGCATTGCCGGATTTGAAAGCCCAAGGAAGTTACACTTAGTTACTTGTGACTATATCTCTCTTCGTATTCCACACAAATTTGTTCCTTTTCTAGTGATTGAAAGCGCCATTAATACGGTAAAAGCAGCAATACGTGTTTCTAGTAAGCCCATTACTATTGACGAACAACACGAACTAGCTCAGCAAGGCAAAAGACCTCGTGTAGTTCCCCATGTGAATGTCAAGTCAACGAATTTTAAGTTTGAGCTTGATGATGATCCTTTTGAAACACGTTTGTCCATGATTTATCGGATCGGTTTGACTGAGCAGAAAATGCGCATGGACCGTTGGAGTGCTTTTGAAGAAAGGTTACGATTACTTCGTACTGCTAAATATTCTGAATCTGATAGTACAAGTGGATCATCATATGATACCACTAGGTTATTTAGTAATGGTGCTTCTGCAGATATCGATGGAGGAGTTATGGATAAGCGACTTCATGAATTGGGAAAAACCTTCCAAGATATTTTAGGCAATGAAGATACTGATACTGCTTCATTCTTGGAAAAAGTCAAGGTTAACGAAGAAGAAGCTTGCCAGTTATTACAAGAATACGATTCTTTGTCATGGATCTCAAATATTAGGCGGATAAGAGAATTTAGATATAATCGTTTACATGTGCGAAGAATGATAGATTGGCCAGATGAGGATTCACTCGAGAAGAGCATACATTTGGATGAGAAGTTAATCCCTGTACCGGTAAGACCGCCACTTGCTGATATCTCTTTTAACGGTTTTGATTTTACTTTGGACAAGCCCACATTTCCACTTGAAGATCTCCCCAAGTTTCTCAATAAAGTCGGAAGTGGCCAACCTTTGGATTATGGATACTCAATTTATTTTCCAATGTATATTGATTGGAAGATGCGTAGAGCCAACTTTCGAGTAAGAGACTATCCATTGCCTTTGGTATATATTCCAAGATTAGGCCAGAACCAAAATAAAGACTTAACCTCTTGGCATTTTAAGAGTAATTTTGTTATCACTGAGCAGCTGGCCTCGCTTGAAGCAATCCGCGATGTTACAGTACCCGTAATTTCTGCAAAGGAGTCTTGTTCGGGTTTACCGTATGCGGTGAATGTTACACGTACGGTTTCACCCATAAAAACGTTTTCTGATTCTCATATTGATATCAATACCTCACTTCCAGTATTTGTGTTATGGGGAACATCCTATCAGCCTGCCATTACAGATATCATACGTATTATAGATACGTTCACAAAAATACCGATTGATACGTCGGATCGTTTAGGTTTTTGGGACAAATTAAGACTGGTTGCTCATTCACGGTTGCGTTTCAGATGGTTAGAGAATGGGGACATATTTCTTTCCATTAAAGGTTCTAGGGATCCTTATATGATTCTTGGTCCTGGTGCTGGTTTCCAGTTCTGTTGGAGTGGTAATGTACAATGGGATATTGCTTGTGATGACAATCCAGCAAATTTTATAGTTGTGGATAGTGATGAATTTTACCTTACGATACCCGACTTTCCTCGACAAATAAATGGAATCCTTGATGGGCAACCGTTACCGCCGAGGCAATCTCAGCATAAGCACAGACCTCAGATTACTTTAAAAGACATGCGATGTCGTAAAATAATAGCCAAATTGGTTGGTAAGGTGCGCTGGCGAGCAGGTTTTATACCTGAAAGGCACTGTGAACCGGACTGTGATGTATGCGGCGGTCAAATGCGATGTCGCTTATGGAGCTTTAAACCGCATTGGGAAATAAAAACTATGATTCCGAAATATTGCCATGACAGCAAGTATGGTACGTATGATGCTTATCGAAGATTCCGGAGTCATTATTTACATTGTTCCCTTGCTGTAGAATCTCCACGATATTTGGATTTAGAAAACGCATTTGAAGACGTGAGAACGTATAACACAATACACTTAACTCCTTTAGTGTTTTCGCATTTTTCATTATGGTGGCATTTGTTTTCAAACAATATGTCCTACCCCTTACGAAGAAAGCCTCTTTTTCCGAGTTTTGATAGTGGTTCTGCCAAAAGATTTGGTAGACATTTGGCTACCTTGAAATATTCTATAGAGTTATCGCCACTTCTTATAAGCCATATGTATAACTTCAAAACTAGCAAAAATTGGCAGGATAAGACGGCGAGTGCCACAGGGCTGAAAGCCAAAGTAGAGCATTTCTCGGTTGATTTACATCAGCGTTCAGAAAAGCATGAAATGAAAAATAAAGCTTTTGGAGAAACTCAAGAAACTACTTCTATGCGCGTTCATCTTGCGGAGATTGATTTTAAGACAATTGACTTAAGAGCTATTACTGCCTCCTTTGATGAAGGTGCCTTAGAAACTTCCAAATCTATACCTGTGAATGCTCTTGATGGTAAAGATAAAGAATCTTTTTCTTTCAGGACAGTTGAAGGTCCATCTGCTTGGGTTGATATTGATGACTTTCATGAGGCAGATTGGTTACTGCCTCAACGAAATGAAAAGTGCGCTATATATCCTCTGGCTTTTTCCCCGAGATTCACTTATTATCGCCATACAAAACCACACATGAAGAATGAGAAAAATGAAAAGAAAATAGTAGCTGATACTTGTCGTTTTGGGGATGAAAAAACACACCGTTGTATGATGCCTGGTCACAAAGATCCTAAAAGTGTTCAATGCGAGCTTCTTAAAAAGCGCAGGGATGAACTGCAGCAGCACATGAACTCAGAGAATGAAAGAATCCAGACATTAGAAGAACTCACTCGTACTCAATCCTCCTCGGATTTGAAAGAGGAATTTCAATCCTTAAAGAAAAGAGTACTTACTTTGAATGATCATTACCGGTTGTTAGGGTTTTTGTTGGAAAATATTAAAAATAATTCAAAGTCCCACGTTACATCTGGCCAGGTTGACTTGTCATATGCAACCTTATCTGAAAGTGTCCATGCTTTTAATAATCGATTCGTTGCTCATAACGTTCAGATTAAGTGGAATAATTTTGTCAGAAATGCCGTCCTATCCTATGTTCACGAGATGGAAAGGGTAAGAGGATTCGCTTATTACATGTCTCAAAAAGCAATACGTTTCCTGCAGGACCTTCAGAAAGCGCCGGAAATATCAGGTGATGATTATCTTGGGGATGGTTCTGATAACAATGAAGAAAAAGAAAACGCCAGAAACCTCCTAAAATTCTTACTGGAGGATCTGAAAACGAAGTTCGTTGTGAAAACCGATGATCTTGCAGGAAAAAGTTTTCCTTACGATAACAACACAGAAGGAGGGTCTAATACTCATTACGATATAATACAAAGTTATGTCTTCAGGTTTATAGCTCCACAGATTCAATTACAGTGCAACATGAACCCCAGGAAGGCTGTAATTATTTCTATCCAAAGTCTTCAGATTAAGATATTGAGTATCATTGATCCCGCTTTTCCTGTTAATGATATAAACTACCTTGTGGAAAGAAGATTTTTATGCAAAGTTAATGAGTCCCAATTCTTTATTGCTGATGCGAACGATTTTAGAGTATCGGATTCAGCTACGCTAGTGTTGAATAAATATGGTTGTGAAAGCAACTCTGTTTGGCCTCCTTGGGTCCCTTTAGAGACTACTTTCGACTTTGTACTGACTCCAGCGGCATTTTCAAGGTTTTTACATCGAGTTTCTTTTTCGGTTGTTTATACAAAGCATAACGATTTAAGACTTAAGGAAACTGTGCGTTCAAGGAGGGAATTTTTTGAGGACTTGGATATTCATACAGATACTTTGACTTTTGATGTCCCACGTGTAGTATTCTCGACTGACTCGTCCCAATATTATGACTTGTTCACAATAATTACTAATTTGTTGGTTTATAAAGAGCCATCTCAAAAACAAAGAAGTCAACGTTTGGAAGAAATAATGTTAGCTGCCGACTTTAGTGATCTAACCGGTACTCCTGAGATGGTTGCTATGTTACAAAACAGGGTACACCATTTGGAGGAAGTGAAACTACAACATCAATTATATGATGTAACCTTTAATATCCATGCTCATATTGCTCAACAGCTATTTTTGCAGAACGAGTTGCATCGCTGCGGGGAGGAATTATTTTATTTAATTGAATCTATCGCAAGTGTACAAAGCCGTGGAAAGAACCAGAATAAAACTAGATGTAATCTCAGTTGGTTTATAATGGCTAACGAAGTTGTTTGGCATTTACTTGAGGATAACAAAAGACCGTTTTTGGACGTAAGTTTACAGAATGCCACGTTCAGGCGTATTGAAAACACCGACTCATCCAATACAAATACTCTGGAAATTGAGTCCATGAAAGGCTCAAATTTAGCACCGGGTTGCCAATTTGAAAATATTATTTGCCCGTATTTTAACAGTGAATTTTCGAATGAACAGCTGTTACAACAGAAATTTATTCGGATCCATTGGGAATTAACGGAGGCTGTTGCAGGTATTCAGGTGGTTCAACATTTTGAAATAAACTTGTTTCCGTTAAGCTTGCAAATCGAGCATGAGTTAGCAAGCAAACTATTTGATTTTGCATTTCCTGGAAATGAGAACAAAGGGAACTTATTTAGTATGTATTCCAATCGTACTGAAGATTCAAATACAACAAATAAAGTTGTGGCTGAAATTACCCCCGGTCATCCTTCTGGAAATGAAGATACTGCGAAAAATGACTCTTCGCAAGAACTAGGATTAGAAAAATATTTGGATTTGGAAGGAAGAAGTGAGTTGCATGAAATGTTGAATCGCGCTGGAAATAATATGTTGATAGCTTACTTCAAAATACCAAGCGTCATGTTACGATTGAGTTACCGTGGTACGAGTTCTCTAGGTTTAGAAAACATCACCGGTTTTGTTTTCTCAGTTCCTACTATAGAATACCGGAATGAGGTTTGCTCATATCTAGATTTGGCTGTTTGGATCAAACGTGATTTGATACGCTCCGTACTTTCGCATTCTGGTAAACTTTTGGTGGACAAAATGAGGGGCAGTCATAACATTAAAGCGCATGAACGAGAAATGTCTGCAGAGTTATTGAATCTCCAGCAGTTATCGGCTGAGCATCATCATCCCGTGAACTTAGAAGGGCTGGCAATGAATGCTCGATTGACGAGTCTTCAAGAACCTACAATTATGGACAACTTGGAAGAGAATCGGTCAGTTGTTTCGGCTGCCAGTAGAAGGATCGGCAGTACTAGGTCATCTGAATCCCAGAGCCGTTTTTGGGAATATCATGGTTCACGAAGCAAAAAATTGGCTGGTATTATCAAACGGCATATTCCACATGCTAAAAAAAGTGCAAAGTCTCGCATGAAGAGTTCTGAAGGCAATGAAAGAAGTTCTATGTCTGGTGGTGTTGACTCTGCAGGTGAGGCACGATATGAAACTGTCAAACGAGAATTAGTTCTTGGTAATCATGAAAATGTTTCGTAAGTAAGCAAGCTTTCTGTCGAAAAGCAAAATATTCATTGATTATAAGAATAAGAGTTAAGACTAAGGTATACATTTGGCTGACCGAGATCAAAAACTAAAAATTTGTATTAGCATCACTGTCAAGTTGGCGTGTTTTTTGACAGATATATTTATTAAGCTGGTAATACGAAACATTAATGAGGATAATTATATTATAAATGAAATTGGACATTAGTTAGGAATGTTTACTATTTCAATAGGTAATGTTTTTTTTCATTATCCGGAAAAGCATGAGAAATTATGAGAAACTAACCATAAATCGGCAGCGAACTTATATTGTAGTCGACTTGATATTGAAGAAGCTGATAGAAAAGAAGACATCCGGAATTGAAAAATATTTTTACTAAAGACAAATAAATATACTCTGCCATGTTAGTTGTTCACTTTTAGTTACTATTCGAACCTGGCGTTAAGTCTTGGTTGATTTAGCATTGTATGAGTTAACTGACGAGTTGTGTCCGTAATTTACAAATTCCATTATTTGCTTCAATAAGATATGCTGATGTTTGTCTCATTTGCAAAAGTATTCTTTACCTATTTTAATTTAATTTAGTTTTATTTTTTTGTTTATTTTCAGTCCATTATTATAATATTATATTAAATGCAAAAAGGAAAATTACTATAAGATATTCACTGTTATATTGATTTTTGGAAATTCCTCTCTTCTACCAATGTAAGGAAAGCATCAAGATATCAATTGAATAAAGCGGTATTGGTAGGGCACTTTTCCTTAATTTTCTTATTCTTATTATTTTTTCCTGACAATACGTTCTTTATGAATGAAAATCTACCCCACATAAGGATATATTCACCAAAAAGGTCGTTTGACAACAATAATACAGGTAGACAGGATGATCAATTAGTTGCTACAAATAAAAATGTGACAGGTGCAAAACGACAACCTGATCGTCAAAGTTGTAGGTGCACCGTTTTTTACATTGGTTCTTTTTCAATGATAAATAGCTAACTCATATGTAGCTGAAGTTGAACGTAGCTCAAGTGCACGAAGTCATTTTACTTCCACCAATTCAGAGTTTCTAAATAATAGTTCAAGAGATGGATTAAATTTATTGGATCCGCTGTCGCAGCATATAATGAGCCGTACTCGCTCAAGCAACAGTCCATCTAAAGGAAGCGTACAAAACCAATCAATAGCATCTCCACGTACATCCTTCAATAATACGGAACGAAGAAATCAGAAATATTTATCCTCTGGATCCGAAAATGAAGCAAATAGCACCGGTAATATACCGGACGTAGAACCAGTTCAGTCGCGGCCAGCTAATGGCCGTAGGTCTTCTATTTTTTCACGGATCCTTGGAAACAAATCAGGAATTTTTAATAGTCGAAACCTTGAAGATTACGCTGAGGATGATGATAAAGATGCTGTAGATGGAATTTCAAGAGTAGAAGGAAATGCAGCTGACCCCTTTCCTTGGATTCCTAAAGAAAAAAACCGGTGGGAAGGCCCTTCAAAGTATATTCGCGTTCGTTCTCATAAAACAAAACAAAAATCGTTTGGTCATTTATTCTTAGCTCAAGAACTTCATTGCAAACCAGCAATGGCAAGTGAATATAACCATTATTATAATGCTACCCCTAATCCAATACCTTCTTCATCTGATATTCCTCCTATGACTTCCTCTTCTCAATCCGCCATGCAGAACATCGAAGACTCTCAACATGACATAGGTCTTTCTGATGACAATCCTTATGTTGATGAAATGCACCCTCATTATCGCCCTTCTTATACTCACCGCCCAAACAAAGAACCATCCATACATTCCACCACGCTTGTTCAAACCATAAAAGAAGACGAAAATCCACTGAACTGTGCAATATGGGCTATGAAATTTAGCCGTGATGGCCGTTTTCTAGCTGTCGGAGGGCAGGACAACATTCTTCGAGTTTGGCAAGTCTTAGATAGAGGCCAAGATAATGTTAAGGCCGACCCTTCATTAGACCCGGGAAAATTGAAGTCGAAACTTGATTTAGGGGCCCCTGTTTTCTCCTCTACCCCTGTTCAACAGTACGTAGGACACACTGCAGATATTTTAGATATTTCCTGGAGCAAAAACAATTTTTTACTTAGCTCATCCATGGACAGAACTGTCCGTTTATGGCATCCTCTTCGTAAAGATTGCCTGTGTTGTTTCGAACACTCTGATTTTGTCACCTCAATAGCTTTTCATCCAAAGGATGACCGTTTTTTTCTTTCTGGGTCCTTAGATTGTAAATTACGTTTATGGTCAATTAAAGATAAAAACGTAGCACATTGGAACGAGTTACCAGAATTGATCACAGCTGTTGCTTTTAGCCCGGACGGGGGCTTGGCAATTGCTGGAACATTTGTTGGTTTGTGCTTATTTTATGACACCAGAGGGCTTCGTTTTCGTACTCAAATGCATATTCGAAGTTCTCGAGGAAGAAACGCGGGGGGAAGCAAAATTACGGGTATAGAAACTCGCACACGAATAATTGAAAATATTGCTGGCGATACAGAGATGCTTGTAACTACAAATGACTCTCGGATTCGAGTATATAATCTTCGTGATAAAAGTTTTGAAATTAAATTTAAAGGTCATCTAAACGAACAAAGTCAGAATAAGTCCTCTTTTGATGAAGAACTAAAACATGTAATATGTGGTAGTGAGGATCATCAAGTTTATATTTGGAATGTTCCAACGCCGCATATGCAGAAAAGCAAGAAACAATGCTATGAACATTTCAAAGCTTCTTTAAGACCGATTACTACTGCGATTTTTGTTCCAAGCCGTACAAAGCAACTACTGTTATCGGCTGGCGATCCACTTTATGCTGCAGCAATCACAGCACGACGGACTTCATTTAGCTCGGAGGCCTCATTCGATCCTTCAAGGCTAACAAAGAATTTACAAACTTCAATAAATTCTCTTCCACAGGAGCTGAATAATGGTCATATTATTGTATGTGGGGACTTAGACGGCCGCATTAGGGTTTTTCGCCAGGATTGTTCTTTCGAAGCTAGAAATTCCCAACGGGAAATAAACCATGAGGGTTTTAGTTTACCTTCTTTCGTAAAGAACAGGAGCAACAACAATTCTATTCGTAGCCTTAAAAACAAGTCCTTACCATTAAGTAGGTCGAGACATCCTTCTGTCTCATCTAAACAGACTTCGCAGAAAGCGGAGAAACGTGAGAATGAGGATGAGGATGCACGAAGTGAGACGACGACAGAGGATCAAGAAAGGGTTCTAGGTACGGATGATTCTGAAGCAATAAAGCGTGTTGATATGATGATGCTACAAGAAGGGGCTTCTTCTATGGCTTACTACTCAATGAACGATTTGGACGTTAACAATACCAACGTTTCAAGAGCCTTGAATTATGCAAAGCATGATGGGACTAAAAAAGAAGATGTCGAGCAGCCTGATCCTGTAAAGGTTGCTTCATCTTTAGCACCTTCTTCCAAGGATGAGAATAATCGGTTTATGATTGACAGGGATCGAATGGAGTGCGCCAAATGCGGTAACTATTTATTTTACGTATATAGGAAATTGCGAGATATAAATTCGTTTGCATACTCAGTTACGTGCTCTCACTGTGGTCAAAAATTGTATGCACCTACTGAGGATTACAAGGATGATTGAGTCGTTTTTCTCAGTAAAAGCTTCCAAAACTTACACTAGGAAGTCAAAGAAAAGAAAAGCTTTGGTAATATTCAAAAGCTGAGTGTTTTTGTATATATTTACAATTCATTTTTTGCTTGCCTATTTTATAAATAAATGAGGAGCCTTACCGCTATTCTCGTCTCTAAACTAACGATGATCGAGCTTATTGACTGTAATAATTTATAAACCAGATTCAATGTTGAATTACTCGAGACGAACGGTGCATATCTAATGATGTTCTTTGAGGTTGGTGATTTGATAGTTTTTAGGAGCTCTGCTTTATTTTTTTAAATGGAAGAATTTCCCTAACAATAAAGAAAGCACGGAAATTTATGAAGTTCATGGACTGAATGTTTGAAAGATTGTTGCTGACGTCTAGGATAGGTGTTGCTCAACGTACATCTAAAGCTGCTTTTTAATATACTATGCCATTTAATTTTTTTTCTGTTATTAATTTAGCAAAACCTTTTAATCAGAAATCTTGCTTGAATGCTTTGGGGTTTGACTAAAGATCATCCTTACCTACTTTTCAGGAAGCTTACATCTTCAAAGAGTCATGAATTCAAATAATTTTTGATGAAGGTATCGAAGGTTAAGATAATAAAATGCTTGCGTGAGTATCATCTATTGAGTCTGCTTCAACCAATGTACGATCTCGTTTTTTTTTAACTTTCAATAATTCCACCAGCACGGAAGGTGTCTTATGCTTATGGGAGAGATATCCTTTTTAAATTTGTTAACTTTGTGCTTACGATGGAAATCACAGTGTGAAATTATTGAGTACTAGGAGTAAACATGTTAGAGCATATTCATTTTGTGGGATTGATCTACTAAGAATCAAATCCTTTAAACTTAGATGATATACTGTATATTACAGTGATTGAGATCTAGTTGTAAAGTATTTTGAAAGTGCTCTCTGGATTCTACCACATACATAAGGACATCAAACATTATTAAATTCGTATTACTTACAACCAATTACACGAATTTTGCGTATTGTCTTCCTATGTTTCAAAGGAAACATAACTTTCATTCATGCGCTTTGTTTATGTAATTTTATATGATATCGTAGGATCATGTTTAGGTCTAAGCACATTCAAGTAACTTCCTTCCATTAAATTTGTATATTACCATTAATTTATATGGCTGAAGTAGTTTATAAAAGGAAAACCACTTATAAAAGGATAACTACTTGAAAAAAAAAGAATTTTTTTGACTTAAAGTTGAGGTTTACAGATTTCAAACACTAACTGGTAAATTTTTACGGTGAATAAAAAAGCTATACCATCAGCGGAATTTCAAAGCAATAAGAGATGCGGACTTTATCGTAAGTACTTCTAAGTTTAAAAGCATTGTGCTTACATGTTCACAGATGTCAGTCTTGCCGCCGTAGAAAGGTATTTCTTATTAAGCCGCTATAACTACTTTTATGGATAATTAACGCGTTTTTAGATTAAATGCGATAGAAAATCACCTTGTACAAATTGTACACATTTAGGTGAGCAATGCATTCATAAAAACTTGGATAATAGGAAAAAGCGACATCCCCACAGCTATGTTCAGGCACTAGAGAGTCAGCTGGCAACAATGGAGTCATTTCTTATGAAACTTAAGGATTCTCCTACAAATGAACGGCTGAAGATGCTAGAGTCGGTCACGTTTGCAGATCACCTTAGCTTTAATGGGCGTGAAAATAATACTTCCGATTTGCCAAAGGAAGATTCAATTGATTTCCCTATATCTTTAGATATTCGAGGTCCAAACACCATAACTTTCTATGGACCTACCAATATTTATGGCTCTTCCTTACGCCCTTCTTCCGTCGATGCACCATTTCATGTAAAACAACATCCTATGTTTTCTCCGGCTATTACATATTGTCTGAAGTTATTTTTCAAATGGCAGTACACACAATTTATGTATATTAATAGGGAAGCTTTTCTCTTGGATTATTATCATCATTATCACGATGGTAGATACTGTTCAGAACATCTGCTATACGCAATGTGCGCGTTGGGGAGTCGAATGGCTCCCGAAGCAGAGGTCGTTAATTCCTCTGACAAATATTATAGATTATCTTGGGATACTTTAATGGAATACGGTTTAGGAAGACCCCATATCACTTCAGTCCAATGTTTGCTATGTTTAGGATTTTACGATATAGGTATGGGAAATAACTCCCTTGGATGGCTATTATCAGGTTTAGCTTTTCGTATGGGACAGGATTTAGGATTTCAATTGGATCCAAGAAAATGGTTCATGAATGAAATACCTGTTATTTCTGCTGAAGATGCTGCCGTAAGGAGCAGAATATATTGGGGGAGCTATGTTGCAGATGTGTTCATAAGCTTTATTCTGGGGAGACCAACCACATTAAAGAAATCTGATACTAGCATTCCAGGATCCGTTAATTTACCTGACTTTGACGGGATAGATGAGTTTAAGTGTGATTTAGGACCAGCTGCAAAACCCGCAACTCTTTTTGTTATGCTTCTTTTATTAGTAGATCTTAGTCATATCGCTGATGCTATTTTGTTTGACGTCTTTTCCCCAAGTGATTTTCCATATGGTATTAATGCCAGACTTCAAAACTTAGGAAAGTATAATTTAGAATTGATGAAGTGGTATTTAAAACTCCCAGATGATGTTCGCTGGAAGAAGAGTGATCTGAAAATTCATGGTCAAAATCCCGATATGCTTGCGGTCTGTCTTTACTATTATCTCATCCGGATTTGTCTGAACCGTCCATTTCTAGCAAGAAAAGAAATAACATCTAATGATATGACTTCAAAGGTAATTTGTTTGGATTCTATCGAAGATATTAGCCAGCTTCTTAAATCTTATCGTGATGCGTTTGGCTTCGAATCAGCATCTTTGTTTATGGTGTATGCCGCTATAGTAAGCTGCAGCGTACTTATTATGTTAAAGAATTCTTCAATTATATCTGAACGCTTAGATATTGAAGAAAAACTGAGATTCTTCATAATGGTCTTGCAAAAATCGTCGAAGTCCTGGAAGTTAGCCGCCAAATCCCTCACGTTGATTGAAACTAGTTTGAAAGACGAAAGTAATCCTACAGCTGATGAAAGCTCCGCACTTCCTAATTTGAATTCAAGAATTGTTCCGGAAGAATTTCCCATATTTAACTATCTTGATGAGACAATTAAGAGTGAGTTTATTGATGATCAGTCAAACCTTGCTATCGATAACGAAGAATATCGATCTTTTTTTGGGGGACCTCCAGTTTTTATGACATCTGCATCTCATAACAATCTGTGGAAGGATACCAACATTCCTTTTTAAATTAAAATATGACGATAACATTCACCAAAGCCACGTATGTGCTTTTTTAGCAAAAACATGACCATATTTAAAATCAAAGATGGACAAACATATTTTCAATACTGTATACGATTAAATTTTTTGGATAAAGTCATCTTCTAGCATACACAATGAACGAAGAGGTTCTCGGAAAATCGAAACTGTTTCTCTGGTTATTTCTGGACTTTATAAGGATGTTTTATTTATTTCTGTTCTACTATTTAAAATAACCTAACTATATTGATGCAATGGGTATGGATTGCATTGAATATTTGATAAAATACTTGAAGTTACAATAAAGTACTCGTTTATACTTTTAATTCCCGGATAGATCTAGTAGAGGGAGAACTATAGCAGAGGAGAATAATTTTCAATTTACAAAGCTCAAAAAATAAGTATCACACAATAAATGAACGGCCGTTTACTTTGGCATATCAAGTTGCCTCACGTATGCCTACATAAATACTACTGATATAGCTGCCGATTTTTATATTCGGTAAGCCAACTGATAGATGCACATAGTATGAAGAAATTTTATTTTTTAGCATACTTCAAGGCAACCAAAATGTCACATTTGAGATCGCACTGTTCGTGGAATAAACTATCAGTGGAAGAATGATTGTACTTTATGAACTCGACACTTTCTACACTATTAAAAAGAATAGTAATAGCCTTAAAGATCTGTTTCATTAAATAATCTATGTACCCTGCATTTAGCCAGATCAGTCAACTCTTCCAATCTGAAGATCTGACTGATGTTTTCTGCAAAATTTATACTTGGTAGCACAGTCTATCTAAACTAACCAAATTTGTCTTCTTTCAACTCTATGTTTAACAGTTTCCTTGTTGTATGATAAATCTATACTGTTTAAGACAGTGTATGAATTATAAGACACGAAAAACCCTAACCGATAAACCAATACCCTATAGCTTGTAAGCATGTGTACTCCAAGCACGAATATGTTTTCCATATTTATAAAAGATAAAGGGAATGGGCACCATTGCTACTGAAATAAATCCTAAGACACTGGTGGCCCAATGATCCCCCAAGTTAAGGTACATTGGCCGTGCTGCAAGTGTCACACCTCCACTAGCACAGTAACGTACCACGGTCGCTGCGGCAAGTGCACTAGGAGCAATGTGCTGATATGAATCAATAATGTAATTGTACGAAACAAAAAATACAATCAGCAAAGCGAAACCGAAAAAGCTGCTAGCTATCATAGGTACAATCCAATGAATACGGTCAGCATAACAAGTCCAAGCCAACCAAAACATACTTATAGGAAGGACAAAAGCGCCAATGAAAAGGGGATACAGCCGATCTTCAGGACACATAACATTACCTCTCCTTCTGTAAGCCCAGAGGTACTGTTTATAAGTTAAAGGAGTCAGAAGGCCGGCAACTACAATACCAACACCGACCGCAATAAATGACAGACCTAACTCTCCATAATTAAATCCATATTTGGAATAAATTATTGGATATCCCTCAAAATTAATGTAGTTAATTATGTAGACGACTGTGAGATAGAGAGTAAAGCAAACAACAATCGGCTCAGTTAAAAAAAGGGAAACTGACTGGGTAGCCGCTTTGAAAATTGCATTTTTTGGGTCTCGTTCTCGCTCATGAATTGTATAATAGGCGGGATTTCCGGTAACCTTACGTAGGTATCGAGCTTTATAGTCAAGAATTGTTTCACCATGCGTTTCAGGAAATAAAAAGAAAATAAGCGCTAAGGTACCTGCAGCCCAAATCATGTTAATCCAAAATAGCCAACGCCAACCCAAGTAACTTTGTACTATAAAGTCACCCATAATAGGACCAATAATCGGACCTAAATACGGGAAAGTACAAAACCCTGGAAGGACATAAGTACGCTGAATTGGATTAAACATATCGCTGATCGTACCACCTGCGTTCGCAAGAGGGGTACTTCCGAACACGCCTTGGAAAAACCTAAGAATACAAATAGTCCAAATATTTTGGGCGCATCCTCCACCAATTTGGAAAATAGTGAACAACAGTAAGGTGAGGAAGTATACGATGAATCTTCCATAAATACCACTTAATGGAGCAAAAGGAAGTGAGCCAAAACCGAAACCTACCAAAAACGTACAAGAGCCAACGGTGGACACGGGTACAGACGCATGGAGCTCATGAGCAGCTTGCTCAACGCCACTCGAATAGATACTGGAACCAAATGTTACAACAATCGTAATAATAGAAGTCTGAATAATAATCCACCACTTTCTAGCCATGGTCCAGTTGGAAGGGTTCATAGAATCATCTACACTATCCCAGGTCACCAAATATGGATCCTCCACAGAATTTTTATTTACAACATGAAAATCCGATTCCCCTTTCTCCAAATCGTTTTGTCTGAGTGGCAATGATGCTCCTAATGAAACCACCGACTTGTCTTCTCGACTTAAAGTAGTTTGATTAGCAGCAACAGCACCGTCAGATTCGTTTTCTTTAGGTAACTCATTTCTTTCAAGAAACGGGCATTTCCCTAACTTCTTGTAATGTCGATCAAATTTCTTGCCAGTTGATAATAAAACTAAATCCATTTATAGACAGACAAAACTTACTTATTGTTTCCTGACAAACTGAAATGACCGAAATAAAAGAAATGAAGTATGTTGTTGGAGGGTTTATATGTTGCGAGAGTGAGCCTCGTATGTTTTCAGTATTAGAATATACTCTATAGACTTATATATATAATCAAAACAAATAATCTTAGTAAGCAAGAGAAGCATCCTGAGAATATCGTAACTGACTTACGATATTACTATTAGAACGATAAGATAATGCTATTGCTGTATCGAATGCTATCATTATAAACAAAAAAATCCAAAAAGAAGATGCATGTCTAAAGTAGAAACGTACATATAAACAGAAATCTAAAATAAAAAGAAATGATCCGAGCTAATTTGAAAAGTTATATATACCTCTTAGTTGAGAGTTCGAATCTTGAGATTGGAAGACTTGACAGATCTAGCTAAATACAATCTACATAGGTTATATGCTAAATCAAATCTTGGAATTAATTAGTCTTCATTCTAATATGAAGTTAATAAGATAGAATCCAATTCTACGTAGTTTCAGCAAAACGTACATCCATTTCCAGCTGACTTGTTCATTCCCTTAGCGAGAGAGAGTCCATCTGTGACAGAGACAAAATCATATTCAGTTTAGCAAGCTGAGCAAAGCACGTTTGTAAAGTCCTAAGACAAGTACGTTGTATGTGGAATTTGCATGGTTTTCTTGTGATAGAAACCCATCTGTATCTAGAGGCAAGATGCAGCTTCGAGTCTGTAAACATTATATAATTCCTTTAAACCGATCTCTTCGTTTTAATGTTTTTAAAAACCAATTCTTTCACTTAAGAACGTATAATCATCTTCGAGAGTAGTATTTCAAACAACAGAATTCGCTTAATTTTAACCTCAATTTAAGCGGATGATGTTTTCATTCAAGAGTTGTATATATATTATTATGTCTTCGAGCCGACTAGCAAATTTGACAGTACCATCGTCCTAGCCTATACGCTTGCCTTTCCTTTATTTCTTGAAAATTTGTATATTGGCCTGTTGAATATCATTTCCTACTGCAAAAAATAAATCGGAAACAATAATAAACCGACACGTATTGATAAAATTTCGTAGGTCGTCACTTTGTCCTTGACATCTGTACTTTTGGTTCAACAAATGAATAGTCCTATTTACATATTAGGTGCTGGTAGTATAGGCAGTTTGCTTGCCTGCGAATTAGCGAGTATACCTTCTATACGACGTGATATTGTTTTATTGCTCAGAAACCAAACGAGAGCTGAGCAATTTAGGGCAAAACAATCATTAATGACCATTGAACGCAATTTTGAGCAAGGGAGCCCTCAGTATCAAACAAAACTGGAAGCTAAGTATCCCGCTGAATTGAACGTGGATACGATTGAGAATTTGATCGTCACCACCAAAACTGTACACACGGAAAAGGCTCTTTCCAACTACCTTCCCTTTTTAAATGAAAAATCCAACATTTTATTTGTCCAAAACGGTTTGGGCGTGATTGAGCATTTGAAAAGAGTGATATGGACCAACGAAAGCAAAACCCCCAATCTTTACCAAGGAATCACCACCCATGGATGCTTCCAGAGACAAGATTTTCATTTCGTGCATGCTGGTTTAGGAAATTTGAAGATCGCCAAAGTCCCTTCCGTCGACAAATCCTCTTCGACTGATGGTGCTTGTTCTATGGTGGAAGAACTTATGAAATCCAAAACACTAAACACAAGTTACTTGCCATACGATGAATTAATTGTTTCTCAGTGTGAGAAACTCGCAGTTAATGCATGTATGAACCCCAACACTGCTATTCTCGATTGCTTAAATCGAGAATTATCCAACATTGAAGCAGTTAAGCTTCTTTTCAAAAACATCATCACCGAGTGTGTAGATGTCTTTTTTAGATGTATACCAAATTTGTCTGAAAACGAAATGGCTAGACGAACACTGGATATTCCTAGACTCTTAGAATTGGTGATGTATACGGGTTTTGAGGTCTGTGGTAATAATAGTTCTTCCATGAGACAAGACACTTTATATAAAAGAGACACAGAAATAGATTCTATTAATGGTTGGATTGTCAAACTGGCAGACGAAGTTGGATACCCAGCTAATGTGAATAAGACCATTACCCTATTGGTAAAAGCTAGAACACAGATAAATCAAAGACGCACCTAAAGAATTCGTGGTTTCTTCTTGTCAGGTTCAATATCTGCTGAAAAATCTATGATTTAGTGTTGTCGTTGTTGTTTTTCTTTTTTTTTCTAATACGTTTTAACCAGACTTAGACGAGAAAAAGGTTGGCGGTCTAAATTTCATGAAAGAGTCGGAAACGGTATTAAATAGATTTTTATCTCCAAAAACAAGGTTATAATTATGCCTTGGAGTTGTCAACCACTTAGAATGTGTATTGTCAAATGTAGAGTGAATGAAACTGCTTGTTCATTTCCAGGAATAGACTCGGAAGGGAATTTAACCATTACACATCTTTCCAGAACCAGGTAATAGGTTATATTTTTTCGTATCATAAGATGAAAGGTGAGATGCTTTTGTTGCGTTCCAAACATTCCATGGAATATACATGTAAAACTGTTCACCGTCCCTAGAACTGTATGCCAATACATTGACATGCGGAATGTTAGAAGCCAAAGTGGTTTTGCCTTTCAGACTCCATACATAGACTTTTTCAAAGCAAGTGCACAACCATAAGAACTCGAGCGACCTTTAACGTTTGAGGAAAATGTTTGAACAAGATTTTTAATAAATACAATCATTTCATCAACGTTGAAACGAAATAGGTGCCTTGAAGAATTGAGCGTTCTATAGTTTCTGAATTCATGACAAACAGCGACCAAAGAAATTTTTGCGAGGTGACTATTTTTGAACACATAAATATAAATATAAATATAAAGTTTTAATGAAGTTTTTGAAGTTGCATTGAGACGTACATGCCCGAACTTGAATCACAAACTTTTTTTTTCTTTGGTGCACACGTTGCAAGTACCAACAACTACATGGGGTGGAAACAACTGGAGATTGACAAAGCTCATTTAGCATACATCGTTACTGGGATTTTTATAACTATTTTTTGTTATACATCTAGTATTATTCGCGAACGGTTGTTGATCGGTGAAGCAAGTATGTAAAGAACGTTTGTTGAAGACTGATTGATAAGATTCTTCATGTCGAAAAATTGTTTCTCAAATTAGCAATATCAATGATATGCTTGAAATGAACTCTAACAAGATATGTAGCTCTGGGCAGTATTGTCGGTCTCATCTTTGGACCACATGCTGCCAATTTAATTAACCCAAAGTCATGGGGAAATATGGAATATGTGACTATTGAGATATGTAGGATTGTCATTAATGTTCGGGTGTTTGCTTCTGGTGTGGAATTGCCAGTCGCGTATTTCCAAAATCATTTTCGCAGCATCTTTATAATGCTGAGTATGATTATGATTTTTGGATGGTTGGTTTCAGCTGGTTTCGCTTATGCATTGTTTCCGAAAGTTACGTTTTTAGGATCTCTGCTTATAGCGGGATGTATCACTTCAACAGATCCAGTTTTGTCCGCCTTGATTGTAGGAGAAGGCCCCATTGGGAGGAGAATTCCTCAAAAAATCCGTGCATTATTAATTGCAGAGTCTGGATGTAATGATGGTATGGCAGTTCCCTTCCTATACTTTGCCTTGAAACTGTTGACTGTGAAGCCTTCCAAGGACGCTGGTCGAGACTGGGTGTTGTTGATTGTGCTATATGAGTGTACATTAGGGATTTTCGTTGGGTGTGTACTGGGTGTGTTGTTGGACAAATTGCTCAAGTGGTTTCAAAAGCTGAAATTTATTGACGCCAATAGCTACTATTCGTTGTCCTTTGCTATTCCTTTGATGTGCTCGGGTATTGGCACTATCATTGGAGTAGATGATTTATTGCTTTCGTTTTTTACAGGGGTAATGCTTGCATGGGACAATGCGTTTGTTGATAACATGTCGGAATGCTATGTACCACCGTTCATTGATCAGACCTTCAACTTGTTATTCTTTACATATTTTGGAAGTATTATCCCTTGGGAAAAATTTAACTGGATCCAGATGGAGCTCTCTGTTTGGCGGCTTATTGTATTTACCATTCTAATTTTCTTCTTTCGGCGCATTCCAGCTGTCTTGATGTGTAAACCGCTGATTCCAGACATTGATACATGGAAAGATGCCTTGTTTGTTGGTCACTTTGGACCTATTGGCGTATGCGCTGTGTATATGTCTTTTGTAGCAAAGTCCATGCTTACACCAAACGAAATTGAAGACTCGGTTTACAAATCTACAGAAGAATTTTACATTCTTCATGAAGTATTATGGCCAATTGTTTGTTTTGTCATCTTGTCGTCTATCATTGTTCATGGGTTTAGTGTGCCGATTCTTATTTATGGTGAGAAATTGAAAAATTTATTGATACGACGACACAAAGCGAACAATCCCACGATTCCTATGCACGAAATGCCTACTAAATCGTCCAAGTCCACATCTAAATCCAAAGAAAAGAGTCCCTCATAAGCGAGTTGTCACATTTGCATGAAAAAACATTTTAATTTGAAATAAAATCTTTGTGCTTCCATATTATTTAAGAAAAAAAAAGAAAAAAGAAACAACAGAAAAAAGGACAAACTAGTTTATTTCCACCGAAACACCTGAAAGGATCTTTAAGGATCTTTATTTTCTTTTACGTTTTATTTATTTTTTCTTCTGTATATTCATGGAGATAGCATTTCCAGCTCAGTTCTCCCTTTAATTTTTCTTACTCCTCCCATCTCTTAATGTTTGCAATTTCGCAAGCAGGATATGTGATATCATAGCTTATGTAACTATCTTTAAACTTTGCTGAAGCCAATGCGGAGAGATGTCATAGTAAAGGGAATAAAGCCCTTTACTATGGTTTCTTTCGTATTAGTTTGTTTACATTCAGAATTGACGAAGAATGGAGCGTTTCTATTTAGAGGAAGATGGTTCAACAAAAAAAAAGAATGAAAATATATATATATATATATATATTTTCTTTTTGCTTCGGCAAGATTTCCACGCTGTATGGTTTACACAGATGAGTGTGTGAGCCTTCTGAGTTGAAAGCGCTCCTCAAATAGAAAATGAATTCTACTCGGTTCCTTTCTGGCAAATATATTTACAGTTTAGCGACTTGGTTATATAAATGAGAAAATGACTCTGTTTATACAGTCAGATCACTTGAATCTTCCAATTCGAAGACTCGTACTTTTTAACTAGGCGTATACTTCTCTTCTATATATTAGAAACGGCATTGTCTTTTGATCGACTTTTTTTATCCAAAACTTTTTTTCTGTTTACATTTCGTAGGAAAGAACTCGCTTGTATTGCGAATGATACAAGTTGCTTCCTTGACACCTCCCAGACAGAGATTCTTGTTATTTTTCTTTAAATGGAAAGAATGTGAAACTATGTGCGTTTTTACGTTAGAGAGAAGCGAAATAGAAAATTAGAGCGGCTATAGGATATTGTTTACTGACGACCTGTTGCGGTATCCATCTAAGTGAAAGAAAAGCACGGTCCGAAAGACTTACCTTGCCGATATAGACAGTAGTAAACAGAGACGCACTTTTTCGATAATCAGCATCATATTTATATGGTGATGCAGGAATGAATAAAATGGTTCGCGTGAATGTTTTTATTGATATAATTGCAAGTTTGAGATGTGGAAATGTACTCACTTGGGTTATCGTACCGTCTACGAATCGAGATGAAACAAGTCTCTACTCGATTACCTTTATCGCAAGGTCTTTGCGGAGCAACTCTTCGGTTGTATTTGTACCTACCGTCCATACTCGAAAAATACACTAGAACTATACGAATGAGCCAGCGATTGTCTCATATCATTTTCCAATCCAACTCGTGTGCATCTCGAGCAAAACTGCATACATGAGTCAGTCGCTAATAGCTAGTCGCTAGTCGCTGGCAAAAGAGCTCAGAAAGACTATCCTGCTTGCTATGAAAGAAAGTAAACAAATTAAAAGACATCAACTAAAAATAAACAAAACGAAACAAAAGAAACCAATAAATAAATAAAAAAGAAACAAAAACAGTAAAGATGTGGTTATCTGGAAAAATGACACTGTTATGATGTATACTCTTGACGGCTTTCGGTATGTCTACCTGAGACAACTGGATTTGCGCTATCGAAACGGTTGTATACGTATTCAACCATTTACACAAATAAACAAATATGATTTACATGAAAAAGGAATTTTTCAAACATTAAAGACATCGCTGGAGTGATTCTTTAGAACCGAACCGTCTTAGCAAACGATGTAAACAAAACGAAAAACCGTCGTACATCATTTACTTTCGTCATCAGCGGCTGGGGTAAGAGGGTTTCAAACGAGGCAGTGCTACTATACTCATTAAAGTTTCATGTATGCTTCTCGTGCGTTTTGATTTGACCAGGAATGCGTTTGCTCCCACCTGGTACCGCTTAAGTTGAGCAACTACGTAATGTGGAGAAATTATATAAACACCCTCGATTTCCCTGCCAGATAGCCAAAAACCAAAAAAAGAAGCACTTTTAGTTGAAACCTCTAGAAAAAAAACCCCCGTTAAAATAGTCTTTTTCCCTTCTTTAGAAGTATTATTTATCGATTCGATTCGTTATTTTCTCTTTCTCTTCATTTCTTTTAACGACTCTTTTCTGATTTGTTTGAAAAAGAAATAGAAAAGCTTCCGCTTGTAATAAAAAGGAAAACGCAAGGATCTTTTTTGTATATACATTTCTTTTCCTCTTTTCTTTTTTGCCTTGTCTTGTCTTAAAAATTCTCTCGGTTTGATTTAGCGTCCTTTTGATTTTTTTATTCATCTTTCTTTTCCCTTCTCTCCTTTTTTTTATTTTATTTTATTTTAAAAAAGCTATCTATTCAGTTATCCATCTTGCTTCATTTTCGAATTTACCTCCTTCTTCCCTCCCTGAGTATCTTGATTTAAACAGTTCATTTCTCACTGTTTTCCTCTAGAGTCGCTTTTACTTTATTATGTTTGGGTTTTTTCGTAAAAGATCAACCCAATTAGTTTTGGGTGCTACAGCTCTTGCTGGTGGTGCTTACACAGTTGCGGTGTTTTCTAAATCGCCAAATAACAATGCTGAATACAACAAGGCATTCTATAAACCATTCCGAAAAGAATTGGAACCTCCACCATCTCGTGAATCCCTTCTAAATCGTATCAAGTCAACTCCAAAATATGATGTTTTGATTATTGGAGGCGGTGCCACTGGTACCGGTGTTGCTGTTGATGCTGCTACTCGTGGTCTCAATGTTTGCTTATTGGAAAAAACTGACTTTGCTGCTGAAACTTCTTCGAAATCTACGAAAATGGCCCATGGTGGTGTACGATACTTGGAAAAGGCTATCTTTAAGCTTTCAAAAGCCCAATTGGACTTGGTAATTGAAGCCCTTAATGAACGTGCAAACATGCTTCGTACTGCTCCCCATCTTTGTTCTGTATTACCTATTATGATCCCTGTCTACGAATGGTGGAAGATCCCTTATTACTATGCTGGATGCAAGTTGTATGACTGGTTTGCTGGTTCTCAGAATTTGCGTGCTTCTACCGTGTTTTCCCGTGAAATGACAACTGCAATTGCTCCTATGCTTAACGACTCGGAACTCAAGGCTTCTTGCGTTTATCATGACGGTTCTTTTAACGATGCAAGAATGAACACAACCCTTGCTATTACCGCTGTCGATCATGGTGCTACTGTCTTGAATTACATGGAAGTAAAACAATTAATCAAGTCTCCCGAAAACAAGGTCCTTGGTGCCATTGCCGTGGATCGTGAAAGCGGTGTGGAATATGAAATCAAGGCTACTGCCACTGTGAATGCTACTGGACCCTATGCTGATAAGATATTGGAGATGGATGAAGATCCAAATGGAAAGCCTCCCAAGACTCCCCAATTTCCTCGTATGGTCGTTCCATCCTCTGGTGTTCACGTTGTTTTGCCCGAATATTACTGCCCTAGAGATACAGGTTTACTTGATCCATCTACCAAAGATGGCCGTGTTATGTTTTTCCTCCCTTGGCAAGGTAAAGTTTTAGCTGGTACTACTGATAACCCACTCAAGGAAGCTGTTTCCAACCCAGCTCCTTCAGAAGAAGATATTCAAGACATTTTGAATGAGTTACAAAACTACATTACTTTCCCCGTGCAGAGAGATGATGTATTATCTGCTTGGAGTGGAATCCGTCCTTTGGTTCGTGACCCTTCAACTGTTCCCAAAGGCCTTGACCCAAGCACCTCCAGTACCCAAGGTTTGGTACGCTCTCACTTGATCTACACAACTGAAACAGGACTTGTAACCATCAGTGGTGGTAAATGGACTACTTACAGAGAAATGGCCGAAGAGACAGTTGACAAATTGCTCAAGGACTTTGACTTTGGTAGGACCTTGAAGCCATGCCAGACGAAACATCTTATTTTAGTTGGTGGTGAGGATTACACCAAGAACTATTCTGCCAAGTTGATGCACACTTATCATATTCCACTCACATTAGCCAAACATCTTTCCCATAACTATGGTACCCGTTCTCCTCTAATTTTGGAATTGTACGTAAAATCAGATATCAATAAGTTACCTGTTGTCCTTGCAGGCAACAAGAGTTTTACTCCTTCTAAAGATTCCGTTACAAAGAACAATGAGTTATCTTATGCTTCATTTGATGAGCCTTTTACTGTTGCTGAATTGAAGTATAGTTTGCTTTACGAGTACACGAGAACCCCCGCCGATTTTATTGCTAGAAGATCAAGACTTGCGTTCTTGAATGCTAGAGAAGCATTAAGAGCTGTTGACGGTGTAACTACAATTATGAAAGAAGAACTTGGTTGGGATAATTCCACTGCTCAACGCATGAGAGAAGAAGCGAGAGGATACATCGCCAAGATGGGTCTACCTCCCAACTCTGAAGATTCCTTAGTCCCCAACTCTAATATTGAACTTCTAGCCGGTGCTGTTTAATGCTTGTTGTCAAGTTAAGTTTTTGATTTGTGAAAAGAAAACCCGCGTTTATGGTTCTTTCGCTTTTCTATTTTTGCTCTTGTATTTTTCTATTCTGCTTTTTTCCTTTTTTATTTTACGATTAATGCTTGCTATGATATGCATCATTTGCAATAGTAATGAATTATATTTTTGAAAATCTATATGCTGATTACTTAGCATCTAGTTAGTATATGTAGTGACGGTGAAGCAATAGGAACCCAAAGGAGATGGCAATTGAAGATTTCTTCAAAATAGTGTAAAGACCTATAAGCTAGGAATGATGATGGTTCATAGTGGATCCAAAGTGTGTGCCTCACCGAATTTCCAAGAGTGAGAGCAGGAAATGTTAGTGTAAGTTTATTTTGTTCTTATCATAGTCATAGTTACGTAACAATTCGTAGAAGAACTGTTTTAAAAGAAAAAGAAATGGACTAAAAAATCGCAAACATGCTGTCGTTCACTCTACTAGTATTAGCAATTGCACCAGCGGTAATACGGGCTTTGGATAATGGCCTAGGTCAAACGCCTCCGATGGGATGGAACTCATGGAACCATTACACCTGCGACATTAATGAAACTGTGATCTTAAGCAATGCCAAAGCCATGGAGGAAGCTGGCTTACTAGAGTTGGGGTATAATTATATCGTCATGGATGATTGCTGGTCAAAACGAGAACGCGATCCGGAGACAGGAGAAATTGTTCCTGATCCAGAGAAATTTCCGCATGGGATCGAGAGTATGATAGAAGAAATCCATAATATGGGGTTCAAGTTTGGTATGTACTCAAGCGCAGGTAAATATACATGTGCTGGATATCCTGGCTCGTTGGACCATGAAGAAATAGATGCCAAGAAGTTTGCGGATTGGAAAATTGACTATTTAAAATACGATAATTGCTTTAACCAAGGACGCAGTGGCACTCCTCTTATAAGCTATAAGCGGTATGAAGCAATGTCGGAAGCTCTAAACAAAACTGGTCGTCCCATTTTCTATGCTTTATGCCAATGGGGAGAAGATCAAGTATGGAATTGGGCCAGCACTGTCGCAAATTCTTGGAGAATCACAGGGGACATTTACGACAGCTTCAATCGATACGATATTCGTTGCCCATGTGAGACCTATGACTGTCCAAGTTTACAAGGGTACCATTGCTCAATCATGAACATTGTGAACAAAGCAGCTCCTCTAGTACAGAAAACTGGTCCCAACAGCGGATGGAGTGATATGGATATGTTAGAAATTGGAAACGGGGGCATGACTTATGATGAGTATATTACTCACTTTACCATGTGGGCTGTCCTGAAATCTCCTATATTCCTTGGTAATGATGTTAGCAACATGACGCCGGATCATTTAGAACTTGTCAGCAATCCTGATGTGATTGCTGTCCATCAGGATGTATCTGCTCCTGCCAACAGAATGTGGAAGAAACCGTTTGGTGACGGCTATGTACATCTTTTTTCTGGATCGCTTTCTAATGGTGACTGGGTTGTTGCCGTTATTAACGAAGCTAATGTGCCGTTGGTAGAAATGAGTATCCTATTTTCGGACATTTTTATTGACAATCGTGATAACACCAAGTTTGTATGGAACATCAAAGACTTATGGACGAAAGAAACAACGACAGCAGCTCGACATTTGACAGCTGATGTTGCACCTCATGGCACTCAAGTTTGGCGTCTCCAGAAAGCTACACATAACTCATACAACTACTATTGGGTAGGACATAACCCGAATTGAAAGATAGAAAAGTTTTGTATGGGATTGGTAATGGGGTTTGATATTTTTTAATCCGAGAGAAAGCACGATGTGGATGTTCAAAAACCATTTGTTCATTATCAATCATATAAAAAAATGTTGAAAATTTTAGGGGATTCAAGTTATAAATTGAAATATGACTTACTGTTTTAAGAGCTGCTCTCGCTCATCTAAGGCGGCAGCAACAGCCGGACGCTGAATAAGACGTTGATGCCAAGCATAAGTCTTTGGAAACTCCTTTTCAAAATCTATTTGAGGAAGGTCTTCCTTAAATTTGTGTCTGCCTGGACCGAAAACTGCTGGCAACAAGCTGTTCCAGGTCACAAAAGACAAGTCGGCAATCGTACATTTGTTAGCAACAAGATACTCTTTGTCTTGAAGGATAGTTTCCAACACGCCGAGCACACGCTTCGTTTCATTCCTGTATCTGGTAATGGCAGACGTTACAGGTTCTGGGTGATAAAAGTTGAACCAGGAAGCTTGTCCCCAGATGACACCTTGACCGGAAGATTGGAAGAAGAGATACTGAAGCAAATGATGATAATTAGGATGATCATGGGATAACGATATCTTTCTTTCCGTGTCGTACTTGTCCGTCAAGTACGCCAAAATTGCATCGGATTCCCAGATAGCAATTTCTTTGTTTTTATGGTCGACTAGTGTAGGTACTCTTCCGTTAGGATTGTAAGCAAGGTGCTCTACGCTCTTTTGCTCGTTTTTCCCAAAGTCATAAAAGACGGAGTCGTAAGAAAGATTCAATTCTTTTAGAGCAAGAGCTACCTTCCAAGGGTTCGGACTGCCTTTGTGAGAAAAGAGAGTAAACTGTGCTATTTTACTAAGAGTATTCGAGGCAAACATTGGAAATAATGGAAATGAAACTGTTGAGAATTAGTATTTTATACGTCACTACGTCATATTAATAATCTTGCGAAATTTGTTTGAATACGAGTTAGACAATAGTAGCGTAAGGATGAAAAAAAAAATATTTGTTTGTATCAGCGAGGGTATACGTCGTCTTTTGATATGGCAAATCTGAAGGAGTGTGAGCATATACTAGATTCCACTTAGGCGTATACTATGACACATGAAAGTAAATGACGATCAGGTTTATCAACTCACAACCTACAACTACTTAATAATGTGTTTTCAGAGGTAGCGGCGTTTTTTGTTTACTTTTAGTAATAGCGACTCTTTCGTATAATAATATTACAATTGTCGCAATAGAGGCCATCGTAACGAGGATATGATCAGCCAGTGACATAATGTCGCTGATTTGTGATATTGAGACATGTGAAAAGCTATTACCGTGATTTTTTCAACTTCGCTTTATCTTGTAAGAGGAGCTTTCCTTTGAAAAATGCTTTTAATTTAAGCTTTAAAAGAAAGGAGTTATTCCTTTTTTTGACAGATCTGTGAACGGTGGAATCAGTTTCTACGGACGTTCTCTGGTGAATCTAACTGATTTCGTTTTGGCTATAGATATTCGCATTATTCTGTGTTTTAAATTGCCATTGCTAAAATGAGGAACAATTACACTCCTGTTTCAAATTCTGATAACTCTGTCAAAGTGCTCAACTTTGAAAAGTCAGACACTCGTTCTTGGAATGGTATTGATACCCCCTCCTCCGTACTCAGGTAAGATTTATTGAAATAAAAAGGAAAAAAAAATAAACGTCAATTGCTTCAATTCGCATAACATTAAGCGACTTGCTGTAAAAAAAGCGTCATACACCTCTATCCTTTTGCAAAAAACAAAAGCATTCGTCACTAATACATCCATTAGCTACAAACGAATTTATTGATTTAGAAATGGCTGATGAATCTGCTTAGCATCTGCCCAGGAGTCCACTAATAATACTTGGTCGGATTCGACATATTCGAAGTGGATTTCAGCGAATGTCTTTTTGTTTTTTCATCTTTTGCTTATAATATATTTTATGTTATATTTTTCGTGGTGTTTTCCTATTTGAAAGTTCCTGTGTGGGCGGAAACCCTTTGGGGACTTTCTGCTGGCTACGGAGCATCCATTGTAGTATTTCTGTTTAGTAAGTTAGATTTATCTTTTATAATGAATGATAGCTAACTATTAGCAATGGCTCAAATTCCTAGCAAGCTGGTAGAGCGCTATACAATGTGTTGATGGCAATAATCTGTGTGTTGTTTGAATGGATTATGTTACTATATTGCAAAGAAGATTATATGGACTGAAAATATAAGCTCGTTTTTCTACTGGCTGTTTGGTTTTATTGACATAATTGCTATTCTTGCGCTATCGACTATGTCTTGCAACCTGCGAAATATTCTAACTGTTCTAGTAATTCCAGATACGCATGTGCGATTTCGATTACTTTTGCTTGATTCAGTAACAGGTTTAGCAAACGGCATGGGAAACATGGTAAATGGCATAAAGAGATGCTGCGAATTATTTTCGTTAACTTTTTTCCTTTTGTTAGCATCTCAATTACCTATTTAGAGCCGACATATTGAAGAGAAGTTACCTCAAAAGGAGGAAATTGAACTTTTATCTCTTGCTGAGTAGAGGGCTCAAGTCTGAGTTCTAACGAACCTGTCCCATCCCATGCCTCCTGTATATTGCATTTTCTTTGGAAGCATTTCATGTCATTTACAGTCCATGAAGCTTTTGCATTCGCATTCATGCAAGCAAGCATCAGCTTCATACGTTTGCTATTCTCGTTCACTCTTTCATAAATTTGTCTCGCAATATCCTTGTTTATGCATCGTTTATTTCCTCAGTGAATCGAATAAGACTTTTTAACTTTTTTATTTAATGACTTTGAAGAAAACTGTTTGCTAATTAACTAATATTTAAGTCATCACTGTAGCCTGTAGTTACATGTTAATTTATAAATAATACAGTAAAATTTAATTAAAACAACAGAGACAATTTTCATTCAATTTCCTTTTCAAATTATCTCTCAAAAGCATAATCAGATGTGTTTTGCTTTACTAGTTTTGCATACGTCCTTCCTTCCTTCGTAAATTGAAACTTCCCTCTGTTTGCAATTTGATTCAAAGTGACTCTTTCCCGTAACAAGCATAATTCTACAAATTTATCAAGAAGTTTCTATGGAAGAAATTAGTTACAATCTCAATAAAGCGCTATTTTCTTGGTTTAACAGAGATTTGGTTCACGAACTAGGTTATGGATAGAATACTTTCTTTTGTTAGATCTCTCATAATCCAATGCTCAATTTATATATGATTAACAAAAAGCTCAACAATAATCTTGTTTGTGATTTCGACTTCTTTTGATAAACGATTTGACTGTTTACATATCGTAATATATGAGTTTGATAAACTTATATAATAATAAGAGAAAATCAACAGTAATATCATATTCGAGTTTTAACGATATCAGTTTTTACAACAAGTAGTAAGTAGTATTGGTGACATACGCTGGGTAAGTTACTAAAAGATAGGAAAATCCCCATATTTTCATTGGCATTTTGTAATATTTTAAATATATGTTTATATAACTAAGATTCTGTTTACAGATATTTCGAAATCAATAGATTTCTGAATGCTTGTTACATGGAAAGTCTATGATACTTTGGTATATATGAGAATTTCACTTTGTGTATATTAAAAAAACCACAGTGTAGCTTATTCTTTCATCGGTACAAGCGACGAAGAATAGAGTAAAATTATGTCGTAGTACGACAAAGTGAACGATAAAATTAGAATTGAATTGAGCATTTGAAAAAACAAAGCAAGAATCAATTGACTGTGTATGAGAAAAAAAATATACATTCTAGATTCAGGATCCATGTTATCCTTATACGATATTAGAAGAAACTCGCCTTTTTATTTGGTCGAAGATAGGCATAATGAGCTGCCTTTCTCCTACTTGGTTCCTAGCGAGCTTTCTCTTCTTTCCTTAGACACTGGCTTCACACGAGCTTACAAGACAAATACAAGTATTTGTTGGTTCCAATTACACCGATAATACAGAAACATTACCCTAGCAGCGACCATCAAGCTCTGCATAAAACAGATCCCCTAATCACATGTACACGCACATACTGTCAGCAAAGCATGCTGTACGATCTTGTATTATTTTTACGAAAAGAAAAGGCTGTATTCTTCACAATCGCTAACGCTGTCTACAAGCAGTATTAGTTTACCCAGTTAATTCAATTGTAATGTCAAAATAAATGAACAATACATCAATCCATAGTTTACAATCACTACGAATTCCCAAGTGCAATCCAAATACGGTACTTCAATGACAAGAACCGAAATAAACTATAACGATTGTTCCAAATTACAACCTATGTCGTTGATAACATATAACGAATACCAACATACAATTATTAAAACATTTTTACGACATCGAAAACATACAGTACAGATATAACCCAGGTTATAGGACATCATTTATGACACCTTTGCCACACTCAATCTCGGTATTCACGGGCAAAAATTTCCGTACCCAGCCCTATCTCTATCTACCCATCTTCATTTAAGTATTGACTTTTCAGCGCGACCTTCGCTTTCCCAATATTTTGGTCTTTTTTTATTTACAGCTTGAGTTTTTTTGGTTTTTTTTTCTTTTCTACGAAATTTTTGTTATAGCTTGGTGCATTATTTTTGGATTAGTTTGAAGAGAAAATAGCTAAGATTTGGAATTTTCTACTTTGGTTACACCCTGTACCGGTACGTTTTTTATTTTGTACACTATAGCTCTTTGTAAGGCTTTAAAACTTCATTTACTTTAAATGGAGACGGATCGGAAAATTAGTCAGGAAAAGAAAGTGTTTGACTCCGCGGAGTCAAATGCTTCCACTTTTCAGACTTCAGAGGCAAAGATATACCCTTCTGAAAGCCGCAACTCATTCTATGAGAAACCTTCTGAGCCAGAAGGGTTTTTTGCTAAATTAGTGAATGACTTTCGACCAGCTTCTACGGATCGCCCAGATGGCGTGGCTTTGAAACGAAAATTGACGAACCGACATATGCAAATGATTTCCATTGGAGGTGCCATTGGTAGTGGTTTGTATGTTGGTTCAGGAAACTCATTAGCAGATGGTGGTCCTGCAAGTCTTATTATTAACTACTCGTTGATTGGTATTATGATGTTTCTTACCATTTATGCTTTGGGTGAAATGGCTGTCGCATATCCAATCGCTGGTGGATTTAATACCTATGCAACTCGATTTATCGACCCAGCTTGGGGTTTTTCTCTTAGTTGGAATTACTTTATTAATTACTTTGTGACTTTTCCATTGGAACTTACAACCTGTGCTATCACGTTTCGATTTTGGACAGACATTAACAGTGGTGCCTGGATTACAGTTTTTTTGGTAGCTGTTATTCTGATTAACTTACTAGGAGTTCGTGCATATGGTGAAGTCGAGTTTGTTTTAAGTTTTATCAAAGTCATAGCAACACTGGGCTTTATTATTTTGGCTATCATCATTGACTGTGGTGGTGTGCCCACAGATCATCGTGGGTATATCGGCGGAAGCATTATTAAACGAAACGCATTTCGTCACGGATTTAAAGGATTTTGTTCTGTCTTTGTTACGGCTGCGTTCTCCTTTTCAGGTACAGAAGTCATTGGTTTGGCTGCAGCCGAGGCAGATGATCCCAAGAGAACTTTACCCAAAAGTGTCCGCCAAATTTTTTGGAGAATTGCCTTGTTTTATGTTTGTTCGCTTTTGATGATTGGTCTTTTGATTGACCCTGATGATCCTCAACTTATGGGAAATGAATCCGGTACTAGCACTTCTCCATTTGTTTTGGCTATTCAGGAAGCAAAGATTAAGGGACTTCCTTCCGTTTTCAACGCTGTAATTATCGTTTCAGTTATTTCTGTAACCAATACAAGTACGTATACGGCGGGACGTACCTTGCAAGGTATGGCCACCTTGAAACATGCCCCTCGAATATTTCTTTACACCGACCGTCTTGGCCGTCCTTTGATTGCTATGGGCGTGGTCTTGGCTTTTGGATTTTTTGCCTACATCAATGAGGCAAACGAAAATGGAAAGGATATTAGTGATACTGTGTTTAATTGGTTGCTTGCTCTTACGGGCTTATCAAACTTTTTCTGTTGGGCCAGTATTTGTCTTTCCCATATCATGTTCCGCTTGGCCTTCAAGAAGCAAGGTCACTCACTAGATGAGCTAGCATTTGTTTCCCCATTAGGTGTTTGGGGCTCTTGCATCGGTTTTGGTTTCAACGTGTTGTGTTTGATTGCCCAATTTTATGTGTCACTATTTCCCGTCGGTGGAAAACCTAATGCTAATGATTTTTTCCAGGGATACTTGGCTGCTGTTGTTGCTTTGGTATTTTTTGTGGGATATAAGATATATGACCGTCGCACCATTCCTCCCCTTTCTGAAGTGGATTTAATGACTGGCTTCCACTCTGCGAAATTTTACAATAATTATGAAGAATCATACCCGAGAAAAGAAAGAGGTAGACTTGGAAAAATCTTGTCATCATGTTGCTAATCATGACATTGTGAAAAAAAGCCTTTGTCCAAAGTTCTTGGGATAGTATATGTGAAAAAACCTTTGTCTTTTCTATGTAATACATCGTCTGTCTGATTAGTGTTTTCTTTTTTTGATATCATTTTACCTCCACCCAAGCAATAAAACAGTACATTTTGTGGGGTTATGGAAGGATATATAACTTATTAGTCTTTATTTTTTTTTTTTTTTTTGTTGTTGTTGTTTAAAGGTTATATATTAATAGAAAACCAAGGAAAAATACAAAAGTTTTCAAAGTACTTCAATAAACCTTCTTTTTTTCTTTGAAACCAACAGCTTTTATTTTCTTTATATAGTAGTGGTATGTGAAAGACCGAGTGGAGTCATAAGACAGAAGTAGCATTTGCTATAGAGGCTATTCGTTTAAAGTGTAGTCAGATAGTAAGTTGAGTTACTAGGTAGTCTTTGCACGGCGACGTTCATTTTTAAATTTTGGGATGGTATAGATTCTTGCCATACTAAATAAAGCAGACAAGTGCAATATATGTGTCTTGTACAATAAATTTGACTCGTGTCGAGCTGTACGAATTCTTCATTGAAAACTAGCAAATTTAAATAATTCGCCCTGATAAAGGTAATAAAACAATTACACGACTGATCTCTGAATTATTCAAATGTGGGTAGATTTGAACCTCGATAGAAAAACGTCCCTACACAGATAGAAAAAAAGAAAAATAATAAAAACAAATCTATTTTATTTGTAAAATACTTGAATATCTACAAAAAAACAACGCATCAATCCATCTAACCCTTTTTTTTTTTTTTTTTTTTATTTATCTGAATTCCTTTTTGTTTACCAACAAAGGCTACATGATACCATGACTCAAACGCCAGTGTCTGAGTGGGAATTTAGTGGGATAAGTACCAAATGGGGGCTTTCATTACAAGTCAACAGCAAAAGGAACGTAATCCTGCATAATGCAATCGTTCTCGAACTGTATCCTTTTATAACGCAGTATAAAAAAGTAGCTTATAAACCTTTTAGGGTGTCTGTATGTAAATTGCTTAAAAGAGATTACGAGCAGGAAAATTTTATTATCTATTACGATGGTTAACAACATTTGCTCTAGAGATGGTGCAATCTATGAATTGCTAATTTTTAAACAACTCCTATTCAAATCAATCAAATGAAAAGAAACGAATTAAAAAAAAACAAACAAAAAAACAAAAAGAAATCCTTTGATTTTTTAGGACATAAAACCATTTCACGAACGACTACAGTAGGATAGCTCTTGCTTGTCAATTTCTGCATATATAGAGCGCAAAAACCACGTGGTAAGACGAAACGAACCATATACTTTCGTGATTGGATGCTGATTGCTCTTAATTTAGGCGAAATTGCGTCGTTTATTACGTATCCATCGCTACAAATAATGCAAAAGTAACATGACAGAATTAAGTAACAAACTCTCGGAAGAGCTCCAAAAAATTGGCAGCACCTCCCGGGACACGGAATCCCTGACGAGTGCCGGTATATAATTGCGGTCCTCGCCCATCAATGGCATACCAGAACCACTAAGAATACAGAAAATTAACGAGCTTATTGAAACTCGTTAATATTGGAAAAGGACGTCTAAGACGGAATTGGAATTTGCATTAACAAACAAACGGGCTTTTTTTATTCTTATTTTTGTTTTGCTGAATCTCGTCACTGTATTTATAATATTTTGTGATTTTATTATTTGAATAAACTTTTGGTTTCTTTTCTTTTCGGCTCTTTTGTTTCGTTCCTTCTTTTCTTTTCTTTTTTTGTTTTTATTTATTTATTTATTTATCTATCTATCTTTTTCTATCTATTTGTCTGTCTATCCAACTATCCAAGCTTTGTTGCTTACTTCTTTTGGTTGCTAAAGAGCTTGCATTCATTTTCATGGTCAGACCTGCTATTATTTTAAGCGTTGGATATGCCAATCATATTCCGTTGTACGTAGATGCAATCGTCAAAGCAGGCGGTACTCCGATTATCGTTTATCCCGGTTTGCCCAAAAGCAAGATCCCTAGTCAGGTAGACGGAGTCATATTAGCCGGTGGAGATTCTGTTCATCCTAGTCGATATGGCGAAGACTTTAAGCGAAATGCACCAGTCACGATGGATTTGGATAGAGATGACTTGGAATGGGCCATTGTCGATTTCGCCGTGAAGCTTCATCTTCCCATTTTGGGCATCTGCCGTGGTTGTCAATTGCTGAATGTATATTTCGGTGGTTCCTTGCATCAACAAGTTTCCCATGAGGGCTACTCGAATGTTCATCGTCCTCAGAAAGAAAAGGACCACTTGGCTCATGCGGTGATCGCTCGCTCTGGTCATATGTTGTCAATTTTGGGATCAAAACCAGTCTTCGTGAACAGCATCCACGATCAAGGGATTCATACCGTTGGCAGGGGTCTCAAACCAACCGTTTTTGCCGAAGACAGTCTTTGCGAGGGTATTGAATCCGTTGATGGTGATATTCTTGGCGTACAATGGCACCCTGAAGCTATTCTCGAAAAACAGTCTCATGCTCCTTCTGTATTTCGGTATATTGTCGAACTCGCGAAAAGCAAAATGATTCAAAGATCAACTATATCTAATGTTTTGCCCAGTTGCTCTCCCCTTGTTCCTAAATCCAGTGCCATACGTACTGGTCCATAGCTTCTTCGGGTTGCCTTCTTTTGTATCCTTGTTTCCACCTATCACGATTCCATCCTTTTCTTGTAAATACTGATCCCTTTCATTTTATTTATTGATTCCTCTGGCAAGGAAATTCTGGAGTTTTTATTCTAATGCCATTCTGTCGAGAATGTGTTATTATGCGGTCTTTATTGTTAAATTAGAAAATAGAAAGTTTTATGTTGTTTATTTTCATTTTAATTGTACTTTGCGTTTCTAGAGTAAGAGTAAGAGTGAGAGTAAGCGTAAGGGTAATAGTAATGGTGTTTTGATTTTTCTACTTGTAGTTCTTTCTATCCTTTCTATCAAGTACTAGTTCCGCCAAACAAGTTTACTATACCATATATATACTTGATTCTTACTTGGTTACGTCTCATTTTACACGAATGAAAATTACAAGGCTGGAAAGGAACCCTACTGAATAATGCGAGATGACTGTCTACAAAACCAAATGCATAATAAAAGTTTTCGGTGTTTGGACCTGTTTCTAACGAAACCATCATTCCTTTGATACAGAGACTACATCAAGCAAACCAAACCCTCCCAAAAGACGACATTGACATCCTTCGTTCAATCGAATATGTTTGACATTTCTCAAAATTCAATTTAATGCCATATGAAACTGTCTAACGAACGAGTTCAGCCAAAAAATATACAGTTCATTTCGTAAAAATTAATCAGATCTTTAGTGACTTTATCAGATCCGTAGTTTGATGGCTTTAAGGTCGCAAGACTGATAGGCGCTGACTTTCCTTTATGGGAAAACCAAAGCGATTAAAGATACATTATCAATTGAAAATGAAAAAATTTAAATAAAAAAATCTTTTTCAAGCTTCGTCGAAGATTGCAAGTTCCCGTTTTAGTCTTCGACCTAAATCCACCAAGAAGGTCATAAGCATTCTCATAGAATACTTGAAGAAAAACTATATATAGCCCAATCGCTGGCAATCAACCTCTACCAAATTCAAGACATTCATTTCTCATATTGTTGTATTAATTTCTCTTTATTTTGTTGAAGCAAAATGTCTGCGGAACACGAAAAAGAATACGCTCTTTTCAACCATATATTCTCTTTGCCCTCTGAAAAGTTGAATGCAATTCGTGGAAAACCAGAGTTAGTTTTGTCTGCCATCGACGATTATCAAAAGAATACAGAGACTCACTACATGGATATTGGCCAAGCCAAGGGTCAAATTATCGTTGACAAAATCCGAGAAAAGAAACCCAAGATTATGGTGGAGCTAGGTGGATACCTTGGATACTCTGCCATTTTATTTGGAAAAGAGCTTTTGCAAGATTCAACTGCACATTACTATAGTCTAGAAGCTAATCCGACATTTGCTGAAATGGCTACTAAGTTGATTGACTTGGCCGGAATTTCTGAAAAGGTAACTATTTTAGTTGGTCCTGCAACAACATCTCTAGTAAGTCTACAGAAAGAGTTGCAAAAACAAGATTCTGGAGTCCGCACGTTCGACTTTGTTTTTATCGACCACTGGAAAGACTTGTACGTTCCTGACTTGCGAGTGATGGAATCTTTGAATCTAATTGCTCCTGGGACAGTTTTAGTAGCCGATAACATTTATCATCCTGGTGCTCCTGAGTATGTCAAATACATTCAAGGCACTGCGGATTCAAAGCGTGAACACAATGCTAGCATTCCTAATGCAAATGGACACAGCTTTGTTGGAAGATGGGATATCGTTTACGACTCGAAAACCATACCTGTTGAGCTCGAAAATAGAAGGGACGCTATTGAACTCACTTATTGCACAGGTTACGCGGAAAAATGAATCACGCTTCTTTCACCGTAGACCATATTTTTCCATACGCTCATTGAATTGCTTTGTAATGATCTTTTGAGACATTTAAGACATCTTTAATTGCTATTTAAATAAATCTTTCGCTTTCTATGCTTTATTCTTGAGAGACTGTAGAATATACAATGAGTGCTCATAGTAACTTGTCATTGTCTATGCCCATGACCCAGCTATAGCATGGACAAAGTAACTATCCTGCTTTTTACATCTGTTATTTTTTGCTAGTAAGCCGCTATAGGTCCTAAACTTTTTACGGCGAGTGTTAAGCAACAGATTCTTTTTATCTGCTTCTCTGAAAGATTTTCCATTAAGTCTAAACTAGAATTCTAATTAGAATTAATTATTTTCACTACATCTACTATGAAAAAGAACTCTTCAACATACAAAAAAAGCAAACAACCTATCTACTGCACTCAAGCCAAATGATCGTATAAATGACACGCACGAAGACGTTGCTTATGGTATCACGACACTACCAGCCACTCTTAATATTTTCTTCTTACGGATTGATAAGCAGGATACGGTTCGCATTAGTTATCCTTAATATATATGCAAACCATCGAAGCATAAAGTAAGCTTTTACTAACTAGCAGACATTTTTACAATGGCAGCAAACGAAGACACCGTTCACTTTGACCCTAAAAACATGCAATTTCGCTTTCTCGGTCCTTCTGGATTACGAGTTTCTGCTTTTTCTTTAGGAGGTTGGTTGACCTATGGTAATACCGGGTACGATTTGGAGCACACGAAAAAGTGCCTCAAGCAAGCATGGGATTTGGGAATCAATACATTTGACACAGCCGAGGTTTACAGTCAAGGAAACTCGGAAATCATTATGGGAAAAGCTATCCAAGAATTAGGATGGAAACGTTCTGAATATGTTTTAATTACCAAAGTGTTCTTTGGTGCAGGTCCTAAACTTCCCAATACAACAGGCTTATCCAGAAAACACATCCTTGAAGGTGTTTACGGTTCATTGAAGAGACTTGACACTGAGTACGTGGACGTGATCATGGCTCATCGTTATGATCCTTCCGTGCCTATGGAAGAGATTGTTCGAGCCTTTACACATCTTATTCATCAAGGCAAAGCGTTTTACTGGGGTACTTCTGAATGGAGTGTTTTTGAGATTGAGCACGCTCATCACATTGCTACCAAGTACAATTTGATTGCGCCCATTGCTGATCAGCCTCAATACAACTATGTGACTCGCGATCATGTTGAAAAGGACTTGCTTCCTGTTCAACAAATTTATGGTTACGGTGCTACCGTTTGGAGTCCTTTGAAATTCGGTATTTTGACTGGAAAATACAACGACGGAATTCCCGAAGACTCTCGTTTGAGCACAACATATGCTCAGTACGCCGATCACTTAAAATCTCCCGAAGGACAAAAGATCCTTCAACAAGTTCGTCAAGTGACTCAAATTGCTGATCGATTGGGTGCATCTCCTTCTCAACTTGCCCTTGCTTGGACTCTGAAAAACCAATATGTTTCTACTACTATCTTGGGTGCTAGTAAGCCAGAGCAAATTGTCGAGAACGTTAAAGCTTTAGACTACATCGAAAAGTTGACTCCTGAAATTTTGAAAGAGATGGACGAAATCTTGGAGTTTAAGCCATTGGATATCCAATACCGTCATTAATGTCTTCAAGATGTATATGTGGAATTTTACGATTACTTTTTTTTTACGAATTAAAAGAAGCTTAGAATATATATATTTATATATCTCTGACAAGCCCATGATGGATTGAATTTCAAACATATCCTTGTGTCTCAAGAAATTCATAGTTTAGCAAGTTGCAAGAGAACTTATTACTTTTAATTCGCAATTCTCATTGTACAATGCCAATAAAGAACCTGTCTAATTGAAACCATCTTTACTATCAAACACGGCTAACAGTCGGATGAAAATTTCTTTTATCATTAAGCGTAAATAAAACAAACCAAGTTATTGTATATCCCAGGTTTTAGCTAAATCCGTTAATTGATGCTTCCAAGGTACAATGAACGTTCACATAATAAGTGAAGTAGTACTATCTGATAGATCCATGTACTTATCAGATGGTCGTGATCTAACTGAAATTGAGTTTCGCTTTATCTACTTTCTTCATTGCTATGTGCTTTTTTCTCTTCATTCTCCAGTTAAATAACAAGACAAACATCTTATTGTGTACAGCCTTTTTCAGACTATCTACTTTAAGTGAAGAAGTTGTTTCTAATAAAAGCTTGCAAAATATTTTGCGTATGTTTACTAACGAAATACAAGGAAATCAGTTCATATAACTGGCAAGCCGGTCCGTTGAGGTAAATGAGGACAGTCGCAATATAAAAAAAAACTTTCTTTATTCCAATCAGCTGGAAGAACGGACTAACATCTCGAAACATAGATGTGGTAAATTTTTTATCATATGTTCCGAGCTACAACTTAAGATCAGATAAATAGGACCCATGATCAGATAAAATTGATTTAAGAGAGAGTCATGGAAATCAAACATTCAGAGTCTACAGAATTAAAGAAAATTATAAAGATGAATAAATCTATAAACGATAAAAATAGTCTGGAAATCGTATCAGAAAAATCTTTAAACGATTCTATAAACGATCACTCCAAGACTCCTGAAAATGACAAGGAAACATATTTACAAAACCGCGGTGTTACTAAGATCGAAAGAGTCAGATTGTATGTGAGTGAAAACAGAAGAGGGAAAGTCTTAGCTTATGCTTTTGGATTTTCCATTTTGGTATGTGCTTGGGCTTATTCAATTCAGTCTTCGACAATAGTTATCAAGTAAGCGCGACTTCATCCTTTAATCGTCAGTCTTTATTGTCTACACTTGAAATTGCAACATCCATTATCTCTGCAGTGTGCAAACCAATATTGGGGAAATTTTCGGATGTTACATCTCGACCCTTGACTTATGCGTTCGTTTTAATGCTATATGCAATAGGATTCACCGTCGTTGCTTCCAGTTCTACCATCTCTGCATATGTTATTGGCTCCGTCTTCATCGCCGTCGGTAGTTCAGGGCTGGATTTTTTAAACAGTGTCATAGTTGGCGACTTAACGCCATTGAAATGGAGAGGATTTGCGAACGGAGTTCTGTCTACTCCGTATATATTTACTGTTTGGTTTTCCGGGCTAATTGTCCAGGGAATTTTAGATCATAACTGGAGATGGGGATATGGAATGTTTGCTATCATAATGCCTGTGGTGCTCGTTCCAGCAATTCTAATTTTGGTTTATCTTGAAAGTTCTGCAAAAAAAAGCTTTAAAAGATCATCGAAGAAAAAAGTACAAACTTTAAAAGTATCCACAAAATCTACTAAAATCAAAAACATCTACCAAGCTATTCTCGAAGTCGATGCTTTTGGCTTAATACTGCTTGGTTTTGGCTGGTCTCTACTTTTGTTACCTTTTTCACTAGTTAATTATGCTAAAGATGGATGGAGGAATCCAAGTATGATTGCAATGATGGTAGTTGGTGGGGTTATTTTGATTATTTATGCGTTGTACGAATTGTACTTGGCTCCTTATCCTTCATGTCCTCGCCGTATTTTGTTTAACAAAACATTCATGATGGCAATTATAATTGACTTTTTTTATTACTTTGCCGGTTACATCCAATCTTTGTACCAGACGTCCTACACTTACATTATTAAAGACTGGTCTTATCGCAATTGGTCTTACTTTTCCAATATAATGACGGTTTCATTGTGTTTTTTTGGTTTATTTGCTGGTGTCATTCAGAGGATAACACACCGCTACAAGTATTTGCAAATTATCGGTTTAGCTATCAAAATTGTCGGCTATGGAATTTTGATAAGATCTGGAGTTGGAACAACCAATACAGTAGCCTTGGCATTCTCTGAGGTTTTAATCGGTATGGGTGGCTCTTTCAGCGTTGTGGGATCCAGCGTTTCTGCTCAAGCTAGTGTTCCTCATGAAGATTTAGCTACTGTAACTTCTATGCTTAGTTTATGGACGCAAATCGGCGGTGCCATTGGATCTGCAATTGCTGCCCCCATTTATTCCAAGAAAGTAAGTAAGTATTTACGAGAATTCATGCCTTCTAATGTTACGGATGCCACAATCACGTCGCTTTACAGCAACACAAATCTCATACGCAAATATCCCATGGATTCTGATATCCGTAAAGCCGCTGTGAAAGCTTATTCCAAGTCTATGTTCTACCTATATGCACCAAGCATAGGAATATCCTTTATACCTTTAATTGCAGCATTTTTTCAAACTAATTATTTTCTTGGGGACCAGCAAAACGCTTTTGAAGAAGAAATTAAGGAAAAAAAAAAGGATTATAGTAATGAACAGGAATTGATCTGACTTGTATAGACGGATTCACTCTAATACACCAGTACTAAATCATAATAATAATACTCTTAAATTTTATTTAGTTACTAGCGTTATATAGCAATTTTTATATTTATTTTTTCCTTTTGAAGAGCTCAGCGATTTTCATGACCGCACTGCATTGTTGGTGTCAAGCTCGAATTTTTAAAACAATGATTCTCTTCTAAATTAAATTCTCATTCTTTCAATTATTTTGTTTTGTATATGAGTATGGGCATATTCACTTCAAAATATAGAAAGAACGAAAAAAGTTGTAATTTTCGCAACTTAAGTTTCGGGTAACGAGTACCAAATCAGATAAAAACGCAAGTCACATAAATTTATCTGATTGCTTATCTGATCTTAACAACAGTGCATATCAAAACTTATAAGGAAATTGTTGTATCCGCAATAAAAGGCCTTTAAATATTGAAAATTTACAATAAAAAACCGTCTGTTAATTATCCTGAAAAGAAGATCTCGCCTTGGAGTTATTTTTAAAAATACCATTTGGTGAATGTTTGCATTGGGTGTTTTATTATTGAAGATATAAAATGACTATAAGTATTCATGATAAATGGACGATTGGAGCAATCACTTTAATAATTTCAATTTACTTTCTATTTGTGTTGTTCTTTTCCATTGAGTATGTGAGAGTTTATCGAAAGTCAAATAGTTTGGCAAGTACCCTGGTTCATCAAAATCCAAACAATGCTCGAGTTAATTTATATCTCTCCATACGGAATATATATAGTTACTTGGTTGCTCATAAGTTTTTTCTAAACGTACTTTTATACATAACTTTTATTTTAGTATCTATTCCTTTCGTTGGGATAAATACTGCAAATGTTATAAGTCCAAATGATTGGAATTTAATAGGCATAGCCGCTCGATTGGGATACCTGGCATCTGGGATGTTCTTCATATCATTCTTTTTCAGCTTAAAAAACAACCCTTTTTCCCTGATGCTTTTCTCCTCTCATGAAAAGATGAATTATTTACATAGACAATTGTCAGTTATTGCTCTTTTAATTGGAATGATTCATGGCTTTTGTTTTCTCTTATGGTCCGCAAAAAACTATAAGCCTTTACTTACAGATAAAATAACTTTATATGGATATGCTATTGGAAGCTTAATTATCATCATATTTATTAGCAACCTTCCTTATTACAGAAAGCATTATTACGAATTTTTCTTTGCGACCCATCATCTTTGCAGTGCCGGTTTCTTATTTCTAATTTGGAGACACCATCCAGAATCCATTAAATATATGAGACTCTGTATGGTTATGTACCTCTTTGACCGATGCTGTCGATTATTTCGTAGCATAAAAAATCGGTGTCAATTCGATTTCTTCATCCTAGATGTTAATTTAATTTACATGAAAGCAAAAAAACCGAAGCATTCTTTTTTCTCTCTACCATGGGCTGCTGGAAATCATATTTATATCAACATACCTTTCTTGAGTTATTGGCAAGTACATCCTTTTACCATGCTAAACATCCCTACAGACGATTATATTGAACTTATTGTAGTGGTTCGTTCAGGCTTCACGAAACGCTTAAATGATTACCTTCGATATCCAGAGAGTACTACTGGCTATGAAGGAAATCAAGCTCGTCAGATTTTACCATATAACAAGGTCCGTAATTACTCTGCAATAACAGAGGAAGGGATCCAAAGCAACATAGACCTTTCTCTTCCCTTAACAATGAATGGTTGCCTCAAGAGTTTGACGGCTTTAGTTGATGGACCCTACGGGCCTATAAGTAATCCTTGCACTATTTACTCTAATGTGTTGCTACTTTCAGGAGGTGTTGGTGTTTCATATACTATGCCAATTATGAGAGATTTAATTATAAACAAATCGAAAGCGATCTCAATTAAATTTGTTTGGAGTTGTCGTTCAGCTAAATTATTAGAGCTTTTTTACAAGATACTTGAATTTTCCTTGAACCAAAGTCATGCCAAATTGGAGATAATTTGTCATTTGACGTCCATTAGTATCTCTCATCGTGATCTTCCGATAATATCTTCTAAGCAAGTCGGTAATTGTAAACTCCAAATTGTTAAGGGAAGACCTGATTTTAACTGGTACATCAAAAATTTCGCAGATGAGGTAAAAGAACAAACATTTTGCATGACTGCATGTGGATCAAATGCTTTGTTAAAAACCGTAAAAAATGCTGTCACCGAGAATATTCGTTCGACAAGCGATTTATACCAACATTATGAAGAGTTATAAGACGTCCACATACGAGGAGGATAAATACGGGAAACACCCATGATATTTATTTTAAACTCTCTAACTCGTTCTTTTATTGTATATTTAAATGACCTATAACTATATTTATGATCTTCGACAGAATGCTTAATTTACGAAAAGACCTGACAATTTATAGCATGTTCGTTTACAGTAATTTCATCCAATGTATGTATTTTTTAGAATAATCGCAACTAAAATGACTCATCTCAAAAGCAAAAAATTAAGAAACGACATAATCCGTCCATTAATACTTTCCTTTGTTGTATTGAAATTCATTCTTAGTCTCTGGCTTTATGAAAACTTCTTTGTAATTTTTATATAACATAAAGCTTCATTTGTTAGAATACAGTTGAATCAATTCATCATTGAAATTACCTTACACATTTCGCAATAGGATAGAACACAAACTAGAATTAATCTGATTATCAGATCAGGATACTAGATCGACGCCAATGGTATTATTGTTTCACATATTTATTTTTTTTTAGAATAAATTATAAAAAATAAAAGAAGGCATACTTTTCCAAGGCTAGTATCTGGCCGGGTCGAAAACATCCAAGCTGCGAATTCTAGGTCCGAAGAAATATAATAGTGGAAGACTTATACTACAAAATAATAATATGAACGCAAGTAGCGTACAACCCCAACCATATCCAAGTCGCTGATATAAAGACTCAGCAAATAAAGGAAATATAGCACCAAACGTAAGTTGTAGGACTCTCACCGCTGCTGATGCGCTAGCAGAATAAATACCATAAGTATCCACAACATACATGTTCAAAGGGTTATTAGTCATAATGTACCCAGCACCAAGAAGGGTTGAGCCTATCAAAGGTACAAACCAGAACACTCTATAGTTTGCAGTCCAACCAAAGATCAAGATACCGGTTACAAAAAGAAGACAACCTATAATTCCCATAGGAAGCCTAAATTCAGGTTCACTTTCACCTCCATTCCGCTGTAGTAATTTGATGTAAAACTTTTGGTTCAACGGTAATGCTAAGAACACAGCACATAAAAGACCCAGGGTTATAGAAACATACATTAGTCCACTGATACCAACGTTGAAATTGTATAATACTTCCCATGCTTGAGAAAAGGCAATGAGTACCAAACTCAAAATTCCATAAATGGTGCCGACAGTGAAAGCTATACAAATCAGAATTGGTTGTGTTACAAGCATATGAAGCGGTTTTTTCATACTTAGTAGTACAAGCCATTTTTTTAATAGTTCAGTACCGCTAAGGCGTTTCGCGACCACCTCATTTTCGCCGAGTTCGCCGAGTTCGCCGGTGCGTTCCAACTTCATTCGATTAAGTATTGGAGGGTAAGTTTCTTTTAACAGAAGGAAAGAAAATAACAATAAAACACCTGAAAGGATAAGTAAGATCCAAAATTCCCAACGCCAACCGATAGTGCTTTGAGTAATAAATCCGGAAATAATTGGTGCGACACCTGGTCCTAGCGAAAGGAGTGTAAAGTAAACAATCATATATTTACCTCGGTCTTTTTTTTCAAAAAGGTCTGCAAGACTTCCTGCTCCATTAGACATACCGACGGAACCAAAGCAGCCAGAAAAAAATCGGAAAACTAAAAACATTTCTAGATTCACGGAGAGGGCGATGGGAATTTGGAGTAAAGCGAATACGGAATAGCCTGTCAAGTAAATCGGTCTTCTACCAAACTGTTCACTAAGAGGAGCAAAAATCAATATCCCAAACAAGACACCAAGGGAGTAAAGGGTTGTACCTAGTGTGACAACAGTTCTTGAAGAGTGAAACTCTTTTGAAATTGTAGGGATACTAGGGGCAAAAACATTGGCACCATACTGATTTAAGAAACTCATAGTTGAAATAACAATTACGTTTCTAATTTTGAGCTTTAACGGCCATTGTTTTGGGTTATATTCATCCCATGTTTTTAATTCGGGAATAGAGCGTTCATGGTAATCGGACTCGTTTGAGCTAAAAGAGGAAGCTTCTTTTTGCATTGAAAGAATCAAACCCAGATCTGATTCAAGTGTATATTACAACAGTCCTCTTGTTGATGCAGTCAACACTTAAACTCATTAACTGTCAATATGATACAGTCGCTGCTAAAAAGAAATCAAGCAGTGAAGAATTTGCTATGCACAAACGAGTATAAAAGCTATAGTCTATTCCTATGAGTAAAGCAGCCGTCTTTTTAATACAGAAATTTTCGTACCTTGACACAGGCTCCGCGGAGCACCCTCCGCGGAGTCTCTTGTCAGCGAATACATGAGTCTATGTGGCTTTCTATCTCGCCTTGTCGAATTCCTTCATGTTTAATCATTTTTTGCCAAGTCATGATGCCATTTAGATTAGCTAGTGATGCATTCAAGTAAACGTCGTGTTGAAGATTGAAAATCACCATTGATTTTCGAATAGAAAAATTTCAGCTTATTTTAGTTGTAGCAAACAAATAAAATTCATTTCCATTTTTGACGCTGATATAAAGGATCGATGTTGTTGAAACGTTTTACGAAAAGCAAAATCAGAGGTTCTATTGCATGCATGCTTTAGGCATATGTGTCGAAGGGTATCACGGAATGTGGGAGCCAAAGAACAAAGCAAGTATTTCCATAGTATTAGAATTAGACATATTCTTGTCAGTATCTATTTACTATCTTGACGGTTAAATCAACTCGTACTCCCTTTGAATCCCCATCTTCAACCTGGTAACAACAAACCGAGAGTCCTTGTTTATTCCCTATCAATTGTATAACTTTCAATTTTTGTTACAAAAAAAAATGTGAACTCGCGCCAAAAACGAGACGTCTTGTGGTAGTAGCACAATGAATGGCAAGGAAGTACTATGCCTTTTCATTTACTTTTGTATATTTATATGCTACTGCCTTCCTTTCATACACATAGCAAACCAGTTTCCGTAAGAGCATATTTATGACCCTAAATATACGCATATGGTCTTACATAAGAATATGCATATGCTAGTAAATATAATGACCTACAGATGGACTATTACCATATAAGATGATATGGCTTGTCAACAATATTTCTCCACATGGTTGTTTTATATTCGTAATTGGAAAACTTTGTTTTTGTCACTTCCAAAAGTCTTATTGCCAACGTATTCGTGAAGGATTGAACTAAAAGAATAAATAAAGAAACTTTAACGAACATATCTTCTGTGTTTCAACGAATTGCTGCACTTTCAGTTGATCTAAATTTTGACTTTGAACCTATTTATTAACCATCTACGTCAGACTTGGAGATTTCGTTTTGTCTTTTGACATCCTCTTCTATGCAGAAACGAAGGAAACCGAAACAAAAACAAAGACCATAACCGAGATCGCGACTACTCAAAGAAGTACGTATGTTTTGTTTTGGATGTGCTAAAGTTGAATGTTTTCGTTCAAAAACTTCAAACGAATCCTGGTGAAACGACAATACACTTGAATAGTTCCGTAATGCGTTATTTTTGAAACTTGATTCTCGTCATCATAAAAATTGTACAACCTGTTGATTCGGCCAAGTTTTATATTTGATCGTCATTTCCTCCGCTTATTCAAACTTTGCAGAAACGAGCTTGAAAGTTTTCGGATGAGATTAACGTCGGTTGGTTCATTTAACTTTATTTATTTGCGAATTTTCGAAAGGGTTGGATTTAATTCGCAAATTATGTACGTTTTCGATAACCTTGATTTAACTTGAGAAGTCATACGTGTATATGTAAACAATGGCTTGGAAGAAAATTCTTAGTATTTATTGTAGGGTCTATTCCATCTTTTTTTAATTTATTCCACATATACCAAATTTAATACCTTCGTATTTTACTTATCTTCATTCTACCTTTTTTTTTGGATATCTATTTCAGTGCTCTTTCGTTACGCTCACCAATTTCCATTGAATTGATACATAATAAAACAGCCATTCCTTTCTACCTTTTAATTTCTAAATTTTTTTTTTTTTTTTTTATTGCAGAGGAAGTTTATTCCAGTTATTTACGTTAACACTTTCTTGCAACTTTTAGTTCTTACTGTTGAAGAAGCATCATGGGAAAAATCTTATTAATTGTAATGCTCGTCTTTGTGTCGATGGCCGGCTGGATGAACGGCGCCGACACTGGATCAATTTCTGGTATTACTCACATGCGTGATTTTCAATCGAAATTTGCGGATCGGTATGATCAAAAAACAAATACTTATTCTTACTCGTCTGCTCGTCAAAGTCTCATTACCGGTATGATTAATGTTGGCTCGTTTACGGGTTGCTATCTGTCTGCTCCATTGGCTGAGGCAGTTGGAAAACGGATTTCAATTTTTGTTTGGTGCATAGTTTACATTACAGGTGTTATTGTACAGATGACTGCTTCTCCCTCGTGGATTCAAATCGTCATTGCAAAAGTTTGGACGGGATTTGCGGTCGGCGCTACGTCGGTAATTGCTCCGGGCTACCAATCTGAAGTTGCTCCAGCTTCATTGCGTGGAGCTATTGTTACAACTTATCAGTTGTTTATTACAGCCGGGATTTTCGTCGCTGCTTGTATAAACATGGGTACTCACAAGTACACGCATTACAAGTCAGCTTCGTGGAGAGTATCGATGGGAATGAATCTGTTATGGGGATTCATCACTTTGGTTGGGATCACTTTTCTTCCAGAGTCTCCTCGCTATTTGATAGCCATTGGTAAGGATGAAGAGGCCTTAGAAATCATGAGTAAAAATAATGATATTCCAAAAGAACATAAATCAATTCAAGATGAATATCATCTAATTAAAGCTGATTGCGAAATAGAATTGGCTGGTGGTCCAGCAAAATGGTATGAAATCTTTGGAAAAGAAATTCGTTTCCGTACTTTACTTGGATTTGCTGTCATGTCGTTTCAGCAACTTACAGGTGCCAACTATTATTTTTATTATTGTACACAAGTTTTCAAGAATAGTGGTATAAGTTCACCTTATGCTGCTGCTTGTATCTTGGATGGTGTCAATGTCTTTTGTACCGTTTTTGCGATGTTTGTGCTTGAACAATTTGGACGTCGCATGCCTTTAATTGTGGGAGGTATTTGGCAATCTATTTGCTTTTTTATTTATTCCGCAGTCGGTGATAAAGCTTTGTATCGCAATGATGGTAGTTCCAACCAACAGGCAGGTGCTGTTTTGATCGCATTTTCTTGCTTTTTTGTTGCCAGTTTTGCTGTAACGTGGGCTCCAGCAGCATATGTTATTGTTGGCGAATCTTATCCTGTAAGATATCGCTCCAAGTGTGCTGCACTTGCTACTTCAGGTAATTGGCTTTTTGACTTTGTAGTCTCATTTTTCACTCCATTCATTACAAACATCATTGGATTTAAGTACGGGTATGTATTTGCTGTTTGTAATTTAATTGGATCCGTTATAATATTTTTGTTTGCTCATGAGACGAAAGGTCTGACTTTAGAAGAAGTCAATCAAGTTTACTTTTCAAATTTGAAGCCATGGCAACGTAATCCCAGGAAATACAACAGCGACTATTCACGTAGTCAGGAAGAAACGATTGAGAAAGAAAAGTTTGGAGCATATGGGGAATCTTTCGACCATGTTGAAAATACTCCTAATAATTCTTCCCCGACGGAGACCTCTTCTCTATCCCAAAAGAAAACCTAGGCTTATCATATTTTCAAATCATCCAAGAAAATACTAAATACTAAATAAAAAATAAAAAATAAAACACAAAAAAAACAGAACTTTTTCTGACAATCAAATTACAGCTTTATTTTTATTTTTTACCTTTAACAAACAATCTTTTTGAAGCATATACGATACGATTTCTAGCATGGTTATGATCATAATGATAAATACTTAATCAAAACTCAGTTCTTTTTTCTAAACAATTTTACCAGATAATTAATTCTCTATACGCTTGCCATTTAATCCTTTGATCTTTCCTCTCTATTACTATATAACGACAGAAAGTATGTACCATATTTACTAATGTAAAGTAGTCCGTGATACGACATAGAATACAAAGCCGGCTTTAAATATTGGAATATACTTTTGAATGCTTTACATCTGTACTCACACTCTTCATGAGAGTCAACGAATCAGATGATTGTGCTTTTTACTGAAACTGCGAAGAATTGGTTGCTTTATACTACTTCAATGAATACTAATACTTTAGAGGGATCTGATTCACTAAATAACCTATGTAAACTTGAACGTAGTTAGATTACAACCTCAACGTTTGGACTTTCAACTTCAGTTAGATATATCTTTATAAAATCAAGTAAAATGATTCCTTTCTATTCCATTTACGTTCTGATAAGTAAGTATGTTTGGGACTTTACCTTTTGCACTAACGATATTTGATACTACAATATCATTCTTGTATGGCGCTAAAGATAATATCGTATAAGGGTTATGAAAAAATGTAAACTCATGAAGTACGCCAAAACATAGAATGCACTGCTATTTTTGACATTTTAGAGTTAATGCCATAGGATCTCATCGAAGCATAAAGTGTCTTTACATTGTTTCCGTACAGGCAATACATTTCATAAAATAAATCATCCATCATTATTTTTCTTAAAACTAAGCGACTGAACACTTTTTCTTTCAACTATAAATTCATTTCATCGTTTGCTTTTCGTTATTTTTCATCAATTCGGCATAACCTTGACGTTATAACCTTGGGGTAGGAATTATCCGACATACTTGTAAGCTATATTGTGTTAGTAGAAACTCATTTGAGATGTATATATACTTACGCAACATAATTCCGTTAGGATCAATCACATGTTTTATAGTCTTCATTAGGGAAATCATTTCTGGCGTTTTCGAATATCCAACATACGGCTTCTTCAGAAAACCGAGTCCATGTTCTGACGAAATCGAACCTTCATGAGAAGCAACCCATGCAAATACCCACGGTTCAAGAGCATCTTCAACCTTCTTTTCAAGTTTTCTTGAAAGAACGTTCATATGTAAGTTCCCATCGCCTACGTGACCAAACCCGACAACGTCAATAACCGGCTGTCCAGGAGCATCACCTATTAAGTTCAAGTCTTTTAGTCGTTCCTTCGTAGCATATACTAAATCAAACAATATATCCAAAGGTAAGGAAACGTCATACTTGTAGATACCAGAACCAACATCCTGCAAGCATCCCGCAGTTTTCACACGTCGTAACACAAATTCATCAATTTGTTTATCATCTTTGGCAATTGCACCTTCACCAATTAATTTTTGTTCTTTCAATTCTTCAACCACCCTACAGAGTTTTTCGTGATCGTGATTCGAACTGGATCCCTGTGTTTCGATAAACACGTAGAATGGATATTCATCTTTGATAGGGCGTGGAATAGAAGAATGGGAATCCATAAAAATTTGTGAAGTATTGTCCATTAATTCAAAAGCCGAAAGAATTTCCGAAAGATGGAATTTGGCTGTAGAAAAGGCTTTCAAAACATTATTGTATGACGGTAGACCTAAAAAGGCAGCGTTCGTAGAACGAGGTTTTTGCGGACATACAACACTTAGTCGAGTGATAATTCCCAGGTAGCCTTCACCTCCAATGAACAGTTGTTTAAGATCCTTAGGCCTGTATTATCCTTACGGACTTTTACTAGATTGTTCAAAATGGTACCATCCGGCAAAACCGCCTCCATACCAATAATATTTCCATGAAGATTTCCATATCTCATCAAACGAAGTCCGCCCGCCGATGTCGAAGCACAACCACCCACTTGACAGCTTTTCCTAGCTCCAATATCAAGTGGGAAAATATGATCCTTACTAACCAGATAGTTATCCGCATCCTCCAAGATTACACCAGCATCCAAATTCAAGATACCGGTGAGTTCATCAAAACCATGGATATGATTCATCAAGCCCAAGTTTATAATGATCTCGTCAAACACAGGGATAGAACCACCAACAAAACCCGTGTTTCCTCCTTGAGGCACGACGGCTAGTCGGCGGGAATTACAGTATTTGAGGATTTGACTCACTTGTTCAGTAGTCTTAGGCTTAATAACTAGACGAGATTTTCCTCGGTATTTATGCGTCCAGTCGATGTTGAAAGCATCCAATTCAGAGGGATCAGAAGATTCATCAATATCGGTGACAATGGATCCACCATCCTTCGCTAGCGCACCTTTAAAAAAGTCAATATCTTTTTGACTTAATGTAGCATAACGAGGATCTCGTTTTAAAGAAGGATAAGATTCTGAAGTGAAAGATGGTTTCTCTGATGATCGAGAGTCCCTTGCTTTGCAATTAGCACATTTAACTCCCTCAGGTTTGGAACCAGAATTGTCCTTCTGGGTTTGACATGAGCATTTGCCATTCTCGTTATTGCAAGATCCTTTATGTTTGCATTCACAATTTTCACTTCCCATGGTTACTTTCTGATCTTATTAGTTCGATGATTTACTTTTTATAAAAACTTGTCTTTGCAAATATAAAAAAAATTTTTTAAAAGATAAGTACTTATGGTAAGATTTTTGGGCTGAAAATCAATTTCTCTTCCTAAATAAGTAAAAACTTACATGTGATATATTTCATACTTACGTTTATTTCACTACCCGAATTCTGAGTAACGTAGAACCATACTGTCTGTTTACGTTAATAGCTGACCTCGATATTTGGTAATGTAGCAAGTCTTTTCTTTAGTTAATCAAAATTAATAAAATAAATTTTACTTTTCTTTTCGTAAACGAAGAAGTTGGGAATATCACATATACATACCATATAAGCAAAGGATTCCCACCTTAATATGCTGTGAACATTGGCAGAGAAGTAAGAATATTGTGTACGTAGCGCTAGATCGGCTTAGTATCATCTACCATAGTGAAGTCATCATGAACTCTTCAACACAAGATTCTGTCTGTATTGTGCTTTGACAACAAGTGTGTTCAGTATCGAATATTCGTTTCAGTATTTCAGAACTGGAAAATTACATTCCATATGGTTTAATTTTAGGACCTCTACATTGTGGGTAGAGAGATCTACTAACAATCCCGAACGAACGTACATAACCACCCGAATGACTTACAAATTTGCGAATGACAATCTATCCGTAAAATTCATCTACTTTATACCTGCCTGGAATGTCTTAAGAATAAGGTAACAACATTAGGTTAAAATAATTCAGCAGTTTAATTAGTTACTCTGTCCCCAATTTTTTTTGAATATTCTAAAAATAAATAAAAATAAATTAAATAAATTAAATATTCTCGACTTTATATATGCTTATTTAATTACTTGTAGAATCAAGGTAATATACAAAATGGTATCGCCGTAAAATACAACCATTCATTAAATAATTTTTGGAATTATATCGAGAAAAAAGATAATTGTAGATAAAACTAATTCGAAATACCAATTTCCTTTTTCTCCGCAGTCTCTTCCGCGCTTTCAACATCAGAAGCACGTTTACTAGGTTTTGTAAATAAAAGAACAGCGGCTAATATTGAGACACCAACACCCAGACCACCAAATCCTATTCCCATATACCAAGCACTTCGATACCCCCTCAAAATATTCGTTCCTTTATGGTTAAGATGCACTTCAATAGTGCCGGCAATGCCGAGGCCTATTGAAATAGAATAATTCACAACCGTGCTCACGAGCGACGCAGCAATACCTTGATTTTCTCTTGAAACGAAATCACTGATCACCAAAGTTGCAGCTGGGAAGCTCATATCCATACCCCAGGGAGTTACGATAGTGGCAACAAAAGTTTGTGCCCAGTATGTTTGATCAATAGGTGCCGTTGCAAGAAGAATGGTACCGATAGTAAACGCAGCCATGGAAATAATCATACAAATAATTGGTCGAAAGCGAGATAATAATGTTCCCGTACTGGCAGCAGCAAGGCAACCACTAATACCGACAGGTGCCATTTGGGCGACCGTTAACAACGGAGTGTTTTGCCGCAGAACTTCGAAAAAGTTCCATAAGTAGTAAATCCAAATCCCAAAACAAGCCCAACCGGCTGCTATACACATGAGGATGAATCCAATCTCCCCGGTGAATGCATCAGGAGGTAATAGTGGTTCGAGCGTTTTGTGCTCAACGTAGATAAACACAACCATGGACAAAACCCCAATAATCAATAGAATATATACATATGGTACATGCCAACCAACGACAGGGCCTTGATTCCATGCGAAGTTAATGAGTACCAAACCCGTTATACCAAAGAATGTTCCAAGATAGTCAAAATGTCGCTTCTCGGAGGTTTTCTCCTCATCAGTCTCCTCTTGAATATCTGGAATAATTAAATAACTGGCGATACAAAAAGCAAAGCAAATAATGCACGTGGACCAATATGACCAAGGCCACCAAGCCAACTGTGAGAAGATACCAGAGAAAACAGCACCGAGCAAAAATCCGTTCGGTGCCGTAGCACCAAACATACAAAACGCCCATTGCTTTCGCCTTCCCGGCGGATACACCCTACCAAGGATGGCCAATGCATTAGGTAGAAGAAACGCTGGTGCAATTCCCGTGAGTGCACGACAAACGTCGTACATGATGGCTGATTTTGCATAAACACTGAAACCTGATATCAAGGACCATAAACTATACCACGCATACCCAAATATAAACATATTCTTATGTCCGTACATATCACCAAGTTTTCCGGCAACAAGGATGAATGTACCTACTGTCAAACTGTAGGAAGCTGGAAACCAACTCAATTGACCACTATTCGTTGTTCCAAATGCTTTTCCTATGATATGACTTGGCGCAATTGTTTGACCCAAGCCAGCTTGAGTCATGAGCTGAGCACTACTAGTAATAAATATAAATAATATCTCACGGATTATGGACATTGGCGGGTTGCTGACCGGTGGTTTTCCACTCGCTTTAAAGGAGTTTACCTCCGAAACTGGACTATCCATATCGTTTTCCAAATAGCTTTGGTTACTTTTTTTTCAAAATTAAAATCTTTTGCTTTTCTTCAATTTTGACTATGTGCTATTCTTAAAAAAATTTAACAGTAGCTTCATGAGAAGGGAGTAGATGAATTGAAACAGCTAGCTACCTGATTAAATAGTTCTACCACGTTGGGTAGGTCATCTCGCGATTTTCAGCTTAGTAATCGCCAATGAGACTCAGTTCCTTGAGTGGTTGTAAAATTTCCCACCATAAGTTACAGAATTGTTTTTCCCTTAGTAAAAAGTTTTAGAAGATTAAAATTCAATTATGACACTGTTCTGGTGCTTCTTTTGACGGTCATTGCAAAGTATCACAAAGATGTTCAAAGATTCAATAATACAGAGTGAGTGAGTTGGAATTTTTTATAATGGTATTGCGCAGAATAGCGTGAATGAACGAAGCAAAAAGTTGGTTTTTCATGCAAAATGCCATTTCATCATTACGAAAAGTATTGATTTATAAATTGTTAATTGATCAATTTTTTCATTGATTTTAGTTTTAATTGATTTTAAAGTACTTTCGTAAATTGAAGCGAGCAAACCAAAACCAACTTGGACAAGCAAATGATTTTTGAGCTTCGGGGAGCCTATGTAAGAATTGATGTGTAATTTAAATCCATAGATGTTTGCTTTCCCGTGTGAGCGTTTTACTTGTTGCATCTTTATCCATCCATATTAAGCATTATTATATGTTTACTACTACGTATATTCAACTCTGACTAACATAAAAGGTTCCCTTTGATCCTTCGACGCAAACTCATGATTGATCCCATGAAATCGCAACGCCTTATTCTTCCTAAAGTACGTATTTGTCTTAAATCAAGTTGACTTGTAAAGCTATTCATTTATGGATGGAACAACTTTTAAAATATGATGAAAACATTCACTGAATGTAGATTGATGCTACAAAAAGGTATCGAAACCGGAACAGCAACGTTGTCATACTAATCTCGAATTGGATTGAAAGAATATTACCAATTTACGTACCGTGATTAAAATTGAATCATACAACTGGGAAGACTATAAACAAAGGAGGAAAATGTCAAAGATATTCGTCGAGTCAAGAAAGACAGGGGCATGTTTCAAATATTCTTGGTGCGTCGTTGATTTAGTTTCTTTTAATAAAAGAAAGAAAAGTGGATGAAGGCTCATATAAAATCAATTTAAACCAACAATGAAAGAAATCGCCTGAATAAATAAACCTCTCGATTAATACATGAACCAAAATTCAAGGAAATTATAGGTTTGTAAATAAAACAGTAACGAAAACCAGGAAAATATAGACATATTTATCGACCTTTATGAAAGAGGCGGATGACTTGTGTTTGTCGTGAGAAACAGCTTTTAGTTTTGGAGCCTTGTATGCAAGTTTAGAAGGTTTTGTGGTCAAATTCAATTGTTTATTCAGAGAAGTGAAGAAAGACACTTCATCGGGATAAACTTCATCATAGTAACCCCAATACTGTAGCTTTGGATTGATGTAAGTAAGCAAAAACCTAAAGCTCAGGAAGTCAAACTGGCAGGATTGGTTGCTTTCGCAAGGATAAAGGTAGTTTTCATAATTCAAATATGAACCGTTCTGATACAGTCGTTCAGAGGAGTTGAAGTATACAAACGTCATATTTGGTGTTAGCATATAGTAATAATGAGTTGAATCTAATGATGAGTTCTTTGGAGCTTGATGAGAAGAATCACTCATAGTCACAGATATGTACGAATCGAAGTGCGGTACCTTGAAGCATTTCGGAGAGCTGCCTGAATAACATTTTTTCTTCTTGTTACCAATCTTGGTACATGTAACACTGCTCCTATCATTAGGAACGGTCAAAATAGAGCCTGCGTGTTTTGTAATCACATTTATGCCTTCGCCCTCAACTACCGGAGGATTCATAATATAAGAAACATTTCCATTACAGTTTTGGCTATATGGAAATTTTTGGACATAAAAAGGATAGTCTGGTTCTAAATTTGACCACCCGTCAAATTTAGATAGATGATTGAAAGGAGTCGCCCATCCCAACGAAAAATAAGCCAAAATTATCAAGAAACGAATGGAAATTTCCATGTTATGTTCTTAATAACTACCATCAATCAACCTTGCGCTGACACTTGAATGTTCCTCATAAAGCACACACAGACTCTCACTCAGCTTTATGGTTTCTGCGTTTATAACTCAACACTTTCAACGTTGCCAAATTGAAGGCACTAAATATTCAATGTCGAATCAACCACACTTAGAATCCTTTCGTTTCACAGCAAAAGTAAAATCCTTTACTTTTTATAAACAACGTACAACTGGTGAGCGGTCACAGCATCTTCGATAGTGACTTTTCTTGTTATTAGGGGATATCCCCTTCAAGGCCTGGTTAAGTATGAGTAGTGTGAGCATTTTTTGATCTCCAGTTTGATAATGCGAAACTTTTCCCGATCTACACTAAATGCAAAATAGTACTTTTTGGAAATCATTCCTAAATGTTTCTAGATATCGTAGTTTTTGGGTTAATACAATGTTTGATACTCATTTTATTGCTTTGTTTCATTGTTAGTCGTACTTGCAGGATTCGTAACATATCGACATGTTTCTTCTATTTCTTTAAACAAAAACATAAAAAATTCAGGAGAAAGTCTGAATAAAAATCATATAGATAAACTTTTTATGAATGTATCTACTGTCTTTCATTAAAGTACCAGGATATGGCAAGTAAGAGAACATGTGTTGTTGGTGGTCGTTGTATCTTATACACGGACAGATTCTAGGTAACTTTTCGAAATTAGTTTTATAGATGTAAACAACTTCTACAATAGGTGACGTTGCTTTATACTGTTTGACAACTGTAGCATTTCAATTGACAAAACCTTAGACTCTTAACTGGGACTAAAAAGCCCTAAATAGTAATTATTCACGATGCCAGTTCTTTACTTTCTTACAACTCAAGACACAGTAATGCAAACATTTATCCACTAAGAATTATTTCATTTTTCTGTCATTATTTATGATTATTTCGTAGAATTAATTAAACATCGTATTATGGCTCAATTTTGTTTCGCTACAATCCACAAGTGATTCAACATAAGATTTGTCGGTCGTTATTACTTAATAGAAACTTGCTTTCTCGATCGAGATTCTTCAATCTTTGGCATGACAATGCTTAGAATACCGTGGTTAAATTGAGCTTCAATGCGGTCGGCGTCCACCCTGTTTGGAATGGTGATTGTTCGAGAGAAGGAACCAAAGCGACGTTCCGACCATCTTTGGTTTCCTTTGTCGCTTTCGCTCTTGCGTTCGTTTACAGATTCACCAGAAATCGTCAATTTTCCTTCATCGTAATGAACCTGTACGTCTTGCTTTTTGACACCAGGAAGTTCTACATCCACCTCGACGGTATCTTTGCCTTCATGAACATCAATGGCCGGTGACAAATCACCAACACGGTTCTGGCGTTGGACACGAGGAGAATAACTCAAAAAGTCAGAAAAGACGTCTTGGAAGGGGTGCAATTCAAAGAAGGGTTGGAGAGACATTGTTAATAACAATTAGCAATAGCAGTTGTCAATTTCAAATAGCAGTTAAATAATTTAATACTGTTTGTAGATGTTGTCGATTGACTTTTACATGCTTCCAATTTATACCTACTCATCACGAGCAACTAAACGGCCTAGCACTTTCTAGATGCTGCCTTTTGGCCACCACTGGAATTCGTCGAATTTCCATGCCATTCCTTTTGTTCTTTTGTACAAATTCTGTCATTTATTCTTCTCAACTGGACATAGAAATGGCTTTTTCTTTTCTTTGCTTCTTTTTCCTTGTACTCTTTTGTTTACTGCAGCTCTCCTCGTCATTCTAGTTACCTCTAGAAGAATCATCACACATTCCTCTTTTGTACGATACACACATCAAAGGATCAACAGAAGTACCGACATTAGTACCAATCCTCATCCTAACGGTAGTACTGTTACAAATTCTAGTAATTATACATGTACGAACAGATGTCTACGGCCACACCTAGGCGAAAACACCAGTTCCCGTCCGATCACTGCAGTTAAGCGTCTGAGGGTCTCGTTAGTACTATGGTTGGAGACAACATGGGAATCCGGGATGCTGTAGGCTTTTTACCGCTTCGTTTTTATTCTTTTTCTTTTTTTTTTGCTTATTTCTTTTGTGGCTCTTATTGTTGAAGCATATGGCTGGCATTTGGGTCGGCATGGTCCTTTGATGAAGGTAATAATAGCAGTGGAAGTTGGAAATGCAATAATCACTCTTAAATTCAAGGAAAGAACTAAAGATCTTCCTAGACTTATGAAACGAATAACAAAGATCAGAAAATAGAGTATCAAACGAATAAATAATAAGCAATTGAACCTAGCTATGCAGATACAATGACAATATCATCCAGTAATAAGCATTCTTACTTATCCAATGTTGAAGAGATCAAGTAAATCAAGAAAACGGACGCCATTCAGGAGTACTCGTCATGCAAAATGCATTCTTAAAATAAATATGCAGGGACGAAATAAACATAAACACAAACACAAACATACGCAAAAGCATGCAGGAGAACAACCAAAAAGATTGGGAATTACTAATAAATAATGCTTTGCTTTACGTACAAATCAACTCTCACTGTTTTCCACATCCCTAGACTGACCAGGTCCCCGGCGTAACCCTGGAGATTGCTCAGAATGTTCAGAGGACGGTTGCTCGAAAGTATTATCATTACAATCATTAAACTGATTTTCAGTCTCTGTCGACATGCTGTTTCATGGGATACAATTATCATCCGTCAAGTCGTTTCTTTCTGACGGCATCCTGAAACCTAGAGCACTCGTAACAGCACTATTAATCCCAGAATAAAGCGAAAAAAGAAATGAAGATATTCCAGAAAAAAGCGAGGAAAGAAATAAAAATATTCCAGAAAAAAGCGAGGAAAGAAATAAAGATATTCCAGAAACAAGCATAGTGGTTCCAGAAAGGACTAGAGGAATCAGTGTAACGATAAAATCCACCAACACTAAAAGCATCCCATTAGTAAGCAATTTTAAATTACAAATCCACCAATTCACTTACATGAACAAAAAAATAAGAACATGTAGAAAGTCGCGATGACAAGAACAACTGCTACTGGAATTTGAAACCATAACCATACAGATTCTTTCATTGATTCCTTTATAAAGGGGACAAGGTATTTGTAAGAAAAGATAAAGTTCAATATAATTGAACCATTAAGGCACCAACCAAGCCGAAGAGCTTCATTCTCTTGTCTCCGCTGTGCTTCCGGGATTCTTGCGATTTTTGCCGGCCAGAAAATTAACCATAATAATGCCGACAAGACATCTCGTAAAAGAATAAAGAAACCGTTTCCTTGCGCCATGTGAATAGAAGCTTCTTGATGTCGTCTTCTTGAGTATGGTGGAACTGGATCTGGATCGGACTGTAAACGTAAACTACCCTTCTCCATATTGTCAACATGAGAATATGGGATTTCGCTGTATTTAGGTAAGCAGTTCTCAGAACTTGTAGAAGAGCTCAAACAAGCAACTTTTGCTGGTTCGACAGTTTTTTGATGTCCTTCCTTTTCTTTTTGATCCATTTTTGTTGAAAATAACTGTGACTGAAAGAGTTTCTTAATTACCTTTGCTTGATCACTAAGTTACTGCGAAAATTATCGATTACAAAATAAAAGGACCAAATAGCATACAATTTCGAAAACAAAAAGATGACATATCAATTTGGTTTATACATTAAAGAAGGAATACTAAAAAGAGTCTTGAAACCCAGAAAATAAGCCCACAATGGCAAAGACTAGAGCTTTGCAGAGGTGAAGCTGTCATCCAACCCATTTGACAACTGGGTGATGCAGTTCGTTAAAGAGACTTATCGATAGCTAGTAAGCGTACGCTATTATATGTGTATATAATATGAATGAATGAATGAACTATCGGATATAGCTTTTGTTGGTTTCTATCGTATAATTAATAAAGATAAAAAGAAGATGCATTTCTCCGTACAAATTTTGTTTACCATAGTTCGACGTCGCATCTACAAACTTTCCATGTGTTTACGGATTTGAAAATAAAACTACGAAAATGGAGAGTGTTGTAGCTTTCTCAGAACCCATTTTTCTACAGTCATAAAATCGTCTAAAAATATGTATTTTCATTTATTTGTTCACATCATTCAAAGCAAACAGCACGGTTGTTTTGCCAAATGCTCATTTGTTCCTTTGTTTACTTTTTGTAATAAACGTTGACTCTTTTGGATTATACTATTACGAGAAATCGCAACGAGGATGTGACCAGTCGGTGACATAATGTCGCAGCTTTTATGAAACGAGACATGCGAAAAGCCACTACCAAGATTTTATGAAACTCGTATCTTTGGTTTTAAAGAAAGTTGTGCCGTAAGAATTGTTTGCTTTTTGAAGCAAGAACCAATTCCTATTTTTGAAGACTCTGCACCAATTGGAACCAGGTTCTACGGACTTTTCTTGGTGGTTCTAGTCGATTTCTTTTTCAACTCTAAATATTGCCGTTCTTTTTGGTTTTTAGCTTGTCATTGCAAAAATGAAGAATAAATATACCTCTGTTTCAGACTCTGAAGAGTCCTTAAAAACGCTCAATGATGAAAAGTCAGACACTCGTTCTTCAGAGGGTACGCCTCCTCCGTATTCAGGTAAGATTTATTGAAATGGAAAGGTAATGGTGTTTGTTATTGAGAGTTCTTACTGAGGAATCCTATTTTAAACTTGTCGACGATTGTCAACAACAGGGCAAATACCTCCTTCCTCTCGTATACAACGAAAACTTCAGTTGCTAATACATTCATTAGCTTCAAACAAATTTATCGATTTAGAAATGGCTGACGGATCCGCTCAGAATTCCGCCGAATTATCCGAAAATAATATTAGGTCTGACCCTTCGCCAAATAAACAGTGGTGGAAAACACCTGTCATAGGAACAGTGACCATTATAACGATTTTATATAATCTTGTTTTTCTAGCCATAATTTTTGGTTACAAGGTTTCTCCGTATTCAATAGCTTTTTATTGGCTTGCTGCCGTTTCTATTGGCACTATTTTTATTTTCCTATTAAGTGAGTTAAGAATATCTTGTTCTCAAATAACTGACCTATTTTTAGCGATTCTTGTAACGTATCCAGAATGGTATCGGGAAGCTGGAAGAGCAACAAAGAAGTGCATTAAGAAATCTGGAAGAGCAACAAAGAAGTGCATTTACCCTGATAAGTTTGAATGGAGTCGGGGGGTATGTTTTGAAATTAGCAGGAGGCTTCGAATATATACATTCAGCCATGGTGTTGGTTGTTTTGGCCGTATTGAACATATGCTTGTTTGTTCTTCTCATTCGTAAGTTGCAATTTTCTATGAACCTTTCTAACTTCTTTAGGAAACCCAATTGGATTTGGAAATATGACAATTATCGTACCTACAGTAAGCGAAATTTAGTTTTGTTAATCTAGAATTTTTCATTAATTTTGCAGAACAACAGGATTAGCAGGAATCGTCCACCTCGTAACGAAGAAACCGAACTTCAACCTCTTGCTGATCAAAGCTCTGAAGTTTGAATGTGAGTGTGAGTTTCACCGAACTTGCTTTCATTTTTTGTACTTCGCCTTCGCCCCTTCCTTGGGATCATCGATGTCAATTGCAGTTCACCAAGTTCCCTGTATTCGCTGTCGCAAAAGCTTGAATCTGATAAATCCAGCAAACTTTGATTGCTTTAGCAATTCACTCTTTTACGACTTTTCTAATTAGTTCACAGCACTGTTGTTTATGCATCGTTCATTTCTTCGCATTCCGAATAGAACATCCTTTTTAATGATTATTTCATGATTTTGGCAACGAATATTGCATGGCAATGAGCTATTGTTTAGTTCAACATCGAGTCGCGTAATTGATTATGTTTTAGAATTGGCAAGAATAAATGTGAGTTTCGACAGTTATTATTTTCATTCAGTATAGAAAACACAAATCTTCAGATAAAAAGATCAGATGTAGCATAGGTCATTAAACTATCGTTCATTTAGAGAGTCAAATCAACGCACCATGAAATATTTCAAGTAGAACCCAATTTGTATAAACCACATTTTCAACCCGTAAACCCAAACGCTCATTTTAACACTCATTTTGATGCTTTTACGACAACAATGTGAATCAAGAAAATAGAGAATGACAGTTTGTATTCAAATCTTATTTTATAATATGAAGGCATTTTCCATTCTTCCGTGGAAAACAGTCAAAAACACAGCTGAGCAGGGATGGATTTTAAAGGCATCAAACATAAGAAAATACTGGACGAGTCCTTATAATAATAAAAGTAGCTTTATAGACGACTACAAACGTCTACGGCCACACCTAGGCGAAAACACCAGACCAGTTCCCGTCCGATCACTGCAGCATGTGAAAACGTTTGACGGCCTCGTTAGTTTCGTTCTATGGTTGGAGACAACATGAGAATTCGGGGTGCGGTAGGCTTTTTTCCTTCGTTCTTTTTTGTTTTCTTTTTCATTCATACTCCCGTTCTATCGTATTATTAGGAGTCAGTTCATTTGATTCTAATTGTCTCATTGATTTACATTTCTTCCATGGGTACAAAATGCTATAAACTTGTGATAAATGTAGGAATCTACAAATGCATACAAACATTGGAAAATAATGCAGGTCACTTTCTTGCTATTTCCACAACATATTAAAAGTGGTCCATTAATTAAACAATCTTAGATTAGTACTCGTTGTTTCTTTTCGCTAGGTAAACATTCCCATATTCTGTGAGGATTTCTGTTGTAACAGAGATCACACGAATGTTGCAATAATAACAATATTTTGGTTAGAAAATTAATATTTCCATGCAATACCGCCGCCGGAAGATAGATATAAAAGTAACAACGACTTCAAACATAAGTTTCCTTTTTTTTTTTTAGTTTTACTTGAAACTCGCATTTTTTTTTTGATTTTTATGAGAAACAAAATTTTTCGCCAAGCTTTTTATACAAGAAAACATTTGTTTATTGACATAAATCCTTAGCAACAGTTACGTTCCATTTACACCAACCACTTTGCAAGGTTCTAAGATTTGTAATTAGCTTCCCATTAAAAGAAGAAAAAAAAAGAAAAAGTAGCAAATTTTGTAAAAGCTTGTAAAAGAAAATATGAGCATTGATTACTTTTTGACGAACACAAGTGATGCGATGCATACAATGGCACGAAAGCAGTATAGGCATTCTCATATGAAACAGCAATTTCGTTTTCTATAAGTCTATAATAACAATTTTCTTTAGCTTTCCATAGTTCTAGCTCTACTTCAAATCCAATTTCTCCTGTATTTGGTTCCGCTTAGGAACCAACATGGATTTCTTGTTTTTCCCCAAAATTTTTCTTGGGTTACATTATGAAAAGACAGAAAAAATGGACCGCTGAAACCTTTTCAACCTAAAGTTTATATCATTAGCTTTCTCTTCTCAAAACTTATAATTAAAAGGCTGAAACAAATTTGACTGATGATGACACGAGTTCTTATGTTGAATGTTTTTGTAGAGTGATTACTAGGTATGCTTCGTTTTCGGCGAATTGAGATATCTTTCATTAAGTCAACTAAGCAATTATATTTCTATGAATTTTCCTAAATATTTTGAAAAAGCAAACCATTATTATAGACTTGAGAAAACTCTTGGCTATGGCTCTATTATACAATCGTACATGAATTGTACTGATCGAACTACTTTGGGTATATAGCTATAGCTATCGCTTCGTTAATTATTCAGTATCTTCTAACTGCTTTCATCACCGCAACCATAACCGTAGCAATAACAATAACAATATAAAATTAAATAATAAATTGATCTTTTACTTGGTATTACGAAAGTTTTTATGAAAGAAAATGAATATGGATTCGCACTTACAAGAAGACTTGTCAACCAACAACGAGAATTTGTATACGAATGAATTGGGTATTCCTCCTCCAAGACAGGAAAACATTACAGAGTTAAGTCGCTATTTTATTGATTTAAGAGGCGCAGTCAATGAAAAAAGCTATCTATTTCAAAGGCATGAGTTAGAACAAGGTCTTGAACGAATTACCTTACGAACCAGGGAAATGAATTTTGAAAAGGACTATCTTTACAGTAATTTACGCACGCTTGAACAGATAAAGCTAGTTGAGAGACGTCTGAATCATTACAAATGTTTAGAGGAGTCTAATAATGATCAACCTCCACAATGGTTTATTAACTTCTTTAATGATCCTAATGTTGGATTTCTTGCTCTTAAAAGGGAAATGGTATCCATGGATGCCCGTCAAAATCAACGGCTGGAAGCATTAGAAAACCGTCAAAATCAACGGCTAGAAGCACTGGAAACCCGTCAAAATCAACGGCTGGAAGCACTAGAAACCCGTCAAAACCGACGGTCGGACGTAATAGAAGAAAGTCTACGTAGTATCAATCAGAAACTGAGCAAGCAGGAGTATCGATACTATAGATTACACAACATACAGTTGAGATCATTGGGGAAGTCTATTGATGTTGTTCCATTTGTAAATGGCCAAGAACCAGACTTTGACCTGCCTCAAATTCATTCAATTGAGGATATTGAGAACTTGACAAAAGATCAATGTACTCGTTATCTTGACGGCTATGGAATCCAGTATGGGCCAAATGAGACGATAAAATTAAAGGAGCGTCTTCGTAATGCCGTTGGATTAGAGTCCTTGGGAGATAGCGAATTTCTTTTATCTGGGTTTCGTTGACTTTTGGGCGTTTTCAAACATATTGAGTCATCTTTTGAAATGTCTGTCTATAAGCATACTACTGTTCGAACTAATACATTCGTTTTATTATGTTTTCGTCAGTAATGCGCCGGACGATGCTTCGAATTAAATCTCTCCTCTCCTAATACTTTAAAACGAAACTAATTTCCTAATATTAATAGATTACCAATTTTTTCTTTTTCTTTTTTTTATATTAATATTAATATTGATTTTATTTTTTTATATGGACAGCACAAGTTTTTTGTATTGATCAGAATGGTCCTTTGACTTAACTGGTATTAACGGAAGCACACAAGCCGCATATTGCAATGGTCATCTTTGATTTAAAATCGAGTCGTTTCTTCATTTCAATAAAGTACACAAACAAATGACCAACCAAGAAGAAACTATGCAGGCGCACTTGACCATACTAGCAAGTGATGATAATGATGGCCTTACTTATGATATCGACAAGATGAAGCGCAACAGAAAAAAGCGGTCAGCATCCAAGACATAGTTTGGCCCTATGCTCAATAAAAAGTAAATAAAACATAAACACATGCATGCTGGAAAGTTCATCGATCGTCCGGACATCCTCCTGTACAACTATTTTACATATAAATCAGGTTGTTACTTTCCGACAGCATTCTAAATCCTCAAGCTGTAGCAACTATAACTGCTAATACAGTTGTTTCTGAAAGACTAGTCCGGTTTGGCTAATAAATAGGTACAAAACACACAGCCCTGACTGTTCTTTGTAACGCTGGTTCTATGTTTACATTTTGTAATAAACGACGCTTTAGTATTATAATGTTTCAATTATGGCAATGAGGACGAACGTCAAATAATCGTAACGAGGATGTGACCAGTCCGTGACATAATGTCGCAGCTTCTATGAAACGAGACATGCGAAAAGCCACTACCAAGATTTTATGAAACTCGTATCTTTGGTTTTAAAGAAAGTTGTTCCGTAAGAATTGTTTGCTTTTTGAAGCAAGAACCAATTCCAATTTTTGAAAAATCTGTGGAAACTGGAACCGGTTTCTACGGACCTTTTCTTGGTGATTCTAGTCGATTTCTTTTTCAACTCTAAGTATTGCCGTCTTTTTGGTTTTTGGCTTGTCATTGCAAAAATGAAGAATAAATACACTCCTGTTTCAGACTCTGACGAGTCTTTCAAAACACTCATTGATGAAAAGGCAGACATCCATTCTTCAGATGGTACGCCTCCTCCTTATTCAGGTAAGATTTATTGAAATAGAAAGGTAATGGTGTTTGTTTATGTTCTCTGTTTGTAATCCAGTTATGGAGATTTCTTACTGAGGAATCCTATTTGTTTATTTGTTTGTTGTTTTTAACCTTGTCGATAATTGTCAACAACAGGACGAACGCCTCCTTCCTTTCACAAAGAACGAAAACTTCAGTTGCTAATACATTCATTAGCTCCGAACAAATTTATTGATTTAGAAATGGCTGATGGATCTGCTCAGCATTCTGCCCAAGAGTCCACTAACATTACTGGGTCGGATTCGACATATTCGAAGTGGATTATTATCATATATCTCTTATTTTTTGCGTCTCTTGGGTACATTGGGGCTTATGGTATTCTTCTCGTAATGTTCTTTTATTTCAAGGTTCCTGTGAGGGCGCAAGACCTTTGGGGACTTTTTGGCGGATTTATTGGAGCGATATCATTATTTCTCTATTGTAAGTTAGCGTTATCTTTTATTCTGAATGTTTCACTGACTATCAGTGGCGCATATGCTCTACCCGGGGTGGTACAAGCAAGCTGGTAGAGTGCTGTCCAACATGTGTGCCGCAGCATTATATGTGTGTTTTCTCAATGTCCCCGGTTTCTCCATGTATTATACTGCAAAGAAGATAATGCAATTTGAAAAGATAAATAATCGTTTTTCTACGTTGTTTGTTTTGTTGATTTTGTCTTGTTTGTTTTTATTTCGAGTATGCCATACAACCTGCGAAATATTCTAACTGTTCTAGTGAATCCAATTGCCCGTGAACGACTTAGATTATTAGTCATTGATATAGGTAACGGCGCAATTGGCATAGGAAACGGCGCAAATGCCATAGGAAACGGCATAGGAATTTCTGTGAATCGTGTTTTTGGTATGTACACTACGTAAATGCTTCCTATCATAGAGCAATTATTAACCAAGTTAAAAGGAAGAAATCAAGGAGATGAAGTACCTCAGAACGAAGAAATCGAACTTCAACCTCTTGCTGAGCAAAGTGGTGAAGTTTGAATTTTAACGAACCTGGTTTACGTTTTCATAATTTGCATTTTCTTTGGAAGTATACATGTCAATATTGCAGTCCATCAACTTTGCATTCGCATTATCCCCCAAAGTAAGCATTATCTTAATAAGACGGCTTAGGTTGCTTTTCTCATTCACTCTTCCATGAATCTTTTTAATTCGTTAAGCAATATCGTTGTTTATGCTTTGTGAATAGAATCGAACACCCTTTTTAATGATTATTTAATTACTCTAACGAAAATTCTGCCGTGATTAACTATAGCTTCAACAGAGTGCCGTGTAATCGCATGTCTTTTATAAATGTAGTCAAGGCCGGAATATTGCAATGTCAACATACAGAAGAGTCTTTTACTACAAAATGTAAGAACGCCCTTACTGGATCACAACTGAGCTTGTAGTAATCTTACCGACGGGAACAAATGTTTACGGCTATACCTAGGCAAAAACAGCACACCAGTTCCCGATCGATCACTGCAGCAAGTGAAAACCGTCTGAAGGCTCGTTAGTGCTACGATTGGAGACAACATGGGAATCCGGGATGCTGTGGGCTTCCGCAGATTCTTTCTTTATTTTTGTTCTCCTTCATATCATTTCCAGAACATTAACTAGTCAAGTACAATAAAGAGAACTAACGCATAAAAACTAGCTTAGGATAGAGCCTTAAAAATAAAAATATAAAACCCAAAAGGAAAAGGGGAAAGGAGAATCAAGAGGTAAAGAGCGCAAGACTGTTCTACGAATATGATAGAAATAAAGTAATCAAGAAAAATATTGTTCATTATAGTACTACTAATCTGTGAGGATTATTTATAGATTGTGTAGCTCATCAACTAATACGTAGTGTTCCAATTCATTACAGCTTAGAAATTAATTAAGGACTAAGGACTAAGAATGGAATAGACAGACAAAAAAAATTCTTCATTTAATAAACATAAAGTAAAATAAAATAAAAAAAAAAAAACCCTTCCATTCATAGAAAGCAAGATTCAAATTATACTTGTCAAATACCGAAGTGTACTACACTATAGTGCGGCGCCGTGTCTTATTTATCGCACAAGGTTGTATTGCTTTTCAGTAGTCATTTCTTGATCCCTCTGCGTATACTGATTTCAAGTACCAAAGAGTTTTTATCTTTTTATAAATAGAAATTTAGAAATTGATTTGATAAGAACTTTGGACAAGATGTCGTCTTTCTTGAAATTATTGTTTTCGAAACAAGAAGCTACCAAGGAAGAGCCCGCTCGCGCAGGTGAAGAAAAGCAAATCAAAAGGAAAAGCAAGAAAAAACAAAAAAATGATCCTGGATGTACTCAAGAAAAATGGGACGCATTAGTGGAGAGCGGTGAAAATTTGTCCGTAAGTGATTGATCTAGGCATTAGGCTGTTTTAAAGAATGAACATTAACATAGGAGAAAGGGAGTAGCTGAACCCTTTAAAGTCTCGATGGAGGAATTGAAGAAGCACAATACAAAAGACGACTGTTGGATTGCTGTTCGAGGAAAAGTCTATAATGTTACTGCTTATGCTCCGTATCACCCAGATGGTGCAAAAAAGATTTTTAAACACTCTGGCATTGATGCTACAAAGCAGTATAGTGAGTTCAATTTGTGTGTTTGGTCGTAACTTACTTACCATTTTTTATAGTGAAGGCCCATGCTGATGTGAATGAAGAAGAAATGCTTAGAACCTGTTACGTTGGTCCTCTGGTTGATCATTAATCTTGATGCATTTCAAGGATTACCTGAGTGTATTGCATGTTGACACGATATGTATATTTTTGGGAAGCGAACCTGAGAATAAACATATTAGATCAATTGTCGTTTGGGTGAAATATTTGTACAATTGTGAATATACCCTTTTCTTTAGACATGTTATAACGGTTATACGATATGGCTAAAAGAACAATAAGATATTACTGTTGTGTTATCAAATATCTTATTGCAAAGGATAAAAAGCCAAACATACGTATCAAAGTGTATATAGAATAGAAACAAATAATTTTATTTGATTTTTGAAAATGTGTATATATTTTTAGTTGAAAGACTTGGTTAATCTAATCTACCTAGGTTAATGAAACAGATCCCCGGAATCAAGTACTATTCATTCAAGGTAGAACAAAAATATCCAATTCTACGTACAGTTTTGGCGAAACGTACAGTATATTTTTTATCCAATTTGTTTATTCTGTAGAGAAAGTCCATTCGTGACACATTTTATGAAGGTTTTATAGTATTCCGAAGCTTGGTACAATACTTACTTTTCGCTCCTTATTATGCCAGGATTCATGCAATCCTGTGACATACAAAGAGTACATACATTCATCTATATCAGTATCTGTATCGCTTTTTATTTAATTTATTTTTATTTTACTACTTCATTGTCTTGGCCATCCATTACTCATTGTTTCTTGCCTATTGATGACAATGATGAGGATGATTACAAGTAGAGTAAACAAAACCCGACTGACTCCACTATTGACGAACAGATCTAAAAAAGAATTGTACCTTTGATGAAAAGATGATTCTTTTCGATTTATCTCCACATTCTTTGTGACTATTGATCTTTTGTTGGAAGCCGATTATCAATTTGGGACAATGGAAAATTTTGTAAAGAAGAATAGGACCTTGAACAAAGAGCGCATATGGTCGATAACTTCGGAAATTGTGAAGAAAAGGTATAAATACAGGTGAAAATGTAACAAAAGTTCAATATTCAGAGCTTGATTTCCAATCTCATTAAGCCATCTTCTTTACCTTTTTATTTTTGGTCTTTTTGCCCATCGACAAACATTAACAACAATAACAAGATGGACGCTATCAACAACAGTTCTAACAACGGCAACAACTCATCTCTTGTCAACAATGCTCCTTCCAAGCCAACTGTAACTACTAGCGGCGCTTCCTGGTACCAACCCAAACCTCCTGCCATGTGGTATGGCAATCTTCCTTGTGTTATTCTCCTCTACTAACGTTTCTATTTTTTTAGTGTCATTGCTTGAGAGATAGTTAGGCGTATTTGAATTTGCTATGCCGATTCTGACAGTGTCTACTTAATTTGCAATTCTTTTATGTGTGGTCTTCAAATCACTCATTTTTGTTTGGTGTAATCTTTTGAATAAATATTTTTGTTCACTTAAAAATCAAAGCATAAAGAGAAGTAGAATGGACTAGTGGTTTTATGTCGGATTTTGTGTCCTGACGTTGTGCTGCGCTATCATAAAGTCAACAATTATTTAAAAAAAAAAAAGAAAGATTATTATAAAATCTTTTTGCTACAACAGTTGAAAAAAAAAAGGCGTAAGTTATTCTAAGATTACAATGAGTGCCAATGAGCCATTGAACTTTTTCTTACATTTGTGCCAAGTACCTATCTTCTACCAACCTTTGAGTTTCAGTTGCTCGGAGTTTATGCACTGTTTTACGAACTAAAAATTGTCTAATGTTAACTGAACGAAACTGCTTCAATTAAAAGGACAGTAGACGACTTGCTTATTTACTATTTCACAACAACATATTCAAAAAAAAAAAAAAAAAAAAAAAAAAAATTGGTGATTCTATATGAAAGATAAGGAGAAATTGAAAATCGCTTTACTATTTTTTTTATATGCTTATGAAGCAGTGACTTACAAATCTTTGAGGTTAATTTATTTAGTACGAGTTGTTTGTTTGCACTATGTTTCAAGGACATGCGAGCTCTAGCGATATCATACTAACCGAAGTAACAGGCCAAAAAATTTGTGTAAATTACGTATAAATTATGCAACAGATACAGCATTCGTCAACGTAAACATTCGATCACTTCATACTGCTGCCCTTTTCGAAGAAAGTACGGTCGGTTGTGACTTAATACAGTATCCGCTCATGCCAAACCTAGCAATAACAGACTAGAAGTTGATTGAGAGTCGAGTTGCAGGTTAATAAAGTGAGTTAGAACTTGAAGTCCCGTTAAAACCTTTTTTAACAGCCAGGAAGCAATATGACAAACGATATGTCGACAACTATATCAAAGGTGATTTTCAATGATCATACAGAATTGCAAAACTATTACAATTATATAAGATCGTCAAAGGATGCTGATACTGCAATACGCTGGCGAAATCAATTTGTATGGGAGCTGGCCAGATACTTGGTAGGAGAGGAAATTGTCGTGTATCCGAAACTCGCAAAATACCTTGGAGATTCCGGGCAAGAGATGGCAGAGAAAAATAGAAAAGAGCACCAAGTTATCAAGGAGCATTTGTATAAACTTCAATCAATGAAGCCAGATAACCCAGCGTTTGTTCCAACATTGGATGCTGTCATGAGTCGTCTTCAGAAACATATTGAAGAGGAAGAAAACCTAGATTATCCTCAGTTAGAGAGAAAAATGGGAGCTGAAAGATCACATAAATTAGCAAAGACGTTTGAACGAACAAAAATACTAGTACCTACGTATAGTCATCCATCGGTTCCGAATGGACCCCGTTTCGAAACAATTGTTGGACTCTTTGCTACACCTATCGACACTTTGCGTGATTTGTTGCGAAAATGGCCCTAATTTATATTCGTTCTCTTTGTTTGATTACGTGCAATTTCAATCTTTAGATTTTTTTCTGAAACAGTAACAATACTGAGCTTTTATACATTCTGACATAAATGTGTTTTAAACGAAATGAATTTTTCTACATAAGAAGTTCAAAGTCGAAAATCTAAAGTGCTTGATATTGGTTATGTTTAGCCATATTCCGATATGAAGTCGACACTTAAAGGAAGAGGCCAACCCGGTTCTTAAAGATTAGTCGCTTATGAAGCGTTCGTGAATATCTTCATAAAATTAAAGATGCTACTCACGACTTTACTTATTTATTTTTTCTCCTTCAAATTTTGACTTCAATCGAAAAACAATATCACACAAAAATTTATCTATAAAATAAAATTTTTCCAATTTGTAAATATAATCATCATACTGTCAATAAGAGATGAAATTTGACGTGATAATAGGTATTAATGAAAATACATATTTACAGTTTCAGCGAATGTTATGCTAAATCGGGTATTTTTGTACAGACTTGAAATGAATTAAAAATACATTCCTAAAGAACTGATTCACTAAGCAAGTTGTATGAGTGATTTTATTAGAAATTACGAAAATACATCAAACATTGAAACCCAAAATAAACAGATAGGAAATTTTGGCTGATCTTTAAATAGGTTACTATACAACTGCCTTACTGAATTAGCTCCCCGAAGTCTATTGCTTATTTTTCTACTAACGCATACCATGTTTTGAAATTTATGATTTGTTTTAGCTGAATAATTATTCTAGTAATACTTGGGCTCAAGTTCTTAACATATGCAAGAGTCAATACCTTCCATTTGCTATTAGGAAAAAATATTTAATTACTGTTAGTGTGGAACCAAAACGGTGTTCTAGTTCAATGCCTTAAAGGCATCCTAAGACCATGTTTTGTATTCTTCCAGACTAGAAATGCTGGCCAAGCACCAAAATTATCTGTGAAAAGTGGGAGTTTTGAGTTAGCATAAATGAAAACGAAATTTGAAACTTTTTCCTTAGAAGATTGCGATAAATTTAATTATACTTTACTTTCGTTTTTATTACTTATTAAAGAAGCATAAATATCTCTTGAGGCAAGGATGCGTGCTTCAACCAACATACTACAGAAATTTGATGCCCGAAAGTAAAAAAGACAGACTAGATCTTTAATTAAAGGTTATTTTTTAAAGAACAAAAACTTGATTATTCTTCTGAAGAGTCCGATTATTTATTTCATTTTAACATATCCATTAAGCTGTAAATAGACAGATACTAGTTCCTGAAAATATGGTCAATAGCAAGAATCTTTTCGATTTTATATTTACTCTTAACTATGGTAAAAGTAATCACAAAAATTTCTGCATTGTTTTTTCACTGCAAATAAGGGCTGCACCTTAATTAGGTATTAATTGTGACTATAGCTCTGGTTGAATGGGTGAGATTCATTCGTCGAGTGCTTTCAGTTGGAGCATTCTAGGAAATTAAATGGCGGATATGAAGGTTGTAATCTCATAAAGACAACCATCATTCACTTTTATATCAAAAAACTTTATTGCTTTACCAAGTCGCGTTAGATATCTTATATCGATAATGACTTCATTATGGACCTTAGTTTTCTCTACGAAGATCAAATCATTATATGTTTGTACGTTTGTTTTGTTCCTGAGGATGTTAGAAAAATTATGACAGGAATGACTAGAGTTTGTATCAAGTAGTAAATCCAAAGAATAGATACGTTTTTAGATTGCTTATATTTCATTTGGCACGTATTATTTTTTATATTCTTTTGCAAATAATCTTTATTATTTTCCGTTATTAAAACAAGAAATATATGATTTATATGGGGCTATAAAATTTATACTCACCAAGGACGAAACCAACAAAGAGACTTTTCATTTCTTTGCGTAACATTATTAACAATTATCGTTTTAAGTCGAGTGATCCATCGAACTTCTATTTTTCATGTGGTAAAAAGCTGAAGATAAGTATTCATTGTTTAATTCTGTACAAGTGATTGTTTGAATGTTATTTTCGCTTCTAGCACTTTACCGTACCATGTCCAACCCAATACCCTGGGGAACGGATTGCATCTGGATTCCTAGAAAGTTGTGGTTCACCAATTGACGCCAATAATTTTGAGTTAATAAAAATTTTTAAGTTCTTCTATTAGACTATTCCAAACGTTCATAAGAGTATTCCTTATTCGAGATGGAGTTAATATAAGTTATCACCTCTGGCCCGTAAAAGTTAACACTTACCCAAAAAATCTGAAGTGAAAAACTGACTTACTGAGAATAGCGATCATTATTTGACGTTCAAGGTACGACGACATAGACAATCAGCGAAACATATAAAGAAGTTTTCACTGCCACTGCCAAAACTACGCTTACGTATACGATGGTGATATGCTGTACTGCCCAGCCATCATAAATTATATTTCAAGATAATGGATGAGGATTTTTGTAAATAAATATATATCAAAAAAAAAGGAAAGTCTTAAACAGATCATGCCGGGGAAAACTGTAAACACTCTTGATTAAACACTTACTTAACGAATAAGTCTACATTATGTAAATTTTACTTTGTGAAGAACTTGTACATGGAAATATAAAACTACTTAATGATGGTAAGGTAAAGACTACAGTCCTTTTTTTTATATCAGAAAAGCGCGTTTTGATCTATCATAATACATAGAAAAATATTCTTGACTCAAATGTTGTCCTAAATCTTGAAAGTCCTCAGCTTTTCTATGTCCTGCAGATCTGTAATTTATGATTATCACTTTTTTGTGTTTATTGAAATAAAAAATTGTTGAGGTCCTTGTATATTATATGAGATACAGTTGAAGCTCTCTTCATGTTGGAGAAATGAATTTTTCCGGAGAAACTTGAAGACTTTTTTTAATCATCAAGAGAAAAAGCGAAACATCCTAAGTAACCTTGATTGTAGTAGCTATTTGTTCTATTTATTATTTTTATAACACCAAAGTTACTATAAATTTGCGCGTTATATGCTCGATTTATAAATCAGAATGAGTTCTTGATCCTTTTTGTACTTGCATGTAATTTTGAATTTGCCATCAATGGTTTAATTTTCTTTTCCTGAGGAAAATTACTCTAAAGAATGAAGAAATTAGTTATCAAACACAGCTTGCTTTTGTTCTCGAGTTGAAGATCGCTTACCTGTTCTTGAAAGTAGCCATAAGAAATGGTAAATTAAGGAAGTAATTAGATTCACTCAGTAAGCAAGAGAATAAAAAAAACTAAGTAGCGTAGAGACAGTATCACTTTACTAGTGGCTGCTACACTACCGTTTCCGTTTGGCTTACCTAAATTATTAAACAGCATTCTTCCATTAACTTTTTATGTTTACAATCTGTTAGTTATTTTAATGAGTGTTACTAAATAGTTGGATTTTTTGGCATCATCTTTCCTCTCTCATGCGACGTGGGATATTGTGGATCCACAGATCACCGGAATTGAAGTCAATAAATTCTACGTAGAATGTCCATAAAAAAAAAAGGGAAAGCAATATTACTTTAATATATTTTTTTCTAATTACTTGTTTTTTAAATGAAAAATTCGTATTAACAACTTTATAGTCTACTATTACACCGTTTTTTGCTTATACCATATCCTGACGGTTGGGTAGTGAAATAATAATGGGCTGAAGTTGTTAGTAATGAAATTATAACTTCTTATTATTCACTTATTTATTTATTTTACGGGTTCACTATAGCCACAACGAATTCGTAAAGTATTCTGTCTAGATCGTCATGGAGGTCACGAGATTCTGGTTCACCTCTTGACTAATTATCCGCGGAAACTTTCATGTTTAAGGCGCTTAAAAAACAATGATTATTTAAATAAGTAAAAAAAAAACAGCACCCGGTAAATCTCATGTTGCCTTCAAACACAGAACGAACCTAACGAGGCCCCAAACGGTTACTGCAAAGATCAGACGGGAACTAATACTTTTCCCTAGTTGTGGTCGTAGAAATCTAAGAATCCTTACCAGTTTATTAATTTCTAAATGAATTTTAATTTTTATCTTAAACATCTTCTTTTTCTTCAGGAACTTGGAAAATTTGAATATGAAGCCTTAGCTTGCTTTCTAATCAGTAACTGTCGTTTGCTAAACACGATGAATAGTTTCGATTTTGCAGTTTGCTTCTAAATGGCTTTACAGTAAGCAAGCATTGGAAATCTTTAAGCATTTGCGGTTGAATTATCTTAACCATATATACTCATTATGAATAGTTTCCTACAGGTATGTACATTTTTAAATAAAAACGAAACTCAAAAATATGTACTCTAACATAAATGTAAACGAAACTTAATCTCACTTGTGAATGTATTGTTTTCAACCAATACAATGTGACTGCCCAAAGTATAGCGAATAAAAATTTTACTAGCTTAATTATGATCGGTTGGATAGTTACATTAAATTTAAAAACTACAAAGTTCTAGGGAACCGAACGCCGCTTTTGTATACCAAAAAAAAAAGAAAGTAAGAAAGGATCCATGTTTTAATTTCTATTTACGTTATAATTATTATGTCTCTTGTTGTAAAAATTTTTCTTTCTATTTGCTTATTAGCCTTGGCAAATTGCTTTTCTCCGCCGACAGAGCAAGCTTATGACCCTTTATCTTTAGCAAGTAGTAAAAACGCCAGTAGGCGAGTTGCACATTACCCGTTTTATATCCAAGCTTTTCCATATGACTTTAATTGCAATGGAAATCTTTCGTTTATACAAAATCCACCTCCTACTTCAGGACGAGGAGCCTATTCAAGTATGGCAAATGTCAGTTCGTTTTTGACTGTTCCTACAGATAATACCAGTATTACCTGTGTATATGGATCGTGGTATCAACCTATCTGCTATTCAGGCGACTTACCTAAATGCTTTAGCATGTCCAGCGGTACAAACATCGTTGAGGTTACCATGAATGATTCTTCTCATGCTTTCAATTTCCACAACATTACGTTTTATTATTCAAGCAGCGATCACTACTATGCGCTTACACCGTCAACCACGTATGCATATTTAGAAGACGGTCTTGAGAAACCTAAAAATGATTCATACGCAGTATACAAAACTTATTTGTACTCTCGTAGTAATACAACATACAGATTTGAGTATTTGGATGCGGAATTAGTCCATGACAAACGGAGATGTGGCTCAGCGTCCTCTCTCAAACATAAACGCTTCGAAAATGAAAGAACATTTATGGACTACTTTTATAAACAAAAGATATACACTGAACGAGAGTCAAATCTGCATTTCGTTCCACCTAAATTAAAGCCTATTTCTAATCGAAAAGAAGTGAGTAAAATTCGATTAAATTCAACTTCAAACTTTGTTGGCCGTGACTATCCAATTTGTGTTGATACGTCGTCATCCACTTCTCCTCGGATGAAAAATGGACTGCTGTACATCTGCTTAGCGTTTGGGTTAATAGCGCTATAGAAGTTTTGCTAGGGTACGAAAACTTCAAATATTAACAATCATTATATTATCTGCTGCGTAAGACAAAGCATGACTAACAGGTAAAAAGTTCTTACGATCCAAGTAAAATTTTATGGTTCCTTTAAATCATGCTGCTATTTCAAGCAAAACATATATGCGATTACATGTTTACTGTATAAACGAACATTGGATATTGAGGTGGCTTTACCAGAGTCAAATCATTTAATCATATTCTGAACATTTGATGTTGGTACACCAGTCTAACAACTATCAAAACATAAAATATTGTCTAATAAACGGATTTTTCAAACCTCATAATGTTAATAATAAGTCCGGACTAAAGAATATCTGCTATATAGTTTCTTGATAATGCTAAACTCGTGCGTATGTATTGAACTACCTCTGTAAAATGATATTGTGTACATAGACTCATTGTTTTTGATGGGTTTCTTCTTTCAACAACTAGCATTATGCGGTACTGTAATTTTTTTAGTTTTTGTTTTTATATATACAAATTGAATACCTAATCAAAGATTAATCATTATAAATCCCATCAAACATATACAACCATAAAGAATCACTGATTTTGTACTTTTTTATGCTTGTAATACATAACTAATTTCTGTACTAAACTGTCAAACCAACACCATTCATATACAAGCTTGACAGGTTGATGACGCTATGCTACGCATTAGATGCCTTGATTGTTTATGTTAAACTGAAAGGTTAAGAATCAAAGTCACTCCAAATAGAATTTAGAAGACATTAGTAAAATAGCAACGTCAATACAATGGCTGCTATTATGTCCTTGACGGTAACAAACTTGGTACACATCAGTTATGTCAGCAATGGGGCATGCGACAGGAAAAGTATTATTAAGTCGAATCTCATATCCAGCTGGAGATACTTGTTTAGCTTGAAAACTTGATATTGCGGATCCAGAGGGCTTGAAGAGGAGAGCACCGTTCTTGCCGAGTGAAGCGTGTTCATCGTTAAAAAACAGTTGAGTTCTTCAGTGTGAAACTACCAGCTCCAACACCACTATCTGCGTAAACATATCCATATTGACCTATAGTTAACGGATTCATTGGAACATTTTGCTTACTAAAACAGAGGGCTACCGAACTAAATGTTTGATTAAGGAATCTGTTGGCGCACAAATTGAGGAAATTAAAGTCAAAGTCGTGATGCTAAAAAAAGATAAATAAAAAAGACCACAGACAATGACAATTTTATTTTAAGTCTTATTTAAATATATATCCAGAATATATTTTGTAACCTGAGTAACTTTAATGAAAGGTAAAATAAAGTTAAAGCACTCGGTCAAATGTATTCAGCGATAAGTTGCAAAAGGAATCCAAATCCTTATATACAAAATCTAATGGAAAATACACTCGTCTTAAAAGTGTAGATCAATGGCTACTTTGATCATCCTTGAGTATATGTAGCAGGAAAATGTCTGCGGAGATTCTTGCCTGTACTAGACAGAACTCGAAATGCTTAGTTGGATAAATCTAATACTGAACAACAAAATTAAATCTTTCGACAGTGGAAAATTCTATCATTAATGGATTTAATCGAGAGTTAATTCATGTAAATTTTTCAATCGACACAAGCTAAAGTACGGTACAAACAACGTACAGAAACGATTTGCGAAATCCTTTTTTCTTTATCTTGCAGTTACAGGTTCCCCACTATAATTTTTATTTATTTTATAAATAAGAAATTAAACTGTAGTATGATACTACATTCATTCATGCATTGTTCATAAGAACTGTCAAGGCAAAATTATCATCAAAACATAACGGTCATAACTTCCAGATTAGATTCAATTAATGGCAATTTGTCTTTTCGAGCGAGATTCTTCAATCTTTGGCAAGACAATGCTTAGAATACCGTGGTTAAATTGAGCTTCAATGCGGTCGGCGTCCACCCTGTTTGGAATGGTGATTGTTCGAGAGAAGGAACCAAAGCGACGTTCCGACCATCTTTGGTTTCCTTTGTCGCTTTCGCTCTTGCGTTCGTTTACAGATTCACCAGAAATCGTCAATTTTCCTTCATCGTAATGAACCTGTACATCTTGCTTTTTGACACCAGGCAGTTCTACATCCACCTCGACGGTATCTTTGCCTTCATGAACATCAATGGCCGGTGACAAATCACCAACACGGTTTTGGCGTTGGACACGAGGAGAATAACTCAAAAAGTCAGAAAAGACGTCTTGGAAGGGGTGCAATTCAAAGAAGGGTTGGAGAGACATTGTTAATAACGACTAGCAATAGCAGTTGTCAATTTCAAATAGCAGTTAAATAATTTAATACTGTTTGTAGATGTTGTCGATTGACTTTTACATGCTTCCAATTTATACCTACTCATCACGAGCAACTAAACGGCCTAGCACTTTCTAGATGCTGCCTCTTGGCCACCACTGGAATTCGTCGAATTTCCATGCTATTCCTTTTGTTCTTTTGTACAAATTCTGTCATTTCTTTTTCTCAACTGGACATAAAAATGGCTTTTTCTTTTCTTTGCTTCTTTTTCCTTGTACTCTTTTGTTTACTGCAGCTCTCCTCGTCATTCTAGTTACCTCTAGAAGAATCATCACACATTCCTCTTTTGTACGATACACACATCAAAGGATCAACAAAAGTACCGACATTAGTACCAATCCTCATCCTAACGGTAGTGCTGTTACAAATTCTAGTGATTTTACATGTACGAACAGATGTCTACGGCCACACCTAGGCGAAAACACCAGTTCCCGTCCGATCACTGCAGTTAAGCGTCTGAGGGTCTCGTTAGTACTATGGTTGGAGACAACATGGGAATCCGGGATGCTGTAGGCTTTTTCTTTTTTCTTTTGTTTTTTGCTTTTACGTTTTTAGCTCATTATTACCAGCTTACGACAGTAACGATCAAAAGAGTGCTGGTCAAAAACTATCTGTAAAGAAAATTGTGAGCTACCAATTTTTTGATGGTTTTATTCGATGTAAATTTGATTTAGCGAATACTGCTTTGTCACGACGGAAAGCCAATTGATGATTGTTTTTAGCGTCCTTTGTAGTTAAAATTTATGGTTATTCACCACACAGCAATAAAACTAGTCTACGAGTCATACGTATAATGTATATGTATATTTAGTAAATGATCTATGCTACAAACTAGAAAAAATAAAAAAAGAAAAAAATCCTGCTTTCGAAGTTTTATTTTTTTTTATTATATGTTTCCTATCCTCGCTGCGCGACGAGAAAGACCGACCCGAAAGGTTAGTAACGAAATCCAGAATGCGTTTTAGGTTTTATTACGTCTTTCAATATGCACAGAAAAAGTGCTATAATACAGCAAGTCATGGTAAATTGTTGAGCCCTTCGGATAGCTAAAGTGTAATCAGCTAAGATTATCCTCTGAACAGCCTTTGGTAAATCGTATAATGAAGACATGGATTCGGTAACGTCATGTATAATCGCATTAATCTGATTTTGAGTGAAATCAGTGTTTTTTGATAGGTCATCGAATACTTTCTGCCTAAGAGTCGACTGAATAACCGTTGACAATCCTCCTACGCCAAATAATGAGCCGATACTTCTAATTAGATAAAGAGTGGACGTGGATGTTGCATGTGAATCTTGAGGAAAAGCAAATACAAATGAAAACAATGAACTCGGAAATCCTATACCTTGCCCAACGTTTGCTGGAATTAAAGACAGACCTAGCAACAATGGTGGCATAGCAGGATAGACTAACAAACTAAGCATATAGCCTAAAGACATAAGTAATACTCCTGAAAATAGCAATTCCCCTATAGGCACACGCTGGTGCATAAGGATACCGCAAATTAAGCCTCCTATAGGTGTAGATAAGGAAGGTAAAGCAAGACGAAGTCCTGCTTTGGAAGGGCTATCTCCTAGTACGAGTTGGAACAATAAGGGAAGAGTAAATAAATAAGCGTATCCTGCTAAGCCAGTGAAAAACCCTATTGTCAGAACCAAGATGCTGTACAACCCTTGAAGCGATTTCATTGGAATGATCGGTGCTGCTGTTGTGGTGAATTCAACATATATAAATGCAGAAAGAAGTATTAATCCGGTGATAAGTAAAAGAGTCAGTAGCGAAATTCCGTTGTTATCCGTAAAACTTGTACCAGCAAATGTTAAAACCAACAGCAATGCCGTCAACCCACATACCAAGAGAAATCCTCCTAGGATGTCAATCTTCCTAAACAAACCGCAAAAATTATGCAGTTTTTTGACCCCTCGTTGATTATTTACGAAGAAATACCCCACCGAAATGCTTAACAATGAAAAAGGAACTTGGACGAGAAAGCAAAATCTCCAATTAAATAGCTCAGAAAGTATACCCCCAAAGGAAGCACCGCAAATGGCACCGAAACCTAATATTAAATTTTGGAATGCTTAGAACAATCCCCGTTTTTTAGTGGGAATGATATCTGAGTTGATAATAGTGGAAAGAGTAACCAATCCTCCCCCGCCAATTCCCATAAAGCTCCTTGCACAAACTAATGAAAATATTCCATTAGTAAAGTAACACCACACACAACCCAGACAAAACAAACTGGATGCCATAAGCAAACACGCTCGTCTCCCCAATATATCAGAAAACGATCCGTATAAAGGCTGGAAGGTAGTACTGGTAATAAGATACGACGTGGTTATCCAAGAAGCCAAATTAACTGCACGAAATTCTTCACCAATTGTAGTATAAGTAGAAGCTGTAACTGTCCCATCGAACCCAGCAAGAAATACGTTTAATAAAAGCGAAGCTTCTATCCAAATCAAGTTTGGGATTAGAAGAGGTTTTTTAGTGAAAGGAGAGACATCTACACTAAAATTATTTTTAGTCTCATCTTCAATCTCGCTGTCTGGTTCGCTTGTTGGATCAATAGAAGAGATTTCAAAGGTAGTTTGCCGGTAGGAACTTGAATCCAACAAACTAAATGTTTCCGAATGAGACGAAATTTGCCCGTTTCGATCGTTATATATAATACTGTTCATAATTAATGAATAAAAATATATATAGTAAGAAAGAACTTTAATAACCAAAAATTCAGAGAAACGTTCGTATGGCTTTTTCCGGATTTATATTTAATTTATTTTTTTTTTTTTTTTTTTTTTAAAAAAAAAAAAAATTTAATATATCTACCACAATTCAATCTGTCACAAGGTTCTTTACTTCAGTAAAAATAAAGAAACAGACTTCATGGTTCACTACCATACAAAGAGGTGCTTACGGCTCCCAATTTTTTCGTTCTACTTGCATTTTCGTATTTTCTTTAGAACAAAGAAATGTAAAGATAAGCACGCGATACACGATATTAATTATATGATCTGATGAGATAGATACGATAATATTTAATTCTGAGAAACGAAACTCTTCATAGACGAGTTTGCTCATCTAACGATGAAACAACGAACGAGATAAGAAGTGCCTTAACCTTTATACGATATTAGTCGTTGCTTGAAACAATAATTATACAATACTAAGGCTTCATTAAAGAAATTCCAAAGAAGCGTAGAACAACTAATTGAGAGATTTAACTGAACCAGCTACATTCAACTTCACATCGACTATTTAGTGAAACAGGTCGCTGAAAACTATTATTATTCACTCATTTACTATCAAAAATTATTCTACTATAAGTAAAGCTTCTTTGAAGCTGATAACTAATTTTCCAACTTATCGTGTATTCCCATAACGAGAGAAAGACCAACTGTGACAAAATTATCTTGCCATCTCGAAGCGAAAATTGTTTCAATAAGATCCAGTTAATTTAGGAATGGCAGTGAATCTAACAAACGAAGAAGGATTTTTTTTAATCCAACAATTACAAGCTATATCCGTTCAAATGAGTGAATTTAACCAAGTAAGGATATCAGGAAAATGAATCAAAGGGAAATCCACGAATATTATATATAAGAAGATCCATTTGTTATGAATTAACTGATCTGTCAGAGTTACCGGGAAACAAACCAAACTATATTGGAGGTTATTTGATAATGAAATATCAGAAATTTATGACGCTGAGGACTACAAATCAAAACATTTTAAGAGAAACCTACTGGAAGTCTTTAAGCTACTACTACTAGTTTTTCTACTGAACGAGAAAAGATTGCATATCTTTAACACAACCCCCAAGATTATCATTGTGGACAAATTGCCCAGATCGTGAAAGAATCCGAAAGGAATAAAGCATTCTTAATGTGTATTCAAAAAAAGTTTCTCAAAAGTTAAGCAATGAGTCTTAGTTATACATTTTACGAATTTCTAGACAAATCAGCTATTTACGATCTTAACTAGGAAGATTGGAAAGTTGGCTCATCAAATTGCATCAGAAAACACTCCTAAAGTTCATTACCTTTTTCTTACATAAAGTATCAAAACGTAAATAACTTCTGAAAACGATATCGAAAAAGGAAGTCTATGAAAAGCATTAAAAATGAGTAAATATCGATAGTGATATGTACCACACCTCCAATGACAAAAGAATTCAAAACCAAGTAAATATGTAGGAGGAAAACCTTCGATAAAAACAGAAATAAGACAAAACTAAAAACTGGCGAATGGTTAGAAAGTCATTCAAGTACCAGACATAAGACAACCATCTTCATAAAGCGAACATATCAAATGGAACCGAGAACAATCCAGAGAAAGAAAAATTCCCAGTACAATAATGCGGAGCTCTCCCTGCAAGAATAATGCATTTATCGATACAGGAGCTAGTGCATCAATGCTAAGGGAAGATTTCACAAAACAAGTAGCGAAGAAGTACAAGGAATATCAAGATTCTACGAATCTAAAGCGCAACGGCATTAAAGTTAACGGCAAAGTCATACAACCGATAACAATTGATAGTAAAAATTTTCTGTGACATTTATAAATTTTTCGATATCCGACGTAGAAGTTTGCATCGGATGGGTCTCATGAAATTAGGGACCTTTGATGATATATCTGATTACGATGAAGCAAACGCCGTAAACGACGACCAAGAGAAATACCAAAAGAAGATCTTCAAATTACTAACGCCTTTAAACAAACTATTTAGCGAGAGATACAAAAATTGCACTACCTGAAAACTCACCCACTGATTTAATTTTCAGTATTAAACGAAAATTGCTAGATTACGCACCAAAGCTAAGACGTTAGAGACAAATGGATTTGACCAAAAAGAAAAAATATGAATAATTTATTTAATATATTCAAATTTTAGAGCCCATCAAGTTTGGTGCGCTCGACTCATCATCCCAAAGAGGGGAATAGGCAAATATCGTAAGGTCATAAACAGTAAACTACTAAATGCAATTACTTAAGGGATAATTATCCAGCATCAAATTTCTGACGCATTATAATAAATTAAGGAGCACCAAGAAATTCAGTACAACTTATTTAAAAGAAGAATGACATTTACTACGTATTTATAAAGGCGATAAACACAAGACACCCTTTAGAGGTTTTAAATATACTTTAATGCCGTTTGGGAAAAAAATATGCCAGCAAACTTCCAAAGATATATTTGCAAAGTGCATTTCCCATACCTAGGAATTTTTATTATCATTTACCCGAACGGTATTTTCCTCATTAGGAAAGGAACACGAAACACACTTGCGAAAGGTATTTCAAAAGTCCCAAGAAACAAATTTGTATGAAAAGTTCAATTTTTAAAAAAATTCTAGGTTTTAAGTTACAAATTCTCAGAAAAAGGAATTCAAATTGATCCCGAAAGAATTCAAGCTATTTCAAAGCGGGCACCTTAATACACTACGGCGTTTACAATTCTTAAATTCGTAAATTATTCTAGACAATTTATATAAGATTTATCAAAACTAGACCATCATATGATTTAACAAAAAGAATCTTAAGTACACATGAACTTGCCGTCAAAAGAAAGTTAAAGAGATTTAATGAAAGTTAAACGTAAATTAAAGAATGCTTCTATGCTCAGACATTTTTATCCAACCAGCGAAACTAGATTGGAAACGGATGCCCCAGATTTTGTCATAGGAGAAATACTATCAATAAAGAAGAACAAAATATTTTTATCTAGTTGCTTCCCATTCCAAAACATCCACTTACTGACAACGTATATTGCTAACATGGGAAAAAGAAGTGTATACTATCATCGCAGCTCTCCGAAAATGATAATTTTCAGCAAGTATAGAAAACCTATTTCAAAAACTAACCTACCATAAAAATCTAACATCCATGTTTACATAGATTTGCACAGATACTCGGTTTAAAATACATAGATTTGAGAACTAGAACTCTGTAATTTCGAAATTCATCATCGACCGGGCCGAAAAAATGTACCAGCAGACTTAATATCATAGTGCCCTGATTATTGATAAAGCGAATTAGTGGGACTGATCATCTCACAAATGTTTCGACTTCATACGGAAAGAATGCCCCAATCACAAAAAGTATCAAACAATTCTTGATGGAGAAATCGATAATTCTTAATAAATTGTGATAAATCATAACATTATTAACGAGCAAGGAAAAATTTAGATGTCAAATATTAGAGACGAACTCAACTGATATATTACCAAATTCATAATCATCCAGTTAAAGGACATCGTAGAAAAATTCTACCGGCAAGGAATGACTAGTAACATCCAAAAATATGTAAAGAATTGTCAACGTCATAAATTTGAAAATTATCAACGATATAGTCCCTTGCAATCAATACCGGTTGCAGAAACGCCCTTTCGACACTATTCAATGGATTTTGTCACTGGGCTACCAATGTCTAAGGTAGACCCAATCTTAGCAATTGGTAATCGATTCAAACAAATGGCTTGTTTCTTTTAATAAAACCATTGTAGAATAACAAATTATTAACACATTTGAGAAACACACTGTATCAGTATATGGCAATCCGGCAGTCATAGTTTCTGATCGCGGACCCGCTTGTTTATTTCCGATAAATGGAGAAAATACCACAAGGAACAAATGTTCGTCATGCGCCATCTTTAAAATTTTATTTTTAAACAAATGGAACTCGTCAACCGAATCGTACAAACATATCTTTGATGTTATATATGAACGAAATTTCACAGAACTGACAGTCTATCTAAAGAAAGAATAGTTACGTTATAATTTATTTGAGCGTTCTGCAATTAAAACAAATTTCGTAGAAGCTGCATTCGGAATCAAACCAATTCATGCTGAATGGGATATGCAAGTGTACATGATACTGGCACATATACCCCATTCACGTGGACGCAACCTGTTGGTTTGGTAAGAAAAAACATTAGAAGAGTGAATAGACTTTATGCAAAATAGTGTACTAAAAACCGGAATTACATCCAAAATTCCGACCTGGTGATCAATTACTCATTAAAAATGGCAAAATAGGTTTTTTCATAAAACTAACAAATTAGATTCTAAATGTGTCAGTAAAATAAAAGCTAAACATTAATTGCAAACAACCAGAAGCTACAGTTTCCTCAAGAAATACGCAGAAGGTAGCAGGCATCATTTCATGTGTTCGAACTCGAACCATATAATAGATGAGAATGCCAACGATTTTCCTAAAAATATTACTATTAATCATATACTTAATATTTATAAGAGGGATAGCAGATTGCTGTTTAATTGTCTCTACGGTACTAGACGCAGATGATGATTTTTCTTCACTAATTTGGATCCGAACTAACACTGTTCGAAAAGAGGTAACCAAACAGTTTACCGTATTTAATTAAAGTTCTTTATCATAGACCGCAAGGAAAACAAGATCTTTCAATTCTAAGAAGTGAAACATCTTGGGAGGGGAGGTGTCATTACGTTTACAATATATTACTCATAATGTAATAAAATAACACTTAATGTATTATCAATAACCTTATTATAAAAGGAAAAATTCATTTCGTGCGATTGAAAAATATGAATAAGTCTAGAATTGAGATGACTCATAGAATAAGTTATCCTAAAGTAGTATATATACATACCTCTAGTTGGAAGTTTGCATCCTCAGATTGGAAGATTCGACTGATCTTGCTAAATACAAGTCTGCATAAGTTATTTAGTGTATCAAATCCCTGGAAGCTATTGCTCTTTATTGAAGTAGTACAAACCAAAAAAAATTGAAGTAATTTCACAAAATGTACATCCATTTTCCTATCGATTTGTTTATTTTCACAACGAAAGAGTCCATTATGGCAAAATGATTTTATTTATAGTTTTATCGTATAATAAAACATTTCTTTGCATTGCCTATGTTAGACATTTGACCAAGACAAACTATCATACTTTTATTTGTACCGTTTCCTCCAAACTGTCAATGGAAATGTCAATTCAATAACAATACAAATGCGGCGTCTTAAATTGGCCCAGAATTTGTATAGAACTGTGGGGACTAAAAATCGGAGACTTAAGTTTGTTAATATTAGTATTCTACTTTTGGCATAGCCTTGGTTTGATTTCTTGAATAAAAACTCAAAGTAATTAATTAAGTTTTTTTTTTTTATATCCTATTGATACGAACGATTACTTTGGTATTTTCTAAAGAAAACTTGTGCTACACTCTAACCGCAACCTATTCGAATCTGAAAAAGCAAGCAATACTTTGGGAGTACCTCCATCAACGGCAAAACAACTCAATTCTTAATATAAAGGTTCTTGTTTCTACAGTAAAATCATCAGGTATTTATGGCCACAAATAGGCGAAAACACCATTTCCCGTCCTATCACAGCAGTGAAGCGTTTGGGATGTCGTTAGTACTGTGGCTGGAGACAACATGGGAATTCGGTAGGCTGAAAAATTTTATTAATTTCTCTAATTTATCGTTCTCATTCCTATTGTTTGTAGTCATTTACTATTTCTTTTATGGATACACGTCATGAATAGGTCAACCCTTATTTTTGCCTTGTTGTCAGATGGCATATAAATTTTTGTCAGCTTTCGCAGTAAAGACTTGCAATATAATCAATGTATTTCATTTAAGTGAGTATTAACAATGAATTACTGGCCCTACGTTATTGACGAAAGAACGAAAATTAACTTAGCAAAAGATGTATGTAAGGAAAAGTGAGAAAAGTATGTATGTTATTAACAAGGCTTTATTAATATAGGAATCACAGAAAGGTTCAACTGAAGGCGATGAAGAAGTCTCGAATTTAAAAACTGCTGAAGAAAAACATTGGTGGAAAATGAAATTGAACAGGGAAAATTTTCTAAAAAAATTGAAGGAGAAGAGAGATCGTGAAAGAATTCGAACGAAAAAATCAATGGAAGATATGGGTTATTACTTTTATTAATGTTTATACACGATAAAAATTGAAAAAAAAAAGTAACTAAGGATATTTTAATAATGAGTCTACCTGTTGGGATGCTTGTGGGGATATGAAAGGCTTTAATGAGAGTTTCGAATCGAGTTGGTGTATGGTTTATACCGTCATGACCTATATGCGAGGACCTTATGTCGATAGATTTAGTATATAACATTAAGGATCCATTAATAGCATGTCCGAAACAAATGGAATTCGAGAAGACGGCTTAGGAAGATTCGTCTACAGAGTGGCGGATGCGACTGATGTATCTGAATGAATTGTTTTGCAACTTGCTTTAATTAGTCAGGTCCGTAGTAGTTACCATTCAAAACTTGAAGTGATGCAAAGAATCCAATTTAAAAATGTTCTTTCCATCTTACACTTGTAAGTTAATTTTCACTGTAAACTTGTTCGACTTACGTTGTGTTATTTTACTTCTTAAAATGGCTCTCTACTAGTTAACAATTATTGTCGAAATCGATCCATTATATTCACTTTAATAAAGGCATAAATAGTATACATAGTGCATCGGTGCTTAAAGTTTTGCTAATGTTTATTAGTTTTCGTAGCAGCCGTTATCTTGATTTTCGATAAAAATATTAAGAAAGTAGAAAAAAAATTAAAAAAATACAACTCAAGATATAAGAATAACAAATAAATAGTGCGAAAGAAAAAAAAAAAAAAGTTCAAACTTTTTCTTCGTTGGACTTTTTCGGGGGTACTTTTTTGAACTTTTGTTCCGTTGAAACGCTCTTAACGAAGAAGATGGCAAGTGTCCCAACGGCCATAGCAATGGTTGTAAAGAGCCAAATAGTCTTATACGCAGATGCGTATGTTGTAATGACACGATATCTCTGGTTCTTTGAGAGATGTTGGATTCTATCATATGGCATCTTTGCAACCGAACTATCTCCATGAAAGGCAGAAGTCACCCTCTGGCTAAAGATTACTTCTCCTATGGTTATACCAATAGCACCTCCAATGTACCTGACGAACATCAGGGTTGCAGTTGCTATTGGGGTTAAAGAAGGAGGAAAAGATGCCTGCATGACGATGAGTAAAGGCAAAAACATAAAACCGGAGCCAAACATAAAGATAGTTATTAATCCCATAGGTTTGGAAAATGGTGAAAAGGCATCCAAAGAGATTAGACTTCCTAGACCTGCTGTACAGACGATGCCTCCTATCGAGAGTACTGTCTTAAAAAAAGGAAAGCTTTTGAGCAATGCGCCAATGATCGCGGAGCTAACAATTAAAACGGCGGCACCTGGTAAAAAGTGAACACCGGACATTAAGGGATCATTGCCACGGACCCTTTGATAATACTGGGGAATATGATAAGAAAATAAGTAATCATTCATGTAAAGAATAAAAGAAGAGATCATAATAATGATACCATTCATATTTTTGAAAAGGACAGGAGGTAGCACGGGATTTCTTTTGGTATGAAAGTCGTACACCATAGCAAAGATGATAAGAATGCCACCGATTATAATATAAGGCAAGACACCGGGACGAGCCCAATGGCCGGATTCACCACCCAAAGAGATACCCAAAAGAAAAAGCACAACACCGGTCATAGCGCTGGTAAGACCAAGAAAATCAAAAGTTTTGAGGAAGGTAAGGAAGGACTGTCGTTTAACGGGTAAGACTCTCAAAAAGATAACGATTAGAGTAATAGCAACACCGCCGACGGGAAGATTAATGAAGAAGATCCAGCGCCAAGTGGTGTTTTGACAAATGAGACCACCGAGAACAGGACCAAGGACAAGAGCAATACCCCAAGCGGAAGAAGTTAGAGCGGTATACATTGGTCGGGTTTTTAAAGGAGTGATTTCGGAAATAATAATATTGGTTAAAGAACTAATGCCTCCACCCCCAACACCCTGAATGGCTCGTGAAATAATGAGCATAATCATACTTTGACTACCACCACTAAGAGCACTGCCGAGCATAAACAAAAAGATGGAGGCGTACAACATATGGTTGCGGCCCAAAATATTTGAAAGGACACCGATCGCTGGCATGACAGCGTTTGTTGACAAAGTATAGGCGGTACTTATCCAAAAGGAATGGGAAGTATCATGGAAATGTTGGGTTATGGTAGGAATAGCAACGGTAACGATTGTATTATCCAAAGCAGCCAAAAAAAGACACAAGACGAGAGCTGGGACCACCAAAACCATTTTATTCTCAGGAATCAATTGAATTTCTTCCTTGTCTGTCACCAGATTCACATCTTCTTGTTCACCTTCACGTGAATTCTTTTTGATTTCCACATTGGTGTTTTCAGATGAAAGTTCCTCTTTGATAATCGACGATTCCGACAATGGCGATTCCTCGTTCACAATCTCAGCGTTCCTCTCTTTCTCTTCTACAATTTTTGGCGTAGATGATTTATGATCGAAAATTTCATTCTCCTTTGTCACTTCATCCTTGTTTTCTTCCGTCCCGGCATTTTCTGGTAGTGTGACGATTTCATCTAAGAGAGGACTGTTCTTCTCTTCGGCGCCTTGCTCGGACGATGCCAACTCGACGGCATTTGGAGGAACGGAATCATGCATGTGGTGGTATGGTGGGTGGGGGTATAGAAACTGATGGTATTTTAGGGAAATAACTGTGAGATGAGAGGAGGGTAGTAGGGTAGGTAGGTAGGAAAATAAGTTAGTAAGTAAAGTAAAGTAAACGAAGGTATTTTTTTGTGTATATTAAAAAATAAGAAAAAGAAAATAAGAAAAAGAAAAAAAAACCACAAAAAAAGAATAGTACCCACGATGGATAGGATCTCAATTATGAAAACTTCCAAAGAGCAAAGAAGAAAAAGGAAAGAATACAAGGAAGAAGACTAATTCAATAATCGAATTCAACAAATTGGAGATTTCAAGAGAATGTTTGTTGAGGCTAGAAATCCCAAGGTTGAATCATTCGTACATAGAAATAACTAACCAAGTAAGTAACTAACTAAGTATATATATTTATATATAAACAACAATAGCAAAAATAAGCGTTTTACGAATCTTTTCCGATTTGTTGTTTTTTTTTGCTCCCTTGGGTGTTCCTTACGACACACACACACACACACACACACACAAACAAACAAACAAACAAACAAACAAACAAACAGAAAAACAGTAAGAAAACAAACAAAAGAAAAAAGAAAAAAGAAAAATTCCAAACGAATTCTTCTTCGGCTAACGTACTTTTGATCCCCTTTCTCGAGTACAAAAGACGACTTTTTAAAAAAAAATCCCTAAAGCCTTTTATTTTTGTATGCAAAATTACCCAAAACCTCATAACAAGTGGGGAAGTCGGAACATCTGTCGGAGTTGAAATTTTCTCTATTAGAAATAAGTGTATGGTAGACGAATGTATTCTAGGTCATAGTTGAACTCATCTCCTATCCAATGGGCATTCCTATTAGGCAAGTTTGGTCCAGTAAGAATAGACTTGAGATATCCGAATTTGTCATTCCCAACGTGACGTACAATTGAATCTAGGTTAGTCTATGGTCTAACGCTTGTTTTTTTTTTTTTTTTTTTTTTTTGTCTGGAGACTCTTCGAGTCTTTTCTCTGTTTGTTTTCTTTGTCTATTTGTTTACTTTTACCGCCAAAGGAAACTCAAACTCAAGGGTGAGTCTCCTTTTTCGTCCAAAAGTTTATAAAGTGTCCAAAAGGATAAGAGAAATTGAGTAAGGGAGCTAGCTAGTTAGCTAACTAGTTAGCTAGCTGGGTTAAGGGAGATGATTGTCCAAGACTCATCACTCCTAAGGGACTACGAGTTGTGTGTTGTCATAGTATAGTTAAAAAAGAATAGTGCAAATTTCGATTGTCTCTTTACTTTGTTTTTTATTTCTCTCTGTTTCTCACGCTTTCCAATCTGATAAACTAACTGACGTGGATCGAATATCTCTTGATAATCATCAAATCTTTGCTCTCTCCAATACAATCACTTTTGTTTCGATTTCGACTTTTCCTTTTCCATCCTTGTTGATTCACATCTTTGTATATGTACATATGTATGTAACACTTTCTATTCTACATCTGTCTAGATAAAAGTGATAAAAACAGAATCATTTTTTAAATGAATTTATTTTTAACACTTATATTAAAGTTAACTAGATTTAGCAATTTTGTTGTACAACCATATTTAAACAAACATGTATTATTTTGTCATAATTCTCTGTCTCTAAAATACATTTGCTGACATCGCACACGCCAGTCTAGTTCTATGATGCACACCAATATGGTCTGTTCTGGTAGACTGTGTCAAAGAGAATTTTGCTGGTAAAGCAGTTATAGACAGGATAAGTCCATATGTGAATGGGACATATATGGTCTGGGTGGACAGTGGAAACAATGTTGATATGGAGATTGATGATACACTGTTGCAAAACATATCATCATGCGTTCAAGAACGCTATTTCAATGCTTCTGTTGATGTATTTTCTCACAATGATTATGCCATGTTTTCTTCTCATGACTTACCAAGCGAAATAAAGGATCACTACGATTATTTTGGGCATGGCTACCCGGAATCTTACGGCCCATCACACCCAGAGTCTGACTACGGCCCTGATGATATGAGCAGTTATTTCAGACGCGCAAAGGTGCCAAACAATTTTGGCAACCCATATACGATAGGGACACTTGTTTCTAATCTTCGTGAACAAGCGAAAATTTCAACAATGTATCCTTTGTTATTAAACAATTTTGTTGTTTGTACACTGAGTGAATATTGTCCCTGTTGAAATTCATACGTGAGGATATTCAATCATCTAAATCACTATAAAATGCTACAATGCAAAAAAACCGCTTTTATACGTTTTCATTCAACTATTTTTCTTTAGCCTATCCATAAATGATACACAACATTCATCATCGATTCCAAAGTTGTGTTTGTTTTTCTTTTCTTTTAGAGAATAAACCACTGTACGGAAAGGGGATAAATCCTCCTTTGTATCTCGTTGACTATCCCTATTTGATTTGCCCTCATTATCGGTTTCCAAGAATTTAAGCAATGCGACTGATATTATAATAGACCCTATATTTCTATGGAATTGCTTTCAACAAATTTACTAAATATTCTTGCGTATCTCGTGAATTCTATTCTATTCTATTCTATTCTATTCTATTCTATTCTATTCTATTCTATTCTATTCTATTCTAAGAATGCACTTCACAATTCGCTGACGAGAAAATGCCTTTTCTTGCTTCTATTCTTTCCATCAATACTTTTTCTTTAAAAATGAGGTTTATCTTATGTTACTAAACATTCCCTACGAGGATTCCGTGTGTTTGTTCTTTCACTTTATGAAGTTTATACTTACATTTGTTCCGTCTCACTATAATAAAAACATCAGTTGAAAAACCCAACTGTACTTGAAAAAACAAATTCATCTACTTTAAGTTATTTCGAGATCCTAACTGTTTCCTATATTTTTAAATAGCTTACAGTTTCAGTTTCTTCTTTTTTAATATTCATTTCTATGCTTATTTTCTACCGCTTTATAAATTTTGGTTTTCACCATCTTGCCGATAAACATGGCGGCCTCTAAGTTGTTTTAGTGCTTTCACAAACAAAATTATTTTATTTTTTTTACAAAAGTATTCATAATTCCTTTCTTAGATAAACGGCATGTAAAGAGGGAATAAGATTTCTTTTTCAGTTTTATTTGGTTCTTCAAAGGTTTCAATGTGTGTGTATACCAATTGAATTATTAGAAAAAAAGATATATTTATTTTAAAAATAGTTCTTTTATTTTATGACATCCAAGTTTCTATATTGATTTGGAACCTTCAAGATCAGTAACCAGAGATGATGAGACATTAATCCCGCCAGCGTACAGGCGAATCTTCCACTCAACTTCCAATAGTTTCTTTAAAAAAATACTTATTATATCTTGCTCTTGATGTACAAAAGAATTGACCATTTTTCTACTTTTTGGAGATATATCAACTAGTTTTAGGAATTAAAGCAGTCCAACGAAAGAGAAATGTTTCATTTTAATTAGTGAATAACTGCCATTTCAACAAACAATATATATTCAGTAGCTCTAATTTAAAACTATTTTTAGCGTTGCTTTTTCTATTCATTCATTCTTTTACAATCTGTTATCCAAATAAGAGAATGGTTTATTTCTGTAGTCAACTACTTAAAGACAAACAAATGATACTAAATTTTTTCCTTACAATTATTATTTTCCTCCATTGTTCCCTGTTTACAAAATGGTTCGTTCACTCATATATAAACATAATTTACTAGCATTCCTTAAAGCAAATATTCATCTATAGTGGGATACAATAACTTCTGAATCCAAACTGTGTAGTTTAGTTATTAAATGCTTTCTTTTTTTGTTTGAAAATTTAATGGGATAGAAATTCTAATCAAATAGAATTCCCTTTTTGAAAATTAAACGATATTATGAAAAGGACTCGAGATACAGGTTACAGTATAGTTTTTGAATAAAACCAACCAGTTGAAAATAAACTTTGTTTTATTTGTATAAATTTTATTTACTTGTGCAACATCATTTGAAGAGTAATGGTAAAAAAGTCATTTATGATGATGATATAGGGCTCTCTCATAATAGAAAATAAAATGAAAAAAATCTTTTAATACTTCTGTTACATTCCATCTATTTTTTTTAACCACAGATTGTTTATAAACCAAATGTAAAAGTCTTATTCAACTCTTGTTTTCTTTCTATGAACAAGTTGAACGCTCTTGGATATAACTTTCACTTTTTATACCTAAAAGGTAACTAAAAATTTATACTTCAATACTTTTCGAGAAAAGCTTTTGATTTTACTTACACCTAGTTTTGAAACGAATGCAAATGGAAAGTAACTTAGTACAGTCTACCATTTGGAAAAAAGAAAAATCATATCAGTGCAAGCTTTTATAAAGGAGGCTATGATCGTTTTATCGCTACTATGCTTATAAAAGTAGCCAAAAGATGAATCAAGCCACTGTTGAATGAGACAAAACATTTCATTTAATGACAGTCGTTAGCTTGGTTTTCATTACCAAAACAAAGCGATCTATAAAATAAGTATTATATACTAACAAAAATAAAAAAGCAAAAAAGGTTAGAGAGAGTCAAAATTTAAAATCATAGTAAAAACAAAAATATAAATAACTAATAAACCTCCAGACTAAAAGATACTTTTAGTACTCGAGATGAAACATATCGGTTATGTTTTGAATAGAGTAGCCTGCATTAATGGCGAGCATCAACATGTATCTTGCTTTCTGAGGATTGTGGAAATAAGCGGGAATACCGTTGTAGGAATAGTCAGAGAATCCGTCCATAGTTCTGTGACTATAAACTACTGGGATGCTTTGATTACGGATCAAACCATCAATCACATCGTTACCAGGGTCAGTCCAGGAAGCGGCACCCATTCCAGCTAAAACTAAACCCTTAGCTCCAGAATTTACGGCAGCCTTTGCTAAAGTGGGATTCAGGCCTTGATAACCATATAGAATATCAACCTGGGGTAAGACGGTAGTGTTTCTTATATCGAATTGGACTTTAGCAGTAGGTGTGGCAGGGCTATAATAGAAATGAGGTCTTTGATCCACAATCATGCCAAGGAATCCTGCCTCATAGGATTTGAATGTGTCAAGTGTATTTCCATTTGTTTTGGTGGTATAAAAAGCAGATCCGATACGATCGTTTAATAAGATCATTGTACCTCTTCCAACAGATCTATCAGAAGCGGCTACAGCAACTGCATTTAACAAATTCATAGGACCATCAGCACTGATTGCAGTAGAGGGTCTCATTGCTCCGACCACTACAATCGGCTTTGTGGTATTGACAGTCAAGTCCAAAAACATTGCAGTTTCTTCTAATGAATCGGTGCCATGAGTCACAACGATTCCGTGGACATCATCCTTTGCGACTTCATTTATAACCAGCTGAGTCAAATTCAAAACATTTGCAGGTGTCAAATTTTCACTACCAACACTAGTCACCTGAATTCCACGAACGTTTGACACATTTTTAATGTCAGGAACTGCTTCAACAAGAGTTTGAATTCCTACTGCACCAGCCTTGTAATCGGCAGTCTCAGCATTGGATGCAGCAGATCCAGCGATCGTGCCTCCCATTGCAAAAATGGTTACATTTGGTAGCGAGGCGTTAAATGAGATTAAGTCCGATGCATTAGATTCGCGTTTATAAATCAAAGTGGGATGACATAACGAAACTGAAAAGAAAAAGAAAGCAATGATACAACTCCACATGTTACAACACAAAGTCAATAGAGTATGGAATAATTCATGCAAAATAACAGTTCTATATATATATATTTACAAGAGTTCTCAAGCGAAATCGGAAACTTTCCATATCTTATCTCATCTTGCTCCACCGGTGGACGTCGGAAATAAGATAATCTATCCTTCTTAATAATGCCTCTATGTATGAAGGGATCAGAAAGGAGCATCTTTTATCGATGAATATGAATTCATCTTATCAATTACATGCTCACATGGAGCTCCTTCATAGAAAATGCAATCCAAGTGTTGTACCAAGCTAGGAAAATGAAATGAAACTTGTCTTTAATAATTTACTGTGTTTTTTCTGGAAGACGGATTGCCCAAAGATTTGCAGCTCCTCTCATTTATCCAGATTCGTTTAAAGAATGAAGATTTATTCTCACTAAACCTAGTATCTAATTCAAACACTCTTCCGGAAATTCTTCTTTCGGAGATCCAGCATATACTAGTAGTGTCCACAAGTCGAGAATACTAGGGGAGACTAGAAGCGCTCACACCAGTTTGTTTGTTTTCTTTTTACTAACAATTATTTCTTTCTTTTGTTATTTTCCTTATTTTCATGAAAAACTATTAAGATTACAATTCTATAAACTGATGAAAGCTGTCAGCAATGTTGAGCTACGTACATAAGTCGATAATTCGGTTCAAGATATTGATCGCAGGAATAGCTTCCGCGGGAACAGGAGAACATGATATTTTTAATGGTAGATATAATATTTTCTCTTTCTTAATTACTTCTAGATAATTTATAATATCGCCGAATTCTTTTCATACTAATGGAATTTGTTCAAGAAGTAAAAATATAGAAACTGTAGATATTGTCTATTTGTCAGATTATATTGGTACCTAGAACAAAATGAAACTACAGTCAGCATTTAGTTTTAAATAAAATCCATTCTCCGAAGTAAAATAAAAAATCAAAAGTCATGTTTTCGATGCTTTACTTTTTGTTTATTTGAAAACCTAGTGATTATAGGTCCTTGCAAAGACAACCGTGGGTCATTCTCTTTAAATCTCTTTTCCAATAATTTTCTAATTTAATTTATTAATGTATTTTCAAGGAATTGAAAGCAAACACTTGATAGGACATACACAACTCAATAAATTAGAATACTACAAGTCTTGTTTTTCAACATGCACAAATCGCGAATCTTTCAATATTTATAGATTATTTGACATATCAATTTTTTCCAAATTTTCATTACAAGATTTGTTTTCAGTAACTGTCGTTTGATGGAATATTTTTATTATTTGTAAATTCAAATATTTATTTACGAACAGTAAATTTCTTTTAAGCTTCTAATAAGCTTCGGCAAAGGAGTCTTTTGGAGAGTAGAAAATTGTATTACTAATATAGTAAACGTAATACACATATAAAGAAGGCGTTGGTCGTATACTCAACTTGCACTAAAGATTACCGTCACATCGTCAATACTATGAGTTCGAATAATGCTATTGTTTTAAAGAAATATATTGATCCTACTGAAGGATACCCTAAAGTTGGAGAACACTTTGGTTTGGAAGAACGCCCTTTTGACTTGGAAGCTACTAAGGTTGATGAAGAGCATCCTTTGCTTTTGAGAAACATTTACACTTCTATTGACCCTTATATTCGTAATCGCATAAGAAATCCTAAACGTAAGAGTTATATACCACCTTTGAAAATAGGACAAGTGATTCCAAACTTAACACTTGCTGAAGTGGTAAAGTCAGCAGTCCCTGAACACAAAACAGGCTCTCATGTCATTTTCATGAGCGGCTGGGAAGAATACACATTGGTGCCCAAACAGGCTATGGGCATGGTCCAGTCTGTGAACAATCCCTACAACTTACCTTTGATGACCTTTGTTGGTGCTTTAGGAATGCCCAGCCAAACCGCATACGTTGGACTCAGGCATATTGGACAACCCAAGGCCGGTGAGACGATCTACGTCTCTGCCGCTTCTGGCGCTGTTGGTCAAGTTGTAGGTCAATTGGCAAAATCCATGGGCTTGTACGTTGTAGGAAGTGCTGGATCGGACGAGAAAATTGCTCATTTGAAGGAGATTGGATATGATGCAGCTTTTAACTATAAAAAGGAAAGTGTTCATGAAGCTCTTCCTCGTGTCTGTCCTAAGGGCATCGACATCTACTTTGAAAATGTTGGAGGTGAAACATTGGACGCCGTTCTCTTGAATGCAAACTTCCACGCTCGCATCATATTTTGTGGTTGTATTAGTGACTACAACAATCCTAATCCTTATAGTTTAAAAAATTACTCTCAAATCCTTACCAAGAGTATCAAGGTGGAAGGCTTCATTGTCATGAATTTGATTCCTTTCTATAAAGAGGAATACTTCCGTGAAATGCCTAAACTAATTGCAGATGGAAGGCTCAAATACAAATATGATGTTTACACCGGTTTGGAATCTATCCCTGAAGGTTTCCTTGCTGTACTTCAAGGTAAAAATTTTGGAAAAGCACTTTCCAAGATTGCCGATGAGTAGATTATCTGGATCATTGGCTTTTAACCTGATAAACGCTTAATGTCAAAAAATAGTATGTATTGCTTACATTTTACAAAGGTCTTTATTGAGTTGTCCTCGCGTTGGCTCTGATAGATAAACACGAATATTTTTTAATGAAAACTTCCTTTTGTAAACAAAAATCACTAGTCTCTTTACAAACTGTTATTGCAAAATCCCAAAATCCATAAATTTCAATGCTACTACTGAATTGTATCCTATATACAGTATTGGAAATACACAAACCCGAGTGTACTAACCCTCACAAAGATACAATTCTGCCTCATTATATGACCATCTTGAATGTCGCTTTGATTACGACTTGTTAGTTTTAAACAAACGCATGTCTATCTCTTATCTTTGCAAGTCAGACAGCGCTATGTTCTGTTTTGTTTCCAGTAAGTAAAATGCGTGTCATAAACTGCATAGCTCATATTCGATTTAAAAATAATACATTTATCATTTTAATAAAATGGATTATATATTGTTATATATTAAAAAAGTTGTTAGACAAAAAGAGTCAAAAAAATACAAATAAAATAGTAAAAAAAGAAAGACTTTAGTAAAAACTTTATTGAAGATTTTAATATAAAAATTTACACAAAAACCATCGACAATAGAAGATTTGGCTGATTTAGCTGAATATTTTGTTATTCCTAGCCTAAATAGTGATTCACATGCCTATAACCACTATTCTTCTAGTAGTACTAAAAATAATACTGAATGAAGTTATAACTGCATTCTTCATAAATTCCTCTCATATTAAGAGAGATCCAGTCTTCGTTACCCTTTTCTTACAATGAAAACTTGCATAATTATTAAGCTTGTTAGCATTATTCAGCATTATTCAAAATTTAACCGTAAATCTAATAAAATTTACCTCTCTGCTTATAGAGAGGAGTCTTCACCATAATCGACATAATTTCAAATAAGATATCAGAGGCAGCTAATGTAGTAACTTCAGCAAAGTCATAGGCGGGTGCCACTTCTACAACATCAGCTCCTACAAGCTTAATTCCATCCAAACCTCGAAGAATTGTGCGTAATTCTCTGGTGGTCCAACCTGCACTTTCAGGCGTACCCGTAGCAGGAGCATAAGCAGGGTCAAGTACATCAATGTCAATCGATAAGTATGCTATTCCGTCTCCTACTCTGTCTCTAATTTTCTTAATGATGGCGTCCATTCCAATCGTGTCAATCTCACGAGCTTCAATAATTTCGAAACCGCAATCGGCATCATCATCATAGTCCGACAATCCAGAAAGCGTTGTACGAATTCCACCATGAATATTCGAATTATTGGAAATCAGTCCCTCTTGGCTGGCATGATAAAAATATGTGCCGTGATTAATGCTACCAACACTGGATTTACCACCTCCGAACACCTTGGGTTTCCAACTGTCCAGATGACTATCAAAATGTATGATTGATATAGGACCGTATGCTCGAGAAACAGATCGAAGAATTGGTAGCACCACTGTATGGTCACCACCAAGGGTAATCACTCTAGGCAAAACACTTCCGTCTAGCGCATAACCATCTCTTTCGGAATAAGACGATGGCTTACGGGTCAGCAACTCAAAGTGACCACTTTCAATCTGTTTTATAGAAACAGCGTTGTCGTAGCTTGTCAAAGGTATATCGCCACAGTCCACAATTTTTGCCCAATTGTTAAAAGGATTTGTCTCCATTGGTACATTATAGCCTCCATAAAGATTCAAACGTCGGGAACCTTCGCGGATTCCACTTGGTCCAAATCTAGCTCCAGGGCGATAACTTGTTCCAGTGTCGAATGGTGCTCCAATGAAAGCTATGTCAAAAGATTTACTTTTATCATTCAAGCATTGCCAATATGGAAGACGACCGAAAGTCGATATTCCAGAGAAAACAGAATCAGCTTGAGTTTCTCCATCACCAGGAAATTTATCGTTCTTTTCAATTCCCTTCGTATGATGTTGCTCAATGATTTTGGGATGCGCGTTTATCCAACGGATAACGCTTGCTAAAATAATAAAAACAAGACTTGGGGAAGTCATCAAAATAATGTTTAGAACAGTAATACACTTTAAGAGTAGCTTTCAGAACGTTATTGTAAGGTATTTATAGTATTGATGATTTGTTAGAACTGCATACTATATCTCCAAGGACATTTTTCGAAACCGCCGTGGGGATTCTGTTAAGAAGCTGTTACATAATTTTCAGTTTCGTCATCCAAAATAAACAACAAAATATAGTGAAATAGATAGAAACAAAAAAAAGAAGTAGAATGATTCTTGAGGTTTGGATTCTAAAATTGCCTATCAATAATTCCTTGGAAATTAAAAAAGATGAATGCTGTCTATAAATTCATGGATTTGTGAGGAATTTCGGGATTATAAATACATTATAAAAAAGGTCATCATTTTTTTGTTAATAAAAATACTACATATTCCAAAACAAGACTGCCGAAAGTTTTTGTAAAGATCTTTTTTGAAAATCTTCTTCCGAAGTAGGATATACTTGAAAAGAATTTGTGACTTGAATCTTTGCTTTGAAAGAAAACTTATTTGACAAGATTCGAAAATTTTTTTAGAACTTCTGAGATAAATAATATTTAGGGTCGTTTCGAAGCTTGTTACAATGAGTATCATCGACAAGCAAGACATAAAAAAGATCGAAGTCAATGACGAAATTGAATTGGGAGAGAGTAAAGTAGCGGATAGGGACGATGAATTTTTGATTAGCCTTGGGTATAAACCAGAATTCACTAGGGAATTTTCGTACCTTAGCATTTTTGGACAGTCATTTGGATCCATGGGACTGTGTCCTGCTATTTCAGGGTCACTTATTTTTTCGATGAATTGCGGTGGAGGAGGCATGGTATGGTCTTGGATTATTGGGTGTTTATGTCTGGTTCCAGTAACTATATCGCTTGGAGAGTTAGCTTCGTCTATGCCCACTTCTGGAGGACTCTATTTTTGGGTATTCAAATTAGCACCACCGGCACAAAGACTATTTCTTTGCTGGGCATGCGGTTACGTATCGGTTCTTGGTTATGCTACAATTTATGCTTCAACTATTTATTCTACATCTTCTATGATTCAAGCACTTGCTATGATTAACAACCCACTTTACTCTTCTACAAAATATGAGCAGTATGGAATTTATGTAGCCTTACTCTTGGTGACATCAGCCACAGCTGTTATTCCGTCTCGTGTTATAGCAAAGTTGAACATTTTCAACATAACGTTTCAGCTTTCTCTATCAGTTATTTTCATTTTAGCCCTCGCATTCGGTTCCAATCCAACAACAAGGAATCCGGGAAACTATATATTTGGTGATTTTAAAAATTATTCAGGATGGTCAAACACGGGATGGGCCTTTATGTTATCTTTCACTACTCCTGTATGGGTAGTTAGTGGGTTTGAATCTAGCGCAGTTATTGCTGAAGAATCAACAAATGCCGCAAAGGCTGCACCTTTTGCTATGGTTTCTAGTGTTATTGTAGCTGCTATCCTTGGGTGGTGTATTATCATAACCATAGTAGCTACTATGGGAAACAACTTTAAAGGAGTTTCGGGATCTTCATTAGGCCAGCCTGTAGCTCAAGTACTCCTTAACAATCTTGGAACCAAAGGAGCTAAAGGAATATTCTCCTTACTTGTTATAGCTCTTTATTTAAATTCAGTTTCATTGGTAAGTATCATTGATCGAGTCGTCGCTTCTTGTTTGAGCCGTTCATTTTATGCTAACATATTTAAGGTAATCGCATCATCTCGAGAAGTTTTTGCCTTCTGTAGAGATGGAGGAATCCCGGGGAGTAAATTTTTTAAACATCTGACTAAACAGAAGGTTCCTTTGAATGCGATTCTCCTAGTGTTCCTTTATAGTATTTCAGTTGGTCTCCTAATCTTAGTTAATGCTAGTGCCATTTCTTCAGTGTTTAACCTAGCAATTATTGCGCTTTATATAGCCTATTCGTGTCCTCTACTATGTCGATTCATTTGCAAGAACTTTGAGCCAGGTAAAATTTATTAAAAATTTAATTTATCTGCTAATACTGTCTGTATAGGTATTTTTTACGCCGGCAAGTGGAGCAAGCTCCTGGCATCATGGTCATTACTTTGGATGTGGTTCATGATCATAATGTTGTTATTCCCGGAGTATCAAAATCCAAGTCAAGCTCAAATGAATTGGGCTATTGTGGTTCTCGGTTTCGTGATGCTCTTTTGCATAGTATATTACTACATACCAAAGGTCGGTGGAAAGACGTTTTTTAGGGGACCGGTCTCAACCCTTTAGGTACAACATGGGTCTCTTTTTAGTGTATCACTTATTGAAATTTATGATCCAGATTTTAAAGTCACCGCCAAACGAAAACTTTGTGCAAAAGAAGATGGTCAGCACAATCAGTTGTATTATGTTTTTCTATTCTTAATAACAGATATTTTCTGTTACATTTTGTTGTTGTTGCTGTTGCAATCAATCCTTTTATTGTTTCGTAAGTAGTGCAATGATTGAATTCTATTATATTCACCTCGAATTTACCCGATATTATAAAGCATTAATTGCGAAATCACTTTATTGTAATCTTTATTATAAGTTCTAAAACTAATTTATGCCATAGCTTTTTGCTTGTCTGACTGAAGACGATTAGCTTATCAAACATTCTCCTATCATTGCTGATTTAGCGGGCTGCAGTGATTCATAACGTAAACGAATGAGACTACAAATTAAACGGGTTTAATTTGTTCGCTGTTTGCGTAGTTATTTAATCTTTGTTTTTTAACGTCTTGCGGTGTGAAGATTCATTTATGTCATTACTATTATAGATCTTATTGTGCTCCTCGATTAAAACATACATTTATCAGTTTCTCCAGCTAACAGTTACCATACAAAATTAGATGTATGCTATAAACGCGTTAACTAAGTATTACAGATTCAATCCGTGGATGTTTGTAATTATCAGCGGGTAAACTGCGAAAAAAATGATTACTTGAAATGTGGATTCTTTGCAAGTGGTACAAAAGTTGGAAACGTTACAAAGCTACATAATACTTGAATATTGAGAGAGAGGAGATGGTCCAAAATAAAGCGTGTGATCTTTGTAGGCTGAAGAAAATCAAATGTAGTCGAGCCCAACCAAGGTGCCAGACTTGCACGCTATTTCAATCAGAATGTCACTACTCAAATCGTTCTCGTCGAAACAAGTTGGTTCAAAAAGACAAGGAAAGAAGTTTGCTAGACATTTCATTACCGAGTTCTCTTTACAGCTCTCGTATTAGCGACGACAGTCCAGAAATCATTGACTATTCAATTTCTGTTAAACAACCTTCGACCGCAAATAAAGTAAGTTGCAAGACATGTACTGGTGAGCCTCGAAACGACATAGAAAAGGTGCATACCCGCCTTAAATTTCTTGAAGAAAAGGTCGATCTATTGTTGGATATAGCCACCGAAAACTCCGAAGCCAAGAATGAAAACAAGGTCATTGAGCTCCCCTCTTTGATTACTCAGATTAGAAATGCAGAATCTATTGTATTCCAACATAGACCAAAAAATTTTATGGATGACTCACACCCTCATATTTTGAATATGGAATGCTTATTTCCACCTCTATTACCTAGATGGGATAATGCATTTCAAGAGGTACCTATGAGAGAGACTGCACTCGAGTTGATTACATCTTACTTCCAGCATGTTAATTGGTGGTGGCCTACATTCATATTAGATGACTTCATGTACGAGTTTGAGAGCTTTTATCTGTATGGGTTTCACACTAATAATGCTTGGCTAATCTCTTTCTATTCAATTCTAGCCCTTAGCTGCATTCGAAAAAGGCTCAATTCTTCAAAGAAACTTTCGGAGGCTTTTTTTTCAACTGCCTGGGTATATGCCCAAAATTTCGATTTCTTCCTTTCTCCTCAAATCGATAAAGTACAAGCATTGATTGTAATGACTCAGTATGCTGCCTATCTATCTGATTCTTCTTTATGTAGGGCTTTGTGTGGTCAGGCTTGCCTGATGGCCCAACAATTAAATTTACACAAAAAGCCATCTGACTCTTTGAAGCCAGAAATAAAAGAATCCTATAAAAGAATTTTTTGGATGTGCTATATTTTAGACAAAAACATATCGTTGGTTTTTGGGACGCCCTCAGCCTTTCATGACAACGATATAAACTGTGAACTACCGGACAGTAAGTTTGAACATTTATTTGGTGTGCACAAAGGAGGAGATTCAATATTCATTCCTACGGTATCATTGACAATAATTCAAAGTGAGATCCGAACTCGACTGTACAGTGTAAAATCTCCTAAGCAAATGGCAGCAAGGGAGAAATTTGTCTCTCCCATACATCAAAAACTGATACAATGGGAAGAAAGTCTACCAAACGAGATAAAGTTGTTTCAAGAAATGTTATTGAACAATAAATTTTCCTTAAGTATATCACAAAGTGATCGGTTTGAATATTTGACTTTTGCAGTAATGGAAGTCTCTTTTTCCTATTTAAATACTATAATTGTGTTACATAGTTCATGTTCTCAGAAAGAAAATCAACAACTATGCATTAAAGCAGCACGTGAAGCGGTTAAACTTTTGAAAAGCAGGCTCAATGTCGATCTCAGGATCAACGTTAAAGCAGATCCTTTATGGATGTTTCTTTATTGTCCTTTTACACCATTTCTTGTGATATTTGATAATCTCTTCCTTGACACAGAAATGGACTCAGAGACATTACTAAGTGATTTAGAACTTTTGCATGTCATATACGACTTCTTTCTAGAAATGGGGCCGATCAGCAGAGTGGCCTTGAAACTCGTTACAATAGTTGAGAAGTTTCTAAAAGTCGCAAAAGAAACCTTTTGCGCAAAAAACTCCAATATTACAGAGACAGCTATTAAAGACACCGTTGAAGGGTTCGAACTGGACGACTTTAACAATTGGGATCTCGACGGGATATCCAGTTTGTTGAGAAATTTCTAGTCATTGACGAAAAGGTTACTAGTATTCCTTGAGGATTAGATAATCGTTTTATTGACTTCATAACTTATCATGCAAAAAATGAACCCTGTACTTAGTGACCAAGTCACTGTGAGTTCCTACCGAGTAATGCACTATATTCATTAGGCTCGTCAGAACCTATAACTGCCTTCCTTGCTTGCATGTACCAGTCGGTGGCCATAACGAATTTCAGTTCCAGGATTCCAACTAAGGATAATGCGATTACCTGACCAATCCAAAGGCCAGCTAACCCCTTTCCGTGAAACGCTAAGCTAATACCTAGAGGTAAAGAAAACAGGTAATAGGCACTGATATTTACCATTGCACCAACTTCTTGTCTCTTTGTTCCTCGCAAAGCTCCTCCCATTGTACCATTCAAGGAATCTGAAATTTGAAATATAGCTACTAAGGGCAAAACAATTGCGACTAAATTAATGACATCAGGATCCTCCGTGAAAAGCTTTCCAAACACTTGCCTTAAAGCAATCATAATAATCATAATGACAGTCCCTAATGTAGCACCGACAACAGCTGCAACTTCAGCTACTGAAGAGGCACTGTTAGGTAATCCCGCACCAAGGTAGTAAGCAATTCTATTCGAGGTTATGATACCGAGACCAAAAGGAATAGTATTAAGTAATTGGTCGGTTGTCATTATAATCGATTGAGCCGCAAGCGGCACAGCACCAAGTTTACCAGCCATGAGTGCTACAATTTCGAAAGCCCACCACTCTGTACCTACCATAATTATTCCTAATAAGGATAATTTAAGAAAGGGAAAAATATTATCGATACATTTTCTGTTCCAACCACCCCAAGCTTCTGCTCCTTTCACGTATTTTGCATACTGGGTTAATAATATAAAAGAAAGCCAGTATGAGAAGCCGGTTGCCAATGGAGCACCTTTTAAACCTAGATCATAGTAATGAATAGATATATAATTGAGTGCAATATTAAGGGGCGAAGTAACTAAAAGGACATATGATCCAGCCCTAGTAATTTCCTGTGTCTGTAAATACTTTTTTAACAATTCAAAGCATATATATCCTAAACCTCCTGGAATAAGGTATCGTAAAAAATTTTGAGAAGCTTCGGCTAACTCTGGAGTTTGATGTAGGAATATCAAAATAGGTTTGGAGAACCACCACACTAAACACACTGGTAGATATAAAAAACTGAGGATAATGATTGCCGTTTGAAATAAAATTCCCAATTCATGCTTCTTTCCAGCTCCCCATAGATTGGAGCCAAATGTGTCAAAAGCGGTTGTTCCGCCTAGTGCAATTAACCAGCCAGTGCTCATTGCAAACATATAGGCAAAGGCTGCCACAGAAAGTTCATTTGCTCCAAGTCTCCCTGTTATAATAACTGAGCAGCTTTGTAAGGAATTCTGCAAAGCGTATCCAAGTATCACCGGAGCTGAATTTGCTAGAAGGTATTTAGTTTCTTTAAGCGCTATTCCCATAATGAATATGTTACTTATTTAAGAGTAAAAGAATATAATTTTTTCTTAATTAAGATGTATTTTCTTCCTTGATGTTAAGCATAAAAAATCAAGATTTTTTAGTAAAGTACGAGGATAATGCAATGATAAATTAAAGAAAGAATTGGCTTTTTTATACTATAATTTTGCTTTGTTTTTGATTTGGTTTTCTATCTATTACACTATGGCATAAAGCTGTAAAAAGCCCATGGTAATATGGGGATTTCAGAAAACTCCACGCAAGTGCTTTGTACCTATCCCGAACGGTACTATGCGTATATACTATGTGGTCGGAAAACCTGATGAGTATTGTTCTAAATTACTTTTATTTATTATCTACTAGTGTAAATAATCGCTTTTGGATTTCTTCTTATAGGTTACAAAAGCAACAACTCAGCAAATCGATAGAATCCCAAGATTGAAAGCTAATATACTCTTCATCTTTATTTTTTTTATTTTTTAGAATAAATCTGTACAATAGCTTCTATTATAGACTACAGTTGCTTGTCTTTAATTAATCGACTTATACCTGAGCTTGTCGTTTTTCTGAAAAAATCATATTTGCCAAATTACAGGTTGTAATTTTGTTTTTGAGATCCATGTTTATTTATACTTTTTCTTCGGCGGTCTTCCTATTTTGAACGCCGCGAGGTTAAGTAATGACTAAAATCGTATACCTTTCAGTAATAAGGCAATGATTGAAAATAGAAGCCTAAGAGGAAATTTGGGAAAATGTCTGAAATCCGTATGAATCGTGTATTTCTTTGTCATTTTTAAAAACTATCAATCCAGGAAGGATTATTGTCCGCACGCTTTTTATAATCTCTAGATATTGAATCTTGTAATTACTCAGTTTACAGTATGTTAATGTTCTCTTTACACTGTATGTCAAGTTCACCAAAAGAAAGTAAATAAAACAAAAAATGCTAATACCTGTTAGATCGGGTTTATCCTATCTGATCGTTCTATTTTTGTTATAGTCGGCAAGCCGATAAACTGCACTATTATTATAGTATGTTTGGTAAACAAATAATCAAGAGCTAAAATCGCACTTAACTTATGATAGCGCTTAATACTTGTCATTGCTATTATCTATGTACGATATTACTCATTCATTAATACAGGTGTTCTATGACAATAAGGCTTCGTTTATGTAAATAATAAACAAACAATTGTTTGAGTCGAAAGAAGATAGTAAAATGTAGACAAAGACGATCTACGAATAATAAATTTGCAAAATTTACTTAAGAAAGTAGAAATAGCAAGATTTCACTAATTTAGTTAAGTAAGGGCTGCTATAAATAATGTGATTAGTGAAACAAATCCTTGGAAGGTTTGGAATCCGACATAAATAGTAAAAAGGCATCCATTGTGACATTTCTTTACGTAGAGTTTATTAAAACTATAGTTGTAATATTTACTGGCAACTTACTCTCATAACAATTAAGATTCAGCCTGTGACAATGCTATTATCTGGCTTTCTCGTGACATTTATAGAACGAGTAAAGCCAGCCTAAACCATAAAATAATAAATGGATAAAATAATAAAAAAGTCATAACTAAATCATAGCAAATGCTTCTCGAAAATAAAAATGATAAAGTCTTTAGTATACAACAATTTAGCATACACAACAAAGATTTTTGCAATTAATAAATGCCAAAAAGCAGACTCACATTCAAGATTAGCAGAAGGTTCCAGAAAAGGAAATTCCTGAATAAATAGCTTGTAGAGGCTTACATATTTCCCTGTTTCCAACGTAATCCAAGATAGAACATCACTTATCCTGTACCCAGCAAAGCCAATCGTCGACCCATCCCATTAATCATTAATAAGATATTCCCAATATAAAATATGACTCATGCTATCACAATTCCAGCAAGCAAGGAATTAAACAACTACGGCAATGATTACTCTCTTAGTAGGCTGAAGCTCTCATTCACCCCATTTAAGCTTCGTTCTGTTGCCTTTCGCTATGTCACTTTAAGCTGGCGGTAGGCATAGTAATTTGTCGACTAACAAGTTATCTCTTACCAAGTAGCATACTATATACTGAAGTAACAGTTTAGGTTGACTGAAATAGGAAACAGCATTCTTATGAGTACCGAGCCATAAACTCGACAAGTGTATCTCCATAATTATGTTCGAATTTGGAAGTTTTAAAAGTAGATTTTCGTAATTTCCTATTCACAATCGACCACTGCCGAGTTTGAGCTTCTTCCTCTCATTGCCATGTTTAAGTCAATACGATAGCGTTCTTCCTTCTTTTTGCTTTTTCTTTCATGGTTCTCCGTCATCAGATATGGCACTCATATTTATATTGTCATTCTCTTCGAAAATTTTATGCATAAAGACATTTTGAAAGGAGATATCAGATGAAACAGGATTAGAGTAGAGATCGCTGTCTTTTACTGCGTGAAATATGTTTCCTTCTTACTTTGGGAGTATCAAGTAAAATTTTATCAAGCTCCTATATATCGGGAATAGGCTCCAGAATTAACAGAGCAAAATTAGGTCGGCGCTATACTAGATGTTTCTTTTGATGTATCTGATAACTATAACACCTTTATAACTTAAACAAATCCTTATATCCTCTAAATATGTATAGTAAGCGGACTAGTTTATGTGATATTGAAATGGAAAAGACGAAAGAGGCGAAAACTGGAGACGAAGAAAATATCATTACCGCAGACGTACAACCTAACGCAACAGATGGATCTTTTGTTTCATTTACAGATTTTAATGCCGAAACGGCAACCCTTCAAGGAAAAAATCCCGAATTAAAGCCCCGCAAATCGTGGAGACAATACTTGCAAGTAGCAGTTTGTGGTATCGGACTCTTATCAGATGGATACTGTCTCAGCAGTATTGGTGCAGTGATTACTATCCTTAAAAGCTTATATCCAAGGGAAAGCAAATCGCATCAAAACATAGAACATATTAGCATGAGTTCATACATCGGTACAATTATGGGACAATTATTGTTTGGAGTCTTCTCAGACGCGGTTGGACGTAAAACTGGAATGGTCACAGCCACAGGTATTTTAATCGTCGCTACGGCCCTTTGTTCTGGAGCTTATGGTTTACACGGGAGCATTAACAGCATGTTTCAAGCTTTGATAGCTTACCGCTTTTTCTTGGGGATTGGAGTCGGTGCTGAATTCGTTTGTGGTTCTATCGCCGCTTCCGAAAGTTCTAACGAAATTCGATCAGGAATTCGTCATTCTATCTTTGTCATAGTGACTGACACTGCTACTGTTGTTGGACACATTTTGGGTGCTTTGGTACCCTATATCTTGGTGGTTATTTTTGGAGAAAACCATTTGAGGATTGTTTGGAGATTATCCATCGGTTTTGGTGTTATTCTTCCGATTGTTTTTTTAATACTTCGACTTCGCATGGTAGAAGTCAAAGCTTATGTGTCTCATCGTATATCAATGAGAAAAGTTCCTTGGCGTCTCGTTACTAAATTGTACGGACCACGGTTACTCTTGATTTCTATAATTTGGTTTGCTAATGATTTAATTGTTTGTGCATTTTCTCTTTACTCAAGTTCGATTGTAAAGGGGTTATTACCCGAAGATGCTTCAATGGCAAAGACGTTCGGGTGGACAGTATTAATTCAGAGCTTTAGTCTGCCCGGTTCATTGCTTGGTGCATACTTTAGTGATGTACTTGGACCAAAGCGTTGCCTTATTGTTGGAATGATACTACAAGGAACCGTGGGATTGTTTATGTCAGGCTTTTTTCATCAGTTAATTCATAGGATTGCTTGTTTCTGCGTACTTTACGGGCTCTTCCTAAGTTTTAGCGAATTTGGTGTTCTAAGCAACCTCGGACTCTTAGCTGCTAAGACCTCTCCCACTCCAATCCGAGGTCTTTATTACGGGATTGCAGCTACAGTTTCTAGGTGTGGTGCTATAGCAGGCATCTATGTATTTGGGGGCAATCAGTTCCAAAAATATTTCTATGTCGCAAGTGGGATTTACTTCTTTATAGCTTTTCTATCTTTCTTTCTTCCGCATGTAAATCAGTCCTGTGTCGAGGAAGAAAACGACCGGTTAATGAAACGTTGTATACTTGAAGGTATCGATCCTAACTCGTTTCGCGACAAGCTTGATTTGTAATCTTCTCAATCTTTCTTCATTTTTGCCTGTTTTCCCTTTATACTATTTTACGAAGAAGAAAGAGCGTCTTCATGCCCCGTTGTTCAGTTTATATGTAATTTTTATGCTTGTTTCTATCAACCTCTATCTTTTTCTCTCACTGTTTACTTATTCATACCGGATTTTATGTTATTTAATATACCAGTCACTTATACATGTAATTTGATACGCATCAAGAATATGTATTCCTGTTTTAAATTGGATTTTTTGGAAAATTCTCATTCAAAATGGAAGTGTACGTCGGTTTGGAAGTATGAACAACCTCATCAGTTACCGACCCCGGCATAAATGTTGTTAATGATTTATGCCTTTATTTTTCACTCTATCGAAGGGCATAAAAGTTTCATGTCACTACCGTACTTGGACTACTTCACTACGGTGTAATAATGAAACAAAGTTTGCACCCTGAATAACCTTAGACGCCGTAATGCACACGAATATATAATAACAGTACCAAGTTCTTGCTCACGAATGTGGACTTGCGTGGCTCCTCAGCGTACGTAAGTAGAATATAGTCGAAGCGGTGCCATAAGCACGTTAGTTATTACCATTTTCTTGCTATTGTTATCATAGCGTATGGATTTCCCTAAAAGTAATGAATAGCCAAAGACATTATTAAACGAAGATTTTTTTTATTCACTGTATATATATGGAAGATTTACGTGTTAAATGTCCAGTTTGGAAGAGATGTCCGATCTAGCTAAATAAAATTAGTGTACAACTTATAGAGTGAGCCAGATGATGAACACTATCCCTATTAATTCCAAGTAATAAAGGCATCCAATTCAAAATATAATCGAAGTTAAAGCATTTTCTCAGAACAAGTGGGATCTAATCTATAATATTATGAAGTTAAAAACATTTTCTTCAATACAGTTTATACTTAGGAAAAAGTCTACTATATTTGTGATATTCAATAAACTAGTCAATGACAGTGACTACTCTGTCAAACACTCAACTTTCTCTATGTTGGGTTGTTATATCGAGATAGTGGATATATTCATGTAGAAATGAAGAAAAATAATTTAAACCTAAAAAAAAGACGCACACACACACATAGATAAAAATGAAAGGAAACTAAATGAAAGTGAAGAAAAAAACAAATGATAAACAGCAGTAAATGAATGATGAGTTTCCAAAATATGAGCCGGGGGAATGAAACACTTATAAAGACCGTAAAATTTATTTTTTTAGTTTTGGAGAATTTCAAACTGATCGTTAATTCGCATAATCAATATTCTTTCGTAAATCGGGATGAACCCCTTCAACTCTGCAAGCCTCGAAGAATCGGTCATCTTCTAATCCTACGCAAGACTGGTCCACATTTGGAAGGAAGCAAGAAATGAAAACTATGAAAATAGCTATCCCACTGGCTGCGTAAAAGTACCTTTGCAACTGATCCCCACCAAACACGTATATACCAACTATAGATCCAAGTCTTCCAACAGTCACTGCAATCCCGCAGTAGAGCCCACGGATAGCAGTAGGCGAAGTTTTGGATGCCAAAAGTCTAACGTTACATTTAGCACCAAACTCTCCCATACTCAAAAAAATCCCATAAAGTACACAGAATCCAGCAACCTTATGTACTAATTGATGCTAGAAGCCAGACATGAAAAACCCTACTACTCCTTGTAAAAAAGCTCCGAGCATAAGGCAATACTTGGGTCCAATCACATCGCTGAAATAAGCTCCCATGAGTGATCCTGGTAAACTGAATGACTGAGTCAGTACAGTCCATCCAAAGATTCGAGCCATAGAAGCATCTTTTGGTAATATTACTCCTTTGATGATAGTGCTTGAGTAAAGAGAAAAAGCAGAGATAATTAAACCATTCGCAAACCAGATCATGGATAATAAAACCAACCGTATCCCATACATCCTAATTGCAAGAATCCAAGGTATCCTTCTTACAGAAACTCTGTGAGAAACGTAAGTCTTAATTTCTTTCATGCGAATTCGTAAAATCAGAAAAAAAATAGGGATGACAATTCCACAGCCTATTGAAAGACGCCATACAATTCTAAGGTGTTTGTCCCCAAATATGCAAGCCCAGATGTAAGGAATCAAGGCGCCTAAAATGTGTCCAATACAAGTAGCAGTATCAGTTACAATAACAAACAATGCATGGCGAAGACCGGAACGGATTTCTGTAGAGCTTTCAGAAGCCGAAATTGAACCACAAACAAATTCAGCGCCAATGCCGATTCCCAAAAAGAATCGATAAGCTATTAAAGCTTGCATCATACCACTAATACTTCCATGATAACCATAGGCACCCGTACATAAAGCTGTAGCAACAACTAAAAACGCGGAAGACGCAACCATGCCAGCCTTTCTTCCAAGCGCATCCGAGAAGACACCAAACAGAAGTTGCCCGACAATCGTGCCAACATATGCAATCATACTAATTTTTTTTATCGTATGATGTGCTTTTATTTCTTTTGGGTATAACTTTTTTAGGATAGTCAAGACAGTACCAATACTACTCATACAATACCCATCTGATAAAAGAGCGGTACCACAAACCGCTACTTCCACATATTGCTTCCAGGTATTGTAATAAGTATTACTGTCTTCTGATTGCGCCCTACAGTCGCCTTGTAGTCCGGATCCTTAAAATATTGTTCTTTCCCTTCTAGTGACAAATCAGACGTGCTGGAGTTCTCATCCTCCAAGACCTTTGAATCTTTTTTGGACATGGTATCTTCAAATCAATAATAGAAAATAACAGAAAAGATGAGAAAGGAATAAATGAATGAACAAAAAAAGGATATAATGAAGAAAGTAAATATAACAGCAGGTGGATATAAATCTAGGTTGTCCAAGTGAGAAAGGTTGAAGGTACAAACAATCTGATAAAATTTTATCAATATATAGTCAAATTTATCAGTCCCGCATATGATGTATGTAACATATTTATCTACCGAGTTGTTACCCGTTGCAGACCTTTGATCATAGTAATTTCTTTTCTTATTTTGGTAAATTTACTTCTCTTTATTTATTTAAATATTAAATAATTACTTGGAATTTTCACCGTCAATGACTTACATGTTTTAATAAACTGTCGCATGATCCGGGGTAAATTATCAGATCATACTGAAAATTGCATGCGCTTCTTAGTGACAAGGTTTGGAGTCGTGACTTTCCAAACCCCCGTTTTGGTAGATACCGATATCGGTATAATAATTTTGTGATCTGGACGTTGTTTACATTCACTAAGTAACAACCAAAAAAAAATAAGAGCGAATACAGCAAGCGTGTGCGTGCAGCGTTGCTTCTATACATAAGAGCGATCGAGAGATCTCAAAAAAACAAATAGTACTTAGAAATTATAAACAAGAGTAATGGATCCAGTGATCTGTATACATAGAGTGACCGGACAATATCCAAGCAAAAGAGAAGCTTAGCCAACGTGAACACGGAATGATTTGACGTACATCTAAAATATTCAACTTGGAATTTAATAACACTATAGATAAAGCTTTAAGCACATGACGAAGTCTACGGCCACACCTAGGCGAAAACACCAGTTCCCGTCCGATCACTGCAGTTAAGAGTCTGAGGGTCTCGTTAGTACTATGGTTGGAGACAACATGGGAATCCGGGATGCTGTAGGCTTTTTACCGCTTCGTTTTTAAATTTTTTTTCTTTTCTTTTCTTTTTTTTGTTTGTTTCGTTTGTTTGTTGCTCTTTGTTAAAGCATATGGCTGGCGTTTGGGTCGGCATGGTCCTTTAATTAAGGTGATACTAGTGATTGCAAGAAGCAATGGTCATCCATGATTCAGCAATTCACTGAATTCATTATCAATTAGAAATTAAAGTATTTTATGAAGATTAGTGATTAAAAGCGCCTGAAGAATAAATATGACAAACAAAATGCAAAGATGAAACACAAACATAAGCATACGCGAAAGCATGAAGGGAATAACCAAAACGATTGGGCAATATAATAAATAATGCTTTACTCCACGTACAAATCAACTCCCACTGTTTTCCACATCCCTAGACTGACCAGGTTCCCGGCGTGACCCTGGAGATTGCTCAGAATGTTCAGTAGACGGTTGCTCGAAAGTATTATCACTACTATTATTAAATTGATATTCAGGCTCTGACGACATGCTGTTTCATGGGATACAATTATCATCCGTCAAGTCGTTTCTTTCTGACGGCATTCTGAAGCCTAGAGCACTAATAATCACAGAAAAAAGCGAAGAAAGAAATGAAGATATTCCAGAAAAAAGCGCACTAATTCCAAAAAAAGCGAGGAAAGAAATAAAGATATTCCAGAAAAAAGCGAAGAAAGAAATGAAGATATTCCAGAAACAAGCATAGTGGTTCCAGAAAGGACTAGAGGAATCAGTGTAACGATAAAATCCACCAACACTAAAAGCATCCCATTAGTAAACAACTTTAAATTACAAATCCACCAATTCACTTACATGAACAAAAAATAAGAACATGTAGAAAGTCGCGATGACAAGAACAACTGCTACTGTAATTTGAAACCATAACCATACAGATTCTTTCATTGATTCCTTTATAAAGGGGACAAGGTATTTGTAAGAAAAGATAAAGTTCAATATAATTGAACCATTAAGGCACCAACCAAGCCGAAGAGCTTCATTCTCTTGTCTCCGTTGTGCTTCCGGGATTCTCGCAATTTTTGCCGGCCAGAAAATTAACCACAGTATCTCCTTACAGACCCGTAAAGAATTCGAGGGACCATTTCCTTGCGCCATGCGACTAGAAGCTTCTTGATGTCGTCTTCTTGAGTATGATGGTGCTGGATCTGGATCGGACTGTAAACGTAAACTACCCTTCTCCATATTGTCAACATGAGAATATGGGATTTCGCTGTATTTAGGTAAGCAGTTCTCAGAACTTGTAGAAGAGCTCAAACAAGCAACTTTTGCTGGTTCGACAGATTTTTGATGTCCTTTCTTTTCTTTTTCATTCATTTTTGTTGTAACATGGCTGTGACTAAAAGAGTTTCTTAACCACCTTTGCTTGATCACTAAGTTACTGCGAAAATTATGGATTACAAAGTAAAAGGACCAAAAAGCGTACAATTTCGAAATTAAAAAGATTCCATATCAATTTGCTTTATACATTAAAGTAGGAATGACAAAAAGAGTCTTGAAGCCCAGAAAATAAGCCCGCAATGGCAAAGACTAGAGCTTTGCAGAGGTGAAGCTGTCATCCAACCCATTTGAGATCTGGGTGATGCAGTTCGTTAAAGAGACTTATCGATAGCTAGTAAGCGCACGCTATTATATGTGTATATAATATGAATGAATGAATGAACTATCGGATATAGCTTTTGTTGGTTTCTATCGTATAAATAACATAAATTTAATAAAGACGAAAACAAAATTCACTTGTCCGTACAAATTTTGTTTACCATAGTTCGACGTCGCATCTACAAACTTTCCATGTGTTTACGGATTTGAAAATAAAACTACGAAAATGGAGAGTGTTGTAGCTTACTCAGAATCCGTTTCCCCACAGTCATAAAACCTTTTAAATCAAAAATACGCATTTTCAATTCCTTTTTCACATCATTCAAAGCAAACAGCATGGTTGTTTTGCCTAATATTCCTTTGTTTACTATTTGTAATAAACAGTGACTCTTTTGGATTATACTATTACGAGAAATCGCAACGAGGATGTGACCAGTCGGTGACATAATGTCGCAGCTTTTATGAAACGAGACATGCGAAAAGCCACTACCATGAGTTTTTAAACTTGTATCTTTGGTTTTAAAGAAAAGTTTCAGCTGTAAAATTTGGTTGCTTTTTGGAACAAGCTCCAATTCCTATTTTTGAAGACTCTGCAACAATTGGAACCAACTCTTAAGAACTTTTCTTGGTGATTCTAGTTGATTTCGTTTAGATTGCAACTGCAGTTGTTAGTTTGGGATTTAATGTGGCATTGCAAAAATGAAGAATAAATACACACCTGTTTCAGACTCTGAAGAGTCTTTGAAAACGCTCACTGATGAAAAGGCAGACACCCGTTCTTCAGAGGGTACGCCTCCTCCGTATTCAGGTAAGATTCATTGCAATGGAAAGGTAATGGCGTTTTTTTATGTTCCCTGTTTGGAATCCAATTATTCAAATTTTGACGGAGAATCCCTTTGTTTATTACTAGTTGGGTTTGAAATGAATAAACTTGTCGACGATTGTCAATAAACAGGGCGAATACCTTCATTCTCTCGTATACAACGAAAACTTCAATTGCTAATACATTCATTAGCTTCAAACAAATTTATCGATTTAGAAATGGCTGACGGATCCGCTCAGAATTCCGCCCAAGAATCTGTTGATAACACTAGGTCGGACCCTTCAGCGAACAAAGAATGTTGGAAAGACTTTTTCGTAGGACTAATGACTATTATAACAATTTTATATAATCTTGTTTTTCTAGCCATAATTTTTGGTTACAAGGTTTCTCCGTATTCAATAGCTTTTTATTGGCTTGCTGCCGTTTCTATTGGCACTATTTTTATTTTCCTATTAAGTAAGTTAAGAATATCTTGTTCTCGAATAACTGACCTATTTTTAGCGATTCTTGTAACGTATCCAGGATGGTACAGGGAAGCTGGAAGAGCAACAAAGAAGTGCATTAAGAAATTTGGAAGAGCAACCAAAAAGGTTCTGAAGAAATCTGGAAGAGCAATAAAGAAATTCACACCAGCTGTATGTAAAGCCCTAATTATACTGATAAGTTTGAATGGAGTCGGGGGTGGTGCTTTGAAACTAGCAGGAGGCTTCGAATATATACATTCAACAGCTGTGTTAGTTGTTCTGGCCGTATTGAACATATGCTTGTTTGTTCTTCTCGTTCGTAAGGTTTTATTTTCTATGAACCTTTCTAACCTCTTTAGGAAACCCAATTGGATTTGGAAATATGACAGTTATCGTTCCTACAGTAAGCGAAATTTAGTTTTGTTAACCTAGAATTTTTCATTAACCTTTCAGAACAACAGAATTAGCAGGAATACTCCACCTCGTAACGAAGAAACCGAACTTCAGCCTCTTGCTGAGCAAAGCTCTGAAGTTTGAATGTGAGTGTGAGTTTCACCGAACCTGCTTTCATTTTGTGTACTTCGCCTTCGACCCTTCCTTGGGATCATCCATGTCAATTGCAGTTCACCAAGATCCCTGTGTTCGTTGTCACAAAAGCTTGAATCTGATAAATCCAGCAAACTTTGATCGCTTTAGTAATTCACTCTTTTACGACTTTTCTAATTAGTTCACAGCACTGTTGTTTATGCATCGTTCATTTTCTTCGCAGTTCGAATAGAACATCCTTTTTAATGATTATTTTATGATTTTGACAACGAATATTCCATGGCAATGAGCTATTGTTTAGTTCAACACCGAGTCGTGTAATTGATTATGTCTTAGAGTTGACAAGGATGAATGAGAGTTTCGACAGTTATTATTTTCATTCAGTATAGCAAGCACGAATCTTCAGATCAAAAAGATCAAAAGATCAGATATATCTTAATACATTGATTAAACATTCATTTAGAGAGTCAAATCAACGGAAGATGAAATATTGCAAGTAGAACCCAATTTGTATAAACTACATTCTCAACCCATAAACCCAAACGCTCATTTTAACACTCATTCTGATGCTTTTTCGACAACAATGTGAATCAAGAAAATAGAGAATGACAGTTTGTATTCAAATCTTATTTTTATAATATGAAGGCATTCTCCATTCTTCCGTGGAAAACAACCAAAATTTAGAGCCGAGTAGAGATGCTTTTAAACGACATCAGATGTAATAGAATACTGGACGAATCCTTTATAGAGAAGTAGCTTTATAGACGACTACAAACGTCTACGGCCACACCTAGGCGAAAACACCAGACTAGTTCCCGTCCGATCACTGCAGCATGTGAAAACATTTGACGGCCTCGTTAGTTTCGTTCTATGGTTGGAGACAACATGGGAATTCGGGGTGCGGTAGGCTTTCTACGTTTCCTCTTTCTGGATTTTTTTTGGTAATTTAGCTACGCATACATCCTGTTGCATTGAGTTTCATTTTGATTATCTTGATACTCTTTTCACTTTGGTATACTTCTGGCTGAGGGAAAGCTAAAGCAAAGGTCATTGTTGATTAAATTTTGATTTTCATCATCGTTAGCTCTATTTAACAAAGTAAAAGAATCATGAATAACATTAATTTTAAATAGAGTAAATAACGTCCAACATGTATATTAGATTGACAGAACCAACTAGAAAGTCAACAATCCAATTATCTCACCAGGTCCTTCATTTTTTTTTCACTGCCAAAAAGTCAGAAAAACGCGTTGAAACCAACATGGCTTCAGTGACATCGGCCTATAAAATGTGTTTACGTAAAGAAGCTCAATAGAAATAAATACAATGGGAACAGAAAACAAAATAAATAGATAATGAAAGAAGATGAACCTTTTAGACAATACATGAAACGACAGCATATCATCACAAGAATGTTTCATGTATGAGATTCGTTTCCGATGCTTCTAGCATCCCTAGACTGATATTGTTTCTGATGTAAGCCTCAAAATTACTCGGAATGTTCAGAGGGGGACAGTTGTTTGAAGGTACTGTAGAGAAGATCATTGGACTGATGTTCAGGCTGTGATGGCACGGTCTTTAGTGGGATATAATCGTCAAGCGGCAATTAGTTTATTTCTGGTAGCATTCCGAAGCCCGCAGCACTTGTAATCCAAGATAAAGCCGAGTTAATCCCAGAAACAATTAGAGAAATCAGAAGAACAATAAAATCCATCAACACTAGAAGTAAACAGTTGGCAAACTTTATCAAATAAATATTCAATCTTCCACTTACCTGAACAAACATATAGAAACACGTAGAAAGTCGCGATGACAAAAGCAATTGTTACGGCGACCTGAGAGCTTACCACAACAGATCCTGACATCGACTCGTTTATAAAGGGGATAAGCTACTTATTAGTAAACAAGAAATTTATAACCGGAAGAATAAAGCAGTTCATAAGCCGCCTTGCTTCACTATCCTGCGTTGTTGTGCTTGAGGATTCTCCCGATCTTTGTCGGCCAGAAAATCAGCTAGATTAAGGGCATGGAAAACTTTTGAAATGAATCGAGGGATTCCATTTCTGTAAAATATTAGCGGCATTTGAAGATGGGGTTTTGAGTTTCCTTTCAGAATACAATGTAGTTTGGAAACAACCTTTCTCCAAATCATCCAAACAAAAGTAAGATCTGTCATTATGTGACGGAAATCCAATACTGAGTGCCGTAGGAAATGTCCTTTCAGCGACTTCTAGCCGCTTTTCTTTCGTATCGTCGTCCATGTGTGTCAATAGAAAGACCTCGATCAATGATTAATTAGGTAATTACGAATTATAATAAAATCATAAAATAGAGAAATTAAACGACAATGACAATGAGCACTACTGTGTAAAAGTAAAACCATCATTCATCCACATAGGCTTCGTTCTGTTGTACTTCGTTGTATTTTTTGCAATCAAGTGGCTAGGTATCGCTAATAATACTTACGAGCTATCATTGGGGAGGTAGCACTTTTGGCTTTACGGTTGCAAATTCTTTTGATTTCGCCTAAACAAAAAAAGGATATGAAGTTTCTTGTCGTTTTTACTTAGAACTACTTTTGTTTTGCTTTTTACGTAATTTTTAAAATTTATTTTAAGATTTTACCATGTAAAGACGAGCAATGAGACTGCGAATTGAAAAACCTCGTAAATTACTCACATAATCAACTTGGGTTCAAGGAAGTAAGAGTAATCAGTACTTAAATTATATGTACATCTTGTTTTTATTTAATTTTTTTAAAAACCGTTTTACCTAGCTTTTCTCAATGAAAACTCAATCTAGGAACACCATGAACTTCACGCAGGATGTCTGGTTACTCACCACTTGGCTACCAATTTCAAAGCAACAAAAAAATACTTCAAGTTATAGAATCATAGGACAATAGAGTTAGTGAAGTTGCAACTCTCACACTTTTTGTAATACGACTGGAACAAGGGCGAAGAAAGTCTTAATGTTAGTTTCATTTAGTACTTCCAAATTTTTTTCATTCCCTTCTTTCCAAAGACCGTTATTATTTTAGTATTCGCTAACATTTATTGTTTTTAATCTATAATAAGCTTATGCTTGTTCGTCCATTTTTATTTTCAAGACCTAAAGAAGCCTTTGTGAAAGTTTACACTTGTTGAGGAGGCTAAAATATTTAATATTAGTGAAGTAAAGTAACCTGAAAACATTACTGGAAAATGAAAGCACCATTGGTATTTTCATGAAAACTAATGCCTCTTGAAATGTATACTTTTATAAAAAAATAGCATGAGCAAAATCATTACCATCATATTATGAAAATTCTACTCAAAAATAGATTGCAAAGTTAATATGAAGTGCTTATCATAAACTTACGAACTATTCCCAACTACCCGTCTTCAACATTATTAAAAATTGATCCTTTGACTATTTGAAGCAGTGGAAGCCATTGTTTTCTTCTTTTTCCATCGCACATTAATGACAATGATGAGGATGATTACAAGTTGAGTAAACAAAACCCGACTGACTCCACTATTGACGAACGGATCTAAAAAAGAATTGTACCTTTGATGAAAAGATGATTCTTTTCGATTTATCTCCACATTCTTTGTGACTATTGATCTTTTGTTGGAAGCCGATTATCAATTTGGGACAATGGAAAATTTTGTAAAGAAGAATAGGACCTTGAACAAAGAGCGCATATGGTCGATAACTTCGGAAATTGTGAAGAAAAGGTATAAATACAGGTGAAAATGTAACAAAAGTTCAATATTCAGAGCTTGATTTCCAATCTCATTAAGCCATCTTCTTTACCTTTTTTATTTTTTGGTCTTTTTGCCCATCGACAAACATTAACAACAACAACAAGATGGACGCTATCAACAACAGTTCTAACAACGGCAACAACTCATCTCTTGTCAACAATGCTCCTTCCAAGCCAACTGTAACTACTAGCGGCGCTTCCTGGTACCAACCCAAACCTCCTGCCATGTGGTATGGCAATCCTCCTTGTGTTATTCTCCTCTACTAACTTTTCTATTTTTTTAGTGTTATTGCTTAAGCGACATAAATTGATACTCAGTATTTATCTTTTTGTTGAAATTTCCAAAGATTCTATATGTCACTTTTCGTGGATATCTCTAACTAGCCTTTGGGATACCCAGCTTTTTTAATGTAGTTGTCCGTTATTTATAAAATCTTTTTTTGAATTAAATTGATGTAAACTTTGAAGTTTTTACCACTCACTTAAAACAACTTGAAAATCAGTGTAAGGTTGGATCATCTAAACATTGCTCATAAAGTGGTACTAGACTATGACTCTGATTTATCTTTTGTACAATCTTCAGGTTGGACTTGACCCATGCTACTTACTTACGTTCCACTTTGTTTTTATTCCATTCCATTTTTATTTATTGTTTTGCTCATTTCTATATAAGCGCATTAACATCTAAAAATTATTAAAAGTTCTGTTGAAGAAGAGAAAGGGGCAGGCCCACTAAAAATATTAAATCTCATATGCAATCCAAATAGAATCAATACAGCAAATGAGGAACAAGGAAAACTTTTGATGCGTACGTTTATCCTGCAACGTCGAGTGTTTTCCTCGGTTTTTTTTTTTTTTTTTTAAAATAAATTAAACTCGTTTGAATCACTTTTTCTTGGGGATTATCTTTTTTATCGTAGACTTGAAGAAAGCATAAAGTTCGTCTTCTTCTGTGTCGTCGTTTGCTGAACGATTCGAATAAAATCTTCGACCATGATCCAAATTTACCACGGAAGGTTTCTTCCAAAAAGGTCCACGATAATAAATCTTCGCCGCACAATAAATAATAACAATAAGGACAATAGACAAATAAGTAGCGAAGAAGTTTCTAGCACTGCTTGGCTTTCCTAGAGGCCAAACAGCGAGATAAAATTCAATAATGCAAATCAAAATACACCAAGAAATCCCCCAAATCGCACTGAAGGGATAAAACTTTGACTTCCAGGGCAACTGATCTGCCGAGAACCCTTGAACTTTCCATGCTTTTCGAAAGCGAAGGTGAGCTAGGAAGATGCAACCCCAGGAATACAATACACAGAGAGACACCAAACTTTCAAACCACTGAAACACGGTAGATCCAGTTTGGTTTACGTTTAAATATGCTAAACCACCGGAAATCAGAATGGTGAACAGGAAACCATAGAGTGGTCGTCCTTGACGATCGCAACGTAAAAACCATTTGGGAGCCATCTTCACTTCAGCAAGACCCACGAGAATTCTTGGAGCCGTATATACTTCAGAATTAGCGGCAGAGAAAACGGAAATAAGGATGATGGCATTCATAGCATGACTAAGTCCAGGAATGCCGGCATTTCGAAATGCGATGACAAAAGGAGAGGCGTCAGCACCTTTTCCGCCAAATATATCGGGAGAATGAGGAGATATGATGATGGTAACCATCAATATACCAATAATGTAAAACAATCCAAGACGAAGCCAAATTGAGCCGACGGATTTGGGAACCGACTTTTTGGGATTTTTTGCTTCCGCGGCAGCAATGCCCACCAATTCTATACCGGACATGGAAAAGACAGCATTCGGCATAACGTTGAGGAAACCCTTAAAGCCATGTGTAAAAGGTGCTTCACGCCAATACCGGAACCCAATACTACTGCCCTTGGGGCCACCACCGGCAGAAATAACGATGGAGGTAATGATGATGATGAAGATCCATGCAAACTTGATAAAGGACATGATACTTTCGGTTTCAGCATACACCCGTACTGGGAAAGCATTCAAAACAACCAAGATGAAGAGAAAAATGGAAATCCATCCTGCTGGCGGTACCTTGTCGGTCCAAAACTGCATAACAGTAACGAGACCAGCGAGCTCTGTTGGAATGCCCAAAGTATACAACAACCAAAAGGCCCATCCGTGAGAAATTCCGATGGAGTGATCAACCAAATTCTGACTCCACCGTGGAAAAGCCGACGGGACTGGATACATAACTGTGAGTTCACCAACCGACTGCATCAAGGCCCAAGCAATAGAAGCAGCAATCCAAAAACCAATCCACATCCCAACCGGTCCAGCAGTTGTCAGATTGGCACCGGAACCTAACCAAAGAGCTGTGCCAATGGCCGTTCCAAGTGAAATCATATACAAGTGTCGAGAGCTCAACTTACGTTTCAATCCTGAATCCGCTCCATAGTCTCCTTCGATCCCAGCTTCACTTGACCGAGTACTACCGGACAGTCGACGCTCTACCGTTGACAGTTTTTTCTCCTGGTCGTCAACTTTTGGATCCACATCCTTCTCATCCCATCCTGTGGCCGTCGATTGCATGTCTGTTTCAAGACACGAAAAAAACGGTGATTCTAGTGATGTGTGTGTGTTTTGGTTATCTCCACACCTCTGTTCACGTTTGGGGGTTCAAACGTTTTTCTAGTAATTTTATCATTTTGATCATGATGTGCGATCTCTGAGGGATTGAAAATTTTGCCAACAAATGCTGCTCAATCACGTAATAATTCCCGGTGGCTATCAAATCTTCTATTATAAACCTGTTAAGATTATATACACAGTATGGGAAGTAACATTGGGTTCATTTAGGCCAATGGAAACCCATGGCTATTTTTGTGTGGTGTTTTAACAGTGTTACTATCTTGACTCATCTTTTGTCGTTAGTTTTCATTACTATTAGTGCGTCCTGTCTTGTTTGGTGACTTGTTTAGTGTCTTGTTGGATGTCTTAGTCGTTGAAAGGTCATGTCTAGGAACTTGGTGTCTTAGCGAGACTCGTACAAAACTATATGCAGTGGTGTTTGTAGTTGAAAAATGAAACGAAACCTGCCTCTGAGATCTCGTTTGACAAGGAATTCCCTCATGTACTGTGTTGCATCTCACTCATGAGATTGCTCTTGTGAACTGGCATAGAACTGTCTCTGTTTCAGTTAACAAGACACTTGTTTGGATTATGGTATTGGAAAATATGATATCATACTATTCCAAGAGAAAATTTTTCTTCTTATTGACAAATGGTGACACTTAGAAGAAAAACGAGGTCGTTTGCGTGATTTGGCCAAGGTGTTTAGTAATGCCGAAGCTTGGTGAGTAGTAAGAGCACAATTATGGATCATTCTCGTCAATGGTCGCTAAGTTGAACTCATTCTTGAGAAACATCACGTAAAGTGAGGTACAAGTCGTTATGGGAAGGAAACAAAGCAAGGCGAGTGAGTACATTGATAATTGCTAGTTTCATGTTGAAACTTTAATAAATATGATATGGTGAATTTGAGCATGAAATTGAAAAGTTGGTATTATTAATTCTTTCTTTTCCCAAAAAATTGACAAGATTGAGACTCGGTCGGTATTGTGAATCTTTTAACCCTCGATGAAGTATGGAAGCTGATGGTTCAATACGGAATTCAACAACGGTATCTCATGGACAACCAGTTTCTCCAAGAAGTAGTACATTGTATGAACCCTTTTTACAGTCGAAGGACTATGCACCTTTACAATATACACAGTGTACTCCTGAGAGTGGGTTTCCTGTCGCTTATGGAAATGCAACAGCGTCCTCAAAGGAGGAGAAATTGATTAGTGCTGAGCAATTAGAAGATGGAATAGAAGGAGGAGGAGGAGGAGGAGGAGGAGGAGAAAGGAAAAGAGAAAGTAGCGTAGGAGATGACTGGAGGGGGAGTTTGTCAGATTTGTCTATACAGCAGATGAGTTGTTCTCCCAACGAAGCGACATTGAGGAGTTCTTTTGATGGAGTCGTTGGGGTTGTGGAAGACAAAGAAAGGCGAAGAAGAAACACTCTGGCTAGCGCTCGGTTCCGACAACGAAGAAAAGCCAAAGAGCAATACCTTGAACAAACCGTACAGGAATACGAAAAGAAAATCAAACAATTGGAACAGAGGATTTACGAACTAGAACTAGAAACAAAATGGTTTAAAGATTTAATCCGTCCTGTCCGTGTTGGAGATGTGGGAAATGCAAGAACAAAACCTAGTATTTAATATGTGCACGTTTTTCTTATTTTGTTCTCTTTTGTCGTTTCGTGTCCAGGCGTTTCGGAAATTTACATTACGAATCTTATGACAGACCGATCTTTTTTTTTTATTTAATGTTATTCTTATGCTAATGTGAACAGTATATGATTCTTTCGCTACATTGCTTATGACCTTGGCCTTTTTCATGTATTGATGTGTATGTAGTGAGTGTGTTCGAAATATATGTATTGGAGAGAAAGTTATCGTTTCCAAATTTATTTTTCTTCTTTTTCTCTTGTAACATCCTACTTACTATTTAATGTATACTATTTTGACTTTTGCTTTTTCAATCCCCTTATTTTCATCTGAAAGTTACAATTCTATACAAACCTCTCTAGTCTAGTGTTGCACTTCAGTTTAGCATACTGGTTTCGTTTGCACTTAATGCGCCAAAAAATAAATAAATAAACAAAAATTGGGTTCCTGTAAGCGACGCAATGTTCAGTTTAGTAAAACAATTTTTCTGTAAATGGCGAAGTAAGAGCATTTTTTCCAAAACAATCAAAAAACTTTGTAAAAATTGGTTTTATTTTCCTGCTTCTGAAAGAAATATGGCGTAATTCTTTGTAGAATTCAGCAACACTTTCTACCAATCTTTCTCATTGCTCTATCCTAACCTCGCGGCTTACGTGCTGCTTGTCCTAAGATCGCGTAATATGTTGCTTGTTGTACAAGATGAAATAACTAGTCATCCAAACATGCATAGATGTATATAAATAGAGGGTGTAGTCTTGTACTGAGGTAGTACATAATTAAATCATTGATTCTATTGAAAGCTACAGAAAAGAAAACGAAAAACCTCAAACCTCGAGTCCGGTTTTTTTCTTCCCTTTGGTTTGTTTTTCTAGTCCTAGCTAAAGTAACAGTTTCCGAACCGAAATTTTCTTCGTCTAGTTTATTAGAATTCCTTCTTTCATTTCTTTAATTTCTTTCTTTTTTTTTTTATGAACTTTGACTATTGCATTGTCTGTGGAAATGATACCGATGACCATTTGTACTGTTGCGATCAATGTAAAGCCCATGACTCTACAGAGCACAGAAGATCGACCGACCAAAGAATGTCAGTGGAGCAAAACTTTCAACTGCTCTCTATGGAACACTTGAGTTACTTTTGCAAACGACCAACAGTTACTCCTCAGTTGGTTCGTGTTGCCATGTAATTGAGATTGAAACGATTGTCTCGTAATAATATCGGATGGGTTCATGTAATATGAGATGTAACAATGGAAATTCTCATTCAAGACAAGCCGTGTTTCCAAGTTCTTTGAAAGACCATAAAAGAACATATATATACATATGACGAAACGGGGAATCATGAAATACGAATCGAGCAGTTACAATACGCCTGCGCTTGTTTGAATCTGCCCAAATTGACATGTCTTTGTCTTTGTCGCTCAGCTCATGGTAAAGGCTATTTACTTTTTGAATTTTTTCAATACCAAGTTTCCATTGACGAGTTTGATTAATCCTTGCATTTTTATTTTATTTTATTTTATTTACTATTACTGTTATTATTAATTATTCTTTTTTAGTCACAAATAGCCTCCATACAAAATAAAAGATGCTTTCTTCTATTTCTATATACGAAATTGTAAATACAAACATAGAAACACTTTTCGTATCCATAGACACGATCACCTTGAACCTCTTGCTCATTAGCCAACTTGCACGTCTTCTTCCTCAACACATTCTTACCCAAGAGTCACCAAACTATTGATCTCAATGTTTAACAAAAGCAGCCATGTAAACAAACAAACAAACAAAAAAAACCGTCTTTCTTATATCTTATCTATTCCCCTCCCCGATCAGTCCCTACAATTATCTCGTGATATACCGTGACTGCATAAACCTTTAATAACAAAAAAAAAAAAAAAAAAAAAAGAAAACAAAAAGAGACACGTGATAACCATGGATAAACTTTCTTTCTTCAATCGCAAATCACATAATATGAAATAGCAAAGACGCGATAAAATTAAAAAGTTTGCAATATCTGTTTCACAATTTAAATCACAAATTTCGTCGCGTGTATTGTCGCGTGTATTATCGCGTTTATTAAAATTATATAAATATCCTTTGGATGCTAACAAAGAAGAAAAACTGTCTTTTTCATATTTAAATAAAGAAAAACAGATGTTTAAAGCTGACTCCAAATTGGAGGTTACGAATTCATCGTTCTCCTTAGATTCAGAACAGGACGATGGATCAAAAAAGAAAGATGAGAAAGATTTGTACTCTTCCTTAACAGATATTAAGGAAGAAAAAATATGGGAAGAAGAGGAAAAAGAAGAAAATTTAGATGACGACCTAAAAGACTTGCCTGTTGAGGTTCGAGAAACAGTGAGTTTGGAAGATGACCCTACAGAACCAACATTAACATTTCGCTATTTTTTAATGACTTTAATATTTATCCCTCCCGGTGCATTTTTAGATACCATGAGTTCTTACCGTACAAGTTCTGCGGCCTACAGTGTGTTTTTTGTTCAAATCGCCAGTTACTGGTTGGGAAAGTGGCTCGCAAAAGTATTACCCAAAAAGAGGGTTCCTCTCGGAAGACTCAGCTTCAGTTTGAACCCTGGTCCTTTTTCTATCAAGGAATGCGTCTTGGTCACCCTCTCGGCTGCATCAGGTGCCACTGGCAGTCAAGGTACCACTAGTATTTCTGTTGCCGAGTTATTTTACAATGAAAAGGTGAACCCAGCAGTCGCAATCTTTTTCATGTGGGCAATCGTATGGACTGGATATTCGTTTGCTGCTATTGCGAGAAATTTTTTGTTGTATGACCCCCAATATCAATGGCCTCAGGCCCTTATGCAAACATCACTTTTTGAAGCATTTCGTAAAAGCGACGAAAACTCAAAATTGGCTGCCAAGAAAATGCGAGTTTTCTTTATTGGATTGATAGGATTGACCATTTGGCAATTCTTCCCTGAATATATTTTTCCTATGACTGGGTCTTTGGCATTTTTGTGCTGGGTAGCCCCAAGAAACAAAGTAGCCAATTTCATTGGATCAGGTATGGCCGGCATGGGTTTCTTGAATTTTACCCTTGACTGGAGTAATATCACATCAAGTATTATGATCATGCCTTATTGGACCCAAGTCTTGAAGTTCTGCGCATTTGTTCTTGGTGCTTGGATCCTTCTTCCCGCGGCCAAGTGGGGAAATCTAGGATCATTCAAGCATGGGTTAATGTCCAACAACTTGTTCTTAAAGAATGGTACCGTATACCCAGCAACTAGATTAATGACGAGTAACTTTACATTTAATGAGACAGCCTACCAAGAATTGGGTCCTGGATATATGGGTGTCCAAAAAATTTGGATTATGTTTTTTGACTACGCTTCTTATATTTCTGCTATTTCTTGGATTATCTTTTTCGGGCATAAACAAATTCTGTCATCGGGAAAAAAATTTTACCATCGTATGCGATACGGCGGTAACATTAGCAACGAGTATACTGATCGCCTCAACAAAATTCAGAGGTCCTACAAAGATGTTCCTCTCTGGTGGTTTATTGTGTTGTTTGTCATTTCTTTTGTCATTTTAATTACTATCTTTGCTACGGGTAATATGTTTCTTCCTTGGTGGGCATACATTGTGGCCCTGGGTTTTGGTGCTACTATCGTTACCCCCATGGCTTGGCTGTATGCGCTCAGTAACTTTCAGCTTGCAATTGGTACGTTTAATGAACTCATCTATGGTTATATGATTCACGCAGTTTCCGGCTTCAAACATCCTGCTGGTGCCTCAAGTTACGGCGCTGTAGCTGGTGACGCATGGTATCGAGCTCAATACATGCTTCAAGATCAAAAAATCGGTCATTACATGCATATACCTCCTAGAGCAGTCTTTTTCTCTCAGATTTTCGGTGAGCTTTTGGGGGTACCGGTCAATTACGGATGTCTTCGATGGGTCTTGAACACAAAAAGCGCCTACCTTTCAGGTAAAGAAAAAGATCCATTGCATCAATGGACAGGTCAATCTTTGATCAGCTATAATACATTGGCAATTCAATATGTCTTAATTGGACCAAAGAGACTTTTCAAAGAAGCTATGTATCGTCCTTTACCATATGGGTTTGTTGTGGGTGCTTTCGCACCCGCCCTTTTCTACCTATTATATCGACTTTTTCCTAAAGGAAAATTTCATTTGTGGAATGTTACCATCTTTTGTTCCACAATGTCGAACTTTTATGGTAATCTTTCCACGGGATACCTTTCGTCTTTTATTGGAGGAACCATTACCAACTTTTACTTTTACCGTTATAGACACGAGCTTTGGAGAAAATACAATTACATCCTCGGTGCTGCTTTTGATACAGCATTTAATCTTGCCATGCTTTTAATATTTATTTTCTTCAGCTCTGGAAAGCAAATTGCAATGCCCAACTGGTGGGGTAACAATGCTGATTCCGTTGAGAGATGTTTTGCAACCTACTAAGTTTCCTTATTTAAAACTGTTTAATAATAATTTAATAAATAAAATGATAATAAGTACCATAGAATCGTTTTACTACTTGATTTAGGCATTCAGTCATAAACTTCTATGTTTTGAATGAAGTCCTCGCCGTCCCCTATGGATGTAAATGAAACATTGTAAGGTAGTATTCCAATCTTTTTATCAACAATTTTTCTTAGAATTTGTCTTTGAATTACTTTTTTTCCTTCAATGTACACCATGCAATTCGACAACGTTTATCAGCTTCATATAAAATATGAGTTGTTTCTTTGGTTTGTCGAAGCTTCAACTAGAATCATATTGACGATATTAAAATTTTCGTGCTTATTTATCTATTTTTTATTGTTTAAATATGAAAACTCAATGAAGTTGAACCTATTGCAATCTTCTTACTGGACTCGCTTCATTTGGTAATGGCTATAAACAAAGGCATACTGTCACAGATGAACTTTTTCGTTATTTTAAAACAAACAATTCAACAGGAAAATGGATGTACGTTTTCTGAAATTACTTAAAATTTTTTGCTTTGTACTACTTCAATAAAGAGCAATAGCTTACACTAAATAACTTATGCAGACTTGTATTTAGCAAGATCAGTCGAATCTTCCAATCTGAGGATTCAAACTTCCAACTAGAGGTATGTATATATACTATTTTAGGATAACTTATTCTATGAGTCATCTCAATTCTAGACTTATTCATATTTTTCAATCGCACGAAATGAATTTTTTCCTTTTATAATAAGGTTATTGATAATACATTAAGTGTTATTTTATTACACTATGAGTAATATCGTATAAAAGTTATGACATTCCTCTACTTGATGCGAATTTCAATAGATAGTAAACTAGAAATATAAGATTGAGTCACAATAGACTTATTATCAAAAAATTGTCGTTGAATTCATCAAAACAGTAGAGGATTTTTCTAATATTTATGGGAAGAATTTTTAATGAAGAAAACGGAAATCCAATCTTTTGTTTCCTTCATCCGTTGTAGTATCGAGATATATTTTTTTCTCCTCTTCCGTCATTCCATTCCATATTTTATCTCTTTTTTTGTTTATATGGACATAGAAGAATTTGGTAAATAAATAAATAACAATGTTCAGACAAGTAATGGCAATGAGATCGCGGTTTCCTCGTCGATAGCGAGGAGCATCGTCAGCCCGATAAATTAAAGAAGACATGATGCTACCGATTTGAACTGAAACATTATATAGGGATGCGGAAACTGTGCGAGTGCGAACAGAATTTGAATTTTGAGAGTTCCAACCCACCTGTATGGCATGTGCGTAAGGCGTTCCAACAATCATGGTAGAGAGTACATACAATACCCATTTACTGGTTGATGCGGGTAAAACATACAAGGCAATTAAAAGAGGTAATACGTAAAACTGTGGACCCATGCAAACAAGTGTTTTCTCACCAACCATTTCACTGAAGAAAGAGATTGCTAACAAATTGATGATTGTTAAGAATGTCGATGGGAGAACCAACAAGTTGGATTTAACTGTCGAAAATCCAAGACTCTTCAAGTTCAGCGTTAAGTAATTGTTTGGTGGAATATACGGAATATTGAAACAAATCCCAATAGCATACAATGGCCACAAATGATAATCACAAATGGCTTTCCAAAACAGTTTAGGAGTTAACGCTTGGCGGTTGTGCATAGTACCCTTTGATGGGTCATCTCTCAATACCCGATTGACAATGATTTTTTCCTGTCGTTCACTAAACCAACCCTTTTTTCCGCGAAACCAAGAAGCAGTGGTAGTGGGTCCAGAAGGCATCATGCCATACGAGAGCAATCCAATGGTTAATGTAATGAGACCTTGAATCAAAAAGAGATAGCGCCAGCCAGAAAGCCCATGAATACCACCCAGCTTGAGAATTCCGACAGCAGAGAAAGCAGCAAAAATATCGGCAATGGAAAGGAAAATCCAAAAGACGGAAAAACGAAGGTTTAGCTCAGAACCAGTGTAAAAATATGAAAGATACAAAACTACATCGGGAATGAATCCACCTTCTAAAACACCAAGCAATGCTCGGGTCCCATAAAAAGAAGCTTTGTTTTTTAAAAAGATTTGAAATATAGTGACAATACTCCATAAAGTAATTTGTGTAGGAATCCAACGATCAGGACCAACACGTTTACTGACGAGTTGTGATGGTAATTCTGCAAGTAAAAAGGAACAATAAAAGACAATCATTCCATTGTTGTAATCATTTGTAGTCATGCCTAGATCACCCAAAAAGTTATCACTTAGGGCTTGTTTGATATTGGCACGATCCAACTCCAGTGCGAAGAACATAATACACGTCCAAAGTAAAATGAGCAGGTCCAATTTTCTAACAAGTCGTTTTTCTTCTCCCCATTTCCACCGGAAACCTGTGTCGAACCGGTGTATACTTTCATAGGTATCAATAGGGTAATACGCTTCACGTAGGGTAGCATCATCGTAAACAGAGTACTGAGTAGCGGTTGCATCATTAGATATTTTTTGCTTTTTTCCAAAGAATAAGGAGTATAAAGTACTAGGTGGGATAGGTGGTCCCAACTCGTTATCCACGTCGACTTCATCAACCTTTGCTTCGACATCTGTCGACTTTAGTGTCCATGCATGAGGACCTTTTTTATCTTCGTTGTCAGAGGATTCTGAACTTCGACTTCCATATGTATAAGTAAGACGATTGTCTTTTTCTTCGTTGCTCATGATGCTCTCTTGCTCTTTTTTTTTGGGAAAGGGGGGGGGGGTATATAATTAAGAATTGTTTCCTGTCACAAAAGTCCAATCGTTTTCTTTTTTTTATATATTTATAATGTAAAGATTACAGTCTAAAAAACGGAGAGGTTCACGATCGGTCCGTAGTACTCTTCTTTCTTTTTTCTTTTTTGTTTCAATTCCTTACACGCAAGGATAAAAGAATGAACCACAATATCAAAAAACCATTGCATTTCACCTAGTATATATAGTCGACGGTGTTGTATTTTCTCGATTATTTAGATATCTTATCGTATTCATTGAACAATGAACAGACTTAGAAATTGCTAAATTGCTTGTTTTTTTGGCGAAATTGACAAAGAATACATAACCTCATTGCTACAATAGAATGGTAAATATGTGGAGAGAATTAGGAATGCGATCTGGAAAATTGTACTATCTAACGTACCAAATAGCAAATAACGCCCAGGATCGCGAGAATTTTTAACGAATCTTACTCTTGACTCAACCGAGATAGGGAATGACTTGCTATCTAACTTCATAAGGCTATCGCTATAATGGACGTAAACAATACGGTGGGTGTTAGAAAATGAAATTTATGGAGTGAATATTTCGTTTTTTTTTTTTCTTTTTCTTTATTTTTATTTTTTATTTTTTATTTATCTTTTCGTTTTTGTTGATAGTTTTCTTGCTTGATGTGATGGTGTCTTTTACAGTTGTAGAAACCGAAACGACAGTCCTTTACGTAAGAAGCTTGTAGCTCGCTAAAAATGATGTATAAAACCAATGGGCGAAGGTAAGGACGATGATGTCTCAAAGTAGTGTATTCATACTATACAGCTCTTTTTGTTGAATAAATGTTGTTTCTATTGACATGCAAACGTCAAAGGTCCCTAAAAGACTCGATGAAATATATACATATATACCATGTTAAACATTAAAAGAGCTTGAGGTATTTACTACACACGACAGCATCCACGCAGTATGGCTTTTACAGAATACGCAAAACAACTGTATTCCAAAAGTACACCCGTGAACACCTCTCCCTCGGAACCGAAGAATGTGCCCGGAAATAGTCACTGCTCATCTCTGCGTGCTGAGAACTGAAGAGAATTCATTGTATAGCGACGAACATCATACAATCAGATAATCAGATGCTGGAAAAGAAAATCGCACTCATAACTAGTAGCTGTCGCAGTACACGGCTAAATCCATTCATTACTGACTATGTACGTTCTGTCATCGCATCATCCAATTTACCAAATGGAATTTCTGTACATACTGTGGATGTAAAAAATTTCAATTTACCAATATACAATGAACCACGAGTTCCAGTTTCTCTGCCAAAACATGATCCAACTTCTTACTATCAACACGAGACTACTCGCAAGTGGTCTCTGGAAATCGGAATATACGATGCTTATATATTCGTGACTCCTCAGTACAATTGGAGTATCCCAGCGTCTTTAAAGAATGCAATTGATTTTCTCTTTCATGAATGGACTGGAAAACCCGCTGGCATCGTTACTTATGGAGGCCACGGAGGCTTAAAAGCAGCTTCTCACTTGCAGGATATCATTCGCGGCTTGAGAATGCAACGGGTTTCTACAACACCTGGGTTGACCATCACACAAAAAACCCTGGACGATTGTATAAAGCATGGTCATCTTGACAACGAACTAATACAATCCTGGATAGGGAACGGTTCTGATGAAGTCATCCGAGAGATGTGGGCAGAAATCCTACAACTCTTGCAATTAGAGCCTTAAAATAAGACCAATTCTATACTGCCGGTAACCCGCTTTATTATTGCAATACATACGCTTTCATGGTGAATCATCTCAACCCGAGCTTTTTTCTTTTTATTTTTTATTTTTTTTTTTTAAATTAAAAAAAAAAGAAAGTACCAACCAACTGAATGTCATTTTAAGAATCTCATATTATGATTGAAAGAATATCTTTCGCGTCTAAGAGGAAATCTAATACATTAGGATGAAAAACCGGCGACCCATACTATTTACAAGTATTTTTGTAGCGAATTGAGACCTACATTATCTTTTTTCTTTCTTTTTTTAGCAAGAAAAAAGAGAAAAAGAAACTATAAGAATAGTATTTACCCCAAAAATTCCGCTTTGTCTAAAAAATTTGCTGTCACCTTTCTTGTTGCACATAGAAAATAAAAAAAACATGCTGATATACAATGGCTTAAACATAAACATTGATATCGAAATTGGAAAAAAACAAGGAAAAATATTATAAAAAAAAAGGCAAAAGAAAGGACGAGCAAAGGGAACACTCATCATCGGACGTTGTAGCCATGTCCCCATGCAGTAGCGCCATCAATAACAACACAAAATGAAAATCCAATAGCAACACTCAAAATAAAATAAATGTATGCTCTTTTTGTAGGCATATTATAAAGTTCATTCACAAACGTAGATAAAGTTGTCAAACAACCGCAAAACCCGTTTTGAAATCCATACAATACGCTTTGGGAAACGGGACTACAGTGAGTGATGCGAGGAATCATGTATACTATAGCAATGAGTAGCGTACCCAAGAGATTTGCCATCAATGTTCCATAGGGCATGTAGTACTTTGGCGAGTTAAACCAGCGTGAAAGGTACAATCGCAGAGTTGCACCAAACGGAGAAAATATCAAGCTGAAACCAATACCACGGTGAGTAATATCTTTCGTATAAGCTGTGTAAATAGATATACCAACGAAAAATCCAACAGCCAAGAGAAGGAGTAATCCTCGAACAATCAAGTGTGTATGCATCGGAATTGCTCGAGCGAGTCGAAAACCACCAATTTTCCAATGGGTTGTTGACTTTCCTAACTGCTTTCCAAACAACAATGAAGAAAAAGCCATCGATATTGTCAAAGTGAACGTTGAAACGACAGCCAAAAACGAATCCCCTCGTCCTCTGGGTTGAAACGGATCCAGATTAGCCATGGCCGTAAACATCTCCAGCATCCATGAGGAAAACGTAGTTAAGGAACCGCAAAATCCAGTGGTGATTGCTAGTAAAAGTACTGCATTATGTTTTGGTCTAGGAAAGAAAACAGTTTCCGTCTGCGCAAATCCCATAATTATACATCCGACAATTTGAGCCCAAACGATTCCAGTAAAAGGTGTATTAGGATAGGTGTTTAGAGCAGCCAAACCCAGTCGAGCTAAAGTGCCCAGCATGGATGTGATAACGAAATAAGACTCTGTCAATAACATCCCCTTCGCTGTGTAAATTTACTTGGAAATAATTAAAGAAAAAAAAAGTTAACCTTATATATACAAAAATGCGAGTATTATATGACACTTCAGAGTTATAAAAAGACAGATGGTGAACCGCCCTTTCCAAAGAGAACGTTCGTTAAAAAGAAAAATTTAAAAGATAATTATATAACTTGAGTATATTAAATTTGAAAAGGTGTGTGGCAGCACCTTTATTACCCACTAAAGGTGATCATGCAAAAAAGGGTGGTGTTTAAGATCGGTCTCGAGGTTAGTCTGAGAAGTACCCAAACGCCCAAAATTCCATCGAGACTCAAAGAAGTTGAATATGAACAGTAGTAACACTTTGTGAATATAACGTGTCATTACAGCATTTGGATACCTCGATAACAGTCTTTATGAAGATGAGGAAAAGAATAAGTTGAAGTATATATACGGTTGCAATTACAATACAAACAGAAGCTATCAATATGAAAAGCACGTAACTTGAGCGACTTCTGAAGGACCTTCGCCATTTGCAACTTCGAAATTCGGTAGTTTGGTCTCTGTTTGCCAGTAGTTAAACTTGTTTGCGATTCAATCACATTTAGAGTATAGCGAGCCGTCCCTATTATCTAAAATGTATACCGGTGTTAGTTTACGGAAGGGAACTAATAACAACATTCAAAAAGAATAGCTGCGCTAAAAGCGGTGACAATTTCCCTGCCTCAGAGCAAGCACATTTCTAAATACAAGTTTACAATGCAATACTTGAATCACAAGGAAGCCCTTTAAGTTCAGGATGAACATATTCCGAAGTAAAACAGCTGAAAACTTATTTATTTTTTAAAGGATTATCATTCCTCAAGATTCGCGACTGCTTCAATGTCTGTTTAATTAATGTTCTCTATAGCAACTTTTCTTTCGTGTTCTCTGGAAACTCTTAAGGAAAGGTGATAAACACCTATTCTTGGACAATCGAAAACTCAGGTAGACCTTCTATCGGGAAAGGAGCAGGATAGCGCTCATCGGATGTTAAACTTGGTTCAAAAGTCCTTGACCAAAATTTTATAAGGATGTAATATGCGTAATGGTTTAGCCATGTATGGTTATCTAAATCTCTATTTCGAAATAACCATGTACAAGTTCTTCAATATCCTGCCATCTATGAGTGTAAGTCTCTTGCGATAACTTTGTCTGTTTAGTAGTGACAGGATTTATGTTTAATAAACGTGTTATTAGTCGAATAATTCTTATGGAGATATAAAAGGCTAGTAGCAATAAGTGTTTGATTGCTATTGCTTGAATCAAGACTAATTTTAACAAAAGAATCCTCTCTTATTCTCATCTTTAGGTCTTCTTATGCACATCTTTAGCTTCATGTTGCTACCGAGGTTTTATGCCTGATTATAATAGGAATTAGACTTTGAAAAAGAAGAATCGAAAGGACGAATCGACTATCAAAATCGTAGGTAAGGTTGAAGAAAATTTTGAAAATGAGGCGAACCGATAAATAATTTTGAAGCATCTCACCATGATGGATCTTGCTGGTATCATCAATCTTGGACTGCTTGGATGGGGTGGTGCACTTGCATCTGTATTGATTGGAGTTTCAAGATTCGAATTATAGCATTTAGTATGATGAGGCTTCTAGAAATTATATTTAACTGGAAGAGTTTTTTTAAAACTGTCAGATCGAATGGTGATAAAGCATTCAGGGTTGTAGGCTAATACTACTTTATGAATTGGACACCCCCTGTTGACGAATGAATATAACCCATTAGCAATATTTTTTATTTTGGAGCAGGAAGTTGCGGATATGGAGCTACTTTGCTTTGCTTTTTTGCCTTTTTGTGTTATTGCAGTTATAAGAGTAGAAGCTCCTGATGAAACTGAGTATTTACATGCTCTGTCAAAATTTTAGTTCTTGTGATACTTTATCTTTTCGATTATTTTCGCAGCAGATGGTCTAGTATATCAGAAAATAGCATTGGATAGGTACTGGCACAATCCTGCAGATGCTCTTCATAAATTCGAGGTGTAGCCTCCGTTTTACCTATCGTTCTTCTTTTTATTATGTTTGTAAATCTATGAATGTAGCTGTTACACAGAGAAAGAATCCTGAAATCGCGGTACTACACGCTATCCGGCATAAATTTTGGAGGATTCTTATCATGTGCGTTGGATAAGTATTTCTTCTGGACCAGCTTGTTATTCTTCTACTTCGCCAGATTCTTCCGGAAATACCAACTGTGATTTTAAAAATCCAACGACAAAAGCGAATTAACTGGATGCAATGGAGCAGCTTATTCAACTTATTCCTTTTCTTTTATATCAATTATTAAGTAAAAAAGTTGAGACTTACATTAGGTTGTGTATAAGTTATATCTCTTTATGGCTCACAAACAAAAAGCACCTCACATCTTGTGCTATTTGAAAGAACGCGGAGTACCAGTTTATGCGATCGATTTAGTAATTTATTTTGTTTGTTGGAATTGGTGAATGTTGAGTCAGAAAGCGTACGACTATAATATGAATAAAAGCGGCGTCTCAGCTTTTTTGGTTTGGTTTGGTTTTGCAGCTATTGTTTTTTTGACATGAAATCGAGACTGAACTACACTAACTCTACACATTGTAGCTTGATTTGTTGATTCTTACATTCTTCTTTCTTTATACCCTATCATTTATGTTACGTCGAATTGCTTGCGAACATCCGGTTTTAGAGTTCTTCCAAATTGACCTTAGCGTGAGCCGGAGCCCTAAACCTCGAGAAAAATCCTGGATGGAAAACAATGAGAAGTCATTGAAATAAATATCTCTAATGTTATACTGAAAAGTGTGGAATACATCGATGATTTTGTTTTTGTGCTTGGCACAATATAAATAATAATTTTAAGAGGGTTCCTGATTAAATTTTTCATAGTTGTTTTTCAATATAAGACAATAAAGTTATATCTGTTAATTGATCCCATATCAACAAAAGATGAATTTCAATTTCCACCAGCTTTTTTTAAACAAGAACAAGAATAATGATGGTTGACCTTTATCTGGCGCTTTATGTCCTTTGTTTTGGGTGTGTTATTTCTGAAGGTCACAAGATATATGTCTAATATTGCTTAAGCTTGTACTCTTCATAGTTCTTCCTGCGCTCCTCATCTCTGTCAAAATCGATATGATGATCGTAAATTTCCATCGTACATCTGTTGCACTGTTAGTCTTAAAGTAACAAGTAGCAAAATCATCAATTCTTAAAAGTTTAAAAAACCTATATTCCTAGGGACTGACTTCCTAAAGTAAAAAATAAAATTTTGGAATTCACTATTAGTTTTTAATTTGTCAGCATTATTCACACCTCTTGCCTGGCTATACTTACCGCTAATCTAGTAGTTATTTACACTAGGACATATATCATAAAACGATATATTCTACTACTTTGGTATTAGTAGCTCATTACAGTGATAGAGGTGGGTACTTAAACTATACAAAAGACTTCCCAGAACTGGATATAACGAACAGAGCAGGGTTTCAATACTTTTAGAGCTTAAATGTTGAATAAGTTTTTGTTTACCTTCCTTTCCGAACAAATGTAAGGACCCGAAGTCAGTGACGTAAATACAACATCAAATGCATCTTTCAGATAAGTAAATAGTTGTCTTTCCGACTTAACCTGTTTTTGCCACTACAACTAATGATAATATATATATATCTGTCATTGCTGGAAGATTATGTAGAAAAGAATACAGATATTTTAGTATGGCTTTCGGTACGGTCTATGGTTCTGTGAAATCTCCTCGTGTCGGCATGGTCCTTAGTACTGCCGCAATGCTTGGGTTGGGTGTAGAGAACGCTTCTAATAGCTTACCTGGAGCTTTTCCTAAACATTTGGCCGATAAATTCCCCATACAGAAGATTCCTGTGTTTGTGGGAGCCGATGGAACTTGTCTATGGCAATCACTTGCTATTGCAAGCTATTTTGCTAGCTATGATCCATTAGGAATTATAGGTGGTGCTAACGCACTTGCCAAAGCAGAAGTTTTAATGTGGGCTTGTTTCTTCAACCAGGAATTTTACGATGCGGTTATTCCTTGGGTAGCTGGGAGAATGCGCTCCATTCCATATGACCCAAAGACTGAGGAGGATGCCAAGAAAAAGAGTTTTTCGATCCTTACGGTATTCGAGCGTCAAGTAAAGGATAAGGAATTTCTTGTTGGAGAAGATCCAACAATTGCGGATGCTGCTGCTGTAGCCCACTTGTACTTCGTGTTGTCATCTGTAATGACCAAAGACGATCTAGCAAAGTTTCCAGAGATTGAGCGTTATTACAAGAATGCCTATTCAAAACTAAAGTTTGATCAACTCTGCGGTCCTTTGCAGCTCTTAAATGAGCCAGTTCCTATTCCCAAAGCTCCACCAAGTCCTATCTTGAGTAAGCGAGAATAAATGTTGGAATGATGAGAGGATGATAATATATGAAGAAAATATGGACGATTTAGATAATTTTTGGTTTTGTATGAGAGTACACGCATGAATTGAACTGAATGTTTTTGCCAAGCTTCGTTACAATGTACTTGCTGTAAGAAGGATCCGAGTATATAAATAGTTTTCTCTAAAGTAATTATAATTGTTTCATATTCTCAATTTACAAAAGCCAGTGACTGGGCAGATTCCAAACTTTCCAGATCGAAAATTTTTTTCTAGTGCTGTATGCAATCTTTTCAACAGTTTTATAAACCGTCAAGACGTCTCTCGTTTTGTTACGGCAAACCACTAGAATTGATTAAGGGCTATACAGATCACTCTTTATTAAGAGATAGCAAATGTTCAAGGGTTGTTCTTTATTTTATTTCATTTTTTATTATGTACTGGCTTATTTTGTTGTTTACTGTCATCGTCATTTTTAAAGTTGCTGGTTCAAGAACACTTCGCGTACAATCAAGCTTATTATGTTATCTTTGTTGATTCAGATCTTTCGACATCTGAAGAACCAGTTCGTGCACCTCACATATAATATCCATGGATAGTAACTTGTTTTGTTCTATGTCGAAGTCATAGAATTCTTTGTATAGTGATAAGACATTGAAAAAAGTGGTTATCAAGAAAGAGCTTCCCGGTTCTGCTATTATTTGGAATAAACCACAGTATAAACCTTTTCACCTTCAAGGGTATTCAATCAACGTAACTTTCATGCCTGCTTCAAATTTTAATGACAGGTTCCAACACCATTTATCGCGAGAATCCAGAGCTCGTGGAAATGGGCCCTTTCAGATGTTGGATCGCTTAAAATGCAACGGAGATATTGACTTGATTTCGTTTTCAGGTGGAATTCCACTTCCAAGTAAGTTTCCTATTCGAAAGTTATCGGTAAGCTTCCCTGAACTTGGTTGCTTTCAGGAGGACGAACATAACAAATACCCCAAAGAGGTTGATGTCTCGTTTGATATGAGGAACGACGCAAATACAAATGGTTTAGATTTTGAGGGAGCTTTACAGTATGGACAATGCCAAGGTATTCCAGAACTAGTTAAGTTTATCAAAAAGCATGTTGAGCTAGCACATTCTCCTCCGTATAAGGAATGGGATATAAAATTGACGAATGGGAATACAATCGGACTAGAGTACTGCGTAAGGCTACTTGTCGATTATGGAGAATCCATTCTTATAGAAAAATATACCTATCCGGCTGCGATAACTGCAATGGCTCCTCTTGGTGTAAAATTTATTTCGATTGACATGGACGAAAATGGTATGATTCCCCAAAGCTTAGAAGAAGTCCTGAAGAAATGGGACTATTCGAAAGGACCAATGCCTCGTATATTGTACACTATTCCAACAGGTCAGAACCCTACAGGATCTACTTTGTCTATAGACCGGAAAAAGAAAATCATGGCATTGGCTCGAAAATACGACATAATCATTATCGAAGATGAGCCTTATTACTTTTTACAAATGGATGCTTGTAATGCGACTACTTCGGAAGCACAAATTGAGTTGCAAGATGCTGCAGAAAACTCCGCTATCTTGTCATCATTTGTGAACAGACTGGTCCCGTCTTTCTTAAATCTTGACACAGAAGGTCGTGTATTAAGAATTGACTCTTTTTCAAAATTGATCGCACCAGGAAGCCGACTGGGGTGGATTACTGGCAACCCATTATTCATTGATCGTATTACACGAGCTGCAGAGGTATCCACCGAAAGCCCTTCAGGTATTTCTCAAATCGTATTATTTGGTATTCTGAATCATTGGAAACAGGAAGGATTTTTCCTTTGGTTGCGGGAATTACAGCATACGTATACAAACCGTCGGAATGCATTGCTTCAGTCTGCAGATAAATACTTACCGAAAAGTATCTGCTCTTATCGAGCTCCAAAGGCGGGCCTATTCTTATGGATAGAACTTGACAAAAGCCGTTATCTTTTTGATGATCAAAACAAACCTGTCTCTGAAATTGAGTTGGACATATTTCAGGCACTGTTGCAGAAAGGAGTGAAACCTGTATGTGGACAGCTGTTTATGCCTTATCCAGAAAAAAATGATCGAATTTTCTTTCGATTCGCATACTCTGTAGCACCTATCGACAAATTTGAGGTGGGAATGAAAAGATTTGCTTCAACACTGAAGGAATTCTTCAGGTTAAACGAAGATGAATTACAATCATAATGAAGAATTTTTGATAATGGAGATTAGCCTGTTGTCGATGGTATTCGTCGAGGTTTTTCACTGTTACGAATCCTTCCATGTATTAGAAAAAAAAACATATATAAAAAAAAAATAGTTGTGCGGATATTTCTCATAATGATTAAAATATCTGCCAAAGCTATATACATAGAATGATGCGACTAAGAAGCCTTTTGAAATAATGAATTCAACTAAGCGAGTTGGGATATAAGTTATTTTATTATTATAAGCAAATGTTTAATAGTAAAAGGAAGAGATTATATCATGCGTCGTTAGGATATCGAAGAGAATCATAAATTAGTAATGGCTTATTAGCGCGTTTAATCCTGTAAGTCCTTGGCCCGTTCTTTAGAATTTGGATCATAGAAAGGTTTTTCACCATGAACTCCTATTCTTAGGAAGTGACGCGTTTGAGGATAATGATCATAGGTAGCTGAGTGAGCAAGGATGATTCGATTATCCCAAGCCGCTACACCGTACGGTGACCAACGAACACGAATGGTACTGGCCGAAAGAGTTGAAAGGAGTTCGAACAAATAACCGAGAATAGCATCCGATTCTGCACGGGGGATTCCAACAATGTATCTTGTAAAACCAGGATTAACATATAATGCTTTCCAGCCTGTAACTGGATGTGTACGCACAATTGGATGTGCAGTTTCGATACCTTCCCTCCGTAAGTTCAAGCCGAGTTCCTTCTTAGCTTTTGCCTGCTGTACCCCAGAATGGACTGCTGTGAGTCCTTCCAAATAGTGCTTCAATGGATCGGAGAGAGCTTCGTAAGCTGCGTATCCAGAAACAAAGACGGTATCACCACCATATTCTGGAACTGTCAATCCACGAAAGAAGGTTGTGGCAAGAGGTTGCTTTTCATAACTAACATCTGAATGGAATCTCTCCAGATTAGTGCGGTTGTCCTCAATATCAAATGCAGTGTATCTATCGGAGTAGACCACGTGAAAGTCTGACTTGGCTGGGTCATTTGGGCGGGCGTTTGCTCCATGAACGTGAGTTACACCATAATAACGGCCGAGCTGTTGAAATTCATCATTGGTCAATTCTTCTTGATGTGGAAAGTATACAACACCTCTTTCTGCAATCAGCCTTGCTAGTTCGTTCTTTTGAGCATCGTTCAGTTGATTTAGTCGAAGTCCATGTAGAACTGTGCCAAGGTCACGAGAAAGATGCTCTACCTTTGTGACATCTCGTAGTAAATTTGAAAAGCTAGGATCAGCTGAAATTCCTCTGTCGTGGAATTTTATATCACCCAAAGCTTGGTCGTGCTGTTTAGGATATGAAGGCAATACATCAGCAAACTTATAATCTTTAGGAAGAGCAAAACGTCTTGGACCGCGACCGTCCAAGTCGAGCTCAATGAAGGTATCGCCTCTGTTCTGCTCTACTTTCTCATTATGTCCATTAAAAATGGCTCGTGAAAAGTGAGATGAAGTGCCAATGGGACTTTCATTCTTTAAATGCAAATGTTGTTCGTCGTCTGTCAATTGAATACTTGCAGTCGCGGTAGATAATGTGTATGTCATTTTGCCTAGTAAACTTCTCTTGGTTGTATCTGGGTATTCCAGCTGGAATTCTACTGCTATTTATATGAATAAATTAGAAAGTGTATGTTTCAATGATTCTCCAATGTTCGTAAACAATTGCGCACGATTGCTCATCGGTTAGTCTCACTTTCGCCTATTTATCGACATCCATATAATTATCGTTGAATAATTTATTGGATGCGTCATAACCTTTATATGATATTACTAGTTGTTTGATTTATTTATTATACAACAAAACTTCTTTAAAGCAATGAAAACAAAGAAGTTGTAAGACAAAGGAGTGAAAAGAAGACAAAGAAAATACTCTAGGAAACAATCCTGTTATCAAATATGAATATGGAAGAGACTATCACTTAATTTCGGATTGGAAGATTTGACTGATCAGGTAATTACAGCTTACATAAGTTATTCAGTAAATCAGATCCCTGGAAAACTATTACTATTCATTCAAATAGTATAGAAGTGTGCTCATTTTCAATGTTTCTTTATTCCCATAAAGAGTAAGATTCTAACTGTGACATTCGAGACTAATTCAATGGTTTATATCATGCGTAGAATGATTCTTCCTATTTTTTTTTTCATGTAAAATTATTACACGTATACTCGATCAATTACATAAACGTTTCATCTCTACAGTGTTAATCCTAAACTATGGATGTACGTGTTATGTATGGTATACTATTTCACTTCGGAAATCAAAAAAACCAAATTTGCAATACAACGGGGTTGTTCATAGTAAAAGGTTTAATTGAAACCACAAATGGTAAAATTGGTAAAGCTTTTATGAGAAACGGCTTACTTAAATAAGGCAATATGTTTATTGTGAATAGTGAAATAATTTTAAAACATCGACTTCTTAGTCAATCTTTCGAATTAATGGTATCTAAATTCATAAAGAAAACAGAAGAAAAGAATGAATATGTAAAACATATAAAAGTAAAATTTCGAATTAATTTTCGATCACAGGAACTAATCCAGTTTCGCTGACATATAAAGTCCAATAATCAACAAGCTCTTGGAGTATGTCTGGCCTTTCCAGAGAGAGGTCTTTGGACTCAGCACGGTCTTCTTTCACATTGTAGAGTCTCCATTTTGAGTCTCCACCTAAACCACTTCTGAATTTCTCAGTTAGAAACGAGAATGCATTTGAGACAGGAACGTATATAGCTTTCCAGGGTCCACGTCGTATTGCTCTTTGTCCAAAAAGTTCCCATCCTGTAAAATCTGCGTTTTCATCATAAACAGGATCACCATTGGTAAGATGGTTTACCCAAGACTTTCCTCTTAAAGGTAGAATGTCCCTGTCGTTATATCGAGGAAAAGGGTGTTGAATACCCGCGAGCTCAAGAACGGTAGGAGTAATATCCATAACTGTAGTAAAATCGTGAGAGATGCTACCAGGATTTTTGATGATCTGAGGGAATCTAACGATGAGAGGACACCGAATCCCACCTTCTGAAATGTAGAACTTACAATCCCTTGAAGGAGCTGTAGCAGCCAACGCCCATCTTGGACCATACCATATAAATGAATTTCTGTTTCCAAGATTTTCTAGTGAGTTATCATATCTTTTTCGGATTACTTCGGTAACGTTTCCACCACTCATTGGCTTGTTCTCAAGAATAGCTCCTTCCGCGCCATTGTCCGACATAAATAGAACAAACGTATTGTCATATTCTCCTTTTTCCTTTAAATACTGAACAATTTTTCCTACGTTCCAATCGAGTCGTTCAACCATAGCTGCATAAACCTCCATTGTCCTAGAACTGACTTTACGCTCTTCTTCACTCATATCTGACCAGTTTTTTTCTTCATCCGTGTATACCTCAGACGGAGGACCATCACGAGCAGTAGTATATACTCCCAATGCTTCCTGCTTTTTTAATCTTGAGATCCTTAGGGCATCTGGTCCTTCGCTATATTTCCCTTTGTATTTCTTTATGAGATGTCGAGGTGCTTGTAAAGGCCAATGAGGAGCGGTGAATGGAAGGTAGGCAAAAAACGGTTTATCCTTATCCATTTTATAATGCTCATCAAGAGACTCTTGCAACTTGCTAGCAAAATAATCTGAAGAATAAAAGTCTTCTGGGAGCTCTTTGTCAGCATCGATAAATTCGCTTCCGGACATGTAGAGAGCAGGAAGTAATTTTGCTAAATCATCTGAATTCTCTTTGTGCTTTTCATCTGACGGTTTGTAATCCTTGAAATGATGACCAGCACCTGGAAGTAAGGAAAATACTTTATTGAAACCACGAGCAAAAGGGGAAGTCTCTTTGGTCAATCCCAGGTGCCACTTTCCGGAAATAATAGTATCGTATTTTTCTTTCAATACTTCAGGCAATGCTGCCACTCGCCAGTTCAAATATCCTTCATACCCAGGATAATCGTCCCATTGATGAATTCGAGAAGCGAACTCTGCCATTTGACCCAGGCCGGCAAGATGATTGTCAGTCCCGGACAAGAGCATAGAACGTGTTGGCGAGCAAGCCGATGCTGTATGAAAATCGGTAAAGCGTAAACCTTCCTTAGCTAAGGCGTCCAGATTTGGTGTATTAATTTCTGAACCAAACGCTCCAACGTCAGACCATCCCAAGTCATCAGCAACAATAATGAGGAAGTTTGGTGATTTTCTCATATTCACCAAAGCAGATAAAAAATTTATAGACAAAAAAGGTACAATACAAATATCAATTTTTCTTGTTTACCCAAGATATGAATTTAATGCTACATACTTTTAAACTGAATATATACAATAGAAATATGCATGCATCTTATCTACTTATCGAAGTCAAATAAATGACAAATAGGATTATGCAAATAACGAATCCGTAACAAATATCTTTTCCAAGTTGCACGATATCAGATTCCAATTGCTACACATTGTTACCGCTAGAGGCAGGTAGCACGAAATGAAAACGTTACTCATCAACCAAGGTAAAAAAATGAAGTCCGCAATCTCGTACGTAAATTTCTGAACTGGTAGTAAATTGCAATGTTAATGAGAAAATTTTAAAGCTTTTTTATAGCTTCTTTGGAGGTATTCTGAGATAGGAAAAGAAGAAAATCTGCTTTAAGAACGGCCAGAAGAATCTTCGTCAGAAGCTTATTAAAACATCTTACTTTAATGACCTGATCAAACAGGTTAAGTGCTTGATACTCGTTTTTTTTTTAGAAAAAATAAGTTCAGTAAAAAGAAAAAGTATCTATAATTTTATACCTCTGGCGGTATCACTCGTTACTTTACAATCTATGAGACATGTAATTACAGGATACGGTGATGGGTTAAGAGACTAGTGAAGTGAAGGCAAAAGTTCTTGAAAATCATTAAATAACTAAAAAAACGAAGTTTTATTCTATTAAAAATAATGAAAAATGCATAAACAACAATATTGCGAGGCAAATTCATGAAACAGTGAATGAGAAAAGTAAATATTGTCATATAAAGCTGATGCTTACTCGCGTGATTGAAAATGCAAAAGCTTCATGGATTGTAGTTGGTTTGGATACTTCCAAAGAAAATGCGAACCAAGTTCGTTAACAATTAAAATGGATGCAATACAACCAGCTAGGATCCCATAATAAACTTTCGAATTCAGAAAAATTGTACACTAAAAAATTAGTTAAAGAAAACCTTAATGATATAAAATAAATAGAATAGTCGCTACTCCTCTCTAGGCATCTTTTTTACCTGTTTTTCAGAAGGACATAATATAGTATTATTATTGAATCCTTGAGTAGAGTGTCGAGTGAATTCATCGTATTTTTTTAGATTAGAAACCTTTTTTGGTACTAACGGATGTATTAACACTTATGTTTCTATTGTTTGCGAAAGGATATAGGCGTTTGTCGCGTTTGTTTACAACTAGTTACAGACATTATATAAGTTTGGAATAATTCACGTTCATTTCTTTTTATCTATTACAGCAAATTTTACCTGATTATGGGGAAAACGTATCATCCAAAAAACCAGCCTCTAACTTCACATACTGAGCAATTTGGAAGAGGCGTCAGAATTCTGAAACTTGAGTATACTGATTTTTGATTTTTATAATGGTAATTTAAAGCCCAAAAGAGCTCCAATAATTACAGTCAAAACGAAATCGACTACACTCACCAACAAAGGTCTGTAAGAGCTGGTTCCATAATTCACAGATGCATAAAAAAAAGGAATTGGAACTTTTGTTAAACCTAACCATAAAAACATTTGAGTCTAATTGTCCATTTAAATACAAACATACGAGGTTTAAAAGAAACCTGGTAATGGCTTTCCACATGTCTAAATTTATAGAGCAATGACATTATAACGTTAATTTTTCGAGCCATATATGTCTATAGAAGTAATTTGAAAGGGTGTTAATTACAGAAAAGTAAATAAAGAAATGACGTTTGTTGAACTATGCTTTATTTCTAACAATAAGTAGGTAATCTAAATCGAAGTTCATGAAAGTTGGGTCGTTGACTATCTTGGCAAGTCTAATATCATGAGACATGAAACCATTGATAGTACACTACCTAAATACTGCGATGTAGACAACTACAAAGAATAATGGAAAAATCGAGTGGTTAAGTAAACCAAAAGTAAATCCGGATTGGCTTAACAACGATACAATTTTGTTACATTTTTCAACTGAAAAAAACCTCTGAAAATAACGATAGTACGTGATTTTGAGAGTTAAAGATGAAGACTGGAGAAAGGATGATCTCGACAAGTGTAGTCCTATAACAAAAACAAATAGGAGCCTCGTGTTGTATACTACTGGTTTGTGGAAAAACCAATTGCGCAGGTTGCATAGCTTCGTTAATCTGTTGTAGAATGATCAATTTGGACGAAGAATGGCTTAAATAAAATAAGGAATGAGTAACGCTTCAATTGGTGAAAGTTTCGGTTTAAAAAGAACATAAAAAAATTTTAAATTATTTATTTGCAAGGGTATTTTTATTTTAGAAAAAAAAAAAAGGACAACAGTAGCAGACAAGGGAAACCTTATATATTATTGTTTTCTGAAAAGAATTGGTTATAGCACACGAAGAGATTCAAAATTCCTTCATATATAAATTTATAATTAAGAACCATAGCCATTTGTAAAGAGGAAACTGATGATTATGTCAAAATATTAACAAAGCAATAGTAGAGATATAAGTCACCTTTTTAGTCGACCCTTCGGCGAGTGAGGTAAACATTAGAAAAAATACTCTTGAAAAACTATCGAAGATATGGAGAGTGTATCGTAGCAATACAATCTCAAGGAATGCGAGAATGTTAGACGATCGATGGAGGGATTGCATAAGTTATCTTCAAAAAATGGGAACAATGTTTAATATGAGTCAATACATTGTTTGATAAACATTTGTATTTAAGTATTTTCTTACCAATTTTTGCGAATGTGCTTAATCTGTAATGTGAATAAAACTTTTTTTATAATTTTAATATAAACAATGAAAAGCTTGTTTCATCAAAATTATTATAACTGCTTAACTCATTGTTTTGACTTCCGTAACAATAAGAGAATTCGCTCCATATGTTGTTAGGATTCCGTATTTCGCGATTGGAATGCTTGTAAACATTACCGAAACCACAACCTTCGCAGACGAGAATGAACTCACAAGTTTTAAATTCTTGTATTACAGTATTTCTTATAAATAAAACTATTTAAATCTTCTATTGAAATGAAAAACCAAAACCTTCAAAAACCTTTTAGTGTTGTCCACATAGTAAGGAGAAATAAACAATGCCCGGGACTCCATTATTGATATAATCAACTCTTTAGTAGAAAAAATTAGAGTTAGAGTACTAAAAAGAAAAGACAGGAAATGCCATAACAGAAGAAGAATGTCACTACTCGACCATAATGTAGAGTACGAAGGCAAACAAAACGCCTGACTCTTGCCTCCTACATAACCATATTTACCAAATTTTCAACGTAAGTTTCAATTTTACTATTACGAAATATTCTACAATTATAGTAAATGTATGGAGGATCATTTGGATGATGTTGATGTAACTCAGCTGACACTTCCGAGTGGCCTATTTCATCACTTTTAAGTCGCGATATATAAGAATGTGCATCTAAGCATCTGAAACACATTTATCGTTCTTAAACTTCGACAAATTCAAATATGCCTTTGCAATACGTTATAAGGGACAAAAATGGTGGCTTTGATCAATTAAAAGCCGAGGATGACAAACAAGTACATGGCCTAAAACCAAACGAAGTTCAAGTAAAACTGAAGGCAGCTTCTCTTAATTACAGGGATCTAACGATAGCAAATGGTGTATACCCTCAAGCTTATAACTTACCAGTCGTTCCTGGCTCTGATGGTGTGGGAATTGTCGAAAAAGTTGGCGAAGATGTCAAAGGCTTAAACATTGGAGATACCGTACTTGGGAACTTTTTTACTGATTACATCGATGGAAGTCCCACCGGACATGCTTTATATGGAGCACTTGGTGGTACATATAACGGTACTTTTCGTCAGGTCGGAGTCTTCCCTGCTCATATTCTCGTTCGCGCACCTAAAAATTTAAACTTTGTAGAATCGTCTACTCTTCCTTGCGCAGCCCTAACTGCATGGAACGCTTTATTTGGATCTAACGAACACCAATTGAAACCAGGTCAAAATGTCTTAATTCAAGGCACTGGCGGTGTGTCTATTTTCGCACTCCAATTCGCTGTGGCCACTGGGGCTCGTGTCACCGTCATTTCTTCTTCCGATGAGAAATTACAGATCGCCAAAAAGTTGGGTGCTACCAACTTGATCAATTACAGGACGAACCCGGAATGGGCCAAACCTGCTTTAGAAGTTACAGAAAATGTTGGTTATCATCACGTCGTTGAAGTCGGTGGTGAAAAGACCTTGGGTCAATCTTTAGAGGTCGCAACTGTTAATGGAGTTATAACCTCTATAGGATTTGTAGCTAAGCAAGGTAATAGCCCTGATATAACTTCGATGATTGCTCAATTGCTCAATAAAAATATCCACATTCGTGGTGTTTACGTCGGACCCGTACGTATGTTTACAGAAATGATTGCTTGCATTGAGGCAAACAACATTCATCCGGTAGTTGACAAGGTCTTTCCGTTTGGTCAACTTAAGGAAGCCTATACCTACCAACAAAGTCAACAACATGTCGGTAAAGTTGTTCTGAACATTGAGGATTCAACTTGATAGAAACGAAGTGACATAATTTAATGAAGCTAATTTAAAATTGACACTATATTATGACAATAAATTAGGAAGAAACTAATCTAGATATTGGTTTGTGACACGAAATTGCCCATCATTCCCGTAATTGTAGAGATCATTTAGGAAATCTTATTAGAGAAAGAGAAATGGAGCCTTTTGTTCCTGTATTAAACAGTCTAATCCTGCTTAAATAAATGAAATAACCAGGCAAGTTAATACGGCAGGTCATCAAAAGAAATATGTGAAAACGTTTCTGTATGTATCATACAAACGAGGAATGTGTGATGATTCTTCTAGAGGTAACTAGAATGACGAGGGAAGGTGTATAGTAAACAAAAGAGTACAAGGAAAAAGAAGCAAAGAAAAGAAAAAGCCATTTCTATGTCCAATTGAGAAGAATAAATGACAGAATTTGTACAAAAGAACAAAAGGAATGGCATGGAAATTCGACGAATTCCAGTGGTGGCCAAAAGGCAGCATCTAGAAAGTGCTAGGCCGTTTAGTTGCTCGTGATGAGTAGGTATAAATTCGAAGCATGTAAAAGTCAATCGACAACATCGACAAACAGTACTAAGATATTTAACTGCTATCTGAAATTTACAACTGTTATTGCTAATCGCTATTAACAATGTCTCTCCAACCCTTCTTTGAATTGCACCCCTTCCAAGACGTCTTTTCTGACTTTTTGAGTTATTCTCCTCGTGTCCAACGCCAGAACCGTGTTGGTGATTTGTCACCGGCCATTGATGTTCATGAAGGCAAAGATACCGTCGAGGTGGATGTAGAACTTCCTGGTGTCAAAAAGCAAGACGTACAGGTTCATTACGATGAAGGAAAATTGACGATTTCTGGTGAATCTGTAAACGAACGCAAGAGCGAAAGCGACAAAGGAAACCAAAGATGGTCGGAACGTCGCTTTGGTTCCTTCTCTCGAACAATCACCATTCCAAACAGGGTGGACGCCGACCGCATTGAAGCTCAATTTAACCACGGTATTCTAAGCATTGTCTTGCCAAAGATTGAAGAATCTCGCTCGAGAAAGCAAATTGCCATTCACTGATTCTAATTCAGCAGAGACAGACTATGAAGTGAATCGGAAACTTTTAACGCACAATAATTTCGAATGACGAGACGAGTTTACGAACACACGGTTCCACTAATTTAGAAGTGACATTGTCTATATTTACGAAAAGTAATTTATGAATTAATACAAAAACTTACTAATTTTTTTTTTTATTAATGAAATAAAACTAATTGAAATACCACGAGTTGGAAATTGATTGCTGTACCTATGTAAAAAGAATCTACAAGCATGAATGGATTTTACCATAAATCCTAGTAGTATAATGCAAATGTAAAATTTCTTCTTTCTCAGTTAGTAAATTTTAGTATTTACATATATATCATTGCAAGTAAATTTCGTTTTAAGCGAACAGTATGAAGGACTGACAATTTTGTGGCGATAATCTTAAGTTAGTGGCCGTTGATTGTGTAAGAAAACAGGAAAGTAGAATGAAAAGTCAAAAGAATCTTTTCTCGCTTTCTTTAGCATACGATTACCATCTTCGGTATCCTTATTAAGACGAACACTCATTAGTTGTCTCCAAAAAACAATTTAAGACTCAGAAGATCGGTGACTTATGAAATGATTAAATTCCATTGGATTACTCTTTTAATTTCAAATACCATATATAATTGTCAACCCAAATTTGGATTTTTAAATCGAAAGGTACAATGACCTGCTTATTTCATTGTTATTTATTTATTTATTTATGTATTTATGAATGATAACCGGAATTGTATGTATAAATAAAAAGGAGTTTCTGTTTACCAAAATCTTCAAATTAATGCAAACAAATGCTTAATGCACTACTCATGTCACACGAAAATTGTACTTACGTCACATGAAAAACATGACATGAAATAAGTCTCATTCAATTCAATCAATGTGGAAATTCAAGGTCCTTGAAAAGTAATTTTTTTAGTCTTGGTAAATACATTATATTAGCCTGAGCATTCAAATCTGGGCATTGTTTGGCCTCCCTACAAAGTTTTTCCTTACTTGATATAGTCAAGGGATGATCATGGGAACAAATTCCTCCCCTCTTTTATGACGAATATGTGTCAAGCGAGAATTAGTATATAAGACCCAAGGTCCTCTTTGAACTTATTGCTTTTATACATTTGGAAAAGGATTGAGTGCTGGGCTCCATTTTACCTATTGTTCAAGTTATTCATGCTAATACTTATAAATCGAAATACGAATAATACGAAATGAAACTTTCATTGTCTGCAATTTTTCATATTACTTTGTTTGGCATCACCACTTTTGCTTTGGCTTCTTCAATTTCCGAACCGACAAATTCCCTTAATCAAACATTTAGTTTGGTGGCCCTCCATCCTTATAAGCAAAATGTTCCAATGAATCCGTTAACTATAGGTCAATATGGATATGTTTACGCAGATAGTGGTGTTGGAGCTGGTAGTTTCACACTGAAGAACTCTAAACTGTTTTTTAACGATGAACACGCTTCACTCGGCAAGAACGGTGCTCTCCTCTTCAAGCCCTCTGGATCCGCAATATCAGGTTTTCAAGCTAAACAAGTATCTCCAGTTGGTTATGAGATTCGACTTAATAATACTTTTCCTGTCGCATGCCCCATCGCTGATATAAGTAATGTATATCAAATATATTATGATCAAGGAAACGCTAGCCACAATTGCATGGGCGTTGTGATTCACGCTAATATTTTTTGAATATTTTCTTTAAAATATATCGGAAATTTCTATCTTCACTAAACTGTAGACTCGCATAATACGTTTAATGTCGTATCGAGTGGTGTCCAACCTCAAGTATCCGCAAAATTCTTTGTCTCTAGACAATCATACGGTTGGATAAATAATTTTAAAGTATATACCATTGTCTATGGTAATCTAAATTATTAGAAATCGTTGACCGTAATATACGGAAATTTTCTATTATCAATATGGCTTAATGGCTGCCGAACTTCTTAATTGGCATTATTTCTATTGTTTTTCTATGAAGTTGCTGCTTTTAGTAGAACATTTATTCTTTTGGTTTTAGAACAATACTTTTGGCTCGGATTTATCTACAGAATTTTGAACTTTCTTTCCACTACCAAAGGGAACAAACTGTTTAGGTAAAAAACTTTGACATTATTCGAAACAATAAGCTTCTCTTGAAGAGTGAAAGAAAAACTAAAACATTATGGTTATAGCCACCTCTTACTGGATTTCCCCGTCCTCTCGAAGTATAGTAGACAGAGATCCCGTTTTCATAGAAAAAATTCTACCTTACGTGAATGAATAAAAAAGATTGAATTATTTTGTGCTCAATGTTAATTAGTTGATTAGTAACAAAATTGGGGTGAACCATTGCAATTAGTTCTTAACATAATTCCGAGCATGTAAACATTTTCTCTCTAAATCTAGAAGACAAAATCATGTAATTCGCGTATATGTATTCATAACCTTATAGAATTGTCTCTACCTCAGTTTAAGATGCTCACACCTTTTATCAAAAACTACAGCTCGGTTGTTTTAACGACTTTTGCAAACGCTACCAAACGTATCATTCTAAATAGGAATAATTACCTTCAAGAATCTATTGTGGAACAAGAAGATTGACTTCTTAATGACACAATTAAATAAAAAACCTATTTCTAGACTTTAACCTGTTAGTTTCCTTAAATACCCACCTATTTTTCTTCCCCAAGATTCAGACGTATAGCCCTATCTACCAGGGTATAGGGTATATGTTACCCCTTCAACTTATAAGTCAATTATCTCTTTTTTCTAGATTTGAAAGATATATAAATAGCTGATATAGAGGATATCAAGATCCCTAAGCCACCAAAACCAATGCCCAGATACCATGCACTTCTATAGCCTCTCAAAATATCGGTTCCTTCATGATTAAGACGATTCTCTACTGTACCAGCAATCCCAAGCCCAATTGAAATAGAATAGTTCACAACTGTACTCACAAGGGAAGCAGCAATTCCTTGGTTTTCTTTTGAAACGTAGTCACTTATCGTCAAAGTAGCAGCCGGAAAACTCATATCCATACCGAATGGAGTTATGGCAATGGAAACAAAAGTCTGAGCCCAGTATGACTGATGTATAGGCGCTGTAGCTATTAAAATACTACCAGCAGTAAAAAAAGCCATGGCAATGATCATGACAAAAATTGGTCGAACCCAAGACAATATAACTCCGGTGATGGCGGCAGCCAGAGTACCGCTGACACTAACGGGTGACCACTGACCAGACGTTAATAACGGACTCTGGTTTCGTAATACTTCAAGAAAGTTCCAAAAATAATATATCCAAATACTAAAACAGCACCAACCAGCTGCTACACATAATAGAACCAAACCAGTTTCTCCAGTAAGTATATCCGGAGGTAAAATCGGTTGGGAAACTTTATGTTCTATATACAAAAAAATCGAGAAACAAAGAAATCCAATAATTAACAGTATATAAACGTAGGGAACGTGCCAACCAACTACTGGAGCTTGATTCCAGGCAAAATTAATGAGTATCAATCCAGCAACACCAAAAAACGATCCGGCGTAATCAAATTCTTTTTTTCCTGCGCACTCATTTTTATCTTCATTCCGTTTTTCTTCTTTAAAACTAGGGATTATAATAAAACTTGCCAAACAGAAAGCACAACATATTATACTCGTTGACCAGTACGCCCAAGGCCACCAAGACAGTTGAGCAAAGATGGAAGAGAAAACGGCACCCAAAAGATAACCACTCGGTGCCGTAGCTCCAAAACAGCAAAACACTATTTGCTTTCGCCTTCCCGGTTGATACGCTCTACCGAGAATAGCTAAACCATTTGGTAACAACACAGCTGGAGCAATCCCGGTTAACGCCCTACAAACATCAAACATAATAGGTGATTTCGCGTAAACAGAGAATCCTGACACAAGAGACCAGATACTAAACCAAGCATAGCCACAGACGAACATTGCCTTATGGCCGAATATATCACCAATCCTTCCAGCGATTAGTATAAAAGTACCAACTGTCAAGCTAAACGAAGCTGGAAACCAACTCAGCTGGGCTTCGTTCGTTGTCCCCAGTGATTTACCAACTATATGAAGCGGAGCAATTGTTTGACCTAAACCTGCTTGTGTCATGAGCTGAGAAGTGCTCACAACAAACACAAAAAGTATTTCATGAATGAGGGACAGTCGTGGACGAATTTGATGATTTTTCCTCTTCTTTTAAAGCTGGATCTTCGGAAATTGAATCGGTCATATTCATTGCCATCACTCTTGAAAGATCAACTTTTTTTACCAAAGTACCGTAAACTTTCGTTTTTGATAACTTCAACTAAAAATCGACTTTCACAATGCGGGAGCCTAAGATGTCACATCAACGAAGCAAGCAATTGGTGAAGTAAAAGAATCAAAACTTCACAGCTTTGGTCTTGTGTAATCATGTACACGTTTTGTAAAATTATGTATTCTCTTTCAATTACAATTTTCCTTGAATGAAGATAGAATTAGTTTGTTTAATTTTCGTTTTTTCAGTGACATTATTTGGCAGTAGTAACAAAAATTTTCTATAGGAAGTTTGGACCATTAACGATATTACGTCATAACTAGGTTTTTCAATGAACAATCGTATTTTTCAGGTTTATATTTATTTTTTCATGTTGCGTGGTCTTCATTTTCTTTTTTTTCTTATTTTTCTATTTACGAGGCATCATAATTGTTTGAGCATGCAGAATGCATGAGTGAACGTGTGATACTATTGATATACCGTTTCGTAGATGTCATCATATAGCTGCAAAAAATAAAGTACAATCTCTGGAAGACCACTTGATACCAACTATAATGACTTTCACTATATAGCACGTGCATATCCTGCAGTTCTTTTCGTACTGAACGTGCAAAGCGCTGTTTTGCTGTTTCTTTTTGAAATGATCAAGGCAAAAGCATATTTTTCAAGAGCAACTTCACTCTTTCGTTTGTTGGAGTGGATTTATGTTTAATTTTCTAAGCCGATGACCAAGATTTAGTTCTCTTGTTCGGCATGAAGGAAAAAAAAATAAAAATCTAGTTGCTAAGCGATCACGTATGATTTCAAAAATGTTGAACTAAAAGAATTTGGTTTATTGGTCATTTTTTACATACGTTACTTCGAAGGTAGCAACGTATTCTGCATATTAATTCTGTCCTAGTGATCTTGTTGGTGCATCCTTCTTCAATGGATAATATCTTCAAGAGCAAGAAGTACAATAGTTATGGAAGGCGAAAGATAAATGTAATTAATTCGAGGCAACAATCAAGGCTTGCACTGATTGTGAATACTGGTGTGTCATAACCAACTAGATAATTGGTTTTGGCCGTTTGGTCTAGTGGTATGATACCATCTTAGGGTGATGGTGGTCCTGGGTTCGATTCCCAGAACAGCCCAATTTTGTTTTTCCTTCCCCTACTTTATGCAGTATAAAAAACCAGTTGAGATCCTCTACGACGGACGGAACAAGAAGGATTCTATGAATGCGTTTGCTGTCTATTAATGAAATAGGTACTCCCAGAGACTAGGGTTATTGAGTTGCAAGAAGCAAATGTAAACACCTTCACATAGTTGGGAGCGTTGTTTCTTATATGAGACTGAAGAACACGCAAGAATGTTGCATCGATGGTGCGGCTGTACCATGGATGCCTTTCAAGAATTCGTTCAGGGTTCGACTCCTGGTTGATGCATTTGAAAAGATGTGCTCAATAATATTTAATTGTTATTTGTTTACTTTTTATTTTATTAAATATGCAGACTATGTACAATGGAGCATCGAACATATTATTTGTTTATTTTTTCTCATACCAATTAGGAACATATTTAAGTAATTCATGTTGAGTATTAAATTGCATAATTTTAGGTATCTGATTATGTGTAAATGGCTTGTAAATATTTTTTCTTCTATTCATACAATCCTGCTTGCGTTCTACACTCAAAAGTAATACCTCTAACTTTTTATTCAAAATGATGATGCTATCCAAACTGACATATTTTGCTTTTATTGCTTATTCTATGGCAATACAATTCAACACTCCATCTCCGTTTGAAGAATGGACAACTTGTGAGGATCATACAGTTACATGGGACTCGGTCGATACGGATCCGAGAATTGCTGATTTATATTTAAGTAGCTACATTAGATATCCTCCTATCAACAAATTTCTTTCTAGGTTGTCTGTCTCTGATGGCAGCTATACTGCTGATACTAAGGGTTGGCCTATTGATGGAGGCTATCGCATAAACATGAGAAATCCTGATAACTTTGACGAAATTTACGCTCAGTCAGAAGAATTCATTCTAAGTCCACCGAGAGAGTGAAAATGGGCAGATAAGCCTCCTTTTACGACTAAGTTATTCCCATCAAATCATAATAATAAGGATCATAACAATAAAGTTAAAAATATAAAAGAAAAAGAAAAAGAAATCCCGCTTCTTCTTAACTTTGATCTTAATTATGTTTCTCAGGAATTCTCTTTTCTTACGTATATAGTATAACAGTTAGCATCTGGTTTTAGTGAGTTTGTAAGTTAATGAAAAAAAACAAAGCCAGTATCGAAATTAAAACCAAGACGCTCTAATTACATGCTATTAGTTCTTGACCGATAGTTTTAATCTAAATTTAAGTTACATATAAAGAAAAGAAAAATTAATTGATTTACATTTGGAAATAGTAAAGAGAAAAACGACGAGAGATAACGGATGTTTGATATATCAACGCTTCTTCAATAGGTATGGTTATAAAATTATTATTGTGTATAGGAAGAAAGAAGATAAATATGAAAAAGAATAAAAGAAATTAAGTTTATGATAGATCGTCATATAAAAAGGAAAAGTCTGTAACATCTCATTGTCAATGTCATTTTTAGACATAGTACTGACTTCCAGGTATAAACAGCAGACATTGATGGGAAGAGAACCAGGATTTTCGAAAAGCTATAGCAGTAGTCTTAGTATTTGTTTCCTTTTCAACAAAATTTAACCAAAACCTGTTAAAGTAAAAATCAGAGCAAGAGGCGGTAAAAAACCATTTTATGATAATATGACTTCCCTTAATCGCCATTTTAGTGAATCATCTTAATAGTAAGAGAAAAAGGATTCTTGAAATGATAATCGTTATGAGAAGAAACTAACACTATGTCTACCATGCAAGCTAGGGTATTATATTTTAATAAAAAGTTATTCATTGTGGTACTACCTCCAATTATTCTCTTAATAAATTAGTTGATAAGAAAGGTACTCAGTTCCTATTTTTCTTTAAACCTCTCCAAACTAGAAAAGGTTTACTCCTCTTCGAAGGGCGTATCACAAAACATTCAATTTGCTTGATTATAAGTTCTGCTTTTGAATTGACCATTTCTTTTAATAGAATTATAAGGAGATTGAGTCAGACATTAGCTGATTTACCAAATGACTTCGTCTTGAATCCTAAATCCTCTGAATTACTGACGTTAGAATCTGTTGAGAGCGAACACATACACAATCTCTAATTTTTCGACACAATATTGTATAAAGTTTTACACTTGCGAAAAGGCCTTCTCTGAGATATGTCAATATCCGACGCTATATCCTTCATTAATCCGTATTTAAATGATTCATTTGTCGCAACTACAAAAATAAAAAATGTTGTTTCCCTTTATTAATCTTAATTATTATTTAATTAATATTTTTCAGATTTAAAAATACCCTTTAGGTAAATTAAAGTTGATTACTGTCAATCGCTTGATGGAAGGTTGAAATGGATCATTCACCCAACAATCATAGGTCAAAATATATTGTATCTTATTTATTCTTGATATATAAATTACAATATTTTTGATCAAGTTCTTTTATGGGATGAATGCAAGCAATCTAGTAGACGAAAACATGATGCTAGGTCTCAGAAGCTAAATGACACTACTTCACATGTTATACTAACTTCGAGGATTTTTAGTATAAAGCAAAATAAAATAGTTTTTTGATTATTAGGTGTACGGTTCTGGCCATTAATCTAATGATCAAGCCCAAAACAGTCTTTTGCTCTTGGAATTAGCATTTTAGCTAATTTTAGATGTTGACACTCCCTGGGTAGCATTGAAAATAAAAATATTTTTTCACTTGACTAACTTCGTATTTTGACGACGATCGAATGCATTAGGGTTCATTTTATTCAGTGTATGGACAACTCAAACAATAATATCAACTAAAATTAATATATGAAGTCAAAGAATTACAGGAACAGACCTATAGAAAATTACGACTGCCAAGCAGCGCACGCTACATCGGGTACGTCTCATTTGTACTTAAACTGAATTACATATATACGTATATTATTCGAATCAGGATTTCGACGAAACTGTAATTAAACTAAATAAACAACCGCTAGCACATTCTTATACCAATAGAAAATATTCTATTGAAACTAGCATTTAACCTTTGAAAGGATAATACAACCACTTCTTGGTTAGTTTATCCATCTTCATCGGAGATGATAGCATTTCCTATGATCAGCGAAATTACTCTATCAGAAAATTAACAGAAATGATTCATATTTCTAAATTAAATAAATCAAAGAATGGATTTCCCATAAGTAAATCAGACGTCGCTGAATCCATATCGTAAGAAGAGGTCGTACCTTCGTCTCCCCCAAGACTCAAAATATTTGCCTCGTCCAGTTTTTTATATCGTAATGCACAACATAAGTCGGATGCTATCTGTAAAGCACTTTTTGAAGCAACAGTATTAAAAGTCCTGACGACCTGTTTTAGTACGTTGTATGCCTTTGGTATCATTAATAAACTTTCTCTCGTATCCATTGACAAAAGAACACAGACTCCATGAAACGGGACGTCTAAAACATTCCACCAACCTATTCCTTTGTCGCATAAAATAAGACATTTATTTAATGCTTCATCAGTTATCTTCAAGATCATTTCAATTGTACTTTCATCTAAATGGAAACCGGTCAGAATAAGCTTCCGATACATATGAAAAGAAATGGATCCTTTTAAGAGTGCTATCAGGTTGGGCTGCTCCTGCGATAATTGAGAAATTTTTAGTACTGTTTCCACCATAGTTATCTGAGACTTTTCAATGGTTTCTTCGCCTTGAGGTAAAGCCTTAACTAACTGCACAAGGTGGTTCCCTTGAAATTGTAAATTTTCACTGTCAAAAAATAATCCAGAATTCAATCTTGAAGGCCTTATAGGGGTACTTCCGATTTCCATAGCAAGAAATTTATGAAACGCCTCGGAAACCATAATAACGTTGTACAAAGGTAAATATGATTGACTTTTGTTATTAGTGTGTTCAGTATCATTATAATTTTTCTGATTTTCCCATAAATCGATATTTGCGCAAAATATTTCAACAAGATGCATTGAAGTACAAGAGGCTAACCAAGCATCAGCTGGGTCAGCGATATTTCGCAAATACACACTTTTAAGTACAAAAATAACAATTTTAGTTATTGTGGGAGCTATAGCCATCGGAAAACTGCCTGATTTCAACAGGTTTTCAGTGAGCTCAATAAGCACAAATTCGAGTTCATTTGCCAAGGAATTGGTATGGGAAAAATACGAACCAAGCAAAATGATAATACATACTAAGGCCTCAAATTCTTCTTCCATATCTGTGCTCCAAGTTGATTTTAGTTTTGAAAAAAAGCTAGTTGCATCTAATAATCCGAAGATAGGATTTACATCCTCGAAATATATGGAAGCGTAAAAACGGCAATCGTCTTGAGACAAGATGTCTTTAATGTTTATAACTTCACTCCTTTTTGAGTAAATGCGGCTACCCAAGTTCCAGGCATATGGCTTATTATATATCGTCGAAGCAACACCCAGTCTATCACCAATGATATCCGCGAAACAAACTGGCTTTTTACTTTCTTCTTTACTTAAATTGTAATTATTTTCATTATTTTTTGGAACACAAAAGTCCCTATTCGTCATCGTATGCTTCGACGAGATACTACTTGAATTGTCTGGTTTCAGTGATTGCTTATCAAGATATTCAGTCTCTAGTTGACTATTCTGAGTCGGATGTTCGTTGTTTTTTATTACACCAGGTTCATACTGACATTTATGACGGAGTTTCTGGCAGTATGAACAAGGAAACGTACCACTGCACTTTCGTTTTTTCCTATGACAAACAAGACATGCTTTTTTCGTTCTGGTACGTTTCTGTAAAAATTCCTTCATTTTAAAAGTATTGTATCAATAAAATCTTCTTTTAAGCAGAGATAATAATCATTTCTTAATTCTTCGAGCTACGGAGGTGTGCGGAACGGAGTCGGCTGGGCACGTGTCATATTAGTATGGCTTACTGTCGTTGTCATAACCGGAATACGATATTATTGATATCTTAATATGTTGATTATATCGTATTATCAGAAATGTTACTACCAAAGTGGCAGCCGAAATTTACGCTGTCTTGCTATTGCTACCTAGTTTGCTACCTAGTGTAAAAATTAAAATGTTTATATAGTAAATCTGATATCTATTGGATTCTACTTAATAAGTTGAATGATTGTTATTAGAGTCCGGTGACTAGATTAGCTAGAACAACCCCAACTAGATTAATTTAGCCAGATCAGTTGAACCCTCCAACCAGCAGATTTGTATTTACATTGAAATATATATACTTTTTGTATTAGACAAACATATTGCTTATGACAAGTTTTCTATTTTTTAAAATATTCGTTGTTTACTTTTCGTAAAAAAGGGTCTCTTGTTCAAACATAATACATTTTTCCGGCCTTGAGAACAGAAGTAGAATTTCGTTCTTTTGATTGAAAATCTTCGAAAGTCCAATAATTAGATTATTTGGAAACTTACTAATTTTTTAAAATGTATATATGTACATATATACCCAAACTGAAAATTACAAATCTTTTGGTAGGAAGATTTGACCAATCTAGCTAAATAAATTGTCTTATACAACTTTTTTAGTGAATCAGGTCCTTAGCAGTTATTGATCTATTGCTATTTATGTTCTACTAATGTAGAAATATCTAACTCTATTAGAGTTCCTTTTAAAATATATATTTCTTCTCATACCAAGTGAGACTTCGCTTGTGACACTGGTATCCACTTATTTATCAGCAAACGGTTGTGTATATGCCCAGAAGTATCTCAAAATTTACTAATGCAGTTAGTTATAATATAATGTTCTTGGAAATACTTTTATGCAGCTACATCTTTTCGCTCCATCTTACAGAAACGTGACGTAAATCTCAATTGGTTCACGATAATTAACTCAGATTTCCAAGATATCGTTACATCTACTTTCTCCAACTGTGATTTCATGTTTATTAGATTAATTACCTATTTTACAGGTGCATAGTAATTAAGAATTCAATGACATTGATATAACCGAGAGTCTGTGAGAGATTATTAAGCATAAGTTCCTAATGACACCTAACATAAAGGATCATATATTACAGAAAGGTCACCACTATATATAGATTCTGAGAGATTCTTTGTATCTATTTACAGCATCTTAAATCGATATAATCAGTTCTCTAACATATGATGCTTTCAAACATGAAATCATATTGAGTCATCCCGATGCATATGTATGAAGGAAATATTGTCATTATTTTTCTACTGACGTTGAAAACTATGTTCATTTATAAATAACTTAGTATTTGATCGCCTTTCGGTTGTCCCAGTAAGTTATTAAATAAGGATAACCCGGCTTCTCGATTTTGTCTGGTAATAATACAAAGCGAAACTGACCAATTTCACAAACCATATTAGGTTCAAGCTATCTTTGCAATCTTGTTCTTTGCGTTAAGGATTATCTTCACATAAATTTCCGCGAAAGAAATATTCGCAAGTGCTTCTCTGCACTTAGGCTTATATTTGGTTGTACGAAGGATCATCCTCATTAATATTAGGGACTATTTACAAAACGAACAGTTTTGTTGGGAACAGTTTCGTAAGGAGTTTTTATGATTAGGCTTTTAGCATTCACTTTTTATAGGACTTAAACCAACAATATCTTTTTGTTTTGTACTTGACCGTTACATTTATCTACATTTGTTTTTCGCTTTCTTTTTCATAGCATACTACTTTCACTTCTGTTTTATTGACTATCTATTTTAGTTGACATATCATTACGAAGTCTCGCTTACTAACTATATTCGCTATAATACTTTTATTACTAGTTAGAACACTTTTAGCATTATCATAAGTAAACATTTCGCACGGCAAGATTAAAATGCTTCCATTTTCGCATTTTTTTTAAAGTGGTTCTTTTTCTTTTTTTTGGGTTCCTTTCCATCTATCTTATTGGCACAAAACTCATCAAGTTCACCTAGTGGTACTGATGCTAGTTATCGAGTAATTCCAACACCTTACACTCCACAAAATGGTATACAGCAAAATGTTTCAGTCTATGAACCTTACCGTGGTAATGAATGCCATGGATATCGTGCTAAAAACATCTCAGAGTCCCAAAAAGGTATCACCGGTATATTAGAATTGATCGGTTCTCCCTGTAATGCTTATGGTGCGGATTACCCTTACTTGTTTTTAAACGTCACTTACGAAACTGAGGAACGCGTTCACATCTCTATTCGTGACTTGAACAGCTCACAGTTTCAGTTTAGCAAAAGACATGATGTTTGGCAGGCTCCCTTATACTATGCCTCTACATCCAGCTTAAATAAGTCCAATGTTTTTTACGAGTTTTCCTTCAATGCTGACCCCTTTGAGTTTTGGATTACCAGGAAAACCGATGGTGAAGTACTGTTCGATACAAGAGGTAATCACTTGGTATTTGAAGACCAATATATTGAGTTAACTACCAATATGGTTGATGATTATAATATTTACGGTCTTGCTGAAACTATTCATGGATTTCGTTTGGGTAATAATCTCACCCGTACATTTTGGAATAATGACGAAGCTTCTCCTCTTGACCGAAACATGTACGGTACTCATCCTTACTATCTGGAACAACGGTATAAGCCTCTTAATTCCAGTAACTTTACCAATAGTAATCAGACTACTTACTCTTCTTCTTCCCATGGTGTATTAATGTTAACAGCTAATGGCATGGATGTCTTGCTTCGTCCAAAGTACCTTCAATACAGAATGATTGGCGGTGTTATAGACTTATACGTCTATTCTGGAAGCAGTAGTCCTAAGGAAACCACTAAGCAATATATTAAATCTATTGGCCTCCCGCAAATGCAACAATACTGGACGCTTGGTTACCATATGTGTCGATGGGGATACCAAAACATAACAGAAATTATGCGTGTTCGTGAAAGAATGCATAATTCTAGTATTCCAATTGAGACATTTTGGAGTGATGTCGATTACATGCACAATTTACGTGATTTCACAGTTGATCCTACATCTTACCCTCGAGATCAATTTAGCCAGTTTTTTCATGAAATTGAGTCTAGTCATCAACATTATATACCAATCGTTGATGCAGGAGTCTATGCCGCAAACCCAACTAATCGATCTGATGATACATATGGACCATTTTATGAGGGTTTCGAGAAAGACCTTTTCCTCAAAAATCCTGATGGAAGCATTTATATAGGTGAAGTATGGCCTGGTTTTGCCGTTTTTCCTGACTTCATCCATCCCAACGTACAAGAATATTGGAAACATGGTATTCAAAACTTATCATATGCATTTGGTTCAAATTCTTCTAATTACATTCCTTTCAGTGGTCTTTGGCTTGATATGAATGAACCTTCTTCCTTCTGTGTTGGTTCCTGTGGTTCTGAACTCGTTAACTGGAATCCTGTGCATCCACCCATGATGCTTCCAGGAGAAAGTAGTAGTCCGGTATTCGTTTATCCTAACATTTCAAATCCAAGTAATACAACCGAATTTTATTCAGCGTATACTGCTGTTTTAAGTCAATACCATGCTACAGCAACTACTTCATTCCAAACGGTTCATTCCACTCCCGGCCCCTTGGGCGATAAGCCTAATATCAATCATCCTCCTTATGCAATTAATCAGGAACAAGGAAACCATGATTTGGCTAATCACGGCGTCAGTCCAAATGCTACCCACTACGATGGAACACTTCGTTACAACTTATTTAATGTTTATGGATATACCGAAGGTAAAGTAACTCATCAAGCTTTGAGTGAATTACAGCCTGGTAGACGTCCTTTTATCCTTACTAGATCTAACTTTGTTGGGACCGGTACTTATGCCGCCGTTTGGCTAGGAGATAACCACTCGAATTGGCCCAACATGTACTTTTCGATTCCAGGAATGTTAACATATAATATGCTAGGTATTCCAATGGTTGGTGCTGATGTTTGCGGTTTTGCTGATAATTCCAATGAAGAACTTTGTGCACGGTGGATGGAACTTGGAGCTTTTTCCCCATTCTATAGAAACCATAACAGTCAAGGAAGCAGCCTTCAGGAGCCTTATCTTTGGGGTTCTGTTGCTGAAGCTTCCCGTCGAGCAATGAATATTCGTTATTCTTTATTGCCGTATTGGTACACCCTACTTAATCAGGCATCTTCTGAAGGGAATACAATCGTAACGCCGCTTTTTTTCGAATTCCCAGATGAGCCCCATTTGGCTGAAGCCGATCGTCAATTTATGGTTGGTGACGCTTTGTTAGTAAGTCCTGTTTTGGATCCAAATACAACGAAAGTTAATGGTGTCTTCCCGGGTAACGAAAGCACGGTTTGGTATGACTGGTATAACCATACCGCTATTGAGCATAAACCCTATGAAAATAAGACAATGGATGCTCCTCTTGAACACATCAATGTTGCTATTCGTGGTAGTAAAGTTATTCCCATGCAGCAGCCTGCATACACTACTGAAGAAACTCGTGAAAACCCTTTCAACTTGCTTGTAGCTCTTGACAAGCAAGGAACTGCCCGTGGGAGTTTATACGCTGACGACGGTGTCTCTGTGACTCCTAACGCTACGCTATGGGTTGACTTTTCAGCTAAATCCAATGAGTTATCCAGTGTCTCTTTCGGTAACTACAACGTACGAGTACCATTGGCGAATGTTACAATTCTAGGAGTTTCGTCTTCTCCCAAGCAGGTCCAATTCAATAATGAAGCAGTCATGTCTTACAACTATATAAATGAAACAAAGGAATTGATAATTACTAAACTTGAGAATTTTACCTCAATTGGCGCATTTGCAAAAAATTGGACAGTCTCATGGTGAAGTAAAGTTTTATACTCCTCATGGGATAATAGAGTACTGAGTTACTTGACTAATGCTTTATTATTGTCATATTCCATGCTCGCTTAAGCTTATAACTTAAACTTCTTGTTTTAAAAAAAAAATTAAAAAAAAAAAAAAAAAAAAAAAAAAATAAACTCTTAAGTTTTTTATTTTTTTTCAACGATCCGGAAACTTTCTTATGCTGTGTCCCACGCCCAAACTAGAAACTATAATTTCTGTTTATAGTTTGAATTCTTCCTGTTCCTACCTTCATCTTCATTTCTAAAAGAGGGAATCTGGAAAATAATTCTAAGCTTATATCTGTTTTGGTCTTACCTTTGAACGTGAAAGCACTTATAAATGCAAATCAATACTACGTCTATCATAATTATTAATCAAGCGAATAATTATTTACATGAAATTGTTTGAGATATTTGGTAATGTGTGGAACTTGATAACTTTAGTGTGATTGTTTCAAGGATGAAGTATCCATAATAATTATAATTTTCTTCTTTTTTATAAAATAAATTTGTGAATGGTTTTAACATACGACTTACACTATATCTTGGTAAGCACTGAAGCTTTTACATGTAGTCTTCTGCTATTGGGATACTTAGAGCGTAGTTGGTCAAATAATTATTTTCTAATACGTTAAAAACTATTTAATCATTTGAAATAGTAGATTTCTTAAATTTTAAAAATGAGTTTTTCGGGAATAAATACTTGAAAAAATTGCCTCTAGAATAAATATATTTAACAGACTCTTGTTATATTTTCGAATTTTCCGAGTTTATGATTTTCATAGTTTCATATCCCTAATTGGGTATAATTTACTTACGTACGACTTATATTTGCTAAACATATCCTAAATTTTAAACGCCTTTTCTACTGACCCATTTGGATCATTTCGATACCTAAAATAGAGAGAATTGATAAAAAATATTATTTCAAAAATACTTTTCTGAAATAAATACTTATCAACAGAATTGTTGTAAGCTAGGAGGTAAAAATGTTTGAAAGTATCTCGCTAACAATTATTAGGTATGATCATCTGAAACTCACTTATCTTGAGGTTCCCAAAGGTCCGGCTCTCATATAACTTTTATTTTTTCTGAGTGATTTCTACTTCTATAAGCACTATACTCAGCATAATGGAATATTAACTATAAAATCTTGTATGAAAGATGATACTGATTTTGTGACTTACATAGTAACAACGCTATTATGCCTCCTTTACTTTGTAAGCCTCCGAAGACTAAAAAAAATAAAAATAAAAATAAAAAAGGAAGCATACTTCTTTTATTGGATATTTATTTCAACATAGGCTGATAATTGAAGTTGAACTACACCTTGTAGTAACTGGCATGAATCCTTATGATTAGTTCCCAATTTTGTACTGAAAAGGCGAACGTATATACATCTGACCATTTTTAAAAATCTCCGAAAGATAAACTGACTTTTCTTCATTTTATTTTATTCAGGAAAACGAAAGATAAAATCTTAGAAATATCTTACTCATTTGCAATACATTCGATTTCTATCTTTATGTCTTTATCCTGAAGAGGAACTTCTCCAGCACTATATATAAAGTTAACTTTTTTTTACTCATTCCGCGTTTTCTGTTTTAGTTCGTTTTTGTAACTATCCAACTGTAGTACGGGACGGCATTGATTCAGGTAGTAACTTTTTGTATACCTCGTTCATTTCCGCAAAATTGTTGATATCAGCTAAAAAAATGTTGATCTTTATTACTTATTCTAGACTGCTACCTGAGTTTTAAGAACTTCTGCAAGATTTTCAATGGTAATGAGCTTCTGTTCTTGGATTCTACCGTCGATCACTTTCCCATCTCTTAACGCGGCTTGTCCGGAACAAAAAATAAGACCTGCTTAATTGCTTGATTATAAGGTCACAAATATACCAACTTTGAAAAATTTTTAACAATTTTGGAATTCATATAAAAAATAAATTAAGGTGTCTCAAGAAAGAAGAGATTTTTTTATTAAAAGAAATAGGCATTAACAGTCCCTTGGGCTTCTATTTAAAATAACCATAACCTGCAGTTTCTTGAGTTAAAGACACTAAATGGTTACATAAAACCTTCGCCAAAAAGGAAAGAACATTATCAAGGGATAAAACAAGGATTTTATAGATGCCTAGTATAAAATAAAAGAAAAAAAAAGCTATGCGATGTTAATGTCTGCAAAGGAAATCATTAAAACGAAAAAAGAAGGTGGCAGGAACTAAAAGTAAATTCAACAAATTCGAAACGCTTCTATGTTTTATAGCTCTTAGCGCAAAAGTCTGTTAACATACATGGTGGAGGGTAAGAATTTCACCAACCTTTCCAAGGAACCCAGATATCCGTAATTATGTTAGAGCCTTCCGTTATATAATACCAAGGGTACGCAGCGGCAGTTATGCAGGAATGATTGGGTATAATAGAGAGATACTGGGAAGGTTCTGGAAGAACGGCCGTTGGATTCTTTGATTTTAAAATTCCGTGCTCTTGGCTCAACCGGTCCACGTAAAAACTTTCAAATCCGGGCGTAATTACGATACCATGACCACCTTTTGGAGAAGTTTCACGGGACATTGCAATTACGCCAGCATTCATAAGTGCTTCCCCCGGTTCACCATTTCTTCCCGCATAATTACTAAGGACTTCCGCAACAACATAAGCGGAAACATCGTCCTTGCTGATGCAATTTGTAATCATTTGTTGAATATCGTTCATGGGATAATTTCCGGCATGAAGCTCGAGTTCCCCATGTAAAGATGGTAGCAACTCTTTTACTTTTGGATTCACAGAATGTGCAGTAGGAGTCGCACCGACAGATAAAGTCAAACGCAAAGAAGGTTCAATAGAAACAGCAAATCCAGCAGCAACGTTAGCTGCTTGAATTTCATCATACAGGAATCCAACAGCTGCATCAATAGATGTGGAAGCATACGAATGTCCCGCGTGACAATAAAACCCATAAAGGCTGAACAAGGTTTTGCTGGAGAGTACTTCAGATACCAAATCCTTGACAACATTTGATTTATTGTCGACACCAGCTCGATGTGTTCCCATGTCAATTTTTACAAATATTGACCAAGCCTTTATATTTGGTATCTTTGAAGAGAATTCACGTAGTAGCTGCAGTTGTTTGGGATGATCTATCATCAATCTTAAATGTGGTATAATTTTTGTTAGCTCATACAACTCAGAGAGTCTTGAATTAGCTACTGGAAGACCATAAAGAAGATCATTAATCTTTCCTTCTTGTATAAGTGGTATTAAGGAGAAAGCTTCCATCAACGTAGACACCACCACTGCTTTCGTTTTTCCATCACCTAGTTGTAATAAAGTTCCCTCTGAAGTTTTATGGGTTTTCACATGTGCACGGAAAGAAACACCAATCTTTTCTGCTCGATCTAACATGCGATTACAGTTCTGAGAAAACTTGTTTCTATCTATGAAGAAACCAGGGGTAGGAACTTGTTGAACAGTTTTCCCGACATATGCTCTTTTAAGTTCTTGCTTGTCGACGTTCAAGTAATACCTAGAACTGAATTTATTGATATATGACATGTTGTTTCACAGAATGCTCGAAAATACAATCAACTAATCGTTGTTGAAAAGTCGTGAGAAGTGTAGACAATAACTGAAAGAAACCCCAAGGCTTAACACGCCAAGCAGTTTTTGAGTTATTAAAAAGTTTTAAAGTTTTAATCTTTTCTTATTATTTGCAAAAACCTAGTTGCACTCGTATAGATTACTATAGGTTCTTGGAATTCAGAATCACTAAGTGCTTCTAACAGTACAGTGGTTAACTGATTCTATTTGCCGAGAATGCAAACGTTTGTATACGAAAAAATTTCCAACCCCCATTCAGTATGCCATCAGCTTTTTAGTTTTTACTGAAATGTAACAGATGAACAGATTAGATAGCTATCTATTCATTTCCCAATCCTAGACTCAACTTCGTGTACTTCCCGTAAATTTTCCATGCGCCTGTACTCACTAAACGTGCGGAATAAACTCTTTTAGACTCTGTAGCAGGTTTGTAAAACGGATTAGATTTATACTTTGAACTCGTAAACCGACAATTACGAAGACCTGATAGATATGTCGCTTTCACGCTAAGCATTATGCACTTGTAAGTATAAAATGTGAGAGCACACTAAAATTTTTTAGTTGAAACATTTCCTAATTGCTAGGTTTTGAATGAAATTTATTTCATTCATGAAGAATCTAAAAAGAGTAGAAAAGCTATCTTGATAGAAGCCGGTGGTTGATTAATTACTAACCGCTCCCGTTTTTTTATTTTCCTTTAAACACTATACGTATGCTAACAAATCTTAATATTATGCTGTTTGTTAGTTTGAGAACTGACACATGTAGTTTTCGTTCGTTAATGTTTCACAGACTATAGAATACCTTTTTTAGTTCTCTCTTTAGATAAAACGTGGCGAAAAATTGATTGATAAGGAATTGACTCGTCATTCCCTACTGTACAGGTTCATTGACTTCAAATCTAAATTTTTTTGGATCAACCTTGGTCCTTACCTTTTTGCATAACAAATGAACTTGTTGCTTTAGATGAATGGAAGCCTCTTCTTCTTTTTTTTTTAGGATTCTCCTATAATTTTTACAAACGAGATAAGTCGCTTCTATGAAGGCAAAAAAGAGATGTGCATACCAAGAAGAGGATGTTCGTTATTCATGTGATTATAACTGCTGTTATAATTCGTTTAGCAGAAAAGAACATGCAAGAAGGAACTACTAATCTCGTAAGTTTGCTGAAAAAATAATTGACAACTAGCAAATTTATGGAGTAATTGTCGCCGCTTGGATTTTTTGTACTGAGAAGTTGCTAACACAGTCGATCGTGGATGTCAAATCAAACTCATTTGTTTGCTTGCAATGCGGTCGTTCGTTTACTAGAAGTCATGTTTTAAGTCATACATATTCATCAAAAGGATTCAAAGCAAAAGGAACCTAGTAATAAAATATGATCAAACCAGCCTCATCAACTACGTTCAAAATCTGGTCAGACGCTTTTGGTACTCTCGAATGTCGATTGAACCTCAAGCTACTTCACATGCCGGACTTGTAGATCATATGAGGTATCCTCAAATTTCGCAATTTCTTCATGAAACTATTCCATCTTCCATCCAACAGTCAACACGAAGCCGCGAATTGACAAACATTGACCTGTTCAATTCTGCTCAAGATCCGAGCACGATTCCTAATTTTGGGGAGGACCTTGGCTTCCAACCCGTACTATTTACGAGTTCATCGTTAAAGGGAGGTCCAAACGGCTCTAATGATTCAACGTCTTTCCATGGCTTCTTATCGTCAAACATGACATCTCCTCAGCAGAATACTAATGATTTTGTATGTTGGATTTTCAAGCTAATACCCGAATCTTCAAATTCAACTAATTCAGTAATTCCCAAAAATCTTAGTTGTATTCATATTGATTTTGCCAACACCGACTCTCTCAGTTCACACTTCATAGTGGATAAGAAACTTCAGTCCAAGAATTTGATTCGTTATCAACATACCTGTTACTAATTCTGGAAATACAAGATAGTTATTTGGTTACAGATATGCTTTGCAATATTTAACACTTGATTTTGTGAATACTTGCATCCCCACTACTGGAAGGATTTTCATCCACTATGACCTTTTCTTCATCAAGGTACAATGATACATGATGAAGCACCTTTGGAAATTTTATTAACAATGCTCACTATGGGAATAAATTTTGTTGATGATTCACTAGCCTTTGATATTTCAACATTAATATTCTCAATTTATACCCACCCTGACTTCAACCCTCGTGTCTCTCTTTCGGTGTATCAGGCCCTCTTATTTATCGAAATTTTTAAAAAATAACCAGTACGGTTAAGCAACACAATTTTTCAAGAATATTTCACAGCGTGATAATAGAGGCGTGTTATTTATTGTTTTACTATTCCTTACATAACTGCTAACTACTTAGTCATTAAAAAATGGGTTTCCATTGAAAGAGTCTATGACAGAAGTAAACAATAATGATATGTTCACAAATGATAGCGCTCAAAAAAGATGGCTCCATCGGGTTCATGGAGAAGCTACGGAGAGGTACTTTCTATCCTATATCGTTTCATTATAATCAACCGTGCATGAATTGCCTTTTTTTTGTTTGTTCTAGATTCCCAGCACATGGTTTTATTTGGATATCATCCGTTTATAGATATCACAGATCTCGGGCTACCTTTATTATGTGACGGAAACCTTAGGAAAGTCGATAATTTGAATGGGCATCTTTAGTCAATAAAAGGGAGTCACCCAGTTTTTTTCTTATACTGAGAATGTTTCTAAGAAATGAAAACTGTTTACCAAATTAAATCCGTGCAATATGATGATCGTATTGCATGGATTAATTACCATAGGGTGGATACTGAGTAGGGAAAATTTGGCTATGATTTCTTTTTTCTGTAAATTTGCAGAATAAATACTGACTGCCGATATATAGGCATGGTAGAAAGTATTATGCAACTTAACAGAATCAACCTCAAGAATTGCAGGGATATGCTTAAATCTTCTTATAGATACTGGCTCCGTATTTACCGAGTTTTTTTTCAAAAAAATGGTACTTTACCCCATAATCACCCTTATGTGAGAGGTAGTTTGGCTACCTACGAAATGGCTTACATATCACTGCATACAAATGTTACTGCTATACAAAATTATGCTAAAGAAAAAGTATATTTTTCTGCAAATATACACGATAGTACTCTACGCTATATATCAGCTTTGTCATTATCCGACAACTCTAAAATATCTGTAAGATATTCTATTATCGCTCTAATAGATGCCGTTTAAGGCTGTGATATGAACTACGACGACGTTTGAAAAGATACTGGACTCCACAGGCCATGGTGTTTGTATGTAGCCACTTTAATCCTCTGGGCCTATGGATACCTTCTGGTTGGACGGTTTGAAATGCTTGAAAATGAAAATAATAAGTATAAGTCTTAACTTGATGCTTATTCAATTTAAATTGAACCTTAGCGGAATGGGTAAAGACTACGTTGATGTCCGATGTAAGACTTTGCCTCTGTTGAAGTGTGTCGTTCAAGTTTTGGGTCTCACTAAATGGGGATTATGTGAGTTCAATATAATAAGCTATTTTATGCAGATTCTAACAATATTAGTGGCTGAGGGCGTTCATGTTTTATCCGCACTAACTCAACATTGACCTGTGATTCGGAATTTGGTGTAATAAATACCAAATAATTTTAAATGTAAGCATTCTGCCGTTAGGCAGCTAAATATATGTATCATAATTTTTATGGTTTTGAACAATATGTTTAAGAAAATAGGTGTTCATTTAGTAACGCATGAAATGAAATGAAGTCTTCATAAACATTAATACATAATCATAAGAAACATGAACGTTGTAACTATACTAAATGGCTCAAATCAAGCAAACTTAATAAATGCCATCGGACATTTGAGTCTAAAGGTCCCTATACTATTTCCTCATTACTAAATTACTTAAAAAGTTTTTACTTTACCAGTATCTTATATTAAAGACTCTTATCGAAATGTTTGAGAGTAGTATTTCTATACGACAATGGCAAGCTTAATCCGCTGAAGGCTGCCGTAATTCTAAGAGCAAGGCCATAATTTGGATGAAATATATTGAGCCTCGGAACTGTTACCTTTGCTAACCTCTACGGCTACAAACCCAGAATAAGGTCTTTTTATCTGTATGCTTTTATTTCTCATGTCTATGTCAAAAATGAGGAAGCATAGTAAGTGTTATTCACGTAATTCAAAAATACGAGTGAGGTGCAAATTACCGCTCCATTCATGGTAATTGAGACTGTAATCCATGAAATGAGTGCAAAGATTTGTAAGGTAATTGTATATAAAAATAAATAATGGAAGCTACTAATCTTTTGATATAATTGTTCTAACTTCTATAAACTTTATTATAACTGAGAATACTGATATGGCATCAATGCGTTGCGCATACGAGTAACAGGTTTTGATCATTGACCATTTCTGACGGTAACCAAAGGACTTGCAATAAAATGAAAAACAATTTTGATACCATCACTCAAAATAACTTTTTGGCAAGTGTTTGTCAAAGTACTGCTCTCCCAAATGAAAATATAACAAAGGTAAAAGTTTGTACGTCCTATTCGAATGTGTAAATAAAAAGAAATATATATAAAACATAAAAATAACGATTATGTATTTTTTCGTTTCGAAGTTCAACTCTTTATCCTTTCCGTTGATCATTTCATAAAATACTTTACATAGTCGATGTTATTCTTTCCTAAATTCTAAGATAGCTCTTTCTCCTATGCTTTTCAATTTCTACGAGCATTTAACTGTTTGAGTCCAGTCGCAGACTACTTTAGGAAGACGATGAGATAGCACATTACCCATAGAATTTATGCTCAATGTCAACTTTATGAATTCCTTCAAGTAAGAATAATATCTGTTATATCCGACAAGTATACAAAACTTTTCATGATTTTCCAAATATATGGTAAGCATTCCAAAAATAAGATTCAATGCAGAAGAAAGTAGTACGTTATACACTGTGGATTATCTTCAATTTATCATTACCGAGTACGACAGATCTTAGGCTTCTTCAATTAAGAGACCATCGTTTTCAGTAAATGGATGATAATGTTACGTTCAATAACATAAAACTTCAATTATGAGTACCTTCTGGTATTTTACAAGACGAATTCTACTATGTCGTTCCACCAAAACTTAAGTATGAAAACATTACTGGATAGAAAAACTGTAAATTTTTCCCATCTTAATAAATTAATAAATGAACTTACGTGTAAATAAAGCGAGAAAAAATGTATAAATTTTCGCCATGATCTATATTAAGAAGGTAAAAGTGAATTTCAAAAAGAACCAGGGATTTTGTTAGATAACAAGGTTTCAATAAAAATGGAGGTATAGATTATGTTAACATGAAGGTTATTGATTTTCCAGATTAAGAAATGAACTATAACTATTTTATACCACGTCAATTTTTCTGCTGGTAATTGAGGACTATTCTTAAATATCCTCCAAGATAGATGAGTATTAGCTGTATTAGCGCAAACAGGGACGATCAAGAGTTGGAGAACAGGAGGTGGAAAAATAACTTGAGATGCTTCCAATTTTATGACACAGGATAGAAGAAATGTTACCCCCAGGAGACGAGCCTCCGATGGCCAATTTTTTTATATTGATCCCAATGGCATCAGCATTTTCATAACAATATAGTAGAGATTCCCAACCGTCATCTATGCAAGCAGGAAATGGGGTTTTGGGCCCTATTCGGTAATCAACGCTAACAACAACACAGTTGGCTTGTTCGCACATGTGAGTAGCAAACGAATTTTCAGTGCCAATATTTCCAAGAACCCAACCCCCACCGTGAAACCACAATAAACAAGGCCAGCCCTTTCAGGAACAATTCCATGAAAACGAAAAATTCGAAGCGATACTCCAGTAGGGGCTGTCGTATGAATTCTAGATATCACCACATCCTCTGCAGATTTCACTGAAAGTAAATTGGACTGTCCTGGCGTAACATTTTAATTATTTTTTAATAATTTCACTTAGAACATGTGCGTTTTAGGAATCGGAAGATTACTGCTTATGTATCAATTGTAAATTATACATATTATTGGTCCAATTTGTCCTTCACAAAAATGTCTAAAGGAACTTCGGTTTCTGAAAACGTATATGTCATACTTTAGATATAAAACGTGAAGAAATTGTTGAAGTTTACCAAAAGGATCTGAAAAGGTTTTCTGAGTAGGATTATAAGTTTACTTTCATTATTTTTTCAAGAAGAAATAACCCGATTTTTATACTCTAAGAAAAATATCATCCATTAACACCCCCACTGTCTTTTTAGATAACTACACTATTCCTTTGGGTGAAAGAGCCCCCATTTCGGTGGGGGTATAATGAAAAAGATGTACAATCAGTTAAATTTTAATAGATATATTGAATAAATATTCCACGTATTGAAATCTATTTTCTACTTAGTTATCCATATTATGATTTCACAGTTTAGTTACGTTGGAGAACGTCACAGAAAGAATAAATTAGTATGCGATATATTCATTGAGAAAATTTTAATAGGGTTCAAAAAAAGAAGAGTTACTATGATAAGTACAAATAATAGGAAAACGTGTACCTTTTGGGAGCTGATTTGTTATGTCTGACTGCACTACAGTTTACTAAAATAATGCTCGATAGTTGTCCGTTCTCATTTCTTTTCTTCAAATAGTCTAAAAAATTAAGTTTATCTTATTTATATCATTACTGCAATCTATGAATTCTTGTTAAAGGCCTAATGTATTTAGAAGTATATCAACGAGAGTTTTAATCAAATCCATTTCTGTACATACATTCACTAGCTAGAAGAAAACAGACAAGATAATTTAAAGACTTTCTTTTTTCAATTGGAAAACTATTGGAATTGTCAGTTGTAAAAAATAAAAAAATCTTCTTAATTTGTATAACAAGGTTAGAAACACGTATCATCACGTTGGGCTACTAAATCCTGGAGTTAAGTCATTGGACCTGGCAACTGCCTTAAGGTACTTACTTATACAGAGTCCGGTGCAAATAAGATGGTTTATCATCAAAACAATGAGTTATTAACATATGTACACGTGGTCGCCGAGTAGAGAAGTCACATACTTGGAAATGATATGTATAAACAATATGTGAAAATGTAATTATTGTGTCAAAAAATTATTTGAGAAATATAAGCACTTAAAAATAGTTATATCACGGCGTTTTTTTTTCTTCGAACTGTATAAAGTTAAATTATTTGAATAGGTAAGTTAATCTTATATCTAAATATTTTATCACAGTGCAATGACGATTGGCTTAATTAGTCTGGACTGGATTTGTTTAGCCAGATTAGTCGAATCTTCTTGACAGAAGATCTGTATTTGCATTGATATATATATATATATATATTGTATCAGACAACTCTGTTCCTTATGAAAATTTTTTGTGTTTTTAGATATCCTTTGTTTACTTTTTGTAATAAAGGTCTTATGTTACATACATTATACGATATTTGCTCCTTGCCTTTATTATAATATGTTTAATAAATCTTCGATTCTTGGAACAAGGTAGAAAACAGGAATCCATAATCACTCACATGAAACTCGTAGAATTCGAAATCAGCACCCGTTTCAGTTTTCCTTCAAATTTTTTAGGGATGATCAGATATATTTCTATTGGATAGTTTTTTATACTTGAGATAATAGCCTGTATACTTATTTTGGTTAGGAGTTTCCGTTACACCAATTATTCAAACATCGGTTAGATACATTAACATAAAATGGCTGCGTGTAAACATTTTATCCTAAATTAGTAGAAACTAATTTCATACGCATATTAAAAGAAGACTTATTGTTATTCTCTGGCTGAAACAGAAGTAATTCAAAAATATTAAAAGAAAAAGGAAGACAAAAAAAAATCGGTTTCTAAGTTCGTCTTAAGAGAACCTCAAAGTGATAATGACCTTTTAAAATTTTTTAGATGAATTTAAATAAGGAGAGAAAATAAGAGGTGATTTAATGATATTTCAAATCTTTCAGAAAGCAAAATAGATTTAGGTCCCCTTTTAGGCAGCATTTGGGATTATTTAATGATTCTATAAAATGCTATTGAAGTGGTTAATGAAGCCTTATGAATTATTTAAATGCAACACTTTTTCCATCTAACTTAACTTCACATGGTTTATACGTTCTCGAAACGATGGTAGTTAAAAGGGTTTGATAGCGTAAGAGGATGACCTTTGGATTTGCCTATTTAATATTTTGTGTGAGCGAAATAATGAAAATAACTAAATTCAATTATTGAATGGAAAGTTTTGCATTATGCTAATAACTTCATAAAAAAAGGCACTCATAGACGAGATCATCCATGAACCCATTTATACTGAATCATCTGAATCATTTAAATCTCACGATGACTACAATTGGTTTTACAATAATTGTTAAAGTTAAGTTTAGGAAAGAGACGAATTGGCAGTTAATAGTGGTATTTTACTGATATCAAGACCTAGCGATTTACGAAGTCAGAGAGTAAGTACTCATCCGGATGCTTTAAAAAACATTTTGGAAATAACTATGTCTTTACTTTTCTATACTTATTCCACCTGTTTTTTGTCATAACCAAGCTCTCAACGGGCTATTTAACTGACTTCTCTCTAATTTTTTTGTTCTTCTATTTTCTGTATTCCAATAGTGCAATTCGAATGCAAAAAGCTACTTTCATTTTACCAATTGTATGAACTCATCGATTAGCAATGGGATCTGCTGCATATTGATGCTGTTCTAAATATTAATGCTTCTGTTAAACCGAAAAGAACCCACAAGCTTTAAGGATACGATACTCTATAATTATTAAGGAATAAAAAAGAAATAGATGCTACTAAAACCCCGAAAGTTCTTTGGATTATACACAATAGTTTAAGAACCGTTTCTCATGTACGTCACTCCATCGTAACCAACGTATTCCTAATTCATTCTATCATGACCACTTTTCGTTTTACTCTTGTTTTTTACTGTATGTAATTTATTGAAAAGGATTAATTGTTGAGCTTTTTTAAACAACAAAGACTGCAAGTATGTCTCGAATGAAATATGATATCTCTAGGCAAACTAGGTAGTGGTCCATTGAAATGGCCGTTTGGTCTAGTGGTATGATACCATCTTAGGGTGATGGTGGTCCTGGGTTCGATTCCCAGAACAGCCCAAATTTTTATTTTTCTTCACTACTCTCAAAGAGTTAAAAGAAGAGTAAATTGTTTTGCACTGCTGTGCCGTAAGAAGCAGATAAAAGTAATTTTATTTGCATACAGTATGTACTTTTAAATCTTGCTCTTTATATTGGGTTTAAGAACAAATAAATAATATCGCATCAGTGGTGTAGCGGTAACATGGATGCCTTCCAAGCATTCGCTCCGGGTTCGACTCCCGGCTGATGCAGTTTTTATTTAGATTTAAATTTTTTTTCTCTATGTATACGCTCTATGTTCTATAACCGTTTTGTACTTAACCAAACCATCTGTTGCACCGCGTTTTAAAACACTGCTCAGCTAAAACACGATTCAAAGCAACGAAATATTCAGTTGACAATAAATTCGTAATGTCTGTCTTCTTCGTTTCATGATGTAAACGTTGCAAACAAGGATCAAATAGTCGACAGTGAACAGTGGACAGCGGACAATGGGTTTACAACATCACAGAAGTACAAGGAGTTCATTTCTTGTGGTATATCGGCTCCAGTGTATAATGAATGTGAACGTCTTACATCTAGCTTCATTGCAAAGAAAACGCGGATGGAATAGTTGTTTGTTGTATGATTTCAAATCCAGACTTCTTTAAAACTTACAAGCATGATATTGACGGTTTAAAGACTTTAAATACTTTTAGTCTCTTATTCCTAAAGCAGATGAAATATGTATTTTAAGTATCCTCTAAAGCAAACAGTATTATTCGCTGGAGCATGTATTTACGGACATAATTCAGTTATATAAGCATTGTTATAACAAATCTTACATGAATTTATTATATATATATATATATATATATATATATTTTTTTTTGGGGGGTTGATAGTATGTTCTTAAATAATTCCTTTGTGCTATCTCTTGCATTCAGTATCGGACGTCTTCAGTGTAGTTCTAGGAACTTGGTTTTCTGGTCTTGGTACTGGGCTAGGTCCAATGGATATATATATATTGCTGTTCCCCTTTCGTTCCCTCTTCTATTTTTCTTTATTTTTCTTTAGCGAGACTAGAGTAGTTACCATGCATGATTTTTAATTTTGGCTATAGTGAGCTGGGAATGTTTCTTGAAAAGATTTGGTTGGTTCGAAAAGCGAATTCGATCGACGTATGTTCTTGAGGAAACCACCCGGAATTTAGCAAATCCGCAATTACTGCAGTTATGTCAACGCTTGTAGTCCTGGTTATTCACGTAAGTAGTGCACAGTCATTTGATTACCCACCTGAATACAGGTAAATTATTTACGGCGTGCTTTTGTTTTATGTACCATTTATTCTGATTATTTATAAAAGTATCGAAAGGCGGTAAACTAAGCAAACTAAAAGAACATTTGCCATCACTTCAAAGACGATCCTAAAATGGACTTGCAGGTCAATGAAAGTAAGCCGATCAAGTAAAGCAGATATGAATTATATTAGCATTTTGTTAGATAAAGAAAGAATTTTAAGAAGTGAGTGTATGAAAGAAGATTTGTTAACTCGTGATTAACTACTAGACTCTCATTGACCCCAAATAAAAAAATCTCAAAAAAAAATAAAAAAAAAAAATAAAAAAAAAATTTTGATATACAAGTATAACATCCTTCAAGTAGCAATGCTGGATGCTGATCAAAAGGATTGCTTCCTTGCGTGTATTAAAATATTTTCCTTAGACTCGAATGAATGAAAGGACTGATACATATACAATAGTTCATAATAAAATGTTTCTTGTGATACTTCAAGAAAATTTCATCAGTCATTTATGACTGATTTACTAGAATTTATTTTCAAAAATTCGTCAAGCAATAGTAATGCAAGTCTTAACACAGCATCAGGTAGCAATGATGCTTAAATTGTAGGATAATGTCTTTTACCAATTTTTTTTTGCTTTTATTTTTGGTTTAAAGTATAAGACAAATTGCTAGCCGAAGTCTTGATGCATGTCAAAGCCACAAAAATAAGATTGTCGCCGTTCATTTTTCAAAACGCTATCTATAGTACACAAGTAGAGATGACATAAAGTAAGTCATCTTATGGAAAGCAAAAAAGTGAATCGTACATGTACCTAGAAATCAACCCGGGATCTGAGAACTCGTAGCTTTTATGGTATGTCCCCTTACTTATATCAGAAAATCATCGATAAAGATTTAGGTAGATGTAATATAAAAATCTCAAAATATGAAAGTAGTTTTAGTTAAGAAATAAATAAATAAAAGAGAAAGTCATAATTAAATTTCTATCTATTAGAAAGCAAACTTAACGAGAATTTGGAGATCTAACGATTCTCGTCATTTAATTCAAATAATAAAGGTTTACTGCATGAAGAAAGAGAATAGTAAGAGTATATAAATCTTTTACGTTTTAATGTTACTAATCTAGAATAGGAGAATGTCTGTTTACGAACAAAGTCTTGAAAGCTTCTCTGTCAGTGATAAAGATACAAAGGACACAACACTTCAGCAGTCGTCAGAATGTTCTGTAGTATTTCCTGATAAACACTTTTTGGTTGATTTTGAAATAGATGATCCTGAACGACCTAAGAATTGGCCTTATTGGAAAAAGCTAATGCACACGGCGCTATATGGAATGACAACTTTTGCAGCTCAGTTTAACAGTACAACAATGTCTCCTACTTCTAAACATTTAATAAACACATACCATATAGACGAGGAAGTTGCGACACTAGCTACGTCTCTTTATGTCTTGGGAATTGCCTTTGGGCCAATGATTTTTGCACCCTTTTCAGAAATGAACGGAAGAAAAATTGGAGTTTTTTTGCCTTTCTTCATATCAATAGTATTGACAGCAGGAACTGCTAGTTCAGATAATGTAGCTGCCATTATGTGCACTCGCTTTTTTTCTGGCCTCTTTGCTGGGGCGCCTATTGTTTCTACGGGTGGTGTCTTGGCTGATCTCTGGAATCCAGCAGAAAGAGCTACTGCATTGGTTTTTTATTCATTTTTTGTTCTGAGTGGAGCTGATTTTGGTCCTATCATAAGTAGCCTACTTTCAAATGGTTCAAATACTGCCTGGAGGTGGCCGTTATGGTTTATGGTCATTATAGAGTCTTTTATCCTGCTCGTTAATATGGCAGTAATTGATGAGACATATGTTCCTGTAATATTATCTAGAAAAGCGCGAAGTCTGCGTCTATCTACAAAAAATTGGGGACTGCATGCTGCACATGACCAGTACAAGCTCGACGTAAAAGAGTTTGTAACCTTTCATTTGTTGCGTCCGCTTGCAATGCTAGCTACAACAATTGTCTTTTTTATCGCCCTGTTCGCGAGTTACGTATATGGTCTTCTTTATGTTATATTGACAACAATACCCTATACTTTTAGCTTGTCAAGAAATTGGAAAGGAACAATTAGTACACTTCCAATGATTCCCGTATTTATTGGTGTAATCATTGGCGGAGTTTTGAACATGCTTTGGAACAAGAGGTATGCCAAATTACTTTCAGAAAGTGGCGGAGGCTCTCTACCAGAGCAAAGATTACCGCTGATGATGATGTGTGGTTGGTTTATGCCAGCTGGTATATTCGTATTCGCTTGGACTTCTGATGCCAATATCCATTGGATAGCACCTTTCATCGGGATAACTATGATAGGTATCGGATATTTCATAATTTTCCAAGGATGCTTGAATTATCTTGTGGATGCGTTTTCAAATTTTGCTGCATCGGCAATTGCTGCAAATACATTCGCCAGGTCAATATTCGCAGGTACTTTTCCTTTATTTTCTCGTATAATGTTCAAAAAATTAGAGTTCATTGGGGTGGAAGTTTAATAGGGTTTGTTGGTCTTGGAATGATCCCAATCCCTTTTGTTTTTTATTATTTTGGTAAAAAACTACGTGCTAAAACTCCATATATCAAGCTTGTCTCTTAACCAGCCTTCCCCTTTTTTTCTTACGAACCGATTTTGATAAGCTTGTTAATCTATAGGATTTTGCATCCAATATTAGCAATTGTGTTAAGCAAATAATAACTTTGATGATTGTTGTTTGTGATTAGCAATTTAAAGATGGTATCCCTGTTCGTATTTTATTTTGAGCGAGCAGCTTTCATTCAGTCTTATTTATGTTGCTATTGCAACCATATCTTTCAAATATTTACTGCGTCCGTTTGTTACCATACTGCAGGTTTTCAATCGCTAATTAGTACTTCCCCTTCAAATATACGCATTCGTTCACCGAACAAAAAAGCCGCAACTACCTTCAATAACGAAAGTTTTGCTACTCAATGATCTTCTTCGCTGGAATCGTTTTTCTATTATTTTCTGTTTCATTATGTTGATTATTTGTTTAAACAATTATTGCATATAAAACCTTTCATAAATAATACTACATGTAATTTTTGCATATCGTTTACAGACTTGAAGTTTCTGGAAGTTAAATTACAGTCTAATTTTTGAAAAATTATGATACTCTCTAAATTTACATATTTTGCTTTTATTGCTTATTCTATGACAACACAAAACAACACTCGTCTTTATTTGAATGATGGACAACTTGCGAGGATCACACCCTTACTGAGACTGTCGATAAGGATCCAAAATTCGCTGAATGGTATCTCATAGACCACATCAGATATCCTCATATAAGAAAGTTCCTCGCTAAGTTGTTTGTTTCTGACGGCAGCTATACTGCTCACACTAAGGGTTGACCTACTACTGGCTGAGACCCCGTAGCAAAATGAAGAACCCAGAATTTTGGCGAAGTATGCGACATAGCCAGAGGAATGAAGTTGCGGTCTACGGACGGAATAAAATGGAAAACCTTCTCCTGACAATGTTGTATACCTTATCTCATTGTCACTGTAATTGATACTGAGTATCTCGCTTTCATTTTTTAAAATTATTAATTTATTATTTACAGTTATGATTTTGTAAGTTCAAAAAAAAAGATCGGATCAGTTACTTAAAAAGAGCTATTTAATTTTCGATGAAAAGGGCAATAAAGGACAAGCGAAGACCGAGTATATTTGGTAACGCATAATTGGAAATGATTAAGCTGCTGTCTGTCACAAACGGATTCTGTTTCGTTAAGAGAATAAACAATTCAGTGGATAATAACGTTCAGCTTACAAGAAACTGTGTTTACAATTGAATACATTGGTACTATCTGAATGAACAGTAACTAGCTTTTAGAGATCTGATTCACTAAATAACCTATGTAGAGCGTACTTAGCTAGATCAGTCAGATCTTCCAATCTGGAGATTTGGCCCAGGAACTATCTGTATACATAGTATTTTAGAATTAATAAGTCTATTAATAGTTTTATTTATAAATTTTTGGAATTCATAATGCAAAATTGAGCTTTTTTCCTTTATAATAAGTTACTTAATAATACAATGGTATTATCGTATCGCAATATTATTAAGATCGTATAACAGTTATGACATTTTGAGACCGTAACCACGTAATTTTTGAGTAGTTTAGCTGTACTTTTACGAGTTAGCTTTAGTGATCAGTATCTCAGATACCGAGCTTTTGAGAAATTTACTAGTTATTATTTATTTATTTTATAAGTTCACTAATCCTTTCTTTACCAACAACAATTCGAAGAGTGAAGTGGTCTTTGCACTGATCAAATTTGACATGTTGTTATGGTAGATAATGAATGAAGATTCACATATGCGAGGAGACAGTACGCCTGTTAACGATGAAGGCGTATATAGGAATGTATACAATATTCCTCCTCCTAGACAGGAAAATACTGTTGAATTGAGTCGCTATTTGAATGACTTTAAAATTGCGCTCAATAAAAAGAATTATATCAGAAGGAAGCATTATTTGGAACAAGATCTTGAACGAAATATTTTGAAGGCCCGCGAAATGAATTCTGTAAACGAGAGAGAATATCAGAATGTTGATGCTGACCTTCAAAGTGACTTGCGTGATCTTGAGAATTTGCATATCATTGAAAGCCGCTTGGATCACTGTAGAAATGCAGAGCAATCAAATGATAGTCAACCTCCACAATGGTTTGTCAGTTTTTTAAGTGATCCTAATAATATATTTTACTCTTTAAATCGATCTATGGAGCAAAGAATGTTGACTATGGAGCAGAGATTGATGACGATGGAGCAGAGATTGATGACGATGGAGCAGCGACAGAATGTTCGATTTGATGGAATTGACCGACGTTTGGACGGAATTGACCGACGTTTGGATGGAGTTGATCGACGTTTGGATGGAGTTGATCGACGTTTGGATGGGGTAGAGGTGAAGTTGAACAAACAGGAGTATCAAAATCGCAGGCTGTATAATATACAAATGAGATCACAGGGAAGACTTGTCGATGTCGTTCCGTTTTTGAATGGCGAAGAACCTGATCCGGATTTGCCAAGGATTTGTTCAGTTGAAGATATAAACGGCTTAACAAGAGCTCAATGTACTCGCTATCTCGAAGGTTATGGGATCCGATACGGACCTAATGAAACGATAAAATTAAAGGAGCGCCTTCGTGATGCCGTTGGTTTAGAGTCATTAGGGGATAACCAGTTTCGTTTTACTGGTATAGTTTAAACAATTTTTTCTGGAGCATTTAATTGCGAAGCAAATTTTAAAGAACTATTGTGCGTATTGAGACTTTCTTTTGTTAATAACATGAACTTATGCATTCGCATAATTAATCTGTGACACATTTCGGTGTCCTTCTCAACTTGACGCTGTGTGCCATGAGAGTGTTCGAACAACTTCTAATATCTATACAGCATTCGACATAGTAATACTATCAACAATTCTATTGTAGATGTTTTTATTTCCGAGAATATATCTGACTTTGGAAATAATTATCGAATTCAAAACAGAAACGCAGTAAGTGTTAATAGAGCTGGACCTTTTTGTCATATAATCATGTCCAGAAAGCTACGTAGATTTATTAGGGTAGAAAGAGGATTTTTTTTATATAATCCGATTTCTCCATTTGAAGACTGTAACGGTTCTCTTGCTAAATATAGCTTTGCTATACTTTTGAATATTTAAATGAATTTTTCTACGTGGTTTCTCTAGCAATCATAGTGTTTTACAACAGAAACTGTATAGTTTTCCTAGAATTTGACGCTGTTTATCCTGTTAGAATATCTTTTCCCAGTATTATTGTTTCGTAAATATTCACTTTTCTGTAAATATGGCTATTTATACAAACTTACAATGACAATCTCTTGTACAGAAAGAGAGTTCAAAGTAAGATGATTTGATAATGAATTTCTATATTTTTCAGTAAAAGCTTCTGCAATATGACTAATTAAAAACTGCGAGGCATCGAAACAATTGATATCATAAAGCCTGGGTTACAACTTGGACATTTGACCGCCGTTACTTCTCCTGTGGTGGTCATTTTAATAAGGGTATTTCTTATTTTTTGTCTATACTAATATGTAGCCATATAATAGAGTAATTTAGCGCATATCCAGTGTGAATGATATTGCAGCATTGACAACAATGGATCAGACTAAAAGAGCTTGGCTTCTACCACGCCTTCTGCCAATTACATTTTTTAAAAACTTTTTTTAAAAAATGTTCAAATGCAATGCAATGAAATAATACCGGTTAATCATGAAATCCAAACTCTACGGCTGGCAGTAAAAATGTGACTAAACAGCTTCAGGTCATATGTTGGTTGGAATAACCTACAGAAGAGACCGATTAAAGACAAGTTCTTTAACTAAGAGAGAGTAGTGTTTCTAAATGTCCTTTAATAATAAAAGCAATAACGACCGGCTCAACACGGGAAAGTCAGAAGTCCTTTCGAACATGAATGGCGCTTGATATCTGCTAAAAATTTGTTTTTTGTATTGCAGATGATTCATTGTTCCTGCTCAGTTTATTCCGGCTCGATAGATAAAAATCATTCTCTCGTTCCTATTTTCTGAGTTGTCTTATTCCTTTTATATTCTAGGAGTATGTAACAAAAAAATAAGCGGTTAGTGAGTAGTCAGTTCGAAAAATAGCAAGCTAAAAAAAGAATAAATAAAAAAGAATTTTTAATAAACTGACTCACAAAAAACCTTATATAATTGAATTCAAATTAGTCTACAGTTAACAGATGTTTGCGCTTCCAGACTTACAATTAAATTATATTAACATACGCTATCAAACAGAATGAAGTTATTACCATTTGAGTTTAAACCTATTAAAATTTGAAATAGGATTAATGATTGTAAGTCAACGAGTCAATGTTCCTTTGCGTTTCAAAATATTCATCTACTGCCGCCAAATATTTTGCTGAAGGAATTGATTTATTATTAAGAAAACAGGAAGAAAATAAGAAAGCTAGAAAGGTAAATAAACTATAACGGAAATGCCTAGGAACTGAAACAGACATGAATAATCAGAATGAATTGCGCTAGTTACCATTGATGAAGAAAACCTATCCTTATTATACATTTTTATAGTAAGTAGAAGAGTCTAAAAAAGATCATGGGAGAAGTTACGTTGAAATATGACCAAGAACATGAAAATTGATTGATCTGAAGAAATCCAGCGAGGAGCCAGGATTTGCAGGTGCCAACGCCTCTTATTTCTCATTGGAATTATAACAAAAATTGATAATTATATGTTTGTTAATGAGGATATGACTTACTAAAGAATAATGCATATGATATTTCATAGGACAAATAATTCATGTATCCGTAAGGAAGATACAAAACTTGAGAAGAAAATATGAAATGATGAGCTCTGGCCCTTAATATTGAAATGGATTATACATTTTCTCTTTCTCGGCATCTATATGACTACCCTAATAATAAAAGCTTAATGAGATAGTAAGTCGTGGTACGTCTAATATACATAAAACCATTTATGTATTGGTTTGTTCTAATGCTCGGATTTCAACTACATTACTAACACACGCGACATAAAATATCTACGGCCACACCAGTTCCCGTCCGATCACTGCAGTTAAGCGTCTGAGGGTCTCGTTAGTACTATGGTTGGAGACAACATGGGAATCCGGGATGCTGTAGGCTTTTTACCGCTTCGTTTTTATTCTTTTTCTTTGTATTTGTTTGTTTCGTTTGTTTGTTGCTCTTTGTTAAAGCATATGGCTGGCATTTGGGTCGGCCTGGTCCTTTGATGAAGGTAATAATAGCAGTGGAAGTTGGAAATGCAATGACTACTCTTAAATTCAAGAACTAAAGATCTTCCTAGACTTATGAAACGAATAATAAAGATCAGAAAATAGAGTATCAAACGAATAAATAAAAATAAGCAATTGAACCTCGCTATGTAGATACAATGACAATATCATCCAGTAATAAGCATCCTTACTTATCCAATGTTGAAGAGAGCAAATAAGTCAAGAAAACGGACGCCATTCAGGAGAATTCGTCATGCAAAGTGCATTCTTAAAATAAATATGCAGGGACGAAATAATCGAAACATAAACACAAACATAAGCATGAAGGGAATAACCAAAACGATTGGGCAATATAATAAATAATGCTTTACTTTACATATCAATCAACTCCCACTGTTTTCCACATCCCTAGACTGACCAGGTTCCCGGCGTAACCCTGGAGATTGTTCAGAATGTTCAGTGGACGGTTGCTCCAAACTATTATCATTACAATCATTAAACTGATTTTCAGTCTCTGTCGACATGCTGTTTCATGGGATACAATTATCATCCGTCAAGTCGTTTCTTTCTGACGGCATCCTGAAACCTAGAGCACTCGTAACAGCACTATTAATCCCAGAATAAAGCGAAAAAAGAAATGAAGATATTCCAGAAAAAAGCGAGGAAAGAAATAAAGATATTCCAGAAAAAGCGAAGAAAGAAATGAAGATATTCCAGAAACAAGCATAGTGGTTCCAGAAAGGACTAGAGGAATCAGTGTAACGATAAAATCCACCAACACTAAAAGCATCCCATTAGTAACATGAACAAAAAAATAAGAACATGTAGAAAGTCGCGATGACAAGAACAACTGCTACTGTAAGTCGCGATGACAAGAACAACTGCTACTGTAATTTGAAACCATAACCATACAGATTCTTTCATTGATTCCTTTATAAAGGGGACAAGGTATTTGTAAGAAAAGATAAAGTTCAATATAATTGAACCATTAAGGCACCAACCAAGCCGAAGAGCTTCATTCTCTTGTCTCCGCTGTGCTTCCGGGATTCTTGCGATTTTTGCCGGCCAGAAAATTAACCATAGTATTGGCTTGAGAAAATCCCCTAAAGAATTTAAGGAACCGTTTCCTTGCGCCATGCCAATAGAAGCTTCTTGATGTCGTCTTCTTGAGTATGGTGGAACTGGAACTGGATCTGGATCTGGATCTGGATCGGACTGTAAACGTAAACTACCCTTCTCCATATTGTCAACATGAGAATATGGGATTTCGCTGTATTTAGGTAAATCGCTGTCAGAATTTGTAGAAGAGCTCAAACAAGCAACTTTTACTGGTTCGACAGATTTTTGATGTCCTTTCTTTTCTTTTTCATTCATTTTTGTTGAAAATAACTGTGACTCAAAGAGTTTCTTAACCACCTTTGCTTGATCACTAAGTTACTGCGAAAATTATGGATTACAAAGTAAAAGGACCAAAAAGCGTACAATTTCGAAATTAAAAAGATTCCATATCAATTTGCTTTATACATTAAAGTAGGAATGACAAAAAGAGTGCTTGAAGCCCAGAAAATAAGCCCGCAATGGCAAAGACTAGAGCTTTGCAGAGGTGAAGCTGTCATCCAACCCATTTGACAACTGGGTGATGCAGTTCGTTAAAGAGACTTATCGATAGCTAGTAAGCGTACGCTATTATATGTGTATATATTATGAATGAATGAAGTGTTAGAAATCGCCTTTGTTGGTTTCTAGTGTTTAACTACCATAAATTTAATAAAGATAAAAAGAAGATGCATTTCTCCGTACAAATTTTGTTTACCATAGTTCGACGTCGCATCTACAAACTTTCCATGTGTTTACGGATTTGAAAATAAAACTACGAAAATGGAGAGTGTTGTAGCTTTCTCAGAACCCATTTTTCTACAGTCATAAAATCGTCTAAAAATATGTATTTTCATTTATTTGTTCACATCATTCAAAGCAAACAGCACGGTTGTTTTGCCAAATGCTCATTTGTTCCTTTGTTTACTTTTTGTAATAAACGTTGACTCTTTTGGATTATACTATTACGAGAAATCGCAACGAGGATGTGACCAGTCGGTGACATAATGTCGCAGCTTTTATGAAACGAGACATGCGAAAAGCCACTACCAAGATTTTATGAAACTCTTTTATCTTTGGTTTTAAAGAAAGTGTTCCGTAAGAATTGTTTGCTTTTTGAAGCAAGAACCAATTCCTATTTTTGAAGACTCTGCACCAATTGGAACCAGGTTCTACGGACTTTTCTTGGTGGTTCTAGTCGATTTCTTTTTCAACTCTAAATATTGCCGTTCTTTTTTGGTTTTTAGCTTGTCATTGCAAAAATGAAGAATAAATATACCTCTGTTTCAGACTCTGAAGAGTCCTTAAAAACGCTCAATGATGAAAAGTCAGACACTCGTTCTTCAGAGGGTACGCCTCCTCCGTATTCAGGTAAGATTTATTGAAATGGAAAGGTAATGGTGTTTGTTATTGAGAGTTCTTACTGAGGAATCCTATTTTAAACTTGTCGACGATTGTCAACAACAGGGCAAATACCTCCTTCCTTTCACAAAGAACAAAAACGTCAGCTACTAATACATTCATTAGCTTCAAACAAATTTATCGATTTAGAAATGGCTGACGGATCCGCTCAGCATTCTGCCCAAGAATCTGTTGATAACACTAGGTCGGACCCTTCAGCGAACAAAGAATGTTGGAAAACCTTTGCCGCAGGCATAATGACTATTATAACGATTTTATATAATCTTGTTTTTCTAGCCATAATTTTTGGTTACAAGGTTTCTCCGTATTCAATAGCTTTTTATTGGCTTGCTGCCGTTTCTATTGGCACTATTTTTATTTTCCTATTAAGTGAGTTAAGAATATCTTGTTCTCAAATAACTGACCTATTTTTAGCGATTCTTGTAACGTATCCAGAATGGTATCGGGAAGCTGGAAGAGCAACAAAGAAGTGCATTAAGAAATCTGGAAGAGCAACAAAGAAGTGCATTAAGAAATCTGGAAGAGCAACAAAAAATTACATTAAGGAAGGTGGAGGAGCGCCGGCTATATGTAAAGCGCTAATTACCCTGATAAGTTTGAATGGAGTCGGGGGTTATGTTTTGAAATTAGCAGGAGGCTTCGAATATATACATTCAGCCATGGTGTTGGTTGTTTTGGCCGTATTGAACATATGCTTGTTTGTTCTTCTCATTCGTAAGTTGCAATTTTCTATGAACCTTTCTAACTTCTTTAGGAAACCCAATTGGATTTGGAAATATGACAATTATCGTACCTACAGTAAGCGAAATTTAGTTTTGTTAATCTAGAATTTTTCATTAATTTTGCAGAACAACAGGATTAGCAGGAATCGTCCACCTCGTAACGAAGAAACCGAACTTCAACCTCTTGCTGATCAAAGCTCTGAAGTTTGAATGTGAGTGTGAGTTTCACCGAACCTGCTTTCATTTTTTGTACTTCGCCTTCGCCCCTTCCTTGGGATCATCGATGTCAATTGCAGTTCACCAAGATCCCTGTGTTTGCTGTCACAAAAGCTTGAATCTGATGAATCCAGAAGACTTTGATTGCTTTAGTAATTCACTCTTTTACGACTTTTCTAATTAGTTCACAGCACTGTTGTTTATGCATCGTTCATTTTCTTCGCAGTTCGAATAGAACATCCTTTTTAATGATTATTTTATGATTTTGACAACGAATATTCCATGGCAATGAGCTATTGTTTAGTTCAACACCGAGTCGTGTAATTGATTATGTCTTAGAGTTGACAAGGATGAATGAGAGTTTCGACAGTTATTATTTTCATTCAGTATAGAAAACACAAATCTTCAGATAAAAAGATCAAAAGATCAGATAGATCTTAATACATTGATTAAACATTCATTTAGAGAGTCAAATCAACGCACCATGAAATATTTCAAGTAGAACCCAATTTGTATAAACCACATTTTCAACCCGTAAACCCAAACGCTCATGCTTTTACGACAACAATGTGAATCAAGAAAATAGAGAATGACAGTTTGTATTCAAATCTTATTTTTATAATATTCTTATAATATGAAAGCATTCTCCATTCCGCCGTGGAAAACAACCAAAATTTAGAGCCGAGTAGAAAGGCATCAAACATAAGAAAATACTGGACGAGTCCTTATAATAATAAAAGTAGCTTTATAGACGACTACAAACGTCTACGGCCACACCTAGGCGAAAACACCAGACCAGTTCCCGTCCGATCACTGCAGCATGTGAAAACGTTTGACGGCCTCGTTAGTTTCGTTCTATGGTTGGAGACAACATGAGAATTCGGGGTGCGGTAGGCTTTTTTCCTTCGTTCTTTTTTGTTTTCTTTTTCATTCATACTCCCGTTCTATCGTATTATTAGGAGTCAGTTCATTTGATTCTAATCGTCTCATTGAAATCATTCTAGAAATGGATTAACTTGTTCTTTTACCATTCGTAATATACAAGACCTAATAAAAATCCACTTTTTCTGAAAATCAAAAGAGGATAGAGGCTATACTTGACGACGTCAAAGGTTATTCCTGCTCTCACTGTTGTTTCGACGACACACTGAATCTCGACTTCAATAGTGGAATTAGCTTGTAAACGAATATTACAATTCATTAAAAATCTAAGAGAAAGCTGTTTATGGTTAAATCTTTGTTTTTCTTTACTTTTCATGTTCTCCTAGAAGCGTTTCAGCCCTTTTAAGATTCACAATTTAAACTGAAAATCCGTTCACAGTTCATATACAATCTCGTAATTCTTATGTCGCTTGAAAGAACCTCAAGAATAAATGAAACAGAGATGATTCTTCAAAATCAACTTGATTCACTTCAAAAGTAAACTGGCTGACTTTTATAGGGCATTTTCTTCCAAATAAAACAGTTAACACATTCCACAATATTTCTGAAACTTGAAGTGTGTTTCAGATGTATGGAGGCACACCTAATGATTAATTCATGAACTTCAGAGAAGACCTGGTTTAAAGGTGAGATTGTTTTATAGGAGACGTCAAAAGCCTACGAGAAGGACGAGATCATACACAAATAGGAGTCAGAGAAGACTTGAGTTTTATTGAAGTATATTTAGAGCCGCATCATATTGCCAAAAAAAGTGGCCGAATGTTTTCGTACAATACAAAACAAGAATGACACCGCAGATATTAGAGATGTACATATAGAAAGAATTTTTTAGAGAAATAAATGAAATCCCACTTTGTAGTGGATGAGAATTTCTATGGCCGCTTGCATGAAAAACTATTTTTGACATTGATCATCTGAACCTGGATCACTAACAATCATTCGGAGGGGTACGGCGGTAGTTGATTTTAAAGGCTTGTGGAATGCAAATTGTTTTGATTAATTTGCTTTCATTCGCGATTTTTTCCGTTTCGTATGAAAGCCTTCAGGGTATAGTACATCGAAATGGTATATTGACTTGAGAGAAATCTTGATTCGAGATATTCGATTGCAAGGAAATTAGAGGTAGTGCATGTGATAAATACTTACTGGCAGCATGGTCTTTGCACGCTTCATAGAACGACACTCTCATGAGACTTGATTATTTTTGTTGTTTAAAAAATACATTGATGTAGTCCAATTTGTTTCTGTTTAATTATTGTAGACGCATGTCTAACATTAGGTGTATATGGTGTATTGTAGGATTCGGTACGGAAATCTTTGCTGTTGAAGGGTATTTCTCCTTTCAAATGTGTTTTACTATGGGGAATTTTTTGCGCCAGCGTTGTAGCAGAATCCTCCCCCAGTTTGAGGAAAAACTAATACTGTTTTCGCATATGTAACTATGGATACATTTTCATTAGTATGGTTTTATATGATGGGAAGAAAAGAAACTGATTTCAGCACATTCTTAGTTTACGAATATCGTAGGATAGTGTATTACGGATTACCAGATTTGTCAACTTTTCATGGTGAGAGAAAACAAAAACGTGTGCGATTCTTGATTTGTATTGTACGATTCGTACCTAACTGATCAATCATTTATTTTTGGTTGCCAATCTTCATTTGCTATGAATCAAATATGGTTTACAAGAAAAAGAAAATATGCGATAAATGTTCAGACACCAAGTGTAATTGAAAATTAAAAGCAAACAATCAAGAAACCAAGGAAAACAAATTTACATAAGCAACTTTGCTTAATAGGAACGATTATTTTTAAATAATGGCAGTCAGTTCGGTTCGTTTGTCTTGAGTAGTTTGTTGATATTCACATTTTTATTTTTTCATTTTCAAGCGTTTCTTCTCTCTTCCCCATCTTGTCGTTTTTGTTGAAAACTAACAACAGCATACAAACGACGGAAACTTGAAAATAAAAATTAAAAAAAGATTCATGTCCTCGTTGTAACCTTCAATTATTGATTTACCGACCGAGATTTATGGATTCACGTATTTATTCCATGACTGAATCAAATACAAGACAAGACCCAAGTGATTCATTCATAGTGGTAGATATGTATCCAACCAGAAAGAATGATTAGAGCACCACTACAACATTCTTTATGTCGTTTCTGTATTGTTAATAAAGAAAAGATCAATGGAATGGCATTTCATTCCATGTAATTCACTTTCACAGGTCTCATAAATATCCATCGTCCACACTCTTCTCTCTCTCGTCTTACCACTATACAACGACCACGCATCATGATCCATTGGTTCCACATTTTTCTTCAAAAATATTTCTTTTCAAACGACTAACGACTACTCAATCCTTTCGTTTCTCCATTCCTCTCAACATAAACCTGCATATAAAACAAACACCATGGTTTTCTTGAATCAAACAAAGTAACATATCACATATAACAACCTCGTTTCTATAATATCACTAACGGAGAAAATCATCCAGATCGATGGTAATGGACAAGACCGTACTTCCGGGCGGCATGCCCCGCTTGCGGGGCATCATCTAGCTCCCATCTTACTTGAGAATGAAAGGGGATCCTAAGGAAAATACCAAAATGAGGTCATATGATTGTGCAAGTCACAAAGGATAGCAGAGATGGAAAAAAAAAGTTTCATAAGGGTCGAGTTTTGGTATAAATATGCTGCAAATGACTTGGTATTTACTGTGTACTCAGTTACTAACAACTTAATATTTAATACTCAAGTACTACAAGTTAGCATGTTGTTTCTGTTTGCGCTTGTAAGTCTGGTGTGTACCTTTGTTTGTGCAGTCCAACTCAATGAGACCGACTATGAAGGTTCTTTGAATACGCTTGTGAACGGTCTTGCAGACGAAACTTATGGAGACGAAGGTATTATAAGCCATACGGGTGTTTACGAGAGCTTGTACAAGGATGACTTGAGCCAGTTCAACTATACCATGGATTTTATGTCTGGAGACAATTATGGAAAAGTGGAGGCTCTATTGAATTTAGCATCTAAAGCTAATGACAAGGGTTTCGTTGGAGATCTTATATACCTAGCTCATTTTGCATCTGCCGGCGGTTATAATGGGTATATGCAGTTGAATGATGAATCTAGTTTCGCTAAAGATTTGCTTGGTTTTTGCGAGAACGATGCGACAATCTTTACAAAGCTTAGCCAGTCTAGCTCGAATAAAAAACTGCAAGACTTCTTCGAAAGTTTGGTCTCTCCAGAATCGGATGCTTCCTCCAACAACAAACTGGGGAAGCGTTACGATGGTACTTATACCTGCAACACTAAACATACTGCATCAAGAGAATCCTGCTCTTTATTGTACGGTTATTTATCAAGAAGTACTTGGACTATTTCAGGAGGGCCTCGTGCTGCTTGCTACTCCGGTTGCTGTGTCTCTTGGAGTATGAAAGCTCCTGCACAAGCAACTGAATTGGCCCCACGAGTTAACACTTGTTTGCAAACCTGCCCAAACCCGACATTCAGCTGTATTAACCGTGACGTTGTCATTGGCAATGTATATGGAGTAGATGTTTGTGTCAGTGGAAGGACTCAATTTTGCCATTAGACTCAGAAAAGGAGTCGTCGTTTTTGGAAACTTTTTGGAACAATGGAAAAATCTCCGTCAGTGCTGTAATAAAAGTAATTAATGGGCAACCGAGTAAATTTTTCCTTCCTGTTGTTCGAACCTATGCTATGAAAAATAATTCCTCTAATGAATATAGCCAAAAGTTTGACAGGTATATCTCTTTACTCGCAAATCATACGTACTATATGCATATATAGAGACGTGATCGTCCTTATTGCAACTTGTTTTCATCCAAAATACGGTAGACAGCTATATATGAGCACCAGAATAGGATTAGATGAAACCACATTGTCACCATCTTGTTTACCGCTAGTGAATCTTTGTTTATACATATCTCATTTCATGTAGATCTTTTTTATTTCATTCTGTTTTTTTCTTTTTTTTTTTTTTTTTTGCTAATGGTAATTAACTGTTTCTTGTTTTCGTACTACTTGCACACCTCACCGATTTGACCTTTCCTTGTAAGATGGCTTTTGACTTGGATCAGACAAATCTGTTCAACCAGATTCAGGTTGGTAACATGACACTGAATCATAGAATCGCTTTTGCTCCCACAACAAGACTCCGTGCTACAGATGATCATACTCCAAGCGATTTGATGCTACAACACTATTCAGACCGAGCACAGACTCCTGGTACTTTGCTCATTTCAGAAGCCACCTTGGTCTCTCTTCGTGCTGGCTTATACCCCAATATTCCTGGCATTTGGAACGACAGACAGGTCCAAGCATGGAAAAAGATCACAGACGCAGTACATGCAAAAGGAAGTTACATGGCTTGCCAATTGTGGTTTGCAGGAAGAGTTGGATCCCCAGAACTACTGAAAAAGCATGGTTTGGACTTGGTATCCCCTTCTGCTTTGTATGAAAGCGAAGATTCCAAGAAGGCAGCAGAAGCCGCTGGCAATCCCATTAGAGCATTGACCGAGGAAGAAATTCAGAGTATTATTTATGACGATTACAAGAACGCAGCCATCAATGCCATGAACGCCGGATTTGATTGTGTGGAACTTCACAGTGCTCATGGATACCTACTTGATCAATTCCTACAGCCCGCGGCTAATCAAAGAACAGATAACTATGGTGGTTCTATAGAGAACCGTGCAAGACTCTTGCTGGAAATTGTCGACCTTTTAAGTGATACCATTGGCGCCGAAAAAGTTGCAATCCGGTTGTCTCCATGGGCTAAATTCCAAGGAATGAAAGCGGAAAAAGATACAGTGCATCCAATTACTACATTTAGTTATGTAGTTAACGAGCTTCAAAAGCGTGCAAACAAGGGTAAACAGCTCGCTTACCTTTCTGTGGTCGAACCTAGGGTAAATAATAACGTTGATGTGAACTTGGCTGATATAGCTGGTTCCAATGACTTTATAAAAAAGTTATGGAAAGGAAATGTTTTGCAAGGTGGCAATTATACCTATGATAAACCGGAATTTAAGTCTTTGAAAGCTGATGTAGATGGTGACAACCGCACTATGGTCGCATTTTCCAGGTATTTCACGTCAAATCCCGATTTAGTTAAGAGATTAAAGGAAGGCTTGGAGTTGTCTCCTTATGTCCGTTCTTTATTTTATGCTCCATACAACTATGGGTATAACACATTTCCAAATTTTGGTGATGAGCTGCAGTTTGACCATGAAACCGAAAAGGAAAGACGCCCCGCTCCTTTGATTTGAATTTGTTTTTAAAAGCGAGCGTTCATTAGATTACAGGAACAGGAATAATAGGTATTTAACGATTTTCGATGAAGTTGCTAATCAATATTTTATTCGACTTTAAAATATTTACGTGAAACTTTATGATAAACCTAAAAAAAAGTAGTAAAAACCATTTTAGAAAAGATACTCTTGATACGGTACTGAGGGATTACATTTTCGCATGAATCTTGAAGATTTTATGTTCCACTGTATAATCATAAGCATCCTTCCGACATGTAATGCTTCTCTAAAATTTTGTGACTAAATAAATAGTCTAACTAACTTGATGACCATAATATCCAAATCAAACTTTGTTAGGTCGATTTGTGTTGCAACAGTGTTCTCAGTTATCTTTCACTCGAGAACAGAAAGTAAATCTAATATTGAGAGTTAATCTACAATAATATAAGTAATACCCAAGCAGCACTTTTTTCGTAAAAGTGTTTGAATACATGAATGTCATAAACATTGATTTTGATAATATCAATTTATGTACAATCTACAAAACAATCCGTTAAATAACCATTTGTTACATGTGTTCCTTACAACTTCTTTATGTAGCGATTGAATCAAACGAATTTCTTTTTCAAGCGAATCGAAAAAATGTCTATTTTATATAAACAACGCTAAGTAGCTCCTCTTGTTGTTCAGTGTAGGTTTCACTGAATTTACAATAACACTTTTTTGAATACGCCATTTGCAATTGATCTAATATGTTTATTTTCAGGTTCGCTTCCCAAAAATATACATATCGTGTCAACATGCAATACACTCAGGTAATCCTTGAAATGCATCAAGATTAATGATCAACCAGAGGACCAACGTAACAGGTTCTAAGCATTTCTTCTTCATTCACATCAGCATGGGCCTTCACTATAAAAAATGGTAAGTACGTTACGACCAAACACACAAATTGAACTCACTATACTGCTTTGTAGCATCAATGCCAGAGTGTTTAAAAATCTTTTTTGCACCATCTGGGTGATACGGAGCATAAGCAGTAACATTGTAGACTTTTCCTCGAACAGCAATCCAGCAGTCGTCTTTTGTATTGTGCTTCTTCAATTCCTCCATCGTGACCTTAAAGGGTTCAATTACTCCCTTTCTCCTATGTTAATGTTCATTCTTTAAAACAGCCTAATGCCTAGATCAATCACTTACGGACAAATTTTCACCGCTCTCCACTAATGCGTCCCATTTTTCTTGAGTACATCCAGGATCATTTTTTTGTTTTTTCTTGCTTTTCCTTTTGATTTGCTTTTCTTCACCTGCGCGAGCAGGCTCTTCCTTGGTAGCTTCTTGCTTTGAAAACAATAATTTCAAGAAAGACGACATCTTGTCCAAAATTTTTATCAAATCAATTTCTAAATTTCTATTTATAAAAAGACAAAAACTCTTTGGTACTTGAAATCAGTATACGGAGAGGGATCAAGAAATGACTACTGAAAACCATATACAACCTTGTGCAATAAATAAGACACGGCGCCGCATTATAGTATAGTACACTTCGGTATTTGACAAGTATAATTTGAATTTTGCTTTCTATGAATGGAAGGTTTTTTTTTTTTTATTTTATTTTATGTTATGTTTATTAAATGACGAATTTTTCTTTGTCTGTCTATTCCATTCTTAGTCCTTAGTCCTTAATTAATTTCTAAGCTGTAATGAATTGGAACACTACGTATTAGTTGATGAGCTATACAATCTATAAATAATCCTCAAAGATTAGTAGTACTATAATGAACAATATTTTTCTTGATTACTTTATTTCTATCATATTCGTAGAACAGTCTTGCGCTCTTTACCTCTTGATTCTCCTTTTCCCTTTTCCCTTTTGGGTTTTATATTTTTATTTTTAAGGCTCTATCCTACGCTAGTTTTTATGCGTTAGTTCTCTTTATTGTACTTGACTAGTTAATGTTCTGGAAATGATATGAAGGAGAACAAAAAATAAAGAAAGAATCTGCGGAAGCCCACAGCATCCCGGATTCCCATGTTGTCTCCAATCGTAGCACTAACGAGCCTTCAGACGGTTTTCACTTGCTGCAGTGATTGATCGGGAACTGGTGTGCTGTTTTTGCCTAGGTATAGCCGTAAACATTTGTTCCCGTCGGTACAATTACTACAAGTTCAGTTGTGATCCAGTAAGGACGTTCTTACATTTTGTAGTAAAAGACTCTTCTGTATGATGATGACATTGCCATATTCCGGCCTTGACTATATTTATAAAAGACATACAATTACACGACACTGTGTTGAAGCTATAGTTAATCACGGCAGAATTTTCGTTAGAGTAATTAAATAATCATTAAAAAGGGTGTTCGATTCTATTCACAAAGCATAAACAACGATATTGCTTAACGAATTAAAAAGATTCATGGAAGAGTGAATGAGAAAAGCAACTTAAGCCGTCTTATTAAGATAATGCTTACTTTGGGGGATGGTGCGAATGCAAAGTTGATGGACTGCAATATTGACATGAATACTTCCAAAGAAAATGCAAATTATGAAAACGTAAACCAGGTTCGTTAAAATTCAAACTTCACCACTTTGCTCAGCAAGAGGTTGAAGTTCGATTTCTTCGTTCTGAGGTACTTCATCTCCTTGATTTCTTCCTTTTAACTTGGTTAATAATTGCTCTATGATAGGAAGCATTCACGTAGTGTACATACCAAAAACATGATTCACAGCATTTCCTATGCCATTTCCTATGGCATTTGCACCGTTTCCTATGCCAATTGCGCCGTTACCTATGGCATTTGCGCCGTTGCCTATATCAATGACTAATAATCTAAGTCGTTCACGGGCAATTGGATTCACTAGAACAGTTAGAATATTTCGCAGGTTGTATGGCATACTCGAAATAAAAAGAAACAAGACAAAATCAACAAAGCAAACAACGTAGAGAAAAAGATTATTTATCTTTTCAAATTGTATTATCTTCTTTGCAGTATAATACATGGCGAAACCGGGGACATTGAGAAAACACACATATAATGCTGAAACACACATATTGAACCCAGCTTGCCTGTACCATTCTGGATACGTTACAAGAATCGCTAAAAATAGGTCAGTTATTCGAGAACAAATATTCTTAACTTACTTAATAGGAAAATAAAAATAGATCCAATAGAAACGCCAGCAAGCCCATAAAAAGCTCTTGAATATGGAGAAACCTTGTAACCAAAAATTATGGCTAGAAAAACAAGATTATATAAAATCGTTATAATAGTCATTATGCCTGCGGCAAAGGTTTTCCAACATTCTTTGTTCGCTGAAGGGTCCGACCTAGTGTTATCAACAGATTCTTGGGCAGAATTCTGAACGTGTCCGTCAGCCATTTCTAAATCGATAAATTTGTTTGAAGCTAATGAATGTGTTAGTAGCTGACGTTTTTGTTCTCTGTGAAAGGAAGGAGGTATTTGCCCTGTTGTTTACAATTATCGACAAGGTTAAGCCCAACATATAAATAAACAAAGGGATTCTCCGTCAAAACTTTCAATAACAAACAGGAATTATGAACAAACACCATTACCTTTCCATTTCAATAAATCTTACCTGAATACGGAGGGGGAGTACCCTCTGAAGAATGGATGTCTGCCTTTTCATCAATGAGTGTTTTGAAAGACTCGTCAGAGTCTGAAACAGGAGTGTATTTATTCTTCATTTTTGCAATGACAAGCCAAAAACCAAAAAAGAACGGCAATATTTAGAGTTGAAAAAGAAATCGACTAGAATCACCAAGAAAAGGTCCGTAGAAACCGCTTCCAGTTTTCACAGATTTTTCAAAAATAGGAATTGGTTCTTGCTTCAAAAAGCAAACAATCCTTACGGAACAACTGTCTTTAAAACCAAAGATACGAGTTTCATAAAATCTTGGTAGTGGCTTTTCGCATGTCTCGTTTCATAGAAGCTGCGACATTATGTCACGGACTGGTCACATTTCTCGCTACGATTTACGTCCTTGTCATACTATGATATTGGTAAATATTTCGATACGATAATCATATTGTATAATCAATTATAATATTACTAAAAGTAAAGTCTCATTCTTTGATTGAAAATTGCAAATTCTAAAATTTGGATTATTAAAGAACTTACTAATTACTGAAATACTTGCATATATATTTAGTGGAAAAGATTGAATCTTCAGAGTGGGACATTTGACTGATCTAGCTAAATACATTGTTCGTATACTTTGTTTCCGTATCAGGTCCCTGGAAGCCATTACTAGTTAGAAAATAGTATAGAATCATCCACTTTAGCAAGTTAAGCCTGAATTTTTTTCAAATAGAAATGTATACTCTTTCAATGATACCCTTATTCTCAAATAACAAACGAGATTTGACAGTGACAGTGACAAAATTTATCATTCAAGATTCACTCATTGTTTATTTCTAATAATAATAATTATTTATCTACTTTATTTACTATGCCTTTCGAGTTTTGAGTTTTTTTTTTTTCACCTGTTTCATCAAAAATGCCCATTATCACTTCCAGAAACCAAGGTTGTAGGCTTTCCTGGAGTAACCCAGCAGACTCTATTGCTGATTCCTTCTTCCTCAAAATTTCGATTTAATTCTTCTTTACATTGAGTAAAATGACCCCATCCTTCGAAATGAATAGGTACCATCAGCCCAACATCCAGATTTTTCACTAGTCTCCCAGCTTGTTTACCATCCATAGTAATCTGCAGCGGTCCATCGTGAGAAGGCATAATGGCCTTTCCAAGATTCAAAATCGCAACACATACATGATACTTTTTACGAATTTCGTTCATTTCGTCAATGTAAACCGTATCACCAGAAAAGTAAATCACATTTGAAAGTCCTTTAGAATTTGTACCGAATGTGTCGCACTCCAAGATAAAACCGGTGCACTCTTCTCCTGGAACATGTCTTGTAGGTACCCCGGTAATTTGAAAGGTTTTCCCACCCACCTCAAGTGGAATTGTCTCCCATGGGCGAATGCCACGAACACCTGGTCGAGGTTGGAGATTCTTTGCACCATCCATAGTGGTAATGACTTTACGGCCATCTAAAAGACGACGTCCAAGATCATCCAAATTATCTGCATGATCTTCGTGACTTAAAAGTACTGCATCAATAGGTGGTAAACTTTCCAATCCCAAGGCAGGACCAAAGCTATTTTGCAAAACAACTGATCCATCCTTTAGAACTTTTGATTCATATTTCATTTTCGTTCCAGCCGACGAAAATACTGGATCAGTTATAAAGTTGACATTATCGATACTGAGAATAGCAGTGGCAGTCGTAAGGTGGGTAATGCTTACTTTGCTACAAAAGTCGGTACAAGGCATTGTAACAGGAGATTCCAGAAGTTTTTCTTTTCTTTTCTTTTTTTTCTTGGCTTAAACTAGAATACAAAGGAAGTATATAAAACATTTCTCCTAATAAATTACATAAGCCCAAATCCGCATACCGCATAAAGCATACCGTGAATTCGCGGTATGCTTTATGCAGTATGCGGTACCTGGTGCGCGGGAGAAAGTCATTGAGTGTAGGGTCCAATCGACATCGGGGTACTGCTATCACGTCCTTTGCTGCCCTAGTATTTGAGGGTCCTTTACTATCTCCGTCATTAGTAGGATTATTAGAAAATAGTATTTGGATTGGGATAAAGCGGGTACCTTATTTCGTTCATTGGGATTCTTTTCTGTTGTTCTTAGTAGTCTTTCAATTGCGAGGAGACCTAAGTAAAAACGATTGTTGAAAACAACACTCAAGCATACAGTTTCCGACGACAACTATTTTGTGGGTGCCGAGACGGAGGACAGATATCAATCCCTAAAAATGTTCACGGTATGTATTTATCAGTTCCCATGAAGCTTTTAATTACGGAATTCCTTGTCTTCTTGGTCATACTCTTCCTTTCGTTTGTATATGGTATTTTATACTTGCTTTTGGAAGCGTATCCACCTATATCTTTTCCGAAAAAGACCATTTATCTATCCGGAAGGTCCGTCCATCCCTCACTTAATTATTGAAGCCTTCATCTTCCCTGCGGGTATTTTTTGGATGGCATGGTCAGGTAAATTATACATATTTTCATTGGGTCGTACCTAGTTTGTCTGGTTTGCTTACTGGAGCTGGAATTTTGCTGATTTTCTTGAATTGTTTAAACTATTTAATTGATGCTTATTTGTTTCGCGCCGCCTCGACGATGGCTGCTAACACAATGATGCGCAGTTCTGTTTGCAGAATTTCCTATTTTGCTATTCGAGTGTTTCATAATTTGGGTGTCGACTGGACTGGATCTGCTTTAGTTTTCATCGATATCACGTTGATTCCCGTCCCATCGTTTTCTATTTTTTTGGTAGAAAAATTCGTTCTTGGAGTAAAATGACCGTCGTGATATGAAGATGAGATGAATACTTGTTTCATTTTATCTCAGTTGGTTTGTATTACTTACTCGCGAATTTTTATTCAACAAAGATAGATTATAATAGTAATATTTTACGTCTACCACCGAAATGTGAGTTTCGTTTCAGTTTTTGCTTTGCTCAGGTGAAAGAAGCCCCAAATCTATTTATCGAATGTGCTAATAGTCTAATATTTATTTTGTTGTTGTATGTCCATAGATATGGATTTAAAGTACTTTTTCAATCTCTCATTGATATAACTTTTGAATCATAATATGTGGCTTCCGGATTTATATTATGCAACTGACTGATATATCTCACTTCAGTCGTATGTACTCGTACAAAGTTACGAAGAGATCTCTTATTGGGAAAAAGACATACCATTGGTATGAGTGAAGTAAGGTAAGCTCATACTGTTGGAATGTGTTTTTCTTAGTATTGGATTATTTATATGCATTTCAACGTTCTATTCGTTTTAAAACAAGAAGAATATTTGCTATGTAAGACGGGTTGAAACGAAACAAAGCAGAACTAAACTAAACTAAATTAAACTGAATAATTAGAATAAAGGGACAGAATAGAATAAAAGATATTTGTTTCGCCTAGGTGTGGCCGTAGACGTTTGTAGTCGTCTACAAAGCTACTTCTACTATAAAGGATTCGTCCAGTATTCTATTACATCTGATGTCGTTTAAAAGCATTTCTACTCGGCTCTAAATTTTGGTTGTTTTCCACGGAAGAATGGAGAATGCCTTCATATTATAAAAATAAGATTTGAATACAAACTGTCATTCTCTATTTTCTTGATTCACATTGTTGTCGAAAAAGCATCAGAATGAGTGTTAAAATGAGCGTTTGGGTTTATGGGTTGAGAATGTAGTTTATACAAATTGGGTTCTACTTGCAATATTTCATCTTCCGTTGATTTGACTCTCTAAATGAATGTTTAATCAATGTATTAAGATATATCTGATCTTTTGATCTTTTTGATCTGAAGATTCGTGCTTGCTATACTGAATGAAAATAATAACTGTCGAAACTCTCATTCATCCTTGTCAACTCTAAGACATAATCAATTACACGACTCGGTGTTGAACTAAACAATAGCTCATTGCCATGGAATATTCGTTGTCAAAATCATAAAATAATCATTAAAAAGGATGTTCTATTCGAACTGCGAAGAAAATGAACGATGCATAAACAACAGTGCTGTGAACTAATTAGAAAAGTCGTAAAAGAGTGAATTACTAAAGCGATCAAAGTTTGCTGGATTTATCAGATTCAAGCTTTTGTGACAACGAACACAGGGATCTTGGTGAACTGCAATTGACATGGATGATCCCAAGGAAGGGTCGAAGGCGAAGTACACAAAATGAAAGCAGGTTCGGTGAAACTCACACTCACATT